TAGTTTATTAGATAAAGGATTTACTTAAATGAATGACTCTTTAACAGTTACCCTTATATTATTTATTTAAATATCTAAGAGAAGACTTCATTTCTGTATAAACTACTAAATTTTAAATATAACCGACCCCTACGGTAACCTTCGGGGTCGCGCGTATTGCGCGACCCTGACAACCACCCGAGCACCCCAGCCACCCGAGCACCGATTTTAGAACTTCGTAGAATTCCAACCCATCAACTTTATCATATAATTCAACCACCACCACCATGCCCAAATTCAATAAAAATTATGAAGATCGAATGCTCAAAGCTATTGACGCGTTAAGCACACAAAATCCCCCAAATATCGCCAAAACTGCACGTGAATATGGAGTTAAACGGCAAACCCTCTCCGCAAGGTGGAAGGGACGGTCCAATCTATGTGAACGACCACCAACCAACACCAGATTATCAGAAGAGCAAGAAAAGGCTCTGTGTCACTATGTTGATACTCTAGAGCAATTAAATATAAAGCCACTTGCACAAATGATCCAATCAAGTGCCAATTCTATTCTGAGATCAACCCATACCAGCCTAGACACCCCTCCACCTACTGTCAGCGAGAAATGGTTAAACTGATGGCTAGGAAGGCATCCTGAATATAAAAGACGTCGCTCTAGAGCTATAGAGCTTGACCACAAGCGTGCAGAGGATCATGAGGTTATTCAGGAGTGGTTTCAGAAGCTCCATCAGACCATCCAGAACCATGGGATATTAAAGGAGGATATCTACAATTTTGATGAGACTGGCTTCAATATCAGTGTTGGTTGTGATCAATGGATTATTACCAGGGACTTCAATATTAATAAGCCTCATATTGGGATGAATTCAAACTGTGAATATGTTACTGTGGTTGAAGCAGTCAATGCAGATGGCTGGACCTGCCCACCACTTATTCTCATGAGTGGTAGCTGTATACTTACAAATTGGTTTGAAGCTGCTGATATTCAACAAGACTATTCAATTGGAGTATCAGAAAATGGCTATATGACTGATACAATTGCCTTCCAATGGATTCAGTCATTCTATCGGCATACTAAAAGATATAGGAAGGGTCAATATACCCTTCTTATATGTGATGGATACGGCTCCCATCTAACACATGAATTTGTTAAATTCTGTGAGAAGACCAATATCATCACCTTCTTCTTACCTCCATATACAAGTCATTTCTTGCAGCCATTGGATGTTGGTGTTTTTCATGCATATAAGCACTGGCATTCAGAAGCAGTTGCAGATGCAACCTACTCAGAATACAGTAAATTTACTAAGGTTGAATTCCTTCATGCCTTAGGGGCAATTCTGCAAGAAGACATTCAAAAAGCGTACTATTCGGCATGGATTCCAAAAGACTGGCATCATACCATTCAATCCATCAATTGTACTCAATCAAATGCCTCAACCACATCATCCATCCTCTTCATCCACCAATACCAATGATGTTGATTCCTGGGGCAGTACGCCAAAAAAAAGCTGAATGATTTAGGGAGATTGGTGATAGGATATGGGAGATTCATGATATCAACAAGGATCAATTTAATGAGGGCCTAGAGCTGCTTATTCATGGTGGTAGTATGCTAGCATCATATTCAGCTGCTATCGAAGCTGAGCTTGACCGGTATATTAAAGCTGCTAGGGACCGCGCAGCTTGATCACAGGCCTCTAGGCGCAGGATTCGCAAGGGAGGCATAGTATCAAGCTCAGAGCTTGAAGCTATAAATCGAAATACTGCGAATATTAATGAGCAGGCTGAAATAAAGAGGTGGAGGACTAAGTATAAGCGTTGCCTACCAGAGCTGCTGGATGTATGCATTCGACGAGGAATTATTATACGAAGGCAACGACATGCTAGGGCCCAAGCTGAAGAGTAGAGCTTTAGTTTAAATATATTTTGAAGTTAAATACTATAGAATTCGTTGAGATATTGAAGCTAGAAGGGGGGTCTAAAATTGGTGCTCGGGTGGCTGGGGTGCTCGGGTGGTTGTCAGGGTCGCGCAATACGCGCGACCCCGAAGGTTACCGTAGGGGTCGGTTAATTATTAAGTATTACCATTAATAAGAGATATATTAGAAAGGATTAATAAGGCTATATGATTTATTATATTAAGCTTAATATTATTATATTTATAAAATTTAAATTATTAAAGATTCTAAGTAGATAAATGCTTTTCACACCTAATATAAGCATTTTAAATAGTCAGTTATATTTTTTTAATCCTATAAATACTGTTAACATCCTTCAACAATATATTAATTATTTTTTAAGATTTTTAAATAAATTTGTACCATATTGATATTATTTTAATATTTATTAATAGCTCCTTAAAGAAGTACCATATATGTATAATTGAGGTTTTACAATAGTTACAAGAAGCATAGTTATTAAATATTTATAAAAAATAAAACTCTAAATTTTAAAACAATCAATTTTTTAATTATCATAACTCATTATTAAAACCTAATCTATTTTACTATTACCTGCCATCTAACAAAATATTAAATTTATTGGTCATAAGACTAGCTAATTTAATTTCCCTATCAAGTATAAGTTAAAAAAAGCAGGGCCTCTAACTAGATATACCTTTATAAAGAGAATAAAATATGCCTATAAAAGATAATAATAAATAACACACAATATTATTACAGTTTAATAAGTTACAAAGCTTTTTAATAGTTATTTAGCTCCATATTTATTTAAAGGAGATCTTTTCCCTTTCTACTACTAATTTTATACGTAAATTAGATCCTCTAGCTATCCTTTAGGCTATTATTATAATTAAAAACAACAACTTAGAAATAGCTACTAAAGTAATGTAATAAAAGATGACTTATTTTCTTACAGAACTTTATCTTAAGGTCTCAATCTCAGAATATTTAATTAATAATAATAATGTCTTCTACTTCTATAATAGGAAATAAGTCTTAGATTTTAAATCTTTTTATATATAGGGGCGATTGTATAACATATTTATGATAGTTAAGCTTCAGACTATCTAAGGTGAGAGACCACTTATTTTTAAGTAGCGTGACAGTTTTTTTAGTCAAAAAATAAGCTATATTATATGTAGTCCTGTGACAACTACCCGCTAGATCATGTGACATAACGCTATCAAAATTATTAAAGAAACTAAGCCTAATACTAAAGAAAGATGAAGACTATTTAAGCCTCTATTAATTTTGATTTATTTTTAGAGAAATATATCCGGTAACCTTATTATTAATCTATTACAGTCTAAGGGGCCATAGGAATATTATAATAATTATTAATAAACCTTTTTAAAGAGTACTACTGACATTTATATAGTAATCAACATTAAGAACCTATCTGTGATGACCGTACCTGAGGTATGACCGTCAGCATGTGACCCTGGCACGTCTGAGAAGGTGCCAGCAGATTGAGCAAGTAGGCACAGGGCTAGGGCTGAGGGCAGGCAGCTGCCCTCGCCTCCTATTTCCTCACCACCACCACGTCTTTCACCTTTTTTCCTTTCCTTCTTCTCCTCGTGTACGATATTCCTAGATAGTACGGCCAAATAGCGAGTTGCTTTTCTCTTTTCATCCTATTATAGCTGATCGTCACACTATCTTTCGGTGCCAAGACTGCCAGATTTGAGCGGCATTTTTTGGCAGTTCAGGCACTGGGGCTAAATCAGAATGGATAATCAGCTAAAATTACGACTGGCAAAACACTGAAGAGTCAAACAAAACGAAACACCTAAATCTACCTGGGGTTCCCAGTACATCGTCACATAATCCATGATATGAACAGAGGACAAATGCAAAATATATAAAAATTCACAATACCAGGATGGTGAGACAGCTGCAATGTAAATAAAGCAGGCTGAGGAATCATACTCTATAGACCGCGATGTTATGGACCTTACCAGAATAGTTGCACGGCAGCCTATGGATAAGCCAGCAACATGCATAAGGAAGGTGTCATGCTGTAATGGAGGTATATATCGTTGGTTACTAGCTAGATAGGCCTACGTCGTGAAAAGGGTCAGCGAAGGCGGACATATACGGCAGAATCCCACGTGATAGAACATGCTGATATACCACCTCACGTGACCAGACAGATCATCAAGATGAACGTGACAGCACAATGAGATGACCCGAACAGGTTAGTAAGATGATGGAAGGAAGCATAAACGGGCTGTCAGTACCATCATGTATCTAGTTGATCTTTCTCTCTTCGCGTTCAATAAACATAAGTTATTGAAGTATCAACTCGGATACCTGTATTCGTCAGTACTCCTCTAATCCTAAGGTATACGTACCAAGGGAGCCTTGCTTCCTTCTACCTCTTGATTTACTCTTTGAAGATTGTCACAAGTGGAACGAGGCCTTTATAATACGACAGCGTTGTCGCCAGTTTCAGGGAGACCAGGTCAGTCACGCCAACCGGAAGCCCAAGCTAACGATACAGAGGTACGAAGGATTCAGGGCGTAATACATGACCTTTATTGAGTGGAAACTAAGGCGCGCAGTGAAGGGTACATTGTAGCCATCAGAAGGATGAGAATGCAGGATGGTCATAATACTGCAGGTAGGGCTGTTGTAAGATATGTAGCTGGGTCACCTACGCTTCCCCACAAGGCCAAAAAGACCACTACCTGTGCTCAGCGGATAGGACCCAGACCCTGCTTAAGTACGCACTGACGAATCCTGTAACTATAGCACTGTCACTATGGGGCTTGCCAGCGCTTGCAGCTGTGCTGGAGATGAGAGAGGTGTGAAACTGAGGGGGAAACAGAACATGATAGTTACAAGATTAGGAGGCTGGCTGGCCCTATATAGCAGTGCAGGATTGGATGGAGTGAGGGGAAGCATCGCAGTGGCACTTATAGGCATTTTGCTATCTGTACACTTTCTTACTCTTCTCATCTTCTCAGCCCCTATTGAGATGTTAGTTGCTTCGGTCCCTTAAAAGTAAAGTATGCATATGGAGGATTGGTTGATGCAAAGATAGACCTTGGTTTCCACTATATTGATAAGCATAATTTCTTAAAAGCCTATCTTACAATTCACTAATCAGTCTTCATATATACTAATATTCAAAGTGGCCTTGCTGCAGCTGGTATACAGCCTTTTAACTCTCAATAGGTCCTACCCAGGATGTCCGAACTACCTGGGAATTACGTTAGTGGTAACGGATATGCTCCATTAAATCTGGATCTGAATGTACTGATATTATGTCTCCATACCCAAATATCCCGTGACGGGTATGGTGGGTTCCGACGCAGGCCGTGGTTTAACACGAAACGTCCAACATACTACTAATAGAACATATGCATCATAGCCAGACACAGCCTACTAATGTGGCTGGAGTAACCGCTCCGAATGCCGAACTTTAGCTATAATATCCCGCAATCGGATCATAAATGTTGCCATGGTTTCGCCTCTTCTCTCAAGAGATGGTGAATCCTGATCAACCTTTTGGTGATATACCAAAAACTCATCAACAGTCGATAATATTGTTGGAAGCCCTTTGCCGTTTAGAGCTCGTCTGACGTTGTAACGCACATCGGTCTCCAAACAGAGGATAGTCAGGAGAATCGACAAATAACCGACCGCAACGTTGTGATTGACCTCGAGAACAGAATTAGCCTAAAAGTAAATCGTCAGATACCATTGAAGCAATTCCGACCTCGGTTTACCTCTGAAGTAGAGCCGATGCTCGACGTAAATAAAAGCAAGAGTACATGAATTAAAGACTCCGAATTGGATTCCGATCCCAAAAATATACGTCTGGACGATTCGCTCTCTTCGGTCAAATTGATTAGAGACCCAAGAGCCAATATAACCGTATCTAGCGAGGCATTTTGCCGGGTAAGGGGATCTTCAGACACATTGCTGAATTCAGCCACAACGGTCCTGACTAACTCTCCGACTAGATTAGGAGTAGCAAAATCACCGGCGAGTGAAGGATTGCTGTTGGTGACATTGAGAATCACTCGCATGTATAGTGTTGAAATTTGAAAGTTTCGGCCGCCGTGATACCCCTTCAGGGAAAGAAGACCATAGAGACGAGATAGCGGAAGGATAGCATTTTGATAACCATTTGCCAATGAGCCAGATATGAGAGTGTACGTTTCTAGGATAGAGAACCCCAAGGTCAGAATTTGAAGACGTTCAGTGGAAAGAGAGCGGTTTTCGACCCCAGAACGACCTTCCAACAACAGCAGGCCAACAAGCTGAGTGAAGAGTGATAAAGGTATGTTATCAATGTTGCAGCCATGCTCCTGAAGGGTTGATACAGTCAAATGGAGGCATCGGAGCGCCAAAAGCCGCGGGGATATCTGAATTGGTATTTGGTTTTTCGAGAGGCCAGAGCATAGTCGTGGCAAGATATCATAAATAGAGGCTTGAACATGTTTGGACAGGCCATAGTCCCTTCTTTTTGCTAATGTCAGGACATCATTTTCCTCATTAAGCAACCTAGGAGAGATATTCAAGATCTTAGACCAGAACGGGACAAAAAGGACCGAAGACAAAGAGCCACATGAACATATCAGTTCATAGGCACAGAGAGCAAAGGTTGCAGAAAGATTGTCGAGATGATCTGTGAGGTCTTCCATGAGCCGTTTGTCAAAACCATATTGAGCAAAGCAGCGGGCGAATTGGAAGTTTAAGAGCTTTTCACAAAGCTGTATAAAGCCACCACACCGACCGGATACTGAATTCTGCACATCTTCAATATCTTCAAAGATCGAATCCACTGACGCTATAAACCGGGCATTCTCACCAGCTTTTCTTAACTCATGGATACTTCTAACACTTCCCGTGCAATTATTGTCACTGTTTTCAACAGAGGAAGAGGCGCAGGGATCGATAGCGACCGTTGTATTTCCTGTAACGCGACCTGCCTGCGAAGGACCTGGGGAGCCCCCGTCACCTACATCACTCATAATAGAGATGTCACCCAGAAAAGATCGTTGACGTGCGTAAGTGACAGTAGAGCCTCGCAAATGGGATGATTTAAAAGAAGCCGACTCTTGTGAACTCGCCACAATGTCAGTCTCAGAACCTGAACAAGAGCTCTGAGAAGGTATGCATGGAGGCGCTTTTCTGCGAGTAGTATGAAAATCGGACAAGTCCACGGAAGTCAATCGACTCTCGATATTAGCGTCAGGTGATGGTGGGTTTTGAACAGGCTGGACATATGCAACTAGAGAATCTACCAACCTCTTTCGATTAGAGGATGTTTCATCTGGTGCACTTGTAGTACCTAAGGGCGAATCTGAAGGAGTAACGTCCCGAGCTTCCGGCCCTGATCGCTGGCTGAAAGCAAAGTCATTGGGTGCACTTCGTGGGATATCAAATTTCTGAATAGGTTGCTTGCATGACCCAGAGCCAGGGAGACTATGTTTAGACTCTGGGGTCTCAAATGACACCCTCTTAAAATCGGGGATTGGTGGAGCATAATTGTCGTGGTCCTTCCTTTGCTGCACCGCAGCCATAGTCTTGGATGAGCCTGAAAAAGTTTCTCTCGTATCCACATGAAACACGGGAGATGAAGATCGCCGAGAAGAAGCGTCGGCTTCACAGGAAAGCCTCTTTCCAGCTTGGGGCTCCTCAGACATGCATAACTTCCGTTTCCTCTGTGTGGATGCAGACGGATTTCTCTTGTCGCTCTCAGACAAAGATTCGGGAGTGTTTGGATCAGCAGAGTATGGGTTTACCAAGGTATATCTATGTGTTCTCAGTGATGGGGAACCCAATTTTGGATCTGCATTCTGAGCGAACCGAGGCAGTAGGGGGGAACTAGGAGTGACCTGCTTGTCCGGTTCTTCTTTTCCTTCGTGAATATTCATAGATCGTTGAGATCTTGTGGATTTACCGTAGGTCACAAGCCTGCGGCTTTGACCCATATTCGGAGTATCGTCTCTGGTAAGAATGATTGGGCGTGAAATACTATCTATACTACTTTTTGGAAACGAAGTGATAGTTACGTTGTCTGTCGGATGATTAATTATACCACCGCCTGAGTCACCGCCTACATTCTTATGGTAATATATAGTCCTCTGACCACAATATAGGCCGACAAATAGCCGATGCTACCGATTCATCTATGGACAATGGCCCCATTTTGACATAGGATTACATTTGTGGTTTAACCGCAACTTACTATCTCTGCGAGGGGCTCTCGTTTGCTTTCAAATTACAATGAAATAGAAATAGACCTTCAATTTTCATTTCAAGTACAATTCTCTGTACCCAGTAAATTCTGGGCGAAATGACGACCATCAGCCAGCCGGATGCAGTACCATTTTTATCATAGACGTAACGGAAACGTTGAGAGGGCCCATATAATCAAGGCAGAGACATTAGACACTCTCAAGGACCTGCTCCTTAAATTCCCGTTCAACCTTGTGTCCCTTATCATCAGTGGTCGACTCCCCGTGCAGATTTAGAAGAGCACCAAGGTCGAATTTGGGAGACTTGAGAAGTTTCACTTTACGGACGTGCACCTGGATGGCCATGTTAACTTTGCGGTCAAAACATATACAAGCGGGACACCAACATTTTGCAGCGGGTAGATGCCTTGGGTCGACTTTTCAATTTCACGGCCAATGACCTCCGGAATAAGCTTAGTGGTAAGCTGTGCTAACGTGCAGCTGGAAGCCTCGCGCTGCATGATTTCGGTCATCTTCTTTCGAATGGCGCGGATCTGAGAAGAGCGAGCGTAAGTGGTTTTCTTAATTTGGTTGGGACGCCTCTTCGTGAAAGCAATGCCAAACAGACGGAGAAGATAGTCGTCGGTAGTCTTGACTGTGACATTGGCTTCGATAAGGGTCTGCCACTTCCGGACAAGGGACCGCAGTTTGTCGGTAGTGAAGTCCAGGCCATGGAAGTTGGTTAGACAGTTTTTGCCTTGGATCTCATCCACACGAAGCTTAACCTTGCGGAAAGCATGGTCTTCGTCATTCTGCAGGTCAGCAAGAGAGACCTCGAAAATCCTGCCCTTCAAAGAGTCGTTTGCATTTTTGAGACCACTGGTCCGGTTAACAAGGGTCTTTCCAACGCTTCGTTTCAGTTAGCAGCCAATCGAGAAATTCTAGTCGGATTTGAGGAGCGTACTCTCGAATCTGGAAAGTTGAGGGTGCCTTGTGCTGGTCAGTACTCTGCTTTCAAATCTGCGACGGCATCCTTACCTTAACGGAGTATTCATCTTTCCTTGAAAAAGGATCAACAGTCCTCTTCTTCACACCCTTCTTGCCCTTCGACAAGCGCTTATTCCTGTAGAATATTAGCGACCGTCGTGACTCAAAGTTTATGTGTGTAGTGAAAAGCTTTGCATCCAGTTGGGGAGTCAATTGCAAGTGGTGAAGCCATGTCTTACTTTCCAACAGCCATGATTTCGAAACTCTAGCCTATCTTACAATGCTGGAAGACAGACGGTTGTAGCGCAGCACACGCTGTTGGCGTAGGGTTCGAGTGACGGGACTGCTGGCGAGTGTTGAAAACTAAATCCCACAGAAATTTGGGTTAAGCGAGGCGTTGGCCCTATCTACAATATTACATAATAAGAAATTGGCGCAACTATCACGTGATGCACAATGGTACCAATGGTACCGTGGACCAAGCTGTACGCCTTCCTGTGTATGACCCAGTACAGAGAGTGTACAATACAGTGTTATTATTATTATTAGTTAGGTAGCAAGCTTCCTCTGTTTAGCAAATCGGTAATATTGTAAGTGCAATACAAATACTCAAGCAGAGAAGAGTGAGTATAAATGAAAAATGACAATTCCACAAAAACATCAAATCATTAACAGATACCAATCACGTGACAATTATAGTTCTATGACGGAGTGGATTGTATTCCTGGGCAGTTCAAGTGTCTATTATTACCTAGGGCCATAGAGTCTAGACTAGACTGTACGTCAGTACAGTTGTACGTGTTTTAGGCAGTACACCGCGCTGTGTTTCCTTTGCTGCATCTACGTTGTGTGGAGCAACAGATCTTCCTTCCAGAAACCAAGCATGGTATGTGTTCTAGTGGGACAATATTTTTTCCTCTGTCTTCTCTTGCTGATATTTGATTCCAGGGAAAGCGGAAGAAGTCCAGCAGACAGCCACAACAACCCAAGAAGGTACATACCTACAAGTTCCGCAAGGTTGTTTTTACTAACATTTGAAACCAGAGGGAGCCTCTCCCAACGACATTCCCATGTCTATTTTGTAACCATGAAAATTCTATAGTGGTTAAACTTGATAAGAAGTTGGGGTTAGGCAATCTATCGTGCAAGGTGTGCGGACAGCGCTTTCAAACAGGCATTAATTGTATGTTCGGTCTTCTTACTTTCATTTGCTGCGACTAACTTCCTTCCTAAATCATCTCAGATCTTTCTGCTGCCGTTGATGTATACTCCGACTGGGTTGATGCTTGTGATGCAGTCGCAAAAGATACGGTAAACAAGTATGAAGAACATGGTGTTCATGGTATTCGTGCACAGGACCATCATGTTTCTCCAGAGCAGCCTGACTCCCTGACCCGTGTCGATGAGGATCGATATGCTAATCTGGACCAATATTGACATCACAATCACAACGCTAGCGTATGGATTTGCATTCAATACATTGATGTTTATATATCCTTCTGCGGCGCAAAGATTCACGACCATAGATCAGATACGGTAATATATTGAAACCGTAACCTATATATACACTGGATCGCAAAGAATTGCAATGGACATGTTATTAGTTGATATCTTTGGTTTAACAAATCCACTTGGCAAGAATGCAGGAAACCCCTCTCAAAGATGTAGACTTTATTTGATTGCCATAAAAAGGACCTAATTCAGGTAGTAATAGCCCTGGCTTATAGATCAATTCCTGTTGTAAAAAAGCACCCTAGAGTGTGTAATATCGATCGCCGAAGTCACCGAGGCCAGGAATGATATATCTGCAAAATATCAGAAAATAGAGTGTAAGCTCAATGGGGGAGGTAATGGCTTACTTTTTCTCATCCAAACCCTGGTCAATAAATGCAGAAACAACTCTTAGTTTTGGGAAGCGTTGAGCAAAATCTGCAACGCCAGATGGACTTGCGATGAGATTAAGAAAGAGAATGTGGTCTTCCGGCACACCTTTTGCCTTCAACACTTCCACAGCGAGTGTTGCAGAGCCGCCTACGCTGAGTTAGATGTGCGTCACGGTAGCGGACAGGGATGAATCTCCTCTTCTCTTTCTGAAAGAAAGAAAAAGAACCTGGATCTTACCAGTGGCAAACATCGGATCAAGGAGAAGAACCCATCGTTGAGCAATATCAACAGGCAGTTTTTCGTAAAACAGTTTAGGCTTGCAGGTTTCCTCATCTCGTTGGATCAATATCTTCCCGATACGAACTGACCGACAACAGTCTCGCAACCCTTGCTCCATAGCTTCTCCAGCTCTCATAATGGAGACTCCACATATTTTCCCTTGGAATTTGACGCCGAGGTAGGATCGACCAACAGGTGTCGTTATAGAATGTTCGACAACAGGGAGATGATTCAAACCTTCTTCCACCAACAGACGAATTATTCTATTCGAATAAAAAATAAAATCAGCGCGGCCGGTTGTTTTGTCTCTGATCATCCTATTAAAAGATCAGCGGAACATCTTCCAAAGCAGATCCGTAATCGGGGTGATCCAGTGGTTTGTAGAATGTGAACCTGGATACATCACCTATCCTTACGTTAGAAGTGCAATCAATTGAGGTGTCTGTGGTAGAACATGGACATTATCATAAGGTATGTCCTTGGATACTGTCGCAGTTGGCTTCTCTCCGTCAGGCTTGTAGATGGGCCCTACACCTTGGGCAGGGGAAGGAACGGGTTCTACACTTGCTCCAGTCATATTTGTTGACTGTTGCGTGTGTATCCTGCTGACTCAAATTGTCGCCAGTCCAATTTAGATTGATTGTTGCAACTGTAATCGTCAGCAAAGTTAAAAACTCTAAAGAGAAAGAGAAAACCTTTTATTAATAGTTACATAGTAGTTGCGCTATGCAACGGAAAGATATGGATGGGACCTAGTAAAGTTCGTTATGGCTCGACCGTCAACTACTACTATCTACATTACCACCCGCATGAAGGACAGGAAAAAAAGCTTCAGCAACAACAATAATAATATCTATTACTTTGGAGTCTGTAAATCTTATTTTAATATGTCTAGTCAACCACTACTAACCCCGCATGACTGCAGCAATCGATAATTAATTAGATATTGTAATTTGGCTGCTATCGATTGCCGTACGGATACATGACTCATTATTTCCAAAAATTTTGGCAAACTCCCCACTTTAAAAAGGACCCAACTCCCTCTTCAGACGTACACTGATATTACTTGGTTGGGTTTATACATTTGTCCTCTACCCTCAATCACCAGTCTTAACTATGGCATTCCCAGCTAGACATACCAACAACTACCAGAGTGAATTGACCCTGCAGCAAGTTTCGCAGAGAACCTTGTCTACATCTCCTACTTCTTTCCATTCCCCGCCATCCAGTTATGGGGCTTCTGCCTTGACCGGCGGCGCAATTTCACTCGCCAATGCAAAGCATTTGAAGCCGTTTGCTACGGAGGATATCAAAGTTTTGCTTTTGGAAAATGTAAACCAGACCGGTAGAGATATTCTTTCGAACCAAGGCTACCAAGTGGAGTTCCTGAAATCGTCTCTTCCAGAGGACCAACTCATTGAAAAGATCCGGTGAGTTCCTTCATCTTCAAAAGACTTCTCTGGCTGACGGGTGTGATAGAGATGTACATGTCATCGGTATTCGCTCGAAGACAAAACTGACAGCTCGTGTGCTGAAGGAGGCACGAAATCTCATAGTTGTGGGCTGCTTCTGTATTGGGACCAATCAGGTGGACCTTCAATACGCCGCTGACCATGGCATTGCTGTTTTTAACTCACCATTCAGCAATTCTCGCAGCGTTGCTGAATTGGTTATAGCCGAGATAATTGCCCTGGCGCGACAGTTGTGTGATCGTTCAAATGAGTTGCACAATGGTACATGGAATAAAGTGAGCAGCAAATGCTGGGAGATCCGAGGAAAGACTTTGGGTAATATATTCGCGGAACCTTTACCTTTTTTTTTGTTTTCGTTTCTCCTTTTATTTTTATTCTTGCTAAAGAATAGTACAGGAATCATCGGATACGGTCACATAGGCTCCCAACTGTCAGTCCTGGCAGAAGCTATGGGCATGTCTGTTATTTTCTATGATGTAGTAAATCTTATGGCCATGGGAACCTCTCGTCAAGTACCGACTTTGCAAGCTTTACTCGAGGAATCAGATTTCGTGACCTGCCATGTTCCCGAACTTCCAGAAACAAAACGTATGATAGGGCAACAGCAATTGGAACAGATGAAAAAAGGAAGCTATTTGATAAATGCGAGCCGGGGAAGCGTCGTGGATATCCCAGCGCTCATCCATGCTATGCGGTCCGGCAAGATCGCAGGTGCTGCACTAGATGTGTACCCAAACGAACCTGCCGGGAATGGCGATTATTTCAATGATAGCTTAAATCCTTGGGCGTCGGATTTGCGCAGTCTCAAGAACCTGATATTGACCCCTCATATTGGGGGTAGCACTGAAGAGGCACAGAGTGCTATTGGCATTGAAGTGGGCCAAAATCTGGTGAGATACGTAAATGAAGGTATAACTTTAGGCGCCGTCAACCTGCCCGAGGTAAACCTTCGTTCCCTGACCATGGATGAACCTGATCACGCGCGCGTAAGTATATCCTATTCGATTCTCCTTTTTTAGTTAGACAGGCTGAACTTCCTCATAGGTAATTTTCATTCATCGAAATGTTCCTGGAGTTCTGCGGAAAGGTAAGACTTTTACATGCTGTACATTGTTGAAGTTGATTGCTAAGAGTTCAAAGTGAACGAGATTCTTGGAGACCATAACGTCGATAAGCAAATGACGGATAGCAGAGGTGATGTATGTATCCATCTACATTTATTTGGAGAGGGAGTACTGATAATAGTATTTAGGTGGCCTACCTCATGGCCGATGTAAGCAGCGTCGATACAAGTATGATTAAAGACTTGTATGAGAGACTCGAGAGCCTTTCGTGTATGGATGTTATTATTACCGCATTTACTTACCAAGGCCGCTAACACTTTCTTAGCTCGTATCATGACTCGAATTCTGTACTGAACGTGAGGAGGGAAAGAGACCAAATGCTGCTTTCTACAAGCAGATTATTACATGGTCTCAGGGCACCGTATAGCTGGAACACAGAACATGTGTACGGGCAAGAACCGTGTCTTCTCTCAAAAGATTTGCAATTCAGAGATGAGAGCAAGATCTCATCGCACTGTGCCGTACATATGCAAGACTCAACTTCTTGGAAAAAATGAAATTGCAGGCTCTGGTAGATAGTCACGGCGTTTATTTCTTATGAAAAGCTTAATGTTTAAGAATTTATATCCAGTGTAGGACCTGGGATATCGACCAAGGTCTAAACAACACATTGCAAGCTAAGTAAGTTGCAAGGTTTGAAGTGAGAAGAGCTATTAGCCATAGAAGCGCGAGACATTTGATTACTACGTCCTGTCCGACAATCCGCTCTCGCGTTTGGGATTAGGACTTCTACTTCGTCTACTAACCGCATGGTCTCGGTCGTAATCGTGCCTGCTGATCTGTGAGTACCCCAAGCTTCTCTCGTATCGATATGTTGCATACCTTGAACTGTGGTCGCGCCGTCCTCGCGCTCTTTCTGTTATGCGATTATAACTTGGAATGTAAGAATCCGTATTTCCATCCAGTCTACCACTGTGACGACCCTGATGAGTCCTGTCTCGTCGCCAGTCAGACCTCTTGTCGATGAATTCTCCCTGACGCCCACCTGGTGGTTGAGTAATGGCAACAGTAGGGTTGGGAGGGGGACCCCCGTCCCTTTGCCAGGAATAGAATTGATTTAAGCCCTCGATACCACGCTTCGGATACGACCCAAGATTTTGACCGTCCGGTGCACGAGATTGACTTCCGTGATTACCATAGACACTTGGGTGGTCGGCACGAACTGCCCCAGGAATGCGACTAGCCTTGGACCCCACACCCGTGCGACCCCCTGAAGTTGTCGTCCACTCCCCGTTAGGGCCTATTCCCACCGAACCCCCAGCTGGTGCGGGGGGCACAGCTGCTTTTTGTCCACGAAATCTCCTCCTGTCGAACTCATGGGAGTCCTCAAACCGGGGTAATTCACCAGGTTGCGCCGGTAGTGGAGGGCTCGAAAAATAAGGGTGTCTCAATGCATCGTTAGCATTTATTCTTTTCCGCCAATCGAGTTTGAGCAACTCGCTAAGTAAGGATATAGCCGTTGCTGATTGCCTATCATATTGTGACATAAATCTTCAGGTCAGCCTTCTCTATTCTTCGCCTGGAGGAGCTAACATGCAAAGGAAGAACTGCAGGAGTAGCCTTACTCTCTAAAAGCTTCTTTCAGATTTCCAGGCTTGTATCCGAAGTCCTTCACACCTTCACAACCTGGAAGCGACCTCCATCCTGGCATGTTTTCATCGGTTGGCGTGCCAACAAGGTTGAAAATTAGTTGCGCCTGGTTAAGGTCGCTACTGCCGGTGAGGATTGGTTTGCCCTTGAACATTTCACCAAAAACACACCTGCACTGGTCAGTCCAAACCAAGAGTCACTTGACAATGGGCATGAAGTTACCCAACACCCCACATATCTATTGCTGTCGTATAACGTCGAAGCTGGAGAAGTAGTTCTGGAGGACGATACCATCGCGTAACAACGAGCGTCGTATAATCTCTTTTAGCCTCCCCACAGCCCTTTCCAGGTTGGGGAGGTGGCTCGTCGTATGGCCGAGCCAACCCAAAATCCGCAATCTGAAGTATGCCTTTGTTATTGATAAGAAGATTTGCGGCTTTATTTTTAAAAAAAAATTAGTCGAGGAAGTTCAATGTCGCTTTGCGAGCCACATGCCTTTCATATCGCGATGCAAAATGCGATTCTACATCTGTCAGAAACGATCCAGTGAACGGAGGGGGGAATATTATACTTCATGTAAATATCGAAGCCCTTCAATGAGCTGCAACATGTAGCATTTGATTTGAGGCTCCGTGAAATGAACAGCCGGATTTTCCAGGAGTCCAGAAAGATCATGTTCCATGTATGGTGTAACCATATACATACTCGGCTTCTTTCGCCCTTCACCTAGGTCTGTCGTTAGCAGACAGTATTGGCGAAGAGGCATCTACAGCCCACCTTTGCTTCTTTCGACAGCCATCTCTTTAAGTTGTAAGATGTTGGGATGCGACAGCATTTTCAGAAGTTTAATTTCACGGAGAGCAGTTATTGGGAACTTCAGAAAAGAGCCGAAAAAGAATAATCAGATCATCATTTCAGTGATAAGAATGTGGCATACTCACCCCATCTTTCTCATTGTGCATGAGTATTTTCTTCAGAGCAACGATGGACCAGTCCTTTTTAGACCTTGCCTTGTAAACCTCGCTGGGAGAGTTTCAGCAGACTGAATTGTTGACAATACAAAGCATAAAGGAATAACTCACCCAAAGGTGCCTTCCCCAAGCTTTCCTAAAAACTCAAAGTCGCGAATGTTCGAGCAACCGTGGAATCTTGTATGGCCATTGCTGTCTCTTTCCAAAGAGGTCCTGAGGGGTAATGAAACTGATAGAGCCATTTCTTCCGAAGTCTGGATGCAAGGAGTACATAAACCTTGTTTATTAAGAGCGCTGGCCACGCAAGCCTTCAGAATCACTAGAGACGTTAAGTCAAAGGAGACGGTGCTGCTAACTTAAGAAGTATATAGAAGCACAAGTATAACGAGGCATTTTGTTATTATAGAATAAGCATGTTAGGCAGCAAATATTCACGAAAAAAGATAATGTAATGAACTGAAAGGAAATATAGGTGAATAAGAGTATTGATGTACTCGGAACTCCACAATGCTGCATGGTTTGCAAGCATACAGCGGACAGAGTAATGAAGCCTCCCAATAATCTTGGCTGTCATGTGACGATAAGAGCTTCCGGGGCAATATTAAATGTTTCTTCGAGCGAGATCGTGGTTTCTCCGCGGTTAGGAATTTACCCCTATCCAGATGAGCCAAGCTAGAGCATGAAAGGAGATAGATCTCCGTATTGTAAATATTAATATTACTCTGGAGTCCGCACTTCAGAAAGCTTCAATCTTCTCTTCTTACTTAGGTTAGGATTGAGGCTTGAATGTGTGGCTTAGACATCCAGTACCCACTTGAAGGGAGCCACAGTTCAACTTCACTCGAACCGCCTGTCTGCCATTGCCTTCCAATCTAAGAACCTCATTACCACCAGACACCCGCGATGTATGCAGTTTATTCCCCATAAGATTGACTTTTAGTTGCTAATGCTTTAGCTCATAGAAACATGTCTGGAAAGCACCCCGTTCACATCCATCCCGCGCGACCTTTCTATCGCTTTACAGCTACGGCATTGGGCGCTAGCATGTGGTTTTTTGTATGAAAGCTTCCAGGGAGCAAGATATACCTTGAGATGCATGTTTGGATTTTTGCTAACTAGGAATTTCGGTTGCGCAGTTACTGTACCGAGCTAAAAAGGATGGCCCTGCCCTACTGGGTTGGAAGCACCCTTGGGATCATTGAACACTAGGCCGCATCCAATTCATCACTAAATTTCTTCGGCTTTGCGATCGCCCATTCAAAGAATAACATGGGGAATTACGGCCGTGAGGACCGGATGGGCTACATGATATTCCGTGAAGACTGAAGACTGTCGTCAGAGAAAGTATGAGGATTGGTTCAGCTTTGGACTTCATACTCTAGGCTGAATCAGACATATTATGCCGCATTTTATCAATTTATTTTTCTTCTTTATAACTTGCCACGAAAAGGCCAGTAAATATACTCAATGTATATGACATCAGCATAGAAGCATTGCGCGCTTTCCTTTACACGAGTGTCGTATTTGTACACATGCCATTGACAACCTGCCCTCTTTGAGACGTCACTTCCTTACCTCCACATATCGTCGAGCAGCACCTTATATTGGCGACGCTGTTTGCGGTAATTTGGCCGAAAGAGGGTATATGAGCGCCCCAGCAGTCGAGATAAACTCGGAAAGAGTTTGCGCTCTGCTACCCAGGAAAACAGAAAACCGCCAATTGCGAGTACAAATAGCCAAAATTTGAAATGCCCAGACAAAAAAGTTAGCTGCATGACATCGGCCAGCCACCTGGAGGGTTCAAATAGCATATAGCTTATGAAGGCCAGGTCCATTATTATCGTACAAAGGAGAGGCACTACTGGCCATTAGCGAAGCCTGAGAAAATCGAGCAGGGGTTACAGACTGTTAGATGCCACTGAAGTACGAAATGGCGGTCCCACGCTGAGAACAAGGCTCATAAACACATATTGAAAGCAGGAGGTTAAGAACAAGCTGGTGTTGTCGGAATTTTCGATATTGGCATTCTCTAGATCTATGCGAGGAGGCTTGTACCTGGCATAACAGTCAGTTTACAAGTATAGTTAAATGGAGCTTATACTTGACAACTCACCATGGCTGTAGTTGAACAGTCTTGTAGGTAGTAAATTGTACCAGAACACAAATCGCAATTTGCCCAAGTAATGGAACTAGCACCTTGCGTGAGACAAGGTTGGCAGTCGGACGTTTCCTAGAAAGCATAGGACAAGGGCCAGTCCACCCCACTTTCAAGATACACTGGTTAACTAGAAGGTCAAAGAGAGAGATGCGCAAATTGGGTACTCACTGAAAACCGCAATCGGCAAAATTATTAATAGATCGATGAAAAGAAACTAATTTAGATTAGTATTAGCTCAGATTCTCACCAGAAAAAACGTACCTGGAAATCGCCCAGATTTGATGCCGACGTATACAAAAAGCTGACTGAAGTGAATTGAATTGCTGAATAAAGGCTCATATACTTGAAACAACAGAAACTTGTTACCAAGGCAGCTCGGCCTTCTCTATATGTGAAATGGTCAGCAGTCACATTCTCCGAGGACAAAATTGAAATGGTAAATTTACTTAATTAACGTGGGAACACAAGATATGTCGAATATCCGGCTTGTGAACGGTGCAGCCACGGATGCTTCAGCATCTGATAGCGATATGCCAACATCTGCGGCCTTCAACGCGCCACAGTCGTTTGCGCCATCTCCGCAAAATCCACAGCAGTAGTCCAGAGACTGAAGCTTCTGAACGAGTTCGTGCTTTTCATCAGGTGACATTCTGGCAAAAACTTTCCCACACACAAGCATCTGAATATCATATGTTAGTCATGGAAGCAACGCCATCTATCCAGAATGGAAGAATTCATACCCTTCTCAAAACATTCTCGTTACCAAAATCCACTATCCATCTGAACACATCACCACTGACAGCAACTGAGTACTTGCGCATGTTGTAATTATTGTCAGGTACAGCCAAATCTACGATGGCTGACATACATAATGGCTGCAAGGCGTCAGTCGAAACGAAATCCACAAATGAAAAGCATGGGAATCTATTACCATCAGAGTGTTTCCATCAAGCTCAAGTGTTGGGTTATCAATAGACACCCATTGAAGGAAAGGCTTTCCATCAAAATTGGGATCTATATCATTGATTAGATAAAGCGTTTAAAAGAGGAAAAATGGACGAAATGAACCTTCTACAAAGTGGGGGATGAAACAGTGTTCTCCTTGTTCAATCAAGCCACATTCACGAGCAACACTGACTGCTGTCAAAATATTATCACCAGTACACATAATATTATGTATACCTGCTTGATTTAGCTCAGTGATCACGCTAGCAGTGGTTGGTTTCAGCTTATTCTCAAAAATGATGAAGCCAAGAAATTCCAAACCACATTCAGCTTCTTCACGGCTCATCTTTTGCACCTTCATCCAATTTAGTTTCTGCTTATATTTCATGGCGCAAGCTATGACACGATAACCTTTATGTGTGTATTGACTCAAGACTTCTTCAAAGTCAAGTGGTACTATGAGAACAGTTAGCTGCTTAGGTTCTCAGTCCATCCCAAATGTGTGTACTGACAGCTTTCTGGCAGGCATATAGCCCTCACACTTTCAGGTGCCCCCTTAACAAAGAAGCTGACCCCCCCATCACCAAATTGTTTAGCAATGACACTTGCACGGCGCAGTTCAGGGATAAACTCAAAGCTCCGTAGGATTCCAAGCTCCAATCCAGCCTGCCAGCTTACTATTAGTGTTTATGCAAGGATTATTTTGAACAAAGACCTCGCGTTAGATTGGCGCAAATCGTGTCGGATAAGCGACAAGATAAGATATGGTGAAAGAAGGAGCTCACATGTGTATTGCACTGTCCACAGTTGCTAATATGATAAGGTGGTTTTGCAACTGACGGTACTATGGTATCATACTTGATATTTTGCTCGAGAGTACGACTTTCCCCCTCCTGATATGACCAGCCTGTGAACTGGAACATCTTCACATCAAGAGGGTCACCCAAGAGCTCATTATCGACGACTTTCAAGGAATGACACGTTGCCATGGTATATACGATGTTTTTATGCTTCTCATAATCGTAATTTGGGTCCACGGAAATATCACTAGCCGCAACGGAAGGCCTTGACACGAGATCGGAGAACCTGTGATTCTCTCAGTAGTGGCTCATGTTCAATTATCAAGAATAACCTGACCTCATATCACGCCCTATAGTTCGTACTCCAAGTACATCCAAGCCATCCTCTGTTAGAGTTCCTGTCTTATCAAAGCACACAACATCTAGTTTGCCGCCCACATTAACCCTGGAATCGGTTAGTGCCAAAATTGATGTAGAGATTCAATTCGCTTACTTCTGTGGTGTAATGCAAAATATTTGTCTGCTTTTGAGTCGTGACAGTGCAAAGTTCGTGCCAATGGTCAACGTCGCTGGTAAAGCCGGCGGCACAACGATCGTGATCAAGTCAAGAGCTCTGACGATAATAATGTGCCACGGGAGCTTCTGATCATCAGCAGGTGCTACATTCGATGACTTTGTATAACTTACTCCTAGCCGAACGAAGTTGACAAACGACGCCACGAAACCTAGAACAGCAATTGCGCCCATTACGGATATATAGCGAAACGAGTCCCGATAAAACCTGAAACCAGTTGGTTTCGGCAATATCATTGAGCGAACTAAAGCCCCTTTGGTTGTTAAAAAGCCCGTTCTCACGACTATCGCTAATGCAATAGCTTCATCATCACCGACATCCTGTGGTCGCCGGGAACGGATAATTTTGGTTCCGCCGAAAAGGAAATGTTTTGCAACATTAGGATGAATTGAGGGTTCATCAAGGTTAAGATATCCCAGAGCATCATCTGTCAAAGGCACCTTTGACACAGGAACAGATTCACCTTGAGCCGTGTTAGATTCTCTTTAACAAGTGCAATGGAGCTCCAGATACAAACCTGTGAGCATGCTTTCATTCACAATACAATCCCCTGATAGCAATAAGCAGTCACAAGGAACCTGAGTTAACGAGGGATCAGAGAATTCGAAGACATCACCAGGAACTAGCTCTTGGGAAGGAACAGATCGCCCTTGAAAGTTAAATGTTAACGAAGAAACCAATACTGAATTGATCCATAAATCCAGTTTGCTACAAGGCAGGCTCGACTCACAAAATCCATTCCGAAGAACACGAACGAAACATTCAAAGTGTGATATCTCTCTTAGTCGTTGCATTGTCTGGTTTGCAGTTAGTAGCCAGCATTCAACAACTGCAATCTGAAATAGCAACGTACTGATCTAGTCTCAATTAGAGTAGCGCCAATACTAAAGACTGAAATGAGGAATATGCAGACAGCATAATAGTAATACTCATCCAACGACCAAAGAACGAGACTGGCAATTTGGAAAATATAGAAAGGATGGAAAGCCTTTTTTCTGTCAGCCGACGATGAAAACAGACAAGATTGGAGTCATAAGGATTTACTTACCTCATCAGCAAGAAGTTGAGGTACTGACTTCTGTTTGATGTCAATAAGATTTTTACCGAAAATGCGTTCACGGCTATCGCGATCATCGGCGTCTAATCCTCCTCGCATAACCTTCGTATTTGTCCATAATGAGTCTTTCCACCCACTTATCAGAAAGAGTCTGTCTTCCAGTGGATGATAAAAAAACCGTAGATATCTATAATCAACATGCCGCAAGCATGTAATGACCGGATCATTATCTTCGTCGTAATGTGTAAAGTGTCTCCGCGATACCGGGAAGACCGTGGAAATTGGGCGTCCGTAATTCTGGCTAGAAACCGTATGGAGAGTGTAACCGTTCCATTGATCCTGCCAACCTTAGGTGAAAATGAACCCGCAATAATTGTGTTTTGTTGCTCACCTCGATTGCAATCCATTGGCATTTCCAGAATGGGGTCGGCCTCCCAATAAGTCGTGTCCGCCATTTCGGAAACCACCTTAAAAAGAGATACCCGAGGCCGAAAGTCACAATACATAGGCTCGCATAAAGAATTAAACCTCCGGTACTGGTACAGAAGCCAGAGAAGACAGCAGTCAAATCTTCGGACTCGATGTATATCTTTTGGTCGCATCTGCTACCTGTCTTGTGATCCCCGGTATACAAATTGGTAGAAAACCCTCGAGGGAGAAGAGGCTCTTCTAGGGAGCCACTGGGGTAAGATAATCTCTTGGACCCAAATGAAGGTCTGGCACTCTCTAGGCTCGGGCCAGCAAGACTATCTGCAGATTCTCGAGTAATATCACCTTCGACTTCCATAGCATCTTCCGTTGGCCACTCAATGGAATCATCCTCATTTTGCAAATAAGTCAAACTACCTGTCGAGTCTTGCCGGCCTCGACGATGGATAAATGAGACACTGCTAGATGGAATACTCTCCGAAATAGGTCCATCAAAAACCTATTGAGCGTTAGAGTGCAATTTAACCCTGTAGAGGGTTATACCTGCTGGAAAAGCCCGACATACCTCATTGCGAGCCATCTCTACGTCTGACACAAGGCTAACGCTATAAAGTGTCAGCACCACCAGAATTACAATTAACTGGGATACCAGACAACCTGCTCCTTATAGAGCTGCGTCGATTGCCAATACTCGACGCAGGCCATTCTCCAGCAAATTGACCCTCCGAAACTGATCTCACGGAATGCTCCATGGTGTAGCGGGGGGATATATAGATAAGCGAGGTTTGCTCGGTCTTGCTTATTGGTATTAACCACTTAAAGCAATTTTCATCAGGTATGATTTGTTGAAAGGCAGTTTATGAAAATGGAATCTTCGAGGTTATTGTTGAAAGGACAGGATAATCATTTCAAATGATACAGCGTAGAGAGGCGCCAGAGAAGGTCCAGAGCGACCAATGTGCAGAACGCATCGGGATATCTATTATCTTCACGTGATGGATTAAATAATCACCATATATGGTTTAGTCCCGCACTAATAATGTTGGGGCGTGCAGTCTTCTAGAGGTCCTCAACGCCCCCGTCCCGCCAAGGCTCTCGGTCCAAGGGCGCTAAGAATCCCACCGTAATTATTATTCCAGACCTTTCAAACCAACCTTGGAAGATATCAAATTCTGTCTCAATCTCACATCCCTCCCCTCTTCCCTTCCTCCTTTGCAACAACCACCAGTAACGCGTTTGTTTTTGCTATATTCTTGTTCATTTGAGATATCCTCATTATGTCCGAGCCTATCAGAAATAAAAAGGCGGATTACCCGGTCGCTCCGTAAGTATCAATACCTACCTAGCTTCCATCCACCACGTCGCCCTATAATGCGACTTCTCATGATCCGATTATTGACAGGCCTTATTCCACAGAACGCCTCAAAATACGCCAGCAAATAACGCTCCCATTTCATCCCATGCTCAGCAACCAGGAGTCTCGAGCATCCAAGAAGGTAACCAGAGTCTCTTGTCGATTTTATGCATGTCATTTTCCGCCTCTTTAACACCCGCTTTCCTCTACAGAAAACTTTGACCGTGTTACGGCAGCTTCGCTCTTTGCAAGGAACCCCGGCCTAGTATCTATGATCCAGGGGAAGTTGGGATCCCTTGTTGGTCGTTCTTCTGGATACATAGAATCTCTTCCCGCTCCAGTCCGCCGCCGTGTCGCTGGTCTGAAAGGTATTCAGAAGGAACATGCAAAGCTGGAAGCCCAATTTCAGGAAGAAGTCCTGGAACTGGAAAAGAAGTACTTCGCCAAATTTACCCCGCTGTATCAGAAGCGCTATACAATTATCAACGGGACAGTTGAGCCTACTGATAGTGAAGTCGAAGCTGGTAAACAGGATGAGGAAGAAGCTGATACTAAGGAAGGGGAGACCGAAGCAAAGGAGCTAGATGAGGTCGAGCCCGCGGCCGCTGGGATACCCGAATTCTGGCTCTCTGCCATGAAGAACCAGATCTCCCTTGCGGAGATGATAACCGAACGAGATGAAGAAGCTCTTAAGCATCTCACGGATATTCGTATGGAATACCTTGACAGGCCAGGATTCCGTCTTATATTTGAATTCTCGGGGAATGAGTTCTTTACGAACAGGACCATTTCAAAGACATATTTCTACAAGGAGGAGAGTGGTTATGGTGGTGATTTCATCTATGACCATGCCGAAGGTGATAAAATCGACTGGAAAGCAGGAAAAGACCTTACTGTTCGTGTCGAAAGCAAAAAGCAGAGAAACAAGAGTAAGTTTCAAGGTGCGTTTTACACAGACGAATGCTAAGCCTAAATTCTAGATACGAAGCAGACTCGCGTTGTTAAGATAACCGTGCCAACCGAATCGTTCTTCAATTTCTTTTCACCTCCTCAGCCCCCAACTGACGATGACGAAACGGTTGCTACTGATATTGAGGAGCGTCTTGAACTTGATTACCAACTTGGTGAAGACATCAAGGAAAAGCTAATTCCCCGTGCGATTGACTGGTTCACTGGCGAGGCTCTTCAATTTGAGGAGCTTGGGGAAGGTATTGATCAAGATGAGTTCGATGATGAAGATGAAGAAGACGAAGAAGACGAAGATGGCATGGGATCTGATAGGGACCTTGATGATGATTCTGAAGAGGAAGTAAGCGTTAACCTTTTGATGCCATTGGAAACAGGATCTTTTTGTCCAGTTGCTGACTTCTAATAGGATGGTGACTCAAAGCCGAAGAAAGAGGCAGCGGAATGCAAACAAAGCTGAGATTTCTATAAGGCGTAGGGGTCGGTAGAACTTTGCGCTTCACTGTCAAAATCTAGACTGGATCGCAACCGTTATTCATTTGACGTTTCTTATGTTCTCTTTGATCGCCTTTCTTGTCTTTCATTACTTTTCCCCGGTGGCAACCAGTGGGTGGAAACCAGGATTATTCACCAAATTATTACCTGTCCCGACTAATTGCCTTGTTTTCCCCAAGTACCATGCATGCTGTCAGTGCTAGAGCACAGCGTGCGTAATGGTTCCTCTTATCATCTTACGTGGATGACATGGTATGGAGAATCTGTATGGGCCGTGGCGCTGAACTCCCAAACTGAAACATACTGCTCTTTCGTCTAATGATTTCTCATTGCACTCAAACTGTCAATCCTATTCAGTTTCGGTTGAACACCTACCCCGCGTCAGACACCAGCATTTGCATTTTAGTAATAGATATTGAGATTAAACTCCGTGTGCAAGATTCTTGCAACCTCGTTTTTTTTTTTTTTTTTTTTTTTTGTTGTTGTTGTTGTGGAAATAAGCTACTATCGAAGTACCTAGAAGATTGATCTTGTCCTTGACTTAAGTTGCCAATATACGCTGTAGTATGTACATTCTGTATATACAAATCCTCTATTTGTTGACAATTATTAATGTTAAGTAAATGGGGCACAATAAACTTTCAGGCATCGTGGTTTATCAAGACGTTGGATTTAGTCGTGCCATGAAAAGTGGACATGCTGATTCCTGTCCGAACTCACCAAAGGAACTGATAGTACTCCACAGACTAGGTAGATATCACTCCGCGTAGGCAATAAATAATAACCAATATAAAGTACTGAACCGAGGGGGAGAACACTATACCAATAGTTCAGTATAGAATAGAATATGAGGTTCATTCATTCTTTACATTTTGATAATAACCTTCATTGTTACTAGCCGTTGGGGTTGTTCCGAAGTGGCGGTCCCGGAGCATCTCAGGGGCTGCGGCTCGCTAATGGGCTGCTGCTACTAGCCACTTCAGCACTTCTTATTTACTTTCAGTCAGTTCAAATCCATGCATGTCTAAATCTAAAGCTCAGGCGCGTATGCTGGCTGAAAAGAAACCGGTTCTTTCAACTGCTCGGTATTGAGCCATCTGGCTTGTTCCTTATTTGTCTATAAATGCTTGTTAATTTCCAGCCATACGATTCCTTGATCTCCCCCAACTTCCCTCTTGCCAACTTCCCTTGAATCGAGATTGGAGTACCTGCATCAACGTCGCCTCGATGGCACATAATTACGAGGTCGGAGGAAGGGCATGGCAGCCTGACCCGACGGAAGGATGGATTGCATCCGAAGTCACGGAGAAGGTGGTCTATGGGGACAAAGTGCACATTACATTTTTGCTGGAAAATGGGGAGGTTCGTTGGATTTTATATTATTGCCGAAGTCTTTCCGAGCTTGTATTTGACTAACGTTTTTGATTTCTGGCTGAAAGTCGAAAACTATTGAAACCACGCAAGATGCGCTGCAAATAGACAACAATCCAGCCCTGCCCCCCTTGATGAACCCTGCGATGTTAGAGGCCAGCGAGGACCTGACCAACCTATCTCATTTGAACGAGCCTGCTGGTTTGCCTGCCCTATTTAATGGAGAATTCAAGTCAAGAGTCTAATAGTCTTGTAGTATTGCAAGCTATTAAACTACGATATGCTCAGAAAGAGATATATACGTATAGTGGTATTGTTCTCATTGCAGCTAATCCATTTGCTCGAGTGGATTCGCTCTATGTTCCGCAGATGGTTCAGGTGTACGCCGGAAAACACAGAGCTTCGCAGGCACCACATCTTTTTGCCATTGCGGAAGAAGCTTTCGCGTAAGAATTTTCTCGGCATCCTTTTATGCACCCGTGCTTACAGAGAATTGGTATAGGGACATGCTACGAGATGGGAAGAACCAAACAATTGTTGTTTCTGGTGAATCGGGTGCAGGGAAAACGGTTAGCGCCAAGTACATTATGCGTTACTTCGCTACTCGCGAGTCCTCAGATCAGCCTGGGAAGTATACAACAGCTAGGGCCGATGCAATAAGCGAGACGGAAGAGCAGATTCTGGCGACGAATCCCGTTATGGAGGCGTTTGGCAATGCAAAGACAACACGTAACGATAACTCTTCTCGGTTCGGCAAATATATCGAGATTATGTTCGACAGTAAAACAAATATTATTGGTGCGAAGATCAGGACTTATCTTCTAGAGAGATCGAGGCTGGTATTTCAACCCCTCAGAGAACGGAATTACCACATTTTTTATCAACTCGTGGCTGGCGCAACAGAATCGGAGAGGCAGTCGCTCGTTCTCTTTCCAGTTGAGGACTTCGATTATCTCAATCAAGGCGGGACTTCGACAATTGATGGCGTTGAAGATAAAGTTGAATTTGATGCAACCAGAAAATCCTTGTCTACTATCGGCGTATCGGAACAAACACAGGCGGAGATATTTCGCGTCCTTGCGGCCTTACTGCATCTTGGTAATGTTAAAATTATAGCGACGCGTACGGACTCATCTTTATCGCCAGGAGAGCCGTCTCTCATCCGTGCGTGCGAAATGCTTGGAATTGATGCTAGCGAATTTGCAAAATGGATCGTCAAAAAACAGCTTATAACGAGAGGTGAGAAAATCACGTCAAATTTGACACAGCAGCAAGCTATAGTCGTGCGTGATTCAGTTGCGAAGTTCATTTACTCGAGCTTGTTTGATTGGCTTGTGGATAAGATTAACCGCCGTCTCGCAACAGACGAAGTTGTGAACCGGGTTAAGTTCTTCATTGGTGTTCTAGATATTTACGGCTTCGAGCACTTCGCGAAAAATTCATTCGAACAATTTTGCATCAATTATGCAAACGAAAAACTCCAGCAGGAGTTCAACCAGCACGTTTTTAAACTGGAGCAAGAAGAATATGTTCGGGAACAGATAGACTGGAAGTTCATCGAGTTCTCAGACAATCAACCTTGCATTGATCTCATTGAAGGGAGGCTTGGGATTCTATCTCTCCTGGACGAGGAGTCACGATTGCCTATGGGCTCTGACGAACAGTTTGTAACGAAGCTTCACCACAATTTTGCTGCCGACAAGCAGAAATTCTACAGGAAACCTCGATTTGGTAAATCGGCCTTCACTATTTGTCACTATGCGATTGACGTCACATATGAATCCGACGGCTTCATAGAGAAAAATAGAGACACTGTTCCGGATGAACACATGGCGGTTCTTCGCAACTCATCTAACTCGTTCATCAAAGAGGTCCTTGACACAGCTGCGGCGGTCCGTGAAAAGGACTCCGCATCAATTTCGTCCAAAGCAGTTGCGGCTCCAGGTCGTAGGATTGGCGTTGCTGTTAATCGCAAACCTACTCTTGGGGGGATCTTCAAGTCATCGTTGATTGAGCTTATGAACACGATCAACTCGACGGATGTACATTATATACGGTGTATCAAACCCAATGAAGCGAAGGAGCCCTGGAAGTTCGAAGGCCCCATGGTACTCAGTCAGCTGAGAGCTTGTGGTGTTCTCGAAACTGTTAGAATTTCCACTGCTGGCTACCCTACTCGCTGGACTTACGAGGAGTTTGCTCTACGGTATTACATGCTGTGCCATTCATCGCAATGGACATCGGAAATCAGAGAAATGTGCCATGCCATCTTGCAGAAGGCACTAGGGGAGCCTAACCACCAGAAGCAAGATAAATACCAACTCGGTCTAACAAAAATATTCTTCCGCGCAGGAATGCTCGCCTTCCTTGAAAATCTTCGGACATCCCGATTGAATGAGTGTGCAGTGATGATTCAGAAGAATCTTCGTTGCAAGTATTACCGACGCAAATATCTCGAAGCTAGAGATTCTATTCTCACCACCCAGTCCTTAATCAGAGGTTACCTAACAAGACGGCGTGCGGAGAAAGCACATCAGATTAAGGCGGCTACAACCATTCAGAGGATATGGCGAGGCCAGAAGGAAAAGAGACGATACAATCAAATTCGAGGTAATTTCATCCTCTTTCAGTCAGTCGCAAAAGGCTTTCTCTGTCGGCGACGTATCATGGACAGTATTCTTGGCAACGCAGCCAAAACAATACAACGCGCATACCGTTCATGGAGACAGTTACGTGCTTGGCGGCAGTATCGTCATAAGGTGGTTGTCATTCAGAGTCTCTGGAGAAGCAAGGAGGCCAGGAAACTGTATAAAAAGCTTCGGGAGGAAGCAAGGGATCTAAAGCAGATCTCATACAGACTGGAAAATAAAGTGGTGGAGTTGACACAATATCTTGAGTCTCTGAAGCGTGAAAATAAGTCATTACTTTCACAACTTGAGAACTACGAGACCCAATTGAAGTCATGGAGAAGTCGGCATAACGCATTGGAGGCTCGTTCAAAGGAACTTCAGGTTGAGGCGAACCAAGCAGGTATTATTGCTGCTCGGCTGACCGCCATGGAGGAAGAGATGAGCAGGCTACAGCAAAATCATACTGACGCGCAAGCTACCATCAAGCGTCTCCAAGAGGAAGAGAGGGTTTCGCGGGAATCTATTCTCTCCGCTAATCGTGAGCTAGAGCAGCTCAGGAAAGTTAATACTGAGCACGAGAATGATAAAGCATCTCTTCATCAGCAAGTCGCCGATCTTCAAGAGCAACTGGAGCTCACGAAACGATCGCTGACCGTGAATGGTGTTAATGGAGAGTTACAGAGCGGTGGTCAAAATCAATCTCCTGCCAATGGCCTAATCAATCTGGTATCGTCCAAGAAACCAAAGCCAAAAAGGCGCAGTGCCGGTGCCGAGAGGATCGAGACCGATCGGTTCAGCGGTGCCTACAATCCAAGACCCGTATCGATGGCAATTCCGAGTTCCACTTTAAGTCGCCAGAATATTTCTGGTTCTACATTCTCTCCGGGCTTAGACTTTGTTGAGGCAGAACTCGAAAATTTGCTTTCTGAGGAGGACGAGCTCAATGAAGAGGTTACAATGGGCCTGATTCGCAATTTGAAAATTCCACTTCCAAGCGCCAGCCCACCACCAACTGAAAAGGAAGTACTCTTCCCAGCGTATCTAATCAATCTTGTTACATCTGAAATGTGGAACAACGGCTTCGTTAAGGAATCCGAACGCTTTTTGGCAAACGTCATGCAATCTATTCAACAGGAGGTCATGCAGCATGACGGGGACGATGCCGTGAATCCTGGAGCTTTCTGGCTCTCCAATGTACACGAAATGCTTTCATTTGTATTTCTGGCAGAGGATTGGTATGAGGCACAGAAGACGGATAACTATGAGTATGACCGTCTTTTGGAAATCGTGAAACATGACCTGGAGAGTTTGGAGTTCAACATATACCACACCTGGATGAAAGTTCTGAAAAAGAAACTTTACAAAATGATTGTTCCCGCGATCATCGAGTCTCAGTCTCTGCCGGGTTTTGTTACGAGCGAAACCAACCGATTTCTTGGAAAGCTTCTTCCCTCGAGCAACAGCCCTGCCTACAGCATGGATAATCTTCTCAGTCTTCTGAATAATGTCTTCAGGGCAATGAAGGCTTTCTATCTTGAGGATTCCATAATAATCCAGACTGTCACCGAGCTCCTTCGGCTTGTTGGTGTCACCGCTTTTAATGACCTTCTTATGCGAAGAAACTTCCTCTCCTGGAAACGCGGTCTTCAGATCAATTATAACATCACTCGGATTGAGGAATGGTGTAAGAGTCATGATTTACCGGAGGGCACATTACAGCTGGAACATCTTATGGTCAGTTCCTGGTGAATTGCTTTACTATCTAGGCACTAACACAAATGCAGCAAGCCACGAAACTTCTCCAATTGAAGAAGGCGACTCTGAACGACATTGAAATAATCCAGGACATCTGTTGGATGTAAGGATTTCATTTGTAGTCAATCAATACTCAGTGCTTGGGATTAAGCTAACCATATCACGCAGGCTTTCCCCTAATCAAATTCAGAAGCTTCTGAATCAGTACCTAGTTGCTGATTATGAGCAACCTATTAATGGCGAAATTATGAAGGCTGTGGCATCTCGAGTTACTGAGAAGAGCGATGTTCTTCTTCTGACACCTGTTGACATGGAGGACAGCGGTCTATACGAGATCCCTGAACCACGTGTCATCACAGCGTTGGAGACGTATACCCCATCTTGTAAGTAACCTTTTGAGAATTGCCAAACTGTATTTCTGACAAAATGGAATAGGGCTCCAGACACCGAGATTAAAGCGGCTCGCTGAAATTGTTTCAGCTCAGGCGATGGCCCAGCAGGAAAAACTTGAAATAACCGAAAACGACGCTGTTGATGATTGATGTTACATCCATCATGGGAACTGAGGTTAAATGCCAATTGGGTTTACATTGAGCTTGAATTGTAAAGCTTGTTGAGCCTAATATCTGTACTAGTTTTCTCAGATATATTTATGTGGGTAAACAGTTCGTCTTATTGGAGTAGGGAAAAGGTGGATTGACCCCTGCAGGTTGTTATAGACAGACTATTTAAATACTGGGTTGGCAATATAGGGTTTTGGATGGTAAAGAAACGAATCAATTATCTATCAGGGTTAATTCTTTTTGTATATGGAGTATATGCATGTTGTAAATACGTAACTATAATTTAACAGTAGTGAATTAATTTTTGGACACAGATTTCTTTCACATCTCTTACCCGCCCTGCCCCAACATCCTCATACATCTTTATGCCTACATCTAGCCTGCATATTTAAACATCATGTCATTTCCAAAAAAGCTAAACTTTATTACCGGGAACAGGAATAAATTAGCAGAGGTGAGGGCAATTATTGGCAATGGCGTCGAAATCGAAAGCCAAGCAATCGATGTTCCCGAAATACAAGGAACATCAGAAGAAATCGCCAAGGAAAAGAGCCGACGTGCAGCAGAGGCGGTAAGCACAGATATTTGCACTTAGATTTGAGAAAATCGTCAGCACTGGGCTGACGGCGTCATGGAAATATCAATAGATCGGGGGACCGGTTTTAACGGAGGATACTGCTCTTGAGTTTCACGCATTGAGAGGTCTCCCTGGCCCGTACATGTAAGTTCCTCCTCCAGAACGCATACAGCAAATACTGAGACGCCGAAAGCAAACATTTCCTGGAGGCACTGGGCCATGAAGGGCTGAATAAGATGCTCGATTCGTTCGACGACCGAACTGCAGAGGCTGTATGTACATTTGCCTTCTGCAGCGGTCCTGGAGCAGAGCCTATCCTATTTCAAGGAAGAACGGAGGTAAGAAAGGGTAGCAATGTCTTGGCAGATATGGAAGCTAAATAGAGCAAATCCGTATTGCCAGGGTGTGATTGTAAGGGCAAGAGGACCGGCGAAATTTGGTAAGTGGAAAGACACCCGGTCTAATGGCGTCGTCTACTGGCGTCGTTTACTGAACATGTCATCAATACGCTGCAGGGTGGGATCCAATTTTCGAATATCAAGGCAAAACATACGCAGAGATGGATAAAGAAGAAAAGGTAAGCAAAACCTGGATACTTTTCTAGAGCAGCATCCGAGCAGAAAGTCTAAGAATTGGTCCAGAATCGGATTTCACACCGATATAAAGCCTTGGTCAAGCTGCAGAGTTGGCTCGCCGAGGAGCACGAAAGAGAAGTGTGATTCCGGAGTGCAGACATTAGATTTCAAGAATGGAAAGATTTCAATCCGTACTTTCTGACCGGTTCTTCTGCCACGCCTCTATCCAAGCCGAGATCCTTGCACAATTGTTCTCTACATCGCCATCGTGTTCGCTATTCAGTTCGACCACGGCCTCTTCATCAAAGGCCTCGCGGGCTTCTTCAGCTAGAACACCGAATATCTCTGCATCCAGGTTTTCCTGTAATTTCGTTTCATGATAGCCCCTGCAATATATAGCACTCAGTTTTACTGGCCGCCAGAACCCATGGCTTCCAACGGGGAAGAAATACCTTGCTGAGAGGCGGTCGTAGAGTATGGACGTAGAAGGACATCGGAGAACCACAACCAGATCAATCCAAGATTTGGGAAAGAGCTCACACGCATGCCAGTCTATTAGATAGCCACCTTGAAGGACTTCGTCCTCAATGGCATCCAGGAGCTGCCAAGGAATGTAGGTAAGTAAAATTATTCGCGGAACAAAACCCGAAAGCGAAAGCTAGTCAAACACAATACGATGTTTAACCCGAAGATCAATAGGTAAATAAATACCTTATCCTCATCCACAACCCAACTTTCCAGTTTCTGATCAAAAGACTCAAAGCAGTCACGCTCTTTCGCTATGCGATTGATCGACAGGTGCCGCAACCCGGTCTCTTGCGCAAGTTGCTCACAGTGGACAGTCTTCCCCACTCCGGGTGTGCCAGTAATTATCACATTGGGGGATTCTCGCATACTGTCCTCCCCAGAAGAACAGAAAGGCCGTGTAGCCGAAAATCAAAACGGGATGGGAAAGTTGCGCCGAGAAGACGAGAGCTGAGATGTGGGAAATTTTCCGTGGGACAACCCCAGATATTCGGAAAATCGGAATTTATTACGACCCGCAAGTGCACGTGCTGCCTTCCAAGTATACGTGAATGGGGCTTCGAAGACATCAGAGCGAGCTTATGGCAAACAAAGGATATTACTATATTTTATCCAGGTGATAAACTGGCATTGATTTTCTTGATTCTCTAGTGACATTAGAATACCAGGGAGTTGGCCCATACCATTCATCTCTCGACTGAAGATCTGGAAGCCGTCAATCTGTCATTGTGAGATAGGTTTTCAAAATAAATAAAGGAGACTGGACTTAGGACGTATAGCTTACTTTAAGACCTCGAAAACTTTGTATTTCTGAAAGTAAGCCGTGCCCCGTCTGTATGCTTTCAGGAGACGTGCAGGGTCTGCGGATCTTGTAGTCGCTTCAAGAAGTCGTTTGATTGCAGGTGTTGTCTTGAACATCGGGTCAAAGACAAGTAGGTTTGCACAGCCATTATCCCGGATTTCAAACCCAATGATGGTTAAAGAGTGCCCTAGTTTCCATTTTTGATCAGAGATTCATTCCAATAATACGAAGGGGAGAGGAGAGAAAAAGTTGTCATACCTTGATGTTGAAGGTATATCGGAGGAAGGCTTGTCACAACAATTTTCTTCTTGTCATCCAAGGAGGATTCTTGACGAAAATAAGCAGCCACATTCATGTAGAGAGCATCGTGAGCGCGCAACTCTTTCGTTTGGGTGAAACTACCGGCTTCACATCTAGCATGACATGGATCAGAAAAATACAAATATCAAGTTAATTGCACTGCTGACTTACGGGACTCCAGCATAGAGAAAGAGCGCCTGAGCCTTTACAGGGTTAGAAATGCGTGAAGCAAATATACCCAAAACTATACTCACCTCAGGGGTGCCAATATATTTCCTTGTGCCACGGATCCCACCCGTCTCAACTCTCCCAGAACTATTAATTCCCATGTCCCACGCCTGTTCGATCATATCCTGTAGTTGGAGGATTGTAGGCATTCTACCCGGGAAACGCTCATGCCCCTGGATTCGTGTCTTTTTGATATATGAGATAAGCATCTGGATGTTCCTATAGCCGCAAAACCCGCCTTCCCTTGGTAACTTGAATATCTGGTTAACTTCAGGGCCACAGAAGAAAGCGCGCTGAACCGATTTATCTTGCTCGCATAGCCGAGCAAGAGTAGGGATCACATTTGCAACTTCATTCTCAACCATATCACGCCTTAGTAATCTACCATCAGGAGAGATTTGGCTCGTCTGGACAGAATCGGCGCCCCTTTCCAGCAATTTTTTCAACCACGCCGGCATCCGCTTCTCATGAGCATAAGGCCCCAATTCTGCGCGCTGAGCTTTTCAATTAGTTAAAGTTAAGTTTATTCGGGACAACAAGGGAAGCTAATACCCCGAGTCGTTTTGCGCTCCCTCTTGAGAAATCGCTGGATTGTGGTGTATCCAGAAGGTGACCACGTCCTGTACTCGCTTTCTTTGATACTCCAGGTGAAGACCTCTGCTTTAGGTTTTGCTGGTCTTCCAGATATGCATATTGGTCCAGGGTATTCTCGTCAGCTAGAGGCACGTCTGGTGGTTGAGTACCTTGTCCTAAATCACTCGTCCCAGTTTCCGTTGGTTCGGTATCTTCAATTGCAACGCTTTCTGAGAAATGCAAATCAAGGTGAGTATAGAGTTCCGCATCGGGCACTAGTTCCCCACAGCCATGGGAGCATTCAACGTATCGTCCACCAAGTCCCTGATGGTAATCTAGAGAGGAGCCAACATTGACAGACGTCGTCTCGCGCATATTTTCAGCAGAAGTGCAATGGTCGTCTAGAGACCCGACTGTGTCTTCGGGATGACAGAATTCCACGTGTTCCGCCACAAAATTAGCATCCGGGTCAGAAAAGATGCAGAAGGGACACGCTGCAATGTTGCCACCTTGGGACTCCATGGCAAGATTTATTGATAGCCAGCGTTGCAATCGGGAACGATACTTGTCCAAGAACAGTTTTGTCTAGGTATCACAGAAGCTGGTGTAGTTCGTTTGAGATCTCCAGAGCTTTCGCAATAATACCACTTCCCTCTTTTCTCATTCATGCGAGAGACTACATTCGCTGCCGCATGAATGAAAAACCGGTCCATTGAGTGCTCTGCGTAGGGCAGAGACTTTGGGAGACGATGATAACGCAGTGTTGCTGTGTGCTGGCTGTACAGGGAACGTTGGAGAAAAGATTTAAGTGGACGCTAGGGCTGATCTTTGCACGGATCTAATAATAACGACAATCATATTAATATATATATTAGGTATGCACATTGCATATGCATCTATTGGATAGCATAGCATCACAGCACGGAGTAACAACAATACCAACAATGGTGTACTAGGTACCTAGAAAACAATACTGGCGCGTATGGGCTGGTACCTCGATAACAAGAGATTTATCGTTCCGATATCGTCCTGCAGGCCGTGGTGTGATAAGAAGGCGGAGAGGGGCAGAAAACCCTTGAAAACCCCCTCGATGACTCAATTCGCGCGAGTAAGGCCATGGCCGGCCACTCGGTGGTTCGGACCGTCCGGCAGATTACGTTCATGGAAGGCGGAAGGGGAAGAAAAACCATCGAGGAAAAAGTTTCAATTATTAATGACTCAATGTCACGATTTGCTCCGCTTTCGCACGCCATATTAAAAGCCGCTGCTCGACCCATGCTGTTCCCCAATATTCCATGGTGTCTCTCTTGACATTCCAGAGTTGAGTTGGCAAGCTCATGATGAACAAGCCCAATTCACTGTCTCTCCCTCTGGCTAACGGCTGCATCGCGGGTCCGGACAGCCACTGGGTCGTGCAGAAATTCGGCGGTACAAGCGTGGGAAAGTTTGCCATCAATATAGTTGAGCAGGTCGTACTGTAAGTCATCGTCCACCGTAAATCCGAATGTTCATATTGATAACCCTCTTTTGGTCTATCTACTAGACCTAGCCTTCAGCAACACAACGTGGCTCTGGTATGTTCAGCCAGAAGCAATTCTACAAAAGCCGAAGGTACCACAAACCGGTGAGTCATATTCCGTATCGAGATCTATATGACTACTCATTTCCCTGATGAGATGAATCCATCAATTCTTAGACTCTAATGACGGTTATGTGATAGTTTGCTGCGAGCAGCACGCGATGCCGAAAACGCTCAGTCAAAACGATATGCCTCCCTTGTTGAGGCGGTTCGGCTGGAACATATCCAGGTTGCTCACGAACAGTTGCAATCTGCTGAGTTGAAATCACAATTGGTCATGAAGATGAATGGGGAATGTGCACGAGTTATCAAGATCTTGGAGGCGGCCCAGACGCTTGGAGAGATCAGTTCCCGTTGTGTGGACAAAGTCATCGGTACAGGGGAGAAACTAAGCTGCTTGCTTATGGCCACTCTCCTTCAAGATCGAGGGGTAGACTCTCAATACATCGATCTAGCCGACGTTATCGATTTTCCAGTTGGGAGCCAGGGCCTTGATCAACAGTTTTATAATGACCTTGCTGCCGCTTTTGGTAGGAAGATTCGGGATTGTTCCGGGAAGGTACCGGTCGTGACTGGGTATTTTGGTACGGTTCCTGGCGGTCTTCTCGACCAAATAGGTCGCGGCTATACAGATCTCTGTGCTGCTCTCGTTGCGGTCGGCATTCATGCGAAGGAGTTGCAGGTATGGAAAGAAGTGGACGGGATTTTCACTGCGGACCCCCGGAAGGTGCCCACGGCACGCCTTTTACCAGCGATTACGCCAGCCGAAGCTGCTGAATTGACGTTCTACGGCTCCGAAGTCATACATCCATTTACTATGGAACAAGTCATCCGAGCGAAGATCCCGATTCGTATCAAGAATGTCATGAACCCGAAAGGAAATGGCACCGTGATCTTTCCCGATTCCTATTCAGAACTTGAAAGGACGACCCCAGGGCATGACCCAAGCTTGTTCCGTACACGCGGTCCATGTCCTGTGCCACAGCTACAGACACCGCGGCGGCCGACTGCAGTGACCATCAAACACCAGATCCTGGTGATCAACGTGCATTCCAACAAGCGGTCCTTATCACATGGCTTTTTCGCCGGCATATTTTCGGTTCTGGACCGCTGGCGTCTCTCAATCGATCTTATTTCCACAAGTGAAGTTCACGTATCCATGGCCCTCCATTCGGAGATGCCTCTCTTGAATGGCGTTGGAAGAGATGAATACCAAATTATCGATGCAGATCTAAAGGGAGCGCTACAAGACTTGCAGAAATATGGGACTGTCGACATCATACCGGGGATGGCAATTCTCAGCCTTGTCGGAAAACAGATGAAGAACATGGTTGGTGTTGCTGGGAAGATGTTCACGACTTTGGGTGAGAACAACGTCAATATAGAGATGATTTCGCAAGGTACCTATGCTCTTATTTCCAGATCATATCCTTCATTGCAGCCATTTTTGGGTATGGCTAACTCTCCATTTTCTTCTTTTCTAGGTGCCAGCGAGATCAACATTTCCTGTGTTATTGAAGAAAGAGACGCAGACCGTGCTCTAAACATCATCCATACAAGCATGTTTACTTTCTTGGATTAATGATACGACTGGAATGTCTTTCATAGCAATGCCTGCCATCCTCCTTCCCCCATCTTCCTCCCTTATCACATTCTATCTGTACCTTTTGGTCCTTTTCTGTAATAGACTTTCTCTTAATTTTCCTTGCCAGATTTGTTTTGTGGGTCTCATGGAATATTTCTTATGGCAGTCAAAGGTCGCTCGCGAACGAAAAGAGGCAAGAAAAGAATACTCTGTAAAGTGATAGAATATTTGTGTCCAAGGTTTTATATTACACAGGCAATTGTACATATTTTATACTCCCATTGGTTCAAGTTAATAGACTTTTTCGTTGAAGTTGAAGAAGAAAACGGAATCATGAGCCAAAGCAGAAGACAATTTGCATATAACTGTACAGAGCCCAGCGTTGCTTTTCCACACGGCCTCGGCATTCGGGTAGTAGATATGTACATAGGGCAAAGGCTTAATGTAATCTAATATTAGCCCTTGCAGAGGTAAGAGAATAATGATGATGATGATGATTATTATTTTACTCCGTATATGCGTTCATTCTTCCAATGTAACCTGTGTATTGTCACATATGACCATACCAAAGCCCAAAAACCCCGCGTCTTCTCGGCAGGGCGACGCGTGACGCGGACGCGCCATAACCGTACAATACACCTTCCGCGTCGCGAGTGCGCTCCTCCCACCTACTCTCCGGAGTCTGGATATCCTCATCTTTGGCATCGTCGCTAATTAAACGATCCATCTCTCCACTTGTATGATCCGAGACTCCTTGTTGAATCGGGCAAGAACCAAGGTTTGATCGCCCGCTCCACCCATACCACTCTCAATCGATATCAACAAGCCTTGCCCACCTCTATTCCTCCCATAGTTCCCTTACAACGACGAACTTCCCACAAATCAAGGACGCTGCTCAACTGACTGGCCTTGCAGGGTATATTGTCTCTTGACGATTCCTTATCTATTCCACTGGCCTTCAGCTGCTCTGACTACCTCGACTCACAACCTCAATGCGGCTCGTTGGTGCCTTGTGGCCCGACGCTGGTTTCTCGTCCCACTAGGTCTCACGGCTTGATCAACTCTGCGCTGAAACCTTTGATAGTTGCTGAGTTGCTCTTGTGGTTCTTATTCTCAAACTGAGATCATTTCAATACCTGCCGGTCACTCCGCTCACGTCGTCTCCTTGCATACACTTACCCTAAAACGAACCACCCGTCCTACTCGTCTTGCGCGCCATATCCCTACCCTGTCATCGATTTTCCACGTGCCCTATTTTTCTTGTGTCCCTTTCCAGTTATAGACATCATGAGCTCGACAGGCCCCATGAGGGTCTCTCAGGCTTCGCCTTGCGACGATAAGGAAACTCCCAAGACACGTTCTTTCTATCTGCGGCCTTCACCGTTACCTTTGCATCCCGACGAGCGTCCATCCTCGACTCAAGGCTGCGTCTTGAATCCACCGGTGACAGGTCCCCGCAGACTATCACCCATAAAGGCACATCAACGGCCAAGCATTACAGGCTCTGGGCGAAACAACCTAGGCTTTGTCTCAATAACTGCACCTCCTCCTCAAATGTTCACCACAGACTCGCCAACAAAGAAGTCTCCTACCCTTCCCCATACGCCCTCCGCTACATCTGTGCGACAGTCTGCTCTCTTCACAACATTTTCTAGCCTAAATCCAGACAAACAGCTTCGAAATGAGAGCCAATCTACTAGTCTGCCTCCCAGCGATGGCCATATCGACTTCTCAAAACCCCCCCACGGTCCCAAGGCCCCGCCGAAAAGGCCTCTCCTGGAAGCGGCTCCGCTGAAAGAGAAATCGACGAAAAAGCAAAAACGGGAAGATACTCCCTCAATTCGTCTACCTGAGCCCCATGAAATGCCGCCGATTGAAGATGACGGCACAAAACCTCCATATAGCTATGCCACTCTGATCGGAATGTCAATTTTGCGTGCACCTAATAGACGCATGACCCTGGCTCAAATATACAAGTGGATATCAGATACATTCTCATACTACAAAAACAGTGACTCTGGCTGGCAGAACAGTATCAGACACAATCTGAGCCTGAACAAAGCGTTCGTCAAACAAGAGAGACCAAAAGACGACCCAGGGAAGGGCAATTACTGGGCCATAGAGCCAGGGATGGAAGCACAGTTTCTCAAGGATAAGCCTCTACGCCGTGCTACTATGTCGAGCTTTCCGCTTCCGCCAGTTCCTCGCAAAGATTCCACATCGCATTCACGGGATACTAGCAGAGCTATGTGGATAGCCCCTCCAGCTTCTAGTTATCCCTCAACAACTGCAAAATCTACCAGAAAGGTGGAACTGTCCTCTGATGCAACGCTTCCTGCTTCTGATCCTGCTCTTCAGGAAGATACATGCGACGAAAGTAACAACGTTCTCACATCCCAAGCTCCGCCCCCTCGTTCTTCTTCGCCTCAAGCTATTCACTCATCACCACCGGTTGCTCCCCCGCGTTTCATACGCGAAGGCACTCCACCAACGCCATCTCGCCGGACTGCACCGTCTGGTATGATGCCCGGTCCTAGAAAGCGAAAGCCAGCTATCTTGAACGACAGTGGTTATTTTTCTTCATTAGACTCTTCGGCACGGAGATCGAACAAGGGCGGGCACATGTTGACTTCCGATTTAAATATTGAGCCGCTCCGCATAAAGCGTGGTCGTGCTGAGGAAGAGATTGCCCGGATTCGAAGCTCTTCTAACGACATTAGTCCGGGCCATTCTGGTATCTTGAAAGACACTAGTCTGCTGGTGGGTTCTTCACCCTTCCGTGGAGAATATGTGAACATGCTACCGCCTCCTCTTACTCCTGTAGTCAAGTTTAAAAAGCCAGCAAGGCCGCCACCATCGGTATCTCCTAATACGAATCTTCGAAACCACCGCAAGAAAATCCAGCACATGGTCAACTCTCCTATTAAACATTTGGGTCTAACTGATGAGGATTTGCCATGGAGTCCTGCTTTCAATATTCAAGACGAAGAGTTCACCCCAAATGAGAACTCTACCAGTTTTGACGTATTCGCGGACTCTGCAGGAGAAAATATATTTACTCCTGTATATGCTTCACCAGAGAAACGTTCCACTAAACGTCGACCAAACAGTGCAGCAGTTGGTAGCAATATACTTGCGGACATTACAGCAGTGAATGTGAACAGTCGAATGAGTTTATCTTCGTCGAACAAGTCAAAGGGTCTAGTCTTTCCCGATTCACCTTCAAAATTGCCGGAGGAAGGCCACTTTGTTGACGCTAGTAACGATGAATTCTTCTCATTTCACCTCTTTGATGAGAGCCCTGGTGAGGTTGACGGTGTCGATCTTCTGCAAGGTTTTCAAAAGATCGGAGGTACTAGCAAGGATCATCCATCAAATTCTAAGGGGCATATTTCTCGACCTCCCCTGAGTCAAAGGGGCAACGCTTCCCTTTTTTAAGTATTTGGGAATCACCATTATGGGTATGATGAATCACCCGATGTGTGGACTCCCCAAGATACGGGATACCTTACAATATGGAAATATGGGCTGTCACTTTGAATTCAGCACGTGAACTATCTTGGGGTAGCCTACTTTCTTTGGTCATCTTTGTTATTGGCGAAGGAGGGTTGTGATAATCCTTGCAGCAGGAGTCATTTGGTGCCTTTCAGCGTCTTTAAATATGTCTATTTTGGAACAGATAAGGGTTGGAGTCGGCTTGTTCTTTTTTGTCTTTCTTGTTCCTTTGATTCTGTGATGACCTTGTTATGACCTTTACGACGATATTTCTCAAGATGTACACGAGCATGGTTTTATGGTTTTATTGGGAATCTCCTTTTTGCTTGGCAGTCAAGTTCATCTTCTCTTTATTATTATTTCTTTTTTTCACCATAGCCCAGTCGACCTTAGCAAGTTTGCATTTAATCTAGTAGCTTTTTTTTCTGGCGCCACACCTGGACCAAAACAGTGAATAAGGGGAGAAAAAGAATATGGAAAGCAGAATGCAATACCTTTTATAATCCGAACTCATCCAATTGAACGCCATTGTACCATGAATAATGCCTGGATCGTGACCTTGCTATCATCTTGACTCGATAGCTCCTTTCGAGGAAAGGGAAGAATCATGCGCATTGAACGTCAACTCCAGTTTAATACTGCAAACCACATCCTAGTCACTACTAGCACAACCCCTACAACCACAACTGACACATTGTATCATCTGTTCATCCTTAAGCTGCGCTTTAGGCACCCGGCAGATGCACGTTGCATTGAAGTTGGTCTCTTTAGTTTGAATGCAGCGGAGACAACAAAGCTAAAATAAAATTTCGTCAGATGCTCGAGAACGACTTGTCCGATAGGTTTGAGAGGGAAAAAAGAAGTACGCTTCAGGGCGATGGGGGCAAAAAAAGGGGATTTCTCGAAAATGGTACCTTTTCGTATCCTTGTTTCTTCCATTTTGCGATTAGGTTTGCATCAGCATAATTATTCTTGAGCAACCAGTCGTATAATTGTTTTGATATGGCTTCCTTTTCATAATACAAATCATAAATATATCGCGAACCTGCAAAGTGTTGTTAATGAATGGTTTACTTTACGGCCTCTTTTTCAGGTTTCAAGAGAGAGGCTCACGCTGGTGGCTGATCTGGAAAATAGGCCACAGCATTTCGTGTTTCTTTTTCCCTTCATGAGAAGCATTCTCAGCATCCTTCATTTTGTTGCTAAACTCGAGTAACGTGTCTTCTATGTCCTCGAAGCCTGCTGGCGGAGGTTTGCGATTGCGCGAGGTGCGAATTGGGGGCATGTTGGGAGGTTCTAGAAAGAGAAATTCGAATGGTAGGAGAATCCGCTCTTTTCCTTTCTCTTATTTCCTTGGAGAGGATTGTCAATTTTTATATCAACAAAGTAATAGCATCTATATCAGTAATTATGGCGGTAATCGTTTATGGACCGAAGCTCGCTCCTTTTCTGCCACGCTTCACCGCCGTTTTTCTCTGACGAAAGAGAACGGTACCAGCAGATAAAAGCAGAAACAAAGGTCCTAAACTTCTACTTTTCCCTTGCCCTTGTTAGTATTGTTGATTTTACTCACACTTGGAAGGTGTACCAGAAACATTTTCACAATTTCTTATTGCAAAATGGATGCCCAGCCTCAAATCGACATCTCCAAGCTCAGCGACGCGGACAAGAGAGAATTGAACCAGTTTCTGGAAAACGAAGCCCAGAAGACCAACATCCAGCAAAGTAAGGAATCAATTTGGACTATTTATACAGCTTTTCTTATCGTGACTTCCTTGTTCTGTTCTCTCAACACCCAGATCCCTTACTGGAAGTTTTTTCGTTTCTATATACTTCTCTTTAGCTTGTGAGGAAAGCTAGAAGCAAACTGACATTTCAACTAGCCGTCCACCATCTTGCCGATGTCTGCTGGAAGAAATGCATTACGGGGAAAATAACTTCGGGTCGTCTGGATCGCACAGAGGAGTCCTGCGCGCAGAACTGTGTTGAGAGGTGGATGGATACAAATTTATCTGTGTTGAAGCATCTGGAAGCACTCCGGGGACGCTAAGTTACTCTATCCAACTCGTTCTGCCGACTGTTCAACACGAGAGACGGATGGGTATTGTCGGGAGATAAATGCCAATTAATTATATATTCCTGTATGATTAGACAAAACTGTATGAGTCCATAGTTCCCTTTCATATACTTCAAACCCAGGCTTGGCAAGGGATCTAAACGCTGGAGAACCAGGTAAATATTCTGTTCTACATGTACTTTTACAATGAAATTCACGGAGAAGCAGCCATCTCTTGAACTACTTTTGAAAAAACTCAATCATCATTCAGCCTCCACGGCAGCACTTGCAGCTAAGTGTATGACTGATATTTTGTGAATCACCGCGTAAAATCACCCAGGCCCAAAGAAAACGTTAATTTAGACAATAGCCAGCTTGGTGGCAGCGATATCCAGAGCATCCACATCAGGGGTTAACCGCGCAAAGGCCTTCTTGGAACCATCGGGTCTGTACGCTTGTTAGATACTGATAATATCAACCAAAACACAGCTGTCCTTCAAAAGATCGCCATTCCCATACCTAATGAGAGTGTTGACTTTGACGGTTTCAACGTCGTAAAGCTTCTTAAGAGCCAGCTTGATCTGTCGCTTGTTCGCTTTGGTGTCCACAATGAAAACAAGGGTGTTGTTCTCCTCGATCTTCTTCATCGCACTCTCGGTGTTCAGAGGGTAGAGAACAACCTTGTGGGCGTCAAGACGAGGGACGTGAGGGATCGACTTGCGGGGGTACTTGGGCGACCGCGAGAGCTCGAGGGTCTTGGGGCGGTGGAAGGTGGTGGAAGTGCGAATCTTGCGGGCCCGGTGCGCATGCAGCTAATTTGATCATAAAGAATTTAGCAAGTGATATAACGGCGGACCTGATATCAATTTGGACATACACCTGCACCCTTCAGGACTGCCTTGGCAGCAGCGCCAGCCTTGGCGCTGGGCTTAGTCTTGCCTATCGAAAAGAAAGCATGTCAGAGAATCTCTAGATGCAATCCAAATCCAAGTCCCTGAAACGAGACCATAGGGGGAAAAAGTAGGAATAATAGATTCCCGATACTGCCGCTTTCAATGGTTCTTTCGTGGCAGCATATCTGTAAAGTGATCCAATGCAGCGCTGTCGCTTCGTAGACGTCCACAGTAATCGCTGGCTTCTACCGGCTTCACAACCTGCGAAATGAAGGGAATGCAAAAAAACTGCACTTGGGAGTAAATCAAATCCTACCTTGCTTGTTTTCCGCCTTAGGGGCCATGGCTGTCTCTGGCGCTGTCGTGGTGATTGTCGCAAGTGTCAAGAGTCAAATTATTTGGAGTGCATTCGCTTAGCGAGAACCCTAGGACTTGCCAAATGTGGGTCACATGACTGGCGCCTGAGTGGATGGGTCCGTCAGGCTAATGGCATTACGGCAGGCGGAGTATTTTCTTTTTGTATGCAAGAATGATAAAGTCTTCGGTTGCCAGGCCTGCTACCGGTATATCGTGAGCCTCACAATGCTAGACCATCAGGTGCGTTCTTTGATTATGGAGAGTGGGCATAGAGAACATTGAGTGAAGCTGATTACCTAATTCACCACAGCTCGCCGGTGATGTCTATGGCATAGAAAAGGCAGGACTCGAAGTGAGCGGCTTCCAGCTTTTCTGAAATATCGCATGTCTATCTCGATTTGGAACTTAGTGATTCAGTGGATATTCCCGCGAAGGCATTTTCTGTAACCCACGAGCAATATCCAGTTACCAGTAACGGGCCTTGTTGATATGGCCTCAAAGCGACAACGCCACAAGAGGCCTGCGCTACTCTCTCATGGTCGTCCGCCAACAATCAAACCAAAGAGTGCGGCACTGTCTTCGAAAGCTACTCGGAATCTCATCCGCACTCACCATCGACTCATGAAATTGCGCGCACATGCTTTACAGGAGGGCAATCATGTACTTGTCAGCGATGTCGACGCTCAAATCGAAGCGAACGGCGGGCTAGATAGTTATCAACTCGCAAGCAAAATTGGACAGTCATTAGAACGCGGGGGTGATTCGAGCAAAGCCCTTGTTGATTGGATAGCGCCAAAGTTGGCACAGCTCAAAGGCACGCCTTTCAAACTTCGACTTCTAGAGATCGGAGCACTTAGCACCAAAAATGCCTGTTCATTGGACCAACGCCTTGATTGCACGCAGATTGACCTGAATTCCCAGGAGCCAGGAATCTTACAGCAGGACTTCATGGAACGGCCTCTTCCTCGCCATGATGGCGAGCGATTTCATCTAATCAGTCTCTCGCTAGTGCTTAATTACGTCGCAAGCGCCACTGGTAGAGGGGACATGCTGAAGCGTTGTGTGACTTTCTTAACGAAGTCACTTCCTCCAGATTGTCCTATGGCCTTCACACCAAGCCTATTTCTGGTGCTACCACTTGCATGCGTCAACAATTCACGATACCTCACGGAAAGCAGGCTGCATGAGATTCTTTTCAGCTTGGGGTTTACTTTAGCGAGATGCAAGAAAACTTCGAAGCTAATATTTCAGCTCTGGGAATATGGTGAGACGCCCAGGCCCAGGCCGTTTAGGAAGGAAATATTAAATCCTGGGAAAACGCGGAATAACTTTGCCATTGTTGTCCGTAAAGAGGACAGTTGAAAAAATCGAGAGCAGTCTATCTAGCAGGAACCATGTCTTCGGGCAAGAATGCCCAAGCAGTCCCAACAAGCGCCAATGTTGATGATACAGCAAGAATGAACCAGTCGAGTATGCGTTCACGCCGGCTAATCTCTTTCCCGAATATTCTCAAGTAAAAAGCGATTGGTAGAATCACACAGATTGTGAAGCATAAACAGGATCCCATCAGCGCCATGATCCTGTCAAATGATGGGAAGATAACGGCCATAATAACAATCACGACCACAGTGAGAACACGGACCATGATTTTTGATAACTGCCGAATTACTTCTTTCAACTCCCCGGGATTATTAGTCGTCGCTTCGACCCGTGGATTTAACCCACAAAGAATCTCGACAGTAGCCACCAGAGGCCGGCAACTGGGTTCTCGTCAGCGATCAAATCCCATGAGGGAGAAACTGGATAAAGTTTGGATAACTCACTTCAAAGGCACTTTGGTAATCGGGATTATTGATATGAAGACTATCATGCATATCGATAATGTGTGGGGGTAATCGGTAAGTAGCAGGACGTTTGCCGTAACCTCGTCTCGAACAGCGTCCCCAAACATGACCCAGCCGATTATGGCCATAGCACAGTCAAGTGAGTACTGTTATAAACATTTAGTTTAAAATTTGAGTCTTTTAAAGTATTTTCAACACACATCTTACCGTAAATATATAAGTTGTCCAGAGACTCTTCCCATACTTACGAGGATGCCTCATATCCCGGTATATATTAGGGAATACTGAATGACCACCCCAGGGTGCTTGATGATATTATTTAGCAAACGAAGCATGTTTTCCATTTCAATAGCGCCAGCTTACACATGATGAGACCGAAACTGAGAGGAAGAGTGTTCCAATTATCAGGAAATAGAGTAGTCCTTGCTGGCTGCTGAATCGAACCGGGAGCATTTGGTTTCAACAAGCCATCAATGAAGACGATCAAGACAACTTGAGGGGATGTCAGTTCATTTGATTTCATACATGAGCGGGGACAGGGGAATGCGCACTCGACGTGCATGACAGTATGCCCAAGATACTTGTCACACTCAGCAGTCGCAGAGGGATAAAATTAAGCGGGATGAGCACCACTCCACAAATAACCTTCCATTGGAGGATTGTCAGACCAGGGATCAGAGCCTGGAGGCTGTCTGCGAAAAGCACGACGAGGGCAACACAAGCCCCCACAAGTTCCAGGCAGAACAACAGACTCGTCATTAAACGCGCATGATGCCCAAAACTGATGTACGCTAGATCAGCGTAAGTAGCAAGGGTAGGATCAACATCCAGACATTTAGCCAGGATTTTAGCAGTGTACGACGTTGTTACTGCGGAGAGGAAGAGAAATGACAGTCCTAAAAGCCATCCAGCTTGTTTCATTGCTAGCGGCAAGCTCAACAAGCCAACCCCAATCAGCACGTTGACCGAGTTGAAAATTGTCTGTGGCACGGTAGATTGGCCAACAACGATATTTTCCCGGGTACCATCCTCATGTTGAACTTGCTTAACCAGAATAGGCTGGTCATCGCTACCAACAACAATGTCGGGATGCGCCTGATGTTCCTTGTGAAGCTGAATTGCATGTCTTCGAGCCACATCGGTAACCTGAGAAGAAATCGACCCGTACGAAGTTCCATACCCTCCATCCAGTGGTGATCCAGAAATTCCAATGCCCGGAAGCTTTGGCTTGGATGAGCCCGGGACATCCAACTTGTTATATACCCGTTCCGTATCATTTCCCGCGAGCAATGGCGATCGTTCTGGTTGTAGAAATGGCGACGAGGGTGACCCAGCTTCTACACCCGCTGCAGAAGCCCATCCATCCTCCGACTCAGACGCCACAAACGAAGATCGGCGAAGAAGTGCCCCCGGGAAGTAGGCAGCTCTTTGCCATGACCGCGCGAAGTTGTCAATACTGTTCACGCCACCTGCTTGTCGAAGTCGCGAAAATGAGGTGGACCTAAACAATGGTGTTGAGTACCGCTTTCCTGGTTACCAATGATACAGACAAAGCTTACCTGGTCCTATGGAATCGATGACTATTCTCATCATCGTCAAAGATAGGCCAAGGATCGGGGCCGGAAAAGACACGATTGGCGGATTCCTCAAGGTCTTGGTTGGAGTGGTTTTGTAATCTCTCCATTTTAGCAGCACTCGCTGCTAGATGGACAATGGACTTGGCCAACAAACGCCCGTTAGACTTTGCAGTGAATAAGCTGCAGAACTCCCGCTATGAATTCAAATATATAGAAGAGAAAACAACGGGAAAATGTGTAGAAGGAAGAAAAGCAAGACACTTGGAGAGGGGAAAAGATGTCTTTCAGGAGTGAGCTAACGGGAATTATCATTACACATCTCATGAACATAATGGAACACCATATCAGTTGTAGGCAGATTACAGTGGGTAATCTGCCTTGCACCTTAATAAATGAATTGAAAGCAACAAGAGCTTGAGCAAGGCGGGGGGTTATCTCTGCACTGATAAGCTTTTGCTTGATGGAGATGGTATCAGACCACATTGCTGGGCAGGATCTCAGATCTCATCATGGATATTATGCTGTACAGAGAAGTTCATAATAATGATAATAATTATTTTCCTTTAGATGGCTCTTAGGATGATGAGGCAGTCAATGTACAGTACGCACATTAGTGAGGGCGGTGCACCACGTGACACTCTGACTAACTGCTTAGGCAGCAAAAGACGCGAGTGGCCGTGTTCTTGGTGTCCCCTTCCCACCCCACGATCCTCGATGAATTTTCGTTGAAACACCCCGCTGGACTGGACGACCGCCTTAAACCAGTTCAAAGGTATGTATGTGTTTCCCCGACTATCGTAGAAAGTCCCTCTGGTCTCTGACACACCTATTACTGCTTTGAGACTGACAGTAGCCATCATTATTCAGTTCTGACAACGTTCCTGTACCGGCCCGTCGCACAGAAACAACGTCGCCACGCCAAACATGAGCGCGGCTCAGGCGAACGAAGCGGAGAAGAACATTGAAATATGGAAAGTTAAGAAGCTGATAAAGCGGCTTGAGGCCGCCAGAGGTAATGGAACCTCGATGATATCTCTCATTATCCGTAAGTGTGGCCCCGCCCGGCAAACCTCAGGACCATCATTGACCCTTGCTAGCCCCCAAGGACCAAGTATCCAGAGCAGCAAAGATGCTTGCCGAAGAATTTGTATGTTTTCCAGAACTATTGTCTTATTCACCCGTCACCTCTCGGCTCTCCTTCTGATAGTAATGCACTAGGGCACTGCGTCCAACATCAAATCACGTGTGAATCGACTCTCCGTGCTTTCTGCAATTACGTCCACTCAGCAGCGTCTCAAACTGTATAACAAGGTACCTCCAAATGGCTTGGTTGTCTACTGTGGTGAAATCATTACCTCGGAAGGAAAAGAACGGAAAATAAACATCGATTTCGAGCCCTTCAAGCCTATCAACACATCGCTGTATCTTTGTGATAACAAGTTCCATACCGAGGCGCTCAGCGAGCTTCTCGAATCGGACCAGAAGTTCGGATTCATCATCATGGATGGTAACGGTGCGCTTTTCGGCACCCTCAGTGGGAATACCAGAGAAGTTATCCAAAAGTTCTCTGTGGATCTTCCCAAGAAACATGGCCGTGGTGGTCAATCAGCGCTGCGTTTCGCCCGTCTTCGAGAGGAAAAGCGTCATAACTATGTGCGCAAGGTGGCCGAGTTGGCTGTTCAGAATTTCATCACTAATGACAAAGTCAACGTCGCGGGTTTGATTTTGGCTGGATCGGCCGACTTCAAGAATGACCTTAACCAATCCGACTTGTTCGATCAACGCTTGCAGGCTAAGGTCATTAAGGTTGTTGACGTTTCCTATGGCGGTGAGAACGGCTTCAACCAGGCTATTGAACTTTCTTCTGAAACTCTGGGGAGTGTCAAATTTATCCAGGAGAAGAAGCTCATCGGAAAATATTTCGAGGAGATCAGCCAGGACACTGGGAGAGTCTGCTATGGCATCGATGACACGCTCAAAGCTTTGGAGCTTGGTGCGGCTGAGACGCTCATCGTTTTCGAGAATTTGGATGTGACCCGCTGGACTCTGAAGTCCTCAAGCGGCTCTGAGGTCTTCCTCCATACTACGAAGGAGCAGGAAGCAAACCGTGAACTCTTCATGGACAAAGAGAACGGTCAGGAAATGGAAGTCGTTGACCAATGCTCCTTCTTGGAATGGCTCGCTGAAAAGTACAAGGAGTTCGGCGCAAACTTGGAGTTTGTCTCTGACAGGTCTAGCGAGGGAAACCAGTTCGTGAAGGGCTTTGGTGGAATTGGAGCCATCCTTCGATACAAAGTCAACTTTGAGCAACTTGCTGATTACAGTGATGAAGACGAGTTCTATGACGGTATGCCACGCCTGTCTGATCTTTTGCGCCTACGTGTACATGCTTATATATCTACTCTTCACAGATTGACGGTTCAGCGACCTCGCACAGAGCGAGGACATAAGGCCAGAAGTCCCAAAAGTGGATCTTTTGACGGCACGCCCTTTAAGCTGTGTAAGCCGCGTGCATGCGGCTCTCTTGGCAATTCCACGGCTTCCGTGGTGCATGCCGTGGAGTGGCCTGGTCTAAGTTCTGCGAAGCTTCGCAATGGTGAGCATCCTAGTTCCGCGAAAAATAATTTGTCTCCCCTCTAGTCTGACATTGATTAGGCCCGTCCAAGCTACGTAGTGTCGCTACTACGGAGTGATTTTGAGTCGACACGAGGTGTAATTTGCAATGGTCGGCGGGTTCTTCATATTGATTGAACCTCATCGCCATTCAACGGAGCTTACAATATATCAATTCAAATTGTTTATTTCTTGGTCACTAGTATCCCTTTGTCCTTCCAATTTTTGTACGTTCTTTTACATGACCAGTGCAAGCTTCAAAGTGCTTCCCCGAGGTTAGAAGCCCTTGTGTCTGGGTATTCCCTACTTCCTACTATATGATTCAGCGTAGAAAGTAGTAATCGTGCCCCCACCGCCTACCTACCCGTGTCTCCGTGTAGGTGCGTCCAAGTTCAATGTCACTTTTTGATTTTTATTAAATAAATTCAATTATATCAGCCCCAACATGGCCAATCAGTATATTGATGAAGAGGCTCGCATTTCAAATGCAGTAGAAGCCTACTGAAACAAAAAAAACTAAATCTATCCCCAAATTGGCTGAAGAGATAGGGGTAGATTACCGACGACTCCTCCACCAAATCCAGGGACACCCTTCGCGTTCCACGCGCCCAAAATGGACTGGACCACTAAATAATGAGCAGGAAAGGGCCTTACGGGCATGGATTAAACGTGTTGATGATATGGGAGCCCCCCCAACTGTGGAAATGATTCGCTGCTGAGCAAATTCAATGCTTAAATGGTCTGATCCAGCTGCAGACAATGTTGGGAAGAATTGGCCATACAACTTCATTAAATGCCTTGGGCCTAAGTATAGACATGTCAAGCAGAAGCCAATGGACCCCAAACAGCTTACTGCTGAAGATATTAGTATTATAGTGACCTGGTATGATCGGCTGAAGATTCAGCTTGAGCTTCATAATATTACACCAAACAATCTCTATAGTTTTGATGAGACTGGCTTCTGTATAGGCCAAGAAAAGAAGGGAATCTGTCATTACAGCATACTCTGATAGGACCCAGTGTCCTAGCTCTTCTTCCCAGATCTCAGTCACCATTATTGAGACTATTGCAGCAAATGGCTGGATTGGACCACCATTTATTATACTACCAGGAAAACAGCATATGGAGAACTGGTATACCCAGGATCTGCCTGAAGACTATAAAATTGCAGTATAAGATAGTGGTTGGGCTACTGATGACCTGGGTCTAATTTGGCTTCATCATTTTGATGAAGCTACACGGCATTGAGCACATAGTCAAAAACGGTTTCTCCTAATAGATAATCATGGCTCCCATCTCACCTTTGAATTCATCAAATTCTGTCAGAAGAGGCATATAATATTATATTGCTTCACGCCTCATTCTACACATCTGCTTCAACCACTTAATGGTAGCCCATTCCAGCAATATAAACACTATCATGCAAAGGCAATAAACACCATAGCCCGTCTAGGGGTTCATGAGGTTGATAAACAGGAATTCCTATACCAGCTGATAAATATCTGGAAGGTGCGTGAGATCAATACTGATTAATTGATAAATAATCATCCCTTATACTAACTAATTAATGCCTTCCTATATAGAAAGCCTTCAAATACCGCACCGTCAAATCAAGCTTCAAAGAGTGAGGAATATGGCCATTTGAACCTGATATTGTGCTTCAACCTCTACGTGAAAAATACCTCCCTATTGGACCAGAGCTTCAAATATATGATGGTGAATCTACACCACCACCACCACACCCATCATCTTCAGTATCTCCACCTATCACAGTTGACCGGCTCCGGAGTTCAATAAATAAGGCTCAGATGGCAATAAATACTGTCTCTGAGGAGGTTCATGATATTATGGATGACCATCTTCAACACAGATTGGACCGTATATTCACTGGAAGCCTTATTCAGGAAGTACTGGCTGCTCAACACCAACCAACGCCTAAATCAGAAAAAAACCAGGCGGTCCATACAGACAGGTGGTGTTCTATCTGTCAAGGATGCCAATCACTGTATTAAGGCTAGATCTTTGGAGGAAATGCATAAAACTGCTAGAAGGGTCAGGCGGGACTGGATGATCCTAGAGAAGGAAAAGGAGCGACTAGCCAACCAACCACCATTTACTGAGGCTGAAAAAGAAGCTCTAGAAGGCTTTATGGTATATCCAGATGGGGAGCCCCTTATTTATAAAGATGTCACCGGTTTTGGCGTGTAATTAGACATTGAATCACAAAAAGTGTCATTGAACTTGGGCGCACCTACACGGGGACACGGGTAGGTAGGCGGTGGGGGCACGATTAATCATTAATTCCGCCAAAGTTGGACACAAATATTTGATATCCATGACCGTTTGGCTTTTAGCTCATGACGGTATGTGGAGTTGATCTTTCCAAGTACCCAACTCCCTGCAGTCCTCCACGATTTCACGGAGTCTCCCCAGGAGCCCTTCCATCACTTGTCTGTCGTCTGCCGCGGGAGTACACCCGCACTCAACAAAGAATATATAATGCCAGGGCCGTTTCCGACTAGGTCGAGTATTTATGCTGGTTAGGTTCATGCCATGCGTTTTGAAAACCAACAGGGCATCCGCCAGAGCCCCTGGAGAATCATGATTAACCATAAATAAGATCAGCGTCTTATTTCCAGTCGTAGAAATCGCTCCGCTATTGCCAACAAATGGCTGGCTTGTACGGCCAGATTGTACGTTCCTCAGTATGAGAAACCGGGTTGTGTTGTCGAGTTTATCCTCAATATCGGCTTCAAGAACATCCACTCCATGATGCTCTGCTGCAAATCGGCTCGCAATAGCGGCACTCCCCTCAGTAGTTTCCGTTGAGATGATCTCAGCAGCTTTTGAGGTTGAAGAGACATCCTGTCTCTCCACACCCTTCAAATTTTCAGAAAGAAAAAGCTCACATTGTCCCCAGACTTGCGGATGCGTGTACAGCTTGGTTATAGACTTGCGGCTTGGGCGCTCGGGAGAGGATGTGTCTTTTCGAACAAGTAGGCAGTGATGAACTGTTAGGTAGTACTCTCCACACACTCGGGTGTCCTTGTAGAGATGGTCTCTGTCTGCCAAGAGGTCAAGGGTTTGAACGACAGATCCGTTAGTCGAGTTTTCGAAAGGAATTACTGCGTAGTCCACATTCTCCTGTTGTACAGCGGCGAACACATCTGCGAAGGATACGCAAGGCAAGAGCTTTGCTGAGGTACCGAACGACTCTATAGCAGCCTAAATGGGTAGTCAGTAAAGATGAAATCGTAGCCTCTTGGTTAGGCATTGTATCTGACCTGATGCGAAAAAGAAGCCGTCGGGCCCAGGAATGCAATCCTTGGTGGCTCCTCCATAAGTGCTGAAGAGCTGTTGCACGTCAATTTTGAATAACCTTTTCTCCTCGGGTTGCTTTTCTCCTGGGTGGTCTTCGCTATTGAGCAGCTCGGACTTCCCCGCAGCAGTTCTCCGCGAAAATATATTATTGCTACCTTCAGCGCAGAGTTCAGCGCAGAGTGGAGCCAGAGAACCTACCGAAATTTATATAAATGCAATGAAGCTGCACCACAAAGTCTGTACCATTCGAGTTTCTACGCGGAGTTTTCCGATGAAGAATATTACATCCCGTGCCCCGCTATCTATAAGCAGGGCAGTTTCAACAGCATCGCATGCATCACTTTCTGAGAAGCTCCTCCAGAAACTGAAATCGCGGCGTATCCCTCTCTTTTATGATTATCTACATCCTCAGCCATCTCACCTCTTAAATCTTTCTTTGATTGACCTCTTCTCAGGAACATGGTTCCCCCAGTGTGAGACTTCCCTAGTTGGGATTCTCCCGTCGGTTACTTCACCACCCCGGTTGGCGGCAGGCCATCACCTAGTTTATTTCCCACCTCAAGTCACCTTGTCCCAATTATTGCCCGATGGTACCGATATTTTACATAGCCCAGGACACCCCTTCAGCAGGCGCCTATGGGCTGGGGGAAGAATAAAATTCGCGGCGACAGGCAACTTGCTCCTTGATGGCAGCCGAGCCGTTTGCATTGAAACGATACGCAATGTGTCAACAAAGGGCAAGGAGGGAGAAGAAAAAGTATTTGTTGGAATTGAGAGACGGATAGGGACGGTTCATGAAGGGGAGAAAGAGAGCGACGTCAGAAAGCGCATATGGAAAGAGGACGAGGAGGATTTTGGACAAGCCTCCATTATCGAAAATAGGAACCTAGTATTCATGCGTGAGAAGTCACAGGAACAAGTCAAATATGATAAAGAACGTTTCAGCGACAGCAGTAGGGTGGTTAAGCGTATGTATGATCGATCTATATATTCCAGCAGTGTCGCTAACTCTTTTAATTCTCTGAAGCTCCTGGTAAACCCGAGTTCCGCCATTCAATGAAGCCGACGAAGGCTTTGCTTTTTCGCTTCTCAGCTCTCACATTTAACGCTCATTCCATTCATCTCGACAAGGCATATACCCAAGATGTGGAAGGCTACAGGGATCTTCTTGTGCATGGGCCCTTGTCTCTAACACTGCTTTTAACGACTGCTCAGGCCTACCTTGCTAAGTTGAAGCTCACAATTAGGGATATTGAGTATCGAAACTTAACACCCATCTATGTAGGAGAGGAGCTCGGGATATGTGGAAAGCCAAAGAATGGCAAGATACCCGGAGCCTGGGATGTCTGGATTGAGAACAGGGAAGGTGGCCTTGCTGTACGAGGTACCATTCACACCGAAATAGAAGCCCAAAATGCAAATGCCACAAAATAGACTATTATTCCAGGGTCTCGATTATGTTTCTGTTTGATTCTCATCGCATGTAATCACTTCGTAGGCAGAATGTTTTCCGTGTTGTTCTAGAATCACGAGTCTCGGAGGTCGGAAAAAGCACCACCGAGAAGCGCTAGCGACGGCACACTTTTTATTTAATCCCCAACCTTTGTCCTTTTGAAATCCTTTCTGTTTTTCTAAGCTGCTTCAAAGCTTTCCTGCTCACAGGACTGGATATTATTCTATATGCTAAACCGGTAGACAGCTTAAGTTCATCCAATTGCGTTACGTAGATGGACTTATTCTGGACTGCTCCTCCAGTTGCGAGGTACTTCTACCACGTCTTCCACATGTCTTTCGGATGGATTTACTGACTTCTGTTCGAAATCTAGGACCCTCACTGCACTGACATTTATCCAATCCATATTGATTCATGGTGGCATAATTCGCTACCTTCATGTCTTGTTATTGCCAAAATTTATTTTCAGATTTCCACCTCAGTTATGGAGGCTGTTTACGCCCTTTCTACTAACTGGACCGGGCCTTAGCTTTGTTCTTGATCTCTATTTTAGTATGCTCTCAAGTTGGTCTGTATTGACCTGCATGCTAATATACTGATAGTGTATACCTATGGCAGTGCTTTGGAAACAGGCTCGCCTCGTTTCAGCTCACCAGGCGACTTTTTGACATATGTGTTCTTTGTAGGCACTGTCATCATGGTAAGTTATGGGCTTATTATTAGCTATGCTATCTACATTAGTACTGCAAATACCCGCCTTCTTTTCTGGACACCAGAGTGCCTTGTTTTCCTTCTGTCCATGTTCTAGTCAAATCACCTCACATATCTGCCCGCCCAGCCTTTATCTAGCTGAAGCGGTTCCTGGGAGTGAGGAAGATCGCCCCTGCATCTCATACAGCACCATATATTGCATTAATCCTAGGTGCTGAATGCGTTGCAGGCATGGTGGGAAAACCTTAAGATAGCTCGCGTGATGAAAATGTTTACGCGGGTGGTTGGTGCCCTACATTTATGTATTTCGTATATCATCAATGAAATATGTTTTCTATCGGCAGACTCATCTAAGCAGTATCCTTGCTTGATTTCAAAAGGCTGACGGTCCAAAGCTCACCGCAGGTTTCTTGTTGAATGGTGTAATTTTAACTTCCGGTGAGCTTTACCGCGGCCCATGGGGTATTGACGCCGATATACTGACCATCGCTAGCATTGATTCTGGCATTTATTTATACATATGCTCAGGATAATCGAGGTAGAAGGGTGACGTTCATCATCATACAAATACCTGTCGAATTTTTGCCATGGGCCACGTTGGTCCTCACTCTGGTGCTTGCCGGGTGGCCATCGGCATTAATAGAATCCATGGGAATTATCGCAGCGCACTTGTATGACTTCCTTACACGCTTGTATCCAACCTTTGGTGGCGGGCGAAACTATATTACCACACCAGGGTTCGTGAGGAGACTCTTCGTCACCTCCGCCCGTGGTGGTGAATACCGGACCTACGGGACAGCTTATCGTTCGAGTGCACAACCCCGGGATTCGTCATCTAGCGGTTGGACCTCGTCTCTGCAAAATCCGTGGAGCAGCAGAGGCGCTGGTAGGAGACTAGGCGGTTAAGGAACATGGAGCATCTCTACATGAAAACATCCTTTGGAAGCATAGCTGAACCATTCGGTGTGCATTTTAGCACTGTGGTCAATTGTTTAATAGTTTGATAACACATATGGCTTTAATACCTGTTATCATTGGCAAGCAGGCATACTCCGGACTCCGTACTAGGTAGTAATTACGACTTGTAAAGACGCTCGCCGTCTGTTTTCGTAGACCTAACATGTGACAAGTAGAATAGGTCTATCTGTGCGTTCACGTGACTAAGTGGAGCGGATGCAGAAAGTTTTACACTAGCCTCTTTTGTCGTTAGAGCAGTTGCCGCACTTCAAAATTTCACTGGAGCGAGCAATCTTCTTTTCATCGTGTCGGACAAGAAGCCCAGTTTCAAAGGGCAATATTTTTCACTTTTACTTACCCCTCTTCCGTCCACTTCGTCGAACTGAATCTGTACTCCTGGACAGATAGTTCAAAATGGCGGTAGCATTGGCTAAGGAAGATATTGACTACACCATTAAACCGGAAGCTGCGACTCCCAGCATTTCTACCTCCGACTGGCCTCTTCTATTGAAGGATTATGATAAGCGTATGTTGCTTAGTATCCATACTGTTGCTTGCCAATGCGCTTGTGGGTGAGCGGTTTCTAACGTGAGACCAACAGTTCTTGTCAGAACTGGCCATTTTACGCCGATTCCTGCCGGCTGCTCTCCTCTCAAGCGTGATCTTAAATCCTACATCAGCTCTGGTGTGATAAATCTCGATAAGCCGTCTAACCCATCTAGTCATGAGGTTGTAGCTTGGTTGAAAAGGATCCTGAGGTAATTATCCCTTTTCACACACATCCAATGAGAAACCGCTAAGTGTTCTTTCGTTCAATATAGAACCGAAAAGACTGGCCATAGTGGCACTCTTGATCCGAAGGTTACCGGCTGTCTGATCGTCTGCATTGATCGGGCAACTCGCTTGGTGAAGTCGCAGCAAGGCGCGGGAAAGGAATATGTGTGTGTGATCCGCCTTCATGACAAGATCCCTGGTGGTGAAGCCCAATTTAGACGGGCTCTTGAGACTTTGACCGGTGCCCTTTTCCAACGCCCACCATTGATTTCGGCTGTCAAGCGTCAGCTCCGTATCAGAACTATTCACGAGAGCAAGCTTTATGAGTTCGATAATGAAAGGCACCTTGGTGTGTTTTGGGTCAGCTGCGAAGCGGGGACGTACATTCGGACTCTCTGTGTCCACCTGGGTCTTCTCCTAGGCGTTGGCGCACACATGCAGGAGCTGAGACGTGTTCGGAGCGGAGCGATGAATGAGCAAGATGGTATGGTAACTTTGCATGATGTTCTGGATGCGCAATGGATGTACGATAATCAGCGTGATGAGTCCTATCTGCGAAAGGTCATCCGACCACTGGAAACTCTTTTGACAACATACAAGCGTATTGTTGTCAAGGACAGTGCTGTCAACGCTGTTTGCTATGGTGCAAAGCTCATGGTGCCTGGTCTACTACGCTTTGGTAAGCCCGCTTGCTACAATGCAGTTCCGATTAATTGCTAACATCCTCGTAGAAGCCGGCATCGAAGTGAACGAAGAGGTTGTACTGATGACCACGAAGGGAGAAGCCATCGCCATTGGCATTGCTCAGATGTCAACTGTCGAGCTCTCCACCTGTGACCATGGTGTCGTTGCCAAGGTCAAGCGTTGCATCATGGAACGTGACCTCTATCCTCGCAGATGGGGATTGGGTCCTGTGGCCTTGGAGAAAAAGAAACTCAAGTCTTCTGGAAAACTGGATGTGAGTACCTACATTGGCTTGAGGTGCGAATACATAGGAACTCTAGCTTATATTCTCTCAGAAATACGGCAGAACGAATGAGGCGACCCCAGCCAAGTGGAAGAATGAATACAAGGATTACAGTGTTGCGGAAGAGACGCCCGCATATCAGCCTACCGAGACGACATCGAAGGAAGATGTTGCTGCCGCGCTGCCACCGCAAGCGGAGACTCAGTCGTCTCCGCAAGGCAAGGTAGATGTTGACGAGTCCAAAGATGACGAGAAGAAGCGTAAGAGGCATGAGGGCGAAACCCCCGAGGAGCGTGCTGAGCGCAAGCGGAGGAAGAAAGAGAAGAAGGAGAAGAAAGAGAAGAGAAAGTCAAAGCAGGGAAAGGAGGAAAGCGATGACAGCGAATAATTGGTTCTGGGGAAATCTCTTTGCGACCACTTCGAGAGATTTCTTCGGGACATCGATGCGCTTTACTGCGCTTGCATGTCGGACTGCTATTTGGGCCCATTTCCTGTAACATACTTGTTTTTGTTGGAGTCTGGGTTTGAAAAGGATATTTGATATTCGCTTTTATTTTTGTTTTTAGTTAGATATCTTGAAAATGCAAGTAAATTCGCTCTGCAACGGATTGTATGATAGAACAGTGCGGCAGGTGACCAGGCAATATGACTCCGCCGAGCTCCTCCGACTCTCCGCATTTAACCAAACTAAACCCTCTCAGGACTATCGAAGCTGCTTAACCCTCAAGCGATTATACCGACACTTTCGTTATCCTGCCAGGAGCTGAGATCATCTGAAATTAAGGGAAACTGCGGAAACTATTACAGTTCTTCTCAAAGACAGCTTGGTCATGGCCGCGGAACTGACCTCAACGAAGCTTAATGCTGAGAATCATCTTCTCCTGGTAACCTGCGTCTGATATCTCCTTGCTGTCTGCTCGCCCTCTGACTGTTTTCTCGTATAGGACCAACCTCTTCTTCGACTTCCACATGAACTTGCACGGAAGAATTTTAAGTCAGTGCAACGGATCGTTGAGCGCGAGAGAGACCATGTCATCCCCGCACTCAAGGAAGCTGCCAATGCATCCATCTTCAACACACAGACTCCGGACCAGACGCTAGCAGCACTTGACGCTATGATATTGCGCATGCAGAGCCTGAAGCGAAAGATGGAAACTTTGCATGAAGAGGAGCAGAAGATTCAGATACAGTCGAGAAAGCGGATACAACATCTAGATAGCCTCCACGACATCCCGAGCCTGGCAGATGTCAAGTACGACCAGTGGTCAAGAGTACGATTGGATAGGCTTCTGGTGGATCATATGTTGCGCTCTGGTTATTCAGAAAGTGCAAAACACTTAGCCAAGGAGAAAGGCATTGAAGATCTTGTGGATCTCGACGTCTTCGTGCAGTGCCAGCGGATTGCTGAGAGTCTACGTCGCGGGGAGACGAAGGATGCTCTGCACTGGTGCGGTGAGAATAAAGCCGCCTTGAAGAAGAGCCAGGTATGTTGATGCTCACCATCCTTTCTTGCTTTGAAGGCGGACTGTTTGGACTGACGGGACAAATGACACAGTACAACATGGAATTTGAGTTACGCCTCCAACAATACATTGAAATGATAAGGTCAGGGGATAAATCAAAGCTGGTTGAAGCTATGGTGCATGCAAAGAAGTATCTCACGCCTTATGCGGAAACCCAATCCACGGAGATACATCGTGCTGCTGGATTGCTCGCCTTTCCCGGGGATACCAAGGCCGAGCCCTATAAGGTACGTCATGTCATCTCCCCTGAGCGGATGAAGGGAAAGATGAGACTATAATCGAGTCAAGCAAAGGCTAGTGCGGCATGTTAACCAAGTGATCTGTAGTCAATGTACTCACCAGACCGCTGGACTTACCTCTCCGATCTTTTTGTCCGCACTCACAATGAACTCCTATCGCTGCCATCACGGCCCCTATTGCATATTGCCCTTTCTGCTGGGCTATCTGCCCTGAAAACACCTTCGTGCCATTCAGCATACACTTCGTCGAGCTCGAATTCTTTCTCCACCACGACCTCTGTCTGCCCGATCTGTTCGACGGAGTTGAACGAGCTGGCACGAAACATGCCATATGCAAATCACACCAGGAGCTACGTCGAAAGCGATCCGATAGTCTTGCCGAATGGCCGCATCTATGGACAGCAGCGACTACTAGAGATCAGCAAGGTTTGCTCAGCTGAAACAAACAAGGTCAAGGACCCTACGACTGGAGAAGTTTTTGATCAAAGTGAGATGAAGAAGGTTTTCATTATGTAGTGACACTATATGGACCCCTCGTTCTCTTTCTTCGGGAATGTTCCTGTGATGTGGTTTAGACAACTTAATATCTGGAAGACATGTCATTAACAAGATGGCTCCCTACTCAATAGCATTCACATTGCGACTGTCTCAATCGCTATCGCTGTCCGAATCGTCTTTCGACCTTTTTCTCTTCCCTATGTTCACAGTATCTGGGTGCCCTTCCTGCTTAGCCTCGAAGACATATGTCCTTGCTTCTCTATCTTCACCTTTCCAACCTCCCCTGCCACTGTGTCTGCCCGTAATTTCACCAAGAGTCCGCGCATGTGAGTACCCTTCGTAAGAACTCCAGGGAAATCTAAAGCTAGTAACAACGCGTAGACCAGCATGACGTGCAAGATCCCTGATATTCCAGAGAGTATATGGCTCACCTTCAAACAAGGTGACCAAAATCTGACCCGGAACTGTTCTGACGTTTCGTCTCTTTCTTCCGGTGCCCGAATCCGACCCTGCATCATCATCATTATCACCCCAGGAATCACTAGAATCACTAGATAGCCAACCCTCCTCGCCCTCATTAGACTCAACTGGAGAAGACAGCAAGGGCAAACAGGCCTTGAAAAAGGCAACAAGGAGTTCTTGATTCGCGCGAACTTGACGGTTGACGTCTGTCGACAACCCACCGACATGGGGGAAATTAAAACAGATCATATCCCACGGTCCATCGGCAGTAGTCGAAGAAGGCGGTTGCTTGTTCCTTTCCTTCGCGTTATTATTGTCGTTATTATGATGATGATTATGCTTATCTGCATTTTCTTGCTTGCCGTTGCTCCTCCATGCAGGACGCCTAGTAGGCTCTGTCTTTCGTATGAAGCCAATGCGGACCTTCTTGCCGCCTCCGGCAGGGAGTCCGAGTTTTCGAGCGTCAACTGAGAAAGCCACATTTGGCCCATGGCGGTTGGGATGTTTGCCTTTGCCTTCCTTCTTCTGAGGAGAAACATTCTCTCCTTTTTCTTCTCGTTCGCTCCTAGGTTTTTCTGTCATATCATCATCATCATCATCCTTTCCCTTGGCAGATAATACACCAAGGATGTCTTGGATATTCCTCTCTGCTTGCGGGTATTTGCTGTGAAGTTCCTCTTTGGAGTCGTAGCAGGTGGCCAGGACATTCCTGCATCGGTAATGGACAACTAGAGATCGGGAAAATGAAAAGTCTCCTATTTAATTTTGAATCCAGTTAGGAATTGTTTTGATCTCCTCTTTCCCTCTTGCATAATTATTTATCAGCTCTGTTTTTGGATCCTTTTTATGGATAATAATAATAATATACATTGAACTGTTATTATTATTATTTTCCAGAGCTCCTACACACAAAGAATCCAGAAAGAAAGAAGAAAGAAACTTACCCTCCCCAACTAACAAAATACGATCATTCCTCCCAAAAGGAACTATCGGTCGCTGATTCAGCTGAACACGCGCCCCCTTTTTCGCTTTCGCCGTCGTCCCTTTTACTGCCGTCGATGTCGCTGTCATGGAAGTACTGAGCTTCGAGAAGCTTTGCATTTTCTTCTTGATTTTCTTTCCAGGCCCGACATCGTTTCTTTGTGACTCTGGCCTTGGTCTCTGGCGGAGTTTGGGCGCTAACTGTCGTTGTCTTTTTGATTTTGCCATATTTATCTTTTTTTCTTGATGTTTTGATGTTGTATTATTTATATTTTTAAGTTCAGTCAATTTCGGTTATAGTTGACCCAGAGACAAGAAGATGATGATTATGATGACTACGCCCATTTAGTAAAAACATCGCATAAAACCGACAGAAGCGTGTGTTCCATATAAAAAGGAGTAAAAACAAAGAGGGCAAAAAGGCACTAAGAACACTTCTATATAGGCTCGAAGCATCTTTTCCATTTCATCAAACAAACCCGTTTGCAACAATAGCTGCACTCCATCCCATTTCAGAATACAGTTATGCCACTACCATGACTCAACCCAATTGACATTACGAATTGTACCTTGCAATACACCTGCACATTTCCCAAGAATAAGAAAAACAGAAAAAAGATTAGAGAAAATATATCCCTCATAACAAACAGAATATATGTGAAGCTAGACCGCGAAAAGAACCGATCACTGTCGAGGTAGAATTGGAATTGGCCATGTGAAAAATATATCCCAACAAGGGTCGGCTGTGAGTCGTATATCAATCACGTACATGGAGAAATAGGCCACCATACTTTAGAGACCAAAACCTGAAAAGGTATGTATATGACCTGATGTATCTGATAGATGTAGTTGGTGGCGTCGCAGCTAAAATTCGTACTCTTCAACTCACATTCACCGTGCCTCTTAAGATGACCGTAGTCCGTCCCTTACACTCTGGCTGCTGGCACTAACAGGCACGTGCACGGTAGGCAAGGTGCCGATCCTTGGCTTCGCATTCTGCTTGATCTTAGCGACAGCGTAGACAATACCGCTGACGAAGCCCACAACGATAGCGGATACACTCGGAAATGTGACTGGAGCATCGAAGAAAATCAACCCGGACAGTGCGATTGGGAGCTTGTTCAATGCTCCCACCATGGAGTACGTAGTTGAAGATGTCACGCGAACACACCAGGCCGACGTATAAGAGATGAAGACCGATGACAGACCGGACAGGATCATCGCGAAGGCAATGCCATTACGGTTTGCTGGAGGGAAGTTCCGGGCGATGTTGGCGGACGACCAGTCTTCGACACAAGCCGAAAACACAATAAGCAACGGAATTGACAGCAGGTTGTTGTAGTACATAGCTTGACAGAATGGCAATAGGTTAGAAGACAAGTTTTCCCAAGAATAACATAGACAAGGAGATACACATACTGTCAAAGTCCTTGAAATTAGTCAATTTGATCCTCTTCCGCATTCCAAGCACGTAGGAGGAAGTGCAAAAACAGTTGATCAACATCCAAATGTATCCTGCATTCAGAGTAGACACCTTGGAAGTGGCATCGGTGCTGCTCTCGACAGCATGCTTGATGTCGGCCCATGCGGCGATGATGGAGCTCAGAACCATGAGTCCAAAAGAGAACAGGGTGAGGCCGGTGACAGAACCCCCGAACCACAGTACCTCGCCGTAAGCAATGAGGATAATGGTCAAGTTCTTGAAGATAGTGTACACAGGGATGGAGAGGTACTGAAGCGCCTTGGAGCCGGTATAGATCATGCCGATTAAAAGCACGGAAATGGGGAACCCTATGGAGAAACAACCGAGTTAACCTCCAAACCACGTCCACCAGCCTACGGGGGGACCAACATTTTCTAGCCTCAGCACTGTTGAAATCACGATATGTGATAATATTACATGATTTGCATGTTTGGATTGTAATTATGCAGACGATAGACTGAATTTCAACAACCAGCACGGTCAGCAGTCTGATGGCAGACTTCTCGCCTCTCTGGAACAATGGGAACATACCTGCACCAAGAGTAGAAAGAAATTGAGATTGAACTCGGTGCCAGACAAGACGTACTTGTTCATGACGGTCATCAGGATAGATGAACCGCAGTACGAGATCACCGGGAGGATGGGATTGCTGGCCAATGCATTATTATGGCTGGGATGAGGACTCCTGGAGCGATGAATAGGCGCAGGCTCGAAACTCTTGTTCTCCTTGTCCAGCTTGTCCATCTCGATCGTGTAATCGTCTGTCTTCTTATCCTCTGCCATTTTTGCGACTGATGGGTTACCTAGGTGTGCCAGTGAAGGGGGGAGAGGATGGTTATGATGACGACGGAAGGCCGGAGTTTCAAGGGCAAAAAAGCCTGGCCTGCGGGAGGAAGAGGGTGAAAAGGCGTCCTAGATGCAGCGGGAAGCCGTACAGCCTCAGGAATCAGGGGATGACGAATGTCGGCTGGACGAAGAAACTGGAGGGATGAGCAGAAGAGAAGAAGCGAAACGGAGAGAACAGGCACTTCCGAAAGAAGCGAGTCCCGGAAAATTAATGTTTCAGGGATTTGCGCTGCTGCTTATTCCCTCTCCTGTGCCATTTTTATATGATCCTTGCATTGCCGATACTATTATACTATTGCTAATACTAATGCAGGCTGAAAGCTTGTCAATAACATTTTTTTTTTCTTCTTTGCTCCTTTCGATGTCTGCGCAAGTTAGGTTTACGGTCTCGTATCGTGTAGGATAGACGATGCCACCGCTGCTGCAGCTGTCGACGAAGTCAGCAAGCATAATTCCATTCTGATATATTGCCTAATGCAGAGATATGTTTTCCTCAAGGTACTTTTTCTAATAGTAGAGTAGAAAGTAGCACTGGACCGACGTGGAGTGGGCGTCCATCTCGTCGGTCTTATGAAGCAATGACTTATACTTAAATCCCCGCAATAATATTCTTTCGATCATTTATTCCATGGTTACCACTGAATGCCCACCAGATTGCAGCCTTGACGTATCTCCCCCCAATTAAGACCCTGTCTTCTTGCTACGGCGTCTTCCCGTTTATTATCTTCAGAAAATATGCACTCGTCCGCAAAGGAACCCAGCAACCCTGCGCAGCGAAGCACAGACGAAGAAGAGGAAGACGACGACGCACTATTCGAAGCCCTCGAAAACGAAGACGACTCTGCCTACCGAACCCACCGCATCGAGCAACTAAATGCCGAATTCGCAAAGGAAGTCCAAGCTCAAGTCCAGCGCAATGCCTCATCCGCCAAAATTGACATTGACAACCTGTACCCGACGCTTTCGAATGACCAGTCCCTGCTAGATTTCACAACCCAGACCCACCGGTGCGTGATACATTTCGCTCATCCGGACTTCGCAAAATGTGGAGTCATGGATGGTCATCTCCGAGACCTCGCGGCGCGGCATTACGAGGTGCGTTTTGCCCGGGTTGACGTACGCAACATTCCCTTTGTCGTGAACAAGTTGAATATACGCGTGCTTCCATATGTTATTGGGTTCAATGATGGTCTCGCCGTGGAACGTGTCGTAGGTTTCGAGGGACTTGGAAATGGAGGGAAGCAGGATGGCGTCGACCAGTTCAGTACGGCTACATTGGAGAAAAGGCTGCTGCGCAAAGGCATACTGGTTAGGGCAAAGTTCATAGCTGGTGATGAGGGTAGCGGCGCTTCTGATGAAGGAAGTGACAATGAAGACGAGCAGAGAATGGGAGGGCGAGTTATCCGTCAAGGAAATATACGGCGTAACGACACCGAAAACGACGATGACGACGACTGGGATTGACGAATGGCATCATCCCCCCATCCACCGTTACCTCTTTCTCTGTCGTTCGTATGATGGGCAGAGAACAGTGCACGTCCGAATAGAGCAGGGTCGTCCTAAAGGCTCCTTGCAATTGCTGATGTGGATTGCCAAGGCTATGGCTTAGCTACATAATATCTCTATCTACAAGGGACAGGAATTCCAGGGAAGATATCCTCATTGAATCCCACTTCCTGGCAGCTGGCGTTCTCAGACACGCGATCTTGATATGAAAGCAACCATATTCGTCCGTGGAAAGAGACCCAGGGGCATCGAGGAAATTCCCATAGAAATTGCATTGCCTGTAGCCATGAATGGGGTTTAGTATAGAGAAAGATCAGTGTAAAGTAGCTGCGTAGCCGGCTCAAGAGAAAAATAATAATCGGCTCATTCCCATACAACCCTACTTCTATATGTGTGCATTAGAAAAGGCGACCGGACAACAAAAAAAGATACTTTACATTTCCCGGATTGACACTCCAGCTCCATTCCGAAACGAGTCCAGACCAAATTGACATAAACAAAAGCGCAGTTGCCAGTCGCCTCTGAATTTGAAATGAGGTTGCAAAAGCGAAATCGATAGATAATACTGTAAAAGGAGATACGAAGAGAAAAAAAAAGCAAAACATAGTGAAGAAGATGCAAAGTTAAGAAAAGGGATGCTGCATAGGTGGTCGAAACCCAGAAGTTGAATATGAATGCAGCAGATATAAGAAACAACAAGTGAGCCGCTTCAGGCACAAAAAATGGCAGTTAAACAGAAGAGAAAAAAAAAAAAAAAAAACGAGAATCTATACAGATGGCCAGCCGGAAGAGCCTCACAAGTCGCACGCCTTGAAAGTCTGTTTGAGAAACCGGTATAGTATGACTGCCCAAATAGGTTGGACTCAAACTGAATTTCAAATCGTCACGTTCTTCATCTCGCCAAGGACTTCTGAATCCAAGGTTGTGGAAGTTGCTTGATTGGGTTCACGAGTTCGCAATTCTTCTGTCTTCTCCTGCTCTGCTGGCTTCTGCTCATTTACCTTCGCGGGATCCTCCTTGTTTTCACTGCCTGTGCCTGGCATCGACACTTCCATTAAGTTCCCGCTCTGGGTTTCATTAGCATTCTCATTAGGCATGCTTTTATTGGACACCTGAACGTCCGGACTAGTATTCACGGGGCTTGATCCCTCCTCGGCAACACGAGCGAGAGGGCGAGAAACACCAAACTGGGTTTTAGGACTCCGATTGGATCCGTGGTTAGGAAAACGATGTGGAGACCTGCCGCGTTCCTCACTAGGTGCTGGACTTCCGTAAGGAGAATCTCTGGGGGTCCTGTTGTTTGCGCTAGTATTGAGTCCGAGTGCCTGTGGAACTTTGCGTCGGGGCTGCCTCCTGCCATACTTTTGATCTGTTCTCCATCGCAGAATCTCCAAGTATGGAGGATTGACGTCCTTAAACGCCTTCAGCCGAAGATCATTCGTCTCTTCATCCACAATAGCCTTTCCGCTGCAGATATCATCCGCGAGGGTTGCTAGGAATGCGGCCCAAGACCGGGCAACGACATATTTACAGTCGTAATCTCGACCGAAAATGATAACTTGACCCCACTTCCCTGTAGGCCCGGGGGCCAAGTCTATAGCGATATTGTTGCCGCCCCAGTCACGAGCAAGAGGGATCCAGGCTGGGTGTGCGTATGTTTTCTGAACTGCGCCAGGAGGCTGCGAGTCTTGTCGGTCGAGCAGATCCTGGCGCCAGGAGGAACCAGACCCCTGCTGAGAAGATGCCACGGCTGACGAGGAGCTAGCCGCCGATGATTTCACTGGTTGGTGGATGACCGTTGCCGCGTTCAAATACTCTTCGTTGACGACCTTCCAGGTCATAGATTCCTTGACGATCTCTTCGCAGTCAAGTAGCATGCAACCGAAGATGACTCCTGTTGGCAACCCGCCACATTCTTGGCCATCATGTGTCATTAAGGACTCACGCACTTCGAGCGGCAGACTACAGTCCAACTCATGTTCAAGTTCATTGATGTCATTCTGGGTGCAACCTTCGCCGAGATTGTCGTATAACTCTTGGTAATTGTTCTCCAGCCATTGGTCAATTTTCTTCCAAGAGTGGGATACCGGAGGAGGAGGGGGAGCGCCATCATGGAAACTTTGCATTTGAATCTCGCCATCGGCACCCGAGGCACGATCGTTTGACCGTCTCTGCTGCGAGGAGAGCGATCTCATCCCTGGGGAATAGGGCCGAGTTGGGGAGCCAATCCCAGTTGGCGATGCAGACCATCCATCCGAATGGGTTGCGCCTGAGGGCTGTTCATCATCGTAGGGGTTCGTTAAATCCGGTCGGGATTCGGCAGCACTGGTTGCAACAGACGTAAGTGGCTCATGGCGACTTTGGCTCAGCGGAACGTGTCTGCCGGTTCGGTAAGGTGAATCATGGGACGCATGGCGGTCGTAGGAGGTCATGGTATGCCAGAAAGAACGCCATGCTGAGCCGAATCTGGACGAGAGGTCAGAAACATAGCGCCGGGAGCTAAACAGACTTCAGGAAGCGGGTACTAACGCAGACGCCATGGTAGGTACACCAGAAAGGACGGAAACCGATGGAAGGCAATCTTCAAGGAAGAATCATTGGAGAGAGATATGTAGACGAAGGTCGGGTGCTAGTCAAAGAGGATCGAGACCGAGACACGGTAGGTTTAGAGAGCGCGAATATCCAGGAGCAAGGACAACAACAACGCGGAAGATGCCGTCAAAGTGATCGATTGACCAGGGGGTAGAGCAGTGTAAACCGAACCAGCAAGATGTCGAGGGGAGAAGGGGAGAAAGAGAAGCGCATGAAATGGAATACGGAAAAAGAAGACAGGAGGAATTGGGCGGGCTAGCGTTTGAACAGGATGATAATTTCTTCCCAAGAGAAGACGATAGAACAGAGTCAGTCGAGAAGGAGGAGGAGGAGGAGAAGAAGAAGAATAGAGAGGACACACAGAGAGAGGGAAAGACAAGCGGAGGAATTATTAGCAGCTGGTATTATTGGGCGAATGCGACCCCTGGACGGCGCCTGCTGTGGATGGAATATAATAATAATAATAATAATGTTAAATGAACTCGACAGCAAGATTAAATAAGTAAAATTGGCCGGTAATGGATGCCGCACGATGCCTGAGCTGGGTGTATTAATAGAAATGTCAAAGGGACCATAATGCCATCTCCAATTCTAGACTGATCCCGCCCATGCTTACGCTCTGATATTCGAGATTTATTCCTCAGGGAGAGATCTTCGCATGGTCCATAATCATGCTCCATAGTATACGGAGTAGTGCTATTATTCTGGAGTACCATTATGGAGCACTCCTGGTTACTGTACTGTACCGTATGGTAATTGCCGTCTCTGTCACTTTTGCTTCGCTTTTTGCCGCCGCACTTTGGCATTCTCTATCTACTCCTCCTTGCGCCTGCACCGTCCTTGCCCATGATGTAGCAGCATACAGCTCTGGTGTATAGGAGATGCTACAATCCATACCTCCTGTGCACACTGCCTAGCTATCAGACATGCACGCGACATACACCTATGCGATCACTATTCATCCATGCAATTGGCGGATCTCCAAAGATCTAGCTAGCATTAATTACGATGGAATTAAATTTCCAGTTTTGCCAAATCACCTTCCAGATGCCACGAGTTGTCTTTGCTGGTGGATGTATCTTCAGTCGAGGTTATGCCCTCTAGCGAATAAGCTTTCTCGGCAGGACGACTGCCTGCAGCCCATTTGGTAAGTTTCCCACATCAAGGTAAACGACATTAGAAGATTATTATTAAAATTTCTTTTCTTTTTTAAGCCTCACAGGACTTGGTAGAAAAAAAAAATCCAGATCCAGCAAATCATACTATTGCGCTGTAGCCAAGGTCTATTTGCCTCTTCGCTCGACTATTCGGGCCCTAATTAGGAGAGTCTTCGGTGTCCCCGCTTCGGTTCCTTGGGTCTGCCCTGCCAAGTACGAGTACTGTGCTTTGTATGTTGTAAAGGCACGGACTCATTGTAACGAAGTTGCGCTTTGTACATGTACAGCGCCATCTCCATCTACGTCCGTAGCGACATCGTAGTCTTCGTCTTCTTTATTCACCAAAGGCAAATATGACCTTGAAGGAAAGATAGCTCAAGCTGCCAATGATGTCTATTATTATCCTCTCTGCATACAGAAAATACTACCTAGGTAGTTAAAAATAGGCAAATATATTTAATAAATGCTCTGATCGTTATAACAGCAAAAAGGGTGCATAGCGAGCCATGGTGGAGGATATCCATATGACATACAGTTAAGGTCCGTGGCACCCTACCTTCGCACCTTGTAAATTGACAATGCACAAGGTGGTAACAGCAAGTAAAGAATGAATTTGTTCGGAGGGAAAAGAGCGTAGGTAATGTTAAAACTATCTCAGTGGGATAGCAGATTGACCATCATCAGGGCGAACACTCCAAATCACTTGGTGAAAGCAAAACAAAATAAAAAAATAGAGAGAGAGAACACACAAGGAGCTGAAATTCGCCCGTGCGGTGTGTTTCGTTAAAGAAAACAAAACAAGGAAGCCATGCACATAGAACAATAAACATGAAACGTAGATCCGGACCATATGGGAAAAGCAGTAAACAGGAAGTATACACATAGCTCGCGGACTCCCGTAGTAGCCGCTAACCAGAACACTATCCCAAGTCAACCAGCACTCCGAAATCACATCTAGGGAAAAGCGACCAGACCAGACTCCGGGCCAGATGTAATGCGGCATCAAGACAACTAGCGAAGCACCGAGAAACCTCGATAACCACTATAACCGCAACCCATATACTGAATGCAAACCGTGGATAAGAGAAAAGCACCAGGTATCCTTCCATTATATCACGGAGGCAAAGGCCAGCCACTGACTCCAGATTCCAATTATGGAAACCTAAAGAGCGAAAAAAACGAAATCAAAGAGACAATCTGTCAGGAAGAAAGAGTCGGAAGGGACAAGGAGACGTCCCAGAAAGATTGACTCTGGTGTGGAAAATAACATGCAGAAGCACATGAACAAGAGAAACACGCAATAATTCTAGATCAAGCGTAGGAGCTCTGAATGCTGCTTGAATGGATACCTGGTGCAGCATTCAGTTTCAAAATCCTCCGCAGATCATCCTCCATTTTCTTAGTATCCAGAGACTTGTTGGAAGACGGAGGATTCACCGGTATACCTTGGGGCAACTTCGACTGCTGCGACACTGGTGACCCGTAGATCTGTTGCAACGCAGGGGTGTTAATGGGGTTGGGTTGGCAGTACGCTACATGTGGCGAGGTGAACGTCCCTCCCGAGATGCCTGCCATACTTTTATGCCCTGATGGTGAAGCTTGCTGTTTCAAAGTGTAATCTTGGTTCCGAAACTGTTCGGAACTACGAGTCTGCGAGGGGAAAAACGGAGAATGTGCACAATTGCCGGATATCAAATTCTTCTGTGCATGAGAACGCTGATAGGAGTTTGATGTTGCGGGGCCTGAGGTAGCTCGTAAAGGGGTCACGAAATGAGGCACAGTGGAATCCGAAACCGGGCGTACATCGCCATTAAGCGCATCAACTTTATGACGACCTAATGGGGATACAGAGGATGATGGCCGCTGTGGACGAGGGTTGAGAAGCAAGTCCTTAAGAGCTTCCGTTTTAGCTTTGCGTTCATTTTCATCGAGGTTCTCCACTGGCCGAGAGGGAAGACTGGTAGAGCGTAGGGAATCCATGCGATGTTTGTAAGAATTAGCAATTGAGTAATTCGTTGGCGGACTGCATATATCGGGATTTTCCATGTCTAGCTGGAAGATTCCGCCAGCTGGACTCTCAGGTTTGCGATGAGAGAGAGGAGTGCTAAAACTTATAGGAGCAGGAGATTGATTTCTGGTTTCAGTTTCAGAGTCATATTGAATTTTGCCATTCCTAGCTTCAAGAGCAGCTTTGAAGAGAAAATCCAGTGGCGTCGGTTTCTGCCCATCAACGCAAGGAATGCGCGGTTTCGGTTTAGACGGTGTATTTTCAAGGTCAGGGCCCGCTTCTAAGACATCACTGTCCATATCCAACACCGGTGCAGAATCAGATTCAGGAACGGACTTCGAAAAGAAACTTGGAATTGGGAGAGCGGAAGGTGCTGGTGATGCGTGGAAAGTCGGCCCCGCATAATGGGGGCTGTTCTTCATATGGGAAGGCGAATCCAGATTTGGCTGCGAAGAGGTATGTCGGTGCCCATTATTCGAGACATCTCGGGGCTTTTTGCCGGATCGCACATTCTTCTTCTTGGACATGTTGACACCGTTGGAACAGTAGTAAGATGCGTCCGCAGGGCTAGTGTCCCTAGGAGGCGAGGACGGGGGAGTTGAAAGCAATTGCTTTGGCGCATGAGGAGTCATGTTTCTTTTCGAATGACGTCGATTATTTCGAACTCCCTTAGGAGTTGGAGGAGGGGGGTGGGGTTGAGTCGACATGGCGACGACAGGTTGGCTTAATAAATATGCAGCCCTTAAAAAGAGAAGAGGAGAGATAAGAAATCAATAATAAATAGCAATAGTAGGAAAAAATCAACTCCGTCAAAGAACTGCTCAGCAGTCGATAGGAAGAAAACCCAGCGCTAGAAAGCAGAAATGACAGACCGAATTCAGAAGCCGGAAACGCCGTGCAAGTGTTGCAGCGCTTTATCAAAGGATGGTAGGATCGCACACAGGGTGTTGAGATTAGATCTTCTATAGTCGGACTGAATCAAAGAAAGTAAAGGGAGGATATAAGGGAAGTATGGACATGACTAGGATGCAATCAGGGAAGTGTGGAGGGTGCAGTGGGAGACAGGAGGGAGCATGATGTTGATGTTGACTGTTGTCGATAGGACGATACGCTGGGCGATAGAAGACCACGGCAGATAGTTAACTAGCGGGTAGCTGGATGACTAATCACTGCGCCACTGCAAACAGATGTAAGCAGGCGAACCGCGATCTGGCGCCCAAGGTTCCTCTGTCTTTGTCCTGGCTTTCGTGACCTCGACTCCAGTCTGTTGGCTTGTACACCGTACGCAGTATTCCCTTGGGCGGATTTGGGATTGTTCTCGAAGGTATCCTATGCTGATATCCATATCTCAGTTGCCTTCAGACGCTCTTTCTCTTGTATCGCAGCGTTACTTGTTCCTCATCGCAGCATACTACGTAATCAACATACCCCCTCCCTACTGCGTACACCAGTGGACAAGGCCATTCCAAAGTTGGAATTTGCCGTTTCGGTGGCTACTCGCAGTGGGACTATCCAGAAAGCAGAATGGCAGACGTTGAAATGAAGGAAGCCGCTTCTGGCGCGCCGAAAACCAAGACTAAGGCCTCTGAAGGCACCAACGACGGAAAGAAGAAGTTTGAAGTCAAAAAGGTACGTACAGGCGTATATACATTACAACTAAATCATATGCCACGAAGCTGACCGGGACTACGAGATAAGTGGAATGCCGTTGCTCTATGGGCATGGGACATCGTCGTTGATAACTGCGCTATCTGCCGCAACCACATTATGGACCTATGTACGTATTCTTTCCAGAGCTTGGGGGCGATCCATATCTCACAACTGAACTCGCGCATATAGGTATTGAGTGCCAAGCAAACCAGGGTTCGTCCACAACTGAGGAATGTACTGTAGCCTGGGGAATATGCAACGTGAGTCCCTCCCTCCGTGCGTGCGGGATTTGCTTACATGGAAATCTGGGGTGCTAATGTCTTTTACCCTGTAAATCTTCACAGCATGCGTTCCATTTCCATTGCATTTCGCGCTGGCTCAAGACCCGTCAGGTCTGTCCTTTGGATAATAGGGACTGGGAGTTTCAGAAATACGGTCGGTAGGTCGCGGGCGACGATCGTGGTGCTCAACGGTGCCCTCAGCATGCGTTTTCATGATTTATTCGGACGCTTTATAATGTCATATGAATCTGCCATTCCTGATGGAATGTACACTCAATTCGGATAGGACATGGGTCATAAACGGCGTTATGGTAGTTCTCTTTCTTTTTCAGACTTTTGATAGTGGGTTTGAGGGTACATGCAGGGAAGACATGGCCACGGGGGGGTGGTTGCTTTCTGACGACAAGATACCGCTATCGAGGAAGGTTGGCGGTAGTTTCCGATAAAATGGACTTGTTTTCCTTGGGCGTCATTGCCGTATGGAGTATTCTAAGCAACTCTTTAACTCCCATCTACCAAAATCCCTGCACCGCCAATCTTCCCAGTGCCGGGAGTGAGCCATTTCTCTGGATTTCTGTTGTAGATAGGCCAAGGAGGGATGACAATTAACGCAGTGAGAATTGTGCCGACCAACCCGAGCCACAGTGTCAGATGGATGTCCTGGTAGATATAGCCGGCCACGAATGCAACGGCCTTTGGAAAATTAGCTCGAGAAGACTAGGTCGGAGTTTGAGTTGAAGCTTATAGAAAAACATCAGACTTACACCGGAAATAACGAGGAGCACTGTACAAAGGATTTCCGCAATTCGCTGACCATGGAAGTCCTATCCTCGATAATGATGCCAGATTAGCAAGTACGTCAAGGACGCGATCCGCAGCAAAGCTGTAATTTAACAAGATGGGGGAAAAGAGAGAGGTAGCGGCGGCTCACTATTTGACCTTCCATAATATCCTGAAGAGGCGCAATCAAGTCATCCATGATGGATATTTTGTGCACGAGAGCGTGATTCTCTTGAGATGATGCGTTGTGGACAGAAGACAACTTTGGGCTTGTGGGACTGGACTTCGGAGGTAATGCCTTAGGTAGCTTGGTTCCGGCAGGTGTCTTGGCTTATCCAGCATAAATAGTAAAGAGTATGTACTACAGCAGGGGAATGATAATTCCTTTTCTTTACAGCGTACCCTTGAATATATTTTGTGGCATGCTTACTATGGGGTATTTCACCGCAACAATAATAATGGTAAAGAAGATTACGCAAACATGTAGTGCCAACAGATCCAGCTAGAGAGGTTTAGATTGCCGTGCATGCCAACGAAATGTTTTTTAATGCCTGCTCTCCAACGCTGATTTACTTTAGACACTGTCTATGAAAAGGAGAGGACCTGGAAACGACCATATACAGAATCAATAAAGCTCACCACGTGTGTTCTATCCCTGCGATCATCTTGAGACCATTCAATGCTAAGCTCCCAACCCCATTCATGTGCCCTTTTTTCTTTCTTTTAATTCCACGTTGCAGTAGCACCGTCTCCAGCAGGCTCGAGTAGTTTCCATTGGCAATTGATGTTATAGGATGCGAACCTTGCAAGGATGCAGTCCGCAATCTCTGTGAATCTCTCCGTCGCTAGAGCAAGAATAGTTGGGCCTGCACCTGACAGGCAGATTCCCAGGAGACCTGGTTGCGTGGATGGCGTCACAGATTGTAGAACTTCCGTCAAGCCCGGTATTAGGACCTGACGCCATGGCTGATGGACCCTGTCCTGCATGGCCAGGTAGATTGTATCGGCATCGGGAGGAGAGCTTCCCAGTGCTGCCGGAAGGAGAACAGCACGCTGCAAATTGAATACCTAGGACATAGCTATATAAGCATATCTATCAAGTGCAGCGGGGCAAGGAATGACTTACAACATCCTCTCTCGTGTACATCATCGGCAGAACCTTCCGTGCTTCTGCGGTGGGTACGACGAAGTCCGGGATAATGGTAATTGCCTTGATTTCTTTCGCCCAGGGGAATCTCCTGTAGTGACCGATACCAAGGGGCGGTTCGGGTGGTCTTCTACCGGTGTCAATGCCACCAGCTGGGGTCGGGAGAACCTCACTTAGAGGGATCTCCTTGCGAGCTACATCTTCGGGTTTGAGAACGTTCAAATAAGTTCCCACAAAACCACCGAATAGAGATGCAGCCACATTGTCGGGATGTCGCTCTAGGAAAGAAGGTTGTAATCAGCAAAAGATGACTTGGTTTCCTTTGGCTCCCCCCATGTATTATTGCCACTGTTATCATTACTTCTCCCCCGAATCCGTGAAAGAAGCTTGCAAAAGTCGGAGAGGACGAAGTAAAGATGGTGGAATAGCCCTTACCAATCATTAGGCAGTAATCGAGGAGGCGTTCTTTGCTCAGCCCAAGACGGCCTACTTCATTCCCCAGCATGACACCGGCCACGACGGCGGTGCCGGACGAACCCAGACCGCGACCAAGAGGGATTGGATTTACAATATGGACGTGGGTTTCGACGGGGAAAGCCCTCTGGTCATTGCATCTAAGTACGTACAGAGCTACACGGGTAATCAGATTGACCTCGGGGTCCAGGCTGATCTTTTCGGTACTTCCACTCAGGTCATCGTATGTAACGACACAATTGAGGGGGTGCGTTGAAGCTCTCTTGGAGGCGTCAATGGTGACTTTGAGCTCGAGGTAGAGCGACAGGGCCAAGCCGATCACATCGAAACCGGGACCGATATTGGCGGAGGAGCAAGGAGTTCTGATAACGAAGGAGGAAGAGGAAGAAGAAGAAGAAGCGGCGGCCGTCGCCATTGTTAATGACAGATTGGGGATGTTAGACAGGAATCAACAAGGCATTGGCACAAATGATGCAATCTGAAGCAGAAGAGGAGCCAGTAGAAGCATGCAGGTGATGAGTCAACGACGCAGAATAGTTAACTAACTGTTAACTAGTTATAATAAAGCAGAATGATATATCGAAATCGCAAGGACACGGCCGAAGTCGGCTCAGAGATTTGAGAGTGGCGTGTGGCTGGTGTATCCTGCATAGGGCTCAAGCTAGGCTGTCTGTCCTCCGTATTATTTATTACTATTCTTATTCTTATTATGCTGTGTATCCTACGCATATCAGCCATCCCGGAATCTCATCGATTCCCTGTTGCCATCATGGAAGATACTTCCATCCATCCAGCCCGCCACGATTCCACGGCAACTCCAGCCATTGGGCCTTTTATGCATGCTCGGGAGATCCGACATCTACGATCCTGGATCGCTGGACCTATACCCAGATCAGTAATAATGATAACACCACAGCAGTAGCACCAGAGGCACAAAGGATGAACTGCTAAGCCATCGTTCTTGCTATTGTTATTATTATTATTCTTCTTCTTCCGGAGAATTCAGAGCATAATCAGCATGTTGGCTGACCCCATCACTCCACACGAATCATTATAATTATCATTCGACTAATCCAAGACAACCGACGCGACCCGCTGTCAAATTTTGCTTTGTTAGGCTTCGAGCTGTGGAAAATTTCAATTTCAGCCCTCCCCCTTTCCCTCTGTTTTCCACTGGCCCTTCTTAAGATATAAACTCTCTTTCTTCCTCTCTTTTCCCCCTCTTCTTATTCTTTTCTTCCCAACCTACTCACCTATAAAGGTGGTCATCCTCTTTCACTAATATTTATTTATTTTTCTTTGTTTCCATTGGTGGAATCTAGATTCTCAGGTTCCTCCATCTTTTCCACACCCTTCAAAGGAATCCAAGCTCCTTTGCTTGGTTGAGGATCATCGCCACTTTTATTATTCCCACAAAATACCTCTCTTCCCTTAGAACATTTCTCCTTCGGGGATTTATAGCGGGTTCTCTTTTCTCTTTTTTTTCAAACTGCCCCCCATCTGCCTCTTACTTTCTTGCTGTACACGCCGTAACCTCCCGCCAGTCCAACGTCATCAGTCGGTGGAAGACTACCATTTGACTCGGAGAGTATCCGTCTCGAGGTCCTTCTGTCGACTCGCTCCCTCTTCGCTGAAACCCTGGAGCGATTGCGCGCTCCTTCTCGAATTAATCCAGTCAAGTTGGCGGGACTCAACCCCTCCCAGACCTCTTTCCTCCACCCTCTCCTGGGCCCCAAGTTCAGGGTCTTCTGCGGGGGCGACACCAGACCCCCTTAACTAGGCTTCAACGACACTATCACTTGGGCAGACAGACGTGTGCTAGTAACGCCAGAACCCCTAAGAGGGTTCTGGCTGAGGATGCAGAAGAATTCGGTCACCCTAGGGGCTTGATCGACCCTTCTTTACATCTTGTTCGCGGAGCATTGTTGTCCTTGAAAAAGCCTTTTGACGAACCCACAAGGTCCCTTTGCATTATCACGGTGCAATTTTGAACGTTATCAATCGACAGCTGGAAACAAGCCAAGTCGACAGACGAAAGAAAGAAAGAACGAAAGAAAGGAAAATCTATGAAGTGTCGTCGATGGGGTAACAATGTCGGAGTCCCCGAAGTCTGAAAAGGGCGAGTACCTGACCAGGTTCAGCACGCCTGTTCCTGAACTAGATGACCACCGCTTCCAGCTCTACCCCGAAGATTCAATGGATGCCAATGCCGATATTCGCGAATCATTTAATCCGAAAAGCAATATGAGCCAGGGTTTCAACCCAGAGACACCGGAGCGTCCACAGGTTCAAAGGACTCTCCTTGAACCAGGATCCGCTTTTCGCGATTTTGAACAGGCCATAGTTGACGATGACAGGTCTGGCAACGATATGGATGCCTTCAGCCGGCGCGTTTCTGTTGATCCCGTTGTCTGTCGTCGCAATGGCCGTACATACAGCCGTACTCAGCAGGACCGTCCAAATGTTTCGAGAGAATCGTCCGTCTCCGCAAAATCCTCTTCCCCCCCTAATTCGGTGGAGGCTTTCGCAGATCCACGCCGCCGGGAACGTGCAAACACTCTCGAAAGTCATGCGCCTACGGACTTAGAGGCCGCTCTCCAGCGCACTATCTCGGGGGGGACTAATGGTCGCCGCCCGACATTCAGCAACGCCAGCGCCGTAAGACCACAGCTGGGAGACGCCCGGTTAGATTCGGCAGAGAACATTGTTACACGTCCGTTTGAGGAACCTGGCAGGATCCCCGTTATCGACTATGAAGAGCTAGAGGAATTTGTCGCTCTAAACAAGAAGACAAAATCCGCCGCGAACAGGCGGAAACATAGCCTGAGCTCTCAGAGCAAGAATCTTCGTGTCTTTCATGACCTTCGTCCGGGAGCGCAACGATCTGATTCGTCGACTTACATGTTCTCCCCGTTCGACACGAAGCCGGTTGAGAAAATTTCGGATGGAGAAATGGATGAGAAGGAGCTCCTGGACACCCTCCAGAACGAAAACGAACCTACTCGCTTCAGCTTCTTCTCATCTGAATCACAAAGCACGGTACATGCTGCCGAGCTCGGAGATTTGGTCCTTCCAGGAGACACTTTTCGAGATCTATTTGAGCTGGGACCAGAAGGGGGCGTTTGGTGGCTTGATGTTGTCAACCCTACCGCTCCCGAAGTTGAAGCCATTTCCCGAGCCTTTTCAATCCATCCCCTCACGACTGAGGATATCTTGACCCAGGAAGCTCGCGAGAAGGTCGAGCTATTTAAGCAGTATTATTTTGTCTGCTTCCGGACGTTTTATCAGATGGACAAGAGCAGTGAACGGTTTTTGGAACCAGTTAATTTGTACATGGTGGTTTTCCGGGATGGGGTCTTGACGTTTTCATTCACAGAAAACCCCCATGCTGCCAATGTCAGAAAGAGAATTGGGAAACTTCGGGACTATGTCTCTCTTAGCAGTGACTGGATTTGCTATGCCATGATGTGGGTCTCTTTACCTCCTTTTTTTAGCTGCTTCTCCTCATCTTCCCAATACTAATGCGGAGTGAAAATCTAGCGACGATATTGTGGATAGTTTCGGACCAGTCATTCGAGATGTTGAAGTTGAATCCGAGGCAATTGAAGATTTTGTTTTCATCGCGCGTGTGGACGATTTCGAATCATTCCTTCCGCGCATCGGTGGACTGCGCAAGAAGGTCATGAGCTTGATGCGCCTGTTAGGTGGGAAAGCCGATGTCATCCGAGGCTTCTCCAAGCGTTGCAATGAGCAGTATTCAGTGACTCCACGCGGTGACATTGGCCTGTACTTGGGTGATATTCAGGATCACGTTGTCACCATGATGTCGAACTTGGGCCACTTTGAGAAGATGCTCAGCCGCTCACACACCAACTACCTGGCACAGCTAAATGTGACAAATCTGGTTCTGGGGAATGAAGTGAATAAGGTCCTGGGAAAAGTGACACTCATCGCCACGATGATGGTCCCAATGAACCTCATCTGTGGTCTCTTTGGTATGAATGTTCCAGTGCCTGGGATGCATAGTGACGGCCTTGGATGGTTCTTTGGCATAGTTGGAGTCCTTGCGTTTATTGTCATCGCCAGCACTCTGGCGGCTCGGTGGTATAAGCTTGTTTAGGGGGCGGCTGTGATACCATAATCCTGTTTACGATGCGATGCAGTTTAGTGACTTCCAATTATGTGTTTGTCTTTGCGACCGATGATAGATATATATACACTTTTACCATTGTTGTATGGCATACTCCAGCGTAGCTCCTTCAAGGTCATGTGATGCACGCTTCTGCGGCTTCAGATGAGGTGCATGTGCATTGCACAGCTTCTTGATGGCTGGTTTCTCCGTTCCTGTTACTCAATGTAGCCTATCTCTGTAGGTTGCATTTATGGGCTTCTATCATGCTCCTGAGTACATTTCTTACCCTGTCTCCTGTTCTGCATTCCAATGTCTCATAGAGCGCAGCCTTCCGATCAAGCAAAAGCCCAGGTCCGCACGCACATGCTTTTTTTCGCCGTTCTCGCCGTTCTTACCAGCCTCTCATGCAATCCCTTCCACAGCTACACTGGCAGAGCCACTTTGCTGCCATCCTGAATGCTTCCCGCTTTTTTATCCTCTGTTTCATCGCTCTCCGTTTCCTTCCCACTTATGCCGTGGAGACCAGCACTCTCACATCCCCGGGCCAAGGCGCCTTAGCCCTTGTTGGACAGGACAACAACTTTTACGGGCTGCCATTAATTGGTAACTTGCAATTTGGCTTTGGAAATCAAGATGATCAAGAACAATTCTCAGAGGTGCAAGTGCCTGTCGAAGCCCGCAGTGTTCGCCGCGATCTTACAGCTCTGGGCAACAACCAGTTTATGCAGAGCGGCATTGGAGTAGGCGAGACTCAGTGGTGGTACTTTCCAAAAGAGTCTGTCAATGGTAATACAACTCAACTGGCGTCTGGATCTCATAGGCACACACCTAACAAGGACGTCGGCGGCTTCTGCGATCGCTTTTCGAAAGGAGACGGGCTTTCTACGGTTTTCATATCTCTCACTACCTGTTTGAAGCCGAGCCTCAATGTCACGAATACTACGAGTCCACCCGACTTGCCGCAGCTAGAGCTCTACATCTCTTTATCGGAATCTGTTCGAATGCCTGGTCCTGGGGCGAATACTTCGAGCCAATATTCTGTGCGAGCTCGTGAAGGTTACCTGTGCGCAGATGTGGAAACTGATGGTGATATCTATATTGGCGTTTCTGCACCCAACTCAACGACATATGCTGGAATTTACGAATACCAGCTCGCCGCCTCAATAGATGGTTTATTCCACAGTGTAGTTGAGGATGACAATTTTCTACATCTTATTGATTCGGATGTAAATGCCGCCCTTCTAGTGACGAACAATCTGACTACCAGTGATTCAAATTCTGAGCATTATCAGCGATTGATGGGAAATTCTCCCCCATATACGATATTCGCGAACAATATCAACGACACAGCCATCGCTGGTTTGCAGCGGTCATACTGTGCTTTAAATCTACTTGCTCAGGTTCGAAAAGATAGCAGGAATGTTCAGGCCTCGATGACAACGAGGGGTTTGGGAAACAAGCCGAAAGAGCAATTCTATATTACGGGTCTTAACAGAAGTTCCACTTATTATGGGATTGTGGCTGTTGATGGTAATTCGACTAATTCGGGAAACGGCGTAATCGGGGGCGGGGGCACGGTCTACATGCCTATGAATTTCTCGACCAAGGAAGGTAAATATAAGGATGCAAAGAAAATACGAGCTTAGTCAAGCAACTAACAAGTGACAAGATGACAATTGCGCAGTTCTCTTTAATCTGGAATTCTGCTCTGAAGTCGCTTACGCCGTGCCATCTAATCCATCAATCGACGTCACAGAGTTGGGTGCGATATATGATAACCACACCGCTTTATTCTACCAGAATTTCAGTTATTCCCTGCAGCAGATCCAATGTAATTCCAGCGCTTATGATGCATCCTCTATGTGGTCTCTTGCCGTGAATTGCAGCGACTGTGAGGCGGCGTACAAGGAATGGCTATGTGCCGTTACTATTCCACGCTGCGCTGATTTCTCGAGCGACCGCTCGTATCTCCAAATCAGAAATGCTGCACAGCAATTTATCAATGGCAGCTCCCTTGGCAATAACACCTTACGACAGGATCCTGCAACCAGTCGATCCCGAAACCCGCGCATCGACAGTATGATAAAACCAGGACCATATAAGGAAGTCCTTCCGTGTGAGGACGTCTGCTATAACCTAGTAAAGAAGTGCCCTGCAGCCCTCAATTTTGCATGTCCTCAAGGTGACCTGCTGTCCAAGTCATACGGCCAGCGGCTCTCGGACGATGATATTACTTGCAGTTATCTGGGAGCAGCATATAATTTGAGCGCTGGTTGGACAATTCATGTTCATGACCATTTACGGCTTCTTTTGTATACCTTGGGCAGTTTCTGGAGTTTGGTCTGGGTGTTGGTTATGTGAATATGTATTTCTTCTATTAGTGTCCTTATATACCCTCATTTCATGACCAGCGTAACTAGACACGAAGGCGAAAAAAGGTACGCCATTGTTTGAATCGTAAAGTCAATCAATGATACCCGGGCATTTTTGCTCCATATCCTTTAAAGTGGAACATAAAAAATACGCCATCTAGGGAGCCTAAACAAATTGCAGTTGAGCACATAGCAGCCAAGAATCATATCCATAGAAGCATTACGTTAGTTCTTATCTCAAGAGCAGGACATGTCGAACTAATACATGTGTCCGCACAAGGACTGCGGAATCAGAAAGATAGGCCTAGCAAACTCCCAGCCCAGAGGCATATTATCATAGTAGGAAAGCAAAAGTTATTAGCTCACTTCGTCTTCTTAGGAGTAGGAGTCCACATATTCCTCAAACCAGAAGAGGATGGAACCATCCCCGAGGAACGAGGCGTGCTCCCAACTTTCTGAAGCAATTTCTGCGCGGCAGGTGTTAATGCCTTTATATTACTGCCAGGTCTGGAGGTGTTAGGGGTCCGAAGCCCGAAATCAAGCTTGGGACTGCTGGGGAAGTGCGGGACAGGCGTCTTGATTTCCCTTGAAGCCTTTTCTGCGCGCCTAGTTCGCGCGACACGATCGACCATGCGGTGGTGAAGATCCTCTCGTTTGCGGACTTCTCTAATCTGGAATGGATTGGGAGTACTGTCGCCAGTGCCGAGAAGGCGGAGGTCGAAGAGCGAAGACTCATGGTCCTCTTCCCCCCGATGATTTCGTTCAGTCTCAGGCTCGTCTTCATCGACAAACGCATATCCATTTATCCGCGGCGTCTCACCTGTGAAAGCCGCTTCTGAATCTGTATGGCGTGGGTTTCCAGCAATGGCATCTTTGATGGCCGAAATCGAGGGCGATGGTGGAACGGAGGAGGTAGCATGCGCCTCTTCAGCTACGACAGTACTTGAATCCCGCAACCTTGTGTTTTGGTAGAGGACACGCTTGGGACCTGCCCGCGATGACGCTTCGGCCCTTTGCTGTATCGTCTCGTGGGTATCCTCAATGGAGGACGGGATGAACATAAGCGAGTTTTCGGGTCGGGTCTTCCACAACTCCGGTTTTGCAGGGCGGGCGTCAAGATCGGTCTTGATGAGGCGCTTTTGCTTTTGCTCCTCGCCCTTGTCTGGGTTACCTCCCTGAGCAGTGATGCGCTTGGTCTCTCTCTGCCGGTGGGCGAGCTGTCGAGCCGTCGGGATCTTGTTTCCATTCCAAAGCCATGCGTACTTCTCCCGGCGTTTAGAATTTTGCTTATCGAGAAGTTTGTTGAAAGACTCGTTATCCTCGCTGGTGTACTTTGCCTGGAATGCGACAAGACCGAGATTGGAGGTGTCCGGGATCTCCCTCTGTGTAGCCGTAGTAGTAGAAGTTCCTTGTGTCGTCGCAGAGATAGTTGACGATGGCGTATCACCCCCCCAATCTATAGGGGTCTGGTCTGGCTGCCCAGGGGTGGTCAGCCTAGGAGTAGCCCTTCTGTTACCCCTGCCCCCTATGCCTTTCGTCCGTCTAGGCGTCGTCATGACATCGGTCAGTTTCTTCCGCGCTGCTGCAATCCATTCTTTATTCCTTGAATCTAACGCATCCAGGTACTCCTGTTTTATCTGTGTCTCCAATAGCCCTGGAAAGAAATCTCGGACGATGATCTCGGAGAGTGCATTCGTGTAGACGTCTTCGTCAAGAACAGTAGCTGGGCGCTTGATACGTTTTGGAGGTGGCGGTGGGGGCATGAGAATCTGGTCCGATTCACGCTTGGTTAGCGCCTGGGAAGAAGGTTTCGACATTGGGGATTCGCTGAGTAGGGGAGAGGGGAGACATAAAGAAAGAAACGAGGGAATATACGCCGTGTCCTCAGCGTCGTCAGTTGAGTGTTTGAGATGGGTCAACTTTCAAAGCTGGCGGTGGCGATTGACAGTTCCGGAAGACGAAACACATGATATGACGCTCGCATCGCCTGCTCACATTCACATCCTCCAACGCAGCCTCCTTTCTCAAAGCCATCAACTTATCTACCTGGAAGAGCTGCTGGCACCTGCTACTGGTCTCTGTTGATTCGCCTCTAGGGGATGTTTTTACAAGCTTGATTCTCTAACTGCATCACCAATCTGTCCAACGACTCACAAGAGAGATTATACAGAGACCTTCCATTCCTCTCTTCCACCCAGAGACAACTCAACTCCATCAAGAGAAGCTTTCCAACTCGTCCATTTGTCCGCCCACCGTCGGTACTTGTATAATAAGAACGCAGGAAACTAGAGACACGAGGCGCAGGCGCAAACATGCCGCGGATAGAAATACAGACAGAAAACAGAAACGCAAGCGAGAGAACGTGTCCAACTAAGGTCCCCTCCCTTTTTCATTTCCGAACCTCAGTGCCAGAAACACCACCGAATATGCCATTTGAAAATGATCGCCGACAAATGCTCAACTCAAAGAATGGAAAAGCAATAGACAGAACAGCAGATAGCCAACAAAGAGCGTCTAAAACACCAACAAAATGAACATAAAAGGATAATGAAAGGAATATAGGAGGAAATGGAACAAGAATCGTGAAAGTCATAGAAGAGAATGTTGTGGCCCGGCAGGATAAAATGGAAGAACGTCTAAGGGAATATTTGCGTGGAGCGAAATTTATACAAAATAAAAGGTGAGCAGCAGAGATGGCTCGAGGGAGGGCCGATCTAGCACATTTTCACGTTTTTTGAGGGCTCGAAGTCCTCTAAGTGGCAAGGCTTGTGGAAGACGAAGGGAATAGAGAGTATGACACTCTTCCTTTCCTCCGACCTGCACCTTTGGAAGTTTGGGGTCGCGTTGCTCGTGGCTGTGACACATTTGTCTCAATGGATCGATTTATGATTTGCGTCGCCCCCTCTGATGCCGATCTGGCGCGGTCATGAGTCAATAGGGCTACCGACCTAGCTCTGTTATTTCCAAGAATCGCACTCGTTTCGATCTCTGGTACTAGGCTCTTGGTCTGCCGATGATGGGATGACAACTCTGGAGGGGTTGCTTGAATTTGCATCGGAGCGCACATCTCACTTGCTGGTGACTCCATTGATGTGCCTTCCCGGCTGCTTGTTGAACTGTGCACCAAATCAGGTACACTGTTGGCAGAAACCGAAGAGCGATGCCTGCGTACAATTGATGCAGCGCGTGATAGAATGAGGCTTTCCTCCGAGCTGCATTTTCTCACTGGTGAGTTGTTACCCAGATAGGTGACTGGAAGGATTGCTGATTTCTGCGAGAGCTGGAAACTCCCTTTTGTTTCAGTATCATTGGCTAGTGCCTTGCCGGGCTCATCTCTGGCAGAAGTGGCAATTGGCATAGCAACTGCAGCTGGCTCTGGCTCGTCGGCGGTGCGAAACCAATCGAAGTTGCAATTTGATTCCGCAGCATGTTCGTAGCAGAAATCGATATCCTTGTCCCACGAATCAGAGATATCCTCGTACATGTCTATCTTGCCAATAGGAGAGTCTCCCCTAGCGGGCTCAAATTGGTCGTTCGAAGGCCGGTCTTGGAAAAGGTAGTACTGGGGAAGAGTGGGAGAACTAAGCGCATGTGGAAGCTTATCTGACTGTCCATTAGTGATGCAAGGGAGAAAGCGAGGTTCCGGGCTTGGGATGGGAGATGATGGGACAACTGCCGGTTGTTGATGCTGATCTAACTGAAGTGATAGATTGCATTCTGGGAGTCGGGCCTTTGGTTTAGGACTATCACGCCAACAGGAAACCTCCTCTTCTTCTGGGACATCCTCCAAGTCGGATGTGAGGGTGTTGGTGGAAGAAGCAGCTCTTGCGCGTGCTCCATTGAGCTGGAAGATCCCCTCCAACGTGATCTGCGCCATGGAGGCAGATATCTTCTCCGCCTCTTCCGCAGTTGAGTACACGTGTTCTGGATACGTCTTGGGGGCGTGCAGTCCGAGAATCTCGTCGACAGCTCGGGGGGCAGGCTCCGACAAATCAGGGGAAGACGTCAAATTGGGCGACGGTGCCAATGGCGGAGTGGTTGAATTTGATCTCGGGTGTCTAGAGATCGGACGAGAGAAATTCTCAAAAACGCGGGAGTCGCTCCTCGCCCTGGATAACGGGAAAGTCGGGCTCACTGACGTAAGGGGCTCAGGAGATGCTCCCGGGGTTGCGGGCTCGTTTGACAAGGAGCCCTCTGCCGTGGAACTGGATACATAGTTGGCAAGGTTCTCCGACGAGAAGTTACGGAAATGGAGGTCTTCCGCGCGTATTTCCTTGAGCTCTGGCTTGGGTTTCTGAGAGGCCCGAAGAGCGGAAAATTCGGTGACCAGGTCGATCTCCCTGGACAAGGAGTTGAACTGAGCCGGACTCGTGTGTGTCAGATGATGGAAGTCAAATGGGTCCGAGATGAGGCGCTTTAGCTGTTCGTCTGCACAGTACGCACCATTTGTCAGTCCTGGTTAAGGCTTTTGGCACTGCGTTAGCAGGGTATGGCCAGGGTAATGTGATCACTCACTACTCCGACGCAGCTTGGCAGTGCGGCTGGATTTGCTTCCCCGGTCAGTCTCATCTTCCTCGTCAAGTGTCGTAGAGACGGCGAATCTGCTCCCTTGGCGACGGAGAATACGACTGCCGCGAGAGAGAAGTGACTTTGTCACGCTTTCATGCTTCTCGGTGCGGGTTCTGGCAGCCACACTGTGGAACTGACCCAAAGATGAAGAGTCACTGGATGTCATGGAGGACGCAGGGGATCGACGAGAAGATGCCGTGGAGGTGGTTGTATTGCTTCTGGACCGTCCACCGAAGGTGGACAGCCGCCTAGGGCTATGGGAGTGTGCAGTCGATCTTGACCGGACGTGGTACATATAATCCGGTTGCTCATTTGATGAATTTGTGGGTGGACGGTCTCTATAGTCGGGTTCTTCATGCCATTGACCAGGGAACACAGGCGGCGGTGTCGCCAATGCCTGGGCGGCCTGCATCGTGACCAATGCCTGTTACGACGCAATGTTTTGTGGGATCGGAGACCGCGTGGGGAGAAGGAGAGAACTGGAGGGGCATCCACAAGAGATCCTTCGAATCCTTCGACCGCACAGCAGGAACTGAAGGATGATCGGCCACTAGACAGAATGGCATGTAGACAGCAAAACGGAAACGGCGAAAGAATAAGAGGACGACGAGTCACGGACCCGTCACGTCTGGAAAAGCTCACCTCCTCTGGGGAGGGAATATGGAAAGGGAATGAGAAGCGGAATGAACGGTATGATGACTCAGTCGATCGATGTACCGGACGGGGAGGCGGAGTCAAGGAAGGAAAGGCATTTGAAAGAAGGGAGAGTGTTTAGGACTGAGTAAAGAGGGGAGGGAAGCAAGAAGAGAAGAAGACGGTTCGAAGGAGAGATTACAGGAGGCAGAATGCATGCTTTAGCAGCGCAAAGCCATACAGTTGCAATGGCTTAAAAGGGGCGCTGATGGATATAGCTAGGTGCTATAATTACACGGTAGCATCATCATGGAAGTAATAATATAATAATAATAATAAAATAATGATGTTAAAACATTAATTAAGACAATAATGCAGTTCGCTCTCCTGGTCTGCTCAAAGCCTCCATCACCCACCAGATCTTAGCGAAACACGAATCTCGCGCACAACCAAGACCACCCTCCATCGCCGTTATTATTTTTATTATATTACTATCCACTCCTTGGGTCGAGACTTGAGAACCAGAGGTCTTAACGGCGTTGATCCACTCTCCAGTTTCCCAACTCCGTGCATGAAGAGTGACGGGCAAAAGTCAACTCTATTATTAATGTGCGCGCCGTGCAAGGGCTTCATCTAATGTACAGTCAGTTGAGTTGTATCACGAGAGACTCGAGAAAGCAGGAAAACTAATGCTACGTACCCAGGAGCACTGTTCCAGAAAAGCATCTTGCCAGCATCATCACTCACCTCATCGTGCAGCGGAACGGCCTTCCTCCGCGACGAAACCTTCCAACCATGGATATAAGCTGTTCCCAGCCAACACTAGTGCTGCCTAGCACAGGAACCAGACCAGGGAATGCGTTCACGGTACATCTTCAAGGCCAATCGGGTATTGCTGGCGAAGCCACGGTGGGAACTCGGACGAGTCAGAACTCAGTACAGTACTATAGGCCGTTCTCTTTCACCCCACGCCCTAGTATTTCTAGGGAATTCCAGCCAGACATGCTGCGCACAGAAAGAAAATTCTGAGGCAGAAAAGGGTCCGCTTGATGTCAAGCCACAGCTTATCCTCCACTTCACAGTGCACTGTGGTTATTCTTACCGAGCTAGGTTTCTGCTAGTAACAGAACTTTCCCCTGGCCCATAGTGATACGTACTAATAATCACCGTGCTGTGTGGGGTGTTTGGTCGATTCCTATAACCAATTGATCTCTGGATGTATCTGCTTCCACACTGAACTCGATCCTTGGATGATGAGGAACATTCAACGGTGTGAAAACCGGCTCTGAAGGTGCAGCAAGGGCATGGTGACAGTGATAGTCGACAATCACATTTTGCGCACTCTGCTTGGCACATGGGCGGGCTGAAAACGCTGGGGATAGGCAAGCTGACCGAGGGACGAGCAAGAGGATCGGCAGTGGTTCTGGACTCTGGAGATCTGCATCTGCTACTCTGCTACAGGTACGACGCGGGATACAGTGTACACTATGGATCCCAATATCTTCTTTCAACACACCATACGGACACGGGCGTTGTGATCTGCATTATTACCCGATCCGTGGAAGTCCTAGAGAAGAGACGAGGGAAGAGAAAACATGAAACCAAGCTCCCGGGAAGAGAAGCGCTGCAGCCGCCAGCAGATGCTACCTATAGGCCAGGAGTCTATCATCCCGCAATTCGGTAGATATCTTGATATACGACGGACTCCGCCGTTCGTCCATGGTTATCACGATCTTCGCGATTCCTACAGCGTGTTGGTTCCTCTGCTGCTACTGTTGCTATCTCCAATTCACGTTATCCGTCGCCCGTCAAGATTTACCGGGTCTGCATGCTCCGTTATATTAATATCACTAGTCGCCCGTCCAGCCCTGTCGTCGGAGGATCCCGGTCGCCCCTGATGATCATCATGGAGCAACTCCGGGACATACATCGTACTTGAACACGCGGCACGTACGGAGTACGAAGTAGCTCAAGTCATTCTCTTCAGTTGTATTGCGTCTTGACAGAAAAAGAATCTATATCCGGGGCTACGTACTTTGCCTCTACATAAACCATGTCGATCACGATTTGCTTCTCAACGGCGATCGAGCTGATCCCCTTATGACATACATATTACCCAAATATAACCTCAATTTTCACAAAAAGGGCAGGTGGGTATCTTTCTACCTGTGGGTAACTCGGTGCCCATTCTCATTGTGATGCTGCCCGACATCCAATTTCCACGAGACGGGGCAAAAACAGACCCTTGGAGCCATGGAAACTAGACATACCCATGCGAATATGTGGGCTTGGACGCGAGCTATGCCAGCCACTCGGTCTCTCTCCCTGGAACGCCTAACGGAGCTGTCGCCTTACAGTGTTCACTAAGCATGTTCCAAAATTGGAGAAACATAGGCCAATGGTCGAGAACCCGTTTCCATATAGCGAGCTAATAAGACCCGGATGCACAGTAGGATCACGTAGAAAGACAATAGTAGTTGTGGCTTCTCTTGGCAGCCTTTTTATATATACTCCATGACATACAGAACTTGAGAAATACGATGAAATTTACTTGCATTAATAAAAGAAACCGTCTACATTGTAGATCGCTTTCTTTCTTTTCCCCTATCCAGTCTCCATATCCGTCACACGGGCAAATGCCATATGTAGGAGTGAAAAAAGGGCCTTGGCTAAAGGAGAAGAAGCTATTATACAGCGTAGAAAGCATTTAACTAATCAAAATGATGATCATCAATTCTATTTCCTGCCCCCTTTTCGCTAATAGAGCTGTCGAGAAGTCCCCTCCGGTCGATTTAGAACTGCGCCGCAACAGCGTACATACTGGTATCTTTAAACTCGTCGAGGAATTGTGCCGTGAGATGCGCTTCCCTTCTTCACTTCATTACTGCATCGCATGGGCTCGCTTAAGAGCATTGCCCGAATCGGTGCAAGAGAGGGTCTGGTCTGTCTTGGAATGAGTGAAAAGAAACCGTGGGACAGGGGCGCTCAAGCTGCTGTGCTGTGTATGCAAAGCAGAGCCTTCTAGCTGACATGCAAATTGCCATCACCTCCATTGCATTAATGGCTCTTGATAAACCCAGTTGTGATACCGACTGGTCGATTCAGGAAGATGTCATATCGTGGAATAGACAGGACAGAGTTGGATGAGGGGTGGAGAGAGGAAAGGAATCCTGGAGTAGAATATGTCTTGTAGTGACTAGTGACGATGCCTTGATTTATTTGATGCTATTACATTCAATTCGAGCCTATCATCCAACATGGAAATGAAAGTAGTACTCCAGTTCAGCGGTAGGAGATCAATCGGATGGTGCAGGTAGCCCTTCGTCATTGAGCTTCTCATTGAACAGATCATCATCATCCTCATCCCCATTGCCATTCTCCACGACAGCCACTGCTTCCTCTTCCTCTTCCTCGTCTTCGTCATCCTCGATTCGGAGGTTGATCTTTGCCCGACGATGGGGCACGACGTCCTCCTCTCCCTCTCCCTCTCCCGGAGGACTATCGCGCATCTCTTCGTCGACATCCGAGGACACGCCTTGGGCTCCTCTCCCTGCCCCTGAAGAGGCACCATCCTCCGCATCAGATTCAACCACGAATTCATCGCTCTTGAATTTACCCGAAGAGGCCTTTGCACCTGAACGCCGTTCAAGTCGCCTGCGCTTCTTCGGTGCCGCTTCCGCTTCACTCTCCGGCTCTGCGGTTCCGCCCCTCCTTGGAGATTCATCATCGGTTCCAGCATCTTCAGACTGCCTGTTCTTCTTCCTCTTGGATACTTTCTTCTTTCTCCTCACCTTTTCGCCGGTTTCAGATTCGGTCGTATATTCCGCTGCTTCTCGTGCTTTTTCCTCTTCGGCCCTTTGCTCGGCGAGCCTTTGTGCTTCTTCGACCATTTTCTGCCGCTCTTCGGCGATCTTCTTCTTTCTCTCTTGTTCAATCTCCTGCGCCTTGCGGACCTCTTCCTCGCGTCTACGCATCTCTGCCTCGCGGGCCTCACGAGCCTGTTGTAATTTGGCTGCGTTCTTCCCTTCGTACTCTTTCTGTGCCTGAAGAGCACGTTCGAGCTTGTTATTGATAGTCTGACCCATGAGAGCTCGCTGCTCTAGTGAGGTGGGTGGATATGGTGGGTTCTTCGCCTTTGCTAGCTGACGGAAGGTCTCAATGGCCTCCTCGTGTCCCCTGATTGCATCTTGCACATCCTGCAATGTTTTCTGAGATTCGGGTAGACTGTTTGCCAACAGCGCTATCTGCGTCTGCACAAACGCGACATTGAATTCCAAATGGACTAGATCCGGTGCGACGGAACGTGCGCGCTTCGCGTAGTCAAGGGCGGTGTTCATTGACGAGATGTTCTTCTCTTGCATGCCCTTCAGCAACCAAGCCCGGCCCAGGCATGCCAGTATCTGCGCATCTCGCGCACGGTCCTTAGATAATGCGACTTCGTAGTGTTCAATAGATCTTGTGTATTGTCTGAGTTCAGCATAGACGTGGCCGAGGTTGAGGTACACGCTGGCATCCTTCAAAGTATCACGGACCTTGGAAAAGATGTGCACTGCACTGCTGTAGTCCTTTTTGTCGTCGACAAGGGCGATAGCAATCCCCTGAGCCGCGTACGCATTCTTGGGGTCCAATTGAAGAGCCTTGTCGAAGAATTCAACGGCCCTCTCATACATCTTCCTGCGCTTCTCCTTTTCCTGGTCGGTGCTTCGTCGCATATCTCTAGCGGTGAGGAGATGAACGTTGCCCATTCCAGTCAGCGCATACCGATCATGCTTATCAAAGTACTGTAGCGTATGCTTGTGGTGTCGCTGTTCGTGATCTTCCGCAAGGTTAGTGACGCGTTTCTTCGACTTGCTGAGGTACCACCCAAAGAGCGCGCGAACTTCTAGATTCGTTGACTCGACCTCATAGAGTTTAGCCATGCTCTTCGGTCCTTCATCGGTAGGGCTCTGACGCAGGGCAATGTACGTCAGTCTCGCATTTGCTTCGGTGTAGTCGCTGTGCCGCTGCAAAAGGCCTTGGTAGACCTTCTTTGCTTCATCTGGCATATTGGCAGCCTCATAAGTGCGGCCCAGGTTATAGCTGATGGTCGTGATAAGAGCGTCCGTATCTATATCAATTCCTCCGTCCTTCTGCAATCGATCGCACGCGCTCAAGCCGGCTTGAAACATATTTCTGGCTTGCTCGACCTTGTCAAACTGGTACGAGAAACAGCCCATGTTATTAAGGAGCTGAGGAGGCAGATTTTCCCGAAGAAGGGCCTCCAATTTTTCCTCATCTTCAACATCTTCGGGGCGTTCCTCCTCGGCTATCCCAGCAAGCTGCATTTGTTCCAGCTGTGTCAGACACTGCATGCTCTTCTCTGGAGCTACGTTTTCATAAAGTTGAGATAGGTAAACCAAGACTGATTCGTCTGGAGAGATCCTCTTCTTTTCATCCTTCCATAGAGCGCGGACTGATTCAAGCAGATTGATTGCCTTTTTCGCCTCAGTCGACTTGTCTTCTTTGCTACCACTTTTCTGGGCTGCAAAGACTTCTTCAGCATAAAGCGCCCCGAGCAGCATCGTAGACTCCGGATTTTTGGTTTGCTGAACGATTTTCTCCAAACGAAATTTACCACCATCGTAGTCCTTGCTAGCGATTTGCATCTGCACTGCACCGAATTTAGCCGGGAGATATCCCTTCTCACCACCTCCTCGAGCCTGGTCTGAACGAGTATAGTACTCCGCAGCACGACCCAAGTCGCCTTCGTAGTGCTCCTTTCGGGCAAGTAGGTACCAGCCGTCACTGGCAATAGACATAACATCAGTCTGTTCGATGGCTTTACGCGCCAGCGTCTCGACGGTAGAGTACGACTTTCGAAGGAGAAAATAACTGCCAAACAACGAGCATGTCATTGGATATTCCTTGTCGAGTTTGAATGCTTTCTGAGTGTACTGAGTCATAGCCACTTTGTACAATGATCCGAAAGCCGGGTCCGTAGTAGCATGACGGGAACTGTCGTATAAGTAATACACCGCGAGCAGGATGTTAGCGACCTTTGAGTCCGGATTCTGCAGATAGAAAGGAGTCAGCCGTGCTACGAATGTGATATATCAAAAAGTTCCGCAAAAGGACTCACGAGAGCCAAAGACCTCTCCCATGCAGCTTTCGCTTGATCCTTGAAGCCTAGCTGCCACAGACAACACCCAATTCCGACGCGAGGATCGGGATCTGTGAGTCCGGGCATCTTCATCAAAACCTTTTGATATCCCTCCAGCGCCTCCGCATATTTTCCAAGGGAATACTGGGCCCTGGCACGTCCGAGAATAGCCATTATGTTCCGCCCGCCAAAGGCTTTGGATGACTCATCGAACCATTTTAGAGACTGTCTCAGGGATTCCGCTCGTTCAGACGTATCAACAGCGCCGGGACGAACGGGTCTTGGTGGGTGCAGAGACGCACGGAGTAGGGACAAAGCGCCACGGGCAAGAAACAGCGGAGGGAAGGCCGGATTCAATCGGGACGCCTCATTCAGCGTCGACGTCGCGAGCTGTAGATAATGATCCTTTGTTTTTGCTTCTGAATATAACTCTCCTTCGGGAACTACTCGCGGGGCCTGGCGACTTTTAAGCATCAGAAGCCAACACATCCAGCCCAGCAGTCCGAGTTTCTCTTTCGTTGCTCCGTGGGCGACGGAAGCCAGGCCTTTGTTGAGAATGTCAATGGCATGATCGATCTGTTTCTGTTTTGCATACGCAAGTGCAATAATAACCCAGAAGTTCTTCGCTGCTTTCTCGTTTTCCAGCAGCGTGCAGAGCTCAGTAGGGTCATCTGGAAGCTCTTCAAGGCTGACCTCGACTTCGCTGTCGAAGGTAGAAGCGGGAATATCGATGGCAGAGGGTATGTCGGAAAAGCGGCGGTTTGCTAGGGAGCTAATCGAAGAATACTGTTCGCCATTCAGGCCGTTGGAAAGGCCGTTGCTTGGTAAGGGTGCCATGGTGCCTTTCGACTCGGGAGACACCGAGATGCGACTGGGTTTGGGGGGACGTGAAGACGGTTGGGAGCTCAACTCATGTTCAACAGTGAGGGCAAACCAGGATGTTTAGATGAAGCAGCTGCCCCCGGAAGGCATATGAGAGTAATCAGAAGATAGAACTGAGATGCGGATCGCCGCTGGACAAAGAAGACCTCGCTGTTACAGGATTAGTTGAAGGACAAGAAAGCTGGATCGGGAATGTGGCTGACCGAGCCTGCACCGCCACAGCTGGGCCACCTTTTCACTATGCGACGGTTGATTCGTGAGTGGATATACTATTTATTGCAAGAGTTTAAGGAGATAGAAGAAAATACAGGCTCGATTAAATATCTATACGACTCTTTCGGAGCGGTCGACCACCTTACGCTGCCTCGTGATAGTAAAAACAAACCCCTAGAGTTCTGTTCCTAAGTAGAGCATACTAGTGGTGACCGCAAAGTGAGCTCTGCACATAACAGTACCTCTCTGTTGCTTTCACTTCCGGGCAACTCAGTGCCAAAGACCCCAGAGATTCTGGGATAGCTTACACAGGCTTGCCACGCCTGCCAAGATGCTGAAGATCTGCCTGATCTCTGCCCAGTGTCCTAGTTGGACATGTGTCTCAACATATCCCGCAGCCGAGGCAGCTTTCTGTTCTTCGGATACTTTACCGAGCTCGATAGATCCGGCCAATTCAGACGGAAACCTGCCGGTCTCGAAACACTGGTCGAGTAGTTGGTCCTTCTCCACCCATCTTGCTCTGAGCCAGGTGTCGAATTCCTTTTGGTCATCTAGAGGAATGTCTGATATGGCAAACCGTCTCCAGTGCATGTTCACGCATTTCGGGGGCCGCCCTTGGAGGTAAGTCGACCGCAGGGTAAAGTATTTGTCGGGGAAGCTGCCCTTTCTGAAAGCGTAGATAACGCAGGTCAGTCTCGCGCAACACAGTGGACATTGAGATATGCACTTACGGTGGTCCAGCATAAGCAACGGTGCAGTCGTACACCCAATCAACAGTACCCCTCAGTTGCTGTAAGCAAAAAAATAGCCCAGTCGAGCGTGGAAGAACCTCGTGTTTCAATGGTGCAAACCCCTGTTTCCGTCCGTATTCATCACTCCGCCTTTTCGTATTGATGGACAAATTTGTGCCTTCCGGGAAGATTAGGAGCCACATTGGATCGAATGCTGGGGAGCCCGAATTAGAGCCCATATGCCGGGTCTTGAGTTTCTCTAGGCGATGCTGCAGCCTTGGCTTGTCAGACATCCATTTCCGTGCCATGAAAATAAAGCCGTAGAACATCATGCCTTGGCCAATAATCGGGATATATTTAAGAGATTCCTTTAAAATAATGTAGATGCGGCCATGCATCCGGTTTGAATATGCTACCCACCAAAGGTAGATCCAGTCCGTGTATACCTGGTGATTAGCCATCAGCACAAGACGCTCTGAGAAATCTGTCCTCAATCGCCCGTCTTCAGTAAGGTGGATTTGGCCTATCATGCTCTTATCACCACTGACACAAACAACCGTTGGACAGCCCAGCTGGGTGAGCGCAGTTATGACCAGTGCAAAGGACTGTTTTGTGAATGCCATGTAGTCGTAGTAGCGCCGTTTATTTATGAGGTATAGCGGACATCCAATTAACTGAGAGACGACGATCACGAAGCAGCAGCAGTTGAACCATGTTGCGAGGAGCAGCGACCGGAGAATCTGCATCGGTATCCCATGCTTCAAGGTTGGCTCTCCTTCTCTGTTTTTATTTGCCTTCACATCGCCCTGGGTTGTTTGATTAGGGGAAGATGTGTCTTCTCGGTGTTGAAACTCGGGCTTTTCCATGATGGAAAGGGACTGCCGGAGATAGCGGTTCGGTATTTCTCGCTCTATCTCTGGCCGAAAATGAAAAAGGGACTATACAAAAAATGAGAGCAACTTTGGAAGTTGTTAGTACTCTTGAAACCAGTACGTAGAGAGTGATCTCCGGCGGGGCAAGTACAAAAAAGCGGTGTCAATGATAGACAGCCTGGAATGTGGAATATGCTGGATATGGCACGAGAGTAAGCAGTCAGTGTGAAGATGTCATCACATAGGCCTCTAAGGTCCGACCATAGCTGGTTAAGATGGGCAGTTTGTACGAAGAAATTGACGAAGTCAGAACAGAGAAATGCCGTGGAGAGAAGGTGATCTCGTGGGCTGACCAGGCACAGATCCCTTAACCTTATTGATGAATATGACGTTCTCGTCTTCTTCCCTGTCCCCGGATTGCAGGACAGTCGCTAGCCACGAGGATCCGCCTGTTCATTTTGTTCTTTTCTTCCAGTGATAAAGATGCAACGGTAATGACGAGAATGAGTCACAGTTGCTGAAACCCAGATAAAAAAATTTGGTGTGCACGCTAGCTACGGTCAAATCCTGCCTTGTGTTGCCCAAAGACTACTATGGCGAAGGAAAATTGAAAGTTAGATTATCGCCCTATACTCACGATGCAGCCAGCTATGTTTCGAATGAGATTTACGACGTTCGGGTTCCCTCGTCGGGCGCTGCAGTTGCGAAGCTTTTCGTCATCCTCGTGCCGTTACGAGATCAGAGACGTGGAGGCCCTCCCACGGCGCCTAGAACCCAAATACGAAGGTGTGCGTCATTACCTGCTATGTGTTTTGACGCATAATGGGGATTCAAGCTGCTAATTTGCACGGCTTGCCATAGAATGCTGCGAGGGGGATCTGCTTTCTCTGCGATGGCCAGCACCTCCGCGGAACATCTTGCTCGTGAAGAAGGAATCCGAACCTACCGTAACTAAGTCGCTTATCGAATTTGCAAAGTACGGGGCACACTTTTATCATAGCAATTGGGACTGGAAAACTGATCGCCGTTTTGAATACAGTCACATATCGTCTACGTATCCGTCGATTGCAATAATTTTAGAACGGAAGACCGCGGCCGAAGTGCATTCTCTGCTTCCTTTCCCCGTTTATTCGATTTCTTCTGGACAGAAATCATCGACTGCATTACATAACAAGGTGGATCTTACTGTTACCCTTGGCGGGGATGGAACCATTCTGCGGGCATCTTCCCTTTTTGCAACGTGCTACAATGTGCCCCCGGTGCTGTCGTTCAGTATGGGCACACTGGGTTTCCTAAGTGAATGGCGGTTTGCCGAGTACAAACGCGCATTCCGAGAAGTATACATGTCAGGGGCCGGTGTGGGAGATCGCGCATCGGTTTTGGAAGGCTCGAAGTTGACCGGCACTGATAACCAGACGACAGCAGAGATGGGCCCAACTGGATGGTCGTCGGTACGTGGAAAGTCCATGGGCTTGACGCGGGAGGCTCGCATTCTGCTGCGCAACCGTCTAAAAGTTGGACTTTTCGGACCGGAAGGGACCTTGATACATAACAAGGGCGGAATCCCCTTGAAAAGTACAGATATTGAGCAAGGAGTATATGTAATGAACGAGGTGGTGATCCATCGTGGCAAGGAGCCGCATCTTGCCATTGTGGAGGTATTTGTTGGTGGACGGTTCCTTACGGAAGCAGTCGCTGATGGGATGATCGTCTCCACGCCGACAGGAAGCACGGCATACAGCCTCAGCAGTGGCGGGAGCATTGTTCACCCGCTTGTTGCATCCATACTGCTGACACCTATTTGCGCGCGAAGTCTAAGCTTCCGGCCGCTGGTTCTACCGCACAGCACGCCCATCACGCTGAGGATGAGTGAGAAGAACCGGGGACGCGAGCTGGAAGTTAGCATTGACGGGATGTCGGTGGGTCGCGGAATGGCAGCGGGCATGGAGGTACGCGTGTGGAATGAGGAGGTGAGGCACAACCAGAATGACTGGCACGGGGGGGTTCCATGCGTGATGAGAAGGACTGTTGGCGGAGAGGCGCACGACGGCTGGGTTGGCGGACTGAATGGAATGCTGAAGTTTAATTATCCGTTTGGCGAGGAACGGTAGGGAAGTGCACAGGGAGTTTTGTACACAACATCTGCATATCTGCTTCTGTGAAACACGGGCGGCAGCAGGCATAGGTAACACCACGGACAGTCGACTCGAAGCTTGGTCTGGGGGATCATTCCACTGTATGAAGGAGACAGGCTAGAGACAACCATGGTTTGCATGGCGACGGCAGCCATTGGGAGACGCGACTCCGGCAGCGCGTGGTGAAACACTCCCCGTAGGAATAGTCAGGAGCAATATACAGATGGATCTCTGAATTTAATTGCTTTGATATTGCATTATCTTCTTCCCTCGAAGTCCTCGTCACAATTCTTTCGTCCCTAGGCCTCGCGGAAGCCAATCAATCACGTTACATCCTCGCTAAGTCAGTCCCTTTGACGCTTCTCCTTTCTCTTCTCCCAATTCCAATTCCAATTCCCAATCCTCCTTTGTCCCTCCATTCTCCGCATCATCCCAGGTCTATCCTGCACCGTCTACTGAAGTATCCCCCGACAACGGATCGCCGCAAGAAGAGGCACATCGAGATCGTGCCTCCCACGCTCGGAGCATCCTCGCTGGTACGGCGAAGGCCTCCCTAGGTAATAATCACATCAAATTCACCCCTTTTTTCCCCCTATCCTTTTTTTTGTTGCTGGAATTTCAGTCTTCTCTGCTAGCCACTATTTATCATTCCCCGCTGACTATTTCCACTCTAGTGAGAGACTGCAAAAGAGGGAGACCAGATACCAAGACCCCAGCTTGTCCTCCCGCGCTGATCCTCTCCTCCCCTTCGCGGCCCCTGTCCTGTCCTCCTGGCGGATCCTTACCTGAAGACCTCCAACGGGACATTTCTCTGCTCGACCTTCTAACCTCCTCTCCATCATCGGGTGCAAGCCCTGTTGCGGCTTACAACAATAATGGCTTCCTCGTACGGACAGTAAGTCGACCCACTCCTAACCCCCGCTACCTGCGTTTCTAGACAATGAGTCTTTCCTACCATCGTTCTGCTTACTCTCGTCTCTGTTTTTTCGATGCGGGACCTCTGGCGCACTACCACTCCTAACCCCTGCGGTTACGGCACTGAGGAAAGAAGACTGACGTCGCGACAGTACTTATTCCCCCGAGCAGTTTATGAATCCTGGGCCTGCACCTAAACCTCCAACTGATCGTCCGCGCCTTAATGTACCGCAAACCGGCGTGTCGGCCTCCTTCAGTCAGATGACTCTGAGCTCACCCACCACTCCAGGTTCGGCAGGCCTTTCGCTATTCCCCAATACCAGTAGCCCGTCCCTATCACAGGTCAAGTCAACTCAGAATGGACAAGGCGGTGTCGCCGTCATCAAGGAGGGTTATGTTCGCTGCAAGGAAGACAATAAATTCCTGGCTGGTTGGAATCAACGTTATCTCATCCTGCGTGAATTTCGTCTGGAATTTTTGAAGAATGAAACCGGCAAGATTGTCCTCTCCATCCCCCTAGCTCACGTCACTGGAGTTGCCCGTTCCGAGGATACCAAAATGGCCTTTGAAATAGTTCGCCTGGCCAATCCCAAGGATGCAAGCTCAAAGTCCGCTCTGATCACTCGTGATGTTCCGACGAAGACCATCACATGCGAAGTGAAAACCGATGAAGAGATCTATGACTGGATTGACAAGATCTACGAACGCTGTCCTGGTATGGGAGGGGTCAGTAATCCCACCAACTTCAGCCATCGTGTCCACGTTGGATTCGATGCGCATACTGGCGCCTTTGTCGGCCTCCCGCCGGAGTGGGAAAAGCTTTTAACTGCATCGGCAATCACCAAGGAAGACTACAAGAAGAATCCGCAGGCCGTCATCGAAGTTCTGGAGTTCTACTCTGAGATCAAGAATCGCGAGCAGAATCCCCAACAGTATAATGGTCTATCTTCGCATCCGCCAAATGGTCAGGCGAAGCCTCTCGGCAGCAATGGGGCAGTTGGCAGCTCCATTGCTCCTCCACGGCCGCCGCCGCCGGGCCCCCTGCAGCGATTGGACACGGGGTTGTCTCAAAGATATATGACCGAAGGTTCAAGTCACTCAGGTTCTGTGTCACCTGCGCTATCCCGAGAAAGGTCGTTCGAATCAGAGCGTGCGCATGAACAGCAACAACAACTCCAGCGGATGAAAGAGCTTGCTGACCAAGAACGACGCCGTGTCGAGGAAGAATCTCGCCGGGCTCGCCAACGCGAAGAGGAACAGGAGCGGTTTGAGCGAGAAGCTTATAATGCGTCTCTGCCCAAGACTCGTGTGCCCCTGGCTAAGCAGGAGCTTGGTGGCTACAGTGCACCCGATGATTCGAATCGCTACAAGCCAAGTCGCCCTGCTCCACAGGCTCCTGGCTCTTCTCGACAGCAGCCTCAACTAACCCCACACCGCCCCGCACCCTCTCCTCAGGCAGCATCAAGTAACGGCCACAAGGCTTCACGTTCTCCTGGACCACGAACGGACGAGCGTGGCGTGTCCCCGAGCGCGAGAGCCCGCGTAAATGATCCTCGGTCACCGGCATCTGCATCTCGCTCACAGAACAATGGTGTCAAGGCTCAGCAGGCCCAAGGGCCGCCACCGAGCAGACTTCCAGCTCCGGTGCAGCCTGTGAAACCACTGAATATAGCGAACAAGCAGGCTGCAAATAAACCACCAGGCGTCCGCCAAGCGGAAGCTGCCTTAACGACAAAGAAACCAGAGCCGAGGCAGAAGGAAGTTCGCATGTCAAGCATGTCCGAAGGTGAGGTAATGGACAGACTTAGGGCCGTCGTCTCGAAAGACAATCCGAATGAGTCGTACAGCAAGCAACGTAAGATTGGCCAGGGAGCTTCTGGATCCGTGTATGTCGCGCGTGTTAAGGAGAGTGCAACTTCTCCCGTCGCCCGTGAGCTGTACCGACAGTATGGCCCTCGTTGTCAAGTGGCCATCAAGCAGATGGACCTGCGTAGTCAGCCACGCAAGGAGTTGATTGTCAATGAAATTATTGTCATGAAGGATAGCCAACATGCGAACATTGTCAACTTCCTCGATTCATTTTTGCAAGAGCAAAGCAACGAGCTTTGGGTGATCATGGAATTCATGGAGGGCGGTGCTCTCACCGATGTCATCGACAATAATCCCGTTATCCAGGAAAATCAAATCGCGACCATCTGCGCAGAGGTCTGTCTTACGTGCATATGAATAGGAACGATCTTCAAGGGCAATGGCTAACAGTTTTCTTGTCCACAGACCTGCAAGGGACTGGCTCACCTGCATAGCCAGAATATCATCCACCGCGATATCAAGAGTGACAATGTTCTCCTCGATCGTGCTGGCCATGTTAAGATCAGTAAGTGGCCATATTGTATAGGATGGTACCCAAGTTGCTAACAGTTCCTTTCCTCATTTAGCTGATTTTGGTTTCTGTGCTAAACTCACTGAGTCCCGGAGCAAGCGTGCCACGATGGTTGGTACACCGTACTGGATGGCACCAGAGGTCGTCAAGCAAAAGGAGTATGGCCCGAAGGTCGACTGCTGGTCACTCGGAATCATGGCCATCGAAATGATTGAATCTGAGCCGCCGTACCTAAACGAAGAGCCACTGAAGGCTCTGTATCTCATTGCTACCAACGGCACCCCAAGTCTGAAGAAGCCTGAGAAACTGAGCAAGGAACTTAAATCCTTCTTGAGCGTCTGCCTCTGCGTTGACATTCGCAGCCGCGCTACGTCAGAGGAGCTATTATCTCATGATTTCCTCAAGATGGGCTGCAGCTTAGCGAGCCTGGCTGAGTTGTTGCGCTGGAAGAAGAACACTCAATGATCCTCCGAACACGAAGACTACTCCGAATTGTTATTTTCTTAAGACTGGGAAGTTTGCCCCATATCAGATTCCAAAACCCCGTTTCCAACTTACTTTCTTCTCGACCCCGCCTTTGACTGCGAAATAGAATCTTGTTTCTTCCCCGTGCACATATGGGCCATTACTATGCAGCTAAGATTTCTTGCTTGGTTTTTTTTATCATGTTAACCTGCTTTGCAAGCAGTTTTTATGATGTCCATGGAGACTACGGAGCTTGTCTTTACCATACGGTCATATTTTCCCTGTCCCTCGCCAGCCCTCCCTGCCCTTTTTTCCTCTTGGTATTTGGCGTGGATGCTAGGCGTTTCGGCTTGTCTTGTTACATTTGTGGCTTCTGACGACCTGAGTGGGTTCTATGCCTCGTGCGTCGTTTCTTCTGCGAAGAGGCTCGCTCCCACTCCCTTGTAACGTTGATGATAGCGTATGTTTCTTCTTACCTTCATTTACACCCCCAAGATGACAAGATAATATTCTGGTTGGAAATTCATCCTTCGCGTCTTGCTTCGAGTTGAACATGCTTACCACTCTTGACTTCGCATACGTTTGTCTCCGACGAGTGTACCTATGATGCAAACGTTTTGATTATAGCGAGCAGTGATCTTAATAGAAAGATGACTTCTAATCTTCTCCCTTATAGTTGGTGTAGGCTTCCTCTATCTATTCTACAAGGATTTTGACAAATTCTGTGGTTTCTCATGTGTCATACAAGGAACACATAGAATAATCGTATACCAAAAGCTAATCGTCGAAAAGCGAACCAAATACATCAGTTTCTAGGCTTGTCTTTTTTAGATTCTTTCCCCTAATCCCTTCCAGTAATCCCAGTAGATATATATATGAAGACGTAATCTTCCCCAAATAGAGAAGCGCAACAAGAGATAAATCATTGCAAGCTTTCCCGCACAGAATTTTCAATAAAACCATTAAGTTCTCCAAAGAGGACGCCTTGGAGAATCGTCTCACCTTCCTCGGCAGCCCAATAACCCGCGTCTAGCAATCGCTGTTTCCAGAGCGAGTGCTCTTCTTTGCTTAACTGGTTCCAACGGCGGAGATGCTCAAGGCCGGACGAAGGGCTAGAAATGGGCCGAAGGGAGACCTCAATATCGGCACCGTTATAGCGCACAACGACGGAGGACCGGGCTGTATCCTTGTCCTTGCTGTCAGATGGGAAATCGGCGGTACCAGCGGCTTTCCGAGACTGGGCTATGTCCAGCAGGGAGGATAACGATAGTTGCTTTTGTTTCGGGAATTGTATTGTGTGAATAGCAGCGGATGGAATACTTTCGACCCGGGTGGATCCAGTTCGAGCCACACCGTCATACCCCGGTAGGGATAAGCGAGGAGCGACGATCTCACGGATTGGCGATGGCACCCAGTCTGTGGTTAGGATGTAAGGTCGCTGGATGCCTCGATACTCTGCAATTCCTTGAGCAATTACCAGGCCCGCAATGATGAAGAGGATTGTCACGAAGACACTGTAGACTGTCATCCAGAAATCTGACCTTACTGGCATGGCCAGAACGTAACGCGGAGTGCGATTCACGGGCGGGTAGGGTCCCAGTGGGAAGGTGTGGACAACAACAGTGTTCCCCATGCTGACGGATGCGAGCTTGACATATTGCGGCGGAACTTGGGCGGAGATGGGGTAGGTTGGAGGAACAAACGTTGAGAAGGAGATCTTCGTCATGGAAAACGGGTGCACATCCTTCAGGACCGTGTAGGGCTGGAATTGCCCGTAGCCTTCCTTGGGTGAGTATTCAAGGCTGAAAATCCCAATCGAGTTATCGCTCCCTGACACAGCGACGATGCTTTGCTGTTCTTTGCTTTGATTTCCCCCGAGATTGCATACGTCAAGGCCCAGTCCGATCTTCATTGTTCTGTGGAGCTTCCTGCACCGGATGACGGTTGCAGACTTCCTGTTTAATTCTGATATCTGTAGTAGGAAGAGTTGGCATCCAGAGCGATCCGGCGCGTTCTGGAGCAGTACCAATGCCGTCGCTGAGATGAAGCGCAGAGCCCGGAACTTAGGTCTGGACTTTCTCTTGTCGGGCTGAGGTATGCTGTAGACGGAGGCGACTTCCGGTGCGACATCGGATCTTGTTTCTGAGAATATTTCGCAAGTACACACCTCAACGCCGTTTGTATATGCCACTCTGAATTTCCCATTGTCCACGTCTATAATATCCACATCCTCGGCCTCAGAGTCCGCGCCCAGATTAATTCTTCCGATAACGTCTGATTCCGTGGGCTTCGACATAGCATTGAAAAAGACTATTTCACCAGATTGCGCCAGTCCAGATGCAATGGCGCCGACTCGAGGTGAGTCTGGTCCTTTCCATGGTGACATCCGTAGTATCCTCTGGTAGACATCTTCGTTCCTGGCCCTGAATAAAGACCTGTGCGATAGCGCAGAAATCTTGCCTGGTATTAGCTCCCTTTCGACTTCCACTGCCTCTGCCTCTGCTTCTGCGTCTGTAGCGGTGGGCTTGGACGACGGATAATCGACTTGAAACGACCTGAAGTGCTGGTTGTTGCCGCGCTGTTGTTCAGCGGAGGAGCTGTTGATACCGGCCAGGGCGACGATAGAATTATCACCGGGAAGCGCTGCTGCGAGAGATGTCACAGAATCTTCATCGCGCGATAATTCGATGTCGGTTACTGCGGATATTTCGCTGCGTTTCGACGTGTCCAGAAGCACCTGGGGTCAAGTCACCGTGTTAGCAGCAGAACGAAGCCCATGAAGGAAATGCAAGTTGGCATCGCAAGAGAAAAGAAAGGTAACTTGCGATTTTATTCCCAACGCCAGTTCTGCTCTCTCCGCCGCCGCCACCGACGAGCAAGCAGCTGCTGTTCTGAGGATCAAAGTCGGCCGCGAAGAGAGGGCAGGAAAGTGTAAGTCCGGCCGACGCGACGCTCGGCGCCATTTGAAAGGGCGAAGAAGAGTCTCCTTCACGAAGTAAGTCGTGATTCTGGAATAGAAAGAGAACAGCAGATTCGTGATAATTATTATTTATTGTACGGAGTCCTTGACGAAATCGACGGAGGCGGACATCGACTCCGGGATTCTTGGCATGTCGGGGAAGAACAAGGATGGATTCTATTAGGATATTATTCTATCGCCAACAGTCCCGTTCGAAAATAACAATATCGTCATGCAATGGGTTTCAGCGTCTCTACATAGGCTACATCTGAAGTGTCAACCTGTCTATTCGACATCCTGGCCAGTGAACTCCGGGAGACGCTTTCGAATATCCTCCCACGTTTCTTCTCCATCGACCAGCGACTTGACGGCCTGAAGAATCTCATCCTCGCTTGCGCGGACTTGCTTGGTTGTATCGCGGTCACGAAGGGTGAATGTGTTGTCCTTGACCGACTGGAAGTCGATAGTGATACCGAACGGTGTGCCCAGTTCGTCATTCCGCGCGTAGCGCTTCCCAATGCTTGCAGAAGAATCATCTACACGGTTAGCAACACCCATGCGACGAAGTTTTGCCATCATACGCTGTGTCAGAGGACGGAATGATGGATGAGTCGATAGAGGGACAAGCAGAACTTTTGTGGGGGCAATAACTGGTGGGAACGAGAGAACCTACGAAAGTACATGAGTTAGCTGAGAATCAAGGGGAAAAAAATCCGCACTTACCCCACGGGCGGCATCCTCTGGCCGGGACCAGTAGACATGCTCGATCACGCTGTATAGAATCCTACCGATACCAAACGAGGGCTCAATCACATTGGGGGTGTATTCGCGGACGTTCTCCACCCGCGTGCGCTTCTCAATCTTGATCAGATCCTTCTCAAGCTCAACTTTGCCTGAGCCAACACCTTCGACATCCACCTCTATCTTTCCATTTTGGTCCAAGTCAAGAGCCAACTTCTCCCGGAGCTCCTGGGATAGAGCGTCTACCGCAGCCTCGACCGTCTTGCTGTCCTTTTTGAAGCGAGGTCCAAACTTCTTCTTGTCCAGATCAATTTGCCATTCCTCAATCCGCAACGGCTCGGCCCTGGTTTCACGGACAACAAGGGGTGCACCGGTCTTGTTCTTGTGCACAGTCAGATCGTAGGCACTGCGATCCGCGCAGCCCACACATTCAATCCAGCCGTAGCTAGTCTGCAGCTCTGCATCCCAACAATCAGTAGCGTAGTGGGCCATTTCATTAGCCATGTGCTGGCGGAACCGCAGCTTCTTCTTGTCAACACCCAGCTTGAGAAGGAATAACTGGATGCGTGCAATGAAATAGCCAAGGGTTTCGTTGTCCACAAGGCCAGATTCAACAGCCTTTCCAATCGTCATCTGCTCTGTTTTGGTGCTGCCAGACAGTTGCACTGCGCGGTTTAAGAAGGTCATTTCGACATCCTTGACTTCATCAAAGCGAGGATGCTTCTTGCCACCTTCTGGATCCACAAAGTGCTCAATCTCGGCCATGAGGAACTCTCGTACTCGCAAAAGCCCGGAACGTGGAGATATTTCATTGCGGAATGACTTGCCAATGGACGCTGAAGCGAAGGGCATGCCCTGCTGATTGAACTCGAGCAGTTTCTGGAAATTGAGGAATTGTCCCTGAGCAGTCTCTGGACGTAGATAGCCCGGTAAATTCCCGCTTGGTCCAATCGAAGTCTGGAACATTAGGTTGAAGGAGACGGGGGGCAGAAGGTTGCCACCAGTGGTAGGGTTCCGGATGTCATGCACGGCAATGAGTTCAGCCAGTTCGTGGCCGTCATAGTTGTCAATTTGCGCCAAAATTTCCTCATACTGCTTGACAACGTTGTCGTCCAGTTTGACGGCCTTCGTTTCCTTGACCTTTTTCTTTTTCTTGGCCTCTTTTTCCTCATCCACCACCACTTTTTGGCCACGGGCCTCTTTGTCACCCTTCAGACGTGCTTCAAGCACCTCTTCGATCAAATGATCGGCGCGGAAGATCTCGCCAGTCTTGGGGTCTTTGCACATCCAGTCCGCGAACTTGTCGACGTGTCCACTGGTCTTGAGAACATCATGGGGGGTCAGCATGGTGCAGTCGACTTCCAGCATGTCCTCCTCCAACACGAAGTGCCTCCTCCACAAGTCAACGATATTGGTCACAAGAGCGCAGCCGGGGGGGCCATAATCGTAAAGACCCGAAACACCACCATAGATTTCGAAAGACGGGGTGTAGAACATCCTGCGGCGAAGCATGGAGTCCAAGACAGACCGGTCAACAACCTGGCCGGTTTTCGTGTTGAGGGTTGCCATCTTAGGGGACTTCTTGACAGGCGGTTTTACTTTGAAAGCGACAGTAGTGCAAGTAAAATTCCTGACTGTGTTATTTAGTGGGCTGTAAACTCGGCGGGGAAACAGTCGATAGAAGGGCAGTTGAGTCATCAACCGGGGATAGAGAATGCCGGGGGGTAGGCAAAAGAAGGGAAGGGATTGATATCCGTGTAGACGATATAACCGCCAGAGAAAGCAATGGGGTTCTGAAGCGATTCCCAGAATAGCAGAAGCAGGTGTCAAAAAGACGAAGAAGAAACAATATTGATCGATGACTCCACGATCATCTACCGGATAAATAATTCTCCGCCAAAATTATTTCCTACACTCGAAAGACTTCTAGACGCCAAACCGACATATTCAACTACACCGGCATTCCTCTCCTTCAGCATGGGTTCGAAGAAGATTCGCTCGAAGCCGCCGCCAAGTGCTGCCTCTGAAGACAAGCCTGCCAACAAATTGAGACGCCAGTTGCTACATGTCAAACGCAAACGTGCCAAAGAAGCCGCACGGCGGGCAGAGCGATTCGCTCGGAAGAAGGAAGAGGCCAAGAATCCGAGTCTGAAAGCAGAGCGTCTACAGCGCAATGTTCCATTGACATTGGAGCGAAAGCGTGTGTGGGATGAGGGTGGTAGCGATGTTGAAGATGGACTCGGACTCAGCGTCGACGTGGAGAGAATCAAGAGACTAAGGAAGGAGGAGGAGGAGGAAGAACTCAATCGGCCAGTGGAAGAGGATGTAGATTCAGATCAAGGGTCAGAAGATTGTGATGAGATTGACAGTATGATCGCCACGAGCGACGAAGAGGAGGACGAAGAAGGCGACGAGAAAAGCGAACACAAGACCCAGGACAGAGGCCGGCGCAAGTTATCCGTGCCAACAGCAACAGAGCGCGCAACAAGTCCAACACAATCTATAAGGAGTACGAACTTGAACCTGGCACCGGAGGCACTTGCGGCGAAGTTTTCAGCTCTCTTTAGCAAAGACGTGCCGCCAACGCCCAAGATCCTCATTACCACCTCAATCAATTCAACTCTCCACCATGAAGCCGAAATCCTCACGAACCTCTTTCCTAACAGTGTCTATATTCGACGCACAGCCCATCACTACGCATATAAATTTTCCCTTCGAGAGATATCATCGTTTGCATCAAATCGGAACTACACAGCCGTTGTTGTCCTGAATGAAGACCAAAAGCGGCCGTCAGGTTTGACGATTGTCCATCTGCCTCACGGACCCACATTCCACTTTACAGTCAGCAACTGGGTCGAGGGCAAGAAACTGCCTGGTCATGGAAAGGCGACTGACCATTGGCCGGAGCTGATCCTGAACAACTTCCGTACTCCGCTTGGCCTGCTCACGGCGCATTTGTTCCGGGCCTTGTTCCCACCCCAGCCTGAGTTTGAAGGCCGTCAGGTGGTCACACTACACAATCAACGGGATTATATCTTCGTGAGGCGACATCGGTATGTGTTCCGAGAGAAACGAGAAACGGAGAAGCGCGTCGTGGGGGCAGATGGGAAGGAGATGAAAGGAGCAGAGGATATCCGGGCTGGTCTGCAGGAGTTGGGGCCTCGATTCACGCTGAAGCTACGACGTGTCGACAAGGGCATCCAGAGGGCTAGTGGACAAGAGTGGGAATGGAAGGGAGGAATGGAGAAGCAGAGAACAAAATTCCAGCTGTAGAGGGTTTCTTTTCTTTCTGTGTTCGCTCATGTTGTCTCGCTGTCGCCGTCATGATATCTGGCTTGGTTGCATATAGGGTTAGATCGGAGTTCCATTTTTTTGATTCAATTTACAAAAAAAAAAAAAAAAAAAAAAAAAAAGGCATTTTTCAGTATCAGCCCCTCTGTAATTGGCATCGTATTTAACTGAGCGCTGTTGTAGTTGTACGCAGCCTTGGAGGTGGAATGTACGTTATGACATCGGCGGTGAAATCAGGAATAATTTTATTTTCCTGTTTCCATCCTCTTCCTTCGAAGGGAGATATAGATGGGAAGGAGAAAAAAAAGGGGGCCTCCAATTCAATTCCAACCAGTCTCCGAATTCGACCAGAGCACAGAGCATAATTTCTAAAAAAAAAAGAATACAGAAAGAAAAGAGAGCTCGCGATTATTTGAACGATGAACCCAGCATCTCCATCCAGCACATAACATAGCACGCGCAAAAGAAGAGAACTGCACTACAGAACGGCACTCTATCATTGACCATTACAGAGCTATTCTATACACAATAACAATAACATCACCAACGAGGAAACGCACAAAATGGCAGAGAGCCACCTTTTCCAAACGCCTCAGCGACTCCTTTTCATCGCGTCTATCGGCAACAAACCCCCTTACCACAAAACAAGACACAGTGCAGGCCACGTCCTCCTCGAGGCGTTAACTCCTCGTCTCCTATCACAGATGCCCACCATCGAATTACCACACTACACGATGCCCACGTACCAAACCTGGCGCAGCCCATCGTGGATGAACCATTCAGGAAAGAGACTCACCCGAGAAGTGGAGGACTGGATCTTCCTACGGAGTAATGACCTGAAGAAATTCTATTCGACACTTGTCATTCTGCACGATGAGCTGGAAGCGCCGTTGGGGAAATTGAGAGTGCGGAGAGGTGGACCTGAAGCAGCGAGTTTGCGCGGTCATCGCGGTCTGATTGATGTTATGGAAACTCTGCAGAAGAAGCGTCTTTATCCTCCGCAGAAGAACCGTAGCCCGGCTAGAGATCTGTCGATACTACGCGTTGGAGTCGGGATTGGTCGGCCCTTGAGTAGGGAACGTGCGGATGTTGCAGAATATGTCCTTGGGGAATTGCCTCCGATGGAGATAGATGCTGTGCAGAAGGCTGCTGACCCTATTCTCGATATTCTGATTGAGGAGGTCTATCGTGAGAGAGAAGAGACATGAGATTTGTTGTGTACGTATATAGAGCGATATACTCTTGCCGCGAATGTGACCTACAATTGTGAACTCGCCTGCAACTTGATGAACAGATAGGTTATTCAGGTGTACTATACAACGAGCTGGTCATAAAATGCGAAATGGCCAAATCAAGAGCAACGGTATTAATAGAGCAGGACACAGGGAACGGGAACCATGAGCACAAGCACAAATGCCCTGATGATGTGCAAGCAGGTTGTTCCATACCGGCACCGATCTGTACCAGGTTGAGTACATAATATTAATAAAATGAGAAGGTCGGGGTGGAATGTCCAATTGCCACCATCACGTTGGCTGAAAGCAGGTAATAAGTCGTTATAGAGGAGCAAGCAATGGAACCACAATGGTGTACATGCTCTCCAATGAAAGTAATGGCATCAACTTGGTATTCCTTTTTTTTTTTTTTTTTTTGCTTTTCCAGAGCGTGAAATCTCGTTGAAAACTCAATCGAATTAAACTGTCCCTGCAATGCTGAGATCCCGGATCTCCTGTAGCACTTCCTCCACCTTGTTATCCAAGTCACCCCGAGCGTATTGGTCTCTTGTCTCAGGGTCGAGATACTGTTGTACCTGTGCCATGCGAGAATACGCCTCCGCACAAAAGCGCAACTGGATCTTGACGAGAGCCTCGAAGCTGGGATCCAAATACGGAACACGCAGGTCAATGAGTTGTGGGAGCTCAGTGAAAAGTCGTTCGTTTAGTTCCTCATACGCCTGTTTGGCTATCTCGGTATCACGCTCCGCCCGTGGTAGCTTGGTCGCATCCTTGTCCGGCTTCTCAACTAGCTTCTTAACCTTGGCCCGCATAGCATCGTAGTCAATTAACTTATGGTTTCGCTTCTTGATGCACTCATTAATGTCAGGGAAATAGGCGCAGAAGCGGGTTATGGGGTCCAGGACGGTGTTTCTGATATGAGGTCATGTCAGCCTTCATCAATCACACCTTTGTGACCGACAACACCAAGACTATAGATATACCTGTACGGTCCATCTAGAGCCTTAATCGTTTCCGCATCCAGATCCTCGACAGCCTGCTTGTAACTTCTGCTCACACCATCCCCTGTACCAGCATCGCCGTAGAAAGCATCGATTGTCTCTGCAATACGCATCTGTGAGGCCGTCATGGCTGTTATTTTTATATCCCTGTTAGCACCGTCTTTCTTTCCTTCCGAACAGAAGTTCCAGAATCACAGATGGCGGTCCGCTGACACCCACGACGCACCTCGTAACGAATCCAGATATCCCCTAGCTTCTTTCTGTAAGCGGGTTGCGGCCGTCTCCATGGTCCGGTACCGTCTGCACATTTGCGATCAGTACCTGGCCTTCATTCCAAGAAGTCTCCGTCAGACAAAGGGCTCAAGAAGCGCCGTACCGTTCTTCAATCTCGTAATCTCGATCATTTGTCCTCTCAACATGCCCTATACAAGGGAGTAGCGCAAGTCAGCAATCCCTACTGTTCCATATCATTTATTTCCCCCATTTCCCTCATTTCCCCTTTGATATTGCATCCCAGAGAGGCGTTGATCGATTGTCGGGGTAAGCAGGAGGTGGACCAACCGGTCTTCATCATCACCTGCGTCGTCGCACGGTTGACATTTTTCTTGAACCCTATCAATTGAAAACCTCCGAGTCAGCTTTTGGAAATGCCATCACGAACACGACCGCAGCCACATACCGGCCCAAGACATGATGGCGGGTTCTGGTTACGGGAAAGCAAGGGCGTCTTCGGGATACGTTAAAGATACTCGTCAGTCGATCGTAGTAGCGACGCGGGATGCAGGAAGTGCCGCAGCGAGTAGCGAGAGATGATAATCGAGAGAGCAGGATGGATGGTCGGGGAGGGGCCGGATTCTACGGAGTCAAGGCCAGTTGCTGCTGGCGGCGCTAAGCCACGGGCGATGCGGGACAAAGTGGAAGTGGGCCGTGGGATTATCCGTGGCGGTGTCCGTTAACATTACACTAAATTACATTACACCGCATCAGTTATGCTACGACAACACTGTCTGTGTTAGGACTGGACATGAAGGACGGCAGTTTTATTATCTGGACTGATTATTCAGGAATGACCTGGCCCAAAGCTTCATAACTTAGAAGCACGGCGTTGGATCCTTGGAACCTTCTGCCAACCGAACGATATGTCACTCGTCTATCCTGATTGGTTGGTTTCCTGTAGTATGAACGATGGTTTCTGTTGACAGTAGGGAGGGTGAGGTTCTTATACACACTTCCAAATTCACATTCATTAGACGCAGGTTGTCGCCTTCGAAACCATGAAATGGCACAAGAGAAGACTACGCCGGTTGATGTGGGAGCATCCAGAACACCGGAATCTCGACACAACGCCCCCCAATACAGAGTACGCAGCCCCAACGTCAATTTTTCAGCAGCTGGGAATCGTAGATCGTCTTCTCGCTGTATGGATATTCCTCCCCATGGTGGTTGGTTCATTGGTATCATTCTGGGCAACTTCGTACCCAATACAGGCAGAGTGCTGGAAAGAGGGAAGTTCTTGGGCGTATGTACCTATCGGTGAGCCTTCTTCTCAGAGACCGTGCTATTGCTAAGTTGACTAGGTGTTATGAGCAATCGGCCTGCTGGTCATGATGTACCCCATCCTGTGCAAGGTGCGGTACGAAGCTTTACACCTTTCGTTCAAAGAGAAGGCGCTCTGGATCCATGTTGCATTCAGTATTGTTGTCAATTGGATCATAGCTCCTCTTTTCATGGTAATTTCACTCTATTTCTCGGTGCCAATATCAGCGCTTCTGACTGTGCCGGTAGCTTGGCTTAGCATGGGATTTCTGCCTGACTAACGAGGTCTCCGAGAAGGACTCATTTTGATAGGAATAGCAAGATGTATTGCAATGGTATGTTTCCGTGGACATGCACAAACTTTTCCAAATGCTGGTCTGAGAATATCATCAGGTCCTCATCTGGACAGGGCTTGCGGGAGGAGATGGCGAGTACTGTGCAATGCTGGTCGCTATAAACTCCATCCTGCAGATGGTCTTGTTCGCACCTATTGCGATACTCTTCATCCGCGTTATTGGAGGTTCAGAAGGCGGCATGCCCATTGATTATTCCCTTGCTGCAAAAAGCGTCGGTGTCTTCCTCAGGATTCCTCTAGGGACTGCTATTGTCACCCGTTTTTCATTGATATTCTTGATCGGCAAGGAACGGTACAACAAGAAGTTTCTGGAGTGGACCAGCCCACCGTCATTGATTGGTCTTTTGTTCACGATTCTCATGCTGTTCGCTTCACAGGGCAAGCAAGTCGTGCATCAAATTGTCTCTGTTATACGAGTGGCAGCTCCACTGATCGTCTATTTCTCCGTCATGTTCCTCACTACCCTTGCAGTGACGCGCCGCTGTGGCTTTGGTTACAAATTATCCTGCACTCAAAGCTTTACAGCCGCTAGTAACAATTTCGAGCTCGCAATTGCAGTGGCCATAGCAACATTTGGCGCGAATAGCGATCAAGCACTGGCAGCAACTGTTGGCCCCCTGATTGAAGTTCCCGTCCTCCTGGGTTTGGTGTATGCTACCAAGTACTTCGCCAAGCGACGGAAATGGGAAGCATAGTTGCAAATGTCGCAGCATATGTTTAGGGTGAGACTCCACCCGTTTAGAATAGTCAAGACACCATTATGACGGCTGCATAAAATGCCGAACTAATGGCAGTAGCTTGAACTGTTATCTGATCTGCAACAGCTGGTTAGGAGCAACTGCTGACCAGGCATTGTTGATTTTCAAGAACTTCAAACATGATAGCAATGACAGCAATTAGAAATGATAACATTACTCAAGTTCAGTCAGAGACTGCTCTCGTCCAGAACCTGGAACAGTAACTGATTATGGACTCTGCACCCTTCGTCATTGCCAGACTATTGGAGAAACCAGCCCAGAGCTTTCCCCGTATGACAGATATATCCAGACTGCGAGTATTATATCGATGGATCAATTCATCCGTAATGGTGCAAAGAGTATTGTTGAGGGAATTTCGACTGATAGGCCACGAGCCCATGGTTTCACGAGGAAGACAACCACAAATGGACTGGTGTTCGCAAGACACCTGTGACATTCTAGTTTCTCGAATAGTGGGTTTCCGGAGAGGCTGCGTAGCCTGTTCAGTGCAATCTGCAATGACCACTTGTTCCACGCCTATTTGATCAACGTCGGGAACAGTGAGACTCCGCGGCACATGTGTCTCCCTGCTTCCTTGTGCCCTTGCGAAACTCTCGGACTTGTTCATTAGGAAGACTGGGGGGTGGAGTCGAACGTTGTTCTCTTGAACGCTGACTGGCTAATCTAGCATAGTGACGAGGGGCATATGGTTCATATGAATCGTAACCCGGCCCATGTCGAGGAGTAGGAGGGACTCTTGAGTTCTGACGGCGGCGGTGTCGTCGCCATTATGTCTGACTGCCAACAGACCGCCTGCTGGGGCCGCGATTTTCGAGCAGCAGGGATTGCAACTTTCCGAGAGACAATAGGATCGTCCATTAAGCACAGATTTTCCTCGATGGTGTTGGTGGCCATACCGGAGCAGGACAGGAGGTATCTTAGTTTTTGGTTCTCTGCTTCAAGCTTCTGGATAGCCAGTTTATGTTCGACATCCTTGCGGTGGGCCGTTTCTTGATGGAGTGCCAACTTCTGTTCTAGGTCACGTATGTGTTCCTGTCGTCTTGCTCGGCTTTTCCGTTGGTTTTCTCAAACTCGAGCCAATCTTGCTAATCTCTGGAGGGGAGGAGGCGCGCGTCAGCAAATTCCCATTGCAGGTTTTTCTCTCTGAAGGACCAAACCTTTTGAGAACGATAGGGATCCATTGTCATCTGAAGCACGAACAGGTGTTTGTCTGAGTGAGAGTTTCAAGGGAAAAGGGACCAGAGATTTCGGAGAAGCGCGATCTACACATTCGACGTCACTTGCCGTCAGCTAGTCTCGGCGGAATCGTGCGATGCGGATGCATCCTGAACATCGCTTCCTCCTGTGCATTCCTGGATCTTTCTTCAGGCCTGCGACCTAATATCTCCCATCTGACAATATCTTCAATCGCTGCGCAAGTTGATTAGATCAGATTACCATGGTCTCTACGCGACACCATCCGAGTGACTTCCCACCCCCTCCGACGCCTTCATCGCCTCCATCTTCATCAACTTGCATCAGTACTAACACCGGTAAAAGATGGATGCACACGCCAGCCACGGCAGTAACTCTGTGGCTAGTATTCTCGACGCCCCTAGTCCTGTGGGATGTGGCCTATGTATTGTTGCGTCCGCACAGCATGCCGGGGAACAAGCTGCATTCGCCCATCTGGATACCTTACGCCCTGTACGGAACCGTCGACTATATCTACGGCTGGCCGGCATTCAATGATCGAAATGGGTTCACCGCTGCGCAATCGGTTCTGAACCTGGTCGAAACAGTCGCGTATATCTACTACCTCGTGGCTGTGTATAGATACGGGGACACTGTAGCCTCCAATGGTCGTGGATCACAACGGAAAACAAAAAAGGGTTTGAGATGGTTTCTGGGGGAAGAGAAGGTCGTATCAGGCCGTGCGGGGGCAATTGCTCTTATGGTCGCGTTCAGCGCATCCTTGGTTACCCTCAGCAAGACTATTCTTTACTGTAAGTTGTGCGGGTGTTATTAATTCGCAGCTAATCGATCCGATCGATCGTGATTAATCACTGACGAGTGGTATAACCAGGGCTTAACGAGGCATTCTCAGGATTCGCCAACATAGGGCACAACGACACCCTAACTTTGATCTTCTTGTGGATTATTCCCAAGTAAGCGCTTTCCCCTGCAAAGATACTCTGCACTTCCGTTTGGATGGTTACTAACAATGCTTTCATTAGCGGTCTCTGGATTGTATTCCCCAGCTATAACATCCATGTGCTGGGATCAGAGATTATATCTTCTCTTGAAAATGCAGGTACGCGCGCAAGGGGACGTCCCAAGGCATCATAGGTGCGGAACTTTGCTGTATAGCAGGAATCATAAAGGTACTGAATGAGCTGGATGATCGATTCAACCCGTCTGGCAGGTTGGGGTGAAGTCTATGATGATACCCAAGTTGCATATTTGCGTATATACGGGGTTATGTATGTAATTCTGTCTATTGCTAACATGATACTTACAATTAATTATCAATTTATATGACAGTCATATTCATGGAGTACTCGAATTTGCGGAAGAACCCTAGGCAGCCGTCCAAAAGCCACGCACGCATTCTTATTGACATTGCCATCTATTACATCGTAATGCTAGTAGATATTACCATAATTATTATTTACTATTTACCATGCACGTACTATGTATAGCAGGGACAAGAAATTAATTAAATAAAATACATAATAAAATATTAAAAATTAAAATAAATAAATAAAAATAATGATGCATCGAACATCCCCACATTTCTCAGCCCTGTGTAATATTACCGGTAACAGTACCAGCCCTTCACCCGAGTTGGAAGTTCCCTACGTCATGCATCGAGCAAAAGCCACAGTCATGACTATCATAGTTACCACTTACTAGTATCCGCGCCGATGGTCATCTTCAGAGTCAGGAGACCTTTCTATTTTTTATATTTTAAAAAAAGAAAAGTCTGTGATTATATTGGCCCCCGTGTTCTAGTCAGTTACCAATTAACTGTTACATCTCAAAGACAGTCCGCGGGCGCCGAGTCGGCAAAATCAGACAATCAAAAGATGCCGGCTCAATTCATGTATCATTCACATATTCCTGGTATCTACTCAGGCTGTAGATAATTACCCCCACTATCGATGTGTCGGTTTTTCCTGCATGAGTGATTTGAGTGACGAATGGTCGTCTGTGGCGCAGGAATATGGAGTATGTCCTTGGCATTTGAAAGAATAATAGTATTATTACTCCGCATGTCTAATAATGAAGACTCATATTCGAATCAAATCCAGTAACATTGCATTAGAAGGTACCACTGTTATCTAGCGTAATCCAAACGGCTTCGTGGAAGTGATAGTCCTTTTTAATGCCGCGAACCTTGCACTGCCAACGCTTAGAGAAACATTGCCAAGAGGAAATATAGGCCAAAGAAACCTTGCCACGCCACATAAACGGTTCCATAGCACGAGAACGCCTTCCCCAAACCCAAGGACTCGTCTCCATATGCATACGCATTGCCTCCTTCACATACCGAAAGCTGCAGAAAGCGTCGTGTCAACAAAGGTCCTGTATGCAGCCGACTGATAATCAACGGATCATAAGCGAAGATTTCACCAGAATAAAAAGAAAATAAAAGGAATTGCAAAATGATTTGCAGAACACCGTGAAAAGAGACGTGACAGGCAAGGGAAGTCAGGGGGGTATCTCCGACAGGTACGCATGCCAAGTGCTCCAGGTCAAAAGAGCGCAAAACTCGCCAAGACGAAAGAACACATATAAAAACAGAAAGCAAAGGAGAAAATACCAACCTATCCCAGGCAAGACTCATTGAAAACCATTAAGCAGTAACGTGCGAGAACCAGTGAATCCAGAAATGATTCAGGAAATATAACCCTGCCATAAGCGCCTAGATGACCGTGAATATAAAAACCCAAAAGTAGAGCAGTGATAAATGACGTAAATTCGAAGGCAACAACTCCAAGTGCCAGGAGGGAGAAGGGCGATGGGAAAGAACCCAAGAGAGGCAAAAAAAAGAGGACGTCAGATCAGGTCATGATTCTGCGTTGCACTTAATAAGTGAAGAGAGTGAAAGAATGAGTATAGCAGACTAAAATCCATGCTGCTTAAAAAGAAAGGAAATAGAAGAGAAATCGCCCAGAACAGGCACGCCTGTCTAGAAGCAGATGAAACATCTATGAGCATTAATATTTAGATTCTTTGAATGGATTCAGAGCGTAAAGCCATTCCCAGTCGTAACAAGTAGGTAGAACACATGAGCAAATAGAGCGGCTAACCACATGGGACACAGTTTGGGCCAACATTCATTGTAGCTGAGACCATGCGCCCCACGATACCAGCTCCAGTAGTCAAGGGCTTTCTGTTTTATGAGGAAAGCCGTATTTCCTTAGAAGCCCTCCTCTCCGGCCTTGCATAACTTGATCTCGCGGACCCATTCGGATTTGAGGACCTGCGAGGCGTTTATGCGACGAGAAGGATTGGGATCGAGAATAGAGTAGATCACGTTGCGGCAACGGGCCTGTGAAAGAATATGGTTAGTTTCGATGATGGCACCTGATGCTATTCCGAATAGATTGGCCTACCCTATGTAAAGTCTCAATGGGCGCATAGCCATCCTCGTGCTTGCGGCCTTGCAAGTAGCGTTCGTAGAATTCATCTTCGTCCTTACGTGCGACCCTCCATAGATGTCTTCCTGTTCTCATGGCCATATAGATTACACCAGTCGCCCAGACATCAACGGCTCGAGGATCGAACTCCTTGTCTGTATATTCCTCAGGAGAGATGTATGGAGCAGAACCGCAGAGACCTGCTGTCATGTGTGCTTCATCCTCCCAGGCCATCCGGAAGCATTCTCCGTTACCAAAGTCGGTAATCTTGAGTGCGCCGCGTGTAGTTAACAGGAGGTTTTCTGGCTTAAGGTCACGGTGGGCAACGCCCATTTCGTGCATGTACTCCACGCCACGCATTAGCTGTTTAAACAGGCAGTCTGCTTCAGCGACCTCGAGCTTTCCCGCAGCGAGGATGAGTGTGTAAAGATCGCCACCTGCGCAATACTCCATAACCTCACAATAATCGCCTTTGGCATCTTGTAATAAGTCGAGGGTATGGATCACGTTCGGGTGACGGAGGGAGGATGAGATGCAGAATTCCGAAGTCAACCGTTTCTGGTATTTCTTGGTGGTTTCTTGAGGGCGACGGCGAAACTCCTTGACAGCATACAATTGTTCTATCCTGGAATCCTTCGGGTCCACTTTATGAGAGATTCGAACGATGCCAAAGGCACCGCGACCGACAACTTCCTGGCATTTGCCGTATTTCTCGACGAGTGAGGCGGTTGCATTCGGACCCCCCTTCTTTTCTATGGCGAGTTTGTCACGCTCATTCTTGAACTGGTCGATCCAGGTCGACATGAGAGACAGCTGCTGCTGCTGATCGTCAACAGCTTCTTCTTTCTTCCTTCCGCCCACAAGCATGTCGCGGAGGAGGTCGGTGAGTTTCTCCTGTCGTTTCGCGCTCCTGAGGTGGTGGCAGTGAGAGCCATCTGATAGAATCTCGAAGCGCTTATGTACAGCAGCCCCATCTTTCTGGTCTTTGCTTTTGGATTTCTTGTCCGGGTCCCCCTTGGTGGACGTCTGCCGGGAAGGCGCTTTGGAAGGAGGAGGAGAGTGCTTGGTTTGCTTCACGCTGCCATTTGCAGAGGAAGTCCTTGCACCGTCCGAGCTGCTGTCGGAGAAGTCTCGACGGGATTCGGCGTCTTTCACCCCGGCTTTGCTAGGGTTGGTAAACATACGCGAGATGCGGCCTGCCATGGTTGGTTTGGCCACCTTGGCCGGTGGAGGTTGTTTGGGGAGCGCATCCCCATTTGCAGGGGTGGACAAAGTCATGCCCGGCAGGGCCTGTGTTACCTGGTGCTCTCCATTTCTGGCATGAGGGCGAAGCTGAGGTGTTGAAGAAGCAGAGGTGGCAGCGGTAGATGCAGGTGAAACAGAAGCGGGAGTCATATGCGTCTAAGAGAAACTGGTTTTGCTGCAGGAAGAGAGAGACAACGTCGCCTCCGTAAGGATGAGGGCGACGCGAACGCCTTCAGAAAGCCAAAGCTGCTTGAAAGATGTGGATGGAATAGAATACTCTTGAGTAGAGAAGGGGAAAGAGGAGCAGGAAAGGCCACGGGCGAGAAGACAGGCGAAAAAAAGGGCGCCTTCGACGGACGGTGGCCTGAGGCAAAAAGGTGACGAAAGTGGTGTGGGAATGTATGAGTGAGTTGATGGTGAGCCACAGAGGAATAAGCAAAGTGGCACAGTGAGGTACAGAAGGCTTGTGCAGAGAGAACCACAGAATTCAGTGAGTCTTTGGAAGAAATTCAGCAGCAGGAGGAGTGCTGTCTTAGATCTAGAGGGAGAAAATAGGGATCGGAAGGTGAAATGGCCCTTAAAAGGAAAATCCAGCAGCGCAAAGGGCCTGTTTCTATGAGGGATATATAAAACAAACAGGCGAGTGTGTGTGGCTACAGGGCCATATCCATGAGCCTCTATTGCCAATGCCGGATCCTCCAGCAGCCACGCTCGCGTATAGAGGACGTAATTTTTGAGAAAAAAAAAATTAAAAAGGAGAAATCTGTGGGCACTCAAGCGAGTGTGGTTATTGAATATTATTATTACCGTTATCGTCATTACTTATTATTAATTATTAGTTACACTTCTCCCCTCCTTCGGCAATAATAATCCTCTTCGTGTTGTACTCCGTATGGCAAAGCAGCTTAGTCGGTATGTAATATGTAATACATGACAGCAAAATTACCGTGTACGCCTCATGCTTAAATAAGCGGCCATCGTATGAGCCAGATGGGGCTTGACTGCACACTATTGCTGCTATTGTGGCACCGTGATCGCGCCTTGGTTGCATGCCGGCTGCATGACTCCTGCAGGTCTGCGAGATGGACACTGTAGGTAGTATGTACAGCGTGCATCTGTCTAGCTAGCCCCATGGTCGGCCTCGTACAACTCAGTTGCTTTGTACAGAGTAACCCTCTATTTATTACTATATGGCAAATCATTACCTGCCAGGCCATTTATAGGAACAGAGAGGCAACGGGTTCTACCAGATTAGGAACTCTAACACCACAACGTATACTAGCTTCTCTATTATTATTCTCTCAGACATACTCCATACTCTATAGAAATGCTCATTCCATATGGGGGGGTTGCCAAGCCGGTGCTCCATGAGGGGGCGGCCCGTCCTTCTCAGCTTCTACACTACGGAGTACAGGGGTCTCCAACTCTCTGGTCTGCTATTGTTATTATTATCCCTATGTAGGTAAATCCCAAGACGACTTACATACGATAATATGATATCCTTCCGCAGCAACGAATGACAAACCGGTTAGTCTAGATAGTAGTAGGCTTAGCTGACCAAAAGCGGGAAATCCGAGGTTACCATCTCGAGACGCCTCAATAGTTCTTCCATGGGACCAGCTGTTGATGCCGGATCAGCCCGGGACCCAGTGCGGAGTATTACGGGAGCAGAAATGTGTCGTAGACCAAGCTGAGAAAGTTTGTGACAGTTTTGCTGTTCCTTTTCATGTCTCGATGTCCACCATCTTGTACTATACCTCCTTACCTTTGCTCCGAGACTTTGAGCATTGATCCGGGAAATTGGCCAATTCTTCCACTGGAGATGTCCTGACAATCCTTCTGAAACGCCTATGATACACAAGACCCTGTGTCATTGTCTGGACCAGGACAAAAAAAAAAGGAGAGAGTGGGCTATCTGCGTTGTGTGAGCTGGACATTGGGCCTTGGTTTGTGAATCACTGGATAGCGCTGCTGGACGTATGCATGCCGAGAAATCTGTCAGCTTGAAGAGGCATATCAGCATCCCTGCTTGTAGTTTGGTAAAGATAATCATCTATCAAGGATCTTCAATGGTAGCGAATTAGGCATCAAGAATGAAGCACTCACTCTTCACCGAAATTTGATCTTTGATTCTTTGCTGAGTCTGTAGGAAGAGCTACCTAGCTAGCTAGACAGGAGGGAACGATGAGGGAGCCATCAGTGTCGACTGAGTAGATAAGCCTGCTCATCCTTGTGATTGACTAGTCGGGATGAAACAGGTAGCAGAGATGTACAGAGTGGGAGGTTCAATTCCAGTGGAGATGGAGTCAATAGAGGACAGACAATGGTAGAGGGAAGATGATAGGTCATAAGGCACAGCATTTCACATAAAGCGCAACAGGCATAGCCACTGCCAGCATGAAGCCATCTATGACAATAATGGATGAGACTCGAGTACATTACTTAGGTACTGGAAGTAGTATACCTGTACAGAATGATAATTATAATTATAATACCGACACACAGCCGCAAATGCCACGGCGCATGGCAAACGCTACGGCCCAGTGAAGGTGTATTTATTGATCAATACAATACGGGGTACTCCACACTCTCGGGTGAATCTGAAAAAGTCCACGGCAGAAGGGAAGAACAGAACAAATCAAGGTTTCATCATTCAATCCCTTCACATTGCTAAGCCACACGCTTCACCTTCAGCAAAGTGGTCGATCGACACGATTCGGCGGTGTACTGCTGCTTTTTTATTATTTAGTACGGCGTCGACTGCGGTCAGACCATGAACCCCCCCAGAGCCTATTCGTACTTGGCTTCGGAGAAGCCTTCCTCTCGCACATCTCTCCAGTTTGCGCCACGGAAAACGGAGCAAAGTACTGTAGAGCGTTATATGGGACGCATCGGATCATCATCCCTCTTTTTTTGCCCCTGGAGCATGTCTAGCACCTACAATCGATCATGTTTCAACATGATTGACGTCAGCCAGGCTCTCATTATCAGCAACGAATGAATGCCTTTTCTTCCGAGTATCGTGTCTTACTGCATGAGCTCATTGCCAAGCTCTCATTTTCCAAGATAGTCAAGCCAACGGGGGATCTGTCAAGGGATCTTCAAAACAGCCACGTCTCGGGGCTGAATAAGTCATAATATAATTAACCAACTATTATAATATATCGCCATCACGGTATCTAATAATCTTTCCCAGGATGAAGTAATTTCATTTCCTCCAGTGCGGGCACACTCCGCACACCCGGCATCACGGTACTACATCGTATATTCTATAGGAATCTATACGCTGTCCCGAGTCCACAGCGGTCTTGATACCCTTCTTGGAAGATCTCGAGCAGTATTTAGTTAGTAGTAATGATGATTAATGATTAAAGGAGCATATCTGTAAATAATAATATGTTACTATATTCTATAGTAATATTACGCTGTATGGACAATAATAAAATGATGCTTCCGTGGAATGCTTCATTACGAGGTATTTTCCACCGCCAATAGCATCGCGTCTAGTCCAACTTCACAGAAACACCCCTCAGTCATTGCTGGGACATCAAACCTAGGTAGAGAACAGCACTGGTCCTTGGTGGTGCCCATTCCCCGCTACGGACTACCCTTTCGATCAGACAACGGCAGTAAACGATGATCCGCCCAGAAACCGTTTGAACATGACACCCAGTGCTGATGATTCTCCTTCCCTCAGACTGAACTCAACTTCCTGGTCACATGATGCTCCACAGGTTCCTGCCCCTCAATAATAATTGTATCAGCACAAAAGTTTACGCGAAATTGTCATGTTACAGCAAAGAAGGTTTGTGCTAATCCCAAGACTATTGATCGCGAAACTGCCAACATGTTTTTGCCGAGGGTATTGGTCATGATACATGAATGCTTTCCATTATCATACATCCACTGTACAGCCCACAGGTCACCAGTGATCAATCGACATGCCGTATCCCAACGCTGAAGTTCCGCATAATCCTGTTCTCCTTGCTGTGTTGCGGGGTAGGTATTACTTATATGGCCTTAGCGTTGCGCTTTAATGTTGCGCACTGTTCATCCGCCATCACCTCGCATGCAATCGGCCCTTTTCAGAAATCTCATCAGCCGTCATCGATGTCCTGTAGTCCCGTTTTAGTAGAAATACCGGACACTGTCCTTGAGCGAACGCCGGAGTCTCCTGTAGCCCGACAAATGTCGACATCCTGGCTGGGTGGGGGTCACACCCATCCTGTTACAGGCGCCCCGGGAAATATACACTGGAACAGCACTGCATGGGATGAACTGTCAGCAGCCTCGTTGTACGATATGTCGAAAGCAATCGTATGCCAGAAGCCCTGCGTTTTGACGCATAGGTAGCAGACTATCTTTTGTATAACAGTCAATTTTCGCGGAAAATGGCTCATCTTGAAAGGGCTAGCAACTGGCCGCGGACGAAAACCTCACAGGAAATTCCGCAGCGCAAGCTCACACTTTTCATATCATCAACAGGACGAACAAGCTTCCTATATACGATCAGGGCATGCAGTTAGGCCCTTGTGGGCTTGGAGCATCCTTTGTCCTAGGGTTCCATGGCTGCCAAGGAGGATGTCGGAAGATGTGCATAACAACCCTGAACGGATGACAACCCGCTGCATAAAACCTGAGGTCTTACGACAGCACCCGAGTCTGGAAGAGGTTAAGAGACAATACACATAGCACAAGTACGGCAACGGAAATAAAAACGTACCACAAATTGTTCCAATGACTCTTCAAAAAGTTCATTGTCCACGCCAATTCCGCCTGGGTGCTCAACGGGAGATAGTGGGTTTTTGACAACTGTCAAAAATCGAAGAAAATCGAGTCAGTCGCTGCTGATGAAAATCATCAGTACGCAAGATATAACACCTGCGCCACCTACCATACTCAACATAAAGGTTGATATAAATCTGCTGCAAGGCGATGCGCATGCTGGGGCTTTTGATATCGGTGATCATGACAAACTTGGTGTTTGTGGGTGTCTCGTAGAAGTGAAGCTTGTACTGGTTGGTAGTATACGAAATAAAGCTGAGGGAGAGAATCAATAAATTCGCCGTTTTATCTCAAAATATCTCGAAGATCAAGATATGTGACCCTTTACCTGTCATCGTCCCCCCCTAATTTCCGTACCATATTCCGCAACGAGAACACAGTCCCGAAGACCAGCTTGGCATCATCATCGGCCGTACGTCCCAATTTCTCAAGGGCAGGGCTTATTCCGTTGCTCAAGGTAGGTGTGTCAGATGTCGGCCGCGAGGACTTGCCAACAATTGAAGCCGGCCGGGGTAGCCAACGTCGTCTGTAGATACACTCGGCTACATCAAAGTCAGGGGGGTCAATGTCATAATCCTGAGAGCAGAGGAGGAGGAGAAGGAGGAAGAGGGGGGATTACCATGACGGTCAAATATATAGAACGAGTAGACAACCATCGTGACGAGAGTTGTTGTCGTTATTATTGTATAGAAACCGAGCAATACCAAAGCGCAACAATGTCTCCGGAGACATTGTTGCTGGGAGTTGGCAGTTGGTTGATCACGTGGGCGGTGGGCAAATATCTACCGAGGTACCTTTTCGATCTCCACGGAGCGCTGCATTTATTCATAGCAAGATGCGCCTGCTTTTCCCACCTGTGGCATAGGGCTCATTGTATCTATTGTGTTCGAGTCAATGTCTGTGTTCAATGTACAGTCTTCGCAGATCATTTGCTGCATAATATATTCATTTTCATCCAAAACCACCACATGCCGCCCTTTCTACAAGATTCAGCTGTGTTAACTGATTGATTACCTATTATACAAAATTTCAGTCAAGCAGCTCAGCACCAGTCCCAAAAGAGCATGAGGAAGATGTAAATGTAGGCCACAACAGCAGCAGCAAGAGAAGAAGAAGAAGAAGAAGAAGAAGAAGAAGAGGAGGAGGAAGAAACAGAAATAAACGCTCAATCAGCCAACCATCCGAAGAAATTATATGCTGATGAAAGAGATATATATCAAATCGGTCAACCGAATGAAAAAAGGGAAAATAGAATAAGCCATGAATAAATTAGTATAAGAAAAGAGTCCGAGATGGTAATCAGCACAATGGAAACACGAAACCTGGGTTTAAACAACGCCAGTAGGTAGAAAGCATGCGCACAGAGAAAAGAAAAGAAATCATCACCACTTGGACGCGTAACTGCAACTTTGATGCAAAAATACAATACTCTAAGAACTGGTATATCTCGAGAAGGGCACCGACCTCGAGTCAAATAAAAAATGATGCATCTCATATCGCTGCGTATAAATAGTAATTCAGTGGGCCGTAAATTCCCCAGTAGCTTGGAAAAGGCGCTGAACGTAGGGGAAAAAGGGGGGAGACATGAAGAATGAAATAAAGCTTTTGACGGAGTGTACACGTGAAAACATGTCTTCATTCGAACATCGACTCATTGTCATAAAAGTTCCTGACAATGCTCAATAAAAAGATCAGATTGGAACTTGGATATTGTTTCGTGCTGCCTCCCTCGAGTGATTCATCTTCCTCACTAGACATTGAATTCAGTTTCACTTGACGTCGACCATCCATTATGTCAACGTATCGTCTGCTGGTCGTACATTCGGCGAGTCACTTTCTACTGAGAATGATGTATTTTCTCCTATCGCAGCCCTAGGATGTTATCATAGGCGCTTGTCCGCTGACCGTTCGCCCAACGTTACCTCTGGATTGAATATAGGGGGTTGTTCCGCCCTTTCATTAATCGGTGTGATTAAAGCCCGTCGGCCGTCATCCGATGGAAGCGGTTCAGAAAGAGGAGGGTTGAGTAGGCCTCGCTCTCCGATGCTGGTTCGGTGAATCAATTCCCTTTGCCCTAGTTGCAGCACGTGAGGCGATGGCAAACGTTGCTCTAGTCCTGGCGGCCTCGGAAGCTGCCGTGTACTGTCATTTTCTGACATGCTTCTCTGTCGCTGGGTACTTTCAGTTCCAACCAGTGCCGTGATCCTCTTACGAGGAGCATCGGGATACGTCGCAGAGTGGCGAGCTTCCGTCTGCACACCCACATGTGGGGAATAGGAAACTCCAACAGAACTAACCAAGGGTGGACTGGTTGGAGTGGATGAGACTTTCGATCTCTCTATTCCAGATCGCCGGGGTGGCGGGTAGACTTCTCCCCGAGCTTGCGCAGCTGCTTTGCGTCGTTCGGCCTCAGCTTTGTTAGGGCGTCCTCGTTTTCGTGGTTGTTCAGTCCTTGCCGTGGCATCCTCCAGACCTGGAGAGACCCCGCTTTCACTACTGTAACCCGTTGTACTTGCCGGTGGCCGAGGTTGGATCGCCCGTAATGGCCGCAGTGGCCTCTTCCGGGAGGAACTGCTCTCTGGCTGTTCAACTTGTATTACTGGCTCATGTCGCGGTTCTGAAAATGGGACCGGGGTTGAGAGGGGCTGTATCTGTTGTTGGCACATGCTAGTGAATGCCCGCTTGCAGGAATTGAGGGAACGACCTAGACACACTCGGATTAGCTGGCACTGCAAAACGGGCTAACGATTCAACATCTCAAAGCCGCCAAAGCTGTTGAAGTAGGGCATGAATCCTATGACCCATTTCTTACTGGGTAGAGGTAAACGGAAGGTGCCGGTAGATCTATACCTGGAGGAAGAGGAATGTCGGCCCAACTGGGAGAAATACGAAACGAGTTGATTATATTGACTAAGTATGTCGAGGGTATTCCCGACTTCTTCAGGATCTCGGTAAGCAGAGTGTACTGGAAGCCGATGCAATTCTTGGTCAGTATGCGGAGCGTGAAACTGGTCAGGACAATTGGATGACCATTTATAGCGACACAATGGGAGTTCCATACCTTCTCCTCCTCAGTCCATGGCCTCTCAGGTTGAGTCGACATATCCAGTAGACCATGGAAACGAATGTGGCCAGCTCCCCAAACGAAGAGTCAGTGGATCCGCGATGAGGGCTCTGACCAAAGATTGGAGAGACACGACAAGAGAGAGGCGTGACGCTATTACAGCAAGAGAGAAATAAAAAAGACGCAAAATATGCAGGCGAAAAGTACTACACAAAGCCTCCCAAAGGGAATGACGTGCCTACACCAGTATATCCCACGTGGCTTTCTGAATCGGCATCGGAAATCAAGCTAGGAAAGTAGTAAAGACCGGGCAAATAGTGCCTGAACTTGGGCGATCAAGAAAAGAGGCAGTCGTAGGGAAAGACAAAAAGGAAAAGACGGAAGTAGATCAAATGGCCAGTGAACATTGAGGCTCAGGGCGACCGCGTTCGAGGAGTATGATAGAAAATAGTCACAAGCAGAGGGGGTTGGCGAGTCGATTACTTTCACGCTTCTGCCCTCTCCGCGAACATAGGCAGACCGGGAACTTGAAACGAAGAAGTGAAGGGAAGAAGGAAGTAATAATATAGTGCCCAAGGGCAGCAGAAAGCGAGAGTGCGACCGTTGGCTAGAGAGGCCAGATACCGAATAGAGAAGCAGATGGAGCTTTTCCTCCCAGACAGAAAACTAAGTTCGCGGACACAAGTGAAGAAAAGCCCCCAGAGCAAACGGAACTCTCAGCAGGTATCAAGCCAGATACCATACCAGTTATGTGCATCAGGTCGCGACCCACGCGACAGTCAAAAGGAGTCTATACTTCCTTTGCAGAGGCTTTCCTAGCCATACAGACAGACTCTTGGTTTCGGGACTGCGCAGAACAGACCAAAGTCGCCGATGGGTGAGTGGCCAACCACCGTGGGCAAAACCGAAAGAGTAAACAGGGAAGCTGCAGGTACTTTCTGTTTTTTTTTTTTTTTTTTTTTTGTCTTGTCTTTGAAGTCCTTTTGTTCCCGTCTTCTACTTCTGACCCAGCGAGCGAGCGAGCGAATAAGAAAGAAAGAAAGAAAGAAAAAAAGAGATGAAAATGAAGGAGAGGGGGGGAAGGAGGGATAATGGTTGGGAAGAACTGGTCTGCTCCCTGAGATGCAAGATCAAAATACGTCCCAATGAAGAAAGTTTCATGTGTTTTGAAGTGTCAGCAGTGCTGCACGGATATGGAGAGGGAACAAAAATAATAATAGGTGAGCAGAGCTCAAAAAAAGGGGAAGGGGGGTGGTTAATTTCGCAAACTACCACCAGGCGCAGGGGCGAGGGTCTAAAAATGCACAAAATATTAGAAGATCTTTATCCATACTTCTCAAGGTTAAACTAAGTCGTTTCAGGCATAGGCTTAGCTTGAGAGAATGACAACAAAAAAACAATAATAAACGACTTAAAGTCGTTGTATTCCACGCTAAAAACCATTTGTTTACAGCGTGCGTCGCAAGAAGCTTGCCTGCTCAGGACCCAAAGTTCTGTTCTGGAGTTGACCGCGATCCGAGTCCCGCGTGTGGTTTTTTCACCTGTTGTATCGTATCATCCTTATCGTGCAATTAAAGTACCCGAGGCGTTGGTTCCAACGGACTAGAACACGTTCTGCTGTTCTGAAGTTTCGAAACAAACTCAGGGCTAACCCGGAGCAGATGATGGTACGGGTCGATCCCATAGAAGACTGGGAGTTAGCCGCGAAGCGCTGCACTCGGACCACCAGCGCCATTGGTCATTCTGTACTGCGTGTACAACTCCAGTGCTCATGCATACAAGAAGTATAATGAGTGGTGGAAAAGACAGCTGTCCAGCATGAGTAAAATGGAGACAGAGGAGCGCGACAAGGCTTGCAGGTAAAGCATCCAGGATGCCGTGTCGCGCGATTGTTCTGAAGGCCGGGAACGAGAAACGGCAACGGAGACGACATGCTGGCTGAATGTTGTTGCCGCGGCCCGCTACCAATACGCGGCGGAAATTTGTTATACTCTGTTACATGCACGCGGACGTGGCAGGGGCCAAAATAATAGTGAAATCCTCCGTAATAGGGCCATAATAATAATAGCGGGATGATGATGCGAGAGCGCAGTAGCGCATAGATAGTATGGAGTACACGGTGGGTTTGACATCTCCAGACGTGCAAGTGGTATATGACGAACAGGTGCTCCGTGGAAGATGAGGATTTTGAAGCTTGATGATTCGATAAAGTCGGCAGGCATTCCAATGGCCACATGCAGACGAGAAATCAGCCGTGCAGTGGCACCGATGTCCCCGCTCTGATGAATCAACCGTCGGATGTGCGGTTTTACAGTTGTCCGAAAATGATAATGATTCCCCGTCCCATTTCTCTCTGCGGTCGGTCAATGAGCTGGCAGGAAGCCTAACACGAACAGAAAAAGGTTCGTCTCAGGGAGACAGACGAACAGATACAAAAAGAGGACCTCAAGAGGAGGCACACGGAGAGAGAGAGAAAGAGAGGAAGAGATGGAGAGCGAAGTTCGGAGACAATTATTTCCGCGTATCTAAGCATGTTCGGTACGGTACGGATACGCCCGATTGGACGATACGCCGGGTCACGGTGTTACAGTATTAATTACACGTCGAGAGTTGCAGATGAACTTCATCTGTAGAGTTCATACGTTCACTTTCCTGTTGATTAGGTCTCAGAAAAAAAAAAAAAAAAGAATTAAAAAAAAAGTGGGATTGTCATTATTTTGCTGGAAAATTCAAAAACAAAATGGGGGAGCGGCACTATCCTACAACAAGTATGAAACCCCAAACAAAGTGATGAACTGTCTCTTGGCTCTCGCCCTCCTCTCTCTCATGATGTGAGCATTACCATAATTATACGGAGTGTGGATTGGACAAGAAACACAACGAATATCGATGTGGCCAGCCAGCCTATGCATGGGCCGTGCAGCTGAACATCCGCTCTTTTCTGCCGCCTGCGGGTTCTACTGCAAGTAGAACTAACTCTGCAAGGAGCCAGCGTCCTACTCGCAACAGAATGTACTTTTACTTTCTGTACATTAATACTCAAAAATGCAATTTCTCGTCCAATCGTTACCCGCCAACTGATTCTTCTCACTAAAACCCAAAGTCCTCGATACGCAAAGGCCCAGGACCTGCCCCTCATGCCTCGTTTGTCTGCTACCCACCGATAGCTGCTTGATGTTTCAAATCCCAAGAAACACATGTGGCTTGCCTTTCTTTCTGCGGTGAGCCATCTGATTGATATCTGGACTAATGGAATTAGGCAGCCCTAGGCGTCAGGTCACTTTTCGACCTATAGATTACAACTAATGTGACTTACACGCTAGCAGTGTTAACAACAAGCATCCTATGAACATGACCGAAGATAAGAAGGAATTGGTGAAAATGAAGGCGCCGTTTCAGGATTCTGCTTGAAAGGTACTCCTGCCAGTGGGTTGAGACATCTCCCCTATCTGATGTTTATTGGATTTTATTGCATCAAATACTTCTTCAATCCAAATGATCAATGTTCGTATGCTGACCCTCTTGGCATATTCAGCTGTTGCAGTACTCCGGAATCCATTATTTAATGTCGCCGTTATGCGTTCCCAACTTCCTTCCGAGCTGTTGATAAATTCTTTCGCTGGGAATGATGAAATCCTATTGCTCCCTTTCTGAGCCACTGAACCGGAATAGCGTCAGTCCAAGCAAAAGACACCATAGAGATGGTTTATGCATGTCAATGCGAGTTGACGTTGCAATAGCAACAGCCAACATAACATTTGGGATGGGACTTGCAAGGACGACAACTTTCTGAGAAGTGACTATGGTTACAACCTAGCACCCTCTTGGAAGTTGCAATAAAATGATAAGCTTCAGAAGGAAGTCCGGGCTACCCATAGGAACCAGATACTACTGATTTATTCACAGCGTCTAAAACATTATGGAAATGGCTACAGGTGCAGCATAGTGCCGTGACTTCTCACGAATCCAACAATGCTCAATGTGACTGACCTGCTGATGTTATTTTTTTTTTTGAAAGAAATTTACGAAAGAAGCAGACTGGGTGGATTTGCTTTGGATAACCATGGTGGTTCGCGGCTTGTTTTGCGAGCCGTGAATGAGCAGAGGCGCGATAGCAGTCGCAGCATGGGAGGAGTGTGAATTGAATCGATGTTTAACTAGGGGGGAATTTGAGCTTTAATTTACAGTGCCCAGAACGGTGAATTTTTGATTGATGGGATGAGAAAGGCCTTGGAATGGATTCAATCTATTTTACTGTTTTTGATTTTTTTGCCTGTCTGCAGGTTGCTTTCTTGGCGCCGGCGGAAAGAGGAATTTCTGCTACTCTGGAAAACCTTCACCCCAACAACTCTTCCACACCTTATCCCTTCTACCCCGACACTCCCTCTCAACGCGCATCTTCTGCACATTTCCCAGTAGATTGCGCTTTTAGTCCGTGTCGTCATGTACCCTCATGACTTCGCGGACTCTCAGCCAGATTCCGTAGCAGATGCGGTGACCGCAATGAAGCTGGAGCGTCCAAGTTCCGCAGACGGTCGAACTACCGTCAATGGCCGTCCTGTGAAGGACGAGCCAACAGACAACGGCCTCGATTCCGTTCCCAACCGCAGGTCGACAACTGCAACATTATCTGTCAATGACATGCCTTTGTCTGCCATCAAATCCCGCAGTCCATCCAGTTCCCCCGTCAAGCCAGCCGGCGATTTGGATGCGACCGAGGAGAAAATCCGGGGGGATGTTACTGTCAAGCTGGAGCCTGGTCAACCCCCGAAGCTGGCTCGCAGTTCCTCCCAAAAGGTCGTTGCTCGACCTCCTCAGTTGTTTCTGGATTTGCCCGACAGTACTGAGGAAGCCCGTTCTTCTTTCGAGACGCTGGAAGTTTGTACCTACGCTAACAAGTACATGGGCTATACGGAACACGCCATGGAATGCGACTGTGCGGAGGAATGGGGTAAGCTCCCCTCCCTTTATTTCTCGAGTTGCCGTCAACTATGGTTGGAAAAGTAATTGCTATTTGCTATTTAATCATGGTTTTATCGTACTCTTTATTTCTCTCCTGGCCTTATCTATACTCCCTGCTTCTTCTGTCTCTCTAACCTTTAAAATCTCTTAGATCCCGCTCAATCCAAGAATCATGCATGTGGAGAGGACTCTGATTGTATCAACCGCGCAACGAAAATAGAATGTGTAGGCGACTGTGGCTGTGGGCCTGAATGCCAAAACCAGCGATTTCAGCGAAAAGAGTACGCGAAGGTGGCCGTTATCAAAACAGAGAAGAAGGGTTATGGTCTCCGTGCAGAGACCGACTTGCGACCGCACCAGTTCATCTACGAGTATGTCGGTGAAGTCATCAACGAAGCTCAGTTTCGTCGACGCATGAGGCAATACGATGAGGAAGGAATCAAACATTTTTATTTTATGTCTCTCAACAAAGGCGAGTTCGTCGATGCGACTAAGAAAGGTAATCTGGGTCGGTTTTGCAACCACTCGTGCAATCCTAACTGCTATGTTGATAAGTGGGTCGTGGGTGAGAAGCTTCGAATGGGTATATTCACGGAACGGAGCATTAAAGCTGGCGAGGAGCTTGTTTTCAATTACAATGTCGACCGCTATGGGGCTGATCCTCAACCATGCTACTGTGGCGAGCCAAATTGTACAGGGTTCATAGGTGGAAGAACTCAGACGGAACGCGCTACCAAATTGTCGAATGCCACTATAGAGGCGCTTGGAATCGACGACGCTGAAAGCTGGGACACCGTAGTCGCGAAGAGACCACGGAAGAAGAAGATGGGCGAGGACGACGAAGAGTATGTCGACAGTGTACAACCCAAGTCACTCGGCGAAGATGGCGTTACCAAGGTTATGGCAGCTCTGATGCAGTGTAAAGAGAAATGGATTGCCGTCAAGCTTTTGGGGCGGATTCAACGATGTGAAGACGAGCGCGTTCGGAATCGTGTGGTGAAGATGCATGGCTACCAAATTCTAAACTCGCAACTTAGCATGTGGAAGGAAGATTCCAACGTTGTATTGCAGGTCTTCGATATCTTGGAAAAATTCCCACGTCTCACGCGGAACAAGATTATCGATTCAAAGATTGAAAATACGATTCAGCCGCTAACTAGCTGTGGTGACGAACGTGTTGAAAAGAGAGCGGCCTCGCTCATGGAGGTCTGGGCAACGCTTGAAGTCGGCTATCGCATTCCTCGAATGAAGAGAGATCGGACTACGGCAGCTTCTACAAAGGCCTTCAATCAATTCGAACGTCGAGAGACCACGGGAGACGACCGTAAGATATCAAGATCTCGTTCACGGTCAAGGTCGCGGTCTCTGGAAGCGCCTCGTGGGCCGGCAGCTCAGACAAGAGGTGGCCATGGCCAAAGGAATAATTACCACCACGGACCCCGACCATTTCGCCGTCCTTTTAACCCACTGCCGCCGGGATGGTTTGCTGCCGAATCCAATGGTCGGACTTATTACTACTCATCCCGAGGCGACACAACATGGACTAAGCCGACGGCGCCCGCTCCTCAGCCTCCTCCACCTCCTAAGCCCGAATCAAGAGATAAAGCACTACAGGATATTATCGATGGTATCATGAATGCTAAAGAAAACACGCCCAAGGAGCAGACGAATACTCCAGGAACGCCTCAAGTTTTATCAGCTCATACGCCTGATAAGGCTGGAAAGAAAGATAAATGGAAGACTTACAGCGAGGAGAAGCAAAAGAAAATATATGAAAACACCGTAAGTTGCAGCAAAAAAGTGTTCTTCAAAAACTAGGGAACTATAAGCTGATTCAACGTAGCTGTTCCCTCACATTAAATATGTCGTGGACAAGTTCAAGCACAAGCTTCCGAAGGACGAATTGAAACGACATGCAAAAGAAGTAAGACTTGAGTCCTTACTTTCCCTTTGCGACAACCTATGGTGGATGCTAACTAACATTTTTCTTTTGAAAGATTGCCAAAAAGCTTGTCAATTCCGACTTCAAAAATAACCGCGTCGAAGATCCTACCGTCGTCAGCGAAAAGCAACAGAAAAAAGTAAAGAAATTCTGCAAGGAATATTTCGACAAAGCCGTTGTAAAGCACCGGGAACATGAGAAGAAGAAAGCCGCAAAGAAGGCGAAGGAGAATGGCGAGAAAGAAACACCGGAAACACATCAGACGGAGAAAGACGATGAGAGCGACAACGAAGCGCTAGACGTGAAGATGTCTGACGATGAGGCAGGGAAGGAAGAAAGTAGAAGCTCCCCCATGGATGCTGGAGAACCAGGCGCAGGCTTGAAACGGAAAAGGGAAGAACTGAAGCTGGACGGAGAGGCAGTCGACGAGTGCGACTCACCTTCGAAGAGGCAGAGGTCTTCAACACCACCTCCACCCCCCCCCCCTCCGATGAGCCCGAGCGGCGAAAAGAAGGGCGTGGAGGAGGCTGTTACTACGAGCAAGTCAGAAGAATCTGTCAGCTCAGGAGGTAATCAGACGTGGGATATTCCGTCTCCTGCACCACCGCCACCTCCTCCTCCACCACCCCCAGAGCGTCAGAATGACAGTTCCATCCGCGCTGAAGTGGAAACAGATCTATCTTCGGGGCCGAACGGCCTTCAAGGGCAGATAGACACGGACCAGTTTTCTTCGCATCCGGCGGAGGGAAAGCTCCAACCTTCGCAACTTGGCATTGAAGGAAAGGTTTAGTATGGCGTTCAGTGTTTCCTATAAAGGTCAAAAGACATGAAGCTCTCACGATACAGCTTCTGTCAAGCAAGCATTTGGGGATAGATGCGGACCGGAGTTTGTAGGTTTGTTGTCGTTGCCATGAAAATTTTTTTTTCTCGTGGGTTTTATATCATTTTTATTTATTATCTCTTCTTTTCGCCTTCTGAATTATTTTGACCTCTTCATACCCTGTCCTCAAATACCCCCACCGGCGCATTGATTATCGAGATGGTATATGTTGCATACTTGCTTTAGGTAGGCAAAGACAATTTCGGACTTGCGTTCAGCGCGATTGACCTGTTTCCCTCTTATTAACCCCGACAAGGTGGTATTTGTATTCTCATTCAAGTCGTACGTCTCTCTATTCATGAAAGAGAAAGAAAGCAGAAAATAAAAAGCTTTTTAACCCCGTTTCTCTCCCAGTTTCAATTAATTGAAACAGACCAAAAAGTGCTCAAGATATGCATAACCTTAATAAAAACTCTCCACGATACTCTCCTTATTGATACCACCAGCACCCAAATCGCGAGGCGCCATCTCACCCAAGCGAAAGACACTTTCAATAACACTCAACTCGGTAGCGGTAGTATCCATACCCGTTACGGCTAACCAGTCGTTAACAACCATTCCGGCGCCCACGACGGGGCTGCCCCGATTAACACTGCCCGCGACGAGGGGCACCTGGAGGAGTGAGGAGAGTTCATCTTGGTCCCTGATGGAGGTCTTGGGGTGGACGACGCCGCCTTGGTTCGAGAGGGCCATGTAGGAGCCTGTTAGGACGTTGTCGGCAATTGTTTGGCGGAAGACTTCTACACCTAGGACATCGGCGATTCTATAGTTTCGATTAGCTCTTCCTCCAATAAATAAATAGCATCCTTGGGGGGGTACATTTCTTCGGTCTCCCGCTCCAGATCGGGATGTACCAGTGCGACATGGTCATTGCAACAAATGACATTTCCTAGGGCTGAGAGACGTTCTTCTATCCGTTGGATCTTGACAGTGTCCGGGAGATGGTTGCGAAGATGTTGGAGTTCCTGATCTGTTGTCGTCGTTGGGACAAGGAGACCTTTGCGGTTACTAAATGCATCGTTAGTCGTCGCCCTTTTCTTTTGGGAGTTTTTTTTTTTTTTTATATAGAAAAATTCATACCCAGCCGTTAACCTTCCAACAATCCTCGTTCCGGAAATTGTGGCGCGACAGATAGGAATGACATCCTGGAGTTCTGCTTCGAAGACACTGCGCGAGTCAGATTTTTTTTGTGTTTGCTGGAATATTGCCAAAATAAAGAAATGCACATATATAAGAGAGAGATATAATATGCATATATAACGAAGCGACCAAAGGGGGGAAAATCACCTGTAAAAATTCTCAGATGCACCGACAGCCACAATAGCGTACGAGTTTGTCAGTTTAGCAAAAACACCAACTCTGTGAGAAGAAAAAAAAAAAAAAAGGCAAAATTAGCGCGCGAACTCTAAACAGATGAGAAAATATCTCCTACTCGTTGGAATTCTCGAATTGTGCGCGCACAGCCATGGCGAGTTACTGCGAATTGGGATCTTGCTGTGGAGGGGAAATGGTGGGGGAAGAGAAGAGATAATTTCAGGACGGAAGTCCAAGACAAACGACGACCTCCACCACAATCAGCTGGGTATCAACAACGAGAAGAGGAATAAATAATAGAAAGATCTATCTTCGACAGATCAAACGGGAAAGGAAGAAGATCGGAGTTTTCGAAGTTTGTTGCGATGGAGACGGGTGGGTGACGTCGACGGAAGAGTCTTCGAGATGAAGGTGAAGAAGCAGGGCAGAGACAAGATTCTCAAAAGCAGATCTTAAATTATTCATTCTTTTACCATGATGAAATGAATATCCAGTGGAGCCATAATGAGACAGGATGATTCTTACTTATTTTTACTGCGCCCCGCTGAAGCTTACTCTCCGAATCGTTGATTAATTAATATCTCCTGCAGACTGAGCCACGGTGACTCAGACTTCCGAGTCATCTCAGAGAAAAATAATGTAATGTACTTGTGCTATAGCACAGTCCAATTCTGTACATTGTAACTCTGTACGATCGTATATATTGCCAGGACAATGTCCATTACATACAAAAACATACTAGCCCCTAGACTGCTACACCAACAGCAACTGGCGCTTGGGTCTGCATCGCCTGCTGCTGCTTCTCCAGGGCTTCCTCGCGGAATTCCCGCTCCGCAGCCTGTTCAGGAGTCTCCTTGTCACCCAGCCCTAGCTGCATGTCACTCCAGATAGGCTTGTTCGAGGCATCCGCACCCTCAACGCCAACGCCCACGAATCCGCCCAGGGCCCTCCAGTCGCTGGTGCGCTTGATCCCGAGCTCGTTCCAGACCTTCTGAAGAGCCTGGACCAGATGGTCGCGATGCTCCTTGACGTGTCCCGGAGTCGGCGTGATACGGAGCCGTTCCTCTCCCCTAGGTACCGTCGGGTAATTGATGGCCTGGACATAGATGTCGTGCTCTTCCAGCAGCTTGTCTGAAGCTAATTTGGCCAATTCGGCATCTCCGACCAGGACAGGCACAATATGTGACGGGTTGGGGATGACCGGAATGTCCAGCTTGTTGAGCGCGTCCTTGACGGCACGAGTGTGCAATTGCTGCAGAATACGATCGCGCTGGTACCGAGCCTGGTACTTGATCGAGGCATCTGCGCCCGCCATTGTAGCTGGAGGCAGAGACGTGGTGAAGATGAACCCCGGAGCCAATGAGCGAATGGTATCTACCATAGCCGCTGACCCGGCAATGTATCCGCCAACGCAGCCGTAGGCCTTGCCCAAGGTTCCCGTGATGATGTCAATGCGATCCATCACGGTCCCTTTAGCACTGCGGGGATTTTCCAGGTCCCGGGAAGCATGGATGTCGTAATTAAGATGTTCAGCAACACCAGCGCCATGCGGGCCATACATACCCACAGCATGGACTTCATCCAAGAAAGTAATCGCCCCGTACTTGTCCGCGAGATCGCAGATCTTCTCGATTGGCGCGATGGATCCGCACATGCTGTAGACCGACTCAAAGGCAATGATCTTGGGAATGTGGAGGGGCAGAGACGCCAGCTTCGATTCGAGATCCTCCAGATCGTTGTGTCGGAAAACCATTTTCTTGGTACCTGAATGACGAATACCCTGAATCATCGACGCGTGATTCAGGCTGTCAGACAAGATGACACAATCCGGCATCTTGCTGCCCAGCGTTGCCAAGGTGGCATCATTGGCTACAAAACAGGAGCTGAAGACGAGAGCCGCCTCCTTGCCATGCAAATCAGCAAGCGTCCTCTCCAACTGGACGGCATGCTTGTTATGTCCGGATATATTGCGAGTGCCTCCCGCCCCAGCACCGTAGGTATCCAATGTCTGATGCATAGTCTCAAGCACTTCGGAATTGCGGCCCATGCCGAGATAGTCGTTGGAGCACCACACAGTCACGCGCTCTTCGGGAGAGGCCGTGTGAGCCCGAGGGAACTCATTGGCCAGACGATTGATGTTGTTGAAGTAGCGGTACGACTTATCCTTGTGCTTCTTCTCCAATTCGGTATTGTAGAAGGCATTGTAGTCGAATGGCTTGTTAACAGGAGCCCCCGGACGAGGAGCAGCGAAGGTCAACTTCGCCGTCTCAGCCTGCGAGTGCGAGCCCATAGGACACTGTCGCTGAGTCTTTTCGTAGGCTCCAGGGGCAACACTAGCGCCATGGCCGCTGGTGGTGTGCAAGGCTCTCTGGCTGGAAGGGGCCTTGTGAGACTTCATGGGGGTAGCCACACCGGCTGCACACATGGTGAACCGCTTGGTATTGGCAAGACGGGCACTCTGCACGGCCAGGGCCTTGCTCATGACGGGGCAGCGGCGAGCAAGGATCTGGAGGTTGGACATGGTGCCTCCTCCGACAGGCCTGGTAGCGGTCGCCAGAGCACGAAGGGCGCCGGGCGAAGACCGCTTGAGGAACGGGCACATGGCCCGCGACTGTTGGAGAATGGATTCCATTTACCACAACCGGTAGCTAGGCTATTCAATAGACGAAGGATGGCCACTACTTTTGACTGACTTTTTGACTGCCTTTGGGTAGACGGGGGAGAAGAGAGGGAGAGAATTGGAGGGAGCGGCAGAGCGGGGAATCGAGAATGCACAGATAGAGCGCAGAACAGACTGACCGAACACGGAGGCTTCGCTTCCGTCTGCTGTGATGGAGTGGATGAAGTGTTAAATAAGAGAAGTTATTATTATTCTGAAGTGGCGCTGACATCGGCACGTGCCTGATTGGCCCTCGGGCGTCGGGCTTCCCTCGGCAACAGCGCGGAATCGAGATTGAATTATTGAATATTCTCGATGTCATCCTGATCTGATGGGTTCTGGAATGTCGTTTATTACTACTCAATAATTATTAATGCTGCGGTCTGGAAACCGTCGAGTCTGGGAGAGCTGTTTATTAAGTAGTCGTACAGAAAAGAACTCGCAGGTCAATCGTGAGTACATCCAGAGGAAAAGCACAAAAAGCACCCCAGAAAAAGGATCAGCAAGAGTAAAACAGCCCGGCTTTATTCCCCGGGATTTAGATTCCTCGGGATCTGGAAATTGGAAGTGGGAAAGAGATCCATTCCCAACAATCACCAGGCAAAAGGGGCTCGGGAGAGCCGGGAGAATAAAATAAAAAAATAAAAAAATAAATAAAAGAAAAGAAAAGAACACATCAGAGAACACCAGAGGAACAACCCACACCGTCAAGTCAAGTCAATAGAAACAGCCGAAGCAATAACCGGTCTATTTTGTCACATTTCCCAAATCCAACTTTTTCTTCTCTCGTCATTTTATGTAGCAAAAAAAGAAGACATCCACTCGTTAGCAGTCTCGCACTCTCTTTGGTCTTTCTTGAGATCAAGAATGTATCGCATGGTAGTACACGGCAGCCCTGGGTTGCCAGAAAGGGAAACAGGAATAGACAAAACATGAAAGAAAGTGGAATATCAACTCATTAACGCCGCTGGATCAGCTAGAACCCAAACCACCGTCTCCATCGATCATTCTCAGTCGTTCCTTGGTAGTTTTCGCTTTCTTAGACGGACCTTTGGCAGTGCCGCGGCCTCGTCCGCGCTTAGAGCCTGGTAGTGGACCAATATTCTCAGCCGTCGACACAGGCGTCGCAGCCCCAGATTGCTTTGCGCTAGCATCCTCAAAGTGTCCTTCGCCTGTAGTAAAGGGGCCATATCAGCACTGCATCACGAGTAGCAAGTCCAGAAACACCAAGTAACTTACCTTCATGGTACATGTCGTCAAGAGTGAGATCCTTTTTCCGCTTCTGCGCAGCTCTCTTACCCCCCTTGCTAGCTCCAAACACTTCGCCTCGATCCATGGCCTCTTTCTCTTTCTGCTCAAGGATCTGAGCTTGTTCATCATCGGCAAGCCACATGGCAATATCCTTGGTTCGGCTTCCAGGAGCGCGTGTGTTGAAGTCCACGCCGCCAGCTGCACCGCCCGAGATGACGACACGCTGCACTTCTTCCTTCTGCAACGCACGCTTCCGGATCCGTTCCTCAATTGTACCACGGGTGATGAGACGGTATACCGTGACTTGTCTTGTTTGACCGAGACGGTGCGCACGATCCATAGCCTGCGAGTCGATGGTCGGGTTCCAGTCGGAGTCGTAGAAGATCACCGTGTCTGCTGCTGTAAGATTGATACCTAAACCGCCAGCACGGGTAGATAACAAGAACACGAAGATCTCAGGATGCTGTTGGAAATCTGCCACGGTGTCGCGACGGTCTTCCAACTTGGTGCTTCCATCCAAGCGACAGTACTTATAGTTCCGGTATGTCAGATACTCCTCCATCAGATCAATCATGCGGGTCATCTGGAAGTATAGCAGGACACGGTGACCACCAGCCTTGAGCTCTCGGAGTAATTCGTCCAACTTAGCGAGTTTGCCTGAATCCGTAACGAACCGTCTCATGGACGGCACTTCGATATGTGTATAACGCCCCTTGAGAGACACCGGTTTCGGTAGCATTGGAGGCAGCATATACGGAGCTGGGTCCAGCTTCTGTGCGAGAATTTGCTCTTGCATCGCCTTCGACGGTGTGCCGAACAAGGTATTGCGGACAGAAACATTAAACAAAGTATCTCTTATCTCCATTTGCGCCGCCTGGCCAGAACAGGATATTGAAATAGGCGGCGCAGAGGCTGCGGGGCTGGCACAGGGCTCAATGATATTGAGACCCTCGCGCTCAAATACAGTGCTAGAGACCATCATCAGCTCCTTCATGTAGCCCTCTGTCGCAACTTCGTGCAGAGCACGACGGTCATTACGCTGGACAATGTTCAACATCGTGTGGGGAAGAAGCGTATTGAAGGGCTTTCCGTCGCTTTCATCGTCGCCATAAACAGCGCATAGCCGGGACAGTCTGTCCGTTTCACCACGTTGACGGACCGCACGTTCGAACACACCAAGATGCGAAGTCTCATATGCCTCCCCAATAGAGACGTCCACGAACCGTAAGAAGGAAAATGCCCCATTATCTTCCATGCTTTGTTTGATGTTCTCAGGGGTCCAGATGTTCATCATGTGAGAAAGATATTTTCCACGGAAACCAGCCCGTGCATTATCAGGACCTGGAACGTCAATTCGGCCGGTGGAGCTGCAGAGGAGACGCGGCAACGGGTATTCAATCAGGTTGCGCGTGGAATAACCTAAATTGACATTGTAACCTTCACGGACAAACGATGCGGTTTCTGCAAAGTGGGCAACAGAGAAGGGCGACTTCGTTTCGGCTCGTTCAAACAGATCCGGATGATTGCAGACCTTGCGGAACTGCATGACCAAATTCATCAAAGTGGTGCTGTCGGCTTCGTCCCCAATCGCGGCTTTCTCAATGAGGTCCATGATGCTCACACGGTTCCTCAGGTTCGTATAATATGCGCGTTGGCGATATGTCAAATCACAGAAGACATCCTTCTCAACTTTGTCTCCAAGTTCCTGCTGCACGTGTTTCTTGACGCGGCGAAGCATGAAGGGTTTGAGGATCATATGAAGACGCTTGAGCTGGTCTTCATTCAACTTGGTGTTACTCTGCGCGTGGGATTCGATATCCTTCGAGAACCATTCACTGAATTCGTCATGAGAATCGAATAAAGTTGGCATGATAAAATGAAGAAGAGCCCACAGCTCCTGCATGTTGTTCTGAATAGGAGTACCAGTAAGCAGGAGACGGTTGCGACAATGAAACTGCAACAAGCTTTTCCAGCGAGAGCTTTGCGACGACTTGATGGCCTGGGCTTCATCTAGAATCATGTACTGCCACTTCACCTTCTGGAAATACTGCGCGTCCAAGACGACAAGCTGATAGGATGTCACCAACACATGGAACTCAGACTCCCTCGTATAAGTGATGTGCTTGCGGTCCCAGAATTTACGGAGAATCTTCCGATCCTTTGCAGAGCCCCAGTATGGGAGGACCTTGATATCAGGAACAAACTTGGTGATCTCCTGCTGCCAATTGTGCAGCGTCGACGAGGGAGCAATGACAAGAAATGGACCCCAGATGTTGTGGAACTCGGCCAGATAGGCCATCACCGAGATGGACTGAATCGTCTTTCCCAAGCCCATCTCGTCGGCCAAGATACCGTTGATACCCTGCTCGTACAAGTTGACTAACCAATTTAGACCCTTCAATTGGTACTCCTTCAGTTTCGTTGTGAGCATTTCGGGCTGGGAGATATCAATGTCACCCAGACTCGTTGGGTTCTGGAAGTTCATCTCACCCTCATCGAAAGCCGCCATGGGCTGATCTGGATTGAAAGCACGAGCTCGATCCTGGGCTTCTTGGACGGCAATTTGGGCATTGGCCATGGCCGCCTGCCGCAAAGACGTCTCATCTTCCGCGTCAAAGTCGAGATCCTCGAAGTTGGTGACTTTAGCCTTCGCATCCGCCACGCTGGGAGGGAGATCCACCGTATGATCCTGGGCCTTACCAGGACGAACAGTTTCCTCTGTGGCGTCGACTGTTGTGTCGCCGGCAGCATCCGTCCCTGCGGTCTTGATTTTCCGGCCGATAAAGTGAGAGTACAATTCGGTCTGAGAAATGAGGAAGTTAAGTTTTCGCCTCTGGCGGTTGGCTTCGCGCTCCGCCTCCGCCTTCTTAGCTGACTCGAGTTCCTGTTTCTCAGCCAGGCGGCGCATATCTCGCTCCTCGCGCTCATTCCGTTTCCAGAATGACATCATCTCACGCATCGTTCGCTTAGCCCGAGCTTGCGTATCCTTCATGCTCTTGTTTGTGCGTTCCTGCCATTTGCGAGACTGTTTGCTGGCAAGCTGGGCAGTCTTGCGCAGGTTCTCTTGGCGTACGCTAAGAGAGATAGTCTTGATACGGTATACCTTGGGAATATCCTTACGAGCAATGTCGCGCCAGATCTGCTCATAGATTTGATTGTAGCCTTTTGTCTCATACGCAGCCAGCGGCGTCGGAGTGGGCTCCTTGGAGCGGGCGGTCTTGCCCTCCTTCTTGAGAGATTCCTTCCGGGGATCCTCTCTGGGTAGGAGAGACAGATTCTCATCCCTCTCCAAAGCCGCGTAGGCCGCTTCCGCCGCATCCTTTTCAGCCTGCTTCTGCTCCTTTGACTTCTTGGGACGCGCCGTTGCACCGCCGCGGGCAGGCTTCTTCCTCGATGGAGAGGCTCGGCCGATGTGGAAAGAGCTCGTAGTGCCACCTTCAAGGTTGGGGGCCAATGGTGTAACCTCGCCAATCTCCTCTGGAGTATTTCCGCCCTCCAAAGCTCTCTTTGTTGTTTTAATCTTCCTTTGGGCTCTTTCAACTTCTTTCAAGAACTTCGCCTTCTCGGCAGAATCCTGGGCCGTGCTCGCTTTCTGTTCCGCTTCCAGTTTCTTCTGCATCTCGAGGCGCATGGTATTCTCCCGACGGCGTTTCCGCTGCATGTCTTTCTTACGCTCCTTTTCGTCGTGAATCTCTTTCGCTTGCACTTCAGCGACGACTGATGCTTCGTTCCTTGCCCTAAACCGATCCGCCCCGGCACTAGCTTGCCTTTCAAAAGTCTTGCCAAGTCGGATCAAAAATTCATGTCGACGGCGCTTCACGGTTCAGTAAGTAAAATGTTTACATCTGGAAAGGGCCAAGGAAAAGAAAAAGAGAGGCAGTCACATACCTTACGTCTGAGGTCTTCCGCCTTTGCGGTGTCTAGAATACGTTTTTTGCCCTTGGTAATGTAGCGTTCTCGCTCTCCTTCAAAACCGGGTGCTTCAACGTCACTCTTTTCTGCATTGTCGATATCATTCATTATCTTGTTGATAACTTCCAAATCGCGCTCCGTCAACATCTTTCGCGGTTTCATGGCTCGAGGCTGAGTAGTAACGTTTCCTGGTTCTGAAACACCATTCACGGAGTGGAAAGGCCGTTCCCCCACAGGCTCATTGTCGAGAGCGGGACGCCTCTCCACATTCAGCTTCTTATCTAAGTTGGGAAATAAAGGGGCTGGAGCGTGTCGAAGCTCATCCTGCCTCTCATTGATAATGGAAGGCGGAGGGAGGGGAGCAGCCAGCGATGCGGAAGGCGGGGGCGGGGGAGATGACCTCTTTGGAGAAGGCTCTTCAGCTGGTCCAGAAAGGATACTCGCGAAAGACATGGGATCCGTTGCCCTGGCCGGTTTCTATGTGAATGAGCGTCAGTGAAAGAATTCCGGCTAGTGTGAATTGCGGGTGAACCAAAAAAAGTACGTACCGCTTCCTTCGGAGGAGAGGGCAACCTCGCCTCGCGCATCATGGGTAATTGCGAAGGGTACCCGATACCCTTAGTCCTCATATCAAATGACTCATGCTCGTTCTTGGGGGACTGATGGTGGCCTTCTAGTCTGCCAACAGGATGAGCGTGAGACGGAGAGCTATGACTATAGGGCGTCGCGCCATTCCCAGGCAAGACGGTTGCAGAATAGGGGCGCGGGAGAGGAAGCTGATGCGGTCCCCCAGACGGATGCGACTGAAACTGCGAGGATGCGTCCGGGTGAGCCAGAGAGGGAGGCGGAGGCGGAGCAGCACTCCCGTTTAATGGTGGTAGTGTGGTAGGTAATGGCGAAGGCGGATGAGCGAAGTGAGGACTTCTGGCGAGAGCAGGATGCGGAGAGAAGGCCGAGGCGGTCTGGGGGGAATGCTGGTGATATTGTTCATTGTTGGGATAGAAGGGGCCCGTCTTGTTCGGCGGCGAGTAGACCGCAAACCGATGCTGCTGGGTTGGGGACTGGATATTGTATGGCGGACCCCCCGTCATGATGGGCCGCGCTTATTCCTAGCAACAGGACTGGGAGAGAGAACTGAGGACCAGTGTGGGAAAGGTTCATGGAAGGCTCACCCCAGCGACGAGGGAGACAGCAGACGAAGAGGTCGAATGGAATGAAAAAAGCCGTGCGATCTGCCGTGACGGATTACGTCGGAAGACAATCACCCATAGAGAAGTTAAGAAAGGAGACCTAGGAAGACGGATACGCGCGTCAGCCCGTCTGGTAGAATTCCCTCCTAGGAGGCATGAATGCGCAGCAGGGTGAAGTATAGATGGCGTAAAGCAGGAGAGACAATGAAGGCTTGCAGTGGGGAGGGGGTGTTCTTGAGATGGAAATGTCGGTCTCACCAGGAATGAAAGGGGAGGTAGATGATGGAGATGGGCCGAGATCTCTTTGTTCCCGTGGACGACTACCTGTAGTGTGCGTGGTTTGTGTTGTCAGCGAACCGGGGGTTTGGCGGCAGGAATCAGCGTGAGAAGACTGCCAGATCGGGGAAGGATAGTAGAGCGATGGAGACGATGAAATGGAGATGAGGATGGGGGGGGTGGATGGTTAGGTGGATGGAGGGAAGGAAGACGTGGCGGAAGAAGATGGAGGCGAGGCGATGGTCTTCATGGGATGGATGGGATTAATTATTATTATCGCTTGATGTGCCAATTTTCCCTCTTGCCTGTTCCCGTTCTGCTTCTTTTCTGAGCTGCTATCCCCAGCTGCCGTACCGTTGTATCTGTATCGTCTATACGGTATGTACTCTGTATTGGTATTACCAGGACGGGTATGCTTGGCATACTGACCCAGGCTAGTCATTCAGTTAACTATGCTTTCTACTCTAAATTATACATAGTAACATGCATCGTTTCTTTCTACCAGCATAGAGATCAACAGGGGGATCCTTCACTACCTGCTCCAGGCCTTCCATTTCATCATTCGTTCTGTGCTAGGGTCATCTCGAGTGGCGATGATGCCTCCACCGTCATCTTGGGCCCCTGGAAGACCTTGCGCGCATATACGATGTAGTACGCAATGGCACCTAGCCAAAGAGCCCCGTTGATGACCACAGTGTAGTTCATATCCTTAGCTGTAAATTCTATTAGTATAGCTCTCCCAGAAGACTATGGTACAAATATACTCACAATTAGGATCAGGTCCCGTAGTAGGGAACATGCACAGGAGGATCGCAAAGGCCAAATACACAATTGCCGTAACGGCAATAGGCTTGCTAAAACGTCCGGTGTAGAACACTCCTGGATGGAACTTATCTTGGCCCCAGACCAGTCGTGTAAGGATGGGCATCATCCAGGCCAGATCATTACCGGCGACAGCCAAGGAGAAGAGAGCATTAGATGCGGCATCATCGATGAGGCAGAGAAGTCCAAGGACGACAGCGAATATGACAACGCCCCAGATCATGCGGACAGGTTGGTACCGGATGTGTTTGCTGACATGGCGAAAGAAGTTGGAGAAGGGGAGGGCGCCGTCGCGCGAGAAGGCCCAGCTTTGGCGGGATGCAGCGACTACCTGCTTTTAATGTTAATTTTAAGGGATATCTAGTCGCCATTATCATATGGCATCTTTTCTGGTTGACGAAAGAGGGTTATGCTGACCAGACTCAGGCCCATAAAGAATTGGACGATAGCCACGACGGACATGAAGCCAAGGGCGCCTTTCTTTCCGAGAGCATCGTAGTAGATCTATACATGAACGGTTAGATAGGGTTATAACTTATCATAGCTTAAGCTCGTTCGATTATCCTGAACATCTTCCAGTAGAGCTTACCTGGGCCATCGGTTGTCCGAAATTTGAATTTAGCAGGTTGTCTATATTATGATCCATCACAGTAGCTATGATGATCAAGGTAACAAAACCTAAAATCCCACACAACCCTGCCGAGCAAATGATCCCAATCGGCACGGCGCGCGCCGCGTGCGTCGCCTCCTCACTCATGTGGACGCAGGAATCGAAGGCTCCGATTGTCCAGATGGGCGACAGCCAAGCTAGCATGAACGCCCATCCTTTCGGCCAGGCAGTTAAATTATCCACATGTCCGAAAATGTAAGAACCAGAATTGACCGGGGGGTGATTCAAAGCCTTGCCAATCGGGAGCGCAAGGACGGTTGCTATCACCAGGCCAATATTGGAGTAGATGCAGAGACTCTGTATCTTGGGCATGATACGTCCAAAAAACGTGGCAATCAAACCATGCACGACGACGCAAGCCACATACGTGCCGTAGACAATTGGCCGGGTGGCAGACCAGGTGCCGTCTCGAGCAATGGAGATGAGGGAAAGCAACATCAGGGAAAACCCGTCTTTCACTCAATATCAGCGACAGTCTATACAACTGCTGCAGGCCAGGCGGACTCACAATCTATCGAGCAGACACCGCCGATAAGACCAATCGTATTGCTATATCCAACGACGAAGCTCAAGGGGTTCTTCCATTTCCCCCCACTGAAGTAATGAGTCCAGAAATATAGACCGCCAGCCGTAGGCATTGCAGAAGCCAGGTCAGCCTATTTGAAGTGGCACATAGTAGTCAGCTTTGGATGGATCCTCCTCGATGATTGAATTGGTTGAAAGCAAAGGAAAGGAACTCACCATAGCAAGACCGACAATGGTAATGAAGCAGCTCGCAAGAAACCAGCCTATTCAAACTCTCGTCAGAAACACCGGCATACAATAGAGTGTACTGAGCTCCAAATCGCCGTACATACCCTACAACAACATCAGATTAATTAGCAAACGAAGATCCAAGTCATCATAATAAAACTAGCGCATTACCCAGACCATACCCACAGGACCTGCAGGCAGAGAGAATGACAGCGTGCTTGCTATCGAAGGGAGAAGGCCCATGATACTGAACGCAATGGCGAAGACCTGAACGGTGGAATAGTGTCTTCGAAGCTCCTGCTTGTATCCCAGGGTAGCTGTCAGGTTACAGTTAGCACATGAGTACATTCGCTTTTGAAGAAAGCCAACTCCCGCATCAACATACCAAGGAGTTTCGAATCTCCAGCTTCAACAGGTGCATCTTCGTCAACAAATGCAGGCGGGGTCTTTGGATTGACCTGCACCTTATCACCCGGCATGGTTGGTAGAAGAAGTAGATGGTGCAGCAACGGACAATAAAGATGTGTCTTTCCCACGTTCAAATCGTGGTATTGCCATAAATCCCGGGGTATACGACATACTTAGACAATCGATGATAATAACGACAGGGATTCCATCGATGCAGGGGATGATAAGCAGCCCTTACAACGTATACCGAAGAACCTTGTTGATATTGAGCGGCGATCCCCAAAGCCTGAGCCACGACTCTACGACTGCTGGGCGTACCATATCTGTCGTGTGCAGCGAGGAGATGCAGCTAGGAAAATCGTCGCTAGTGAGATTGTTCCTTCGGGTTTCGACGAAGAAATGCAACTATCGTTATCTTCGACGTCTGTCACGTAAATAACATGAGCACTGGTACTACACAGGCTGTTGGCCATTATCAGCTCTCGGACGTTTCCAGATGGACGAGACTGGAAGTCATAACCTAGTTGGTGTAGGTGCGCTTGGCGCGATTCGAGAGGTGGGATTATCTCTGAACTTTGAAGCTATCACGAATGCTACCATAGATAAGGAATGCTCTTCAGTTCCGAGACCTGTTCCGGTGCAGTATACATATCAATTCACGTTCGTATTCAATTGCATAGTTCTAATAATAAACATATTCATACAGAATCTCATTCCCTTGGTAGAAAATAATGCCACAAGTATCGTTTGATGCAACAGCATTCCATTATAAGGAACAGGTCCAGGCAAACATAGGGCGGAAACAGAAGAAGGGGGCTGGGTGCACCCGCAAAGGAGTAGCAGAAATACACGAAATATGAAGAAAAAAAAGAGAGAAAAAGGAGAGAAAGCAAGAAAGAAAATAGATCGGCCTAAACCGCGCCTGGTCCCTTATGATTCGACTGGTCTAGAAGCAGTGTAGGTTTGATATAGTCTTCGTCAAGCTGTCGGAACCATGCTGCGTGGTCGCCGGACGGTCCGCCAGAGAAGATGGTTCGGAGAGTCTCCCTCGCACTTCGTCCCGCCTCTCGTCTTTGTGGGGACGTGCTTGACGATGGAGTCGCCTGCGATGGCTCCAGGTTCTGAGGATGGGAGACAGACCGCCGAAGCCGCGTGGGTGCAGATGGCGGCAGATCATCATCGGAGACGCCATCATCTAGGTCCAATTCGAACTCGTCCGGGGGTTGTACTTCGGGAGCAACTCCACTCGCGCCAGCCGTTTCTTCAGGGATAAACTCTTCGTCGCTGTCATTACTGCTCGCGCTGTGACTCCTACCATTACCTCCAAGAAGCGTCGCCGTTGACGATTTGTCCCGGCAAGCATTGCGATCCCGGCTACGATAGGCCCGCCAGGAACTTCCTTTACGGCCACCTGCAGATTGCGACCGAGGATTCGGAATGCGACTGTTTCCGCTAGAATAGCTACCAGCCCTGCCAACACCATCCAGAGGGATCGTCGAGCCTATGCGGCGAGGAGTATAACCGATCGCCGTGTCACGCTTGTAATAAGTTCCCCCGTAGGTAACCTCGATGTCGAATTCATCGTCCGAGTCAATCTCGTCGGCTACACCAGTTCTAATCCCTAGGATCTCTAGCATTCGAGCCGTCGTACCTCCAAAAATGATCACTGTTAGAACGACAACCACAAGCACTGTTGCTCGCAATGCCGGTGCGTTTACGCCCTTCAGACCCGCAGCTAGGGCAACACCGACAGCTCCGCGCAGTCCGGCCCAGAAAAGCATTGCTTGATAGGCAAATGGCAACTCGTCCGCCACATCCTTTCCACGACGTCGAGCTCTGTATCGGATGAACCAGTTTATTGCTTTGGATAACGGGAAGACCGAAAGATACCGCGCGACGCAGATACCGAAAACCGACACTAGGATGAAGAGGGGTTTGAACTGCAGGTTTGTCTCAACGAACAGGTCCAGGCCGAGATAGATGAAAATGAAATTCTCTGATAGTTGAGCCATCACTTGGAACAGATACTTGGTGGTTAATTGCGTTCGACGTGACATATTGTAGTAGGCGTAATGCTTCAGCGTAATGCCACAGAAGAGGAGGGAGACAATTCCTAGCAACATGAAGATTCAGCGTCAATTAGAACACTCTGTGACTTATCCAGGAGGCTACTTACCGGATAGATAGACACCGTTGGAGAAGAAGTAGCTGGCATATGCGATGAGGACAACCAAGCAACTCTCAATCTTTGGCATACGGCGCACGAGCGTGTGTTTAAGGCCAAGAGCCGTTGCAATGCCGACAACTATGCCCACCAACATACTTCCGAAGAAAACGAGCAGGAACAGCCCAATGGCTTCAAACAGGTTAAGTACCGTTAAGGAACCAGCATCGCTGTCCGCATATTTCTGCGCTGTCTCAAATAACACGATAGCGATGGCATCATTCAGAATAGACTCGCCGAAGATGACCGTGTAGAGCTTTGGCTCCACTTTGTAGAGGTTGAAAATCGCGAGGATCGTCACGGGATCCGTTGCAGAGAGAGTCGCTCCAACAGCGATCGCCTCAACAAAAGAAATGTTCAGGCCATCTAAAGGAATGCGGGTCCAAAGGTATAGTACAAGTCCAAGCACAATGGCGGTGATGAAGGTTCCGGCAAAGGCAAACGTGAGGATGGTACCGATATTGCGGAAGAAATTCGCCTGCAGGAGCACATATCAGCCAAACTGAAGCCCGCCAGAGCTGAATTCTGAATCATAAATCGCAGACTGACCTGGTGTAACTCATAACCAGAGGCTAAAATAATGGGAGGAAGAAGCAAATTAAAGAAGAATTGGTAATCGAACGTAACACTATCTCGAATAGGCGACTCGGGACTCAGACGGATAATCAAGCCAACGAACATGCCTACCCAATATACTCAGCCAACAATGCTCTGGAAATGGTCTCTTCCAATGCTGTTGCCTACCAGCAAATATAGAAAGAACCGTTTCATGGACGGCCTGAATCTTCCGCTGTTGAAGAATGTAGCTCGTAAACAACGCAAACATCAACAACATTATCATGATAAAGAGCGCCCAGGAGCTGAAGAACTCCTTTTTACCAGCCTCGGGTGTTTCTGCAACGAGCACAAAACCAGCAAAGGTTAGATCCGGGGGAAACCAGGAGGGAAGGGACTCGAAGTCGTATGCGAACATACCATCGTCAGGGTCCGAATCTAAGTCCGCAGCACCTACAAGAAGATACACTTGTCAGTTAAGTTCTATAGCAAAACTTCTATTCCTTATCCTTTGCAGTTAAGAGAAGTGTATGAGCTCACGTATTAAATGATGAACGGCGGCGCCTACAAGTTGGCTCGCCATAGTTATAGAGTCCAGACCACCGAAACCTAAGATGACAACAAACGCGCTCCGCGTGAGACTCCCTGACACCAGCAGTGAGTGCGCATAATCCAAGGATTGATAAACGAAGGGAAGTGGAAGAAGGAAGAGATGACAGAGGCGGAATACGAGAGCCTGGGAAGGGAATAGTCGACGTCAAACGCGAGTGTTGAGTCCCCGCTAGCCTTGCCAAGAAACCCTACTGTGGTTTATCTGGAGCCTGCACGGATTATTATTAACAGCTATTATTGGCGCAGGGCTAGTGTACAGAGTGGCATGGAAGGTTACATGCAAATCAATATTCGCAAATTTGCAGGCTCCCCTGTTAATTACTATTACAGAGTATTCTCTCCTCCTGTCTGTGCTGACGGACTCCGGACGGTAATATAAATCACGTGATATCAAACTGCAGGGACACTGCATTACATGAAACGCCCCAGCCTATCGTCTATGCTCCTACAGTCTATTCATGTTGCCGCCCAGCACGGAAGTAAACTGAAACTCGCCATTTACTTAAGCGCCTTCAGAAAGCCTCTTTGCTAGCCACGCAGCCAGCAACCCTGCACATCCGGCGAATCGTAGCACCCAACCAACACTATCATCCCATGGCACTCCCCTGGGCTTCTGCAGGGCCTTGAAAATGGCACTGCTGATCAAGCTCGACAAAATCTGTGGGACAGATATCGCCACGTTGTGGAGACCAAGGATGATACCTGCCTGAGCTAGTTTCCCATCGCCGTCTTCATTACCAAGGGCTTTCGTTCGAGCACCCCGCCCGATCTCCAAGTCATCTACCGATGCATCGTTCGATTGATCCATGTTGGGGACCAAGTTTGACCCACCGGATCCTGATTGTGTCGTTTCTAACCGGGTTTGTCGAATTCGGGCTTTGGCATTGACTTTCGCCACCTCAGCAGATATGAACGCAAAGGGGGCCCAGAGAGTCAGAGCCCATGAAATGCCGAGGACTCCAATTTCTACCGTCGCTGCTTGAGGACTATATATTAAGAAAGTACTGAACATGCAAGCAGCAAATAGCAAATGCGACAACAACCAGGCTCGGCGAAGCGTGAAACCGGGGATCTGGATCTTTGACAACCACGATTCTTTCGAACGAGGCACGAATTCCCTGCTTTCCTCAGTACTCAAGAGTGGCTCTGAGGAGGGTCCAAACTGTGCGCTAGAAAATGACGTTCTTCTTGGCTGGACAAGATCTTCCGTTGGGCTTCCCGGATCATCGCGCGTTGGAGAAATGGTTGACCGGTATGTCGGAACAATCAAGAAAGGTAGTATTATATTTGCAGAGAAGCAAACGACCGCGTTGATAAGAAGCGCAAATGTCCCCTTTCTCGTAGCTTCTTCCCACACGTCATCGATCTTATCATCGGGCAGGTTTGGATGCTCCTCGAAAATTGGGTTGGCGTAAAGTTGTCCGATGTAAGTCGTAGAATAGTATAAGAAAGGAAACCAACCGATCCAGGCAGCAACCTGGACTTCGCAGACTTTGGCTATCTGAGGCGGTAAATTTCGGACCGACTCAAAAACATGTTTGAAGAAGGAAAAGACACCGAAACCACGCGAGACAGGGGGGCCTTCAAGACGCGGGTCTCGCTCCTTTATATAGGAGCAGCTTATCAACAAGGTAGTGCTCAAAGATATAGACGCTATGGCACAGAGTACCTTGAACTGGCCGTTCCCAAAGAAGGGGAGGATCTTGGGCAGATCGAGATAACCAGATATATACCCCAGAATATTTCCGGCACCGGTCAACCCGCTCGCCCAGGCGTTTGCCGATTCTTGCTGATGGGCAGGGGCATTGTCGACTATGAATGCTCGAATTCCTGCTTGCACTGTACAACGGCAGTTATAATCAAAGTCCGATGGCGAGGAGAGAAGGAGAGTCATACCTGTATTGATGGAGAAGTCCAGACAATACATCAATAGCGTCGCCGCAACTATCACGACTGTTCGCGTTCCGGTGGAGCTCGAATCCACGCCAAATAGACCAAGAAAACCGCCTACTATCTCCCGCACCCAGGCAAGACCGAGAAGGGACACAACCGTTGCAGCACCGCCGATTACCATAAACGGCTTCCTCTTGCCCCATGGCAAACGACAATTGTCGCTGAGGATGCCTATGTAAGGCTGTACGAGGGCACCTGTGAGGGGACCCGCTATCCAGACCATGGCAAGCAAGGCCTTGCTCATTCCAAGGGACAGAAGGTACGGCTATTTTTAGGAATCATCAGATCAAAGCCCTCTTCAAGTTTGACGGCAAAGCCAGAACTCACGGATCCATTTGATAACTCGACAGACCACACAACCTGAAGCCTAAAGGGCATCGCTTGTCAGTGAAGAAAAGACCATTGATCGACATTTAATTATCAATAAAACATGACCAAGGAAATGATTTTTATTATGTGACGAGGGGCAACAATCATAACAATACTTACCCGCCAATACTAAGCGTCAATAGGAACAGATACCAATTGTTCTCCGAACGATCCTCCATATGCCTAGTATCATGGGTTTCATCCAATCCATCTTGCAGATCCAACACCCCAGCTTCGTGACTATCATCCATCTGATTTTCCGTCACGAGGGGCGATGTCTCATTCAGTGCATGGCGAGCTGTTTCTGTCACAGTCATCGATGCGACCCCAGATGGGAACTAACCTGAGTGTCTATACTACAATTTAGGAGAAAAGAGCGAGAGCCTTGGAATGGTGTTCACTGTCCCACAAAATAACAGCCAACCCACGAGTTCAAGGATATGTAACGCGCTTGGCGCTGACAGCGTAGTACAGAAGCAGTGCCGTGGTACAGGGTGCAGGAGTAGTCTGGATTCAAAGCGGAGGAACCAAGTCCCTTCTTCTGCTGGTGAATGAAGAAGTTAATGGAAGCGATTCCAACGGTAAATTCTGTTTCCGTTTCCCTTTTCAAATGCGAAGTATTATTTCCGTATGCTCTGTTCGGCTGCTCGCATACTAGTAATAAGTCAAACAAACAGCACCCAACGACAAATGACTGTAGTGTCAAATATGTCACTGGACTGCATCCATGGGCTCAGCACTAGAAAGTACCTCACTTCTTGGAAAGCACAAAAGATGATAAGACGTCGATGTCAGCGCCGCCATCTTGTTGACGAGGGCAGTCTATGTCGAGCTGTCGTGACATCAGCGCGGGTGCTGCACGTGATCGGGAATTGAACTTTCGAGGATTAAATACGTAATACGATCCTTTCTGCTCCTATCTCCAGGAAAATACGAACTGCGCCCCATGCAAGAGGACCAAATGTGATGTTAAATTCAAAACTTGACATTGCACAGTACTACATGTGGACAAGGGTGATCCTTGTTATTTTAGAGATGTCTCATGCATTACATAGGATTTTGTGAAGAGACACCTCACCACAGTTCCTCTGAAGACTAGTGCTAGGTGAGAAGTGGCATATACAGGCAGGAGTCTAAACAAGCAATGATTCACAAGAAGCTCATGTCATCAACAAGGAAAACAGTCTTGTTCATAGTTGGGACAGGACGCGCCTAATCATAAGTAACTTGACATAGGTAGACACACACACACACACACACACACACACACACATTCAACTCCAAAATCCAAGCAGGTATACAGAACACATTATAAATAAGAGGCACCGCCATCATTATCTGCAGAAAAAGAAAAAACATAGATAAAGACTTAAATTGCAGCCGTCTATTTCACTCTTATATTTGCTGCTGCAAAAGCTGAGGAGCAACCATCTGAGGGGCGATCATCGTGGGCATAGCTGTCGGCATGTCCACAGAAGAAGGCATTGATGTCACATTGGCCATGTTAGTCATGTTATTTGGAACATATTTCGCGCCTGATGAAGCCGTGGTATCGCGAGAACCGAATTCATTTTCTTCATTTTCCAAGTCCTCATCGCTTCCATGCGCTTGGTGTTGTCCATCTTGTTGGGCTTCATGGATACGGCGGTGCCTATGTAATAAATATAAGCACTCACCCGGAAACAGTCTACATAAGAATATGTACGTGAACTTACTGCGCAAGATTGTCAGACCGCGAAAAGGCCTTGTTGCAATAAGGACAAGGGTAAGGCCGTTCCTGGGTATGGGTCCTCACGTGTCTAGGCCGAGTTAGTTGCATGAATAGAGAAATGCAAGAGAGGCGAGGTTTGAAATGTGCTTAAGAATACAACATACCGCTTGAGATGTTCCAATCGCTTGAAAAGTCGGCCACATGATGGAATCGGACATGAATGGGACTTCTGTGGATATGGGCCCAGCTCCATCACAGTAGCGCTGCGGGCACGGCGAACTGGCCCTGGGCCCGGCCCGGGTCGATCAGGTCTGCGCATCGCACTATTTTTTACAGTGGCCTCCAAGCTCTCATTATTCGGTAGTGGCGGTAGACCGTCCTGCGCGCTGACGTCAGGACTCTCTTCGACGCTTGATAATTGAGTTCCGTTCTGGGGCACTTCAGGCAGGTCGTTGCCCGGGAGAACTGAAGAAGGATAGCCGGTAGGAACACCATGCGGAACGTGACTTAGCTCGTGTCCCTCAACAATAGGGTCTACTGATGCGGAAACCGAACGTCGGAGATCGCTTGGCCTATGCACAGCATAGGGGGCCACCTGGGATGGCGCGGCGGTTGACTGGACGTTAGCAGAAGCAGCTGCGATGGCATTCGGAGCGCCCGAAGTAGCGGAAGACCGCCGCCTACGCCGTTTGTATGACGGAGAGCCCTCTATTACAGAATATACAGATGGAAACGTCCTTGGCGGGGCAGTGAAACCAGCGCTGGAAACGTTGGATGGCTGTAGATGCATCATATTATTGAACGTCGCCGTGGATCCAGCGTCTGGGATAGCAGTGTAGAGGCCGGTGTCTTCGTTGGCGATATATGCTGGTTCAGGACCCAGGGGAACGGCGTGCTGTGGGGGAGTAATCGGCTCATAGGAAAAGCCCCGGTTGCTGTAGTCTTCGTACTGGGATGAAACAAATGACGGAGCTGGGGAGTACTCGACGAATGTTGGCATCGACGCGTGGCGGTGGTGCAGGCGAGCAAGAATCATTCCATTGCGATCATATTGGAACTGGCCGAAATCCTGCTCGCGTTTAATGAAATTATGGACCATGGGGTCGGGCATTGGCATCTGGCCGTACATCGTAGGGGTGCCAGAGTCGTCCGGGAGAAGGGGCATCGATGGAGGGGCCATCTGGGGAGGAGGCATTGCGTCAACGGTCCGAACCATTGGGGAGACGGGTTGGCCATATGCCGTACTTGCGTGTGTAGCAAACGACGAAGAATTTGCTTGTTGTGTCTTTGTGAGTTGCTCATATAACGATTGGGAGGAATCGAATTCGAAAGATAAGGCGGGCTCGCTGACGGCAACCGTGGTCGCTTCCTGGCCCATCTTTTCCCTCTTCAGATCGCGCTCCAAAGCATCGAGGAAAAGCCGGTCGTGCGGAACGCTGTACCAGTAGAACACCTTTTGCTTCTTCTGTGTGCGAATGCAGTTGTTCTTGTAGAGGAAGTCAAGGAAGGGGCTCTTGGGTTCCTCGAGGGTTGCGTCGGTGCCAGCCTTGAGGTTTCGGAGGTCGGAAAAAATGCCTTCCTCGAATTTCTTGGAATTCTTGACGGGACGACCGAAGGCTTGAAATCTGAAGGCTAGACATCTGACGATATCTGTACCCGAGATGTGAAAGAGATTGTTCCTGAGACGCAATCAGTTTCAACCTAATCGAAGCCTACAGATCTCCTCTAGCTTTGCAAACCAACCATAGGACACATGAAATATAATCGCCAGTGGGCAGTAGAAAGCGGCGGATCAGTTGATCTGGTTGCCAGTCAACTGGCGCAGACAGGAGGAAGTACTTCACTATGGCCAGAGTCAGCGCAGGTCCGATTGAGAGGAAAGGAATGAATTCCCAAATCACGTACAATTGTCCACCTGTTGCAGCGCCACTTGCGCATCATGAGGGAGACTTTGCTGTGCCTCGCTTGAAAGCATGAATGTTTCTGGCTTTTGCGAAGGTGCCACAGCACCATGCTGGGGATACATTTTCTTCTTCTCTCCTTCTTTTGAAGTTTTAATTTTTTATCTTTCTATCAAGAATGCTTCAGAAACGGTCAGCCGTAAGGACAAGTGAAGAGCAGAACGAGGTCTAAACCAAGGAGAGACGCACCGTCAAGGAACTCGTTCAATGAAAAGTTGTCTCAGACAGACGAATCACGACCTCTTATCTGGAAGAGTGAGACAAAAGCGAAATGGCAACAAGAACTCAACGAGAGAGAATAGGAAAGGAGGATCGTATATGGAGATGCCACTCAGCGAACATGGGAACGCGACAGCGGAATCCAAGCGAAACCAGTGTGAGGAGCCAGCCTCTTTCTAAAACCCTAGGGAAGTGCTAAAGGAAGCGAAAGGCGTTGACGGAAAGAAAAAGTATGCGGGAGCCAGAAAAGAAAAAATAAAGAGAGTATGCAAACTGGACCGGCCCGTTTTCAAGTCACTTGAGGTTTTCTCGCACTGCGAAAGGAACGAAAGGGGGGAAGTGGGTTGTCGTAAGGTGCCAAGCAGAGATCAGGGGCCCAGAACGGATGGTGGGTATAAGAGATACGACACGACAGTGTCGAGGAGAAGAAAATAAGAAGAAAAGAACAAAAAGGAGAGCCGTCAACGATGGAAAGCAGCACGGAGAGAGAAGGGTTTATGGGCAGTGAGTGAGAACGAAGGGGAGGACGAGACGAAGTGGAATGAATTGGGTTCAGGGAGCGCCGACCGCGACCACTCGAGGCTGGCAGAGAAAGCCCACCAGAATCGCTATTATTAACAATGGAAAAAAAAAGAAAAAAACATAAGAAATTATCAAAAAATTATAAAAAATATGCTCGGTCCCGTTACAACTCAGGCCAGCCAGGCATCGTCGCGATTAATCCCCGAGTCTCACGGATCGTACGGTCGATGGTATGTACTATGCACAGCATACGTGTGTGGCTACTTTATCCTCTGCCACGACTCTTAACACATACTACAGAGTGCTATGATGATCATCGCGACAAGCCGCTTCTTTTCTTCCGCGTGAAGAATCCTGATCTTCACCTCATCCGCCGTCGATGCAGCCAGAGTGACGGATCCTGCAGACCTCCATCCAACCGACGTCGATCGTTCACCGTGCGGTGGATTATTATCCTCCTGCCGGGTGGCGACGCATAGTAATATTACAATTTCCAGACCAGTCAGTTTCCTGAAGCACGGCCAAGACACGTTTCAGGCTCAGGGGAAGCGCCGTGTGCTGCCAATGGCTGGCGTCATACCACGCTCCTCGCTCAAGCTTCTTCATGCCGTCGTGCTCGCTATTACTTCCACTCTGATCAATGATAAATATAAATAGTTCCAAGATTGACGTTGCTTCGCGCCCTCTTGGCAAGAATATCCCGAGAAGCGCCAATTGGACCCTCACCAAATCTGAAACACTCGTAACCTTGATCCATGCAGCATGCTAGGTACTCACACATTCCCGGACGTCAGTCAACGGCTGATGTGCGCTATTAGCCGCTGCCTTGCCTGTCTGCGGTCGGATCTTCTGGAGAGAATTCCGTACTAGATGCGCTTCTACCAATCGAGTTCCATAGCGCTCCACTCGAGTCCAGTTACTTTCCTGCCGCTGATGATACGAAGCCCGAGCAAACCGGTCTCTACATGACTGTCCGTATAACTTCCAGGTTCTATAAAGCTAATTTAATTGCCATTGTTAAGAGAGTGTTGTCGCCAAAGTTGGTCTGGCATATACGCTGTGCTAGTCATCCATAGAAACAGCTGCGCCCATGATCTTTCTACCCTAGGGCTCTTCACGCTGTAGAATGCGGATTATTATTATGCACGGACCACTCAGCGCTTGGGAACAAGACGTTCCATCTGTATATGTGGGTTCAATGCATGGCCTGCATCAGCGCCAAAGTACCACCATTCTCCTTGCTCGAACATACAGAGGTCCTACTCCTAGCAGCTCCTACTGGTAGGAAACCTATGTGGGGGTTAATATCTTCCCAGCATCCTTCACGGCAGGACGACAGTAAGATGGAGAATTGTCTCGGAGAACCGAGCCCAAGCGCCCACCACCGACAGAGCTCGTCTTCGTAGAATCATTAAGTCACATAAGACTGTAGACGGTTTAGGCTGCGGCATGCGGGATTGCCGCACGCCTTGCATCCTAACGTCGGCCTTTCCCCTTCCCATTTGTCGTTCGTTGCGTCCCTTGGATAGCTGAAAGGTCTCTCTTGTTAAGCTTGAGAGTACCCCCGGCGAATTTCCCAACTGAAGGTCCCCCAACACCACGCTCTCTCCGCTTATCACTATTATTCTTTGGTTTGAAAGCAGGCTTTTCGAGAATGATGCCATTCTCTCTAGCTTCCCGGCGACGCCTTTCTTCTTTTGATGTGGCTTTCGCTTTTATACCTCTTCGATGAGACGAGGGCATGTTCTGCTGGGCATATATCGACGTTTTGGAGCCGAGCGCTTGCATTCTCAGATCCAACGCTCTATGTCGGTTCTTGCCAGAGGGGGCTAGTTCTGACGCAGACTCAAGAAGATGCGACTCTTTGAGTAGTCGTTGCAGGGCAAGATCGTTCTTCAGGTCCTCCGCATCGGTATTCTTGTCCTCAGCTTTCCCATCTCTGTCTTGTTTCGGCTTAGACCTAGCAGTCGTCGACTCTGCGGGGAAACACGGCGGCTTTGAATTCTACTCATAATATTAAATTAGAATATTTTTGGAATCATTATGTAGCCTCAATATGTAGACATACCATAAAAGCTTTGCGCGCTTTTTTGTCCATGGCATCATCCAAAGCGATGCGCGAATCCTTGTACTCGACCACTTCTACTTTGTTGTCTTCATCCCCATCAGAAAACCCACTCCATTCGGAATCTGATTGCAAATCTGCAGTTTCATCATCTTCATTGATTTCAACAGTTTCAGCACTGCGATCAGTGACTCGAGCTGGTATATCTAAAGGCAGGAATCGAGCTTCGAAATATCTGCGGAAAACGTCATGCGAAGCATCTGAAACCGGAGGTGTCTGGTCATAGACTCCTGGAGACAACTTTCTCGAAGCAACTGATGTGTCTCTTTTTCTTTTGCCAACCATTTTTCTTCGCCGTCGTTGTTCTCCTTGTAGCGCAGGCAATAATTCAACGGCGAGTTGTTGCACTTTTTTCTCAAGCGGAGGATGTATCACGTGCGATAAGATCCAATCCCACTCCAACCATCACGTACGGAATTCCATGGATTAAATATATGCAGGAAATTGCTACAGACTAGGTATTCTATTAACAAAAATGACCCAATTCCGGCCTTGCATCGATTTGCACTCTGGTCAGGTGAAGCAAATCGTCGGCGGGACGCTGAGCAATGTGCCCTCCGAACTGAAAACAAACTATATATCCAAGCTTCCAGCTGGCCACTATGCGGCATTATACAAGCAATATGATCTGCGCGGGGGTCATGTTGTAATGCTAGGACCGGGCAATGAAGAGGCTTCGAAGGAGGCACTCGCAGCATGGCCGGGGGGACTCCAAGTTGCCGGAGGCATTACCGATAAAAATGCGAAGTATTGGATTGATCAAGGAGCCGAGAAGGTGAGTTGTTCGAAGAAGTTATACCTTGACTCCTAGTCAATTCTCCTTCGTGTTCACTATATTTTCCCAAGTATTCTGGATGAACTCATTTTCAATACTTTTGCTTCTATCCTCATTTGCAATAGAGTCTGTAGAACCGCAAGTGCTGACCGTATACCCTCGGGATACCAGGTTATCATCACTTCATACCTCTTTCCAGAGGGTAAATTCTCACTCGATAGACTGAAATCAGTTTTGTCTGCTCTTGGAGGGGACAGATCAAAGTTGGTCTTGGACCTGAGCTGCCGAAGGAAGGACAATACATGGTTCGTGGCCATGAACCGCTGGCAGACGATTACGGAGTTGGAGATCAATCAAGGTAAGCACGGTCTTATTTCTCACACTTATAATCCCTTTTACTAAAATTACACACTAGAATCGATATCAATGCTGGAACCGTATTGCTCGGAGTTTCTCATTCACGCCGCCGATGTCGAAGGACTACAGCAGGGCATCGATGGCGAACTGGTTTCCAAGCTAGCTCAGTGGTGCTCAATACCTGTTACGTACGCTGGAGGAGCGCGAAGTCTTCAAGATCTTGAGAAAGTTCAGGAAAGCAGCAATGGCAAGGTTGATTTGACGATTGGCAGTGCCCTAGATATCTTTGGTGGTTCTGGTGTGACCTTTGACGAGTGTGTACAATGGAATAAGGAGCACTGAATTGGATGTTATCTTCTGGAACTTTTCCTATATACCACTACCTAGATGGCTTCGGGTTAACCCAGGCTTGGAGGAAGTGAGCCCGATGGTTGGAATGAGCCTCAAGCCTTCATTTGTGCACATTATAGCACCTGCAACACAAAATGAAAAAGGAGAACATGTAATTTAGAAATTAATAGTATGGAATCTCAGATCACCTATAGACATAAATAATACATCGTTCAACAGTGCTGAACAGGTCTATAAAGAGAGGGCAGATGACATCAAGGGACCTCATTGCCAAATACGGTTTAGGTCGCATGAAGCTTCTGGACCGGCAGAACAGGCACCTCATGAAGGCTCAAACGTCACCTTCAACTCCTTGCGCTCGATCATATCATTACTTCGCTCGGCTTGCGGTATAATTCTTTTCATCCCGTGTTTCTCCAGTCTATCTGCTACTCGATATCGTATCAGCGTTGGCCAAGTATCCGGCCCTCCCAACATATCTAGTACCGAGGACTCGACCACCCCTCAAAATGAAGCCCGTTGTGTCGGCGTTTAACGCTTGGAGCTGGTACTTTTCCTTCAACAGAGATTGGTATTCCTGATGATCAGGAAACTGACAGAATGTGTCTCTAGCGTTGTCATCTCCTTCTTCGCCATGATCATTCTCTCAATTCTTGGATCGCTATTCAAGGTTCGTTTCGCATACTGTTCGTTATCTTATTCGATGGCGATATTTCACGACTCCTTAGGACCTTTTTCAAGGATCTACCGTCTTACATATCCTTAATTGAAGGCTAACTACTTATCATTCCATCCAGAGCAACAATCACGCATATACCGGATCGACAGAAGACCCCGAGAATGGCCCCGCGGTTGCCGCCTCGATTTTCACAGCAGTGATTGTCTACGCTGTATGTTTTCCACATCAGTTGATCTCTCGGACCATTATGGAAAGAGAGAAGAAGAAAGAAAAATTCGAAATAGAAGAATTCAATGCTGACGGGTATTTGGAATAATAGGCCTTTTTCGTCTTTTGTGCCTTCCAGGCTTATCTACACATGAGAGGCAGCAGGGGAGGAGCCATATCACTCAGCTAATGGGGCTGACAAATTAATGAATAATTCTTCTTTTTCAAAAATTCATTATATTACTCTGTGTTCTTGTCTGTCGGCAGCCTTAGACCTTTCATCATATGTTTTGGGCATTTTGATAGCGGCGTCTGGGTTGGAAAGAGAGAGAAGCCGGCATTTGCTGTTTCTTTCCTTTGAAGCCGTCGATGCAGTTAATGCGTGCCTTTGAATGCTTCTGCTGCTTTCTGCGGTGGATTGGATTCGGACTTTGATCTTGTTTGGTGTTTGAGTTGCTGATATGTTCTATGGATTTTCATGTTATCTTTGCGGTATCGTCCCTGATCATTGGAATTTGGAGTTCTTGTCCTTATTGTTTGAAGAATGCGTTGTATGAAATACAAGTTTAAAGTATTTCAAAATATGCGGCTTTTCCACGCGGTATTTACTGAATGAGCTAAATGAGCTACGATTCGGGTTAGAGTCAAGGCAGTATTGAAGATTCTTCACATGATTAAACATGCCTGTATTGATTTTGTTGCAACAAAGAGCTATCATGGAAGATGACCTCATGTATATAAAGAATTTAATCGTTGCAATACCAGATATGTAATCACAGGCTGAAAAGTTGTGATTCCCTCGCAAGATGTTCAGAAACCAGCGCGTTTTATGTTTTCCTGGCACCCTGGATTTCTCTTCTCTACCAACTCCCCAAACGCCTGCAATGTATATGTCAAAATGAACTTTTTAACACATTATTCATTAATTTGTTTCAAAAAGAATCATCATCATCATTGATAGGATCCAGCATTTTGGACATGTATGGCCCATCCAACGTATAACCGAGACGGGCATAGTAACTCCGAACGCCTACACCGGAAATAACACTGATCTTCCGACTTCCGTGTTCCTCCCTGGCAATCCGCTCAGCCTCTTCCATAAGCAACGTGCCGAAACCACGATGCTGGAACTTGCGCGAGTCACGACCATGGAGAGGGACTGCAGAGCCGTAGACATGCAGTTCTCGCACGATGCTGGTCTGTTGACCCGTGAATTCTGGACGGAAGGTATGCGTGGGACTGCACTTTCGCAGGCGGAGGAGTCCGATGAGAATATCCTGTTTGGGATCCTCGTAGGCGAGGAAGGTTTCCCAGCCGCCGTTGGCGGTATAGTCGCGTCGCACCAGTTCTATCTGGGAAGGGCGAATCTTGTTCTTGACTTCGTTGATGCCGACCTCGCGGGTGCGGACGTCGCGGCACGTGGTGCCAAAGTCCTTCATCCGGGCTATAGCAAGTTCACGGAGGTTGCCATTCTCAACGCCAGAGGTAACGAGGGGCATGGGAATATCGCGTTGAACACGGTAGATACGGGTCCATGGTGGCACGAGGGCGAGGATACGGGCGACAAGGTCTATCAATGCGTTTGGCGTGTAGTTCTTGTAACGGCCCGTCCGCCACAGTTCGTAGAGGCCGGTACCGCGGATGACGAGCGTGGGGTATATCTTGAGGCCGTCCGTCCGGAAATCAGGATTCTCGAAGTATTCCTGGAACTGGAACAAGTCGCGTTCCATCCCAACGTTGGGGAGGTCGGGCATCATATGGCTGACAACCTTGAACCCGGCATCTTTGGAAAGCTTGAACGTTTCTGCCACCGCGGCAACTGTATGCCCTCTGTTGGTGTCCCTCGCGACGTCTTCATATAAGCTCTGTACGCCGACCTCCAGTCTGGTACAGCCGTAGCGGAGCATGCTACTCAGGTGGGTGTCCAGACAGTAATCCGGTCTGGTTTCGATGGTGATACCAACACACTTCACATTGCTCATCTCGCCGGCTTGGACGGCTTCATCGACGTTGTCTGTCTGATACCCGCTCAAAGCATTATGCAGTTGCGCAATGAACGACTCACGGTAGTCCTCTGGAAGCGACATGAATGTCCCACCCATGATGATATATTCGACCTTGTCCACACTGTGACCCAGAGACTTGATCTGATCCACCCGTCCTCGAGCCTGCTCGAATGGATCATAGCGAGCTCGGATCGCGCGCATTGACGTCGGCTCGTATCCCGTGTAAGACTGGGTCGAATACTCGAAATCCGAATCGGGGCCACCAGGACAGTAGACACAAATGTTACCAGTGTAGGCGATATGGGGACAGCGGTGTGGTTTACACATGACGGCAACAACGGCGATACCCGACGACGTTCCTCAAGTAGCATGGTCAGTGAGATAAGAAATAACACAAGGAGATACCAAGAAAAATATGCCACATACTGATGGGCTTCGCAATCAATTTAGGAAGGATATATTTCTTGTAGTGTTCAGGAACAGCCGCGATGATGGCCGTCAGTGGCGGTTGACTGCTCAAGCGGTGCTTCTTCGAGATCTGACCCCGCAGCCTGTTGAGATTAATATCCTTCTTGGGTTTTGAAGGGTCCCTGGCCGCTTCATATTCCTGGATGAGAGCATTTGCAATATCCGAACAGGCTCTCAGGTATCGTTCGTTCTCGGGGGGGAGCTTTGCATTCTTGGCAGTCTGACACTGCGACGGCGGCATGGTCATGGTGAGAGTCGCCATTTCGCAGCGAATAGGGCGCTAGGCAGAGAAACACGATCTATGAGAACAACGGCGGCTTGATGAAAGGGCTAGAATTGTCTTCTGCTAGAGGAATTACCGGTTTGACAGCCCGTCGGACCGAGCGAGGAGGGAGAGAAGAATGTGACACCGATAAGAAGAGGGAAAAAATCGCGGAGACACATGGCCGACGGCACAACCACAAACTGCCGAAATATCTGATCCCCTGCTCCGTGTCGCTGGCTTCTTTCGTTATTACTGTCCTCTACCACCTCCCCCCTTTTTTTCTTGCTCTCTGTCTTCATCTACATCCGTATCCCTCACAACAATGCAGGCTTTTCGACGTAACACGTTCTCTGCCCTGCGTAGGGTCGCTGCCACGCAGCGTCGGGGATACTCCTCTGCATATAACGACACCATCAACAACCTTCGAATCAACAGCGACACGAAGGTCATCTACCAGGGTTTCACCGGAAAACAGGGAACGTACGTGCTACTTACTGACAATTCCTAATTTTGGCCTCCTGTTGGTCCGATGATGCTGACGGGAACTCCCTCTGGCTTGTAGGTTCCATGCGGAACAAGCCATTGCCTATGGTATCCACCCCATCCCTTGGTCGCAAACCCGGGAAAATGGAAGAAATAGGCCACTCACAACATCTAGGAACGAAGATTGTCGGCGGTACCAACCCCAAGAAGGCTGGTACGCTGCACTTGGATCGGCCCGTGTTTGCTACGGTCGAGGAAGCTGTCAAGGAGACTGGAGCCACGGCTTCTGCTATCTTTGTTCCGTATGGAGAGATCTCCTATAGATAACCTTAAATATTGTTGCTTGCAGCTGCTAATCACAAAAATAGACCTTCATTGGCGGCCAAAAGTATTGAGGAGGCCGTCGCGGCCGAAGTTCCTCTGGTTGTTTGGTGAGCCAGCTGGTGTTATGTTGCTACGCGTCCATAAGGCTGTACACTGACTTTTGTTTTCTTTTCCGTTTCCGAATAGCATTACCGAAGGAATCCCTCAGCACGGTACGGCGTTTTCCCTTCTTTGATTTTTTTAATTACTTGCCCGTCTATGATGACGGTTGTCTTGCGGGAGGCAGGGAGACTGACGAACAACCTTTGTTAGACATGGTCCGCATCACGGATATCCTGAAGACCCAAAACAAGACCCGTCTGGTCGGACCGAACTGTCCCGGTATCATCGCTCCTGTATGTCTCTGTCGCATCCCGTCTTATTCTGCCTGTGAATGAAAAGACTGATTCCGTAATAGGAACAATGCAAGATCGGTATCATGCCCGGCTTCATCCACAAGCGCGGCCGCATTGGTATCGTTTCTCGCTCTGGTACCTTGACGTACGAGGCTGTCAACCAGACTACCCAGGCCGGTCTCGGTCAGTCGCTTGTGGTCGGAATCGGTGGTGATCCCTTCCCCGGCACCAACTTCATTGACTGTCTCCGCATCTTCCTTGAAGACCCAGAAACCGACGGTATTATCCTGATCGGTGAAATCGGAGGTAGCGCGGAGGAGGATGCTGCCGAATTCTTCAAGGCATACAACAGACACAACAAGCCAGCCGTCGGTTTTATCGCTGGTATCAGCGCGCCACCGGGTCGCCGCATGGGTCACGCCGGTGCCATCGTTAGCGGTGGTAAGGGAGGCGCCGACTCGAAGATCTCTGCCCTTGAGAGTGCTGGCGTCATTGTGGAGCGCAGCCCCGCTGCTCTTGGAAAGACCCTGCTCGCAGAATTCGTGAAGAGAGACCTGGTCTAAGTGTGTATCCTTGTATGGAAACCTGTTCACTCCAATCGCCGTTTATTTCTCTTGCCGTCAATACCTTGGGACCTTTTGATAGATTTCGCATCTCCTTTGGGTGTGATATGCTGGTTTAATAGTGGCGCCGACTCCTTCGGAGTCTTTGTTCAGCCTGACTTCCCGCTGCGTCTGTTACATTTTTCTCCTTTAGAAGAGATTAGCTCATAGTAAATATTTATTCCAAAGAGTGTGGAGAGTAGAGAGGAGCAAGGAATCCCAGAACTCCGGCTCTTCAGTTTTTAGTGGATATTCAAACTGAACAAGGATTGTGAGAGCCACCAATGACCAAGGCAGACATGGCATCAAGGCCATGAACACGAGGAAAACCAAGGCGAGGGAGCAAATTTAACAGAGCGAGATCAGGCAATCCTTACAGCAATAGATATACCCACGCAGCCGATGGACTTCCGCCTGTCCGACACTAACAGCCACGGCTTGGCAGGAAAAATCCCTCCGTATGGGGCATGAATGGATTAGTGGAACAGTAGGCAGTTAATTAATATACATCGCTGTATGTCGGCAAGTGTCGGGATATGGCTTTGAAAGGAGAGAATTGATGTCCTTGATACCCCCGGCTTGGTGTATTAATAAGGATTATATGTGTCCCTTGACGCCTACGGCTTATATGGTATTATACTATATCGATCAGGATGACTAGATGGATATTCCCTCCGTATCTTGGAGTGACCCTTTGCAGTTCATAGCATATGGGGGAAGTTGCAGCATCTCTTCCGAATGCTTAATCTGTATATACTACATTGCTCCCGCTACTGACCTGCATAACCTGGCAATAGCGACCTTGTATAGATCACTAGATGAGCCTGCTCTTATGCCCTCGTTTCAGTTGGATGCCTGGACCATATTCAGTTTGTGCAGCCGTCCCCTACTGTAAAACTGCCTGCAATATCTCATCGCCTTCTGAAGCGAAGCAGAACTATTGACACCAAGCGCAAGTACTTCCAAGGCTACGTGTAGTCCCTGATTGCTTTTTGCGACGGTAATTTTCAACCGTTAACAGCGTGTTGGGTACGGCATTAACTTATGGATAAGACTCTAGTATCAGGATAGCAACAGCCAGTATTAAATACGATCCCTACAACGGTGTTATAGACGGAGACTGTATCATCAACATAACAAATCCGCAGTGAATCTTCGCAGGCCACATTGTGGTTATGACCGCATGTGTATGGAGGGGAGGGGAGGAGGTGCAGTGCTTCGTTTGCTTGGTGGAAACAATGAAAGCAATTATTAGACGAATGGAAGTGTAAATTGTCGGCGCGGCCGAGTATCGTCAACTAATTAACATGTTGTTTCTTCTGTTGCGTACAGCGTACAGAGTACAGAAGAAAACGAGGTGAAGTCATTCTCTCACGTGACACAACCACCAGAAGCAAAAGCAAACATCGTTGTCTGAGGAACGAGACTCTGTTTATCCTCTCGCCGTCCCATCGACACCTGGTTCCCCTCAGTCCTACTGGCCACGCACCTTCACTGGCCGAGTTTATTGCATCCTAGGGCCTGGAAAGATCTCTGCTGCTTGTAAGCGGGTCTTTCCATTTTTGTTTCTCGTCGCTAGCTGCCGTGTGGGCTGTGTTGTTGTCAACAGTATATGCGAAAATTCGAAAAAAATAAGCCGTCTCCCCTGGTTACCAACCTCCCACCTCCCTATTTTTGACACTAGGGAGCCCCGGATTGCACATTGCATAGTTGGGCAGTGCGGACATGCCTCCTGATATTGGTAAGAGAGCTGCAACTGTCCCTTCGCTATACTTTCTTGCGAATCATGCTTCCTCTGTTGTTGTCTGCCATGCTGGGTCCTCCGTTGCTAATGCATACACGTAGCCCGAGCGGCATCCCAAGCTACTCAAGTAGGCCCGCTTAGTCGTCCAGGGACGGCAGACCACATGAGATCGCGTTCGGAAACAGTCTTGTCTAAGGGTGGCCGTCGTCCGAGATCCAGAGGCTCGACGGCCAGCATCCATTCAAGTACCACCCAACAAACCCAGGATCAGCATGTCATCGATGGATATTCACAGTTCATGCAGGGCCAGCAGGCCACAGCTGGCCACCATGTATTCAGTAACAACCCCGAAGAGATAATCATGAGGTTTGGCCAACAGCTGTCTCATCCAACGGCCGGAGCGTCAACACTCGACCCGACCTTTCAAGACTCGCATCATATGCCCAGACCAGAGGATTTTCCAAACCACGCGATTCACGGCCATAGTATGTCTCACCACTCACTGACCCCGGATCTGACTGCCCACGGGTTGCCTGCCATGCCGGTTCCCCAATATCCAACCATGTATGACAGCGGCATAGAGAATCATGTTCCAGAGCACATGCTCGAGGAGAACGAGAACTCAGAACCTGGAGCAAGGAAGCGAAAGGGCTCTAGTGCCACGCTAGCTAATGACAATGAGTTGCGAAGATTGTTACGTCAATACGAAGGGTACACTTTGAAACAAATGGCTGCGGAAGTTTTGAAACATGAGGGCGCCGGAGGGAAATCAGAGAAAGTTAAGCAAGTTTTTGCCATGATTTGGTGGGTTTGAGAGATCACATTCTAGTACGTGGGCCTTGGCTTACGCCTATCGTTTTACAGGTTGAGGGAAAACTGCAGAAAGAGTAGCGGTTCTGTCAGACGTGATCGCGTGTACTGCTGCTACGCCGAGAAATGTGGCACTGAACGTGTATCAGTCTTGAATCCCGCTTCCTTTGGCAAGCTTGTCCGCATCATATTCCCGAACGTTCAGACAAGACGACTCGGCGTTCGAGGGGAGTCAAAGTATCATTATGTAGATCTGACCGTGATAGAGGAAAAACAGGAGCAACCTTCATCGCTTAACCCGCAGGCTCATGCAAGTAGAAGCGTATCTACTGGGCTTGCAGCAAATAAACCTGACAGTCTAAGCTATCAACGAAGGTAAGCCAAAGTGCCTTTCTACCTTCAAGGTCGCGAAGCCAAAAAGCTAATAATCATTGCCATGAGGAGCAGCATATCCCAATCCCCCCCACACAAGGAAGACTCTCCTACAGCTTCACCCCCTCCAGGAATTTCAGCAGATTTGGACTGCACCTGTCACTTAGGCCCCCGAGCAGGCATTGACACTCCCATCACTTTCGAAAATGTGGCCAGTCAGTCCGGATATATGGTCCATCAGATGCTCGAGTTCCCATTTACCGACAGCCGGTCCGTTGATAATGAATCCCTGGTGCTTCCGGATATCTGTCCATACCTGCCACAAAATGCGGACGTCAAGATTGCAGCAGCATTAGCTGCACTATATCGATCTCACTGTATCTCTGTCATCGACAGTTTCCGGTATTGCAAGGAGCGAAACCTCATGAAATACTTCAGTGCATTTCATGGAACGTTAACCGTTCCAGTGCAAAAGCTTCTCTCTTCGCCGACCGTAGCCCCTTGGATTAAAGAATGTGACTGGCTCATGTACCAGAAGATGATCGCCTTCGTGGCGCCGTTGACCACCCAAGTGGTGCCGAAGCTCGTGTTGGATGCTTTCAGTTCCATTTCCCAGCGTCTAACCACGCACATCGCGGAAACATTTAAATCCCAGCCCGCCCATGTGTCGTTGGCAAGGCTGGTTCCTGCCCATATTTTCTGCAACCTCCTCAAACACATGCTTGATGTGAACCAAGCAGCCAACGCTGCTGCTGCTTGGCTGTGCCATTCTGACAACAGGAACCAGATGTGGTTCGACTTGAAAACACTGGTGGATCCAAAGGAGATGATGCTTAGAGCGAACATCCCACCCTGCGCTGGACGTGCAACTGAACGGATTCTGAAGCACGATATTCGCGCGCTTCTTACCCCTCTGGTAGAGCCAAACCCTTCTGCAGGACGACCTTTCTTCAACCAGCCAGATACCCTTGAAAACACAACAGCGGAAAAACTTCGCGTGGAATCATCCCCCGACGGTGAGGAATACAACTTCCCGGATAAATGGATACAGTTTATCTTAAACCTTCCGGCGATGTTTCCTCAACATCGCACGCAATGCATTATTGAGAAGGTGAACGCCCTGTGGGATTGTATCCTGCGTCGACTCACCCTAGGGGGCGCCCAAAGTTTTAGTGCATGGTGGATGACCAAGGTCTTCTTCCATGAAATGATGCTATGGCAAGCCGAGAAAGGTGGTTTCATGAAAAACACTCCGAGCTCGTTAGAAAAATCACAAGAGGCGGTCTTGGGTACGTCAAATGGGACGGAATCGAACGATTCTCTCGAAAAGAACTTTGGCGACGCTGGCCCTACAGCTAACGAGTCGTTCATGAGCACTGATACGCAGCATAATGACTCGAATCTCAGGCCAGAAAATTGTTCCCCTGAACGAGATAACAACGTGCAAGATCGAAAACCCGAGCAGGTGTTACTCCAGGGAGAGTTGAATCGCGGACCCTCGACAAATGACAAGCCCACCAATAGCTCGGAAAATATTGCAACCATCCATACCTCGAATAATGATGATAGCGCGATTGACCTTGACGACGATTCTATGTTAATGTCCGTGGGTAAATACGGTGATATGATGGCATCGGACCCGGCAGATGCTGAAGGAGATGTTGTCGTTATATAATTGACCATCAATCTCAGTTTCTGGCTCCCTTTCCTGGTTCTCTATTGTTACTCATCCTTTCGTACTTGTTATTTTGGAAACAGAGTTTTGTCTTCACGGTTGGAGTTCCACTTTTCAGGAAAACCGTTTTGGTCTGTTTGACTGGAAACTACTTTCTTATATCTGCGAAGAAGGTCCTGGCGTTCAACGATATTTGCATGAGGAATGAGAAATGACATGGATTTGACATAGATGGCCAATTTTTACCTCCCGAGGTTTCCATTTGCAGGTTGACCATGAAGTACGATACAATCATCATAATCGCCTAGTCCGCTCTGTCTTGTGTTGCAGCCAAGGTGGTGTCTATGGCCCCGTGCTGACGCTATCCCCCCTCTTGGGTGTTTTGCTCGTTTCTTACTTACCCTTGGCTGACCTCTGTTTTGCCGATGCCCTTGAAGATTTCCCGTTTCAGAGTCACTGGATTGATTTCCTATACCCCCTTTTGTATCTGGGAGACGGATCTTTACCCCATGGCTAACATACAGTTATCATCCATATCACCCATGTATTACATGGCCATTCTTTTTCTTTTCTTTTCTTCTTTTCCTTGGAGAGGTTAACTCGACTTATGTCCGGTGTAATGGAATTCTTTCTTGTCAGTATCGTCGATTTGCATTTCTTTACAAGGAGTGTGGTTACTTGTTCTTGATTTATTTGGCTGGGAATGCTTTCTGCGCTCGTCTTGTCCGGTTAACTAGGTGATATCTTTTCCCTTATTTCATATATGGAGTGATCATCCATGATCAATTAGGTATTGAGGAACTTAGGAGTCTTAAGTATATCTTAGGCTGAACTGGATTTCCTTTTGCTCGCCTTCTGTTACTGCGCCTTCTATCAATGTCGAGACAAACTTGCATATGGTGTTCGGTTTCTGGGTATCTAATGCGATAATACCCCCGTTAAATCATCAGGGAAGAAATCGTCACTTCCCGCACCTAGGGTATGTTCCATCTAACGTCTCGTCATTATCTCATGGATATCTCATGGTACGATTATTGATCAGCTCAGTTCTGCACGTACATGTACATGCACACATGGGCATAGCAGAAATAAATAGAGGGGCAGCATCATCTGAAATTGCCGGCAGGAAAGAATCGTGGACCGGCAAACCCATGAGCGATGATGCTCTGGATGTCGATATTACCTCCCGTATAAGGACTCCACAATTTGATCAAGATGAATCTCCCAGAACTGGAATACAATTAGCAATGTTTACTACATATATGCACAGCGATAGAGACTGAACGCAGAACATACGGAGGTGGGTCAAATTTGATGCTGACCATGCTCTTTTCTCGCTCGATGAAGAAGTGGGCATGTGGCTCCAATGCAACGGCACCCGACTGGGAATTTGAGCCTGGGTAATACGAAGAACTGTCCTGTGTAAACGAACCCACCGGCCCAATCGAACTAGGATATGGACGTCGACTTTGCAATCCTATATGGTCGTCTGGGCTCTCTTGGTGACGGAATATTCGGCTACGCCTTCGTAGTTCAAGACGTCGACGGTGGAACGTGCTCAGCACGCTGAGATCGTTGTCGCTTTCACTATCATCGCTTTCGGGGCACGGGAGATCATCTTCCATCTGCTCCATATGTATTCTCTCAATCTCCGCAATAGAGGGAATATCCTCGTCGCTTTCCACATCGCCGTTGCCACCTGCATCCGAATTATCGTCGTACGCCGTCGTAACTCGAAAATCGGCCATGTGTCCACTCCCCCTTCCAACAGTGGCTAACTCGTTCTCTGCGTCGGAATTAAAATCTTGGCCAGTAACGCTAGTTCTCTCTAAGGATCGAAATGGTGATCGGAAAGCATTGGGCTGTTCCTGAGAAGCCCGCAGCGCACGTCGATTTTGGCGTCTTCGTCGAGTCTGGTAATGGGCTGTTCGAGTCAATAGCTCATCCGAAGTCATTGAAACAAAAACCATTCCTTCCTGGATACTTCACGTAAGTTAGCAATGAAGCCGCTACAACTGAGACTTATCGAGACCTACGGGGCATCAAAACCAACTTTTGGGGCCTTGATAACAAGCTTTTTCAAGCAAAATGGGGTCTCTCCGCGGTGTCTCAGTATCAGGTTGCATCTGTCTGACTTGGTACAATAGACAGAAGAATCATTATGTAAAACATTCTCTGGCCAAGAGCTTTCGCCTTCAGGCTCATAAGTCCCACCATCACAACTGGCTATCTCCATCTTCAGTGCTCCAGGTACCACTTGACCATGCTGACCGTAGCTGAATCCACGAGGTCCTTCTCTATTATCATCTGAATCGAGCTTTCTGCGCTTCGTACTCCATCTACCCGACTGACGGCCGGCTTCTAGATCCGGGCGCATACTGCTTGACGACTCTGCAGCAGGGAGAGGGTGAAGAGGAGGAAAAGGTTCGTCGAGCAAGGTGCTGAGACCAGAACGTCTTCCCCTACCATCCCGCATGAACCGTTCGCCTGGTGTCAAGACACGCCGCCGTCTGGAGAGCCTTTCTGCCGGAGGTGGACTATCGGAAGTACCTTGTTCTTGATTCATTGAAGGCGGAGTTGGGACGGATAGGTTTTCGGATCGCTCGTGGCTTGACATAATACGGCGGATGCGGTCTTCTCTACCAGATAGATCCGATTGTATCTGATGAATCTGTCGATCTACCATGGCTCGAGTCTGTTCGAAGTTGGAGTTCCACCTCTGTCCCTCAGCCCAGCTTTCCTCGATCTCTTCACTCAATACTTCCAGCGCACGATCAAGGTTGAAATGGTCGCTATCCTGATTTCGCTCTACCGAGCCTAATAGATTCCGTAGATGTTGATACCGTCGTTCGTCGGGACCAGTTCTGCGAGATATCCGACGAGAGGCGGGCGGGTAGTCATAATTCCCCGACTGCAATTAGATACAAAGAACAGTCAGCGATACAGGCTCTTTAATGAACCGAAGCGGTCAACATACTTCCGGAAACCCAGAAGAAAGACAGTCTTATTCCCGCATAGAAAGCTCTACAAGTAGAAGCAAACAAGGGAAGTCCGCAAACGTACCATCCTTTGCGCGGGTTGCCCAGTTAGAAAACGGGTAATTGAAGACACAGAACCGGGAAGCGGGGACAATCGAGAGATAAACGGAAATAGTGAAACAACGACGAAGGAACAGAACAAAGAACAAAAGGGCAAAGGGAGGATTTACAGGATGAGTCAGATGAGGAAGAAGGAGATGGAGGCAGCTGGAAGGTTGAGAAGAGAAAGGAGTTGACGAAGGTGAGGAGAGACGGAGAGACGGCGGAGAGGAAGACAGCTCCACGTGATCACCGAAGAGACAAGGAACGAACGCAATGTTTTGCCTTGTCTGCTTATTCTGCTTCGTCTTTAAGTCCAGCATTCACGGAGCACCTTGGATGCATGCTCATCTGCCACGTCTGCGCGCCTGATCCCCCCCCCGTCTGCTTCAGTCCTCCTCTCTTCCTCCATCTAGCTCGACCTAAGCTCAACGATGGAGTCGCAGGACACCGTTCAGTCAATCAGCGCTGGTAGGAAGATTTTCGGATCAGCTTTTTTTGTGTTAAGAATCGGACACGAGGCTAATGACAGTGCTCATCAGATGAGATTGCTTTATACGATCGCCAGATTCGCCTGTGGGGAGTCAAAGCCCAGGAAAAGTACGGCTCCCCCTCGTCAGTAACTTTATAGGCTCACTAGCTAACGCATTGCCTGCAAATACAGGTTGCGATCAGCAAATATACTCCTCATCACAATCAAAGCGTTAGCCAACGAGGTTGCCAAGAACCTCGTGTTGGCGGGTATAGGGTCGTTAACTATCGTCGACCATGACGTCGTCAAGGAAGAAGACCTAGGTGCTCAGTTTTTCCTGTCGGAAGCTCACATTGGCCAAAATGTAGGTGCCCTACTCTATTGCAAGAAGAATCGCGGTGATTAATTGACGAGGATATCCTAGCGCGCACAAGCAGCTGGTCCCCAGATACATTCTATGAACCCTAGAGTCCGCATCCACATCGATACAGATGATATCCGTACCAAGTCGCAAGAGTTCTTCGCTAAATTCGATATCATAATCGCTACCGAGTTAGATTTCCAAACATACACCACAATAAATGCACTCTGTCGTCTGACCAGGCGCCCATTCTACGCGGCGGGACTCCATGGATTCTACGGTTACGTCTTTGCGGACTTGATCCAGCACGATTTCGTCATCGAACGCTCCAAGTCCAACGTGCCCTCACCGCAGCAGGAGACACCGACACGCAGCATCCTGAACATTACGACCAAGAAAGAAAATGACAAGATCATCGAGATGGTGACCAAACGGGAGAAATATTCCGAGCTGATCCTAGCGAACACCTCTCCTCTCCCCAATGAGCTAACACGCTTGCCCCGGAGGCGCAAGAAGATAACACCTCTGCTCACCTGCCTCCGCGCACTATGGGAATTTCAAAAGCTCACTGGTGGCCGCTTACCCATCATAGACTCCCGCCAGGACTTGGAACTCTTCACGAAACTCGCCCGTGATCGCCACCATGAGCTAAAACTCGACATCACTACTCTCAGTTCCGAGTTCCTGCGTACCTTCCTGCAGAATCTGGGAAGCGAACTGAGTCCCGTTGCCGCCTTCCTGGGGGGTTGTCTCGCGCAGGACGTCATTAACGTGCTGAGTGCAAGAGAGCAACCGCTACAGAACCTTTTGCTATTCGATGGCGAGAAGTCCGAAGCACCCATCTACTCCCTTCACCCGTTTTTCCCCTCTGAGACTGCGGCGAACTCGCTGGCTGCTATTCCGCCTGTTACCAATGCAATTTCACTAGACGGCGCCTAATGACTTGCACACGAGCTTGGACTTGAAGCACTAAACCGATCAAGGATAGTCGATGGTCCATATTCCTAATGACATTCATTTACAGGTAGGGAACGAGAAACTTTATGATTTTCAGGAATTTGTCCTTTCCCCCCTATGCCTCTTTATTCAGTAGAAAAGTAATTGGTTTCAGAAAATCTTTTGTTTTTAATAGAAAAAGGCCCGGCATCCAAGAGACGCCCGGTGAATATGACGACTCATGTACAATAATAGAGAATTGATCTAGAATGGAATCAGATAATTGAATGAAATGAATCTGGTACGCAACATGTTTTATATTCCGGTCACCTCACCTCTGTACAGAATAGTCGATAGGAATGGTGGAGTGTATACAATTGCAGACCATGGGATATATTATCAGACATTGTAGCGCACAGCCATGTTCAATGCCAACAGAGGCATTTTTATACAGAAGAATATGTACATCTACCGCATCTATCGAAGAACCGGCAGCGAATAAACCCAATTCGTTCCGACCAGATCAAAACGCCATCCAAGACAAAAAAAGGGCTAATGCGCAGCCTAAGTAGCCAAATTAAGATGATGAAATGAGAATAGCAGAAGAAAAATGGAAAAACAGAAAATCTAAGGCGGTACTTAAACCAAAATTCGCGTGGCTACTGGTTCTTGCAAGACCGGGATATACGCGAACCTGCAACCGCCAACTGTATGCGCAGCTCCCGCCCGCGCCTTTCCACGCTAAGAAACATTACACAAGGTACAGCGGTGATATAAAAGATCTGTTCAGTACTTTCTTTTTGCAGTAGCTCTTTCCTTAAGTTCTCGGCACTCCCTTTGGAACGAGAGGATTCTCCTCATCTGTAGATTTCTTGGGGCCCAGAGGAGTCTCAGAAGCTTCTCCAGTCTCGTTTTCTTCGTCAGAGATAAGGCCTTGGAGTTCGAATGCTTCTGCATCTTGAATTTGCTGCGCCTCCGAGTGAGTCCGAATGTGGCCATTCGTCTGGGGGAAGCTAAGCCGTTTCGGACAGTCACCATCTGCATCAGCTTCATCCGAGCTACTCCTTGAGGCAGACTCCGGCCATGCATAGACGGCGTAAATGTGAAGGAGAATATTGGCAACTGATTAAGATGAGGGCGTTAGGACGCAGGAGTAGAACAAAACCTGGGAAAGAGAGAGAAAAGCTAACTTACAGAGGAAGAGGACGAAGGCCATGCTGTACAGGACTAGTATGTATGACACATGAGTGACATGTCCATCAGCGAGAAGTTGAATTTGCTCTTCTGTCGCGCCCATAAAAAGAAAGCCGGAGGCACACAACAGCTGCAGACAGAATAGCAGGTTAGCAAGCTAGGCTTCAAAATGACAATTAGAGAACCCGAGAAAGAAAGACCCACGAAAGGTGTCAAGTATTGAAAGCTGTGAGGATCTGAACCATCTGGACTCAATGTGCTTCGATCATTCAGTACAAATGAGATCTCGATGATTCTTGTGAGACCAGCAGCCATCAGACTGTAGCCGAAGAAGGTATGAACCTTCTCGCTGAGCATGAGTGCCTGCGGGTGGCCACCCATTGCATAGCCGGTCAACATAATGACAATTGCAGGTATCAAATTCCGTTTGGGCTGGCCATCCCTCTTTCTACTTAACCACATGCCTAGAAGACCAGCACACCACCAGACAATGCCCATGGTCGTGTGCTGTAGGTCATTCTTCACCCAGGCAGTTCCCCATCGATGCTCTGTAAAGGTATTAACGCAACCCCAAGCCGCAATGACAAGTGAGTCAAAAAATTCCTGACTCCGGCCTGTTCGACGCAACCAGTACTGGCCAACGAGCAGGACGATCAGAAGCAGAATGCCGTAAGCAATGAAGGCACTTCCCATGATGAAATGGGCAAGGCACTGCCCTAGGTGATCTCCGCGGCAAAAACCCAAAGCAGCGATACCGCCGAACAACATTTGGACCCAGCTAATCACTGGCATAGCTTTGCCGAGTACCCCGTGAGCAGCAACGAAGTACCGACGGAGCTTCCCATGGATTCCTTTGGACAAATGAAGCTTGAGGTATGCTCCAAGGACAATTTGAACTACAAGCAGGAGCATGAGCGAGTTTGCGAATGAGGCGTGCACGTTCTTTTCAAACTGGCGGCCCTTGTGGCCGTGACCAAGGAAAAACGCAAGGAGAGCGACGACCGTTCCGACAACCTGAACCGGGACATGCCATCTCGAACGCACGATCTAACAAATAAGTCAATATGTCGGAGAAGTTCTCAGTAAATAGGCAGGATGCAGGAGCAGGAGCCAGAAGACAGCTCGTGGAGCGGCCCGCGTGCAGCTGAAATAGATGCACATACCCCTAGAACCATGCCTAATGGAAAGATTATCCCAAAAGCAAACCCCATCAATATCATATGTGTCCATAGTATACCATCCTGTTAACCCCCAAAAGAGTCCTGATTGTCAGCCAACCCAGAGGTCCGATCCATCCGTGCCGTGAGGATGTTCAAGGCAACACGTAGCAGACACGTACAATTGGCTCCTGGGAAATGCCTTCGCCTTCGGGGACGTCTTCATGGCCTCCATGGGCCAGCGCAGTGCTGGCCAGGAGTAACAGTGCCGCTGCGGGCGCCGTCCGGGAATTGTGCCAACTTATTATCATCGTGCTTTGAGAGACTAAGAATGGAGAGATGGAAGGGACATGCGCAAGAGAAGGGCCCTACTCTATGGATGGATCACGCACGTAGGAGCTGTTCGGAGGGGAGGGATTCCGTTGTCTCGGGCAGTGGCGGCAGAGCAGGGCTGCAGCAGTCACGGAAGAACAGGAGTTGCGGCAGTCGAACACTCAGCAGCAATCATGTTATGCCAAAATATGGGAGGATAAATGGACGATGTTCATTATTAGAAAGAGAGAAATCTTATTAATGCAGCGGACATAAAAAAGGTCCATCCACGGATATCGTACTGTACGGTATGGTATGGTATTGTCCATGACAGTACGGTTACACATAGATTGGATTTATGCTTCAACTCAATTCTACCTAGAAACAAATTCAAATCCCAGTCATCCATTCTATCCCAGCTCATCATTGACCTGATCATTCAAATTGCTGGAGATGTCTTTCTCGAACATATCCAGCATATATCCATCATCTCCAGCTAACAATGGCACCCCACCACGAAGCAGTCAAGCATCAGATGCACCACCATCGAATCTGACGCCAGAACAACAGAACCAGCGCGAAAAGAAAATGGTCAGTCTGTATTCTTTGCCCGCAATGGTTATTTAGCACCTATACCAACCTGGGCTTCGAAAGGAATCAAGAAGAGCATTAATTAACCCAAAAGAGAATCAACAGGGCATCATCCGCGCCTCCATCACCAACCTGGAATCCCAGATCCTTCAGCTCGAGTCCCAGCTTACGGAAATGAGGTCGAAACTAAAGTAAGTAAAGGCTTGATTATTCTCATTCTCTTCTTCTTCTGCGCTATTCCAAGCATAGGCAGACAGGTAAGACACAGAATACTAAAACAAGAATCACCTCAAACCAACCGTGAAAACCATACAGACATGACCCAACTGCAACAGTCCAGTGTCATATTCGTTTGCTTCATGAGTACAATGAAATCAAGGATATCGGACAGGGCTTGATGGGTCTCATTGCTGATGCGCGAGGACTGCGGCAAATCGACGTACAGAGAGAGTATGGGGTTAGGGATGGTGATTGATTGATGGATTGATTGCTGTCTACCCTGGTTACGGAACTTGTAGGATTTTCGATTCATATTTGTTCTGCTATGAAAAATGGGCATTTCTTAGGATATGCGGGCGAGTCGGAAATGGCGTTATGGTGAGGATATCCTACATGCATTGCTTCGTGGGACGTATTTTGTACTACGATCACTGTGTTTCCTGTCTCTCCCATTAGTGCAGTGAAGAAATTTTCCGACATCTATTATTATGCTTAATGGTAGTATCCTAGATATCGCTTTCCCATGCAACATAGATGTGCAAGGTCACAAACATAGTTGAGAACCCCATGCACTAAGTTAAACTTTCTGAAAAAGGAATTAAGGATAACTATGGTATAAATATATGGAATTTATGAGAATAAAGCCGAGTTACCAGCCCTCATTACTGAGCAGCTGCAACAGCAAAGTCCGCCGCAGCGGGAGTGCCAATCGCATACGTCAAGTGCGCCGGTGGATGATATCGGCATCCTGACAGATGGCATTGAGAGGGTGGCAGGTCGTGTAGACCTTGGAGGTGTCAACATTGGCGATATTCTCGTCGCTGTCTGTCGGAAGTTACTTAAATATTGCACTATCTGGATCTTAGTACATAATGAGCAATCGATACGTTGTAAGGAACATACAAGGATCACCAAAAATCAATATACTGCTGATGGCTTCAGCTATATCCTTGGGCAATTCGTAGATAGCCTTATGCACGACTTGGCAGCCCTGGGAGTAGCCGGACACAGTCAGGTCTGTCTCTTCATACTTCTATATAATATACAAACAACTATTTGAAGAGTGATCACCCTAATTAATATGTCATGACAGCTTACTGTCACGGTGCGACCTCTAGGAGCATTCAGAAGGGGAAAGTCTATGATGATAGAATTAAAAGTCTGTATAGTGTCATATGTATAATTAGGTAGGACATTTCCAATCAGGTTACCCGGAATTCTCTAAACTTTGTAGATTAACCAATTCGTAATAACGGCCCTTATTGCGCAGGAGCTCGTGGTGCCGTCCACTTTCGATGATTCTGCCCTGGTCAAAGACGTAGATGACATCGGCATTCTGGATAGTACTCAGTCGGTGCGCGACTGCAATCGTTGTGCGTCCACATGCGGCAGCATCCAATGCCGCCTGCACCACTTTCTCGGATTCCGAGTCAAGCGCTGATGTGGCTTCATCCAGAAGCAGTATCTTGGGATCCCGGAGAAGAGCTCGAGCGATTGCTACCCGCTGCTTCTGTCCACCGGATAACATGCCTCCCTTGTTTCCCACGACGGTGTTGAATCCCTCTCTGGAAAATCCCCTGTCAGCTAACTACCTTTTTTGAAGAGAGGGAAAGCATGGAGAAGGAGGAACTTACGGAAGCGACATGATAAAGTCATAGATATTTGCGTCCTTGCAGGCTTTGACTATCGCTTCTTCTGAGATATCCGATTTCTGGGTCCCTAGGAGGATGTTCTCCTTGACAGTGCCTTGATATAACGTGGGCTCCTGGCTGACAAGAGACAAATGGCTGCGGTATGAATTGACGTTCAACTCCCTGATATCTTTCCCATCGACATAGACCCCACCAGAAAGAGTATCGTAGAAGCGCTCAAGCAGAGCAATGGTAGTACTCTTTCCGCATCCGCTGGGTCCCACGAGTGCGATATACTGACCAGGTTTAACAGACAGGTTTAGACCGCGGAGAACGGGCTGTTCCGGTCGCGTAGGGTATCTGAAATGGACGTCTCTGAATTCAACCGCACCGTCCATAAACTCAACCTTTTCACCTTCCGCGGACCAGGTGTCGATCGTCGGCTTCCTGTCAAAGAGTCTTTTGAATTCGGCTGCGGCATTTTTGGCCTTCCCCATGTCTGGGGCAAAGGAGAAGATTATGCCAGCCGCTTGTGCACCGAAGATGATCTCTGAAAAGCAAACGAAGAAACGGAACATGCTGTACTCATGATGACCGAGGAGGGTGCCACCATACCAGAACCCCAGTGCAATGCAGAGGAACACAAGCGCCTGGGAGGCAGCGTAGAGAATAGAGGACTTCGATACAGAAATCAGGCTCTTTCTTCCTTGCTCCACCAATTGAGCGTGGTATATTTGCCAGACGTCCTTTTCGCGGGTGAGAGAGGCGACGGTGCGGATGGCGGACGTCGCTTCACAGGCGTAGCTCGCAGATCCTTCGTACGCAGTCTTGGACCGACGCTGAAATCGAGCGAGTACATACATGCGGAAAAACCCGCAGCCTAACAGAACTGGGAGTACTGAAATACAGACAAGAGCCAATTTCCATCCAATCGCCAATGCGATGACCATCGAAGCAGAAAGAACTGTAACGGTCAGCAGGATAGTGCCCAGCGTCACCCCGCTAATACCCGACAGATTCTTGGTTTCGGTTGAGAGAAAGGAAGTTAATGCACCCGTGTTGTTCTCTTCTCGGTCAAAGAAGGAAATGTCCTGTCGAAGAATCGCTCTAAAAGCTTTGCTCCTTGCACGACGGATCAGCTTCTCTGATGTGAAGGCGAAGGCGACACCTTGGACGGCGAAGTCGAAAAACTGAGCGATGCCAACGACCAGGAACATCAAAGACCAAAAATTAGCATCGTGCCTCAGTTTGCCGTACTCGCTCGGGGGAAGTGAAATGGCACTTATTGCCTTCGAGTACAAGACGCCTTGGGTGGGCTGCCCTCCGCCTGACAGGACAGAGAAAACGAGCCCAATGACCATATACACGAATTCAGGTCGGTTGAAAGAAGCAATGAATTTGATCAGTGTCCACAATGAGTAACTCCCAACAGTTTCCTGGCTGCTCTTAGAAAGAATGACGCTGGAAATAGACTTCGTCGTGTCCACTCGTCGAATATCCTCCTGGAGCGTCTTGTCGTCTAGGTTCGAGGAGATGGAATTTTCAGCTGCAGACTTGGTTTGAGTCATCTGGGAATCATTAAAATCATTGTCATCTGCTTCAGCAGCCTTAACAGCCTCTGCCTTCCTTTCCGCATGGATATTCTGCGCCTCGACAAGCCTTGCATATGTACCCCCAAGGGTGAGAAGCTGGCTATGCGACCCCTGTTCCACAATTTTCCCGTCAACAAAAACCACAATGTTATGTGCCGATTTGATAGTGGACAGGCGATGAGCAATCACGATGGTCGTTCTGCCCTCGGCGGCTCTGTCAAGAGCAGCCTGGACGACTTCTTCTGATTTGGTATCCAACGCTGATGTCGCTTCATCAAGTAAAAGAATCTTGGGGTCACTGACGATGGCGCGAGCAATAGCAACCCGCTGCTTCTGACCTCCTGAGAGTAAGAAGCCACGCTGACCAACGTTCGTTTCGTATCCTTCGGGTAACGCTGTGATGAAGTCGTGAGCATTGGCCATCCTGGCTGCATTTTCAACAAGCTCTCTAATCCTCTCCTCTGGTTCATGTTCGGATTTTGTACCAACAAGGCCGTAGCGAATGTTTTGATATATGGTTGTGCTGAAGAGGATAGGCTCCTGGCTTACAAGTGAGATCTGCTGGCGCAGCCAACGGAGGTTGAGAGTCTGGATGTCATGGCCATCAAGGAGAACCGAGCCATTCACAGGAGTGTAGAAGCGCTCGACCAGTCCGACGATGGTGCTCTTCCCAGATCCAGATGGGCCCACTAGTGCAGTTGTTTTCCCAGTAGGTATCAACAAGGAAACATCATCCATCACGGTAACCTCTGGCCGGGAAGGATAGATATGCTTGACATTACGGAACTCGATGTTGCCATCCAGGTGGTCCAGTGTACTTCCTTCGTCTGATGTTGGGTCCAACGGCGATGGTCGGTCGATTGTGCCGTATATCTTGACGGCTGCGGCCAAGGCGCTGGTGAATGCCTGGATATGCGGGCTTACATTTCCCAAACTGAATGAGCCGGTGATAATGGCCATCAGGATGGTCAAGACCTGTCCAGAGTTGACGCTTCCATCAACCACAAACCTAGAGCCCATCCAGAAACCCAGGCCATAGTTCAAATACATGATACCAAATATCGACCCGATCAAGATACCCACAATCATCTCCATCCTAACACCCCATCTCTCTGCATCGATCAAGTGCAATTCGTATTGCCTAGCCAATTTATCCTGAGTGCCGAACGCTATTGCGTTGCGGATTGAGCTGATCACTTCTTCGGCGACAGTCCCAGCCGCACCAGTATGGATCAGAGAGAGTTTGCTGAATTTGATGATGAACCTGGAACTACCCGCCATGCAAAAAAGCATCGCACCGATTGTCGAGCTGCAGATGAGGGCCAACTTCCAATACTTGATATAAGCAACAATGAAAGCCGTCACAAACGTTGAAATAGCCGTCAGCGTGAGCCCAACCTTCTCCGAGATACCATCCTGAATAAGATTAGTGTCGGCAGTGATTCGTGTGGTGATCTCCCCAGAGCCCAGTTTGTCGAAATACGCAATGTTCTGCCTCAGGATAGCCTCCAGGTAGCGCTCGCGGATCTTTTGCGTGATATGTTCACCAGTGTATATGAACCCTACAGTGCTGATATACACCGTCACGAATTCGCCAATGCCAAGATAGACAAAGTACAAGACATTGTGTACCAGCGTATGGTAGAATTCGTGGTAAGGTATGGTTCCTAGCATGATGTCTTTCATGGCGGTAGCTAGAGTCCCAAAAAGGATCTGAACAGATTATCCCATCGTCAGAGACCATTTTATTTTATTTTATTTTTCTTCTTTTCACACGAAGTATAAGCACTTACTGTAAACAAAGGCAAAGCAGCACCAGCAGCGATGGCGCAAATCGCACTCACAAAGATGATCAATATGTCAACCTTGGTGGCATACCGATACAGACCGAGAAATGTCACACTGACATCAGGCACATCGACCTGTCTCTTTAAGACCTCCCTCTCATGACTAGGGAAATGGGCGAAAGGGTCCTCTGCATCGTCAGGGACAGCCACTTGGGTGGCATCCTTCTCTCCCTTTCGGGGATGCAAATCGGCAGTAGAGCCTGTGGCTGAGGTCTGTCCGTGCAGCTTCTCATCATTGCCGGCCGGCCATTGCGAGGAAATTTCTTTTTCTAACTCCAGGACCCCTGTATCATCTGCGGATTTCGCCATCTCCGGTTTGCCACCCATCTCGAGCAGCAGCAGGCAGAGCGTATCGCGTCACACAGATGGGGAGGATTTCTAGCACGGGAAACAGGTACGTCCCATGGAAAAAAAGAGGGCTTGAAGCCTGAACAGTTGCTGAAAGAAAAAGAAAGATGTAAAAATATGGGTGTAATTTAGGGCAGAAGCAAAGCTTAGCTTACTGAACCGGTTGAAGATATGCAGTCCATGTACGAAGTGAGTCCAGAACAATACCAGGTCTAGGCGATCAGATCGATATAAATATCTCCTCCGTAAGAAGCACGGGGTAATAATAATGCATAGATATGTTGACTTTCGGGAGTTAGAGCCTCCTGTGCATGGACTCGGGAGTTAGGATAAGTCCGGTTATTATCCCCGATTATTATCAACTTAAAAAGGATGACTCCGAACTTAGGCAGGTAACATGAATTCATGATGGATCTGAAGACCGTTCCATAGCGAATCGTGTCTCAAAGAATTCCCGCTGAGGTTTCTGTATTATTGAGCTTCATGCGCGTGTTCTTTGTAAGCGAGAACGAATATGACGCTCATCCAACGTAGCAACTGAAGTACGTTACGTTTACCGAAGCAGTAAGCAGGATGCAGTGGCTGCCAGGAGATAATTCCTCCGTATCATTTTCCTAATCCATGCGAAAAGTACCCACAATGGGGCTGTAGCCGAAAGAAAGTGCATTTAATTTTGGAAATTGGAAGGTGGACGGAATGGACTTAGTTCAATGGAACCTCCCAAAAGGACATTCGTCTTAATGCGATCAGCCGGTGTCAAACGATAATAAACCCTGCATCTGACTGCTGCGGCGGTGCTGCCTCAGTAGGATCCCACGTTACAGTGAACCTTAACAATGAACAGTGGTGGTCCAGGAAAGAGGACATCAGAATACAGCATAGTTAACTAGATGAATGATAATAGCAGATGTTAGTTAGATGCGGTATGTTGAGTCATCGCAGCATACAGCGTAGACTCCATCCAGCCTGGAGTACGGACGAAGCGACAGTTTGTGCTCCGCGCCAACTTTATGGCCTCAGGCATAAACATCACATGATGTACCCGAAGCGAAGCCGCTAAGCCCTGTCCGCACAAACACCACTTCCAAGGCCTCACGACGGTCAACATTCGACAACCTCACTATCGTTAGACTGCCCATCAAGCTCGTCGTCGCGATAAGCCTTCAAGATGCCGGTTAGCAACCTCCCCATACATCGCTGTTGAAAATTTTTTCAAAATATCCCTCTCTAACAGTTGTCGCCTACGATACCCCTGGTGCCGACTTTTTGTTATACGAAATGGACACTCTTGCCAGTTGCTAACGTATCCTCCATCTTTCTCAACAGAGCCACAAGAGTTTCCGTACCAAGCAGAAGCTTGCCAAAGCTCAGAAGCAGAGCCGTCCTATCCCTCAATGGATTCGTCTGAGGACCGGTAACACCATCAGGTATTGATTCACCTTTTCACGGACTACCTCTTTCCCCGTCGATTTCTATTCGGGACCGGTTACAGCAAGAAAAAAGGGACGCATTCGCCCTTGGAATGGAGCAGATTTCATTATTTGTTTCGCAAGAGAGAGGGGAAGAGCGACTGCGAAAGGATCCAAAATAGCTAACTCGAGGCTTGCAACCTTTTTAGATACAACGCCAAGCGGAGGCACTGGCGTCACACTCGCCTCGGCCTGTAAATTCGATTCAACGACAATCCGTCCCTTCCTCCCCTTCCGATCCTATATTGTCTTCACTTACACACCTCTTTTCGTTGAATTTTGATACCGCAGAGGCGCAAAAAGAGAAAATTCGCTCTCGCTATTCAACCACGTTCCTACACCTCTGTTCGGTCGTGCTTTTAACCGTTCAATTGATGCTCTAATCGTCTTTGCTTTCTGCGTTTCCGTGACCGGCTTGGTTCATCTGACAACAGCGGTGATGAAAGAGGAAGGGGCATGTGGAACAGAGACAGATTACGGATTCGTTTAGGGCAAAAAGCGATGACTAGCTCAGGGTGGACGTGAATTGGATGAATTAGGATGTATTACGAGCTGAATAAAATAATTCTGATGGGCAGTATAAAATGTCGAACGGTGAACGAATTCTATCCTTGAATAATAGCGTCTAGCCGCTGGATTTGAACTTCAGCTTGTCGAGATAAGATGAAAGTGGGGTGAGTGCCTTTATATCGTATGCGTATCAACATTCGCAGACGTACCAGCGCTATCTGAACTGGTAGATAAATTAGTAGGACCTTGGGGAAAGTTTTTACATTACTCCTGGTATTGCTTCCAAGTCCAATGTCCGATTTATGAGAATAAAAACTAGGAGCCATAGAGCAACGATATAATGTATTTTGCCTTCTTGTTTTATCTGAGATCTTGACCAGCCAAAGCCGCAGCAGTGAAAAGGACCTGCATCCTGTAACGACCTAGTTGAGACTTAAGAGGGAGAGAAAGCCTAACGCCATATATCGACGCAGGTGGGAGGAATGAAACAAGGGAGGAAAGCCATCGGGCATTGATTACACCTAGGCGAATAATAATCATATGGTGCTTAGAGCTCTGATACAAATTCATGGTGCGCACCATCAAGCAACGAAATCATTTGACATCAATCATGAAGGTCAGCGAAAGCCAGTGTGATAATACGCAGGTTCAGCGGCTAGAGTAACTCGAGCGTCAGCATCAAAAAGGACCCACGTAATGTGAAGAAAGACTTACTCCTCGGCCCATTCGTTCTCGCGGCGAATTTGGTCCTCTTCCTCGGGGGTGAAATCATTGGCAATATTGAAAGTCTTACGGATCTCTTCAGGAGATTTGCCCTTGATCATGTTGGCAACGGTCTTGCAGCCGACGTCCAGAAGAGCTCTGATATCGAGATAATTGGCAGCCTGTTTCATCCATGGTCAGCGCCCAGGCGTCACAAGAACACTCAACATCGGTAAATGACCACTAACCAGAATGATCTCAAAAAGCATTTCCTGGTCAACCTGCATGAATTTCTGGTCCCACTCATCGATGTCTGTGGTCTTGCGGCGAGAATCGTCATCGTCGCCGGCACTCGGTGGGTCGTTTTTGTGATGGCTACACCACTCAATAACTTTCTTCAGGACTGCCTCATTGACCTATCGTTGCAAACGTGAGCCGGGAACATGGACAAACCGGGTAAAAATGGTGTAGAGAAAAAGAAGTTGAGCGCTTGGGTATGCTCACATTGGAGATGGGAATAGCCTCTCCAGAATCACCAAGGTCGTCAAGCATGTTCTTGATAAGAACAGACCGCTCAATAACCTCTCGCTCTGTATAGAGAGAGGAGCGAATATTAGCGAAACATCTGACATGCACCCTCTAGTAAGGGTTGACAGCAGCTTTGAAGACAGTGGCGGCTGGGTGAAAAAGGATAGACCTACCAACTTGGAGCTCGATACCATCGGAGCTCAGAAGAGAAATCATTTGTTGGCCGGAGCTGGTAGACATTGTGGAAATCTGCGCGAATGGAGATGATGGAGATACTTGTCCAGTCAAGCTGCGCAGGAGCTGAACGGCAACGGTGCGATGTTGGAGGGGCGTGCGGTAAGCGGTAAGAACTTGGACCAAGGCAGTTGACTCAAAGATGAGTTAGGGAGAAGAAAGATGAAGGGGGTGCGGCGAGCTCAAATACCTGGTTCTTTGACGCCTTCTTAACGGGACATTCAACAAAAGAATGATGAAGGGGAAGTGAAAGAGAGCAGTGAAGGGGAAAGAAAGAGATTCCATGGATGGGGCCTTACTGCCTATTACCGAGGACGTTTGCGGCCAGCCTTATTTGGCCGGGTATTTGCCTTTACCTACGAAGGGGCGTTGATGCTTTATGAGGTACTCCTATATGGGTGGGGGCTACTGGTTGTTCTCTTTTGCCTCTCTTTCAAGGAAATTCCATGCTGGCGCCTCATGGTTTGGTTTCCCTTGGCGGTTCTGCTGCTGCATCATCTTGGAGAGGTGTATGGAAGTAACGAAGTATGATACCTATGCAGAGAATGATACATACTCTGTACGTCAACTGTACATTACATTACCGTATTGTACATACAATATAGTACATTCAATACAGGACGCATCCATCATTCGTCGTTCTTCCTCTTCTTCCCGGAACACGCCCGAATCTGCTTCTATTCTTGGATCCCAGAGCTTAATGGAGACAAGATCTCACAGTCCGTCCGGAATAGACTGCCTTCAGATGGCTGTGCGGCACTAATCGGATTTTATTATATGATCAATTATTATTGCCTTATTCCATGCGTTAAGGTTGCTCTATTTCTCCTCCAACGGCCAGACCAGACCCATCGACCTAGCTCGTCTTATCTCACCACACTATGTCCAATTGCGCGTTTGCGTGGCCTTCTGTCCTCTTCTTTTCTGTCATTCCAACCACCCAGTGCAGAATGTCCTTGCAGCTCACATGTCTTACTTTGGCTGTCTGAGCAATGTGGAGACGAACCTACTTGCTTTTGCTCTTAATCCGGGTCTATTTCGCGTTGTCTCCGAGCTATCTGCACCCGGACGAGAATTTCCAAGGCCCCGAGGTATTTGCAGGTAAGTAGTGTCCCTGTCTCTCAGCATATTCATTCAAATATAGTCAGGATCTTCGCTAAGACATGAATGCCCTAATACTAGGTCGCATATTCTCATACCCATCTAAGTTAACGTGGGAGTTCACCGATCCCCATCCCATCCGTAGCGTCTTTCCATTATGGCCCGTTTGTGTTGTGCCCATGAACCTTTTAAAATGGTTCTACGACGAAACGGGAGCTGGGAAACCCCCTCCCGCTCAGATTTACTATACCTTGCGTGGGGTTATGTTCCTGCTGAGTTTCGTGCTGGAGGATTGGGCGATCCATGAACTTGTCCCTTTGCCCCATCATCGCACAGCGACAGTCGTACTGGTTGCTTCATCGTACGTTACCTGGACGTACCAAACGCATACGTTTACCAATTCTCTCGAGACACTGTTAGTCGCTTGGGGACTGGTACTCGTTCGGCGGATTGTGGATGGCAGGGTATGAACGAGAGGGTTAATCAATGAGGTCAGAAAGTGCGGGTGGCTAACGTCAGATTGCAGAAGCATTCATCGTTCTTCTCGAGTATCGTGCTGTCTTTGATTGTGGTCACTGGTACTTTCAATCGGATAACCTTTCCGGCCTTTCTATTGTTACCCGGGCTTCAATTGCTTCCTCATTTTTGGCTTAAGTGAGTGGGATGCAAGTCCCATTTCCCATCCATTCTTTATTGATCTGTATAACAGGCCTGCTTCCTTCTTCTCTCTGGTTGGATTTGGGATATTCTTTGCTTCAATCGCCATTATCAGTGACACGGCCTTCTTTGCATCTCCGTACTCGATTTCGGATGCTCTCCGCTCTCCTATCATCACTCCAATCAATAACCTCATTTACAATTCTAATCCGGCGAACCTTGCCCTTCATGGACTTCACTCTCGTTACCAGCATTTCCTTGTCAATCTACCACAGCTTCTTGGACCTGCATTCGTGGCGATGGTGCTGTCCTTCTTCAAGTCGCCCCTTGCCATCCCGCCTTGGTTACGCAACATGCGTTTCGTCTCTGCGATTTCAGCTACTTTCATCTTGTCCATCTTTCCCCACCAAGAAGCTCGCTTCCTGATCCCTGCTGTGCCCCTTCTTCTAAGTTGCATTCGTCTGCCCCGGTCCCGCGTCGTACTGGCGTCATGGGTGATATTCAACGCCACTATGGGACTGCTCATGGGAGTTTACCATCAGGGTGGTGTTGTGCCGACCCAAATCGCGATTCCGACTATAGTCTCCGAAAGTGCAGTGAAACTACCAACTAACGTATCAACAGACAGTGCAGGACTATCTGCGACGGTGTTCTGGTGGAAGACCTACTCCCCTCCCACTTGGCTACTCGGAGATACAGGCCCATCCCTGGAAATCGAAACGGTCAATTTGATGGGTATGCCGGGACTAAACATGATAGCGGAGCTTGATAAAGCAGCGGTCCCTTGTCCCCGCTTAGTCGACAATTCGTCGGATTCAGCCACCGCCGAAGAGCCGCTCGAAAACTCCCTCTTCCTAGTCGCTCCCTTGTCGGCCTCATTCCTCGACCAGTACGTCGTCTCACAGAGTTCACCCGACTCTCCATCCGATGACCTCCAGCTCCATGAACTATGGTCCTACAAGAACCATCTCAACTTGGATGATCTGGATTTCGAAACAGACGGGATCTTCCCGACTTTGAAACGTGTCTTCGGCAGACGGGGACTGGGAGTCTGGGCTGTGAAAAGAGTCGGCTGTAATTAGTCTTTTCGACGTCATCGTGTCTACAATCTAAAAAAAAAAAACATATGGGTGTATATAACATGGAAACAGAACCAATGGCCCTTGATTTGTTTCGAATACTCCGTTTTGCTCATTAGCTAAATACATGATCAGGAGGTCACCTTTGGAAGGATGTCATGGAAAAATAAACCGACTTCAAGCAGTTGTAAGACGCAAGAACGCAGGGCTACTGAAGGAGCACCGATCAAATTATCAGGAAAAATCTCATAAGACACCAGGCTGCATCACATTTTCAGCAATAAACTGGCTTTCATGAAGATAGGGAAACGTTCAAGAACGCGTGCGTTTGGCTCCTGCAAAGAGAAACTGCTGCAGCATCTTGGTAACATACCACACGACCCGTCACTGCTCATCACCTTCGTCGGGCTGCTCAAATAAGAAATTAGCAGCAAGTTCTTCATTCTTATCGCAGGCAAAGTAAGCCTGAATGACAGAATCCCGAGAGAACCCTAGGCGGCAAAGCTAGAACAGGGTTGATTAGTCTTACCAAATACGCAAAAAAGGGTGCATATACGTACACGCTCAATAGCATCTCTCTCCTCCTCTGTGACGCTAATCGCATGTGTTCCCGGTGGGAGCATTGCATCACCTTCGATATCCTCGCTAAGAAGCTGGAGGAACTGCTCCTGATTTTGCCCAATAAGTTGAGCGATTTGAGGGTTACCGGCTGCGACTTGCTGCAAGATGGGCTCAAGCATCTGCGGCTGCTGCTGAACAAGCTGACGAAGCTGCTGAAAGTGGGGATTATTCCGGAGGAAGTCTAGATTCGGAAGGGCCTCTCCGGCTCCTGCACCTGCGCGAGCTGCACGCCCCGGGGTCTCTTGATTGCCGGCTTGGGCAGCAGCATCAAACAGATTCACTGGTTCATCCCCACCCGTTGCTCCTGTAGCTGCAGCATGCTCGGTGGTAGGCGGAGCCGTAGCAGCAGCTTGAGCTTGCTGCTGCTCCTGTTCGATATTGTCTGGAATACCCTTTTGGAGTCAGTAGGTACAAGAGGCGGTGTTATCAGAATCCTTACAGTCAAGAGATATTCAATAGCACGATCAGGATTGAAGAATGCAGCCCTCATGGCGCGATCGATATCATTCCTTGCAAAACCCATGGACTCCATCTGAGAAATAACAGACTCACTTTGGGAGCCAATCAACAAGGCCGAAGGATCGTGGAAGGCTGCACCTTCAGCTGAAGGCTGTGTAGTCGTAGGAGCGGCAGGAGAAGGTGTAGCAGGAGCCGCCGGAGCGGTAGCAGTGGAAGGGCCCGGCGCTGGAGGCGGGGCTGGTGTTGACACAGCAGCTCTAGACGGCGTGGAAGGTGCTTGGGAAGGAGCAGCAGAGGATGGGGAGGGCTTGGGCTATAAAGAAGCGAAGTCAGCCCAGGCATCGTAGATCTCCCGATGAGAACCAAAACGGCATGGCATACCTTCGAGACCATGCAGACGATGAAACCTTTCTCCTCGATGTTGTAAGACTCGATCGTCTTGTCATCTTGCAGAATTTTCCCTGAACGGTGAAATCCATGTCAGACACCGTATTGTAAAAGGGAGGTTAAAAACAAACATGGCCGACATTCACCGCGAAAACTAGGGCGAACGGACGATAAAAATTATAGCTTGAGTGTAGAGTACTGACCGGAATATATGAGTTTCAGTTGAGGTACCTCCCATCCTTTCTCCCTTGATATTTTTTGCTTCACATCGCCAACCTAGATGGAATTCCGCTTAGCCCCGCATACGTCCAGATGGGCAAGAGAGTTGGGATGCATATGCGTACATTCTCTGAAGGCTCCGCATCTATCACAAACTTCTGCTGTTTCAAATCCTAAAAAGAAAGAAGAAATAAATTTAGAGTGTCGCTGAATATGTGCCAGGTATGAGGAAGAGCTGGGATACCTTAAAGGTGAGCTTCATCTTTCCGCCGCTGGTGATCAGAATATTGCGGGGGAATGTTATGTGCAGATGAGGGTAGGTAGGATTGGCAGTCAGGTTATGCAGAAGTCAGAAGGCTATATCCGATGATAGAGCTGCAAAAGCAGAAGGATAGCAGATAGAATCTGGGCAGTAAAAGAAGCTTCTAGGGAGACGACGATGACGAGGGACAGAACAGGAGGAGAGCTTGTCGTAGGAAGACAGAATAGGAACAGACCGCATCACGTGCAGCTGCATCCCCTCGCTTAGTCATTGCCAAACGTTATGCACAGCCACCTAATTCAGCCACATGTTACCACATAACGGACTGGGAACAACAGTAAGCCCGGGACTGCTTTTGCCTCGGCTATACGAAATATGGAGATGGAGTGGAGTGTTAATTGCATTAATCAAGATGGAACAGAGGAAATGAATTGGCTATTCAATAAATTTGCGGCCATCGCTGATCTTCAATGATCAACTGGCAAAATCATATCGTACGTGAACTGCACAGAATCAACCTGTTTTTTCGGGATAGAAACGCGTTTCCTCTTGCGGGATACCCGGCATCCAACCTTATCCACGGTGACTTCTATTTCAATTTACAATAGCTACTCTGCCAACCGATAATCGTACTCATGGAGATAAGCTAAGGACAAGGCGATCAGGGACTTCAACATGTCTCCGCAACTTTCATAGCCAATGGTACCAACCCTGAGCGGCGCCAGTTACGCTGTCAGTGTCATAGACACATGGACGTGTCGCGATGGTCGTCAGCGCGAGATGGGGGTCCTATTCTAAACAACAATTGGTTTTCAGATGCTTGGGACCGCGGTAGGGCTTTAATCTAGCGTTTATGCTGTCTTGCTTTTGTCCTTCGCACGGACAGTGGTAGCAGCGGGATAATATCATCGAATCCAGCTGCCTTCAGCCTTCCGGTATCTGTGCTGAGAAAGTTCCTGGCGAATGGATCAACGAAGCCAGAGCATTCTACTGCCACTATCTTATGGTATTCTGTCCTAGCATTGTCCATCTTAAAAATAGTAGAATTCTCATCTTCTTGCAGATCATGCGGGAATCTGCTGGTGCGGACTTCTGCATTGCGGCTATGTACGCTGTGCGCTCTACTGCACCAGGGAGATGCTGCAGGAACACATCTCGATGGTAGATAGACGCATCAATGTAAACCTATTATTATAAAGCCACAGTGGAAGTCCAAACTAGCCAGTAAAAGTGCAAAGCACCATTTCGCTGTGATATGCAGAGAAGATTGGGACAAGGAAGAAAGTCGATGCATCACGGCGGCGTGCTCGGTTGACATCTATCCTTACCTGCTTCTTTTCTCGCTTCCACTGCTGCGTCCGGCTCTCAGCCTTCGATCTCTCGACTCATCACGCCCATCGGTTTCTTCCAGTTATTTATCCTATACCATTATTGGATATTGATTCCTCGGTCTAGCTGTTTGGAAGTCCATTTTCCTTGTTTTTGTTTACCTCTTTTCGCCATTCTTTCTTGTCAAACTCCAGCAGCATCAACCCCAACGGTGGCCTTCATCGACAGGTCTTGCCTGTATTCATTATTATAACCGGGGCAGCGCATCCGCAATGGCTCGTCCGTCTTCTGTCTCGTCCTCTGCTGAACACACTCTGTCCCCAGGCCTCTCGCTCATTTCTGGCTATCGAAATTGCCGTCCATTCGTTCATCCAACTAGAGTCAGCCTCTACCGTTCACTCGTTCCTTCGATCTTATGCGGGAGAACAGGAAAATTCGTTCATTCTATAGTTACTCTACCTTACATCTCAGCAATAGTACTTCCCGCAATATGCAATTCGCCGTTTTGACCTACATCTCGGGTGGTTCTTCTGTCCTTTTCACTTTGATCGCTACGGTCCTCAATGGCCTCTGTTATGCTTCCAAATATTCAGCCCCCAACAGCCAACCCGCCGACTTTGCCTTTGTCAGTCTGAGCGCCGTGAGCTGCGTTGGCTTGGTAGCTCTGATGCTGCTCTTGAGAAAGGATATCCTGACTGGCCCAAGACAATGGGAAACTTGGAAAATAGGATTCTACTGCGCCATCGCTTCATATCTTCTGATAACGGCAACGATTGCCGCGGGGGCAACGGCGTGGAGTGATTCGCAGCTTATGAGGAAGACAAAAGCCGATTCGTTGAGAGAAGAGTCCTTGTTCGTTGCCCGTTCTGTCATCTGGGCCATGTCCATCTTCAAGCAAGGATTGTTTTGTGGCATACTCCTTCTCTCCTTTGCCTTCAATACAGAGGAGCAATGCAGACGGTGGCCGCGGCCGGAATCTAAGGACGCCGAAATGACGTTAAACGGTAGCAATCGAGGATCGTATCCCGTACTGTCATCCCATCGTGATTCGCAGCCCGTCCGGCCCATGACCAGTTCTGGCAAGATCATCTCATTTCATTCCGCGGCATCAAACACATCCTCGGAAATTTCAAACAGCTTCTCGGGGCTCACGCTTTTCCAGCAGGACGGTGATCACAGCTCGACCAGGCCGAATACATCTTCGCGTCGCTATTCGGAGCCACAGACAGGACCGCGGGCTGTATCCGATGACGGCACCGGGATGCGGAATGCACCGAGAAGCCGTCAATGGATCAATGGCTCCCTCGATAACTTGATCATGCAATCCCTACCAGAGGCTTCAACGTCAAACACAACGCCGTCGGAACAAGCCTCCCGGCCGGGGACATCCAGGGAAGAAGATATCCATCCGCTGTTTCGGCCCAGCAGCCCATCGCCTCCCCCAACGCCGACCTTTGGCACCATCGTGACAGCGTCGCCAGTGGCAGGCCAGACGATCACGGCGGAGACGTTGCAGAAATTACGATCCTCCAACCAGTTTTCGTTTAGCAACCTGCCCTGTGAATTTTCGGCCTTGGATCAAACAAAATCTCCGGAGGGGACCGAGGAGCAACAGAATGCGCAGCAAGTGAACGAGAGCATCGAATCCTCCGTACCTCGTTTTATACTTCAAGCTAATGTACGTGAAAGCCATATCCGATATGAAAAGAAATACGGTTCGAGTTGAACTTTGTTTGGAAGAATGAGCGTGCTATTCTTAATTATGATCTGTGTAAAACTCTCTCTCTCTCTCTCTCCCTATTTCATTTTATTTATTTTATTATATTACTCTGTCCTCGCTGTCTTTTCTTATGTTTTTATTTCTGTTTTGTTTTTATAAAACATTATCATAGGGAGGCTCTTTTCTTTTTTTGCTTACTTTTGCTTTTGCTTTGCATTCCTGTCTTTTTCTGGCTTGACATTTCTTTTCCAATATACCAGTCATCGCAGCAATGCGGCATACGGACGAGCCAGATGTTAATGTGGGATCTGTTCTGGACGAGACTTCTGGAAAGCGAGGATGGGTCCTGATTGAGGTGATTCACTTGATTCATGCTTTTATTCTGGCTACAGCACATATGAATCAGAATAGGATTGTTCATGGTGAATGTTCCTTGTCAATGTACATTGTAGAGTAGGTAAATTAATTAGTGGTAGTACCTTGTTGGATGGGTAGGTAATTACAGTAATGCCAATACATGGACAGCCTGAGATTCAACTTCAGATCAGCTTCTGCTTCAACTGTGGATATTCCACTTAATTATTCTCTTCATTCAATTCAATTCAGTTCAATTCATATCATTCTTGTATTCATTCCATCTCATTCTTCTTTCTGTCTCGCGTCTCTGTCCTACCGTGTAGCCCATAATCCTGCAGCGCAATTGGCCACAGCACGGCGTGAAGTCGATCAAATCAAATCCATCGGCTGTTATTTATTAATATTCTTCTTCTTCTTCTTCTACTACTACTACTCCTTCTTCTTCTACTTCTACTTCTACTTTTTTTTCTGGGGCAAGGAGGAATAGCAAAAAGAAAGAAGAAGTAGAGAAGGAATATCGGCTTCTTCATTCAATTTACTAGTACTGTTGACTGATGAATGCGCGGATCTACTGCGGCGTCTATTTTCCCTGACGATTCTCAACAACAAAACTCTTCCTCTTCGTCCATCAACTGCATCCTCGCTTTACTTCATCCTGGATTCATTCGAACATCGCCGGGACAATACTCTGCAGCGTCCAATTGTCCGATTTCCCTTCCTCCCGGCGGCTCAGCGTGCTGGTCTACATCTACCTACTTACTATCTACCTAATACTTACTCTTACTCTCCTTTCATCCCGGTCCACTTAGCCGAACTTTCTCTTGTTCGATATTATTTCTTCTGCGACTAATTGCTATTTACTTCCTGCATTTCCGAACGCACTCCGCTCCAAATCTCTAGGTATGTCTCTTTCGCTTCGAAGTCTCCGGTTTCTTGCTTCTTTTCCCCCAAATTGCCCTGTTTTCTGCGGACGCGGAAGGCTGTCCGTCAGCTTTATTATGCCTGTTTCTGTTTCTCTGGCTGTTCCTGTCTGCTTCGAACGCGATTTCATGATTTGATATTTTCTCTGGCAGTTCATCTCTTGTTTTCTCTTTGCCTTGTCTGTCTTCGCTTTCTTTTGTTCCTTTTGGTATAGTATCTTCCTTGGCTCTGTTTATGCTTTCTTGCTACTTCTCGACAAGTGATATTGTGGCGTGGCGACTCGTATCTGTCTCTACTTTAACTTAACTCTTACAACATGCGTTTTCTGTGGCTGTCTAGAAGCACTTGGTGGCCTCTTGTTTCTGTCCTCCTTCTTGACATGCGTGCTGATATGCTATATGCCAAAATCAGCAATGCCTGGCATCAAGCGAAAACTGCCAGCGACTAGGGAACACCCTGCCAGACGGGATGTTCCTATGTCCGAGGATAACGCATCAGGTATGTGAGCCCTTGTGATTTCAACCCAATTTTTCGGTCGCTGACGATTTTATAGATCGTCGGACAAGTAGAAGCGGCCGTGACACTAGAAGTGCTCGCGTGAACCGCAATTGGAATGGAGAGTTGTCTTCTCCTGCTCCTGCTGCTGCTGCTGAGGCCCCTGTTCGCCGTTCACGTATTGTGACCCTCAGTACTCGCGGCGCCCGTGGCCGTGAAACTCGTAATTCCAAGGGACGAGTCTTGGATTTATCTACTCGTAATAGGCCCACGACTCTTGTGTCACCTCAGGAGCCAGAAACTCCGCGCTCCAAGCGTGCTAAAAAGGACTGGCCTGCCACCGAAACCCCGAGGACTACCAGACAGTCTGCCAGACTAAGGGCTCATGCAGATCCGTCTTCCCATGAATACGGTGACCTTAACGGAAAGACAGAGGAAGACGATCTCCAAGTGAGCCCTTCAATTACTGCTCTTTCTAACAACAGGGCGCAAAACAAATATATACGGAGCTTCGATGGCGTCAACGACCCCCCTGATTCGGCCGACGATAAACTTACGTCTACATCTCCTGGTCAATCGGGCCCTTCCCCGGCGGGTAAGACTCGAAATGCAAGCGCAGCCTCTAAGCCAGGGGAGGACGCATCAAAAGATGACGTTCCCGGCGAAACCAATGATATGAAGCGTGAGCTGTATCCAATTGAGGGACTTTCCAAGGTTCTCGGCTCTTCTACTCGAACCGAAGCCGATGATGCCAGTGATGCCGTTGACAAAAAACATAATGTCGAAAATGAAGAACTTGATCGTTCCTTGGAAGAACAATTGCAGAAAGGCCCCGTTCAGGAATCCGAGGAACTATCTACTAGCGGCACTTCTGCAGACCACAACGCTCAAGCTGGCTCTCATCGGGAGACGGGGCAAATCACTGTATCTACTCCTGCAAACGATTCTGAAACCGCATCCGCCGCCCCGTTGCAGGGCGGGAGAGGAGGCCGAGCGGCTGGGACACGCGGTGGTCGCTGTGGCCGGTCAAGAGGTCGTGGAGGACGTGCAGCGCGAGGACGTGGGGCTCGTACTCGCAGCAGTGCTAAACATCAAGATGAAAACTCCAGCGATTTCGAAGTCGAGATTGACCGTCGATCTCCACCACCAACCGAAATGACCCAGAAACTTCGGGAGCGGCAACGGGAACTGGATAGAGCTTTTAGGAGGGTAGCACTGGCCCAGCGTCTGGCGTTAAGCATCCTTGCGGCACAGTCTCACGAACGCCTTGCCAGGGATAAGCACGCTCATGAGAAGGTACCTGAGTGGGAAGCGATCCAAGAGGCTCTGCAAGAACGTCTAGAGAAACAACGGGAGGTTTATCGTGCCCATTATAGGTACAGGGTTGAGCAAGAAAACAGATTGTATGCTGCAGCCAAGGAGAAAATTGAGCAGCAGTTCAAGGTGAGTAAAACCTGTCCCATCGGTTCTTCCTATCCCGTATCATACTGACTATGGCTCTCCAAGGCATCCGTTTGCCACATCAAGGAGGAGCATCTCAAAGCATCCCAGGGAGCATATATGGCTTTTGTTGAAGGTGTTCGAGTAGCGGAGGATGAAGAACATACCGAGGTATGCAGGTGCAATCGTTTAATACGGGATAATACATGCACAGTCAACTAACGACATTACTCCTTTAGACTGACCGCTCAGATAACGAGTTCGATGGTGAACCACTCTTCCCCGAACCCAGGGAGTTCATTCGAGGATTCAATTCTTCACATGTGAGAGACCCACAGGGAGCTGCTCTGTATGAGCGTGCCGACACAGGCTGGGACGACTTCGTCCAACGTGCGAAAGTCGGTGGTGAGGTCAAGGGGATAAGTGACAGCGCCCCGTTTGCCGGATTGAGTGCGCCAGAGCTCATCGCCATGTTGGTCGCGGCTACGGGAACCGTCGAGCTTGGTACGAATGGAGAGAACCAGCCTCAGCAAGAACAGCCAAGGGTTGATGACGCCGCGCGTCCTGATGCTCTGCTTGCACTGGCGGATGCAGCGACTATCCAGCCACTCCCTTCTGGGAATGGAATGACAGCACCTCCTCCTCAACCCCCAACGCCCCATCAAACCCTTTATCCCAAGCCACAGACAACTGAGCCTCGACCCTTCCCATTGCTACATCCGTCTTCTCCTCAAAAGCAACATCCGCGCCGTCTTCTCCCAGCTGGCCGGCAGCAAATCCCTCCGATTAACCAACAGCTTAGCCTCCCTGACCCCTTTGAGTCAATCGGTGGTCGTCCCCATCTCCCCCCACCATCTGGATCTAACTTCCACCAGCCTCTGTTACCAGGATATTTCCCAACACCAAACCATCCCCAGCAACTTTACTATCCGCCTCAGGGACCAGGGCCGCGTCGTCCCTATTGAACGATAAGGATACAATGATGAAATGGATTACGATAGTGCGAAGATGGTTTCTTTCTCGCTTTCTTGTTTTTCTGGTTTTCTGCCATCCGTCTCTCGTACAGTGCTTTTGGGAAACGGTGTTAAGGAGAATTCGGTCAGAGGCTTCCTTCCTTTGTTTGTTTTGTTATTACTATACCTTTCACACTTTAATAACCACTTTTATTTTCTGTAATTTACCACCTACTGATTCGTCAAGATATATTATGGCATATCAAAAAATAAAGAGACACAATCAGGACTTGATTTATCTATTTACCTATTTCTTCTCGTGTGTGATGTCAATAGGATCCATGCTTGATACCTTATCCCTTATCCATTTAGGTAGCCCCAGTCTGTCTACGATTGAATCTGAAGGTGATGATTCCTTTATTATTATCTGTCCGCAAGATATTGTGCTGGTGGGAGTAGACAGTCACTCTTTAAATACTCGCGTTTGACCAAAATATATAATTATTCTTTCGATGCCACAACCGTAAATGGATATAAACAATGGCGTTTGTTTCGATGTAAACTACGTCAATTTCATTCATATCTTTCTCATCAGTTCAATCTCAAATTCAAATCAAATCAAATTACACTATACTACACTACACTATGCAAGTATATGCATAGCAGCACAATCAATATCAAAATAAACCATGTGTAATATGTCGTGTAGACGCATAAACGCTATCAAAAAAGGAGCATTTGAAATAGCAGCAACCCAAACAACACTTTTTGAGAAACAAAGAGGGGATAAAAAAACTACCTCCTTCCCCCACGACTAACTTTAGGAAATTCCACAGGAAGCTTCAATCTCACAATCCGTCTAGAAGCAGCTTCAGCCTTGCCTCCCTTCACGCCCCATTTGGCAAACTCGCTTTCACGAGGCTTGTCGACCCGACAGCCCAGTTCGCGGAAATACTGCAGGGTAGTCGCATTGTCGAGTCTGAGGTCGTCGCGGAGATCCGAGGGGTCCGTGGCAAGTTCGTTCGGTGAATTCCCACCGCCACCGTCCGCGTTTGGTTGCGGGGGAATGTGCAGGGATAAAGCGCAGATGGTTGTGTGGAGGAGCGTGATGTCGTTCTTGGTGAGATGGGAACCGTGAGGGACGAATTTCCGGCGGATGGAATCGATGATGGAGTCTGGTACCAATGACGAAGAAGACGAGGTATCGGCATTGCGGTTTTTGGAGAAGGAAGAAGAGCCGGTGGAGGAGAGGATGCGGCGGAGCTCTTCCCGTGGTGGGAGACGTTTGCTGCCCGGTCCCCCGCTGGACTTGGGGTCTCGGCCGCCAGATCGGAGAGAGCGGGTGAGTTCCAGCAGGAGAAGAATGAAACGCAGGATTTGGACGTGTGTGGTGTTTCCTGATTTCACGACGGCTTCGATGCGACGGGCCACATAGCGGGATGTCGTGGTGACGGCTTGTCCGGACATAACTGTGTCTTGCCATTCTTGGACGCCGGGGAGCTGGCGGAGAGTCGACAGGCCATTCGGAACAAGAGTCTCAACAGGGTAGACATCTGATGGGTGCGTCGCGGATAGGTTGGCCGGTGGGAGAGGCTTGGTAGCTTGGACTTGCGCCTGTAGGCTGGCAGCCTTGGATGCCATGTCGGAGTTTGGCTCCGTAGGCATGGACGAGAGAATGGCTGATTCCGCGGCATTTGCGACACCTGCAGGAGCATTTGAAAGCTGCGCATTCTCTGCGATGGACTGTGCTGCTTTACGGGATTGTTTGGTACCAAAGGTGTTGGTAAGTTCGGTGCGTTGAGAGCGGATGGTTTTCTAAACAATATCAGCAATCATCGGACAAAGACTTGAGTAAAGCATTGGCATTCCTGTGTAATAAGTACAGACTTACCGCTTCTTCATCCTCATCTTCCGATTCCTCCTCGTCCTCAGCAGGCTTCAAATTTCTTACACTCCCTCGAAGAGTAACCTTTCTCACCGCGATGAGTTCCCACGTCTTCTTCTCCGGATCAACCACAGCAACGTAATGCTCCAGCTGAGAATCAACCTCATCCTCAGCCTCGCGGCCGACAAAGTCCAACTTGGGATGCTCGGACGACTGAAGCAGGATTTCCGACGCCGCGATCCCCTTGTTGCGGGCAGAGTTCGCATTCGCGGACCGACCAAAAGAGGAATACTCCCGTGCTTTAATATATGGCTTTAGACGGAGATCTCGCGGTTGGTTGAGGCCAGGTGTAGTGACTGCATAATACCCATCAGTCAGTATTCAGCCCTACGAACTTCGAATAGAAAGAAATACGATACTGAATGCAAAGATAAGGAAACAAGTACAAAAGAACTCGGCAAAATCAATGAATACACTGACGACATACCAATTACAGGAGCCAACTCGCTATTATCCTGGACGACGCTCGTCGAAAGTGGAGGCAGATCTTGCAGTTCCAACGCTGGCTTTTTGCTTGGTCGATCATGGCGGTCTGAAGCACGCTTGCGTTTCTTGTCGATCTTACTCGAAGACATGGTTGACGACCTAGAAGTTGATTGTTGTGGATGCTGTCTTTGTTGCTGTGCGCAAAGGAACCTACTAGGTATTCAGGAAGGACTCGAAAAAAAAAAAAGAAAGGCCGGAGATGGCTCGGGCTTCCGCTAAGGCGGAGAAGCCAAATAGTCCCTTATGCTTGGTTTAAAACTTCGGACAGCATCATCACACTTAAGAAATGATTTAAAAATCATCCAGTGAAAAATGGTAATAATTCTACAGCGGATTCAGGGAATGCTACGGAATACGTTAATTGCCCTGGACAACTTATATCATTTCATCGGCAATAGCTATCGAGCAGAGCGTAACAAGGTAAACTTTTCAGTATATTCTCGAAAGACACCTCTCCATGGCTCTAACTCCCTACCCTAGCCCATTGAGAATAGACCTCTCCGGGATACGGGACAGGGGCTGCAAACGGAAGCAAAAAAAGAGCATATTGACCAGCTTCCATGGCAAACTCAAAAAAGACAAATGCAAGAGAAAGAGAACATCCGATCGACTCATTCCTTCCCTCAACACTTGACCCTCCAACCTCACCGGACACACAGTGGGACCCCTCAAGAACCCAGTCTGGCGGGAAATAAGAAAAAAAGATATCGAAAACGTTAACAAGCCCGCGAGGTCGGACAAATATCTTTAACAGGTTGAATTAACGGACTTCGAATTCGCAGTTCAGGGAAACCGCCAGGCAGGCATCTCGAGTGGGTACAGACGATCATTCCGACCATATTTCGTCCGTCATCGTAACATCGCCCATCATTGTCGTCATGTTCGGTATTCAAACTTGAGCATTGTCATGGGAAACTGAGATGGAGTATGGGCAAGACGTTTATTTGCTGTTGAATGTAGTTAGCCAATTGATTCAATTGGGATTATTCTGAGTCTTCGTCCCATCCGAAGACTGGGAAAAAAAGAATACATTTGGGACTGGGATGGGATGAACTCACGATCTCGCCCTCATCTTTCGCCTCTTACGCTTTAAACGGCGGACGCGCTTCTTTCTCCACTTGGCTCTCATCTTCGTAAGAGGGTTAGAGACTGTGAAGTGTCAGTAACCTGCGACCCGATTGGGATTTCAAATGAGAGATGGGATGGTAACTCACACTTCTTCGAGGATGAGATGGATGCAAGAAAGATGAAGAGCTCGAGCGGAGCAGCGCGCTTTGTGTGCGCCGCGGCTGACTCATCAAAATAGCCGCTAAGGGTTCGCTTGGCTTCGCGATTTCCGAATTGGGATGGAATCCACAACGTTTGTTTCGTATGCTTAAAATTATGTAATCGCACCCGTTTCCTAATCGGGCTTCGTTAGGGAGAAGGGCTCGGGTTGTGCCCTAGAGACCTTTCCATTTGCCGAGTCTACGCGGCATTAGAGCTACTGCGAACTATGGATGCTAGTCGCCGAAATATTTTATTTTGTACGTCGGCATTTGCCAGTATTAAAACATTTTGCTGCTTAAGTTAACAGTCCGTCTTCGATATAATGAGACGACCTCATACACTAACAACCGCGCAGTATCAGTATTGATACCGATAACTGGGAGCGAGATCTCCCATGAGCTCCTCGTCTTCTTCTGCAATGACCTCAGCAGATGAGACTGCCGCCTGGCGGCCACGCCTCTGATTGTCGATCCAGATGGCGACGAAGTAAGCCATGCAGGAGGCGGCTGCCAGACTGATGAACGATAAACAGATCTTGTAACCGGTAAGGTACTTGGGGGCATCCTTTTTCAGAAACGAATATGTTGCAATGATACCACCAACTATAGTAGGAGTGTCAGCATAATCGAAGGTTCGGGGTGTTTGAGCTATGTAAGCTCTAGTCTGACTCACTGTTTCCGAACCCAATCTGCCATGCCGTTCCCACGCTTCGCCGATGGTGCCCACTCAGGTTCATGGTAAACCAGCATACTATGATGGCCATGGAGGAGTAGCAGCCGCTTGCGGCTAAAAACAGCGCGCCATACTGGACGTGTCGGTGGGCCTTCCCATGCACGTTAAACAGGATGCCGAATCCAGCAATTGCAATGAAAATGGGTATTAAGGTGAACATGAAGCGATGTCGAAATCGATCTGAGAGAAATGCGATTGCGTTTGAGAGACCGAAGGCAGCTGCCCATGGGGGAATTGAGAGTAGCTGCGTTCTAACATCTAAAATGGTTAAGATAGATCCGGGGTTAGCAAGAAAATTGAGCAAGCCATTAAAACATAAAGGGGAAAGTTAACATACTTCCATATCCGTAAGTTTGAATGATCGTCGGAGCGAAGTAGGCATAGCCTGCGAACGGTCAGACTCAAGACATCGACGCTTGTTGAATATACCAAGACACGGATACTCACTATAGGCTGGAACGATCAAGCCAAAGTACATCAAACCGCCGATGAAGATTTTATCTGCAAACCGGCCAGAGTCAGAAAGGTGGATAGGAAAATGAAATTGCAACATTGGAATCGACTTACAATCTTTGAAAACACCCAAGAACTCACGCAAACCCAATTTAGCATTATGCGCCGACTTTCCGACATCCCGCGCCAGTTTCGCTTTGATGAATTCGCGCTCCTCATCATTGAGCCACTTGACTTCTTCCGGGAAGTCTGGTATGATGAAAAAGGACAGCGAAGCTACGACGCAGGTGATGAGTCCTTCGATAATAAATATCCATCGCCATCCATTATATCCTCGTAATCCTTGCATTTTACCAAGACCAGTTGCGAGCAAACCACCGAAGGCGCCGGCTAGAGTGGTGGAGCTGAAGAAGAAACTGAACCGCTTCTGCGCCTCAGTACGCTTGTACCACATGCCCATAAGGTAAAAGCCTGTGGAGATGGATCAGTATCTTTTGTTTTGCTCTGTGTGTGTGTGTGTGTGTGTGTGTGAGATGGGAGGGCAGGAAAAGAATAGCATACATCCTGGAAACATGCCCGTCTCGAATATGCCCAAAAAGAATCGCGTTGTCATCAATCCGCCCCAATTCTGAACCCAGCCCTGACACATCATTACGAGGCCGAAACAGAACATGCAGAATGACACTAAACAAGGATAAAGCTGTCAGCAACTTGGTCCTCCGCATAGAAAGAGGCAGGTCAGGCAACCCGCCCCCAAATTGGACACATACACCAGACGTGAGGCCGTAATTTCTTCATCAGTATGTTCGATGGGATCTCGAAGACGATATATGGGACGAAGAAGATTGTCAGAGCGGTATTATACTTGGTCCCATTGACGATATCCAAATCTTTCGAAAGACCGAAGATGTTGGCGTTGCTTATATTAACTCTGGAGAAAAAGTATGCATGAGCAGGCGTGAGAGACAGAGAGGGAAGAAGAAGATTGATAAGTATCAAGGAATTGCTCACCGGTCTAGAAACGCAAGAAGATACAACACCGACAGGATGGGCAGGATATGTAGGTCAATCTTGGCCATGAGCTTGCGCTCCGTGGTTGTTCTGAGGACGTGCTCATCGACGACTTCAGCATCGAGATGGCTCTCGGGTTTCTCTTGTTCATCTGCTGGAGCATAATGTGTCGTCAGTCAAGATCTCTTTTGAATTGGTTACGGGGAAAGCAGTGTGGGATAGATGCAAGAGAAGAACCGCACGAACCTATCTGCCCCATGGCGCCGGGAGACACTAATGACGATCGTTTCTCGGTGTAGATGTTGCATACAGCAGCCGAATGTCGTATCTATAGGTAGCAACAGCAACGGCAACCACCCAAAGCTGAAACAGCAGCAACAAGGACGACTCGGAATGAGTCAACGCGCAAGACAAGGGGAAGAGTAACAAAAGACCAGCGAGAGGGGAAATTTCACGCCGGTGCATTAGCCTTTATAGTTTTGCGGGAGAACACGAGCGCATCCTAGATCGCGCTGCACCTATCACCGATCTCGGCGCGGCCAGTCACACCGAGCGACTGTAATAAACGGCGTTCATTTGCTGCGCTGCAGATCAGGGTGCAACAGTCAGCAGACAGCGCTAAAAAAAAAAGATAATAATGAACCTACCAAGTTGGAATAAGCTGACAGTTACCGCATAAGCCTGGCATAGACTGGGCATTCTTGCAGGGATACCGGTGGACGTGAAGTAGAAATGCGACGGGGAGAGGTGGAGTCCGAACAGCTATAATATTAGGAAGGCGACGGTGCTCCAGCCTGCTATGTATAGCTCCTTATCAATGTCAGCTTCTGTCAAACGGGACCAAGCTTGTTCTATCTGTCAGCATTATTCTCATTTTAACTAGAAAGTGATAGGCTTAGCACAATGTACTTTCCATCATAATATTAACCAGCTATTGATCCTACTGTTACTATTACCAGCTATGCCGTAAAAATACGGTCGTAATACGCCTCCGCAATCCCCGCGAGCATAAAAAGCTAAAGTTTAGGTTTGGAACCGAAAAGACTCTAAACTTTATCTGGACTAGCTTCGGAGTCAATGCGGCTTCACGTGAGCCCTCAGCCGGAACCCCATCGGAGCCGCCTCCGGATATCGCAGCCAGTACAATCACACGCGGCCTTCCAATTCATCCATATTCCAAAATGGTGGCATATAACACAGGAAACCACTGATTCCATCGGTCAGTGGAGAGTCTAGGGGAAAACATATGAGGGCAGTGTGACCTCAATGCCCTGTGTCACCCTACCGTGGCGTGCATTAGGAGATCCAGCGACATGTCACGGTCTTCATTCTTCCCTGGAGTCATGTTTCTCCTCCACAGCCTTCCCCCATGCCGCCTCGAAAGCTGGCTCTGAAGCCAGAGACTGGACGAGATCGGCTCCAGATACCACCCCTTCGCTATTGCTTGCATTGGTACTATCGTTGCCATCACCCATGGTTACATCAGGACCCTTGTCTACTAGGACAGGAGCATAAGACGAAGAAGTGTCAACGTCAGCCAGATCCACTGGCAATGTTCTAGGACTCAGCCCGGAACTGAGCAGCTCCTTGTCAAAATTCGAGCTGTATACGACGGCTGCAAATGCGTCCAGTTCCCGAACGCCCTGATCCATGGCGGCGAGATACTCATTCGGAGAGTTCGTACCATTGCCGATCACATGTGCTTGACGGGCCATCACCGCTAGGACATTTGCCAGTTTCGTCTTGGGCATCAGGTTGGGAGGGGGGATGACAGTAGCGACCGAGTCAAATGATTGAGGCGCCATCTCCCCGTTGTGGGACGGCTTGAAAGCATCGGCAGCGCACTTCTGCTCCACCAGTGTCGAAAAGCCCTCATTATTCAAAAGTGTTACGACGTGAGCGAACGACGGTGATTCGATCAAATCGGCCGTCTCGTCCAGGAGGTGCCGTAGTTTCGATGCCGTCTGGGGAGACGGCGGCTCCGAAACCCCAAGTACCCCAGACTCCTGTAGCACATGTTCTTCCTCCTCTGAAGGAGGCAGCAAGTAGGTTAACCACTTCTTTGATCTGTTCCAACAGTGATCAGCAACTGCCTTGGATTAATTGGATCACTCATCTCGGTTCACCCCCCTCCTGACAACTTACCTTCGCTCCTGCTCCGTACTACCCTCAATATTCTTCCGGATTTGCAACGTAAGCTCAGACAGCCTCGCCAACGTGATATCTTCGCGAGGGTTAAGAGGGCCGAAGACCTCGGTGACTGTCGCCCGAACCTGCTCCATCAATTCCCTCCAACCCCGGTGAAGCAGCCACCAGCTGAAGGCAAGATAGCGCCGATTGGTTTCAAAGTCATTTCCAAGTGTTTGAGTCAGATCATCATCATCATGGTCCTCAAGGCTGATCGTAGACGCGTCAGCAGGAGGTGTCGCCAGGGAGATGACACTAGAGAGGTAACTCCGGCGTCCAAGAAGATTGAGCTGAACTCGAGTGAAGACAGTCAATAATGATAGAGTGTAGATCAGAGTAAAGGCCCTTGTGATAGCTGTGCATGTTAAATAGTTCAGCTATTAGCAAAGTTCCCAAGAGTGGAGGGATTGACTGATCAACTTAAAAGGAAGGAGATCACGCACAGGTAATCTTGACCTCCTTCCAGAGTTGAGCCTTGCTTCGTTTCACCTCGGGCGCACTTCCCCCAACCGGAGGAGCGGAATCACTCGACTGACTGGCGTGAAGAAAAGCTTCACTTTGAAAACTAGACGATAGACTGCGACGGTCCTCTTCAACCACGCTGGGAGATGCCGAGCTGATTTCTGAACTCGTCGCATCACCCGCATTAACCTTAGCCAGTCTCTCCGCCCGCTTCCTCTGTAGCTCCTGCGCCAATTCCTCTACCGGTAGAGCCTCCAAAATATCCTCCGCAGCGGTAGGTAGCAGCGCTAGCACTGTATATGTACAGTCGGTCTGGTTCTGTTCAAAACGGCGTCGTAGACTAGAAAAGAAAACCAGGAGAGTCCATAACATCAGTCATATGAATTCGCAAACCAGCGGCTTCAAAAGAAGTAAAGGAAAGAGAGAAACAGACTTCTCCTTTGCAATCCTATCACTACTCATGCGCTCGTGAGCATCTGAAATCTTCGACAGCAAATACTGGCCCGCCAGGTAGCCAGCCCCGACGAGACCCGCGCCTATGGCGAGAATTCTGCGATTGCGCCGGAACCAGCGCCTGGTAGCACCGATCATGACGTTAAGACCCGAGCAGAAGAAGAATCAAAAGACACGGAGGGAAAGAAATGAAGATAACAAGATCGGTCGGAAACAAATCAGATCATGATACACAGCTAGACGAAAGGGAGATAAGGAGGGAAGTGGGAAGCCTTGTTGCCCGATGGAAGACAGCATGAGGTCAGGGCTCTGGTCTAGCGAAGACAGACACCTCGGCAAACGAAGTATGTTTGAACCTTGTGCTTCTGGTGCCAGCATATGGCAAGCTGTTCCAGCAGCAGGGTTACTTTCACAGTAAGCTAGTCGACGGACATAAATGGATGAAGATAAAAAACAAGCCAGGTATCCATTCCATGTAGACAGATATGCAGTGCCATCCAGCAGTCTTGATTCCCTGCTGATGGTAAGGTAGCACATGCACGTTCTCAGCTTTCTCTATGCATATATCAATACTAATACCATACTATACATACAGTACGGAAGAAACCGTAATTACCATATGGTACCCGCCGTATGTGATCATACGTAATCATACAGATGCATCACCAGCTGCAGTCATGCAAGGCAAATGCACATCATACAATCCTCCACCCTCCCTTTGCTCCCTTCTTCTACCCTGGCACTCAAAACCCGTTGAACGACCCAGCTGGGTCCGGTCCCTTTGATAGCTGGGTCGTCTTGACGTCTAAATCGAATCAAAGGGCCCCTACACGTGAGAAAAAAACAGCACTCAAAGCATAGGGAGAGGAAGAAGAAACGAAAAAAAAGCTCGTCATGGAGCCCCGCAGAACCCCTCCCGAATACTTTCTGGAGATATTCGCTGATACAACTACAGTCAGAGATGTGCTGAAAGGTTTGTTCATTCCGATGTGTTAATTCTTCTTCATTCTTGATAAATAAAAATTAATCCTTCTTATTGTTGTCTAGGCGTTCTCAACCTCATCTTCTTTCACCGTTACTTCCCCTCCATCCGACCTACGACTTTTGATGTTCTCGATCTCACACTTCCTGCTATCAACGACGTGGATCTTGAGACCCTCATCGACTCCCGTGTTAGTTCACTAGTCCGCCAGTATCTTTCTTCCTCCCCTAGTGCGCATGACGTCGGCGGTGCCGGTACGGGGGAGGGGGGTGTCCGCGGCCGTATTGCCGTCGAGTTCTACGAGAAGAAGCGCAGGCGCTCAGGACTCTGGTTCGGCGGACTCGCGGGAAAAGGTGAGGAAGAAGTATGTTGGGAGACTTGGACGTTGGATGTGACGATTGCTACTCCTAGGACTGAGTCTGGTATGCTTTGTTTTTCTCGCTTTTATTGTATAAACTGAGTCGAGAACATATCTAACGCTTCTCTTCGTTGTTTGCTTATTAGAACGTGCCAAAGTCCGGAGAGCTATGGAAAATATGCTTCAAAAGGCCGCCCTCAAAATCCTTGCCGTCGTCAATAGAGATAAGGATCATATCCCGCCCATTACCACGAGCGATTCCAATCCTTTCCCATATCGCATCGTGCTGAATCCACGCACAGATACCTGGGGAAATCGCATCGGGCTATATTGAACCGGATAAGGATGAAAACAGAGATGGCGAACTTCGCTAAGAGTGCAGTTTTGTTTTCGCCTTATTACACAGGGTATCTTATCTTACCTTTCCCCGCGTGATATTATTGACTTCACGCAATATGATGCCTATCTTTTCGATTCAACACTGGGGTGCTGGCGTTGCGGTGCACGAATTGTGGGTTAAACCGCCCCCATCGCAATTCGTAACTGCTATTATGCGCTTATTGGATGCGAACGTGATTGATTCATACTATTTGCCCGGGTGGCAGACTAGAAAGATATCGGGAGTTTGTTGGCGTTGTACGAGGCGGCGGATCTCATGCCTCTTTTTCTACTTTCTTTCATTTTCTTCGAAACATGACGGTACATTATCATTGCTATATAATGGCTCATGTCCCGGTTCATCGAAACGCGCCCACTGGGATTTATCAGTTCCACAGTCCATGGAGAATCGAAAGCATGGGAGAATCACAGGGAGAAACAACTCAAAAATCAAATTTACTAGTCAATTCTTTGATGTTTCAATTTCGCAAGAATGAAAGATAAACAAAAAAAAAGCTACCAGTGTTAAATAAATGCGGCCTATATAGTCGCATATAGATGACAGTACTCCGTACTCATTCATCCGACCATCATAAGAGCCGTTCTACCAAGCCAGATGACAATCGTCCAAAAAGGAGGAAAAAGAAAAAGAAACCCTGTACCGTTCTATTCCACCAACCGCAGCTTCCTTCCATTTCCAACTAAGCGCCAAACCCTTTCTATGATCGAATCGCAGGACATCGGCACCACCGTCCACGGACAGCCTGCCAGGAGAAGAGAATCGATATATGCTTGGTTAGCGACAGCGCACCAGAGACACATAACCATTGTCCGATTCTCATAATTTCTCTACGGCACCTTAACCCGAGTGGGGCTTGGAAGCAGCGCTAGCCTGGGCGCGGAGGTTGGCCGACGTAGAAGTACCCGCGAAGAAACGAGCGAACACAGGCTGGATGAAAGAATTGAACACAATTTGGGCGCCACTGTGCAGACCTGTCAGCAAGGATCAACAATGGCAAGAGTCTGTATGTATAACTTACCTGGTCTGGGGGAGAGCCATCCAGAGAACGAGGACAAACTTGAAGATATAGTAAAAGGCTGTCACATCGTTATATTAGCAACAACGTACTTTGGATACAATTGCTAATCAATCGTGACTTACGGAACCAGTAAGCAGCACTAATGGCACTCTCGATGACGTTCAAGAATGCATAGACCACCCAGTACTATATAGAAGGATTCACATGTCAGTCGATCACAGCACAGCGAGTCAGGAGCAGAGGTAATCAAAGACGACTGCTGGTTTTCTCGGAGGATATAAACCATCGACCGGCAAGGGATATCTCAAGAGCATACCGTCAACCACTAAAATAATTCAATAGGATGTCAGCGGAATTTAACGGAATAGGTCAGGGCAACCGGCAATAGCTACTAAAAGCCAACATACCTGAGTATCATCCGCAGTATTGGTCGTGAACAAGGCCTGAAGAGAGTAGTAGCCCGGGATGATGAAGCCGGCGAAATTGACCAGGAAAGAACCGGCAATGTTGAAGAAGACCAGGAAGACGTAGATTCCAACAAGGCCGAGAACAGCATAGACCTTGGGCACCGACGTCTGACGCTCAAGGTTATTGAGGACGGGGTACTTGGAGAGCTATACATAGTGAATAATCACATTATCTGTTAGTTAGCCTTGAGGTGTAAATAAAACTGCATAAAGATGGGAGGAAGGAAACATCAACCCCTGACATCCCCTGGTGATAAGACATCTAGAAACCTGGGTATGTGAAGGGAAGGGCGTAATAAGAGGGGGACGTGGTGATAGGGTTTAAAAAAAAAAAGAGGACAACAAACCTCTTTCTCTAGCTGAGCTAGAATGTGCTGAGCGCGATCCTGAACGCTGGCCATATCGTCTAAGGTTACTTAGGGGTAGGGGGAAGCGATCGTAGAATGTCGCCGAAAAGACAGTGATGAGAGCAGGCGGGCAGAAGCGAAGCCGGGGCAGGGGAGGAATTGATGATGTGGGAAGAAGGAAATAATCTTGCGAGCTGGAAGGAGAAGAGCTGGGCGGGTACTCCCCAGGAGCGGCACGTGACCGCCATCGTGACGTAGAGAGGCGCTGGGCCGGTACGATACGGCGGTTACGTGACAATACGAGTAATTGATGTGGCTGTGCTGTGCTGCAGATGATCTATCATTATACCATATCATCCTTCGAGCAATAATAATACAGAGTACTAGTTAATACTGTAATAATGTTACATAATAATGCAGGTCTACCTAGGTTAAGAAGGGTATGCATACAGGCAATGAGCATGTGCCTTGTTCCTGCCATAATTCATAATCCAGGGTGAATAAGTGCTTACTAATTAACCATGCCGGGGTTATTGTCCCCAAATTTGAAACCAGATGGATCTGAAACATGCCCATCTTCATCTCTGCTAAAAAAAAGGCCAAAAAAGAAACTCGGTTATTAATAGAAACAAGACGGCGCGGCGTACTCGCATATCCATTTTCCATCAGTCTTAGATACCGTTATGCCCGTTCCATCGTCACCAACTACCGAGACAGTAGAACGCCTGGAATCTGCGGCAGACACAGACAGGAAAAACAAAAAAAAAAAAAAAAAATCAAAACACAGAAGTGTTGCAAAGCCGGAAGAAAACGTGGAAGTGATAATACTATACGCCATCACACCTGTCAAGTTGCCAGAACAAAATTTACTCACGTCAACTGTGGTATATCGTCTTAGCGTTTTCTTTCTAGCTCAATTGCATCAAATTCAAGCCCCGCCCAAAAGGACAGTTAAGTAGATAAATTTCACTCGCCATTAATCCCCCCATTTGCAAGATCCTTATTGCCGTTGTTGAACGTGAGTTTCAGCTTTGGCGTAGCTGCGACCGGCGTCCCAACAGCAGAGGTGGTGTTTGTAAGATTGCTATCGCCAGTCGACTCCCCGTCGTCAAAATTGGCAAATTGAGGGTGGGTCTCAGTTTGCTTTCTCAATTCCGAAACGCATGTCGCCTATGAAATAAAATTAGCGAAGGCCGTCCTGAAGAGCAAAAGAGGAGACGCCAAAGCTATGGCGGCCATACTCACCTCGATTTCATTTGCATCCTGGAACAGAACACTCCCGTCTTCATTATATGTTCGCGCATTTTGGCAGAGGAGATGGATGTCATCGCGGAACTCTTTCACACTCTGGTATTCTTCCCGGTTGATCTTCTTCTTGATCATCTCCATGGCGATTGGGTTCTGGATGATCACATAATAATCAGGGTATTGAGACTTGGGAGGTGGCTTCATGAATGGCTCGATAATTGAACGAGTGACCGTTCCATCTTCACTGTCAGATGAATCCGGAGGAAGTTCTTGCTCCATGTCTATCAGTCTCTGATAGACATTGCTGATAATCTCCTGCAATGCAGTTCGATCCTCGCTGCTTAGTGTCTCTACCGCTTTCGACCATCTACCCTTCTTCCTCTTAGCTGCCGGCGTTTCTTCCACGACTTCCTCGGCCTTCCGTTTGGGAACTGCACCCCTACGGCGTCTCTTCGGTTGAGGAGTCTCGGAGCTTTCGCGCGATGGTTCTGGAGATGAATCTATGCCTTGAGCTCGCCGCAGTCGTTTCTCTTTATTTGCACGGCGACGCTCCACCCTGGCCTCTTTTCTGGCAATTGCCTCCTCAATGGTATCATCATCGGCATCAACAGCCATGAGCCACTGCTCCTCAGTAAGACCATCGTCATACCGAGTAGCCTTCCGTTCACGAGCACCACGACCAGTGACTTCAAGATCTACCTCGTCTGTAACAGGATTCTCGTCCGTAAGGTAGATATCTGGAAGCTCTTCTTCCCCCATCAGGCGAGGCAAGGGGTGGCCAGGACCATAAGGGTCCGTCGCTTGACGCTCCATGTCAATACGCTGAAAGGCAGCCATCTCCTCATCCGACCGCGCCATGATCAAGTTCAAATCATCATCGTCCATCTCATCCTGATCGCCAAGCTGGTCGGCAGCTTCGGCAGTTTCCAGAAGCGTACGCAAAAGTGCATCTCGTTCTTCATTCGTTGACTTATTATCGAATTTTCCAGCCTGGATGACCTTTCCATCCATGTCCAGCTTGAACTGCGCACGCTCGAGAATCTTCTCTTCAACGGAATTTGAGCTGATCAGACGGAGAATACGGACTTCATTCTTTTGGCCGATACGGTGAGCTCGATCTTGAGCTTGAAGATCTTGATGCGGGTTCCAATCTGAATCATAGATGATAACAGTATCCGCACTCTGGAGATTGAGACCCAGCCCACCAGCGCGAGTTGAAAGAAGGAAGCAGAAATATTCGGACGCTGGATCATTGAAGAGCTTCAGAAGTTCAGAGCGGTCGTCCGACTTTGTAGAACCATCCAGGCGCAGGTACTTCATCCCCCGGAGGCGCAAGAAGTCTTCCATAATATTCATGATCTGGGTCATCTGGAAAAACATCAAGACGCGGTGGCCGGTAGCGCGGAATTTCGGCAGTATCCTGTCGAGAAGCTCAAACTTGCCTGCCGTTCGCCAGAGGAGATCATTGGACTGCCGGCTGGGGTTCATTTGGTCCTCGACAGGTTCAAAGACGAAGGGATGGTTGCAGAGCTTCCTCAGCTGCATCAACATGTTGCTGAGACCCCGCATACCTGTCTTACCTCCCTTACCGTCGCTAACGACCATCTTGTTATGAGTAACGAGCTGCCGGTAAAGTCTTGCCTGCAGGGCAGAAAAGCGGCATTTGATGACACGCTCTTGTTTGTCTGGCAGATCTTTCTCGACATCCTTCTTCAGACGTCGGAGAAGGAAAGGTCGTAGAACCTTGTGAAGACGGCGAATCACGAGCAACTGCTCTTCTTCAGTAAGTTCCATACGATCCTGACCACCAGTGTTGGCAAAGGGAGTGTTGAACCACTCGTCAAACGACTTCACAGATTTGAAGATGTTCGGCAACACGAAGTTCAGCAGAGCCCACAGCTCAGGGAGATTGTTCTGGAGCGGGGTACCAGTTAAGATCAAACGATATCGGCTGGTGTAGTATTGCGAAAGTGTGCTGCTCAACTTGGACTGCGTGTTTTTCATGCGATGACCCTCGTCAACAATCATGTGATTCCACTTCACCTTGGAAAGGACTGGGCGATCTTTAATGATATACTCATAAGTAGTCAACAGAACTTGGAAGTTGCCCCAGCGGATAGCCTGCTGCTGCTGTTTCCGCGCGTTCGGAGGGCCCTTATAGACAATTCTCGAAACCGAAGGTGCCCACTTTTCAAACTCCAGGTTCCAATTGGTAAGTGTGCTAAGGGGAACAATGACCAAGAATGGACCATTGTTCTTCTTCTTCTCAATGATATACGTGATCAAACTGATCGTCTGGATCGTCTTTCCAAGACCCATCTCGTCTGCCAAAATACCATTAAGGTTGTTGTTGTAGAGGGAAATCATCCACTGCAAACCCTTCAGTTGATACTCCTTCAGTTGACCGCCAACGAGAATGGTCGGCTGCTCGGTAACATCTTCTTTGATACGATGTGCCACAGCATAGTAATCAACCTTCCGTCTTCCACCACCTTCTTCTTCAACTCCTTCCTCATCTGCCTCTTCGTCTTCATCAACGTAGAACTGGTCCTCTTCACCGTAGCGTTCGGCCAAGCTACGTTGTTGCTCTCTGACTGAATCAGCAAGCTGCTTGAGGAAGTTGTCCGTCTGTGAGAGCAGGTGGGAGATACGGGAGTCCTTGGCCTGTCCCAAAAGCTTCAAGTATGTTTCCTCATCGTTGGCCTTCAAAGCCTGGAGACGTTGCTTGGCAGTTCGCTCCACCCGCTTCTGTTCTTCACGTTCCATGTGCTGGTGGTGCTGAAGCATCATGCGTCCCAGTTTTTGCATTCTAGCGCGTTGCTGGTTGGCAGCATTCTGGAGTTCTATTCCGTGATTAAGGATTGCCTGCAGCTGATCATATTGTTTCTTCTTTTCCCTGGTCTCCCGGGCGTCACGCTGCTGTTTCTCCAGTTTCTCGGTAATTCTTGCTTCCCGCAGAGACTGTTTCTTCATCCTGCGATGACTGGACCGGTTTGCGGTTATGCCCAAATTATCAAATTGAAACATTTCGTTTTGGATCTGCCTACGTAGCAGCCGTTGCTTAGGTAGCAAGCTGAGCATCTTATACTCAATCAAGGCCTTGAGCTTTAGCGAGTCATCGCCAGTTGGAGTGTCAGTCTTGGAAGTGTCCCAAACCCCCAGATTAGCAGGGAGTGCCGCCAGTTCAGCTTTCCGTGCAGTAATCCTATTATACAGAAGCGTCTCCCGATCCTCGCGTATCTGCTCCATGTCAATGCCTGGGGGCATCAACGCTGGGATACGGTGGCGATTAGCACGGACAGCATGGTCATTGTAGCTAATGCTTTTGGATAGAGAATCATAGGGTGACTGGAAATCTTCATAGCAGTCTTTCTGTTGTATGGATTCTGTGCCATCAGTGGGTTGCTCAGCTCGAGCTTGGGTTACGTTCTCCAAAACATTCTCCGCAGCGGTAACGTTGTCAGCCACGGTGGGAGTTGGCTGTTTCTTCGACGGAAACAGTTGCTGCTGGACACGTGGTGGAATTGGAAGATTCTTGGACAGTAACTTAAATGCCAGGATCTGGTTCCTCAGCGTAGAAAGTTGCTCCGGCGAGAAACTGCCACCGGGGATGGGAGTAGCCTTCTGGCCTGTGGGCTGCGATTGCACACCCGAGCCACCATCCGGAGTGGCGGCAGTAGGGGAAGAGACCGAACCGTTTCGACCTACGCAGCCAGTGTAAGTACGCCCCCACTGTGTATGCATAGGTAGAAAAGAGGCTTTACCATGGACACCATTAGCAGTATTGTCTGCACCAGTACCGTTCAACTGCTGTTGACGTTGTTGAGCCTGTAGTTGCTGTTGCGCGATCTGCCTCTGTTTTTGGTACATCTGCTGTCGTTGGACAGCGCTAAGAAGGTTATGGGCTTTGAGGTACTCCGGATCGTCATGGCGGACGCCTTGTTCTTGCATCTGTCGATATTTCTGTCATTGATGTTAGTGTAAAAAATTGAAATCTCAAAAGAGCGCGTAAGCGTATGGATAGTAATTGGATGGAGCGCCGCATGGACGGGGTGAAAAGAAAGACGCGACAGAGGAGTATTACCTGAAGCACCTCTTGGACATGTTGCTGAGTCAAGTTAGGCGGCAAACTCATATTACCGGTCGCCATATTGGCGCTTGGCTAGATAGAAGTTATGTGCTATATCGTTAGGGCGCGTGTATCTCCTCTATTCATAACCGGCGGGAATGAACAACCCGTTTTGATAGAACTGCGACAGGATCAGATCTGCGAAGAGCGGAGGTGGTCGGGGAAATAAAAAAAAATAAAAAATAAAAAAACGTAGAAGGAGCGAGACACAAGATGCGAGGGGCAGTTCAGGTGTAAATGCGCGTGAAGATACGGGACATAGGCTGGTGTGGAGTGGCGATGGACTGGTTCTGTCGATGGATGCGACAGGTATCAGCAGTACGCCCGATCCTAGTCGAGATGGATCTCGATGGGGGTCGGACTAGCGCGGTAGGAGGGCGGTAGGCGACAAAGAGGAATGGGCAGGAAAGGGGGACCCAGCGCGCTGGTTGGCAGGGTGTAAAAGACCCCGAGTAGAGGGGTTGTGTTGGGAGGGAGCGCGTTGGGAACACAGAGATGATGAAATGGCGATGGAGATGCCGATGCGTGGACGGGGAGAGCAGGCTGTGCTGAAGGTGCCTGTACACTGTAAGTAACAGGACAAAAGGCGGGCGGCGCGGCGTTGCAAGAAGATTTCGCGCATCACGTGATATGTGACTAATTGTTGTTATAGGTCACGTGTATTCTGCCATATTAGACCGCCCTCGCTTGGCCTGAACACACTAAAATAGCTAGACCAACCTAGATAGAATACAAGCAAGTTGATCCAACAATTATGTTGGGTCACGTGTGATTCTGCCGCATAGGTCCGCCCTCGCTGACCCTTTCCACCACGTCGGCCTATTTAGCTAGTTACCAACCAATAACTAGTTAACGTAATCCACGGGCGAGTCGCGAATACGGGCGAGTCGCGGATTTTCCGCCATCACCATTACTATTTGAAGCTATTCAACCACAGCACCATTAAATTAGATTAACTAAATACATCAAAAGGCAGCTATTTACTAGGACAATTTCGAATTGTATGTCCTACTATCCCACACCCACTGCAGCGTTGTGGAGCTCATCAATGAGGCATCAGAGTAGATTCCTCAGATTGCCTATTAAGCTGCATATGAAGCTGCTGAACGCGATTTTCACCTTCCTGTACACGAAGAAGGCGGTCATTACCTATTTCACCACGCTTTCTTGCCTTTCTTTGATGTTGTCACCTATTTTCAGTGAGTACAGCCCTAATTTCTTGCTCTAAAAGCAGCTTGGTTTGCATTGCCATTTGCGCAGCTTTCTCAAGATGTTGAATATGTGCAATAGGACTGCTAGAAAGCTGCCTTTTTCTATTAAGACTGTTCTGTAGGCTTTGAACTTTCCAACTTAGTTGGTGAGTATTCTGCAGTCTGAAAAGCAGAAGAAATTGAGCCTTTAACTAGTGATGGTGCAGGTGTAGGCGTATGCAGTCAGAAGGTAAGTTTTGAAAGAATATGCTCTGGATTGAACAGCTTAAGCCCTGCCCCTTTAAAACTGCTGCAGATCTTCTCTGAAGTAAATATTTTAGCATGTGCATTAGGGTAAAGTGACAGAAAGTCTTCTTTATCAATATGATTGTTGCTGACTTTCATACGATTTTCAAGAAGCTTCCCGTACGCCTCTTTAAGCGGACCAAAAATACCCACATCAAGCAGTTGAAGAAGATGTGAAGTATGAGGAGGCATGTAGAGACATATAATTGCATTCTGCCTGCAGAAATCATTGAATCCAACAGTTAAATGACTGCTGTGGCTGTCAAAAATAAGCAGATGCTTTGCACTAGTCATATAGCATCTTGAAAGCAGTTCGAAAATGTTTTTTAGCCAGAGAAGGCCTATTTCATCAGTTGTCCAGCCATTCTGACTAGTAGAAATCCACCAGTCATGAGGAAGCTTAGGTTCCTGGAACCAGGCAGCCTGTTGAAAGCTTGCTTTCAATATAATGACTGGCGGTAGATGTATGCCTCTTGACCTGATTGTCTCGATAATTGTAACCCATTCGTGATTACCCTGAATGACTTTACGCGGTTGCTTGCTGCGCTCAACTGCAGTAATCACTTTTGAATTAGAACAGAGGCCCATTGCAAAGCCAGTCTCATTGAAATTCCAGATATCATCCTCATGTATGCCATGTTCCTGAATAGTAGCTTGTACAGTATCGAACCACAGTTTTATAACTCTTGGATCTTCCTGTTTTGCGTGTTGGTATGTTATTCATCTTGTATATCGCGTACGTATCTCAGGACAGCATTTAATAAAGGAATAGGCCCAGTTAACTCCTAAAGTTGCAGTTGCATCTTGTAGTTGTTCACAAAGTAAAATCTGCACCATTTCGTGAAGAAATTCAGGCTGGATAGGAAAACCTTGTTCATCAGCATTAAGAAGCTTCTGTATTGGAGCTTTCTCTTCAGAAATACTTAATTTATGGTTGTTGGCGCGTGTTTCTGATCGTGATTTTTTCCCATGAAGCTGATCGCGTAGAGTACTTTCAGGGACTGAAAAGATGTTCGCAGCGCGTAATACTGATTTAATTTGACCTTTTTGATAGGCTAGAATAGCTATTTGAACTCGCGCTTCTTTAGAAGGAGGCATATTAGATTGTGGTGATGGATTTTTGACGCGTTTGGATGAAGAAGATGGAGATCTGGTGAGAATCCGCAACTCGCCCGTATTCGCGACTCGCCCGTGGATTACGTTAGTTAGTTAACTAACGTAATCAACCACCGAGCTGCGAATTTCCTGCGTTCCCCGCGCCAGTTTCATTCTACCATTTTCAACGTGTCATTTTTTCACCTTCTTCATATAAAATGCCTCCTTCTCAAGAAGCCTGCATGCAGATGGTTATTTCTGCATCTAATTCAAAAAAAATAAATCAAAATTGAAAGTTGCCAGGACTTTTGATGTGCCTGAATCTAGCCTTTGCCTAAGACTTGCTGGAGGTACACCATGTACAGAAATTTGTGCAAATGGTCATAGACTATCCAGTATTGAAGAGGAAGCACTTGTCAAACATTTATTAGATGTAGATAAAAGAGGTTTCTCAATCAAACCACAATTTCTGCATGGAATAGCACAGATTCTACTTTGCAAGCATACACAAGATTTAACTGCTACTCTTAATGTCAATTAGGCATATAAATTCATCAAATGCTGTCACGGAACTCAACTAGACGATGAATAGGATGCTATTCAGCTATCTAGGCAGCTATCGACGAGAACTTCAAGCATGGAGAGGAAGGAAAAAAGGAAGAGATCTACGTGAAGCTGGACGACGTACTCCTATCCACGCGCCACGCTAATCCAAGTAAGGAAGCTCACGTGCTCGTCCTGGTCTACATGGCAAGGGCCCTGACAACTAACCGACCCCTACGGTAACCTTCGGGGTCGCGCGTATTGCGCGACCCTGACAACCACCCGAGCACCCCAGCCACCCGAGCACCAATTTTAGACCCCCCCCCTTCTAGCTTCAATATCTCAACGAATTCTATAGTATTTAACTTCAAAATATATTTAAACTAAAGCTCTACTCTTCAGCTTGGGCCCTAGCATGTCGTTGCCTTCGTATAATAATTCCTCGTCGAATGCATACATCCAGCAGCTCTGGTAGGCAACGCTTATACTTAGTCCTCCACCTCTTTATTTCAGCCTGCTCATTAATATTCGCAGTATTTCGATTTATAGCTTCAAGCTCTGAGCTTGATACTATGCCTCCCTTGCGAATCCTGCGCCTAGAGGCCTGTGATCAAGCTGCGCGGTCCCTAGCAGCTTTAATATACCGGTCAAGCTCAGCTTCGATAGCAGCTGAATATGATGCTAGCATACTACCACCATGAATAAGCAGCTCTAGGCCCTCATTAAATTGATCCTTGTTGATATCATGAATCTCCCATATCCTATCACCAATCTCCCTAAATCATTCAGCTTTTTTTTGGCGTACTGCCCCAGGAATCAACATCATTGGTATTGGTGGATGAAGAGGATGGATGATGTGGTTGAGGCATTTGATTGAGTACAATTGATGGATTGAATGGTATGATGCCAGTCTTTTGGAATCCATGCCGAATAGTACGCTTTTTGAATGTCTTCTTGCGAATTGCCCCTAAGGCATGAAGGAATTCAACCTTAGTAAATTTACTGTATTCTGAGTAGGTTGCATCTGCAACTGCTTCTGAATGCCAGTGCTTATATGCATGAAAAACACCAACATCCAATGGCTGCAAGAAATGACTTGTATATGGAGGTAAGAAGAAGGTGATGATATTGGTCTTCTCACAGAATTCAACAAATTCATGTGTTAGATGGGAGCCGTATCCATCACATATAAGAAGGGTATATTGACCCTTCCTATATCTTTTAGTATGCCGATAGAATGACTGAATCCATTGGAAGGCAATTGTATCAGTCATATAGCCATTTTCTGATACTCCAATTGAATAGTCTTGTTGAATATCAGCAGCTTCAAACCAATTTGTAAGTATACAGCTACCACTCATGAGAATAAGTGGTGGGCAGGTCCAGCCATCTGCATTGACTGCTTCAACCACAGTAACATATTCACAGTTTGAATTCATCCCAATATGAGGCTTATTAATATTGAAGTCCCTGGTAATAATCCATTGATCACAACCAACACTGATATTGAAGCCAGTCTCATCAAAATTGTAGATATCCTCCTTTAATATCCCATGGTTCTGGATGGTCTGATGGAGCTTCTGAAACCACTCCTGAATAACCTCATGATCCTCTGCACGCTTGTGGTCAAGCTCTATAGCTCTAGAGCGACGTCTTTTATATTCAGGATGCCTTCCTAGCCATCAGTTTAACCATTTCTCGCTGACAGTAGGTGGAGGGGTGTCTAGGCTGGTATGGGTTGATCTCAGAATAGAATTGGCACTTGATTGGATCATTTGTGCAAGTGGCTTTATATTTAATTGCTCTAGAGTATCAACATAGTGACACAGAGCCTTTTCTTGCTCTTCTGATAATCTGGTGTTGGTTGGTGGTCGTTCACATAGATTGGACCGTCCCTTCCACCTTGCGGAGAGGGTTTGCCGTTTAACTCCATATTCACGTGCAGTTTTGGCGATATTTGGGGGATTTTGTGTGCTTAACGCGTCAATAGCTTTGAGCATTCGATCTTCATAATTTTTATTGAATTTGGGCATGGTGGTGGTGGTTGAATTATATGATAAAGTTGATGGGTTGGAATTCTACGAAGTTCTAAAATCGGTGCTCGGGTGGCTGGGGTGCTCGGGTGGTTGTCAGGGTCGCGCAATACGCGCGACCCCGAAGGTTACCGTAGGGGTCGGTTAGGTGGTGGTGTAGGGGTCTTTAGTCAGATGTCTAACTTGCTAAACACCTTATCTGGATCAAATGGAACTAATCCAGCACCTGCAAAGCTATTTCAAATAGTTTCTGCTTGAAAAGCACATTTGTGAGCATGTGGAAAGGCCTCTAAGAAATCAAGCTTATCAATATGATTGATTCCTAAGTGTATTTTCTGCTCCACTGTGCCGGGGGCACTGCGAAACCCCGGATCTCCCATATTTCCTATCTTGGAACACCGTAGAACCGCCGACTCCGACATACTAATGTATGGTGGAGCCCACGGCCGGAGTACTTAATGGAGGGTTCCCTCCCAGATAGTTACAACAAATAGAGCATTCTTTTGGTTTCTAGGTTGCTTCACTAGTATCGTTATCGTCGTACAGAGCGGAGCGAGGCTCCTTCGTCGTTGTGTTTTCGTTTATCGTTATATCGTTTTGCTAGATTGTTCAGTGTGTCCATTCCTGAGATCCCTCGATCACAACCCGGTTCCTGTCGCAGGGAACAACGCACGTACGCCCCCCTTTACACCACCAAGGTCCTATATACTTTTTTTAAAGGCGCAAAACAGCCCACATCCAAAGGTTGAAGCTTGTGGGAAGAATGAGCAGGCATACAGATAGGAATAATATTATTCTCACTGCATATCTGATCAAATTGAGGTGTAAGATGGCTGCTATGGCCATCTATGACTAGAAGATAGTATTTCCCAGTCATACAACTAGAAGTAGCAGGAATGAAGAGATTTTTAAGCTAGCAAAGGCCTATCTCATCAAAGGTCCATTTATTAGGACTAACTTCAATTCTGCTATCATGTGGGAGCTTGAAATCTTGATACCAACCCTCTATATGGACCTTCCCCTTGAAGATAATGCATGGAGGAAGTGCCTAGCTAGTAGAGTTGATACACTCAATTGAAGTAACCCATTCCTGATTGCCTAGCTGTACAAGAGAGGCTTTTTTATAATAATTAGCTCTAGTAACTACTCAAGCAGTAGCTACTAGGCCTATAGCAAAGCCAGTCTCATCAAAATTGTAGATATCCTCTTGTATAATCCTATGTTGTATTATAGTGATTTGTACACAATCAAACCACTTCTTAATAATTTTAGGATCTTTATATTTTGCTTGTCAATAATCATAGTATTGAGAATAGCATATTTTCATTTTATCACATCATTTAATGAAGCTAGAGACCCAATTCTTTCTAATTGATTAGATAAGTGTTGTACCACGCTCTGCAAGAAGAATATTGGCCATTTCTTGTATTTGGGATAGTTAGGGGCCTGCTCCACGTTGATCTAGTGATAGAATCCATCATACAAAGGATTCTTCTTCATTTTAAGTCAATTTATAGCTATTGGCGCGTGTTTCTGCACATGAAGTGATTCCATTGTCAGGGCCCTTGCCATGTAGACCAGGACGAGCACGTGAGCTTCCTTACTTGGATTAGCGTGGCGCGTGGATAGGAGTACGTCGTCCAGCTTCACGTAGACCTCTTCCTTTTTCCTTCCTCTTCATGCTTGAAGTTCTCGTCGATAGCTGCCTAGATAGTCGAATAGCATCCTATTCATCGTCTAGTTGAGCTCCGTGACATAACTTCAAGCATCTAACTTATCCTTGTGTCGCCTGGGCTGGAGTCTGATTTTCGCCAACCACTGACTCGCCCAGAGTTGAACTGACAGAGTCGACGAATTCGAACGAAACGAATCCCTGAACCTAAGAATAGAACGACTGATCGAATTGCCAAATGGCAAGACCCTCTGATACAGCTGGCACTGAACCAGCTGGAATAACCCCAAGTCTGAATACGGAAGAACTGAATCGACGTGACTCCATTGTGTTTAGCAACCATGGGGAACTTGACTACATCAGCTTGAATGAATTTCGCAGACGAATGATTGCTGATCCAGAAGCCTTATTCGAAGACATTCGGTCTAGATACTGGGATTATGAAGAAACAATTGAAGATCAGAAGGTCCAGATTGCAGAGGCCACTGTAAAGAAGCAGGAGGTTGCTGCTGATCTGATCTTGTCACAGCAGGAAGTTCAGTGTCTACAGAAGGAGTTGAATCAAGCTATAGCGGAATGAGATGTTTATGCCCGACAGATTGCCAGAACCGTTGCTGATGGAAACACGGGCTCCCAGGTTGGACTGAGTTCCACCACCCGCAAGTCAGCTAAGCTCCCTGATCCCCCCATGCTCACTGACGGCAAGGAACCCTATTTTGAAGATTGGCTTCTGCTGATGAACCAGAAGCTTTCTGCAAATGGCGACCACTATGACACCCCAGAACTTCGAATCGCGTATGTAGCAGGCCGCTGTGAAGGCAAGGCGCGGAAGCATATCATGCCCCGAATGAGAGAAGGAGCTCCTAGCCCCTATACAGATGCAAAAGACATTCTCAACCACCTGAAGACAATCTATGAGGACCCCAACCGGATTACAACAGCCAAGAATCAGTTCCGCCAGCTGTATATGAAGAATGTCGATAAGTTCCATGACTTCCTTTCTGAATTCCTTTACCTTGCAGCTGAAGCGGAAGTCCCTGAGGACAGCTGGAAAGATGAATTGTACCATCGGATCACAACAGAGCTGCAGAAGCTGACCATGACTGAGAAGCTCAAAGGAGGATCATTCCAGGAGTTTTCAAACCTCTGCTCCCAGATTGCAGGTCACCTGGAAGCTATCAACCATCGAGCCCAAAGGAGCCGTACTTTCGCCCCTACCAAGACCAGTCAGACCACCCAAGTCAAGAAGGAAACCACCCCTGGTACTCCACAATCTAATGGCGCCCCCATGACTGAAGACCTGCGAGAACGCTTAATGAAGGAAGGACGGTGCTTTAGGTGCCATGAGCAGGGACACCGATCCCAAGACTGCCCAGAGAAGCGATCCCAATCAGGATTGAAGTTCCCTGAGAGGAAGAAGGACGACAGCAACCAGTCGGAAAATGTCTGACCCAGGACAAAGTCTCCTCCCTGGGTCATATTGATGGCAGCTTAGAAGAAGTGGATTTGGGTAGGTTACTTGGGGGGCAAAGTTTTACTGTACCTAGCCAGGTAGCACACAATGGAATCAGCATACCCTTATCTGCCTTAGCTGACACAGGAGCAAATGGTTACCTATTCCTTAACACACATCGCGCCACTGAAATTGCTGAGTTTTTAAGGATCCCTATCCAGCAACTGGACCAACCGAGCAGGACAAAAGGCTTTGATGGACAACCAGGCCCCCCTATTACCCATGTGGTTGTGCTACACTTGTGGATTGGTGGCCGAAGATTCCTCAATCAGCCCTTTCTCATTCTGGACCTTGGCCAGCACGACATGATTGTGGGGAGGAAATGGTTCATGGATCAGGACGTCTGGCTGGATGTGAAGAATCACCGTTTGATTTGGCCTAATCAGAGGCCCCTAACTGCAAGGATCCAGGCCAAACAAAACACCATTATCCCCAAACAAATTCTTAAGCGCCCAATACCAACACCTGAGCATCAGAACCACATGGAATACTGGGATAAACTGTGGAGAAGGGACTGTTACCAACAACCAGGAACCACAGAACAGGATCATCATGCAAGCAATGGAAAAAGGATGCAGGCACTAGCTCCGGAGAATCCCAACCAGGGCTACCTAACTGAGACTGCGACTCTCCAGACAGATGCCCAGGAAGAGGTCCGCCAGCCTGCATCACACAATAAGAAGCTAGTTGATATTGCTATCATAGGAGCTGTACCCTTCCACCGGCACCTCAGCAAAGAGGGAACTGAGGCATGTATTACAAGCTTGCTGGAAATTGATTGAATAATAGAGGAAAAACGTGCTATGGAACGCGAAGCTGAGGAGATAGCAGATCAGGAACTTGTCAAACAGAAACTGCCAAAATGCTATCAGGGATATGAAGATGTCTTCTCAAAGGCCGCATCAGACAGGCTGCCACCCCACCGGACCAATGACTACAAGATTGTACTGGAGGAAGGAAAAACACCAGAAGAAGTAGGCTACAGCCCTCTGTACAAGCAATCAGCAGAGGAGCTGGAAGCAGCCCGGAGTTATATTGTTGACAACCTCTCAAAAGGGTTTATCGGACCCAGCACAGCACCATATGCTTCGCCTATTTTGATGGCCCAGAAGCCAGGGGGTGGATTACGATTCTGCGTTGACTACCGGAAGTTGAATTCAATCACTAAGAAGGACCGGTACCCTATCCCCCTAGTGGATGAGCTGATGGAACGACTATCCGGTGCTAAGATATTTACGAAACTCGATATCCGACAGGGATTCCATAGGATTCGCATGAGTCCAGAATCAGAAGACCTTACCACCTTCCGAACCCGATATGGAACCTTTAAATATCATGTTCTGCCTTTTGGACTGACTAACGGTCCTGCCGCATTCCAGAGATTTATCAATGAGATTCTCATGGACTACCTAGATCATTTTGTTACGGGATATGTGGATGACCTCTTGATCTACAGCCAGAATAAGGAGGAACACATAGAGCATGTAAAGAAGGTCCTAGAACGCCTTCGCAGTGCTGGGTTACAGGCGAGCATCAAGAAGTGTGAATTCCATGTTACGCATACCAAGTATCTTGGTTTTATCCTGACTACAGAAGGCATGGAGGTTGACCCAGAGAAAACAGCAGTGATCCAGGGTTGGAAGACCCCCAGCACAGTACGGGGGGTCCAGTCATTTCTAGGATTCTGCAATTTCTACAGGAAATTCATAAAAGACTACAGCCGGATATCTAAACCCCTTCACAGGCTCACCAAAAGGAATGTCCCCTTTGATTGGGATGAGAATTGTGAAAATGCCTTCAAGGATCTAAAAGAACGGCTTTCCAACGCCCCTATTCTGCGCCATTACCATCCAGACCTTGAAACTAAATTAGAGACAGACGCCTCAGATGGCGTAGTGGCAGGAGTCCTATCACAGAAGCATGATAACCAGTGGCACCCAGTGGCATATTACTCCAAGAGCATGTCAGCCGCTGAAAAGAACTATGAGATCCATGATAAGGAACTACTAGCAATCATACGAGCTCTGCAAGAATGGCGAGCAGAATTGGAAGGACTCCAGCTACGAAAACGGTTTAGCATCTTCACTGACCATAAGGCTCTTGAATACTTTATGTCAACAAAGAAGCTGAATGCCAGACAGGCCCGTTGGGCTGAGTTCCTGTCACGATTTTATTTCTTAATTCGATACTGCCCTGGGAAACAGAACACACTTGCTGATGCTCTCAGTCGCCCCCAAAGGAGTCCAGATACTCCAGATTGCAACCATCGATTCCAGATCCTCTTGAAGCCGGACTCCCTAGAACCCCAGGTTCACAGAGAGGTCAGCCTATCCCCCATCAATCCTCAGATTCACATTGTCGATCGGATCCTCCAAATGAACCGAGAGTCCCCCGAGCTAGAAGAATACCGAACAAAGGCAAAAACTGACCAAGATGGACCATGGGAGTTGAGGGATGGCCTGCTGCTCTGGAACAATCGCCTGATGGTCCCAGGCAATGACCCAACCCTGCGCACACACCTTTTGGATGAGGTTCATGGGCAAATATCCACAGCGCATCCTGGGCGAATGAAGACTCAGCAGCTAGTACAGGCTCGGTACTACTGGCCGGGCTGGCGTCGAGACGTTGAACGATATGTACGGAACTGTGCCAAATGCCGAAGAGCTGAGAATCCCCGGGACAGGAAGCCTGGATTACTGCAGCCATTACCAGTGCCTGATCGCCCTTGGCAGCATATCTCCATGGACTTCCGCTCCTTCCCTAAGGATAGGAATGGATTCGATGCGGCTCTAGTGTTTGTGGACCGGCTCAGCAAACGCCCTATCAGCGTCCCCTGTCATAAAGGAACCACTGCAGAGCAGATGGCGCGACTATTCATTGAGCACGTGTATCGCCAACGAGGGCCCCCTGACAGCGTTGTATCTGATTGGGGCCCCCAGTTTGTTTCCACCTTCTGGAAGGCATTCTGCCAAATCCTAGGAATCAAACTGAAACTCTCCACCCCTCACCATGCAGAGACGGATGGGCAAACAGAAATAGTTAACCAACATATCACAATGCGCCTGCGACCCTTTATCAATCACCATCAGGACAACTGGTCTGAACTCCTGCCCCTGATTGACTTCGCTGCTGCAACCCTTCCCTCTGAAACCACCTCAGCCTCCCCCTTCCTTATTGATTGCGGATATGAACCCCGAACCTCATTTGACTGGACCAGCCTCACAACCCCCATCCCGCAAAATGAGAGGGTTAGCAGGGAACGAGCCAAGAGGATGGCAGAGCAGATGCAGAAAATATGGCTAGCAGCAAAGGAAAATGCTATGGCTGTCCAAAAACACCAGAAGATCCAGGCAGATCGTCACCGCCGGGAAGTGGACTTTGGAGTTGGGGATTCAGTTTGGCTGTCCCTGAAGGCATATAGAACAAGCCGACCTAGCAAGAAGCTGGATAGCCAGATGGCAGGACCCTTCCGAATTCTAGAAAGGGTGGGTCACTCCTACCGATTAGAGCTTCCCAAATCCATGAAGATCCACCCGATATTCTCGCCTGATAAGCTGCGTCGAGCTGCGGATGATCCTCTCCCAGGACAACGGATTGAGCCCCCAGAGCCTGTAATTATCAATGGAGAGCGAGAATGGGAAGTTGAAAAGATACTGGCATCACGGCTCAACAAACAACAGCTCCAATATCGGGTCAAATGGGTGGGCTACGACGAAGACAACACATGGTATCCTGCCCGAAATTTCAAGGGATCCCCCCATCGATTGCGAGACTATCATACAGCGTATCCTTCCCACCCTGGACCACCACGGCGTTTGAACGAATGGCTGAAGGCCTGGGAGAACGATAACGACCTACCAGATCACAGAGATGACAACTTACCAGCTTGAGGGCTGGGGACAGCCCTCTTAAAGAGGGGGGTAATGTCAGGGCCCTTGCCATGTAGACCAGGACGAGCACGTGAGCTTCCTTACTTGGATTAGCGTGGCGCGTGGATAGGAGTACGTCGTCCAGCTTCACGTAGACCTCTTCCTTTTTCCTTCCTCTTCATGCTTGAAGTTCTCGTCGATAGCTGCCTAGATAGTCGAATAGCATCCTATTCATCGTCTAGTTGAGCTCCGTGACATCCATTAAGTCATTGCCGGAGGGTTGTACGAGGGATATTATAAACACATGCCACTTCGCGAATATTGCAAATTTCCTGCTTTTCTAAAGCAGAAATAGCAAGTAAGATCTTTCCTCTTTCTCAGCTGAATTTCTTGAATTTTGACGCACTTTTGGGGGCATGGTTGGTGGTTGAATTAGTTGAAGCAGTAAAACGCGTTGTCAGGGCCCTTGCCATGTAGACCAGGACGAGCACGTGAGCTTCCTTACTTGGATTAGCGTGGCGCGTGGATAGGAGTACGTCGTCCAGCTTCACGTAGATCTCTTCCTTTTTTCCTTCCTCTCCATGCTTGAAGTTCTCGTCGATAGCTGCCTAGATAGCTGAATAGCATCCTATTCATCGTCTAGTTGAGTTCCGTGACACTATATATTACTAGGCAGCTGGAGAAGCAGGCATCAGCTGCAAAGAAACTGCTTAGGGAATGTGCTCATAACCCTTTACCTTTGCTAGAATTGTGATTAGACAAGATTATTAAAGGTCATGAATTGACACTTAATGAGCTTGTTCTTGCACGTGAAGAAATACGCAAATTTCGCGCTACTAATGAATGGAAAGGTCAAAAGCAAAAGTGCTCTACTAGGCAGCTAGCTATTCCAGAGGGCTCAGCGATTCAGGAGGGTTTAGAGCGATTTCAGCATGAGAATGAGGTTGTTGAAGGTCAAGATATGCTTCCTAGAGATCCAGCACTTTCTGCAGTTGGACCATGCGTACAAGCTCCACCACAGTGTTTTAATTGTCATATTCGGGGACATACTAGAGTTAGATGTCCCAATCCCCTTAGCAATTAGTTTTTGTATAAAAATGCAATTGTTTGGCTGGTAGAGGCTCTAGTATTTAGCCCGCGGGCAGGAATTAGCAGGAGGTGGCCCGCTCGACTGGGAAATACGTTAACTACCTGGGCTGAGCTCAGCACTGCTGTGCCGCGTCTTGACCATCCAGAGCAGATGAAACAACAGTCCTTGTTCAATCTCTCCACTTACATCTGAGATGTGCGTAATATCTTCCCGCTAGCCGGCTCCGGGCTGTGGAGTAACAACAAGAACTACTTCGTGGATATTTGCAAGGCATCGTGGGGTGATGTTACCTCTGGTTTAGAGATTCAGTGAAGATCTTCGAGGGATCCTTGGGGATTACCTACCTAGCCGATGAGCAAACTGTTAAAGGTGTATAACTATAAAGAGAGTCTTCAATCCCGAAAACTGCTTGAACCTGCTTGGTTCTACTCACGTACCTCAGCATATACTATGCAAATACAAATCTATACAAAGCTGGCAGAGAAAGGCAATGAGAACATGACAATATCCAGGAAACAGTAGGCCAATCCAGAATGTAATAATTCATACACAAGACAGCTGCCATTCTGTACATAGCAGTCCCCTACACATTACTGGTACTGTTGGAAAATCTCTTCATGGGAGGTGGCGGCGGTGGAGGTTTCTTCGCGCGCAAGGGCGGAGGCGGGGGAGGGGCCTTCTTGCTCGCTACTGTACTGTTTAAATTTGTCGTACTGGAGGACGGTGACACTGGACTATGCGACGTGGCCTGTGAGCTCACGCTCCCTCTGTATGGGAGATCTGTGGTTGAGCTATTGAACGGATCACCCTCATCGGAGACATCTGCATAGGAGCCGGACCGGGAGACGCTTGGACGAGGTCCATAGCTCACGCTACCTGCCCGAGGTAACCGCTGGAGGCTGGGGGACTGCGATTGCTCCTGTCGCAATTGCATAGGTCCCTCGAAGGTCGATGTCCGGTTAAGAATGGGCCGTTGGGAGCTAAGCCCGGCCTGGAAGCCCTCTCGCACGGGCAATTCTACTAAGGGTGACGAGCGGGCAGTTGACCGCGACTCTCTTGCGAGTGGTTCTTCGTGCAAAGGTTCATAGCGCTCGTAGAAGGAGTGAGCTGTGTTAGCGCGCGGACGTCCAGTGCGACGGCCGCTTGGTGTCTGGGTTCTGGACGGCCTTTCATCCATTACGTTAGCATAATGGAGACCACAAGTATTTCGTGGTGGTACTCACGAAGCCACAGGCCAATCGCTTTTGAGCTGTAGAAGCACCTCTCGACATTTATCATAGTAAGCCAGCTGTGCATCGAGGAACGATGCCAGATCCACCACAGCCTCCTCGTCCGACTCCTTTATATCTTCCATCCGTCGGTAAACATCATCGCTCGACTCTTCATACTTGACTCTTTGTACCCGTAATTCCTCCTCAATACGGTAGTCCTCTTTTTTTGCCTTCTGGACCTTGGAAAGGGAGGTATCGTAAGCTAAACGTCGAGTATCAAGTTTCTTCCGAGCCGACTATGAAGAATGTTAGACAAATTCCTTACTCTGAGTAAGAATACAGTGTACGAACCTGGTATTCCTTCAACTGGGTCAAGTTTCTCTCCTGCGATTCGAGCCAGGTCGCGGATGCCTGCGCGGCGTAACTCTCCTGAATACGGGCCAGACGCTCCTCCGCTCGTCCAAACACTAGCAGAAATGAGACACAATCCCGTGATGATGACGAGCAGTCTAAGTGATGATTGACCACTCACTTATCAAGCATTGCCCGTATTTAGAATTCCCATCGAAACCCTCTCCATAGCTGATCAGGCTACCACCCAAATGGCCAACGGGTAAAATCCTCTCCTTATCCTCCCCCTCGCTCTTCTTGGAAATGGATTTAATATAGGCTGTTGCAGACTTGTGAACGCGATCCAAGCCTGCGGAACCTCGAGCATTAGCGCCCGGAGTCTAGTGCAGGAACCTTTTCGTACCGCAGGATCGCCTACCTTCATGCCTAGTCGTCATCTCCGTCTCTCGGGCCTTGAAGTCATCAGAGACATTGGTCTTGACTTCTCCGCCCATTCTCTCGCCAGCCCATTGTTTGAAACGATCAAATTTCCTGTTGACGTGCATTTTTGGGCGGTGGTTGGGAGCGGCCAGTGCAGCAATGACGAGGGAGGGGGGAAAGCTATGAAAAGAAGAAAGCTGCTGCGACGAAAAGAAAAAAGGAAAAAGGAAAGAAAGAGCTGAGGTAAGGGGCAAAAATAGAAAAAAGTGGTATTATTTATTCGACAAGAGCTATTCTTGGAGGTACTCGAGCACAGCTAGACGCCAGGCAGCAAGAGAAACAAGAGAAAGAATGCCCCAGTCAACATCCAGATTCCAGACGCTTCCGGTGTATATCTAAGTGGATAAGCAACAGGCACAGTCGAACAGCAGAGGAAGGGGACCTGACAGGAGGGCCGGTTGGGATCAATCCACTATTTAATACAGCAGTGGCAATGAACGGCCACAATTACAGCGGACGGACATCCCAACCTGCAGCGATCAGCGGAATAAGGTGCTTGGAGAGATCATCGTAATCTGGTCTATCAGCATGGCGTTTCACCTGCGCTAAGACAGTTGTTTTCTATTATTAAATCGTCTGGAGACCGTCGGGGTGCTCTTCCATCCATGTGAATATCCACGACATGGAACACGCCACAGGAGTAGTCGTCCAGAACCGGTTCTTGGCAGCAACGGTGGAGGAACCAGCGGGAGTTCTCAGACTCTTGGAGAAGCCATGATATGATGCATGATTGATATGATCCCTGATGATACCGTCGGATGCGAAGATAAGATTGATTCCATCTCACCGAGGCATTACATTCAACAGCGTGCTCATGCCCAGGTTGCCCAAAGAGCCTTCCGGTGTACACCGTAGGTAGAAGAAACTCATGCTCAACTCAATTGCTTGGCTCAATTGGTGCCAGTGGCGAGCTTCCAGAGTCACTCAACCAGAGCAGTTAAACAGGGTTATTATAATAGGCCGAGCATGATTCAAGACCTGGCTATAAAAAGGAGAACACGCGTCAGTGGAGAAAGGGACTGCTCCAGCCATTTTGCAGCAGAACTCTAAATAACGTGTGTGAAGTCCTCCATATCTCCCTGCATGTATCATCTACGCTGTAGATGTCTGATCATTGATGGGGCACTGCACTCTCCAGAGATAGAGTTGCCAATAATGCCTATTCATCTACGATCGAAGACTCTATCTAAACATCCCCACGATTGGACTCTGTTCCAGTAATGGATGTGCCCTGAAAACTGCTTCTGGATACTATTCAACGCCTCCTTGCGTGGATTATATATATTCGCTTACAGTGCGCTTAGTACCCATATTAATAACCAATATCCTAATGTTCTCATGTCTCTTGTTACCTACGGAGGTTGCCAATTGCTAGATATCAGACCGCATTCTTCAAGGCTGTCGAATATCCTGGCATCTCAATTGCTACAGGACAGGGAAACGCAGGAGGCTATAAGGCGATGTCTTTGCATTCCTTGCCCATCGTGTATGCAGGGACAGATGCTTTTCTTGCCTCCTTGCTGGTATCAATAAAAACCGTTGTTTCCCACAACCTTAATTCGCTAAGGGCATGTGGATGCTCTACCCGCAGTCGCCTAAATACACATGTCTCATAGCAAAAGAGAATTTTAAACCCGTCACAAGAAAAACTCCGCTGAATACCACATTTACTCCTTCGTCTTCTGGGTACCACGCAGCAAACCGGTTCTGCGGGCAGCAATGAGACCGGCTTTTTGACCACGGGCGGCGTAGCGGGACATAGTTGAGGCCTTACCAATGTGCTGGTGGTTACCACCACCGTGAGGCTGTTGGGAAGAATGATGTCAGAAAACTCCTCTACCAGAACAAATAGAAACCGGAGGTGTCAAAAATAAAACTTACGTGATCCACGGGGTTCATGGCAACACCACGAGTCTTGGGCCAAGAGTTGCGCTTGACAGCGAACTTATGCTTGGCACGAGAGGCCTCTGTAAAACAGCATTAGCAAAAATTCTTTAATCCTTCATCGCTAGGAAATCCCAATCTGTAGGTAAAACATACTCAGCAGGGGCTTGTCGGTACGTCCACCACCGGCGACGATGCCAACCATACCACGAGAGCTGCCCAGAACAACCTTCTTGGCACCACTGGGGAGCTTGATTCTGGTCTTGCCCTCCTCGGGGTGCTGACCGATGACGGTAACGTAGTTACCGGAGGTACGGCCAAGAGCACCACGGTCACCAGACTTCTCTTCGACGTTGGTAACGACGGTACCCTCAGGAACAGAGGACAGGGGGAGGATGTTGCCAATGGTCAGGGCGGCGTTCTTTCCGGCATAGATAAATTGACCAGTGTACATGCCCTCGTTGGCAATGAAGGTCTCGGTGATCTTCTTGAACTTGTAAGGGTGACGGAACTGGACCTTGGCGAGAGGAGCACCACGGCCAGGGTCGTGGATGATCTGCTTCACGACACCGCGGACGTATCCATGTCGCTCAGCGAAGTCGAGGGTACGGAACTGAGCGGGTGCCTTATTGAGACGGGTATGGGCGGCTAGAGAATGAGTCGTATCAGTATCACTTTGTCCTTGATTCTCTCGATGGCTGCAGTCTTGAAGCCATCAAAATCCTGTGATCGCACTCACTGAAAATGGATCCACGTCCCTTCCTCTGGTTGCGGATCACGCGACCCATGGCGACTTTCTGTGTATTACCTGGAGGTTAGTATTAACGAAAGATCGCCTGCGACCAGGTGTCGTGGGAGTTATCGAGTATCTCGTACCTCAAATCAAGAATTGACTTGCCGGGTTGGTGTTGAGAATTCGTCGGAGAAGGGCTGTGTGGGCTTTAGGGCGGGATCGCTAATCTAACCGAATTGGCGCTAGTGTATTTCGCGGCCGTTTGCCGCGCGGCTACCAATTCCTCGTGACCGTCGCGTTTCTGCCGTAATTAATACAGCCGCCAGCGTATGCGACACGCCCTCGTCGTTTGAATTTCCAAAGATGCCTCTTCTATCCATTTCGGAATGCTCGTCCTGAGTCCCCTCAGATGTTCTAACTATTAACCAGTTAAGATGGCTTTTGCTTTCCCTCATATTATGACGCGAATGTCCAGCAGATCCAGCTAAGCCAGAACTTGTTCCTTTCGGCAGAAGAACTGTTATCATGTCTCCTTGTTGGCCTTTCGTCTGTCTAGATGCTTTCAACACACATAAACTGATCAATCTTTTAGAAATAGATTCCTAACTGTACACCCGTCCTTCATCCTCTATCCTGCTATATAAATTAGCTATCGATGCATGGCTTTTCTCTTTTTCCCATTTCCTACGTCTTTTGCTCATTCGACTCTTAGCTTGCCAAGAAAACCTGCATTCCGTGTTGACAATAAAGCAATGGATTTGTGCGAGCTATCCTCCATTTTGATGGCCGCAAATCATCATACACGCTTGTTATTGCACTCAAAGTTTCTCATGAGACGATTAAATACTCTGTCTTGCTTCAGAGAGATGACCTTGTGTCCTGCTGCCAGTGTTCGGTTACTCTACCATGGACAGGACCTAGGCCCTTTTGCCTGCTCTTGCACTCCGGTTGTCGAGTGAAAGTGGCTTTGTTTTGGCCTTGTTAGCTACAGTCTGCGCTTGCACTGTCTTCAAGCTGGGATTCTTCCACTTTGTTCGCTCTTTCGGCAGACTGAATTATGGTATCTCTGGATGAAGGAGACATCTGGGTCATCTAGATGAGGCGACGGGCTCCCCATGCATAGTCCTTCTTTCCGTGCTATTTATTTTGTCATCCTGGAAAGTTTATGTTCAAACTGCCTCTGAACCTGACTTATGCCAACGGTGGCTGCATCTCTTTATTCCCAACGCCTTCCCTGTCGGTTCCTGTTCTGTCATCACTCTTTGTTCATGCAAACACCCAGTGAAGATGCTTGCAGTCTTATAATTCACTTTAGCTATCTTATTTCCCCATAAGAAATATCGACTTGCTTTGTCCCGAAAAAAAGTATACTCCTGAGCTTGAAACAAGCACTAGATAGGCCGAGTAAGGGAGCTGATTCTTCACTAGACGGTAATCTAGCCTTGATATGCCACGGAGGTTGCCAGATGGGTCAAGCGCGTGATAGCCGCGCCTGCACGGAGGAGTAGCGTCAACCAGAGTAGACTTTCTTCACAGTGCAGACTTTCACCCACTTCGCCTCTCGCGTCACCGCACATCCATACGCCACACAACCATGTCTGTCATGTCGCTCTCTGACTCTGACTCTTCGTCACTATCATCAGCGCCATTGACAGAAGATGAATCGCCGATGCCGATTGACGAGAAGCCTGCAGGCATCGCGAAGTATTTCAAGAAGGAGTCTGAGTCTCCGCCCCCGAAACGATCCCCGTCACCACCACACGAATATGTCCTGGCAGATAACCCAGACATCGCTGTAAGTTCGATCCAAAAGGCCCTTTCTGGAAAGTGTTCTCTAGACAGCTTATTTGACGCGTTTTTGTCTCTATCTGGATACACGTGCTCACTGTTTGTGCGCAATGTTTAGTTCATCGTAATGTTCCGCGCGCGTTTTAGTGAGGTGTTCCCACGATCCTTACCGCACTATGGACCTCAAGATATCGAGAAGGGTGTCTCTGAACCGGTCCCCGGTGATCATATTGAAAGGCTTTTATGCGCGTTACTTGGTCTAGTACTGAATAGGAAGAAGGATGTTGAGTATGCTTGCCACCCACCGACATGCGATACTCCGGCCGTGAAGTTGGCGATGAAAAAGCGAACCTGGATCTAATTGTCCCTTTTCCTCATACGCAGGCGAAATCATTACCAGCGTCCTCTTGAAGAAGCGATTAATGCGCATTCAAACCAGTGGCCGAAGGCATGGGAGTCCAAGAATCCTCTCCATGGTGGCCGCAGTTTCTCAACAATGTCCGCCGAACAACGTGTAGGTTATGACTACTGGTCGCATTTCTCAGTTCATATTTCTGACCTGTGCTCTAGCTTCAATTATTACGCGCACTCATTCTCTGGTCGCTGTCCTCCTCTGAAGCAGTTCAAGCGAAGATCAAGGAATCGTACAAACAAGCACGCCATGATGACGACTTGAACCAGCCTCTTTCTGTACAGCCCTGGGGCCGAGATAGTCTTAAGCGTCGGTACTGGCTTATTGAAGGACAGGATGATACACATTTCAGATTGTACAGGGAGAGCAACCCGTCTCTGAAGAATGTGACTTGGTGGAGCGTGGCCGGAAACATTCCTGAACTATCAGCTATTGCTGATAAACTCGAACAAGAAAAGAACCAGCACTCCAAGAAGTTGAGTGAGAGGATTCGGAATGCAGTACCACGGTTTGAGGCGTCAGAGGAGGTAAGTTGCCGTACTGCATGACCCAGAGGATCTTTTTGCTAATGGGGAGCAAGAAACGCAAACGTCGTGACTACCGACTTGCACGGAAGGCTGCTTTTGCTCGCCCGGAGCCTGGATTCTCATTATACGAAGGTCGCACTCGCGGGAAAAAGTTGAAGTATACATATTCTGACGACGAAGACTTCTTCTTTGACGGCCTACCTTCCACTCGGAGGTCCACTCGAAATAGCTCCGCTGCTGATACCCCAGCAGAGCCGACGGGTCCTAGATTCACAGCTAGTGGGAGGCAGATTCGGTCTCGTACTGGAGGCATGTATGGCGAGTCTTTACTCATTACGCAACGGAAGGACAACGCTGTCTCTTCACCGCAGCACAGCGAGGGAGATGCTGGTCGACCTCGGAGAACCCGAACAGCCGATAAAGCAAATGAGTATACAGGCTATGACTTTGGCGAGACAGACGATGAATCCGAGGCCCATTCTAGTGGAAATGAATGGCAGGGTGGCGATGAGGGCGATGAAAACGATTTCGAAGGAGATGAAGAAGAAGAATTGAGTGGAGACGAGTCCGTGATTAATGGAAATGAGACTAGATCTCCCAGTCTTGTGGTGCAACTTAGGTATGGGCAGGGCAAGCTTCGAAGCAGCCCGTGTGCTCCTCGTGAGGGACCATCAAGGCACTCTACTGCAGTTGGAAATGGCGTGGGAAATGAACGTGCGGTGTCTTCAGAACACCCTCCAGCGAAAACTGAACAACCTGCAGCGGACCAAGTGCCGTATACTACGCAGGAGACTAAGACTGTTCTACATGTGGGCAACGCACCGGGCCTCGTCCCGGATAGTGCTAATGCTGAAATTCCAAAAACGACGGCGCAAACCGAACCAATTGGCCCGTCTCTCGGAAAGACCGACGGCCTAGGTATCCAAGTCGATCCGGGGGCTCGCACTTAGTCTTCAACATCCGTGCCATCCACGGCATGAAATGGGGCCTTCAATATCCAAACTGTTCGCTACTTTATTTCCTAATAGAACTGGTAATTTGCGGAGCCCTCGTTCAATGATTGGCGTCTCTTTTATGGGACTGGGAAATAGGGAGAGGTCAAATCCAACAAAAAGAGTAGCTGTTAGACACGATCATTTCAGAATTAGATGGAATGTTGCATATGATATTATTTCCATGTCCATTTCCAGTGCCACGGATACATCAAATTTTGCAACGAGAGACTATGCGACTTAGAAATTCAAGAATCAGAACCCTTTCAAGTTGAAAAGCAGTCGAGTCCTCTGTGCGGAAGATCTAGAAAATGACAAGATATCCACGAGCATTCATAGTTCCAGACAGTAAAGACAGAGACTCCGTAAGTACCTTGGAACGCCATTCCATAACTCCTAAGCATGCAGTCGAATCTAGCCCATACTTTCCCTTTAGGGGCAGACTATAGATTGATTATACGCGTGGATTTGACGAATATCCAATGGTATATTAAAAATGCGCGGAATAGTTCTGCAGAAACTCCGAGAACGTCAGCGTCATCAAAGTCCAATTTGGTAATAATAATATTTGGTGAAAAAGTAGTCATGAAGAAGGAATTTCCAAGATGGGAACGAGGGAACTATGTAATGCAGAACTGGGAGAATCACGGGCTTACGTTTTGCATTTGTGCAAAAACTCGTCGACTCGTCGCAGGAGGAAGCTCCCAGTTGTTAACCTCATACCACCATTTACGTACCCTGCTTCCCAAAGATCTGCCACTGAGAGCCGTGCTGCGGTTCCAATAGCGCCAGCCTGAGAGTGCGAGAGTCCAGAGCGTACCTTGAATGAGCGGGAGGAAGACCTATTTTAAAACACAGAATCAGTCTTCCGTTTTTCTTCTCCTTCAGTCACCCTCACCATGCTTCTTCTTTGGGTTTCAATGGCTCTATACCTGGTCTCGGATAGTAATCCATGCTACGCGCCCCCAGGTTTCAGCTCCCCTCAAGCTGGCCAGATAGCTCTGCTCGAATCGTAAGTCCGGCAAAGGTGGGAGATTCCGGTGTCTTGAAACAGGCCTGATCATCCTACTAGCGTCGACAATGTCTGATGGGATGCTGGGAGCCTCAGAGGGCGCAGTGCGGACGGCTGGCTGTTTCTCCGAGGTTGAGGCCGAAGGGTTGACGTCGTGAGCCGGAGACAGGTTGCGGTTGAGAGATGCTGTTTGGATTGTCTCTGCAACTTGGATGTTTGGATCTGACATTGTGAATAGCGACGACTGCTGTCTTTGGTTTAAGGAAGAAGACAGGATGGATCCCTTGAAGGAGTGATGCGCGGTGTAGATAATCAGTCTAGCTTAACTACCCGCAGTTTATTATGTCTTTTCACCCCGCCTTTTCTCTCTCTTCTTCTCCCTCCTCTCTTGCCCTCTCTTCTCTTTTCTCAATTCTCTCTATTGAAACTCTTTTCTCTCTCTCTCAGTGGCTTGAAAATGGCTTCTGCACAGGGCTACCCGCTGCTTTGCTTGGAGAATCCAATTTTGGGTGCGTGGCCATTGTCTTGACTGATACTTCTACGGCGCTAACTTGGGATCGGGAATTAGATATCCAGGCTGTAGGGTATGTCAAGTTTGACGTTTACAGGAGGAATTTGACCCAGATCGCATTTGTGTACTGATGCAGGCTTTTCAGTGACAAGGCACTCTTAGACAAGTATGGCCTTAAGGACAACGATGCCATTCTCGCAGAGGAGAAGCATATGGGACTCTACGATGAGCTACTCGGCCGCAATGCCAAAATAATTGCGGGTGGAGCGGCTCAGAATACTGCCCGTGGTGCTCAGGTATGCATGCACATTTGCAATTGCCTAGCTGGGGATGCAGTCCGCAGTCGGAGGATGATCGTTGTTGACATTGAAGAGTTGAAGAATAACTAACTGATGGCTTCCAATAGTACATGCTTCCCGATAACTCCGTCGTTTACATCGGTTGTGTTGGACACGACAAAAACGCCGAGACTCTCAAGGAAGCCTGTGAGAAGGCTGGTGTTCACACCGAATACCGTGTCGATGATGTTCAGCCTACCGGAAAATGTGGTGTCGTCATTACGGGACACAATCGCAGTATGTGCACACATCTTGCTGCGGCTAACGAGTATAAGATCGAGCATCTGAAGCAGCCACATGTCTGGTCTTTGGTTGAGAAGGCCCAGGTCTACTATGTCGGTGGATATCATCTCACTGTTTGCGTTCCTGCCATCTTGGCCCTGGCCGAGGAGGCTGCTGCGAAGAACAAGGTACGTAAACTGTGGCCAATTGGATTCCCTTTGTCCATTTTTGGACGTTTTGGCTAAGAATTCTCGTGGGAAAAATCATATAGATCTTTATGCTCTCGCTCTCTGCCCCCTTTATTCCTCAGTTCTTCAAGGATCAACTCGATAGCGTGACTCCTTACACAGATTATATCTTTTGCAATGAGACTGAGGCTCGGGCATTTTCTGATAGCCATGGCTGGGACACGCATGATATTCATGAAATCGCGAAGAAATTGAGCCAACTGCCAAAGAAGAATTCTTCCCGCCCTAGAGTGGCCATCATCACTCAGGGCACCTTGCCCACTGTCATCGCTGTCGGCAAAGCCAGCGGTGAGGTTGATGTCACGGCATTCCCTGTGCGGGAGATCCCCAAGAGCGACATTGTCGACACTAATGGTGCTGGGTAAGTGCTTGAGCTATTCTATACATAATAATATTGTGTCGTGAAGCTCTCAGTTATGCTGACGTAGTTTGAACAACACAGGGATGCATTTGCTGGTGGTTTCGCTGCTGGAATTGTTCAGAACAAGTCTGTCCATGAGTCTGTGGATATGGGTAGCTGGCTGGCAAGCCTTAGCATTCAAGAGTTAGGTCCTTCGTATGTCTACAGTCCCTCTTACCCTCCCCTCTGCCTTGTTCCTAGACAATCTGTATTGGGATCAGGCCAGACGATGAGCTGACATGAAATTTCATTTGAACCAGTTTCCCATTCCCCAAGAAGACCTATGTCCCGTCAAGGCAGTATTAAACAACGCCTTCAGACCTCGAAAACGGGCGAGCAGGCTTAGCTTAGCCCCAATAACTATTGCGGCCACACCTCGATTTTCTTCAACCCTATATCGCACCCATGACTTAACGTCATTCGGACATGGACGAATCTTCTGCATTTCAGTTTTCGGGAACAACATGCTACCTATTATGATAGAGGGGAAAAGGGGGCAGAAAAGGGCGTTCTCAACAACGAATTTTGTTTTATTATTTTCAATGAACTTTGATTCATGATTTGGCTTGCAGGGTCTTGGTTTATATACCATTACTGTACTTTCAACATTTATGATGTCTTCAACGGCATATGTGAGGTTTTTCTTTCAACATTGGTTGGGAATGCAGAAATGATGAATGTTTGATTTCAAAATAGAATAAACAAACTGTCAGGCGAAAAGACTTCAGTCTTCCTTTCTTTTCAGACGTACGCAGTATTAACTTTGCAGAGAACACTAAATTGCGGAGCTAAACTCCCGAGTCCTAAGACTCTCCTGAAGAATAGACCTAACGCGAGCAGATAACTAAAACTACCTATCTCCAAGGCTCTTCAGCTTGCACCAGTCATGATAAAATACAATAAGAAGTACCATGAAGGGCCCATAAAAACATGATAATCACCAGTCAAACTGCAACTCATTCTCCCTCTGAAAGAAAGGATGGTTTTCTTGTTCAGTGTACTTCTCAAGGGCAATCAGAGATACTATGTCGACAAAGGGGAAGAGAGGAGTGGTGAGGTAAGAACCATCTCATATGTTTGAATTCCAGCTAGACGAATAACCTTCCAGTGGCCCAGGTTGCTGAGGCCATAGAAAGTCAATACATCATATTCAACCAACATCTCAGTGCATATCAATAATTCAGTGAGAATGAAACTTCACCCATTAGGATGTGACAGGACGGCAAGAGAGGCAACCAAATGAAAAAGACCTATCCTTGAAGGTATCTCATAGTCTTCGGATATAGAACCTGGGTCCTAACCTTCTCTGGAGTGCTGTTGGCGTCATATCGGTGTAGAAACAGCCAATTATGTGGTACAGAAATCAACCACCCTGTCCACAAGGGGGGGTCTGTCCGATCGCGCCGAGCTGCGAGGCCGATTTGCGAGTACCACCGAAGCCCGAGTTGGGATAGTCAGCTCCAGAAGCAAGGCCACTGGCTACGAAGGCATTGTTAGCCCGTGATGCATTCACAAGGCTGCTGTTGATGGGTTGGCTAAAGTTTTCTGGATAGGGATTGACCCCATCAAACGGATCTCCTTTCCAACTTGTCCCTGAGAAAGGATGGCGGGGAAAAGGTGTTGACGATAACCAATGGGGATCACATTGATCAAGAGAGCTTTGCAATTGGCTTGAGCCTATTAAGCTGCGGCGGTGCATAAGGTCATTTGCAATCAGTTCTTGAGATGGAAAGCTGGAGTTGTTGCTACCCGACATCATCGAACTGAGAGGACGCTGACCGAGACCGGGAGGTGACCGGGGAGTCCGAGGCGAAGAAACATCCACAGCCTGTGGGGACAAAGTTGTGTTCCAGATACTGGGAATACCGGGGAGTGCTGGTCGTGGAGTAAACGCTTGTGATAGTGTTTGGTCGGAGATCGCAGGCTTTGTAATTGGGGGGCAGAGTCCGGGAGGAGCGATGGGGGTACCAACACGGCGGACACTCTGGTCGTGGAAGGATGCAGACAGGCTAGGCTCGAAAAGACGAGCTTGGGGAGTTGGTGGCCCACCATTATCCAAGAAGGACAGATGTTCTGGGGCCGCTGGTATACCTTCACTAACATCTGACTCGACTAGCCGTTCTACGCCCTCAACGATCCGATGCATATTGGCAGAAACAGAAGCTGTGGCTGACTGGGAGCCTCCGAATATGCTCCTAGTATCGCCGACGTAACTGGAATCCCGCGTCGCCTGCGGTATATCCTCTCGATCAATGCTAGCTGACGAAAGCGTATGCTGATGTGCATGAGGGCTTGAAAAGAACTGGGATGGGAGACCCTCTTCCTTATAAATGAAAGTCTTTTTGGCATCACTGTCAACGAGAGCAACAGGGATTTTCTAATGGCTTGTTAGAACTTGAAGCCTCAAGCAACTAAGGCGGGCTTGTTCTCTCACGTACGTTGTTCACCACAAGATCAAGGCCGTCAATCACGAATTCGCGGATTCGGTAAAGCATTTCAATGCTGGGATGGCTTCTTTCCACTCCATAATCGTTCATACGTGGTTTCTGCACGCCATGTATATCCAAATACCTACGGATAGTGGCATCTTTTACCAACGGTGCAAACCCGAGGGTCTCTTCATCTTCTTCCAAAAGATATTCAACTTCAGGGAGATGCACAATGTCAAAGGTGGAGGCAAGCAGCGTTAGCGTATTTGCATAGACTTTCCAGAATTCTTTTATCTGGACAGACAGCGGCGTTTCCTTTTCCTCCTTTTGAGCCACCAATGCGCTGTTGACGACAAGAAGCCAGGAACTGTAATGCCGGAGAGCGGGTAGAATACGACGAGCAACGACGGTCACCTTTTCTGAGCTTTCATTGTCGTCTTTACTGTTAGGATCCTCTCCAGCGAACCGCTCCAATTCAGACAAGAGAATCTGTAGCAGCGTGAAGAACGTCTTCACATTAATTCGCTGAAAAAAGTGGCGCGCATTGCTTCCTGAGTTTTCTAAGTTTCTTTTTATCAATAGCTGTCCTAGCAAATCGCACTGGTAACGAAGGCTTACCGTTTGGCTGCGCTCTAGCAAAGTCTTCAGCAGCTATGTTAATCAAGCAGAATTTCTGCAACGTGCCTTCAAGGGAACGTTCTTTAAGATCAACAGCCAGTTGGCTAATCACTTCATTTTCGAGCTCATCATGTTCGGAGAAATCGATCCCTTTGTAGCACTGCGCATGGAGATATACAAACCAAGGGGCCAATGATCTTCCAGGGATGCCAGCATCCTCGGGCCGGATCAACTCCCTCTTAGTCCATGCATTCATAACCTTTTTGAACTCAATTTCCAAATTGCTCTTGGCAGATGGGTGGGCTTCTTTGGCGGTTAACGCCCTGTACAAATGGTAAGTAGCCCTGAGATGATTGCCATCAGCGAGAGCAATGACAGCCAACTGGTTGTGAGAGGCGCCAGAGGCGGGATAGATCAGTGTAGCCAGATCGTAATACCCGATGGCAGGGCCCCAGTTACGCTCCTTGCTGACAAGCTCGGTCTCCCGGTAACGGGAGAGATCGCCCAGGCGAATAAGGGTTGCATGGCACGATTGGAGGACATGTTTTCGGAGGCTATCAGACGCTTTCACCGGGAATTGAGCAGACAAGCCTATAGAGGGAGTATTTCAATCAATTAAAAAGCACCGCGAAGAAAGCATAGGGAGATGAAATTTTCACTCACTGCCAAAGTTGAATTTGCGTGCAACTTTCTCTAGCTCGGGAATGCCTCCGAAATGCGACGATAAGTGCTGAATATAACCTCGATAGAATCGTTGGCTTGACTTGATGAAATCCAGATAATGCTTCTCCAGCTTTCTTTTCTCTACCGGTTTGTTCTTCCCATTGTTATCGCGAGCCTAGGGGGTTATTCAGATCAGATGAGGCACGCGAAAATACCCCTTCAATTTGGCCAGCACTCACTCGGGCAAGTAATTTGCGGAACCGGGTATTGATCTTGAGATGTGCATCCCATAGGCGGCCTTCCACATCAATGGAGCGAGCAGATTCAAAGTCCTGAAGAATGGCATTCTGACAAGCGGCACGAAATCTGAAATTGGTCAGACCTTTTTGCGTGCTGCGCAAAAGAATTTCGGGGTATATCAGGAAGAATAACTGACTCCGAAAGGAAATGTGAGACTGAAGTAAATGTGGATTCCTTCTCCGCAAGGCTTTTCGTAAGCTCCTTTTCAGCCCCGAGCGCAATCCTACCGCATCACAATGTATGTTAATAACATAGAAACAAAAAAGACCGAGGAAGGAACAAAGCAAAACAATCCAAAGGAAATACTGACTGCCAGGAATCCTGGAATGCCGACGCCATGCTCAGTATGTATGAGATTTGGAGCCCGTCACCCCGCAATTTGACCTTGCCGTCAGATGGGTATGGCTGGCTGGGAGTCCGCGCGACACAGGGACAGTGAACGATCCATCAGTTAAGTATGATGGGGACGAGAGGGAATTGCAGGACGCAGTGGACAAAATGAGGGTGGTAGGGCGTCTAGGCCAGAGGTCTAACTAGAGTAGAAAGAGAACATTGAGCGGAAGAGCTGGACCTGTCTAGAAGCTCCGCTTGATGCAGAGAAGAGAAAATAATGCAGATGTCCAAGGACTCGCGTTTCCCTTTGCGGGAGTGAATGTCACTGGATCACCCGCCCTCAACATGGCTGTGCTTGTGGCTGGTGTGTATGGTAAGTATGGTAAGTACGGTAATGTGAATTACCATACATCGCTTTCATCTTTCGAAGCCTTCAAGGTGAAACTGATGCATGCAGAGATGAAAAGAAACATGCCATGATAGCCAAAGACACAGCATATTACAAGTTGCAACTAACCAGCTGGCCTGAAAATGTTGAAACGCTCAAGAAGCCATTCCCCAATAGACAGCCAAGCCCTAGAGACATCTCCATTGCGGTCTCCAGCACCAGCACCATCGTCCCACAATAACCGCACCAAGAAACATACTCTGGACACGACTGCTCTGGTAGTCGAAGTGATGCATTGCTCATTACCTCCTCACAAGGACTCAATCTCTTTTTCCTCGTTCGAAGATTATGAAGTCCACTATTTACAGGCGCATGTCAATCGATGCTCAGAGTGTGGTCGGAACTTTCCTACAGAGCGATTCTTGAACCTGCATATTGAGGAGAACCATGATTCTCTTATTTCTGCAAGAAGAGCCCGTGGCGAGAAGACTGTATGTACCCTGCTGTGCTGTTGCTCTTCCACTACTGTTGGCTAACAGGAAAACGTACGGATAGTATGGCTGTTTCGTCGAAGGGTGTGATCGAAAATGCTTAACGCCTCAGAAGCGCCGGATGCACTTGATAGACAAACATATGTTTCCACGGGTAAGTGGAAGAGGAAAATAATTGTCGAAGCTGGATATATATCTACCCCGTCTGTTTTCAGCTAACTTGACACCTTTGCCCCATTGCAGACGTACAATTTTCATATAGTCAATGACGGCATCGACAAGCAAAGTTCTATGCTACGAAGTAGACAAGGTCATAAAACTCGCTTGTCAATCAGCTCATCTACCTCAAATTCGGCACAGGAAGGAAGGCTGAGACGCCGTCTGTCCACTCAGTCAGACGAAGCTTCAAACGGTGTTCTCTCTTCTCGGAATGAAGAAAAAGAACATCGATTACCGCCTTCTGATATGGAAATGGATGAGCTTGAAAAGTCCATGTCTGCTTTACAATTTGTACCAACAGCTGTTTTGAAGAATAGAAAAAGATGACTATAATGAAACTGAAACTTGAGTATTAACGGAGCACAGTATACAAGAGACAGATGCACACTATTTAGAATGAGGTGCCAAATAAGCAATCTTTCTGCATAAAAACCACATCTATCTATTAGTCTGGGCGTTTTTGGATGGATTTTGGACGGGAAATGGACATTGGGACATCAGAAGACCAGGTGTGTTTTGCACAGAATATACGAAATTTACATCAAGACCAGCGCCGTTATTCCATTCCATTCCTTCTTTTCCCCTTAGAAGACCAAAATAGCTGTCATTGCAAGCCTAGTCCTATGAGACAATTGGGTATGGCAAAGCGATTAAGTCCCAAGGAATTTCTCCAGCCCGTTATACTGAAATGAACTGGAAATCAAAACAACGAAAAACCGACAAGAATATACCTTGACTCGTACAGTGATCATTGGTAGCAGCAATGTGGATCATATAGGGCAAGGCAACACACGGAAGAGTTGACGAATACAGCGCAAGGAAGCAGAAATGCACAGGTAGAATGTGTTGCGATATTAGCCCTCTAGTAAATCTGCGTAAGCTTCCAAGCTGGAACCGACCAGGTCTACAATTGCCCAGCTGGTGTTCCCTTTAAAGGTTCTCGCCCAGACACGAATAATTGCGACACTGAGTTGCTTGGCTTTGTATGGGTTGGCAATAAAATCTAAGTCAGGCGCCCCTGGTGCATCAACGCTCATTTCTGTTTCATCCATCATACTCTTGAGCCACAGGAGTAATTTTCTTTCATGTTCGGACAACCTCTGCTGAGATTGCGTGGATGGTATGGCAAGTAGCCATCGGCTTAAAAGGAACGCGCACTCCAGGCTGCAGAGAGAATGCTGAATGCTCCAGAAAAATGAATGCGTTCTCGCCACAAAGTCAATCCCAAGCCGTACTGGGATTGAAAGTGCGTGTGCAGAATGCAATAGGGCCATGATGAGCCGTGGACTCCGCTGGACGGGAGATGATGCATTTAAAGCCCTGGCAATCTGGCTTGGATCTTGACTTATAAGTTGACGGCAAGGGCCTAGATTAACATGTAATCTAATGTAAGCTAGACCAAGAAGAGCTGTGGATGTGAAAGCAATTGGGCCCGCTGGATTTTGAGGATCAATGCTAGATTCGGGTGTACGCTTCCATAATGCCTTCCAAGCAGTCAAAGAATTGTCCAAGACGGTCAAGTCTTCCTGTCTCAAACTCGTACCTTGCATATTCGGCGCACATAGACATAGCTGGCGGGCAAAGAATATCTGCTGGATGATGGCATGAATGAGAATGTAATTCCCGAGAGGTGAGATAGGCGCCGAAACGTTTGGCACCGTGGATTTGGTGAATAGCTTGGCAAATGCCTCTTGGAAGGGTATTTGTGATCCATGCCGGGCGTGGTAGAGACGTCGCCAGTGGACAGCACTGTTGGCTTTCCAGACATCGTGTGAACACGGCATGTTCAAATTCAACTCGGCGTTTAAGAGAAGCGGCGGAATATCATACATTATAGAATGGAGGTTAAAGAAGCAATACACGATGAGTTTCGTGCGTCTGTTGCCTTCTTGCCGTATCCATTCGTCCCAGCTCAGATTTTCAGGGGTTGAAGCTGGTTCCGACAGGCCATGCTCCCGAACAAGCCTGGCTAAAGTACTTTGTAGTGAAAGAATCTCTCGTAGTAAGTCGGGATGTCTTTCCCAAGATGCAAACACTGTAAGCAACAAGAAAGTCCGAATGACCTCCATATGGGCCTCAGATTCATCCATTGCATAGCATGCAGGGTCAATGGAATGAGTGGCCATATGATGGCTCTGAAAAGGACTATTGGCGGTATTTGAAGTGATTGAAGATCCAGGGGAGTTATGGAAGCCAGAAGATGGGGATACGAAGTTCCATGTTGGGTATGGAGCTTGCTTGCTATCTCTTTTTCGGAGGCGCTCCAGCAGAACAGCTTTTGATGCATGGAAGAGGTCCACTCCTCGGCTGTTTTCGAATCGATAGTGTGACCCTGCAGCTGCTAAGGCGAGCGTGAGTTCGGGAGAGCATTTGGCAATCGAGAGTGTCGGAATGTGGAGGAAAGGAAGGTGTTCATTCAGGCCGTTGATATACCCGGCGAAGAATCGAGATAAGGCGTGTCTCGATGGCGGAACAAATCCTCTTGGGAGGACATAGGAAAATTCTTCGAGTTTCGATAGAAATATTTGACGGTCCGTATTGGATATATCCCATGCAGGCCGCGAATTTTCGTCGGTAAGCCCAATGCGATCATCTACATCTTCCGGTTGGAGTGACGGTAAGCGAGAGCCGAAGTTTGAGAATGATGGCGGTTCCTCTGCGGGAGGTCTCGGATCGTTGATAATATCTCCACCGAGCCTGCTGGGAGCACTTTCGCGAGTTTGGGTCCTTGAGTCAAGGGAGATATTAGGCGGTAATGTCGGGTCTTCGACTGAGAAAAACCCCGAGTCCCAATCGGATGAAAGACCCACGCTTTCTAGAAAGACGGTGAAGTCTTGAACCGGATCCCCTAGATCGGTCATATCGAGAATCGAAGGCTCCACCCCATAGGTGTCGGTGATCGATCTCTCCGGAACATGCGGAAGTGTGTGAGGAGGGTCTGCATGCTGTGAAGACTTCCGAACCGACTCGACGCTCTCCTGCTGGCCTTCGAGAGCCACATGGCTGGCCGCGTGGGACAGAAGATTGAGGTCATATCCCCAGGATGGATTAAAATGAGGTGGCCCTACTAGCGGCGCATGCTGTGTCGGGGGATTCGGCGGCGGCGCGGGAACCTGTTCCGGCTGGATAATCACTGCGTCCGCGAGCTCGAGCATTCGCGAATCGTTGGAGGCAGGCGTTATCATGGGGGTTGGCGCTTGAGGATGCACTTCATGATTATTATGATTCCGATGTTCTCCCCGATGCCCTGCATTGTCGGCTGAATGGACCAATCTCTCATGGCGAACAAGCAAGTCACTGTGAAAGTTTCCGTAGATTAGCGAGCGTGGATTGAAGATTCGACGCGGTATTGGGGCCAGTCTTGCCTCCTTGCGAATGATTTGGAGCAATTATCACAGGAGAAGGGTTTCTCTTTCGTATCTACAGAGGCACACGTTAGCAATAGCCCGCCTGGAAAAGATCTTGGGGAAAAGAGGGGAGAAAAGGGTTACGCAACGTGTGCGGAGATGTCTTTGGAGATGCTCTAGCCGCGCGAAGGGCCGACCACAGTACTTGCACGTAAGGGACTTCCGCTGTGCATTTGTGGTTTTCTTCTTTGGCTTGTCCGGCGAGATCTTCTCGTCTTCCATAGCGGAGAAAGAAGTGGCTCTTGAGGGAGAAATTGAGGAGTTCAAAAACAAAAAAGGCGAGCGGGGAAGAAAACTGTGGGGTTCGGGCGAGAGGGGAAGTTTTCTTTTTCTTGGAAGTATCATACTAGGTATTGTATCTTACAGAGTACTGTCATTTCTGTACAAACACGTACCAAGACAGTACCGTACCGTGTCGACAAAGAGTTACAGTGACTCCGCGAAAGTTTTAACACCCCCTACTATACCGCCTTTTTACACCGCCTAGTTTACCATTAGAACACCTAATTTTCCTCCCCTCAAACACCCAAAAATCATGATTTAACCATGCCTCCACGGTCAGAGCTTACCCCAGCCCTTCAAGAACGTATATGTGAGCTTCATTCTGTTGTTCACTGGGGATATAAGCATATTCATAAACATTATCCTTAGATATCCCTCTCAACAATTCGCTATACAATCAAAAAGGAGGAAGAATGACAAAATGGTGTGTCAAAACCTCAATCTGGTCAGCCAAAAAAACTCAACAATAATAATAAACAACGTCTATCAACAGCAATCAATAATAATCTAAGGATTACTCATGAAGATCTTCTTGCTGAGGTTTCTTATAAGGTCAAAATTGACTCTATTCAGCGCCTTTTGAATGCTGAGAACCTTCAGAAGTGATGCAGCTAGCAACCTTATTTAACTAAGGAACAAGCTCTTAAATGTCTTTATCGGGCTGTTAAATATCAGCACTTTGCATCTAAGGATTAGACTTATGTTTTTTGGTCTGATAAATGTACAGTTGAGAGAGGAATTGGTGTTTGCTGAGAATTGTGACGGTGTGGAAAACAGGTACTATATGAGTGCAGTATCAGGTCTTACGACCTGATATCCTGGTCTTTTGCCGGTAGTGCAGCGGTTTAGTCCTTAGAATGCACCCTAGGAGCTAGGTTGTGACATGAATGGACATTTACTCACCCAAAGGATCAGCCAAAAGAGAGATAATGTCAAGGATTACTGTAAAGGGGGGCGTACGTGCGTTGTTCCCTGCGACAGGAACCGGGTTGTGATCGAGGGATCTCAGGGATGATGCCGCTATACCACGCGGCACCGAACGATCTTAGCAAGAAAACGATATAACGATAAAAGGAAACACAATGACAAAGGAGCCTCGCTCCGCTCTATACGATGATAACGATACTAGTGAAGCAACCTAGAAACCAAAAGAATGCTCTATTTCTCGTAACTATCTGGGAGGGAACCCTCCATTAAGTACTCCGGCCGCGGGCTCCACCATACATTAGTATGTCGGAGACCGCGGTTCTACGGTGTTCCAAGATAAGAAATATGGGAGATCCGGGGTTTCGCAGTGCCCCCGGCACATTACCACAGCAAGGGAAGCAAGTGAAACAGATATTTTAGGCTACCTTTTTAGGTGAGGTGCTACACGCTGTACTGAATTAATCCCCCTTTTTAAGGATCTAAATTTAGAACATGTTGGTGTGAACTGCTTTGTTATTGAGGAGTTATACCATCAGATTTTGTCTACCTTAATAGCAAATAAAGATGGCATTTTCCAGCATGATAATGTCTCAACACATACTGCATATGCTGTATGTGAGACTTTAAAAGAGATAGGTATTGAGGTTATGGATTGGCCACCACATTCCCCTGATTTGAACCCTATCAAGAATCTCTAGGCATTGTTGAAAGCCAAAATATATGAGCTTCAACCAGATCTTATCCATATGGGGAATAATGATGAGTCTAAAGCTATTCTACTAGCTACTGCACAACAAGCATGGGATAAACTAGATATTAGGTATTTACAACACTTATCTGAGACCATGCCACACCGTGTTGAGGCTATAATTGAGTCTCAAGGCTGGTATACACCATATTAGATAGTGGAAAATAAAGAGGTTTTGACCGGCAGAATATTAGTAATAAAGGGGGTGTGGGGCAAGGGGGTGTTAAAACTTTTGCGGAGTCACTGTACATGTCAAGAATTATTTGCCTGAGGACAATAAGGGCCCATTCTGGTCCTGTACTGTAATTAATAATTACCATAGAGCGTACAGCCGGAGTACAACATACAGGACAGGATACAAAACGCCCTGGGTTTCCTTATGGAAAGAAGTAGACAACGTCCTGTAGATACAGCACTCGTTGTAAACCTCATTAATCCAACTGAATCGGAATGAATTTCATCTGCATCAACCTCAAACTCTGTTTCACTCAATTCCCCGTTTGAGGGGCGTGTTTCAGACTGCATCCGTCTCACCAATCGCAGCTGATCGTCTCGCCGTCACCCTGCAGTCTGTCGCGGATAGAGACAAGAAACTTCGGGTTTCAGTCTCAGCCCATCCAAGGTACTGCTGTCGATAGTCCCTTAACCAATTCTCTCTCCCTCTTGTCGTCCCCCAGTTGGCGTTCCTCGCTTCAATAACCTGGGCGCTCACGTCCGAGACGTTTGCGCTGTCCCTTCCCTTGCTCAACTCGTCCACGACTTTGGCTCCGTGATCTATTCTTAGCTGCTGTCCAGTCTTTCCCTGTGGATCGATTCCATCCAGCGAAAGTGGTAGCGGATTCTCAGGATTTCAACCGGGTTTGCTGGTTATTTGCTACTGTGTGATATTGTCCAGAACTACGCTACCTAGTATGTCTGATCCAACCTTCTCAAGCACGCGTCTCGTCTCATATGGATCTCCTGCTAACCTGCGCATCTTCGTGGATTAAAAGGATTTTGGACCATGTCCTGTTCTCCACCCTGACTCTGCCTCAGGGATATCTCGTCCGAGCCGGTTCCTAGGATTCCTTGCAACGGCCGCAACTGAAACTCGAAAGATACCAACGGACACGTCCCATATCGCGAGGAGACTAGGTTCGCTGGAAAGTGGCCTGCAACTCCGCAGTTTATTAGTCCCGTAAACCCCCCCAAAGCGAAGAGGTCACGGAGGATAAACCTTGCGAATCGGACAATGTTGGCTTCTAAATCACCCTACTCAGCCTCGTTGGGCATGACGACCACTCCGACGCAAACCCAACCTTATCACACTGGGACGCCGGAAAGATCGGTCGCGGCGGCAAGCGCCCAGGAGGGGTCAGTGTTCACAACTCCAACGGAATCTGGGCTTTCTGATGGGAACGATAGACTTGATTCCGTCAGGTAAATATTCCGACTTGATAATCTGAAGCTTGTCTGTTCCCGGTATGACTGATAAATATAGGTCGTGGGATGAAAATCAGGTAGTAGCATGGCTACACAGTATAAACTGTGGGCAATATGAATCCCTATTCAAAGGTACTCCCAGAAGCAGCCGACCCTGAGTTACATCTCGTCCGTGCAGTGTGTCTGGTCAGTTGACTGACTTTAAGCAGCAAACAATTTCAATGGCGATAACCTCATCGAATGCGACCAAAAAATCCTACAGGAAATGGGTATCAAGAAGATCGGCGACCGTGTGCGCATCTTTGTTGCTATTAAGCAGCTCAGAAACAAAGCAGTGTCTAATCTCAAAAAGCGCAATATGGTAAGTGATCGAGTGGTTGTTTCAGAACCTATACTGACGTTGGCCCAGAACTCGTTGATGACCCTAGAAGCAACTACTTATATATCTGCCTCAGAATCTCGTAGCCCGCCCATCTCTCGCCAACGAACGTTGAGTAATCGTCGGTTGGGTGATAGTTCTTTGCATGGCTATAACACCCCAACCGCTGCCACAGGTGGAAAGCCATCTTCCCGACCTACATCACCCCCCGCAGCAGATATCGAGCGCTCACGCTCTCAGCGATATGCAACCTCCAGTTCGAACGAGCAAAGTATGGGCTTCTCGAATAATCAATCATCTGCTGGCTCCAGTACTACCCGAGGCGCAGGCGATGTGAACCAGACCGCGAACACTCATTTGAGACAGAACCCCAGTATCGACGGTTTGACGATGAGTCCTCTACCTGCAAATTCTCCTGTTATTAGGGTCATATACACAGGTGGCCAGACTAAAGTCTTGAACATCCAGCGCTGCAAGTCTTCTGATGAAATCATTCTTTGTGTCCTAAAGAAACTGCAGCTTCCTGAATATCAGTACCGGAACTACTGCTTTTATGTACTAGATGGCATTGATCCCGACCCCTCGAAGTGCAGAAGGCTTACAGAGTCGGAGCTCATGGAGATATGCGGCGATGCCAACAGACCTGAGCGTGGCCGTTTGATTTTGAGGAAGGTACACGCTGGTGAACCGGAGCCTGATGAGCTTCACCGTGCAGCTCAACTTGCAGGCGATGAAAGTCAGAGAAATACCGGCGGTATGCGGAACCCCCTTAAAAAGATTGAACAGCTTACCGGTGAATCCTGGCATAATATCAAACAACCGACATCCCCAAACACGTCTCGACAACATCAACCCCAAATCAGCGTAGAACGTCAATCTGGCTCGAAACTGCGGTCGTTCTTTGGTGCTAGGCCACCAAGTGAAATGATTATTCATGAGATCACATCATATTTCCCCAGCCACCACCGGGAGGATATTGAGAAGACTATGCGTATGTCAGTTCGGAGGTCTCAACGTCTCAGTCGGGCTGCAAGTCGGTTGAGCGTCGTCAGCAATCTAAGCTATGTATCTAGCTTAAAGGATGCACCTCCAATTCCCAGCATCGCCGATACCTGGCTCAATCAGGGAGCGCCGCCTACTCGAGCCTCACGACCGCTCTCGGTTTCAAAATTTAATTTGCCTCAAACGGTCTATCGAGATTCAATCGCGTCCAGTACTCTCCAGCCCCTCCAGGAGGAATCCTCCATCGAACCGAATCGCGAGTCATACGTCTCTTTTGCTAGTTCTGATGACCCCATCGGGTCACGTCAGAGCCTTGTTGACGAGAGCGCCAGTATTGCAACGACGGACGGTGGCTCTCTTAATGAACGACTGAGTGTCCTTGTCGCAGAAGATGGGGAAGAGGAAGATGCTGGTCTTAACGATTTCCTGGCTGGGAACAATTTCGCGCCTTCGAGTTGGATGAAAGGGTCTTTGATTGGTGAAGGATCTTTTGGGAGTGTTTTCCTTGCCCTCCACGCTATCACTGGAGAGCTCATGGCTGTGAAACAAGTCGAAATTCCCTCAGCCACAAAAGGTACCGAATTCGACCAACGGAAGAACAACATGGTTGCCGCACTTAAACATGAGATCGAGCTTCTCCAAGGACTTCATCACCCCAACATTGTGCAGTATTTGGGCACTTCCGCGGATGATGAACATCTGAATATTTTTTTGGAATATGTGCCTGGAGGCTCTATCGCCACCATGCTCAAACAGTACAACACCTTCCAAGAACCTCTGATCAAGAACTTTGTCCGCCAAATTCTAGCCGGCCTTTCCTATCTCCATAGCTGCGATATCATCCACCGGGATGTCAAGGGCGCCAACATTCTAGTTGACAACAAGGGCGGTGTTAAGATATCCGACTTCGGTATTTCCAAACGGGTGGAGGCCTCCACTGTACTAGGATCTCGAGCCAGCAATGGAGGGGGCCATCTACATCGACCCTCTCTCCAAGGCAGTGTATACTGGATGGCGCCAGAAGTTGTCCGTCAGACTGCACATACCAAGAAAGCCGACATCTGGAGCCTAGGTTGTCTGGTCGTGGAGATGTTCCTCGGCGCCCATCCCTTCCCTGACTGCAGCCAGCTGCAAGCCATTTTCGCTATCGGTAGCAATAAGGCACGGCCTCCACCCCCGGAAAATGCGAGCAAGGAAGCTGTAGCTTTTCTGGACATGACCTTCCAAATTGATTATGAGAAGCGGCCGACCGCAGACGAATTGCTGGAAACTCCGTTTCTGACAACACCTGTGGTATAAAGGCCACATCTCTCTCGGTTTCTCTATGAGCTGCTTTGTTACAGAACTGCTGATATTCTCCATGATCGATATGCTCTTATTTGGCTTGCATTATTGGCAATGCAGACAGCCTTTTTCTCGTTTTCTTTCACAACTGAATGTTTAGATGTGTACATGCCACGCCACGTTACCCTAATATATCCTTATCAAATCTCTACTAACACAAAGACAATTTCAGTGCTATGGGCCTTGTTCTCCATCTACGACATTTGCACATCATTGCTTTTTTCTAAGGTACCAAGCTGCAACGAACATATTGACATCATTTCTTTCTCCTCCCTTTTTTCTTTCCCCCCGCCCCTGTTGTTCGATAAAGAAATAACATACCTCCTTCCTATCTCTATTCCTTCGTTACTTGGCAAGAATATACCTGTGGGATACCTGCCGGAGTCAAAAGGATGACTATTGAATTGAGCATGAGAACTAATCATTGTTATGTATGATACATGGACCTTTGACCTGGCTGTCATTGGCATGAATAGTGTTTCTCGAATTTAGATTTACTCTTCATCTTTTTCTTCTACCCCTGCCAGCGTAGTTTTAGGGATAATATAATCAATCCAACAATACAACTGCTATATAAATATTTTACATGAGGTAAATTTAAGGGGAAAATACTAGAAAAACGCAGGGAATCAGTGTACAAATTGGCAAACCCCAAAAATGCGCTGGCAGCTTCTTTGGTACAAACATTCCTAGGGTTTGTAGGGATAAGGCTAAACGGACTTTCTTCAGTAATAAGCGACTGCCTAATTGACGATCTTTCCATAAAATGGAATTCCTAGGGCACTGAGAAGAAGTCGGGCATCCTTGTCGGTTCTCGCGGAGGTGTGCAAGGTGATGTGGCATCCAGGAATCATCTTAGCCGGGTACCTGTTGGAAAGGAAAAACCGAGTTAGTCGGATGGACAATTTGAGTGGTAACCCTTTTATTATTTCATTCTTCCTTTGTTCAAAAGATGAATGGGAGAAGGTATACCAGCTGTACGGAGAAACCCCCCAACTTACATGTCATAGTTAACTTCAATCTCAGGGAATAAGGCGACATTCTCCGGTTCCAGACCAAAGGTAATATTTCCGCTGCTATCGCCGCTAGTACCTTTGACACCCTTCCAGTCTTTGATTTTTGGCATGACGACATCGATCAATTTCCCCACAAAGTGGTACATATCCTCTCCTCGCAGCTCTGCCTTGACAGCCACAGTGCTTCTACCAGGCGCGATACCCCAGGGAGAGACGGAGCTCTTAGACTTGAATGTTTCCACGCGCACATTCGATATGGCCTGGACCGCCATGCCAGCGACGTGAAGCCAAGCTGAACTCTCCGTAGCGGCTTGCTTGATATAGCTATGAATAGTGACGCGCTCCAGCTTGGGTATGTTTCTGAAGTTGATCGGTTTGCGAAGTAATCTTAGAACGTCACCTCCGCGAGGTCCGCGCAGGGGCCTGTTGACATGGTACGGGGAACTGTCATCCCAGGAGCGAAGACGGGGTGCTTTTGATGGTGGTTCAAAACCCGGCGGAGTGTGGACGTAGCAGAGAGTCATGATATCTGAAGCTACGGTAGATTGGTACGTCTGCTCCACTCGGGGCAGAGAGAAGGGTCCCGGCACGAAGAGTCGCGAGGAAGGATCTGATGGCGGCGGAGGCCTGTGTGGATGTAGAGGACCACGGTCATATTTGGGGGAGCGAAATTGATAACTAGTAATCGGCAAATAGGATTAGAATAATGCTATTTCGTAGTTTTTTGAAGAACGATGATAAACCAGTCGGACTGGCTCTCAAACAACAATTATGTATACATACCGACTTCTTGGAAGCTTGAACTTTCGTGCCTTAGCTTTTGCAACAGGGTCGAATGTTTTCACAATCTCTTCCGGCACCGTCGCAGCAAAGGACGTCGCGGGCTCAATATCGTCGATGGTATCCGAAGAATTCCCCGACGCCTGACCGGAGGCATTGCGACGCCAGCTAGATGGCTGCAGGCGTGCTGATGGCACAGAAGCCCGGGGCAACGCTCGTGCTAAATACCTAGATGGCCGGCTTGCAGCCATTGTGGTGTGAATGCTGTGCGTTGCCAGTGTCAACTCGGGCTGAGACCTTCATGGCCGTTGGAGCATCTAAAAACTTACCGGTCCGTCCTTTGTCACATGACATTAATGCCTCAGGCAGAAAGGGGCTTGGCCGATACAATGACCACGTATTGTACCGTACCATACCATACCATATACCAGACCAGCCTATGCAGGCGCTAGTCCTATCGCATGTTTGCTAGCGCGGGACGCCGATCCAGGCAGCAGCTATCGCTTGCCAAGACAGATCTGGTTCCCCGCGCCAAATCGGAGATTCGGCGCTAAGTGCTCCGTAATATCACCCACCTCGTGATAATGACTGTCCTGCATTCTCCAGGTGAAGCTTCCATCTGGTCCATCTGCCATCAATGCTGCGAACGACCCATCACATCTGAGTCGCCTTCTGATGTTTTCGGAGACCCCACCTCAGATCTACCGGTGATCACTGATCAGACGAGTTGGAGCAGATGACATGTTTAGCCACTGGTTGCCTTGAGAATCTGGGAGCCTGGATTGCGTGGAGCTCACATAAGTGCAACCAACCGCCCTGTCTGCCTCCTCTGGTTTTTCAGCGTATCATCAACACTACAGGTAACGCCACCTGGCAACTATGAGTGGAATTCCAAGGTTCCTCAAAAGGAGAGAAAGGCAATCTGTACATGGAAGACGCCATGTTCTGGGCACCAAGGGAGAGGTACTGGCTTTATATCCACTTACATGAGCCGTCTTGTTTCTTCCGGTTTACTGACACTCGTTCTACTAGGCTTCGACTGCCTCCTCGCTCCATGCCCTACGAATCTTCTCCACATCTGAACCAGGCCCCGAAGACAAGAAATCTAAGAGCGAAGACAAAAAGGTACACTGATCTGAGGATAGGAGAGGTCTTGAAGCCCAAAGCTAATGAGAAATAGACAAAAGTGCTACAAAAACGCCTTGCTGACGTTGGAATTACTACCTTTGATGAAAAGAACGTCAGATATGCATTGCAGTCAACCTATGCAGAGGGTGACGTAGACAAAGCGTTTGACGTTTTAATCATCGTCCAAGACTCGATTGATGGAATTATCCGGGATTATTCTCCAAGTATCAAGCTTCTCGGCGCGGAGAATCGCGACTACGTTACTTGCTATCTCGATGCGCTTCTCTTCGCCATGTTTGCGCGCCTCGATTGCTTTGAGGCGGTTCTGTACAACTCTTTTAGTGATGAGCCTCGTCGGAAACTGTCCATCATGTTGAGGCTCTGGGTCAACATGCTGAGGTCAGGCAAACTTATCGCCAAGGATATTGTACGTGCTGCTCTTTGCTACCGGTTATATGATGAACATTTCATTTCGAATGAACACTAACTCAACGATTTACAGACAAAGCATCTCCAGGATGCCCTCGCTGAATGCGGTTGGGAAGATGCAGCCAAGATTCGCCAACAGGATGTTTCAGAGGCGTTCACGTTCATTACAGAAAAGCTAGAACTACCTCTGCTGACTTTGAAGATGGATATCTATCATACTGGCAAAGAAGATGCCACCGATGATCACAAATTTGTCAATGAGAGATTACTAGAAGTCGCCATACCACCTGATTCGGATGAGGGTAAATCCGTCACGCTGGAGGATTGCTTGGAATCGTACTTCAACAACAAAATTGAAGTAAAGCGATACCTCGAGCGGTCTAACACAACTGGCTCTACGAGATCTGTCGATTCTATTGCTAAAGGCTGGATAACGCACATTGAAACTGTGGAGGTGGACCCTGAGACGTCTTCGCCGATAACTCCCACTTCTCCTTGGGAACCAACGAACCCACTATCGTCGATTACGGACTTGGGAGGGTCGTCTATCTCACAACATAGTTCGAGGCGTCGAAGCAGCATCATACAACAGCGCTTTATTCCGGACCCGGATGATTCGAGTCACGAACCGCATTTTACAGCGCCGTACACTCGGCCACGTAAAGGTTCCTACAGAAAAGAGGTTATGATGCCGGCATGGCAATTCTTCAGCTTAATCCGTATGTATAAGTGAAACCAAAAAGGACATTACCTAAAATTGCGACTAACGCTGACAATCTTAACAGCGTGGTACACAGATAATACCCAAACAGATGATGCGCAGGTCGCATCACACTTTTCTTCAAAAAGACCCATAGTTGGATTATGCTTGAAGCGCTACACAATGACACCAACCGGAGAGGTAAAGAGGCTTAGCACGCATGTTGATATACCAACTGAGATTGGCCTGCCACACTTTATCCAAGATGATAATATGGACAGCGACGGATCGATTTATGGGAATTTCAAACTCTCATTGCAGGCCTTTGTCTGCCATCGAGGGAATTCTGTTAATTCTGGTCATTATATCGCCATTGTTAGAGGGACTAATGCTGGTGCTACTCCGGCTGACCGCAGTAGCTCCAGTCAGTCCACCGATGATCCTTCGAGATATTGGATGCGCTTTGATGATTTAGCAGAGGAACGAGTCACTTTGGTTGATGTAGAGAAGGCTCTGGAGTCTGAGTCCCCATATCTCTTGTTCTACCAGATCCTTCCTATCGACGAGGATGCTGCCGAGGCGAATCTAAGATTTACCAACACTTCCAGTCTTTCGTCAGCTAGTGTTCCGGAGTTAGATGTGACAGAAGTTTCCGAGTCATTACGCAACTCGTCTACGAGCACACAAGGCGCCGAGCGCGTTGAAGGATTTGCTTCGATGCGTCCAAGCCTCGAAATCACTGCCCCTGAAACGCCCGTTGCCGATGAGAGGAGAAACAGCACGCTTTCGGATTCCGCTGAGACTCCGACCGTGAACGGCAACCTTCGAGTGAACCCCGCTAGCTCTTCGACTCGCGATGATGGATTGAAGGGCGAAGGCACCAGGAGGTCCCTTTCTTTCTCTAGACGCGGTTCTAGAGTATCCAGAAGGAGCAACCCCAGCAGTCGTGACGGGAGCCAAACTGGTGACAACCGACTTAGCATAGCTCTCTCTAACCTTCGGCTCTATACCAAGGATAAAATGAATGACGAATTGTCCATTGAAGAGAACGGTGAAAAATGTGCGACACCTATCACTACAGTGAAGTCCTCACCGCCAGGTGGCGAAATAAGAGATAGGAGTACCGCCAGAAAGTGCTCGAAAGATCGTGGGAGATCTAGATACCGACAAAAGGAGAGGTCCAGGAATAAGATGGGCAGGAAGCCAGATCGGGAATGCATGGTTATGTGACGATGACATGATGACTCACGACACGAACAGCACAGATGGCTGATGCTTGCCGATTGCATACCTTTTATAACTGTATACACTTTCCTCGCAATTACATATTTCGCATCGATGGTTCCAAGTCTTGGTGCATTTATAGTTGACTTGATTGATTCCGTTGTGCTATATAAAAAGACTTACCTATGTGTCAGCGACGGATTGATCTGATCAGCGGCTGTATTCACATTGTCCTTCTGCCGGCAGGAGAAAATTGATAGACTGCAGTAGTATTAATTAGGTTCTCGATTCTGAACTATTTATGAAGATTGCACTTAATAGTACGTACAGTAGTCGTTACACATTGATGCCCCAGGCATAAACACATGTGACTTAAATCGTCTGCCAAGCTACTGCGACATAGCTCCACGTCTTCCTGCGCAACATCCGGCTTCCAGTATCTAAGGCCTATTCTCCTCCCACAGAAGTCTACTGGCTTCTAGCTATGCATTGCTTGAAACCCGCTATGATATAGTCTCCATAAGATTAGCGCATAATGGCGCTGGACGCTTCCAGCGGTTATGTTGCACCCAGCAACTTGGCCGAGCCCTTGGACTCGTTGCTGCCCATATTCGATGTCCAACCTGTTCAGCTTCGATTCCCGATAGCCGCAGATTTTGTGGCTGCGCAAGTTGCAAATAATGTACTTATACTCGCCTTGTCTACCGGCCGCATTCTACGCATTGACCTTGAAGCCCCCGAAGACATTGACGGTAAGGGTCCAGCTGCAGACGTCTAGATTGCATGTCTACTGTTCCTAATGCTGAATGGCCTGGCATACTTCCAGATATTGATCTTCCAAGAAAATCTTCGGAAACGGGAATAATACGTCGCATGTTCCTCGACCCCTCCGCATCTCACCTAATTATTACCACAACTCTCGGCGACAACTACTATCTTCATACTCAGTCGAGGCAACCGAAACCGTTGTCAAGGTTGAAAGGCGTGCCGATTGAGAGCGTCGCTTGGAATCCATCATTACCCACAACATCTACCAGAGAGATTTTACTGGGTACCACAGATGGCACTGTTTACGAGACTTACATCGAGCCATCCACTGAGTTTTATAGGAGGGAAGAGAAGTACGTGACTGCTGTTTACAGGGTGCCAGAGACATCGCCAGTAGTGGGGATCTGGGCGGATTTAGTACCTACGAAACCTGAAAGGAGACGAGTGCTGGTCGCGACACAGGGAACATTCCGGCATTTCTTAGGGAATGCAGGGAGACATGGCAGAGAAGGTGGAAGCTCTGTGTATGCGGATTTTTTCCAGCGGGAGACACCTCTGGCTCATGAGATTCAGGGCCGACCTGGCGCCGCACCCTCCACGCTGGCCATCTCTCCTGCCCTTTCTGACGGTTATTCCGCAGGTTTCGTTGACAAGGAATTTGCGTGGCTCAATCACCAGGGAATATTTCATGGTCAAGTTACATATTCATCCGACAAAATAAGTCGACCTTTTGAAAGTTCCAGGTTGATACCTCGCTCGGTATTTCCCGAAACTCAGTCCGCGCGAGGGGGAAGGAAACTGATTCAGGACCCCATAAGTGCAATGACGCTGTCACAATGGCATATATTAACGCTTGTGGAAGGGAGGATAATAGCCGTCAATCGCCTGAATGACAAGGTTGTTTGCGATCAACCATTGCTTGAACCGGGGCAGAGCTCCCTTGGTCTTCTGACAGACAGGATGAAGAGCACGTTCTGGCTGCTGACTAGCCGGGAGATTTATGAGATCACTGCTCATGATGAAGACAGAGATATTTGGAAAGTATTCCTTCAGGAGCGGAAGTTTGACGAAGCTCTCCAGTATGCGCATGGAGCTGCTGAGAAAGATGCGGTCGCTACTGCTTCAGGCGACTTCTTAGCCAGCAAGGGCCGTTATTTAGAAGCGGCTAAAATATGGGGCAAGAGTAGCAAAGGGTTCGAAGAGGTCTGCTTAACGTTGATTGACAACGGGGAGCATGATGCTTTGCGCACCTACCTTCTTTCTCAACTGTCGGCTTATAAGAAGTCATCTACCATGCAGAGAATTATGGTTGCAAGCTGGCTTGTAGAAGTATTCATGGCGAAACTGAACTCCCTGAACGATAATTTAGCCACCAAGGCGGAACTGACCGAGGGCACGAGCACTGGGGACATCAGGGACGAACTCAGTAGCGTCCGGGCTGAATTCCAGGAGTTTGTGAACAAATACAAGGCAGACTTGGACAAAAAGACGGTATACGACATCATCGGCAGCCATGGTAGGGAAGAGGAATTGCTCTTCTTTGCTACAGCCACCAATGATCACAATTATGTGCTATCGTATTGGATCCAACGCGAGAAATGGTCGGAGGCATTGAATGTCCTACAAAAGCAAAGCGATCCCGATATATTTTATAAATATAGCACCGTCCTCATGGCGCATTCTGCTACGTCTTTGGTTGACATTTTGATGCGACACACGAATCTCGACCCCGAGAAATTGATACCTGCGTTGCTGAACTATAATAAGACGGCGAATGTCCCTCTGAGCCAAAACCAGGCTGTTCGATACCTTAATTTCATCATCGTCAACCACCCCAGACCATCTGCTGCTGTGCACAACACCCTTATATCGATTCACGCATCGAGTTCCTCAACATCTGAGGCTGGTCTACTTACTTATCTTCAGTCGCAGCCGTCATCTCCACCTCCGTACGATGCTGACTTCGCCCTCCGGCTGTGCATCCAACACCAGCGCATCCAGTCCTGTATCCACATCTACAGCACTATGGGACAATACCTCCAGGCAGTCGAATTAGCATTAAAACATGACGATATCGAACTAGCAGCGATTGTAGCGGACCGGCCGGAGGGCAACGACAAGCTTCGCAAGAAGCTATGGCTACTTATTGCGGAGAAGAAGATCCGACAACCGGGAACCGGCATAAAAGACGCAATTGAATTCCTTCGGAGATGCGAGCTTCTCCGCATTGAGGATCTCATTCCATTCTTCCCTGACTTCGTGGTCATCGATGACTTTAAAGATGAAATCTGCAGTGCTTTAGAGGATTACTCGCGGCATATCGATGCTCTGCGACAGGAGATGGACAATTCCGCACAGACGGCTCATCGCATCCGATCTCAAATCACCACTCTGGACACGCGGTACGCCATCGTCGAGCCAGGCGAGAAATGTTGGACCTGTTCCTTGCCCTTGCTTAGTCGGCAGTTCTTCGTGTTCCCTTGTCAACACGCCTTCCATAGCGATTGCTTAGGAAGGGAGGTGTTGGAAGGCGCGGTAGGAAAGAAGAAGTACATACGAGACTTACAGGCGCAATTAGGCAGGGGTGATATCACAGGTTCCAGGAGAGAAGAGATAGTGAAGGAGCTGGATGGTATAGTTGCAGAGGCTTGGTGAGTTGTCCTCTGATCATCATAATCATCAGCCTGCTAATTGATTATTGTGTAGTATTCTCTGTGGCGACCATGCGATAAAACAGATCGACAAACCTTTCATTCCAGAGTCAGATAAGACAGATAATTGGACCTTGTGAACTTTTGTAGTATAATGCCCGGTACAAGTAGCTATTTAAACAAATACCCTTTGACATGAACTAGGTTCTTAGTATGTATCAGGAGAATTCCAGTGCCTATATATACCCCATACATTTATATTTACAAGGAAGAAATATTGGGCATACAAGATAAAGCCAAGGAGAATCCCATCCAATATAATAAGCAGAGGTAAGAAAAAGAAAGCAAGAAAGGTGCTACACCAACAAAAGCTGCAATAGCTCCAAATCCTTAGCGATAGCCGGACTGTATGGGGCACATTCCTCAATAAACAGAAGCATCTCGTCATTCCACCTTTCCCAGCCGAGAGGGAGGGTATCTCTGATTCTAGGATCGGGAGAGCGCGATATACAGTAGAACAGGAGGATTTGGCCGAAGAATCTTAGCCGAAAAAAAGTAGTTAGTAATCAATCATTTTGATTCTAATTACACTATACGAAGTAAGCGATAGCCAACTTACTGTGAACAAAAAGCAAACTTGATAGGAATGCAACTCTTCATCTTCCTAAATACACCCTGGATAATGGGCCAATCCATTGCATTTCGCAGTCCACTTTTGACCTGTTCCAGATCGTACTCCGTCAGGGCCGACGGGGTCCGGAGCGCCTTATATATGTATGGACGGCCGATGTGGAATTTGGCGATTTTGTACCGGCCTCTGAGCATGGCGTCTGCGACGGCTGAGGCGGGAGAGAGGGGCCGGTGCGGGTCCATGGGTAATGGGGACATGGGAGATGCGGAGGCTGAGAGAGATACAGATACAGATGCGGAAGCGGAAGCGGGGACGGATGAAGCATATGGGTTGTTGGGGATTGTGCTCGTGTCTGCTGTTGAGAATTGGAGGGGAGGAGGGAGGTTGATGCGCCACTGCTCGAGCTGGTGGTGTAGTTCGGTGTTGATGGCTGGGAGAGGGAAGGTTCCTGAGTCGGCTTTGGACGGTTAGATGGAAGCATCTAACGAGAAACAATCTCACTTACAGAAAAAGTACAAGGAATGCCGTATCCGCGTGAGAATAATCCGATGAGCAACCTGTGCTAGGAAGTGGTACTGGAAGTAGGAATCGTCCAGCTCGTCGCACAGCGATGGAAACTTGGCCGGCACAAATCCTGCAGTTTCAAACCCAATAAACTTGGGAATAGGAACCAGTTCTTCTAATCGCAGGAGTCCGCTGGGGGGAAGATGGAGCTCTTGTACAAGGATTGTCTCGACCATGAGGCAGTTCCAGAACACCCGGGATTTCATGTCGCCTTCCCACTCGTCGAAGTTAACTCGGTGACTGCAGGTTGGTGTCAGTCGTGGAGAGGATAGGATGTACATGGTAGAGACAACTTACTTTGTCAACATTGAAAGGCAACACGTTGCGGCGCGGTGAATCATGGCCCATGAGTCCATAGGGCGGAGTATTTGGGTATAATACACGCTTTTTTTCAACTCACTGTCAGAAGACCAGAAAATAGCAAATAATTCAAAGGAGACATCCATACGAAGATAGCAGATAGAATTGGCAGCTCTGAATGTCATTGCCGCAGATCAAAAACCCAATGCGTCTTCGGGCTTCATTAAAGAAGCGTAAACCTGACGGCTCCTCATGAACCACACTCATCCAGTCCGGCGGCTCGAAGCGATGGCTCCTTGTTCCAGGAAGCGGATAGTTACCCTCCTGCAGAGCCCGGACAGCCAGACAGCCCAAGGCCATGACATTGAGCACCAGACAGCTCTCTATGGTGTAGCCGAATCCGCTCTCTATCGCTGCTCCCAGCGTAAATGTGAAGTAGAAGACTTTGTCGATAATGGGAGTGAATGGGTTGAATATGGCGAAAAATGAATCAGAGAGACCCTTGACCACCGTAACGGGGAGAGCCTCGAGCCAATGTTCCCCGGCTTGTGGAGGGAATGGCTGGATATACATGGGTAACGGAGGGCGATTCATCTCAGATTCAATAACGTAGTTCTCCCCGAGCGCCTCATGCGCTGTGAGGATTGCCTCTGGCAGGATCTTCCGCGCTCCCGGCCAGAGGATCACACCATGCTGGCTGAAAGAAATGGATATTTGTCCTGTAGAATCAGCGTCATCCTGGTGCTGCTTTTCGATATCGAATTTGTCGGACTCTTCGATTGCAGGTGTTGTCGACGGGACACGCAGCATGCGTCCACCAGGACTAAGACCCTGTAGATGATGCGATCCCTTGAAATCATGAAGCACCTGTCCCTGGACGACAGATTGCATATCATTGCAGATGGTTGATGGGAGACCTTCCAGCTTGGTCTCTAGTCGATGGAGCGTGCTTATGATCATGCTCAACGACTGATCTCGTCTAATTGAGTACCCGTGATCAGAGAAAAGCCATCAGATAAATACTGGATTCTAACAGGACTGACTCACTTGGTAGATTTACGGTCATTATAGACACATTCCAACCCCAGCGACTTACACAAGCCGCACCTGGGCCTGGACTCATCGCATCGCGTCTTCTTGAGTCGACAGTTCTCGCATGCCTGGATAACTCTGTTACCACTCTATATATGCAAATAAAGGTCGAGAGAAGACAGGACACAGGGTTCGTAATACCACTGAGGCAATGAAGTGCCTGGGCCTCTTAACATGAGCAGCAGGAGGATGCTGCTCGTCCGTGGAGGAGAGCAGGTCATTGATGGGCAACAGGCTGTTGTCATTGTTGGGAGCAGAGTTGGTGGTGATGCTGGGATGCTCTGGTGGCTGCGACAGCGATGACTCCCCGTGCTGGCGCTTGTTCATGGCGCATGTTTGGTAGGGACTATAAGCGGGATCTTCTCTCGTGTTTATTCGGTTTCTCAGCTCATCTCTGGTTCAGGTCATGGCCAGGATGGGGTTTGCTGATGTCGCCAGCTCTCCTTGCAGCGATGACGGAAGTTTCTCGGCACTGCGGGAAGAGAAGAGAAAAAAAGCCTTGGAGAAAAGGTCGACATTCTACTCTTAGTAGTTACTACTTAATAAGATCAACTGACAACTAATCCTTCTAAATTACGACGGGGGACCGTTTATTTCGACTGCTCAGATTGATTTGTGGATTATTCCAGTCTAGCTACAGTACACAAGTCCAGCCCAGCACTGCGAGAAAACCCTTGACACTTCCCCTGGCACACTTGTCGAGGTCCTCGACCCTCAAAAGACACTTTTTATGCCCATATATCCAGCCTCGTTCTCATCCTCAGGCACATGTACGGAGGATTAAAACGCATCTTCAGCAATGCAAAATAGTACAAAATTTGAGTGGGAGATGTCTGGTTGAATTTTTGTCTTTTGCGTAGATTCGTCACCAGAGAGCATTCCAGCAAAGGAATCTAATGAGAATTGACGATTGGTTTATGCCTTTCATATTTTCTGCTTTTCCTCTTCCCCCCCCTTTATTTCTCTTTTCCAGCTGGGTTCAACAGAAGCAAAAAGTACACGGAGAAAGCAGCGACGAGGATCCACAGACAGTGAGAAAGAAATCAAGTTAGTTAGAACTACAGATGGAGATCGTGCCAGCCACCGACTAGGTCAAGGTCTTCATCGACACTGCCGTCATAACCACTAGTGTACGGTTTGATCTGCGTTGGCTTCGTCGTTTCGAACGAGTCACGGCGCCAGTCCTTGTCGAGGAAAGATCGGTTGCGACGTTCGTGATGCGGTGAATACGTCTTCTTGACCCAAGATCCGTAGTCAAATCCGGAGGACCCAAGCCCCCAGTCCTTTCTCCAACTCATGTTAAACGTGTCCTTAGGCTGGCTCCTCTCACTGGGCTTATAATTCCTCCTCCGGTCGCCAAGCACTGCCCACTTGTCAAGGTGGGACTTCCTTGGAGGAGAGCGGGAGACGGGCCAAAATTTGGGGCTATGAGCGGCGATATCAGCCTTATCAGCCTTGTCAACGGGAGACTTCGGCGACGTCCCGTCCGAAGGCATATCCCTGGGGCTGGAACGTTCATTGACGAACGAGGACGACTTCGGCTCGTTCAGCCCCTTCCGAGAACTAGGAAGATCCCTGTTCTGGCTCTCTTGGCTCCAGCTACGGGAATTCTGCTCCCGGCGCTGTTGCAGAGCCAAGTCTTCGTTCTCAGACTCTTCCTCGTCCCAGAGGTCACTCCAGCTTTTCGAGATCTGATCATTCTTGTTCTTGCCGAAAACCATGGAGAGTGAAGGAAGCGGTTTGAAGGCATTGCCCGGCGATGATCCGGTAATCGGGACAGGATCGGAAGGTGGTGGATACACGGGGCACTTCTTCGCGAGCGTAGTCGACTTGTACGACTCTCCAAGAGCAGACTCCAAAATGGATGCCATGGATGGCGTACCGGGACGAGCAGAGAACCAGGATGTGCCGGCAAATTCCGAAGGCGGGAATAGTTCCTCAGAGTAACTCTCGGTATCGGGGATGGCAGACAATTGCCGAATAGCCTGCGGCGGGGTGGATTGCAGAGCTTTGGCCCATGGGAAGGATTCGCCCTGGTTGATGTTCGGACTCTGGATGGATGGTGTCCTGAGCGGTTCACGGTCGGCACTTGCGGGAACCACTTCCCTATCTTCCGTGCAGAAGTCATCCAGCGACTCATCATCGGTAGTAAACGAAATTGCCCGTATAACGGCGTCACGGACGCCCGAAAGAGAACGCTTCTGTGGGTCCAGGGCGAGGGCGTGGGCCAAGATTTCATACGTATCCTGGGACATGTTAGGGAACACGTCGAAGAGGGACTGTCGATCACGAGCATAGTCCGCGAAGAGGACGTCGGACTCAGTCGGCGTGACAAACGGATTACGGGCAAATAGGACGTTAAGTAGACAGATGCCCATAGCCCAAATGTCAGCCTTGGCAGGTGAGTAGCCAGTACCCGCTGGATCATACTGTTCCGGGGCCATGTAGCGGTCACTCCCAACACAGGCTTCTTGACACCATTCATCCCGAGTCGCCAAACCGAAGTCACCCAACTTCATAGTTCCGTCCTGCGTCAGAAAGATGTTTTCCGGTTTGATATCGCGGTGATAGAGGCCACTGGCATGCATAAACTCGACAGCACTGATTAGCTGCAGCATGAAGTCACGCACATGCTCGGTCTCCAAGGGGCCTCGGTTGAGTCTGATGGCCTCGTATAGATCACCATTGGTGCAATATTCCAATACCAAATAAAGATGCGTATCGGTCTCGAAGGAATGGATAAGGTTGACGATGTTTGGGTGATATCCCAGACGCCGGTGAGACTCCAGTTCTTCCAATCGGTCATCCGCGGGGATGGGAGTGCTTGATCCAGAGGGTGTCTTGCTCATGCATTTGATTGCGACATCCTGGCCAGTTTCGGTGTCTCTGGCAAGGAAGACCATGCCAAAGGAGCCATGATTCAAGGGGGCCACGGTCTGGAAGCGCCCATCCAAGAGCTTTCCGGCAACGAACCTGTCTCTAAAGTGGTCCATGACTCGACACGATCGAGAAAGCACCAAAAAAAAAGAATAAAAAAATGACAAAGAATAATTAAATCGAACACAGCAACCAGGCTAGAGCGAGAAAGGAAAACCGGAAGCAGGGAACAATAATCCTAGCAAAGACCCAGTACCACCGAAAACAAGATGCCCAAGAAAGCAGAAAAAACGAAACGAAAAGAAAAAGAGAAGTATTCAACTCTGGGACGGTTTCTTCAGACTTTCATATGAATATTTAAGGTGAAGGATATGTCGACAAAAGAAATCGCAACGAGGAAAGTTGAAAAGAGTTCGACTGGTAACCACGGGGGTCAAAGACAGTAGGAAATGGTAAAGACTGTGATGTGTTTATTCATCGGTATATCGTTCTGGGATGGATAAGGTCGCCTAATCGAAGATAGTCGGGGCGTAAAGAGAGCGTTGAACAGAAGGAATGAATCGATGCCGGCAGGCAGATGGCAGAACAGGCGAAGGAAATTAAAACAGAGTAGGCTGTGGCCGAGATAAAATCGCTGCGTAAGATCGTAAAGTTGATAGTCGACGTTTTAAACGGACGTAGTTATAAAGAGTAGGCCCTCAAGCACCTGGTCGAAAGGAACAGGTGCTGACGAGTCAACGAAAACAGTCGAGTCCGAATGTAAAGCTCCTGGATTGGAGTAGAGCTGTTGACGATTCCCTGAGGGCGTATATAACTGGTCGTAGTAGTCCTCCAGAAGGAAGCCAGTATATAGTATCCTGAATGGTCTGGTCTGCAGAGACCCGAGGTCTCTTATAGCAAGAGATCACCCAAGCCTCGCACCTCAATCGACGAACGATCCGACGTCAAGAGCTACCACCTGCAGACAGATCGATACGCCTCTTTTATTGGCACGGCGAACAACTCGAATAGGCTTGAAGATTGTTGACACGAAGGGAATTGTCAAGTGATGTGGATAGGCGTTGATGAGTCACCGGAGTCCAGGGAGATAAAGTAGGCAATGGGGAAAAGGAGTTGGAAAGTGAAAAAGGATAAAGACGAGAACCGGTAGTAGATCAAAGGAGCACGATTGAGGGAAGAGAGGTCAGCGGGAACTGATGCAGGCTGAGATTGAACTTGATCTATGACAGAGATACTATCATGCTGCAACGTCGACGGAGACTCTGAAGGGGAGACGTCGGGAGGCGGACGGGAAGGGAGATAATGATGAGGAACAAGGAGATGAAGGAGAAGAGGAAGACGGAGGATGGAGAGCGAGAAGAAGAGAAGTGATGGAGGAGGGTAGGCGGCGGAAGTGATGCGTTCAGGGGAGATGAGGATATCAAGGAGGAGAGGAGAGGAGAGGAGAAGGCCGACTGATAATAATGCCGCTCAGCTGGTGGAGGAGAGGAGAGGAGAGGAGAAGGCCGACTGATAATAATGCCGCTCAGCTGGTGGAGGAGAGGCAGCAGCCACAACAGAGGTTGGCCCGCCATCGGAACCTGGGGGAAACCGCCGAACCCACCAGAACCTGCTGGACCCAATCACACGTGCCGTATTCGGAGAAACTATCCGCTTCCGGCTAGCACGCCATCGCAGCGCCCGCTGGCAATACGTCAAGTACCGTACCGTACACAGGTACGGTATTACGGCGACCGCCGTCGGATCGACATTTGGTGTGTCTCATCGACTCCATCCTGGTACATCCGGTCCACAGCCTCCAAGGTTGGTTTTCCTTGTGAAGCTCATCTCCAGCCAAACAAGAACAGCACTGCTTCCAAGGTTGTCGTTGATAGATGGCTATTCTACTGAAGCCACCTGGCAACTTCCTGTGGTTCTACCAACCGTCTTGTCGCCTCCGATCTCGACTGCGGAACTCTCCATTGCAAATACCGCTGCGGAGTCGTCCACTGCCGGTAGAATCTTTAGGTCACCTGTGAGGTCACAGGGCATCCGTTGCGTGTTATGATTGTGTAAGGAATTGCGCTTCAATATGCTGGCTTCAATAATCGGTCTCATGTAGGCCTCCACTGTGCATTATTACTATTGCTATATTAGGTATTGTATAATTTGGGCATAGCTATTTACTACCTAGGTAAGGTATTAGGTAGTGCCGCGTACCGCGTGCCCGTGTAATAATCCAGTCCGTGTTACGTGTCACACAGTCCGCTGTTACTCCCGTGCTAAGCAGACCCTGTGGAAGTACGGAGTATTATTATTATTATTCAGTCTCAACGTAATAATGGTTAATCAGCAATTAATAGTGAGGTGGCGCAACCTTTTGCTTTCTGACATCTGCTGCAGTGACCACCTTTGGGGATGTGCTCCAATAACACGGTCGCTCTGGGACGTTCGATTCTGCTGTTTTCAAAGGCCAGATGACGCTATGCCAAGATGATGTGAAGATTCTTCCTTATCACCTGTCAGGTCCCTCTTTGACATGGAGACCCCATGGTACTCTGCTATATTGCTGCGGATGGCGTGATGAGGACTACTGGACAGACTATGAAATTGGTGATATCACTGGTACAGCGTACCGTCGAGATACGGCATACAACGTACGGAGTAGGGGATGATACGACATCGAGGCTGCTTGGATGCATGCACGCTGTACGCCGCAGATACGGTGAGCATGCTATATTAATCCTTCTCCTAATAGTAAATACTACTGCTATGTCTCTCGTACCTGGCAAGAAATATAAACTTTGCGATCTGATCGGCCGTGCGTACTCGACCTATTCACCGCCTGTCTTGCTGCTCGCAGGGTTTCCCTGGTGCTTGCGTGTCGACTTCTATAAATCCTTGAAGATACGTCTTCCATGCAAAGGTGTTCCTCAAAAGCATCACGCAACGAATTCTTCTGCGGTTTCTTTGTTTCCATCAGATTCTACGCAGGACGCGGTGCTATCTTCCCTTTGCGGTTGTCCTTCTCGACGCATCATGGCCATGCTGGGCATGCCTCGCAAACTTAGATAACAGCGGAGCAACTCCTTTCTGCATAATCATATCAATATCAACCCTCTTCTCTCCTTATCATTGAGATGAGATCGCTCTCCATTCTGCCGCATGCGGCATCTTATCTCAAGCAAACGATCGATGACGCAAACCACCTCTACAACGCTCTTAACTTTCAATAACGTAAATCACCCACTACTGAACCCAATTCATCAATTGGTAGTTCAGACTTCAGATACCATAGTGTTTAATGATAAGGGGGCAAAGGAGGGGACGCATACCCAACACGGCAAAAGGGTTTCAGACTTCTCTCGGTGGCGTGTACAGTGTACACTGCACGATGGAGTTCTCCGTCCTACTCTGGCTGTACGCAGACCTTACCCCGCATGATCTTCGCGTCTGCGGACTCGCTCTTTTGGAAACAGAGCATGAGACGCGAGGTGTCACAGACTAATCATATCAGATATATTGACGACTGCAGGCCGGAAGGCTGGGAGAAGGGGTCAGATGATGGTCTAACCACCTTCATGCTTATTTCTGTCGGTCTGTGGAACTCTAATTCTTTTCCTATTGCAAATGGTCGACAATAACATCCTGTACAGCATGGAAAGACGAGACAGGGTACCTGAATCCGGCGAATACATGCCGTGCCGGGGAGATCGTTGCCCATCGCGTACAGGATGCATCAATAGCGTACACGTATGGACTGACCGCTGTATCACCTACCCTGCATCCTGTTCTGCACCTGTCTTATGGAAAGATATGTAGGATCAAGTGCATGTACTACCGTTGAAAGCTGCCGTTTCTACGTAGTAGGCAATTGCAGAATGGACTAAAACATATCTCCAGCCACCAACATATCCACATTAGTTGTATTTCCAGACCATAACCAGTTATCCTCCGCACGCACCGATACGGCGCCTATTACTGTTGACTGGCCAAATTTTACGATAAATCAGAAACGGCTGCCAAATCAACCGCTACATAATCCTATCCCTCTTTGGAATGGTGCAATGGAGTCCCCGTTCAAGTGGCCTGTAGATATTCAGGGATCAGCCTAGCGGTAATGAAAATGAAGCTATTCATGGAGATACCATTGGATTCCTGCATGGCTGCAATTCTACCCGACGGACTGCCAAACATAGTCGCTACTGTAATACAGCATCGGTGGAGCACAGTATACAGCTCTGGCAGGCAACTTGGACCGACTGGAAAGTCGACAACCACAAGCTTGCATGGAGTTAGCTCTGTGTCACCACGTCAAGGCTGGTCACCGCTTCGGCAACTTCGGTCGAGACGAGACGAGACGCATCATCCTCGTTATCCAATTCCTCAACGGGCCCTGGTCGATTCGCCCGAGTATGTAACCGAGGCTCCTTGGCACATTGTTGGGGTGATATGGAGCAGGAAGTTGTCAAACTGTCTGTGCGGACTTCCAGACTCCGTAACAAATGACTCAAGGCTCCTAGGGCAGGAATAGAAATGTTTCAGTGGAGATGGAATGGAGCATTACAGCAATTGCTCGCAGGCTACAGCATTACGCGTGGACTGGACTAACGTTGCGTATGCGCTGTGCCACTGCTACCATGTTATGTTGACGATGGAAGAACCTGATTATCATTAGCCTTCACTGCTTTCTGTTTCAGGTACGCTGGATTGGACGGAGAAAGCAAGAATGGGTGCAGGGATCCAGATATGTTAACTTCCATCGTGTTCTAGACGTGGAGCGCTTAAATTTCTATAAATACCAGCCAGCAACAGGCATATTGGCCAAGTCACCAGAAACGTGGAACAGGGTCGAGCACTAGGCATGGGTCCACCGTCCACCGCATTGAAACAAGCAATCATTACAATGATTCCAGACATCCACTTAGCCTCTCTCTTTTGCGTGGTTTTGTTGGCAATCATGGGCCTGCGCAGTCTTCTTGTTGTCGAGTTACAACTTACGAGAGGACTGATTTAGGCGCCGAAATGACGCACGACTACTGCAAGGCGTTCTGCTGACAGAGATACCAAGGCAGAAAACAGCTTCAGCCCCTAAAGCATACGTCCAAGTTGCGCGCCTGGCTGCTTATTCAGATCCACGATCCTTCGAGAACTTGACTACTCAGTACGGAGTGCAATCCTTGATTAATTACCGACGTCGCGAGTTCTCGAACAAGAGATCTAATCGGCACAGCGGATATCTACAGCCATCAATGTCATGGACAATCGGATTAGTTAAAACTTGTGAAGACCAGCTGTCGAGGTGCTTCTGCAGGATTCCAACCGGGTCCATTGAATTGCAGCGCATGCAGCTAACTCACAACTCTTGTCTGTCCGATTGACGGACAGTCTGCCCTTTGTTTCATCCACGATGGTGCGTATTACAGCTTCGACTGGAGCTGGAGAAGGCCTTTCGAGTTATCGAGAGTCATAGTCGGGATGTACCTCCCGACTTCCACCAGGCTGGACATATCCATACTAACCAAAACGTATCGTAAAGCATTCTCCATAAGCTTCGCAAGACATCATGCTAGACGACTTGGCGTAGACAAAAGAAGTGTTAATTCCTGCTAAACTCCCAACCGAAACTCTAGAAAATGGTTGGGGCGGTCCAATCAAGAAAAGCGGTCACGGGAAAAGAAGTCCAACTCGAGAATGTCAGCGATGAATGTCGTCGCACAAACCGATTTCTGCAAAAATTGCTACCGATGCCTCTTGACCCGAAGCGCTGTCCATTGGACGATTCTTCTTGACGTCTTTGCCTTTCTGACGAGTAGCGGGTCGTTTGGTTCTGCCCCCTTTATCGCTATCTGTCATACTTTTGTCTTCTGCGCTTTGTTCCAGGAGCTCTTAGAACAGCCCAGCGCCAGCTCTATATGAAGTATGATTGTCTCTGTACTTTTTATGGCTTTGATATGCTGAAATAGCTAAAAAAAATTGTCTAGGATGAATATTCGACCCCTTGATTGACGGCTTCTTAAGTCTCAACGATCGGAAGCCTGCATTTGCTTCGCATCACCTGTCGCAGCTTGTCTCACGATCTACAGCGTACCGGACGAGGCGAATTGACAAACCGCGTCTACCTGCATACTACAATCGTTGTTTATTATTGTTCACAAATACATAATGCTGCTCACTGGCTGGACTGCGAAATGCTGGATATGCGCCGTGATTTACCTCTTCCTCATCCTGACCAGACAGGCGACGAGCGAGCCCATCACCTCAAACTTCGAACAACGTTCTAGAGAAGACACGGAGATTACAGACGCAGTATGCTCTTTTAAGGACTGGAGAGAGGTACAGGCGGGAGTCTTTCGACTACCCACATGTACAGAGACGCGATGGGAGTCCCGCGCAAGAACGGCGGTTCATGGGAATGCGACAACTATAGATCGAAGACAGCAGACGCCAACTGCTTCTATCGAATCCTCTGTTTCTGCTAGCAGTACGGCCGTTCCTACAACCGACCAACCGAACGATCAAGAACTCGACACTGACTCGCCGCTTGACAATGCGAATTTCTTATCGTTCGAGGACTGGAAGAAACAGAATCTCGCCAAGGTTGGCCAATCAATCGAGAATGTCAGTGGTAACAGGCGAGCGACGGCCGCGACAAAGGGAGACAGGCGGCGGCCTACAGGGATTAACAATGCGTTGGATTCTTTCGGAGATGAAGCGGAAATCGAACTTGACTTCGGTGGATTTGGTGCTGAACCCCCGACTACCGCGAAACCTACGTCATGGGGGATGAATGATCCTTCCCAGGACCCTTCAAATATCAAAAATGGCGACGGAAGGTTTGCGGCAGGTTCGCCTTCTCAAGGCGTGGAGTGGACAGGCACATCACGTAGACACGACGCTGGCACCACCTGCAAGGAAAGATTCAATTACGCCTCGTTTGACTGCGCTGCTACCGTCTTAAAGACCAATCCTGAGTGCAAGGGCTCATCGTCGGTCCTGGTCGAGAACAAAGATAGCTATATGCTCAACGAATGTCGGGCCCAGAACAAATTTCTCATCCTGGAACTATGTGATGATATCCTGGTCGATACGGTTGTCCTTGCGAACTACGAGTTCTTCAGCTCCATATTTCGTACCTTCAGGGTCAGTGTTTCTGACCGTTACCCAGCGAAGCCTGATCAGTGGAAGGAACTTGGTGTTTACGAGGGAAGGAATACGCGCGAGGTTCAAGCCTTTGCTGTCGAGAACCCTCTTATCTGGGCCCGTTACCTCAAGATTGAGTTTCTGACACACTATGGATCCGAGTTTTACTGCCCGCTCAGTCTTATCCGAGTGCATGGGACTACAATGATGGAGGAATATAAGCATGACTGGGACGGCAGTCGAATTGATGAAGTACTTGGTGAGACGACTGCCGAACCTAGCTATGTGGCGGTCGAAAATGAAACAGAGCAGGTCTTGGACCCTCCGACCGTTGAAGTGAAGCAAACAGTCGAAACAGAAGAGAAAGATGAAGATGTACACGCCCCGATCGAGACGTCTCCCAACCCACAAGCAGAAATTGAGATAGCTTTGTTTGAAGGCCGTGTTGAAATCCCAGACCTTTGTCCTGTTATTGAAGTGCCACCTGTTGTAACTGGATCTGGCAGTTTCACTGGGTCTGTACAAACTCAAGTGGCGGCAGCTAACGCTACCATCATTAGTGGGGAGAGTTATTCCTCTGTACAGCCTTCAGCTGTTGTTGGATCGTCGAAAGAAACGGGTGACGTCCAGAAAACTGTTGAACCTGCCACGGTCAATGCCACGTCAGCAAAGCAGACAGATTCGGCATCTATCGAACGAAATGCGACTGCTGAGACTGAAACAAAGCCGAGCATTGTTCCAAAGGAAGAGCAAATTTCTACCCCGGAGTCAATCAGGCCAACTGTCACACAACCGCCTTCCCCAAACCCAACCACCCAAGAATCCTTTTTTAAGTCCGTGAACAAGCGGTTACAGATGCTCGAGTCGAATTCCACCCTATCGCTTCTGTACATTGAGGAGCAGTCACGCATATTACGTGACGCATTCAGCAAAGTTGAGAAACGACAGCTTGCAAAGACAATATCATTTCTGGAGAACTTGAATACGACTGTTCGAAGCGAGTTGAAGCAGTTCCGTCAGCAATACGAGGAAGTATGGAAGTCGGTTGCTTCCGAATTTGATCATCAAAATATCCAATACCACCAAGAGATCTACTCCCTAAGTAGACAAATGAGCGTACTAGCTGATGAACTCGTTTTTCAAAAGCGTGTTTCCGTGGTCCAAAGTGTCATGGTCCTCTTCTGCTTTGGCCTGGTCCTTTTCTCTCGCGGACCAGTCAGTAGCTATCTCGAATTACCCAGTGTCCAGAACATGGTTTCTCGGTCATATGGTCTGAGAGCATCGTCCCCGATTTTTGCCTCACGATCTCCAAGCCCGAGCTCACCAAGGGCGGCGCCTGCTTACCATGAGGACAGTGGCCACAGGCGGAATATTTCTAGTGACTCACAGGCCACCGACTTTTCTAGTCCCTCACCGACAACCGCATATGATCCGCGGACCCCGACATCAGATGGCTCCAGTGGATCGCCGCTGGCAGAGAATATGGGGCAGCCGGAGATGGAGACAGAGCCTATCATGATACCAGTTTCCAGGACGGAAAGTAGCCCTGCTGTCTTGACTACGACTAGCGATGACACCGACGAGGATGAGGTTTTACAATCATCGAAAGAAGAATAATCCAACGCTTCTCAGTCTTGTGGGGAGTCGCCCCTCCAAAAATCGCGCTATATGGGAAGCTGTACCCTGTACCCTGTCCACTGACCGATCTGCTGGAAGGATTCGGTTGCTTGGACCTGGGACCATTCTCTCGCCCGAACATCATGTTTGACTTGTGTGCATGGCATTCTACAGTGTCAAGCCATCCGTACACTTTTACGCATTTAGCCTCAAGGCAACAGGAAGCCTGACTTGGCGACATTCCGTTGGAGTTGGGGCTGTTGTGGAGAGCTCGCATCTACCACGTAGCATCGTGGCATTATCAGAAGATCATCATGATCTGTGATACCCAGTATTATTTTCACTGCCTTTTTTTCTGCTTTTCTTTATTTCTTTTTTGGGACAGGGACTCGCATATTTGCATTTTCCCCATGTATACATGCATAGATTAGAACCTACTTCGGCAACGAACTCTGTAAATAATTGTGTAGTGATAGTTCATAATGTCAGCCAAAGATGATGATGGAGTATACTAATTCTGTATTCATATTTATTATTTATTACTGGCATGCAACTGTACAGCGAGATGATGCTGCAGGATGCAACGTGACGTCGTTGAGGTGGAACAGTTGTTGCCGTGACAACAATCGGTCTGAAGATTATTTTTCTGGGTTTCCACGCGTACGAGATTGACAGTTGCTTTTTCTTTTCCCTCATTCTAAACACATTCTGAATACCGTTGAAGGAGTGACTGTTTCCCATCCCGACTTCTATTGTTTCCTTCCTCTTGTTGTAGACTTCAAAAACTCGACACATCTTGCAAAATCATCGGAGGCGCCTGTCCTGCACAACAAAACCAGAGGAATTTTTCACTTTCGAAGCCTACTCGAAAGAAAAGACACGATAACTAAAACACAAAAGACTTCGCAATAAACCAATCGATCAAGATGGACTCGACATCCACCCAGCCTCTCGCAGACCGGTCGACAAATACCCATCTGCCACTGAATGGAGAGAAAGCTGTTGATATGAAGGGGACTGAAGAGTATGCTTCTTTCCTTTTATTTTTTACATGAATACACATATGTGCCCTCTTTGGAAGTTTTAATTTGATCCTGTTGTTCTTCAACTAAGGCACAATGCTAACGTATCGCCTGCTACGCAGTCGACAATCCCAGGCAACATACGTCTCCCCCTCCGACGACATCATGAGCCCTTGCACGAAGAAACTGAGTGATATCAAGGGGAAGCGGTTTAAAACGTATGCCACATATTTACAACCTCTTCCTCCCTACCAGCGGCATGTATAACTAACTCCATTTGATAAAACAGTGCCAAAAAACCCCAGTCCCTGTTCGCCAAACTTGGCAAGAAGAATTTCGAACAGTCCTCAATGGCGGCCGCAAAGGAGAAGAATAGCAGTCCAGTTGCATGAACTTGGAATTGACTTTTTCTTCTCTTCTTTCGTTAATCGTCTGTTGATCGATCGATGAGCTCTCATCTTTCTTCGTTCTAGGAGATTTGCGCTGGTAGCACAGAGTCCATACGTATGGACGAAGCGATGATGGGAGTTATCGATTGATCAGTGCACAGTGGATTGATCGATCCCCCCCCTTTTTTATCTTTGTAATTCTCCTATTCTTAGATGGAGTGTACGCAGATATATGCGGTCCCCTTTTCATTTGGTTCCAAATTGGCTTTCTGGTTGTTTTTCTTTTTTTGTATCGGGGTTTATGGATGGATTCAGGAGATTTATGGGTTTCAAAGGGAAGAAATGATACTCTATTATCGATGTTGATGTTCGGACTGTATGGTTTATGAATCATTATTATTTGCTATCGCTGTGAACGTTCAATAAAAATATTGAACTCTCTTTATAATCATTCGAACATATTACTTTCTACCTTCTATTCCAGTGTCAAGGGAAGTTAGATGAAGCGCATACTGGACTGCAGGAAGCCTAGACCCGACCGTTGTCATTTGCAGTTAAGATGCAAGTCACGGAACTCCTTCCATTCTCCCCACGGAAATCCCGTCAGTATTCCAGAAGCGTGGTCCGACGCCCTCTTTCAACCTGTTCAACATTATTATTCATTGTCACGGTTTATTTGTATTCCGAGCATCTCACTGCCGAGAGCCGGCTGGGCCTCGGCTACCCCAGACGGAGCTTGCCCCGTACTGTTCTCCGACTGCAATGAATGTATATCATGTCGCGGCACTCCCTATCTGTCTCCCCATCTCCTCTTCGCTCCTCCTTTTATCTAGAAGCTCTGTGAATACTTGAATACTTATCTCTTTGAAAAGTCATTGATATCTGATATCTGTCCATCTGTCCCGTGGTCGCACCAACTGCTCTCGTCATGCCCGCCTCCGCTAGAATTCCGCCCATCGTTGAGCCCTTTGTCAGCGAACGGGCCAAAAAGACTCTTGACCTGGTATTATAATGTGCTTTCCATTATTTGCTTCTACCAGCTATATATATACAGGGCCATTGCTGAAGTAAATCATCGTACAGGTCGAGGAGTTTGTCGAAAAGGACTGCATCCCCGCTGATTATGTCTTCGAAGCCCAACTTGGTGAAGGCGACCAGAGATGGAAGATCAACCCCCCAATTCTCGAAGAGCTCAAGGCCAAGGCCAAGAAGCTGGGACTGTGGAATTTGTTTTTGCCTAAGAACCATTACTCCCAGGGAGCTGGGTTTACCAATCTGGAGTATGGGTTGATGGCGGAGTACCTAGGAAAGAGCAAAGTCGCATCAGAGGTGGGTATGACTTTTTTTCTTTCTTTCCTTCTATTTTAATTTGGGGAACCTATCCCATGCTGACCGATTGGGTTCCTGATCCAGGCGACGAACAATTCGGCCCCGGATACGGGTAATATGGAGGTTCTGGCCAAGTACGGCAATGAGGCTCAGAAGCGCGAGTGGCTCACGCCGTTGTTGGAGGGGAAGATACGTTCGGCGTTTTTGATGACAGAGCCTGACGTGGCATCGAGTGATGCTACGAATATCCAATTGAGCATCCACCGTGAAGGGAATGAATATGTACTCAATGGCTCGGTATGTTAGCCTCACTTAAAACATGGAACAAGTGCCTGACTATCAGAGAGAAATGGTGGTCATCTGGTGCCGGTGATCCTCGGTGCAAGCTCTACGTCGTCATGGGTAAAGCCGATACTCAAACCAAGAACGCTTACCGAGCACAATCCGTTGTCCTTGTTCCTTCTGATACCCCCGGTATCACAGTGCACCGTATGCTGAACATCTACGGCTACGATGACGCCCCGCATGGCCATGGCCACATCAGCTTCAATAACGTGCGTGTTCCAGTCTCGAACATGGTCCTGGGCGAAGGCCGTGGCTTCGAAATCATCCAGGGTCGCCTGGGACCAGGACGAATCCACCACGCCATGCGCTCGATCGGTGCCGCCGAACGAGCACTGGAGTGGCTTATAACTCGGGTCAACGACGACAAGAAGAAGCCATTTGGCCAACTACTGTCCTCCCACGGCGTGATCCTGGAATGGATCGCCAAGTCTCGCATTGAGATCGACGCAGCGCGTCTTATCGTCCTCAATGCCGCTATTAAGATTGACACAGGTGACGCGAAGGCCGCCCTGAAGGAGATTGGTCAGGCGAAGATTCTCGTGCCTCAGACCGCATTGACGGTTATCGACCGCGCCGTGCAAGCCTTCGGTGCCGCTGGTGTCAGCCAAGATACTCCCCTTGCGTACTCGTGGTCGTTTATTCGTACTCTCCGCATAGCGGACGGTCCTGATGAGGTCCATCTACAGCAGATGGGGAGGAGGGAGAACAAATCCCGTAAAGATGAACTGACTGCCAAAATTAATTGGCAGAAAGCAGAGGCTCGGAGGTTGTTGAATGAGAAGGGGCTCAAGATTAACAGCCGTCTGTAAATGTGTTTCTTTTCCCCCTCGGGGACTTAGGGTTGGGTATCCTTCATGTGTATTTGATACCTCGTTTTTATTTATCTAAATGAACGCTCCTCCGGTTATATATAAAAAATCATAGGCATTCGGTATTCATTCTTTCCTCAAGAGAGCAATGGTATCATTCGGATGGACAATCTTTTCAAATGAATCTATTGTATAAAAGGAAGAACCCAATTCAAACCCGAAACTCCCGTAACGACATAAAAATTTCTCATCAGGCCTTCCCAGGAACCCCCCTAGATGGTAGCTTCGCAGGGCCGAGACCCTGTCTAATCTCGTCGAGCATGCGCATCCCAATCACCTCGTTTCCATTCTTCCCTCTCTTCGCCTTGGCACCTTTCCTCTTTGCCTGGGCACTTGTCTTACCGTCCCATCCATCGAGGAAGTCATCCATCACCTGATTGAAGTCGCTGCGGAGAGACACTGGACCCCCACCCGCGGAGACAAGGCTGGGAGCCTGAGATGAGGCGAGAGAAAAACCAGTCATCCCACTAACGGTGGACATGCCTTCGGCGAAGCTGGCGTCATCGAATTCTTCCTCGCCTTCCTCGTCGAGGGCGTAGAGGGCCTCGACTCTGTCGAAGCGGTCATCGAGGAGTCGGTGACCCTCGGTACGGGCGAGTGCGGAAGATGTCATTGAATAGGCGGAGGGGTTCGTTAGGGCGCCCTTGCGCTTCTTGCGGCGGATGGGAGTGCCGCCTGCAGTGAACATGGTGGATGCGGTGGTGCGCTGGGTAACAGATGGGGCGGCGGCCGCGGGGGGTGCTGCAGCATTGGATTTGATGTCCTTTTTGAATTTGGCGAATTCGCGCATCCACCCTTGGTCTTCTGGGTTGAGGTCCGGAACTGGCTCATGTTCCCCCGGTAATTCTCCTGGCTGTCTGCTGGTTTCTTGAGATGAGGTCTTGTCATTGTTGTCTTTGGTGGTAGTAGTGTCTTTTTGGTAAACGGGTGCTTTCTCCGTAGCATCTGATTCCCATCCCTCGTCGTCCTCATCCTCATTATCAAATAGACTATCCTCCCATTCGCCTGGCTCCACCTCTTCCGCGCTAGAGGTCAGTTTCCCAAAGACGTCCTCGTCATCGTCATCGTCGACATATGCCTCATCATCGAGCGCTTCCAGCACCTCACGAAGCCGAGGATCCATATCCGGTTTGAATCCTGCAATGTCATCGGGAACATCCTGCTGATCTTGATACGTTGGTTTCCTGACATACGAAGATGCCGTCGACCGCATATCCGAGCCATAACCATAAACACTGCCGACTCTCGACCCTCCAAATTCGCTCCTGGCATCATTCAGAGTAACTTCCCTCAACGCATCTTCCAGCTTCATGCCCTTAGCACCGGCCTTCCCCTTCCCTTTAGTGGGATTCGCCTCGACGAAATGCGAATCACCTCCACCAGTGCCCAGCTCCCGCAAATGCTGCATGTAATCATATTCCGTATCATCATAGAAGATACCGTAATTGGCCGCCTCACCCTCATTCTTGCGGATAGTCTCCGAACCGAACTCTCTCTCGAGATCTGTTAGCTTTCTGGGTGCTCCTTTGGAGGAGGTTGATGCGGAGCTAGGTGCTGGTCCGGAGACCTGGTACAAAACACGATCATCTGCGGTTGGATCGTGGATCAAAGGGTCATTTTGGGATCGGTGGAAGAGCTGATATGTCGTAGCGGTTTTCTTGTCACTGTGCGGTGTTGGTTAGTTGGTTCGTGGTTGGACAAGGATTGAGCATATTGAACATACATCCACTTCCTAGGAGGCATCTTGATTATTAGCTCTCGGTATTCCCAGTGTCTAAATGGAATGAATGGGTAGTCTTCTGCTTGGGACTTTTGTCTCGTTAATTTTTTTTAAAGTGGGAGAGACAGTGTCACGTGAGAAATCTTATCGAGTTGACGAAAGCTCTGCTTCTGCTTCTCTCCGTACTCCGTATGCTGTGACTATTATTATTCCCTTCTGACTGCAATAAATCAGACCATAATCCATATTCTCTTTCTGGCAGTCTATTACACAGCATACTCTTCGAAACCAGCACCTCTCGCTCTAAATGCGCTCTCTTGCAATCCGAGCTGCTGACTAACCGTCTTATCTTATCCGCGCGGGGAATTCAGCCAAATTCAAAATTCCTTTTCGCCTCCCAGAAAAACACACAACACACCCCTCGACAAGAACGGTACCAGAAGCCAACGCATCTTGGCGGAAGACAGAAAAGGAGGCTGGGAATATTATATACAGATACAACCGCCACCATGGTTCTTCCCAAGTCCAAGAACGCCGTGGGACTGGGCAACAGTCTTATGAACGACCGTTTCGGCAAGGGCAAGGCCTCGAACCAGAAGAAAGTCTCGCACAATGCCGCCATTGCTCGCACAGCAGCCAACGGCGATACATACGTGACGAACGCTCCCAAAGAGGCAGCATGGATGAAGATGCGCAGTATTACGGAGCAGGCCGCGCTCGACGAGTTCCTCACCACCGCAGAGCTGGCGGGTACCGATTTCACAGCAGAGAAGATTAATAATGTGAAAATCATCCATGCGGACCAGAATAATCCATTCCTTCTATCGGCAGTGGAGGAGAAGTCGACTTTGAAGAAGCATAGGGAGAACAGAAGGCGACTGACGGTCCCTAGACGGCCGAAATGGGATTCCACCACCACGCGAGAGCAACTGGCAGAAATGGAGAGGGCAAGTTTCCTGGAGTGGAGGAGAGGTTTGGCGGAACTTCAGGATAACTATGACCTGCTGATGACTCCGTTCGAGAGAAACTTGGAAGTCTGGAGACAGTTATGGCGAGTCATTGAGCGGTCGGATCTGGTGGTACAGATTGTCGATGCACGGAATCCACTGCAGTTTCGCTCGGAGGACCTGGAGAACTATGTCAAGGAAATCGACCCAAAGAAGAGGAACCTCCTTCTTGTCAACAAGGCAGATATGTTGACGGAGAAGCAAAGAAAAGAATGGGCCAACTATTTCAAGCGAAACAACATCAGTTTTCGGTTTTTCTCGGCCCACCTTGCTAAGGAGCGGAACGAGAGGCGTCTTTTGGAGGACAGTGGATCCGAGAGTGAGGATGAAGATGCTGCTGATCGCCTTGCCAAGTCGGCTCAGAATATGAATCTTCATGGCCAAGAAGACGGAGAGGAAGTGTCGGGTGAAGATGCCCAAGCTGAACGTGACGTTGAACTGAAGCATGCCGATATCGAAAAATCTCAAATGACACACATCCTAGACGTCGATGAGCTTGAAGACCTTTTCCTTGCCAACACCCCGGATACTTTTACCGAAGGTGACAGTCCGGATCAGCAACGCAAACAAAAGACAACTATTGGTCTTGTCGGGTACCCCAACGTTGGAAAATCTAGCACAATTAACGCTCTTCTTGGGGCTAAAAAGGTTTCTGTTTCAGCAACTCCCGGAAAGACGAAGCATTTTCAAACTCTCTACCTCTCTCCAGAGATTATGCTTTGCGACTGTCCCGGTTTAGTATTTCCCAACTTCGCTACGACAAAGGCCGAACTTGTTGTCAACGGCGTCCTGCCCATCGATCAGCAGCGTGAATTCACAGGCCCAGCTGGGCTGATTGCACAACGTATCCCGAAGCACTTCGTCGAGGCTGTCTACGGAGTGAAAATTATCACCAGGCCCATCGAAGAAGGCGGTACGGGTATCCCAACTGCTAACGAGCTACTCCGTGCCTATGCTAGAGCGCGCGGTTTCGCCACCACAGGACAAGGCCAACCCGATGAATCTCGAGCTGCACGATACGTCTTGAAGGATTACGTCAATGGCAAGCTCCTCTTTTGCAATCCACCGCCTGCACCGGAAGGCGAGGAACCCATCGACCCCCAAGAATTTAATAAGGAGCTGTATGACATCTCACATCTCCCTGAAAGACGTCAGGCAGCGATTTTAAAGTCCATTGCCGTTGCTGGTGATGATGGGAACAGCAATGACAATGATTTCGACTCAGATATTATCTCTCTCAATCCTTCGACAGCCTCTGGAAAGCCGCCTGTCGTTGAAGGCTTGCGATCCCGAAACATTGACACGGGTTTCTTCGGCCCTGGGTCCAGAGGCTCTGGTGCTCATCTGACAATGCCATTTAATCACCCCTATACCGAACAGGGGAAACAGATGCGCAAGCATCTTACTGGTCGCAAGGAGAGGACGATGATCGCTCTTGAGAGAGGCGTGGATGTTTCCGAGGTGAAGGGGAACTCAAAGAAGCACTTCAAGGGGAATAAGAGGAAGGCAAAGGGGAAACGTAAAGCAGATGAAGATGACTACTATTGAACTTGATGGGCTATAACTCGCTGGCGAGTATGATTTGCTGGTGGCTGACGGGGGAGCTCATACCGGCTCCCTTGATTGCTTTGGTTAATAGATGCATATGTGTTAGTTCTGTTTGTTTATGTGTGGTACGAGAGTATCTCACGGTGATTGATGAGCATAGATACCTGTGTCTCTTTCGAAGGAGCTGTTCAAGATGTTTTGATTTCCAAACCTGTACGTCACATGACTTTTCTTATTAGAGAATACGAGATGCGCCGATGTGAGGGGCTGCAATTTCTCCAGTTTCCTTCATACTTTATGAAAATGCCCTGAAAGATCAATTGATTTATACGCATGCTACCTCTTGGTTATTTTTAATTTATCTGGTTATCCCGCATTTTCTTTTCTGCATTGACGCGTCTATGTCCTTTTCTGCCATGTAAACGACAGCCATTTCAATAGATGCTCTATCAGCAGCTATCACCATCGGTGAGCTGATTGTTCTCTCTGGGGAGATCATCAGTTTTTGCTATAAATATGGATGTGCTGTTTTCCATGCACCGCGCGAGATGCGCCAGCTGGTTGATGAAACCACCTCGCTTAGTGGGATGTTTGTGACCATACAAGGTCTGGTTAATGCCAATTCTTTTACATCAGGTCAATAAGAGCCCCTTGTGAGAGCTATTATGGACTGCCAGCGCACCCTACAGGAGATAAAAGAGATCCTCGAATCTGTCAGGCCATCCGATTCCAATTCTCAGTTCAAGAATACCGTCAAGAGAACGTCTTGCTGTCCATGGAGGCAGCGATAGAGGCGCAGCAGTCCCAAATTGTGCTGTACGAACTGCAGCAGGCCCTTACAGACGATCTTGAGGAACGCAGGCGGCGCGAGGCCATTCAACGGAGAACCAAGATATTTGAGTGGCTCTGCAGTGTAGATTTTGCATCCATTCATGGTCGTGCCTCCAGCATGCATTCCGCTGGGACGGGAACATGGATTTTTGAAACTGAAGAGTGGGAGTCGTGGCTCGCGGGAATACATAAGCTTCTCTGGATCCATGGAATTCCTGGCTCAGGGAAGACTGTGCTTACTAGCACGATATTGAATACTCACTTGCTCCCCAAAGCTTCCACAAAACATCCCGTCTGCTACTATTACTGTGACTTCCGATCACACGCTAGCTGCCGTCCAGAGGCTATTATTGGAGCTATCATATCTCAACTTTCCTATGCCTCAGAGCCATGCTTGGAAGAATTAGAAGATACATACTTGCGGCATATTGGACGACATGGCAATATCAGTCCCGCAAGCTTACAAGAACTCAATAGGCTGTTGGATTACGTCCTAGATTGTATCCCTACCGCTACGATCGTGGTAGATGCCCTGGATGAATGTGACAATCGTGAAGTCATTGTTAAAAGGCTTAAAGAGATTTCGCTGAACAAGGACTGGTCAATTAAACTGATTGCTACGAGTCGACGCGAACATGATATTGTCCAGCAATTGAAAGGCCAGCTGAGCATATCAACCCAAAATAAAGCCACAGATAATGATATACACCAAGTCATCCTCTCCGCAATGAATGATATCCCGAGGCTATGAAATCTTCGCCCTCCCCTTCGAGACCTTATCCTCAGCACGCTTACAGAAAGAGCGGATGGAATGTATGTATAACTTATTCTCGATAGAAAGTGTTCTTCTAACGTGTCACAGGTTCCGGCTGGTTAAATGTCAGCTCAATGAGCTTGTTCGGTTAAGGACAGATAGTGCCATCAAAAAAGCTCTGCGGACTCTCCCCCGAGACCTGGACCAGATGTATGAGACAATCCTTAGGAAGATCACAGACTCGGACATATACCTGGCGAGAACGGCCTTACTATGGCTCACGTATGCCTCACGACCCCTTAAACTTAAGGAACTGGCAGAAGGTGCCATCTTGAATGTGGACATGGCGGATCTTGGACCGGATGACAAGCTCGGCAACCCGGAAGACATCCTTGACATACTTGGTTCTCTGGTCTCGTACATGGACGGCTGCGTGGAGCTCTCGCATAATTCTGTGCGAGACTATCTACGCTCACCTGGAGTTGCCAGCGCCCTACCTGCATTCTACCTCCCCGAGTCTCGCTGTGTTCCGGAGTTGGCTACTCTTTGTCTCAACTACCTCCTCTTACCATCCTTCAGCGCAGGACCTTGTAATACCGCCGACGACATGTGCTCCCGACTTGAATCCTTCCCACTTCTTTTCTATATATCTCACAACTGGCCCAACCACGCCCGGCCCTATCTGCACGAGAACCGACCACTATTTAACCGTGTGACGAGATTCTTTGCTAGCCCTACAACCCCCCAGTTTGTCTCTTGGGTCCAAGTCCTCCTCATCCGCCCCAGGAACATAAAGAAAACATATAAGCACTACCCACCAGCCCCAACTCCCTTGTATTACGCCACCTCATTCGGCCTCGTTCCAGTCGTCGAACATCTCCTTGCCAATGGAGCAGATGTAAACGAACCCGGCGGCCGTGCAGGTGGCACCCCCTTACACGGTGCATGTTGGAGATCACATCCTGATTTGGTTCGGTTACTGCTTCGTTCTGGTGCTGATTTTGAAGCGCTCAATGAACACAATATGTCGGCTCTCGAGATTCTTTCGTTGACAGGCGATGAAACTGTGAGACGTGTGATTCTGGAGGAGAAAGGTATTGATTTCACTTTGCAGTATCGCAATCCGATAAAACCTAGAGTCATCCAGTAGATATTGTTCACTGTTGTATAATCTCTGGGGCTGATATAGATGATATATGGTTCGAAGAAGAAAAAAAAACATTATTTTGTAAATATAGTCTATGTTTTTTGAGGATCCCACCAATACAACTGCAGTATTTACAGCGCACCTCCAACCTTCTCGACAATCCACATCGCCAGCCTGACGTTCCACTGTACCCTCCTCTCTGTTTTTCGGAGATCCTCTCGCGAGACGGGCTTAGAATCCTCTTGCAGCCACCGCGACTCCTCGCCCAACCTCTCTTTCAATCGCTGATCACTAGTAATCACCAACGCGCCAACCTCAAGATCAAGGCTATAACTACGCTTAGTGTAATTGCTACTCCCCAAAAAAGTGAGGCTGGGATTATCTTCCTTCGGTAAGGTAATCCAAAGGCCTTTTGCATGGTACGTCCAACCGCCAGGTTGCCCGACCGTTCCACGCCGCCACTCTCTCAGCTGAATGAAATTCGAGTTCTGAGCCTCTGCTACCCTGTCAAGGAATCGGGCAGAGAGATGTGTATAAGCATCGGGTAGCATTCCTGAGACTCCAGGGGAGCCGTAGAACCCGTTAGCCCAGGGTGAGGCTGTCAGGACTGTTCCCTCGGTTGTGGATGTGGATTGAGGGGATGGAGATGTGCTTGCTATCAGGAGAGACGAGAGAACAGGGTGTATGTTGAAATATCCTGCTGTGAAGAGCCAGCGGGCGCCCTGAAACGTGGGAGATTCTGAGAGGAGGCGTAAGATAGATGTCACCGCACGGTATTCCGTGGAGGTGTCTGGTTGTAAGAGAGGGGTGAATTGAGCCACCGGGTATACGAGGGTTTGATTTGAAGACATAGGCTGAGAAGTAGGTTTGAGTTTGGGGGGTTGTATGAGTGGGCTTAGGACTCCCGATGCATGCGCGACGAAGTCCCTCGCGTCCTCTAGAGGAGAAGGGGCTTTGTTAGATGTCGGCCAGTTTAGAATATATCCGCCTAAGTTATGCGGATCTGGCAGAACCTGAAAGCTTAGACTGCAGACTGCATGATGGATGCGTGCATAATAATCTGCCAGCTCCTTGGAGTCGAATACGTGGTACCTGTCTAGCCGATTTGTAAAATAGTCCTCAGAGAGATTTGCTCTGCATACAAAATACTTAGTTGCGGAAATCGATGCTTGCTGTAAAAAGAGCGCTCACCCAGAAAGTATTATCTCGTCATCAATGCCATACAGCTTCATGTGCTGTAGGCCCCAACCCTCATTGATTCTAGCAGGGACCCATTTCTTCCGCAACCCTGTGAGGTTTGGTGTGTGAAACATCCGTATTTCCACTCTGTCCGGACCATACTTGGCAACCAACGACACAAGAAGGGAGGCGCATGACGGATTGGGAGTTTCGCGAGTGCCCCTCAATGCATCTGTCAGGATAGATACTGTAAGATCAGGGTTGCCGGCAAGAGCTTCGTCCAGTGTCTGGACCAGATCATGTTCCGTCTTGCCGATGTATAGAGTAGATAGATATATGCGCTTCCGTGCATTACGAATCTTGTCCTATAAACTGGCGGTTTAATCTCTCAACCATAGTCCATAATTCCAATCGAGATCACTTGTTTACCTTTAAAGTGTTGTAGAACGCAGACGGAGAGTCTAAAATCGTAATTTTTGATGCTGAAACTTCAAACCGGGGAGCAACGCGATCGAGTTCCACGGCTATACTGCCCAGTGGCGATGCTGCAGACGCTGGCGCTGAAGCAGTAGAACAGTAGCTGGTATATGCGGAGAATCTGCGATCATAGAGAGTCCTCCGAGGACATGGCCTTCGTCCGCCACAACGGACTACATGGCCGGCAATTCGTTTGAACATCATGCGCGGCTGCGCTATCTGGCCTAGAAAAAAGCTGCAAAGGTTTCTGGATCAAATTTACCTGACGCAAAGCTGTTTCGACAGCTTCTATAGCATCGCCGTTGTTGCCGTCAAAAACATCTCCGGATTTATGGTGATGATTCTGATGCAAACAGGACAAATACGGCAAACAGGACAACATGCACTAGACCGCATTGAGCAGTGTGCAATTGCTCCCGCATCCGAAGGAAACCAACTTCACCTGCACTTCGACGGCCATCGCTCACCTACGCACATTCTTCGCCATGTCTACCATACTTCGGACGCTGCGGAATCTGGGGAGGATTGGTATCAAGGTCAGGCTCGATCTGTCGTGGCCCGATGCATCTGCTGTTGCCGTGCTGTGCTGACTAGGAACGCTTCCGGAATACAGGAATATGGCCACCAATTGCAGGTATGTAGCACCTGGGAGGGACTAGGTCTCTTAATAAAACTTGGGAACTTATGTTTGAGTGCGAAATTATCTAGTACATTGGTTCGTTCCTCCCAATTCCTTACCCGTATTCGAAGCTCTTTTCACTAACCCCGTTGATGACCACAGGCGATACCAAAGCCGGTACCTTGATCGGTGTTGACCGTTTCGGAAACAAATACTACGAGAATATGGCAGAGGAGCTTCCTTGTGAGTTTAGGGGAATATTTCATAGTCTATTAAATAGCTCAATTGTTGATCGTTTTGTTTTTCTTCCAGTGAGAACACGATGGGTTGATTATAAGGAACCTGAATATGACCCTTCCCAGATTGAGCCTGGCTGGTGAGTTTATTCCTTCAGCTTGAACATTCTTCCACACCATAGTATACTTTATTGGTGGAGTACTTCCGAGGTTTAGGGGCTTTGGTTTTTGCTGATAAGCGTTGTCCCTTATGGAAAGGCACGGCTGGTTGTCCTACATGGTCGATTCTCCTCCTACGCAAGATAAGATTCTGCAAACTGGTCTTCGCGCGTGGGAATTGCCCGAACACCGAGCCAACCTCACTTTGAGCCGTGGAGCGTACAAGCCCTACTCAACGTAAGTGGTGATTCAATGCCTTTTTTGATCTGTTGGTCTGTTTTCCAGCTGATGATCCATTCCAATATACATAGCACACGGTCTAAAATCTCCGCTTGGACTCCTGTCGCTGCTCAGCGGTGAAGTCAAATTCAGCCGGCGTGGGGATTAGATGCGCCTATGATGTCCCCTGAAATGTACATAAAGACATGCTATTGGCACCTTGATTTCATCAACTGTTGCGAACGGAATTCATTTGTTGCTATTCTTTCCTTTTCTTTTCGTACATGTATTAAATGGCATCCAAATGGGGACAACAGGCGAGGTATCACTGCGAACTGAGCATAAAGCGCTCCGTAGAAGTAAACTAAGGAAACACCAACCGAATTGAGCAAGACACAGATCAGTCATCCACCCTATAGATCACAGCACATATAAACCAGACCCGATGTTCGACCAGTGTCGAATAGGCCGTCGATCCTCCAACTCAATACACCACCACAAGACCTCCTTCAGCTTCTCGATCTGACCTCCCGCCTCGTACGCCCGAGACAGTGCATACCACGCTTCGGAATTATCCCAGGAGCTTCCGCGCTTTGTCAAAGCCGAGAGAAGGCCGTAAGCCCGATCACGAGCGGCAAGACGACTGAGGAACTTGGGCTCATCATCCTTTGGTACGGAGAGCTTGTCCGACCCATTTTGTTGCCATCCATTAGTGGAGGCTGGTTTCTCTGTAGAGCTTGCTGGGTGGGACTTGGAATGATGATCCAGTTTTGCCGGGTCTGATAGGTAAAAAGGGGGCAGGTCATATTCCAACGACGGCTGCGGAAGCTCTGCAGGAAGCTTCTGATCCCATATGTCAAGGAGTAAATTGGCCAATCCGATAGTGGCCTTTGGGTGATCGGGATCTCGAACCAGGGCTTCTTCGAAGAGCTCTATAGCTTCGTGGGGACGCGATCTAGTCTGTGCTAAGAACCCTTTTTCGGCATAGACGTCACCCCAGAGTTCTTCGGAGCTCTTCCCTCCGCCCCAACCACGTGCAGAGAACGACCTTGCTGACGATTCATGCGATGCCACTAAAGCTTCCACCTTCGCGGCCTGTCTGGAGGCTTCCTCGCATGCTTCTTCGGCATCTTCGAATAACGATGCTCGTCGGTAGAGACCAGCAACGAATAGCCAGATTTTCACAAGAATACCAAGAGCATATTTCTGAGCCTGCGTGGTGGGAAATCTGGTAACGGCTGTGGTGGGAGAATCGTATCTGTACGAGACTGGCAATCGAACGTCCTGCTCTGGAGGTTGTTTAGCGTGGCCAATTGGAGCAGGTTGCAGTGAGTGTTTTAAGTTGTGAGCAATAGGGGGTAGAGGTTGTTTGGCACTCTCAAGCTGAGCTGTCGGATGAGCATTTGACACGGTAGGCTCGGCTAGTTGTCCTGAAGGAATTTCTTCCCCGCTCGGTTCTTGCAGAGATTCTGGAGCTTCAAAGCCATTCGTGTCATTGCCATTGATATGATGTGTATTTTGACTCCGACGAGAACCTAATCTTTTGAGACTTCCACGTTTTCGCAACTTATGTCGCGTTGAATCTGACCTCCCAAGATCTGTTGAAGCTGTAGCACCATCGACAGTCTGATCGGCTGTTACGGTTGGTTCGGGAGACTGCTCCTTCTGACTCCTAGCAGGAGTTGGACTCATACGGTCACGGATCGAGCTCATAGAACGAGCTCTCCTCCCTGGGGCACGATGGCTTTTATGATGTCGCCCAAACACGCTGCCGCGCAAACTCCTCGTGCCGGAAGAGCTCTTCGGCGGAACGAGTAATTCTTGGTCTTGGCCTTCTTTCGCTTTCTTTTCGGGCTTAGTCCCCTGATCCAGATCTGGAAATAGAACGGCAAAAAGGCCTAGTAGGTGGTCGCTGTGGTTAAGAGCAGCCTCCGGACCCTCCAAAAGCTCAAAAAAAGCAAGCTGTGTCATGCGGGTCTCAATGATTCGCTCCTTTTCACGCCCTCGTAGTTGTTCGATCAGGGTATTCTTTAGGCCTGTTATATTGTATCGTTCGTTTGGATCTTGTAGTTGCTCCGGGGATGGCTTTTCATTCAGGCCGAAGGATGTTAGTGCGCTTGGAAACTGCTCGAAGGCAGCTTCGCAAGCACGTTCGGCAATGCCAAATTCCTGCTTTGCGCTCAGTAGTAGGGCGAGTAGATGCCACAAGGCAACGAGATCCCGTTGCCTGGAAAGGTCAGCTTGGACAATGTTCATGGCAGACTGGCTATTCCATGCTAGTGCTGACTTGACATAGTCAATTGCACCATCCAAGTCTCGATTCTCTGCTAGAAGCACAGCCAATGTGTATAAAGACGAATAGTTAAACTCGTTTTCTAACTCTGGAGAAATGCTATTTTCCAGATACCCGATGGCCTCCGTTCGAATATCATTTCGAGATTCGTTTATGGGAGTCCAGCTAGCCCAGTTGGCCAGTCCGACGCCAATGGCTCTGAAAGTCATCGCGAGTATGGAAGGAGAAACGTTCTGAGAACTAGAAGAGCCCGTTCCTAGCAATTCTAATTTCTTACCTTCATGGCTGTTCTCATCCTGCCGGACATGCTTGCTGACATGCTTTTTTAACTGCTCAGTCAAGCTTTTAGCCTTTTCAGCTTCTTCAAACGAGCCAAAACAGCACAAGGTGAAAACTCCCTCAGAGAGGGTTTGTAGAAAGATCCCGTCACTTTCTAATTCTCCGTACTCTGCCGACTTCTCTGCTCTGTCTTTGGCACCTGTGACAATTTCGATATAGGAATCAAGAGCTTTCATGGCTAGATCAAAATTTGCCAGTGATGAATGGACGTGAAATAGACGTCGAAGTATATTGTGGGAATGGTAAGTCTTCGATGCTGCACGATACAAGATCTGAATATGTCAGTGTCAGAGTATCAGGTAGAGCAACCGAAGGGTGTTCAAGTACTCACATCCAGCACGTTTCGTCCCATGGCATTCTGACCCCCATCCCCAAGATCCTCGTCAGTCCACTGTGGACCACACAGGATTTCCCAGTTTCGGATGACTTGCTCAACCCACATTTCCACATGCGGATTGTGGGCATTGGCCATTGGAAACTTCTCTTCGCGCAGAAGACTAGTCTCGCTCATTGACTCGACATGTCGAAACTCCCTTGCAAGCTGCGGGCGTTCCGGTCCATTTTCCGGGGCAATGTATAGCAGACCCTGTTGTAAAATGGTGCTCAAAAGGTTATAGTACGACTTCCAAGTGGCAGCTGCTGAGGCAGGTTCTGCAGGGCCTTCAATTTCAGTGACGAGTGGAACAGCTCCCTGTCTCACGTTGGGATGAGCTGACCATAATCTGAAAAGTTTCAACGCGAGCTCCACAAGATTATCATCGACACGAGGCGCCTTGGCGCAAACCTCATTTCCTGCTACAATAGCACCTCTGGATAAAAGCTTATCGGACCAATGTAAGAATTGCGGATTGGTCAAGGATGCAGGGAGACGACTGTTTACCCATGGTATAACAGATTCAAACGTCTCCAAGGCCTCTGCGACATTTGAGGTGATGGACTGTGCGGTCCCTAATAACAAAAGTTAGAAAATAAAATGGTAGTCTCTGAATTTCCCGTACCTTTGATGTAGCAGCCCTTAACTAGACACACCTCAGTCCATGGGGATAAACTCTCTTTGCTAGTCGAGAGACTGTCTACCGTCGCTGCGAAATCTTTAGGAAGGCGGGTAGCCGCAAGACCCGGTTCATTAAGCGTCCAGTGCACCCATCCAAGGCAGACCTGCGCTTGGAGTGCAGCCTGCTCTGAGTTACCTGCTTTATCAACGGTAGAGAGTAGCGAGGGTATCAATTCCCAGAGATTGGATGGGGCAGGAGAAGTTGAATTGGTCGCTTTGAGAGCCAAGGGCTTCTTTTTGACGTGAGCAACTACCTGGAGTTCCGCAGTTGCCGTCTCTATAAGGCCTACAGGTATCCAAGAGACAAAGAATCAGTATGACTCCGACTCCAGGTAGGAAGTAAAAGGGGAGTAGAAATACATGTCTCATGTGGTGCATGCTTGGTGACCTTCCGGATCAGTTCGGGGACTTCGTCCCACTTATCCTGACAGCGCGCGTCATCTAAGGCCACAATGTACCGGTGGGCCTTGTCCTGAACTCGGTTCTAGTACAGCATGTGTTAGTAGCAGGCTCTGCATTCATCATGGGAGTTTACGGTACGAAGTTCTCGTGGGAGGACGGTCGGTGGAGGGCTGAGGGGACAGACTCACAGTCATGATTAGGGTGGGATGGAGGTGGTGACACTGTGCAAATAAGAGCAAGTGAGGAGATCACCCATACTCCTCATGCCCGGCTCAGCAGAAAAGACGGGACGTGTCCATGAAGAGGGAGAGGAGGCATCGTCAGCTGTTGAACTTCGCATGTTGCCAGGTTGTTAGTGCCTAGGTACGGAGAAAGGCCCCGTACTGGTAATACGATTACCAAACTTACCACCTCCAGTATTGCTATACATGGATAGTTTCAGTGATATTCTGCATAACCCCATTTTTGACCAGATGGGGTTTTCATTCAAGTAATTGGATGATATCTCCTTTATCAACTGCGTTAGGGTTTTTGTTCTCTTCTATTTGAATGACGAGTGTTCCATACTGGCGAGTGATGCCAGGAATACCTGCATATAAGTAATATACAAGTAATATGACAATTGTAATAACAGTACATACTAGTGCACAATGGCCCAAGCTTCTCAATATAATTTTTTTTTCTTCCGTGAAGCTTCACATGCACTGCTCTCCTCCGCAAAAGCGCAAAAGTCCCAATTCAGGCCAATCTCTTTGTGCAATTAGCCGACAGTTGGCCTTGAGCCATCCTCAGCACGATGACGACCACATCGTTGCGTGCGGTCACCCATCGATTGACCACGACGCCCGTCCAAGATCTACCCCCGATCGCCTCTTTTCTTGCAACATCAATAGGCGATTGCGCGGAGCTTCTTGCAACGCCGCAGGGTTCCTCCAAAAATGCAAAATCTGAATCCGAAAATGCTGCACAGATCCATAAACTCAAGACTCGTCTTACGAGCCTTTTGCAAGACCGGAGTTTTGAAGGTCGATGGACGGCTGTTGTTCTGGTGAAGGCCGCTGTGGAAGCCGGTCAATGGGAGATTCTCCGGGGCTGCGAACCTCTTGTTCGCGGCATGATTAGCATTCTAGGGGTATGAATGAGCAAAGAAAATAACCTTGTACTGCTTCTGCTTTACTGACTGTTAATTGTGTTTCAGAAACCAGACCCTATCTCCACGAAGAAAATGTCCATAATCACCTTGACACGCATATTCCATCTTACCTACCAGTATCAGACCCTCGTCCGAGAGATTACGACCCCCTCGTTGCCAGGATTTATAACGGCGACTTTGAATCTCGTCTCCGTGAAGCCGTCCTCTGAGCCTGTCAGGAAACTAAGACCAAGCACCCCGCTAATGGAGACGGTACTGCATGCTCTCGTCAGCTTAATTGCGAGGCATCCTACCATCTTCCGTCCTTTTTCTGCGCAGATCCACAGTGTTGTCCTGGCAATTCTCGGCGCATCTCCTATGTTCTTCCCTGAGTCGGTAGTGGGGTTGGCTCAGCAGCTGTTCATCGCCCTCCATAACTGCGCACCGAAAAATACCATGGCTGACCAATGGCGGGAGGCAATCAAGTTAACAATATCTTCCGCGCACAGAACGGCAGACCGTGTCTTCAGGGCTGTGGTAGAACAGTGGGAATCGGTAGACGCGAGCCTCAGACACACCGGGAAGCCACAGAGCTATGATCAGGAAGTGGGCGATCATGGACCTGATCCAATGGGTCTTGCTGGTTGGCGTGGATTACACTCCGGTGCTGAAAGATTGGTTGTTCTTCTGCGACTGCTCTCTGGTTTCCTTTCCACCCCGACGGCGTCTACCGTACCCATCCCGTTGGGCTATATCCTTGATTTGACGTCGAGATTGACATCTGTAACTGTTCCAACAGAAGCTGCGGATGCAGCTAAAGCAAGCGTGCAACTCAACCTACAAATTGGTCGTGAGGAACGTGACGCACTTTGGAGCGAGCTGTCTCGAATCCACGCAGCTTGCGTCGACATTTTTACTAAGGCTGTTGACAGTCTAGGAACAGCCCTCATTCCAGTGGCGCAGACCATGCTAGAACAGACTCTTTGGGTTTTCTGCGCAGAGAAGTTCAGTAGGGAACTCCGGACAGTAATCTATGGACTGATTCGTCGACTGCTATTATTGATAGGCCCATCAATGTCAAAGCAAGGCGTATCTAATTTGACCCGTTTGCTGCGCACTTGCTGTTCCGATATCCTGTGTCCAGCTGGAGAACCAAGGCCTTCTGCATCTGAATCGAAGGGGAAGTCGAAAACGAACCAGGCTTCAGTAAATGCAGACTCCTTTCTCAATGGGGGCTCTGAGAAAGGTCAGAATCAAGCAAGAACATCTTCATCCTTCCCAGATTTATTCGACGCCGCGTCGGCGCTTCTACCTGCCGTGCTTAACTTTGTGCCTACTGAAAATTTACCTGTTTCCATACGCTCTGAGATTGATCGCACGGTCATCTTGACCGCTGACAAAAATGGCATGCTTGCCAGTGTTCTCAATCCCATGCCGGTCGTCAAAGGCCGTGCAGCCGCGCCTAGCATCATGCCGTTCTTGGCGAGAAACTATCCCGACGAGATGGAAGTGGAGAGCCTGATTAGACCCAGAATGCCCCTTCTGATGAATGTTGGTGGGTATATTGATCAGGTAGAAGAGGGGGAGGAAGATGAGGAAGATGAAGTAGAATCTTCAGTTCCTACTCACGGTGCAGTGTCCATCGACACTGAACTGCCTAAGTATTCTGATCCAAGCTCTCAACACCCAGCAACTAAAACCGATAACGAGCCCTCTCAGGCCCCGAGTAAACGGAACTATACTGAAGAACCGGGTAATCCATTCCACATAACATCCGCAACTGTACCAGACTCGCGAGCGGAAACAGAAATCCAAACAAAAAAGGTACGACTGGACGACGACAACCTCGCTTCTTCCACCGCTACTCAACAGAGCCAGTCAGGTTCTGACAAACTGTCTACGATTTCCGTCAGCCTTCCGTCAGCTCCTGCAGCTGCTCCGCAGTCATCGAACACAATACCTTCCAATCCTCTTCTGCCGCAATCTTCATTGTCGTGGTCGGGAGCTTCCGGTATAGCGAAATCCGAGGCCGAAGGGGCGGCGCCTAGGAGTCGATCCCCTATCCCACAGTTCCAAGGTGAAGAGGGTAGCGATGATGAGTTGCCCACGCTGAACGTGGATCCCGACACTGAAGATGACGAAGAGGACGATGTTAATATGGAGGGTTGATGTTGAGGGATATATAAGTAGGCCTGGGGCAGTATGGTTATACAGACACATCAGCAGCTTCATTTGGTGTTTCATTTGTGCTTCCCTATGTTATATATTGCTGGGCTGATCCTAGGGTCTACATATACCTCGTCTCAATAATAATGAGATAGCAAAATATTTCACTAAATTTATCTACCGCTCCTATTACTCCTACTACTCCCTTCTCTCCTGTACGGGGCCCCGTGAACCCATCCTCACGATAAGCAGCGCCAAGATCCCCATGCCCAGACACGAAATCGTCCTTCCAAGTCCTTTCGAACCATGCCCCATCAAAGTCATAATCCAAGCCATCATCGGTCATCCGCCACTGCCTCACCCATTCCCACAATCATCCAGAAAAAGATGCAACAACCCCCCGCCAGCAAGCACAACCTTATCCTCGATAAAAAGAATGAGTAACCACACAAGCAGCGTGATAAAGGCCGTATCAAAGCAGCAAGTCGTCGTCTTCTGGCTCGCGGCTCCGCGCTAGATTTGCTTTCGTTTCATCGAATACCCCTCCTCATCAGCCTGGGATTCTACCTCCATCTCATCTCGGTTAATATCTCCTGACGAAGCGCCTTCCATCACTCAGTCAGCCCGGCAGACCTCTCATTTGTAACCCACTTGGGGAAACGTTCTAGCACACGCTAAGTCCATTATAGGCTCCCCTAACGCAAGCAATTGGCGTATAAGCCGTTTGCGGCGGTCTGGGGGAGACTCAGGGGTCAGGATGAGGGGTGTCCCATTCCGAGAGCATGTAGATGTCTAGTGGGAGGGAGCCCCAGGGTGGTGGAGGGGCAGCTCTCCATCAAGAACTTCAAGGGGCATGGTGCCTGTTTTGCTTCTGTGAGGGGAATGTAGGAAAGGAGAAGTGTTGGAATTTGAATTCTATGAATTAAACAGTTGAGATAAGGGTTTGGCAAGGTCAGACTAGCAAGGTACAGTTATGTACAGATAGAAATATGAGGGACCTGTGAAAATGGCGCTGAAAATGACCGCTTCTGAGGCCAGAAACGGCCGCCATGTTTCCACCCGTAACTTCAAGCGGCAACTTGCCGCTTGACACCGCCCAGCACCTGTGTAGCACCACTATTCTACACCTGCCAAGAACTTCTTAGTCACCTGGGGATGTCTTACAGTTGCGTTGCTTCTTTCTTAAATCCGTCTTCTGGCACTGTCTCTTTTCGATCAATTAACTGTTCTGCTCAACCGCTGCCGCCATGGGAACCTCAAGTTTCATTTCCACCGGAGCTGGATTGCTTCTGGATTTTCATGCCTGGAGCGTCAGTGCCCAGGCCTTCCTGTGATCACTCTAGGATACTCTGGGTCTCTTTCCACCAGATGTATGTATGATGCTGCAGCTTCCCCGGCGCACAAATCCAAATTGACCATTTCAAAGAGCGACCTTCAACCAGTCTATTCACTGCGCATCTCAGCCATTGCATCTGACGGGTTTTCCTAAGCAGCCAGGACTTGTCTGGCTTCCCTGCAGAGCTTTCGCTCTCAGCAGCTCCAGTCGTGCTTGACGGCAGACTTGTATCCTTTGGATGGACAGCTCGTCCCCGCGACGTACAATGTTGATATCACAGCTACTCTTCACTTACAATTATACATGTTTGAAGGACGGGTATGCTAATTCTTTCCCTTGTCCGGTGGGCAGATAGGCTGAATCTTGTCTTATTAGCAGGTCCACGGGCGAATACTGCGCTCCTCTCGTCGATGAGTGGCCGACTGAGGGCCCAACGCCCAAGCAGGATTGTTTAGATTGCATGTTGCGGACATTCAAGGTGTAACTCAACTTGCCCTTTGGCTATGGTGATGAGCTTGCTAGTTACTATAGCTCAGTGACCTCATTTTATGTATCACATTATGCATATCAATCAATAATTTCTGGCCCCAAGTTGTTCTAATGAACTGGTGTCTCTTTAGATTAGATGTGGCGTCTTCAATCTTCCTATCACTTTGCCGCCGCCGTACTATCCTGCAGATACTTCTGCTGCGAGCACGTCGTCTGGCACCGAGCTTTCAGACACCCCTTATTCATCGCCAATATACAATACAAGCCGGAGACACTTTTCTCAACATCAGCAAGGCCCAGAATATGTCCACGGCATTGCTATGGCACCAGAACTCCCTTGCTGCAGAAACAGGAGCCACAATTTGCCTGCCACTCACTTGTCATGTGTACACACTACAGGCAAATGAGACCTGCTTTGGAGTCAGCCAGGCATATGGTGGGGCCTTTGTTGTGACACGGCTAATTTCATGGAACCCTGGTATCAATTGAGATTGTTCTACCCTTGATCAGCTTGTGGGAACAGAGCTTTGCCTTAGGTATTTCAGACCCTGAAGAGCAATATGAAAGAAGTCCCACTGACAGGCATGAAGTGCCCCCAGCGATACAGGCTCAGAGGTAACATCCACTACCACAACGACAGCAGGACCAACATGAGTACTCCCATGGGCTACAGGATCTATGTTTTAAAAACCAAACCCACCCTGCTTGTCTAGACCAGCACCATCAAACGTTGCCAATGGGACCGATCTCCAGTGTGCCAAGTATTACGAGTAGTATTACCTTTACGGGAGGTTCCTATTCGCATGTAAGCAAGCACTTTTTTCTTCGCTCCTCGCTGTCCAGATGCTTACGTGGCTACAGGGACATATTCTTCATATATGAACTACTGGCCCTCCATCATCGGCATTGTTCTGACGGGATTTGGATTCTTCTGCGTTTTCCAGTCAGCATTGAGCTACCTAGTCGACACCTTTACCCGATACAGCGCCAGTGCTATTGCAGCAAATACCTTTGTTCGTTCCATGGCTGCTGGAGTCTTTCCGCTCTTTGTATCTCCTATGTATAACAGATTGGGGGTTGATTGGGGAACCACGGTGTTTGCATGCATAAGCGCGCTCCTGATCCTGGTGCCGTTTTTCTTCTTTAAATGGGGAAGAATGATCCGTCAGAAGGTGGAATGGAGGGAGCCGAGTGCCATATAGCTAATCTTAGGATTGATTATACGAAGTCTAATAAGAAATGCATCTTCTCCTAATAGGCAAATTCTCAGGAACCAAGCTACGCCTGATAAGCTTCTTCTCAGACATACGCCCAGCCACCACGAGAAATCCAGACTGTTCGCCATTCTGGGAAAAAGCCCCTCTATAGCAGGGCTACCGTAGAATCCAAAGCCATGCCCATTTCGATCAACTGTTTTCTGATGGTTGCAAACCAATAACCAAGGGCCTCTTCAAGCAAGAGTAGGGCTGACAAAGTCACGTTTTCCATACATGCTCAGATTCACAAAGCCCTATATAACAGCATGATGGATGTTGGATGAACACCATCACAGCATAGGAGATGTCAACACCTCTCCATCTGGATCACATCAGTCCTATACCTCTCATGGCGGACTCCATAAGCCACACGCCATAAACAGATAAGACCTATATGTTGGCTCCATCCAGACCCGCCTGCAGTGATGAACAGCAGTAGTAAAGGAGGAAGAATTATTATTGCATCGCCACGGCGACTCCAACATGGTCTCCGCGCAGCACAAAGAAAAATTGTTTGATCCCTCACTCTTGTTTATTTTTTCCCCTGGGATACAATGCTCCTTGAATTGACCCTTTGACAGGATTTGCTGTATTCTTCTCATCAAATCCTTCTCTTCATTCACTCCATAAGTCGAATCAACCAAGCCAAAGTCTCCTTCGACGACCCCAAGTAGCAGAAGTTCTCCTTCTTTTTGACTCATCTTCTGCAGTATCCAGGAACATATCATCAGGACGCGAAGAGTCCTCGACGGTATTCACTCCAGGCGAGACGCATAAATAGGTGGCCTCTTCTCACCAGGACCAGCTCAACTCTCTCCTATACACACGTACTGCATCTGATATCTGACTCGCCTTTCACACAAAACAACCAACTTGTCTCTTCGCTTCTCTCTATCTCCAGTAAACATGATCAGTCACAGAGTTTCGAACGTTAGGGAGACCGGTAGGTCTTCTTCCCTCTGCATCTGTAAAGCGTTGACTGACGGCTTGTTTTTATGCAGCGTTGGGAGGAGATCGGAATCCATGTCCGCGTAAGTTGAACTTCTGATTCTCGAGAGCATAAACGTCATATACTGACGATGAGACTGTATCACGCAGACACCAGCCCTCCCGACCCGTTCCACACCTGCTCTCACCCGTATCATGACCGGTACTCCGAGAGGTACCTCCCTCCCATCTTGTTCAGACTGGATCCTCTGCCGTATCGTGAACTTCGCCCAGTGGAGAATCTGGTCGAAAACGGCAGAGTAGTTCTGGATGACCTGGGAGCTCCCATTCGTAACTTCCCATTCCTCCCTCGCTACATCTCCGTGCATCCTCCGGGATGGCTCCTGGAGTTCTGGTTACGGACGGACGGCCGCTTATCCTACAAGGATATCCGGGCTCGCATGACTGCTCCCGTCCACATGCGACCCAAGGATAACACTTTGAACATGCGTCGGGAGCGGGATGTTCGCGTACCTTTGGGTCTGTCCTGCTGGAACAATCGCCGCGGACTGATCGCACGCATTGAGGTCGAGAGAGCCGAGCGCTGGACTCTCGATCAGCTCAATTTTAACACGACTATGGACATTGTTTATTGGAGTCCCAGCCCAGAGCACCCTCTGCCTCTGCCCAGGTGTCTCAGATCAAAAACCCTAACCCGTATGGAGGAGCCGAGGTACTACCGTCTGGACACATTTCTCGGCTATCATCGACCCCATATCCCCAGTGAAAGAGTCCTGAACACGGTTGGGCTCTTCAATGATCTTTCGGAAAGGGCTAGAGAACTGAGTCTCCCATCCTGGCGTTATCTCCCAGCTGGGCACCTCCCCCTGACGTGGAAGCCTATGAATCATAGGGCAATCGTCACCTCGGAGGCGTCCCTCCCAGCAACTCGTACTATACACCCGACCTTGATCCCCGTACCAGCCGGAACTCCAACTCAGGCTGCTGCCAGGGCGTTTCGCAGAGCAATGGCCCGCCTGCCTCCGAAGAGGAAGCACCTCCGACCGCCATTCCCCCCATGTCGTCCTATGCATAAGTTCCGTGCCTTGAAGAGATGCCACGAGGAAATCGATGATACTGAAGAGCCCAATGAAGCCTCCACTTGCAGCAGTTCCAGCCGAATTACCGAACGGTTTGGAAGGGACGGGTTTTATGATGAGGACCATGGCGTGAGCTTTTCACTCTCTGGGCATCTTCCTAAGAAGCAGAGGAAGCACTAATTTGAGAACGAAGAGGGTACCATGTGCAATGCGAAGCATGCCTTTTTTTTTCGCTTTGAACTGTTGCTATCATTGACACGGTATCTTACTGGGTACCAATGGTCGATTTCTATCAGTGCTTTCTTTCTAGTCTGGGGATACACTGAGGGTGAGACTGGTTGAAACAGAAGAAGCGGTCTTTGAGGTCTTGCGTGTTGTGTTTTTCGTTACTCTATTTTGATATTGTCGCACTGGAGGTGTTTCTGGGGTTCCTGAGGACAGTCCAATTTCGTGTACTTTGTGTTTACCTGCCGTTGTTTCCATGGGGACGAGGTAATGGCCTGAGAAAAGGGGGAAAAAAAGTGTTCTTTCACCCGAGGCAGAGCATTAGTTAGGTTTGTTAAATCTGTTAAATAAATGCAGTTTCGGGAATAAGTAAACCAATGCCACGTGTAGATATCACGACAGTAGTCATTAAGAGTAGCGACTATATTCTATTAAACAAGATCCTAAACGAGACGACACTTGTACCCATTTCAAAGACCGACGACTCCCTTCTCTTCATCCCTTTCAGCCTTATTCTCCACCGACTTCTTCCCATCCAACAACCCATGCTCCGTCTCCAGACCAACATTCAGGTCATACGCCTTAACAAGGACACACAGAGCAAGACAGAAACCAGAAAGTGCACACAGGAAAATATATACGGTGCGAAGACTGTCCGTATACGCAGTACGAAGAGCAAGTTTGTCAGCACCATCAGGCGTCTGCTTGATGATTTCCACGAGCTGTGCAGCGTCCTTAGCAAGCTCCGTTGCCTGAGCAGCATACTGCGGGTACGTTTTGAGCCTGGTAACCATCTGGTTCTGGAAGATGACGCCGCCGATAGCGACACCGACAGCTTGGCCGAGAGAGCGGAAGAAGACGAACATGGACACTGCGAATGCGATATCCTTGGGTTTCGATGCTGCTTGGAGTTGGAATTGCACGCCCGGAAATAAGATGCCAAGACCTATGCCGGGGACGAGGGTGATAAAGATAAACTGCGGAATTGTCGTGGTGACTTTGAAGAGGATGAGGATGCCCAGGCCAAGTGTTGATACTATCCAGCCTAGCCAGATTGTCCAGCGATACGCCCCGGTCAAGGTGATGAGGAATCCCGTGGCCATGGCAAACGGTGCCACGGTGAAGGTGCTTGGGAACAATGCCACACCTGATATGATGGGTTTGTAGCCCTTGACTGCTTCGTAGTACAGTGGCTGATAGTATAGCAGGCACCAGAGGATGATACCATGCGCGGTCGTGGTGAAAAAGGCGATGTTCGCCGTTCGATTGGAGAAGACGGTGAGCCGGACAACGGGCTCAGGAGCAACAAACCGTTCATATAAACCGAAGCCGATGACTCCTGCAGCTCCAAGAATAAGGGGTACCAGTGTCCGCCAGGATGACCATGAGTACATGATGCCGCCCCAGGTGAGAGGGATGAGGAAAGATGCCAAGCTGGCGACTAACAGAGTCGACCCGACCCAGTCGATGCGGCGAAGCTTCAAGGCAATACTAGAGGGAACAACATTGAGACGGAGGAAGAGCGGCACCATCACGACAGATATGCCGATAAAGGGCAAGTTGATCCAGAAGATCCATCTCCACTGAACCTGGGCGAAGGCTCCTCCAATAACGGGACCCGAAACCGATCCGATGGACCACATTGCCGCAATAATCCCCTGCCACTGACCTCTCCAGCGCAGGGGGATCAGATCCGTGATGATGATCTCGGTTAAGGCTAGGATTCCTGGTCAAAAGGTCAATTGGGTCTCTAGTTATACGTTGAGCACAGGACTTACCTCCGCCGCCGACACCTTGAATAGACCTTCCCACAAGGAGGAGAGTAAAATTATCCGCCAAGGCTGCTAGCATAACTCCGACGAAGAACAATATCACCGCAACCATGATGAGGGGAGTGCGGCCGAAAATATGGCTGAAGGCCGCATAGTGAGGCTGAAAGACCGTCGAGCACAGCAAGAAAGACGTACCCGCCCAAAAGGCCTCGATCGCAGTCCCATGCAGCTTACGGGCGATGATAGGCAATGCCACGCTGAGCGAAGTGCCATCCAAGGCCACCATTAGGGTTAGAACTGCCAGGGAAGCAAAGGCCAGGAGAAACCGGGTTGATATTGTGAACTGCAGTGCTTCATTCGTGGTTTCTCCTGACACAGACAACGACTGAAAGGACGAGCTATTGGGGAGCTGTGCCTCTCTCTCGCGCGTCTTCTGAGGGTTCTCTGGGGTCGTGGTGGACATGGTTATAACGAGCGGTGCTGGCTGGAAATGCCGATGGGCTGAACTCTTCCATTGTCAACGAAGCAAGGAATGCATGGTATTTATTCCAGTTCATAACCGTCAGCTAGGATGAGCTTCAACAACAACGCCAACTTGCAACCGGTCTGATTGACTCCGACGGCCAGATATTCGTCCGATCGGGCCATACAGCCATTGCGATCCAATCATCTCGATGTCGGTCGGAGCAACATTCAAGAATATAGCAGTGGGGGATTGTACTCAGTATCCAGATCCTTCAGCCGGCCCGGAGCATCTTTTAAAAGGCTGAATTTGGCGCAATTCAATTCGAAGTTGACGGTTCAAGAGTAGTAGTGCTATTTAACGTCGGTGTGGGACACGCGCTAATCACGTGCCCGCGGGGATCCCGGAACGGAATATACGACGGGCAGAGCGGAAACTGCCTATCTGGTAGCTAAGCTAATTCTATCATACATGCTGGCAAAAACTCCCGCGGGGGAGTTTGCCTAGGGGTCTTTGGGCATCCACAGGAGCACTCCAACTTGGCGTCTTCATGCCCAAAGCATTTATGATAGTGGGCGAAGTCTCCGTGGCCAGACCAGGCAGCAAAGAGTCAGCTGAGGGTAGCTCTGGGAAGGGATAGTTTGTCAGGGCCCTTGCCATGTAGACCAGGACGAGCACGTGAGCTTCCTTACTTGGATTAGCGTGGCGCGTGGATAGGAGTACGTCGTCCAGCTTCACGTAGATCTCTTCCTTTTTTCCTTCCTCTCCATGCTTGAAGTTCTCGTCGATAGCTGCCTAGATAGCTGAATAGCATCCTATTCATCGTCTAGTTGAGTTCCGTGACAAGATGGCAGTTGTCCAGTCTGGAGGCATGCAGTCTGGCAGAAGCGCGCCTTTAGTCTAGGATGATTTAGTCTAGGATGATCTCTATTGGTGGAATGGCAGTTTCTTGATGGAGGGCTGGGATAGGGGTTGTTCGGTATACTGGGAGAGTACCCCAAAGGGCATCCCTGAGTACCTGGTCAAGATGAAAGAGGGAGGAGTCAACTCAATTTGAGACAGAGCCCTGGTTCCTGAGTTTAGGCCTGTTTTGGCCTGGCCACCATGCTTCAGCCCCATAGCAAAAGACTGAGATGACACAAGCAACTGTAGTTTGTTGCAGCAAGTATGCCCTAGTCCCTCTGATTGTATTAGCTAATGATCTAATCCCAGCAGTTGTCTATTTGGCTTTTGCAGCCAAAGTCCTGCAGTGCTTGCTGAAGCTTAGCCTCTGATCAAACCAGATGCCTAGCCAACGCGTGGCCCCACCAAGAGGGGGAGGTGTGACTGTGTGAGAGCCCTGAGAGGTGTGAAGAGAGCATGTGGGGTTAGAATGATTGTTCCCATGTGTGAAGTGCTGGAGTTCAGTTTTATTGAAGTTGAATGTGAGGCCTTCTCTAGCTCCCCACTGTCTGAGCTCCTCTGTGCAATGCTGGAGTGCTGTACAGTTTTCCTCCAAGAAGGGGGAGGCCACTAGTTGGCATATATCATCAGCATATCCAAAGCAGCCACGTCAGGTGGGACGAGAGCCTTGTTTGAAGATGGGCTCAATGAATAGCATAAAAAGGATTGGGGATACTGGGGAGCCTTGTGGGAGTCCTGCTGGGACCTGATATGTCTGGCTCCGGTTCAAGAGTCGACGGCGCAGAGACGCACCGATTATGTTGTTGGATCACGTGGGGTTTTGCCGCATAGGTCCGCCCTCGCTGACCCTTTCCACCACGTAGGCCTATCTAGCTAGTGACCAACGAAATATACCTCCATTATATGTACAGTAGGTGATCACCTGACGCCCAGTCCCACCTGCCGCCCGAATTCGCAGTACAACGACGATGCCAAAAAATGACGCCTTAGAGCCACATACAATCTGAATTATGTAGAGATATTTTGGAGTACTAAAACAGAGGTTGGAAAGAAGCTATATAGACCTTCTAATCTTCCCTAAAGTGTTGTGGTAGCTGAATTTGCCTTCCCCTACAATTTACTATAGGAGGGGCCTCTTCAAGAGCTTCAGCACCTGGAGTGACTGTATGCTGTTGTTGTGGAATATGCATATAACTCAGGGAAGAAGGGCAGAATGAAGCTGTATCGACTACACGTACGTAGCCTACTAAGGAACGGATGCCATTCTGTTCTCTTCTCTCTCTCTCTACCTACAATCAGGGGTTGATGGGCTAGGCCCGATATAGGGCTTCGGATACCCTCAGCTAACACCAACAGCAAGCAACTAGAAGTTTGCAGACCAGTCTACAAACTTCATTCTGCCACCATTCACTGTCCTGCTTATGTTATTCCGTCCTGCGCTCCCTAGGTAAACATACCCCTAGGAGCTACAAACCTCAGACCTCCCTCAAAGAGGCATAGTGATTCACGAGACAAATATGTCCCAAATAACATGAGCTTGGTATCTCTGCTCGTAATTTCCAAGGTGGCTCACATGCTGTGAGGGCAATTACTGGATCATTCAACACAAGTACTTTCTCATCTCCATCCTGTTGGGTGGGAAATCGTACAGGGTCATGATGAACGAGCATTGTTAGCTGGCTCAATTGCACTTGGATGGTGCTGAATACTTCCCATTCCTGGGCACTAATGTGCAAGGAAAATGACCCTAGCTCTCAGACTGAATATCTTGGTGGGTGGTTTTCCAATTCTCTCAACGATAAAGCGCAGAGAACCTGGTATGGCAAACACGTAGTCATGGGTATTCCAGACAGATCCTTGCAAACAAGAATCGTGGCCAATGAGCCTAGAACTTGATTGCTCATTCCTCCAAGCCAGGTGCTTTTTAGCAATAAACAAGACTCGCTGATCCTCAATGGATTGCCTTCGTATGTCAATAAGGTCGATTTCTGTCGTGCAGGTCAAAGAACCATTATTGGTCTCCATGAAGCTATGAGCGAGACTTTATAGCATTTCCTTGATCTATCGCTGACATGTCTCCATCTTGGTGGGCGTCAAGCTAGAGGCTTCCTGGCCTTGTCGGCCATATTAATAGATGTTACAATTTGGCAAAGTCCTTATTTTCTTAGGCTCATTGAAGCCCTATGAGGAGACACTTGTGTCTTCTAGCCCACCCTCAGCACTCAGCTACTCGAGGCATTATTATTATAGGCTTTGAGTTTCCTCAGGCAGCAGTGCTAGATGGTGGTATCTTTCCTGATGGTGAGCCAATCCTCATTCTCATTTGGTCTGGTTCCTGTTTGTTTGGCACTCGTGGGTCTGGGCTTGTAGCTTGTAGTAGACCGTTGCGTTTGCGTCGAAGGTTGGTCACGATCGCAGGTAGAGGTTCTGAGTTTTGTTGTCCTTCCATCCCCCTTTCATCCCTCTGCTGTTGGCGCTGGTAGAAGTCCATACCAGTCTGGATGGTGACAACTTGGCCCAGCAATCCTCATCCTCATTGTTAGTGCTAAGGAAACCAAAAATTCATATTGATCAATCATGGCATGCATGTCTCTCTTTGCTTTGTCTCCTGCATTATTCTAAAAAATGTGCACAGTCTCATCATGGCCATCGGGCCTGTTAGTCTGGTTAGTATTACCATCCAGTAGCTTGTAGATGATAAACTGCAGTTCTTACCTGTTAGATAGCCTAATAGCATCTCATGGAGGTGTAAGAGGGAAAGGAAGAAAGAAGATGGGTGGAAAGTTGTATATATGTCAAAGGTGGTCAGTCACTTATGTATACCCAGACCCTTGAATAGCATTTGTGATCACTATAATTATTCATTACATAAATTTATTTAAGAGCTTTAAAACAGTATCTAGGCTCAGGATATACATATATTCATATATTCTATTAGGATGGTGAAATGTGGCAAAGAGACAGTACTGGAGCAATCACAACCATACTCAGAATGACCTTTGGAGGTTACACTGTGGATATTTGCAACAGGCTTCTGACAACTTTAACAAATAGAGGAATATTAGTTAATTGGGAGTTTTCATACATATGCATCATTAGTATAGCCTTGAATGGCCTAGTAGTAATCCACATAGTTCCAGTCTGCAGCAATGGCAAATTCCTCTCCTTTCCCAATAAGAAAGAGAGGACTTGGTGAGAGTATATCAGAAAGAATTATGGATATATTTTTTTCATCTCCTAAAACCCCTGAACTTGTGTTTTGCAGCTCCAGGAACATGCATTGTCTGTATTCTGGCTGTCAGTTCTGCCTTCGGCTTTCCTGAACTTCACAATACAAGTATCCCAAGCGACCTTAATTAATTAGACGGATAGTTCGTTCGGTGGAAGGCGTGCAGGAAAGAGGACACTTCTAATTCCTATATATCATCTATATTCCTCATTGCATCAGACGGAACTGGACATTCTAATAAAGTAGAATACTATCTAAACTCGAGAACCCAGCAGCTACACCACCCTCGTTGACATCCTTTCCCTTAGTTCTTAGAAGCCAACCTCCTTGCTCGTTATGTGAGATCTCACCAGTACTGTTATCCCACAGTATAGTCCCATATACACCTAGTTCCCCTACCACATTACCACGCAGAACTTCTCCGTCACTCCTCAAAGCTATATTTTTAGGACCGGCAGGCGGTTGAATCAGCTCCATCAATACCCAACGCTTCCACTCACTCTCGGGGATCGAACGCAAGAACTCCGGAATCTCCTTCTTGTAAATGTTGTTTCCACCTCCCTCGCGTTGTGGCTTCAAGACATGGTTTGCGGCCGTTTCCGGGTTGAGGGCGAGTTCTCTACCCTGGCCCTCGGTAGCAAGATCATATTGGGGTGCAAAGGTTTCTCGTAGCTTCGCAATTAACTCGGGGTCCTTGTGGGGAAGGAAGCTAGAGAGATGATCAGGGCCAGCAGGCTCTGCAAGAACTTGTTGGATCTTCTTGCAGCCTGAAAGTTGATTAAGGACCGTTGGACATTTAATCGCTGCAGAGCGTTCTAAATGGGTCCGAGCTTCCCAATCGCGAGGAGAATTGTAGTCCGACGGGGCATAGAAGGCCCGGAGGTATACAGTTGTAGCCTCGAACTGCACTGACGGATTATGAGTCTGATATATCAGTGGACGGAAAGCGTTGTACTCGGGAATAAATGTCCGGTCTAATATTTCCGAGCTGTTCACGCGAAAAACTGGTATCTTGGAGACGTTACTGAGCTGTTTTGAGAGAGCTAGCTGATCGAAGATATTCCGTTCATTCTCCTGGACTATAAAAAGTATACACAATGGAAGTGGTGGAGTAGACTTGGATACACCGTATGCCTTGTGCGCCGCAGCGAGCCCGGCTGACAGAGTTTCGACTGCAGTGTTACTGGGCGGTAAACGCGAGTCAAACAGAGGATGCGGTGGATAGCTGATCGGACGGCCAGGTGGAGATGTGAGCAGCTCTGAATGCAGAGACGCCACCAGGGAAGATAGACCGCCAAAAGAAGATGAGATGGTGTTGAACTCCACCTGCTTCAAAGACGGTGAAGCTGAAGTTGATGGTGCGTGGATCATATAGTCAGATCGGAAGAGGCCCAGGGATAGCGTTTGGACATAGCCTTCCTTCTGGACGGCAAGATGGACCTTCCATAAATTTGAAATAAAATCATCCACATCAATAAGACTACAAAGGGTCATTAGTTTCCAGCCGAGGTAGCTAAAAAACAATGCTCTGAGGCAATGACGCAATAATTCAAGATCGATCAATGGGCACGCAAATTGAATAATGTCAGCTGTTCTTACTTTTCCATTACTTTCCCCAACCAGGCCTCATTGCAAGTGATCGCGGCATACAGCTCGTTGTACACGGTTTGCAGTGCCACTGCGTCTTCGAAACGGGCCTTCGGAAAGAGACTGGGGAACAACGTCACCGGAGCATTCGTTGCCAGCACTCCTTTTGAATCGACCCCTTCAGGGACGAAACTAGGATGAGGCCTGACAGCGAGGCCATTCTGGATTGCCCAGTCTTTAATTGTCGACACCAGGAATTTTTCCCATGCGGGGTCCAGAGGTGGGGGATAGTTAGAATAAATTGACCCGTCCATCAGGTTAGAGTGACAGAGACCTTGAGTACTAGAATTTTCCAGGAGACTCTTTATGCAAGGGACCTGGAAGCCCAGTTCTCCGGTAAAGCAGTCAGGAGAAGATGAAGAAGACAGGTAGACTTGAAGGAACTTGGGAGAACGGCCATACGATTACTAAGCGCAATGTCGCCTTCAGACAATTGCCTATTTGGGTAAGGCGAGATACCATGATGCGGAGAGCACAACTCACCGCCTTCGTCGTCTGGCAGAAAGACACCGCTAACTGAGAGAAAAATCTGGCAGCTCGCGGCAATCTTCGCTTGAAGGCACCCTGCTTGCTTTCTGGGGGCTCGAGATACAAGGCGTAGATAGAACATTCTATCAGAAATTGGTGACATACAAAATACCAGAAGCCGTGGTGGAACAGTCCGTCCTGGAGACTTTCTCTGCTATCCGGGTCATCTATGATCCGGAGATACCAAGTTTGAGCGAGAATAATATTGGATGCCCTGGCGACCATCTCGCGTCTGCGCACGCGTCGCTGCAACTGCTGCTGGACTATCCCAGAGGGGTGCACCTGGAGCTTTGTCACATTGCCATGTTGCTCAGCCTGCGCCATCCACAATCGTTGAACCTACGGGAATCTGCCCATGCAATTCCGCCCGCCCGTCTTGGGGCAGCTTTCTTGTTAGGGCGTGCGTTCACCGATCTATGAATTGCTGCTGGTAGTTGCCAAGGATCATGTGAGTTTTATCTATGCCTCAAAAACATTGACCGGGGTTAGCCTGTCTGACAGAAATCGGCGCCAGTGGACATGATGCCGTCTGCTGATGATCCCCTAGACTGGACAGTGGATCAGGTCGTCGAGTTTCTTTGCCATAGTCAGAAGACGCCATGGTCCCAGTCGACAACCCCGCCGCCGCGACCAGACCCCGCCACTTTCGAAGATGCCCTTCGGTCGAATATGATAACTGGGGAGACCCTCCTTAATGATATTGACAAACAGACACTACGAGAGGACTTGGGCTTGAAGAAAATTGGGTATTGGAGCACCATTCTTATGGCAATACGCTATCTTCGAAGTATATCGCGGAAATATCAGCGTCAACTGCAGAATCCGTCTCTGGTTGAACAGAGTCCCAGCATCTTTGTCCCAGAGGAACCAAGAGTGGACTCAAGCGTCGCTGTCAACGGAGGAGCTACCCAACCTTCTGGGCTCTCCACTTCATCACCTCCCGGGAACAGCGTAGAGAGCGCTGTCCCTGACCCACATCTTCGTGCTTGCGAACATTATGTGGTCGACCAACAAGGAAGAAAACGCCGAAAACTTAACCTTGAAGATGCTACCCCTCAAGCTCCGATCACTGATTTGGTCCCTAAGCCTGACGTGATATCTCCAGCGCGAGATAAGACTTGGTATATTGGGCCGAATAAAATTTCCCCGGCAGAGTTGTTCTACCCTCTTGCGCTGAATGACGATGATGAGGAAGACACTTTCGTCATGTGCAGCCCAAATTTCCCCACCGGCCAGCGCTTATTCGTGAGGGAACAACTCCACCATTTCTATTTCCAGCGACCAATTTCTTTGGGATCCAATGATGGAATCAGTAAATGGGCTGTAATTCCCTACAATCATACTTCCGTTGAGAATAACAGACAGAACTATTTCACTCTGTACTCCCTCAAAGATGGGAAAGTCACAGTCCGTCAGGAGAATGTTGATAAATGGCCACAACTCAGTACGAAAGTGACGACCCAGGATGATTCAACTGCGCTGAAATTCTCAGACCCGTTTTCTTATCTGATCCAGAAATACCCGGTCCAAGAAGGGAACGAAGAAGCCTACCCCCTGTATGGGGACTCTGGCTCTGAAGGAGTATATGACGAAGAGACATGGCTTGAAATTGAAAATGAACAGCAGGAACCACATCAAGGTAAACAGGAACGGCTGTCCGCCGCTGAAGTTGACTTAATCATCGCAAAATGCGTGAACGATATGGAGGAGACTTGGCATCAAGATCACCAACCGAAAGAGGAGAGAAAGGCGCGAAGGCTTTGGTTAACCGCAAGAAGATTTAATTCCACAAATCAACAGATAAAGGTCATTTCGCGCGATATATTCCTTCTGGAACGCCGCTTGCGGAAAATACAAGGTGCCATCCGCGAAAGCGATTATGCTACAGTATCGGAATTGCAAATGCAATGCCAGAGCATGCAGCAGACCGTTTTCAATATTCAGGTGCAGAAATGGCGCATATCAATATTGGAACAAGCAGTGTGTCCTCCCAGAGTTGTTGATATTCCAAAACGCCTACCGGCACCAAAGCCAAAACCCAACCTGGAGGATGGTGAATCGTTGTATTCGGAATCTGATGGTGATTCTGGTTCTCTGGACGATTTCATCGATGATGATACTGTCATAAATGGCGACATTTACAACGGTCAAGTTCTGCCCGGTTCCCCTCCGAGAGAAGCCCACAACCTGCAGGCTGAAGAGACTTCAGACATTTTGCCTCAATCACACATTTCACCATCATCATCTGATAGCGATGCCATTCTTACCCCTTCTGCGACCAGGCGAAAGTCTAGAAAGCAGAGCACGGTCCTACGGCAAGAAGATCGAAAAGCCTGGCATGCAACCGTCCCTATTGAACCTGGCTCTCCTATGCACGAGGATGCCATATCCCCCGAACCTAATAATCTTGCGGATATTGAATGTATCGATCTTACAGGGGATTCTCCACCAGAAGTGGATGATCTGAGAATCGAAACGCCTCCTCTTAATCCGTCTCTGCCGAAGATGTTGAACTCTGCTCAAAAAAAAGTCAAAATAGAACGAGGGCCTTCTACGTCACCGCCACCTGACCTTGGTTTGAGTGTGTTCGTTGAGATTTCCAACAGGAAAACCACCGATGACGGCAGATTACGCGACACCAAAACTGCGGACATCGATTTTGCAGGGATCTCACGCATGGACTGGGAGTCTCTCGAGGAACGTCGGGATCGTCGAAGAATTTTAGCGAAATTGGTTAAAGGCCTGCCACGCGCAGAGCAGGAGAATATGACCAAGAGAATTCCTCATTATATTTCAGGCCTTCTGCGGAAACATGTGTTAAGTGCCTTAAAGGCATTTTCAAATCACCACGATAAAATTCGGGGCGTGGACGATGAGGACCAAGAGCTTGTCAAGCGGACTGCATCACTTTACGTATCTTGGGTGAATTGCAAGCATTATGAGCAGGAAGGGCTTCCCAAGAAGGATGTTACAGAAGCTAAAAAAGATCAGCGCAGCTTCACGCCATTTCATAAAGCGCTTACTCACTGCCTCGTTGAATTTGAGAAGTGGACCCGAAGCAAAGGCAGTGGCACACAAGCTGAGCAGGCATCATCGGGAGACGAGCTCTCAGCCTTGTCCAGCATACCTCACAAGAAGCGTAAAAGAGAGGTCAAGGAAAGTCAGGAGGTCAAGAGGACCCATGAAACTGCACAACTACGTGTTGCCATTCAAGATCGGCAAAAGAGACGCCTGGAACGGAAATTGGAAAGCATGGGCTTGAATAACAACGATCCCACGCATCAAGCTGTCAGCTTTGGTAATCCGATCATCTACCTCGATCCACACATAGGCCGCCGCATTAAGCCGCACCAGCTCAATGGAGTCCAATTTATGTGGCGCGAACTGATAGAGGATGAGAAACGTCATGGATGTGTTTTGGCCCACACAATGGGCTTGGGGAAAACAATGCAAGTGTGAGTGATTATTGACAAAATGCAATTTTGTTGCGACAATGTTGCTAAAGCTGGACAAGAATATCTCTTCTAGTTACAATCTCCGCAGCGGCTACCTCGCCTGATCAGAATGTCGCCCAGCAAGTCCCATCATGCTTTCATCGGTCACAGACTCTAATCTTGTGTCCATCTTCCTTGATTGAAAATTGGTACGAAGAGTTCCTCATGTGGTCGCCAAAGGAGAACCATCTTGGCCCCCTTCGAAAGATCACAAGCTCGAGTGCGGTTGCCGACCGATTACAGGAACTATTTTCTTGGGATGAGGAAGGTGGAATCTTGATAATGAGCTATGATATATTCCGGATATGGATTCTTAACAAGGAGACGAAGAGCAGAGGAAAGCCTTTACAAGATGCCTGCCACGAGAGGGTTAGGCAATGTCTCTTAGTGGGACCAAACATCATTGTCGCTGATGAAGCTCATAAAATGAAGAATCGAGCCTCTGGGATCGCTACGGCAACCAGTGAATTTCGGTCCAAGAGCCGTATTGCCTTAACTGGCTCTCCCCTTGCAAATAACCTCGGTGACTATTACTCAATGGTTGACTGGATCTCACCTGGTTACCTTGGAAATTCAGTGGAATTCAGGGCCAACTATATAGAGCCTATCGAGGAAGGGCTCTACGCCGACAGTTCACATCGTGAACGAAGAAAATCTCTAGTGAAACTTCAAGTTCTTAAAGAGATTCTTAGCCCCAAGGTCAACCGCGCTGATATCTCTGTTCTTGCCGGCAGTCTCCCACCAAAGGTCGAGTTTGTCATCACCGTCTCCCTAACCGATTTACAAAACAAAGCCTATAACTCGTATGTTGAATCCGTTTATCAGAAAAGGGGAGACGTTGGAAATGCGCAGTTATGGTCTTGGATGGCAATACTTTCATTATGCTGCAATCATCCGGCGTGCTTTAGGGAAAAGCTTCTCAGCCATGCAAATGACGCCGCCAAATTAAGCAGAAAATCAGAGGACTTCGACAACGATGTGGTACCGGGCGACGAACCTATTGTTCAAGCTGGGCTTCCGGAAACGGTCGTCACCAACCAAGAAGAGCTCTTCTCTGCCGTCCCTGATATGAAAGCCCTTGATCTTTCGTACAGGGCGCAAATTCTAGACAGAATTGTCACGGAATCAATCAACGCGGGCGATAAAGTCTTAGTGTTCTCTCATAGCCTCCCCACACTCGATTATATCGAGTACGTCTTGGGGGTTTCTGGGCATAACTATTGCCGTTTAGACGGACAGACTCCCATCTTTAGCCGGCAGGCTGCTACCAAGCGGTTCAGCACAATTGGTTCTGAGCAGGTCTATCTGATTTCAACGCGCGCAGGAGGATTGGGTCTTAATATTCCCGGTGCAAATCGTGTGGTAATATTTGACTTCTCGTTCAGCCCGGTTTGGGAAGAACAAGCGGTTGGGCGCGCCTATCGGCTGGGTCAGCAAAAACCCGTCTTCGTTTATCGCTTCCTTGCTGGAGGGACGTTTGAAGAGGTCATTTATAACAAAGCTATCTTCAAAACACAGCTTGCCTTCCGTGTGGTTGACAAGAAAAACCCGGTCCGTTGGGCGTCGAGATCGCTCGGAGAGTATCTCTTCCCTGTAAAGGAGGTGGAGCGACAGAACATCTCCGAGTATGTTGGGAAAGATCCACAGGTTTTAGATAAGATTATTGCCGACGATCATGAAGGGGTAATTCGCAAGATCGCTCTCACCGAGACGTTCCAGAAGGAAGATAACGACAAGCTGACCGAGGAGGAAAAGCAAGGTGTTCAGAAGGAAATAGAGGATGAACAACTTAAGCGCACGGACCCAGTCGCATATGAGAAACTGATGAGAGAGAGGCAACAGGAAGAAGCCATGAGGATAGGAGCAACCATGTCGAATCTCGGCACCAGCTACCATTATGCCGCTTATGGCTCTTATGCTACCCAACCTCATCCGCAATATAGTAGCACCCAATACATGCCTTCCATGGCACGGAACTACTTACACCAAGCACCTGCATATGTCCCTGCCAGTACTCATAGCCCTGGACCGCTTCCTTCAGCAAGCAATGCCAGCGGCGTTCAATCTCCGTCAACACGTGCAACTACAGTTCCAGGAACTCGGCCTAGCACTGAGCTAGCGCGGAGTCAGGACCAGTCACCATCGTCAGCTCCTGCGGTGGCCCCCCTTGCTAATCCAACCTCAGAGAAACCTGCGCCTGTTGACGTATCATCTGGCGTGCTAAATGACGCCCCAGTTTCCAAAACCGGGAATAGTACCAGCGCAAAAGACGCATCAGCAGAAGCTCGCGATATTCCCGCTTCAAGACCCTGTACTCAGCAGTGATGGAGTCCTCCAGACTACATTTTCTCTCCTTTTAATTTCCCTGTCTTCATCCCTTCCATATTCATGGATATATTGGCCTCGTTATTCCCGTTTTATCTTTATTTGATAATTTCAAGTTGATGCCAATTATCCTTCTAGTGCTTGACATACAGGATTTATCGTCTCCTCAGGCTTGTCTTTTCTGCATGGTGCAGCAAATTGGTTAATTTGATTTTCAGTTTGTTTCAACGGGCGCTCAGGTAGCATTAAGGGCGTCTATCATTTGCTTGTTTTTGGTTCTCAGAAGAGCATGCGATTCCCCCATGTGCCAATTGAGATTCTTAGGTCCTCTCATTCTACTCATGGAGTTTTTTTGCCCTTTTCTTGTCTATACAGCGTTGAGTTTTATTTTCAGTGGAGATGATCGTTCTTGGTTTAGAACAAGGGTGAATAGCAAGAATAAACGAATTACCAGAGACAGAGAAAGCAATTTGCGGTATATCATCCGTAAACTTGCTGGAGTCGAAGATAAGGTGCGTCACGTGACGACGTGGTTTAGCGCGTTTCTCCACGTTTATCGACAACAGCAAGCATCTCCTGTCAACGCGGCTCGACTCGTCTCATCACCGTTCAGCCACTCGAATCATGACCGCTGGGTGGAAACGGAAGGCCGATCCAGCTAATGCAGTGGATCTTACAGGTGATGGATTGGACAGTGAAACTCTTTCTCGTCCAGCAAAAGTGGGCCGCATAGCTCCGCCGGATCATATACAAAATACTAGCAGTGGAGAACATTTTGGCGAGGATGCAACATTTGTGTCGCTGTCGCAGGCTTCTGCAATTGATGGAGATGATGCGGAAGCTGAGGATCTCATTCAGGGCAGTCAGGACTATGAAGTGTCAATATCCTATATTCTCTATGGTGCGTATCAATGGACTGGGTCCGTTCAGTTGTAATCCTCTAAAGCGCGCATTTCTGCCCTTTGCGAAGGGTCCGGGTTGCTGATTTCTTATACGCTATAGGTATACTTCCCACAAAGATCGTGGGAGTTCGCTACTACAGAGGAAACGCCACCATTGGAGAGCATGTCATTTTAACCAGAGAACCCAACAATCAGTACGACAGAAATGCGATCCGAGTAGACAACGTCATGGGCCATCAAATTGGTCATATCCCTAGAACAGTTGCAAATAAACTGGCAAAGTACATGGTATGTTTTCGCCATTCTAGCTTGCCCAATATGTAGACTGACTTTGTCGTCTTCAGGACTCGCGGAACCTTATCGTCGAAGGCATCTTAACCGGCATGATTGGAGCCTATGATTGTCCAATCGATCTGAAGTTGTTTGGACCTAGCGAGCCGGCTCTGAGGCGGGATCTATCACAGCAGTTGGCATTCGACAGAATTCCATTGTCAGCCTTGAAGAGTTTTGAACGGGAACAAATCAGACAACAGAGGGAGCGTGAGAAGGCACTCAAACAGGTCCAGAAAAATGCTCACGCTCTCGCTAAAAGAGGAATACAGTGGGATGCTTCTAATGATCCCATGTTTGCCAACCTACATGGCTTGGAGGGCTTTACTGGGACTGAAAATTTTGACGACCTCCTCAGCCAAAGTAGCACATTCAACCCTAGAGACATAAATCAAGTTACAGAGAATTTTGGTCTCGGTGAAACAGACCTCGTGAACATGCCAATGGCCGATACTCCTCCAGCACTTTCGACCAAGCTTCTCCCATATCAGCGCCAAGGTCTAGCGTGGATGATCGAAAAAGAGTCACCGAGACTTCCTGCTCCTGGCTCACAGGACACAGTGCAGCTCTGGAAGAGGCAAGGTAATTTATTTACCAATATTGCCACGAATTTCTCTACGGCACAGGATCCTCCGCTTGCAAGTGGCGGAATACTTGCGGACGACATGGGACTTGGTAAGACTATCCAGATCGTATCTTTGATTTTAGCAAACTCCACACCGAAGGGCTTGGACTCCCCCAAGACTTCTTTGATTATATCTCCAGTTGGGGTGATGAGCAACTGGAAGAACCAGATTGAAGAGCATACGAAAGCGGAGTGTACTCCACGTGTTCTCATATACCACGGCGCTGGAAAGAAGGAAGCCGGTAAGCTCTCCGAATTTGATATTGTGATTACTAGCTACGGTGCACTCGCGAAGGAATTCAATCCGACTGCCAAAAACCCCCCCACAAAAGGAATATTCTCAATGCACTGGCGCCGGGTTGTCCTCGATGAGGGCCATACCATCCGTAGTCCACGTTCTAAAGGTGCACTTGCTGCTTGTACTCTGAGGGCGGACTCCCGCTGGACCTTAACGGGAACCCCTATTATAAATTCTCTGAAAGACCTGTACTCTCAGGTCCGCTTTCTGAAGCTGACCGGAGGATTGGAAGACATGGCAGTGTTCAACAGTGTTCTGATCCGACCGCTTGCCAATGACGACCCAGGCGCCCGTCTGGTTCTACAGGCTCTGATGGCCACTATTTGCCTACGTCGCAGGAAAGATATGGACTTTGTTAATTTGCGCCTACCTCCGCTTACTTCCCGCGTTCTTCGGGTCAAGTTCCATCCTCATGAACAGGAGAAATATAACATGTTTCAGTGCGTATTGAACAGTCGACGCATCGATTTCTCTGCTACTGACACGAACAATTCAGGTCTGAAGCGCAGGGTGTCCTCTTGGACTACAAGTCAAGGGATAAGCAAGGAAATATTGCTTATTCCCATCTTCTTGAGATTCTTCTCCGAATGCGGCAAGTCTGCAATCACTGGGCCCTCTGCAAAAACCGCGTCGACAAACTTATGAGTCTATTGGAAAAGAACAAGGTCATCCCGCTGACTCCGGAGAATGTCAAGGCCCTCCAGGAGATGTTGCAGATCAGAATTGAGAACCAAGACATGTGCCCCATTTGCCTGGATACCATGGACCAGCCAGTGATTACCGCCTGCGCCCATGCCTTTGATCGAGGTTGCATTGAGCAAGTCATTGAGCGGCAGCATAAGTGTCCTCTGTGTCGCGCCGAAATCAAAGATACATCGTCCCTCGTTTCTCCTGCGGCCGAACTGGGTGAGAATGACGAAACCGTCGATGCTGATCCAAATCGTCCTAGCAGTAAAATCGAAGCACTCGTCAAAGTCCTGACAGCAAAGGGACAGGCAGCGGATACGAAAACCGTTGTATTCAGCCAGTGGACTTCATTCTTGGACCTTGTCGAACCTCACCTTCAGCGATGCGGGATCGGTTATACCCGGATCGACGGCAAGATGGACTCTGCGAAACGCGATAATTCCACACAAACCTTTAAAACCGATCCTAACTGCAAGGTCCTTCTGGCCAGTTTGAGCGTGTGCAGCGTCGGGCTCAATCTTACCGTAGCGAACCAAGCCATCCTTGCGGATAGTTGGTGGGCACCGGCCATTGAAGATCAAGCCGTCGATCGAGTGTACCGTCTAGGGCAGAAACGGGATACGACTGTCTGGCGTCTTGTCATGGAAGGAAGCATCGAGGATCGCGTGTTAGAGATCCAGGAGACTAAGCGCAAGTTGATGTCGGCGGCATTCCGTGAGACGTCTAAGAAGAAGGCTGAAGATAGAGCTACCAGGGTTGCAGATTTGGAGAAATTGCTGAGTTAGGTGGTGTTTGTTTTAATATACTATTTCTTGTTCTGGGGCGGGATATGTTCTCCTTTATTCGTTTTAGGTGCTGGGATCTTCTTATACTTAAGTTCCTTTGGGTTCCTTTTTTGAGTTTTAGTATATAGATGTGGGTGCAGCCTCTTGGGAGGCTTAATTGGTAAAATCCTCTTGGTTAGAACAACAGTAACAACGCTAAATAGAATGTAGAAGAAGCAAGTCATGTCATAGAATCCGTAATCCAGTTCCCCATCACGTTCCGTGACTTGCAAATCGAACCACCGGAGCTTGGGAAGAACTGGGCATATCAATTTATCCAATAACTTCCCCTTAAATATACATGGGTTAAGTAGACTCTAGAGGATCCTAAACAGATCAATGCTGAGGATATTGGTGTTGTTCCAGACTTTTATTTAAAGCTAGAATCAAACATACAGATCAATAAGGTTCTACTAAAGAATATATACAATGCGGATGAATCAGGCTTCCAAATTGGTCAGGGAAAGCCTGAGAATGTTGTCTCAGCTTACCCAAAATGGTCAAAAAGACAGCCCGGCGTAAAGGGGGGGCGTATGTGCGTTGTTCCCTGCGACAGGAAGCAGGCTGTGATCGAGGGATCTCAGGGATGGATACACTGAACGATCTAATAAGGAAACGATATCATAAAAGAAGAAACACAACGATGAAGGAGCCTCGCTCCATTCTATACGATGATGACGATACTAGCGAAGCAACCTAGAAGCCAAAAGAATGCTCAATTTCTCGTAACTATCTGGGAGGAAACCCTCCATTAGTATGTCGGAGACCGCGGCTCTACGGTGTTCTGAGATAGGAAATATGGGAGATCCGGGGTTTCGCAGTGCCCCTGGCACACTACCATAAGAAAGCAATCAACTCAATTGCTTGTCTGGGAATTGAAGATGTTGATAAGCAGGAGTTCCTATTCCAACTTCATGCTATATATGTACAGACATCTACTTCACATACTATATGATCTGGATTTTCCAGACGTCTTCTCCGTGTAGGTGCGCTTGGCACGGGTAGTTACTGTATTTCCTTTTCGGGCGATGCGGCATGCCAAGCCTGTTGACACTTATCGATCACTCCACCAGGTCATAACAACAATGCTTAACTGCACTCACAATAACTCACATAGATGCATCTACTTCCTGACTCCCCAAATACAAAATGTCCTCCACAGCTCCCCCTCTTCTCCGTCTAGTCGTTGCGAATGCAACAAAAGCCAAAAAATCCAAGACCCGCAGCGTTCAACCGCCCCTCTTGAAAACGGGCAAATGTGACTGCACCCTCCAGGTCTCCTGCCATGTCAAACCCAACGCCTCAAGAGATGGAATCGTTGCTGTTGGTCCGGAACAGGTGGATGTATGCGTCTCCGCAGTTCCAAGAGACGGGGAGTCGAATGCGGCTGTTTCGAAGGTCTTCGCTGAGGTATGCCTCGTTCCATTTTCTCGAGCCTCGTCACTGACCAGTCCGTGTCTTGCTAGGCATTCAACGTACCGAAGTCAAATGTGGAGATAATCCGAGGTGGGAAAAGCCGGGACAAAACACTTTCTATTTCCGGGCTGGAGGTCGATGCTGGGGACATCCATGATGGAGAGGGGGAGAAGAGGGTATTGGGGAGAATGAGGGAGGTCCTTGAACGGGCTTCAATGAACAGTGATCGGAGTGGGAGGGAGAGATGATTGCGGCCCGGACGTTATCTATCGGTAATACTGCACCCGCGTCAGAATGTGAAGTCGACGACATCTCACGGACTGCCACCGGTGGTATGTCTCCTGCGGATACTTTCAAAATGAGGCTTGACTTCGGCTAGGGTACAATTGCCTGGACGCTGAAATTGATCTCGCTGCTATTGAAAAATTGATTCCAGTATCTGGGGAACCAGGACGCCTTACATAACCCACGACTGGTGATATACACTTTGTGCCATCGCCGTTTTCGGTTACTCGGAGTTTTGATAGCGTCAGTCGCTTTTACCCTAATGGGAGTGACTCCACGCGTCTGACTTTTATGAGGTATTGTGGAGCTCGTTTACGCACATGGCAAGGCGCCTGGCTTCAAGTTTTACCAGCGACACCAGCAAATTGCCGCTGCTATGAGACTAATATAACCATAGCTGCTATGACTTTCGTTCCAGTCTCAGTGCCTTATCTTCCCTATTATCAGAGAACTTTCTCTATGCAGCTAGAAGAAATAGGTATATGGGCTTTTTCATATGTACCACTAGTACTTCAGCGGGGAATTCATCTTCATTTAAACTGTCTAAGCGGAAGATTATATATAATCACATAAGATCCTGAAAGTGCGAGGATATGTAGGAGAGCTGCTTTGAGTAGCTTCAAACTTGGATCCGTGCGGCTAAACCGCATATGGTATGCTCTCTCACATGACATCATCCCTTCTATTTTTTTCCCTGGACTTTGCGAGCTTCCTCACGGTCATTGGGTTTATAGCAACAACCATTGATACCGCGAAGTCATGTCAAATCAAACAAATTCGGCTCTAGATTCAGCTTCAGCTGAGAAGCCACTTCAGTCAACGGCAACAGCTTCAAACAGCAAGCGCAAAGCTTCCAGCACAGAGGCATCGAACCAAGTCGCGCATTTCACGACTCGCAATCCGTCCTGGACTTATCTGAAACTGCAATTGTGAGTAGACGTAGTGAGTTATTTATTTTATTTTTCTGCTGTCCTAATGTTAATATTGGCTAACCTGCGTATGAAAAAGAGTCTACCAACCAGGAACCCCAACCGCGATTAAAAACCAGCCCCTAGATGTCCTGACAGCTCGGACATATCTTACTTCTGCCTTTTCACAGTTCCTTGGAATATCTGGAACAGCTATATCTGTCGATATTTTGAAGATTGACTCCCCAGCATTTACTGCCGCAACGGTCAGCCCAGATATGAATCCGCAGAAAGACGTTTGGATTCGTGTTCCACGTCAAGATGCTCGAGCTGTAGTCACAGCCCTTAGCTCGTGGGTTGGAAATAACAAATCAGTCCAGAATGCCGGGAGTGTAGCGTGGCGAGTTTGCGCCAAAGGTAATTTTCTTGGGGCGCTCGTCGCAGGATCTGGGGGGAACTTGTTCATCCCCGCCTAGTAACTACATGACTGTACACTCACCGCTGGGCAATATATTTCTCTTGCAACTATGTTGCTAGCCGACCTTCCCATCTCAGTTTCATCCTCTTCCGGGTACTGGAGTTTTTTCACGGCGACCACAAAGCTCACGCGATACTGCTGTCCCTGTGACCCGGGTGAGGCCGGCTTGAAGATTCGCAGGGAAACGAAGGACCAGCTTCAAAAGAGAGACAACACCCTTCACAAATATTACGGGCGAGACCTTGAGAATGACTGGGCCGACATCTTCCTTGAGTGACACTGATGATTTTCGGAGCCAAGGGGAGCCAACTGAGAACTTGATGAGTTTACGTCGTCAGATGCTTGGATTGCCATTATGAAGCGTCTTAATGAACTGATTCTTCCATGGATGTTGAAGAAAAAATTCGTATCAGACAGGGATACAAGGGTCACTTGACATCTTTTGCTAACTGCATTACGCATGTCAGCAGCCTGATTGCTGGGATGAGAAGATACTAATTAGAAATGGTGACAAGACCATCATCATTCCCTATGAGTGGTTCCATGACCTCTTGCCATCCTTGAAGCGTAAGCCAGATTGTCTGCTGGAGATTAGTTAAATCCGGCCCTAGTAAAATCTAATTCCGCGGGTATATTTCTAATACCAACGATAAATCGGCTTTGGTGACGGACATTAGCTTCATCAGGCTTGAGATCTTTCTATAATTGAAGCAGGAAATTTGATACTCGGTTCAAGAAGACATCACCATTAGTTGAAGTTCTATCTCCGAGCATCGGTTTTCTGACTTTCCCCTAGACTGGATCTCATCAGAATACAACAACCCATCATCACGGACAAAGCCAAATCCACCAGCATGGCATCCTATCTCATTACCGGTTGTTCTCGTGGACTGGGACTTGAGTTAGTCAAACTTCTCGCAAAATCCACTGTCGCGAACACCATCCTCGCAACCGCGCGCCGCGAAACCCCAGCCTTGAAATCGATCATCGACTCTGCCGATGGCCGTGTTCATTACATTCCTCTGGATGTCACCGATGATGTCTCTATCACATCTGCTGTGGAGACGGTAACGAAAAAGCTGAACGGAAAGGGCCTGGATGTGCTTATCAACAATGCGGCTATCCATATCCTCGAGGCCCAAGGCGCAACCAAGATGCATGCCTTGGAGGAGACATTAAAGGTCAATACTATTGCAGTTCACAACGTTTCCTCCGCATTTCTCCCGTTGCTTGAAAATGGAACCCAGAAGAAACTCCTCATTATCACATCCCACCTTGGTTCCATACGGTCCAAGGACAATTTTGCCGCAGCTCCATTCCCGTCATACAAAATTTCCAAAGCCGCTGTGAATATGCTCATGGCGCAGTATGCAATGGAGCTGAAGCCGAAGGGCTACACGGTGTTCGGGGTCAGTCCTGGCTGGCTAAGGACAGATCTTGGGGGGCCATTAGCCGATTTGGAGCCGATTGTAGGAGCTACGCAGGTCCTGGAAATTCTGGCGAAGGCGACTCCTGAGGATGGTGGCCATTTCAAACAGATCTTCGTGGAGGGCTCTGAAATCTATAATGGGAAGGATATTGCGTGGTGATTGCTCCGAATGACGACCAGAATGAAGGCATGGGAGAAACTCGTCAGGAACCTGCTTAGAGTAGAAAGCCGGTGATTCCTGGAAGTATGAAAGCCGCCTACGAGTCATCCTGGACACTTCCAGCTGGAAGCAAAAGCATAACGTAATCCACAATCGAGCGGGAACCACCAACCCTAACTAGCATACATGTGAGCTCGAGCCCTGACACCTAGTTTGGTTATTTATTTGCTGCTGTTACTGCATTTATTTCCTCCTCCAAAATTTGCTGCATCAGTAAGCAGGTTAAGGTTGGTTTGGTTAGGGTTAATATTGATATGCCCTAATAGTTTCTTAAAAATAGCCAATCATGTTCTAACCTTACTATGATAGAAGCTGGCCATATGTTCTGTGTCTGGTGCTTTCATCACTGCCTGTGGCTGGCACAGAATCTTATATAGGAGCATTGCAATGACTAGATCAATCATGATCCAGAGATTACTCCTTGTCAGTTCCTGCCTAGCGCCTGGTGCTAGAGCTGTTGGTGAGGTGGTGTGCCACTACAGGGCCACATAAATAGGATGCCCCCAAATTTCTACATTGCATTCTACCATCCACACTATGGAAATTACCAGCACTGGGTGTTGCATATTGAGAATGGGAAAGAGCACCTTTTTTTTTTGAGGTTACTGGCCAGCACCCAGAATTCAAGTGCAACATTGTGAAGGCAGATCTGAAGCAATCAAGATCTTTTTGGGAGTTTTTCGTCGCTGTGATTCATGAAAACGATATTGAGAGAGTGAAAAATGCCGCACAGAGCATGCCCATAGACAATGAGACTACTGAGTGGGATTGTCAGGATTATGTGCTGGAAATACTGAAATACTGGACAAATTGGCGGATGACTATGTTTTGGTTGAAGATGACGAGTACACTGACGCGAGAGAGATACTGAATAAAAGGTGATGTAAAGGGGGGCGTACGTGCGTTGTTCCCTGCGACAGGAACTGGGTTGTGATCGAGGGATCTCAGGTATGTCGGAGACCGCGACTCTACGGCGTTCTACGATAGGAAATATGGGAGACCCAGGATTTTGCAGTGCCCCTGGCACACCTTGATGTATTACTAGATCCTGTGGATAAAATAACAATAAAAAATAGAACATGCAACAGAAGGTGTATGTCGGTGGTCACCGAGCGCCCCAGATTGGCCCGTCGCTGCTTTATTCAGTCCATTCAGTCATCTTCAGGTCGCTTCGGGGGCGCTGTCAGCGTCCTGAGCCGACCCCTCTAAAACGTGCTGCGCTACTGGGATGTGATGACCGGGGCAGCCAGGCTGACCGGATATTATAAGACCTGTTCTTCTCTTTCACCAGTCGGAATCTGTATCTTCTTATCCTTCACATGTTCGCTCTTCTCTCTGTGCGCTGATGTATACTGCTAAGTATGGTGGTGAAAGGGGTACGCTCAAAAGTCTATCAGCAAGTCAACCTCGACGACCATGACAACTCAGAACGCAAATCCAGAGTACTGGGTCGGACCGAGAACCAGTATGATAGGACTTTAAGTCTTTTTGATGAGTTAGAAAACTTTCTCTTTCTAGGCATGTCTCCCACTTACGGAATCCAGCTTTCTTGAGCTACATCCCAAAGCCTCATATCCGCCCGATATACGAACTTACAAAGGATTTATGGAATTTGTGAGCAAAAATACGCGAGGTCGGCTGGGAGTATTTCCTACACCTGAAACAATGGAGGGATTTCGCCGGCGGTTCGAGTCTGCACTCCGTCTACGTCGCGACTATGATATGCCGAATCATATATCCACAACAATCATGCTTTTCCAGCCACTTCTGCAAATACAACGTGGACGCCAAAGGAAGCTCGGGGCTCCATTGGTCGGTTTAGCAGATCTGTATAAGAATTGCCGTAATATTCCTAGATTCGTACGTCGCCAATATCGATGCAGTGCAGCTTGGAGAACCCTTGCTATGCCGTACCATTAAGCACCTACCTGAGGCTGTCCTGGACTTACTACAGTACCCTGAAATCAACGTCAACTTGTGTATCCACACCGGACCGTTATGGCTCGCAAGCTATAAGCAGCGCTTCTTCATCATCGGGGCACTTCTCATGCGGCCCGATACTGACATCGATAGTCTAGGTGGAGGTTATCACACGCTGCTGACTTCACCGTACGTCTAGGGGATGAAAGATTCTTCCCATTACTGTTGTCCAAAACTCGCATCCAATGAACCGGAAGAGAAGGGGAAGGGGAGGAAGCCTAATTCTCTTGGCTTTTCAGCTCCGCGACTATGAAATGGCTGAGAATCTTGTTCGGGATGGCAGGGTCGATGTGAACAACAGAGGCAATAAGGCCATTGAGTTACACCCGGTTGCAATAATGGTGCAAAAGTCTATACTCTCTTCTTCTTTGAAAAAGAAGCTGCTGGTCCAGAACAGGTTAGTAACTTAATACTCGGCTTGCATTAATTGGTGAAATCGAGAAGCGCTGACTATTTAGAGAACCGCTTTTAAGAGCATGAAAGAGTGGCGCTTTTGCGCCATTTCTGCAACCAACTGTACTTCTAAGCCATACACAGTCTTAACTCTTAACACGACTGTCTCACCCTTGAAGGTCCATTTCTCCAAATGGCTGTTAGGAGGGGCTACAAAGCGGTGGTCACAAGGCTATTGCAGCAGCAAGACCATGACCCTACAAAACACCAAACTACCCTCAAGCACTACGCTTTATGATACATGCACGCATTATTCGGGTTGAGATTAATGAACTGACATAAGATTGCCCTAGGGAGAACGTAGAATATGTTGGATATCAATTACTGCGTGAGATACCATAATCAAGCCAGTGCAGCTGTTGAAAGGGCGTATCCAATGGAATCCAACTGCTGTTCTACCAAAGAGTATCGCGGGAGTAATGACAGCACCATGTCATTAAAGTCAATGAACTGCGACTGAGAGCATAGAGCTGCCGTTTCGAAGGCCGGGGGATACGATCCCGCATCTGCCCAGTCCACGAGCCACACCAGGCCGTTTCGGTCTAGAATAAGGTTTCGCGGACTGATGTCCTGGTGGGTGAGAACAAATTCGGTGAACTTGAAGGGCGGAAGGTCTGACGACGCGTGCTTGTATGTTTTGCAGATGTCCAACTTGTGGTTGAACCAGCCCTCGAATTCGGCCACGTCCTTGAAAGGCCCGGCACTGTAGTGCGTGAAGAAGCGACCGCGACATGGGCCCCCGCCGATCGGACCTGGCTCCAATAGCTTGGTGGACTGCATTTCAATGATCATCTGGGCCGTCTGCCTCGCGATATCCATCTTTTGTTCATTACTGAGATCTCTCCAGCAGCTATCAAGCGGTTCACCGTCGATGTAATCCATCACAATATATCCCATGGTGCCGAAATATTTCGTGTCATCCTTGAAATGGAGAGACCGATGGACACGAGGAGCTCGAATATTGGACTTTGATGCAACTAGTTGGAGTACCTTTGCCTCACAAGGCAGCACATCGCCGCCGCCTTTTAAAACGAGATTCTTGGACAATCGCACCACAGTCGTTTGGCCGAGATGGTGAAGGATCGGAGCAGACTTGAGGAGGTTGACGAGGGATTCGTCGGAGACGCAGTCGAGGTCCTTATCATCCAGTGGGAATGCCCTGTCTGAGGCCTTACTGGCCGGCTGTCGAGGTTGTTAGTGCAAGATTCACTCCTAGGGGAACTGAGTACGGGAGTTAATACATCGGTGAACGGGCGTAATGGTCCTTCCATATTTTCAAACCTTCGGATTTTATGGGCGAGGGTCAGTGAGAAGGGGCAAAGCCGTGTTAGTATAGGGGTGCCATTCCAAGAGGGCATAAAAAGGTAGGTAGTTGAATATAAGAAAGTTGAACATCGCTGATGCTATTGTTAGCTTGGCTGTGCTTAGTCATTGCCAAGGCGCAACAAATCATGGATGGGAATTGGGCACCCACCTGCGACGGGTTCAGAACGGAGCCGGAACAACGGATCAGTCAAAGTCAGAGAAATCCTGAGACTGAATAATCTCATACACGTGATTTAATACTATTTCTAATACTGAATCAGCTCTGCACGTGATTTTAAAATTTTCTAAAAAAACTAGAATAAAAATCTCTGAAAATCCCTCATATCTTGAATATCTTAATAATTCTTGTAAAGACCCTAAAAATATTCTAAAAAATTAGATATAATAGCTGATTTGATTTAGAAAAGTTGGTACGGAGTCAGATGAACTCAGTCTGATGCTGAGTAAGTGAGTATATTTGCACGTGATAAAGCTCATCCGGTGTCGGGATTTCTCTGAACCCGACGCACTAATTTCTAACCCCGTCGCACTTGGGACCCCAGGGAATTGATAGGTGGATCAGGTGCCTAGTTAGCGCTCGAGCGGAATCTGGCTGATCAGTTGTGTCTCACCAGTCGCTGGCTTCATCTATAGGACACCGGCTGAGATAATTGTAGATCGTTATATGTTTGGATGAGCATTTGACTTGCGAACGAGGACATCTGACCTCCATTGGCCCCCCTCTCTTGCTGCACTCCCCTGAGCGGTACACATAATGGAAAGATTGATTGCAACTCCGTCAATGATTGGACCCTCTACGCGCTGACCTCAACTTTCAACTTCTAATTATAGGAATCCGGCTTCTCGGGCTTCCATTTACCATGCACATGGCGAGTGCTGAAACAGTCCATCATGATGACAGCTAGTGAGGGGCTTGGGCTGTTTAGAAAGCGGCAATATATAAGGGCACTCCTCCACTGCTCCATGCCCATCCTTTGACAAACCTACGACAAACAGATCCTTGTCGTCTTCCTTGGACTTCTTATTCCAACTGTTACCGCTTTAGGTATGTGTCCATGGCGTCGTAGTGTTATGCATATAAAAGCCTAATATGTACCAGGACTCCCAGACACATAATTCGAAAAATGGCAAACTTTGAGCCAGTCAATTTCATACCAAGGCACCGTCAGGCCGAGATTTTGGAGTTACCGGTGCAGTCTCTGATTGCTGCGCCGCACAGCAAGCACGCCGGCACAAATCATTGGTGTCTCTACGCCTTGACATCCGACGCCACCTCTGTCAGATTCGATTGTCAACCCAGTTACTCCGTCCCAAATACCATTCTCCCTGGAGGCTCCAAAGCCTATGTAATCATCTCTGAGCTGCAATATGCTGTGTCCAGGGATGCTCAAGCACAGTTCATTCTCAGGGTTACCCCAGGTCTGAAAGTCAGACATGTTTACGATTTGCTGATCCAGAATGGGCGCCACAAATACGAATTCGATTCGAACGGAGTTGGTTGCAGATTTTGGACGACGGATCAGATCAATCTGCTGCATCAGCATCGGCTTATCACGGATACTGCACAAGTTACAGCTGCAAAGAACGGGATTCTCAAGCTGTGGCCAGATCAGACGCCCCTTGAACTCGACCGGGGAGCCTACTACTAGGGATGTCAACAGGCAGATGTCTGCTTTGTTGTTCCTTGGATCATCAGGTCACCTATCTTGCGAGGGACATATGCGAGCAAAGCAGCATCTTACGCAGTCTGTCCGATTTGGGATCTCGGACCCGAGGCCAGCTCCCTTTCAGATCCACAATGCCGTTGAAGATTTGTTTATATGCCACGTCATTTTCTGTGTCTCCTTTTTCCCACTTTCTCCTGTTTTTCTGCGTTTTTACTTGCTATCAGAAGAAAATCCATCAATCTATGACTGTAATCTCACCCACAAGTATTCTTAGTGACTCTTTATCCCGCATGAAAAGGTCAGGGCCATATATCAAAGAGTAGGTCGAGAATCAACCAATACAGTTCGTTTCAGGACCGAAGGTTGGGAATTAAGTATACTGTAGCAATACTCCCGCAGTTGTGCCCCGTTATTCCAACTCGTAATGTTCAGTATCTACGCAAGCATAAAAGTGGATAGACGCCAATGAAACACTAGCGGGTAACTTGGTCTATCTTTTCCAGTCTTGGTGTTTCTCTTGCGGTTTAATTTGCCGGAGATGAGAAGAGCTTCCACGAATCCAAATGCCATCGGGCTACTGCTAGTGTGGATGGTGTGGCTAATCGTTTCCCATACCTACCCATCATAAATCTAAAGGAGAGCACATTTCGCGCCCTTATTTTCAGGCGACGGGTAGAATTTGTCTGTTTCTATATAGAAATGAAAATGTAGGCCCTGGTCACATCTAAGTTACGGCTCTAATCATCTCTCGCATTCTTACCACTGCAAGGTGCAACTTGCGACATTGATAGGCTGGACGTCGACCTCAGATTCAATTGTGGTATTATGCCATCCCGTCAAGGTCCCTTGTAGTGTGGGCCCCGTACCTTGCCTGAAGATGACAGTGCACGAGTACATACATAGTAGAGGACTTGCATTGAATGATACTGTAATTATGTACCATGAAACTGCAAACATAATAGGGTTAGATGAATACAATCGTCGGTACAGCAAGGTACAATACTGTGTATTTACTGTCCTAGCTTTGTAAGCAATAACAAAGTTCGAGGAGATACAACCCAAGACAAATATTTCTAGTAGGGGCAAAGTGTATGGATTAGCAAGAGTAAATTCTGAAGAGTATATGGTCTACCAAGAATGAACGCTTTGTACTTGCATACTGCATCTTGTACTTAAATATGGGGCCTTATCCTGCGCCTCCTGGTAGGTAGTAAATTCCTTTTATTTGATACATTTTAGATAAACAGCAATATTATCACCAGTTACAGTACAGCATCAGCAACAACGCCAATCATTCTCGATGAAGCTCTATAGCATCCCACATGATATTTGGTTAAGCATCAAGGACTTTCTGGTCCCAGCAGATATTGAAAATATCATGGACACCGGTCGCAGCCTCTGGCTGCAGATCTTCAAAGATTTCTCTTGGATTGATACTGCCGTGCAGTCTGGTCAAGGTTCTCCTGTTCTTATTGGCCATAACCTGAGTTCCTTTCGCCCTAAAAAGCCTTCAAATCGTCTCTATCTTTCTCTTGTTATGAATGATTCTTCAGGTGATCTCCGTGAGACTAGTCAAGCCTTCTTTTCTACGCTCCAAAACGGCTGGCGATATGATGAAGGAAAATTTGAAGTCTACTTCCCATCTGGCATAACCTTGAATATCTATGATATCATCGAGGGTGATGAGACGATAGAGCTACCTTTGGAGAAAATTTTTGCAAATACAAAAAAGGGCCCCTACACGGAGTACTGCTACTACAATGATCACTCAATAAAGGAACTGCAGTCATCCGATATTATAAAATGGGATCCTCTCTATAAAACCGCCCCACATGCTCCTCTTGGTTGGTGGAATGGCCCTTCAAGCAAGGGTAGAGATCTAAGTAAGGGCTGTAAACTTACGCTTCTGGATGGGAATACTGAAACGGTCTATATTATACGGCCGAGGCGCGTGAAAAGCAAACTATGGGCGAAAATATCATAGGAAAAGTGCGGTTGCCTGTCGTGCTCACTTTGCTTCTGATTCCTTATTCATATTTGCTCAGACTTTGCAATATCCTTAATGATTACTTCAGAATATCCCATGCTACCCTACAATGAAAAGACAACGCTGAACCAAGGTTTTCTTTGAAGACGAATCATACCAGCCTTCCGATCCCAAGTATTCTGAATCTAGACTACACTAAGTACAGTATACCATCCGGCAAAAGTACGAGCAGGTGACAGTTTTTATAGAACTGGTTGATACAAAGAAATATTCCGTAACCAGCATACTAAGCCCTATCCAGAGTATCCTCAGACATCTTCCGTTGAGAGTCAAGCATCTCGAACTCTTGCGAATTAATGAAGCCGGTCAACTTTTTCGCGAGATCATTTGATATTCTGCGTGATTCGATATTCAGAATCGATCGCAGACCCTCTAAGGGCTGAGATTGAAGAAAGTGATTGAATATAAGTTTTGCTTCTGTGAGATGTGAATAATAGTCTGGAATTGGTGAATGATATATACGTACCTTCCTTTTTTAATTTACTAGATCGGGTATACCGTACACTTTCTGGCCAAAATTCCGGCTTCCCTCTTACCATTGGCCGACTCCTTTGATGGTTAATCCAATCAACCCAATATGAGATTATGATCCGGAATTCCTCACGACTAAAGCTAACATCAGGTAACTTTGTCCATGTCTCTGCAGAAATTTTGTTCTCGATGTCTGCAGAATCATTGCTAGGGACAGACTTCTGCAACAGTTGAGGATCCACGGTACTTTCAGCCAAGCTATCATCTAAAGCTCGGCACTCTCTGTGACCTGAAGTCCCTGGTATGTTAGTCTCGAGAGACAAGACCCAGAGGTGCTTATAGTGAATGTTACCTTGGTAAGAATGACATATAAGACCGAAAACATGAGATTTCAACATCTCCAGGGAGGGCCACACGACTCGGGCAGTCTCCAACGTTAACGTGCTCAGTTGCTTATCATTAGTACAATAGATATCGAGGGAAGCACAATTTTCAAAGGCCAAGCCTTGTAAGTCGGTGCAAAATCTTTGGAATGTCGCACAGAAGTTGTCATAGTAAGAAGATATATAGGGCGAAGATACCTGTTGGTCCATTTGGTACAACAGTCCATAGAGTGAGTGAATGCCCCAAGAAAGAGGCCCGATCATCCAAAGCCAATCTGTAGTGAGAATTTTCAGGCTGGCAGAGATAGAATGCACAATGGGCCACATCCGCAGTACATTGTCCCTTCGGATAGAGGGAATAGCCATTGTTGCGAGAATTGAAATGTCTGTTAAGAAAAAGGATGTCGATATAAACGAAGGAAGAAGCAAGCTGTATGCTACCTCATGTCTTTCACCCCTGCATCTCCACAACGCATAGGCCCGCAGGAAGTCAAGGTGGCCTGACACCTGTGGTATATAAGCCTCACGTTGGCAGGCCTCAGCTAGCTCCATCAGCTCTGCCGGAGCTATAGCCGGCCACACTTCCATAGCAACAGAAATAAGGTATCCAAGAATTGCAACAATTTCTCTTTCGACCTCTAAAGCTGCCCGACCTCGTATGGCATTGTGTAACCTTGCTAAGTTTACACGACTGCTATCGACGTGGACTTCTGCCAAGCCTATATTTGGTGATAGTGATATTCGGATGACAAGTCCAGCAATGAAGTCGGAAGGGTTGTCACTCTCAAGAAGCTCATGTGAACAGTCGGAGACTGTTGTTGAATCGAGATACTGCGGAGTATTCTTAGCTCTTAACAGTCGAGTTGTCAAGAATGATTGCCATTTTGGACGTAAAAACTGCGCTTGTATGGACGGGTGCCTGGACATTTAGTCAAATAAATAAGAATGTTCAGGCTGTTATCTCACATTGTATTCGTGTGGAGTTCGGTCATATCTTATTTTTCAAGGTGTTATGTTCTGTCTAGCGACTGTAGAACGGGTGCTAGGAGTACGAGATAAGTGAAGTTATTTACTGAAAGGGTTACTAGGGTTTTATATTGATACGGCAGTGAACGATGCTGTAAGGGTAATTTATCCTTTCTTGATCTCTCGATCATCTACATCGATGCACACTAAATCTCCTAAGCTAATGATTATTTTGTGATTGGATGGAGGCACATATCTGGCCACACCTAGTCTATACCAGGATGTCTGACTGGCACTATTTCGCAGATTACTGCTGCAAGAAATGGATCTTCTAGGCAACCAGCCTAACTATAGGCAGAACCCTGGAGTTCTGTTTTACGCTAATTAACCTCATGCAGCATCTGTCTAACATCCCGAAACAACCCCATTAGCTCATGTTTTCATGGCCAAAAAAAGAAAGCTCCCGGGAGCTAACTTAATCATCCGGTATTAAGCAAATTGCCCCTATAAATATGTCCTTGTACGCCGCACCTGACATATATAGCACCTTCCATTTGCGCTCATCAGGCAAGCAGCTGTAATTGAGACACCTTTAAACAGGAACATGTCCATACAGAACATATCTGTGGAGCTCATCATCCTGGTTTTTCAAAGTTTGAACAATATAGATGACTGTTTGTCTTTCTCTCATACATGCAAACAATTCCATGGGGTATTCAAAAGATTTCAAATCGTAATGTTTGAATCGGTTATAGTACGTCTGATTACTTCTCCCTGAATATAACTCTTGCTAAACTCATTCTTCCTACTAACATACCTGGGCAGATCAATGCAAAACATCATCAACACGACATCGAGCTAGGCCTCCTTCAGGATATCTATGAACGTCACAATATAAAGGAAACATTTCTCGAACCCGAGACAACATATGATGAAGTCGAAAAGCCTGTGGTCTCTCAGATAAAGGTCAATCAGGTAATTGAGGTTGTTGTCCGATGGCATGCCATGAAGATCCTTTATGATCTATACAGAAGTTCCTCAATACACTCCCATTTCGTTCGAGCGAATACAGTGATTCATCCCGCTATGAACGATAGGCTCCGTGATTGTGCTACTGAAGAAGCCATGCCAGAACCCAAGGATTTCAATTGTACGCTGGACTATGGGCACAGATATGCAGAATATTCTCGATTTTACCATGCGTTGACAGCCCACTGGGTGCTGATTGAAAAGATCTGGCTTGCGAAGATGACACACTACAAAAAGTCCTCCACCCGAAATGATCGCTATAACCAGCTTTGGCAGCTATGGGCGGATAATCCGGACAGGTCTCTTCGGGAGAAGCTGGATTTGATTGAAGTTGTCGACTTTACATGGGGATATTTAGGGCGTAATATCTTCAAAGGGAGGTTCGCCCAGTTATCAGACTGGGTTCCCCAAGCCGATCTAGCACAATTCACTGAAAATGAAACTCCTGACTCTGCATGGGCATTTTTCATCGCTCGGGTTACCCAGGAATTGCGACCACCGCACATCATAGAGCTCCTTCTACTTTTGATTTGGAACTCTGAGATGGCATGGAGAATTGATCGGCCAACTTACCTGCGCCAGTTAGGCTTTCTTGTGGAGCCTCAAAGTGTGGAAGAATGGAATGACACAGATTGGCCAGACACACAATTCTCGTTGAATATCTTGGATGAAGATGTTATCAACAGCTTGGTTGATATGGTTGGCAGTGAGGATTCTTATGACTTATGCGAGAAGCAATGGTACAACTATAAAGACACGCAGTGGCAAGGCAATATGCAAGGGCGTATACTCGGATATGAGATGACATCACAGCAGCTTTTCGAACTTATCATGTTTTCTGGTGATGTATAACGCACAAAATGAGACAGGATTGAGACTCACATGTTGGTCCCCTCGTGGTATTTCGCCCGTATATTCCAGTATAGTTATTTTCTATTTCACATCTTAAGTAGTACCACTTACAGCCTGATTGGGAAAAGAAAAGAAAATACCTGTCTTAGCATATGCCTGGGTTGTGTGTCTAATGAATCTAATTTATTAATTCAACAATTTAGTATGGAAGTAAAAGTTAAACGTTGAGACTATGTACTCTAGCTATTCCTAACTACTGAGATATTGGTAAGCCTCTCTTTTCAACTGGTCCATACTTGCATATCCGCCACCCCAGCATTTCCTAATAATCCCCCCCCATAAAACATTATCAACATTTGGGAGTGAGTCTGCTTCTGGCCAACGGAGATCTGGGTTCTCAGGGCCAAAGAAGTAGTATTTATGAACATGCCAAGATGAAATAGAGTAAAGTATCCAGCCAAGATGGAGTATCTCAATCTTTGCATTCAGATCATTTTCGGTTGCAGAAGTGATATCAATATCAAGGGGTAATAGAATAGACTGGCCGAAATCCGCAAGTTTGAGCTGTTCATCCATAATCAAGATATTCCGGAGAGCGATGTCATCCACAAATACCTTGCGAGAATGAATATAAGAGAATGTCTCGATAAGACTCAATATCCAGGTAATTTTGAAAGAGTCTTCACGCTCTGGATAATTCTCTAAATAGGACTCGAGATCTCCTTGTGCAAGGGCTAGCTCAATCCCATATTGTGATGTTTGAAAACAGGGAATAATCCCTTTATAGCTGCCCAGACGTTCAAAGGCCCGAATCTCTTTCTCCAGAACTTGCTGGTTTATTCCGTTGATATACTCGGTATCATCGTGGTTTTGAAGGGGCTGAGACTGGTACTGTTTAGCTTTTTTAACAACACGATCTTCTCCTAGTTGAAAGATAATTCCAGTCATGCCAGTCCCAATTACCGGAAGACCGATATAAGGATCATGAAGAAACGCAGGTGGCTGAGCATTGTGGGAATGTTGGAAGGTGTTTGCTAGCACTATCTTATCTGACTGAGAATCAGTAATATAGCACTGTCCGTCAAGTCGAGGACATCGAAAATCCGAGGCTGAATAGGAAATCTGAAGCTTCAATTTCACAGTTTTTCAGAATGACAGCAAGGAAAAACGAAGCGACCCAATCAAACTCACCTTTGACTCTCGCGAATCCTGGCTCGCAGAAGACCAAATGGCATTATAAAGCCAAGCACGTAGTTTCAGGAGTACCATGATTGAGCAGCGAGCTCGAGATAATGTGTGGAAACCGGAAAGATGGAGACAGAGGTTGCAGGAAGCAACTTGGCAAGGCTGGGAAACGAAGCAGTCAGGTGACCATTATTTTATTACTAAGCATTTCTAGAAATGTCCCGAATTCAAATCATGTGATAACATCCTGCTTATTAAGGGACTTAGCGTCACGTGCATACACTCCGGGTCAACTGACCTATCCACAATAGGTCAGTTGACCTGTGTACACGGGTCTGAGACGCAGTAATAACTAATAATTAGTCATATCACGTGATCTTCTCATTGGAACGTAAAAAGCTTCTGTCCCTCGTAGAGTAATTCAATGTTCGAACAGTAGAAACTTCGAACAGTAGAAACTATTAATTCAGATGATTCCTCCCCCAACTGGCATTGATAGAATAGGTACTGTAATTCTGAGGTGAGCTATTCCGTACATACCTCATAATTTTCACATTGCTGCCCGACGACGAACTTAACGGAGTGGCGGGGCAGTAACCAGCCATTCCTATCATTTATATCCAGCGCTCACTAACATTAACCGGCGTCTTTAGAGCTATCTCAACAATATGAATACGATCGATGATAAGCTCGTATTATCAGGTGTCGCCTTCGTTGGTGAGGTGCCTGCAAATTTTATCGAAAACATGCAGAAACATCTCGAGATAAAAAGAGTCATTCATTCAGGCATCCGCCAAACACATCTCGAATGGAATTCTGATTGCACGGCTATTGAGAGATATTTTGGCACTGTAAGTGAGCTTAAGATTGGTCATAGTTCAATATCTCATTTTTACTGAGGAAATCAAACCACGGTTGGAAATGCTGCGGCGCAAATCGTGTACAAATCGCTTGTTTGTCCAATTCCACGAATACCGAGAAAGTACGGAGATTTACAAACCCCAAACTGGCCCTGGAAAGTACACAGTTTTGATTGTAGTGAATCCTGGTCCTGGATTCCCTCTGTTGTGTGATGGAACGCAGGGATCGGAGGGCAATACGTCTTTCACTTTGAGGGATATAACACAGATATCTGACGAGAAAGGGGCAGTGGTTATTTTTGAGGCAAGCATCGCACGTAAAGAGCCTGTGGTCAAGGGCAATGGGGGCTCTTGCATTTTGTTAGCATATCAGGAATAACTTAATTAGTATTGCTCGCTAATATCAGGAATAACTTAATTAGTACTGCTTGCTTGATGGGCTTGATCTGCTGTTGTTTATTCAATTTGATATCAGGCAAAGTTTCAGTACCGTGGCGCGAACCCAGTGTGGAGATAGCTCCACACATTATCTGGATCACTTCTCGGATATATATCGAAATTGAGTGCAGAAATATTCAGCACGTCCCGTTGACTTTGGCATTCTGTTTCATCTCTAGGAGTTGTATAAAGAACATTCCAATCACAACCTCCTATTGGCCCGGGGTTTATTGGTGGCGGCAGTCTTTCAAAATGCGAAGATGAGCCAGAGATAGAGTCTAATCCCGAGGCCCTCGGAGTTATGGTTGTTGAAGCTCCGGGGTAAATCCCTGATAGCTCAGTATCAAAGTGCATTGCACTCTGACGAAACATGACTTGAGCATCCGATGCATCAGTATGGGCGGCTTCCGGTCCTTCAGTGTGTTAATTGCGTTCTAAAAACACATTTTGATTGGATTGTTTTGCTTGCCTTCATTACATGTCCGTTTCTGATGTCCGGAAATTCCTATATAAAAGAACAAGTCAGTCATAGTAGTAGCATATATCAAATTCGATGGGTCATACTGGGAATCTTGTATATATCCACAAGCGCTGATAGTCTGCTGACCTTGAGCTCTGACTCCTTCTTCTTTAAGTGGTCTAAGAGACGAAGCCGGTCAAGTTTGTTCAGATGGGATATTTTATGTTTCCCTAAAGCCGCGGCACAAAGAAGAACAAGTTCCGGGCCACAAAGGCGTTATATATCGTTTAGAATGTCCTGGTAAGTCTTTTCAAAGCGTGTTGTCTGGCTTCTCGTTATGATTTCAACGGCAATCTTTGCCTGTTTAGCCTGTTTATCATTGAGTTCCTGGGAAGTCTCAATTCCAGTGGCGCATGCTTTTAAACTTTCACAGTGTTCTTCGAGGATTTTAAGATGACTCCGTCGCGGTTGCTTTTGGCGTTGTTTCAGCTCCGTTTCGATAGACGAGATTGCGGTACGACACTGATGAAGAAAGGCTCCTAAATCTGAATCTCGGGCCTCTTTAAAGCTACTAGTCCAAGAGAAGCTGAGGTTTTCCCCTGAGAAAAGCTTCACACAAGGATAATCCATGTCGGGTAGGCCGTTACTTTGCTGTAACTTGGGGATAGATGGGAGGAGAGAAGAGCACCCATTTATATGGTTGAATAAGATCACGTGTTTGCACTAATACTACGGCGGGAAATAGTGGCCATCAGGCAACCAAATGGCTTTTAACCTCACGTTTTCTCTAGCTTAACGTCACCCAATTAGCCATTATTGACTTTTACTCTCAGCCCGGGTGCGCACTTTACTTTCTCCGAGTTTATAGGTCTCCTGCATGAAATAACATGTGGATTCAACCTTTTCTGGTAGGTTTTATACTGTTTATCACCCATCCCCAATGGTAATCAAGGACAAGCTAAATATCTTAATTATGCCTACTGCGAGAGAGTGGGAAACATCTGCTACTGTTAAATCACAGACATGGCTTGAGACTAACTGAAAGAAACCTAATAACAGAACATATTACTATGAAGTTGATTCATAGTTTGGCTATGATAACCCCAACCAGTGTTGAATAAGATAGGGTTTTTAGGAATTTGGTGAGCCCAGGTGATTTTATGGAAATTTTTATTTCTTTTTTCCCTACGCGTGTCTAGTTAGGCTGTCTTAGATGGGACCCTTATGGAATTGTGTTGCTCTGGTGTTTTTTATTTGTAATTCACTTCTGCTTTATAACCGTTGAGATTTTTCACTTTCTGTCAAGCAGAACTATATATCTGCCGATAGATGCTAGGCCTGTTCTTTAGATTGCACTAGGCCATGTCTTCTGCGAATGCGTTTTCCTGGTAGCCACCATATATTGAGGGGAGCAGTACGGCTCCGCCCCACTAATCCAGCGCCCCTGCATCGCTACCACCACACGCGTCTCTACGTTCCTAGAGAATAACATTGAAAGGCGTGGAAGGTGCCTTCCCCAGAGTCAGCTCGGAAACATTGTATGGGATTAGGATGTCACATCTTTGAGGCATACAATACAGCCCGGCAGAGAAGTGTGACATGAGAAATTTCCATATTAGCCTTCACCCGTTTGTCCTGTGCTAGAGTACTACACCTGTGTTGCTCCGCTTATTTCCCGCATTGCCCCAATGAGCACCACGGCGATAGAGACAAGAACTCATCGTACATGGCTTTGCGTATAGTATTCTAGTTGCTGTCGCCTCGGCCTGTATGGGACGGTACGCTGCTCGAGTACTGCATGCTCTTGCCTTATGTACAGTTTACGGAGCCAGCCCTTTACAGAAATCGAGATCGAGCCTGATCGAGAGAAAGCGCAGGCCAACGCACTGGCACAGCAATCCACAACAGGTATCACAGTCTTCTCAGACGCTTCAGGAAAAGAGAATCAACTAGGCGCCGCAGCAGTAGCTCTTGACCGCAACCGGCAGATAACGGGGTCTCGACAAATCAGCATCGGCTCAATGGACCACTGGTCGGTCTATGCGGCCGAGCTCATGGCAATCTACTATGCTATCGGGCTGGTTTTTCAACTAGCCCAGAAGGTGCATGCTACAACAACGGCAACCCAAGACCCAGCGACAATCCTCAGCGACAGTATGTGCGCGCTACAAGTAATCGCCGACTCATGGAATAAATCGGGCCAGCGGATCATCCAGGCTATTCACCAGTCTGCTGCAGAGCTAAAAGCACGAGGAATTCCACTGCGATTACAATGGGTCCCGGGATACTGCGGTAACCCTGGGAATGAAACGGCGGACTGTCTAGCCAAGGAAGCGGTGGAGGCGGAAAAGAAAAACCCTTTCCAGCACCTTTTATCGCGGGAGAAGGCTTTCATCCGCAACAAAATCAAAAGTGAATGGGAACAAGAATGGAAGACCTCTAAGAACGGAGGGCACCTCCGGCGCATGGATCGGGCCCTACCCGCATGCCGCACGCGCCGACTGTACGGCTCGCTTCCGCGCAACCGTGCTTACCTGCTGGCGCAACTTCGGACCGGCCACTCATGGCTCGCCACCTATGCTAAGCAACATGGCTTCCGAGATAACGAGCAGTGCGAATGTGGAGCGACAGAAACCGTGGTCCATGTATTAGTTGACTGCCCGCGGCTGAATGCCCTACGGCAAGAATTGCGGCGGAAAATCGGAGGCGTGTTTAACAACGTTTCAGATATGCTAGGAGGAGCAGGCCAAGGTAAGGAAGGTAAGTTGGAAGATGCCACGCAGAACGGTAGCGTCCTAGGGGCGGTACTGGATTTTGCAGAGGCGTCGCAGAGATTTCGAAGTCGCGCGTCACGAGGGCGGCAGAACAGAACACCAGGCAACGGCCAACACAGGCCTTGACGAGGCTCCAAGTTCGTCAGGAAAGTAATAGTCTACAGTTCATGGATGTACATAGTGAGTAGATAGTGGTTCCCTGCATATCGCCTTAAGGCGAGGGGCCAGCGTATGATTCATCATCATCATCGTCACTGTACAGTTTAATTGTGCTTCGGTCACACATCCAGGCGATCATTTTTCTGAAGCCTTACGCATTATGGTCTAGTCCGAGAGTCCTAGTAGAAATAGAAAATGGTATGGCACAGGTGCTGCATCTGCAACCAGCGTACGCTGAGTTTCCTTACTAAGCTGGCGAAGAACCGTCTCGTTGAGAGGTTAGACGGTATAAACAAGATTTCGAACTGCTCACTCTCGCAATTATTCCTTGTAACAACACTTTGAACAGCACGCGTATCGACGCCGAGCCTGTATCTGCACCACCAGACCCAGTACACCAAAATTATACACAGAACCATCATTTCAGTCGGCAATTTGGACAGAGATATATACGGTTCGTGCTTGATGCCTTGGAAGTAGACCTTGGAGGATCAGGACACCATGATGGGGGTGATCGCTGTTGCGCTTCGGCGCACATCCGAGGTGTTGGCTGTTCAGGGATGGGGACGGTATGCCTGCATTTGGAGAAGTACACCGGAGCCGGGTCTTCAATGAAGCACATCACGGAAGACTGGTGATGATTTCTGGTTCCTAAAGTAGCTCATTCAGCTACGTATATGATCATTGGGGAAGCGACTTACCAGCAGACAAGCTAAATCAGTGTATCAACTGAGGGCTCCAGCACATTTGATTTTGGCAGCTTGTGAATGACTTGAAGGAGTGATACAGTCCTGCTACTTGAAGGATCGTTGCCCTTCTTATGATTGCGCCTTTACCGGCAACGGGTTCAGTTCAGTTCAATACGCTTACTAGATGCCACCTACAGGCTTGAATCCTCATCGAGTAAATGTTCAGCTGCTATCGATTGGCTAAGGAAGTGCAGGGATCTAGAGGGGTCTAGAGGATGATAGGTCGGAGTAGTTCGGATATTGCTGCCTGGGTTATTGTTCTCAGTACTTCCTTAACAAGGCCTGAACGCTTGGCTCAGCTCAGACCTCAGTGATCCGCCTGATCTAGTTTTTCGCTCACCACACTGTCCGCTCGTTACGGATCCCTGCTAGACTGGAGTCAGCGCACAAATAGGACGCCTATCTACGGCCCGAAACTGATAGGATTTTCCTTACCCCCTCACCATGGATGACGTGGCAGCTGGCAGATGGCAGAGGCGGGCCTGATCGAACCCAGCTCCCCTAAACCCAACTCCCCTGAACCCAACTTTCTTAAACCCAACTTTCTTAAACCCAACTTCCCTGAACCCAACTTTCTTAAACCCAACTCCCCTAAACCCAACTCCCCTAAACCCAACTCCCCTAAACCCAACTTTCTTAAACCCAGCTTTTCTAAACCTTAACGCTCATCCCTCTCGTCGTGGTTTTCCCCTACTTGGCTAACCACTATGATCTTTGATATTGACGTGTACGATCATCCGGAAACCTCAGCCTTTTTGAAGGATGAATTATCTTTACTTAACGAACAGATAAGGATTGTTGAAGGACTTGAGCATGCTAGAGCCCGTCTTCTGGCCAAATCTTCGTTGGAGTACAATACACTATCGAAGTGCGATGTGTTCATGCGTTATGCCAATGAAAGTACCCCTGGCAGTAACTTCGACCTCGAAATCCGTAAGCTGAGCCTGGACGAGCTGGCTTTCTGCTCCATTAGTTTCGAAGACAGGCGCCTCAAACATGTGGTCCACCATTTCAAAGCGGCGAATATCCGGAAGTATATGACGACAACACACGTCTCATGCCTCGAACGGCAGGAAATTTTCAGACGACTGAACCGTTTATGCGCTGAATCTGAGGGGAAACCATTTAAGGAGATCTACTCGTCTGCCTATATGGTATACAACAATTTTTTGGCCAAGGGCTCTATGGAATCGAATGAGATGGATGTTGGTACGGTTGCGATAAATCGTGCAATACCTGCGCTTACTGATTACATTTTCAGAGACTTCACTAGATCCCGAACCTGCCACGATGGCTAAACAGCCTGGCTCCTTTGAGTTCCCCACGGCGCGATGGAGCAACATTGACAAAGTGTTTCCTGCACAAGCTGCAAACGCCATCCGCCACGCGCCGCAACGTATAGCAGATCCGGAAATAACAGATTGTGTGCGATCTAGATTCCCTAGGGGTCGGAGTGAAGGCGATGCGATCGTTTGGTTGGACATCGGGTCCAACGGGGCACTGCCATTCCTACCTACATATAGGTCAGGTATCGAAATGGAGCAAGTTCGTGCCATATTTGGGGATGCTATCTATGATGCTGTTGATGAAAGTGACCTGCGAAAGTGGGAAAAAAGAAATGGACGTTTGAGTACAACAGAATGCGTGAAGATGAAGGTATTTTGTCACATGGAGCTTCGAATAGGATACGACACAACTATAGCGAAGAAATTATTCAATTGATGGAATAATAGCCTTTATATATTGTCGCAGATATGCCTGCAGGAAGTCTCATGATGCCATGACTTTGCTTGGTGTTCCACACTTCGTGATCCGCTTCAAAGAAAACCACTTCTTCGCAATCTCTACAAAGAAGTAGCCGATCATTGGTCGCCTTTTCAATCGATTCGAGTGATACATATTCGGTAAGCTTCTTCAATCGATCATCGTCTGCAGGGAGCGTTTCCCACCGTGATTCCTACCAGTATCACATCAGTACTGTATATGATTCTCTTTTAGGAGCCATACCAAGTCGTCTTTTCTGGTTGTCATAACAATCTGAAAAGGTACTCTGAGGGTACAAAGCCTGCTGTAGTTGGGCATCAGTCTTGATCTCCGTCGGGATGGACTTCTTATGGCTTTACCTCCGAAGCAAATGGGTGGTGTGCTGAGAAGTTGCGTTTTGCAATCTTTTGGAGCGGCGCTTTGTTGCATCGCATGGAGACAACTACACCAAGTGAGTCGTCTGAAGCTTTGAAACTTATGAGCGAGCGACAGCCAGAGAATTTTAAGGTGGGGGTTAATAAACTAGGAGGGGCATGTGATCTGATCAGGTTAGTCTTCCGTGGTCGATACCCAAAGCGGGGCAGCGGAGCATCTTCAGCATCGAGGATATTATCACGTGATGTACTGTCCCACTCGCTCGTCTCGCAGTAATGAGCGACGTAAACTCTATAGAACTGTGAGTAAAACATGTTTCGCATATCCTATGTGAGATATTATTGGTGATTGGCTATCTCCATGCAGTTCATTCTGGCCTAACATATTATGAGGCTGAGTAACTTCTCTTATTAGTTCGGTGGACCAGGAAGGCGCTGCAGCCACACTGGCCATAGCCGCACCTATTCTATCAGGTAGAGCTTGCTTTTCAATCAAGCAGAAGCCTCACCGCCTTCTGGTTCATATCCGCTATCTTTATCGTTTGCGTGAGATTTCACATCGCAGGCTAAGGCAGACATTTTGACTTCAGCCCGAATTGATTTAGGTGCCTTGTATAGAATATCACAAACGGTTTCATATGTAAACTTAGAGTAACTTATTAAGCTGTTTACATAGCTTCTATTTAAAAGATTCTTGTTATGTCTTATGGATTTCCCGTATAGTAGGCAGAAAAAGGATGTAGCAGACGCTGATGTGATGTAGCATGGCCGGTGTAGCACTTCTCTGCATTTCCCTTCTCTTATAAAGGATGATAAACGGAGTATACTCTATAAGCTTCTTTCCCTTGTTACCTTCTTCACTCGGGTCTATTTCCTATTACTTTATGTAGCTTGACATCAGACCAAGGTATAGCAGGGTATAGTATCTCCCTGGCTTGGATTGGGAGAGTCTGATTCACTGTGGGAAGTCCTAGCGTTTGCCGACCTTGCCCTGGATGAATATAATATCTAGAACCTCAGGACAATACTTGACATGTATATTCATGTTCCCTCAATTTAAAACTCAATCCAGTCATTGCCACAGTCTTTCGCAATATCCTTCACGTTCATACCCACTCTCTTGTTCCACCTCTCGGCAGTCCCAGCTTCAATAAGCTCCTCCACTTCAAGAGAAGCCAATACATCAATTGTCCAATCCTGGCATCTTCTTTTATCGCCCCTAGGAGCAGGCTCGTTTGAGATGATCTCAACGACCTTTGAACGGAGTCCAGCGTTCAGACGCGCGATCTTGCACATTCCGATAGCGTGCCGGGTTTTAATGGTAGTAGCTTCACGAACAGCCAGCTGATACCAAAGTGTCGATTGGTCGATCAGTTGCACATGGTAGAGGTCACCGAAGTCTTCTTCCGGCTTCGCCAAAAGGAAGCCCCAGTGGGATCGTTGGTTGGGATTATCTCCATTTTTAAACACTTCTATGTGTAACTCCAACGTCATTTCGCTGGAATAAGTCTGAGGATATTCTCATTAGCTACATAATCCAACGGATTATGCTTGCATACCTTACTTTTGATTTCATACGAGTATCAGGTCGCCAAAAACAAGCATAGAACGCACATATCTAACATGCGGCATCTACAGAACTTTATGTCTTTTCATGTAATGTCAGGGTCATGCTATTCGAAATTACTATATTAGTGCGCCTCGGCATGGTAGAATAAGAGTAGGTATGATAGGCTTCGAAAAGCGTATTGCTTATCCTTCCTGGCAAATCACACCTCATGCAGATGTAATGATTTGGGTGGCATAGGAAGACCCCCGCTTAGATGTTGACCTGAAAGCTAAATTGTATAGCGTCCCATGCACAGCAGTGATTAATGAACTTTTTATAAAACACTTGATTGTATACAATACAAGGCAAGTGCTCTTAGGTTGAGAAATTTAGGTTTGCGGGAGTTGGGTTTGTAGGAGTTGGGTTTGCGGGAGTTAGGTTTATAGAAACTGGACTTGCGGGACTTATATCGGCAGGAATTATATTCACAAAAATAAGATCTGCATGGAAGTTGGGTTTCCAGAAGTTGGGTTTACAGAAATTGGATTTGTGGGAAGCTACGTTTACAGGAGTTGCATATGTGGGGACCATGTGGCGTGATCTATTTTAAGATATTACACACTGTGCCTTAGACCGTCCGCCTTCTAAAATCTGACTCTTTGAACTAACTTATGCAAACCCAACTCCTACAAACCCAACTCCTACAAACCCAACCCTACAAACCCAACTCCTACAAACCCAACTCCTACAAACCCAACTCCTACAAACCCAACTCCTACAAACCCAACTCCTACAAACCCAACTCCCGCAAAATTGTCTAGTCTGTATAATTCCTTATACACATACACCTGGGATCAATTAATGCTCTGCAGGGCTTCACTCTCATAGTATCAATCAGCTCTGGTACGTCGCAGCTTATAGCTTAGGCTCATGGAAAACTACAGAAGCTTTGATATTTTCTAGGATTTTATCTTATAGTACTGAATATATATGGCCTTTGCTCATAGTTGGGCACTATAGAAGCAATGCTGAGGTTATTTGGGATTCCCATCTGCTATTTTGAAACGTCCACTCACTATTTACAGTTAGAATAGAATGCGCGCTGGACATGCATCAAGGGGAATATTCGGCTAAGGTAATGAATGAGGCCATGTCACGAGCCTGCTACAATATGGAGGCCTTTGCTGCCTCGGCACTACATGCACTAATTCATCCTCGAAAACTATATTGGTCAAACTTTTTTCCTCTTTGATACATCCTTTTTCGTAAATTATAAGGCGGATTACAATACAGCTACGTCAATGTATAATTACCCCCTGTATCTGGCCTAGGATGTATATTTCTAGTTCGTAACCACATGCGTAGTGTCTCTTTTCTGCTTGTCCTAGATTTCTTACATAGGATTGCAAGCTTATCAACTTCGGGCCGTTTTTTTGACAGACAATCGAGATGACTCCAGTATGTCTTTACAAACGACCACAATTTCAAATACTTATCACAAGCAGGACACCAGGAAGAGAAACAATACAGGTGCAGGGAGGGAGGCTCTTGCTTCAAGAAAGAAGGAGTGTGTCAATGATAAAGAACAGAAGGTAATAGGTAGTAGACCTTACTGAGGACCCACAGACTAACATATACAGGATTACTCCCTATGCAATTAGACTTGTCGAGTAGGCGCTTATCAGACCAAAGTCTCTAAGTGGTTAGGGAGCGGCCAGATGAGCCATCAAAGCCAGTACCATGCTTACCTTCAAGACCTCCGAGCTGATGCAGCTTGCGAACAATTGCTTGAAAATCCCAACTTCATCAATTGGTATGCGGCATCTGACACTAAGCGACTGGTTATTCTTGGCGATATGGGATGTGGAAAGACTGTTGCTATGTCATATCTCGTAGACATGATGAGAGAGAGAATTAGACGCCGTCTGCCCGAGCCTAAGATATGCTATTACTACTGCCGGGATGACAATACAGGGAGGGCTACCCACATAGCCTCGGCACTGATCCTATCGCTTCTGGAGCAGCTCCCAGGCTTAAAAAGGCCTTTTTTCGAGTGGTATAAAGAGGCTCAGGCATCTGGGACATTCGACCCAGCAACAAGTCTTAAGATATTGGGGGAATATATGGAAAGACTGCTCGAAATGACTGATCGCCCTGTTTTCTTCGTGATCGATGGCCTGGATGAGTGTGATCGGACGTCTCGAGGCAGCTTTCTGCATTTACTGGAAATGTTATCGGGAAAGGTCCCATCACTGAGAATTTTGCTTTCCAGTCGTCCTGAACAGGAGATATTGGAGCAGCTGGGTGAAACAGCTGTTATGGAGCTGGATGCAAATGCCGAGAGAGATACGGTTGTGGTTGAAAGACTGGTCCAAGACCAGCTCTCATATCTATCGATGGATGTCAAGGCACTCGTCCAAGAAAGATTGTCTCATTCAGCGCGAGGGAGCGCCATATGGACAAAGATGATAGTGGAACTTATCAAAGTTCGCAGAATCAGAGCGATCGACCCTATGCAACGGTTCTTGGAGAATATGCCATTACCAAGGCGACTTTCAGATCTCTATGAAACGTTACTTTTCCGTTGCACTTCCGACGAACCTGAGAATCAAGAGCTTGCAAGTACGGCATTAAAGCTTCTCGCCGTCGCTTATAGACCTCTTAGCTTGCTGGAATTAGCATGGGCTGCAACACTGGGCCTAGCTCATGTTACTACAGTAGATGCTCTTGCAAGTCTGGTAGATCACGAAAGAATCATAAGTCTAATCCATCCATTCATTGCTCGCGTCGATATGAGCGACGTGAAGAGACGCCAAGTCCGACTTGTACACCAGTCAGTGAAGGAGTTTATATTGGAGAAATGGTCCTCCAACCCACCTTCTGCACAAGGCATATCCTTGACAGAACCCGATCAACTGATCTCAACCCGGCGCCTTAGAACTCTGAACGCATCCATGCTGGATATATGTATCAGGTATCTCCTCTTGGACGATATTGGCAATAGAGATCTTTTTTCCCAGGAGCAAATGGCAATCGCAGAATTGCCCCAAGATGATAATCTTTTTGAGGATAACGAAGAGCCAGCTGACTACAATCCCTACTGCAGCTGGGAAACTTGGGAAGAGAATATGATTCGCTATGATCCGACCGAGCGTGGTTTTGGTGAGTTCTTTGTATATGCTTCATGCCACTGGCTGGAGCATTTCGGAGCCACCTCCGACGAAGGCCTCCCGACCTTAGCAAGCATAGAAGATGTATGCCAAGCAGGCTCCCTTCGACTCCGTAACTGGATCCAACAGAATTGTCGCCCAGATTGTGTGATTTTGCCTAGGTTCGAGTTTGAAAGCAGCTTATACGACCCTCTCAGCATCACATCCCTTTACGGTTCAGAAACCATGCTACGTGTTGTACTTGAGAACTCGGATTATGGCAACGGCAAATTTCTGCAGGACCCAGCTATGCGGGCTGCTGACCAAATTCTCCGGTGGGGAGAGATAGCAAGACTCAGAATACTGTTTTTCGACAATAGGTTGGGCCAACAGCTACAGAACCCTGATTTTTTTCGGCTCGTCATACGAAGATGGGGTGACCGCCCTCCAAGGTGCCAAGATTGGGAACCTGTATTTGACCTTGTTAAGTATATGCCAGACAAATCGGACCAGGGAGAATGGCGCAATGAGCTCTTACGAGTGGCTATAGATGCAAACTGTACGCCCCTGATAAAGCGGTTGGACAGACCTAGCCACGGCACGGATCACTGATATTCTCGTCCGGCCAAATCCATCTCTCTGCAGAGCGCCCTCCGCACCTATAGCCGATTCCAATTATTATTTATGACGTATTCATTAGGCAGTCGTATACCATCAACACTCAATAGGCAAAGATAATAGAAGAGAAATATTCGCAGGCTTTCCTCAGCGCACTTTCCTTAGGCTAGTAAGATATCGATATAGTCTTGGAAGAGCAAAGTCATACTAATACTCAGGCTGTGGAGTATGTTTTTGTATTGAATATATGTTATGCATTGAAGTATGTACTATAGAAAAAGAATATATGCATCATGGCTTTATGAAGTATGCGCCAGGCCTAAATTGTTAAACCAAAGGAGTAGGTGCTCTAACGCCCCGAAGTGACTGTACTTCTCTCGGTAAAATCCGTGCACTTTGAAATCCCAGTCCCGATTTGGTGTTTCTGTCGCCTTTCCTCCTCATTGTTACTTTGGATTGAATAATCGCTAATGTAGTAGACGTTGCAGTGTCGGGTGTCCTGCCGTGACCCACCTCGAGCATTCTAACCAAATCATAGCCGAGGCCCCAGCACTGCTGGAGCTTGACGACACCAAACGCGCCGAACTACCGGCCCAATTCTTGGAAGCCTTTCTGAATAGCGTGATTACACTAGCTAAGAAAATTCGGGAGCAACCGTCGGCACAGCAGATCCGGGGCAAACTAAACAGCTTGCGGCCGATCGCAGAGGACATCACCCGCATCAGAAACGCAGTCAACAATATTACTCTCATCTAATCTCAGAATGAAGCGACGGATGCTTGTCTTTTGGATGGTACCTGGGAAGGGACGAAAATTCTTCGAATGACGACAAAGTTAAGGAGCTACCACAAGGCACAGGGTCACGTGCCAACAGTAGTTGCCGAACTCAAGATGTGGGCTAGTGTGTCAGGGACGCCGATAAGCCTGGTGAACATAAAGTTCTGGCACATGAAGTCATGTGATTTGGCCCATGAGTCACTCGTATAGAACCGATGGAGAGAGATATTGGAGAGCTTCTTCAGCCAGCTTTGGATTTCAATACTAAAGTATATTTATTGGTTTTTCCGAAAAAGTTAAGATCATGAATAAAGAAACAGTAAGCGGTTTCTGGCTAATTTCATCCCGCAACTCATACATCCAAGGCGTAGTTAGTCCTTCCCGTTAACTTACGTGAAGTATTAGGAGAAAACGCCACGTCAGCTTCACAAATCAAAGCGGGGTATTTGGGTACGGTTTATTGGGGTTCAAACGGGAAGGCTGAGTGTTCAGGTGAAGGAGGATGAACAGGGTGAAGAGAAAGCGGCACGGGCACTAAGCCCAACGAATCACAAAAAACCGGGTGAACACCGACATACAACAGCCGGGATTCGCTGGTGGTCACCCACCCAACTACTAACCGGCCGGCGTGTGGCTTAAGTACGGCTGAGCGGACGGGAAGCCCTGTTTTCCACACCCTGTGGTCGCATGTACTAGATATATTAAGAGAAGGAATTATATACAAGACCGCGGTTCTACGGTGTTCTACGATAGGAAATATGGGCTGTGTAAGAATGGCAGCCGGCTATCAAGTTAATCCTTTATGTCTTGTGCCCGTGCAAAATGATTACTCACTGTGCCGGGGGCACTGCGAAACCCCGGATCTCCCATATTTCCTATCTTGGAACACCGTAGAGCCGTGGTCTCCGACATACTAATGTATGGTGGAGCCCGCGGCCGGCGAGTACTTAATGGAGGGTTTCCTCCCAGATAGTTACGAGAAATTGAGCATTCTTTTGGCTTCTAGGTTGCTTCACTAGTATCGTCATCATCATCGTATAGAATGGAGCGAGGCTCCTTCATCGTTGTGTTTCTTCTTTTATAATATCGTTTCCTTGTTAGATCGTTCAGTGTGTCCATCCCTGAGATCCCTCGATCACAACCCAGTTCCTGTCGCAGGGAACAACGCACGTACGCCCCCCTTTACAGTGACGGACTTCTAGCATAGATGATGGAGTTCCACTTCTATCTCATGCAAGCTGAGGACTTTACAGCAGAGTGAAACCTAGCAATTGAGAATCATGTTGAAGAAATTGAGGAGTCTGCTGGAGAAGAGGTTGTCATTTTGTGGAAATTCACTCCTATAAACGGTCCCCAGAAGACTCCTGGCCGCCATTGCAGGAATAAGGATAAAGTGTACTTATGTATCTTGGACTATGAAGCAGAGGAGAACCACCTAGGATAGAAAGCAGGGGGACCCCAGCCTGGATGGTGAGGATATTGGGCATATCCCAGGCCTAGCAACCATGCCAACAAAAGAGTTGGAGGCAATTGTCTCAGCTACTGCCCCAGGCTCTGAACAACCTACATTGGGAAAGCACACCCAGGCTGCTGTAGGGCAGGAACTGGCTACACACCGGCTGGGAGCAGAACTGGATGACTTCATTGAGAACAAACACCAAATGCAAGGGAGACAGCAAGAAGGGAGACGAGTGTGGATACTAGGAACGCACAAGAGCACCTGGAGCACCTGATCTTTGAGGAACAGCCCGAAGTTGGTAACAGAATGGCCTTCTGGGGGAGTCTGGGGAAATGCTGCACGTTGAAGATGCTGACCATAGGGCAAACCAGAGCCGCCCTCCAAGATATTGCTGATGGGACTGGACTTGAACAGTTCTACATTGAACGCGACCCTGAGGCATACTTTTCGTTTCCAAGTTGCTTCACTAGTATCGTTATCATCATCGTATAATATGGACCTTGGCTCCAGCATCATTGTATCTTTCCTTTCGTTATATTTCATTATATTCTTTTCCTTGCTAAATTGTTCTTCGCCGTGTCGTATCGCGGCTTAGTTTTAGTACCTCCATCCCCAAGATCCCTCGACCATGACCTGGTTCCTTTCGCAGGGAACAACGCAAGTATGCCCCCCTTTACAATGTGACAATGGTCACTGTACCAGGTTTAGTGACAATATTAACAATCACATTATAATTAGCAATGGTCACTGTACTACGTTTGGTGACAATGCTGACAGTCAAAATATCAGTATTGTATTATGTGAACAGTCAATGCCCTGGGCACCCCCACCCCGTGGGCGAAAAATATTTTGCCGATGACAGATACTGGGCAGTCAAGCAGTGCTCGCCGCTGGGTATTATGGGTGCAAGGGCGGCCGTTTCTGGTCTCAGCAGCAGTCATTTCAGCATCGTTTTCACAGGTCCTCATATTCTATGTGTAATTATTATTATTAGCAGTGTTCTATTCTAGACTATTATTGTGGATTTCCAAACTATGGGTCTCCTGAAAAGATCCGGAGTGGTTATTAACCCTCAGACCCCTGGGGAAGAAGGGGCAGACACGCTTGAGATGCAGGTCAAAAACAACAATGAAACCCCTGGGACTTGGGTGGACCGTGTACTGATCAGGATCCAGGGCGTTAATTATGTCGGATCCTCCAATTTCTAGCCTTCACGGGCCGTTAGAGATGGGAAACCGTCCCGCAAACCCATTGGCTCTATTCCCAATTATAAACTTCTAACGGCTTCTACTTAATCGATATGTTTTCCGAGCTAGTTCTGCGTAGACGGCACTATTAATACGATTGCCAGCCCGGTCCGGCCCTGAGCCGTTTGCTGATCGCGTTTGGAGATGAAACAGGGGTTACGGAGAGAAGGCAATGGTGGATCTCTTCATATCCATACCACGTCAGAGAAGACCGGGATGGAAAAGGATATTTTTAAACCACTAATACGAGGGGAAGACTCTTTGAGGCGAGACTGCCGTGGAATCTGGATTGCTGGCCTGCCGGCTGTTTTGATTACTTTTCTACGCAGTTATATTTTTGGCGGGCTGTTGTTTTTAATTTTTATCTGTTGGGGGATGCTCACGCTTCTGTTTTCTCCTGCTTGTCTCTCTTTGCCTGCGTCTGAAACCTTTGCTCTTCGTTATTGATCTTTCTTTGGAGTCGACTTGATCTCTAATCAATCCCAAAATTGAATCCGTTCCCCAATCGCTGCCATGGGCGAAGACAGTGCACCACCAGCACCGGCCCCGGCCTCAACGGCAGACACAACTTCTGGTCATGATCCTGCTGCCCCCATCAAGGCTGATGTCCACCACCAGAATGACATTCACGACGATCAACTGCCCGCCCAGGAGAAGAACCAGTCCCGGACCAAGGCCGCACCGCGTCCTGATTTTCTCCAGAAACTGATTAACTCGGGAAGTTTCCATTCGTCAATAGACGAGCATCATTCCATCGAGCTCGATCGTTACTTTGTATGTGCCTTCTATCCGATCCTATCTCTAGGACAAGAGGATGCGGGACAACAGAAAGACTGACGCGTTCCTTGTGGCTGTTAGCACGGTCCTCGAGACCTGGACAAGCACTCAAAATGGCCTATCTTCATGCGAATGCATGGAAGTATTATGCCGAAATTGATCCTCCCCCTTCTGTTTGTTGCTGGCTGGTCAACCGCCATCACATGTATCTCGAAGTTTGTCTACAGCCGTGAGTGAAAGGAGTCCCCTCGTGGAAGCAATGGCACCTGGGGCTGACTGAATGATAACGAATCGAACTAGTCCACGTTAATCAGATCCTTCTGACCGTCCTCGGTTTTCTTGTCGGGTTGTCGTTGTCATTTCGAAGTTCGACGGCTTACGAACGGTAAGCTTCACTTTGCGGTCCACGTTTTACTGGTCTGACCATTGCGAATGTTAAAAGGTGGGCCGATGGCCGCAAGTCCTGGGCACTTCTGGTGCAGGCATCTCGAAATATGGCGCGCATAGTCTGGGTCGACGTGGCAGAGCGGGCAGGGGAGCAAGGAAAGGAGGATCTTCTGAGGAAACTGTACGCTTTTTCTCTCGTTTTAGATGGAACATTCTTCTAAGCAGCTTGCAGGACCGCTCTGAACCTCATTCTTGGGTTTGCCATTGCTCTAAAACACCGATTGCGCTTCGAGCCTGACGTGGCCTATGACGATCTTGCGGGCCTCATCGGCTACTTGGACACGTTTGCAAGGGAAGCTCATGATCCTGCCATGGTCCATCCTCCTCCCAAGTCTACTTGGAAAGCAGCGGGGGAGTATCTGGGGTTTTCATTCGCGGAGTCCAATCCTAGGAAGCGCATCAAACGGGCCAAGAAGCCCTTGGGGAATCTTCCGCTGGAGATCCTCAACCACCTGTCCGTTTACGTTAACACGGTTATCAAAGAAAATGCTCTGCCTTCCGCAGGTCATCAAGCACAGCTGAGTGAGTATTCCGGTTTTTCAAACGCTGCGTTTCAGATAGAGAACTCGAGCGACTGATAGTCTAGCTCAGTCCAGGGTTTGGCGTCCCTTAATGAAGTCCTGACTGGAACCGAACGAGTCCTCGACACCCCTCTTCCAGCAGCGTATAGTATTGCGATTGCGCAAATCGCGTGGATCTACGTGCTGGTATTGCCCTTTCAGCTGTATGAAATGCTGCAATGGATCACCATCCCAGGCTCTGTTGGTAAGATTGTCGTGAGACATGCCGGGAAAATGAATGATAACATCTAACAATTCAACCAGTTGCCGCATACATCATCATCGGCCTGGCCACCATCGGCGTAGAAATCGAAAACCCCTTTGGTCACGACGTCAACGATCTCCCTCTTGACACGTACTGCCGCCAGCTCGCCCTGGAACTGGACATTATCAAGGCCATTCCCCCGCCAACCATTAACGAATTTGCCATGAGAGATGAGAATTTTGTTATGTACCCGTTGAGTATGAGGGGCTATTCACACTGGAAGGAGACTAGTGTTGAGGATATCCGAGCGGCGCTGAGGGCGAAGGTCGTCGCGAATGTGAATTCCCCGACGACGGTGCTTGGGTTCAAGGGATCAGTTATGGAGACGTCGGCCCGTTTGGATGAGGCGTCGGTTTGACGACTTTATATATATATTTTGGACTTCAAAAAGGCTGGTTGATGCTTTATTGGTTAGCATTTACTTGGAGTGATATGTCGATGAGCTCGACAATCCCGGCGTTTTAGCATTTTGTGTATCTTTTTGGGGTGGTTATTAGACTCTACTGCATGCAGAAAAGCATTTTGCGTCTGTTTTATTTGGAACCAACGGAAATAATGCCGGACAGTTTTCTGGAAACGAATATATTCAGCTCCGAGTCTGCATGCGTCATCAACGTCTCGGGGGTCCTTCGGCGTCATCCCTTCTAGTCTCATGAACAGAAAAACAGTCGTGAGAAGGACAATAATAGCCAGAAGCATCTGAGTCACAGCTGAACGGCGAACAGATCCGCAGTCGGAGCCGGTCCTCCAATTTGATTCAAGCAGCAGCTCCGATTCCACGTTCTTTCAACCACAGTGTTCTGCCCCGATGACAGGTTTCCACACGCGCATTCTGCAGAGATGATCCGTGCGAGCTCTGGAACGAGGCATCGGCCGGCAAGATGGCCGACCGTGGCGTAATCTTGCCTGTTGCCCATCTCCCAGCTCGTTGAGAATTGCCATCCAGACAACGCCAGCGGAAACACCTTCTCTATCGGGACATTCTGCGAGCGGCAATGGCTGTTCGGCGTCGGCGCTGGTTGGGAACTCTTGGACGAAGCTGCAATTGGCTACCGTCGCCGAGGAGCAGTCAGAATGACGGGGAGGAGAAGCTGTGCGTCTGTGTGGAGAAGCCGATAAGATGCTTGCATATTTATTCAGATACGCCGGACGGCCAGGGTTTCCTGCTGCTCTTGGGGTTTCATTTCCAGTCTTCTTTTTCCTTTCATCTCAATGGTGTTCTAGGGTGGGACAGGATCCGGTCTACCTATATAAGTACCTATTTCTCTCCTCTCTGTCCTTGTTTTGTGCTGCTGCAACTCCTGGGCTTATCTCTCCGCTTCTTTCTCCCTTGCTTCCCTGCCTTTCCCCCCATCTGGCTTGGGATACCCTCAACTGCCAGTGACTCATTACGTAGCTGAGGCAGCTGTACTACCGGACACACTGCTGTAATGGCCTCCCTTCTTCGTTCCAGCGCCAGGTTGCGCTCTGTCCCGCGGCTCTCTGCCGTGCGTTTCCTTTCTACTTCCCCGCATCTGCGAGCGGCCGAGAAGCCTTTCTTCCCCGATGAACCCACGGCTCCCAAGGTCGTCACGGCCATCCCGGGTCCCAAGAACCAGCAGGCCGCTGCGGAGCTGGACCAGGTGTTCGACATCCGCAGCTTGAACATGCTTACGGATTACACTCATTCCATTGGAAACTAGTACGTCGGGATCCCGCCTGGAGATGTAATTAACGATGACAGAGTCAGGAGCTAATGGAATACAATAGCATTGCTGATCTGGATGGAAATCTGCTTCTGGACGTGTAAGTGACAGTTTTAGGACTATGAACTGTGCTTTTCCCAAGACTCAATGCTTACGACCATTTGTGTGAAGCTACGCCCAGATTGCCTCTATCCCCGTCGGATACAACAACCCCAACCTTCTGAAGGTTGTCCAGACGCCTGAGATGGCCAATGCCTTGATCAACAGACCGGCACTGGGTAACTTCCCCTCCTCCGAGTGGGCTGGTATCCTGAAGACTGGTCTCCTCAAGGCTGCCCCCAAGGGCTTGAACCAGGTGTTCACTGCTATGGCCGGTTCTGACGCCAACGAAACTGCCTACAAGGCTGCGTTCATGTACCGCCGTCAACTGGAGCGTGGTGGGCCCGATGCTGATTTCTCAGAGAGCGACCTGACTAGCACCATGGTCAACCAGTCTCCCGGCTCCCCGCATTTGTCCATCTTGTCCTTCAAGAAGGCTTTCCACGGTCGTCTCTTTGGCAGTCTCTCCACCACTCGCAGCAAGCCCATCCACAAGCTGGACATTCCGGCTTTCGATTGGCCCCAGGCTCCCTTCCCCTCCCTGAAGTACCCTCTTGAGGAGCATGCCCAGGAGAATGCTCAGGAGGAGCAACGCTGCCTGGCGGAAGTTGAGCGCTTGATCAAGGAATTCCACAACCCCGTCGCCGCTGTCGTCGTCGAACCCATCCAGTCCGAGGGTGGTGACAACCATGCCTCTCCAGCCTTCTTCCAAGGCCTCCGCGACATCACCAAGAAGCATAATGTGCTCTTCATCGTGGATGAGGTTCAGACCGGTGTCGGTGCCACTGGTAAATTCTGGGCCCACGACCACTGGAACCTTACCTCTCCTCCCGACATTGTGACTTTCTCCAAGAAGGCCCAGGCCGCCGGTTACTACTATGGCAACCCAGCTCTCCGCCCCAACAAGCCTTACCGCCAGTTCAACACGTGGATGGGTGATCCCGCCCGTGCTCTGATTTTCCGTGGCATCCTCCAGGAGATCGAGAGACTCAACCTGGTCGAGAACACCGCTGCAACGGGAGACTACCTCTACGCCGGACTAGAGCGTCTTGCGAAGCAGTACCCTGAGGCCATCCAGAACCTCCGTGGTAAGGGCCAGGGTACATTCGTCGCCTGGGACACGCCCAAGCGGGATGAATTCCTAGCCCAGGCCAAGACCGTCGGTGTCAACATCGGCGGTAGCGGAGCCAATGCTGTCCGGTTGAGGCCTATGTTGGTCTTCCAGAAGCATCATGGTAAGTCTCTTTTCCTTTGCATGATGTCCTTGAGAAATTTCGTCTGAATGCTAACTGTTATCGCAGCCGACCTCCTCCTCGAGCGCATCGAGAAGATTTTTAAGCTATGAATGGATGACCCTTTTGCACGCTGATTTCGGTTTTTTTTTTTTTCTCTCTTTTTTTATTTTTCTTCCCCTTGAGTTTCATCTATCGTAATTCCAACCTGGGTTGTTTTGCTAGTGGAGTTCTCAAGAAAGGTTCTTGTTGCATGTCATATTCACTGCATGAGTCTTGTTTCTAGACATGAAATGGAAGCAATTCTGTAAGCTATAGGCTACGAGGTTATTATCGTTTTGTCAGTGCGCACTTCAGTAATGAGTAGATCTGTTGTTGACGGAGGATATTCGAATATCAAAACAAACGTGTTTTTAAATGTCGGCAGTCCTTCCTAGGTATCATTGAGTCATATCATGCATATTACAGAGTACATATAAAGGGAAACAGCAGGTGAAAAAGAAATGATCGAAATCAAGCCATGCAAGTATGCATCCCATCCAACCAACTCAAAAACTCCATGGATATTTCCGCAAACTTAGACCGAGACGGAGGCAGGCAGGCAGGTAAACAAAAACGAATCGGCTTGCGAAAGATTCTGCTATTTGGTAACGGGCAAACCCCATCCTCTGTCGGCCTTTCCATCTTTTTCTTATCCCTGGTTTAAATAATGAAAGTCGAAGACGATACAAGTACAGGTGGTTTGGAAAGCTTAGCTTTCTTCTTCGATAGAACTTCCGTCTCTCCTTAATAGAGCATGTATGTTAGACACTTTCGTTGAAGAGGAAAAGAGGATATTTAAACCTAGGTATACTCACGGAATGTATTTGATGCCGGAATCCTCCAGACTCCCGATAATCTCATCGGGGAGCTATGATCGCGAAGATCATTCCAGTCAGTACAGTTCTTTCTCAGCAGAAAAAAAAAAAAAAAGCAGCTGGCCAAGTTTCGTCTGGTCTATCGAAGAAACTCACCGTCCCTGTCACTTTAACCGCATATGTTCCCGGAACGTATCCATCTAATCTCTGCCACCGTGCAACCCAGCTCGTAGTCGGATCGCTCAGGGTAATCAGCCCTTCGAAGACTTGTGATGTGCATTCTTGAATGGCGTCGTTGCTGCCACGGAGGCCGAGGACGTGATCGCAGTTGGGGCAGCCCTCGCGCATGAATTTCTGCATTGACGAGAAAGATGAAGGATTAGTCACGCTAGTCTTTTCGTCACAGCAGTGGCAGGCTTCATGAACATACGTTGTGGAGTTGGACGAGAGAGCAGACCATGCAAGCGCGGAGAGTGCGCTGTTGGCCTGGTGCGACGTAGAAGGACATTTGGTATATGCCTCTTGCGAGCTTCAAGTGAGACTCCGATGGAACTGATATGAAACCCTCAAAGGATTCTTCTTTTCTTTCCGTCTGGGAGAGATGCAGGAGGGCAAAGACGAGGCTCGGAGTTGTTCCAACGCCAAGATCGGAGATTATCAGGAACCAGCACGAACAGCCATAAAAAAGGCTGTCTTCCTCCACATCGCTCTGCTGGACACTCTCCTCTCATTCTTTTGCTTCTGGGACTTTTTTTCCTGGTTTTTATCTTGTCTACATCTTGTTCAAATATACACATTTATCCTTCCATTCTCCAGCTTTTCCCACCTCTTCGTGAAGCAACACCCTATTTATCGTTGTCTCGTGCACTCGCCGACCAACCCTGCACCTCCTCCCATGGCTTCAGCAGACGTCGAAGCTGCAACTGCACTGAAGCTGCAGGGAAACAAAGCCTTCGCTGAACATGACTGGCCTGTTGCGGTGGACTTTTACACCCAGGCGATAGAGAAATATGACCGGGAACCTTCATTCTTCTGCAATAGGGCGCAGGTACGCTTTCGCTGGAAGACAAATTTCATAAAATCTATGCTGACAGGAACCATGTATTCTGCTAGGCGCAAATCAAACTTGAGGCGTACGGCTTTGCGATTGCCGATGCTACCAAGGCACTAGAACTCGACCCTTCCTATATCAAGGTCGGTCCCATCAAGCCTCCAGTTCGTCCGCTTGCTGTCATGTTACTTCGCTACATTCCCAATAAATCCAGCACCGAAAAGTATTCTTTTTCCGAACAATGTGGTTTCTGATTCGTACTAGGCGTACTGGAGACGAGCGATCGCGAACACTGCCATCCTCAACTACAAGGCTGCTCTTAAAGACTTCAAGGCCGTCGTTAGAAGGGAACCGAACAATCGCGATGCGAAACTGAAGTTGGCAGAGTGCGAGAAGCTCGTGCGTCGTATCGAGTTCGAAAAGGCGATCGAAGTCGCCGAGCCGCCGTCTGCGTTCGAGGAGGTGGATATCGACGCGATCGTTGTCGATGATAAGTATGACGGTGTTCGACTGGGGAATGAAATGACGCAGGAGTTCATTGACGACATGATTGAGAGGTTCAAGAATGGGAAGAAGATCCACCGCAAGTACGTTTTCCAGATCATCAAGGCGGTTCGAGATATTGTCTATGCGGAGCCGACGATGGTCGAGATTGGAGTGGAAAAGGGCACAAAGTTGACTGTGTGCGGTGATACGCATGGTAAGACTTTGGCTTCCCGCAAACTCGCTTCAACTGGACATGGCTAATGTTCAACAGGCCAATTCTTCGACCTCCTGGAGATCTTCAGGCGGAATGGATACCCGTCTGATACACACGCGTATCTCTTCAATGGTGACTTTGTGGACCGTGGTTCATGGTCTACGGAGATTGCCCTTCTTCTATACGCCTACAAGTGGCTGCGGCCTAATCAGTTATTCCTCAACCGCGGAAATCATGAAACAGACGACATGAACAAGGTCTACGGGTTCGAAGGCGAGTGTAAAGCCAAGTATACTGAGGCAGTATTCAAGGTCTTCTCTGAGTCCTTCTCTGCCTTGCCCCTAGCTACGTTGATCGGGAACAAGTATCTCGTGCTTCACGGGGGACTTTTCTCAGACGACAAGATCACCCTGGATGATATTCGCAAGCTGAACAGGCACAACCAACGACAGCCAGGTCAGCAGGGTCTGATGATGGAGATGCTCTGGACCGACCCACAGCCACAACCAGGACGTGGGCCGAGCAAGAGAGGTGTCGGTTTGCAGTTCGGTCCAGACGTTACCAAGCGTTTCTGCGAAAATAACGGTCTCGAGGCAATCATCCGTTCGCACGAAGTCCGCATGGAGGGCTACGAGGTTGAACACGACGGACGCTGCATCACCGTCTTTTCCGCTCCCAAGTACTGCGACACCACCGAAAACAAGGGCGCTTATATCAACATTGGGTCGGACCTTAAACTCGTATATGAAGTTTTCGAGGCAGTGCCTCATCCAAATGTCAGACCAATGGTAGGTTTTTGCTGTTCCAGTGCAAATGAAGCTATACACTAACAGACCTTCCAACCAGGCTTACGCCCAAAACTCGATCTTGTCAATGATGTGACCCATTATCGTTATCTGTTGTATGATATATCTCTTTTGCGCGCGGGTTGGCGTTCGCGGAAATTTCTCTTAGATCAGCAAAGAAATGAGAGCCGAAAAGCAGTGCGCTTCTGACTGATGATATGCCATATGACATTGGGAAATCTGGATATTTGTCGTCTATTTTTTGCTCCATTAATTTTATATCTGAGGCTCACGATGTTGCTGTATCTCTCAATGGTATAGGTTCAGTGGCTTTCTTGATTTTACATAGCAGGGGGAGTATGAGAAACGAGGGTTACGAGGGATGACATGAGAACGGCATTCCAAATGCTCCAGGACTAGACGAATGCAACGATAGAATGTCCAGTTCCTTAGGTAAACGCCGCATAGACTTATTCCTCGTCGACAGGTGTAAGATTAATAATGGAAGTATCAAAAGTCGACGGCCGAAATCCGACCACGAGATCTTCTAGCCACATCTTTCTCTCGATCTCCTTCGTCTCTTCCTACTCCCCCATCAGTTCTCCCTCCATATCAATCCATTCGCACTTGTGAATAGCTCAAGCTCCAATATGGAATACGAACCCAAGACCCGTCAGTGCCTCGATTCCCCTATCTATCTATCTGATGATGGAGGGGTAACAATCTTGCTAACCCCGCCATCAGCTCAGTACCTTACTTCCGACAAGACAAGCTTTGCCTTCGTGTCTGCGCACGATCGATGGCCAGTTATTATCGTAAGTGGTGTTTCCTTTCTTCCTTTTTCTTCAAAGCTCGATGTTGTTGCTTACTTGTTTATCTAGACCAGCGCAATTGACGATCTTCACCGCACGGTAGCCGACGTCACCGATGAGGAGAAACGCAAGGAGGGCAAGGGTATCATCGAGAATCTAGCAAAATTGAAGTACGAGTTGCAGCATGATCGGAAATTGACGTGAGTGATGCTTCCATTGGTTTTTCCTCAGGCAGCTACTGATCTTGGCGGTGGGTTGTTATAGACCGCTCCCCGACGATGGCCAGCCAGATATTGCCGAATATAACGATGAATTGGAACAGAGGGGTAATCCGACCTGGTATGATGTTGCGTGGCTATACTCTGAATGCTACCTCTGTATGTTCCATTGTGGAAGAAGAAAACATATGGTTGAGGAAATGAGGATTTTGCTAATTCGTGGGAAACGAAAAACAATAGATAGACGCATAAACACCTTTTTCACCCTCTCCAAATACTGGAAAGACTACGATGTCTTTGCACGCCAGAAGATGTCGACCTTCAAGTCCTCCCGGCCAGCCGTCTTGGAGTTAGCAGGAAGATACAGAGATTTGGCAAGCAAGGCGGAATCAGGCAAGGGCGAGGACGGCAAGACACCGGAAGAGATCGAACAGGCGGAGAAGTTGCTTTTTGCAGAGATGTGCGAGATCTGTCTTTGGGGAAATGCAACGGATCTCTCACTCCTGACGTCCCTTACATACGAAGACATCCAGAAGCTGCAGGGCTCCGAGGCACGTAAGGCTTCGCAGAAGAACATCATCGTCAACGATCTAGACGATGCCTTCGACATCCTGCGCAAAGCGAGAAAGGAGAAGAAGGACAGCCAGCGACAGGTCGATATTGTCCTCGACAATTCTGGTTTCGAGCTCTTCGTCGATCTTATCCTTGCCGGATATCTCTTGTCCGCTGACCTCGCCACAACAGTCGTCCTTCACCCTAAGTCGATCCCATGGTTCGTGTCCGACGTTATCCCAAAGGACTTTGGCGATCTCCTCAACGCCATTGCCGATCCACAGGCATTCTACACTGCACCCGATGAAACGGGTAAAGAATACCCCCGTCTCTTGGACAGAGAAGAAGAAGAGATCAAGTTCCTCTTCGCACAATGGAGCAAATTCCACCAAGATGGAAAACTAATCATACGTCCTCACCGCTTCTGGACCACCCCCGGAAGCTACTGGCGTATGCCAAAGACAGCTCCTGATCTATTTGAAAACCTGAAGCAGAGCGAACTCGTCCTGTTCAAGGGCGATCTGAATTACCGCAAATTGACCTCCGATGTAAGAAACTGTCCTTTTTTTATGGCATTCTTTGTTTTTCATTCAATTCTGTGCGGAGTAATTTGAAATCCATATCTAACACCGACATCAGGCCGCCTGGGATGCTACAACACCATTCACAACCGCCATTGGTCCCTTGGGACCGAAATCCAACATCCGCACCCTCGCCTTCCGAACCTGCAAAGCGGACGTCGTCGTGGGACTCCCACCCGGCGAAGACGAAAAGCTCCGTCAGGCTCCCGGCGGAGGCGGCGATTCGGGATCGCGCAAGTGGGCGTGGACTGGCAAGTGGGCTGTTGTGTCGTTTTGCGATGGGAAAGCATAGGCGATTGTCAACGGAACTTCGTACTGGATAATTATTGCTTCCCCGGATACATACGTGAGACGGGCTGTATAGATCATATAGGTCGTACATAGATACAGTGCGTATATTAGGTGAGACTACCTAGATGGACTTCAAAACCAACATTAATAAAATACGACCCATAGCTTACGTTTCGATATCATCAAATTTTCCTTGGGCTAGGTACTGGGAATGTGCAATATAGAGTAGGTATGCGATGTTGAAACCACTTCGCATAGCAATATCCCCAATCTACGATCCCAGTTACAGACAGGCATTCGTACAATAGCCATCGAACCTGGACTTATTCAGCACCACTTAGAATAGGAAGAAAAGGGATAGGAAGAAACGGGAAGTAATCCTGAAATAAAAGGAACTAAGATGGAAAGAAAGCAGCACGTTCATTCACTCGCAAAGAGATGGAATAGAACAAAATGACCAGGGTATAGTACCTAAGCAGTAGTTATTTGTCTGAGGACCGAGGAATTAAAGAAAATAAAACAAAAGAAAGAATCCTATACAAATGGTCCGAAGCATCAAAAAGAAAACACCAAAGCGAGACAAATGACCAAAGTCAGCAAACAAGGAGAGCTGGCATCCGATGAGCAAAAAGGGAAAAGAAGAGGTGTTCCAATACGCCAGAGAAGTCACTTCTCTAGGACCATATTTTCGTCAGCATTATCTTCCTATACTGCGTACCGAGACACGAAAGATAATCTGTAGCCTCTATCAATAAGAAGAAACGGTCCTCAAGTTTTCCTTGCCCCTGGTTGGCTGTTTGGATTTCCTATTCTCTGTTTCCCGTCTCAAGCTTGCAAATGCATCCGGTAACTGTTCTGGAGGTATCTTCTCCAGTTTAGAAGGCTGATGTTTAAATCTTTCAGACATCTTGACACGCTCTATTGGCATTCCGGTTAGGGAACCTCCAGAGATTCCATCAAAGGTGGGCCTTGCAGAACCACGTGTTTTGGAATGGTGAGAACGTGGTATGTTTATATCTGCATCTGCGGGCAGCCTTGCTGTATCCAAGGATGGATGCTGACGTGAACTGGTACGACAGGCTGGATCTCGTTTCTGCTTGACCGTACGTAACCGGCTCGATGTTTCAACTGGAGGCAAGTTAGGAGGAGATGAAGGTAGAATAATGTCTGTTCCCTCCGGCGCAGCGTGATATGAATATGAACGATGTTCATGCGTCTTTCCGGGTGTATCCCCGAAATATGTCTGATGTTCGCTGCCATCATAGGTATCATCGGCAGTCACTCTCCTCATGTCTAATTCATCTGCGGTTGCCACCCGGGAATGTCGTAAACCTCTAACTTTCGAGCGGGGGCTTGGACTCAGAGGCTCATAATCGTCATCATCATTGCTGCTTTCTCCCTGAGTAGCAGCGAGGTCGAAGTCATGTGTCTGAATATTCCTATGGCCCTTTTCGAGATCGTACGAGAGGTCATGCGATGCGGTATGCGGGAAGTTCTCCACAATCGCAGATATCCTCAGCCTTAGCAGGTCGATCTGCTCTTGCATACGGCGACGTTCTTCATGAAAGGACTTTTTGAGCGCCTCCTCTGATTCACGATGTTGATGGGAAGCCCTTCTCAAGCGTTCCCTGCAATCAAGAAATCGTGCCTCCACTCTTGTTTCCCTTTGCTTAAGTTTGGCTTCCCTCTCTTTGCGGCGGCCTTCGTACTTCGTCATTTCCTGCTTATACCGCGCAATAGTTTGCTTAAGAGTGCTGTTTTCCTTTTCAAGTGCAGAAGCTTTCTTTTCCGAACTTTGAACTAGGTCCTGAAGTCGCTCGAGGTCTTCTTGCTGGCGCTTCATCTCTTCAACTTTCGCACAGGCTCGACCCAATGCTCGCTGGGTCTTGTGAAGATCCTCTGTTTTCTCGGATGATCCTTGTCTTTGTCCCTCCGTCTGCGTGTTAGCAGCATCGATTTCGCTATCGACAACGCCGTGCTGTTCAAGACTCTTACGCAATAACTTGACTTGATGTTTGTATTGCAATGCAAGAGCTGTCTGCTTTGTAAGCTCTTGGATCAGCTGCTCTTTGTCCGCTTTTGCTCCTTCACCGACCATTGTGGACGCGAGTTGTGATACACGACTTTCCATCTCAGCAACCTTCGATTCTTCTTCTCGAATTTTGGCAGCTAGACGGGAGGCTTCCTCATCCTTCTTTTTAGCGTATAGCTTTGCAGCTCTACGGTACTGGATCAGTTTCTTGATTTCCTTGTTGGTGTTTATCCGATAATTTTCAAATTCGGCCTTCCAATATTTGCCAGACTGAGAGCGTGGCTCGTTTAGATTAACAGTGTCGTCATCCGCTGCATCTGTTGGTTGTTGCCGTGATTTATTATCTGACTTTGTTGAATTCTCTCCATCCACCTTCACAGAACGGGACTGCTGAGATGCTTCCTCTCGTGCATGTAGCAAGGTTTGCATCAGTCTGCTGGGAGGTTTGCCTGAGGAACCAGAGCTCCACTGGCTGCCGGTATTGTCTGGTGGTTTAGCCGGAGTGGTCGATAACTTTGTTGACGTCTCATCTCGCTTCCGCTCGTTATCAACAACACCCTCGCCAAAAGATACAGTTTTACGCCTGTTCGACGTGGTTCCTGGAGTAGCGAGTATGCTCTTCGTAGGTGAAGCATTCGCTTGCCCTGTCGCACCTATACTTATTTTGTCGGAAACCCTAGCCTTCTCTTGACCCTCATTCGCTAATGTCTTGGGAATATCGGGTTTTTCCTGCGTCTCAGGTGTCTGTGGTCTTGATTGTGAAGCCATCTCGTCTGCATCTGGGCCTGGTGTACCGAATACAACCGTCCTGAGGGCGCGAAAAGGGAACAAATGCGCCGGAGTTTCGGGAGGCTCCATGGTCTTCGTGTCGTCTGTAGAGAAGGTCAGGACATAAGCTAACGAATGGGTTGATCATTGGGTCGGATTAAGGTGAGGCGCACCTGTTGGGTCGCGCTTAGTTCCCCACTCGAACATCTTATCTAGACAGAGAGTTGAATAGGTTGAAGACCATCAAAAGGAGCATAATGATGATGTCCCATTGATAGCTGAAGTAGTAGAGATGAGGGACTGCGAAGGCCGGCCGAGGGAGAGCGGAGGCGAGCTTTGTTTACATTACTTCGTACGGGCAGATGCAGCCGCGAGCAGCCCAAAGGCGGTCGGCGATCGGCGGCCGGAACAACATCGGCGCGGGCCAAGCATTCTGCATCTTTTATGCTTTGGGCATCTTCATCTCCTCTGCCAGTTCATCTCTTTGCCAACACTACACTCCTTCTACCCAAGTCTCTCGTTACAACATGTTTGCGTCCCGTCTGTAGAGGCTGCAGCTTCGGCTGCATCTTTGTCACACCCCCGACTGTGGCAAAGGCCTACGTGACCTGGGTATTTGCGTTCCACACCGCCCAACACCTCCCGCTAAGAATGCCCTACAAGCAGCAGAAGAAGAATCATAATGCCCCTAAGAACGGCTCGCCCCGGAGGGAACATAAACAGTCCCCTCCGGATACTTCTCCGCTAGCGCCTTCGACGGTCACAACCAATTATCGAGAGATTCACCAGAATGAGGCCGAGGCTTTACGCTCAATTTACGGCGATGACTTCGAGGAAGTTGAGAACAGGCGTTCAGCCTGGCAGGTAGGTTGGATTCATAATTGGACCTTTGAGTATGTTTTACTGACAATTGTGGCCTAGCAATCTTCCGATATTTCGTTCAAACTTCATCTACACGCTTCTTCGAATGCCGAGATCCGAGTTGTGTTGCTCGTTGAATTGCCAGCAACTTATCCCAAGACTTACCCGATACTTTCCTTAGAAAGCCTCGGTCGCCTTCGCCAACGTACACAGTCTAGGATCCTAGATATTATTCAGCAAAAACCTAAAACTCTTTTGGGCACGGAGATGATATATGAGATTGCGGTTTCTATTCAAGATGCCCTTGAAGATGCGGCACAGGCCAAGGCTCACGATAAGGACCTTCCTAGTCTTGAGGAGGAGCGTATTGAACATGAAACAGCGGCTATCCAGCGGGCAGAGCAGGAGAGACAGGAAGAAATTCGAAAACAGGAAGCTGCCACGGCAGCAGAGGAAAGGGAACTGCAGCAATTGTTGGAAGACAAGGTCAGACAGCGTACGAAAGCTCGAATGTCTAGGCGTAAAAGCCGGACCAGTGGGTTGAATTTACCCGGTCTTTCCGATGTCGCAGAAGATAGCCCAGGTGCCGTTATTTTCGACCCTCCGCTGGTCATGAAAGATGAGCTGAAGCAGCCGTTAACTTTCCGTGCCGTCTATGGCAAGACACTGCTACAGAGCGCTCCGGACGTAGAGACCTTCACTGTTCGACCGGTGGTTCCTGAAGACCGACTGCATGCACCCCTCTTGATCTTGAAAGAGTTCTCCATCGACGAGAAGGAATCTGACACTCTGGCATTCAGAGAGCAAATGCGTGCCAGTGAAGATAAGCTAGAAGGCCTGAAAAAATTACGCCATCCGAATCTAGTCGATTTTATTGGATTTACGATCCATCGTCCTCTTGGTCCTTCGGATTCGTGGCGGATTTATGCACTTTTCGAGTACGCAAACAAAGGTTCATTGTCAGAGTTGTTGGATATTGTGGGGACCATCGCCGTTGATACTCTCCGCTCCTGGATGATTCAGCTTCTCGAGGCCCTGGAATTCTACCACCGCAGCGGATTCGTCCATGGGAATATTCATTGCGGCCACGTGCTTTTGTTCAGAGGCCCTTCTGGTGGTACGAGTGTGAAATTACAAGCCAGCGTTGGGGAAGCCCTTCCCGGTCCAGCAGCTCGGAAAAGAAATCTCAAAACATCCCAGTCTCCCTTCTGGATACCTACCGAGTTAACTCAAGAGGGCGCATCTCCGACCACAAAAACTGACGTTTGGGACCTGGGAATAATCCTTTTACAGATGGGCTTTGGGAAAGATGCGTTGTTGCGATATACGTCTGTCAATGCATTGATAGGAACACTTCCTTTATCTCCCCCTATGCAGGATTTACTGCGTGAGATATTTAGACCTGATCCAAAAAAGCGTCCAACGGCTTTCCAACTCCAACCGTCTGAATTTTTCCGTGTGGATGCACCATTGGTTCTTCACGGTAGCGCGTCTAGCTCCATTTCACTACCAAGGCGCCCACGTCTTGACTCCCAGGGAGGGTTGCCTTCCCTCTCTCGATATAGCCAAGATTTCGACGAGGCTGGCCGCCTAGGCAAAGGAGGATTCGGTGAAGTTGTAAAGGCAAGGAACAAGCTGGACGGCCGATTCTACGCTATTAAGAAAATATCACAGAAGTCAGCGGCTTCACTGAAGGATACTCTTTCGGAAATAATGCTGTTATCACGCCTCAATCATCCGTACGTGGTTCGTTACTTCACTGCATGGCTTGAGGAAGGTTATGATAGTATAGACGAGGATGCGATCTCATCAGTCAATGGTGAAACAAGTTTTGACCATGATAGCCATGACGAAGACGAAATCAAGTATAGCAGTACTGGTGGTCTTGATTTCATCAGTTCTAGGGGCTATCCCAAAATCGAGTTTGGTTTCGATAGCGACGAAGAGAATGATGGGACGCTATCAGTTTCAGAAAATGGGGATACATTCAATAACTATGAGACCACTAGCAGTGCAAGAAGACCAGAGATGGGCCTTGGTCGTGTGAGATCAGGTTCGTCAAGCAGGCCGGTTCCCACCACGCTTTACATACAAATGGAGTACTGTGAGAAGCATGTAGGTTCTTTCGACGGTGTCCATATTTCTGATGGTGCCATTTCGCGTTTTCTTATTTGAACTAGTCTGCTAATTGCCATTTTTTCCAGACTCTGCGTGATCTGATACGAAATGGCCTGTATGATGACGTTGACCGTTCCTGGCGCCTATTTCGGCAAATCCTGGACGGATTGAGCCACATACATAGCCATGGAATTATACATCGAGATCTGAAACCTGATAATATCTTCATTGACGTTGCAAATAATCCACGCATCGGCGATTTCGGTTTGGCAACCAGCGGACAGTTCACGACTGCCGTCCGCTCGTCTACGGCAACTAATTTCGAGGAGAGCTTCACACGCAGTCTTGGCACAACCTATTATGTTGCTCCTGAAATGAAGTCTGGGTTTAAGGGGCGCTATAATGAGAAAGTTGATGTGAGTATCTTTGGACATATTCTTCCATGTTCTCAGGCTGACGGTGAAAGATGTATTCTTTGGGCGTCATCTTTTTCGAAATGTGCCACCCACTGCCCACAAATATGGAACGAGACGAAACGTTGAGAAGAATACGGGAAGATAATCATGCTCTTCCGCCAACGTTTCAGCAGTCGGAGAAAGTGGTGCAGGGAGAGATCATTGAATCTCTTTTGAGCCATGTGCCAGCTGAGCGTCCATCGGCCAGTGAGCTTCTTCAGAGTGGTAAAATCCCTCTTCAAGTCGAAGAAGAGACGTTCAGGCGAGCTATTGTACATTTACTGTCCGATCCCAATTCACCCGACTACAAGAAAATCCTTTCAGCGATATTCTCCCAATCGCTTCCGAAATTCGAAGATATTGCCTGGGATATGGACTCTCGCGGGACACCAGCGGCTAATGAACTGCTGGTGCAAAGTCTGGTAAAAGAACGTTTGACGTCAATATTCTATAGACATGGGGCCGTTGAAACTCACAGGCAGATGCTTTTCCCGCGATCTCATCATTACCAGAATGATGTCGTGCGACTGCTCGATTCTTCAGGCACCCTGCTTCAATTACCTTATGATCTGACTCTCCCAAATGCCCGTGCAATTCCACGACAGGATAGATCCTTAGAGAAGACGTTTGCATTCGGCACAGTCTACAGAGAGTCTTCCCATGGCGGTGAACCAAGGACACATAAAGAAGTGGATTTCGATATTGCATCTCACAATACACTGGATTTAGCGTTGAAAGAGGCGGAAGTAATTAAGGTATTGGACGAGATTATTGAAGAATTTCCGCCGTTGAGATCCGCTCCGATGTGTTTCCTGATAAATCACTCCGATTTGCTTCAACTCATCATGGAGTTTTGCAGGATAAGTTCTCGTCAGATTCCACGTGTTAAGGAGATCATCAGCAAGTTAAACGTCGGAAAATGGACGATGCAAAAGATCCGTAGCGAACTTCGTTCACCAGCCGTTGGTGTCGCGTCAACTTCACTAGATGATCTCGCCAGATTTGACTTCAGAGGTTGGTCATCCAACCTCACCATCCTTCATTTTGCTTAATTAACCTGTGGCAGATAATCCGAGGCAGGCGCAAAAAAGATTGCATGCAATCATGGAGGGCACCGAATTTGCCGAGAAGCTTGGACCTATATTTGCACGTTTGAACTTGCTGGTCGCCTATTTGCAAGGGTTCGAAGTTAAGAGGAAGGTCTACGTGAATCCCCTTGGAAGCTTGAATGACAAGTTCTTCAAAGGTAGTATCCTTTTCCAGTGCGTCTTCGACAGTAAACGACGGGATGTGTTTGCCGCGGGTGGAAGATATGATCGATTGATCCGGGAATTCTCTCCGAAAGTTCTGTCGAACCATACCCAGGCTCATGCGGTGGGTTTCAACCTCAGCTGGGACAGACTAAGCTCTTCAATGCTCGAATATTTAAAAAGCCCTATGAAGACGTCTCTCAAGCCTCCTGAAGAGACAGGGACTTCTTGGAGGACTCGAAGGGTGAGTGGGAGGCACTGCTTCGCATCATTCGTCTTGGCTAACTTTACTAGTGTGATGTGCTTGTCGCCAGCTTCGATGCTACAGTGCTGCGTACTCTTGGTGTCAAGATTGTTCAAGATCTATGGGCAAATGACATCAGTGCAGAGCTTGCAGTTGACGCATCTTCACTTGAAGAGCTTCTTTCGAAATATCGAGAAGATAATCACAGTTGGATCGTGATTGCAAAGCAGGATAGTAAGGAACGAGGCTTTAAGGTAAAGAGTCTTGTTCGCAAAGAGGAATTCGATTTGAGGAGCTCTGAGCTCATCACTTGGCTTCGCTATGAAATACGGGCGCGGAATAGTCGTGAAGGCATAACTGATACTCCAAGACCGCCAAAATCATTCAGCCCGCATGACTCGATGGCCGCAAACGAGCGAGTTAACGATGTGCGCATTTTGGTGTCGCAGCATCGAAGTAAGAAGACAAATAGGAGGAATATTGTTGAGTCTGGTAAGTGAGCTTGCCTATCTCTCCGCGGCTTTCTCTTGCTAACTAGAAGGCAGCCCTCCTTCGCTCCCGCGAGGTCGTCGAGAAAGCACTGAATGGTCCTATTGCGGCGATTGATACGCGGGACGATGTACTTGAAGCCATTCGGGACACCCGTCTATCGGATCCCGACAGCTGGCGCACTGTTATACAGAACGCACCTCTCACTGAGCGAAAATATCTCACTCAAGTGCACGAACTACTTTGCGATCTTGCCAATGAAAGTCGCGCAGGTGGTGACGGCACGGAAACTTGTTCGAACGCTTTTATATACAACTATCGTACGGGTTCTTGTTTATATTATGACCTTGGAGGTGCAGTGGATAGGTGACGCAGAAGTATAGGTCGCAGACGACAGATCTCACACCTCGGCATGGGGCCTTTTATATTTATCCATTGGTTTAGTTGTTTTGTGTATATCTTATAAGCGAGTTTAATGTCTGTTACGCTTTATGTGCAACGAGCAAAGTCACGAATACCACATGCTTGAACGAAGGATTTTTGAGGTATCACTTGCTATTATACATGATAGAAAATGGACGATCGATAAACTAGTCACTCTCATCGTCACTCCCGTATGATACTAACGGCCCTCCAGAGGGTCGAGGCGCTTGTGTCGTTACACGCCCTGACAGTCCATTTAGTGCAGCAACAGTTGAACTGGAAAATATGCCACCTTGCACTTCTTGCGGAGTCGCAGCAGCAGATGCAGCTGGGGGTGCTGATTCCATCAGCAAGGGCTGGCTTGATCCCTCAAGCTGGGCGGTTTGCTCAGCGTTCTCCAGCTGCTTCGATCGGGCATACCACACTTCATCAGGCGGCTCGTAGCCATCCAAACCAAACGTCCCCTCTAGCTTTTTCCTCTTCCGCGCCTCTGGATCCCGACCCTCTAGTTCCGCGACAAACTCCGCCGGAAGAGCCCTCCGCACGGCTTCAGCGGCCTGTTCCTCCAACCGCCTCGCCTCACGCTTCTGGGCCAACGGGTTCGGATCAACCGTCGCCCACCGAACGTTGAGAATCTCATTGTGATCCAAACTCTGGTGTGCCATAGCCTCTTTCGCAAACTGCGCATTCGCCTCATTGGTGTACGTGACGAAGGCAACGCCGCGAGAAGTAAGCACACGGATGCGCTCGATCTGGCCCCATTCGGCGAAATGACGCGAAACGACCTCCTCAATATCATCGGTAACATGGATCCGACCAACGTAGAGCGTTCTATTCTGCCGCATAAACGAACCAACACCGCCCATGTCATCGCGGTAATCGCTGAACTTGTCCCGTCCGAAACAATCCACATTCGGATTGAACAAATCATGCAGCATCGGCAGACGGTGCAGGTACTCGCATTCGTGGCCCTTGGGGCAGAGACCCCGCGCGAAAAACAAACAGAAGTATGATCCGGGCACTTTGTCCGCGCGAGTATACCCACTGTCCTTCGCGACGTTGCAGCGTGATGGCGCAGCGTGTTTCGAGAGGTATTTGTCCTCGCGGTCTCCGCCGGACCACTTGTTGTACCAGATGTTGAAGACCGTGCCGGTCTGTGGGGGTGGTTCTGATTTGACCTGTTCGGGGTCTACCTGGGGTCGAGCTGGGCGTCGCTTGCGGCGAATCACCTTTTTAGTCTTCTTCTGGACGACGTCCGTGTCAGCGCCTGCGACGGCGATGGTGACGGCAGTCTCTGATGAAGGGTGTGTGAGGGCATTCTCATCGTTGGGTGTGCCCTCGAGATTGTGTTGTTGCTGGGGCTCCACGGTCCCCGTCTCTGAACCGATAACTGCTGTGTCTGCCATGGCTGCCGTGCTCTGAGAAGTGACAATGTTGTTCTGACGGCGATAAGAAGATGCAAAAGGCGCTGATGTCGATGCGTGGCTTACATAAGCCAGACAGCGCTTAGCATCGCGAGAACAATTTGAAGCTCAAGGAGCGTCGAAGTCAATCCGATGCACGACTGTTCTTTCTCGACTTATTTGTTTTCTTCTTTGAATAAAGGGATTTAGTGCTCTTTTAGGTCCTCTGAAACAAGCAAACCTCAGGACATTCATTTACGAGGCGTTGTGTGATCCGAGTCCCAGTGAGACTCGACCGTCAAAATGGTGAACATTACAGACAAAATTAAGGAGTATGGATTCCCTGAGATCGGACCATGTATAGCTGCTCAGACTGATTTAATTTCATTCTTTGGACATCTACAGGATTGAAGATGAGATGCGCAGGACGCAAAGTAAGATCCTCCAACCTCAGCGCAAAATCCGGGATGGACAGAACGGCTAACTATTGAACATAGAAAACAAGGCCACAGGTGCGAACACCGTTACTGATTCATATAATATCAGACATGACTTTCTAACCTCATCTTCATCGCATTCGTAACTTAGAATACCATCTGGGTCTGCTCAAAGGGTAATCACATAACGCTGCATATTATAAATATGTTCCATTCTGATCATCCTACAGAAAACTCGCTAGACTAAGGGCCCAGCTCCTGGAGCCCACGCCCGGCGCAGGTAGCGGCGGCGGCGCAGGTTTTGATGTCAGCAAAAGCGGCGATGCCCGTGTCGCACTCGTCGGTTTTCCCTCTGTCGGAAAGTCCACGTTCTTGTCCAAAATCACCAAAACCAAGAGTGAGGCCGCCTCATATGCCTTCACCACCCTCACGGCTATTCCCGGTGTCCTGGAGTACGGGGGCGCCGAGATTCAGATTCTGGATCTTCCTGGAATCATTGAGGGTGCCTCTGAGGGCAAGGGGCGCGGAAGACAGGTTATTTCTGCCGCCAAGGTGGGTTTAACTAGTTGATGTCTGTAGAAGATGAGAAGCTATCACTTTCTGCTGACTGTTCTGAATTCTAGACTAGTGACTTGATCATGATGGTTCTGGATGCTACGAAGCGTGCTGAACAGCGTGCGCTTCTGGAGGCAGAACTGGATGCTGTTGGCATCAGGCTCAATAAGGAGCCACCGTAAGTGTCTCCCATCCATTCCCTTTGAAGTCATTATCTAAAAACAAACCCCTGACGATAAACGATAGGAACATCTACTTGAAACAAAAGAAAGCAGGAGGAATGAAGATCACATTCCAAGCACCCCCGAAAAACCTGGATGAAAGGATGATTTCCAACGTGCTCCGGGACTACAAGATGCTGAATTGCGAAGTCTTGGTTCGCGATGAAAATGGTATCTTCATCTCACCCAAACTGTTTGATATTCTTCTGGAAATGAATCAAACTGACTTGATCCAGCAACGATTGATGATGTTATCGACGTGATTATGAAGGACCATAGGAAGTACATTAGATGGTAAGAGCAACCACTTAAAACCGAAACCCGTCAGTTTTATCTACATACCAGGCACTAATTATCTTAGCTTATACGTGTACAACAAAATCGACAGCGTAAGCCTGGAATTCCTGGACCAGCTAGCCCGCGAACCCCACACTGCTGTGATGAGCTGTGAACTCGACCTTGGCGTCCAGGAGGTGGTGGATCGGATCTGGAAAGAACTGAGACTTATCCGGATATACACCAAACGGTAGGATCAAATTTTCAATCCACTTGAAACTCTTATCTTTCTCTTTATCTAATACTTCCACAGAAAGGGTGAAGAGCCCGATTTCAGTGAGGCTTTGATCGTACGCAGCAACTCCACGATCGAGGATGTCTGTGACCAGATCCACAGGACATTGAAGGAGACGTTCAAATACGCATTGGTCTGGGGCGTCAGTGCCAGACATATTCCTCAGCGTGTGGGATTGGGGCATGTTGTGGCCGATGAGGATGTGGTTTCGATAGTTGCTAAATGAGTCAGTTCTGAATATGAAAGGGCACGTAGATTGGATTCAAATACATTCTGATTCTTATTAGCGTTACTGTTCCAAGTAAAAATAACATCAAAGCTGCCAATTCCTCTATTCATTCCCAGCTATAGGGTACTGTGTCTGAGAAACTAGGAGGAAAGCAAACCAAGCCTCCTAAAACGAATGAGCATCCCCCGAGGCATCAACGTATTCGTTAAGGACGATATTCCCCCAAACGCTATCATCCACGTTTTCACGCCTCATGATCAGAAATTTGGGAGGTATATTCGCGTGCAAGATCGAGTCAATATATTGCTGCTGACCAGATATGACCCCAAGGTAATTATTTGGCATCTGTTCCTGAGGCCGAACCAAGGCAACCGCCGATATTTGCACATAGCTATTTGACAACGCAACAACTGCAGTGATCTGGGCAACCATACTCTCTGCTGGACTATACGGCTCGCTCTTAGGGCCTTGTAGCCGTTCACGGAAGGATGAAGAGAGTGGTTCTTGGGTTATAATAGTCCTCCTTCGGGCACCAGTGTCCTATATCATCCCAATGTTGCGCAAATTACCACCACCACCTTCTCTTCATCGTCAATTGCTATTACCTTCAAGTTAATAGTCACTCAGGTAGGTGACCATCAAGAAGGCCCGCACGGATGATAATAGGGTAGGGATCTTTGTCAAATCTCATCCGGTGGTGCTAGACTCTCCTGCAACTTTTCCCGCACCACGGGCCGGAAAACAGGAGTCGGAAGGGTGGAGATACTTTGATGCACTCGTACGGGACGTCCAATCCTTGTCTGACTGCTCGCAGTTTCATTGCGAACATTTTCCAGCGCAATCTGTCAGAACAGGGCTCTCTTCTCTTTCTTCGTTGTCTATGTCTTTGACGACAGAAGCCGCCGCGTCGATTGCATCTACGTGATAAATGAGGGTTTGCAAACCAACTCTATTCTCCGGGTGTTCCTACTTGAGGATAGAATCAGCTTGTCGTAGGACTTCACCAGCGGGAAAGCCGGATCATTTTGTCGAGAATGGACGCGGGGAAGTACTCAGTTGAAGAGCTCTCTATGTTTCAGGTGAGTTCAAGATAAACTGGACAAAAGATATTAGGACCTATCAGTTCTGGGATGTGCTAGGCAGGCATCTGATGAAAGTTGTATGAAGGTGATGGGTTAAAAAGGCTGCCATTCAAGCTAACAGAAGGTTCTCTGTCTAGTGGAATGCTGTGCTGGGAAACTCCGAATCGCACGTAACAAGCGATTCCATACAATTAATGTGGTTCTAAATAGAGGGTTGAGATGTATGAATCAATTGGTATCTGGTGAGGAGCTGGGGGGAGGGGATAAAGAAGGAAGATGAAGGGGAGGCCAAGCAGCTTGATATACTTGCTCGAAACCCCCACAGCGTCTTCCTTGGTGACTGACTGAGCCACAGAAGTATCTCACTACTCGGAGCGGAAGAGGACGGCTATAGTAACTTCTCAATATATGAATGAATGTAAAGGAACGGCGGGAATAGCAGAGGGAAGGATGCTGAACGGAAATCGATCTAGCCAGCAAATACCAATCCTGGAAAGCAAATTGTCTCTCTAGACCCATACACAGTTACATTCATTCCTCGCAGTTGAACACTGACGAAGACAGTTTGTAGAGCACTTAATTCCAAGTACCCGCCAGGAACCGCCGTCGAACCTCCCTTGCCAGTTCGATATTCTTCTTCGCACGTTCTCTGCTTTCCACTGCCTTAGCCTCGAGCAACTCATTGTGATCCTTCAAGAATTCCCTGAAACGCTCCTCACGCTGGACAATCATCTTCTTTTGGAGCTCCGTCAATTCTTTTGGTTTTGGTGCGTCCATAGTTGTATCGTAAGGAGGGAACTGCGGCTTGCGAGGCAGACGTTGTTGCACGGGCAGGATATCCAGCTTGGGGCCCGGCAGGGTCTGGTACCAGTACACAGTCGTGGACCAGTCGTCACTCAAGTGGTTGGCGTGTCCGTGCTCCATTGTCACACGGATCTTCTTGTTGAAGCGGACGGGGTCGGGCAGATGCCAGCGATAGGAGACCTGGTAGTTCGGCACTTCACTCTCGTGCAGAATTGAGCCGCAGAATGGGTAGGCATTCTTCTGCATGCCCCAGCCCATGCAGAAGTAGTCTTCTCCACCAGTACCGTGGATGGATGGTGGCCAGGTATCATCATCAATAAAGATCATGTCGTCACCCTCACCCCACCATGAGCCCTGGAAGTGGGCAACAGAGTGGTTGCAGCCGATATATGTTCCTGCCCCGGTGGTGTCAAGTAGAACATAGTTGTCCTTGCCATCGAGGTTGGGTACATTTGTCTCGGGACTATTGGTTTGCATCTCCGGCGGCGCCCATCCTTGAGTAGGGTTCTCCCGGCGCCAATGGGCATGGAAGTAGAGGATCTTGCTGGGGTCAAATGGCTTGAGGCGCAGCTCATAGTCAATGTAGAAGTACTGGATGAGCGAGTTCTCACCCTGGTTTTCCACCTCGATACGAGCGCGTTTGTTGAAAGGCATGGGCAGGTAGCAGTTCAGGGCGGCCGCGCCACCAAACTTCTTGTCATCTTCGGGTCTGGCAGAGACAGTGAATGGAAGAGATTGGAAATTGGACGTCAGCGAGTGACCAATGCAGAAGAAATCACCCAGGGGAGCCAGCACGTTGGGAGTCTCTGAGTCGTCCCAGTACATCTTGATTAGGACCTTGCGGTAATAATCGGGATCGTTATCCTCGTAGCTTAGGCCCGAGGTGCCCGGGGTCTCAGACATGAAGGAACCGGCCTTAGCATAGTTGACGAGGCCTGGCCCGAGCATGCGACGACAGGCCTGTACAAACCAGAGATGCGTGATCTTCCCGGGACCCTCAAGGTCTGCAAGCACTGCTGTTTCGCCAGGTTGGATGACAAAATGGTCATTATTGTTCCCTGTATGATCCCAGCTTGAAACTCGTGTCGAGCGGACCATCTTGCGTTCGGCAACGGCCGAGAACAGATCTCCATCGAGGATTCCAGACATATTAGAATCAGGAAAGAGGAAAGTAAGAACTCGGAGAAGGATACCAACTAGACGATGCTGAAAGGGATGAAGTGAGGAGTGGAGAGAAAACCACAGAGACACGGTGGAGGGGAAATATCATGTTCGATGCAAGATTGCAGGTCATTCTTCCAACAAACCCTATACTTCATCATGCTCACCGGAGATTGCAGTGGACTCCAAATGGAGAAGGAGACGTCGTGCTCTGCGCCCCACACTCCGCAATGATCCTGCGCCGAATAGTTCCTTCGCTATTATTGAACCCGGATGACAAGAATCCGATTGATGTTTCGGGAAAACTTCGGTTTGCTGAAGCCACCAGGATTTACGGGATGCAAGGCCTTCCCAAATCAGGTCACCGGGAGCGCAACGTGGAAAAGCCCTATAGCTGAGAAACCAAAGATTTCCAGCGAGTAATGTGCATGCGGAGCCAGGAGCAGGCTGATAGGGATACCGTGGGGGATCAAATGAGGTGATGCCGTAGTGAAGTGATTGAGAAGAGTGGTGAAATGGCACAGGCCTGCTGGATCGGCGCTCCGCATTCTCTCCAGCTGGAGAATCCCCGCAAAAGACGGTCAGGCTCCGAACCCCACGTCGGACCATCTCCGGCATACTCTGAAGACGGACTGGATTGCCTGAGGTGGTGTTGCTGATACTGTAGCAACACTGGGCGCCATGAGGTTGCAGTTGTTGGTTGAATCGCTAAATGAGTGGTTGCTACACTGCAACGCAGTCGGATGCAACTAGAGTCCGGACGCGGCAAGTAAATCATCACAGTATTGGTGGGCAAGAGGCATCCGAAATGATAGTTAGCCCTAAGCTCTGCGGAGGCCTATGCTTAGCCCATGCGTTGAACACCGAAAATAAATCCGACATACCTACCATGCTCTCCATTATCGACTCTATTTGGATTCACGCATTGTCATCTGCAAGCATAGGTAGGGAGGCAACTTGGAATAGGACAGTGCGCTGCATAGCATGTCATTGATTCCGTCCTGGAGGGATTGGCCTTGCAAAGTTTCTTGTAGTTCTCACGGATCTGGTGCAGATTTTCACTCATAACTGAGCCCTAGAGGCAACAAGGACATCACATTCCGAGTGAAATCGCTCAAACATGGTTTCTTGTCCCATGCTCTGATTGAGATGACCCACTTCACACAGGTGATTATCCATATACGCATAAAATACACCTAGCTTGTAGATAACCGAGGGTATTAAACTGGCAGCTCATGTCTTGTCTGTCGGACCTTTGCAGTAAAGAGGCGATTTATATTCGAGCTTGGAAGAATACCCTCTGTAATGGCTGGCGAGACGATCATCGATGGGTGAGAATATCATACACACTCAGGTCAATGCTCTCAACACTTGCATTTCGCTAATATCTCCTCGTCCCATGTGAAGCGTCGACTATTCCACTGTCAATCCGGCGAATAAATGGCGAATTCTCAAGACTCAATGGCGCTTTGCTCTGTGGTGTATGTGGTGTCAGAACTCCAAGCTGAAAATTTGAATGGTCGTTGTTGCTAATGCTTGCTTGTGGGCGCATACAGCTCTCTTCATCTCCTGCGGCCTCGTCATGCAAGGCTTCGATCTTGTCGCCAATGGTCAGCTAGCTGCACTCCCTGAGTTTCAGAAGCAGTTTGGGGTTCGACAGCCGGACGGCGAATACCTGCTGCCATCTCATTATCTCTCAGCTTGGAGTTCCATTGCACCTGCCACAGAAGTGGTTTCCACGTTAATCTGGGCCCCCTTGCTCGAGAAGTTCGGACGAAAACCAGGAATCGTAGCCGCGGCCGTTATTTCAGCGGCCGGAGTTGTTCTCCAACAGATGGCAACAGAATGGAAGACTCATCTCGCAGGCCGTGGGGTAAATGGTATACACCCATGCATACGTTGCAATGTGTGTATAGCTGGCTGACAGAAAGACTGCAGGTATCGCCATCGGCATAATATTTACAATTTCACCGCTGTGGATAGGAGAGACAAGTCGTCCGGAGTTGCGAGGCTTTTTCCTTTGCTTCTTTAATACCAGCGTTGTTTTCGGACAATTCGCAGTGTACGTTCCTCTCAACATCCAGAGACTCTAGGAACTATAACTGATTATTCTCACGTAGTGTGGTCGTCTCAAGAGGTGGCAGCTATCTTGACGGCAAATGGTAAGTAGCCCGAATCCTACCGCGCCATTATGTTCTCAGTTCTTATCTCGCATCATTCAGGCAATGGTGGCTTCCTGTAGTCGGGATGTATTTTTTCCCATGTAAGTTGCTTGACGCTCTTCTGACTTTCACGGTCTTGTTTCTCATATTGTGTGCCTTTCCCCCCCCCTTGGATAGTGGTCCTCCTACTGGGATACCCCTTCTTCCCCGAATCACCCTACTGGCTAGTAAGGCAAGGGGAGCGTGAGCAAGCCCGCAAATCACTTAGAAGAATACATGGCTTCAAGAACCAGGCCTTTTACGATATCGAGCTCGCACGCATGGAGGATGAAATTCGAGTGTCGGTGGAAGTTCAACGCGACCATGAGCCCACGACAAGCAAACGGTTCTTCGGTATTGATCTGTCAGCAGAGATAGAATGTTTTCGCGGCACCAACCTCAAAAGGACCATGGCCTCTGTTCTCGTTGCATGGGCACAGCAGGTCATCGGGGCGCCGTTCGTGGTCGGATACTCGACGTACTTCCTCGAACGCATCGGTATCAAGGACGCCTTTAACGCCTCTGTTGCGCTGTACGTGATAATGGTGGTTGCCAGTGCCAGCACCTTTCCTTTGACCGAGATCGTCGGCCGCCGCACCATGATTGTATGGCCTGAGTTTGTTCTGTGTTTTATCCTGCTGCTCATCGGCATCATGGGCTGTGTTCCGGACCACACGCGGGCAAATTGGGCCATCATCGCCTTCATGTATATCTGGACTGTGGTATTCCAAATGTCCATCAGCGCCACAGGCTTTGTCCTTGCATCTGAAATAGCGACGGTTCGTCTCCGGGCTGCCACTCAGGGAATGGTTACCATATGCAATGCCCTCGCCTCCCTTGTTATGTCATTCATCATGCCATATCTGGTATGTATCACTTCTTGGAGATTAGTCAACCCATTATTATCCCGGCCTGCTAACATTGCATTGCCTGCACAACAGATCAATGCTGATGCGGCGAATCTCGGCGGAAAGGTGGGATTTGTTTTTATGGCGACGGGACTGGTTGTGTCAGTCGCTGGCTACTTCCTCTACCCAGAAACAAAGGTATGTCCAGAGCGAGCTGTATACTAAAAGCAACTCCGACTAATAGTGCTCTAGGGAATACCGTTTGAGAAACTCGATCAGCTCTATGAGCTTGGAGTCTCCCCGCGGCACTTCAAGAAGATGGCTCCGGGAATTAGCACGACGGGGACTTTGGAAATGAAGAATGAGGCGGTGGTTGTTCAGGAAGAGAATGCAACCCCCCGATTACTCTGAGTATGGAGTGCTTGAATGAATTGCAGTTCAGAGGAATGCAGAGGAAGATCCTGTGCTCTGTATGCTGTAGAAGTTGGAACTGTAGTCTATGATTAGTCAGCACGCGGTAGTTTAGGGGTCACCTAGTTAGTAGTGGCCCATCTCCGATACAATAATATATACAATCCACTGTGGTATGTAGGTAAGTAGCTAAGGGAGATGCAGGACAAGAAGAGCTTCAATTAACCTCTCTACCAAGATCCACTGCCAAGGCCCAGCAGTGTCTACTTCCGCCATGCTTCAAATCTGTCGGGATTTTTGGAGCAGTATCTTCCTGACAACAAATTTTTCTGCAAGTTCTGCAGGCTGAAGAGAATGAGATGATTCAGCACGGCAGTCTCTTTGAATCTGAACGCCTTTCCCCCGCATGGCCTAGACAAAGGCCAATTCTGGTTATGCCTTTGCGGCTGCGTCTATTCGAATACATGCGCACTAGTCTCCTTCGGGCAATCTGTCCCATTTTCCAGTCATCAATATTTTGCTCTGATTCTTCTACAACATATGATATTATTGTACCCCTCACTAGCTTAGGGAATCGACATTTACCTGCTATTACATTTATCTGGATCTAGACCTTGTGGATATCTTACCCCGTACTCCATATGTTCTGCAGATTGCCAACAAATCCATCTCGTCTCTGCAAGCATACTCCAATCCCAGCATCCTGATGAAATCATCCCTGCACGCCTTCAAATGGAGCACGGATCCTGCAGGCCGTATGGACGTATTGTGTATGGCATATACACTGTTGACTTGGCAGTGGTGGCATGATGCCCAACGCAACGGTCAAGTCTAGATAGTCGTGCAATACGATTCTTTCTCCTTTTCACTTCTTCTCTGTTCTTGTTTCTTTTGCTGGGATTGGAATCCACTGTACATACTGCGTGCACTTTGTGAGATATTGTACAGTTCATTCAATTCTCCATACTTATTTCCTTTGTCTTATTTATTTCAATTTTCTTGTGTGCATCCAACAACCACCATGCCCCACGGAACCAAAGACCACCCTTCAACCCCCCTCCTCCAAACCCTCACCTTAACCCTCATCTCCCTCATCCTCGGCCAAAAAATCTCCTACCTAATCCTAACAATTCTCCTGGGCACCTGGACCCGCGACAAACTCGTCCTCTACAAAGCCGTGCTGGAGAAACGCACCGCCGCCCGCGCCGAGCAAGTCCGTCAGCAACGCCTACGCGATATCAACTTTATCTCCGCGCAGTTGGGGAAGAGGGTTATCGATGCACTCAATTCGAGTTCGAGTACGAATACGGCTGAGGGGAGGAATGTTCTTGAGGCCTTGAAGAGTCAGCAGAGTGATATTGTTGAGAAGGCTTCTTCGGGGGGTTGGGAGGATTATTATCGGGACCAAAGTGGCAGTCAGGGCTTGGATCAGTTGTTGAAGGGAACGAGTAAACCCAAGCTGAACGGTCTTGAGAAGAATCAGATTCAGTATAACTATGTTTCTGTTGATCGCTTTGCGAACCTGTCGCCGCCTGCGTCGCCTAAGTTGGAGGTTGTGGCTGCGCCTGTTGTTGTTGCTGCTGGTTATAAGTAACTGGTGGTTGTTGCAACTTGCTGCTGTGCCAATGGGTTTCTTGCGTGGTGTTGCCGTGAGCATGCGTACACACTTTGCTGAAGAGTTGGATATTCGATGCTAGCACTGTATGCTGTATGAATGTACTCTATATAATGATGGATGACGCGACTTTCTTTGTCTTCTGTTTGGAATTCTGCTTGCAGTCATGACTTATGACATTTGTAGCTATGCTATGAATGATGCCCAACCTGACTGCTCTTTCAAAAAGACTAGTAGATGAGATAATATCTTCAAAACTTTCCATGATATTTACCTTAGAAAAAATGCATCATTATATCCATCAATAATCGCTGAAATTACAAACTTGAAAACACGGAACGAAAACCAATCCAGACCAATTGAAGAGACAATACATCTATGCAGAGCCAGCGGCAGCAACATGTTGCATCCCCGTGGTGGGGTGGACACCCACACGCTCCTTAGCAAGCAAATCAACCAGTAGCGGACTAGGTCGGCTGTCACGCTCGGGGAAGAAGGCTGTCTGGCTGTTCTTGTACTTGCGAACGCTGTCTAGGTAGATGTCGAAGAGGTAGGAAGAATCAAGAGGACCTCCTTTGGCTTCGGGGTGGAATTGCGTGCCGAAGATCGGTCGAGTCTTGTGGATGATACCTGGAACAGAGTTAGAAAAGGCTACACGACATGACAACAGAATAATCATCACTTACCCTCATTGCTGGAATCATTCAAGTTCACGAAGTATGGCTTCCAGTCAGGAGACAGCGTAGAGGAGTCCACAGCATAGCCGTGATTCTGACTGGTAATGTGGCAGCGGCCAGTAGTCAAGTCCAAGGCAGGGATATTATGAGCCCGGTTACCGTACTTGAGCTTGATCGTACGAGCACCGCTGGCCAGAGCCAGAAGCTGGTGACCCAAGCAAATACCAAAGATAGGAATCTGCGAGACCTCCATCAACTTTCGGAGATGATACACAGTATCCTGGCAGTGGGTTGGGTCTCCAGGGCCGTTGGAGATGAAGACACCATCAAAGTGGTGGGCCACCTTGTGGATGGGATAGTCAAAGGGGAACACAGTGATGCTCGCTCCACGGCCGACCAAGCTGCGAAGGATGTTCTCCTTAACTCCACAGTCCAAGACGGCAACATGGACTTGTGGGTCACCAGCGCTGACATGGAAGGGCGCCTTCGTACTGACCTGACGAACAAGGTGGATTTGCTCAGGGTCAACGTAAGCCTCATCCTCATCGGCGTCGTACTCCTCACCGACAGTGAGACGGGCGAGAGACGAACCCTGCTCACGCAGATAGGTGACAATGGCACGAGTGTCGACTCCGGAGATAGCAGGAACACCCTCACGAGCACACCATTCACCCAGACTCTCGACGGCCGTCCAGTGGCTGTACTGCTCGGCCACATCGGCGACAACAACACCCGCAGCCTGGAGGTTGGGAGACTCGAAGTACTTGAGGAGACCGTGCTGGTCCCGCTCAGCAGACGGCACACCATAGTTTCCGATCAGGGGCTGAGTAAAGACCAGGATCTGGCCACGGTAGGAAGGATCCGACAGAGATTCTGGATATCCAACCAAGGAAGTGGTGAAGACAGCTTCACCAGACACGTTCGTCTTTGCCCCGAAGGACTTTCCGTGGAAGATAGGACCATCACGGATGGTAAAGGTAGCACGCTCCCGGGGGAGACGGTTACGGACAGTAGCCATAAACCTAGGCCGGAAGGGAGCCTTCGTGAAGGCAGGAGTAGGGGTAGAGGCGGAGGCCCTGGCGGGGACCGCCTTGAATAGTCGAGCCGTAAACATAATGATTGAAAAAAAAGAGTATGTTTTGTACAGTGGGCTCAAGGATGTTAATAGTTTCCAGAAGCTTTCCAGAGGTGATCCGAGATGTAGTCCTGCACGAGTAAAACCAAAATAAGCCATGTATCATGAGTCATTTATTGGATAAAGGCCAACATACCTGAGAGGTGAAGACAGAAGGTGCCAAACGCATAAGCGCGACTGTACTAGTTTTCCAGCACAGAATAAATGAATGGGTAGAAAAAGGTTCTAGAAAGACATGAATCGACGAGAGGACTTCGTCGACAAGTAGCGTAGCAGGGTTTTGGCAGCGGTGTACAGTGTGGGATAAAGTCAGGACAGACAGAGGGAGGAAAAAAGAAGGCGAGGAGTCACAGCGAAGAGAGAAAAAGAAAAAGCTACTTGCGAGATCGGCAGACCGGGCCGGTGAGGGCGCACGTGCACCGGCTGCGGTGGCCAATCATGCGCGCTGGAATGCGATTACAGCGCTTATCGGATTGCCCTTGGTATATTATATAATACTCTCTGTACGGCACCAGAATTCTTATTGCTGTGGGAAAAGTCTTGCGATAGTTGCATTGTTGCATTCCTGCTCTTGTCGATTGGCATTTCGAAGACACAGAGACCAGTTGATGCAGAGATATCAGGAAGTGCCTGGTGGCAAATGCGCTGCTCTGATGTCAGTCAGACTCGAAATTGGGAATCGGCGGGCAAGTGGAACAAAAATAGACGGATAAATATGGTAATCATTAACCCATGGGGATGGGACATAACATCGCACAAGGACAATTAGAAATCTTTTCCAGTGTCTATGGAGATCACTCCTCCTTCCCCTGCTTCTGCGTTCCCTCTCTCCTCCCCCCAAACCCATGCGTACGCACCACCAAACCCAACTTCCATAAAATCCACATCGTTCCAAGTAGAATAACAGCAACAGTCCCAACCTCCACAGACCTAGCCCCGAACATGCCCCAATGACCCTGAACCCGAAGTGTCGGAACCTCTATCTCCTCAACCAGTCGAGGAGACTCGGCACCAGAGACAGGAGAAGGATGTAACTGGTAGAACATAGTCCTAGGACCAAAGAGCCCATCCCACCCCAGATTCACACGGTCAAAGGGGTTCACTCCCATCTTGGTGCCTTCTTCGGCCGTGCAGGCCCAGAACACGACAGGCCATGGCACGGAAATAGAGCGGTGCCCAGTCTCGGAAGGCTGGAGGTATCGGAGGTGTAGAGGGATGGTGATATTCCAGTCTGAACTGGGCTCGACGGGACTGCTTGGGGTGGCTAGTTGTAGTAACCACGTGGAGCCCCAACGGTGAACAACCCAATCTGGGGCCTCGAGGTCTGTCTCGCCGGATACGGCGCGGAGGGCAACAAGATTGTGCGATTGTAGAAAGAGGGGGTCTGTCGTGGAGAGCTGGTATTTATCTGCGAATATAAACGATGGAAGTGTGAGGTAGGTGTGAAGGGCACATGTTGCCTCTGGGTCTGCTGGTGGCCGCTGTAGAGAGGCAAGGGGCATGGATATGGTCATGGTTGGATGGAGACCCGTTGGGGGCTCGAATGAAACCATATAAGTCGCATCATACGGCAGCGGATGATGTCGAGAAGGGAATGAGAACATTGTAGACTCTAATCTGCCATTAGCAAGATAAATCCCTTTGAAGGAACCAAATCGACTGTCAATAAGAGGAACTACTTACTCATCCTCTCATCCTCCCCTACAACAGCCAACAAACCACCCACTTTCAATTCTTCAAACTCAGTAGCCTTATCGGTACTCAGTAATCCAACCTCGACCCGTCCTGTCCCATCAGGATGTTTCGGAATTTCTTCCGTCCATCCTCCATTAGGCGGCTTTGACCAGTATCCTGTAATAGTCAGAGCATGCGAGATACTATCGTAGTCGATATCTAACGAGTCGGCGGTACGAATCGACGAAGGCTGTGTTCGACATCCTTCATCCAGTTTCCCACAAATATCATTCTGGATGAAGGCCACCAGATTCTCTAACGACGGAAGAGACAGGTAAAACTGATAGGTTGGTGTAGAAGCAAACCGGTCCGATAGGATAGGAGATGTCGTAAAGGAGATCTTCACAAACAAGCAAACATTAGAACCAGATACATAGATGTTTGTAAGAACTTAACTGACCTCGGGAACCAAACAATCAATCTCACCCCCAAACGCTTCCTTGATCAAGGGGCACAAATTCTCCCTACACGAGAAACCAACATTAGCTAGCTCCGAGTACAAGGAACCAAACCCCCTCCTTAAAAAGAGACCGGGAGAATGGAGAACAAATATATACGTAAATATATCCCCCCTAACCGGCGTAAAATGAACATTCAACCCAGGCGAAACCCTGCTCGAGAACGGCGGGAGCGTATCATACACGCTCTCCGTGGCCCATCGGAAATGCAACTCGTAGCATCGTTCGAGGACGTTCGAGAGCTAAAAACATTGTCATTAATCACATATTCAGTTTATGCCCAGTTTCTTATTTTTTTTATCCATGTGATTGATTTAATATGCCGGAATTGCACGCATACCTTAGCTGGAAGCTCCTCAATGCTGAACGTAACCCGTTCTTCGCGGACAGCGTCCAAGTCGCGGACGGACAGGGTGTCCGTCTTCAGGACGGTTTGGTCTCGTTCATATGGGGCATCTGGACGTTGGATGTATGTGACCCTTTTTCGCATTTTAATTAATCAACTTAGAAAAAAGCAACAACAAACAGAGAGCAACCGTAATAGTAATGGTAGCTGAATGAGGATGTCAACAGCTGAGCTTTCAAGCCAGTTTCTCCGCATCGTCACTCACCAATTACAATTGCTCAAACAGGTTAGTTGTTCATCTGATAAGGCTATGATTAGTAATATACTCTGGCCGCTCGCGCAGTTACCGATTATGTTATCCATTAGTTATGACTTTGTCCGGACGTATACTATTTAATAATACAGCATGCCTAAATGCAATTGACTTATGCAACCCATAATCCACCAGTTGTAGATTTAGCAATGTAAAGGCTTTATAAGGATGAATATAAAAATGCTCTGTAGATGAAACATCCGAGGAAAAGCAAGAATCAATTGGAAGCCCTGAAACACCCACCCGCACAAATACAAAGCCCATAAAACGCCAACGCCAAAAAAATAAATGCACGTCAAACAGCGATCATGTTCATCATAATTAGAGGGGAAACAAGCAAGCCGATTTTGGAAGTAATGGAGAATAATCGACAATCACGGCAAGACGTCCCTAAGTATGTCCTTTTGAGAGGGAGTCAGAGTTGTAGGGAATTTGACATTGACACGAACAATAAGGTCGCCTCGCTCGGAGGGTTTCTTGGAGATGACCATGCCGTGGCCGGGGTAATGCTCCTCGGATCCGGGTTGAGTCGGACCAGCTTTGGATATGCGAATAGATTTGCCATCAATCGTTTTCACGATACGATCCCAGCCGGTAAGGGCTTCCTTGAGGGAGAGGTCGACGGTTGTGATGAGATTATCACCTTGACGCTTGAAGATGGGATGTGGTTTCTGCAGAATAAAAGTTAGCATTATGTGCATAAAGAATCATGGCGTGTCTTTATTTTACTTACCTCTGTAACAATAAGGTGGACATCTTGTCTACCACCCTCTTCTTGATCTCCAACGTTCTTGTACTTGATTTTCGAGCCAGTACGTAGACCAGGTTTGATATTAGCTTCTAACGTCACGTCCTGGACGGTCCGCTTTCCGTTCGCGTCAAACGTTTTGCTCCTCGTTGTCACTTTCTTGGTTGTTCCACGGTTGATTTCTTCAAGTGTGAGCGGCAACTCCTTTTCGACCACCGTCGGTTCTGGAGTCGGGGCGCGGCGAGACTGTTGGTAAGAACCGGCGCCCGGTCCACGAGAAGTTCTTGTACTCGGACCAAAACCACCGCCGAGGCCACCGCCGAGGCCACCACCACTGAACATGTGGAAGAAGTCATCGTCTCCCATTCCACCGGAGGATTTGGCGAAGTTCCGGAAAATATCATCGGCAGAACTGAAGCTGAAGCCTCCTCCTCTACCACCACCTTGTCCCGTGGTGAAGTGGAATGTACGTGTCCCACCACCAGGCATTCCTCCGAATGGAAATCCTCCAGGCATGCCGCCCTCGAAAGGACTACCACCAGGACCACCGCCGGCGGATGGAGGCGGACCACCACGGAGAAGGTATTCGAGACCGAATTGATCGTAGATCTTGCGTTTTTCAGGGTCGGAGAGTACCTCGTACGCTTGAGAAACCTCTGTACAGAAAATCAGTCAACGGTTCCAAATCTGAGGGCAACATAGAAGGATAAGAGGATTATTTCATTACATACCTTTGAACTTCTCTGAAGCGTTCGGGTCATCCTTGTTCTTATCCGGATGCCACTTCAACGCGGCCTTCCGGTAAGCCTTCTTGATATCATCTTGTGAAGCGTCGGGCTTTATGCCCAACGAATCGTACAACTTTGTTTCGGCAACCATGGTCCAATATATAGGAGTTCAGGAGTACAGATTGAAAAGGGAGAATGGATGAAATTAGGAATCGACTCCTATGTGAAGGTATCGTATCCTTAAGTGTTCTCTCTCGAATAACAAAGGGATAAAGAGAATAAAGGGAAACTAAATTAAGTACCAATCGGGACAAACAAATGCGGGAAAAGAGAGGCAAACGAGGGTTTATATTGGGAATCGTGAGACTCGTAAATGAGAATAATGTGACACCAAGACAGCGGACCGGGAGTCGACGTATAAGAGTGCCAGCGTAGCCTCAGACAATCTCGAATGACGTAGAAGATTCTCGGGAAGGGAGGATACAGGCAATTGAGATCCCTGTCCTCTTTCTCGTTCCGTTGGGTTTCTTTCTCTTTTCCTCGCCTGCTGTGTGGAGGGATTGAGATCGCAGTACTCTTCTCGAGCGCTTGCCGTGGGAGAATTGGGAGTCTGCAAAAGAGAAAGCAGTGGGAAACGAGGGGATTCCTCGCTGGGCCGGAGAAGATAAGAGCGGTGACGTGTGACGTTGACGGTCATGGAAGGTTCTAGAAGGTTCTACCGCTCAAACCGGGCTGAACCACGGGGTTTCCTCGGAGCCTACTGGGCAATTAGCCATTTCGAGTCAATTGCGTATAGACATCCCTTACTACAGAGTACGCATGTCCTTGTTGGGCTGTATGTTGTGTCACATTTCGGGCTGAAGTTACCTGCGGGGTGCGGATAATATTAGCAATTAACCTTTTGCGGAAGCTCATCCCACTTCGGCCCAAGATCTAGCACGTGCACGATACTGCCCTGTGCAGCATGCGCGCCTGCAGGCAGAACAGGGATATCTTGCGACAGAATAAGCCTCCAGCAGACGTCGAGTAACTACCATTTCATTTTATAAATAAGAGAGTAAATTAATACAAATGAAGACACTTTCAAGGGCAACTGGGCGGAACTGCAATGACCAATGATTCCTGTACGCCAACATCAACCTGCCTGAACTATCACTCAATGAAACCACCAAAAGGGAACGAGGCCAACAAGAAAGGGTATGTCCAATTTTAGACAAAATCAACTCAACTCATGTGGACATGGAACAGGTATCTCTGGCGAATCTGGGCAACATCGTACACAATGTACTCGTTGTACATCAGCGAATATGTACCACTGCATTCCGGGGGAGCTTTGTCCGGCATTTTCACGCCTGCAAGGTCAGGGTGAACACAGCCAGCATCCCTCCAAGTTGGCGGAGCAGTCGAACCGAGACCAAGAGTTGAGAACGATCCGTTCCTCCTTGCATCCATACCAGCATTGTAATTAGCGTTAATCTGTTCGAACAGAGGCTTGCCAAGCTCAACTTCACAAAGCAGGAGCAGGCCCATATTCGCGCTGATATGGGCCCAGCAATAGTTTGCGGATTTGCTGGACATGTCAGCGAAGTAGACACCCTTGCCAAACATGTAGCCGCTAACAGGTGCCTCGGGAGGTGCGATACGCAGGCCTTGGCTGAGGATACCGCCGTAGTTAGTGCTACGGGATCCGTGCCAGAGAAGGCGGCGGTCGCTCTTTTCTTTGTCGAATTTGGAGAATTCGGATGCCATGAACCGTTCCTTTTCGCCTGCGCGTTCAATACGAAAGATATCGATAATCTAGCATGCATCCAATCAGTATACAGTCGAAGGTTCTCAGATCCGTGATTGGCAAGCTTACGCTGTAACGCAGGCAATGCGTCGCGCCGTGCGTTCCAACAAGGTAGCTCTCAAGTTCCCGAAACTCTGCAGAATTGCGGTCCACTGCCCACGATTTAGTCCTGTTAAGCATACAGACATGCATGGATACAGCTTCGGAGAACTTACATGGCGTCATTTCCTTTAAACCCAGGCCCTGGAACTGACGATCAAGCTGGTTGACCATATCATCATTTGATTCCTTCATGATACCGTTCGCAACCTCCATGTCAGACAGAGCCTCTAGAAGGTCAATTTCCTTCTTAATCTGAGCATCAGTGTTCAGGACCGGGGGCCGATTGCGGCCGAAGGCGTGCGGGATAGTTGTGAAATAGCGATTGCTCAGGTCTTCAGCCGCAGTGTCAAAGGTACTTCCATACGTGGTACTGGCTAGACTAGGTCGGGCAATGAGTTCCGCCAGGTCCTTCAGGATCTGGTAACCGCTTGTGAGGGTCCGTTTGCTCAGCTTGCCCAAGGGCAGTTTCTGAGCGTCATAGGACATGGAAGCCATCGCAGACAGGAAATAATCCTGGTTGAAGATAAACGCCATGAGATTCTGAACGGGCTGTGGCAGAGTTGACGCGACTTCCTTTTTACCATTCTTCTTTTCCTTTCCGCTGTCATCCTCCTCCTCATCATCATCTTCTTCATAGTTCTTCTCAATAAATGTGTATTTGCCCCTTTTAGGGGGGTCCAACCGATCGTCCCATTTGAGACCAGATTTATCTTTAAATTTCTTCTCAAAGTCGGCCTTCGCCTTCGCCAAACTGCCATCGCCCAGGATCGCACTCTGACCGAATTCTCCAACCCGACCCCAGCGCGTCCAAGTTTTGTAGTCCACCCCGTTCCTGAGGAGCTGGATACGGTAAAACTTGTTGTTGTTATTTGCCGCATTTGTCTGGTTTAATGTGGCATCCCAGATGAGGCCTGAATCATCAATGAAGACCTCGTAACTCGCTGTGCAACTGTGAGAAGCACTCTTTATATAGGTTGCGAAAATACGGCACGGATAAGAACCACCTACCTTTGAGGTTACAAGCCTCATCGACCTCCACTTTCAACGACTTTGATACTGCCTTCTGCCCATCCTTCAACTTTTTGTTAGGCTTCTCCTGGCTGGACTTGACCTTCTCCTCGCTAGGCCCCCGTTTTATACCGCTCGTCTTGCCTCCATTGGAAGCATATTTGGTACCGTTCTTCGAGGCATTGTTTGGGCCAGAGTCCGAGCCAAGCAGGTAGTCCTGTTCGGGTAGGGGTTTCTTGGCGCTCCCAGACTCAATAAGCCACTTCAGGGAGACGATGCTGCATTTGGGAAGATCGGAAGCTTGCTTGACTGTTTACGTGGGTCGACATGGGGTAAGTGACCGTGACGCGTGATGGATGTCGAACAGCAAAACAATCTGAACGATGGAAAACGCACACTTGGCCCCCTTCCTCTTTACCTCATTTTCCGTTGTTATGAGGTGAGTACATTCATCTGTGACAGTAGATGCAAATGATGCTCCACATTTTTCTTCGATGATGGTCTTGAGATCGGCTGGACATGATGACAAAAATGGAAAGAAATGGGCGGTCAGTTGATCAGCTTACTGTTTGGGATACCTATGAACGTATTTCCAGCTCACCTTGTTTGTAGCCAGGGAATGTCCCAGACACAGCAATCACAAATTTCTTGAAAGAGTGTGGTGCCATTGTCTACAGGAAGAGCCCAAGGATACAATAAATCTAAGGGAGTATGCGCCTCAATGCCAAGAAAAACAAGCCAAGTGAATGAAATGTGACAGTGATGAGCAGCTGTGAAGTGATGGTCCAGGGCAGTGGAGTCTGTTCCCAGGGTAGATATCTACCTAGAGAGCATTGCAGAAGTTACAGAAAGAAAGGGAGGGAAAAAATAAGCAGAAAGAGAAGCAACAGAGAAGCAGTGCACCCAGCGCCCTTTTTAAACCTGCGGGAACCTCCCGCTTGTATTCCTGATCTCAAGCTGATTACTGGCATCGCAGCAAAGGCCAACTGCTGCCTTGGAGCTTGGTAGGAATGGGGGCCAATGGGCACAGCGCGGTTGGCCCGGAGCTTCCCCTGGCTGCCAGGCACCCGTGCACGTGCCTCCCAAGGATATGGAATTGCTCAGGACATAACCCATATACGAAATACGCACAGCTCCTGTATTCACATCTATTGCCTCCAGCAGCTGGTTGCTCACCATCACCAAAACCAAGAAAAAACAAGATACAGACCAATCGTCCCACAGAGTTAACCCACACGCCTGCTCGCTAAGCAAAAGAGGCTGATTTAAAAGGGGAAGGAATATGAAGGATGAGTAGACAAAGAGGAACGGAAGAAAATGTATAGAGTAACATAGAAGTGGCAAAAGACATACACCAAGTAGTACATGAACGCATCCAAACATCGAGATCCACCCTAGACATATATCTTCCAGTCGTAACTGGAGTTATTTGCATCCAAATGATATCATCCAAAAGACAAAAGAAATAAGTTGCGTGTAGACACATTTCGCATGCCAACATGGCAAGTCAAACAGATACGGCACGACGCGATTTGTCAATTCAGATTGCAACTGCCGTTTCCGAGTGGCCCTTTGCCAGCTCCTCATGGTCGTCAGGCTTTACCTCTTTCTCCTGCTCACTCGACTCGGATGATTCAGGAGCATGGGGGATGGGTTGTACTGTGTGCAGTTCCTCCTTCTCGGAAGAGACCGAGAGCCTGGCGGTAGAATGGGCTTCCTCCTGAGCAACCTCCACTTCCTCCTTCTTTTCGGAAGAGACAGAGAGTCTGGTAGGTGCAACGTGGGGTTCTTCATGTGCAACCTCCACCTCCTTCTTTTCAGAAGCGATAGAAAGTCTGGCAGGTTCAACGTGGGGTTCCCCCTGAGCAACCTCCACTTCCTCCTTCTCGGAAGAGGTAGAGAGTGTGTCATGTGCAACGTGGGGTTCTTCATGTACAGCTGGTGTATCTTCGGCAATGGCATCGGTCTTAGCTGCGTTATTCGTCAAAGAAACCTCGGTAAAGCCGTCCATGGAGGCGCGGTGGTCCTCTTCGCTTAACTTTGAATCTAGGGCGAGGGGCTCACTGGTTTCCAGAAGCGGGGAGGCAGGGGAGGCAGGGGAAACAGGCGAGGTTGGTTGGCTTGCCATAGAGGCGCTCGCAGGGCGTTGCGGGTTGCGGGGTGGGAGAGGAGGAGGCGGGCCGCGCTTGGGAATAGTCACCAGTTTTGCTCGTGTAAACGTGGGAGACTGACTACCGGATTCTGGAGCAGTCGTCTGAGGTTCGACATGGACACTGGTTTCCTCGGCGTTGTGGGTCGAGACAGCTGTGCTGCTCGCATCATGTACTTCGACATCGTAAAATTCATCATTGTCCTCGTCATTGCTCTTCTGGTCATGTCCCTTTCCACTTGATATAGCTTCCAAATTTCCATCTGCCTTGTTCAAGGGACTGGCCTCCAGGATACTCCTGGGAGACCCCTTGGCTGACGATGTCACCGCGGCAATTGATTTTTCATCCGTCTGAACACCCCTGTCTGTGCTCGTGTGGCTAACGTGGCTTGTCACACTACCACGCCAGCTATTCCGCGAGGAGCCATAGACGGAACTGCTGACAGCAGGCTTAAACTCGAATGCGTCCTGGCTTGGTCGCTCTTTTGACCCGGCTTCTCTAATGAAAAACCCCTCAGCCTCGAGTGCCTTTACCCCGTACGGGTCAGGATCATCAACTGCCGGGATACCAAAGGTGGCGCTCCCAGGAGGCAGCACCTGCATGTCTCCCGGTGTTTGTCCTGGAGAAGGAATGGCATTCACATCAACGTCGGAATCTCCCTGTGCAGCCTTGACGGTCTGCAAGAGAGGTCTGACTTCGAACGGGGGATGTCTGATCTTGCCTGCGAGGATTTCATCGACGGAGTAACGCCCATTGTAGAATCGCTCATTTTCATCGACCCGCTCAACGATAACGGTCCCGTCCACCTGCGCTCCTGCATACAGACCGCGACTTTTCATATATGTCCAGATGGGCTGCTGCCGCTTATGGACTTCTGTATCCAGGACACCCCCCACGCCAACAGGTCCCGCTGCGGCGCTGATTTCTCCTCCTAATGTGCATCGGAACAGCTTGAAGGCCTTCAACGCTTCGTAGTTATTGATGACGATCACACAGTCGTAGATATCGACGCCAGCCAGAAACCCGATGCCAGCCGTATGTAGTAGAATGCCGGAAGGAGGACTCCACTCGCCGGTCTCGGGGATACGCGCCAGAAGGACACCACTTCCACCCGAACCACTCACCCAGAGACCAGTGCGCATGGTCGTGAAGATACAGAGTCCCTTTGCGTTCTTAATGACCTCGGTGGGGATCTTTTTCAACACCCGTTGTTTGCCCTTGGGGCCTTCCTCGTTGCCGTACTTTCTGTCCTCAACATTGCCGTAGAACCCGTCTTTGCAGAAACTGCGAAGGATACGGGCCGCTTTGTCGCTTTCCTTGTCCAGCGTCATTGGCCAGAAAGCCTCGCAGCCGACCTTATTGGAAAGGCGGTTGACTGGGCCTCCCAGCTTATCCATTGCATCCCATGCCTTGTCAAACCCCTTCTTGCCGAAGCTGTAGCTTTTCTTGCCAAAGCTCAGGGTCTTTTCCCATCTAGTTGGCTCTCGTTGGGGAGGCATTGTGACGGTGACGGTGGTTCAGACGGCGGGGTGACCAGACGAAACAGGAGAAGACGGCCCGGAGGCGATGGCTTGCAGCCAGGAAGAGCGTGAGGCAAGGTTCAACGGGGAAAAAATGAAACGTAAGAACAGTCTAGATCCGAACTTCAGCGATAGGAAAGAATTCGAATCGCTACACTCGTAGCGAACATGAGTCGTGCAGACTAGGTCGTGAACCTGAAGGAGAATGGCGGCCGGAGCCTCCTCGGTTATGGCATATACGACGGATTGGAAGTGGGATTCATCAGTCGAGAGAGTCTGGAAGGAGGAAAATATGCCGCGTCAGACGGCGGGAATGGAGGAGAAAAAGAGAACGAAGAATGGATCCGGGAGTGATCCGCAACTGAGTTTTGGATTCCAAGAACAAACACCGAGGGGTGGCGATCCGGTTGAACCGCAAGGAACCGGCAGCTGTGAGCAGGGCCAGACCGTGGACTCGCGGACGGCCCGGACTTACAAACAGTGTAGAAGAAAGGCACCGACTCGAGAGAAGAAAGGAGGCAATATAACTGCCGTCATGCTGGGAGAAGTTTAATCATTGCTGGGTTCAGGTATGTTATATGGCCCTGAGAAATTATGTATACGCGTTATGTACACCAGAGCAGCCACTGACACGCACGAAGCGACAGCCTCATTAAAATTAACCTGTCCGTCTTATTATTATTGGCATCGAATACGGCTCAGCCGGAAGAGCAGTTCCAGCGCTGAGAGTGTTGAGCCGTGTATGGCGGGGCTGTGCTACATGGGATGGTACATCTCATCTATCATATGTAGCGTCATCCTACTTAAAGCTGACACGGGAACGAACAATTCAACTACCCTCAACATCAACATGAAATGTCTATTATCCATTACATCTCAAGCCTCAAGGGATTGATACTCGGTAGATCTGGCTGCAGGCAGACTCGGATGTTCGGATGTATTTCTATCCTCACTGACTGCATCCTTCAAAGAATCCATGGATGCAGTTTCTGGTATAAAAGAAAGTGTCCAATTAATAATATTAATCTGCGGATTATAAGCTCATTCCTGTGGAATTACCCTGTCAGATTTAGATTTCTCTTCCGGATGGATCTCGCCAAGTTGTCACCACCCGCATTCGCCAGATCTAATCGTGCTGGAAGAGGGAAGAAAGCACTGCCTATACTCAGCGACATGCCCACCATTCTTCGTATTTTCTATTACAATGAGATCGTACATAGACATCGTCAGATGACATTAAATAGCAGAGATCTGGATAATTAAGAAAATTAAGATCCGCATGTGCAATACTACGGCTATCCTACGGGTACACAGTCATTTTGTATATATTTGACCCGCTTCATGAGCACAGTTCAACAGTTCCAGTTTTTGGCAATATTTTGCATTCTTGTACAATCTTATAACACCTTGGACTTGTATTCGGACTGAGTTAGCGCTAGACTGAAAGATAACCAGAACATCAAAGCAGCAGCATAAGGACATGGAAAACAAAACAAGGCCGAATATAGTATCCACGGTCGGTAATGTCCAAGTTCAATCGCCAGCTACGATACACAACGTATTACAAGGAACTCTCAAAAAGACAACTTGATATATATAGAGGTATACCCTTCAAGATTGACGACGGCCTGTCAGAAAAGGCCTTAGTCCGGCCTAAACGGCGGGACTCTTTCGCCTTCGCTTCCTGCCTGTTTTCTCATCCCCCCCAGAGCCTACAGTCAGAAAGGAATTGGCTGTACTTTGGCTGCTCGACATAGTATTCGCACTGCGCTGTTTTGGGCGGATCGGAGTCACTTTGGTATTGCTGAGAGATAACCTAGACTTGTATGTTTGATCTGACAGGGTCTCTGGCTCCTGCTCATTGCTCTGCGAGCTGTTGAGCTTCGGCTCTCTTTTGTACCGACGAGCTGGAGAGGAAGTCTTCGACACGAGGAACCGACTCAGTTCGATTCTTAATGTCGTGAATGCTGTGGTATCCGGTTCCAGTTCATCGATTGTGGGTGTCCGTGATACCAGGCAGTACATGGACGCAGCAAGATTCAGAAGAGCCGATAATATAGGAACTGCCTGCTTGACCACCATCTGCATGTTCCGAGATGTATAGATACTTAGGCAAACGCCTAGCAGAGAAAGACAGATGGCAATGCGTTGTCGGTGCATATACAATTGTTTCCAGGCTTCTTCCCGAGCCACATGAAGCTTACGGGACTGCTCCCACTCTTCTTCACGAGCCGCATTGAAAAGTTAGCGAGGTTTTATCTTGTAGAGGAACTAAAAGATACATACCTTCGTAGTGCTTGAGAACTTCATGGGCTTCTGGATTGCGAAACCTATGCCAGCGGTTTGTTATGCAGCTCTGACAAGGGAAACGACGTTTCGCTCTGCGACATTCAGCATGGCAGCCTTCTTCCTGAAATTCAGCATGCTTCAATCGAGCCTCCCAGAAAGGACGGAGATGGCCGTCGTCACTGTAAGGATCATACGTTGTTAGCCAATCCAACCATCGATGAATCACTTTTCGTGCCTCTTCTTTCTCGCCATAGAAATACTCGATATGTTCTTTTTGGCACGTGCAGGTGTACCGGATGCTGCGGTACTGCAACTCACGCTGCGCAAGCTTCTCTAGGTGTGCGTAAAAGCGGATTTTATCCTTGTTGATATTTTCCGTGTCCCAAGACTCCTTAAACTTGCAGGCACTGAAATATTCGCTGTATTTCCTTTGTGGTGGATCCTGAGACTTTCCTATTTTGTAGAACCCCTCCTCGTCTTCATCATTATGGAAAATGTAGACGTATCCTGGCTTAGGTGGCTTGCCTTCCTTGCCTATCTCATCTTGGCAAAACATTGTCATGACTTTTCTGATCCGCTTGTCGCTGCGGGTTTCTTCTGACCAGTGAGCGTCCGTGATCGGGCAGTCAGAATCGACATCAGATCCTTGTGGAAGGCCAGTAGCCTTGGAGGCATAGTCATATTCTTCAGTGGATTCCCTGGGATCTTCATTTCCGATGTAGTTTTGGCCTGTCCGGATGGCATGGGATTTATCCTTGAAGACGGCGAAAATATCGCCGGTATTTCTGTCATCTTTTCCATCTTTTTCAACCAAATGTGACCCCCGTTTTTGCTTCAGCCCGATGCCTCCATCATTCTTGTCTCGTTTCGCACGGGTCAGCGTGATGGGTGATTCGCTGAATCTATCCCGAACTTCGTTCTCATATTCAAGTCCGGTGTCATCGTCACCAACTTCTGTGCCTGGGGTGTCACCTGGCGAGTCTGGTTGTTGTGAAAAAGTCATGCTCGTAACAGATTCATCATCAGAATCCTCTTCATGCTTTCCGGAGTCGCCGTTAACGTCTTCGCCATATTTATTTCTGGATTCTTCGTAGGTTTCACCATCAGTTATGTTGTCATCTTCATCAGAGCTGGAGGCCGGTATAAAGTTGTCTTCGTGCCGCTCTAAAGACCTCTTCTCTCTCGAAGATCTTTGCAAAATGCCTCGTCTTGCATTCTTGTTACTTGGGGCACTGTATTGCCAATGGCGAATCATTTTCTAGGGTAAGAATGACAGGGCATGGGAAATGAAAACAGAAAAGAACAATTGCACTAGGAAGCAAGATGTATGAAACTGTCTTCATTTATTTATTTCTACCCTTATCATCCTCCAGTAAAGACAGTACCTTGAGCTCCGCCACGGGGACAGGAAACGAAAGGCTGGGATTGCAGTAGTATGCCATGCAGGTGGGCAGAGACTTACCTAAATATAGGAAAAGACCAAATTACCAGAATCCTTCTGTTAACCGATATAACCCTAACCGGACTGTCCCCATATGACAAGGCCATCGGCCTCAATGACAGTGATTGAATCAATTGCACAATGACTCCGGCAATATCCTAGTATCAACGTCCATAGGCTGCTTTCATAATGGTTAGCTACCACAACATAATGCGATTGGCCCTATTAACGGTAAATATCGACAGGGGAAGAAAATGCCCTGCAGGCATGCCGTTTTTTCCCGGAAGCACCGAGTGCTAGCAGGGATTTGATGAGCACTCTAACCATCCCAGTTACATTGCATTGCATGTCGATAGGCGCATTAGTTGGTAGGAATGCATCTAGCGGCGCGGAGGCTATGCCTAACCGCAACGAATGAGAAGGGCTGAATGTCCGATAAAAGTACTTTCAATCTCTCAGGCGCTTATCCCTGCTTTCCTGTGGAGATTAACTCCAAACCAGTAGATAGATGGGTCCAAGAAGGTAGACTGGTACATGTATCAAAATATCAAAACGATAAAAAAGAGCATATGGATGGGCCTGGACTTGAAGTAGAAAGGAAGGGAAGACACGGTCAGATGGAGAAGTCATTTTTATTTCTGCCCCATTAGGCTAGCATGTAAAAGAAAAAAAGGCACGGGGCTATGGTGGTCAGAAAAGCGAGGGGCTGGGGGTCGCGCAGCATACAGAGCTGTAGATATCTGATTCGAATAACCGCGCTATTCGCCAATATTTGGGAATCTGGTCCTGCAGCTGCATAGTGCTATGAGATAATAGCCAGAACAGATATGCCCACTGAGTCAGTTGAAAAGACATTGTATTTGCCTAGATCAGTCAAGAAAGTCGTGGCTGGTATGGGGATACCGTCAGTGCTAGGTTGCTACACTCAAGCCAGGATGAGCTGCCAGTTGAGGGCTGCCGGATCACGTGTTACAATATATCACTCGGATCTCTGTAGGCCCGAACATCAGCACGCTAGACCAAATAAAGGATCAGTACAGTCCGTGATTTCGTGTCCGACGGGAGCGGATCGCAGTCGGCATTCCAGCTATTCTAGAGGGGAGAGTTGTTTATTATCAGATGGATTCGACATAATCTTTCCAATTAGACTGGCACATGCATTATTATACGGAATAGCATATGCACGCTTTCATTCCACTGAGAGTACGCCCGACTTGCATGACTAGCCACCTCGTAATCATGTCCATGGACCAAGTGCCAAATCTATACCTGGGATTCTTCCAATAGTCCTGTCTGGCACAGCATGTAACATGCAGGACTCCAAAATCCGTTTTGGGGTCTCGAGAATTTGAAAACAATCGTCAAAGAAAGTGGTATACAGACGGATTAAACAGAAGAAAGCATGGCAATAAACTTCCTCTTTCTATCCATTCTACAGGGCACCAAGTTCCTTTAACTTGCCAATAAGTCCGTCAACATCCTCAACCTTGCCGCCACCTTGACGTGGTGGGGGTTCTGTAGCAGGGAATGTGTGTTAGATGCCGCCGATATAGAGGAATCACAAGATAACATACCAGTGACCTTGATCGTCTTCAACCGCTTCTTGTCCTCAACGCCGAAATCTTCTAGCTTCTTCTTCTCCAATGGCTTCTTCTTCGCCTTCATGATATTCGGCAAGCTGGCATAGCGCGGCTCGTTCAACCGCAAATCCGTCGTGATGACCATGGGCAACTTAGTGCGTAGTGTTTCCACACCACCATCAACCTCACGAGTCACTTCGATAGTGCCATTCTCATCTTTAATCTCCACCTTGCTGGCCTGTGTCGCCTGGGGCCATCCGAGGAGACCAGCGAGCATCTGACCCGTCTGGCCCTGATCACTGTCGATGGACTGCTTTCCGACGAAGACAAGATTGATATTCTCCTTCTTGACGACAGCCTGCAGCAATTTGGCCACAGTAAGGGGCTCCAGCCCACCGACTTCATTCTCGGGTACTTCGACGTGAAAGGCTCGGTCCGCGCCCATGGCCATGGCGGTACGGAGGGTGTCACTGCATTTGGGACCGCCGGCGGAGAGAGCGAGGATATTTTCAACCTTCAGCGGTCCCTTGCGTTCGCGGAGTCGAACGGCTTCCTCGACGGAGAGTTCATCGAAGGGGTTCAGGGAATGCTTGAAACCGGCTGTTTCGACGCCCGTTTGGGTCTTGTTGATGCGGGGTTTGATCTATGCGGTTTGCGACACGGCAGGAGATGGCCCATTAGCTCATACTGAATTTTATCCAGCATCAGGATTTCAAATTGGAGGCGGTCGCATAGGTGCGACATGTTGTACAGTATGTTGTAGGTGGTCCTCTGCATCGTTCCGAAATGCGGAGGCAGGTAAAAGAACTTACCGTAAAGTCAATCACCCGTTTAACGGGTACTAGAATCCGTAGTCCACTGGCCATGGCTGCGTAGTATATGCGATGAAGAAAATCGAACGGCCGATTCCCAGAGGCAGAAAAGACAGGAGACGGCCAGGTGAAGTGCAGTGGGAGAGACAGACCGAGAGAGCGGGAAGTTGGACGAGGTCCGGGGAAGAAGAAGACTCGAGAGCCGAGCCGATTTCTCTGTTTCCGCTTCAAACCGAGGTTATTCGTTTCCGACTTTATACTACAGTTAACTGCATCTCTTTAATAATATACATATGAGTATCTTCATTTTGACCTTGGAGCACAGATTGGATTACAGAGAGACCGTTGAATGTTACCTAGGAAGCAACCTAGAGAAACAACCTCAGCTCGGTATACGCCGTAGCATCCAACAACTACATTGTCCTGCCAGGCTGTGCTTTCTGGAAGCTTTCATCCTCACTCCATCGTTCAACTTCTGCGCACTATTAATAATATCAGAGTCTTCCAAGAGCCAAAAGCCACAGGCAAGAAATTACAGTGCGCAACTCTCCCCCACTCTTGGCAACTGGAATTTTGCTGCCTGCGTCTGGGCACTAGACAGATGCCTATACTGCTGCACAGCATGTCGTCCTTCAGAAAAAAATCTTCAGATAAGGATGCACTAACAGCTCATTTCTAACGGACGTTACTTTTCTCGTTGGAAGCAGAGATACGATATCCCGCGTTCTACCTTGACGGAGAGCTTTCTACGCACTCCACACCCGCATATCACTCTCCCATTAACTGCAATCATATGTCTCTTGGTACGGAGACACTGATCTAGGGCCGACGAGAGATGGCATGGTCATCAATATGGCTAGCTTTTCACATGGGAGGATGAACGCAGGTGGAGTGGTTTCTGCGGCGGTTGCTACCACATCCAGTGTGGCGATGCAGCAAGAGCAAAGCCGGTAATTTATTATAAAACTAATCCAGCCAGCTGTCTGGGGCAAGACAGCCTGCAGCTAGTAGGATTCTCCCGCTTCCCTTGAGGAGAGCTTGGCAATCAGACTCTGGGGATTCTCCGACCCCGTTTGGGGTATAATGTCGCATGACAATGATAAGATCTGCGGTCCGATGTCTAAATCTGACAGCCAGATGGAGCAAATCATGAATTGACTGCTATTTCATCTCCAACATTATACATATCACTACCACCAGATGGGGTGTTGTACTGCCCCGATCTTGGCATACGAACAGATCTGCACTGGACCGGCATTGCAGGATTGACCGTTCAGTTGAATTCATACCTATCGGGAAGATTAAAACCCGTCTGCCTATTCTATTTTTGCCATGTCCTTTGAGTTCAAGAGATTTCCAAGATCAATGACCTCAAGTCTGCAGCATGTCCTGTACATTGCAGTTCACTGCCACCCAGGCACGGAGCCTCTTGGCATCAGGGAATCTTGGCCCTCTCGACAGCTCACTTGAAAGAGATCAGCGACTGCGTGGGGAGGAGAAAAGTCACGGACGTAACTGGTGGAAAAGCATATATAGGGAACTTGACTCCCGATCCTCAGCTGTATTCGAGCATCACAAAGCCAGCAGTTATCATCGTGCAACCTTTTATACGCACTACCCTGTACCATTCATCTCAGTCAATTCAATTGCGTGAAAACCCCGTTGAAAACATACTAGGATGAATTTGTCAAAGCTTCTTTACCTGTCGGCCCTGCTTCTCGCCTCTCTCGCCGCGGCTGCTGAAATTGACTCCGACGACGTCCCATCCCAATGCCAGGAAGTATGTGCACCTGTCGTCAGCCTGGCTGCCTCTTGCGATGCCCAATACGATGATGATGACCGTGGGGAGAAGAACTGCATTTGCTCCGACTCCACTTCGGCTACCAACATTCCACTGTGCGCTTCCTGCATCTCTCAATTCAGTCACGATCGTGACGACAACGGTGGGTTATTCTCTTTTCATCTAATTGCCCCCTCTACCTAGTCCCTTCTAATTACTATTTAGATGCAAACGATCTCGTGAGAGATTGCTCCTTCACAACCACGTCATACAACCCAACTTCAACTTCGTCGGCTACCGGCACCTCGACTATTACAGTCTCGAGCAGCAGTACTTCTACAAGCTCCTCGCAGACCAGTACTCGTGGAAATGTTGTCACGACTACCGTTACAGCTACATCTAGTGCTACTGAAAATGCGGTTGGGATGGTCCCGGAGCCAGGAGTGGGACTTCTCGGTTCAGTTGTTCTTGGACTGTTTGTGTTCCTGGGTATCTGAAAAGCAAAAGTCAGCCACGAACGTATATTGGTAGTGTACAGAGTATCCCATGGTAGTTTGTATTTAAGATAGCGACAGATCACTGTGATGTCGAGACGTGCAGGCAAGGAAGTATAGGGTATTAGGGCTATAAGGATAACGGTGTTGAGTTTACTTGACAATTCGTTTTCTATACTGTCTGGTTTGGCTGTAGACTGCAACTCCTATGATATACTATAGTGATATAGTAGATATCAGGGTTTTTATGAGGAATGGAACATTGTGAACCTTATTTGATTATAATATTTCTACATCTTTATCAAGCGGAAGTCTTGGCACAGTTCCTCCAGAAAACGCTATGCCTATTACAGTAAGCGCCGTTACACGTAATATTATCAGAATCTCCAAGCTTCTCTGATCATTTCCATTTCATTTTCCCTCTTGCAGGCCGTCTCATGCTTCCCTTCACTCCAACCAACTCCATCATCTCCAGCACGCATCCACCATCTACAAAAGCCGGGTACGATGACATAATTCGCACGATTTCAATTACACTACACCATAAATATTTCCAAAAAGTTGACTCGCCAAGGCGGACTCCCAACGCCGTCGCGTACAATGTCGGATTATTCAACATGGAAAGTCGCCGATCTGAAGGCGGAACTGAAACGACGCGGCATTCCCCAGACAGGACTCAGGGTTAAACAGAATTTCATAGATCGGTTGCTGGAGGATGATAATGAGGAAAAGAGTGGTGCTGCTGCAGCGATTGACGCGGCGCCTGATGATGTAGCTTTGGCGGGGAAAGGCGCAGAAGATGCGGCAGAGGCGGAAGAATCCAAGCCGACTGAGACAATCGCGGAGGAGGAATCGCAGGAGTCTCCGGATCAAAAAGCAGACGGGGAGAAGGGTCTGGGAGAGGTTGAAGGCGGCGCGGCGGATACAGCGGACGTCGCCCCAGAACAGGTTAAATCGAAGCCTGAGACTGCTTCAGAGCATGCTGTAGAGTCGAAAGCCGAAATCACAACAGAACAGACAGTTGGTGCGAAAGCCGAAGGTGCGATTGATCAGACCTCCGAGCGCGAGTCCGAAACCCGGAATATTCCCACTGCTGAAGCGGTCGAGCAGGCTCCCGATACAGCAGTTGGACCGGAGTCTACACCCGCAGGGCCAGACGTTAAAGGAAACGGAGAGGTCGAGGCGGAAGCTCCGCCGCAAGAAGCGACAGCGCCTGGTCAAACCTCTGGGGATGTTGCTCCCGAGCAACCCCCTGAACAAGCTACAGCGCCTGGAACCGAATCACCCACACCCGTACCCGTGGAAGAAACCATTGAGGATGCGCGTAAACGAAAGCGTCGCAGCGTGACCCCTGCTCCGACTCCGGAAGATATTGCTAAGAAAAGGCTTAGAAGTATGGAGGAAAGCCCTCGAAGGACATGGCCAGAAGACGAAAGAGGCGCATCCATTTCCGAAGGGTTGCGAGGCAAAAAGGCTCGCGATGCCCGTTTCAAAGGTCTCTTTGCTGCACCTGAGCCGGACCCGATACGGCCTGCGTCTCCTTCAGGTGACGCGGCGATGGATGCCACGGAGGTTGAGCCGGCATTGCACGTTGCGACGGCGGCTCTCTATATTGACGGCTTGATGCGTCCACTGCAACCAGCTTCGCTAAGAAATCATCTCGTTAATCTGGCGTCGCATCCTGGAGACTCGCCCAATCCGGACGTAATCCTAGATTACTATCTGGACCCCGTCAAGACTCATTGTTTCGTTAGTTTTGCCAACGTATCTGCTGCGTCACGGGTCCGTTCGGCGCTTCAAGGCACCGTCTGGCCCAATGAACGGAACAGGAAGACGTTGTTCGTTGATTTCATTCCCGAAGATAAACTGCAGGAATGGGTCCGTGTTGAAGAAGACTCTCAGCGTCGGGGTGGCCGGGCACCTCGATGGGAGGTCAGATACGATTCTACCGACGGCGGTGTCGAGGCCGTTCTGCGGGAGGTCGATCCCACAGCTTCTGCGCAGCGTACGCGCGAACCGATTACCACACGACCACCACCCCTTGGCCCTCGCGCGAGCTTTGCCGATCGGGATCGCCGTCCTATCGCCCCTCAGGGCGCAGATAATGGGTCGCGACCGGGACAGGGCTTCAAGGCATTAGACGAGTTGTTCCGCTCGACCACAACGAAGCCAAAACTCTACTATCTGCCCGTACCGCGAGATGTGGTTGACCGACGTCTGGACCGATTTGATGACCTGATCCGGAAGGGGTCCTATCCTCGCCGTGGTGGAGATGACATGAGACGGATCACATTTGAGGACACAGACGTGTTTGTTGACAATGGGCCGGAGTTTGGAGGCCGCAACCGCGGTCGCCGACGAGGTAGAGGGATGGGTTCAGAGTTTCGAGGCAGACGCGGGGGATTTGGAGATTCATGGAGGAGGGACAGGAACTAGGTGTGCTGAAAACAGCTTTCTCTGGTTCCCATTGATCTTGGAAGATTACTTGTGTCGTTGAGGCGCCGGCTGTCTTGCGCATGGGCTAATCTTTTCTGTGGGATTTTACTCTCCTGCTGAGGTGCATTCTACTGCTGCGTTATTGTACTATATGATACCTATAATGTAGGCCAAATTTTTTAAAAAACCAAATGGCATATATACTAGCAACTGATCCACGACACATAAAGACACGAGCTCGCATTCCATTCCTCATTCGGCTACGCACGTGAGGAGCATGTCAGAATTTAAGCGCAGCCGAAATGATCCTCGCTACAACAGCCAGGCAATGATGGCGCAGACACTTCAGCAGTTAAGAATAGAACGCAAAACAGCTTCGTCAATGCAGCACAGCCCGACTCGACCCACTAGGCGCCATTGTGATCCAAGCGCCTGAGCTTGTTTTCTCTTCGTCTCTGTTTATTATAAGCAAGGAACATGTGCCAAACTCCGCACTTTGCTTCTATCATTGTTGTCTCTCCGCTCGCCTGTTCCTCTCCCACGCAGTCTTCGTCCTCCTACCTGCGATCCGTCGGCTAAGTTGCCGGTTCCTGGATGTGTCTCCGTATCGACAATTTCAGTGGATTTGATTAGCTATTCGGGAGACTTGAGATCAGGAATTGAGAACTGGAGTTCGTGGAAGTTATAACTTATACTTCGGCTTTAACGGCGTCTTGTTACCTAAGAGAAAGACAAATATTCATAGTGAAAAGAAAGATAAAAAAAAGGGGGGTGGAAACGAAAGAAAAGGATCTGCCTGTGGCTTTTTCTTTTGCCGGATTGCCTCCTGCTTACGCTCACTCAACTTCGTTCTTTCAGCCCCTGTCTTCCACATACCTCTCCTACGATCTACGATGGGTTGGCCAGTCTGCAATGAGACGGTAGAACATGATAAGAGTGCGCTTCTCTCCGTCTTCCGGGTTTCTGTACTCAACCACCCCTTTGCTAATTCGGTCGCAACACAGTCATCGAGGATGATCTTTGGGATGGTGGGATTACATTTCATCGTCTGAGCATCTTCATTGCCGGCGGCTTCGGCGCGTTGGCTTGCGCGGTGTCGTTTTTCCTGATTATGTGTCACGCAACACATTATAGCAAACCGTCAGAGCAACGATAGTTGGTTCTCCCTTTTCTTTCCCCCCGTCTGTTTCGTGCGGTGCTGTGAGCTGACTGCTGGCTTTCCAATCGCAGTATTATCCGCATTCTATGGATGATCCCCATCTACTCCGTGGTCGCATGGCTCAGCATCTACTTCTACCGAAAAAGTGTCTATTTCGGGGTTCTCGGAAATTGCTACGAGGCTTTCACGATCGCTGCCTTCTTCTCCCTCCTATGTTACTACCTCGCGCCGGATCTGCATATGCAAAAGGATTACTTCCGTGCAATCAAACCGAAGACTTGGGTCTGGCCGTTAACTTGGCTTGCAAGGTGTTGCGGTGGTGAGAGGGGCTGTTGGAGGACGCCGCGAAGCGGACTGACTTGGTTTAATGTAAGGGAGACGATACAGCTAGGACGAGATTGCCTCGACTCTCGGGGATCAGAAGCTGATACTGTTTCCAGATCATTTGGGTCGGCGTTTTTCAATATTGTCTCGCGCGAGTCTCCATGACCATCGTTTCTGTCATCACGGAAGCCAATGGTAGATATTGCGAGGAGAGCCTGAATCCTGCTTTCTCGCATGTTTGGGTAATGACTATGAATGTTCTTCATTTGTGGCCCTGACGCTCTCGCTAACTCCCGTGTCTGCTTTGTTAGGTGATGTGTATCGAGGCTGCTTGTGTTACCATCGCAATGTACTGCCTGATCCAGTTTTATATCCAGATAAAAGATGATATCAGCCAGTATTCCCCGTTTATGAAAATCCTATCGATAAAGCTGGTTATTTTCCTGTCTTTCTGGCAGACGGTGAGTTCTTCGGAGGAATTGTTTACTTGTATAACTCGTTTCCGCAGAACTAACATGTGCAGACGCTGATTTCGTTCCTTGTCTCTTCGGGTGCAATCAAAGCTACAAAAACGGTGGGAACGACGGACTTGAAAGTCGGAATCCCAAACCTACTTATCACCATCGAAATGGCCTTATTCTCGTTCCTACACCTTTTCGCGTTCGCCTGGAAACCTTACACCATCAGTGACTCCATGGACCCCTACGTGGGCCGTGAAGTGACGTATTACGGAGGTCCATTCGGCATCAAAGCGATTATAGATTCCTTCAATCCCTGGGATCTTGTGAAGGCCACTGCGCGCAGCATCCGCTGGTTGTTCGTGGGCCGGAAGAAGAGGATGTTGGATCCGAGCTACCAGAGACCCGACGACTCGATCAGCCTCAGGAACGGACAAGGCATGCCTAGTACCTCTATTCCAGGCACCAACGTAACCGCCTACGGAGGTGCAGGCGCCGTCATGTCGGGAGGCCGCTACGGCGGCGAAGAAGAACAGGTTCTTCTGGCCCATGCCCAAGCGGAGCCAACTTCGTATGCGATGCACTCGACCGGTGATCTAGGAATGGCGTCTTATGATAGCGACAGGCCCTTATACCACGATTCGCCGCCTGATTCTCGACCATTCAATACGGCGCCGGTGCATTCAGGGCAACAATCCTCGTCTTACTACCCACCAGCACCCCTGGAATCAAATGCAGGTTATGGACACGACTATCCGTCTTACCCTTACCCATCACCGTACCGGCCACCGCCACACGAAGATAGATGACGAGAAGAGTAAAATAAGACTGTTGCTATTTTCATTTTTCTCCCATTATATACCATTCATGGAGTTTTTATGATATCCCGGTCCTTTTTTTTATCCTCGTTGTTTCTCCCGGCCGTTATATATGGGGAATGGATATTATGTCTGCATATTATGTATATCTATTATTTAACGATGCATGTATTGTGTCTTTATTTATAAAGAAATTACTCGCTCCGGTCATTTGTTTGTTCATGGCTATTGTTTCTCTTTCTTTCTCTTTTTTCCTTTTTATCATTATTTTTCTTCTCTTTCTTTCAAGGGTAATGAGCCGTGATACCCATGAAATTCTACATTGTGGCGCAGAATATTTTAATGATTGGATTAGGAGGCAAATAAATAAGGTAAATCATTCAATCAATATAAATCTGTCTTAATTAGATTCTACTACAGAATGCGCTGGAGATGCGCATAGATAATAATAGAGACATGACCTTGAGACACTACCTTACTGAGGTCTCTGCTCATATCTCTCTAATGGAAGATCTAAGCACCGGAAATGGGGGGTGTAGGTAAAAAGAAGAGAAATCCATAAACAACCGGCTGTCCATGGCATCGTCATGTTTCTAGTCATAGTGAATTACCAAAAGAAAAGAAGAGATCTAGACAATACTTCATGCTTCATAACCTCATAGCCCTCTCAAGAATTCCTCCCCAAATCCCCTCTGCCGTCCCAGGGACATCCCAAGCTGCGCCTTCCGCGACGTAGCACCCTGCCGCGCAGTCTGCACGATAGCTGACTTCCTTCCCAGCTCACGCATGGCCTTGACACTCTGGCCTAGTTGACCGAGGAGGGAAACGAGGGCGACGTCGTTGGATTGTGCGAGGGTTTCGGTGGAGAATTCTGTACGGTCTTGCGGGATGAGGAGGGAGAGGTGGGAGATGAGCGAGTTGATGTTGCGCAAGATTGGATGGGAGAGGGATACAGAGGGGTCCTTTTTCTCATGGTGCGTAGCTGTTTCGGAGAGAGTGGAGAGGTAGGATTTTATGAGTGAAATTCGGGATTCGAGGGTACGGATTGCATTGAGGCGAGTGTTGAGGGTTGTTATTACTTTATAGAGAAAACAATTGTTAGTTTTGTATTCAGCTTCTTCATAGGATATGGTTATATGGCTCACGGTTGTACTTACAATCTTCTTCGTCCGGTGAAAGTACTGCGGTAGGCTCCTCCTTGATACCTCCCTCACGATCACTGGTACCAGGATGGGGTTGAGATGCTATAGTGGTGGCATTACCGCCGCCTCTGGCGACGAAGTCCATGCTTATCATCTCTGCCTCTCCGGTTTCGACAGAGTAAGGTAGCTCCCGGAATCGAATGCTCAGCGACTGTTCGATGTCCACTTGCATTTCCCTGTCAGCGTCTGCGACATTCTCACCCTCGTAGACACTTTCGTAAATGGTCAAAGGAAGCTTGGCTCCATTCTCCGATGGCGACCTGAGCTGTGAAGGGTGAAATGCGAGAAACACGGCGGATTCATTGTACTCTTGAAGCAACTGCTGTTGGATTGGAAGATGCGCAGTAGTTGGACCAGATAGCGGAGCAGTCGACCACCATCCCACAAGATCGAGAGTGGGATCCTTGTGAACATCCTTGTCTATGTTTTATTTTATTATATCATCAGCAATTCAACGGGCACTCGTTGGATCTGAAGTTGGTTTCGTACATTGTTTCACCCTCTCTTCGAACCAGGACTGCGATAGTATTACTTCGCCACTCGGGCCATCGGAGACCCTACACTCAAAGGCATGTTCCAGAGTTATTTCTGGGCCGTTTTGTTGCCCAAGAAGAGCCCCGACTATTGGTCCTTGTTGAGAGCGGGCGGCATGGCGTGTGATGTGATCTGAGATGGTGAGAAGAACGAGAGGGTGGAGCTGGACATGGAGTCCTGAATCGGATGATTTCTGTGAGACGAGAGACCTGGACAGGTCTGCCATCTTGAGCTTGAGTTGAGACGCAAACAGAGAACGATTGCTGCAACGATACAGAGCTTCAAGCCGATAGTCCAAGACTAAGAGTACTCCGCGCCATATCTAGGCGGTGAGGCGGAGTAGGCGGAGTAGGCGGAGCTTAATCATCATCGTCATCCTCCAACATTCTAGTTAACTAAAGGGAATGCAATGATAGCATCGAGTCAATACTACAGAAGTCACACAAATCAGTTTTATATCTCCATTGCACGGTACACCGAACCGGGCACTATCTTTGAGACGATCAGGCACGTCTATCTTTTCAGTCCATTACATTGGGCTTTACAAGAACTAGAAAAAAGGTTATCTCAAAATGGGGGGGTTAAACAAGAAAGAGGGTTACCTTATGCAGGTATAATAGGAATCCAAACTCGAAAAAAGTCAACCAGAAGTCAGGCGTAAAGAAATGTCTGAGTCTCTCCTCCAGCGTGACAACAAACTAGAGCTTTTCGCTCTCCGGCCCATGCAGGAGAACCCCAGGTCCCCTGGGGTCAATTAACGCGCCCGTAATACCTAGTACGCGAGGTCGAGCTGCAAGCATAGCCTGCCATATACTTCCCAAGCCAGGGCTGAGTTGTTTTGTAAAAGGCGGAATGGGTCCTCTCACTCTGATCCCAGTACAGCCGCCGAACCTACAAATGCAGGTTTGGGTAATCGTCCCTGATGGTTCCCAGATTGCAAAGAAAAAACTGGTAAATATGCAGTATCAAACCGGACAACCATTTGGAAGAGTCGAATATCTGCATATCATATGCCTTCTCCAAACAGAAACGGTTGATCCAGTAGCTTCTCTAAGCGGTCTAACGACTGGAAATTTTATTCGATGCTCCTATCATATGCCTCCTGCGTGAAAGCGAAGTCTTGACATGCAAACTCCATTATTTATAGTGTTGTAGACCCAGTTGTTCATCTCATCAATGCCATATTTCGCCGACTCGGGGTCATCGGAGAAATACTATCCCTCTTCTCCCATGGAGAGATGGCAGGTATATAAGTCAACGATATTTATCAATCCTTTAATCACGTGTGCGATCATCGTTCGATGTGACTTGAATGCTCAGTACACACACAATAGGATGCATTTTCATCCTACTTTCTCGGAGTCAGCATCCCTCCTCGACTTTAATATGGCACAGCACAGACTTGATCTTTCATTTTGACAAGCTATGTCAGAGAATGCATTGAGCAGTCAAAAGTTTTTCTCGAGCATGAGAAGAGTAGGGAACGGAAGAGTGCTGGCTACGTGGGAGCTTCTACATGATGTCAACTATAGGGGCTGTGAACAACTTCAGCCTTTTTTCAGCATATTCGCAGCAGGTCGGCTAACTGGACCTATCGAGCAGGGAAGAGATAAATTCTCATCGAGCATTATTAATTATTAACTCCGTAACTAGTTAGTTAACTGAACTAGTTATTAGTTAAGTCTCATCGCTGAATAATATCAAGGGAACAAGAGTAACTATACTGGAGATCCTGAGCCCCGTATTCTCTGGCGGTACCGCCTGTTTGTCTTGTTTGCTCAATTCCCCACATCAGCTGTCTTTACTGACAAACATCGAAACAACAAACTGCCCTGCTTCTCTACAGCTGTCAATGCAGTGGACGTTATCATCATAAACCATGACGGTTCCATCCTCATACAACGCGGCGGCATCCAATCTGCAACAGGTACAGCATGACCCTTCAATCCCACTGGACACTTCCCTTCTTGACAAGCTCAAGATGGAGCTGGGTGAGGACACGGACCGTACATTAGCTGCAACGCTTCTCGTCCAGATATCTCAGCTTCTTCCGATCTTGCAGGAGGATCCTACTCCAGTCACGACCTTGGGTATCAGAGCAGCTGAATATTTCACCTTTACTGACCTCCGCTCCGTTAACCCTCCGATAGACTTTGTCGCCGGTTTCCAGGCGCCATCGCCATCAATAAATCTACTAGCTCTGTCTCTACTTGCCAAGGCCGGAGAGACCCCCGGCGATGCTGCTGTGGTTGCTGGTGATTCTGGACTTGTCGCTTCCTTGGTTAAACTCTGGCTTTCAACGTCCTCAACAGAAGTTGCCCAGGCGGCTTTCGACACGATCTGGTCGCTTCTTGAGATTGACTTAGCTCAAGAATCGCCAGAAGGTCAAGGATTAGTATGGAGGAGACTATTTACTGACAAGAATGTCTATGGCATTTTCTTCTCCTTGTGCAGTCTGTCTGAAGATGGCCCTCTCTCAAAACGGCAGAAATCAATTGCTCAAGGCAGATTGATGGATTTTATTGTAGAGGCAGGTCGACGTCGCTGGGACATGATCTCTCACTCACAGATTGCTGAGATTGAAGATAAATACCGGTGTAACAGTCTGTTGCACTTCGCAGCTTGTCGAATGGTTGACACGAACGATGTCCTGATGCACATGACCTTGCTGAACTTTTTCCGTGAGATTCTAGAGATTGACGCCCCAGGTCTCGTAACTAGGAGCTATGTTCAATCATCATCGACCGTTTCATCGCCTGCCTTGGATTTCCTCATCTCAGAGGACTTGCATTCGCAGGTGTTGGGTTACTATCTGGATGAATCCAAACTAGACCCCATCGATCTCACGTTTCTTGCCAATTCAGTCATGGCTTATGTCGCGCAGTATGCCAGACTATATCCAAATCACCTATTGCAGAGCCCCAAAAGCGTGTTAGACGGTATTCTGTCGCATGTCGCTGGATCTCTTGCGATCTCCTCTGCGCAGTGGGCACATGGGCCTGTGCCAAGCGGTCATCTTCTCATCCTTTCATCACTTCCCCGGGTCTTGCTAGTGAAAGTCAGTGGACAGTCTTCAGACCCTCTATTGGCCCTTCCTACCAGTCCTCCAAGCAAAGAAGCCTTGGATACATTGGGCAGAATATTCCACGGACCCCCAAAAATTGAAATACCCACCTCTATGGAGTTGGGCACATCGGGAAATACTCCAACGGATTGGCATAGGGAGGCTGCCGCGGCTCGGATCCTATATTTTACATATTTGAATACCAATGCAACTCTCTGGGCTGATGTCGTCTATGCCGCTGATGTACTGGCTATGAAAGAGGTCGCATTAACGGCGCTTTCTTTCATGAAAGCTGTCATCACAGCGAACTGGCAGACTTTGTCACCTGAAGTAACCCGGTCCGCCTCTCAATATCAGCTCCCCTCCGAGGACCAGCTGGGTTGGCTGTCTCCCGCTTCACAAGGGACGCTTCCTTCCTCGGGAGTTTGGGCAGTGCTCACACCGCCAGCATTAACCACCTTGCTTCCATTCCTTTTCAAACCGCCGCGGTCATATGCTGAATTTGCCGGAGGTGGGGCGGGAGACGCAGAAAGTGTAGTGTGGAAGGTTGCCACCGCAAAATATGAAGTTTTGGTGGCTTTATACAATCGCCTCAAGGATTCTGGCGCTCAGGAAAGCGGGTTCGAGGATATCATGCGTACTCTCAGGCAACGAGTAACCGAGGGTCCATGGGGGCCTGTGGCTCAGGCTGCGAGGGTAGAGACTATTGGACTGTGAGCTTATAATTCAAATGAGGGGGATGCAAGACGATACGGCGTCTCTCTCACTAAGGAAAAAATATATCTGGGTTTACGAGATACAATGGTAGAAAGGGTGAAACTTGGTATTCATTCGTATCACTTAACCGTACCCATACCGCCTACCTACACTGCTCAAGTTCAACGAGAGTGTACCTTTTGTATATGCTCTTCATAAAAGGTACATTCAGCCTAAAATTGAATACCTTAACAACACTAGATAATAACATTTTGAAAAAAGAACTATGATATTTGTAAGGGCTGGATGGCGGTGACGGCGTGAAAAGGTAATCAATATACGGAGAATGCTAAGTGCGATAGTAGGGAGGAAAACGTAGGGTCCTTATTACTTCTCTATGATAAGTGCTAAGTACATGTGACCTTGTGTGGCCTAAGGTTGCTTGCTGCCTTGCGGTCTTACTATATTACATTTAGATTTATTCAGCCATATGTTTCTGTTGAGATATTGTCTATTTTGTGTTGGATGTGTTTTATATGGAGGCTGTATAGATTACTCTCATTTTCTACAGTAAAATACCAAATCTTGTTGAACTTGGGCGCAGTATGGGTACGCTCACTGTATAAGTATTGAAGCTACGAGCCATGTTGGCCTTAGGCTTTAAATAGGTACAAGCCCTACTTTCCCCGTTTGAGTGGGACCAAAGGCGGTGAACAGCTCCAAGGAACTTTTTCTCGCAAGGCAATGAGTCGAAGGGATTCCTTTCGCGCATGAATCTCACTATCGGCTAGCTGATTTATCGTTTTGTTTAATCCGCCCTTCGATATAATTAAATTATCCAACCTCTGCTACCATGTCCCGTTTCGGCGCGAAGAAGGGCAGGAAGCTGCCTGGCGCAGAATTCACCTGGGATACCGAGCCTGGCGCAGAAGCAGACACAGCGCCTACGCCTCTGTTTCCGGTATGTTGCATCTGTTATTAGGTCTATTGGTTTATAATGTATATACGGCCTTGTGTGTTATGTATGGTTTCTTTCTAGACGTCAAATAACAGAAAGGATAGAAATACAGCGTCCCCATTGCCAGACCGTTGAATCAAAGAGAACGGATCCAGGTGGATCTATATCGAGCTCTACGGGAAAGATTCCATGAAGGCCCAGACTACTCCGTTCTAGGTGTTGCTGGTCTGGAAGCGAAGGGCGACAGTAAGGCCAAGGCGCAGATTGACCCTTTCCACAGCATGCCCACGTATTCTGGAAGATATCAAAGGAAAAGAAGGACTGCTCCGAACATGACTGGTCGACCATTTAGTGGGTTCTCCTTCGTTCCCTATTGCCGCCATCGTACAAAATGTGGACATATCTAACTGATGGAAATTGAAACGATATAGTCTTGAGATTCTTTCCCCAACAGCTATGGAAAGTGATCCAACCGTCCTACAACCCAGATGCGGCACTGGACGGGTATGCTCCCCAGGCGAAACGCACATGGATAAAACGGGGTTTCGAAGAAGATGAGGAGGAAAAGGAGGAGCAACCTACTAAGCGTCGACGAGGAGGGGAGGACGAGGACGAAGAGGATCGCGGGGACGAAGAAGAAGCAGGCCTTGAAGAGGACGAAGAGCGGGAAGAGGAGATTGTGGATGACGACTTTGAAGATGACGAAGATGAGATGGGCGGGGATTACAACGCGGAGCAGTACTTTGATGGTGGGGATGATGAGTACGGGGATGATAATTTCATGGATGGAGTTGGCGGGGCTGGAGGAGATGAGGATACCTTTTGATGTTTGATGGTGGTAGCATTCTAGATACCCTTATTGCTTGTGAGATGCACTTCACAGATGGACTGTATGTTCCATGCACATTATTTTGTTTTGTTTGCGAAAGGAAAAGAAAGCGACTTCGGCCTCTCATGACGTCATGTATTTATTACCCCGTACAACAAGACAGGAAAAGTGTAAAATAAATTACAGCCTATTTCGGAGGGGCATCCAAGTTTGATATTGACCGAAACATCCTCCCACTCCATGAACAGACACGACAGACCGCCAGAATGCCTGAAGCGAAGCATCCCAGGTCTGCCGTCATCCTGTATGGCACGGAGACCGGCAACGCGCAGGATGTAGCAGAGGAGCTAGGCTCCATGGCTGAGCGCCTCCATTTCACAACTCTAGTATCAGAGATGAATAACTTCCAAGCGGTGGGTAGAAATTCCAGTCAATTTATAGAAAAAGAGACGAGAAGGAATATGAATTATTGATAGTCGTCATTGCTTCAGGAATCCCTTTCATCTTATACCGTTGTTTTATTTGTCGTCTCAACGACCGGCCAGGGAGATTTGCCTGGTAATGCGAGGAAGTTCTGGAGGACGTTGCTTTTGAAATCACTGCCTCCGACATTATTGGATGGAGTAGATTTTGCTTTATTTGGGCTGGGTGATACTTCTTATCCTAAGTAGGGATTCTACTTTCGTTTCTTATTTGAGTTCACTTTTCTGACGGGTTATGATAGGTTTAACTGGGCTGGGAAGAAGCTGCATAAGAGGTTGCTTCAGCTGGGTGCGAATGAAATATATCCAATGGGAGAAGCTGATCAAAGGCATCCTGAGGGGTATGTCATTGTACACATACATATACATCATGTCCTGGTTCTCGTGACTGATAAAGACACAGGCTAGAAGGCATGTTCATACCATGGGCCACCGACTTCAGGAAACTTTTACTAGACCGCTATCCACTTTCTGAAGGAGAATATCCCATCCCAGATGATGTCCAGCTTCCTCCGAAATGGATCCTACAGGAGAGTGGCACAGTGACTGGCGATACAGCGGCCGTAGCCGATTCATTCCCCGGTCTGCACCATTTAGATCACGACGTTCGCCCTCTTCCAGATACTTTCACCGCAACGCTCGTGCAGAATAAACGAGTTACTCCTATAAAACATTGGCAGGACGTTCGTCATATATGCCTGACGACTCCTGAAGCTCTATCATACGAACCTGGCGATATTGTCTGTATCACTCCCAAGAACTTTGCGGATGATGTCCAGGCTCTGATTAATCTTATGTGCTGGAACGAGCAAGCAGACAAACCAGTATGTCTCGTTCCTGGGAAAGGGTCTGACACAGCAAACAGCATATTGCACTCGCCTCCCATACCCGAGCTAGCATCTTATCCCCGATTAACTCTCCGCGCCCTCCTCACAGACTACCTAGATATCAAATCCATACCGCGACGGTCCTTCTTTTCCGCAATATCCCACTATACAAATGACACCATGCAGAAGGAACGACTCCTTGAATTCGTTAACCCGGAATACATTGACGAATTCTGGGACTACACTACCCGTCCCAGACGCAGTATCCTCGAAGTCCTGGAAGAGTTCCACACCGTGAAGATACCCTGGGAACACGTACCGTCCTTGTTTCCCGTCATACGGGCAAGACAATTCAGCATCGCGAGCGGCGGTGAGCTCACACGGACAGCAACAGGCGAAACGAATTTCGAACTCCTCATCGCCATAGTCAAGTACCAGACGGTCATCAAAAGAATCCGCCAAGGAGTCTGCACTCGATATCTCTCATCATTGCAACCAGGAAGCACACTCCGAGTCCAACTCCAACGGGGCGGCCTAAACCCCAGCGTCAGCCAAATCGCAGGCCCAACTGTCCTTGTCGGTCCAGGCACGGGAATCGCCCCATTGCGCTCGGTGCTCTGGCAGAAAGCAGCCCTGGTAACTGCGTACCGCCACCGACAACGGCAACAACAGCAGGGAAATCCAGACGCAACGCAACAGCTCCAGATCGCACCTACGATCCTCCTCTTCGGCGGCCGAAACAGGACCGCTGACTTCTTCTTCGAAGACGAATGGACGCAGCTCGCACCGCTGGTCAACCTAGTTGTCTTCACAGCGTTCTCCCGCGATCAGCGAGGAAAAGTATACGTGCAGGACCGCATCAGGGAGAATTTCGCGCCGCTTTTCCAGATGCTGTATGACCTGCACGGGTCGGTAATTTTGTGTGGCTCGTCCGGGAGGATGCCGCAGGCTGTGCGGGAGGCGCTGATCGAGTGTTTCCAGTATGGGGCAGAGACGGAGGAGGAGGGACTTAGTCGGCAGGAGGCGGAGGAGTATCTGATGGAGATGGAGAGGGATGGGAGGTATAAGCAGGAGACGTGGTAGTTTTGACAGAGGATAAGTGTATGTTATGGTGATGCTGTGATGTTACTTCTGCAGTAATGATGTGGAATGGTGTACAGAGCAGTGTTATTCCTCAAAAGGCTACACGATATATTGGGTTGATTCAGATGCAAATATTAGAGTAATACTAGAAAGAAAGAAACATAGAATAACGTAATCGGTGAGCCACCCCCCACTTCCGTGATTTTGAGGTGTTTGTAAACAGGATGATTGTGTATTGCTTGATCAACTTGGAGGAGGTGTAGGAGTCTTTAATTGGATAGTAAGCTGTTGATAAACTTGATCTGGATCAAATGGCGTTCCGGGGGCACTGCGAAATCCCGGATCTCCCATATTTCCTATCGTAGAACGCCGTAGAGCCGTAGTCTTGTATATATATCTTTCTCTTAACACATCTAGCACATGCGACCACAGGGTGTGGAAAACAGGGCTTCCCGTCCGCTCAGCCGTACTTAAGCCACACGCCGGCCGGTTAGTAGTTGGGTGGGTGACCACCAGCGAATCCCGGCTGTTGCATGTTTTATTTTTTATTGTTATTTTTTATCCACAGGATCTAGTATTACATCAAGGTGTGCCAGGGGCACTGCAAAATCCTGGGTCTCCCATATTTCCTATCGTAGAACGCCGTAGAGTCGCGGTCTCCGACATACTAATGGAGGGTTTCCTCCCAGATAGTTACGAGAAATTGAGCATTCTTTTGGTTTCTAGGTTGCTTCACTAGTATCGTCATCATTGTATAGAATGGAGCGAGGCTCCTTCATCGTTGTGTTTCTTCTTTTATCATATTGTTTCCTTGTTAGATCGTTCAGTGTGTCCATCCCTGAGATCCCTCGATCACAACCCAGTTCCTGTCCGTACGCCCCCCTTTACAGAGCCCATCCAGTTAAATTGACTGCCTCAATTACAGTTACCTATTCTTGATTCTCAGGCTGTAGTAGATATAGTCAGTTATATTAATCACTTCCAGTTATAATCTTTGCAGTTGCACAAAGTCCCATAGCAAAGCCGGTCTCATCAAAATTGTAGATATCTTCTGGTAAGATGCCATATTCCAATATTGTCAGGGCCCTTGCCATGTAGACCAGGACGAGCACGTGAGCTTCCTTACTTGGATTAGCGTGGCGCGTGGATAGGAGTACGTCGTCCAGCTTCACGTAGATCTCTTCCTTTTTTCCTTCCTCTTCATGCTTGAAGTTCTCGTCGATAGCTGCCTAGATAGCTGAATAGCATCCTATTCATCGTCTAGTTGAGCTCCGTGACAAATATAGCCTCTTGTACACGGTCAAAATATTTTTTTAAATAGTCATCAGATCTTCACATTTAGATAGTTATATCTTCATGAAAATTGTGATCTGGGCTGAGCAACATTGAACTAGGTTATAACCCTATTTTTCTCCAACCTGTTGATTTCCATGTCGAGAAAGAAGATAATTGGCCATATCTCATACCATGGATGGCTGGGGAGGTAATCCTCACTTATCTAGATCCAATATCTATTTAACAAGTGATTCCTCTTCAGATTCAGTCAATTTATGATTGTTGGCGTGCTTTGCGCCCTTATATTGTATTCCGTTGAGGCATTGCCAGAGTTGTACGTGGGATATTATATATCCTTGTGGCTTCGTGAGTACTCAAGATATTCCCATTTTTTAAATCAGAAATGGCTAGTTGAATCTTTCCCTCTATTTCAATTGATTTTGAAGGATTTCTATTGCCAATTGGTGGCATACTGACGCGTTGAAAATTATAAAATCAATATGGAACGCGTTTCCGCGTGGGTGGTTTACATGGGCGGGTGGCTTACCGATTACGTTTCAGATAAACGACATGCTGGAGTTGTCAATAGGGGGGAAGTGATTATAATAAATAAAGGGGCAGAATAGGGGTTGCTTACCAGCCGTATGTACAATATAAATATACTATGGAGTATATTGCTGTTACCAGTGATCACTGTATGAGAGCTAGGGGTGTAATAGAGCAATCCGGTGATAGCTTCAGGGGCGATGGATTAGGAACAGGAACGAGACCCTGCCCCGTTCGGAAGCACCAGGATGCGGCACGCAATCTGCCGGAAGTCTTTTTAATATAATAATAATACCCAATACAGGTGATTACACGGCCATTTCCACAAGAGGGAAGAAATCCGTATCCACATTGATTTGGTCTCTGTCGATGCCCTTATATCTTATATACAAGCACGATAACGCACAGAGAAGAGAAGCTCAAGAGACATCTAGCTGGTCGTGTACGGGCCGATTTCCGATAGATTCGAGATCCGACCCAGCAGGAATTCCAACTGTCTATACGCTGCCCCGGGGACGTATTGCGGGATTTCTATGGAGCACATATCATCAGCATCAAGCCCTTCAAACAGGAAGCACAAAACAAAACAAAGGACTCACCATGACCAGATCCTTCGACCGCTACAAAGGTCAACCCCCTCTCCGTATGCACAGTCCCCAAATACCCAGCCCCCGCAACCTGCGTGAACGGCACCTCGACATTTCCATTCGCCAGCTCAGCCAGGCCGGCATGATACGGCACGAACAACGGCTCAAGCGGGGGAGACTGGAACCCCTGCTGGCCATTCCAGGTCATGTTCTGGATCGTCGCGAGGGTTCCGTTCGTGAAGAGCAGAAAATCCAACCACCCGTGTGCGATGACGGTGTTGTTCGTCCGTTCGATGACGCTGGGCAGCGGCCCTAGGGCGCTGGGGAGGGATCCATCGCCGTGGGGGAAGATGGCATCTCCTCCGCAGACAGAGTAGTCTGTTGGAGGGGCGTGGATGGCCTTCTGCACGTCTGTGCGGTTGAAGTAGTCGTTCGGCCCGCCTGCTAGCGAGGGGAAGCCCATGACGTTCCAGAGGTAGGGGCAGTAGTCGGTGAGGTGGTACATGTTGAAGCACGGGTTGACATAGTATGCTGCTTCGATGATGGAGGACCAGATGTCGCAGGACTCGGACTTGGACATCTCGGGCTGATGGAGGATGCCCTTGGGCGGGAATGAGAGGGCTTCTTCCATGAAGGCTGGGTAGCCGCATTTTTCGGCCTGCGCGTTGATTTCCGTCATGAAGGTCTCGTTGAGGGTGAAAACAGACTGGTAGTGGTTCAGAGCCGCGATGGAGGGTGCTGCGGAGGACAGTTAGCCTGGTTGAACAGCGCTCTCCATACACCAAAGACACTAAAACCCACCTTCAATCAAGACAAAGTCATCGTTAATAGAAGGATCGATGATCTGCACCCCGGCAACATTGAAATACTCCTCATCCTCCTCATCCAGCATCCCCGCCGCAATATACGGGATATACTGTCCCGCATAACTCTCCCCCGTGAGATACACCTTGCGATGATGCAGATCGAACGTATCAACGAAATGCTTCCAAAAGTCCTTGAACTGCGCCGCAACATCCTCCTCATTCTCAACCGTCGAGGGACCAGGGGAGAACCCGGTACCCGCCGGCTGGTCGATGTAGACCATGTTGGTCAGATTCACCCACGAGTACGGATTGCGGATGGGAGCATGCGTTCCTGGCTGCCAGAGGAACGGGCCGTTCTCTTGAAGCAAGCCGTTGAGGGAGCTGCAGCCGGGACCTCCATTGAGCCAGATAGTGATCTAAGCTGTTAGTAGACAGTGTGATAGAAAGGGTGAATAAGTACACGAACCTCATCCGTCGCGTTCGGATTCTGCGAAGGGAAGAACCAGAAGAACAAGCTCGAATCCCCGGAGGGTGTATTGGGAAGATTCCCCGCGTAGGACTCGCCAATGTCGAATTTGACGTCTGGGATACCAGTGCCGTTCACAGCGAATGCTACAACCTGTTAGTACATATACAGATGCATTGCCCAAACCAGCTTGAATAGAAAACCCACGCTCAGTCTTCGACGTAAGAAACTGCGGCTTGAGACTCTCGTCTCTCCTCTGTAAATCCACCTCCGCATTAATCGTAACAGCAGGCCGACGCCTTAGAACCTCTGCTGCCCTGCGATGGGGATTGCTCAGGGCAGACACCGACGCCGCCGCAGCAAGCAGTGCAATAATAGCAACGTGCATCTTCAAGCACAGTGACAGAAGATACTCGAATTTCCATGCAACATGTGGCCAGTCAAAAAGAAAAAAATATGCACATCCAGGTGTATGCTGCGATTATAAAGCTGGCCAGAGAGGGACAGGGATATCGTGAGATTAAGGGGTATATCGATTCTCATACATCGTACGGAGTAACTAGACTGATTCCATATTGCTGCAACTGTTGCATTATTTGATATCACCGCAGTTCTGCACGCAATCGAGCAATCAATCCGTGCTGTTTATTCGGAGACCCGACGTTGTTCCGGAAATGGTCGTCTGGGCGTTGATGAATTACTTGTGTGATGCTCCCTTCCATGTAGCACGGGTGTCTATCTGCATCGTGGATCATTGCCTGCAGCGTAGTACGAGACCCCGGACTCCGATCGTCGTGTAGATTGAAGGGAAGAACGGGTCCTTTCTATGATTGGGAATTAGGTGTTGAGACATCCAGCTTGATCTACAAGAAGACAATATTAGCACTGTCGCCTTGACTATATACGATTGCTAAACGAACGTCCTATTCTATCTTCAAAACATCTACCGAGAGATAGTCATATCCCCCATAATCAATTGAGGCTATAACAAGGCCCATCACCCTTGACAGAGTTCTTGCGAGAGCAAGATTCACCCCTCAAGGGCTTCCGTGATGGGGAGCAGTTGGATGCTTCTTTTACAGTATTCCCCGCGTGACTGACGAGCCAGCCCTCGCGGGATGCGAGAGAGGCAGTTGGATGCTCATCTCTCTTACTGGTTGAAGGTTAACAAAACTCGCACCCTCTCCTACTCCTTGGTTATCATGGCCCGAAGCGAATCCGGTACAGTACTGCCTCTGATCCGAGACAAGAGTGGAGAACCGGAGATGAGTTGCTCAGGGCCAATTAATGAACGGCTGCAATTACTGCGCTCAGATAAATAATGTCTGGCAAGTCATCTTTTACCAGGCCGTGATGTCTTCTACCTCCGCTTCGCCGAAGGTGCTGCTCTTGGTTAGTTTGTTGACACCATCCACGACTTTAGTGTCGCCAGATGTCGACATGATGTCTGGCAAGACCTCCCTGAAAAACTCCAGAATATAGCGGTTGACCTGCTCGAACTGCAAAAGGAAAGCGTCATGGCCTTCAGGGCTGTCGATCCGTTTGAGTCTCGAATCCGGAATCCCCGCGGCGATCTCCTTCTGCTCTTCAAAGGTGAAGAGACCGTCACTTTCGATACCAAGGACCAGCACCGGCTGCTCAATTTGTGACAACGCCTCCCGGACTGGGTCTTCGGACGTCGCACTAGCCCGATGCCTGGAGACGTCATGCGTGTCAAGCTTGCGAGTGATGGCAATGTAGCAATTTGCATCAAAGCGTTTGACAAACTTCTCACCCTGGTACCGAAGGTACGACTGAGCGGAGAAATAAGTCGGAGGCCGTTTCTTGGCATCCGCATTTGCGCCGGCGTTGGACGGCGCGGTGAAGGTCTTGGTACCCGAAAACTGCGGGTCCATATACTCCAACTGGGCAGCAGCAGGTGAGCTCCGCCCAGACTGGGCACGCGAAGGAGGTTCACCCTTATGGCCATCATTGTGAATGGCCCAGTGTTCATTCGGAGGAGTGGGTAGCCTGGAAGTGCCGTTGATATTCTGGCGCCTGGAGGGATCGGGCACATTCCGGCCAAAACGAGACTCGAACGAGTTCCGACTCCGGTAAGTAAGTAGAGCTGACATGCGGGCTGCACCTAGACCGGTGGCAGGAGGATCATCGAACGGATAGTACCCGTTCTCATACTTGGGATCACTGTAGATGCTCTGCCGCTGGGCCTCGCCCCAACTGATACACCATGCGGAATGACGCGCGGAGGTAGCAATTGGGACTATAGCACGAACATAGTCTTTGCCAAAGTACGCATACTCCAGCGTGAGCATACCACCCATGGAACCTCCAACGACAGCAGCGATCTGCTTGACACCCAGGTCATCCAAGACGAGCTTATGAATGCTATTCCAGATGAGTACATGTCCATACTTGGAGGCCAGAAAACAAGAGAAAAACTCACCGCACATCGTCACGAACAGTCGTCAGAGGGAACTCCGGCCCATAGTATCCTTTCTCTGCATCTCCATCCTTATACGTGACACAGCTAGCACTTCCGTACGGACTACCCAAGCTGTTCAAACAGACCACAAAGAAACGAGACACATCGAATGCCTGACCAGGACCACCGAGCAGGGGACCCCACCAATCTGCCACGTCGGCACTGCCACTAAGCGCATGACAGACCACCAAGGCGTTGTCGGCGCTGGGTGACAGTTGACCCCGTGTGGTGTAGGCAACAGGGACATTGTACAGAGTAACTCCGGACTCGAGAGTGAAGGAGGGAATGATAACGATCGATTGGTCGGAAATGAGCTTCGAGTACGGATTCTCAGGTTCGGAATCGACTCTCTCTACGGGATTTAGTAGCGGTTCACCTAGAGAGAAGTGGGGAGTGGGAAGTAGGGAAGCACTGACGGAGTCGTCCAGCGGACATGGTACCGCTGCCTGTTCCAGCAGTCATAGTGAATCTAGTGAGCTTCGGGTCTCTTTCTCTTTGCTTGATGAGAGAAGTGAAATTGCGGAGACTACAGAGACATGATTCAGAGTAGTCGACATTCAACGGAGGGAAATCACGGGATTTCGAAGAAATTGCAGAGGGAAATACGAGGATGACTCATCCACATGCGCAATCTCGTCATCAGCAGCCAATAAGTGATATTCCACGTGGGGATGCCGATATCGGGCTTCTAGGCGGTATGAATTACTAAGGCAGAATTCCTGACCGCCATCAATACATCTCTGATTTCCTATTTAGGCAACTTGCAATCCAGTCGTCAGTAATAAGAATCAATCGTCCAGAATATCCCCTCCCGCAGGCCCATTCCGCGCCGCATAAATTCTTTCCCTCGTCGTCTTGTAAATTCGCGGCAATTTGACCTCCTCGAAACTCTTCCCCGTGCGAACCATATCCGCAAGACCTTGAGTAGCGAGGAAGATGACCGGCATGCCATGACCATTGAAGCCGGCACAGATATATTGACCTGGTTTGCCGGGGATAGTGCCAACATGGGGGGCAGAATCATACGAAAACCCCATAACTATAGGTAGACACTTGTCAACATCATCTATCGCGTGTGTTGAATCAAACAGGGTATGGTATTATACGTACTCCCTGTCCAGATCTCTTTCACATACGCCCCACTATCTTCCCACCCCCTAAATGTCTGCTGCATATAATCATGATAATAGTCCTTCGTTGGCTCGATCAGCGTACTGTCATCGACGACATTATACCATTTTTCCAGCTCGGGTTTGAACGTGTACCATGCGCCGCCGACAATGATGCTCCCGTCCGGTCGAGAAATCAGATAACTGCTACCCTTCCCATCTTCGGTGCCGACTATATACGAGTATGGAAGGAATGGGGTCTTATTTCTCTCGGGAACGGTGATGTGGGTGCATATTCCGCGGCAGGGGACGATGTTTGCTGCGTACTCGGGCAAGAGGGCGGACGTGTAGGCGTTCGTGGCATAGATGACTTTCGAGGCGTGGATGGTCCCCCGTGAGGTATGTATGGTATGTAAGTTGGATGATTCGGAAGTGACTGAGGTGACTGGTGTTAGTGCTTGGATATTAACGGCATCTGCGTCTGCATCTGTCTGTGTGATTTTCTCAACCAGGCCTAGGATGAATTTATACGGCCAGAGAGTGCCGGCTGGCGAGGACAGACAGGCTTTTGCTCCTTTTACCCCGGATATCTTTGAAGCTCAGCATCAGCAGGATTCCAACATAAGATTGAAAGAAAGAAAAGTATACATACCCCCTCCGCGTTCTTCTCTCCCGTATAATAAACATCATCCATAAAAGACCTCCCCGTTCCGACTAGCTCTTCATACATTTCCCTCGCCTTCTCCGCGCGCGCCTCGTTAAGAAAAACAGTCATATTCCTCGTAGCGGTAAAATCACACTCAATCCCTTCCTCGGCCAACAGATTTTTGAAAGCCTTGATATGGGAGAGTTCAAAATTCGCCAACTCCGCTCCCGCCTCGACGCCATATCTTTCGATGTATGTCGGGATATGTCCATGGAGATCTGGACGGAGATGGCCTCCTACAGCAGGTTAGAGAATATACAATAATCGCTATTGCAAAAGGGAAGGGGGAATACCATTCCTCCCGGTAGCACCCGAACACACCTCCCTCGCCTCGAGAATAGTTATATACGGCCGACTGCCCTTTGATAATTCCCCATTCTTTCTCGCCTTCAAAAGATGATACGCGATGCTGACCCCAGCATAGCCTGCACCGATGATGACAATGTCGCTCTCGCGGGGCAGTTCGGGTGTCGTTCGGAGTTTGTCAAGTCTATGAGGTTCTGTTCTCCAGAACGGCGTCGTGGGGTTTGGAACTGGGAGACCGGGTGGCTTTGGGATGTTAAAGGTCATTGTTTATTTGGGTTTATTTGGCAGATGCAGATTGATACAGAGAAATAGGGAGGAGTTGAAGAGGGCCAGCATGGTATGGATATCTATCTACATCATTATCTGTCTATATACTGCCCCGCACTGGATGCATTAGTTTAAGCCTTGGCTATTGGAGAATGAAGTACTATGAAAGATAACAGAAATGAGCTCTGTATACTTCTTCTGATGTATGGACTGTATAAATATACTATCCACATATTATAACATGATGTGGATCAGGGGTGCGGCGTCTGGATACCAGATACTAAAAGGATACCGTAGGATTCGTAGGGATCGTAGTGAACGCTCTATATCGATATACTGCCGTCTCTAGTACATCGTGAAGCTCTAAACCATGCGCTTAATCGCTCGCTTCCGCTCTTATATACAGGATCCAGTATACTCGGGTATGACCACCTTTCCTCCCGCCACATATATACTCCGGATCCCGGACCTGATTATTAGATAATCCATCTGTCCGAAATAACTAACGTTACCATTTCCACTGTTGATGAGAAATGAGTATATAACTTCATTAAACAACGTGACGAGCTGAAAACAAGATATTCATGATCTATAACTGAAATGATCTAATATAGAGATCCCATCCTCACGAGAATAGTCCAGCATAAGCAGAACAATCTTATCATTCCTTCTCTGTCTTCTCATAATTCTCATACTCCATATCAAATGCTCTCTGAAGACTCATAAGTAACGAATTGTAAAACAGAAACAGAATACTGGAGATAAGTGTCAGGCTCCCAGTAATAGAGACAGTTAGTTTAGCAGTAGCTAACCATGACCCTGCCTGTGTTGTGTAAACATTAAGAATAGTATTGATAAGGCCTGTCCCTGAGTTTATAAGGTTTGGCCTTCAACTGATTAGATATTAAAACACTTGTTGAGCCATCAAGGTGTCTTACAGAAACACTTTCCGAATAAGCCACATAAAATTAGATCTTCGTTTCCACCATAAACATCCCTCCCCACACAGCCCAAGCACACAACATATTGCAGCAAGAGCAACTAGTGGTATATTCTGGATATCACTGTACACTACTTTTGAGATCTGGTCTCCTGATGTATGTAGTGAGGTAAATGTGCTTGGGAAAACAAGATAGCCTGCAAGGATGAACCAGGCAAAGAATGCTAAGAGAACATTATAAAACAGAGGAATCTTTTCCATGTCTAATAACATCTTTGACGTACGCACTAGGTGAAACTCGTTTTTCTTGATCTAAGTAATCTTCCCTTGACCTTTTCCAAGTAATAGGTATGATGCTATTGAAAAATGAATTTGAATTGGCCCAGCCATTTGTGAATTTCTTAATGAGACTCATTGAAACCTTTTTACTGGCAAAATGCTTCTGACCATGAGCCGGTATTTATTATTATTTAAGTGTCACGGAGCTCAACTAGACGATGAATAGGATGCTATTCAGCTATCTAGGCAGCTATCGACGAGAACTTCAAGCATGAAGAGGAAGGAAAAAAGGAAGAGATCTACGTGAAGCTGGACGACGTACTCCTATCCACGCGCCACGCTAATCCAAGTAAGGAAGCTCACGTGCTCGTCCTGGTCTACATGGCAAGGGCCCTGACAGCATGCAGTCCCGCTGGGCTCTTTATTCCATGATTTTGAATCCTCACAGACCATGAATTGCTATCATCATATAAAATCTACTCAGATCAGTGCCGGCGTTTGGCTGCTTGAACAGAGCTCTCTGGTCTCAGTTCCTGTGAGATTGACGCCAGTGTCTCCTCATCCATTGCTAGGTCTCCTTCAAAATCCATGAAGACTGTATTTGTTCCATCAGCAACTGCTGCATCATAGCACTGTGCTGGAGTAATTATGCGCAGGTCCTTATCATAAAAGGTTGCCTGTCGATTTCTTGCATCTTTCCAAGCCAGTCGCTCCACAGCAGCTGGGTCAGATGGATCAACGTCCAGCTCATGGATCTTTCTCCATTCACCGTCAGTGCCTCGAGCCTTAAAGACAATTGTAGTAGGTGAAACAGGTGCCCTCTGCAGTGGCTCCTGTGTGCTGTTAGCTGGAGTAGTGCGCGTGATAATCCATGGAATGAGGATTTCTGCATTTTTCTTTCACTCACAGCCCTTTCTGCTTGCACAACTGGAGGCTTCTGGGCACTAGCAGAATGCGAGGCCACCTTCCCTTCCCCCAGTGGAACTGATGATGGCTTTTGCAATGAGTCAGGACGAACATTCTCTGCTGGGTGTGATTCCAGGTGATCAGCAACCCAGGCGGCAAAATCAATCTGAGTAACTACCCGTTCAGCGCGCCCATGTGCAATATCTGAGTCTTTACTCAGCTCTGTCAATTGTCTGTGTGTTGTGCTGGGTGGTCTCAATGACCGTGGCAAAGCCTCAACATGAGATGGAAGCCTATCCCCCATCTGTTTCAGGTCCTCAGCCTTGGCCTTGGCCACCTTTTTGGTTTTTTTCATGCCAAGAGGCTGGGGCTGGTTTCAGGATTTCTTGGCTGTGGACTTTGGGAGCTGATGCTTGAGCCCTAAAGTCTCAGCCTGCGGAGTTTGGCCAGGTGGAGCCCCAGCAGCCTCTCGGGCTTTCCTGGGAGACAAGTCTTGCTTGCCTGCCATTCCTATACTTTCTTCCTCATCCAAAAATACCTCTGGGACTTCACGACTTGAGATGTCAGGAGGTAGTGGTGTTTGCGGGGGTGACCCACCGGTTGGCAAGGGCAGTTGTTGAGAGGCAAGGGTTGGTGGCTCAGCATTTTGGAAGTGGATCTGCGTGACAGGCCGTTGGCCGCTCCGTGGGCCGAGTTGCTCACTGGGAACTGACCCAAGACCTGGTGTATTTGAACTCATATATTGAACTGCGGCAGATTCCCCTAGGTCTGGAGTGAGGTGGGAGTGCATCGATTGCCGCTTCTTCTTGTACACCGCTTTAATGCCCAGTGACTGAGCTAACTCCCTCTGCTGCTGTCGTTTTCGCATTGTTGATGCAGTAAGGATATCTGGCCTTGTGGATGAGGTGACAGCAACAGCATCCTGCGAGACTGCCGCTTCCTGTTCAGACACCATGGTCTCTGGTGGCGCCTGATATTGTCCGTCTTGTCCAGCTTGTAGAATGTTTTGAGCAGCTGGAAATTCAAACTGTGTGACGGGCCGTGAGCCCCATTGCTCTTTGACTCGTTTTGTTGGCTGCTCTACATCTGGCCCTTGTCTATCTCTCTGTGTGGGGTCATCATGTGGTAGCCACTCTGCATTCCTCATCCACTGAGCACTATTCTCTTCAGGCGCTACAGTTCCAGCTGTCAGCAGTTTAGCATCTGCATGTAGTGTCCTCTCAAGGTCCTCACTTTGCCTGCTAATAGGTCTGCTTTCTGGTTGATACTGGCCAGCCACAGCCTGTCTGCTTCCATCTTCACTATAGCTACCGGCCGCTGTTATGTCTGGAAGATTTTGTGGTTGCCCGAGGTGGGCTTGTGGTAAAATTACACTTTTTCCTATTTCTTCCAGATGTCCATGGCTCCCTGGATATCCAAGACTTTGCGTTTTCAGTGAACTGACACCCTGTTGCAAGGGGCTTGGTTCCTCTGTCAAAGATTTTCTCACCTCTGGCTGGGTATATTCCTTTTCATCCTGATCCATCAGTGCTCGTTCATGAGCTTCTTTCTGCTAATGGGCAAGCTCAAGACCAAGAGCCCCCTCCAGTGCCACTGCTTGATCAGTCTCAGCCTCTGCACTGGGCTCACCCATTTCTTCGTCAGCAGCCTGTTGGTGTTCTGAGGACCTCTTCTCTAGTTCTTCTATTGTATGTTCCTGCTCCGGAGATGTTCCCCTCATGGAGAGCCCTGAAGGCTGGCTGCAGCTTGCCGCGTCGTTGACATAATTCATAGAGTGTTCTTGATCAGCTTGCTGGACTAGGACTGATGGTTTACCATCAGTGTCTTTTGTAGAAACACTTTCATCACCTCCCCTAGGGTTACTGTCCAGGTTCTCATCTAATTTAATACTTTGTTGGTCATGTTCCATACTGCCACTCTGCTCTCTTGCCATATTTGTCTCTGGAAATGATATAGTATCGCAGAGAGACACTGTTCCAAGTCCAGCATTGCTGTCTGATTGCATTTCTTCATCAATCGTAGTACCCAAAGGGGCCTGTTGTTGTTCCATCCGCGGCAGCTGTTCTGTCCTCTTGGTTCTGAGCTGCCGACGTTCCCGTCGTCGTGCTTTCTCTTCCCGCTTGCGACGATGCTTCTTGACGTGTCTACCCAGCCATGTTCCGTAGAGTCTCGTCATTGTGCGTGGAATCGGGAACGGTGATGTTTCTTGAAGTGCCAATTTGGTCGAGTATGAGACCAAGGTCACGAAGAGCATATTTCGTTTTATCTCAACTGCCACTTTCAAATACACTTCAGTATACAAACAAAGGACAGAAAGAGAAATCCGCAGCCATGGCTCCGCCATTGTCAAAACTAAGGAAAGCGATAACCACACATATGTATGGGTGTGACCTGTGTACACGAATATCCACACCTTTTTTGGCACAGATGGTCTTACGCAATCAAGAGCCAATTGGAGTGAGATTTGATCATCTTGCCCAAGATATGTTGCTTTGACTTGCATCAGGCAGGAAATGATATAGATGACCTCAGGGTCAATTCAAAAGTGAGCATTGAAAAATATTCGCTTTTGGCTGATGGAAAACGGCGGTAAGGTCCGAAAAAAGAGATACCGAATTGAGTCGCAGCTTCGATAAGATCATAGATCCTTTTTGGAGGCGGTAGGTCCATTTGCTGCGGTTTGTAGCATCCTGCTTCAGCTGTACTCATCTCTGCATAAACTCGCGGTGGAAATCCTGGCACATGTCCAGGAGGTCCTTCTTGTTGCTGCACGCCAGCCTCTCGGCCATGGTACGCATGTGCGTTCAGATTTTGTCCATCGGCTTGGGCTTCTTTTAGCGCTCGCCCGCCAGTGCCAGCGACTGTAGGCATTAAAGGAGAGGTACATTTATGTTTTGAAAAGCCAAAGTGTCTCAATGATGCAAAAAAACCCTCAAAGAGCATTATCTAGTGACCAAATTTGTGTGATGCGGAACAAAAATGAGGCTCGTTCAACTGAATTAGGAGCTCTCTGGACAAATTTGGTATTTCTATAGATCTCCGTGACACGAGTTATCGAGGAGACGACTGGGTTGGCTTGATAATAAGACTACCTACATGTTACATTACAATAGTATTAAAAGAGGTAGGTCCTTGCATTACTGTGGAAACCTTTCAGTGCATTGTGATATAGCTCACCGCAGCCCCGTTTTCTTTCGATGGATATTATTCTAGTATAATGATAAAATTTGCTCCGCTTCGCGCGCACAACTCAATTCCTATAGCAAAAAATGGGGTCATGTTTAAACTTGTGGCGTCAACATACATGAATACATTAGCTCTTCGCACGCGAGAACTCATGTACATTTTGATTAAGCGCATTCATGATGGGACTAAGGGATTGAAGGCCGCAAATCATTCTAGGTCCCTCACCTTTAACTTCGTCGACCAAGGTCTGCCCCATGTAAGCTCCTGTCAATTACCGCCATAGTGGTGCGCTCAAGAGAACTGGAAGGGATCCCTGTATACCTTGGCTTGTCTATTGATCTACCGTCGTTTTCTTGCTCTGTGGAGAACAGACCATGGCACCCGATTAGGAGACGATGCAATGAATGCCTAGATCCTATGGAAGCTCCTCCCTCCGATTATAATGGTCAAAGCGCAAGCGTTCCCTAAATAGGGAAATCTCTTTGGAGCAAAGAGATTTGCAAATCTGGGATAGTTGGGTGTGTCGGGATGTCCCAGCCAACGGGTGCAGACTCACCAAGTCACCCCGCATAATCGCCTTATCCAGATTTTCTGGTGCTTGTAGAATGCCTGAACTCAAAATAGTGGTCTAGTCTCATGATTCCAGAGTATTTAAAGACTTCGTGGTCTATGATCCTTCTCTTTCCGTTAGATCAAATCCGTTTTCATTTGCTTTTCCGGGGAATACACACATCATATCAAACTTGGTATTGTCAATACATCCCACCTTTTAAGGATCGAACTAACTATTGGCATAGCAAAACGTGCTGGCAAAGATGGAAAACACTTGCCAAATTCCCTGATTGCAAAGGCAAAAGCCAGGGCAATTGTATTGAATTCGATCCTCCCAATGACCATATCCAGTGGTGTGTCGAGGCCGAGAAGAGAGGCAGCATTTGCAATCCTGTGACGCCAACGTCCCAAGGGAGTTCGACAAGGCGTGGCCACAACTGCCCTGCGCATCGCTAAGCCAGAATTCTATTAGGATTGTCAGAAGTATGGTGATGGGATCCCGAATTTGGACGGCTGAGGTGATAACCGGAGTATAATTTGTAACGAGGGGTGTGTGTGTTGGTCACGTGACAACGATATTGTATTTAAGCCTTTAAGGGGTCGTCCCAACCCCCTGAAGTACAACACAATCCAATGCTTTGTCTTTTGTCTCGCCATGTCCTCACTCAAGAAGGCGTTGCCATAAAAATCCCGCCAAGGTATCTTTGGAGCTCAGACTCTGATGTTGAAGTAAACCTTCATAGCGTCAGACGCGAGCAAGATGTTTATCGTCGCTTGCAAAGCGCTAATGATGAAGGCTCTAAGGGAATTGTCGGTTGTATTGAGCTATCAGCTGAATCCACCAAACTGGCTTATATGGCTAATGGCGACCTTCGGGCTTATATCAAAGAGTACCAGCCGTCTCATGAGCTTCAACTTGCATGGTTCCGGGAGATGGCACGGACACTCTGTTATATCCATGCAAAACATGTGCTTGTTGCAGATATTGCTACTCGAAATTTCCTTGTTGATACAGATCTGTCTGTCAAAATCGCAGATTTTACTGAGGCTTCTCTCATTCCATTAGAGTCCAATATGGAGACCGTGGATGACAATGGATTTACCACCCAAATCGATGTCGGGCTCCTTGGCGCAGTCATGTACGAAGTCATGACAGGCAAGAAGTGTGAAATTGACCTTTTCAAAGACAACTCTCCCACCGACGGCAGAGCGCATTGGCCGGAGAGGAAGTCTCTGCCTAGCACACAGGGCCTTTGGCTCAGCTGGATAATTGAAGGCTGCTGGGACGGTGGATTTCGCAGTTCCGACAGACTCTTGCAAGCGTTGGATTCTGTCGATCTACGTCTTCCTGCTGCAACTGATCAACCACGCACGGCTCCCTACCTTATTTCTATCAAGGACTTTGTGAGAGATCGGCCGTTCACGACTATCATTGGTGTTATGGGCTTGACAATGTTTACTTTTATGGTCGGTAGGAGAGCATTCGTGATATCGTAGCTTTCTGGTTTTGTAATTGATCTAGCATCTTCACACTGAACAAACCAAGTTTCGCTCTACATCGTTGTCTATGACTTGAATGCAATTCCTTACGATATAAATTGCCAATCCATGGTTTGGACATCAACGACACATGTTAAAAGGGAGGCCATTCCCTTTTGTTGAGCAGAAATGTAGATCCAATCTCCCTACATAGCCGAAATTCATAGAAGGAGAATTTTAATGTATGCCGGTGAGTTCCAGGAAATGATTGAACTGTTCAGTTTGGAGAGGTTTGGTCAGGCCATCTGCTGCCTGTTCTTTGGTCTTGGACCTTCTCCCGAACGTAACGGTAGCATATGTCAATGTGTTTGGATCTCTTGGTGGTGGGCTCGGCTTCGGCCATGGCGTGAGCACCTTGATTATCGATATGAAGAGATATTGGTGGGCATTCAGTTGGGAGCACATTAAGCTCGTTGATGAGATTCCGGAGCCAGAGGGCATCACGGCTGGCTTCGCTTAGAGCCATATACTCAGCTGCATTGGAGCTAAGGCCAGCGGACGTTTGCTTGCGGCTTTTCCAGGCAATTGGGGCTCCGGCAAGCAGAAAGATGTATCCAGAAACTGACCGGCGGTTGCCTGTCAGTTGACCACCCCAGTCAGAGTCAGTATAGCATTTTGGCATGAGGAGGTCAGATGTAATGGGCTCCGTGGGTTTATGATAGGTAATTTGCCGGGCTCATAACCTAATGGAGGTATATCCTTCGTTGGTTGCTAGCTAGACAGGCCTACGTGGTGAAAAGGGTCAGCACACCAATCAAGTCCACCCACCCTGGCCAAGCGCTGACGGAATATCATCTGAGAATGTCCATTACATGATATACGATGGAAGCAGGATCTCTGACCATCAGACCCACTCTTTCACTGTAATAAGCTCAGAAGGTTGACGGACAGCACATCTGTCTGATGAGGATGTGATGAAGAATCAATAAGCAAGGGAAGCAATGCAATGAGGTGGGGGTTCTAAAACACTGGAGGAAATTGAAAAGAGAAACACATATTGGATTGTCTCATGTATCTAGGTACTGCTTAATGAATCCCTCCTTGACAGACATGAAGATACCCCGGCTGGCTCCTACATACCAAAGCCAACACAAAACAGCCTTGTTGAATACGAGTATAAAACATCTATGGGAACCCTTACAGATATCAGGTCTGGTAGTATAACTTTAATATTTGCGGTTTTATACGGTACTGGCAAGGGGAAATACGTAAAAATGCCATTGGAGGTCTTCAAAAAGGACCGATCAAAATTGGTTCGGGTGCGGGAGCATGGTCATGATGATTTATGGAGAATAATGGCAATGGAGAAACTACAATAAGCCCTCCACTGTCTTAGAGATGGACGTACTGTATAATGGGAATAAACTATATACGAGAGCTTCAGTCTACCTGGTCTTTTCGTTTCCCTCCAAGCCATTATGGACTGGGTGTATGCTCTCATCATCAGCTAGTTATCTTCTGGGGTTTCTCTATTTTTGCTGCAGCCTATCGGAAAGGTCCTACTCTTGCCATTGTTATTACTATTGTTGGTTGGTTTATCTCTCTCTTTTTCACAGGCCTAAAGCTTTATCGAGAAAAGCTAATTAGGAAGCGAATATCAGGTATCTTGGGTTCATAGTTCCTCCTTGTGAGACGACGACACTAAGATTTGGCATCCTAGTCCATCTACATGGATCACCACCCACTAAAGAAACGCCGCAGCACTACCAATATTGGCAACAAACCTGCCAAGAAGGAACGTCAAGAACCCGATTTGGAGAAGCTACCGAGTGATATCAGAAATGCAAAGGGCCATGAAAGGGTCCCCAGAGAGCCCCGAGCCTGGATTGTCGAGACTGCGTCTTCGAGGCTCTCTGGTGAAGTCAAAAATCATTGCCCTGATGGTATACATCAGCATGATAATGAGAAGAGCTCATATCTACACATCCCTGACTTTCACAGCGGGCTCCTAGAGACATTTCGATGGAGAGCAAAACACGTGCTACAATATCGGCGTGCAAATGGAGACATTATGGGGGTATATCTACATAGAGAAGGAACGATCAAGAGAAAGACTTTTAGCCGTTGATATGGAAGCCCTGCAGCCGGAGCTCTAAAGGGCCTTTTGGGGTTGTGTCTTAAATACGATTTTGCGATGTCTCATTTGGCTTCGCCCACTTCCAGTGGAAAACACTCCGTTTTGTCCATCACCTCTCTTGTATTTACTGATTTCACGATCTTCTCCTTTTTCTCATGTACTATACAATCCCTATAAACTTTATTGGGTCGCTCTTTAAGTAGTTCAAAGCCCAGGCATCATTTTTTCCCTCTCTCGAATGCTTATGATGTATATAATACAGAGAGGCTGGCCAGTGATACACAATGTCAGCTACTAACTTACTGGAAGAACAGAAAGCGTCACAATACCACCTCGATTCAACTGTTCCCAGTAAGATTATTACAACACACATATTGTTCTTCCACCTGAGCCTATCCTCCGCAACGAGAAGGAATGACTTCTCCCGAGGAGGTAAAAGGAAACGGTATGGACTACGGAGTACTGATGACCTGGTAGTATCCATCCTGCTGACTTTAGCACTTCACAGGAACTATATGGTTGAACAAATGGTTCAGAATCTGTGGGGCTTTGCGGGAGGACAACCTGGTCACGAATAATTACGTTTCCGAACTTGAAGCACGTGTCTGGCGCGAGATGAGTGTCCTCGTGAAAAAGAAACGTGGTGATGAACTCATCATTGCAGAACGTGTCCTAGAGTGCTGGAAGTATTACAGAGCAAATCTATATAGGTGGGACAAAACCAGTGGTTGGAAGGAGTTCACAAAAATGAACTAGGGAGATCAGAAATCACAAAAGCAGTAGCCTGAGTGTTGGCCAAGGCCATAAAGTGTTATTCTCTCCAGCACAGGAATGTGAGGGTCCAAAGCCAGTTTGTAGGTGCTAGCCAGAATATGCATCTTGTGTCCTGTCATTTCTGAAGGTCAGGAGGAGAAGTGATATTTGAAAAGACAAATTGCAGGAGGACACAGTGACTAAGGGGGTATCTGGAGCACACTCTGCCAAAAACATGTTGGTACAGTACAGTAACAAACCTACAGTCACTCACTTACATCACATAAATGACTAGTCAGTTGAGATAGGCCTTCCATATTGCAGTTTTAGGAATTAAAGGACATCCTGTCATGTTAGAGGAATTAGCGCTGCTTCTTGCTTTGCATATAGGGTGCATGCTCTGTAGGGTTTAAACCAGACAGCGATTCACTTGAGCAGTAGCTACTAGGCCCATAGTGAAGTCAGTCTCATCAAAATTGTAGATATCCTCTAATGTAATCCCATGCTGCATTATAGTGATTTGTACACAGTTAAACCACTCTTTAATAACTTTAGGGTTGTGCCGGGGGCACTGCGAAATCCCGGATCTCCCATATTTCCTATCTTAGAACACCGTAGAGCCGCGGTCTCCGACATAAAGTGGAGCGAGGCTCCATCGTCATTGTGTTTCTTCTTTTATCATATCGTTTCCTTACTAGATCGTTCAGTGTGTCCATCCCTGAGATCCCTCGATCACAACCCGGTTCCTGTCGCAGGGAACAACGCACGTACGCCCCCCCTTACACTGTCTAGGAATATCGTACACGAGGAGAAGAAGAAGGAAAGGGAAAAAGGTGAAAGACATGGTGAGGAGGAAATAGGAGGCGAGGGCAGCTGCCTGCCCTCAGCCCTAGCCCTGTGCCCTACTTGCTCAATCTGCTGGCACCTTCTACCTAGGATACTGTCAGGGCCCTTGCCATGTAGACCAGGACGAGCACGTGAGTTTCCTTATTTGGATTAGCGTGGTGCGTGGATAGGAATACGCCGTCCAGCTTCACGTAGATCTCTTCCTTTTTCCTTCCTCTCCATGCTTGAAGTTCTCGTCGATAGCTGCCTAGATAGCTGAATAGCATCCTATTCATCGTCTAGTTGAGCTCCGTGACAGAATTCAGAGTTCTGTGAGGCATTTTTGCAGTTGGTTACTGACCTCAAAAGTGGATCCAACAAGAAACTTCTCCAGTGAACACATATGTTCAGCTGAGAGTCAGTTGCAGCAGTAACCACATAATCAGAGTATTGCATTGCGTTGCATTGCATTCATAAACTTAAGCTAGGGGAGAGAGATTAAAGGGTTCCCATTGCCTTGTCCTTTTCCTGTCATTTTCTGTGTGCAGAACATCTCAGGATGGCGTAGTCTGAAGGATACACAAAGAATATAGACCTAAGGGCTAATAGAATATTCAGCACCCTAGTCCAGTACTCACTCTGGCCAGCTAGTCCAGCATGTGTATAACCATAGGGGAGAGGAACAATTGCTCTTTTGCATAATACAATTAGAAAGGAAGGATGAACTAAATCTGCAACAGTTCGCAGAATTGTATAAAACAGGGAAGCAAAGTAATCCATGTCCTATATCTGATGCCCAATATCCAATGTTCCCTCACAACACCAGTTTATCCAATTTTATGAGTGGAGAAAGGGGCTGTGTTACGGATGCAAGAGATTTCAGCCAGCAGGGGGACACGTCAGCCAACCTAGGAATTCTGCCTGACATCTGCTGGAAAGGAGGTGACAATTGAGGGTGGGAATGTGGGAAACAAGAGAGAAGGGTCGTGGAGCGACGCACTGAGATTTATATAGATGGCAGAGGGTCAGCAGTGGGTGGTGCGGGACAGCTAGCATTGGACACTAAACCTAATCTGGGTCAAGCTAAACCGCGACCAGGGAACGCTATACCGGAACGGGCGGCGCAACGGGCGGCGCCAAACTTGAAATGGAAGGAAGCCGAAAACGGCAGCGCCTCAGCAAATCGCAATTCTAGTCAGTGAGCAAAAGGTGGCGAGGCCTGAGCACTAAAACGGAAAGGGAAAGACTCGAAGGCGTTGAGAAAATCAAGTACGTATGCATTAAAGTGCACAAATAAATACCAATGAAGTGGCCAGCTGCAGTGTAAGTCAACGATAAAAAGCAAAACCAGCCAAAATACAGGGTTAATAGTAATAAGGCACACTTGAAATGTCTTAGAAATGTCCTGCTTGACATCCTCCTGGCTGTAAGATTCCAACTCAACAGATTGCCCATATTTAGAATACCGGGATCCTGAAACCAGTTTCAGCCACCAGAACCATAAGCACAGCAGTCCATATTTTGATAGTGTAGAAAAAAACTCAGAGATGCAAGATAAGCCAGCACAGCCAAGAATTAGGAATCCTATGTGGCGTTGGTGGATTTCTGAGACATGCAGAGTGGATGACTGCGTCTGAGACAAAAGACGCACTGCTGTGTTACTATGTAAGGTTGAGATTGGAAGAATCTGCCGGAGGGGCTTTGGAATGAATGCCGCTATCTAGTCGTTTTTGAGCCCCATCTGTCTAGTCAATCTGCTGCTTTCTGCAGATTATTCCAATCCACCAGCGGCTGGAATAGATAGTCATACAGTGCATGACATAGCAAATAGAGGCAAAGAACCCTTATCTGGTCGTCATATTATTGCATTCAAGTCATTTAGTTCAATCTTATACACATACAAAGCAGCGACTGGGTATATGGCAACATGCAAAGACAGCAGAGAAAAATCCGAAATGACAACAAAAAAGAAAGAAAAGAAAAGAGAAGACAGATGTGCCGCTTGCCATGCCAATGTTGCTTGCTTTTGAAAAACCGGCACCCGAAAAAAGAAGTCTACCATGGATCGAAGCACCATGCGAGACAAACAGATTGATGTATGCATAATCCAGTTATCCACCGGGTCCCTCATGCTTGTTTTGATGAGATGCATCTTTTTGCCCTCGAATTTTCTCTGTTTCAAATGCAAGTCCTGGTCGCATAGATAAATTCAACAATAAATTTGTGGATATCTCATATTATGCCCGAACTCTTGAAAAAAAATTCCTAAACACGGAAACCCCCACGCTGAATTGGAACAAATGAAAATAAAAGGATGAATAGGAGAACCGCATATGTTAGCTAACCTGCTCATGCAGTCCTTGAGAAGGTACCTAGGCAGCCAGCGCCCGATCAAAGCCCATTATGCTGCTGTTGTTGTGAGAATGATTCTGCTTCCTCTTTCCAAGTCCAAAGGCCGACAACCTGGCACGAAACCCGGGTTTGTGTTTCTGTTTGCCACTGCCTCTGGGACCAAGGGGAACAGATGGACTCCATGCGGAGTCCACGAAAGTCCCACCAGCGGTCGGCTGACGGCTCCTGTGTTGAGGAAATGCGATCCCCTGGTGCATAGAGGTGCCTGGCTGATATCCCAGGGAGGATGGATTGCGAACAGACGATGCCCTGGGCAATGTCGCATAACCAGCCGCATCGACATTCACGATACCGGTCATTTTTTCCATGACGGTGCGTTGCAGATAGATTCTCCGCTGTAAGTCTTCCGGCATCTCGCCCACTGGCATTTTTGTTGAACTGGGTCCGATGATGCCAGTATACATCTTTTCCATGACGGCGCGTTGTAAATCGAATTGCCGCTGCGTCTTCTCTGCGGTACCCATGACGTGTACGATTCCGCCTGGGTTTATAACCACAGCACTGCCGCGTCGCTGGTGGAGACCAGATGAGCCTAACTCAATTGCACTACGCGGCCTCTCCCTATCATATCCTAGAGGAGCATCCATTTCGGGACTCGATGGTTGTGACGGAGACAACGAGAAGCCGCCGACACCAAAGCCGGTTCTAGCATCGTCCCAAGCCGGCAGCTTCCGAGAAAATTTTCTGCGCACCGATAGAGAAGGTCGTGGCTGCGAATGGCTAAGAACTCTGTATGGAGAAAGTGTCGCACTTGTGTTTGACTTGAGTTGGGCACTATCTAGGTCGGCCTCCCCTTCGGTAGGACCACATAAGGGACTAGCATCGCCAGTGGAGTGCGGCCCATTAACCGGAGGCTCATTGTCATTCAATTCAATAGAAGGCATGCGGGGTTTGCTCATGCAATCGAATGAAGGTTCCGCGGTGACGGTCAGAGGTCGCTCTGCAGATTGACGGTGACTGGATGTTTCCTCGCTAGAGAGCGCAGAAGGGATAAGATTCAAGTTGTTCATGACATTAATGGCATCCTCAATCGTGAAATCGACGCCAGAACCACGTGCTGGTGCGCCATTTGGAGACTGCTTTTTTGCCTCGTTGGGCTGTTCAACATCGAGGTCAACATCCGAGTCGTGATCCTCTATTTTAGAAGAACCACCTAGCATTTCATCCAGAGTTAGACTATTAGTCTGCAGAAGACCGCCATCCTCTGTAGTCTCAGTTGTAGGGCCATCCTGCCCTGTCACTAGTATTGCAGGAGCGATCTCCGACTGGGTTGAGTCCCGCACGGGCTTTCCCCTTTCAATAGCGAGGAAAAGTAATTTGCAAGCGTATCGCACGTCAGCCTCTAATTCAGGAGGCAGTTGCTGGCGTTCAATCAATGGGGAGGAAGGTCGAAAATGCCCCGGGGTATCTACAAAATCATAGTATCGATGGCGTTCCTCAGACGGGATGTTGGATTTCTGATGGTTATTTTCGACATGTGAGATTTTGATTTCGGTTGGCCGAGAAACAAAAAAAAAAAAAAAAGCATGCGGGGCCAAAAGGAAAACAAGAACCATTAAAGTTAGCAGCACATACCTGGGGGCCAAATATAAATGGTAAGGATCGTCGCTTTCTCAAGCTTTTTCTTGAGAGCTTCAGTTCCATGATGAAAAAGGACGGGCCAGCCGAGCGAACAGTGGAAAGGTGAGGGAAACAGAGAGTGTATTTAAACGAAACCGAAAAGGTCAAGTCGGGAAGACCCAGGCGTTAGAAACCCGCCAAACTTAAATAGGCTATAGGCTTTCAAGTCTAGAAGTCCCAAATAAATAGTGACAGTTGGCAGTGATCCAGAGCGGAAGCACGGAGATAGGCCAGCGTTGCAGCAAGACAAATCACTTTGTGCAGATGGCAATGATAAGCAAGGCCGACAGTCGCAAGGGAGGGTCAGCAGCGTATCAAGGTGATACAGGAAGATAAAATGCGCGGATGGGAGCGTGCCATAACATAGGCCCCGATGAGATCCAGGTGAAGGATGGATAGGGGTCAATGGTGAGCCGGAAATGCGCCAAAAGTGATGGTTGCAGCGGGCAGGAGCATTTGAAGGTCGACAAACGGATCGACAAGGCGGAAGTTCCGGGATCACGAGCGGAAGTATGCACGGAAGAACAATGCAAGTTAAGAAATACCCCTGCAAGACAGGGCGAAGGACGAAGACGATCAGCGACAAGGGAGAAAACCGGAGGGGGGAAAAGGGTTGCATACCGCCAGTCAGAAACGCACAACCGGAGCAAAATTGAGTTTAGTCCCCGTTTTTGCGGGGGTCTGCCAGGACGAACCGCGAACAGCAGGGATTGGCACAGCCAAGGTTCATGTCATGGGATGACGCAGTCGGGAACGGATTCGTTGGGAGCTTAAAAGTTGGTATCAGACGTCATGCGGAGGTCAGCCGAGGGCTGGAAACAGGGCCACAGTGAAATAGGACAACGCTGATGAGAGGATGAGAGGATGGAAGGAGAGATGGAAGATGATACTACAGGATACAGACAGACAGATAGTAACGGAGGGGGAGGGAGAGAGAGAGAGAGGGAATATATTTGGAAACGCGAAGTCTGTCGCTCAGTGCAAACAGTGACAAACAGTGTCACATGGTACCCAGTCACATGGCAGCCCTAGCCTGTATCCAGCTGGTACTAGTGCTTTCGCTAGCCCTATTTAGCAGGTGGTATACCTAGGTACATAATTTATAACGATCACAGGCCCAGCCAGAACCTCGTGTTCTCAACCCGGAAGCTCCCCTGCAGCACGCCGTCACCAGTGCCCGTAACATCCACTCCGTACGCCCCCTTCTCGGAAATCCACGCCTCCCGCTGCTCATCCCACCAGCTGGTCGCCCGCTTCTTCTCCAGATTGATCTCTACCGTCTTCTCCTCGTCAGGCTGGAGGAATACCTTTTGAAATCCCTTAAGTTCTCGAACGGGTCGGTTCACAGTCGTTTCGGGAGGCACAACCCACACTTGAACCGTCTCTGCGCCTGCTACGCTGCCCGTGTTCTTCACTGTTAGGGACACGGTGATCATTTCGGCGGAGGTGAGTTTCCCGGGGTCCTCGGGAGACGACACAGCAACGGAGAGGTTCGAGCGGACAAACGTTGTGTACGATAATCCATAGCCAAAGGGGAAGAGAGGCGCTCTCTTGCTCTTCTCGTAGTACCGGTATCCGACGTAGATGTCTTCGCCGTAAAGCACTCGACCTCGTTCGGATCGGAAGTTCAGGTACGATGGATTATCCTCCAGGCGCACCGGGAAGCTCAAGGGGAGCTTGCCCGACGGGTTCTCGTCACCGTAGAGAATGTCTGCAATGCCGTTGCCGGCTTCGTTGCCGCCATACCAGGCTTGCAGGAGGGCACCGGCTGCATCAGCCCATGGCATAGTGACTGGCGTGCCGCTCTGGATGACGACCACGGTGCGTGGGTTGGCCTTCAGAACCCGAGAGATTAACTCGTCGCTTCCTGCAGGGAGATCCATGTCAGTCCGGTCGTGGCCTTCTTTTTCCCAGTCGCTGTTGAGTCCCGCGAAAATGGCCACCTGGTCGAACTGGGAGGCTAGTTCCACAGCGTTGGAGATCAATTCCTCCTGGCTAACACGGCGGCAGACGCCAAAGCGGAACATGCCTGGACCGAATGCATGGATGGGGATCTTCAGGTCAGAGGTCGGAGAGCTGCCAAACTGGAAGAGAACCCTGTAGGTGTTCCCAGCCTTGAGCTCCTTGGACCCTTTTTCTTCCACGGTGCCGTAACCAAAGAAACCAGGTCCCTGGCGCTGGTTCTTGGTATTGTCGACCACAACTTCATCGTCAATAAGAAGTTTGCCCGTGCCGGCTACCATCACACCAAATTCGTATATGCCATCCTCTTCGGGCGTGAAGAAGCCTTCCATATCTGCATACCAGGTCATGGACTTGATCTTTGGATTTACATAATCCGCAAGGAAAGATGCCGATGAGATCAGATGTACCTCGTCAACTGCTTCCCGATTTGCGGCCCCTGGTGGTTCGTTGTATGCACGGAATATGAACCCGGTCTTCCCATCGGCCGTTTTCAACATCGGGCCGAGTAAGGGGAGCTCTGCGTGGGAATAGACACCCTGGGAGAATCGCACTTCGCCCTTGCTCTTGGACGAAACACCCTCGAAAGGTGTCACAGCATAATAGGGGGGTAGCGCAGCAGATCCACCGCCGCAGTAAGCCGCCGTTTTGGCATTTGGACCGATTACCAGAATGGACTTTGACTTGTCAAGCGGGAGAATATTTCCCTTGTTCTTCAAGAGCACCACCGATTGGGCAGCCGCCTGTCTAAGAAGCGTCTGATCCTGTGGCCGATTGAGGGTGGTTTCTTCCGCACTCTGAGGGATCCCAGACCGTTCAGCGAAGTTGACCAACTTCAACACATTCCGCACTCGATCATCCAACACGAACTCGGGAACTTTGTTGAACGACACGGCGTGCATGAGGGCCGGCCCACGCCATTTGGTTTTGCCCGGCATTTCCAGATCCAGACCAGCCAAGACAGCTTCGGATGTGCTGTATGTTCCGTACCTTTTTTTTAGCGCAGTAGTCAGCGGGGATGCTTGATAATTGCTCGCAGGCCACTCAGCAAGTTGTTGTTATTGCATACCAGTCGCTCATGATCAACCCATCCCATCCCCATTCCTTCCGTAGAATTGCGTCAAGAAGGTCTTTTCTCTCGCTGGCATGGGCCCCGTTGACTCTATTATAGGCAGTCATCACGCAAGTTGGTTTACAGATGCTCATGGCCACCTGGAACGGGAGCAGATAGATCTCTCGCAATGCCCGCTGCGTGACAATGCTACTGACGCCCATCCTCTCATGCTCTTGGTCATTACACACAAAATGCTTGAGGGTTGCTCCGACGCCCTTCTCCTGCACACCCTTGCAGTAATAACCTGCCAGGGTTCCCGAGAGAACGCCATCCTCGGAGAATGATTCGAATCCCCGACCACCTAGCGGAGACCGCTGGATGTTGATGGTAGGTCCCAGGATCACATGGACGCCCTTGGCCCTTGATTCGTCAGCAAGCAGATGGCCAAGTTTGGTCAGTAACTCCGTGTCCCAAGTTGCACCCAAAGCAGTGGCACAGGGGAGACACGCAGCCGGGACACCGTTGAAGAATTTGGTTCCGCGAATGCCATTAGGCCCATCTGAAAGACGGACTGAAGGGATGCCAAGGCGCTCTATAGGCGCCGTGTGCCAGAAGTCGATTCCTAAAGGCGCGTGTGAGCATGGTCGAGCATTGCGGAGCGAGTGAAATAACATGAACTATAGAACGGTCTTATGAAGGAGAAACTCACCAGCTGTAAGATCTACCTTCTCATCCAGAGTAAGCTGAGAGATGACCTTTTCCACATCCAACTGAACCATGGTGCGTAGTTCGTCCTACTGATATACTCCCAGACACCACGTACGTGCTACCTAGTCGTTATGGGGTGAAATGTAGAGAGAAGAGAAATAACGCAAGAATTGATAACAAATCCGATCCGCTGATAATAGTGAAGCAGAATTGGCAGAAGAAAGCAGCATGAGCAAGAGAAGACAAGAAGCAAGAGAGACAAGCATCGACATGAGAAAGAGGGACAGAGGGGAAGGTGGACCGTGGCTTATATTGCCCGAAGATTACCCGACCGAGATATCAGACAACAAATCCAGCTTCTGAGAGACAGAAGAAGTGATCTATCTACCTATGCATGGCAATCCGTCAGCGTTTAGCTGTCGAGAAATAATGGGATTTTGAGTCTCACTTGCAATCATGGGAGGAAATACACGCAGCGCTACGATGGCTTCCCAGTGTTTGCATTATGCTGTGATTATAAAAGATTGTTAGACTCCCTCTCTATAGTCACCATACATGGAGATACAAATCTACAGATTTTACCCCATGAAACTCAGATCAGATCGATCTAATACATATATATGTCCCTCCTGGAGAGATTGAAGGCTGACGGGAAGTAGTCCAAGCAGACTCGACACAATCTGCTCGCATAATATATACATACGCAGCGTAAATACACCTTTTAAGGGAATCCATCACCATCATAGGACCCTCCTGCTCTTTTACTAACTCTTTTATAACTAGGAATATAGACATTGAGTAATTAATGGCGTTGATAGTAACTTCTCGAGCATCTGCTTGTTAGGGTTAGGTTATTCCCCCCAACTCACCAATTCACCTCAGCCAAATATGGAGATCAAACAGAATGCATGGATTGATTATACACAGGTGGAGATGCAGAAGATAAAAATCATATCATTTATCATGGGGGTATTCCTCCAGTGTCTATGCCGAATATGTTACTCCTTTGCAATGCGTCTGCATTTCAGCAGTTCGTAGGGGGAAAAAAGTGTCTTCAAAACAATGCCTTCGCCGGATATACAGTACACAAACCCCAGGAACTGGTGCAAGCTTCGACCAGGGGGAAACTGTTCTTCGTAGGATACAAGAATAAAAAAGAAATCTTCTGTCGTGAAAGTGTCGAATCGAATAAGAAAAGTGGAATCGAATAAACCGAAAAAGACCATGCATTGACAGGTCCAAAGCAATGCATCTGAGATATATGCAAACAACGATGATCAAGATGATAGAATTTCAACCCCCATTTCCCCTTTCTCTGCGTTTCCCATAGTAACTATCTCCGTCAATAACCCCTCGCAGTTTTCAAGACATATAATCCTGCTTCCAACTATCGATCAATATCCCCATGGGAATTTCAAGCTCCTCGTCGTGCCCGTTTACTTTCGCCTCCCATTCTCGTGCCTCCTCGTCCTCCTTCGGCATGGCTGCCATCATCACCACCTCGCCCACGTTTCCGATGGGCATTTGTACCATTAGCGCCACCCTCACGGTTATATTCCCTATTATCTCGAGGACGATCTCGTTCCCTTTCCCTTTCCCTGTCACGATCACGGTCACGATTGCGATCACGGTCACGATTGCGATCACGGTCCCTATCTCGATCACGGTCGCGATCTCGATCTCTGTCCCGGTCCCTGTCACGGTTATCCCCGCGCCGGCCACCCACCATCGGAGGCGGCGGTGGAGGAAGAGTGCTTTGGCCACCGGTAAGGGAAGGAGGTGGGCGGAGACGACCTGCACTATCATGGCCACTTTGTCCAGCATCGGAAGCCTCATCGCGGTCTCGACGGTCGCGTCTCCTAACTTCGTCGCGGGAAGCGGTTCCCCGACGTGAGGAAGAGTCTCGAGAGTCATGACGCTCATCGCGTGGCGCACCGACAGGGGCATTAGGCTCGGTTCTTCGACTGCGTTCGCGATCGAAATCAGTGCGCTCCCTGTGGTCCTCTCGGCGATTGCCACTTCGAGTGTCCTCTTTGTCCCCAGCACGGCGATCACGCTCCCGATCTCTATCACGATCACGGTCTCTATCCCGGTCTCGATCATCTCTGTAGCTCCCCCCTGTAGAATGACGTGCAGATCTTCTTTGCTCAGAGCCAGGCTGGTCTAATAAATCAACTCTTCCGCTACCAAGACGATTCCTACCACCGTGACCATCGTCTTCAGGTCCCGAAGACCTACCAGGTAAGAGCTCTGGCCGACCGGGTGCGGGCCCAGAGGCAGGAGAGCGACTAGCATCGTCTCCCGAGGGAGTTTGCGGTTGAGTAGACTGCGGTGAAGGCGCACTTACAGCACCTGACTGTCGGCCTGCGGCTCTTCCACGGATCGAAGTACCACGTTCTAGAGGCCCACTTGATTGTTGAAGCATACTGTTGATCCCGGCAAACCGTTTATCGCTGCGCCCACCTCGATCATTCCCAAATCCCGGGCCCGAGGAGGGCCCCCTGATCGGGGACGGACCAGGCCCTGAACCACGAGGTCCCGAAGGGGGAACAATACCTCCGGGAGTTCCACGCATACCCCCATAGGCAGGGGCATCGCTAGGAGGCTGTTGTTGCATGACCTTAAGTCGATCGGGATGAATGCCGCTGGTATCGAGCCTCTCTGCCGTCGGCGAAGTCAGGGCAGGAGGAGAAGGCTGTCTAGGAGCATTGCGCATACCCTGTCGACCAGAGGGACCGGTTGGAGGTTGACGGTCTGATCCCACCGCAGGTGCATTTCCTGAAGCTGCCGGTGGAGGAGGTTGGAAATTAGAGCTAACCCTTTCACCTCGCCCAGCGGGATTTCGACTCCTCGGACCAGAAGGAATATCGGGAGGCTCTAACGCGCGCAATCGCCCATGGGTCATGTCGGGTCCCGGCAGAGTTTCCCTCAGCTCTGGGCCATCGATAGGGCCTCGCGCTGAGCGCTCACTGCGAGGACCTGTTGGGAAGTCGTCATATCTGGAAAAGCTTGCTGACCTACGGTCATCAGGCGCAAAGCGATCTGGACGGTTAGAGAAGTCTGGCCGTATTGGCGATGGGCCCCTGGATGGATGAGCTCTTGGTTCTGTTCTCGTCGGCGATACACCGCCAGATTGAAGAGCTCTAGCTTCCGTCCTTGGCTCCCCGCGCCGGTCTGTGTGTTCTCGCGTATCTGCACGATCAGCACGAGTCTGGGGAATTGAACGTGGTGGCATTGGGCCTTCTCGGGGTGCACGATCGGACTCTGACCGCGCATGAAAAGCATCTGATTGAGAACGCAAACGTCCTGACCTGTCTGGCCAATCTGGATCTCTTAGAGATCGCCCGTCCCGGTAACCAGGACCGCGGAACGGTTCGTCTGGCCTGGAAGGGAAGTCCCTATCGCCTCTGGGCGGCTCGAGCCTATCCCGACGGGGCAATGGATCAAACGGCCGTTCATGGTCATGATCACCATACCGACCAGTACGAGGGTAGTCGGAGTGTCTATCGCGTCGATCCTCCAAAAGATCCGGTCGCATTGGCAACCTTGCGTCGCCATGCCGAGGTCTATTGGGAATGCTGACAGCTCTGTCATAGGGTGGGCGCTTCGGAATGGTCGCATGTTTACTGGGTTCGGACGGTTTAGGACTGGTACGAGGCTCCACTGGCGGAGGCGAAACACGAGCCTGGGAAGCAGGTTTGACTTCAGTCCCGGTTTCAGAAGTTGTGACGGGTCGCCTTTCAGCATCAATTTGCTCTTGTTTGTCAGTAAGCTGAGTTGCAGCAGCTATACCAGCTTCCACAGGAGGCTGTGCCATTGAATCCGCTGAAGGAGTCGTATCAACACGCTGCGCCGGTTGCTTCTGGGGTAAAGGACCAGTCTTCTCCGTGACCGTCGTCGTCACGTCTGCCATCTTCGCATCCTCGATTTCCCCATCCTCGACTTCCAGCCTTGTAGTTGTTTCGCGGGTGGAGAAACCGTCTCTGCGATAACGTAAATTGTAATTAGACAAGCTCGTCAGAACAAAAATGCTTCAAGAAATGGACCAGTTCACTTACACATTAGATGGGGAAGGCTTGAACTCAGTAGCGGCAGCATTAAGTGGCGTTGTTGTATGCTGAGAATAGCCAATAGACTTTCCAGCGGGAACAGTTCCTTTGTCGGCAGGTGGTTGTTCCTTCGAAGTCGGGGGAGTAGCCTCACCTTGGGCCTTTGCAGACGGAGGTGGAATAGGCGAAGTCATAAAGGCTTGGGGAAGCATCCATTTTTTCTCTCTCCGGTTGAGGTCACCAATCAAGGACGCCGCAGAGATCTTAACATCGTCTCGCTCATCGTTTTTGCTCAGATCGGTGACGCTCTTCAACATGTCGCGACCAATCCAGTTCACAGCGGGGAAGGATTTCACGATTGCTTTCAGGACACTGATAGCATTGCGGATATGCATATATTCGCCGCCATTCAAGCAGGTCTTCAAAGATTGCGCAAGCAAACGGTGCCATTTATACAGCAATCGACGGAAGTCTTCGTAGTCCAAAAAGCTAGTTGGTTTGCCTTCAGGATCCACAGTTTTCGCAAATCCAGGGAAGGTTTTATTGACGCCAAATGCTTCCTTTTCGTAGACTCCCTTATCAGCATGCCACCGACTGAGATCGCGCAGGATCTCGTTCAAGAAACGCCCCAGATTGTCGGCTTCCTTGGAAGTACACAGGAAGATGAGAGCTGTAAGTCTTTGGTCCCGAAAGAGCTGATCCAGTAGCCCAATAGTCCGAAAGTTTGGAGTGCCTGAGCTGTGGAGAAATTTGAGCATCTTGAAACAGTAGAATGCGTCGATAGGGGACAAGAGTACACGAGGGAGGAAACACTGCTCCAGTAATGCAACATTAAGAGCGTCATGTTTCCCTCGCATACCAGCAAACCATCCGTCTTTTTCCTTCTGTAGCCTTGCCCTGGTCCGAGTGTAGAAGCCCAGATGGCTTTTGTTTTCCTCTAGAAGCCGGTCTTGAAGTTGTGCGATTTGCTTCTTCTCCCTCTCTTTTCTCTGGGTTCCAGCCATGCTGATATCTGACCGGTCATTCTGAATAGCAACGATCTTTCTCTTCAGACGATCAACCTCATCTTCGTAAGCTTTTCCGGGAACGTGCACATCGTAGAGTGATAGTTGCCAGAACGTGACATAGAAGTTTAGACCTGTAACGCCCCAAGCATCTTGCGGGAAAGTGGACTTGACTTGATCAATAAGTTCTTGAAACACTGGGTTCAAAGCAGAGGCCTCGTGGTTTATAGTACCGGCTGAAGAGGCAGGGCGCGGTTCAGTGTTGGCTTGGCTGTTTAATTCAGACTGCGAATCGTCCCTATTCTCTTGCTGAATTTTATCGAGATCCATACCGCTTCCCGCAATTGAACCCTCGTCCTTGGCAGTCGCCTCTCCATCATCTGTAGTATCCATTTCATTTTTACCGGGCTTGGAGCCGGATACCGCTACACCTTCGCGAATTTTAACCGACGTCTCCTCCTCTTGTATTTCTCGTTCAGCGTCTGCAAGCCTCCGAGAGACACTTGGCCGACGAATCCAGAAAGCAACTTCGGGCTGGATGCCGTACTCACCGACGAGAGAAGCCAGGTCAGGGACGAACGAATCAAATTCGTCAACCGACAAGTTACTACGAAGCAAGCTCAAATACTGTGTCAAGACACGGTGTATCTCGTCGAAGACATTGCCCATTAGTTTGAGCTCAGAGCCCTCATCCGATTCCCTGAAAACGCACGTCAACCGCTCTTGAGCAATAGAAATGAGTAGCCGACCAGCAAGTTTGGAGGCGCTTAGGGACCTTATGAGCCGTTTAGATGTTGTCTTCGATTCGTGCCGTTTATCCAACAGTTGCAAGATGATTTGAGCCTGGAGAATTTCACCGCCGCCCATTGCTTGAATCTGCGAGTCATTGAAATTGGTGTCCGAAATGATGCCTGCCATGGAGCTGATCATTTGCTCAAGAACGATGAGATCGGTCGAATTGTTATGTCGCAGTTGTTCTGCCACGTATTGCAATACAGGGGTTGGATCCATTACCGAGTACCGCTTGAAAACCCGACCTGCAAAGGTGGCCAGGGCATTCAGCCAGCGGCTGGTCAATAATCCTCCCTCCTGGACGCGACTCCGTCCTTTCTGGCCGAGAGAATTTACCAGGGCCCAAGTGAGAATATCATATCCAAGGTAAGTGAAATAGCGGGCGCACTCCACCACGACTTCGATAAGGTTCTCATAGGATTCAATTTGGTTTATGGCAGTGATAATCACAATCCCTGGATTGGCATACGCGATTTTCGCCAACGCACGGGCCATAGGCCTGATATTTGTCTTGCTCAACCTCTTGAGGACATCCTTGGTCTCCGCTTTGGCCTGATTGAAAGCAGCCGCTATGTCAGGGAGTCTTGATGTTTGACCAGAATGCCACTCTGCATACATGTTATATCGGACATCCCTGGGAAAGGAGCTTACGAGCTGGAAAATCTCGTTGATCACGCCAGGGTTTGCCCTGGTCAAGCTGACGGCTGGAAGCAGGAGACGCTTGCAGAGATCCTGCCAGCGCATCCTGTTCTCTTTCGAGTCATCCTTGCTTAAGCTATCTTTCCCAATTCTCGCAAGTTTGGTTAGCAGACTTGGATCCTGGCCGATTTTGTGCCCAGAAAGGTTGAGGAAGGTCGAGCAGAGAACAAATACATCGTCGACGGTCTGACAAAGAGGGATGTTATCCGCCCAATCGTCCCAATAAAAGCGGTAGTCCGTTCCATCATTTGTATCTTCTTTGTCGAGTTGTGCCCACCGTAACACTCTCCTCGGAAGGGCCTGAGTAAGCCGTATCTGTCCCTTTACCACTGATGACTGCTCTTGACTGACGATTTGCTTCTGTTCCCTAAGCTGGTCCGCGGACGGCAAGGGTCGCAGCGGAGCATAGATTTTGCTCAACATTTGGTGGAGGATGCGGTGAATGAACTCGGGCAACTCAGGATAGGCATCCATGAGCCAAGGAAACTTGCTCAAGATAAAGAGGGATTCAGGCAGAGCGCCAATTGCAAGCAGACTCTTGAGTAGTAGTACCTTTTGATCTGAAGGTTCTGGTAGATTGTCCTTCTCCTCTGGCTTCGCAGGTTCCTTTTCTCCTTCTTTCGTAGCAGGAGTCGAAGAACGCGCCTCCGAGTCTCGAGTACGGGGAGCAGGGATGGTATCATCAGACAAAGCACCAGCCATCATTAAGGCATTCATGCCTCCACCTGGCCGCGCGGCTCGCTCCCTTTCTGCCTTCTCTTTCATCTTTTCCTCTTTCAAGGCGTCCATGGAATCATCTGGCCGCCAGAGATGAGGGTATAGATCTCGCAGAGAGACAAACCCCACCTTTATTAACAGCGCAGCCAGGTATATAAGATTATCTGGGAGAACGTCCGACTTGTTACGAGCGCTGGAGGAGTAGAACCGAAGTTTAAACCCAAGCAGCTGGGCAGCGACACGGTTGCCTTTTGGAGGCAGAGTGTCCGTTTCCTCGATCCACTTTCGGGTCTCAGTCTCCTCCTCTGAAAGTCCATCACTGGTTTCTGTTAGTATTTTTCGGCGCTCTTGCTCAGACAGTGGTTTTCGGCCAATCTCAAAGAAGCCGCGAATTCCAATTTCCTTCACACGGTCCCAGAATATCCGGTCGCGATGTTCGTTCGCTCGCATATTTTCCGCACGTTCTTCATCCGTGGTCGCCCAGCCAGGTGACCCCGGCAAAGCCCAGTTAGGAAGCCCAGAGTCGCGTATGCCTCCCTCGATACTGCGGAAAATATCATCCTTAGGCCACCAGGAGCTTGCCCGTAAGAGTTTCACAAAGAAACGGTATTGCTTCACTAAAACAGCCGCGAAAACATCGAGGGTGACATCCAAGACACGGCCAACGTCCATGTCGAAAGCACCAATCATGGCCTTGACCCGTTCGAATGTATCTTCAACGACTTCGCTAGACGGTGGTTCATTATTGCTGGTAGTAAAGAGCTCTGTGAGTAATTTGGAATAACCTTCGGACTCCTCCCGTAGAAGGTTATAGTTCGACTGTCGGTAGAGAAGGTTGGTCTGCTTGCGGATACCCATGCGGTTGAAGGTTTCACGGACGAGTCCTAACGACTGGAGAAGAGGTGTATCAAGCTGGAGACGCATGAGGGCTGGAGGGATCCCAGTCGAGAAGACAAGTGGCTTCAGGGCACTGTTCGATGTGTCTGCATCTGTAATAATAGACAGGGTATCGAGGAAAAGCGAGCGACCATCGAGAACAGGGCTCGAGACCGCTCCATCACCATCCATGTTCACATCATCGGATGCAATATCTTGACCTATTATACCCTTCACAGCTGATCCTGCTTCCTCTGGGAGTAGCCGGCCGTAAAGACCAGAATACAGAAGCTCTTGGTATAAAGAGGCCAATTCCGGAATGTCCCCCTGTGACAGTGCAGAGGCTCCATCCGTCACAATCTTCTGCTTTCCCGAAGATGTCCAATCGGCGATGACGCTATCCGTGACAAACTCGTACTTGTAAGGCGCCGGGGGCGCTGGCGGGGAGCGAGGAATTTGCGTAGGAGGCGGCATAGTCTGTTGCTGCTGCTGTCGCAATGCCTGTTGCGAGGAAACAGAAGGCGGCGAAGGCTGTCGACTTATCGCTGGTGATGCCCCATTTGTCTGCGTCTGTTCGGGTGTCTCCCTAGCCGGTGTTGCGTTGTTGGATGGTGAAGACACCGCCGTGTCTCGCTGGTTGCCTCCCGCATTCTGAGAATCGCTGGGCCTCCGACCGGGTCCATTTCGGCCGCCTCTATTCGACTGTCTCCGCAATGCTCTTCCACGTGATTCTTGGTAATCGCGAGGTTGATGTTGGGCCATGTTGAGATTCGCTGGTCGATGAGGAGAGGGTCTTTGTCCGTCATTCGCAGCATCGCCCGACCACGACCTGTCTCCTCGCTTCCTCTTTCCTACTGCACCTGGAGCCATGACAACTTGGTCAAAGCAATTATTTAACGAATGAGATTATGTCGCTGGCAAGTTGCAACTCATGAGTGACAAGACTAGGATGGAAAGAGTCAGCCATCGGGGCTCGCGTCGACGACAAAAAAACGAGCGAAAAGAATGAATAAGTACCTGTTGCTGGGGCCTCATGTGGAAGAACAAAAGCAAAAGGCTCTAAGAAAAGAGCTGACTCTTTGAGAGAGAATAAAGACGATGTGGAGAGGAGGATAAGCTGGAGAAATCGATACCTGCTTGGCCGAAGCAACAAAGCCTGCCACTAAACTCGAAGACCGCCATGACGTCTTAGTCATCAGCCGGTCTGCGGTGTAACTAGAAAAGTGAATGGGAGAAATCCAGTCAAGACAGAATAGATTCCCTGATAGTTCCATTGAAGTGCAGACCCATCGTTATTGTTCTTGAGTTGTATTCTGGCTGTGAAAAGTCCAGGATATTCACTACATAGAATGCAGCTCATCAAGTACTCTCTACACTACGACAACAGATGCTACATCCTACCATTTAGCATGAGAGAGATTTGAAGATATACTTAGTAGATGAACGATAATGAAGATGTGCAATTCCGGTCCATGATGAGATGAGAGCCTAAACAGATGCGTGCGTTCCTCCGGAGAGACAGACAAACACCACAGAGCCCGACTATAACAGGCCAAGACTCTTCGCTTGAACCTCGACAATATCAGAGATGATATCGAACAGCTTAGGTTTCTGAGGACTCCATCCCAACAGCTTCCTAGCCCTAATGGCATGACCTCTCGAGTTGCTCCCCCACATATACAGCCCGAAAGGCTGCAGGGTCTCGATCTGCTCGTCGGACAAGGGCTCAACCTCCGGCGATGGAATCAAGCCCTTATCAAAAGCAGCCTTGGCCACTGCACGCTGAACATCACCCCAGACGAATGACCCGTTCTCGGCGAAATAGTATCCCTTGTCGTTCCAGGTGGCATCTCCACCCCCTGCGGCGGCCGCCTCGCCCAGTGCGAGGTAGACGTTGCTGAGATCCTGAACGTGAATGTAATGCCAGATATTTTTTCCTTGGCCGAGCAAGAGACCCTTCTTTCGTTTGAGAACGGTCTCGGTCAGAGTATACACCTGGACGCTCTTTGTATTGCACGGTCCACGTCCTGGGCCATTAATGCAAGGGGGGCACACGATCGCCGTCTTTACGCTCTCCGGAGCTCTTTCGCCAGCAGACAGAATGATCTTGTCGACGTCGCGGTGCAAGGCATCATCCGGCAGGTGGGTAAGCTCTTCAATTCCGTCCCAGTCGTTGAATTCCTTGGAGCGTTCGATACCCCACGATTTGGCACGGAAGTCCTCGTATGTCAAAATACCGGTCCCGGAGGTGTGGATGAGCCACAGGGGCCTCTCTGGGGGGTGGTGGGTGGCGCCCCTCGCGATGGCTGTTGCAGCAGCGACGTGGTCGCAATCAGCGAAGTCTGTGAGATCATAAATTAGCAAAACACGCGACAGAAAAGGATCAGGGAGGAGCACGCACGGAAAACAATATCGGCTTCCGCAACCTCTCTTTCGATTATATCCGCCGAATCGAGATCACCCTTGACGATCTTGACCTTGGGATATTTGCTCTCGACCTGCGCGGCTTTGTCTGGGTTTCTGACAAGAGCCGTTATCTCCCAATCAGGGTGGGCGTTGACGATATTATACAGGCCATCTCCACCGATATATCCTGTAGCACCTGTGCTGGAATTGCGAAGATATATTATCAGCAGTTTACGTCGCATATAACAGTGCGGGGTCACTTACAGGAAGACTTTGGGAGCTACCATTTTGGCGCAGGGCTTCTTGCGGTTCAGGTTAACGCTTCTGTACAGAGTTGGACGTGTAGAAGAGGACAGAGGCGATGGGTCTCTCCGCCGATATTCTGAGAGAGTGACAGGCATGCCATTATTAATACGGAATGGCACCGAAAAGAGTCAGGACACCGCGAGATTCGATATTAACAAGTTCAGGCGGGGATAGAGTTCCATAGAAACTATGAGCTTGTGGAGCGCCGAAGCCCATAGGCACAATAACTGGCTCGGGCGTCCCACGTCTGATGTAAGCGTGGAAGCACTTGGAACCCATCTCTCGTTCATGGCACTCATTACTACAGCCTAGGAGCTCAGAGAGATATAATATAATCACATATTCATTCATCAATGAGGAAATCTACTTACAAGCATACCGATAGCAGAGAAAAGAAATAATGGGTTGAAGTGCGGGTATGGTATGAAATCGTACAGTCTCCCGGACAAACAGAATATAGCTGCTTGTCCATGGTCTTACAGTGGACATGGATAACTGATAGTATCTAGAAGGTGCTGGTAGCTAAACGACTCGCAGCATTCCTTGCATCAAGACGATCCTGATCGTCTTCCTCAGTGATGGAGTCGATGCCGCTGCCGGCACGCAAGCGACCTTCTCTGCCGCCATTGACGACCTCATTGCTCTCCAGGCCTGGCGGGACGATACTGCCCGAGATACTTCTCGCAAGACTGTCGCTACGACGGGGAATTCCACTCCATGCGTCACCTTTAGGACCCTGGCTCGACGCCAAATTCGCCCGACGTACATTCGGATGCGACTCGCGGCCAAGACGGCTGAGGCCACCCGAGGAATCAATGGCGCGCACATCTGGTCGGATACTCTCCAGTGTAGCAAGCGTTCGGCGTTCCGCTTCAATTTGGCGTAGTGTGTACTCGCGCAAGCTCGCCAGGACATCGGCGGAAGTGCGTTCGAACCAGCGCCGCTTCTCCAGAAGTAAATTAGATGTAACCCTTTGCGTCCGTCTAGTAAGGTAGTCCTCGTGCGCCTGGGCCTCCTCGAGAGCGTTAATAGCCTCATCCACCTTGTCCGAGCGAACAGAGGAGCTGATTTTCAAGCGATCCGCAGCCGAGCGCTTGCTCTGCGTAGAATGCTGGGCTTGGTTTAACTCCCGGAGCAAAATGTGACGGTTAGTCAGAGTCTCTTTCACGATAAGAGCATCAGATGAGTGATAGTTTAATGGGTCACCCAAAGTGGTGGCCTCTGCAGTCCCCTGAGCAGCATGATAGTCCCCAACGGTTTGGATGATCTTGCCTAGCTTACGATATGCGTTGGCCAAACCTGGATGCGTCTCTTGAACGTTTATCTGCCCAATTTTCACACCGAGGTCTGACTCCGCCAGGCCCAATCCTAACCATATCCAGTTAGCTGTCAAGAGGGATAGACATTCAAGATGACTGGCGTCAGCATACCTCTTCGGGCCTTCACCACGCGATCAACCTTCTGGCTAGCATCCATTGCCCCAAGATAGAACAACTTGACAACTGGTCGAGCGTTTTGCAGTTCCGGAGTGTCATCCGGGGGAGGCGCAAACTGTTTCAACACCTTCCTCCGGACGCCAGTAGCTGGCTGCTTCATTTTCATAACTGGGCTATATCCGAAGTCGCTTTCCACAAACAAGACCACCTCATCATCTTGAATCAACACATCATTGCTAAGAATGTAATTCATCCATTTCTGCATCGAAGCTTTGACTCTGATTTCGTCCTCTTCTGTTCCGGCGCCGGCTGGCGTCAGCGGGGGAGGTACTGCGGGGACGAGAGCTTCGGGGTTCGCAGAAATCAAATGATGAGCAAGTTTAACAAACTCAGAATGTGTACGACGCACATCGCGGTATTGCGTGGTTCGGAATTTAGGAATGTTTGTCTAGGTCATGGCGTTAGCAATGAAAGAGTCAGATAGCAACCTTCGTAAAGCAAGTGCGTACGTGAACGTCGAAACGGAGGATGAGGTCCTTCTTCCCAGTTCTCTCCAACCCCGTAATCTTCGCCTGGATTTTGTATACGGGGTGAGATTGTTTGGAATACTGCCTTGCTCCAGGATGATATCGAGCGGGTGCCTGCCCTCGGTGATGCGGCAAATCCTGAGGTTGCTGTGTAGAGTAAGGTGGCTGTTCAACAGCATAGTCAGGATCGCCTAACTGCGCACTTTGCAGTCGCTGCGAGAGATCTGCTGAATCTGACTCTTCATCGTCGCCGCTAGGTTGCCCAGGTCTGGGGCTTCCGGGGTGAGCCTCCGCGTCGTATGAGGGTTGTTCTATAGGTAAAGGAGCCGGAGGGACATCGTTGTTGTTAGGAGTTGGAAACGTCGCTCGATCAACCTGGGGAGAACCCCATGGTGACGATCCCACTGGATCTTGAGCTATAGCAGAGTAGTCCATCGCGTGCCGGAAATGCCTGCGCCGAATCGGAGCCTGCTGCATGTCATCCGCGTTAAGCTGAGACCCTAATGCAATGGCTGGGGGGTTGAGCCTACCGAGTGGTACCCGATGATAGCAGACACGCAGTCTTAAACCACCATCAAGGAACAGGAAGAACGAAAGGAGACGAGCGACAGAAGGGCTGGCAGACAGTTGCAACGGAGGGAGTTGCAAGATGGCGGGAGGTCTGTAACGTTATTGGAGCACGCTAAGCCCGATTGGCCCATGGCAATCCGCAGCTTCATGCTTCTGCAAAAAATCTCAACCATCATTGTTGGTTTCTTTGGTTTCTCTACAGGGATAATGCATATACTGATGTGAACAATCGTAATTGATTTAATGAGACTTCAATGAGCCTTATCCGACACGTTTTAGGGCCGTCATACGGAATACCCTCTTGAGGATGGTTGTCGCTCACTTCCCGCGCGCCTCCCATCAGGCGATGCTCCAGTATCATCATGCTGGAGCACAGCTTAACAATCTCCGGTCCCTGCTGGTTCAAAGCCCAAGGAGGTCCTGCTTTCCGCAGTTCAGTAGGTTTTCAACTGCAACATGGAAAAGACAGGCAGAGGACCTCGACCGGACGAGGAATATCGGCATCATAGCCCATATCGATGCGGGCAAGACAACCACTACTGAGCGCATGCTGTATTACAGTGGATTTACTCGCAGGATTGGCGATGTGGACGAAGGTTCGACAGTAACTGATTTTCTACCGGCCGAGCGCGCTCGAGGCATCACCATCCAATCCGCGGCCATTACATTCCACTGGCCGCCAGCAATAACGGAAGAAGCAAAGGCATTAAGGCTACAGGAGCTGGAAAAGAAATCGCTTCCCAAGTCAGCGGTATCTCATACCGTCAATCTCATTGACACGCCTGGACACGCCGACTTCACCTTCGAAGTCCTGCGTTCCCTGCGTATTCTCGATGGCGCAGTGTGCATTTTGGACGGTGTAGCTGGAGTAGAGGCGCAGACGGAGCAAGTCTGGCGCCAGGCTAGCACTTATCAAATTCCCAGAATTGTCTACGTCAACAAGCTAGACAGGGATGGTGCTGCATTCGGACGAACCGTGAGGGAAGTCGGGTCTCGACTTGGGGGTTGGCCGGCAGTCTGCCAGATCCCCTGGTTTGAAGGTGGAAACGGTCGCTTTGTTGGTGTTGCTGATGTTGTCTCCCTTAGAGGTCTACGGTGGGAAGAATCAGGCGATGGCAAATCCGTGAAGGTCTTGAGTCTCGAGCAACTGGGCCAGGAAGAGGGCAAGCTCGCACAGGAGCTAAAGTGTGCGCGAGAAGTGCTTGTGGAGCTCTTGAGTGAGCACGACGAAATTATGGTGGAAAAGTTTCTAGAATGCGAGGAGAACCATCTTGCAGTAGCTCCTCTCGATATTATCGGTTCTCTTCGGAGATGTCTCTTGCAGCAAGGAAATAAAATCATACCCGTGTTTGCCGGTGCCAGCTTCCGCAACATGGGTGTACAGCCACTCCTTGACGCAGTTGTGAATCTACTCCCAAGCCCCCTTGAAACTGCGGACCCGGAGGTGAGCATTGGGGGTGTGAAGGGGTCCCTTCGCGGTCTACTTTCGGGGGACCTACTGGTCGAACAGAGCAAAAAGGCTTCTGTCAAAAGCAAGCAAAAGAAGAGGTCCTCGGCGCATGCAGAAACTGGAAACGTTATAGAGAAACTCCTTGGATGTGGCTTGGCCTTCAAAGTCGTCAACGACGCTAAACGGGGTATCTTGGTCTACGTCCGCGTTTATTCGGGATCCCTAGATCGGAATTGTCTTCTATTCAACACCAATCTTCACGTCTCGGAGCGTGCACCCCGTCTGCTGAAGATGTATGCTAATGATGCTGTCGAAGTGGACTCGATCCCCGCTGGACACATCGGGGTGGTCGCAGGTCTCAAGCACGCTCGAACAGGCGATACCTTGATCTCTTATGCCGGCAATAGGGCCAGGCCACCGGAGCCGCTGGACACCCTCCAGCTTCGTCCTATTGACGTGCCTCCTCCGGTCTTCTTTGCAAGCGTTGAACCGCATAGTCTAAGCGAGGAGAAAAAGCTACAGGAATCGCTAGCATTGTTACTGCGAGAAGACCCCAGTCTCCACGTCGCTGTTGATGAGGACTCGGGTCAGATACTATTGAGTGGAATGGGTGAGCTCCATCTGGAGATTGCTCGAGACCGACTCCTTAACGATCTCAAGGCTAAGGCGTCCATGGGCCCTATAGAGATTGGGTACCGGGAATCCGTCCTTGGCCAGTCCGAGCATGTAACCAAGATCATTGACAGGGAGGTAGCTGGACGGAAGAGCAAAGCGGGCTGTACAGCCGTTGTTGAGCCATTCGATCCTTCGACCGCCACATTCGAAGATAATGATTCGACCATTCCTCAAGACGCACTCTTGGTCGAAAATCATGACGGCAACCAGATCATCGTGCTTGCTCCAGGTCTCGAAATTACGAGTAACAGGAAAGGCGATGAAGAAAGCCAGTTTCTTCCCCCTACCTTGGACCTTGACACTGTCCGGACCTCCCTTCTAAACGGCTGTGTGGCTGCTTTGGCACGGGGCCCCCAGTTCACTTTCCCCATGCACAACACACGAGTCACCCTCACCTTCGACCCTTCACAACATATCTTTGGAAATGAAACGAACTCGTCTGCCTTAGCAGCCGCGGCACGTCTCGCTACCGTCTCTGCACTCAAAGATCTTTGCAAGCCAGGCGGACCAGGAACATCTTTAATGGAACCTGTCATGAATGTCGTAATCAGCGTCGACGAGCACAGCCTCGGTGCTGTAGTTCATGACATTTCCTCCTCTCGAGGCGGCCATATCATCTCTCTCGATGAAGATCATGTCTTCTCCTCCCAACCACAGGAAGAGGAGGTCTCCATTGACCCTTCCAAGATTTACGCCCCTCCCGACCCCTTCGGAACACCGTCGTCTGGCGCAGCTGTTTCCGCCACGACGTCCACTAACCAGGCACGGACGATTACAGCCAAGGTGCCACTGAAGGAGATGGTGGGGTACCTGAAGCATTTGAGGAGTTTGACGGCAGGTCGGGGGACATTTGTTATGAGTATCGATCGGTACGAGAATATGAGTGGGCAGAGGCAGAAGGCCATTCTTGGGGAACTGAGGGGGCTGTATCTGTAGTCGCACTCTTGACCATGTATTATACACTAGTATCTATTCACGTGTACAAATATGAGGGCACTGAGCAATAAGCACCCATCCCTTAAACACAAAAGAAAGAACCCAGGGGTAAAAAGCATATCTTGACCGAACAAAATAGATTCGCTACTTGAAACGGCGTCTTTGATTAAGGCATGAGGGCCCAACTGATAGCCCGGCGGTGACACTTACGCTAATGGACTCACCCGTACGAAAAACAACATCTCCAACTCCCTTTCCACCTCAATCCATATACCACCTCCCCTGTGTTTAAACCAGTTTATTTTCCCCGGCTACTATTCATACCGCGTATTCGCAGGCCACAATGTCGCGAACATGGGAAGTCGATCCCGAGACACGGACAAAGGTTAGTTTTAGTTTTTACGCACTGCGCCCGAGTCCCCTCATGGGCGAGGGGCCAGCAAAACAAGGAACTTTTTTCATTTATTTTCTTTCTATACACTACCTGCTTGATTGACACTGATACTGACATCCAGTTCTATGTATCGCATATTGAACATGCATAGCTTGTCCAAATCTCCAAGTCAAATGGGAATAACAGATGCTGCGACTGCGGCGCCCCATCGCCTCAATGGGTTCGTTGTAATTCCTATTTACCCCGTTCTAGGTATATATGTATCATACGCCAATTTTTACAAAACAAATGACCATCAGGCATCTCCGAAATTCGGCACATTCATCTGCCTCAACTGCGCCGGTACGCACAGAGGACTAGGTGTGCACATCTCCTTCGTGCGCTCCGTCACGATGGACGCCTTCAAAAGCTCCGAAATCAAACGCATGGAGAACGGCGGGAACGAACCGTGGATATCCTTCTTTGACTCGCACCCCATCACTATCTCCGAGGGCCGGACGTTCGAGGACTCGACCATCAAAGAACGCTACGAGGGCGAGGTCGGCGAGGAGTGGAAGGAGAGACTTACCGCGAAGGTAGAAGGGAGGCAGTATGTCCCAGGACAGACGAAACAGAAGACACCAGTGAATAACGTGGATCCCGGTTCGCGCTCGGGGACGAGTACGCCGTTGAGCGACCATTTAGATCGCGAGGATCCGTTGGGTAGGAAGGAGCGAAACGAGGCTTATTTCGCGAGATTGGGATCAGAGAATGCCCTGCGTCCTGACGACCTCCCCCCGTCGCAGGGAGGGAAGTATGCTGGGTTTGGTGGTGGGATGCCGCCGCCGTCCAGTAGTGCGAGGTCTCAAGGGGGCGTTCCTGGGTTTGACGATTTCCAGAAAGATCCTATGGGTGCTCTAACTAAGGGATTCGGATGGTTCGCGTCAACTGTCGGAAAGAGCGCCAAGTCTGTCAATGATAGCTATATTCAACCTACGGCCAAAACGGTAAGTCAGATCACTCGCTGTTTATTGTGGCGGCGTATACATGATCAAGAGCTAATGCAGATAATATAAAACAGCTAGCACAATCCGACTTCGCCGCCCAAGCCCGCCTCCACGCCGCAAGTCTGGGCCAAAACCTCCAAGCCGGTGCCCGTGGCGCCGCGGACTCCTTCACCCGCTTCGTAGAAGGTCCCGACGATGCCTCTCCCGCTCGCCGACGACAGGAACCAGAACGCAAAGACTTCTGGGACGAGTTCTCCTCCATAGCCTCAGATAGTAACAGAAAGCCCACCGGGGCTATCGGGACAGCAGCTATGAAACCAGGTCCAAGCACAACCAAGGATAAGGATTGGTGATTGCATTGTGATTTGCGGGTATAGATGTCTTCACGTTTACGTTGATGCTTTAGTTTTTTTTTTTTTTTTTTTTTTTTTCTTTCAAACTTTACCTGGCCTGACTTTCTTTTTTATTATTTAATTATTATTATTATTATTATTTCCCTGGCTCGAATTATTGCCTCGATGTTGAAATAGATGTATGTGTGGTTTAATAGTATACTTTTCTTCCATCTTACTCACGTTTCCTGTGCGGTTTTCATCGTCTGCGGTCTTGGACGGGGTCACGGTCTCGGGATGCTTTTTATTCTTCCAGTTCTTAAGAACATTCTGTAGCGTATAGCAAGGCTCTATACAGTTGCAGAGTTACAGGGAGACAGTCTAGACACTTTTACACAGGGAATAATAAGCCTACATTTGCAGGTCATCCTGCGCAAAGCAATACAAGGCCAGCCTTGCCGCAAATCGTAAGTTAAATGGTGGCTAAGATACAATAGTAGAAGGCAAGATTTGCCCAAAGTCAACGTCTCCATCGAGCAAGTCACTTCACCATATGAAATCTCACCACGTATTACATCCTCCTCGGAGCAAATCACAACGGAGAGCTCAGTCCGCGTCTTATATAGACCCCCATTCCACAGGTAAGATATTCGGCTAAGAGTCATCGTTCGATGCTCACTACAAAAATACCTATACGGTGTGGTCACAATCTCCTCCATTCACAATCAGTGGATTCGTTAATACGTTCTGGTTGGAACGTTCTTGTCAATTTAGGCGGTTTCTTGGGCCGGGGCCGTGTTCTCATCGGCAGGGGCAGCAGGAGCGGCAGCTGCCTCCTTCTCGCCTTCGGCAGGAACAGGGGCCTCATCTTCCTTTCCGGGGCTGTCGATGGCAACCTTGACGGCGATCTCACGGCCCTCGACCTCCTTCCCGTTCATTTCCTTGACGGCCTTCTCCTGGAGTTCCTCAGAGCCGAGGGTGACAAAACCAAAGCCACGGCCCTTGCGGCGTTCGTTGCGGGCCTGCAGCTTCTTGATCATGAAGCGAGGAATAGGACGCAGAGCGATCTTTGCGGAGACCGGCTCATACGCAGCGAAAATCTCCTTGAGCTGGCCAAGACGTTAGCAATTTACCTGATGTTAAGCAAGGTGAGCGCAGTTTTACCTTGTCCTCGGTCAGATCATAGGGAAGGTTGGCAACCATGACCTTGGTCTTGGACGGGATGCCATCCTCAGGGGGACCGCGCTGTTTCTGAACGCGAGCACGAGGCTTGGCAGGCTGCTTGGGAGCCTCAGTGACAACGGCAGTCTTGTTTTCATTAGTGATTTCAGTAAGAGGAGCAGCCTGGCCCGGGACGTTGGTAGGTTCCTCGGTTGCGGCGCGGTCGGTCTGTGCCTGACGCTGTATCATGGACGCATTAGCAGGTTGGGAAACTAAGTAAAGGCAATATAATTGAAACGTACAGAGCGGCCTCCACGCCCAAAGCGACCTCCACGACCGCGGCCGCGGCCACGGGTACGGCCACGTCCAGCAGTCCTCTTGCGGCCCTCAGGGGCACCCTCTTCGCCAGCACCTTCAGCCTTGGCCTCGGCAGGCTCGGGCTTGCGAGCCAGCTGAACAGAGACCTTACGCTGAAGGATCTCCTTGCCAGAGAGCTCCTCGATGGCAGCAGTAGCCTCGTGAGCAGTGGCAAGATCAACGAAGGCGTAACCAACGGGGCGGTTGGTACGAGGGTTCACCGGGATGGAGGTGCTTTCACTAGAATGGGAAAACAGTCAGAAACGGGAATTATCCATCGACAAGAAAGGGGAGATGGATGTGACAAAGAATAGGCAACTTACATGGTGTAGTTCTTGAAGAACTCCTTGAGCTCCCCCTCAGTGGTCGCATAAGCGAGATTCCCAATGTACAGCCGACGTCCTTCATCAGCACTGGCAGCCGCAGCGTCAGTGGCCTGGGCAGCTTCGGGAGCAGTGCCGTTAGGAGCTTCGTTGATGGTGGAGGAAGCGAGGTTGTCGGCGAGGTTGTCGACGGCAGTAGACATCTTGATGGCTGAGAAGACCAAAGACAGAGTCAGTAAGAAGCTCACTCTTTGTATGTTAAAAGAGATAGGTGATGAGGGGAAGGGAGGAAGGGGGATGAAAGCAGAGCAGGAGCGATCAACGAGATGAGATAGATGAGTTGTTTGTTTTGGGCAGTGTTTGTCCAAGGACAGATGGGACATACCTGAGATTTTCTGTTGAGGGCTGCCTATTCTTTGACGGGAGAAGCTTGAAGAGGGGGGAGGAAAAGGGTAGCTTGGTGCCCTAGATACACGAAGTGGAAGAAGCAGGTTGGAACCAGATGCAGTTGAAGCCTTTGGGGAAGGTTGAGGTCTCCCAGTGACGGAGAAAGGAGAAGGAGAAGAAAAAGGCAGGCGAGTGCGCTATTCCCGATTGGGAAGGCGTATTGGTTCGTACTGTTATCTTACCGCCCGCATACGGTGTGCTTTCCCAAGTTCCACGGCAGGCCAGCCGTTGGTTACTAGTTAGAATCTTCATCCTGCCTGCTGCCCGACGGCCTCCCATACGGGTGGTACGGTCACGTACCGTATGTGACCGTACCTCACCGCCACATCTGCTGTGGCGGGGCATCGCCAGACGTCGCAGTGCTGAGTCAGCATGCTGTTGACAGGGATTGTTAACTAACTAGTTAAGATGTTTCTCACTGCTGCAGGTACCATGCAGGTGCTATCACTGCAGTCCGCATCGCATATTTACCTAGGTGCTATCCAGGTGTACTAGTATTATATCTGTAGCAAGCATCATGTAGCGAAAATACGGTGTGGACAGACACCGTGCTCCAAGCGTTGTCCATAGCCAGTAGCAACGTCAACTGCCCCATTTGTGGAGAAAGCTTGTATCTAGTATGGATCGATTGCGATCGTATTATTATGATCGATACTCTCCAGAATTTAGATGGATAATACTCCTCCCTCTTCCATGGATCATTCCTGCTATCAACAACAGTGCTGCTTACACCCCCCGTTGTCCTGCGCCATTTACTCGACTGTGATATCACCTTTCCAGCCAACATAAGAATCCCGACGCCTGTCTTATCCTCATTTCCCACCATCTTGTGCTTCTCTCCCCATCTGTTCCAGATACAGACGCATCTCTTTGCGCGTGATAGGGATATAGTTTCCAAACTCGTCCTTTTTCACCCATCTTCGAGCCGCAATTCCCTCTCCTTCAGATACGTGGTCTGCGTAGTTGAAAACCCTGTGCTGCTGCTGGAGGGTCTTGGTGCGCTTTTGTTCAATAACACGATCGAGAGGTGACTTTGGCAACTCGTCATTCGAATCAGCGTTCGATACGGGGCAGGGACGTTTCGGTGGGTTCAGTTTGAATCTGATCTTCAGATTCGACGGTTTCTCCTTTTCAGTAAAGCCGGTCACTGCTTTGACACTCATGGGTGACTCTTCGTCTGTCGATGTTGTTCCCGACTGAGCTGTTGAAGAGGCTCCAGTCATAGAAGATGCGAGTGGCGTGCCATGGAGGTCGACGCTCTTCCCTTGTCCTGCATCATCCGCGTTTTCCGCAGCGGTGACGGGTTGAGAAGTATTCTTGAATCGCATTTTTGACTCGTTCGTTTGCACGATGCTGGATGGGGTTTTCTGTTTAATGTCGTTTGGTCAGGTTACAGACAGGGACTATGAATGATCAATACATACCAATTGCGCTTGAGAATCTTCGTCCGAATTGGACGACGCAGCCTGTGAGGCACTGCAAAACCTGGTCTTCTGTCCAACTGTGGACTTTACAGACTCGGGGGTTGAGAAGACCGAAGAACAGTACTGCTTGGTCACGGATTCCATGCAGCTTTCAGATACTTTCCTACTGTACTCTGCAATTGAGAGACACTGCGGGTTTTCATGCACAAATTGTGCGAGCTTGACAAGTGGCCGGCCGGTGAATTCAATTAATGCCCAGTTAACCTGTTCGCTAGAGCAGTTATGGTCGTCAGCGAACTTCTTTAAGGGAAAGACGATTGCCAGTGTATTGGCCATGTCCTTCAAGAATGTTTCTGTGAGCCACTGTTCCTTGCTGTCAGTGAGCACGGCTTTGGCCGTGCGTCCTTTCTTGGTCTGACCAGCACCCTCTGGAGTGTCTCGTTTCCGGCTATCACCATCACCGTGAGCGCAGATGTCATTCTGAGAGACATTCGCTTCCTTCTTGGAGTGCATCTTGAGATCAAGGAGAAAATTTGAGCTTCCAGATTTGCGATACGGACGTCTTGAACAGTTAGGAAGCGGATGGACCAGAGAGTAGAATATGGGTAAGTTGGAGATTCCTGGGAGACGGACCAGCAATTTCTTTGGGTTGGGACAGCATGGCTCGAGGTGAAGGTACATCCATCAGAGTAGGTGAATGTATCAGGCCAACGGGACTGAATGCCATGTTTGTGGGAAGTCCCATTCGGAGTGAACATGAGTCGATAGTAGCAGCAACATTAACCAGATGGCAGCTTCACTGTGTCGCTCCCAGTCAGTATTATTCTTATTTGAAGAAGACAAGAGCTTTGTCTGAGATTCACTGACAATTGCGTCTTCTTAGGGCCTGCCTGGCTTGGCTACATGGATTGTGAGCACCGATGCCAATGGGTCCAGAACAGCAGCGTCCATTCATTTGAGGACTCTGTAGAGCGTATGGCATTATTCTTATTGTTGCTCCTATAATTATTATTATTGTTATTATTATTATTATCGTCTCCTGCGCTTTGTCTATTCCCATTGACCAGCGCTGCTTTTATTTTTGGAACGACGAAGACGTCCAAGTCCCGCACTGGCCATAAATACTTATCTGAGGTATGTCGCAGAAGTGCCCACCACTGAGCCCGCAGAGCGAATGAACAGCGCACTTCTGTACCCAAGACCGGCGAAGAACTGGAAATCCACAGCAGCGTTTTGTCTGGACTGCGTTCCAGTGGCAACGACTGGCGCCGACCGGTTCCTTCAACTTCCCTGTAACCGCGGGCACCACGTGACGGGCACGGTGGCGCTCTGGAGGGACACAATTCTCCCTTGGCACTGTCTTTTTTTTCCTGCTGGCCAGGCACTGCAGACGGTCGTACGGGGGTACAGGAAACAGTACGACACACACAAGGTTTGATCCTGGAAAAAGAAACCCTGCAGAGAAACAGGCAGATCGACAGCAGCCCTCGCCCACCAGGGATATCCGTCATCATTATTAATTAGCTGTGTCTGCCGATCGCAGCATCCCACCTCCGCCTTTGACTCTTCTGCCTCTGACTTCACCAACGGAAGATCGCGGCTGGACCAGCTTAGTCAGTCCCTCGCTACCACCGGTTGCTTTTGCGGTCCTTCGGCTGGTTTTCCCCTACAAACCCTCCTTTATTCCTGTCTCTCTCCCTCCCCAAATCCAGGGAATCCTACATCTCATGCCTCCATGGATCGCATTGAGCTGTCCAATTCGTCGAACGACCGACGGTCGGCGGCATATTTGACGCCTGAATCGGCCGGCGACGAGACACGGGCGACACGACCGTTTCCCAGGCAGCGCTCAGCGTCGCTGCGACTGAGACCACCGAGTATCCGTATTCAACGCCCAAACTCTACCTACCAACCGAGAAACTCCAACAATCCATTCCTGCGCGATTCTTATCAGCCCAATAATGGCAACAACGACAACAGCAACAATGACACTGACAACGCCGATACCGCCAACGTTGTATCCAAAGACTTTGCTTTCAAGGCGGATGACGGGGATAAGGGCCAGGACCATGAGCAAGCGATGGAACGAGAATGGCAGGCCTCTCGCCGTCGAAGCAGCTCCGAGCCGCGTCCTGGACGCTGGTCTACTCCGCCAGCTCTAGTGATTCCTTCCGACTCTGGGGAAAGGACTTCAACGTACATGCCCACCCTGAAGGAAGTGTCAACGAACAGGGATACCGAAGAACAATCACGACCTAACACCGAACTCCTGACCCCTCCACAAGAAGCTGTTCGGAGGGGTAGTTTCCGTCGACTGCGTCGGGCCAGTTCCGCTGCGGTGAATCGATTGTCTCGGAATCGAGCCTCGACTGTGAGCGGGGCCAGCCAACACTCCCGCAGCGTACACTATCCTGATCATCGCACCAGCGAATATGATCCGTTGCTGGTGGATGTTTTGGATGTTATTGGTAAGTCTGACCATCCCTGCTCCTCTTAGGTAAGGAGATTGGCCTCTTACTGACTCCACATAGACCCGGAAGTGTCGACCTTGTCCACCCTTACCAATGTCCAGAACTCGCTCTTTGTTCCCGATCTTGGGCCTTGGGTCAACCGGACGCCTACATACACTCTTAGCCCCCCATCGGACGGGGAGGACTTACTCAGGACATCGTCGACGTCATCAATCGCGTCAGCGGACGAGCAGGCGGAAGAATCCGCACGCCGCCAGTCAGAAGATGAAATGCTGAAAAAAGAGAGACCGTCCATTTCAGGGGACGATCACAGCCCCTTTGATAGAATATCGATGGACCTGTCGGCACCGCCATTTGCAGTTGCGCCCGAAGGAAGCCATCTGGAGGCTTGGTCCAACGAGGAACTGATAGAGTTGAACGATCATGTTCGACACATGCTCCATTCTCGGCGGTCCAAGTTTAAGCGTGCCATGAAAGGGTTCGCCAAATACGTGTCGAAACGTATGTCCTGTTTGAATTTTGGTGATCACCCGCTTTCTTAAGTACAACACTAACAGCGTCAATAGCTCTTGGATTCCTCGTCACTCTGTATGCCACTCTTATCACTCTATTCGGTCTTGCTTGGGTTCTCTTCCTTATCGGTTCGTCCCCTCCCTTTTTTTTTTGGTTATGATTCGGAATCGAGCGCAAGCTAACGAAGATATGTAACAGGCTGGATCAATGTAGGAGGACGACAGCTTTATATCATCAACGTTATTGATAACGTCCTTGTCGCTCTGTTTGCCATCATGGGTGATGGACTAGCACCGTTCCGTGCCGTCGACACATACCATATGGCCTTCATTGCTCACTATACTCTGAAAACCTGGAAGATCCGCAAGCAGCGCGCTCTTCCTGAACTGAGAAACAAGAACGACATTCCCTGGAGACTGGAACGAGATGTGGATCTGGAGAGGGGGGATAAAGTAGAGGATGACGACCACGAATTCTCCGTGCTGACCCCGGCTGAACAATTGCGCTTGATGCACCACCAGAAGAAATTCGCCAAATCTCATACCTTCTACAAACCGCATGAGACATTTACGCACTATGCCTTCTCTCTCAAATTCCTAATCGCTATTGTTGTTCTCCTGGATTTTCATTCTGCCTTTCAAATTGCCCTGGGCACGTGTACGTGGAGTATTAACTACCATCACCGTCCCTTCGCACTGACCACTGTCATTCTCTGCTGTTCGATTGTATGCAACATTTCCGGCGGTGTCTTGATCATGATTGGAGACCGCCGAGCACGGAAGAAGGACGTGGTCGAGCGACTATTCCGGCAAAAGCTTACATCGGAGGCCATCAAGAAGATGGAGAAGAAAAAGAGAAAGGCACAGAAACAGAGCTTGTCCTTGGAAGACATTCCAATCACATACAAAGGTACATGAAGTTCGACATGAATTGGGAGGGGTTTTTTTTTTTTTTTTGAGTCATAACGACGACACGAAAAGTCCGGCGACACGGGTATATATATGAGAATATGGACTGCGTACATTGTCCATTTAACGTCGCGACTAGATTTGCTGGCGCAGGATGGGAAATTTGTGATGTGGACTTTCTGATTTCTTCTAGCGGGTTTCTATTTATGTTCTGTCTAATGCTCTGATACTTGATGTGTCTGATGGGTTGCTTATTTTTCTTATGTACACTGGCCATGTCCATGTAGAACGATATTGATGAAGTATTTCACAGCCTTGTTCAACGTGCTCCTTGTATAGGTAACTCCAACGCATAGACCATCAGCACACAGTACAATAAGTGAGATATTCGTCATACTCGTGTATAAAGTTAAATTGGTTCTTTTCTTTTTTTGTCATTATTAACCTTGCTCCATTAATGATGTGATGGTTAGCAGGGGCCAAAAATGGCAATTTGGCTCTAGTTCAACATCATTTGGAGTTAGGCCTCAGCAGAGATACCATTGTCAAGGCACAAGATGCAAGTAACCAATTCTCTTCCTGCTCTAGTCAAAGAAGAACAGCAGGTTACAGTCAATGAATCAAAGCAGAAGTGAGGGAGTTGAAAGGCCACGTTAGAACGCACCACGATATCCGACAATGATACACATACTTTAGGTAGTCACACAGACTCATTGTGGAACAGTCATGCAAGGTCCACTTGTATCCTTGTTCCAGAGTATGTATACCTATGATCTGTACATTACACTCTTTGCTGGCCTGTTCCTCGACATAATAGATACTCCTTGGTTTCATGCGCCCACGAATACCCCTGCCCACACTGCGGGACGTCATGTCGGGAGGAGCTCTGTGTCTAGCTCTATGCTGTGTTGATGATGGTCGAACTCGCTGAGTTGGTTGTTCTAGCTAGGAGTTAACTAGTTGGTTAACTAGTTATATACGCTATGCTAACTAGAAGGAGCTGTCCCGCGACAGCGAGCGCAATGACCTACCCGCCGATCTGTGAGACGTTTTGCATTCTGAGTCCAGCACCTGTGTCCTTCCGCTTTAAGTGTCAGTGTGGCGACGGTATAGCCGGTCACCATGGACAGACCGGTGCCAACGGCAATAATAATCGTCAAGCCGTAGATGGTGCCCGCTGCCGAATTGGAGTCGAGATAAACCATCAGCGGACCGCCAAGACGACGCCGGCTATGAGGTCGATAGCCTTGTAGAGCTTGATGAAGTGGAGGAGGTTTCCGAGGCAAGACTTGCCGTGACGCCGATGATGACAAGGAGGAGTAGGTGTACGGCCGCCATGAGGCCATTGTCGTCGTTCACTAACCGGAAGTAGATGGGGATGTAGTAGACGACAACATAAAGAGTTGTCGTACCGGCCGATGCCACCATGTATAGGAGCACCTGTGTGCGGACTGCGTGGCAGATGACCGGGAAAGGCGCGCTGAGTGGTCAGAACGGCGAAGTACTGCTGCAAGACATAGACAACCAGGCATACAGCAAATACAACAAAGGTGGCGATGGTGGCGATGGTGTGTCCGTTATGCCATGGTCATTGAGCACCAGCCATTGCGAAGACCAAGAGAAAAGCTGACCCAGACGGCGGCGCCAATGACCAGGTTGGTGTAGAAAACCAGCGCCAGGTTGCTGTGGACATGGAAAAAGGCGCCGCCGATGACAGACCCCAGAACAGCACCAACTCCCCGGAACATGCCGATGAGGGACATGTAAAAGCCGCGCTCCTTTGCCTTGGTTATTCCTGCTAAGTACTGCAGCGAGCCGAGGTAGATGCCGCTGCCCCCAGCGCCGGTGTTGACACGGCCAATGATCAGGGCACTCATGGTTGGCGCACCGCCGCACAGAGTAGAGCAGAGCCAGCCTCGAAGAAAAGCACGATTACAACAGAGACCCATTTTATGTTGAAAGGGTTGTAGAAGACTCCCTAGCAGGAGAATGACACACACAGAACCCAATGGGAAACCGGGTACAATCCATGACTGAGGCTTGGACGTCTGCGGCAATGGTCGTATCAAGTCCGTACAGGAAGCAAGTGACATAGATTGAACCAGGAATGCAGCATTAGTAAGCATCGGAAATACAGAATAGCCGATGCGGGGAGCGGCTCGGCCCGCTTTTCTTCCGTTGCCTTATGGATCACGTGGAAACTCGCTGAGTCAGCTTCCATTCGTCTTCACTCAAATACTAGCACTACTACTACTATTGCTCATCAGGAGCACTTCATCTTCCTGCTTCCTGGATAATCTGAAATTCAGAACTAAGCCGACTACTATGAGATTTACAAAATGCGGATCATCTCAGACTCTATTGATTCTATATAAAGACTTAACCTTAAGCTGCCCAGGGACCACTCCACAACCCCACAACGGATAATCCCCACTCGCGCCAAACTGCAATCTCACCCTTCTGCGGCCGCTGCGCAAGCACTTCCTTCATACTCACGTACGGCTTCCCCGCCAAAATCACATTACCCGCACTTCTTCACTGAATCTCGGCTTCAGAGGAGCACGAGCGCCTCTGAGTTTCCGACGCCGGTGACCAGCGGACGTTATCTCACACTCCTGGTCGCGTACTTGGAAGAGCCCGACCTGGGGCGTGCGGCTGCCCGCGCGGTTTGGTTAGCTAAGCAAAAAGCGCAGCTCGTGGAAATCTGGCGCTCATCACTCGCCTGAAGACCGGCCTGAGCCATTCGGGGACCCCTGGATCCCCTCCACCATCTCCTCCACACTTCCCTTGGCGTTCCACGGGTACCCAGCTGGGTCGGGCTCCTGAGGCTCCAGTCCGGCAATGCGTAGGTAATGTTCACCTGCTCATGCCTGTGGCACAAACACATAAACACGTTGTGGGTGCCCCTGTCACTTGGCAGCAATGCACCATTGCTGTGCGGCCCATCGCCGGGATTTGCTCGTCTCCTCTCCCCGGGTGTTGTACGTCCGACATCCGGTACCCACCACGCCGCGGAGTTTAGCAGGGGATGTGATATTGGGAAGCATGTCGGCTTACAAGGGGCTGTGTGAGGATATTGCTGCCATGCTGAGGGGGTGGTATGGCCATTTAATCACACGGCCTTCTCGGTTGCCTATTGCATATTCCTACAATTCCTCTAATTTGTCGCGGAGACTTGGCCGACAAAGTTAAACTTGACCAGGATCGCGATGTGCATGTCTGGGCTTGTCGTGCTGGGCAGGACCTTGCACCTCTCCGGGAGTTATTATCCATGGCAGACCTCGCTGAGGACTCATCGACGCCTGTGATAGAGCAGGATTTCCCTGCAACTGCTCCAGAATCATTGGCAAGCTTTCGTCTTCACGATGGGATGAAGGTCTATCAGCCAAGGTACAGCGAGGCAAGAACCTGCACGTTATCAATAACATCATGACACTATTAACTATACCCAGTTATATGCAATAGATGATTTGTTTCTTGAATACAACTCTTTATTAATTCTTCATAGATATTATTTGGATATGTCGTGTTTTAACCGCGGAAGTTCACTTAGGACTGTTTGCAGGACTAACCCTAGCCGTCTGGCGGTTCAGATCAATCCATAGTACACAGACATCCCCTGTTCTCAACCATGGAACGGCCTCAATCCCTGCCAGGATTAACTGGCACTTGCAGCTCCACGCTGCCCAGTGCGTCATCGTCGCATGAATGATTCATCTCGGTTAGTCATCAGAGACCCGTCGGTCGTTGCCTCATGGGCAAGGCAGAAATATACCGAATCAGGTAATCTCTTATATGCAGATCCTGGTCAACACAGGTTGTTGGAGTATCACAGCACTAATATAATTCAATGCTCTGGCATCCTCTTGATGATAGTCTGAAGAGTAAGCCACCTCCTGTCAGCCACTACCACCGAGGGTGGTAAGTACTCATGTGTTCGAAGATCCACGAATTGATCCATCATACCTGCATGCAGACCGTTAGAAATGGGTTATAGAAGAAAGAAGGAAAGCAGATTTTTTGATCACTACTTCGTATATTCAATATGCCAAGCGTGATTGACCGGTCTGCATCGACTGCATACAGATAACTATGCGCAAAAGTACAAGGTTCGTTCTTAAATCCGCCATCTCCGTTGAAATACCGGACATCTCCACCTATTTCCCAGGATAATATTCCCTCTTGACCCAGTGCAATCACACTCACCTCAACACCACCATCAAACCTAATCGAATTAAATCAATCCACCATGTCAGGCCCCTACGCATATTCCCCCCAGCTACCTAGACGAAGCTCCTTCGCAGCCCGCAAAGCCCTGAAACCACCCGACCGCCCCATCGCCATCCGCACCGAATACACAACCAACGACAAAACCCTCCTGGTCATCCGCCCGCGAGGCGACGCCTTATCCCCCGTCGGCTACGAGATCGAAGACGAGCATGGCATCCCCCATTTCACCGTCAGCGGCCGGAAATTCAACGACCGCGCCTGCCGCGAGTTCCGGGATAGCTCGGGATTGCCGTTGTTTGAGCTTCACAGGAAGATCTCGGTTTCTATCCGTGGGTTTAATGCGTGGGTCGTTACATTGCCAGGGTTTGACGTCAGCAATAGCTCCAGTAGTGGTAGTAGTGGTCAGAGTCGGAGGAGTTCTGCCATTGGGCCTGGGATCATCGCGACTGTTGCGCCTCGACGGGGTGGAAGTGGGAATTTCAAGATCACCTTTGAGAATGTTGCTGCTGGTGCACGTTCGAAAGGTGACAAGGATGGAAAAGGGAATAAGCTCACGCTTGAAGTTGCAAGACATGGGAATGTGCTGGCGGCCTTCGATGTCATTGATGGCGATAGGAAGGTTGCCGAGGTACGCGAGAGCATCCAACGTAACGAACGCCTGGCTTTGCTGCCCGGTTCGCGCAGTGGGTATCGCCCTGTTCTCGATGCTATCGTGACACCGGGAGTGGACTTGTCGTTGGTGAGTGTCTTTCTGTTTTGTTGAGATGGATTGACTGATGATGCAGGTCTCGATCGTTGCCGTTATCGCGTCCGACTGGGTTTTTGACTCGAATTATCGGCAATGAGGATCTATTTATGGGTAACGAGACTAAATTGAATGAGATATGCATGTGCATTGCTTCTCGATCTTCAGCGTCTTCAAGCATAGTTACTACCTCCAGAATGAACATGCAATGAGATATCCTGCTACAAACCCCGTCGGGCTTCCCTAACCACCGAACCTGTGTTCATCAATTCCCGAGACCGTCAGTAATAAATCTACGAGAACAAAAACAAGACGGCCTCCATTCACCTTTCTGCTGCTTCTCCTACCACTGCACTGACAATGCCCAGAATCGCCATCATCGGTGCCGGCCCAGCAGGTCTTACCCTCGCCCTCCTCCTCCACAAGCACAACATCCCATCAACTATCTTCGAGCTCCGCCAAAAGCTGACGGACGAAACCCTCTCTGAACCAGCCGGCTCGCTCGACCTCCACGAAGGATCCGGTTTAACCGCCATACGGGAATGCAATGTATTCGACGAATTTACCTCGCTCACGGGCGACTGCACGGAGGAACTGAGAATCGCCGATAAAAATGGGAATATCATCTACGAGGATAAAGGGGAATTGAGTAACCGTCCCGAGATTGCTAGACCTAAGATCATCAAGCTTCTGATCGATCATTTACCTGTTGAAAGTGTGAAATGGGGATATAGACTTGTCCGTGCAAGGCGGATTCAGAGTTCTCCTTGGAATCCAGACGCCAATGCAAATGCAAAAACTGAAATCGAACTCGACTTTGGCGAAAATGGAAAACACACCTTTGACTTCGTCATTGGTGCCGATGGCGCCTGGTCGAGGGTTCGTGCCGCATTGCTGACGAACGTGCAACCGCAGTACGCAGGGATGCACCTCATAACCTTGGACATCAGACAGATCACGACGAAATATCCTCATCTGGCTGAGTACATCGGACAGGGAACCTTCAATTCCCTGGGACACGGACACGGGGTATGTGCGCAACGATCCGTGCAGGACTCGGCGAGGATCTACATCTTTCTTTCGACGGATGACGAGAATTTCACTACTACAACCGGGTTGAAGGACATGACACACGTAGATGCTGGAAAACATCTCCTCAATGACAATTCCCTGTTCGGCGACTGGGGAACCAGAGCCAAAGAACTCATTTCAGTAGCATGCAATGACGAAACATCCAACAAACCCAACGCAAAAATAAACATCAGACCTCTCTACAAACTCCCCAATGGACACAAATGGCCACATCAATGCGACGCAACAGCCATTGGGGACGCGGCGCATCTCATGAACCCGCCCGCTGGCGAAGGCGTCAACATTGCCATGCTAGACGCACTGTTGCTGTCACAGGCTATTATCAAAGCTCATGAGACGGCTGCAGCCCATGATGTCGATTGCGGTTTATTCTTGGATGCGCTCGATCCATTTCTGAAGGAGTTCGAGGCTCATATGGCTGTCAGGGCGAAGGAGATGGCGAAACACACAGCGGAAATTTCTGGGATGATGTTTGGTGGTGAGGATGGGGCGAGTGTTTTGGCGGATTGGTTTAAGAGTTTTCAAGCAGGGACTTCATAGTATCCAAGTACATCATGTTGAAATAGTTGAGGTTTTTACATGCTACACTCAGTTCAAGCAACCTATTCTTTCCTCGATGATTCTGCAATTACTATGTCTGTAGATGCATGCTTAGTTAACTATAACCATCGATGGTAAGGCAAAGGTACGGGCCGGTCAAGACTGCATTCAGCTCAGAATAATCTTTCTACTAAATTTTAATTCCCAGAAATACAAACTAAGAATCAAATCAATCGTTCCACTCGACTGACCACAGGAGCTATACACAAGAGAAGCGGAAAGAGAGGACGAACACGGGGAACACTTCGAACAAAAACAACAGCCCGAATATCAAGGTAGTCGGTGCTCATGTACAGAAAGATAAATATTCGGGTATCCGATATCCTTGACCGAGGAAAGCTGTATGAACAGACACGCAAGGAGAGAAATCAAGCACAAAGAGGGAAAAAAAAAAATCAATGAAAAAGACTAAAAGCAGGGTCGTGGGAGCAGGACTGGCGTTCAGCGGTCAAGCTGAAGATAGAGGCAGATTAAAGACCAACCCCTTTCTTCGATTGTTCGAACGCCTTTTCCGGTAGAACAGAAAGCCAGACAACAGCAGGACAAAGGTTGGCCGAGTTGCTCCATCCATACGTACTCCGACGGCAATAGCAACAAAAGAAATCTGAACGATTGAGGTAGTTTTATTTATTTATTTATTTTTTTTAATAAAAAATAAATAAATAAAGGAAATAAGAAACAAAGATAAGGAAAAGAACCGTAAATATAGAGCGCAGCCTGAGCTCAGTACCAGACAAGGGGGTACCTGCTATACCAGATTTATATGATCGATTAACTCGTACTTCGAGTCCCACGAGAGGTATCGCCTGTGCTTTGGTGGCCATCCACGTCCAGTGCCGGTTCCTGCTTGCTCAGCACTTCTTCCAGAATATCAAGCCGCTCACGTGTCGTGCGGATGGCGTAGGCCATTTCTCGGTTAGACATCTTCTCTTCACTCAACCTTGAAGCGACGTCTTTCTTCCCGTGGGTCTTGCGCCGAAACTGATTTTGTCGGGTTTTCGAGTCTGTCGCTTGGTGGATGGCCGGGTAACTCATTCCATCCAGACCAACTCGGTCTTCCAGCCAGTTCCAAAGCTCATTCTCTTCTCTTTGCCACAAGTCCTCATATGCGGCAAGACGCTGAGGAACGGTCCAGCCGGGATACCCCACGTCAGGAGAAGGCGAACGCCCACGGAAGAAGGCAAAAGCGAGCAACGCCGCAATGATCAGAATGCCAATATTGCTGGCCACCAGGGGTCTAAGAAGGTCAAAAAGAGGGCTAAGGAGTCTATAAAACGGCTCTAGAGGGCCCCAGGATGCAGCTTTTTCTGCGCTTGCGACAGCCGCAGCAGCCGCAGAAGCTGCTGCAGCTTCCTGGATGGCCGCATTGTCCTTCTTGCGCCGGCCTTTCCCTTTTCCAGGCTTCGACGTGCGGCCACGAGAAACAACGGCGCCTTTGAGAGATTTGACCAGTTCGTTCCCAAAGCTACCCTGGCCTTCATATGCATGCTTCTCGATGGGACCTGCATATTGTCAACATTGGCCATTCTCACAGGGGTTAAAAAAATTATGGGCAGCTTACCTTTGAACCAACTCTTACCAGTCCACTCAATCACACACGACATGACTAACCGTGTCTGGTTCCCCGGCGCCCACGTAAGAAGGTATTTTGTTTTTGTGGAAAATACATTTCCACTAGGTACATCCGGAGTCTGTGTCGACAATGTCACGAGGACGGCCTTATCCAGATCAAAAAAATCCAAAGTCTCCGTACTAATGCATTTTGTTTGTCTCGGCCCAATGCTACCCGGCAGAGGCTTGATATATTGGTACTGCCGCTGCTTGGCCTCGTTCGTCAACCCCTTTTTATCGCTTTCCCACTGGAGCTCTGTACACTTTTGATTTTCCGCCATAAATTTAGACATAAAGCCGGCGGACTCGGCACCGAAGATCAGCGAGTACACTTTCCCAAGCGGCGCTGGAACAATGTCTTCTTTGACCACTCTCTCGTAGCGGCCAGCAGGATCAGTGTATTCGGTGGGTGCATGTGTTGCTGGTCCTGGGAAATTAGCATCTGGTCCTCCAGCAGCAGCTGATTTGTCACCAGTTTTCAAGTCGCCGTTGGCACTTGAAAGGGGCATGGCGGTGGCATTTGCACTTTCAGGGCTTGTATCTCTCGTCGACACCGATCGATCACTTCCGTGGGTACTTCGGTCATCCGCATCAAAGAAGCCATCCGCGTTGTTATCATCCTCATCCTCGTCGTAGATTTCATCTTCGACCGAGTCATCATCTCCCTCGATTCCGTCAGTCTTCTCCGTCTTGTCACCCGTTCCCTGGTCAACCCGCGTGCCATTCACCGAGCTCTGTATGGCCGGATGGTTGATTTTCCAAATATTAACCATCAAGTCATACGTAGACTCTCGGCTGAGCAGGCTACGGAAGGTGTGCCGAGCATGCAGGGTCTGAATTGCTATGGCATTGGCGAATATCATTGCCGTGGTCTCCTTCTCAATTGCCACGATCTCGTCAAAACTTATAACGAGATTGGTCACCCAACCAAGGATATTGCTAGAAAAGCAGATATGGCCTTCCGAAATATAGATTCGGCCAGTAAGGATAATCTCTCGCTGTAGTGCACAGCTATAATCCTCAATGAGATAGTCGTCCTCAGGTACACTGCGAAAAAGCTGATGAAAGTCCCGATTTCTTTTCTTGCTCGCAATAGCAAAACCCGTTAAGCGTGGTACGCTCGTATTCGCGCCAGCAATTCCCATAGCAATAGCGCCAGCGCCAATCGCTCCGACAGTTGAAGTGGTCGCTGCAGATGAACGACGATGACGTTGCGTAAGTCTGCTTCGGACACTATCACTCCTTTTCCCCAAGGCACCACTCTCTCCGTTTATAATGCTACCGCCAGGAGTTCGATCGCTAGCGGCGTCTTTCGATACGCTGGATTGTAGTTCTGCCCCATCTTCAGCATACGTCGAACTGGAGTCTTCGTTTTGCTTTTCGTAGGCCGTCGAGACAGCCTGGGCAGCATTCCTATCCTCACGTTTCGCAGCCTCCTCATCTCGCTGTTCAGCAGTAGTATTTTTGCGTTTCTCAAGATGAGCGTCAGGTTTTGTGATAACAACTCCCTCATTAGTTGAAATCACTCCCGGTGGAAAATCCAAGTCCAACTGACTGAAATTGAGATCTCCAGTCCCTAGAGTATCGACGGCAGATGGCTTCCTCTCGCTGGGTTTATTTTCACCTGACTCTCCACCCGGGTACTCTGCCCCATTATCCGCAGGTACATCATCTGCCTTTGAAAGTACTGCTTGAGAGATGGTTCGAGATCTTGATTGTGAGTTGAGAGTACTGCTTATGGAGGTTGCTGCGTTCTGCGCAGCCGATAATACAGTCGAGAAGAACCCGCTCGGTTGATTCCCAGAAGTCCTGGACCCAGGGGTTTTTGATTCTTCTACCGTGGGAGATAATGCAGAAATGGAACTCGATAGTTTACTAGGTTTGTGCGATGCAGCAGACGCGGAACGCACCCGCCGATGAGAGATCATGTTCCCAGAATTGCTGACAACAATCCCGGGGATTTGAGGATTAGGCTGCTTTCCCGGCTGGGATGAACCTGTCGGCTCCACAGCAGACGGGGGGTTGCGGTCTCCAGGGGACGGTGGTGTCACCGTAGTCAGCGGGACTGCCGTGAGCGGAGGAGTTCTTAGTGGGTCGTCATCTTTAGGTAGTTCGGGAAACGTTGTTCGCATGTGGTCAGTAATAATCGGCGGTGGCATTCGAGTAACGGAATTAGAGAAGGTCATTGATCTTTTTGATGTAAGACTATTCTTGCTACCGTTACTCAAATTGGCCAAATCATTTTTGCTGGCCCCCGGGCTGGTACTAGTCTGTAGTTTGTCATTACTGGAGCCGAATGCCTCTCTGAGTCGTCGCCGGGGGGAAACGTTTCTCCTTTTTTTTGAGGAGTTGTCATCAGGGACGCTTAATCCGGGGTTAGGCTCTGTGACGGTTCTTGCAAATTTCGAAGGTGCATCCAATCCATCAGCGCTAGGGCCACTGGCCGCGGATTCCACATCGGCGTCCACTTTGTCGGAATTATTCGACTCGTTAGGGGGAACATTTATCACAGGAGTAGACGTGGTGTAAAATCTAGAGTCGGGTTCACCAGTATGGATCGGAGGAGAACTTCGGAATCAGTCAGTTAAGGGACAGAATGGCAAAGTAGGCAAGGCCCGGCATACAGATCAGGTTCAGAATCATCTGTTAAGAGAGTTCCTATCTCATTTTCTTCCCCACTCTGATTATCATTGAATGACGAAGCAGCGACTGAATTTCCATCGGGAGACTCTGTCGAGTGGCTCGTTCGAAGGTCCCTGCCATTTTCAGAACTTAGGCCCGTCGACGATCGACCATCGTCTCGCCTCAATTTCTCCTTCTTTCTCCGTCTACGTCGTGAGCCGGCGAGCAACTTGGATAGACCGCTATGGTGAGACTTGGGGGCGTTGTCAGCTCCGTCTCCGGTTTGCGACCTGGGTTTGTCTGAACCAGAGTCGATGGACGAACGGGTGTTGGCGACACTACCGCTGCCCATGCTTTCGAGATCCACCGATTGCGACCGACTGTGGCTGAATCTCCTGGGGAGTTTCAAATGGGGGGCTAACGTGGCTGGAAGGACTTCATGGCTAGCAGCGTCAGACATTGGTGAGGAGTCGATATAACCTGAGATAAGGAGAGAAACGAATTAAGCAGAACTAAAATATTTCCGGAAGAACCAGCGACACAAAGACTTTTGAATGAAAAGGTTAAACTGAGGGGGAAAGGAAGACGAAGCAATCGGATACGCCGTATGAAGCTTTACTGGGTCGTATCCATTGTTGAAACAGATGGGAGTGGGTATTCCAAGGACACGTTTGAAAACAGCATCGAATAAAGAGGCGACTTAGGACAGCTGTTTCAGAGAGTGCAACAGTTCTTGTCCGCACGACGTTGGGAGCAGTGAGAGGGGAGGACGAAGGGATGAAGTGAGACGGAGTAGAAGTTGGGGTGGAAGTTAAAGCAGGAGAGGCCAGCGAAGATACTCTCCGCGGCGGTCGCCTCGTACGATGTAAGCAGTGAACACCCTTATTTTATGAACGTCAACAGCCATCGCTTTCTCCTTTCTATAATACTCTACCCAGGTAAACTATACAATCCAATGCCGTCTGCTAGTTTATTTCTCTCATAGAACACTCAGACAATGCTTGTCCAGCGTTGCCACGCTCAAAGGGGAGTTTCCAGATCAGGAATAGTACAGTAATGTAACATCGATAACGTATTATCGATACGCGTCCGCATTAGGCAAATGGCGTCACATGAAAAGACGGAGATCAGGCGCTCTTAGCAACCTTCCAACGCTTCAACGCCTCTCTGTCTTCCAAACAGCTGGCTCTCTCATCTCACCCAGCATGGAGACGGCTCCTCTTACTCTGGTATGCACTTCTCCCAGTTATAACTCCTTGTCTAACCTTCCCCGTCCAGGCTCACACCCACGCGCGCAATGCCGTCCTAGAAACCCGCAAGTCCAACCCAGTCGCAGCCAGCGAGGAACATGATCTCGCAGCCGGCGAGTTTGCAGCGGCGGCCCAGAACATATCAGATCGTGAGGTAAACAGGGGAGCCGTCCTTCTCTTATGTGTATGTATCTAACACAGTGGCCACCCTTAGGCACTGCGAACACTCCAACTTCTGGAAAACCACCATAAGAAGCTCGCTCAGATCCTCCGCTTTCAGCATGAGCATCCGGCCCATGCTGCTGCGGCAGATGCATCAGTCGCTTCATCTGTGCCAGCTACAACCCCGTCTACCACAGACAAGTCCGGTGTCAAGACGCCCTCGTCTGGCCAGGATACTCAGCAACATCCCCCAAGACCGTCTGTCAATACTCGGTTACCACCCAGGGAAACATCGTCTATCGCAAGTAACCTAGCCAGTGCTCGAGGGATCCCATCTCATCCTCGTCGTGCGTCTCCTGCATCTCCTGCTCTCTCTTCCCAGAAGGCTGGGGCCAAGATGGCGGAGAGTCCGACGAGAACCAGGACAGGAGAAATGATGCGTGGAACACCACGGGCTTACAGAACAACAGATCGTCCGGGCCATCAATCAACTCCTAAACAGTCTGGGACACCTACAGCGGTCAGTCCCACCGCAATCACATCCCAGCAAGTTGTCCCCGCGAATGCCGATCACTCTTCTCGACAGCGGGGCAGATTCTCAGTCACAGAAGAACCATTCCAACGTTTCTATTCTACATTCGAGGGTCTGATTTCAAAATTGTCGGCCCCTTTAGCATTCGCGGGACTCCCTCTAGGGCCAGATACATCAGCGCAGGACGACGCGACTCGCCGTCGATCAGCCACTGAATCCAGGCTGGACCGCTATCAAGCAACATCTGATCGTGCAAGTTCATCCTCAGAGCCAGACGTCAGTAGACTATTCTCGCCTGCCGCGCTACGAGCTATCCGAGCCTCGAATGGAGGCACAACCGGCAGTCCGGCGGAGTCATTTTACGTGGTCCCCACGACGGGCGGCACGGTATCCTATGCGGGCATCCTCACCCGTGCAGAGAAGGATGCCCAGAGAAACAATCTCGAAGAACTAGAGGAAGACTTTGTGGATGCTCGCGAAACCGCCTCGCCAGCGGATCTGCGCCAGAGCATGACCGGAGCAGCAAAGAACAGGAGGCTTCGCGGCGCTGACCAACCTCATAATCATCAACTCGTGACTCTTCAAAATCCCAAAACAATGGAGGAACTACAGATGGAGAACCAAGCTTTGAAGCATCTTTCTGACACGTTATCCAAACGGCTACACATGTGGGAAGTCAATGCGCAGTCTTCATCCATAGCCCTCCAACAATCTCTCAAAGCGATGCACCACCCAGCCATTTCGCCCGATTCCACTTCTGCAACTGCACTCCCTACCGCTCTCGCTTCGGCCCCCTCTCCACAAGTAATCGCAGACCTAGAACAACGGATCCGGGACCTGGAAACGAACGCCCACCGTATTGAACGGGAACGTGAGCGCCAAAACCGGGAGAACGAGAAGCTCAAAGTCACCCTCTCGCGGTATCGAGAACGATGGGAGAAATTAAAAGAGGGTGCGAAAATCAGACGGGCAGAGGCGAAATTGGCGGGAGAGAACCCTAATCCTGTTGCCGCTACGGGTAGCAAGGAGAAGTCCGTTGCAGACGACGCCAATGCGTCTGAAAAGGCCAAGAAAGAGACTGGCCCTGCTCTGACTCCAACTCCAGCTCCGTTGCAAGACGAAGGTGACCAGCCCTCCACTGGAGGAGCTGAAGTCGAGACCAAGACCGTTGAGGCAGAGGGTATCGTGGAGGGTACCGTGGAAAATACAGATACGTCTGAACATCCAACTGGAGTTTCTGAACCTAGTTAGGTAATTTAATATATCCATGAATAAAGTCAAAGATGGAAATGTAATAATACGCTTGCCTCTGCAATATCCGACTGTATGCTATATTTCCAATCCCCACATCAACCCTACACTGGTAAGAGAGGTGGATAGGGTCACTATTGATGCCTAACACTCTGGTGTTATTATTTACTACGTGCTTAGTAGCGAATGGCTTTCAGTATCTCCAAAGCCATCAATTTTGATGGACTACATTCACATCTGGGGACAATCACCAACCCCCCTTCCAGTTGCTTCTTTAACTCCCTGCTTCTCCTTTCTTTTAATATACAGCCCTTTTCGCTATTTGACATTCTTGAATTTTTCTTGGTCTGCTTAAAGGAAGAAGAAACAGAGACGAATGAAAAACTCGTTCTCTTCATCGCCCAGTCTTCCAGTGGTGACAGAAACTATCCATCAGCATCTTCACAAAGGCCTAGAGTAAAGACGTCCTATCGTCATATTGCTGAAGAGCTTCCTTCTTGACGAAAGTTTTCATTCACCAGTCCAACTACTGTCTCCCTGGAACAGGTTTTGCGACAAGACCGTTGATAACTGAAATTCTAACCTAACCTATGGCAAAGAAACGGTAACGCTATCATGTTGGTGCTTAATGGGTGGGAAGCCAGATAATCCACTCTTAGGATTGTTTCCAAAACATCCCAAGTGATATGTCTGACCTTTCATAGAGAGACAGAATAATATCTAGACGGGCAGCTAGAATCCTAAACTCCTGTGCCAGACATGGGTGGCATGGCTTAGGACTGCTGTACTTATTCAATTAATTTCAGAAACCAGATCCTGCAGCTATAAGTGAGAAGCGTATAAACTATAAAAGATCCATGTCATGACGCCTAGACCATAACAAATATACTGACATAAAACCCTAAATTCACCCTAGTTAAACCAGCTTGAAGTATGTGACATTGTGAGTCTGATAGGGAGAATAAAATTCTAAATAACAATAATAATAAATTGAAAACAAGTATGCACAACGTACTTTAACTTCGCCCGTATCTATAATAAAACAATCAAACCAGGGCAGATACAGAGAAATATGAAACATACATGGGGTAAGCTAAGCCTCCGACGAGCAGCTCCTTCGTATTCTATTCTCCCTGTTTACGATGAACGGTTCCTGTCACCGTCCTCTTCATTGCGAGATTCAGTGGCAGACTCAGGACCGGGAGCAGGGGTAGCATTGCCATTATCACCTTCGGCAGCAGAGACGTTCTGACTTTCTTGCTTACTGCCCCTGCGTAGGGTTCCACCTAACCATCCCAAACTGCCATTCCAGGAGTCGCTTAGACTTCTCAGACGAGTAATTACGGCAGTAGATTCGGGAACCTTGTCACTGTCATCTTTGGTAACCGGTGTGAAAACTGTTGCGGTTGCGGGAGCGGTGATAGGTGTACTCTTGACCGTGGGAAAGTGGAGTAATCTGTCGGCTGTCAATGATAGAGAGGAGCGTCCGCGCTCATTGTCATCGGCACTAGCGTCTGTGTCGTATTCCGGTTCTGGACCTGACTCTGGTCTTCCGCCGACTTCAGCCGCAGGGGACTCCGTGGTGGGTACGACTGCGTCGGATCGTTTCCTGCGGCTGCGACTGCGTTTGTAGACGGGACTTGTTTCGCCCCTACGAAGGGATTCCGCGACGACTGCACTGAACCCAGTTGAAATAGTAGGGAGGAAGCGGCCAGGAGAAAACCGGACTGAGATAGAGTTTCGCGATCTCGGCGGTGGAGTTTGGGGAAGCTGTACACTTTGAGTGGAAGGTTGAGGGCGGTTGGTGTCCGGTGGCACGGGTTCTTGCTGATCAGTAGAGACCTCGTTATGTTGTGTATGTATATCGTCCAATCCAGGTGCAGCGGGGAAACGGAGAAGGACTGTAGACGCCGGGGGCGTAGGAGTGGGTTGTTCAGTGGGAGTGGCTGGTCGATCGACTTGAAGTTCAGTGACGGAGCGAGGGTCCGCTGGTTGCTGTTCTGCTGGAAGAGTAGCCCAGGGATTCTGCGTAAGGGAGTGCGGTTGCTCCACATACTGCCGTTCCGAGGGCGCTGAAAGAGGCTCGCTAGCTACTGAACCGGCGGGTGAAGAAACAGATGGGGACAATACCCCTCTAGGGGTAGGTTGATTGTCGATATCGTCAATGCCAACGCTAAGCAAAGATGCCCGGGGAGACGGCAGCGTGTCATGATAAGGCCGTTCGTGGTGCTTTTGGACTGGTTCGTAGACCGACCGCTGCTGCTTCTGATGTTCGGGGCGATACAAATCAGCACTGCTGCGAAGCTGATCCCCTGCCAGAAGGCCAATAGCTTCTTCCTCATCATCCTCAATTATAGAGAAAGCAGAATCATCATCAGGACGGACCCTGCCACTAGTGATGAAATAGACACCGACGAAAGTCATGATACATCCGCCCACAAACTTCCCCGCACGACTGGCAGACGTCTTTTCAAAATCACGATAAAGGATGGCACTCCCAATAATCACGGAGAGTGTGAAGAGCACAAATTGCGTGGGGATAACTTGAGTGGAGTCAAAACGTTGCAGGGCACGGTTGATATAGCGAATTTGCATCAGAGCACTGAAGGCGAGAACAAATGCTAGAAGGTAAGTGATGGGGAAGGTAATGGCATGCCATAATGTAAACGATAAAAGAGATGAAACGCCCTTTGTTGACAGGGCAGTCAATCCTCCTGTTTCGAAGATTGTTAGCAGGCAAGGGAAATCCCAATATCCATAATCACATACCAAAAAGCGCAACCAGCCCGACGTCAATAAGGATTGACCGCGAACCATACTTGTTGCTCACAGACATGAGAGCTATGATCAATACAGTCACAAGAACTAGATATAACTCAAACTCCCACTGAGTGATCATGGCCCAGATATCGTCAGGCCCAATTTTCTCTTCGGAGGACTTGGCACTGAGCACTACCACAACCGCACCGGCAATGGCAATAAGCACGCCCCAAAGGTCCTGAGTGCGGAATTTTTCCTTGAGCATACATGGTGCGATAACACAATTGGAAATCAAAGCCACTACGCCCAAAGGCGACACAATTGACGCTGGAGCGAAACCGTAGGCTAAGAAATTCCCTGCCTCCCCCAGAGTCATCAGGACAATCCCTACCCACCAGTACGGGGAACGAAGATAGGATTTGCGAGGCCCCATCTGCGAATCCTGGCCGGCAGGTCTTAGCGTGTGTTCGGACGAAATCGAGTGATGTAGACGATCCTCGTGCGCTTCTGATTCATCATCCCTATCGTGATCCCGATACCTGCGATTCGAGTATCCGGAATCCAGCGATTCGTCCCTATAAGGGTTGAAATCATATCCCTGATCCTGTCTTCTTCCTCTATAATCGTCCCCTCCACCCTCTCCAGTTGTCGTACCATAAACATCCAACTCATTGACACGTCTCAAACGCGACTCCTTCAAAGACTTCTCGTGTTCCCATTCCCTTGCAATCCGAATATGGGCGTAGCGCTGAATATTCAGGGCCAGGGAGATCAGGACATTTCCAACCAACGCAGTCACAATACCAATCAAAGACGACCATTCCCGCATTGTCCCATTGTCACCATCATTGCTGCCTGAATCCGGTACCAGAGTATCGTTTTGACCCGCAAGAGAAGACAGGTTATGCTGAACCGATGCCTGCGAAGACGCGATCATGGAAGAGAATAGAGTTGTGACGAGACCTGCCGTCGGCAGGGGTGTCCCGGAGGCGTTGTCATCCATTTGCGCGTATCTATCCGTGGCGATTCTAATAGCGAGCCTGGTGAATGTAGGAATGCAGTAGGGGTGGTACCGCAAAACGTCCAGATATGTGGGTATTTCTACCCAACAAGATGTCAAGCAACGGGATCCGGCAGAAAATGGATTGCCAACCGAACCGAGAGAAGCGACAATAACTGTTGCCGATATACTCTGTATATCGAGTCTCTTCCTTCTCCGTCGTTGCTGCCAGTAAGGAAGGCCGGATGGTCAATGGTATCTCGGCTCCAACGAGGGACATCTGATCAAAGCGCTGAAGACGGTCGCATGCTGCCAACCTCGCGATGGCTCAGAACAGCGGGTTTCCGGTGATCTTATCGAAATTTCCAAAGGAATAGTTCCTGCAGGAGAGTTATGCCGTGCAAAAGCACGCGGGGGGAGTCATGAGGTAGAAGGCCGACATCTAAAATCAACTGGAAGGATTCCTAGTCAGCACGTGATAATTGGACAATTCTAATGGAAGTGTATTGTTGGTTGGTTACTAGCTAGATAGGCCTACGTGGTGAAAAGGGTCAGCGAGGGCGGACCTATGCGGCAGAATCCCACGTGATCCAACACCCCCCCACGCACGAGCTGGCCTAAGACTAATCTAAAGAATTTAAATACAAAAATCGGCCTCTATTCAGGCCTTCATATGAGAGAATAAAAGCAAAATTAAGCAGAGAAATGAGAGGTTCCGCTTTGGCCAATCAGAAGCCGTAAATCAGAATAGAAAGTATAACCAAAATGGGGGAACAAGCGCCGCTTAATGTATGCCGGTGAGTTCCAGGAAATGATTGAATCGTTCAGTTTGGAGAGGTTTTGTCAGGCCATCTGCTGCCTGTTCTTTGGTAGGGCAGGTCTGAAGTTTGACAATGCCGTCTTGGACCTTCTCCCGAACGTAATGGTAACGTATGTCAATGTGTTTGGATCTCTTGGTGGTGAGCTCGGCTTCAGCCATGGCGTGAGCGCCTTGATTATCGATATGAAGAGATATTGGTGGGCATTCAGTTGGGAGCACATTAAGCTCGTTGATGAGATTCCGGAGCCAGAGGGCATCACGGCTGGCTTCGCTTAGAGCCATATACTCAGCTTCGTTGGAGCTAAGGGCAACGGATGTTTGCGTGCGGCTTTTCCAGGCAATTGGGGCTCCGGCAAGCAGAAAGATGTATCCAGAGACTGACCGGCGGTTGCCTGTCAGTTGACCACCCCAATCAGAGTCGGTATAACATTTTGGCATGAGGAGGTCAGATGTAATGGACTCCGTGGGTTTATGATAGGTAATTTGCCGATTGATGGAGCCTTTAAGATAGCGTATGGCGTGTATAAGGGCACGCCATGCTTTTTGGGTGGGTTTGGCGTTATATTGGGATAGTATGCCAACCGTCTGGCTAAGATCTGGCCGGGTTTTGGTGGCTAGCCAGGTAAGGCAGCCTACACCACGTTGATATTCTTTGGTGTTGACTGTAGGGTCTGGTTCATCATCAATTATTAGGCTAGGATCCATTGGAATCCTAACAGGATGTGCTTGGGCTTGACCAAAAGAGGCAACAACATCTTCAGTGTAGTCGGCTTGAGATAAAGAAGATGAAGTCTCAGACTGGGAGATGGTCATGCCAAGGTATTTGGTAGAGTTTCCAACTTCTTTTATGTCAAATTTGGCGGAGAGAGTCTCCATAAACCAGATGGCATCATTTTCATGTTTAGCATAGACTTTGAAGTCATCCACATGGGTGGTCACATAGAGTTGGGTCCGGGTAGTGTGGATCCATAGACCAGAGTCATATTCAGAGCATTTGAAGCTGATTTGGCGTAGAAAAGCACCCAGAGTATCATCCCAGATGCGGGCAGATGGGACCAATCCATAGAGGGATTGAAGGAGTTCACAGACAAGATCTCCAGAACCTTCTTTGAATCCCTGAACTTGGGTCATAAAGACACGTTTGTCCGTGGGCATTTTCCCATTTAGGAAAGCAAGGGTGGCATCAGCTTTTCGGGTATGCCAGCCAAGCAGGGTGGCCAGTGCCGTGAGGGTTCTGGTAGTATTTTCATTTACCACTGGTGCGTAGGATTCCATGAAGTCTTTATCAAGTAGATTGCCACGAATGACCCAGTGGGCTTTAGCCTGATAATCCTCTGAGATAGGTATGCCGGGGATTTCTTTCTTTTTGTATACCCACCGGCCAGGGATGACTTTGGCCCCTGGTGGTAGGTCAGAACGGCGAATGAGTTGCCAGCAGCCTTTCTCTTTGAGTTGGTTGACTTCCTTTTGCATGGCAGCTTGCCATTTAGCAGCATCAGGATGGGATATGGCCTGCTTATAAGAAGTAGGCGTGTTGTCTTCTGATGAAGGAATGGTTGAAGTGGCAAAGTAAGCTAGGGACATGCCTTTGGCAGGTTGGAGCCATATATCTTGGTCATTGAGAGGTTCATCTTCAACTAATTGAGTTGGGTTTTCTTCGGTAGGGGTGCTGGGACCTTTGGGAGTGGTAGTTGTAGGATCTTTGTAATCCTCATCAAATATAACATCATTGGTGACAAAGACGGTGTCAGTTTTAGGGTCCCAAACACGATATTGATGGCTACTAATTTGGCCAATGAGGAAACAGCAGTGAGAACGTGAATCAAGCTTATTTCCAGGTTTATCTGGTCCATGCCGATGGACCCAGGCTGGACACCCCCAACGGCGATATCCGGGGAGTGAAGAAATGGATGAATTAGTCCACGCTGCCAACGGAGCGCGATAAGGGCTGGGGTGTATGTCCTTGTTGATATTCACCCCCCCAGGAATTTGGGAATTGTATAAGATGGTAGATGTAGGGAGCCGATTTGTAAGATCTGTGGCATATTGGAGAGCATCTACCCAAAAGCGTTCTGGTATATATGGGGCATCAAGCATCATAGCTCGGGCCCGTTCAAAAAGGATCCGGATGCCACGTTCACTAACGGCATTTTGCCATGGTGAATATGGCGAGCTTGGTTGCCATTCTATGCCTTCCTGACGGTAGGTTTCCATCCATTCAGTGGAGCGGAATTCATTATCAGAGACTAGGTAGGCAGGAGCAGTGAAGCCATGGTTCTTCATATTTTGAAGCCAGTTCTTGAAGGCGGTAATGGCTGCACTTTTTGTCTCAAGGAAGAGGATCCATCGATAATGTGTGGCATCGTCGGTAATAAGTAAGACATATTTTGCCCCAATTCGGCCAGTGACAACATCATTAGGGTTGTCAAAATCAAGAGTTTGTCCACCGCCGGCGATATCTAGATGGACTCGGGCAAGGGGTTTGGTAACTCTGGACCTAGGGACCTTGCTATAATAGCGTGTCTGTCTAGCCTGTATACAGACTTCACAAAATGGGAGTTCTTTAGAGCCTTTGATTTCGATGCAAGACTCAGGATCTCGGGCGAGGCGGAGGAGATCGGCTTGATTGAGATGGCATAGGCGTCGGTGCCAGGCCATGATAGGTAGGGATATCTTAGTAGTTCGCGGCTTCCCTAGAACCGGGGTCTCTTTTGGAGTAGGAGCCTCAGCTGGTGTCTTAATTGTGGGAGCCTTTGCAGGTGGCTCTTCTGGGCGGTTAACTTCTTTGCCAGACCGGGTGGTGACAAAGGCATAGGAATTTTCTTCTTCTCCAGGAGATAGACAGTCTTCAAGGAGGTAAACATTGTTTTTGAACAATTGGGCTTGGAATTCAGCTCCAGATGGTGTGGTAATCAGCTTGACTTCACAATCTAGTGTATATTGAAGCCTAAAGCCTTGTCGTACAAGCATGCCTTCTGAAATGAGGTTGGAAGTAAAGGAAGGAACATGGCGGACGTCTCTTAGGATCAGAGATCCGTAACCAATATCTATAATCACGGTGCCAATGCCTTGAGGCATAGAGATATGGCCTTGAGCACCTTCCATATAATCTGTCTCCACCAGATCATGCTTCTGCAAGGCCTTATAGGTTGCAAAAAGTGAACGGTCAGGTGTAGAATGGAAAGAGGCACAGCTGTCAACAAACCATTGATTGGAAAATGAGAGAGTCTTTGCAGACTTCACAATGGCAGATTTGGCATTGGAGAGTTTCTTATGCAAGACAAGTTCCTGTGAAGCAGGGTGATCCTGGTTTGATTGTGGGTTTGCTTCAGATTGTTGCTGAACACGGAGAGCATTAGCCATAGTAGTATAGAACTTGCGTCTATACTCTGGTGCTTTCTCAGGATGTTTAAAATAGCATATAAGTCCATGGCGATTTCCGCAGTGATCACAGTCTATAAGTGTATGACGAGATCTATCTTGGTTATTGGAACGTTGAGGAATTGTGTATTTGGTTCCAGATGCTTGTTTTGAATAACTGCGGTTCTGGGAGTTCTCTTTCTGTTGGTTTGACCGGTCTTGAGAATGAGTATCACGGAATTTAGTGCCGGTTCGAGTAGATAATTGGGTCTGGATAACCTTAAGATCCAGGTTGGTAACCGGAGCACGGCCAGTAGAGTAGACATCATCTAGTTTACTCTTGATAAAGGCGCGGTTCCAGTCCCGGAGACCTATAAAGAAGAGGTCATGTTTGAGATTTTCAAGAGATTCTTCTCCAATAGCGTGTAGGCGGTCAAAGATTCGATTAAAGGATGACTGGTAGGTGAGATAATCGTTATCCTTTATATAGAGCTCTTTGAGCTCCATGGTAAGGGCCATTCGCTCTTCACCGGTGGATTTGCCAAAAAGTGTGGCAGCTCGGTCCCAAAGACCATGGGCAGAGAGGTCATATACGGTGCCTAGTTTATCGGAAGCAGGGGTTGTCATGGCATTGAGCATACGGGCTCTCATGACAATGGCTTTTCTGTGCCAAACTGCAGCATCAAGTGGAGATGATCCAGCAGGAGGAGAGTCCTGGTGAAGAGTTGTAATAGCATTGAGAATACCAGCTTCTTTTTGTATGGCAGAGCTCCATGCATCGTAATTATCCAGTGTCAAGATGACACGGCATCGGTCAGGCAGTAGCGTATCGACATCGGCTTGGACAAGGGCAATAGCATTGCTGATATTTGTGTCTGAGGCATCACGCAGAGGCGGTTGGATATCCATTGGTGTAGTATCTTGGGTTGTATTTGAAGGCAAGGAAGCTTGTGGAGTATTAGACTGGATGATAGATGCCAGTTTTAGCTCCATTCTAGCTTCACGGTCTCGCATATCTTGTTCCATCTGATTCTGGCGAGCAAGCATTTGTCGCATCATATCAGCAAGATCAGGGGTAAGTTCGTTTGTGGAAGCCATGTTGGCGGTATTGGTAGAGCTCAGATTGGCTCCGGAAGGCGTTGGGGTCTCTATCTCTTCAGAGACAACTGATGAGGAGGTCTCGTCTATATTCGAGGACCTGTTTTGGAGATTTCGGCGACGTGATCGTCGTATAGCAGTAGCGGGAGGCGTAGTAGGTTCTCCTGACATGCTCAGGTTCGGACCGTATCTGGGATCCTGGAATTTTTGGAATCTGGGGTATGGAATTTTGGTTCAGCCAATCAGAGGGCTTAAATTGACCACTTATACGGGCCTAAAATAGCTCATATTTCCGAGCAAGAAACGGGCTCATAACCTAATGGAAGTGTATTGTTGGTTGGTTACTAGCTAGATAGGCCTACGTGGTGAAAAGGGTCAGCGAGGGCGGACCTATGCGGCAGAATCCCACGTGATCCAACAAATTCTTCACTTTCTCTCTCTCTCCATGTGCCACTTCCACTCCATCTCCGTTCTTGTACATGCCAGAAAACACTAAAATAGTGCGCAGCCAGGCAATGTCTGTTGCAGAGAACGCATTCAGCGATGATCACAGCTGTATGGCTGTTCCGATGGTACCAGAAAATCCTTGGACGTCACCTACGTCAGCAAACAATAAAGCCAAGAAATCAAGCTGCCAAGCATTGTAATGTAATATCCATCCGTGAATCAAATTTTGCTGGTAATTATACACCGAATATAATGTCGCGCAGTTAAAAGTGAGAAAGAGGCTATATTTGTACAGGGTAATGGTAAAGATGGTGCCAGTTCAAATAGTTGCAGTTAATCCCGAAAGCGAAAAAAGAATCCAGCGCCGTGGACTCCCTGTGGGAAAAGATATGTATACTTTACAGTGTCGCCAGATACTATCAACGCTTAGCTTTCTTTCTATCAGGTCCCTCATCCTCCTCGTCGCTAATATCCGCATAAATTGGGTTGGGTTGAGTCTCTTTCCACGCCTTGGTGAAAATGGGCTCTTTCTCAGCCTTCTCTGCATACTTTAGCAGTGCCTCACGCGGGTCCTCATCTCGCATTGAACTAAGGGGAATGTTTTCACGAATATGTCTTTCATCAGGTTGCGACTTGGCAAACGGCGTTTGTGCAGGTAAATGAGGTCTTCGGGGATCTCTTGGACGGCCAGAAGCTGTCAATCCAATGGTCGGATGTCTGGCCGACCACGTAGCAGAGGCATAGTGGGGTACACCATTGCTGCCGACGACAACAGAATCTCCAGAGAGACCCTGTGACAAATCCATTGTGAGATTCGGATCATCGTCTACATGGCGACGCTTGGGGGCCTTGGACATAACAAGGGCAGCTCCCTTGGTGGAAAGATTCGGGTTGTAGAGAACGTGCGTCTCAGCGTTGGCAGAACCGGTTAAGATCTGATTAAGTTTCTCATGCCAAAGAACTGTAACAAGAGGTGAACCAGGTGTGACTGGAGTGACAAGTTCCGGCTTTAAGGTGGCCGGATTCAAGATGTGTAAATGGCCCGTTTCAGAGCCCGTGATGACATTCGCAGACGTAGGAGAAAATTTGATATTCGACGAGGGATAGCGACTTGAGCTTGAAGGATGTGCGACTGTAGTAATCGGATGCTTAAACTTCCTGGTATCCCAGAGCTTTATGGTATCATCTCCTCCCTTAGTTATAACCAATCTCCCATCGGAGCTGATATCGATTCCACTCGTCCACGTATCACGAGTATGCGCATCCCTGACCTCGGCGCTGGGTCTGGTATATGGCCCATTTCTACTCCACATTAACAGGCTACCATCCAACGCAGCGGCAACAAGAACGTTCGAACCTCCCTGCTTTGGAGAACCCCACGCCACAGCAGTCATCTTGCTCCTTCCAGCGGACCCAGCAGCTCTTGACTTGTGCACAATCACTTCCTTCTGTGATCGGCCAACATTTGCGTCCCATATGCGCACTGTGCTATCTGTTCCGGCAGTAGCACAGATGTTATAATCCGTCGGGTTCCATACACCGCTGGTCACCTCCGCTATATGGCCTTTTGTATTATGCAGATCCCGCAGATACATATCTCCTTTGACAAACTCTGTAATTGTGTCCCCATCGCGACTGAGAATCCTGGGTTGCGCCGTCGCAGTGATGACCAACACATGGCTAGGAGATAGAGGATCGAACTCGACATGATGGACAGCATGCGTCTCCTGCGCGGCGGACTGTTTCTTAGCCGAAGGATCAACAGATTTGAATGCGCGTATAGTGGTTGGCGTCATAGACGCAAAATCATGAAGCTTTATCGAGCAGTCCGTCGATCCAGTAATCAAGCGCGACCCTGCTGGGTCCACGGTCATAGTCGTCACAGCGCGTTCATGGGTTTTGATAACGAGTTCATGTGAAACGGGGAACTCATCCTCGTCATCGGAATCGGAATCGGAATCGTTTGAATCATCATCTTCGTCGTCACTCCCGTCATTTGATTTTGCGCGGCTTTCCAACCTTGCCTCCGCCGTTCGTACCTCGGCGCAGTCACCATCGGGTTCTTGCGACAACTGTTTCGGCTTCACAAAGACCTCCGTCCGCTTGGTACGATTGATCTGTGCATTTATATCCGTGGCTCTTTCTTGTTTGCCGAAGCTCGTAGGGAAAAACTTCTTAAATGCATCTTCGTCGAAGTCGTCCATTGTGTCAGGTCGATGTCTGGTTCGAAATGCGTCTTGAAAAGCAGGGTGATATTTGAGTGGCTGTGTTTGCATTGTTTGCAACTTTTACAGGTGGAGCCATGAGGTCACAGCATCAACTAGTAATAATACAAGCTACTTCTGATATTTGAAATCTATGCTCGTTTGAATATAGTTCCAACCATGGCATTAGAAAAGCGCTTCTGTAGTTAGAATACAGTGTGATGGAGACATAACCTAATAGATTAATCTACCTCCAGAAGGTAAGAGACAACCCCCCCGACATTTAGAGATAAAGACCTTCGATTGGACCTTGGTCCGTCTTCGTCTTCATGATACGTTCCCTGGCAGAGCGGAAATCATCCATCTGCACCCGCATCCGCCTCTCCCTCAGAGCCATCAACCCAGCCTCTGTGCAAATAGCCCTGATATCGGCACCGGACAGGTCGTCCTTTTGATTAACGAACTCATCAAGGTCAACATCATCACCGAGAGACATCTTCGAGGTATGCAAGGCGAATATCTTCTTCTTGGTATTTTCTGGAGCAAACAAACATGGTTAGCTGGGATCAACGGTTTCCTGAGATTAAGACACTTACGATCCGGGTTCTCAAAAAGGATCTTTCGATCAATACGGCCAGGTCGAATCAAAGCAGGGTCCAGGGTCTCAATCTTATTAGTAGCCATGAGAACCTTGACATCTCCGCGGTCATCGAAGCCATCAAGCTGATTGAGGAGTTCCAGCATAGTCCGCTGGATTTCTCGTTCGCCACCCGATGTCGAATCGTATCGCTTGGTACCGATGGCATCGATTTCGTCAATGAATACAATCGAAGGGGCATGTTCCGCGGCAACCTGGAAAATCTGGCGAACCAGACGGGGGCCATCACCGAGGTATTTCTGGATCAGCTCACTACCCACAATGCGAAGGAAAGTAGCGCTGGTCTGGTTGGCAACTGCTTTCGCAAGTAGGGTCTTTCCAGTACCCGGAGCACCGTAGAGAATGACGCCTTTTGGGGGCTTAATGCCCATCTCCTCATAGAGTTCTGGGTGTAACAAAGGAAGTTCAACAGACTCTCGGACCTCCTGAATTTGTGACTCGAGACCACCAATGTCTGCGTATGTTTCGGTGGGTGCCTTATCCAGTTTCATCACGGAAACAAGAGGGTCGGATTCCTCTGTTAGCACACCAACGACAGAGACAGTCTTGTGGTGGAGGAGAATGCTGGAGCCAGGCTCAAGTAGATCCTTGTCGACGAAAGACATGATTGAGACGTAGTACTCCGGACCAGTTGCACTTGAGACGATAGCATGGTCATCATCGATCAACTCCTCCAGATTACCCACACCCATGGGGGTGCCTCTCATATCATCGACCCGGCTTCTCTCGTCGGCATTCCTATCAAGAACATCCAACTCTCCCCGGCTAACTGGTTCCTGCGTTCCCTGTGCCTTGGCTTTCCGTAGACGTTCCATATTCTCGACATACTCCTCCTCTAAGAGCAGATGGTCATGAACTCTTTGCATGCGGAGATAGCGAAGTCGACAACGCGATGTCGGAAAAATGTCTGGAAGCTTAGCAGCAGCCGTTGGGCCAGCTGCCTTACGCTTTTTGCGTCCGATGCGAGTTGTAGGTGGTGGTGGTGGCTCGTACTTCGGCTTATCCTTCTGATGGAAGCGTTCAGTCAGATAACCACTTCATGGCAAGCACAGTGATGAGCAAACCTTCTTGTCTTTATCCTCCCGTCCATCACCAAAACCACCTCCAAGATTAGACTGCTGGTTACCCTATTATGAAAAGAGAGGTTAGCGAAGGCTGGTTGATAATCGGTGATTGCAAATCCACGGCTACGAACCATGATTAAGAGCTCCTAGTAAAGATTCGAGGAACCTTGTCGATGAAATAAGTAGACAGGACCACAGAATATGTATACCAGCAGCTCCCAAAACTGGTAAAAGAGAAGAAACTGATATGGTTGGGAGCAAGAAGGATGTTGTCAGGGGAGTTTGTTGGAGATGCTGGGCGCGAGCTGGTCGCCATCGTCAGGTTGCTTGGTCATATCACGTGATCTGTTCAGCGGCATGGTGCCTTGCAGCCTCAGGAATGTTCGAAGCACGGCATTGATATTCTGCCACTTCAACCCCTCGTCTGGGATGCCCTTTGCGAATCAAGAACCTACATCTATTTATTTTATTTTTTTTTGAAGTTGCTTGAGAATACACATTTTAGTTCGATTATCTCCACTGGAGCCTGTGCTGCCAGTGTGACTCACTGTACTTCATTCCTACCGCCTAGCTTTCCCTCATCCCGACTACTCGCTCAGCAAGCAGGCAAGGCGATTTCCGTTGTGACTGTTTCTATTCTTTATTTTACACTCTATTTCCCATAAGTTCACAGTCAGTAAAGAAGCCCCATACCGCGACAGTTTGGTTGCCATTGCTAACCGTCATTTGTTGCAGCCTCCACCTACATTCAGCCTTGTATCGCGCCTAGTCTTTCAGCCTTAGCCTTCCTCTATATCAGATTCCATTTTCTAGGCATCACTACACTGAGTTCCATTTCCTTTCTACATCTTCCTCGGGCTTTCTATACAGCACACAGCAGCACCCATGTCTTCCAACCGGATCCGCCGCATCACCAAAGAAATTGCCGATGTTCACGCGGATTCTCTTTCCCAGATCACAGTTGAGCCTCTAGGGGGAGGAAATGATATCACACATCTGCGTGGCACCTTCCTAGGACCCCCAGGCACTCCCTACGAAGGGGGCACTTACAAGGTTGATATAAAGATACCCAATGAGTATCCCTTCCGGCCACCTGTGATGAAGTTCGAGACCAGAGTCTGGCACCCTAATATCAGCAGCCAGACGGTTAGTTCCAACTTCTGCTGTGGAAATTGATCCAAATTAACTGAGAATTAAACAGGGTGCTATTTGCCTCGATACCCTTTCGTCAGCTTGGTCACCGGTTCTTACGATAAAATCCGCACTTCTCTCTCTACAGTCTTTACTTAATACACCTGAACCCAAAGACCCACAGGATGCGGAGGTCGCAAATATGCTTATTAAGAGACCGAAGGAATTCGAACGCATTGCCCGCGAGTGGGCTGTGATCTATGCTGGGGCACCCAGGAAGCACTCTGGAGAAAGTAGCGGTGGTGCAACGGATGAATCGTTACGGCAACAGGAGCTTGAGGCCATGGAACAGGAGACACAGGAAGATCTTTCCAAGTACGTGCCCTATTCGTGCTGATGGTAATGTAAACAGAGTCCGAGACCCGATTCTAACTGCTTTCTGATATAGGTATGATGGATACAACAAGGATCTGGTCGACCGTTTTTGCAGTATGGGGTTTGATGTGGACCGTGTGGTTGACGCGTTCAATTATGTCGGTGTCGACCGAATGGAAGGAGAGGATTATGAGCTAGATGAAGCATTTATGGGTGACATAACCGCACGACTCCTGGGCGAGCCTTGATGGTTGAGAAAATGCCGTCATGAGAACGCCATTCCTTTTTATTGTCTTTTATCCAGTTTCTGTTTTCTGGATGGTGGGGTTAAGCGCAAGGTGTCTGGCGAGGTCTTTGTTATTATTTGGATAACTGGGTTGGCTCTTCCGTATACGAATGAACTGCTATTACGAGACTCGGGAGTAGATGATGTAGGAAACAAGCTGTTGTTATCGATAAGCACGGCGGATCTCCGCCTTTGCATCTCCGAAGTGTAACAACGCTCCGGAAACCTTTTCTACTCCATACAACAGATAGACAGTTGCTGTCCTTGATTACTATGGAACCACGAAAATAAAATCAGTCCCATACCTACGAATACTATAATCTGACATATTTCATATTTCTTTTAACTTCGATAAAGCCAGAAAGAACAAAGCCACCCGCCATGATCGAGGACACCGTCTACCGCACCTCTTCCCAATACCGGTTCTGGTCGTTCACAGAAGATTCCCTTCGAACCCTACGAGCCAAGACCAATGCCTCAGCAAGCGAACGTGTACGGACTGCGATCCAGACAAAACGGCAATCTGGGTTGTCCTCTACTGGCGACACGCCCGTTTCTACGCCAGGGTCGAATGTAGCTACAGATGACGGAAAACTGAAGGCAAAGGAAGATGAAATCCAGTGTCTTACGCCAGAAGAGGAGCAGGTACTAGTGCGGTATTATTGCGAGCAGACGCTGGAGCTGGGCGATGTGTATAAACCGGCTTTACCTACTATTGTACGGGTACGTCAAGGAGCCGATGAATGGTTCAGTGTTTTCGGATTTCCTCAGTCTACTCTCAATCTCAAGGAGATCGGCTAATGATTACCATCGTCACAGGCAACAGCAATCCAATACCTCCACCGTTTCTATTTGACAAACTCCCCAATGACCTACCACCCCAAAACCATCATGTCCTGCGCGCTCTTCCTTGCCACGAAAACCGAAAACTACTACATGTCCCTCCGACAATTCGCAAAGAATATCCCAGGCGGCACACCGGAGGATGTCATCGCCCCGGAATTCCTCCTCATGCAGAGTCTCAGATTCACATTCGACGTGCGACACCCATTCCGCGGCTTAGAGGGCGGAGTCATGGAACTCAACGCCATCGCGCAGGGAATGGGACAACCTGCACCTCATCTCCCACATCAAACACCCGAGGATCTTCGGAAGGACTTATTATCCATCCTCCCACAGCAAGGACAGGCCCAGAGACCGACCTCAATCACAGACCGCATCGCCCGAGCACACGGTAAAGCAAGAGAAATTCTCAAAACAGCCGCCCAAGTGACCGACGTCTACTTCCTCTACACACCCGCCCAGATCTGGCTATCTGCCTTCTTCCTCGCTGATAAGCCCCTAGCAGAATTCTACCTCAACACAAAACTAGGCCCTGACCAGAAGAACCAAGCAGACCAGTCCCAACAGCAACAACAAAATTCTCTCTCAGCCTTACGTGGAAAGGTCCTCAAAACAATCACTCACTGCTCCAATACTCTCCAATCATACAAACCCCTCTCCTCAGATATAGAACAAATGAAGAACCTGAAACGCATAGCAAAGAAGCTCTACCATTGCCAGAATCCGGAAAAGATCGGTGCCGGCGTCAGTCAAAAGAGGGACGCCAGTGCTGCTGGTTCTGGCGTCTCGGGGGCAGCGGCAGATAGTGGGAAGGCTGTATCGGAATCCGGGCAAACGGAGCCTGTTTCCAAGAAGAGGAGACTTGAATCTGCAATGGGAGATGGAGATAATAAAGGGATCTCAGGACAGGATTTGGCTAATAGGGTGAAAGAGGAGTAGGACTGAGGGTTGCTTTCAGTGAGGTGTACTTGCATAGATGTGGATTTATAGATCTGTAGAATATATGAACTATGACTATCATGTTTCAATGTGAACCCTGGCATATTCTCAGCATTGGCCAAGAGCTTTTCTCGTCAGCCTTCCGCGATGGCTGTACGAACACATATTATGTCTCAGTCGCCATGGAGGGTAGTTCACTGACCCCAGACTCCTCCAGCCACTCACGATTTCTGCTGTAGGGGCCTGGTCTAGGCTTTCCAGATGAGATACGGATTTGCCAGGTTGGCATTGTGACACCCTTCGAGGTGCAACCAAGCGAAGCACCCACAATTGCTAACCCTTCAGTTCCATCAGGTGATAGCATTTCAACCCTGCACATTTTGCTTTCAATTTATCTAATGATGTATTACTGTGTTAGGATGCTTTAATACAGCTCTCCCCTATCAAACATGCAACTGACAGAGTCGAGTTCCTTAAATTGCCACACGTACGGCAGCGAGAGTTCGATCGTATGATGAATGATCCTTATGTCCTGGGACGAAATATGTTTGCAGCGGCGACGTCGAATATGACTGGAGAGCTTTGCCCGGCTGCCATGGTGACGTCTCCAGAAACTGCAAATAAAGCTCCTGGACCAGATGTAGGTGCTATCCCTGCGTATTCGGTCAAACTCCTCTAAGCTCTCCCCCAGCGGCTCATCCGTTGGCCCTTCCCGCTTCTGGAAGCAGCCTACAGTGTTACAAAGTTTCCGACACACCATGGCCAATCCTTGAACCTGCGCAGAGACAGACCATTATAAGAATGTTGCAGTCATGTGGATTTCGCAACAAGAATGTGTCTCTTAGCGATAGTCAGATCGGCTCAATCCTCAAGGCGGGAACCTGTCTTCTCACAAGGAATCCTTCGGGAATGCTACAGTCACTTTTTGAAGATGAAGCTCGTACATTATCCAGCCTGAACAGACTCTGACTCCCAGGAGAATGGGAAGGTATAGATGGAGCTGTGAATTATCTTCGAGTGCTTGATGCAGACAAGGACAAGAAGAATTCCTTTACTCTTGGTCCTCTTGCAAAGCGCATCGCTCAGATTTTGGTCTATCTCAACTACAAAAGACTGTCAGCAGAGCGAGACTGACATAGTCTCCCGCGTCCTTGACGCCTATCCTGACGACCCAAATCGCTCCAAGACAAAAAAATTTCGTCATGCTAACTTTAGCACTTATCATGTACGCCGGGTCAGATGGTGGTGGAGGCTTGCAGCATCTTTCGGATTTGGCACCCTGTTGATTGCTGATAATGACTTGATGAAAGCCATGTACGCTTATTGAACCCTCCATGCTGAAGCCGGAGATTGAAACCCGACATTTCAAAATGCGGAGACGATTGCCAGCTTCTCTCCACGCTTGGCGATACGCTCGCACAGATCGCCGGCGATGCTTTTGGCAGCTTTCTCCGTGGCAACCGGCTCTGATACGTTTGCTCTCTCTTCCCTGATTCCCGCAGAATGGCAGCGGGCTTGGGATTGCTCCAGAATGTCGTCCATGCCACCCCCGCGTTGGAGAATGCGGGGATCTACGAATCCGGGGAAGCTTAATGGCGCCCGGCCGGTTTTTGGCTGTCAATTGCCGCCAACACGGCGCCATTGCACCGTTTCTTCTTTTTGGCACATTGATTCTACGAGACCTTGTTGTCCTAGTCAGGAGACAGCATGGACATTGAGATCAGCGGTCTCTTCTATTCTCTTTACTGAATGTGAGCTAACCATGTATTTAGGGGGCGGTAGCTATACGGGATTGTGATGCTGACGAGCAGCTCGATCCTCTGCCGAAAGGAAACAAACTACAATACATCTTGCACCCGTTGTTGGCTCTTATCCACAATAATGACTTGTCATACATGGCATATAACTAGGGCCTGGGAATGGGAGGGACAGAAGTTGGCCATGCTGCGAATGAGTTCATGTATCTGAAACAGCACAGAATTCCTTGTCCCATTTCCCTTGATCCTTCACATTTGGTATGGCCAGAGTTTTGTATATGACTCCCTTTCAGCTTCGTTTTTGGCCAGCCCAATAAATATGTCCTTGAATTTGCGACTATTCTTGCTGGCAATTTCGTAATCTTCCGGATCTACCATCCCATCGACCGGTAGTACACCCTGGTCATAAGGATCTTGGTGCCTACTAATACGTAAGTGAGAACATTTTGTAGTGTGAGTACCAAGACGCACAATACTGAGCCCCCTTGCTGGCTTTCACAGCAACATTGATGAGCTGCTGCAGGTTAAACCTCACATAACGCTTAGAAAGCTCTTCACGTTCATTGAATCTGAACAAACACTGATGAGGCAAGGGCTGAATATAAAGCAATAGGATTACTTACAACCATCGGTGTCTGGTGTGCTTGAACAAGTCTTCTTCAGTAATTTTCTCACCTTGGTTGCTGGTTAGTTAATCAGATATCATAAAAGGCACTGACACACAGGTACAAGTTCCGTTGGATCCTTCCATGCATAATTTTGGTCGGTGAGATCCTGACTCATGCTCTCTCAAACGTGATGAAGAGAGTGAATGCATATTCTGTGTCTGGCAATAGGAGAGTCTGTTTTGGAAAAGCTTCAAAAAAGCCTGCTTCCAGGGAGTTCCACACATGGTGTTTTGTGAGTTTGCCAGCTAACAGCTGTTAACATTCATTTGGGTCGGGGTGGGATTCGGATTCGGATTTATATACCGTCCCAATCAATCACTATCCATGGCTGGCGCCCAGCGGTAGAGATAGTGCCTGAGCTACAGCTGCATCTCAACCCAGCAATCCCTCCGAGGGATAACGAAGTTACGCGGACCACGTCAAGTTACATAAAATACAAGCCAACGCACAGGCTAAGGATAATGCGGTCAAGGATTACATCAAGTCTGGGAGAGACATGGCGATCGAGGGGAGCCAAAAATGGCTCCCCTCCCGGAGCGTGGGCGTCCAGGCAGGAGGGAGACTGAGGAAGGATACTGAGGATGAACAATACATGCAAGATGGCTGCACTAGCGTCAGGAACCAAAGAAAGCGTGCCCTGCGTGGAAATTGTGCTCGTGGCTGCGTTGATTCATGATATTCCATAATGGTGTATTTAGGCCTGGATAGAACTCAAAGAGCCAGCAAGTCTACTATTCTCTATTGTGATCTATGGGGGATATATATGACATAACTAACAAGTCAAAAAAGCGGGAGGGAATCAATCCCATTCATTCCATTCATTCATTCATCCATCCAGTACAAGAGGGAATAAGCAGATGGTTGCATGAAAATGTCTATACCAGATGGACAAATGAAAAACAACAAGAAACAAATCCGCCTTCAAATGCCCGATTCCGGTAAAGCATGGAGGAAGGCGTAAGGAAAACCGTAATCGAAAAGACACCCCAAACAAAAGCCAAAGCAGAGAATTGAGAAAAGAGAACCATAAATATTGACAGACTTTGTCACTAAACAAATCCATCTCCGGCAAAACTTTTTGCTTGCTCTACTTCCCTTTCCCAGAAGAAAATGGGGGAAAGGAAACGAATAATTATAAAGGAGAATTTCCTCGCCATGATCATCACAAAGTGCATTAGACCAGTACCTTAGACAGCACCTGCAGAGATCATCTTCTTACGCAGGTACTGCTTATACTCGCCGATAGTGCCATCCCACCGGCGAACAGTCTTGTTCTCACAAACCATGATATCCTTGGCAATCTTATCGAGGAGACGGAAATCGTGAGAGACGACCACAACACCACCCTCGAAGGCATTGATGGCTTCAGCCAAACTATCGATGGTAGGGATATCGAGACCGTTGGTAGGCTCGTCCAGCAGAATCATGTTGGGTGAAGAGATAGCCAGCAGAGCGAACACGATACGACTCTTCTGTCCCTCGGACAGAGTGCCCATCAAAGCGGTCTGCGCGTCACCGCTGAGACCGTAGCGACCGAGTTGCTGGCGCCAGTACTGGTAGTCCTGACTCTTCTCGGGATACTTATCACGTACGAAGTCGAGAGCGGACTTGGTCAAGTCCAGCTGTTCCTGCGAATGCTGGCTGTACATGCCAAGCTTCAAGTGGGTGTGACGGCTGACACGGCCTCCAATGGGGTGCAGCTTGCCGGTCATAATACGGAGTAGAGTGGACTTTCCCACACCGTTGGGGCCGACCAGGGCAGTTCGAGAATCCATATCGACACCGAAGTCGAGATGTTCGTACAAGGTGTCCTCCCAATTTCCAGAGTAGGAGAAACTGACATCGTCGAAGGAGAGCACAGGAGGCGGTAACTTCTCAACATCAGCGAAGCGGAAGGAGAAGACTCTGTCGGGTATAACAGGCTGGATGAAGCCTTCCGCCTCCATCTTGTCGAGAATCTTCTGACGGGACTTGGCCTGTCTGACCAAGTTGGCATATGTACCAGCAGACGCAATGAACTTCTTGATGTGAGCGATTTCCTCCTGCTGCTTGTGGTAGGCCTTCATCTGGTTCGTCTCCTGTTCTGAGCGTGTCTTAGCGTAAGAGTCGTAGTTACCACCGTAGTACAGAAGTTGTTTCATGCGCATATCGATCATGTTGGTGCAGACTCCGTTCAGGAAGTCCATGGAGTGGGAGACGAGGACCAGGGTACGCTCCCATTTCTTCAGGTACTCTTCGAGCCACACGCAAGCCTCGAGATCCAAGTGGGCAGTGGGGTCATCGAGCAGGAGCAACGAGGGCTTGACGAACAGAGCCTTGGCGAGCGCGACACGCATACGCCAACCACCAGACATGTCCTTCGTCTTCTTGTGGATAGTGACTTTGTTGAAGCCCAGACCCGTCAAAATCAGAGAGGCACGAGTGTGGAAGGTGGACGGATCCATCTTGTCCATACGCTGCAAAACAGTCAGTCAGTTCCATCCAAAGCCGAGAAGTTACGGGAGGGACAGATGAAGCTTACATCGTACAAGTCTTCCAAAATAGGGCTGTCCGGGCCTTCCTTCTCCAGAATTTCCTCCGCCTGCTTCTCCAAACGGTCCAGTTCAGTTTGTGCCTCTGTCACGACCCATTCAAGGGCACCCAGGTCGCTCGGAGGAGCACCTTCGTTCAGGAGATAGATATCAATGTGTTCGGGGATGGGGAATTCGCGTGCATCGATGGACTTGAGGAGAGTAGACTTGCCACATCCGTTCTCACCCAGAAGACCATATCGACGACCGAAGTTGAGTTCGAGAGTGGAGTCTGTGATGAGGACTTTGCCGTGGAAAACCAGAGAAGCGGATGTAACCTTCACATCGCGGGACGAAGGCAGGGAGGAGAGAACACCGGTGGTGACACGGTCGGAAAGTCCATGCTTATCCATCTGTGCCGTGAGCTTCTCGACTTCCTTCAATTTCTCACCACTGGTGGCGGGTTGATCTTCGACGGGAAGAGGGTTGCCATCGGCGTCAAGCAAGGGCTTGTCGTCAGCCGGGGCCTGAGCCTGAGCCTTATCCTTGCGAGAGATCTTCTTCTTAGTTTCGCCATCATTGGCACGCTTGGCCAGACGGGCAGCCTTGGATGCAGAAACCATATTGTCTGTTGAGATGGGTGGAAGGGTGGAAGACGTTGAGGTGAGGGAGGAGAGAGGGCAAAAAAAAAAAACCTGCAAAGCCGTCGAGGGTATGTGGATCGGTAGGCGGGGTGAGAAGTGTAGAAAACTAAGGCAAAAATACGGAGTAACAAACAGGTAATTAGATAATTATTAGGAGGGGTGGTCCTCGAGAGTGGACCGAGAGATGCCCTTATCGATAGAAAGGGCTCACAGACTAGATAATGCACCAGATAACTAGAAGATGCAGGATGGACAGGAATCAGGGACTCTGATGATGGAAGAGTCCGGACAGAGGTTTAAATAGCCTGATGAAAGGAAGAGGAAGAGAGAAGACGAAAAGAGAGAAAGAGGAAGAAACGAAAAAATCTGCGGGCCGCTTTACGAGGATGCTGATTGGCTAGATAATGAAGTGGCACTAAATGTGGCACGGTCTTTCTGTGGCTGGTGGAATATCAGCCTTATCGTCACGTGTTATATCTACGCTGTCCGGTCTGACTATGTGTCCGTTGTTCTACAGCGATTGTCATCGTATTATTATCACTATTACTATGATTATTATATTCGATTGCTTATCCCAATTAGCAGGTTTTTCTCCATTTCAGTTAGACGCACACATTCCGGGATCAACACTTTGCCACGCTGCACTACCACTTGAGGACACTTCTCTACAGGTCTGTCCCCAGACAGAGTTGAAGAACTTCTCTGTGTAATAGGAAGACCAGCAGTCTCCGGATCTGCGGCCTCTTGCTGCGCCAAATTCTGCGATGTCCACCAGTATAGAGGATACTGGCGCAAGATATTATTTATTATTAGTGCAATCGCGAGAATGAGCGCACACCCCAGCAGCACGTTGGGGATCAGCAGCCAGCCTAGATCTGTAGTACTAGTGACAGCCAGTAGAGCCGTAGCTCCAGCAGGTGGATGTACTGTGTGTGTCATGGTCATGACGGCTGTCGTGATGGCGCAGGCGAGAGCGCCGCCCAACTCAGGCAAAGCCTTTGCATGAGGGTTCAGAGCGAAGAGTTTTGCGATCCCGACACCTATGACACTGCCAAATAACTGGCCAAGGATGGCATTTCGTGGTTGTGCTAGCGGAGAGTCAATGGCGCAAAATTGCAACACCGCTGCAGCTCCCTAGAGGGAACACCAACGTTAGGCATTTGTCGAATGGAACAAACACATAAACGTGTTTCTTTTCCTTTTCCCCTTACGGTTTTGCGACAGGAATACTTACAAAACTCCCAACAATAATTGGGGCATGATGGGCCCGGAATACAGGAACATGCATCGACACTGCAGTGACGACTGCCACGCCGCAGAATACTCCGATGAGCGACCATAGGGCAACAATTATATTACCAATGAAGCCAGGTTGTTGTCTCCGGTGGCCTAGAATATGGGAAATAGGGTGAGGCAGCCTGTGCCATGGCGGAGGGGGAAGGAAGGTGTTCAGGTAGTCATCGATGTCCAGGTGCCAGCGCGAGAGATCGAACCAGCTGGATGGAGGCCGGTGCATAGGGCTCGTCAAAAATACAATTGGAAATGCCTGTGAAGGATGAAGAGCTTTCTTGCAGACTTTCCTTGGTCCAAACGAGATGATTATCTGGTTGAAAGAGCGAGCGTCCTTGACGACAGCAGCTATTCAAGGGGAAAAGAAGAGATGATGTTGAGTCTTGCATCAGCAATACACGAATAGCATGAAGCAGAGAAAAATGTCTAATGACAGCGACATGGTCCCCTTCACGCATCTTATATGGCGACAGTTTCTCCACAGAGCCGCTGATTATGACCTAGCATAGCTGGATGCAAGAAAAGGCGCAGCCGTTCCAGCCGCATCTCCGCGGATAGGCAGCTAAAACGCATAGAAAATGGAGTCCGAGCAAGGAAGCTTTCATTTTCGCGCTGACGCCCTGCCTCCAGTCACGTCTTTTGTGTTGGGTAACAGAAACCCTGCTTGCCTGTGGCAACCCATATGACTGTTAGATTAGTCATCTGTCTTGGCAATTTGCTCATCACTGTGTCCTCGAAGGGCTAGCAGCTCGGCGCAGGTCGGAGAAACCTCGCCCCAAGTAGAGCCCGGAACGGAAGAAATGCTCGGCACAGGTAGATAGCGCGATTTAGTACTGGATAGGAAGGCGGTCATTTTTGGCGTTTTTAGCGCGTTTTTCAATTTGAAATACTTTTGAACCCCCAGCCCAGGTAGAGAGCTTAGTCAGAAATTCTCTACCTGGGGCGAGGTTTCTCCGGCCTGCGCCGAGCTGATACCCGGTCCTCGAACACGAAGTCGTTTTCGACACGAGCGACAGGTATCAAGATCCTCCTGAGTTCAATATCCACCAAAGTCCTCGGGACGGCATGTCATGATCCCATAGCGATCAGTTTCCAGTTTACGGTACGACATCTGTCTGATCCGAAACCCTGGCCGAGCGGATAGCTCTGTCGGGATGTCTCCCACCTCCCACTTGGCATCATATGCCAGCCAAATTGTCATGGTTCTCGCCGTGATCTTGGCCAGTGGGTGAAATATAGCATCGACTTCTGTCCCCTGTTGCAAAAGCCAACCTCGGAGAAATAGACACAGGTTCTCCAATCCTTGCATAGCTGCCAGCATGGAGCATATTTCCTCCCAGCGTCTATAGTTGATGAAGGACTGTTTATATGTGTCCTTCTTGGACATGTTCTCATTGAAACACTGCGCTAGCTTCAGGGTGCGAATCGAATTGAATCGAGAAAGGGGGATTGAGCGAAGAAAGATACCCATGATGTTGCTGTCATAGAAGTCGAAGATGTTGTCCCGATACAGCACACGTGCAGTTTCTGAATATCTGCATTTGGTTAACAAGAATGAAACCGATAGCTAACAAAGGGTACTTGCATCATCCGACAGGTCAACAGAATTGATATCCTGTCCGCAGGCTTTAATACACTAGGAATCGAAACTCCATCCATATCCCGTCTGCGTTCGTAGCTGATGATCTCCGTCATGGTGTGCGTGCCGTTACACTCGCAGCCCTTCAATTTCAGGTCGTTGAGTCCGATATGCCAGCGGCAGCCTGCCAGGCATTCTTTCCATATCATCAGCCGGATATCGAACGGCAATTGAAATAGTGGAGACTGCTCCTGATTGTATGTTTCCTGCGGCACTCGGTGAACGACCGGTGTCTTGATCCAGGCCTTCTTCTGCGGCTGCTTTCTCTGCCATAACGTGCGTATGAAACCGGACTGATCTGGCTCTTTGGGCTTATCTCTTCTTTCAAATGTAACACGAATAACCTCTCTGCCTTTGTCTGTTAGAGGAATCGTAAGTGCCCGTCTCGGCCGGTTGGGAAGCGTGGATGACACTCCGCCTTCTTCTCCATCTGTTTCCTGCTCATAGTTATCTGTATTCATTGCCACGGAATTGAAAGACTGGTGATAATAGAAGAGAGAAGCCAGATATTGACCGCGTTCGGTATATATGGACAGCTATAACCCCATAGTTTACACCAGGTACATTCAGCCTCGTGGGGAACAAGATGAAGAGAGCCTCGAAGAACCCAGCTGCCTACAGTGTAGTAAGCTGCTTGCTACGTGTCAACTCAACCGTCAATAAGCCATAGTCATCGCCGAGTCGACAATCGGGAGCGACTGTCAGCATTCCTGCATTGTCTCGGCTACACAGCCCCTCTGAAAGGTCGACTTGCCATTATTTTTCTACATTATCTTCGAATAATCCCACCTGGCTTTGGGTAATACATAGCATAGTCATGCAAGGGCTACTGACCCGGCTGTTGTTTCTTCTCTTTAGACAATTTCTTTAGACAGCTTCTCTCCCTTTTCACCATCAGGACCAAGGTATACTGGCAATTAACACTGTAGAGCTGTAAAAAGGATCGCATGTCTATTTATAGTTGGTTGGGCGATTTTGGGGTATGGCATCTAAATCTACACCTCCAACGTCTTCCCCTCGCGGGAACTCTGCTGCACCAGCTCGATGAGTCTGATGATGTCGCGGGCTTCAGCCCCGCTGGCAGGGAGCGCACCATCGCCGGACAGAGCTCGAGCGAGTTTGCGATAGTACTCCGTCCATGTTGGGGGTTCCGTGGTGGGGTAGATTTCCCTGAAGGGCTTGTTATCTTTGAGCGTGGTTAGGTAGCCTGAACAAAGAATAGGTTAGCTCTGGTGCTGACAGGCCAAAGTAGTGCAATGCACAAGCCAAACTTACCATATCTATCGCTGGGCTCTGCACCATATCCCGGGTCACCGGGTTTCAGCCCTGTCCTGAGCTGTTCTTCTTGGACGTCCAGGTGGAACTGTCGAAGAGTAATTGTCAGTCTGCACCCAAATCAAACCTAGGTTGAAGCCATCCACCCACCTTCTTATAGCTACCCTTCTCCCCACGGATCCAGAATCGGAGCTGTTCCTCCTCCGGGCTCACGACACCAGCCTTGGCCGTCACCAGGAGACCGGTCTTATAGTGTAGCAGGACGGTAAACGAGTCTTCGTAGCCCGAGGTGTTGCGTGCTCTCTGTGTGCCGACGAATCCGGTGACCCTGTTTGGCTTGCCAAACAGGTGTACCGCCTGATCCAGCAGATGTGTTCCCAGGTCATAGATGGCGCTCCCGCCGGGAATGACCTTGTTCTTCCATTTCGAAGCACTTGCGGGGGGTTCCTCCGGGCGATGGCGGTCGAAATGCGTTTCGAACTCGACGACACGTCCAAGGGTACCGCTGTTGACCAATTTGGATGCGGTGACATAGTCAGCGTCGAAGCGACGGTCTACCGATTGATCCAATCAATATGTCTGTAACAACTGCCGGGAGGAGCTTCCACTCACTCTGATATACGGCTAGGAGCCTGTTCTTCTCCTTGGCGAGCGCAACGAGCTCGTCGGCTTCCTTGGAGGTAGGGGTGAAAGGCTTCTCACAAACCACTGCATATCACCGAACCTTGTCAGTAAGAGAAGAGGAACAAAGGCCGGAAATGATGCCCGGTAATGTATCAACTCACCATGCTTGCCGGCCTCCAATGCTGCCTTCGCAAGCTCGAAATGCGAGTCGGGACCGGTGGTGATCACCACCACATCCACGCCCTCATCCTTGATCAGCTCCTCGGCGGTTCGGTAGGACTTGATACCCGGATGATCTTTCTCCGCATCGTCGTCTGGCTTGGGCGTCCGCTGGACGACCGCATACAGTTTCAGTTCAGGAACATCCTCGATGAATGGGATATGGAACGTCTTGGCGCTGAGGCCGTACCCGATAACTCCGAGCTTCCAGGTTTTGGATGCCATTTTTATATCCGGTCTTTGTGGCAGGGGAGAATGGTTTCCCAGAGAGTATCTACGGTAGCAGACAGAGAGGCGCGAAGCCAGGTATTTAACACTGCAGATGTCGGTTAATGATTATACTACATTCTGAAGGAAGGTCCTAGCGGACGGCCACCGGTGTGTGACATTGGGCCTTGCGGGGCATGCCCCTCACCCGCTTCATCCAGATGTACGCGCAGTGATGGATTATTATGGCATGATAGACTTTCCTGCTGGAGAAGCCCGTTTGGATGGTTCTGGAGACTTGGGGGTTCCGTGGTGCTGTATGGGCCGGTATGCAAGAATGCGCAGATCGGCATCGGCAGACTCGTGCCAGCGGTTAATGAAGATGGGATCCTTGCAGACGGAGTTTTAATCTCCATGTTCATGTTCTTTCCTAGAGAAAGGCCCGTAGAGATTATCATCTCGGCAGATAAACCGATCTCGTCGCCCAGAGCAACGGCTGCGTTCTCTCCGAGAGACGAGTTATGCCGATGAAATCAACAGATCCCGCTAAGAATAGAAATGAAGCTGGATCGGGCCCATTATTTTTGCATGACTGCGTGGCTTGGACGGTGCTGAGGAAACTATTTCGCCTGCTGATCGCCTGCTGAAAGCTGAACGAGGCTGCGTAGACGCTCTCCTCCTTTGTTGCGGCTGTGTCGTCGTCGTCTGCGTCTGTTTGTCTTGAAAAGCTCCAGTTTCTCTCCCTTGCTTATCCGCTTCTCCCCACGAACTTCCTACAACACGCACCCAGGAACAGAGAACAGAACATACGAGAAAAAAACGAGAAAATTCTCGCAGCGATCCACTGTCGCGTTCTGCGCCGTCATCTTCCGCTCTCGACGTTCAACCACTGCAGACGCCGAGTCGTCAGTGATCCCGTCGGTTCCGTTACTGGACACTTTCGTCGCAGCGCACTGCAGCAAAGCACTCGACTATGAGGCTCCCCTCGGTTAATCCAGCTCGAACAAAGAATATTCTCCATGGGATCCAAGGGCTTATTATCTTCCTGGCGTGGGCGTTGACCATTGCCGTTTTCACAAAGGGTGGCGGCATCGATGGTCGGTCAGCCTGGTATTGGGCACTGGTATGTTGTCCGTCTCTTTCCCTGCGGTCTACGTCTAGTTGCCAGGATTCTAGCAGATAGGTTCATCGGGCTCGAGATACTGATGAGACGCTCTTAGTGCTGGTTCTCCATCCCCGGTCTTATCTATCTCATGGCTGTGCCCATCTGGCCTCGTGCGCGACGGTTCGGAAACATGTATGCATTTGCAACTGTCGACTGGCTTTACGCGGTGCTCTGGTTCGCAGCGTGGGTCGCTGTGGCTACGTACGTTGCTGAAGGGCCTAGTGACACCTCCAACGACAAGGACAAGGACAAGTCGACTGGGTGTGGCAGCGAGAGCAAATGCCATCTTAGTACGGCTACCGTGATTCTGGGGGTGGTTGTTTTGTACGTCCATTCAAATCCTGCCTGGCATTTCCATTGGCACCCGGGGTTACACGCTTGGGTTGGTGATGGTACATGCATACTGATTCTTGTATGACATTTTTAGTCTTCTGTTTGTCGCGACCGGCTTCATATCTTTCCGCAACGTCGCCCATTTCCGTCGCACCGGCACCCTGCCCGACATGGGAACGGATGCAACGTTCGCGGCGCAGACCAAGGATGCCTTCTCTTCCAACCCCGGACGCGATTTCGACGAAGAGGACGATTTCCGATCGGGCCGTGGTGGAATGGGATCCTCCACGCACAGCAACCACGACGAGGACTATGCGCTTCTGCACCAGAGCGAGTTGGATGACTTTGGTCCGGCCCGCACTCCGTTGCAAGGTGGCTACGACCCAACTGGCCCAGGTGCCGGCGGCATGCACGATGATTACAATACCAGCTACGGAGGCGCACATGGGCAGCATTTTGAACCACCGTCGCCTTCTGTGTACTCGACGCCGTACCCACGTTAATGGGGGCAATGACGGGGCATTGTTTCTCTTCACCTTCGTCCCCCCTCCCTCTTTTTTCTTCTTCCCATTCTCATTCATATTCTGAGACGGTCACGGTCACGACGTATGGAATGCCAGCATCGTTTTAAATACTTGCTATTTACTCAAGTTTTTGCCTCTTGCTTTTTTAATTGATGATCGTCTGATTTGATCCTTCTGGATCGTTGCATCTGCGTTCTGGATTGGCCTTGGTTTGGTTTGGCATCAGCAAAGATACCGAAACGTGTGTACGAATATTGCAACTTGCCCGCGCGATATGCTTTTGAAATTGTCGTTTGTGATGAACATCGGGGAGGTGTATTGCGGAGTATCTATATGTATCTACCTCTACGGACGGGAATTCTAGGTTGAAGCCCTCCTGTGTCCCAACGTCCAGTGTCCTAGGGCAATGGCACTTGTTAACAAGTAACCCCAGAAGGAGTATTAATGCAGCTCCCCTTCTTCCCCCCAGCAATATCAACGCCTTTCCACGTCCAACCGGAACAGCTTCCATCTCCACATAACACATAGATACCTTGTGCGTCCTCATCCACAGACCCATGCACCCCGTCCACAGAAACACCGGTAATAGGCACTCCTGTCGTCGGCTTGCCCGTCGGCCCGCCATTCTCGTAGTCCTGCTCGATGACGATGCCGTAGTCCGAGATGTTGGATAGGGTGATGTTCGAATAGTTGACCTGGTCGACCGAACCAGTTGCGCCGGCGACGGTCTTGATTCGCAGGCCATTGGCCGAGTTGGCCACGACGGAGTTGGAGATGGTGACATTTTTGACGGTGTTGTCGTCGCGGCCTCCAACAGAGCCAATCGAGAGACCATGGCCGCCAGAGCAGGTGCCGTCTGTGAAAATGATGTTCTTTGTGCCGGTTTGCTCCCCATTAGCCTTTCTTTCTGTTCATGCATCGGGTCCTGGCACCCAGCAGAAATACATACCTCTCCACTATTGACAGCAAGACAATCATCCTGATTCTTCACATTCGCGTGCTGAATTGTAATCCCCACGGACTCCCCCACGTCAAAAGCATCCGTATTATGCCCGCCATTCTTCCTATCGCCCTCGGAATTATCAATAGTTATATGATCCAACACGAGATTCTTCGACTGGATACTAAAAGCTTGCACGGGCGTATTCTTGACATAGAGGCCCGAGATGATGGAATTATCCAAGCCATGCGCATAGAAGAACTTGGGCTTGGTCTTGCCGCTATTGCTACCTTTGCCATCCCACCATTGCTCGCCACCGCCGTTGATAACGTGGCCCGGGTCACCGCGGACGGTGATGCTGTCGCCTTGGATGCGGATTAGGGGGCCCTTCCATTCTTTGTAGCCAAAGGTTGTTTCTCCTTGGAAGACGACCTGTTGTCAACTGTCAGCTATCAGACGTATATACATACACACACACACGTATATATGTATATCTATGTAACATGCGTGGGTAGTATAGGCAAGGAAACGTACCTGAGTCCCTGCCTTTAGATTATTTAACTCCAAGCTTTCACCAGCAGGGACTGCAATGTTCCGTAGAGTGACAACAGAACAATCACCAGCACTAGCAGAAGCACTTGCAGCGGAGGTGAAGGTACAGGATGATCCACCTCTTCTTTCCAGAGTGCGGGAGGGGGTTGGGGTGAGAGGAGCAGCTGAGACCAGCGTGGCGGCCAGCGCCATCAGAGACCCGTACATAGAGAAGCGCATCCCGTCTATACTTCACAATTAAAGAAAGTATCTGGTTGGAGAAAAGAGTGACTCTTCGGTTGAACAGAACTAGGGAACGAAAGAACGGCAGTGTTGTCGACAGAGACAAGAGACCGATGAGCTCCTTCTGGCACTGCAGCTATTTAAGCCAGACTGCGCAATCATCACTATCAACCGTATCAATCTAATTAAAACGAAGTGAAAGATGTAACGCCGTGTATGTGTGGAGTATATGGATATGGAACGACCGGCCACCAAGTCTGAGAGGTTGGAAGTGCGCTTCAGCTTGTGCAGAACAATCCATAAAGGGGACGATCGCCTAAAAACAGCAATTGTTGAACACCTGCAGTATCTACGTGGAAGAATGTATGCACGCTATCTTCAATCAGGGCAAATCCACCATGCCCTGCACGCCCGACTCCAACGGACTCCGGCGGAGTATACTTCAGAGCAGATCCTAGGAACCAAGCCTAGTTGAATTGCTCACCATATGAAGTTGGATCTGTTGGACAAGGCATAGATCATAAGAATTGAATAGCTTGTGGCTTTAGCAACGTCTTAGCTAGTTGATACTGTCCATTTAGCCCTATCTGGAGATTCTCTCTGATATGGAAAAGGTCACGTGGTATGGCGGCTTGGCTCCCTCTCCAACCCCTGAGAATCCGAGCCCCTGATTGTACATAGAGCAAGATAGAGAGACAAGATCTGAATGGCATCCGTTCCTTAGTAGGCTACGTACGTGTAGCCGATACAGTTTCATTCTGCCCTTCTTCCCTGAGTTACATGCATATTCCACAACACTCTCGAAAGTCCAAGTTGTTGGATCACGTGTTATTCTGCCGCATAGGTCCGCCCTCGCTGCCCCTTTCCACCACGTAGGCCTACCTAGCTAAGTTACCAATGATATACATTCCTCTATTACAAGTGGGGCAGGTTCACGTGCCTGATAGCATTCTGCCACCGCGTTGGGGGGACAGCTAGACCATCTACAGTTGTACAGACTGCACTCTCCTAAATCTATACACCTGTCTTCAATCTCCATGAAAGTATCACAGGAGCAGAGTAATATTCACTCGTAAAAGCGCAGTCCATCACTGCAGTAAGTGGACAAACCACAACCCCAATGAGCAACACTGACAACCGCCAGAAAGACTATCCACAGCATCATCTTGGAAAGTACTCCAAAAGCCAAACACCAGCAAATCCACCGAAATGTCTTCCATAGACCTCTATACCCAATACTCACTGGAGATGGACCCATCCTCCAAGGCCATCTCCCTAGCCCCCAACACCACGACGGGCAAAACAAGCACCGAAGTGGCCAACGAACTCCAAGCCCTCAACTCCCTCCACCGCTCCCTAGTCGCCCTGGGAGCCCCGAGTATCCCCCCGCCCCCGCTCCCTGTGAACCCCAAACGATCCGCCCAGATCGCCAAACTCCGCGACTCCGCGAACACGGCCTACCGGAAATCAAACTACCCCGAGGCGGTCCGTTTGTACACGTACGCGATCGAGATGGCGCTTACCAGACCCGGTTGGGAGCCGGTTGCGCTGGTGCGGGAGGAGCTGGCGTCGCTGTATGCGAATCGTGCGCAGGCGCATATGGCGCAGCAGGCGTGGCCGGAAGGGCTGGTTGATGCGAAGAGCAGCATCGGTTGTAAGGGGGCGGGGAATGTGAAGGCTTACTGGCGCAGTGGGAAGTGTCTGCTGGAGATGGGGAGGCTGGATGAGGCGAAGGAGATTCTGAAGCGGGGGTTGGAGGTTGAGGGGAAGGCCGGGGAGGCGAGAGAGTTGACGGGGCTGTTGGGGGATGTTGAGGAGTCGTTGCGGAAGTAGCTGTCTACCCACGAGTGTCGTTCTGTTTTGTGATTGATATCCCCTGACGGACAAAGTCTGCTGGATTGCATTCGGTTTGTGTGCATTATGATATGGAGGCGTTTACTGGGTTGTCTTTGGGATGGTTATTGATTCCACAAATGATAAGAGTGGACTATTCTTACTTGACTGATGGCAGTATCGTAATCGCTGCGAAGAAGCCCATGCTCATCCCTCGAGTCCAAGCTGGCCTCATGCAGGATTCCTAATAATCTCAGTCACATCCGCATGCCCATCAGCACTGCTGGTTTTCGCATAGAACGCCAAAGCCTTGGCATATTCCTCCGGGCCATTCTCCCTGTACTCCAACGCATCTTCCTTGATAACCTCAAGCGCAGTCTTATTACCTGACCCTGCACCAATCCCATTCTCGTCCCCGTCCCCGGTAATATGATAGCGTGCCCACACAGCGTCGCCGTATCTTCCATCACGGATGCCGTCGACGTACATGCGAGCCCAGGGCTCTACTACGGGCATGCCGGCAGTGTTGTTGAGGACGTCTTGGATGGGGAGATCCAGGAAGAGCTGCTCCGCGGGCTTGGTTTCTGGGATGTTTGCACTCGTAGCTTTTATCCATTAGCCTGAGGCTTAATAAACAGGCGGGAAGTTAAAAACGCCTTTGGGTTTCTTGATGAAGGGGGAGCAGATTGGATAGGAGTGTGGGACTGAAGGCAGGAGGAACTGTGAAGGATTCCAGACACCAAAGAGGGGTGGGTTCCTTGAGCATGTCAATCCCCATGCGACAAGCATTCTTTGCCGCAACAGCTATTAGGCTGCTGATGGTGGCCCGGTCCGTAACCGTGGGCTCGATCTTCCTGAAGATATAATCAGCCTCAACATGCAGTTCCATGCACTCACTCTACAGGGCAGTGTTGCGCCCATTCACACAGCAATGCCTCTTCCTAGTGCCTTACTAGAGGAGTGTGCGTATGTGCGTCCGTGTTGCGACTACCAGACCACCTCGGGCTACTCGCCGAAGAATAGTGGACATCGCGAGATTGCAGCAGAATACCGCCGAGATTCGAGGAGGCAGAGTTACAGGGTCGCATATCATCAACGGCAATACGAGTCGGGCCCTACCCGCTTCACATCTTCGTCCTCCCTGGCGCGAAGGATATGCTCCCGGCTATGAGCTGAGCGGCGAGCACGAAGAAGCCCATGCTAAATGGGGAATTTGCACTCTGAGCAGGAAGGGGGTTGTGCCACGATTATGTGAATAAAAATATCGGACTAGAACGCAGAGGGAAGCTATAAGAGAACCCATCTACGCACAGAGTATATCCGCAGCTAGCAACGACCTGTCAAAACCTTGCTTCCCGGAAGCTTCTGCATTGACTGGCAGAAGAGCGAATGGCGTGACTTCTTCAGCGCGAGATGGACACGGCTTCAAAGTGGATGCCACCGTGGGCCGGACAGATATCACGGTTACGGGATCAACATCATCTTTCAGCTCTATTGGTTTCGAAATTCCCCTTTCTTATCAGCAACTGCGGATCCTGCACGGCGCCCGCTTGCATTGGCATCATGGACCGCGCCGAAGCCCTGATCAACAAGGGGTGAGAATCGGCGGGATAGATATAAGTATACGCAAAGCACCGCCAACCCGGCAGTTGAGCATGGGACGACGAATCCTGCTAGACAAAATGCTAGGAACAGCCGATTCGAAGCCGGTGAAGCGCTGCAAAGAGGCGGAAGTGGAGTCGCGCGCAGAAGAGGACCTCGTCAATGCATCTGGCCACCGGCAGGAGGTTGATCGCAACTTTGGGCTGTTCAATATCATCGGCCTGGGGCTTTCGAGTGGGAATACCTGGATTGCCTTGGGTGGGAGCATAGTGCGTGTTTTCTCTCCTCTATAATGCAGTAGCTGACGGGGATGATGCAGGTCACTGCCATCGGCAATGGCGGACCACCAGGCGTCATATATGAGCTGTAGGCCTCTTCTCTTCCTCTCCTCTCTTCTTCTCCTTCCTCGTGCCTGCCACGAACACTGACAGAATGCAGGATAGCGGCATCCGTCTTCTACTGGTTCATCGCGGCGTCGATTGCCGAGCTGGCATCTGCTTTGCCCTCTTCTGGCGGAGGTATGTCGTGCGGCTCCAGGACAGATTGCTCTCCATTCAGCTGATACGCACGGTGCAGTCCACCACTGGGCCTCGGTGACAGCAGGCCCATACGGGCGTGTCTGCGGCTGGTTCGCGGGCTGGTGGAACTTCTTCGCGTGGATCTTCGGGGCGGCCTCGACGACGCAGATTGTCGCCGCGCAGTCAGTGTCCATGTACGCGCTCTTCCACCCCGGGTTTGAATGGCAGCGGTGGCATGTGTTTGTCTCGTACATCATCATCACCTGGATGTGCTGTCTGCTCGTTGCATTCGCGAACCGGGCCATGCCCACCGTTGAAGCCCTGGGAGGCACTCTGGTCCTGCTCGGGTTCATCATCACACTCGTCGTCTGCGCCGTCATGCCCCATCGGAACAACCAACCGTACGCATCCAACTCCTTCGTCTGGCGCGACTGGAAGAACGAAACCGGCTGGTCCAGCAACGGCCTCGTCTTCTGTCTAGGCATGCTGAACGGCGCCTTCGCCGTCGGCACAGCCGATGTCATCTCGCATCTCGCGGAGGAAGTACCGCGTCCGGCCAAAAACATCCCCCTAGGCATCCTCGCGCAGTACGTGATCGGATTCATCACAGCGCTGTGCTTCGCAGCCGGCATCTTCTACGGCATCTACGACCTAGACGCCGTCGTGAAGAGCGCCGACCTCTTCCCCCTCACCGAGATCTACCGGCAAACCACCGGCTCCGCAGGCGGCTCGCTCGGCCTGCTCATCGTCGCCATGATCCCGTTATTCGCCGCCATAATCGGCTGCTATCTCACCTCCAGCCGCGTCTTCTGGACCCTGGCCCGCGACCATGCAGCCCCCTGCAGCCATTTCTTCAGCCGCATCAACCGCACGCAGCGCAACCCGTTCAACTCCATCCTCCTCTGCGGCCTTTTCTGCACCGTCCTCGGTTGCATCTATGTCGGAAATTCCACCGCGTTCAGCGCCTTTGCTGACTCGTTCGTCGTGCTCACCTCCCTGTCCTACCTGGCCGCTATTCTGCCACATTTGCTGACGAATCGAGCCAATCTCAGACCCGGCTGGTTCCGGATGAAGGGCTATGTAGGATATGTGGTGAATGCGATTTCCTCGCTGTATATCATTGTGTTCGTGGTGCTGTTTTGTTTTCCGTTTGCAATGCCGACTGATCCTCAGAATATGAACTATACGTGCCTCATTACGGGGGGGTTGTCGCTGTTTATTGTGGCATTTTGGTTCTGGAGGCAGGGGGATTACGAGGGGGCCTGTAGCGCCGCTGGGTTAGTGACCGGTTGGCGGAGGATGCCGTATAGGATAGAGCTCTATAGAACTTCAAGAACGTAGGCCACACTTATAGAACGAACATGCAGAACAAGGGTACGGACTGCAGATTTACTCGGCTCACAACCCTCTCTGTCAATTAAATCCTCCTCTTCATCCTGGCCGAAGCCATGCCCAGGGCCCTAACACCGAATAAACAGATAAAAGAAAAAAGAAAAGAAAAGAAAAACTTTTAAATACCAAGACCTCTATCACCTCTCCTGGATAGACATAGCACACATTACGACTACTAACATTATAATTATTGTCATAAAACAAAAAGGAGGTCCCTAAACAACCCCCGGCATCCCCAACCCCGGCGCCAACAAGGGCCGATTCTTCTCCGTCTTCGTCCTGAAAATCGGGAAAACCCTAGTGAAGGGATGTTGCCCGAACGCCTCTTCGATAAGGTAAACCGTGACGCGCCACCAGCCCAGAATGGCGCTGATGATCCAGAAGTACGCGGCTACTTTCATGCCTGTTCGGACTCCGCTTCCGTAGGCAAAGAGGCAGCAGGCAATGGTTGCTCCGGTGGCGAGGGTTGTGAGGATTCCGCAAAGGATGAGATCGCGCGCTGATGAGGCTAGGGCCTGTATAATATTATCATATGTCAGTTGGTTATATGTACAGTTGGCGGTGGTGAGTTCAGAGGGGGGCGGGCGTACACAAGACCATGTAAAAAACGCGAGCACGACCATCCACGATGCTATTTCGGGATAATGATCGTGGAATCTGTGGGGTGGGATTGATCCGGTTGCCTATATCAAGTCAGCAACAAGCACCAAATAATGTGATAAAGGGGGAGGTGCAGACAGTCAACATAAAAAGCAACCCAATACCAATCCAAAAACTCCCCCAAAGCACATGCACAACCGTCACCAGTGTATCCCTAGCCGGATACCCAAACAACCCTGCAATAAACTGCCCCACGCCCCCCGAGATAGCCACGAACGGAAAAAAGATACCAGGCGATCTATCGCCTCCCCACCATCTTGCAACATATGTGGCCGTTATGAAGGTGGAGCATGAGAAGCCGGCCAGGCCCATTGCAGCGGGGGCAGCGATCGGTTTGAGGAAGGTTCTCACCTTTGGCTCTTGATCGAGGACATGTTGGAGTCTCTCTGGGTTGTTGTTCTCTAGGGACATGGTGCTCCTCTCCTGTTCTTGTTGTAGTCTATGGATTGTATGTAGTGCTTTCCCGGATTGATTGGAAGGACTATCTCAGATCTCATCCGTAGAAATAGATTCTGCTCTCCTCGTCAAGCTTACGTCAAGCCTTCACAGTGTATTATATCTGTTGACGTCCGTAAAGCTGCAGTTGCTGGAAAGCGGAAGTGCTGGGAAGTTTACAGTTGGTGTTAGGGCTAGGGCTGGATTAGGGTTATCAACTATAGACATAACGCATGTTTGTTGTTCCTAGCAATGAACCTCTAATAAAGAACGGTCGAAAGACATTCTTTCTTAACAAGCCCAGCCGCTACTCCAACACCAACTGGTTATGGACTGGCTTATGCCCCCTTGTGGAACCGGCGCAGAACGTCCTCCGGGATCCTCAATATACGATACAGCTCCTTCAGCGGCGGTTGGATGCCCTCCTCCTTGCGCAACAGATCCTGCACCGTCTGCTTGCGGGCCTTGTCCAGCTCCACCACTTTAGCATCCTCCAGCACTTTAAGCACATCCAGCGTGAATGCCCGAGACTCAGGCCCGCCATCCTTGAATGGGTTCTCATCTTCATCCTCGTCCTCGAGTCTATGCTTTTCATAATAGTCAGAGGCAAAATCCTTCAGAATTTTATCGTCAATGAGGTTCATAAGTTCGTCCCGGGTCGTGGGAGTCTCGGACCACCCTCGTGGTAGTTTTGCCACGCCTAGATGAAGGCCCACGATGGAATCGGGGCTGATGCGGAAAGGAGACTCCTGGCGCTCACTCCCACCTGGGGCTATTATGCGGGAGATTGGTTTATCAGGGTCGTCGCTGAGGTCGAACAGAAGCGTCCAGGTTCTGCTGTGTGAGGCGATCCAGATGTAGACCGGGATTTCCGGGGAGCCCATTTTGATTCTTCGGGCTATGTAGATAGACACAAGGATGGCTATCGGAAGAGAGTAGATGATGCCGAACATGGCAGCCATGCCTTGCAAGGGTTCTCTTGGTCATTTTCAGGTTTATATACAGCAGAGTTCTGTTGGTTATTGCAGAATCCGGCTTCACCTGGAGAGGAAGAGAGAAGAAAGAGGCCAGTGCCCAAAGGAACCAGAACCAGTACAGTCTATCCTTTGTGCTGAACTTCTTCTTTCTTCGTCTGCTTTCGTACATCTGCAATATGGAGTAGGCTAAACCTGTAATATTCTTTGTGTGATCAATCATCTGCATACCTGATGTACAAGTCGGGAGTGACAGTATCTAATCACAATGGGCTGAAGCCATATCCTTTCTTGTAGATTGTACAAGGATGCTGGGTTATTTGCATCGCAGATGGCGTTGCATGTGGAGGGGTTTGTTTGATTTTGTTGTTCTGCGGTCGTATTTCCTGTGATAGTTAGGGCTTTGGGTCTCTGGATAGATGTTCTTTCAGTTGCACGTATCTTGAAATTTCTAGATGCATTGAAGGCCTTCCCTTTCCATTTCAGTGCTCACATCCTGCTGTCTGAGAGCCGCTCAGGCGTCTCCCCGAGAGTGAGTGAGTAATAGGAAGCCTTGATAAAATGCACCCAGCTCTAAGACTCCTTGACTAAGACATCTTGACCATGTCATTATTTCAGTTCCTGCCCACAAATAATGACCAGTTGGGGGCTGGGCATAGGCCATGTTGATTAATTGCATCAGCTCATCTCTGCACATTGCAACCTGGGCAAAACATAACTGGTGATTGCATTCTTTTTGCTGTCTTTGTTCCTGTCAGGGCCCTTGCCATGTAGACCAGGACGAGCACGTGAGCTTCCTTACTTGGATTAGCGTGGCGCGTGGATAGGAGTACGTCGTCCAGCTTCACGTAGACCTCTTCCTTTTTCCTTCCTCTTCATGCTTGAAGTTCTCGTCGATAGCTGCCTAGATAGTCGAATAGCATCCTATTCATCGTCTAGTTGAGCTCCGTGACAGTTCCTGCATCTATAAGCTTTTTTTGGGTCCCAAGTAATCTAAGCCAGTATATCTATCTTCACCATTCAATACCTGAAGGATGTTACCTTTTTTTATCTGAATCCTCTCACTGTGAAGGGCTAAAGCAAGATTTGATTCAATCTAACTAGGCCAGCCAGATACAATCTACCAAAAGCATAGAGAAGGAAGAACTCGCGCGACTCGATTACGCATAGATGTAATGGAGGTGTGCGTTATGTTAATTGTAACTTTGTTGTCGGGGTTCAAATTCACTGAGTTGGTTGATCTATCTAGGAGTTAACTAGTTGTCTATGATATGCTAATTAGGAAGGAGCTGAACCGTCATTTTCACAGGTCCTCATATTTGTATGTGTAATCTTCTAATAATAAGTGGATATTCATTGATCTGATGTTTGCTGGCCTCTGTGTGTTCTGCTGCAGGTGTGCTCTATCAAATTGATTGATATAAAGCATCCATAACTTAGCTCTTACTATGCACTAAATACATCATATATTAGGGCACAAAGGGAGCCACTCTCAAACCCAAGAAAGAATGAATCCCTTTCATCATGAGCCTTGCAATGTACCATCCAGTCTTAAAAGAGAGAAAGTACCTTTGTCCAGAGATGTCCATGTCTACTTCTAGATACATCTATATTGAAACAATGGATGCTGCTTGCAGCTAGCTACCTATAAATAAGTACAACACCTATGCCTGCTGCAAATAAGATGCCCAGAATACATTACACAGACTCTTCTAGTTCAACACAGAAAAAACTATAAGCATTGATGTTTGCAGGAACTGAGAGGATACAGGTGGCAGGGGAGAGAGCTTGTTTCTTTCCAAGATGGCTTCCAACGAGGCAAGTCACCAGATCTGGCACTTGGATATACACCGTATATATAAAGGCCATTCTACTCTACCCCGTCAGCAGTCTATCTTCTTCTTCTTGGTCTACACTGTCACCCTGGAGACCATATAGAGCAGATCTGGCAAGGGAGAACAAAAGAGCCAATTGAGTCTCGATATTTCGCGTCTGCTGGTTACATACGTAGCAATCAGACCAGTCTAACATTCATGGACAATACCATCGAGTCACTAAACCAGTTACTCGAAAGTCTCGAGCGGGAAATTGGCGCCCTTAAAGTCGAGGTTTGAGGCCCAGACATCCAATAACCAAAGCATCGATGTATCTGACTGATTCAAATAGAGCCAGGCGATGAGTGAGAATCGCATAAAGCTCCGATTTGGAGTATTAGAAACGCGAAGAGTCCGAATCGGATATTTAGAACTCTATAAAAGGTTCTGCTGCGAAATTCAAGGAATGAAATAGGGATATTGTGGGAGATATCCAGGCTATTAAATTTGCCGAAACCTACAACCCACAATATTCTGCTGCATACAAACAGGATTTTCATGAAGTTTATGGCATCTCATACAATAAAGCAGCAAGAAACATCTACCTTTATCCACATCAGGTATTAGGGCTTTTGACATTCGCTGCTCCATGATGGAAATTGAAAAATGGGAATCGGGGGATAATAAATACCTCAGAGACAGATTAATCCTCTTGCTCAGCAGATTATCAATGCTGCCTTGGATATGAGCAATGTGGATGGGTTGAAGCAGAAGTTTGAGAGAGGTGGCTCCTTGCTACCTGTATTTGAGCAGATGAATAAGGCATATGCGAAAGGAGGGGGGGCTGGTGGTTATTTGATGTGTTGTCTATGAGTATTCCTGTGTAGGTGCGCCCAAGTTCAATATGATATTTTTGAATTCAACTACTGTCACGGAACTCAACTAGACGATGAATAGGATGCTATTCAACTATCTAGGCAGCTATCGACGAGAACTTCAAGCATGGAGAGGAGGGAAAAAGGAAGAGATCTACGTGAAGCTGGACGACGTATTCCTATCCACACACTACGCTAATCCAAATAAGGAAACTCACGTGCTCGTCCTGGTCTACATGGCAAGGGCCCTGACGACTACTAATTACGCCCGAGAATCAGTAGTACTCTGCTGACTTTGTGTTTATGCTCTGGCAGGTTACGTGACTTGCATTATTGGAAAGGATGGGTACAATGTTGATGATTATCGGCATATCAAGAGATTGGTTGGATCAACTTTTACCTTGTTGTAAAGGGGGGTGTGAGTGCGTTGTTCTCTGAGAAAGAAACCGATATTGGGGATGAATGTACTACCAAAACGATGCCGCGATACAACGCGGTGCGGAATGATTTAGTAAAGGGAACAAACAATATAACAAAAGGAAGAATGTAAGGATGACCAAGCCTAGCTCCCTACTACTCAGCAATGACAATAATGATACTACTGAAGCAACTTGGAAATGAAAAGTATGCCTGATTCTTCAAAACTACCTAGGAGGCTCGCTTTAAGTATCCCTCCGTCACGACTCCACCATACCCGAGTATGGCTGAGTCTGGCCGTCCACCTCAGTAAGCAGTAAGCAGTATCTCAAGATAAGAAACAGGAGGAAGAAGGGTCCTATCTATGTATTTGTGGTGCCCCCAGCACAATGTTGATTCTCTATCTCTTTCTCTCCTCCAACCTATACTGATCCACCTACTGTGATGATTAGCTATAATAGGATGAGAAGAGGAAAGCAACTCGCTATTTGGCCGTACTGTCTAGGAATATCGTACACGAGGAGAAGAAGAAGGAAAGAGGCGAGGGCAGCTGCCTGCCCTCAGCCCTAGCCCTGTGCCCTACTTGCTCAATCTGCTGGCACCTTCTAAGACGTGCCAGTGCCAGGGTCACATGCTGACGGTCATACCTCAGGTATGGTCGTCACACCTACACTGACTTGAGCGGTTCCCCCTGTTCAGTAGGAAGTTTTTTCCTTTTTTTTTTTTTTCTATCCCCTTTCCACCTGTTGCTGATCACCTATTTATACCTCATTTCCCTTAAGGGCTGGAGTTCAGGTTGACCTGAAAACAGAGGAGGTTAGGCTATTTCCCTTGCCTAAGCTGTGTCCTTCCAGCTGTCATGGGCTACGCCCAGGCATATGGCAACTCAGGATCGAACAACACACAGAACCCTAACAACCAAAGAACAGCGTACACAGGATGTTTCTGGATCATTACCAAGGCTACTGGCGATCACAGAAGTCCAAGCATCACCGAGTCAGCGGTACGAGTCGTCCAGCAAACTCAACCAGTAGCTCGAGCCAATTTCCCGAGTGTCCAAACTCCGGGATGCCTGCAATTCCGGGTCGTGCATGACGCTGTCGCTTTGAGTGATCATGGAGAACCGACGAGGAAATAAAGCTCAGTCCATTGTTGCCTATGAAACGACTCTTCTTTAGGGAAGTGCCTCTGTTCTGAAATGCCGGACATTTCCCCTTCTGGTTCCCTCGGCATATACAGCTAGTATTATCTTGGGTTGCACCGGGCACAAACAATCCTTGAATTCCGTATTCCGAATCACCGTAGCCATAGTATAGCCATAGCAATAGAGGCATACTCTATCCTTAACCATCGGGCTATAGACCACGGTCTCGGCAATTTCCCATCGGCTCGATTGATGTAATTGCCCCGGTTATACAAGCTTTCCCCGCATCCCCTCTTGTTCAAGCTGCGTGTCGTAGATATACAAAATCTGCATTGTTCCAGCCATGTAAGGCATCAAAAGAAGAAGAAGAAGACTGTGCAAAAGCGACGGAGTACTTCTGATCCACTACAGAATGGTCTTCTATCCCCCCAAATGGGCGGGAGTACTCCCCCGAGTCCCCGTCGATATCTCCATTAGCGAGTTCATGCTCTCGGAGCGCTACGGCCGCGCTCCGTTGAAAAAGTCAAGGGACCCGTTCACCTGCGGCATTACGGGGAAGTCATATTCTGCGGAGCAGGTTGCAGAGAGGGTGGACTTGCTGGCGCGGGCGCTGGCGGAGGAGTTAAATTGGGGGGCGAATGAAGGGGCAAATTGGGATAAGACTCTGGGGGTTTATAGTGTTAATACTGTGTGTTTCTTTTCCTTCATCTTTTCTCTTCCTCTCCCAGAACCAGTTCTAAGCACGCATCATCCGACAGATCGATACCTTACCACTTGCCTGGGCCACGCATCGACTTGGCGGTATCGTCACTCCTGCAAACGCAGCATACTCAGCCAAGGAACTGGCATACCAATTGTCCGACGCAAAGGCAAAGGCTCTCTTCACCTGCGTGCCTCTCCTGAAAACAGCGCTCGAGGCTGCCGCCAAGGTCGGCATACCGAAGGAGCGTGTATACTTGCTTGAGATCCCCGAAATCATCAGTGGTCCGGTCCCGCTGGGCTTCAAGACAGTTTCTCAATTTATTGAACGGGGGAAGTCGCTGCCCAAGCTGGAGGATCTGAAATGGCCTCCTGGTGAGGGTGAAAGACGTGTTGCTTTCTTATGTTACTCCAGCGGCACGTCCGGGCTACCAGTACGAGGGTTTTCTTTTCTTTTTCAGGCGGGGGGATCAAGCATGCTGACTGCTTTGCAGAAAGGTGTCATGATTTCCCACCGGAATGTCATTGCGAATACCATGATGATCGCCGCCTATGAGAAGTCAAATCGCCAATTGCTAAAATCAGCTGGTTCAAAAGGTGAATCCACAGATGTAATTTTGGGGCTCTTGCCGCAGAACCACATCTACGGCTTGATTGTTGTCTGCCACGCAGGTCCCTACAGAGGCGACCAGGTGATTGTGTTGCCCAAGTTTGAGTTGAAGACCTACCTATCTGCCATTCAGCGATTCGAGATTGCCTCCCTCATTGTGGTCAGAAGCTCCGGCACACACAGTAAAGAAGATGGAACGCAGATCTAACCGCTGTTAGGTACCTCCAATTGTCATCACCATGCTCCGAAACCACGAGACCTGCGTCAAATATGATCTAAGCTCTGTTCGAGTGCTAGTCACCGGCGCGGCACCATTAGGAGAAGAAACAGCTGCAGACTTTGAGAGACTGTACCCTCAGATCAAAATCTTGCAAGCATACGGTATTGCCCCACCGTCAGGTATGAAAATGGACAAAAATCTGACAATTGAACCTCTAGGTCTGACGGAGGCATGCACAATTGTATGCAAAACCAATGAGCAGGAAATCTTCCTAGGATCATCCGGATGTCTCGTCCCCGGAGTAGAAGCCCGGATCGTTTCATTGGACGGCAAAGAGGTCCTAACGTATGACACGCCTGGCGAGCTCCTTGTCCGCAGCCCCAGCGTCACCCTCGGCTACCTGCACAACGAGGAGGCCACTCGAGAAACATTCCAGGATGGCTGGGTACGCACGGGCGACGAGGCCGTCGTCCGACTAAGTCCAAGCGGTAGCGAGCATATTTTTGTCGTTGACCGGATCAAGGAACTCATCAAAGTCAAGGTCGGTGTTCCCATCCCGACAGTCATCTTTACTGGAAGGTGAACCAAGTACCTGACGGGACCTTGTTTATAGGGCTTCCAAGTCGCACCTGCAGAACTCGAAGCTCACATTCTCACTCACCCGGCCGTCGCAGACTGCGCCGTCATCGCCATCCCAGACGAAGCGGCTGGTGAAATTCCCAAGGCACTCGTGGTCAAGTCACCATCAGCTGGTGTGGATGACGAGACAATCATCAAGTCTATCAAGAAATATGTGGAAGAGCATAAGGCGCGACACAAGTGGTTAAAAGGGGGAGTAGAATTCATTGATGCAGTGCCGAGGAATCCCAGCGGGAAGATCCTACGCCGGTTGCTCCGAGACAGAGAGAAGGAGAAGAGAAGAAAGGCAGGCTCCAAGCTATGAGCTTCCTTGTCTGTGTTTCGTTTCTCTTAGAATAGACTTTTTTTTCCCCCCTTTCTGTTGTTCGCTTCGTTGATTCCCGATTAGTTGTGCATGAGCCCTCAATTGGGTAGATAGAAGGGCTATCCTGTTCCATTTTTCCATTTTCATGTGATAAACCCACAGGGCCCACGCATACTGCGGTAGACTCCATTCAGTTCCACAATGAGTTGTAGTTCAGTGGTGGGCTCGCGTAGGAATTATCTAACAAAGCAGCTTAACAGCTGAGTGGGGTGCAAAGGCAGCAGCGCTGTGTCTTCGTATGTACCATCCTGAAGCAGATCGATAAGTATGGATGCCGTAAGATATATGGCAGGAAGTGAAGAACATTCACTCTATGCTCTGTAGTCTGGTCTGTACCGTAGAATCAAACAGAAACCCTGCAGGAATGCCTTCTGTGTGACTATCCAAGAACTGTTATCAGTGGAATGGTCCAGGTACCTCTGCACTGTTGTCCATAGAAGAGGCATAGTGTTCTCCGATTGGCTGAGTTTTGATAAATGTGGATCGCTTTGACATAACAGGTTAGCTGTTGAGGGGCCTGCCGCTTTCTATTGGCCATCTGCCAGAAGTGGTGGGTCCAGGTCTCAACCGAAAATTGTCGACTTGTACCTGGACCACAGGCATAATTATGGGTCATCGACTCCGTCATTGATAGTGATACCTGCAGACAAGCCAGGTCAGCATCAATCGATCAGTCCTTTCTTCCAGCTGAATTAAACCGTCTCGATATCGATCTTCTCCCGCCAAAAGATAAGTCCTGTCCCCTTCCTTATCCCCCCCGAGCCAAACCTATCGAACCATGTCCTTCATCGATACCTCGAAGGATCTCTCCGCCCTCTTCATCCAACAAGTCCGTGCCACGCCTGATGCCCTTGCCTTGGAAGATGACCATTCTACATACACCTATGCTGAGCTGGATAGAGAGGTTGACGCCCTCGCACGTCGTCTTCGCGGGTACGGGGTCAGTCGGGACAGTCTAGTCGGCGTACTTCTGCCGCGAAGTGCGCATTATGTGGTCGCGTGTCTTGCTGCCCTTCGTGCCGGAGGTGCTTTTCTCGTTCTTGAACTCGCATACCCCCCCGTTCTTCTGGCAGATGTCATTGAAGATGCCAATCCTGCCGTCGTTCTGACTCACAGAGCCGAGGTTGGCAAGATTAAATCCAATGTACCCCTTATTACCCTCGACGAACCCCCTACCGAAATCAACGGACACGGAAAGGAGCCCTCTCCCTTGCCCGCCGACGATGACTTGGATAGACTCGCTTTCGTTTCATATTCGTCCGGAACCACGGGCAAACCCAAGGGAATTGCAAATCCCCACCGTGCCCCCGTCCTCTCCTACAATTTGCGATTCGGCGTTCAGGACGTTCGCCCCGGTGACAGAGTCGCTTGCAATGTCTTCTTCATCTGGGAGATGCTGCGGCCGCTTCTGCGAGGTGCCACTGTTGTTGCTGTCCCGGACGATGCCAGTTATGATCCTGCTGCCCTCGTGGATTTGCTTGCTGCCAAGCGGATCACGGAAACCCTCATGACTCCCACACTCTTGGCTACCGTGCTCTCCCGCCATCCGCATATCAGTTCCCGTCTGCCGCTTTTGCGCACTTTGTGGCTGAACGGTGAGGTTGTTACAGGAGATCTGGCGCGGAGGGCTATCAAGGCTCTTCCCAACACACGTCTGCTCAATTGCTACAGCGCTTGTGAAACGCATGAGATTGCCTGCGGAGACTTCCGGGATATGGTCAGTGAGGAGTCACAGTACTGCCCCGTCGGTCCTCCTCTGGACCCCGAACACGCGTATATCCTGGATGAGAGCGGGAACAGAGTGCCTGATGGCACTTCCGGAGAGCTCTTCGTCGGTGGTCCTCTACTGGCTCGTGGATACCTTAACCTCCCCGAGACTACTTCTAAGGCGTTCTTGCCGAACCCCTTTGATAAGACGCCCAATGCTCTCATGTACAGGACAGGGGATCTGGCACGCTTGCTCCCTTCGGGTCTTCTTGAAATCACCGGCCGTGTTGGAGCTATGATTAAACTTCGCGGCTACTCTGTCGTGCCGGGCAAAGTCGAAAACGCTATCGTCAAGCATTTAGCCGTGTCTCGGTGTGCGGTAGTTGCTCATGGGGAAGGCCTGGAAAGACAGTTGGTCGCATATTTTGTCCACGATAGCGACTCCTCTCCGGATCGTCCGGTGGTGGAGGTGAACGAGTTAGGGCACAGCCCGGCGGCCCGTCGTACACTTTCGCCTTATCTTGCACACTATATGATGCCATCTCTATGGATCGAGCTGGATGAGCTACCTACTCACGAGGTCTCTGGCAAAGTCGACCTCAAACGCCTGCCTTCGCCGGTAAACGACAAGGGGAAGAAGGACGCTGAGCAAGATCATCCGATCAGCATCAAAGACATTTCTGCAATCTGGGCAACGGTTCTTAAAACATCACGAACCCTCATAAAACCTGAGGATAACTTCTTTGATCTGGGTGGACACTCTTTGTCCCTTGCGGACCTCTCCTCGAGGCTGTCGAGACACTTCGGGTTCCGCATCCCTATTGCTCGCCTCGCGGAGACTCCAACCCTTGCTGGCCACCTGGAAACGGTGCGCGCCATTAGAGACGGTCATACCGCTGCGGTGCAGGCAGACCTACCTGCCGTCCTGCGTGCAGATGCTACTCTGGACGACGATATTAGACCCACCGATGCAAAGATATGTCCAGTCAACGAAGCAAGCACGGTGCTTCTGACTGGTGTGACTGGGTTTTTGGGTGCCTTCCTGCTCCGTGACCTGTTAGAGAACAGCTCAGCTCACATTATATGTCTTGTCCGTTTCAACGAACCTGCAGATGACGACCAGCCTGGCGGTGTAGCCAGAATACGCAGGAATCTACTTGACCTGGGAATATGGCGTGACTCGATTATGGAGCGGGTCGAAATTCTTCCCGGGAACCTGTCTCGCACTCGTTTTGGTCTTTCGCCGGAGGCATTCGATGAGCTTGCGGCTCGCGTTCAGGTCATCGTCCATGCTGCTGCTACTGTCAACCTGGTGTACCCATATGCTGCCTTGCGAGGTCCGAACGTAGGCGGTACAAGGGAGATCCTTCGCCTTGCATGCAAGGGTGGTGCTACAGTGCAGTACGTGTCTACCAACGGTGTTTTGTCTCCGTCTCTGGAGAGTGGCTGGTCTGAGGATACCATGCTGGACATTACGGACGTCCCCGAAAAACTACTGGATGGGTACGGACAAACTAAATGGGTTGCTGAGCAGCTCGTCCTGGAGGCAGGCCGTCGCGGACTACCCGTGAAAATCCACAGAGCAGGCACAATTAGCGGTCACAGTTTGACTGGTGCCGCCAATGCTTGGGATCTCCTCTCTGCAATAATAGTGGAGTCGATCAAACTGGGCTATGCGCCGGATGTGCATGGCTGGCGTGCAGAGATGACCCCGGTTGACTTCGTCAGCAAGGCAATCGTGCACCTGGCCGCGCAGTCTCAAACCGAACAAACCGTCTTCCACCTAGGCGACCCTGAACCTGTAGACACTCGATCGGTTTTTGACGCTCTCAATGAGCTCGGGTACCCAACCAAGAGGCTTGATTGGGACGAGTGGGTTGCACTTTGGACCCAGAAGAGAGGACCCGTTAAGGGTGGAGATGGCGCGTTCACTGTCGATATTCTCCGCAGTGGCATGCCAACAGTTGATTTCCTCACTGGCATTGTCGTTCTCAACAATGTCGCTACCGAGCCTTTCCTTGCGGGCGTTGATCGACCAAAGGTCGATAGGGCTCTGCTTGAGACTTACACGCGTCACTGGTTCGCCAGAGGGTGGCTTTCACGACCTCCTGCCCGTCAGCACGCTGTTGATGGACACAATAGCATTCCTCGAAGTGTGTTGAGCGGTCGTGTAGCCGTCGTCACGGGGGCGTCATCTGGTATTGGTGCTGCTGTTGCAACTGCTCTCGCAAAAGAAGGCTGTCATGTTGCGCTCGCTGCTCGGCGCTTGGACGCCCTCGAATCTCTCAAGCGCAAAATCTCTGTCCATAAGAGCAACATCATTACCCGGCAGACCGACGTCACGAACAAGATGCAGGTCGAAGCTCTCATCAAAGCAGCCAACGACGAACTTGGCCCTGTGGATATTCTTGTCTCATGCGCCGGCGTCATGTATTACACCCTGATGGCGAATGCGCAAACAGAAGAGTGGGAGCGCACTGTTGACGTCAACTGCAAAGGTCTCCTTCACTGCTTATCATCGACAGTGCCAGGCATGCTTTCGCGAGGCAGCGGACACATTGTGGCCATCTCCTCCGACGCGGGACGTAAAGTCTTCCCGGGCCTGGGAGTGTACTCGGCCAGCAAGTTCTTCGTCGAGGCTACATTGCAATCTCTACGCTTAGAGACAGCCGGAACCGGCTTGCGCGTGACGAGCGTCCAACCTGGAAACACAGCGACAGAACTGCTCGGAATGTCCACAGACGCAGAAGCAATCAAGAAATATGGAGAGCCGTCTGGTGCAAAGATCCTCGACCCGGAGGATGTCGCGAACTCAATCGTCTATGCACTGCGGCAGCCTTCACATGTTGCTGTCAATGAAGTTCTGATTGAGCCTAGAGATGAGCCGATTTAATCTACCGCAGATTTGGTAGTAGCTTCACGTACACTGTTTATACGCATGGTATGATGTCAATCGTGTAGATACCAGAGATATTAATCATAATACAAATAGACATTGTTGGACTTGTTGATGAATGCCTGTAAAAGATGAAGCCGTCTTTATAGAAGTAGGAGCCCCTTGACGACTCCCTGTGAGTGTGGTATGACACAATCGGGCTGCGTTTGTGCTGTTTGCAATGTTTGCACTGTTTGAGCATGATTGGCGGGGAGAAATGAATTTCTAAGCGGGGAGTCCGATAAATATTTTCTGGATGGATGAGGCGAAGAGAGCTTTGCTTCTAGGATTCTGTTTTCAGTCTTATTCCGGACCTTGGTACGAGTCGCCCGACCCATCGGCAGAACGATTGACGGCTGTTATCGACTCCTGTGTCCTTCATTATTCAACTAAACATCTCAAGGTGTTCGAGAACCACTTCTTTTGCGCTCTTTCAACATCTATACTTCCTCCAGAAGGGAACCAGAAATATGGCATCTTCACAAGATCCTCACCATCCTGAGGATGAGGCATACATTGGCGCAGACGAGGCCGAGGAGGTTTTTAATCGCGATGAAGATCACCCAATGGAATCAGATGGAGAGGACGACGACCAGGCCATGAACATTGATGAACAAGAAGAAATTACCTTCCAAAACGACTCCTCTGCTCATTTTGATCTCCATAATAACTCTGTGTTCTGTATTTCCCAACACCCAGTCCACAATGCCATAGTCGTATCTGGTTCTGGCGACGACACCTCATATATTTTCGATTCGACGCCCTCAAATGATCGCCCGCTGCTACCGCGGAGCTACGAGTCGAATCCCCAGCAGACCGCCGAGCGGAAGTCTCTGCAGCCCATTGTCAAGATGGGGGGGCACACGGATACGGTTAATGCGGTGGCATTTACGGAGCCAAAGGGCGAGTACGTGGTTACGGCTGGTTTGGATGGGAAATTGCGTGTATGGCGCGACACAACTCCGCAGCTGACGGGGCTCTCATGGGAATTCGTTGCCGAAACGCAGGAAGTCGAGGAGATTAACTGGGTGGCTGCGTGTCCGTGTGCAAAGGGAGAAGAAGCAGAGAAGAGCAACATCATTGCTTTTGGGGGTAATGATGGTAGTGCTTGGGTTTTGAAAATTGATCATACCGATACCGCGCAGCCGGTATCTATTATCCAGTCTTTCTTCCAACATACCATGTCCTGTACTGCAGGTGCCTGGACTCCGGACGGTAATCTCCTAGCCACCGTCTCTGAGGATGCGAGTTTCTACGTCTACGACGTATTCGGTGCGGCGGCCGCGGCAGGGATCTCTTATTCAGCAGGTACCAGTGCCGTTGTGGGATTGACACCGGCGGATCAGCGATTTGCTGTCGACGGCGGCTTGTACTCTGTCGCTATTGCACCGAATGGTTCTCTCGCTGCGGTAGGTGGCGCAGAGGGCTACATTAAAGTCGTCGGCCTGCCCCGTCTCCCGTCTTCTAGTGGTAGTACTGCGCCATCATCCACCAAGGCAAAGGCTGGTAAATCATCCGCTTCGCAGTTTGCAGCTGGCGGTGCCTCGGCAGCAGGAACCATCCTTGCCTCCCTTCAAGCCCAGTCAGACGGCATTGAGACTCTATCCTTCTCTTCTCCGCCTTTGACACTTCTCGCTTCCGGCTCCGTTGATGGATCAATAGCCCTGTTTGACACAGCACATCGCTTCGCCGTTCGTAGACATATCAAGGACGCTCACGAAGGCAGCGCCGTCGTGAAAGTTGAGTTCCTACAAATCCCTCACTCCACTTCTCCTTCCGCACGTCCAGGTATCGTGCCCCGTGGTCCGGTACCTCGTACACCTGCTGCAGCCCCAAGTCAGGGACGCTCCTGGCTTCTCACCTCCGTCGGTATGGACGGTGTTGTGAGACGCTGGGATGCTCGCGGAGGAACCGCGGCTGCGGCCCAGGGACTGCTCAAGGAGTGGAGAGGCCACTTGGGCGTTTCTGAAAATGCGGAGGGAGAGCAGTCTGGTGGTATCATGGGGTTCGTGCAGGGACTTGAAGGGAAGAGGATAGTTACTGCTGGTGATGATGGGGTTGTGTTCGTTTTCGAAGAGTGATATGCTGTCTTTTTTTTTTTTTTTTTTTTTTTTTCGCTGTCCATTCTGTATGTTGGATTTCAATATAGACCACTTCATATGGCCGTTCTATGATGATGAGATGCTGCACTTGTCTTTTCAAAAGTTGGTTGATATATATATTTTAGCTAGATAATCTTGAGGTCGATGTCATTTACATCAACTTGTATGTTCTTCCTTGTCGAGATAAAACCCCGATAAACGAAACGAATTCCCTGGAAAAGTCCATGGCTGTTCTAAAGATTAAACTACGATTGCAAATGACAAAACAATCCTACTGCCCATAGCCAGAACAATTGCCCATAGCACACCCACTAACCCCGCGAAAAGGAATGCATTGGACACTTGAAACGCTCACCCCAACATAAATTGGAAGCAACAACAGAATAAACGTAAGATATATGTACAAAGCACATCTCCTCTGCGGAGTCCAGAAAACTCATGCACGGACGAAGCTAAACTAGTTCGAGGCACTTCGAACTAGTCTAGCTGGGTTCTCATGCAACCACAAGCCCGATACCCTCATCCAGACCTTATTCCATCCGTCTCGTGTGTTTTCTGCTTCCGGGGGTATCCGCCGTTGCTAGCCCGAAGCCATAGCCATTCCTCGCCTCTAATCATCAAATTGCAAGTTAACGCTAGATCGAGCACCGCATTCTAATGGTGACCGGCGGAGTCTGAGGCGTGATGATGCGCATCCTGGAGGAAGAAGTGCTCGTATGCGCAGTATCCGGCGAAAGCAACGCTAGCGATACCGAAGCCCGGAAAGAGACCTCTGAAGCGGTTGAAGCGGGAGAAGGGGCCAGTGTAGCGCCATGCCTCACTAGGATGACTGTCAGCTTATTGCTACTAGAAAGGACATTGCGAGTTGTATACGCACTTCCTGGCCCAGGGGTCCCTCTTGGCCCATGTTGAGGTGGGAGAAGCGGCAGCTTTGAATTCTTGGATGTTGAAGCCGGTGGGGTTTTGGGACGGCATGGTGTAGTTGTGGGTGGTTTGGAGCTGAACTGAAGTGGTATATTAGAAGAAGAGACAACTCCTGGTTTCTCTCAGCGAAATCCTCAAGCAATTGAATGGGCAGCAGGGAATGCTTGCGTCCAAACAGCCGGCAGGGAATCCAGCGAGGTTGCAGCGGTCTTGGCGCGATCCCGTGGGAAAGGCCGCTAAACCCAATCGGACAGCTGCCCTTCAGCGAGCCACGCCTCGACAGTTCGCCGCGCCCGAAAGCGAAGAAACCCAACGAAACCATCCCACCTTTCCAATTCAGATGACTGACGACGCTTGGACGCACGTCTACGCATAATCTTCCACATTGCCAATTCTACAATGCCTCCTCCTGTCGCTAGGTATGGGCCCTCGGGCCTAACCGCCCCCTACGCTCATCTCCAACAGGCCCATCTCCAGCAGCAGCAGCAGCAACAGCAACAGCAGTCTCAGCACCACCCTGCTCATGCCCAGTCTGCAGCAGCTACTAACACAGCTCTCCCTCCTCCCTCACTAGGTGGTCATCCCGGTTTCGCAGCGGGAAACCCCAATACTAATATCAACCCATTTACCTTGTCCGGGGCTGCCATCGCGAATGGTATGTCTGTTCCAGCTTTCGCGGGGGGCGGAGCCGCAGGAGGAGGCACTGCTGACGGGGGTGGAACAGGACTGGCGAGCCATGCCGCACAGATGGGGTTTGCGAGGGGCGCACAGATGCAGCAGCAGCAACTTCATCAGACGCACGATGGACGGTTAACGTTGGAGAATAAGGTGGGGGGTGTCAAGTCGAGGATACGAGATGTCTGGAGGCATAATCTGGCCCAGGAAATGGCGACGTTGAGACAGTTGGTGGAGAAGTATCCGTATATTAGTATGGTAAGGTTGGCCTACGGGAGATGAAGAAGTCGAAAAAAAAAAAAAAAAGAAAAGCAAGCAAATCCGAATGGATTCGAAGAAGGGAGGAAAAAACGTGTGTTAACTATGTTTGTTCAATCCCTTCAGGACACTGAATTCCCGGGTATCGTCGCACGTCCGATCGGCTCCTTTACAAACAAGGCAGATTATCACTACCAGACACTCCGGTGCAATGTCGACTTGTTGAAGATGATCCAGCTGGGCATTACATTGTTTTCGCCTGAGGGAGAGGTGCCTCCTGCGACAGCTACTGATGCCAACGGACATGCATACGGGAATGCTCTGGTTCCTGCGCCTTGTACCTGGCAATTCAACTTCCGGTTCTCGTTGGAGAATGACATGTATGCGCAAGAGTCGACAACCATGCTCGCCAAGGCGGGTATTGATTTTTCCATGCACGAAAGGGAGGGCATTGATCCCTTCGAATTTGGTTCTCTCTTGATTAGCTCAGGCCTTGTTCTACTGGACGACGTCCATTGGGTCTCCTTCCACTCCGGCTACGACTTTGGCTACCTGATGAAGATTATGCTCTGTAAACCCCTACCCGAGAGCGAAGAGGAATTTCACAAACTGCTCAACATCTTCTTTCCATCGCTGTACGACATCAAATACCTCATGAAGCACGCTGGACGGAATCAGGCCGTTAACGACTCGCCTCTAACCCCTGCCGCGATGCAAGTGCTCGCCAACCTCGGCCAGAAGTCGGGTCTTCAAGATATTGCAGATGAGCTCGGTGTCAAGCGCATGGGTATCGCTCATCAGGCCGGATCGGACTCGCTCGTGACCGGGGAGATCTACTGGAAGATGCGACAGGTAGTGTTCAACGGTGCAATCGACGAGGCCAAGTACTCGGGCCAGATTTGGGGGTTGAACGGCCAGATGCCCATGCTTGCGTATCACCAGCAGACACCGAACTTGAACGGAGTCACCATCTACTCTACAACCCCCAGCACACCGAACACTTCTCACATTGTAGCTGGGAATCATACGCCGCAGCATGTAGGCACACTCACACCAGGCGCATATGGAATGGCCAAGTCATGAGGTTGGAATGCATTTCGCTGTTCCGTCTCTCTCCTTCATTTATGACCTGGAAATCGATACGACGTCTTGTTGCATCTTACGTATGATCTAGCAACTTTCAATGTTGCCGCACATCCTTTCTCTCTCTATATCTCCCTTTCTGTTTGTATGTCTCGGGATTGACATATGGGTTGTTCTCTCGGCCGCAACGTCTTCAGTGGTGTCTTTGCTTGAGGGTGTTCCGCGGGTGTAAACGGTGTTTGTATGTAATACTGGCTGGAAGGCTGAAAACTGCTTTATTTACAGCTGGAGGCGTTGTTGGTCCGGGACCTGCTGTTTTTGTCGTTTGCTCTGTAGGCTAGAGCTGGGCTGTTTCCTTTCGAATCTTCCTCTTTCTCTGGGTTCCTCTTCGGGTTTCTTTTTCATTATCCATCCTAGCAACGCGGATACCGAATAGATCTTGGAATTGGAGTTGGTAGATGTCCGTTGCATGCCTCGTTGGGCAATGAAATGCGTGAAGAACTCCGATAGTAACGCGTTCAGTGTCCACTAGATTCCCAGCTGTAAGCTCCGTCCTCAACAGACGGGATCTAGATCAGACCCCGCAGTCCTGTCCGCAACCTTGATAGCTGACGGCGTCCGGATTGGAAAGACGATCCGAAGGGCAGCCGTGGCGCTGAGGCGGTCGCAGGGTTCCATTGCCGCTTTTTGACGTCTCAAGCGGCCGTCAGCGCTAGACTGTTTCCGGACAACAAATCCGTTATCTCTTATCGGTTTTAAAGTGATAAACCCTCATTCTGAGCTGTTGTGAGCTCCAGGTTAAATACCTGGCATGCTCTCACGGGGCTCCTGGCTTTCTGTCATCGGCATCTCTTTTCATCTTTCTGTCTTAACTGGGACCATTCGATCGTCTCACACAATACCGTATAGCCATGGTCGTTGAGCGTCTCCAGCAATTGACCTTCCAGGTCACTGCTACCTCTCCCCCTCCTCATCCCTTTGATCCCCTCTCTACCACGGAGATCGAGACGGCCGTAGCTGTCATCCGAAAAGAGCATGGCAATGTTGTCTTCAATGCCGTGACGCTGTGGGAGCCCCGCAAAGCAGAGATGCAGGCATGGTTGGAGGATCCTGAGAAGGCACCTCGCCCTCTGCGTGGTGCTGATATCGTTGTTATTGCTCCTGGCGGGAAGATCTATGACGGTGTGGTTGATCTAGTCAATAAGAAGATTCTTCAGTGGAAACACACGCCTGGCGTGCAGCCGTTGATCACCATGGAGGACTTGCAGGAGGTAGAGCATATCGTCAGGAAGGACCCGAAGGTTATTGAACAGTGCGGTATTCTTGGGATTCCACCAGAGGACATGCACAAAGTATATTGTGACCGTGAGTCATATATATCCTCGTTTCTCATTCTTCTGGACGTTTCTGACTGGAGCTAGCTTGGACAATCGGTTACGATGAGCGGTTTGGCAACGGCATGCGTTTGCAGCAGGCTCTGATGTATTACCGTCCGCACGTCGACGATTCTCAGTATACCTTTCCGCTGGACTTTTGTCCCATCTACAATGCCGAGACAAAGAAGATCATTCACATTGATATCCCGCCAGTTCGGAGGCCTCTCAGCAAAGCTCCTCCGAACAATTACGATGTGAAGTCGATCGAAAAAGAGGGTGGCTATCGGACAGATTTGAAGCCCATCAACATTACCCAGCCTGAGGGGGTGTCGTTCAAACTCAACGGCCGTATCATCGAATGGCAGAATTGGAGCATCCACGTCGGCTTCAATTACCGCGAGGGCATCGTGTTGAACAACATCACCTTCAACGATAAGGGTACTGTGCGTCCTATTTTCTACCGTCTGTCGTTGGCAGAAATGGTTGTCCCGTACGGAAACCCAGAGCATCCTCACCAGCGGAAGCATGCCTTCGATCTTGGTGAGTACGGCGGCGGCTACATGACCAACAGTCTGTCGCTTGGCTGCGACTGCAAGGGTGCTATCCACTATATGGATGCAGCGTTTGTCAACAGGGCTGGTGCTAGCACCGTTGTCAAGAACGCAATCTGCATTCACGAGGAAGATTCCGGCATTCTGTTCAAGCACACTGATTTCCGGGATGAATCTATCATCGTCACCCGTGGTCGGAAGTTGATCATCTCGCAAATCTTCACCGCTGCCAACTATGAGTACTGCGTGTACTGGATCTTCCACCAGGACGGCACGATCCAGCTTGACATCAAATTGACCGGTATCCTCAACACCTACTCGATGAACCCTGGAGAAGACACCAAGGGCTGGGGTACCGAAGTTTATCCGGGTGTCAACGCACACAACCACCAGCATTTGTTCTGTCTGCGGGTGGATGCCAACGTTGATGGACCGCAGAACACTGTCTTCCAAGTAGACGCTACCCGCAGTGAGGCGGAAGTTGGAAGCGCCGAGAACTACTACGGCAACGGCTTCTATGCGAAGAAGACCAAGTACACCACTCCTCTCGAGGCCATGGCCGACTACGATGGCTTCACCGGACGCACCTGGGAAATCGCCAACACAAACAAGCTGAACCCCTACAGCAAGAAGCCTGTCTGCTACAAGTTGGTCAGTCGAGAAGTGCCTCCTCTCCTCCCTAAGCCGGGATCGTTGGTTTGGAAACGAGCGGGCTTCGCCCGACATGCCGTGCATGTTACCAAATGTGAGTTTTGAAGGCCATCCCTTCTTCCGAATACATGTATACTAACCTCTTCCAGATTCCGATGACCAACTTCATCCAGCCGGCCGCCACGTCCCACAGACCTCGGGTGAACCCTCCCACGGCCTCCCCGCCTGGATTCAAGAAGCAGGGCCAGACAGCTCCATTGACAACACGGACATCGTCCTCTGGCACACCTTTGGAATAACTCATTTCCCGTCCCCTGAGGATTTCCCCATTATGCCAGCTGAACCGATGACCTTGCTTCTGCGCCCACGTCACTTCTTCACCAAGAATCCTGTCCTCGACGTTCCACCCAGCTACTCCCGGACGCCGTCTCAAATTGCCGCCGGGGCTTCTACGTGTGCCTGCAAGAAGGGTGACGGGACCAGCGTACAGGTCTAATTAGCGTTCGGCCGATGTTCTTTTAAAGCGATTTATATATATGTGTGGTGGTCTTTCTCATGTTATTCATGAAATGCAACTGGGCAAAAGGTGGATATGGAGGATGCTTTCTTGTATATATCTAGTTACGGTACGGATTTTGATGACCATGCTTGCATTCAATTGAGGTTTCTTTCTTTGCCTGTTTACGTCTGTCCCTTAGATGGAGCGTTTAGACAAGTTCAACCTGGACAGATGCTGCTGATTCCGTCGATGGACGGGTTGGCGTTGGGCCTTCCTAATAAAGAAGTTAGTTCTTCATTCCTGAGATTAAAGGATATCTTCCATGTAGAATGGTTCCAGATATCTTACCATATTAGGCATCTCATGCAGTTCCCCTTCGAGCAAGCATCTTCAATTACAGACTCACCGGTCTTTTGCCCTAATGAATCAGCCCCCAGGGCCATGTATAGCAAAATGTGCTACACAACCAACCCCCACAGGTCCATGCTGCTGAACCGTTCCTGCAGAGAACCTTTTGTATATTCTATTTACTTCTTATATACCCAAACCTTCGGTCCCCGTGTTCTTTGGAACCAAGGCAACAGTACCGTGTTTGGGTGAACTATGCTACTCCAGGCATCCATCCTGCCCTCCTTTTTCTCTCATGACTGTAGCCTTGGGTTCGTGTGGTCTGTTTATTGAAGTCTTGGTGTTCGCCTTCTTTCCCCTTTTTTCTCTCTGTTCTGCATCACCGAGGCATCTCATCTACCCCGTTTCTTGTGCTTCTTGACAGCGCTCCTCTGTTTTCTGTGCTTCTTCACATCTTCAGGGAACTCTCCGCTTGTTCTCTTTTATCTTACCTGTTTCTCTTACGGGAGTCGAGTCAGGAGTGACATCTGCTATCTTTGTTTTCTGAAGGCGCACCGGCACACGTCTCCGAGATTCAGATCAACGAAAAGATTATCCTAGAGAAGGACCATCTCATACTCCTTTCCACTATATATACTACTTGTGCTTTACCTGGTCTCTTTTAATTCAAATCGGCTCTGGTATCTTGTCCTCATAAACCCTTCCCGGCTTATTCTCACCTCAAGCATCGACGTTGCGGTCTCCTTTATATTCCAACCCCGGGACCTCCCCTTTGTCTGGTATATATGGAAAATGGCAAGGGCAAGGTCGTCGGCGAGTCGTGCCTCTAAGAGAGGATCCAGGAGGGTCATATCTGGTCGTGTCGGGAGGCCGAGGAGGGGAAGAGGTGAGAAGCAAAGTATGTGAGCTCTTTTCTCCGTTTCTTCTGTGATTGGAACTGTCATGCCCTACGATCCAGCCCTTCTTAGGTGTGTTTCTAGTACTGACAGATAGCAGTCCCATCCAATAGTCCCAGCACGGTTACTGCTGGCGGTTCCGCTTCACCTAGCAATGCAGAATCGGATCTTAGCATGCCGGACGTTACAGGCACTACCCTTGGACAGCCTCCGGCGTGGGCAGAGGTTTGTTTTGGCAGATATTCCTGTTACGAGGGATTGTATCGGTTCTAATGGTGTGTATAGTGGCGCCCTGCATTGTGTGATGCCATTCCTTGGTTTCGTGCCCAGCAAGGCGGCATGTACCGCCACGGAGGCATCTGTCTTGGGTTTCTGATAGATGCAGATGGCGGAGATCGGTCGTATGTAGACGAGGAAACAGTCATTACTAGAGTGTGAGTCTTGGCCTGTCTGCATTCTGTGATTTTATAGTCCGTCTCGACTACATTCCGGGGGCTTCGACTGACTGAGTCGCGTAGGGGTGGAGGCCACTGTAGGGATTCCCAGGGAAACCTCGTTGCCACAAAGGACCAGGACGACGCTGGGTTTTTGAAGTCTCTTATAAACAGTATGAACTTGAAGGTTGCTGTGGGCTTGGTTATCGGTATGCACGCACGACCTTCTATGACAATCAATGTACTAACCGTCTCGGCAGGGAGTGGCTGTGAGGCCCTCCTCGGAAGAAAGCTCCCACATCGATATAACGTCATGGCGTATTTCCGCGTCGCTGACTACTGGCACGAGAAAGTAAACGGAAAGACGGTTGCAAAGGTTCGTTTCGAGAAGCTGGACCTTTCCGAGAAGAGCTGGTGGGCAGCAGAGGATTCGCCTCCGCCGGTCCCTGTCCACCAGCGGGATTTCACCAGACGGCCGCAGATTTTCCAATGCCAGCAGTGTTTAAAGCCTAGCAAGCGTGTCTACAATGAATGCTGGATATGCCTGAATCCAGGCTGCCCGCACTTTTGGGACAGAGGCCCTATTGCTATCCCGGATGATCTTACCTTCCACCCGGACTTCCTGAGCTGCCGTCTGCAGCCAGACCCGGAGATCGAGCCGCAACACAGCCTCGTCCCAAACCTGCTGGCCACCTTTGACGAAGGAGATACGGAATCCAGCTTCCTCAGAATCGCGTGGAAAGGGATTGTGTGCCCCCTTTGCCTCAAATGTATACAGCGGAAGTACTGGAGAGGCTGGAAGTGCGCCGATAACCCTAACAGAGACATCAAAGACTGCCCATTCGAACACATAGTAGAGATACGTCCAATTTCCTTGCGCGCAGTCATCGATGACTTTGGACTAGGGACAATCAAGCGGGCCATCAGTTTCGAAGAAAGGTATGATAAGCCAGCGCTTATTGATGACCGGCTATTTCAGCCATATAGAATATTCGTTTATGACCTGCCCGGCTTCGGTTCTATTACGCACCTGGTGTCGAATATAAACATCAACAGCCGCCCGGGGGGACCGAATGATCTATTCAGGCAGCTTCAGACTCTGGACCTCGGATTGCGTCGCTATCCTTTGGGACAAAGTGTCGGTGAGTGTAGTTTCTTTAGAGCTCCTTCTGGAAATCAAGTATATTGACCTCTTCTACTCAGTTGCTGGAATGCTCACGGCCCAATTCGTGGTAAACTATGTCAGATCACCCATATCCCGCGTTCAGGGTCCTACTTCTAGCTGACGCCTTCGCTAATAGGGCACGCCGTACAAATATATCGTGTCCGTTGACTCCCGTGCCTTCAGCGATGCCCCGGACGAGATCATGCGCATCCTTGGCCGTCTCACCTGGGCCACAGAGAGGGTTGTTGGCCTCACCGGTGATCAAGTGTTACTTCCAAACGAGCTCCTCGCTATGGGCTACTTGGATGGGATGAAGATCTCGGTACGTCAGAGACGAGGTAATGTTACCATCTGGATGATGACCTGCTAACTGCAGCTGAAAAAAGTACCACGATGATGGTGAAGAATCCCTGGGCCCTACTATCGCCAGTTTATCCCTCGGGGCCAAGGCAGATATGAAGTTCCGCATGAAGGCTAAATATTATCATGGATACACTAAGAGCAAAAACAATCTTTTGGCCGACGACCCCGTTCTCCCAAACTGCCACAACGAAGAGCACCGCAGATCACTGAAGGCTGATTTCGAGGCTGGAAAGATAGACCAGGAAAAGTACAATGAAGAACGCAGAAAGCTTCCAATCAGTAAGAGTAGGGAGGCATCCGCGATGATCAAGCTGGAATTGAATCATGGAGATATAGTCGTCATGCATGGCGAGAACTTGCAGAAGTACTACGAGGTATGTATTGCAATGGTCCATCCTCGCTGGATTTGCCTAATTTAGATACAAAGCATGCGGTGGTCCCAGAAGACAAGCTCCGGTTCGCGCTTACTGCTCGTTATATCAAGCCGGAATATATCGACGACAAGGATCGCCACAAGGGAATATTCAGGCTCACGCCGGAGCAGATATACGATGGCCAGTGAGGCGTGAATGCCGGCTGCATACACGCTTGCGCCTTGGGTTTGTCCATCTTCTATATAATTTGCTGATCTGATGCTTGGTCCCCTCTGCGTCCGTTTGAGGTGTCTCACGAACAAGGAGCTTTAGGCGTCATTAACGGAAGATACGATATCTGGCTCGTTGCTCTCTAGCTTTACCGGGGGACTGTTATTTCTCACTCCACAGATAGAAGTTTGGGATGTCTAATGCGATACATAGCAGAATGATCCAATCCTAGATCTTGACCTTCCACCTCCAATTCCAATCTAAAAGCGCCCATCGGGAAAGGACCACACTGGCCAACCCAGTCAACAGCACGGCAGCATAGAACCCAATAAGCGCTTGGGGCCTTGTCGACTGAATCAGCTCCCCCCCAATGGGAACCGTGAGCAGAACGCCGAATGCTGCGAAGATATAAACGGTGCCGTAGAACCGGCCGTATTCCTCCGTACGACACAGCTGGCCTGCACAAACAGGAGCAAGCGATAGCCACAACGGCATAGAGTGTGGCTTCATGGGACCCTAGGAAGAGAGTTAGGAAGACCAGCATGGCTGTAATCCAGCCTACGTCGCGGACGGAATAGGCGGATAGTTGGTGCGTGCTGATGTAGTCCTGGACGGTGCCGACTGTTCATTCATTTAGCAATGCCCATTTCTATTATCTTCAGTGGATTGTTTTCTATGATTCTTACCAGCCATCTGGAATCCACAGGACGGGAACATCATCAGGAAACACTCCAGGAGACAGGCCCATGCTTCGCAGCCGCCGTCGGGAATGCCCAGCTAACATCGCCCTCTGGGTGGTCGGGAGGAGTATCCGTAATCGTGGTGGCATTGTTGTTGACCGGTTCTATAGTGGTAGGTGAGGGCAGTTCGTAGGTATCTAGTCTGGTAGACCGACGCATTTTGACTAGAATGAGCTGCTTGTCTGGCTTAACTGCTTTGACTCATGCCTTTATACGCCTTATTGCTGTAAAATCGGAAGATGCCATCGATAGGGCGCTCTAGGGTTCTGGGTTAGGGTTGGGGTAATCGTCACGTGCCGCTGTATTTCCTTTCTGGGACGTGGTAAGCGTTTCTCAACGGTAAGTGAATAATAATTAAAAATAATAAATGATATGAATAGTGCAGTTTGGAATGCAATAAAATAACTAACCGGCAGTTGATGAACAAATAATCCAGGTCGAACGCGGTTCAGCCTTATCCCCGTTCGCGGTACCGGTACCTCAATTCTGCGGCGGTTTTGTATACAAGAAAAGGTACCGGTACCACCGGTACCTGAGTCGACCGAGGCTACTCTGTTCGTCCATCCTGGTCCCTGAGAATTCATCATCTCAATATGTTTCTCTCCTGGTCAGCGTCAGTCCAATTTCCTGAACTCCACTAGTTCTCTCTCGGCGTGCTTAGTCCTCCTCCGCTGCTTTTCCACTGGCCGCGGTGTCACTGTGGGGGAAATGCCCAGAGCTGACCGCGCCCGCCGGCTCCGATCACTTTATTCTTCGCTTCGTTCTCACTCCATCTCCATCCCTGGATGAGGCTCGGATGAGCCTTTTCATTGCCGTCGAGTCCTCCCCATCCCTTTCCTGACACGCACGTCGACGTCGTTCGTTTATTTCTCCCGACCGTCATCGTCGTTGGTCCGTCTTTCGCCCCCTCACCGCCCCCTCCATCTCAACGCGATCGACTTCTTCCTCAGGCTGACGTGAGGAAACAGCTCGACCATGTCGCAGTATCAGAACGGTCAACAGGCCTTCTACAGCCAATATCCACACGCGCAACAGGGCGCTCAGCAGCTGCGGAGAGCTTCCAGTTTCGATGCCGGAGATGACGCCCAACCCCTGGACGGCTTACACTCTCGCAATGCGAACGCCAGGGACTGGAATTCTAGATACTCTTTACATGGGAACGCTCCTTCTAGCGGGGGATACGACGATGATCTGGTTTCTATGTACTCTCACTTGTCGTCGTCATCCTCAACTAATGCCATCCCCAATCGCACTCCGACTCATGTCGCCTATCTCCATCAAAATGCCACCCCCACCTCTCCATCTCAGCCTATCTACAATCCCCAGCAGTTCGCAGCTTCACTGTCGCAGGCTCAGCCGGCAACTTATAATCCCCTGGCGTACTCTGCATCCGTCCGGTCTCCGCCACAACACCAAACCTATAATCCCACCGCATATCAGTCCACCAGCACGTTGGGCTATGGGCCTGCAGGTGTTCGGCAACGGCCAAGCGCCGCCTCGCAGTACGGCTACAGTCCGACGTCGCCGACCACAGCGCAGAATCCGTATTCGAGCACTCCCGAACAATCATACGGCTTTCCCCAACAGACTGCCTCGCCCGCGGTTCCGCCTGCGGGAACCCTGCCATACCCAGACTATGCCCCCCGATCGCCCATGCGAGCAGCAGCCGGCTTCAACGTTTCGTCTGCCGTCGACGAACAGCCACCCGAGCCTCCGGCGCATCTAACCCCGACGGAAGGCCCTTATTCCGGACGATTGAGTGGTTCTTGGTCCACGGCGCGGCGTTCCTTGCCCAGTTTGCCACCGCAGCAGAGCTTACCGGTTCGGACAGACATACTGAATCGTCATCCTCACGCGCGACCTCTTCCGGGTCCGCCTCCGGAGGCGGAAGCATCGTTGCAACCATCGCCCAGACCGACAGAAGAACAAAGCTCGGAGGAGTTGATGGAGGAGCTGGAAGCTGCCATGACCAATGGTCGGCATGGCAGTACACATTCTGATGGGATCATGGCCATGGGCACAGGTCAATGCATCAATTACGATGTATACAGCGACGAATCTGATGCAGAGGCTGCTGCGGGACTCGCGATGATGAAATTGGCGGATGAGGAGGATCGACGTCGCGCGGAGGCAGTATCCAGTGTCCCGGCTGCCGGCGCTTCGCCGTATACTGACTTCAGTAGCGATGATGGTGTTGTGGCGGACCTGTCGTTGTACAGTGGTGGTTATGACGCTCATCTTCACTATGGCAATGAGCCTGATTTGGGTCGCACGAGTGATCTTGCCGACAACTCGCTCCACACCTCCAACTGGTCGGCCGACGATCGAACCCCTAGCGCTGATGGATATATGTCGTGGGGCTCGGGACAGCATTTCCCAGAGTATCCTTCGGATACGAGAGTGGATGCCGCTGGCACTGGCGGTCTGGCAGAGCCGGATTCGCTGGGTCGAAGATTGAGCTTTGACTACGGCGATGAGGTAGACGGCCCCCTGGCAACCACGCCCGGCGATCCAAGCCGATCAGACAGTGATGGTGCGGACAAGGAAGAGCACAGAGACTTCTTCTTCCACCCCGGCATGCAGCCGCTGCCACCTGTGCCCGTGGAACCGGTGAACAATCCCAACCTCAGACGGAATCTGATGCCGGCTGGGACATACCGACATCAGGAGCAGGATGGCGAATTCGCACAGTATCTCCACCAAACCTTCTATCCGCTTTCTCCGGACTCATTTGGACAGACCGTGCCTGGTAGCACATTCCCGCGGTCTACGTCTGTAACGAGCCCGCCTCATGGACCTCGTGCTGATACACCTATTAGGTCGAAGACCGACGCCGATCGCGAGAAGCACAAGTCGCAGCAGGACCTGCTTCTCCAGCGCGGGTTGGATGCGCAGGCCAATTCCATGGGCCTTGATCTGCCCACCATCCCCGCAAAGAAGTTCACTCCTTCTAAGCTCTCATCCGAGCAGTTCAGGAAGTGCACCGAGCCGTGGGCCCTCAGTGCCATTGTTGCCTGGGTCCGAGAACTGAGCGAAGATGAAACGGATCTCAGAAGGAGCACCATTGTGGAGGCCTTTGTTTCCTTATTTACTCACAAGGTGCCCACGATGAATGTTGCTGATGCGGAAACCCTGGCTGCAAAGGTCGTGATGGACATGCTAAACGAACAGGTTTTGGTTAAGGAAGAAGAATGGGTGAAATTCGGCCCAGGGACTTTGTCGGGCGTGCTGTTCCAGATCACCGGCACAGGTTGTTACTCGTCACGGCTGCATATGCAGGAGACTGAGGTCTTTGGTCGCTGCTACTCGCATCATTGCATGAGGACGCTGAAGAAGGTCAATTTGAAAGCTCAGGTGCTGGGGCCGGAGAAGAAAGCTGAAGACTGGGTCACATTCTACAAAATCCCCAAAGAAGTGTGGAGCTCGTACCCCAAAAAAGAAATCGACCTTCAGAATAACCTGCATGAGATCGTGACGACGGAGGACTTGTACATCGGACAATTGGACGTTCTTCGGAAGCTCTATCGAGATCAACTGGCGAACATGCAGCCGCCCATTATCACGCCTAAGCGTCTAGACAGGTTCTTGAAGGATGTCTTTGGCAAAGTGGACGCGGTGAAGAAAGTCAACGAGGATTTCCTCTTGGCACAACTCAAGTATCGCCAGAAGGAACAGGGCCCGTTCATCGTTGGGTTCAGTGATATCTTCAGGGAATGGATCCGGAAGGCCAAGGCAGCTTACATCAGCTACGCTGAGACATTTCCCAATGCTAATTATCTCGTGCGCAAAGAGGCGGAGAGAAACTTGCATTTCCGGGAATTCTTGAACCGAGTTCGTGATGACAAGCTGTCGAATCGTCTCGGCTGGGATACGTATCTCAAGGCTCCGATTACCCGGATTCAGCGCTATACTCTCCTGCTTGCAACCGTGCAGAAGAATATGGTCAAGGATAGCGAGGAGAAGGCCAACGTTGAACAGGCCATTAAAGAAATCAAGATTGTGGCGCTGGAGTGTGACAACAAGGTCGGCGAGATGACCAAAAAGGTGGATCTACTCGAGCTCTCGCAGAAACTCCAACTCCGGCCGGAAATGAAGAACCAAGTCGAACTGAACCTGGAGCACCTGGGTCGCGAGATTATCTTCCGGAGCGATCTTCAACGACAGGGTACTACCAGGTTTAATATCGTGGACGCACATGCCATCCTGTTCGACCATTATTTGGTGTTGGCGAAGGCTTCCACATCGAAGATGGGCAAGTACTCAGGTTACGATGTCTCGAAAATGCCAATTCCCATGGATCTACTGGTCTTAGAGAGCACCAATGATGACCCCGTGGTTAAATCCGCAGTAAGGGGCATAGCTACTGTTGGAGGTTCCGCAGCCCTCCCGCAAGCTGGTAATGGCAATCAAACTTCTTCGAACGGTACCGTTGGCCCCACCACCACCCTCGAAAACTCAAGCGACAAGGTCCTCTACCCATTCAAAATCAAGCATCTCGGCAAGTCATCCACGTATACCCTATACGCTTTCTCCGCCCAAAACCGCCAGGACTGGTGCCAGAAGATCATTGAAGCGAAGACCAGGCATGCACGCGCTCTCTTTGCGCAGAATGCGGAGCCTTTCCGTCTCCGCGTCCTTGCTGATACCGCGTTTGCATATACAGAGTCTCAGGCTCCCCGGAGCGTTGTGATTGAGGGGACTCCAATCGATCGAGCTATCAGGGATGTGGAGGAGCGGTATCGTTCCAGGTCTAAGCCGAGACCTGTCTGTCGGAATGAGGTTAATTGCTCCACAGTTTTCCAGCAGTCTTCGGGGCGGTTGATTTGTGCCGTCGGGACGGATTCTGGGGTGTATATGTCAGCATACGATGATCCTAGAGGGTGGTTTAGGGTATGTTGCAATCTTCCCCTTTTCCTTTTCTATTTTTATCATTCCCATTTCTCTCTATTCTAAATATGTTAATATATATATTAATATTGCCCCAGGCTATCCCTTTCGGTCGCGTTACCCAGCTTGCGGTATTCGAGGAGTTCAACCTTCTCCTTCTTATAGCCGACAAGTCTTTATTCTCGTATCAACTTGATGCTGTACTTTCTGCTAATGGGGGGCCGCTTCCGGCTTCGAATGGCTCTTCCCGGCGAGCACCACAGAAACTCTCTGGGGGTCGTGAAGTAGGGTTCTTCGCTGTCGGTCGTCTGAAGGACCGGACTTTGGTGTTGTACAAGAAAAGAGATGGGTTGTCGTCTACTTTCAAGGTTGGTTCCCTTCGTTGTTTCTATGCCCGTACATATTGCGCTTACCAGTTTCTAGGTCCTTGAGCCAGTCCTGCAAAAGTCGGCAAGCACTCGAAGCCGTTTCTTCCCGTCCCGCCGTGGAAATACGGATTACTTCCGTGAATACGACGAATTCTACATCCCTGCCGAAAGCTACGCGGTGAATCTTTTCCACACAACACTCGCCATCTCAACGCACCGCGGTGTTGAAGTTCTTACTCTGGACAAGAAACAACCATGGTCCGTGCCACTACTACGCTCAGATGCCCCCGAAGCCCAAGCATACCTCTCCAGCATCGCGGGGCGTATCAAAGATCTTCGCCCACTAGGCATGTTCCGTCTCAGTGAAAGCGAATTTCTCGTAACGTACACTGAATGTGCAGTCTACGTTAACCAACACGGCGACGTATCTCGCAGCGTCGTCATGGAATTCGTAGGCAAGGCCCAGACAGCCTGTCTCTACGGGAAGTTCCTGGTCCTGTTTAACGAGGACTTCGTCGAGGTCCGCAACGCCATGAACGGCCGTCTTAGACAGGTGATTCCGGGCCGAAACGTCGTCTGTCTGGATACGGGTGGCAGTTTCCCCGCATCTAGTTCCGGTATCTCTGCTAATGGGATCGCTCATGCGGGCTCAACGGGTCACACAGTCAAGTTCTCTATGCAGCATCCTGAAGATGAGAAGAGTCAGATCTTGTTGGAGTTGATTGAGAATGACGGGCAGACCGATTGAGTTTGTTTGATTTTTTTATTATTCTTCTGTTATTCAATTCAATGGGGGGGTGTCATTCTGTCTTTTTACTTCATTGTTCTTTTGGTTCTTTGAGTGGATTTTGTCATCTCTGTTTTATATATACCTATTTGTTGGTCATTTGGGGGAATGGTTAACAAGTTTGGATGGGCATGTTTTTTCCTTGCTTTCTTCCCCATCTATCTGTGTCTTGTAGTTTTTGCATCAGCACCATATTTCCTCTCCTTCTATCTTTGTTCCCCTTGTTTTCTGAGATACCTATCCTTCTTGATATGATATGATATGATATCCCCCTTCTTTTCTTTCCATTGAAAGTTTGGAATGGATTGGAATGATTTGAAATCCTGATACCACCATTAATGGATGCATGATTGTATACCTATGGTAAAATTGTACAAAATGTACAGTAAACTCTCAGATTCTACCGAGCCTAGCTAACCTAACCGGGCGGAGCTCATGAATGGAACAGACAAACAGGTTAATTAGCAATCAACAAAAAGGGTTCATTCATGATTCATGGCTCTCAAAAAACGCATTCATTCCATGATTGATTTACATTGGATTGGACTCTGTTAAATTGAATGATTATCGATCAGATGATGGAACATGGAATTAAAAAGCAAACAAAACAAAATTATATTATGTTCATGACTCAAACTCCACCACCTTGCTAAGAACCCCATCATTCCCGGAATTGTGACTCGAGGGTTGTGATAGTGACTGGGGGTTTGCTGGCGATGCTGCCTCGGGTCCATGACCATCATGGTTGCTAATCCCCTCTTTCCCGCGGATGCTGACAACCTCAGCACCCTCGAGGAGATCACGGTCTCTTTCCCGGACGCTGTGTCGTTCCGGGTCCGTTCTACCCCAGGTGGGAACCCCGCCCACGAGAGAAGGAACCATGGAAGACGCGCCGGGGGGAAGACGATTGTCGTATTCGTTGTCTTCGTCCTCGTCTTCGTCGTCATTCTCACCGCGGGCAAGAGCATTGCGCTCTAGTTCACGCTGGGCTTCGTCCATTCTTTTCTTGACTTCCGCCGCCATGCGGATGCCGTCGGAGACGATGTTGTCGAGGACGCCACGGAGGCCCTTGCCCGGTGGGACGATGCCGGCGGATGCGCCTGCCACTGGAGCACCGGAGAGGGAGGTGAGCTGGCCTGGTTTTGGCACGCCGATGTTCGAGAAGGTGGTTAGGTTGGAGGAGAGGGAGGATCCAGCAGCCACGGAGGCGGGATGGGGGCGGTCAGAGAGATGGAAGGAATAAGGGAAGTATGAGTCGAAGAATTGTTCAAGGAGTTCGTCTGCTAAAATGACCATGCGGAAGGTAGGGAGGGTGATGTGGAGGGGATGGTCGGGGTCAAGTGCGAGATTAGCAGTTTGTGATGATCTTCGTCGATTGGATTTCTTCGTGTTCTCGATTTGCAGGGTATCGGTCGATTGAAATGAAGGACTTGCTCCGAATGAGGCTGTAGAATCCTCGTCCATCTCGATCAAGTCATCGTCGTCATCCCCGATGCTAAATGCGCCCAGTTTGTCTGTGGCTTCTTCGTCACTCTTCTCGTCTTCCGCGGGCTTTTCATTCTCTGGGCGACTGGGATCGGCATATTCGAAGCACCGACGGATGAATGAGCTGACACTTCCTAGGAACCTCTCGTCCGGGCTCAGTCGGCCCCGTTCAAGGGTGCTTCTGTCATACGGGACGGCCGGATCATCCATCGATTGGCTTGGTCCGATGTAGCCCTCGAAACCTCGCCGTGAAAGGAAAAGAAGGGCCTCAGACATCTTAAGGATCCCTTCGCGGTCCACTTGACCATCGCCATTATCGTCGTAGAGGTTGAAGAAGTAGTTTAGATTGTTCATGATATCTGGCGTGCCTTTAAGGCGCGCTAGCCCATTGACGACATTTTGCAGGCTCAATCCTTCAGAGGGATCTGTGGCCCATTTGCGGAAAAGTCGCTGCATGAACTCATGGTCCGCAGGTTCTGGTTTATCACCCCATGAAGATAATGTCTTCCCGAAGCTTCGTATGCTGGAAGAGCTACGATCAGTTGACACCTTTCGCGATGGAGTGGGAGAGTCGGCAACTGCCCATTTGGCAGTAACCGCCAGGAACTCCCTAAAGGCATCGTAATCCATATGAGTGGGACTTGGACCGAGTCCTACACGTCCAGTTTCCCGTTCGGCAGGCGATCCGAGAATCGAAATCCGTTCAAATCTCTTCTTTTGCAGGCGCTTTGCCTCCTCTTCCATCTGCTTCTGCCGTTGTTGTCGGTCGTAGAGAACCTCGTAAAACCTGTCATAAATGGTTCCAAGGTCTTCAACGCTCAAACGCTTGCTATCAGGGCCCAGGTTTCTGATGGAGGTACGTTTAGCAAAACTCTCGATATTGTCCAAGACTGCACCCTTATGCTTTTCACGCTGCTCTATAACAGTACCGTGTGTGATTCCGGAAAATTCCTTGAATGCCACTACCATAAGTTCCTGAAACCTGGTGATAGCTCTCAGCTTCGGATTCTCCGAGCGCGGATGGGCGGATTCATCTAGCCGGGAGAAGTATGACTTCAGCACCGAGATAAAGGAGCCGTCATCCTGTACATCGAGAAGTTCTTCTCCGTTAATCCGAAGGATAGCCAGTCCGACTTGAAAGAGGACCTTTGGCCCTTCTAGGAAGAATACATCTAACACGCGAAATGCGAATACCAAGGGCATCGAGTTGATATACAAAGACAGGAACCAAGGTAGCGAGACAACCGAGAGCTGTACGTCCGACTTCTCAAGATGTTCCCACAGAACCGGCATTGTTTTTTCAACAAGCGACTCAAAGACCTTTTGGTCGAGCAGAGTCCCGTACATGGTTGTCGAATAGTAACCGGGAAGCAGGCGATCGCACAGCACTGAAAGAAGGAAAAACGCTTGCGCCTCGGACATATATCTGACGCATGTGTCAATGCTGTATCCCAGAGGATTATAGTCGGAAAGCGCAGCTTACATCAATAAAGCCGCAACCACGATATTCATGGCTTGACAATATCCAATATCAGTGTTAATCCAGCTGTAGGCCGTGAGGACTCTCCGTAGTCGTCCAATGCCTTCATCGCTCTGAAATCCAGCATATTCGGGTAAACTTCTATTTAGGTCTTTCTCTATTTCATCGATTGCCAGGGACTCCCGCCCCGAAAATTTCGTCAGCGTCTCCGTGTAGAGTTTTGGTGACCTCAGGCGTAGGTAGAGAGACCCGGAAGTCAACTCCCAGATCTCTCCACGCAGGCGATTCGGCAATCCAACTCGGATGAGTTTGTGAAAGGTCGGCTGGCGAATAAGAGTGGCATTACGGCCGTTTTCTGCGGAAAAGAAAGATCAACAACAGAACCAGGAAAAAGAAATCACGGCTTGAAAAAAGGAGGTAAATACCTCTAAAATATTCCCCCCAAAGTCTCATCTTACTCCGATCCCGAAGTTTGCGGGCATCACCCGGATAACGAAAGATCATGCCTAACCCGGCATCTGGTGGCTGGCGTACTTCTGCGGTATTCTCACCATCCTGTGCCTTCAGTTTGGCCCCTGACAGAAGATACTCGGAATAACAATCGGCCACTATAGTCCGTAGATGCTCAATATCCTTCATGCATTCCCGCAATCCTTTCTTAAGCCCATCACAGAATTTTTCACAGGCATATCTGCTGCCAATCAACCGGATCGTGATCCTCTGAGGAACGAACGAGGTATCCTGTTGCTTTCCTAGCGCACCGTTCCACGTCGTCAGCGCGAGCGTGAATACGTGGCTCAGACTGTTCAGTCTCTCCACCCTACGGATACAGCATAGGGGGAAGGTAAACCCATTCCCCGAAGGTCCTGTGCCATTTGTCTGGCCGCTCCAAGCGGTCGAAACACTGATGCTCGCGGACGGCGAAAAGCTAGTTGGCTGCGTGGAAAAACAGAGAAATCTCTCACTCAAGTGGAGCCGGCCAGTGTAGCGGCTGCCTCCCTCGTCAACGACGCGGGACCGTTCTCCCTGCGATGGGGTAGTATGCGGCAGTGGGAGGATCAGTTCTGCAATGATCTCCTGTAACGGGTTCTGAGAGTCTGGGAGGCGGAATTGCTGGCGGAACAAAGACGCCTTGGAGGGATTTCGATCGGCGGTAGAGAGTGTTGGGAGGGCGAAATTGGAAGGGTCGATGAAGGACTGGGCCTTCTGAACGAAAGACTGGAACATTGTGAAAATAAAGAGAGAGAACGCGCGACTTCAGGGATGCGATAGGAATGGTTTGATAGAGAGCTATTTGGACGGGGGGGTAAGCTCAGCTCAAGCCGTGCAAGTGATGGCAGCCTAGCAACTGCACGCAAGGACACCCATACAGAAGAACAGTAACCTAGGGGGCATAGCAGGAGTTAGCATAGCATGGTTTCGAGTCTCCTCCTGCAACCGGCAAATTGATGGAGGCAATGCTGCGGTCGATGACCTCTTTCGCATCGGCAGCAGCTTGCTTATCGCGGACTTCCGGGAGGCTGGTCACGTGTCAGTTAGCAACAGGTGACCAGCCTTCATGGATCGCTACGTCAACGCGTTACGCTGGATCTGCATCCTTGATTCCTTGCGTCTTACAGGACAGGGTCAAGGCTGTGAAGAATGAACCATGCTGAAATAGATTTCATTTGCTACTGAGAGGCCAGTAAACTAAACTGCAACCACAGAAGAAGAGACAAGACGTGTGGCAAGGAGAGCACAAAGGGAATGGAACGACTGCGCAGTCTGCCTTTTCCAATGATAGAAGCAAAAATCCCACAGGCATTCAATCTTTCCCTGCTATCATTACAATATACTATTGAACTGGGGACTCTTACTCCTCGTCGGGAATAGACTTTATCTAGTTCCGATCGTCCTCGTACTTAGGAGGGAGTTCATCGTTCATAAGGGCTTGTTTTTCCGAGTCAGATCCTTGCTCGGAATGCACAGCAGACTGATCCTGGCCGGAGCGGCGGTAACGACGCCACAGGAAGACGGCAAACTGTCCGACAAGCATACCGACAGCGCTAGCTGTCAAGCCGGCCAAAACGCCTAGTGCAGCAGGGATAATAACGAAGCGAATCGCACGGGAAATCCAGGTAGGGTAGTGATGATGGTGATGCGCCCAAACAGGGCCGGGATGACCACCATTCCAAAATGAAGGACTGTCACCATCAGCAGGGGGGCTGGTGGCGGGGGGAACGCAAAACGGGAGTGGTCATGATCATGGCCATCTGCATGATGCCCATGGTGGGAATCATGGGGCATAGTTGGCCCGCCATGGCAGCCCTTGGATCCAGAGATCTTGGATCCCAGTTCACGCATGCGTGCCCTAGTGGCAGCAAGGAGAGCCCGGATGCGACTGAAGAGGAGCTTCCTCAAGCAGCTTGGCTTTCCTTGGCATTGTCTCCACGACATCCGGTCAGGGGTTTCCTCAATGCCGGTGCTTGTCATGAAGATCTCGCCCGTGGGATCTCGGACAAGAACAACAGTGATGGTGTCCAATGGAACGGGATGGCCATCCAGATCCAGGACGGTGAATCGAACAGTCGACAGTTCGAGAACCGGGTCCTCGGACGGGGTAGTCTGTGGCAGCACCTCAATCATGTGCCCCAGCGAGATCGGTCCGGACTCCTTTCCATCGAGTTCTCGACGTTGAACAGCAGTAATCGTCATCGGAGGAGCAGGGAAGATTCGGCCGCCGTTGGCACGCAGAACACCATCTTCTGCAGTAAAATTGAATGACTACATCGACAGGTCAGTACAGCACAAGCAACTTTGCTTTGTAGCATTCCACGTACGAGAGTAGTTTCGAAACCATCAGTCCAGCTGACCTCTCCATCTTGCTCTACCTCTCTGAATGGACACTCGGTACAACGCAGGGTGATCTGCTGTTGCTTTGTGTCAAGAATCTGAATGGGGTCAACCTCCGGGGCGACCGTGTTTCCCTCAACTTCAGGAATGACCAAAAAAGCGTTGGCACACAAAGCGGCGCCGGCTAGGACAAAGGAGCGGATGAGCATCATGGATAGTTGGGAGGATGATTAACACACGATAAGGATGGACATGGGAAATAAAAACACAGGCTCTGAGAGCAGTGTCGAGATGGGATGAGACGGGGAGACAAAGTGCTCTTAGGGATATGCAGCGGATCAGAGGATAGCCGCTGCCACAGCCACGCGCGGCAGGTGACGCAAGCATGTGAGGTCACATGTTGATGCCTTGTTGCCCATGTGCCTGCCTTGGTGCCTAGGGCACAAGTCTGTGGCATTAACACACTCCGTAAAGTTATCTCCACTACGGAGAACATTAACTACCCTAACTCATGCGGGGAAGGAAGAACGTCTGGAGGTTTTCCAGATTGCCAGAGTCTTTTCTGCTATTCTTGGACATACTGTTAATTGATTAGACACTACTACCGAGTTCACTACCGAGCCTGCAATGCAATGAGGGGTGTGGGGATCATAGGCTACTATAAGGAATATAGTAGTATCCAAAGCAAAGTCCAGGAAGTCCTCTCCCTCCATCAAATATTCATCTTTGCGTCAATATCAGCTCTCTAGATGCTTCTCTCTCTGCTCTCTCTTCTCCCCGTTGCCCTCGCCCTCGTTGGAGGCTTCTATTTCCTCCTACGCCTCTTGCAATCCTTCACATCACCTCTACGTGACATCCCCGGTCCATTTTGGACCCGGTTCTCTAAACTCTGGTACCTGAAACATGTCAAGCAGGGCCGTTTCGAAAAGGAGAATATCCAACTACACAAGCAATATGGACCAGTCGTCCGTCTGGGACCGAACCTCTACAGCATCAGTGATGCCGCCGCCGTGAAGACCGTGTACGGGACTGGCTCCAAGTTCCCCAAGTCCGATTGGTATGAGTCGTGGAGACAGCCGGGTCCCAATCACTGGACTCTGTTTTCAGATACAAATATCAGAGGACACGGTATGTATGCTGTATCTTGTTCGCTCTGGCCTGCGCTGAGATCAAGAATTGCCTTTCAGCCGATGCAAGGAAGCGATTCTCGGCTATATACTCTATGAGTTCCTTGGTCAACTATGAGCAGTTTGTTGATAACTGTGCCGATATCTTTGCGACGAGGTTGACCGAGTTCGCGGTGAAGGATGAGGTTCTCGATCTTCGCCATTGGCTTCAGTGCTATGCTTTTGATGTCATTGGGGAAATCACGTACGGGGAGAGATTTGGTGAGTTCGGGCTGGATCTTTTTATAATTTCTATCTACAAGGCAATAATGGCTGTTCTGACGGTATGGTTTAGGATTTCTCGATGAAGGCCGAGATATTGCCGGCGTCATGAAAACCATCGACGGGGTGAACGTCTACGCTACACTCGTTGGTATCTACTCGAGCTGGCATCCATTTATATTCAGCCTGTTACGACATTTCAGCGGCTCAGGGGCTGATGGGCGCACATACATGGCGAATTTCGTACGGGAGAAGCTGAGAGAGCACGATCAGAAACTGGCCAAGGCCAAGGAGACAGGCCCCGACGGCTCACTGAAAGTGCAGGACTTTATCGAGAAGATGATGATTGCACGAGACAAGGATCCCAACAAGGTCAATGATTATCACATCTTTACCATGGGACAGTCTAATGTCAACGCCGGATCAGACACTACCAGCATCAGCCTCTCGTCCATCATGTACCATCTCTTGAAGTTCCCGGATACTTTCCGCAAGCTTCGTCAGGAGATCGATGACTTCACAACTAAGGGCCTCTGCGGTGGCAAAATCACGTTCAAGGAAAGTCAGGATATGCCGTATCTCCAGGCTGTCATTAAGGAAGCTCTCCGCATCCACAGCGCTACGGGGTTACCGTTGTGGAGGGTCGTCCCAGCCGGAGGAGCCCGGATCAGTGGGCATTACTTTCCTGCTGGCACGGTTGTAGGCGTTAACACCTGGGTGGCTCATTATGACGAGCGAGTGTTTCCTGACCCAACGGCCTTCAGACCGGAGCGGTGGATCGAAGCGGAGAATGATCCTGCAAAGCTGAAGGTGATGAATGATATGTATATGCCTGTGAGTGTACCCGCATCTTCACTACTATATTATCGTATTTCTGCTCTCTGTGTTCATACGGCTAATATTCTGCACAGTTTGGTCTCGGTTCCCGAACATGCATAGGCAGACATATCTCTATTCTTGAAATATCCAAACTGATTCCACGGCTGGTGAGGGACTTTGATTTCAGTTTTGCTGGTGGTTCAGATACATGGCATACTCATAACTCCTGGTTCGTCAAACAATCTGGCTTCGACGTGAAGGTACAGAAGAGAGTGGACGTTGCGTGATTCTTGGAAGACTGGGTGCTTTGCTGGCTTCAACCTGTCATCATGTCTGAGTACGTCTCTTGCCCAAAATTTCTTTATTGTCAGATAGAATGGGCATTCACAGAATGCTCATTATTCCTTTTACAAGTATAGGCGGCAATATATATCGGAATCCCTACAATCCGCTTGTTCATAGTCACATCCATTTCATTGATATAAGATAATACCCCGTCAAGGGCTCCATGCAAGAGAAAGAAAGTTGCAGATATCATTTAAACCAGGGTTCTTTTGTCTCGGTTCATTCTACCTCTATTTTCTCAGAAGGAAACATCAAAGACCTTTGTCCCTCTATTTATAGTTCTCAGTTCCATTGTGAGAGAAACCCTTATATAACAGTGTGCCGGACATAATTTGATACCAGCAATTCTGAATACACTCGCAGAAGGCACATTATACCACATCGTGTCTTACAACGCACCAGCCTCGGTGTATTTCAAAGGACTAACAAAGCAAGTATGTCAATTATATCCTTCTGCAAAACCTCCTCCCAAGTCCAAACACCACGAAATATGAAACGCAAGCCCGAATACGCAGATCAGTCTGACGACTATGGATTACCGCGTCATTGCCCTAAAAGACAACGATCAGAAACAGCGGCAGACGCAGATGCAGATTCTGTCCCGGGTTCCTGGGAGGGCCTGTCGAGGATTTGGCTTACGAAGCGTGCGTTGGCGGAATTGAATCGAAGGACGTGCAAGATTCGGCTACCGGACCCCGTGGATGACAATTTGAATAGGCTTGTTCCTATCGAGTCGATCGATGTGAAGGCGTTGAAGCGGTTTGCGAGGCAGGGAGGGCCGGATTTGCGAGACTTGCGCTGGGTGAGCGAGTGCGTTCTCTATTGACCTGCACTGAACAGGCGCTGACTGCTTTCAATAGTATTCGTATTATGTCGCCGACCGGTATGCTTGCTCGGACCAGATCATCATGGACCCGGTTCAGGATGGCATTCAGGGCAACGGTGGAAGTGGAAATAGAAAGCCACAATGCAGAGAATATCAGCAGCAGGAGGACCCAGATGCGAACAAGGGCGACCTCGAACTCGAAGAAGCAGGATTCTCTGAAGATCTCTTCTGCCCCGGTTCACCAACAGCCAGCGAGCAGGAGCAATGGAGAGCAGACGAATTCGACGCCAACTTCGAACAGCTCCTCCTCGACAATGGCGTCTACCCTCCGGACTACGACTACACACTGGAAGGCTACCCGGAGCCCAGGTACCCACGAAACTGGGACGAGATCATATCTCGAGCCAAAGAGCGCCGACCGTCTCTGGAGAAGATGCTCCGAATCGGCGCAGAGAGCATGGAGATCCTCGCCAATACGAACCGAATAGCCTGGACGGAGAAAGACGCCGAGATGCACACGTTCCCAGACATAACCGGCGAAGGGGCGAGCAGCACCACGGCCGAGCTGGATGAGGAGTTCAGATACACGTACGATGAAGGGCACATCAACTTTGCAAACCAGCGAAGGAACGAGCCGTTCGATAACATCGAGCCGTTCTTCCAGGGCTCCTCCCACCACGAACACAACCACTTCCCCCGTGCCAAACCGACTCTATACGACGGCATCGCCCGGGGAGCGCTATATCCCGACCTCCTCGAAAGATTCAACACCTACATCTCCCCCTCGACGGATGAAACGGCGCCCATTCTCCCCAACTTCTTCGCGGAATGTAAAGGCCGGCTCGGCTCGTCCCTCGTTGCCGAACGCCAGGCGCTCTACGACGGCGTTCTCGGCGTGAGAGCCATGCACGTCCTCCAATCGGCCTGGAACGAGGGGTACATGGACTTCGACGACAACTCGTACGCGATCGTCTCGACCTTCCGAACGGGCGAGCTGGAGCTGTATGCGGTGCACGCGACGTTTTCAAACACCGCGTGCCGGCCGGAGTACCATATGAATCTGATCGGACGGTGGTATATTCTCAGCTCGCCCGACGCGTTCCGGGAGGGGGTCTGCGCGTTTCGGAATCTGAGGGATTGGGCTAGGGAGAAGAGGGACGAGTTTGTGGAGAAGGCGAATGGCGCTGTCGACGCTGCTCGGCGACGGGATGCGGCGGTCTACGCGGGGACGAGGGGGAGCATTGCGTGTTAGGTTGGTCTATTCTCTTCTGGATATGTCAATAGAAGCGAGGATCACGGTGGATCATCCCTTCCCATCCCTTCCCAAATTTGGCCCGGCCATACCGCAGTCGTGGCGCTGCCGAAATTTGGGCATGGAGATGGCCAAGCTCACGGCTCTTTTTGGCGCTTGATGCACGAGAAAAGAACGCCATCCGGAGTGGTACAGCATCTTCCGTCCGCTGTCCAGGGAAATCGAGCACGCATCGTCCCATTATGCACATCGGTCCAGTACGCCACCGGTCCAGTGTGCATTGTTCCAGTGTGCGCCGTTCCAGTATGCACATCCATTACGCATCTCCATTATGCATACGTGCTGCTCGATATTGGCGCATGAGCATCCAGATGATCGACAGATTGGCCCTAACAAGCATTTCGACAAGCCCGACTCTGGAGTCCTTGAGGGAATCCGAGTGGATATACTTGGTAGTGTTGAGCTTGACTCCTTGGGATGGATATCCGTCCACTTACGGCTCTGTGGCCCACGGAAACACAGTAGGATCTATTGTCCTATCGTCCTATCTGTGTCTAACCGAAAGCCACGCAATATACGAGTAATTTGCCATCGGGGGGGATGTTTCTATTCTTGTCCAGGTTCCGTGGCATCCGACCTGGCTGAACTTCGGCCTGAGGAACCGCAGTCTGCAACCTGAGCCTGCGATGAACTTGTCTGGTACGCGATCCTGGAGCATGTCCAGCTCCTCCATCCTCGACTCCATCCTCGACTCCATCGTCGTGCCGCAGTAGTGCCGGTGGTAGCACTCTCGACTCCCCTCTCGACCCCCTCCAGCCATGCTATGCGCGATTATGGTGGCCATGATTCCACTGAAATGAAACGCAGCCAATTACTCGCTCTGCTGGCGAGTCAAGATCCAGGCTACAGATGCTAAGCAATCTACCGTCTCCCTTGCCTGGCGGCTAGTGGTGGCTCTCCTGCAATGCAACAACCCCTGCAGGTCCACCGTCCACCCGCCTGGCGGTGATGCAGTGCTGGGAATCCCGGTCGGCAGCTGCGTTTGGCACGCGTAATCCCCTTCGAGCAGGGCGAATGCGACTGGCCGGTGGGCGTCGTGGAGATGGTCGTGGAGGTGGTCGTGGTGGTCGTGGTGGTCGTGCTTGTTCAGCCCGCGTATGGATGGCACGGATAGGGGTTACCCTCATTATTAGATTTGATAGATTACGATGATTGTCTGATATAAATAATACTAATAATAATACTAATAATGCGCTGGATAAAACTGGGCATTCCCCAGTCGCTCCCAGCCGGTTCCATTTTCCCTTCTCTACCGTTCCCGTCTCTCGTTGCCCCCCGCTATCCCGCTGCTTCTTCTTTCTTCTTTCTCTTCCTCGTCTTTCTTGACCTGTGTCACCATCGCTCGTTCAGACTTCGCTTGCAACCGTATACATCGTCTCTCGCTCGTTTCTGATGATTATTGCTTAAATTCCCTGTCTTTTCTGCATCCGACATGTGGACTTCGTCGCTCTTTTGCAAGGCTCTCGCCTTCGGGAGCCTGGTGGCTTCTGTTGCTGCGGATGTCGATCCGATCGTGATCAAGGTACGTACGGTCTTGCTGTCGTGTCAGCCGTTGATCGGCATCTTCGTGCTCATCGTTTCTCGTTCGGTCGTTCCAGGGGTCGCACTTCTTCTACAAGACCAACGGCTCTGAATTGTGAGTAACACGCGTCCCGAACCGCCCGACGATCCATCGGTCCACGCGCTGATGAGAACAGCTTCATTCGCGGTGTCGCCTATCAACGTACGCAGCACCCTCCTGTTCCCTGCGCTACGCGTCGTCGTGGCCCGGTCTAACTCCCCTCCAGAGAATGTCGACGCTTCCGACAGCAACTCCAACCTCACATACAGTGACCCCTTGGCCGACGTCGCCGGCTGCAAGCGCGATATCCCCTACCTGAAGGAGCTGCAGACCAATGTCGTCCGTGTCTACGCCATCGACCCGACCCAGGACCACTCCGAGTGTATGCAGATGCTGGCCGACGCGGGCATCTATGTCATCTCCGATCTGTCGGAGCCGTCGCTGTCGATCAACCGGATCTCGCCCAGCTGGAACATCGAACTGTATAACCGGTACACCTCGGTCATCGATGCCTTGGCCAACTACACCAACACGCTCGGTTTCTTCGCCGGTAATGAGGTCTCCAACAACAACTCCAACACCGATGCCAGCGCCTTCGTCAAGGCGGCCGTCCGTGACATGAAGAAGTACATCGCCAGCAAGAACTACCGCGATATCGGCGTGGGCTACTCGGCCGACGACGACGCCACGATCCGCGAGCAGGTCCGCGAGTACTTCGACTGCGGCACGGACGCCGAGCGCATCGACTTCTTCGGCTTGAACATCTACGAGTGGTGCGGCCATTCGTCCTACACCACGTCCGGCTATGCAAACAGAACCCAGGATTTCTCGGACTACGACGTCCCCGTCTTCTTCTCCGAGTACGGCTGCAACACGGTCCAGCCCAGAAGCTTCGACGACGTCCAGGCTCTCTACGGCCCGGAGATGACCGGCGTCTGGTCGGGCGGTATCGTGTACATGTACTTCCAGGAGGCCAACGACTTCGGTGGGTGATCTTCTGCAATTGACGTAGTACCATCCGAGCCAAACAAGCTAACGTGGACCAGGCCTCGTCGAGGTCGATGGCGACAGCGTCAAGCCCCTTTCCGACTTCACCTCGCTCTCCAGCCAGCTGGCCAAGATCAGCCCCTCCAGCACCAACATGGCCCAGTACACCCCATCCAAGACGGCCAACCTCGCGTGCCCCACCGTCGATGCCTCCTGGGAGGCATCCTCCAAGCTCCCCCCGACGCCGGATGAGAACGTCTGCAACTGCATGTACAGCACCCTCACCTGCGTGCCGGACTCCAAGCTCAGCGACGAAGACATTGGCAAGCTCCTCGGCGTGGTCTGCGGTCTCTCTTCCTCCGCCTGCGACGGCGTCGCCGCCAACGCTACCAACGGAGAGTACGGTGAGTACTCCATGTGCGGTGCCAAGGAACAGCTCGGCTACGCCCTCAACGCCTACTACGAGGAGCAGGGTAAGGATGCCTCCGCCTGCAACTTCAAGGGATCCGCCACCACGCAGGTGGCCTCTGCCAGCGGAGGCTGCTCGGCCGTTCTCAGCTCTGCTTCCGCGGCCGTCACCGCTAGCTCTACTGCCTCTGGCTCTGCCGGCTCGGCGGACTCCACGGCGTCCCATTCCGGCTCTAAGGGCGCTGCGCCTTCCTTCCGTGCTCCTCACGTCTTCGGCATTTCCGATGCCTTCCAGATTGGAGCGTATGCGGTTACTGCTGTTGGTACTGGTCTGTTGATGATCGTCTTGTAGGGGTCGTGGTCAGCGGATATTGGCAAATGGGTTTCTAGGCAGTGGGGATTTGTAATATATACGCCTTTGTTTCAGGTAATCAAAGGAGGAAGAAGACGTTTAGATTGTATCCCTGTATACGTTGTTTACGAGAGGAATGTCTACGTAGTCTTCACTCCTAGTGCTTGTTCCAACTGGATCGTATCCGATTCTCGAATGCGTACATAGAGGTATAGATACATGAATAACAACCACAACCATAACTGCCAACACAGGTATCTCAGTAAAACACATGAAACTCTTGCTCCGTCATGGACGATACGAATAGGATTGGGCCTCATTAAAACCCCAGGAAAAAAAAAAACCCACGGTCTTTTGGGAAAATCTGGGGAAAGAGTGCCCGAGCAAGTACATGCCATATATTTCTTTCTTTCCCACGGGTCCTTCCTTGATTCACTGATGCATCCTCTCCCTAAATCTCATAATCTCATCCCTAAACCTCAAATAAAACGCACCCTTATCAAAATAATCCCCCCAAACCGCCTCCCCAACACCACCATCAGTATCAAAATCACCAATCCTCCCAACAATCCTCTTCCACCCCCTCGTCCCAAAAGCAGGAATACCGTCCGGAAATGCTTGAGCCCAAGCCATTGGATTCCACCCCTGCTTATGTCTATGTCTGCGGCGCGTATTCCATTTCCGTCGTTCGGGGTTCAGGGCTAGCAACGCCTGCAGTCTGTACGTGATCATGTCGAGATGCGGGTCAAAGTGGTGGACTAGATCGGGTAGTTCGTGGAGTATGAGCAGGAGGGTGGTTTCGTATGCTGAGGTTCCCGAGTGGCCTTTGGGGAACCAGCTTGCGAAGCGGTTGAGGCGGAGCATGGAGGCTGTTTGGCTTGGGAGGATGTCGAGGGATAGGTCGAGGGTGTAGTTTAGGTGCAGGTTTGCCCTTTTTATGTTCATATCTGCTGCTGCTGGGTTGTTGTTGTTGCTGTTGCGTAGGTTGATGAGGTCCCAGTTTAGGGCTTTGTATAGGACCTCCGAGTGTGCCGTCACGGTTATCGATTGTGCATTCCGGAGACGCAGGAAGGGAGTAAATGCCACATCGCTATTCGAGTAGTAGTGCATGCCGTTGATCGGGTCGAATGCTTTCATGGGGAGATGTTCGCAGGTCGCAATGTTGATAGCGGAGACGATCATCATTTCGTTGGCGTAGTCGTACCAGTCGCTTCCCGTGATGGTGTTCTTCTGAAATCGAATCGTCATATCCCGGATATTCTTCTCCTTCTTGTTTCGCTGGGTACCCCCCATAAAGTCGACGAACCGATTGATCTTCCCCCACAGACAAACCAACTGAGCCTGATCACGATTATCCGGCGCGAAGATGTCAACAACGACATCAACCCTGTCGTAGGGCAAATCGAGGAATCCGCGGCCGACAGCATCGTCTTCGTTCTGAAGCTTCCAAACAGCTTGTCCCTGTCGGCAGTTCGCGGTGATCCAGACATCTCTCTCGTATAGCGGCGAGATTTCAAAGGCCATGACCATGTTCTGGTAGAGGGGTCGGTGGATTTCATCGTGGAGGCCTCGGTTTGCGCGGAGGATGGAAAGGCCTGATTTTGGGATCCGCCTGGATTGTTTCGACGATGCTGTACCTGCCGTAGTCTTGTCTTGGCCGTGCGGGCGGAGTTCTTCCCAGATCATGAGGCGGAGTTCGTAGGGGAGTTTGATGAAGTTGCCCAGGTAGGTCTGCATGTCTTCCGTCCGTTCGTCTGTCCGTTCGTCTGTCCGTTCGTCTTAGGGTGGCTGGATCGAGTCTTGTCTTCTCGAGGTTGTGCGAGTTCACGAGACGACATCGTCCGTTTCTTCGGTAGACAAGGGAAGAGAGCAGAGAACATGGCTGCCTCGATAAAAATAGAGCCAGGAACCGGTGGTTGAGGCAGTTGAATCCATCATGATGACGATGGGCGTGGACTGTATGGCACTTCTTCCTGCTGCCAATACAGATGAGTAATCCGGACTGATCTTCTCTGCTCGATTGACAGCTTAGCCAAGTGCTCCTATAACATGTCAGTCACGCTGCGTGGACGACAGTCTGTATGTTCACGAGAGTGCCGGATGAAGATCCCTGTCTAATAGCGTCGATCATGATTCGATCCTTGGGCATCAATCTCTTTGAACAACGGTGGCAATGGTAAAAGTACCAAGGTTGATTCCTTCCGGGGCAGCCTTTATACTTCCTGCTCCACCACGTATCTCCTGATATAGTCGCACAGATGGATCCGGGGGAGTATGGTCCTTCTGTCACTTAGCAACAGCTCTGTACCCGTAATGCAACGTAAGCAAGCGCAGGCGCGTAAACTACTCCGTACGCGCCTCGAAAGACAGTCCACTCTGCCGGCGGGTCGATCAGCGGATCGGTACGCGTCGACATCGTCGCACTCGCAAAGACGAAATCGAAAGCATCCCAACGGAATGAGAAGTCACGAACGACCTCGGTCTGGGGAAGGCCGGTTCTTCCCCTCAATCGGGGATGAATGCTCTACAGTCATCCAGGGTCTTCCCGCAGACATGCTGCTGCATCCAGGCAGGATCCAGGCAGCACTGAGCAGAACCGCAAACTCTATTAAATTATCCCCATGGGGTTTGCCCGAGGAAAGGTTTATTAGCCCCCGACCGCCCGTTATTATTCAACTCGGTGAAGTCTGTGCTTTGCACGGAGCCATTGTTGCTGCTTGTGGGCGCCTGTGGAGCATGTGCCTGCAATTGCCGGCCAAAGGGGACTCGAAAGTCGAGTATCCCTGGCGGTTCTCGGTCTGACGAGGAACCCTTCCTGCGAACATATGACGGAGTCTTGTGTCCAGGTAATGAGAACGCCCCTTCGTCCGGCGCATGCGTACAAGTTACCAGGACTCCCAGCCCAGCGCTACGCAAGGCCGTCCCTCGCCCTCGATCGAGCGTTGTCCTGCATAACCGAAGGCCGTATGAGGGGCGTCTGACGCGACACTTCCTAAGAAGCCCAATTGCGGCCCATTTGCCCATTTGCAGGCCGCAGCGACAGTCCTGAGGAGAGCGAACAGCACGGAGTTTCCCGTTATACGCACGCACTTGCATGCGGACGGAGTAGTGGCAGTGGATCAGCGAGATAGATGATGCTATGGACATTGAAACGGCCATGGAAGGCTAGACTCGCCGTCTAACAGGAGCTCCTGTACGAAACGACGTTCAGGCCACCATCGTACTTCTGCCGAGCGTAGCTGGCTCCGCTGGGTTGGGTTACTACAATGTAACCCTGCGGTATCCAGCATCGCGCCCAAAGGCAGAATCTGGCGGATGAGATCTTCCTCTGCCTAGTATGAATTAAACTTTACTGTTGGCGTCCCAGCAAAACAGACGGGGAGTCGGATGGGGAGTCGGATGAGAGTCGACAGTCCGTGCTACTATTTCCCATGCAATTTCCCTTAAGGCAGGAAAAAAAAAAAATAATAAAAAATAAAATAAAATAAAAATAAAAATAAAAACAAGACAGATGGCTCCCTGCTCCCTGCAGGAGGAATCTACATATGCATACATGTAATACGTACCTGGTACACAATCGCATCCTTCGATCCTTTCCCATGTCGTGCGTTTCGTCCCTGTGAACAGGAGGATAATGAAGCAGAAGAGCTATCCCCCGACTGTCGGTAGATATATGGCCTTTTCCTGCCTCGTTTCAGCTCCAGCCAGCGTGTGGACATCGTCTGTCCGACGCCGCAGACGAAAGCAATGGGATCCTTCCGCTTGTTCTCCTTCGTACTCCTCCTATGGAGTAGCATCCTGGTGGTGGTGTCGGCGGACTCCACTCCCCAGATGCCTAGCTGCGCTGTATGTTGGTTTCTTCTTTCTGTCCCTTCTGTCCCTCGTTCACCGTGGGAAAAGAGGCTAACAGTCATAGGCAAAATGTCTCGTCGAGACCATTCCCCAGTCAAACTGCTCACTGACCGACACGGCCTGCATCTGTTCGAACAAGGAGCTGCAAGACAATGTTTCCTCTTGCGTTCTTCAGAACTGCAGCGTTAGAGAATCGCTGAGTTGGCCTCCCTTGTTGTCTCCTTTGTTGTGGCTGGAGCTGACAGTCGCAACATCATAGCCACAAAAAATATCACCGCAACCCAATGCCACCAACCCGTGCGAAACAAGGGTAATTTCGTCTCCGTTACTGCCTATGCATTGGGAGCATTGTCCTTGTTGGCGTATGGATTGCGGATAGCCTCCAGGTTTTCTCAGTCGCTGAACAGCTTTGGCTGGGATGATTTGTTCATCACGCTGGCCGTTGTAGGTCGCAAATGAGCTGACTGAATGGACTGGTGTGCTGACGACTCTATACAGGCTGCAGATATCCCATTGATAGTCATTGCACCTCTATGTATGCGTTCCTCCTCCTCCTCCTCCCTAGATTCCCGGGTGCTGACAGCTGCGGCAGCGGTCCATGCTGGCTTGGGTCGAGATACATGGGCAGTTCCGTTCCAGGATATCACCCATATGCTCTACGTACGTTACTACAGCATCCTACCGCAGGTCGGGCGATAATCCGAGGAAGTTAACCCGTCTAACACGAATGAATAGCTCTACTGGTGGGACGAGGTCATATACTTCTTCATCATCCCCACGACCAAAATCTCCATCCTCTGCTTCTACCTCCGCATCTTCCCACAGCGTCCATTCCGTACCGCCGTGTTCATCGTCATCGGTCTCAATGTGGGCTATTTTGTCACTTTCTTCTTCACCACTATATTTTAATGCAGACCTGTGCACGGCGCCTGGACGCGCTGGGATGATAGCTTCCACGGCCATTGCTCGGCTGTGAACGCGCAGGGATGGGTAACGGCAGCGCTGAATTTGGCTCTGGATATCGCGACCTTGGGTCTGCCGTTGCGGCCGCTGGCGAAATTGTCGCTCTCGTTACGGAGGAAGCTTATGGTGATGTTTATGTTTAGCCTGGGGTTTTTGTCGGTCTCCTTCTCTACGGAGTAATCCGACGGGATCAAGAAAACAAAGCTAATTCTTGCCTTCAGTGTCACGATCATCAGCATCCTACGCCTGAAATCGCTCGTCGCACTGGCGAATACACAAAATCCAACCTGTATGCATCCTTCTGCCTATTCCATGATGGGTGAACTGACTCTAGCCCAGGGGACTATGTCTGGATCGCATTCTGGACCTGCCTCGAAATCGAAGTGGGCATCATCTGCGCATGTCTCCCCGCCATCCGATCACTGTTGATCCGCATGATGCCCGACCTCTTCCGGAGCAGTCTCTCGGGCAGCTCGAAGACACCGCAGATCTATTATAGCAGCAATCCTCGCGGTCCTGGCAATACCCGTCGGACTAGCTATACTCAGCACGGACGGACCGGGTCGAGATTGGACGGGATGATGTCCCAGCGGCCCAAGGTGGACAGTTCTTCGGACTTTATACCGCTGGTGGATTTGGAGAATGTGCGGACGGGCGAGTTTTCGAGGACGTAGCTGCTGTATATTAAATCAAAAGTTCTATTATTGGCATGGTGGATATGTGAAAGAAGCTTTCTTTCATTGTAGCCCTAAGAAGGCAAAAAAGGGGGGAGGAAACGAACAAAGAGGAACAAAGCAAGCGACGACAATGGGCATTGATTATAGAAATGGGAGACTCGAGTCGAGTATAAATACAGCAGAAGCAGCAGCAGCAGCATCATCATCATCATCATCATCATCATCATCATCATCATCAACACACCACCAAACCTCATCGAATCCCAAGAATCATCACAGCACAGGGACAATAACCATAACAGCTACATCCCCATGCCCTCCCCATCTTCTTCTTCTTCTTCTCCTTCTCCTTCTTATTGTTCTTCCTCCTACCTAGATTCCCTCTCCGCCCACTCCACATCCGTCCCATTAACAGATGGGGAAACAACCTCCAACCTCGACAGAAACTCCAACGCCGAAATAGAAACAGACTCAGACCTAGGCTCAGACAATCCATTACCCCCATCAATCTACATAATGTTTCCATTAGGCCAAAACCCATCTTTCCTTCAGCCGACTGCCTCCACCACCCCGGACGCCGCCGTCGACCTCTTCATCCACACAATCCGCGAGTACGCGAGCATCCCCCGGCGCCGGGCAAAGGTGAGTATGCATTCCCCCCCGCCTCCGCCGATGGATCGGAAGGCATTTTATCTTACCCTTCGCGTGACCGGGTGGTATGATCCATTGGCTGATATGGAGGAGATACTGCAAGAGGCGTTGGAGGAGGCTGTACGGCTTGCAGAGCGGGTGCGCAGGGGGGAATTGAGGTTTGAGGACTTTTTGGGTGTTGGGGGGGCTGGGAAGCCTCAGCAGTAGTTCATTCTCGATTTTCCATTGTAGATTGAGCTTATGTATCATTCCCAAAGTACAGGGTCGTCCATGCAGAAAACCCGGATATTCCTCTGATGCTGCACCTTGTCTACGGTTTGACGATGAAGATGGATGGACGGCAATCATCCTTACTACGCCACCGTTGTAGATTAATATGGGGAATTGGATGCCAGTGCTTATCCAAATGGGACTCGTACACGATTACCTACGGAGGAAGGCCAGAACAGAACTAAGAAAGAAGGCAAATAGTTATTATCGTCAGTATAGATGTAGCTTGGATATCCACCAGGGATAGTTCTAATTCCAACTCCGTGACCATGTAACTTAACCAAAAACAGAAAAGAAAAGAAAAGAAAGAGAGAATTAGTCTACATATGAAAGGCATCGCCAGACAGGAGGGCACCAGGAGATCACAGAGACATCCAGGTTTACCGTCCCGTAAGCCTCTTCTCCACATTATAAGACAGCACAACAGACTGCCGATCAACAACCTTCGTAACATACATCGACGTCAGAATAACCGGCGGCAGTATCATCGCCGCCGCAACAATCCAAGACAGATAATACACGGCACTCCCCTCGGGATCGTCACGGGTTTGATACAGGTCCTTCCCGGAGAGAGCCTGACAGACGGAATGTTGAATGGGGTTGCGCATGGTGCGGATGAACGACTGATGGAAGAGGTAGAACGAAAACGAAATCTTCCCCAGGAACTGAGACAGTGGGGCCTCTAGCACGGCCTTCCTCAGAAAGGGCAGATGTCGCAGGGTGCCGACGACGATGACGGCGCCGACGACGTGCCAGGCGTTAATGCGGACGTACGGACCGATCCAAAAGGGCACCGGGTCGAAGGGAACGGGGAACCAGTAGTCGACCGGGAAGTCCTCGAGAACAGGCAGACAGAAGAAGTAGATGCCGAACATGAAGAGGGCGAGCATGGCCGGTTGGTGCCAGATTTTGGGCACGGGGGCGGGTGCTTTGAGCGAGTTGATCGTTGGCATCCCGCCATACGGCTGCTGCTGTTGCTTCCTCTTCAGCAGGTCCAGCTCTGCGTACAGAAGCCCAGCGATGAACGCCGAGAGGTGCGGGAATCCGGTCCATAAAAGCAGGAATCCTATGAAAGTCGTCAGGGCCACCCGGGCCCTGGGCGCGACCGACGCCAGACAGAGTATCACCAGATACACGGCGAGAGACCCCTTGATTTCATCCGCCATGCTCCACAGCTGCCCGTTCAATCCACCGGAGAACCAGGGGCCCGTGGCAAGACTGAGCGAGCTGAGCAACGCCAACGCGGCGCACCGGAAATGCGGCCAGACAAACGACCACGGCTCGGCGCCAGGACAACCCTCGGGCGGGAAGAATTCCCAATGATAGAACCCAGTGTAATATAGCGTCTGGGAAAAGACGCACAGCACGACGACCGGCAGGTATAAACGGAAGACCCGGCGCAGCACCGAGGACGACAGCTTATGATAGAAGCGAGCGTTGTTGTTCTCTCGATCGCGATGCCGGATGATCGAGATCGCGACGGAATACCCCGAAATGACAAAGAACACGCGGACCATGGCCTGGCCGGCGAAGAGCACTCGGAATGGGGCCAATTGGTACCAGTATCGGTTGTTCTCTGGGGGGTCGTCCCCGTATTGTCGATATGGGACTTGCATCACGTCGACGGTGAAGTGGAACCACGCGACCACGGCCGCTGCGATGCCTCGGAGACCATCCAGCCAGACCTCTCGGCTTTCCGGTAGATCCTTGACGATCATGATGGCAGTCAAGCAGTGGCTGTTGAAAAAGGAGGGTTGTTGGTGCTTGGAGGGAGGGAGACCGAGAGACCCAGAGACCCAAAGACCCAAACAACAAGGGAAGAGAACAAGAAAGTATAGAAGAAATGAAGAAAGAAGGGAGCAGGGACAAGAATAAGCCTCAGCCCATGCTTATTTCAACAGAGAAGGCCAATCCACATGTCAGCTCGATTCTGCTTCTCCGTCGAGTAGCACCGACGGGCTGCAAGGCATGTATGGCCCTATATAGGAACGCTGCAGACGAGCAACGATGATCAAGCCGGGAAAGAAAAAGGAATCAAAACCAAAAGGGGCGCAAAGGTTAAAAAGTGGAAAACAGGGCCAATCCACTGCTCTCAGAACGCAGGCCAAGAAAGCGAATCGTCAACCTTTTTTAGCTTGTAAATAACATGTCCGACGCTCAGACGGCCGAGCGGGTTCTCCGTCGTCGTGAAACCGCTGGCGAGTGTCGATGATTGTAGATCCTCCAGTTCCTCCTCCACAGCTCTGATCCAACCACGAATCGACAGTTGGAGACAAGAAGACGTGTTACGAATCCAGAAATTAATGCGATTATTAACTCGGGACTCCGCACGAGGTCCGACGCTCTCAAGTTGAATCATGTCTGTCTGTTCTGCGTTCCGGGGAATAATCCGAACTTAATGGCCGTGCTGAACCTGCCAGAAGAACGGGTTTGAGGACACATACACCGATTGGAGATGTATTAGACTTCCGTTTAAGAGTAGTGCTAGCATGCCCGTACATGGCTCGAACAAGCATGAAAAGAATATAGGAATACGAAGACTTCCGGTTCCAATGCATGCTCCTCGTATCGTGGCATGTCAGCTTACTGTGTTCCCGGAATCTCCGTTCTATTCCTGACGGACAGTAGCTCATAATCATCATCGGCCGTCGTCTTTAACGGATACGACAGACGGGCTCCCCTATTCCAGCACGGCTGGCGGACGGAGCAGGCTGCACAGGCATCATCGCGTTGTTTTCGTTGAGAACTCGTAAAATCGGATTCACACCTCGCCCTTCTGCGCCTCCCTGTATGGCCTGAGAATACAGGGTCTTAGCAACGGCTGGCTGCCGTTATTTGTCCGTAACCAGAAGTTGGCATGGCAGGCCTTGATTCTTCTAGTTGCCAGCCGGCGGATACCTGGCCCTATACTTTGCGGCCAGGATCCGGACGGGAAAACGCCTGTCATCCACGGGACGGTGCCAGGCGTTTCTCCTCTTTTACGAAGAAACTACGAAACTGACACAATAATCATATCATAACCTTGGAAGAGCCATGGTCCCTCAATCTCAATCTCAGTCTCAATCTCAGTGTGCTATTGCGCTGTCAAGGGGAATAATATCATATCCAACATGTCGTGAGCCGTAAATTCGTACTACATATCCTAGGTTGTCCTTGCCTGCAGGACAAGAACATTCCCAATAACCCGATCCTCTCGGACTATCGCCTCCGCAACCGCTCCAAGAACCTTCCTTGTCTCCGCACCTGTCTCGTTCGGTGGGTTCGAACCCAGAGCCAGCTCGGTGTACCGTGGTTGAGGATCAATCTTGTCGTTTCGCCGTCCGACGATGACCATGTTTCCAGCCTTGTGTGACGTGCGGTCCATCTCCTCTTTTACTTTGACGATGGTTAGAGGGACGGTGTCCGCCATCGCGTCTGCAAGGCTTACGCGGTTAAAAATGACCCTGTCTTCCAGGTCTTTGGGTAGAGAGTCGCGAATGGTTGCCAGGAAAGCGTGGTCAGATTGTATCTGCGGTTGCGGTTCGCGGTCTCCGATCGATGCATCCGCCTCTGACTTGCTTGAAATAGGATGCAGGATGGCTGACACGGGGGATTTCACGGCCGTCGAGTTACATGAGGTAGCGTCCATGTGGATGATGGTCGCTGTGACCTGGTCGTTCTGTGCTAATTGTAGGATAAACCGGAGCGCGAACCGGTCATCTTCTCCGCCAAAAAATGGGAAAACTATGTGGTGCGACCGTGCTACTGCCGGAGAGCCCCAGATAGAGCTGCGAATGCTCATGGCGCTCGTGGATCGCTTGACCTGTGGGCGGTTCCTTGTAGACTGCTTTGTGTACACGCTGCGCTCAATGAAGATCCCGACATTGCTCGTGACTCGGCTGAGAAGATCAGACGTGAACTGCGTAAATGGACCGCTTGCAAATCGACATGCTTCGTCGATCCCAATGCCGCTTTGGCGATCGCTCATGGCTCCCGTTTCGCTCCACGGGATCAGCAAGAGATCTGGGACTTCGTCGCGTGCCATGCCTACCACGGTATCGGCGAACGAATACTCGGGGACGACGGACACGCCTGCAACGATCGAGATGTCATGCCATTGGCCGAATGCCTGGAACGTGTTGATTACCGGATCCCACAGCGTGCATTCATCTATTTCGGATACCGTCATGACACTGGAGTCTCGGTCCGTGAGCTCCATCAATCGGACGCCGTGTACCCGTAATGCCGTCTCCTCGAAGTCGGCTGCTGTCGCTGGATCCTCTACGGCTTCGCTAGCGGATTTGATCGAATCGACTTTCGCCGGATGGATTCTTGGGGGTGATGCTTGCGCCAGACGACTTGACCCAAGAAGAGCAGCCAATGTACAGATCCCAGATAGTCCGTCCAGGCGTAGATAGACAAGCAGTTTCCGCACGGGAATCGACCTCAATTGATCTTTGGCCAAGGCCACGCTATCTCTGCGTGTGTCTGATTGTAGCGGCTTGCCATTCCAGTCGATCTCACCTTTCCTCCAGCGTTCGACCTTCGTCTGGTACCACTTTGGGTAGAGGAGAGTGGTCAACGGAGTGGTGGCGAATGTTGTCACGAGAGCCATGACCACGAACATGGTGAAGGTCCGAGTACTCAGGATCTTGGCTTGCAAACCAATGTTCTACGTGCTTCAGCATCGGCCAGGGACTTGGAGGGAAGATGTGTACATACCAGTACAATCAGCTCGACGAGGCCTTTGCAACTCATCAACACTCCAATGGAGAAGCTCTCGCGCCAAAGAAGACCGGTAAACCGTGATGCGAGCGCACCGCCGGCCACTTTACCAAAGAAGGCGACGGCAATAATTCCCACGACATATCCCCAGACAGTCCCGTTATCGAGCAAGCCAAGGTTAGTGCTCAACCCAGATAGGGTAAAGTATAGTGGCAAGAACAGGGCAGTGACAAGATCCTCGATCTTTTCTGTGAGCTTGATGGCAAAGCCACCCTGGTGCGGACATAGCAACCCGATGACAAAGCCTCCGAAAATAGCATGTATGCCAATGATCTGGGTAAAAAAGGCGGATGCCAGGGCAAACAAGAGGGTGATTGTCACAACACTTTGGCTTGGTCCCTTTTGCAAACTACCAGTACGTTCGAGAAAGCGAATAAACAACGGACGGAAGACAATTGACAGAAACAGAACATAGCCAATGCAGACAAGCAAAACCCACAGGGCCGTCAGACCGCTACCAGCATTGACTAGAGCGACACAAAGGGCAAGTAGGATCCAGCCTACAACATCGTTGCCCACACCGGCAGACAGCACGATCACACCAACGTTGGTGCCCAGAAGTTTAAGTTCGGTCAGAATACGGCAGAGAACAGGAAACGCCTGTAGAACGTCAGCCAGCCGTGATGGTTGGCCTTAGCAAATACAAGAGGGAAAGTAAAGAAGACAACCTACCGTGATGGCCATAGCGATACCAATAAAGAGCAAATACGTCCCGAAATCAACGGGGACTGTCTGTGGATCATCCCTGAACTGATGATACAACCCATACGAAATCGCACAGCCCAATCCAAACGGGACTGCCATACCCGCTGCAGAGACGCTGATGGCAACACGCCAGTTGCTAATGAGAAACCGCAAGTCGGTCTCCAGACCAACCAGAAACAAGAAAAGCACCAGCCCCAGATTAGCCACGAGGGTCAGATTGGGGATGGATGCCGCAGGGAAAATGGCATCCGTGAAGCCAGGAATCCGACCCATTACTGAGGGGCCCAACAAGATGCCTCCGATAACCTCTGCAATCACGCGCGGTTGGCGGATTTTGGAAAGAGGCCAATGCAGGAGATGGCAGAGGATGATGATGATAGCGGCCTTGGAACATTAGCTTATGAGAAGATCGATATAAACTTGGACTATACCTGGATGATAAAGATGATAATGGGATTCTTGGGGTCATATTGGGATGGATTACCTCCTTCGAGGATTCCCCCCTGAGGGGAGACTCGTTGCGTGCTGGTAGGACTGGCGGAGTGGGTAGTAGCCGTCGCCATGGTGTTGGCAAGATGGCTTCGGTGAATGTGAAAAGGGGGGTTGGTGGAAGAGAAGGGCAGAGAGGCACTCAAGGTGCCAGGAGCGGTTCGAGACCGCAGTCAACGTTGACGATGGAGATGGAGATGGAGAAGTGGAGATGGAGAAGTGGAGATGCAGAAGTGGAGATGGGACGAAGGTGAAGTTCATATTGTTGCGGGTAGCCTAAAGTATAAATAGCTAGTACCGTAATTGACAGCATGATCATCATGCTCTCACTGTCTTCCCCCGACTCGACTCCCGCAAAGGCCAAGAACCTCTTCCTCGGCACAGCCTTTTCTGTCGACATAAGAATTTGCGGGCTTTGATATCAAGCAAAAGTTGATATTGCCTGCTAGAGGAGGAAAGCCTTTTCTTTTCCTCCTTTCTCGCCCTTCATCTCTCTTCACAAACGAACATGGGGTCTATCAAGTCAAATCTGCCAGTCGACAACAGACGTGAGAATAATACTAGCATCACCAAATTTGTCGTGTCGATGATACCTAGGCCTTCCTTTAGCAAAAAGCGAAAGTTCTCGAAGAGGATAACCCATGTCTCACAGTGTACATTCGAAGATATCGACGAAAATGGAGTTGCAGGCGGACGTCTCTATGATGATTTTCAGGCCCAGGATCTAACTGTCAAGTTAGTTTCATGGCTGACATTCGTGATACATTCATTGCACTGGGAGTACAGTTCTGTGACATATTCACAGTGGGGACTGCCAGGATGAAGGGAAGTTCTGCTGCAAAGCAGGTAACCCATCTATCAAGCCTGCTCCAGAACGTTGCTCTAGAAGGGGCTATGCAACCTTGGTGATGGAATGTAGATTATCACAAACCCTGTGGGACCTTCAGATGGCTGCCAATCGGTAGCTTACACACACTGGCTACATGGGCAGAGAGTGTGTTCAGTAGATTGGAGTGAAGGCAATCACCTAGCATTTTAGGGCAAGAAATTTAGTTTTAGTTTGTTGCTTTCATAAAATATCCTCCCTTCTGTGACAGGCTGGGCTTATTAATAAAACGGGGAAAAAAAGAAAGCTACAGTCATAGAAATTCCAGTCCATATAGGTACATACATACTTTTAGCAGTAACAGCAGATGCAAAACTCCCAAATGACCAAACCCAAATACAACGAGAAAGGCAATCTACAGACTAGGAAAACAAAGAATGCTTACGGCAACGCATCCGTGATGCAGCCCCGGCTAGCATCCTGGACGTTCCTGGCGTATTTGCCCAGAGTACCCCTCAACGTGAGACCAGTCGGGGGAAGCTTTCCCGCCTCCTTGTCCGCTTCCCACTGGCGCCGTCGCTCAGCAAGTTCACCGTCACTGACCTCGAGGTCGAGAACGCGCTTCTCGGCATCGATCGTGATGATATCTCCATCATTAACGAGACCAATGGGGCCACCCACAGCTGCCTCGGGGACGATGTGGCCGATCAGAAATCCGTGAGAGCCACCCGAGAAACGGCCATCTGTGATGAGGGCACAGGATGATCCGAGACCGGCTCCCATGAGGGCGGAAGATGGCTTCAGCATTTCTTTTCCATTGTTAGTCCGTAAATAATATCTCAAATTAGCACCCAGAAGTGGGATATAACGTACCAGGCATGCCAGGACCGCCCTTAGGTCCAGTGTAACGGATAACCACAACCGTCTTCTCTTCCTTCTTGATCTCGTTGCGCTCCAACGCCTCAACAAAATCATTTTCATGGTCGAAAACGCGCGCCTTTCCTGTGAATCGGGTTCCTTCTTTACCAGTGATCTTGCCGACACACCCACCGGGTGCCAGGCTACCACGCAAGATCTGGAGGTGGCCGGTCTTCTTGATCGGGTTGGACACCGGGCGGATGATCTTTTGGTCCTCGGGGAAGTCGGGAACCTTCTCCAGATTCTTGGCGAGGGTCTCACCCGTGACGGTGATGCCGGAGCCGTCGATAAGGCCTTCCCTGAGCAGGAACTTGAGCAGGGATGGGGTACCGCCAATCTTGTATAGATCGTGCATGACATATTTTCCGGACGGCTTCAGGTCGGCAAGGAAGGGAACCCGGTCAGAGACGGCTTGGAAGTCGTCGATGGTCAGCTTGACGCCGACCGAGTCCGCAATGGCAATAAGATGCAGCACAGCGTTAGTCGATCCACCAGTAATATTAACCACGACCATGGCGTTCTCAAAGGCCTGGCGCGTCAAGATATCCCTCGGCCGAATATCTTCTACGAGCAGCTTCTTGATCGCCTCACCGGCGGCGAGACATTCCAGGTTCTTGACCGGGGAATCTGCCGGGTTCGACGAAGAGCCCGGCAGAGTCATACCCATGGTCTCAATAGCAGTTGACATTGTGTTGGCAGTGTACATACCACCGCAAGCACCATCACCAGGGCAAGCATGGCGGATGATATCGAATCGCTGAGGCTCGTTGATCTGACCAGTCAAGAACTGTCCGTAGGCCTGGAAAGCAGAAACGATATCAATGTCGGCATTGTCCTGGGTAGCAGCGCAACCAGGCTTGATAGAACCACCGTACACCATCAAACTGGGGCGGTTGATTCTTCCCATGGCCATCAACACACCAGGCATGTTCTTGTCACAGCCGGGAATGCTAATGTTCGCATCATACCACTGACCGCCCATGACGGTCTCGATAGAATCGGCAATCAGATCACGGCTCTGCAGCGAGTAGCGCATTCCTGGTGTACCCATGCTAATACCGTCGCTGACACCGACGGTGTTGAACTGATAACCGATCAGGCCTGCTTTCTGCACTCCATCGCGGACCAGGTTGTTGAGACGGAGGAGGTGCATGTTGCATGGGTTCCCGGTGAACCAGACGGACGAGATTCCCACTTGTGCTTTGTTCATATCCTCCTCTTTGAGACCGGTGGCGTATAGCATGGCCTGCGAAGCGCCTTGGGAGATGGGCTGGGTGATGGTGCGGGAGACCTTGTTGATGGCCTTGTCATCGTCCGCGGCTGACGCTCTTTGACGGGGAATGGTAGTAGAAAGGGAGCGACTGGTATCTGTGGGTTAGATCCAGAGCCAGATACATCTGGGGGATAATGACAGCAGACTCACGTTGCCATGGAAGGACTGCAAAGCCTCCGAAGAGTGCAGGGCAGACGCCCTCGAGCTTGCGGAAGAAGCATTGCTAGTTGTGATGCTGCAACCTCACAGGGATGAAGACAAACCAAAGAAAAAATGAAACTGAGATTGAAATTGATGAGCCCTCTATGAACAAACCGCCAGCTCGAGGAGAACTACGGGGAAAGAGGAAGCAGCTCAAGTAACTTTTCCTGCTGGCGGGCGATGACTGCGAAATCGGGGCTCGCCCATTGCGGTTTAGGGCCCCGGGTGACCATAAGGCCAATCAGAGGCTTTTATTTATCATCGACAGTCGATACGGTAACATTACGCCATATTTTACTCCGGAGAGTTGCTCCTTCTCCCCGGAAACATCATGTGATCTTGCCGCTCAGCGGTGTACACTTACAGTAACTGCAGTCAGAATAGATCTTCGAGTGCATGTCGCTCGCTTTATATTAGCCATATATCTTTCATATACATCGATTGTTAAGCGGGTATTTCTTTCAACCATGCGGTCCTAGTCCCAAACCAACCAAGAAAAATCCAAGTCCACCAGACGCCGTCCTATGCTTATGATACAGTAGAGTACAACGGTTCATATGCTGCAGCAGGAATGGATACCTATATCAACGCCTGCCCGCGGAACATTCCCTCCCGAACCTCCTTGACAACGTCCTTGCGGTCCTTCTTCCCAACCAGGACAATGCCGCGACCTCTCTTGCCCATTCTTCCCAGACGGCCCAGGCGGTGGATAAAGTCGATCGTTGTGTGCGGCACGTGATAAAGGATCACTGTCTTCACGGCAACTGTGTCGATTCCACGCGATGCCAAATCCGTAGTGACAAGCACCTTGGTACCTTCCAATTTGCGCTCGGTATTCTGTGGTTTCTCGGCCTCCACAAAGGGGATCGCGTTCTCCAGCCGGTACTGTTTCTGGGCTTTGATGATCTCTTCCGGGGAAGGCGGGATGCGAATCTCGGTGAACTCGGCAAGCGTTTCCTCATGGTGCCGTGAATTGGAGTCACGGGAGAGGGAAACGGCGTCGATACCCTTGGATCGGAGGAACTGAGCAACTTCGTCGGCTTCTTCACGTTCGTTGACGAAGACAATGATCTTCTTCACGTGCGGGGGCATGTATTTTGCGAATGGGCCTGCGGTTTCCAATGGGTCGCCGGCCTTGCCAATTGACCAGATAGTGTCCGCACAGGCTAAGTTTCTATTTCCGCGGTACGGGTCCTTTTCAATGTCCACAACACCCAACTGCACACGCCGCGGAACGGCGTGCAGATTGGGTGACGTCAGCCGCTTAATGTCTGGGTAGCGTTTGCGCAGGAAGGAATCCAAGCTGCGAGGGATCGTAGCCGAACACAGGATCAGTTTCTTGAGTGACGGGGCAGCTTTGTCAATCAGCTCTGTGGTCGTGGGAGCAAACGACCGGTCCAAGAGAGAATCAGCTTCATCCAGCACCAAGTGGCTAACCCGGCTTAGGACATAGGGATCCGTCTTGGCAATGGATGCCAGAAGGTGAGGAGTAGAAACAAGAATGTCAATTCCGGCAGGGTTGAATACGGTATTTTTGATCCGACGAGGCGTTAATGATGAATGGATCATCCCAGAACGATATTTAATCGTATGGGACAAATCCTTGACTTTGGCACCCACCTGAGCGACCAACTCCGAAGTGGGAACAAGAATGATTACTCTTGGTCGCCCAGCATCCGACAGCGGGGGCATCTCAGGCTCAAGTTCAAATGCCCTGTTTTTCATCCTCTCCTCTCTTTCTCTTGCCTTCTCCTCTTCCTGCCTCTTTTCCTCCTCCTTCTCTACTGCCTCCTCACGCTTCATAGCATCGATGACTGGAAGCAAGTAGGCCAAAGTTTTTCCAGAACCAGTCTCAGCTGCGAGAAGGAATTGGTCGTATTGAGGTACAGAATCATCGTCCACATCAGCCGACTTCTTTCGCTTGCGTTTATCTGAGACGGTCTCCTCGAGTAACTGGGGAATTGCAAGACGCTGGATCGGAGTAGGCGTAAGCTCAACTAAATGCGGAAGGGCTTGAGAGGAGATCGAATCCCGCACGACGGGCAAGAAGGCAAACTGATCGAAAGTGGTAATCTCGGCAATTTTATTCTTAATAGCTGCTCGACGACCATAATTCAATGGAGCCAGCGCCGTCTGCATCTTCAGGGCCTTGTATAACGGGCTTCCTTCCTTCCGAGATTGCTCGGGCTCTCCAGATCGTTTGGCGGCTGCCCGAGACTTCGCGCGAGGTGTAATGCGAGCCGGTGCTTTCCTTTGGTTCATTCCTGCGAACGGACCAAAAACATCTTGATCCTTCTTTGGCTTTTTTAACGATGACTTGGCCACATCCGGAGAAAGGGCCATGCGTGCCGCCTTACGGCGCAAGCGTACGGTGGCTATGGATCGCGCCGGTTGCCATGCTGGAAGACAGGATGGAAGTAGCGTAGGTCGACAAAATGGGTGGATTAGCCGCAGAGCCATCCTGCTTATTGAGATGCAGGCCCCTGGTGAAATTCAATAAGAAATTGGGGAAGAAAGAGAAGGAGGACGAGCGTCCATGCAACGTAGAAAAAATCAGAAGCTTTGGCCAGTTGCATTTGCGGAAGTGATGCCTTGATTTTATGCCTTATTAAACAGGCATCCATGGCAGCTGACCATATTTCTCCAGAGCCCCCGCTAAAGACCACGTAGTAGGTGGTACCTTGTTACATATTATAGATCTGATAGGTTCTTTTGTCTTTGAAGTAAGATGGTTTATAGCTTACCAATAAGGTTGAACTCGTAGGGTTGACTCCGTAGTTAAGAGTACTACGCTCAAGCCGCCCGGGCAGAATGGGAGTGGAAACTTGTTATTTCTATCAGTTCTACTACCCCTGTTGGAGTTCTTCCCTTGCCATTTTAGTGCTCACCCCCTGCTCACTGAGTATGAAAATCCTATATGCTGGAAAGAGCTTCAACTTATTTTATCAAGGAAATATGGGATACAGCTCCCAAGTCCCAACCATGGAGGACCTATAAGTAGCCGAAATGGGCCAATCACGTCCGCAGCGCATGCTTGTCTGCCGCTGAACTCTGAAGCCCCTGAAAATCTATGTAAGCTTTCGGTGATTAGTCCGATGCCAGACGTCAAGCATCCGAGTCTAATTTATCACGGAGGGCCGGTTGATATTACAATCCTACGCTGAGCCGTCAGGGCAATGCAATGGGCGAAGAGTGGCCGGGGGAACGCTCATGAATGACGCACTCGAAACGACAACCTCAGCGTCGTGTTAATAGCGGAATTTGCATAATTTCGTTCTCGTGAATATATCGCCGCAATGTCCTTGCCAGATGAGAAAAGCATTGAATTAGAATCGGGGCTAGGCGGGGAGGTGAATCAGCATCTATCGCCCCAGCAGCATAGAGATGGTGGAAATCGAAAGCCTCTATCAAATGTTCCCAAGCGCAAGCCTCTTCCTGCTGCTATACCTGGAGCAGCAGCAGCATCAGTGGCAATTCGAGAGGGACAGACAGATCCCAATGCATCTAACCCCGCGCCCCCCGTTCGCAATTGGCATCAACAACAGCACAGCAATAACTCGCCCATTGCCTTCGCAGGTAACATTAAACAAAAGTGGCTGGAGTGGTGGGATCTCTTGACACCAAACCGAAGACGACTCTTTGCCATTATTGCGATTGGTATTGCTGTTGTGATCTTAGCATTGATCATCGGTCTCTCAGTTGGATTGACTGCTGGGGACAGGTGAGGTCTATATGCATCCTTTGTTATTTCAATCCACGATGATGCAGAGGAACCTAACAATTACCCCCCTTCGGGGAATGAAAAACAAACAGACACAAAAACCTCGCCCTCCCTACTTCCCACGGCGGTCCCTACACAGGCGACTTAACCTACTACGATCCCGGCCTGGGGTCATGCGGAATAACCAGCTCGGGCTCCGATATGATTTGTGCTGTGTCGCATGTTCTCTTCGACGCTGCGTCGAGAGGGTCGAATCCGAACGCGAACCCGTTGTGTGGGTTGAAGATCCGGATACGGAGGGACGGGGAGAGTGTGGATGTCAAGGTGGTTGATCGATGTAAGTTTGCAATTGTCCTCTACATTTCCCGTTTGTTAGAGTGGTATTGATGAGCGACTTTTTTTTCCTTCCTAGGTCCTGGTTGCAAGGAGACCGATCTGGATGTCTCGCGAGCGGTTTTTAAGGATCTTGCTGATCTGGATCTGGGTAGGGTTACGGTTGAGTGGGCGTGGCTTGAGGATGCGCCTGTTTCTATTAATTGATTCATTATCTATGTATTTGTCTTGGTCTCTGGTTTGATTTGAAGATACCCTGTCCATGTATATATCGGCAATGTTGAATAAGGAGCATTAGAAACTCTACATAGACTCCCGTACTTTTTCCTATTATTGATATCAGATCTTTCAACATGTATTTCTTTCATCTAATATTCTGGCCATGTGGGGTCAACTTCGTTTCGCCACGCCCGCAATCCACCGCGGATGTCACAAATGAATCTTTCTCCGCCACGGTCTAGTCCTAACTCTTTGAACTTCTTGACGGCTATCTGTGAGTCATTTCCAAGACGGCACACCACGTATATGGGATCTGTGGAGTCTGTGGAGACGATATCTGCTGGAAACCAAGGAGGTAGTGGTGACTGCGATCCTGCTCCTGTGCCGTTGCTAAGAGCTTGGTCGTCCTTCTCAGTGGGCTGTAGCTGTGGCCTCGACGCGAGGATCTCGGAGATTGGGATGTTGATACTGTTGTCGAGATGGCAAATATCAAATTGCACTTTCTCCCGAACATCGATTGTCATCGGCGGCTTTGTTTTTGAGAGGGTCTCGCTCTGTACTCGCGATGGCAGTGATTGCTGGACTATCCGGCCGTATTCGGCTGCTGATATTCGCTCTTCGGGCGAGAGCAGTGATGGTGGGTTCGCGGTGCCACAAAAGAAAACATAATCCGTTGATCCAGAAGTTATAGTGTCGAGCGTGACACTGGCTTCGGCAGAGCAGACTGCGCAATTTGGTCGGCGAGAGCGCAGACGGATTGATCGAAATGGAGGCGTGGAATACGCAGAGAAAATAAGAAGTGAGGGAGAAGTTGTGGGGTTTCCAGGGACACCGTTGGTTTCTGCTTCTCCGGCCGGGGCCGTGATGATTTTAATCGCCTCTAATGCCTGCACAACACCCATAGTACCCACGACTGGTCCTAAAATACCCCCGTCCGCACAGCTGACAACACTGTCTGCCGGTGGGGGTTTGGGGAAAACACATCGATAACAGGGACCACCTGTTTTGTCTCCTGCAGGCCGTGGTGGATAGTTCAGAACCATAAGCTGACCATCCGTACGCAGTGCCGACGCAGAGACGAGCGGCTTTCCCAGAGCGACTGCTGTATCCGAGACCAAATACCGAGTAGCTGGGTTATCTGTGCAATCGAGGATGAGATCGTAATTTTTGAAGATATCCGGCGCTTCTTGGGGAGTCAGATGCCCTCTATGAGGAATATACGTGAGATGCGGATTCAACCTTAGGTATCATGTCTGTCAGCGATAAGTTCGATGGAGAGGGAGGTCATATTCAATCCCCAGATAGAAATTTAAACGCATACTTCTTCAAATAGTCAATGGCACTATCCACCTTCAACATTCCCACATTACCGCTGTGATGCAAAACCTGCCGATGAAGGTTGGACAGGTCGACCGTATCACCATCGACCAGTCCGAGAGTCCCCACCCCAGCACTAGCAAGATACATCGCAGAGGGACAGCCCAATCCACCTGCACCGACGATCAAGACCTTTGCAGATTTAAGCTTAAGTTGACCTGTGTAAGTGAGTAAATATTAGCCGGACGCATATTCTCAACAAAAGCTTAGGAAGATCAGGAAGTAAAAACAAACCTTGCAACCCAACGTTTTTGACAATCATTTGCCTCCCATACCGTTTATATTCCTCATCTAAAAGAGGCCAATTCGATTTATTCTTTCCTTGCATACCTGAGACCGCATCCTGTGTTGTACTTGCTGCTGCGGCCTGTTCTACGTTCGCAAGGTCCAGCTTCAATCGGGCGAGTTTGGCCTCAGTCTCTGCGATCTGTGCGCGTATTGAAGCGCATCGTTCTTCGATATTGCCCATATTAACAATCAAAGGCAGTGCACAGGTATGTCCAGAGGGATGTGCTGATGAAAAGCCGACCTCGAAGTGGCGGAGTTGCACTTTTTGCGACAAGAGGGGTGATTTATCTTATCTTATCGGCCAGATTAGGAAGGCCGCGCTAATCCTTTTCCAGACAAGCTACGTCACTGTGCAAAAATCTACATAGTCATCCTTATATTCCTAGACTTACAAGTTACCCATCTATAATACAGTGCTGATACAGTTAGATAATCACCTAGAATATAACTAACATAATCCACTAGGAAGTTGCTAATGCTTCGAAAGATGGGTTCAAATTAATGAGAGACGATCAGCGGACTAACGTTAACTAACTATTATGATGTGATGACTAATATTAGGCTAAATCTAACTAGGAAGGGGATAAATGGGAACCACCAACATCTCATCCATCGCAGGGACGTACAGTAGCTTAGGATCAAATATCTATCGATAGCTTCTTCTCCTTCTCACCGCATAGCACATGCATTGTGTCTTACCAGTCGCAAATGCACTTGCTCAACGCATGAAATATGCCCTCGTTGGTGACAGTGCATGCGTGGTATTCGCACAACTCAGGACATTAAGACTTTGTCGTCCTTCAAGGCCAAACTGCTGCACAACAGTTACTGCGAGCTCTCCTGACCTTGAGGTTGAACCTAGAACAAATCACGCGATATTCAGTGAGGAGCTAGACGCGCGGAGATCGAGATTGCCGCCCCTCCCGCTCTATTTAAAGAGACATTTGATCAAACTACCGAAGTGATTGCTGTTGGAAATGTGATGGTACTCAAGCCAGCTTTAATTCTCAATGCAGAGTGCTGTTCGATTATGGAACGGTTTAGTGAAGCTAAATTCATCCTCCTTGAGGTCTCGTCGGGGAATAGTAGCCCGAATAGAAATCATTTTTACCGGGGAGGATCTGACTGATACTGTTGCTAAACTACCTGCACAAAATAAAGGGATTGATCAGGGTATGTAATTCCAGGTGAGTGCTCACTGAGTGCCTCGCTGAAGTGGTGGCATCCAAAAGATGAAAGTCACAGTGGCTCTACGAAATCAACTATGTTGAGTTACGACAGCAAATGCCTTAATATTTCCCTGTCCGGAAGTATTAATTCTATTAGGTCTTGTACCTCAGTCAAGTGTATATTCTTCATCTTTGTTATGCAGAGTAATATAGCATTAGGAGAATACTAGTATAGAGTCGGAGTATTGGAGGAAGCAGTCAAAGAGCTATTGTCAGTTGTACTCCGAGCAAGTTAATGACAGTGACTTCGAATAGCAATTAGCAAGCAGCTTTGAAAGACATCAATCAAGCCATCAGTAGACTGGTAAAATATCTTTGTAGACATCCCAAACTTTTGTGCAGTTGCGTTGTAGACACTTGGCGAGACTAAATAGCTGTAGAAGTGGTGTTTTGCCTTCGCCGACAATATCTGATTATGTCATTCCAGCATCGCTCGTGCTTCCAGCAGATCAGATCGACGGACACATACACAGGAAGTTCCACTCTGCGACGATCTTCAATCCTGCAACTTTCCTTGCTTCATTCTAAACCTATGACCGCGAAGTCAATGCGCGTCGCATTATGAAATGAAATGAAAGCCCCATTCAATCCCTCGCCACACAGTCCCTCCGCGATATCTGTCTAACTCAAAAGACGCAAGACCATATACCTCAAACGACAGACGAAAAAGACAATAGAGACAGAACATGGCACACTCAAAGCGAAACACCTCCCTCCCTCACTTTACATCTTACGAACGCAGCCTCCTCCGCGGATCCTGGGGCACCCAACGCACCCGAATCGGTCGCGACTCCTTCCTCCCCTTTGACTCATGTCGGCTTTGCCTGCAACCCGCTCGTGCTCCTGTCGTGGCGTGCGCAACAAATGGAGACCTCTTCTGTCGGGAATGCGCGATTAGCGACCTTCTTGCCCAGCGACAGGAGATTAAGCGGCTAGAACGGGAGCGGGAGGAGGCAAGGCGACGTCTTGAGGAAGAGGAAGCACGGACAATGGAAGAGGCGAAAGCGAGAGAAGTTAGGGAGTTCGAACTTGTCAGTATGGGATTGGAGGGGAGTAAGAATAACAATAACAGGGCTCGTGAAGAATATGACTATAGTAGAAAGCGGAAGGTCGAAGAGGCTGCTACAACCGGGTCTGGAGGAGTTGATGTGGAGGGTGGGAAGAGACGGAGGCTGTCAAGTTTGGATGAGAAAGGGATTTCCCCGGAGGAGAGAGAGAATATTCGACGGGAACTGAAGAGGGAGAAGGTCTGGTTCCTTCTGTCTATTCCTGCTGTTTTGCCGTTTGCTGACGAATTTCATATACGAACAGTCCGATGCAAAATCATCTATCCACTCGTTCTGGATTCCCTCTCTTACGCCAGATACTGATCCTACCGAAGCCATAGCAAACAAGTCTGTGAAGCTATCCCCCATCTGCCCTGGATCAAACGAATCAAATCGGCATAGCTACTCTCTCAAGTCTCTTGTGGATGTGCATTTCACCGAGGACAAGGCCACAGATGGTTCCGTATCGAGGGTTTGCCCGAGTTGCAAGAAGAATCTAAGTAATGGATTGAAGGCCATGTGTACGTTCCACTTCCCAACCCGGTGTTTCCATGCTACCTTCTTTCTCCTTTTCATCCGTTCCCTATGTGCGGGAAATGAAACACCCCCACTAACAGCATATGGATATAAGTGACCAAACCATGCGGCCACATAATCTGCGCTCCCTGCGTTATAAAGTTTATGACTCCTTCCCCCGACCACCAGCAGCCGGACCCTCACGCTTCTAAAGAGGAGCAGGAACGCTCGGCAGCCATGCAGGGCCGTATGCTCTGTTACGTCTGCGAGACCGACATCACGCCTGACGACTGGAAGAAGGATACCACCGGAGCCACGGACGGCAACGGTCTTGGCAACGATAAGAAGTCGAAAAGGAAAAGGGACAAGGATAAGGACAAGAATGGGGTCAAGCCGGGTCTGGTGGAGGTTAGTTCGGAGGGGACGGGGTTCGCTGGGAAAGGTGGAAATGTGGCTACTAAAGTCGGTGTGGCGTTTCAGTGTTGAGCTGTCGATCCATTATATGCAGTGTAGACATTTACCATTTACATATGATACAGAATATGCATATCTATATAGTGTCTTCGATGGGTAATTGATTCGGATTTGGATAGATCATTTCCTTTTTCCCTATGCATGCAACATGTTCTAATTGTATGACCTATTGTATCGAATTTGGTTAACAGAAGAAACTCTCAAGTATGACTATTTTGAATGATATACAGCGCTGGTATAGATACAAAAGCCCGGGATTCCTTGATACCCCAATCTACAGGCTTAGATTGCCCTTAAAACAAGATCCCATCACCATTTATCAACCTATTTCTTCCTCGCATTGTTGAACTCCCGTACAACCACCTCGCACTTGACCTCTTGACACAATCGCTTGCGACGGCTTGCCTCCAATTTTGACGCGAACTCCAGCCCACTCGCCCGTTCCACCGCCTCAAGCGGGACCTCAAAGTCCGATAGGCGCTTATCGTTGGGAATCCGGGCATTAGGCAGGACAAAGGCTCCCAGCGCTACATTGCTCCGGGGATTTCCAGTTCCATCCTCGCCGTAGATGACCTTGTAGAAATGAGTCGGGACAGCGACATTGGGCGGGTTACCGATCACCTCGTAGCTGACGCGCCACTTGCCATCGGCATCACGATGAGGTAGATACAGCGGACCGGTGATAATGCGAACCGAGGGATACTTTTTGGTGAGATTCCGGCAGAATTCCTCAAAATGGGCCCAGTAGTCACGGTTGAAACCCTCTCCAACCTGTGGGCACATGTTGCTCAGAGCGAAGGTTCCGTCCATAGCGTCTTGTGACCATTTGGCGTCTGCGGCAGGGACCTGGTGACCCCTGTCGTAGCCGGAGCGGAAGTAGTCGGACAGTTTAGCGCGAAAGGCCGCTGGGATCGTGGTGTCCTCGAAGAACGTGCTGTTCTTGCGGTCTGCGTTGTGCTGGGCGAGCGATTGGGGTGTGATATGTTCTGCTACCCAGGAGGGATTGCGGGTGCGACGGTCAAAGGCTCCAGTAAACGGTAGAGATGAAAGTGTGTCAGACACGGGGCCAGGGAATCCATATTGCAGAATGCCGGTAGGGTCAACTGGGGATCCAGTTGGAGGTTTGGGAGCGAGAGATGGAGTCGGAAATTGCGGGGAGGGAACCTTGCTCAAGCCAGCAGGTGTCGGAGTAGATGGAGGGGGAGCAATAGCCAGAACAGGTAATTCTTTCTGGGACGGTTTCGAGGAATAGAAGAGCGCCGTGATGCCAGCACCGGTGGCAGCGCTGGCGGCGGCAATGACTGCAAACGTTGCTTTGGACATGGTAGCTCGGGGTAACCTAGCGGTCCCGTCTACTGGAGGATTAAGGAACTGACCACGGCCGGCCCAACTTGTGCTGCCTGGAGAATTCCCACCCTTTTATTCCCAAATGCGCAGAAGCAGGAGCCGTGAGGGAGAAGTGGAAGCAAAACACCTCTGATACTGCGGAGTCTCGGGACACGGTGATTACTGTAATCGGCATAGCGCTTCTATTTCCTATTCAGGAAAAGCACCTTCCTGCAGCTTGGCATTGCTGTAGCTGTACTGCAGTATGCCAACTTACTTCGAACAGCTCCTCCGTAGGACTGCATGATGCCTTGGTGAATCTTTGATTTTTACTCGAATTAACAGCTTATTATCTTCTGGATTTTATGGCCTTCCAATGATACATGTACAGCATGCAATGCTGTCGCGATACTGTAAGCTCAGAGCAGAGGTCGGCTTTATCCAGTAAGCGTCAATGTCCGCAATTTATCCATCTCACGCATATCTCATGCATATTGTCTTGTCACGATCTGATTTAGCAATTTAGATATTGGCATGTGCTTGAAGCAAGATCAATGAGGATCTGATAAGATGGAAGCGCATCTCCGTTGGCAAATAACGTCATAATGTCACTCGGATACTGTGCCGTCATATCCTGTTCATTCGATACTCCTGAAGCAGTAGGCGAAGGTCTATGTCTGGGGAGTTGCAGCAGCTTATTGTCTTTTATCTAATTCAAATATTGAGTATTTTCGATCCGTCGGTCTCTCTTTTCATTTACTCCCTTAACTGAGATGCAACAGGACGTTTCAAAAGTAAGAACCAGGTATTGGCGTGAATTACACCTCGAAGAATTCCAACGGACGCAATCGCCATGATTTCCTCGCCAGCATTGACAGTATCGGCAGTATCGACATCTCCCGCTCCCTGGCGACATACTTTCGAGAGTCAAGTAAACCAAAACACGACCCAAGAATTTACCCTCGCGACTGTCGCCAATATCAACGGCCGAACTGTACCACGGGCAAGGATGTGCGGGTTTCGCGGCTTCTTCCCCGTATCTAGCATTCGCCAGAGCGTGCGGAAGAACCTAGAGGAGGAGCACCATTTGCCGCATAGTTTGGACTCGTCCATTTTTGGACTGGAGAGTGACATGCTTTCTTTCTCGACAGATTCAAGGATGGAGAAAGTAGACAACATTAGGTTCAACGATGCTATAGAGGCCGTGTTCTACCTGAGAGACTTGTCGGTGCAATGGCGCATAAAAGGAACGGCACATATAATCGGTTCTTCAGACTCGGATCCTGAAGAGCAGAGATCACGGCAGGAGATCAGCAAGGGGCTCAGGAAGTTGGATCCTCCGAAAGAAGAACCAGATCCGGTGGCCTTGCTTGGATATAATAAGGATGAAGTTCCTCAGCAAAAATTGCAGAAGGAGTATTTACCATGGTCTTGGGAGAAGGTCATGACTATTTATTTTGCAAACCATTCCCCTCTCTTGAGAGGTCTGTTCCCCTCCCCAGGTTGTCTGTATTACATGTCATCCCATCAGAGCATGTCTCATTGCCAGTTACCACTGGTGATATATCCTTTCGGCTTACTCACTACCCTACAGGCTCCTTCAGAATTCCCTCTCCTGGTCGACCCAAGTCTGAAGTACCCCTCAAGGAGCCATTCATAGATGTTGGCAAGAGGGTGCACGATGTGAATGACCCTCATGCGCGGAATAATTACCGCATCGTTGTCATTATCCCTACAGATGTGGAAAAGCTGGATATCTCTGATTATGAGAAATCGACACGGATTAACTGGACATTTGTTGAGGATGAAAGCTCCAATTATGGTGGTGATGAGCGAAGAGGCAGGTGGGAGGAGACTGAATTATGGCCGTGAATTCAACTATATTTGATTCCATATATCGCCTCCTCTGTTCAAGAGTTGGGGGGGTAGAAAAGTTCTGTTTTCCTGCGGTTCTATTTTATATTTCAGTCTGGCTATCTCTTGACTACAGGGACGATGAAAATGGACAGTTTTTTCTTTCTTGAGTGATGGTTCCCTCTACTGTCCTGTCTAATACATATCTTCTCAATTCATTTATGTGGAATGAACTCATGTACATTCTTGTCTTCTCAGAATAGTAGAGGATATCAATGTCTGTCTCCATGCCCTGTCTTGTCCTTCCTTAGCAACAAAGACCCATATATGCCACCGGTGAAAGGCAATTCACGGTTGAGAAGTCACTGCTGGTAAATTCACTGATGTGTTCTGAAGAAAAAGGTCCCCCTCCCTTTTCCTCTCTTCTTCCCTCTCCTCTCTCCCTTAACTTTCTCCCACCACCCACTTTCTCTCTACCTCTCAACGACACGCATCAAGACAGCCTTCAAGCTCTCAGCTTTACATTGCTATCCTGCATATTTATCTTTTTATTTCTAAGCTTCATCTTAGAGATACTCATTTATCAATCTTTCTCTCATCTGAGAAACCCTATCTTGTTTAGTTCATCTGTTCATGTTTAGCCTTGTGTCTCTCTTCTTCCCTCAATCACTTCTCAGTGAAAGCTTCATATTTTTCCTTCCCTTGTTATTATTAGCTCTATTATCCTCTCATACTTCCTTCTAATAAGGCTCTGTCCCATCTTCATCCTCTTGTCAAAAGGAATCTTTTCATTGGCGCATCTCGCGTCTCTCCATCCACTTTTCACCTCTTCCTCAACACAAGCTCAACACGTTTGATAAGTACGTTCAGCCCAATTCTTCCATCCTGAAAAGTGAACTGACATGGTTAGAACTTCAAATCGCCAACAGAAGCAAAATGTCTGAAACCATGAACTCCAAAGATGTTCAGGTCGTTCCCGAAAACGCGACTAACACTGATATTACCATGGCTGGCACTGGAACCGGCGCTGGCATCACTGTGCCTGGGGGTGAGAACGGAGAAGAAATACGCGATGCTCCATACCGCTACGCCACTCCCGAGCAGTCACAGGAGAACAAAGCTATCAGTGACGAAGGCATCTTTTCTCCAGGCTGTCCGATTCTGGTCGAAGCCGAGAAGGATGCTGAAAGGAGCATCAATGGCGAAGGCAAACTTTCTCCCGGCTATCAGACCCATATTGAAGCGGAGAAGGAAGCAGAGAAGCCCCTTAATGGCGAGGGCGACCTTGCTCCAACCTTTCAGAACCAGGCCGAAGCGGAAAATGAGTCTAAGAATGGTTACCCTAAAGAAGCTAAAGGAGAGCAAGTCGAAAAGGACGAGGCCAACGAAAAAGAGGAGACCGAAAAGAAGCCTGATGATAACAATGTAAGTATGCAGCCTCTAGTTATGGATATCTCGTCTTCTTATCAATTCGTCAAAAGGACCAGGGACGTCCTCTGCCGGGACCGGGGCAGATCACGGTGCAGAAACTATCTCCGGTCTGCTCGAATTGCAAGCGGGCGAAAGTGCGTTGTACTCATCGCAAACCCCTCGGCTATGAAGTGATCCGATCTAAGGGACCCTTGAAAAAGCGTAAGAGGGAAATCGTCACTGAGGATGAGATTAATGCTGCTCCCCCAGCAGCAAAAATCTCTCGTCAGGTCCACTGGGGAGATGATGACAACGGGAATAGAACATCTGCCAAAGACAAAAGCACCGAGGTTCCTAACAAGCAGGGATGGAGCCGGAAGCTTCGCAAACGAAAGTTCTCGCAAGTTGATGAGGATGAAGCCTCATCTCGAACGGCATCTACGTCAGCGCCTAGCCCCCCCCCTTCAGCAGTGGAGAAAGTGAGAGCATTCTTTATCAACGTAGACGATGAGCCGGAGTCTTCTCCCAGGAAGAAATCCAAGAGGGGACGTAAGCCCAACAAGGAACGTGTCCAAGTCCCCGAGGTTCCCATCGCTAATAGACGCGGCCGCAAAAAGGCTACTCAAGATGCTTTGGCGGAGTCTACCGCTACCAACGCTGATTCCAGCTCTTCTTCCAATGCTGGGACCTCGAGTTCTTCATCTCAGAATGGGGCATCGCCTGCCTTCCCAGCGGATCCGTTGCAGGGCGCCATTCATCTCTCCCGTCATACAAGCTTTAGTCAACAGCTGCGAACTGCTATAGAAGACTGTCAGACAAAATGGCAAGCCGCCATTGATTCTTTGGAAACTGCCAAATTCTTGCTGGACAACTGGGTGGATGTATGGAAATCGGGCCAGTAAGAACCAGATTTGAGCTAGTTCGATGGGACTGAGATTGAGTGGTTCTTCTTTTTTCTTTTGTTTTTGTCTTTTCGTTTTATGTGCCTGCTCTTGCTGGCTTTAATTATTGTCTTCTCTTTTTTCCCTTCGTGCATTCTATCGTTCTATTCGATGGTGTCTTCTGAAGACTGCTTTGATAACAACTTTGATTGTTTTCTGTCTCACTTATCCCTCGTGTATCTCACTTATTCCGTCTTGATGGCTTTGATGTATCCTGTCCTTCTGCTTTTAATCGTGATGGTGTCTTTTTCAGACTGCTCGGATGATGACTTTGATTGATCTCTTGTGCATTTCACTTTACTCTGTTCTGTTGGTTTTGATCGTTGTCTTTTCCTTTACCTCCTTCGCATATAGTGTCTTTCTGTGCTCGATAATGGCGGTGTCTTCATAGGTTTCCCCGATCATGAATTTGGTCATTTTCTTGTCTTGTTTCTCTCTCACGTATCTCGCTTTTCTGTGTTGCTGGTGATGACTCTGGTTTATCGTGCTGTTCTTGACTGTTGTCTTTCCCCTTGTCCCTTCGTATGTTCTGTCTTTTATTCTATCTTTCTGTATTCAATTATGGTGGCATCTTTTGCGGACCGCTCTGGTAATGGCTTTGATCGTTTTCATGTCTCATTCATTCCTCGCGTATCTCATCTTACTTACTCTGGTTGATCACACTGTTTTGACTGCTGTCTTTTGCTTTCGCCCTTCGCGTGTTCTGCCGTGTCTTCTGACTTTCTGTTTTGTCTATCTCACACCACTTACATGAAGGCATCCCCAATGACCCCAGTGACTACTTGTGCTAGACCTGTCTTCTTCCGTTCAAACTTGACCCCATGGGTCTCTGTTATCTATCTTGTTCCACGTCCCCTGTTCGCAAGGGACCGACGACAACAGGGATAGGGACATCCACTCCCCGGCCAGGTTTAAATCGAAAAAAGAATAGTGGGCTCCGACGGGATCGGGCGGGCGTCGTTGAATATATCTTCAAGCTCTCTTCAAGTTCATATTGGCTACGGTTTTATGTGGACATTATTCTTTCGTTTAGCAATGGGGAATGTTTTTTCTGCGTTGTGTCAAAAGGTTATGTTTACTGCGTACTAGCAGAGCGTAGAATAGGTTTTCGCAGTATGCCTTCGCCATCCTTACATCCTGTACTCCATAGGGCAAGCCAATTTAAAGTTATTCTGATGGTCTGTTAAAGTAGTGTTCAGTCCCTACACCGTACAGTAGAATATCTTCGCTTCTTCTTCTTCTTCTTCTGGTTAAAGATACTGGTAAACTGCAGGTCTGTCTAAACCCTAATCCCAACAACAAAGATCAAACTCATGGACTGTAGCCTACCGATAAACATCTAACCTAGCCACCGCGGCTAGTACATGTCGGTTGACGGGGTAGAAAAAGACCCGTCCAGCGGGACGGGATGATAAGAAAATTACTGTTAGATTGGATTGATTGGGATACGGTTTTATTCGATTAATCTGGTGCCGAGCGTTTATTCCATCCAAAGCCTGGATGGTTCGGTCGGCTAGGCACGATCCATGCAGGGGGTTCATGGTCATGCAGCAAGTAGCATTAATGTGCTCTAGCTCTGGGAAGAGGTTCAGCCGTGGTGGTTGATGCCGCTAGGTATTTCACGGAGTTCTGAGTAGATCTTTGTACTGTAGGTTGGAGAGGCAAACCAAGATGCAGGATATAAGCGAAATCAAAAAGAAAAACAAGGAACAGAACTCCGGCCTGAAGTAAAGTTGAGCCAAGTGGGGGTTGCTTAGTCCGCTGTAATAATAAATTATAGTCGTAATTATTATTTATGGGGCCATAATAAATAAAATAAATAATAACTAATAACCGCGGAACGTGCTCCCCCCGTTCATCCCGACAGATCCTACCGAGGACTGGAACTATTGGCCATAGTGTGCCATGCGATTTTATTTTTTATACTCTAGATAACAGATACAGAACAGAATGAAGTGAGCAAGTTTCTTTTGTAGCTTGAATTATTTCATGATTGCATGGATGTTGTGGGGTTTTCCCATGCAAGAGCAGGCAAGTATTTCGAGCAATACAATAATACTGTATGTAACAATACCAGTATTATACTTTTCTGGGTCAGGGCCGGGCCGCTGTCCACGTTTTACTTGTCATGTGATTGTCCTACCCTGTTTCATATGTAGTATACTGAATCTGATGTCTAAGGACTGGATTTAAGGCACTGTCGCCTCCAGATATTAAATAGCGGATATGCTGGGAGGATTGATACCTCTTGGGTAACGGTTGACTTCACAAGTGGTCAATGCTATTGTTGGGGATCTGGACAAGAATAGCTTTTGATGCTAGGGGCATCTTGGTAAGGATAGCTGTGGTGTGTTAGTTAGAGTTTCCTGTTAGTGTTTGCGAGATGCCCCAGTTCTGTAAAGGCCATGCCCATGCACACAGAAATAGATGAGGCTATAGGGGAGGAAAGAAAAGAACACGGCAGTAGAATGGCCCAACAGATCCTCAACCCCTGAAGTATCTGGTTTAGGTCTCAGACTCATTGGGCACAAATGCTCTTCTTTCCCAATTCAAATAGCAGTATCCGATCCTTTATCCGATTTTCATGTCCAAATGTTTGAGTCTAGAGCACAGGCATCAGTTAGGATCTGCTGGCGCGGTCTTTCAGACATCAGTCGACCTGTTTAAGGAGGTTGCGCTGGAAACTCCGTAGGTCTCCCCGCAGGAAGGGGAAACAGTTCGTTTCTATACCCAGTAATGGTATGATCCTGAGTGGAGATGGACTGCTCATTTTGACTCTGTATCAAAGATCTATCCCGGCATTAGCTGATGGTTTTCAAGTTGTACTTCGCTGACAGTGATCGCTGTCGGTAGCGCGTCGAGTGACGTTTTGACGGATCTAGATTGTCTGGGCGGGGCTAACCCTATGTCAGCGACACCGCGGGCCGCGGACCATGGATCTGTTGTTATTACTCCCGAATATACACTGTACAGTGTATGTGTATAGCAATAATATTATGGTTGGATAGTAGATAGTTAACTAAGAGTTGAGACAATGCTTATTCAGCCTCAGCAATGCTGAACAAACGTTCTGTAGTATGACTGCGTGCAGGGTATGTATGGAGCGAGCACACGGGATTATAATAGGATTATAAAGGATTGCGATGTTGCATCAGTCGTTTCTTGCATGGCCGACTCCACCTCAAGCGGTCCCGTCTTGTCCGGTCCGTCCCATGACCCAGTTCTGGCCGCATTCTATCCAGTGTACGCCACGGAGCCATGCATCAGCCGGTTGACCCTGGCCGTTCAGTGGAGAGTGAGTGCAAAAAAATACAGCACTTAAGCTGCAGCTCGGCTCTGCACTTATGCACTTGAGGTTCGCAACAGTGTCACATCACACCGCTGTTCCAACAGATGATCCTCGCTGCTCAGTACTTTTGTCGTTACAGACGGCGTCGTTGAAGCGACGGGCGTTGCAGCGCATTCGGCAACGGTTACCATGTATTTACAAAATAGTTTAATTACGGTACGTCTGGTAACTCCGCGCATATCTGCAGCCCGCAGCTGGGAATGTACCGCGTTGTACCATTAATTACGACTAGCGCCCCGAGCATCCTGACAGCCTGCGTTTCCCACTCCGGCCTCTCTACTATTATTATTTCCCCATCTCTCCCCCGTCTCTCTTCCCTCTTCTCTTCTCCGGTCTTAACATCTGCATCTAATGATTCATGATCTTTCCATCTCCCGTCGTTTCCCCGTTCATAATAATCCTAATTGCATACCACCCCTCTAGCGTCTGTTTATCGCCGTCTCCATCTCCCTATGGCGCAACCGCCCCCCATGGACGCTGTAGGAGCCTTCTCCTACTTAGCAGATAACATTCCGGAATGGATTGATCGCTTGTCTGATCTGGCCGTGCACACGGCCGCCAAACATGCCGAATACTCTGCCGCCTTTAAGAGGCTGTCAGCAGGGAGACGTCCTCGACCTCGACGACGGAAGAACAGCTCCGTCTGCTCCATCCACACGGAAGATCAGGAAGTTATCCTCGCGGTACGACAGGAGGCGCAGGCACATCAGCAGCAGCAGCAACAACAACAACAACAACAAAATCAACCGAATCACTCGAAAGAGTCCGCCATTGATGACTCCGCCTCACAGGATGGGCCGTACGAGAACCCCCGAAAACGAGGCCCTGATGAAGCGCCCTCGGTCTCAGATGATGAGCTGGATTTCGTCTGCACGCGGCACAACGTCGTTATTGAATATGATGGTCACACCCAACAGGCCCTAGAAGATATCGCTCGCAAGATCGCTATTTCAAGAAACAACCTTCGACGGGGGAAAATGGCTTCGATGATACGTCCTGGCCTTCGAATGGCCTTGAGGAACAATAAGGCCCTGGACGGAGCTTCCGATGCCGACAGCCCTGACGTTCTTTTATCCAGCATCCGCAGCTCCCGGAATCGGACCTCCCAAAGTACAATGTGCTTTGATATGGCAGAAAAACAGTTGGAACTGCTCAACAGTCACTGCGAGGCAGCTGCCCATGAGGTTCTGCGTGTGGGGCAATGTGCCACCCAGCTGGAGGCGATGAAGGAGAAGTTCACCGCCCTGCGGGGAATGGCCCGCACCGAAGTGGATCGCTTGAAGAAACAGGCACAGTTAGAGGCGGAGAATCCTGTGAAGCCGTCATCACCGCAGCCGGTCAAGCCTGCCGCAGAAGTGAACAAGAATCCCATGTCCAATACCACTGCCATCGAGGTCGACGACGATACCGGTGAGTCGGAAGAAGTCATCGATATGAGCGTTTTCCGAACCGCTCGACGAATGCGAATGTGAATCATACCATCAACAAGATTCAAATTGAAGTACATATATACATAACATACGTTTCGCCTTTTTTTTTTTTTTTTTTTTTTTCGGAATACCTACATCAAGCGAAAACACTACGAATGAGCGATTTCAAAGTTGTCTTTTCCAATGAAAAGCAATCCATCTTCCGGTATACCATTTGTCATTCATTACTCTATCCTATCCAATTGGACAGTATCAATACATCCATACCCATGAATGAGCGTTCGACCGTCGAGTCTCTCTTTCCCAGCGTTAAATACCTGATATGTTTGCCATCTACATTACATTTACGAACATCCTTAGCGATGGAACAGAATCGCATAGCATGGGCGGTGTTTTACTTTCCTTCTGCTTTCCCTCTCTCGCGCTCCTTGCAGGATTACACGGCCGTCTTGTTGCGTTTGCGTATCATGCGATTTGTGGTTAATTTTCTTTTCTCCACTATAGGGATAGCCATGGTTGATGTCACTTTTTCATCACGCTTGAAACGTAGCATGTAGCAGATGGCACTTGTATGAGGTCGAATACGTATGCTGATCTGATAGATAGGCAGATGCATCGAGTATAGCAAGTACACGGCATATGTTGTATGTACTTTTCATACGCTCAGGCCTACTTATAGCTACCAGTGCGGTTCCGCATTGGGATCCCTTTCCGTCCTAGTCCACCTGTCTACTATCTATCTATGTAGATCACCAGTACTTTACTTACAGTAAGCAATGGCATGAATGAAATCTGAATGCTCTAAAGAGAAGGCCAATAGATCTAGTCTTTTAATGCACTACATAGCAGTATTCTCTAACCAAACAGCTTACAGTTTACAGATCATGCAGTCTACATGGACATACATGTATAGTAGGCAGTAGACACAGTGTAATTAGAGCATACATACATAGGTGCTGCGCTATGCTGTACCACGATGTGATTCAATGAAATAACAGACTTACAAATGATTACGTGGGATAAATTATCCATCATTACAATGTATTGTCGTGTATCGTGTACGGAGGAGTACTACACACTGTCGATCGTAAGGCACGGAAGCATTTACTTTCGTAGATCATGGCCCTTAATTACCGGTACAGACAGATGCTGATTGGAAGTGCTCCGATATATATTGATACCAATCATGCAGTTGTTCTGTTGTGTACTACTCCCGGGATAGTAATTAATACAAGGCAGATTAGTTGTATTAACTTCATCCATCCATCCTATGTACAGTGACATCTCCAAAGTTTCGACACGCCTGTCCCATATCCCTATTATTATATAATATTCTGCCGGTCAAAAACCTCAGTTCAAATCAGGTGAGTGTGGTGGCCATTCTGATGAGGATATACTCTTTCGGACAGGTGGATTATCTAATAATACGGTCCCGTGATACGGAGTATGTATGTTCCGGGAGGAGAGATGACCATATCCGAGTATCCCGGATCCTGTAAATAGGAGCTCGAGGGAGCTCAAGCAAGCAAGCGAGCGCATGAGCTTAGCGATTAGGCGCATGGTTTAGAGCTTCACGATGTACTAGAGACGGCAGTATATCGATATCGAGCGTTCACCACGGTCCCTACGAATCTTACGGTATCCTTTTAGTATCTGGTATCCAGACGCCGTACCCCTGATCCACATCACATTCCATTACTTCAATACCCATATCTGCCAATACATCACGTACAACATATGCAGTGTATATAGGTGCATTATCATGCTGGAAAATACCACCTCCATGGTCAATCAATGTGGATAAGATTCAAAGATTTAGATCTCGAATGACAAAGCTAGTAATTCCAGTACGCTCCGCATTAGGGTTGCCAAATAGTGGAATTAAACCAGTTCGACGTATAGCACCAGAGAAAGCACCCAAAACATCTGCTTCATTTGCTCTCCACAGTGTGGTAACCCTTGAGCATTGGCCCTTCTTTGGTTGATCTTTTGGTCTTGTAAAGGTCCATTCTCTCTGGATACCAATTCCATGCTCAACAGTACATTCATCAGACCAATAAACATGAGCCCGGTCAGCAGCTTCAAAATGTCAATATTTTTGTGCCCAATGTAAGTGTTTTGCTGCATGCTCATCAGTCAAATAAGGTCGCCAACTACAATGCCATTTTCGCAGGTTCTTAGCATTTAATAGCTGGCGAATTGATTCATATTTGATCTGGTTTTAGGTGCTAGCGAACATACATTGTAATATAAAGGAACTCGCTTTTAACCTTATTAGAAACCTCTGATAGCAGGTCCTCTCATGTAACCTTAGGATTATTGGTAATGGCGTCCATTAGGCGTTGTTTATCAGTTTCATCAAGTTTCCTAGGCCGTCCTGGGCGTGGTTTGGAGACACCACTCTGCCGTTCATGCTCCTCTTTGATTGTATATCGAATTCCTGGTATAGATATCCAAGGATAGCGATTATGGATGCGTTTGTGCCCCGGCCAATGGCATGAAGCTCGCATATACGCTGACGAAGAACAGGTGTCAGTTCTGATCAAGGTGCCATGAGAGGATAGGTAGTACTGCAGGCAGAACGCGTAGAAATGTGAGATGGTAGGATGTCCTAAAGAGTAGGCGGTACAGGCGGTGCGAAGGTGCATCCATTTGGGGGGTGTCGAAACTTTCCAGACGTCACTGTAGGTATCGCATTCCATCTACGGAATTCTGTTATATCCCACAACATCGAGGCCTGTACGAAATAATAATCCCTACTACTACGTATATGGGAATCGAAAAAGAAAGTGATCTCCATGTGTACGGAGTTTCAGAGAGTCGGGAAGGAAAAAAATTACCAATAGACCAGCCCGGAATCGAACCGGGATCGCTACATAGCTCCATACATATTCCCATTTTAAATGGGATATACATATAAGAGTAGCATCCTAACCGCTAGACCACTGGTCTCGGGTTTGTCAAACTTTTCCAATCTACAGATTATATTACAGGCGATGAACTGCAAACGAAGCCAATTGTAAATATTTTTACATGTAACCCTATTGTCCTTCATAGGACCCCTGTGATTCTGATGGGTATGGGGCCTTTGGATAAATTGTTGGATTTGCCTAACTTGCTTGGAACAGGCCACTTTACCAGTCAAGAGCAGAAGAGGGTTCTTGGCCAGTCTGGAGACTTTATTTTTGAAAAGCATTACCAAGCAGAATTTATCCAGCAAGATCTCCAACATGTGGTCCTCCTTCAGCCCCCTTAAAAGGGTCTTCTTCAGAGAGCAGCAGGCATGCTTAGGAACAGAGGTCCACTGGTCCCTTCCAACCTTGCCAATGAGCAGCTACGGGCTATTCGTCAACATCCTGAAATTCTGGAACTCAGGCGAGAGAAAAGGGAGTTAAAGGAAGAAATGTGATCCCTAGCTGGCACCATTCAGAATACTTAAAATCCTTTCTCTGACCTCTATCAGAGACATGATGAAATCAGCAGGAAGCTCACCAAGTTAAGAAAGGCCATATGAGATAATACTCAGCAGACTGCCAGAAAAGATTATTTCTATACAGCACCCATACTAGAGATAGACAGACAAATTCAGCAGCCCTTAGGTAAATGTGGTGCAGAAAATTGTGATGCTGACAGTATTAGGATGGCAATGAAGATTGGCAGCCTCCCATCCCAGATTATGTTTTTCCTGAAAGAGCTTGTCTAGTGGAGTCATTCTACGGTCCAGAGAAGGTGTATTCTTGGAGGCGGATATCCGTAGTTATTTGAGCATTTTCAAGAGAAAAGTCCTTCATGACGCAATCCACATTATCGGAAACTCTATCATGATTAGATTCCTTTGGACAAACAAAATAAAGCCAGGGGTGGTATATTGTCTCATCATCAACCGGATCCAGAATCATTGGCAGATATTTCGTGCGCCATTCTTCTCCCATAGCATCGCTGAATATTCTGGATTCGGTCTCACCCGTCGCGCCTTTCAGTACTCCCAGTAAGCAGGATACCATCCTGCCTGGCCCCAGTCAATGATCGCTGCTACTCTTGGATTCGGCCCAGACGACAAAAGGATGTTTGGCGGGATAAGATTGTCATGTGTGAAGACAATAGGCGCTTCCCCATTGATTTCAATTCCGCAAGTGTCTTGGAATCGCTGGACAGCATTTGCACCTTGGAATGGCCCTGTGATGTTTGGATGATTTGAAAGAAAGATCTCATTCAGTGGTTGCCTACCCAGACTACCTACAAAGAAGGTCAATGATTAGGTCTGCTCAAATCTTGCTGTCAGGAAAACTTACTGACATAATGGTCATGCCTTTCTTGCTCCAATGACCTCCACGCCTTCACCATACATTTGAGTTCCTCACAGACAAACCGTCTTTCATTCTCATTCATGTCACCCCATCTTTCCTGCAGAGTCTCGCCTTCAATCAATGACATATAGATAAAAACTTGACCCCCATCTTCAGTCCAGCCAAAGACCCGAGGGACAGGTACTTGGCCTTTCAGGTGCGTGCATATCATTATTTGAGTCTGTGCCTCAGTCACTGTTGTGTCGGCACCGTACTTGACAACTAGGCCCAACGATGGAATCATGACAGGCGGTGGGCGATTGAAGCTTGCGCTACGGATATTACCTGACTTCTTGCCGATGACTCTAACCTCAGCCGGTGTCTGAAGCCCAGGCGCTCGCTTCTCTTAAAAAAACTGGATTCGAAAAAGATTTTCATCATGATTGGGGGCGACATATAAACCAGTGCTAGATTTCAGAGCGTTCGCGCTTAATCTCGAAGGTGACCCGAATGAAGCACGAGACTCGGCAGCTTCGAGGGGTATAAAATTTAGACACAAGCAATTAGCCGCCAGAGCCAACACAACATACACTTTCAATACCTAAACACTCGTTTTAGTACAATCCAAGACTAGTATTCCTATTCCCACCATCCTTGACTGGAGCAACGATGCTACAAATGCCAATAATACTGCTCAATACGGCGTCTGATGGATGGGTGCCTCCTGAGAAGTGGGAAGCAACGGAATCGGCTCATAAGGAGATATTTACGGGGATGTTGCAGGCTGTTTTAACAGATCCAGAAGTGGATGAGGATGAGCCTGTGAAAGACGAGGAAACTCTTAGGTCAATATGGCCATTTGATCCCAAATAGGGTACGTAGAGTCCAGTTTCCGCAACTGCAACTACTGACCTTATACCTGTTTCTCTGTCGAAAGTGAGAATGTCATGTTTCTATTCTATCCGGGCCGGGAATGTGATTACTTGGTGGGGTAAATGAAATAATATTTCACAAACTTGTGATAATTAGCAGTCCAGCTCCTGTGCAGGATTTAAAGTTGATCCAAAATCACGTTGTCCTTAACGGCACGTATCCTTAGATGACCCACACCGACTTCCAAAGGCCACGCATCTGTCCTGAGTCTCCACACGAGAGAACCGAGGTTTTACCCATATCTTGAACTGTTCAGCTATTTCGACTAGTCTTCATGTTCCACTGATGTGTCCCATTTGGTTGGCGGTGTGGGGAAGATGGGAGATAAAATAAGGACGACGGCGTGGAAAGAGAAGACATAGGGCATCGTCGATCAAGGGGCACATTGGTCATATAGATTGTCTGGGGAAAGGCGTACCTAGAAGCGGCACAGAAATGTGCGGCATATCCCCAAAAGGAAAGTTATGTATCTAGTCAGAAAGTCCTATAACCCGTCCTCAGTCTACTGATGAGAAGGTCATACAAGCATGATTGGTCTTACATTTGACGGAAAGATTTGAGATTGTCATAGGAGCCAGGCTATTCATCTAAAAATATATATCTTGCGTCAGGGGAGTTTAACCTAGAGTACTTAAGCAGTGGCCGCTTTCGGCTTGGTTGACTTGGAGAATACAATCTTCCTGTTCCGAAGTGTATGTAGTACAGAGGGATGGGGCACGAACTTTGTCGAGGAACAAAGAGATCGATGCGACAAGGTCTTAAATGGTGGCTATGGAGATAAAATAGTTAGCGACTATATCTCTAAGTATAGATGGTAAAGCGATTGATTGAAAGGGAAGACTGAATGTAACAAGAGTGGGTGAGGCTAGCCTTTTTGAGTAACATTCAATCGACTTGACGGAGGGACTACCGCGTGCCCGGTTAGACCGCCTACCAATTACGGTGCTACAGCGTATCGACAGTCAGTGCCAGGTTACTGCCCTAGCCAACTACGTAGGTCTACAGATATCCATATAGACAGAGTTTTGCCAACTGGATTAGGGAGCGCAGGCGAGCAGTATCCTACCTACATGCCTTCCTAAATAGCCTCCTACGGACAGATTCTCTAAACCACTTGAGCACCAGGTCTGAAACTACGCTGGGATTGGGAACTGTAGGCATTTTGCAGTATTTAAGAGCATGTTACTTTGCCAAGCCATCAGCTGGGACATCCTGAAGTTCCCGTCCCGGATCTTCGCCATGGTCAAACTCACTACAGCGGGGATACTGTGGTGGTGGAACAGGAGAGACTTTAGAGGACCGAGTTGTCAAGATGTCCTATCGACAGGAAAGAGTTACCACGGCAATAGAGAGTAGTCAGTTTGGCCGATTGGAAACCTCTTTTCTGCTGAAAAATAAGTACACAACCGGGTAATGGTGTTGACCTAGGTTGCTCCTCATGCTGGGGTCGCCGGTTTGAGCCAGCGTAGTCGGGCGCGGTTATCCTCATCGTCCGTACTATGCTCTGGGGAGACGATGATTGCATGTTGTAGTTTGCAAATCGTTCGGAATGCCAATATACTATCACCTTTTCCGCGAAATGTTAATCTTTTTTTGCTGAGGGTCGTACCAGTATACATGGATCGCGCCTGGACTTCTCCCTGATGAAATTATGATTGATGCTATTTAGAATATAATTCTATCACTTTCTGATCAAGACGGATCAACTGACTCCACTAAATGTTATTCTAAAAAGACAAACGTCAACGCTTCAACCGGTCATCTGGTGGCACTGTCGAACTTGGGATCAACCATGATTTCAAGTCATTCCGCTAGCAAATGCTCGCAGAAATCAGGTGGTTGTTTGCTTTGGTTGGAGAAAAGGATGTCTCGCCAGTTCTCCTGCCGTTTTTCTTGCATCTGGATGCCAGACAAGCATTCCCTTGGCGAGATCCAAAAATGTTTCCTTCTCCTCTCCCTCAAGGAAGGAAACTGTGTCGCCTAGTTTCCGGTCGGGGATCAGGTCTTCATAGAGAAAGTGACCTAAGATGTTTCGTAAGTCTGAATAATTCATTCGAGATAGGAAGCCAAGTAATACCAGCATTGTCAAAGAATGGCCCACAGAAGTACTCCTCCGCAGTCTCGCATACCCTGCCATCTTCTTGCCGGACAGGTTCTGGCCACGAGTACTCTCGCATGTATTGATACCTTTGTATGACTTCTAGAGGAGGTGGACCAAGTAGCGCTATTATTTCAGCGATGTGTAGTTTTGCATCGTAGCAACCTTGTTGATCATAGATATGCCGAAATAGCTCTTTGCCTTCGATCATATCCCATAACTGGTCTAACATTAGTGGATGTATCGATTTTGGAGGACAATGACACACACCAGAACACCAAGATTCCACATATCCGCAGGCATTTGCCATCCATTACCCAGTATCACCTCTGGCGCCCGATAGTGGTCTGGCTGAATAGGCCAGACGCCCCAGTCGTCATCTTCGTCGAGTCTGGTCGCCAGGCCAAAGTCGACAAGCTGTGGTATACTTCTCAGGCCTTTTAGTGGCCCGAAGTCATTACGGGACTGATACACTGGTCGTCCCGTCGAATCAATCTTGAAAACCATCGGTTTTTCAAGCTGAGAATCTATGAAATCAGCAAGCACGGTTGGGTCCTCGAATGAGACCATGATGTTTTCAAGCTTTAGATCTAAGCAGTCGCCTGGGCTCAGTATCACCGACGGGAAGCAAGGCCGAAGATGAACTTACCCGTATGGACTATCCTGCATTCTTTGTGAAGATATTCAAGCCCCGTAAGAAGAGCACGAATGTACGTTTTAATGAGGGGCAGTGGCATCTTTCTACCGTCAAAACGCCGCTGATACATCGATAATGGTTCCCTCAGAGGCGGATACACAAGACACGAATAAGAACCCTCCGGGCCTTTAACTTCAAAAGAATCTAGTAATGTTCGGATAAGTGAGCGACCATGATGTGATGGATCTGCCGCGGAAATGTGCTCTTCAATCTCGCGCTCATGACCAGCGGAACTCGCATTGTTACTAGCAATTTTAAGTGCTACGATGTTCTCTGGCTCTTCGATATGCCTGTATGTTCGTTAGAGACAGGGGGAGCCCCGAATTGAGCAGAAATTATTCATGGCTACCCTTGCAAATCTCGCGCGAGCCATACTGTTGAAGATACGCCCCAACCAACCTTAACTAGGGTTTGATAACGATCGGCAAGAACCTCTCCAGGCTTCACTGGTAAAAGTACTTGGAATCGTATACTGGCGAGATCTCTTCATCGACGAGTATGCTGGGCGATAAAGATGGCCTTGGAGAAGGCATAGGAAACGGTTTCATACGAAGCAATGCGGATAAACGAGAAATAAACGGCCTTATAGTGTTCATTCTAGGGCTACTCCCCGTAAGCTGACGGGACAATGGGATATGAATAGTTGTCGAAGAAGAAGATAAAGAAAAAAGCCCGAGCATGGCTGGTATATTTGATCACGTGGCACACTACTTGGAGGTGTTAGTACACGTGAGGTTCTGCCGTCCTAGACCGCCCTCGCTACCTATCTCACGGCACAGGCAGGCCTACCTAGTAATATGACCATACATGCGCCTATCCATTAGGAGGTAATGGAGGTGTGTCGTTGGTTGGTAACTAGCTAGATAGGCCTACGTGGTGAAAAGGGTCAGCGAGGGCGGACCTATGCGGCAGAATAACACGTGATCCAACAGGAGGCGACTATTCCTTTATACAGACTAGTGGGAATCAATTTGCCAGCCAATGAGATAATCGGATGCATCCGATCAAGACAGGAGGAGGTTGACAACCATACCCTGCCAGAGGCCACGACTATGTTGCAAAGAGAGGGTAAGGCCTTTGGGGGAGATAGGCGAAGCTGACAGATGTCACGGTAAGCCAGCGGAATAACTTCCTCATCCTCGTATGACTTTAATGCTGGACAATAATAGCATGTCGGAATGGCTCCAGTCATGATCCAGTTGGTCGAGGGAACATATTGGTGATGCTCCAGAAGGTCTCTCCTGCTTATGTAGTCAAACAGTGCGTAGGTGACCAGTAATCTCTATATTTCTGCTAGTGAATACCGGACAAGAGGATGGGCTTCTTTTCTTAACTTACTTTACCTCTTATCGTTCCAGGTCATCTAAAGTCCAGGATATGAATAGCAGCGTTAACTTCCGATTCTTAACGCAGAATCCTACAGAGCGGATGATTTCTGGGCCACCATCGAGAATTCCGTAGCAGATCAAAGAATAATCGAAAATTCAATCAAGGTGTTTGGGCAACAGCTTCAAAAGGGGTGGACGCGTCAAAGAAATCCCTGAGGGCTAAAGAAACAGTACTTGGAAGCCCGAACATCCGATGCCACAGTGACCTCACGCATCTTCTTAGACATTGGAGGGCTAAAAGCATGGCTTGCGTATTTCCTTGCAACGGAGGGAAAGGCTCATTTCAAAGGGCGACAGGATAGGACTGCCACTCTTGCTGCAGTCCAGAAACTATCATTAGGCGAGAAGAGCACCATTGCAAGAGAAGTTGCCAATGTACAGCCACACGCTACTGTTAGCAGTGCCTTCGCAGAATATCGCAGGCTTTTACAGATGAAGGTAGGCCATTTGATTATTTCTTTCCTCGACTTTTCAGTGGTTAACCAGGCATCATTATTGAACTACCTGCACAAAATAGAGGGGTAAGCAGCTCACAAGCAACCCACAAGTGCTCACCTGTGATGCAAAATACTTATTGAGCACTCCTCCGAGTGCCCTTATGAAAGCATGGGCATCCAGGAGGGTAAAGTCAATGTGGTTTCAGAAATTCTATTTATATAGTGGCATGTATATATACTACTGCTGTTAATGTTGCCCATCTTGTCGTCTAGTTATGGGTAAATCCTATATCAATCAGTCACTTTGTTTCAAGTGCCCTTGGGTGATCTAATAATATGATGTTTTCTGTGTGAACAATACATATTCTTCTAGCATATACTGCAATCAAAGATAAGCAGATCCCCTTTTAACTATTCCAAAGCCATATATCTATTGATCATTTGCTTAGCTTTCACAGATAGAGTTCCTGAGCAGATATCCCATAAACTTATCACCTGTCTTCCTGTACCTGTGACTGATGCACTACCCATTTTCACTGTCAGAATTTCAAATATCACCATGGCTCCACATCCCCAATGTCAATATAACAATATCAATCCTGTTGCCCCAGCGCCAATGCCCAAAACAGAAGAAATCCCTCTTTCAAAATACCCTCAGCATTCATCCCTCTGGCTTCTCAAAACCATGGCCATCTCAGCAAGACAATCCCAGAATAATGCCACACATATACCCAGAGGTAGACCACGATGAAGGGCGCTTGGAGAGTAACTCTTCGCATCCTCCTCAAGACCCCTTGGAACCGTGTCCAGGACCTCCACGGCCGCTTCCATCGTCTCTATTTCCTGGTCGTGTCAGAGTCAATCTGGGATATCAGGGTATTTTCCCTCTGGATTCTACTATCGCTCCAGAGGCACAATTGAATATAGCTTATGGAATCCTGCCTCTTCCTCCTACCACTCCTGCTCCTGCTCGGCCTTCTTCGCTTCCTGCGCCTCCACAGTCACCACGGCTGCGACTGGCATCGTCTTGCCTTATTACCCAGTCTGGACACAACCCCCCCCGTAGGAATCGGAAGCTCAGGAGTGATAACAGCATCTGCGGACACAGCACGGTGACGCGCAAGTATAGCGAAAGCGACAGCGAAAAGTGCGACTTATGTGACGAGAAACCGTTCTTGGGATGGCTCTATGTCTGCACGGAAGACACAACGGATTACTATGCGGGTCGAAATGTGGATGATGATAGATTCCTTAGTCCATCTATCACAAAAGCCGTCAAAGAAGGCCATTACAGCGACAAGGAGATCGAAACCTTGGTCCTTCAGAAACTGGACGTTCGCGAGACCGTTGAAGAACTACGCAATTGGGGCGCGAAGGAAAACTCCCGACCAGGCAAGAAATCGGATGGCAAGGGCTCTTTTTCATCATCATCATCATCATCTTCTTCTTCTTCGTCTAGTAGAACCAGGCACCGGTACATCTTTGGAAGTCCTATCTTTCGACGCCCCGAACCTGTTCAGTTGCTGCCTACTGCGAGGCCGTGCATGTTCAAATGCTGTCACCCTTGTATGTCGGTCCTTTGTGAGCGGGCTTGGGCTAGTATCGATGCTGTGTGCTGTGAGGAACCGGGCCCGATGGGTAAGCAGTTGGCCACCGTAGGGGAACAGTTGAATAGGCTTGTTATGAACGTGAGCATTGTGCGCAACTTGGGAAGTCGATCACAGCCAGCGTCAGTGTCAGTGTCAGTGTCAGAACTAGGAGCGGCATCCAAATCCGATCCCGCCATGGACAAGCTTGATAATAATGGCCATGGCAATGATATCGAATTCGAAAGGCCTCAAGCCGCAACAATAACGGCATGTCATGAAAATAACGAATGATCAATCAGACCATCTTCTGGCCGCATTTGCCACGGAATATTAATTTTGGATCTTTCTCCTTTGAAAAATATCTTTGTTTTGTCCAAAATACAACAATGCCATAGACTCATGAGGGCTTCTTAGCAAACATTAAGAACAACCAAGGTAAGTTGATCCCCATACTCCTCTTCTCACTGTACTCGATGCTAATAAATCCCGTCAGCGAAGGAGAGAAAGCACCGGAACTCAGCGATGATGGAGGGGTCACGCGTTTGAGAGAAAGAAGGAAGATAAAGTCAGTCTAGGAAGCACGACGTTGCCCAGCTGTTTCAACACTCTAGCTAAACGATGGAATTAGCCACCTTGGCGTAAGAAAAAGGGGACACTGTCAGGGATGGTTGCATGTATCTACTATCTATGCCACAGATATCAGTGCATACATAGGCTTATTTGCTGGTGACGACTTGGTAAGACGTTCAGGGTGTTGATAATGCGAGAATCTAGGAGTAATAATGATTCCTTGCTGATGGCACCCCATTCTACATCGTGTAAATATTGAAAACAGTTTCTATTCTTTCCCCTAACTCAATGCGCATGAACGAAAATCTCAAAAAAGAAGCAATGTTCCGGTTGCAGTCACGAGTACTCATGATGGTAATGGGGCAGTATCAGGATCCAAACTTGCCCTACACTACGGGTCCTGGAGGATCCAAAGTCAACAGAGCCACCTTCATATTATTTATCTGGCCATTCAATGTCATCCAGGATGTTTCCCGAACGAGATTCAAAACGACGACGGAGAGCATTCAGATGGCTCTCGGGACGTCTGATGGGGAGCTCAAAAGAAGTTCCAATCGCGAGCACGTTCTCTGTTGGAGGCGGAGTTTTTGCCTTGGACTTGTTAATTTTCGATTCCTCGGTATTCTGATAGAACGGGCTCTTCAACAGGTCATCCACTTTCCAAAATGAAGCTCCCGTGAGCAGTAAATCCTGCTTGTCCCCCGTCCAGGCAAAAGTACCGGCTTCGATGCGTCGAAGGCTCCGCACATTGTCGTTATCTTTCCGGCATGATATTTCCACTTGTACGTTGACGAGCCTGGTCGAACGTCCTTCGAGCCTGTATATCGAATTCCTTTGTTGGCTGTCTAGACCGAAGATGAGTACACCGTCCACAGAAGCTAGAGGATCCGATGATGGAGCAATGACAGGGGTATTCGATTTGGTGACCTGATACAGTTTGTATCCATAGAGTGTAGCTTGTGTCATGTTCTTCTGTAGGTTTGAATCTTTGCTGGCAGCGATAAAGTGTTTGAGGATCGTTGGCAACATAAGCATCCCGTAGACGAACCGTGACGAGCAGCCGCGCTTTATCAAAATCTTATCCACATGCTCTTCCGTGAGAGTATTGCTGAGAACGAATTTGAAGTCGTCTGGATACCATGGCTTAGGCTCCATCCTTGAGAGGAGCCACTGACACTGTTCGGGTCTGGATTAGAGTGAGCCGTCCTACCTCAGTATCTGAGCCTGACTAGCTATCACTGACAACAGAATCTAGATGAGAATGTTTGTTAAAGAAGGATGTTGATGTTAAAGAGGAAACAAGAATGGTCTGATAAATAGGTGGTGTACAATAGAATCCACAGCCTTATTGTGCAATTATCGCCATTAAACATGCATGCTGCTCTGACAAAGCCATCAAAAGAACTGAAAATGAATGGCATAGGGCCTTAAAAGTAGAATCATGCCGTTCCTGGCGGTGATGCAGTTTAGGAAATATGAGCCAAGCTGTGAATGAAGCACACTTGCTATGGTAATATTTGAGAAACAAGGCCTCTTTTGTCTGTTACCATCAGATCCATAATATGCTGATCAATTTGAGAACTGTATTCTCCCCATAATGGTCCTCCAGGCAGCAGGAAATGGACTATAGGTTGATTTGTCATAAGGCAGCGCAGGCGAGGAATTTCCTCGAACTTCCTCCATACCCGTCTAAGCGTGTACGAAAGAGCCCAGGTGTGCTGGTGAAAGATGACCGTACAGAGGCAAATTGCCCAGAGACATCGCAGATAGCGCCTCTAAAGCCATCGTGATGCTGGTTGAGTCCAAGGTTGGAGTTGCCGTGGGCTTCCATGGGCTTCTGTCCGCCAGTGGACAGCGTGGCAATAAGGCCGGGTGAGTGGCGAATACCTCCGGCTCCGCAACTGGCAGCAAAGCAAGCTTGGTAAGGCTGCTTATGTCATCGGGCCACCCACTTGCTGCTAAACAGACTTATCGTCACTCCGTCTCTCTTAACTGGAGCTCTCTCTGTCCACTTCCAACTACCTCCCACCTCTCTCTGCCCATCTTTGTCTCCCCCCCATCTCTTTTCCATCCCTTCTATCAGCTCTTTTTGACTTCTACTACTGTCAACTGGAAGCTTTCTTCTCTTTTGATTGTTTTTTTTTCCCTTTTCCACGTCGCTCGTGACTCGAGTTTGCTGTCCCTTGGTAGCTAGGTCTAGCAACGTCCTGGGTATCCATTTCAGTTTACGTGAATCGATTGCATATCTACAGCGTTTGCAAAAATGAGTTCGGAACCAGATTATGTTCATGAAAAGAAGAGGGTAACCCTTAAGTATGTCATCTTGTATCTGTTACCCGTGCTACTCGAATGGCCGTTCTAACATCTGCGATCAGTGATCCTTCAGGCGGCGAGAAGAAAGAGGTAAATATGAACCAGAGAGGCTTCAAGAAAGAAGGAAAAATGAAATATGCAATGATGCTAATCTTATATTCAGGAGCTTGACACCTCCACGGCTATTCTGAAGAAGAAGAAGAAGCCCAACTCCTTGATGTAAGTAGAGCCCTTCTCTTGCCATTCACCCGATAAGACGCCGAGTACTGACTCGCTTAATAACAGTGTCACCGATGCAGTCAACGATGACAACTCTATTATCGCTCTCTCCAACAATACCATGGAGACGCTGCAGCTCTTCCGTGGCGATACGGTTCTGGTCAAGGGTAAAATGCGCAAGGATACCGTTCTGATTGTTCTTGCGGATGACGACCTTGATGATGGGAGTGCACGTATCAACCGTGTCGTGAGGCACAACCTCCGTGTCAAGCACGGTGATATGATCACGGTGCACCCGTGTCCCGACATCAAATATGTGAGTATCTACTTGCAAGGCATGCTTGGATGTACTCTTTACGTTTTGCTAATCTGACCTTTTCCTATGTCCTAGGCCAAACGTATCGCTGTCCTTCCTATCGCAGACACCGTCGAGGGTCTTACTGGATCTCTCTTCGATGTTTTCCTCGCTCCATACTTCCGTGAGGCATACCGGCCAGTCAGACAGGGTGACCTGTTCACCGCAAGAGGTGGTATGAGGCAGGTGGAGTTTAAGGTTGTCGAGGTTGACCCTCCCGAGTATGGTATCGTGGCGCAAGACACCATCATTCACTGCGAAGGCGAACCCATCCAACGTGAGGACGAGGAGGGAAATCTTAATGAGGTCGGCTATGATGATATTGGTGGCTGCCGGAAGCAAATGGCGCAGATTCGTGAACTTGTGGAACTGCCTCTTCGCCATCCCCAACTTTTCAAGTCTATCGGTATTAAGCCCCCCCGTGGTATCTTGATGTACGGTCCTCCTGGTACCGGTAAGACTTTGATGGCCCGGGCTGTTGCCAACGAGACCGGCGCCTTCTTCTTCCTAATCAACGGTCCGGAGATCATGTCTAAGATGGCCGGTGAGTCCGAGTCCAACCTGCGCAAGGCCTTCGAAGAAGCGGAAAAGAACTCTCCAGCCATCATTTTCATTGATGAGATCGATTCCATCGCCCCCAAGCGTGAGAAGACGAACGGTGAAGTCGAACGCCGTGTCGTCTCCCAACTCTTGACCCTTATGGATGGTATGAAGGCACGTTCCAATGTAGTAGTCATGGCTGCTACCAACCGCCCCAATTCGATCGACCCTGCCCTCCGACGTTTTGGCCGCTTCGACCGTGAGGTCGACATTGGTATCCCGGATCCAACTGGCCGTCTGGAGATCTTGCAGATTCACACGAAGAACATGAAACTTGCCGAAGATGTGGATCTTGAGGCTATCGCCTCGGAAACACATGGCTACGTCGGCTCCGATCTCGCCTCGCTTTGCTCTGAGGCTGCCATGCAGCAGATTCGTGAAAAGATGGATCTGATCGATCTTGATGAGGATACTATTGATGCCGAGGTGCTTGACTCTCTCGGCGTCACCATGGAGAACTTCCGCTACGCTCTCGGCGTCTCTAACCCGTCCGCCCTCCGTGAGGTTGCCGTGGTTGAAGTTCCCAACGTTCGCTGGGAAGATATTGGTGGCCTGGAGGAGGTCAAGCGCGAGCTCATCGAAAGTGTGCAGTACCCCGTGGACCATCCAGAAAAGTTCCAGAAGTTCGGTCTTTCACCTTCTCGTGGTGTGCTGTTCTACGGACCTCCGGGTACTGGTAAGACCATGCTTGCCAAGGCCGTCGCCAATGAGTGTGCCGCCAATTTCATTTCCGTCAAGGGTCCTGAACTCCTCAGCATGTGGTTTGGTGAGTCTGAGAGCAATATTCGGGATATCTTCGACAAGGCTCGTGCTGCCGCTCCTTGCGTTGTCTTCCTTGACGAATTGGACTCGATTGCCAAGTCTCGAGGTGGCGCTGTTGGCGATGCCGGTGGTGCTTCCGACCGTGTTGTCAATCAACTTCTGACAGGTAAGAAATGATTCTCAAGCTACTTTTCCTATCTTATCCTATGAATATACTAATGCATTGTTTCTTCAGAAATGGATGGCATGACATCGAAGAAGAATGTCTTCGTTATCGGTGCAACCAATAGGCCCGAGCAACTCGATGCTGCTCTTGTGCGACCTGGTCGTCTTGACACTTTGGTCTACGTGCCTTTGCCTGACCAGGCTTCTCGGGAGAGTATCTTGAAGGCTCAGCTTCGCAAGACCCCCGTCGCCCCCGATGTCGACCTGTCTTTCATCGCCAGCAAGACCCATGGATTCTCCGGTGCCGATCTCGGATTCGTCACCCAGCGTGCCGTCAAACTTGCCATCAAGCAGTCCATCACCGCTGATATTGAGCGCCAGAAGGAACGCGAGGCTGCTGGAGAGGATGTCAACAACATGGATATTGAGGAAGAAGAGGAGGACCCCGTCCCGGAACTTACTCGTGCTCACTTTGAGGAGGCCATGGCATCTGCAAGACGGTCTGTCAGTGACGTGGAGATCCGCCGCTATGAGGCCTTTGCTCAGAGTCTCAAGAACTCTGGAGGGAGCAGCTTCTTCCGCTTTCCCACTGCTGGCGAAGTGACTTCGAACCAGGATGCGTTTGGGGAAGCCGGTAATGACGACAGCCTCTATGATTAAAATGGGTTTTCTATTTGGTTGGGCCTTTTCAAAGTTGCTAGGTAGACTGATCGGAGACTGGGTTATGGGTTTGACCGTTGGAAAATCCCATCGAGATTCCTGCCTTGAGCATGAGGTTACGTGATTCTCTTTGTTTTCCCTTGTTCGTTCTATGGGATTTCTGTTATTTCTTTTCTTTTCTCATGCTATGTGCTATAATATCCAATACACAGGTAGAGAATTGTTTCTGCCCTCTTTGATTTCTACTCGTAATTTTTTACAGACATACAAACATGCTATGGTTTATCGTTACCGCTAGTATTATTGCGGCTGTCCCCGTCACCATTTGTAGCCGTGTTCTCCAGGGCATCATCCTCGATGACTATGATGTCCCCGAGCATCTCCTTGATAGCGGAAACCCCCTGCTCGACGACAGCGGAGGGGATGCGTACGTTGATATTGGCCAACAAAGTATTCAAATATTGACTTCCATTCTCATTGTGGGTGTCTGCATCGTTGGCATCCGGATTTGTAGTATCGTCGGGCACAGCCGCGGGATGTGACCCCCCCTCGGCCAAAGCGACGACGGCATCAACGACCTCGTCGAATCTCTCACAGCGACCGGCGCGGAGAAGCTGCAGGCTTAGATCGCGGATCTTTTCGGTCCATCCCATCCGTTGCAGGGAGCAGAGGAGTGTTGCATGGAGGTCTTCGAGGGCAGTGGTCGAGGAGAGATGTGAGAGGAGATCTGATTCGAGCAATTCCGGGGAGGAGGGAGGGGAGGCGGAAGTTGTGGAGGGCATTTTTGAAGTGTGTGTTCAGCTGATTGATTAATGGATAGTAGGTAGGTAATGCCGATGCGTCGGCGTCGGTGTCGGTATCGGTATCGGTATCGACAATCGATAGGTATCCGCCGTAGAATGATGGGTATCTGGTCTGTCACCGGCCAGGGAGAAGTTGGAGGAGAAAGAAATCGACGCAAAGAAGGGGCCTGCCCTCGAGAGAAACAACGATCAAGGAAAGTGTTGAGCGGGAGGATGAGCTGCAGGAAGAAGGCAGCCTAGAACTGCTGCATGGTCAGTCCCAGCGCTCCATGCTCTGTGATAGTAATAGCAATAACCTACCTGATCACAGAGTATCCCCAATCATCGGCACAGCAATACCCCGTATACCACGGAGCGGATAACGGAGAGAGAAGAAAGAGAAAGTCCAGACCAGGTTGACCCGGTCGATGCCCCGTTAGCGCGCGCATCACGTGCTCTGCCTCTTCCTAGAACAGAAACGCCGTTGGAACTTCATCGCCCTCGCAATTAATTATCTGCCTCGTCTGTCTCTGCACCCTACAGTCTCTCCCTGCGCATTCTGTGCTCGTTGTGTCTGGCCCAACGCTCTTTGCCTCGGCGCCCATCCGCAATCTCACTCCCAGCCGGCGAGAAGAGCCCCATCCCTGCCCCCCGCTCCATTATTAGACCACGCCGGCGACTACGCGTCCTCCTTCTGCATTCGCTTGAATCTTGTCCTCGGCCTTCGAACAGCAATTTTCCATCTGGCTTTTTTCCAGTCTAGTCATTGAAGGGCATTCTACCTTTTGATTCCCGCTTCTCGCTACCTCGGCGCTTTTGCGATCCTACTGGCACCCGCTCCGCTGGTTCATGACGACCCGAACCCTTGCTTGGCCGCACATCCTCCGCTTGCGCCTCGTTGTCATTGTCATATCAGCCTTTCATATTTAATACTATCCATACTGGTGGTGGCTACTTCTCTGCTGCTGGACCGTGGCGCGCTCCCTCCCCCAAACCCTAGCACGAGCGGCGCCGACTGCCGCTATCCTGAAGCTTTTCGTCCAACATGTCTCTACATGCCTCATATCACGCCGATTCTGACGCAGACGACGAGTATGAGCGCAGCGTGATAACATCTCCCCGGCTGAATACGGATTCGGAGACCTCCTCTACGCACTCGGAACCTCACTCGGCAGAGCCCACACCGACTACAACTTTGCTAGGCACAGACGAACGCCGGCCCCTGAAGAAGACAATTACGCAATGGACGGCAAATGACACTGCGGATTTCATTACGAGTCTTGGTCTTCGGCAGTACTGCGATAGGTTCGTAGGTGAGTGCGCCCATTTCCCTGTGGCCGGCCCAACATCCTCTGACTTGGGGTCCCAATCGCAGAAAATGACATTGTCGGGGAAGCTCTTATCGCCCTAAAACATGATGAGCTGAAGGAAATGGGAATCACCAGCGTAGGACATCGGTTGACCATCTTGAAGAGTGTGTACGAAATCAAAGTCAAACAAGATATCCCAATAGACCCGGACCATTATATCCCCCTAAGTAGGTTCCTCCTTAGTCGTTAGCATTTCATTGGGGATCTCTTTCTGACAGTCTCCCCCCTTCCAGCTGCTGACCAAACCATGAATGAAAATGCGACGCAAGAGGACGTCTCTCGCCTGATTCAGTCTCTCAAGCTACGAGACGAGAGGATCGTTGCTGTAGAGGCTGAGCTGCGTCGAGTGGCGGACGACTATCGGCGACTCCGCGAAGAACTCCTTCCTGTCTTCAAGATGGCAAAGGATAGGTTGCAGCCACTTCCTCCTCCAGATGGGCACGGCTACGACGGCCAACCACTTCCATCTCCTTCACAACTCAATATGCTAGACCGCAATCCGTCGGTGATATCTCGATCTTTCTCAAAACGAGTTTATACGGGGAATACAACGCCAAAGACCAGCTCCCCTACTCATGTTCCACCCACCTTTAGTGACGGGAGACTCTACAATGATGGCACGCTAGACCCCTCTTCCGCCTCATCTCATCTCACTGCCTTGAATGGAGGCTCTCAGATATCACCGGGAATGCCGTCCCCGACTTCTCCCGGTGGCCATCACAACCAGCAAACCCTCGCATCCCGATCTTACGTCCAACCGAATTCCGCTAACCGTAATACCTACGACCACTCAGATGACATGCCTGGCGTGCAATCTCGGTCAGATCGATCGGCGCAAATACCCCGGTCCGACCTTCCATCGCGACTAGACTCCAGAGCTGGCAATGACCCCAACCAACGTGTGGAAATATTCAAGTCGTTCCGAGTATCCATGGAAGATCCGTGCCATAAAGTTCTTCCGGCGGCTCTCAAAAAGTACAACATCCACGGAGACTGGAGACAATACGCCTTGTATATCGTACATGGGGACCAAGAACGATGTTTGGGACTGGATGAGCGGCCGCTGATCCTCTTCAAACAGCTGGAGAAAGAAGGCCGGAAGCCCATGTTTATGTTGCGAAAACACATGTACTCTGTCGATGGTTCGGTGTATCCAAATGCAGGATCCATGCCCAACAGTGTCACATTTGACAGTACGAGGACAGGTCAGGGACAGATCAACCTACCGGGCGGAGTTTTATAACGGCGTTTTGTGTGTTCTGTCTATGTTTGTTGAAGAGAGGTCAGGGGATGGTATTTTGCCCTCTTTTTCTTGTGTCTTTCTTAACCTCCATACAGGTGTTGGGGAACGGATTTGGGTTGGTTACTGGGACAGGAATCAGCGATGGCCATATTCTCAAAGCATGTTACTGCGAACGTTTTTTTGACTACTTCACTATGTACTGTTCGTTCTTGGTTCGGTGGCATCGGATGCTGTGCATTCTCACTATTTGTCCGGTGGACTCTGCTATATATGCATGGTCTTTGTTTTTGTCGTGTCTGTACTGTGTAGACTCCAACAAGATCATCCTTTGAGTGCTGTCATAGTCTAAGCATTCCTATTGTTTTTTCAGCTCAACCACCACAGTGCTAGGATGATATTATCATCCAGGTAGATTGTAGGACACCGAATTTCTTGGGTTCCTTCTTGCTGAGCCATTATCATAGTGTTTTTTTTTTTTTTTTTTTGACAAGGGGGGCATGTGCGTTTCATCAGGTGATATTGAAGAGAATGCGCTCGCTGGAGAGTGGATTCCAGTGGATTCCCCCGTGAACTCACCTCCCATGAATCAGACCTGTAACTCCTGCGTCTTACCGATCGAAGGAAGGAATTTATCAGACGCTACCCAAAGACAGAGGAAGACAAGATAATAGAAAAGCAAGCCAGAGCCTTTCTTTCATGCCAAACCCATGTGGTTACAATATCGAGTTATAGTATAGCAACAACTCTGCGGTCAGATATCCGTCGTCAGCCAGATCTGCTTTCAGAGAAATTCTTCTCAAGCCGAGATCCCGACGAAAAAGCGGCCGTAACACCTCTTTTAAAGGATGCACCAGACAAGGATGCAGCATGCAGCATGGCGAAGGCTTACGAGGTCAACCTGTAGCGCAGGTTATATTATAGATGTAGCGATGGGAAGCTGAGATCTTGCTTGAGTATGACACTGCGACGAGGTATTCTTATACCACTGTTTGAGAAATTGCATGTACAATAGGAATAGTAAACGTGATTACAACAGTATTTTCTAAGGCTTCCAACAAAGATGCATCCACTGGATAAAACATGCAGAAACGAAAGACATACAAGTGGCTTGCCAAATATTAATGCCCAAGTCAATAAGAATACCAACAAATCTATACACAGGACAAAGCAAGTCTTCACTCGTTCTTTATTTGAAAAAAGGAAACCAAGCAATGTCCGCAAAAAAACAGGACATTAATACATTCGTTCAGTTATTATTTTCCTGCTTTTCACTGCTTTTGGTGTTGTTCTTCTCTTTCCAGTCTTCTCAAACACTTCATGAATCCCGGCCTGTCTCTCCCCCCCATGAGATTCGCGGATGATGTCCACGTCCTCTGCGATCGGCGACCCCAGCTGCTGTCCTCCTCTCGGCGGGTCTCGTGCCATCGGCGAATTGGACTCTGCCTCGCACCGGTCGGAATCCGTCGCTGTCATTCGAATCTTCAGAATCTGGTTCGTCGGAATCCGAGGAGTCCTCGTCATCTAACTGACCCAGCGCCGCTAGACGACGTCGTCTCTCAACTGCTGTCTCGCCCGTCTCGCCTAGGTCTGCCGTTTCTCGTGTCGGAGGAGAGATGCTGGTGGCCCCCCTGGACCGGGCTGGCGGGACTCGCTCGGTTCCGTCATCTTCAGAATCTCGACGAGGATGCTCCGCGGATTCTGACTGGTGCAGTCGTCGTCGTCGCGCCTGCGCGGGTGTGTCCGTGGTGAATCTTGCGATGGAAGCAGCGACATTGTGCCCGCGGGCAGATTCATCATCGGAATCAGCGGTCTCCTCATCCGTTTCCTCTTCTTCTGTGCTGGGAGACTCTGGGCGCCCGGCCTGCGCAGGTCGTCCAGCAGAGCGTTTGTCAGTCTGGGCTTGATCCCGAGCGGCGTCTTTAATTTCTTCCGGAGCGTCCGTATCTTCGACAAAGCCAAGGCGAGATTTGAAGTCACGATTCTGGATCTGTCGAATGAACTCTTGCTTGTTCATCCGACGACCTTTATGGACAACGCCGCTCTGGCCAATGTCGTCGTTCTGAGCCACCGTAAAACGAAGTCCATCGTCATCTGCAGCAGCTTTATCCGCCCCCGCTTTAGATGACTCGGCCTCATCTTCCTTGCCAAACCACGTTCCCATTCGGGCCAGCGGGCGACGGATATAACGCTCAGCAGCATCGACTGGCTCAGTCTCCTCTTTCTCCGGAGAGGGAATGGTGTATTTCTTAATCACTTCTCCATCCTCGTCCTCAACGATGATGGTGTTGCCAAATTGATATGCATGAGCTGAACGAGCTTTGCTCTTTGCAGGTTTCTTCGTTGGCTCCTCTATTTCAGACTCCTCGCCTTCTTTCTTTTCCTTACGGCCCAAAAATCTACCCAGTACGTTCCGCGCCTTATTAAAACCAGTCTTTCCTTCAACCGCTTGCTTGATATGCTCCCCTTCGGTCTCTTTATGAGGTTCGCTGCGGGATTTCGCAAAATGGCCCGATGTGTCTCTCCGGAGGCGCATCCTCTGCTCCTCGATGTCCCGCGACCGCTCCTCAGGGGACAGATGGCTAATATCTTCCGTTTTCAAGACATTTCCTTCTGTATCCTCCATAATAAGATTACTTCCTTCCTGATAGAGTTCAATCTCGGGTTCGCTTCCGAACCTATCGCGTTCCTTGGTTGGCGGATCGCCTCCATGCTCGATTTCCTCTCGCAAACGTTGTTGTTCCTTCTCTAATGCCGGTTTGACCCCTTCTTCTTTTCGTTCTTCTTCCTCTTCCTCATCTCCCTCTTTCTGGGAGTCCAACCTCGTTACAGGGGCGATAGCAGACTGGCTGATCGGACCTCCCGCGCCATCTTCGCGCCTCCTTCGCCTCCGACGGCGACGAGGAGCAACACTGACATTGTCAGCATCTTCCGCTCTTACGCGACGCAGGAAATTTCCCGGTACACCAAGCGGAGGCAGAGTTCCAGGGCGGTACTCTTCTGGAGACTCCTCCAGCTCGTCTGGCTTGCGAAAGGACATGGATCCTTTTGCAAGGGATTGCATACGCGGTAGACGGTTCATCCACGACGGACCCTCTTCATTGGCCGTCGTGTAAGACAGGGTGATGGTCATGGTATTAATTCGTTTCCCTAGGGTAAAGACGGCAATGGAAGACCCGTGCACTAGGATGGAAGAAATGATGAGGAACGTCGTTACTGGCCAGATAACCTGTACAATGTAGTAGTTTCTTTCGCCAGGTTTGGGCCGTTCCGCTGCCCCCAGGGGTTGCGTCTCGTGGCCTTCCAACTCAGCTCTAGCTAAGATTGAAGCGAAGACGGCGCCGACGCCGATGGGGCCGAAGTGACCGGCGAAAAGTGCTTCTCGCCATGTCTTTATATCCGGAATGATGGGCTTCAGGAGCAGCATGATGGGGATACGGCGGAAGAAAATGACAAGGATGGCAATGACAACGAGTCTCCAGGGCACAAGCCCGATTTCGGGGTTGTTGAAGTCTTGCCAAGGGACAATGGAACCAAAATAGACGAAATACGCCAGGTTGAGCAGGAGGTCAATGACATTGGAGACATGCGACTCCTCTGTTTTCTCGGTAAACCAGCCGTCATTGCTAAAGCCGACGCCGGCAGAGAAACCGATCAAGAGATCGTCCATGCCAAGCAGACTGCCAGACCCGGCACAGAAAATAGCCAGGACAAAGTAGAAGACCAGGAAACTCTCACGATCGACCAGTTGCTTGTTTTCAGCGAATCGGATAGCATGACGAGCTATGTAACCAATGATGAAGCCATAGATAGCACCGAAGATACACTCGTACAAAATGGTGACACAGATCCAGTGCATGACCACCTCGCCTCCATGTGGTTTGTAGGCCCAGATGTAGTAGCCGAGATAGATAAACGGAAACGCCATGCCGTCATTACAACCGGATTCGGCCGACAGGATGTCTCGTAGATGCTTCGGCACACGCTTCGCGAATTTGCCCTTACCGACGACGGACGAGGCAAGAACCGGGTCGGTGGCCGTAACGCAGGCAGCGCACACCAGACTTTCCAGCCAATTGAGGGGCGGGACCATCCACCAGATGAACAGGCTGGTTATCAGCCAGCCCCAGGTCATGACGGGCACCAGGAGCAGGAAGACGGACTTCCAGTGGCGCTCCATGTAGGCTTTGGGCAACTCGACGCCGACGGCGAAGCATTGAACGACCAGGACGATTCGGGAACACTCCAACGTGATTTTGTCAACATTCCCCCAGCTCAAGGGGTTGAAAAGGTTGGCCGCATGAGGGCCGAAGATGATGCCGCACAGGGTGGCAACGGTGGCTTCACCAATGTACAGCTTCTCCTTCACGAAGAGTGAGCACAACATGAACAAGCTTGTGAAGCCTCCGAGGATCATGTAGGCCAAATGAGGTTTATCGATGTCCAGATGATCCCATGCCATGTTGATGCGAGAAAGGGTGATCTGGGGGTCGTTGACGTCGTAGACAGCGGATTACCCCCCGCGCGACCAGCGATAGATCCTATACGTATGTGTGTCTGCGGAGAGTAAAAGAGATGAAATTCTCAATTCAGCCTGACAGACCTGCGATGAAGCAGGCCCTGAACTTCCGTCTCGGTTTTCGATGATCTGCGTCGATCGGCATATCTTGGGAGACGAAGGGAGGGTCAGGACAGACGGCACACGGAGCCCGTCAGAGATGCATGAAACGGAGCGGATCGAGGAGGGAGGATAGATAGACGGAAAGGAGAAAGAAGACGAAGAAGATGAAGAATGGAGGAAGACGCGAGGAAGAAGCTGTAGCTAGCAGACGTGGGAGGGTCTGGAGAGCAGAAGCCAGCGGGGCGGGGAAAGAAAGAGAGGAGAGGAGATGAAGAAAAAGAGAAGATTAGAAAAGCAAAGACAAGATTAAAAAAGAGTCACCAGGAACCGGGCTAAGATCAGCAGTCAAGCAGGAAGACTCAGAAATTAAAAATAGTGAATCCCATCACAATCGCCCTACTAATGGCAATAGCATTCCCAGCAGGGCTGAGAGGCGATAACGCGGCGGACACACTCCGACCGTGCCGACCCATTACAGGATTCAGGATTCGTGTATACTACTACGCCCATCATTATTCCATGTCCATGAATCCAATTCCACAGGGTTCTCCGTACTCTGATACCTCGATATCAGCACGGAGCACCGCGCGGACGCGGACGCCAAGTCGCCAAGTTCGTCTTTTGCTGTGAACTTCTTGGCCATGGGCGGAGTGGAGGTTGATAGAGTTGTTGTGCCGTGTCCGTGCTGCTGAATCTTTTTTTTCTTGTGTTTCCAGGAATCGAATAGTCCATCCTGCTACAGAGAATCAATATTTGCTGACACCCGGGTATCTCAGTCCATGCAGATGGACATTCTAGTTAGTATCTATCCATTGGATATTAGTATCACTACAGGGATATTCCATCCTCTTGTACTGTACGGTATGTACGGTATGTACGGTACATACCGTGCCATATTAACCGCACTGCCGCCCGCTTGGCGCTTGGCGCTTGGCCGCTCCACTTGCGTCCAGCTCGTCTCGCTCGTTTGGCAAATTGGAAGATCTATTGCCGTCGTCTGTACTCTGCGTCGCACTGCAGTGTGGAGCAGCGCTTGCCCGTTTCCACCAGCATTGACGTCATGGTCGGCACCTCACATCGTCCGCTACTCCGATGCGAATCTCGCTGACAACAACCTGTAAGTATACGCTGTTAAATACTCTCTAGCAAATTATGTACTCGAGCAAAAGAAAAGAGATCGATGGTGAAACGGCCGGCTAAAGCATCATCCAAGAGTCAAAAACAGCAAACTGGCAATGTCAACTGGACGATCCGCCATCATCCAAAAAGACCAGGAGACCCAATGAACGCAAAATGCATATAGCAAAATGGACAGGAAATATCACTTCCAGAAAGATTCTTGGTCCCATCACTCACTCCCGGTCGGCATGCCTTCCACTGCATCCGCCAGGCGCCGCCAGTTGTCTGCCTGCAGCTCCGCGTACTTCACGCGCTCTTGGCTCCAGTCCTGGTGGAGATGGCTAATCTGGTACTGGCTCTGTTGGAAGTAGATAAGTTCCTGGAGCATGCATTCCTTGATAAACACACCTCGCGCATGTTGTTGCACGATGGACTCCTTGGCCTAGTTTTCCCGTTAGTACGTTCACCATGGCCATGCAAACAGAGATTACGTACTTTGAAAATCGCCTCCTCCACTTTCTCAATATCTCCTGGCTTGACAGTACCCTCCGGCCGCGCTCTCAGATCCTGCAGCTTTTTCTCATTATTCTCAATCCGTCGCTCAAGCTGAGGGATGTTGTTCTTCGCATATCGATCCCTCCGGTCAAACAGTTCGCGCATGCTAACCAGCCAGTCTCTCTGGAGCTTCAGGTCTTCCAACACGCCTTCATTCCATGCCTGCGCCTCATCTTCCAGCAGAGTTTGGCTGGTGGCGAGATGCTTCGCCGTGCAACTGATACCCTCGTTGAGCATAGGAACATCGTTCGTGTCAATGGCATACGTGTCCCGCGTAACCTCCGTCAATGATTGCAGTGCCAAGGAGAATCGCAAATTGTCTGCCGCCAACCCCTCGTTTCGCTTGGATAGACGCTCCAGTAACATGCACAGATTGATGTAGATCTCTGCAGAGCGTTTAACTCCATTGCGGACGGTATCCAGAGTGTCTGATAGATTCGACGGCAGAGAGTCTTCCAGTTCTGGAGGGAGGACTCTTCCCGTGAATTCATCCTGGACGGACACCGTCGCTTGCTTGCGCCATACCGACAGTTCCTTCTAATGTTAGCCAAACAAGAATAATACGCCGTAATACCAACGCATACAGGTCACTTACTGTAGGGACCGTTAAGAACATCACGACGAGTTGTTCCTGACTGAGCACGGGATGGCGGGCGAGGGCATTGACGAAACGGACGAGGCCCCGACGGCGCTTCTCGAGGAATGAGTTGGAATCAGCTGCGAGGTGAGTGCCATTGACTTAATTTAAAAGATAAAAGGTAAGTAAAACTTTTAGGTGAGCTTTTAGCAAGCCTGGAACGTACCTGAAACTCTTTTTGGTGGAAGAAGTGGGAGCTGTCGGAACGGGTATCGTTTATGTAGACAATCCAACAGCCAGACAAAATCGCTGTACCGTCGAACGACAGTGCTGCCTCTCCGGGTCCATTTTACCTCGTAATTTCGATGCTGAAACAGAAAGACACCCTCTTTCTCGGGCAGCAACGTCACCTTTATTTCTTCCACCGGCTGGGGACCCGTGGTTCTCCCCGTGCCCAGTGGCTGTGCCTGAGAAGTGCTATCGCCCTGGTCATCTCCTGGAGGACCGAAACCTCCAAACCCAGTTCGGTCTGGGGCCTCAAACGCGCTAGTAGACGTATTGCTGTAATCACCCCAGCCCGAGTCCACGGTAGACGACACAGTACCAGCCGTGACGTTACCTGCAACATGTCCATTTGGTACCTCGCTCTCGTTATTCTCTTCGGGAAGTCTGCTAGACCAAGCATTCATGGTCGACCGCATGCTCCCGTAGCCATTTAACGCCGGTCCAGCTCCGTCACGAGTTCGTTGTGGGCTACCCCATGGATCGGACTCCAGACCGCCCATGGAGTCTCTCCTCGAAAATCGAGACTGGTCTGAGCTCGGCTCTTGTACGGGATCCGCACGAGTAGAAGGCGTAGTCGGTCGTTCTTGCGATGGAGCAGATCCGTCATTTGCTCTCAATCGATCAAAGTAGGAGCTCTTCGGCTCTGGCAGGTCTAGACGATGAAGCCCTTCAGTCAGCAATAGCTCTTCCATTGTTAAGCAAAATCGAATATCCCCTTACTTTTGCGCCGTTCATCCACCGCATCGAACGTAATGTCCTCGCCTTCCCTCGCAAGGCCTATGAGAGCCAACAGAACATTGAACTCGGGCCGTCCCAGATTATCCGAGTGACTGCTCTCCGAGGGTACAATGAGATTCAGTATCTTAGCCTGATCCGTTGCATTCAGTCCACTGCCCGCGAGTATCTCCCGCACCGCCGTCAACCCAATACCAGACCCAACCCCATTTCCGGCGCTCAGCACCAGATCGTAGGTATCGATATAGCTATCAGGAACATCCGTATCCGCGAGTAAAGTCTTCACAAGCTTATGTCTAGCTGCTCGTTTGGTATTACTGCTGCTCCATAGCGACTTCGATCCGAAATCGTCGTCGGCGAAGAGGGAGGATGATGCATTGGCACCAGTGCCTGACTCGTCAGAGAAAAGAGATGATCTTCCCTGGCCGAATCCAGTGCCAGAGGAGTCCTCTGGAGATGTTCCGAATAAGGACATGGGGGATGTGGTTGCGTGCGGTAGGTAGGTTTGAGTAGCTGACTAGAGTGGGCCGTTGATCCGTCAATAATAGGCAGAAAGCGATGGCGACAAGAACTTTCCAATGATGGTGTCAGTCCGCAGGTAATCGAGAAATAGGAAAAGATAATTATATTAAACAATACTGCTGTTCAGCGATGCCAGTCGCAACATGAAACATGTTGACGCGTGTGTAGTGCGGGAAGAGGAGAGCAGAGCTAGCTTCAACATCGATAAGGTCCGACAGAAGAACGCGGACCAACTCTCCAACGCAACCCTGGCCCGAGTGATAATTAGCAATCCCCTGCATAACCGCGATTCGTTTTTATGATAATTGTAGGGACTGAATTGGACGCTTGCCATTATGTTCACGAGGTTGAATTATAAAGCCCGGTATATAGCGCGCTAATACAACAACAATATACTATCATTTACAATCAAAATCCACCCGTGCCAGAACTATCAGAAGTGTTGCCGCCAGAGTCTCTGCTCTGATCTTCCACAGATCCCACCTGGAAATACCCTTGCTGGACCAGTATATCCTGCCATTCGCTCTTCCCGGTACTCAGTATCCGAGAAGGGTTCGCATCCATGTCAAACCACCTCTCCTTCCGCGTAGATGCTTTGTCGCCTCCTTCAAGAGCGGCTCGACTTGCTCTGGTCTTCCTCATCCTCTTCGTGCATGTTACACCTTGAGACAGAAGACCGCTTAGTTTAAACCGGTATTGTTCGAGTCGTAGATCAAACGCCATTATCGCGCGTACATACGGTGCAAGATCTTCTGCAATCGGTGCGATTCCGTTCTCAAACGATGGCGCTAGACGTCCAGTCGGCGGAGGGAATACATAATTGGCCCGCATTATCGGCTGAAATGCTTCAAGGAACTTCTTCCCGGACGGAGCGGTACTCTGTAATTTGGTTGTTTTGGAGAGGATTCTTGCAGCCTGCAAGGACTCGTCACCTAGTCGACTACCAGATCGGAAGACATTCCTCATCAGGGCATCAAACGTGGTGCATAGAATTCCAGACAGTGGTGAGTAATCAGGCTGAAGGTCGGCATGCAACAGCCGATAGCCTTCGATGTAGTTCACTCTTTGTTTGTCGGATATTGGAGGCATAGACACGTCAACAGCATCCTGATCATGTTAACGAATCGTGTTATACGCCCACAGAATCAGATCCCTTACCTTTTTGAAATCCGGCGAACAATTAGAGCATATAATGTCCAGCACACTTCTGGCGTCCGCATAATCCGATTCATGAAATAGAGCATCAAGTTGTGCATGACTAGACTGAGAAACAAGAACTTCGCGTTCTGGACAGCGAGAGTCAGGCTCAGTCAAATCCGATATAGTCTCGGAATCCTGTACGCTAAGTTGCCACCAATCAAGAGATTCCTTGCCAAGTTCAACCTCGCTATTAAGGGGGCTGCTGGCCAAGATTATATCTCGATTAAACCAGCCCATGTATGGCTCGTAAGTATTCAAGCTAATCATTCGTAGGGGGTGGCCGTCCTCGTCAACATTTGTCCCTGGAGGCCACCTATCAATTATCCAATCGAGGCCTGACTTCTCGCTGCCAACTCCCATTTGACACCAGAAATTCAGATCCATGATCGACCTGCGGAGATCCTTCCCAGACGCAGAGTACAGACCGCTGACCGCTTCTCGCTGCAGCATATGGCCTTCGCTTGCAGCTATTAAAAGCAAATAGTCCGCAACAAGGTCTGCAGGCGGTGCCCGGTATCGTAAAATGGCGTATAATGGGATATCTTCAAGAGGTATAAGGCTTTCATCATTGCACGTTATAACAATAGGTCGTTTTGACTGAAATATCAAAGTCATGACGCCAGACCAAAACTGTTTGTCCTCTTCGAAGAGGACGTCAGCTTCTTCTAAGAGAATCAACGACTGCTTTTGACTGGGCGGGTGCGTCAAGTCAGGTTTCTGCATCGAGCCTTGTTGAGCTGTTTGACTCGCATGCCTTTTCGTGTTACGCGCAGAGAGTGGTTTGAAAAAGCTCATCATTTTGTTTTGATTACCATCATCATGGTAGGCACTCTGCAGACAGCCTTCAGGTGACTGGCTTCTTGATACATTGCTAGTTCTATTCAAGTTCTGAACGAGATGGTTTTGAGTCATGTCTCCGACTCGTTCGAGTATGTCTTTGGCACTCCTGCGGTTGCCTGCATTGATTTCGAAAATCTCAAACCCTAGTTCTTTTGCGACGGCATGTATAGATGCCGTCTTTCCACAACCTGAGGGTCCACTGAGTAAAATTGCGTTAGACATTCGACTTCTCTCAGTGCCTGATTTCATGTTGCCTGTCAAATCTCCCGGTCGAACAACAGTTCTTTTCGACTGAACAGTCACGTCCCCGGCTAATTCATCCTCGGACTCGGGGATCTCATTCATCTCAAACTCTTCATCGCTGCTTGATACAATGAAGCCGCCCAGTTTGTCAGCCTTTTTTCGTCGCTTGTTTCGCTTTTCCCTATCTGGTTTCTGATTCGCCTTCCCTGGCTTCCCGGTCTCTACTGCAGAAACCATGAGATGTCTCAGCCAGTCCCGTAACATAAAGGCCTCCCTACCGATCTGAAGAACTTCGTCCGCAGAGCTAGGTGAATATTTATGGCTCCACAAGAGTGACTCGAACTCCCCGAGATCAAAAGCAGTCATGGAATTGTCCATGGACGAGGCAATCTTGGAAATCGCAGGATGAGATAGCTTCTTCTGGGTCCTTTCTTCTCGAAGAAAACCTGAGGTCGATTCAGACAGCTCATATATCATTGCTTCTCGCAGAGCTTGTCCGCTCGTAGCACGCTTTCCTGGTATCCGTAGGGCTTGTGGAGGAGTAGTTCCGGGGGAGAGATGCCATCCATAATTTGCGGTGTGGAAATCCCGCATACATTGTAAAAGCACATCCTCATTGTCGTTGATACCAACCACAGCTGTTTTATCCTTTTTGCGATCCCGGTTCAGCATATTAGTAGTGCTACGCCATGAAGGATGATCTCCTGTCTCAATCCCTCTAACATGGGCCAGGCCTCTTGGAGGCCAGAGAGGATGAATTGATTCAGGAAATTTGGAAGTACGCCGTTTGAATGGTTGAAACGACGAGTCCGAACCGCCCCAAGAGGTAAATCTTGTTTTCTCCCGGGTCTTTTCAGAGTCTTGATTTTTAACCTCTATCTCCGATGTAGGGTCTTGATGCTTCGATGAAGATAGGACTTCTATCTTCTGGGAAAGCTTTTTCAAGAAAAATGGATGGGTGGGCTTTGGGGAACCTTTCTCTTCATGGACGGCACTGGCAGGATGCTCCGGGACACCGTGCTTTCGTCGACCATTGGCGATGTCGTCTATTAACTGTCCAATCCTATCCTTGGAGTTGCCCTCTCCACCATACTTCATGATCACTAACTTTTTATCCTCTTGTATATTCTTCTGGTTCGGAGGTCTACCGCGCCTTGCACCTTGTTTCTTCCGAGTTCCATTCGCAGCATCGTTCAAGATCGGTGAGCTCAGCAATTTCCCATTAGGATTGAGTTTCAGTGTTTTTCGTTTAGGTGTTTCCTTCTCTTTAATACTGTCGGAAGGTTTTGTCCCTCCTTGTCCTTCAACAATTGAGGTTTTGTACACTGCAGGTAGTACCTTTGCGATCCCAGTGGCTGGGGATAGATACTCTAGACGACTTGATGTTGTGCCTGTGACCCCGGGAGTTATGTGCTCGGGTAAATCATTGTGCGAGGCTTCCCCCGGGCCAGGTAGTGTGTTCGTCTCCATTGGCTGCTCCTGGGTCTTCTGCGAATCTCTCATAGAAGTAGAGTTATCCCACTCTTTAGTCTTCCGTCGTTTTCTTCGGGTTGAATTGGGATCGTCATCAAGCGTGGCGACAGACGGGTTTATGGGAGCACATACACCATCTTCTCCGATAGATGGTCCATTGCCAATATCCTGAACTGTCGAGCTACCGGGTCTTTGAAAGGAGCCTGATCCGAGAGAGTGTAGATCATGGGGTATAGAGTCGTCTGTGATCGTGGCTTGCGTCTCATTTCGCGGAGTGTGTCTAGTCGGATTCACGGAAACATTCCAATCTAACAATTATGAGCAAATATTGGGCATATCAATTCAAAGGGCAAGCAACCTCTTGTAAAGAAAGGATGGAGGGTTCGTTGCTGTTCTTGTCCCATGGCCATCTGTCGCTGTAATGATCTCCAAGCGATGAGTCCCTCAACTCATCGCCTGGATACGGTGATGCGGGAGCAAGCAAAAGAACATGAGATCAGAAGTACATGGCGTCGTAAGAGCGTCTGGTAGGTGGCAATCGTAGATGATGCTCCAGGAAATGCTGCAAACACAGTAGTCATTTAAGAGAAACGCGAAAACACGCGTTTCCTCCGCAAAGTCCACTTACGTAATTACGATACCATGGTAAAAACCAGCTAACCCCAAAAGGGTTGGCGCCGGATACGGCATAACGTAACGCCGAAATTTTTTTGAGATCGATTTCTTCGACCAGTCTCCGCTTGTCAATCGCAGCCCTGGACGATATCGCGAAGAGGGACGAGGAACTAGCTTCTTTCGAGCTGTCGCCATGGATCTGCAGCCTCCTTCGGTACTGGCTCAATTGCCTCGTCCGCTACATGCTTCGACTGGCAAAATCCACATCGGCGAGGTCTACAGCTTGGCCGACTCGAAAAAGAGAAAGAGATATGAAGTTGTTGTCGCAGTGGACGGGGAGGCAGTGAATATTTACAATGTATGAGGACTGAAGGATTCTTTGAACTTTAGGAGGGTTGAGCTAAAGATTGAGGGCAGATACAAACGCCAAAACTTGCTACCTCGTACGCTGTTCCGCCGCAATCTTCATTTTCTTGCCGGCCACTCTCGGTTCGCAGAAAGCTTTCGAACAAGTTAGCGATCAGAAGGCAGACTTATGTCGCAGTTAGCCGTCCCGAATTACAGGTAAAATGCTTCATTGAGCAGAGCGGAGCCGGTGAAGCGAGCGGGCCTGCTATTTCATCATCTGCGTTCTCCGTGAAGGATTCAAATAGTCCCACAGTTTTCTTGGGGACAGTTTCTAGTGGTGTAGAGAAAAAGAAGGATGAAGAGGATGAGACACCTTTCGATATTCTTGCTGTCCATAAAGATGGTCGCGTTCGAAGGCTGGCGCCGGATCTCGAGACCCAACGGTGGAGCATCAGGCATAGCGAGATTGCAAAAGTGGGCACAGGTTACGAAGTACATTCCTGCTTTCTTGCTGAATTTGAAGATGTGAAGAAATCTCTCTTCAAGAGGAGACAAGATCTACTGGCGTTGGCGCTGAGTGACGTTGCAAGCTCTGGTGAGGAACCTTCGGTACTACTGGTAGTTTCTCATCCTACTGGCACCGATCCCATCAAATCACAGGATGTCAAAGTGCATATATTTTCAGTTCCTGCGCATGCGCGGTCAGACAGTCTTGTACTGGACGAGGGCCAAAAACTCAGACACTTATTGACCGTCAGTTTACCGAATTTAGACAACCAGAGAACGTTTAAGAGAGATGGCATGCAGTGGAATCTCCATGCGGGGTCAGCAGGCTTGAGCCTTTCTTTTGAGAAGGGATTCATTAACTTTGACCTTTCACAATACTCGCCTGCCGTGACCTCACAGTTTATTCTCGAAGATGAACGGTTCTCTTCAGTCATGCGCATTTCTGCACAGTCTGTCATTGGTGCTGGGAAGTCTATCATCGCGTTGTATGACACGCGATTTCAATCCGTTCTGCGGAGCATTGCGGTTGAAGATGTTTTATCCGGCGGTGCTTCGGGAACCGACGATTCAAAGACGCCAACGACGTTCTTGGGTTACTTTGCGAAATTGGGCGTGGTTGTAGCTACAAAAGGAAGTTCGCTACTTGCGTTCGACATAGACTCGTCGACCTCTGGCTCTAGGTCTTCTCTCAAAAGACAGAGGGATGGACTTTTGGTCGATGCCATTGGGCGCGGCATAGGCTTGTCCACGGAGATATGGGGCGCGGTCTCAAAAAGGCAGCGAAGTGAAGATAATACTGTACTGAGTCTCGGCTCCTCAGAGCAGGCGGACACATGGCGCCAATTCGTGAAAGAGCTGGGGGAAGCTATCAAGTCTAAAGATGGTGCCGCTTTCGATCGTGCAATGAAGGCATATTTCAGCCCTTGCGATGGACCAAATGGATTGCCTTCAGCGGAACATTTCTTCAATCCGGAATTGATACTCTTCCTTTTGTCGAAGATATTCTCGCTGAAGGAGACCCGTGACAAGGACGTGACGCCCTCGTCTCAGGTCTCGATTACATTGTGGCCAGAGAATACGTGCAACTGGCTCATTGAATTGGGACAGTTCTCTATGAACAGTGTTGAGGTTGCATTGCGTCGATCCTCCAAGCCTCGCATTTTACCACCATTTCCAACGGGTTCTTTTGCACAGGCGTTGATCGAAGCAGACCCTTCTTCTCGACGCCTCATTCAAGTTCTTCAGGGTCCTGTCATACTGGATGTATCTGAACTCGCCTACTCGCTCAAACTCTTCTTGAACATGGCACGTTCCGCGATTGTAGAGGAACCAGCAGCCGCCGCAGCAGCCACCAGTAACGGAATTGTCGACGAGTATCAAGACATTTACAGCAATAACACCAATGATGCCGATAAATCCCTAACAACGAAATCAAAAAACTCATCCGAACCCTCCCTAACAAACGTCTTCACGGGTCTAAATGTTGCCCTCGGAAAACTCCACTCCCACCCCATCGCCTCCATCACCAAAGCCCTCCGTTCCAATTTATCCAGAACAGAAATCATCTCCATCCTCCATCACCTTCGCCTCTGCCTCGCAACAGGAGGCTATACATCCCGCTTCACAGAACACCCCCCGACCCCAGTCTCGCCCGACCAGGTCTCCCCGCCTCTCTCTCTGGACACCATCACAGATCTCCTCATCGCATCCGTCGATTCCATCGGCCCCTCAGGCTGGATCTCCGCCGCTTCCCCGACGGATATCGTTGGCATCGCCGCTGCGCAAGAATTCGATCTAATCGGGGAAATGAAGTCGGAGATCTCCGCCGCCCTCGCCGGAGTCGAGGAAGCGATGTACCTCAAGGGTATTCTGCGAGAATATATCCGGTTTGGCGAGAAGGTTGTCTCGTCCTCAAACAAAGACGGGGATGATAATGCAACTGCAACCGCAACCGACAGCGCCTCTACGAACGTAGCAGAGACGTCTACAACAACAACAGCGCAAGTAACAGTTCAAACGCCCATACCCGCAACACGGCACGAAAGACTCAACGGCGCAGACCTGATTATCTTCTCCGCCCCGTCAGACGGATCGGACTCCTACTTCTATAACAGTAACGAAGACGAAGCGGATGCCCGAAACAAGATGCTCCCCTTATCGCTCACTCCTTCCGCCGTGACGGACGTGAGTAAGACAAAGGTCAAGAAGTCCACGGGTGAAGTCAAGCAGAGAAGTACCCGTGAGATAGGGTATTTGCGCCGGAAGGCTGTTGGGAAGTATTCGTTTGAGAGGCTCATTGTGTAGCCTTTTTTTAACCTGAACTGGGGGACTTGATTATTATTACTTTTTTTTTACTTAGCATATGTACTTTTTTTCTATTAACGTTGAAGGCCTTCCCTTTCCATTTTAGTGCTCAGGTCTTGGCACCCTGAGCATGGGGTCAGTGCTGGAGTGAGCAGTGGGTAAGATGTAGCCTCAATAAAATGCACCAGCACCAGTGTTTTTGACCACATTATTGTTTCGGTTTCTCCCCCACAAAAAAAGCCCGGCATTTGCCCATTTTGCCTGTATAATCAACTGCGTCAACCCATCTCCATACAGTTCATAAGCATGAAAGTAATTTGGAAGCTATTAAGGGGCCCAGCTTGTAGCTGATGAGCTACATCATTGCACAGTAAGTAACCTTAAGGTCATTCTGTGGAGATTGCCCTACTTGTATTGAGGCCCCCACTATGCAACAGCCATGTCTCCTTTTCTAGATCTGGGGAGTAAGGTTCTAGGCTCTCAGGAACAGACTTGCTCCTAAGAAGGTGCCTAAGTCTTTTAGGATGGCCTGGAGGCTAGTGCCGGTTCAGGTCAACTGTATCCTGGGCCATGAGTGCAGATGAGTGCTCACCTGTGATGCAAAATACCCAGCGAGCATTCCTCTGAGCGCCCTTGTGAAAGCATGGGCATCTAGAAGGGGAAAAAAGTCAATGTGGTTCTAGAAATTCTATTCGATATAGTGACATAGTTAGTTATATGGGGGATGTTATGTCATGCATTCATTTAACTACTTCAGACGTTCTGGGTATCATTTATTTTGTTGATTCTTTTTTTATCCTCAACAGCTGGACACCATGTATGTACCTTGCTGTATATGTTGAAGGATTGAAAGAAGGGAAAAGCAGTCACAAAAAGGGAAGAAAAAGAAAAGCTTTCAATTTTAGCACACAGCCATATATTTGAATCCAAAACCATCATGTCAATAATGTAGTAAGCAATAATGATATCTAAACAAAGTTTGTTTTTTTTTTCCTTTTTCTTTTTCTCTTTCTCATTGATTCATCGACTCGATCCCAGCCCTAATCGAAACCAAACGAACCATGGTAAAAAACAGACAAACCGGAAGCAACTCCGACAATGACCTTGACAATTTAAGCTGCCCTTCTCAACAAGAACAGAAAAGAAGAAAAAGAAACAAGTTATGTACAATATAAAAAGCTATGTAATATGCACATTTAAAGCAGTAAAGGATCGCCTTTGGCCTCAATTTGGAACATGTAACGGGATTCGGGCCTGGACTCCATTCACCAATTTCAGGTGACTCTCGTCAGGAGAAATCTCTCAAAGCTGCAAGGCAAACAAGCAAGAAGGCATAGAAGACATCACATCAAGTAAAAACCAAGGACAGGACAAGAGGGGAATCAAGCTCTTTTCAGCACATGTCACGTAATCCTCATTGGGTAAATAGCGTATATATAGCAAGGAAATCAAGGGGCGCTCAAAGATTATCTTCGTAAATGTACAGAGTGCAAGCACGCTCAGAGGCCCAAGTCGTGTGAAGAATGCTTCTGGAAGAAGGGCGCAGCCATTTCAAATCAAGATCAAGCGCGTCGAGTCGCCTTTAGACACCGAAGTACGTTGAGATCATCGGGAGAATATCCGTGGATAGCTCTGCCATCATAGCCAATCAAAAGCACTTCGAGAAGGGGCAAAAGGCCAGTGAGGATAAGGGCCAAGAATCACAACTTTCTCAACAAAACCGAATTTTCAGCACGTTCTTTCATCCGAATGGCTTGTGCCTCAAGTGATCGGGCCATTAATTTGGACACTGTGAAATAAATCAGAAACAGTTCGGCGCAGTTTTAACGAGACAAGAAAAATAACTAACCTGGCCATACAGAAGCCCGATCAAGTACGCACGCTGTAGCTATGGCGATCTTGCTTCCAAATCCTCCCTCCACGACACTAGGAAGTCGCCGCCAGATATCAAAAGCCGGCACGGAGCCACTATTCTGAGCGGCACGCTGTATTTTAGTCTCAATGGTTCCGAGAATATCCTTAATCTTTTCCACAAGCTTGCAGTCTTCGTCCTCGAGGAGCATGATACCTGGGACTTGCGTCAAGTCAATTTCGTCCTGTCCCAAAATCCCAAGATAGGGGCCGACTCTTTCTTGGACTGTACAGATCCATTCCGCAAGAACTTGCCCACAGTCAAAAGTGCACAAGGCGCTTTGAAGAGGAAGCTCCCGGGAAGTAAGCTCGCCAAACGTATTGCCGAGCCGGTCAGACATAGCCATTGAATCAGCGGCATAAAATGCTGCCTTTCGTAGGTGCTTCTCACGAGCAGATTGACTAGTTCGATAGGCATTTGGCAAATCGTGCGCTGTTTGAGTCTGATGTGAAACTTTAGAGAGAGAGAGATCTGCTACTCCCAAATCTGCCACGGAATCATGGCGATTGCGGACCTGGCTTCCGACATCACCCCCCGAACGGTCCGATGGGTCAGGAGTGACGGTGTCTGCATGGATAATTTCGGTTCCACGGGTGAGTTCATCGGCCATGGCGTTCCAATCCCTTTGGCAGAAGGCCTCCCGTGACCGTCCAATGTTAACAAACAGCCTGACGTACGCAAGATCTAAGAGTGGTATGCTGTCGGCAGAGAGGGGCCCTGCGCCGAATGGATTTGGCCTCTCGAGACTGTGGATAGGATTGCTAGCCCATGCAGCTTGCCATGCTCTCAAGGCAGGTTCGATGTGCGCCTGCATAGCATCTGCTTCACGGGATGTCCACTGTCGACCCATGTGCCTCTGGCGTGTTTCCCAAATGTAGTTGTGCAAGGCGAGAATGAGCACCAGACAGCCAAAGCTGCTGGGCCTCAGAGGACTAGGGGTCGGTTGTGACTGCTTTTGCTCCCTTTGCGAGGCAGTTAGCAGAGTCGTCAACGCAGACGAAAATGAGAAGGTGTCCTTTGAAGAAGACGGCCCGCCCATTTTCTTCCACGCTTGTGGCGACTCCGCCGCCCAAACGCTTTCTTCGCAAGGCAGGTCAAGTCGGATCTCGGAATTGGTCAGAGCAGGTGCACAGTTATAGGATGCTACCAGCAGGCTGGAGACAACGAAGATGGCAAAAAGACTACGCTTCCTCTCCTCAACCATTTTCCAATTCAGCCAATCTCTTCTTTCCTTGGGTATCCCAAACGCTGAAGAATTCGGATGGCTGTGAGCATCATTTCCGTTGGTGGAAGTCAGGTAGTCGGGGGGAAGGTCCTTCGGCGCCACATGGCGCGTCAAATCAGCTGCGCGCGCAAGGCTGACCAGCGCAGCACAATGCGTACAGGCAATATCAGCAGACATCTTATCGCCAGATGCATGACCGTAGATGACATTTAGCAACATGGCCTGTATCAACCAGAGCGGAATAGCATGTGCGGAGCTTTCACGGGCAGAATTTGCACGGCCTAGTACCGTCGACATGTCTACTTTCCGTCGCTCCTCGAGGTAGCGTTGGATCATCTTTTTGGAGGCTTCCATAAGATCTTTTGAGGCGGCCGTATCAGACTCGTATAGAGCGCCGATAGCGGCTATTGAAAGGGTGAGACAGCCAGCGCCGCCTGCGACGCCAGATGAGCTCAGGTTCAGGTGTCCGCTAGGGACTTGGAGGTTTTGCGTATATTCGGAGGCTTGGAAATTGAGAGTAGGGACATGGAGGAAAGATAAATGCGGATGGAAGTAGGTAACGTAGGACGAGATGTAGCGTTTCATGTCTGAGGTGGATGGTAATTGGCAGGCGACATCGAATGCAGCAGGGGTAGAGAACTCGAAGCTATACGGGTTGACGCTCGTAGGTTGAGAGTACTTGCGGTGGCTGAAGCCATTGGACTGCGAGATGCTGCTCAATAGAGCTTGTCGAGTGCTGTCTGTAAAGGTATCCGCGGGACTGTGAGTTGAGGGGGCACTATTATTCGCAAAAGGCGGGTTGAGAGGATTAGGAGATTCTCCGTTTGTTGCCATTGAGGATGATGAAAACATACTCTGCGAATGTCCTCCCAACAAGGGCTGGCCCACGGGTGCCATGGACGGGGGAGTGCCATAGGCCACATCAGCGAACTGATTCTGCGCCATGAGCGACTTGGGAGAAACCGTCTCTGGCGGTATTCCCGTATCGTTAAATGTGGGAGAGGTAAAATCCATCGCCAACTGTGTGGTAGGAGGCATCGCAATATGCCCTGGGAACGAGCTGGGCCAGCCGGACGAAGACACCGGAAGGGGATTCGAACCGTCTATCACGGCTTCACTTATTCCGCTTTGGCTTCCCGTGCTCATAGCAGACGGAGATGACTCATCGATGGCGGATTCGTTGCTGTTGCCCAACATTAGAAAGGGATCGAATCCGTCCATCCAGTCAAAATTGTACTCCTCGTCCATCATCGGATCCAAGTCCTGGATGGCCTGAGAAAAAGGAGATGGAGGAATGTCGTTGCCAAAAGGATGAGGAGAATCCGCGAAGTGAAGTTGAGCCGGGTTGATCGTACTGCCATGGCCCATGAGCATATCACCAAAGCCAAAATCGAAGCCACCATAGGCTGGTGCAGTACGCAGGCCGCCAGATAGATCGATCGGCAACCCTGCCGTCTCCAGCTTGGTCAGACCTGTGTTGACATGAGAGTGTGTAGTGCCAAAACCGCGGTAGTCGAAGTTTGAAAGAGCCGACGCAGAACCAATGCTAGAATGACGGGTATCGTTGGACTGCGTGGCAGCAGATGAGGGACTTGGAGCGGTATGGACTACCCCCACAGCGGAGCTTTCGACGTGGCCCGTGGTGTTCGCCCGAGGTCGCACAGAGTTTGGGTTGCTGGCAACGGAGTTTTTGCGAACACGGTTGGCACCGGTTGCAGCACTGGTACTCTCCCTTCGGCCATTCCTTGGTCGGGAGGATGGAGGGGTGGTCATGTGTAGTTTCTGCTGATGCCTTAAGAGAAGATCCCGACGCGCGAAGCAGCGTGTGCAGCTCGGACATGCAAAAGGCTTCTCCTTCGTATGCGAACGCTCATGGCGCTTGAGATGTTCCAGCCGTGCAAATGACCGGCCACAGGTCGTACAGACGTGTGGCCGGGGCTTGTCCGTTTTGGGTGGTGGGAAATTGCCATTTACGTGTTTCTGGACATTCGCATTGTTTTGCTTCGTATCTTCCCGAAACGGCGCTGCAGGCAAGGGTGTTAGGCAAGAGAGAAAGCTGCCACGATGTGTGCACTAGCGGCCTCCGACAACCGATCACTCACCAGACATGTCTCCAGGAATTTCGCTGATACTTGCAAGATCGTCCGCTCTGGAACTAGTGTTTGAAACTTCGCCGGCCATGGTGTCCAAGAGCATTCCTAGTTGGGCGCCGTCCCTTCTCCGAGATGAAGGAGGAGCGTTGGCCACGAGGTTTGTTCCAGCGAGAAGAATATATACCAGCGAAGTCAGGGAAGGGCTTGCAGGAAGGGAATCGTAAGCGTAAGCGCAGGCGTCAGGGCAGGACAAGTGTGGCACAAGAACGGCTCAAACGGTAAATAAGTTTTAAGTCTAGTGATTTGATGACATCAAGTTAGCATGGTTTGCTCATGGCGATGCCTGTAGGGCGATCCAGAAGCCCTAAATGGGGGTCGTTTTGACGATGGCGAGAAACAAACAGGCAAGACACTAACCGGTGGTAAAGGCAAGAGCGTTCAACGGGTCGAGCTACCACATGAGCACTGTTGACCGCGGGTCGATAACAGATGGAACTGACAAAGCTGGGAGGAAAGAGGTTGGATCCCTGGGAGTTCAAGAAGCTGACATCAGCATACAGAAGCCGAGAGGGATGACCAAACATGGTAAAGATCGAACACACTTCAGTCAGATGTAGATTGAAACAAGGTAGACCATCAGAAGTACAAGTGATGAGGCAATTTTCCATCCACAGGGGTAAAGCAATGAAGGATCGTGGCGAATCTACCTGGATGTCTCTGGACTGTTCCAGGACTGTTCGACCAGTGGCTCGAGTGGAGGGGCAGCAGGCAGAAGGACACGGAGGCTGAGCTTCAATTGATCTGTGACGAGTTTGACGGCAATGCCTCTTTCTGATGTGGATGAGATCGGAATGCCAAAGAGAGAGGGGGAGAGAAAGAGAGAAAAGTAGGAGGGGGAGGGAGGTTGAGGCCCGTCAGTTTTGAACCGGGAAGATGTCTTAGAAACACGACGGGAGGAGTAGTAATAATAATAATAATGGATAATGGATAATAGGAGTAGTAGTTAGTAGTAATAATAGATAGCAGAAGATATTGATCACAGCATTGAAGGCAGTAGGGTTGGAGCCCCGTCAGTGGCAGCAGTATCGAATACTCAGTATTACTACCTACCAACTTACTACTATCGACGGGCGGCAGAAAGCATGGGCCATGATGGAGCAGCTGGAGCACGGCCGGAAAATCGCAAGGGCAGCGGCCACGGCGGCTCGATACTGGCTGTGCTGCTGCCCCTAAAGCGCTCATAGGAGCTGGGTGGGTCCCCGTCACGGACCTATTGGCTATCTGCAGCTGTAGGTGGAGCCACTGATGCGCTAGTGCTGCTAGTACGGAGAGGCGCTATTCCTGTGCGGGAAAGCCCGTATCATCATGGACCCACAGCCCTGGCCAGAGTCCAATGCCGTGCTGTACCGTCGTTACCGGTCATCCGAATGCCGTATGGTCATGACGGCGGCCGCGGTCACGGGCTGTCGCTGATTACTATTACAAGGCAGGCATTGCACTAACATGGCGTACAGCACATGCCACATTCCTTCTGCAACATGGCGCCTGGACCGGCGTTTGATGTCCTTGCGTCTCGTTGCGCTCGTATTATTCGAAGCTCGCAGTTCTCTCTGTGTCTGCTGGCCATTTTGAAACAAAAAAAAAAAAAAAAAAAAAAAGAAAAGAAAAGAAACCGAAATGCTCAGCTAACATTGGCCATTCCGAGTCTGCCGATATACGGGATGGCATCCTTGCGTGTGGTTACTAGTATACACAGTAGACTATGTAATGAATGTACCTAATAATGCTGAAGCCAGCTGTCAGACTCTGGGGCTTCCCCGGATTTCCTGGTCCCCCTTCAGCTTTGCCCCCCGGCGGCCTGGGCGCCTTTCCCCAAACGTGCTAGATTTCTAGAACACCATGGTCTGATCAGCCACGGCTGGACGTTACAGTCGGTATTATTATTATTGCTGTCATTGTAACGGATCATGAGGGCACTCTCGGCCGGCACACTGGGTTTCATCCTATTTTGTCAAGGGAGTGTTGAGAGTAAGTAACCGAGATATCACTGATCCAGCCCCTGAACCGGATTTAGATCCGCTTTCATCAACTCAACTTAGCCCTTCTTCTCCAGCTTTCATCCACTGGTGGATATTGATAATCCTGTTTCCAGCCACACCTCGAGCTGTATCTACAGCTGTACAGACTACAGCGTAGATATTCCTTGATATGACACGTCTCATTGCTCTATATCAGATCAGTTGGCTTGCCATGATGGTACAAACTGGTTGACCTGACATGTGAATATCAGCTTATAACAGAGAACACCTCCGGATCTACCGGTACGTCTACAGCAGAAGTACACCATGCATATGCGGGAAATTTACTTGCATCTGTAGGCCCATGCGGCTGGACAAATCCTTCTCTCCAGCAGGCAGCTACTGCACGATAGTCAATACTGTAATGACAGAATGAAGGCTATTCCCCAGTCTTCAGACAAATCAACAATGACATCGAGGATAAACCTGCCAACACAGCCATGTGGAGGGTGACGAGCCGCCGTGCTTGCATCTGCAGAATACAGAATATCTTCTCCTTATAGTAATTAATTAGCCTAGATTGAAGACCATGGCGCAATGGGCGATGGGGATACCCCGCGCTATGATATGACACCTAATACATATCCATATCCCTTTTGCTGATGGATTGTGCAGTTGACCTTGTCGCTTCTTCAGAGCTGGTGGGATGACGTATTATTCCTGCACTGCCATTTTGTTATGTTATCATTATACAAGCCTTGAGTTTATGAGCATGGCTGTTTTCATTGTAATTGATGTCTACCCCTTGCTGTTACCTGGTCTTGACACAGCATACCTATTACTCTGTAGTAGATGTCCAAACTACCACATGCTTTCAAAACAGTGAAAGACAGATAAGACATCTCCTACCTGGCTAAAATGTCTGGAAACTTTCAAGAAAACAAAACATCGCGCGTGTAAACTGGGTATCAAGAATAACCCTACGAGTTACAGGTTCTAGACAGCGCACTACTAAAACAGGTCGTTAGATGTTCAGGACTGGAAATTCTTTTAATCTCACAGATGAATGCATTGGACCTGAGACTTAATTTTAAGCTAGGGATAGATACTTTTTATACGACAGCCACTATCCTTTCCGTGACAGCCTGTCGAACAGTATTGACTCATAGAAATCTTCCATGCTTCTGATTTATATTGACGTTATCTACACACTAATTGTCTTGAAAACCCTGTTGAAGAATCGTGTCAGTCTCAACTCCATACACCCATACGAAAGAGATTAAACACATACCCAAATCCACTGCTTCCAGTGGCCATGACAGTACCAGGCATCTGCGCCTGCCAGTGTAACTCCTTAACTGAATCCATGTAGTGCACGAAAAGCAACTGCGGTGGTACACCGGCCAGGTTGCTCTGGCGGATCTCTTCCTCGTCCAGTTCTACGGCTAGATCCCAAAGCGTGACCGTGTTGTCCGCCGAACCCACGGCGACCACACTGTCGTCGGATGGGTGCCACTCAATGCTCGTAATAGGTTCCCGGTGGAAGTCAAATGAGGCAACAGGTGATGGCCGGATCTGTGATGAAGGTGCCGAGGAGCTGGGTTTCCAATGCCTCAAGTCCCAGACGGCCCACTGTCCGTCATCAGCGCCGGTTGCGAGCAGATGGAATGTCTGTTTGGACCAGCTCATGACGTTCACGTCCGTCTTGGATATCTTTACATCCACGGCTGGCTTGCGCGACTTGGACCGTACATCCCAGACCTTCACGCTCCCATCGCTGCTGGCGGATGCAAAAACATTTCGCTCGTTTGGCGACCATTGTAGCTCCTCTACTGAAGACGTGTGACCGACGAATGGTCGTGTGTCCGTTACCCATCCACCGCCCTCCGTGCGTGTAGTAACATAGATCAATCCATCATTGTCTCCCGTCAATAACTTGCCAAGCGGATGCAATGGTGACCAGTCCAGTGCGTATCCTTCGGTCTTGTGCATACGAAGAGTAGACAACGGTTTGTAGGCTGACGGCGCAAGCACTGTTCCAGGGACATCGAAGCTTGCCAGGTGAGGCGTAACATCGTGAATAAGTACTTGTGAGTTCTCGAGCATGCTAGCCGTTATGGTCTGCGGGGGTTTGGAATAATCCCCCGACTGTGAAGGTGTTTGGTGGACACGGATTCGATTCGTCGTTGAGTTCAGAGGGATAGATTTTGACTCGAGGATAGGCTCTCCCACATCATCGTCGGAATCAGATTCGCTGTCGGAGTCGCTGTCGTTCTCTCTCTCCATCCTACTCAGCCCACTTAGTTTGAGGACCATCAGCTCATTGTCTTTCGATCGCGAGCTCTCGGCCTGTGTGCCAGCTACAGCATATACGGTTGCTGGGTACGTCTGACGGTTATCACCTAGGGAATCTCGGACAATGTCGAAGGACAAACACGGCCATGGTGTGCTGAGGGTATGCAACATGTTGTAGGTAGACGGATCCGGTGCAAGGGTCTCGCCCGGTGCCAGTTTCGTCCGACCCGGAATAAATATCTGTTTATCAACCTCCATGGCATCTGCTAACACTCATTGCCATCAATAAAATGTCCCCTTACACACAAAAGTCGAACAGCGCCCACCGCGGTAATAGCCTCTAGGATAGCTACATACCCTGCTCCTCTTCCGCTTCCCGCTCTGCATCTGGCCGTCCATCTACTCCAGCCTCGAAAATCTCATCTTCACTTTCGAATTCGTCTTCAAACTCGTCCTCGTACTCCCCGCGCTCGTCGGGAGGGGCATCAGCGATAGGCCGTTCTCCGGCCTTGAGGGGAGCTGATTGCTCCTCAGAAGCGTCTGCTGGTCTTTTAGACATGATAAACGGTGTGATGTCCAGTCAGAAACAATGTGAAATTATCCTGGCGACGAACCAGTCGTTGCTGCAGGAGGGACTACACTGTTTCTCATGCGGACAGCACTCGGGGCGATCGATAATTTTTTTTTTTTTTGGGATGAAGGGCGCTTAGCCTATCACGGACTAGCGCCCTTGGGCCGACCGACTCAGGGACGCATCCAGTGATTCCAGTCCGCCGTGGACCTCGCTGCGTCTCGCTGCCCAGGTCTCTTGTTGCGGCTGGCTGATTGCCATCTCGTTTCTACTTTGGTTCATTGCTGTTGCGTTCTTATTCGCTTCATATTTGTCGGGGGAGGGCTTTTTCATCATCCTCGGTTGCTGTTCTCTCTTTTTAGCCTGTCCCTGTCCAGTGTCTACCCATATCCCCACGTCATACCATAGAAGCCACTAAACACAAGCTCGCTCCTCTGATCCGTGCAGATTTCAGTCATATGAGATACATCGAAGCACGCTCCTTACTGTCGCTGCGGAGCTGTCTCTGATGAATAATTCTTGGGAGGTGTTTCATCCTTGAGTCTTGAGATATTGGTTGGTCTCAGCCCGTCCGTTGACGCTTACCCCTCCATTCCGGACCTTCGACGTTCACCGTACTTTGTCAATTCTGCTAACTTCGTTTACTTCTTATCGATAGATTGCTTACTGATACGCTCTTTCGACTTTGTTTACCTAATTCCAATATGGATGCACCACAGCTCCCAGAAGCGGGAGCCCCAGACGCCGCAGAACCGCAGCCGCCGCAGGAGCTCTCGCAAGAACAGTCCCAACATCAGATTCCATCCACGCCTCTTGAAAATGCTAATTCTCCGAACCTAGAGGTTGCGTCGGACTCGGCGGCCCGCTCTCCAAATTACAATAGTGGATACAGCAGTGACCCGCGTGGAAACTATTCCGCTGGATTCAACTCCCCAAATCGTGACTACGCGTCCCGTGATGGCGATCAGCTTTCTCGCGTTAACTCTTCTCCTTCCATAAATTACCAGCCGCAGCCTACGCAGCAGTCTAGGCCCCCGAGTTCTGGTGTGTCGAGCGGCCCCGAGCAGCGGCAGAGACAATTGCCGCCGACAAAAAATAGCGTCGTGATCAAAGTTGGCATGGTTGGAGATGCCCAGATTGGGAAAACCAGTCTGATGGTGAAATATGTGGAAGGTAGCTGGGATGAAGATTACATTCAAACGTTGGGTGAGTTGGAAGCCATTCCTTGACAAACTCTGTGGAAAACCCCGTGGAAAATGTTATTTTCTTTCCCTAACTATTTGAAGGTGTCAACTTCATGGAGAAGACCATCTCAATTCGGAACACCGAAATTACCTTCTCGATCTGGGATCTCGGTGGTCAACGCGAGTTTGTCAACATGCTTCCTCTGGTGTGCAATGATGCTGTGGCCATTCTGTTTATGTTCGACCTCACGAGGAAGAGTACCCTGAACTCGATCAAGGAATGGTACCGGCAGGGTCGTGGGTTCAACAAGACCGCCATTCCTTTCTTGATTGGTACCAAGTACGATCAGTTTGTCAACTTTCCACGCGAAGATCAGGAAGAGATTTCTATCCAGGTATGCTAGTGCATGGAAGAGATTCGGGTGGTTCGTTCATATGCTGATCCGTATCAAGGCCAAACGATTTGCAAAGGCCATGAAAGCAAGTCTGATTTTCAGCAGTACCAGTCATAGTATAAATGTTCAAAAGGTCAGTATTTCCTGTGGTTCTTTTTTGCTCTTATGCTGACTGGTCTAACTCCGACGCAGATATTCAAAATCGTTCTGGCCAAGGCTTTTGATCTGAAGTGCACTATTCCGGAAATTGAGAATATTGGAGAACCTCTGTTGCTCTACAAGAATGTCTGAAAGCACTAATGATGACGCGGTGGGACGCTTGATGATTATGTGCATTTGGACGAAGCTATGGTTGACGATTGGCCTTTTTCTTTCTCACTGGAATGGGCACTATTAATGGCATATAGCCACAGAGAATCTTGCCTAGTATCACAGCGTTGGTGAGCTTGGTATTGTCATATTATTGTCAGGATTTTCGGTTTCCCTCTCTTTTCTATTTCTTTCCTTCTCTTTGCCATTCCTTCCTTTCCGTCAGCATTGGGATTGCATTCGAAACTCATTCTTGTTCTTCTTCCCCTTTTCTCTTGATTGCCGATTGCTATCCTGCAGTGTTGAATATGGATGGCTTTCGACAACCTGCGGGGCACTGATTGCGATTGGACCAGGCTGGGAAATCAGATAACCGGTATTGTCCTCCTTTTTTCAATGGTCTTTACTTGGTGATTCTCTTTAACTTCCTTGTCTGCTTTCTTTTGTTAGGATCTACCATGATTTGTCACTGTGCTTGTTCAGACTCCAAGTGTTTCCTTGGGGCGTTAGGAGTTGATTCAGGCGGAGAATTGATACAGGACAATCACCGCCAAGACCGAGATTTTCATTGTTCACTTATCATTTTTTTTCCAACGTCAATAGTAGAGCAGTCTAGCATTGGCTATTGAGCAGATATGTACACAGTTGCCATATGGGTTACAGGAGGTCGAGTCAACCTCCATCCCCAACATCAGCTCTCCTTGTCTGGGTGAAACTTGCATGCAAAAGCAGTGAAGTAAGGCGTTAGACCAGGCTAAAGACTCCTCGGGAGCTCACAATTTATTTCACCCAAACTCCCCGGTCATATTCATCCATCCACTCTGTGTATTCGGGACCAGCCGCAACCCACTCTTTGATCCCACCTTGGAGCGTCCAATTCTGTAGTGCTGTATCCCCCTTTTCCTGGAGATAATCCGCAAACCACCCAGCTGCACGCGTTCCACGACCTCCACATGAACCTGCATCTATCATGAGAATGGAACTGGGCAGCTTGGGAGCCCCCCAAAAAGGGAACTAACCACAATACCAAATAACATGCTTTACGTTACCGTTCGACAGAAGAGAATAAAAGGGTCGGAAGAGAATTATATAGGCTCTGGGCCGGCAGATTCAATGATCCACGAATGGTGCCCCCCTGGACACCAATGTTACCTTAGGTATATACTCTTCCTACGGCAAAACATTGTACTATGTTATGGATATATATGTATCTCGAAATCTGCCCGACGCAAGCCCACCAGTAGAAAACCTTTCCCTGCCTGTTTGCCCCCTCGAAACCATTTCAGTAGTTCCTGGCGAGGAAGGGAGGCTACGACGGTTTTTGGGGCGGGGGTAGCTGCGTGCCATGGGAGGTTGCCGCTTGGTGGCTTTCCGATGAGGGTTGTCATTATAGATTTATTTTTGGCTGGTGTTAATTTTCAATTTGGAGAATAATGGAGGGGATCTCAGATGTTCTTGGAGACTGAATATGATGTAACCAGGTCTTGTTGTGTATTAGGGATTTAATCGTGCCCACACCGCCTACCTACACGGTCCCTACCCATGTAAGATACTGGAGAAGGAAAAGGAGCGACTAGCCAACCAACCACCATTAGATGAGGCTGAACAAGAAGCTTAGAAGGCTCAATGGTAGGTCCAGATGGTGAGTCACTTATTTATAAAGATATCACTTGTTTAGACGTGTAGTTAGGCGTTTAATTCAAAAAAGTATCATTAAACTTGGGCGCACCTACACGGGAACACGGGTAGGTAGGCGGTGTGGGTACTATTATGTGTGATTGGCTGGATGGTACTGAATCAAAACTTATTACTGCAATAATAAAGAATAGTTAACTAACTACCAAAGTACTGCTTATGCTACAGTCAGTTTGCTTTTCTTGCAGTCCAACATTATACCATCTCCCCAATCAATTCCCTGGTGCTGCTTGTCGCTACTGCTAGACTAAGCACTTGAGATGAGATGAGAACTCAAATGGCATCTCAAACTCAATTGAAATGAGATATAACTGAGCATCTACTTCATTTCAACGGCCAGTACAGTGATTATTGTTGATGCCCGTCCGGCGAACTAGTTAACTAGGAAGGAGCTGAACCATGGGAACCACCAACAATTACTAATAGTCGCTACACGTGACCAGCCTTGCCGCCAATTCTATTCTTGGGCGGCGCTTATTATTCTGACAGCAGAGCGTTCTTTCATGCCCAGTCGCCTCCGCTGGAGTTCCAAAACTTACTGATACCTCCGTTGGCATTCAGCCAGACAAAGGTAATTGTGGCAGATGGACTTGTTCGTTATATAGCTGCGTGTTGCACCCGTCTCGGTGTTATGCTAGCGACATTCCTGTGTACAGACGGCAGAGGATACTTACGACACATGACACATCCATGATCGTCGTCCGCCGTGTCAGCCTTGTGCCAACCTTGTGTCTCTTATTTGTACAACGGCTCCGGAGCTTTCTGGTATTGCTTCGCTCTCTCGACTCATTATTCCCCCCTTCTTTTCAGAAGGACCAGGCCCTCACTACGTCGCAATGGCTGAAGAACCACAGCCGATGTCAATTCAGCAGCGAATTGCTGCTCTGAACAAAGTCCATATTGGACAGGGCTTGAACGGCAGTCGGCCAACATTTCGCTTGCAGCCAGCTTCACATCTATCATCTCAACCTGCTGCTCTGGAGAGAGGCGAATTGCCCGATGATCAAGGGAAAGTGGTGGTTCACCACCCGAATTTCCCTCCTCCGCCACAGCCTTCCACTGCTGCTAGCGCCAGCAATGGGACAAATCTCAGGGTCCCACCGCCGCTACCGGCCCGGAAACTATCAACTTCATCTGCTCCACCTCCGGCATTGCCTCCCCGCATACCATCTGGTAGGAGGAATTCCAGAGAATCGCTAGCTTCCGACACGTCCTTATCTACAACCACGACCACCACGTCTGCAAGTGCGGGAACCAGGACACCGGGAACATCGTCAACTACACCTGATGCCTGTCTACATCCTGTGCGTGCGCCGCCGTGGAATGCAAAGGACCCGGTACCTTTGCCTCCAAAGAGGGAACAGACTAAAGCCGTCATAGATTCCTGGAGTTCATCTAAGCCTAAGCTCCCATCGCCTTTTCTAAAGACAAAAACTATGCCTGCACGGCCAGCGCAGCCCACTCGAACGGTTTCGAGCAACAATAATGTGCGAGGTAATGGTCACCTGGCATCTCAATCATCACCCCAAATTCCCCGGAATCTGCCCCCTCGGCCGAGTCTACCTTCTAGATCATCATCGAGCAATAACGATGCTGCCTCTTCTCCAGCTGCGGTGCAACCGCCATTAACAGACGACACCACAAAGCCGCAGAGTGCAGCATATGAAGCTCGCACCAAGTTACCGATTAAGAAACCCCCACCTCCGCCCGTTTCAGTGGAAACGCTCCGACGGACGGGACTTACAGCTATGTGGAAAAGTTTTGACACTCCAGATGAGTCGGCTGTGTCTGCCCATAACAACTCCAACAGTCCAGAAGCAGTGAAACCCCCGGAAGATGTGCCGCCACCGGTGCCACTGGCATCACGCCCTGATCTCTCCAAGATTCTAGCCACAAAACCTCGACTCCAGTCCTCTAGTTCTTCAAACGCTGGGTCGACAGTGGCCTGTTTGAAATGCCGTGATTACTCAGCCCCAGATGCGCACGCAGCTAGATTTCCACGAGAGTCCCTTCCAACTTATGACCTTCGTTGGCTGGCAAATGAGCTAACAACGCCATTTCCTTCGTTGACCGACAAGGCTAGAGTGATATTTACCTGGCTGCATCACAACGTATCATACGATGTATATTCCTTTTTCAACAATTGTGTGAAGCCGTCCACTCCTGCCAATACACTCGCCACCGGGTTAGCAGTATGCGAGGGATACGCTGGATTATTTACAGCCCTGGCAACCCACGCTGGGATGGAATCCTTAGTGGTTTCCGGTCACGGTAAGGGCTTTGGGTTCCAGGATTTGGCTCCAGGGTCTGCACTCCCACCCTTTAAAGCCAGTCATGCCTGGAATGTGGTCAGAATCGACAATGGCCAGTGGAAGTTGATCGACCCGTGCTGGGGCGCTGGACATGTCCAGGGCGCTGGCCAACCATACGTCAAAGAATTCAACCCCGCGATGTTCACGGATACTAACGACGAGTTTGGCCTGCGACATTTTCCTTCCAACAAAAACCAATTCTACCGGGATGATGGGAGATCTGAAATCAGTTGGGAAGAATACTTGCTTCCTCCCACACATCCAATGATATACTCGGACGCCAAGAGATATCACATCGGGAGGCGCACTTTCCAACCAGCGACAAATCGGATCTCCGTTCATCAGCCGGGGCCGATCCGCTTCCAGTTCAGTCTGATCTGCCCTCATTGGACGCTGGAACATCACAGTAAAAATGCCGCCGGATTCTTTCTTCTGAACATTCACGGGATTGACGGCCGGCGAGACGAGCATATTCCATTCAACCATGTGCGGGGTTCGGGACCCGGTGGCGGTGGTGACGTGTGGTACGTTGATATTGCAGACCCCAGGGTTCTAGGCGCTCCGGGACAGTCTGTGCAGGTTATGGTCCTCACTAGCTTTGGAGATCGAAAGGACCCGCGAGGGTTGACTCCTCAAGAATATCGGGAGAAGACTGGCCGAGTGGGTATGGCGTGGGCTGGAATTGCACAGTGGGAGCTCATTTGACGCGTTGCGGTCATTTTACTTCTAAATCTACAGTCTCGACTGATAGTCTAGACTGATTTTGCCCCCGATATTATTTTTAATACTCCGCATTGGTTTTCATGACTGGAGATGGCAAATGATATTATTGTTAGAATGGTTGTACAAGCGGTGCATGTTATGAATAATTGATGAGTGCATGACATGTACAGATAACGGTTAAAGCATACAGCATAGGAATTGATGATGTATTAGGTAGCTGGCTTGAAATTGGGTAGGGCTAACTAGTTAGCACATATGATTATGTAATTTCCGGACGTTCCACCAGAGCAGCCTCTATAGTATCAGGCACTTCATCCGCTAGCATTCAATACAGATCGCAGCGCTCTGCATCAAGTTAAGTCTCGAAGGGGACCAAAGCAGTTCACGTCGTGATCTGAGGAGCTGAAGGTGATGGAGTACTCGGTCCGATCCGTTTCACGCAAGCCTGGGTTGCACTCTTTCAGGCCTTTCGTGACATAAAAAATTTCTTCGTCGGGGACGGGGTTCTTGGGTAAATCCTGGGTAGATTATTAGTTATTCTGAGAGGGGATTGTTTGCTATGTGCATAGTGGTAGTAGACGCTCAGTGTAGGCAGATACGGTACCTGTGAGAGATGTTCTGCTAATTAGGGGCAAATAATAGGGCTGACTTATTGACTTATATATTGCAAACTGTTTCTGCCTAGAGGTAGCAGCCTAGTAGTAGCATCGTACAGCACATACTTACTGAATGCATACGTACTTTTTATGGAATAAAAGAGACACAAGTGGTATAATTCGAGTGTCAAGATGTTCATGCTTGACCGCGAGAACTGAAAGGAGTTGGAGATTCGAATTACAGGTAGATTTGAGTGATTACATCTCCGTAACATCGGCATGACGAGGAATATTCTTGGAATGGCTAACATTAGCCAATATATAACTATATACATGTCCATTGAACCGAATTGCGGAATGCTGTCAATGCACCATATTAATTACCTCAGCAAGGCCCCCACGCTCAAGATAAGATAAAAGATCTGGAGCTGTGTGAATGGAGCAAAGAAGCAGCAATCTGGCTGCGAGGAACTCATCGTCGGAATGGTACTCTGTGGCCACATAAGTGATCAAGACTGGGCCCAGTCCCTGGGTTGACATATCCTCATCCCTCATCCACAAACATCCTTGTCGCTGACGGTGCTTGGACCAATATGTTGTTCAGGCACCGCAAGCCAAAGTGATGGCTCCCAGGGGAGGTTCCGTTAAAGCCATGATGTCCAAGAATAGCAATGTCGGGTCTTCCAAAGGAAGAAGCCAACTTTTGGCTATTCTCGCTCTTGGTGAGGATGTAGAGCTACTAGAGTAATCCATCACACCCACTTGGATCTGCTCCGTCTCTCATCTCAAGAAATTTATTGAGATTCCTCAAGATTTCTTGCATCTGGCTCACTTCTCACTTGTTCTGCAAAGGGTTGGTTATCCATAACAGCTTGTGATGCCCTCCGCCCTTTTTCTTTCCTCCAAAAGACTGCAGAGTTGACTCACCAGAGCCACGCTTAGGTTGTAATAATCTCAAGCGAGTGGACAGAGGGAAATAGTGAGAGAATCGACTTTTGGCTCCCAGAGAAGAAATGGGGTATAGAAATACTTCGTGAAGGTGATAGGCTTAGGGAGCATTGCGAACAGTTCGTGGGCAATGAGATTTATACTCATTGGATTAATGAAGGCTTGCTGGTGGATTGGCTTATTATCGATTGCCGTACTACTCGCCCTCGAAAATACAGTATGCTTTGATTGGAATTATTTCGCAATATATTTACTGATGGAAAACAGATTTCCCGAACACCAAGCTTTGGCGGGCTGTTTTCTCTGAGGGATTCTCGTCGGTTGAAGTGCTCGATGCATCTAATCAGCCAGTGACGCGGTTTGCACTGATGCCATAGACTGTGCTTCTCGGACGTTCCAATTCCGCAAGCCAGTGGGACTCCATTCGCACTTCTGCAGGATGCTACGGGCCCATTTCACACAGGTGTTTGAGGGTGTACACTTGCTCCTCAACGAATCATATTGCCACTCTAGCTTCTAAGAGATGGGGCCGTTGAATGCGGCCCTTGGCGTTCTTTGGGTGAATGGTGTGTTATGCTGTTCTGGTGGTATTATTACGGTTGCTTGGATTGGTAGTGGGATTCCTTGCCTCGCAAAGCATTTATCGTTAACCACTTTGTTGTCTCTCGGCGAGACATGACTGAATTCGCTTATATGGAGCGATAGGGAGAGTATCAATATACTGAGCCGACAAGGAGACGGGCTGTAAAGAACGCTGTATTCTTGATGCCTATCTTCATGTTGTCTATTCTGCCCCCAAGTATGGAGTTCTCGGCGAGTCCCAAGACCACGTGATCTACATAGCCAGCCTTAAATCATCTAGATGACCTATTAGCAACCCTGTAGCTGAGGGAGCAAAGAAAGGGAGTAGTGTTAGACCTGCGCTACAGGGCATAGCTACAAATAGCAGGTAACCAGCTATAGAGATTTTCCGCATTAAGCAAACGCTATCACATGACGATTCTCCGCATTCCAATGATTAGTCATCACTTCTCCACAAAAGTACTCCGTACCGGTCCAATGTCCACAGAACATGCCACTCTCTTCACTTGGGTCCTCCATACGGAGCGTTTACAGACCCGCTGTCAATAACCTAATGTTGTCGATGTTCCATGCTCTGGATGACCAGGTACACCACCCCACAAGTACCGTGGTCGCGATGTAACGGTTGGATGCACGTTGAGAGGGCTCTGACGAGGCCCATGACCGAGGCAAAGTAGGGGCAAGTCACATGAGACGCGCCAACTTTTTCCCTCTGTCCGGCTTTTTTGAAATTGCTCGATACTTGCATCTCTTCCAATCCTGGCGCAGTGGCTGTCTTTAGTGACGGCTTGTCCCAGCCAAGGGACGCGCCACAAACCACATCCTCACGCTGTGCGTGTTGATCTTCGCCATGGCCCCCTTTGTTTGGCTCACAGGGAGGGAGGATGATGCGACATGTGTGCCTCCTAGGCACATCGCATTGTCATTCGCCTGTCTACTGCTTACTCCCATGCCTTTTCCCACGTTATGCTAACTACAAGTCCTGTGTGTGATAAGCGCTGCAGCGCTGCACGGTATACCGCAATGCTGTGAGCTTTCCCTGCTGGTAACTAACCTGGGCTTGTGCTCGCTCTCGCCACCGAATACGCGAGTTTCAGGCAAAATTTTCGGACCGTATGGTGCTGCTCAGAGCACATCTGGCCGAGTTGGCTTGGGTTGCCATGCAAGGTCACATCCGCGTTGCAAGTGTCCCTTTTCCAGTGGGGCCCTTTCACTTTTCCTGGAGTAAATCACATCCTCTGTGGGGTCTCCAGGTTGCTCCTCTCTTGGAAGTTTCCTGCCGCTTCGGGCCATCGAATGGGAGCCGAGCGCCAGTCATAGGACGTGCTCGGTGCTCCCGAGTAGGACATCCCAGTCATAATGCCGGGTGGGAATTTCCCCCAGGGCCCACCTCGCAGGAAACTTCTGAGAGAGGAGCAACCTGGAGACCCCACAGAGGATGTGATTTACTCCAGGAAAAGTGAAAGGGCCCCACTGGAAAAGGGACACTTGCAACGCGGATGTGACCTTGCATGGCAACCCAAGCCAACTCGGCCAGATGTGCTCTGAGCAGCACCATACGGTCCGAAAATTTTGCCTGAAACTCGCGTATTCGGTGGCGAGAGCGAGCACAAGCCCAGGTTAGTTACCAGTGGGGAAAGCTCACAGCATTGCGGTATACCGTGCAGTGCTGCAGCGCTTATCACACACAGGACTTGTAGTTAGCATAATGTGGGAAAAGGCATGGGAGTAAGCAGTAGACAGGCGAATGACAATGCGATGTGCCTAGGAGGCACACATGTCGCATCATCCTCCCTCCCTGTGAGCCAAACAAAGGGGGCCATGGCGAAGATCGACACGCACAGCGTGAGGATGTGGTTTGTGGCGCGTCCCTTGGCTGGGACAAGCCGTCACTAAAGACAGCCACTGCGCCAGGATTGGAAGAGATGCAAGTATCGAGCAATTTCAAAAAACTCTGGATTCTCCAAAATGATACCTACTACGCCTTGAGGACCCGGGATCGTCACTGCTTCAACCTGCAATGCAATCTAGTTACGCTGTATAGAGTTTGAACGGCCGGAAGTTGCCTTTGTTCATGCTCCTATCCTGGTGACCTGGTCTCTCTTCTCTTTAAATACTGCGTCGCTCCCACGTAGCTGTCTGCAATTCCCCTTCCTTTCTTCCTATAATACCCCAGCTCTCATAGTCCTCCATTTCGAACCGTCGTCATGGTGGTCTTCGGCAATCTGTATTTCATCACGGCCGTCGCCGTCATTGGCGGCGGTCTTTTCGGCTTTGATATCTCTTCTATGTCTGCTATCATTAGCACTGATAACTATCGTTGCTACTTCAATAAAGGTGCCATCCACTATGTAGATGGTGTGAAGAAATGCCCTGGTCCCAATGCCGATGTCCAAGGCGGCATCACAGCTTCAATGGCTGGTGGTTCTTGGCTGGGCGCTCTGGTTTCCGGGTTTCTCTCTGATATTCTGGGTCGGAAGAAGTCCATCATCGTCGGTTCTATCATCTGGTAAGCCTCTTTATAGTCAGTGGTGAATACCAAAACATTTTAAGTATCGGAAGGCTAATTGGTGTTTTTTTGTTTTTGCCAATAGGTGCATCGGCTCTATCATCATCTGTGCCTCGCAGAATGTCGCTATGTTGATCGTTGGCCGTATCATAAATGGTTTCAGTGTGGGCATTTGCTCTGCTCAGGTCCCAGTGTATATTTCCGAATTGGTGAAATCTCTCTCCCCAAGCTTTTGGCAAACAGCAGAACCACTGACTTTTGACCAAAAAGTCACCTCCCACCAAACGTGGACGTCTTGTCGGCAGCCAGCAGTGGGCCATCACCTGGGGTATCATGATCATGTTCTATATCTCCTACGGATGCAGCTACATCAAGGGTACTGCCGGTTTCCGTCTCCCTTGGGGCTTACAGATGATTCCCGCTATTCTCCTTCTCTGCGGCATGCTAGTGCTGCCAGAGTCGCCTCGTTGGTTGGCCCGTAAGGACCGTTGGGAAGAATGTCTCGATGTTCTCACTCTGGTCCATGGCAAGGGAGACCGTAACTCTGCGTTCGTCCAGCATGAGTTTCAGGATATCAAGGATATGTGTGAATTCGAACGCCGGAATGCGGACGTTACATATCTCGAACTGTTTAAGCCCAACATGATCAACCGAACCCACATTGGTGTCTTCACCCAGATCTGGTCTCAGTTGACTGGCATGAACGTCATGATGTACTATATCACGTAAGTTTTCTCTTTGTTCAAGTATCCGCCCAATTCTCCTGCAGGTAGCTGACTGTCCGTGCCAGTTATGTCTTCGCAATGGCTGGTCTGACGGGAAACAACCTTCTGGTCTCTTCCAGTATTCAATATGTCATCAATGTCTGCCTTACTGTTCCTGCTCTTCTGTGGGGTGATCGCTGGGGCCGCAGGCCGACTCTACTCGTCGGTGCTGTTCTCATGATGACCTGGATGTATGCCAATGCCGGCTTAATGGCTTCCTACGGTCACCCCGCTCCTCCTGGGGGTATCGACGGCCAGCCCGCAGAGTCATGGGAGATTAGCGGTCCACCCAGCAAGGCAGTCATTGCCTGTACATACCTCTTCGTCGCTTCATATGCCCCTACCTGGGGTCCAGTTTCTTGTAAGCATATCCTTGTTTCTCTACAATCGAGCTGCACTGACATTACAACACTAGGGGTCTACCCTCCCGAGTTATACCCTCTGCGTGTCCGTGGCAAGGCTAATGCTCTGTCTACGTCTTTCAACTGGGCCTTCAACTTTGCCCTCGGCTACTTCACCCCTCCCGCCTTCGAAAACATCCAATGGAAGACGTACATCATCTTCGGCGTCTTCTGCACAGCCATGTTTATCCACGTCTTCTTCATGTTCCCAGAGACAACTGGCAGAACCTTGGAAGAGGTCGAGGCAATCTTCACCGATCCAAACGGTATCCCTTACATTGGTACACCTGCTTGGAAGACTTCTGGCTCCTTCACCCGTGCCGCGTTGCTGGAGCAGGGATTCAAGGATGAGGAGAAGGCTGCAGGTGCAGCTACCCACGAGGAAACTACCAAGTAAAAAAATTTCCATTTGAGGGATTTTGGTTTGATTGGCTTATTCCGTCTAGTGTTATGCTTGGGATACCCGGGAGGCATAAGCAAACGACTACATACGAGATATTTTGATAGTATTTAATAATTGATGCTGATGGTCTGAATGATATAATGAAATCTCACTCAATGATTTTGGATACTGATAGACAGACAGTACACGATGTACCTCGTATTCCGGGTAGTAGTTAATAATGACACCTTTGGCATTCTTTTACTTTTTTGACTTGATAGTATAAAATATAGTACACATAAATGAAATATCAGAAATTACAATTTGATTTTAATTAAATATAATGACATCGTCACGAAAGCAGCGTACGACCATGTTAAGTCCACGGCGGATGTCTGCTTCCCCGTGTCCCGGGTGAATTGCTCAGACAGGGAGCTGTTGGCGAGAATGTACTTTTGTGCTACAGAGACGAAGTCGTCCGCAGACCGCTTTATGGATGCCGTGACGGATCTGAATGTGTCTGTCGTGTTGGCGTAGGTGTCTGCTTTGATGGAGAGGTCGAAGTCTTGGAAGAATTTCAGGGAGACGGGGGTGATGGAGAGGAAGCCTTGTTTTGACCATTGGTAGAGGGCGTCGTAGAGTTGTTCTGCTGCTGCGAGGGTGCAAAGGTACTATGGATTGCCGTCGTAATAAACGTCCTCTGCGTACCTGCCGATGGCGATTGTGGAGGTATCCTTGCTGCCGTTGTTGATGGGGTAAAGGTTCCTGAATGAGTAGACGATGGCTTTACGGTTTGCCAGGGCCCGCGCGGAACAGGGCTGGAAGATCTCGTCCTCGCATGTTGCCTCTGGATCGAAAAGATGGATCGAGGTGATAATCGAATTGGCGTCCTTGCCGCTTCGCTTCATCTCCGATTGGAGGTTGATGTTGGAGTCTATGTACTCGCCCGTCCAGAACGATTGCTGGAAGCAGAGGATATCCGGAGCCACAGTGTCACAGCTGGAGCAGGTCTTGTTGAGCTTGTTGGCAAACGCAGATCTCTTGACAAGCGCACGGTGAGAGACGGCGATGGTGAAGGAGGACCCGTTCACCTCTTCCCAGAGATCGAATCCCGTGCTGTTCCAGTACTGCGCCACGTAGGCCAGATCGTTCTTCACGATAGGCCAGATGTTCTTCTCCACCACACTGGCGTATCCGTTGTCAATCAGACAGTTCCCGTACGCGATCATCGCCGTCGCACGCAGTGGCGGACCGTCGCGTTGTGGTCGGCCCCATTCATCTGTGAAAGCGGTCTTGTTGACGTAGTATTTCGGTTCTCCTAGACCTGCGCCCGACGCAAGATTGCCAGATGGGTTTCACACTTCCTGTAGCTCTGCCTGGGACGAGATGTAGTTCTGTATGTGGTTTTGCAAGAGGTGTTGCCGTAGTGAATTGGTCGATCAGACATTTGAATGTCAACGCTGCATCTCTGGTCCAGGTATACAGTCTGTCATGGAAATCAGAATCTATGCCAAAGAAGAAAAGAAAAGAGAATAAACACACACAATCCGGTTCTGCCTTGGACGGACTGGCGACGACAATGCCAGAATCCGCTCCATCAACCAGCGCACCGTCTGGGCCGATATTCGCAAGGACACCCTTCAACGCAACCAAGTACTCTGAGGAGATAAAGTCATCCAGGTTTGATGAATCTGTCTTTGGAATCAATTCTCCTGCTGCACTGGCGACGTTCGCGTGGGTGTACAGAACCGCTGCCAGGACATAATGAACGAATGAGCGGACGAACATTGCGAGAACAAGTGAGATCTCTCAACAGGAAAAGGGAAAATAATAGGGAGCAGACAATAAAGATTAAGAGAAAAGAGTGACGAATTCAATGCATCAGGCAATGTTGTTTGACGCTGAATAGCAGAGAAGACGGAACGAGCAGGATAAAAGAGCGACCATACGGAGCAATAATATAAAAAGGGATCCCGTCCCTCGCGCGCATCATCAATCTATTTAACTACCGGCAGGAAGAGAGCTATCGAATACTATCGCTGTTGTTCCTGGGGTTGGAGCTGTGGCTTGATCGAAGGCACCACTCAGCGCAGTGAACGACCTCGCAATACCTCGGGAATGTCTTATAATAAGTCATGACCCTGATCGAGAGCATTGGAGGAGTCGATTGGTCATCTCGGTGCTTTTCTAAGTCGAGTTGGGCGTAGCACGCTGTAGGATGTATGTACGGCATATATTGCGGTGCATGAAGCAAGGCCTTGGGCTTCTGTGAAGGATCCTCCGCACCGATCGTCAACAACGACACTCACAGACGCAGAGACAACAATCCAGGATCGATTGCTGTGAAGAGTCCATCTGCAATCTGCATAACTATTAGCAGTCATAAATCGAGAATATTCATAAACAAGCAATTTCAGCGCACCCGCCCGCCAAGGAGCCGTCCGCCAATCGCTCACTGGAACCGGTGGAGTGACCAGCGAGAAATTTTATCGTCGTTCATGGAATAATAATAAGGGAACGAACCCCTGGCGTCCTTCTTCCCAGCCTCTTCATCGCCGTCCCTCTCCTTGCTGGAGGTCTTGCATGTAGAAGAACGTCCTCTTCTCGCCTGCTCTCGCCGGTCAATTCCGCTCCGCCCACGACGTACGTAACGCGTTCGTCGTCGTTCCTTTCCTCCGTGGCACTCTTCATCCGCGGAGTCGATTGATCAGGCTGCCATCTAGGCTTCCATCGACGTCTTTTACCTCGCTGCGTACGGGATCGAGGAGTTCATCAGATAGAGTCGTCCGTAGTCCGCCGCCATGGCTCGCACACGACAGATGGCCAACGCAGAGAGCAAGCAAAAATCCACTGTAGCAGCCATTCCCACTGCTAATGGCAAAGCACACGCTGAATTGAGCACGATCGAGTCGAACAAGGTATGCTATGCTGTCTCTCGTTTCGTATGTCCTCGTCGTTGCCAGGTAGTGTGCTTACTCTGTCCATGAGGAACAGATGCCTCAATCCCCCCAAGCCCAGAAGTCTCTCAAGTCTCACACCAAGCGTCGGAAGCCTCGTTCGGCATTGCGTCGCTTCAAGGACACCTGTTTGAAGCACACATGGCTATTGCCTCTGATAATCCTTATTGTTCTGCTTTCAGCCTACGCGGTGAACCCCACCGAGTCGAACCCGTTGCACAACGCCATCTTCCTCTCCTACGCTCAAGAACCGAAGACCCCCGGGGGACCGGTGATGTACGGCAAGGGTCCCAAGGATTTTGCGTTCGTGGGATTCTACACCGTCGTGCTCTCTTTCACACGCGAGTTTCTCATGCGGTGCGTCATTCGGCCGTGGGGGAAATACTGCGGAATCAAGGGCAAGTCCAAGATGGCGAGGTTCATGGAGCAGGTCTACACAGCGATTTACTTTGGTATCTTTGGTCCGTATGGGCTGTATGTCATGAAGCAGACGGATATCTGGTATTTTAACACCACTGCCATGTTCGAAGGCTTTCCTCATCGGGAGCATATGGCCATCTTCAAGGCGTACTACTTGCTGCAGGCCAGCTACTGGGCCCAGCAGGCCATCGTCCTGATGCTGCAACTGGAGAAGCCAAGGAAGGACTTTAAAGAACTTGTGATGCACCACATAATTACGTTGGCTCTGATCTTCTTGAGCTATCGCTTCCACTTTACCTACATGGGCATTGCGGTCTACATCACACATGATGTTTCGGACTTTTTCCTTGCGGTTCGTCAATGCCCGCATTTGCGTATCTTTTCTGAAATACAGTCGTTGACTAAGATTAACTATACAGACTTCGAAAACCTTGAACTACCTCGACTCCTCAATCATCGTGCCGTATTACGGTCTATTCGTTAGTGTATGGATCTACCTCAGACATTTTATCAATCTGAAGATCCTCTGGGCCTGCTTGACCGAGTTCCGTACCGTCGGACCGTACGAGTTGAACTGGGAGACGCAGCAGTACAAGTGCTGGATCAGCCAGATAATTACCTTCTCTCTGCTCGCTAGTCTGCAGGCTGTGAACCTCTTCTGGCTCTACCTGATTCTGCGGATTCTTGCCAACTATATCTTCAACAATGTGAAGAAGGACGAAAGAAGCGATGATGAAGACGAGGAAATGGAAGATATTTTGCATGAGGAGCAGACGAATGGTCGTGCGATCACCACCGCTACTGATGTCGACAAGGTTCTTTCGGCTGCGAAGCGAAATTCTGCGAAGGAGAACGGAAAGCCGCCAGCTTCGATCAACGGAGGAACGACCAATGGATCTGTTAACGGAGCAGGCCGAAAGACTCGCAGCAGCAGCAAGAAATAAGCACCCGTGAGCTGTCGGTCGATACATTGCCAATTCCAGCTTCGTTCTATAAGTCGACCGACGGAATACTTCCAAGGTTGCGTCACATACCCCTTTTAATAATTCATTTGATGACTAACTTATTCACCTTTGTCTCTTCCTGCCTATAAGTTCGACCCTGTTCCTTTCCTTTGCTTCATGAGGGAAGTTTCAGCATTACTAGCGTTTTTAATTGGGCTTGCAATGGCACCCTATATCGAAGAACCTAATGACCTTCGACGTCCTCTTTTCAAACATTCAGAGCGTCACTGGCTTATTTCTGTTTGCAATTTTCTTCCTCCTCATTTTGCCCGTGGCTCTTTTTTTAAATCGTGATAACTGTTTCTAATAAGACATTTTCTGCACTGATGACAAAGACTGAAGATCTCGATGTATATACGGAACATCATTGAAATGGTTGTAAATGCTCGTTCTTGTCTTTCTGGCTTTGTCCTTTTTTTCTTTTTCTTTGCTTTTCTTCTCATAGCGTCTTTTAATTCCCTGCTTCGGGTTCTTCACACTATTTAATGGCTCGTTTCCCCATTTTCTTTTAACGCTTCATCATTACCTTGCTTTTGGTCTTGGCGCATTGATACCTACACGGCAGGAGAGGAAAGACATAGGTAAATGTCTACATAGGTTTAATTTTCCAGACAGGTTGAAGACTTTTCCTGGCCACTTTTTGCTCACTGGGCAGATTTAAGCATGAATGGAGACAATCCGAGGGTTATACTGTGGTCTAAACCCTCTTAAGTGAGTACATAGTAAGTTCCGTTGGGTAGGATGTAAAAACCGCATTTCCCATCAGAGCCAGCTATCAATGTGCAATGTGGACTTGTCAAATATCGTCATCGAGTCGATGAGGTCGTAGTATGACCTCCTTCACTGATCTACCAACCTTACTTGAACGCTTTATTTGTTCCTTGGTGTAGGTAATCTCAGTCCTACGCTCTCATCCTCTGATAACCTCTATCCAGGCGACCTGGTATATCTGTGCTGCTCCAAGTTCCACAAACGATTTACTGCAATTGGGCACATCTCCCCCCTCTGGCTACAGTCATCCAAGCGCCCTGGCTGTATCTACTTTTGTTTCGAACCTCCGCAATCAGCTTGCCCCGATTGATAATCAGATTGTCCTCTCAAGAGACCGTCTGACATTGGCTGCCGAAGCTAAATTCCTGGAGTGATCTTTCTCGATCCTCTTCTTCTTCTTCATAGAAGGGAATCTCTTTCCCTTGGCCTCTAACTATGGAATTGAAGCTGGGTCATCGTCAATCATCTCTCATCCCGCAATCCTCTTTACGTCTTAAACCATCTAAAGGGCCCAAGCAATTGCATTCCTGTTTTTGATCCAGCGAAATCATCTGTCGTCCGTGCACATGAAGCTGAGATCTACTATTTTTTTTTTTCCTTTGAATTCTTGTTGTTTTTGAACCCCAAAGTGAATTTGAACATCTACATTGTACAGTGAATGTAGGTACCTGGATGATCCATGGTTCATTTGAAGGGAGAACATCACTACGAGAAAAATATTGAGTCCATACGGCTGATTTTCCTGATACAACAGCACACGGAACGGTCAAGTTTCCATGACTCCGAGCTATACCCCAGATATCTCCCAAATCATTCTATCTTATTCTGCAGATCTGGACACTGCATGCTTGCGGCTATCTAAGCCTGACGGCGTCCTGGATCGACAGTACCCTGGAGCTTCGTGGTGTCGGTATCACCCTCACCTTTCACGCTCTTCCCTGCAATAGCAATTGCAGGGTTGGAGCTATTGTAGTTATCAAGGCCCACCTGTTTGTGCGAGATAGTGCCGGATCCTTCTGGGAACTTGGTAGCTTGGGCCTGTTGGTTACTACAAGGTCAGCTTTCATTTCATTGCACTGGGGGGAGGCTAGAACCAAAACAATACCGGGTCTATTGCAGACGGCTTCTCCAAGTCTACAGATTGTATTGGATGTCCTTTCTCAAGGGCCTCCCTTACTTCCGGCCTGAAATGGCCGTAGTGGACTTTTTTCTCGGGTCCGGTCTGCATCAGATAGGTTACTAAGGGAACTCCAAGGGCGAGTGATCCGATAAGCCTGTATTTTTGGGGTTAGTTAGTAAGTGAGATCTTATTCCTCAAGAAGGGGCTCGCTGAACGGACCATGGGAGGTCACTGCCTTTCTCAGCTTCGTGCGGTTGCGCGGTGACATATGATCTGCGTCCCAAACGTGGGGCTTGCCCCCATACTACACCGAAGGTGCGAAAGAAGAACAAGCCGTGGCGAGGCGTGGTAGAGACATGTTTGATAGCGGTGTAGTGGTGTAGTGGGATGATCTCAAATCCGCTGGGTTCGACGTTCGCGGAGATGGCTGGAGAGTCGCATATACTAGCGATGAAAACAGTCGGATCGAGGAACAATAGCCATGGGGGTAGACATTCCGAAACGATGAACCGCTGTGTATGTCGATGGTGATGTAATTCCCGACGACGGTATGATTCTATAGATCTGTGGTTCCTCTGAACAGCCAATGATGCCTGAGGTGGCAGTTTTGGAATCAGATGGAAGTTGCTCCTTTCTGGTTTATTTTTCAATGGAAGGATACCCATAAAATATCGGGTTAGCCGTGATTATGGCCACCTGTACTCCGTAGAGAGGCATCTGTAGAGATGTGGAGGTTGGACCGATCATCAGCAGAAGCTCCTCCTCTCTCGCTGCCCCACGTGAATCCCGCGTTGCACGTCTACTTTGGCTTCAGTCTTGTCAAGCTTCAACTCTTCTCTTCCCTCCGTCCCTCCCTCCCTCTCTCGTGTGCATATTCTGTCAGTATTTACAGCGCATCTGAAGAGAATCCATCTTCTCCCACCACTGCCCCTCTTCGTCCACTTGGGCAGCGGGCCTCGCAGATACAGCAACCATGGCAGACCGCCAGGCAACCCAGCTCAACCTGAACAACCTGCTGCCCAAGCTCAGTGACCCCGATCCCGATATCAGATATATGTCCCTGAATGATGTCCTGAGCATCCTGAACAGCTCGAGTTCGACATACCTCGCTCACGACCAGGCTTCGTCTGCTAGAGTGGCTGATGGCTTGCTCAAGGCGCTGGATGACCAACATGGTGACGTGCAGAACCAAGCATTGAAGTGGTTAGTTGTTGTTTTGAACTCTGATTTTTCTTTATTCTGTGCTACTAATCTGTGGAATTAATTTTCTCTTTCCTGCAGCTTTGGTCCGCTTGCAGTTCGGTTACCGGTTGAAAGCCTCATTTCCCTCCTCGAGAAACTAAGCACATTGGCAACGTCGCTATCGATCGATACCTCAGTCCCTAACACGGCCTTACGAGTCATTGTCCATGCACTTCCTCATCCGCAGACTAATCAGATACCCAGCCAAGAGGCAACTGTAGCTTACTCGGCTATTTCCAGAGTGCTGATTCCTCGTTTGACCGGCCCGACTCCTTCTCCATCTACAAGAAGAGGATCTGTCGTCAAGGGTTTGCTGGAGAAGGATCCCTCCAAGGGTTTCAGCAGTGATGCTATTGATGTCTTGATTGAAGTCGTTTCTAGCTTCGGGCCATTGCTGAAGGAGACCGAATTGACAGCCTTGCAGAAGTCCGCCATGTCCATTATTGATAACGACACGGCGGGCACGGTGGCTACGAAACGGGCGTTGGCGGCCATTGCTGTCCTTGTCCTTCATCTTTCCGATCACCAACTGGGTGCCTTTGTTTCAGAACTTGTAGAAAGCTTCCGTTCCCCACACCTCACCGCGGCTCACCGCCGACACCTGATCGCTACCGTTGGCAGTTTGGCGAGAAGTGCCCCAGCCAAGTTTGGCACGTATCTCAAGACATTGGCTCCTTTCGTTCTTGCTGCGGTTAGTGAAGAGGAGTTGCAAGAGGAGGACGATGCACATTCAGATATCAGTGAAGACCATGATCCTCAAGCGGACGAGCTGCGCGAGACAGCGTTGGTGACCCTGGAGGCTCTAATCAGCTCCTGCAGTCAACAGATGCTACCTTACCTGTTAGATTCGGTTAGAGCAGCCCTACGGTACATTAAGTACGATCCAAACGTGGCGGAGACTGAAGAGGATGAGGAGATGGGAGGCACCCAGGAAGAAGCCAGTGACGACGGTGCCACTGAGGAATCTGACGATGCAGACGATGCAGATGATGAATTTGCCGATTTCGAGGAAGAGGGTGGCTATAGCGATATCGATGATATCAGCTGGAAAGTCCGCCGATGTGCAACGAAGGTGTTGTACCGCGTCATCTCAACGTACGACCGTGGCCGTACGTTAGAAGACACGCTCCTGTATCAGAAGATTGCTCCCGCTCTTATTTCACGGACGAAAAAAGAACGAGAGGAAAGTGTTAAGCTCGAGGTAGTTTCTACACTGACTGCCGTCGTTCGTAAGACTAGCGAGGGCGGCGTGGTCATCACGCCGACGGGCTTCCTCGAATCCGTCGGTGGATCAAAGAACTCGAGGAAGAGGAGGCGACAGGATAGTGATGCGAGCATGATCGACTTTGAACCCAGTATTGGCACCTCATCAGCCATCAGCTCCCCCGTTGCCGCGCCATCATCACCTAAATCGGGTCCTCAATTAGACTTAGCCCGTTTAACACCCTCTATTGTTCAGAGCCTGGTTAAAACATGGAAACAGGCTTCAGTGTCTCTTAAACAAGCTGCGATTGTTCTCCTCAAGAGTCTGGCTCTCGTTCGGTATGGAGGTCTAGCGGATCATCTGCAGCAGATCGAAGACCCCATGGCAGATGCGCTGAAGACAACGACTCTTTCTGGGACTTCAACGGCCCCTGTTGGGGCTGCTAGTAGCGCCGGAACTCTGCAAATTGAGACCCTACGCCTCATAGCTGCGATTGCAGAGACCCATGCATCTGATGCCCTTCTTCCTTTCCTGATTGCACTCATTCCCGGTGTAATTGACGCTGTAAATGACCGGAACTACAAGGTTAGCAGCGAAGCACTTGGAGCAGTTGAACAGATTGTGAAAGCCCTGACTCCGCCCCGGATATCGGCCAACCCTAAAGACATTTCAATGCAGCTAGAAAGACTGTACGACGTGGTTCTTGCTCATATCACGAATACGAGTGCAGATCTTGAAGTTCGCCAACGAGCGATACATGTGTTTGGCTTCCTTCTTGCCCGCACTTCCGGGGAGAAAGGTGCCGAATTCCTCTCACCAGATGGCCGGTTGAAAGGGCTTTCGGTCCTACTTGATCGTCTCAGGAACGAAACGACGAGGCTTTCTGCTGTCCGCGCTATTGACGATGTCGCTGTTCTGGCAAGTTGCAAAGTGGACGTTACGGGAGCATGGGTGAACGAAGTTACTGTGGAACTTGGTGCCCAACTAAGGAAAGCGGATCGAACTCTTCGAAGCTCCTCTTTGGAGGCCTTGCGCAGTCTGGCCATAAATCCCAACACCAGAGCTCAGTACGAGCCCAAGACCATCAAGCAGCTAGAAGATGATCTGTTGCCACTTATCAGCGCCGAAGATTTTCATCTCCTTGCCGCAGCGCTCATTATTCTCGCAAGACTTGTGCCTGGAAATGCCGAGCTGCTGGTCAACGAAAGTTTAATATCAGCGCTTTGCTCCATTGTCATGACATCTGTTGTGGGCACTGTGCTCAAAGCGCTGCTGCTACTTGTGAAGGTGATTGGAGAACAAGGTGCTGGGGCCGAGCTTATGAGGCGACTTCTACGAGATGTTGGCATCAATGGTGATTCTTCCGTTGTAGGAAGGGCAATTGGAACTCTCCTTGTTCACGGTGGACCCAACTTGGGTGTGAAAATGGAAGATTTCTTAACTGAACTGCAAACTGCCCAGGATGTCCAACGGAAATGCCTTGCGCTTGCCATCCTAGGTGAAGTCGGCCTGCGCATGGGCTCTGCCTGTTCGCTTACACCGGACCTCTTCATTACAAATTTCAGTTCCAAGTCGGACAAGGTTCGTCTGGCGGCTGCTACTGCCCTCGGTAATGCAGCTGCGGGTAATATCAAGGCTTATTTGCCCATTATTTTGGGAGGACTGGATCGATCAAACTCTCAGAACTACCTGCTTATCCATTCAGTGAAAGAACTGCTTCAACATTCCGAGGTTGCTGGCCCGGGCCTTGCACCCTCTGCTGTTAAATTATGGCAAGCTCTTCTCGCTGTGTCAGAGGAGGAAGAAAATCGTGCTGTGGGAGCGGAGTGTATTGGACGTTTGGCCTTGCTGGATCCTGCATCTTACATACCCAACTTCCAGGTAAGTAATATGCTTCCACGTGTAACCTGTATCATTCTACCTGGAATCCTATCGCTAACTACCTTTTTTTCTCAATTTTGTAGGAGCACTTGTCCGATTCAAACTCGACTCTTCGCGGAGTCGTCATATCAGCATTCCGCTATACCCTCACAGATTCTAGCGACGCCTATAATGACGTGCTTAGACCATTGGTCGTACCTCTGTTGGTCAACATGCTCAGTGATCGTGATCTTGGCAACCATCGTCTTGCCTTGACAACACTGAATTCCACAATTCACAATAAAAAGAGTCTGATTATGCCACACCTCAGTGAACTACTTCCAGCTGTCATCGGGGACACGCATATCAAACCGGAGCTCCTCCGCGAGGTACAGATGGGGCCATTCAAGCATAAGGTTGATGATGGTCTTGAACTTAGGAAGGCGAGTTCTCCTTCTCCTTTTACATTATATCCCGCTATCTAACCATATTCCCTTATATTAGACCGCCTACGAAACCCTCTATTCATCCCTCGGCACGACCTTCTCCCGCACACACATTCTCGAATTTTTCGACCGCATCCTCGCTGGAATTGCAGACGAACAAGATATCCGCACGATCTGCAACCTCATGACCTCCAAACTGATCACCCTCGCCCCCGAAGACACCCAGCGCCACCTCGATGCCCTTTCAGAACGCTACTCGGCTGTCCTGTCATTCAAACCTAAAGAAAATGCCGTGAAGCAGGAACTTGAAAAAGCCCAGGAAGCTTCCCGAGGTATTCTCAAGATTACTCGGGAACTCAGCAGGGCGTTCCCCACCGCTGAGTCCTCGGCAGACTCTCTTAAATGGACCGCCTATTTGGAGTGGGTGCGAAAGACGTTCGCTGTTGATTTGAAGAATTTGGATGTCGAATGAGCCGTTCTTCATCGTTGTCCGAGGTAGGTCTATCCTGACCAGTTCCGGCGAAGGGCTGGTTCGATGGAACGAGCCTGAATTTATTCGCAATAGAACTCTTGTCGCTATATGTCTCTTTTGTCTCCTACAGGGATATGCATGATGTGGATCCTAGATCTTTTTATACCAAAATCAAATGCATGGTATTGGCTATCAGTTGACGGTCGATTCCATTTCTCACTACTCTTCTACCTTGTTTACAGGGCCATGGCTATTATTGTATCCTGGTTCAGTCTCCATGCCCAATGTAACTAGCACAATGACCTTTGCAGACCCTCTTTTTTTTTTTTTGAGGAAGAGATTGCCTGTTGTGAAAATTCATGCAACATGCATTACAATGGACTATTGGAAAGCCTTAAGGATGTCATCGTACTTGCCGGACTGCGAAAAATCGGGACTGCATTACGCAGTCTAATGATTAAGTAAATACTAACGATAGGGTAATCTTGAAATTAATACATGCTTGGGAATCAACATAGCCTTAACTCCAAAATCCAACGTGCCACTCATTCAGTAGCCCTGACCAGAACAGTAAACATCCAGAAAAAGAGAATAACCTTTACTCCGTAATGCGCTTCCTTTTCAATACTCCAAGTTCTTCAAGTTTAGCCCACGTCTGATCTAGATCGGACTCATCCTCTTTGGAACCTGGATGCAGCTCCAGTCCGTCAAGGAATCTGATTGATCCACCAGATCCCGCGTAGAGCATTAGCTCAAGCACCCTCCGTCTGAGCTTAGTCGAACCATCCAAGCAAGACAGATACTTTCTATCTGCCTGTACATCAGCAGGAGGAAGGGTGTATGGATCATCGACTTCAATCTCCTCTTCTCTCCCCCAGGAGGCTGGATGCTCCATAGCCATATCTTCCGCAGAGCATTGAAGATTGGCCAGAACAGTAGGGAAATCCACTCCAATTCGCTTCTCCTTCTCTTCCGCCCTTGCTTTTATCTTTTTCTCTCCAATGCTCCTCCCACTTCCTGTAAGAAGTGGTGCATAAAACCCTACAGTGAGGGGGTTGCCTCTAAGGTCAACTTCGCGGAGAGAGCAGGCATCTTTCTTGGTCGCCTTTCCGATTCGACTCAGGACCTGACAGAGCCTTCTCATTCTTACGATCCGATTGCCAGCAGCTCCCAACCGAGAGAGGCAGTTCGTTCCGACCAACTCCTCTATGCCCGTCAAAGAGTTGAAATTTAGATTCAAGACCTTGAGGTTGGGAAAATTCACAGAGAAGTCCGCGGGAAGCCTATGGATGGCACATGATGCAATATCCAGTAGTTGCAAGCCTAATAGCGAGGCAGAAGGTGACAGGGTGCGCGGTGACAATCTATTCGACGACAAGAATACCTTCCGGATATCCTTTACATGACCTAGATCGAGGTCAAGATCGCACAGTCCTTCCTGGTTGTCCCCAGGTGTTCGTTGTTCCCTGACAGAGAGGACTTCTAAGTGATGGCACAACCCAAGACCGGAAACCGTTGACAGAAAGTTCTGATCAAGATATAGAAGAGTCAGCGACGGGAATACGCTGACATCCAAAGTACTGAATCGGTTATTCAAAAGTTTCAGTGAGCGCAAGCTGCGCAGAGGTGTTGAGATATCAATCTTGCTGAGCTTGTTGGAATTGAGGTTGAGAATTTCAAGAGAAGGAAGTGAATCGAGGCTTGTAACGGATGTCAACTGATTGTCGCTTAGATCCAATTCCCTGAGGCGTGTGCTGCAATAAAGTTAGAAGAATATCTCCCGTATGCCAAGCACTGGAAAAGGAACTTACAGCTCGGTCCCTTCAAAGTGGACGGTAGATAACAAATTATTGCTCAGCTTCAGACTTAAAAGTCCGTTCAGGTCAAGGATACCGTCGATATTCCGGATTTGGTTATCATTCGCCTTTAATTCTCTTAAATGGATTAGCTCGTGAAATCCATGCAGATTCTCTAACTCATTGCCTGAAATATCCAGGTACTGTAGGTTAGTGAGGTGACCCCATGCAGTCCGGCTCGAGAGAAGATTTCGCGGTATTTTGAGGGTCCTAAGGCTGAACGGGACACCGCTCAGGTGCTCAATGTCATTATCAGAGACGTCCAGGTCTTCCAAACGAGGACAGAAGTCACCCAGCTTGTAAAGATTGTTCAGACCCTTGTCACGGAGAATGAGGCGTCGAAGATCTTCCCAGAAAAGTTCATGTGGCTCAACGTCAGTGATGTGCTTGACCAAATCCTCTGTTGCCATAGCATATCTGCCATGGACTTGGCGCAAACTCGTGGGATGAGTCCGCCGGTCCACATAACTGACTTCAGGGTGAAGAGGGTGGTCAACTTGGTCAACGGTGAATTCAGACAGAGTACTCAGTTCGAAAGCACAACTCGTCCCCTGTCCCACTTCTGGAAGGTAAGTCAAAGAGTCGTCATTGTTTGTTGTTATAAGAGGTCTATCATCACTCCGACGAATCAAACTCTGGCCATCACTGGCTTCCTCATTCCTGTCATCTATCCGAGAGACGAAGCGTCGAACGAGAGATCGTTCGTCAATAGAAACCCGATGTTCCCCAGCACCATTGGGATGGCCGATTTGAGATTGAGGGATCGCAGGATTGCAGTCGTCACCGGGTGTAACGTGGGAGACTGCAGGTGAAGAAAAGCTTATCGTCACAACTCGGGGTTGTCTATTTGAACCTCCGCCACGATTCGGTGGTTGTGATAGGCGGCCCTCGTGCAGTTGAATTTCATGTTCGACGTCCTCGGAATGCTCTTTACCTTCCAAATCTTCCGTACTCCATGATGTGGCCCTTGTCCCTGTGTTCGGAACACTTGATGTGAAACGTGTTACCTTGGAACGAAGTGTGCTGGCGTTGGCAGAGCGTTCTCCTTCTCTTGTCTGCGGTCGTGGCTCGGGATTTCCATCTGAGACTCTTCCATTCAGTTGGTAGTCCGCATCGTCGCGCATCTGTGCCAGAGCTGGATCTATGGTCTTCACAGACGAATCGAAAGCCTGCATCGTCATTAATTCGTCTGATTCGTCAACACTGAGATCTGAGATGTCCTTGAACGGGTCATCCTCGCTGTCGTCGGCCTTCATCCTGGTATCAGAGGGCCCAATTATTCCCTTTACCCACTGATGCTTAGAGCGGTCGTAAGTGAATCCATTGACCTGTTCAGGAATCAAATGCGAGACCAATTCAGACGGTAAGAGGCCTTTGGCCTGTGAGCTTTGCGACGATCCCGTAGGCAAGGAACGTGCAGACGTTTGCGAAGGGACGATGGGGGAACCATGCGAATCTTGTTCCATGTTAGTTCCGGAGCGGCGGCGTTTTCGCAGCTGCCCAGAGCCTTCTCTCGTATAATTCCCATTAAGGTTGCCATCGACTGCAATTCGGGAATTTCTGCCAATGTTGGGAAGACTGCCTTCGGAGTGATCATCAGGACCTTGCTTTCTATCAAGGTGTAGTGAAGTGACTGAAGCGCTGACCGCGAACTCAAGGTCATCCTTTTCTTGAAACTTCATTAGATGGCTCAACACGCGGGGATTGGGCTCTTGAGGCTTCCTCAATCTTCGCATATCTACACCATCACGACTTGGAGGGCGCGAAAAGGCTTCCTCGGTCGAATCATCATCGTAGGTCTCTGCGTCATGTTCACTCCCCAAATCAGACCCCTCCACTTCTGGCAAGCCACCCGTTGTTCTGCCATTTGCTCTAATACGATCCATGATCTTCGTCGCTTCGTTATAAAAGTCAAGTGTAGTCATAGACTCCTTGCGAAGTTCCTCATTAGCACTAGTTACCTTCACTGCCGGCAGAGGTATTCCCCGGCGCAATGAATTGTCAGTTACCGTGGGAGATAATGTCCGGTTGATAGGCGATGCTCTTGATCGAGAAGAAGGCCCTCCCTCGTCATCTGCCAAGCCGTGATGCATCAAGCTCCGTTCCAACAAAGAAACATCCCCATCGATTTGCATGTGGAGGGTGTTGGCATCATCGTTATCTCGATGAGGACTCTCAGATCGCGGCAGCGTTCTGCGCCTCTTTGGATGTGGATCCTTAGTTGGGCTGTTTGGTATCCGTTTCCCATCAGAGTAATCATAGTATTCTTCAGCGGCAAACTCTGCATTCACTCTGGAGCTGTCATGGAGGCTTTGCCGAATCCTGGACCGGCGCCTTCTACTGGAACTCACACCGAGCACCCTAGATTCGGGCGAATACTCATGCAAAGAAGTAGGCCGAAGAAACCTTCGCCCTGCAGAAGATCTTCGTCGCGAGCGAGCATATAAATGAGCTTCCTCGTATTCGTAATTTAGCATTTTTGGTTCATAGGGGCTGGTGTCGGAGAAATCATAACCATCGAGCTGACCATTCCCAAATCGACCCACATGAGAACCTCTAGCATTTCGGGATGTTGGTCGTTCACTTCTTCTCGTAGAGCGATCGCCTGGGGTACGCTGTCTTGCACTCAGAGCACTGCGGCCTTCCCCTTTTCGTCGAACTTCCTCTGATGGTGAAACAGGCTCATCTTCTCCGGACAAAGACTCCTCAAATTGACTCATTCGTCGAAGAAGTTTGTTATTGGTAAAGGTATCGTGATTTCCGAAGAGCTTTAAGGGACTTTCGAAGGGGTGCATGGCTGCAGCTTTAGACTCGGGACTTCCATTCACAGAGACTCTGGCTTGGGAAGATGAAGGCCTCTTGCTGGAACGCTGTGGCCTGTGATAGAAAGGTGGTGAACTTCGGATCCGAGAGTTGCCAAGAGCAGACGGAGAGAGCCGTTGAGACGGAAAGGACGAAGGAGAGAGTCGATGTTTGTGGAAAGAGCCATCGCTCAGATACTGCCCACGACGGAAATTCACGAACGGCCTACGCCCACCGAAGTCTAGAGTTCCCACGGTAAGATCTCGTGGTAGGGAATGGCTCGTCACGTCAAGCAGGCCGTCATCCTGAAGATCGGCTTGTGGGTGCGGCAGGATGCTGTCGCTTGCCCTCGACTCGGGTCGGGATTCAGAGCCCAAGGTGATAAAAATGGGAGTGATACCCTCGTTACGCAGATCCTCCAGTCCACTTGCACTCCTTGAATGCATATCCGTATGGAGGACGTCTTCATGGTTTCGGTTGCTATGATGCAGTAGATCTCCCTCTGTATGGTGTATCTCCACTGTGCCCCCTGGGGACTCTGGTAACTCTTCCGGCTCTTTGGTGATTTCCCTTGCAACAGTCCGCTCTTCCTTTTTAGCAGAAGATGCAGTCTCGTCTGCAAGGTTATCTGCCTTCGTCTCTGGTTCAGTCGTATGCGTATCATACACCTGCTCAGGGCCGCTGTCCGGGATGATCCACAAGGGATCTGCGTGCTTCAGAACTGGAATCGCATCGTGCTGACCGGTCTCCGATCCCGGTGATGGAGGTTTAAAGACGCTCTCCAGGCCAATTGGGGCAAACAAATCGCGCTGCTCCCCCGGGACCTCACCACGAACGAGTCTTCTTCTCCATTCAGGTGTACCATCTTCCCGACTACCCTTCTTGGGTTTGACTTGTACCGTACTCGAGATCTGCTGGTCGGTCTGGCTAGAGACGTTCGACACGGACCGTAGCGGGGACTTTGAATCCATAGTTGACCTCCGACTATATGAAGCACTCACATTCGGTTTCCCACCCGGTTTTGGGCTCCGTTTCGGTACGGGGCTCTGTCTGGCGCTCGGACTGTGTGGTTTCGATTTGTCTTGGGCGTGGATGTGTGTTTCGCATTTGACAGGCGTCTTGGGGGTTCTAGGTTTCAGGGGAGTCCTCTGCACCTTTTTCGGGCCTTCCTTCTTCATGAAATGGCATGGTCTGGTTACTCGTTTCTTGGGATCGGCGGGGGAAGGCTCAACGGAGCGCCGCGCAGGTACGGGAATGCGACTCGGAGACTTGAGCTGACTGGGAGAATTTACGAGACTCGAGCGACGGGAATGCGAACTGAGAATGGAGCGGGCAGTAAAGGGCGTCGACAGCGTGCCCGGAGACAAGGGCCAGTCGTCGGAGAGACTGTCCAGCCATGGCTGGTGGCTGCCCATGGTTCCTTGGTAGATGTTGTTGTTTCGGGCGACGCTTCCGTCTGTTGTCGCGCGGTCGCGGGGAAGGGACTCTGGAGTATTAATATGAGTGATCGCAGTGACGATGATATTAATGCCTTGGTAACCCCCAGCAGACGCTAAGGACGAGAAAAATCGTGGAATACGCGCAAGTATGTAGACATTGCAACACCGAACAACCCCAGCAACAGAGATGATGACGAACAGTAAATGCCTCAAGCCGGAGCGAAACAGACTGTAAACTAAGTAATGCATGCAAGCCCAAAGTGGACCGCTGTTTCGGCTCTGACTTAGCGCAAAACTGTCCAGCAACGAACCCTGCAACGCAGTCCTGGTCTACAGCATGATAGAAAATTGAGGAAGAGAAGCAATGGTCTGTTTACACTTGGTTTGTTTTTGTTTTTGTTGTTGTTGATATTGTTCCTGGTGTTTGTTGTTTCAGCTTCAGCCAGCATCCCAATCAGCCAAGCCAGCCATCACAGCATTAACGGTGTTCATTAAAGCTAAGACACTCGTGTGAACTGTCAACCAAACAATAAAGGCATGAAAAAACGTGATATATTTTGTATCCACTCAGTGAAGCCCTATGAAAACACAGACCAGCCAGCCATACATTTGCCAAGGGAGCGCTCTGCAGTTGTTCGAAGACTTGAATGCCGTTCAACCTGCATTGCAAGAGACTCGCCATGATCAGATTAGTATCTAGCTCTTACTAACAATGCATATAACACTGGAAGTTTCCATTTTTCTCCCCAGGATCTGAGAGCAATGCCAACCGCACCTCGAGGTGAACTCCGGAGGAACCAATTTTCAGACTCAATTTCGTCCACCAACGATAGGATGGAGTCCATGTTCTTGAGAGCATCACAGAGGATCTTTGCCGTCTTTACTATAGACCTTGATGCGGCTGTTGCGTCCTTAACAACATCTTCAATGTCTTCATCCCTCAATGATGCGAGAGGCACCCACGTCTCCATCATCCATACATGGTCCTTTCGTTCGACCTGGAGGTCAGCTCCCCGAGAACTCTGGTAGCACGACGCCATGGATGCGGCTACAGTTAACTGTAGTCATCTATAGATTGGTTGTTCACGTTGTAGAATAGAGTTTGTGGTGGCATCTCGGAGTGCAGCCGTACCAAACTCGACTAGGGATTGCCGGCTGGGTTTTGTGTATGCTTTCTTTCTCACAATGTCTACCGACAAACCAGATATATAAGCGGAGGACGTTTCTAGATGTTTCGATTTCTCCAGTCTGACTCCGCTTCTACGCTCCGCTGGATATATGCAGATAATACGATGCTCGTGGTTTGCTTGATCGGCTACGGCAGCATTTTTTGCTCTTTATTGTTATTTGGAGCGGTATGGCGCTGCCTGAGACCTATTTTTTGGGCTGAGGGGGGTAGTGGTGGACCAGCTATGGTGGCGAGGGTGGCCCACGTGTGATTTTAATAGTATATCCTTAGGTACTAGTATGATCATTAGCCACTCTTCTTTTACAATGGTCTGTTTTCTGAAATTTGAAAAGGTAAAGCGGCTGCTGTAGGTATTGAATTGGGTGTTAAGCAACAGCCTGACCAACACAGGCGAGGCTAGTTGCAACCCCTATAGAGCGCGGAGGAACACAATCGTGAAGATAAGTCTCGAGTGTAGAGCGAATTTGGAAGGCCTAGGAAGCATGGCAAATCTACTGAAGAGAGAAGCGAGTTTCAACTTAATAAAAGTTCCCGATCGAGAGGAGAGTATTTCTAGCCCGTATGAGGCTCCTTGGTAGTGACCAACGGGAACCCGCATAACTCCTGCAGACCTCATTGAGGGCTTCCAATTGCACCGAATGCCACAGAATCCACACGGCCGCAGCTTCAGGTCCATGGTTTTACTGTACGCAAGTCAAGAATGATTCCCAACTTCTTTGGTCACCAGTTTTAGCATCTATATGGCAACCTGATCAAATCCCACGCGAGACCTAAGTGAGGGAGTTCTGCGTCGGCCCTGGGAATTAGTTAGCGAATATGACACCAAGGCCAGCCATCAGGGGGCTTAAAACAGCCGCCGATCCACTGTATCTATAAGGACGACATCACTCCCTCCATATTATTATGAAGTTACACTACCCGTTCTTTTTTACGGAGCGGAGGCTTAGGCATCTGATCGCCACTGTAGGCCTCCGCTCAACATAGGCCTAAGATGATGTTTTCGCAATTGGCGTGCCCTGAGGTCATGGCCTAGTCCCAGGCTTGCCAACAGGTATCAGATGGGAGGGTCCACTTAGGCCAATGAAGGCCTATATTTGAACGAGATGGCTGGCAGGCACGGCTGCGGAACTAAGCTTTCGCCTCAGCTCTCGAAGAGCAGCCGTCCAGAGACCTGACCTATTCTTGGGGCAAGGTTGATACTAAGCTGAAATACCCCACAGTCAGTTCAGCATGCGTCCTTGAGGGCTAGGGCTAGTTGCTTTGCACTGATTGGCTGCCGCAGCATGTCCGCGAAAGTAGTTAGGCAGAACTTCTAGCTATTAGCTACGTAACCGACCCCGAAGGTTGCCGTAGGGGTCGGTTAGGTAGAAAGTAACTCGGAAAGTAAAGGCATGAATTTCTAGCATAGGTCATCACAGAACTGCTGATTTCTCAGACCCCGGGCATGAGGGATCCGGTCATAAACTTCGAAACTTGTCCCAGTTCACAATGTACTTTTTATTTTTCTGAACGACACTCATGCCTACGTATGCTCTCAGGGCGTCGAGGTCGATTGACATTGTCACTGGGACATCTTCAAGAGATATTTCGAGGTTTGGTGAGTTTCTGAAGTCCTAAACAGAGATAAGTCATAACTAATCACCAAATTAGGCTCAGAGGAGCATACAAAGTCTTCTCCGAACTTCTCTGCAGAGTTTGTAATTGGATTAATCTTCCAGATCTCAGCTGAGACTTCACAGAGAGCCAACAAAAGTGAGGTTGCAGTATGTAATTAGGTCATATTGACCCTTTGAAGTGAATTCATCTTTTGAGATATTCTCTCCAGTCAAGGGGATATCATTTAGATCAGGGTTTTCGATAGGGGATCTGTACATTAGCTCTTCTTTGATCTTAACAACTACTATAGAGACACTTTTATCCCATTCAAGCCATAGTTTTGCATCCAATGCGTTAGTGAATAGCCTTCCGAAAAAACCATTTCGAGAACAAATCTTGGTTCGAAAAATCCGCGCCCATTTTTGGTGGCGAAAGCCAGATCTGGGACCTTAGTAGATCCCCAATACAGGCCCGCAAAATCTTGAAACCCTCTGTTTGTCCAGATCATGTAATCCGTTTTTGGCAGCATTAATGATTCCAAAACTGATTTCTGTAAGACCTTGACTGAAGGCAGAAGTAATGTTCTCATGAACAGAATAAGGAGTCTCCTAGTCAATGAATTGTAGGAGATTCTAGGGTATCCGCAAGTAGAGAGTTAGATTTCATAGACCTGGGTTCATGAACTGGAAGATTTCACGGTTGTCCTTCTGTCATGAATTTGCCACCAAACTGTCTGTCAAGCATCCGCGACTCCTTGAGAGTGACTCTGAATGACAGTGGCATTCCCGTGAAGTGAGAGAGGTGATCTGCCTTGTGTGTAAAGAACTGCCTAGCCTCGAAGTAGTCTTCAGTGAGGTGACACTCATTGTTCTAGCAATAGTTTCAGGTTTACGTTTTGGGCTATCAAAGCATTGTAAGCCCATAGATGGAGGTTTCAAGCAAGCATGAGTACCAAGTCCAGGTGGGCTCGGAGCTCAGGTAGGGATTATAACGAGGTATCTTAACTTTATTAGCGGGCTCCATTATGATGTTGTACAAGTGCTTGGTGGGGGAAGGGAAAGAAAGAGTGAAGGGAGAGGTTTGACTTCATTGGAAGCTGCTGCCTTGGACTGGAATGACGCGTGATGTATTGACGAAACTGCCTCTGGATGTTTATGAATATCCGACCAAAGTTCTACATTAAATATTGCATGCTGTGTGGAGTCTAGGTCGCTGGGGCTTCGTCTAGGCAACAGCGCCTCTCTCTCTTACAGAATGATGTACAGCCTAGGCACAACTGTCTCACCGGCAGAGTATTCTTGGGCGCATGAAATCAAGGAGTAACGCCCAGATATGTATCTTTTCTCATGTCTGGGGCATGGTGAAGACTAGCTAAGGCCAGCTTTAGGTACTTTGCAGCGTGTAAAGACATTCACTGTTGATGGTCGAACTCGCTGAGTTGGTTGTTCTAGCTAGGGAGGCCCGGAGTCGGGCAAAATAACTAGTCAATGCCAGATTTCTCAAGCTTCCTTGATATGCTCACTGGCAAACGCACCATCTTCAAATGCATAATTAATCCAGTATGTCTTCTCATATACCCAGCAGACGCAATGAGTGTTCCCAGATGTGCAGATGTCGAGGCCATCATCTTTCTCAGTGCACTATGCTGCTTCCAACAACATTCAGTGGCAAATTGCATCTTAGTGACAGCTATAATATGATATGTTTTGTAGGGCAGATCATCAATATTGACTGATGGCAGAGACTCACAGCGCGGAAAGGCCACAGTTTGTGTCGCTTTTGGACCAAAACTAACTGTGGCCTTTCCGTCGTCTTGTTATTCCGCAGTAGTAATCTGCTGTTCCCGCGTTGCCGGGGGCACCCGCGCGCTTGGCGCGTTAAGTGCTTTTTGATATCAGCCTGTGCTTATGATTCTGTCAAACTTCAAGTCGGCGTATTACCGGCATTCCGTCATGAAGCATAGCTGCGATGTACCTCAGATATGAGTGCGAATCTACCATATTTTTCTTTTCATATTGGACGCTCAAATGAAGCACCTCACTGCGGCGGTTCGACCACTGTTTACATCGGGTTAAATCCGGCCCCTCGTCCCAATGCCTTATCCTCGTCCGGTCTCCCCGCTTTCTCTCGAGGTACTCTCGCCATCTGCCTCTGATCCGGATGTCGATGGAGCTATTGGGTCTGATGATGAGCTAGATGCCTCAGCTCGTGCTGCGAAACGTCGGAGGATTGAGAAACTTGCGGAGGCCTACCTCCAAGGATCACAGCTTTTCATCCTCTCCGCCTCTCTAAAAGGGCCGTTTGGGAAGGGATGGAAGAATCCTTGGAAAAAGGATAGGAAATGGAATGCGCATTTGAGCTACTGTCGCGACACCCCGCAAGGGAGCATCAATAACTCGGAGATCGCCGTTGTGCAAGAGACAGAACCCCATGAAAGGAGAGATGATGCTGCTTCTCAAAGGAACTTGCACCGCCCAAGACCGCATGCAGTTGAATTGGAATTTGACCCTACAAGCTCCTACCAATGTGGAAAGTCACTGGCGAACCAGAACTCCAAATACGAGTCGTCTGGGGATGATGCCCGCCGTCGAACCTCGACAACAACTCTTCAACGCAAGTCGAAAAGGTCATTGTCCCACATGATTGGGGCCCAGGACTATACCCCCATACATAGAGAGGAACATAGCTGGCTGAAAAAGGCTCGAACGCGAACCGGCATTCGGAATCTTGATCCTCCAACCTCGCCATCGAGAGCCGTTGCTACGAGACAGTTAGATGTTAAAGATCGCCGCGAACGCGAAGTCTCCTTGGCCAAGAGGTCACCGTTAATTTCTCGCACCCATCGGTCTGAATCTATTCGAGCTGATGAAGCCCCGTTGCCCACAAGGTCTTCGTCCGCCCAGCAACGTGTTTCACACTCAGATTCGTTCGTTAAATCGCCCTCTGCGATAAATGCAGGATCTTCTCTCCATGTCACTTCTTCATCTCATCTGCCCACGTTTGAATACCGCCGGCTAAGAAATGCCATTGCTGCGGATAATCGACGTTCAAAATCTCCAGGAGTCTCAGATCTGGATGTCGACAATATCAACACTGCGGTTGCTGTCGAAGCTCTTAAAAGGCGAGACCCTCCCGTAGTCGTTGCAGAGGAACCGTCGGTATGCAACGTGGGAACTGACCTAGCAGCGAGCGAAGAGCAGCGTCAACGCTCTATAACTGACCGGGACGTATCCAAGGGTTCAAAACTCAAAGATAGCCGCTCGGTTTCATTTCTGGGTGCAAATAAGCCACCCAGTAATACTACAAGCGAAAGATTCCCGTCAGGTCAAGGAGTCCCTGGGAATCCGAACTTGGCTGATTTTGTCACTTCTTTGCACTCGACGGCACTACCAGGAGGTAATTCTGATTATGACGGAGATACAAGTCCTGAGGCACAATTTTCCACCCAGGCAGCTGTTCTGCTGGCGCAACGATCCTTCCAGAATGCCATCGACAGCCCTGAACTCAATTCCCTATCTGCATCCAAAAGAAATCTCCCAGTTAACTCGCCTTCCTCCAGCACATCGCACCCGCAAGCTATCACTCCATTCTCTCAAATCAACGCTCGCCGGTCACAACCAACCGCGGGAGATGCCTTGCAGATGATGAGCACACAATGCATGATTGATGCAGTAACCCCTTTTACGTTCAGCACAGAAAAGAAACAATATCGCCATGTCGGGACCCTGTCAGAAGCTGTAACATCGAGTCACAAAAGGCGGAAAGGCCCAGACTCTGCCGCGTCTTCACAACGTTTGCACGAAAACAGTTCTTCGCCGCCAGAAAATCGCATGGGGGCAGAATCTGTTACGTCCTGGGCCAATTCCATCACACGGAGCATACCGGATCAGTACCCAGATGCAAACGATGACGGTGATTATACAGAGTTAATGGGGTTGCCGTTGACATTAACCGGAACAACGCCTCCCACAGCACAGGACGCTCAAAACGGCGGTGACAGTTTCAATCTCAGTCAAGCCATTGCCGATGCCGGAAGCTGGTTGCGGCAGAGTTGGGACTTCACCAGAGATTTGAGGAAGAGTGGCACAACTGGACCACCTTCGTCTACTGCCGCTTGAGATGCTTTTTGGGCATGGATCAAATACACTACTGATTAAGTGCATATGATTGCAGTATATCTATCTCCAGCTGACTTATTGTTACCTTCGTGTTCCCTGCACTCTCGAAGCTGGGCATCCTCTGCTCTAATATCTTTGCTTTATATTTCTTAAATGTTCATCTATCATCTTTCTAGCCTTTCATTCATTTTCTATGATAAATGTGCAGTGCAATACCCTAGCATAGGAAATGGCGTTTTCACGGCGATTATGACATGTAGATTTATGTAAAGGTAGAAGCTGCTGGCAGAGTCTCCACCAGCTGAATGTATGAAAGATTGACCACTGGCTAAATTGAGAACTCTTTGGCTGAGACAGAAACTTGTGTTCGCATCAGAAACTGCTTATAGTTCATAGCTGCCGGAGCCTTGATCTATTATATACATATAAAAGCCTTATACCACTAGTGAACCCCTATTAACAGCCTTTTTTGTGGTCTCTTCAAACAGGGCCAACATCATTTCCAAAGCTTGGTTGCTCTAGCGTGACGGAGCTGCGGCTGTCTTAAGGCATCGGGCTCCATCGTCCGCCACGTTCATCTTATCAAACCTCCCATGGCTGGAGTCTCAAACAAATGGCTCTGACATCAGTAAGTACCCAAATGGATAAATTCATTTTATACGTGTGACAGCTTCTGACTCTGATGACTATTGCAACAGTGGAAATCATTCAATTTCTTCGACGTTTCGCCGGTCCAGCTACCGGACGAAAGCGCATCTGTGTTCGGTGTATGCTCCCTTCCAACCCCCCGCGATTTCTGTCTTCGTCCCGTTTCGATTCCCTGACAGATCTATCTTTTTCAATAGAGTGGTGATATCTCATGCTTGTGTACCGGGTCCGGTAATCTGTTTCTGGGTACCGTCGATGGCATCGTCCATACCGTCTCGTCGACTTTCAAGATCGTGCGGTCCTTCAGAGCATCCGATCATGGTTCGATAAACCATATGAAACAAGTACAGGGCACAGCGCTGCTCGTTACAGTCGCGGAGGATCTTTTGAATGAGCCTCAACTAAAGGTTTGGGCGCTCGATACAACCGAGAAGAAAACTGGTGCCCCTCGATGTCTGTCGACGATCTCTATCAATAATGCGAGGAGACAGTTCCCAGTTAGGCCACCCCCGCGATGCTACAACATTCACTATTTTCACCGTTGCGCTTACTGTTCCATAGGTTTCGGCTTTGGCAGTCTTAGATGATCTGTCCCAGATTGCAGTCGGCTTCGCCAATGGGTCTGTCACTATCATTCGAGGCGATCTCATCCACGACCGCGGTGCGCGTCAGCGTATTGTTTTCGAGTCGGAGGAGCCGGTCACTGGGCTCGAGACACGAATAGGAGGAGTGTCGACTCTCTACATCTCTACCACTAGCCGGATACTGACCATCACCATCGCCGGCAGGGGACAGGGCCATCCAGCTCGAGTTCTCGAGGATACTGGTTGTGGGGTTGGCTGTATGGTACATGACAAGGAGACAGGGGACATTATAGTGGCTAGGGAAGATGCTATATACACATATAGCCCACGCGGGCGTGGCCCCAGCTACGCATTCGACAGCCCCAAGTCATCAATCAACGTCTTCCGGGATTATGTTGCCTTGGTCTGCCCACCGCGGGTTAAATCAGACTCCCTGAGAAAGCTTGGTACCGCTCCAACCGAAGACATATTCAGCACACCCACGTTCACCTTACTCGATACTGATCTCAAATTTATCGCACATACTGAGAACCTTGTTTCTTCTGTGAAGAGCATATTCATGGAATGGGGAGACCTATTTCTTCTGGAAACGGACGGAAAGGTATATCAGTTTTGTTTTCCCGGTAGTGGGCTCCTCTTTCTAATATCTTCCAGATCCATCGATACCACGAAAAGAGTCTGCAGCAAAAGCTCGAGATCCTCTACCAGCGCAACCTCTATATATTGGCAATAAACCTGTCACAGAAGCTGGGCCTCGATGCGTTGCAGCAAAATGTCATATTCCGGAAGTATGGTGACTTCTTATATCAGAGAGGGGACTATGACACCGCGATGCAGCAATACCTTCGAGCGATCGAGAACACCGAGCCATCGCAGGTCATCCGGAAGGTAAGGATGGAGTTCTAAGTGTTTATGTTCGAACTAGCTTACACGTGAAACAGTACCTTGACACGCAACGGATACACAATTTAATCGAGTATCTTGAGGAATTGCACGAACATGAACGAGCAACTGTAGACCACACTACATTGCTGCTGAATTGTTATGCCAAGTTGAAGGATACAAGTAAACTGGATTCTTTTATTAAAGCCCCAGGAGAGTTGAAATTTGATTTGGAAACCGCAATCTCAATGTGCCGGCAGGGAGGCTACTATGAGCAAGCTGCTTATTTAGCTACGAAATATGGCGAGAATGACATGGTTGTCGACATTTTGATTGAAGATTCGAAGAAGTACGCCGAGGCCGTGGAATACATTTGGAGACTCAATCCCGAGACGGTTTGTGACACCCTTATGTTCACTGCTTAAATGTGCGCCTGGGACAAGACTAACGCATATAAGGCTTACCGAAATCTTATGAAATATGCTCGAGTCTTGTTGACGAACTGTCCGGAGGAAACGACTTCATTGTTCACTGATTATTATACCGGGAGTTATCGACCAAGGACAGAGGTCGAACCTCCGGCAGAATCCTCATCCCAGCCCGCGAGCACAGTCCAGAGTTTAGCAGCATTTCTTCCTCTTCCTTACATAAATGTCGGTGCGGGTACGAAAGTTGAGCTGACTGAAACCCCAGCATCGACCGAGGACGAGAGGCAAGTACCAGCTTATGGGATACCGAAGCCTCGAACGGCATTCTCAGCATTCGTGGATTGTCCACAAGAGTTTATCTCTTTCTTGGAGGCTTTGATCAAACAAGAAAACTTAAAAGAAGAGGACAAAATTGATCTCTTCACCACTCTATTTGAAATGTACCTGGACACTGCCAGTCGAAAAAAGGATGCGGCGGAAAAGGAAGAATGGGAAAAAAAGGCGAAGAAGCTCATAGAGGGAAGGGATGTAAGAAGAGTCTCCTATGCCCTATATCATTTTTTTCATATCTGACGAGGCTTATATTCTAGATCCCAATCTCAACGTCGAACGTTTTGCTGCTTTCCGACTTATCCAACTTTCGAGAGGGGTCGACCCTTGTGCGAGAACAAGAAGGTCTCCGATCAGACATTTTTCGATCATTCACCACCGCCAAAGATACACAGGGTGCTATCAAGGCTCTAAGGAAATATGGCCCCGAGGAACCGCAATTATACGTAGACGCTTTGACATATTTCGCTTCGAGCCCAGAAATTCTCGAAGAAGCTGCTGATGAGCTGGATGCAGTCTTAAGAAAAATAGATGAAGACGGGCTCCTGTCACCCCTTCAGGTTATCCAAGCCCTTAGCAACAATGCAGTGGTGACGATGGGACGGATCAAGAAATATCTGAGCGATAATATCGAGAGAGAACGGAAAGAGATATCCACTGTTCGTCTCACCTTCCCCGTATTTGATTATTAATATTATTATAACTTACACTTGTTACGACTGCCAGAACCGCCGTTTGACGTCAAGTTACAGCACGGAAACTGAGAACAAGAGGAAGGAAATCGATCAGCTGGGTAACAAATCTGTCGTTTTCCAAGCACGCCGATGCATGTCATGTGGAGGCCCTCTCGATCTTCCGACGGTTCACTTTCTGTGCAAGCATTCCTTTCACCAGCGGTGCTTGAACGAGGTTGGAGAAGATGCGGAATGTCCTATCTGTGCCCCTCAAAATGCCACAATAAGGGCTATTAGAAGGAGGCAGATAGAGTCTGCGGACCAGCATGATCTTTTCAAGGGAGAGCTCCAGCGCTCCAAGGACCGGTTTGGCATTGTGAGCGAGTTCTTTGGACGAGGTGTGATGAGGCCGCAGAGTACTATGGAGTGATGGAGTGTCAACTAAAAGATGCCTCTTTATTTTTACCAGGCTTCTACCTTCCATGACTTAATACCCGATTCACTTTATCCAAGCATCTGCAGAGTATTTCTACGTAGAATACCTTTGTATCACGTGACCACGTGTCAATCAATCCGGCAGCGCGTCCAGAATGGATAACGTCCGCAAGGAACAAGACTGGCTCTCTGCCTTAGAACACCTTCATCCTCCCCAAATTTCATAGAATATTCCACCCCTCATGAGCCACAGTCGTGTGATTCAGGACTCTGATGACGAGGATGACCCATTGTGCGAAGTCCCAACATCTCCAAACCGTCAGGATCCGGTCATGCAGGACGCGCAGAACGATCTATCTGAGCACGGCCGCTTCAACTTCGATACCGGCTATGCTACTAATGGCTATACACAGGGAAACGGCGTAAATATTTCCCATGCAACTAATGATAATAATAGCCTTGCTAGCTCTCAGCTTGGGATCAATTTCGATGATTTCCTGAAATCCCAAGATGGCGGGCCAGCCTGGTTATCTTCGCAGCGGCGGAGGGAGGAGAGATGGATTCCTAGTACGGGGAGAACGGAGTCTATCGGTACGTTTCTTGAGAAAAAAAAAACACTACTCTCTTCCTAGATTGACTGACGTTCACTATTTATATAGGGGCGGTGATGACTGAAATCAATCTTGCGCAAAAGAAGCTCTTGGAGGATGAGGGCTGGAATGGCGACAGTACTCATCTGTCCCGTCAAAACTCCGCTCTACAGAGGTCTTTGCCACCTGTTTCATTCTCTATCGATGATCAGAGATATCTTCAGGAGACGGCTCAGCAGGGACATGGTGCATTCAGACAGGGTAACGGACATTTCGCAATAATAGTTGACTCCCGTATACCGGAGTTTACAGAGCAGCACGAGGAAGTAACTCGATATGAAGTCCCACATCAAAATACGGGCTTTGATAGAGACATTGATGAATCTGCCCATACATCCAGTCACGATGAACACTACGAACTGGCCACGTCGTACAACTACTTCGAATCGTCTTTGAAGGGGTCCATGGACCCAGTGAATGCTGAGAATACTACTATCACCGGGACAGTTGAGAATGAATACAGAGATGGGCTTCAAAGGACTCCGGTTCGACCGCGGTCGATGCAAATGACATCCTACTCGCCTCATGATACAGAGCCCTTCTCATCTCTAGTATTACCCGGACTAAATAGGGCGAAGAGCGACGATGCATCTGGTTTAGTCCATCAGGAGGAACAGTTGTCTCAGAGGAGTATGCGTGATGAGCTTGCTGTTCCTGTTACTATTGAAATACCGATAACGAAGAAGACCCTCGTCCACAAAACCAACGAAAACGTGCCGGAAGACGGCGACGATGATGAACTGGCTCTTTCTGAAGTGCACGAGCACGCCAAGGAGAATGATGAGCATAAACAACAACAGAACACTGAAGCAGTGTCAGATGTTGGCCTTCTGAACGCGGCTCCTGAAATCGAGGCTCCTCGGGAAGTAAGCATCGTCCTTCCCATGGAGCAAACTGCAGGATCTCCTGAATTCTTTCTTACGAAGCAAAAGGTCCATATTGCGGAACCTACAAAGCCAACACCAAAGACGAGGGGGCCTAAAAAGAAAAAACTGAAACGAGGCAAGACCACGTCAGTCGCGTTGAAAAGGACTTACGAGTCAGACGTCGAAGATGATGTGATCTGGATAGACGAGAAGCCCCTTCATCCGGAATTGCAAAATAACGATCTGAATGACGATCACCAGAAATCTTTTTCAGAAAGTAATAGGCCTGGCCAAGATAAAGAGAAGTTGGGTTCGGAATCTATCACCAATTCAACAACTTCACAGATTCAACCAGGGGAATCCAAGAAACGTGGACGTAAAAGGAAGAAGACGGCGGAACAAGTTCAGAATAATGAAGACGACAAGCCTCGAATTGGAGAGGTCGAAGCCACTTCTAATAATATACTCCAAGATATTTCGAACACCGCAAACACAGCTAACTGCGACCAGGACCACGACCCCAGCAAGGAAAACAAAGAAAAATCATGCATCTCCAACCAAACAGCTGAGGGCTCGTTTAACTCACCAACGATCCATGAAGAACAATCAGATCCATCAAGTCCCACAAAAGTCGACGATAATCCATCTCTCACGGCTCCAACGGAGCCACCAACACTCCACGAATCCGTAACCCCAAAGAAGCATCAGCAGCAGCGACAACAAAAAGATCTGAACAATCAACCAGAAATAAGGTCAAACAGCGAGACATCGCTAGACCTGGGCAAAGGCACACCAGGTAAAGACCCCCGGAAAGGACCGGACAAGCACAGTCCTATCTCGACAACGAGCAGGGTTCCCTTCCGTGTTGGTTTGAGTCGCAGAGCGCGAATTGCTCCGCTGTTGAAGATTGTGAAGAGATAATTGAATTACTAAATAAAACCCCCTCCCCCAAAAAAAAAAAAATAAAAATAAAAATCCATGAGTATGGAATGGAACGTGATTGCTTAATGAGTGGACAATATCGAGAGAGAAGCCAAAGGTGTTCCTGGCGCGCTTTTTTCCCATCTTCTATGGCTGGGTTTTCTTTTATTCTACAGGTCTGGGGGTCTCATGCTTTTCTCTGCTGTTTACTGACCCATAGGGCTATATATTTATTTCGTATATCTTTACTGAACCTCTTTTACAATGCATTGCTTGCTTATAGGATCATTATGAGTATGAGGACAGGTTAGATACCTAACAGGAGTCGTGCACCAAATTGCCTATTCATCTTTGCCAGATTTACTTTATCTATTTGCTGTCGTGGAATTATCAGGACTGTTATGTCCTAGGGAATTTGATACCAACCGATTATCCCATCGGCATCAGGCTACACCGGTTGTTATTGTATAAAGACACTTATGTCCGCATTATTTCTACTTGTCTAATTCTATACTCGCTAAAGTGTGAAAAAAGAAGCAGAAGAAAACCACGATCCTGCTCTAAAGATAAAAGTATTACTGCAAGCCACCGGCAGCATGACCCGCGAGCTTTGAAAACCACTGTCCTTGCTGAAACGAAACTCGTAGATGACCGTTTCCTGGCAGTCTTGTGTTAAAACGGTTATATCCAGGATTGGAATCACATCAACATTGCCATCATCATAACCAAGACGATTGATCCCGCAGCAAAGTTGGTTTTCAGAAAGACGGAAGCAGCCTGAGAAGATACTCTCTCTCCCTCGAACTGAGAGGCTTGGGTGGCATTACCAGAAACCACAGCCTTCCCGTCTGGCAGAGTAGCATTGCCGGTAATCGTAGAGTTATAGGATATGTCACCAGGCTCAGTTTTATGTGTGCCGTCAAAGTCGGTACCGATACACGCATTTCGCTTGCTACATTCAGGTTTCTTGTCCGTGGGTTTCTTCGATTCGATAGGTCTTGTGTCACGACGATACCAGAGCTCGCTTGGGTCTCCGAGACAGTCACCGACGGTGACGGCGCGGTAGCCATCGTTGGAAAGCTTTTTCAGCATGTGCTCCGTGAGGTTGTGTACGGTTTGCTCGTGCACGTCATGGGCAATGACCAACCATGGTTGATCACTCGTCTTAAAGGGAGCCAAAGCGTTATTGAAAATGTCTTTCGACGTCTGAATCGCGGTGGGGCTATCGTTCTCAAAGTCTTTTGTATCAATATCGTACAAGACCACATGGTATCCAAGTTCACTTATGTCATTCAGGCACGCTGCATCACACCTTGAGTACGGTGGGCGCATATATGTGGGAAAGGCGCCCAGAATGTTCCGCAGTGCCGCTTCGTTCTTGATCATCTCATCACGGCGTTGCGCAGAGGAAAGTTGATTCAATTCAGGATGCGACCAGGTATGGCTGGCCACTTGGTGGCCGCTAAGCTGCATGCGTTGAATCAACTTGAGCCATGGCCGAGAAGGGTCGTCTATTTGTCCTCTGCCATTGTTGATACCATTGACGAAGAAAGTTGCTTTCGCGTTATGTCTATCCAGTAAATCAAGAAGTTCGGTTGTGTATTGGTTAGGGCCGTCATCGAATGTCAGAGCGACGGTTCCTGGCACGGTGCAAGCACTGATCAGTTGTGGAGCGTATGGCACATTGCCAACTTGAGGCCGAGGAATATCGGTAGTCGGCGGACCATCTGGAGTCCGCAGAGAATCGCAGTGGCCATACTCAGCCTGGCAATCTGGAGACTGGCAGTGGGCTGCCGTCATCCCGCAAAAGCCTGCAACTGCAAGTCAGTATTCCCGGTCCCCGTTCAAGGAAAGGTAAAGCAAGTACCGAAGGGCGAGCAGCAACTATTACCGCCGCATTTCCCAAAACCAGGCCCGCATCTGGGCTGTCCAGAACGACCAGCAAGTGCTACGAGCGCGTCGTCCGCAGGATAAGTGCTGTGTGCAAAAGTGGATGGCACGAAACTGAGGCTAGACACGACCAACAAGTCCCGCAGGTGCATTCTGACGTTGTTGCCGGAGGATAGTGAAAGTATATGAAAGCTATTATGTGTAATAGAAGTGCTCGTCGCTGATACCCTGCAGGCGAGCAAAGGAGTAGAGGGAGAGGAAGAGTGATATGGAAATAGCAAAAGAAGAGAACGATTCTCAGTTCTCAAGTTGCTCCATCGAGGGGATAGCATGTTGCTGCTTCCTCCCTGGAAATGAAGGAAACTGAAACTGCAACTGCGAGGAGAAGACAGGAGCGACCGGCTTGATGGTTCGAATGCGGAGATAGCGGAAATCGCAATGTTTCGATGAAATTCAGGAAGTCAGGTTACGAAGCACTCATACGTTGCGCTCCAGGAACCTTGAAACGGATAAACACTTCAGATTCTTATTTAAAAGATGTAGATTTTCTGCAACATGTTGGAAGCGCAGTGAACATTCCCCAATCGCAGTTGATACCAAGTCAGTAACCAATTCTCCAGATCCCTGCGCTTACTCCGTCTAGGAAGGAACAAACAGTCATGAGGATACCTAGCAAGGTAGTTAGCCGTGTTATATAATGATCGGAGAGGGGAAACTTATAAGAAAAAAAGGGGCCGCCCCCTCCTCGGAGGGGACGGCGGTCCATGGCCTTGGCCAAATTCGCAAAAGTTCTACTCCCACATATCCTCAGGCTCCTCTTCCCATAGAATGTACACCTGTCCTTTTAGTATGAGCTAAAGCAAATTCTCCTTCGTCACAGACTCAGCCTGGCCCAGGATTCAAATCCAACATCCACGGCTCGTCCAATCGAAAATGAATAGACAGTAATGAATGGCGGAACAGACAAGCCTGAGCTTTGATCCTCACTCTGGAGAGGTCCTGTACCACTATTGTGTCCGAAATCCGATTTGGGACACCTGAATAGGAATGAATCCTAATGCGGACAGAGGAGTAGTCTAGCAATCGAGAGCCGAGAACAGCTTTGATGTCTCAATCGGAACAATAGTTGCTTTCCTCGAGAAGAATTCAGCCCCGGGGCTGACTGGAGTTGTTGAGGGATATGGGCGAAGAATTCCTGGAATAGTGGCAATGGCTGAATGGACGCGGCTTGCGCTATCAACTGTATCTCGCTCTCTGGGAAGAAAACAGCAGCTAGTTCTCAGTCGTTCCAAAGAAAAAGTCCGCACCAAGGTCGCACGTTCAGTTATACGCTCTCTGTCTCCCAATGTCTTTCCAACACGTCCTTGACGCCAGCGAAATGTCGCGTCAGGAATCACTAAGCCCCCAGTCCCTCTGTGTGTAAATACAGTACCCTCAGGGACAAGTCTTTGTTTCCTCTCTCCTATCAAAGAGAAGGGCATTTTAGAAGCGAACAAATGACATCCACAAAAACCGCTTCTTTCTCCCCGAAGGGAGGGACAACGAGAGTTTTGTCGTCAGTGTCGGCGCCCATCAATCAATCTGCAAGCTGCCTCACAGAGAGATGGTTAACACGGTTGATCTGGGACCTCCCGAAGGAGCGTTAATCGGTGGGGGTGCCGTGATTACGGGTCGACAAGCTTTCCAGAAGGAATAAACCAAGAACCCGAGAGTTGGAGAGTGGGACGAAATGGCCCAGGCCATTCGAAGTAGGAATCATGTACTGGGTGGCAGGTAGGCTTGTGGAGATAAGATCACCATAACCGCGTTTGAAACAAGACACTTTCCTTACGGAATTATTGACAACCGGAACGTGACAACAAGCCAGAATCTCTGAAGGCATACATACAGCAGCCAGCCAGAGAGTCATTCAATTCAGTAGATCAACAGGACCTCGCTGCTACTATCTTTTCAGTAATCCCTGGGAATTACCAAAAGAACAAGTCGCTTTCCGACGAGTGGATCCTGCGATACATACCGACATCCTGACCGAGCGTAGGCACCTGTCAAGGAGACAGTATTGTTGTGTTCAATGTCAGTCCATAATATCGAAAAGAGAAATGCACCGGCAGTTCAGCATAAATGCTGACGGTGAACCTCTACCATCCGAAGCCATTCACTGCCCTTTAAACGCCCCCAAAAGGAAACTATCAATATAGAGGTTCCCGACATGCTTCACCACTCTCTCTCCCAGGATCTTGAATTTCAAGCATAAATCGACCATCCGGCTATGATCTGCATACAATGCCCAGCATTGGTGAACTGACGCGTGTTCCTTCTTGGAACTTAGACGCATAGTAAACCGTCTTTTGTTGCCTTGCTACGGGCTCTGGACGTCGAATACCTTTCGCCTCCTCGATTCTCACGAACCGCCTAAGCTATTCAGAAATTCGACATGCGCGAACCGTGAAACTCGTGCCATGCAAGGCACTGAACCGACATGTTTAGGGCTTAGGGTTTAAGTTCCAGTTCCCATTCGCCCTCTGGTGGCTCTATGCTCGCATGACAGCAACAAGCGTCGTAGAGACAATAGGCACGCCATGAGGTCTCTTTCGCAAGCTGGGTGACTGGAATCTTTCGGGGAGGGTAGATCTGTACGAAATAAAAGGTCGAGAACAAGCGATTCCAGATGACATGACGTGCGCGAGACGCGTTTTCCAGAGGATGGGTCCGACAGAGAGGTAGAACAAGAATTGGCAAAAGGGACATGTTTTAGACACGACAAACAGGCCAGCTATTTCAAAGCAAGGCGTCCGAGAATGGTCGATATCGTGGCCGCCATGACGAGAAAGGAAGAGAGGAGAAGTGAAAGCCCAAGGGAAAGCTGGCATTCAATGTAGGCGCGTCGCGTGGTCACGTATCACGTGATACTTAAATGTGCAAACAAGTCAAACAGCTACATTTGCCTCCCAACGTCTTCTTGACGCTTTCTTCTGCAGTTCAGAGCTTGCAGATAGGTTTGTAGTCCCAGCTATGGGGTTTATCGAGCTGATTCTTTACTGCCTTTGCAATGGCAAACAACAGACTGGTTAGGGAAGCGTTCGACGCTGCGACTGTATTTTTGAAACCGGTACTTGATCGAGGCATGCAAGTCTCAAAGTGTTTAATCTACTGGCATCACGGTGCTAACTGTTTATTAAGAAGAAATAAAGAAAAACCGCGGTAGCTCTGTCTTAGAGATATTGAGCAAGGATATACTATTATCTTTTTCAGATGATACCCTCGCAAGGACGGTTATCATAGAAAAGGCGCTGGAAATTCTTACCCGTATTCATACGGCTTTTGCGGCCCCTGTAGAAGATAATGGACAGCCTGAAACCGACCATGGACCAGAGGATATGGCTTTGGAGGATGCAAAACGGCGTCGACTACTGCATGCGCTTTTGGATCTGATCTCTCTTGAAGGGATCTATCCGTCGCTTTCGCCGGGAGTCGGAATACCTCTACAGGAAAGAGTGATTTCCGTCCTGCCTGCTGGAGTTATTGCGAAGCCTTCTGCTACTATTTTTGGCAGTAACCCTGAGGATGAGTCTCTCCTCAATCATATACTGACCGGGATCCTGAATATCCTTTTCGATGCGCGGCCAAGCATACAGCCTGTTATCCGTGGTCGGATCCTAAGTGACATAGTTAGTGGCACCGCAGACCTGGCCTTTAATTCCAAGACTCTTCCTGTTTCTGAAAAGAACAACTATCGAGAAGCATTTAGGAGAGTTGTAAATGAGTACGTCTGTGCTGTTTTCATCTTTACGTGAGTGCTGTTTACTGAGAACTGCAGAACTTCGAGCCCAGTTCTACTGTCTATGTTGGCCAGTTTCCTCAAGTCGGACATTGCTCCCTGGTTAAAGCCTATAATTTCCAGTGAGATTTCCTTGGTTCCTCTGCGTCAAGATGGTGTATTGCAAACGATACTTTTCATAGCCTCTCAGTTTGCTCCCTCTCTGGGACAAGAGGCCCAGAACCAAATAACCAATGGGCCTCATTTCACCGTGCAAGCTATTATGCACACATCGAAACTACTTTCTTCAGTGCCTCGGGATATGGATCCCAGTGCCTATTTTCAAAAGATTGCGCCACAGCTATTAGCACTGCTTGACAGTGACGATCCTGACTTGAGAAGAACTACAGCGTACGTTATCGGTAATGGGATCTTGGGGAAGCGAGCCTACGGGGCTCCTAGGACAATTGGACATTCGTTATTTGTGAAGCCCATTTTCCAAGCTCTAACTGCGGAAATCAATCAAACGCCAAGCTGCGACGTGACAATCCCTACCGATGGAGAACATCCTCACGGTGCAGGTGGTAACCTACAAGAGCCAATTCTCGTAGATGAATCCACCATTCGATTAATGATTGAACGGCTCTCGGTCCTGACTCTTCAGCATCCCAATCCTGGCCTCGTGAAGAGGCTCATCTATCCCATTCTTCTTCCACTGTGGGGATTGGCCTGTTTTGCTTTGGAACAGCAGCTTTCTACTATGAAACAGCAGGTCATAACAATGTTGCAAACGTTCTTCAGTGTGTCATCAGGAGGGGAACCGCTACAGAAGCTCGCCAACAATCTTCTGTGGGATGGTGGCGCTACGTGGACATACTGCCAGGGGACAAATGGTGGAGTGTCGCTGAAAAACCGCCATACAACCAGTCGAAAGCGATTTAATATTGTGCAGCTGCTCGATTCGCTTGACCACCGGGCTGAATTGTTCGTCAAGCTTCTAGGGTCTGATCCCAAAAGCGAGGAGCACACTGGAGATATCTTCTTGCTCGTTAGTCGATCATGGCTTATGCAGCCATCCACCAGCCAGCGCCCTTCAAATTGGCCAAGAATTGCAGTGGATGGAGATGAGTCAAAGAGTGTAATTCAAAAGCTAGTCAATGCGAAACTGGCGGAGAAACTGCTCGATAGCTTTAAGGATATATTGTCACGACGCCCTCTCAGGATTCTCGAGCTCGTAAACCAGCTCATTGACGGTGAACTTAGACGGAGGGAGACAAGACAACGAAGGGAACTGGAGGGCGGTGGTGGAAAGGTCTCCCTTTCGTCTTTAGCTAATATCGTGGAGAAGAACGATGACAAGCAAGCAGAAAGTTCAGCCGATGAAGAATCAGCTGAATTATTGTCAGCGGTATTTAGCTTGCTGTCCACCATTCTTGCCTCTCCCGAGTTCCATCCATCCCAAGAGATTCGTCCAGTTCTCGATAGCGTCAAATCATCATTGGATAAACTGCTTCCTCTCTTGCCTCCATCACTTTCAAAGCCAGGCACGACAGCGTCGATGCTCCTTGAAATTCAGCTCTCTTCCCCAGAACAGCAATCCCAACCTGAGTCTAAACAGAAGCAGACTCATGTCTCTGATCTTGATACCCACCGGCAAGCGTTGACGAACCTCAATTCTGATCTCCCCCCCGTACAGGCAGAGGGGCTCTCCCTTATCTCTGACTTGATCAAGGAATCCTCCCCTGTTCTCGATATTCCATCCACCTTGGCTCTTTTATTATCGATCCTAACTGAGTCAGTCTCTGAATCAACTTCCAACGAGGAGTTTATCTACTTGAATGTTATCAAGCTTATTGGCACCTTGGCATCGAGACATCCACGGACGGTTGTGAAGGTTCTAGTCGAACGTTATGCTGATAGAAACGAAGAGAGAACTCTCGATCAAAGACTTAGAATAGGCGAATCTTTGCTCCGCACTGTCCAGGACCTCGGGGAAGCTCTAACTGGAGAAACAGCCAAGGTGCTTGGTGAAGGTATAATCTCCGTTGCTGGACGACGAGGGCGGAAACCCCAAACTCAGAGACGCCAGAGAGAGCAGCTCGAAAAAGAAACCCGGAAACGGGAGCAGGAACTTCGTAAACAGCAAGAATTCCCAATGGCAACAGACTTGGAAGAAGTCGCGAGGGGATACCTTAAAGACGAGGACTCCGAAGCTGAGACTCCCGAGCAAGCTGCATTTTCTGCACGTACGCTGTCTGTGTGGGCCGCCGGTGCAGCCTCTGATGAGGATGCGGATGACCTTCGAGTGCGCGCATCTGCAATTTCAATCCTCGCATCCGCCATCCAAACAAATCTTGCCGGACTGGGACCATCCATCGCCTCATCGGCTGTTGACCTCGCGCTGAACACCTTAACACTCGAATCAGATCCCGAAAGTGCTATCCTTCGTCGTGCAAGCGTTATCCTCCTTCTCGATATCCTCAAGTCTCTTGATACAGCTCGAGAGACTCGCGGGGCCGCGGCTCTGAATTTCGGCTTCTCGCTTTCCGATGACACTGGATCTGCGTCTATCTTAAACGAAACAAAAAGCTATGGTGGTGGACCATCCACCATCGGGAACCTCCCGCATATGCTTCGGACGCTAAAATTCGTCGAGAGCTGCGAAACTGATAGTACCGTTCGTGGTCATATTCGCGTGCTAATTGAGAGCCTGGAGGCGTGGATGGAAAAGTCTCTGCTCTGGGGCATAGGTCTACAGGGCGAACAACGTGAACTGGAAGAGCGACTTGAACTCGGTGATAGGATTGCCGGTTTAAGTGTTAACCCTCTGGCGGGAAGAAGTGGAAGTGGGAGGCCTAGGATTGAGGAGATTGAATAGTTGAAAATGCTGTTCACTTCCCTATATATATATATATATATATACTTTTTGTTTCATTGAGCATGCTACTAGTGTTTCTCTGAAAGTCACCAGGAGTCTTCATGGTTACATAGATAGATCGTACGAGCAGAGTGTCTTGATATTCTGGTGCTCGTAGGAATAAAAAGCTTCAAGTTGAACGTCCATGGTCTCGTTTTATTTTATTTTATTTTATTTTCTACTACTGTGCTCTTGAATAACGTATCTAGAGAACCTAACAACAACGGATCTCATCTCATCGTGCCAGACAGACCATTAAGCCATAAATGAAGGCATAAATAAGGGAAACAATGAAATGCAATTGATTCAGATTGCAACATGAATGTCTATCTCCTATGGAAGCGCCCGAGGCATCCTCAGCCCCGCATCTTGTAACCTCAAAGATTCCCGAAAGCATTCCGTATGAGTATATCAATAGGCACCGAATGAGTTATTATTATCAAAGATGACACTTCAAATACCATGTTTCTCAAACTCGTGTACACAACATATCATAATCAGAGGATAAGAGAGAGCAGTACATGCGCAAATTTTTAGTGATAAAAAAAACATATGAAAAGCAGCAATATGACAAAAGAAGACTAGAATAGTGAATCCGTTGGGAGGTGAATAAATCACAAGATGGACCCGAAACCGTTAACATAATAATTGGAACAAGTCAATCTCCAAACTGAAAACTGGCTATTCAATAGCGATAACCGCCGCGTCCGCGTCCTCCGCCACGTCGACCACGGCCACCTCGAGGTGGGCCTCTGAAACTGTCCGGGCGCCGAGGACGGGGTCCGGCTTGCATACGGGCTTGACGTTCTTCGTCACTCAGGTGGAATTTGTTTTCTATACCGATTAATTCGCAGAATTGGGCTGTTTGGGGGTTATTGTATTCTGGTGGCATCTCCGTGGTCGTTACAGGGACGGAAGGATCATAGAATGGAGCGGTGGTTGCGAAGTTTTCGGGAATGGTCAGCTTTCCTGGCTTCACCACATGTTCTTCAATCCACTTCTCCTCCTGCGCTATCAGAGATTTATAGAAGATGTCTCCTTTGTCTGCCGGCGGTTTCGCCCTTGAATCTCCAAGCTGAAGATCATTTGCGAAAACCCGGGTTATGGCAAGCCACTCCTTGTCATATTGCAGGTGATATGGTCTTTCGGTCTGAACATTGTCTTGTTCAGAAACAGGGTAAAGTTCGGCGAGTTGGAGGAAATCACGATGCGGCTCACACTTGTCTAGAGCAAGAAACTGCGTAACCACGTTAGAAATCGCCTCCGGCAATGGCCCATTCACAGCCGACTGGGCCGGTTCAGGACGTGTGAAACTGGCGGGGAGTTGGCTCCGTATATCTTCAGAGACGCTGTCCTCTCGTTTGGATGGATCCTTAACAGAATCATCCAGAGTGGATTCAGTGTTGCTGGGATTCGCTTTAGCGCTAGTTGCACTTGCATTTCCACTGGTCATCGTATCAACAGCCTCTTCGGAATCGCTATCCAAGTCTAAGGAGATTTCATCGGAATTCTTGACGCTCGTTGTTTCGTGCTGGATTTTCTGTTTTTTATTTTCGCGTCCTTCTGGAAGCCCAGGCTTCTCAATGCCAATCACTCTCCTGTCAGCGCCATCTTCATCGATATCGACTTTGCGCCAAGTTAAATTGTGCTTAATTTCAGGGAAACCTTCAGCACGAAGCCTGTCCTGCTCTTCGAGGTAGCGAGAATTCTCAACGGCTTCATTCTTGGCAGCCACTTGGTGGAAGTTATTCCAGGCCGACAGTCGGTTCTCCGTGTCATTGAGGCTGGTATCAACGGTGTTAGATGGAAGCTCTGGAGTATTAAGAGTGGCACTTTGAGACGGTGCATCAGTTGATGTTTCAGGAACAGTCGCTTCTGAGGGCACATTTTCTGCACGATTTATAGGTACAGTTCCAACGTTTCTATTATCGTGTGCTGCATCAACGGAGGCTGGTGTATTATTTTCCTCGTTATTTTCAGCAAGGATTGTCGTGAGAATAGTGCCGTCCAGCCCAAATACGTACGGCACTTTAGGAAGTTGCGGGGTTTGCGGAGAGCCTCTTCCAGGAGCAGGCTCTGTCCTTGCTTTAGGACCTCTTGCAGGAATATAGTCACCGTGCTGAATGTAGGCTGCAAATTTAACGTGGAGATGCGCAGAAAACCAATAAGCGGGGCGCAATCGGTCGAGGACATATTTGGCTGCTGGGCTTCCCAATTTACCTAAACTAGAATCTTCGCGGAATCCTCTCTTCTGCCGAAAGAGGGTCTCATAGTCCCCAGACAACTCAACACCCTTGGGCCAGTCGTGAGATATTCCAAGATCGACCTGCGTTTGGATTTGGAGCAACTTTCGCACATCCAACTCTCTAACGTGGTAAATACCATGCACGTCGTCGTTATTGTACGGCAGCCTTTCGAAGTGGGAGTTACGAAAGTCGTAACCCTTCCAAATCCCTGACATACCGGCAATTCGAAGTGGTCCACAACGAATGACATTGGCGGCACCTAGGTAGTATATATTGGGGGCGACCCAACCACCGTAGTAAAGCTCAAACATGTAATTACTAGCTTCATGGTTTCCACCAACGAAGATAGTGAGGTATGGAGCAGTACGTTGTCCGCTGTAATATTCATGAAAATCTCCCATCGCCTTGAACTTTTGGGGTACAGCCATGCATGCCAGGTCGTAAGAATTCCGTACAGCCTGAGTGTCTAAGTCAGAAGAAAAGCTCACACTTAAGCAAGAGAGTCGAGAAAAACAAACCTGGAAGTCACCACCGATGATGACTAGATCAACACTGTCCCACCCTTTGAGAGTGGCAGCTCTCTCAACTGAGGCGTAGATGTCATTGAGGCAGCCATGTCCCTGGGCCATTGTTAGTTTTTATTTGTCACCGGAAGGTCGATACATAGGTGCTCACACAGCCTTCAAAAGCTACCCTGATAGATCGAGAGTTTGAGCTTAGATTCTCCATCTTTTGGATACTCTGAAGGCAGCAAAAGGAAGAGAGAGACGTAGAACGATCTAAAGCAGTTTCAATGGGGAGTTCCGAAGTGCAGTCAAGACTCCGATTGAAGAGAGCAGGCCAACAAGCAACACTGGGGGTGATGGAGGTTTCAGCAAACACTGAGAGTCCTCATTTTTTGCGATGAAAGAAAGGGACAGTGCAGCGTGGTGGTTGTGAAAAAGAAGAAAAGTGAGAGCAATGATGGATAGATAGTAAAGGCTAAGCTGGGAGCGGAGTTCTCCCTCGCAAACAAACCCATTCCCTCATCATTTCCACCCTGGACACTGCTACTACCCATGCTACACCAGTTCTGCAAAACTTATCAACATGCCCCCCAGCGAATATGCCTCTCAGTTGAAATTTCTTAAAAACTCTGCTGATTTTCTAATCGCCGAGAGCCCTTCTACATCAGCCCATCTCTTGGCAGTCCACAGGCAGATACTTCATGACAACTCTAGGTCTTTAAACCAACGACAACATGAGACATTCTGTGGAGCATGCGGCAGTATCAGGAAGCCAGAGTGGACCAAGATCATTCATATAACCAGGAGGAACAAGGCAAAACGTTCTGATCAAGCGGTGCCTTCAGTATCCAAGGAGTCGGCGGGCGAGATCACTGTCTATAAGTGCCTCCGCTGCCATCGGAAGACGGTAAAACCGCGTCAAGGAGAACCCACTCGACAAATTTCTTCTTCTAGGACTACGGTATCATCTTTCCAGCAATCTATGCCTACGACTAGTTCCTCAACGACGGGGAAGAATGCTGCTCAGGTTGCAGCTGCCACGGTTGAAGCAACCAAAACGGCCGACAATGCAAGCAGCAAGAAGAGAGCAAAGGCAAGAAAACAAGGTAGCCTTCAGGCTCTTCTGGCATCAAAACAGCGATCCCAAGCAGCATCATCGTCGTCTCTGGACATATTCGACTTTCTCCAGCAATGATCAAGCCATGCTGCATTGCTTCTGAGAGGCTTTTTCTTGTTTGTCTTGTTTGCTTTCTCGTTGTTTGTCTCGGAGAATCGGCGTATTTTCCGGTCTATTTTAGGGTTAGCGCGGGGCAGCTTCACGCGCTTATCTCAAAATAGCAATCACCGCCACTGCAAAAGTCGAAATGCAAGGAATATTCCCGCGTATACTAGTCTTTTTTTTCCTCCGGGATACATTAATACTCAAATACCCCTCTCACACTTTGCTGGACCTCTGACTTAGCTCACTTTACAACGTTTACCGTGAGCGAAAAAGTTTTCAATACTTGAATAAGTGCCAAACAGGATTTTCTTATTGATCTTTGGCCAGGAAGCTCACGATTTTGCGAATTTTGGCCAAAATGTCTGCAGAAGAGAACGCTGTCCCGCAAGGCGGTGCTGCGGAGTCGCAATTTCAAAAGCTAGGTGATTTAGTGGAAAAGAATGATGATACTGGTGTGATGTCTGTTGAGAGCATGTGCATGAATTGCCATGAAAATGTAAGCCTCCCTTCAGATCACATATGATGGGAAATGATACTAACAGGACGGTAGGGAACAACCAGACTCCTCCTTCTCCGCGTCCCTTTCTTCCGTGATATTATTCTCGAGTCCTTCGAATGTCCGCACTGCTTCTATAAGGACAATTCGATCAAATCTGCTGGTCAGATTCAGGAGAAGGGAGCAAAATACACGCTTGAAGTTGAAAACGAGCAGGATCTCCAGCGACAAGTCGTCAAGAGTGATACGGCCATCTTCAAGGTTGAATCGTTAGGGATAGAGATGCCAAAGGGCGAAAGCCAGCTCTCTAATGTCGAGGGAGTCATCCAGAAGATTTGTGAATCCCTCTCCAGTGAGCAGCCGTTGCGCAGGGCTCAGATGCCCGAGCTATACAATGCTCTGCAACCCATAATTGAAAAACTTGAAAAGATTTTGAGCAGAGAGGGCTTTCCTTTCACAATCTCTTTGGATGATCCCACAGGAAATTCATGGATTGCGCCCACAACCCACGACACAGGCAATAAGTACAAACGCGTTGACTATCCCCGTACGCACGAGCAGAATGAAGAACTTGGAATCGCCGCCGACAGCGCAGCAGCAGGAAATGAGGCTACTGCTATGAAGGAATCTGCTACTGTCGACGATGACGATGAAATCGTTGACGGCAAAGTCTACTCACTTCCTGCTGAGTGCCCCGGCTGTTCGAAACATTGCCTCGTCAACATGCAGAAAGTCAATATCCCTCATTTCAAGGAGGTCTTCATCTGGAGCACAGTCTGCGATGCGTGTGGCTACCGTTCCAACGAGGTGAAAACTGGTGGTGAGATCCCTGAGAAGGGCAAGCGGATTATACTCAAGGTCGAAACTGTCACTGATCTTTCCCGCGACATTCTCAAATCCGATACATGTGCCCTGATTAGCAAGGAGCTTGAACTTGAGGTGCAACCTGGCACTTTGGGCGGGCGGTTCACCACCGTGGAAGGTCTTCTGACGGAAATTCGCGATCAGCTGCATGGCCAGATTTATGACATTGATGACCAAAGTGGTGCTGGAGGAGACTCCATGTCAGTTTCCGACAAAGAGACGTGGGAGCGCTTTTTCAACCGTCTCAATTCCGCGATCAGGGGAGACTTCAAATTCACCATCACTCTTCAGGATCCCTTGGCCAACAGCTACGTACAAGATCTGTGTGCGCCGGCGCCTGATCCGCAAATCACCATCGAAGAGTATACTCGTACTGATGAGGAGGAGGATGATTTGGGTTTGAAGGACATGAGGGTCGAGGGATACCAGGATGACGTTGAAACTAAGGAGGCTAGTGAGGCTGAGGGCAAGTAATGGATGGGTATCATGACAAATATGCATTGGATCAGAGTTGAAATTCTTTGCATCCTTCAACTTCTGTTTGACGATTTACGCGATCTTTCTTTTGGTGACTTGCTATGGATAATGTGACTTTTTGCGATTGGTCTTGTGAGTTTACGTTGATATCCAATGTCTAGAGATTTGTTGAGCTGAGGTGTGTTATTTCTTGGTGTCTGTTGTTCAGTTCAGGGGCATGAATGGACATATATTCTCTGGATGGCAAAAGTTGATGGTTTTATACAGATCATGATAGATTCCTTGAGCGGATAGTTTAATTTCATATGTGGAGGGATGCTCTATGGGGCAGGGTCCCTACTAGCACAATTTTCATGGCTAATCCTGTGTTCTCCTTCCAATGTAAATTTGTAGCCTCTTCAAGAGCAAGTAATACTGCCGTGTCAAGCAGACTTGATAGATCACGCACTATTTACAACGTCTCTTGAAGGGTCATGGGAGGCCGAACGCTGGCTCATAAAGGAATAGCATCCGTTGCTTCGTAACAAGCCTCGTGCTCCACTTGATGCATATCCAGCAGATTCCTCGGTGGTGACGATGCCGTAGCAGCCGTATTTTACTCAAACAGTGAGCCCCTTGGGCCTCTTCATGCTGTCTTCAACGATAGTGCAATCCCAAAGTCTTGTCGGATTCTTGCATAGTTGAAGCCAACTTGGACCCTAGCAGTATCGCATAATGGCTCCAAGCAGAAACAATAGATTCGGGCGTGATTCTAACATGCCCCGGTTGATTTTGAATGGGTTCACTTTGCGAGTGGATTGGCATGGATGGTCACTGAATTGAGTCTCAGGGCTTCAAATTCGCCATCCTCCTTTTCAGCAGGCTGCACCACTCTCCCTTTCTTGTCGACCTTAACGTTCGCCTTTTCTAGTTTCGTCAACACATCGCCGCCTTCATCTTGAGGAGAGAGATTCAACACTTTCCCAAACACGGTGCTTGCTCCATCGAGATGCGGCGCCGGCGCCAAAGTGATGAAGAACTGACTCCCGTTAATGGTGTTTCCTGTCGCGTTTAGTGACCCGGGCGCTGTCCTATCCTTAAGAGGTCGGGATGCCATTGACAATATCCCCCGAGTGTTATGTCGTAGAGCAGGGAGGTGGATTTCCTGATCCAGCGCTGAAGGGTGGTAGATTGATGTGCCACCTTTCGGGATATCGAAGGGGAGAATTGGCTTCGTCGATTCTGTCTGCTTTGCGGCCGGTCCTAGGGATATATCTCCTCCTTGAAGCACGAAACCTGGGATTAGACGGTGGAAGGGGGTGTTATTGTATGCTCCGGAGGCGCAGAGTGCGAGGAAGTTCTGTGATTGAGAGGTCGAGTTTAGCCAGATAGATATTCTTGAAAAACTTGGTCAAATGAGAGGAATCCCCAGTTTTTCAACCACAAAAAACACATAGAAATACATACTTCTGCCGTCCTCGGGACTGCCTCACAGAAAATCTCGACCTTGAGGTCTCCATGGGTGGTATGAAGCTGCATATCACGTCAGTATGTTGGATTGCCATAGAACTCATTGCGGGCAATAGATGCATCTTTTGCCCAACCAGTCAAGCCAATTTGAACACGGTGACCCACTGTAACAGACATGACTCCCTGCTTAAATGCCGACTGCACTTGCTGATACGGTTTTCGGAAGATGTCGAAAAGACGTCGAACCTTCAGAAAAGGCGGGATGCGATAGCTATGCCTTAGTCATCAATATACATTGATCTTCAACGGAAGTATTTGAACAGGACGAAACAACTCGAATGCAGGAACCAGACTAATTTCGAAATATATTCTCATTGGATCGCGTGTTAAAGTCGTTTGCATGTTATAGTGTTACATTGCTGACAAGTCATCTAGTCTCCAGAGCTTTTCCATAACTGCACCCATCCTCCTACTCTTTTCCTGTCCAAATGCTTCTGTTGAAGGGCCAGAACCGGTAGTATTCTGATTCAAAAAGGAAAATGAATAATAAACCTATTGAGCAGGCTCTAGCCACTCTTTTACCCACGCATGCCGATGATCTGCCACCGCAGCTGCTCAGTTTGGCCGTATCTCTCGTCGCGCAGTCGCGAAGCTATTCTACCAGCTTGAAACCCGAAGAGGAGATCGCACGACCTTATGCTTGCGCGGAGATTGCTTGCAAGAGGTGTGTCCAGGGACTCCTATTTTAATTTTTTCTGCATATGACGCGAAGTGATTGTTGAACACTAACGAGGCCTACTTGAAAATACATATAGGTTGAGTCGAGCGTTGAAACTCCCTCCTCTCCTAGGCCATCCACCATGTCCTCCGCGCGTATATAAGAAGCTTTTTGCATTTCTCGACCGGTCACTAACCAGCAGCATGGCCGAAATGAAGCGCTCTGTTGGCGGTCCAGGTTCGGTTCCGGGCACTCCTTCGCGTGCAACATCCAAACCGTCGACTCCCAGGAAGGAGTTGGATCGAACGCCTTCCAGAGGAAAGGCGACAACGCCACGAGGACTCCAAAATACACCAAGCAGGTCGACCCCCCTGAAGAGAACGGCCAATGGTGCTCCCAAGCAGACCGCATATCCACAATCGGCGCAAAAGACCGGAATAATTCGTCCAAACGGCCTTTCATCCTCAACAATTATTCCTGACGCTTCAGGATGGGTGATGACAAACATTCGAACAGTATGCAAGGCCCTTTCGACTCCAGCCCCGCGGACAAGTGCATGGTCTCGACCACCGATCTCCAGGATGCTCCCACCCCATATTTTCGCAGGAGTATCATCCATTCTATACTTCATCACTAAATCCACCTCCGGAACAGACGACGGGGACATAGACGAGGAGACGTTGGAATTTCTAGATCCCATAATTTCCACAAAGGACAGGGAAAACGACGAAGAATTCAAAGAACTAGTCAACGCGCTCATCGTAGCCGTGTATTTCCTCGTTCTCGCTCGACGGCGGAATCCTTCACCCAATACCCAAGAAGCGGGGAATAATACTCCCATTAAGTCACCACTTGAGCCGAAGAAACTGGACAAAAAGACATTTGCAGAGATGCGTCAAACCGCTCTCGTCAGCCTCGGTCTCCCCTCGACGGAGAGGAGACATCGGGAAGATGTCGACCAGTGGATCGCAGTGATCATGGAACTTGACTGGGCTAATGGGAAAGAGTGGTTCGAAAATATCCCTATGGCAGGCGAGATGGATGGGGAAGAAACGGACCTTGACGAAGAAGATTTATATGGTGGAGATGAGGACGGCGGAGTGAGGAATCCTAGATGGAATGCTACTGAGTCGCTTCTCTCCAGGGATTCCTCGAGAGGCGGCCTCCTGCCTGGCCTGGGAACCATGATGCAGGATCGTGTGGATTGGCTGAGCCCGGAACGACAGGAGGACTATATCGAGTGGAAGGCGGATATAATGCAGCGGATTAAGAGGATGGAGAGAGCTGGACGCATTGCGGCCTGATAATTAGCGCTGAATTCTTTTCTGGCAACATATTATATTATACTATGATACCCTGTAAAATAGAATAGAGGGAAAATATTGTCTCTTGTGCGTGTATTTCTATCTTTGCTCTTAGGCAGCTACTCAAATCAAACGCGTGTTTAGTGGTATAAGTCATCGCATCACGTGATATTAACCTTCGAGAGGAAAACTATCATTGGTTTTCCAACGATTACTAACCAGAGCTAGAGAAGTAGCTGGGTACATTTTATTGAGGCTGCATCTGGCTCGCCACTCACTTCAGTACTCACGGCAGTGTCCAAAAGCATCCAGGAATTTGGATCTGACTACTGCAGTATACTCTCCCAACGATGGCCCGTCGATAATCCATCCAGATGAACGAAGCACGTCCCCTTCCCTTTCTCCAGCTCTGGATTGCTTGCGGAATGTGGAAGGAGATCGCTGCTGCAGGGGAATCTTGTTTTCTTTCCGCGCCAATCATCCACTTGCTTATCTAAGTCGTTGGCGATTTCGGAGTTAAAAAAACAGGGAGTGATGCAAGTTGTCCTGTCTTGCCTGCAGAAGAACAAGGGAGAAAGGCCAGTTGCAGCTTGTTGGCGGGTCAGTTACTCCAGCGCCTTTGTGCCTCTGCAGATTCTGCACCATTGAGTCGTAGCCCAAGATTTGCGCGCTATCTGGTTCATTTGTTAGACTTTGTATACGCTATTCGTGCCTGCTTTGCCTTACCTTCGTTTGCTCTCTTCTTCTCTTACTCTCTTTTGTTTCTCTCGATCTTGTTTTTGTAACTAATCTTAAACCAAGAGAATCATTCGTCCAGGGAAACCAAAACTTGGTTAGTTCCCAGCCATTGAAAGCAGACTGGGGCGAGAAGTGCCTGTGCGGACAGCAAAATAAGAAATGTCTGACGATGAAGCTGATCCCGAACTCTTGGAGCTGCTGCGTAAGTCCCTGGGGTTAGAAGGGCCTACCACCAGTGGCTATGCTGCCGAAACCAAGGTTCTCGATAATGCGCAGTACATCTTCGACAATGCCATTGACATCGCATTGGACCCTTCCAAAACAAAAGAAGCGGCAGAGAAGATCTGGTGCCTGATGCAGGAGAAAAGGTACTCGACAGGAACATGGTCAGAGCATGAATTGCATCCAAAGTCCAAAGACGAGAGCACAGTCGACTTTATTTTTGCTATGGATCTGCTGAACTTCAGCTTCTGGTCTGATGAGACGGATGAGTCAAAGAGATATGCTGTTGAATATCGAGGGCGGAAATGGACTGGGTATTGGGGATTGGTTGCTGCATTGCAGAGAGCACTAGATGAAGGTACGCTCCAGTAATCGTCTTTGCCTGGTCCTAGAGATTTACAGAGATAGAAGGCTTATACTGAGACTCACAGAGATACCAATTGTGAGCCCAGAATACTGGATGGATGAAGATCTCTGTACGGACGAGGTGTTGAAGCATGTCTTCCGTTCCGCTACTGATGAAGAAATGCCCTTGTTCAAGGAACGAGTTCAATGCCTCCGTGAGGCCGGAAAGGTGCTTTGCGAGGTATGTAGTCAATTTCCCCCTTTTGTGTATATCAAATAGCATTCATTTGCTGTACTATAGTAGTTACAACTAACAGGATACCCTTTCATAGGAATTTGATGGCAGCTTCGTGAACTGCATATACGATGCCAACCATTCCAGTGCAGTACTCGTCAATCTCCTGGCAGATAGATTCCCTTGTTTTCGGGATGAGGCCACCTTCAATGGCCGGAAAGTACGGTTTTATAAACGAGCTCAGATTTTAGTTGCTGACCTCTGGGCTTGCTTCGACGGCCAAAGCTACGGGGAGTTTTCTGATATTGAAAAGATTACCATGTTTGCAGGTAACGATGCCCTTTTTCTTTTCGATCTGTTCCTCATGACTTGCCTATTCCTTCTATTTTCATTCTCATTCAACAGTTCAGCTAACGGATATAGACTATCGCATCCCTCAAATACTCTATCAACTGGGCTGTCTCCGCTACTCACCACCACTGGAATCACGTATCCGAAATCTCGAAACTCTTCCCAGCGGCTCGAACTGGGAAATTGAGCTACGCGGCGCAAGCATCTGGTGCGTCGAATTAATCAGACGCGAAATCGAACGACGACACCCAGAAGCCAAAACGAAGAAAGCTTATGATGGCGATTTCCATACCAATCAACAAAATGGAGATGACAACACAGAAAGCGCTAATGTCATCGGGATGAATGCAATCCTGATCGACTTTTTCCTTTACGACACTATGAAGTCCCTAGAGAGCCAAAAGCTCGAGAGCATCCCGCACCACCGGACAAGGAGTATTTGGTATTAGACTATGAGCGCAAGCGTCTTCATTTCCTATTCGTCTCTCTAGTGTTATTGCATATTACATTAGGTGGTCATCTGTTGGCTGTTTGCTGTACGGATAATTCAAGACAGGTATCGAACCGAGGCTGATGTCCAACGAGTCAGCGGGATAAATGCATTGGTAGATCTCAATAGGATCTGACGGAGCATGTAACTACTCCATTTACTTCAACTATCCATTAATTGATGGTCATGGTTGGAGATTGCTCTATCTCAAGCCATGTGAAGCCCTCCCAGTTCCAATAAGATCCAGGCACTTTGCCACCTTTTCTCTATCACCGAGGGCCCTGAGCCAAGCAGTACCTGGAATATTTCTGCTTCAGTCCATCTGCCCAGTTCAGCTCCTGCAGAAGCCTCTCACCAATCGTGGCCCACGTAACAAAAGATAGGTCAGCATATATGCACTTGTTACCAACAAGCCAACCGGTCCCGTTCCACCCCAGGCCTTCTTCCAAGATGCCAATGGCCCCGGATGATCTCGCTAGCATAGCGATCGATGGCAGATTGGACCTTTTCAGGATGGAAGCGGGCAAACCAGGCCGCCTGACCGAAGTAAGGGTCTTGACCTACGGCGAGGTTAATCTCGATCCGAGAACTAAACATGTTAACATGTCTGATCTTTACCAGATATCTGGAATGCCAGCCACTGCTGGGTCAGGTACTTTCCAGGCTCATCACGGTAAAAGAGCTTGTCCTCTTTGTCATATTGGTCGATAAGATAGACAATGATGGCGGTCTTTGAATGTCTGTTAGGTTCACCTGGAGGAGCAAGGCAACACGACAGAGGCAAAGTGCTCATGCTTACCTCCAACAGAGTTATGTCTGTGTTTTGGATCCTTATGGTTGGCAGAAGTCCGCTGGGATTGAGTCTCAAGTATTCTGGTTGCCTGGCGTCGGAGAATTCCAGCTGATGCAGATCATAAGGCAGCTTGAGCCCCTCGAGGAGCATGCACACCTTTCTATGTTAAAGCATAAGACTTGTAAATTGATTGAACCAATCTTATTTATTGGATCTAAATCAACTACTATCCATGACAGTCTGCACCTTAAGAAGCTGCAGGTAAAGACCTAAGTGCATGCATGGTGAATCAGAGAAATGAACATCAGCATATGGCATTGAGTAGGGAAATAGAATACTGGTAATGTTCTATCTGTTATGTTGATGGGTCAAAACTTAGTTGGTTGTTCTAGCTAACTAACTAGTTAACTTAGGCCTGTATGCTAACTAAGCAGCGCTAAACCTAACTAGTTAGTTAGTTAACTAGTTAACTACCTCTGAACCATGGCCAGCGGTTCCTACCTAACTATAGTGTAGTCTGGTGGTGACTTCCAATAACATCACTGTCAAGGTGCAGATCCAGGAAGGTCAGGAAACAGGTTCAGAAGACAGACATCGATTGGATTGGGCACATAGGCAGGCTACAGGTCAGACTATGGTACAGGCAGATCGACAAGACGTAGCTCGAAGAGCTACAACAAGATCAAAACAGAAGCTGGAGATGTTGGTGGTTCTCATGGTTCAGCTCCTTCCTAGTTAGCATAGCGTGGATAACTGGTTAGTTAACTAGAACAACCAACTCAGCAAGTTCAACCCCTCGCGGGTCACGTGGAAAGGGCTACGGATACATGCCCTAAGTTCTTCCCATCTCCTACCTACTCAGAAAATAAAGTCATAGGAACGGCCGCCATGACATCCAACGCAGAAATGCGCTCCTGAACCCGCGCGCAAAGCCAAGATCACGGCTGCTGAAGATGTGGTTGTCAGCCACCTACCTCTACGCTCACTGCCCCCGGGACCGCTCTTACGAGTTCACTAAGCCACTGCAATACAGTAAGCACGGTCAATCAAATACCCAAGCTAACAATACAGAGGTACAAAGGAATCTAGGGTATAACGCTCCCATACATTAGCACCATTGCATTAGTGCTACACTACCACCCCTGTCTCAAAAAGTAATTCCATCCTAGTAGCGAGGTCTGTTTCTAGATAAAATGTTTTGAGGTAATAAATTAAAACATTGGAAAGATAAAGATTCCTTTCTACTATGTGTTATAGGATACACTATTCATTTGACATAAGCAGCAAGTAGGAGAACTAGGCAAAAATTGTAAGGGTTTGAATAAGAATTCATTGTATGCTAGTTACACGAAGAATTCCTTGAGAGAAGGAAGAGAACAGGAGGTATTTTCAAAAGACAACGGCTTTGTGTACAAGGAAGTAAATAGGCGAGCGGGCAACAAACAGAACAAATGGGACAGACAGAACAGACAGAATACTCAGGCATTGGCCCTGAGTTTACAATATGCCTGGGCGTAGCCCATGACAAAAATAGATTCCCCGTCAATGGCAAAACAGCCATTATGAAAGAAAAGTATAAAATAGGAAGTGAAAAAATCTAAGAGAACAAAAAAAGCTGCTAGAACCTCTAAGGAAAGTGATTCTGATTGCTGTACAGAATAAAGCCACTCTAAAAGCCTTTTATCCAGTATCTTTGTGTAGAAATATGCACACCAACAAAGAACAATCCAGGAATTAATAGAATATAGAATCATCTACAGCTATAAATATAAACATATATGAAGATCTATGCCACAAAAATAATTAATACACAAACATCTTGTACTTAGACTCTGTGCTCTAGCCTACCACAGTCTATGATCCTGGAAAGAAGAATCCGGAAAAATGGATTTGAACACCATCTCCAATAACTTCCAAAATTACAACAAGGCAAGTGCTGTTTTCAAACCCGAGTGCAGCTTTTTTGAAAAGTGTATTTCATGTCTAAACAGTTAATAGTATGAAGCCATCATTTATAAACCAGACATGGGCCCTTACTGTACGTATGATCCTGCCAACTGGCTAGAGCAAAATATGCTGCGTCAGGAGATTTTTACACACAGCATTCTAAGAGACGAGTGAGCAGCAAGGAAGTTCAGCTCTTAGATATGTTCAAAAAGCTAGAGACAGACCTCTTAGAGATCAAGACTCAAAACTGTCAGGGCCCTTGCCATGTAGACCAGGACGAGCACGTGAACTTCCTTACTTGGATTAGCGTGGCGCGTGGATAGGAGTACGTCGTCCAGCTTCACGTAGATCTCTTCCCTTTTTCCTTCCTCTCCATGCTTGAAGTTCTCGTCGATAGCTGCCTAGATAGCTGAATAGCATCCAATTCATCGTCTAGTTGAGTTCCGTGACAAAAACACAGCAATCCAAGAGGAAATCACAACACTCCGAAAGGAAGGCCAAAAGAAAATCACAGGAATTAAAAAGAAGGTCTTATCCTTGGAAGCTGCTCATAGAACTCTACGTCGTGGAGTTTTAGAAGAGCGACGTGTCAAAAATCGAGGCCAGGAGCCTACCGACAAGGAAAGTCGATAGTGTATGATAGGAATGTGATTGCCCATGGTGGTGATATACTTGGTGATCTGCAAGCTCTCCAATATGTTGAGGAGAATGGATTGAAATACGTCACTGAGTACAAGGATGATTTTCAAAAGGCATATAACATACGGTTTGATGAAGCTCTGGGTAAACTTCTATCATTTCCCCACAAGGTAATATGGGCATTTGATATCCTAGCTTCAGTTCGCGAATTACAAATATGGAATAGAGAGCATTTACAAAGCACAAAGGAGAGGATTGAATGGCTAGCAAGTGAAATTATCACAGCAGCCCTAGGTACTGATATCAATCAGCTTCCTGCACGCTTTGGAAAGGATGATGACTTAGCAGTAAAATATTCTGGGATGGACAATCCGTGTATGGTTTACTAATAGGCTTCTATGATTGCCTCATCCATCCACGCTAATCTTCAGTTCGTGCGGAGTGTCAAGGTGCAGGTTCAGAAGACGGATATTGATTGGGTTGGACACACAGACAGGCTACAGGTGTGTTAGGGGCACTGTAAATCCATAGATAGGACCTTTCTTTCTCCTATTTTCATCTTGGGACACTGCCTATTGTGATGGACGGTTGGGCTCTGCCATACTTGAGTATGGTGGAGTCTGTAGCAGGAAGATACTTAAGATGTGCCTCCTAGGTAGTTTCAAAGAATCAAGCATATTTTTCATTTTTCCAGTTCGTTTCACTAGTACTGTTGCTATTGCATAGGACATATCTCAGCTTTATTTTCATTATCTTCTTCATTTTGTTATTTTGTTTCCTTGATAAGTTGCTTCACGTCACATTGTACTGCTACATCGCCTTAGCACCTTTTCATCCCATGACCATGACCTGGTTCCTTTCACAGAAAACACCACATGTACGCCCCTTTCACGGCAGAATTAGCTAACTGTATGTAAAAGGAAAACCAGAACCTACCTAATCAGAAAACATGTGCTCAAGAGCCCATCATCGTCTTACTAAGCATTGAATCTGAACCATTACCAACAAGAACATCTGTGATGGCCAGTACTATGAATGAATGTAGGAGATGCAACATAAGCTATTCAGTACTAATTTCAACGAATACCAGACATGGAAGAAGAAAGGAGAAAAGAAGGACTGATAGATGCGCAACTACAGTATGTGATTCAGCTCCTTCCCAGTTAACTAACTAGATTAGCGCTGCTTGGTTAGCATAGCCTCCCTAACTACTAGTGCTAGAACAGAACAACCAGGAGCCCCCATCACAACATTAGTTAGTTAACTGCCACCCCTGAGCTCCTGCGCTCAACCAACCACTTAAACTTATTAAACTCATTACCACCTGGTTAAGATAAGACATCTAACTAATGCCCTGCTGAGAGGCCTGCAATACTGAGGAAGTGGCCTATCTGTACCTGCAACATGTCTGACTACCCCTGGCTGTTTGCAATGAATTCTGCAGTCTGAAACTACTTGCATGTCACCCTTCTTTGCCAAATATGGATTCCAACCAACTATGGGGTTTGAACTGTCAGGGAGCAGGTTCAGGACGGTCAGGAAACGGATTCAGAAAACGGATATCAATTGGATCGGACACACGGGCGGGCAGGGAGGCGTGTGGACAGTGCCACCTACTTTATCGATAGCGTTGCCTATCTGGCAGGCTTCATCATGGACATCTCTGATGCCAACGACACCAAGAACAACTTCTGCGTGACCCCTGGCTGGGGCTCCATGAGGCTGGCTAAGCCTCTTCTGGCTGGCGCTCAGTACCGTTTGTACGTGAAGATGATCCCGACGGCCGAGGATCCAAGCATCTTCCTAGGAGATGTGTATATCCTGCAAGATTCGACCGTTGTGGGCATAGTTGGTGCCATGAAACTCCGACGTTATCCACGTCTGCTTCTGAAGCGCTCCTTCCGTGGCCCCGTCGATACCGAAGCCGAAGCCGACTGTATCAGGCCTGCCAGATGCAACCGTCGGACCGGCAGAGACGAACAAAGCCATGGCACTCGTGGCTGCTGAAGAGCGACTCGCTCGCTCCTGTGACTTGGAAGACGATGCTAGTTTCGCCAACTTGGGCGTGGACGGCCTGATGCGTCTGGTGATAGCTGACAAGTACCGTGAGTGGTTGTAGTCCGTAGCAGTCTTTTTTTGGAGTATCCGACCGTCGGTGATCTACGAGCCTGGCCGATGGAATACTACAGCTAGAAGCCGATAGAGCCAGACGGCATACGCAGAGGTGTCATACGTGTATGCCGTATTAACATGTATCTGGATGCTCATATTCTCTCATTGTTTCTTCCGGTGTTCCGTTATAGGAGGATCCCCTACATACAAGGATCTCGTTGATGTTGTAGCTCCTGGACTTCATCCAGATGATTGTGTTCCCCCCAGGCATTTCATCCTGCCAAGAGGAATTTTTTTTTCCTATGGTCAGTAAAGAGTGAAGATGAGGCATAATAAAAATATCCAACAAGAAAAGCGCATGCTAGGTGCTAGGTTAGTTAACTGGGGTGGGAAATATGAGAACAGAATAAATGTCTATTCGGAGACATGCAGCTACAATCTTTGAGAGCTTAGGTTCTGTCTGGGAAGAGGCATGCAGGACAATGCCAATAGGCCAGGCTCTGCTTGCTGTGAATATTATTTGATTTCCTGCAACCGCAGCGTGTGGCTGTAGCGTGTATGAAGACAGGCAGAAGAGCATAATTAAATGCTGTCTGCAAGGCTGCGGAACTGCGTCACAGCTTCTCCCGTCGCATTTGTCTTCCTCTCGGCATCTCTCGCTTGGACTTTTCGTTCTCTGCCAGCTTCCTCCCCTTCTCCACCTCCTCCTCTCCTCGTCTTCTCTTTTTCTAATTCGTCCCTCGCTTTTTTCTATCATCACTAAATTATGCTTCTATAGCTATTTCTGTACTTGTGACTACTCTACGTGGAGTTCTGTTCAAGTGCGGGCGACATGACGCGAGATAGCTATCTCCAGCGCTCCCTCGGGACGCTTTCCAGGCGCATTCGAGAGGTAAAGCTCACCACAAGATATCATTCCCAGGCCTTAGCAGCTGCTGGGGATTGTCTGAATTATCAAATTTATTGGCTGACTCTTCTGTCCTCAACTCCTTCCAGTCGCGTGTCCTCCTCGTCGGAGCTGGTGGCATCGGCTGCGAGCTGCTGAAGAACCTCTTGCTTACGGGATTCGGTGAAATACACATAATCGATCTAGATACTATTGATTTGAGCAATCTAAACCGTCAGTTTCTCTTTCGATATGAGCATATCAAGAAATCGAAAGCCTTGGTGCGTTCGCTCACCTCACCCCTCCTCCCTGCGTCGCCCTCCTGCACTCCCGTCCCTCCGCACCATTTGCGATACCGATATTACGATCTGACAATTATTCCGACTGAATAGGTAGCGAAGGAAGTGGCCCATAAATTTCAGCCAAGCGCGAAGCTAGAAGCGTATCACGCCAATATCAAGGACAGCCAGTTCAACGTGGACTGGTTTGCGGGGTTTGACATAGTCTTCAATGCGCTGGACAATCTTGATGCTAGGCGTCATGTCAATCGCATGTGTCTGGCCGCCAATGTACCATTGATTGAAAGCGGGACGACCGGGTTCAACGGCCAGGTCCAGGTGATTAAGAAGGTACACCCTTATGGATACTTGTCGAACAAGCATTTGCTGAAACTCTCAAGGGTGAAACCGAGTGTTATGACTGCAATTCAAAGGAAGTGCCCAAGTCCTTTCCAGTCTGCACGATCCGCAGTACGCCTAGTCAACCTATTCATTGCATTGTTTGGGCTAAGAGCTATCTTTTCCCGTGCGCATTTCAGCAGAAACCGTATTCGACACTGGAAGATGAATTCGCTAACTATTTGAAGGGAACTATTCGGGACAAGCGAAGATGATACTCAGGCTTTTGATCACTCAGAAGACTCAGAAAATGGTAGGCTAACGATATCTTTTCTTTTTATTCTCCTTTACTCCGCTGATAGTTGAGCAGCGCAGGAAATCGAAAACCTCCGTAAAGAAGCACAAGCTCTGAAAGAAATTCGTCAATCTATGGGGACTTCTGATTTCGCTTCCAAAGTGTTTAATAAAGTCTTCAAAGATGACATTGAACGACTACGCGCCATGGAAGATATGTGGAAGACGCGAAAACCTCCTCAACCGCTTAGTTTTGACGAATTACAAGAGCAATCTAAGCCCATAGAGAGCACGGTTTCCTCTGCTGATCAGAAGGTCTGGTCGCAGGCAGAGGATTTTGTAGTTTTCAAAGACAGGTTGGTGATCAACATTACTCGCTCGTCCTTGTCAATGCCTTTTTGAACGTTGAACTAACAGGATGAGCCTGCAGCTTGGATCGCTTGAGCAAGAGGTTGAAGACACTCCAAGATGTGTCAAAGAGCGACATCCAGCCAATTCTGGTCTTCGACAAAGATGATGTTGACACGCTGGATTTCGTTGCCGCTAGTGCTAACCTGCGCGCTACGATTTTTGGTATCGAGCCGCAGTCGAAGTTCGACATCAAACGTGAGTACACATTACTCATCCATTTTCTTCCTGCTCTTACTGACATGTTGCCGCTCTTTCTCAGAGATGGCCGGTAATATTATACCCGCTATTGCGACTACAAATGCCATGACTGCTGGTCTTTGCGTCTTGCAGGCCTTCAAGGTCTTGAAGGGAGACCTCGAAAACGCAAAAATGGTACGTTTTTTTTTTTGTCTAGTTTCGAAGTTACGGACATCCACCCTCGTTACTGACAGGTTTGCCTTTTCTTTCTTCATTGGGAAAATAAAGGTCTTCCTTGAAAAGTCAGGATCCCGTGCCATCAATTCCGATTCCTTAAAACCACCCAACCCCAATTGTCCCGTGTGCTCCGTTGCACAGGGAAGGATCACCATCGATCCTGACCGCGCGACGCTCTACGATCTGGTGCAGGATGTACTACGTCTACAACTGGGCTATGGCGAGGAGTTCTCTCTCAGCAGTGAAATCGGTACAATCTACGACCCGGACCTGGAGGATAATCTTCCAAAGAAACTTTCGGAGCTTGGCGTGAAGGACGAGACTCTTGTTACTGTTGTTGATGAGGAGGACGAGCAGCCTCGGGTAAACCTGGAACTGCTCATTCATGAGCAAAGGTAAGAAAGACTATCTAACTCAAAACTTCACCTGAAAGGTCTAGCAGCCTTATCGATTGTTCACTGTACACTAATTAAATACATTAGGCCCGAACCTTCAGCAGAAGAGAAGAAGCCTGTATCCTTAGAAAAAGTGGTTGAGATCCCACGCAAACCGAAAGCTGTTCCTGCTCCTGCCACCGAAGTTGTTGTCGGCCTCTCCGGTCCTGAATCAACTACAGGCAAGCGAAAGCGTGAAGCTGAAGAAGCGGACGCTGAAAGACGCACTAAGCGTGTTGCCAGCCTCGACGCCAACGGGGACGGAGACCATCCTATCGTTTTGGATGATTCCGCTAATGGGGCCATCTTGATTGACGACTGAATTTCAGGCAAGTTGAGTGATGCAACTCGACACCCCACTCTTCTTCTTTCCATTTCCATGGCCATATCATCTTCTGTATATGGAATCTTGACTAGACTCTAGAGCGAGGTATTTGACGTGATATCCCAGACTTTGGTCGATGTTGCACGTTTCCCTCCTTCTTCCCCCTTACCCTTCTTTTTTCCTGTATTATATGATTCAATGAAGATTGGCTGGGAATTTCCATGCTGGAGTACACTGGGACGCGAACTGGGTCGCGTGGATGGGTATAGACGACTTTGAAATGAAATTTGAAAGCAAATGCAACCAGCCATCTCGGAAGTTGCACTGGCTGAAGAAAGCATAATCGTGCACCAATTGTGTTCACTGCTCTAATCATGCATCTCATGTAGAACACTGTACATCTAGGGCTTGCACACTTTTTGGTCGAGTGCTATGTGCAGTAACTAATGGCTCTGCAAACGCAGCAGTAAGCCAGGTCATGTCAAAAGCGACATCATTGAACTAATCGAAGAACTCTTGCTTCATCTTTTCATTTGCATACAAAGAAAAGGGCAGGCAGCCAGAAGGCATAATCTGCTTAGACTGCACTCAACCCACCATCCAGATTGAGGACGCAATTATTTGCATACTCGTTCTGTGCCAGAAAAACCGCCGCGTCGGCGACTTCACGCGGATCACCAAACCGATGTACTGGGATCTTATCCTTGAGACTTGCCATCTGACTTTCACTGAAATCTGTAGCAGTGTTAGTATAATAAATATTATAATCTTTTTGACACCAACAAAAAGAACAGACCTGCTATCATAGGCGTTTCAATATACCCAGGAACAATCGCATTAGACCGAACGACCACATCCTTCAACGAGCTAGCAGCTTCCACCGCTAAAGAGGAAGTTAGACCGAGTATGCCCGCTTTAGATGCAGCGTAGGGAACGGCTCCGGTTCCGGCCTTTAGTGCTAGTAGGGAGGATATGTTAATAATGCATTTCGATGGAGATTTCATTGTTGTTGTTTGGTGGCTGTTCTTGTTCCTCAAACGGTTGCGGATTAATGCGCGCATTAGAGCGCGCGAGGTGAAGATTGCGCCTTCGAGATTCGCGCGGAGCGTTTGCGAGATATCTTCTGGTTTGGTTTTGGGGAGGATGGAGGAGATGGATATGCCAGCGGCATTGACGAGGATGTCTATGGATTCCTAAAGATGGTTAACACCCCTTGTTACTATGCAGACGAGGTATCTAGAAATACATACCATTTCCTTTTCTAGCTCACGCATCCATGATCCAGCATCTGCAACATCGCCAACCAGCAAGCTCACCCTGTCAGAGGACATGATAAGAGTGCCATTCTTCAACATGGTCTGCCCGACATTATCCTTTGCGACAATACCGGAAGTCTCCAGTCGACCTGCTGCATCTAGAAGTCGCCTATGCGATCTCCCAACAAGCACAACCCTTCGAGCACCTTCTTGAAGGAACCTTTCAGCGATTGCGAATCCAATCCCGGACGTCCCGCCTGTGATCATGCATATTCTGCCGGATAGGCGATTGGCATGCTCAAAAGTGAACTGACTGGACGGATTCCTCCGAAGGGAAGAGGATGATATATGTCTTGTACTTGCTGGAATCCATGGATATGTGCCGGAAGTGCTCTTGATTGCAATGCATGGACCTCGTTGCAAAGCCCGCTCGAGGGAATTGATACAGAACATCATGGACAGACGATTAAATTGATCTATTCAAGTCAATTCAATTTAAATTCAAATTGTCTATCCCAGTTCATGTGTCGTTGGGATGTAAGTATAAATCACACTCGGCGTCAATGGAATAAGCTTGAGCACGGACCACCACGAGAAACGAAAACCTCCACGACACTGAGACGTGCTTTGTTTTTCTCTCTTGAAAAGCTCTTCAATCGCTCACAATGACATCTCCAACCTCTACTCCTTCTGAATATGTGACTCTTGTCTCGGGTGATGGCTTTGAGTTCATCATCCCCCGCAGCACCGCTTGTGTATCGGGAACAATACGACGCATGCTGGACCCTGCGAGTTAGTCCATGCGTCCCTGTTGATCCGTCTCAAAGAACGTCTGTATACTAAATATATCTACTTGTGTTTGCACAGGCAAATTCTCGGAAGCCATTACCGGGCGCTGTGTGCTTGAGGATCTAAGGTGCGTTGCATTCTCTTTGGGGATAAATGACCTATCTTGTCTTTCTTGCTTAGTCGTGATCGAAATACTAACAAAGGATGATCACAGTGGCACAGTTCTGGAGAAAGTATGCGAGTATTTCTGCTACAATGAGAAGAACAAAGACCAGATAAATGTACCCGACATGGATATCCCGCCAGAACTCTGTTTGGAGTTGTTGATGGCTGGTGATTATCTGGATGCTTGATTTGCGTCGGGAGGATCACTACACGGTTAGTGTTACTTTTTTTCTTTCCTGTCCAATTGTTTTGCTCATGCTAAGGCCCTGTGGGAATAGAGTTAATCTCGCTATGGATATTTACGGATGTAATGACTATGCTTTCATGCTCTTTTTCGTGTTTAGGGGCAAGGCGTTTGCGGATACCATACCATACCAGGCGCATATGATGTTCCACCAAGCCGAATTTCACAGGGTAAATAATACAATTCCCTTTCTGCATGATATGAGTCGTCATGCTAGCTGGCAAGGTTTGAATTGAATGGATATCCGGATCAGAGTACCGTCTGTCGTAAAATTTTCAGCGGCGTCAGGATTCCATTGGACCGAACGCTCTACACAATGCCATCTGAGCATCACACATCCGACCCTTTACTTTCAATGGACGGACGTTCTAAAGATGATGGCAGATTGATCATATAAGTCCGAAGGGACGGAACTCCCTTTTATTCAGTCCTTATCCAATCTTATGGATGTAGGACCTTATTCCAGGGGAGACATCACTTTCTTTTTGTTTCTTGCAGTTGAGTTTTTCTGTACTATGCAATATATACTACAACTGAAATAAAAGTGCATCATCATCGTCCATTCGTCTTATACCGTGACGGTCCCCCCCTTCTTGAGGATTTCGATGTCGGCCCGGTCTTGTGTTCGTATATCTTCTCTTTCCCAAACGCTGCATCCGCGATCCGAAGATAGCTCACAACACCCTGGTCCACGACCGCCAAGATGACGTTCCTGTACCCGTGTCGTAGACGCATGTAGAGCATTCGGTCCATTTTCTCACCTCGTGGCGGGTCCAAGGGGGTGCTTTCGAGTAGAGCGCCGAGCTGGGATGCGGTAGGAATACTGGTCTGCGTGCGACAATTGACTACTGCGATGCGGAAATCGGGAGCGGGCGGTGCGGTTTTGCGAAAGGGAGTTGAGGGTTTGTATACGTGAAACGCGATGCGGAAGGGAGGTGTGGTATGTCGGGTTGGGGAGTCGGGGATAGCGGCTGGATCATAATAAGGGATCATGGAGAGTTTGCGATATATGTCGTCTGTGACAGTGTTAGTCAACAATGAGAATTCAGAATAAGAGCGCAAGCAACTTACTATAGCTGCGATGAATACCCAGGCCGACCACCGGACCTGCCGCTGTGGAGGCTGTCGAGTCTGAATCGCGTATCCATTGGAACAGACGTCCGAGCAAGCCAAATAGGCCGAGTGTTTGCGGTTGTTGCGCATTCATACTCCCAGAAGCCACAGATGAGTCCCCCTCTGCTGTTCCATCACTGGTCTCGTCCCAACTCGGAGCCCGAATAAGCGTATAGCCCAACCGCCTTAACCCAGTGTAGACCAAGTACCTCTCCAATGTCAGTCCGCCCCTTCCCATCAAGCAGGTATATGCTGCCTGCAGGCTCATTGGAAGAAGCTCAGACTCGTCTTGCTCTTCATTGCCATTTTCCTCAGAGTCCCCGGTTAAAGGAGAAGGCCACCTGATATCCAGACTGCCACGTTCAAGAAGATACAGTGCTTCCTCAGGAAGCAACCATATCCTATTCCAACGGTCTCCGCGGCCCATTGTCCTGAAATATTGACCCTTGGGACTGGTCACATAGATACATGCATGCGGAGACACGCCGATCCCTGCTCCCGCTGTTGGTTCGGGCTTTGCAAGCTTCTCTGAAGCGTCTGCATTTTTTGAGGCTTGATCGCCATCAACAGCTTCTCCCGTGGCTTTGTTATTTGAAGAATATGAACGCGGAGGCGCAGGCCCCTCAGGCGCATAGTACCCCACAACCTTGTTTCTGGGATGATGCAGACGCGGATACGCCAGCGCATTATGCATAGCCTGCCTAGAAGCAGCGAGAATATCGGCCTGATAGAGGGTCGGATTGGGCTCGAAGTCCTTTTCGCCTCGTCTGGGGAGAGTCGCCTGGGATTGATCTGAGAAGCTGTGCCAATGATATTAGTTCCGCTCGAAATAAAGGGTCGCTGCATTTTCCCAGACAGTCTCGGTCTTACAGTGAAAGATTATTTAGGAAGCGAAAATCCTGTGTCTCATCCGAAAGGTCGGTCTCGATATGAACCGAGTCCTGGGAGGAAGGGAGGCGAATCGCATCCTCGTCTGCATCTGCCATGGTGGGTGGCTACTTGGATGATGGATGATGCAGCGCAGTTCACATTAACCTCCGAAGTATCTTGATCGATCTCACGATAAAATAGAAAATCACTATCTCCGGTTTAACTCCGAAATTCCTTCATCTCCACCGCCTACTGGATAAAATATTCTGCATACTGCTTATATAATATTAGCGGTGTTAACGTATCTGGTAAGCGAGCGGCCACCTCTCCGCGTTTTGACTGTGGTCAAAAACCTCACTCATTTCAACCACCAACCATGACTCCAAAAGCACATCAAATTTTAAAAGATTTAATAGAGCAGGAGGGAAGGGTCCTACTTGCTATATCTGCTTTAAAAAAGCAAGAAATCTGCAGTATTGCAGAAGCAGCACATGTTTATAATATTCTGCATACAACACTTCAAAGACAACTAAATAGCCACATCTTTCAAGCAGAAAAATGCGCTAACAACCATAAGATGACTCAAAATAAAGAGGAATCACTTATACAATGGATTCTCTCACTGGATCAACGTGGAGCACCTCCCTGACCTTTGCATGTATGAGAAATGGCCAATATTCTACTTGCTCAGTGTGGTACTACACCAATTCAATCTGTTGGAGAGAAATGGGTATATAACTTTATTAATCAACAAGATCAGTTGAAAATATGCTTCTCAAGATGATATGATTATTGACATGCTAAATGTGAAGATCCTAAAGTTATTAGGGAGTGGTTTGATTGTGTACAAATCACTATAATACAGTATGGGATCACACAAGAAGATATCTACAATTTTGATGAGACTGGTTTTGCTATGGATCTAGTAGCTACTGCATGAGTAGTTACTAAAGCTGATTATTATAGGAAGGCCTCTCTTGTACAGCCAGGCAATCATGAATAGGTTACTTCAATTGAATGTATCAACTCTACTAGTTGGGCACTTCCCCCATGCATTATCTTCAAGGGGAAGGTCCATATAGAGGGTTGATATCAAGATTTCAAGCTCCCACACAATAGCAGGATTGAAGTTAGTCTTAATAAATGGACTACTGATGAGATAGGCCTTTACTGGCTTAAAAATCTCTTTATTCCTGCTATTTCTAGTCATACAACTGGGAAATACTGTCTTCTGGTTCTCAATGGCCATGGCAGCCATCTTACACCTCAATTCAATCAAATATGCAGTGAAAATAATATCATTCCTATCTGCATGCCTGCACATTCTTCCCACAAGCTTCAACCTCTGGATATAGGCTGCTTTTCACCTTTAAAAAGGCATATGGGAGCTTAGTGGAGCAGAAAGCACGCTTAGGAATCAATCATATTGATAAACTTGATTTCCTAGAGGCCTTTCCACAAGCTTGTGACAGTGCTTTTCAAGCAGAAACTATTCAAAATAGCTTTGCAGGTGCTGGCCTAGTTCCATTCAATCCAGATAGGGTGCTCAGTCAGTTGGATATCCAGCTAAAGACCCCTACACCACCAGGCAGTCAATCAACAGATTCAGCACCCAAAACACCCTATACTACTAGGCAGCTAGAAAAGCAGGCATCTGCAGCAAGAAAACTGCTTAAGGAATATGTTCAAAGCCCTTCATCTTTGCTAGAAACATGCTTGGACAAGCTTATTAAGGGTCATGAATTGGCTCTAAATGAGCTGATGATTACACGGGAAGAAGTATGCAAATTTCATGCTAATAATGAATAGAAAGGCCAAAAGTGGAAGCAATCTAATAGGCAGCTAGCTATTGCAGAAGGGCCAGCTATTCAAGAGGGCCTAGAGCAATTTCAGCACAAGAATGAGGTCTATGAAGCTCAAGATGCACTTCATATAGATCCAGCACTTTCTACAGTTGGGCCACGCATATGAGCCCCCCCACAGTGTTCTAATTGTCATGTTCAGGGACATACTAGAGTTAGATGTCCTAAACCACCTAGTAATTAGTTTTTATATAGAAATGCAATTGTTTTGTTGATATAGACCCTAGAATCTCACCTAGAGGTGGGATTGGAGCGGAGGTGGCCGCTCGTTTACAGTGGCCGCTCGCTTACCGGATACGTTAGTTAACTAACACATGCCTAAAGTGACTGCCTAAGGCACTAACTAAGCTAACGCCTACACATTTGGCATTTGGCATATATGATGCCATGGTGAAACCTGGATAAGGTGGCTTCAAGTGCCATTTGATAGTCTAGGCTAGAGAATGCTTAAATTCACATTCGTCATCCAGGGCCTGGTATAGTTGCAGATTCGACTATGACTGGCACTCAGCTTGATCTTATTTACTCTGCATGCCACTTATCAGCACCAGGTCCAGAAATCGTCAGCGAAAAGCTGAAAGAGAAAGAAAATATCGCCCACCAATAAGGGGTCCTAATTGTGAAAGTCATCTCCCAAGTTGTCGTCAAATTTGGTCCTCATGTCACGGTCCATGAAGCGAGGAATATGATATCTGTGTCGCACAGAAAACAACAACCCCAGTACCCACTGTACTTGCATGCTACTCTTACGGACCCATTGATAAAGACATCGAAGACTACGGTAGCCTCTTTGGAACATGCATATTCATGTGTCTTGTTGACGGCCAGACGCTCGATTCCATATGGGACTCATACAGCGAACCTACGAAAGCAGCTATCGCATCTCAACTGAAATCATACATGGATGAGATTCGCAACCTTGGCAATGGCTCCTACATTAGCTCCGTCGATCACGGCTCTGCCACAACCCAAATCCTTTCAATTATCATACTAAAGGTCGGAGGGCGAAGTCCTGATCTTACTCGCTGTCTGGCATGTTTACAGCAGGCCCTCATATATCGGAAGAGGAATTCAACAAAACAATCATTGCCGCCTATGAAGCGAATTTCCCAAACGTCATATCAGAACCTTACTAGATGTAATGCTTTCTCAAAACAAGCATCGCATCGTGTTTACCCAGGGTGACTTCAGACTCCAGAATATAATAGTAGAGAACGGAGAGGCCACCAGCATTATCGATTGGGAATTGAGCGGATGGTACCCCCGAATACTCGGATTTTGTCAAGTCTCTATACGTCTGGAGGTAGCAGAACGATTGGTATAACTACCTAGAAAAGATCCTTCGGCCATAATATGCGCTGAAAGGAAGTACACCTGAAAAGTGCCTCCAGCTATCAATAGCATGAAACAGTCGACCTGTATGGGATAATGCTTGCGGCTTTATTGATCTGCGTAGGATCTGTTGGAACTTAGCGCACTAGATTAGTAAATTGTGTAGTCATTAGGTCAGCTAGCCTGTATCCTGTGCGGGGTGCACTTTTTGTCCATTTCATTTCAAACTGACTTCTTGACACATGCAGAATCTGGGACTGGATAGATATCTACATATTCAATGAATCCCACGGCAAGCAACAACTACAACGAGATCCTCTTCCAGGTACGATATTATGATCAGACCACTGACCTACGGGTAATTCATCAATTCAACTGACACCATCCAGATCTCCACAAATCTCACAAATGCCCTAAACACATTCGGTCCCTCCTCGAGCCAATATCAGACCATCCTGGAGACCCTCAAGAGCTGTCTCCGGGACATGGATGTTGATATTGAAGTTAATGGGGATGGGGACGCGCAGCAACAAGACAGGGATATGCAGGATGAATGCAAATCCGGGGATATAGATCCGGATATGCTAAGTCTGGCGATGGGGTTTTTAAAGATTGGGGGGGTAGTATAATGATATACCAGGACGTTTGTATAGTAATGTCTATGCTCTACAGCGCTGTTTCTGAGATGCCCTGAGATAGTAAGTAATGTGGGACAGGAGATAGATATACGACTGCATTCCCAGGTTTAATTTGATCTACAAGTATAAGGCCCATTTGCCACTTAAATTTGGACATTGACTATCAAGAAATTCAAACTTCACTGTGTTATTGTATCATGTATGTACTGTGGTTCCTATCAACCCAGGAGGAAAGAGAAATGTAGCAGGAAAAGCACAAGAAAATAGCAAAAAATAAATACATATAAAATCAACCACAGGCCAAAACGAGAATTCAAGAGAAGACGAAAGAAATAGGAAAGAAAGTCCATATGAGGACAAGCCTGAACACCATTTTCCGTCGAAGAAGAAAATACAACGTGCATCCTGGAAATCAAAACTCCGAGACCTATGCAATCATAAGACGTAATGGTGCTTGCATCGTTGCAAGCTTGATGGTAAGATATTCTCGACGCGTGCGTAGCAGTCCAGTGTCTTTCACATCTTGCAATAGCAAGGGTCAAAACTTGACTTTTGTATCTATCGCAAAATCGTCAGGAATCATTGACACGAGGACTGAAATCAATAGCATACATGGATCGTCGAGAGACCATATTCTGCGCTCCTCCCTTTCTCCAATGTACGGTGCTTGCAGTGGAAGTATTCAGATAGTCATCCCATTCGTTCAGTCGATCAGGGGCTTCTTTTGATTCCCAACTATGGCAACTCCCAGATGCCGGAGGGCATTGGGGTCATGAAGGCGCACGACCGATGGAAGAGGTAACATGGGGTTTTCGGGGTTAATATGAACAGCATCTCGTGCTGCCTGTTCAATGGCTTCCATTTCTTCCTTACACCCGGCATGGTCCAGAGGACAAACAACGATGGGTTGTCGGATTTGGATATCCCTTGCGGAAGCTAAGTGAGCCTGAAGTTTTTTAAGGGAGTGTTAGAGCTGCTATAACGACGACAGTCTCCACGTAAAGAAAAACCAACCTTCACAGTCAAATAATACTCGATCTTGTAGAGAGTCGCCGTGGTTGTAAAGCCACTGACCGCGTACATTGGAAAAGCCGCCTTACTTCTCGGAAGGATACCATCAGAATCCCGCCAATCCTTCGCAGGGAACACCAGTCCGAGGTTCGTCAGATATCCTGATTCTGGAAGCTTCACACCAACGGGTTCCGTCCTCTTGGTCAGGGTCTTGACTTTCCGTTGCGGCTCGTCGCCTTCGTGGTTGTAGGTGATCTCTTCTTCAATGGCGATTGTGATCTTGTTGATCGTGACCTTTTTAGCTTTGTTCAACCAATTCGGATTGGGAGATAGCTTGACGTAGACGCTCACGGGGTCGAGGGGACCGTACGACCACCGCGGCAGGGATATACCCAAGGTAACCAGATGGTCCGAAACCTTCTCCGCAGACTCCGGATGATTGTACATGCCAAACGTCGACAATGTGTCATATCGTGTAATGGGCACTGGGAAGTGGTATTTCCGCTGCTCCGCGGGTCCCTGTTGGACCGTCACTACCATCTCGTAATAGGTCTCCGCGGTGCGACTGGGCAGCTGTAAACTGGCTGGGGGAACCCGTCTTGAGGGGTCTGTACCACCGCGACCGAAGGGAATGAAGAGGACGAAGGGTAGATCCATCATGACGACGTCCTCGGATTCCCGACCTGCCGCGCAACGGTACAGGAGCATTTCCTTGCCCACAATATCAGTTATTTCCTTCCTAGGTGGTGCGAGGTGCTTTTTGGTCACCGAATCGGCAGAGGGATGTATTGTTTCGCGACGACAGAGGGATATGGTGACGAGGGAGATGCTGACTGGGGCCGTAATGCCGACGCTAGGACGAATCTCGACCTTACCTTCAATGCGAGGCTGGCTCGATTTGTTAGCGACCGTTCCACCAAGCCTGAGACGCCAGTTGCGAAACCAGAGGCTTACCATTGTCGCGGAGATGCCAGGATAACCTATGAGGAAGTTGCCGTTGGGAGGGCCGGATACTCGCACAGAGGCGGCCATTGTGAGAAGATGACAGCATGCGCACCACCATGAGCATGTAGCTGGGAAAACAAGTGTCTGTGACGAAGCTGTAGGCAGAATCAAAGCGCTCGATGGTCCCTGAATGTGCGTTCCGCAGGTTCATAGAGACCCAGGTGGCCTGGACCGTACCAGCCGGCACACGCGCGCGGCGCCTGGTCGCGGGATGACGCAGTGCGATCGGATCGGATAAGCTGATGCAGGGAAGATGAGAGCGACCGATTACAGGGGACGTGACTGCGAGGGGGTGAGGGAATAGAGGTGGCGGTCGTATGTTTTGCAAGCGAACGGAGAGGGAAATGGGAAATGGCCAGCAATTGCCTGGAGAAATCAGCAGAAATAATCGCTGCGGGGGGAAGCGCTCTGCCAGCCTTGAAGCTGCGCTTGCGGGAGGCCTTGTTATTGATCTTACTCGGTACAATTTTATTATTGTGTAATTATATGGTTATATTGCTGTCAATGGATAGCCAGCAGGAAATAATAAGCAGTGTGCGCCCAAAACATCAGCGTCGTTCTTCCAGCATCATCATCATCGCCTCTCCATCACCATCGGATTCTTCCATGATGCTCGAAGCTGTCCGCAGTACGAATCCAGCTCCTGTCCATCGATTTCCAATAAAATTCAACACGGTGATCCACCCCGCATCGTCCCTCATTAGATATTCTTCTAATTTCTTGCGAGACCCGATGGAGACGCACTGACTCCTGCTTTAGTCATCGCTACAGGGATGTTGATTCTCTTCGAGAACATCGAGATGATGCGCAAAACTAGAATGAAGTCGAAAATGCCTAGTTCTGGCTTTCTATATACCCCGGATCTTGTCAATGGCTGAAACAGGGTCCCTGCACTCGTCTATCCGATCTAATGATTGTGATACTGACTGGATATTTCCTCCGGACCCTTTCAGCGGCAGTCCACTTGGGTTGCAGCTTCAACCAGTGTCTCTACATCTTCTTCCATGACATCCAGCGGGGCCGAACCATCAGAAAACCACAGGTGCGACGCTCAATGGCCTGAGTTCGCACATGGGCAGTATCGGAACTGATTGTACGGCGCAGTATCCCAACCATTGTGTTTGCTGCAAGCTTCCAGGCAAGGTTGGCAACGTCTCCTATACCAGTGTTCATACTATGACCCCTAGTTGGGGACCATAGGTGAGCTGCATCTCCTGCAATAAACAAACGGCCGGCTTAGTAGGACTCGCCGCCGAGTGAGAACTTGGAAAGATGGCCGGCTGGTCATGTCCAGGCTCACTTCTGTTCCTAGGACAGCAGCTGCTGTCGAGGATTGCGCGCCCACAATCAACATTGGCCTAGTTTCTGGGATATTCGTCGTTCCGACTGTAGGAACTGGAGCTGGGGTGCATGACAAGACATAAGCCGTCAATTATTTAACTATAGAACATCGTCTGTTAAGAACTTGTCAACAACTCTCTTATGAGTGCCCATAGTACTCCATGTCCTGCAATAAATCCACGGCGGCACAAGTTCATTATTTGGACCAGTTTATTCCCGTGCTTTTTGCAAGAAACGCAATGGCATTGCTTCTCTCCCCTATAAATCATTAGTATCGGTATAGTGCTTCAACGTCATCTTCCAAAATGGCATTAACCCTCCAGCATCTTCCAGGCGGCTGCCAGTGAGAGATTATTTCCTTCTTTTCTGTCTCAGACCTAGCTGCGTTATCCATCCAATGCCGCCATCTAACGTATCCGGTAAGCGAGCGGCCACTGTAAACGAGCGGCCACCTCCGCTCCAATCCCACCTCTAGGTGAGATTCTAGGGTCTATATCAACAAAACAATTGCATTTCTATATAAAAACTAATTACTAGGTGGTTTAGGACATCTAACTCTAGTATGTCCCTGAACATGACAATTAGAACACTGTGGGGGGCTCATATGCGTGGCCCAACTGTAGAAAGTGCTGGATCTATATGAAGTGCATCTTGAGCTTCATAGACCTCATTCTTGTGCTGAAATTGCTCTAGGCCCTCTTGAATAGCTGGCCCTTCTGCAATAGCTAGCTGCCTATTAGATTGCTTCCACTTTTGGCCTTTCTATTCATTATTAGCATGAAATTTGCATACTTCTTCCCGTGTAATCATCAGCTCATTTAGAGCCAATTCATGACCCTTAATAAGCTTGTCCAAGCATGTTTCTAGCAAAGATGAAGGGCTTTGAACATATTCCTTAAGCAGTTTTCTTGCTGCAGATGCCTGCTTTTCTAGCTGCCTAGTAGTATAGGGTGTTTTGGGTGCTGAATCTGTTGATTGACTGCCTGGTGGTGTAGGGGTCTTTAGCTGGATATCCAACTGACTGAGCACCCTATCTGGATTGAATGGAACTAGGCCAGCACCTGCAAAGCTATTTTGAATAGTTTCTGCTTGAAAAGCACTGTCACAAGCTTGTGGAAAGGCCTCTAGGAAATCAAGTTTATCAATATGATTGATTCCTAAGCGTGCTTTCTGCTCCACTAAGCTCCCATATGCCTTTTTTAAAGGTGAAAAGCAGCCTATATCCAGAGGTTGAAGCTTGTGGGAAGAATGTGCAGGCATGCAGATAGGAATGATATTATTTTCACTGCATATTTGATTGAATTGAGGTGTAAGATGGCTGCCATGGCCATTGAGAACCAGAAGACAGTATTTCCCAGTTGTATGACTAGAAATAGCAGGAATAAAGAGATTTTTAAGCCAGTAAAGGCCTATCTCATCAGTAGTCCATTTATTAAGACTAACTTCAATCCTGCTATTGTGTGGGAGCTTGAAATCTTGATATCAACCCTCTATATGGACCTTCCCCTTGAAGATAATGCATGGGGGAAGTGCCCAACTAGTAGAGTTGATACATTCAATTGAAGTAACCTATTCATGATTGCCTGGCTGTACAAGAGAGGCCTTCCTATAATAATCAGCTTTAGTAACTACTCATGCAGTAGCTACTAGATCCATAGCAAAACCAGTCTCATCAAAATTGTAGATATCTTCTTGTGTGATCCCATACTGTATTATAGTGATTTGTACACAATCAAACCACTCCCTAATAACTTTAGGATCTTCACATTTAGCATGTCAATAATCATATCATCTTGAGAAGCATATTTTCAACTGATCTTGTTGATTAATAAAGTTATATACCCATTTCTCTCTAACAGATTGAATTGGTGTAGTACCACACTGAGCAAGTAGAATATTGGCCATTTCTCATACATGCAAAGGTCAGGGAGATGCTCCACGTCAATCCAGTGAGAGAATCTATTGTATAAGTGATTCCTCTTTATTTTGAGTCATCTTATGGTTGTTGGCATGTTTTTCTGCTCAAAAGATGTGGCTATTTAGTCATCTTCAAAGTGTTGTATGTGGAATATTATAAACATGTGCTGCTTCTGCAATACTGCAGATTTCTTGCTTTTTTAAAGCAGATATAGCAAGTAGGACCCTTCCCTCCTGCTCCATTAAATCTTTTGAAATTTGATATGCTTTTGGAGTCATGGTTGGTGGTTGAAATGAGTGAGGTTTTTGACCACAGTCAAAACACGGAGAGGTGGCCGCTCGCTTACAGTGGCCGCTCGCTTACCGGATACGTTATATTCGCTCTGCGAACTGAACGTGCGTAAGGACTTCCACCACATACGCTTCAAAACCGTTACAGGTGTGGTTGAAACACATGAATTCGTGCTGCAGATGTTGCTGCGACCAGATCTTACCCTATAGGTTCATCGTTTTCTCGTTCTCGGTCCGGTGGGACTCCAAGTTCGCCAGACTTAGAATATTATCACCCAGCACCAATATATCTACCCAGTACCCCTACCGGGAAAGCCATTGCTCTACGCCTTCATGGAGCACTCCAAAAAGCATGCAGACCGAATCAAATACCTGCAGAATCAACGGGTTGTTCGGTGTTACAAGCGAGAGTTTGAGGATGGACGGTTCCATATCCATTTCGACGTCAGTACATAGCTGTGGCTGTTTGGTGACTTCCCGTCCATCGAGAGTTTCGACATGGATCTCATCTCGGACGACGAGGAGGGATAGGTCTAAAGCCTCGCTCGACGATCTAGAGGCGGATTGATATCCGTCACTCGGACTACGGTAGCCGCAACCTGGGAGTGATCATCTGAGTGTTTAAACGTCTGGAGCGGTTCGCATTTTCAGTGGTGGCTATTCCATCTTTTATGGGAAGGAAATACTTGACGCGTTATTCTACCACTCCACGGTTCTCTAGGAGCTAGATCTGGATATGGATTCTGTGGGCTGTCTCTATGGGATGTATACCTATGATGATCTGGAGCCGTATGAGCTTGAGGTTGATCCATGGAAAGACGAAACCGTGTCTGAACCGAAGATTTTTAAGGGCCTGGTCACCTTGAGGAAACTTTTGGTGGGTATAGACATTCTCACTGCTCTCGCGCATGTTGATTTGGGGGATACCTCACTGGTTAAAAGGCTGCTGCTGAATCTAGAGCACCTCTATATCAGGGGCTATCAGCTAAGGGAGGATGAAAAGAAAGATAAGTCAGGGAACTGGTGGGGAGACATACTGGATTCTTGCCGCATCTGAAGGAGATTGGAGGCATTGATGAGTGTATCCCAAGCACAGAAGACACTTAAAAAAGTGATTTAGATAGCACATCACTGTATGATGTTGACTGGGATTATTTATCTGTCAGACAGCTATTATGAGTATGGTGGATAGGAAGAAACTGATGAGTCTCCATATATATCTAGATATAGCTCCTTTAGCAGGTCAGTTCTCCTATCTACAGGAATTTGACAATGGTACCAGGTTAACCCTCACCAGAGTACACATCTATACAGCAGCTGGCTTCCTTGCGCCTTTCTTAACTTCCTTAGGACGTTTCAAGAAGTAGTCCATGCACATCAACTCTCACTGAATGGTTTGCTCGAGTGGAACTTTGCAGGAACCTGGTCAAACCATATTATATCTCTATGATGAATTGTGGTCTAGGTGTCGAGCTGTTGTAAACCTTGGGGGGCTACCAAATAGTTGGCAATTCTAGTGATATGCTTCCAAGCTTTTCTCGGCGACTAGTTCAAATTTCCTTCATAATTATCAGCAATGTGCGGCTTGCTTTCTCATGGGACACTCCTTGAATCACCCTCTCCAATTCCCCAACTGGTGACTCAAAGCAGCGCAGTTTGACCATTGTCCAGTGTCACTTACTCATAGAGGAACAAGAAGGTGGGCGTACTGCCATATGGAGAGGCCCCAGGGGGGGGACTTTTGGTAAGTGGAAGTATCAAGAGATACTGTAGCTCACGAGTTGAGCTGGGCAGAAGAAATTCCTATGCAGGATCCAGGTTGGTATCGAAAATAACAATCAGGCACACATCTTCCCGTCTTCCGCTTTAGAGCGATATATATCTCATTCTACCACCGTCCTTATCAGCACCAAGGCTGGCATCTGGAAAGTATAAAAATCAACCCAATCTTTCACCAGAATGGGGTATCCATCTTAGAACAATCACGGATTCCACAAGAGATCAGGTTGAAGCGGTCGCCTCTGAGCGCAAAAATAAACCGCATGGCGGCAGAAGCTCGATGGAGGGGAAAAAAAATAAAAAGCAAAAAGAAAAGCCGAACGCGGGGGTCGAACCCGCAACCTTGAGATTAAGAGTCTCACGCTCTACCGATTGAGCTAGCCCGGCTGTTGTTGGAGAGTGGCAGCTAAAAAAGATTTTTCAAGCGGCCCGGGCCGGGGTTGCCTTCCCAATACGCCTGCACTGAACATTCATCGCGCCGCTATCAACATCCAGTTAATGTTCCTGTCGTTCAAATAGAAGTAAATTATACCTGACAGATATGAGGATATTATGGGAAAAATATTCCAGGTCAAGAAGTGGTCAAACGGCGGCAGTGGATGCTTCTAGGAGTTCCCGCTGAATTGCGGGGTTGGCCGAATAAGGAGGCAACGAGAGCAGTTCAGCAAGATGGACCGGTACCAGTTAGGTAGTTTGAGATGGGTGCCTGTCTGTATTTTGGCTGACTTCAAAATAAAGACTTACTTAGATAGAGCTCAATATATCTAAGTGCGCGGATGTTGCATGGGCTTGGAAGAAGGGGGGCAGTTGACAGTTGCACGGGGGAAAGTGCTTGGGTTACTTCAGCGTTCCGCGTTCCATGCCTCTTTAAAGGCCACGTCATAGCATGGATGAGGGGTCTAGATGGTGATTATTTAACTAGAGTAAGCAAGATGATAAGCCCCTGGATCGTACAGTAAGCTCGTCCGGCATTATTGCTGTTGGCATTATTTCGTCAGTCAGGGTGTTGTTTCTGGACTCCACTTCAACGCTGATATCTGGTCAATAAGGTCAATAATTATGATCACTTCTGCTGTCTAAGTAGTATCATTTGAAGGGAAGGAATGAGAGCTATAATGAACGGGAGGGACATCAGTACGTACTTATCTACTATGAACGGGCTCTCCGCATGGTATAAGCGATCTGGTTGCCCGCGCAACGACCGGATGACATCGTTCCCCTCCACACAGGATCCGACTTCTCCATCAAATAGACCATCTGGATCAGCCAAGTCGCCCTGCCTAGAGATCACGCCCCATACAGCACTTCAGAATACATATCTCCATCCATCTATACCTCGCAGACCAACGAGAACAGAAAAAAAAATGCCTCCCACCCGTCGCAGAGGAGGAAACACCTCCACACCCTCCCGTTCACAGTCCACTCTCTCCTTTGGCTCCCAGTCAAGGGTAACCAAGCCCTCAACCGGACCAGTATCGACGGCCAGGAAGACGAAGGACCTTGAGAAGGATTCCCTACCCGTATCGCTGATCACACCCGTGGAGCCACCGACCGACGAGAAGCCACATATCGCAGAGTTAGTTGTGAGGGAGCAGGCGAAAGCTGAAGCCCAACAGCCTCTATCCGAAGAAGATGAGAGGGCGAAAACCATTACACAGGATGATTTAAGGAAGTACTGGGGGCGTGAGCAGGCCAAGAGGAGAGTTCCTAGAGGTTTGTTTTGGGTCCCATTTGTTTGTTTGTGACCAATACAATGATGGATTGCTGATTCCTTGCTGGTGAGATGGACAGTGCATCAAGAAAGTCTTTCGTTAGAAGAGAAGATTTTGCGACATTTTGATCTTTCCAGTCAATATGGGGTGCGCTCTTTTTATTCTTCCCTTCCTTCCCCCCCTCTCGGCTGTATTGACTACTTGAGTTTTCGATGGAATCTAATACAATGACCCATTCTAGCCATGCATTGGAATCGCAAGATTGAAACGCTGGAGACGTGCGAACATGTTGAATCTCAACCCGCCGATTGAAGTCCTGGCAGTGCTTCTACAGGATGAGGGCGACACAAACCAGAGAGCGTATGTTGATGAGCTGATGTCGTGAGCTTCAACTGTTGCCATCAGACTGATGATGTGGGCTGTTATGTTTGAATCTGTTTTTATATGAGATTGGCGTATAGACCGGGGTCTCTGGCGTTATGGTGGGAGGATGGCATTGTACCATTATTGTATTTCTACACCCTTACCAGTCATATTGACTTTTAACAACAACTACAACATGGAAATTGAAGCCAAAGAAAACCAGATTCAGTTGGCATTGAATGCCTATAAAAAGGGCCAGTTTAAACAAAAAAAAGTAGCAGCTTTGGCCTTTGATATCCCTCCAACGACTCCCAGCTGGCGATTAAATGGAATAGTTTCACGGTCTCAAAAAGTTGCCAATTGCCAGAAATTATCAGAAACTGAAGAAGCCACTCTTTCAGCATGGATCAGTGATATGCATCAGCGTGGACTACCTTTGCAGTTATCAGCTATCCGCTATTTAGCCTAGCTTTTACTCTCAGAGCGTTTACCTTCTCAGCCAGCTATTATTGGAGTACACTGGGTCAACCGCTATATCCGACGCCATAAAGGATTGAAGTCAAAATACACCAGGAAATATGATTATCAGCATGCCAAATGTCAAGATCCAGAACTTATTCAAGGATGGTTTACAATTGTTAAGGAGACAATTCAGAACTATAGGATTTTAATGGAGGATATCTACAATATGGATGAAACTGGCTCCTAAATAGGTGTGGCCTCAACTGCCAAGGTTGTCTGTGGCTTTAAATAAGAGAGTCATGCAAAAGCTTTACAGCCAGGGAATAGAGAATGGGTAACTGCAATTATCTCTATAAATGCAGTTGGATGGGCTTTACCTCCTCAGATTATTCTTGCCGCAGAGAAACACCAATTTTTATGGTATTATTGTAACGGGTCAGAGTGTTGGACCAACTTGCTTGTATTGTATGTATCTAGGTTGGTCTAGCTATTTTAGTGTGTCAGGCCAAGCGAGGGCGGTCTACTATGGCAGAACCCACGTGACCTCTAACACAGAGCCTAATGGAGGTGTATCGTTGGTTGGTTACTAGCTAGATAGGCCTACATGGTGAAAAGGGTCAGCGAGGGCGGACCTATGCGGCAGAATCCCACGTGATCCAACAGAGCCCGTCTGTGATCACGTGCATCAACGTGTCCAGAGTCTCATCTACGCCTCTATTTTCCTATTTTAGATACTGCTGGGCCACGGTCCCAACCATACTTAGGTATGGTGGAGCCAGTAGCGGAAGGGGCACTTAAGGCGAGCCTCTTCCCTAGATAGTTTCGAGAATCAAGCATACTTTTGGTTTCTAAGTTGCTTCACTAGTATCGTTTTCGTCGTCGTCGTATATGAGCGAGGATCCATCGTCGTTATATTTCTTCTTTTATTATTGTATCGTTTTCTTACTAGATCGTTCAGTGCCGCGTGGTATAGCAGCATCCTTTTGGTGTATCCATCCCTGAGATCCCTCGATCACAACTCGGTTCCTGTCGCAGGGAACAACGCACGTACGCCCCTTTACAGTACTAGATACACGAAGGATTCCTTGAGAAAAGGAAAGAGGGAATACAATGGCATGTCAGCAACAAACAGAAAAAATGCAGCAAAAAGGGCAGACAAGACAAATGAAGCAAATAGGGCAGTAGGGCACTCAGGCGTTGTCCTGAGTTTGTGATGTGCTTGGGCGTAGCCCATGACACAACTAAAACCCAACTAAAAGGCAATCTCAAAAAAGAAGCTGCAAAGGCCACTGAGATTCCTAAAAATCTTGATCTTCAAGCATCTGTTTCTTGTACCCTGAATGATCCTAGAAGGGGCTCAGTTTCACTGCAGCCATCTGATATCCCAGAACCAGAATCAGACCTCCTTCCATGATGTATTGCTAAACATAGCAATACTGCCTGCATAATTAATTGCAAGGATGAGATTATCCATAACACCCCAACCAACCTGGTTTACAATATTATCCGGTCCAAGTATGTGACTGGTGGGTAATGTGCACTGTGTGGGTATGGAACCCTCATAATCCACGATACAGCAACCAGAAAGAAGATAACTGCTTGTGCAGCTAGTGTGGTGAGACTTAGTGATGATGATGGCCAGGGTTGGTGAGAGATCATATATGCCTGAAATGGAATTGCTAAGATACGAAGGATAGTTGTTGCTGGGAGAATGAACAACCTATTCCCAGAAATGAAGAACTCAAGAGCCCATTGGTGATCTGAGCTGCATTCTCCAATAATTGCGTCGACAAATTCTGGGATGATTGTCACACCCAGGAAGAAAATGTATATCATTACCACAGCTGTCTTATGCAAAGTATGACCAGCTGACTGGAAGTAGAGGCCATTCACAAGGCTAGGTAACCTGTTTAGCAGGTTATAACCCTAAATGACAAAGCAGGGAGATTGAAACTAGACCAAAGCTTACAGGAACAAAAATAATAACCAGACCATTGAGATTTGAGCAAAGTTAAACCAGTCCCCCACATTTGGTGGATGATGTCGAAACATGTGGATAGGAGTTTCAGAATTCCCGGCATTGACTAGTGAGAAGAAAAAAAGGGTAAAATGCTCTGTGGTGCTGACGAGGTTGAATAATAAGTAGAAGATAGAGATGCCACAGGAACTCTTTCGTACCCAGGTCTTTTTGAAGCTGGGGGAGAAAGGACACAGCACTGACGATGCAGAGGATACCAAAACTTGCTTTTCATTTAGCAAGATATTTGATACCGAAGAATCAGAATCAGGGTAAATCAAAACAGGACCAATATACATACATCCTCAGCCAGTTTGGGAGTGTTGGAACAGACGTTGATGCGAAGATACCACAATAGTTCAAAAATGAAGTTGTGAATAGAAATAGGTGTCCATTCCATGCTTAACCACCTGGTATTTATAAACTAACAAATGTTGGTCTCTGCCAAGCTACGATGTGGCCTGAGGATGTGATTTTTGTGTTGGTGGTGGGGGAAAGTGCGGGAGCGTGGCAGATGATAGTTGCTGAAAAGCCGCTGTTTTTGGTGTCACATGTGGTCAAAAACGGCAGCGGAATAGCAAACGAAGGTAGTATAAAAATCCTATATGTCGTTTTCCTCCATCAAAGATAACTCTGCTTAATGAAGGCCTGAAGCGTCGTCTCGGATGTACTTTTCGATGTTCCGCCATCTAGGCAGAAGGCAGGCAACACCGACAGACAAGCATTAAACCTATTTAGAAACTTTATCCATGGTATCTCATAATATTAGTCTGTCCATCTCTTTAGTCTATGACAAGGGACTTCGTCAGAATGGAGGCTGCAATGCTTCCCCGGATAACCTACTCATCTGGAGGTGACTCGCTCACTCCAACTCTGCATGGCCAGCGAACAGCACCATGCCTCACGCACTGGAATGGCATTGGCGATGCTTTCGCAGGAAGGCAGTCAATCTCATCGAAAAGTCCAATTACAAGAAACAGAAGAAGATACAATCGGATCATCCGATGTTCAAACTGCCTAATGAACTCTGGCTCATGATCTTTTCCTCAGTGCCGTTGGAATCGCAGGCTTGTCTTGCCTTGACCTGCAAGACATTACTAGGGAGGCTCTCCTGGGTCATTAAGGATGAGGAGCTTTGCTTCCCTCGCGTTAAGTTCGATATCTGGGACAGAGCACGATTTAGCGTGTCGACGAATGCGCGGAATCGTTTCCTCATTCGCCTGCAGGATCGGCACTGGGCGTATTGTTCTCTGTGCATGAAGCTGCATCCCGCGCAAGAATTCGGAAATTTCCAGCTCGCCAGGTCGGCGGATAGACGAACGTGCATGAGCTTAAGAAAGGGCGGAATCGTGGATCTGTGTCCTTGCATTAAGTTGACCTTTCGTGACAAGCTCCGGCTCTTGAACCATCTCAAGTCACGCAACAGGACCGGCCTAGGACTGTGGACACTTCCGGTCAATGGCAATACTGGAATCGACAGCATGCATGGAATGACAAGCGTCGTTCATGAATGCACCATCACGGATGATCCCTGGGTAACCGTCAAGGTCAAGATTATTCCCGTGCTGCTAAAGGGCTACCTGGTCGCTATAAGTAGCTATACTATCGATTTGAATACTAGGAATGTACCTGCGGCAATGGAACCCATATACTGCTGCCCTCACAAAGATATTCTCCGCTATACCGAGCCCCACGACCGCCCTACGCCCGAGTCCTGTCATAAGTCCTGCTATGAGTCTGTTTGTGGACACTGCCATACGCTCGTGGTCGCACACCATATGAGATATCGGCGACGGATTGTGGTCCAAGCGGCTCGGTATCTGGGTGCGGAAGTGCCTGATGGGGATTGGAAATGCCAAAGCGTATGGTCTTATCTTCTGCTGAATTGGTGGCTCTGGTAAGTGTAACTGCAGATCGTTGTGTACTGATGCACTAACACTGGTCAAATAGGGAGCATTCTTGATAAATATCCAGCCGTCCGTGAAGTGTACGGAAGTTCTTATGAGCCTGGTCATATACGTTCCATTGATTTGCCCCTGCCTCGCAACTGCCATCCATGACTTGAACTGTATCGAAGCTAGCTGGGTTGTTTGGGTTGGATCATGGTAGCACGGAGTATCTGTAGTTGTTGCAGTTGATAGACTACACTTTGCTAATATCAGTGAACCATCTTCAATACAGGTAAAAGAAGAATGATGAAGCAGTCTTGAGTCTCCTAGAAATAAACCAAGGTCACGGGATCTTATCTCATCACTCCCCTGTGACTAACTACACTAACACCAACACTAACCTAACTAATAATAATGTAGCTAAGAAGATATCCCTTTTGGGGAATTCTTCCATTCGTCCGAAGGCGCAATTTATTCCCCCACTTGATTATTTCTTTGAAAGCGCTGTCCTGTGCTCTGCATAATACAACAGCTCAACCTGCTTGATGCCACAAAGTACAAACAAAGTAGACATGTTCATTCCATCTAATTGACAATTGACAATTGATATCAACGCTTCTCCTTCACATCAACACCTAGACAATTCAATCGAATCCGATCCGATCAATTCCACGCTCAATCAGAGCATGCGCAAACCAAACCCGGGGGAAACCCGCAGCCCCAGACCCTCCCTCCACCCTCCACCTACCCTCGGCCCTAGTCTGTCCTTCAGTCTGACTCTCGGGGCAACGGAACTCCCAGCCCTCAGCCCTCAGCCCTGCACGAATAATCTCGAGTTAATCTACTACCTTATCTGAATCTAATGTGAATCCTGCAGATCTGGTTTTTTTTTTCACCGTTTATTACAACCCCATGGGGGCGGATCCGATCCTAGCTGTATTGCTCGTTGTTCTTGTTTTTGAGGTTATTTCGACATGGGACCTTATACCTGTCACGTGAGTTATATACACAACACAAAGGACATTTATTCGGTCTTATGGATGACTTCTATAATGATTTATTATGACTCGCTTGGTATCACCTAGATTGCACATGTCTAGTATTAATTGATTATCCACGACCGCTTGACTACAATAGAAATCATCTAGCCTGTCATAGGACCACACTCCATTTTTCCATCGCGCAAAATGTTCATATCATGCCATACATTAAAAGAACAGGAAAAAATAGGAAAAGAAAAAAGAAATGATATCTAAGGCGAATAAAAAGAATTATATCCTTAAGCGCCAAATTCTTTCACGTCCGTCTTCTTGCCCAACAGAGCAAGTGGCACAATGCCGCTAACGTGCATCTCAGGGCCATACACGTGCATGTTGAGCCCAAGCTCCACGCCCACAGCCTTGATGTTCTTAAGGCCCTCCTGGTAGTTGGGGCCGGCGCGACGGACCCAGATCTGAACGTTGTGGTCGTTCAGGGTGGGTGCGACTTCGCGCAGCGCCCGAATGACACCCTTGAAGGTCGTTGCGACGTTTGTGAAGTTAGCAATACCGCCACCGATGAAGAGCACCTTGCCATCGGGGTGTGTGGGCGCGCGCAGCAACAAATCCAGGACGGTACGGGCATAGTTGTAGGTCTGAGTCTCAGTGGGAGCACCAGAGTATTCACCATAGTTGGCAAGTTCGCTGACAAAGCCAGCAGATGCGATGGCGTCGGCGTAGACGACAGACGCACCACCGCCAGCTACAAGGGTCCAGATACGACCGCTGGCGTTGAGGACAGTGAGCTTGAGCGATGCACCGGTCTTGGCATCCATGTCGGCGATGAATTTCTCCTCCTTGCTCAGCTCGCGGCCAAAGGGAGCGGGGAACTCCATAGGCGGACCGGCGTCAATGTTGACCGGACCATCAGCTCTGGAGAGAGGAGCCAGACCCAGCGCCGCCGGACTACGGGCAATAGCCCACTTGCTGCCACATTCAAACTCGGCAGTCTGGTCGAGCTTGGCAGCCAAGTCGAGGAAATGGACTTCGGCAGAGGTGCCTTCAGCGTTCGGGATAACGACAAGGGGGTTGATTTCAAGATAGGTAAACTGGCAATCGACGTAGACGGCGTAGAGGCGGGAGATGAAGTCCACGAGGACATTGTGGACACCCTCGGGGACGTGTTTCAAGAGAGTGGCGGCGATCTCCTCGTTGGAGGGGTAATTCTTCAGGTTGACGGGAATAAGGAGCTTCTCAGCTTTGGCGTCGACATCACCGACGTCGACACCACCCTCGTGGGTGAAGAGAATCCAATCGCCCTGAACTTGTTAGCTTTTTCCTTTTTTCTTTTGTCACGAGATCAAGGTACATACCTCGCGCACGGAGTGGATGTTGACATAGTATTCGGTGTCTTGGGGATGGGGGACGAAGGGCTCGACGAGAAACTGACGAAGGACACCGGTGACGGTCTCAACCTGGATGGCCCTTGTGGCGCGAGCCTCGATCCATTCGCGAGCCTCGGCCCAGGTCTTGTTGAGAGCCAGGAGACCGCTCTTGCCTCGTCTCTTGATCAATTGGTCTGGTTTGGCGACGAACTTGGCGCCAGGGGTCAACAGCCAGGGATAGGTGACCTCGGCCTGGTCCAGGACATCCTTGACAGCAGCGTCTTCGGGGAAGTAGATGGAGGCGAGTCTGGGAGGAGGGTTATGGGTGGCCGACGGAGGGAGGGGAGTCGGCTTGATGACGGGAGCACGAGTGAGGTGGTAGTTGAGGATCGCCTTGCCGTCGGCCTCGAGGATGGATTTGGCAGACATGATGTGGCTTGAGTGGAGGGATTATTAGAAGAGAGAGAGAATGGGATAATGGCGAAGACAGGAAGGAGAGAGCAGTAATGGAGTGAATTTATTCCCAAGGGGGGGACAATTGGGGAGGAGTGGAAGGAGAAGGGAGCGAGAGGCGACAGCGCGGGGAGAAAAAAGCACAGCTCGGCCGGTCGCAGTCGTAGGGAGAGGAGAGGATGGGGAACAAGCCACGCGTGGAAAGGGGAGCAGAAAGCACCGAGTTCGGGATGAGAAGGCGTTGAATCCCACAATTTCAGGCAGAATTATTATTTTACCATAATACTTGCAAGTAATATTGGATATTATATTGTGATAATATGTTGGGGATGGGACGCGCTAGTCTAGCGCCCCGCTAGTAAGGCGCTAGTAACGGTAACAATTACTGTCAAATTGTTCTTTTGCTCTTTTCTTCATGGAAGTGGAAGACTTTCGGACTCCGAGTGAGGCACATACTCCGTGCAGACAGTAGATACTCCGTAGATACTACTATATACTCCGCAGGATACTCGGAGGATGTGAAGTTCGATGTGGATCATGATCCCAATACAATTATCCGAGCATTTCAAAATTCACAGTCGTCTGATGTGGAGTCGCACAGCCTATCGGTGGGCAACCTGGCGGGGGCAGATCGCATTGGGGAGAGTCAGAGACATGCTGATCGCAGGGTTTGTTGAGCCTGAAATCTTCCGATACTGCAATTATTATTAGTAGGAAACAGGACCAGAACAGGAGTCTGATTTTTCTGTCCCCAGTCTGTCTTGTCTGAGCAAGTCGGCCTTTCTCCAGCTCCAGTTTCGTTTCCCCCGATATCGTCTCCCCTCTCTGCTGTCCTCCCCCTGTTCAACTTCATCTCCAGCTCTCTCTGTCAAGGAGCCTCCCTCACACTCCTTTCTCTCCCTCTCTTTCCTTGTCACCATCCCCTAATATCCATATCCATCATCATCCCATTCTCAATAGGTAAGCTTACATGCTCCCTCGCACCGCAGTATTATTATTATGACGATCGCGCTGCGTTTTTTCTCTCCACACACTTCCATCACTTTCAACTGCTGAGACTGACAAAATCCCCTCTTCCTTTCCCATCAGAGCACTCCACCCCCATCATGCCGTCTACCTCCTTGTCTACTTCCATCAATGGCGCCCAGCCCGTCAATGGCGGCGTGCACTCCGCCAACGACAACATCCGTCGTTTCGACCCCCCCAGCCGTGTCGACACGCCCCTTACTCATACCCTCTTCCACAACAAGACAAGATGCTTCGTCTAGTAAGTCTTCTTCTCCTCGAGTCGGCGCTTCTCGGGAGGTCTGACCGCTATCAAACAGTGGTATGCAGCCTCGAGCTGTGCAGGGCATGCTCGACTTCGATTTCATCTGCAAGCGCAGCACCCCTTCAGTTGCTGGTATCATCTACACTTTTGGTGGCCAGTTCGTGAGCAAGATGTATGGCATCATTAGTCCTCCCTATTCGAGTCTTGGCCGATACATTACTGATCGCGGGGGAAAAATATTAGGTACTGGGGAACAAGCGAGACTCTCCTCCCCGTCTACCAGGACGTTGCCAAGGCCATGGCCAAACACCCTGATGTCGATACCATCGTCAACTTCGCTTCATCTCGTTCCGTCTACAGCTCCACCATGGAATTGATGCAGTACCCCCAGATCAAGTCGATCGCAATCATCGCAGAGGGTGTTCCCGAGAGGGTATACTTCTTTCCCTCCTGTGCGCAATGGTGCGCTGACGTGAACTTTGCTGACCACCCTGATAGCGTGCCCGTGAGATTCTGGTGACTGCCAAGGAGAAGGGTGTCACCATCATCGGACCTGCTACCGTCGGAGGTATCAAGCCTGGTGCTTTCAAGATCGGAAACACCGGTGGCATGATGGACAACATCGTCGCCTCCAAGCTCTACCGTAGAGGATCCGTTGGCTACGTCTCCAAGTCCGGCGGTATGTCCAACGAACTGAACAACATTGTCTCCCAATGCACCGATGGTGTCTACGAGGGTGTCGCCATTGGTGGTGACCGTTACCCCGGAACCACCTTCATCGACCATTTGCTGCGCTACCAGGCCGAGCCTGACTGCAAGATTCTTCTGCTCCTCGGTGAGGTCGGTGGTGTCGAAGAGTACCGTGTCATTGAAGCCGTGAAGAACGGTACCATCACCAAGCCTATCGTCGCATGGGCCATTGGTACCTGCGCTGGCATGTTCGCCACCGAGGTTCAGTTTGGACATGCTGGTGCTTCGGCGAACTCCCAGCTGGAAACCGCTATCAGCAAGAACAAGGCTATGCGCGAGGCTGGTATCTACGTCCCCGACACTTTCGAGGACCTTCCCCAGCTGCTCAAGCAGGTCTACCAGGACCTTGTCAGAAAGGGTACCATCCAGCCTCAGCCCGAGCCCGTTCCTCCTAAGATTCCCATTGACTACTCCTGGGCTCAGGAGCTGGGTCTCATTCGCAAGCCCGCTGCCTTCATTTCCACCATCACCGACGACCGTGGCCAGGAGCTGCTCTACGCCGGAATGCCTATTTCCGATGTTTTCAAGGAAGACATCGGCATTGGCGGTGTCATGTCTCTTCTGTGGTTCCGCCGCCGTCTCCCTGCTTACGCCAGCAAGTTCTTGGAGATGGTTCTGATGTTGACTGCTGATCACGGTCCTGCCGTGTCCGGCGCCATGAACACTATCATCACCACTCGTGCCGGTAAGGACTTGATCAGCGCGCTGGTCTCCGGTCTGTTGACCATTGGTTCCCGATTTGGCGGTGCCCTTGATGGTGCTGCGGAGGAATTCACCAAGGCCTTCGACAAGGGCCTCAGCCCTCGTGACTTTGTGGACACAATGAGAAAGGAGAACAAACTGAGTATGTTATTGCCTAGGATGTATCCACTATTTCCTTGAACTTTTGAAGGCTAACTGCTGGTAGTCCCGGGTATTGGACACAGAGTCAAGTCCCGCAACAACCCTGACCTCCGTGTCGAGCTGGTTAAAGAATATGCGAAGAAGCACTTCCCCAGCACCAAGCTGCTTGACTATGCTATCGCTGTTGAGACTGTGACCACTTCTAAGAAGGATAACCTCATCCTGAATGTCGATGGTTGCGTTGCCGTTTGCTTCATTGATCTCCTCCGCCACTGTGGTGCCTTCACTCCCGAGGAAGTTGAGGATTACTTGAAGATGGGTGTCCTGAACGGTCTGTTCGTGCTCGGCCGTAGCATCGGTCTGATTGCGCACTACCTCGACCAGAAGAGACTGCGCACTGGCCTGTACAGACATCCTTGGGACGACATTACATACTTGCTTCCTACCCTTCAAAAGGGCGGCGCGGAAGGCCGTGTTGAGGTTAACATCTAATTGCGTGCTCTTTTCTGTTACGTCGGTAAACCCGAATAGATATACGGGGCCCGGTGATTTGATCATAAAGTGACGTTCTATCTACTGACGTCGGAGTAATGATGGCTGCGTTTATGCGTTACATTGGATTTCTTTTCTTTTCTTTTCTCTCTTCCTGTTGAACTTATAATCTGTAGTGTGCACATGTGGCATGACTATTATCTGATGAAATTCAAGGAAAAGCAAAGGACGTGTGCTGCGTCCATTTGATTAGATGTTAAATATTCTTGGTAAAACTAGATACATAATGGTAAATGAGTATTATGTTCTCTTGGAAGGCCGTGAATGTAGCAGCCTCAACCCAGCATCGTGTCCGCTATGTACCCGTACATTGCCTGGTGGATCACAGGCTACAGGGACCTTCCGCTTCGACTAAATCAGAATACTTTGACGCTCGCAGCCTTTTCTTCAATGCTGCCAACTTGTGCAAGAAGCGCATATGGCACACTTGACACGGTATCACTCCCATGAAGAGATGAAACAGGTGCTCGATATCTACACAGCACCGTATATGGATCTCCTGGCTGTTTCGGTTGTCCGAGGCAGCAGAAAGACCAGACCCTTTCCTCTGCCACTGATGTCAATGAGGTTAATACGGGTGTCGCGTATACACTCCCACCCTTACCCAATGTATCGAAGGTAGTAAGTATATGCCGCGAACTGGGCCAGAACCTTGGCAAGCAGCACGGATTTACCGTCCCAGATCCCTCTTTCAGTGTGGAGAGTCATGCAACACCCGTATACGTGTGACAGAACTCGTGGAGTCTCTCTATCCGGCCATTGGCCTCATGATAACCATGATAACCACACACAGTGACGATCGCGGTCTAGTTATCCCACCTCTCTACCAACTTCACGCAATACAAAAGACCACCAGGATCTTCGTGCGGAGATTGACTCTATCCAATCCATACTGTCTTCTCTTGGTGTTCGTGCCACGACAGACCTCTGTGACTGGCATTCTCGTGCCTGGAAGGTCCAGGAATGGGTGATCCGGGGTGCTGCTGTCCTTGGTAGTGATAGTGGGCATACGGCTATAGACACCTCGAGCTCTTCAGTCAAATCCTTATGCATTTCCAGATGCATCAACCCCAACCCTGGATATATTGCAAAGAAGTGGGTCGTGTTTGGATGTATGTGGAAATCAGTATACCCTTTGTGGATATAACACTCATTTTTTTCTTTTTGATTCTAGACAGGTATTCAATTTGACGAAGGACCATGACCATAGAAGCCAGTATCATTGATATTTCAGCTATAATGCTCATATGAGTATGTTGACAGGACAGAATGCCTGGTTGAGGCAACTGGAAGGAAAGAGAAGGAGGGCCAAACTTATACACCCTGGGATCCATCATACCTCTATGTCATACCTTGGGCTTTCAGTTGACTGTATACCTGGTTGACTTATTGGTTTGGATAGTTGCCCGTTATACTATGACTACCTTATGCCATAGTTAAGCATGAAGAGAGAAAGAGTAGAATTAGGATTGTATTAATAGTTATGACGAACATCATGATCTAAGCTGTTGAGCGCGCTATCAATTATTCCCGAAAAAGATTCCTCCGATTAATTACCTACCAATCTACACCTACGACCAAACTCAACCAAGACGAAAAGACAGAAACAGACATGGTCCGCCTAAAACACCGCTACCTCCTCCTGGAAATCCTCTACCCGGACCCAACATCATGGCCGAAAGCAGCAGTGCCATCAACAACACCATCGACAACGACGTCAACATCGACGCGAAAACCCTCATCATCGCAGTCGCAGCCACAGCCCCAACATCCCCAATTACAAATCCATTCCCCAACATCCAACGTCTTAACTCCCGGTTTACTGGCCAAGATGGTCCGAGAGGAAGTCGCAGAAGTATTTGGTGATTGGGGGGTTGGGCGGTTGGGAGGGGGAGTCAGTGGTTCGTTTTTCTTTCTTTCCCCTTTATTTATTCATTATTTCTATTGTCTACGATTAAACTGATATGTTTAATACAATGGGAATACAGTGAAATACCTCTCCCCTGCAACATCAACAGCTATAATCCGCTGTCCTCGCGCATCCTTCAGACTCGTCTGGTCCGCTTTATCATATATGTCTCATGTACCCGATTTCAAGAACCCATCTACTGTAGATGGTGGTTCCGGTTCCGGCTCCGGGGCTAGTTCTAACACAGGCAAACGGTTCGGCGCGGTGGTAGCGACGCGGCCGTGTGTGTTTCGCGTTCTAAGGGTGTCTGGGACGATGAGGAAGGCGGAGGAGGAGGCGATTCGGGGGGCTAGGAGGGAGATTGTGCGGTTGAGGGTGCTGGATGAGAAGGGGGTTATGGGAGGATTGGTTGGTTCAAGTTTAGCTGGGAATGAGAGTATTGGTGATGTAGTGAGCGATGAAGACGATTATGATGGGATGGGTACTGAGGATGAGTAGTTCTCTGACTGTTTGCTTCGCTTCCCGGCCTTTTTTTTCATGAGATACCCTATATTACAAAAGTTTCATCTTACTACATACGTCAATCATTAGATTTCCTTATAACCTTCACCCCGCTGTCTGGAATCGGTCCTCGTATATCCTCCAGGCCATCGAGTTCGTCCAAGTCCCCATTCCCAGCTTGACTAGTCTCAGCTTCTTTCTTCAATTCCTCCAACTCCTTCTCATCATATTCTTCCTTCGCGTCCAGCCATCTCTCCTGCACATCTCGGATATCCATCGTGCCCAGACCCTCTCGAACAGCCACCTGCCAGATACTGTCGTTCGCGCCCTCCGCTGGCCCAAAGGCATATCCACTCGCCCGATCAATCACCCGCAGGAGATTCATCATGCTCTTCTTATCCTCCACAGCCAGCGTCTCGAATGCAACGAGCCCGAACTCCTCCACCAGTTCGATAATAGCTCTATTGAGGCCGCCGAATTTCTCATGTGAGAGCCGCGACGACTCGGCCTCTAGGTGTGGAAGAAGATACGTAAGGTCGTGGACCTCCGTGTAGAAATCTAGATTGAATGGAAGCGGGGCGTAGTTTGATAGGTTATCGATTTTCGTGAGGACGTTCAAATGTGGGAGGTCCATTTGGAGCATGGCACGGAGGGATAGGAGGAGGGCGGAGATATACATGGATGGTAACGTGAGATTGTAGGAGTCGATTAGGTGGATAACTATTAGCTATTATCATAATCGTTAGTTATACGACATAAAACTGAAAAATGAAGATGGTGAATGCACACTCTATACCCAAGTTTCTGGATCTTGAAAAAGATATTCCGTAATGAGGAGTGGTGTGTGAATATTTCCACTTGGCCTGGGCAGTCAAAAAGGATATAATCATCTAGTTACCATCACGTAGTTAGCATCCACGACGTCTATTCTGATTTGCTTTCCCAATGCGCAAAGCAATCATACCTCCGAGTTCTTTCAACCCCTCCTCTAGCCATCCGAAATTCTGCTCCAACTCCTCTATAGCATACAAAATCCCGCCATTAGGACCAAGAGAATCCTCAGCCATAATCTCCTCGAGCGTAACAAGGTCGCGGACGTCCAGCGCACACGGGTACGATGTTTTGTCGTTTGCGGGGTCCAGATTCACCACGGAGCATTTCCGTCCTATGGCTCCTAGGAACTGATGCATGCCATCGCAGTATGTAGATTTGCCGGCCCCAGGCGGTCCAATAACAAGTTGAGCAAAAGGCATGATGAAAAAATATCTTCTGGCACCGGGAAATGGTGCTCTGAACGAGGACGATGATATCGATAATCAATGTCTTCGGAGCAGATGGCGGGGAAGGTCGAAAATAGGGCGGTGGATGGCGGCAGAAAGAGATAGCTTCAATGATGGCAAACCACCGCAAATCAGACAACAAAACGAAATCAACCGCCCAATTCAAGGGAGAAACGAGCAGGTCTTTTTCTTACCTTGCCCATTATTGCTTATAAATATGGCATCGCGTAAGCTGTTGCATGCTCTGAAGATGTTCGTATTCTATTCTAACCAATTCCTAGATCAATTTACCATTGCGTCGCCGCCGACAGACGCCATCTCCGCGCTGAAGTTCTCTCCAGATCCAGATTCGACGCGATTCATCGTATCCTCATGGGACAAGAATATATATCTGTACGATCTTCGCGACGAGAATGGAAATGTCGGTGAAGGGAAACTGTTGCAGAAGTTTGAGCATCGAGCTCCTGTTCTTGATATCTGCTTTGGCGCGAACGAGGACGAGATTTACACCGCTGGCTTAGATTGGGATGTGAGGAAGTAAGCTACTTCTTGCCAGGAACCGGAGACCGTTCCACTGAACACATTTATTGACATATTCTAGGATCGATGTAGCATCCTCCACGCAGACAGTCATGAGCAGCCATGACGCTGGCGTGCGCAGCGTTGTCTATAGCAGAGAACATTCCCTTTTGATATCCGCCTCGTGGGACTCAACACTACACGTCCACCGTCCTGATGCGGACTCCAACGGCGGCTCCGTACCTGCAGTCATACCTCTTCCCCATAAGCCCTTTTCCATAGCCCTCACGCCTACCAAACTCGTCGTCGCCATGGCGTCCCGAGCCTTGCATATCTACGATCTCAAGGCTCTTGCTTTACTTACAGATCAATCAGAGGCCACAGTCGAGAATAAAGTGGAGATCGAGCCATGGCAACGGAGGGAAAGCAGTCTCAAGTTCATGACGCGTTCCATCGCATGTATGCCCGATGATGCTGGGTACGCCTCGTCCAGCATCGAGGGTCGCGTTGCTGTTGAGTGGTTTGATCCGTCGGCAGAGTCACAAGCGCGCAAATATGCATTTAAATGCCATCGACAGACAGCGGACGATGTCGACGTAGTGTACCCGGTGAACGCGCTTTCCTTTCATCCAATCTACGGCACATTCGCCTCTGGGGGCGGCGACGGAGTCGTTGCTCTATGGGACGGCATTGCCAAGCGGAGAATTAGGCAGTATCAGAAGTATCCTGCCAGCATCGCTGCTTTAGCTTTTAATAGTAATGGGAAGTATCTGGCTATTGCGGTTAGTCCGGGATTCGAGGATGGAAAGGAGGATATTTCCGAGGGGATGGTAAAGATCTACGTGCGTGAACTTGGGGAGACAGAGGCTAGAGGGAAAGGTGCAAAGCAGTAAGCGATTTGCGATGTTAGTTCCTATGAAATCTCATCAGCCTTTCTATTGTTTCCTTACTTTTTTTATTACGAAATTACGAATAGGAAAAACGTATGTATATGTCAACACAAGTAAATCAAAGCTGTTTATACATTTCCCCGTGAGGTAGAGGGAGAAAATGGGAATCCCTCCATAGTCTAAATTCTAGGTGGTATCAGTATCAATGCCCTTCCCCTTTCTTCTTTCCACGCTGATAAATGCTTGTATGCAGCGAAGAATATAAAGAACCAAAGATAGCCGAATTACTGAAGTGCCTTTCTAACAAGAACAGTACCATCAGACTTGCCAAAGTATGCTGCAATTGGCTTTTGACCTCCCACTGCCCCTCGAGCCTGGGCCTGGAGACCAGTGGGACCGGCAAAGATCCCTACTTCCAGAACTCCGGCAATCTGCTTGATGGCATGAGCAAGCGCCTCAACCTCCCAATGTCCGTCCTTCCCACTGCCATCTATCCCAGCAGCCACGTCTTTCTTGGTGAGTAGCGGGTGCGGGAATGGGGCGTCGATGATGAAAAAGTCTTGGTCGGTTTTGAGGGGTCCCTGCTTAGGGACGGTTGTGAGCCTGATCGCAGGATTCACACTACCGAGCTCCTTGAGCTTTCTCAAGACTCGGTACGCCGCGATAGGGGCAACCTCGATAGGGATGTATTTCCAGGATGACAGCAGGCGGGATTGGAGTTTTCGAGAGTCTATGGAAGAACGAGCTATCAGTATCCCTGTTTCTTTTTTTTTACCTTTCCATGTATTATGTATATTAACCTGCAACACAAATAAACTTCTTGGCTTGAAGGGCCACGATTTTCTCTTGGAACAAGCAGGCTCCTCCGCCCTTGATGCAGTTGAGCTCGTCGTCCACTTCATCTGCCCCGTCGAACGAGATGTCCAGTACTGTCCCCTCAGGAAGCGCATCAAACTCAATGGCTGTCAGCCCGGCGGACACAATGAGCTGCTTGGACTGGTAGCCCGTGGGGATGAAACTCGTTCGGGAGAGATCCGCGGCCAAGTTTTTGATAGCCTCTACCACATAGACAATGGTAGTTCCACTGCCAATGCCGACATACTTTGCATCCTTGGGGTAATTATCCCTGACAGCGGCCATCGCGGCGGCGCGCTTCGCCTCCTCAATTGCAGACGCTGCGTTAGAAGACATTGTTGATGAATGAAGTCTGGAAGAGCCGAGGGAATATCGCGGGCAATAGCGGGGCACAGAGGACAGCAGTGATGACGGCGACGACGCCAAGGGAGAGAAACAAGGATGGAGGTGATGACGAAGAGATTGAAGCGACGCGGAGCCCCGTCCGACCCTATATATGGCCAAGGTTCTATAACACAGAGTCAGTGCCGGGTTCGACATTAGATAGGTATGCTTCGGGAGGACGGTTATTTTTGGTCGCCGTAAAGCGGAGGCTCCAATGAAACCAAGGAACGCCGGACCAGCATTCGCTTAAGGGAATCCACTCACACAGATGCAGCATTGGACATGGATGGTGAACCTAGACTGGGAGCCCGCTGCTTTTGGAAGATTCGACTTCATTTTGGACGCGGGGAGACACTGCGTCATCGTGCGTAAAGCCCAGGCCTGAGCGCGATCGCGGCGGACTGTTGCAGTCCGACTACACGTGACCGCATGTGACCGTCTAACGCAATCCTATCCATGAGGATTACTCCGCGTGGTGCTTCCCCCTGCTTCACATCTCCCCGTCCATCCCGCGTCGGAATTAGGGCCGGTTGGTATCCAATCCCACTGGTCCAACCTGAATTTTGTCCATCTGCTTTCTCCGCCCTCTCCTACCCGTCTTGTCTTGGAAGTTGGCCTGCAACATCCCCTCCATGACTGACGCGTTCCCCAGTGCCCTGGTCGGGCCATCAGCTAAAGAGAGAAAATATGACCGTCAGCTTAGACTTTGGGCTGCCAGCGGTCAGCAGGCTCTCGAGGAGTCCCGAGTACTGCTGGTCAGTTCTGATGGCCCCATAGGACCTGGTAACACGGGAGTATCAGGAGTCGTCGGTATCGAGACGCTGAAAAACCTGGTACTCCCGGGTATCGGAGGCTTCACCATCGTGGATCCTGCGACAGTCACAGAAAATGATCTGGGGTTAAACTTCTTTCTCGAGGAAGGAAGTTTGGGCAAGTCGCGGGCAGAGGAGACCTGCAGACTCCTGAAGGAGCTAAATCCGGACGTAGAAGGACACTTCTTTTCCAAGGTAATACTGCGTAGGAGATTTGATTTGATCCCGTTAGCCTACATCCTGATGCTGACGAAGATACCAAACACCAGCCGATCGGAGAGCTTCTGAAGGAGCCTGGGTTTCTACCACAGTATAAGCTGGTAGTAGTCTCTGGTCCTTTGAAGCACTCTTCCTTGAAATTGCTCTGTGTGAACGCTCGTGAATTAGGAATTCCCCTCTTGTACACACATTCTGTTGGATTCTACTCAATTTTCTCACTTCAAGTTGCGGCAGAGTTTCCCATTGTAGAAACACACCCGGATCCTGAAACGACCCAGGACCTTCGCCTGGTCAGCCCCTGGCCAGAGCTAATTGAGACTGCTAAGCGTATCGATAACTTGGATACCCTTGATGATCACCAGCACGGGCACGTTCCATATGTATTGCTCATCCTCCATTATCTGGAACAGTGGAAGAAGACACACAATGGTAACGTGCCGGCTAGTTACAAAGAAAAGTCGGAGTTCAGGGAGATGGTTCGAGCCGGCGCAAGGACCAACAATCCAGAGGGGGGAGAAGAGAACTTTGATGAAGCCGTTGCGGCTGTCCTGAAGACTTTGAACCCGTTCAGTTTGCGAAGCTCTATCCGTGGTATCTTTGAAATGGAAGAATGCAAGAACCCGAGACAGAACTCTAACAACTTCTGGTTGATTGCATTTGCCATCAGAACATTCTACCAGAAGCATGGCGTGCTGCCACTTCCAGGCCTGTTGCCTGACATGAAAGCCCAGTCGGAGGACTATATCTCCCTTCAGAATATCTACAAGGCAAAGGCCAGGAAAGATTTGTTAGAAGTCATTGAGACGGTCAGAAACCTTGAGGCCCAGCTAGGCCCACGACCAGATCCTGTTTCTGAAAAGGAGATTGAAATATTTTGCAAGAACGCCGCTCATATTCAGATTATCCGTGGCCGTGATATTCCTCGTATAGACGGGGATTCACTAACCGTGAAAGCCATCCGAAACAACATCGCTCTTCCTGAGTCCCTAATGCCGATCTTTGTTGCTTTCTTGGTTCTGGACGCTGTAGTAAGCGAGATCCAAGAAGGCCAACACCAAGGAGGCTCACTTGATGATGACAACATATGGAATACCCAGTTTGACCGTGTTGTCGATTCTATTACTCAGGCGGACCCGTCTTTAATGGACGAAGAAGCGCGTGGGCGCATTCTACAAGCGATGCAAGAACTACGACGTACAGACGGTGGCGAACTGCATAACATCTCAGCACTTACCGGGGGGTTGGTCGCGCAGGAAGCACTCAAGGTGATTACGCGGCAATATGTGCCGCTGGACAATACCTGCATCTTCGATGGTGTGCGGAGTCGCAGCGAGATGTACAAGCTGTAGCCTAGTGAATCTTCAGTAAAAATGGTAGCAAGGTCACGTCAGGTGAGGTTAAGCTAAGTCTTGGCAGCTTACTAGTGCCAAGACGGGGTCAAGTATGGTCCTTAGCGAGGTCAGGTCAACTGTATCCTGGGGAAGGGAAAGCACCAACAGGTGCTAACAATATACGTGTCTATACAGGCGGGTCTCTGGGCTGGCACTATGATACAAAGCACATCTGTTCCACCCTCTCTAAGTGGTAGAATGAGGCATTATTACTAGGCGGTTGTTGTATTTTCGCATTAATCTTGCATGCATATTCATATGATTCTGCCATGTACCACCTCTAAACTGATTGGCGCTTGCTGTGTTCATGCTTCTTGCTAACACCTCCGACATGTAAATTGACACGTTTCTCAATCCATCTTCAGGCAGAGGCAATGCACCAGCAAGCACTGGTAGGCTATAAGAAGGCACTGGGTCCTGACCATATATCTACCCTCACCACAGTCAACAACCTTGGTCTCCTCTATCAAAACAAGGGCAAGCTAAAGGAGGCAGAGGAGTTCTACCGCCAAGCACTGGCAGGTAAGCAAAAGGCACTAGGTCCAGAACACACATCTATCCTTATACAATCAACAGCCTTGGGGATCTCTATCGAAACCAGGGTAAGCTGAAGCAACTTTCAAGTTTCATGAATGGGAAGAGAGAAGAATGTGGAATCGATAACAATCGACAGGACTATTTAAAGACATGGCAAGACGTTCGGATGAAGCTTGTTTTTTGATTGATATCATGAAGAACAAACAGTAGATTCGACTCGGAGCCTAATATGTATGTACAACGGTGAAAGAGGTACACCAACACCAACCCCCCAGTCATTAGAGGATAACGGCACAGGAATATTATCAGTATAAAGTACAGCGGAGGACATAATGATAATAAATGTTAATAGTCGATGCCACAGAATATTTTGCAAACTAGAATAGAAAATTGGCATGCGTCTATACACAGTTCCGTTGTCCCCTGGAAAAACAAGCCAAAGCCAAGATACATGGGAAAAAATGCAATAAGGAAGAATACTAAAGCATGAAATCGTAATATCTGTTTGCCATTTAGGGCACCCAGAGCCGCAGAAATCCTCCCACTTCTCGGCGACATGTCACGCAGCTTCCAAAGTTATTCATCGCCAGACTCACTCGGCATTCCTCGCAAATGCAAAGGCAGCGGCATGGCCATGTAATAATGCAGCGTGGATTCGTCTGGCAGACGACACAGAGGGGACCATCGGATCCAAGACCAGACGCGCCAGAAGCCCATGTCTGTCCATCCCCACGCCAGTGGGAAGCAGACGCTTCAGATCGCCGGGATAGGATGAGATTCTCCAGCATTTCGGATTCTTCTTCGGGGGTAGGCTTTGTTTCCCTACTGCCCGGCTGCAATCTATCAAGGTGAGCATAGCGCGAGGAGAGCAGAACGCGAGCCTTCTCATGTTCAACTTGTCTCCGGTACTGACTTCGAGTCATGACTGTCCCATCCCGTCCAGCTGCAAGGTGAGCGGCTAGGATGCGTGCTTCTTGCCTGGTTTCTCTATCACGGGGATTTAATAGGTGCGCAAGATAATCCGGATCCAGAAGAGTCTCATGAAGAGGTGTCCTTTCCCGGGAATAATTCGCGGGGAATGGATCGGCTTGTGTTGGTGTACGACGACCGTCGGATTCCTGGTCTTCCCATTCGGAATCGCCAGTCGCAGACGACATGGAGACCACACTCGTCGTATCGTCGAGATCGTCGTCTGATGGGTTGTAATCCGGGCTCTGGTCTTGGTTCCCCCAAGAGCCACCGGCCTTCCACCAAGTGTAGAGTTTCTCGTCAAGCCGGCGCTCATCCGTCTGGTTCCAACGAGCCCTGTTGAGACGTTCTCGTTTCCTCATTTCCTCCTCCACGTCAAACTCGTTATCATCTGGTAATTCCAGCTCACCATCCTCAGTCAAAATCCAGAAATCCAAGGAATCTGCTTTACTGATATTTTGTCTTCCGAAGGCGCTTTTGTGGGATCTAGCAGCTGTCCGCAGCCACCTAGGTCGAGCTTTAATACCCACCGAATCCAATGCTTTATCTATGCCACGGGCAGTCCACCTTAACAAGAGTATGGAAATACCCCGAAAGAAGGAAATTCCTTGGTAGCATCTCGAAGCTCCCCGGAATCCCCCAACGCCCGATTCGGTCTGTCTCCGGAGTGACCGATATTCATGCGGCACATTCTCAATTTTCTTCTCGCGGCTATAGCCACTTTCCCACCGAGAAGGCCGTTCTAGGACATCAAAACTGGTACTGCTCCCGGCTCCAAGAGGTATATCCCGCGCGAGATCAGCTCTGTTTCGACCTAGCCGGCGATTTCGCCGCGATGCTTCGATCTCTGTTAGCCTATCCTCCTCCAGCCAGGTCATTTTTCGCAAGACAACTGATTGTCCCTCATTCAAGAATACGGCTTCGCTGGCAGCATTCAAAGCAGCATAGCCAAGCCTAAGCAAAGCTGCATAGAAGTCTTCATATCTGCTAATACGGACATTGGCAATCTGATGGCCACCTTGCATATTCTCATGAGCCAGCACAAATCTCTCCCGGAGGGATATTGACTGCGGGTTCTCCAGAGGCAGCGAAAAAGCAGTAATTGTCAGAGCCAACGCGTAGATCATGAAACATAGCAAGATCCCCAGCAGCATCAGTAAATGTGGCACAAACCCTACAAAACATACCGTCGGAAACCTAAGAGCGGCCAACCCGCTGTCAAAAGGTGAGCTGCTGAAAACCCCCCATATCATAACAGTCATGTAGCAGATACCCCAGACAGTGGTGTTAGCTAGACGATACCTGCTCTGTTGACCAAAAACCTCCAGAATATGCGAGGACAAACTATTACAACAGGATATCACAAGTATCAGAAGCAGCTCAGGAGTGACGTTCATTCTGTCCAGCACATCCGACCTGGTCAAGTGTTGGAGCGAAGAAACACTTTCAGACGGTACGGCTGCATCGCCCTTGACAGACGATTTCTTTGTTAGACCAAAGAGCCCCAGCCCGATGGAGTGGCTGATCATCGACTCCGCCTCAGAGAAGGCCAACGAATGCTCAAAGAGCGACATGCCAGCTTCTGCTGCAACCGTCCTCCCTTGAAGGGCGCAGGAGAGCACCTCTACAAAATGGCTTAGACAGAGCCGCAAGAAGACAGGCCATAGAATCGAGAAAGAACCATAGGCGACTTCCGAAGTGGTAGTCGGCCGCACCATTTTCACTGCGCTGCAGGACTGCCGGTCCGTCTCCCACGGTAGAGTTGCCGAACTCAGCCGGTACATAAAGCCCCCAGTTCCGCCTAGATCAAGTACCGACCATTTTCCAGGTTTTCCATACCGAATGAGTGGGTAATCTGGGGAGGTTTGGCATCGAATTGTCCGTATCAATGCGAGAATCTGGAAGGAGAGAAGAAGGATGGGAACGATCCGCAAGGCAAGTCGCCCAGTCCAATTGAACGAGATATGTCGTCTGGTAGATCCATAGATATTGACTCTATTCAATACAACGGCCTATATCAACGATAAGAAAGAAAGGTCAGATCTCCGTTGTAGCTCAGTCCACAATGCGTGTTTCTTAGACGAGGAAGACCTACAACCGTGAAACAAGCGAAGGACCACCGGCTAGTGATATACGAAAAAAAACCACCGAACCTCCGGATAGCGTCGAAGATATCGGCAAATGTCACGCCGGTCTCTTGTGCTGCAGCCTCTGCCACACCGCCAGCATTCGTTGCGGTCTGCGTCGCTGCCACTGCAGTGTCGCCGTCAAATAACCCGGTCCTTAAAGCCCTACTCCAGATATGCGATGCTGTATCCTCCAAGCCTGTCAAACGTGCGAAATGCCTTGGTAGCGTATTGAATGTGAACGATTCCACTCTGTAGAGGGCACGGAGGGGGAGTCCGAGCAGCTCGCGCGGTAGCGAAGTTGAAGTGTTGGCGTATTGCGAAAACCCAGCCGATGAAGCCGCAGCAGCCGAAGCACTTGATACAGTGCTAAGGTTCTGGATGTCTGCCATGTTGATCTAGCCGGGGAATAGAACCGTGGCGAACTGAAGGACAGCGGGTACACCTTCAGTTCGGCGTTAGGGGAGGGGGTTCTAAGCAAATCCAGCTGGTCAGTATAGTATAAAGGAAACAAAGGAGAGACAAGCTTGAAAGACCGTCATCCCGAGACCAGCACACGCAACGACATACTGAAGAGGCGACTTGCAGATGTCAAGAGAGGTGAAGGATGGCATCAGTAGCTGTTGTGATCCTCAATGGCGCCAAGGGAGTTGCTGCCTGGGTGCCTGAGAATGACGTCTGCCTCGGTTGACGAATTGTTGTCTACTGCAGTGTATATTCTTCTATTTCAATGTGAATAGAACGGCAGTCTGACTCTATTTCCTAATACCAGTACCACTTATGCCTCTTCATTACTCTCCAGACAAGCCAACTAGCCCCAATGAATTCTTCAATAGTCGAGCCTCGTCCTTGGGACTGTACGTATGGCTCACATACGTTCCCTTGCTCGCAATCAGAGAGGTATCTTCCGCTGTCGCCCTCCAATTACTTGCTAATCGCAGCACACAGGGTAGTTACTGCTCCTTTTTCGGGATTTTCCAGAGTTTGAGAATCGACTTTGCTTCCAGCAGAACCTCTATCTGAGCCGGAGAGAGCCACATTGACCACCTGAGAGTGGAACTCGGGAGTACTGGCGGCTAATAGCGCGGGTTTCAAGATTTGAAACAAAAGAAGTACGATAGGTGATTTACTGCAAACTGCAATTCATAGCCATCCCTCTTGAGCTCGAGGTTTGGTACGGCCATGATCCCAGCGTTGTTGATGAGGATGTTCACCCGGCTCGTCTTTTCAAGAATGGTCTTTGCAGTATTTCGTATGCTTTGCAGAGAAATCTGGTCCATCTCAATCAGCTTTATCTGATAGGGTTCCAGGATGCCAGCAAGCGCGGTTTTCGCCTTGTCCAGATCCCTGGCAGTCAAGTAAGGGTTGCTCCCGTTGCTTCAAGGGCGCAGACTGTCTCGACTCCAATGCCAGAGAACACATCAGTGACAACGGCCACTTTCCACTTAAGCTTACCTTCCAATCCCATTATCCTTGACTATTTGTAGGGCAGTTGGCAGTGAATCTCCAGGGCCTTGATGGTCAGCGTGGGCTGCATTATATCGACACATCGTGAGGTTTGTAGTATGAGAGGGCTCGTTGGAAGTGGTTTGCAACGTAGAGAAGGAATTCCTTGATTATCTTGGCTGACAAGTTTCTCTTTCTTGGGAATAGTCAGCGAGACTAAATCCCTGGTGGTTCCCTTTTGGCATTGCATCTCACCCATCTTCTGCGCTTCAACCTCTGGCATCACTGCGTCAGCTTAAAGCTGCCGCAAAATTTGCTGTTGACAGAAAGCATCGAAAAAGAATACAAAACCGATTGAACCAAAGAGCGCATAGTAAGTGTCCATTATCCTGCTAAACGCTTCTTGCTATTGTGTCAGCCTGCTTACTTGGACTACCGCCAGGACTTCGTATAAGGGGAGAGAACTCGATTAATACGAAAGCCTAGTCTCGTGCGCACCGAGTAGGCCATTGGCGACTCGAGGAGAATGATGCCCCTCGACCAACCCATGCCACATCAAGCCCAATAGGTGGGCCATTGGGAGATGGTCGCCATCTGCTTCCTATACAAGGCAATGGCAGTCGGGAACTGGGTCTGACCAGTCCAGACGCAGAAGGGTCACTGACCTTAGATATGACTGCTATGCTCCAAATGCCTGCAGGTGCAGCATTCGAAATGCGGTTTCCTCTGTCTTCAGACTGCTTGCTACATCTCATTTAATACAATGAATTTCGTGGACTCGTTTCCAACAAAGCCCTTCTTGAACGCCTGCCAATCTATTTCCTTCCAGGCTATGAGCAGATGGAGATCCTCCCCATCCAATTCATACATCTAGGGTATTCAGTTATTCTCCTGGCGGAGCCCAGCCTACCCAGCTACTCGTCCCGACGCAAACCCAAACGACTCTGATACACTCAACCTTGAATTTCCTAAAATGCGGGAGAATCTAATCAGATGGGCGGCGAGCTTTGACCATTCAGATTTCGTAGCGGATTTGGCCGCTAGCTTTAGTTATTCACAAAAACCGGTGTTTATCTAAGCTCCATTCCTCTCAAGGGCCCTCGGTGGTTAGCCCTCTCTAGAGGATGATGACGAACTCACTGCTATCCGAAGGGGGCTTATCATATGGGGTGAGCGTTATGAGCCGGGAAGTTGGGAGACTACGCCCGGGTTTTACGGAAGTGGGTGTGGGCAGTGGAGGGCAATGGAGAGCTGATAGAGTTTAGTAATTATTGGAGGATGATCAGAGGTGAAGAGCTCATACAAATTTCATATAAATGATGTGGATTGATTCGGGAGTCTCGCCATAGATAATTCCAGAACATTAAAACGGCACTGTATTAGGGATTAGGGGAGTTTATCAAATCATTGAAATGGAGATAATTGAGCTCATATTTTTATACTGGAGCTGACGTATACGACACTATAACTATAACTTAGAAAAAGATCCACCGAAGATGCTCCACGATAGATGACACTTATATGCTCAATTTAGAGATTCTCAAGCGTATGGAAGCTAAAATGCGCATCCTTAATCCACGTCCAATACGACCCCAAATTTAGTTGCGGGAATGCCCTCCCATCACCTACTCTCCCCTGGACGTTGACCAGACCAGCCCATCCAGAAAACGAAACAGAAGTATACCGCCATTCCACGGTGCCAACGCGGCCATCCTTCTTCCAGTTGTCACTCTGTGGAATGGGAGGTATAGCCAAGTCGATATTCAGCGGTACATAGGCCGAGGAAATGGGGATTAGTGGCCTGGAAAGAAGGGGAATTGGCCGGAGATCAAGAGACACGAATAGCTCCTGTGGGTTGGAAGGATGGGAGATTTCAACTCGTTGGTAGGGTGGGTATGTAGGTGATGAGGAAGGAATGAAGTTGAAATTGGCCAGCTATGAGTACTAACCGACCCCTACGGTAACCTTCGGGGTCGCGCGTATTGCGCGACCCTGACAACCACCCGAGCACCCCAGCCACCCGAGCACCGATTTTAGAACTTCGTAGAATTCCAACCCATCAACTTTATCATATAATTCAACCACCACCACCATGCCCAAATTCAATAAAAATTATGAAGATCGAATGCTCAAAGCTATTGACGCGTTAAGCACACAAAATCCCCCAAATATCGCCAAAACTGCACGTGAATATGGAGTTAAACGGCAAACCCTCTCCGCAAGGTGGAAGGGACGGTCCAATCTATGTGAACGACCACCAACCAACACCAGATTATCAGAAGAGCAAGAAAAGGCTCTGTGTCACTATGTTGATACTCTAGAGCAATTAAATATAAAGCCACTTGCACAAATGATCCAATCAAGTGCCAATTCTATTCTGAGATCAACCCATACCAGCCTAGACACCCCTCCACCTACTGTCAGCGAGAAATGGTTAAACCGATGGCTAGGAAGGCATCCTGAATATAAAAGACGTCGCTCTAGAGCTATAGAGCTTGACCGCAAGCGTGCAGAGGATCGTGAGGTTATTCAGGAGTGGTTTCAGAAGCTCCATCAGACCATCCAGAACCATGGGATATTAAAGGAGGATATCTACAATTTTGATGAGACTGGCTTCAATATCGGTGTTGGTCGTGATCAATGGATTATTACCAGGGACTTCAATATTAATAAGCCTCATATTGGGATGAATTCAAACTGTGAATATGTTACTGTGGTTGAAGCAGTCAATGCAGATGGCTGGACCTGCCCACCACTTATTCTCATGAGTGGTAGCTGTATACTTACAAATTGGTTTGAAGCTGCTGATATTCAACAAGACTATTCAATTGGAGTATCAGAAAATGGCTATATGACTGATACAATTGCCTTCCAATGGATTCAGTCATTCTATCGGCATACTAAAAGATATAGGAAGGGTCAATATACCCTTCTTATATGTGATGGATACGGCTCCCATCTAACACATGAATTTGTTGAATTCTGTGAGAAGACCAATATCATCACCTTCTTCTTACCTCCACATACAAGTCATTTCTTGCAGCCATTGGATGTTGGTGTTTTTCATGCATATAAGCACTGGCATTCAGAAGCAGTTGCAGATGCAACCTACTCAGGATGCAGTAAATTTACTAAGGTTGAATTCCTTCATGCCTTAGGGGCAATTCGCAAGAAGACATTCAAAAAGCGTACTATTCGGCATGGATTCCAAAAGACTGGCATCATACCATTCAATCCATCAATTGTACTCAATCAAATGCCTCAACCACATCGTCCATCCTCTTCATCCACCAATACCAATGATGTTGATTCCTGGGGCAGTACGCCAAAAAAAAGCTGAACGATTTAGGGAGATTGGTGATAGGATATGGGAGATTCATGATATCAACAAGGATCAATTTAATGAGGGCCTAGAGCTGCTTATTCGTGGTGGTAGTATGCTAGCATCATATTCAGCTGCTATCGAAGCTGAGCTTGACCGGTATATTAAAGCTGCTAGGGACCGCGCAGCTCGATCACAGGCCTCTAGGCGCAGGATTCGCAAGGGAGGCATAGTATCAAGCTCAGAGCTTGAAGCTATAAATCGAAATACTGCGAATATTAATGAGCAGGCTGAAATAAAGAGGTGGAGGACTAAGTATAAGCGTTGCCTACCAGAGCTGCTGGATGTATGCATTCGACGAGGAATTATTATACGAAGGCAACGACATGCTAGGGCCCAAGCTGAAGAGTAGAGCTTTAGTTTAAATATATTTTGAAGTTAAATACTATAGAATTCGTTGAGATATTGAAGCTAGAAGGGGGTCTAAAATTGGTGCTCGGGTGGCTGGGGTGCTCGGGTGGTTGTCAGGGTCGCGCAATACGCGCGACCCCGAAGGTTACCGTAGGGGTCGGTTAGTCAATATTCCCCACATGTATCTATATAGAGAACATAGATGGTAGTGAAAGAACTTACTTCCTTTGGGATGTTCCAATTCTTACGACCTAATAATGCTTTTGGTTACTTTATATATTTCACAGATGATACATGCCACTTAATTATACACGTACCATTGTAAACGGAGTCCACCAGGCTCACATATATCCGAGTGATCCTGGGCCGTTTTTGATCTGTACCCGGCACTTGGAAGTAGCCCGGTATCCAGATTATCTCATCATACGGTCCTGTTACAGAGAACAAGAAGCCATGAGAAATAATGGAACAGACATGAGGATGAACAGCCGGCCAGAACTCACCAACTGGAGTTTCAGAGTACCGAACAATCATGACACTCCCAGGGCCACCTGTATACTCTCCTGAGACTTCACGGTTGACAAAGTCCGAACTGGCTTCAACATCTCCATAAGAACCGGGTGGAAGGTCCTTTGTCCAGTTCGCAAAAGAGAGGCAGGTGAACACATCCGCTGTTGCGTGCCATGGAGATGGCCTCTCAAGGAACGGCGGGAAGTCCGAAGACTGCTTCGCATCCATGGTGTCGATGTTGTTATTGTCAGTGGAGATGAGCTGGATCTAACCAGTATGTACCACAGTCATGGTTTGAAATATCACAGCCATAGTTTTGAAGCAAACCCCGCCCCATGAATAACGAATGCATCCAGAGTACGGAGGATGCTGTCACAATGCAACCAGCCGAGGAAGTAGATGTGGGTGCCTGAGGGGAGTTTATGACTGAGGCAGAAATGATGACAAATCACAGTGACGTCCATATCTCTGTATTATGTCAGCGGCTGTCGGAGTTCAAACTTCCGATGCCCCCAAACGGGAAGTGCTCGAGTCCCATTAACGTTATTGTTGCCCCCCTATCAAGGGCATTGCGTGCTATAAAGACAGCATCATGTTTCAGGATCTGTTGGCAAATGGTAGACTTGATATGTCCTTACAGGCATTGCCTGGATAATTGTCAATAAACACCAGTTCTGGGAATGACTATGAAATCCTCCAGACCCGGCATTTGGGCGCAGATCCCCAAGCCCTTCTTCAAGGCTATTATTCCACCTTTCGTGCTCCTGCAGGTTATCTTTCTTGCAAACCTCAGCTACCTTTATGGCACTCAGTATCGGAGCGCACATCGGTATGACAGTTTTCATGTGCTGTATGTGGACTACGATGGAGGCGTCGTGGGCCAGTCGTTGCTGGGAGCCTACAACATCCTGAAAGGAAACGACTTCCCCACACTCATTGAGCACCCTGTCAGCGATTATCCAACACCTCACGATGTCCGTCAGGCGGTTTGCAAGGGCCACTTCTGGGCCGCGGCTTACACCTCCCCCAATGCTTCTTCCCGACTGGAAGCTGCACTCAGTGACGAAAAGACCGCTCTCTCATACAATAACAGTGATGCAATGGGATATGTCTGGAATGGGGCTAGGTATTCTGCATTTTCAATGGGTGCAATTTACTCCAGTCTCCAGAGTCTCATCCAGGTCACTCGTGTTGTGTACAATGAACTCAACGGCACGTCCGCTGCCGGCTGGATCGACTCGTCGAAACCCGCAATTGTTCGGGCGCTTTTGAACCCCATTTCCGCCACGGAAATCAACATAAAACCTACCACTCAAGGTGCACGGGTCTTATACAATACTGTGTCAATGGTAATGCCAATACTTCCGCAATTCTTTTATATGATGGCGCTCAATGGCATATCGACTGGTTTTCAGCTCTTTACCAAATTGAAACCGCAGACAATTGGACAAATGCGCATTGGGATCTCTCTCCTATACACCTTTATTGCGGCATTATGCATGTCTGGATATATCTGGGCTTTCCAGGAAGATTGGAATCTCAGTGGAGCGCAGTTTGTGCTGACATGGGTCACCAATTGGTTACTTATGCATATCAATTTTCTCATCATGGAGGTTGCGACGGCCTTCATACCATTGCCTTTTCTTCCTTTCTTCGTCCTCACGTGGATTATACTGAATGTATCCAGCACCATCGCGCCATTTGAGCTTAGTCCTGGTTTTTACCGATGGGGCTATTCATTACCTGCTCATGAGGCATATCAGGTTCTGGTACAAATTTGGACAGGCGGTTGTGATAACCAGTTGTATCGCGCATTGCCTATTCTTTTCTCCTGGTGGGTGGCCTCACTTGCCGCGGCTATCTTTGCGGTGCATCACCGATGTGCAAGTGCTGTCAAAGAAGAACGCGCTGCTGGCGTAAGCAATTCTACACGAGAGGAAGCTAGTACTCATGACACCCTATGTGTATCATCCTCCAATGCACTCGACGAGCCTAAGGCACCTGCAACTGAATGACACTCCGCCCGCTGAGCTCTTTCAACATGCGGACTCCGAAACCCATGTTCCCGGCCCGTGATATTGCCGTCCATTTGTCCCCAGCATTACTCTGGCATTTCGGGGTTCCACTTTTCATATAGCGAACTCTTTCTTATTTTTGTGTCAAAAGCTGTGGAATCCGTTCGATATCTGCTGGTATCATATGGTTTTTATGCATTAGCGGGCTTTTATTTTCAATCTCCTGTCTTGTAACATAGACAAAATATACACTATATATATGGAAGAGTATGCTTGATAGATAGGAGACTTGTCATGTCCTAGTAACTAGGTCTGTCGGCTTGCTGTCCATGCTTACCACCAATGACAGCATTTCCTTTTTTAACCTTCGTGGACTACTCCGTATACCCGTGCCTAATTTGTCGGGGTGAGTTTGAGTTTCTCTTTCAAGTCTTTGATCCCCGTTTGCAGAATATGCTGCGAGGTGAGCAGCAGGTAAAAAATAGCCTCAATAAAATGCACCCAGCTCTGGGGCAGTTTGACCATCCAGTCCAGCCAAGACCAGCATGAGAGCAGGTGGAAGGCGCCTCATTCTTGGCCAGTGTTGCTTTTCCTCCAACAGACTGGCATGGGAGAAGTTCTTATATTGCTCACTTTGGCTACGCCAGGAAATTCACTCAAAGAGAAAGACTGGTAGCGACAACTGCAATAGAGATCCTTCATGGTAACTGGGTAAAGCAGGGGAATGTATCTCATCTAGCGTGTCATATGCGTAGTATAACAGGGGGCATACAGGATTGACACCAGGCTTAAGCACCTTCAGCACCATTTGTACTCCCAATATTTACTACTGGAAGGAGGAATTACTTCTCTGGCTTAGCATGCGCCTCAGCTGCAGCCGGAGCCGGAGGAAGATGCAGTCCTTCCAGTCATTGAAACCATCCACAACTTATCTAGATATGAAAGGATGTAGATAAGAATGCATTATGCTTGTCATTATCATATTTAGAAGTTCTAATCACAAAATTATGAACGCCATTATAACCGGGATATCGCTAGGAAGAACATACATGCATCCCCAATTATGATAATACAAAGTCACAAACCTGTGTAAAGCCCACCAATCTATAGCACACTTGGTCCTTTGTAGATTTACAAAGGCCTTTAGAAAAAGAAAACGTTGCCTTGCGCATCTCGCCGTGAGGTGCTCATCTTCTCCTCAAACTCCTTTCCTGGCTCATACTCCTGCCACAGACTGGCAGGGAAAATATGCTTGTTCTTCTCATACCAACGTCTATCAACTACCTTTGTCATTGTGGGATCCTTGTCCGCACCCTCGAGGTTGTCATCTGACGGGCGAGACAAAAGAGTCCCTTCAGGAGTTGCAGAAGGCGGCTTGTCGGAGTAGTCAAACAGCAACCCACCAGCTCGTGTAAAATTAGGGACTCTGTTGACTATGAAGTAATAGAACTCATAATGCTGCGGAATATATGTTAGTATGGACCGGCCGATGTCTCCCATGTAAGAGAGGTGGTACACGTACAGGAGGAATAATTACATCGCCCTTGACAAGCATCAGGTCATCAACACTGACTCTAGCCCATTCTCGACGATTGTCTCTTCGACCCCTGGTAGCTCCACTCGCACCTCCGACGCCTAATTCGGCTCCTACCTTCCGGCATTTGTCAAGGAAAAGCCAGACCGGGTCACCTTTCTTGACTTTGACCATTCCAGCAGGTATGTTGGTACCGTCGTAGAAAATAAATGGGATCAATATCTCTGTATTCTTGATCGCTTCTTGCATTGCCAGAAACTCTTTGCGAAGAGCATCCCGTGCCTTCGCCTCCGCTTCCAGCGCAGCTTTCGTCATTGCTTTGGGAGGAGGAGGAGCGTTGGGGTTTGGAGTAATCCGTCTTGACGAAGCTCCGGAGCTGTCTTCTACTGGTGTCTTCGAGGTAGAGCGTGCGATACTTGAATCGCGCGGAGTCGCAGCGGAGCCATCATCGCCCGTCTCGTCATTTTCATCATCACCATCAACGAAAGACAGCTTACTCTTCACGAGTGCCTTCTTCTTCTTCTTCTTCGGAGGACCCTCACTTTGCGGCGTCGACGTCCTTTTGTTTTCGTTGTCTTGCTATCAGTGCCAGGTTCGGGATATTGAAAATGCAAGTTGACTGTGTATGCTTTGACTCACCCGTCAGTCACATCACTCGATGGGGTTGCACTTCTCGAGTTACCAGATGCAGATGCTAATCTCCCAAGCGACTTGTCATGTGCTTCGCGTTCTTTCTGCTCCAGGACCTCTGCGCGACGTTTGCGAAAATCGGACAGGTTAACCAGACCGACTGTCTGCGACTTGAGTAGGTCCTCAGCAGACACAGTCTGGTTCGTAAATGACCGAGGGGTCGAGGTACGGCTCTGAGGTTCCGAAGGAGCCATCCTGTACGTGTGAAAATGCCGGTGCGCCCAGCGCCAGAGGAATGCGTCGAGTTTGAGGCGAGAGCTGCGCTGCGTCTGATGGAAATCTCGCAGTTGACGTATTTGCACGGCCGGCTAATGCAAACGCGTCAAACACGGGTATGTATCTTGTTCTTTATCCGCGAAGAGCTTCAAGATATCAAAGTCGCGCGTGCGACAACATTTTCCTATATTCAATTACTTCGATCCGAAACCATGGATGAAGAGGACGATTATTTTTACGATCCCGCTGATGCGGTTCCCATCGCTCAAACCCCCAATGATACCCAAAAGCCTCCGGCAAACGCACAGTCTCACGAGACGAACGAGGAAGAGGAGGAGGTCGAGATTGAAGATGATGATGTTGGTTTCGCCGAAAAGTCCTCCTAATTTTTCGGAGTTACTAATAACATGTATAGGATGACTTTAATATCATCACGGAGGCCCCTCCCGAGTCCATATCTCCAGAAGCGTAAGTCTGCTCTCTACGATCTACCCGGTTGACAGGCCTAACATCTTTGGAAGCCAACATCCTCGCCATGCGTCATTACGAAGTGAAATACAGCGACCCAAGTCTACGGACACGATTGTATCGAAGTCAGTCACGCCTTCTGCAACGCCGAGAGCCGATACATCCCCAACACCCGTTACCGTTCCCGCAAGTGTAAAGCCAACCGTGCCACAAAAGCCTGGTTCTGCGTACCCTGCTGTTCATGCATCGACAATTGATGTGAATGAAAACGCTGTTCATCCAGCGACAGGCAAGCCAATCCTGTCTACTGACATGGACACCGATTTCCCCACAGACGATAAGCCATGGAGGCGGCCAGGGTCAGACATTACTGACTACTTCAACTACGGATTTGATGAATTCACATGGGCCAGCTACTGTCTCAAGCAGCAGGAACTGCGGAAGGAGGTTGGAGACCAGAAGAAACAACTGGAAGAAATGCAGGCTTTCCTATCGATGGGCCTTCCGCCGATACCAGGTGCGCCGCAACCAGGTGCTGGACCGCCTCCAGGCAGCGCTCCACCAGGAATGCCTGGTATACCGGGCATGCCAGGCATGCCAGAGATGTCTCCTGAGATAATGCAAGGGATGCTGGCGGGAATGATGGCACAAGGGTTAGATCCTTCTTCCATGGATCCCATGTCCTTCATGCAACATGCGCAGGCCGTGATGGGTGGCCAATCCGGCGCGAGCGGCGGACAGCAAGGCCAACCGGGCTTTGGAGGTCAACCACAGGGACAGGGACAGGGATTTGGGGGACAGGGTGGTGGTCAGCCCCAGATGGGATTCGGGGGGTTTGACCAGCGTGGAGGATTTGGAGCTGGGCGAGGGAGGGGTGGTAGGAGATGGTAGAAGCGATCACGCAGCATATGGAGGTTTATGTTGTAATATTTTTAATCACATAGCTAGCGATGACAGCTCGGATACGGCGGTGTTTCTTGAAATAAAAGCTGTTTCTCTTATTCCAGAGTCTTTACCGGAAAAAAGGAGGTCTGTTCAGTGTACTCCGTAGGATGCCGTCTAACACGGATCAACAACGAGCAATCTGTACAGAGCACCAGGCAAGGAATATAGCATATCGTGACGGGATCTGGACAGATTTGGAACCATTAAAGAAAAAACGAAACCACTCGCCAAAGGAAGCAAAGCAGAGCAAAGCAAAGCAAAGTACGCAGCGAAGACCCTCGGCAGAACAAGCAGCGGCATCGAAAGCTGTCGGTCTTGGCATTCTGGAAATTTCTCGCGGACCGACCAAGTCCAGATCGATCTTCTTCCCCCGGATGCCGCCATTTCAACTTATTTCTCCAGCTATTTTCTCTTCCTTCAGCTGTCCTTCTTTCCATAACCGCATCTTCCTCGTTCACGCTGCAGTTTGAATACCTATATAATCAAAATGGTACGTCACTGTTCATGTCCATGTTCATCTTGTCGGATTCTATTTCCAGAGCTTCCAGCTCGTTCTACCCGAAGCTCCTTCAGCTGCACATCACCGTCCTACTATTCATACAAAAAGCCATTATGGACAAGAAGAACAAAAAAGATATACTTACAGTCGAATTAGTCTCTCCGCAACATCAAGAACCTCGTCCCCCTCCTCGACCGCGTCCTGGTCCAGCGCCTCAAGCCCGAGGCCAAGACCGCCTCCGGCATCTTCCTCCCTGAGAGCAGCGTCAAGGACCAGAACGAGGCTAAGGTTCTTGCTGTCGGCCCCGGTGGTTTGGATAAGAATGGGAACCGCATCCCCATGAGCGTCGCTCCTGGTGACAAGGTTCTGATTCCTCAGGTGTGTTTTTTTGTCCCTTCCTTTCTTTTTTTGTTTTCTCTTCTTTCCCCTTTGTATTGTGGGCGGATCAGCTGGCTAATATTGCTTATTTACTTTCTGGATATAGTTCGGTGGCAGCTCCCTGAAGGTCGGTGAAGAGGAGTTCACCCTCTTCCGAGATGCTGAGTATGTTATTTTCTTCCTTTCCTTTTTGTCCCTGCTGGATACGATGCTGATGGTTCTCTTTTAACATAGGCTTCTTGCTAAGATCCGCGAGTAAACGAAAATCTCAATAACAAAAAATCATTAATTCTACTTCATTTGAGTCATCGCGATTTGTTTTTCTAGCTTTGGTTTTTCTGGTCAAAAAAGGGCCGGGTTGTATTATATTATCTACGAGGAGCAAGCATACTATTCAAGAGACAAAGATAATGCCAAAACAATAATCTCCACTCTCAAGGATTACATCTTGTGTGACCTTTGTTTTTATTTACTATATATGAGAGGAATTGTTGGAATCAAATGTATATTGAATTTCTGGCAGATTATAGCAATACTACTTGATGGATAACTATACCCCTTGTTTCCATGAAACCGGATAGCAAACCCAGCTGCAAACGCATGGATTTTGCGAGTTTGTCCGGAAATGAGAATTCGATGACGGACTCAGATCCTGTATACACGACTTGCGTCCCTTCTTCGAGCTTGTCTCCTCTTTATTATCGCTGATTCGTTTTTTCGATTGCATAGTCTGTGGCTGTTGGGTAGATATCTTTCCATCACAGTGCTTACAATGGATATCTCGGATGGATCCTGCTTTTGAGCGACTTGGTCGGCCAGATATGTTTGTTTCTTCACGGGGTATCCCGCTAGAGGATGCTTTATGAATATTCCTCTAACCAACATTTGTAGTTTCTATGGCCTTTCGAGCTGAATCGTCTGGAGATATCCTGATAAAAGAAGGGCCTTCGGTCGGATGTTCTGATTGAGACCTCCGAGTACAGATTTGACCCTTGTATTCGTTCTCTGAGGATGGAGATGTCAAATCCAATTGTTCCACGGCGAGGGTACTCCAGCAATCCCACGAGGATTGATATTGGAACGAAGGCTTCCAGAATATACCACTACCTCCAGGTCTATCTTGGGGGTTATTGTGACCGTAATGCGGCGTCTGGCGGGTGGGAGATAGTCCTGGTCCTGCCTTGGAGATAATAATATCAGATGAGGTCGGACTGGGCAGCATGCGTATCTTATTCAAAGGTGGGGTTTCGTGGGTGTCATTGAATTGCATAGGTCGAAGCAGGACGTCTTTTCTTGTCTAGAAAATAATAGCCATGGCATTTAGCATATGACTAACTACTACTGATATCGACGATTTTCAATATTACTCACTCACCCGGTGATATTCATGGTCCAGAATAGACTCGAAAAGCTTCTCCAAACCCCCAGGCCCTGGATTCATGTACCGTCTGATACTCTGTATCCAGCGCAGCGAGTCCATAGGGCAGTCCAGCTTCTCAGCCTGGATCTCCTTGGCAAGATCATTCGCTTCTCGAAATGTATTATCTAGGAACTCCAATTCGTCGCCTTTGGTGAGGGTATTAGGTGATTCTTCATTGATATCAAACAGGACATGGTGTTTATATCTATTCTTGAGAGATGCCTCATCATCTTCCATCCAAAGGGGAAGCTCAAGCTCCAGTTTACCAGGGAGATCCCTTTCACGAGATCCTCGCAGTAGAGAGTCCCAGTCAATGGATATCATGCTCGTTTTCGTATTCCTGATGACAGTAGTGAGGAAGTAGGCGTCATCTTTGCTGACATTGAGCTTTTCTTTTCGGAGGGTTTCTTCAACCTCTGCATGGGTTGAAGATAGGTAGATGTCGAATTCTGATGGTTCATCTGTGCTATTTGATATAGTAGTAGTATTCTTGTTGCTGTTGCTCTTGCTGACCTTGCATGTCTGGTCGATGTATTGGAGTGGGCTTGTTGCGGTGATGTCTGCTGCGATTCCGTAGAAACGGGCATATTCTAGTAGAGATGGTTCTTGGGATTGGTTTTCCATTGGTATATGTGCCCTATGTGCCTTTTGAGGAGAGATACAATGTTTCGAGTATATTTGAAAAAAAAAAAAAAGAGTCGTGGGCATTTAAGATAGCGTCTAGCTAGAGAAGAAAAGAAAATAACCAGCACGTGCTCTACAGACAGCCATAATGAGGACATATGGTTAATTGAACAAGACTTTTAGATGAACCAATTGAATATTCTGTATTAATTCGTTCCATTCATTAAACTAAAAATGTACGCTTCTTTTCAGTAAAACAGGGTCGTTCCCAGCACGACATTAATCGTTATAGTTCGACTGACGGGCCCCGTTCTTGTCGACGAGCGGAAGATTGTAACGGACGGCAAGCTCCTCCTCCTGGGATTTGCCTGCAGGATCCAAATAAGGACGTTCCGCTTGGCTTGCAACGCGAACCGCATGGCGGCGGTGGGGAGCAAAACCGTACGAAGCCGAGTGATTCTAGTCCTCATGTTAGCATGACGTCTATCACGGATTCAAGCATATGGAATTGGCTTACAGTCGAACGGTTGTCCCAGAAAGCCACATCGTTCTTGCCCCATTGGAATCGTGCGTGCATCTCAGGTGTCGTGGTGACGACCTCAGTGAGGTATTTGATGATGGCATCGCTTTCTATCTTTGGGACCCCGACGATCTTGGTCACGAAACCCGGGTTGAAGAAGAGACTGTTCCAGCCAGTCACTGGATTTGTTCGGATCAGAGGATGTTCTGTTGTAACCGGCTCACGACGGACTGGTCGACCTATGGCCCGGGAGTCGGCCGCCTGCATTTCAGCTGAGTGCAGGGCGGTTAGGCCTTTGAGGTATGTCTGCATGTGAGAAGAGAGAGCGTCGTAAGCAGCATACTGGGACGACCAGAGTGTATCGCCGCCGCCGCCACGGCCAGGTCCGGTGAGAACTTTCAAAGAGGTGTACGATGGCGGCTGGACTTCATACGTCACCTAGAACAGCAGTTAGTGGATGGGAGCCTCAGGCGGAAGTTGATATGATATTGGACAGCTGCCATACATCAGAGTGCCATAGAAAGCTGGGCGTGAACAGTGCTCTCTGATCTTGCGAATTGTCCGCCGTATACACGACGTGCACGTCAGTCAGATCTTTCCTTCGTGGAACAGCAGTTGTGGCATGCTATGATTGAGTTAGCGCAAGTAGAGTAAACTAGATAATACAATACTGCAACCCACCTTGTGTAGCTGCCCATAGTACCCCCCCAACTCTCGTTGCGCATCGATATCAAAATCATCCTGCTGACGGAAGAAGACAACACCACGGATGGCAATCAAGAGCGCCAGATCATCCTTCTGGGCATCCGTGAGCTTGGCCAGATTAACGCCATGAACCTCTGTCCCAATTTTGGGAGTGTAATCGAAAACGGCAGTTGCATCACGAAGCAAGTTGCGGAATTTGGGGTCTCCACGAAGCCCCTTGTCCTTGTATGGGATGTGCCCTAGGGGTTCCCAGTGCAAGTCTGGGAAGGACGGCAGCATATCTTCATACGCATAGTTCTCATGGCGTTCGACGAGGGTGCGGCCTGGCTCATATCCGAACTTATTGTCCTCAACAGGCTGCTTTCCTGCAATGGGATTCGCCTTGGAAACGGGTATGTCTTCCACAGATGGAGGAGCAATTGGGTCCACCAAGGAGGGGGCCATTTTGCGCAAAGATTGCTATGCTATGCTATGCTTAGATGGGAGCGATGCAACAGAGGTCAGAACAAAGAGGTCTGCAGGAGTACATACTACAGCATCGAGGCTCGACGGAGCCGACATAGATATAGAACCCGCAGAAGCACAGAGATGATTAACCGTTGCCCCCGAGCAATTGCGCCATGGCCGGCGAGAATCACCAAAGAGCCCCAAAGCACCGTGAAAAGGGGCGAGTGGAGCTGCAGATGATAGATATCTCTGCCACGGCGACAGCACGCAATCGGCTGTGACGTTGAAGGCGAGTCGGGATGAGCGGGAGATCGCCGAGGGTCCTGACCGCTTGTTTTCTTCATTACTCTGATCAAGAACTACTACGTTGAAGTTGGTGGTAATAGTAGTAGTAGTAATACTGAGGCCGAAATAAAGTGATATCGCAGATGATGCAATGCCTGCAGGAGGTTGCGCTATGATCGATTATTACTCATCTGTAGATCCCGAGATACATTCACAAACTCCCAACGTCCTATCTATCGTACAAGAAGCAAGGGGAATCTTTCAACACAGGCAGTCATCATCATCATTACACGTTGAGTCGGCTAGCCCCCAGCGACGGTGGTCCAAACATCACCTCCTGCGACTGGTCCTTCACCCCTGCCAGCCTATTCGCAACGCCCAGGATACCAATCTCCACGTCTCGGAGCGCTCCGACTAGTTCCCCAAACGCCGATCGGGGAGCGCCCGTACTGCCTGCTGCCCCGTCCGTGCTCTTCGCAAAAAACTCGTAGATCTGCTGGCTCAGCGTGTGTTCTACGGCTGAGAGGTGCCCTTCGATCTCCTTGAGGTTCCGTTGATACCGCTCTAGAACTGAGCCCATCTCATCGGATCGCTGGGAGAAGTACTCAACAAGGTTGACGGGCACTCCGTTAATCGACTCGGCCGTCGTCGGGTCACTTTCCACATCGTCCGGGAGCGCCAGCGTGTTCTTCCGCGTCGACCGTGCGTACGGCCGATCGGCCAGGGTCTGATCTGCAGTCTGGTACTGCAACGGCAGCTTCAAGGTGTCGATAGCTCGGAATGCAACTTGCGCCTCCGCTGCATCGCGGGCAACCAGATCACGCACCTGATCAATATCGGCTGCGTCATTTTCAAGTGCACGTTGCATAGTCTCTAGCTTGCCCTGGACAAACTCAACATCGTTGGGGATGCTGGCACCTTGGCTGTCAATCGTGGGCAGTATGTCCGCCAACTCGTTGCACATTTTAATCTGGTTCAGGATGAAGGTATCCACAGCTTCGATGTCTCTCTTGACCTCATCTACGCAGCTCTCGTATTTCGTCGTTGGCAGGAGATCTCTCGTATCAACTTTGACGCCGGGAATCACAGTCTGGCCTGCCGTAGTCTGCTGCTGGGCCGGCTTAGTTCCGGTTTGCTTATCTCCGAATACCGAAAGTGAAGGTTTCTGGGCCTGTTGCTGCTGCTGTTGCGATGCACCTTGATTTCTACTGTAAAGCACTCAAATGTTAGCATAGACACCCACAAAAAGCAAAGGATCGTGGAAAAGGCTTACAAGAGTCCTCCACCGGCTGTCGTCGAGGTGCCAAAGAGTGGCTTAGACTGCGTCTGGGTTGAAGTGCCAGATAGGCCCGAGAAAAGACCACCGCCAGTCCCGCCCTGTGTAGTTTTGTTCCCCCCACCGAGTCCTGAAAATAGACCCGATGACTGCGGCTGCGAAGCAGCTGTCGTCGAGCTTCCAAATAGACCACCGCCGCCACTTGTCGCGGTATTTTGCTGCTGTCCACCTAGAGACCCGAACATACTTGTACCAGAAGACTGCGTAGTAGCGCCCGCATTTCCAAATAACCCGCCAGATGGCTTAGACTGTGTGTTTGATCCGAGATTGGAGAAAAGACCTCCCGTGCTTCCAGAAGTGTTCGCCGTCGCGGGTGTGGATAGAGAGGGCGAGGCTTGTGTATTCGAGTTGCCACTGTCCGATGCCATAGCTTCTTAGCAAATATGCGAAAATAAAAAACCAAGGTAAGTGTATTCAGCGCAGCTTCAGATGAACCCAGAATGCCTGTCTCCTTTGGGGGCATGCAGCAGGTAGAAAGAAATAGTGAGAGCCAAGTGAAAAGAGGGATCGAGAGATCTGTCCATATCAAGTAAAGCTTGCAAATAGCAAACAGATCAGAAGGAAAACAAACTCACAATAAAGAACCACCGAAGAGACCGCCAGTCGAGGGCCCAGAGGTTTTTGCGGAGAACATAGTGAATGTCAGCCAGACAACTCCGGTGTGGACAGGGGATATCCTGGCAAAAAGGGCACCGCTGCGTTTAGATATCCCAATCTATAGCCTTGAGGCCAATTGACGCCGAGCGATATGTATCCGACAGGATATCAGGAACGGTGTCTGAGAAGCTATTGGGATAATAGTGATACTGCAGCGTAGACATGATGCCGAAAACAAAGAAACCCAAAAACAGCCGCGGTGATGACTAAGCGGTATTTCGCAGATGCTTCTGCAACATCCAAGACAACTTAAGATTTCTCACACCTCGGGTTCAGCTGCCGGTGTGTCTTTCTTTTTTTTAATTTTGAAATTTCACTGTTGGAAATACTTGTTCCGCATGCTCTGAAAGGCTTGGATAGGCAATTGATGCTCTGCATGGACTGTGATCTGCTCCAGGTGTCCACCAGCTCTATTGGATGTGATGGAACATATGTGAAGGGCATGCTACAGAGTGAGATTACACGGATGATTCCTTTGTATTCATCCCGGGTTAAGGTCCTCTCCGTTATATTATTTGTTCTTTTCAAGTCACTAGGATCAAATTCTACTTCAGAGTGAATCAAAGCCAATGAATGCCTTTCTGTCACTGGGATTTACTGGACATTCGGTGATATATGAGTGCTGTTCCTATCTCTTCTAATATCTCTTATTCTACTCTGAGCGTGCACTGTATTACAATCGACAGTGTTTTACATTGAAATCCTTGTTGAATCCGAGCAACCCAGCATGGCCGGGGATCAGACTCCAGACATTAAGCCGATATGCGTGGCTTCAACTCAAGCTTCTGATGAATCGAACTCGGCGGAGTTTCACCCGGTGACAGCAGTTGATCAGATCCAACCACAGGGAGAACATGATCCTGTGCAACACGAGCGAAGCCTATCCGAGCTCAACTACTTCAAAAGCATAGAGTGGTAAGCCAGACATCGCCCTTCCGCTGCATGCAGAACAGCTAACTGTGTCTACAGGTCACCAGATGGCACCACGCTCTTGACCGACTCTGCAGATCATCATATCAGGACGTTCATCTTGTGAGTATGCATACCCTCGTCTTTGAATAGTCTTGGGTTCTGATATAAGAAGACCTCCGGATCTCCTAGAGGAGAGGACACAGCCTCTTCGACTGTCACCTTACTCTACCCTTCCGTCTGCAGAGCCAACTTACGCTGCTGCCATCTATCCATATTATTCCCTTCAAGATCCGTCGACCACACTATTCCTGTCTTCTGTTAGAGACCACCCTATCAGACTTGCATCTGCTCTCGCACCTACCTGCATGGCTACTTACTCGTTGGTAAACCCTGCCACAGAGGCATTCATCACACCTCATTCAATCATCTTCCCACATGCGTTAGGTGGGACACATTTCCTTACAGGGTCAGACAGTCTTATCTGCCTTTTCGACGTCTCCCGCCCAGGGACTGATGGCCCGGTCTCATGGATGCCTACAATACCAAGTAAGCGTAAGCAGATTGTCGGCGGAGGTGTTGGTATGAAAGGTATCGTCTCTGCAATGGCCATAAACCCGGCAGGAGATGGAATCCTAGCCGCTGGGACTTTCACAAGACAGATAGGCCTTTACGGATCCAACGGATCTGGAGAGATGCTTGGAACCTTTAGCATCGCAAAAACAGAGGCTGACCGGGACATCGGTGGTCGAGGAGTTACTCAACTTCTCTGGAGCCCTTGCGGAAGATACCTATATATTGCCGAGCGTAAAAGCGACGGTGTATTGGTATATGATATCAGGGTCACCGGACAGCTGTTAGGATGGCTTCGAGGACGCAAGGCTCTCACGAATCAACGCATGAAGGTCGATTTGACGTCTTCCACTGAAGGTGATTCTCACGAAATCTGGGCTGGAGGCGCCGATGGCTTCATGAGAGTCTGGAGGAATCCCATGTATTCTACAGGACCGCAAGATCCAGCCTGGGAGTGGCAGGTGCATGATGGTGAGATTGAGTCCTTCTGATCTAGTTGGAAGCTCTGGTACTAACATCATCAAGACTCTGTGACAGGCACTGTCCTTCATCCAACCGGGACTGTAGCGGCGACTTGTTCAGGCCAACGGCATTATCCAGAATATGGGTCTGCTGACGAGCAGTCCTTCACACGAAAGATTGACAATAGCCTAAAGGTCTGGTATATATCGTGTTTGAGCGTTACTTGTGCGGATTAAGCGTCGCGGATGCTACACTATCGACCATGTCGTCTTTTCCTGGTCTCGAATCTCGACGCTTAGGCTATCAAGGATCAATGGCGGACGTTCCAAATGGTAGGAAGAGAAGATAAGGTAGCTTGCTATTCTGAGTGGATTGTCCTATTCAGTCCTGCTTGCAAATGGAGGTTTTAGCGGAAACTGTCTGAGCGAGGTACCAGAGTGGGATATGAGAGCGCACATGCTGATAAAAAGGTCTGCCTTAACCTTAACGGAGATGTCCTTTGCTACAGGAGCTGGCATACGCCCCTACATTGCTGAACGAGTGGAGATGTAGGACGCGAAGTTCTACGTTTCGTTGCTTCTGGGAACTTTGGCTGGACGTGGGGAGGGTCTGGTGTGGTTGCTTGACAGATATTTGCTCAGGTGCCTGACATCGCCCTTGCAACTGGAACTTCCCATGGCGATGAATGTTCGCTCCATTCACTTTCAACTCCCAGCCATCCTTTTCGAGTATCCCACAAACGAAAAAAAAGAAAAGAAAAAAAAAATGTCTCCCTCCAGTCTTTTGTCCCAAGTCTGTCTCGAGTCTTCTCTCTTCGTCTTCTTTTCCTCACCCTCTGCGGTATCACTACCAAAGACATTCAGCTCTACGCTTAATTTTCGATAATATCTGTCTTTGCTAGTTGATAGCATTCCTCGTGTCTTCTGTTCCTTATTCTATTCTTCTATTCGCTCTTTTACTCGATATTGTTTGGCTTTCCCATTGTGTCGAGATCGATGAATATCTGAAGCGTCTTGAAAAGTCTCCATACTTCATCTACACGATGTCTTTCTTTGACGATAGCTTCTATGACATGCAACAGTCCTCCGAGACTGGCTGCTTTCCTGGAGTTACCGATCAGGAGTCCAAGTCTCTATTGTCAGTGGACGTGTAAGTGGCCGATGACAAGTACTTCGTCGTGCTTTTGCTAATTGATCCAACCAGGAACTGGGCTAGTATTCCTGGTTCGACTGGGGCTAACGAGGACAATCTGGAGACTCCTCGTCAGGAGAATTTTCCCCAGTCGCTCCTGTCCCGGCAGTTGAGCCCTGTTGTTATGCAATCCACTCTCTTGTCTGGTGAACGGCCCAGAACTCCCAGCCAGCACAGTAGTCAGACAGGGTAAGTCATACATTCCAAAGAACATGATATCCTAAACTGCTTCTAACCAACTTCTCTAGGTCTGAGGAGGTCTCTATCAGCCCCTCAGATCTGACTGCTGACCCCGACTTGAGCTTTGAGTCTCAGTTAATTTCTGGGCCCTTTGTCACTGAGAGCAAGAGTGGCAGCTCCAGTAGCAGTTCTAGCTCCGAATTGAGCGACTATTTTCATCATGCTCAGGAATATCGCAACCCTAATCTGGCCTACAAAAAATCTCTTCATAAGAGCTCTAAGTGCACTGATCCCGTTAAGCAAGAAAAATATGTCTTTAATTTCGAGGAGGGTGCTCAGAGCAGTAATAAATTTGCAGCTCCCGTCCCTGGACTCCCTGAGAGCCCTGAAGAGAAGCCACTGACTCTCACGACCACTCCTGATGCTTTGTTCCCATCCATCGAGGCCCTAATGGATCCAATTAAGCATGGAGTCGACATGGGCACTCTTTTCTCATCCCTCGAGGAGGCATCTGCTGCCGCTATCAAGACTAACAATGTTCCGCCAGACCCCACCCTTCCCTGTACATTGCAGCAAAAGAAAGCGATTGTGAAGGCTCTTTTCAATGCTATTAACAGTATCGATCATGCCGAGGATAACCCGGGAATGATCAGACCATTCGCAGAAAAAAAATACGAACCGGTTAGAATTGAGAATGCCTGCTGGCAAATTTTGGTACGTCTTCCCTCTGAACACCACGTTTTCAGATGCTATGCTGATTACTGCTCTGTCCCCAGGAGGCCTGCATGTCTCGTCAGACAACTGGTCCTCTGTTAAAGCTTTGCAACGCCAAGGCCAAGCAGACTGGCGAAACGATGAATTTCGCGGACAGACTCGCCATAATCTTAGAATGCCTTATAGTAAGTTTTGATTATATACGTAGCATTCCGTGCAAGATACTAATCTAAGCAAATTCTACAGACACAAAAGACAATCTGCAAGCATCTGCTTGACCCAATCTATCTATACAATTTTGTCGACGACCCAGCCGGAGCTCGCAAGGTATACCCAACCACCCTCCGCTCTCTCTCTTTTTTCTCTCTCTCTTTTTTCTCTCTCTCTAGTAATGGTTGCTGTGAACTGACCCATACATCTCTTAGCGTGTCATTGCCAACAAAACGCTGAACAAGCGCAAGGGCGAGGTGATGAACGCTGGCAAACAAGTTCTTGCCGGTGGTGTCAAAAACAGGAATACTACAGTCGAAAGCGAACAGCTTGAGGATCCATTCAGCAATAGTGCTCCGCCATCCGGTGCTCCAGGAAGCAGAAATAACCGTGATGCTGATCATAAAGTCACCCCGAGCACCTTTAACCAGCATGCTATGAAGGCATTGCGCCTCGGAAGCAGTCCTTTGCGCTCTCCGCCCAATAAACAGTCGATCCGCTCCCAGTCTCAAGAAGGTACTTTGAGACAGACCTTCTTCAATGCTAGCCACAATCCGGACCACGAGAGCGGCGGTACGAACTCGTACAGCTCGTCTCCCGCGCTCGGATATAATCATATGGCTTTCATGCCTCATCTTCTTGCCAGACAGTATACTAATCGCATGGACAATGGGAACGTCACCGGAACGTCAGCACCAGTTATCCATCACCAGCTGGGTTCTTCTTTTATGGCCCGGTCGCATGTTCGCACGGGTTCCCTCGCTTCTGTAACATCTTCTGCATCGAGATCAACCACCCCTGGTTCTCTTTATGACCCTCGCCTTCAGGGAGGAATGAATATCATGCTTCATCCACAGACCCCGACAAAAAGTCCTAGGGCTGTAGCTTCACGGAGTTCTAATTCTCATCGCAAGCGCTCTAGCGCCGAAGTCGAGTCGATGGAGTATTCCCCTGAGAAGAGACTCCAACATTAGCCTCCGATGAGATAAGGCATTAGCCCTCATTTCCTCACGACGGTTTAATACAGACGACTTGTCTTCAAATGTTATAAATGAACTGGCTTGCAACACAATTTGTTGAAAACGACTCTATGAAACTCTGGCTGTTCTTGTTCTTGTTTTGTTCTGTTGGTTGCGACGAAGAAACGGCAAAATACCCCTGAAACTTTGAATTTTATTTATTTAATTAATCTCCTTCGATTCATCTTTGTGTTATTTTATCTGGGTTTTAACATGGCCCATTTCAGTTTTTCTTTTCCTTCCAAAAAGACGGGGAAGATTCTGTATTCATACAGCTTGCACTGATGGGTATCTATTTTTCCTAGTTTTCATTCTATGAAATGTACGTACAATGAGGAGCCGAATACCAAGCAACAAGCCAAGTCGTCTATGATATCTTCGTCTCCTTTTCCACTTTTAGAAGTAAAAAAAGGACAACGACCTCATGCAACCCGACTACGGAACCTGAATTCCATACTTCCCATAGGGAAAGTCTTCCAAGGTGAGAAGTAACTCAGCCCAACCATCATTAAGCTCACCAGGCTTACCAGCTCCCCGAACACGGCTCTCCTGCAGACTCTCCGCCTCCCTCTCAGGCTCACTTTTCTCCTCCTCCTTATGCTGTCCTGTCAATCCAGCAAGGACCTCCGCTTCGCGCCCCTTGTACGCCTCTAAGAGACCCGGATGCGGGCACCAAACGACTCTCATCCCTGCGCGACGACCAGCCTCGACACCAGCCACGGCATCCTCGAACACCAGACACTCCTCAGGCTTGATCTCGGGCTCCCCCTTCTTCCGCACCTCGACATTGATCGTCTCCAGTGCAAGAAGGTAGATATCAGGCAATGGCTTGCCCCTTCCCGGCCCAATTCGGGGGTCATCGCCCAGCACCCTCCGCGAGTCCGGGAATAGGGAGAAAACGTGCTGCAGGTGCGTGGTCTTGAGCTCGTAGTTCCTGTTATGTGACGAGGTCGCCAGGGCAATATAGACGGGACGGTCCGTCGACTCGGCAGCCCTCAGGTTCTTCAGGAGCGTCTCGACTCCGGGAAGTGGTTGGCATTTCGGGAAGTGCTCCTCCTGCAGGGAGGCTTGTCTGGCCCCTAATTCTTGTCGGTCGAGGGGGATCTGAGACCAGTCGGCGAAGATCTTATAGGCCTGTTTATTTATTACACAGATTTTATTAGCGAGATTGACACTCTTCCCCTTTGCAATATTTCTTTCCCCTTTGCAATTTTTCTCTGCTGAAATAGAGTGCAATACCTCTGGCGCCGGTCGGCCTTGCAATTGAGCCTTCACACTCCACGGGAGCTTTGGTTTTCCGAATTGACGCAGGATCTCATTCGTGATGTTCGTGTATATGTCCTCAGAATCAATCAAGAGGCCATCCATGTCGAAGAGACAGGCCCGTATGCGGGGTAGACTGCGGGGTTGCAATGTTAGAAAGGACTAGTTAACCGTGGTTTTATAAGAAACGTACTTCAGATCAGCCTGGGAGGCCATGATTGAGGTGAAATATGTACAAATATATGCAGAAATGGTGTATATCCAGGAAAACAAGCAATAGGGGAAGAAAAAGAATGTGAAGGTGATAGCTAGTAGTTAACAGGCAGACGGGAAGCCTGCCAATAATCTACCGCGTTTTGCCTAGTCCCATCCCTGATCCCTTCGTTGTTCCCGCAAACTCAGATGGCCATAGCTTGGGACTGCTGAGCAATCTATTTTCTATTATTAACGTTAAATTCTTACACGGATCTCGGAGACGAGAAATCAAAATGGCTAACCCACGCGATGAAAGCGAAAAGCTGAGCGTGAATCACACCGCACCGAATGATAGTGACAGCGAGACCGAGGTCTTCCATGACGCCCGATATCCGGCAGATGAAGAAGCTGTAAGACTTACACATCGCTTGCTTGAGATATAATATGGAAAAAGTGTGCTAACGGATTCAAGCGACTGGTCGAAGAATCCAACACGATAAAAGCAGAAGCCAACAAGCTCTTCACCTCCAAATCCTATGATCAGGCCGTGTCCTACTACGACCGAGCGCTCGCCTCCTGCCCGAACTACCTTGACTACGAAGTTGCTGTTCTGAAATCCAACGTAGCAGCTTGCTATTTGAAACTGGAAGACTGGAAGGCAGCCGTGGATTCTGCAACGACATCTCTCGAGCGTTTGGATAATATAATCCCGCAAGAAGCTTCCGCGTCCGACAACAACAACTCAAAGGGCAAGGCGAAAGACAGTGGTGACGAAAATACGGATGCCGTGGTTGAAATTTCTGGCGATGACGAAGAAGAGGAGCTCGAGAGGCTACAAAAATTGGATGAGAAGAAGAGGAATGTGCTCCGGATCCGGGCGAAAGCTCTCATGAGACGTGCGAAGGCCAAGATGCAGCTTGGAGGATGGGGAAATCTTCAGGGGGCTGAGGAGGACTATAAGGATCTTGAGTCTATGGAGAACTTGCCTCCGGATGATATGCGGATCGTGAAGAAGGCTCTTCGGGAACTCCCGGAGCGAATAAGTAAGGCGCGGGAGAAGGAAATGGCGGAGATGATGGGAAAGTTGAAAGAGGTGAGTCCTTTCTCTCAAGTCATCAGCATCAGGGAAAGGAAACTCACATAGTGTGATTCTGCAGCTCGGGAACGGCATTCTTAAACCCTTCGGTCTCTCCACGGATAACTTCAATTTCGTCAAGGATCCCAAAACGGGCGGCTACAGTATGAATTTTCAGTCATGATCTTTCTTCAGCATAGTATGGTGTCTTTTCATGGGTACTCGGGGAACTCATATATACGGGCTAAATGGTCAAAAGCCACGGCACAGACAGCGAGAGCATAGATTACAGATATATGCCACTATACAGGCTTTTTATACTACCATCAGAGAGATTTTCCCCTCAACAAGAATTGCGGTTTGCTATTTTACTGCCTTTTTCGGCCACAGGTGACGTCAGATATTTGCCAAACGTCAGCAAGAAGGACACTGTATCCATTGTGGTTCTTCCAAACACATTATCTGGGACTGTGTCCTCCGACCTCCCAGATGCCCACAGAAGCAAGACTCAGCCTCACGCATTCAGAACCTGGTAGCAATGATGGATGACGCAGATATGGAACTTGAAGAGCTATCAGGAAACGTGTAGCCTCTCACAAAAATCGCTGTCAGAGCCAGACTGATAAAGAAGTGCTGGATGAGTATAATGCAGTGAAGAAGGAACTAACTACCTCCCCCTTCCTAGTGGATAGTGTATTAACCAGATACACAATGCTATTACCTTGTCTGACACTGGCTGCAATGTACTAGGAGTCATCACCTCCAAATTGTAAGGGTTTGAATATAAAATTCATTTTTCTGCTAGATACACGAAGGATTCCTTGGGAGGAAGAAGAAGGGAGACAACGGCATGCCAGCAACAAATAGAACAAATGAAGCAAAAGAGACAGAACAAATGACACAAATAGGGCAAGCAGAGTTGCTTGGGCGTAGCCCATGGCATTCGGGAGCATGGTTTAGTATGGTTCTTCCTTCCTGCTCTGTTCACCGTCGTTGCTTACGCTAATACCAAGATCTTGCATCTGCCTTCTGCAGTAATCCTTGTCCCCTCCATCTTGACCTACATTCTCCTGCTACGATCGGTTATGGTCAGCTGGAGTCATATCAAATATCTTGCCCTACCAGGAGTACCTGGTAGCCATTCACTTATGTTGACGTCATGCCACCTGGAAAACGGAAGACAGCCAAAGCTGGACTAGAGAGTTCGGATTGTCCATCGAAGAAACCGTTCACTGGCACAATATAAATACGCCCGAAACAACAGTAAGTGAGCCTCCCTCTCTCGTTTCTTGGTCTTCAGCCTTCGTGCTCCGGTGGATGACTCAACTGAGCCATTGATAAGGCAGTTACAGATTCCCATCCTCTATAGTGACGTGGTTGAGAACCAAGAGAATCCCGTGCAGGCGGGGAAGCAAAAAAAAAAAAATGCTCCAGTCGATGGAGCTAATGAGCTACGATGAAGACCAGGACGCCGTTACCAACCAGCAAGGGTTCATTCTCCTGCAGCGGACCAGAGACTGGTACGGAAGCTAGACGAATTCAACTGTCAGCTAGTGGAGCAAGCCGAGCGTGAGGCAGCCCTCTCCAAAGAGATCAAAAAGCTCGAGACAACCCACTCTGAAAAAGATCAAGAAGCTTGAGGCGACCCATCAAAGCTATTTGGACGTGCGACAACGAACCTTTTGCTCATGGACTTATCATCATGTGATACTACAAATCTTGGCGCAGATCATCCAAGCTCATTGTGACTCCACCTTGCCGTTTAGTTAACTTATCCTTAGATGTTAAATAATGAAATCAAATCAAATCCAATCTTGCCGTTTATCCTCTACTTGTCACGGCTGCCCCTGCAATAAATCTACGAAAAACATGCTAAAGAAATTCATATGCTGGACTACGGTCGCACCTTCGGCTCTATTCAACGTCTCTTGCCGACACACAACCTCGTTGCTCCTTCCCTACTGGTCACGAGCTTGTACATCCTGCCTTCCCGAATAGATTCAAAACCTACGGCCATCATTAACCTAGGAGCCTATTGAGAATGGAGTTCCTCAAAAGCCTTTTCCATGCTGCAACTGACTCTAGAAAGCACCCAGCTGTCATGGGTACGTCTTAACAGGTTTTGACACTAATGTGACTTTAGTTCCTGCTTAGTGACAGAGTCCGTTTAGATGTCCGCGAACTCAAACTGTTGAAATCATAGCCGAGATTCCCGATGAGAGCAGGGTCGCATTTATCAAAGGAACTCCCTCATCCGGAAAGACGACGCTCGCATATCTTCTTCATGATCACTTTCGCCGATGTAACATGCCCTCAGTAATGATTCCAAGATGGGGACAAACCAGGAAGCAGTACATCGATGTTCTTGCTAGCTATGCCCATGATGCTGGTTACAACGAAGTCACTCGAGGCAACCTGCATCACTATGATGGTTGGCTCAAGGACTGGTTAATACCTGATTGTCGTACTTCATCTTCTCAACCATATAGTAAGTTTTTGCCACACATTGAACTTCCATTTCTAATTGATGCCTAGATGTTGCGAACACAAAACTTTGGCGAGCTGTGTTTGCAACGGATTTTTCTTCGGTTGAAATCTTGGATTCCTCTAACGAGGTGGTTGTTCCGCGGTTTGCCTTGACAGCCTAATCAATTTTATTTCCTCAGTGAAATGAGATTGTCCACATCGCTCGTCATTAACTCGCTTGATATGATGCTTTTCTAGTTTCAGAATGCTAAGAAGTCGGTTCCCCAGAGGTCCACTTGAGTGCAGATTGTGGCACATTGACCGACCCTTTCAAGCACGATATACGTAGTAGTATTGTCAGTGTTCAAAATTTGGAGGACTCCAATATGAAAACTGTTATATTAATATTTATGGAACTGATACGAGATTTGGAAGAAAGTCTGAGTAGACCTGGTGGCGTAAGAGGTCGCGGAAATCGTCTCTATTTAGCGTGCTTTTCGTCTTTGCGCCCGCTGATCTTGCGCTTCGCAGGAAAGATCTGTTTAAGATACTGTTGTTTGATTAGGATTCCGATAGCGGCGAGGCACTACGAAAATATGTGGCAGAATAAGTAGCTAAGCTATACAGTCCATGATGGTCATTGTCCGGGGTTATCATGGTCAAATTTGTAAACTCCCTCACTATGGATTGGCATCAAATCTGCAGGGGGGTGATTGAAAATGGGTTGCCCCTCGTTTCCCTGGCTGTGGGGGACCATTGGGGATAGGCTGTCCTCCGTTGCCCTGGTTGCGTGTTTAAAATCGATAAATATCTGCTTGGAAGAAGCCTTTTAGTCGTGTATGTTTGGTTGAAGCTTAATTGGTATGACCAGAGTGGTTTTTTCCGAGGGGTTCGTCCACCTTTTTATAGATAGGTGGATACACAAGGCATAAGTAAGAACCTTCTGGACCAACAATATTAAATAAGTATAGTAATGTTTGAATGAGTGAGTAGCCTTAATGTGATAAGTCTGCCACTGAAATGCGCTCTTCAATCTCTCACTCACGATTAGTGGAAGCCACATTGTGACTGATTATCTTTAAGGCCACAACACTCTCTGCGTCCTCAACATGTCTGTATGACTTGTTAGAGACAAAGGCAACTCCAGATTGTAGAGAAATTAATTAGAGCCATACTGTTGAGGATACGCCCCAGCCAACCTTGATCAGGGTTTGATAATGATTAACAAGTACCCCTCCAGGTGTCACGGAGCTCAACTAGACGATGAATAGGATGCTATTCAGCTATCTAGGCAGCTATCGACGAGAACTTCAAGCATGGAGAGGAAGGAAAAAGGAAGAGATCTACGTGAAGCTGGACGACGTACTCCTATCCACGCACCACGCTAATCCAAGTAAGGAAGCTCACGTGCTCGTCCTGGTCTACATGGCAAGGGCCCTGACACCAGGCTTTGTTGGGTAGAGGTTCTTGGAATCAAGCAAGGATGACAGTAGGGAGTTAATTCACATCTAATAGTGATAGTAAATTAGATTGGTAAGTGTTAACTGTCAATTTAAGCACAGCAAATTTTGTTAAAGAGAGGTTAAGATACTACACATTAGGGCTTGATGAGGATATAGTTACTATTTTGGACAGGTGGATTATCCAATAATCCAGCCCCGGGATCCGGAGTATATATGTTCCGGGAAGAAAGGTGCTCAAGCGAGCAAGCAATTGAGCCTTAAGCATGTCAATTAAGAGCTTCACGATAGAGACGGCAGTATATTGGCATAAAGCGTTCACCACAAACCTATGAATCCTACGGTATCCTTTTAGTATTTGATATGCAGGCGCCGCGACCCTGATCCACATCATATCTTCCTCGCGAGTCACGTGGATAGGCGGTCAGTACTGACAAAATGAGACCTCTGGTTGTGACGCAGGGGCCCTGAATGGAAATGAGTTGACGCAATTGATCATACCAGTAAAATGGGAAAACGCTAGACTTTTCCCTTCTTTTTTGTCGGAGAGAAACTGAAACAAGGACGTGGTCAAAAGCCCTAGAGCTGGGTGCATTTTATTGAGATTACATTTTACTAACCACTCAGGTCAGTGCTGGTCCTCCACCATACCTGAGTACGGTGGTCTGTTCTGCCCGTGCTGACCGCTTGTACACGTGACCCGCGAGGGATGTTCTGAATCCTGTTGTAGCTCTTCGAGCTACGTCTTGTCCATCTGCTGTACTATACTATAGCTTGACGTCCGATCCAATTGATTATCTGTTTTCTGAATACGTTTCCTGACCGTCCTGAACCTGCACCCTGACACCAGCAAACAATCATGAGCCTGTTCCTACTATCATGATACTGCAGCGCACCTCGGCCAACACGGGGACGTTGTACGCCGGCACCGACTTATCCTAGAAGAGACGCCAATCAAACAGCAATGGACGCATCATGAAATCGACTTCAACTTATGGATCATGCAATCGCCCGAAGAGCTCAGCCCTATTTCGGGTCACACTGAGCTTTCTAGCCGACATGATAAGGGCGACGTGGTAGAAACACAGCAGCACATGCTAAGTCTTTGTCTCGCCCTGTGCCGAGTGCACTTCTAATTGCCCCAGAAGCCGGGCAAGTTGAACGGTTACATCTACCGTCAGCATCGCCGGTTGGGCTGGCTCTGGCGGAGCTCAGGGCAAAGGATTACGACTACCTCGTCCTAACGACCTCCGCATTGTTTTATTTTTGTCTCTGCCTACCTGGTACGTGCTTTTCTTTGAGCGGAGTATGGGGTATGGGGTATGCTATGTAGCATATAAATTATCTTGTAGCTCTTGGCCATAGCTGCTGTGGGAGACTCGATTTCCAAATCCAGCATTCTTCCATCTGTTTATAACCCGACAACAAGCTGCTGGTTAGGTAGGGACTCTCTTCTGCTCTGATCTCATCGTTGGCAGAATGTCCTTTGGCCCCCCATATCCTCCCTGGACAGCCGTGATAGGAGGCTTTCCCAACGTCCAGGTCGATGTCCCAATCTGCACCATCTTCGCTGTCCTATATGCCGTTGCTGGCTCGTCCCATTTCTTCCTGTTCCTCTACAACCTGCGGAGACACCACATATTCATCCCTTCCAATGCTGTGGCAGGATTCTGCTTGCTGAGATTCATCACCAACATCCTCCGTCTCGTCTGCGTGAAGGAGAAGACCAATATCTCTCTGGCTCTGACGGCTCAGATATTTCTCGCGGCGGGCATCATCGTCTTGTACATCATCAATCTGATCTTTGCTCAGCGTATCCTGCGTGCCTCGCACCCGAGACTAGGCTGGTGTACCCCGCTGAGCATCCTGTTCAAGATCATATACGCACTGTCCTTTCTGACGGTTGTTATGGTCATCACGGCTATTGTCCAGTCATTCTATACACTGGACCAGAACACGAGACGTATCGACCGCGACATCCAATTATATGGTGCAACTTATTTCCTGACCGTCTCGTTCCTGCCGCTAGTCCTCGGCTCATATGTCGTGATCATGGCTCTCATGCGGGACAGCTGCAGTCTATACAGTGAGAATAATATCGACCAGTTCGGTGCGGGGAGCTTTCGAGCAAAACTGATCATAGTCCTCTTCTCGGGTTGCTTGCTCTGCCTCTCTGCGTCGTTCCGGGCTGGAACACTCTGGAAGAAACCACGGGAGGTATTTGATCCGGCTTGGTATTCTAAGAAGCCGGCGTTCTATTGTTTTTATTTCGTGATCGAGATCATCGTGGTGTACTTTTATCTGGCCGTGAGAGTGGACAAGCGGTTCCATATTCCGTCGGGTTCTTCCAAGGCGAGGCATTACCGTGGCGTGGGGAAGGGGTCTTCTGTGTCTATGTCGGATGCCAGGGAGACTGAGCGTATGAGTGAAGAGATCATCGAAGAGGTTGGACAAGAAGATCGGAAGCAGAAGGGCGAGGAAGTCAGCGGTGATGTTGAGGTTAAAGAGAATCGCTCATCCGGCGTTTCTGTTTAAGGTATAGGTGTATGAGATCTAATTAAGGCAAATCTTTATAGAAGCAGCTGTATATATCTACTCTCTAGGCAAATCCATAACCTATAAACATGAGAGCTCATACATCAACACTGGCTGTCTGGACATATAGGGTTTCTTTGTAGATCTATATTACAGACAGATATTCCCCTTACTGTATGCATTTCCCCCCTACAGATATTCTGAAAATAGACGATGATAAAGAATATGATATGCTGTATAATTACTGACTCCTATTATAGAAATTCAATGTGGTGGCCATGGCCATGACTTCAATCCGATGTCAGGATGTCATCACCCACACATTGCCATCGATGGCACCTGGAATTGGGCCTTAAATAATGGTATTTTCCCTCTTTTTCACTGGAAGGAGCATAGTTATATGAAAAGGATTTAAAAAAACCTTTGTTTGGAGAGTCTATAAAACCTAGAACATAAAATGTCGTCCATCACACACCACACTGGCCTCGAAGCCGAGGACATGTTCAACGTCAAGGGCCTTGTTGCCGTCGTCACCGGTGGAGGAACAGGCATTGGGCTTATGGCTGCGCAGACACTGGCAACGAACGGGGCGAGAGTGTATATCATCGGACGACGGGAAGAGATTCTGCATATTTCCGCTGAGAAGTATTCTAATAACGGGCAGATCATTCCGTACGACCTTCTCTTGATCCCCCAAGGAAGATAATTAATATTTTACTGACATGAATAGCCTCCCCGGCGACATCGCCCACACAGACGGCATCAAAGCCCTAGCTGCAGAACTGCAAAACAAAGAAGCAAAAGGTATCAACATCCTCCAACAACGCCGGCGTCTCCCCCGAGCATCGAGCATCGGACCACTACGCGTCCCAAACCGTCAACTTCAAGGATCCCGTCGATGTTTCGCGATGGATGACCCTCGACGGCACCGAGGCCTGGCGAACCGCCTACGCCGGCAACGTCGCCTGCCACCAATTCTTCACGGCGGCCTTGCTACCCCTTCTCGACAAGGGGAGGGAGTGTGCACCAGGCTTCTCGAGCTCCATCGTCAATATCTCCAGCGTAGCCGGTATCACTAAAACGTCGTCGAGAGGGCAACTCGCCTATTCCTCTGCTAAGGCGGCGTTGCTGCATCTCACGCAGGAGTGGGCGCATACGTTCATCCCGTTGCGTATTAGGGTTAATTGTATTGCTCCTGGGCCGTTCCCCACGGAGATGACGACTGGTGGTTCGAATGAGAATAATAAGTCGAATTTGGGGCCGGAGGCTGGGAAGAATCTTCCTGCTGGTAAGTGTGGTTCAATTCTCCGAAGCCGTTATGGTTATGCTGTTATAGTTATGTTTCATGCATGCTCACTTATCGAACAGGACGTGTGGGAAAGGACACTGATATCGGAAGCGCAATCCTTTACCTCAGTGGTAAATCGGGTACCTTTGTAAATGGACAGATTCTCCATGTGGATGGAGGTCAGTATTTTCTCTCCGTAATTCTTGTCTCATCTAACTGATATGTCCAGGACTACTCCTGAAAGCACCCGGTACGGGATAAAAAGGAAGCAAGGTAAATAGCACGAATGGCAATGTTTTGCAGTAATTTATTCCGGTTGGCAGTGCCGAGCAAAGCATGGCACTGAGACTAGCTCTTAGGTATACAGAATGGTCATCGAGCTTTATATGCCGTGTATAAATAATACCGCCGGCTAGTATACTCTATCCGGGTAAATATAGCAAAGAAAAAGCAGGGGAGGGCCTTTGATCCCAATAGCATCTTTATTTTCATCAATGGTATCAACAAAACGGTAAGAACATACGGGTGTAAAAAGAAATTAAGTAGGCAAAAAGCGCTCTGGGTACGCTTCCTCACCCCCAGAGAGCTCCAGTAACTGGAGATATGAGAAGCCTAAATTGAAGAGCAATACGGTTCCAGACAGATGATAGATGACGTAGTTGTTTGGAGATTGTAGACTCTATCAAATCACAGGAAATAATCCGGTGTACGTCTCGATACCATCGGTTCTCCTGCTCTGGGACAGGGGTCAAATTGTAGACTGAAGTGGACTGGTTAGACTTGAACAGGTTGCATGGACCGTTGGGGAACGTACAATGTATACTTAAGGTGTTCATCAATTTCCATAATTGCGGCTTGGTTACCGCAACGGTAGCAGTAGTTAGGGGCTAAGAGGGGAGCAACATCAGCATATCGCCTTGGAACACCTTTGTAAGATAAGAGTAAACAATACCTGAGAAAATCGTAACGACATTCCGATCCTGGGACCAGTTATATCCCTCCATTACCAGCTGGTGCGCTCGCGCAACCAGAGTCAAACCATTGTTGTGATTGAATGCTTCGGAAATATCCTGTCCAAAGGTGTAACCAGCACCACGAGGAGAGATACCCCATCCGCACCTGTCATCTGGATCACTCCAGAGCAGATCGCACATTGGACCTTCGTGCGGGACTTCCTGAATACGGTCCAGAGAACGAATGTTGTCCAGAGTATCAATAGAAGGACTCAGACCTCCATGGAGACAGAAGATCTGATTCTCGATGAGCGCAGTAAGGGGGAGATAGTCGAAGAGGTCGGTAAAGTATTTCCAGACATTGGCATTGCCGTATTTTCGCAGACATTCGTCGTAAAACCCATACACCTGTGTGATCTGGCGCGACTCATGGTTTCCTCGGAGGATGGTGATGCGTTGGGGGTAGCGAATCTTGAGGCAGACTAGAAGTGTGACAGTTTCCACGGAATAGTAGCCACGGTCGACATAGTCACCTTTATTGAAGAGGCCATTAGACGGGATACATAAAAAAAAAAAACGAAGACCAATTTCCAAGTAAAGCAGGACGAAGGACCAACCCATGAATAGGTAATTTGTGTCGGGATTTGGGCCACCAATGCGGAAGAGCTCCATCAGATCGTGGAACTGGCCGTGTATATCACCGCAGACAGTAACTGGGCATTTCTACGGATCGGTATCAAGTCAGCAAAACCCTGTCGTGCGAGAAATCGTGCCGTCGCATGGCAAAGAAAACACGTACCACTGGCTGCACATTCGACTCTTCCTGCAAAACCTCTCTGGCCTAATTGCGAATATTCTATCAATGGATAATTCCCAATCGAAGTGTACAAGACACCCAAACCCACCCGATCACACAAGCGCCTGACATCCTCCTCGGATAATTGCTTGCAGCTCATCAAGTTTTCGATCCATCCATCCAGAGTCGGTATGGAACCGGGGTCGCTTATGGGAGAAAGATGATGGGGTTCAGGTGACCGAGCAGTATCTATTTCCATGTTGTTGTCCATGACGGATACGCGGGTGGACGAGAGGAATTCGAGCTCGCTCACAACAGGGGAACCGAGGGGCGGTTACCGGGGTGGGGATATGAAGGGGATATGAAGTCTCGTGAGCGAAGGGACGACAGGGCCGTTCGGGGGGACGCGGGACACCACAGGTAAAGGTTGTTAGAGCGATGTCAGTGAGGATACGGGGCCGATGCCGTGCTATAAAGGAGACGATGAATAAGATGGAGTTGAGTTGGATGCAGGAACTTGGAAGAGATCAGGTCTGCTTTGCTTCGCTGGACCGGAAGCCACGCTGGACGACGGTCCATTTCCCGATCGGGATTCATGCGCCACATCTCCAAGCCACACATATTTCTCGCTTAGCATCTACGTACTATCTATGTTGTATACTTCTTTCTTTCAAGTTCTCCGTATACCTTTCTCTGTGCACTCAATGTGACGGGCTCAGGGAATATTCTCCCACTGATCAGTGCCATAAGTAGCAGAAAGCAAACAACAGGGACTGTTCAAATATTTTCTGGTACCATTGTGATCTATCCTTCTTAGCAATGCCTGCCCGGCTCTCTTGCATGCCGTGATAGGCTTGACAAACAGAAGGCCTTTCTTTGCTTCCAAGTGAGACCCTCATTGAAGTTATTAGGCTTCTGGACAAGGCAGCGATCCTTTGTCTTGCAGCAGTGAATAAGCATCTACGCGCCCTCTGCCTCCCTGAGATCTTCCGAACTGTCGCTGTCAGATATTCCTCTTCCCGCTTCGAGACCCCGAAGCGGTTGGCTGCTTCTTCCAATTGAAAATATGTCAAGTAGCTGGAATATAACGCTCTGGCGTTTATGAATCCTGGCATGGTGAATTTTTACTCAGAACAGGAAGCGACTGACGGCATCTCGAGGCACCATCCAAGGCTTTGGTTTTGGTGGCGACACACCAACCTATACATACCCTCATAATGGATACAGGCTTGATGCAAATCGAAGAAGGCCATCGTACTCTTATCTAAGAAGTCTTTCAAAATAATAAGGAGCTCTATCTCAAAGACATCGGATTGCTTGAAGGCATTGCGATGTATTTCGATACCCCATGGCTAAATACTCACAGGCTGAGCGGCGTATACATGGTTTAATATGTCGGTATTGACGTATTGAAAGTCTTCTGCGAATGAAACTCCGGGAATCTTCGTGCATTACATGTTGATGTTATCTGGAACCCCGAATGCTGTCACAAAGGAAAATCCCAGAATAGGTTCTCCGTACGCCATTCTCCGTACGCCATTCTCCATACGCCATTCAGAAATTTTACGAAATTGGACGAGTGTGCTCACTATAAGAAGTGAGACTTTCTTCGAGGTGGCTTAACGCAAGTGCGCTATCATATTTGGGAGCACTGCTACTAGATGAAGCTGAATACTCTGGAATTGATTCGTACTCCGGGACACCTACATGATTCAAGGAACGCTTTTCAATGCCAGGCAATAACAAGGGAACACAGAGATGTATTGAGTTCTTTTCAAACTACATCTGTTGTCGCTAGTTGTCCTGAGAAGGTACTAGCAGTAGTTGGAGTGATGTCTATCATTAGGTGTGGAGCTGAAGTGTTCAACAGCTCTTTTCTATCCACGAAGTTTCCGAATTTCAGAGTCCATTGAATATATTTCATAGGAGCCAGAATAGACTGAATATCTTATCATTCTTGGTATCATCAATTATAAATCAACAGATCGGGAAGCATCCCGAGGCCGGTTCCAGCGTTCCCCGCGCCTGAAGACGACCCTCCAAGTCCTCTGCCTCTGGTAATGCAGTATATTGCATTTTAAGCATTTCTGCAGAGAGCAGACATCAGGATCTCCTGGTGATCACGAGATCTTCTCCCGCAGACCCGAACTTCCAGCAGAGTTTGAGATACATCCTGTTTTACTTCGCCTGCTATTTAAACTCTGGTGATCTCCCCGTGTCATTTGTTGCATATATATTCACTGCCAGGGGGGTTAAACACAATGGGATTAAAATTGCCTCGGATATTCATAACCGGGGCGACGGGTAAGTCATAACTGACCGCAAATACATAGAATCGGGAAGAGGGAGTGCTAATATTCGCCTGTAGGATATATCGGAGGAGATGTATTTTATGCTCTGATTCAGAAATATCCTCACCTGGAAGCTTCATCAAGCTGCTTAGTGAGAAGTGAGGCGGGGGTCAAGTTGCTCCAATCAGCCTACCCAGGTGCTCGACCGGTCCTTGGTGACCTGGGAAACGCAGAACTTCTCGAGTCTGCAGCTGCAGAAGCAGATATCGTGCTTCATTGTGCCAGTATTGAGGATGTGGAATCCTCGCAAGCCTTGGCTAGAGGCCTGGCACGGAGACGTCGAGAAGGTCCGGCATATTGGATCTGCACTTCAGGAACCGATAACCTGGGATGGGAGACTATTAAAAACAACAGCTACGGGGAGACGTATCCCAAGATATACGACGACTACGATGGCGTTATCGACGTGCTCTCCTTGCCCGACCAGGCACCTCATCGTGATGTGGAAAAAGTGCAACAGGACGCAGCCAGTGACCGGGTCAAAGTGGCAATCGTCAGTCCCCCCTGCATCTACGGTGTCGGTCGGGGCTGTGGAAACAAACGAAGCATCCAGTTGCCTGATCTGGCCAAATATACAATCCAGCATGGAAAAGCGTTCCAAGTCGGCAGAGGCCTGAGCCACTGGCCGAACCTTCACATTAACGATCTCGGGAACCTCTTTGTTCTCCTTGTGGAAGAGGCTCTTAAGGGAGGGGGCAATGCGACCTGGGGGCTTGAAGGGTATTACTTTGCTGCCAATGAGAAAGAACATGTTTGGGGGGATATTGCGGTGTTGGTTGCGAAGGAGGCTCAGTCCCGGGGCCTGACGAGCTCTGTGGACGTGTTGTCCTGGTCTGCAGAGGAGGCCGACAAGCATATGGAGTTTTGTAATCTTTTCTACGGCACCGATTGCCGATGTAGGGCTGTTCGGGCTCGAAAGCTTCTTGGATGGCAACCAACACGGCATAGTATTGAAGAGGAGATCTCGGCGACGCTTGCTGAAGAGGCACGCCGTTTACAGGGAATTTAGAAAAGAAAATGATGTTTAGCTGTCAATAGTTAGCATCTCACCGAGCCCGATGCTTTAAAGTTGATTCTGTGTATCAAAACATGGTGGCAGTGTTGGGCTGATCTTTTTCAATCCAGGCGAAGGCTCTTTTAGAACAGGAAAGTCATTCACTTCATTTCAATTGCAAACTACATACTTCGTGACATGGCAAATGCATCTGTTTCAGAAAGCCGGCTTTTCATATTACCCCAAAGCGACATTAAATGATATCACCACCGAAACCACCGAACCCGCCAAAGCCTCCAGACCCTCCAGGCCCTCGTCTACCAAACGGTGGTCCTTGTCCTGGACCGACCGGATCATATCTGGATCCAGGGGGAACCTGAGGATTATTGCCGTCGCCGCCGCCCTGGTTCCCGCCAAACAAGGGGTCATCAAAGGTCGGGTGCATACCGCCGCTGCCTCCTCCGCGGTTCGGCCCAATGACGCCTCGGAAAGGATCATTAGGACCTAGTCCCTGAGGATACAAGTCTCTATCACCAATGCCCAAGGGATTCCCCCCACCGAATCCCGACGGTGGAAATCCACGAGGAGGTTCGTTGATCTCAAACTCATTTTCGAACCCTGGTGGGGCGAAGTCGCCAGGAATTGGACGAGGGGCTGCTGCCAATGGATCATCAAGTGGGCGTGGACGTGCTGGCTGAAATAGAGGATCGTCCCTTGAGGGATCGCGCCGTGGCTGTCCCTGTTCTGGCTGTCTTTGCTCCTCTTGTCTCTGCGCCCGACTCCCGTCCTCGTAACCTTCCTTGTGTATTCCGGGAGCGAGTCTCTGTATTACATTTGTCCTAAAGAGACCAATTAAGTCGCTGAGACGAGGAGTTGAGATGAACACATCTTTTAAAGCGTCTTTAAGATCTGCAGTGGTGGATAAGGGAAGGGCGGATTCGGAGATGTAGTCCTTGACAGGAATATCAATTGATGTGGTTTTGTCATCACCTAGAGCTAAAGCAAAGACCACCGCATTGTTTCCTAGTCGACTGACTTTCAGTAAGTACTGCATGGAAGATTGTGGGTGGGCATAACGGAAGGAAACTGTAGAGTTAGCGTTCCATTCCGCGGGAAGCAAGGACGGCGTTTCAGAGGTTTCTATGCAACATATTAGACTCAGACCATATATCGTAAAAGGAGTATCGACAAACCAGAAATGACGTGGTCCTCCCCGAGTCCAAGCAATCTAAATCCAACCGCCACCATACAGGCATGGCCGATGAGGGCAATAGCCTCGTAGGACGTCTTGAGATTGGGAGAGGCATCGCCACCATCCTTGCGGAGAGCTTGCGCTGCGAGAGCAAGCACGCTATCCGCCGACAGAGCACTTGAATTGTTTCCTGCCATCGTAGTGGGATCTTATGGCAGCTAGTTGATGATCCGAGGCTCTATCATCGTGGAGAAACACGTCACGAGGATATAGGACCAGCATTAAAATCGGGTCAGCCGCATTCGGGTTGGAACAATAGATAATCCTATTGCGGCGGATGGAATTTTAATGCGGCTACGTACATTTCAGTCTGTTGGATCACGTGGGATTCTGCCGCATAGGTCCGCCCTCGCTGACCCTTTTCACCACGTAGGCCTATCTAGCTAGTAACCAACCAACGATACACCTCCATTACAGTCTGGCACCTTGGTAATCATTTTGTTTTTGTTACACTAACTCCCCCCGCCGTAAGCACAGATAGTTTTTTTCTTCTTTTTGAACAGTTAGAAATCATTTCTTGATCACTTTCTTATCCCCTCTGCTGTCCATTTTCTAAACATGGGAATTTGGAAAATATTACTAGGGAAGAAAAATCTGTCAGGCTGTGTATCAGTACTTATGAGTGCCGCATTAAATTTGGGGGTCTGACTATCGGAAAAATACGGCCCGAAATTGTGCGGCGTTTTTATTGTCGACCTCAGCTATGTCCTGACATGAGGCACTGAGGTTCGGAGAAAGGACGGACCGTTGCAAACATAACATGCAAACAACCTTATCGGCAGTTACGGGATCTGTCCAATCAGCGCCGAGATTCCCCGATCCGGCATCGGCGACAACACCCGGCGACATCACGATATTAATAGTATTAGTGGTATGGTTTAATATCCTCGCTGTGTATGACGAAGGATCATGAGAATGGCTCAAATCAAGCCATGCGAGGAACCACTCTGCAGATAGAGTTATGCAAGGTCATTTGCCTCCGCGTTTCATCCCTATGGCTCCCCGGCTAGTCCTCATATGCATGGTCCCGTCCTTTATACCCACATCCACCACCAGCAGTCATGGCTGAAAACGACGCCCATCCGCGCAAGATACACATCGAGACACACTTTGGAAAGGCTCGACGCCTCCGCAGCAGAAAAGACCGTCCCTGCGATGCTTGTCGCCAACGAAAGTCTGCCTGCATCATCACGGTGCGGCCGCCGTGTATTCTCTCCCTCCCGAATGCAAGTCTCAGATTGGGCTGAGCCTCACCGCTGACTCACTATACACCTACAGGTAGATACTGCGAGAGCAAGCATCAAGATTGCACATTCAAATCAAGCCCAACACAACGAGTGAGGAGGACAGCCCCCTATGCCAGTTCGAAAGCTCCCTCTCGCAGGACTCCCTCGGAGAAGGCATTGCCAGGAATGCTTGGGATTGATCTGCACAATGATCCTTCAACGCCGGCCTACTGCCCGGAGCAGGATCTCGTTTCTTCTTCTCCACTTCTTGATCTCCCTACGCTCTACCTTCCACAGACACGGCTGCCTTTCAACGAACCCGATAGCTGTTCAGATCACCAGAGCCCGATTGCGTACCATCAAGGAAAGGGCTCTCCCTCAATCCATGGACATAGCCCCACAAACACATTGAAGCCCCCCGGGGATACACTGGAAGAGACTAAGGGGCTCACGGCTCATTTCCTGGGGCTGTCTAGTGACCAAGATGCAGACTTGCTTTCGTCCTTCCGGTCCAACATCCTCAACGAGACCAGTTACGTTGACGTCAATATCCGACAGGTTTTCGCCGGAGATAGCGCGCATAACCTGCCTCCTATCCACTTCAATATCGTCCATGATTTGTTTCCTGAACGCGACAATCGTATCAGGCAGAGAGCCTCTGAAAGAATCGAAGAATACGTACAACCTCACGCGGACGCTTTGGTTCGTCTATATTTCCGCTTTGTACATCCATCACTGCCAGTACTTTCGAAGGCCCGCTTCTTACAATCATACTGCGAAAATCGACTCGGTATCCCAGCTTCATTGCGCGGAGTTATCTATGGTCTGGCTTGTTCCTTCTGGGATCGTGATGAGACACTCAGTCCTCTACCTGCTCTCCACAGGTCCGAGCTATTCGAGAATGCCCATGCAGCACTTCTCAGCGAACTCGATTCTCCAAAATTGGCTACTCTACAGTCATGCTTGCTTATTATTCATGACAACCCTCCGATGACACATACGACGGAAAGCCCTCGGAATTGGACACTTGCCTGTCAGGCTACCTCGTGTGCGCAGAGTCTTGGACTCCATATGGACCCGTCGCTATGGAACATACCGATGTGGGAAAAATGTCTTCGAAAGAAACTGTGGTGGGCGACATTTGTCACGGATAAGTGGTCTACTATGAGCCATGGGAATCCATCTCATATCCCTCAAAGTTCCTTCAACACCATGGATGTAACCCTGGATGATATTTTATGCGACGAGGATGTAACATGCTCACCCTACGCTCATGTATTACTGGAATCAGATCACAGTCCCAACCTGGCTCGAGCAAGGTCCTTCTATGAGACTGTTAGGCTGGCCAAACAACTTAGCACATTGCTACATTACTCGTTGTAAGTTGTTCCTGAGACGGAAAAGTTCGTTGTAGACCTTTACTAAGATTCTTCAGCACTATCCGTAGCAATCCTCTGCTTCCTACTGCGGGCACAGAACCCGGAGTAATCGACCATTCCGTCTTTCTGTTGAAATCCGAACTGGACACATGGTATTCAACTTTGCCACGGTGTTTGAAACTTGATCTCATGACGGGCGCAGGAGATATATGCTCAAATGGTGTGTATACAGTTGGTGGTTTTCATCGTCAAGGAGAGCAAAGAATGCTGACACTGCTACTAGGGCCCCTTCATTTAGCGTTCTTCGCGGTGAAAGCATTGGTGCTGCGAGTAATCATGTCTCCAGCAACAACGCTTGCGAAGTCAAATTCATGCTCGAACCTCAACAGATATTTCCAGTCCAGCTTGGAGGAATTCAAACCCTTTGTAACTCTAGTGACTAGTATCAAGCCTGCGGATCTAAATGCTTTCTGGGGTCGAAGTGAGTCGTCTTTTATTATTCCCTTGTCATTAACCGTCAGGACGCGATTTGAGGCTAATCCTCGCAATAGATGCAAGGACGCATCTTGTCCATTGCGGAAATTTCTTGATATATCTCTTTCTCTGTGCGTCTACGGTCGAGCAGGTGCAGGAGTCGTATTCGCTTTTAGAAGCATACCACCACGCGCTTCGATTCTTGGCTACCACGATGGATAATCGAGGTATGAGGATGCTAAGACCTGCTTTACTGCGGATCGAGTCATTCTTTCAGGAGGCACTCGAGATCATGCGGAAGGGGACGAGTGGTGATTGACCGCCACACATTTTCCGACACTCTCATATGCATGTATATAGATCAAGAACAGGGGTGGTTTCATATCGTCACATTATTCCAGCATATTATTCACAAATCAAACACAGCAAATGAAAGCTGACTCAGGCCACAGCAGCAGGCTTCTGACCCTTGGTTTCATACTGCACACTAGCGCGCATCAGTCTATAGTCCCGATGCAGAATGGGCGGGTACTTGGGCGGATTCTTCTCATCCGTACAGGAAGGAAGACACTCGATGACCGAGTCGACATTCGCACTGACGAAGTAGGGGATCGAGTACCGCGCCCTCGTGAGACGCTCGTCACCCGTGAACCTATCCTGGCGGGGTGGGAGAGTGACACGGTGAAGGTTTGATTTGAGGATATCTGAAATGTCAGCTTTTCCATTCCCAGCATTGTAGGTTCCCTAGGGGAAGAAAGGAGGTCCATACCATTACTCCACCTCATCAACAAATCCCCAATGTTCATAATAATAGCCCCCTTCACCGGCTCAGCCTTGACAAACTCCCCCTGCCGCGTCTGCACTTCCAACCCCCCACAATCATCCTGGAAGAGCATCGTGATAGAGCTCCAGTCCGTGTGCGCCGGCATGCGCGCCAACGTGTCCGACTCGAGCTCCTTCGCCGGCACAGGCGGGTAATGTAGCAGACGCAGCTGGTTGTTGTGGCCGTCGTGGAAGCGGAGGAGGTAATCCTCATCGGGCAGGGAGAGGCCCAGTGAGAGGGCACGGAGGATATCCTGTGCTGCGGCCCAGCAGGTCCAGTAGAAGGATGTGGTGAAGGTGCGGAAGCCGGGGAGGATGGAGTCGGGGAGCCAAACGTTGGGTTGTTCTTTGTTTTCTTCGGAGCCGATTTCGTAGCTTTCCTATTCACTTATTAGCATCATCATCATCATCTTGATTCACCCTTATGTGTGAGGAGAGAGAGAGGGAATACCTTGCAATCCTGAACCTTCCTCAATTCACTAACTATCTTCCCCTCATCGTCCTCCTTCGTCCCCAGAACCTGCGACACCTTCTCCAGCCCCGGCCACGAGTATCCACGGTGCACGGCAGGCCCGTCCGGGTGTGGGGCAAGCATCTTCTCCTCCATCGGGAGGTCGAAGAGCTTCTTGGTCCATGCGAAGGCGTCGTCGAGCTGCTCCTGCGACACGCGGTGGTTGATGATGTAGACGAAGCCCACGGTCCGGCAGGCGTCGACTAGGGCTTTGGCGACGGCGGTTTTCTCCTCCTGCGTGGTGGTGGGGGAGAGCCAGTCGGCGAAGTCGATGATGGGGAGGACGGGGGCCATTTTTGTACTACCTAGGTAGGCACTCGTGTATGAAAACTAGAATATGTAGGGTGATTCACTGTGAAGAAGGGAATGTCTACTGGATAATAGATATTTTACACAATGCAATTGCTGCCAGACAGACACCTGGATATAGCGGTTTAAGTATCGCTGAAGCACGCCGTAAGCGTGAGATAAGATCGGGGAACTCTTAGTTACTGTAAGCAATTATAATATAAGCGGCTATGGTCAATGCAGGCTTATCGTATTAAGTTGGCCGATGTCTTTGGCCTCCCAGTATATTTAAAATTATACTAATAACAACACCAGAAACAACTATCCAAGAATACTTATCACCATATTACCCGATTCCACCAATCCCCGCGGCCCATCGCCGAATTTCCCCATTATCCGGCGTGGCGCTGAAGACGGGAATCCTGCTCGTGTTATTATTACTGCTGCGTGTGCTGCCATCCGCTCCCGCAGCGAGATACTCCGGCATCAGGCTAACCATGGTCGTCTGTAGCTGCTGCTTTTCTCGTATCTTGCGCTCCAGGCTCTGCGATAATGCCCGCGCGGCGATGAAGGCTAGATCCGACTTCTTCCCCAGACACCACAGCGCGTCGATGCAGTAGCTCACCTGTCGCAACGGGTATTCCGATGGGCCGCTGCTGCTCTGCTGGTCGACATGCACCGGGTGGGGTGGGATGTCCGCGCTGTTGGCTTCGTTCAGCACGATGTATCCGGCTTTGGTGAACGAGCGGACCAGGACTTCCGTCCAGGGCTCGCTGAGGAAGACGCCATCGTTGACAGAGTCATGCAGTTGGAATTCTGTCTGCCCCGGTGCGGAGAAGCTGTCTTGTTGGCGAAGTGAGCAGAAGGCAAGCGTGCACACCGTGTAAGCGTTCTCCCTGCGTAGCGATGGGACGAGGTTCATCGCCCGTCGAGACTCGCGTTGGGCAGGCTGGCCCAGTTCTGCCTTGTCGATGCTCTCCAGCGTATCGGCAAGAAGCATCGAGGCTAGATGCCAATGCCCAGAGACGATCACGTACCATGACTGCAGGCGCGGTGGGAGGCTGTCGTGGTTGGCGATGCAGTTGAGGGTGAATTGTCCGTAGGTGCATTTCCAATGCCGGACCACGAGGAGCGCGTTCTGAATCGCCTCTTCGAGGCAATCAGGGTCTGTGCAGCGGTAGATGAGCGTTTGGAGGTGGGACACCCGGCGGAATAGTAGCACCTTGACCTGCGCTGCGACGCAGAGAATCTCCGCTGCGTCCTGGTAGGAGCACGGCCAGTGAGGGGCCTTGGAGCTTGGCCCTGTGCTCAAAAAGAAATCGCCCCAGACATCGCGCTTTTGTTTTTGTTTCAACGCCTGTCCGTCGTACGTTGTGCTCCACCCGTCAAGGTCAATAGTTCGTGAGCCATCATGGGGATCGGTAGATGCGGCAGATGGCTCCGTGACATTGCTGTCCTCGTCTGAAATTATCGGTGGGGATTGATGCATGGCAGCGGTGAGAGTGTCGAACATGATTCCGAGCCAGAGCAAGAGGTTGAAGGTCTCCTGATCTTCTGGGGTGATGACACTCGAATCGGGATCGAACAACCGTTGTTCCAACTGTTTGTCATCCGGATGTTTCCATGACAAGGCCTTTTGTTGCTCGCGTTTGATGCCGAGCTTGTACCGCAGAGTAAAGAGCTGGCGGAGTGCAGCCACCATAGCCGCGGGGGCGGACTCCATATCGAACAGCTCCTGTAGATCATTAAGTTCGCCCATTAGATCATCGCCGCGGTGGGGATGTAGTAGATCGCTGTCGGAGGAAAGGGAGCCGGAGTGGAGTTTGGAATCCATCATCTGGATGTGTTCCTTGACATTCAGCGGCCGCTGCGTAAGGGCGAAAATAAAATTGGCGAACATGACCCGGGCAGACGGTATGCCCATGGACTTGTTCAGAGCGTGGTGTGCCTGGTTCCAAAGGTCCTCCTGGACGGATCGTCCAAGATAGTTGAGGGGAGATAAACGCAAGCCCGCATCGCCAGACACGGCTCTCATTCTTCTCTGGGAGTGCCGCGCCCACTGGACGGCAAAGGCCATGATAGAGGTATGGAGCGCTCGAGAAGCAGCTTTCTCTTCCGTTGCGCTGAGCTTTCGTCCCCTGATCGCCGAGTAGACACGATCCAACCGACACACACGCGTACATATTCGATTTGACCAGTTGGGACCCCATTCCTTTTCTAGCCCCTTGAGCAATTTACCGGCACCGGAACCGCTGTAGGGACACGTCTTTTCCGTGAGCCAACAGGATAGAGCGTTTTCCATGCTGTCGTGGTAGATGCGCAGCAGATCCTGCGTCATGGCTGTGCGTTCGAAGTTGGTCGAGAGCGTATGCGACGGGGAAAGGGGATCATCACGAAACAGGAGACGCAAAGAACTCGAAGAATTGGATCTGGTGTTTCTCTTGGCATCCAAGGAATCTTGCGAGAAGCCATCGTCACTGCTCTCTGATGCCTCAATGCCAAAGGGGAACGGTTGAGAATCGAACAAGTCAGGCGGACTGAAACCGCCAAACTGGCTGGGAATGAATAGACCATCATCGACAGAACTCGGCACGGTGTCGGGTAAACCACTCTGTGACGGGTCGAATGTATCATATGTATTTCGTGTAACGGAACTTGCCGTGCTCTCGAGGGATAAGGGGCTGTATTTCGCGTTCCACGGAACGGACCCGAACGCGTCAGCATTCAATGGGGGACTAGGGCCAGGGTCTTCCCAGCTTACGGAAACATTCCCTGTCGCTTGATGTTTCCATGACAACTGCGACTCGGGGACGGAAGTGCGAAAGGGGAGAAAACACTCATGGCCGGGTCCTGGATTTGGATTTGGATTCGACGGCAGCCACTGCACGGGGAAAGGTGCATCGTCATCGGACGAAGGCTTTTTTTTAACACCATGCGAACTATTGTCAGCGCTATTCGCGTCAACCGGAGGAGCATCGACGCTGGGCTCTTCCCCGGCGATGGAGTTTGATTTTTCAGTGGTGTCCCTGTTGGCTTTTTTCTTCTTGCGACGTTCCTCCGGAGACTTTTTCCGGGCGACATAGGAATAAAGCCAATTAAAGGTGCACTCCTTCTTCCATCGCCTGCAGTTGGAGCAGGGACTGGGATTAAGATTAGGCCGGTTGTTGCTGAGGTTGAAGGAGGACGGGGACAGCGACTGGAGGTCCTCGCGGATGGTCGCGTCGCAGGCTCTTTTTCCTTTGCGACACTGGTCGCAGCTGTGGTGCTGCCGTCGACGGCGACGGACAGGCTCCATCGCAGATAGCAGAGCGATGCAAAGGGATGTAACTGGGATGACAGGGCGATGGAGGGTGGACGGGGACGGGGATGCAGGGGTGTAAGCACCGGGAAGAGGCTGCGCCAGGACAGACGGGAGTATTTCTAGACGGAGCCTCCACAGCGCTAACTGCGGGGTCTCGCTTCCCCACAACCCTTGGCAGAATCCGGGGAACATTCATGTTTATTTTAATAGAATAGGCAATAGAGGACTAGATTCGCTGGTATTCTGCTCATGCGGGCTGCCTACTGTCAAACTCTCTCGCGCCCCCCGTACACCGCCGCTTCCACATCCACCCACAGCTTCAGCACCTGCGCATCCGCGAACGGCAGGATCTGAGTGCACACCATGCCTGCAATCCCCTTTTCTCGATCACACCACCACCAGAGATTGGGCAGGCCGGCCCAGTGCGCTGTGCCCGGCGATCGTCCTGTGGCGCCGCCCGTCAGCATGAACGTCAAACCCCAGCCTTGTGGTGTTGTGGACGGATACAGCAGTGGTATCGCGTTCGTCAGGTCCGGCTTGGAAGCTGGGATCCCTTGCGCCCCGAAATGGGGAAACTCGGGAATCTGATTTCGGAACATCTCGTCGACCGTCTCCTTTTTCAGGAGTTTGGCTCCCGTTTGCGGGGAGGTGCCGTCGTTGAGCAGGACGGCGAGGATCTCTGCAGTGGGAGTCAAAAACTTGCATTCTGCTTTCGCTGCGGATCTACGGCCAACAAACGGACTGCCAGGGATCCTTCCTACTGGACAGCGGAGATATGGGTGACTTACGACAGTATTCCTGCGGCTTCGCAAAGCATCCTGCGCCACCACTGTTGAAGCAGCCCCTGATCTCTTCGGCACTCTCCACGAGCAGTGGTCGTCGCAACAGGTGGTCTCGCCGGGACAGCTGTCCACTGGCATCTCGCTGGTTCATGAATGCCAGATTGGCTTTCATAGATGCGTTCGGAAACATCGAGATATTCTTGAGACCCAGGGGCTCAAAGATATTGCGGTGCAGGTAGTCATTCAACGACAGGCCAGTGACACGCTCTACAAGAAGACCGGCCCAGTCTATGTTGACCTGCATATGATCAGCATCTTCCCTACCTAGCTACTCATGAGTGCTCTCATATGCAGGGAAGACAAACTCACACCGTATTCCCAGCCGTCCCCTGGCTGTCGGACCAACGGTTGCCGCATGCCGTAGATATGCCCGGAGAATTCCTCGTATCCCAGCGGCCTGTTACAGTCGCGTAGCTTCTCATTGAAGAAGGTATATCCGAATCCAGCTGGAATAGTACAATGTTAGCATATGTGATTTCGTTTCCCGCAAATTAGGCTCACCTGTATGGGACAGCAGCATCCTCAACGTAATCCCCCTTTTCTTCTCGACTAATTTCCCATCATCCTGGAGAACCTTGATCTCCTTCAGCTCGGGACACAGTGTTTCAACCTGCGCAGGATCATCCAAGGCCAACAGCCCCTTTTCCACGAGCTGCATGCACGCAATGCCCACAATCATCTTCGTGCAGGATGCGATCCAGAAGATATTGTCCAGCGTCATGGGCTTCGAGATCCCATAACCCTGATTCCCACCGGCGTGTGCAAACTGCTCCTTGCCATCTTTGTCTACCACTACGACGACCGTTCCCGGGATGCCTTTCTGCTGGTCTGCGCAGGCTGCGTCGATCGTCTGCCGGAGAGTGTCGATAGCTCGGGGGGTGAGATCTGCCATGGTTATGTGTATCCTCGTTCGCGGGAGCAAATATTAATCGTTACTGATCCTGCCATATTATATACCCTGCAGAATCCCTTCTATTATACCCGTGAATGGGCCTGTAATGAATCCGTGGCTATCGTGTGCTGAGGGTCTTCAAATTCCATCGATCGCTCGGCTATCCATCAGACACCTCCCCAGCACAACGGACGCAAAGCCCAAATCAGATCGGCACGTCCCCAGTCAAAGTTCCAGCTCAGCGTGCGGTTCCGCAAATAATTGACCAGGAATATGCGTCTGGGCTGGCTCAATTGCAACGCCAAGAGCACAGACCGTGCGTCACCAATTTTCCACATTGCGGTTCCGGAACGCGGGGTTTTCCTGTATCGATGCGGAGTGTTCGGGCCGACAGGAACATGCCGGATGGGGACAATGGGCGACTCAGATGTTCCTATTCCAGGATGAGCTTGATGCACCCCGGATTTCGACTGGGGAAAATGTCAAGGAAGCGGGGACGATGTGCTTCCATCTACCATCTTCTGCAGTGAACGCTTGGAGTCGAGTTGATCATACGTTCTGCAGAATGCGGAGAAGCTGTCATGGATGATTCCGTGTGGATAGCTTCTACTGCAGCAACAGACTGAATTGGAGGTTGGAACCGGGGTATCAGGATGTCGTTCGTCCGTGATTGTTCCCTGTTGGAGATGTCCTTGCTCGTTCTTGGAGAACACAGGATGCGACGCATACTTAAGGCCATCGTTCACCTGGCGGTAGCGGGTCGGTATGGCTATCGAACAAGCTCCTTCGTCAATCCATTTGAATTAGACAGTGCAGCACCCAAGTCTCCCTTGAACCATGAAGACTGAGCTCAGCGAGTACTCCCAACGCCGTGGCACGACCGGCCCGTACGCGGACAACCTCAACGTTGATGTGCTGATTGTTGGGGCCGGCTTTGGAGGCATTTATTGCCTCTACGAAATGCGCAAACTCGGTCTCAGGGCCGTCATCTACGAAGCGGGCAATGATCTGGGCGGAACGTGGCGATGGAACTGCTATCCGGGAGCTGGTGTTGATTCGGAAGTCCCCGAGTACCAGTATTCCATCCCAGAGACATGGAAAGACTGGACCTGGTCCACCAACTACCCGACCTACGACGAGCTGCGGAGGTACTTCGATCATGTGGAAGACGTCCTTCACGTCAAGAAAGACTGTGCCTTCGACAGTGTGGTCGTGGGCGCACAGTTCAACACCGACGAAGGCCGCTGGCAGATCAAGACAGCCGATGGAAGGACTGCATACGCAAAGTTCTTCATCATTGCTGCTGGCTTTGCTGCCAAACGCTATGTTCCCGAGTGGCCAGGAATCGACTCGTTCAAGGGAATTGTCCACCATTCGTCCTTTTGGCCCGATGAACACATCGATGTCCGTAACAAACGCTGCGCCGTCATTGGCACCGGAGCATCTGGTGTGCAAGTCGTTCAGGCCTGGGGTCCAGAAGCTGGCTCGCTGAAGGTCTTCCAGCGGACGCCCAACCTTGCCGTCCCCATGCGTAAACGGTCGCTTACCATCGAAGAGCAGCAGCAGGCAAAGATCTTCTACCCGGAGCTGTTCGCATATAGGGAGAAATGCTTCGCTGGATTTCTTTATACTTTCTGTGAGAGAAACACCTTTGAGGATAACGAGGAGGAAAGGGAAGCTTTCCTCGAAAAGCTCTGGAAGGATGGAGGATTCCGCTACTGGGTCGCCAACTACAAAGACTACCTCTACGACCCCAAGGCAAACCGGGTGGTCTACGACTTCTGGGCCAAGAAAGTCCGCCAGCGCATCGGAGACCCAAGGCTCCGAGATATTTTGGCTCCGTTGGAACCCCCCCATCCATGGGGCGTCAAGCGGCCTTGTCTGGAGTATAACTACTATGAGCAATTCAACCGTCCCAACGTCGAAGTGGTGGATATCCAAAATAACCCTATTGAGGGTTTCACGGAGACCGGCATCATTCTTCAGGATGGAACAGTGCACGAGTTTGATGTAATCTGCATCGCCACTGGCTTCGACATCACCACCGGTGGCATGACCAATATGGGTCTGCGCAGTATTCACGGTACTCCGTTGAAAGAGGAGTGGAAGGCAGGCGCCTACACTTACCTGGGAACTACAGTCAGTGGATATCCCAACATGTTCCATCTGTACGGACCGCATGGGCCAACCCTGCTCAGCAACGGCCCTACGACCGTTGAAATCCAGGGCCGTTGGATCCGCGATGTTATCAAGCAGATCAACCGTCAGGGCATCAAGTACATCGATCCCACGCCCGAAGCAGCCAGTGCGTGGAAGCAACGCATCAACAAGCTCTCTGACGAATCTCTCTTTCCCACCACAAAGTCCACGTACATGGGAGGTAGCATGCCAGGGAAGGTGTTTGAACAGGTCAACTATGCTGGTGGGGAGTATGAGTATTCTAAGGAGATTCGGGCAGCGCTTCCAAACTTTACTGGGTTTAAAGTCGTCAAGAATTGAGATGGAGGTTTAGTATATGCGTATCTAGAGGGGTTCTTTATTAACACAATAGCAAGAAGCTATTTATAAATGAGGTCGTTGTAACCATCGTAGGGCTTAGGGCAAGGGCTCTCCGGCCGTGACTCCTGCTAAGCCGAGATCCGCGGTTCATTCCATCCTTCGGCTATCGCTGAAGGTCACCGTCTCTCCAGCCCAATCGCCTTGTCCCTGATTTCTCTTCCTCTCAATCCCCGACCAACCTGCTGCGATTTATTTCTCAGCACCGATTACCTTCTTCTTCGGTCAGAAATACGGCATACACAGCATCCCGAGCAGAACACCAAAACCCTACATTCGAGAGAAGAAGAAACAATGTCCACGAAGACATTCACCCGCGACGAAGTCGCAAAACACAACACCGAAGATTCCGTCTGGTGCATCATCGACCATCGCGTCTATGATCTTACAGATTTCCTCGATGCGCATCCCGGTGGAAGCGTGGTTCTGGCCCAAATAGCCGGCAAGGACGCCACGACTGAATTCTACAATCTGCATCGACAGGAGGTGCTGCAAAAGTACAAGGATTCACTCTGCATCGGGACCGTGGAGGGTGAGAAGCCCGAGGTGATCGAGCCTGAGCTGGGAGGTCTCAGCCCTGTTCCCTATGCGGAGCCGTTGTGGCTGCGTCCCGAGTTCAAGAGCCCCTACTACACGGAGAGCCATCGCAGATTGCAGAGGGCAATTCGCGAGTTCACGGAGAAATATATTTCTCCCGAGGCGCATGAGAAGGAGAGGGATGGCTCATATATTAGTCAGGGGTTGATTGATCGGATGGCGGAGACGAATATCTTGGCTATGCGTTTGGGACCGGGAAAACACCTGCATGGAAGGAAGCTTCTCGGGGGCGTCGTGGATGGGAAGGAGTTTGATTATTTCCATGACCTGATCGTTGCGCAGGAAGTGACAAGGATTAATGGCAGAGGTTTGTTACCCTTGTTCTTCGTGAAGTTTGGAGGCATTGCTGATATTATCCCGCTATCAGGATTTGTCGATGGAAATATGGCGGGCATGGTTATCAGCTTGACGGCCGTTCGGCAGTGGCTGCGAAATGACTCGCTTAAAGAGAAAATCAGCGAAGAAGTCCTATCTGGAAAGAAAAAGATCTGTCTGGCTATTACAGAGGCATTTGCGGGCAGTGATGTTGCGGGTCTGCGCACAACAGCTACGAAAACACCTGATGGGAAATACTATGTCATCAACGGGACCAAGTATGTTGCATTCTCCCCGGACTATATCAAGAATCAAGCTGACAGGTCCTGATTCTCAGAAAGTGGATCACAAATGGCATGTTTGCCGACTATTTTGTCACCGGTTGCCGTACAGAAAAGGGCTTCTCCGTGATACTGATACCCCGTGATGATACTGTTGACACGACCCAGATCAAAACCTCATACTCTACTGCCGCAGGAACGGCGTTCGTGCAGTTCGACAACACCAAGGTCCCTGTCGAGAATCTGTTGGGCGAGGAACACAAGGGTTTTATTGTGATCATGAGCAACTTCAACCACGAGCGATTTATGATGGCTTGCGGCTCTATCCGTGCAGCCAGAACCGTTGTCGAAGAATGCTTGAAGTGGTGCAACCAGCGTATCGTCTTCGGCAAGAAGTTGATCGAACAGCCCGTTATTCGGCAGAAGTAAGTATATTCGAGTCTTCCTTCTCGCCTACCCTCTCTGCCGAGTAATGCTTACCGGATACTCTAGGCTCGCGCGGATGATTTCCCTCTGCGAATCCAACCAAGCATGGCTCGAGGCTATTACCTATCAGATGTGCAATATGACCTACGCCGAACAGGCCCTCCACCTAGGCGGCCCTATCGGCCTCCTCAAATCCCACATTACTCGCGCTGCCCAGGAGATCGCCGATCAAGCGACAAATATCTTTGGCGGTCGCGGAATTACTCAGACTGGCATGGGCAAGGCTATCGAAATGTTCAACCGGACTTACAAATTTGATGCTATCCTCGGTGGTACAGAGGAGATTCTTGCGGATCTTGGAGTGAGACAGGCCTACAAGAGATTCCCAAAGGCTATGCTATAGTCCTTTTCGAATGAATATAGGCGAAGAATTTTTATATGATGTTTTTGGTCTGGCATGTTGCGGGTACAGCAGAACTTCGTGGGCGTTTGGGTAAGCACGGCCTACGATCTAAGTGATTCGAGACTTATATAGCTACGCCTATGGTTAATGGATTTATCACTCCCAGTCTGAAAGCATCTCAGCTTGCTATATCAACGGGTTTTCCTGCTTGAACAGCAGGATCTTTCACATTGCTCCTGGCTGGATGTTATTGAAGACTTCCGAGTTAAGATTTCTTTGCGGTCTTATGCTGTTTCTTGCGGGTGCAATCAGATGGCCCAGCCCCTTGGAATAAAGAAACCCTCTGCCACAGAACATAAAGACATCGACCATGAATCGAAGCTGGCATTCGCGATCAAAGCCGTTTGACAGTGAGACTTAAAGAATGGGTGGATGTCTTTATTCTTCAGCAGAACTCTTCCCGATGATTCTTCTCTGTATAAACGCTTTGCTCATTTCTCGGTTGATTCAATCAATTCTTCATCCTGTATCAATGCTAAGCACGATCCTGTTCTCGGTGACCTCACGTCCCCTGAGGACATCCCACATATCTATTTACCTTACTGGATTCTGTTGCTGTCTTTTCTCCCCACGACTCGTCTACAATGGTCCGTACAAGGGACATGGCTAGGGTCCGACTAAATTTACTCCTTGAGATAATGCCCAACGAAATTGTACAGATGATCATTGAGCACTGCCCGCTCGAGGACCATGTCACCCTTCTTCGAACAAGTATATCGTTCTGGATCGTTGCAAACCGTTTGCTGTATCATCGTATGAAAGGCCAAGTTGTGACCGCCAATAACTCTGAGGAATTCCACTGCCAGGTCAATATTGCCAGCAACGGGGACTGGGGACGTCTAAACAGTGAATACGAAGATATTGCGAGGGACCCGATTCTCAATCTCCCTGCAACGGACAACGCTGACACCTTGGCTCGCTGTCTTAATGCACGGATGGATCCCAATGCACATGTCCTTAGCGGAGATACAATGCTAACCTGTGCAGTTAGACATGACAGTTGCAACGTAATCGAACTGCTCTAGCTCGCGGTGCTGACCCGAACAAGGATGACGCTTACGGCCGCAATGCAGTCGAGATCGCTGTTACCAGTGGACAGGAGGCTGCACTGCATCTCCTGCTGCTGGCTGGTGCAGACCCCACGATACGATGTGCCTTCAACCAGATTGTCAGCGTGTTCTCTGTGACGACCGTCGAACTAGCTCTTCATTGCGGAGCCGACATAAACGCCGTCGACCCAGACACCGGATATTCGACTGCACACTGCGCGGCAGAGAATACGCGATACCGAATCATCTCATCTTTATCGTCATTCCTTCCTCTCAACGGCCTGGATATAGACGGATACACGCCTCTGCATACCGCGATCTACAAAGAAAACGAGAACGCGATCCGAGACCTCCTCAATGCCAACGTGGACGTCACTGCTATCCCAGAAAATGGCCAAACAGTCCTCCACATGGCGTGCAAGAGGGCCATGTTGCCCCTAATTGAGGGATTGCTCGAACGCGGCGCTCCATTGAATGTCCGCTACCACGAGGGAACCGAACTCCATACTCTTGTCCGCGGAGCGATAAGTCGCCTCCAGAATTACTTGTATTCTCCAGAATACCCCCATTCACCTAAGTCAAGCTCGCTGGAAGGCATTGAATCGCACGCTATTACCGTAGCCTCGTTGCTCATACGGTACGGGGCGGATGTAGAAGAACGAGACGAATTGAATCGAACTCCTGCTTTGATGGCGGCGCAGTCTCAATTTTATAAACTTGAAGATACTCTCAATAATGCTATGGTATTTTAATTTTTCTGCAAGGTGTCTGATGTATACACTACGGAGTATATGTTGGTATTCCCATGGTTCACTCCTTTCTAACTAGAACAACCAACTCAGCGAGTTCGACCCCCATCAATATCTTATACGTCGCAGGGACGTACAGTAGCTTCGTACAATCAGAAATCTATCTACAACTTCTTCTCATATCGCATAGCGTACGCATCGTCCCCTGACAATTAGGGTCTTTGTCGCTAGGTAGGGCTGACATAAGATCACGTGCAATGGCTGTGCGCGTGGCTATGCGAGTGGCTGTGTCAAGGAATGTCACCTGACCTGATGTCACATGTGGAACCATAAATGTGGCGGTGCTATTGGCTGAGTCAGCCACATTATTTCAGCCAATCACAGGGAAGATCTGCTGTCGATGACCTCAAGCGCGACAATTTCGCTCCAACACGCGACGATTCTGCTGCAATCCATGTCTTCCCCACTCACCATTTGCTTCGAGAGTCCACGGATGCGCATGGATGGACGTGGATTGACAAGGATTGTCGTCCCTAGCCCCTCTCCTCCATTCTGGCTGTTCCGGCGTTCCACAGATGAGCCCCGTCCAGATGCTCCACCGATCCACTGATGGGCAACATGCTACATATCATAGCACAGCGTACACTTCACATCACAAGGATGTAGTGTAGCGAGAGCAATGATCTAATCAATTAATGTTGCCGCCTGCTGGGTCGACTGAAAAATAAGAAGTCGTCCGTCTGTTCGTTATTCTTTTGTCCTTTGTTCCTTGTGGTGGGATTGTATCTACCTTCTCATTATAATATTATTTACATTGCTACACAGAACACTGTTTTCAATCTCTCAGCCTTCGAATTACTGCTATTGAAAACATGGCGGCCATTGGAGGCGTTATCCTTCGCTTCTTCAATCTGGGCCTGCGTGTCCTCCAAGTCTTCGATTCCGCCGTCATCCTGGGCATCTTCTCTTACTACCTCGCCGTCCTAGCGGACCATAACCTGCCCATCCCGACATGGACGAAAGCCGTCGAGGGTCTCTCGGGTGCTGCGACCCTCTACGCCTTACTGGGCTGTCTCTTCAGCTGCTGTCTCGGCGGGATGACCTTCTTCGCCTTCGTCGGCATGCTGCTGGACGTCTGCTTCGTCGGAGCCATGATTGCCATTGCAGTCCTGACTCGTGACGGCACGCAATCCTGCCATGGAAATGTTCACTCCCCTCTCGGAAGTGGCCCTTCCAACACCGATTCCAGCACGACCAAAATAAACCTCGGTTTCGCCTGTCGTCTCGAGAAGGCGTGCTTTGCTGTGTCAATCATTGGAATGTGAGCATCCTGCCTATCTACCCTGCATATCTTTTTTTTTTTTTTTTAAAAAAAAAAAAAAGAAAAGAAAAGAAAAAAACATATTCAACTAACACTGCTATTTAGCTTCTTATTCCTCGTATCCATCCTCTTCCAGCACCTCCTGGCCCGTCACCACAGACGCGAGAAGCGTTATGGTCCTTCCCCGGCCAACGGATACACCTCTGGTAAGGGCCGAGGTGGCTTCTTCTCCGACTCGGGCAGCTCTAGAACCAGAGGCGATGACAGTCTCTTGCAGCATCCTACCCCGAAGGAAGCTTTCTATAGATCTGTTTAAAAACCGACGAAAAAAAAAAAAAAAAACGATGGCTATTGATTGGCATCCCGGATGGAACTTTGCGGTCCCAATGGCGGGATATGGAAAATTAATTCAGTTAGAAGTATTCTTTCTACTTTGCTACGATTTGCTATCTGTTCTACGTGAGAATATATTTAATATTGGATGGGATGGGATGGGATTATCTCATCTCACAATACTGGCGTTGCAGAGGACTGTTTTCTTTGGAATGGATTTCTTGTCAAAATATTTGTTCTTGTTTTCTTTTTACCCTTTGCTTGTGATACCACTATTCGTTAGGAATTATCATGGCAACGTCAGTGATAGGAATGACTGAGTTGAATTGAGCGAAAAGGTTAGAGTTGGAAGTCGAACCAGAAAATACACGGACCTCATGACTTTCATTTCCCCTCTGTCAGAAAGTCTGTTGATGTTGCCCTTCTATTCCTCCTGTTAAACAGAAAAGGGTACCAACATGAATCAAAGGGACAGGGACACTGCATTGCGTTGCCGGCAGTGTATTACATCAATGAGTCTGGGATATGCTGTCAACCATAATGAAGCATGTGTAACATTAACAAGATGACCTTGGGAAAACTCTTGATAAAGTTATACTCTGTGCCAAACATTTAATAGATAATGAACAAAGAGCTACCCTACTTGACGAGTATCTAGGAAGCTGAATGATAAATTATATTGAGAAGGGAATATATGACTGCTATACTATAAAAATCATGGCTCATAATGCAGTATATAGAAGCGACCCTAAATCCCAAACCTCTCCTTTAACCGACTCTTCAACTCCTCAATACTAATCCATTTATCACCTTCGTAGATCATGCTCCGAGTCTTTTTATCCCGTGTTCTGACGGCCAGCGGGCGCGGTGGAATGATGAGCCAGTCATGTTTTGGGCTGCAGACGTCTACAGGATGCGTCTTTGTTTTCACTAATGGGAAGCATGTCTCGCAGAATAATGTATCCCAGCAATACCGGCACATTGCCTTGCCATCAATGCCGACTTTTTTATGGCACCCGTTGCAGTAGAAGAGTTTGTCTCCTTCGCTGTTGTCCTTGTCCGCGGCAGCGGTACTTGCACCTGGAGCCGATTCACGTTCTTCTGTTCCGGGATGCTTATCGTCTCCTCGAGTGTTCGTAGTGTCTTCTTCTTTGGCTTCATGATCGTCGTCTCTATCGTCATTATCATCATCATCATCGACGTCCCATCCGAGTCCAATCATGTTCATCTTATACCAAGCCCCAATTGCACCTTCATCATCTCTCACAGCCGCCAGAGTACCAGACAACCGGTAATATGCCTCATAATCGTTGGTTGGATCGTCATCGCTCAACAGTCGGATAGACTCCTTGACTTGCGCTTTGTAGCACTTCAATGCGTCCTCCTGCTGACCACAGACCTGATAGTAATTGCCCAGCAAAAGGCCAAATTCCGAGTCGGGAACAAATCCTTTATGGATAGACATCTTCTCACTGCCTGTTCCAATTACATTGGCGTATGGCAGCGTAAGCGGCTTCCCCATTGCGAGAAGTTCAATCATCCGACCATACCTCTGGATCGCTTCCACATTATTATTATTAGTATCCTGACTGATTTGTGCGCACTGTACCAAGAAATAGTTGACCAGATTCGTAGATGCGTTCTGCACCGCCCCGATGCGGTCTTCGCTATTCCCACTACTGTACGTATCTATAAGATGTTCCCAGATGCGAATCGCACGCTGCAAGTCGTCTCCGTACATCCAGCAGAAGGTTCCCAGCCAAAGTTCCGTGTTCGCAGCCTGAATAGGTTTACGCTCTTTACGAGCCATTATGGCGGCTGAAGAGTAAGCATGCAGCATGAATTGGACGTTATCGGTATGAGAAGCTGCAACCCCAAAGCGGGAGTGATATGGGAAGGATCCTGTGCCGGCATTGATCAAGATTGATTCCGTAAGGCGGGAATAATCCTTGTCTGGAATCTTGTCATCCATTCCCTGCAGCATGGAAATATACTCTTCATATCTCTGCTTCTCACCGAGGAAGTCCAGAATTTTGCATATACATGCGTCGCAACGGTTGCCATGCTCAAAGGCTTTCTGGTACATCGTGAATCCCATTTCAGCATCGCCAAGTCTGCTATACCAGTCGCCTAGGTCCTCGTAGACTCCATGCATGTCGCCATCCCAGAGAGGGTTGGCTGTTTTATCAGTCTTCTCCAATTCCTCAGCCGCCATTTTACCCAACTTGATGGCTTTAGCAATGTCTCCTGTGGCCAAATGAGACGATGCCATGCCATACAGAACTAGCCACCTGTAGGTAGTAGAAAGCTCCAGTGCCTTCTCAAAGACCTCCAGTGCTTTATTATAATGGTAGAGATCTCGGAGGGTCATCGCGAGCCGTCGATACCATTCTCCATCCTTTTCGAAGCCACACCACTCCGCTGCCTCCATGATATTCTCAATCGTAAGGCACTCCGGGTGTGGAAGTCCCTGACGTAAATTGAGGAACTTGCAGACAGTACGGCATATTACATGCGCTGTCCACATCATTCCCTGAAGCCATTCCGAGGCAAGGCATTTCATGGCCGGCTGCAAAATGTCCACGTTACTTTCGGATATTGCACTGTTGTACCAATCTCTCTCCTTGGGAGGTAGCGAATCCTGAACATCCTTGTCTCCCAACCATGTTACAAGTAGATCCACATTTTCTTGTGTAAAGAAAGCAGGACTGGTGGAACCGATATACTTCTTCACGACAGCTTCATTGGACAGTAGACGGGCCAGGTGAAGTCCAATGACCTGCTTGTCTGCCATGAAGGTCTTAGCGATATTGATCCCTTTCAGGGTATCGAGTAGAGCCTCGCATGCGTAGCTGAAAAGTGCTGCGGATATCGCTCCTTTAGCGGATCCCTCCTCGTCGGAAATGATTTCGAGATACCTCGTCACGACAAGAACTTTAGCGCTATGATAGTTAACGCCGACGAGGGGACAGTCCGGCCCTATAGACACTTTGCCTTCTGTCTCATTGCGAAAGAAGTCGCCGATCGAGGCATGGTTGAACGTAACCTCGGTCGTTTCTGGATTGGAATCAAAGTCAGAAGGGTTGTCGGGATCATCAAAGCCATTCGCAGGCAGAAGATAATCCTCGTCTGCGCCTAGATTCCCTTCAAATGCTGCTGTCCGTTGCAGGTCAGCGGTTGTCAGCTTGTCCTCACGGGTCAGGAGGAACAAGGAAGCAAATTGCCTTCGAAGAAAGCCCTCGATCCACGTCCATCCGCTTCCGTCGGCGGATTTCCATTTCAATATATTGTCTACTTGTGACAGTGTCAGTGGCCGCTGTGCACAAGTCACCCAGGCTAGCAGTTCATTCAGGTCATCGGCATCTTCAGGCGTGTCCTTCAAGCTCTCCGAGAAACTCTTCAGCACATGACGGATCATTCCTGATAGGCCGCTGGGGGCGCTGTTAAGCGCCTGTCGGATGTTTTTCTCGCTCCTTTTCTTCATGATCTCGGTCAACATGAAGTCAACCCAAATAAACTAGAGACAGTCAGTATCAGACTGCAACTAGGATCCGAGTCCAGCATGGCAGAGATGGGCCGTCAACGTACCATGCCCTGTGCTCCTGCAGAGAGCTTCTCAACTATTTCTGCCTGGAGGCTTTTGGAGGCACGTTTCAAATACACAGACTTCGCGATGCTGCTTCTGACATAGTGGATGATGTCCGCGGAGTTATTTATTTCTGACACATGGATTATACGTGGTGGGAATTTTTCATAGAGACCTTCAATCTCGTCAGCAATGTGAGGTCGGCCTAGCATGAGCAGTTGCAACCGAGTGCCACGGGAGATGTCGTTGAGGAACCCGAAGAACTCCTGGCGATCTTCAGACCAGGACTCATCCAGTGCATCCAGGACTATGTACAGGACGCTGTCAGAGGCTTCCTGCTCAATGAAGAAATCAAGGAACAATTTCCGCCATGAGCTTTCAAGCGTTGCAATCTCATCAGGACTGTCAATGCACGAGACGATGTGCTTTGCATATGCGGCGTCATTCTGGGCGACCTTGAATGCAATGTCACGGAGGGCTTGATGGAACGAACGAGTCTTGGGATTGTCGTCTTTGAAGAAGAAGTAGCCAACGGAAACATGCGACGGATGTTGGACGTTTTGCGGGTAGGTCTCCTTGAAGTAGGTGATGATGTTGGAGGCAATATAAGACTTTCCGGCACCCGGAGTTCCAGACACCCACAGAATAGGGGTTTCCTTATTTATCCAATCTTGAAAGTCCTTCTCGTTTCGAATCCAGTCTCCAGTGCCCGGGACTCGACTCCGATTTATCGTGCTGTACCTGTCGTCGGCGCTGGTCCCGGGCTGCAGGACTTTCTTGACGTGGTCCTTATGGCCTTTCAGCTTGGCCTCCTGGGATTCCGCCAAACTTCGCTGCTGGGCAAATGAGATGCTTTCCACACGCCTTGTCAGTTCCGTCATATTAAAGTCGACCCTGGTGAGAGTCACATTGGCGACCTTGACTTCGGTCAAAGTCTCGGCCTCAACAAGACTACCCTCGCTGGCGATCAGTTTGGTTAGCTTCCCCATGGCTTCTTTGCCATCGTCATTTCGAAGAAGAATGCTTTTCCCGAAACTGAAGAGCCTTCCATGTTTGACCTCCTGCCGGGCCAGCGCGAACACTTCGAGAAGCGTGGCCAAGATGTCCGCAAGTTTGTGGCTCAGACTTGTAGAGATTTGCTGCTCAGCGTACGTATTTAGACGGATGGTGAAATCCTTAAATCCCAGAACGAGGACGGCGTCAGGAGGCCTTGCGAGCCGAACAAGAGGTGGATCAATCGGTCATTCTTACCTTCAGTGTGCCCATCAACTCCATGATCGCATTGAACTTTGCCGAAACACCTTTCGCAGCGTCCATCAGGTACATCACTGAGGCGAATATGAGTGTGCTGGGCGGATACAGCATGGAAGCTGCGCCAGCGGCGATGCCTCCCACCAGTTCGATGGGCCGCAATGCATACTCCAGTGCCGTAAATATGCCGCGTCGTTTCTCACGGAAGTCACTGAACTGCTTATTTTCGCTGTCGATCACGCTTAGAAGCCCCTCAACCGTGCTCAGATGCTCCAGGGCTGGATCATCAAGCTTCCTGTTGGTGATTTGCTCATATCGATCGACGGCTGCGCTCCAGATGAGCGCTACCTGGTCCGATTCTGACATGATGAGGGCCGCTGGGAGCGTGCATGCGAAAGAGCTTGATCTCGAGTGCCCCGCATGGTATGGATATATATACCCTGTAAATCCAGCTGACGCCGGGGTCTGACTGAATATGCCACAGAATACCCAGGCTGGCCAAGCCTTCAGAATCCTGCTCTTCAGCTGATGCTATAGGCCCGTGAAGGCCTACATTATAAGCAGCTCCGCCTTCATGCATATTTAGCGTACCTTGGCCGTATTTGCTTTTCATTAAACGGTCGCGTTATGGACTTCGGGGAAATGAGGGGCGTCAAACCAGGCTGAGAGCAGTCGATAGCGGAAGTGCTCAGCTAATCATCGTTTCATCACGGCTTAAGAAAGTTCACCGAGTGAACCAGGCAGCATTGGTTTTTCTGAAGGAGGCTTCTACTCCGCGATATATGGCATTCAGACTGCAGCCAGTATGTTTCCCGGATCAAGGCGAACAGTGTTGAACAATGATGATGGGATGAACTGGCTGTACATCTTGCTGACTAATCGCATATGCCCAAACTGGAAGGAGCTATAGCCCTGAAGCCCTAAGCCCTAAGGTGGTTAGGGCCTCAGTTCAGATAAGGAGCAGAAACGATGTCATTTCATTAATCCTGCCTTGGGTAGCTATGCTGTCGTTTATTGCTGCAGGCGTGTAACGATTTATACGAGAAGGAAAAGTCTACAATTTATATATATCCATAGCAATAGGAGGACCGTGAGCTCCCAGAATCCGAACCCCCGCCCATCGAGTCCGATTCAGCCATCTGGACCAGCTACCATGGTACATAGATGATACACGAACGCCCTGATTCAAACCTGAAAGGCGAGGGGTTGATTAAAGTGGTCAAGCTTGCCGGGATTCTGGGGATACATTGCCATCCATGCGCGCTTTTGCGGAAAAGAACATTGAACAGCCAGGATGGGACATGTTTCCGGGCCACCACATGCTGTCGGAATCAGAGACTTCGACCGGAAGGATAGGTCTTTGGTCTTCATTTCACGTCCTACATGTTTACTCCACGTCATGAGATCACCCGTGGACGCATATATTAAGCTGGGAATTATGTCTCTGAAGACTCGGGATAGATGCATATGGATAAACCCTAACATTCGATGTGCTCGCTGCAGCAATCTATTCCAGATACGAACTAATCAAAACTAGACAATCGGCAAACACAAACAAGTCTTGTACGCAATATACAAACGAACGCTGGAACAGGAAACTATCGTCACAGAGGTATCAAGTGGTTGCCAAACAACAAACCACGTTAATCAACATCAGGCCCAACAGGCGGAGTGCTTGCCGACAGGTTACACTGTCGAAACAGACGGACCTCATTATCCGCAAAGGCGCCAACAACGGTATGGAGAACGCCCTGGTTATTGAACAAGACAAAGTCTCCCTCCTCCCAGTCATGCGGGTAGACATACGCGGGGCTGATAGCCGGCCGTTGCAGCCGGTAGACAATGTCGCGGACGGTCTTGAGGTCATCGATCGTCGACCCGTCCGCGCGGTGAATCCGACGGATAGCAGAAGGGTGGATCTGCAGGGCGAACTGGCCGGTGACGGGATTCTTCCATAGCATGGGCAGGATCTTGATCTTCTCGGACTCGATGGGCGGGAGTTCGGATTCTGGGAGCTCACGGTCCTCCGAGTACAAACCGAGTCCTGTGGGGAGGGAGCGGCCGCCGCTCATCCAGATGTACGGGTGAGGCGCGTACTCAATGCGGCTGGTGCGGACGAACTCCCTATCCTCCGGCGAGAGACGGTTATACATCTCGTAGCCCGAAACGAAGGCTGTGGTGCCCAGTGGCACCTCGAGTTCGTCGCCGGTGCCGTCATCGTAGCGGACGATCTGGCGGCGTCCCTTGGGCACGGAGACAGCCAGCAGGGTCGTAACACGCGGTGGGTTCAGATCGTACAGGGCTGCATCGATGTGCCAGCGGTAGAAGCGGGTGTACTTGCGGTCGTCCTCCTCGGGGATGCGGTCCCGGTGGAAGGTCTTGTGGTGCGGGTGGCGGAGCTGGAAGTTCACCAGTCCTTCGTAGCTGGGGATGAATCCGTGTCCGATGATCTGCACCTGCGGTTGGCGAGGAACCGTCTTCAGGTCCGGATGCAGGATGCTGCGCTTCGCGTCGAGTGTCGTGCCATGTCCGTATGTCTGGGACTCCGGGTCGAAGCGGCGCGTTACCTGGTATTGCGCCTCTGCAGACAGGTCCTTTTTGCTCTTCACGACGACGACGCTGTACCGGTAGAGGGTATCGTAGAGAAGGGCGAAATCGGCTTCTGCAGCAGTGCGTTAGTCCCTGGTCACATCAGAGCGTGCTGTCGTCTCAAGGCCCAAGACTTACCATGGGAGGTTACCGATCCCCGGAGTGCTCCCGCATATCTCGAGATATTGCAACCCGTCCATTCTCACTCAAACCTACCTGAGAGATTCTCAAGATCAAGACCGGTGATAACGGCGCCAAAGTCCCTCGGGGACTTGTGGGTCAAAGGTCGGACAACGGCAGTGGACTGAACGGCAGGCATTTTGCTGAGCAGCTGGGTTTGCTGGTGAAGATTCTTCCGTTGATCGATCAGTGTCTCCTGGCGAGAAAGCAGCGCAGGTGAAGCATCCGTGGTCTTTATACCATGGAGCATGCGGGGATCTCCGATGCGGCGGCTGCCGGTCCGTGAAGGTTTGCGTATCTCTACGGAGTCGCAAAGTAAACAGGATTATGCAACGGCTGGAACGAGAAAAAGAAACGCAAGGCGACGTCCATTGCGACTTTCTCGATGCATGCGTGGGGGTTCCATTCGAGTGAATGGCACTTGCATGCATCTTGATCAATTCAGATCAATTTATGCCGAGACAAACTGTTGATTATCATGGTTGAGAGCGTCCTGCAAAGCCATGGCCAACTAGCCCTAAGTGCGAGCATACTCCGGTACTCTACGCATGAACGATTCGCAACACTAGACTCTTCCCAACCTCGAACGCCTTAGTTATGAAGCATAAATTTAGAAGCAATCGGTTATCAAGGCTCGCCCAACCTTACCAAGAAAGAATCCAGCCGATCCTGATAAGCCCCGAGTCAAGTTCTGCGATAGGGCAACGCCGGCAATGAAGCCCGAATACCGAATAATAATGAAGACTAGAGCGATAAATGCCGTATTTCTGCATGTCATCCTTCCAGCACCCAAGGGCAGCGTGCCAACATGGAGATGACCGGCCACGTTAATAGGGTTAGGCCGCTTGCCGCCCGCAGGTATCGCTCCAAAAGACAGCGGCCGTGCGATCTCTGTCGTCTCCGGAAGACAGTCTGCAAGATCCTGGTGGAGAGCACGGCCTGCGACCTGTGTATGAGACTAGGCCGGAATTGCACCTTTGTCTTGCAGCCTCTGCGAAAGGATAGGAGGAGCTCGTCGTCCGCTCTTGTAGGTGGGAATTCGCAGGCTGCTAAGACGCCGCAGAATCCATCCAGGCTGCCTCGGACGGCTCAATCTGATCCTGATCCTGATCCGATTCTCCGGAGGAATGGAGACAATAATATGGACAATGCGTTTGATGACATGGATGCGTTTATCTTTCCTTCTCCGGGGGAGCAGCTTTTACCGTATAACCTGCAGACGGTGCCTGAGCTGGGTCATCTTGACGATCCGTTGATGCTTGCTTACAATTCCGGCATGTACCTAGCCAGAGACTTATTTGTGTAAAGGCATTCGCTGATGTGTGCGTTTATAGCCCCTGTGAATCCCGGGAATGGCCCGGAGACACCATACCACGACCAGCAAAGGAGCAGTGGGTTCCAAGACCCGCCGCAATGCCCAACTGGTAGTCGAGAGTCGAATGGAGATGGACCGGCCAGCTGGACTGGCGACTGGCCTGAAGCGTTCTCTCTGGATGCAAGGCCTGGGTACGTAACCCAGGTAATTGGCCTGTCTAATGAAGAAGATCCGTTTCTGCTACGGCACTACCAGTACAACAAACTGGACAACTATGACATGTTCAAACTCGACTACCGCAAAGTCACAGACGATGTGAACCTGCAGCCACATATCCAGGCGAATCCTGCTTGCGGAAATCCCGGGATTCCCGCTAGTAAGATCCCTATCCAGTTCATGATGATCAATGAGAGCATATGCGAGGATAATGTCAGAGCGGCGGAGAAAGACTTTCTGCTGGAAAATTCAGAGACCAGGGATCGCGAGATGCTGAAGAGTATTGTCCCTGATGACCTGGGATGGAGGCTATCCAAACTGTAAGACGAGGACTGTTTCCGAGCATGATTGCTGCCGGCTTTGGGCTAAACAGGTCAGATTCTTCCAATATGTCCAGCCGGCATATCCTGTTCTTTGCGCACAAGACTATAAGGCCCTCACCACAGGCCTGGGAAGCGATCTTTCTATTGGGTTGAAAGCTGCAATATACGCCCTGGCCCTCCCATTCTGTTTCCTAGATGACCACCTATCCCTGAACAAAGCGTACCAGCAACCTCCCACAGATGGGCTTTGGGGAATCGCGCATCGCTGTCTGGTGCGCAGTTCCCAAAAGCCGCTCCTCGCCCTGGTGCAACTGTACTGCCTGCTCCTGCAACGGCCGCCAGAGAATTTCGCCGTGGGCGATATGTCGGGTCAATGGACATTGTCCTGCTCCGCACTGGCTGCCGCCGAGAGTCTCGGGCTGAACCTGGACCCTAGCGACTGGAGACTGCCGCGGTGGGAGATGCATCTGCGCAGGCGGCTGTGGTGGATTGTGTATATTGATCATATCTGGTCTGCGCTGGTTCTTGGACGTCCGTCCCATGTGAAGGATGAGAATTGGTCTGTTTCGAAGCTCACTCTGGAGGATTTGGAGGTGGATGAGCACGGGTCTTCAGAGGTGGGAAATCACATCCGCGGTCAGAGTGCGTATTTTCTTTCTCTGTGTGACTTGACGGGGATTGCGAGCGATGTGTTGAGTCGTCTGTAGTAAGTTCATCTTTTCATTTCGTACTATCGTGCAAAGAGGGGGTCTATGAGGCTGCCGATTGACCACCTCTAGTACCATCAAAGCCGTCCACGAAGCAACCACTCTATCAGATCTTCTCATGCGAGTTGAACCGCTCCGAGCACGACTTGCCGAGTGGAAAGGAAGCACATTCAATGGCGCAGCATCGCAATTCGACAGCAACGGCTTCTCAAGCCGGCGCGAATATCTCCGCATGGCCTACATGACGCTGGAAGTGCTCATTCTCAGAGCACTGTTTCGACCGCAGACAGCATGGAATGAATACGAATATGAGCATCACCGAATATTCAAGGACAGCCTGTCCTGCGCAGCGCAGGCCATTGAGCTCGTTTCCCGTCTTACATCGAGGCATTTTGCCCACTTCTGGCCTCCGTGTACGTTCCTCCACAGCCGTTTTGGGGGGTTGAATATCTGCCATTCCACAACTGACGGTGTATAGATGCTCGATACCAGTTCGCATGTGTCTCAACCTTTATCCTACTCCAGCTTGTGCAATCGCCATCCATGGAGACGGCTGTGGAGAGTAAACAACTCCTGGAGAAATGGAGGGACACGATTCGCATCCAGGCCCGGGCATGGCCCGTCCTGAAACTGGCAGTGATACGGCTGGACGCCGTATTCTGGAAAGGACTGGAGAAATCGTCGAGCTGGATAGGGATGAAGAGTCCTGCGCAGATTCTGTTGAGTCAATGACCCGGGAAGCTTTGCTATTACACCATGTAAGCCGTGTCTGATCGCCTTTTTGTCCTCGGTGGTATAGGCCAGTTGGAGTTCAATAAGGGGCTGGAGTTCTGTTTGGGAGCTTTGGCACGTGAGGTCGAGGTCGAACTGTTTTCATTAAATCCTCGATATCGAGAGATTTGTTATTTTCTTCTTTCCCCTACATGTTCTCATACCCAACATGACTGACCTTGTACTATCTCGATGATTTGGACAGCATCTTCTACAAGTCATCTAAGAAAATGAAGCCCTCTATTGACTATGGTTAGGTGGACACGCCCGGCATGTTGGAATACCGGTATATATGCGGCAAAAAGGGCGTCATTCTGGCTGGAGACCCGATAGACTATGGGCCTTCCCGTTCGAAGAATCGATAGTTCTATTTCTAGGAACAGCTTTGTCCTTTCGGTAAAGCTATTGAACCCTGGGAGGACATTATTCACAGTAGCCAGCACAGCCCGAATCCGGTCGGTTGTCATACTGGGTATCATTATCATTACTGCGAGTTGCTGCTACCGGCATACAAATGGGAGCAACTGCTACCTAAGAACCTCCGTTCTCAGTGTTCCCGCCCTTGGATCCTCCACTGCCTTTATTCTTCGCTCCCCGTCCACCCCGTGGCCCTCGGGATGCCGATGTCTTGCCACCAGCTGCTGCTTCACCTCCGCCTGTCTTGCCCCCACGAGCATTGTTACCATTATTGTTAGCCGACTGGGACTCGCTCCGGCCCTTGCCACGAGCCCTTTCCGCTCCAGCATTGATCTTTCTCTCCAGTACAACAACTTGACTCTGAGCTACCGACACTGGGCTAGCCGCGATAGCTTTCTGCAGGCCTTCTGGCTCCGCAAAATCTATATAGCCAAACCCTTTCTTCCTATCGATTTCCACCTTTAGGATCTTGCCAAACGGTGTGAATGACGTTTCTAGCAACTTCTCCGTGACTCCCTGCGACGGATTGGCATGCTTGAGAAACGCTTGAGTAGCCGTAGGTGATGTAGAGGCTGCGGCAGGTTGTTTGCCCCTTGCAGATTTCGACTGTTTCGGTGGCGCCGGTGTCTGGGCTGGCACAGGCGGAGTTGCTCTGGCTTCCGTGGATACCGCAGCTGCTGGCTGCGGTGTGGCATTGCCTTTGGTCTTCGTATTTGCAGCCGCAGTGGAACGTTTCGATGCCTTCGTTGGTGGTGTCTCTCTCTTGGTTGATTCCGACGCTGTAGACATCTCACGAGAAGGCCGCTCTACCTTAGCATCGGCATCTGTAGGTGAGCCTTTGGTACCCCTCCGACGTCCGCCACCCACAGCTAGTCCCAAATCCCGCTGCAAAATCTTAGCAGCAACGCTGATATTTCCACGCTCTCTCTTCCTCTCAGGCTCTGCACTCTGGGTTGCATCCTTCACAGCACTCTGTGATGTTGTCGCCGCTGCCTTTGAACTCGATCTGGCCGAAACATTAGCAGCCTGCTTGTTTGCAGCCTTCACAGCCTCCTTGGTCGCTTTATCAGCCTTTGTCTTCTTTTCTGTAGGTGGAGCTGTAGAAGCTTCTTTATCGGCTCGTTGAAGAAGCTTCTTCGTTTGCACCTTTTCCGGCTTACCCTCCTTCTCTGCCTTGCTATGTTTGCCAGACTTGGAAGAAGCAGCGCTCTCTTTTGCCTTACTAGCCTTCTTCTCTTTGATATATTGCACCAAAGGTGTAACCGTCACCGTCTCCTGCTTCTCTTCTCCCTCGTCTGCAGTAGTTTCGACCGTAGTTGGTTTGGCGATGGGCTGCGTAAGACTCTCAAGAAAAGCAATAAAATCGGGATCTTGATCAATCGTTCCCTGACGAGCATCCTTCCGTACACGACTTCCCGATATTTTGGCGAATGGCGCAAACTCCAACGACGGGGGTCCCAGGAGCACAGGGTCGTTGACGGTATTGCGGACATCGACGAATGGGGTCCGTTGCACCTTTTCAGAAAGAGGTGCAATATAATCACTGGAAACAACATGAATGTATGCACGGGAAGGTCGAGAAGGTTTGGCGGGGCTGTTTGGATAGGCCGAGCGTTAGCGACAAGAAACAGCCTAGGACGTTTTTGACTGATCGGGCTTACTCTTTGGAGATCTTGCCAGGCTTGTACTGGAACCAGTCTACCTTCCCAGCTCCAACTTTCCAGTCCACCCCCAGTGCAGTCTCAAACTCAGATTCAGTCAACCCGGGAGGTAGACGCCTCACGAGGAGTTTGAGCCTTGGAGCAGCAGGTTTCGGGGCTTTCTTGGGCGCTGTACTGGCATTTTTCTGGGTGGCCGCTACGGGTATCTGAAGAACGCCTCCAGTCGATTTTGCCGGCTGTACCTGAGTCATAATGAGAGAACTCCCTGCAAAAAGAGGCAAATGGTACGGGAAACTTGGAGACTGGACTGAAGAGATCGAAGACGGACAAGAGTGATAGATGATTAATTAGTAGCAATAAGGTGGGTCGCCCGCAGAAGTGAAGCTGTATGTCAGGACTGTGTGTGGAGGTTAAACACACAGACAGCAACGAGGGCAAAATGAGATCATGAGATGTAAGCAATTGGTCTAAAGACAGTCGAAGTCCCAAGGAGAGAACAGACAGCGTCAAAAGAGATGCTGTCGAGATGGGAAAGATGGAGGATTTGCTGCTGCTCCTCTTAGACTGACTACGGCGCACGAGGACGGCCAACGACGCCGCCAGCGGGAGGGAGTTCATATACGATGCAGTGCTCGTTCTCTAAACAGCTTCAACAACATCTCCTGTCTTGCCCTCCCGGAGTCCGATCTCTGGACTCGTTCGTTCCTTTTATCTGCGTACAGCGCCACTGCAAATTATATCTCAACTAAACGGTGAACCTCTGCAACGCACACATCACGCTTGATCGCTGCCTCCGCACCTCAGCATGGTCGATGACAAAGTCCCTGTACCGGGACCAGCAAAATTGAAGCGCAATGCAGGTCCAGACGAGTGGTTAGAAGCAGCTAAAAACTGCAAGTATCTGTCCGAACAGCATATGAAAGAACTTTGTGAGATTGTGAAGGAATATATGATGGAAGGTGTGCTCCTACCGTTCATGGATTCAGGGAAACACTCGAAGTTGACCCGATTGTTATTTCTCTTCAGAATCCAATATCCAACCCGTTTCAACGCCGGTGACTATCTGTGGGGACATCCATGGCCAGTTTTACGATCTACTAGAGCTATTCCGGGTGTCTGGTGGAATGCCGAACGAGACTGGTGTCGAGGAGCCGAAAACGGCCCCTTCCCTCATTACATCCGAGGACATCGAACCGCCTACGAGCATTTCAGATCCGAAACTACGAAAGAGGCTTCGGAATGCCGGGAATCTGGAAACCGCAGACGACGATACGGAGTCAAATACAAGCCAGAGGGACCGGTCGAGTAGCGACGTCCAAGTCAACCGAAATTTCGTGTTTCTGGGTGACTATGTTGATAGAGGCTACTTCAGCTTGGAAACTTTGACATTATTATTATGTTTGAAAGCAAAGTCCGTGTGCCTCCATGGTGCAGGTCAGAAATGTGAAGACTGACTGTTGCCTTTGCTTCTGTACAGATACCCCGATCGAGTGACATTGGTTCGTGGGAACCATGAATCCAGACAAATCACACAGGTATATGGATTCTACGAAGAGTGCTTCCAGAAGTACGGAAATGCTTCCGTGTGGAAAGCTTGCTGCCAGGTGTTCGATTTCATGACGCTAGGAGCCATCATCGATGGCAAGGTACTCTGTGTGCACGGTGGGCTGAGTCCAGAAATTAGAACTTTGGACCAAGTGCGCGTGGTTGCGCGAGCACAGGAGATCCCTCATGTGGGTGCGTTTTGTGATCTTGTCTGGTCGGATCCAGACGACGTAGAAACATGGGCCGTCAGCCCTAGAGGAGCCGGTAAGACTGTTTTCGAATTTTTGCGGATTTCCCTGTTATCAAGTTCTCTGACAGTTGTTACTTCTCTAGGCTGGTTATTTGGTGACAAAGTAGCCGATGAGTTCTGCCATGTCAACGATCTCACACTTGTCGCGCGGGCACACCAGCTTGTCAACGAAGGATATAAGTATCATTTTACGGACCAAAACGTGGTCACTGTCTGGAGTGCACCCAACTATTGCTACAGATGTGGAAACCTGGCATCCGTCTGCGAGATTGGGGAGGACCTGAAGCCTTCCTTCAAGTTATTCAGCGCCGTCAGCGACGACCAACGTCATGTCCCGGCATCGCGACCGGGTCGCAGCGAGTACTTTTTGTAACATACCGTTATGCCCCTTTTGTTCTCTATTCGTTGTGTTTTCTGTCCTATAGCTTGAGTTATGTCTGCACTGGCATCGGCGTTGGGGTTTGAAGAAGATGTGAAACGAACCAGGAGTTCTCTTGATAATTCTGCCTAATATTGTTGGTGAGCAGTGGTGAGGCAACCTTCTATATAACGAACTTTTCTGTTATGTCTGATGACTCGGTCGTTGCAGCAGCTTTAATGGGGTTGACACCAAGTTCTTGCTCGGTCTGTCATAGTGCATTAGAATGAGTCTTTCCAATAAAGACTTCATGTATACGATCCAGTGTTAAGTATATCCATCTATCATATACTAGTAGAAACCAGTCATCCAGACAGATCTTACATGCCTTGCTGTATGTTAAGAGGAGGAGACAATGACTATACAACAGGGCAATCATGATCTCAAGGTTGCTGTGCAATGACAAGGTCAAACCCCCTAGAGCTGGGTGCATTTACTGAGGCTACATCTTACCTGCTGCTCACTCCAGCACTCATCCTACTCGGATCTACTCAGTGAGCTAAGGGTGGGCACCACAATGGAAATGGGAAAAACAATGATGATGATAGAACAAAAACACGAGGAACAGAACATTCCTCAATGTTGAGCACAGAGGAGACAAATTAATCTTCAACAGGCTGCGCACCTTCAGCCTGCATCTGAAGCGCGACGCGATCCACCTCCTTCCACACGCGCAGCAGATTACCTCCGGCTATCTTCCCAGCATCTTCATCGCTGACCCCCCGTCGCAGCAACTCAGCAATAAGCTGTGGGTACTTCGACACGTCCTCCAAGCCTTGCGGGACGTCAACGATCCCATCGAAATCGCTACCAAGCCCGATATAGTCAAAGCCGATCAAAGACCCGATATGCATAATGTGGTCCGCGATATGCTCCAACGTTGAGTTGGGAGGATAAAAGTTAGGCAATCCGTCTTTTCTATCGGGCGCTGCAGTGCAAGAGACAAATCCGGGGTTGAAATTGACCATCACCACCGAATTCCGCTCCTTGACAAGCTGCAGCACGTCATCGGGGACATTACGGGGGTGAGGGCAAACGGCATACGCAGAGCTATGACTGAAAATGACAGGGGCTCGACTCCCGACCCAGTCTGTGTACTTGCCGGCACCCAGAACGTCCCGCATCGTGTCCACGCTCACGTGAGATATATCTACGATCATCCCAAGACGGTTCATTTCGAAGATAAGGTCCTTGCCTGCCTCGCTCACGCCGTGATGTACGGGGTCGGCCTTTTTGATTCCGCCACCTGGCAGCTCAACCAGAGCTGCATCGGCGTAGCGATTGTGGCAGTTGTGGGTGAGAGTGGCGTACGACACGCCAAGATCGTAGAAACTGCGCAACTGCGCTAGGGAGTTTCCGATGGAGTGGAGGCCTTCGATTCCCAGGGGGGAGATTATTCGCTTATCCTTGAAGGCTTGAAGGGCTGTTGTCCCATTTGGGGGCGTAGAGAAGACGTCTGGATAGGCTTTTTGCAAACGGGTCATCACATCGACTTGCTCGATGGTTTGACGCACACCTGCAGCGTTATTGTGTCAGTTCCAATGGGCAACAAACGGGAATACAGAAGCGCGCATACTTTCCGCGTAGTTCGTGTCTGAGAAGTCCGTGTTATTCTTCGGACACTCCACGAAGACACTCCAGAATGTGCCGCCGACTTTACCCTCGGCGAGTCGGGGAAGATCAACATGACCTGTAAGATTGCCATTCATAAATGGAGCAGTGAAATTGTCATTATAGATGCGATTTTGAAAGAGCATCCGGACCAGATATGGGAGATCATCGTGGCCATCTGCGAGAAGCAATTAATTCCAGGATCCTTAATTATCGGTTCAAAGACGGTTGTTCTCTCCTACCGATCAATGGAGTCTCTGACAGGATCCTCTCGACTCTCTGTTCAATGCTCAGAGTGGCCGGTCCATGGAATAGTCGTCCACCGGTTACGAGGGAGGTGACGTTGTAGATGAGAGTGGTAAGAGCAACGATGAATGCAATGGAATGACAGTAACGCCGGTATTTAGAACGCTGTCCAGGTGTCGTGTTGTTGGTGACGAGGATCGTCTGGCCCTTCTCGGAGCCCAAGGGAGAGCCTTTTTCTTGTACCATCCTGGCAGCACTGCAATCCGAACCCTTCGAGGGGGAAGAGAAGGAAAGAAATGACAGAAGATGCAATGCGAATGCGAGATAGCACTATTTATTTATTGAAGGCGATCAAACGATGCCGCAGAGATAAGGAAGAAGAGGCTGGCTATTATTGCGAATACGCACAACACCTCCATCTACTCTTGCTCGCTGGACGCCAACAGTCAGCCTCGATGCTCCAGGATCCAACACGGTTACTTACATGCATCCATTGCATTTGGCAGAGACGATGGTGGGCATACTCCGTATATCCCATCATGACAATCAAACAGCGGGTTAGATAATATTGCGGGGTCCAATAAACGATAAGACGCAGCCCTTGACTTTTCTTTCGCCTCTCGCAGCCCGCTCAGTCCACGACTTTCTTTTTAACCGCATCTGTCTTGCTTGACAATACGGAGTAGAAGGGGACTCTTCTGCGTTGGCTGGCTGCAGCAGTCTCCTCTCTCTCAATATGGCCGACAGTTCTGTCGCGGCAGTCGAAGGTTGTTAACCCGGTACATGAGAAGCCATTATTTTTGCTATCCGACTGACTCTTTGAAACCTGCAGGTCTGCTGGCTCTTTGGCATTTTTACCGTCTTCCTGTCCTTTTTGGGCTCTTTACGTTCTTCCTCTCCCTGCACGCATATCGCAAACTGCAGCGTAGGTCCAAAACCGCAGCGTCGTCCTCGATCCCTCCGTCCCCTCGTGATTCCTCGCCGGAAAAGACCGAGAAACTTGGCGCGAGTGCGATTAGAAGCAAGGATAGTACTCCAGTGGACTCTGAGAAAAAGAACCTGCAGCCATTGGACAATGGTCGTCGGTCTCCAAAGCCTGTGTCGGGCCCGAAAAGGGTGCAGGGGAAAAAGCCGCTGAAGGCTCTTGGTGGACGGCGAGGAGATTCGGTCGAATCGCAACCACTGACGTCCATTCAGCCCATCGTCTTCTTCGCATCATTGACTGGTACAACCGAGAAATACGCCCAAGTTCTCCTGGAAGATTTACGCTCTGCTGCGCGTAGCCGATCTGGGACAGACAACCCCGAACAGGGACTTCTTCTACCGCAAATTCATGACCTCTCCTACGCGGATCTGGATGACTATTTCACTTCGGCACCGAAGCCACCGTCAACAGCACCGGGACTACGCTATGTCTATTGCCTCTTGATACCCAGCTACAACATCGATACCGTCATCAACACCTTTCTTGGCCATCTCGATGAGACGCACCATGATTTCCGCATTGATACTTCCTCTCTGTCGAATTTGGCGGGATATTCTGTATTCGGGTTCGGAGATAAAGAGGGGTGGCCGAGTGAAGAGGAGGGCTTCTGCTCACAGGCCAAGGAGCTAGACCGTTGGATGGCAAAACTTACCGGGAAGAAAAGAGCCTATCCACTCGGATTAGGAGACGTTAAAAGTGATGCTGAACAGGCATTGAAAGAATGGTCTCGTGGTTTGCAGGACATCTTGTTCGATATTCTTGAGCAGGGCGGCCTTGGGGAAGGTGTTCCTGGCAGCGGGGACCCGCTGGAAAGCGACGAGGAAGAACTAGATGATGAGGATGTGTTGGATGGAACTAAATCTCAGTCTCGCAAGCGCAATAAGGACCAGATAGTTGTGGATCTGGAAGATATCAACTTGGTCGACGGTCAGACTATTGGCGGAGCGCCAATTCCGGTGGACTTTACCACCGCAGGGACATCCTCGTCGCGGCCTGCGGAGGTTAGTGCAAAGGAAATGGTGCCCAAAACGTCGCCAACCTATGCTGCTCTGACAAAGCAAGGGTATACCATTGTTGGTTCCCATTCTGGAGTCAAGATCTGCCGGTGGACTAAATCCGCACTGCGAGGCCGCGGATCCTGCTATAAGTACTCTTTTTATGGAATTCGGTCGCACCTGTGCATGGAGGCCACGCCATCTCTTTCCTGCAGTAATAAGTGTATCTTTTGCTGGCGGCATGGTACAAACCCCGTTGGGACGACCTGGCGCTGGAAGGTGGACTCGCCAGAACTGATTTTCCAAGGCGTCAAGGAAGGCCATTACAAGAAGATCAAAATGATGCGAGGTGTTCCTGGCGTGCGTGCAGAACGATTTGCGGAGGCGATGCGCATCCGTCACTGTGCTCTCAGTCTCGTTGGAGAACCCATCTTTTACCCCCACATCAACCAATTCCTAGACATGTTACATTCGGAGCACATCTCCAGCTTTCTCGTCTGTAATGCCCAGCATCCAGATCAGCTAGCGAGTTTGCAGCGCGTGACTCAACTTTACGTGTCCATCGATGCCAGCAACCGTGACAGCTTGCGAAAGATCGACCGCCCGCTCCACCGAGACTTCTGGGAGAGGTTCCAAAAGTGTCTCGAGATCCTACGGGAGAAACGACATGTTCAGCGTACGGTTTTTCGATTGACACTGGTGAAGGGGTTCAACATCGAAGACGAAGCATCTGGCTACGCTGATCTCGTGGAAAAGGCCCTGCCCTGCTTCGTCGAAATTAAAGGCGTGACATACTGCGGAACCAGCACCAGCGCTGGAGCCGGGCTAACAATGAAAAACGTCCCCTTCTATGAGGAGGTTTCCCAATTTGTCGTGGCTCTGAATAACGAACTTCAACGCCGTGGTCTCAAGTACGGGATTGCGGCCGAGCACGCGCACAGCTGTTGTGTCCTGCTCGCGTCAGAACGCTTCCACATCAATGGCAAATGGCATACGCGCATTGACTATGACCGTTTCTTCGAGCTTCTGGAGAAGGAGAAGTCCGATGGCACCTCTTTTGCGCCCGAGGACTACACCAGAGAAACGGAAGACTGGGCGCTGTGGGGGAACGGGGGCTTCGATCCGAATGATGAACGCGTTTACAACAGAGGGAAGAACAGGAATAGGAAGAACGTTGCTGAAGTCGCGGGTGAGCCGTGAATGGGCATGAGTTCCACTTCCCATGCGTCGCCCTCCTTTTAGACTAAATGGAAGCAAGACATTCATCTGCTCCGGTGATCCTCCACTGAGCCTACCGGGCCAGGCCGAGTTGGATTGAGCTCGACTTTTGTTGTGATGACAATGTGTGGTGCCCTGTATGCCATTCATTTAGCAAGCTTGGCAGGCCCTCGCCAGATCGAACAAGGAATCATCATGCAAGTGAGTGGTTTGCGTGTTTCTTGTACATAGACCGTTTCTTACCTCTTCTAGATGCTTCATGTTCTTATTACACAATACACAATGAAGTTCCGCGTAGATTGCTTGCCGTTTGGGATCAGGTTCATCGTGATGTAGGCAGAACTAAGTCTGAAGCAGAACTAAGTCTGAAGTTAGATGCATGCTTAATCTCAGAGCCAATCTGACAGTGGAGAAGCAGTCTTCTCTATAATCCTGATAATTGTCATTGTAGGATAATAATAATACCTCGGTAGCCTGAATGTTATTTACCCGCCGGCAAAAGGACTCGGTAGTCGTTGACGATATATATCATCACTGACTCTCCGTATGAGCCAGAGCAATTCCAAATCCAACCCCAGCATCAAACCCACGGCCCCTAAAACACTTAGTCTAAGATGAAACTTCCCTACGCCCCCTCAACCCCGGACCCCTCCAATCCAGAATCCGCAGAGATTTACGCCCGCGTCGCCGCGCGTCGACACCCCCGCCCGCTCATCCCTCTTGATTTGGCCCTGCTCCATTCCCCTCCCGTGGCAGATGGGTGGAACAGTTTCCTCGGCGCCATCCGGTCGCGCACCGTGGTTGATCCGGGACTGCTGGAGCTGGCTGTTTGTCGGGTCGCGGTGCTAAATTCAGCCGTATACGAGTGGAATGCGCATGCCCCGCTGGCGTTGAAGGGAGGCGTGCTCCCGGGGGAGTTGGAGGAGGTGCGGTCTCTTCCGTGTACGTGCAGTGCAGATAATATTCAAGGGGAAATACTGCAAGGATCCAATTTGAAACCGGCGCAGAGAGCAGTACTACGGTATACGGACCAGATGACGAGGAATGTCGCTGTGGAGGATGCGGCGTTTGACGAGCTCAGGACGGTGGGATTCTCTGATCGCGAAATCGTCGAGTTGACTGCTACTATTGCGGGATATAACTGTGTGAGCCGGTTTCTGGTTGCGTTGGATGTTGGAGAGAACAATGGGAGACCGATGAAGGAGGTGGGGGAGCTTGTTTCTACCGGACTTTCTGCAGGAGAGAAGAAATAAAACATTCAATTCCAGTAGAATTATCCAGATCTACTTCTTCACCTCGACCGGCTCGACCGCCGCCTCCTGCATCATGCCAGCGTGGATGTTCTGCATCACAATGTCCTCCGGCTTGGCCATCGCAGCCTCCAGCTTTCTCTTCGCCCACCACTTCACCACCGGCACCTTGGACAGGGCAATCAGGATCAGCGGACCCTTGTTGGTGCGCTCCTCGTACAGCATCCACGAGACGACGAGCATGATGAGGATCCAGTACGCGTTGTACGAGATGACGGAGCCGTAGGTGGCGCTGTTCTGCCAGCCCAGGATCGCGTTGAACACGTCCCACCCGTTGTCCGTCTCGCCGTTGCAGCAGTTGACGTGCCAGACGTTCTCCTTGATGTTGTACGAGCCAGGCCCGTTGCCTGCCTCGGCCACGTCGCCGCCAACCTTGGCTGCGAAGACGTGGTACTGCAAGCTCCACACGGACTTGGAGAACATGCCCGCGGCGATGAGGTAGAGAACGCACGTCGACGCGATGAGGAAGATCTGGATTGACATCACATTGCCGCCGCGGTAGATGAGGTATCCGACTGTCAGACCGGCGATGATGCCCGTCACGACCGGCAGGGGAAACGCCGTTGCAGGGTAGCCCAGCGAGACGCCTCCGACGAAGACGACGGCCTCGACGCCCTCGCGCAGCGTCGTGATGAAGGGGAGGATGAACATGGCGTACCGGCGCGTCCAGTCGCCCAGCCAGGCCCAGCCGGTGTTCTTGCTCTTCTCCGACAGGGCCTTGGCGATCTTGACGCGCCACTTCTGCTTCGTCTTGTTGATGCGCAGCAGCGCAAGGCCCATGACGGTGATGATGATGGCCGCGATGAGGTAGAAGATGCCTTCCCAGAGATCCTCGGACTCCGACCAGATATCATGGCCCAGTCCGTAGAAGACTCCGATGAAGGCCCCGCCGATGATGAAACATATCACGATGCCGCCGATGGAGCCCACCCAGACCTGTCGCACGAGGCGTTTGTATATCTTTTGATCCTGATGGGGCTGGCCGAGACACTGCTTGAGGAAGGAGAGAAGAACAGAGACGATGATGACAGCCTCGAGGCATTCTCGAAAGACGATGAAGAAGACCTGCACGGCAAAGACGTTGGCGCCCATGGTGCCGGAGAGGGTTAGTGTACTTGCTGGAGTGCTCTTTGGGAGTTCGAACCTCCTGGTGAACTGGGCGCCACCGCTTTATCTACACATGCGCGAAACTGACTTTTCAGCATCCCGCCGGATTCCGCATGGTCTGACCGGTAAAATGCGATGCCTTATCCTCGTAAGAATAAAAGCCAAATACGAGGTGAAACCACTTATTTTTATCTGATTTTATTGTGTGGGTTATCAATCAGCGCTAAGTACGGCGGACGACGGGGCGCAATCCGCAAAAATTACATCTTTACCATCAATACGAAATGCCACCGAGCCAGTTGGTTACACACACAGCATGCCTACGCAGCAAGTTTGACCCGATCAACAGCTGTGAGGTCTTTCCAAAGACTAGCGTTTAGCTCTGAATCAAGGCTACACACATGCTTCCCCTTCAATTTGCATTAATGGGAAGTTCATGGGAGGGGAAATCTTCAACCAGGGATCAACCAGCGCGTTTACTGGACGTGCGTATAAAAAAGCCCGGCTGTTGCTCTAATAATTACTAGTGTAATACGCGAGATAAATAATTTTGGCGGATTGCTCCCTGTCGTCCGCCGTACCAAGCGTCTGTGAAGCTTTCGCTAAGATTCCCTTTTCCTTGGTTTCTCGGTGGGATTTTCGTTGCCAAGAAGCACTTATTGATACTGCATGTGCTCGAGGCCAATCGTCAGGCATTTTCTCCTGCTGGACACGAGGAGGAAGATTCCTCTTGTCATGTGGGCTCCGGCTGTGCGCCGATGGTGACCATGGGTGGCATGTCCATGGCTGCTTCGACTACTATTACCATGTCCACCCCCAGCTGTTGTTCTGCCTGCGGGCTGTGTCTTCTTTTTCTCTGCATCTGGGAGCTCTGTCCGGCGGCATCATGAAGCTCTCTGCCTTGCTGCGCAGTGCCGTGCTGGCGACGCCGTTGTTCCATGTCTGCCACGCAAAGACCGTCACCTACGACTTCAATGTCTCCTGGGTCACCGCCAATCCCGATGGGCTGCAGGAGCGGCAGGTCATCGGTGTCAATGGGCAATGGCCGCTGCCCGTCATCGAGGTGGACAAGGGCGACCGGCTGGTGGTCAACATGTACAACGGGCTGGGCGACAAGAACACCTCGATCCACTTCCACGGCATGTTTCAGAACGCCACGAATGCCATGGACGGACCGTCGATGATCACGCAGTGTCCGATCCCTCCTGGCGCGTCGATGACCTACAACTTCACCGTCAACCAGAACGGCACCTACTGGTACCACTGCCATACCGACTACTGCTACCCCGACGGGTATCGCCAGGCACTGATCGTCCACGACAAGGATGCCTACTTCAACGACATGTACGACGAGGACATCTTCGTCACCATGACTGACTGGTACCACAAGCTGGATAAGGACATCGCGCCGACCTTCATGTCGCTATTTAATCCCAGCGGCGCCGAACCCATCCCGAACGCCTTCCTGTTCAACAACACCGTCAACACGTCCATCCCCGTCAAGCCGGGAACCACGTACCTGCTGCGCCTGATCAATATCGGGGCCTTTGTGACGCAGTACTTCTACATCGAGGAGCACACCTTCAAGATCGTCGAGATCGACGGCGTCTACACGGAGCCCGCCGAGGCGGAGATGCTGTACATCGCGCCCGCCCAGCGCTACACGGTGCTGCTGACCACGAAGAACGAAACCGACCGCAATTATCCCATCGTCACCGTCGCCGACTCGCAGCTGCTGGACACCATACCGTCCGACCTTCGGCTGAACCTGACCAACTGGCTGGAGTACAACCCCAGCGCGGACAAACCACAGGCGGTCATGCCGGTCGACACCTCGTCGGATCTCGATCCCTTCGACGACATCGCCCTCGTGCCCTACGACCATATGCCTCTCCTGCCGGCGCCCGACCTCGTCATCAACGTGACGGTGTACATGAACAACCTGAACAACGGCAAGGGCTATGCCTTCCTGAACAACATCTCCTACACGGCACCCCAGGTGCCCACGCTGTACACAGTGCTGTCTGCGGGCGACCAGGCCACGGACCCCCGGGTGTACGGCGAATTCACCCACTCGCAGGTCCTCAACCACAACGACGTCGTGGAGCTGGTCCTGAACAACGCCGACTCGGGTGCCCACCCGTTCCACCTGCACGGCCACAACTTCCAGGTCATCGACCGCTACCCGGGTTACGGTGCGGACTTCTTCAGCCTCGCGGACAACACCGATCCGCTCCTCTATGACCCCAACAACCACACTGCCTTCCCGACGTATCCCGCGCGGCGCGATACCTTCGTCCTGCCACCCATGGGCTACTACGTGATCCGCTTCGTCGCCGACAACCCGGGTGTCTGGATCTTCCACTGCCACATCGACTGGCACCTGGCACAGGGGCTGGGTATGCTTATGGTCGAAGCCCCGCAGCAGATCCAGGAGCGCGTCTCGGTGCCCGAGCAGCACTACGAGGTCTGCAGGGCCGCCGGCGTGGCCTATGAAGGCAATGCGGCCGGCAACACGCAGGATCTACTGGACATGAAGGGCCAAAATAAACAGCCCGGTTGGCTGCCCGGTGGCTTCACCGCGCGGGGGATTGTGGCGCTGGTGTTCTCGATCATCTCCGCGTTTGCGGGCATGGGGTTCATTGCCGTCTATGGCATTTCAGATCTCAAGTTCACCTCGGAAACGTCGGGGTTGGATGAGGAGACGGATGGGAGCAGGAGCCCTGCGGACGGTACTGCGGAGGGAGTTACTACGGAGACACCACGGTATCACGATTGATCCTGCCGTACACGGGGAGTGATGGGAACTGTATTGATCCCTGTTTTGCTGATTCAGAGCTTGTCTTAATGCAATTATCCGGATTGATTCCCACTGCGATATGTAATATGATCTATGGCATCCTTCTGCACATTCTATCTAGCAGTCTTCCTCGGTTGGACCATCTTTTTTCTCCCCTTAGTCAGCGCCTCAACCCTAACTAACTGCAGTCTTGCCTTGCCTTCTGTGCTAGTTGCTCATGGATCTGTATCCACTCCATCTGACCCGTTCCTGCAAATACGCATGATGGGCGGTCTAAACAATTAGAAAACGATTCGCAATTGATTATAAACCAGTGGTGGTAGTAACTAGTAAGGAAAGGGATTACAAGCAGTAAAGAAAAATTTAGTAAATGCCGCAAAAAACAGTGGGTCCGCCGCATTCGGATTATCTAATTTCACGGCCCGAATGTCGATGCCCCACTTGTTTTTGTTGGTGCCTCATATATGCTCCCCGGAGTCGGGAAAACTATCTACACCTATGCTGACTAATGTGGGCTAATCCTAACTAGGAAGGAGCTGAACCTCCTAACATATTGTTAGCATCACGTGAGGTTCTGCTGGTTCTGACCGCCCTCGCAACCTCAGCCTGCCTAGAGAATGGACAGACAATCATCTCTCTCACATATATGCCTCCATTAATAGGGCATGACGGTTCAGGTGAGCGCTCATCTGTGATGCAGAATACTCGGTGAGCACTCTGAGCGCCCTCATGAAAGCATGGGCATCCAGAAGGGGAAAGTTAATGTGGTTCTAGAATTTCTATTTTATATAGCGGCATATATCCACTGCATCAATTTTCATTCGACCTTTCTCCCGAAGATGCAGCTTGCCCTAACTGTACCCAGCAGGTCGAAGCAGCTTATCTCGCATCGCCGAGAGATAAGACGTTTTATATAGAGGAGATGCATCCTTAATGTCTGCCTGCTGCAGCATCTTTCTCTACATTTGGCATTAGAGCAGTAAAGTAAAGTAACGTCATGTCCGTCCTGACAGACTGGTCCGCCTGCTCCAAAACGGACACGCTCTTCATCCTCGTCTGCTCCGTCTTCTGCTGGCTCATCATTCCCGCCGTCGGCCTCGCATACTCCGGCTATTCTACGCGTCGCAGCGGCCTGGCATCCTTCTACCCTAGTCTGCTCGTCGTGGCCGTCTGCTCTATCCAATGGTGGCTGATCGGGTACTCGCTGGCCTACGACGACGACCACGGTAACGGCGTCATCGGCGGTCTCAGTAAGGCATTTCACACGGGCGTCCTCGCTGACCCGGTCGGGACTATCCCGGAGATTCTCTTCTCGGAGTTCCAGCTTATTTTCTGTGCGACGGTTTGTGCTATTGCGGTTGGGGGGGCGTGTGAGAGGGGGAGGATCGTGCCTTTGATTCCGTTCATATTTGTCGTCCTTCCCTTTTTTTCTTTCTGGGTATGGCTGTTGAAATAATGCTGACACTGACGGTATAGCTCTGGAGCACATTCATCTACCAACCCCTCGCCCACATGGTCTGGTCAGGAACAGGCTTCCTGGGCGAGCTGGGCGTCCTCGACTTCGCCGGTGGCACCCCCGTGCACATCTGCAGCGGCGCAACAGCGACGGCACTTAGTCTGTACCTCTCGTATCCCATCGGACGGTCGAGAGCGAGCAGCGCAGGTCAAAATGGTAATGGGAATGGAACGCCAAAACGAACCCCCCAACACCTCAAGCTCCACCGTCCCCACAACACAATCTGCCAGCTCCTCGCAATGATCATCATCTGGAACGCCTGGCTCGCCTTCGACGCCGGCACGACTCTCTCCTTCAATTTCAAATCAATCATGGCCGCCTGCGTGACGAACCTCTGCGCCGCCTCCGCCTGCCTGACCTGGTCCGTCATCACGTACTACGAAACCGGCAAATGGAGTCTCGACAGCGCCTTCATGGGCGCCATTTCGGGACTGGTCCTCATCACACCCAGCGCGGGCTTCATCGACATGACGACGGCTTTCTTCTTCGGTGTACTTGGCGCCGTCGTCTGTCGGCAGGCGCTGAGAATCAAGTTCACCAAGTTCGCTGCCCGGTATAGATGGGTTGATAATGGGGATACTTTTGCGACGCACTGTATTGGCGGGTTTGTGGGGACTATCGCTACGGGTCTCTTCGCCAGGAGGGACGTCGCTGCTTACGATGGCGTTACGGATATCCGGGGCGGGTGTGTCTTTGACGGAAACTGGAGACAGCTGGGCGTACAGGTTATCGAGGCTGTTATTGGGTTTGTTTGGAGCTTCGTGGGAAGTTATATTTTGTATGCTTTGGTGGATTGTGTGCCTGGGTTGGAGGTCTTGGCTGTTGATCAGGATGTTATTGCTGGTATGGATGCTTCCGAGATGCATGAGACTCTTTACGAGGCGCAGTGGGCTGGTGAGGAGGATTATCATCCCTTTCACCAGGATGGTGTCGTTCACCTGGAGTGATATATACAACTATAGAATTAGGATGTGGATAGAGAAATCGATCAAGTCTGTCTGATAGACGCAAAGCACGAGTTCAATTGCTAGCCCTAGTTGCGTACATACATATACAGTGCATAATAATAATGGTATCTAATAAGGTACATAAGTCATGACTCGCATCATTATATAAAAACCCTACTCACGCTGCCCGGAAGACGTAGATGTCCTACTCGGCACCGGTCTCTTTGGCAGCCCAGGCGGACTGTTATTCACATCCGCCAACGCCTCCTGTGCCAGCCAGACACAGACATCCTGCACATCGCTCCCCACCCGCCAACTTCCCAGGACGACGCCTTGCTCGTCAAGGAGCTCCTTCGCCCGCTCCCACCGACGTCGCCAGACCTCTTCCCGTTTGTTGGGCGTTGGCGTGGGGGTCGAAAATGGGTCATCGCTGCTGAAGCTGCTGCCGGACGTATTCGTCCGGTATAGGGATGGATTCGACACGGATGGCCGTGGTGACGGTGACGGTGACGGCGACGGCGACGATGATGGACGCTCAGACCCGCATTGAAGTGGGTAGGCTTGTTTCTGGGACACTTGCGGTGATGGCCTGGTTGGATTCACACCCGAGTCCGACATTGAAGCTGCAGCCATAGTGGTGCGACGAGGTGGCGGAACCGGCGGAGGCGCCCCATTTCGCCAAGGTTCGCTAGACTGTTGTCTAATACGAATTGGAAAAGTGTCCGCGGATGAGCTGGGGCCACTGGCGACAGAGCTTTTCCCGCTAGCGGTTGAGCTCCCAGATAGAGTTGCATCTGATAATCGGCTGTCACGGTCCGAAACCGCCGAACTAATACGACGTGGAGGCACAGGAGGCGCAGGTTTACGACGGATAGCGTTCTGGTTTTGGGCTGATTGGGTCGAGACGTTCTTTTCAGTATCCGAAACCGCTGTTACGGTGCGCAGAGACGACGGCTTGAATGGCTTCGTCGGCGGTGGCGGCCGGTTATTGTCTCGTTTGGCCGGTTCGCCCGGCTTGTTTCGCCTGCTCTGCTGGTCCCCTTCGTCCCACAGATCAATCAGATCCCCATTGTCCAGACTCTGCGCAGAGCTGGGTGGTTCACGAGGCCTCCGCGGTGGCAAAGCAGGCCGCTTCTCCTTCTCCTTCTCCTTCTCCGTTGACAATGACGGGTCGTTGACAAGATGGCCGGTGCTTTCGCTCCGGAACGGGGCTGTCTGAGGATGGTCCACAGATTTCTCGAAAAACCTCTTCTGCTCCAGTGTTGTAACATCTCGGATGAATATCCCCAGAACCCTACCAGGATGCATCATGGCAAGATCCGTGTATACCTCCAGGTCAGCTTCGCCGCTGTCTCCGACAAGGATGAATTTTCGACTGGGGAAGTCTCGCAAGATCTTCTCCAGCGATGCTCTCTTCTTTTCTGCCGCAGACTCGAAGATCCCCTGCAGCATCCCACTGTAGTGTTTTAATTGGAAGGAGCCCGGTGGAAGTCCAGCCACCTTGAAGAACTGTTCCAGTACAGAATACAGCTGCCATGGCGAGTTGGATACGTAGTGGATTTGTACACCCATGCTGAATAGTCTTTTATACCATTGTCCCACCCCAGAAACGGTGAGGTCGGCGAAATCGCGCACGAATGTATTCCTGCAGACTTCCTTCGCGCCACTGATTATCCCAGAGTGCTTCACGGTATCGTCAATATCACTGATCAAACTGACACCAGCAGGCTCGATGACCTTGATTTCCCTTGATGTGGACAGGTTCTCTGACGCAAGGACACGCATATGCGTGGGGACAAAGTGGAGACCCGCGCGGACAGTAAAGTGCCCAGACTCGTCAGTCAAAACGTTCCTTGACTGGCTTTGCTCGTCATTATAGAAAAACACGCTAACGGGGGTGTAAGGCATGGGCTGCGCCAGAAAGGGACGGAGTCTCGACATTAGATTCGCATTGGCAGTGACAAGTTCGTCATTACTCATCTGCAAGGACTGTGAGGATGTCGTCGACCGTCGCAAAAATGGGCCCGGTATCTTGTCGTCACGATCTTCTGATGAGCCTCCTTTCCAAGTAGACTCTGTCTCCTTGTTTGCCTCGTTGAGGATCAACTGGGCTTCTTTATTGACATCTTCTTCTTCCCTTGCACCAGACACCTTGTCCGTAGACTCGGCCGCATTATTGCCATTAGGAGCAGGGATGCCGGTTAACTTCCTCGCAAGGGCAACCATCAACCGATTTTTCCTTCCCATAGGACCCCGGTGTGGCATATAGATCCATCCATGAACATCGACGTCAACAATCGCATTCTCATCCACGTCTTCCGGCCCATCTGCTCGCCCATCCCCAGATCCGTACTCCGTGTCACCCAATTCCCCTTGACGAACGTAAGACGTCTCATCCTCGTCCAATCCTTGAGACCAGCCATCCTGATACCGATAAGCCTCCCAGTCCGCGTCACACTGGTTTTTCTGCCGTCTGATGATCCTCCTCGCGTAACTCGGGAACAGCACCAACTCCCTCTCGCCTGACCTCGCGGTGTCGGCATCCGGATAGGCGCCGGGAACATCATAATAGTCGTCACCGCTTAATTCCCGCAGGCTATTCCCAATTTGAGCCGTGTAGGTCTGCCGTAGTTCGTTCGCAGCCTTCAAGTACTCGTACACCTTCTTGCGTCTACCACCGGACGCAGACCAAGACTGAGAAATAGAACTCATCGCAGCATTTTCTGGGACCCGTATCAGCCGCCGTTTCCGTCCAATTCCGCTTCTGTTCTTAATTGACGCTCTGGACGCACGTAGCAGTAACCGTCGGCGGAGGGCGGTTAGAACGGTGCCGGATCGTCGGAGAGAGAGCCTTCTCGCAAGCGGCCGGGAGAAAAGCGCACGTATATAGGGCAAGAATCTGTTCTTGTTTCCGGACTCGCGTTCTCGGTCGAAGGAACGAAGGAAGAATGGAAATGATCGGGGAATGCGAGGCTGACGCCGGAACCAACTCGGCCACTGTGATCGATAGGGGGGTTTCGGCGCCACTGTTGGGAACTGGTGAGGTACTCCGTGGGTGTATGGTATGATTTAGGACTGTTTCCTTACGGTTAATTATACTCCATGATCTGTCTGGGCATTGTTCTGTTGAGGTTCTGTTGAGAAAGATGAAAGAGAAGACGCAGGATATCATGTGACATCAGACAGATACCTACCATATATGTAGCTCTGCTCCTCCGTAGTAGGATCTCTATTTATGGCTTCTCTCTTTGGCCTTGATTGTGTCACTTTGTATCTGGAGACGTTCCATTTGTATTTACGGGACGTGACACGATCACTATTTATAACTAGGGTCCTGCAAGTAGGTAATCCGAGGTGGTTTGTCATAATGCCCATTCGGGTAATCATGTAGACCTAAATGGCTCTCAACTCTATACATTCTACCCTTTAGATCTGGATGCTTCTTTACCAAAGCAGCATGTTTCTTCATGCACTTTCAAGGTGATGGGACCATTGGGAAAGTCGCAATTGCCGTCTAAAACCCAGTACGTACATCCGCATCTGTACAACATAACCTGGTGTAGTACATGAGCTGTAAAGATATCTACAGTAGCATGATAAAACGTTCAAAGTTCTTGATAATCATACAGACTCACTGTCTTCGGCGTTGTTCAGCTTCTTCACCCGCCGACTTCGACGGACAACTCGAGTCTGTGATGTAGAATTGTTCGGCAACCCTGTAGGGACATTGTCCGCAGGATCATCTTCGGAGCTCGAAGGAGTCGATTCGGTATTGGACACCTTCCGTTTCCTGCGACGGGCTGGGGTCGCAATCTCCGATGCATCATTTAGATTTTTACTGTTCTCGGGAGATGCCCCGACGTTGCCCTCTGCCACAGCTTTTCTCGCACTGGCTTCCCTGGTGAGTTTGACGGTCTTGGTGCGCACCACTCTTTTAGCTGGCCGAAGCCATTCCTCCATTCCAGGAGGCCAGTAGACCCTTCCCTCAGGGCCACCCATGCCGACTTCATGGTCTGGTATGGTTTGAGAGGGAGATGGGCAGGTCTCCACATCCGTAGAGTCACCCTTCTTCCTCTTGGTCGACCTGCGAGGCGACTTGACTGGTTTATTCTCGTCATTCCGAATATGCGGGATCATGTCATTGAAGAGGCTGTGGCCCGGCAGTTTGAATACCCTCATTAGTTCAAACACAGCCTGTTCCTTATCCTTCGCTTCTATCATTAAATCCATTGTCGGATCGCACGGAGGTAGGGTAGTAACGCGATCCCTGTGTTTTCGCCGCTGGCGGTTCGTGATTGCAGACGGGACGGGTTCCGAATAATGCATCTTTTGTGTGATACTCTTCCTCGTCCAGGTTGCTTTAATGCGGTCAAACAGTCCAATGACATCCAAAGTTCCCTCGCGGACCTGACTCGAATCGAAAATGATGTTGTGATGATGGAAATCGAGAACCAGGGGAATATCCAACTCCTCGCATACCGGAAGCAGGTCGTGAACTGACCAACTGACATCGTCGTTTTCCAGTACAAGACGATTCTTGATTCCTTGCGACAGCCGTTTATAATTTCCCCGGAATCGATCCAGGGTCGCTGCTTTGTCTCCAAACACGCCACCCATGTGCAGGACTATGACAGCATCTCGGTCCTGTTGAGGGGGTAGCTTGAGGAGATCTAGCATTTCCAAATGGTATTCCAAATCACGGACAGAAGCCTCCACAACCTCCTTCCTGGGCGTTCCCAACTGTGTGAACTAGATGGACATGTTAGCAATTGGGAATCGGGTATGTCAATTCTAGTAACTTATGAGTTCGTACTTGACCGGGATGGACGGACACCCGGTGCCCGAGCTCTGCGATGACATGACCTGCCTCTTCAAGGACTTCGGACGCAAAAGGAGCCACTTTGTACCCATATTCACTGTGACTGGCAAATGGAAACATCTCACTGCTTAGGCGCATGAATTTAATTCCATACCGGTCATTCCAACGGACCATTTTGACGATATCCCGAGCATTTGCCAGTCCCAGCGACTCGACAAATCTTTGTCCACGAGCAACATCGGCAGGTTGACTTCGATCTGGACGATTCTTGGTCGGATGAGGCAACTGTGAAGGATCCCGGAGAGGGTGCCGATTTTCCAGAATAGAAGTGATGCGACAGGTCCGCGAGCAGAACACCGGAGGCTTCGAATAACGCAGATAGGTATTCAAGCACGCCTTTTTGACATGAGAAATGGACAGTATAAGAAGACAATAGAACACTGCATAAAGACACTCACGTATCCCAAACGGCCTCTCCAAGGAAGCGGGAGGTAGTCACTGTTCACCGGCGGAGGTCTTGATATAACTTCCGTGAGCTCCTCAGGGTCGACAGGCACGTTCTCATCCGATTCTGGGTCCAAGGAGACCGCATCTGGACCATTTCCCAGAGCACGATCTCCCTGAAGACTGTCAGGAGGATTCCCAGTATCCTCGTCTCGCCCAACAGCGGCCATCTGCGCTTGTCCGGCACCGAAACCGTTCGGGACACTCGAAAACGGGCGTGACGTAGTTGAAAGCCCCACTGATACAGAAGCAAACGGGCGGAAGACATGAAGGTGTCGCGAAACCGTTCCAGCGACTATTTGGCCTGAGAGAAGGCCGCTGCCACGAGTACAGGCAAATGGTACGATCGCCACCGTCTGCCGTCGATGTGTATGATTCATCGACGCGCGACCATCCCGACAGGAACGCGAGGCAAATCCCGCGCAGCCACTGAAGCGCACATGTCGGTACGGAAGAATGCCAGGGGACTTCGTCTGGTGCCATACGAGAAGCTGCAAATTCATCCGGCAGAGAAACTAGAGAAGATGAGAAGTGGAAGTCGAGAGGGAATCAAAGATGGGGGGGGTCATGACACGGGCTGACACGAGAACCGTCAGGGGAGACGGACGCAGTAATTGACCTGCTCAGAACCGTCATTAGCTGCCTTTTCACTCCAGGATCAATCTAGGCGGATAATATGCGGTTGAAGCCAAAGATAAGAATGAAGATGTACAAACCGACCTTTCAGCAGGCGTCGAGAGGCTAGACAGCTCGCTATCACCGAGTTCGCGACGGCGAGCTTCTCCAGCAGAACCCCTTGTTTCGCAGCCCAGCAATAAGGCCGAGGAGAACACTGTTATTTTGTATCTTGAAACAATAACAATGCAGTTCCTTGGCATATGGCCGCATTTTGATGGCGTATACCTACTCCGTGGGGAAAGCTCCAATCTCCTCTTCATCTACAGACTCGTGAGCTAACTACGGCTTCTCTTGCACAGATTCGAGATGATTTTCATCCATCGCCTTGCACCTTGCAGATGCATCTACTCGGCCTGTCTTTCTGGATGACTGGCTCAGTCTCATGGCGTGCTACGCGTTGACGCGCATGCCGGCTGATGCTTCTCAGAGGCTTCGTAGACTATATCCACCCCTGATGCAGCATCACCGGAATATGGAAAGCTCTTGTCTCCACTATTACAGTTGCTGGACGTGCATTGAAGTCATGAGAACCTCCTGGCTTCCTGGATAAGTCTGCTCAGTCACTCTCTTCAAAGGGTTTCTCACCGGTTGTCATGGCCACCTCACCTGCTGGCCCATCTTCAGCCACCCTCATCCACCTTGAGTGAATGTCAATATCCACTCAGGGTATCAAATTCTTTGTCTCTTCTCGTTCTGGCCCACTCACACTGCAGATATCCACCTGCTGCAGACTGAGTGAGGCCCTCTGTTCTTCGTTCTGGCAGTGGCGAACAATGCCATTCAGTGGATGCCTTTTACTCCCTGTTAATCTTACAATTCACCTGTCCAGGAAGTATGGGACTATCAGAATCTTCTTGTTTAATACATTGCAGGTATAAATTCCTCTCCCTTTTTCTCAGTCAGTCTCTTCTTCCCACCCTCCAACCAACATTGCTTCTCTCCTTTGAAAGCTTGCCTCTTATCACAAGCCTCTCATTCTTGTTCCTCTGTGTCCTCCTCAAGTCCTTCAGTTAACAACTGAGCCATTGGCTTCGTTGGTCAAACATGAAGTGTCTCCTTTTCTCATGTGTGCTCCTCGCCTCGTACGTTGCAGCACACATGCAGTTACTCAACCCGCTCCCAATTAGGAGCCCGTTAAACACAGCCAACAATGGACCCAAAGACTATTCCTATACCAATCCCCTATCTGCGAGCGGCTCGGATTTTCCTTGTAAGGGCTATGCTAATGACCCCTTCCAGTCCGTTGCGGATTACACTGCTGGAAAAACATATGAACTGGCCATTACCGGCAGCGCCACCCACGGTGGAGGTTCTTGTCAGATTTCTCTGTCTTACGACAAGGGCAAGAGCTTCCATGTTATTCATTCGATGCTTGGCGGCTGTCCTCTGAAGCAGTCGTACAACTTCCAGATCCCCACTGATGCCCCGTCCGGACAGGCATTGCTGGTGTGGACTTGGTTCAACAAGATTGGCAACCGTGAGATGTACATGAACTGCGCTCAAGTCACCATCCATGGCGGCAAGACTCGTGAACACCCTCGTGATTTGTCTGCAAAGTCTCCCACTCGTACTCCCTTCAACAACCTTCCCTCTATTTTTGTGGCCAATGTCAACGTCAACAACAGACCTTGCTCGACCATCGAGGGCGAAGAAGTCAACTTCCCCGAACCTGGAGACAGTGTTGAGGGCAAGCTGTCTGGTCAGGGTTTCACGTGCAAGCGCAGCGCTGCTGAGGATTCTCTTGATGTCAAGGAAGCTCTCCCTCCGCACTCGGCTACAGCATTGCAGCCGAAAAGTCTTACACCTACTACTAGGATTCCCAAGCCTGGACCTTGGCATACCTCACATTCTATTTCCAAGTCTGAGCACCATTCTCACCATGCTACTGGCACTTCTAAGCCAGGACATCCTACATCTTGTGTTTCGAATTCTGGTCACCATTCGCATCACACTGGGACGGCTTCGCAGCCCGGACGTCCCATACCTTCTGTTACGACTTACTTGTCGCTCCCTAGCCATTGGACTACCATCGGTGACCACAACCACAACTAAGTCCAGACATCACACTCATTCGACTAAGACGACATCTTCCACGTCGCCCGCTCCGACTTAATAGATCGATGGAAACTAGGTAGCTACTGCCTGGCCCTTGCTCTGGCTAGTTAGGGCTATGGTTGCGATGGGTCATATTAACCATTGACTCTTTTTTTATTTACCAAATTCTAGTTTATTGCTTTTTTCGTATTTTCTTCGATGTTCTGCAGGATAGGTCAGGATAGGTTCGATGGGTGGTATGGTTACGACGTGCAGGATCATGATGCGACCATTCTCCATCAGACCGGCTCTCTTGACTGTGGTTTCTTGATGAGTTTTGCTTGTGCCTCTTGGACTTTTAATCGAAGATTGATTGATTATGCTGCCTACTAGCAGAAATGACAAGGTTGATATTCTATTCACAGCTGTAAGAGCCATGTACAACTGCTGCATCCCTGTAAAACTCGGGACATTATCCGCCCCCCTCAGTCTTATGATATTAATTAATTAATTTGAATGAAAAACTAATACTCCTGCTGATCATTCCAGAAAAGCGTCCCATGCTGCACCTCACCCGTCGGCTCCAGCTGCCACCCCAGCACCAACCTCGTCCACTGTAAGAGATGGCTCGCAACCTTGGCATGACCGTAATCCGTCGGATGGTCCTTGGGCGCGATGTCGTTATGCTGCAAGATGCCGCGAGTGGGGAAGTAGTAGACGAAGCCGCGGTCCTTGAAGTATTCATGCACGCGTTTGTGCTCTTCTTCGTACAGCATGTCCTGGACGTATTTTGTGCCTTCGCGGTGGAAGAGGCCCCATTGTCCCTGATCATCGTTACTTAGTACCTTGCGGCAACGACTCATGAATGATTCACTGGGGAAACTGAAAACATACCACAATGAGAACAGTCGCATGAGGCCATGTCCGATGCACATCTTCTATCATGTCGATATACGCATGATAGAAATCGGGCGCTGCGATCTCGTTCGGCGGTCGATGGTCATTCCCTCCCATTTGGATCAGGACGAGATCCGCCGGTTGGCCGGCTCCTACGTCAAATTCTTCAGGTTCGGGTCCGTACATTTGTGCTGCGCGGAAACCGGGGTCTGATGCGCGATGCCAGTACCAGGTCTGTTTGCGTTAGATTCACCCTTTCATGGGCTATGGTGTAGAGGTGGAGGTAGGTGGAGGAACATACCATGCCATGGACGCCACCATAGCATTGGTTATCCACCAGACAGGCTCCGGGGTAGGCCTATTGCTAATGTCAGTGGGCATGGATGATACCATGAAGATAATGACCGGAGATGCTGAAGCACTGACGGTGATGGTGTATTCGACATTGCCTAAACCGGCGACGTACTGATGAGCCCACGAGGAGAGTGTTTCGTAGGTGGCAAATTGGCCAGATGCAAGGCTTTCAGAATTAGCAACGGTAGCAGCAGGCACTGGTAGACAGTGGCACTCACGATCCTCCTATGATTTCGACCTTCTTCGGGAAGGTTGGAGGTACGGTGAGCAGGGCGTCGCCGGCGACAGCCACACCGGCTATTTGAACTGTGCTGGATCATGAGCGAAGCACTCGTCCCGGGATGGTCTTCAACTTATCCTATGCCCCAGTTGGTGACTAGGACACGGTCAGCGTATACGCTTCTTCCCTTGGGTCGATCCATGCATACCTCGCATCTCAAACACTTTGGTCTCGGCCAAATGCGCCTCGTCCAGGTCGCTCCATGGCCCGACAAACTGGTACGTCGAGTCCGCAGTGACGTTGGAGAATTGCCAGTCGAGGGAGTCGATTCTGTTGATCGCATCAGCCTCTGCTGCCCCCATCGGGATCGGGGACAATCACTGTACCGGTAAGCCACTAGAGTCCCTTCATCCGTATTGGGGCCAAACGTTATGGCAAGCTAGACGACGGATATAAGTCCTCTGTCAAGACAATTGGATTCCAGAAGACATAGCCATACTTTGCCTCCGGAGAATTGAAGCCTCAGGCCCGGAGCCCTGGACGAGTCAGCTCTGTCTTTTCATACAGAAACATCCGAGAGACGCACGACCACCCTGGTCAATGGATCAGTATTTCTCTCCTTGTTCAAGCGCTCGGGAACAGGAAACCATACAGGAGATATGCTTGCTATCCCAGCGCCCCTTGTACGCGATCTCAGGCGCGTCAGCGCCGTACCTCCTCCAGGACTCGTCGAGATCGATCCTTTGCGCCTGCCCCGGATAAGGATCCCGACGGGGCTGGCCGTTGTCTAGGATGGTGGCCGACGCATGTAAATGGAAGTACAACGGCCACCACAGCAGGAGGGTGAAAGCCAGACGTGGAGTCCACATTCTGGGCACGACGCGACGCTCACACAGCAAGGGTATCTGGGGGACCGCATGCAAGAGGTTTAATCGATCAGCGTGAGCCACGGTCTTAAGGATGAAGTGGCAAGCATGATAGGGAGCAAGTTATCCTGCTGTGGGGTTGCAGCAACAATAATGCAGGGGGCAACGCCAAGCAGCCCTAATAATATATGCATGCACCGACTGGAGAGGTAAACCAGGGACAAAGCCTGAAACTGCCAATCGACGCACGGCCATATCCACTTTAATCGCACTAGAACGGTGATCTTGCTTTTTTCGAGATAGTCGCTGCATTTCGGCTGCTGGAGTACGTCAACCCGGGCTGGGCATGGCGCTTGTGTAAAGTACGCAGTAAGGAGTTCTTCTGTGCATCTCTTCCGATGAGATCTGTTACTCCCCGGGGTTCATCATACGGACTCCGGAGACTCCAATATTAGTATTAGTGCTAGTATTATTATTATCATCATCATCATCATCATCTTCTTCTTCTTCTTCTTTTTCTTCATCATCATCTTCATCTTCATCTCCTTTCCTCCGCGTTTGGTGCCTCTTCCGGATGGCTCTATGAGCCTCTTATTCTAGCCTTCCCCTTCCCCTTCCCCTTCCCCCTCCCTTCTGTACTCCCTTCTGTACTCCCTTCTCGCCATGGAGTACATGCGGCCGGGCCATTTTTATGCCCGTCTTCTGGATCATTTGCCCTGGAAGTCGGCGGAATCCACGGTAAGCCCGGATCCGGATCCCAGAAAGACAGCCCGATGGATCGATGTAAGTTCCCGATGGTGAATCGCTGGACGAGAAGAACGACCAGCAGCCCTAATCATGGTCTCCAGGGCCTCAGTGGACTCGCAGCCCTCCTCGTCGTCGTCTCGCAGATCGTCCAAGCCTGGGACTACAGCCTCCTCTCCCCCGCCGACGATGAATGGTCGTCCTCGCAGCTCCTGCAATGGCCCATCCTCCGCGTTCCCTGGCAGGGCCGGATTGGGATCGCCGTCTTCGCCTTCCAGACCGGCTATATGTGCGCGTTGAAACCGATCCAGTTGTCCCGCACCGATAGCCCCCTGGCGGTCTTCACGTCCGTGGCAAAGGCCGCCTTTCGCCGGCTGCCGCAGATCGTCCTCCCGGCGACGATTGTCCTGGTTCTCTCCTGGGTGGTGGCCCAGTTCGGTGCGTTCACCGTCGCGAGTCGATCCGATAGCCTGTGGTGTCGATCGACAGCGCCCGTCGTGGAGGATTCGCTCTGGGCGGAGACGGTGCGGTTGGTGCAGAACTTCCTGAGTACCTGGACGACCGGCGTGATGGAGTACGATGCCAGTCAGTGGGTGTTGCTGCCGTTGCTCAAGGCGTCGATCCTGGTGTATCTGCTGCTATGTGCGACGGTCTTTGTCAAGCTCCATTGGCGCGCGTTGATCTACCTGCTCATGTTCCTGTACTTCCATCAGGATGCGTATGACTATACCGGTATGTCTGCTCTGTCTAGACCGTTGACTTGCCTATCTGACCCGGGTAGAAACATTCCCCATGCAAGCCGTGTACGGCTTGTTCCTCGCAGACCTCTCGTACGAGGACTCTTTCGAACCCTCCATCGAGCGCCATCCCATCACCCGCAAAATCGTCGCAGCCATCCTCGCCTTCGCCGGCCTCTTCATCGCCTCCTACCCCGGCGAACATCCCGAATGGGCCTCCTGGTCCAACTCGATGCTCAGCGCAGCCTACTACCTGTTCCCTGCCGACGTCGACATCCCCCGACGCTACACCGCATTGGGCCTCGATCTGGTCATCCTGGCCATCTACATCTCGCCGACGACGCGGAAGATCCTCTCCCGGGGCCTCTTCACCTGGCTCGGAAAACAGAGTTTCGCCGTCTACCTGCTCCACGGCACTTTGCTCCGCACCGTGCTCTGCTGGATGCTCTACGGCATCTCGGGCCAGCCGTGGCACGGCGAGATCGTCGACGGCAACGGTAACCCCATCTACGACGAGGATGGGGAGCCCATGCACCCGCACTGGATTGCGCGACGGCCTTCGTGGGTCGTGGCCATTTGCGTCCCCGTTTGGATCGCATTGGTGTATCTCTCGGCCGCGCTGTGGACGGCATACATGGACCCGTTCTGTGGGATGGTGGTGCGTAAACTGGAAACGGCCATGTCTGAGCGAGGCGCGAGTGAGAGTGAGAGTGAGAGTGAGGATATGGTGCCGGCGATACAGTTGGATACCATGCCTACTAGTCGACATAATCCTTAATTCCAAAGCACGTAGATATATCATGTATAATCATGGACATCCTCGGCATATACCATATCCATCTGCATGGTCCTCGATGATTGCACGGATCACTTTTCCTTCCTCGCATCACTCCCCTTCTTCACCACCCGATCCCCGCCAAACAAGCCCAGAAGATACCCCCATTTAATCGCAAACGTGAAGACCGGAAAAAGCAACTGCATCCAAAGCATAACATCCCACGTCCTCCACGCAGCCAGCCCCTCCCACCCAAGCACGTAGAAGAACGCAGACCAATGCGGGATATCCGTAATTGCCGACGCGAGGACGTACCCACGCACAACCTTGGGTTCGGTGGAATACAGCATGACGACCACGGTGACCATGGCAATCATGAACATCAGCACGGCCGATTGGAGGCCCAGGAGGTGTTCGAGGGGGGTCGGGTTCGGGTTTGTTGTGCCGCGGCCGGCTAGATGAGGGGGAAGCATTTGCGGGATGTTTTGGGGGGAGAGGATGGGGGAGAGGACGCCACCGAAGAAGCTGTTCGTATGATTTGATTAGGATTAGTTATAATGCTGGGAGGAGTGGTTGGGATGCATGACTGACATGAGGCATGGTTCTCCGTAGAGGAAGAAGTAGCGCGGGATCGGGGGCATTATGGACGCCATGGTGTTCTGAGGGGATGGAGATCGGATGGATCGAGCACGAAGTTCAGGAATTCAATGACAGCTGAGACAATTAGCTGGGAGAATGGGAGGATGGGAGGATGAAGAAGGCAGAGACAGAATGATCCTAAAGCAGTACAGACGCTAAAATCTGACGTCGAATCATGACTTGTACGAGTACAAGTCTCTATCCTATACAACTATCTTCTCAAGGCAATCTGATGCCATGTTAGCAGCATCAAGAGCCTCCAACCGTGCCTAATTATCCAGCAAAACTGGTGCTGCAGAGTCCACACTGGTAGGTTCAACGGTTCGATGAAACCCATGCTGTTTCATGCCTGTTTAGCAGTCAAGTTAACGAGCACACGAGTACCAGGACCGCGTACGGCGTCGATCCAACAGATCCTATATTTCTTTCGGGTAGATATCTGCATCAGATACTTTGTTCTGGAGATATCAATCGCGCTTCCAACTGCTAAATGGAGCATCCAAATTATCCTCTGCAACACATCCCTTCCCAAGAAGGGCGGTCGACCCGGTGCAGCTGTCCCTGAACATGGAACAGCTTCTGCTGTGTTCGTATGTTCCGTGGCGTTTCCGTAGCAGGATGGTCGACCACGTTCACATGGTCATGATCTTCAGTGGCGTTTCCCTCGTGGCTCTCGGTTCGGTTGAGATGGATGTGATCGGACATAAAATGCCTAATGGAGGAGGTCGGTTTCGCGCAGCATGGACCTCGTTACTATGGTGCTCGATGGCACCTCGTTATCTCCAGCGTTCGATCAACGGATGGACAGGAACACGGACTATGTATATATAGTTGGCAGATTCCTCGACTTATTTCGGCTTCGACCACTGACGATTCTGTACTGCCTCCTTGACGATGCGGAATATCTATAACCTGCCACAGGCCCTCGTGGCTTTCCTTTCTCTATCCACTCGACTCTTTGCTTCGGTTGCCCAAGCAACCGACTTCCCTCCCAACTGCGATGCCGGTTGCCAGGCGGCATTCACGGCCTCTCTCGCCGCGGAGAGTGCGCAGTGGGTGAGCCAGGATGTAGCCACCGATCCGTTCTACGCCAACCCGGCGAATCTATCCGATTACGCCGCCGGCGACATCATACGGTGGGAAGATATCCCCAGCATCGAATTCGTTGCTCAGGGCTATGACACTCCGCCGGCAACAACCCTGTCGCGTGTCCTTTACATGAGCGAGGACATCAACGGCAACCCCATCCCCGCCAGCGCTTTTGTCCTGTTGCCCTTCACCAGCCTCGCGGGAGACGGCAATCCTCTCCGAACAGTCGTCTGGACTCACGGAACGGCTGGCATCAGCCGTCAATGCGCCCCCTCGAACAACAAGGAGCTCTACTATACCTGGGAGGGACCCTTCCCCCTGGTCCAGCAAGGATACGCGGTCATTGCCCCGGACTACGCGGGACAAGGCAGCGACATTCCGCAGGGATTCATGTACGAGTCTGGCGCCCTGCATGCTCTGGACGTGAGTTTCGCTCTGCAGGCTGTGCGGAAGAAGCTCGGGGACCGCATCACGCACGAGTGGGTGGTCGTCGGACACAGCGAAGGAGGCATGACGGCCTGGCGTGTCAACGAGCGTGAGAAGCACAACGCAACTGGAGGGTTTCTGGCAGCTGTATCTGGTGCTCCTGCTCTGCGGCCTCTCTCGCTCGTCCCGCAATCCTGGCGTCTCGCGGGTGACGGGCCCGTTCACGATACCGTCTCAATCTACGTGTTGCAGTCGATTTCGAAGCTCATCCCTTCTGTCAAGATAGAGAACTACATCAGCGACATCGTTGCAAGCCGCATCCCCCTCGCGAATCAGGGCTGCCTCCGAACCGGCGAGACCATCTACGGAAACCTGACCCTTCCCGAACTCTACAAGAATACCAGCTGGATTGACCTGCCGGAGGTCATCGACTGGCAGAAACGCTACAACGGTGCTGGTCCGTATGAGCTGGCGGGTCCCATGATGGTTCTCCAGGGCACTGCTGATCCGTTGGTGTATGCCAACCTGACCGTGGCGGATTATAATGCGACCTGCAAGGAGTTTCCGCATACCTCGGCGCACCTCTATCTCTATCCCGGTCTCAATCATGACTTTGCTTTTATTGCGGCGCAGGAGCAGTTCTTGCCGTGGATCAGGGATCGATTCGATCACGTCCCCGTGTCGAAGGGATGTCAATATACCACTGTCGTGCCGTCTACTCAGGTTTAATTTGTTTGCTTTAGGTTGGACTTGTTCGTCGCGGACATTGTTGTATATAGCTTGGTTTTCGGTATTTAACTTGTATGTAAATGTCTCCTATTCGCATTCCAGAACTGTATACTCCCGTCATGACGAAAGACTATGAAGAAGCCTTGACCGGTTGATATACTGAACCATAAGTAGCCATCAACCGTCCATCCAGATAATCGCCAGCAGTAATGGATCCCTTGCCTGTCTCAGTCTGAATGCCGCCTCCATGACCGACGGTTTCCCGGGCAAATTCCGCAGCTCTGCTCGCGACCAGAGGCGAGGGCATAGGAACAATCTCCGTAGCACGAGAAGGCTGTATGAAGATGGCGATTGAGAATCGATTCTCGCCCAGTCCACTCTTCATAACATCTCCGGACTGAGCTGCACCCTCCGTGTCTCCCGGTTCAGTGAGAATCACACGGTGGATCGTCGACTTCAAGAACCCATTCGTCCAATACGAAAGGAGGTCTCCTATATTAACCACGATCGGCGGCAAAGCCGTGGAATGGTACCCCGGCGGAAAAATGGGCACGCTCGCCCATGTTCCGTCGGGGGTGAGCAATTCCAACCCCGGCTGCGACGGCCGCTGGAACAACAGCGTGATGCTCCCGTAGTCCGAGTGCGCGCCGGCCCTGATATCTGATTCCTGCGAATAGTCCGTCCCCGGGGGGAGTTGCGGATAGAACAAGAACCGGGCTGTATTCGGCGCCTGTTCATGGGTGCGTGCTATCCAGTCCGGATCTTCAATTTCCAGACCCAGCGCAAGGAGTCGAAGGATCCGTGTCGAAAGTCTCCGACAGCGTGCATGGAAGTCCCGCAGACGCGCATCGTGTCGCTGGAAAGTAGCCGGCATGGGCTGGACCCAGTCTCCATGTCCTCCATCCAGCGGCTCGGCGAGGTTAAACGCCTGCTTGAAGTCGCCTCGCTTGTGCTGAGAGGGATCGAGGTTCTCGACGTGCATATCGACCCAGCCTCTGTTGTGTTTGATGCGGCACGGCTCCTTTTCCTCCATCGCGGCGTCGAGGAAGAATTCCCTCGATACCGAGAATACGCGATCCACCGTCTCCTCGTCGAAGTCGTAGGACTCGTTGTTCTTGTTGTCTGGTGGTGGTGATGCGACTATCCACAGGAACCCCCATTCTGCGGCTGCTTTGACCAGTTTCTTGCCCAGCTCGGGGCTTTCCACCGAGACGTCGAAGAGAGGGAGGTCGATTGATTCCTCTGCTGCTGAGGCGCGGGCGCTGGCGATATCCACCGGTGGCATTGTGATTGTGAGTGAATTCGAGATCCTACGATGCTTGAAGCCTGAAGTTCAGATGTCAACGAGTCTCACATGGCTCTAGAAGTATCCATTCTCAGAATATATTATTATTATTCAACCTGATAAAGCTAACTACCAACTCTGCGGAGATCGGAGACAGCCGGTCATTCAAGCATTCTGCAGCATTAATCAAGCTGACGCTTCGGTTACGCTCCGAGACAAGCATCCACAGATAAAGAGAGCAGTGCATATGTTCTCTGTTCTACAGGATTGAGGCTTCGTTTAGGGCATGCAAGGCTATATGCATGTATTGCGGTCATCGCCACAGGACAGGCTGTCCGATCCTCTCACCGTGGTGATTCTATTCCATCTGCAAGTACATGGCTCTAACTATCCAAATTGAATCTCTTCCGGTCGTATCGGACGACTGCTTGAAGGAGGACAGATGCACCGATGGCGCAGTCTTGCGGTGCGCAGTATTCTCGCGGATGGTGGCTCACTCCGTCTCGACAAGGCACGAACACCATGGCTGTAGGCACGCGGCGCGAGGTACAGACGCTGTCGTGACTGGCGCCACTGATCAGTTGCGGTACTTGCGATGCTGGGACAGAGACCACTGCTTCAGCTGAATCCCTGATGCAGTCGATGCACTCCGGGTGAAATGTTACGTCCGAAGACTCGAAGTCAAGCCTCCACTCCACGGTGCACGATCTGCTGCTGCCTTCGTTCTGCGCTATCGCTTCAAACGCGCTTTTCATCCCGGACTCGGTCATCTGGACCGTACTCAGCGACGGCCCTCTCAGGTCAAGACTGAAGCTAACTAGACCAGGGACCGTGTTGACGCTGCCGGGAGACACCTCGACAATCCCAACGGTAGCCAAACAGCCATGCGTGGCGGCCAGCTGTCGAGCCTGGACCATCATCTGCGCCGCTGCGTACATGGCATCGGCACGGTATTCAAAGGCTGTCGTTCCGGAATGCGCATCACTCCCTACTACTTGGACCCGGGACCAGCGGAATGCCTGGGCCCCGGTAACGACACCGGCATGGTGACCCGTCGACTCGAGACGGGGCCCTTGCTCGATATGCAGTTCAAAGTGAGCTGCCATGGTGTTTGCTTTGTAGGAGCACGGTACGTCCCCTAGATATCCGATTTTCTCGAGGGCTTCTTTCATCGTCTCGGGACCCGAGCCAGCAGTGGGAGCGGAAATGGCCGTACGAACTTCTTGCAGGGAATGCGCCTTGGCCAGTGAGATATTCCCAGCCCATACGCCCGAGGAGACAACGGTGATGGGGAAACGGGCACCTTCCTCGCTATGGAGGAAGAATAGGTCAGTCCGGGATTCTTTCAGACATGAATGGATGGCCTCACTGGTCCAATTCACCACGCCAATGCCTCCCTCAGACTCGATGCCATAGTCATCCATCGCCTCGAGTACTTCTATCCCTGCCAACACGCCCAGGATGCCATCGTATCGTCCACCGGCAGGCTGCGTGTCCAGATGGCTGCCGATGAACGTTGCAGGGACATTCGTTCTACGCCCTGGGCGCACGGCGAATATGTTCCCCATCTGGTCCACGCACACGTTGCACCGTAGCTGTTTCATCTTTTGAACGAACCAGTCACGGACGCTCTTGTCTTCTTCCGAAAGCGTCAGACGCGCCATTCCTGTCTCCGTGGGTTCGCTAAATGCCAGTTAAGTATGCGGCTATGTTGATAGCATAAACAAGCGTGGGAACTCCTTACGGGCCCCATCTTACTCCTGTCCCCCATTGACAAGTATAATGCAAAGTCTTCATCAGCCGGTCTTGATTGACTCTCAAACTGGAGACTTCACTGTCAGGCAGCTGGGTCGTCAGCCTCGCGTGCGGCGAAGACATTGAGAAGGATCGTGATGCTCCCCGTGAGAATGCTCTGTATTGCTTTGCAAGACGTGCAGAAGAGCAGAAGACCATTACAGCGATTGCTATACCTCGAGGCATCTGGCTGAGGCGTACTTGATAAACCCTTGTCCGCAAGAATGACAGGAATGACGGCCGACGGCCAACTCGTTGCTTTTCCCATATTTCGTCGGCCGACGGCCAACGTTCTACCTTCGCCTCGATGCGATCCAGGCAATATGGCATCCAGGAAGGCATTTATCAATTTGTTCCTGCTTTCCGGCAGGCTTTCATGTATTTTCTCTCGTCACAATCAGATCCTGATCCTATACTCCGTGCTTCAAAATGCCCATCCTCCCCGCTCGCAAAGCAGCCGCGGTTTCAATCCGCAATGGCCAAAGCATCAGAATCGTCAACACTCACGGGAAACAAGTAACTGATTTTTGGGCCTTCAACCCGAATGATCCCCACGGCTACCTGTCCATGGCCCATACGAGGACCGTTCTGACCAAAGTCTCCTTGCAAGTCGGCGACCGGCTGGTCAGCACTCGCCACAAGCCCATGCTGTCGCTCGTCGAAGACACGGCCCGTTCAATATCTTTATGAATGTCGCCATTGACCATTGTGGGCGACTGGATATTAAACTACCGGTTAGCGAGAAGGGCAAGTATATCATTCTCGAGGCCCACGTGGACTTGATCCTGGTCATGAGTTCCTGTCCCCAGGACCTTGCCCCGGTCAATTCGGGCATGCCGACAGACTGCGAGTACGAGATTCTCTCCGGCACCTGCCTCACACATATCATGGGCATGGCTGAGCGGGTTGTGACGTGGTTGAAGAGCTGGGGGGATGATGTCGAGTTTTGCAGACATGAGGATATTGCTCGGTTGTGGTTTGCAGAACACTCATAGCTTGATACAGATTAAGTTATGCTTTTCATGAACCAGTTGAACTCACTATGGACTTGCATCTATCTAGAGAGAACACTATATACCAACCAAAACCTTGGAAAAATACCCCCTAACCTCCTCCCCATCAATTCCACAGCGAAACCCTACCAGTCCATCCGGTCTAATCACAACCACACCACCACGCTCCAAACTAACCCCGTACCGCTTGTGCGCAGAACCAGAGGGATCGTAATAGGTCTCACCCAGTGGATCCATCCCCAGCGCCTCGTACGACGAGCAGCTCAAGCCGCCAGGAATGGTAATCCACCCGATGGCCTCGTGAGACGCAAGATGGGGGTGCCGCTGGAGATATTCTCGGAGCGCCTTCAGCGCCGGTGCTGGTTCCAGTTTTGCGGTGCCTGTAAATACCACGATCTTGAATTTGCAGATATTCCGTGTGACTCTGTGTAGACGGATCTTGAGGTTTGTGCAGGGCGTTATGAGTTCGGTGTCTGGTGCGCGGCTGCCGGGGACGATAGACCCTGGTTCAGATTCAGCTGTCTTCGAGCAGCTGCTGTTATAATAAACCGGGTTCATCTGATTGATCACATTCTCCGAATAACTAATGCCCAACCCGGTGTTAAAGGAGGACGCTTCTTCAAAGATCCTACCCAGCACAACGTGCGGATCGGCCGACGGATCGCCCTTATACCACAACGGCCATTTATGCGTCATGAGCAGCGAGATGTCCTTGTCATAATTGATCAATCTGGTCACGGCCGATGTGCGCTCCGAGTTATACGTCTCCAGGACTTGGGGGGTGCTGAGTCCGCGGATCTGCAGGGACAGCTTCCAGGCGAGATTCACGGCGTCGTGGATACCGGTGTTTAGTCCCTGCGCGGCACCGCTGCTGTGCGTGTGTGCTGCGTCACCGCAGAGGAAGAGTCGTTTGCCTGAGCAGAATGTTCTGGCCATGCGTTGTCCGATGGAGTATCTATTCCCTGTTGGTTAAACGGGTTCTCAGGTCCAGCATAGGGGAAGAGGGACTGACAGTGTCCACCAATGCACCTCTTTAAACTTCACCTCGAATGGATGCATGGCTGCAATGGCTTCTTTCACTGCTACTTCTTCCGTCACCCCGTCTGGGTATTTGGCTGCGATCTCTGCTGTGTAGGCGTAGCCGATGCGGGTTGCTCCATGGTCCAGCGGCGCCCAGAGGACGTTTCCATGCGTCTTGCTTTCGATGGCTCTGACGAATGTCAGTCTATTCATGATTCCCATGATTCTTCTTCATTTGCCATCTATATTAACGTTCAAACTCACCCGTATGCCCGCGTGATCGGCATAGAAGTCTCAACAATGCCGTCGATGCGAATCCATTTATCCTCCGTCGTGTCCCCGTCAAAGGGAATCCCAGCCTTCTTCCTGACGAAGCTACGGCCGCCATCTGCGCCGATGAGGTATTTGCTTTTATTTTGTTGCGTGAGTTTTTCCAGGTTACACGGTAGACTGGTGGTGGTGAACGCTTACCTCTTGAAAACCATCTGCGTCCCCATCTTAGGGTTCACAAAGTAAGACGTCACAGCGTGCGAGTCAAGGGAGGCAGAGCCATCGATCTCAAAGTCTACACATTCCATCGAGCTATGATATACAGCACCGACAGATGCAAGTTTCTCGCGTAGGATTGCTTCCGTGTACCGCTGTCGCAGAACGAGGGCGAAGTCGTAGACCGTGTCTTTGATGTTTTCCATGAACGTCCAGACTCGTCCGGGGATTCTATATACCCATATCAGCCATGTTTATATACAGGATGCAAGGGAATATGCGAAGAACATACTGCTGCACTCCATCCTTATACGTAACGCTCGTCCTACACGCAAACCCCTGCTGCAGTATCGGCTCGATAACATCAAGCTGATCGAGCAGCTCCGATGTCCGCGAGAACAACGTAATGGCCCTCCCATATGCATCTTGCACTTCCTTCTCATCCTTCTCCAGCACACAGACTGAATTGCCGAATCGAGCCAGCTGGTACGCAACCAGAAGGCCCACGGGCCCCCCGCCGACTACCACGGCGTCGTATTCTGGAGCCGTGATTGCGGTCATTCTGGTGTGCTTCGTACTCTCCGTAGTGTCTAGTGGCAATGATTCCGACGAAGCTCAAGGCCATATCGGTTATAGACGATCCGTTTTATATATCGGGGGACTCCATGCAGGGTTCTTCGTTCCGACGGGCGATGAACACGCCCGACGGGCGACGATAGATAGATGGATAGATAGGTACAATCGGTCCACAGGCTTCGAGCGCCGGGGTTTTGCGGGCAATAATAATGAAGGGTTGAGCATGGATAGAGATAGGCCAAAGGGCCAGATGTGAAAGAAGAACCAATGCCCTACAGTGATATAAGTGATAATTACCGAAGACGGCTCTCGTCAGTTCTGTGCTTTACGTTTACATCATGGCGAAGTCCATCGTAGTAAAGGCCATCACTTCATGGACTGCCTACGTCTCCAGGGGTAAGCAGTATCCGATACAATGCTCAATAACACTCGTACTACGGTGGATTCAATTATATCATACAGGTCAACTTCAAACTGCTCAATCATGCATTCATTCATATCTGGGGACTCATAGAAAGCAAACCCAACCAAAGCTAAAAGAACAATAATACAAAAAAATACCCATAAACCCATTTTCCCTGAAGACCCGACATTCAGCAAACTAACCGAAGAGAGCATCGCCAATGCGGTAGTGCACAGCCTTGACCTGGGTGTAGTTCTCCAGCGCGTACGAGCCCAGCTCGCGGCCGATACCCGACTCCTTGAATCCACCGAACGGTGCCTGGTAAGAGATCAGGTTGTAGCTGTTGATCCATACGGTACCTGCCCGCAATTCGTTGGACACCCGCAGTGCTGTGTTGACATTCTTGGTGTGAACGGCCGCTGCGAGACCGTAGTTGGTGCTGTTGCCGATCCTAATGGCTTCCTCCTCATCCTTGAACTTCTGGATGCACACAACGGGTCCGAAGATCTCCTCGCGGACGATCTTCATGTCCTCGTGGACGTCGGTGAACACGGTGGGCTGAATGAAGTAGCCCTCGGTGCCGTGGCGGGCGCCACCCGCAGCCACGGTGGCTCCCTGGTCCTTGCCGTGCTGGATGAACTCCATGATGCGGTCGAATTGCAGCTTGGAAACCTGAGGGCCCTGGAAGGTGTCTGACAAGAATGGGTTGCCCACCTTGTTTGCCTGGGCACGCTCCTTGAAACGCTCGACGAACTTGTCGTGGATGCCCTCCTGGACCAGGATACGGGAGCCAGCGCAGCAGCACTGGCCGTGGTTGAAGAAGATACCAAAGTTGGTCCATGAGATGGCGTTGTCAATGTCGGCATCGTTGAAGACGATGTTGGGGGATTTGCCACCGAGCTCGAGGGTAACCTTCTTCAGGTTGCTCTTTGCGGCAGCCTCGAGGACGGTGCGGCCGATGTTGGTGGAGCCAGTGAAGGCGATCTTGTCAACGTCCATATGCTCGGAGAGGGCGGCACCGGCAATACGACCAAGTCCGGAGACGATGTTGATAACGCCGGGAGGGAAGCCAGCTTCCTTGACAAGCTTACCAGCATACAGAGCAGAGAGTGGAGTCTGCTCAGCCGTCTTGATGACCACGACATTTCCCGCAGCGATGGCAGGACCGATCTTCCAGGACCACATCATGAGGGGGAAGTTCCAGGGAATGATCTGACCGCAAACACCAATGGGCTCGTGGCGAGTGTAGACGAAGGTCTCGTGGTTGGTGTCGATAGTCTGACCGTGGATCTTGTCTGCCCAACCGCCGTAGTAGCGCAGGCAAGCAGCGGAGTTGGCAACATCGATCTTGGCCATGGAGATGGCCTTGCCGTTGTCGAGGGACTCGATGGCTGCGAGGATATCCGCATCACGCTCGAAGAGATCAGCCAGCTTGAGGAGCATCTGGCCGCGAACGGTGGGGGCGACCTTGCGCCAGGAGCCCTCGAATGCCTTGCGGGCAGCAGCGACAGCCAGGTCGATGTCCTTCTCGGTACCCTCATGGACGGCAACAATGGGCTTCTCAGTACTGGGGTTGATGGTCTCGAAGGTCTTGCCATCTACACCCTTGACCCATTCATTGTTGATGAACCTGGAGAGAGGGGAAGAGCAGTTAGCAATCCATCGGAAATCCTCCTGATGGGAAGCAATTGATCGAGAGGGGTACGTACAGTCCGAGCGGCTGCTCATACTTGACTGTGGGAGTGCTGATGGTAGCGAAAAGATCCGACATAGTGACTGGAGATAAAAGCAGACGAGAACAGAAAGGGGACTCTGGGGGTATCACGAAGAAACTGGGAGTAGAAAGGAGGAGAGGAAGGGGGACAAAAGCAGATGAAGAAGACATTAATATAGTTGCGGGGGAAGCAGAGCTCTATTACCTAATCGAGGCGAGGCCGAGGCATGGTGGTAACGTCTGGTAACGAGGTAACAAATGGTGTTGATTGGCGGATATGGAAGCTTCCCCCGCCGAGTGGGTCCTGCATTGCGGGGGCAAAAAAAGTCTGTGGCAATACGGGGTGTGCGTGAGCGGAATCCACTGCGGGGCAATACGCCGCCCTGTCTTCCGCATTTCTGGATATCCAGCAAGGATACTCCATAGTCTGCTTGACGACAACACTGTACGTTGCACACTGTACACTGCACTGCACATACTACACGATACAGGGAATATCATTGTCTATCGCCACTCAACCGAGGTCCGGCGTCGCTGCATGCCCGCCCTCCCTGCCATCTGCATGATATCATCCTGCGCTGTTGCATCGCCAGATAAAGCCATGTGGAGTGATGTACAAGCATCGTGGCATATCATCTGCAGCCCCGGCACCCCGACTCAGCTTCCTCTTAGTAGTTTCCCACAACTGGTGCGGATCGGATTGTTTTACACCGACCGGCATACCCATACTGATCCATCCCCATGCGCATCCGCATGCGCACGGTTCAGCTCCCTGCCAATCCCATCTCTATCCGCACATGCGCCCTGCAATAAAACCAGGAACGGGTCTGATGATCACCATTCCCTTCAACCGTTGACGGGGGAAGGGAATTCTCCCGGTGGAATATCATGTCTTCATAGTACGAGGAGATCACGAGGAGATCATCCATCCGCGCTGCACGGGATACTTGCGCTGCCGGTAATTAACATCTTCCATGAACAGGATCTTATTCAGGCTTGGCACATTGCTCTCCTGGATCCAAGGGATCAAAGCTGAATTTTGGTTGAGGCTTTAGTTTCTTCTAGACTCTCGAACTTGGCACGGGCGACGAATCCACATGCCTAATCTGGCGAATGCAATCCAACGGACCTAGATAATCTTCAACTTAGCCCTGGAGCCTGGCAGATACATCTCTTCACCGGAGATCAGTAATGTCTCAGGTGGCATCTAATCCGCGGAAAGCAACATCAAACCGTTCATCCGCATGGCCATGCGGAGAATCGGGGAACCGGTGAATGCTTGGTAATATTAAATCTGATATTATTAGTTAACTATTTGCAGTCGGTATTAATTAATAATTAATTTGCTTCAGCGGATCGATTAGTTATGTGGACTATGGTCCCGTTCCGGGGGTAGCCATGGGACGGTGGCTAACTTGTCGGCAAGCCTTGAAGATACTCGACACGGGACTCGGCCGGTAGGCCGATTTTGTTCGAATCATTATCATTATTATAACCCGGTACGAGAATGCTACGCAGGTAGTATGCAATCAAGACCATTGCGTTGCTCTAATTACCGGGATAGGCGATGCGGCACCACGGACACTTGAGCCCACCTAACACATCACTCCCCAGAGAACCGCAAGGCCAAGGACGATCATCTCGATTATCCCCCGGTGGCCACGGATCACATCCCCTAATCGGCCCAACCAGATAAGCTTGGTATTGGATTTGTGCGTCTGCGCCGACTGAAGACCCGGCAGCCCGTCGAGGCTTTTCTGGTTCCATTGTTCATGGTACGCTTGCAGTTGCCCCTGCTCGGCTTTCTTGCGTATGGAGTTCTGCAGGGTCCGCCGCGTTTTGAGATGGGGTTTTGGCTTGGGTTCATCACCGTTGCCATTGCTGCTGCCATCTTCTGTCGTCAGGGCAAGAAGCGGGACTGCGTATCCGCATGAGGTTTGAACCTGCAGGTCATCCTGGTTAGAACGCGAATCAAACGTAGTCCCTACGTCGTGGATGCCCGGAGACATGAGGCTTGTAGTAATATGTACATATGGGGTGATCATGATCGTGGGGTAAATATGGAGTAGACTACTCCGTCTATATGACATCCGGGGGAAAGGCACGAAAATACCTAGGTAGTAACAGTAAACCTACCTTGAATATATCCAACCGAATAATGGCCCTCGCCCCGACAACCCCCTTGCCGGCTCCCATGCGAGCCAAACACCGGCTAAACTCGGGTTCGTGCCACTCGATAACACTGCCCTGACAGAACCAACGCAGGATGAGCGGCGCCGCATCGAACGAGCAGAACATGATCGTGACGCGCCCGTTTTCGCGGACGTGACTGATCGTCTCGCAGCCTGAGCCTGTGATGTCGACGTACGCTGCTTCGTTGCCGCCCAGGATGGCTAGCGAGGAGTCCAGCATGCCCTTCGGCGATAGATTGATGTGGCAGCCCGTGAGAGGCGCAGAGGCCACGAAGAACATGGATTGGCGCAAAGCCCAATCAATCAGGTTGGGAGGGATCGAGTCGTAGAATTTGGGCATGATGGCTGGATTCAGGATTCAGGATCCGGTAATCCCAGTTTCCGCTTCTACAGGTCGACTTGAATCGTGGTCGTGTTGTGTTGCCTGGCAGTCATATATGCTGACAGGAAGCGTGGATGGATAATCGCTGCCTCCGGAGAATACGGAAAACTCCGTGAATGAGTTGGCTAGGCTGATGTTGGCTGGCAAGTCATGCATGAAACGGCCGCATCACGGCCGACTTCACAACTGATGGTAGCCAACTGGACCCTGGGCAGACTGTGCCTTGTACTCTGCCAGTCGTCTACGCTGTGTTCAGGGATGTCAACCAAGTCATTAACGCTTTCAACCACCGACAATGTGACGCTAAAATCAAGAGTCAGTCCTACAAGGCCAAGTCCCCTATGGCTAGTCTCTCCAGAAGTAAATCTGATCACTTTTGCCGCGGCTGATATGCATAGTATGTGGTGGTTCCCTCTGATAGAAGCGAGGTGCTCGGTCACCCCTGTCTCACCAGTAAGAACTACAGCCCTTTCGGCGTACCCATCATGAAAACGTCCACTATTTCACATAATCGTGAAAGTATGCGATCCGCAGAATGGAAGTGTCATGGAGAATGGGGATATGGCACGTAATACTGGCACCATGATATGGAATTGTCTTTGTCCTCTGGCCTGAAATTGCGAGAACTTACCGAAGCAGTCCTTCCGTTGGGATGACACCTGCTGACCTTGACGCCCAGGAAACTCAGTCATAAAGGTCGTTCCAGAACATAATATCCTGAAGGTTCTCTTCACTCAGGGAGGCATTCACGAAATGTTCCCTTTGAGGAGTCCGAATCCTTCGATGAATTTCGCCAGCCGTCTTCCAACCAAAGAATCCAGCCATCTCCCAATCGATAAGTCCCACGATCTTGTCACTGTCGACAATACAATTGGATTGGGTAAAATCATTGTGCATAAAGCTCAAGTCCGCGTCAGTATTAGTGTCGGAAAAGATAATCCCTCCTTCCAGGGGATTGATCCGGCCGTTGCTGAGAATATCAGGATCTTGGACAACATGGGACCGAGCCCGGCGTCCATCATGAGGCTGGATGGTATGCAGCTGTCGTAGTATCGCTTGTGCCTGCTCTTTGAAGGACTGCTTTTGGCTTTCTGAGAGGTATGGCCATGCAACACTCAAAGCAACGCCTGGGAGTCTCTCTTGGATAAGCACTTGGCGGCCGCGTATCTAAGGCAGTGTAAGCATGAGGGGTGCGAGAAAAAGGTGCTGGAGAATCAATACCTGGCCAGCAAAGTATATCTCCGGTACTCTAATACTTCTGACTACGTCCTTGGCAATAGAAATGGCTTCGACCTCATTGGCATCGGCGAAGGAATAATCTATCTCTGGTGTGTTGTGAAGATGACTCGATTTGACAATAACATTCCCAAGGGCGAACACATCACGACCACCTTCGTCTGCAGGATAGATCCGGATAGATTCATTGCATAGGCTAACTACTGACTCCCAGTATCGCATTGCCTCGGTAGATTGGCAACCGACGTGCTCTGGCTTAACGGAAAAATCACCCGGCTTGGGCCGATACCGTCCGTAGAGCGGAACATCCGCATACAAGTCAGTGGCCGGAATGTGTTCGGGTTCAGTCACATATGGATGCATTGTCATAGCAGACCACAGTGTACCTAGTGATAGTGGTAAGTGATATAAAAGACCTCTATGTCCAATGTGTCCTTCTTCTTTGTTCATCTGGATATCTTGCGTCCAGCAGGAAATACTTGATTGAGAAACTATTATAAGTATTAGTCTTGTGACCCTAAAGGCTGAAAGGCCAGCATACTTGTCACGTTTGTTTGTAGATATTATTCAGTGTTAAGTAGATAGGCTAAAGTACTGTCAGGGCCCTTGCCATGTAGACCAGGACGAGCACGTGAGCTTCCTTACTTGGATTAGCGTGGCGCGTGGATAGGAGTACGTCGTCCAGCTTCACGTAGATCTCTTCCTTTTTTCCTTCCTCTTCATGCTTGAAGTTCTCGTCGATAGCTGCCTAGATAGCTGAATAGCATCCTATTCATCGTCTAGTTGAGTTCCGTGACAAGTACTGACAGAGGCATTGCTAATACTTATTATATGATTGGAGAGTTTTTTGCTGTGAGGTCTGGTGCATCTAATCAAAGAAATTCATGTAGATAGCTTGGTCTTCTGAGGGAAGATAATTTATATAGTCTTCCTTTAGTTGGATGCAGTACCTGTTGGTGCCTTTTAGTATAAGGCTTCACATAACCTTAGATAAGGGGTGCATATTTTTATTAGTATTGTTCTACTACTGCTAAACCCTCTAGCATCTTGGGCTTAAAATTTAATAGAAGCCATCTAAGACTGCAGGAATGCTCTAACCTACATTAAGTCTCTTTACACAGAATAGGATCAGTACAATTCGCATTTACCAGAGGGGCGCCGTTTTCGGCAACTCCCCCGTCTGGGTTTAGCGCCCGTCCCGTGGCTGCCTGATGCGGTTTGGCGCCGACCCGGTCGGGTTTAGTTTATCGCGCTATACCGTGCAGGGAACTGCCGCCTGTGCCCGCCTTCACATCGTCCGTTGAACTATATAAAGTCGCTGGTGCGTCGCTCGACGACCACCTCCTCTCACTTTCTTTTACTTCCCTTCGCAACGATGTCCCTCAGCACCCTGCTGTCCTGTCACGCGCACCGGACCAGTCTGCTCCGGTCCCCACCTTCGGAGATGACCGTCCCTCAACAAGGATCGCTCAGCCTGTGTCTGCCCACCGTCGACTTGCAGCCGTGAAACCGCCGCGTCACGGACCGCGTCCGCAATTCGATTCCCTGATCTTACTGGAGGGCTCAACTCAGACTTTGCCGTATGACCTGGAAGGACGTCTCGAGGGGGTCCCTCCAGGCGGCCCATCGTCATGTCCAGCCGGCTGACGGTGCTTCCCTCGGGGCCATCAAGCCTCGACAAGTGTTGCCTTTGCGAACTCGGTCAGATCCTGAAATCCAATGGCAAAAATGCCTCAATGGTGCTGCCTCTCGCTCGCGATGGGGTTTAGGAGATTCCGGTTGCGTAACCCCCTCAGCACCTGGAAATGATCGTTTGTTGGTTGTGCTTTCTGATTGCCTCAAGCGAGCGACGGATACGCCCGATTTGGAATGACGTGGTAGTACGCAGGACGAGTTGCGAAGAGCGGTCCTGTTGCAACCTGTGGTGGGAAGCCCGTTCGTATCACCGCCAATTCCTGGCTAGGCAGACTTCACAATGCAACGATGTCACCGGCAAATCTTGATTCCTGTGTTACGTGGCTACTTTCGGTGGAATCCCAGCCTGCTAATTGGGCTGCGCTGACGCTGAACCTGTGATCGTGCGTGCGAAGCGCCGAGACACTATGCATCATTTCCACATCCCTCCTTTTGGCTATGACAGATTATGGATTCGAGCAGGACCAGACCGATAAACTTCCGGTCCACCCAATAAAGCGGATTAGGAGGGGCATACCCGTATGTTGGACCTATTTTGTGAAAGGTATGCTTTCGGGTATAAATTCCCATCCATCACCCGGAAATTCGAGCTTCGACAGTCCTTGTCTTTCCATCGCGCCCATTGTTTCATTCGTCCTCTCCCCACCTTCACTGGAATCTCCCTGCTTTAAACAATGTCTATCAGCCTTGATAAAATCAACTTCTGTTACCAATACCCTCCGCCTAAAACGGGTACTACCTCTCGTTGGAAGCCATATCAAGTCCCTTCAGCTTCAGCGCACAGTCCACATCGAACTTGCCTCCTTCCATCTGAGCCAGGTGTCTCGACAGTAAGCGCTCCAACCCGAAGCGGTGCTGCAGAGACCACCCAGAGTTTGACCATCTCACCTGGTGGAAGTACGATGGGAATCCGCAATGAATTTGACGTCGGGATAGAAGGTATGACTCTGGTAGAACACAGTTCGAATGTGTCGGAGAAGGGTCCAGGGACGCGCCAGGCTTGTGGCTTCCTCGATGAGACCGCCAAGGATATATCCTGGAGCCTGAGCGCCTCTTCATCCGGTGCTATGTGCAACCTGCGGTGGATCCGTTTCATATCCTTACTAATTCTCAACGCTTTCCAGCTTCCACGTCAGAGCCAGCACAAATCCAGACAAGCGACGGCGATAGCCACAAAAACCCGCATTATAAAACAATTGTTCTGGATGATATCTCGCCGGAGCAGTCGGAGGAGCAGGCGTCCCTCCTAATGCAGCCTGCTATGTCTTTTGACTCTGGACTGGTTGCAACTGAGCCAGAAATCTCAGGTAGGCATGATTTCCGGAGATAGGTTAGTATGACCCTAACATATGATAGCCTTCTCAAGAGCTAGGACTCTGGGCTCGCCTGAAGAAAGTATTGAGGTTTCACGGATTTCATGCCAGAGCACTGCACGATCGACTCCGTCAATTTGTGACGATCTATGTGCACGTATCTCTCGGCCATCCTCGATAGGCGTCCTGGAGCATATGCTCAACCTGGGAAGGGAGCCTCAAACTGAAAATTCCCACACTGAAGAAAGCACCGTTGGAGACTCTCAGGGCCAGGAAGCCGCAAGCTATAGAGCCACAGATGCAGTGAATAAAGCAGATTGCATGGAGAGCCTCAGATACGGACCCGTTGGGCCCGAAGACCAAAGCGCAGTTACAGGCGAGAGAGGAGACAGTGGCGCCGCCGCTTCCGGTCCTAAGAGATCACCCATCAGACAAAGTTGCCGTATCCCCTGTCATCCTCAGACGAATATCAGAGAGTCGAAGCGGATCAGACCGGTTTCCGAGAACTCACCGATCCGTGAACCCAGCCGACAGAAGACCACGACGACCAAGAACACTTTGTGCCGAACACCCTATGTTTGTGAACGCTCTAACAAAGACTATGAGAGCGAAGGCTATCCGACATTGACATCCAAACCAATTGGCGAATCAAACGAACGCCTATCGAAAAGATGTGGGCATTTGCCCCAAATTGAGACAACAGCAGGATGTACTTCGGCGTTGGCCAATGACACCACGAGAGAACATTCAAATTCACTCCAGAGGCCGCCGGACGGCAGCTTTCCGTCCACCGCTGGTGAAGCACAGGAGATCTTTGGCCGAGGAATTTTGCGTATTCAACCCCACGGACCTCGGAATGCGTATGTCATCACATTTCTGCCGGATGTCGTTCAACCGGCCTCTATGCCATCGACGTCCGATATGTCTTGGGAGAAGCCGCCCCACTCAACTAGCCGTGGACGGGCGAATCAGTTAAGTGCCCCAGTGGCTGATAGTGTGCCAGGTGCACAAGAGAAACTTCCCATCGACCCTTTGATTCTCGCCGATGATGGGCCATGGGAAGCGGGAGATCTAGATCAGCCCTTCTCCCTCAGTGACGATCCTAACCCTTCAGAGACGATATGTCCATATCCAGACCCTCGCCCCTTTTCTCCAATGCACTTGGCCAGCGAGACTCTGTCGTGTTGGGGCATGCAAAAGAGACTCAAAGTATCAGCTCCCCCCACGACCGTTGCAGTGTTGCGGCCGTCAACCTTTCCTCCGGCAACCCCCTGAGTCCCGCCCACAGTGGTAAACAGTCTAAACCCCGCAAGCGAAAGCTGCGCCGACCGGATGAACCACCGCCCAAACGGGTTCGAGGCTCTCATACGTCCGTCGCAGAGGGGAATTCGTTTGCGGCGCTCCATACTCACTTCCTGTCCCTGCCGCTTGACAAGCGTGTGCAATTCCTCCCTTGGTTGTTGGAGGGTGCTCTGCCGTATCACATGCCTAGGCCTGATCTACTGACAACTGGGAACGGAGATGCGTGGCCAGTAAGTCCCCTGACACAACGATCCAATAGTAGTGAGCCTCATGGTAGCTCGAGAAAGGGCCTGCCTTGGTCATCTGAAGAAATAGGGCTCTTACTAAAGCTGAGGAGGGACGAGAAACGACCTTGGTCGGAGGTGACAAGATTATTTTCGAGTCAGTTTCCAGGCCGGAGCCGGGGCTCCATTCAAGTATTTTGGAGCACGACCCTCAAGAAGAGAGAACTTTAACACAACACGCCTTTTCATCAATTGATTTTCATTTCCTGATTCAAAATCAATCTACATGGTGCGATATGTAGCTGTAGAAAGATAAAGTCGTGGATGTGGCCGACCACCATGTTCTGCTTGGCACGACGGCTGGGTAAAATTGACGTGCTTTACAATATCCCTTTCAGACCTTGTTCACCATATAACCCCTTCATCAACACCAGGGGCACTTACCTAAAATTGTTATTCTCTGATAGTCGTCGCCCCCAAAGTCATGCTTCGCGACAAATAGTCCACAGGGAACGTCATAAGTGAAGCCCCTATTCACCGCGGAGAAATAGCTATCAAAGATACATAGTGAAGCTGGATATAAATTTTCAGACAAGATCTAGTTTATACCATTGGCTGACGTATCTAACACATTAGGCACCAGCCTAAATCGGTATCAAAATCGCAATGCATATCCGTATCGTAGGAGTAGGTAGGAACGATGAGGGGGGAAATAAATGCCGTAGGACCTGTTCTGAAACCACTGATTGTGTAGTTATACTTCGTCCAACCTGCTGCCAATCCAGACCCGGATGAATTCCATTGATATAATAGGAAGAAGTAACGACCATGTAGCTATCATTCAAGCAATGTCTACAAATTCTAACGAGTCTAAAGGACGTCTTTTTCAATATTAGAGCTTCATTCGCACGCAGGTACCTTCTAGTATTCGATCCCATGAAGCAAATTTATGAACACAAAACTCTGGATTTCGGATAAAAGAATTCCTAGATGGCGCTTTAGCATTGCGCCATCCAGGCCCAGTTATCCTCCAAAAAAGGTCAGTAACTTACCTCGAAGGAATTTGTATTACGTCAGCTGCATGAAATCCTGATCAATCAGCCTTTTCAAGGAGGATCAAATCACGGTAAAGTGACGAACTCCGATTTGCCTAATTTGGTTAGCTTCACTACAAGTCAAGACACTTTCCGATAGGCCCGTCGTCCTTGAAGCCTATGCACACCTGGACATATAAAGTGACATCTCACCGTTCGATCATTCACTTTTATTTGTTCTTTCCCCGTTTCCCCTCCATATTCCGCACCATTTCATTTTATTGTCTAATACTGTTATCTCTATTCTCTGCGCTCTCGCTTGTCTTCAGTATACGCTTCCCTTAGACTTGTTGCCCGATTAGTCTCATAAGGATGCTTGATACAGATGATAAGCAGAATACTCGCTTTGTTGACTCGGGGCCACAGGTAAATATCATTTGCTCAGCCCCAGGGTTTGTGGTGCCTGATCCAGACAGCGTCAATAAAAAGGTTACCTCCAGTAATACGATCTTTAACTGGGGTGGTGTGAAGATAGCGAAGATATCTCCTGATATTATTGTGAAATTCGGGTCCCATGTCACATCCAGCGAAGCGAAGAACATGATATTTGTTGATCAAAACACGGAAACCGTACCGGTACCAAAAGTCTTTGCTTGCTACTCTTATGGCCCAATACGTCGGGATATCGAAGACTACGGTAGTCTGTTCGATACTTACATATTCATGAGCTATGTCAAGGGTCAGAGCCTTGATAAAGTTTGGGGTACTTATGATGACGCTACAAAAAATCATATTACTAGTCAACTGAAAGGGTACTTCAACCAGCTTCGCCAAATAAGCGACGGGAACTACATCGGTTCTGCTGGTCTTGGCCCCGTTACAGATCCAATTTTGGAAAGTCATCACACAAAGGGTTCGTAGTGTCTACACCAGAAAATCCAATAATGCTAATACAGATAAGGGCCGTTTAATTCCGAAGGAGATTTCAATAACGCAATCATCGAGGCATATCAATCAAAGGCACCAAAACGTCACATCAGGGGCTTCTTGGCTGGCATGCTTTCACAAAAGTGTCACAAAATTGTGTTCACCCATGGAGATCTACGCCTTCAGAATATCATGGTCCATGATGGATATGTCAGTGGGATTTTGGACTGGGAATTTAGTGGCTGGTATCCAGAATACTGGGAGTTCTCAAAAGCTCTTAATGTTTGGAAGTGGCAAAATGATTGGATTGACTACCTGGTACAGGTTCTTGAACCCTACTATTCCGAATATGCGGTCCACTCGTTCTTGACTGAAACACTTTGGTGATAGTAATTCACATGTCCGCCATCATTCGTTCATACTAGTGCCACAGGACCATAGTTATTTCTCAATACACTCCTTTCCCAATCTGCTTAGCAATAATCATTCCAATGTTTCCATGTAACGACCCGAACTTGGACTTGAGCACGAAGTTTGATTAGGCCAGTGTTTTCGCCTCGGTCAAGAGTCATCCACCCAGTTAGAGCAATTCCGTGCCGGTGGGTCGGGGTTTGCTTCGGTCAATACTCTCGGATCGTAGGGGGGAGGGTGCTTCTGCAACTGTTGACGCCGCGTTCTTTCACGAGATGGAGCCGAACTATCATCGACCACGGATTTCTGATACCTGGAATGACCATTCCACGATTCGATTATTCTCAATTGATGCAGAAGAACACCAAGCAGCACTCGAGAGTGTTAAGAGCACCGGCAAAGAGATGGGTTCAATGGTGGATGGAGACTTCGTGATCTGTTGCCCCACTGTTCGTTGCTTCAGTTTCAACGACAAGTTGTTCCGTGAGTCACGTGTTAAATCAATATATATTGGATAACTAACCAAATCTAGTGGAGTGCGCGGTCAGTGATTTGCGCAGTGTGGAGTGGTCCCGAGTCGCGTTCGATCGCTTGCAACTGCCAGAAGACAAACGCCACATCCTTTTGTCAGTAATAACCTCTCGCCTGTACAGCAACAGCGAAGTGGTTTTTGATGACTTCATCAAAGGCAAAGGACGTGGTCTGAATGTCCTACTTTAGTACGTCTAGTTCCCTTTGGTTTAGGAATTATTTCTGACCAAACCTGTGCCACAGCGGAGTGCCGGGGGTCGGAAAGACATTCACTGTCGAGGCAACGGCCGAATATTTCCAAGTCCCTCTCTATTCGGTATGTGCAGCCATTTCAATTAATTCTCGGTGCTGTGCTCACTATGTAGGTTTCTGCCGGCGAGTTGATCGCTGATCATGGTGATCCCCTTCAATTGGACATGGTGCTTGATCGAATCTTTCACATCGCGAAGCACTTCAATGCAATCATTCTAATAGACGAAGCGGATGTGTTCATGGAGAACCGTGCATCCTACCATAGTAATCACAACCGTTTGGTGACCATCTTCCTGCGGAAGCTCGAATACTACGAAGGCCTCCTCTTTCTCACCACCAACCGCGTGATGGAATTTGATGAAGCTGTTCTGAGCCGTATTCATCTAAAGATCAAATACGCTGACTTGACCAAGGATGCGCGACGGGGAATTTTGACAAGCTTCCCCCCTGCCCGATGGTCAACTCGACGCAGAAATTGATTGTTTGATCCAGGATATCAACACAAAGGTGCTTGATCAGACAACATTTGGTCGTGACGATACGATTTCAATAAACGAAGGCATAGAGATACCATGTAGTATCTTCGATCGACTTCGCCCGCGCAGGTGGCTGGATAGCTGGACTATTAACGCTCTCATGCAGCTCTCTGATAAACCCGCGTATGTTAGACACGGTCTAAGTGTCCCTTTGGACGAGAACCGCGGCGATAATAATTTTCAGCCAATCAAACAGCCCCTAAGACGCTGGGCCATAGAGATGGCCAAGTTCCGGAAAGAGGCCAAAAAACCCTCTCGAGACGCGGTCCCTTTGGTTTTTTTCTGCCCAATCAATCACAAAGGGCAACATTTTTCGCTACTCGAAATCAACGAACGCAAGCAGGTAATACGGCATTATGATTCGATGAGCGAGACTACTACTGCCCTCCGTATGTCAAGACTAGTTGAGGAGCAATTTGGTGACTTAGAATTCTCCTACGAAGAAATGGTAAGTATTAGTCCCCGTCCTATGAATTACCTTTTCAAACACTAATACAACTGGTATAGCCTACACCGCAACAGGACGACGGCTGGAGTTGCGGAATCAGGACGGTCTGGAATTTCCGGCATTTATCAAATAATCTTTCAATTGAAACGAACAGTAGCAACCCGGAGCGGATGTTACTACAAGTGGTAGAGGGCCTGATAGCCTGCGTTGAGGGTGGCGCGATGACAAAGTATATTCGACGAAGACGGTCGGATCGAGAGAGACGACCAGTGACCTAAATCCATGTTTGAGCAATTAGAACCTAACAGGAAAGCAATAAACCATGAGAAGTATCCAAGACCATAGTATTTAAAAGTGTACCTGCTTGGATCATGATATCCTTAAGTAGGCAGAAGTTCGTACCGAGCGTCCATCTCCGAACTTAGTCATTATACTGATGGATTTTCTCATTTGTACATCAAGAGAGTTGGTCCGAAACCCTGCCATTGTTGCATGTTGAACACTGTTTTGACACCAGATGGAGCGATCCTTCATGTTGCCAATAAATGTATGGACCCGGGTCATCTGTGGAAGGCAGTAGCCCTCTTTTCAGTATCCTGGGATATAGGGGCGTTGGGATACTGGAAGGACGCAAGACCGGGAGCAATATACGGTTGGAATTGTTCAATGACGTTAAGTTCCAATGAATGGGCCGGAGGCCAGGGAGCCACAGGCACTAGGATCAGCGACCTTCACAGGCAGCTATCTAACAAAAAGAGTTAGGTAGACAGAACAGGGGCCCCATGGCCTATACATCCAGTGACTGGCATTTACAGCGGATGTTGGCACCAAGCGTCTGTGTAACTGTGGGTAAGACACCGGGGACCACCACAAATGATGGCCCTGCCATGGATCTTGTCTCGCAAGCCTAGCTTGAGTGTGCTTAGCGGACTATGGTATAACGCAACCCACGATCAAGCTAACTGGCGGCTAACCTGGGCCGATGTTGAGCTCGACGCTAGTCCCGTGGCCACACCCAATGCGGTCAAGCACCATAACAGGACTCCCTAATATGGCGCGTCGCAGGGGATTCAGCATCCTATGCACAAAGATTCTCTATTCAAGATCACAACATTCTATATTATAAGACAATCACCAGGCGATTTTGCTATGGATAACCAATTGTGGCCGTCCGTGAGGGCGAGAGACCCTCAGGGCCGCAAATAAAGTTACTAACTCCCTTAACCATGGCATACCGTAGGATCGGCACTTCCATATGTCAAGGAAACCCGCAGGGCGTTATAGCTTTGTAGAGGTTGATAGGATACCTTGGAGTCTATGATAAGTGTGGACCTTCATAAGGTCAATGTCTCCCTGGGGCTGAAGCGACCGCAGGTGGTTATAATTTTGGTAGAAACGTGGCATTCCACAAGGGCAAGATGTTCCTGCGGATATTGTTTTCACACGGCACTCATAAGTCTATCAAAGAGTGGCTCAACATAGGGTCGAGTGGTCCATGTGCCTGAAGTGCCCGTAGGGTGTTCGCGAATATGTAAAAATGTGGCTTGCCATACGGCCTGTATCTCCATGCGCCTAAATTAACCATAGGGGTTTAAACAGTTCCTCCGAATTGTGGTGTCCCACAGGGCTAGGAGCTCCATACGTCCCCGCCTCCCCCAAGGAGTTCATGGTCACTTAGAAGTGTGGTTCTCCGCAAGGACTAGCCATCCGCATGCCAATAATCCTCGTAGGGCGCTTATTATGTTGCACAACATGGCGCTTCACGGGGAGAGATTTCCCATAAGGCCGAAACTGTCACAGGGCATGCAGGAATCGTAAAAGAGTGGTTCGCCACGGGAAAGCATGGCCCGCCAGATGGTCTCGAACACCGCACGGCTAAAATCCCCGCAAGGAGCTATATATTTGGAACAGTTATGACTCCCGATAGGGCACGGTTTGAATTTATTTTATTGTGGTGTACCACAAGGCCCAAAATATCCTATGCTTGGGCTCACTTGTCTTCATGTCTTATCAGGCAATAGATACACAAAAGGCTTCACTTTCCATTGTATATTATGGCGTTCCACAAGACTTATCGTACCATAGGTTTAGCCGATATCCAAAGCACACCATGTTTTGCCAAGCCATGGCTAGCTTCCAGGGAGAGTCTCTGTAGTATTGATGCCTTTCGGATCACGGAGAATTATTGTCGCGACGTCTAGCATACTGTTACGCCCGGGGCTTCGTTGTCGAGTCTCTAGATCAGTTAGCGGACCGCGCGTCAAAGGGTTACTAACCTGAAGTCGTTCTTTGACTTCCGTCGACAATGGGTTGCGATCTTGGCAGGACGGGAGTCGGTATAGGACTGCCGTCGATACTAGACTCGAGTCCGAAGGGCCAGGCCTATTGTGTACGTATACCTAATAGTTAGAAGAGTACGAACCAGTTGAGACTGGTCGTGCTACTAAAGGTAACTCCGTAGTAACAATGCGAGAATCAGAACTATACTCTCGATCACACGCATTAGGCCACTGCAACAGCCAGATCACAGAGCGATAAGTCTCATGTTCGACAAATCATACTGTCCTCGCTCTGTCCGCAGTGGTCCAAACCAAGGACCACCTAAACACGCCAAATGAAAAATGGTTACGGTAAACCACATGTTCAACAGTGATGGCCCACTTCCTCAGGATATAACAGGCCAATGATGTCTTATTATCAATGCTTGGCAGAGTTGACTGAGGCACTAAGCCATCATCAGAATTGAACACTTGGGAAGCTTGAGACGCTAGCGCTCAGGATGTAGTAATGGATAGGCGCATGTGTGGTCGTATTACTAGGTAGGCCTGCCTGTGCCGTGAGATAGGTAGCGAGGGCGGTCTAGGACGGCACAGGCAGGCCTACCTAGTAATACGAACATACATGCGCCTATCCATTAGGTTATGAGCCCGTTTTAGCTCTACGATATTGAGCTTAAAAAAGCCTTTCAGATAGGCTAAATTGTGACCTCTCATTGGTCAAACCAGAAATCGAGCGCTTCTAAGCGACTCTGAACACCAGGATCCTTCGATCGATCCCATCCAAAATGGTGGTGCCTCGAACGCCCCCTACCACCGCTAGACGTCACCGTCGTCAGCCAGAATCCACAGATCCTTCATCAGATATAGGCTCCTCCGCCTCCTCAGTAATCTCTGAAGAAATGGACACCCCAACTGCCCCTAGAGCTCAAAGCTCTACTACAGCCAACACCATGGCATCCACACCAGACATCACAGCTCTGTTCCAGCAGATGCAGGAACAGATGCAGGAACAAATGCAGAAGCAGATGGACCAGTTCATGACTCGTTTTAATACCCTTGAACGCCGTCAATCCCAATCCTCCACTCCAACAGTCCGGCATAACGCTACTCCCTACAATCATATTCAAAATAATGCGGCTATTCCAGCCTCAAATCCAGTACAAAAAGATCCTTTTGATCATGTACAAGCTCAAGTTAAAGCGCTCCTACCAGACCGATGCCGAATCACACTGTCTCATGATAATTACGACCCCTGGAGTTCAGCCATTCAAAGAGAAGCCAATGTCCTGAACGCTAGTACAGTCTTGCATCAGGATATACCTCCAGCAGGATACTCAGCTTATGATGCTGAAGTATGGCATTGCAAAGCCACTGTCATGAGAGCCCAAATGCTTCATGCTATGACTGCCTAAGCCATTGACAAATTGGGCAACACATATGACCTATCAGCCCATGGTTTATGGGACTGAACTGCTACCTTTTTCGGACGTTCTACTGGTGAAGAATGAATGCTTCTCATAAAAGAGCTCAAGGAGCTCTATATAAAAGACAATGACTACCTATCCTACCAATCTGCATTTACTAGGATAGTAGACCGCCTTCATGCTATAAAAGAAGCATCATTTGACAACCTTATTCACGACCTATTTTTTATAGGCCTCCGCGAATGGAACAAAGCATTCATTAAGAGTAAACTTGATGAAGTATACTCAACTGGACAAGGCCCTGTCATCAATCTGGACCTACCTACCATTCAAGCTCAACTCTCTATCCGTATGGGCACCCAAGCCCGTGAATCCCGCTCCCAACACGGAGGACGATGAGAGAATCTATCCGGACGAAGCTATTCCAAACAAGCATCTAACCCCATTGCTAGCTCTTCCGCCTCAAGTTCCAACACTAAATATAAACCTCAGGACCAGGACTCACGCAAACCAAAGACCCGTTGTGATTGGTGTGGTCATTTCCACCCAATGCCTTGCCTCTACAAGAACCCTGAGAAAGCCTCTGAGCATTGGCACTGAGCCAATAAAAATACTATTGAAGCTATTCATGCTTTACACACTGCTAAAGAATCTTCCACTGCTTCATTCTCTGAAGCAGAAACCAATGAACTGGTACCATGGACTTCTTCAGCTGCAAAAACAGCCATTGCTAAATCAGCCCAATCTCTCTAAGCTTCATGGTATCTTGATAGCTGTGCTTCATTCCATGTTACACCCCATCAAGCTTTCTTCACGTCCTATAAAACATTGAGAAAGGAGGACCTTACTCCAGCAGATTATATTGAAGATGCTCAAGGGAAGATTTCCAAACCTCATGGTATTGGCACCGTCGTCATTGATATTGGAACCGGATCCTTGATCCTTAGGGATGTACGACATGTTCCATCCTTCAATTCCAACTTAATCTCCATGGGAATGCTTCTCAAACAAGGTTTTCGTATCGAATTCCCTTCCAGCTCTCAAGTAGCACAAATCACAACCTCTTCTGGTGCAGAATTTGAAGCCATTTTGAATACCAACAATGTATTCATCCTATCAGATTGCATTTCTCCCGACGAGAGCTCCTATGCCTTTGTCACCACCCGGTCTGGCAAAGAGGCCAACTGACCAGGGGACCCTCCCAGAAAGAAACCTACAACATCCCCAAAGAGCAAGAGCTCCAAAACAGCTCTACCAATTATGACATGGCATCGCCGTCTATGCCATTTAAACCAGCAGGATCTTTTACGCCTTGCCGCAGATCCTACATCAGACATTGAAATCAAAGGTTCCAAAGAACTACCACTTTGTGAAGCCTGCATCCAGGGCAAGCAAACTCGCCAATACAGCAAAACACCAAGATCCCATATGACTGCACCACTAGCCCGAGTCCACATAGACCTTGCTGGTGGCGGCCGAACACTAGATATAGAGAAGCTAGATATGCCTCTACCTTCACGTACAGGAGCCAAATATGTGATGCTTATTACTGATGACGCTACACGTTACTGTTGGATCCACTACCTAACTGAAAGATCTGCTGCAATTGATGCATTTTGGGGTTGGCTACAACAGATGAAGAATCACCATTTCCCTGCCCCAGCCTATATTGTCTCTGACAATGAATTCTGCTCAGCTGAATGGCAGAAAACCTACTGTCAGGAAGGCATTGAATGGCAACCAAGTTCTCCATATTCCCCTTGGCAAAACGGTGTCAGTGAGCGCAGCATACGCATACTCTTTGACCGTGCTCAGACATTAATGCTTGACGCTCCCCATATACCACAGCGATTTTGGGTTGATGCTTTAAAATATGCATCAGATATAACAAACTGCCTCCCAACATCCACAATCCTATTCAATTCACCTATCCCTGGGGGGGTCAATACCAACACCAAAATCAGCCCAAGCCCATATAAATCGCCTCTGGCTGCCTGGACCAACTCACCAACTAGTATCAACAAATACCGACGTTGGGGCTGCCCTGTCTGGGTTCATCGACATGGCTCAGATAAGCCTATAAACAAGTTCGATTCCCATTCTAAATGCTGCTTCATGATCAGCCAAATCAGTAGCCAACAATACAGAGTGTGGGACCCTAAAACAGATGCCATTTTTTCAACCAATGACACTATATTTGATGAAGAATATGAGGATCCCACAACTACACCTCCACAAGCTACTGTTCCTGAAGATCCAAGTACTCCTAATAAAGAAGATACAAACCAACCTGTTGAAGATGAAGACCAGGAAATATGGCTTCGACCCGCCAAAGGCATGTCCCTAGCCTATCTCACCACTTCAACTACTCCTTTGTCTGAAGATGACACGCCTACTTCCTATAAGCAGGCTATATCTCATCCTGATGCCACCAAGTGGCAAGCAGCCATGCAAAAAGAAGTCAACCAACTCAAAGATAAAGGCTGCTGGCAACTTATCCGCCGCTCTGACCTACCACCAGGGACCAAGGTCATCCCTAGCCGGTGGGTATACAAAAAGAAAGAAATCCCTGGTACCCCTATTACAAGGGACTACCAAGCTAAAGCTCGCTGGGTGATCCGTGGAAATCTACTTGACAAGGACTTCATGGAATCATACACCCCAGTGGTAGATGAAAATACCACTAGAACCCTTACAGCACTGGCCACTCTACTTGGCTGGCATACTCAAAAGGCAGATGCCATCCTTGCTTTCCTAAATGGAAAAATGCCCACAGATAAACGTGTCTTTATGACCCAAGTTCAGGGATTCAAAGAAGGCTCTGGAGACCTGGTTTGTGAACTCTGCCAGTCCCTCTATGGACTGATCCCATCTGCCCGTATCTGGTATGATACACTAAATGATTTCTTACGACAAATTGGCTTCAAAAGCTCCGAATACGACTCTGGTCTCTGGATCCATACCACCCAGACCCAACTCTATGTGACTACCCATGTGGATGACTTCAAAGTCTATGCTAAGCATGAGAATGATGCCACTTGGTTTATGGAGTCTCTTTCTGCTAAATTTGACATAAAAGAAGTTGGAAACTCTACCAAATACCTTGGCATGGCCACCTCTCAATCCAAGACCACATATACTCTCTCCCAGGCCAATTATGCTGAAGACGTTGTTGCCTCTTTTGGCCAAGCACAAGCACACCCTGTTGGGATCCCCATGGATCCTAGTTTAATAATTGATGATGACCCAGACCCTACAGTGAACATCAAAGAATATCAACGTGGTGTAGGCTGCCTTACTTGGCTAGCCACCAAAACCTGACCTGATCTTAGCTGGACAGTTGGCGTACTATCCCAATATCACGCCAAACCTACCCAAAAGGCATGGCGTGCCCTTATACACGCTATACGCTACCTTAAAGGCTCCATTAACCGACAAATTACCTACCATAAGGCCACGGAACCCATTACATCTGACCTCCTCATGCCCAGATGTTATACTGATTCTGATTGGGGTGGTCAACTGACAGGCAATCGCCGGTCAGTATCTAGATATATATTTCTGCTTGCCGGGGCCCCAATTGCCTGGAAAAGCCGCAAGCAAACGTCCGTTGCACTTAGCTCCAATGAAGCTGAGTATATGGCTCTAAGTGAAGCCAGCCGAGATGCCCTTTGGCTCTGGAACCTCATCAACGAGCTCAACGTACTCCCTACTGAATGCCCGCCAATTACTCTCCATATCGATAATCAAGGTGCACACGCCATGGCTGAAGCTGAGCTCACCACCAAGAGATCCAAACACATCGATATACGTTACCATTACGTTCGGGAGAAGATCCAAGACGGTATTGTTAAACTCCAGGCCTGCCCTACCAAAGAACAAGCAGCAGACGGCCTGACCAAACCTCTCCGAACTGAACAATTTGATCATTTCCTACAACTCACTGGCATAAGCTAAGCCGCGTATATCTCCCCCATTTTGGATATATTTTCTATTTTGATATACGGCATTCGATTGGCTAAAGCAGAACCTTCATTCCTCTGTTTATTTTTGCATATATTCACTCATTTGAAGGCCCGAATAAAGGCCGATTTCTGTATTTAGATTGATTCCATAGTTTGTAGGCTGCTCGTGCGTGGGGGGGTGTTAGTACACGTGAGGTTCTGCCGTCCTAGACCGCCCTCGCTACCTATCTCACGGCACAGGCAGGCCTAGTAATATGACCAGACATGCGCCTATCCATTAGGTGAGAGGGAAAGGTCACGTGTTACCAAATGACGGCCAAAAAAGGCGTCGTTCGAGGCCCAAAATGGCAACCATTTGGTAAATTCAAATTGTTATAGAGTCCAATACTGGTACTCATTTGAATTGGCAGGTGGAAGAAGAGAGGGTGCCATCTGGATAGGTGCAGGTATAAAGCAGAGGTGACAGCTCTGGGATCAATCCCAGAACTGGCCTATGTGAGGATTGAAGAGGACAAAGAGTGGGAGGATAGGAGGTGACAAGAGTGCAGACAACTGCCATTTTGTATAGCACCTAGGGAGTCAGGTTGAGTTAGGGGGAGCAGGATCTGCCTGCAGAGGAGGCCATTTTCAGCATCTTTTAGTTGTGAGCTGAAATGAGGTGAGGGCTCAGTGAAGTTGAGCATCTCAGAGGGTGACTAGCCAATGCTTGGCGGGTGCAGAATAGTGATGCGGAGCACGTGTGAGCTCTAGACAACCGCTCGTTGCTGGAAATTACAGGTGGAAATGCGGCCGTTTATGGCCTCAGTAGCTGTCATTTTCAGCGTCAATTTCACAGGTCCTCACATTCTAGTTGTAATTGACCTAATAAAAATTCACTGGGGTCCAATGTCACCTCCGCCGTGACCGACTTAAGCTTGGCATCGGCTCAAATGCATCGTCATCATCGTCCTCAATGTCATCGCTAATAACACTGGTATTTCTCGTTGCACGGCCCAGTCTTGTCCCCATTCCCGGCGTACCACCTCGCACGCTTGCTTGTGAGCCCGTAAAGTCCAGCGTGGTTTGTGTCTGTCTGCCCTTGGTAGCTGTGGGCCGGGGAGGCGCTCTCCGTGCTCCTGCTGTTCCAGACACAGTTGCAGACGATGCAGCTGACGATGGAACAGTTCGCGCGGCCCGTCGTTGGGTACTGGCTGTGGCTGTGGTTCGTGCAGCTGCACTCCTCGTTGTGGAGCGAGGCTGCTTGACAAAGAGCGCTTGGGAATCGTCGTCTTCGTCGTCAGAGATACCTTGTGCTGCTGAGACTACTCCATCGTCCTCGTCTTCATCATCTTCCAGCATGACGACGTCGTCTTCCTCGTCCTCGTCTTCAGGTATAGCCCGTCGACGATTTCGTGCATTTCTGGCAGTAGCTGGAGCGGGTTTCCTTGCTGCTCTTGCTGTAGATGTCGTTGTAGCTGTCTTGCGAGTGGTTGTTGCCGTCCTACCGGCTCTGCCCCTTCCCCTGCCGCGGCCGCGCATAGCTGTAGCCGTTGGCTCTGTGCCATCTTCACCAGCCTCTTCTGCGTTGGGATCACCCCCCTCGTTGTCTGAGTGAATGAGAGCTCCCGGCTGGTCTTCCCAGACGCCGTCGAATTCGGTATCCCAGCCATCCGGCTTTGGTTTGAAGCGTTTCTTCCCGCGCGTGCGTCGCCGCGCTCCTTTGGAGAATGCCTCTTCCATTTGTGTCCTATACTTCTCCATCGCCTCCTGCAGGGAGCTTAGACCTCCTTCATCCATATCGTCATCCTCACAGTCTAACGATAGCAGGTGTTTAAATTGGCTCTCCAGAGACTCGTTGACGAACATCTCCATAGCATGCTTGTCATCTTTGTCGATGAACTGTGATACAGCGTCACCAAAGGAATTCTGGGGAAGAATACTCAATGACTGGGCAGCGAGGAACTCGCGCACCAGCTGTTCCACTTTCACCGTGTCGAGCGCCGACAAGTGTGACACGGTGGCCTCGTCAAGTGCATCGTCAGTCTTGCGAGTCATGGCATTTTTCTTCTTTCGATAAAACTGCACTACATCGTTTACATTTGCTACCTTCCCCACAAAACGGTTAGAAAATCGCTGTGGGTTCTCACAATCGAAATTACCTCCTTCGGGTGTCGAAGTCTCAACTCGTAGCCGCACAAGTGGTAAAGGCACCTCGAGTTCTTCGTCTTGGACGTTGTCCTCGTGCATCTCCAACCAATCAGCCTTGGCTTCTTCGATGAGCTCCTCGACGATAGACATAAGGAAGCGCGTAACTTCGGTGCGGTTGTTTTCTTTTCGAGCTAACTTCTTCATTTCCTTTTCCTCGGAGAGCACTATTTCTCTCATGACAAATGGACGCACCGACTTCAAGCGGATAGGTTCGCATTTGAATTCGCGGCCAGTGATGCTAAGGATCGCCACCTCCTTTGGGACTGCTTCCCCAGGAACCAAAGACGTCACTACCGAGGAGCCCGGCTGCATAACATGAAAGTTTGTTTCGGGGTTGAGCCGAGGATTGATCAGACATTCGTGTTCATGGCCCCAAATGACAAGATCCAGGAAGTCTGGTAGAAAGGCCTCCGGAAGATAGCCGGTCTCAGTGTGGGCATGATGGTTCTGATGAACACTCATCAAGTTAAACCAGTCGTTCTTCTGTGTAGAGGGGCGGAAGAATTTGACTCTGCCGTCACGAAATGTACGGAAGAGCCGTTCGTCGCGGACGTTGCTCATGCCATACAGCGCCAGTTTAGTGCGGCCCTTTTGTAGCAAGACCGGTTTTATTTGAATATTATCCGACTCTGGAGTTCTCCCGTAGTAATTAATCAATCCAGCTACCTGTAGCAAGTCCAGTGCTGCTAGATGACCCTCCCCGGATGGATCATCATGGTTGCCATGAATGGAAAACACGGGGATGGCAACATTAATGTCCAGATCTTCATAATTGACATGGTTGAATGCACCCTGAAAATTCTCACTAGCATCGCTGAGTATTTCCAGTTCACAAGGCTTGTCTCCTAGACAGTTCATCCGTAGCGAGCGCATCACTTGGTACATGGACTTTCTGGACGGCTTGTTTTCATGGAAGAGATCGCCTGCAAGAAGCACCATATCGACATCACGCTCCTTGGCTAGACACATGATTTCATGGAAAGTCTTCCAACTATCATCCCCTCGGATGGGATCTCGTTCATTGTATCCGACATGGTTGTCGGTCGAGACGAGAATGCGGATAGTCTCTGCGTCTGCTGCAGTGAGCATAGTACCTAACGAGGAAGGTCAATGATCATTCTTACCATTAGAACTAGTCATCTTAGAAGGAGCAAATTAATTATTGAAGGGGAAAAGGGAAGAGAAAAAGGATATTGAAATGGTCTATATAGACGCGTTGGTCCCTGCAGTGGTACCTAATAAAGAATCCTTAAAGATGCAGACACAGACAGCTTGTCGGAGTTCTGGACCTCCATCTACCATGTAACGTCGCCCCAATCATTAAATAAAGATGCATGCCTGCTTCCAGAAAGCAATGATGGCTGCTGTTCTGCGGAGGCAAATAATTAACAATCTTAGCCGTGCCTGTCGCGTCCCCGTCACGTGTCTCTACGCGTGCCGAATGTAGCAATCGCCTCCTTTCGAACTTCAATCCTTTTTCCTTAACCCCGCCATCGTCTCATAATAAGCATCCCATCAGAGCTCTTGCGCCGCGCCCCTGCACACATATATCATCTTTTGCCTCCTTGCATATTGACTGTCCCAGTCCGATCTACTGGTGCAGTCGTTCGCACTTTCCCCGTTCCCATCCGAGCCCTTTTTATGCAATCAGAGCTTACTGCAGTTTCTCTACAAAGTTTTCCGGAAGACACCCACTGCCCAGACTCTCTCAATCATCTTCAGCATGGACATGATGTCTGTCGCGATCAGGCCTCTGGTCCCTTTCTGTTTTCACGACAGGGAGAGACTGGAGACTATCGATCGCCCATTGATCCCCGCGAGGGGAGTGAGCGACAGTCATCACCGCCGGCTGATGGCGCTAGCCAGTACGGGCAACCCTACATGGCTTCTCCAAGAAGACAAGGAGATATTGGATTCGAAGTTGTGAACTTGTCAAGCAAACCGCGACTGTCTCTCGACGCTTTCCCCAATGGTACGTTGACTCTTCTCAAGAGTGTCTATCTCACTAATAATTGGACATCCAGAGGTCCTGACTCACATTCTTTCCCACTTACCCCCGCCTTCACTGTCGTCTGTCTCGCTTGTTTGTCGCCGTTTTCACAACCTGGTTACGACTCCTCATGCGTGGAGGATTGCTTTCTCTCGTTACTTTCCTGGTCCGCTTAGCCTGGAAGAAGCCAGCAGGCCATCCGCTTCCGATCCGTCCGATCGCCTACTTTTCGATAAGCGTGTCTTTTCTAGATTGACTGCTCTTGCGTCATGGCGCAGCGAATACATCCTAAGAACACGCCTGTTGAGATCTCTTTCCAGAGGCAAACCCTCTAAGATCGAGCCTTTGAAAAAACACAACACGACCCGCTCGGTTGGTGCGCGCAGCGGCAGCGCAGTGACTACTTATACTTCCCAGTTACTATATCCCGTCAGCCACCTTAATGCGAATTTCGGAACTGGCGCCACCAGGAAAGAACCCCTGTTCATTCATGGTGCTTCGGAACAGGGTATCGCCTCAGCTAGCGATCCATCGTTAGCGAAGGCTGGTCCTTGGGGGTTATCAGACCACCAGATGTTCCGACACTTTGTGGACCTGTTTCCCGGTGAGGCTGTGTATGGGTTGGGCTCGGGGGATATGGTCGGCCAGCCGAATTGCATGGATGTCAGCCAGCCTTTTGGCATGGTCTACGGTGAGGGTTGTCCCCAGGGCCGCACCTATTTCATCTCGTCGAATGAGCAACGCGGCCGATTTCTGGATGCCTCCCTGTCGAGTTCGCTGCCACAATTGGGCATCCCCGCTCTAAACATGTTTACTGTCTCCACCTGCGCCGTCTGGATTGCAAAATCCACCAAAATTCTCAAGACCACAGGTGGTTTGATTGGAATGATGTCTGGTTCATCTTCAGGTGTTCTCACAACGTATGCTCTGGGACCTCATCCGACATATATGAAGCGATTTGAGCGAGGCGAAATCACTGCCAAATGGGTCCTTAGCCCTGGTGTTCCTATTATCGCGATTGCGGTTGACGACAATTATTCATTGGAACGGCATGCTCTCCAGCGTGTCTGGGCTGTGGTACTCAACGCGTTGGGAGAGGTCTTTTATCTCACCGGCATTCCTCGGCAAACCGATATTTCAACGAAATTGGGACCCGAGCAGCTCGACCAACTTGCTTGGAAAACAGGTAGGAGCGTTCGTTGGGAGCTTCTTGAGGCGAGCCGTCGCATTGCACGGCCTGACCCGTTCAACCGTGGACCTGTCGATGGCAGCTATAGCCCCAGATCGTCGTCTGATTCAATGAACCTGGACGGGCATCAGGTGGTTGCGGAAACAAAGGAGATCGAAAGATTCATGGCATTCAAACCAAAACATTTCCGTAAAGTCTGTGAAGGCTGGGATATGCAGCGGGAGCTCATTGTGGACTTTGCCGGTGATGATGGCCATGGTGCAGGCGAGTCGATTGTTGTCATAGCTCGTGGCCTTGGTGAAAATGAAAAGGCCTCAATTCGACGGTTCACGCGGTTGAGATTACAACCCAAAAAAATGTTTTCGCCATCAGCCCTCGAGTCCTATTCTCGCGTGGTAGATGCGAAACCTCCATCGATTTTTGGTGGTCCAGTTTCCACCTCATCACTACCGGCTTTGCTGCCCTCAAGGGCGTCCAGTCTTAGTGATTCTGCTTCGCCAGCCAACACAGAGTGGAGGGTTTCCGATTTCGTATTTCCGGGCAGAAAAGCTGTCCGAATTACCTGCAGCGCGTTAGACCTTTCCACCTATTCTCTTCTCACTGCTGATGAAGACCCACTGCTGTCAATGTCCGGTACCTCAACAATATTTTCTCCCACATCATCCCCTATGCCAGATATTGAGCGATCCATGAGCTCCGAAATCCCAGGTCGGCGCGCACGATATATGGCTGCTGGCACTGCCATGGGAACAGTACTCGTGTGGGATATCCGATCACCTACTTCGCAAGCTACCGAGATCATTAATTCTATTTCCCCACTACGAATAATCCAAACAGAGTCTCCGCAGGTATCCTGCGTTGCGCTAACGTCTCTATATGTTGTGCATGGCGGGAATGATGGTCTTGTGCAGGCATGGGATCCTCTCGCATCGTCTACTCGCCCTATTCGGACTCTTCATTCGCGTTTCTCCTCGCGAGCCCGTCGCCGACTGGTTCAAGCTGAGGCTTCCATCCTCGGTGTTGGGAACAACTACTTTGCAGCGGGGGCCATCTGCCTGGATCCGGACCCCACTGTCCTCCGGGGCATGGTTTCTTTGGGGTCTCATCTGCGGTATTGGTCATATAGTTCATCTGCGGCAGACCAATACAAAAGCAGCAAGCGTCGTTTGCGTCGATCGCTCCGTGGAAGCAATTCATGTCCAGAGGGACAGCGATTCATCAGTAGTGGCCGTGGTGCCCTTCAAGACTTTATTGAGGAAGAGAAAATTGAAATAGAACGGCAGAAGGTGGCTGACGAAAAGGAGAAAACCTATCTGAGCTCCCGTTTTGGTGTCGATCTCTTAGGTCCCGATGTTGATGAGGATCAGCTCATTGCGTATGCACAGCTCCTCAGCGAAGAATCATACAGCCATGACGCGCTCAAGCGTGGTGAAGCCGTGGCTAGTTCTGTTGTTAGCACATCGCCCAGTAACACCATTGGTGCCAATGACAGTTCGTTTGGGGCCGGCGAGTTGTCGTCATCTTCGTCTCCTTACCAGGACTCCGTCGAGGATGATCTGGAGCCCGATATTGCTGAAGCCATCCGTCTAAGTTTACTTGACGAGCGCGCTCCTGTCTCCGCTTGTGAAACATTGTCTTGCTCCATTTACGATGATAGCCCCAATGGGGCCAAAGAAGGTTACCCTTCCTCGGAACAAGTTACTGCAGAAAGCAGCCGACAACAGGAGATGGATGATTTGGAACTGGCGCTGCAATTGAGCCTTGCAGAACAGGAAAGTGTGCAAGCGAAGGCGACGGCTTCTGAACCGGACGAGTTCCCCATCTTGGGCGCGGGCTGGCAGACGCAGTTCCCATCACACTCACTTTCATCTAGGAAGGATAAGGGTAAGGCCAGGGCAGTATAGGTCCTTCTTTTTGCATTCCTATAGAAACTTTTCTCACATTTCTGCTTGATCTGGTTGCACATTTTGAATTTATTGTTTCCATATCAGTTTTATCTGAATATAATATCCCATCTTAAGCGCTTATATGTAACGAAACTCCTTCGGCTGCGATTCGAGAAGGGAGGATTATAGGTTCTATAGATATTGGATAGGTCTTACGATATTCAGTTTGCTGTACAGTACATCTGGGTGTCTAAGGATGTTGCTAACTCGAAAATGAGAGGAAACGATTTCCTTGACCATTTCCCTTGACTAAATCACGCTCATCAAGTGAAAGCTACCCTATTAGAAGAAATGGTGAATTAAAACTACATTAAAAGGCGTCCGCAGATAAGCGCATTTTGTTATAAAAAGATACTCGCGCCTAACGATCCTGATCCGCGTACGAGTGGTCTAATATTGCATTTCCTTAGACCGAAAAAAATCATGGGGAAATAGAGAGCGAGCACGACCTGAAGTAGGATTCTTCCACCAAAGCTGGAGACAGCCCTTAAAGCCAAACGCCCACCATAACAAAAGCACCGCTCAGCGCTCCAAGGAACCAGGACATGGACACTTCAGATGCAGCACTCTTCTCGCTGCTGGAAGCACCGCTGGCGCTGGGGCTTGCGGTTGCACTTGCGGTCGAGCTCGAGGCACCAGGGCTGGTAGGAGAACCGGTGGAGAGAGGTGTGCTTTGGCCGGGGGTGTTGGCTTTGTCCGTGTCGAGAACCTGTAACTTAATGCCGGTGACGACATTGCCGTAGTAATCATAGACCGTCTCTGGAATAGAGGTAGACTGGACGGAAACTAGTTTGCCCGTGTTCGCATTAGAAAGGCCGTTGTCAATCATATCCTGGACCTTTGTTGGTCTGGTAGGCAGGTTGAAGGCGTTAAGGAAGTCAGACGAGGTAATAAGTGATGAGCCGCATTCTACGGGCTTAACGGAAGTTTGCGAAGTGTTGGATGACTGGAGACGGCTCAGGTCAAGTTTGTTGTACTGCTTCTGTAGGTTGTAGTAGTCTACAAGCAGAGTAACAGAGCCATTGGAATTTAACTGAACCAAGCCGTAGTTGTTCGGTTCCTCGCTGTACTCGTAGACCAGACCGCCGGAAAAGGCCTGAGTCATATCCTGGCCATACAGGGCTGCGACTTCAGTGAAGATGCGTGGCGTCACCTTATTGCAGCCATACTCGGAGAAGAAAACGGGAAGGGAGGCGTTGGAGAAGTCTTCGGTCAAAACATCATAGCCACTGATGGTATAGCTGGAGTCACCGCACCAGGAATAAGAGTTGAGGCCGAAGAAATCAGAACGAGAGCTGGTTGAATTTTCCAGTTCGCAGGACATATATTGGACGGTATCCATCAGAATGTCACGAACGTCGGCAGCAGAATAGCCAACAGGGATGGAGCGATTAACGTTCTTAGCGATGTAGTCCTTCATGTCGCGTTGGACGGCCTGAGATGTAACCAGTCAGCATGGATGATATAACACATGCGCAGACCACCACGGATCGGGTTGATCAAGGTACATACACGAATGTAGGAAGGCACGCTTCGCACACTCTGCTCATTGATCACTTCGTTTCCAGCGAAGAAGCCAAGGGTATTGGGGTAGTTCTTGAAGGCCTCGATGACCCCAAAAACCTGGTTGTAATAAGTCGGATTGTAAGTGCTCGCCGGATCAGTACGATCCAAGTATCCGCCAGTAAGAGGAGAGTTGACGTCAAGAATCATGTAGATGCCGGCCCCGTTGAAAATGGAGGCACACTCATCGTGGTTGAGACCGGGAGACAGGTTGTAGACGCGGATAGTGTTTACCTGAGGTGAAGGGTCAAGCAATCAGCACAGTTGCCAGGTCTTCTCGGACTTAGAACTTACACCCAAATGCTGCATAATGGCAGCATCGCGCAGACAAGAGGTGCCATTACTGAGAGGATCGGATTTGCCGTCAAAGCCAGAGGAACCACCAGGCTGGTAACTAAAAACAGGTGATATGTCAGACGGGTGATCGACAGTGATGTGCATGACAGGTGGAATACTGACTCGATACCGATGATCTGGAAACGGTCCTTGGTATTAGTATTCACGAAATCCTTTCCTGACACCACTACGGGGACGACGGCTGTCGCGGTGGCGGCAAAGGCACAAGCGGCCGCAACCAGGCGGGCGAAAGACTGGGAAAGACGCAGTTAGTTGTTTTAAGTCTCTCTGCGAGCAGCCCACGGGACACTTTGCAAGGAGCATGGGCGTACCGGAAGCATAGTTAAGGGACCTGCTGAACCTGCAATGGATTGGATGATATAAGAACAAAGGATGGTGAGATGAAAAATGAATGAGTGGGAGGCGGGAAGACCTGCTGAAAGAACGAGGGTAGAGCGCGAGGCAGCTGAGAAAGCACAAGCGAGTGGAAGGCAGGAGGATATGCCAAAAACAGAAGGCGAGAAGGAGAATGAGAAGAAAGAGAGTAAGAGCGAGAAGAGAAGGACGAGAAGGAGAAAGGGGACAGGAGAAAGAATAAATGAGAAAGCGGGCTGATAAAGGGAGACAGACACTAAGGCCAGATAGATATGTTAATTAATCCACTTCACGTCTTCAATTCACTTCCCTTCCACCCCTTTCACCACACTGGACGGTGTGCAACCTGTTTCTCTCTTTACCAGGTAAGTAACCATGTTGGCTACAGACTCCTATTCTCACACGGCCCAGCTCACAATGGTATTAAGGATAATAGCTGAGGCAGGACTGCAACAAGACTGACGCACACTAGCTCCTCAAGGGCAGTCGATCCCTCAGCATGACGGACTGCCGCATCCAGCAAACTCGGTGACATGCAGAATGGCCGTTCCACGGTGCGGGAAGACCCCAGTTTCCATCTCGCCATGTGGTTCCCCACTGAGTGCATATATATATACCAGTCCAGACGACGTCATTACGATGAGCTTGATTCTGCAAGCGTGCTTTGCCGGCAGTGACGGGCATGGCCTCTGTGGTCAATTGTTCCGCTTGCTGCATTCTCTGGGGGATACCGAGGGAGAAGGTTTACAGGGTAACTCATGAATGCTGTCCCGAGACTGGAAGTCCTCGCATGCGGCAAACATGTAGGACCAGGATGGGCGTACAAATAGTCGCACAGGTGTAAGTTCTAGCATTCCCGGTAACACCCGGCATTGATGCTTGTCTACCGTCAGAAGTTCGATAAAGACCGAGGTGCCTGGTATGGCTTTTCAATCGAAACTAAATATTCACCCTACATGGCCATAGTCCTTTAAAATACAGCTAAAGTCATCCGTCTTGAAACCTGGAAAAGTGGAAATACACGCGCCAATATGAACAGCCGTTGCGACCGTCCGGAGAAAAAGACGCAGGGGAAGAAAGAAGACGAGAAAAAGAGGAAAGCCGTTCCGCCGAATGATACCAAAACCGGTCCGCCAGCACGGCAGCCAGAGAATAATGCAATGTACATATAAAGGAGTAGTGGAGATGCTGCGAAACGGGGAACGTGGCATCTTGGGTGAAATTAAGAGAAAAGTAAACACAGCCGTGGACGATGACCAGACCACGGCCCAGGCTGAACCGGTCGATAGAAACTGCTTCTATCGGGGGATTCGGCAACTCCAACGCCGGGAGAGCGAGATGCGTTTACTCGACTCCGGGGCCATCGGAACCGCCAGTTTCACCAGTAAACGAGCCCAGCTTTAAGCCAGCGTCCAAAGCCACCATTTCTGCCAGAACCTCCAAGACTTCCTTGGGGACGGTCTTGTCGTATATCGAGATCAAGTCCTTGGGCTGTGGGTAGACCTTCAGTGCCTTGTAGAAGGCGAGCGCTGCCTCCAGGTTATTACCGCCTAGGTAAACAGTTAATATCTAGTTCACTCTCCCTTTGTTGCAATAACCGGGAGCTGAGGGACGCACCTTGAGCACACAGGTGCTCTCCTGTGGAAACTTGGCCCATGAAATAAGCCTCCTTCTCCTCGAGGTCGGTAGGGAAGCCTTCATCCTTCGCGCGTTCAACGGCCTTCTTAATTACCTCGCGCTGCATGGCGCCCTGAGCCTCTGCCTCCTCCTTCACGGCTCTTGCCATACGCCGGTTATTCCGCTTCAGGGCTTTCCGGAATTCGGGGTCCGTCTGTCTCTTATGGTCAAAGTAAACGGCATAGGCTGGAAGAAGGGGGAGACAGTAACAATTCAGATTAGCCTTTACTGCATAGTCTTGGGGTCTTAATGGCGCCATTTGCGGCAGGGTAGAGAATGCAATGGCTCACCCAGCAGGCCCGTCAAGATCGTGCCGGCAGAAGCAGCCACCAATGTTGACGTTTTCATGATGGATAGAGCGGAGAACAGGAAACCCAACAAGACAAGTAAAGAAAAGGAAGCAAACAAAAAGGAGATCCGCAGGGCAATTACGGTGTCTTTGCGCTGAGCGAGGAATGTCTCAACGGGACTTGGAAGTCGGAGAGCTTTCGCGGCGATAACAATTTTGAGAGGGATCATCATTGTTCCGCCTCGGTGTTTCTGCCCGCGTTGAGCGGCTTCTCTCCGTCTGTCGACAGCTAAACATCGTCCTTGCATCGCCATAGTCTCTCCATCCATCTCACGGCAATTGTCTCGCCATGGATACCATTGCCTTGACCCTTCGGAGCAAGTCACGCCGCCCGCGGCCTCAGATCAGCCACCCCAAACCCATCTCCGGCCCTCTGCCCGCCAACAGTAAAGCTGCTGGTCCCAGCGCCAAAGCTGCATCCAGGGGCACCAGGGAGCGATCGGGATCTACGACATCAGACCTGGTGAAGAGAAGATATTCCACCCGTTTCAATCAACCACCGGATATCGACGCCCAAGCGCCGCCTGTCCCGGACCTTTCACAGGTGAAAGGGGAGTATGCGACGGGCGCTTCTCGGACTGGCAAGATAGCTGCGTCCACGGACCCCTCTCAGCCCATTCCTGTCGATTTGAAAGCGCTGCAGGATCCCAGCTTGCCTGTTGATCGATGTGAGTCTTCAATCCGGGGTGTGCGCTTGATTTTCTTCTGACACTCGAGCCGAACAGACGTCGCCAAGCTCCTAGCAAATGCATCGGAAGACGAGATAGAGCAGTATCAGCGGAATCTACGGAAGCTCAAGAACAGGACATCCACCGATCTCCAGCAAAATGTCTACCAGAACCGCACACAGTTCATCAAAATCAGCAGGGAGGCAGAGAAGCTCAGAAGCGAAATGCGGACCCTTCGCGGTTTGATGGCCGATCTCACCGCTGCCCTAGGCCAGACTACCATTGGCAACGGTACAAATCTTCTAACGGCAGACGACCAGGTTGCCAAGCGCAAGGCCAATCGTAGCTCCATTGCCAACCTCGAGAGCATGTGGAATGTACAACTGCAGGCCCTGTGGAAGACGGTTGAGGGGTCCCAGAAGTTCCTTCCCGCTGTACCGGGCCGTCATATTGTGCTGGAGACAAACAACTGGGTCGAATTGGACTCTGCCACCTGGAAAACCAAACGACCTGTTCACATTGTCCTGTTGAACGATCATCTTCTCATCGCGGCCAAGAAACACAAACGAGTCGACCAGACCAATAACTATCCCAGAGGCCCAATTCCTACGAGACTTGTAGCTGAGGATTGCTGGCCACTGCAAGATATTGATATGATTGATTTAGGCGCCAATCTGAGTGCTGGGGCAACTCGTCAAGACGCGGATGATCGCGGAATGGCCAATGCCATCACCATCCGAGTGGGATCCAAACCCTTCACCTACTGCCAAGATAAGGGAAGTAGCCCCACGAAGAATGAATTATTGGCCATATTCCGAAAAGCCGTTGAAGATCTGCGACGGACGCTCCGGTTAGAAACAGAAGCGGCAAATAAGTCTACCGAATCCCTTGGCTATCTTGGTGGAAGAAATTCATCATACTCGCCTAAACCAGACACATACAGAGCGATAGAAAGCTCCCGTGACAGGCCTGAAATCCGAATCGACGTGGATGGTAAACAGCAAAATTTCCGCTGGGTGGAGGGCCAGGTAGACGAGCTTGATGTGGACATTGCTCTGCAACGCTTCGAGGAAGCGATCACCACGATTGAGAGATTGCGGAAGTTGGCTAAGGGCCTTAAGGGAAATGCAATTGCGCAGGACGTGATCAATACCAAGGTCGACGAACGAGCTGCAAGGCTCGCGGGTGTTATCCTTCGAGCACTTGTGGACACCCCCTCGTTTCTGATGAGAACCAAGACGAACGTAAACTGGCTGACCAGGTTGGGGTTTGAGGACCAAGCACGAGAGGCATACCTCAAGGCTCGATCAGACGTGATGAGTAAACGAATTCGGTAGGTGGTTATTTCGCTTGACATTGTTTACGTTTTACGGGGACAATATTTAACAGCATAACAGGGCCTGTGTCTTTGAGGGTGATCTCGAATTATACATCTTCCAGATTTCCTTTGTCTACTTCACTCTCATCAAAAACACGATCAGCATCTACCAGCAATGCTTCCCGACGTTCATGACAAGCGCCTGCATCAAGTGGGCCAAGGGGCACCTGGATGACTTCAACGAGCTCCTTGCACGGCAGCTGTACAGTGTCGAACGCGGTACCAGCGTCTGGGAGAAGTGCATGGGCATTGTACACGAGCATGCCGAGCTTCTGAATGAGGTCGGTGTTGATTTTGCGGACTTGATTCCTAAGGATTTGAATCCGAGCGGCAACCATTACAACGATAGCGATGGTGGTGAGGAACATTTTGAAGAGGCATCTGAGAGTAGGGTTGCTGAATGAACTGGGCGTTTTATTTGGGAAAATAAGCTGGAACTATTTACATTCTTCCTATGGAGTATTCAAGCGTGCATGATTTTGATATACATGACAACTATAACCCAGCTCTCTGGTATATATATATTCTGTTGAATCTCTACGAGCGGAGTCAACGTCTTGATTGAGCAAAGCTATCTACGAGTAATCTAACCGCCTTATATAGTCCCATGGTTGCCTAATCAGGCAGTCCTTATTGCCTCAATGTCGTGCTTTATTTGGCCTAGTAACCACGGCCGGGGACATATTCCCTAGTAGGGAACTGCATACGAATACGGTCTTGGCATCATATAGCTTCATATTCGAGGTCGACATTGGCAAAACAATGGATAACTCGGTAATATAGTATAATATATAAAAAAATATAACAATTAAGTCTGGAAAACCCACCTGGGATCTCTATCACCCAAAAACCCCTCATGCTCCAAATCAATCACACCAGCAAAATCACCCCCCGATCCCCCCCAAGCCTGCAACCCACTCGCCTCTCTTGCGGCCTTCTTGGCTACATTCTCCCTCTTCAGAAACCACCAGGTTATAGCAACGACGACGATGTTAGCAACGAGATACCCCAACGCAAACCCATGGCCCAGGAAATACCTCGGGCTGGTCTCGGTGCGGTACAACTGCGTTCCGATCACAGCCCCCAGATTACCGATGGAGATCTGCATGGCATTGGCGATAGCGCGTTTCGTCTGTCCCGAGACATTGTTAGCAGGCCAGGACAGCACGATCGCTACAGCCGGGTAGATGCCGCCTGCTGCGAAGAAGGTGCCTAGGTAGGACACGCCAGGGCGGACTGGGTCGTTTGCTATGAGGATGATGTAGCCGATGCATGCAAGGAGGGAGCCGCCCATGATGAACGGGGCGCGGAGACGGGTGCGTTCCGACAGGATGGCTACAGTGATGGTTAGAATGAATGCGACTGCGTAGGGAGGTACTGTTAGAAGCTGTGCATGGGCAGCTGTGTAGCCGAGTTCTTTGATGATTGTTGGCTGTGTGGTAAGAGGTTAGTTTATGTGATGTCAACCCCCGGTGTCTAGAATCTGGATACTCACCATGAATAGAGAAAGCGTGTACAGTGGAAGAGACAGGGTGTGAAACCCGAGACCATACAGCCAGACCTTGACGTCCTTTACTGCATCCAGGACCGCGGACCAGCTGAATTGCTCATTTCGCGTGGAATCATTATCCCTCCTCAGTCGGTCCTGTATGAATTTGCGCTCTCCTTCTGACAGAAATTCGGCGGTGGAAGGGTAGTTGTAGACGAAAAAGTAGGCTATGGTAGCGACGACGATAGTCGCCAGTCCTTCCTAGAACTCATACTCAGCTCCTGTTTAAATAAAATACATGGATATAATGTAATAATAGTAACGAACCAGAATGAAGATCCATCGCCAGCCGTTATAGCCACCGACGCCTCTCATGTGTGCGATGCCCTAAGGAAAACCATTAGTCCTAGTCAGAGCAGCGAATGGAATAATTACGAACCCATGCAAGAATACCACCAAAGGCACCTGCGAGAGACGCAGCACTGAAGAACAGGGCCACCCGGTAATGTTGTTCATTGCGTTTATACCACATGGAAAGGTAAAACACCACGCCCGGGAACAGGCCACTCTCTGCAACACCGAGAAAAAAGCGCGATGATAGATACCCAGAGAGATTTTGGACGACGCCCAAAAGCGTCGCGACAATGCCCCAGAGAAGAGTGACTGTTGGCAGCCAGATGCGCGGAGTGGTCCTTTTCAGCACGATGTTCGCGGGCACTTCGAAAAGGACATATCCGAGGAAGTACAACGTCAGACCAGTCAGATACTGATTGCCAGCTGGAGTAAAGGTTAGTGATGCCAAGTTTCAATGTGGAATGAATGGTACATACTCATGTCGATATCTGTTGTCATGCCTTCCAGACGAGCATTGCCGACTACGGATCGGTTGAAAAGGGACGTGTTAGTCTGAAAGTTGCAGAATTATTGAATGGGATTCAAGTCGACAGCATACCATTGCTACGATCCAAGAAGGACAGCAGATACAGCAAGGTCAACCCCGGTAACAGGCGGAGGTCCAACTTGCGAAGCAACGCCTTCTCATTGATGCCCTGAGCCTCCAGGGAAGTGGATGAAACCACCTCAGAATGTTTCCCATCATCCTTCAACGGTGGATCATCCCTTGACGGCTGCTTCTCGTTCAATGCGGACATTGTTCCGTGTGCTCAAAGAGCTATGTATGTACCTAGTTGACGGTCGTGGTTTCTCCACCACCACAACTACCTCAGTAGAGTATCTCTTGAAGGAGAGCCAAATGGAGGCTCGATAATCCAGATGGAGAAAGAAATATATATATAAAAGAGAGAGAGAGAGGGAACTATCAATTTATAGTAGACACCCTCCCTCAGCTGACGGGGGAAACGTCGGCCGGGGTAAGAAGACGCACATGTTCCAGGGATTTCCACACCATTGTCAGCTGCATTTGCGCAATGGACTGCGAGCATCAAGAAGCTCTAGGCTGGGGTTTCGGCTGGAGTTTAGACTTGAATGTGGCCAAGGAAGAGCAGCGTGAAGCCACCGAAGACAGTGAACTTGATGAGCACCAGAAGCAAAAGGATGACGAGATGCACGCCCAATCACGGCTGCAGCTGGCGGGAGTGTTGATAAGGGTCTTCTTGCAAGGAAACGAAGTCAGAGGACAGAAGAAACAATGTATTGCTGCTGGGTATAAGTCTATGTGAGTCTATGATGTCGTCGCCAATTTCCATCCCATCTTCCAAGTCACCTGAACGCCAGAAAAAAAAAAAAAAAAAAAAAAAAAAAAAAAAAAAAAAAAAAACCAAACAACACAAAACAAACGCCACACATAACACGCACATCACACACCATACACATATCATACATGGCACATAACAGTCATCACGGTTATACAATCATCAGGAAATTCATCTAGTCTATACGCGGGGGTTTGTATTCTCTTCCTCCCGGATCCTACTCGATATACGCTCATATAAACAACACAACTTTTGACGGCGAAAAAGTACCACATAAAGAAAACGATGCAATGAAGACATGGCAACACGGTAAAAGCAGAAACCAGTCGCAAGATCTATCGAGATTGCGCTTCGCAGGATTCGATAAGCTTCCTTCTGTCGATCTCCAAAGTCAACCTCCTTCAGGGAGCCAGAATCAATGCGAGCAACGCCATGCGGCAATAAAGGCCGTATCTCATCTGTAAGAAAAAAGTTAGCCTGATGATTCCACTGTCATAGGTCCGGCCGAGACAAACCTGTCTGAAATAAGCAGCCCTCTGGTCAAAATCGACCTCCTCCGCGATCTCCTGGTTCCGCGGCAGCGGGTGCATGATGATCATGTGCTCCTTGGCATGCTTGAGAATAGCATTGTCAATGATGAAACGGTTCTTCAGGCGTTCGTAAACCTCCAGGTTGGAGAATCGCTCCTTCTGCACGCGAGTCGTGTACAAGACATCCGACCGCGCCACGATCTCCGGAGTCAACTCCTCCGATTCCACCACAAGCTCTCCAGAGGCAATGACCTGCTGGCGAACTTCTTCTGGCAGTGCCAACTCCTTAGGCGCAACCAACTGTACGCGAACGTCGTAGAACCGGAGCAACTTGATCAGAGAATGCACCGTGCGTCCGTATTTCAGATCTCCAGTGAATGTGATCGTCAGGCCGGCAACGGTTCCAAGTTCTTCACGGATAGTAAAGAGATCAAGGAATGCCTGCGTCGGATGCTCGAGACTGCCATTTCCACCATTGATGATCGGAACAGGTGAGAACTTCGCAGCTACCTCCGCACTGGTCTCTTGTGGATGGCGCAGAACAATCGCATCCGCGTAGCAACCAAGAGTGCGGATAGTGTCCTGCAGAGTTTCACCCTTCTTAGTGGAAGAGTGTTCTGTAGCGATGACTACAGTTCGTCCCCCAAGGCGTTGCATGGCAGTGTCGAAAGAAGCGGACGTCCTGGTTGACGGTTCGTAGAAGAGGTTGCAAAGGACACGGCCCTTAAGGATGTCGAGGACACCTTGTCGCTCAACCCCGAGACGCATCTCCTGTGCAACAGTGAAGAGCACATGCAAGTCCGCTCGGTTGAATTGATTCACAGAGAGCACATGCTTCTGTTTGAATGGAGACCGCGCTAACAGTTTTAGCAGAGGAGACGAGGCTTGTAGAGCAGGGTTGTAAAGGGGAGGACCAAGCTCAGAACCGGTAACTGGAACCTGACTGGGAATCCCAATAGACGATCTACGGTCAAGCGCGCTCTCACCATGGGGGCGAGCCACAGGAGACATGGCATCGAGAGCAGGAGATGCAGGGGGCACAACGGCTGGTTTTCCCTCCTGGAAGTCAATTGGCTGGATGTTCAGTGAGTAGTGGCGAGCGATTGCTTCGATCAGGATCTTGGCATTTTTAACATTGGTCACCAATGGAGTCTGATAGTCGACAGCCATCCGACGAGTCCTATAACCCTTGCTCATGTAATTGGCCGGCCGCCTGAAACGGTTGTTAGACGGCAGGTTGATATAAAGATCAATGAGATTGTTGGCCAGGTGCTGCGTGAGTGAGTATTCGGACCGGATGTCCTCTTCTTCGCCAGGTAGAATTTCCAGGAACTGCACGGGAATACGATTCTCCTTGATGAAATCGGCAGTACCGGGGGTAGCGAAGAGGTTGTAGCCAAGCTGATGGAGCTTGCGGATAGAAGGCAGCAGCTCAAGCTTCTCCTTGTACGAACCGATGGAAAATAGGATGTTACGTTTGGGCAAGCGGAAACCGGTGGAAAGGAGGGCCTTCAAATAAGCCTCATATTTGTCGCGGCCGAACGAAGCAACCTCACCCGTTGAGGCCATTTCAACTCCCAGGACAGGATCGGCTCCGGAAAGACGGGAGAATGAGAATTGAGGAACCTTCACACCAACGTAATGCTCCGGCACGTTCACAGGTGGGTATGGGGCAAATGGAATTCCCATCATTGCCTTCGTTGCCATTTCGATGAGATCAACACCCATTACCTTCGATACGAATGGGAATGACCGGGACGCCCTGACATTGCACTCGATGACCTTGATGTCATTGTCCTTGGCAATAAACTGGATGTTGAAAGGACCCGTGACGTTAAGAGCATTGCCAATCTTGCTAGTGGCCTCCTCGATGCGCCGAACAGTCTCTGGGTCCAAGTCCTGCGGCGGCAAGATCAGCGTGGCATCACCGGAATGTACACCGGCATTTTCGACGTGCTCCGAGATGAAATGCCCGACCATGACACCATTAAGGGCGACAGCATCCATTTCGATCTCCTTCGCATTTTCGATATATTTCGTGATAACCACGGGATGGTCACGTGAAACCTCCGCCGCTTGGTTGAGGTAATTGGCGAGATCGCGCTTAGAATATACCGTGTTCATAGCGGCACCCGAGAGTACATACGAAGGACGGACAAGCACAGGGTAGCTGACCTTCTCACAGAACGCGGCGGCTTCCTCGAAACTAGTAAGTTCCTTCCAAGCTGGTTGATCGACATCGATTCGGTCAAGCATACGGGAGAACTTGTAACGGTTCTCTGCAGTGTCAATCATCTCAGGGGATGTACCCAGAATCTTAACGTTGAGACGGTGGAGCGGCAGAGCAATATTGTTCGGTGTCTGGCCACCCATGGACATGATCACACCGCTAGAGGATTCCAGCTGGTAGATATCCAAGACCGTTTCCAAGTTAATATTCTCAAAGTACAACCGGTCGGCCTCATCGTAGTCCGTGCTGACAGTCTCCGGGTTATAGTTAACCATGACGGTCTTGTAGCCCTGCTCACGCAAGGTCCGAATGGTCCGTACAGAGCACCAGTCGAACTCCACAGATGAACCGATTCTGTAAACTCCAGAACCCAAGACCATCACACCATGATCATCGAAGGCCACGTCATGTTCTGAGCCATTGTAAGTGAGGTAGAGATAATTTGTCACAGACGGGAACTCTGCAGCGACGGTATCGATCTGTTTCACAACCGGCACAATGCCCGCTTCAACACGGATACGTCTAATGGCAAGCTCATTGGAGCTCAGGAATTTGGCGAGTTGGATGTCCGAGAAGCCAAGTTGCTTAGCCCGTCGGATGAGATCTGTTGGTACAGTAATGGTATTGTAGGTGCTCAATAATTTTCCAAAGTCACTGAGACCCTTCAGCTTATTCAAGAACCATTTGTCGATCTGCGTAAGCTTCCAGATATCGTCAACGGTATAGCCGGCAGCCATGGCATTGGCGATGGCGAACAGTCGCTGATCTGAAGGAGTCTGGAGTTCCCCCTTGATAGACATGAGCGCACTTGTCTCATTGAAACCAAGGTTGTGAAAATCGACTGATCGTATGGCCTTCTGGATAGCTTCTTCGAAGGTTCTTCCGATGCTCATAACCTCACCAACACTCTTCATGGAAGAGCCAAGCTGCGTCGAGACGCGGGTGAATTTCTTCAAGTCCCAGCGAGGAATCTTTACCACGACATAGTCCAGTGACGGTTCGAAGCATGCACAAGTGACTTTAGTGACAGAATTGGAGATTTCATTCAGCGGGATGCCCAGACCGAGTTTGGCAGCAATGAAAGCCAGAGGGTACCCAGTAGCCTTCGAGGCAAGAGCAGAAGATCTTGACAGACGGGCATTCACTTCAATGATGCAGTACTCCTTCGAGAAGGGGTTCAAAGCATATTGAATGTTGCATTCACCCACGACACCCAGATGGCGAATGACATTGACCGCTGTTGTACGAAGCATATTGTAGTCCTCATCGGAGAGAGTTTGGGAGGGGGCAACAACAATAGAATCACCGGTATGGATACCCAGAGGATCGAAGTTCTCCATGTTGCAAACGGTGATACAGTTGTCTCTGGCATCGCGGACCACTTCGTATTCAATTTCCTTCCAGCCCTTCATACTCTTCTCGATCAAGACCTGAGGGCTGACAACCAAAGCCTTGGAGCAGAGCTCCTTCAATTGATCCACGTTTTCGGCAAAACCGCTACCGAGACCGCCAAGTGCATAAGCCGCTCGAACAATTACGGGAAACCCGATGGTATCAACCACACCGAGAGCCTCTTCCAGAGTCGAAGCAGAAGCCGACTTGGCACACTTTTCATTGATGGAGTCCATACTCCGTGCAAATAGCTCCCGATCTTCCGTGGTAATAATGGTGTCGATTGGGGTACCGAGGACCTTGACCCCGAGCTGCTCAAATTCATCCTTGAGTTGGATACCAACTTGAAGGGCAGTCTGACCACCGAAGGTAACATAGATGGCATCCGGACGCTCATACTTGATGACCTTGCGCACAAAATCCGCATTGACAGGGAGGAAATAAACCTTATCAGCCAACCCCTTGGAAGTTTGAATAGTGGCAATATTTGGGTTGATCAAGACAGTGTATATGCCCTCTTCCTTCAAAGCCTTGATGGCTTGGCTACCAGAGTAGTCGAATTCTCCAGCCTGGCCGATACTGAGACCACCACTTCCCAGGATCAAGACCTTCTTGACTGAAACCCTTGGGGCAGCCTTGATATTCTCTTCCTTTGCGCCGCCCGGGAAAGAAACAGGGCGCGAGAGAGCATCCGGGGAGAAGATGGTCGTTTGAATGGATTTGATAAACACATCAAAGAGGAACTCCGTGTCTCTCGGGCCTGGAGTGCTTTCAGGGTGGAACTGAACGCTGAAGAACGGACGGCTAATGTGTCTGATACCTTCATTGCTGCCATCATTCGCATTCACAAATAGTTCTTCCCATTCGTCCGGGAGAGTTGTACTATCAACGGCATAACCGTGGTTCTGAGAAGTAATATGGCATTTGCCGGAGACCATGCTGGTGCATGGAATGTTGTGACCACGGTTTCCAAACTTCATCTTAATTGTATTGGCACCCACGGCGCGGGCGATGAGCTGGTGACCCAGACAGATTCCGAAAATAGGAGTCCGGGCTTCATTGAGAGCCTTTGAGATGTTGTTGACGGTCTTCGCCAGCGTAGCTGGATCACCGGGACCATTAGAGATGAACAAGCCGTCATAGTCCTTGCCAGCAAGAGTTGGGAAATCGTAATCCCAAGGCACAACCATAACCTCAACTCCGCGAGAGAGCAGGCAGCGCAGTTGGTTGTATTTCAAGCCGACGTCTATACAGAGGACGCGAAGGGGGCGGCCGGATGGGTGCTTAAGGGCAACACTCTCTGGAGGAGAGAAGAGACGGGGTTCTCGAATAGACACTTGATCCCATGGTCAGTCCCAGTCAAAGGCAAAGGCAAATCGCGAGGGTTAAGGGAAAACAGGTTGCTCACCTTCATCGACAAGATTCTTTTTGTTTGGATCAACCCATTCAGTGTGTTCAAAATATGATTTCCAGCTGTCTTTGTCTGCTGCTCCGTTGCCGGTAGCCGCAAAGGAGCCTCCGGTGAGACCGGGCTTCTGAAGCAGCAAGCGGCCGAGCATGCTACCCTCCTCACGAATTCGCTTTGTCAGAGCACGAGTGTCGACTCCGTACATGGCTGGAACACCTTGTTCTTTCAGCCATTTGCCGAGAGACGACTGGGCCAGGTAATGGGAGTAATCTTCCCCGGAGTAGGTCGCAACGACAAGGGCAGCGACATGGATCTGGTTCGATTCGAAATACTTTGGCAATGTCTTCAAAAGTTCGTCCATGGTCTCCCTAGAGGGAACGCCGTAATTTCCCACGAGAGGGAAGGTAATAACCAGGATCTGACCACGATAGGAGGGATCAGTGATGGACTCGGGGTAGCCCACCATGCCGGTCTGGAAAACCAGTTCTCCAGCCGTGCTCTTTTCGGCACCAAAGCTGTAGCCCTGGTAGACGGTGCCATCGGCAAGTTCGAGGGCACAAAGACGCGGGGCGTCCCCACGAAGAGGAGCACAGGCGGGGGCAATCAGAGCACCATTGATGGTCTCCATCTGCAAGTCTTTGCTGTTCGGTTTGTAGGCCACAGCGCCCCCCGTCGTAGGGCTCGAGATGATAGAAGGAGCATTGGTACGAGGACTCTTCGGAGTCACCGGGCTGGTAGGAGGCAACATGACGATAGAACCAATTAAAAAGGTCCTCTTGAGGACAGTATGAGTCTTCTCTACCGTAGCATCAGCAGCCTCTCTCCGAAGAAAGAAAGTGAAAGAGCGAGGGAGAGATGGAGGAGATAATCCGCAGCTGCTTCAGCAGTGGGAGAAGAAGATACAAAGAAAAAGAGGGACCGGAGAGACGAGCAAAGAGAATTTAAAATTTTTGAGCTACTCCATACTGCAGACGGCCCGCCGAGGCTCTCATTGGACCTGCAGACGGTCGCCGATCCGGAAAGGCGTCATAAAACCCTTCTCACCGCCCTTTTTTCTCTGCCTTTTTTTGCCGCATATGGGCCCGCTAAACCCGATCTGGAATCCCGGTCACATGTCAAAAAGTCTGGCCAATGAACAATGACGACATTACGTACACTGTTAGTCACGTGCTATAGACCGGGGCTATAGTTTGTCCGGAACCGCACATTGCCCAAATAGGAAGTCACGACCTATTCTTATATACCTAACAGAGTTATAGGGGAAAGACAATTTCAATAAGCAATCGTTCTGAAACTACTGTCGAGTCTTGTGCTTCTAAATTTTGACAGCCATGTATAGATTTTAGGATTTAAAAAAAAGGACCAGTCTACGGAATATTTATGTCGAGAAACACCAGGCATCTTTCAATAGTCTCCGAACAGGATCCTCATACTCCGTAGTGGCCAATGCTTCCTATCGTTAATATGCATTTAATATATCTCCTCCATCAGCGGCTGAAATCCGAATGAATCTCATGCATATCGTACGAGGTCTTGGCTTTATTAGAGAGTTAAACCGCACGCTAAACCCGAAATCGCAGCTCCGCATGACGCGCTGAAGCTTCCTTCGTCTCGGTCTTCTTTTTCTACTTGGACACTCCTTTGGATACCACCTCTCTTGCGCTCTCTTCCCCCCCTGTCGCATACCCCTTCCCTAGACATGCACGCGACTATCAACCGCAATTGGCTGTTGGCTTGATCAAGGACATCGGATATACTAGTGGGGCCACGACACCATGCCTGGTTCTCTTCTACGTTCCAAGAAGCGAAGGGTGTATGCAGAGCGCTCTCCTTTCTCATCCCCTTGCGATTCAAGGGAGGGATCAGCTTTCTTTAGAAATGAAGCACAGAGAGGTGGTCCCAGATCTAAGCATGAGCAAGAACACGCCGGGCATTCAGAGGACGATGAGACGATTGATGACAACGACAATGACGACGACGACAATGACGAGGAGGAAAATCCACACGACTCAACACCTCTGCTACCCATCTTTTCCACATCTCATTTAGGTATGAAGCCTTTCCTACCACAGCTGGATTGAAACGAGGCGACGATAGTTAATATAGCCGCTTGTAGATTCACTTCCAGTGTACAACATCACCCATGCCATACGCTCCCTAATTGCTGCCCGCTGTGAGACCACTCTTACTTGGGACCAGCTGCGTTCCCCGCAGATTTCGCAGTTCCTCGTGAAGCCCGTTCAACAAAAGATATTGGCATCTCATTTCTCCCGGGCTACGCTGTACGCGCTGATGGCCAATTGCCTTCAATTCAATAAGGAAGTGCATCTGCATCCTGGAAACAGTGGTACAAGCCAGAGCAGGGCCATGATGAGCGAGCTTCTCGCCATAAAATTGCTAAAAGAGTATACAACGAGAGAGTTGATCGACGCTTTATCCTACGAGTTCTACCCTCTGCAAGGACAAACGTCACCTAAGCATCTAAGCCCACGGTTGCCAGGTGGGAAGCAGCAGACCAGCACTGCTCGAGTATCCTGCCTTGAGGTGGCTATTCGCGCTCAGGCTAAACGCTTTCTATCTCATCCTGTGGTTGTTCAACAACTGCAAGCGATCTGGGCTGGCACCATAGTCTTCCATTCCGCTGCCGACAACCTTCATCGTCAGCCAACGGCCCGCGTTGGAAATATAACGACCTATGGCACAACTCCCAGTAACCACATATCTAGGAGACATTTTCTTGATCAGCAAGGTAGCCTCTTTTCTGAACAAGACCTCATGTCGCCACGCCGTTCGGTGACTCTCTATGATCCCCGAGATGCCTCACTATTTAAGCTCTCTAGGCTGAGGGTGCCTCTGTACCGACATTTGTTGTCAACACTTTCGTTTGCAATATTGCTAGTGCTATTCCTTGCTGTCTTGAGAGAGCAACGACTTGAGATTACTTTGCTGGAGATTGTTTTCTGGTTTTGGAGTGCGGGGTTCATGCTGGACGAAATCGTTGGATTTAACGAGCAAGGTTTCAGTCTCTACCTGATGAGTTTTTGGAACATATTTGATCTGGGAATCCTGCTCCTTTTGTTCTGTTATTATTGCATGCGTCTCTATGGTGTCGTGATTCCCTTCACTTGCAGTGAAGCCCTCGCAGCTAAGGCATATGATGTGCTCGCAGCAAACGCGGTTCTTCTATTCCCCCGACTTTTCTCGACCCTTGATCATTATCGCTATTTCTCCCAACTCCTAATTGCATTTCGAATAATGGCAGCGGACCTTGTAGCCGTGATCTTCTTGGTTGTCGTTGCATGCAGCGGCTTCTTCGTCGCCTTTATGTCATTTAGCAATGATTATGCCCCCGGCTCAGTCGTATACGCCTTATTCCAGATGCTGATGGGGTTTACCCCGACTGCATGGGCGCTCTGGGACGAGTATAATTCCTTGGGCAGGGCCATTTTGACCATCTTCCTTTTCATCTGCCACTTTGTTGTTGTTACCATCCTCATTACCGTTCTCACCAACTCCTTCATGGCCATTGTGCAGAATGCCAACCAAGAACACCAGTTTCTGTTCGCTGTCAACACCATCTCGATGGTCAAGTCCGACGCACTTTTCTCCTACGTGGCACCAACGAATATCCTAGCTTGGCTGATTACCCCCCTCCGGTACTGGATGCCTTTCCGTCAATTTATCAAATTGAACCGAACTATAATCAAAATTACTCACTTTCCTATTCTGTTCACTATTTGCCTATACGAGAAGACAATACTCAGCTCCAAAGTCATCCAGCACACGGATCTTATAGAACGACAAGCTCGCACTGAAGGAGCACAACGAGTCCGACAAATGCCTCGAAGTCGCCTTCAGACCTTCAGGCGGAATGCTTCCCGCTTCTTTCGGGAACCGTCGGTGACGACCTTCCAGAAAGACCGTGCGTTGGAGGATGTATTTCGATGGCCCATCAAAGGTGAGCTCGTTCAGGAGCCCATTAGCAGTGTTCAGCGGCAGCAGAGCAGCAATATTGTGCGAAATTGGATACGAGATATCGAAACTGGGCCTACGCATCCACCAGAGGAGCAACACTCTGATGAGGTCGACCATTTGGAGATTCCGACTAGGTTACGATCGGCCTTTCGCAGGACACATTCTGGAACCTTGCGTGATTTCACAGAAGGAACGCGGTCTGTCGCATCAAATCCCGAGGACTTCTCGACCCACGTCATCTCGCCTCGAGCAGCTCCTCATCGTCCTAAGAGATTCTGGCCGCGGACTAGAATAAGGCCGCTCTCACCTCCTGCGGTAAGTGAAGAAGGTGATGACGAATTCACCAGTGGAGATAACGGAGACAATGAAGATGAGGCCTCTGCCGATGATAGACAGTCGACTAGCCAGCTATCCCCTGCAGAACATGCGGCTGGGAGCTCCGGTAAGTCAGCTCCAAAGTTTTACAGCTCTCGACCATCTACAGCAAGGCTCTTGTCCCGTAAGAACAGCCCTACTCGGCGGTCCAAGGGCCATTCTCGGAATATATCAGCCGCGACCATCCTCCACAATCTCTCTCATGATGGAAGTGACGCTGAAGATAGCACCACTCCTTCGCTGTACATACGAAGTGGAATAAAAACTCCTCGCCGTGTTGATGAGGTAGCGATTCCCTCATCTGCCAATCAATCGAGAGTCAGGAGACGCAGCCTTGATGAAATGCGTGACTTTGACGCGGCTCTCCCGAGATCTAATCCCTTATCTGTGCCGAACACTGACGGCTCTTTCATCGGCCGGCTACCAAGTCAAGGCAATCATGGATTTCGGGTCCCTTTTGAGCTGGGCTCTGACTTAGGCGATAACAAAGCAGCCGTCACAAGTGGTCTTGTGGCGCCAGTACCTTCCAGTTTCTCTACACATATGGCATATGCAACTGGCGGTCTCCGTCACGTGGACAGCGGAACCGCCAATCAGGCCATGCTCAGCAAGCTTGTCCTCGCTCGCATGAACAATATCGAGGAAGGGTTCCGGGAAGTGATCAAGGAAGTGAAGGATCTTCGTCGAGAGGAGTCGACTCGAGGCCAGGGCAAGCCGGATGCCTTGCGAAATGCGCAGCGACACAGGAAGAAACGGGTGGATAAAAGGGAGACGAAAGGAAGCGGGAAGAACAGCGAGGAACGCCGGTCGAATGAGCCGGGTAAAAGCCCTATGCAAGGAGGCATTATAGCTTCTGGGTGAAATAGAAACATCTACTTCCGAGTCTTATTGCGAGTCTTAATTGTACTTGTTTGGCACATTCTCTGCAGCCACAGTCCAACTTTCCTTTTTTTCTTCCTTGTGATGCATGGGATTATTCGGCGGCTCTTGTCATGATCTCTATCTAATGCTGGCTTGTGCCTTTCGGAGAGAGAAGATACCCATATGATGTTTTGCTTTACTATAGATACAAGAAGCAAGTTATCCACTTTTATGTATTCCCACCTATTACACCTGTACAAAGATCCATGAGAGCACCTTATACCTAACCCGAGTAATCAAGGGCTCTCAAAGGTCTTCGACGAAGGCCTTCTTACAGTCTTGCCCCCGAACTCCGTCTGTTGATCGCGCGCACGCAGCTTCTCCCGTTCCTCATTTGAAATGAGTATTCTATTCCGACTCGGGGACATGAGTCTGAAAACCATCCAGGACCCGGTTATGACAGCGAAAGTTGAGAGAACAGCGATGTTTCGAGTTCTATTCTCAAACGCAAGAGATATATATATAGGTTGTGATTAGCCAAGCTTCCTTTTCCCGCTTTTGCAGTGAGAGCGCAAAAGATTAAAAAGAATAATGATCCACAGACCTAACTGATTGCGGCTTGCCACCGGTAACTGATCCTACAATGGCCATGATTGTATGGAGTAGTCCTAGTATTGATAGTTGCGTGTTGGATGTAAGATAGAGCTGTTGTATGCTGCACGGAGTACACTGCACAGGATCGGTGCATATAAAAAAGTCGGATAAAACAGCACTTCAAATGACTATATATCTGTCACATCTACTAGATATACAGGATCCCAATTTCCTGTACACTTGGTTTGCCTCCATCTGCTTCTGACATCTCGATGACCTCGACTGCTTATGACGTCACATGCTTTATCATCACGTGAAGATATTCTGCTGGCATTAATACGACACCGCCACACTCACCGTCTATGACCCTGGCGCACGTGACGGCATCCTGGTCCATCAGCATCAGGGAATCATAGGATACACGCCTGCCTTCACCTTCCCAGCATTGAACTCATCACAAACCTGGCTATCTTATCTGACCTGCATCCTGACTGACAAGCTGTAGGCATTTGCCTGGGTTGCCGAGTACAAGCTCCTCCCTAAAATGGCGTCGTCGTCGAAGCCGTCGAGCTTCCTGCTCTAGTACGTTATCACTACTAATAGGCATCCTATGAATAACAGTCCCTCTTCTCTCTTGACCACGATATTTAATCTCGAGATTAACGAGGCCGTAAACTCAATAGTGCCTGCATAGCTCACCGCAATACAATTCTAGCCGAACATTCATCCCCCGGTTCATCTTCCACCGCAGCCTCATCCCTCGCATCTATCATCCTTCCCAAGATCGCACACGAGAAATCCCAGAAGCTTACATACACCCATGAACGGCTTTTCGTGCACTACATCGCCGACTCGCCATTCGCGAGCGGCGACTACGCGTCACAATCACCACAAGAACCCAACTCTCACTCGGCACTTAGCTTCGTCGTCGTCGCAACCGCCGAGCAAGGCAGACGCATCCCCTTTGCCTTCCTCCTAGAGATGAAACGGAGGTTTCTCTCCGCTTACCCGCCGTCAATGACGGATTTTACCTCTCTCCCTGCGTACGGCTGCGCGGCGTTTAACAGCGAGCTTCGCACACTGCTGAACACGTACAATACTGCTCCGCCCGCGGATGCGCTAGCCTCCGCGCGGAAAGAGATCGAAAGTGTCCGAGATATCATGACGGAGAATATCGAGCGGGTTCTGGAACGTGGAGAACGCATTGATCTGCTGGTTGACAAGACAGATCGGTTGGGTGGGAATGCGCATGACTTCCGGATTAGAAGTCGCGGACTGCGGAGGAGTATGTGGTGGAAGAACGTCAAGTTGATGGCTCTTCTTGTCGTCGTGGTTATCTTTTTGGTGTACTTGTTCGTCGGCATGGGATGTGGCCTCCCTGCTTGGGGTAAATGTTTTTGATGCAGAGGATTGAAAACATGTCTTTTGTTCTTCTTTGATTTATTCTCCAAGCCCTGAACTGCATTAGAGAGAAAAAAAAAAAAACAACTTCTGCACTGGATCATCCCTGGCATCGATTCGAATTTTTCTATTCTGCTCTGTTCTTTTATGTCTTGATACCGATCAGTTATTTGCTTTCTCAATGTATACTTATAAATTTAACTTTATCTTGCATGCTATATATATATTGTGCCTTTCCATTCCACTTCCCGTAAAATCAGAGCTCTGTATCTATCCTGCTCTGGCAACGTGCCGGGTTATCCATTCTATTCTAGTACGGAGTAGACATGATCAAGAGGATGTCTTCTGTTGACCCATCTGGATGGTTCTTACCGATATTATAGCTCTCGTTTCACCCAGAGAATCTAACAAAGCTTCAGAATATTAGGTAGAAGTTGAATAGAATCGACTCTAATTTACTTTCCACTACAAGATTATATGACATAGAACCAATTCCAATTCCTATATGGGTACAGAACTGCTAACTGCACTTCACTGATGGATCGGGTAATGTCCAGATTTTTTTCTTTTCGGCGGCAGAGCCTTGACTATTCATTCACTCTCATTGCCCAGGCTGTGGCCCCCTAGGTGCTGTTTGCGACGCTGGAGTCGGATCAACCAGGTCCCAGCGGAAAGAATCTAGATCTGAGGTGTAATCGAGAAATAAGAAAGTGTCTCGCAGTCGGAAAAGATGGCGATTCAAAGGTGCCTCTGTAGGATGGCGACCTGTTGCGATCAAGATATCCCTCGCGATTGTAGCCGGGTTGTACTCCGTTTTCTCCGTAGTATCTTCCATTTTAAGAGGTTTAACGATATCAGGCCGCCCCTTGAGATAATTTCTGTCCGTGGGGTCTCTTGGTGCAAATGAGTACCCTGAAAGGTTGGCTTGAGATTGCGGAGGTGGAGATACCATAGTTGTCGGTCTTGCGGGGTATCGGGGTTGCGAAAACACTCCTGGCATATAGTTTCCCATGTACGGGCGTTGAGATTGTGTTCCATTTTGCTGATGGTACGCCCAACTTCGTTCAGAAGGGTTCTGTGGAGTACTGGTTGCAAGAGGGATGACCGTATGTGGAGGATACTGGGCAGGTGTACCTGGTGCATGAAGAGTCGGTCCGCTGTCTCGATTTTGAGACTCGGCATAACCAGGCGGGCGTTTCAAGAGATTCGAGGAAAACGTATCAATTGGATTTCTCTGAAGGGGAGCGGTTCTAACGCCGGATTGATCCTTGTCCCCACCTTCGTGATCTGTACCTTGCGTTGGTTTAAGATCCATTTTTTTGCCCAAGTCCGCAGAACCGTTCGTGCCGTTTTTGGGATGCGAAGTCATACCCGGCGTAGTAATTTCGACGCGAGCTAGCTTGGAGCCTTGTTTTTGTCCGTCAGTATTCATCTCATGTCCACCAAATGCTCTAGTCACATTCGCCTCGGAAGTTTTAACAAATCGTGACGGTGTGCTAGGGACATTGACTTCAACAAGAGGCTGCTCCGAACGCTTGGGCTGATGCTCAACGCCTCCTCTTGATTCGGTGGTTGATTTCATACCATTCACTCGCGAGGAGGGAATTACCATGGCATCCTCGGGGTGTGGGGCCCGTGTATCCTCCAATCGACGCCTCTTAGGGGTCCTATTATGGTTCGATGATGTTTGGGAGACCACCACTTGTGAGTTCTTTGGACTCTGTCCTGGAAGGCTAATATTCGAGCCATTGTTCTCAGGACGGGGACGCTTATACCTGTTAAGCACGCCACGCTGAGGGGTCTCCTTTCTCGTACGTTGACCACGAGTAGCACCAGGGGAATCAAATGGAACCATTGACTCCTTGTGCGCAGAAAGTGTTGTTGCAGTTGATTGCCGACTCTGCTGGGGTGTACGCATTCTAGAAGACGAAGTAGTATCTGCATATGGCATTTTCTTGCTTCCTTTGCAAGCAGTGCTCTGGGGAATATGCATACTTCCAGCATCTTCCTCGTGAGCCCCCCGGGACGAAGAGACCGTCGTTGAGCGGTAGGAAGAAGCAACTTCCGTGGAGGGTTGGTTCTTCTCTGGCACCATCTCAACCGTAACTTTATCAGACCCGAGAGACCCAATAGCTTTTTCGTGAGAAATGCGATGGGGGATGTGCGCTGTTGTAGTATTGTCTCCTTCTGGATAATGTGATGCATCCCCATATAATAATGCCGAAAGAGACAGCTCTGGGAGGGTTTTACTTTGAGTAGGTGGCGCATCGTTCACAGAACGACGCTGCAAAGTGCTTTGGTCGCCTTCGGCAGCATGGTCGATATTAGCAGTAGGAATATGACTTTCTGGAATACAATTTGGGTCCGGTAAAGACGGTGTCGTGTTGGATCCTTGGTGAAAGACCAAGCGCGGCCCATCCTGTTCCGCACGTTTCCTTGGCGTACGATGTCGAGGTTGTGAATTCGGAGTGTTCGTTGGAGAATTTATTCGGGAATCGATTCTTGAGCCAGTTTGATTCTGTACATCACTGCTTCTTTTTGGGCGTCCTCTCTTTTTCTTTGGGGTGTTTCCCTGTGCAGAAACAGTTGTTTCGGTTGAAATGGAAGGAGATGGATATGGAGGTACACTCCGCAGAGCAGTTTTCATGATAGTTCCTCTTTGCTTTCCGGCACCTAGTTTTGGGCGGCCCCTCTTGCGTCTTTGGGTAGAAAGTTCCTCCGCTGCATTAGGACCTTGCATTTGCATGGGAGGACTGATATTTTCCAATAATATTGAAGGACTTATTGGTAGACCAGTTTCTGGGGACCTACTTTGTTTACCAGCAGATATTGCTCGTTTGGCATCTTTAAGATCGTCCTTCTTGACTTCATCTTTGGAAGAGGCATACACTGTAGTTGGTTCCGGCATTGAAGCTGGATGGTTGACTTCCAAAGCGGCACCAGAATGGCCTGTCTGAGTGGCCACAGTTGAGGAAGTTTCGGGTTGCCTATCCTTAGACATTTTCGGAGGACGACCTCTAGGCTTTCCCTTGGCAGACCCACCAGGGGTGGCAGGCCCATGCACCGAGGAAAGAGTGTCCGACGATGTAGCCGGCAAACTTGTCTTGGAAGAATTTCCGGCGATGTTTTTATTTTGCTTGAGTTGAGATGGTTCCGAGACCTTCTCAAAACGATTCGTCGTAGCTGGGTTGTGAAGCTCAACTTCAGAGTGGCTTGCTTTCTGTGATGTTGTGAAAGGGGACGGGCTTGCAGCAGAAGTTGGATGTCCAAGTTGGAAAGCGGCTTTTGGTCCATTTCGGTCTTGTTCCAATTCCGGGTGACGCACGGTAGGCTTCGTGGTTTGCAATTGCTTGAGCAACTGGGAAGCAATATCTTCCTCTTCTGGTTCTAGGGGAGGTGCGGTAGCTGTTTGAGGAACAGTCCTTAGAGAATTTTCGTTCTGGGAATTATGACAGGTCCAATCTGAATATGCAGGATGAGGAGCAGTCGTCGTTACATCTCGACGAAGAGAAAGGTGACTCGGAGTGATGGTCGCCTGAGAAACCGAGCCCGAAAAGGTTTGATCCTGGGGAATATCGCGTCCTGGGTATGATTCATTTGAATATCTAAAATACTGGAGAGCAGCCATTGTTGCGTTTGGCCGTCGAGAAACCTGGGACGGCGTGACTGTCGTCCGAGGAACTTGACCGAGAGCATATTGACTTTGGAAAGGATCATGCCCCTGGCGGATGTCATTTGAATATCTGAAGTACTGGGAAATAGGCGCTTCTCTATCTTCTGGCCGAGGTATGCATAACGGTCCACTAGTAGTCTGAGCAGCTGGTTCTGCAGGCTTTTGATATCGAGATACACCGTGTCCTTGGGCATGTGGCCTTGACTCCTCACTGTTTTGAGATGCAGGCCCTATTAAGCCATTCACTTGAGAAACGGGGGAAAGGGACAACAAAGTCGCTTTCGGGGCGTGTCCCTCTTGCGCAGGTTTCCATCTCTCGGCATTTTGATCAGAATAACCAGCATGAGAAGCACCTACTGCTGTATTTTCTGGCTGGGACGTCGAAGGCGGCTGGATCACCGTGCCTTTTGAGGCAGCCTTTGGCCGAGACTTAGCTTTTGTTGCAGATAAGGACTTTTGAGAAGTTCTGCTTCCTCCAAGCTGACGTCTTTTGGTTATTTGTTTGGAAGACATGGTGGATTCGGAAGCTGGGATCGTGGTGTTTGCTTGCCTGGATGGAGGTGATGGTTGAAGGGGTATCGCGGTTTCTTGAGTATTCGCTTGAGCAGAACACCAGAGATTCTGGGAAGTATGAGCTAGTCTGCTATCCAACTGGGTAGAACGATAGGATGAACTCTTCATCTCAGGGATACTTGTCGAGGCAGCGCGGGTAGTGTGGGAAGCATGTCCTGGTTCTGATGCACCGTCTAACTGAGGCAGACGAGGGAGAGAATACGGTGACATATTTACTTGTGGGAGCGTTTTCGGGTCACCTTGATTCAAATAGGACATCTTCTGCACAACCTGGACTGGCGCGCCTTCACGCTGAGGTAGATGAGGAGACCGAAGAGGGGATTTCATGGTAATTCGCGAAGGGGTCTCATTTGGATGACTAGTATTGGGGGAAGCATATGCTGTTGTCACCTGCTGTTGCATCCCATAAAACAACCCAGAATTGTGTTTCCTGGCACCCTGTGACGACTGTTGACTACCCTGGGAGACATATAGGGATGTAGTTCCCGGCATCGACAATCCCTCGGTACCAGATCTTGTGGTGCTTTTCCTTGTCTGTTGCACGGTTTTCGGAGCAGAATTCGAAGCACTACCGTGGGTTAGCAGCCAATTTATACCTCCGAGACGATTTTGTCTAGCACTGGAATTCAACTGCTGAGCATTCTGGGAAGTGTATGGTGTGACCATTGCGCTCCCCAAACTCAGACGTCCCTCCAGGCTAATGTTCACTGGTGTTTGGATACGACTGGTCAACAGCGCTATGCCGAGAATTATACGCTGTCAGCGCCTCTTGCCTAGAGCCGTAATGCGACGGACAAGAGCTTGCTGCTGAAACCACCGGAGTGGGTGAATGGGGACGAGTAGTTCCTGAGGGCACGTCTCTTTTAGGTATTAACCCAAGTAGGAGGATGCCGCGAATACACGTCTGCTACTGAATATCCTGAATTGTTCGAGTGCGCCTGGTCTCTATGGAGGAATAGTGGTGATACGCATAGAAGACTCAGAAGGAAAGGATAGACCAGAATACGATTCTGGAAAGTTAGAAGAGGTTAGATAATTTGCCGCTTCCTGCGCCAAGTATTCCTGATATTGCAGATAATTATCGAGCCATTGAAGGTCCTCGCAGGAAGACATTTGGGTCTGAATAACCGCGCGTCCTCACGACGGGGTCTCAGGACATGCCGGAGCTTGAAAACGATGTTGTCAGTCGGCGGGCCGATAAGAAGAGGCCAGACATACAAATAGAAAGGGCTGCGCGAGACTGTGCAATATGTCCACGCATAGTATATAGGGATTAGGGACAACGGCCGCAACGTTGTGGTCATTCAGGACCACGTCGCTATTATCCACGCCCGGAGCTGCGCGCTGTGAGGTTCTTCCAAAAGAATACGCCTGTCCGTGTATATCACGTGATGGATGGCTATCCTAGTTCTCAGGAACATATTTGCTCCGGGTAGACCAGATAGGACAAATGTTGGAAGTGGTTTAATCTGACGCTGTTGCTAAACTCCCCGTGCGTGTAATTCCAGGTGGCACATGCTTGATTACTGACCAGGTCCTGAGTGTTCTGACGGGAAGTACTCACTGAGTGAGCCCCTAGTGGTGGCATCCGAAAGGGGAAAGTCACAGTGGCTCGAGGAAATCAACTATGTTGAGTGACGAACTGCTGGACTAGATTTCACTTCAACATCGACTCGTTTACTTGCTGCCTACTCTCCTTGCTGGTTACCGTTCACTGTTCTGCCAGCAAGCGCCGCTTTTCATGCCATTGTGGACAGCTCATTCAGAACCAGTGTTGTCTCGGGGCTGACAGCCAACTTTAGGAACAAATGTAGCGGAGATTAACGTCCCAAGGTAATAATTAGTATTTATTCAGATAGTTAACCATGGTCTCTAAAGACAAATTATCTTGCCATCCTCTGTTCTCCCAGCAGGAACCTGATGCGCAGCGCCAGCCAATCAGCGCAGGGCTACCAGCCCTAGCCTAAGCGGGTACTCACGTGACGCACAGTGGGAATCGTCCACACAATTTCGGCTACACAGTTGCATGAAAAGCTGTCTTTCGACGACTTACGACGACAACACTCACCCCGACCCTTATCCAAAGAGGCTTTGCAGAGATGGCCGTCTTCAACAAGGGTGCGTCTGCCTGTTGACCCCTGATTCTGAATTCCTGATCGCAGTCCCCGTTTTTCTCCCACGCGTTTATGATGGCTCACCATGGGGAAAACGACCTTTAAATTGAGACGATACTGACAATGTGGCCGTGATAGCAATCGCCTCTTCGCGCCGGAAGTCGCGCAAGGCGCACTTCAGTGCTCCCTCCAGCGAGCGCCGTGTCATCATGAGCGCTCCTCTGAGCAAGGAACTCCGTGAGAAGTACAATGTACGCATTTGACCTACTACCCAACCTACCCGGCCTCCTTCACCTTTGGTTTGGCAAGACACTTTTCAGTTGGAAGACATGTTCAGTGGCCCACATCGAAAGAGGACCAGGGAGGAAGAACAAGAAGAAGAAACAAATGCAAAACGAGGAGAAGCAGAGGAGAATACTGTAAGAGGAGATACTGATCCGAAGTCTGGCAGGTCCGCTCCCTCCCCATCCGCAAGGACGATGAGGTCACAATTGTCCGTGGCTCCAACAAGGGCCGTGAGGGCAAGATAACTAGCGTCTACCGTCTCAAGTGGGCTGTCCATGTCGAGCGTGTCGTCCGTGAGAAGGCCAACGGTCAGAGCATCCCTATCGGCATCCACCCGTCCAAGGTCGTCATCACCAAGGTCAAGCTGGACAAGGATCGTGAGAAGATTCTGGAGCGCATTGGAAAGGGGCGCGAGGCGGCTAAGGCGGTTAAGGCCTAAGGGACTTGGGTGTCTATTTTTTTCTTATTCATGTTCCAAATAGCGATGATGGCGCGGAGTACTTGTGATACTCAAAATGGAAAAATAGACCTGTTACGACCAGGCTTCGTCCAATACAGGTTCATGCAATGATGCGAAAAGCAAACAAAAATTTTACGGCTTCGGGTTTGGGACTTTTTTTATGGGCCGTCGCTCTTTTTTTGGCGCCCCTGATTTTTCCTTCCTCACCCGTTCTGCTCCTATAGGTACCGCCCGTCTAAGCTACAGATGAATCTGAAATGCTTATTTTCCGGACAATTGCATCTGCTTCATGTTCCAAGGTCATGCTTAAGGCATTTTTGCTACTAACATCTGCAGTTGTCTTTTCCAGCACTACCACCTTCGGGCTCTCTCCACTCATTTACAGCCGCACCTACCGTGATTCAGTTCTCATGCAAACCTATGGCATACCACTTTAACGGTTGACCTTGACTCCCTCCGACCTCGACCCCCGGATTGCATGTTCTAGACAGCTCTCGGACAAGTTGGGTTTGTACGGCGCTCAACATATTCTCCATTGCACATATATGATCCCTTTCGAGAGCACCATCTTCGATGAACAAGTACACAGCAAGAGAAGGAGAGAGCACAACGCAATCATTTTGAGTGCCTTTAAACCCAACGCCAGATTATCTCCTCGCCAGTCCCGTCTTTGCGGCGGATTCCAATGGTTGGCGAGGTATACGGCTGGCGTAGAATAAAGTACAGGATAGGCCTTCATTTGGATGCATTTCCAGAGGCTGTCCAGTCTCACTTGCAGACTCACGCGGAGCTTTTGCGAGGAAGACGTGGGTTTGAGAGTGAGAGACAAGTACCTGTAGAGCTTCTAGTCTTACGTAGCAGTGTTCTTTCTTGTACCTGATATAGTACTTGTAAGTGAATCAAGTCTCTTTTCCATTGATTCTTTGGAAACAATGCATAATCATAGTGCACCCTACCACCTTCGTTTGATGCCACCTACCATCTTTTTACCAGGAAGCACCGCAATGCTGTCTATTTACCCGTCATCTATATCTAAGAAGTAAAACCTCACTTGAATCGTCACAGAAAACTAAACTTCATACGATCCTCAGTCATAATCACGTGATGGTTATCACATCTGACGATCCGAAGAACAATCACCGGCCCAAGAAACGCTTTCAGGTCCTTCATTCAGTGCAGATACCAGTCTCACGCATCCACGAGCTGGAAAGGGAAAGCACCGCTGTGACTACCAGGTCCGGCTACGCGCAGGCAGAGAAGACAATGGCAGGACGAGGCCGACCATCGAAGAACAAGAAAGCCTCTACGAAAGGAAAGATTGAAATCTCTGTCCCGCCGAACCAGAATGTTCCGTACCAGGTATACTCATGCGGATGGAGCGGGTGTCCAGCGGAGTTGCATAATTTGACCATGTTGAAGAAGCATGTGCTCAAAGTCCATCTCTCCGGGGGACATGGTGCTACGGAGCAGTTATCGTGCAAATGGGAGGGATGTTCGTTTTCCAAAAACTTCACTCCATCGTCGCTTCAGCTTCATACGCATGTGATGAATGTACACATCGAACCGTATGCATGGAGGTTGGGGGATGGGCCTTATGTTCCTGTTACTGGTGAGATAGATGCGCTTACGTTTCACCCTCATCTGTGTTTTGTTTAGGACATAAGTACTGATGTAGATTGATGGAAAAATAAAGACAGTAGTAGCCGTCCGGGTACTCAGATGACTATTCTACACGAGCGGAATCAAGCCGTCGGGGAAGATTCGCTTATCTTTCCCGCTAGTTACATGTCCATTCAGGCGTTCAATCGGGTTCATGGGAATCATTCACAGCAAGAGAAGGCCAAGGAGGTTCTCAAGGCCGTACAGCGATTAAAAGAACAGATTGGGGTTGGCTTGGATCCTGGAGGTTGCGAGTTGGCCACGCCAGCTCGGAACTGGAAATTGGATGATGAGGAAGTTTACAGATTCGTGAGAAGTGAATAGTCGGAAAAGGAGGAAGATTGCCCAGATGCGGTCGATGCGGCGAGATACCCAGTTCTGTCATTTCCCTGGAGCATTTTCATATTGGTGGTTTTGGCGTTCAGGTTGGTGGTCATCCTTACTTTGCATGTACAGTGTACTATTGTCGAGGACAACGGTCAATCGAGACAATTGGATAGTCTAGCACTTGGCATAACTGAGCTCCATTTCCCTGCAGTAGAGCAACAGCTCCTCGATGGTATGATACAATTACCCGGCCGATCGTCAATGTAGCCCTCGTTCCAACACCCTTCGTCTCTGAGTACATCCAGCTCCTACCTACTCTTCCGCGACGTCGCATCCGCCGAACTTGTAGTGGCAGTAGCTCGTCCACCGGCGCTGGCAGCAATAGGCGCGGATTTGGCGTCTCCAGAGCCCTTCACGGTACCCGCAACAGAACTGTCTTCAACGCTTTCATCGTCTTGGGCGTTGACTTCAAGGAAGTGGTAAAGGACGACCATCATCATGGCGCAGGAGCCGAGAAACATAGCAAGACGGTGGAGATCCGTGTCGGAAATCATGTTGAAGTATGAATATGAGAGCGATATAGTCTAACAGCTGTTGGGGGTAGAAAATGAGGCAAGGCGATATGCTGAAAGCGAAATGATGGAGGAAAGGTGAAGCTGGCAACCAAGATTGTGCGTTCCTGGGAGAGTCGAGGGTCAGTTGGCACTTCACAATACGACTGAATTGGATTGAAGGGGACACAGTAGGATTGGTGAATTACCGGATAGGAGGCTGGTCTAGAGGGGAAAGATGTTATAACGTGTTGAGTGTGTTGGCATTGAACAAGTCGAGTAGAAGTTGACAGATGGTGGATTAAGCGTAAGCAGGGACCACAGGAGTCCCCTGGAAGACAGCTCCCGGAAAGTCCCCCAAGCACCCCTACAGCACCGCTGGAGTCCCTCGAGCACCCGCTAAAAGGTGCCCCGGAGCAGCTCTTGGTTGCTGGGGTGGCTCTGGAACAGCGGGGAACTCGATGCTTTCTGTTTCATTTCAACCTCGCTCATTTCTGCCTCTTCATCATCTGCGTCATTTCCTTTCAGTCTTCTTCCCTATCTATTTCCTCTTGCCCTCCCTTCTTTATCTACTGCTACCCCACTAGACTAGATTTTTATATATACTCACTGGCATCTACGGTTTTCCTTTGTGCGATTACACCACAATTTGGCCCCCTCTCCTCCCCGGCACCTCGTTTTTCGTTGTCAATTGCGATGACAGACTCCGTCGGTCCGAACAAAATTATGGACACAGCTAAAGGGACTGGACCTTCGCTTCTAGCCTGTCTCATTTGCCGCCAAAAACATCTCAAATGCGATGGTATCACGCCTGTGTGCGGCCGCTGTGCTGCTTCAGGTGCAAACTGCCAATACACACCATCGCGGCGGGGATACAAAGGACAATCAAAAAAGCGTCGTGCCAATCCACCGTCGCCTGAAGAGCAGTTGGCTGGTGATCCAGACTTCAATGGCTCTCAGATTTCTAGTTCGCTTGATGTCCCCATTGATTGGAGTTATCCGAGTCGCCCGGGTTATGATTATCCTGCTCCGGCTGTCTACCTACCTTCGTCCTCAACCGCGTCGAGCAGCCTTACTGTCAGCGGCAATAATGTTAATAACAATATACCTCAAACGGCACAATCTGCTAGACTGTCCAGTGGGCCTCCAACCCCGGATTCATCGCCGGCTACAGGCGGCGATGGGTACCTGATCGACGTCTACTATAACTTCTTCCACCCGGCACATCCCATCTTACCTCCGCTGCGCTTTCTCTACCGCTCTCTTGTACCTCTGTATCTTGATCGGGTCATCAAATTCATCGGATCTCACTTTACCAACGCCATTTCCAGCGATGTGTACCGTCCTACCGTCATGTCGTCTGTCATCGACCAGGAAGGCACGGTCGAGAAGGTTCAGGCGCTGATATTGCTGGCCGTTGTACTTCATTCGCGAAATGAACGAATGGAGGCAGGCGAATGCCTATCCAGAGCTGTAGATTTGGCCTTCCAGCTCGGGCTGCACCGCGAAGACTTCGCGGTAACCATGGGCGGAGGCGATCCGGTGCGAGAGGAAAGCCTGCGACGGACCTGGTGGGAACTGTTTATGGTTGAAGGAATGCTAACAGCCCTCGGAGTGCGGCAGAGCTTTAGCACTAGCCTGGTGCCTCTCGATGTGCCGCTTCCATGCGAGGAACGCATCTACCAGGATGGCTTGACCCCTCCGCGGCCATTGACTGTCGCTCAGTTCGACGAGCGTGTCTTTGCTGACGAGGAGTTGGACTTTTCGTCTCACAGCTATCGGATAGAAGCTGTGCGCATTCTGGGACGCGTTGTGGCCGTCCAGGACATGGAGCAGGGCCAGCAGGACCAGGTGGAGGCCATCGACGCGCGGATCTCCAGCTGGTTTCACCATCTCCCAGAATCCAAGTCTGAACTCATGCGTCCGGACGGTTCCATTGACGAAATGATGTTTCAAGCAACGATGATCGTGAACGGAGCATCGATCTACCTCCATTTCCCACGCTCTGACCTGTTATCATCCCCAGCGGTTGCAGCCGAAGTTATCTGTGGACATCATTCCCAGTACAGCGTGCCCGCATTCTCGAGTCATGCGCATGCCATGAAAGCAGTCAAGGCAGCCAGCGAACTGTCAAGTTTGGCTGCCATCCGTCTTCCCGTGGTCAAGCACACGCCGTTTTTCATTTGCGCGCTCGTTCTCAGCTCGATTGTTCAGCTGGCGGCCTGTTCGGTCAAAGCTGGTCGGATGCCAGACCCGAGCCGTGATCGACTCACGCTTACCATTGGTGTTTTCAGGTCTCTGGGCCGTACGTGGGCGATTTCACAGGCGATTATGCGACAGGTAAAGGCTGTCGCGCGGGACGTGATGGATATGGGACTCCGCCCAGCTATGGATCAGTTGGACATGGCGAGCCTGCTGCAGTCGAGCCGATACTGGTTTCAGGATACAGCAGACAGTTAATTGACAATAGACACGCCAGTTTAGGAGAAGACCCAAAAATTCGGTCCATTATATATACCTTATCGGCATCCATTGCCAAGCGGGGAATGCCGAGCGGGGAGTACGATGGAGCCCGGCGCCGGATTACCGGTGTCCACTACTCTTACTTAAGAATGTGTTGTTGGCATCTCACGCGTCTCTCGCTCTCTCCGCTGCACGTCGACTGGTCCCCGCAATCGCCGTTCGAGAATTTCCTCCTGGAAGAAAAGAAAAAAAAAATCATAGCCACCATGTGCAGACCCTCTACTTGCTCCACATGCCGTACGTATGCTCTTCTTTCCTACTGGCGGGTTCATGAGAACTCTTATCCATAGAACGCGAAACTGAGGACTTCCGCGCGTGCACAAATGACTAACACAACTGGTTTGCATTATACAGACAAAGCCACCTGGTTCGGTTGCGGCCTTCACATCCCCACCGTTCTCGACCATGTTCCGCAGCAAGATTGGTGCACCTGTGCCCCCAAATTCGAGGCGAACGGGAAGCAGTATCCGCCGAAGGGAGATAAACCGAATTGACCTGGATTGGGCAAGAAGGCCATCAGGTTGGCGTTGAGAGGGGTTTGACGAGCGTTGTAGCGAATGAATGAAGAGGAGTTGTTCTGTTCCATCGGTCTGGTGTTTGCCGTTCTTTCGATAATTAGAGATACCCTGGGAGGGAATCTATCTGTTGTACATGCTACTTCCATGTACTTCCGAAGACATTAGAATGAAGGCAATGACGTCTAGTCTTCAACAAAAAGTTTTACGGTCCTGAATCGTAGGATGCCATGTCTACAATCAGCAAGTCAATCTACAAATAGGACGCCCATCAAATCAGCCAATTGCTCCAGCGGACCCTTCCCGCCCTGATCAGCCGTCAGGAAGAGATCTACATCCCTACGAACGACGTCCATATCTTCATCGACGTCCTCGGTGGAACGATGCACATATACCGTCCGCATCCCACTGCCAGAACAAGGTTGAGTACTTGGAGCCCGTCCTAGAAAATAGTGGGAAAGAGAAAGGGGAAGAGAACATACACCTCCTTCGCAGCCCGAAGGTCATAGGCATGCGCAGCTACCATGACACATTCATCTGGCTGGATCTGCAAGAGATCGAGGGCTTTTCGATATATAGCTGGATCCGGCTGTCCAGAGCAGTGTTAGCTGGTTGATGTATCTGTAGTATAGTACTCTATATAGTATGAAAACAAACCTTGGTAGAACCGAGTAATTGCGAGGAGAACAGCGAATGAAACGGAATCCCAGATGACTTGACGATATCCATCTGAAGGCGAGTGGTGCCGTTCGCGAGGACGACGCTGGAAGTCAATGTCAGGATTCATCCATAGATTCCATAGTTCACTCGTGAAGAAATGAATGCATACACCATATACTCCTTCCTTAATCGTTCAATGGCATCCACAGTATCAGGCCATGCTATACCAGAATTAGAAGAATGTGTCCATGCTCCGTATAACAAATCCAGGAAGAAAACAAAGAAAAGGAACCAACCAAGCTGCCAATGCCAACTCCGAACTAACGCAGACCGATCCCCGTCACCACACTCCTCCAAACCAATCCCCCTCTCCGCGAGAAGCCGATCAAGAACCCTTCTATGAGTGACATCGATGTCCTCAGGCTCAGCGCCAGCGCAGAACCGAGCATGGATCTCCTCGAAAAAACCGGCGCGCCAGTCGGTGGCCAGCTGCACGATCTCAGCGTCAGAGAGGCGGGCGGATAAGACGGGGATGGAGGCGAGTTTGGGCTGGATGGACGATTTCCAGTCACAGCATGTTCCCATGAGGTCGAAGAGGAGGGCTTTTATTGGCATTTTTGCTCTTACAGAGGCTGATTTTTGTGCAAGAGTTCCAGCTTTGATTGCGCTATTTCTCGCGTTGAGTCGTTGCATTGATGATCTTTTGATTTCTAATATGCCGACAGGGCGGGATGTAACAGAAAATAAAATCCATCTGAATCATCCAAATGTCCGTCCCCAAGCAGAAAGAATTCTCCGAAACACCTCCCTCCACAATCCCAACAACCCAGAACCCGATCCCCTTAAGTCCCTGGTACTCCATCGGCCAGGAATCAGGGAATTGCTCCTGAACGGCGACCGACGCCGACGCGAATGCCGAACTTGTCCTGCAAAGCCGTGCTACAGTGGTATGAGCCCGGGGATGAAGCATGGGCCGTATTGTGCTTCGCACAGGGGTTGTTTGCAGTTCGTGAAGATCTTGCCCGCGGAACGTTGACTTGGTTGGGATGTATCTATCTCTATCTCCTTACATGCATCGAGTTGTATATACAACGGTGGAATGCATTGACGATAGACAAAAGGAATGGGTATCTATATTCAACAATGATAACAAAATGAGAACATTGGCATGCAGGAAACCGGGCGATCCCTGTCGCTGCTCTAATGCCTTTATGCAGCTTGTAACCAGGCAACCAACGCTGAATCTGCCCAAGTCCAGTCCAGTATAACAAGCGAGTGGCTGACGGAAGTGAAGATGAGTAGCACAGAAGGATCACTGTACTACATATTCCACGTGCATGTGTAAAGTTCAACGGAATGACGACAATGGACACCAGATCAAAAGAATGGATCTGTTTCATACCTGGACTGGGACGAGGTCAAACTTGCATCTCCTTCAATGCAACCGTCCGCCTCGCAACCACATCTTCGCGGCGGACCACGTTCCTCAACGCTTCACTAGCTTGGATCAACCCATCGATGCTGATAGCATGGTTGGTCATTTGGTGGTTAATATATGTGTACACAGCCGCCGGCGTCGAGCAGCTTGTCAGTAGCTGTTGCTCGTTAAGTTTGAGCAGAGCTAAAGCAACCTGAAAGAGGAATGTGCTACCACCGCCATTGCCGGAGGCGGCATCTTCCATGGAGATATCTGTTGCACTGCCATTGTTATTATTGCAATCGGTCGATGCAGCATTCCCAGTCCCCCCATTGCCTTGCAGATTTACAGGGCTGGAAACATTGAGGCAGAGGATAACGTCCCAGACACGATACAGTGCCTCGGCAGAAAGGCAGTCGGTAAAAACGGAGAGGAACCATTGAAATGTCAGAGCCTCGAGCTCAATGCCCAGTGTGTTAAAATGGGCGGACAGTCTGGGGAGAACCTCAGAGATATACTGTCGGAGCACCACTTGGTCGGCGCGGGAGGCCATCAGTCCATGATCATAGTAGTGCTGCGGTAAGATAACCTCAATCATAGACGCCAAAAGCCAAAATGCATCCTCTGCCGTCGGCGTAATGAGAAGTAACGAGGCCGCTATGAGATTCATACCCTGGCAGTATCCGACTTCAGGGTTACGTCGCGCGTAAGCCACGAGAACTTCTCGCAGCCTCTTGACGCCAGGCCCTTTACGGAAGAACACGTTGTCCGTGAGAGTCCGACGGATGTCCATATCGATCTGTGCAATTACTGACGGGTCCGGCTCGCTGCCACCCACACCCTTCAAGAGATGATCGTAGTAACCAGGAGCCCGCATCGTGAACGCCCCGCTGCATTCAGACCAGACCTTCGCACGGAGAGTAACCGGAATCCCACCGAGGACGAGACACCGAAATTCTCGCCACTTGGCACGACCAACTTTTCCCTTGTTTCCAAGGCCGGCGACTCCCACAACCTCTCCGTCCGTTAGGGACGCTTCCGGCGTATCCACCGACTTCAGAGAACGGTCAGAAGTTGCACCTCCGGTTGTCGTGGCTGCTGCTGCCGCTTCTCTTTCCTTTCTGCGTTCGGCGCGGACCTTGCGGAGAAACTCGTTCCACCGCACGGTCCTTTCCCGCTGAAGCGAGTCATGGAGGTCCGTCAGTTGCTCCAGTAGCAATCTGACTGGCTCATTCTCGTTGACAGCTATGGCCGTCGATGTAGCCGCCGGTCCTTCTACCGACACGCCTGCAAATTCGGGACGATCAGCAACTACAATGGACGTGGACGCGGAGGGCTGTGCATTGGAATTGACAGAAAATGAACCACCTTTGTCAATCGCCACAGAAGTGCTCCGCGACGGGGCCTCCCCGGCCGTAGTCAGCGAGACGATAGGACCCGCCGATGGCGTATGAGATAGTAGCTCTGTCGGCCTCGTCGCGATCCGGAGGTAATCTTGCCAACGCTTATTAGTCGAGCCACCGGTCTCCGTCGAACCCTCCGAAGGTGCAGGAGTCGGGGCCGGCCGCGGCCGTATCGTCATCTGTAACGGTCTCTGGGATTCATCGTCTTCTTCACCGTCAGATGCATCGCTTCGGAAGCTGCTTAATGTCTCGGCAAGGTTCGATCGTTCCGCAGTGTTTCTCATGGCGGCAGCTTCCCTTTGCCTTTTTTTGCGACGCTGGTCGTAGATGAAACCGAACCGATCGGTCAGCAGGTCGCCAAACTGGTAGTGAGTATACGTGTGAGTCAGTGTTGGAGGCCGAGATTCCATTGGGAGGATAGCATCCATCTCTACAGGACCGAGATTTGTGGAGCTCGTGGGAGCAGTGCCTGAGCTGGCCCCTTGGGAAACGCTCGATGCGGCACTCCGTCGGGTGGCCTGGACATTCATCCGAGGTGTACGGCTCGATGCGTTCGTAGACCTTCCGGTCATGCTTTGAACACTGGTACTGCTGTTGATTCGCTGCAGCGCCGCCACAGCCGATGTGCCACCGTTGGACGTGCCCGATAGTGTCTTCTTGGATTTATCCTGCTCAGCGGATGAATCGCCGCGGCGGCGAGAATCTGAGGGAGCCCTCGCGTTATCCTTGGCCGATTGGGAATTTCCGGCGAAGAGCTTGGTCCAGGATGAAATGGACCGCGGCAACGTGCGCGCGCTTACGATCGAATCGTAGTCACCACCATCGGACGGCCCGCCGATGCGCTGCCCTGATAATCGATCTCCCGCCGACTCCGCCTGTGAATTTGGCTGAAACAGCTGCTCATCCAGAGCCCTCCGGCGATTCGTTGTGTTGCTCGGTATTCGCGGACGCCCGATTACTTCTTCCTCGCCCAGATCAGCACCGCTCATTACGCTGCTTGCGCGGCTTGCTTTCCGACCGTTTGTCCCACTACCAAGAAGATAGTCTGACCAACCTCTGGAGCTCTGTCTCTTTTGGCGAGGGCCAGAGTCGTTATTAACGCTGGAAGCGCCCGACCTTGAGCCACCGCTGGGACGGACACGGATAGTGGACTGCCAATCTGACTGATAGTCTAGCTCGTCCTCTTGGACATGTGATCCAACGCCCTCCCGCATGGCTTGCTCCATCAGACCGCCAAGACCGGATGAAGGACCGCCAGCCTGCCCGACGCTGCTGTTGTCCGAGCCGTCACGGTCCTCTTTCTTTTCCTCTGGCTCGTTCTCCAGCAGATACAACCTGCGTTCGATGTCCTGGTTCGACACGGCAACCTCCCTAAGCATCCTCTTCAATTCCCTCTCTCTCGCGTCGGCACGTTGACGCAAGGCGGAGATCTCCGCATCGCGCAGCGCCAGATCACGCGCAAACTGCCTGACCAGTTTCACCGCACCTGTATTATTGACTAACCGTTCGATATGCGCATCATCGGCAAGATGCAGCGCGCCTGGGAAATCATGACTCAGGACAGGGTCGCCAAACAGAGCCGCTCGTCCCGACGACGCATGTGACAGGGTGGACGTTAGCTTGGACAGAGTCGTCCTCTGCGAGCGACCGGTATCGCTTGCACCATCCGGGGCATCGCCATCGTCCAATAATGCATTGGTCAGAGCACGGTTTAAAGCCGGATGGCCGCTGAAGCCCTCCGGGGAACGATCGGGCGACAAGGACGGAAATGACGTGAGATCAGTGGTAGCATTGGACGAGGCAGAGTGGCTTTTCTGAGAGCGAGCACGAAAAGTCTTCGGCCTCTGACTGCGGCGAGAAGAGGATGATGCCTGGGAGGAAGATCGGCGCGAGGAATGATGCGTAGATTCAGTGGAAGACTCCGCCATACTACTTCGCAGAAGCGTGGACAAACAGGGAGGGCCGGAAGACTGAGGACTTCATGAATGCTCCCCTGATCCTGTTTATCTAGAAAGTAGATAGATGGAAGCAATCATCGAGACATCGAGTCCTTTCTTTCTTTTCCAATCGGAATCTTCACGCGCGTTGGTCCGTGGACGGAAGGTACCCCAGTGACCATGCAGTAATTATCTGCAAAGACAGAAGATGGACGAGGATAAATGGGGGGCGAGGGGGGATACAAAGAGCCTCAGACAAAACCAGCAAGACAAGAATGAGAATCGCCAAGGCAGAGCAAGGGCATGATTCTGATTCGGATGAAGAAGAAAGACAGGATTTGCCGGTGTCGTGCCCAACAAGGAAAAGGAAGAAGCGAAAGCATGACGTGCCGCTGACTCAGCATGGTTAACGAATTCATCAGCGAACCGTCCGGATCACCGAGGCGTCATATAAAATACCCATGAATAGCCTTTACAGATGGTTTACCTGCATGGTTCTTCTTGAATATGTGTTATTATCTTTTTTTCAATAAATTAGACTGTAATTGTAACGGGACAGAATCAGGGATCACGTGCCTCTACGTGCCCAGAGCTTTGTTTACACGCGCGAATCTCTTCCTCTCAAAGCCTTTGGTAGATTGAATCAGATCTCACGTTATGTAAGGCCTGCCGTCTTGCGAGCGCAGATACAAAGCAGGATAGCTATAATAGCTATATAAAATTTCCCTTTAGAGCATCATTGATAGTTCAAGATGGCATTAGACTCTACGCTACCAAAGCAGGCATTGGCAGCAAGTACGCAACCCTCATGCAGGGCGAGGAAAGAGCCACCGACAAGAACTTTGCAACAGTTCAACCGTGTGTATTCTGAAGAATTGGCGACCGGGGGGGATGCGGAGGAGTTTGCAAGCCTGCATGGCTTGAATGGCCATCAAGGATTAACATCTTATATCTGCCCTTAGTCCGCGAAGCTGTATGCTATTCAACGAGCTCCTGAAGCCATTCATAACCAAGCTCATTTGTTGCCGACCCATTCTCACTTAGGCTGATCTGGTAGTCCTGTGGAATTGAGGAATACCATTGAGATTGATGTTTCTTCCCAGCCAAAATAACCCGTGGAGGTAAAGCCCACCGAGTAGAATTGAATCAACACAGATAATTCAAGTCTCCCATTCTCTATCTCCAGGTTGTAGTTCCTTTGCTTTATTTTCTCTTATTTCTGAGCCACAGATAACCTTTGCAGTTGATATAAGACTCATTCGAAAGTCAAGTCTCATCGATGTTGTAAATATCTTCATTTAGAATCCCATGTTTCTGTCAGACATCGGTAAAAAGCTTAAACCAATTCTGAATAAGCCTTGGATCTTCACATCTCGCATGTTGATAATCATATTTTCAAGTATATTTAGACTGAAGCTCTGGATAGCGTTAACAGATCAGTTCACCCATTTCTCACTAAGGAAGGCAGTAGAGGATAGCTGTGCAAATGATAATGATCCTGCTAAAGATTGGACAGTTGCAACTCTTGGAGGTAAGCCACACTGGCACATATCAAGGATCCATGCTGAAAGAGTAGATTATTCAGTTGCTGATAGCTTTCTGCAGTTTGCTATAACATCTGTACGGGCAGAGACCCCTTTTAACTGTCTTCGGAGAGTTTTCGCATTGCCATCAAATGCAGCTGCAACCTTTGGAATATATGGATATTGACCCTTTTAAATGCATTAAGGGCTAAGAGAATTCCCCCTTATAAGATTTATCTTCCATCGTAATAGTGTAGGTGGTAGAGGTAATTGATAGAATTATGTATGGTAGCTATCGTGGAAGGGGGGGACTCTCGTCGTCCGCTTAACTATGTTAACTAGTTAGTTAACGTAATCAACCACCGAGCTGCGAATTTCTCGCTGACCACCACCTGATTAGAAATTGATGCTTTTCCAACCACCAACACCATTAAATTAGACTATATAGTAGTGCATTATACAGCTATTTAGTAGGGCAATTCCTTATTGTATGACCAACAGTCCTACAACCACTGCAGCGTTGTGGAGCGCGCTTCTGAGGCCTAGAGACAGGCTCCTCAAAAGTCTTGGCAACTTTCAATTTTGGTTTGATCTTTTTTGAACTATATGCAGAAATAGCCATCTGCATGCGGGCTTCTTGAGAAGGAGGCATTTTATATGAAGAAGGTGAAAAAACGACGCGTTGAAAATGGTAGAATGAAACTGGCGCGGGGAACGCAATAAATTCGCAGCTCGGTGGTTGATTACGTTATGTCAACTGCTTATATAACCCGCGACGGACCTCGGCTCGGCCGTTCTCCCCGCAAACATGTTCTGTTCCCTTTTAATAAGGATCTAGGGACGCCTTACATGCCGAGATGGGGATGCTGCATGCAGGTCCCTCCAGCTACTACTGCTGCTTTGTGGCTGACACTGACGAACCGTGAATGCATGGCTGTTCGGCTGATACTGACACAACATCGATGCTAACATGGCTTCCGCAAAACACCGTCTGCAAGCCCTGAGCCAGCAGCTCGTCGAGGGCATCCCCGACGCAGGGACGTTCGAGGACATCCCTCGCATTCGCCAGGTGGCTTCTGATTCTGCGGGACCGTGAGTATTTTAGCTTGACAGATATCGTCAGGATTCAATCAGATTGTTAACTGGATCGTACAGACGCGTCAAGGACAAGGTCGTTATCGTAACGGGTGAGACATGCAGACATCCAGGGGGTGAAATGGACTAGAAACGGGGGCGACATAATTAGATCAGATATTAACGTGCATGAATATCCTCAATCAAGGAACCAATTCCCCCACCGGCATCGGCCGTGCAGCTGCACACCAATTCGCCCGTAATGGCTCAAAAGCCGTCTACCTCTGCGACTACGACGATAGCCATCTCGCCACACACAAACGTGAGATCGAGTCGCTCTACCCCGGTGTCGACGTGCATGTTCGATGCTTCGACGCGGCGGACAACGCGGCCGTCAAGGCCGTCGTGGACGATGCCATCCGCACGTATAAACGGCTGGATATCTTCTTCGCCAACGCGGGCATCGTGGGACAGCCGGTGCGGTTTACAGATTGTGACGAGGATGATTTTATGGGGGTATTGAAGACGAATGTGCTTAGGTTCGTACGGTTTCTTCATTCTTTTATACATATACACACACTCTATCTCTCCCTTCTGTCTCCGGGTACTGACATCTTCGATTTCACTGACTCAATCCCAAACAGCCCCTTCCTAGCCATTAAATACGCTTCCGAAGCCATGAAACTCACATCCCCCTCCAAACCATACACCAATGGCTCCATCATCTGCACGGCATCTGTGGCCGGCCTCCGCTCCAACGCCGGTTCCACGGCCTACTCCGCCTCCAAGGCAGCCGTCATCTCCCTCGCCCAGACGACGGCGTACCAGCTTATTGGGACGGGCATCCGCGTGAACGCCATCTGTCCGGGTCTGATTGAGACGGGCATGACGCAGGTTGTGTTCGACATGGCGCGGGCTCGCGGCACGGAACGGAAGATCGGGCAGTTAAATCCCTTGCAGCGGGCTGCGGTTGCGGACGAGGTGGCTCGGGTGGCTCTGTTCCTGGGTAGTGATGAAAGTAGCTATGTCAATGGGCAGGCTTGGGCTGTCTGTGGTGGGCTGAGTGCCGGTCACCCGTGGGTGCCGGGGAAATTGGCTTGATCTAAGAACTTCTGGGTAGAATTTGTAAAGATATATTTGTCTTATACTGTCTAATCAATCACTTTTCAGAAGAGAATGCTTGAATTCACCCCTCACTCACTGTACTAAGTATTATTCACTAACTTCACAGCTCATTCCCGCCATGTAAGGCTCGGGTTCACCATCACAAGGCTCTGCGTACGCTGCAGCCTTGAGACTATACACAAAGGAAACAGAAGGGGGAATAAAGTTAGCCTAGAGAGAGAAAAAAAAATAAATAAATAAATAAAAAAAGGAAAAGAAAAGAAATGAAATGAGGACAGTACAACCGTCCTCGTGCAGTCCTGACCAAGTCGAATTTTTCTATACAATCGTGCACTGGATTAGACGGACCAGGGGTGAATGACAGGAAGGAAAAGAGGGGTAGCAATAGGATATGAAAAAGAGAAGAAAATGTGGCAATCGAAATCTTACCCGGAGGTTGAATAAATTAGGAATTCCAGCGTCCCAAAAGGCACAATAATGAAGAGCTAACACCCTTGATGGAAGAACAAGTCGAGAACAGAGAAAAGGAAATAAAAAGCCAGGAGAGGACCTAAACACGGAACAAGGCGCTATAAAAGAGGAAAAAAACAAAGGGAAGGGAAGAAAACACGTAAAAATGGGCTTATCGCAGAAACATAAAGCAAGGCCGCTCGCCCGGCCTCCTCCCTAAGGGTAACAAGGAGATGACAAGCCGATGACACGGTAAATGCGGTTATCATTTATCGATAACACACAACCTACGACACAATGCGCGCGCTGGTCGGCCGGATCAGATCTTCGTTGGCCTGCTTGCTAAGAGTAGCGGTTGCAGTTTCGCTTCCGTCATCAAGCGTCTCGTCGTCCTGCGAGGGCTCGTTATCCCCCTCGACGATTCGAGTGGGAACTTCCGTGGCATATTGCTGACTTGACCGATCCCGATCCTGGAAGGTGGAACTGCTGACCATGGACATCGAGGTACTAGATCGATTATGCACGAGTTCGGGCGTTGGTGGGATACTCGAGCTGCGCAGCTCCGGGTGGAGGGAGTTCGCTTCGCCGTCATGCGACTCTTCTCGGATCGAACGCTCCGGTCGAAGTGTCTTTGCACTTGAATGTTGGCTCCCCACATGGTCAGCCTCGTCCTCCTCTGCATCCTGAGCCAACTGCAAGCCCTCAACGGCCGCAGCGCACTGCTCGCTGATGTTGCGGACGATGTCCGCAATAGCATCAGTCTTGTCGCGCAAGTAGCGGTCAGCAACATCAGTGATGCTTAGACGGGCAAGGCGCTTTTGTGCTCTATCAAGACCTAGAAGGTGTTCCTCAAAGTCCGGGGCCATCGACTCATTGCGGGTAGCAGTCTCGGCGCCGCTCTCTTCGACCTCTTCGCTTTCGTCGAAACCAAGAAAATCCGAAATTTCGGTGGAGCTACCAATCGACCGAAGGACGTGCTCCATGTGATGGCTCTGCCCGTGGATGAGGCTCCGAAGATGGAGGACAACACGGCGGGCCTCGTCCCGTTGCCGGGCAATAGAATCAACTTTGAGCTGAATCTTAGCTAGATCCTTCTGGTTGCGTTTCCTTTCTCGTTCCAAGTCCTCAGCGATCTCCTGCTGGAGCACCAGGGCCTCCAGCGCATCATCCCGCTGCTTCTCGGTGCCCGACAGGCGGAGGGTCAACCGTGCAACGTCATCCTTCTGTTGGTCAATGAGGCTCGTGAGACGGCGATTCTCGCGCTTGTGGTTCTCGATCTTGACCTTGAGGTCCGCCGTTTCCTTTGTCAGTTGTTCGGCAAAGGCCTGGAACTTGAGGAACTGTTGTTTCCAAGTCTCCAATTCCTCCACCAGGAAGTTATTGCGTTTCGTCACCTTACTGAGCTCCGTGTCCATGCGACCCTTCAGGTTGATCAAGTCTTGCCAAGCTTCCATGGCATCTCGGGAGTATTGATTCCGCTCACGGACAATCTCATTCAGATGGCGCGTGGAGACCTTGGTCATCAGGGGCTTCTTCACCGAACCGCCGAAGATCGCCTTCAAGCCGCTGTTGCGACCGAGCTTGTCGCACACGTGGTCCATAACATCCATGACGGCGTCCTGGTTCCACCAGTCCGGTTCCTGAACGGATTCCACCTCGCCGCGCATGACGATGATCTGACCTGCAGGCACAAGTTTGCCGCCAGCATAGGCGGAACGCAGGTGGGTGGGGACACCGGACGGTGTAATGTCGCCATTCAAGGCCTGTGTTAAGCGGTTGACAAACTTCGTGCGTTGACCAGGCGTCAGCACGGCCGGCGGGCTGGAGGTAAGCACAAAGTTGCGATCCAGGTCGACAACTAGAGCATCAGACGGGGCATTGAACAGGGTACGGCACTCGGCCGTGATACCGAGAATGTACGGGCCAGGTTCCTGGGCAAGCTCCTTGATATGGCGAGCGTGCACGACCGGCACGTAGAGGCCACTCCATTCGTAGATGCGAACGCAGTAGCGAACGGTCTCGGCTGCGATTGTGAGCATGGCGGCATAGTGGCTGACGAAGATGATCCGACGCGTTGGTGACACGGCAGCCTCGATCACACCGACGATGTTGGGGATGGACAAACACGTGAACAGGGGCCACATGGAGAAGTTCTGGAAGCCGGTTGGCGAGGAAGGGAATTGGTAGCACAGGGCATAATCTTTCATGTCGATACGGACGAGATCGTTGAGTCGGGGCGCCGGGAAGCTGAGAATACGCGATACCTCCTCGGCATGGTAGAGGTTGGTGGCCTTGTTCCAGTGAATCCACATGCCTCGCAGGTAGTCGCCCAGCAAGTCGTACAGCGGGTAGCGGGAGAGGAAGCTCAGACAGTAGGGAATCCAGTAGGTCTCATCGGGGTTATCGTAGAAGTCGGCCTCTGTTTTCTTTCGCAGTTCGCGGATGGTCTCTGCACGCTTGTCGTCGGCTCGGGACCAGACGCGCAGGGCGATACCGTACAGGGTGTGTGAAGAGTCCTGCTGCAGGACGAAGGCGTGGTGAACGCAATGAGGCTGCGTCTTACCGGTGCAGATTTCCACATCGTGGGGGAAGCATGCCTGAAGTAGTGTTAGCGCGCGCGCGCGCGAGAGAGAGGGTGTGTGCGTGTGTGCATTGTCTAGAAGACTGGGCTCACCCTCATTGCCGCATGCAGAGCGCGGGCAATCTCGTTATCGTGCTCCAACCGGGGGCTGCTTCCCAGGATCTCTGGCAGCCAGAATTGGCCGACGGCACCCTTCATATGGCCAATCTTACCCTGGGCCGGGGCGGGAGCCTTCACCCACTGGGAGGGCTCCCGGCCCACGCCACATACCATGTAGGCATGGGTGAGGGTCTTTGGAGTCCGCTGGACAGGCTTGGCGTTGAGTGTGGAAGGGATTGGCTGAGTGATGCGTGAATGCAGCGAGGAGGTTCGACTGGGCACGACGAGGGAATTCTCTGCCTGATCGCGGGTGGGAGGACGGTCGCGGGTCGAAGGACGGACAAAGGATGGGCGGTCTCTCAGAGACGACGCCATGATGGAGACAATTGGCTTGTCGAAGGTGATGACGGGGATGGACTGTTCAGTGTCGTGGACTCATCGGCCAAGGGAATCATGCAGGAAGGAAGGAAGGAAAGAACGAAGACGACAACCCCAAGCAACCAAGGACGCCGACAGACAGACGCTCTGCCGGAGGGAGAGCAAAGGGAACGGTAGGGGGACAAAGACTAAAAAGTCAGGCAAAAGAAAAGGGGGGGATGGAAGCAGAAGAGCCGACGGAAGCGAGTGAGACAGGAGTTTAGTGGAAGCTGCAGGATATCCCCGTGCTCTAGTGTGCTCCGTAGGAGATAATCCTAATCATAAATAATAACCAGGGGCAGAGGTTGGTTCTGAAAAAGGGCCGATCAGCGCAGCGGTAAGTGTAGCGCGGCGAACTATGCAGTCGACGGAGGTATCACCACGGTGGAGATGCTCTTGTTCCGTTCGTTCCTGCAACAGATGCGAATGTGAGTTGCGTCGCATCTGTTCTTCTGCAGTATGTACGCCATTCTGTCCAGTGTACTCTGTACTCTGTACATGCTTACAGTGTATAGGTAGCTGTAGCTGGGCTATATGAACCATGGACGGCCCTTCCGAGCCCCCACGCGGCATTAGCTGCGGAAGTTCTGGAGCTCCAGCATAATAATAACATCAATAAATGAGGATAATAAATGTTGACAGGAGTTATATTAATGTCTCTAGCTGCAGTTGCGGAGATTCCGAGAGACCTCGTATTCTTCCATCAACTCGTAAACCAACCTTCCAAACGTCTTCGTGTCCCCCAATTCGGACGAGAATAATAATGCCTTCAATCAGAGATCAAAGCAGTCAGACCACAATAATCCGGCTTCTAGCAGACTTTTGAGCGGAGATTGCTGCTGCTGCACGGCCCGTCCTGCGTCGCACCATCTCCATGCTCATCTCCCCTGCTTGAGCCCTTGCATATATACGCTGTACGCGACACTGCTCTGCATCCGTCGACTGCAGTAGCTCGCGCATACAGCGGGGAGAATCGATTCAATTGAATACCCATTGCCATTATTTATGTCTAGTATTTACCGACTGATTTATCTTTCCCCCCCCCCGTCGACGCCGTGCAAATGCCGCATGCTCCGTTCTGTCTCGACTCCGTAATAATATTACAATTAGGACCCATAGCATAATGAAATAGTGCCCACTGGTCTATACACTGGCATAAAAAAAGATGAAGGGGAAAAAAATGAAAATGAAAATAAAAAGAATAACTGCTGCAAACGCCCCATGCCACAAAAACCAGAATTGAGGGTATTTGAATAACTCCGTCAGAAACATCCACGATGGTGATCACACAGGCAGCTCGTAGTGTGTGCTATCCGCAAGCGGCTCCACGTCCTTCACCGGGTGGAACATGATCGACGGCAGACACACTCGTCCGAACCACCGTTCGTACTAGAAGAGAAGAGTCAGCCCTGTGGACTCCCGTTGCATCAATGTCTCGTAACTCACCGATTTCCCTCCCGTGCCTTCCTTCTCCCATCCCAGGAAGTTCCAGTACAGCCGCCCCGGCAGGTTGGAGCGATAGTACCAGGACAGGTCCTGGAACCGCGCTTCCCGACCCCAGGAGAACGGACTGTCCTTGGTACTGCCGGATCGCCCGTTGATACCCGAGTTGAACCACCGGTCCACGCGGTGAGGTGGCAAAGACCGCTCCGAATAGATCGGGTGCGGAATGGTGACGCCCTTGAACCCGTGGAGAATAGCCACCGACTGCGCGAACAGCTCCGAGCCCATATGTCGCCCCAAGAGGTTCTCGTCGTCCATCGTCAGCAGCAACCGTCGCGACACGCGCGAATGCGTGATCAGGGTCGCTCGTCGTGGCGTGTCTGGCCCAAAGTACCCGCTGACCTCGTTTCGGATGACCCAGTCGGTGTTGATAGGGTTGAATATGGGCAGGAAACCAATGTAGTCTGCCTCCTCGCCGACACCCCACTGATAATCATCCTGTCGAGCTTTCTTCACGGGCGGAGTTGGTCCCTTGGGCACAAGAGGCATCGGTCGGACATAGTCTATCGCCAACGGCCCCCAGACGAGCTGGCCCGCTTGCTCTTCGGCGAACTTTCGGAAAGAAGTGTTGTAATCCCCGTGAATCTGTGGAATGTAGAATCGCTCGCTGCGCTCCCAGATGCCTCGTCGGGGCTGGTTTCGGCCAAATTCGGCGATCTTCTCGAGCAGTTCGTACAGATGGCCGGTGAAGCGGGCATCGATCTCCCAGTTCCAGAAATATTCAAACTGCGGGTTTTCGAGCATAAAGTGTTGGACGGAGAACCACTGCGAGTGATGGACGCTGGGATAGGATTAGCATGACACATAGAGTGCTACGACCAGCAGGGGACTTACTCGACAAGGGCCGGATCAACCAGGGGATACCGCGCAGCCGCGGTTGGCATGTTCCATAGTGTGGTGATGCCCCAAAACTCCTGGGGAACGTTCTCTCTCAGGACCTGTTGGCATACCTCCGGATCGTCGATCGGAATATTGTCATCCCTGACGTGAACCAGCAGGACAACTTCATATTCTCCACCGGATTGAAGTGCCAGTTCCGTGATCATCGACCGGATCACTTGCTTATCATTTTCCGAATATACCTTGCCCGTATAGCTTCGAATAAGAACAGCTGTGCGTGATTGGGGTGGGATGTGGAGGTTGGACGTGCCAGAGGGATAGGACTGATCGGCATTCTTATAGGGGTCGGGAAACCGGTCGGCATTGCGTTCGAGACATTCCTCTTGTAATGTTCCCCAATCCACCTGGTCCCATTCGACCTTTTCGGGTTTCATCCAGTTGTCGACGGAAGATTCGGACTCTCCGAAGCCATAGGCGCCGTATCTGGTGTACCGGTCGAAGGATATGCGGCCGTCCAGTCCTACAGCCTTGTGCGAACCGAACATGGGCTCAGGGAAGCCTATGCAATCGCGTATGGGTTAATTACTGTATACGTAGTCTAGATCTGGTGAAAGACGAAATAACATACCCTCAGGAATACCGATGTAGACGCCGACCTGATCATCCAAACTCTCGTTCAAAAGCTTCCCCCGCGGTCCAACGCAGGCCACGAAGGAGCCGCGATGGGAGTTTTTCCATTCGTCGCTCTCATAATCCGGGTAAGGATAGTATATTCTGGGGGTGTCGGTTCCCTCCTTACCCTTAAAGCGAGGATCAAGGAGGATGTGAGGATTGTCGAAATCCGGAGGGGGGTGTAACCGAGCTAGCGTCGACTTGAATTTCCTGAACTGACTGTAGAAAGGGATGATTGAGCGGTTAGCGAGGATGAATTTGGAGTAGATTGAGTTGAGGGGGAAATGCCGACCGACCTTGAATACTGTTGTCTTTCATCAAGATACCTCTGCTGCGGTGACTTCAAGGTCTGTTTCAAACACGTCAGTAACAATCCCAAGCCGACAGGAGAAACAGGAGAAACAGGAGAAAGAAAAAAGAAACTCACCCGTCGCCCATGGAAATGCAGGTGCGGATCCAAGGAGAACGCGAGGGCGAACAGGGCGAACAGGATCAGGGAGAAGAGAAGAGGGCGCATGCATTTCCGCGATGACATGGCGTGCAGGATGGGACGAAGAAAGAGTGGCATTTGGGAGCAGAGATGAGGATTTATTAAAGGGATTCCATAGCCGGAGGATGAAAACAGGGCGAGGCAAACCTTCTGCGAGAAGCCATGGAAAGGTCAGAAACGCAGGGAGCGGTCCCAACCTGGCAAATTGTGACGGCAAACCTCCCGCCAGCACGCAAAGAAAGCTTGATCGCCGCCACCACGCCGTCTGATTGCTTGGATGCCTCGCTGAGCTGCTGCTATTGTGAGACACAATTGTCTACGAGCTTCTGGCTGGGTGAGACCAGTCAGCCAAGCATCCCGGCCACGCAACCTCGACCCCTTTTACGAGCCTCGACCCGATGGCTCATTATTATTGCTATAATATACCAAGACCAGGAATGCTTAATATTCGTTCCAATAATCATAAAATTAGACCCGTGGCACCCCTGGATCAATAGCCAATTTCTAACCTTATCTCCGTATTTGTCGCCTTTCCTTCGGGATCCATGGATAAATGTCCCCTTGCGCCGTCCGCACTGATTACGCAAACCGATAATGCCTGCTTCTCCCGGGATTTCTACTACTGGAACACATACACCATACCAGCCCGGTCCACGCTGATGGTCATCCCGTATGGAACTCTCAAGACCGCCACGTCCTGGATCGCGTCCAAATGGTTTTTCAGCAGCTGTTGCTGCTGAAGACTGATCACCGTGCTCCGTGGCGGCCTCCCCATCATTCCCTTCTTGCTGCTCTTCCCCGCAGGCCCGCTAGTTGCGGTCGGCACCGGGAGCTGCTCAGTAGTCACCGTGAGCGCTGGACTCGGCTGTGTCACTTCATACCGCGGTTTACCTGTCATGCCGTTGTCAGAGACCGCCCCCGTTCCACTCACAATCGTAGATTGCTCCGGTCGCGCCAAATCCCAGAACCGGATCGTTTGGTCGCACCCAGCTGAGATGATAAACCCGCATTTCGAAATATCCTTGCCCTCCTCTGGTGCATCGAAGCCAACGGCGAATGCACAAGTCCCCAGCCGATCTCCCGTCGCGGCGCCCGTGGCTGGTGCTACCCCCCCGGTACCTGTGCCGTTAGGCTCGATACCCCCTGGACTGGTCGTCGCAAACCGGCTCAACATGCCTTCGGGTCGGTCGCCGTCAACGCGCCAGGCCATGTAATCCAATGGACTTGTGCCACGACGGCCTCCGTTAGCCGCCGCACTGTTGTTGACAGCATTAGTACTGTTGGGAGATGCAGCCCGGTACACCTCCCGACACTGGACCTTCTCGATGTCCCAGACAGTAATCTCATTGCCATGACTGCCACTGCCTCCCACACATACCCAGCGTCCACGCCCCTTGGTGGGATGCACCTGTAACCTATGAATCACACCCAGCCCAGGTAGGCCCCAGGCTTTCAACCGCACACGGAACCGAAGATCCCAGAGGTCGAGAATCCCGTGGGTAGTACCGAGCACCAGCCAGTTGTGTTTCCTATCACAACAGAAAGTGGTCGGTGTACCATGATGCACTGGATTCTGCAAACTGTACACCGGAAGCATGGTTTTCATGTCTAAGGCAAGAATGCGACAGGTATTGGTTGCGATGAGAAGGGTCGACTGCGCATCCGACCGGAAATGTTCCATCCAAACCGCATACTCAGCCGAACCATCGTCAGCCACGGGGAGCTGATAGTCCCTAACGAGCTGAAGCTTACCGTATCGGATACTGTCATTATTGTTATGATAGTCCACCTTGACGGCATGAATGCTTCCGTCGGTAGCCCCGCTGACGAAGGTGTATGTGTTTTCGACAAAGGTCAGACTGTTCACCTTGGACCCGGCCGCATGCTTATGGGTCTGTCGAGATCTAGGGGTCAGATTCTTCTCAAGACGCGTTAAATCCCAGATTTTAACAGTGCCGTCGTCCGAAGCAGTCACAAAGAAAGAGTGGTCTGGTGCCACTACTACCCGGTTCACTGGCCCACTATGTTCTCCGAACATAGCAACAAGATTTCCTTCTGGTTTCCAGATCTTGTTTGGGTCATAGCCACTCGCTCTTCTAATCGGCCGTCGTGCGTCCACCTCCCTGACGAAAGGACCCAAGTCAAAAAGGTCTGTTGGGTAGTTCTCAGCGAAGACAGAGTCCAGCAATCTCAGTACTACAGGATCGTTCCCACCATACGAATGACTAGCACGGAACTGGCGTGTGCCAGGTTCCGGCGTTCCCCTTCCACGGCCGGGCGATGGATCAGGTTGTTTGGATACTTCCCTCTGGGCCGGCACATCAACCTTGCCAAAAGCGTTTGCAGAACTCATGCTCGTCTCTGCGAAGGCTTTTGATGTTTCTTTGCGGTTCAAAAGACTTATCGCGCTTGACTTTTTTTGAATCCCCTCGGCAGAACTTCTCAAGGCAGGGCTCTCCGCTTCTGGTGCGGGAGACGCAAGTCCATTCGGAGTTGGACTCTGTCTCCTGCTGGAATCTCTCCCCTCGACATCTGAACCGGAAGGCGACAAAGGGCTCGAGCCAGCGGGGGCACCTGGAGATGAAGGCACTGGCGACAATGCTGGAGAGTGCTCCGTCCTGATACCCTCGAGAGTGTTTAGTCGCGGGCTTGTGGTAGCAGCGCCTCTTTCCTTTTGCAGCTTAGTCAGTGACCTGGAAGATTTGGGACGAGCACTCGACCCGCTGTCGATTGTGGTCGACGCATCAAGAAGCGCATCTGCGATGGTGTGAGTCTTGTGCTCCCCAGTTTTACTGGTGTCAATTTGCTTCCCCAATGACGACCTTCGTGGTTTGACACTCTGGATTTTATCAAAGAATACGGTCTGCGGAGTGACACCGTACTGGGTCAAGGGAATTATGTTACTTAGAGGGGAGGCAGCTCCGACCTCTAAGTCTTTTGCATGTCGCCTGGATACTCTCCAAATATATTCCTTGAGTGCGAGAAGCTTGAACTCATCCTCTACACGCATTCCCAAACTTCTCAACCGAGAAAGCCATTGCTCATCTTCGTCATTCTTGGGGTGGGAGAGCAACGAACCACTCGAATTCCTTTGCTTTCCCTTGTGCAAATAGCTGGATGCGCTGCTTAGAGTGAAAGTGCCATCGCGACTCGGTGACTTCCAGAAAATCCCCTTCTCGGTCTTTGAAGCCCAGAGTAACGCCATTTCATAGACGCTTCTCGTGAGTGGTCGTTTAACTGCGTCGAGAATTTCGCTCTCGGAGAAGCCAAGAATATTGATCTTGAGGAACGGCCGAACCATGGGAGTGAGGATGGTGTACTTGTCTGCGACCGACAGAAACTTCGCTGAATTCACAATAAAATGCGCTGCCGACTCACGAATCCAGATGTTTGGATGGATTAGAAAACGCACAGTGATTTGCAGTAGATCCCATGTCGTAGATCGTTGAAAAAGCCCAAGGTCAGCCATAGCAGCAAGCGAACGAAGAACTCTCTCCACTACAAACTCTTCTGGCTCTGTCATCGACTGGATCATTAAAGGCAGAAGATACTGCTCCAGGCTGGTGCTCCCTACATAAGTGGCGACGCCAACGGCTGCTTCAAAGAAAGCACATTTCAAAATCCAATCTCTGTCATTCAGATATGTGTTCAGATGGCTAAGGATGACTTCGTTGGTCTTGAGGTTGCCAAAGAACACGCAAAGACTGGGAACAGACCCTAAAAATGCACGTCGAACAGACGGGTCACTGTCTGTCAAGAGGGATTTGGTGTGAACCTCGAAATAATCCAGAAGATCAACTTTCGCAACATCATACAGATTGTGGTAAGTGGCATCCTCTGTCCACCTTGGCTCAGTGCCAGCCGAGATTAGAGAAGTAAGACGCGTATCAGACCGTAGTGCCTGGATCATGTCCAAAAATCTGAGGGAGGATTGTGCTAACGACGCTATGCATGATGCGTATGCAGCACGGACAATCGGGCTTGGGCTTGACGTCGAGCTTGGGACGAAAGGCTGCAGACGTGGAAATATGTATTCCGAGAAGAGATAAGCGTTGACCGGTGAAACAGCCTCAACCATTTCCAGTAGTTGTGCAAGTGTTCGTATTGCAGCCACCTTTACAGTGTCCGCCCGATCATTGAGTAGAATCATGACGTATGGAAGAATTCTATCCAGCTTCGCCTCGTCGGACAACCTCTCGGCAAATGCAAGCAGAATATCGCAAGCTTTGACCCGCGCCGAAGCCTTTGCAGTGTTGCGCAAGTTAGATACAACCAACGTCAAGAAGATCAACACACCATCATCGGCAGGGGATTGCGATCGCGAAACCTGGTGTCCGCAGTTGGGTAAATCAAGTTGAACAGGAAGAGTGCTCCCGGTGAGCCGAGGAGATGTGACGCTTGAGCCGTCTCTTGCAGTTGTGGGAATTGCTCCCAAGAAGTAAGATATCTTGTCAAAGTCAAAATAGGCACGCTCTATCCTGTCGTCAGACTCTCCCCTATTCGCCGACTCGGCTTCAACGCATTCTCTTCCAGATGATGGGTCAGTCATGAGAGACATATACTGATGGAGAAAGCTATAAAAATAGTCCGGAAAGGCTTTGTTCTTCCAGAAATTCAAGTATTCCTCAGCCGAGTACCTCGACTCCGGGTCAAGCTGGATCATATGAAGAATCAGCTCCCGAATGTCCGAGTCCTCGATCTTAGCCAGTTGACTATGTTCTGGACTGTATTCACCCTTCCGATATTTATACATCTGGCTGAGGGTGAATATCGGCGATTCGAGAAACAGCTCTGCAATAACACAGCCAGCACTGAAGACATCCATGGCCCAATTGACCTGCCTATCACCTGGATCTTCACCAGCAACAAGAAACCTCTCCGGTGCTAAATAGCAAGTCCGCCTGCCAGACGTATCAAAGTAGAAAGAGAAGTCGGCCGGGTTATCTTCGGGAAGAAACGTGGGCTTGAAGGATGATGAAAAATCGGAAAGAAAAAGCCAGTTCCACGATGTGACCAAAACGTTTTCGGTCTTTATATCACCGTGAAAAATATCTACAGCATGACAATCCCGCAGGGCACATAAAAGCTGGAAAGCTATCCATTTCTTTTCGATGTCCTCTAGGAAGGGACGAGTACTGCCTCCTATTAGAATAAGCCGGCATAAATTGGGTGATACAAAGCGCAAACCTCATGCGGTCATAGAGAGAGCTGTGGATATACTGGCGGACAAGATAGCCACTGGTGCTGGTTTCCAGAATCCGCTGATAGCCCAACGCATTTGGAATATCCGCGAGCAATTTGCGCTCCCCTGAATTCGTATATCAGAATAAAAGTTAAGCTATGATATACCAGGCACCTCGAGACGGAACCTACGGATGATTGCTTTGACGTATGGCTCAAGCTGCATGCTTGGATAGGGCTTCATGATCAGTTTCACGAAAACCAGGCCATTGTGTTGCCTTGCTCGTATGCTTTTCATAAACCTCCCACCACCCATCGACCTTTCATACACCAAATCCGACAGTTCTGGGACATCGATCCCAGCCGACCCTGCTGAAAGGGTTGTAAGGGAGTAGCCTTGTCCCATGGTGCCGAGGCCACCTCATCTCACAGATTTCAGGAAGGATGGGCGTGTTCCCGAGGCAGACTCGCATACAAGCATATAGATCATGCGAAACAGTATGGCTTGGCTGGGCCGACAGCCAAATATTATCGTCGACGGTCACAGCTGTTGGAAAGGAAAGCAATGGAGCTGCAGCATTGCGTCCGACATAATCGAGGCACGTGGACAGATTTGTCACATGATCCAGAGCGGTGAGCTAAGCTTTACTGAACTAACCCGATGAGGCCAATCATACGTCGGACCTAGGTCTGCTGTACAGCGTTGAAAGTCCACACATTATTATTATCATGGCTGAATTCAAGAATACATGTCGACGTCGACAGAGTGCGACGTGTTTCCGTTTGCTATCTATCTACTATCAAATGTGGATTGGGATATTCCCCTGGTGTTCATCGAGTCAACGTTACCAAAGCGGCATTCTTCCTTGTTTTGTCTAAGCACGGCCCATCACCGTTGCGACGGACAGTAATCATAATAATAACCTACTAATGCAAGTCTTCTCCAATCGAAAGATTATTAACTAGTTGTTCCAAGTAGCTAAGCTGAGCGCATATAATTGCTTAATGCTCGATCGCCTGTCGTGGTTTTGACACCTGCTTCGATTCCTTCGTCAATTTCTTTCCCTCACGCGAGTCCCAGGCTCTTAGCATGGCTTATGCAAACTTAACATCCTCTATTTCTTCGTTGTTGCACGAAAATGATACTCCCGAGGTCCCCATCATCGATGACGGCGAGCCTCTGGTAGATGTGGTTCGGAAACTGACCAAGTAATTCCTTGCCAACTCGACCTTGATCTCTGTTCAACGGATGTTTCTGACAGTCGGGATCTTTCATCGGGAGCAGTTATTTCATCCAATCGATTCCTGATGCGTCTTACACCTTTGAGGAAATGCGATCTGCTCCCATAACACCGTATCTGAGACCGCTCATAGCGTCTCTCGCCGAGAATTCTCATCATACGATGATCATTTCCGCATTGATGTGAGCTGCTTCTCGCTGACGTCGGTCTGAAATGCTTGCCGAGCAGATTTCCTGAGTAATGTCTTGTTAATAGGATCGCGAAATGGGAGTTTGGAAATGTAGTCGACGGTGATGTGGGTGTAAACGAAACCCGAGGATATGCCTGCGAATACGTTGCCTGGCAGTTCCTATGCCATCTTACGAAACGTGAGTCCATTGACTTTCTCCTTCAAGAGCTGCCCGTTCCCAAGAGGAACTCTGTTACTTTAAGCGAAGCGGAGAGGGGCTCGTCTGCATTCCCGTCTCCGGGTTTTTTTGGCGACCAGATAGTTGATGAAAGGGGACCACTGTTATGGAGCTCATCATCCTCTCTTTATCGTCTTCTCGGTGGCAGAGGTAGTGGAAACGGATATACCCAAGAAACGCAAGTTAAGGATGAGGACACTGGTGCGAACAATCATCTCTCTTTTTTCTTCGGGTTAAATGCACTCGAAATCGCAACGATCGCACATGCCAAGAAGTTTCTCGCCCAGAGAGTTGTCCAGAGGGTGATAGATGATATCTGGAATGGGGAGATTATCTTCTGGGATTCACTTAGTGTATATTCTAGGAAGAAACCCCGGTTTTTCAACAGAAAGTAAGTTGCAATGGAGCCACCTTTGCATCTGAAGGGAACTGATCAATGGTTCTTTTTGTTTTATTATTATAGAACGGCGGATCCATACTCACGCCTCAGAGTCCCCGCATATCGCAAAGCTTTCGAAGCTGCCTTTTTTGTTTCCTTTCTGATATTATATTACGCAGTCTTGGTCGAGCGGAAGCCTACTGGAGTTGGCGTATTTGAGACCTTGATGTATATCTGGATTGCTGCATTTGCTTATGACGAGGTCAGCGGCATGAACGATGCTGGAATTGTTTTCTACCAGATGGATTTTTGGAGTTTATGGAATATGGCAATTATTGGCACTGGAGTCGCTTTTGTCGTCGCAAGTAAGCTGTCATCCCTGCTTTTCTGTCTCTTGGAGTAATTTGATCACTAAGGAGCATTGAGGAACCGTGGGGCTAGTCGAACAGAGCGAGTCCATTACAGATTTGTCTTTCGACATTCTTTCTCTGGAGGCGTTGTTCCTGGTACCAAGGCAAGTTCTTGAAGCGAGCAACATAGCCTCTGCTACTGGGGATTGACCACCTCTTGGTGAACAGGATCTGCTCACTTGTGAGCCTAAATTCTTACTTTGGAAGCTTGGTAGGTTGAGCAGGCTCATCTGAAGACTCGAGTATGCCTGCTGACCGAACTGCACGAATAGATACCTGTTCTGAAAGAAATGGTACTCCTTATAACCTCGTTTTCCTTGGGAACATGACGCGCAACGCTAACCGCCTTTCAGACGAAAGCCTTTTTCCGGTTCATGCCCGTGGTTATAGTATTGTATATCGGTAGGTCGACAGAGCCATCTTGCAGATCCGGACTAGGTCAGCAGTCATTGCTAACATTTGACTTCTTGCAGGGTTCCTCACAACTTTCACGATGCTCGCGCGTGACCGGCTATCATTAAGCCAGATGTCCTGGATTTTGGTGAAAGTCTTCTTTGGGTATGAAGCTGCCTGATTGATGGAATTTCTTTTGGTTGCTAACGACGCAAGGCAGATCAAGCACCCTGGGATTTGTGTGTTGGCCATGACCCTCGCGTAAAGACTTTTTTTTGCACGGCGATTATTGATAGCTAACGGTGGCTGAATCGGCTGGTAAACAGGACATCGCTCGCGAGGTACGTTCACGCCGCTGCCAGGCCGTTCTAGACTGCATTTCTGTGGATTTTCTCGGAATGGCTGGCCCTCATGTTTAGTTAAGAAAAGTACTAAATCTTCTAGATTTCACCGATCTTTGGCTACGGCTTGATGTGAGTTAAATCTTTCGTCCATTGCATCACAGGATACCCCTGTCAACACGCATTGCATACAGCTTTGGCCACGTTATCGTAGTCCACTACTTCGCCGCCCTGCTTGGCGCCTGCAAGAAGCTTGAAATGTCAATTTCATGTTGGACGCGATGCATCTGATAGCATATAGCGCCGTGGTTGCGACGGCGCGTAAGAGACAACGATGGCTAATGGACGTAACCTCTAGGTTGGCCTTTGTTTCCATGACGAACATGCTACTGATATCGTCGTTGGTCAGTCTTATGAGCATGAGTCTAGAAGGGGTAAGGCTCTATTGGCGTATCTCAAGAGTCCAAGAAACTGACCGGTCTCCTTTACCTCAGGTCATGTCTCATGCCCGCGAGGAGTATCTCTTCCAGTGAGTGTGTGGTATGACCACGATACAGAAGTGCCAGCGGCTAATCATTTGCAATCATAGACTATCCATCTACGTTCTAGAAAGCAGTAACTCCCGGAAACTGACATATTTCCTGCCACCATTGGTTAGTTAGCACTGCCTCCCAGAAACTAGAGCGTGGTAGTTGCAGGGTTTGGAATTATCGCTAACGGTAGGCTGAATGACGGCTTCGGAATCGCTATACAGAACTTGATTCCGCTTCTATGCATCCGTCCCATGCGGCTGTTCCTGTCTGCAGAATCTGTCAGACGCGTGCGTATTGTCTTGCTGAGAGCAACCCATCTCCCCTTTGTTACCTTAATCTGGGCCTATGAATCTAGCCGCTGCCGTGGATCGCGGCGAAGTTCAGCTTCTCCCCTAATGACAATACAAAGCAACAGCCGGTCGTCCTCGAGCAGTTCTGGGCTTGGTATGCGATACTACCAGGCCACGGCCGAAGGACCAAGCCAGGGGCGAACAAGGCTAACCAACGCGGGCCAAACTTCCGACTCGCGTGGGTCTGGCTTCGAGCACGGCCGTCCAGAAATGATCGACGAGGTAGAACGGCTACGGGCCCAAGTGGAACGGTTGGCAGCTGCAATGGCCATTCATAGACGCCGGGCATGATCGGCGCGAAAAAATTCAGTGGTGGAGACGTGCGCCCCTGATTGACAGACCGGATCGGTTAACGAGTTAAGTTCGAACCCTTTTTTATTATTAGGCATCATGATGAATTGAGGGCGAGATCGATGGAGGATTATTACTCAGTTTGTCGCTGCCATTGTTCTCCGGTTAATCCGGGGCAACTGACAGTTGAGATTATTGAAGCCGAATCACACAAGACCCAAAAAACAATAACCTGGTGGATACAGCCAGCAATAAAAATCCCAACCCCTGTGTTGTTGGCTACACGTTCCCTTTCTTCAGCAGAAGTGGCTGTGTCTTTTGCTTCTGCTCAAGTAAGACGTAAACACGCTGCTCTACCCTAAGCATCGGGTTGGATTAAGAGGCACCGCACTGCTTTACAGCCTGTGCTGCCTTGGGACAGCTGCCCCGGACACTACCACAGATTATACTCCGGATTTCCTATGATATCCACTCAAATGATCCTCTCTTTCATTATTTAAATTATCCAGCGCTACACTGGCCTGGATGTGGCCCACCATTCTCTCCCCGGCGCTAAGCAACGGCATTCCCCCTATCACTGTGACCATTAGCTGCAACCTCAAGTTCATTGCCTCTCTTCCCCACTGCAACTTGACCTGCTGGTCCTGTCGAGTCAGCCCTGGTTAGTCCCCGGCGTCAACCATGTTAGCCTGCAGCTATTGTGCTTTGCAGCTTGTTCAATACACGGGCGCGTCGGGGGCTCCCCCTTCAATTGCCAGTATGATCCGACGGAAATTACCCTCATTCATGGAACCGTTCTGTCGGTATCGTGGTCGAACTCAAATCGTCCTTCGGTGTCGGACGGGATCAGGTCGTCGGTTCTCTCGCATGGTATAAATGCCCCGGCGTGCTGAGCCTTCGGTGGCTCTTTTCCTCCACATTTTCCTTGCTTGACCAGGTTCTTATCATTCCACCCTCGACACGCCCGTCTTTTTTATGCTCTCGTTGCCGGTTCTGCAGAGACCATGGACCAGACATTCAGACCTTCTCCGTCTCCGTCCTCCGGGGTCCTACCATTCCACGGCGACAACACGATGCCCGAAGCTGCTGCTCATTGTGCCCTTGTGATCTCAGAACCATATCAGAATCTAGACTCCAGCCGAACGGAAACCGGTCTTGGGATCTCACAATGCGACGCGGAGATTCTGTTCGACCAGCTGAAACCCTGCTCAGCGCCAGAGGCTTGCCTGTTTCATGTGCCGGGTTGGTCAACACACTCCTTACCAACCGAACCATTCTGCGGGACAGCAATGAGCGTCCGGGAGGCCTCGCCTGTGTCGTTCTATGAACCATGCGGTCTCACCCCGGACATGAGTAACTCACCGCTCAGTTATTGCACTGCCCAGACGCTAGGTCCATCGCCGATTTACGAACCAGGATTCGATCTGAGCGGAAGCTATGATCAATTGCGCGAGCCGCTTTTGGACACCTGGACGAAACTCCCTCAAACAGAAGCAACCGTCCCATTCGAAGAGGATTTCGATGATAGTCAGTACCCGATGTCCTTTCCGGCTGCCCACGATGCCTCGATATCCATGCTACCGCAACTACAGTCGCTTGCTGCCGATGACCCGTTCATGCTATCTCCTCAACTACCAATCGAAGTCGCCAGTAGCCAAGCCCTGGAACCGGATGTAACCGTGATTCATATTCCTGACCGAACCCGACGAGCTACTGCCCACAAGTACCCGACCGGCTCAATGTTACAAACAGGAAACAAGAATGTCGAAGGAAGCAAGGGCGGCGTTGGTAGCACAAAAATACCTAGACGCAAAAGATCGTCAACAGGGAACGACCTACGGTGTACTATCTGTGGCTTTCAGTTTACCAGACGTTCCAACTGTCGGGAACACATGAAGAAACATAATCCCAGCCATAAGAGAACACACTCATGCTGTTTCTGCGGAAGGCTCTTTGAGAGGCGGACGGATCTGAGAAGGCATATGGATAGTGTTAGTTACACCCTTGGTCCCTACCCGTTTTAATCAAGCCGCAAGCTCACATAGAGCCCCATAGATTCACTCCAAAACCCGAAATTATAGCTGTGACCAGTGTGATCAGCGTTTCAGTCGGCAAGATACTCTCACACGGTAAGTTGAATCAGCGCCGTTTCTGTCTTTTTTTTTTTTGGGGGGTGTTGTACCTGGCTAATGGATCTGTTTTCTTGCAATCTAGACACCTGACGGATGGTTGTCGACGGATATACCGTCGTACAGCTAATATGACTGAGTCGTAGTCAGCCCCGATCTCATTTTCTGTCCATACTGTTTCCGCTGCGGTCTGAGACACCTACATGGTTTTGATTTTCATTGGATGCCATCATCTAGTCCTACAACGTGTTGGATTTTTTATCATGGTTGCTATTTCATGAAGATTGCCGATGCTTATATTGCTTTTGCTTTTGCATTTCCCTTTGTGTTTTGCTTTCTCTGGATGCGCAAGCGGTCACTATAGAGGTGTTCTCCGAGGCATGGGATGTTATACTGGTCTTTTTATTATATTGGGTTGTTCTTTCTCATTTTCATGGCAATTGCTTCCTTTTGTAAGGGGAGTGACACAGGATAGATAGCACCGTCCTATATATTTCTTTATATATCCCCCTATATATACAGGAATTCCTAGAACCACATTGACTTTCCCCTTCTGGATGCCTGTGCTTTCATGAGGATACTCAGGGAAGTGCTCAGTGAGTATTTTGCACCATAGGTGAGCACTCACCTGGGCACTCATGGCTACTCTGATGAGAACATAGTATCCCCAGAGATGGAATAAATATGTTCTGACGGGATCAGATTCTGACAACTCCTTGATCCTCCAAATCTGAGATGGAGAGCTTTGGAAGCATGTCAAGCATCAAGAGCTTCACGATAGATGTACTAGAGACGGCAATATATCGAATACAGAAATTTTCGCCACGAATCCTACGAGTCCTATGGTTCCCTTTTGGTAGTTGATATCCGGACGCCGCACCCCTGATCTACTTCATACTCAGCGAGCATTCATGTGGTTCCCCTTCGGCTGCTCACCCCTCTATTTTGTTCAGGTAGTTCAATAATGATGCCTGGTTAACCATTTCCAAATTACCCATGACACAAGCAGAAACCGGCTGCATATTGAATGACCCTCGAGTGGCAAATTCTCCAGAGCAAGAATCCACACCTATAGACTTGGTATCACCTTAGGTATGGTGGAGTAGGTCCAGCACCGTGACAGTACGCCCCTTCTATGCTGAGCTCCGTCGAGGCAGGGGGCCAGGTTTGTGTGGGTAGCGCCGATGAAAATTGGCGACTATTTCTTGCGAATTTCACAGGTATTCAGCAGGTTTTTCAGTGGGCATATCATATCCAGTCCACTTCACAGTGTATCACAGGCGTGGACTTCCTTGACTATGGTGTTCCCAACAGGAATTCAGGATCTCTTCCACAACCCATTATTCCAGTTCATCTACTTCAACAGGCGCGGCCAGTAGTATTCCCAAGTTAGAAATTCATAGGTCTTTGAACGGCCAGGGTGTCCAGCAGCGGGCTTGTCATGTGTATATTGGAGTAGTGTTGCTCATAGGTTGTCATTATCAGGGATGCACAGGTGGTTCTCATAGTACAGGTACTGGCTTCGGCGCTGGCAGTCAGCCAGGGTAATAGCTGGATGCCATGGGGCCTTCTCATCCACGCCCTTCAGGATTAACTGCACCACAGGATCAGTAGTATAGGTAGGTCCTATCAGATCCTTGATTTCACCTGGTAGGTCAGTGAGTTCAGCAGGCTGCGCTGCCTTCCAATTGCGGTGGGTCTTCTTTCAGGCGTGCTTGGAGGTGAAGGCTTTCTTAAGGGCTTCAAAGCTAGGCTGGCAGGTAGTGGTCCAAGCAAATTGGGGGCTCCCATATATATAGCCGCTATACTTCCCCTGATAGATAAGCATTGTCACGGAACTCAACTAGACGATGAATAGGATGCTATTCAGCTATCTAGGCAGCTATCGACGAGAACTTCAAGCATGGAGAGGAGGGAAAAAGGAAGAGATCTACGTGAAGCTGGACGACGTATTCCTATCCACGCACCACGCTAATCCAAATAAGGAAACTCACGTGCTCGTCCTGGTCTACATGGCAAGGGCCCTGACAAGCATATCCTCCAACAGTAGACCATGAGTGCTCACCTGTGATGCAAAATACTCACTGAGCACTTCCCTGAGTGTCCTCATGAAAGCACACGCATCCAGAAGGGGAAAGTCAATGTGGTTCTAGGAATTCCTGTATATATAGGGGGATATATATCATTGTTCTTTGGTGAAATACCCCATTATGGGAGGGTTGTCATTCTGTCCAGTTTTTAAACATAATTTTACTAACAAATAAGAGTCATTTAACTTGACATAATCTATCCTCTGGATTATCTGGCAATTGTTTCCTCTTGTTCTTTTTCTACTTCGCTACTTTGTGCAGCGTTAGAAAGCATATAGATCACCGTTGCCTCAGGCATTAGTTAAACCGCCATCTTCTTAAAAGAATACAGCACGTGACTTATTGTTTATTATTGGCTGATAAGGACAACTCAACTGCCAGTTCTGGCCGCCGCGCCAAGCAGGTGTAACAAAAACAATTGTAATTATTAAGGCAGCCCCCCTGCAACTGCAGGGCTCTTTTCTTCTCTTGATTGAACCTCCTGAACGGTGTGCACCTGCGATTCCATTCACAATGAGCGCCACGACCACAATTTCCACCACTGGCACTATCACAGCGGACAATGTCTCGACACTCTTCCCCGATGTCAATCCTTCTCTAGCCCTCTCGGTTCTGCCCACTAACGGGCACGCCTCAGCGCGGGGCGCCGCCGAACTCGACGGGTACGATGAGGAACAGGTTCGTCTGATGGACGAGGTGTGTATTGTTTTGGATGAGAATGACAGACCCATTGGAAGTGCCAGTAAAAAGACCTGTGAGGAGTCCCTGCGCTCTTTGTCCTCATTACAAATTGAAACCCCTCCTTTTGGAATATTATTCAACAATGCTAATACATACTTCAATTTAACAGGCCATTTGATGACCAATATTGACAAAGGCCTTCTTCACCGCGCATTCTCCGTTTTCCTCTTTGACTCCAAGAAGCGTCTCCTGCTCCAGCAACGCGCGACAGAGAAAATCACTTTCCCCGACATGTGGACGAATACTTGCTGCTCCCATCCATTGGGTATTCCCGGTGAGACTGGGGCGGAACTGGATGCGGCCATTCTGGGTGTGAAGCGTGCTGCACAGAGGAAGCTGAATCACGAGCTTGGAATCAAGCCAGAACAGGTGCCGCTGGACAAGTTTGAGTTCTTGACCAGGATCCATTACAAGGCACCTAGCGACGGGAAATGGGGAGAACACGAGAGTATGTTCTTCTTCCAACTTTCTACCCCCTATCTCAATTGAAACCAGAGCATACGATTAACCAGCTTCTATAGTCGATTACATCCTCTTTATCCAGTCGGATGTCGATGTTGATGTTAATCTGAACGAAGTTCGAGACACGCGATACGTCACTGCAGACGAGTTGAAGCAAATGTTCGAGCAACCCGATCTGAAGTTTACTCCGTGGTTCAAGCTCATCTGCCACTCAATGCTATTTGAGTGGTGGAGCCACCTTGGCACAGCGACATTGGGCAAATATAAAGGAGAGAAAGAAATCCGTCGGATGTGATGGGCGTTGTTATGCTAGATGACTGGTTATGTCGCCTATTTCTCTAATAGTACATACTAACCCATGGAGTTGATCTGATACCTGATGACTATGTGTATTTAATTAATGTGCGAATATAGTATATGGACATATCCGCCTAAGCTATATACAATTATTAAAAGACAGTTCATATATATATATATATGCCGATAGCCCATCCGCTAACGAACACCAGCATCGACGACGATGAACAGAATGCAACTGGCCAAGATCACTATGGCCAGAATAACAACCACCGCTTGCGTCTTCCACCCACTCTGCACCAAAGCAGCCTTATGACTATACTTTCTCACTGTATAGACATAATTACCAAAACCATTGGCCAGACATATCAAACTGAGAACCCAGAAGATCAAACCCAACGGAAGCGCCATCCGTCGCTCCAGCAGGGTGGGCTCACCGCGAAAATGGAACGAGATTATGATAGCGACAGACACAACGGAGAGGTACATGGAAAGACGGACCCAAGAAAGAAAGGTGCGTTCATTGGCGCAGTGATCGCGGGCGTCTGAAGCGGTATTCTCGAAGAGAAGGGCCCCGAGGAGCGGCGATTGGAAAAAGAGATGTTCTTGTCTGTAGTTATTCATTTTTGTTGAAGCTCTTAGTTAGCAGTGATCATCCGATGTTAGAGGAATATATTAAATGCGCAAGGAATCCGATTCGATAATCATACCCATCAACCCAGACTGGCTTGGTATGGAAAGGATTTATCACAGGATTGTATCGACGCGAACTCGACTCATCATGGTCTTCTGCCATGGCCTTTATCTGGGAGCGCTGATTCTGTGGTCACTGGTAGTTCCTGGGACAGGTACCGGAGGTAATATATGCCGGAAGTGATTCCCGCGGTTGAGTTCGATTAGACATCAATGCAGTGATGCTTGATTCGGACGTGCGCGAAGCGCATTGAACTTGCATTGAACTTTGCGGGAGGGACATGCATGAGATCGGCTGCACGGGCCACACGTGATAGAGCAGACAGGTGATGTCATGATGGTTCTCATTCCTTAGAGGACGTATTCCATTTCCACCACTCTAGTCTCCGTTAATCAATTGTAATCTGCCTTCATCTTGCGATGCTGCCCTGTGGATGATGATATCCTGGCTGTCCATGGGAGAGATGGAGTACTGCGAGACTCGTGACCCAAAGTCACGTGAAAACTACAGAACATGTCTTCGCATGGACCTTCCATATCGAGCAGAAATCCGCTTTATCGTAAGATAACGGAAGATAATTACATACAGTACGTTACATACTTCCATACATGCAGCTGCTCCAACACGAATAGATAAGTAAGTCATAATAATTGCCATCTCTTCGCAGATTCTTTTCTTCCCGCTTCCTTCTCTTTGCTCCTTCACCACTCTACCCCTATCTCTCCGAAGTCTTCAGTTCCCGTTAATCATCATAGAGTGCCAGCCACCATGGCCCGAAACGGTGCTCGCTCCCTCAATGCCTTAGACCAAGGCTCTTTCAGTCGATCTTTCAATTCTGGCTCTCCCCTTGCAGAAGCTGCGATTGCTCGAGATCTTGCCGATTACACTGACGACGAAGCCTCGGGGATATCTTCTGTCGAGGAAGATGGGTCTGACTCCACAGTGCGTCCTGTCAACAGCCATTCGCTGGCTGGTTCCTATCGCCGGCCCAGTTTCTTTACCACCGTATCGCACTCCACTGTCGTACCGCGCCAGATAGATCAGGAGAGATTATTCCAGCGCGAGCGTGAGGAGGCCATTGAACAAGAAAGGGACCTTCTTAGCGATAATCATGTCCTCTCGCCAGAGCGCGGGCGTAGCCGACGGAGCAGTTTGAAACCCAAAATCGGCGGTATCTTCTCGCGCAGGTCGTCCTTGGCTGGTTCTGGGACTGCAAATGTCGCATCGTTGCCAACGGAAACCACATCGTTGCTGGAGCAGCCTCCCGGTGGTGACAATGGCATATCAAAAACTCCAGATGCTGAAGAGATCGACCGCAAATGGGAGGAGGCTGTAACGGCGGGGCTAATCCATACGACCTGGCGACGCGAAACACAGGTCATAGCGAAATACTCCGCTCCTTTAATGCTGACGTTTCTGCTCCAGTACTCACTGACTGTTGCGAGTATTTTCACACTGGGCCATCTGGGGAAGGAGGAACTTGGCGCAGTTAGTCTTGCTAGTATGACGGCCAACATCACTGGCTACGCCGTTTACCAGGGCTTGGCCACCAGTTTGGATACACTATGTGCTCAAGCGTATGGGTCTGGGAAGAAGAAATTGGTCGGGTTGCAAATGCAGAGAATGGTCTTCTTTCTATGGGTTATCACCATTCCGATTGGCTTGATTTGGATATTTGCAGAAGAGATTTTGGTTAAAATTGTACCAGAAAGAGAAGTGGCCAGGATGGCTGGTCAGTATTTGAAGATTGTTGTTCTGGGTACTCCAGGATATGCTCTTTTTGAGAGTGGTAAGCGATATGTTCAGGCACAGGGATTATTCTCAGCCTCTCTTTACGTGCTTATAGTCTGTGCGCCACTGAATGCCTTCATGAACTGGCTCTTTGTTTGGGTGAGTTCTTTCCATCTCAACCCTCGCATTTGCATACACGGAAGTCACATTCTAGCTGGAAACTGTGCTGACCACTACACAGAAATTCAACTGGGGCTTCGTTGGTGCCCCCATTGCGGTCGCCATCACAGATAACCTTCTGCCACTATGCCTCTTCCTGTATGTCTATTTTGTTGCGGGCGGCGAGTGTTGGAATGGGTTCACTACCAGAGCCCTGCAAAACTGGTGGCCCATGGTCCGCCTCGCACTTCCCGGCCTGGTCATGGTTGAAGCAGAATGCCTCGCCTTCGAGGTTCTGACATTGGCGTCCTCTTATCTCGGCACTAGCCCTCTCGCCGCGCAGTCTGTTGTTTCTACTATTTCCAGTTTGGCCTTCCAGTTTCCATTCCCTCTCTCCATTGCCGGAAGCACACGTATCGCAAATCTTATCGGCGCTACTCTCGTCGACGCAGCCAAGACCTCAGCAAAAGTGAATATGATCTGCGCCGTTGTTGTAGGGTTGTTTAACATGCTTCTCCTCTCCACTCTCCGTTGGTACATCCCTCGCCTCTTCAGTTCTGATCCGGAGGTTATTGATTTGGTTGCGGAGGTGTTGCCTCTGTGCGCTGCCTTCCAGCTCTTTGACGCCCTCGCTTGCAATTGCAACGGTATTCTCCGCGGTCTCGGCCGTCAGGAGATTGGCGGCTACGTCCAACTGTTCAGTTACTATGTCGTCGCAATGCCTATCAGTATGGGAAGTGCATTCGCGCTGCACTGGGGTCTTCTTGGACTCTGGTCTGGTGTGGCGATCGCCCTCGCGCTGGTCGCTTTGATTGAGGGCGTTTTCCTGTGCCAAGTCGACTGGAATCGATCCGTCGAGGATGCTCTTCAGAGGAACGCCATGGCATGATCTTTAACCAGTGCTCAAAGATTATTTTTCCTCTTTATTTTTTCAGATTCAGATTCATATTCCGATGCCATTTACAGATGATTGCATATATTCTTATCTTTCGTCGAGCTTTTTGTGTGGAGCTTCTGTACAGGTGGTTTTTCAGACAGCATCGAGGAATATAGGAATGCGGCGCTGCATATATATTTGCCTAGAGGGAGATGAATGATGAACTGACGAATGTACGCAATATAACCCCATGCTTGTGCGCTGTCTTTAGATTAATCGCCCATAGTTTTTGGAAATACATGAACCAATAGGTAGTAAGGCCTTCTCCGTAGATATCGTTATCCGACACATTAAGAAATGAAATGTAGTGGCGACCGACATTATCATACATGATTTCACAAATGGACAAAGCAGGGCACAATCCGGGCACGTATTTCCCTTTTTATATTCCCCTCCCTAAAATCAAGCACGCATGGGTGACCGTGTCACCCTAGTACCCCAAAATAGCCCATGTCTCATCGTCTATAGTCGAAAAAATCAAAGACGCGTCATGTAACTCAAGGGTAGCTTGTGTTATCGCAGTCACTGGCAAGTTCAACTTTGCCGCCATCAATTGCACATGCAGCCCTTCGTTGCTCTGAGGTTCGCTTTTGAGAAGATTGAATACCCGCCTGGCATTGGGTGACATTGCAGATAGAACCTGACCAGCACTGTTGGCGCCGTAGTCGTCTGCACCAGCCATCGATGCGTCTCCCGCCTTGGTCGCCGCACCAGCCCCAGCGCCAGATGCCCCAGGCGGGCCTCTTGTAAAGAACAGATGAATGGCGGTGGCATGGAGAAAATGGCAGTTTAACTCGTTTATATCTGTCAATGGTCTCACACAATGTGCGCCGACATAGCGTTTGTTGCCGAACACCTTCAGTTTCCCGAATACTTTAACATAGCCGTTGAGCTCGATCTGAGGCTCCCCGCGAGACTTGCTGCTATCCTCTGTCACATCCATGGAGTCGATACCAGTAGAGTCAACCCAATGCTTCACTTCGATCTCACCTGTGCCGTCGTCGACCTTATACGTGATGTTTGTAGTCTGCGAGCTGATATTCCGTACTTGACCGACAAAGAAAATCGAAGCGACATCAGCGCCATCAATCTGGAAGTTGGCTTCGGGGTATGGTTGGGTTGCATCCAGGGCTTGTTTGACTGTGATGGGCCGGAGCGTGGAGTTGTTCACGTCGCCCTAGAGCTTTGGGTGTTAGTTTGCCATGGTACGGCATTTCCCTTCTCCTTTATCATTTTCTTGGAAACGTAATGGACGTGGAAAAGAATACCTTGCCAGCAGGGCTAGTCATCTCTCCTGGCATAAAGCCACCTCCCCCCGCTTGGCCTCCAAACGAGGTATTGCCATAATATGAACGATCTGTAGTAGAGCGAATATGATCAGTACAGAGTCTCTACAGCCATCCTACAGATAAAGAGAGCCTGTGAGAATATTTACCCATTATTTTATTTGGGCCTTTCGTAAAACCGAACGAGGCGAGAATATGAGCCAGAAGGATGATTGATATCAATCTTTCTATTTTACCGCTTCGGGACGTGTTGTCGAACGCGACGCGGATCATGTTTGCTCTATTTGAATAGTTTGCTCTGTTTGTTCAACTTGCTGTCCATACAGCTGGGATGCTGGCCATTTTGATATCTGTTTTCAAGGAGGAAAAAAAAAAAACGAAAAATATTTCGAGAATATAAAACCATTACTTTATATCTGCTTCAAATCTCATTCGGAATACGAATGCCATGTCCGCAGTGGGCTTTATCCTTCAGTGCAGCTAGTCTGGTCGAAATTTTGTCCTTCACCGCCTTTGGATATTTTCCATTGCTGAAAAAAACTTATCGGAAGAAGCTCAGAAGCAAGGGAATCGCGTCCCCTCAGATGATTTGAAAAGTGGCTGCTTCCTCGGAGAACCCTGTGGGCTATCAGACTCTATTTATTTAGCCTGGACTGCTTGTCATAGGAAACACAATCTATTTGACCCATGAGCCGCGAAGTTTGAGTTGCGATACCTAACGTCCGTTAGTCGAACGGCCTGTTTTTTTTTTTTTTTTTTTCAACCTCTTTAGTCGCCTGCACCTGAAAATACAATACGGAGGATGCCTCATCGTTCAGCATCTCCGGCAGCGTCGGAGAACGAATTTGACATTACGAATGCGTTGTTTCGAGATGATGATTCCGACTATGGACAGAATGCAACAGAGCGCAAACGACCACGGAAACCTACCGCGACGGAAAATCTGGATTTGCTAGGTGGAGAAGACAATGATGGCGATGGTGATGACAGCGACGAAGCTTTCATCGCCGCGCAGCAGATATCGGCTAATCGCAAGGCGTCGAACTTGAAAGGCCGCACTGTGAAGAAGGGTGGTGGTTTCCAAGCCATGGGGCTCAATGCCAACCTCCTCAAGGCTATCGCCCGGAAAGGATTTTCTGTACCAACGCCTATCCAACGCAAGACCATTCCCGTGATTCTGGATGATCAAGATGTCGTTGGTATGGCCCGGACGGGTTCCGGGAAGACTGCCGCCTTTGTGATCCCCATGATCGAGAAGTTGAAAAGCCACAGCACCAAGGTTGGAGCTCGAGCCTTGATTCTATCCCCATCACGAGAATTAGCCTTGCAGACACTCAAGGTCGTCAAGGAGCTGGGTAAGGGTACTGATTTAAAATCCGTCTTACTGGTTGGTGGAGATAGCCTGGAAGAACAGTTCGGAATGATGGCTGGCAACCCTGACATCGTCATCGCAACCCCCGGTCGCTTTTTGCATTTGAAAGTGGAAATGAACTTGGATCTTTATAGTATCCGCTACGTGGTGTTTGATGAAGCTGACAGGCTTTTCGAAATGGGTTTCGCCGCCCAATTGACTGAAATTCTGCATGGTCTTCCTCCTACACGGCAGACTCTATTATTCTCAGCTACGCTGCCCAAGTCACTAGTGGAATTTGCGCGCGCGGGTTTGCAGGAACCTACTCTCATTCGCTTGGATACGGAGAGCAAGGTATCCCCGGATTTACAGAATGCGTTCTTCTCCGTCAAGTCTGCGGACAAGGAAGGGGCTCTGCTGTACATCCTCAATGGAATCATTAAAATGCCCACCGGTCCTACGGAAGTGACCCAACGTCTCAACGAAGAAGCCGCAGACCCGAAGAACCCCAAGAAGCGGAAGCGATCTCAAATCGCCAAACCAAACAAGGAGTCGCCTACAAAACATTCCACGATTATCTTTACTGCCACGAAACATCATGTGGACTATCTCTACTCGCTATTACGTGAGGCTGGCTATGCTGTTTCGTATGCCTACGGATCCCTGGACCAAACTGCTCGAAGGATCCAAGTTCAAAATTTTCGCACCGGCATCTCAAACATTCTTGTTGTAACCGACGTTGCAGCCAGAGGTATTGATATCCCCGTGCTTGCCAATGTCATAAATTACGACTTCCCTTCGCAGCCAAAGATTTTTGTTCATCGAGTTGGTCGCACCGCCCGTGCGGGTCAGAAAGGTTGGAGTTACAGTCTTGTCCGTGATGCGGACGCTCCTTATCTTCTCGATCTTCAACTGTTCCTCGGAAGAAGACTCGTGCTTGGTCGCCAATTCGCTGACCAGGTCAATTATGCGGAAGATGTTGCTGTGGGAAGTCTACCCAGAGACGCCTTGTCACAAAGTTGTGAGTGGGTCACCAAGGTCTTGGACAACGACACCGATATCGCTGCACAGCGCACGGTTGCTGGCAGAGGAGAGAAACTGTACATGCGTACACGCAACTCAGCTTCTCTGGAGAGCGCAAAACGAGCGAAACAGGTCGTCTCCTGTGACGACTGGACAACCCTACATCCACTCTTCAATGACGAGTCAAGTCGTATGGAGGTAGAGCGCGAGAAAATGCTTGCTCGCATTGGAGGTTACAGGCCCCAAGAAACCATTTTCGAGGTCAGCAGCAGAAGGAATGGTAAGCACGACAACGACGAGACTATCGATACAATAAAGAGAATCCGCACCAGGAGAGATATCAAGAAGAAACGGGCGCAGAATGATGGACAATCGGGGCTTTTAGATGATACAGCAACTGGGCCCGGGGAAGCAACTGAAGCAGAAAGGGAGGATGATATTGGCCACGCTTCAGCAAGCGAAAGCGATGAAGGTGCTCTCCAGGATGCTGCCGACAATATGTCTCTGGCATCAGATTCCGATCTCGAAGTCACCTTCTCAGCATATTCGCGCACAGATGACGATAAATCTAAGGGCAAGTCCACCGCTGCCTTCCAGAACCCAGAGTATTTTATGTCCTACACCCCTAACAATCACTCTCTGGCTGAGGATCGGGCTTATGGCGTCCATTCTGGTACGAATGCCAACTTTGCTCAGGCATCACGCAGCGCCGCTATGGATCTGATCGGCGATGAAGGCAGTCGTGGGTTTGGAGAGCCGCGCTCAACAATGCGCTGGGACAAACGGCACAAGAAATATGTAGCTCGACGCAACGATGAAGACGGGTCAAAGGGCGAACATCTCGTGCGCGGTGAGAGTGGTGCAAAGATCTCAGCTAACTTCCGCAGCGGACGTTTCGAGGCGTGGAAGAAAGGTAAGCGGCTGGGCCGCCTGCCGCGACTTGGCGAAACAGAGACGCCTAGTCTCGCGGCTGATCTGAATGCCGCTATCCATGGGAAACGATTCAAACATCGTAAGGAACAGGCACCCAAAGCCGCAGATCCTCTCCGTAGAGACTACGAGAAGAAAAAGAAACAGGTACAGGCCGCGAAGGAGCGGATGCTCTCCAAATCTGGTGGTGGTGGTGGTGGCAAGAGCGAACTCCGGAGTACAGAGGATATCAGGTTATCGCGGAAGCTGCAGGAGAAGAGAAGGGCCAAAAATGCACGGCCATCGAAGAAAAAGAGCAGGTAGATGCGTTGATGGAGGGATCTGGAGCGGTCTCGAGATTGCGTTGAAATGTATACCTGTGTATAAATATGGCATGGGACCTATACCCCGACTCGGAGGCAATGAAGAATGCAAGTTCCATCAGATTCCACTTCTGGTAATTATCTCTGACTCCTGCTGCAATTGAGTTGACGGGCTACCGACAATGCAACCCGGTGTGGGCTTGCAAGATTGAGTTTTACATATGCAAACCCTTCCGAGTGTCACAGGTTCATGCACAGAGCAGCATGCATCAACATGTAGCTCTACGCATGCCATGTTCCTCTGTCTTGACCTACAGTATGCAGTCCATTGGCAGCGGCGTCCATGCGATTTCTAACGCCGCGCGGCACCGCATCATCCAAGCCTGTCTCATTTATGATGTGTAATATTCATGTATCTCCACGCATGAAGATATGTAAGTAATAGGTATACTTGCGGTGTGTTATGTATTATTGTTTTCCTAGCCCATGTTAGCTAATATGGTAGACTATGCCCCATAGCAGACTAACACGGCTCGCCTCTCTTTTCAGTGTACTGTTCTTTCAATAGACAAGCTGTGGAGTAAAATGGTAATAGTAAATGGCGCACTGAGACAATAGAGACAGAGTCGGTGTTCCGGGCCGGCCGTTAAGCTGCCCAGGTCAGAGTGAGGCCACACACTGACCGTTTGTCTCCATCACAATAGTTATGGATGCAGGCTCATGGGTGTCAGACGACCTGTCGGAAAAGCGCTGCGGGTCTCACGGATGGACTTGACGCGGGGAACGACGATGCCTAGGAAGAGGCGGATATGACATGCACTTGGCTGTCCGGTTTGGACGGTGAGAGATGCCTGTCCCAAGGACCCTTCGCGTCCACAAAATTCTCTGTAATTGTATAGCCCCCAACGGCACTAGCGTCAAGTAGAGGTGCTCATCAGACTCAATTCTGCATCACACGTGGGAGCATCGTATCGCATTATTTCTTAGGCGTCTCCAGCTCTATCGGTTGCCTCACCACCCGGATCCTGTCCGATGGGGAGATCGGCTTGGCCGCGGCGGAAACATGGTTCAGTATGGTTCTAGAAATAGGGCCTGAAGGAACCGGGATTCCCAGCGCTCAAGAATCAGTTCGCAATCTTGGGAGAATAGAATGATGCATGTTTCCCGTATGTTATCCACTCTGTCGCAGATTATTGCGGGCTGGACGCACGATCGACTCCTAGACTCGAGATCCTGGGACTTCATCTTCCGTGATCAGGAAAGTCGATCTGTCGGGGGAGTTTGTGTAGGATGCTGGTATAGAGGAGGTTGACCATTTTCCGTTTTAAGGCAAACGGGCTTCCCCAAAAGGCAAAGGGGCGCGCGGCTGGAGAAAACTCCTCGACTACTGCAGCTCGAGCCGTGCGGAACGCGTTGCCTCACCAAAGCTGGCGCGCATCTTTCTTTTTTTCACCTTTGGATGAAGTCAACGGTAAATTAAAGTATGTACGGGCTACGGAGCATCAATGGCAATAATGCTTGGACCCTGACTGACTGACTTAGTGACAGACGCCACAGGACACGTTTACATAGCATCACCAACGCCTTTCTCCTGCGATTTACCGTGTTTGGCTCTGGCCTCATTGATCCCTTCGCAGCTGTGGCTCGCGCTATTGATTCCTTCTGGCCTCTAATCGCGGAGATCACATCGACGCCTCCCGTTCGACGCGCATGAACCGCTGTACAGTGTAGTCTACTCCACAGCTGGAAGCCAAGAGCAGTCAGATGGTTGGCCTAAAGCCAGTCAGGGTGGCATGCTTTATTTCTCTCATAGGCCCTCCCGTGATGCTTTTTGGCTGCAATTTATTTCCGGTGCTCACGATGGGTCTACAGTAATATGAGCCGTGTTTTCGATCCGAGAGCAACAGCCACATCTTAATCTACTGGGGGCACTCCCGGAGATTAATCCGAGCAGTTCCACTGTCTTTTTTTTCCCTTTAGGGGATGGACTACATTGACGAATGGGGAGATCCACCGCGTTTCTTCAAGGCCTTACCGCTCCTTGTTGAGCGGCGTGGTGTAAGCTTACGGTGTCCATTGTCCATTACTGTTCTTTGTTGGAACGCTAATAACAATAATAATCTGTACCTCAGGGATACTATTGACACTGGACTATGCTAAGAAATACACCGATGCTGTGATACCGTTGTCTTTCCCCTTACTATGGCTTCCGATTCTGTCCGGCTGCAGAGCTCAATCTCTCTATTCTTGCCTAAGCTCAGTGGGGCCAACTCTCAAGGCATAGAGTGTTACCGTGGAGAATGACAATACTATCAATAATCCTTCACAATGTCGCTCGACCCAAGGACCTGGATATTTGAATCAGACACGACTCATGGTTCTGCCAGTAACACGGCAGCCTCGGGGATGCCCAGAAACTCCCCTTCCACAGACGCGATCATCGGGTCTCCGGTGATTCATTTGAAAATGGCCCTATTGGCGAGGATTCACTAATGGCCGTGGTCTTCGGAGAAATATCACGCCAGATGACCAAAACCCGAAGGGTTCGTGCGGTGCGTTTATTTTCTCTTCGTACCCATTTGATTTGATTCTTTTAATTAGTTGGGTTAATATTCATTTATTTTTTATTTTTTATTTTTTAAAAAAAAGAAGCCCTAGGAGATTTCCGAGAGACACTATAGGATTCGTCAAATCTCCCTGAGCTTAAAAAAAAAAGAACCGATCATCGGCCTGGGCTTTTACTATCTACTCCGGGTATAGGGGATGGCTTTATGGCTTGGCATCCACAGAAAGAAGCAGACACACACCTCTATACAAGATGCCCATAGCCGCGTGTTCAATGAATGAATGAGTGCGTGCGGAGTATGTAAAGGAAACAATGTTATCGTCATCATCACCATATCGGCCGGGGTACCAGCAGTTATATTGTCCACCGAACTATTGGCAATAATCGATTCGGGTGCGTCGATCCGTCTCTCGGGCTTTGCACTGCCATCTGTCTTCCTGATTGGCATGGCTGCTCCAACTCTCCAGTGGAGCATCTGCACAGACGTCATCGCTGAATTTTGATGCCTATCGTTGTCGGGTTGCTGTGACTGGTCATTGAGCTTTCTCTTCGGATGGATGGTGTCACCTACATGCCAACGACCGGCTAATGCAAGCCAGTGACTCACCCTGGCCGCAAATCACCAGAAAGGAAAATGAAGATAACACGGGGTCTCGTGGTATGGGGCCGCCTGAAGATCCAACCTCTTGGAACTAGACCCCGACGCCCCAGTCTCGACGGTCTCCAGCGTATAATGTCCACGGCGTCACTAAAAACTGCCGCATTCCTTGCTCCGGTTCATTAATATAATCACCCACTGGTGACAAATCTTGGAGCCCGGAAGATACTTCGTTTCATTAGATGATCTACAATCCCGGAGGTCAGGTCTATCGACTGCTAGCCCACACTGCACTGACCAATCCTTCCTTCTGCTCCTCTTACCTTTTACCCGAATTAGGCATTGTGACGGGCTCAGGGTTCAACGGCGAAGGCGATTAAGACGATACCGCACTTTTTTTTTTTTCTTGCCGGAAAAAAACTTTGATAGAAGATCCGAGGACAGTTGGTCTCCTTTTCCTTTGTACCGCGTGCGGTACCTGAGGGCCTAGGAACATCCTGCTGGTTTCCTATACGTGGGGAGTTCTTCGACTACAGTGTGAAGGCTGTTTCCACCGATTGACTCGCCCCGTTATATTCTCCCGCCCTTGCCATCTTGGTTTTTTTCGACCTTGGATGGAAATAGACTCTATATTTCTACTGGTACTCATCCCCCTGGGTTCCCGGTGCGGTGGTCACAGCAGTCGGCTGTATTGTCTCGACTCCAATTGCAGAGGCCCTCCAGAAACATTTGACAGCTATTTGAGACTACAAGGTAACGTATATTGGAGATTCGTTCCCGTTTTTTCCATTATTGCAATAGACATTTTTTCCTTCTATATTTTCGTCTTTCCCCACTTCCCGTGGTTACGACGCGGGCCGTCTTCCTGTTGTCCATAAAGGTATTATTCGCAATGCTGGAACTGTTGCTTGATATATAAAAGCGTTCGTTTTTGTTCGATGATGCCTGCCGATCGCTCGTGGTTCCGTCCATTAAAGGTCCTCCCAGCTAACTGAAGAAGAAGTGTACTGAGTTGGTATCACCGCGACTACTTCATATATACTCCGTACAGTACAGTCGTCAAGCGTGCCGGAGGGATTCTAGTCGCCGAAATATGCCGCCTATCCCATCTTCGAAGCAAGCTCGTGCCCAATACATGTGAACGTTCACCTGGCCGCAGGAATTCTAGTCGCCGAAATATGCCGCCTATCCCATCTTCGAAGCAAGCTCGTGCCCAATACATGTGAACGTTCACCTGGCCGCAGGAATTCTAGTCGCCGAAATATGCCGCCTATCCCATCTTCGAAGCAAGCTCGTGCCCAATACATGTGAACGTTCACCTGGCCGCAGGAATTCGCAGCTCGAAATCTTCCCCTCGATGCAATCATTAGTCCTCTCCCACTCGCCCTTGAACACCGGCCATTTCGGCCAAATCGGATTCAACCCCAAGATATTATCATTGAATCTTGATCGGCCAGCCAATGCTGAAGGGCGCAGCTTGCGAGACACTCCATCCTCTTACTTTATGTCCAGCCGTCCAACAGTGGACGATCCGCTGAAGGCTTTCAAGGCGTCCAGACAGCCAGAATCCGCGGAGCCCCGTGCTGTAACGACAGGCAGTGTTTCCGAGCCAGGGGTCTCTCAGACTTCTGCGACTGCGGGCGTTCACTCATCTCAGAGTATGCTCGCTTTACGAGAGCCCGTGCTCCCTCCCCAAGATCTGCTTATTTTTGACAGGCATGGAGCGCCCCAATCAATGGAGCCCGCGTACGTTCCATCAACATCATCATTGACAGCTTCTCCGCATGCTGCGATCAGGGCACTGGCGCAGAGGCCAACGCGCCGCGCTAAAGCGCATGTGGCTTCGGCATGTGTGAACTGTAAGAAGAAACATTTGGGATGCGATTCGGCGCGACCTTGCAGAAGATGCGTCTTGTCTGGAAAGGCAGTAAGTTTGTTTCTTAGCGATATTATTTCCTATTTCCGATCGCCCGGGCAACATGAAGGAGTAGGCCATAGCTAATCTTGCTTTCCCTTGCAAGTCGACGTGCGTAGACGTCACACACAAGAAACGAGGGAGACCGCCGCTGCGAGCGGAGGAGACCTCTATGAGACATCACGAAACCTCAGCCGACAACACAACGGCATCCGCTGGGTTACGACAGGCGACGACAACATCGCCAAGGACGACAGCGACATCATCCCAACCAAGACGGGCGCATAGCCACAGGGCAACTTCTTCTCGCGAAATACGACCGATAACGGATTTACAAATCCCTTATGAAGGGTTTGGGAATGATTCACAGAGGTGGTCGTTTCCATTTTCTCCCTCTCGAGCAAGGGGGCATGCTCCGCTTTCTCCTGTAAGACACGGGGAACGGCCATTCTCTTCAGGCGGCCTACCTCGACACATGCCACCCGCCACTGTTATGACCGCGGGCAGTTTAGTTCGTTCGCCTCCAAATATGACTCTCACTTCGCTCCCTGATGCTGTTGTTGGACCGAGGAGACAGCCGTATTCATACCCCGGGCCCATACCGATACCCCCAATTGCATCTCAGTCGCAGTACGAACATCCACCTGTGGGCGGCCCACTTTCGCCGTATCCCGATAGAAACAGGGCCTCGGTGCCGACGAGTTGGCCATCGATGAACAGATCGACCTTGCCGCTACCGAGGGATCGTGGTGCAAGCTATCCCGAGTCACCAGTAAGGCTCCCACCGATCTTGCCCGCGCTCTCTAGTACGGGTCCAGGACCAATCCCGAATGCGGGCTTTGTCCCCCGATTCAGTGACCCATATCCGGGGCCGAGATGGTCATGGTCATCGCGGGGCAGCGACATTTTTGGGCGAGAAGACCAGAATCAGAGTCAGGGACATGTCCAGTCGCGACCACCATCCCAAGTAGGGACAGTGGAATCCGTATCGCCTCGTACCCAGTTGTCCCAGTCACAAACGTACGACATGAGACATGCATCTGGTGATCCTCGGTCTAGACACAGTGTGGCGATTTCCCCACTGACTGTACCGATCGACCTAGGGCAGCGGCTCGCTGCCGTTACTGGTACGGGCTCTAGTAGCGGGGAACCAGCCAAGCCCGAGACTGAAGACAATGATGGGTCGAGACCCAAGAAGCGGCAAAAGATGTCCCTGGATGATATTGTGAACGATTAGTGAGATATTACTGTGTACCCTAGCCAGGGAGGGCTAATAGCTTCTCCTTTGACGGGAATTGCCTGACACTCATCCTGATGGCTCTCGTTCCTTCGCGACTATACGAGTCTCGAGAACTCCATCGACTCCGTTTCCGGTAATATAATCTCGAATCATTACGTCACGGTCTATAACGGCATGGCTCTTTTAATTCCTGCTGTCATTGATTAAGAGAACTTGGGATTGCTCTTCTTGCATACTTCCGCGTCTGCATATTATTTACTGACTGCTGCCCTCAGAAGTTCGATACTTCTATTGTTCTCCTGATTATTTCTCTGTATCCGGTACGACATATTGGCAGATTGCATTGCATTGGGTTCAATGTTACTGCTTGCTCGTCTTCAAATGATACCCGAACGCACTCGTTCTTGGACTTTTATCTACACAACTTTCTTTTCTTTTCTTTTTCACCGTCGTGTTTTCATTCTCAAACGGGGATCTTGGACTGGGCTGTGATTATTATTGGGATGGATGGAACCAAAGTAGGCACTTTATGAATTTCATTCACATTGTATTCTATTTTTTTTTTTTTTTTTTTTTTTTTTTTTTTTTTCTTTTCTGATGATTTTATTCCCATCTGATAAATGGCCAATTGCATGCATGGAGAGAAAGAGAGAGAAAAAAGTGATATTTGGACTATTGTTTCCTCCCTGTTATTAGGCGGGCTAATTACTATTTAATGAGACCTAATAATGCTATAGTGCGAACTTCGAAGCAAGACTTGTGCAATAATAGAAGTATGCAGTGCACTACATAACCTTCAGTCATATGCACTGGTCTTGGCCTGTGCTCCCTGGTCCTCTTTACCTTGTTCTTTGTGGAATATATATAAAATCTACCGGTACCATACATTTTGACTACATCATGATGCCATCTGCAATGAGAACAATCAACTTTACCCATGAAATGTTGAAGTAGATTCGATATCTATGTTAGCTATTGCTAGAAATTAATACTATACTATAATCATAGAAACAACCACATCCCAAACCGCTTCACCTTAGGAGCAAAGCCCTTTTTTCCGGGACCGGGAGCAAACAACTTGGACTTCCAGCCTTGAGAAGCCCGGTTAGCAGCATCAGCATGAACAGTATGATGACCGACGTCTAAACCAGCGCCGCTACTGTCGAAACCAGCAAGGTTATTCTCACTCAAATCAAAGCGATCCGTGACGAGATCCATCTCATTTACTCTCACGAACCGGGTCCTCTTGACCAGCTTCCAACCCAGGAACATGACGATCATAATGGGGATCTCGATGTAGTATGAGAAAAAGTCAACTACCTTAAACCTGGGGCTGAAGCATGACCAGCCCTGCACGAGGATGAGGACAATATTTAGCACGACGGCGATGATGGGACCAAACGGGTAAGTCCAGTTCTTGAAGGGCAGAAGAGATTCGAGGTTCTGGGCGCGGATGGCAGCACGGAATCGGAGGGAGGCAATACCGATGCACAACCAAGACAGTTGGTTGGAGACACCGACGATGCTGGCAACGCCATTAGGACTAGAAAGAAATAGAGAACTTTGGTTGGGGGGACACCCACTTCTGTAGCCAAGACCACACCTGCCCAGCACCAATGTAACTAACTCCAAAGCATAGTCCACTAACGGAAGATGTCGCCAGGACAGCCACCCAGGGAATCTTGAAACGATTCAACTCCCCAAAGAACCGTGGTGCGTACCCATCAACAGCCAAGGTATACAATAAGCGGGATCCGGCGAATAAGGCATGGTTGGCAGCGGAGATGGCGCTCGTCATGATAACGGCGTTAATGAAACTGCCCGCGACATTACTGCCCGCTTGAACAAAAACAATCGTGAAGGGACTGGTGCTGGTATCACCGGACGATAATTTTGGATAGTTATATGGCACGTTCAGGCCAACAATAAGGATAGACAAAATGTAGAATAGAATGATCCGCCAGAAGACATTGCGGACAACACGGGGCAGGTTTTTGGCTGGATCCTTAGTCTCTCCTGCTGTGATGGCGATAGATTCAGTCCCACCACTGTGAAGATAAAAAGAGGTCAGTTCATTTTGACATATGTTAGAATTGAGCAGTTTTCGATTCGACCTACAATGCAAATGAAGCCGTGACAAAGACAGAGGCGAAGCCACCAATGCCGCCAACGAAAGGAGCATCTCCAATATGCCAGTTTTTGCCTCCAATGTACTTGTGCTCGGTATTTCCGCCGCAGTTGACTGCGATACCAAGGATGATGAAGACCTGGCCATGTTAGAAGCGGAACAGGACGATTCTTCATTCCTCTGAAGAAGGAGCATACCACGATCGTTGCAACTTTTAGAAGACTGAGCCAGTATTCAACCTGTAGTGGTGTTAGCAGAGAGAACAAAAGACGAGCCAACGGGCAAACATAGACAGATAGACAGCCCTTACCTCTCCATAACACCTCACGGACAAGATATTAAACGAAATAACAACAAAGAGGAAAATCAGACTGATCGCCCATCCGGGAAAGTTATCAGTCCAGAACTGGAGCAACAGCTGAAGCGCAATAAGATCCGACGCCGTCGACACGGCATCATTGAACCAGTAGTTCCAGGTAAGGGCGAACCCCAGAGCATCATCGACGAAGCGACTAGATGGAGGTATTAGAAGATCAGATGAATATATTGTACTCATTAAAGAGGAATCAATGAATACGAAGCTCACCCTGCAAACGTACAAAAGGACCCGGCAACCGGGACGAAGGCTGCCATCTCACCCAAGGACAACATGGTCACGAATACAATACCACCGCAGATGGCATAGGAGATCAACATGGACGCCGGACCACCATTGGAGAGGGACTTTCCTGTTCCCAGAAACAATCCAGTGCCAATGGTGCCGCCGATGGCAATCATCTGGACTTGACGAGCGGAGAGATTGCGCGCGAGCTTGTCGGCAGAGACATGGAGGGCATCATTGTCGATGTCTGTACTATTCTGGGCCTCTGACAGGGTGGGGAATTTATTGGAGAGACCATTATTGCGGACATGGGATGATATCTGGTACTGCTTCTCGATGTCGTCGAAGGCCATGTTGGGCTGTTCAAGCAGTTTCGAAGGTATACTGCAGAACTACCCTATTGGGAAATCGCCTGATCGAGGTTAGCGGTAAGAAACCAGGGTGTTCGCGAGTAATACTGACGTAAAATAATGGATGGTATTTGAAACCGAGGGCGTTATAGATGGGTGCTTAGGGTTCAACCGTTCCGCGCACGCACACGCATTCATCTTATTCTTCCAGTATTGTTCTCGAAGCATCCCAGCAGAAGCACGGCCAGCTCTTAAATGCTAGCACCATCGCCCTGGCAGGTAGCATTTCGCAGTTGCAACTCGCCACGGCAAAATCCTGCGCTGCAGCAGCTCTTCCAATTGACGTGGTGCTGCTGATTATTATCGTGTAACAAGAAGCTTTTAGCCGATGACGTGCTCGCGGTCAGGGCTAGTTTCTCCTGAAGAACTCCATAGTGCTATATTGATAATAGGCAATAAATAAGCAATAGCGTGATGTAACGCAGTCGTATGTTGAGACATGCAATCCGTATAACTCCATATATACAATGAGAAGACATCACAGTAGGGACATATCCAAATGACACGGTGCAATCTATCCCAGCAGCCCACTCGCAAGCGCCTCCAGATCCTCCAACGTCTCGATCGGATTCGATCCCATATCGCCGCCCTGCGTCTTGCTTTTCTTCTTCGGGCGTCGTTCCTCGTCCGCATCGGCAAAGGACACGGCTGGTTTCTTCTTGCTTGGACGTGGAGCATCCTCCTCTGACTGCGACGGTGAAAAGCCATCGTCCAATGCGCCTCCATCCTCCCCCTCGTACGGAGCCAGCTGTACTCCACGTTCCTCGCCATCCTCCGCAAGCTCCCTCTCGCGAGCCTTGCGCTTCTCCTTCTTCTCTCGGCGTTTCTGTTTGGCAAGTTCCTTGTCTTCCAAGTCCGCTTGCCGCGTGCGTTCCGCCTCCTGGGCCAGGAACTTGGCTCGCTGCTCGTCCACGTCGCCGCGAGCCTTGAATACCTCTTCGTCCTCCATTTCGTACACCTCGTGTGGGTTTCCTTCTTCGTCGTAGACGAGCTTCTTGCCTTTGCCTTTGTATTTGAGTAATTTCTTCTTCGACTTGAGCAGCTTCTCCCGCCGTTTCGAGTCGATTACCAGGGTTTCATTGCCGTCCAGTTGTACCTTCTTGATATTTCTGTCTTTCTTCTCCGCGCTATCATCCTTGTCACCACCATCGTCATAGCTATCCTCCTCATCCGACGAGGATCCTGCCCCCATATCCAGGTCTTTGTCACCCGCCTCGTAACGACGTTTGACGGAGAGGAAGTCGTCCTCGTCAGCATCGTCCGTAGCACCATTAGTGCCCTGAGCAACCATCGTTCCATCATCGTTGATGAGTTTCGAGTAGTGATCGGCCAACACATCCTGGTTCCGTCTCTCGAACATTCGGTCATACTTGGTCCGCACCTCCCCATCCTTCTTCCCCTTCGTCTTCCCATCCTTCTCGTCATCAGACTCGTCGTCGCTGGTCAGGCGAGACAGCGCTCTGGGGGCATTCTTGCGCTCCTTCGTATCGTCACCTTTGATGAACTTGATACGAGGTGCACCCGGTAAACCCAAACTTGCTGCGAAGTCTTCTAGCGGCAGCGATTTCAGATTGAACACCTCCTTATCCTTCTGCACGTAGATAGACTTGACGTATGAAATAAAGGCCTTCTGCCCAAGGTATTTCAACTCGGGATCCTTGAAGCACATGTTCTGCAACTGATCCTTGATGCTCTGCTGTTTGTTGGCCTTGATGTTGATCTTTTCGATCGGTACCTTTTTCTGCTCCAGGCGCTTCAGCATGCCTTGTTCCTCACTAGGATCGAGGAACAAAACCGCTCGGCCATCCCGTTCATAACGTGCGGTCCGCCCAACTCGATGGATATACGTGTCCGCGTCCTCCGGGCAATCCAACTGGATGACCCAGTCGACGGCAGGGAAGTCCAAGCCACGGGCAGCGACATCAGTGGAAAAAAGGACCGCGTGCTTGGCTTGAGAGAATCGGGTCGTGATGTCGAGTCGGCCTCCCTGCTTCTGCCTGCCGTGCAGATGCATCAGAGGAATACCAGGCTGGAGATGCCGGAAGGACTCGTAGATAAACCGCACTTGCTTCCCAGAAGATACAAATACCACCGTCTTGGCCTTGAGGTTACTTCGGATAAAACTCCACAGTACGTCAAGCTTCTGTGGGAGTAGGGTGACGACGTAGTGCTGTTGAAGGGTCGAGGGGGTTGCTGAAGATGCAGCCTCATGCACCGCAACGTATTCGGGGTCCTGGAGACTGAGACGCGCCAGATCGGACACCTTCTTCGTCTGAGTGGCGCTGAAGAGCATCGTCTGCCGCTCCTTGGGAAGATGGTCGATGATGGCGTCCACGGTGCGCTGAAATCCCATGTCCATGATGCGATCCGCCTCGTCTAACACCAACATCTGCAAGTTGTATGTGTCGAATGCTGCTGTCTGATCCAGATGCTGCAGCATGCGACCGGGCGTACAAACCAAGATATTCATCCGTCCCAACCGCTCCTGCTCCTCCCGCAGACTCTTTCCGCCGATAACGAGACCAGCGGAGAAGGTATGGTACCGGCCTACTTTCCGCAGGACTTCAAAAATCTGGATGGCGAGTTCACGGGTCGGGGACAGGATTAGAGCGCCAAGTCCGTCGTACTCGGTCCATCGCTTGCGATATAGGTTCTCGAGAACGGGAATGAGGAAGCCCAGCGTCTTACCGCTGCCGGTCTTGGCGGCTCCAAGGATATCTCTACCCTTAAGGGCATGAGGAATGGCGCGGGATTGGATGTCAGTCAGGGTCTTGTAGTGAGACGCAGAAAGTCCCGATGCGGTAGGTTCCGACAAAGGCAGATCGGAGAAAGACTCGAAGGTGTCCTTGAGGTTGAGTTCATCGACCTTCTGCGCGAGAGTAGACAGGTCCTCCTGCTCCCGTTTCCGTTTCAGCGTCCTGCCCCGCTCAACTGAATGCCTGGAGGATTTGCCATTACGACGAGCATGCGTCACAGCCATTGTCCGCCTGATGGACTGAAGATGAGCTTGGTTCTATTGTCGTGTGGTCGAGATGGCTGTCGTTCTCATCGAAGATTGAAGAATTCTTGCCGGAGCAAATTATTCTGCCGGGCGGCGGGACTGCAACTTTTCTGCTGAATCAGCACCACGATAAGCTAAATCTAAATAACTAACTAGTTATCGCTGCGGACGGCCTTCTCCTTGTAGCTGCTCTCCAGAGTCCACGCAGGGACAATACTGGCCGCCTGTGCTCAACATGGCTGACGAAGACCAGGATATTTTGGACTCGCTGGAGAAGGAAGCGTCCGAGTTTAAAAAGGTATGTATGTCACTGACCATACTTGCCCAGCTGATTCAACTGACTCTCTTGAAGGATGCCGAAATCGATCGCATTCGCAAGGCTTTCCCGCTGGATGCGTGAGTCTACCGATATCCTGGCCCACGGATCTCCACACTTAATACTCCATGTGGTCTACACGATGAATCTACGGACACTAACATGTTCGTCTTGAATGGCAATAGGTACGCGGTCCTCGATCTCCAACCAGGTGTCCCAGAGTCGGATATCAAGATGCAGTACCGCAAGAAGTCGCTCCTAATCCATCCAGACAAGACCAAAAATCCTGCAGCTCCCGATGCCTTTGACCGGCTGAGCAAAGCGCACTTGACGCTCATGGATGAGAAAGCGCGGACCCGGTTAGATGAGAACATCGCGGACGCGCGACGGCTCCTGATCCGAGAACACAAGTACACACTCGACTCACCGGAGCTCAAGACGGAAGACTTCAAGAAGGAGTGGCGACAGAAGACGGTGCAGGTGTTGCTGGAAGACGAGGCACGACGACGACGACAGATGAAAGCACAGCTGCAGGAGGAAGGGCGAGAGATGCGCAAGGAAGAGGAGGAGATCGAGGCGCGCAAACGGAAGCGGGAGCAGCAGGAAGCCTGGGAGGCGACACGAGATGAGCGGATTGGGAGCTGGCGGGATTGGCAGAAGAAGAAGGGGGGAGAAGCAGACCGGAAGAAGAAGAAGAAGATGAAGGTGCTGGGCTAGCAGCCTGGGGTATCGTGCTGTATTCTGCGATACTGTTCTTCCTTTTTCTTTTCCTTGGGCGTTTCGCGGGATACGGTGTACTTTTTACTTTACCGACAAGTCGAATGGGATAGTCCTGGTGCTGGGCAAGACCATCGCTGACTCATGCGTAGAAAGCTCCAGCCTTCTCTTCTCTGGACTTTGAAGCCATCCAGGTGCGGGGATGCCGCGGGGCGTTTCGGTTCTTCTGGAATTATCTAAATCTAAATGTCATCGTGGCCTTCTCTAACGGAGACGACACCGCTCGCAATCCAGAAGCCCTGTTATTATTAATAAATCTCGGGAGCGATTGGAGTATTCTTCTTATTCTTCTCTGTGCAAGAGTTATCCGTCTATCTGTCTATGATCCGTGGTCAACGCTGATAACGGCATCTTTCTCACACCCGGTGAAAGCGCATCGAAGAAACACATCTCTGGCGTCAACACAATATATCTACAGCCCTGTCGATAACCTGCTCAGGGCAATGGCAGAGACGCCCCAGTCTCTCTCCATCTCCAACACGGCAAATGGCCACGTTCCAATGACTCCCCCACATCAGTCCGCGCCGTTCCCCGCAACCACAGCATCTGCATCTGCATCACCACCACCACCACCACCACCACAGTCAGTCGCAAACGCACCGGGCAACAGTGAAACCAGAGAAGATGAAGATCTGGCCTCCGTCATTGCCAGCGTCCACCGTCGAGTCTACTCCTTTCTCTCCGAATCCCACCCTCCCGACTCTCTCCTCGCCGCCGTCCAGCGTCAGACCCGGACATCTCTCGATATCGTCAAGGACGCTCTAGCCCGCTATCGCCTCTCGGAGCTCTCTCTGTCGTACAATGGCGGAAAGGATTGCCTGGTGCTTCTCATTATTTTCCTGGCCGGGTTACACGAGCACTACTCCTCCCGGGATCCCGGTCCCCAGAAGGCGGGTGGGAATCGTCTTCTTCCCATTTCCTCCATTCCTGCCATATACGCCCTCCCACCCGACCCGTTTCCCGACGTCGAGGAGTTCGTCCAGTCGTCCTCCCGTATGTATCATCTCTCCGTGACCAAATACACCACCAATCCCCCCTGCGCCACCATCCGCTCGTGCTTTGAGAGTTACCTGTCCTTGAATCCCGGCATTCGGGCTATCTTCGTCGGCACACGACGCACTGATCCGCACGGCGAAAAGTTGACGCATTTCGACCAGACGGATCACGGATGGCCCGATTTCATGCGCATTCACCCGGTCATCGACTGGCATTATGCTGAGATCTGGGCGTTCATCCGCCATCTGCGCTTCGAGTACTGCCGTCTCTACGACCAGGGCTATACAAGCCTTGGTGGAAAGACCGATACGCATCCCAATCCAAGGCTGCGTTTTGATGACAGGAACGCCAATCAGCAAGGCTTCGATGCCAATGGCCAACATTACCGACCGGCCTACGAGCTAACGGAAGATGTAGAAGAGCGCTTAGGACGTAACTGATCACCAGCGCGGGCAGCCACTGTCTTGCATCCTCGGAGGCCTTCATCCATAGAATTCTCCTCATCCACCATCGCTTTTGATATATCTGTTGTGCGTCTTGTCACCCCATTTTTCCTCGGAGCAGGCGCTTCTTTCATAAATGCAAACGCATGCGCACACTGGCAGCCATTTCTTAACTGCCGCAGGTTTGATTTAGACATATATTCTATTAGACTAATGGCTATTTTTGGAACATGTCGGCGTCCCTTCAACAAATGCAACACAATCTTGGATAGATGTAGAAGAATACTTTTGAACTGCGTAGAAATCCTGGTACCTTGAACGCGGTAAAACTCCTGGTCAATACGGACCATAAAACTCACTCGGTAAACATGTAATAACAAGTAGCATGATTAATACCCGAAAGTCAAAATCGAAAAAGACAATTAACTTTTTCCCTTTCCCCGACATACTTCGCGTTATACATCCCGTGGATCATAAATCATATATCGAAAGACTCAGTGCCGTTCGTTCATGCTGTCTCTTTAGAGTATATGAATTTATCGAGTCGTAATTGTTGAGAATGGGTTAATGGCAACACAATGTGGCCTGCTCAGTAACATAAATATTGAATAGTGAATTCTGGTTCGAAGCCAAGAGAAGTTTCAAATCGACGACCTCGGAGTACCGATGACTACCTCCCTCCGGGAAGAGATAGGAGACAAGGATCCGGCCTTGATATTTTCCTTTCGGGGGCTAGATGCAACGGATTTGGAATCTCCGCAAGGGGAACCGGGAACAGCTGTCTTCGAGGATTCTGCAGAGATGGTCTCGGCCATGGAGCTGCGGTTTGCGGAAGAGACACGGCCACGGTAGACAGGGGTATTTTCAAGGGTCGCGAGACTAGTACGAGACGACCAAGCATTGAGGCGGGTGCTCATCGGGTTCTTCACAATGACGCCGCTGCTTCCGTTGTTAGCGCAACCTATCGTTCCATACATCAGAACCTCTCCTATACATACGACGGGGAGATTGACGTCGCTGGAGTCCAAGTGGAACCCACTCCCATTGGAGAGGTATAGCTAACCTGCGAATTAGGACTGAGATGGGATGCCGTCTGCTGAAGACGGTGCAGTGAAGGAGATGGAGTAGTCCCTTGCACTACCTCAACAGAGAAATTGTACTCCCCTGCGCGATACGCACGGCGCTCATTGCTTTGCTGCTTCAGAATCTTTTGAGCCTTCGTGTCTGCGAAGCGGAGTAGCAGCTTCACCCCATCCTTTCCGACAACGTTATGGAACTCAGAGAGCACCTTTTCTGCGACTTCGCGAGTCTCAAAGCTGCACGCAATGTTAAGAGTTGCAGCAACCAATTACAGGCCAGCGATGGTCTACTCACCGGGCAAAACCCACTTCCTTACTCACGCCAGTCTTTTCGTCTCGACTAATCTTCTCCGAGACGACTCGGTATGGTTCAAAGTGGCGGCGTAGATCCTTTCGCCATTGTTAGCCAAGAGCTTGAGCCATTACAGGCGACTGAAACAGTGGGGGCTTCAGTTACCGCTTCAGTCCAGTCGATTGGAACATTGGTGCAATAGATGTTTGTTGAGGTCCTATCTTCGAGGTCTTTAAGGCGGGAATTGCGAGACTTCTGTGTCTTCGTTAGTGAAAACGTATCGACACCTTAGGTCTGCGACTACATACCTGGGCAAAGCTGGCTTGATACCCAAGATAGAAGAAGCCCCGTATGCAATTCTCGCAGGACTCAAAGTTGAAATACTGAACGAATCCAAATCTGGCAACATGAATCAGAGACAGTGCGAAGAGATGGCCGGCGAAGGCTACATACCCTTTGCATAAGCCCGTGTCTAAGTCCACAATGGCCTTGCAGCGGTCAATTTTCCCGAAACGAGACGCATAAGAATGCAGTATCTCATCCGTGGTTTCGGGAAGAAAGCCACGGATGTAAACATTGGTGATTCCTTCACGGTTCTCAAGACATTTGGCGAGGGTCAGCTCTGACGGGTTGGTCCACATTGCAGGCACAGCACGAGGAATCGGAGGATCCTGCTGCGTTAATGCCTCAAGGTCCTGAAGGATATACCCGTTGGATGTTTTCATCATCTGAAGAGGAAGACATGGCTGTGATAGCTGCGGTGGGATGGTGTTGTAAGCGTAACCCGAGTATGTGGAGTTATCCATGGTAGGGGGGGTAGGGATGTACTCCATTGAGCTGCCGGACTCAGCTGCCGAAGATCCAGCTCCTTTGTGGTCCTCGGCAGAAATCCAGGGGCTTCTCCTTTGACCGGAGAAATCCTGCATGTCATAGTTCACAAGGTATGGCCAGGTGTAACCTTGCACAGCTCCCGGGACCATGGAGCAACCTGGATTGAGGCTGGGATAAACGGTGGGTAGGTATGGAATCTGACCCACCTGATCTTGACTCGGAACTGCAAATGGAGAAACAGGTGGCATACCACCGAACATGGAGCCGTTGGGAAGGAGGACAACTTGGCCATTGTAAGGAGGACGATGAGCCGCCGACATGTCTACATTCGGAGGCATTGCAACAGGCACGTTCCCCTTCAGGGTGCCGTACTTGGATATACCACGCTGATTTTGAATATTCAAATTACCAAAGAGGTTGGACAAAACCGGAGCTTGTCCATCGCGGTTGCCAGCCGCTGCGGCCGGCGGATAGTTGGCCACGTAGGGAGGGCGAGCATCATGTTGATACTGCCCAGGCTGGATATGCGGAGCCTGGGCAGCGTCAACAGACGAAGCATTCGTTTGGTTTTGGTTATGCATGAGGGCGGCCCTGAAGAGAAAATCTTGTCTGGCACTATTAGCAAAACCTTGGTCTGATATGGAGCGTACTAGCTTGTTGAACAAGGGGATTGATCCATACCGCGAGAACTTAAACGGAGTAAAGTATTTCAGAAAAGAGAAGGGGCAAAAAAAAAAAAAAAAAAAAAAAAAAAAGAAAAAGAAAAAGACCTGAATGGGAATCTGCAGACAAAGCGACACGCAAATGATCAGCTAGCAATATTCCGAAGAGAACAATGTCAATGGGGTCACATACAAAAAAGCGGACGAAATAGACGACTGACGGGAAGACAAGATGGACTGAACTACCGGTAAAACCTGGACAAGTGACACTAGCTATGGGACGAACGAATGGAAACAAACGAGAGATTGGCTTGGAGAGCAACGAAGTAAATAGAAGCAGGGGAATGCTAGAAACGGATGAGCTACTAGCAAGGATGAGACTCGATGAAACTGTGGAATAGACTGGACGAACGGGGATGAAAGGCAAGAAATAGGATGAGAGGGAAAGAAAAGAAAGAGGGGGAAGAAGAAGAAGAAGAGAGACTGGGAGGGAGGCAGAAGAGGAGAGAGAGAGAGAGGCAGGAGCACGCTGGTTTGATCTCCTCCTTTCCATATTTGGCAGGAGGCCCGCCAAGGACGATTGACGAGGGAAAGCGACAGACTGCTTCATTCAGAAAGCATGAATACCCAAGTGGAAAGGAAACGCTGTCAGTTCGCTTGAAAATCCGGAACTTATGCATGTCTATTTATGTACTCATATGGCGTGTAGAGATGTAATCATCCTACAGGCCCCTAATTACATCTGTCGCCATCTCTCACAAGACACAACGACATTCAGATGACCCTTAAAATACAAAGTGCAAGACAAACCATAATCGCCATGAAACAAAAATGTCAGCCTGCAGGGGTATGCACGCGCTATAGGTAAATATGAAGAACCAAGTCATGATAAGACGCCATATCAATACCCATATTGGGCCGCCGAGCTCAAACAAAAACAAAGCTGAAATGGGAAAAGATGTAATAGAAAAGAATGAACGAAAAGATGGTAATGAGTGCCATCTGGAGAAGACAATGAGCGCTATCTCCCTGGCGATGTCGGATTGCTCATCGGCCCCTGGAGGTATTCCGGCGGCACCTTTGGCATCCGTGGCGATGTGATCCCTTGAAGGGCTCGCTGTTGGCTTCGTAGGGCCTCACGCTGCCGCTCTTTGTCACGGCTATTCGCCAAACCGCCCGTCAGCCGTCTCATGCCGCTCCTGATCATAGATTCCAGAGATGAAGAGCCCTCCGTGGCGTTTCGCAGTTTACCGGTGGAGCGGGTCAAGGGAGGTTTATGTGCAGGACCGCGTGCTTCGAAATCGGAAGACCCATCCTCTACCTCATCATCTGATAGGAATGCGGATTCGTTAAAGCCAGTGGACGGGATCGGGTGTGACGGATTGGACGGTGTTGCTGCAAATAAGTTGTTGGCAGGGGAAGTGACAGAACGAACATGTAGAGAAGGTCGCAATGTCTGACCCGAAACTGGTTGCCCAGTAGACGTAGCTGGAGGCGAAGCTCCGCCGGCGTTGTCAAGACGAATATTCGCAGGGCGTGATTCTGCGAGTCCGTTGTGGAAAGAGGATGTAGAGGCGGCCCGAGCCAGCGATTTCCGTAGGATCGGTGCCGTTTGTTGGTCATAAAGATTCGCGTTGGTGTCAGCATAGTTACCAGTAAAGCCCTGCGACGTGGAACCGGGGACCGGATGAAGCATGGGATCCAACTTGTCAGTTTCTTCAAAGAAGTCGTCTAAGCTGTCCAACTTCTGCAAGATGTCACCGATATTGCCGTCTGTTTGTGTGTCCACAGATTTCATGGTATCAGCCCGTACGGGGGAGAAGACGTCATTATACTCGTCTGCATGGAATTCAACGTCCGGATTCGCTGTCTCCTGTGCTTCCCTGCCATCAACCTCAGCACACATATAGAAGACAGCGTGGACATTGGCCCGCGTGACAGAAGACTGTGCAGCGGGCATCGGTACCGACCATCCAGTAGGCTCTGGTATCCCGTAAAGGCTTTGAATACGTTCGTATTCCTTACGTATGGCTCGCGATGCCGACGACGACGCCATGCTCATTCGGATGTGGTGACGCTCCATGGGATTACCAGACACGATCATAATATGGTCCATGACTTCCAAAGCATGTGGGCAAAGATCCGTTTGTAAAAGTCTTAGCAGAGGAGATATAAGGTCTGGTCCATGACAGGTAACTTCACTTCGCTTCATGTCCATCAATGGGATCAAGACGCAGAGGATCTTCATGATCTTGATACGGAACCAATCGATCGTGTTAGTCAGTAGGCCCATCAGGAAGATAAGGCTCTGCACATCTTGATGAGGAAAGAAGTAGGATTGTATCTCTGTAATGATGTGACCCAAGAAATCATCTTCCGACTTATACTGTCCATTTGCGAAACCGAGCAAAGAAGCGGCAAGACATGGGCACCTCTGTGCGTCCGCCACACGAGCAAGCAAAGTAGCCCGGGCGACAGAATGACGATCGTCAAAACTCTCATCGAAGAAATGTAAGAAATGGGGCAGGTTTGCCAGGACGGCAAACAGCATGCGATTACCATCCCCGATAAGCTTATTATTTGGCAGTGTAGTGAGACGGTGTAGGACATGTAGCGTTCGCCCCAGTGACTGGGAGCTTTTCAACCCCTTGTAAATTAAGTTTTGTACGCCATCAAAACTCCCCTCCCACTTGGGTGGTTTGCCTTCAAGGAGCTGCGAAGCTACCATGGGATCACTCAAATCAACAATATCCAGAAACTTCTCTAACATGCCAATACTCTCGATGAATTCGGTCTCATGGATAGTGTTCAAACAGGCGCAAGTTGTCCAGAAGAGCTGAGGGTAGCGCAACAGGTCTGCAGGAGCCAGAGAGCCAATAATTATTTTTAATGTGGTAAGGATTTCCAAAGAGAAAGTTTGATAATCAGTCTCCTCGTCGGCAATTGTGTTGGACAGCCGAGCAAGCATGTCTGCGAGCATTCTCGAGTCCAAGCATGTCGAGATACAGCGGAATATCTGGAATGAGCGGCATGCAATGTGTCGTACCGGGCAAGAAGTTGCCCAGTTCAGAGCCTCTTTTGCCCAAAGGCCGTTTATACCTTCATAGGCAAGGTCGAAGAACTTGATAACATCGAGGGTCACCGTGGACATGGATAAGGGTACTCGCCTGTCCCCATCAGCCTCCTCCTTGCCATTGCTGTCCTCATAGGACCAGACCACTCTCGAATCACTCTTACGAATGGATTCGACAAAATCCTCAATGGCTTGACGGGTTCCACCCGGTGCATCGTCGTCGATCCGGGCGGCCACCAGTTCGTGGATAAGATGAACAAGCATTTCCCGGGCCTGTTCCTGTACGGGAAGCACGTAATGGTCCCAGAGACTGAGAACGACATGGAGTAGCTTGACAACGTCATTCACAGAAGGTGTCACGGGAGCCACCATGAGATCTACGAGAAAAATGAGGGCGAGCTGTCCGAGAGATAGGCCGGCCTGTACGCGGTCAGAGAAAGACAGTCCCAATAACTCAGAGAAAATGCGTACTCACCTGTTTATTACCAACCAGTAGCACAGTACTCAGATCAGCCACGTACGGAAGGCTTTTCACATCGGGAGGGGGTGGGGTAATGTCTTTCTTTTCTTGTACCATGTGCTTAGGAACAACTTGCATCAAGAGGAATTCAATAACCTTGGATCCCGCTGGTGTCCCAGAAAGGAACACAACAATTTGCTTGGCATGTTCAACGAAATTTTGGTCTTTGCGCTCGAGGCATAGACTGATTATGAAATCGAGAACCAGCTGCACATTACCCCCATGCGGGCCTGTAGCCAGAGCCTGCCAAAGGGCCTGAACTTCATTCGAGAGAATGGTACTGCATTGTATTGTGATCTCCAAAAGGTTTGCTAGAAGCATATACGACTTGGCAGTAGGTCCGCCATTAGGATCCACCTGCAATTCCATCGTCTGGACCCAAGGCAAAATGGCCGCAACCATGTTCCGTTGGCTATCAGGGCCAAGGCTTTTGAAATGCAAGGCAAACTCGGAGAAGATAGTAAAAGCAAAATCGGAATGTTGTTTTGCCAATCGCTTCGAAGTCTCAAACTGTGCTAGTTTGTAAACGGCCGTCGTTTTATCAGATATACTGATATCGAAATCTTGGAGTCTGGAACTCTTCTGCTGACGCTCTTCCAGGATCCGGAGAAGTCTGGCGGATTTCATGCGTATCTCGCGTTTCTGGTTACCCAGAGTGACTAGGACGGCTCCCAAGATCCGCCAAAAGGCAAGCGGATAGTCAGTATGCTCTACAAGCACTTGAGTTACCACTTCAAAGTAACTCTCCAAAGCCTTCGGTCTTTCCATAACATAGCAGACCTCAATGGAGTGCTCCAGTAAGTATGGGTGTTCCTTGTTATGAATGATGAGGTTCCTCAGGGCTCGTCTGCCAATGGCATGCCACTTATCACTGACGGTGCTGAAAATAGTATCAATCCACGACAGCATTCGTCCAATGTCGAACTGTAGTACGGAACCACCTTCAGTTGTGATACTAATAGGTCCCGCCTGTAGCAATTATCAGCAAACACAGGCCAATAGCCAAATGATAATAATGATAACAAAAGAAGGGGAGGGAATAGGAAAAGAGGCATTCAATTTTCAGGACAGAACTTACGCAAAGAGAAGCCATCGCACTCAAAGCAGCCGCTCGAAGATTTTTCTTTTCGATTTCTGTAGCAGCAGCGGTAATTCTTACATGCCCGGTCTCATGGGCATGCGCGATAGCGAATTTTCTCATCTTGTCCTCCCGTTGAGCAATCTGCTCTTGGTTGGGTGAGTACCCACACCAATCCTCCATGAGTGAAAAGGCCGATTTTCGGGATTCAAATGGCATCCAACGAGAAGGATCCTTGGTGCGATTTATGCCCTCAAAGAGTTCTTCCATCAGTCCGCAATAATGGAAACGCAACCGTTGAAACTCCCAGTCATTCTGAACTTGGGCATCGCTCAAGAAAATCCGTAGATCCCTGGTGTAGGTGACAAGATTATTGACGATCCAGTCATCATTGTAAACGTCTGCTTCATGCAGGAAGTGCGAGGTTAATTTATACACGTGTGTAACTTCAGTCCGCAACCTGTCCGTTTTTCGATTTCGTCGTGGGCTGCTTGGGGTTCGGGAATGTGTACCCATTCGGACCTTGGCCTCCTCGTTGCATGTCGTAACCGCATACTGCAGGGATTCGAGCAAGGTGCGATAGAGATTCTTGTTGATGGATCCTAGGGCAATGACGATGGCATTTCGGATGGAATCTCGCTCAGCTGATAACAGTGGGATGACGAAGGCAAAGAGGCTTCTCGCAGAGCTGATCTTGTTCTGCGATTGTTGGGCGCCCCTGGAAACTTTCCGTGCATGTTGAGCATTTGCAAGTTGGCTTTGCGACTGTGCGCCAACGGTAGTTACGGTGGTACATGCCATAATAAGATAGAGTTTCCATTGTTCAATCAGAATCTCTGCCGTCATATTGCTCCTTCCAGCAATACGGGCCTGAGTGCCATCAATGGGATGATACTGGTCGGGTGGGGGGCTTTCGGCAAGCGCAGTAATAGTTTTGTGCATTTGGACAAGCCGCGTGCAGACAATCTCCCTCCCCAAAGTTACTGCAAAGGGGCAGGTCTCAAAGCTGATTCGAATGATATTTGGGAAGACTTTGGACCACAAAGTCGAATCGTAGGAAACCTCGCTGCTGCAGATTTCTATAAGTGTATTCTGCGCTGCGCTCTTCCGCTTGCCTTTTTGAATCCGGCTCCTTTCTGCTACAGTGAGTTGCCCGTCGTCCACGTCGAGGATATGCTGGGAATCACCCTCTAGAATCCGGATAATTCTCGTGTTGTCTTTGCCAAGAGCACTGTCAAATTCGGTGATGAGGCGGAGGACTGTGATGGCGAAAGCACGAACCCTTCTGGATTGTGAGCATAGGAAAAACAGGCCATGGGACTCAATCTCTTCTACGTGAGCAAGGACGCTGGAAAGGTCAAGTTGTAGGGCTCGATTGCTAGGGCCCGCCTTATCGCCCGATTCTGCGGCTGCATCTTTCATTTTCTGCCTTATTTCGTCTATCCAGATGCGCAGCAACTCGACATATAGTCTCAGGGTGGACTCGATGTGACCAGGCCCGAGCATACCTTCGTCGGACATGGTTGAATATCGTACGTCAAAGTTAAATATGAACCTCGCAAAGCCGATGGTGACCTGCTGCGCATGTAATTGCCGTGCGATAGCCTTTAGAGACTCTGCAGAGGAGATGGCTATATTTGATTGAAGGTGAGCTGTCCCAGTACAGAGGAGATTGATCAAGGAATTAAAAGGGATGTGGTCTGACAGGCACCGTGGGAGAGCCTGCACTGCAACGTGAAGGAGATCATAGAAACCTTGTTTTTGATCCAGCGCATTTGGATGCTCGTCGCGCCTGCCGAAGCTAAATGCTTCAGAGATGGGGGTTTTGGGTGTTGATCCGCTAAACTTCTCATCCAGAGCTGCCTGACCGCCGAAGGCGTTATCGCAGAGCAGCGTTATCTTGCCCAGAATCTCACAGAAGCGGACATAGAACCCTCGAGCGATGTCATCCAACTTCGAAGTGTTGACAGGTCGCGACTGCGAATTGATGCGGATATCTGAAGTGCTAGATACACGGGGCTCCGAGAGCAGCTGAGGACGATGGAGGTGGGCGGTAGTTGGCGTCACCGCGAACGGGTTGGGAAGAGCCCCGGTAGGGAAAGGAGGACACAGCTGGTCAGTGGTTTCGAGATCTGTCATGATGGCTAGAAAGGCACGAATGCCAACGACCATCTTCTCCGGTTCCATTTGTTCAATCTTCAGATCCTTCCCAGAGAGAAAGAGATCCGAGTTCACCAGGGGAAAAATGATACTACGGAAACATGTGGCGGGATGCTTGAACGCGATCATTCGTATCAACTGGATCAAGGGCTCTGACACAGCGGGCTCCGTACTCAGGTAAGTCTTCTTCCCAGGAGGGACTGCGATCTTAATCACCTCTTCAATCTTTCGAAGAGCAACCGTAGGGGGTTCTGAGTAACGGAAAAAGTACGTCCATACTAGCCGGCATATGGCCTGAAGTGCAGGTCCTCGGGTGGGGCGGTCCCTCAATTTGGCCGGGAGACTATAAATGACCGAAAGCCATTGGGATATGAAGGTCTCCTTTGAGGATACGCATAAGAGCAAAACATGTAGCGGAAAGCCCGCGATCCAGTGACGGGGTTTGGTCAGCATCTGTGCCAGCCGAGGCTGCACTAAATCCAGGAACTCCTTCCACTTAGGAGTAGACAGGTCACAATTCGTGTTGGCGGCAACTGGGAGGAGTAACTTCTCAAAGATGTAACAGTACGCCTGTTTGACCTGTTGGCCATGAGCATTGGCAAACAACCGGGCTAAGGAGCGCATGAAATCACAGGAATTAGTCCACGCTTCAGGAGATGTCCCGATGGAAATATGCCTCATGCCCAAGATAAGCAACTCCGCTTTCGATTCGGTATCTTTGAATAGACCGCGATTTGTTTCATCCTTTTGATATTGACTAAGCTCCGCGATGAAACGGCTGGTAACGCTCGTAAAGCTTATGGCGCTCATAATACCCAGAAGCTGGCTGTAGATTCTCCAATTGGCCATTCTCAGTGGGGACGCTGCGATCTGATCCGGATCCACGGTCCTTATTTGACTGAACACAATGTCTTCCAAACGCTCCGCCAGGTCGGGGGTTATAGAGGCCAGGTTGCTCTGGTTGAAGATTTCTATAAGAATCCTGCAAACGAGATAGACGGAGACAGTTGCGCGTCTCTCCGCCAGAACGGCACCTCCATGTTTAGAAAGCAGTGTGCTAGGAGCCTGTCCCGATTCTGAATTGGCAGTAATCCCGCCGTTGGCTGTGTTGGGAGGCTTCGCCTAGGAAAGAAAATAATGTGTTAGTCGCGGGACACTCAGAATTCCTAGACAAGGAGAGGGAGACACGTATCATACCTGATTCACAGTCTGCCTGGCCAGGATGGCCGCGTCACCCTTTTCCTTTCGCCATAGCATAATAGTGTCGATTAAGGGCTTCGGTTTCTGCCGTGCAATATGTCCGAGAGCCGATATCAGCTGGTCAAATTTTGGATCTGCTCCAGGACCGCACACCTCTTCCACCGGAGTCTCGGACTCTCCGAGCTTTAGGATAGCCTGGTCCATTTTGGTGTCGGCCTGACCGACGAACTTGGCAACCTTCAGCATCCAGACTCAACTGAAAAGAAGGGATATAAACGAGGGAGGGTCCTTACTGCATTGAAAAGATGATGCAGGGCATATTCACCCACGGACTTTGTATCTGCGTGGTGATGCTTCGAGTGCGAGCGACTGTGGGAGTGCTCCCTCCGCGGCTTCCCGCTGGAATTTATTCGTCTGTGCAGAGGATTCTTAGAAACTCCAGTGGGAGCTTCGTCAATGTCCTGGTCTTCAATGGTCCTGAGTGTCCCGTGCATAGCGTGACCCGTCCCGGCAGTTGCAGGGTTCTGGTGGTAATTCTGGTGGCCATCCGACAGCCCCAGTCTCCCAACGCCAACAACAGTATCCGATTCAAAACTAGCGGCGCGGCCAACGGATGCAATCAGTTCCGGGCTTAGAGGAGTCGATGTTGTAGAAGAGGCTGCGAAGCTCGGGTTCCGAGAGTGTTGAATGCCATGTACGATAGAGGTTTGTCGGTGATGGCCGTATGAGTTTGAGGGGCGTCTCTCCAAACCCACATCATGCGCTGCGGGCCGAGTAGTAGATGTATCCGGACTTCTGGAATGAGACTGGCCGCGACGGGGGTGCTGAAACTGAAGTGTGGACGAAGCTAGCGGGGGGGGGTCGGCGCCTCTGCCTCTCACGGTGGAAGTATCCCGGTTGTAAACAGCGACTGTGGGAGCAAACCGATCGGGCACAGAGGAGAGTTGTTGATGCGACGGAGCGTTCGATTCATCAGGAACAAGGGACATGGTTGCTGGCTGGACGGGGCCAGCTTTGACCGTTGGATGAGATGCCACTGCATGAGCGCTAAGGCATTAGACAGGTCCATGTGAAATATTTTTAAATAATTCTTAATTTGCAATTCTTTAAAACTTATTTCCTGGCTCCCCCCTTTTTTTCTTTTCTTTTTTTTTAAAAAAAAAATTGCTGAGTCTGACTGAGATGCCTAATGTATAGTGGGAGGAGAGGAAGCTTCTGACTAGCATAACCATGAACCCCCGGAGAGACAGAGGCGTCTATTGGATAGATCAAATAGATCAATGCGACTGACTTACTGATACCAAAATAATTTGTGCTGCATGTGTCGACACCGCTCATTGCTGGTAAGGAGCATACGACCTTGCAGGCACCGGGGAGCAGGACATGATGCTCATTGGCACCAGAGTTGGGGTCGGCTTGAGAAGAGGGTGTTAATCAGTTCATCCACGAGATCCAGAGCTTCGGTTTCCATGCCCTAGTTCTTTTCAGGGGCGAACAGAATAGGAGAAAAAGCAGGAGTTTGCAGAAGTTGAAGGGAAGTGAATGTGATAGTGAGGGAGGGAGAACGGATGAGCAGGGGACTTGCAATCAGCACCGACCAGAGGATGGACCCATGGATGTCCCCATGGCGACTGTGTTCCTGACTACGAACCCTGCAAATCTGCGTTCTAAAACTTGCGTTCTACGGGGCATCTAGGGAGTAAGGAAGGAAGGGCAGCAATCATAAAATTCAATGAAAACAATGAACAATGATTAGAAATAAGATATCATAACGCCTGTCCATCTCTGTGATGTATCCTGTCAACGACAGCAGCATCATGTGACTGGCAGGGGTGCTGAGGTAATCGCTTCACTCCGTAACTAGTTAGTTAAACTAACCTAGTTAACGAACTACAACGACCAAGATTAAATAATAGGACCGAGTGAAAGAATATGAGTCGTGATATATGAGAATCAAGAATGAAGAGCGGAACATATGCCATGTGCGGAACAGCAGGTCAGTGTGCAGAGCCAACGGAACGGAATTGGGGCACTGACTCGCCTATCCTACTATTAATTATTTACTGACAGTGAGTAGATGGACGTTCCGACGACGACCACCGTGGCATGGAATGGTTCCACCTTCGCTCGTTACGACTCGCTGGTCGATTATATTCTGCCTAATTCCTACCGTCCTGGAGACCCGAGGCTCTCTACCTCGACAACGGCGTCAAGGCTTCCAAGTTACCAGAATTGAGTGTGATGGTACCGTGCCACACTCCAATTGCCTTATCCATCATCCGACAGCCGGCCGTGGCTCGTCTTAGCGGCCTCCGCACTTCTTGGTTATCATCTACACCGTAGATAATAATAAATTAGCACCACCTGTCTTCACCTGCTCTCCCCTCCCCTCTTCGCCATTGTCGAGGAGGCCATTGTCGCACGCCGTTTTGCTGCTGCCTTCAGGCACTTCTCCTTTCTTCCATTTCCTTTCCCTTCCTTTCTCTTCTCCTTATCCTCTTCATCCGTCGAGTCCCTCTTCTTCCCCGTGACAACGACCCGTCCCTGTCCCTCGTCCGTGTCCGAACCGAACAGACTCGTTCGACCATGGCTCAACTCGACACCCTCGATCTGGTCGTGCTGGCCGTCCTCCTCGTTGGTACTGTTGCCTATTTCACAAAGGGCACGTACTGGGGCGTTGTCGAAGAGCGCTTCCCCACCCTATACTCTAATACAAATGGTTCCACGGCGGCAGGCGGCAAATCCAGGGACATCCTGGAGAAGATGGATGAGACTGGCAAGAACTGCGTGATTTTCTACGGCTCCCAGACCGGAACTGCCGAGGACTACGCCTCGAGGCTGGCCAAGGAAGGCTCGCAGCGTTTTGGGCTTAAAACCATGGTTGCCGATCTCGAGGAATACGACTATGAGAACCTGGACAAGTTCCCCGACGACAAAGTGGCCTTTTTCGTCCTGGCCACATACGGAGAGGGCGAACCTACCGACAATGCGGTTGAGTTCCATCAGTTCATCACTGGCGAAGATGTCACTTTCGAGGGCGGCGCATCTGCCGACGAACAGCCGCTGTCCTCGCTGAAGTATGTCACCTTTGGTCTGGGGAACAACACCTACGAGCACTACAACGCCATGGTTCGGATCATCGACGAGTCTCTCACGAAACTCGGAGCCAAACGCATTGGCCCGGCCGGCATGGGTGATGATGGCGCTGGAACAATGGAGGAGGATTTCCTTGCCTGGAAGGAGGAGATGTGGCCCGCCTTGGTCCAGGCCCTCGGATTGGAAGAACGTGAAGCTACCTACGAGCCCATATTCAGCGTGACTGAAGACAGCGCACTGTCTCCGGAGGATGAAGCCGTCTACCTGGGCGAGCCGACCAAAACCCACCTGGAAGGCAGTCCCAAGGGCCCTTATTCTGCACACAACCCCTTTATTGCCCGTATCGCTGAGTCCCGCGAGCTGTTCACGGTTAAAGATCGCAACTGTCTGCACCTCGAAGTTGATCTTGCTGGAAGCAACCTCAGCTATGAGACTGGTGATCACGTTGCAGTTTGGCCTACCAACCCTGGTTTGGAAGTGGACCGCTTCCTGTGCGTCTTTGGCCTCGAAGAGAAACGGCACTCGGTTATTCAGATCAAGGGCATAGATGTCACGGCCAAGGTTCCCATTCCTACCCCCACCACCTATGATGCTGCGGTTCGCTACTACCTGGAAATATGCGGCCCGGTTTCCCGTCAGTTCTTGTCTTCCTTAGCCCCGTTTGCTCCCGATGAGACCGCCAAGGCTGAACTGGTCCGTCTCGGTAATGACAAGGATTATTTCCATGAAAAAGTATCCGCGCAATGCTTCAATGTCGCACAGTTCCTGGAGACCCTCTCGTCAAAGCCATTCTCTGCTGTTCCCTTCTCCTTTCTGATCGAAGGCATTCATAAGCTTCAACCGCGTTACTACTCTATCTCATCGTCGTCTCTTGTGCAGAAGAACAAGGTCAGCATTACCGCCGTCGTGGAATCAGTCCGACTGCCGGGTGCAAGTCACGTTGTCAAGGGAGTTACCACAAATTATCTCCTCGCGCTCAAGCAGAAGCAGAATGGCGACCCTGCCCCTGACCCTCATGGCCTGACGTACTCCATCACCGGCCCCCGTAACAAGTACGATGGAATCCATGTACCTGTTCATATTCGCCACTCCAACTTCAAGCTGCCCTCTGATCCATCGAGACCAGTCATCATGGTCGGTCCCGGCACCGGTGCTGCCCCATTCCGTGGCTTTATTCAAGAACGTGCTGCTCTTGCTGCTCGCGGCGAGAAGGTCGGCCCCACAGTTCTATTCTTCGGCTGCCGGAAGCGTGAGGAGGATTTCATCTACCAAGATGAGTGGAAGGTACGATCATCTTTGTCTTTCAAATCCCCCTTCTTTTGAACTGCAATTGTTGACTGAACCGCAGGTTTTTGGCGAACAACTCGGCGATTCATTGAAAGTCATCACGGCCTTTTCCCGGGAGACTGACCAGAAGGTATACGTTCAGCACAGACTTCGTGAGCACGCGTCTCTTGTCAGCTATTTGCTTTTGCAGAAGGCCAACTTCTATGTCTGTGGAGATGCGGCTCGCATGGCCCGTGACGTGAACGCCGTTCTTGGGCAGATACTTGCTGACCAGCGTGGCTTGCCCGCCGAGAAGGGCGAGGAGCTGGTGAAACAAATGCGAAATAACGGCACCTACCAGGAGGATGTATGGTCGTGATATTAATAATCCGTCCCCCTTTTTGAGGCTTCACCATTTCGCTGTTTTAACGTTGGTCGCTTCAAAGACTGTTCATTAGCGATATATATCATTTCTAGATGTCGTTGTGCGGATGCTTGTTGCTCTATTGGATATACAGATGGGCATGCATGCTTAGTGGAATATACGCATAGCAGGTGCTTTTGGCCATGCGTCATTCTGGTACTGAATTCTGATTTATCTCTCCTTCCCACATTCACGGGATGGGACCGGTCGGTGGGAGGCTTAGGAGTCCAATGCGTATATGTTTATTATTGTCTGATATTTCAGCTTGTATATTATTTCTTTTACGAATAATAGAACTTCGCGTGTTGGTGACTTTGCGTTGCGGCCCTTCAGCCGCCTCGGTTGTAAGCCCGGATTTAAGTAGCGAAACACTGCAAACTCACGCATGAATACTTATCGATTCTTTCCCTACAGACTCCACGGCAGGACTCCATGGTCGATCGATCGATCAATCAATCAATCAAACTCCTCGAGAAGATGCGTATTACAACTGGCATGACCAGTGACGAGTCCCTGATCTGATCCCACGCTTTCGTTGTCGGGTGCAAGCGCATCCCCGCAATCGCTTTGACGGCATCGGAAAAGAGCTCGTCAAGACACCCGAGTGAGGAAGAAAACACAGAAGTCTATCTTCTTTACATCATGGCGTACGTCGTACCGATCCACCGCGCGAGCAGTATCCGGCATGCGGTAAAGCTACGATTCATGGCGGAAGAGGAGGATTGCTTGGTTGTCGCGTTCGTCTCTCCCTCTTCCCTCATTTGCAGTTAACATGAAGCTAACAAAGAGGGCATAAACCCAAATTGGGTATACTAGAAAAGCAAATCGACTAGAATTCTATTCCCTGACCCCAGATGGTTTGAGTCTCACGACCTCCCGCACTTTGTATGGACAAGTTACCATACTCGCTCGGCTTCCTGCTCCCGCAAAATCCCCTACAGATCACCTCTTCGTTGGAACGGACCAACACAAGTTTTTCACACTTTCGTGGGATCCTCTGGCGGACCGGGTTCATACGGAGCGGGGCTTTATTGATCTCGCTGATCCATCATCGAGGGAGGCGCAACAGGGCGGGAGATGCTTGATCGATCCTAGCGGGCGGTTTCTGACCTTGGAAACATATGAGGGTATCGTTACAGTCATCCCGATTGTGCAGTTACCTACAAAAAAGAGGGGAAGGAATGTGCACACAGCATCCGGGCCCGATGCACCCCAGGTCGGCGAATTGGCAGAGCCGACAATGACGAGGATCGATGAGCTTTTTGTCCGGTCGTCAGCCTTCCTGCATGTGCAGATGGGGCCGCCGCGTCTGGCTTTGTTGTATGAAGACAACCAGAAGAGGGTTAAGCTAAAGGTCCGAGAGTTGCAGTATAGCGCGGCCACTGCAAGCACTAGTGCAGATGCAACCTTTGTTGAAGCTGAAGTCTTTGCACAGGAGCTGGACCTGGGAGCGTCTCACCTTATTCCAGTTCCTGCTCCATTAGGTCAGTAACGCGTGTGTGCTTCATTCCGCTACGTACTAAGGCATGGCTGCAGGTGGTTTCCTTATCCTTGGTGAAACATCGATCAAATACATCGATGACGACAACAATGAAACTATTTCTCGACCACTCGATGAAGCAACTGTTTTTGTCGCGTGGGAGCAGGTAGATGGTCAGCGATGGCTTCTTGCAGACGACTACGGGAGGCTGTTCTTCCTCATGCTTGTCTTGGACTCCAATAACGAGGTAGACGGCTGGAAGTTGGATTACCTGGGCAATATATCGCGGGCATCGGTCCTCATTTACCTTGGCGCCGGGGTGACCTTTGTCGGATCTAATCAGGGTGATTCGCAGGTTATTCGGATCGCTGATGGTTCCCCTGAGGTGATCCAGACCCTGTCCAACATTGCGCCTATCTTGGATTTTACTATAATGGATCTCGGAAGCCGCGGAAACGAAACACAGACCCATGAATTCTCGTCTGGTCAGGCACGTATCGTCACCGGTTCGGGGGCTTGGACTGACGGTACTCTGAGGAGTGTTCGGAGCGGTGTCGGCATGGAAGAACTGGGCATCCTGGGAGATATGGACCATATAATAGACCTTTGGGGCTTGCAGATTGCAAGCACCGGTGAGTTTTTGGACACGCTACTGGTTACATTTGTAGATGAAACGAGGGTATTCCGCTTCAGTTCCGATGGAGAGGTGGAAGAGCTGGATCATTTTCTGGGTCTTGCACTTTCTGAGAATACTCTTCTGGCCGCGAATCTTCCTGGTGCGAGGGTACTACAGGTCACTGAGCGCAGGATCCTCCTGGCTGATGTAGACAGTGGAATGGCCACCTTTGTATGGGTACCGGATGGCCAGCAGACCATAACTGCTGCCGCCTGCTCTGAAGGCCGGTTGGTTATTGTCGTTGGCGGCCAGGCACTCTTGGTATTTGAAATTGGGAATGATGTCCAACTCACTGCACAGAAGGATTTCGGGACTGACAGCCAGATCTCTGGGGTAACAGTGCCCCCATCACCGACGGGCGTGTGTATTGCTTGTTTCCCTCAGTCTGCTGCAGTCTCTGTCCTATCGCTTCATGATTTCAAGGAGCTGCACACGCAGCCACTGGGCACAGCTGGGGAAGCTTTTCCACGGTCTGTTCTTGTTGCTCACGTCCTTGCAAAGAATCCACCAACGCTCTTTGTCTCAATGGCAGACGGCAGTGTCATCATATTCACATTCAATCCTACAGACTTATCCTTAACCAGCATGAACAAGTTAACCCTCGGCTCTGAGCAGCCAGTCTTCAAAAAGCTACCAAGGGGTGATGGACTGTACAATGTATTCGCTACTTGCGAGAACCCGAGTTTGATCTACGGATCTGAAGGCAGAATCATATATTCTGCAGTAAACTCAGAAGGAGCTTCTCGCATTTGCCATTTCCACTGCGAAGCCTACCCTGAGTCGATCGCTGTGGCGACCACCCACGATCTAAAGATTGCTCTGGTGGACAAGGAGCGGACAACTCAGATTCAGACTCTGCCCATTGGTGCCACAGTCCGGAGGGTTGCTTATTCTCCATCGGAGAGATCATTTGGTATCGGGACTGTTGAACGGAAATTAGAAGACGGGGCCGAGGTTGTCAACAGCCAGTTTGTGCTCGCTGATGAGATTCTATTCCGGCGACTCCATACGGTCGATTTGAGGCAGAATGAGCTGGTTGCAAGTGTCATCCGTGCCGAATTTCTGACAGGGAAAGATGAAAATGGCCGGGATACGTTCAAGGATAGATTTGTTGTTGGAACATCCTACTTGGATGACGAAGGCGAGGAGTCAATTCGGGGAAGGATACTGGTGTTTGAAGTTGATAATGGTCGGAAGCTGACCCAGGTTGCTCAGCTCCCCGTCAAGGGAGTATGTGGCGCCTTAGCTATGCTGGGGGAGAAGATTGTGGCGGCGCTTGCCAAAACGGTAAGCTCTAGATTCCGTGTTAACGTTTCCCTTCTATATGCATAAGTTGATGAATTATAGGTTGTTCTGTATAAACTCGCGAATGACAACTTCGGAGAGATGAAGCTTGAAAAGCTGGCCAGTTACAGAACATCCACAATGCCTGTGGACGTGGCGGTAGCGGGAAACTTGATTGCCGTATCAGACCTCATGAAGAGTGTCTCCATTGTTGAGTATAGAGAGGGCGAGGACGGCCTCCCCGATTCTCTAACTGAAGTATCCCGTCACTTCCAAACAGTCTGGGCAACCAGCGTGTGCAGTGTTGCAGAGAACACTTACCTGGAAAGCGACTCCGAAGGCAACCTGATTGTTCTCCGTCGTAATGTCAATGGCGTCACTGACGACGATAGGAGACGATTGGAAGTGACCAGCGAGATTTCGCTAGGTGAGATGGTCAACCGGATTCGACCTGTTGATATCCATCAATCTTCCAGTGTGACAGTCACTCCAAGAGCCTTCCTAGCAACTGTACGTCCCATCTAATATTTCCCTATCACGTAGAACCCCCGCTCTACTAGTCCCGCATGCTTACTCGCAATCGAACAGGTTGAAGGCTCCATCTATCTATTTGCCCTCATACACCCGGAATACCAGGACCTTCTCATGCGTCTGCAGTCCACCATGGCAGCCTACGTTGACTCACTAGGGAACCTACCCTTTAACAAGTTCCGTGCTTTCCGCAACATGGTACGCGAAGCGGAAGAGCCCTTCCGATTCGTAGATGGAGAACTGATCGAGCGGTTCTTGACTTTCGAGCCTGGGACCCAGGAGGAAATTGCGGGACTGCTGGGCATCATGGACGCAGAGGGCATCAAAGCGATGATAGAAGCGTTGAGAAGGTTGCACTAGTCTGTCTGTTGTACTACCAGTCTAGATGTTTAATTTCGGCCGTTGGGGTTTGCGGATGGCTTTAGGGTATATTAAATGATTTTTGGTGACTTTACATCCGGTTCTTGCCAGGAAAACTGGAAGACAAGCACACAAAATACTTTTTATATTTTCTGCACCCAAACTGAAGCTCATGGAACACATCATCGCTCAGAAAAAGAGTTCTGGTGTATTAGGACTTCTCTCCGGACATTATTATGAGATCATACATAGAACGGTAAATATCCTCCTACCCGCTCTCCATCCTTCTCAACCCGGTGTCAAGTATTTATGGAAGTAAACAGTATCAATTATACAGCGTCAAAGGAAAGTTCATGAATCAATTAAAGGAGAAGAATCCGGGCGATAAGGACCGCAGTAATGTAACCCCCCATACAATAATTAACGCGGTTTTAGTTGCGGTACTGCGGTAAATAGGAGAAAATGAGAATAGTCGAGGCGTACGCGTAACGGTAGAGATAGCAGGTAAAGGTGATTGTATCTTCCTCGCCGATGGACCAGAAGAGTTGATCACTCATCTTTCTTCTCTGAAACCGACTTCTTCGAACCGGCCTTCTCATCTTCGGACTCACTCCAGTCTAACAACTCAAGCAGTTGCTCCTCAGACAATTCTTCCGCGTGTTTCTCAGTCTGTTTCTCCAACGATTTCAGGTACTTCTTTCGTCTCTTTCTGGCAATACCACTCCACTCGGGAACGCCAGAAGCCTTGGCCTCATCTTCCTCAAGCTCATCGTCCGTATTCTCAACCTCTCCTAGCACCTTGCCTGTTCCACGGAGGGAATTGGCCGAAACTTTGGCTTTCTTATCCCCGGACACCCCGAACGCTGCCCTCTGTGCTTCCTCCTTGGCTCGCTTCCTGCGCTGGTCGTAATCAAACCACTTGCGGAAACCCAGGTCGATGTAAGGACGGATCATGATGTAGCCTATGACAACCGCGGCAAGGCGAATCCAGCGCTGAGAGGTCATGTCAGCGACGGAGGCGTACATGTTGTCCTTGAGGCGCTTCGCGCCGACTGCGAAGCCCTTGAAGAGGAGGGAAAAGAATTCGTTCACGGCATCGGCGACGACATCACCAGCTTCAGCTGCACCGACGGTCTCCATTGCTGTCTTTCTTCGATTGTTTGTCGGTTTAAATTTTTTATTTTTTATTTTTTATTTTTTCTTCTTTCTAGGATGATCGATCGGTTTGTCAACTGTTCAACTTTTGCTTGGCGGCAGGATACTGCTACCCAGGAACTGTTGCAGCTCCCCTGTGGAAGCCACCCGAAGATGAAGCTCAAGAAAATGTAACTCTCGGGGAAGATGAGGAATTGGATTCTAAAGGAAACTTGTCCTTTGAGCTTAAATGAAGGAATCTTTCCTTGTCCATCCGGTGGATATGGCCTATTCTGGATTAGCGTTTTCGGTGGCGGGAATATTATTACCCGTGGCTGGCATGATTACATAACTAGGTACCTCCCTGTTCTCGCGTTCCCACTTAGGAGGCGGTGAGTAGAAGGCGGTGTGTGCACAATTATTCCGGATTATTATTATTATCCTAGACAGGTTCTCCCTTGTCCCAGTTCGGTTTTCCATTGTTGTAAGCCCTGCATCAATGGAGCAGAATGAAGAAACTAGTCTTTCAGAGGTATATCTACCCTAGTCGCTCATGTTGTCCGGAATGTATTTCTGATGATCCATCCCTGGTGTAGCGCTTCAAGTCCGCTCTTTGGCTATACATCGGCAAAATCGTGGACGAAGAGACTATCAAGCTGGGTGTCAACACCACGCCCCAGTTCATAGGGGCTCTGACAGAAATGGTCTGGGCGCAGATAGGTGTGTATATTGAATTAATCGATGTGTACATGGGGACTTGCTCTTATGTCTGAGTTTTATCTCATACATCCCTACCCTTTCTCCAATCGGTTTTTCACCGTATGTGTCTAACTTTATCCAGAGACTGTAAGCCACGATTTGGAAGCGTTTGCGAGGTAAGAAAGGAAGATCAGTTCTAGTCTCAAAGGATCCCTTGACGCTGTCAGGTCTGGCGTATAACGTCAAAGAAGAGGGCTTTGGATTAACGCGATAGCTTTTCTTCTAGACATGCTGGGCGCTCGACCATCAACGTATCCGATGTGATGCTCCTTGCTCGAAGAAACGAGGGTCTAGAATCAATCCTGCGTGCTTTTGTTGATCAGCAGCGGGAACAGGCAGGCGATTCGAGGGCCCAGGGGTCCGAATCTGAGTAGTCTTCACCGGCTTGCTATATTCCGTGGCTAAGAGCCCAGAACGACATTTCCCCCGGTGAAGAGATGGGAGCCCTGTTCTGTGCCTCTGAGAGCTTTTAGCTAATTATATCAGTATCAGCTGCATCCACATCCTAGAATCTACATACAATGTCACCCTTCTTCTAGTCGTGGAGTTTGTCTTTACTATGTTCCTGCACGGTATCTAGCAACACTGCCATGGCCCTGTGATTATGGGTACCAATCTACCTATGGTTCAACCTAATTGCTTTGTCGTTTGGTGTTCCCTGCAGACAACGGACATGAGACTGCACTATTGCTTCCTATTCATCCTGTACGTACCTGGAGTGGTCTACATTTCTCTGATACTGAAATGACCTGCAGGTCTATCGAATGAAAGACAGTCTAACTTATTTCCTAGCTACAGCCGAACAGGGTGTCCTGAACTGGTGTCCGAAGAACGAACCAAACTAGAACACTGGAAGGAGAATGAGGGGCAACAATACCCCTGGGAGAGATGGCAAGCCGTGGACTTTTTATTCATTGAATCCCTGGTGTTTTGGTGCTCATCGGCCCCCTCTTCTACTAAAATAGTAAGTAATGTTATGGCAGGCCGGGTAACCACCAAGGTTGGATGGGAATCTAGTCGAGGGTCGTCCTCTTCCAACGCATGAGTCCAATCCGCATCCATCGTGGCGGAGCTCCTGAACGTGCGATCCAGGTCTTCGAGGAGATGCAGTTTCAAGTATCTTGGATAACACGCGTAGTCAGTTGCAGTCTGTTCCGTTTTCTCGTAGAGTTCCTTCAGGGGAGTGTCTCGACGGTTAGACAGCGGGTTCTAGCTATGAGGAATTGGGGGTCTTTGTCATGACCTACAACAAGGTGTTTTCCTTGGTGAGATTTTGGAGTTCGGGATCCCAGGTCTCTCTTTGCGTTGGCTTTCGCAGGCGGTTTATGTGTGGCTGAGGATGAAGGTAGATGAAGCCTCGCTTAGCGCTTTATTTTTGGCATTCAATGCCATCCCTGTGTAGCGATGTCAGCTGTGGTTAACCCTTGTTGATCACAGACGGCAATACAACAGCCAGATTATGCAGGTGAGCATGGAGGTACCTTGAAGGATGCATGAGCTAATTCTGCGCAGGCAAATTGTCTTAGATGAGACGTTTATCGAGCCATTGGGGCATGAGAGACGACAATGTAGGTATATGGAGGAGAATATAACTACCAGAAATGACCACACTGACTCTATCTTTCGTCCAAGCTTCTTCAGTTAGCAACGGCCCTATATCCCTCCAGCACTTGTTATATACATAAAAAGTCTCTTTTTCAACCGCCTACCCCGGCCAGACGATGTCAATGATCCATTTGAATACCAGTACAAGGTATGGGTTAGGCGTTTCCTGTCTCTGATCGTCTGCAAAAATTCCATTACGCCAAGCTGGTGTTCATCCTTTTCACGTTCAGTTCTGTTTGCGGGCCAGTTGCTATGTGATGAAAGCCCTGTGTTTCCACGCTTCCAGCATAGATGTATATCACAAGTCTCGTCTATAATCGGTTCGTTATAAAACCGCCGTGCCTCTGCGGATAGGTCTCCATGCAGGCTCCGACGGCTCAGTGGAACTGCTTCGAGACCTCTTTTGAGGACGAGCTTTCTCTTCATCGGTCGAGTCGCCAGACTCAGACCCCGAGGTGCCGGACGCGGAATCTGGCTGGACAGATGCTAAAGGTGATTCTTTCCTCTTCCTTGGGTTGTGGTCGATCGTCTGCGAACCAGCCTCGTCGTGCTCATTGCCGGCGTCTTTGGATGGACTATTATTACTATTATTATGTCGGGGTGATCCTTCACCTTCGGTTTCTTGGGAGAGATTGTTGCCATCGCTTTCGGGAACGACATGCCCTTCCTCCGGGGATTCTTCAACATGAGCTGGAGCCTCTGCCCATTCACCAGGAACGTCCTCGGGTTTGGCATTCATAGATAACGAAACTACTAGCGCCCCGGGCGCATGTAATGATAATCGGGAATTTGCCTCCTGCATCAGCCGGTCTCGCTGGTTCCGAGCCCACATTCTAAGGTTTCTGAAAGCACTGACCCCCGCGTGGAACTCTCCCAAAGATCCCCACAGGTACCAGGCCCCCAGCTCTACCATGAAGTACTCGGATATGTGGACGGGGTGCACCGCGTACATTCTGAGCATCCCGTCAACATACGTCGAAGTAATCGTATACGCGTTGCCGTCGTACGGCAAATCTCGCTCAACCGACTGCAGGACACGCATGGCTCGAGCACCGGTAGTGCCGTCATAAAGGGCTAGTCGTCGAGCCGCGGCGGGAGGGAAATCGGAGTCCCTTGCTATCAGGAAAAAGTTTGGAGCAAGGGGATGATTTCCATCCGTTGGGAGGAGATAGTGCCGCATTTGGTTCCGGATGCGTGCATCCAGCTGGTCATGGTCGCCTCCATCATAGAAATCGGGATTAGCGTGTTGGAGGATGAGGTCTTCGGAAAATGGATTCATGTTACTAAACCTTACCCTTGTTCTCTTCTCGATTGCCTCTTCCCCGTGCATTATGGGGAGAATCTTTTCAACTATTGAGGAGTGGTCGCGTGCATTTCTGTACACCATTTGCAGAGTGCTGAATGTGTCCAGAGAGATTGAATATACAGTCTCATTTCTAGTAGAAAGCGCTGCAATAAGGTCGTCCCAGTTGTTTGGTGTCGAAGCAGCCTTTACATCAGGAGCGTGGTTACTGAAGAACATACCACTATGTTCCAGATCCCGCTCCAGATTCATGCCGAAGAGATCGCCCGGTGCTACTGTTTCAGCGACACTGGACGAGTGTACAGTTTTAACCTTGAGTGGGATCTGGTACCTACAGCGAGGGCAGGTAATGTCATAATACCCAGGAGCCTTTATACCAACTGACCGCCATGGTTCGGGAGAGTCATGAACCTATGGGAGAGTTAGGGCTCAGCGAAGCATATAAATTGAGCAAGAGATTTGCACTGTACTTACCCCTTGAAGGTCAGAAATTTCTGGCTTAATGCAATTGGGAGTCTGGCCATCGGAAACCTGCTGATTATACATTCCAGGCCGATCCGTCAGTGGTGGTGGTTGCAGATTCGCTTGCATTGTTGCGGCCTGCCAGTTCAGCACGGCCAGATTCTCCTGTGTAAGAAGATCTCCTTGGGGAAGGTCGAGAGTAGGATTCGGTAGCTGATCATCATCGGCGATGTCATCACGGAAACTGGAGCACACTGACCGCGGTTCTGACTTGATATGGGTTATAGTAGAATGTCCCGAATTTGCGTCCGGAAACCACTGTCCTCTCAAAAGCAGGACGTCAGAATTACCTGGGCTGAGATCCTCGTTTCTCTGTGAAAGTTCATACACAGGGCTCAGGTTGGGATTATATACACCAACTTCGTCCGAAGGAACACTGCCAGAAACGCCCAGAGACTCACCTATCGGAAGTGCGTCAAGAAATTCATCCACATCAATAACCCCTGCAAAAGGCGCTATTTCCATATCATCCAAGGGCAGACCATTGGGTAGATCGGAAACATGTGATTCGCTTTGCTCACTTTGGTCGTCAATCCAGGGATATGGTGGAACGAAGCCGAAACCAAGAGGAGAGAGAGGAGGAGAAGGTGGACGCCGCCGAAGGTTCATCGTATGCAATATGGAGATGGATATAAATGAAACTGAGAGAGAGCTGTAGTTGTACGCGTATATGACTGTCTGGTCTAGCATCCTCCGGACGCCTTCATATATAAGCAGCAGCATGCCAATGCAGACAGACTCGACAAATAGAACTTCTTTGCAAAGAGCCCATAAAGACTATCTTCTGGAGTATTGCCGCGATGCTTTTGTTGACAGGCTGCATAGATAGAAATCGTTCAAATTCTTTGGGCTGTCCAGACAATGCCGACTAAAGGCTGGGCTTTTTGACAACGAGGATCAGTATCATAAAGGTACAAAGAGAAAAAAAGATGGCAATTTCTTTCATTCATTTTCAGGCATAAAGACATGTCCAAGTTTAAAGAACGCAAGTTTGGCAAGGAAAAGAATAGTCTTGTCAAAGGTATAGGAGCAATGGCCATTGTAGCAGTGAAAGGAAGCCCTTGTCCAGAATTAACTTCTGCCGTGAAGAACACCTCCAGCCATTTGCCAAGGGAGCTCTATGCAGTTCCAGCATGCCCTCACATGTATGTAACAAGCAAGCCATACGTAGGCCTGTAGACACGAGAATCAGTATCCTGCGGAAGTTTCAACACTGGGGCGAGGGAAATTCATGCAGTGAGACCACAAGTCATACTTCAGTAAGGATATAACAGTTGAAGATCAAGCAATGAAGATATTCAAGAAGGCTTTCTGAGCCTCGCTATATACAACGCATAAAAGTACGGCTTCATCCCAGGTGGATGCCGTCACGCTCGTGCAAAGAAGATCGAGACTTGCCGGACAGACAGTTGACGGGTTTTGAGCCTGCAATGTATAGTCCAGCAATAAATGCATAAGGCCACAAGGATTGGTACAGGGGCATTGAGTTAGATTCACGCAGATCTCCAAACTAATGCCAAATATGCTGCGTCCCTGGATGTCCTTCACGGAGTCTTGACCCCAGTCCATCCTGGAAATAGTTCTCCCTTGCTGAGCCCCCCTTAAATTTGTAGTCATCCCAGATGACTCCTCTCCTGCGCAGTTCGGGAAACAGGTACTTGATCATATCCTCAAATGTACCTGGGGAAATGGTGTAGGAAAAGTTGAATCCATCCACGCCCGCAACATCCACCCATCTCTGTAAGATATCCGCCACTGTGGTTGGAGAACCAATTGCACGCGGATGGGCTCCCCCTAGAGCTAGTTCTTGGAGAACACGCCGTTTTGTCCACTTGAGCCCATTGGAATTTGGCACAGTCTTGGACCAACTTGAGATCATGGACTGGATCCCGCCGACGGCCGTGAAGGCGAAGTCTTGGTCATCTTCGAATTTGGACAAGTCATTGTTGGTCCATCCTCCGAACAGGGTTGCAACGCCTTCCAGGTCGGCTTGAGCGAGATATTCTTCATATTTAGCCTGGGCCTTTTCATCGGTTTCGTCGACTATCACTAAGATGCCAGCGATGAACTTGATACTATCTGGCGCCCGTCCAACTTCCTGTAGTTGTTTCCTAAAATTACTCTGTCAGAAGCGTGGTTGTACAGATAGTGGTATTGATGCATACCGCATATCATCCACAACGATCTTGGTCTTTTCCGGTTCTAAGCCCGGAAGAAACATGACCTCGGAATGTTTTGCTGCGAATCGTTTCCCGGCACTGTACGGTGTTTCGTTGGTATTAATCTGGCAAGAAAATGCCCCGCAACACAGGAAAGAGGGAATTGACGTACGATGAAGCGCCAGCCTGAAAGAGCAATGGAGTCCGTTGCTTCGAAGCCGGAAGTTGATTGATCGCCGAGCTCTGGAAATATTCGCCCTTGTGCTCGACCCGGCGCACTTGGTTAGGATCACTGTAGACAGCCGAGACAGGGTCTTTGACGACGGCACCATCCTGCCATGTTCCCTCCCAAATCTTGTATGCAAGGTCCAAGTACTCGTCGGCTCTTGCGTAGCGCTCATCGTGCGGGATCTGCTCCTCAAACCCGTAGGCGCGGGCCGCGCTATCAAGAAACGAGGTTACGATGTTCCAACCGACACGGCCCTTGGTAAGATGGTCGAGAGTAGAAAACTTCCTAGCTAGGGCATATGGGGAGGTCTCATATGTGGTGGAGGCAGTGATGCCGAAGGAAAGCGACTCGGTTACGGCCGCCATGGCGGAGATCAAGAGGCTTTGCGGCTCTTTTTGTCAGACAGAAGCCGCTCGAAGAAGAGAGAGAGAGACTCACAAGGGATCGCCAATTGGGAATTGCGCGCCGGACAGCAGGGCAGGATCCTTGTTTCCCGGGCCTTTATACACATCGTAGATGCCCAGGTGGTCAGCAAGGAAGAGGCCGTGGAATTTTCCCTTTTCCAAGATTTTGGCCAGCTCGATCCAATAGGACAGGTCGGTAAAATCACCAGCACGGTCTTGCGGATGCTTCCATAAGCCTGGAGACCGGTCAGCACTGGCAGTTCTGGAAGTAATTGACCTTGCCGGGTGATGAAGAGGGGCAGTGATGGTCACAGCGGGGGAGAGGAAATGGAATAGACCCCATTGTGATAGCCAATTTCCTTACCTGGTGACAAATGGCCTGGTGAGAACATGGCAAAAGCATTGAGGATCCATGACTTCTTGGGAGAGTCTGTCATTTTGCTTGGAATGGGCTGTTGAACAGAAGAGATGAACATGAGAATCACAGCATGAGAGCAGAAGAACACCCTGGGCAATTAAAGCAGTTGATGCTCAAGCAGAGTGGGTGATGATGGCGTTAACCAGCTGTGCTCTCACGCCATTTCACAGTAGATTATGTATAACTATGGAGACTCATGGCATCCTCGGAATGCTGCCGAGTGCTGTGTATAGTTTCCATATTTCCGGCATAGTGTACGAGCAGCAATGGATGCCTACAAATTTTAAAGACAGTTGTAGAGAGAGAGAGAGAGAAAGAGAGAGAGAATGTAGCACATTTCCTATGCCAGGTGGGACTTTCCTAGTTTACCTGCCACCATCCTTATGTACTCAGGGTGAGGCTCACTGAGTAAATCTGAGTCCAGGCTATTTAGCACTCAGCCCTCACTTTTTCTGATGCCCTCATTTCTCGAGGCTCTATGCACAATTTCCCCACCTTCACCCTCAGCCCTCAGAAAATATATGACGCAAAATCTGTCTGTTATGCAATGCCCGGGGTGGGTTTATATCACTTGTCTTGGCCAGAGACCTCCCCTTTCAAGTGCCCACACTCCTTCGTCTCTCCCTCCTCCCTTACCATGGCCCTTTCACTTCCGTTCTCTGCAACTGACAGTATCGTTACCCAAACATCGCTATCCGGAATAATGGGCAGATACGAATGGACGGAAGAAGAAAAAGCGTTGGCGGTATATTTCAGGTACTTGGGCGTTCGTTGCGATGGAATTTCCCAGCTGCTCGAAAATCAAGGGTTTATGCACTCAGAGAGAGCAGTCTCTGGTATAATCAGATCGATCCAGAACAACGAAGGGCTTGCCATCAATACGCTGACAAGAAGCGAGGCCGATGCCTTGATTGATCGAGTTGCCTCTGGCTATGACATCAGTTGTTTCCTCCTGCCTATGGATGGTATCAGTGGATCATAGACCAGGTAAGCTTTGTGCAAGAAGCAGAAGTTCCCTTGGTCTAACTGGAACAAGTCCCAGCAGGACATCGACATTTGAGAAGAATATCTTGATTGGCTGAACTGTGGAATGAGTGAACATCATTGTCAGCCTTAAGGCCCAGAATATGATAAGGGGTGGAATCGACATTGGCGTGGCCTTATAATCCTAGAGGTCGCATTTAAGATGTCTGGCAATGAATGGATGTGTTAAAGGCTGCGTCACTGCAAAACGCTGAGACTTTATACAACAACGCTATGGCCTATATAGCCCTGCCGTGATTTCTTTGGCTTAGATGTGAATGTAGCACGTGGTGATGCTTTTCGTTTGTCGTTGATAACTGCCCCACCAAAGTCGATGAACATAACCCGCTGAGCCTCGGTGTTCCATAACATATTGGACGGTCGTTGATCTAGATGTTGGACGCCGGCTTCGTAAATTTCTGCTTTCGTAGATGCAATATGCTCTGTCAGATCGCAACGACCGGAGGTCTCCAAACTGACACCACCATATGCCATCAATGGCATGTGTATGATAATGGCTGTAAGATCAAGAAATATACATTCCTTTTTAAGTAGATATCACCAAGATATACCGGAACAGAAGATCCTTGTAGGTCTTTAATTTCCGATATACATCACCCTCGCAATGAGAGCTATATGTAGTGCCTTTTCCAAGAAAATTATAGCCGTATGCCTCGAGAGTTATAATGAAGAGGGGCCCATGTAATCCCCCTTTCCATAGCGGCACACAACAGTTTTCAGGATCACGGTTCAGTTGTTGGCTAACAAGTTTGATGAATTTCAAGTGTGATATAGGATGCCGCCCATTTTTCGACCGTGTTTCGTGTAAGGAAGCATTTGGACACTTAAGATCGAGGACCGAACCAGACACTAATCCGTGGAGGCATTTCTGCGTGCAGTAATTATTTTTCAGGCGTCTGCTGCCACCAGAGCTTCCTGAAGCTGTTGGATGTGATAAACGCTGTCGCTTTCTCCGTTCCATACTTGCGATCGGCGAAGAAGGAAGCCGTGTTGGACCGCCACTGGACTCGTCCGATAAGTCAGGAGAATCCATTTTATTTGACAAAGTATCGTTAACTATCACAACCTGTCGGCGGCTGTCGTGATCGTACAAGATATGGTGATCGCGGGTTAATAGGGTAGCGCGGCGCTCGATATATTGAACCCGGTGGAGTTTGCTTTCGTTCGGTCTCCGGAATTACTCGGAGGACGTCCTCAAAATCCATTTCCCATTTATGTAGCTGCTTCACAGCGTTGTTGCGCCAGATCTGGTTGCGTTGCGGGAAACGGTGAGCCATAAGCATCAAAGCAAGTCGGTTACCAATAGTAGTGTAAGGATATCGAAACCCAAGACCATCATTAGTTTCAGGCGTCGCATCCATAGTAGGATTAACAAGGCAGTAATTCAGTGTCGACGGATCTTCCTCGCGAATCCAAAGTATTACCTGGCTCCTCCCATTCTCCAGAACGCTCAGGGGGAGTCCGCCTTTAATCATATTATCGAATGTCTGGGTCAGAGCGGCACAAGACAGTAACTCAGCGTTGTATTAGATCTTCTCTTCCGGGTCCACTGGGATAGTGACACGTTGTACAACCTCGTCAAGCATATTCATAGGCTTCAGTCTGGCTCACAGGACAGTGTCTGGGAGCTTATGGGCCGCTTTATATTCAACAACATAGAGTAATCTCTTGTTACCATTTCGTACGCATACGCAGTTCTGGTCCGCTCGGACACTGCGGGTATGCTCTGATAGGCTCTGGCCTGGCTCCTCAGTGATTGTGTTCATATGATTCTCTAAACTTATCCTATCGCCGATCGAATATGTCTCTCGTGCCGCAGGAATCTGAGCCAACCGATCAATTACTTCTTTGACAGGGTTCTCAACTTCCGCCTCCTTATATCGGACTAAATCAGCTTCGCTGGCCAGAGGGCGAGTACAGGCCTGCTGTCCTCGGTCTTCTATAACAATAAGAGGCGGGAATACACGCAGGGATGAGTCGGAGGAAGGGTGGAAAAAGCGGTATACCTCATCGAAGAGAGGCTGTTGGACCGATCGAAAGTCCCAGGGTTGAAGAAAAGTCGGACAGATACGGCCACCTGGGCTAGTTATCGAACCTTTTGTTGTCAGCGACCTGTGGGTCTGGATAGCCATGGGTTTCGTGATAGAATAATGGCACGCCCGAATATATCTGCGAAAGTTGTCTTCTTATTTCCGTTCCCTGTCATACAATTGTTGGCAATATCTTTTATTCAGTCAACTTGAGGTCGCTGCGAATGATGGGTTCAAAACAGTCGCCCAGTAAAGAGGAACTGTTTGCTCTGCTGCAGCAGGAAAGACAACGCGCAGAGCCAGCAGAGGCCGCTGATACTTTATACATTAAATGTATCAAATTTCTTACTCTTCGAACGATAATTTGCTGATGTTCAAGTCAGGGTCCAAGGGTGATGTGAGAGCCGAGAGATTCTGGCTGAGTAAATTTTAAGCATACATGGACTAACTAGTTAGTTAGCGTGGTTTAGTTTATGACAGCAATGAACCAGAAACCATCTTACTAATTATTTAGCTAACGAATCTATCGTTCTGTAGTTGTTGTGAGAAGGATAGAACAATGCTCAGTCACGTCATACCTCGTTTGATGGATTGAGGGGAAGTTCAGCGTGGAGACGCTGCCGATTCGTAGAGAGATCACGCGGGTTGTCATATACAACACGCGTATTGTAGTCTGCAAGGAAAGGTGTTATGGCATCAAAACCATTGAGTGTATGGAGCTCAGCTAGTTTTGTAGCAAGAGGTCCATCTTCTTGAGGCCACCTTACGGTAAACCATCCCTTTCTTTTATGTTGCCAAACAGCATAGACTGGAAGAATAGTTTTCGTTTCATGTGCCGTGTCGAAATTATAATCAAAATTATTGATATCGATGGCGAAAAAAGTGCGATCTCCCCTTATTTCAATAGCGAGGAAACGGACTCGATTATCGTGCTCCCAGTTCGGAAAGATTTCGTTGACAAATTTGCTTGCTGAGACACGATAATCATGAGAATCCAGCTTTTCAGTATGTACTTTAATAACAAGTCGTTGTGCCTCTGTCCTTTCGAATATCTTCTCGCGGAGTTCAGTGATATTAGACATGGTGAGTGAGTGGCTTAGGGGTATTGAGCCTGGTGAAATAGATTAAGATTAACAAGGGTTGAAAGTAGGAGTGCCGGCAAGCCATGCTTTTTATATCCATCACCGACTGTCTGATATTTGGTGTTGGATCACGTGGGACTCTGCCGCATAGGTCCGCTCTCGCTGACGGTTTGTTGAAAGGGCGATTGAAGAGAAACCAATGCCCTGTAGACCTCTGAAAATGAATAGCAGCATATACGAGCCACTAGGTCTCTATTGAAACAATAGTAACTACTTTAGGCACCTGCATCATGCAAGTGAAATTACCACAGCATTGACAGCACCACAGCGCTTGCAATAGATCATGCCACGAGAGAGGGACAAAAGTAGGTAGTGGCGCCTAAGCTGGCCATCTGCAGAAGTCAAAGGGTCCCTTAAAACTTTATGCAATGCCATTGTTCTACGTCGATCTAGGAACGAAGGATAGCAGGGCGTCTAGATCTTTTGGATGCAATTAGGGTTACATTGCTATACTCGTGACAGTGCACACTAGACCGCATCAGGAAGAAGGAGCCGAGCCAGCCGACGGCAGAACAGATCCCACGTGACGATAGCAACCCTAACCGCGGGGGAAGCAGAAGCAGCCGAGCCATGCTTTAGAAGTGTTCCTGTTCCTGTTCCTGCAGTGGCCATCACATTGTCACATTGCTAATGCTCTGCTGGTGCTATTCTGCAAGCGCCACAGGGGCATGTGCATATACGACTGATGCGGGTCAATTCGAGGGTCTTGGCCGTGGTGACACTGCGGATGAGATAAAAAATGGCAACGACCGGCTGTCTGGCTACTAATAATTGTGCAAAAGGAGCTGTTCAAAGACTAATTACTTCGTTTTTCAGCTAATCCAGGCTAATGCTGTCCTGCTCGTGGTGTGGGCGGCTTGCGCTAAAGCGGATTTTGAGATCTGCAGATTCTACGACGAGGATGCCTTGATAGCTGGGATCGCTCTGAGTAGAGAATGCCTTGCAGCACTGAACGCCACTGTCCATTGCGACGAGTCCACAATCAACCTACTAGGGAGCGGGGCGGACATTCACTGTGAGCCTTGTTTATGTCCTGATATCGATGGTCGATGTAATGCGAGCACCTGTGAATTCCCTGTTCGGGTTAGTTTTGCCGCTTTCGGCATAATCTGCCCGTACGCCGTCCAGTAAACTTATGTTTTGATTGACGCGCTTATATACCGGTGTCATTTTGGTCTACCCTTTAGTTTCTCGCGGTGGTCGACTAACATAATTATATCTGCTCGATTTATTACCAAAGTTTGTCCCCTCTTACAGCGATACATGGACGAGACACTCCCGGATGATAGGGCCATTATTGCCCCAGTCCCCACGGTAGATCTGGCTGTCGAGGACCGGTTTCGGACTTTAAAGACATCAGACTTCAGTCACATTGTCGTGCAATAAGTGGCAGTTATCTTAGCCCTCGCGTTCTCCTCTTCCGACTTTCCAAATGTTAATCGAGTCTATCTTGAAGGCTCTCTGACAAGAGGCTAGACTCAATCATGCGGTGTTGTGCAGATCTCACCTATGATTCTGACAAACCTTGGCCTTTCTGGTTCTTCATCGGCAAAGCCTTATCAAAAGCCTTTTTTGGCGATGAGCAACAGCTTAAGTGGCTGAATGCTGTTCGTGTCCGGAATCGGGAGTTCGTTGCATTCACCAACCAAAGAGAGAGTATGTCAGACCTGGAACAACTCAACTGTGACGAAGCAAGACTTCAGGTAGTTGAAGTTGATTTCTCCAAACCTATCCCAGGTGAACGTCTGAAGGCCTTTTGGAAGCCTTCCCGAGAAATAATACGCCAAAGAGTCCAAGAATGTGAGTTTCTGGGATTTTGCAGGTTTCATTATGTCCTCTAACATTGAAACGGACAGGGCTTGAATTTTCAAGGAGAACCTTGGTATCAAACCAAGAAGTAGACGCAACTCCTTCTGCCGTCTAATAAGCGTGGGCCACAACATTAGGAACTTGTGCTGAATAATAATGTACTCTCAATTATCAGTCCTGGCGATCATCGCCCAAAATTTCTGCCTTTTGGTTATGTCATGATGTGCAAAACAAGGACTCAGTTATGCCTCCGACTCCAAGTGTAAATCATAAATGCACTAAGTGTTATCGCCAACATCGTTGTATAGCAGAAGCTGTGCTGACGGTATGAAGTCATCACCCACTGCACCATTGATAGCAAGTTCCTGGACGGCCACAATATCTTATCCAACTCATTCTCAATTCCGGTGGTTTCCAGCTCTTCACACAGATCGAGAGCAGAGTTGAATGCGCTCTCAATCCAACATTTGTCAATTATCAAACCAAGCCAGACACTCTGCGTACTAGGAAGATCCTCCCTTCAAGGCCATCTACCTCGACTTAGTTCTGGTGGGATATCTTTAAAGATATCAAACTCGCATTTCTCCCTAACAACGACCTCGTACATCACAGACCCCAGCTGCCCAATATCTGTCCGTACAGAATAACCTCCAAAGTCAGCCTTTTCCATACACGTATCGAGAGGCAGTTTTATGGATTCCGTAAAGTCACAAAATCGAATAACGTGTCGCCTCACCTGTCACATTCTGGGTACCATTGGGAGCCTAGCAACTGCCTGCACCGAGCAAGATATATTGATATCATTTACATACCCCTTATTCATCCGCCTCATCCAGATTATTGATCCATTGCCTTTGTTGTCCCGGGTGTCCACATATGCCAGTCTCGCTCCATTGAGGCAGCAATACCTTGAAAGCTGGCAAGCATGCCGGGACACCATCTGGACCAATGGGCCAATGGTTATGGATAAATCTCAGAAGGTCGGACTCGACAGGAGATGGTTGTTACGCAGATTGAGAGGGGGGCTGGACATCGATTAGTAAGGTGGAATTCTCCCGCTCCCTCTTGTCATTTCTGGGGTTGGGTTTGGCAGTTGTTCCCGTCCCGCAAAGAGCTCACCTGCCCCGTTCCTCGCAACTCGTTCCGCCTGCTTTAACTATTTTGAGCTGTGGAAGGGAGTTAGATTCAGATGGCGTCTGTCCTGCGAGCTTTAACGAACAGCGTTCGGCGAGCGCGACTGTCTTCCAGAAAATGCTCTACCGTTGCGCATATTATCCCTACGGAAACCCCGATTGAGGAAGAAACCTTGCCACATTACGAAGTAGCGCATTACTATCCGGTAAGAATTGGTGATGTGTATCACACCAGGTACGAAGTTGCGGGAAAGCTTGGGTATGGGGCGTATTCAACTAGCTGGCTCTGCCGAGATCTCCAGTGCGCTACTCCCAGTCCAATCGATCCTAGAGGAGCTCTCTGACGAGTTATGAATCAAGAACCAAGAACTACACAGTTTTGAAGGTGTCGACCTCTTTGCCAGATTATCCCACTGCGACAGATCGCAATTGAGAGTCTATGAACACCTGGCAAAAGTTGACTCTTCACATCCAGGTCAGTCATTGATCCGCGAGCTGTATGATTCATTCGATCTCCAGGCAGCATACATCGGTGCCTTGTGCTACAACCAATGAATATAACACTTCTGGAAATGATGAGAATGAATCCGCGGCCGTTTATCTGCTGAAAATGACCGTGAGGCGACTTCTTTTGGCGCTTGATTTCTTGCACGCGGAGGCTGAGGTTATTCATACTGGTAGAAACCTACTCTTTGTAAACGATGGATTTGGAACTGATGTCTACTAGATCTGAAGACCGACAATCTGATGCTCAGCATAGAGGATAGTTCCATGCTGGCGGATTTTGCGACAGCGGAATCCAAGAGTCCAAGTCCTCGGAAGGTCATTGACCAGTCGCGTATTATTTATTGCAGTCGAAAGTTTCGGAGACCCACGGGTGGCAGAAACTACGGTCTCCCAGTCCTATGCGACTTTGGTGAGGCAAGAGTTGGCAAAACGCAGGAGTCAGGACCTTTCGTCCAACCACACATATACCGAGCGCCGGAGGTCATTTTTGAAATGCCTTGGGGAAGCGCTATTGATATCTGGGGTTTGCACAGTTTGCATTGCAATCACATAACTGTCCGATATTTGTTGGATCACGTGGGATTCTGCCGCATAGGTCCGCTCTCGCTGACCCTTTTCACCACAGGCCTATCTGTTGGATCAACTTGCTTGTCTTGTATCTATCTAGGTTGGTCTAGCTATTTTAGTGTGTCAGGCCAAGCGAGGGCGGTCTAATATGGCAGATTACACGTGACCTCTAACACCTCCCCACGCATGAGCTAGCCTGACAGCAAGAAATAGTGCTAAATTACATAGTAAAAGATGATCGTTGAAATGCGCTTTATTAGGATCCGGTTCCTTCAGCCAATGAGAGGCGTTGAATCAGAATTCTTGGTGTTGCAAGGTAGCAAACGTCCCTTCATCCCAATTAGCTTGAGAAAAGTAGTGAACCGGTCATTGCGCAGAGGCTTAGTTAAACCATCAGCTGCCATTTCACTCGTATGGCAAGCTTTTATTTCAATGACGCCCTCATGGAGCTTTTCGCGTACGTAGTGAAAGCGGATATCGATGTGCTTGGAGCGTTTGGTAGTGAGGTCAGAAGCAATTAGTTGTAATGCCCCTTGATTGTCAACTAGTAGAGGAACTGGTGGAAATGGCTGTTCTTCATCAGGGGAGATAACTTTGAGTTCTTTAATGATGTTTCGTATCCAAACGGCATCTCTAGTAGCTTCACTAGCAGCCATGTATTCAGCTTCATTGCTAGACAAGGCAACAGAGGTTTGGCATTGACTGTGCCAGGCAATTGGTGCACCAGCAAGCATTAGAATGTATCCAGATACAGAGCGTTGATTTCCAGTAAGGGGACCACCCCAATCAGAATCAGAGTAGAGCACTGGCATCAGGTCTTGATTGGTGATAGGGTCAACAGAACCGCGGTAGGTGATCTGTTGATTAATGCTTCCTTTAAGATATTGTAGGGCATGTTTCAGAGCTGCCCAGGCCTTCCTTGTTGGTTTAGAGTTCCACTGTGATAGAACACCAACTGTATGACTAAGGTCAGGATGAGTTTTGGTTGCCAACCAGGCGAGGCATCCAACACCACGTTAGTATTCCTTGACGTTGATAGCAGGATCAGGGTTGTCATCTGTTGTGGAATATGCATGTAACTCAGGGAAGAAGGGCAGAATAAAGCTGTATCGACTACACGTACGTAGCCTACTAAGGAACGGATACCATTCAGATCTTGTCTCTATTTCTTGCTCTACATACAATCAGGGGCTCAGATTCTCAGGGGTTGGAGAGGGAGCCGAGCCGCCATACCACGTGACCTTTTCCATATCATCATCAATAATCAAGCCTGGATCCATTGGAAGCTGTACCGGATGGGCATCAGATAATCCAAAAGAGGTAACAAGGTGTCAGGGCCCTTGCCATGTAGACCAGGACGAGCACGTGAGCTTCCTTACTTGGATTAGCGTGGCGCGTGGATAGGAGTACGTCGTCCAGCTTCACGTAGATCTCTTCCTTTTTTCCTTCCTCTTCATGCTTGAAGTTCTCGTCGATAGCTGCCTAGATAGCTGAATAGCATCCTATTCATCGTCTAGTTGAGTTCCGTGACACAAGGTCCTCAGCATGCTCAGTTTGGCTAAGACTTAAGTTTTTTGGCTTGTTGGTTATATTCAACATTGACACCAAGATATCTCTTCATTTCTCCAAGGTCCTTGATATCAAAGCATTTAGCAAGGGTATCCATAAACCAATCAGCATTGTCGGCTGTGGCTGCAATGACTTTGAAATCATTAACATAGGTGGTAACATAGAGATTTTTCCAAGTTTGGTGAATGTCAGGGCCCTTGTCATGTAGACCAGGACGAGCACGTGAGTTTCCTTATTTGGATTAGCGTGGTGCGTGGATAGGAATACGTCGTCCAGCTTCACGTAGATCTCTTCCTTTTTCCCTCCTCTCCATGCTTGAAGTTCTTGTCAATAGCTGCCTAGATAGCTGAATAGCATCCTATTCATTGTTTAGTTAAGTTCCGTGACATAACTTCAAGCATCTACCTTATCTTTTTGTCGCCTGGGCTGGAGTCTGATTCTCACTAACCACTGACTCGCCCAGAGCTGAACTGACAGAGTTGACGAATTTGAATAAAATGAATCCCTGAACCTAAGAATAGAATGACTGATTGAATTGCCAAATGGCAAGACCCTCTGATACAGCTGGCACTGAACCAGCTGAAATAACCCTAAGTCTGAATATAGAAGAACTGAATTGATGTGACTCCATTGTGTTTAACAACCATTAGGAACTTGACTATATCAGCTTGAATAAATTCTGCAGACAAATGATTGCTGATCTAGAAGCCTTATTTGAAGATATTCAGTCCAGATACTGGGATTATGAAGAAATAATTAAAGATCAGAAGGTCTAGATTGCAGAGGCTACTGTAAAAAAGTAGGAGATTACTACTGATCTAATCTTGTCACAGTAGGAAGTTTAGTGTCTATAGAAGGAGCTGAATCAAGCTATAGCAGAATAAGATATCTACACCTAACAGATTGCCAGAACTATTGCTGATGGAAACACAGGTTCCTAGGTTGGACTGAGTTCCACCACCCATAAGTCAGCTAAGCTCCCTGATCCCCCATGCTCACTGATGGCAAGGAACCTTATTTTGAAGATTGGCTTTTACTGATAAACTAGAAGCTTTCTGCAAATGGTAACCACTATGATACCTTAGAACTCTGAATCATGTATATAGCATTTGGAACGTCTCCAAACATCTGCCCTCAAGAGCGGACTGAGGTTACTAGCGTGGGAGTGAGTAAGAGGGGTTTTACATAGTGTCGCGCCTTAAGATAGAATTTCCATAAGAGTACGTTCATTGGATGACAGGCCGATCACCTTGAATCGGTAAAAGCATTGCCATCCTGTGTATCGGCGGATAGTTAAGTGGATCGGGAGTAGCCTCATGATCCCTGGTGGCATGGATCACTCCTCAACAAACTAGGATGGCCACACAGCAGCCTTGATAAAATTATCTGCGAGAGCAGCCACTGATGATGACTCGATGATAGCGAACCAATACCAGGTGGAACGTTAGCGCTCAGAGAGCGCCTGTACGAGTCGGCCCTCACTCCAAAGCTGACAGCCTTGCGTAAATAGTGTTGCGTGAGCAGGCGACTTACCCAAGGCTGCATAGAGCGATTAGGACACCGAAATGAATATAAATACTTTGTTCTTTCCCTTCACATCAAGTTAACAGTTGGATATATCATCCTGTACAACTTCCTCACAGTCCGTCTTTCCTGTTCGGCCTCAAGAGCTTATCGAAAATTATAAAGTCGTTTCCTCCATATTTCTTTTCTTGGCGCCTTTGTCTTTCAGAATGACTGCAAGAACGCTCGGTTTTTGACTGTCTCTCAAGTTCAGCGACTTCATGCGAGATTCGTCGCCCCCAATGCCCTTCCAGTCCAGCCAAACATGTTGGAGTCTGCAGTTCACTCGCCGATGAACATGAAGCACTACGCGGGGGTGGAAGACGTTTTCCAGCTTGCTGCGAACCTCGCCGAGAAGATAATGAAGAACCATGCTTTTCAGGATGGTGATAAACGCACTGCGTTACTGGCCGCCGACATGTTCCTGAAAATCAACGGCTACTACCTTCAGAAGGTGCCATTCGCGGAAGATATACACAATAAGGGGCTAGCAAATGCTCATGTCGCCGTTGTTACCAATCACTGGACCGCGGAACAATTGGGAAACTATTATAAGTCTGTGGCAGCGCCTCTTGGTCCGGTAACTGCAGAAGTCCTGGAGTATACAAGCTCGGCTGCCGAGTACTAGCCACTTAATCCGTCAACGCGGTCAGCCTTCTGAGTGGGTTCCGGGTGATTTTTTTTTTTTTTTTTTTGAACGGGGTGTATAGTGAAAGGATTTCCATTTTGGATACTGGTTTTGCCACTCATGCATTATTTCGCCTTGTTTGCAGAGAAGGGAAGGGGGCTTTCTTGATGCGATCCTTTGTTGAGTGCTTGTTTATTCGTATCACTTTGTCTGCTGTTACTTTGCCAAGTTGAGACTACATCAGGTCCTTCCTGCGTCCCCTGAAACAAGTGGATTTGATAATGAATACATCAAGCTGCGTATGGTTCGACTCATGCCTATTTTCGTTTTGCAAAAAAATCCAGAAGCCATCGCCTTCGTTTGTGATACTTCAAGCATCTGAGAGCATATTAGTGGAATAATCTTTTGATGACCTGACGATTTCTATTTACCATTAACCTTTGCCCGAATTCCGGCGGACAATTGCCAACTCGTTCCCATATCCACATATCTCGATCGGTTTCCGATATAGCTACAGCAGAAACAACCTTGAAATCACATGTCCTTCAGCTGGTGAAGTACGCTAGCTAGGTTCTGGCCAGTAGCGTTTGCCTTCTCAGCAAAATTTGCTAAATAGATATCATGAATCAGCATCCGTGCGACGGGACGGATTTGTGACTGGGTTGTACCATCAAGAGTTCCATCTAGGACTAACTCGTGCATCTTTCCGCTTAAGAATAAAGTTGCAGGGCTTGTATTTGACTCTGTTTGGCGAGGGATCTGGCATGGGACATAAAGGCGGGGATAACACGACGATTCTGCAATCGAACAAACTGTTAGGCCAGCAAGACAAACCCAAGGAACCGATGACTTACCATGTCCAAAATGTTGTGAATCGTGAAAAAATGTAAGTTTGCATCTATCTTCAGCGCGAGCTGCAGAAGCTGATGCAAAGGGACTGGCAGCACGGAGGGCACTACTAACCCCTGGCTCAATTAAGACATATGTTTCTCCGGGGTCGCCAACGATAACAGACACCTTCCTGGTAACCAGATTTCCTCTCACGTCATGGGCAACGAAATCTGTCGTGACCCGATGAAAATACCGCGCTGTAGGACCGACGCTGGTGCGAGGGAAGGGCGGGACGGGCCGGAAAGCACAGCGAAACATGTGGTATTGGGGTAATGGGAATCTCAAGTCAATGAAGTGACAAATAATTACTTCAAATCCAAGGCGTGGAATGAGTCTATACGGTGCAAAATATATATGGATATTAGGACTCTGACCAAAGTCGACTGAGACTTCCCCCATATCCGATCATCTTCCTCGGAGCGGAGAAATGTATCAGCGGGTGTGTCATGCTGAATCAAGATTCTAATTTTGGAGATCCGAAGACGGAAAACCACGGCAGGAATGGTGGGTTGTGGCCAATGAAGATTGAAGATCAACATCCAGGATTGGACGGACCACCATCCGAACTAATGAGTGGCTGCGGAACAGTGCGGTCGATCTCCACATCCCGCAGACACTTGCCCGAATAGTCTTAAGATCTAATGTGGAACGTCCCCAGATACTCCCAGGAGATCAAACTCAGATCCGACAAACGTTCCGTAGACGCCTAAGGATTCAAACTCGTATCCAGACACCAGCGAAAGGTCCAGTCAGGGTAATCCCTTTCGATGGAGAGCAGATCTTACGAAAGTACGTCCATATCAGTGTTTAGGGGGCCAGCATAAGCTATTTTGAAATCCCGACAACCTCGTCGATTCTTGCTATGAAGAGTAAACCGAAAATGAGAGAATCCATACCCCAACTACTACTCTAAATTGCGGGATATAAAATGTCCCAACTTGGCCAAACATCCGTGCTCATTGGCAAGATATGAGCAAGATGGAACGTCTTCCGCATGCTGATAAAGGGCTGAGAGTTTTGAGAACTCTGTCACACAGTGAGGGCATTTATAGAGCCAGCCACCATCCTCGAGCTCATCATTGATATACTTCCTACTTTGGTAGCATTCGCGGGCCAAGTCATCGATTACATCCTCGGTAATGTTCGATGAGCAGCCCCCAGACTCAAGATGGATCAAAACTCCGGAGAAGGATTTGAAGGTCTTATAGCAACCGCAGCATTCTATAGTTCGGGGTTGATGTTTCTGTTGATGCTGGAGAGACAGGTCAGCTTCGAACGCACAATATTTATCGGGTTTTTACCATTTCTAAGTTGTTCTTGTTCGCAAAGTATCTCTCACACTTGACACACAAGTGATGCTCGTGAACGTCATGCTCTCGAAGTTTCTCAGCGGACTGATGGTAAAGGTTGCAGTCTAAACAAAGGTGATGATATTCCGTTAAGTGGGTTTCAAGCTCGTCAAGGGTTTCGAAATATCGTGACGGCGAACATCGTAAGCATACGTTATGTCTACCAGACGCTTTGAGATGTGCATCTTTCGATGCTGTTGAAATAAATACTCGACAGCACCTCTCACACCACTCGTGTCGGGATGTGTTCCTGCAGTGTGCGCAGAGGGAGGCTTTGGAAGCAAAAACCCTCTCACAGAGAGTACATTCATATTCTATCCCATCGAAGGTAAGATATGGGCCAAGTTCCATCTTTTGGATTAATAGTGAAGTGGTTAAATGTAGCTGGGTGAGAAGAAAAAGCGGGATCCCCAACTGACTGAGTACCCACGTTATGCCAAGCTTTTGACTCAGGCGCCCAACCACAGTTCATTAGCCTGTTGGGCACACCCTCTGCGGAGGCGATGCCGCGCGCTATGACATGAGCCAATGAAGGCTACCTGGTAGAATGTACCATAACCCCATGTGGCCCCACAGTCAAACGCCTTCTTCTTTCTCCAATGTGCCTCAAACGACAACGAGTCCAAACCTTGGTCCACTGCAATATTCCTGCGGTTGCTGGGCTGACCGCCGCCATACTTCCGCAGTGGTAACGTGCTGATACGCCTACAGTACTACTGCCTGTGAATAGTCACTAAATGGGGTGACGAGCCTTGAATCTCACAGCTCACGATGGAGACCTGAGAACATTGCTCATGTCGCAATTGAGAAGGACAGATCAGTAGAAAAATAGTGTGCCATAACCTCAAGGCAGAGCGATTACGATGGTAGGAACCAGTTGGAGCGTGGTTCTGGGGGTTAAAAAAGGGAACTCCGGCAAAGACTGCTTTGCTATGATCACATGATATATTGGGTGTTCTAATGGAGGTGTATCGTTGGTTGGTACTTAGCTAGATAGGCCTACGTGGTGAAAAGGGTCAGCGAGGGCGGACCTATGCGGCAGAATCCCACGTGATCCAACATGTTCCTGTTAGTACACGTGAGGTTCTGCCGTCCTAGACCGCCCTCGCTACCTATCTCACGGCACAGGCAGGCCTACCTAGTAATATGACCATACATGCGCCTATCCATTAGTTCCTCAGGAGAGACCACCGAAAGTCAGCAGACTGGCCTTGCGAGAGAGTCATCGATATGATCAACCCCGCTCCTAGCACTTTCTTTTTCACCACCCTGCACAAAAGACCGCCAGTTTCCAGTCAGATGTTGCAATCTACTGCTTATTACATCTGAGAGCACATATATATATGACATATGTTTACCGTCTCAACATACATATGCACTACCCCTAAAGCAACCCAGCATTAATGAGAACATATTTTATAAGAAACTATTGTATGGCTCAATAGGTCCCTGTTAATGTTCCTTCTGCATCATATCCACGCTTTGACAGCTATTGTATCAGCTAATGTACAGTATTGGAGCCCTTCGCCACTGCCGATGTGCCGGGGGCACTGCGAAACCCCGGATCTCCCATATTTCCTATCTTGGAACACCGTAGAACCGCGGACTCCGACATACTAATGTATGGTGGAGCCCACGGCCGGAGTACTTAATGGAGGGTTCCCTCCCAGATAGTTACAAGAAATAGAGCATTCTTTTTGGTTTTTAGGTTGCTTCACTAGTATCGTTATCGTCGTATAGAGCGGAGCGAGGCTCCTTCGTCGTTGTGTTTTCGTTTATCGTTATATCGTTTTGCTAGATTGTTCAGTGTGTCCATTCCTGAGATCCCTCGATCACAACCCGGTTCCTGTCGCAGGGAACAACGCACGTACGCCCCCCTTTACATATTGGCGTCCCCGGGAAGGCCTACGCTTGTTGGCGCTTGCGAACTTCGCTTTGGGTTCTAGGGCGCGTGGGAAGCACCCTGGCTAGGGATTCTTGGGAAAATAATCAACTGAGAGGCTTTTCCCGGAGAGATTGGGACACGGGAGAGTGCGGGAGTGGTGAAAACTCTGAATTCAGCTAAGTTAGCAGTTCCACGGTTCTGTCACGGCGTTCCGTCGGTATTGCCTACTTTGGTAAGGAGATGTCGTCAGAGAGCGACCGCTCGGAGCATCGGCCTCTCCCGGTGCATGTGGAACAAGGGAGTCCACTTCTTACACCGGGAGATGCAAAGGGAATACCGGCGCCGGCCGCAATGCCCACTACTCCGAGCTTGTCTGGAATGTGGCAGCCGGAAGGCATGCCGATGTTGATGATGCAGATGTTGGAGAAACTGTTGGGGACACCCAGAGGTCTGCCGTTGCGAGGAACTTCTGGAGCCCCAACATTCAATGGTAAGGAGGTCAGTGAATTCTTGAGGACCTTACATTCGTTGTTTAGGAACCATGGAATCACGCGAGAGGAGGACAAGATAAATGCCCTGTGTGATTATGTATCAGTAAGTGTGTGTGAGTGGGTAGAGAGTCTCCCTGAATATGAGAGGAAGGACTATGAAGGATTGGAGAAGCGGCTCCTAGAGGAGTATCGGGACCAGGATTCAGCACAGGCCAAGCTCAACATAGGCTGGCTTGGCAGGTTTGTTGCTCAGAAACGGTCAACAGATGACAACTTGACCAAGTATGTTCGCGAATTTAGCAACGTCTCTGGTGAACTGATGCGCTGAGGCCAGCTGGTGGAATTCTTGAGAACAGAGATGTTCCTGCAGGGTCTGCCGGAGGAGGTGCAGGTTGAAGTGGTAAGGAGGGCGAAGATTAGCCCTCAGAAGTTCGAGACTATGAAGTTCGCAAGGGCCCGGGAGGCAGTTGAAGAATATCTGGAGGAAGTGGCTGGATTAAATTTAATTCGGCAGGGTCGTGAAGGGAAGCATGTGAACTTCGCAGAGGAAGTGTCAGCTGCGCATAGCTTAGTAGTTGTGCAGCCAGATGGGCGAGTCCCAGATGAACAACGACAGCCAGAGGACAGAGAACCAGTGTCTACAGGGAAGCGGCAGGTGCCAAGAACAGCCCCGGGAACGAGACACCAGGAAACGCTAGATGACCTGGCTGAACGGATGAGGAAAATGGAAATCAGCCTCATGGAGGTGAGACAGAATGACTTCCGAAGACATGGGCTAAATGACATACCCAACCGACGGGGCTATGTGCCAATCGCGGGTGACCAATGCCGGTTCTGTCTGGAAACGGGTCACACCAACATACGGGGGACATGTCCACGGTACCAAGCATTGGCTGCCCAGGGTCTATGCCATATTGCTGAAGATGCCAAAGTCCATTATGGACAAATTGGAGGAGCTGGAGAGGTGGTAAGGGTAATTACCAATGGTAAGAGCATGAAGGAGTCCATTGAGGAATATGGAAAGCAGCACCAGACTGGAAATAGTGCAGTGGGTTATGTACACAACATGTTAAAAGAAACTACGTACATTGAGGAGGTGGAGGAGGAAGATGAAGAAGGGTTTATGGAAAGCTTTGTTGAAATAGAGGTTAATGCGCTGGTCAATGCGGAAAAGAGAAATATAACCCCAGAGGGGCGCGCAGACCCCAAGCGACGTGCACTGGACGATGTGGCTAGGAGGGAAGAAGAAATTCCCATCTTGAAGACAGTCCGTCCAGGAAGATATGAGGAAATTGACGAACCAGATGCAGATGTGGAGATGGAAGATCGACCGGACTACCGAGTTAGGGATGTGGAGGAAGGTTTGAGAAGATCGTTTGGGGCCCCAAAAGCAAGAGTCCCCCAGAGGAAAGATGCTCCGAAAGCTAAGCTTAACAAATTGGCGGATGAGCTGAAGAATTCAACGGACATTAAGGACATACGGAATCGGATTCTGAATACCACGGTGACATTGTCACTCCAGGAGCTGCTAGGGATGTCTGATGGGCTGCATCGGAGCCTTTTCTCAGGAACCCGACAGCCGGTGACAACGTCTATCGAATTCAGCAAAGGAACAGATCCAGGGGTCGTTGCGCGAGTGGGGAACTTAGGGATGAGAAGCCGCAAGGCGAACCAGATGGATTTGGAAGAAACGGGGTATGATGATGAGGAACCTCCATTGTATGTCTGTGGAACTCTAGCAGCGTGGATCCAGATACTAGAGGATCCACAGAGGGTTCAGGCATTGCTGAATGGAGGCGCGGAAATCAATGTGATGCAAGCCTGGCTAGCGGAAAAACATGCGCTGCCAGTCACTCTGCACGCCAAAGGAACGATGAGAAGTGCCAACGGAGGCCTCACGCCGTTTGTTGGAATCTGCGAGCGGGTCCCAGTACGGATTGGGAGCTTCCAATATTATGTCCCTTTCTTCATTGTGGATACGCGTGGTGGACATGCAGTGGTGCTGGGGAGGCCATTTGAATACATGAGCCGTATGGCGCACACGAACACAGCATCTGGGGCGGTCATCACAACGATTCATTCAATGGACAGGACGAAGGTCGCGAGAATGAAGGTTTTCACCCCCGGAACGCGTAGGATGGAGACCCGGAGGGACGTTTTTGAAGATCGGAGGTTAATTGGAGAAGAGCCGGGAAACTAGCCGCTGGGTTTGTACCGAGCCCAGGACCCAGCGGACGGAGGGGCTCAAGGCCATCATACCAAAGTATGGCGGATGTTATGTCACGTGACGTTGGAGAACGAACATACATGAGTATTGCGGAGTTGGAGAAAATGGCTCCAGTACGGGAAGTGCGGTTCCAGCCGGCCCTTTGCTGGGATGGAAGTGGAATAGAGCCAAGGATAAGCCGACGTGTGGACTTGGTGACACTGAGGCAACAGTATTTGGTACACACCAAATACAAAAGGAAAGCAGATAAGGTCCTGCCAGTAAACAAACCTGACCCAACAGGGGCGGCACCGTTGGAAATGGGGACTGGCGGTTGAAGGTTCTGAAGAAGTATTATTCGAACCAGTGGTCAAGAGTGGAGGAGGTCAAAGGGGAATTTCAAAGGAGTGTCATTCCCAAAATATCAGGGATCGCAAGAGGGTCACGGCTGACGCCGGAGCGGGTGACACGATTGAAAATAGGGTTGATAAAGCCAAAGGAGAGAGAGCTCCTTATGGAGGTGTTATATGCGCGGGAAGCAGCCCTAGCTTGGTCGTTCGCAGAGATAGGGCAGGTGCGCGAAGAGGTCTGCCCGCCAGTGGTGATACGGACAGTTCCCCATGAACCATGGCAGGAGAAAGGATTCCCAGTACCAAGGGCACTGAGGCCAATTGCGGCAAAGATGTGCTAGGAGAGGATGGAGAACAGGGTTCTGGAGTATGCGTTCAGCCCATACTCAAATAAGTGGTTCCTAGTGCTGAAAAACGCTGGACTGAATGGGGAGAGGAGATATCGGCTGATAAACAGCTGCACGAGAATGAATGGGGTCACATTGAAAGATGCCAATATTCCCCCTTCAGCAGATGATTTCGCGGAAGAGTAGAGTGGCATGGCGGTAACATCAGTGATAGACCTGTTCTCAGGGTATGACCAGATTCCGCTAGATGCTCATTCAAGGGATATGACGGCGTTCCAATCGCCATTGGGCCTAGTTCGGCAGATGACCTTAACCCAAGGCTGGACAGGGGCGGTGCCAGTGTTCTGCAGAACTGCGGACATAGTGACCACAGATACTAAGGATGAGGTTCAACTCCCACCAGACCCAGGTGGAGGACCACGAGTTTGGAAACCTAAGGTCCCAGGACCGGGAGGAAGGGCTGCATCGCCATATGTTGACGATATTGCAGTAAAGGGACCAAAGACTATGTATAATGAGGAAGAGGTTATGCCTGGGATTCGGCGATATGTTTACCAGCACATTCGCAACATCGATCGAACCCTATACAACTTGGAGTTGGCGGGGCTCACCGCATCCGGAGATAAGCTAATGTTATGCCAGCCTGCGGTCAAGGTGGTTGGGTATGTGTGTGACTATAACGGACGGCACCCTGAGGCGAATAAAGTGGCCAAGATACTGGATTGGCCTGGGTGCAGGAACCTCACAGAAACGAAGGCATTCATAGGTGTCGTGGTATATTATCGGATATGGATCAAGGACTTTGCTAAAATAGCTGAACCGATATATGCGCTGCAACGAAAGGGAGCGGCATTTGAATGGGGGCGAGCACAGCAGGAAGCAATGGACCAACTTAAAGAAGCACTCACAACTGCTCCAGCCCTAAGGTCAATTGAGTACCCAGTGCAGCTACCTGATGGAACCATGTCAGAGGTTGGAGATATTATTGTGGCAACAGATGCTAGTGGAACAGGTTGGGGAGCAGTCCTTATGCAGGCGGAACCTGGATCGAAGAAGAGGCATCCAGCCCGGTTTGAAAGTGGCGTTTGGACAGGAACAGAGCTAAACTATGATGCTGGTAAGCTTGAATGCTGGGGAGTTCTAATGGCGCTCAAGAAATTTCGGTCGTACCTGTATGGGGTGCCCTTTGTTTTGGAAACGGATGCAGCTACGCTGGTTGCGCAACTGAACCGCACTATTACCGATATCCCCAGCGCGGTAGTTACTCGTTGGATTGCGTGGATTCGGATGTTTGACTTCACAATACAGCACGTGTCAAGAGTGAAGAACTCTGCTGCAGATGGGCTATCTAGGAAGCCAGTTACCCCAGAAGCACTGGAGGAAGCAAAACAGGAGCATATGGAGGAGTTCCTAGACAGGCAGTTTAACCTTACTCTCCATGTCAACAACACCTCACATAGTGAAGACAATGAAAGGCACACAGAGGATGGAGGGGGTGGGGTTAATTGGCTCACCAATGAAGAAGAATGGTCTGAAGAGTCCCTCCAGATTGCAGAGTGGCTACAGACACTACAACGGCCAAAGGGAATGAATGCGTCCCAATACCATCGGTTTCGAGCTAAGGCATTAGGTTTCATGGTCCAAGACGGCTATTTATTCAAGCGAATGGCAGCCAACCAGCCAGTACGGCGAGTAGTTGGTGATCCCAAGCGACAGAGGGAGATTCTCCACGCGTTACACAATGATAGCGGTCATCGTGGCAGAGAAAGCACTTATCAGAAGGTTCGAGCGCGATACTGGTGGCCAAGGGTTTGGGAGGATGTCAAGGACTGGTGCCAGAGATGTGACCCATGTCAGCGAGCGGCTGAGACTCGGATAGGTGAGGAAATGACGGCAACCCAGCCCATGGGGCTCTTCCAAAAATGGCACATTGACACCACATACATCTCACGGAGAGGAAGTGGTAAATGTGCGTTGGTTCAAGCTCGAGAGTCAGTTTCAGGTTGGGTGGAAGCAGAAGCTGTGGTTGAAGTGACAGCGAGGACTGTCGCTAGCTTTGTCTACCGCAATATCATCACTCGATGGGGCTGTATAGAGGTTATGGTCAGTGGCAATGGCCCAGAGCATCAGGAGGTCTTTAGGAAGCTTATGAAGAGGTTTAAGGTGAAGCACGTTACAATCTCACCGTACAATTCGCAGGCCAATGGTTTTATTGAGGTCGCGCATCGCATGTTCATTCTTGGCCTGAGGAAGCTCACTGCAGGCTTTGCCAAGGGCTGGGACAAGCATCTCCCAGCACTCCTCTGGTCAGAAAGAGTCACCATTCGCGATGGGATTGGGATGTCGCCGTTTCATTATGTTGTTGGTTTCGACGCGGTGTTGCCGGTGGAGGTGGAGGTCCCGACCTGGAGGACCCTACTGGTACTCGGATCTGTACCAAAGACAGTATGGAACAGAGGTGCTGGCGAGAGTCTCATACAGCCGGCGAGTGATGGCGGCAGCTTCTAGGTTGGGTGAAATGGGGTCCGTGATATCAACCGGATCGAATTGCTCACGCATGGCAGGTATCAAAGAGCGAAGTTGAGATGCGGCGCCCCGTTCTGCTTGCTAGTGTGGACATGGCCCGGGCAGCGAGGCCTCGGAGACAGCTTCTGGGCACTTTCCCATGGTAACTGATCGAGGACAATGGCCCAGTTGAGGGCCTGAGACCAGGCCGTGGAACGGTCCAGCTTCTGCACATAGCGGAATTACTGAAGCTCTTTATTGTGCAGCTCGTCAGTCCGCTAGAAATGCGCTTTCAGCATCGTTTTCGTGAGGACTGCAATTCATGTGTGGTGTCTATTTGACATGTCAGAAGTATTAGGAACTCCCACCTGATCCATCTGGTGCTGAGGAATGGTCAATAGATGGAACGATGTGGTACCATGCTCGCCGGTGGTATAAATGGCACCGGTAGGCCGATTACAGAATCTCTGGGCCGACTCGGTTCGGTTCAAGTAAAAGGTGATTAATCTCATTCACCATGACAACTCCATAGTCCAGGATGACTAGTGCCAGACAATAAGTTGGATTCTCCATGATTCGGTAGAGCGCACTCTTACCCCAAGGAGGACTTTTTGCCTACTCGTAGCCGCACATCTTCAGCTAGATATGACCAAAACATATGCCCGGGCAGCGGGGACTATGTGCTCCAGGGGCTTCCAGCGAATCCGTGCTACTTCAACATCCGGAGGTGATTCCGAGCAAGCTATATGAGGCATGGTTATGCACTAGCATTTCGAGCAGGGTACGTGGAAGACGGGCCGTGGCTCCCACAGACTAATGCATCTTCCCCGCCGAGTCAGTGTAATGCGACTGTCGATTCGTCCGAGATGCATGAGGCATCATACTATCATGAGTTAGCACGGCGCAGTGAGGCACAACAGGAGAAATCTCCGAAGCAGCGGTCGTATTAGATATATTAGGGGATGTCCAGCCCAGGAGGCGCTTGCATCCCTCACTACGTTCGGCCACTTCTTACCAGCCCGGCTCCTTTTATCCTCCATAGCCTTCATAACCACACACTAACATCATGACCGACCCGGTCATTGACGAGAGTTAGTGGACACTCCTCCAAAGTCTTGCTTGCAGCCCTTTTTGACCAGTTATCAATCCTTAGGAAACAACCCCATTGTTGTTGACGACGCGGTATGTACGCTTCCCCCAGATAACAGACCCACGACTGTCATGGCTCACGCGTACTATTGTGCTGGTTAGGCATCCGAATTGGACTCGGCATTTAGTGATGCGTATGAGAACCGCAGGAGAAAATACTATATATGGTCCCAGTTCGCCTGGCATAGCTAATGGTACAACTCAACAGTGGCAGCGACACCACTTCTCTCGCCTCCAGCATTCTGAAATATCACTACGAGAATGGCCGCCGGTACCATGCATACCAGGAGGGAAGATACCTCCTCCCAAATGATGAGAAGGAACAGGATCATATGGATGTCTTAGGCCACATCTTCATGCTGATCTTGGATGGAAAACTATTTCTTGCCCCCATTGACGAGCATCCGCAGCGGATCCTTGACCTTGGTTGCGGCACAGGTTTATGGGCAATTGAGATGGGCGATATGTTCCCTTCTGCACAGGTATAATTCGATGTGCCCGAAATCATCATGCCCTATTCACCCGCTGATTTTCCTAGGTCATTGGAAATGATCTGAGTCCGATCCAGCCTGGAATGTATGTGTTCTACAGGTGTCAGTGGCGTTTAATCATGGCTAACCTCTCATATACCACAAGGGTGCCTCCAAATGTCCAATTTGAAGTGGATGATATAGAACAGGACTGGACTTACAAATCCCCCTTCGATTTTATCCACGCTCGCTTTCTGGCGTCATCTATTCGAGATTGGCCACGTTTGTTCCAGCAAGTATTCAAGTTAGTGCACCAAACAGAGCTATGTGTCAAATATTCTAACTTTAGATCAAGAAACCTCAAGCCTGGTGGATATGCAGAATTCTTTGACTGGGACTTCCGATACCAATCTGATGATGGTTCTCTCAAAGAAACTCATGAAATGCGCATCAATATCAAGGAAGTTCTTCGGGCAGCTGATATTATAGGTCAGACCGCTACTCCAGGGCCCCATCTGAAGAAATGGGCCGAAGATGCTGGCTTCGTGAATATTAAAGAACATGTATTCAAGGTTCCCTACGGAACATGGCCGAAGGATCCGAAGCTGGTAAGTTCACGTGGTGATCTCTTTCAGTTGCAGATGCCCAGTTGTTATAAAATCAATTTGGATACCCTCGTTACTGACATCCTGTACAGAAAGAGATAGGCGCATGGAACCAGCTCCAAGCCCTAGAAGGCGTTGAAGGATGGTCAATGGGCCTGCTGTCTCGTGTTCTGGGTTGGTCTCCTGCAAAGGTCCATGTGCACCTTGCCCAGACACGAAAAGATTTTCGGAACCCCAATATCCATGCATACGCAAAATTGTGAGTCCATTCCCAGGGGTCTATTAAATTCGCATCCTATTTTTAACTGCTCATAGATACCTCGTGTATGGGCAGAAGCCAAAGCCTGAAAACTAGAGGGAAATGCGCAGGTCAAGCGATACAGTACGGCCTTCGATGGATGGAATGTGAAAATACATGTGCACGGTTCCTTGTGATGAATTCTCGGATTACAGCAATGACGATTGAAATGACGTGAAGGTACGAAGCAAGGCTCTTTAGTTAAATAATCGATCAAATCCGTTCTCCTGGTCCTGTCTTTGCAAGCATGCTATCCGCCTCGATGAAAAAGCCACCCTGTGAGCAAGGACTCCAGCGTAAGCCGTGGTACCAGAAAATGGACTCGACGTTAGAATATGACTTGTAACCCTAGCTGGCTAGCAGAACATGCCATTGCTAAGCCCCAGTCGGAAGATATCCCGACAGTATTTCCCAATATGGACATGTGCAAATATCCAACATAATGGGTTACTACCACGCGCGGAATAATAGGCGTTTATATTTAATACCGAGAAGTTTACCGTAGGGCATTCGAAGAGCTAAGAGCAGGCACATACTATGGCCTCAGGTGAAGACCTTCGCTTGCTGCTTAAGCTTTAAGAAGGTTTCCTTATCATGCCCGGGAATAACCTGGCCTCTGGTAATCCTCTCCAGATGCTTGAGGCGCTGAGTACTCCTGAACCATGCCGGATGATCTCGAGCAAGCCAACCCTGAGGGATACCGTCACGCCACTATGATAAATATGAATATTAGATGCTGGAATAGCCTCCGCGAGGGTCGTACTTACATTTTCAATAACATGGCAGTGGTCACTGATGAAGAAAAATGTTCCCGTGTTGAGTAAGTTGATTTGCATTCCGATCAGGCCATCTGTGTGACCGGGTAAATGATGGAGCGTAATTCCCTGGCAAAAATCAAGAGTCTCATCCCTAAAGGTCTTCCAGTTCCTGTATCTTGTCAGCTGGGAGAGGCGAATAGAGCAACGATCAGGTTTAGCTTGTCACATACAAGGATAGTTTTAGATAATGTTCCAGATATACACCAGTATCCGCCCCCGTGGCCACGGACCAGAATGCTGAAAGCAGTTCCTTTTCATGGACCCAGATCTCCACGTCTTTCCGGTCTAAGAACTCATCAAGACCGCCCGCGTGATCTAGATGAAGATGTCCGATGATGATCTTCTTGATATCTTCAATTCTATTTCCCGTTGCCTCGACAGCCGCGCGAAGTTCGTGCTCGGGCTCGTAGCGCACCCTCGAGAAGATATCCGATACCACAGGACCCCAGATTCGAGGGTAGTCCTTCCCAGAACCGGTCTCCCAGAGGATTAGGCCCTCGTGAGGATGTTCGATTAATATACAGTACATTGGCATTTCCCGTCTCTTGTTGACGAACTTCTCGTTCTCTGTGCTTTTCAGACTGGTGTTACCACCTCGAACCACAAACCCTTCATCACATTCGAGCCATCCGACCTCCAAGACATGGAACTTGGTGCCAGGTGGACAGACGTTGGACACAGCATTTGGCACAGCGCCCCGGTTAAGCTGGTCCTGGATTGCTGACATGACTTTGTCGTTTGTTTGTTGCTGGTCTGCGAAGAAGTGATGTGGGATATGGATGTTGCTCGGGTTGTTATTTCAATGGTACTTAGGCATATACGCCTCGAGTGAACCGGACACTCGTAAGAGACGGGAACAGATGCCAACAGTGGGGTTTCTTCTTCTTTTCGTTGACAGTAAACGGGGTCGAGTTCGAGAAGGCTTAAATAAGGAGAACATCCATCCTCGGCTTCCCCATCATTGCGTTGGGTCACCGCGGGGATGTTACAAGACACATTGCCGATCCGGGGTCCAGCTGCGGATCCGCGGTATGGCCTCGGTATGGAATCTCGAAGGGAAATGACCGAAAGCGAGGTCGGCTATTTCTGAGCATTTGGGATAACAAGATAGACGGCTGGTCCATCAACATTGTAATATGTATGTAGCTATACAGACGTTTAATTCTACCTACATATCAGAAGGGAACCCATTGTTATACAGCATTACAGCATTCGCGACAATCCGAAGACAATCCCATTGTTCTCTCGCATATACTTGGCATAGACCATCACGCTAGTCTGCAACCAACTATCCCTCCCTCCCTCCCGTACAATTGGGATGATCTGTGCTGGGGAACCATACAGAAAATAGGAGGATTGATTGCTTTCGAGGGCACCAGAATGAGCTATCTGGCTATTCCTGATACGTCCGGGACTCCAATTCATTCGCCAATCATCTAGTTGATCACGAGTACAAGAGCTCAGCAAGCTTGGCCATTTAGGGCTGAGTTGACAGTGCTGTATTTTTCTTTCAGTCATTGAGTCCAGCCTTTTTGGGTGTATTGTTTGTGAAGTGGATCAGGAGCGCGATGTCCGGATATCAAATACTAAAAGGAAAGCGTATGGTTCGTAGGATTCGTGGTAAACACTCCATATCAATACCCTGCCGTCTCTAGTACATTGTGAAGCTCTTCTTCCCGTATGCAGGATTCGGGGATCCCAGGTGTAGGCACCTCACCTCCCGGAACATACATATTCCAGATCCCGAGGCTAGATCATTAGATAATCTGCCTGTCCGAAATACCCGTGCCAAGCGCACCTACATGTCTTCTCTGTCTTCCCCGTGTAGGTCGATGTGGATCAGGGGTGCGGCGTCTGGATATCAAACGCTAAAAGGATACCGTAGGATTCGGAGGGATCGTGGTGAACGCTCTATACCGATATACTGCCGTCTCTAGTACATCGTGAAGCTCTAATTGACATACTCGATCGCTTGCTTGCTTGAGCTCTAATATACAGGATCCGGGATACTCGGGTATGGTCATCTTTTCTTCCGGAACATAGATACTCCGGATCCCGGGACCAGATTATTAGATAATCCACCTGTCCGAAAGAACTAACGTTAACTAGTTAAGTTAGTAGTTATATCCTCATCATTTTGCATTGACCTGTCTTACCGCCTACCATTTCAGGATAGCGCCATTTTCGCTGTCTCTTACTGCTTTTCTTTCATTCTCCCTTTCAGAGTCAGTTAAACTTATTCTCCATCATGTTTTACAAAAATTACTGAATCCCAAAGAGCCTGATCATCTGAAGAGTGTGCAGGAAGATGCCTTCACCAAGGTAAACGCACTTCTTGTCAATGATATAGCGCGAAATTTAAAGCATATCCATCAATGGACATGGCTACTCTACTAGAACAAAAACACAAAATGTATCCTGCTTTACAGAAAACATTTGGAGATGAAGCTATGCAATCAGCAACCTCTGCATCAGATGCTCTACATGCTGAACCAACAGTGGATTCTTCTGATGTAAGGGGTGGTTTCTGAATCCCAGCAGATGTGGAGATGCTTCAACCATTAAAAGCAGCTGTGCTCCAAGCAGTACAGACAGGTTCATTTCCTGGTCAAGCCAATCCAGATTTATCCACCACTATTGAGGGGCTCAACAGGCTGCTAGCTTCCTGTGAGATCATCTGGCACCTAGGATCAACCGCGGTATTGGGCCTCAACTCAGAACTCATCGTAAAAGTTGGGTATGATATTGATATCGATCACGTACACACTCTGGATTATATTAAGCAGCAGGCGCTGCATATTCAAATCCTAGATATCCATCGTATTCTCCAATGATGAGACAGCAAGCGCATCTTCCTGTTTATGACACAACTCCCTGGCGAGCCTTTGGATAGCGAATGGAAACTCTTGGGCACAGACCAGAAAAGTTCAATAAAAGTGCAGCTGGAAGCTATTGTTGAGGACTTCGGGTTCATTCCCATTCCATCAGCTGAAGAGGCCAATGCAGTGCTTGGTGGTGGCAACCCTCGTCGGTGTAAAACATGCGAAGAATTGAGTTCAATCAGTGAAATCGATGTCTTCTTTCTTGGTGAGACTCTCTCGAACCTATCCTTAGCCCGAAGACCCGGCAGGATGCTTGCCTAGTACCCCATAAGTTCCCTGGAAATGTCTTCCTTCCCGGCAAATCCCTGGAAGCCTGCGAGTTTGGACTCATCCACCCCACTCCCGATATAGTCTTCCGGCGGTTTGCCAATAGCCATTGAGTCATACTGGCGTTGCATATATGTCTCGTTGATCCTCGTTGTCGGGGTTGCAGCGATGTATGCCACACTGGCATCTTGATCTCCGATATGTGCAGCCGCCGACTGCATGACAGGTGTGCTCATTTGGAAGGGCCCGAAGAGGGAAGATTGGAAATTAGCAATGTCTTCATGCTTTGTTACGCAAAGGTAACTTGAGCAGCAGGCAACCCGGAATCCCCTTTGTCGTCTGGTAAGAATGCCAAGTCCCTCTTTCTACGTCAAATGGAATATGACAGACATTCTGCAAAGACACGATTACGAAGACGTTATGTCTCTCGGTTTGTCTCTGGAAAGGAGATGATTATTGCGATCCTATTAATCATGATCTCTGTCGTCAACTCAGCGGTATTATAAAGCGAATCGTAAGCGGCTAGCGATCATCCTCGTCTTCGGTGTGATGATTGAAATGCTGGGCAACTTTGTCATCTCATAAGTCTCGCGTCGTTTGCCCAAGACGCTCTGTCATATCATGCGTGACATACTCGACCTAGCAGGAATTACCAATCCATGGAGATGCCCTGCGCTGATCTGCTGGGATTGAGCTTCTCGGTGAGCTTCCCGCCAAGCGAGCTGCTGGATTTAGCAGACCAACTGGACATAGATGGTATGATGGATTCTGGGGTTTGAACATATCCATAGAGAATGAGAATGAAGTTTCCACGAAACATTGTAAATAATTAGGATCTGCGAAGAGCGAATCTCGGAGATCTGTATTTGTATCATGCCGACACCGGCTAGAGATTAATCTTCCGCGGTTATTATTATTGTTTGTCACTGCGGAGTCCACTTTGATAATATCCACAAACACTGCAATGTCCCTCTGCTCAACTTCAGCTTCAGCAACCCGGGTTGTCACCAATTCAACACGTCTCCTTTTCCGTCTCCAGCCAGCTTCATCCATCAATCTAAGAAGAACCATGGCGACCGTACCCAAGAAGAAAGAATTCCTCTTCATCATACCTGATAAGCCGAACTCGCTGGAGCTGAGGAAAAAGGTGCGAAGGTAATGCATACCGCTGTACTCCACTATAGCATCCTGTTCTTTATGTTCTGTTCTCCAGCTTACAGAGTAACAGCATGCACTTGGAGACCGCAAGGACGTTGGCTGCTGCGGGGAAGCTCCTTGAGGGAGGTAAGTCCCGCCAGCATAAACAGGCCATATTACCCATGCGTACGGAACGTGGCAGTGGAAATAACCTTCGCAGGCGCACTGTTTGAAAAACACCCGGAAGAAGGACAGGACCCCCAGTTCAAGGGTAGTATGATTGTGTGCCCTGGTGAGAATGTGGAGGAGGCCCTCGAGATCATCAAGAATGATATATACGCCACGACAGGCGTGTGGGACGTGGAAAAGGCCCAGATATACCCTGTAAGTTCTATCTATAGTCTGCGCTGTGCATGCCCATGTCTGGTTGTTAATGATCCTGCTTAGTATGTGCCTGCTGTTCGAGTTGGTATTTAGTGGCAGGGACTTTTCCTTTGACAGCAACTAAAGCACATTTCTCGCATTAAATTGACAGATAAGCTCTAGTGTGGCTACAGATACAGCAGATACAACAGATGTCTACAACACACAAGTTCAAGTAGATGGCACAGTCAAAATCCAGCAAGACTACCAGATCAGACGGTCAAACCAGCAACCAATTTGTCACCGAGTGCCTTGATGCTGTCCTCAAAGGCCCGCGTGTCATTTGCCTTCCAGTGGGCACTGCTTCCAGGAACGGCATAGTCTCCCATAAACCCAATGTACAGTACATCATTTTGGTCGTGGCCGTTGTATCCGCTGATATTGTCATTGGGGAAGCAAAGTTGCGCCAGCGAAATGGACGCTTCACCGGTAGAAGTCAGGCCGTTAGTATCGCCCCAGACGCCGTAGAACTGTGATCCATCAGCATGAGCACACAGCTGTAAATGCATCTATTTTAAAAATAGCAGAAGGGCTCGGCCCTTACCACCTGCCCATCACACACAACGGCCATCACACTCAACGGCTTCATGCCATACTCCTGCGGGTCAAAATTAGGGACCGCGCCTTCATTGCCAAACACCACGTAGGGGTGGATAGTAGCGTCTAGATCAGAAATGCCGTACTGAGACACCTGGTCTTTGAACGCAGTCTCAGGCTGGCCCGTGGGATCGTTACTGCATTTCCCACCGTACATGTTGGACCCGTCACAGTCGATGTCCATGTTGTCGTACTGACCGCCGTTTCGCTGGGAGTGCAGGAAGATGGCATTAGGGATGTCGCCGCAGTAGGCGAATGAGTGGCCTTGGTCATCTCCGCCATTCGTGAAGCCGACGACGAGTTTGTTGGAGCACTTGCCGGGCTGGAGGTTATCTTAGCATCACATCACGGGTGACTTACTCCTGTGGAGGGAAATGGAGATGGCTTATCTTGTGCTTGTCGTAGATCTTTCTCAGCTTATCTGGGAGATCATATGCCGCAGCACATGTTGCTGTAGCGACGAGGATGGTTTCGAGGAGACGCATTTCGTTTGGTATGTTGGGGCCTTATGTAGATATGCAGATATCGCACAGTTGTCTGAAGTCGAAGTTGGCTGGAACTGGAGGAATTGCTGTCTTCGAAATGCTTCGCTCCCCGCACTAAAGACAGACAGAAATTAGTTACACTGAACTGCAACAACGACAATATCAACAATAGTAATAACAATGGTAATAACAGATACAGCATGGCATACGCCGTGTCGACAGGGCTACTTGGCAGCATTGTAGAAGATGCGCATCCTACCCAGATCGGGAAACTAACTGCGATGGCCTGGGGCAATCTGATTTCGATCAACGCTGTGGTCTGATTATTATTATTATTATTATTATTATTCAGGACATTTTGAATTTTGAAGTCTGCAGAGATGCCTCACGTTTCCTTTTCAAGTTGAACGGCCTTCACTCGGGTCTAGTTTCCAGTCAGGTACATCAGGCACACTTGCAACGTTAGCTGTGGGAGTTTGGCCTCTGCCAACAACGATGAGAAACAGGGCCTCTACTGCAATCCGGGACGTGCCGGATGATCAACATGTTCTGCAGGAGGGGAAGTTCATTGTCGATAACTTACACAGATCGATAGCAAGGTATAGCACGGGGTGCATGTGAACTATGCATCAACAACGTTACATTGGTCCGGATGCTGGTAATAAGTTTCCTCAATCATTCATGGACGGCGTAATGTTTACGTAGAGTTGTTGGGACTGTTTCCCAAGGTTCATGTACATTCAGATAGCTGAGTCCATAGAGTTACAATTATGGGAGTTGACACATTTCATCCAATGCTGTATATCCATTATCACTAATCTCAGACAATCCACCATCATCTGGCCCGGGTCAGCATATAATCCTCCACGGTATGGCATCAGATACTCACCATGCTGTAGGGTCCTTAGTTATGGACGACCTGGATCGAGTCGATATGCACCTCTGATCCCACATCAGAGGTAGCCTGGTTGTAGTTACCAGCCTTAAAGTAGCAACGAGGCGAGTAGCCCCAGTCGTATGTCGACAAGGGCGTCTTATTCCCGTTGATGGTAACACTCAGTTGGCCTTGCGAGTACGAGAGCTCATAGGTGAAGGGCGTTCCCAGAGGAACCTGCCCAACGGTCGTGGGGATCTGGTTCCCTTTGTCGCTCTTCTTGATTCCAACCACGATCTTCCCCTCTTGGCTGTAGTACATCTCCGCGAGAGGCTTCTTAGGACCACTAGCGAAGACCTGCCCGATAGCCGTGCCGTGCGTTCCGTCATCCGCCTTGATTACAGTCATCCCGACGGTGAGCGTGTTCGTCCCGCTGGGATCCCAGTCGATATTTTTACCTGTGTTCGGGTCGACTTCTCTGAATTCGGTACGGCAATGGTCGCTGCCCGAGGTTGTCGCGCAGTGTGTCTTCTCAGGAAGTCCCGGTGCCAGCATGACAATCTGGCCATTGGAGGGGTCGGTGTAGAAGTTCTTGTCGTGGTAGCCATCGCAGTTCTGGAGCCTTGCGCTGCTGACCGTGTCGGGGTCTCCGTCCTCGCCGGTCGGTAACTGCAGACTCCAGGGTCTCAGGTCGAAATTCCCTCCCGGGTTGCAGGACGGATTGAGTGCTGCTGTCAGCGCAGGCAGGACGAGAAGGGCGGAGATGATAGTTTTGGCTGCCATTGTGGAAGTCGAGTTGTGTGTTAACTGTGGGATGGTGCGACAGTGGCAGTTGGGATTGGAAGCCTTCAGGCCATGCCATGCTTAAATAGTAGAAGAGATGGGCTGGAATCAGTGGAATGATGCTATTAGGGGATCTATCGCAGTGAGAGAATCCGGAAATAAAGCGCGAGATGAAGCCAAGCCCTGCGTTTCCACGATGGGGCAATCCTTGACTCCATCCGCACTGGCCTTATTCTGACCCACGAGGCGTCCGCAAGGTAGCATCCAACTTCGCAGTGCCGTACTGTATAGAAATAGGCGCATTCTAGTTTCTAACATACATGCTTGACACCTATTGAAGGACGGGGTGGAGAGGTACACAGTAAGATGAATACCAGGAAATGGCCAAGCCCCCTACACAGCGGCATCCTTTTCTGCATCCGACGCTCCTGATTCAAACTGTACTTCTTCGTCGGGAAACTGGTTAATATCGAAATGTCCAAACCAGCACCTAGAAAGGCCCAGATAATGCGCAGGCTGTCGCAGTATGCTGTTCTAAGACTCTCCTTCCACTGTCTGTCAGGTATGCCGTTCATAATAGTCACCAGGCAGCCACATCCTTACTGTACTCGGATGCATGGGGCGTTAGTTCGGCGCACTTAAGCAGATTGGTGCGCATGCAGCTCTGGAAGATCAGCCCTCCCAGAGTCACGCCTAATGCTTGTCCGAAGGATCAGAAGAAGACGAACGTCGCCACTGCGATAGAGAGATCCTCTTTTCTGGCCGACGCCTGGATCGCGGATATCATCGCTGGAAATAATATTCCCAGTCCACTGCTAGGGACGATGTTGAGGAATACCCAGCCACGGATGCTGGTTGTTGACTTTAAATGCAAAGACCAAGTCAGATGGTTCTGATACTCCAGCCTGGCCATAGGACCCAGAGGTATCTGCCTGTGACTGTGATGAGGATACCAGTGCCCAGTGATGATGGTTAGAGTCTGTGGGAACATAGCAACACCAGAGATGATGAGAGTGTATCCCTTTGATGTCTGGTAGTAGAATGGGAGATAGTAGATTAGGCACCATGGGATCAAGCCATGCAAAGTGCTTCCAATAAATGAAGCTGCTGCTATTCGGTTTTCGAAAAGACTAGTAGGGATCATGGGCTCCCGTGGGAATCTGCATTCAAAGAACCCTGTTAGAATTAGAAACACTACCCTAATAATGAGTGGAACTCCCATGGATACTGAACACCACCCCAGGTGAGAGGAAGTAGTAAGGCAGAAAACGCTGCCGATAAACAGAATCATCCCAATATAGTCAATTCGAGCGAGCTTTCGTTTGATGGTATCAGGGCGCAAGGGGAGATTGAGAAAGAAAATCACGAGCACAAGCGATATGCCAGCGAGCGGCAGATTGAAGAAGACCCATCGCTGATAGATTTGTTAACCCATTCCTAGACCCAGGTTCAAATGCACGCAAGGAGAGAGAAACTTACCCAGGTGACATTCTCAGCAAATCCACCGCCCAAAATAGGCCCAATAACCGATCCTAACACATATCGCATTAAGCACTCCGTAATAATCGCCGCGAAACCATAAGGGAACAAGATCAGTGTCCGGTATGTCTCCCAGGACTACAATCCCTCCGCCACCGACTCCCTAAATAGCTCTTCCAACCAGCAAGATGGTAGAGTCGTTGGCCGCTCCGGCTACAGCAGCACCCACAAGGAAGAAACAATATTAGTGATGGTAAGGAGTTTGCGGCTGAAGACTTCAGAGAAAAGGCCCACACGCCGGTTGGAATACTAGGAGAATCATTAGCCTCTCGAAATACGAAAATCTGTATCCTGTATCTTGCGTACCAGTCGTTGTAAGCAGGTATGCAGCCACACTCCAGAAGGCTTCGATTACTGTTCCGTCCAGTTTATTCACCATAGTCCACATATGAGAGTGTTGGAACGTTTCTGTTCGGGTCCGAGTTATGCAGGATCAGGTAACTTACTGTCAGGGCAACCTGATTGACTGGAAGTCCAAAGTGACCATGAGACTGAGTATTGCCAAGGTGATGAAGACAAGCTGACCAGCAAAGTCCAACTTGAACTTTTCAGGCCGGTTTTCGTTGTTGATGTCCGGAGTCGGAGTCGAGTTCTCATTGTAGTCTGCAGAGAGCTCTTCCGGGGCTTCAGGAGGCAGAGAAGGAGTTTCAATAGTCCTGTCCCATGACTGAGGCCATAGAAAGAACGATAGGCCAATTACAATATAAATGGAACACTGAAGCTCAGCAACGCAAGGCAACGATGATAGAGCAGCAGATACAAGTAAGAACCCCTCAAACAAAGGAAACCCAAGGGGGAGAAATACTCGCTGCATCTTTGCACACTCATTCTGCCGGTTCGGGGGTGTTTCTGATGGAATAACAGCCCTATGCTGCTATTTTAGTTATGTCCTGCACATATTACCTCAGCAAAGCTTGTGTGGATGCATCCGTAGTTGTACGTTGCATCGGGCCATCCATAGCTTATTAGGACTGCAGCTTATCCTTCGCATCGAACCATACATAGGACTTTCAGCGTTTGTTTCTGTTTGAGATAACTACTATGCAGTACTTGGCAGACCAAAATTATGTGTTGTATGTTGATTTATAATCCATCTGTGTCTCTTTCAAGGGCTATCTGTTCCTACCATTAGAAAGGGAAGAGCTGTACAAAAGATACTGTGCATATGCAGTATTTACCGTAGTGTCCCAGCAGCATCTCCATTGTCCAAAACAGGCAGTGCAGCATGTATAGGTATCCTCCAATACGTATCCTGTTGTATGATAGAGACATCCACATTCATATTAAAAGGTACGGTACTGCAATGGGCTGAGATCATCTATGATGGAAGGTGACAAACAAAGCAAACTGCTGAGTCATTATTGATGACCAATATCGGAGATAATGGTTTGCCCCGCCGAATCGCAGTCCACTAAGCCCAAAATGTAGTAGTGCCATCCACTTCGTGCTGAGGCTCGAGAAGCTTCTGTCATCGACAATAAATCGGACGTCTGACGCTCCTCCCAACTTTCAACTCAATCCACTTCACAATCCTCCTCTATACCCTTCACACGACCTCTTGACACCAACGGACTTCCTACCACATTCTCTGACCTTCAGACGCTCCCATTCTCCTCACCTTTCTTTATTCTCCACTTCACCGTCGTCGGCCTCTACCCCTCAGTATACTCATTCTCATAACGCCACACATATCAAAATGAGCGAGTGGGACTCTGTTACGCGCATTGGAACCAAGCACAGGGCTGGTGGCACCCCCCGCGAGACTGTCGTTAAGGGCAAGAGCGCACTCAACGCTGCTCAACGACAAGGCTTGGTTATCGGAACAGAAAAGAAATACGCTGCTGGTAATACTGTATGTTTGATCTAAGTTCTTTTTTTATTTTATTTCTATAAGATGGAACACTTAACTGAGATCTTTTAGGCCGGCCGTGCATCTGCCGTTGAGGGTCAGCATCTGACTAAAGTCGACCGCAGCGACGATATCGTGAAGCCCAAGACCATTGGCCAAGAAGTTGCCGACGCCATCAAGAAGCGTCGGAACGAGGATCCCTACAAGATGACCCAGAAGGAACTCGCCACCAAGTGTAACACCACAGTCTCGGTCATCCAGGACTTCGAGAGGGGTACTGCCACACCAGATCAGAAGGTTCTCAGCGCTATGGAGCGAGTTCTGAATGTCAAGCTACGGGGCAATGACATTGGGAAGGAAAAATTCCCCAAGAAGAAGTAAATTCTGTCAGGGGGTGAGCCCAGTACTTTTTCTTAGGGGAAATGGAAGGATGAAAGAGAAAACCAAAAACCAAATATAATAAAACGGGGGAGGATCTTTTCCATTTCTTTCATTCTTTGCATGTCGAGCTTTGTTCCTTGGTCATGAATGATTTTTGGTCTTTGTCTTTTCGACGATGAGTTAAATTTGATGAAATTCTTCGCTGGTCGAGAAGTGTTGGCCTGGCATCGATACGATTTCCTTTCTTGTTTTCTGGGATGATAGAGATGAGAGCATTGGAAAATAAATAAACAAATGAAAAACTAAATAATAGAACTATCGTGGGCCTGTATGAGGTCATCGAAATTAACACTGTTGATGTATACATTCTTAGTTTGACTAACAACTCTATTAAGGTCACCAAAAATGCACAAATGGCAATGATGTAACCACCACAATACAATACTTTTAGTCCCGGAACACAAGTAGATAATAGTGGATAATATCGTTATGGACACGAGAAAACAACAATAGAATGGTAAAAAAAGACAAATTAAGAAGCCAACTCCGATTTATCATGGAAGAAAAAAAAGCAACGAAAAGAGAACAAGGATGTAAAGCTCATGCCCAGAACGAATTCCGGGGTATCATCTATTTTCAAAATCCTGCGTAGCTCGTCTTCCTTTTTTTCCTCCTCCCTTTCATAAGTCCTCCGTCTTCATGACAAGGATACATAAGATGCATGACTCGGGAAAATGGGAAACTCAATCAAAATGACAAGTAATAACACGCCACGATCTTTTTCTTCTCTTTTTCTTTACTTTTTCAATTGCTCTCTCTCGACTTCGTACATAAAATCAAAATAGGGCTTGTCAAAATGGTGGACACGCACGTAACCGTCTTCTCCGCCAGAGGCATAAGCTGTACCAGCCGGGTGGACATGGACGTAATTGAGAGGTCCGAAGTGGCCCCTGACACGACCGATCTCGTCCTCAAAGACCTTGTGGTAGAAACGAGCCTCGAATTTACCCTGGCGGGCGGAAGTTGTTGTGACATCCATCGCAGCTTGACCACCTCCCAAGATCACATAGTCCTTCTTAGGAGTGATGGTAGCAGAGTTAATCGGGGTGTCGGCGACATAAGTTTTGAGGATAGCGAGATTACGGCAGGACATGAGCTGGTAAAATAGTTAGTGGGATCGTGCAGACACTACCTGCTAGCAAAAACGTACCTTGGCAGTCTTGTCCTTAGAGGCAGTGATGAAATACGTGCGATCAGCGGAAAACTGGATATCGTTGATCTGGTGATCAAACTCGTGTGCCTGAATGTTCTCCAGTTGATCCCCGGTCTATCAAAAAAAGGGGTTGTTAGTATACTCCTCAAGTCGTGAAGTGTAAAATTCGAGAATCTCACCTTTGCATCGTACTGGCTGACGCTACCATCCTCATGGCCGGCAATAATATACTTGCCCAGATAACTCCAGCCTGCGACGGTGGCCTTGCTTTCTGTGCAGGTAATCCTCAAGCTGGGTTCCTCCGCCTGGTCTTCCAGGTTCTCACCCTCACCATCACCATAGCGGACATCGAGTGCAACGATTGTTCCAAGATAACCCATACGCTTCTCTGTGACGGCCAGTAACTTGCTTCCATCAGGAGAAAACTCGACCCGCTTCACCGCCGTTGGGAAATCCCAGACTTTAACGCACTCGCCAGTCTTCACGTTCCATAGTCGCACGGTGTTGTCTGCTGAGCCGGTTGCTAAGAGGACCGTATTGGGGCTAACATCTACCGTCCAGATGGCACCCTGGTGACCGTTGTAGGTGCCAAGTCGCTCGCCGTTGGCAGACCACCAGGCGCACACAATTTTATCTTTAGCCACGGAGAACAAAAGATCGCCGTCCTTGTTGAATTTGATCTGATTCAGGGACCGTTCCTGTAAAGAAATGAAGGGTCATTGTTAGTCTCCTGTACCGTCCTTCAAATTTGGAGAAATCTTTTTTGATCTTCGAGGAAACGCACATGGCCCGAAAGGAGAATAGGTCGCATATTGAGCCGACCAGTACGCGAGTCCGGTCAAAAATATGAGCAAGAAGGAAGGATAGTCCACAAGAATCTCCGTGACAAGAGTCGAACAGAGCTGCGAGGTCAGACGGCGGTGGTGGCGGGGACCTCCTGTCGGCGCTGACAATGATAGCGAATTTCATCCATCGCACAGTCCAGCCTGCGCGCCAAGAATTTCCCGTTACGGCCTGTATTTGGAAAACGGTTTGGCTGTTTCGGAAGTTGAGAAAGTCCGGTATTATTTGATTCTGAGCCCTAGCCCTATATCCAGCTCCTAAATGGGTCTAGCGCAAAGACACTCCGATGGCGGACCATCAAATAAATTTCATACACGTGACTTGTTCCCCTGTGAGTGCATCTTGAGGACATTCGGAGTAGAGCCATAAGTCCCCGGTGAACATAGGAGACAAGCTGTTGGTAATAGTATTATCATCATTATGAAGTCTGCACATTTGTCCTCTGGGACGCATCCATCTCTCTCTATATTATCATAGTACCAAAGGCACGGAGGACGACTGGTACCTTGCCATTCCAGACTTGCTACAGTCGCTTGGGCGAATAATACGCAGCAATCCATTAGTTATTGTCCTAACGCAAATTTTCTTTATCGCCGAGGTTGCACCGGGGCTATCAAGGCGCCTGATCCCATGCTCCCCCGTCCCCCGCTACCCCGCCGTCGTGCGAAGGATTTCTTCTGTCAACGCGTGTGCGGCATTAGGCGTCCTCCCTCGTCCTTGTTGCAATTGAACTTTCGAGCCTCCCGCGTTCAGCCCGGGGTTACATCTTTTGTTCGTTGTGCGCAGTTGTCTACCAGTCCGTTTCCTCTATCGAGACCAGAGGGTCTTGCTACTATTGCACCTTCTATCAGCACCAACCGCGCATTCTCTTCTACCACAGCCGCCATGGTGGCCACCAAGATCGATGGCACGGCTATTGCCAAGAATATTCGGGAGGGGTTGAAGGCTGAAATTGAGGAGATTCAAAAGTCTAATCCCAGATTCATCCCTAGCTTGGTTATCTTCCAGGGTAGGTCTGAGAAAAAGGGGGGTAATACTCAAACAACAGAAATGCTAACTGCGTCATCTACGTACAGTTGGAGACAGATCGGATTCAAGTGAGCTTCGTTTCCTTCCGTCTGAGGGAGACAAGATTTGGCTAATACAATTTAGGCACCTATGTTCGCATGAAACTAAAGGCTGCCACGGAGGTAAAGAATGTTTACTTTCGTTTCCATTTTCATGGAAAATCTAACAATCCGAATGCTTTAGGCGAACGTCCTTTGCAAGGTCATCAATTTCCCCGAGTCCATCACAGAGCTTGAGATCATCCAGGAGATCAACAAGGCAAACAACGACTCATCCGTGCACGGTATTCTCGTCCAATTACCTCTTCCAGGACATATTTCCGAACATGCAGTCACCTCAGCCGTAGCCGATGAAAAGGATGTCGATGGTTTTGGTGCTATCAACATTGGTGAATTGGCAAAACGGGGCGGTAACCCCTTGTTTGTACCCTGTACACCACAGGGTGTCATGGAGCTCCTCCGTGTTAGCGGAGTTGATCCCGCAGGCAAGGAGGCAGTGGTCCTTGGACGCAGCGACATAGTTGGAAGCCCTGTCAGCTACCTCTTGAAAACCGCCGATGCAACTGTCACCATCTGCCATTCGAAGACTCCCGACCTACCGCGGATAATAAAGACAGCGGATATTCTCGTTGCAGCAATTGGAAAAGCGGAGTTTGTCAAGGGTGAATGGTTAAAACCAGGTGCCGTGGTCATCGACGTCGGCACCAACTACAAACCCGATCCTACGAGGAAGTCAGGTCAAAGACTTGTTGGCGATGTTGATTTTGAGTCTGCCGTGCAAGTGGCATCACAGATCACCCCTGTTCCTGGCGGTGTAGGCCCTATGACAGTGGCCATGTTGTTGAAGAACGTGGTGACTTCTGCCAAAGCTTACTTCAACAAGCAGAAGGCTAGGCGTATTACCCCTCTGCCACTTAAATTGGCTCGCCCAGTCCCTTCTGATATCGCTATTTCCCGGGCGCAACATCCCAAGCCTATTACTCAGCTTGCTTCCGAGATTGGCATTGAGTCCAACGAGCTGGAGCCTTACGGTCACACAAAAGCGAAAATTAGCCTTAGCCTTCTGGACAGGCTGGCTCACCGTCGCAACGGCAGATATATCTTGGTTTCTGGGATCACGCCCACTCCCCTCGGCGAGGGTAAGTCAACGACTACTCTTGGCCTGACCCAGGCAATTGGAGCACATCTAGGCAGAATAGCTTTTGCCAATGTCAGACAGCCCAGCCAAGGTCCCACTTTCGGAATTAAAGGAGGTGCTGCTGGTGGAGGATACAGTCAGGTCATTCCTATGGACGAATTCAACTTGCATCTAACCGGTGACATCCATGCCATCACCGCCGCGAATAACCTCTTGGCTGCAGCTATTGAAACTCGCATGTTCCATGAATCTACTCAGAAGGACGGGCCTCTCTACAGGCGCTTGGTCCCCGCCAAAAAGGGCAAGCGCGAATTCCAGCCGGTAATGTTCAAGAGGTTGAAGAAGCTCGGTATTACCAAGACCAATCCCGACGATCTAACTGAGGAGGAAATCCGACGTTTTGCACGTCTCGACATTGACCCGGAGACCATTACTTGGCGTCGTGTCCTGGATGTTAATGACCGTCATCTCCGAGGTATTACAGTGGGACAAGCGCCCACTGAGAAGGGTCACACTCGCCAGACCGCTTTTGACATTTCCGTTGCCAGTGAATGCATGGCCATCCTCGCTCTGAGCAACAGTCTTGCGGACATGCGCGAAAGACTGGGACGCATGGTCGTCGCCACCTCACGGAGCGGTGACCCGGTCACCTGTGACGACATTGGCGCTGGAGGAGCTCTTGCAGCTCTCATGAAGGATGCCATTAAACCCAACCTGATGCAAAGTCTGGAAGGAACTCCGGTCATGGTTCACGCTGGTCCTTTTGCGAACATCAGTATCGGAGCTAGCTCAGTGATTGCGGACAAACTGGCCTTGAAGCTCGCTGGTACGGAGCCGGATGAGGACCATGAGGCCAAGACTGGTTTTGTTGTTACCGAAGCCGGTTTCGACTTCACCATGGGAGGTGAGCGCTTCTTCAACATCAAGTGCAGGTCTTCTGGTCTCTCTCCAGATACTGTTATCGTTGTTGCTACAGTCCGCGCTCTGAAGGTACATGGTGGCGGTCCCGATATCAGCCCGGGTGCTGCACTGCCGGAAGTCTATCGTACAGAGAATGTTGACCTCCTGAGAAAGGGTTGCGTCAACCTTAAGAAACACATCGAAAATGCAAAGCAGTATGGAGTTCCTGTGGTTGTTGCGATCAACCTCTTTGAAACCGACACCGAGGACGAGATTGCCGTCATCCGAGAGGAAGCCATTGCTGCGGGGGCGGAGGACGCTATTCCTGCCAGTCACTGGGCAGACGGTGGCGCTGGAGCCGTTGATCTCGCCAAAGCCGTTGTGGCGGCAAGCTCCAAGCCTAAAGATTTCAAGCTCCTGTATGATCTTGATGGCAGCGTCCAGGAACGCATTGAACGGATCGGGAAGGTGATGTACGGAGCAGCGAAGGTCGAATTCAGCGAGCTTGCTCAGAAGAAGGTCGACACATACACGAAGCAGGGTTACGGCAATCTCCCCATTTGCATTGCCAAGACACAGTACTCGCTCAGTCATGATCCTTCTCTGAAAGGAGCTCCCACCGGGTTTACTGTGCCTATTCGGGATGTCCGGTTGGCAGTTGGTGGTGGATACCTGTAAGGCTCTCTTTTTGGTCCTACTTGTGTGGGGATGGGAATGAAATACTGACAGTTATACATAGGTATGCACTTGCCGCAGATATCCAGACCATTCCCGGCCTGCCAACTGCACCAGGATATCTCAACGTCGACATTGATACCGAGACCGGGGAGATTGACGGTCTCTTTTAGTTGTGTGTTTTTTTTTTTTTTTTTTTTTTTTGTACATGTCTTAAGATTTTAACTACGGGGAACAGGGCAAAAAGCAGATGCTTTCGGTTTGTCAACACTTAACGCAGCGCATAGATATTTCAGAATTCAACATCTAATGGTTTTGGCGTGCGAGAATAGCGTCTGGGGGATATGTGTGCTATAGATAGTTTTCATGTATGATGATGCTGTTCTCTGCTTCGCAGCATAGAATCATTCCTAGCTATTCCTACCTAGGCTAGTAGTAAAGTGGGTCAGCTGATTTGGCTGCGTTGGCCGCGGAAAACAGGGACTTCTCCGGAGAACGCGAGCAATGACGTCGCAACTGCCGACATCGGCAGTGCCGGTGAACCCCAGACTTCCTGTCACGGGACTTTGTCGATGCAGGAGCAAAACAGGAAGGGGGAAAAAAAACAGCTGGGAAAAGAGTCATAAAGCACGTCCATCTCCCCGGTTCTCTCATCGTCACATCGTCCATCAGCGTTAGCCGTCTGCAGCATTTTCCGGTCATTCCGTCAGCCGCGACAATCAATCCCTCCGCATCACGGAATCCGCGTTTCTCGTGGGACGAATCAAGCGCGCATCCGTCCAGCCGAGCGCTGCCTCTGTGATACTTCCTCGGGTATCAACCATCCTCCTCACTGCCGCTGAGAGGCCACGAAACGGGGGTTGCAGTACCCAACGGGCGACAGATCCAATCCCACTGATTCATTGTGTCTGGTGCAGTCCTTATAATCATGATTAGTATGAATTCCACTCGGGCTTGTTCCGCGACCGCCAGGGCATTCTCTGCTGCCCCTCTTCTTTCCCCTCTTCCCTCTTCCTCTTTCTCTCCTCTCTCCCTCTCCCTCTCCCGTTCTTCTCTCTGTGCCTCCAAGAGATCAGTTCACTCCTCTTCTCGAGTTACTGCTCCTCTGTCTTCTCGCTTTCTCTCCCGCAACGCTTCTGCCACCGCCCGTGTTTCTGTATCCTCCAGCTGGTCCGGAGCGACATCCTTCGTGAACCCGACGCAGATCCGCAAAATGGCAACCGAGGCCCAAAAGATCAAGGTCAAGAACCCAGTCGTTGAACTGGATGGAGATGAGGTATGTCAAGTAATGGAGAAAGAAAAAAAAAAAAAGAGAATCATCCTTCTGTCCACACGAACAACCCGCGTCTCCGTACCTTTTAATATCTACCCCTCCGCATTTTCGTAAAACCCCCCGGGGAAATACGGCGAGGAGATGAACCGATGCATTGCCAATCATCAACCGTCTGCATGTGCCTGGCGCTGACCGACGGCCCTTTTGGGAAATCTTATAGATGACTAGGATTATCTGGCAGGAGATCAGAGAGAAAGTAAGTTCACCGATTCATCTTCCCCTCTTTCCCCCTCACTTCCGCTTCGCCGTCTGGAGTTGAGTTACCGCGGTCCATCACCAATACTGACCTGTTGCTCTCGTGTACAGCTTATCCTTCCGTGAGTGGTCCGACGATGATGTCGTCCGGGCATCCGTGCTAAGATCATATGCTAGGTACCTCGACATTGACCTCAAGTACTACGACTTGGTAGGGTGGACCCCCGCCGACAGTCCAAATCAAGACACTTAAGCTGACCTTCCTGGAAAGGGCATTGAATACCGTGACCAGACCGACGACAAGGTCACCGTTGATGCCGCTGAGGCCATCAAGAAGTATGGTGTCGGTGTCAAGTGTGCCACCATCACTCCCGATGAGGCCCGTGTTAAGGAGTTCAACCTGAAGAAGAGTACGTCTGAGCATCCGTTCACTCCTCATCTTTCCGCATACCTCGGGCAGTCGAAACTGACATTTCCCGACCAGTGTGGCTGTCTCCCAATGGTACCATCCGAAACATCCTGTATGTCTCCCCTCCCCGAAATGGTTTGAAGCCATGTCGCTGACGCCTTCTGTAGCGGTGGAACGGTCTTCCGTGAACCCATTGTCATCCCTTGCATTCCTCGCCTTGTGCCTGGATGGACCAAGCCCATTATCATTGGTCGTCACGCCTTCGGTGACCAGTACCGTGCTACAGACCGTGTGATCCCTGGACCGGGAACCCTCGAGCTCGTCTACACCCCCACTGGCGGCAAGCCCGAGTCCATCAAGGTCTTCGACTTCCCCGGTGGTGGTGTCGCGCAGACCCAGTACAACACCGATGAATCCATCACTGGCTTCGCTCACGCCTCTTTCAAGGTGGCTCTCTCCAAGGGCCTCCCTCTGTACATGAGCACCAAGAACACCATCCTGAAGAAGTATGATGGCCGCTTCAAGGACATCTTCCAGGAGATCTACGAGAAGGAGTACAAGAAGGACTTTGAGGCCAAGGGCATCTGGTACGAGCACCGTCTCATCGATGACATGGTCGCCCAGATGATCAAGAGCAGTGGTGGATTCGTGATGGCTCTGAAGAGTAAGTTTCTTCACCTCTCTATCATACCCTGGCTCGATTTAACCCTCATTTAGACTACGACGGTGATGTTCAGTCCGACATTGTCGCCCAGGGCTTCGGCTCCCTCGGTCTCATGACCTCCACTCTCACCACCCCCGATGGCACTGCTTTCGAGTCTGAGGCCGCCCACGGCACCGTCACTCGCCACTACCGTGAGCACCAGAAGGGCAATGAAACCTCCACCAACCCCATTGCCTCCATCTTCGCCTGGACCCGCGGTCTCATTCAGCGTGGCCAGCTAGACAACACCCCTGATGTTGTCTCCTTCGCCGAGCAGCTCGAGCGCGCCTGCATTGATGTCGTCAACGAGGAAGGCATTATGACCAAGGACCTTGCCCTCTCCTGTGGCCGCAAGGAGCGCGAGGCCTGGGTCACCACCCGCGAATACATGGCTGCCGTCGAGAGGAGGTTGAAGGCTAGCTTGAACAAGGCTAAGATCTAAATTCTCCCTTCCGCTTCCCCTTCTTAAATCTCTTCCGATTTATCCCAGTCACCATCAAAACCTTTTTCGTTTTTTGATTATCAATCTACTTTACTATATACTTTCCCCCTTTGACAGTGAGGTGAGGCTGGCACCTAAAAATGGGAAAAATGAAATATCAAGTCTTGTTACCTGCTTGGGGTGAAACAGTTGCGTGTGCAACAGGTTGATTGATCAAACATATATAGACTCTTTTTGGATGGGGAGTCTGTTTGTTCCGGCTCTATAGAGTGTGCAAATTGGCGTTTGTACATAAACACAATACACAGATACTACACAAATGACAGATTGCTAATTGAATGGTTTCTCTCTGTATACCCTCTACTTGACGTGTCCACTTAGGTTCATGGTCATTACCTCAATCAAATGGGCAAGGCCTGTTTCCATTTCAACCGATTCAATGCTAACTAATTCGTGCTGAACATGATCCGAATCTAATAGCCCCATGACCCAGTAATATAAGACTAAAACAAAGAATGAAACTTTTGAGAACCAGCCCCGAGTGAACCAATATAATAAACGGTTGAGACGCCCCTAGAGATACCCACGAGTCCAAAGATCTTCAAGACTAAACTGAACCAAGACGACCGGCATCGCAAAATTATTGCGCAGGCTGCACTGGAATCTGTGGAACCTGTGCTCGCCAGTTGGAAATCCTCATCATATGCCAGTACCGATTTCCTGGGGACGCATCTTTGTTCGCCTTGCCAGCCATCTTATCCCTCCTATCTTGCCTTTTTGTCGCCGAGTTTTGCTGGCCCGCCTGTCTGTCTACATTGAAGGGACCCTTTCGATAAGCCCATCGGGTTCGAGCTCTTCTTCCGCCACGCCTAGCCCTCTTACGCCTCTGCTGGGTATCAGGGACGGCAAAGTGCACCTTCTTCTTCGGCTGTACTTCATGGCGCACGTCACGCATTTCAACGTCATGCGGCTCAGGCGTCTCATCTTTGCAATCATGAACCCCTAGCGCTTGTCTGAGTTGCGCGATTGCAGCATTAAGATTCCTCCGAGGAGCACCGTCATCGTTCTGGAGAGGCTGCAATGGGCCAGCATCTTTTTTAGAGTTGACAACGGGTGGATCAGACACAGGCAATATCGCCGGAGAGTCTACTATGTTGGTACCAGGTTGAAGAACAGGTTCAGGTAGTGCTTCCGGGGTAGCAGATGGACTGAACACAGCTGCTTCTGGGTTTAAAACCGGCTTCTGGTCGGGCATAGAATCGTCGGTAGACCGCGTGCGAGTACATGATAAAGGCGGCGATAGAGGTAGCAGAGGCAAAAACGATGGTGGATTCGTTTGGTTGATCTGGTTGACAGTGACTTCAGCAGAGCGAGTGTCAACCAAACACATCCCGACGAAAGGGGTTTGCCAATGTGTAGTATAGAAAGGGGACCGCCTCAACGATGAGAATGACGAGAGCGGCACATAATTGGTGCCCATCATGGGGGGGACCGCCGTCCAATGCTCAGGGCTCAGAGGATAGAAGGCACCAGGACATGACTTGACATCTTTGATCATGGGTCCTGCAGAAGGAGGCCGGTCACTCCTCTCAGAGACACTCCGATGAAGAGTATCAACGTTGGAATAGCAGTTGTAGCAGACCACGTCGTACTCGCCGTCTCGTGGCAAAGGATTGAAGCTTGCAGGTATCATTTTCTCGAACAAGGAGACATCACTCCAGTCCCAGTCGCCAACTTGCAACCAAGACGGCAACTCATCGATGGCAATGAGAGGGACAATCCGTTGGTCAGGTCGGAAAACGTAGAATTTGGGAAATGGCTGCACGGGCGAGGGGCCTGCTGCCAACCGGGAAACAGTCATTGGGGCAGCGTGCGAAGGATACGGGTATGTAGGATTGCAGAAATATGGCATACAAGGATAAGACAGCGCCTGAAGGGCCAAACGAATGGGCTGATCAGAATAACGAGCGAATAATCAAACGAAAGACCGGCGAGTCAAGATGAAGCGGAGGAAGAGAAGAAGAGAAGGGCTGAAGGGGAGGAGGAAGGGGAAGATGAGAGGAAATGCCCGTTGCAGCTGCCATTGCGAAGTCAATCAGCGCGAAGAGACGAAGATAGAGAAAGAGGAGAAGAAGAGAAAGAGAAGGAGAGAGAAGGAGTTGGTTAGAGTTGCTGCATTGCCAGAAACGGATGCAGGATGAAGTCATCGCCGGTTTCTTTTCCTTTTCCTCGCGTCGCCGTTTCTTTTTCCTCCTTCCTTCAGCTTCTTCTCTTCTGTGCTTTGTCCGACGCTGTTCATCTATCTTCCCTTCGCCATGTCTTCGACGCTACTGCTTTTATCGTCCCGCGCGTCTTCTATCTATCTCTGTCCCTCCGCTGTGATTTTTCATCCAGACTTCCTCCGCAACAGTCGTTTCTCTTCGACCACGGTTCTCTAGTCGATGATGCTTCTATTTCCAACGCTCCTTTGTGTCGTCATATATACAGCATTGACTACTATGCTTCTCCAGCCTCGATTGGTTGAATTCTGACCATTTCCGGTACTTCTTAGGAGAACCTTCGCGTGGCAAAAGTCCTTATCGCTGCGCTTCTCGACCTGAAGAGAACCTACGATCTCTTCTTTTCTCTTTTGCGAATACCTCACTGCTCTCAAGAATCAAGAAGCCTCGATCCTGCTGCAAGAACTGCAGAGGTGCGTTCCCGAATCATGGCTGTGAGACAGCCACCGATTCACTTATCTCTATTTACTCCGAGTACAGGCAGCCCTGGTCAACTGCCTCGTCCTCCGATGGAAATTACCCCTCCAGCGACTCCAATTGTCGCAACTCGTGATGCTCCAGCAAGTTTGGCATCCAGTAGATCCAGTCCGACTGGCTCTCGGGTTTTGTCTCCCGCCGAACCACCAGCAAGCCAAGCTGGATCTATTACCAACCGACACGTTCGAACCCCTCATGAATTCCCCGATGTGATTGAAATTTCAAAGGATGCATCAGGGCGTCCTATTGAGTTTGGTCGCGGCGTTTGGAGTGTTGTCTACATGGCTTCGTCTCATCCGCCATCCAAGACCAGTTCCGTTTTAATGACCCCTCCCAGTTCCCCAGGAACAAAGACTCGCATTCTCGCCGTTAAGACACCGGCGAGGAGAGACGCGCAATCTGTGCTTCGCAGAGAAGCTCTAATATTGACCCGGCTCAGTCTAACACCGGGTCACGAAAATCACGTCGTGCCCTTCCGTGGCTATATCTCCAGTTCTCATTCCATCGTCATGTCTGCCGTACCCCTTGCATTGTCCACCTATATTGAAGAGGAGGCGGAGACCGCCCGGAAACAACTGTCGACGCAAACAATGTTTGATCCAATCCAAGGCAAAGCTCGGTGGTACGACCTTGCACACAGACTCATCTCCGCGCTCTCTTGGTTGCACAACGAGGCTCAGATTGTTCATGGAGATGTCAAACCGCATAGCTTTCTGTTACGCCCTCGGCAGACTAGTCTCTCTGACAACCATGACGGATTTCCATACGAACCAGTCTTTGCCGACTTCTCATCCGCACATGACCTTACATGTCCAACGACGGAGAACGGGTCAGGTTCGTCAATGTCAGCGTTGACTCCCGTATTCGCAGCCCCAGAGCTACTCTCAGTCCACGCCCTGACATCACCCGATGTGAATCCAACCCCCGCTTCGGATGTCTTTTCTCTCGCAGTAACCCTCCTTGCTGCCGCCACCGGAGATCTGCTAGTCTATCCTGGTACCAGCAATATGCAACGGCTTGCCATGGCACGAGAAGGACACAGAGTCCTTGAATTTGCTAGGTCTGGAGGTAATGGTTCTCGGATACCACGAGATGGAATGGTCGAGCAGACCCTCATGCCGGCTATCGCGAAAGATCCTATCCAGCGCATTACTGCTGGTAAATGGCTGAGCGCCATACAAACCTTGCCGTGAGGGCAACTTCGGCGATTCTATTATATTCTCCTTCGTGGTTACACTCTTTGGATTTTGGTATACGCTATTTAATCCTTGTTTCTATTATAGATTTTTAACGATTTACATTTCTGGGAGATGGAGATTATATGAATACCTCTTATTTTGTTTTTTACGAGAGTGGATGACATTGAGTCACCTTTGTTTGTTTCTTTTTATATCCTAGCGAGAGCAATCAGTTACACGATGTCTTACCTTGGATTTTGAATGGGATTATGCTAAGAACGTTGGGAATATATACAAATGCACTATTCAATGATTTGATTCATGTTGTGCAGAATAATAAGATTGGCATTGTCCATATAGAATCGCATGTGGTGGCTGTCTAATCGCCTAATTAGTGGCCCATTCCAGTTGTGATTCCTCGACGTTACTCTGTGTGTGAGAAGAAAGCAATGGTGTTGTGTAGAATATGTCTCTGTATGCAACTTCATCTGATTCTTTAATTTTCCCCCTTGTATAGGACAGTTCATATATAATCCAACCTAGACAATACATCCAAATGCAACAATCGCAACAATGGCTGGTATATAGGGTTCTTTCATAGTGGATTTGGTCGGGTTATATATACTCGTCTTTCTCTCCTGGTGTTATTCCAGCAGAGTCCAGTTCAACTAGTAATACATTATTTTCCAAAATAGAAAATAGCAACTTGGTTTTCATCATATAACAAAAAAGAAAAAAGAAAAAACCAAGGAAAAATAGGCATTGTCTGCTCTGTTAACAATCCTATTCTCCAAGGCTCAATGTAATTTCTTCATTGACATACCGCCAGTCGCCATGGCTGATGTCACAGAGCCACCGAGGTGTCGAGTGAGCTCCAGAGCTGAGAGCTTGTTAGGAAGTTTCAGGTATTCGATGATAATGTCCAGCAGAACATTTACTGGCAGAGCTCGGGCACGGAAATCAGTGAAGTCATAGTCAATGTTCTCCTGGAAGGACATTGCTGGGTCCGGTTCCTTGCCTGCTGCCACATCCTCGTGGTCGGGGTGTAGTGTCTTTGGGCAATTCTCGAAGTCGGGCTTGAGTTTTTTGCCTGCATATTTGGACAGGCTTGGTATTGTCTTGACGATATCATTGATCTGTGTATTGGGGAAAATGAGTTGGAGGAGCTCCTCCAAGGTTCTGTCAGTGCGACTGACTAAACTGGGAAGAATTAGGTCCAGGTAGCTGGTCAGTTCGGTTCTTTGGGGTGCGTCGAGTTTATCAAGTCGTCGCACTATCGGTGAATCTAGGTCCGCCTCAAAATAGATCAGGGATGTTGGCAGTCCACGGGGGAAGATCTCCTCATCATCAATCTGCATTGCTTCGAACGGCCGACGATCGTATAGGAGAACTGCATCGTCGAAACTGCCAGAGCGCAAAGCAGCTTGTCTTGAGTCTATGAGCATCTGAGCCTTCGTCGAGATTTTATATGGAAAGTTACGCATCGTGGTATGAATAGTAGACCTCATCGAAGCGATCTTCGCATCCAGAGCCTTCAGTTCGTCGAGGTCTGCCTTTGGATCTGCAGCACCTCGTGATAGTGACTTGGCAAGTTCGTCAACTTCAACCTGTTGCTTAAGAACTTCCGTGGCTTCATATGTCCGCTGGTTTTCAAAATTCAAGTAATCAATGGATTGTTTCAGTTTCTTCTTTAAAGCAGAATCGGCTTTTTTGCCGGAACCAGGGTTCAGTGTTTTGAGATCTTCAGCGACCTCGCAGAGGCGACCGTGCATCGCGTGGGGGATATAAGGGATGGCTTTTCGTCCAGGAGAAGGGCTTTGGGGAGCCATTGGAATAACAGGGGCCTCCCTTCCTGGAGGAGTGACAACACCACGTTCCGCTGCCCTTTCAGCAACCCGCGCGGTGTTGTCGACCAGTAAATCCCACTCCTTCCAGGCCACCCATTCTCCAAATTCGTGGGTACATGCAACCTCGAAGGCGTTCGAGGTTACGGCCTCGGTTAGGAGGGCGGGCCCCTTCCGGTCTTTAATTGACCGTGGAAGAATAATTCCCGCTTCTGCCGCTGGTAGAAAGGCAAGCATGCGCACGCTTCCATAGGTATGAAATTCGCTCTGCTGAGCACATGCCTTCATAAATCTCGCCCACCACCGCGCAGATGTGTAATGGTACTTCTTGGATCCCAAATAGAATGGGCTTGCGAGGACGAGCAACGTGTCGTTCTTAGTTAATGCCTTTCCCGTATTGCTCTGATTCGATTGCCCTTGCTCTGGGAGATATTCCTTGAATAACTGAGGCCAGTCGTGATCCAGCCAGGGGTCAATGGTTAAAATGCGATAGCAGGGCTTCTGGCCCTCAAGATCCTTCAAAAATTTGCCATAATATCTCTGGACGGTGCTGGACTCAACGAGAATATGACGCCGAGGTTTTATCAGGTCGTTGACCTTGGATGACCAAAGGCCAGCACCAGGCCAGAGGTCCAGGATATCTATGGGCGCGCGGTTCTGGAGAAACGGAGACAAGCGTTGGAGGATTTGGTCTGCAGGCAAAGATGTTTTAATGAGGACATTGTCGTCAGATAGACACGGTTCTTCACTCACCACACAACGTCTCACTCACGATGTCTGCTCGAATCTGATATCCCTTTCTAGCACCTTTTACCGCATTATCGTAAATAGCTTGCGTCAATGGGTATCGCGCGAGAGGCGCCCATCTCTGGGCCATCTTGCGCTCCGAATTCTCGAGGGCTCCGATTAGACGGGGGACGCATTAAAGACAACGTGTAGGGACGTAGACGGCGAAAAGCAATTGTATGTCATGTAGACAGCGAGCGTAATGCATTGAGCCCGTGAATTGGGGACAGGATGAAGTTGCTGGGAGAAGTTGGAGAGACGACAGTAGAAGAAAAAGAACACGGGATCCCGCCGCCCAGAAGGAACTCGTCGATCTTCCCTCTGAATCATGTTTTCATCCTCCTACACTCAACGTTTCCTCATCGTGCCGTCTTCCTGTTTCAGATATTCGCTTCTAGCGACCTCTGGATCCCTTCCTTGCTGGCATTCGTCCATGAAATCTTGCCGCCTGAGTGCGCGGCACTCCATGACCACAGGCCACAGCACGCTCGTCGGCCCGTCTCAGGGTTCGCGGTGACCGCAGCTGAGCGATCAATCGGTCATCTTCGTTCCTGGTATACATTTTCTTTGACGTCCAGAGCGTGATAACTCGGTTTAGATCTGGTATTTCCCCGGACGTATATTCACCTCTCGCGCTGCCGGTGCTTGTCATCACTTACCCCGCGGATATGGCTTCACGTCTGCCTGGCTCGGGCACCGGCCCCTCGCAACCTCATAGCGTCGAAAGTATCACTCGAATGGCACAGGATTATGAATACAATCCTCGAATTCCCCTCAGATACTGGCTAAGATCTGCAGCTACGCTATTTAGGGAGGTTCGTACTTCTCATATTACCTCACCTGCTGGTTACTCCGGACTTACTCTTTTGCGGCAGGCTCGCGTCTACGAACGGGAAGGACACGATGAACAGGCCTATTTACTTCTTTTCAGACATGCTCAGCTCATACTCGTTAATCTTGCGAAGCATCCGGAAGCCAAAGATGAAGACAATCGTAAGGCTTTAGTGGCGGCGGAGAAGGATGTTAAAAAGGGCATTGAGAAAATGGAAGCTCTAAGACCGCGCATTAACAAGCGGTACGAGAACTATATCAAATTGATGCATGATCATCACTCTCGACGGCCACCCCGCGCTTCACATGATGCTTTGGGACAAATGCCTTCTGACCCTGCCATGGCCGGTGTTGCGAAACCGTTGGAAGCTGGAGAGCATAGAGACCTGGCGGTTAGAATAGCGCGGAATGAAATCAGTCGAAGAGCAACTGCTCGGAGGGCGACAAGAAGAGCGGGAATACCTCAAGAGGAGGCGCACAATAGACGTGGTGCCGGAGTTTGGGACGGTGCGAGCTCCTTTGTCAAAGATGCTCCTCCGGAAGCGGATAATGACCTGAGCAAACGCATTCAAGATGTGAGGAGGAATATCGACCACTCTCGAACAGAAGCTTTCCCTTTACAGCACTCTAAGCAACCCGCTTCATCCGCGTTGTCTCCGGTGTCAGCCTATAAGTACCCAAACGTCCCTCGGCAAAAGTCGTTAGATGTTGGCTCTATCCCCACGGTCGTCAAGTCTGGAGACGGGACTGTACGTCGCTCAGAACCGCCCAATTTACCTCCAAAAGAACGTCTCCCTGTGAGTCGGCCGTTTGACTTAGGTGGGCTACCACCGCGCCCAACAAAAGAGCTACCAGCACCACCTCCGGCACTTCCTGATAAGGTAAAACCGGTAGAGGAGGCTGAAATGGTGCGCACAGAGCTGGATCCGTCTAGCTATACGTTCAAGCCGTCCGCCTATCTTGAGAACGGGACGCCCCTCCGCAGCGTTTTCATATCGTCCGAGCTACGGCATCGATTTCTCTCTCTGGCTGCATCGAATACCCGCCGTAACCTTGAAACATGTGGTATCCTCTGTGGGACGTTGATATCTAATGCTCTCTTTGTCTCGAGACTCCTGATTCCAGAACAAACGGCGACCTCAGATACCTGCGAAACAGTCAACGAGTCCACGATTTTTGATTACTGTGACTCCGAGGACCTCATTGTGCTTGGCTGGATCCATACGCATCCTACTCAAACCTGCTTCATGAGTTCGAGAGATCTGCATACGCATTGCGGTTACCAAGTGATGCTCCCAGAAAGCATTGCGATAGTGTGCGCACCGAGCAAAACTCCTGACTGGGGTGTTTTCCGACTCACAGACCCTCCGGGATTGAAGGCAATTCTCAATTGTACCCAAACGGGCTTGTTCCATCCGCATTCAGAGTCGAATATTTATACAGACGCTCTCCGGCCAGGCCATGTTTACGAAGTCAGCGGGCTTGAGTTTGAGACGGTAGACCTGCGCCCAAGTGTCTAAAAAGGCAGCTGGTTAATTTTCTAACGGCTTTTCTCTGTTGTCTTATCTTTATATTTGCGGGTGTCTCTTACATGACTACCCTTCACGTATCTCTTATACCCTGTTCTTCTACGGTTTGCAACACATTCGTGTGCCGTTGGAACTGCTAAAACTTCCGTTTACGAAAGTCATGGCGTCTACGAATTCAATATGCAATGTGTTTACTAGCATTATTGGTACTTCATTTTGTCTGGGCTGGGTGGCATGCGCGCTGCATTAAAGTACTATGGGAAACACACTGAGGATATGAACCGGTATTTATCTATCCCTGTTTCTGTCATGCTCATCGCGAGCCCTGATGACCTGCTTATTCTACAAGATATGTCTGTACTATTAATACAATGACTTGAGTCTATGGTTGGTTGATTTGGTCAATTGACCTAGTCTTCATTCCACATCTATGTGAGTGTCTTTCTACGGCAGCCCATTCTCTCTCTCGACAATATACATATACCACTTGCGCAAAGCAGCCGCATACGCCACTGTTGTCTCCATCTACTCCGACGTAGCACTCCCACTTCTTGACCGAGTCCGAGAACGAGAACGACCCTTCTCTCTCGTCTTGGACTGAGAGCGACGTCGCGCACCCGATCCGGCCCTCACACCAGCGATTCTCGACGCCGTTGGAGGACGATTGACTCCCGACCCTCGTCGACCACTTGAGGTGGTGTTCTGTGTGGTGCGTCTATCGGGGCCTCGCATCTATTAATGTCACCGTGATGGATTGTTGTTAGTTTAGATACCTCGTTTATCTTTCAATAAATCGGCGTCTTGCTGATGGAGGCCCTTTTATGCGTTGTGACTTTTCTTACCGAAGCATCTGTGGTCGATATCTAGTTAGCTTCCAAGACGGCTTGACTATCAGTACTTCACTGGGTAATTAAATTGTATTATTATTACCTGGGTTTGCACGGACGGATTCAGAAGAAGCCATTTTTATTTTATTTTGCCTCTTCCTTTTCTTTTTCTTTGTCTTTCTTAAAAAGGCCTGGGGTTGTTGATGGGATGGTGGTCGGTATAATTACCAGTAGATAGATCGATAGTCAAGAAGGAACTAAAATAGTATGTATATACAGAACAGATTCCAAGACCCAGATTCGTCCCTTTCCTATAATAAATAAATATAGCTACGGCTTGGTTTCGCTGTCAGGATTGCGTATTCCCGGAGTAAAGCGCGAAATTGGGAAAAAGGGCTAGCTCTGTGGCCACTGAAGGGAGTCACTATGAGATCAGAACCATGGTTAGTTATTTGAATTGTGATCGTCCTGGCTCTATTGATATCGAGCGCTCTCGCAGCTGGCAATATTGCTGCTCCCAGCCCCACTGTTGTCATTTAAGCTTAACGTCAAAGATCAAGGGCTCTAAGTAACGGGAATATATCCGGATAATGTCCAGGAGGAGCGAAATATCGATCCCATTGTGCCTTCTCGTCTACTCGTTGGCAAGTTGATAATAATGGAATAGAGACGAGTGTGGCATGTCTATCAGGCCATGTATCGAAAAAGTATCTATGCTTTTGACTGATCATACATTGGTCGCCCCGATAGAATCGTTTAGCCCCATCCATTCATTTGATGTAAGCACGGGAAAAGGGATGATAATATCGCACCAGGCCCGTTCCATGGTATTAATTACTGATTAATTTTACCTTTCATGCGAAAGACTTTCGTTTCTTCGTTTCTCCCTGCTAGTCCCCTGTTCCATAATTCGCTTCAAGCACCTATATACCAGACTTCGACGCCGAGGATATCGAATTTGGTACCTTCGTCCGAAAGAGGTTCGTTTCCAAATGTTTGGGACGGGGCACTGACGCCTTTTTCAAGACTAGAGTCTAGCCAGAGACCATAGTGGCCGTCTCTATAATCGATGGTCAGTAATTAGGTATATAACAGTAAAAACTGGTATGGAATGAGGTAATACTCACCCGCCACCTAGACTTAAAAAGCCCGTCTCGCAAAAGATCATGTAATCGTTTACCCCACTATAGGGAAAGGCTTTGAATCTAATGGGCTCAGGTGTGCTCCTACCACTGCTCTGGACGCTCCCGCCCGAGCCATTCGGAGGAGCTAGGAGGCCATCCTCGTTCGTGCTGGCCGTCTGCTGTCCATTACGACCTTTCTTTTCTCCACGCAAAGTGGTCGACCTGCCCATATGCGTTGTATCGGCACTGGGCGGTGGCGGAAGCCCAGAAAGGTCCAGCTTACCGTCTGACGCAGGCCCGCTGCCAAGCCCGCCAAGGGCCCCTGTCTGAGAATGATGGAAGGAAGGAGAGGAGGAAATCACGCTGGCACGCCAGAGGAAGCACTCGCCCGTACCGTAATAATGGGGAGAAGGGTGTGGTTTGTCCGTCAAGTAGCCGCCAAACACAGCACCGCCCGGGGAAGAGTCGCGCACGACTAGCACATAGCCTGCCCGCAGGCTACGGTGAGAGAACTTATCACAGTTGTCATAGAGGGTCGCCAGCGATGCGCCGTCGCGGTCCAAGCTGTAAGCAAGGCGCCAGGTGTCCACGAGCTGGAGCCGGGGCGGGACGAGCAGGCGTATCTCCTCTGCGAGGGCTCGAGTGAGGAGCTGTCGTTGGAGATTCCCTGGTGTAGGGTTGGAGAGTGTCAGGGGCGTGAGAGGAGGCGGCTGAAACGGAGAAGCAGTGCGCTTGGGGGTGTAGACGGCGGTGGATTCGGGGGGAGAAGTCATTGTCTTGTCTATTCTGCTAGAAGCATTGCGCGAGGGAGACGATGATCGGATGGGTGGTGAGGCGTGAGGATCTGTCAAACGACGAATGATGCCGGATACAACGTGACTGACAGGATAGGTGAAGTAGGACGTTGCAGAGTGTTTGAGAGGCGATTTCAGATTGGGATTAGAATCGGAATTGGAGTTGGAGCTGGTCTGGGGAGTGGGAGATGCTGATGGCGAGTTGTCAGAGGCGGTGGAAGACGAAGGTGGATCGCGGGGAATGGTATCTCCCTGCGAGGCGGCCATGTAGACGTGGGATGTTGTGGCACGGTGGAGATGGAAGAGAGACTAAGTAGAGGATGGGATTCAGGACGCACGAAAGGAAGATGAAACTTCCATGGATGAATTGCAGAGAGAAAGAGAATAAGAAAATACGATTCCTTTCCCAGACAGGAACGGTAGAAGTCCTCCCGGTCGATGGAGGCACCCCGAGTGCATCCACTGCAGTCAGATTGTTTGTTGGAACAAATCTGTAAGGGCTACTCAGCCCTTTTCTCTTTCATCTGTTCTTGATCCTAATAATCGGGCAATAAACTAGGGAGATGTAAAGGAGATGATGAAGTCTTAAGAAGCGTCTTATCACCGGCCACTTATCGCTGCCGGTCTCCGTCGGACGATGCAATACAAGAGTAAGAGATACATTAACACCCATCGGATTGAGTCGGGTATGGAGAGAAATAAGATACATATTTATGTACAATGCCAGGTCAGAAAAAAAAAATAACTCGCACAAGGAAATTAGCTAGGACAGCATCGAATCTTGTCTGTCGTTGATCCATAAGAACTGAATTGAAATCACCCATCCACGGTGCTCCACGACCTCAAATAAAACACAGCCGTAATAATTCAGAAGAGTAACGAGAACTAGAAAGGAGAATTGACAATGTCATTCCGTCCCAGACGATTGCTAAACCGGCCGCCACGGCGAATGGGAGTGATTGGGCCTGCAATACTCTCACGAGTCGGCTTCTGGAAGCTCCGCTTTGCAACCATGTTGACCTCGTTCGGCAGGGCAACGATAACGTTCTTGTCAGAGCCGAATCGGAAGTTGTCTGCCATGACATTCTCCGCGTATCGCTTGATGGTGTAGGGATCCTTTCGTCCAGCGAGAACCTTCTTCAGACTCCATGTCACAATGAAAGGACCAGTCGCCGTGATAATCGACGTCTCCGTGGATTCAACTCCAGTATTGAAACGAGCTGGGGTGAACGCCAAAGGCTGCTTCGTTTCGTGCTGGAATTGTGCGACATGGGCCGGCTGAAGGCCGAGGCGTCTAGGCTGCGGCTTCGAATCTTTGGCGAACGAACGCTCAAAACCAAGCTTGCCTTCGTTCCTACCTTCTTTCTGCAGCGAGTCGATGAGAAGGAGGTAAGTCCGGCAGGTAGCCAGTACCCATCTGCCATCAGCAGAGACATCCAGGCCGATGATCGGTTCACCCAACGCAGGAATATGAGTCTTGGCGTTAATACCCAGGCGGTCGAACATGCGGATATCACCCTTATTTGAGGCAACGGCAAGATAACCCTTCTCCGTAGTGGCTAGCGCAGAGAAGTCGTTCTTGCTAACGTATTGCTTCAGGTCCCCATCCACCAACTTGTTGCCAGCCAGACGGGGATCAATTCGGTAGAGAGCGTTGTTGGAGATTCCAACGAAAGGCTGTGCCGAGGTCATTTGAGAGAATTTCTGCCAGCATGTTAGTGGGTAGTACAAGTTAGAATATGAGGATTCGGAAGAAAACATACAGTCTCTGGTGCGAAACTAGTCACACCGACATCATCATGAACCTTCCACTCGTCGACAACCTTGCCATATTCCAGGTCCATTCGGTACAACGAATTAGGGTCATCCGGGTTTTGAAGAATCATATTTGAATCCTCGGCGTGCAGCATGACCTTTTTGGGGCTGAAGAGCTTGCCCTTGGGAGTTTCGACTTTGGAGATGTTCGTTGAGAATTCGAGATTGTTGTTCGGGGTATGTTTGAAGACACCGATTTGAGAGCCACGAACGACAAAGGAGCGATCATGCTTATAACCAACAGCCAACTGAGAGTTGACATTTCCGTCGTCTTCATGTGTCTCGACATCCTCCTGCTCTTCGTCGGAATCGTAATGCTCGCTGCGCTGAGCGTCGTCTATGGCCTCTTCGTCCTCTTCCTCTTCAGCTTCGGCCTCAGCCTCTTCCTGTTCTTCGGTCTCCGGATCTTCCATTGTAAGGTCCTGGAATGCATCCAACACGTATTCCTTGTCTTTATCGTTTATTTTGACCCATTTCATCTCGTTCAACTGTTCCCAGAGCGCCTGCATCAGACCTTCCTGGAACCTCTCCTCCGATTCCTGATCCTTGAATCGCAGAAGCCAAGAATAAGCTGTGCCATCTTCGGTATAGTGGTTAAAGATGAAGGACAGGTATTCAAAGTTGAAAACGGGGTTGATTTCTCCCACAACAGACTGCCCCAGCCACTCCTTATCCTTGCCACTGATCTGGAGCCAGTACTGCCACTGCCCAATTTCGGATACAGTAGCAGTTACCTCGGGATCCTGTTGCATAAAAGTCCCGCTTGGGGAGTCGAACAGATGCAACTCCGCCGTTTCCTTTGCAAGTATTTCCTTTGCCTCAGGTTGCGAAGCAGGGGCGGGAGCGGTGGTACGATCCTCTCCGGAGTCAACGGGTTTGAACTGACCCTTGGAACGAGCATACTCAACGTCTCGGGCCATGATGGAAGTTGATTCTGCAGACACTAGGGAGTGGCTTCGGGATTTTATTATCGGCGATGAAATGGGACTGGCAGAAGGAATGGGTTCTTCCTCCTGGAATGAGAATTCGTCGAGGTCCTTGTCGGATGCCTTCTGCACACTTCGTCTGTGTTTCCGTTCGTACTGGCACTGAGCAACTGCGAGTGCAAAGGTGGAGACCTTGTCCGACGGCACCGATGGGTCGCAGACAAATTCGAAGAGGTCACCAGGATCACCACTCAAATCCTTCCAGGCCAGAACCTTGTCACCTCCTTCTCGAACCTGGCAACGGAAGTGAAGACTTTGATCAAGCAGAAAGACCTTCTCGTCCTTATCACTCAACCCGTCGTTGACACCTTCTTCGTCCTCCTCAGCGGCAAGTTCTTCCTCGCCTTCCTCGTAGGCTCTCTGGATGACTAGCTGGTATTGAAATTCTTGGCCTGTTCGTCTGATTGTAGCAGCGGCGTCTTTGAATATGAGTTCCGAATAACCCTTGGGGGAGATGGGGCGGACTAAATAGAGCTGGCCTTGGGGGATTTCGATGATCGATTCCTTGGAGGTGTCCCCAAACAGGAATTTGCTCACTGTAGCAGAAGAAGCAGTGTCAGCAGAAAGAGAAGTCGGGTTTATTCGCTAGTCAGAACATTGGCAGATAGAGGGAAGTTGTGGTTCGACATGTATTCTGCCTTCTTTGTTCTGGTTGTGGAGGGGTTGGCGGGGTGCTGAAGATTACCATTACGGAGCATAAACATAGTTGCGCGTTGCTTGGTGATCAGCACCCAGGGGTACTGTCCAGTGCTGCGGGTTGGAGAGTGTCGCAAGAGAGAGAAATGGCAGTAGAGTTGTCTGAAAACAGAGAAACGCCACGGGTTATCCCCTCTGTTTCTGTGGGGGCAGGTTTTTTCTTTCCTGCTTTGCAGATAACTCTGTGATGGGACCCTTCATTATTTCTGCGGCAACCAACCCTACGGAAAGGTCAAAAGCGTCATTCATGAGCTTAAAATGTCTACAGAATATTGTACTATATATATGACTTTAGTAAAGTCAATTATAACAATTAGACACTATGGCCGAGTGGTCTAAGGCGATTGATTAGAAATCAATTCTCTTCGGGGGCGGCGGTTCGAATCCGCCTGGTGTCGAACATTTCTTTTTTTCTACTATGTTCTATAGTAGAACTCCCTTATGCAGGAGACATAGGTTTATCTCGTCTCTTTTTTGCTACAGTCAGTTCAGTTATATATATTCTTGTTCCTTTTTAGTTTCCCTCTTCACTCAACCTGCAACCTGTGACTGCATCAATAACTCCAGACCATCATGTGTTACGTCCTTCGTCCAAGTTGGAACCATGGGAGATATATATATATATTGACTATCTGGAACCATCAAAGCGGCGAAGATCATCCAAATAGAATTAGGAAATGTTCATCAGAGTCAAGAGCCATTAAGATTTTCGATACATACTTCCCCACAGTGGGAGAGTGAACTACAGTATATAGACATTTGTCGGAACCTCTGATATCACCACGAGTTGCGGGACATGGCCGAGTGATAAATCACATCCTCGGATAGAGTATTGGTGATGTAGTCAGGTTGGGAATGTCCTCTAACATCAATGCCACCGCCTGTCCCATGACTCACGGCTCTGCTTGAGCTTCAGCCACCCTTTCTGAGCTGTCCGCCTCCTCAGCATCACCAACATTGCTCTTCTTGCTAGTGTCGGCTTCAGCTTCAGCCTCATCGCCCTTTTGGCCTTCATCGTCGTTACCAGCGCTACTGTTACCTGCCCTTTCCCTCAAAACGACTTCCCTTCTGCTCGGAATTGCCTGTAAAAATGCCTGCCCCCAGTCTCTCGTTTCCAACCACCGTACCATGATCTCCACGACATGATTAGTTGCCAAAACCGAGCGGCCAGCCAGCTGAATGTAGTCCCCAATCGGTAACTTGGCGGTCTTAATCCCCCTCTCGCAAGCCCGTTTATAACAGATACCCTTGTGTCGATTCTTATCTACTAGCCCCCCAATGATGTATGTGCTGTATGGCTTGAGTTCGGTCAACGTGTAAGGACTGTCGCTAGAGAGATACACGACCTCCCCGTCTTCCGGCTTTGCATCGGTCTTATCAGAGAAGACCCCTGCCATCTTGCTGCATCCCTGTTGTGCGCCTGTCTCTTTCATCCATTCCTTGGCCATCTCCGCCGCCTGGACAAAGTCCTCCTGCATGAAACGAACGCCCTTCCAGTGCTCATGCGTCTTCCTCATGACAGTCTCGAATCGATGTCTGAGCAGCTTGTTAAACGATGATACCACCATATGTGCGCGATATGGTGCACGGCTATTATCCGAATAGCACCGTGTCAGCTGTGAACCAAGAGAGATGCGTTCTTTATCGAGCATGAGCTCGTCGAATCCGCAATCCAAGACGAGCGTTATAGGGAGGAGGGTCGATTTCCGTCGGGCACCGCGTGGCCCTTCCGTGGACCTGGTAACAGCTGCCCCTCCCTCGTCTGGAGTAACATTCCCAGCTTCTGATTGAGATGCCTTTTTCCGTTCTCGCTTCGCGATTACCTTCTCTTTTCTCCTTTGTTTGCGATATTCGCGACCCGCTTCCCATTGTTCCTGCCGGCGAAGTTTCTTCAGCTGGTTTTTCGATAACTTCTGGGTCTGCTCCGTAGACTCTTCGAGCAATGTCCCCTTCTCATTGCCATTGGCCCCTAAGGTTTTCCCGGGACTATCCTGCGCCGCTGGAAGTAATGCGCCGGTCATAGCGGGATCTATATCCTCCCGGTGTAGTTCTGAATTCTGGGTTTCGCCGTTGTCCAATTTCGGTAGTTTCCTAGGTCTCTCTTCATCTTCCATGTTGATATCTTTTGTGGAAATAACGAATGTATGCGGGGGAAAGAAAAATGTCGTTGAAGCAATTTTCTCTTTTTTTTATCTTTATTTCCACCACGCAGGGAATCCGAAGCAACCAATGACGCAGTCGACAATAATGACCACAGCCACGTGACACTATCGTGCATCGCCAACCTTACTCGGCCATCTCTCACTCCCAGGATCTCCGGGTTTGGTCCATTGCCCTGGATTTACTCGTTGAATCGCTCACCCACTCACCATAATGCCTCAGGACATGCCCCCTGCTGGGGGCTACGCCCCTGTTCAGTACAAGGTATGGGGAATACCTATCCGTATTGCTCCAATTATCCCTTATTTCAGCCGAATCTTTCCCTGCAATGTCAGAAGAAACTAACAGCCAATTTTCGTCCTTCAACAGCGTAACATCCCAGCTCGCGGCTTTCGACCCTTCTACTACCTCCTCGGTGCAAATCTGATCATGGCATACGGATATTACAAGCTGTTTTATGGAATTCGGGAGAAGAAGTACGTTTTAAATGTCGCGCCTTTGATATATTCTATTCTACTCCATACTGGGGCCTCCTTGGTGATATTTGTAAATGATGGAAGCTAAATTTCTGGGAATTATAGCGAGCTTGCTCGTGAGAAAATCTGGTCCCGCATTCATCTCATCCCGCTCCTCGAGGCCGAAGAAGACCGGGACCAAGTCCGCAGATACTACGCGGAGAAGGCGCGCGAGAGGGACCTGCTTGGAAGGGAGACTAAGGTTTACAACAGCGATAGGTATGTTTTCGCAGATTCTTTCTTGTTCCACTCCGTGGATCGACCGGATTCCACGTAACCTGGAGGGGGTGGGAGAAGCGGGGGAAATATGTTTTATTTATATGATGTCGGGTCGTTAATTTGTCGCCGTTGGTGAAATAGGTTTGTTCGTCCTACGTTCGTTTATACCCCGTCCAAGGTCAGCCAATAGATTCGCTCGATGTGTAAGTCGATGAATGCAATGGGTGATTACCTCTATGAATGCTTGAAGGGCGAACTGAGGAATTAAGTCGGGCGTTTACTTGGGAATGGATGGAAATTCTTCTTTCCTACTATGAAGTTGCCGAATGGGCATACCACGAGTCCTGGTTCATGTTGGGTCGGATGTGCTGAACCAGGACTGATATGACAGTGGTTCATCTCGTTTGAGAAATTCGCTAGTAGAGGTTACCACTGGAGGGAAATTTGTAGATATTACTGCTAAGGAGAAGATTAAGTGCGCACTTAGTTGTTCATTAACCCGTTCGTTCAGCTTTTCCTTCCCCTGCCTTTTCTTTCATCCCCCCTCCAATATACATGGCTCTAGCAGAATTCCATCATAATGTGCGTTGCGCAAGAAAATAGCTCCCTGGGCTATAAAAACGAATGAAACCGGCATTGAGCTTAAACAAAGTGACATGAAAGATCAGAAACTTGCTCAATGCCCAAACTTCTTTGTCCTGAAGAATGCAGAGAAAGAATTCAAGGTAATTATAAAGAGACTTCCCAAAAGCGGAATATAGGATACAAACCCGAACAGGGTGGCGTGCACAAAGAAAGTCCGAAGCGTCCATGGCACTCGAGGTACACCATAGTGTATGCGCTTCTAGCCAAACATATCTGCAATGCCAGTCAAATCAGGCCCGTCATTGATATTGACCTTGGTATTCTGCTGCCCTTCCATTTCGCTGGTCATATATCTTTGTTGCAGTGCACTCCTCGCATGCCGGCGTCCCTCACGGGAGTCTAGGATCTTTCCTTGTTCCGCAATACTTACTCCTCTCAGATCTTCAAGGAGATCCAAGACGAGTGCTCGCTGTTGCCGTGAAGACGTCGATCTAACAAGGGCCAATTCAGTGTCGTTCACACGCTGTTCCGTCATTCCGGGGAGACTCAAGATCACAGAGTGCGGTGTAGCGCTGCTAGGACCATACATCACCCAGATCGAGGCGATCAACTGGGCGAGGTCCTTCTGCATATCGACGAAGTAGGGTTCATGCACGGATGTAACACAGGCCATGAGAACCTGGGAACAAATAAATTCCCGGATGGTGACGATGGTGGGAGCGCCATCCGGGGGTGCGAAATCCTGCAAGATGGACCGAATGACACGGGTAATGATACTACAGCATCGCGTATCGCGCATTCGGAGGGCATGTGTACAGAAGAGCATGATGGGCTCGAAAATGGCGGGTGAGGACAAAATAAAATTGCGGATAGAATCAGAGGCTGCTGGCGGGCCTTGTAAGCAAGCTGGGTGCGTAGATTCAGCTCCATCTAGATATTTCCATAATATGGCAGCGGTTAGTAAATGATGTTCTGGAATTTGGCATTCCTAATGACGCTCACCTGCTCTCTGCGGATCTAAGAGACTCGCCACCATGATCACCGCAGAGTAAGTCAATTGCCGCAGGATGCTCTCTGACTTCATTTCATCGGTTAGATCGCCATCAGCGAGCCCTATCTTGCGTTGTTCGATAGAATCCCACTCAGACGTAATCTTCCGGTCGATGCTAGTGAACAAGCTCGCTAGCATTGGAGGCAAGAAATGCCCCCAAGATTGCGCAGGGCAGTCATCAATCAGACATCGGGATATGTTGAGAAGGACCGAAAACTGATGTGATGAAAGGTGAGTCGAGTCTTTGAATAAAGCTTCGGACAACAACCCTGGAAGCTCAGAAAACCCGTAGAAGTGCTCCCGTAATCTGCTCATACTGTACAGCATTGAATAGCAAGATTCACGGACCGCCCTGATCTTGCCGCGAACAGAGGATGCAAAGCCTTCCAGAGTTGATCGGGATGCTGTGATCCTAGCATAGAATTCTTCTCTGCTGCCTGTTGAAATACCGGCCTGCCAAAATCTATCGGTCAAAATCCTCTCGACAACCCTGCGCATTTCATCAGGAACACCGCCCCAATTTGCAGGGTTATGAAAGGCATGCGCATTGCTGAGAAACTGGTCAGTTTAAATGCCTATAGATAACTTGAGAATATACCTTACCTGACAAGCTGGAGCAGCGTTGGGAGGATAACGGGGATTGTGTCATGCCATATAACACAGGCGGCTTCGTATGCTGGATCGGCTTTTCTCAGCTTATCCGTGGAGACCGCCAGCATTGTCTTTGTGCCTCGCAGCGGTAGCAGCTAGGGAACTGCTTAGCTTCTAAGGAAGAAGTAATACTCTGTTCTGAAGGATACATACTTGGAATTTCCTCGTCATATCCTCTTGTAACTTCTTCCCTTCGGGATCTAGAGGAACCGATGACCAATCCCCCAGAGTATGCGCTTGCTTGGCCTGCATATAAGGTCCAACACTTCCCAACCCAAGCATGGTGCAATACCCCTCAAACGATGAGCTTAAGCGCCTAAACTCCGGGTCTTGCCAGGCTTCCCTAATCGGCCCAATAAAAGACCTTAGTCGAGATTCACGCAAGTACGGATCGACATTAGCTGCCCGTTGCCTGGTTAAGTCAGTAACAATAGCATTAAGATGGTCGATGTACTCAAGGGGAATACATTATTATAAGTAGCACCGATGTATACTCCATATGCAGACTATCATCCGCATTATTTGTCAAGGTGATCTCCTTGATCTTCGGCTCGAGAAGGTCATAGAAGGTCTTCCAAAGCTGGAATCAGCAACTGGTTTCATACAACATGCTTTGATCCGACTTACGGCAAAATAATCAGCATAGCGCATTGCGAGCCGACGCAACTCGTGGCTAGCTAGACCATGAAGTTCCTTCACAGCTTCTGAGTAAGCAGGACACCCTGGCTGATCAGGAAGGCGAGCCATCAAGATATACTCCAAAACCTTGAGGGCAAAGCTTGGGGTCTTATCAAGAGCCCTAGATGATATATCAACATTGAGCTTAATTGCTCTCTGCCTTATAATAGGATCCTAGCCATTAATTAGCGACAGTACTGCATGGTTTAGTGCACACCGGAAAGAGGGCGAACCTCGAAATTCCTTTGCATTAAACTAATGGCCCATATTTCCAGAGTATTCTCCAAGTCCCGCCGTCTTTGCTCCTGATCATTGGTTTAGCTATAGGCGACTTGGGAGATGGAGCCGTACATACATCTTGCTGAGGCATTTTCCCATGGGAAATAACCCATTTACTATAGCCCTTCAGAGTTGCTTCCACAACAGCAAATTGTGTGTCAGCACGCATCAACGGTATTGACGTCTTTTGGAATGTTTGAACTAGGCAATGTCAGTCAATGCTAGCAAAATCACGTATCGAAATGCGGACATACCACTGAATGGAGCAACTCCACTATAAAGATTGTCCAAGTTGACATCAACCCCAGAAAGAATATGTGGAATGGCTTCTTGAGGCCGTTTCTGTGCAATAGACTCGACGATTGAAGAGCAGTACCGCCGATAGTTGCCAACGAAGACATGTTTCTCTGGAACTGTGTCGATGTCCTCATTGAGGAACATCACTGTGGGCTCTTCAATATCCTCTGGAAGAGACTCCCAGCGAATCAGCCGCTGAGTGCAAATTTCTAGCAAGGACGGAATCAAGCTAATGACCAGATCCGTATTCCCAGTTTTCTCGGATGCCAGTAGTTTGGTCCACACATGAAGAACGGATATAGAAACCGAGAGGCTTTGATGCTGGAGTATTCTGATCAAAAAATGGAAGAAGACTGGAAGGTTCATGCCGTGTGCGCTATCGAATGAGAATCCCTTTTGCTCGAGGAAACCGGCCACATACGACATAAGCTTTCAAAATGACGGAAACGTCAGCATGCAATGAAAAGAATCAATGGATTATGTCTTGCACTCCATACCTCAGACAGCTTTTTCGACAATGTATACTTTGTGTCATCGATGCTATCAGGGCTAACAATTGACCACTCATATATATCTCGCAAGACATTTAGGTAGTTTGTTTCGTACATCAAATGAATTAGAGGTTGGAACTCTTCAATCTCGATATTGGACCGACTATAGAGTGCGTGAAGGGCTTCAATGGCAGCCTGAATAGAGTTGTTTCCTTTAGCACCAAATTAATCATGCACAAAAAGCAAGAGGTTATTTTGAGGGTCTCTTACCAGCCGCACTTCTTCATCTTCGCAAGCGAAAGCTCCGAAAATAGTAGGAACGCAAAGCGACGAAATGACAGCCTTCGGGATAGACCATACTAGAACGGACCGCAGGGTCGCAAGCGCCTTAAGGGCCGCATCTCTTGCTCCCTTCAGATACCGTAAGTTTTGGATGCAGCCATCTAAGAACTGACGAGTTCGCACGAGCCACCCATCAGTACCGCAACGGAGGTCAAGTTGACGATCCTTATTAGGATACACTTCCTCAAAGACGGTCAAGGGCGTGAAGATCTCCACGAGCGCCCTGTTGAGATCCGTGCCACGCAGAGACGAGACTGTATCCTCCCGATAAAAGATGTCCTCGGACAGAGTCTCCAAGACAGAAAGAATAAACTCCTTGTGCACAAGACTCGCCGCGTCCCACAGCTTGACGAGGTCCTCGTCCATAGAATTCCAATCCAGACCCCAACTCCTCTTCGCAACCTCAGCCCACAATTGTGAAATCTTATTGCGAATGTAAGGCGGATCCTGCGGTTGAATAGACTCTGCAAGCTTCAAGACTAGCTCCTTCAGCTGTTCCGTGGAGGTGAAAGATGTATGACGCAAGACGTGATCCAAAAGCGCGAGTCCGAAATGTCGAACCAGGGGAGGGTTCTCCGCTCGTGAAGCCAAAATAAATCCATTCTGAGAGGCCGATTTGTTCTGCTTCTGTGATTCCACAAATGTCAGGGCCTGTCTGCGTTGCTCATTTGTTGATGACGGGTCGTGAATGAGCTCCAGCGCGCGGACAATGTCGGCAACTCCGCTCTCCGACAGTTCGCCCGCAGCCATAATTTGTTGCTAGACCGTGGATACTGGATAGTTCTGCTCTGGGGTTGTATTATCGCCTGTTTCCCTCGAGAATAGTTGTGGTCAACCTCGGAGTCATGATCTGACAGTAAGAAGAATAGACGAGAGTGTTGTTTTCCCTTTTGCGATGTTCCTCTCCGTCCCCTCGTATCCTTCCTTCTTTCCCTGTTTTTCTTTGTCTTTTATAAAATAAAATTCTTATTTTATTCTTTATTTATCCGCGTTGAATCTCTGGGCAAATTCCTGCAGTTCGGCGGGCGGACCAGGACGGCGATAATGAACACAAGGGGCAAATAGCGGGGAGTACACGATTACCCTCTGTCAATCCGATCCGGGCAGAAAGTCTTCACCCTGTTATACACTCTCCATCCGAGCCAAGGCTCTCGGACGATTTGCAGAAAGGACCGTTAATATTTTTTCTCCAGCTTCTGGAACCTTTTGTTTCTTTCCCCCAGTCGCAGCTAAGATAAGAGCTGCGGATCCGTCACGGGACCCGCCCTCGACTCACCGCTTTTATCGCGCCTTCCGAATCGGGACTAAATCACGTGGATAGCACGTGTCTTCGCGTCCGGAGCGCGTCCGAAAACTCAAAGAGTCATTGACGTCTGGCGATGGACATATCAAGTTAAGCTCAGTTCGATACATTATTGACTCGCTATTCTAAACAGACAACAATCTGGGATTCTCAGACAAAGTTCACCAAAAAACAAAGATGAAAATCCAAACGGTACCCTCGCATCTATTACATCACCGAGCATCCTCCCCTTTGGCATTGCTCGAGATACGACACATCTTCACTACCACGAGGATTTGCAAATTCTCCCGGCTTGCGCTTCAGGCCCTGTATCTTAATGTCCTGGTTACCTTTACCGTGCCACCATTTAAGACGTAGGAGTTTCACGGAATTGACCTCTTCACGGTCAAGAGTCCATTTCCCGTCACTGACAGCAACTACTGTACTCGAGTCTGGAAAGTGGAAGTCGGGCAAATAGATCTCCGTCGGCGCGTCCTCTGAAGTGGGCTCCCTTGCCACCAATGACAGTGTAAACGTGCAGTTTCGCAGATCAAAACCGTGGCTCAAACGTTTGCCGTTCGTGTAAACAGGACTGGGCCGAATATATGCCTCTGCTGCTCGGTAGCCCAGTTTATCCTTGTCTGACATTTGGGAACAATCGGACGATATGGACGGCGATGCCAGTGCATGCTTGAGATTCTGAGGACCGACTTGCTGACTGAGCACGTTGCTCTGGCTTTCCGAGAAGGCAGGGGATGATTCGTTACTGAGACCCACGGCTTCTCCGGATGGAAGTAAGCGATCATCAGCCGAGAAGATTGATAGATCCTCTCCATTCCACTGATCACCCCATTCGTGGTCATTCTTTTTAAAAAAAAGTCAGTCGCGCCTCATGCGTCCAAGAAAAAATTCGCTAGGGATGCCATATAAGCTTATCGTACATTGGTCGTGTAAAGCCACTGAGTGAATCCATTGGAGCCGCTTCCCTCCAGAGCATAATGGTTTGCATCCATGGCGCTTGTTTGACTACTATAGTTGCCGGTTTTGTAGGCGTATTTATCATCCATATCGTATGGAATGCCGATTTCGGTAAATATGAGAGGGTGACTACCCATATAATTCAGACTTTCCTCCCTAAGGAATTTGAGCTGGTCACGTAGGCAGTTTCTGATAGCAGTCTCTCCGATCTTGAGAGCAAATGCCGGGGTAAAGTATTTGCCGCGGAGCACACCTATGACATCGACATTATAAACCCGATTCCTTCGAGAGTTAGCGTTGTCTTAGGATATGAGGATATTCTACTAACCAATGCTTGGTCATAATGGTAAGGCCGTCATAAAAATGCACAGCATGGACCATATTTGGGTCATCATCAACCGTACCCTTCAGGTCTGGAGGTATTTCCAGAATGGGAGGTTGGCAAAACATTATAGACTCTGGCCATACGCTTCGGATAGCATCTCTGTATGCCCTGTAGTAATCCATAAAATACGTATTCGTAAACTTCTCATAATCAAGGATCTCTCCAGTAGTGGGATTCTTGGAGAAGTAATCCTTTTGCAGGAGCTTATCCAAAGAAGGATCCCAGACTCCGTGCTGAGCCCATATACATTGTCCCAGTTTCCAGCCTGGATCCCTCGTCCAGCCATATTTGCTGTCATCATAGTCCGCTGGTAACCATGCAGACTCACCCTCGGGGTCAACCAATTGCCGACCAGTTTGATAGGGACCGAAGCCACCAAATGCCCATGTCGAAACCTCACAAGGTCTCCCAGAACCTGTTAGCATTGCCTGGAAAGCTGTTGGAGACGTTCCTAGCTGAAGTTGCTGCTCTGGAGGAATCACTGATATGTCCTTTATACTGATGAGACCTCGACTAGGCTCGTTTAAACTCTCCCAGCCGATAACCACTTCCTCTTCCAAATCACCGGCTTCGTGGATTTTTTGTGCAAAATATCGGCATGCGGCGATGAAATGACCTTGCAGGTAGTCCTGAATGTTGATACCATTGATAATAGCTTTAGGGGCAAAGTCTCGTCCGCCAAAAAATAATGTCCACATCGTCAGATTAACAAGTCGCGCATAGTTTGTACTCCAGACCATCTTGGGGAACTCTGCTGGATCATCGTACGTGTTGTGAACTAAGGCCGCCTCGTTCTTCTTAAAGCACAAAGGATTCAGGCCCGCTGCATAGAGCGTCCATAGGGGCGCACCGGACCCCCCAGAGAACCGGGACCACTTGTGATAGTGAGAAATTATCCCAAGTTAGAAATGAATTCGAAGACAGAAAGAACATACCACATCCTGGTGAGGATCCAAGAAAATATAAAATCCATATTTCTTTGCTACCCGAAGAACCTCAATTGTGAATGATATCCACTCATCGTCGTATGTGCCAGGACCGGCATGCTCAATCGCCTCCCAGGTGAAGATGTATCTTATGGTATTGTAGCCCCAACCTCGTAACCTCGCAAAATGCTTATGTGCGTCATCTAAAGAAAAGGGCCGGCCAACAAAAGAGACAGTATCGCCTTCAAAGAAGTGATCAGAGACAAATGACGGGACATCTGGGGTTTTGGGATATTTAGCATCCCCTGCAACATTAATGCCCCTCAGTGTGATCTCCCGGTTATGCGGGTCTCTGAATATCTGGCCATCAATTCGGAGCCTAGGAAGACCCATTTCTCTTGTAATAGAATAAACGTCGGGACGACCGAGGAATGCACTGCGAACGGAGTCCGTAACTGGGATAGTTCTAGATGCTGATGAGGTAAAACGAGATGGAAGACAAGGAATACCGGTCAATGATTTGGTGATAACAGTATTATCAAAGATATGAAAGCCAGCATATACTTGTATGAGTCAAGATTCAAACATTGAACAAGTCCCTAGAAGAACCACGGACTTAAGCAATTGGTAGTACTTGAAGTGACCGAGATCCAAGCACTGGTAGGTCTCTGTGATGCTGTCCAGTTTGATATGGACTTTCCGCTTGGAGGATCTTTCAAAAAACTCAGACTCAAATAATGAAAGCAAATCCACTGTCTTCCACAGAAGCTAAAGTAATTCCCGACTGCTACAGGGGAGACGAGAGATGAAGATGAAGGAGATGGAGAGTGACCTGACGATAGGAGATAAGAGGGGGAGGGTTCTCTGACGTATCACGCCGGTTGTCTTTTTGCTCCGCCAACCACACCATTCGAGACAACTTGCGGTCTTTCATCCTCGCAGAACGTCCACCCTGTTGGTGAGAACGACACAGCTGCACCAAGCTGCTGTTGTCTGCAACTAAAGTTTTTATATAATAATGTCGAGCAAAGCGGCATTGAAAGCTGTCAGGACAGCAATCGACTCGAAGGACTTTGAACTGGCCGCCGAGAAAGCAAAGGACCTTGTCAAACAAGAACCCCAAAATTACCATGCGTATGTGTTGGTTCTAATTGATTTTAAAATTTAATCTTACATGTGGCTAACTGTTCATTGTTTTGGGCAGGAATGTCTTCCTTGGCCTTGCCCAGGATAAGCGGAACGAGAATGCAGAGTCCGAAAAAGCCTACCTTGCTGCAACCCGCATTAAAGAAAGCGACAGAACGGCATGGCAGGGACTAATTAACTTATACCAGAAACAAGGAAGTCATAAACTAGATGCTTATAGAGAGGCGGCATTGAAACTCGGAAAAATATATGCAGATGCGTACGAGTCACGAATTTCCTTTGCCTCTCCTCCACTGCTGCAGAAGCCGCTGACATTGTCTCAGTGATGATATTAACCGCTGCCAAGACTTAGTGGACAAGTATATAGGTTTTTCAAAGAAATATGGCACTCGATCCCAATACAAACGCGCCCTCGAATTACATCTCCCGACTTGCCCTCTCTATTACTTCCTCGAGGGAAAGGTGCCGCATCCTTCCCATACTTATCAGCGCTTGATAGAAATTGCGGAGTCGGGGGAGAAGGAGTATATAAATAAGGAGATCGGGGAGCGGAGGACTCGCCTGGGCGCTAGAATCGACCAGGTGACTCTGGAGGTGAAGAGAGAAGCATTTAGACGAAGCGACTTGGAACAGCTCTATCGAGGGATAGTGGATTGGTCGTACGACGATGCTGTTCGACGAAAATATGAGGAAAAACTGATACAACGGGGGTATGATGTTCTCTCAGCACTACCGTCCGATGAAAAACCCCCTAAGCGAGATGAGGTACTGCGGGCTGCCCGCGACATGGTCATAATAAAGCATCCTTTCGAGCTTGCTTGGAAGATTGTACTGGAATGGCAGGATGTTGAGGAGTTTCTGCAGTGGGACGTTGGACTTTTGAAAGAATTCATTGAATTTTTCCCTGACGATGGCCTTGCCAAAGTACTCAGAGGGTTTTTGGGCAGTGATAATTCACCGTTTCCTAAGGAAGCCCAATCTGAGGAAGAGAAGAGCGAGGATGTCAACGGAAACAGCCATGAGAATCATGAGTTGGTAGCCCAGGATCGTCTGTTGCTCATGGTTGAGGGACTTGATGCAGCCCGTTCTTCAGTGGTCGCACACCGAATAATGGGAGAGCTCTATCTTTCTCTTGACGAGTTTGAGAGCACGGTAGACGTGTCCCGCAAAGGCCTTAGGAATATCCAAGAGTTGATCAAGACGACTGGTGTGGATCTTAGGAATACTTTGGACGCCGTGAACATCACGCTGGCCAACGCTTTGATATCCTACCAGTCTCCGAGGCATCATTCCGAAGCTAAGCAGATTTTTGAGAACATTTTGCAAAGGAAACCGACATTGACAGCCTGTTTATTGGGAGTTGGACTAATACTAAAGGTGGATGAGGATTATGCGGAAGCTATAGACTTTCTTGAGCGCGCCTTAGGGCGAGACCCATCGAATATCAAAATCAGAGGCGAGCTATCCTGGTGCAGAGCTCTCTGTGGAGATCTGGAATCTGGCCTTCAAGGCCTCGAAGCTGTGTTATCAGAGGTACAAAGCATGCAGCCGGATAATAGAGACTTCAAGGCCGAGATCTTGTACCGAATCGGATATTGCCAATGGGAGTTAGATCCCTCCCCTGCTGCACGGAAGAATCGCAGTGGCGCTTATACGAGCTTCCTGGCCTCTATACAGGCAAACATGAACTATGCGCCTGCGTATACGAGCCTCGGCATATACTACGCTGATTACAAGAAAGATAAAGTGCGTGCGCGTCGATGCTTCCATAAGGCTTTTGAACTGTCTCCGTTAGAGATAGAAGCAGCAGAACGACTTGCGAGGTCGTTTGCGGACCAGAATGAATGGGAACTAGTTGAGGCCGTGGCACAACGAGTTGTGGATTCAGGCAAGGCTAAGCCTTCACCTGGATCGAAGCGAAAAGGATACAGCTGGCCATACGCTGCGCTGGGTACAGTTCAGATAAATAAACAACAATATGTCAAAAGTATCGTTTCGTTTCAGGCCGCCCTGCGAATTTCACCGCGTGACTACCATTCTTGGGTTGGTCTTGGTGAAAGCTATCACCATTCCGGGCGCTTCATAGCTGCCACGAAATCATTCGAGCAAGCTCAGACCCTAGAAGCTGATCTTCCCGCCGAGGAAAAAGAACAGGTCTGGTTCGCACGATACATGCTCGCGAATGTGAAGCGGGAACTTGGTGAATATGAAGATGCTATTTCGAGATATGAGGACGTCATGGCCTTGCGACAAAGCGAGGTTGGTGTGAAGATTGCGCTGCTTCAGACACTCATGGATAATTCGTGGAGAAGTCTGAACTCGGGGCTTTTCAACGACGCTGCTGAGCTGGCACGTAGGGCTATAGAAGTCGCCGTATCTGTGGCAGAGGAGAGTGTCGATATTTTCAATCTGTGGAAGGCAACCGGGGACGCTTGCTCTATTTTGTCTTACATCAAATCGAAGGCGGGCAAAATGCCATTTGGCGAGATATGCAATCTGCTTGGTACCCAGGCCGATACCACTGCGTTCGATATTTTCACAGATTTGGATGAGGTTGGGCAAGACTATTTGCGACTTCTGACAGTCGAGGGAGACGATGCGTTGACGCCGTCGAATGGGTGCATCTACGCTGCTATTTTGGCATACAAGCGTGCTGTCCAGGTCTCATCGCAGGATGTATATGCGCAGGCAGTCGCCTGGTATAATCTTGGTTGGGCTGAGTATCGAACATACAGATGCTTGCAACTTGACTCGAGCAAGAAGGGCAAAAGACAGTTACGTAAATTCCTAACGGCAGCAGTGCGATGCTTCAAACGAGCCATTGAGTCTGAGGCCGGAAATGCCGAGTTCTGGAACGCGCTTGGTGTTGCAACTACAAGCATGAGCCCAAAGGTTGCGCAGCACTCATTCGTGAGAAGCTTACATCTCAATGATAGGAGTGCCCAGGTTTGGACCAACTTAGGAACTCTCTACCTTATTCATAATGACATCCAACTTGCAAATGAAGCATTTACCCGTGCACAGTCGGCGGACCCGGATTATTCTCCAGCTTGGCTTGGTCAAGGATTCCTGGCTCTTCTCTGGGGTGATCCCAAGGAGGCGAGAGGTCTGTTCGAGCATGCCTTTGACATTTCGAACTCGTCTTCAGTCCTGCCGAAGCAACAATATACCTTAACGTTATTCGATAACCTTATGACGGATGCGTCAATTTCGAATGAGATATCAGAACTTATCCAGCCCTTGTTTGCGCTTCATCAGCTTTGTTGTCAAAATCCATCCGATCTAACATTCATGCATTTGTCAGCGTTGTTGGCTGAAAGAACCGGGGAGTTCTCCGACGCGGAATCCAGTCTAAAGGCAGTCTGTTCCGGGGTGGAAGCGGAGTTTGAGGTGTCTGAATCTCCTGCTGCCCTTTCGAAATTTGCGCAGGCGAATGCAGATATCGCCCGTGTCCACCTCGCACGTCATGAATTTGAAGAAGCGGCGGAGAGAGCGGAGACGGCACTTACGCTCTCGGGAGAAGAAGATGCAGATAAATTCGACCCCGAGACCAGTCGAAAACTACGCTTGTCTGCGCATTTGACGGCCGGCCTTGCACACTACTACCTGAAGTCGATGGACAGTGCCATCGACATGTTCCGTGACGCCTTGCATGAGGCAGATGATGCACCGGAGGTTGTTTGTCTTCTCGCCCAGGTTCTTTGGGCCAAGGGGGGAGAGGAAGAGCGAAGCGTGGCGCGCGAGCGGCTTTTCGATTGTGTAGAAAGATACCCTGAACATACCGGCGCTGTGACTCTTCTCGGAGCCATAGCGCTTCTAGATGTGGATGAGGATGCTATTGAAGCGGTACAATCCGATCTTGAGAGCATGAGAACGAGGGATGATATTGGAATTCACGACCGGGCCAAGCTACTCAAGCTCCTTACTGCCATCTCCGCGATGGGCTTTGGTGCGGATACCACTGTAACGGAGGAGACGAGACGCATTGGAGAGGCCACGGTGGGCGTGATGCTATCACCTGGCCAGCCCCAGGGTTGGATGGAATTGTCTGTTGCTTCTCAAGAGGTTTATCCCGCGGAAATGGCCGTGAAACGAGCACTGAGGAATGTCCCACCACGTGGTAATCTCGATGCAGACGATCTTTCTCAGGCCTATTCGCAAACTGGGAAGGCAAGTGATGCGTTACGGGCAGTCATGGTCGCTCCATGGAGACAGGATGGCTGGGAAGGATTGGTTCATGCTGTGTCTGAGGCATAGATCCGCAGTTGAACTTCTCTCTGTAGATAGGTTACAGGTCCTAAAAAGAGAAGGGTTAGTTTTTATATCTTAAGAATGGAGGAAAAGAATTCCTCTCACCTCCTTCGTAATTATCATCACCCAGCAAAGTTGAAAGACATTCATCCTGTCGTTTCACCATTTGTATTCCCTTCAGCTTGAAGTCTCTCCAACAACCTCGCCTTTCTCGTCCTTTTCCATTCCTGATCCAACGATTCGATCTTCCCACCGAGAATCGTGACAGAATCAGGTACCAGTAGAGCCATGCCCCTTGCCACAGTCACGCTGCGTAAGATCATCTTCGCCCCGATAGGTAATTTCCCAATACCGATGCCATCGACAGACTTCAACTCGATGCCGACAACCCTTGTATTAGCTGCATCCTGGAGAATTAGCCGATGCGGACCATTGCTACTGCCGCCCATCCCACTAGCCGTAGCAGCGCTATTATTATTGGCATTGCCGTTACTGTTCCCCAGTACCTCACGATCATCCACGTTAACAGTTCGTATAATTTCCTTTCCCCTTACGGTCTCTCCCCTTTCCACACGCTCAATAGCCTCGACCTGGTTCCACAGGCTCGTGCCAATATCTTCGATATCGAGGACCTGGACCGGGATGGGACAGGGGAGTCTCCTTTCTTTCAGGGTTGGGTCCGAGATGTCCATGGGCAGGAGCGAGGATGGGCGGTCCGTGGAGAGGGTTTCCCGGATATCGGAGTTTAGGATGTGGTAGAGCGCTGTTTGAGCGAGAGTTGACAAGGGGACATTGCTGGTCGTTGTGGTGGTTGTGAAAGTCTGAAGCCAGCTTCGGGAGACGGGGAGGGATTTGGTGGTGAGGAGGTGAGAGGCGATTTGGTCTTGAAGGGTAGCCATTGTGGATTAATAGCAGGGACAGTTAATTCAGTCTTCCTTTGCCATTATCCTTTGTCTGGTGAAGGAATTTCGAGTTGATAAAAATCCGGGGAAAACGCGAGAAACACTGACCACTGCTTAAGTTGGGACATGTTTTCCCTTACCTCTGCCAGTAATTAACACAGGAGCCGGAAACACCATCAAGCAGTTAACAAAACACTTTCTCTACACCACCACTCGCCCATAATGTCCACCCGATCGTCTCCTCGTCCCTCAATCGCTTCATCTCGTGCCCGTTCTCCAACACCGACGTCGCCAGGCCGTCCATCGATTGAACCCCTAAACACCAACATCGCCTCAAGCTCTCTGAGCACTGCATCGACCCCGTCCACCATCCGCGCCGTCTCTCCCTCTGTTCATACGCGGCGCAATAGGGCAGCTCTCCGAGACTACTACAACCTCCGCCCACCGCAGGCAGACTCGGGAACGTACCGTTCTCGTAGCATCCCCCGATCGATCGTCGATGGCCAACATGAAGCCTCGACAACGACAGCCACCTTCGTACCGACTGGGACGGAACTTGACAACCCAGACTTTGATCCTCAGAGATACGTGGATCAGCTCCTTGCAACATCATCGCTGTCTACGGTCTTAAAGGCGGAGAACACGCTTGTAGGTGATATTCGTACGCTCGACGGCGAACGGAAAGCACTCGTCTACGATAACTACTCGAAATTGATACGAGCCGTTGAGACAATTGGGAAAATGCGTCGGAGTATGGATGAGCGTGGGACACCGCTGACTATGACCAAGACGCTGGGGCCGGCGATAGCATTCGTTGCTGAAACTGCTGGGGGGTTGATTCAGGAAGGGGAGGAGCAGAGGCGGCAAATCAAAGAGGCAAAGAATAGTGAGGAGGATCGAAGGAGAAGAAGAGCAGAGAAGGAGACGGTGAAATGGGTGCTTGCTGCTCCGGATAGGCTCAAGAAGCTCCTTGAAGAGGGTAAGAGGGAGGAGGCAGAGAAAGACTGGGAGGAAGTGCGAGGATTGCTTGACAGATGGAACGGGGTGAAGGGAGTGACAGAAATTAGGAATGCTTGTGTCAAGGCAATGGAGAGCAAGAGCGACGGGGGCTCTTGAGTTTTGTCTCTGGCCATTGAGAAGAACTGGAGTATGCTGCTCCCTTGAAGGTTACTTCTTATTCCTCCTACCTTTGCTGTGTGAACAGGCGCCTTCTCTACGTCCGGCACCTCAGCTGCAGGCCACGGTCTTCAATGATTACTGACCGTGTGCCAAACGAGACAAGGTCTCCACCCTAACATAATCTGCCGCCAAGATGTCCTTATTGGCGAGGCACAAGGCTGTAGATACGTGAGCAAAGACAGGGTTGCAGGATTGCTCCTGAAAAGGCATTGGAGTCATCCGCCATGTAAGTGATACGTTTGACACAAAAAGAGGTTGTCAGGCCAGCAGGTTGAAGACTGCATTCAAAACAAGAACTACCAATGCAATGGATGGAAGATATGCAGTAATATTGCTCCTGCACTATATAGCTATGATAGCTAACATATTGACAATTCAACCCTGTGTAATGCCCCCAATATTTCACTTTTCATTCCTGTGCCAATCTCAAATCTTTCCCATAAACACATCCCGACTGGAAAACAAACTAGCCTTAAGCCCATAGGGATTATCCGACTTGATCCCTAGATGCGTCAAGGCATCACACTTGTAATAGATCGGTCTCTCATCCTTCCTCACTACCCCCAATTCCACGAGCCGCTGCAATACCAGTTTGATATCGCCCCGATCCTCATAATCCCGCGTATAAACCGCAAGCAGTCGTGGCTTCTTATTCTCCCTATCCTCATCTGAATCATACGTCGCCACCTTAGCCGCGACGCCCAACTCCCCATGAACCGTCGCGGTAGCGACAGCCTCCCAGACCCGATCTACATCCCCCGCAGAAGGAAATAGCATCCATTTCCCCGTGACGACGTTCTTCTCCCGGGCCAAAGCAAAGACATCTTCCTCCAACGCGCGACGAAGCGGGTTAATCTTCCGCGCCAGCCAGACGGTAGATTTCGACTTTGATCGGGACTTAGCATGTTCGGCCTCGAGACGGGTTTTCTCGTTTTCGAATCCGTATAGGAGCTCTGTTCCCCTTGCGGCGAAGGAGGCTAGGTCCTCGTCCCGTACGCTTCTGCCCTCATCCGGGTTGTAGGCGTAGATCCATGGTCCGACGGCGCTGCTTCTGGTCGTCGACGGGGCTAGTCGGGACAGAAACTCCGGTACCGATTCTGTTGTCTGTCGCGAGTTCAGACGCGGTCCTTGTCGGTTTTTGGTGTCTGTTCTCGTTGGGTTTCGTGCGGATGCGGAGCGGAGTTTGTATTGGATTGTGGATAGGAGGTACGGGTGGATGTCGGTCCAGTAGGTGGATAGGTCAAAGGTGGTTACTTGCTCTTCCAGCTCTGCTATCTCCGCGTCAGAGCCTGCCGCGATATTCAGTGAGTACTCCGTATCAGTGAAAGGATAGATGGCGTTGTGATGATGTCGGATATGCGGGGAGCACGTACCGTAGAAACTAGATTCATCAGAAAACAAGTTGTCAGACTCATCCATGGTTAGGATTTAATTAGTGGTATCTCAATATTATCCCGTATTGAGATAGCGATTAATCGATGATTGTAATGGCTCATAGAGGGAAAAAGCTTAACTGCATGTTGGAAAAGTGATGGAGATGTTCATGCCCTAGAACTGTAGATACTAGACAGAACATGCTAATAAAACAAGCTTCACGCTTGCATCTCTCTGCATTATAAGCAGCAGTCAATGCCACCCTGGAAGAACCAGGATTGGCTGAACATGAATTGATGAATGAAATGCATTATCTCTGACTCCCACCTCCAAGCCCTTCTGCTGACGAGGATGGACTGCCTACAATCAATCAAACATCCAGCGTCATTGTTTAATATCCCAATCGAATTTCCCAAAAAGGACGTAAATACAGATGTTATATTCAGCCATCGACTCTGACACGGAGGACCCTAAGGCCCTCGACCCTACCTTTCGAAACTACACTCAAGCCCAAGCCAGATTCTACGCGCAAGCTCGTCACTCGTACCGTCGTCCAATCTACGAGAGATCTGATCCTTCAGCATCATGTCGAGACGGGGGAAGGTTTCGACACCCTTTTGGACGTTGGTTGTGGCCATGGAAGCGCAGCACGCGATCTTGCTCCGTCATTCAACAACGCCGTGGGGATCGATCCTTCACCAGAGATGATTAATATCGCTCGCGACATGGGTGGTACGACCATATCCGGAAAGCACATGAAATTCCTGATCGAGACAGCAGAGAAATGCGCTGGTCCGAAGGAAGTCCAGGGAGGCGTGGATCTCCTTGTGGCTACTATGGCGGTATGTATGGCCACATTTTTTACTCAGTCCAGGAGGTGTTCGTGTCCTGTCAAATATTGATGGATAAACATAAAATCAACAGGCACATTGGTTCTCAATGCCAGAGTTCTGGGCAGAGGCGGCCAGGATTGTGAAACCGGGGTGGAAAGGTTGCATTGTGGACATGCGCTTCACTCCATTGCCGTAAAGATTCAGTTCATATCATTGATATTTCTTCTCAAATCTCGCTATGTATGCAGATCCATCCACCCCGAATGCGGCCGAAGCGCAGAAGGCACTATTCCACCTTGAACTGGACGTGTTGAAGCCATCGGAACTCCCTTCCAACAGGATATCACGCAGCCTATACGACGAGCTCACTCTGCCCTGGACCGTGGATCCGCCTGTACTGTCTTTCTCAGAATCAGGTTTCACGCGCTTCGAATGGGACCGTGATGGGATATTGACTGATGGGATGGATTTTCTCAACGGAGATGACGTTACCATAGATGATCTGGAGAAGAGTTTGAACACTGCTAGCATGGTGACTAGATGGAGAGAGGCGAATCCGGAGCTTGCAGGTACCGAGCATGACTGTGTAAAGGTGGCCAGTGTAAAGGTGGCCATTGGAGAAATAAGGAGGGCAATGGGGATATCTCACGGTGGCAGTATTCGGACAGGGAATGGGGTTGCCATTTTGTTGTTCAAGAGAAATGAGATTTAGTATTTCGAATCGACCGAATTGAGGAGTAGGAAGATATAAATTTGTAAGAAGACCAAAAACAAGAGAGGACGCCAATTTCCTAAGAGTGACACAGAATACATAATTGAGTTGTCATTCCAATCTCAAACTGAAAGCATCAGTCTCTCTGGGCAAGGACAAGACAGACCAGGAGGCGAACCACATAGACCAAAAACAATTAGCTACTAATAAAATAGTTAAAAAGAACATGTCCAAGGAAGGAAGCGCTTATTCTGGCCTAATAAGGCGATAAGTTTCAATTTTCGACTTCGCTCAACATCAATTTAGTCCTTGACAATCCGAGTAGCTCGCAGAATATCGTCCGACGACCATCCTGGCCCGCCAGGAACAATCTCAGCCCACACTTCCTCCGGCACAGCATCGATAGGATCTAAGATACTCCAATTCGGACTAGGTTCGGGCTTGATCCATTTGAAATCGTCAACCTGGCTCCAACGGTCCTGCTCGTCGCTAAAGTTCTGCTCCAGGGCCTGCAGAGTCATGTTAGCTTGCTCCCGCAAATAGATGCTAGATAGGTGCCATGAATATCCAATGTTATCGTAACTCACATAAGCTCGTGGAATCCTTCCAAATCGGATGTTAGTACAATCCTCAATGATGGGATTGCTAGCGCAGCTGAGGTAGACATCCACGTTTACACAGTTGTGCATGCGGAATTGCTGGCAAGTCACTACTATCACACTATCCTCGACACCGGTCACATGTGCAGGACCGCTGACTTGACCGCAGACCAACAGGCTCTGCTTGACACCCTTGATAGTCAGAGTGGCATATGGTTTACCGTTAGCCGTAGGAATTGACATATCGACAACACAGCGGCGAAGCGATGTGATAGAGGCAGGTACTGATGGGCCTGATGCTGTCGCTGGGAGCATAATGTGTAAGCCATGATGATTATCCACAGACACGTACGTCGTAGCGGTGGGTGGAAAGGTACCCCGGGCCTTGTGGTCCGGCTTCTCGGAAGTGTTTCGGGTGGTGCCTAGGGCGTCTACCGGAAATGATGTGGGTGCGATCTCCGGCCTCAGCTGTTGTTGTCGGTCTGGTTCCCCTAGGGGTGTCGAAGGATAGTTCGGGGTTCCAATCAGAGATGAATCTGGGGACGGTGTCCCAGAAAAATATCCGGGGATGCCACGACGGCCTTGCGAAGCGAGTTCCGCAGCATCTGAGAGTGAGATAGCGGAAGCGTTCTTCTTGGTTTTAAAGCTAAATTTGGGACGTGGTTCAAATAAAGCACGAGTCTCGGACAGTTTATCTTGAAGTGCTTTGATAGCCTGGGAAACGAAATCCGTCAATGAAGGGCAGCTACGGTAGGATGAAGAATTGGTTTACCCACTTCTGCATATATCCGTTGGTCATAGGTGGGGATGTAACTAGCAGCATCCTTGACCTCGTTTGAGAGTCGGGCAATCCCAGCAAGGCAATGGTCTGTCGCATCCGCCCGCTCCCCTCCGACTAGGGACGTATCGGCCAGCCGTTCCATCTCTGCCTGGAGAGCTATGTAGAAAGAACACACAGTGTCAGCTCCGCTTAAAGTCGGATGCAGTATATGGCCATCCATACCGGTGATCTCATGTTGAAAATGGCGGAAGAACCGTTCCTTCAGCGGAATCTCCGATTTCAAGACGGTTTGATTCTCAGCAGTCTGGGACGCTCGACGTAGCTCGGGAATCCCTGCCTGCGACATGGTGGACATGTAGTTTGCAAATAGAATCGAGATAGGTAGTCTCTGCAAATAGGTCCTATCGGTTTAAGGGAAACGATGCAACGTGGGGATGTATTGATGACGTCGCTTCAAAAGTGGAAACTCAACTGAGGAGAAAGAAATGTCAGCGGGGTTACGTATCCCCCAGCAGATCTGAGAGAAATGCGCCAGATAAAGAAAAATCAAGCTTACAGCATGCTGTTGGATGTCATGTTACAGTAAGCGTCAGTCCACACCTGCCAAAATATAGGCTGGTAACTGCATACTAATAGGGGGTATACAGCGTACGTGAGGGGTTTGTTCTGGGATCTTGGACGACCGTGGGCGGATTGTGGCGTTGATGGCGGGAGGGTATCGGGTGCACTCCGCAATGAGGATTCCGGGGCTGTATAGACAGCACGGCAGACAGACGTGGTGAGAGCAGCAAATGGAATAGAAATAGAAGCAGATTGAGGTGTTTCAATGCAGCAATTCGCCTTTCTCTGCAGTGACGTCGATCACCCCACCTGATTCGGAGACCGGCGAAATTTCCTTCTCGGGAAAGCTATCTCTCGCGTGCCGGCCTTCTCTGCTCTTGCATGGTCCTCCAGAGCTCACTTTTGCAGAATGTGAAACGGGATAATGGACAATTTTTATGACTAGAGACAGTATTTCCATTAGCATTATAATTCTAGAGGTAAATGCCAGTTTCAGTACAATGTTCGGTGGTGACTCTGCTTCCAAAGCGGCGTTGAATTAAGCCGGGCAGAATACCAATTCAATTGACCTTACCGCTTTTATTACATAAGTAGATGCCCTGCCCTAGTTAGTTACTCAGCAGTTCTCCGGCCATCATGTCCATCCTGTGTCCAGTTATGTTATGTTGGTTGGTTATGTTGGTTGAAATAGCTATGGGCAGAGGCAGAATCCGATCAAGACACCATTGTTCCAGAGAGTAGACTCACATTGTAGAACCACTAGCGGAATGCTGCATCTTATTGAAACTCCCTGTGCTACCAACCAACTGCCCAAGTGTGTAGAGATAGATTAGCTGAGTAAGTGAATTGGGACTGGAGAAAATGTAGGCATATCTAGAGTTATAAAAAGACACTGTATTTGAAGCCTATAGGAGTATCATATAGTTCGTCATTCCTGGATCGCTTTTGTCTAGAATGTGGATCAGCGTGTGTAGTTGCGGAAAGATAGGTTATAGTAAATATATAGGGGCTAGGCAAAAAACGAAGAAGAGCACTATTGACTAAGCGCAGACAAGCTCTTCAGAGTTATGTTCAATGTGATATTCTTCCCTTGTAACATGCTGATCCATTGAGTCTGTCCTGTCTTTCCTTCGGGAATCTCAAGTTAGACACAAACATTTAGGAATCACTGACCGGAAACTCCAGACTTTGGTTGAACAAAGTCCGCGTCCCTGTCCGGCCCTTGAAATGTGTATATATGCACCATCACCGTGAAATCTTGTAGATTCCTTCTTCTCCGCTTACTTCACTCTCAATCCAAGAATCTGTGAGAAAAAAGTCATCTTTCATCTAAAGCCGAAAAACAAAGTTTATATTTGAATTGTGTGTTTTGACTCGTTAATGGGCCTAGCAGCTGTCTGCATTGGGACCATGTCCTTACTCCTGGGCTGTTTTCAAATGGGTATCGCTGCCGAAGTGGAATATCAAACAATTGAGGACCTGAAGCATGCTCTAGATAAGCGGGACGAGGAACGATGGTCTCCAATTCCGAGATCGACAATCTTTCGTTGCATGGTTGACCAGGATATCATGACTGAATCAGAGCAAAGAGTGACAAATCTCTCTGTTCCTAGTCGCCAAATCTGCAGAAATACCGTGAATAATGACAATGGACATTTGATGCACCAATCCAATGAAACCCCCATCCCGGTTAGACCCTCATTTCGAGTAGGACAAATGGAACCAATGCCTAAAGGACATTTCATATGCTTCAACGATGCCAGGATTGCTGGAATAATCAGAGGAAATCGACACTCCATTCTTTGGGAGATCCACCCACGTGTTCAGACCATCCAGCAATACATCCACTTTAAGGATATGGCACCAATGGAAGAACCAATGGAGGCAAACTTGATCGCTGCTATATCCCAAGGTCTGGACCATATAGTCCCATACTATCCGCATCTTTGCCTCGGGATTTATGCCACCAGATCAAACCTAGATGCCCAGAACAGACTTTGCATGGCCTTGGGTCAAAATGTACGGTGCGGCAACCTGGAAACCTTTCCATACGTGTTCAGACTATGCGTTGTCGATGCCAACTTCAGTGGAGTGCTGATTATTGCTTGGTTGAGAAAAAGAAACCCTCTGAGCAGAAGCGTTGAAGTGAAAGTGGATATCCAACGTGCTATTTCCCTAGCATATAGCATTAGGATGGCGTGCATTACCACTGCTGCTGACTATGATTTCCTTGTCAATGCAGGTGAGCCAGCTGCTAGCCAGTCTCCTAAAGAACCAGATCTGGATCAACTTCACTACATCCCCACCCCGATGAAGAGACATTCTTCCCTATTGCGAAGGCGTGAATAAAACCCATGGATTCCTCAGAAGCATCACCTGCAGCTTGTTTGTCCATTTCGGAATACGTGGAGTAGGATTAATTCCAGGGCAGCAGCGGCTCTAGAGCAGGGGTAGGATTCCAAGGCTGGGATACTGATCAGGGAGGATCATGTAACGAGAAATAGTGCAATTTCTGGAGGGCTGTATGCTAAGTAAGAACCCATATCTCGATTGGGCAGCCGTACTCTGATTAGGGATCACCAGTAATCCGTGCTAGGCAAATTGGAAGTCTAAAGAAAGGTGGAATAGTTGAATTAAATGATATTAGACGATCAACAAGACGCTGTCGACAAGGAAGTTGAGTTGGCGGTGATTTGATGCCGGCGCAGTGATCACGTGGTAAACTGGCGCCAAGGCACGCGCTGGAGCTCTCGCCTTCGTCATGTCGGCAGCTGGACCACGGACTCGCAGGCAGACCAACGACTATACATTGTTTATCACTATTTATACCATCTATACTGATCGCTCTCCCCCTCTAGACATGGAGGTAGACGATCCTCCTGCGGACGAAGCTCGCCCAGGGACTCCGCGCCTGTTCGAAAACTCTGATCCGTTATCAGGACCTCCCACCCCTACCCCCCTCCCCCGCATCTCCCTGAAAAGGAGGGCGCCACCCTCCCCCTATAGGATGCCTACGGCGATAATAGCTCCTATATCCAACACGCAGGCTGCTGGATCAATTTGCCAGCAGGCTACCGCAGCTGCAAACGACCAGCTCCTGCTCCTAGGTGACTGGAAGCTGGCGCTAACCTCCCTTGCAGAGGCACTTGAGACAACTGTCTCCTCTCTACAGGGCCGTCCCAAGGAGCTCGCTCGAGGGCTTGTAGCTAGGTTTATTACCCTGGCAAACCTCAACACCCCACAGCAAGGGGCAAAGCCTGACATAGCACCCCCCCAGATGGCGCAGGCATATCAAGCTAAAAAGACCTTACAGACCTCAACCTGGGCCTCAGTTGCCGCCCTAAAAGCTAGCCAGGACAACTGGCAATCTGATACTCAAGAACATAGTGTGCAAGCCTCTCGGCAGCAGACACAAAAGCCAGCCCAGCAGCAACCCCAGCAGGAAAGCAAAACTGACTCCCGTATCTTTCTCCGGCTGCCGGTCTCCTCCAGCCTACGAGCTATTGGGCCGCATGGCATCCGGGTCACCCTAGCGGAAAAAAATTCCTGGTGGAATCGCACGAGTGCAGGCCGTGGCTACAGGATATGCAATCTCAGCCACTGAAGAAGGTAGGGCTTTCCTACTCTCCCCACAGGCAAGTGGGCTAGCAGGAGACGGCAACTTTGAGGCTGCAATGGGTTTCCATCAGGTAGTAGTCCCTAGGATCCCTCAGCAGCTCTGGACCCGAGAGGGATGGGCACCCACCACAATCAGGGATATCAGTACAGAAGCAGAGCGCATAACTGGTATGAAGCCGCTTATGACTAAGCTCTCTAAGCACCCTGTAGAGGAGGGCTCTATCACGGCAGTCATAGCCTTTCCAAAGAAGCCACAACGTGCCTTGCAACTCTTTGGCTCCTCTGGCCTATCACGGCCTACCCGCCCTAAGAAAAGACCACTACAGTGTACCCGCTGCCACCGCTTCCATGATACACGAGCCTGCCGCTCTAGTGAGCGCTGCATCTCCTGTGGATCCTCTAAACAGGAGCATACCTGCCGCGTGCAGTGTGTGAACTGCTGCGGTCCACATGCAGCAGACTACCAAAAGTGCCCTGCTAGACCATATACACAAAAGGGTTCTATTATCCGCCTTGCAAAGGACACCTTGGCTGCTGTTCGTAAGGCTGGCCGACTTGCCTTTCAACAGCAACTAGCTAAGTCAGCCTCTAGCCACCAAGCTAGCAGTCCACACACCCCCCACCAGTCCTCAAGCCAGCTTGCCCAGGAGCTTGCAAATCAAACCCTCCCATCACCAGAACTATGAAGATATTGCAGGCTAATGTTGGAAGGGGCAGCCCTGCCCACGACCTACTGCTAACATTTGAGGCGGACATTATCCTAGTCCAGGAGCCCTGGACGGACATGGCAAAACAACTCACAAAAACACACCCACGATACCAGCTCTTCAGCCCTGCCACTCGGTGGGAAACTAGGCCTAGAGCTTTGATATATGTTCGCCGGGATCTTCCAGCATTCTCTCTCCCTCAGCCTATCTCACCAGATATCGCAGCTATCTGTACAGCTGGCCTAACCATCATAAACATCTACCGCCCCCCAAATGACCCCGTTGTGCCAGCGGGATCTGGTTCAACCCTATCTACCCTACACACCCTATTGCAATTCTCCCCTCCGCAGAACACTATTATCGCGGGGGACTTTAATACCCACCACCCCCTCTGGCAACCGGGGACAGAACCGCACCAAGTAACAGCAGGCGCAACAGCACTTATAGAGTGGCTAGAAGCCCATGAACTAGTGCTCTGTATGGAGCCAGGCACTCCTACTCGTGGGCCAAACACCCTTGACCTGGTCTTCTCCAACATGTTGATAGAGGCAGTAGTTGAAGACTACCTTAATACCTCAAGTGATCATGCAACCATTCTGATTACAACAGACTGGACGGAGCCTATCTCCCGTCCAAGGATAGGCTCTACAGACTGGGAGAAGGCTATATCTCTGCTAACCCCCCCACCTGCGCACCTCCCCATCAACACCTTAGCAGAAGAACTAGTTGATAATGTACAGCTAGCCATCCGTGGTGCATCAAAACATAACTCTCGCAAGCTCCCACGCACCCCTTGGTGGACACCAGAGCTCACAGACCTACTCCACCAAACACGACAGCAGCAGGACCCAGACTACCTACCACTCCGGAAGACAATATCCTGTGCAAAGGCTAATTACTGGAAGAGGCGAATTGAGCAAGCAGTGTCTCCCACAGATGCCTTCCTACTTGCTAAATGGCATAAGCGCTCAGATCAGCTCGCGGCACCCCCTCTAAACATCCAAGGAAATCAGGTTAGCACTCCACAAGATAAAGCGGATGCTTTTCTTTCACATTTACTGGAGAAGGGAGCCTCCCTTCCAGATCAACTAGAGGAGGGCCCTCCAGCAAAACCTCTGGATTCACTAGGGTTGCCAACTAAGGAGGACTGCTGGACTGCCCTTTGTGCCCCTGCCCCATCCGCCCCAGGTAGGGATGGGCTTGCTACCACAGTTTGGAGAGAGCTCTGGCCTGCTCTAGGCAACACAATCACGCTTCTTTATCGCCGCTGCTTAGAGGAAGGTCGCTTCCCACAGTGTTTTAAGTCTGCAAAGGTGGTAATGATACCAAAGCCAGGAAAAAGGGACCTCACACAGCTCGGCTCCTGGCGACCCATCAGCCTACTCTCCACCTTAGGAAAAGGCCTAGAGCGCTTTCTGGCGCGGCGCATAGCTGCACGAGCAATCCAGGTAGGGCTACTGGCCCCCTGCCATTTTGGCGCTCTTCCTGGCCGCTCTGCGATTGATCTTGTCCAGATCCTGGTCCACAGGATAGAGAAGGCCTTTGGAAGGAAGATGGTGGCTTCACTACTATTACTGGACGTAAAGGGGGCCTTTGATGCGGTAATCCATCAGCAGCTTCTCTCACACCTACGCCTGCAGGGATGGGACGAAGGCCTAATCCGGTTAATCCAAGATTGGCTGACCGGCCGCACTGCCTCAGTCCATATTAGAGAGGCTATTGCAACAGCCCTAATCAAGGGCGGTCTCCCCCAGGGGTCCCCTCTATCCCCAATTCTCTTCCTGCTGTACGCGGCAATGGTAGTTTCTACCCATAAGGGCTCTTTCTGCTATGCAGACGACCTGGGATTGCTATTCATTGGAAACAATCTGGAAGAGACCTCACGGCAACTATTGGAAGCCTATAAATCAATCACGGCACTTGGGGCTGCATCAGGCCTTCCATTCTCCTTTGAGAAGACAGAAATACAGCATTTCTCTAGGCAGCGGAAGCAGTCTATCCCCACAGTCTTTCTACTAGGTGTAGGCAAGATCAAACCATCTCCATATACCCGATGGTTAGGGGTCCTGCTTGACACTAAGCTCACCTTCAGGTCACATATTAATTGGACATTCAGCCGCGGCAAGCAGCTTGCTCAACATCTCCGGAGGCTTAGCAATACCCAGCGTGGGTGCCCAGTAGCCTCCATGCGTGCAGTGGTCATGCAGTGCGTCCTGCCAACAGCTCTCTATGGCGCAGAAGTCTTCTATACTGGCTACAGGCAACAAGGGGTTATCAGCTCCCTTCAATCCCTGCTCTGCCTGGCCGCCCTGGCCATTCTTCCTGCATATAAAACAACCCCTACTACAGTACTCCTCCGGGAGGCAGACCTACCTGACCCTGAAGCCCTGCTCAACGGTACCCTCCAGAAGGCGGCAATCAGATATGCAAGCCTTGACGCGAAGCACCCGATTGCTCGCATAACTACCACTACAGCCCAGAGCTGTAAGAACAGGACCAGACTTACCAGGATCCTCCAACTTGTCCCTGGACCAGCGCCGGAACGCATGCATATAGAACCACCCCTCCCATCACTGCGCATGCTCCCCACTGACTGGGGTAAGCACCTTCCTTCCCCATTGGAAGTAACAGTCTATTCAGATGGCTCCCGTACAGACCAGGGCGCTGGGTACGGCTATGCAATATACTATGGCCCTATCCTGCTTACCCAGGGATTCGGCCCTGCTGGCGCGCGGACAGAGGTTTACGACGCAGAAATTATGGGTGCAGTAGAAGGGCTCCGTGCTGCAGTTAGCCAAGACTGCACCAAGTTCGCTACCCAAATCAACATCCTCCTTGATAATCTAGCCGCAGCTAGCCTGCTAGCAGATGGCAGGCCAGCCCCCCATAGACGAAGACTTACTGATACTTTCCACCAACTCTCCGCTCAGTGGGACAGCTTGCCTTCACTTTTATCTCTACCTCGCAAACCTGTAGGGGTCTGTTGGGTTCCAGGCCACTCTGGGGTCACAGGGAATGAGCTCGCAGATAAGCTGGCAAAGAAGGGAGCTTCATTAGCCAGTCCTGATATCCCCCCTTCTCCCTCATTCCTCAGACGGGAGGCAAAACAGCGGATCCGCGCAGATACACACGCGGCATATTTTAGAGGCGCACCTCAGGCCTACCGTGACCTGGGCATCAGACCTCATACAAAAAGCAGTCGTGACCAAGAACATAAGCTCCCCCGCTGGGTCCTGGGCAGGCTCATAGCCGCCCGTACAGGTCACGGGGATTTTGCAGCATATCATGAAAGATTTCAACATGTAGACTACCTAGCAACCTGCTCCTGCAAGAGACAGAAGTCCCCTGTCCATTTCTTCTTCTGCCCACCCACCAGGAAGCGCTGGAAGGATAGATGGAAATGCAAGAGAGGCAGCCCGTCAAGTACAATTGACTGGCTACTAGGTACAGCTGCTGGGGCGGAAGAGTTCAGCCACATCGTGCAAGATTCATCCTTTTTCAAGGATATATGCCCAAATTGGGCCTGCTCAAGCACTGAATAGTGCAACAGTCTACGCTTCTACCTGGACGAACGGGAAAGGCACCCCTGCTCGACTGAAGGTAGCCAAAGCAGGTTCCTCACCTTTAGAAGTCCAGGCCAGGGTAGCGCCTGGTGCTTCTTCCACTCTTTTCCAACACATAGTGTCCAGCTTTGTTGCTTCAAGCATGTATTTATTTTAGTGAGTCTTTGCTTAGGTAGCACGTCCGGATGCCCCTTGGGAGGCCGCGGGTCACGTGTGCCACGTGATCCGCCGAGTGACGTTAAATAGTAATCAAATCAAATCAAATCAAAAAGTCGGCAGCTGGACCACTTCACCGTTCACGACTGTCCTAGTACAACTCCCTTTGATATACGCCGTGCCATCTCTTTTCTGGCTTTGATTTCCTACTCAGAACCTTAAATTCCTGCATATAGCACTCTCAACATGTCAGATCTCCCATCGCTCGTCTCAGAGCTTCATCATGCTCTTGAACGCCAGCAGTTCGATGCCGTCAACAGCCTTCTCAGCCGCGCAAAGATATCACTTTTGCAACAAAATGCCTTGATTCCGAACCCAGAGATGCATCCCCAACTTTTTAATCTCGCACGAGCGGTTCTCGAGCTTGGCGCCTTGGCTTCTATCCGACAACAGGACGCGCAGGCCTTTACGAGATACTACCAGCAGCTGCAGCCGTTTTACGATATCGAGCGATACAGTGAGGAAAACCCGGGCTCATCGCAGATGGATATCCGTAACAGTCAGCGCAGCAAGATTACGGGATTGTATCTGTTGCTATTGTTGAGCATGGGCAATAGCACTGGATTCCATACTGTGTTGGAAGGACTGGTCGAGGAAGCGAGCTTGAAGGGAAAGAAGGTTGAGGATGATCCTTATGTCAAATATCCGGTTGAGCTGGAGAGGAATTTGATGGAAGGTAGCTATGACAAGGTCTGGGCGGAGACAAAGTCGGAGAGAGTTCCGTCAGAGGATTTTGGGTTGTTTTCTAATGTGAGCTTTATTCTCATATCGGAGTTGGATGCTCTTTTTGGTTTGGTAGAGAATCAACTAATTTATGGTATTATAGATTCTCGTCGGAACGATTCGAAGCGAAATCGCAGACTGCTCTGAGAAGGCATACCCATCTCTTCCCATCTCCAACGCAAAGAACCTTCTCTTCCTCGAGTCAGAAGGCGCCGTTATTGAGTTCGCAGTACAGCGCGGTTGGATCCTCCGTGACGGGCGCATATATTTCCCTGTCGAGCCCGAGGCGGCCGCACGTTCCGAGAAGGATATTCTGCTGGCGAGCAGCACCGTGATCGAAAATACGATAGGCTATGCCCGGGAATTGGAGATGATTGTTTAATACTGCCGTCCCGGTCTTGTTTTTCTGTTTCCTTTCCTTTTCGGACTCTTGGGCCTGTCGACTTGCATCTTGTTGTATTCAGCGTCCTCATACTACTCACTAATAGACGTGACCTCGTCGTGATGATTATAAGGATTGTAGAATGTTTCCCTTGGTTGTGAGACATGGCCAGTATTTATCTTTAAGATGTTCACGCTGAAAGCTAGACTTCAAATTTCCAGACGCAGACCCTCCGATCATAGAAACTGCTGGAGACGCAGAGCAGCTCTTGTCTGCGCTTGGCTGTGGGTTCACCTCCCCCTCTCCAGATATCAGATGCATAATTCATACTCTCATGCTCTGTAAATTCAGCCAAAACCTCAATCGTCCAGTTCCCATGTGGGTCTTCCTCATTGTCGAACCACGTAACCTTTACCACTCTAGTACCGGCATGCATGCAACTCGCAAGAACGAGGAACTCGAATCGACGCGGATATTCCGCACGATCTGATTCCATATCCAAGCCAACTGCTTCCTCTCCCCTCTTTACATTCAATAACTGAAGCCTCCACACCCCACCACCTAAGGAGTGCTCGGCAAGAACCTTCCCAGGTCGCGTATCGCAGAAAACACGTAGATGTTCATCGTAACTACCAGTTAGAAGCAAAGGCGCATCATCATTGACCTCCAGGGAAACAGGAAGAGGGAGAATGGACGTTATCCCTGCAGTGTGGTGGCGAGCGCGGTCGGTGAAATCCTGTAAGGGCAGCATTTGCGCGGTATCGGTTTCTTCTTCAACCACCTCGGTAGCATCATAACTATCTCCATGATCACCACCACTAGTACTAGTAATACTCTCAAACTGGCGTGTGTATAAAGCGCCGAAATCATCTCCCGTGAATATATAGGGAATCCGCGCTTTGGACTCCATCTTCTTTTCATCGATCGTAGCGAGAGCAACGAACCACATCTCTATTGTCTGCTTGGCTTCGAATATACCTGACTCAGAGAGACTATCTTCATCACTGATATTGCCCTTAGCAGAGCTGAAAAGCGTAGTTCGCCCATCGGAAAATGTCACAGCGAACCCATCTGTTTGGGGATTCTTGAACCAGTCCCTTGGGGCCCAGGAGAGAAATAGCGCCGATACAAAAGGATCCTCGTGAGCGGAATGTGTCCAGAGCTGCGATATAACTGGCGCTGCTGTAGCAGAGCTGTTTGTATTAAATAGAGCTACAGAACCTGTGCTTGTAGCGATGGCTAGGAGAGAGTGCCGAGTGGGGTGGAATTGAAGATCGAATACTGCATATGGAAAATGCAGCATTTGGATGAGAGACCTGGAAATCCTACTTAGCTATTTATCTTTCAATTATTCGGTTCTCCCTTCCTCTTGATGGGTGGGTAGGTAAATTTGATTCATGGAATTTGCGACATGAAACCTACAATTTAGGGCCAATAGGATCAAGCTTCCATAGTTGCAAACTCCCCGTTTTATTTTGCTGGATAACAACATCTGCATTCTCATCTTCCGCCTGTGACTTTGTTTCCGAGAGAAGATATGTGCCTATAACGGCGTAGTCCGGTGCTGCGGGACAAAACTGGAGACAGCTGGGCGGCTGGTCCAGGAAGACAGTCAGCAGGGACTGAGGATGTTGAGGAGCTGGCTGTGATGGAGAGGCCATTGTATTGCTCTTTAGATAGCTCCTGATAGTAAATTGGCCGGGCTCAAATCATGTCAATTCGGTTCGTCTGAGTTTGTACGTACGGATTTTAGATCATGTGACATTGCTGGGCCCTTAATTTCTAGAACTACTAAATATGGGGGGTAGTAAGAGCGCTCTCCGGTTTACAGGTAATGATGGTTATTCGAGACAAAACATTCATTACTCTCTTTCGGCTTTTTATTTTCCAAAACGCATGCTTAGATAAATACATCGTATATAGAATTCACATCCAGACAGACATAGAGACATCAGGATGCTACTCCTGAAAGTTCCAGGTAGTTGGCACCTTGGGATAATTCTTTGCATCCAACTCCAGATCCTCGTAAATAGTATCATCACCTGCCATTGTTAGCAGAGTGTCACATGTGGATTTCAGAAGCGAGCAATACCTTGCAGGGCTTCAATCCGTTCTTCATTTCCATGCTCCAGCTTTTCAAGTTCTTCTCCAGGCTGCTCCTCACTAGGCTCTTTGGCACCAGCTTCTGCAATGGCAGCCTTTCCGAGATCATCTTTTGCCGAGCCAATCATGAGGAATTGCGCGTTTGGATAGTTGATAAATTCAGGCTCAGTGGGAACCCATCGCAGGTCGTGGAATTTCTCCCGTACGCTAGCATCCAGTTGTTAACATATATCAAACAATTGAAAAGGGGAAAACAAGACTTGGCTTACTCATCAGGATACTCCGGATCTTTTGGCAAACGTGCGTATGACGGACCGGGGTACTTGGGGTTCTTCGACTGAATGATCCAACTACCACGTTGGTACACACCAAAATCATGTTGAAGATCTCCAGCTTCAGAAGGAATAGTTAAAATATAGACAAGATGGGAAGATCTTCTTGCGGCTGTGATTGCATAAACCCCTTCGGCATATGGTTTGGCATCTGGCCTGGTGCGTTCACCTCGCGTCGAAGTTTCGTAATGTGCCCCAGTAATGAAAGAATCCTGTAAGTCCTTCATTGAAATTCCAGCTTTCTCCACGAACCCCATGTCCCTTTCCCTCGCAGATGTGGGAAATTTCTTCTTGGGGAGCATCATCAAGCGACAGTGAGCATCAGTTGCAACAGAACCTTGATCTGCGCCCAGCATAGCGCCCTTAGGGGTCGGGCGAAGAACGATAAAGCTCCGGGAAACATCCTGTATACTGTGCGGTTCCTCTACATTGACCCGTGGCCGGAAGAAGAAATATATAATTCCTTTCTCGAGGATGTTCGAGGGTACGATGTCTTCCCGTTCTTCTGACTTTCTAATCCCTGATTCAACGCTTACGCCTGCCTCTGGTTCCTTATCGGGTGGCTTTTCTTGAGGGGTTGTGGCTTTCTCCTCATGCCCTGGGGAGTGTAAGATTGGACTCAAGTTAGAATGATCTCTTCCAGGAGCTTACCATTAACAGTTTTCGCTTTATCTTCTTTCTCTTCTTTCTGATCTTCTTCAGATGGTTCGTGCTTCAGCTTATGCTCTGGTTGAGGCTGTCCAGCCTCGTGGGCTTTTTGAATTTCTTCCGTTTTGTCTCGCTGCTCCTTCTCTTGATGCTCCGCGGCTATATGGTCTTCTCCGTTTTGCTCTTTCGGTTCTGTATCCTCTTTTTTCTCCTTCTTAGGCGCTGGCAATTTTGCTGTAGATCCCTTGCGTTTTTGGGCTCCTGAAGTCTTTCCACGACTACCATTGGTGCTGGAAATAGCCTCATTAGCTTTGCGAGCGGCTTGACGCGACGAAGTTCTAGTAGCGGCCATTGCGAGGAATTGTTCTGAGAAGGTTGTGCGACGAAGCTGAAATAAAGGGAGATTATAGGAGAGGCGGTGATATTTCGTTCAGAAGGCCGATCTTGCTGAGGAAGACGAAGATATGTTCCGGCTTGGAACAGTGAGAGACCAGTTTGACCATTCGAGATGAGGACCGCCTGACGTCATGGATGGTTGAGTCTAGGACCCTATATATATATCACGTGACAAAAACGACATAGCTATTGGTGCATTCTTGTGCATCCTAATTCAAACTCAAATGTCACACGCATCCTGAAGGGATTTAATAGAGCAGAACCACGAATAATGACACAAAAAAGGATAGGAATCCATGAGGGAACATGATAGTGCCCTGTGTCAGGAACAATCAATCCACATCCATGTCATCCACACCAGCTACTCGATTCGTAGTCTCCATACCACCATTTCCTGAAGATGGAGAATTAGAGATTTTAGATGATGGCCCTCCATCAGGAATTTGTGATGAGAATGCACTGCGGGAGCTTAGAAATTCTGCTTTCGATTTCCTTCTTCGTTTACGCAGCCGTCTCGGATTCGATTCGCTTCTGCTATTACCGAGACTGGATGCTGTCCAGGAGCTACGTCGTGAAAGAGAGTAATTAGACGATCTCCGCTTCTTTCCTTTGCTTTGGCCGGCGCGCATTTGAGAACCGTTAGTCTCTGAGTGACAACCAAGATCTTGCATGTAGTTAACCAGGTCTTCCTGACACCGTCCTACAGATACCGATGAGTTTGAGTTCATCGGCTCCCCCGGTTGATCGCAAGGATCATTGCCGTTATCACCATCATTGTAGTCGTCAGGCTCCTCAATCTCATAAGGTTGGACAACAATGGGTTCCACATTGTATCCCGAGTCTCGTGATGATACGTTGGTTGAACCATATTTATTCGCAAACGGTAAGTTGTTTGACTCTTTCCTATCGCTGGTAGATAGAGGACTGGGTGATCGTGCGTCCCGAGGAAAATTCGATATGCTGTCGGAAGTTATGGGATACCGCCCCGAAGAGTACGAATCAACGCATGTCGGACCGGATCTTCCCACAAAGGAAAAATTATTCATATTGTAAGACGTCCAAGGAAAAGGTAGGACAAGTCCCAGAACATAGATGAGATCCCGGCTTGTAGGAGCATGAGGTCAAGGCATGAATTTCCATGGGAAATGGAAACTCCACAGTTGGTATATCCACAAAACACAGGGATAGTAATCTTGCGCTTTTTAAAGGGACAGATGAAGAATAGCAGGTCTCTGAGCTCACAGACAGCCTGGTAACTGTAGGAATGATAGTCCCGGCGGCCAGAAGACGTCTGTCTCCCACTGGATCGCCTTTTTCAGTAGAGGACAGACTCAACTTGACCTCACAGGATATAAAAAGTTATGGGCAAACCTAGTTGTCCCCATGCAACAGGAGAGCTCCTCCATCAGAAGAAGAAACTGAGTTTAAAGTGCTGCTCACCGCCCGGTCCCATTATTGGCCCAGTGCTGCTCGCTTATTGGCTCTCCGCCAAAATAAGTCCACGTTGTGATAGCGCTGCCAGAGACCGTCCAGAGTGTTCCCCTTTCTCCAGAAACCCCCATCCAACTACGCCCAGCTTCCGTCTCTGCTCAACTCCGACTTGGGTCGCATTTCAATCTCTTACCCTTGTTGGTGTGGATGTGGTGGAAATTCCTGTGATTTCATCCTTCTTAGAGTGCGGAGTGTGCTACCTCGCGGCGCGGCTCCGGCCAACTCCCCTGCAAAATGCAGTCCTCTCCGAATATGTTGACCAAGGCATGTGTTGTTCCTTTTTTTATAAATCACATTCCATTTGATGACACGAGCTAATTGGTTATTGCATGGGAATAGTTCGAATCAAAATCCTCTCGAGTTAAGGGCATTGCGTTCCACCCCAAACGGTCAGTTCGACGACATACGCGTTACAAATGTTGGTATTGACCTTGCAATAGGCCATGGATTCTCGTGTCGCTTCATTCATCTACGATTCAGCTGTGGGACTATCGCATGGGAACGCTCATTGACCGTTTCGAAGAACATGATGGTCCTGTTCGGGGTATTGATTTCCATAGGACCCAGCCCCTGTTTGTGTCCGGAGGTGACGACTATAAGATCAAGGTGTGGAGTTATCAGACCAGAAGATGTCTCTTCACTCTGAACGGTCATTTGGATTATGTGCGAACGGTGTTCTTCCACCATGAGCTTCCCTGGATTTTGTCATGCTCGGATGACCAAACCATCAGGATATGGAATTGGCAGAACAGATCGTTGAGTGAGTAACACCCTTTTTGTATTGGGGCTCATTATATTGACGCGCACATTTCAGTCTGCACAATGACAGGCCACAATCACTATGTAATGTGCGCGCAATTTCACCCGACAGAGGACTTGATCGCGTCCGCCTCTCTAGACCAGTCTGTTCGCATTTGGGACATCTCGGGATTGCGGAAGAAGCATTCGGCTCCTACAACGATGAGCTTCGAGGATCAGATGGCGCGCGTCAATGCGAACCAGGCAGATATGTTTGGAAATACCGATGCGATCGTCAAGTTCGTCTTGGAAGGCCACGACCGCGGTGTCAACTGGGTTTCTTTCCACCCTACGCTACCGTTGCTTGTATCTGCTGGTGATGACCGTCTAATCAAACTCTGGAGAATGAGCGGTAAGTTACGAGCATCCGGTTTACTGGGTTGTTACTGACAGACGGCGATAGACACCAAAGCTTGGGAAGTTGATACATGCCGCGGCCATTTCCAGAATGCATCTGCCTGCCTGTTCCACCCCCACCAGGACCTGATTCTTTCAGTAGGCGAAGACAAGACAATTCGGATATGGGATCTGAACAAACGGACGTCGGTCCAGTCGTTCAAACGAGATTCGGATCGATTCTGGGTCATTGCTGCTCACCCCGAAATCAACCTGTTCGCTGCTGGTCACGATACTGGTGTTATGGTGTTCAAATTAGAGCGAGAGAGACCCGCGTCCGCTGTATACCAGAACCAAGTATTTTACGTCACAAAGGACAAGAACGTTAGGTCGTACGACTTTGAGAAAAATGTCGAATCTCCGCCTTTGCTTTCCTTGCCCAAGCTTGGTTCTCCATGGGTTCCACCAAGGACTCTCTCATACAATCCCGTTGAGCGGGCAATCTTGGTCACTTCACCCACCGATGGTGGGACCTACGAAATGATTCATCTGCCCCGAGATCCAACGGGAGTTGTTGAACCGACCGACGTGAAACGTGGCCAGGCATCATCTGCCATTTTTGTGGCTCGCAAGCGATTCGCCGTCTTCAATCAGTCCACTCAACAGGTGGATATCAAGGATCTGAGAAACCATACAACAAACACACTCAAGGCACCGGCGGGAACAACTGACATCTACTTCGGAGGACCAGCTTGCTTGCTCTTTATCACACCTACATCGGTCGTTCTCTATAACATTCAGGAGGGCAAGCAATTGGCCGAGATCGCTGTTAGCGGGGTGAAATATGTTGTCTGGTCGAATGACGGGCTCTATGCTGCCTTGCTCAGCAAACACAACATCACAATTGTTACCAAGACACTCGAGCAAGTTAGCACTCTACATGAAACTATCCGTATCAAGAGCGCTACATGGGATGACGCTGGCGTGCTTCTCTATTCCACCTTGAATCACGTCAAGTATTCTCTTCTCAATGGGTATGCTTTCTCTCACTCTCATAATTTGGCTGTTTCTGACGATTTTACAGTGATAATGGAATCATTCGCACTCTAGAGCAGACGGTCTATCTCGTTAGTGTCAGGGGACGGAATGTGTACTGTCTTGATCGCAACGCCAAGCCGAGAATCCTGGAATTTGACCCTACCGAATATCGATTTAAGCTTGCTCTTGTCAAGAGAAACTATGATGAAATGCTGGAGATCATCAAAACCTCCAGTTTGGTGGGACAAAGTATCATTGCCTATCTACAGAAGAAGGGCTACCCGGAGATCTCGTTGCAGTTTGTACAAGATCCTCAGACGCGTTTCGAGCTTGCTCTGGAATGCGGTAACCTCGAAGTCGCCATTGAGATGGCAAGACAACTCGACCGTCCTCAATTATGGAGTCGACTTGGAGCTGAAGCCCTGGCCCATGGTAACCACCAGACAGTCGAAATGACGTATCAAAGACAGCGGGATTTCGACAAGCTCTCTTTCTTATATTTGGCTACGGGTGACCAAGAGAAGCTGTCCCGGATGGCAAAGATTGCTGAACACCGTGGCGATTTCACTTCTCGCTTCCAGAACTCCATCTATCGCGGTGATGTCCAGGACAGGGTTGAGATGTTCAAGGAAGTCGATATGTGTATGTCCGAATCCCTTCCTTTTTTTTTGACAACTGATCACTAACAAAAGTATTAGATCCTCTCGCCTATCTAACTGCAAAGTCGCAGGGTCTGCACGAAGAGGCTCAATCTATTCTGGAGGCATGTGGCCTTACAGAAGACCAGATTAGCCTTCCCTCAGGTCAGGATCTTATCAAAGTCCCGTCCCCTGTCGTTCCAACTTTTAAGGCCAACTGGCCTGTCAAGGAGGCGGCTCTCTCCTCCTTCGAAAAGGCTCTCCTTGCCGAGGAGGCCGCAGAGGAAGCCGAAGATGTTGAAGAGGAAGAAGAAGAAGCGGAAGAAGAAGAAGAGGCTGGCGAGAACGGTCATGCAGAGGAAGAAGTAGACGAAGTGGAGTCTGCTGAGGAAACTCCTTCGGAGGACGAATACCTGTTCTGATGGGATGACTCGGTGCGGGCATCTCGTGCAATCTGACTCGACTAGTTTACCCAGCCTCGAGGATACACCACCGTTTTAACAGACTTCCTTGGTGTGGTATTAGATTTGAAGCTGATGCGTTTGAAGTATCATGAGTTATGCAAGACGTCTGGGTTTATTTGAATGCAGGCAGAAGGTCTGGCCTATTGTTTCCTAGACAGAAAATGGCAGGATTACCTGTCCCTCTTCTCTTTTGACCTCTTGAATCTCTACATGTAATTTATTTTATATTTATTTTTCTTTTCGCTTTTGCTCGTGGGGAGAGGTTGTATGGAGTGCATTGCGCTGCTCGATGTATACGATAGCATTTCTTTCCGTGACATCATGAATAATTATTAAGACCCGCAAACATCGATTACAATGGACCACAGTAAGCAATTGCTTTTTGCCTTCAACCCTTGTATGCCAAGTAATGTACATGTATGTATACAGTTGTATGTTAAGTAGAGCAGAGATGGAAAATGCTCTAGTGCACGCTGTGTCTAGACTCACCATTGCAACCAACCCAACACCTTACTAGATCCCAATGACAAGAAAAAAAGAACAAGACATCAACTACGAAGCCAAAACTAATCGCACCTCCCATCCTTCCAGCCCGTCCTCCACCTCTCCTCCCAAAACTTACAGTCAAATTCCTTCTTCCCCAGCTTCCGATTCACGGCATTATGCGCCTCACACATCCACGTCCCGAAGTCCTGCCTCGACGACAATCGCGGTTGATTCTGCCCAGAAGGCTCATTCATCCAGATGCGGAAATCGTCCGCGCAGACCCAGCAAGGGTACAGCCGGGAGAAAAGGGTGAGGAATGAGCGCATCTCATTTTGCTTTTCCTGTGTTGGGTGTTTGGGGTATGCGGCCGTTAGGGAGTGGAGAAGGGTCCAGGTTGAGCGGCCCAGGGCTTCGACGTCGGGGGGACATTCGTTTGTGTTGTGCAGGGGTTGTGATGTGCTTGTTGCTGAAGTCGTGGCTGTGTTGGCGACGGGCGAAGGTGATTCTTTGGCTCGTTTTGTGAGTGCTTTCCAGGATGCTACTGAGGTGCAGAGACGGCATCTGTATTTAATGTACATTTTTTCGTCAGCGATCCAATCGAACAGACTTCAATTCCTGGAGAAGATTTGGAGAACAAGCTTGGTAGGTGGCGTACGGCTTCCCTTCTTCATCCAGCACAACGCCTTTTGGGATTGTTGATGCGTGTGAGTCTTGGTCTTTCTTTTTTTTCCCACTACCATGGAGGGTTGTATCGATCTGTTCCGGTTTAATTTCTGCCATCTTGTCTCTTCCTGGCTGTTTCTCTGGTTTCCCGTGTTGGAAAGTGAGGTAAGATCGGGTGGGAAGCTTGGAGATCGGGGAATTTCACAACAAAGAGCCCTGCTACACCCCACCAAGTGATAAAGGAGGGGATTGATAGCAATTACCCAAATGGCAAAAGGGAAAATAACATACAACAAGAAAAGGAGGAAATGAGACTATGTGATTACTACAATCGCATTCTGTCCATGGATACAGATTTGTCAGCATCAGTTCTATGCTATTTATAACGTTATAGCCAAGAGGAGATTATCCGGGGAGCTGCGCAGTGATATTGTAAGAGGCTAGAGTATAAATGTGATCTCTGCTGGGGTGTTTTTATATAAAAGACCATTCCTGTATTCATGGAGAGAAGATATCAATACAATGGTGTATATGTATCTCAATCTATTCCACTAACAACCTTGGCTGGTTCTTGTAACTGCTGCAGAAGACACCAGAACCGCAAATGTCTTCTCAGGAAACAGACAGGCGAGCTGCCAGGACCCTCTCCTACGCAGGAGGAAATCATTTCTGCACCTAAGGAGTCTGAACTCCCTTCAATCCGTGATCCGGGGTACGATGGCTGCCGTCATCTCAACCTCGCTGCGTTGATTGACTGGGAACAGCGGGGTTTTACCCCGAGTTCTGGGAATATATAGGCATGCTGTTGATCTATGGCCGCTTGAAGAGGCAATGATGAAGTTTCACACACTCGAGATAATGAAAGATTTCTCCCTGGAAGTTGTTTGGGGATATTCGTGGAACAGCTATCTACGTTGCAGAGGTAATGGTTGAATAAACATAGTATGTGATGTGGCGGAGTTAATGTAATTCACTGGCTAAGCCTCGTGCAGATATTTACTTCATAAGGAATCCAAATATCCCTCCTCACAAGCTATCATAGTAGGCACTGTGATGGTCAAGAATACGATGCGATTATTAAAAGAAGGCAGCCCTACATGACTTTACATCGAACAAGACACTTTCCTCAAGGTGCCTCCATTTTAAGCGTTGCGCGAAAGCCCCCCGGTTCTTTTCTCCGCAGCCCACGCGACACGACGCGTTGACATGCTCGCAACCGGTTCTCTTTATTTTTTTAGCCATCTACGAGCTCGATATCGATCGTAACACGGGGATTACATTGATCTAATCAAAATGCGCCGTCGCTCCTTGTTCTTGTCTGACTCCGAAGGAGAGTCTGAGCCCGAACAAGCGGCCCGAACAGTTCCCTCGGACGATGTCATAGAGACGACTCTACGCCGCATGGTCTTCGATGTTTGGAGTACAGGGAAATTTGAGGAACTAACGGTGCGCAGAATTCGAGGGAAAGCCGAGAAAGTCTTGGGTCTTGATGAGGGGTTTTTCAAAGGTGACGAGCGGTGGAAGGTTCAGAGTGATCAGATCATTAAGGATGAAGTGGTATATACATAGTACACCGTTTTTCTTTTTTAATTCCCGTGCAAAACAACGGCTAACGCGACTATCATCTACATAGGCTGTGCAAGAAGAAACTGCCCACGCCGAAGCAGACCGGGTTCAAAAGAAGCCTTCTCCAGTTCCAGAGAAAACACGACCCGCCAAACGGACAAAAGCCGAAGCGCCTTCTAAACCTAGAAAGCGTCCGAAGACGAGCTTTCCGGGGAGCGAGGAGTACGAAACGTCAGAATCGCCGGGCTACAAGAGTGAAGGAGCTACCGAGAAGGCAATGAGGAACAAACCCAAGTTGGCTCCAGAAAAAATGAAGAAGACAGTCTCGTCCGATTCCGAAGAAGTCTATAATGTGAAGGAGGAGGAGGAGGAAGAAGAAGAAGAAGAAGACGAAGAGACAAAACCATCCGTGAAAGCAGATGCATCAGAGAGTGAGATGTCGGTTGTGCTAGATGAGGCCCCAAATCCCAGTCGCAAACGCCAAACGAGCACCGAGACCTCACGAAAAGGGAGGAAAAAGAATATGGGGAAAGGAAAGGATGCAGACCTAGACCCTAACCAAGCAGAGATCAAACGCTTGCAAGGTTGGCTGGTCAAATGCGGAATCCGCAAAATGTGGTCGCGAGAGTTAGCTCCATACCTGACACCCAAAGAAAAAATAAGGCATCTAAAGGCCATGTTGAAAGATGCAGGAATGGAAGGTCGGCCTTCCTTGGAGAAGGCTAGACAGATCCGCGAAGAACGGGAGCTCAAGGAGGATCTCGAGATGGTTCAGGAGGGAGCTAAGCGATGGGGCACCGGGAGCGCAGATGAGGATAGTGATGGTAATAGGCCTCGCCGTCGAAGGGTGACCCGAGCACGCCAGAGTCTTGCATTCTTAGAGAATGAAGGAGAGGAAACTGAGTGATGCTGTAGGACATGAAAGGCGCAATTGCACTACCAAGGAATCAAGCGCTTCACATTCCGTCGCATTTGGCTGCCTTGACAACCTTGCGTATGGTAGTTATGGGCTCACGACTCCTGGCCCTGGGAGGCAATGACCTGGTGTACGATCCACAGTAATAATCATCCATCATTTGCCTGGGTTCCCCCCGCTCATTCGTTGTGCCACGAGGCTGAAGATCGCGACGGAGGAGAGGAAGAGGACTAGGTTATAGAACTACGATTGATGTTAGTATAGAAATGTACCAGAAATCCATCAATGTAATGGCTTACGGCCGTCCTGGAGTATTCATTCTCCTCAGCCACGGTGCGTGCCTCGACAAAAAGGCGGCGTAAATTGGGAAGATTTGCCTGGAGAATTTGCATCAGGGACAGTCCAGGAATTGTCCAAGTCAATGGAATTCTTACCATCTAGTTGAGCAGAGGAGGAGTGGGGGAACACGCGTGCTGAGAGAAGAGATGTGGCAGTGAGGTTCTCCGTGTTCGCCTCCGATGGGGACAACGTTAAGGTTCCCACGTTGACAGATTGTATCTATGCACCGATCAACGCCGCCTTCCCGACACCAACCTGCCTCGTTCGCTTCTATCTCGTACTCGGTACAGCAACACAAGGCGTGCGATCCTAAGCATGATCTAGACCTGTCGGAGCGGCCCTTTTTCTGCTAAATTACTCGCGCGACCCTCCTGAAGCTCGCCGATCACTAATTACCCGCAGTGGCTCACGGCACCACTGCAACTCGATTTACCACTTCTCCTGTTTCTGTGGAAGAGGGTCCCGGACATCGCTGAGACCTAATAACCATACTCATGGCAATGAATAGGATACGAGGCGCCTTTGCGGTGCCCAGGAAGGGAGAAACCTTTGAATTGCGAGCTGGTCTTGTGTATGGGTTCTCACGTTGTCAGAAAGATGGATAGAATGATATGCTGACTGTTTTACCAGTTCTCAATATGCCTATGAACGGTACGGTCGATAGATTTCTTTATATACTTGGTGCGAGGATACCTTCTGACGTTGGTGCAGGAAAGAAGCCATCCAGAAGACCATCATGGCCATGACCCTGGGGAAGGACGTCTCTGCTCTCTTCCCCGATGTCCTCAAAAACATTGCTACCAGCGATATAGAGCAGAAGAAACTTGTATATCTCTATCTAATGTGAGTTTCTTTTGTTCCTCCACGCCCATTCTGGCTGCGCTGATGAATTCGTTTGGTCTCTCTCTATAGGAATTATGCCAAATCCCACCCCGACCTTTGTATCCTTGCCGTTAATACCTTCGTACAAGACTCCGAAGACCCGAACCCCCTTATCAGAGCGCTCGCCATTCGGACTATGGGGTGTATTAGAGTGGATAAAATGGTTGACTACATGGAGGAGCCGCTCCGGAAGACGTTGAATGACGAGTCCCCGTACGTTCGCAAGACAGCTGCAATATGCGTAGCCAAGCTTTTCGATCTGGATTCCAACATGTGCCTCGAAAATGGTTTTCTGGAGAGACTACAGGAGATGATTGGGGATCCCAACCCGATGGTGGTCGCGAACTCGGTTACAGCACTGTCGGAGATCCACCATTCGGCCCCTGAGACCAATGCCCTTCAGGTGACACCCAACACATTGCGGAAGTTGCTGATGGCATTGAACGAGTGCACAGAATGGGGACGCGTTACTATCCTCTCAACGCTAGCGGAGTATAAGACCGCCGATGTTAAAGAGTCGGAGCACATTTGCGAACGGGTTGCACCGCAATTCCAGCACGTTAATGCCAGTGTGGTAGTCGCGGCTGTCAAAGTCGTCTTCTTGCACATGAAGAACATCGGGCCAGAGCTAGCTCAGACGTATCTGAGGAAGATGGCGCCACCTCTCGGTATGCTATCTATCGCTGTATGGCGCATTCCCGGACCTCTGCTAACATGAACCCTTGCAGTAACCTTGGTATCTTCAGCCCCAGAAGTGCAGTATGTGGCTTTGAGAAACATCGACCTACTGCTGCAGAAGCAGCCGGACATTTTGAATAAAGAGCTTCGAGTCTTCTTCTGCAAATACAACGATCCCCCTTACGTCAAATTCCAGAAACTTGAGATTATGGTGCGGATAGCAAGCGACCGGAACGTCGACCAGCTACTTGCGGAGCTGAGAGAATATGCGTTGGAAGTCGATATGGATTTTGTCCGTCGCGCTGTCAAGGCTATTGGCCAGGTTGCCATTAAAATTGAGAGCGCAAGCGAGAAGTGTGTCAATACCCTGCTGGATCTCATAGCTACCAAGGTGAACTATGTGGTGCAGGAAGCGATTGTGGTAATCAAGGATATTTTCCGAAAGTACCCTGGATATGAGGGCATCATTCCTACTCTCTGCAAGTGCATCGATGAACTGGATGAGCCGAATGCCAGGGCGTCCCTCATCTGGATTGTGGGCGAATATGCTGAGAAGATCAGCAACGCGGGAGATATTCTCTCCGGCTTTGTTGACGGTTTCAATGAGGAATTCAGCCAGGTCAGTTTGCTTATATCCTAGTCTCCAACCCACGAGTTAGAACTAACAGTATATTTGCAGACCCAGTTGCAAATCCTAACTGCAGTTGTCAAGCTCTTCTTGAAGCGGCCCGATAAGGCACAGGGACTTGTACAGAAGGTACTCCAAGCAGCCACCGCTGAGAATGACAACCCGGATGTGCGTGATCGGGCATACATTTACTGGCGATTGCTTTCGAACACGATCGATCCGAGTGCCACCAAAAAAGTTGTACTCTCAGAAAAGCCCCCAATTGTGACCACCATCCAATCATTGCCACCTCTGGTCCTCGAAAAGCTTCTTAGTGAACTATCAACTCTTGCTTCTGTGTACCACAAGCTTCCAGAGCAGTTCGTCGGCCAGGGTCGGTTCGGCGCTGACGCGGTTCAGCGGGCGGCTATTCAGTTCGTTTACCTTTTCTTTTTCTTTTTTTGTCCCTCCCTTCAACGAAATATCGTGCTAACTGTTTAATTCCAGGGAGCAAATTGACAACGCTCGCGAGAACCCACTCGCTGCGGCAGCCGCTGCGGCCGCAGTCACCGGTAATGAACCTCCCGCACAGGCCCAGAACAATATCGAAAACCTTTTGGACATCGATTTCGACGGTGCAGCTCCGGCATCTGCCCAGAAGGAACCGTCTGGCGGTTTGACAGGCCTCGAAGGTCTCGCAGGCACGCCCGTCCGGGTCGAGTCTCCCACCGTTGGTTCTCCTTCTCCAGCACCCGCCATAAGTAACAACCTTGATGACCTATTAGGAGTCTTTGGTGATGGGAGCGTCGCGCCCGCCCCAGCCAGTGGTGCGAATGGCACCAGTGCTGGCGCAGATCTACTAAATGGGCTCTCTGGATTGGACCTCTCCGGCAGTGGAACTGCCAACAACACGGCACCATCGGCGACTAATCAGAAGAAGACTAACGAGGACATACTATCACTTTTCTGATTGAGTGCTGTCTGTTGAAAATAGGGAAGTGGCATGCATGCATTGTCTTCATTGGTTGTGTTGGGGGGTGGAAGATGTCTTCACAGATGAGCATGTAATGAAATAGAAACTTTTCTTCTTCTTCTTCTTTCTTTTTGATTGACATGCATATATATGATATCTACTTCACCTCGCTGTCTTACCTATTTATACTGTAGTCAAGCGCTGTGCTGGTCTTCCCCTTCCCGTGTTCTGTTTGTCTGAGTTTCTTCGGCTCTTCTTCTTTATCTCTGCACTGAGATAGATGGCTTTGTAGAAAAATGTATATTTTTAGCAATTTAAACATAGGGTATGAAGAGATAGTGCGTGGTGTCATAATAATGCGATTCAAATCTCTCCAGCGCAGAACTACCTAACATCGGAAATCCCACGTCCTGTATCATCAGCCTCAAGCCTAGTCCTCGAATAGCGGGAGCATACGGAGTATACAGCGCATAAAGCGATCGCGTGAGTATAGCTTTCAGCTATCAATCAGGAGATTGGAGGCAGATGCAACAACAACAACAACAACGACAACTAAACTACTACTACTACTACTACTACTACTACTACTACTACTACTACTACTACTACTACTACTACTACTACTACTACTACTACTAGTACTCTATTTAACGATGTGACCGTTAGCAGGTGGCTATGGATACTTCTGCAGCCGTTTCATGAATATTTCTAATACGGACTCGCGGAGTTGAGTGTACGGAGCACTCCGTGATCGACGCCAAGCCTTTTCACCTGGGTTTTGGATTATTCAACACTGGAGTTGAATACCACAATTAGAATGTTATTCCGCGGTCCAGGCACTCCGCAGCTGCAGTGCGGCAGCCCACAGATCCAAAGCACCAACGGGAACTAGGCGGCTGGAGCAAGGAGACCGAAAATGAAAGGAATGCAAGTACCGATTCCTTTAGCTGTTTTTAAGGTTCTGACAAACACTCCGAATTGACTTTCCGTTCGATCCCTTTGCGATTCATACCGCATTTCATAGGGTTGCCGAGGATAATCAAAGGAAGAATGGAGGCAAATGCCCCTAGATGCAACGCGCCAGCATGCAATTCAGGAGGTGCAGAACACGCCACACACAAATCCATAGGAATGAACCTCTCACTTGCGGGAAATGTGGCGGATTCCGTAGGATCGTTCCAGAGCATATAGCCGCACTTGATGAATTTTTCTATTCTCCTTTCTCCCGTTGTGAGCCGAAAGGAACCCAACCAAAGATGTGGCACCATTCTTCAGGAGCCAAAGATAATGACCCACAACATGGCAAAACAGTGTGGATAAAAAACTTAACAAGCAGTGACGGAGTACCGAAGTCAGTCGTTTATCTCCGGTAAATTCGATGACATTAAACAGCAGTAGTGGACATCTAGCAGTTCAGGGCCAGAGTTCTCTTTTTATAAATAGCTCCACGTTTCCCGCTGAATCCCATTCTTCGATAAAATCCACTTTCAGAACACCCCCAGGACCAAAGGAAAGCCGGTGCATTCGCCTGTTCATCTCCTCGAACCTCCCCAATCGACATCGATCACCATGGCAGAAACCGACTACAAATTCGCAGGATGGCTGGGTCTCGACAAGGACTCTGTCGACGGTAAGATGGTCTGGAAGGAGTTCGAGCCAAAGCCATGGGAGGAGACGGACGTGGATATCAAGATCAGCCATTGCGGTATTTGCGGTTCAGATCTGCATACCCTCCGAAGTGGTTGGGTACGTCTATCATATAGCACTCTGTATATATCCAATATAACCCAGTGTCTAACCGTCTCAATAGGGCCCTACCCTTTATCCCTGCTGTGTTGGCCATGAGATCGTCGGTACTGTCGTGCGGGTGGGATCTGAAGTCAAGGATATCAAGCTTGGGGATCGAGTTGGCGTTGGCGCACAGAGCGACTCTTGCCAGGGCCGTCTAGGCGACTGCCCTGACTGTGCCATGGGAAATGAACAGTTCTGCAGCAACAAATTCGTGGGTACCTACAACGGCGTCTATCTCAACGGCGGCAAGTCCTATGGCGGTTACGCGCTGTACAACCGCACACCGGCTCACTTCGCCATCAAAATCCCTGACAACATCCCATCCGCCCAAGCCGCCCCGATGATGTGCGGTGGAGTTACCGTGTACAGCCCATTGAGGTACAATGGCTGCGGACCAGGCAAACGCGTAGCCATCGTCGGTATCGGTGGACTTGGACATTTCGGTCTCCTGTTCGCCAAGGCCATGGGAGCTGACAAGGTCGCTGCCATTTCTCGCAAATCTAACAAGGCGGAGGATGCACGCAAATTGGGTGCGGACATTTTCATCGCAACCGACGAGGAGCCCGATTGGGCGAAGAAATACGCCAACAGCTTCGACCTCATTGTCTCCACGATATCCTCATCCAAGGCGCCCATGGCTGATTATATCGGACTCCTCGCACCGCAAGGTGGCTTGGTCCAGGTTGGATTGCCCGATGACGGGAAGCTAGACGCCCCTGTCGGCCCACTCATCCGGAGGAAGAAGGTCGAGAGCTCCATTATTGGAAGCCCCGATGAGATTCGAGAGATGCTCAAGCTCGCCTCGGAGCAGAAGATCAAGCCATGGATCGAAGAACGTCCGATGGCTGATGCCAATGCTGCCATCATCGACATGGGAGCAGGAAAGCCCAGGTATCGGTACGTCCTGGTCAACGAGGAGAAAGCATGAACTGTGATTGTAGGGTAGACTGGTGTATATTTGATAGCGACAAATCGTACATAGAGGAGTTCAGAGATTCCACCATGAACTTGATACCTAGACGGTAGAGATGAAGTTGAATCGAAACTGTTTTTCTTGCAGCAGTCAGTCACATGGGCACCACGTGTGTCCGGACTAGTCCCAGTTCGGATTGCTCTCAAGTAATAAACACCTTGAGCTCGAAATGAACAACTCCTCGACAAGACCAGCAGGTAAGTCATCCCAGGGGTAGTCATGCATATCGCTCTAATTCATCTCAATGTAACCACAATCCAAGACATCGTTTGGGCAAAGACAAACGGCGACTCCAAGACTTTGACTAAGAAGGCTTCGCTCGCCAGTGCTAAGTGAAGCCTTCTTCACCCAACGATAGAGTGTCTCTCAGAAGCGAAGCTCTCCGTTCTCCTAAGAGAAAAGCTTCCTCTTTTCCTGAGCCTCGACAGCGAAAGTCTCCCCTGAACAGGTGCCGTTTCGGCGAGTCATTACTGGCAGGTCATTTTTACCGAGCGCTCATCGCTGCTCACAACAGATTCTTCAAAGATGAGCCATTGTAGCATAATGCCGACACCAAAATCTTTCTTGAACTTGGCTAAGTCGCGCTTGAAGCTGGTCAGATTGAGATAAGTCATACAGAGAAAGCTGAGTCCGTGGTCAACGCTTGTCGTATCAAGCTCGTCTGTGTGAGGACCTTTGCCGCCAAAAGATGCTATTTTTACACTCTGATGAACATAGCGCATGGTAGATTCCTCATCAATGGATGCTAGCCCGGAACAGTCAGCGAGAATGCTGTTCACGTCGTTAGGGAATTTCCCGCGGTCAAGGGACTTTTGATCAGGAGAAAGGCTCAGCAGTTCCACGTATTCCATGACAGTCAACAAACGGCTTTGACACTCCACAAAATTGGAGCACTTGTACTGCTTGGAGCGCTGCCTGCGTGCCATGGAGATGCCTAAGCTTTGTCGAAAATCTCAGATAAACCGCGCAGTAGATCATCCAGTGCTTTGAGAATATCGTAGTCGCTGCATTGTGTGCAGAGCTCTTCAATGAGAAGACGTCCCTAGAGAAACCTATTTCAACCGGTGTATCGGTAAATGGTTCTGCGCAGTGAAACAGATCTCTTGAGAAAAAGGACATGGCCGATCATCGATCGAAGATTGAAAAAAGAGCACCACACCTACATTCCCTTGGCACCCTCTTCTAGGGCTTTTGATATCGTCTTAAGAAGGCTTCGATCTCCTAGTTTCAGCTACTCCTCCCTCAAACAGTCATTCAGAACCGTAGCAATATAGTGCTGCATGTCTGGGTTGACTTTTGCCTCTGTCACTAGGAATTCATAGTCGAGACTAGTCCTTCCAAACAGCTGTCTCTCAAGCTCAGGGTGACTTGCACAGAGTATCTTGAGATTTTCCGTACGCTTTTCACGGAGCTGAGATATACGAAACACGAAACGACAGAATTGGCCGTGCATGGTGCATACAGGTAAGACACCACCTTGGACATGAGCACCGTCTTGCCAAAGCCCAGTACGCCTGAACACCAGGCGACAGCGTTTTGTGCTGTCTTTCCATTCGTGAAAGGTGGGTTCTTGTTGAAGCCACTCCGCTGTCCCAGGGGAGTGTTGTCGTAGGGCCCGCTTCCATGTCTGGCGATGGCCAGCAGGACACAAGTTATTTCGAATACGTTCTTCTCGACTTTCTGTATATCTCGCAGAGCATTGGCTCCAGCGTGACAGGACCAGAGGAATGCTAGATCGCTTCTAGCTAAACCTTTTTGTAGTCTGATGAATAGAATTTCCTAAATTTACCATACAACTGATGGGCGCGTAATGATAAAACAGTGGTGAGCAAGAACGATCAGGAAAGAGATGCATATACCTATGCAAAGCGACAAGATTTGGGATAAGAAAGAAACCATAACCATAGCGGCACTATGATACGTAATCAGTTGACGATGATCAATGCAGGCCCAAACTTGGTGTGATCAGAGACAGCATTAGCATCAGTCAGAGAATCCTGATCACCATGGGCCAGCACAGCAATCGTAAGGCCATTCATCTCATTCTGCGCATACGGGAAAGCAGCTTGAATGGTAACCGTATCACCCTCAACCTTTACGGCGTCGAAATCCTCCACAATCGGCACATTCTGCTGATTGATGTAGACCAGCTTGAGATTATCCTCTGAAATCCCCCGGGTTAAAACGAAACTGAACTGGAGGGAGGTTGTGTTCGAGTCCACAGAGCTCGTGAGGAGGGTGAGCGGCTCAAATGTCCTCGCAGGAATAGTGTCGATATTCGGACAGGATCCCGGAACGAAGAATGACTGATTGAGGGCGTTGAAGGCGAGATCTCTCGTCGCGGTCGTGAGGAAGGGAAGCTCGCTGGGAACCTTTCCTTGGAAGAAACGGTACCAGCCTTCCTGTTCGCCTTCCTGGCCGATGACGCTGGCGATACTGCGGGTTAGGGCTGTGTCGCCCATTTGGGCGAATACTTCCACGACATCTTGCAGAGTGCCGAGAACGACGGAAGTGAATGTATTTGCTAGCTTAATGGCGGAATCGAGATCGTTGACTGGGAACTTGTATTTGCAGGGTTGGATGGGAGCATGGCCGAAGTGTTGCAAGGCGCCATTAGCGTTGAGGGCGTGGAGTTCCTCTTGCTGTGGATTTCGTCAGTCTTCCTTGTATCTCTGAGACCCCAAGGATTTTAACTATGTTTCAAGACTTACAGCCTGCACGGCCGTCAAGGTCCTAATGATAAATTCTCGCTTATCTGCTTGTTCGACTTCATACCCGGTTACGTTGTTGGTGACATTGTATAGCAACTCAGTGAAAAAGGCCACTTCAAAAATTTCATTAAGTGCAATGATCTGCAGATTAAAGAGGCCTTCTCCGCTAATGTTGTCAGGTACCGGACCGTTGGGCAAGGTTCCTAGCGCCTGCTGTTGAATTTGGTCTGTCTCCTTGGAGTCAGGATTGGGGAATCCGTTGTCCAAAGGAAAGGGATTGAAACCCTGGGATGAAGCATCCCTACGGGCCTTTTCCGTGGCTATGGGACTAGCAGATGCGAGAGCAGTAGAGAGGCCGAGAAGGGCCGTAATATACTCTGTGGGATTCCTCATTTCAGGAGGTATGAGTATGAGTAGATGAAAGAAGGGAGTGGAGAGGCTGGGAATTAAAACAGACAACGATGACAAGAGTATCTGCAGAATACTGTAAACAAAGAATCCTTCAAACTTGAACGGGCATTATTATCCTTTATATATGTACTCCGTATCTGCAAGCCATCTCCGGCTAATCAAAGCACTGCCCCTGCACCAGCCTCTGATCTTTTTGCTTAGCAGCGCTGCATAAATTTGGAATGTGCTGCGATTGGATTGGAGAGCCCTGTATAGGCCTCCGACAAGCCCTTCGAAGATTTCTGATCATCCCCCCAGGCTTTCAGACGTCAGCTTATGCTCCTGCTGACAGCAAGCTTTCAGGAAGCTATATATATGCAAGTCCAGATCGACTTAATAATTGGCACTCTTCCGGCCTCAACACTGAGGCTGGGGTCTATGCCATCCAGTAACAGGAATCGTTTCAAGGGGCAATGCAACAAACAGCATAAATATCCTATAGGGCAGTGCAGGAAATTGGGGGGATCTGGACTGGGTTGGTTTGCCGCCGTCATGGCTTAAAATAGAAATAGTAGCCACAATCTAGGAAAGACAGGGCTGCCCACACTCCAGCGCAAATCCTTCGCGCAACCACGTGAGACATGTTAAGAGCAGGTTTGTAAGAGCGCGTTTGCGCTTATTTGTCATTACCCCTCACCTTAACCTGGCGTCACAGTGAACCTAGAACGGCCAATGAGCTCATTAAGAAAGAATAACATTAAGTTAGTTTCTCTTCTTTTTCATATTTACGGACGAAATGCAAGCAGACCAGACTTAAATAACTAGGTATATTATGGGAGCCATATGGGACGGACACACGAGCTTGATGATAAGTCTTTGGAGTATTGTCTAGCCGTGATAAATGGGACAAGGATATATAGATGCTTGGATATCCAAATATCTATGAAGCGAAACCACGTGCAAAGCCCTACAGGCTACAAGGGAGATTCGCGCAGGAGTGTGGGGAATGTGGAGACAGTGGAGAAATGGGGAAAACTGGGTAGCATGGGACCTTCTTCATATCAAGCTTCGAGTATAATGTCACATGGCAGAGGCAAGAGTAGCCATAGGAGTAAACTCCCACTTAACTGCTACAACACAGCCTCCTCCGCCTCATGCAAATCGCCCAAGTCACTGACATAGCCGGGAATATGCATCCATCTCAGCATCCCAGACGCATCAACAGCAAAAGCCCCCCCCATTTGCCACCGATTTCCACTCTCCACTGGCCGATTCCAGATTCCCTCTCCCAATCCCAAGGCAAAAATAGCATACATGGACCTTGGATCCATCATATGCATCGTCGATGTGAGCCCCAAACCCCATTTCGCATAGATCTCCCGGCCCTCATCGTTGATTACAGTCACAGATCGGCTAATATCGCTATATTGTAGCCGCCCACTCTCACGGACTGCCCGGAGCCATTTCCCGGTTGACTCCGGAGATGAATGGGAAATGACTATGCCGTTGATAGTGCCGTTGCGAATAGAGGGGAGGTTGCAGAGATCTAGGTAGGCTTTTTCTGCGACTGTCGAGGATTACGGAATAGGTTAGTTTCTCCGTACAGCAAGAGAGAGAAGATCTAACGCACAGGGACAGCCGCAGTGTCGGAGGAATACAATAATGGTCGGCCTCCCATCGCGCCCGGCTAAAGCTAGTTTCGAATCGGCGGGGGCGGGGGAACCGATGACGGGAGGATCAGCAACGTCAAGGACTCTGGGTATTTTGAAGGATGAAAGTTCCTGTTGGAAAGTCATTGTTTAGGATAGTATGTTGGTAAGGGCAGAGTAAGTGGCATTGACAACTGTTCAAACCATCCCTTGATGACTTCATTCTGCCGGCGGAGTTTTCCTTCAACGGACCACAGGTATAGGTAAACGCATCCTGCCCCCGAGTCGCAAACTCTTCGATGTTGTACTCGGGTACAAATTCTTTATCATGCTTAGAAACCAGAGACATGGCAAATCAGTGGATTTCCATGAGAGCCAGTTGCTTTCCTACACACATGTAGGCACCTGTATTCTTGCTATTAGGGGTTTGATCAAAACAGACCGGCCAACTGTAGCCTTAGATGGACCGGCCGGCGCGCTTCAAATTCAGCCGTGGATTTACAAGGCGCGCCATTCAAGGATCATTGGGCATATTGGATTCCTTCTCCCAAAAATCCTCATCAGGGAGTTCTTTACCATGCGACTGGCGATGTGAAGTATGGCTTTCAACATGAAATAAACCGCTGCATGGATTTGACCAAAACGTCATCCCGGCCCACGAAACCCGTCCCGTTGCAGTGAATTGACGCCAAATACCTAGACGAAATGGCCATGTTCAATGAATATGCCTAGAAAAAGGACAAAGACCCAACCTGTCCTTTCGAGCAGATTCTCCTCGGCGTCCCAGCTCCAGAGAAGAGTTCAAATGCGGTCGACGACTTGGTGGAATTCGTCCTCCAATTGTGGGCAGCAGGGGGTTAGACTGTTCGGTGTAACAATATGCATCTTTTCCCCTCTCAGACATGTGTCTTTGAACCTGTCGGTTCCAGGTTAGAGTAGAAGTATAGCCTAGCTAGGGAGATACATCTGTATCTTCTGCTGCAGCTACTCGCTCGCCCTGATGCAGCTCCATGATCATCGCAAGCAAACCCCTAAAAATTTGTGGGCTGAAGTCATTGTGAATTATTCATTCAGATCACAGTTGAAGGCTATTATATGTAGCATGGAAAAGCTTCTAGTCACTGCGATTAGTCCTTTGGAACAGGTTATAGAGAAAGGATTTGGGCCATTGTTGGTAAAGCAGGGCGATCATATAAAGATCCCGTCCAGCCAGGGACGACCATAAGCCTGTCAATTAGATTTTGATACTCAAGTCACAAATTCTATATCACTGCATGGAACAGTGTACATTCCAGTGTGGTCAGAGAAGATGGACGTTGCTATGGCGGTAATGGAGGAAAAACCCTATATGTCACGTGTTGAAAGTCTCTGCATTTAGGGCTTGGGCTTGGGGCTGCATCGCGTCGCATCGCCGCGCGTCACGCGTCTCTGCGGCATTAACGACACTGTCCGAACAACTCCATTGCGGTTGTCAAGAAAGGAACCCAGACACATTCCATATTTTCAAGATGCCCCATTCTGTATTATTGAGCGAGTCGCCAGCACCTGCCCGTGATGATGAGGTACTCCCAGATGCTCCCTTAGAGGAGCCTGCAAACGCTCCACAAGACGAGCCCGCGGACGTCGCACAAGGCAATGGGGCCGAGAGAACGACGTCCACAAAACTAGAAGACCTATTTGCCGATGATGATGATGATGACGAATTTCCATCAAGTGCCCCGAATACCAAACAGGCTTCTTCGCCTGCTCCAGAGCCGAAGTGAGTGGATTCCAATTCGATTTCAGGCTCAGATCTAACCGGTGCGGTGGGCAGCGTACCGATGTCTCAACAGTCCAAAGTAGACACAGATACAATGCTTGCATTTTACCAACGACTATTCCCATTTCGCTATCTCTTCCAGTGGCTGAATCACGGCATTGTCCCGTCTGTTGACTTTGGGAACCGGGAATTCGCTCTCACGCTACAGAATGATGCTTATCTCAGATACCAATCATACGCAACGGCAGATCTGTACGTGCGAGGACTTAAAAGACCATGTCATAAATTTCCCTACTGACTCGCAGAATCTATAAAAAAGATTCCGCAAAGATATCCTGAGAATTAACCCTTCCCGATTCGAAATCGGCCCCGTCTATAGCGCGAACCCCCGAGACAGGAAAACACTGCGAGGTGGACAGATGAAGCCAGTATCTAAGGAATTAGTCTTCGATATAGATTTGACTGATTACGACGATATCCGATCATGCTGTGAAAAAGCTAACATTTGTGCCAAATGCTGGTCGTTTGTTACAATGGCAATCAAGGTGATTGACACGGCGCTGCGAGATGATTTTGGCTTCGAACACATTCTATGGGTTTACTCGGGTCGTCGTGGTGCACACGCCTGGGTCTGTGATGCTCGAGCTCGCAATCTTCCGGACGACCGTCGAAGAGCCATCGCGGCTTATCTGGATATCGTGCGTGGGAATACAATGAGCGGGAAGCGGGTTAATATGAAGCGGCCATTGCATCCACACGTATCGCGCAGTCTCGAAATCTTGAAAACATACTTCCGCCAAACCACACTTGACGACCAGGACACTTTTCTTGACCCTAAACAAGTGGAAAGACTACTCTCCTTACTCCCAGATAAGCCACTGACAGATGCCTTGCGCAAAAAATGGGACTCAGCCCCGGGCCGCTCTAGCGCAAAAAAATGGAGCGACATCGACGCGCTTGCAAGAGCGGGAGAATCTAACACCCTCAGCAGCGCTGCCCTCGGAGAAGCGAAGCAGGATATTGTCCTTGAATACACATACCCCCGTCTCGACTCGGAGGTCAGCAAGAAGATGATACATTTGCTGAAAAGTCCCTTTGTCATTCATCCAGGTACTGGCCGTGTCTGTGTCCCCATTGACTCTAAGAGGCCGGAACAATTCGACCCCCTCTCAGTACCGACCGTAACTGAACTCTTGGCCGAAATCGACAAATGGGATGCGGAGCACTCTTCCGGCGCCGCTGGCGTTAATGGCGATGCTGATGCAGGTGCAGTAGAAGGAGAAGTCGGCTCAACAATCCCCGGTTCATCAGATGCTAGAGGGCCTCGTAGATTACAAGATTATGAGAAAACAAGCTTGAAGCCGTACATTGATTACTTCCGATCTTTTGTCGCTAACCTGCTCAAGGAGGAACGGTCTGGAAAGAGAGAAAGGAATGAAGAGTCCTCGAACGCGGGGGGTGTGGAGTCGATGGAGTTCTGATTTCTATCGCTGCTGCTTTATGTTCTTATATCTGTTACGCATAATGTATATATGAATGGAGACTTGGGCGTTTTCCTGGCGAGTTTTCCATGTGAAGTGCGGTTTTTGAGTTGATTCAATCCCATGACTTATTTCTATTTACGTGGATCATTGAATTGCACTGTAAATATAACCTCTTCAAATGTTTCTTGCGAAATTATTAGAAGCCTGCGTGGCTACCTAGTATAGACACTGGAGCAGGGATAGGAGTAGGTAGTATGCCAAAGCACGATGACCAGCCATAATTGATCCGGTATATGTGGGCACGGACCAAGATTAATTCATTTTCATTTATACTGTTACATGCAGAGGGTGATGGGACATGGCTGTTCAGCCTTATTGAGGGCAAAGAACAATAAGGAGGATAGTTGTGAACTAGTACTGGCATATAATTCGCCCGCAAAGGATATTACAAAGTGGGAAAGTAACGAGTTCAATTGGGTGACGGAGAAGAAGGGAATCCAGCATATTGATTTCCGCTGGAATTTTGTTGCGGTCTTTGGACCCCCAGAATATTGGGAGGAAAGCAAAATAGCTTAGATATTTTAAACCTTGATAAAGTCCTTGACGTCTGTAGACAATTATTGCACGTTAGCCATCCGTTGATGTCTCCACAGCATCTATGGTCATGTTACTTACTTGAGAGCCAGCGGACATATTCCTTCTGCTCCTTAACCTGAATGTAATCCGGGATCATATTGGCAAGCTCGGCATTGACGCCTCTCTCCTCGAGGTAGCGCTCGAGGAAGCTTTGCAGGTCCTCGTCCAGGTTCTCAAATGGAGGGCCGGCGTACAAGCTCTGTCTGGCCCAGTCCTTCTCCGCGGTAGCCGCATGGGCCAAGTCTGACTTGGGGAAGTACGCAACCTCCTCGATTTGGAACAAGCCATCCTGTGCAACAGTTTGAATCAAGAGAGCACCGTTTCCAGGCTTCTCCACGGTGACGTTGACACGTGCGGGGAAGCTGGGCTCGATATCGCGGTCCAGTTCATCCACGTCGCGGTCTGCCGGGGCCACCCGGTCCTCAGGGTGGCTAGAGGCAGAGGGGTTGCCGCCCCGGTTGACAGGCTGATGGCCGCCTTCCTGATAATTCAGCTCATCGGCAAGCGCCTGGTCATCGAATTCCTCCTCCTCAGTCAAGTTTTGAAGGTCGGCGATGGTGAAGGTGACGCGGATTCTATTTAAGGACGAAACCGTTAGAGTGGAAAAATAAACAGTTGTAGTTTTACTTACTCCTCATTCCCGAATTTCTTGATCAAGGAGACCTCTTGCTCTCCCGGGACATCCTTAACCTATACAAAGACGTTAGGAAGCGACCGGGATTTGTTTCCGCAGTGTCTTGCCACGTACCTCCCAAGAGTTGTTTTGCAGAACATACTGAACGTTCTGGACAGACTCCTCCAAATCCTGAAGACCGGAGTCCTTTTCGTGCTTCAACTCATCCTCGAGTTTAGCAATGAGCTCAGGATCGCCTAACAAACATGTAGATAGAACTCATTAGCAAGGAACTGTCATGAACGGAAGTACAAGATCGGTGACAATTTTTTGTTCTTCTGCGCTCTCTCCCTCCATTTCACCACCCAAAAAAGAGGATTTATTTTCCTACCCTCAGCAGCAGATTCCTTAAGGGGACGGGCGGTTGAAAATGCCGCATATGCAGGTCTTCCAATCTGCTTCCATGACGACTGGATGAAGCTGGGCTTGGTGACTGAAGACAGAGGTCGGAAGGCAGCGGGCCTAGAAACGGCGATGGACCGCGAGAAATTACGGGGCACAGAGCGTGCGATTGTGCGAAGAGACAGCATTGTGAACGATGGATGGTACGATGATTAGGAAAAGGAGGATGCAGGAGGACGTGGAGGGAAATCGAATGCAAAAAGTTGAGTTTGCGGGATCGATGATGTTACCGCTTGACGTCGGCGACGCCAAGACCATCAGGCGACGGACCCAACCGCAGCAAGCAACAAACTGCCAGCTTCAACAAATCTCTGTTCTATGGAACTATGTACTTCATCGAGAGCATGCAAAAGAAAGAAAGGCAAAATCCAGAAGAATACATCAAGCCGTGGACGCCATCCCCCTGAGAACCAGCACGAAAGCACTACTACAGTACAACGGAAACCTTTTCCCCTTGACCAAAAACAACAGAAAGAGAGCCTCGTGAATCATGAAAGTCCCTTAGGAGGAAAATTAGAAGGGTGCTTCGTACCATCAGTTGTCAACCGGATGAATTTGATCCTGCTGAGACTCGACCAGTCGCCATTCCACAGGGCCAGGTTCTTCAGCACCTCCTCCTGGGTCAAATCGGGTGCCCAAAACCCCGTCTTGAATTCCTTATTCTCCATATCCGTCCGCTGTGATAATGCTTCTTCCCTTTTGCTCGGAGGTCGACCTTTCCGTCGCTCTTGTCGTAGTTGCTCAATTTCCGGAACGCTTCTGTTGATAAATCTATTGAAATCGGACCGGATTAGCACAAGTTCTACTCTCAGAACATGACCAAGACACATACTTATTCACTATTTCCGCCAATTCACTATCTGTTAGTGAGCTTGATATGTCTTTCGTATTCTCCTGGAAGAAAGCAACGCGGTCCACTGCAGCGATGGTGTCAATTCGCGAACTCAAGCGATCGAGGGGAATGCCAGTACTGAACAGAGAAAAATATAACAGGTACAACTCACCATATGACTGCCTTGCTTTCGCTGTAACTGAAGCAACTCGGGCAAGTTTGTCATCCCTTGCACCTGCACGCCGCAATCTCCTCGCATCTCTGCTGTTCTCATGGAGGGCATCGACTACGCCTCGTTTCTTGGAGATTTGCTTGTGAACCTTTTGTAAACTTTTGGCCATTATGAATATCTCGTTTTCCCTTTCCTGGATCCACGAAAGAGCGTCAAGAAGGCCGACGGTAAACTCGATGCATCGCGATTCTTTTTCCTTTTTTTTTTTTCTGCGGCGGAGCATATTTCTGCCGGCAGAATATGAGGCGGTATATGTGAAATGGATACCGCCCAACCAACCAACTTGAGTCCTGAGGCATCACATCGCGTCTCGCGTCCAGAAGCTGCAGTCGGCAACAACTGCCCAGTGCCAACGTCCAATCTCGCCTTTCTTCAGCATTGTTCCTCCTACGTATCTTATTGAATATCTTCGACGGGCCTCCATTCTTTTGTCTGAATTACTCTCCTGCTGCCCTGATTACTGAACTCTGCTTGCAACGTTGGAATTGGACAACTGCATCTATGCTCCTTCCGCGAAACCAATAAACAAAACGGTGCTCGTTTTGTGTCTCGACAAGTGCCACAATGGGCATTAAAGGTAACAAGAATTGGCTCAATGCATACGGTAGTGGGCTTCGTTGATATGTAAGACAGGACTTCATGGGCTTCTCAAGTCCATCCAGAAGCCGTGTCACTTGAGGAAATTCAGCGGCGAGACACTCGGAGTTGATGCGTATGGATGGTTGCACCGTGGGACTGTTGCCTGCGCTGTGGACCTGGTCCTGGATAGACCGACCACCAAGTATTAATATCGTGTGCAGTTCCATGGTGCGAAACATGATTAGCTAACTTCTGCTGTAGGCACATCGATTTTGTACTCAACCGTGTGCGCATGCTTATCTTCTTCGGTGTTACACCGTATCTCGTATTTGATGGCGATAATCTCCCGAGCAAATCAGGAACTGAATCCGAAAGACAAAAGAAGCGCGAGGAAAGCAAGGCCCTTGGTTTGGAGCTGTATAAGAAGGGTCGAGTCGCCGAAGCCTACCAGGAGCTGCAAAAGGCAGTCGACGTGACCCCATATATGGCGCGCCAGCTGATCGAGGAGCTCAAGAAAATGAAGGTCGAATATGTCGTGGCTCCTTACGAAGCGGACGCGCAGTTGGTATTTTTGGAAAGACAAGGAATCATCAATGGCATAATATCTGAGGACTCGGACATGCTTGTATTCGGCGCACGGAGGCTTTTGTCCAAGCTGGACCAGCATGGCGACTGCATCGAGATCAACCGAGCTGATTTTGCGGCCTGTAAGGAAGTCAGCTTGGTCGGATGGACCGATGCCGACTTTAGACGCATGTGCATTCTGAGCGGGTGTGATTACTTACCCAACATATCAAAACTGGGGTTGAAGACAGCCTACCGCAGTATTCGGAAATACAAAAATGTGGATAAGGCTCTGCGCATGCTTCAACTGGAAGGGCAATATCGTGTCCCGGCGGATTATCTAGAAAACTTCAAGCAAGCAGAGCTCACCTTCCTCTACCAAAGGGTGTTTTGTCCAACTGCTGGGAAGCTGGTGACTCTTACTCCGCCCGAAACGGACGTTACACTGGAGAACCTTACATTTATTGGAGATGATATGGATCCAGATATCGCCACCGGGGTTGCTCGTGGAGACCTTGATCCGACCACGAAACAACCGATCTCGTTGAAGCCACCCATGACTGGAAAATGGGTTCCAAGCATAGGCAGGCGTCAGACATTCGGTTCATCGGCTGACCTGAAATCCAACAAGCCTATAAGTTCCTTCTTTACTCCTAAGCGAGTGCCTCTGGCAGAGCTCGATCCAAACAGCCTAACGCCTTCTCCAAGTCAGCAACGTCTCCTTGAACGCCACGCCAACAGTTCATGGGAGGCCAGCCCTGTGTCGGCCCAACCCAACGTGATTAGATCAGCACCAGCTGATAGGGTGTCAAGTCCGCTACTTGGTGGTTTGGAACGGAATTCTTCGGCTCAAGCCACTAGAGCCTCTTCGACTTTCTCATCAGTCAAGCGACCGAGATTGTGTTCCGAGACAGAGGAGGAGTCCTTGCCAACTAGACCAAACTGTCGAAGCCGGTTCTTCACTCCCACGTCTCAAGGGTCCAGTCCAAGTGGAGAAAAGCTCGCAAGGAGCAAGAAGCAACGCAAATCCACGTTGGGGGTTTTCTCTGACGAGGCCGCTGAAGAAATCATGTCACAGCTTCCGGATCCCAGTGGAAGGCTTGAAAATCCGCAAGACGGACCCAGAGTGGGCCATGAGGCTGATGCAGAACCACATATCAAAGACTGTAAGCCGCCAAGTCCCTCGGATTTGACTGTGAGACCGGAGGCCCAGGAGGTTCACAAAGAGGAGGTAAGACAGAAGGACGTTCCGCGACTTGCGGATATTGACACCGATCCAAAGGTATTTCCCCAAGTATTAGACTGTCGCGTTGAAAGACAGAGTTCTACGTTGCTCTCAAAATTTGCGTTTCTACCGAAAGGAGCATCTTCCGGACAAAGAAGCGGCCTTGACCAAAAGAAACCTCAATTGGAAAACACGACACACGCTAGGACAGTTAGACCATCTCCAGGTATACTTATTCGGCCTCGAGGGAGCTCGCCAAAGCGTCAACGTTTGACCCCTCTGCAACGATTGGGCCAAAGTGCATTATCGCGGTCGCGGTCTATGTGCCTTCCTACCACGGATACATTTGGAAGTTCATCGAGCCATGACATCACAGGAGGAATGAGTCTACGCTCTGATATAATGAACACAGTTGCTCATCAGGGCAGCGAGGATTTGCTAATCCCGAATAGTGACGAGGATGATCCGGATCACCAGAGCAGCGACGAGAAGCGAGAGCCTGTGAGGCTGGACCTCAAGAAGTTTTCTTTTGCTGCATGATAGAGCACTTCTGGATATTATACCTAGATGTATTTATTAGTTATTCTCATTTCAGGACACCACGGTGTTGGGAACTTGTTTGGGTGGGTGCCGGTTTGGTTTCTTCTCGCCAGGTTTGCTTTATAAGACGGTTATTGGCGTTTCTTTCAGGGATTGGACGGTGTTTTGCGGAGCGAGATGCCATCGGCATTGGTATATGTTATTGGTACATGTTGTATTGGTGTATACTGCAGCATTTAATATATAGGACGTTGCATTTGAATGAGGACAGATGACAAGGACAACCCTGCTGATGGAGCCCTAACGCGGCCCAAGTAGGCCTAGCCCTGGTGCTCTGGGGCCAGTGACATCATGTGCGCGGGAAGGGTGGGGCTAGCCCCATCAAGACTAGTGCAGCGGCGGATAGAGCAGGCGGTGAGCGTGCGGTTGCCGGGGAACGTGGGCCGCGGTAAACAAAGCGGGCGTTGGCCCAGCCTCCTCGAATATCTATAGGATTTGCATCCGACCAGCCACCAGGACGCTGGCATCCAGGAACCGAAAGGCGACCATCAATTGAAAAGACGCACAGTCTAATCCATTCCTTTACTCTCAATCAGCCCACATAGGCTGCGGTGTGACTATCGTGACCACGTTTCACTCAGTTCAGCTGAGCGAGATCGATTCCTCCCCTGCCCTTCTCTTTTTCTCCCCTCCTGTCTCTCTTTATCCACTATCCTATCGCAATCCTTTCACCGCAGGATTCAGTTGCCGGCATTTGAACCAGTGTCAAGTCTCTAACCGGAGCGTTTGCTATTGCCTAGGTCGTCGAGCGTTACCAGCGTCGAGTCCTATCTGTCTGTTCGAGCGTGATAGCGCCAGTCGGTCACCACCTCTCCGTACCGGCAGCAATTCACTGTGCAACGAATCATTCAACGTCCGCCTTAAATTGAATTGCCGTTCCATTGACATATTCCGCGACGGAAAAACTGTGTGACCTTGGTGCGCCGTGCTGAGAGACATAACTCTGTTCTCTGGTCTCTCCTTCTCGGGGAACCCGAGAAGCGAGTGGAACTAGTTTCCTTTGTTCTGGGAGAAAGAGACGGAACTGGGCGGCACCAGGGTTTTTCAAGATGTTCCGTACATGTTACAATGGGTTTCGCCGTATGTGGTTCTCTTTTTCGAGCAGCTTGCAGATGCTTGCCTGAACTAAATGAAAGATGTATGCTAACTCTTGTTTGATTGAACCTTACAGGGATTATTCCGCTAATTGGGTATCATCATGTCCTGATGCTACTTATTGCTCTTGCAATTATTCTGCTCTGTACGTTCCCCCCCTACGTCTTGCCTGTTGCATGAAGCGAAGCTAATACAGAACATCTTACGGAGTAAACAGCTTTATTACTAGCCGGATGCTCATCATCGTCACCTGATATACCAAGCATATTTCTCATATCTATGTATTATACGAAATACAGTCCCGTTTTCAGCACAGCACAAGTCGACCCCGGCGTTGTCACAGCGACAGCGAACATTGTGGGCGGAGCACAGATGGAAGTCAGAGTGGGATACTTTGGAATCTGCATCCAGCCCGACGGGGGCTCATATATCTGCAACGCAAATGCTACGGCATTAGCAGAGACGGTCACAGTGGACCAAGATCCTCTCAACTTGATATGGGTTGCATCGACATTCAAGGATGCAGTTGTCTTCCCCTACCTACTGTTAGTTCCACAATCTTGATATCCATTGGTTTCCCCCGGTGTGGACAATTGAACATTGTGCTAACATGAAATGAAATAAAAAGGATCATAGCTGTCATTTTGGCCTTCTTCTGTTTTATCCTCCTCGCCACCTTCCCCGGCTGGCACGAAGAAGTGGATGCTTCCGGTTCCGAGCGAGACGTCAAGCCATTCCCTTCCCGACCCGTCTCTCAGGCTGCCTTGGCACTTATTTTCATCGCCGCTGTTTTCGTTCTTGTCTCCGTGCTATGGCAACATACCGCCTCGGTGGCTGCGAGCACAATAGCAAAAGATATGGGCAACGGGAGCGTCAAAAGTGGCGTCGGGACCTCAGCCATGGTGCTGGGATGGTTCGGTTTCGCATTGCTTGTTATCGTCACCGTCGGTCTACTAGTGATGATCTTGAGCATCAGACTGATAAGACAGTTAACGGATGAAGAAGAGTGATATGGGAAATCATGAAGTGAATTGATTGATAATGGCAATACGTTGATAACTACCTAGTGATACCATTTAGGACAGGGGTCCATTGCGGTGTTTCTGTTTTTGTTTTCTCATATTCCCCTTTTTTCTTGTGTGTCCCCCTTTTTGTTATTTCCCTTGGCTTTCTGCTGGGCAGGCACTTATGTGACGATTAAAATATACTTGGGACCGAAGGGTAAACTTGGATGGATGGATGGAAAGGACATGAGTTCATGGGTCGGTATGATAGTAATGTTGATATTGATGTATATGACCTGGTTATGAATAATTCGGATGTTGTCTGGCTGTGGCTGTATAGTATAATATTTCATTACTTCTGAGTACAAGTCGAGCTCACTTGATGAATGATGGTTTAGTTGTCCAGCAGGTAGGGAATGGTCCGTCGGCGATGAGCAGCTCCGAATACATTGAATTGCAATCGCTGTTGGGCCACCAGAGCCCAGTGCATATAGTTGCCCTCTCGCGGTTCATAGAGCGCAACTAATATCCCAAGTCTAGATAAAGCGAAAGCGTTAGCAAGTTGCTTGTTAGAAAGTCCTCGAGAAGTTTCGTTGGGATCCGAAGTGGCGGAATCAAAAGCAAAGTGTATTCGGTGATATCATCTATATTGATCATGAATTTTAGAGTGATGTTTAGGCCACATTTGAGGAGTAGCTTAACACCCACTTATTGGGGTTCTCACATCAGCTGTCCCTCATGGGCAATTTGCCCTAAGTTATTTGCAAGTGAAGGGCTATATTTATCACACCCTAGGAGCTCCTTCGCAGATTCTGATAATAGGAATAATATAATCAGCAACATATTCCAATCTAATTAACTTCAGACATTATTATCAGGAAATGGTGATGATTGTTTGTTAGTAATATATTTGACTTTTGGAGCTGGGCAGCTGAGTTTAGAATCTGGCCAGACAACTAGAGTACCATGAAGGGATCACAGATGTAAAGTCAACTTCAGGATCCGCTGCCAATGCCTTTTCCAGATTTCCCATAACCGATTTGTTGAATCTGGCCGCTTCAGATTGTTGGGAATGGGAATCCATGGTTGCTAGGAGCGGGAGACGTGGGCTAATCTCACGGCTCAAGTCTTGCAGGTTTCACTCTCACATGTGCTTCTCAGAAAACACAGATCTTTGGACTAGTTGCTTCTTTTCCATTTCTTTTACCCTGGCACCGCGCTGCCCGTCATTCGTTGACGGCTACCTTTCATGTCAAGCCTCGGGACGGGCCTTAGGGCGACACCTGTCACGTGTCAAGTCACGCTTAGATAGAGTAGTAGTAATACAGTAAAACCTCGCTATAACAGACCAATTTCTATAGTATGTAGATGTGACCCGACATAGACACGATCATCCACCATGCACTTACGCTTCTGACGTCGTCTCTTCTTTCCACGACAATGATGATGTGCATATATGGTGTATGCAGCCATTATCAATGCCAAATCAGAACTAGGGCCATCCTGTCATGATTGCTAGAACATTCATCCATCGCAAACCTGGGAATCCCATTAAAAAAGAATCTTGCTGCAAGTAGCAATAGACTGCTGATATTGGTATTGCGCCAAACACCAAGCTCGAAAACGCCATGCTAGGCTTAGAATGCCTGTAAATGAAATAAAAGCGGAGCTTTGGAAGGTAAAAGCCGATTGAAGTAACGGTTTCACATATGCCTGCAACTTGTACGGAGTAAAGATAGAGAAACAGTCACCACAAATGCTGGGACGAAGATGAATACTCAATAATTCATCACAGGTGCAACATTGTGCGGTCCATTTTTCTCTTCATATCCACCGTCATATCCGCCATAGTCGTCCAGTGATCTGTAATTAGGAGGGGCAGGCTCACGCCCGCGGCCTCTGCCACGTCCACCGCCACTGCGGCCAAAGTGACCTCGCCCCCTCCCACGACCACGGCCACCGCGACCCGATCCTCCGCGCCGAGGGGCATCATCATTAGCATAACGGCCATCTCCGCCATGTCGATTATGGTAAACGTTCGACCTTGGAGGCTCAGGGCCATCTTGGCTGTATTGTGGATACAGAATATCCTCATCACGTTCTTGTCGATGGCGCCTCTTGTTGCTCTTGTTCATAAACTGACTTTCCCATTCGCCTTCGTGGGGATTGTCTTCTTCAACTCGCAGAACAACCTTTTCCCCGACGACTGTTTCAAAGCTCAGTGCTTTGTCAGCAGGAACTGGGTGCCAGTTTCTGATTTTTGCTGCGTCAATAGGACGAGCCCCTTTGCGCACTGCCAATACTACAAAAGGTTCTGGGTTCTCCGTATGATACTTTTCTGAGGGAGGGACGGGTTCCAGACGTGCAGCCCAAACCCGGTTCTCAAACACTGCAGTCCCAGTAACCTGCCAGGTTAGCCTCGCACCCATTCCGCCTACCTTGTCCAGGAGGGACTTAGATGCTGGACGTGGGGTAATCAGTATGCTATTAGCCATGTATTTCAAGTCGTTGGAATCAGCAAGTCCATGGGGTAACATTGGATTCAGCAACTTGTTGACCAGACGAGCAGAATCCGCGTTGGATATAAGATACCCTGTGTAAAAGACAGTACGTTTGATACGAAGTCGACCATACGGTGACTTCATCACGTTGAGATCAGGGTGCCTGAAAGACGTATTATGAGAGTTGATCATACGCTGAACTTCAGCCGCTTCTGTTACAGGAGGAAGGAAGGTGCACTCGTCTGCTACCTGAATCACTTCCGCGTTGATGGGCTTCCTCACGCTAGATTGCGGAGTTTGGAATCTCCTATTCATCTGCTCAAAGAACTCCCTGAAAGATTTCACACTGGGGAAGTCCTTGTTAGGAGAAGATGGCAAAGGACTTGGGAAACAACGTTTAGACTCACTGCTTCACGCGGTCCTCGTAGACTCGGATTTCATCAGCCTGCGTATAGGTAAGAACAAGATCTTCGAGGAAAGTCTTCTTAAATTCCATAGTCGATGGGAACTGTTCGCCGTTGGGGCCGACTTCAGGCTTGAGGCAGATTAAATCGAACGCCAGCTTCTTGCTATCCACCATACGCTTGATGATGCCCGCGAAGCCACCTTCGCTTCGACCAGTCAGAAGCACCGTAACAGCATCTTTCTGCTGCATGCTCAGAGTGACCAATTTCACCTTTTGGACAGAATCAGCCTAACTGTTCCAGCCGGGATTAAAAAAGCACAACGCGCAGAGTGATATCACACAATGTCTTCATTCCACCAACCATCCCAGGCCCGCGATTGTTCAATCTCCATCCCCTCCCCAGTGGCTGCAAGTAAGTTAGGATCATGCCACCATCCCCCTGTTGAGAAGCTCTCGTATGCTTGCAGGAATCCGATAGTAGGACCATTCCATAGTTGAGGGTTCGGCAAAGGGCTCAGGAACACTGAAAGACAGTTTAATTTCGAGGGACTGGCTCAAAATATAACGAGGGCGATTTTTCCTTACACGTATTATCGAAGTCATACACGTGAATGGCTCTTACCTGCGAGGCCGCTAACAGATGAAGGGTTAGCATAGCAAACAACAAGTAGATGTCAAGCAAAGTGAGTCAAGCCGTGCAAACAAATTGTCTTGGCTCACCTGGTATCTCCTTGTTGGCAACAGACCAGCGCCTCAGACCTGTAATGGTGTGAGAGATTGGCCGCTCATGGCGATAGTCACCAGCATGGAAGGACCCGTTGGCGAAGCCGGGGGCCATGGCAGTGGCAGGATCGAGGGGGGAGTAGAAGTTTTCTGACACTGCAGCTTTTGCAGACTTCATACTATGCAGACTGTTAATTTGGCACAGACTATTGTGAACCTCCAGTGAAGTAGAGATGCCGTGCAGATGCAGGATAGCCCGTGCTAGGAGATTTACTGACGAGGAAGATGAAATTGCTCGTTTCCGCTGCAGGGAAAAAAAACGTGACCTTCCGCTCCGCTCGCTAATTACCCTTTCCGGACAGCAGCTTCGCTCCTCCATGGAACTTTTCAAACACCCTCCACCCTGCAGAACCCGTGCTGTCTTATGGCCGATGATGCTGAGCTTCAGCAGGAGATTCTCACCAAGACTCTCCGTGAGATAGCACATGAGGAACAGAATAGTGATGTCAATCCCTGCGTGATCTGCCTAGAGACTGTCACAGATCCAGCCATTACGGTGCCCTGCGGTCATGCGAATTTCGACTTTATTTGTCTTGTGAGTTGGCTGGAAAACCGTCCATGCTGTCCTCTCTGTATGGGATACTCTAGCGTTCGTGATATTCAGCTACTCTTTTTTATGCTAACTATCTCCGTGGCGCAGGTAAGAGTGATGTTACCGCGGTGAAATACAGCCCCGAGGATCCAGATGGACCTAAGATATACAAACTTCCACCCCCGGCTACCAAAGAGCCAGTCTATACAGGAGGACCTGCCTCACGGTCTCAGATCCCTGGGGGTCCTCGTTTCCGCAGACGCCCTCAACGCCCACGTCCACAACACTCAGAACCGGATAGCGCGCTCCAAAGACGACGTCATATCTATCGCAACCAGCTATATTCTCTACGAGTTGGTTCGAATCGCCTGTCCAGATACCGCGAACTGACTCCAGAGCATTTCAATCGCGATGACGAGCTTGTGTCTCGCGCACGCAAATGGATCCGGCGCGAACTCCGCGTCTTCACCTTTTTGAATCCTGAAGAACGTTCATCGCCACCTCCACAAGGAATGAGTAGGGTGAATGGCCCTGGACAGTCGAGACTAGAGAATCGCAGGGCAAATAGTGCCGAGTTTCTGCTAGAGTATATCATCGCTATTCTCCGCACGGTTGATATCAAGGGTAGCGCAGGCCAGGCGGAGGAGCTTCTTCGGGATTTTCTAGGGAGAGAGAATGCGCGTCTGTTTCTGCATGAGTTGCAGGCATGGTTGAGGAGTCCGTATACATCACTGGAAGATTGGGACCGGAATGTGCAGTATGAAGACACGGTGAGAAGTAGGGACGCTACAACCAATGAAGCTTCAGCCTCGGATCGCACAGCGACGCCTGTTCTCAGGCATCCCCGCCTCCATAGAGGGAGAGTGTGGAAGCCATATTCTCCTAGACGGCAGGACCGGTCGAGATCTCGGGATTCCCGAACACGGGATCGAAGGGTTCAGTATGCTAGGGACAGATACATTCCCGATTAGTGGGAATATTGCCAATGTTCCGGAACTTCGATATAGATGTAAACCATTATTATGACGTTATGAGAGATAGAGCTGATGTTCATTCACTGCGAATTAATATCAGCATTTACCAGAGACAGTTTGAACTGCTAGCAAGATAAACAGTACTGCCGTTCATCTGCGTCTGAAGCGCCCAAACCCCCGTCCCTTGTGAGACCTATTCCGAATCTTTAGTGATCGATAATTTGCATGCGCTTCAGGATTGATCTTCCGTGCACGAGGTTTCTTGACCTCATCCTCCTGTTTAGACTGTGACTTTCTCGCCTTTTCTTTGGTATTAGGACCAGTCTTAGACTCGATATCCCCGACGGACGAAATCGCTTCTTGCATCTTCTCAGAGAAACTTTTCGGCCTCCAATTTTTGGTATCAACTTCGGGTTCATCCACATAGTCTTGATCCAAGTCTGAGTCATCAGGTTCAGGTTCGGATTCAGATACAGGTTCTGATATGATGTTAAGCGACGTAGTATCGGCATCTACCTCCTCATTTGGCTGCGAGTTTGCTTTCATGGCAGCCTTTCTGGGAGCATTAGGACGTTGGGTATCAGGTATCGGGGCAGGCTCATTATCACTTTCAGGACCACCATCAAAATCACTGTTGGGATCATTCCACACTGGCGTTTTAGGTTTCGACAGGACAGGCCTCATAATCACCCTTCTTGTTGTCCGTTTTTGTCCCTTCTTCTTCCACGGTCTCTCGGGGGCCTGGCTATCGGTCACTTGGACATTTTCTGCTTCTTCCTGCTGCTGCTGTTTTTGTTCTGCTTCGATCTCCTTCATCACATTCCATTCCTCCTCCATGTGCTCTTCCTCCATTTCGCGTAGTCCCTGAACCAGCGCGGAAAGTCCCTTGCCCACGAAGGACGGCGGTTTTCGGACTGCAGTTGGGCTGAGGCCTAGACCATGTGAAGAAAGATTTGACGAAGTAGCTTTATAACGGCGGAGGAAATGGGGCGTTTCATTCGATGATTCAACAGCCGTCTCTGTTCCGGTAGAGTTTTCTTTGGCATTACAGTTGTTGCTATCACGAGTTTTATTAAGGCTGGGAGTATTGTTATCCTCAACCATCGCAGCGTAACGTAGTGTTGTCGGTGTCGCGAACAATTTTGCAAGAGAAAATGCTGCGGGTGACCGTTCATCCTTGGAATCATCGTCATCGTCTTCTTCCTCTTCCTCTTGGATAGTATCCATATGCCTCTTTCTCCTTGACGGTGTCTGTGCAACAGCGCCCCGATGCTCAGCCAATTTCTCCGCCATTGGCGTTGCTGTGCTACCTCCTGACTCCGAGAGAAGATCGAATAGCCCTAGCGCTTTTCCATCTCGTTGGGGTGTTGGACCAATCGCTGCTTTAAGTGGTAAGGGAGACGGATCTTGCCGATGCGTACTTGGACTGAAAAGCCTTCGTAGAACTGATGGGGAATCGTAAGGGTCGAGTTGAGAGGGATGTACATTTGGGACCCGCGAGTGCCTCGAAGGAGTTGCGAAGATGTCTTTCGTTGCCTTGCGTGGTGTGGAGGTGATGTGCGCATTTCCCGGTTCGGAGTGAGAGGTCCGTCTTCGCTTCTTCGATCGCTCTTCCAGTTTCAGGGGCTCCATTGATTTGACATTATCGTTGTTACTCGTCTGGTTCGAAGATGACTCGAGAGATTTCAATCTATTGTATTCTTTGTATTTCGCGGCTGGGTAAAAGGCGTCAGTCAGTATGGACACTGTGCTGTGCAACTTGACGGCGCGAGACTGGAGAGGCAAGGAGGATGCGCGAGCAATACCTATCACAGAATCCTTTTTTATGTCTTCTCGTCCGGCTTTCTTCCCGGCATTCGCTGCCGCGAATGCCCGTTCCCATTCCTTTAGTTCTGCGCGTAGAGCGGCTGACTTTGATGCCACGCCGATGTGTGCCATTCTTGAGCGATTCTTGTTTAGTAGTATACTGAGGTCATCTCAAACTGAATGGTTGCAATAGTAAAAGGAATTAGAGACGAATTATATATGCTTTCCTTGGTGGCTTTTGACAGCAAGAAGGTGGGATGACTTGTCTGGACCGATCCCTACGACGCGTGCGCGAAATTCATTTAAACGCGTGACGTAGGCCCATACGCTGATAAATTCCGCGATACGAAGTACTCTGTACGAAGCAAAATGCATTGGATTTCTCACCCCTCCAATGCCATGCTACCGTCCTTACGCCTGCTGGGTATAATTGAAAGCACAAGAAAAAAGTATCCAAGATCACCAACTCGTCAACCCACGCGCTCTATCAAACCCACCCCTCAACTGCGACTCAGGATGCACCACTTTACCCTGCAGTAGCGTGTATTTCACGATCCCTTCACAGTGCTCTGGCCTGACTCTAGCCAGCCAGATCATCTGCTGCTCTTTCTTCCGGTAAACCAGGACATTCGCAGCAAACTTGTGTCCTCCTACATGCGAGACGAAATGGATGCCAACCCCACCCGGACGCATGTCGTCTGCGTCGCGATACAGCCCAAGTGGCCGCAATTGTCTTTCCAATTCCTTTTTGAGCAAAGGAGCTGTTAAGCCGCACCGGGCATCTCTCCGCTTGTGGGAGCAGAGAAGAATCACATAGTCGTGGGGACATGGTCGAGATGTTAATTGAGATGTTGAATCGCCGTTGGCCGCTGTTTGATCTTGTGGAGCGGTGACGAAACGATCAATCACCTCACTGGCATTGTTGGGGGTTACTGAATCCACGTAGGTAAACGATGGTAAGATCAGGACGGTTGTGGCATCTGTGGGATTATTATTGATTTCATCTAGTTCTTGCTCGTGCGGTTTCAGATCCGAGGCTAATACCGTGATCTTCTATCGCCGGGAAAGAAAATATCAGTAGGGAAACCCTGGAGAAGCCAGGTCTGGCAGAAGGATGAAGGAACATACGCCATGGTTTAGTTTGGTAGGCACCGAGCTAAGCACCTCCGGTAGACTACCCTTCTCATTTGTGGGCTTTTGTATCCAGTCTGATTTGCCCGTGGCAACTAGGATGTGCATATTGAATGGTTTGAGATGTCCGTATAATGGAGTTGATGTTTCGATCTTAAGCTTCGAGGGGTAGTTCACCGTGCAGTCGGCACAGTCCCTCTTACAGTCCGGTCCATCATCTTTGGGGTCGACCGTGGGGAAGATGTAGCTATTGCCGTTGCCATTGCCACCCTTGGCGAAGGACAGGAGCGAACGCAGCATGGTTGTTTTGAGTTTATAGCTGGGCAGATAATATACTATACTGGAGGTCAGCGGATTCCCAACGGCCCTGTTGGGCACACTAAGTAGTAAGCACACTTTTTGCAGTCCAGTCAGATTCCACAAGAACAGTTCAGCAGCGAAAACAAACCAGCCGTGTTCGAACAGCAGGTATAGATACTACAAGAAAAGAAATTTACCGAGAGCTTGCTGGGGTTCCTGTTCCTAAATACTCTACATTCATTCCTAGAACGGCAATGCAGCGAATATATCCGGGATATCGCCGAGCTCAATCTCCGAGATCTGACCACGCACGTGCTCGGACATGGGTACCTGTTTGGGGAAGCTCCCCCGCAAGCCGATTTATTCCGAATGATCCGATACGGCAGAGGCTCTGCACCTCTGCAGAGGCTTTGCAGAGGCAGTGAAGCTCTTCTGCCTGCGAACAGCGGACGGTCATATCTGTTCGAACACGGCTGACACGCCTTCTTTTTGACTCTGTTCACTATGGCAGATGTCCACCAGCTAGTCCCAGAACAGCGCGTGCGGAAGAGACGCCGGCGTACTGTGGCCTGTACGCAATGCCGTAGTCGGAAGCTCCGCTGCGACCGAGAGTATCCCGCGTGTGGACGCTGTGTCAAGAGCAGGACTCCAGACAAATGCACCTACGAAGACGGCATTCTATGGCAGCAACCAAGCACGGTTTCGTCGACGGCTTTCAATCCCGATCGACACGATAATAATAACAGCAGCCGTGATAATAATAATAACGTTATCCCGAAGCTACTTCCCCGAGTGGTTGATGCGAGTCCCAGCCCGGATTCGGGGTTAAGGCCCCTGTTAACGTCCGCGGACGCGCGCCCGCCGCTCGACCTCGCCCACGCCCAGGAAGCGGACAACGCTCAACAGCACCAGGCATTTCGGTCCGTGCCGCTGGAGAAGAAAGACCACTTCCTCGAGACCGTCCTGGGTGCCCCGAAAACCGATGAGCCCTTTGTCCCCGCCGAAGTCGTTCAACGCTCCCAGTATCCCGAGCGTTCGCGCGGCACTCAGTCGTATCTCGTCGATTACGATGATGATGGCAGGTTTGCCTCTCCATCTCAGCAGCTGGACATCCTGCCCCGGATCATGATGAGGGGCAAGGAAACCCGGACGCGTTTCAACGGTGCGGGCATTCTTGCGAATTTGGTGGCCCAGGTAAAATTACCCCTACTCTGGCATCGCCATGTCGTACCTAACAGGAAGTCGCCCATGTGTATAGTTCTCCGACCTTCGACAATTTGCCGAAGAGCTGAAAGTATCTTACCCCAACTTCGCACAGCTGCGTCCCGAGTTTGATAAGCTCAAGAGGGGTCTTTACAAGAACAACTTGGGGGAACATATCCATGAGCCGGACACGATGACCTTGATCGAAATACTGCCTTCTCGGCGTGTCGTGGACGAGTTGGTTCGTTTGTACATGACCTACGTAGAGTCTGTCCACCGCATTCTCCATGTCCCCTCCTTTCTCCGCGAGCTTGAGCATTTCTGGGAACGCAGGGAGAATCCCAACATGGTCTCCCCTGCTTTCGTTGTGCAGTTACTCCTGGTCCTGGCCTGCGCGTGGAATCTAGCCGATCCCGATCTCCTTCAGTACAAGAACGAGGGCAGACTGAAGTGCTTCACTGCAGTGAAGTGGATTGTGATGGCAGAGAAATGGATCCAGAATGCTCACATCAAACGGCCAGAGATCACCGGTTTCCGGATCTACTGCCTACTGATCATTGCACAGAACAGCCAAGGCATGAAGCGCAGTAAGGCATGGCTGGCAACCGGGACACTGGTCAAGCAAGCCATGCTGGCTGGGTATCATCGTGACCCGGCTAAATACAGTCGAATCTCTCCATTTAATAAAGAAATGCGAAGACGGTTATGGGTGGCGATTGTGGAGCTCGATCTACAGGTGGCCCTCGATCGGGGGCTGCCGCCTTCGGTGCAAATATCGGATTACGACAGCGCCCCAGCATTGAATATAAACGATGACGAGATCAGCGAGGCTACCGTCGAGCTTCCCACCGAAAAGTCCTTAGACCAAGTAACCGATTCATCTTTCCGTGCGGTTTTGACTCGATCTCTCCCGGTGCGGTTAAGACTGTGTGCGATGATGCACTCTCCTCGGATTACGTGCAGTTACGAGGAGATCATGCGCATCGACTGGGAATTGAACAAACACCTCTCTCAGATCCCGGATTGGAAAACCTCGGAAGCTTGGGACCCAGAAACACGGCAAAAAGTAATCTTGTGGAAGGCACTTCTAGAGAATATAATGAACCAGAACTTTTTGTCTCTACATACACCGTTTGCTATTGAGACCCCAAGGGAACCTCTGTTCACCCCGTCTGCCAGGGCACGTCTTGAGGTGGCCACCACACTGCTTTCCACGCAACGGCGATTACACGGGATGTCGAAACAGTTGTCCCTATGTAACCTTGGAGACTGGACTACCCAGGCAATAGCTACAGTCTGCCATGTCCTGTATTCAAGCGACGGCGAATGCGGTAAGTTTTTCTGCCTTTGTAAGTATAGGCCTGATCTGACGTCAACCGCAGTTCCAACCCTCACTCGGACCCTGCCAGGGTTTGCCGAATCTTTGCTCTCGCTCGTGGAAGTTGTCTTACTGTCTTTGGAAGGCCGACTTCTCCTTGTGTCCAAAGGTGCCAAAGAGTATTTCTACACGTCCACCATTCTGGCCATGGCTAAGACGAAATTGTGGCCGGATCAGGCAGCTATTTACAGGCAGCAGGTTGTCGACCGACTCTTGGCATTAGCGCAAGCTCTTTTCCAGCGTCACGCCTGTTGCTCCCATCTGGGCGACTCTGCTGTGGGTGTATTGAGAACGAACCAGGTAAGTAGGCGGGGGTGGGCGCGGTTCAGTATCTGCCAAATGAGTAGCTTTTGCTGACCCAACGCTAGGTTATCGGATCATCCATGGTTCCAGGATCGGCTGCTCCGTCGGCTCCCGTCTTTGATGCAGCTATGCAGCAAGTGAGCTTTACTACGGTGGGTATATTTTCTTTTGCATCTCTTTGGTTTTTCAGATAGGCTGACGATCACAACACTAGCCCCATACGACCGAATTCGACCCATTTCTCGATGTCTTTGACTGGGAGGATTTGACAGGGATTGCCTTTGGGGATAACACAGAGTTCCTCTAGGTGCTTAGAAATACCGCATGCATCCCGAAGGAAGCTGTACCGCGCAGATCCACACCGTAAAGGGATGGGGACTCTTCATCACAGGAAGCCAACCGCCGTCATAGTTGGCCGAGCGCACCGAGTCAAGCTCAAGGCTAATGAGTTTGTACGTTGCATAGACAAATGCGGTATTACGTGTGCCTTACAACCACAACCTAGATGAGCGAGGTCCCATGCCGATGAGTAAACGTCATTCCTCGTGGTCTCCTTCTGCTTTCCCCGGCCTGTCTCTGTTGCCGGTGTTCCCTGTTATGATAACCTTGCAGACGACAATAGATTGTTTTGCTGTTTTCTTCTCGACACTCTCCTATCCTACCCCGCCTCCATTGGCTCTCCCTGCTCTTTCTTCGAATGACTGTGCGTGGAACTGGATGGCTGGATAATCGCGACGTTTTCCAAATGATCATTGTGCTCCTGTCACTCCTGGCTCTAGCCAGTCACTCCCATTGGGCGACCGCGAAGGATAATTTCATCTCCAAAACATCTTCCTATCCTCTCCCGAATCAAGGCAACATTCGCGCTCACGACCCCAATATCTTCTTCCAAAACGACTCCTTCTATCTCTTCCGGACAGGCCATCGCATCACTATACACAAGTCATCCAGCCTTAGTGGTCCTTGGCATAATATCGGCACAGTGCTATCTGGTCCTAGCATCATCGAGAAGCAAAACAGCACTCGACCCTGGGCACCCACAGTTATCCAATGGAATTCGACCTTCTACTGTTTTTACTGCATCTCCGAGGAAGGTAAAAGAAATAGCGCCATTGGCGTCGCAACGGCAGACACTCTCGACAGTAACAGTCATGGCGATGAGAAAGGGTCCTGGATAGATCACGGCGCCCTTATCGAAACCGGAGGAGGCAACCTATCAACTATATACCCGTACAATGAATCAAATGCCATCGATCCCGCATTCATCATGGACGTCAATTCCCACCAGCCGTATTTGATCTTCGGCAGTTACTGGTCCGATATCTGGCAGGTCCCACTTACGCTAGATCTGTTGGCCGTCGTAAATTCAAGGAGACCTGACGCAGTGCATCTGGCGTTTCTTCCCGAGGAAGGACACACTGGAGGCCCGTTGGAGGGTTCTTTCATGACCTATACCGAACCGTATTACTATCTCTGGCTCAGCTATGGGCAATGCTGTCGTTTTGAGCGGACGGGCTTCCCAAAAAAGGGGAATGAGTATGTTCTTTGGCTCTATATGGAGTTGGCACCTGTAGACTCTGACTTCTCTTTTTCCACCTCTTACAGGTATAGTATCCTGGTAGGGCGATCTAAGGATGTCCGAGGACCGTTCGTGGACAAAAATGGTCGCAATCTCATGGATGGTGGAGGCACAACTGTCTACGGATCCAACCATGGTATTGTCTATGCTCCTGGTGGCCCGGGGGTTCTGCCAGGCAATAATAGGTCCAGACCTGATATTCTTTATTACCATTATTGTAAGCGGCCTTGAGGGGCGAATTATGGGGGAGACGTGGACTGACATGGTTATCCAGTGAACAAATCAATTGGATTTATGGACTCGGTAGGTTACATGCATCATAATTAGTATTGACCAGATAGATTGACATATCTCTCTCCTATGTCTAGGATGCACAGCTCGGCTGGAACTATCTGGACTACATAGACGGGTGGCCGGTAGTAAGGTATGTTCTTCATGTCCGCTGGAATATGGTTATGTTGGAAACATGTGTCTCTGACACCTAAACAGGGGATACCACAACACCGCAACCAAATTCAGATTTCCGTATAAAATGCTTGCCTTGGCGGGTATGTTCTCTTTATATTCTCCAACCTGCAAGGATAGAACAGAGGCTGACCGACTGTTGTCTGACAGTTTTTTGGCTGTATATATGGTCCTAGAGATGATTAGACCGGATGCTGGTTGCCGTTTGACTATTATAATAGCGACTGTTAGACCTGCGGATTTATGCTAATATTAATTGATTAATTGTGATCACATCTCCTAGGCTGATATACGGCATATTAATTATCTACTGCGGTACAATCATGGTGAAGGTGCGCAAAACTACCTAGTTATGCCCTATCCGCACTGACACTGCACCGTCTTCTCCACATCCGGCCTCGGCACTGTTGATTCAACTCCAACGGTCTCATTTCCAATTCCTGAGACTCGTCTTGCTGAAGATAGCTTTGCCAAATATGGCCAATGCAGACGCAGCTTCTGCTTCCCGGGCGATCGACATCGATGCAGACCTGGAGCCGGGACCATGAGCAGTTTCTCGGAACAAAGCACTGACTCGTCCACACAACTGACGTAGCGGTTGCTACTGTAGTTGTACGGGGTGTAATATAATACATAATTCGGCAGAATCGGATTTCCGTCGAGTGCTGTCGATGCAGCTGAGAGAACTAGCTGCATGGTCGTTGAATCACCAACGTTGAAGTATTCATGAAAAAAAGACATGGAAATCTGCCTGCAATATAATCTACACTGTTTTGCCTGTAGCAGCAGGCTGTCATTTCAGTAATGGCTCCTTGCTGAACGGGTACAAAGCGCAACATCTGTACGAGTCGTACAGAAGCTGTCGGCGAACTACCACCAGCTTTGCTTGAGGTAACTCAGGCTGCCCTGATGCGGGGAACGACGGGTCGTGCGTACATTTCTGTAAGGAATCAATACTGATGGCCTTTCCTTTCCTTTTCTCCTTTTTCCTTTTGACTGTTGCGCTGGGCTATGGTGCTAGTGCTCCCGGACTGATATAGAGTGCGGACATACTGCTATGACGCTCTCACAATGGCTTTGCTTCAAGCCGTAATAGGCTTGCCGGTTCTGGTAAAACACATTCCATTCTTTATCCAAACCGAACAGTGGGTTGTGTCTGACATGAAAACAGGTACTGGTGCTCGTCATCGGTAAAACATTCTACAGTGCCTTCCTACACCCTCTTAAGGTCATACCCAGGACCAAAACTCTGGGCAGCCTCGAGGATCCCCTTGATCTACTGGAACACCAAGGCGCAATTATTCTACCGTGGTTTGCATCTGCATGACAAGTACGGTCCTGTGGTCCGAATCGCGCCAGATGAGCTCTCCTACATCACCGACACGGCATGGAAGACGATCTACGGCCATCGCCCGGCGGAGATGCCCAAGTCTCTCCGTGGACGTGGACATTTCAAGCCGGATAGTGGCGTGCATGGTATTCTGACGGCGCCATTGAAGTCGAATCATTCTCGTATGAGACGGTCTATCTTGCCGACTTTCTCAGACAAAGCGTTGCGGAGCCAGGAGACTTTCGTGCATACTTACGTTGATGATTTGGTTTCGAATCTGAAGATATGTGCTCTTGAAAAGGAGCCTATTGATATACAGGGGTATTATAATTTTACCACTTTTAAATATCATTGGAGGTACGCACTTTTCTGTTTTCTTTTTTGGACTCATCCTAATTGCTGTGTTAGACCTGGCGTTCGGCGAGTCCTTCAACTGCCTGAAAGAATCTAAACTCCACGTGTGGGTTACATTTATCTTCGCCATGATCTTAACTGTGCCATACATGCAGACCCTTCAATACTACGGAGTTGATGGACTCCTCCCATACGTTGCACCCAAGCGTCTGCTCGACAAGCGCGCGTCCCACATCCAGATATCCCAAGCCAAGCTCCAGTGCCGTTTGCAGAAAGTGAGCAATGCCCTAGCTGAACCAGAAGGCAAGGCAATGTCACCGGGAGAATTGCAAACACTGGCACAGATACTTATTGTTGGTGGAAATGAAACCACAGCGACAACGCTCTCTGCCGCGACGCATTTCCCTTTGCAGAATCCACGGGCATACGATAAACTGTCGAAGGGGACCAGGGGCTCATTCTCTTCCGAAAAGGATATCTCGCTCATCATGGTTAGCCAGTTGAAGTATCTGCCTGCTGTGTTGGAAGAGGGTCTACGTATGTTCCCCCCTGTGCCGGCGAGTTTGCCTCGCGTCGCCCCAGGAAGGGAGAAGATATTGATGGAAGATTTATTCCAGGGGGAGTAAGTTCATCTATTTCACTTTTCATTTTTATTAATAACGTCTGTTCCATATTCAAACAATACTAACCCAACCAGAGCGTCGTCGGCGTCTCCCAATTCGCAGCCTGCCACTCGTCCAAAAACTTCAGACCCCTTCAGCTTCGTCCCCCAGTGCTGGGCTCCTAAGACGCCAGAGTAAAAGGAAAGATACGCGAATGGCAACAAGGCCGTCATGCAGCCATTCTCTTACGGTCCGAGAAACTGCATCGGTAAAAATCTGGTATCCATTCTATTCCTTACTTAACAGATCCACGTTAACGCGTTGCAACCAGGAATATACCGAGATGGAAACTATCCCATCCCTTCTCTACAACTTTGATCTGGAGCGTGTTCCCGGCTCGGAGAGGTGGGCGTGGGAGCAGAAGGCTAATATTAGGGAGAAGGAGCATCTGTTGGCATATGTTAAGCTACGGAAGGATTTGTCTAGTGAAAGCAAGGGTGTTAAAACTCTATTGATTGTCTTTGGTATGAGCACTATCCATGGTGTAAATTCGACGCTTTTTCTTTCTGGTGGTTGTGCTTGTTGGATGCTCACCATATGTTATTGACATATCAGGCCCGTGGATATGATGGAATGAATGGCCTGATGCGTCCTGTTTGTTTTATACTACACAAGAGTTTTCTATGAATAACGTGCAAGACGTTTAACATCATTATCATGGCATATATACAACTAAGTAGGGTATCGTTACTTTAACTCCCACAACCCTAACCCGAGTTATCAACATCATTTCCACTGCCTCAACTCAATATCAACATCGACACTCCACTCCTGCGTCTGCCGAATAATCATCATCTGGGAGTCATTACTATGAATTGAAGGCGCAGCTTCAGCCCTATCCCCCCCGGCAGGACTACTAACACCAACCCGATGATCATGATGACCCCGATAGATACTATTGTTCCCATCCGGCACCTCCCTCTCATGCTGATTCTTCGATTTCCCAAACTGCCCGGGGCCATCATTATTGTTATTCCCACAAGCAACGGCTGCAGACCGTCTAACGTAGCAGTAGCTTTTACCTTCCCTGGCAATCAGGCCCTGTCCCCAGCCCGTATTGAAGGCAATCACGAACGGCTTCAGACATGGTATTGTCGCTGCCATGAGGCTGTAGTGAAGGAGGACCTGTGTGGTTATGGCAGTGTTGACGGCTTCCAGAGATGGGTCGGGACTGTCGAGGGCGTGGGTTAGGTAGATTGCTCTCAGGATGGTGAGGGGGATGACCCTGGGTTAGCTCGCAGGTTAGTTCGTATAGAACAAATAGGCAGGGAATAATGGAGAGGTGATGTACGGAAGCCTCGTCCCAAACGCCCCCAGAAACACAAACTTGATGGATAAACGCATGTGTAGGTCCCAGATCAAATAGGCGAGTAAGCCGAATAAGCAGATTTCTGAAATTGCATCGAACGCGGCTATTACCTGCCAACGGAGACTCTATAGGATTATATTGAATCCTTAGAATTAATCACAAGGATATCTAGACGAGACTGGTTCAATGGAAACTTACAACATCCCAAGCACTGCACCCATTCAATAACCACGGATGGCTCAGATTACATCGTATCGACACAGCAAGCAAAGATGCAAAGGCCCACGCCGCTATGTACACCAGGACGCCCAGACAGAGCCTCCTGAATTTCCTGTCGTTGTCGACGCGCTGCAGGAGGGACGCCACGGAGGCTTTGGCAAGGGCGTGGGCAAGGAGGAAGAGGATGTCAGCGATGTATATGTCCTGTGGTATTGCTTAATATCTCTTTATTTCATTTGAGTTTTTAATTCTAGTATCGTGAAATATAGGCCCACCTTGTCAAGATTCGATATCTGAGACGGAGAGAGAAGCTCCTGCGATGAACCGAAACCATATGAGATTGCCTTTAATGTCACTCCAACCTGTGCGATGCCGAAGATCTAGATATCATATCGATGAGATAAAATATACTGTGAGAATAAGAAAGAAAGAAAGAAAGAAAGGAAAGAAAGACATACCGTCCCGATACCAGTCAGAAGATCATCCACCCCCAACGGCCCATTGATGCCCAGACGAGTATACAACCGGATCAGGAACAAAAGCACCATCCAGGACATTAAAAGGGTCGCCGCGATAACCACCACCCCGCGCCGGTCGGTAGGAGTGAGGATGTATGCGCGATACTGACTGGCGTGGTCGTCGACCAGGGACATTTTGGGGTTGTTAGGGCATGTGGAGAATAATAGGGGATCTACTAGTGTATTGAGTTATTAACAGGATGGGATAAAAATACAAAGACAGATAGCAAAGAGAAAAGATATTTATTCCAAAGAACTATGCCGCATGTCAGCTATCTCGATCGTCTTCGGCTTTTCTCATTGATCCTCCAGAAGGATGGACCTCCATCAGAAGCAAAATCCCGGGTACACTCCATAATCCTCGCACTTCTGCTTTGCCACGGGCTAGCGTTATGTTGTGTATCTATGTGCTTTTTCTTTTTAATTTATGTAGATATGTAGATATGTCGATACATCTGCGCTGCTACGTCGTCGCCTCTCGTGCGAAGGGCATCCTGCATTGGTCACGCGTTATCGTTCGAGAAGAATATGTATTTGGCGTCAGACTGGAACAATCCGATATCCTTGTCTTGGTTCAGATTAATAGCTGCAAGTTATTGGTCGCGGTGTAATCTAACTTCGGCCTTCATTGCTGCAAGGTTGAATCCTTGGAATCCTGTCTTGCCCTAATTAATGCATCCGGCGCTAATCGCGGCATCAAGCAGCCGAATACTGTGAAGTATGAACACTGATCTGCCACTAATAAATGCTACTTGGATAGGGTCACTATTAATTGTTATATTGCGTCCGGAGAAGTGGCACCACGGACACAAACACCAATAGCTGAAACGTCTATACTGTTTAGTGTTGGCTGTGCCGCTACGTTGCTGGGATCAGCCTTGGATCGTTGCCGATACAACCTTGAACGGGGAGCACACGGCGATGTGCAGCACGATGGAAGAGCTAATTCCAGCAATGTAATAGAGTGTTTTTGGTGTGATGATATGGTTTCATTCCTTATAGTAGTTCAGAAGGATAGGACAGGCTTCAAGACTCTGGGTCGACGGACTGTTTCCCATCGGATTCGCAGCCCACTAGGCGCAGGATGATCCTTGTCATCTTCGACTGGACAGGTAAGTGATGGATATCCTGCATAGTTCACCCATAACAGGCAATCCCCGAAATGAAGAAGATTGTAAAGCAAACAATAAGTCGGCTGTATGTAACCCTATATGCAGGAGTAACTTGTTCAAAAAGCAATGATAGTTCTGGAAGGATTTCTCCTTCTCGCAGGTGCTTCTCTGCGGATCGGCCTTGGTATATAATATTTTTGATTTTCGTGTCGTTTTCTCTTGTCTCTCTCCATTTTGTTCCATGAGCCCACAATATCCGACATGGAACTTCGATCTTCCCAGAGCAAATCGGCCGAGGCCTACGAGCGGCCGTTCATCAGTGAACCTGATGGTGTCGACACAGTGAAAACAGGCGGCACTGCCCACGATAGGCGGGATATGTGGAGAATTGGAAGGAAGCAAGAATTGAATGTATGTCCCGTTCTCACTCGGATCCCTGGTACCTGGCTAACAGGGACATAATAGCGTAATTTTCGCTTCCTCTCAGTTCTTGGTTTTGCGGCAGTGTTGATGTGTACATGGGAAGCGGTGCTCTTGTGAGTAACCCACAAGCACCCTTTTTGTTGATAATATAGCTGCTGACATCTAATATCCTAGCGGGAGTTCCTATGGCTTGACAGATGGCGGCGTCGGCGGCATGATCTACACATACATCGGAGCCCTAGTCGGCAACGTAGCAGTTATCCTCTCCATGGCAGAAATGGCGTCCATGGCGCCCACATCAGGAGGCCAATACCACTGGGTCTCCGAGTTTGCCCCGGCCAGTTGCCAGAAATTCCTTAGCTATGTCACCGGCTGGCTGTGCGTGCTGGGTTGGCATACAGGCATAGCTGGAGGTTCATATACAGTGGCTAATATGCTGGTTGGGTTGATCTCGATCAACTATCCTGACTCGTATGAGCCCCATCGGTGGCATGGGACGTTGTTCGTCATTGCTGTCGCCTTGGTGGCGTTCTTTTTCAACACGTTTCTCGCGCAGAAGCTACCGATCATCGAGGGGATTATTCTGATCATCCATGTCTTTGGATTTTTTGGGATCCTGATCCCGCTGTGGGTGCTTGCGCCGAGGAGGTCTGCGGCAGATGTCTTTGGTTCCATCGAGGATCGGGGAGGATGGGGCAATAATGGGTTGGCGTGTTTGGTTGGACTCGTGGGTCCTGTATATGCCTTGATCGGTATGGGATCCCTTCACCTCAAAGGAGTGTCTGTTTCTAACACATTGTGTCTGTTAGGTCCCGATTCTGCTGTGCACATGGGTAAGATCCGAATCCACCGAACAGAAAGAAATATGCATGCTGACTCCAGTTCTTGAGTATAGCGGAAGAAATTAGAGACGCATCCAGAACTCTACCCCTGGCAATGGTATGGACACTGGCCATTAATGGCATCACGGGTCTAGTCATGATCATCACCTTTGCCTTCTGCGTGGGAAACATCGACAATGTTCTCTCCAGCAAAACCGGATTCCCATTTATCCCGGTATTTCTGGACACAACGAACTCTGTTGCAGCAACCACCGGCATGACGGTCATTATCATGATCATGCAGTTCTGTTCGGCCGTCAGCAACGTCGCCACAACGTCGAGACAACTCTATGCCTTTGCCCGGGACGACGGACTGCCGTTCTCCAAGTTTCTATCCAGCGTCAACCCACGGTTCAAAGTCCCGCTGAACGCACTCTTCACGAGTCTCATAATCGTATCCTTGCTGTCGTTAATCAATATCGGTTCATCTGTTGCTTTCAATGCTATCATGTCTCTTGGCACGGCGTCGTTGTTGTCCTCGTATATCGTTTCGACGTCCTGCGTGTTCCTGAGGCGTTGGCGTCGGCAACCCTTGCCCCCAGCCCGCTGGAGTTTGGGACCATTCTCTATTCCGGTGCAGGCTTTTGCCATTTTGTTCCTGATTCTAACCTGGATATTCTGTTTCTTCCCTCTAGCACGACCAGTCACGGCGGACAATATGAACTGGAGCGTTGTTGTCTTCGGAGGAGTGGTGATTTTGTCGTTGTCTTATTATGTTCTTCATGCAAAGAACGTGTATACCGGGCCAGTGACGCGGGTGAGGCCGGTGGATTAATGTGAGCAGAAGATAGATGACCAAGAGAATTAAAAGTCCTTCTCCGGTAGTTCGTCCAACCATCCCTGCCCATGATCCCTGACTCCGAGTCCCAGACGTTCTGGACATCATTCCAGCCTTCCCCATCTTCATGGTGTTTACGGATCTCTTCTGGGGAGAGTTAGACCGGGTACTCAGCAGTAGGGTTCGGCGAATCCCACTTCTTCAAGGCATTTGGCTGGGCATGAATTTGTCCGACACGGGGAAAGTTAGGTACACTGTCTCTCAACGACTCCCGCAGTGGTAGAATATCTCCATCCCATGGGATCTGTCAGTGCCAATACCGTGCGGATACCGAACACGTTGCTTAAAACCAGACTTCTTTCTGCCGTGTATTTCTCGTACAGATACAATAATATGGACCCCGTGACTTGGTCCTTCACAGCGTCGAGCATTTTGGTCAAGCCGCTTAAAGTTTTGGGACAGCTCTAGCATCAATTCACCGTTCCAGTCGAAAAAGTTCTGGTTATGTGAAATGAAAATGGATCATCGGGGGAGAGTGGAGTTGCGTATTTCTGGATATATTCTGTCTCTCAAAGAGAAAGAGCTTGTATATAGTCAAGTCCAGACGTCTGCGGCGCGTCTTTACGATAGAAAAGACACCCATGTCTACCTGAGTTAGAGAAGCTGTCGAATGATATATTTCAATGCACTTACCCAGAAAACCTCGCCGTTAGCAACTTGTGCTGCATGCTTACAATATCCTCCATTGCTTGAATCTGCTAGATTTGTCTGGAGCATGCTCCATAATGATATACTCAGCCATGGAGAGCTGGAAAGACTTGTTATACGGCCCTTCTCCCAATTTTTCCATACCGACACAAGACCCGGCAGATGGCGGTTCGTTGCAGCTCAAGGATATCGAATTTACGATACCTCTCGTGAAGCTGCTCTTTTCGTTCTAGAGCCATCATCCACTTGTATAGCTGAAGAAATGCTCTGGGTCACCAGCAAGATTATCCATCCGAAGCTCGGAATGTTGATGGGAATAGTAGCTTCGAACCGAGAGGCACACCCTAACGCCTATGGCCAATGCTGGCCAGGAACTCCGGATTCTCACCGAAGTGCGGGAGAATGCAGTAGCTTGTGAAATTGGCTTGCCCACCCCTGCTTCTGAAACTTCAGGTGTTTTTGAAATTCAGATCAATGCTTGTAAACGGGAACATGCAGAACCCTAGGCGCTTCGACGCGAACAAGTGAAACAAGGGGCAATGCCAACATTTGGGTCCCTTTGATTTTCCTTCCGGCTTTTCAACCCATTCCAACCCATGGTGGACAGGCAGTGCTCTGCTGTATTACTGTGGCATCATATCTATGACCCTGTTTATAATTCTAATCGGCCAGTCAGCTGCAACTTCCCCATGAGAAATGTCTAACATTTGTCCTTCTCCGGCCCATGCTGCTGTTGAACAGCCTGGGCGAGGACAACTGGGATTCCTCCCTGTCGATGTTTGGAATCAGGATAGAGCATATGATGAAAATATGCCCATCTGTACTCACTATCAGTAGACTGGAGAGTTACCCTGAACAACCAAGTGCTTGCAAGGGTTCCTGAGCCAGATATTGTGGTCAGCCCAAGTGAAATTTTGGCAGGTAATTTTGAAAAAAAAAATAAAAATAAGAAATAAGAAAGTTGAAGGTGTTAGACAGCAGAAAGTGTCTCTCAACTGACAGGTTCAGTTGGATAACACCTCTGTGGTGTCAGTGAATGATCATTCCCACCAGGATCTCCATCAACAATTTGAACCCACCGACTTTAATTGGAGAGTCATTGAGGAGAAACTCCTCTTGTGGAGTGATTTATTCCACTGTGGAAAGCAGCTTAAACTTTATAGAATATGACGAACTAACTGCATCAAGGAGTGGTGGTAAAAGGGGGGTCCCATCTGTGACAAAGAGGATGCTTGCTGAACAAAAACACGCAGATTGGTGCTGAAAATGCTTCTGGGCAACCCTCTGTTTGGCAGAGAGCCCCGCCCACCCATCAAAGACACACGCGATTGACCATACGCATCAGAAGCTGAGAGGATATGAAGGAAACTGACACTCTATTATTACGGGGCTTTTTAGAGTTATCAGAGTTTTCAGTCTCGGTAAGAACGTTCGAGGCTATCTTTCATCTATTTTTAATCGAGATGAGATATACTCCGTAATGGACTTATCTCGGCTTGATTAAGTTTAGGGCCGAGTATTGTGGGGTCACTGTTACCCTAAGGGTGGGTGTCGCTAACGATAAGTTAACTTAGTCTAAGACTTAGCTGCTGACTTATGAGTCACGTGACTTTTGTCACCTCTGTTGGATCACGTGTGATTCTGCCGCATAGGTCCGCCCTCGCCGACCCTTTTCGCCACGTAGGCCTGTCTAGCTAGCAACCAACGATATATACCTCCATTATCCTTGCCTAGTTGAGCATCGCTCCGCCTACCCCTTTTAGAAGTCAACCCATCTTCCTACTACGTGTAGGAGAGACGTGGAGGTGCGCTTGGCACGGGTAGTTGTCAAAAGTACCTTCCTGGCCGGATGAATTACGGTTGCCTAGGACCCACCGGCGGAAGCAGCGAACCCAATAGCTAAACTTTTTCTGTGGTAGTAATCTGCTATAACACAGACGTAATTAACAAGATTTGTATATATCTGGAGCTATAAACGAGACATTGTTAAAAGACTAGAATTTCTACGCAGAGTCAACTACTTGAAATATCTAAGATGAAGAAATTCCAAAGAAGGTCAATAGCTATACTGTACCTACCTTGCGAAACTTAGTATCACTTAGCTTATTTGCAGCTGATATGTGGGCTTGAGCGAATGGAATGAGAGAACTAGGCTTTGGACCAGACTGACCCCGCCTTGTAAACAGGACCCGTGAATTATGGACAGTATATCATGACAAATGGGCATAAAAGAGGGCCATTGACCGTAGCATAATTTCCAAGAGAACTAAATCTATCTGTTTAGGAGGCCAGGGCAAAGATCTCTCCATTACACCGCCATAGCACCGCCGTAGCACCGCCAGGGTTCGGCTTCGCGGACCAGCAGCACCAGCAGACTTGGCTTCCTCGTTGTCCACCTCTTCGCTCCAGACCATGGATAAGATCCGCGAGGCCGGCCGGGGGGATCCCAAGAGCGCTCTCTTTCTCTCGCAGCAACTGTACACCGACCCGCAGGGTGATGCAAGCCGAGGATAGGGCGTGCATGAAGGGTTGAGATAAGAAAATAACCCGCCTATGTGGAGATTTGGGTTGAAGAGGGGTATGGTATCGACGCTGCTACGGTCCCTGCTGCAGCTGCTCGGTGACGACTCGAACTGATACCCTTCCAAGGGTGTCAGCTGGCCAACCTGGGCACGCCGGATCTGAGATAGCAGCAATTCCAAGAGAGAGGTGAAAATCTTCACGGTCAACATATAACAATGCACTGCCATGAAGAGATTCTTGGTTCGTAGACATTCATCCAGCATGCCTTGGTCGCTGTGGGTGTTGGATTGTTGTTGGAGATATACAGGAAGTCTTCGTGATGCGCTGAAGAACGTCCCAATGGGGTCCAGTGATAGCATAAAGCAGATAGCTTTTCCAGATGCTTCTGTTTTTTTTTTTTTTTTTTTTTTCAAGAGAAGGGTGAGGTTGGGGGAAACGGAGTTACAAGTCCAGATTTCCTGTTTCGGCCACTCCACCGCCACCGCTAGAAGGGTGGCTTCCAATTCCTGGGACACTGTCGACAAGCCATCGAAGAGTTCTCGTTGTGCACTGGCAGCTCCGGCAATGCTGCCAGACACCGACGGCGGGAGATTTTTCGGCCGAGAATTCGAAGGGCGAGGGAAGATCTGGCATGGGTAGCTCGAGCTGGCAACTGAGGTCTCCATGGCCATGGGGTAAGTCCAAGCAATTATTGACAACGGTTTCGTCCACGCCGGTCGAGGACCAGGACCAGTCGCAGTCGGCGGACAGATCGAGGAATTGGAGGGAGACGCCTGAAGAATCCGACCCTGGCAGGTCTAGCGACAAACTATCGGAGGGAGCAGGGGGTGAAGAAGCTGAAGGAGAAGAAGAGGTGTGCAGGCCGGTCGTGCTGCTTGCAGGGGGGAATGCCGCTGCGTTGGGTTTGGGTAGCTTGCGCTTGGGGCATCGCTCGCTGTAAACGCTCTCTCTCTCTTTTTTATTCCTCTCCTCAGTTCTTCCCCCAAGTGCTCGATCCTTTCCCCATTGACCACACACAATCTTATCTGATCTTCTCGATCCTCTAATGGCTCAGATTCTATTTTCCCTTGGGAAACGAGATATGTAAAATATCCATCCTTTCCATTGCCTCACTTGAATACGACCCCTCCCAGGGCACCCACTCCCCCGCCCCCCAGCTCCCTAGCCCGAATCCTGTATATAGAAGCGATTGAGCATTAAGCATGTCAATAAGAACTTCACAGTGTACTAGAGACGACAGTATATTGGTATAGAGTGTTCACCACGACTCCGATGAATCCTACGGTCTCCGTTTAGTATTTGGTATCCTGACGCCGCACCCCTGGTCCACATCAAACCTCCCTTTGTCTATGCAATTTACCTAAACAAAGATGTTGAAAATGGCTAGCTCGTCAGAGCTGGCCCCTCAGGCTTGGATCTCTATACAACAGAGGCTTACAGCTCATTGAGAAGGAAGGCTGACATCCTCCATGAAGATCTGAGGAAAGTTGAGAACCAGGAGTATTGAGCTGATTGCCTTCGCGTGTTTTTCATTGAGATCCAGCAATCTGATGAATGGTCTTGTGAAACTGCATGGAAGCTATTCAGACTGCGGATTTATTCTGCCCTGGCATGGTATGAATGGGACAATGTGGTGAACAGAGCAAATTATCACTGCGTGCAGTGACTTTTGTCCTGTGGCTGTGGCATACGCAAGGAAAGAAAGCTAATGCCTGGGGATTTTACACGTTTTCTTGCTTCTTTTTGGTTTCTGGCTGTGTAGGCATTTTGCCTGAGCTAAATTCAATGCTACTCAAGAAGACATTTTCCCTCACAGGCGAATTATTAAGTATACACATTAATTCTATCGGTAATAATCCCACTTGTCCTAGCCTCATTCCGCGACCTCTTCACGCACTGGTGTCAGACTTATGACTGGGGTGAAGTCTGCGTCAAAAGGAAAGTCACTAGCGACTTCCTCAGCACCGTCAAAATTCCCATTACGGGCAAACTCAACAACTGTGTTGAAGACTTGCTGCTGATCATCTCTCATGTGGCGGCTCTCATAGTGGACAGATCCCGCCGCGTCGAGGACATTCATTGTTGCCTTGTATCCCCGAGATGCTAATATTTAAACATCTGTTAGCAACAAGAATAAAGCTACTAGAAAAATGATACTTACCAAGTTCAGTGATCACATGCGGTTCAAGACCATATAAAGAAACAAATGGAGTGAGCACTTCAATCGGCTTTTTCTCAAGGAACATGACCGCGTCAGCCTCCGCCATTCCCCCATGTACGATGCTCCTGTTTAGAGAGATGATTCTTGCTTGTACTTCCGCGGCTTGGTCTGACAAGCGCCGCCTTTTTGATCGAGAAGATGATCCATAGTCTTCCCAAAAGTCACGTAAGTATGTAAGAAATGCCCTTTCGCGGATGTCAATAAAGAGACGTCTGAAAGGAAGAAGGGACGCAACAGCAGCCTCCAGAGACGAGTTCCGATCCTTCAGAGACGCAACGGCAGTCTCCAGGGACGAGTTCCGATCCTTCAGAGACGCAACGGCAGTCTCCAGGGACGAGTTCCGATCCTTCAGAGACGCAACGGCAGTCTCCAGAGACGAGTTCCAATCCTTCAGAGACGCAACGGCAGTCTCCAGGGACGAGTTCTGATCCTTAAGAGACGCAACAGTAGCCTCCAGAGACGAGTTCCGATCCTCAAGGTGATGAACTTTTTCAGTAATGGCTGCGACACTGGCTTTCAGTTCTTCCATATCCCTCATCAGGCGGCCCCCATCTGGATTGCAGACGACTCTCATGTCACCGATTTTCAATACCACTGCTGCCTCAACTGTGTTGGTAAGCAGACGCTTGCCTGTTTCTATGAGTGTATTATCGTTGCAGGGATCAACCCGAAATGAAGTAGAAGCCACAGCGAAAATTTCTTCCTATAACATAAATAAATGGATTAGTCGACTCACTATAACGTGGCTGCCTTCAAAGACTGTGCGGGTATTCAGATGTTGACTGAAGAATGACAATCACTACTTACCGGGGGTTCTCCCGCACTGCGAGAGCTTGGCGACCCATGGGTTTCTTGCCTTTACGCCTAGTCATTTTTGCACGCCTGCACCATCAATGGTCGACAGCTCCTAAACCATATGATTGAGTTTATCAGAAAGAGGTGATGTTTCAAAGATGGTGCAGTGTACAAGATGACAAGAATGCATGCAGAAGGAAGGATCTATTTGGAACCTCACCTGTGCAGGTGGGTTCTTGCAGTTGCCTAGTCGGGGTGGTAAAAAACAGCAGGACCCATTGAAAGGTACTAGGAAAGTGCGCATAAATGCAAGGACATTAATATCCTAAGCATCAATTGTTAGGTCAAAAGCCTAAGCAAAGAAAACAAGAAGTTGCAGCAGATGGAGCAGTTCAATGGCAGCCACTTCCCGCGCCCTACTAACCATCACAAAGATCCTTATTTAAAAAAGAAGACGGCAAACTGCCTGCCTGGAACCGCCAGAATGGTTACACGACAGCCTATCGATAATACAAGGGCACGCACGAGAGAGGCGCCAGGCTGACATGTTGGTGGTTCTCATGGTTCACTTGTTCCTATGAGGATATACTAACTAGTTAGTTACCTATTTCGGACAGGTGGATTATCTAATAATCCAGCCCCGGGATCCGGAGTATATATGGTCCGGAGGAAAGGCAACTAGCACCGATCGCGGACCGAGAGTTGGCCCGGAATTGGTGGTCCAAGCTCCAGCGCCAACCCCAAGTCTCGCCCCGTGTATCTTGGCATGAGACTCAGAACATAACTCACAAATTTCCAGGTAGGCAAGCCAATTTTGCAAGCTATGCAAAGGCATGGCCTTTTAATTACAGTGAATGAATTGGTTTTCCCCATACGAACAAGGAAAGAGGAAACCCATTACAGACGGCACGGGTCCAAAGATGCGCAGTTCGGGTAGACTGCAGGATCCACGAATGCAATGACAATAGTAACAACGACTGTGACGACGAGGAAGAAATTGACATGCGGGATGTGGGCAACTGATCTGCAAAAAGTGTAAATCGGACGTTGGGATAAGCATCGACAGGGTTTAGGGCCAAGAAAGGGGCAGTTCGAGATCAGTCTGGACTTCCGTGAAACCGGAACGAGAACCCTGAGGGCGTTTCATGTTGTTCCCGTGGATGTGTCCATGACATCAATCTCCTCTCCCTCATGGGTAGATGTCTGCTCTTTGCTGAAATAAGGTTGTGATCGGTAACCAGCATCCCTGGTTCTGGAGCATCACTAAAGTCAGGCTACTATGATGGGACGATGTGGTTTCTGCCCACGCAATCCTCGTCCATCATGCCGGCATATCTTCTTGGAAGTTCTTACTGATTATCCCCGTGCTCGTCCCCGTGCTTGTCTGGCCCATGAAGATCCAAATTCTCCTCCCCATGAGCGAATGTATATAATGGTCGGCTTTGTCCCCTTCAATGCATTTCAAGGCCAGCCTGTTTCGATTCAACTAGAATCCTGGCAGACATATTCATAATCTCGATCACTGTTTCTTGAACTTTCTTCTCGTGAGATTAAATCAGAATGAAATTCTCCATCTTCACCATTCTTACTTCCCTATCCTGTGCCCTGGCCCTGCCCACCACAAATGTCACGCAGAAACCAGATAACCCCCCGTCCGATCCCTCATTGAAATTATCAAACACCACCGTCCCACTCAGTAACTCCTCGATAAATGACACCTCCCCGTCCGGCCCCAGCATCTACCTCCCCCGACGAACATACAGAAGACGCCAGCTGAATTTCTTCCAGCCCGGTTCATCCAGCAGCAGCGGTGCCGCATTTCCTGCGGGAGACTTCCCTGTCCCGTCTAGCAGCCTTAGTCTGTTCCCGAGTGCTTTTCCAACTTCTTCTATGCCGTCGTCTTCTTTACCCAGTGGGGTTCCTGGGGTGGGTTCTGGGCATGGGAAACGGTATGGGAGACTGCGTTGATGGGAATGTTTGTGGGATATTATGTCATGGATAATGTTTGCTTCTTTTTCGGGTTAGATAAGGTATTCTCATGGTGGCCAGAATCTGGCCTGTCATTGAGAGAATATCTGCTGTATATCACGGAAAAGAGGGTAGGGAAATGCCACAAATGTTCTATTCCCTAGGTTGGAAAGAAGTGCTTGAGAGTTATGACTAGTTAACCCACATTGCCTAGAACCCCGTAAAACTGAATTGCAGATGAGCAGACATTGCGTCATACTGGAACCGTTACATGTTGGCAAGACTGAAATCCACCGAAATATGGCCAACAACTCTGACATCCGCGGGCTTTCGGTTAGGAAAAGGAGTTTTTCGCAGAAGGGAGGATTCAACCTACGCACATCCTCAACACTTTCATGCTGCACTGGGTGGTCGCATACGTAAACAGGGTCAATTTGTCGGCCGATTCGCCTGGCTGGGGTGATAGAAGCAGCTCATTGAGGACATGGAGATAGTCAAGCAGGTAGATGGCATCCTGTTGACCAGTCATCCCATTAACGACAGTCTCTCTCCCACCACCAGGAACAAAAACACAAAAGAAAAGAAAGGCAGAAAGTGAAGCAAGGAAGGCAAGTCATAATATATGGACTTTGCCTTTTTGGATATCTACTGGGCCATTTGACGGAACGTTACTCGTCTGGGCACCCAACAACTCTTAGAGTTTCGAGTCTATCAAATCTTTCAGACGGCTTGGCGAAAAGGTAGGGTGAGGAACTAAATCCCCTACAAGGGCAATCTTCTAAACTTGATTTTTTAAGCTCCAGAGGCATCTGCTTGGTGGGATTGTACTGACGATTTCTGGGTCGGTATGCCTCAAATCTGGAAGCATAAAACTCAGCCCCCGCCGCAATCGCAGACAAGGATCCTGTCGCCCGGCTACGAAGTAATTGTGGTCAGTCCTGTTCTGCTTATTGAACGATTGTATCTGCCATAGAAGGATAAGGCGACATCCCAATAGGCGCTCATCTCTACAACCTATGCAAGAGATTCCACGAAACGTGCGTTGACCAATTGGTTGTAGCTCACAGCTTCTTCTCCCGTCGAGTGCATTTATTCACGGAGACTGATTTTATTCTTTCCTGCAGGTCATCCTATGTTTGCGCAACACTGGAGATGAAAAACAATCCGGCTGTACAATTCGGAGACAGGAACCAGGAGCGGCGACAAGCCGCTGTTCGGCCCATCGTCTCCGAAGTTCTAGCCAACGAGACGCTTCAGTTACTGCTTGAAAAGCTCGAGAGCGAGGAGGCCACCCGTGAGCGGAACGAATGTCTGGTCCGCATATACGAGGATGCGTCGGACTGTGCGAACGACATGTTTGCGTATCCAATTTGGCCAAGGCTCCTGCGGTTCGACGACTTGGGGGTATTTTCAACCACCGTTCTGACACGATGAAGCCACATGACCTTTACTTGTTCAGAGGGACATACTCGCTTGGATTCCCATTAGATTGTGACGATAACGTGTCCGGCACTGCGGGTCGACGAGCCGACGGGCACTTGGGCACTTCGACCTCCATCTGGACGGGGCAATCATGGTGAAGGCGGAAGTCGTTGAATCGGAAGACTAGGACCGTACAAACTGGGTTGGCTGAAGAGGTTTCTGCATATGATGGGTAATTAGTTCGATTGATACGTAGTGCACTACATGCAAGTCCACGTAGATGCCACGTCCTGCATGGGATCTGCCGTGGAGGATGGAGAGGCCACGGAGAGCGGTGAAGAGTCCAGGCCCGGCAGATTCCAAAATAAGTAGTAAGCAATTAGTATTATTTATTATACAGAGTATATTCTATATATATGTATACCGAGGTATTATATATAGAATATACTAGCCCGGTAAGGCAACGGCCGGCCTGGACCATGCCTGGAGGTCAGCCGACCAGAACAATTCGCGCTCATATGACCTTGCTCCCTCTTACTATTTTATTTAGTATTAGTATTCTAGGACATTCTTCTTCTCTTTCTTCCTCTTCCTCTCTTCATCCAGGAGGAATCCATATCTCTTCATCCCCATTCCACGCTCGAACCACGCTCAAACTACGCTCAAACTACGCTCAAACCACTCTCGCACCACGCTCCCGCCAACCATGGCCCTCCCAGCTCCCATCCTCGATTCCATGCCAAAACGCTTTCTCCTCACGCTGCCTCTGGGCAAGCGTATGCCTCCCCTAGTCGACCGGAATTGGATGTCTTATCGCCTGATGACTCTCTCGCGCGGTCAACTTGAGCAACAAGCTGCCCTTAAGGAACCCGATCTCCGCCGTTGTGTCGGCCATGCTCGCCTTCATCGCCACTCGTTGGAGCTGACTCACCGCGACCTCATGCGCTTGATTGAGTCCTACGCCATGGACGAAGATGACGAAGACTATGACTCAGACGAGGAAGCCGTTTCGTGAACTGGCTTCAACTCTCTTCGACCTGCATTATGACCACTGCCATGTGCTACCGTCCTACGTAGACACTACTTTCTATTATCCAGCCCTCCCTCGGTCGCCAGTCTCCGGAAACTACACCGGATTCTCGCATAGCTTCGCGGTCAACGCCTCATGGGCAACGATCCGCTTCTACAGAAGCCCCTTCGTCACAGTACGGTCAACGGACGAGAAGGACAAGAGCCGTCTAGACCCAAAACACGACCGAACGATGAAATTCGATCCGTGAACAAATAACACTTCATCAATCAGAATAATCGAGTCGACGGGCACATATCGCGGCTTTTCACGGGAATCTCCGTTCGATTTTGATCTGAAGGCCAAGTCCTTCGTGAATATTTAGCAACTCAATATCCTCTCTCTGAATGAGGTGCCAATAATCCCCTCCATCCCTGTTGGGATCACTCGAGGCTGGAAAACATGTATATTAGGATAGTTATACCGTCACTTCGGGATAGACAATCTAATGATAATACCGCCACGGTAACTATTCTTGGCTGCCAAGTGGATCAGTAAACACCACGTAATCGTTGATCCGAGGATCTTCAGACCGAAGACGTACGCAGCATGATGCTTACTTCCGCACAACCCGAGGTGGTGACGTCTATTCTCTCCAACAGCAACATCCGTACAATAATAGATCTTATCATACCACCAATGGATATTTTCTAGGACATTGGGTGATGTCACTTCTGGAATGATAATCTGCACGCTGTGTTTCTTGTCCTACTCGGGATGTCCGTCAGTGTTTCAGGTCTTGCATTTGCCATCCGATTCTGGTTTCAACCATGACTGCACAAGATCAAGTAGAACAAAGCAAACCACCCAGTTTCACCCCAATACTCTCTGCGCGGTCGAACAATCGATCGATCGTCTCAGCAGTCTTCCTGGTCCCCGTTGCCCCCAGGAAAAAGAAATGGTTGCCCCGAACCGTCTCATTCGTCTGGTATCCCGGTGCGGGAGATTCGAGGTTCTGCACCTCATCCCAGACGTCTTCACGCAGAGAAAAAGATAAAGATGTCCCGGATCCGACAGCCCTCATCACGTCCGCTGTGAGCTTCAGCGTCAGAACCAGTCCCCATGCTGCTGCGTCGGTTAGGGCATGTCTTAGGTCCGCTGGGGATGAGGGCCGACTCGCTGCGATGGAGGGGTAGATGGTGAAGTCTTCGTCTGTAGGACCTGCCTCTCGTGGATTGTCGTATTCCGAGGGGATGAAGCTGGATTCCAGTTGTCCCTGTCCCGTTCGGACGCTGGATGGGCAGTATTTCATGCCTGCGTTCGTGAGGGAGATGGGCGTATGGCCGAAGTATTCGCGGAGATATGCTTCGTCGTCGATGATGGCGGCACTTGTACCACTACGCTGTGCTTGTTGCCTAACCTGTCGCAACATACCCTCTACCGACGACGAAGAACCAGCTGCGTACCCTGCCTCCGTGTCATGAAGCCTCGGAGGCACGGGGGGCAGCCTCCTTATCCCCGCCGGGGTGGCAGCTAGCGAGACAAACAGTCTCGGATCGAGATCATATCTCTTCGCGGCGAGGGTAAAGGGTTCGAGGATCTTCCCGGCCATGCTCCAAGCTACGAGGATAATCTGATTATTATGAATACCTGCCAACTTATTTTCGTCAATGACTTTCCGCGTTGTCCGTGCAATTTGTTCGCCCCAGTCTACGATGCCGAAATGCGGGCGTTGCGCCAGGTCGGCTGCGAGGGGTGATGATCCTTGCATTTCGAGCGGATAGGATATGGCGAGGACATCGTACCCGAGTTCATTGAGCCAGAAGGCGAGGAAGTCTCGGGGATTGTGACCCTTGTGGCCGCCGTAGGCGATGCGCGCGAGGTTTATCCCTCCGAGCTCATAACGGCCATGGGGGATGTGATAGCCCTGGAAACACATGGCTGCCATTTCTCTATTCCCCCCGCCTTTTTGTTGTAATGCTTGCTCTCGTCTTCCTCGATTTACTTTGGATTTCCGTGGATCTCTCGTGCTCCTTCAGTCCGGTCTGTTGAGGGCCCGTTTCTCCCGGAACAGAAACTGTCAGAAGAGCGTGGCATCTAAATTCCAGCTCTGAAAATGGGGCTACGAGATCTTCGCAGTCGCACCCTTACCGTCGTCGTCAGTGTCATTGGCGCCGTGGGGTTCGCCCTGCAAGGCTATGACCAGGCCGTTGCCAATGGACTGTTGACTTTGAAGTCGTTCACGAGAACATTCCCGGCTATTGACACCGTGAATACCACCGGAGCTGTGAAAAGTCGCAATTCTACCATTCAGGGTGTGTATACTAGCAGAGCTCTCGAATTGTCCTGAAATATCTCACCCCCCTTAGGCACGACGGTCGCGATCTATGAAGTCGGCTGCGCTATGGGAGCCCTCTCGTGTACAGGCCTTGGGGACCGGCTGGGGTGAACCAGGACGATTTTTTCTGGCTGGGTGTGTTGCCTTGACTGGCATCATCATCCAGACAACTCCCTTTTACCCTGGGACAACTCATTGCCGCCAGAGTCATTACCGGTTGGTCTATTCCTTCATCATTAGGATACACCACATCTAACCAGAACAGGCCTTGGAGTAGGAGGATTCACCGCGACCATACCCATGTACATCGCGGAAAACACACCAGCCAAGATCCGTGGACGCATGGTGCTCCTGGGGGGCTTCTTCGCAATCGGCGGCATCGTCCTGGCCTCATGGCTCGAATTTGGCCTGTGGTGTGTCGAGAATAACTCAGTCAGCTGGCGTTTCCCCATTGCCTTCCAGGCCATTTTTGCCCTCGCCATCACCTCCCTCATCCTCTTCATACCCGAGTCACCCCGCTGGCTGGTGCAGCGCAGTCGAAATGAAGAGGCCGCCAGAGTCCTAGCCCAACTGGAGGACGTAGACGGCGACGACTTCCGCGTCGCCGTGGGCTTCAACACCATCCGCCACTCCCTCCAGCAAGAAGACGAAGCCGGGGAATCAGGAAACCCGTTCGCACGCAATGAAACCCGCAACCTGCACCGGACCTGCCTCGCCGTCGGTGTCAACCTGCTCGCGCAGATGAGCGGTGTCAACATCATCACCTTCTATGGATGTGTTGGCTACTGTGAGGGAGAAGACCGAGGAGCATGTTGAGGTTGTTGTGTAATTTCTTCTCTTGGTGATACCTATGATTCATGAAGCTTTGTTTTATGTGGGATATACTCACGTAGTTTAGGCGGATCCAAGCCCATTGCCAGGAGATAATGGCTATTGTCAATGGCACTTCACCTGCTGAGTACGGTTTGCTAAAGGGAATCTATTCTAATCTATCGTGACGAGATCTGGACAATTGAATGGCTCGCGCATATTGCCAGAGGATTCCACCCGGTACCAGTGAGCCGTCCTCGTTAAGAGTCCAGAAGAATACGCTAGTGCTGCGGATGAAGTGCAGGACAGGGGGACAAGGGTATATATATTGAATTGCAGTAGTGTAGTAGTGGTAGGATAGGCGTGTAGTAACATAGATCCGAATGTAAAAGACGAGACTCCAATAACGATCTGTTTAAAAGGATAAAAAAAAAAAAAAAAAAAAAAAAAAAAAAAAAAAGACCGAGAACGATGAAAAATCAAACCAAGCCAAATCAAATAAAAAAGAGGTTCCTCTCATTTCACTATATCCAATCCCTACAACTGGGTCGGAGGAAGATGAATGCAACCCGTCTCAGGACCAGCAGATCCGGTTTGCCTTCATACATTCTTCTCTTGATTCCAACCCCCGTCGACCGAACTAGGTTTTGCATTCATTGAACTGGAATCTAATCATGCCGTTGGTACATGCTGCCAACCGTTTCCGGGCGGTGCTCTCCAGGTCTTCTGGCGCGTTAGTATGTCCTTCCTGTCGTTGTCGAATTTGGCCATGGCCGCGGCGTATTCGGCACGGCCTTTCTTGCGCTGAACGACGCAGCAGATAGTGATTGCGACGATGACGGCCACGATGAAGACGGCGATGCCGATGCCGACGCCGGCTTTGGCGCCTGAGCTGAGGTTCTTCCAGCGTTCTGAGACGGAGAGGTGTGGTTTGAGCAGTTCATTTTTGATTGTGGAATTTCCCCTGGATCAGCTTGTTTAGTGGGTTGTTCCGTGAAGGGGGGAGATAAAAGGGGAGTAACTTACTCGGTGATCTTGATGCTCTGCCAGTCGCCCGTCTGGTCGCCGTAGGAATACTCCTTGCCCGTTGAAAAGTCCTGCACACGGACCGACTGGACGGTCATGACGTACGGACTTTTGTCATAGTCGACTTCGCCTCCGGCCCATTCGATGGTGCCGGTGGGCTGACTGGGATCCCCGGCGGGCCAGATGCCAATGCGGACATTGCAGGGTGTCTGAGGGAAATTCTTCCCGCCAAGGGCGTCCTCGTAGTTCAAGGTGCGAACCAGCTGGCCGTCGATCCACCACTCGAGCTTCTCATGCGTCCAGTACGTGGTGTAGTTGTGGAATTCGGAATCGGCATTCTCGACGTAGTGGTAGCCGGCCCGGTCGTACGAAGAATGATTGCCCTTGCCGTAGTAGTTGGACTGCACGCCGGAGGTGTTGTATCCCACCCATTCCCAGTCGATTTCGTCCAGGTCGTCCGACTCGAGGACGACGCTGCTCACGACGCCCCTGCCGGTGGCCATCTTGGCGAAGGTTTCCACCACGCCGAAGAAGATGTAGAAGTTCGACTGCATGGTCGGGGAGTCCATTTTCTCCACGATGGCAAACTGTGCGCCATCTCGGGTTTGGTCGACTGTGCCACTGGTGACGGTCCAGACGTTCGAGTCGAGCGTCTTGTTCAGCTGGAAGGTGTGGTTCGTTCCCAAGGCTGGGTCGGCCGGACAGGTGGAATTGAGAGGATTGCAATTAGTGAAGGTCTGAGCCGTGACCGAAGCGATGCCGGCCGCGAAGAGGCCGAGAAGGTGAAGGAGCTTCATAACGAGGGGTGGAAGGCCTCTCTCGAGGTCGGTAGGGAAAGGAACGGACGCCTCTTGGCTTGCTCGACGCAGGAGAATTGCTCTGGGCAACGTAAAAAGAGCGACACGGAGCTGGACTCCTCGACACAGGATGCTAGGGAAAGGAATGGAAGTGTGCCAGACGCACCGCAGGGAGAATGAAGGAGGAAAATTCGCAGGCCCAAAAGCCAGGGAGCAGAAGAACGAGAGACGGCGGCATAATGGGTAATAATAGCAGCAACACGGGGCGCTTATTTAGCCTGAAGCAATAGACGAGAAAAAGGGGCAGATAGAGGCCCATTAGGCTATTATATTAGCTTCATTTAGCTGCAGCTTTAGTCTCTCTGCGAGCCTTATGAAAGGCTGTTCTGAAACTCTCCCCTGAAGCCGCGAGATGGTCTGGCGATCTCACCATGTGAGGATGATGGGCGCCTGTCATAGCTGCGATGGTCGGCCGCAGAGAACACCACCTCTCTTGCGCGCAAACAGGCCGATCCGACCAGACAATCAATCCCGCAGGGAAGTGTGGGCTTGCAAGAACCCGTGGCCCATCTGAAATTGCAGCCAAGACGCGCAGGGGCCGGTGGTGAAACTAGTGTATCTGCGCGTGTTGCCATGTCTCATTCCTTAATTTATCTTAAACCGCATTCTTGGAGCTGCACTGTCCTTGCGCTGCTCTTCCTCTGCTTGGGACGGTCTGCAGCGTAGATATCTACTAGGCAGCCTGTTTGGGATATAGCAAGAGCAAGTCCTGCAAGTCCTGCATGGTCTGTCTGCAGTTTGCTCCAGTGCTGGCCGGAAGATCCTGGCTCCTCACCGTCCGCTCACCCACTGCGTGCGTCCCTTGCTTTGAAGAATGACGCATCACAGTGAAGGAGACGCGAAATGCATCTTCTTGTTTGTTCCGGAATGCAGAGTTATTGGTCGCCACTGTCTTGGAGCAGTGAATCGCGGAAATCTCTTCATGGACTGCGGAGTATATGGAAACCCGTCTGCCTCCCTCATCCACCGCATCTTCTTCCCTCTCACCATATACCGTTCGTATAGTCATGTCTGCCTTCTATATACTGGCTGAAGTCTATATATTCTATAACCTCGCCGTTCTTGACTTCCTGGCGATGGAGAACGATGCAGTGTGCCAACCTCCGATGCCAGCCAAGAGACGCCGCCGTCTTCAGGACGATCCGGCTCTCTGTTGGACGACGAATGCCCGGGGTCAGGTCCTTCTGGTATGACTGTCTTGACTTCCTAAATAGGACTTATATACAGGGTGGCATCTACGCTCGTCCCATCTCAGCTGCGCTAGAGTTGACTGTTTCTGCGCGTGTCCTCGCTCTAGAGGCAATGGGAAGGGCTTTGGAGCCGCGACGGTAAGTCAGGCTATGCACCGACGCCTAGGGTATGCTTGAAGTCCTCGCCTTCTGAGGCCGTCCTCCTCCGCTTCGTGTAAACCAGAAGACCGGGCCACACTGCGAATTCGCATGAGTCGACAGGAGTATGGAGAAGAGGTTGCTGGCACAGAGGGATTCACCTCAGGAAACCCTTCGTCGTCGCCGCAGAAATGAAGACAAGGCATACCATGCACCTTGGCAGAGACCAGGGTTCGTCAGAGACGGAGGAAACGGCTCACACGCATGGGTGAAATGGGGTGAGTGGAATACTTTTCTTTCTGGCTTACTGGCTGCTGACAAGGTTGCGATGCATTCAATAGTGGGAAAACACCTGGGATGATTGCTCCCTGCAGCACCGCGTGCCATGACGAGCTTTCACCCCCCCTTATCCTGAATGGTGCATGGTTTGAGACATCCCTGCTTCCATTGAACCTGGGTGGAACTTCCTTTGCAGTGTCACCTGCTGCACTGTATAAACGGCGTCCTCATGGGAGCAAGGGCTTGCATGACCCTTGCTCCCTTGCTCCCATGAGAGGACATTGTCATCTGCGATGAAAACCACGCTGAAACTATGATCTGGTGCGTTATTTCTACATTCCACTTGAACTTCGGGTTCTTCGAATAACGTACTAACCTTCATATTGATGGTAGGGCTCAGTGGCACAATCCGAACGTTTAAAATTGAAATCCGGGGAGACAGGTGTCGACAATTATTTTGGTTGCGCTGCAGCGGAATATCGAAGTTTCCGGCCAGCCTGGAAGACTTCACTTGATGCATCCTCCGGGATGCTTAGCATAGCGAGTAGTCTGCATCTTCATCTTATATAAAGCCCTGTAAGTTCAAGTCCAAGACACGCCGGGGATGATTACGACTTGTTGGCATTGCTATTATTTCTCAACAGAGATGGCGGAACTCGACTCTATGCAGCTTAGCTGGCTTCGGCTTTGAATAACCCAACTTCTGGTTGCAGTCACCGGCAAATCCAAGAAGAAAAATGCCCGGGTAAATAGATGTATCAAGGAGATGTATGCCCCGGCAGGGCAAAAGGCTTCAGTCACGCTCACCTTTGTCGACTCGCCGATGCTATGGCAGACAATGGTGCATGAATAGTCTTCCCAAGTGGTCTTGTGGACGTGAGGAACTCTCGAAGTTATTATATTACATCGGTATATGGTTGAACCTGTGCAATATAATTACAACTGCACCCTTCTGTCGAACAGAAAACTGCATGCACGCGTACCCAAGGAAGACCTACGACGGTTACCACGGTGAAACCACTATCACGACATGGGGATTACCATCTTACCTCGGGCAATACGCCAGCAGCGAAAGGCAGGCTTTATCGTTACGAATAGACCTGCTTCGAATGGTGGTCCTTCACAGGGGGAGAGAGAGACCCATTTGGAGAACATCCTGGTCACTCCAACTGCTCAGGCAAGTTGCTTGCATCCCTGCTCAGCTCCTTCTCATAGCTAACTGTTGTTAGGGCACTGAGAGCATATGGAGCGGTATAGCTCTTCCCTGTCATGCTCATACAAGTTATGTGTTGTCTGTCAAACGCCATACAGGGCACTACATGTGGCCAAAGCCAATGTACGAAGTGGTAGGTCGCTCTCCCAACCAGAATCACATATGCTGCTAGTGACCCTGCTAATATAAAATAATAACGCTCAGTATCTCCTGATTGACCAAGTACTGTGGTGAAGAAAGCAAAGAATAATGAGGGCCCAGGACGCGTCTTCCACTGTCGAGACGACCCCGACAATTTATGGACAAAAAACTCTTCTGGTTGTATCTGGAGTACTGAAACTAGATACGGTCTCTTTTTTTGCTGTGACTCTCCTACAGCCATACTCACAACTCATATTCGGTGTGACTATAGATGACATCAACATCTGAGAAAAATGTCCTTCGACCATCATGAAAGACGGAATTCGATTTCCTTCAGAAGATTTTCGCATACTATGTCTTGGGAGATACTGCGAAGAAAAACTCTATATACAAATTCAAGAAATAATATAGATGAAAGAATGGCTATACACGACGAAGAATGCAGGCTCTCGAAATCCCACGGATTCAGATGGGACGCCAATGTCGCGGTGTCTTGAATAGCTTTACAGCATCCAAAGGGTAGCAATATAAAATACCCTGTCCCTGCAGGAATTGGAACCACCGGAAGATCCTATGAGCCTGGCATGTTGAAGATAAAGGCATGGATGGTTATGTTGAATCGATTACCGGGATGAGTATGGGGTAGCTAATTGTTCAGAACTAGTACCATACATGCTCGAAGCATAGGACATGCCAACTGAAGTGTCTTCGTCTCGTGAGTCCTGTGAATCTGTCTCGACCCATTTTGATACTCCTCAGTCAGTCTTTCCGTTATGGAACTTGAAGAAGCAAGACGACAGTCATGGCAGAATTGCTAGGCCCACAATGAGGATCGTACCATATCGCTCCCAAAGTCAGCATACTGCTTAGAACCCGGGAGTTGAAGGGCACGAAAATATCATATGCGCTGGAGGAAACCGTGGACGGTATACCTATGGACCCAAATGGTCCTGGCTATTTTTCAGCTTAAATCCGCTCGGATTGAAACATGATCCAGAGAAGCTACTAATACTGCTGTACCTACTTGCCTTCGCGACATTTAATGAGGCTTACAATCAAGGGGCACTTATCCACAAAAGATGGATACCATGGATTCCTATAATTATGTGACTTGACGGTCTTCATCACCAGATGAGTGATGTGTGACACCCTCAGCAGTGGCGAATGCCTCGGGGATCAGAAGGGGCCATCTTGTCGAGGTATCATCGGCCTTCCGTTGACGCATCCTGACGCATGGTAAACTCCAGATATGTCGTGTGATGCTCAATCGACTCGGCATACGCTCCAAATTGGAACGAATGTTCCTCAAGTTTGTCATATTCCAGGAGTGATCTGGCTTGCATTTGTGTTGTCAAGGGATATCCGAAATATCTACTGTGTGTGCAGTCAATTAACTCCACGACAAATGTGAGAAGACCCGAGCTACTAGCTCGGTTCTTTCTGGGTTCTTTTTCCCTCCATAAGGATTTGATAAGTTGAAAAGCCCCGGGCAAGGAGAGCCGCAGCGACCATCTGCCAACTGCAGTATCTGTCTATGGATTTCCGCTACATACATACTATGCCTTGTGCCAGCTTCGCATAGAAAATGGACCCTTTTTTCCCAGACCGCCCCAATCTTCTACCCAGAGTCCGTGATGTCTTCCCGAGCCGAAAACTGGAGTACGATGCTCCCCCCCCCCGCAGGAGTTCAGTGAGGAGGAAGATGTCACGTACGAGGAGACGGACAAAGAAGAGACTCCTGAGAGGAGGGCGCACATTGTATAAAACTCATGATGGCTCCGGGGACACTCTTCTATCCAGCCTCCTGTAGACGCTCTGCGCTCAGAGCAATTACAGCCGTCTGGGCATCTCACGTTCAGCGCTTCATCTCTGGATGATGTGCAGTGCAACTGTCCCTGCAAGCTACCGCTGACATAAAGATGATAAGATGGCGCTCTGGAACTGAGGATACCAGAGCTGTTTTCAAGTACGAGAACAGGGACTATTCTATTGTGAACGGTTACGAGTACCATGGGAGTAATCCACGACGCTAAGGCTATCTGGCATCAAGGGAAGCCCTTGAATAAAAATGGGAACAGTTGGAATGGATAAACTCTTGGTTTCCCCAAAGCATCGATGAGACCACGTATTCCAACTTCGGAGCCTTCTGCAGCATCACCAGAATGTCAGTCTTAGATGGCTGGAAAAACTTGTCATCCTCCTAAGACTCCTGATTCTACAAGCAGCCGGATTCCAAGCCCTAAAGGAGAAAGCATCTGAGCTGTCGTCGAGGTCAAGCCATGCCTGTGTCGAATACGAACAAAACGTTCATGCTGATGATTTTGTGATGCCGATGGAGATGTCGCTGTATAACCAAAAACCCAAGACATCCTGCGTCTATTAGAGAAGCAAATACGCTTAAACGAGTTCTTACGTGACGGCTGAACCTCACCTATCCGCACACATGCTTCTACGATAATGTCACCGAAGCGCATCCCTCCAAAGATCCAGTACAGAACGCCTGTAGTGACTCTCTATATCTCAAAGTTCATGTTTCTCTTTCAGGCTATAAGACTCAGGGGAGTAAGTGTTCAACACTACATTGCTAAATTCCTTTAGTTCCTACCGGTCATTCACTCATATGGGATGTATAATAACTAATATGACAATAGGTTTAGTATGGAAAAGGAAGTTCAAAATCTAGCTACCACTTGCCAATCAGTTCCCTCTGCTAAATGTGTTTTGAAGAAGCCAATGGCGACAAATCAAAGCCTATTCCGGCGGACGCCGGTGCGAACTGCCTGGCACGGTCATGGTCACGGTCATGGTCACGGTCATGGTTCAAGCTGCTCTGAGCGTAAGTTTCCGTTGCGTTGTTGTTGATCGCTGGCCTCAGCTAACAGTTGATGGAAGCATACACTCACTAAGGGCATTGATACAAACAGCGAGAACAGCATGCATTCCCTTATGATACAAGATATTAACCCTTCCTATAAAGCTGCTCGCCAGCCAGAATCCCTTGCAAATCTTTCTCACTACTTCAATACCGAAAAATTCCTAAAAATTTACGCAGCTCTCCTAACAGATGACTTTGGGTGACAAGAGAAAAAGCAAAGCATACGTACGACATAGACGAATCGAAACGTCTTTAAATGAAAGACCACTCTGATGTATTCTTCTGGATATCAGATGTTGAAACTGAGCAAACCATCCGAGCCCAAGTACGTACTAGCGTCGTACCTGCTGCTCTTTGACATATCTACCCCCGTATAGCCTTGAGGGCGTCGCGCGCCGCATCACCGTAGTGCAGACGCGTGGTACCCTGTCTGACTCCATTATCTCGATGTGTGCAGCTACCAGGAACATCTCAACGTTCGTACGGAACTCAACTTATCGTCGTGTGTTCCGCCTGGTGATGTACGCAGCGTTAGCTCGCCTTCCTGTGCACCGTCTGTTGCTGCCGAAGCAACCAAGGCTACGAGCCTAGAGCAACTGGAAATGGCGATGAGACTGGAGTACGTTCTAAAACTCATGGCGAGAAGACTTTGAGCGTGACTGCCAACATAGATAGATATGCTGCATTCATCACCAGGACATCAAGTTGATGGGGCCATGTCGCCTTCAATACTTGTTCCCGGTGCATTAGGGCTACAGGACGCTAAGATGCCATTGTTTGTCTACAAGAGTCACTCCAGGCACACCATATGGTACGATCCAGTCTACTGCAACAAGGAAACACCGGAAACATCAAATTATAATAGAAGTCGCTCGAATTTCTCGAAAAAAAGTTAAGCTGAATAATGGCTTCTCATGCAGACTGTACAACTGCTGTTTTCTGGGTCATCTATTCAGGTGGAACAAATCAATGCTGATTCGGTCGAGGGGAGGCAAAATCTTAGCCTTGCGTGCTGGGAGACTTGATTCCATGACTGAACAATATTCTATTGCGCCGGCCCCTGTTCGTTCTCCCAAGAAATTCGGATGCGGCTGACCGCGAAGAGTGACAGATGGTGTAAAGGGGCGTACGTGCGTTGTTCCCTGCGACAGGAACCGGGTCGTGATCGAAGGATCTCAGGGATGGACACACTGAACGATGTAGTAAGGAAACGATATAACGAAAGAAGAAACACAACGACGGTGGAGTCTCGCTCCATTCTATACGACGATGACGACGAAAACGATACTAGTGAAGCAACACCAAAAGCATGCTCAATTCTCGAAACTATCTAGGGAAGAGGCTCGCCTTAAATACCCCTTCTGCCACGGGCTCCACCATACATAAGTATGGCAGGGGCCGCGGCCCAGCAGGATCTAAAACAGGAAAATAGAAGATAGGGGAGTGCCCCCCGGCACAATGGCCGCATGAAGATATAAACGAACGAGGCGATATTTATCTGCTCGACAAATGACGCCAATATGGATCCTTCCTCCGGCATGTCATTTAATATTGAACTTGTCAATAACTAATAATGTCATCAACACTAGAGCACAGCGGCAAGAAACCCATGGGTCGCCAAGCACTCAAGGTGCAGGAGAACCCAGGGAAGTGATGGATATCATACCTTGGCCAGAGAGGTCGTCCCACAGCTCTTTAAATCATTTTCCTTCTCTGAACAACTAAGGTACAGCATGCAGTGGTTCGACACTTTTGAGACAATTCTGAAAGATCCGTGAGAGGATCAGGGACAGAAGTTGTTCAACAACTTGACAAAGCATTTAAAGTTGCAAGGCATGTGAATACGCTTAAATCTTTTCAATCTATGGCCAAGATAACGAAATAGGGTTCTCGCCAAGGGACGAGGACCAGAACCCATGGGCTTTAATCAAACCCAACCCGATCTGGGGAGTGAAGAAACCCTTATATGATTTGCCTTCGCAAGTCGGGAAGAGCATCGTGAACCCATCTCCATCCTTGGATGAGATTAAGACGGTTCTTCCTTTTATTATATATCCCATTGGCGTTGAGCTCACACAAGCCATGGATATAAGCCTGCACCTATCTATTATTCAATATGGCAATGACTTTTCTTCCTTCAAGTATCGTTACAGGCCTTTCTTTTTTCTTCTCTGGGGTATGTCTTCGCCAAATTGTATTTTTTTCCGCATAGTGTCACCAGAAGGTCGTCTGGCACAATGAGATCTTATGTAGGTACATGCACACAGGAAATCAATTTTGTCTCGTGACAAGCTTGAATCAGGTTCATACTCCGCATTGGAGGTGTCAACTTCCATTTTGATGCATACTATTCTTCTACTCAGCGCATCAGACTCGAAGTCAGGTTCTTTATCTATGTCATATAGACCATTGTTGCTATTGCAAATGAGCACGTAGCCTTGGGTCGCTACCTGTTATGTTCTTAAAAAGGGCAACGTTGAAGGTATTTTCGAAGCATCAAACATACTTTCCATTTTCAAGTTTGCTTCACTAGTATCGTCGCTATCGCATAGTACAGAGATCAGCTCCTTTTCATTGTCTTCTTCCTTTTATTGCTTTCTTTCCCTACTAAGTTACTTCACGCTGCGTTGTACGGCTACATCGCCTCAGCACCTTCATCCCTAAATCCCTTGACCACAACCCGGTTCCTTTCACAGGGAGCACCGCACGACACTATGTGGGGAGGTATTATGTATGAGTTGCACTATGAGCAACCATCTTGCCCGGTTAGTATACGCATGCAGGTAGTAAGTATTCAACGACCTGGTTCTGGTATTTAGTCTGGCTGTCAATCTGTGGGTGGTATACAGTGCATAGCTGATGCTTAATACTTAGGAACCAGCAGAGTGTCACGGTGCGACCCTCCGGGAGCATTCAAAAGCTTAACTACTGCACTAGAGCAGGACAGGAACGACAGACACTGGAACACCTATTATTAGGAAGGCAAATGAATAAATAAAAATAAAAAATAATAATAAAAAAGATTTTGGCGCTGCCCGGAATCGAACCGGGGCTGGCACGGCCACAACGTGACGTCATACCACTAGACCACAGCACCTGTTGTGTCGAAGCTTTAGCCAACTGCGATATCGGCTGCCTTCGTTGTGTTGTATCCTTACAACATTGTTATGTGAACTGTTCCATCAGAAACATTTCTCCATATAGCTTACTATGGATCTTGACATAAAAGCGTCTTATTTATGATATTTTTGGCATTTTTCCTAGGTCCTTCCATCTTCGCTCTGAAAAAGCAATTCTAGAACTAGCCTCCCATTTAGAGAAACCCGCATATCTCCAGTGAAAGAATCCCGATCCATGTACAATGAAAGAGGAACAAAAGATCATCCACAGGCGCCGCTCCAACAGCCGCAAAGCAATACGCCAGCAACAGGCTCGCTGAAGGGACAGTCTCCTCCGGAAGTCGTTCGAATATTACCAGGAATGTGATGCCGGCGGAGAGCGAGTATCTGTTAGCAAGTCAACCATATGAAGGCAATCAGAGAGACGATTTCCACGCATAGGGAGTAGGTATAAACATCACTATTATACCGGGCAAGTTTAACGGCGGAGGTCCAGACTCGCTAGTTAATGGAGGGGTCATGAGATTTTGGCATAGATGAAGAGTGTCACCGCACCGCAATTGTCATTCATTCATGTATAAGCCATCTGTAGCGCCCATTGACTCTCCGCGTTGATCTAGTACTCAAGTTCTGTCCCCAGTGGCATCCATTCACACCACATGCAATCTTTTAGATTCACATTCCTCGGGTCCACGCCGTAATCGTTTGAGAGGACCTGGTCGCTTGTGCATCGGCCGGCAGTCCAATGTATATCGATGGAAGTCAATAATTAAGGCTCGTTTGAGCTCAGCATTCCACAAGATGTTTTCCAGACGAAGATCCTGGTGTGAAATGCCCAAAGAACGGATCTCCTTCACCGACCGAGAAATCGCACGGTGGATGGTCTTATCCAGGGTTATATGGCTCATGCTCTCGCCACCCCAGCCCATCAGGAGCATATGACGGATTTTTCCTGCGCCGTGGAGGAAGTAGATCTGGGCCAAATTGATCGCCCCGAGAAAGACTGGAACAGCTGATCCTTGGGCACGCTGAAGGACACGGTAAACCTCAGCTTCGCGTGACACCTCCGTCCAGAGCCTCGAAGTCGTCCCTTTCCCGACAACTGTATATCCAAAGGTGGCACAAGTAATCTTGAATGGTGCGCCGTAGGACCCACAAGGGCCTATTGGAGTGCAGTTATGATCCAGATCCTGATCAAGCTGCGCCTTGAGCTTCTTCACTAAGTCATCTGCGCTGATCGGGTGTCGGTCACTTCTGCCAAGCATATGCAGCTCCGTGTTTGGACAATCAGGGTCAAACGTGCTGCCTTGTTGTAGCCCAAGAAGGCACTTTTGTGTGCAATATTGAGCCTCATGTAGACGAGATTGCCCGCTTTGGTTGGCTTGGGGACCTGCTCGGGGTGCAGACTGTTGGGACGGAGGTGACGATGTGACCTGGCTAAACCTACGCTTCCGTCCAGCAGATGCGGCGGGGTCTACCTCAGAATCTGAAGAATCCTCTTGGAGGCGCTGGTCGGATGATGGCGCGCAGCCAGGGGCCGCTCGTGTGGGCACTCGACGGCCGGTGGTGACGGGAGACCCCGCTGAGGACGATGATGAGAGGTACTCAGAGGTGGTCTGCTCAGGACTAGTGAAATCAGTGCTAGCATAGTCCACGTTTGAGTTCTGTGGTAAATCCGCCGTTGGAATTTGGGAGCGCTCGCTATCGAAACTCGTGTGCCATTTCGGTAGCTTGCTGTCGGCGACATTCCGCCAGGCCTGATCACGAAGAGGAGTGCGAAAACTCATCAGACAGAGGCACAGAGTCCTTGCAATTCGAGTCATGGGAGCCCCTGGTCCTCCGACACCTGCTGTTCCATACATACTGGGGTCACCCAGGTCATAATAGAGGGTACTCGGATCATCATGTGGCACCCAGAGCTGCACGTCCACCAGGCCGTTTGTTAAATATGAATACTCAAGGCCTTCTTGAATCATCACGTGGAATTCTTGGACAATCGCGGATCCGACTAGCCGCGCGGCATTATATCGTGATTTCGCCGGCTCTACCGTCGGAACAATATCGGGTTCAACAATTTCTTGCCAAAAATCCATTGGTCGGAGTCCCTCACGCAGGGTCGCCACGGGGAGTTTATGGGGTGGTTTGTATTCGACCGTAGTGAGCAAGGTACTTGTGTTCTCATTGACTCGATGGATGCAATATTGATCTGGTTTTGGAGGTTTTGTGCTTGATGACTGTCTCGCCTCAATTTCATCATCTTCATCCAGTGCGTGGGCATGATTATCAAACCACACTCCGCTGCCTAACCGGAACTCCTCGCGAGCATCTGGTATTTTGCATAACTCAGCGATGATGTCATGCACATGGTCTTCAACAGCGAGTCGCTCATAGGTCTGGAGGTCCTGTTCACTGCTGATCGGTCGACGCGCAAATCGTCGACCATGGTCTTCCAACGCAACTAGCGGCGTGAATAACTGTCGTGCGTCCTCTTCCGTCGGTTGAAGGTAGCGCCAAACAGATTCATAAATTTCCCGTTGTCTAGCTTCACAGTCGGTCCACGGAAGCAGTCGTATAGGGCAGTGTTTTCTGGTGGGAGCAGGGATTTTGCCTGTCGTGGAGCGAGACGGTGTTTGCACTCGTAGAGGCCTCCAAAGGAGATCATGGCAATGTCGGATGAACTCTGGAAATGTCGTCGGTCGGTTGCGCTCCCTCTCTTGCCACTCTCGTTCCTCTGCCAGCCTCCTCTCCTCCTCTGCTTGCCTTCTCAGCTCGGCTTCCTGCCTTTGGCGTTCCTCTGCCAGCCTCCTCTCCTCCTCTGCTTGCCTTCTCAGCTCGGCTTCCTGCCTTTGGCGTTCCTCTGCCAGCCCCCTCTCCTCCTCTGCCCGCTTCCTTTCCTCCTCTGCTTTGAAGAAAAGCGCCTTGTAGTCTGGGGAGCTGCTTCCACTCATCGTTATCGTGGATAAGGGATGAAACAGATGGAAAACCCCATGACGATGTTGTTGGTCAGACTCACCCTGTCATCGAATGTCAGCGGAGCGGCATCCTCGGTGAAAGTATTTCTCCGCTGAAATGTAGATCCGCATAGGGCAGGCAGCCACGGGGTGGGCGCTAAACCGGAACGAGGGGGTTGCCGGAAACGTCGCCCCTCCGGTAAATGCGAATTGTACTTTATTTGTGCATACTATGCTCAAATTAACGAAGCCTATCTGCAACCGAAGTGGTGCTCATTATTCACTGACGTTACTCGAGAAAGGAGAAGGTCAAGATTTGGTGTCATTAACACATTTCCTAAAGCCAGATAAATTGAAGTCCACCAGTTTCATAATGGGATCACACAATCTCACTCTCGGATATATTGGAACTACAAACAGCCACAAGAATACTTTTAGGTGTTTCTCCGATGCAGCTGAACAATAAGTCTGGAAGCAGTCTTCCAGGGCTCTCTAATGCTGCCTGGAACGAAGTTATCCCATATTCCACGGTGAAGAGATCTACTGATTCCAGGCATGTTATTTGAAATGGTTGGAAATGGGAATCGAATAGGGGACCAGCTCAATGCAGATGGTACAGAAAGCCTTCTCATTTACCTTTTCGGATTGTCACGCGCTTGTGAATCTGCAGCTTGGAGGACATCATATCATATATCTGCCGAATAGAAGAGATGAAATCACCCTTAAAAATCTTCGTACTAGAAACCTCCAATGATTTCTCAGTGGATGCAGTGCATCCCCCGAAAGGCAGAGGCCATATTCGATTGATTTCGGAGTATCTTCCAGTTTACCGTATCTCGTTTCATTGTGCCGCACTTTCCGATGCCATGGATACACACTTGTCGAGCACTGGCTGCTCGCTTTGGGGGATTCTTCCATATTCGGATGTGCACTCAATCATATATGCCTATATGAATCTGAAAGATCAGGACGAGCCCGACCGATCATCCCTCGATCACTACGCCAGACGCCGAACTGGTCATTTAGATGCTGACATGTGTCAACAAGGTGTTCAACAACAGATCCAACTCCAGCGATTTTGCTATCAAGTTTAATCCCAGTGTCCGGTTCACACCTGTCCGCTGGAAATAGGTTGGCTCACCGAGGGTACCGAGAAGTACGCGGGATATCCGAAAAAGTCATACATGATCGTGGTTCTCAGCTTAAGGGGTCTCTCTGGACAAGCTGACATGGGGTGTGCTGGTATGGGTGCTTCCTTTGTCCCATAGGTGATAATAGACCAACGAGGAGAATAACTTCTCAAGTATACACCCCCAGCCAAGCATAAGATCATCTGATGAATTAACGAAAAGAAGACTCCGAATATGGACATCTTGCATGTTACCTACCACCATTACTGGGTTTATTCCAGGAATTTTCTTGTCATAGAGATATAATTATTCAATTTTCCTTAGTCCAGCTCTAGTCCGCTATTACGGACGGGACTCGACCCGGCGTATTACTCCTATAGAAAATTTCACTACCGGATAGATTCGTCCATAAGCAAACGCAGATCGTCTTAGGCTTTCTAGCGTAATTTTGCGACTTTGAAATAGCGCCATCGTCATTTTTTCAATGATGACATCAAGGTAAACAACGTATTCAGAAATCCAATCTGATCGGAGTGGGTGATTGGGGTAGCCTGCTCACATATAATTCAAATTCCGAATCCCTTATCCAACAACAGGTGCTGTGGTCTAGTGGTATGACGTCACGTTGTGGCCGTGCCAGCCCCGGTTCGATTCCGGGCAGCGCCAAATTCTTTTTGCTTTTATTTTTTTTCCATTCATTTGCCTTCCTAATAATAGGTGCTCCAGTGCCTGTCCTTCCTGTCCTGTTTGATATATATATGAGAGAGCAGTGTAGAGCCCCCGGCTCTACATCCTAGTCTTTTGCCTAGTGCAGCAGTTAAGCTTCTGAATGCTCCCGGAGGTCGCACCATGACAGGTATAGATGAGATGTCCAGCGCCCATGTTGGAAGCGTATCCTGGACATGTTGAAACATTACTTCGCTGGGAATGGGGATCAATTTACGTTCGTCACAAATGAGAGTTCTTAGGGTAGATTGATGGTGGTGGATGGCCTCCCCAAAACCAGGTTGAGAAGTGGGAAATTTTGACTTTCCTATCTTTCAGTTCCTCTCAGGCAGGTGTGAGTAAGCAATGAGACTGTTCACATATTCCTCAGGTAGTGTGCCGGGGGCACTGTGAAATCCCGGATTTCCCATATTTCCTATCTTAGAACACCGTAGAGCCGCGGTCTCCGACATACTAATGTATGGTGGAGCCCGCGGCCGGAGAGTACTTAATGGAGGGTGGTTTCCTCCCAGATAGTTACGAGAAATTGAGCATTCTTTTGGTTTCTAGGTTGCTTCACTAGTATCGTTATCATCGTATAGAACGGAGCGAGGCTCCTTCGTCGTTGTGTTTCCTTTTATCGTTATATCGTTTTGCTAGATTGTTCAGTGTGTCCATTCCTGAGATCCCTCGATCACAACCCGGTTCCTGTCGCAGGGAACAACGCGCGTACGCCCCCCTTTACGGTAGACCTGTCTAGCGGCCCTTGTGGCATAATTTGCCTGGGTGAGTTTGGCTTAGGTGGTTCTGTCCTAGTAGGCACTATAGGCCTATTTAATCCCCCCTGCTCCTCCAAACAACCACGATTTATTTATTATGGTGTGTTACTCCATAATAAAGGTAGCCTCAGCCGTTATAGTCCTGTTATGATTAATGACATGCTGGATTTTGGGAGCTATTAAACCATTCAGCTTTACACTGCTCTCTCATATATATACCAGGTAGGACAAGACAGGCATCGTAATAACCCCCTGATCTGTGATATCAGAACAATAGAGGATAAGAGGATACAGAGAGATCGCTGGCCAGTGGTCAGACAGCATGTTTTTGACAATCGACCATCTATAACTTATTTATTAATTAACAGTTTCTTTTATTTTATTTTTATTTTTTTTTACAACTGGTTAATACCGTCTTAATGAACTATCAATCGACTCTACTTCCCAAATATTTTTACAAAACTACGGAGGTGAGTCTTTGTAACGTATTTCCCGGTCGAGCAGGCCACCTCATCAAATTTCTACGCGTTTTACTGCTTCAACTAATTCAACCACCAACCATGCCTCCAAAAGTGCGTCAAAATTCAAGAAATTCAGCTGAGAAAGAGGGAAAGATCTTACTTGCTATTTCTACTTTAGAAAAGCAGGAAATTTGCAATATTCGCGAAGCGGCACGCGTTTATAATATCCCTCGTACAACCCTCCAGCGACGACTTAATGGAATCACTTCACGCGCAGAAACACCGCCAATGGCCATAAATTGACTCAAAATGAAGAGGAATCACTTGTACGATGGATTCTATCGCTAGATAAACGTGGAGCAGGCTCCCGACCATCCCAAATACAAGAAATGGCCAATATTCTTCTTGCAGAGCGTGGCACAACACCTATCCAATCAATTGGAAAGAATTGGGTCTCTAGCTTCATTAAATGGCGTGATGAAATGAAAACACACTATCCTCAACGCTATGATTATCGACGAGCGAAATGTGAAGATCCTAAAATCATCAAGGAGTGGTTTGATCGTGTACAAATTACTATAATGCAACATGGGATTGCACAGGAGGATATCTACAACTTTGATGAGACTGGCTTTGCTATGGGCCTAGTAGCTACTGCTCAAGTAGTTACTAGAGCTGATTACTATGGAAAAGCCCCTCTTGTACAGCCAGGCAATCGGGAATGGGTTACTTCAATTGAGTGTATCAACTCTACTGGTTGGGCGCTTCCTCCATGCATTATCTTCAAGGGGAAGGTCCATATAGAGGGTTGGTATCAAGATTTCAAGCTCCCGTGTGATAGCAGAATTGAAGTTAGTCCTAATGGATGGACTTCTGATGAGATAGGCCTTCACTGGCTTAAAGATCTCTTTATTCCTGCTACTTCTAGTCGTATGACTGGGAAATACCGTCTTCTAGTCATGGATGGCCATAGCAGCCATCTTACACCTCAATTTGATCAGATATGCAGTGAGAATAATATTACTCCTATCTGCATGCCTGATCATTCTTCTCACAAGCTTCAACCTTTGGATGTGGGCTGTTTTGCGTCTTTAAAAAAGGCATATGGGACCTTGGTGGAGCAGAAAGCACGCTTAGGAATCAATCATATTGATAAGCTTGATTTCCTAGAGGCCTCTCCACATGCTCGCGAACGTGCCTTTCAAGCAGAAACTATTCAAAATAGCTTCGCAGGCGCTGGACTAGTTCCATTTGATCCAGATAGGGTGTTTAGCAAGTTAGACATCCAACTAAAGACCCCTACACCACCACCTAGTCAGTCAACTAATTCAGCACCTAAAACACCATATACTACTAGGCAGCTGGAGAAGCAGGCATCAGCTGCAAAGAAACTGCTTAGGGAACGCGTGAAGAAATACGCAAATTTCACGCTAATAATGAATGGAATGGTTAAAAGCAAAAGCGCTCTACTAGGCAGCTAGTTATTCCAAAGGGCCCAGAGATTCAGGAGGGTTTAGAGCGATTTCAGCGCGAGAATGAGGTTGTTGAAGGTCAAGATACGCTTCCTATAGATCCAGCACTTTCAGCAGTTGGACCACGCGTACGAGCTCCACCACAGTGTTCTAATTGTCATATTCGGGGACATACTAGAGTTAGATGTCCTAATCCCCTTAGAAAATAGTTTTTATATAAAAATGCAATTGTTTGGTTGGTAGAGGCTCTAGTATTTAGCCCGCGGGCAGGAATTAGCAGGTGGCCCGCTCCACCGGCAAATACGTTATATCCGTCCATTGCTTTGATACCATATTTACTATGTTACACGTAAATTGAAACCAATCTTCAACAAAAAAGGTGCTGTGGTCTAGTGGTATGACGTCACGTTGTGGCCGTGCCGGCCCCGGTTCGATTCCGGGCAGCGCCAAATTCTTTTTGCCTTTTTGCCCCTTCGCTCTTACTTCCTAAATCAATTTATCCAGCCATATCTATAGCAACCTTGGACACATCCATATGTGTCAAGGGAGAATTTCAGTTGATCCGCGAGAACAGGTCTTGCAACCGTCAAATTTGCACTGTTTTGGCTTTGAGCTGCAGTCTGGTTCTGGCCTTAATTGTCAGGCTCTACACGCTGAGCAAATGACCAGCCGACGCGTTTTCGGATTATGCAGATTTACACCCACTTTTTACACTCATCTGACGATGGTTTTGTTGGTCGCTTACCCTGCTGAAATGGGTGCGATCATCGGGGTCCGATTAGGCGGGATGTTTATAGGGGCAACGTGGGTGCAGGATACTAATAGATACACGGCACGGTGCATGGGTGCGTCGATATGTCTGCAATTATATACATACCACCTTTATGTACTCCGTATCCATCCAGAGAACGAAGCAGATTGAAATAAAAACTATAAAATACTAACAAGTACTCCAACAAAAACAAGAAATCATTCATTATGAAATGGTAGAATTGCTATCCAACTCATATTCCCATTCACTCGTGCCTTCCCAGATCCCAGAAACCCCATGCCATAACAAAAACGAAGCAACAGTATATGCATGCGTGACCCAACAATTAAATCATTCAGCCATTACCGTCCTGTAATGTAATCCTTGTTCTCTATAGTGATGCTCTTGGTCATATGGTTGACCTTGTACACACCAACAAGACGGGAAGCCAGTTCAAACTGTCGAGAGTTTCCAGTTAGTATATATACCGAAGGCGATAATGGAAAGGACCTCTCAGCAAAGTCAGACTTACCATATTATTTCTCAGAGAAATGACAATAAACTGCGCATTCTTCGTTCTCTCCTTAATGTACGAAGCAACAATGGAGACCTGAAGACTTCGGTAAGAACATAGTCCAGTGACAGCGAGGTTGGAAAGGATACTTACGTTCTTGAAATCCAAAGCAGCATCAATCTCGTCCATCACGTACAACGGGGTAGGTCTGTAATGATGAAGAGCGAAAACAAGCGCCAGGCTAGACAACGTCTTCTCTCCACCAGAAAGATTGCTGATGTTCTTCCAGCTCTTCTTCGGCGGCATGACGGAAAAGAGGATGCCCTCTGAGAATGGATCTAACGAATCGACCAGTTCCAATTCCGCGTTCCCGCCCATGGTGATCATCTGGTACATTTCCTTGAGCCGAAGTGAGATGATAGCAAAGCCTTCCATAAACCCGTTCAGTCGCGCAGACCGAAGACCGTCTAGTCGAGCCTTGGCACCATCTCGGGCTGCAAGTGCAGTATTTAAATCAGCCGATCGTGACTCAAACTCCGTTACTCTACGGCGATACTCTTCGATCACGGACAAATCGACCCGAGTGTTTTGATTCTTCTCTTCCATGGCTGCAATGACGGCTTTCAGGGACTCCTTATTCATGTCTGCCAGTTCGTCCCTGGTATAGATTTGGAGCTCAGTGGGCTGTTGATCATCTCCCAAGTCGCTGACGTTCTGTAGCGCCAATCTAGAGACCTTCTCATGCCAGTACCGGCTTCGCTTTTCGTTCTCCGCCAATGCTTTCTGGTTTTCTTCGAGCTTGTTGCGCATTTCGATCTCCGTAGCTCTAGATTCATTCAGCTCAGCGGTCTTCTCCTCTAGTTCCTCCTTTAGAGCCTTGAGCTCCTGTTGCTTTGCTTCGAGAGCTTCCTGTGCCTCCTCGACCTTCTGTTTCGACCCGGATGCATCAGTAGCTTGATTTTTGGCGGCCTCAGCAAGCTTTTCAAGCTCCACAGCTACGTGCGCAGCCTCCTCCCCAGCATCTGCCCCGCTCTTTCGGTGCTTGGTGATCAGCTTCTCATTCTTTGACTTCGCGATTTCGGCATTGGATATCTCCTCAGAAAGCAGTCTAATCTGTTCTTTCAGACCGTCTACCTTGGCTTTCTGACTGCGGAGCCTAACACCACCGACCTCCATGATTTTGTCGTGGAGTAACTGGATCTCTTCTTCAATGCCCACCTTCTCTGCCCCAAGTTTGCTAATCTCCTTCTCCAAAGAGGAGATCTGCTTCTCAAGTGCTGCGGCTCGACTTTCGTCCGCTTTCGACGGTTTATGCTCGGCACCCAATTCCCTAACTCTCCGCTGAGAGTCCGCAAGGCTGCGATTGGCGCTGTCAATTTCAATCAAGATCTTCTGGATCTTCGTCTCGACGCGCGGAATTTCGTCCGACTTCTCCCTGATCTGTGCCTCGATCTGCCGCTGCCTCTCTTGGAATGCCTGGTATTTTCTCTCTCTTTCATCACGGTCATGCTCTAATTTTGCAACCTGTTCCTTCGTAGTTTCCGCCACAAGCTTTGACGACATACCACCTCGAGCGACCCGTGTGCCTCCACCACTCATGGTTCCGGATACGTCGATCAGCTGGCCGTCAAGAGTGACAACCCTCCACCGCCGAGCGCCATAAGCAATGCGGTTCGCTTGCTCCAAGTCTTCGGCTACCAATGTATTGAGCATGACACTATAAAATGCCGGTGCAAATCTCGGGTCCTTGGGCCGAACTAGATCAAAAAGACGCGGGACATCCTCGGGCGTTGAAATTGACGACATATCTCTGCGGGGTAGGCGGTCGAGGAGGATGAAGTTGGCTCGACCAAGGTTATTTTTGCGGAGATAGTCAATGCACTGTTGACCAACTTCAACGGAGTCAACAACCATGTTTTCCAGCGCAGGACACGCAGTCGAGATTGCGATGTCGTACTTCTCGTCGATGGTTCCAAGATTTCCGAGTCGGCCATGGAATCCGTCAACACGGCCTGATTCCTTGAGTCGCATTAGGCCTGTCAATACACTGCCACGATTCTGAGTGCTGTTGAGACTAGCCCTCGCCTCGTCTGCCTTCTGGCGGGCACTTGATACATGGGCACGAATCTCGGGTTCTTTCGCCGCAAATATCTTCAGATCCTTCCGCAACTTTGCGACATCGGCTTCGAGACTGGCCTTTTGCTCTTTCCGTTCCTCAAGATCACTCCGCTTCGCAGCTAGTGCTTCTTCAATAGATGATATCCTGGCATGTGCCTCTTCTAGCAAGACAGCACCGGCGCTGCTCTTTTCACGCAAAATATCGAGTTCGCTTTGAGCCACAGCAACAGCCGAACGTTTTTGGTTGATCTTCTCGTTCCACGGTTCGAGAGACTTTTGCTTCGCAGCGATTTGATCCGAGAGACCCTGTGTCTTGCCTTTCAATCCTTCACGAATTGCAGAGAGCTCATCCTCCTCGACCTTCATCTCCTCCTCGATCTGTGCAGTTTCTGCCGTTTTCTTTTCGATGTCGTATGCATGCTTCTGGACCAAGCTCTCAGCTTCCGATGCAGATAGACGACTGGATTGCATCGCCTTTTCCAGTTTCTTCTGCTTTCCAATCAGAAACTTTTTCTTCTCTTCGAATTTAACGGATTCTTTGTCGTATTTGGCCATTTCTTTTAGTATAGCCTGCGTCTCCTGCTCCATGGCTTCATATTCTTTTGTAGCACGTTTGTAAGCCTTCTGGAGATCTTTGATTCCGGATTCATTGCCTTCGTGCTTCTCCAGTTCCAGATTTAGCAATTCCTGCATTTGTAGAATGGCTTCCTGGGTGACTCTGATATTATTCGCACATTCGTCAATATAGATTTGATAAAGGGCGGATTGCTTCTGAACGAGCTCATTCTCATCGCGTATATAAGCGAGTGCGGCGTCTTTCTTCTCCTCAAGGCTTGACTTCTCCTTCTCAATGTGCTTAACGCGGTTATTCTTCTCGACACAGACATCATTTAGGGTTTCAACTTCTGCTGCAGCTTCTTCAATAGGTGCCTTATATTTTGAAGTTCCAATAATATCTTCGAGATATTCCAAAAGGCCATCTTCATGTTCATTAGCGGCTTTTGGTTTCATCTGAGAGATAGACTCAACCTCTCCCTGCAAAATGAGGAAACGCTTGTGGTCTAGATCTATGCCGCGCCCACGAAGAAAATTAGCAACAGTAGAAAAGGGAGTTTCTGTCTTATTCATGTAATATTTGCTGGTGTTGTTTTTGAAGGCCTTTCGGGAAACAATCAGTTGGGAATCTGGGATGACCTCGTGTCCTCCATTGGGCAAATCTAGAATCTCCTCGAAGTGAACCTCAACTTCACAGAAGGGTAGATCGGGGTGTTGAGCAGAGTTATGAATCAATGCCGATACTTTGCCTTGACGCATTTTGCTTGCGCGAAATCCGAAGACGAACAATAGGGAGTCGATCACGTTGGACTTTCCAGATCCATTCGGCCCAACGACGGAAGAGAACGAATGATGGAAAGGCCCAACAACCTGTGTCCCTGCATAACTCTTGAAGTTCGTGAGAATCAGATTCTTAATAATGAGGCGCGGTTTTGGACCGGAGGGCTCCTCATGGACTGGAACCATAGATCGAGACTTCAACGCGATATCCATTGGTCGCTCCAAGACCGTCGCGTTCGGATTAATGATGGAAATATCAGACCTTGATTCTTCTGGCAGCTGCTTTGACGGCGATCGATTCAAAGCAGACTCGGTAACGTCCGAGAGTGGAGGCACGCTTTGTCTCTCTGAACGGGGCGTGCACGGTTCTGGGGAGGCCGAAGGTTCTGGAGTAGGAAGTGAGGACTGTGAAGGATTGGGCGTGACTGACGCACGACTCTTGCGGGGTTGAGTCATACTTTTTCGTTTGGCTGTAGCCTTATTTCCAGGAAGCGACTCATTTTCTTCATCATATTCTTCGACCAGCGCCATACTGTGCTCCTCTTCAGTGGTCTCCGTGACCTGAGATGTATTTAAAGCGTCCGGGGTCTTTGACGACCGTCGCGGTCTCCGAGAAGTGCGCGAAGTACTCGACTTGGTAACTTCTGTAGACATACTCCTTCTTGAAGATCTTCTTCGTTGAGTCTTTGCCGGCACTGGTGTGTATTCTTCCTCGGTGTCATCTTCCTGGGGGTTCGAGGGCGTAGGTGTCACATTCCCAGGATTTTCATCTTCCGAAGTCTCAGATTGAGCATAGCTCTTTCGAGGTGCAGAGCGCCGAGATGGCCTGCCTATTGCGACTGGCGGCATGGCGGGATTACGGCGATGGTTGAGAGCGCGAGTGTCGCGATGGAATCAATCGCTTTTGACCGTTGAAGTGGGTTGTTTACTCTCCGTCCCAAACAGGAAAAGTGTTTGTTATTTTTCTGCCACAACAGTCAGCTCACCGCTTGATGAATCACGTGATAGAAAATGTAACGGCATACGGTATCCATACGTCAGGACCGACAGATTTATTACGCCGACAGGCAACTTTCACAGTTGAAGAGAACAGAAGACACAGCGTTTCTCTTACTCTTTGCTAAAGGCGCTGCTATCTCAAAGCCCAGCCAGTATGTCTGCATGGGAGGACTTTGACGTGATTTTCTTGTTCAATCCCAATTTCGTGTACGATGGGAAGCTCGTCGACCAGATCCTCTCCAACCGCCGGGCGCTGGAGAATCAACTCTTCGTTGACCGATTGCTAGAGCTTCTGGGTCTCAAACCAGGTCCGTACGACCGTTCATACATTTTGCAATGGAATTGAAGAAGACAGCTATCTGACAGTTTGCCTGATTAGTCGCGACACACTACCCACCAAGGTCCAATTCAGACCTCCGAAGTCTGGTCCATCACATAGTTTCCTCCTCGTTTCCAAGCCACCAAAAACAGGCATTGATATACTACATCCTCAAGGATTGTCGCGGATCCGGCGATGCGGTGACCCATTTTGCTCGTCGGTGCCATTTGCCTGACCGGTATAGACTGTTCATCGAGGGTCTCTGGCACTTGGACCGACTGGAATTCAAAGTACGTACACTCTTGCGCAATGTCAAGAATTCCGAGGTTATATATCTAACACTCGTCTTCCTTTCCTTCTATTCAGCGAGCTCTGGAATACCTATCGGAACCAGCTCTCATCCCAACCTTCCCTGATGAAATTCTCTATGTCCTCACACTTCCCAATCTTCCAAAGCAAGATGACAGTCTCGTGATGGCATATTACTTTACGGTATCCCCGCCTCTTGCATCTGAGAAGGTTCGGACGGCATTCTTCGACACGCTGTGCCGCGCCAGCATTACGGAGGCGTTCTACTTTACCAGAGAACATGACGAATTGCGCCGTCGAAGCTATCTAGAACAGCTCATTATCTTCGTCCACAAGGCTAGTCCCGGTCAGACGCGTAGCAAGCGCGCCATGGAGCTGATAAATCTTCCGTTTGATGAGAAGGAGGAGGCATGGTTCGAGGAGGCTTTGCTCAAGGGCAACGCGAGAACACTCCCAGGTGCTCGGGACACGGCAATGATGCGACGTCTTGCGACCAGGAAGCTGGACGGTCTTTCTACAGAACTCGAGTCCCTTGGTGGGAAAAAGATTGATGGGTTGAATTGGGATGATCTCAAGCAGAGAATGAAATCTGCTCAAACATCGGATGTCGCCCGTGGGTAACAGTTCTAGAAACAGCATTGGTCAGATGCAAGTAATGTGTCCAGTTGCTTGTTTCTCCTTTTTTATGCTCATAATGGCGGATTTGGCAAAGGAGTTCCGGTTGCAATAATGGAGCAGTCTCATAGTGACAGTCGGGAATTGAAATTTTAGCTGGTAATACCCATCAGAGCAGACAGTCAAAATATATTTCCAGAAATTTAATGAAAATTTCCAGTTCGTTATCTTGAATTTGCGTAGTCAAGTGTACGGAGATGTACTTACTGGGTGGAGCCATTTTTGCTGCCTGGAAAGCCAGGCAACAGCAAGAATGCCATCATTTCCTATGGACTTCACCAGAAAGTCCAGTGCAGCAACATGGGAGTTCCTTCACTCCCACGGCACAATCCATGAGCTACCATAAATATCAAGTGCTTTCAGTCACCTATTATTTTTAATTTCTCTTTCTTCCTTCCTTGTTCAAGGTGATCAGCCTCAACTTATCTTTGAGTTCAGACGTGTACGCGGTCTACGACCCCTTCAGTTTAAGTTGAGGACGCGACTTTTAAGAGACAGCACAAACTACGAAATAGACACGGCAAAATGGCCATCTGCCGTTTTTTCCAGCAAGGTCAATGCAAGTTTGGAGGTAGTTGACCATACGTCTTTGGATGGGATGAATGCTTACTCGGGGTGTTTTTTAGAGCGCTGCAAATATGAGCATCCCGGCAAACAGACGGCTGGTTCGTCAAATCGCTTCGGTCTTCTCTCTGGTGGAGGACCTGCAGGTACGTGGCCTTCCTAGCTTTTGTGTTTATTTCCCTATTTATTCTTGCTAGATCAGACTTGTTTCCACCTCTCATTCATTAATAGCTGTCATTGATGTTCTGTCCGTTATCACTCCAGCGGATGTCAGTCATCACTGAAAATTTTCCTCCCCTGTATTCCGCAATGTCAAATAGTATATATATCGTACGCATTATACTAATCTTTGCTTTAAGGCCGATCACAACCACCAAACAAGTAGGTCTTCTACCTCAGGGTTTCTCTGTGGTTCTACTAACGGCATTGTAGCTATGGTGTTACAGCGGAAGATATCAAGACTGATCTCACCCCTGGCAAGGGACGGCCGGAATGGATCTTTTCCGCATACGGTCCCGGGCGAAATGCACCAAGACAGCTTTTTGGGGGCCCGCAGCGAGAGCGGAGTTTCGAAGAAATGCGACTACGCCATTACGAGGCAGTCTCCATGGGCAATGCTAATCAAGCCATCCAAGAAGCGGAGGACTTGTATGCGCAGTCATTGAGACAGATGGATACTATTCTCGGTGACCTCAATGGGGCTGTGAAGTATGTGCTCGATGGAGCAAATGAGCATCCAAACCGCATCGACATCGCGGAAGGGAAGACCGGGCCTCAGGGCCCTTCGGATTTTGGCAGACCAGCAACATTCGGCCAGGCTTCTCAAGCCCCTGCATTTGGACAACCTTCGGCCCTGGGCGGTGGATCCTCTGCGTTCGGTAAACCTTCCGGCTTCGGTCAACCGTCTACATTCGGGCAGCCATCCGCCCTGGGACAGGGTCCTAGCTTTGGACAACCATCAACACTAGGGCAGACCTCTGCGTTTGGAAGGCCCTCGGGACTAGGTGGTCAGCCAGTATTCGGTAAACCCGCTTTTGGTCAACCTGCGTTCGGTCAACCTACATTCAGCCAACCTGGTTTTGGACAGCCCGCATTCGGTCAGCCGTCTGCCCCAGGCACCTCGGCATTTGGGAAACCCAGTGTAGCATCTCCCTTCGGCCAGCCCTCTACAACAGGCTTCGGACAACCCGCACAACAAGCAACAGGGCCGTTTGGTCAACCATCACAGCAGACTCAACAGATTTCGAATCCATTCGGTCAGCCACCCGTGGCGGTAGCGCCCTTCGGAGCCCCAGCACAACAACCTACTCCTTTCGGCCAACCAGCCACGATATCAGCAGGATTTGGTCAGCAGCCTGTTCCGGTGACTGCTGCACCCACTGGACCACCTCCGCTTATCAAAGTCGAGGATCCAAATCAATTAAACCCTATCCCGCAGTTAACGGGCCAAACTCTTCGCGATCCCGCGAGCAATAAACTTTCAGCTTGGAAAGGACAACCAGTGAAATACATCAACAATGCGCCATGTTACCTGCACCCGCAAGACGGGAAGACATATGTCCGTATTTTCTTTCCTGGCGGGCCGCCTGACCAAGCGAGTCTGAGGGATGCTCATGGCAAGGACAAGGACTACACCCCCGAAGTCACGGAGCAGTACCAGTTCTTTTTGAAGAATGGGTTTTTTAAGGATGGTATTATACCAAGCGTCGCGCCGAAGAGGGAGTGGGTGAGCTTTGATTTTTGATTTCCGAATATGCGGTTTGTTGCTACTGGGTTATATCCTTTTTTTATAAGGCTGTGTTGAAACTTGATACCCCATCAAGGGGAGTTGGCGTTATTATTATTACTATGATTAGGGACGGGACGGCAGCATTATTCATGATCTTACTCCGTTTTGCTGTACTACAAGCTTTGGGAGATTAGGATTCCCATCAGATAATTACGAAACTGCCTGGAAAGGAAACGATATTCTAGCCCATGTAAATTTGTTCATTTTTTCTTTTCCATTTGGAACAGGTTCTAGCGAATACCGACGTAGACATCGACTCAACAAGAGTCCCAAAGTTGAGACAAACCACGCATTTATAGCATGGCATGCGCAAACCCCAGGGTATCCACATTCCCTGATCCGACCCTGCCGGAAATATGCCTTCTAGAGAGACATCTATGCGGCAATAGTGACCTCAACCTCAACACCGGCCTCAATGTTGATGATGATCTGCTTGACGGTCTCGGTGGGGGCAAGGAGGCTGAAGATAAATAGTTAGCCATATTGGACCTCTGTGATGATTGCGAAGATAGTTGAAAAAGAAAAGGGGGTCACTAACTCGATAAGACGCTTGTGGATACGCATTTCGTACTTATCCCAGGTCTTAGAACCCTCACCGTTGGGGGTCTTACGGGTAGAGATGGTGAGGGTCTTGGTGGGAAGACGGACAGGTCCCTTGACGTGGAGGGACTTGGAGCGGGCTCGGTCGATCAGCTCCTGGCACACCTTCTCGAGCGAGGCGACCTTGCGCGAGGTGAGGGTGATACGGATCTTGTGGACCTTCTATATATTCACGAAAGAGGCGACATAATCAGTAAGCTGTTCGTCGCGCAGTTCGGTCCTCTGCTCTGAGAGAAAGAGAAAAAGAGGCTGCAATTGAGAATCGCAATATGGAATCAATGCAATGAACGTACAGGGCCCTCGCCGAATTCCTTCTCGGGCTTCTGGAAAGACATTGTGGGTTTGTAGGTGCGGTGAGGAGACCGGGATTGACTAAGATGGCTGTTCGGCTGTTAGCTCTGAATCAAACAATCGGAAGGAGAAGAGCCAGCGCACCGTATGGACTAGGTGCCAATCAAGACCTGAACTTCGAGGCTCGGTAAGGTGATGATGGCTGCTGGAGTGAAGATGAACGCGCGAACTTTTATCCAGATTTGGAGATGATTCTGTGGGAGCAAGTCTTGGCACTCGCCTATCTGGAGCTAGTCCTGATCGGGAAGCCTCAGATGTCAGTTGACTAAGCACCTTTTCTTGTCCACCTCGGTCCTGGTTTATCTACATTGCAGGCAGCCACAACGACCATGACGATGCTGGCTGTCGTCTGTCCTTAGATTTCTCTGTATTTGGTGTATTTAATCTATTTCTTTGTTGATATTGTTGCTCCCTTGCTTCCACGCCATGACAGAGTGGCCTCATCTTGCACCAGTCCCACCTCCTGCGGTGCGGAATGTGCTGTGCAGCGAGGAGTGGGAATTCTGTCTGCAAGCATGGACGACGCTGATTGAAATACGTTTGGAAGCCTCTGGGAAAGAGTTTCAAGAACATGCACCGGAAGATGAATCAGCAGTTTCTTTTCTCTCATCTTTCTACGATCAACTGGCCTCGTCATCTTCTACAGATCCCGGTCTTTATTCGGGGAAGGCAAGACATTTACGGAAGCTCTGCTTTCTTCTGTCTAGGAGATTTCTTTTGGATCTCCCAGTGCTTTCTGGAAAGCTGCTGGACTGGAGGTTCCTCGGTGATTTGTGTTGCTGCTACCCGTCGAGTTCTGCCCTGAAGAAACTACTGTCGGAGACGTGGGATAAAGATAAGAATAAGGATGCAATAACATCTAGTTTGGAGAATGCAAAATCGCTCATTGTCAAGCGACTTTCATTTCCTATGAAGAAACCTCCAAATAACCTGGATGTTGTTTCTGATATTCGGAAATTGACTCTTCTGGCCTCCATCCTACCCGGATGTGGCCAGGTTCTTATGACCGGATCTGATTTCTTGGATACCGTCTCGGATACGTATCTGGAGCAGAAGACAGAGGGGTTCCGCAGGATTCTCGTGGCGAATGTTTACGTGGGATTAACCTCCTTACTGAAAGGTCCCAATGCAAATCTTTCCTTGCTTCTGGATCAGCTATTCAGCCTTAAGACAGCCGCCGGGGTTGGTACCCCCAAGGTGAAAAAAGAGCCAACTCTCCTTTCAGATCTTGTTTGTAGCTCCGATCTTCTGGGACGTCTGCAGAGGTACCTGGAATCTTTTCCGCAGAAACGCGGTCAGGATCTTGTTTTCAGCTTGCGCTCGTATCAAGTGGAATCTAAACCGTTGCACCATCGATACCAAAAACAGAAGAAGAAAACAGACAAAGGGAAGGGCCGCGCTGACGATGTACCTATCACTGAGGAACTCCACGCCCACAGGATGTCCCTTGTCACTCAAGTCCAAGATTTATTCCCGGACCTGGGCTCGGCGTACGTGATACGGCTCTTTGACTTTTACGGAGATAACCCTGAAACTGTCGTGGCACATCTCCTTGATGACTCTCTGCCTCCCGAATTGAAAGCCCTTGATAGACACGAGCAACTTGCTACGACACACGAGATCCCCCACCGAGATCCCTTGCCACCGCGGCCAACACCTCCCGAAGTCCCTTCTCCTCTATCCGCATCACCACCTCTTGCCCGCAGAAACGCGTTCGATGAGGACGTCGATATCGCCGAGCTGGCTCGCTCAGGCGATGATCGGGTACGGAGTAAACTCCGATTCGGCCGCGCCAACCCTGAGCTCACGGCGGATGATATCCTCGCTGACCGTAGCCAACACACTGTCAACAAGGCAGCTATTATATCAGCATTGGCAGCGTTTGACTCAGACGATGATGAACGCGACGACACGTACGATGTCGCCGACGTCGGCGGGACTGTGGATGGCATGGCACCCGGCACAGATGCAGATGCGGATGCCGACATGCGCAACCGCCGCGCAGATGAGATGGACATGGTCCTCTTCCACGCGTACAAATCCTCTCCCGCACTCTTTGCCCGTGACTCTGCAACTCGTCGTTCCCAACCGCGCGCATCCCTGAAACGGGAAACCGGCATGACGGATGAAGCCATCGAAGGATGGGCGGTCATGCTGAACCGGGACCCGAAACGAGTATCGAAGTTAGAACACAAGCTTGCTCTTGCTTCCGGGGGTGCTGCTGGAGGACCCGGAGGGGGGCTACAGCAACCCGAGCTTCGGCCGACATCGTACAGGAAACCCGGTCCTGGTGCCTTGGAAGATGAGTCCGAAGGCGATGCCGACGGCGCTGGGGAACAGAACAAGGCACCCTCTAAGGGTCCCAGCGGAAGAGGAAGAGGTAGCCGTGGCCGTGGTGGAGGAAGAAGGGATGGTGGCCGTCGAGGCGGCGGTCAGGGGCCAGGGCCTTCTGCTACGGAACAGAACCCTGCTCTATCCAGGCAAAGGAAAGAAGAACATAAAGCCAGCAGGGCCAATCATAATCGAAGACAGCAGAGGGCAAAGAAGATGGCGAGGGGTGGTGGCATGCCTGGATAGCTAGTAATGTACAGCGTAGAAACAAAAGCGTTCAAACATTCCCAGCTTTTGTCGGAGGCATTTGAATAGACGGAATACAGAGGGGCATCTCTCCATCACCAGCAAAATACAAATGAGCGCCCCACGACGAAGTACACCGACCTTCATTCTCATCCCTTCCAACCGCGATCCAAGCCGACGAAGCTGCGGCATTATGGATACCCTCCGGCCAAAGTTACATCTGCCAGTTTTGGCTTACCGGCAGCCTGCCTGGCCGTGTGTTCCTTCCAATCAATATCTGTCTCCTGAATCTGTTTCCTGACCCTCCTGAACCTGCACCTTGACAAGGGCCAGGAAACGCATAAATACAGTGGTGTAGGATCCCTCGTGTGCCCCATACCCTAGCTCTGAGGGCCTCAACATACAAGCAGGGCAATCTCCACAGAATGACCTCAAGGTTGCTGTGCAATGACTAGCCCATCAATGAACTGCGCCTGAGTGGGTAGGAGGAAATCCTTACTTAGATTCCGTTACGCAGTATACAATGTGGAGGTCGCCTATTTATACCTCATTTCCCTTCCAGCTTGAAGCCCCCGCTTTTCACCAATGGAGTCTTCCTCAGGTAAGGTAAATGATCCTCGGCCCTGCTTACTTCCATAGACACATCCTTTTTGGGTATGTCGTCTCACAATTCTATAATTGGATTCAGATCTGTGAGTATGGTCGTGGTGTAGCGGGGGACCCGACATAGGAGAGGTCACGTGCCGTGGATACCTACACACGCGCGGCGACGGTCTACGAGGGACACGTCGGCGTCATGAATTGGAGTTGCGTTTGTCTTGGTAGATTAAAAAGTGTCCGATAATTGACGAGCAGTCGCTATTAGCAAAGAAGGAACCATGTCACTGCTGGATAATAAGCAAATCGGATGGATTGGTACCATTCTCAACATTTCAATCATTTCTATTACAAAAACACGAGGGATGAATGAGCTAACATTGACACAAATTAGGCCTCGGAAGCATGGGCCTAGCAATGGCCACGAATATCCAAACGTATCTTCAAGCATAAGGAGGGTGGCCACTGCGATGCTTCAACCGCACAGCTGCGCGGGGTGAATCTCTCAAAGAACTCGGGCAGTACAGAGTCCGTCTATTGTCGATTTGGTTAGGGATAGTGATGTTGTTTGTATTTCTGTGAGTTTCGTTGACAACAGGGAAAGCTGAGCCTATATTAATATATATAGATGAGCGATGACGCTGCCTTGAAGACCATCATATCTGCAGTCCTCCAGCTTGGAGATGATGAACTGAGAGACAAGATCATCGTCGATACAACGACCGTCCATCCTGACAGTACGAAACAGGTAGCTGAGGAGTTGGCGTTAAGGTCTTGTTTGTTCCTGGCTGGTATGTCTGCGCACGTATATACGATATATCAAAAATTCCCTACAGGACCGCAAGTTCCTAACGGTATATTCATAGGACCCGTATTCGGCCCAACACCCACAGCTGTAGAAGGCAAATTACTCATGCCTCTCGCGGGACCGAAGAAAGCCATCGACCTTCTCGTCCCATTCTTCAAGAACACCATAGTCTGTGACGTGATTGTTGTGTCTGAACGCCCGGAGAAAGCCGTCTTGATGAAGACACTAGGTAAGCAGATATACACGAATACTACGTGTAATGACCGCCACTGCTCGAACCTGCCAGAACTCATGGTAGTGCTACAGGAACTTCATCGTAGCCGGCGTCATGGAAATCGTATCGGAAGCGCATGTTCTCGCCGAAAAGTCAGGACTGGATTCGGCCATCTTTGAATCACTCCTCGAGAAGAACGTCGGGACACTGGCATATTCTGATTCGACGCGGTTGACTACGGGGGTCTACATGCCAGAAAGAGGTGCGTATCATTTCTCCACAATCTAATGATCAATGATTGATGAAGCTTGCATAACGTGCAAGGCCAGAAACCATGGTCCGACCTAAACCTCGCTCTGAAGGATGTTCAACACGGCATCGATTGCGCCGGGGCTGTTGGGACAAGATTGAAGATTGCCGAGGTGGCAGTGGATCATTTGAAGAGGGCAAAGGAGTACTCGCAGGCACACGGGGATAGGGCGCTGGATTCGTCGACTTTGTATGGGATTGTCAGGCAGGATGCAGGGTTAGATTTTCGGAATGATGTTGTTATGGATAGGGAGGGGGAGAGTGGAATAGGTAAATGACTAGCATACTAACTAGATGTCAGTCGTATCGAGGTAGTCATTGACTGATGAGAATAAACAATTTCTGAATATAGGGGATCTTCCAGTGTTAACCCTAAGACAATACTTCCGTAGTACCTCCAAGCTGGAATTCCCGACATATTCCTCAAAATCCTACATCTTTTATATCTAGCTATATGGTAAAGGCGAGAAGGGCATCATCCGTCGCCATCCCTGTTTGACTCGGCTCAATCCACCAGAGCATCATCGTCAAGGTATCATACATACATAGGAGGAACAATAAACAATGGCAAACCCAGAACCAGCCAGCCAGCGGATCCCTACCGGAATAGCCCTCCCCCCAACCAGGCTGCGGATACCCGAGTTTACGCCCTTGATTCTTCGTCTCAGTGTGACGGAGTGGCTGGAGGATGTCATGCCCGAGTCCGGGGTGGTGGAGATGGCGAAGAGAATCGCTGGGGGCTCGGAAGGGGACAATGGCACTGGAGAGGCCCTGACGGACGTCGTCCTGATCGGCCACCAGTTCCTGCGAGAGCCGGGAATGGGTGCTGCATGCTGCGGATGCACTGGGCGTCAAAGTGCAGTGGCCGATTTAGTATCAACGGGGGGAATTTCTGGCTGGCGGGAGCATTGACAGAAAGTGAGCATTATGTAGGGGTTGGTTCAAGTATTAGACACAACTATTTTTTCTCCAATAATACACGACTTGAACTTGTCCATCGACAGTCAATAGTCTCTTATAAAAGCCGGAACCATTGTCAAAGAGAGTGGCGATTAGAATGCACTGGGAGTAGCCGCCATTATATTATCATGGAGACAGGGGTTAATCCAATGGCGAGGTATCCTTAGCGGCGATAATCATCATAATTATCACAATGAGTAGCGATGGAAAACATCACATTGTCATAAATAACAGCCGTGAGTAGACTTGCATACTCGTATAGACATCATATGGGTTGAACACACTCAACAAGACAAAGGGAGACAAAGGGAGACAAAGAGACAACTAACAGCGCCTCGACCGCACATTCAAAATAAAAGGCAACGGAGGACCATACGCACATCCATCCATGCCACTGGCGCACCTACATGCTGCTCTCGACCTCCCAGTGTGCAAAGTACACGAATGCTGTTGCTGTTGCTGCTGCTGGTGATGGTGGCGGTGCTCTCGCGAATACGACCAGCAGTGCGAATACGAGTGCGAATGGGACTGCGAATGAGAGTGCGAGCCTAATCCTGATCCTCTACAGAAGCAAACATTGCAGGGACAGTCCCGGTGAGTCGCAGAGCAGGGCAAGTGGTGATGTTTGTGCCTGTGTTTGTGCATGTGGCGGCGAGCAGAGGTAATAGGGCACGGTCTGGGTCTGAGAAGAGAAGTAAATTAGACCGTCTATTTTAGTCCAGTGGCGTAGTAATAATCCTAGGAATGGAATAAACCAAGTTTAATGACGGAGAATGATTCTACCTTTCCAAAGGATAGCAGTAGTGCTGCTCCCCGTGCCGGTCTGGACGCTCTCGAGTCGGGGAACAGAGGAATTGATCCTGGTCGTGGGATCCCTCACAGCAGACCGGGTCACCGCAGTTGCTATGTAGCATCGTGAGGTTAGCAAGTGGAGGTCTGGCGCACCCAGAAAAGAGGGTTTACATACCACCAGCGTGTCGGACATGCTTGATCCCTAGAACGGGTATGGGAGGTGGCAGACTCGAAGGACTCATCGCTGTCCTCGGACTCGATATGAATGCATTGTTCTCGGTCACAGTGGTTTGTTCCTCGGTGGTGCATTCCCTCATGGTGTGCGCATCGAAACCAAGGGTCGTGAAGCATGTTCATGTTCAGCGAGTGAACGTTGATCTACGGCGTATACAGGGTGTCAAGGCAGGCAACAGGAAGATGAAGTAACGCAGGGAGAGTAAATCCAAGGGAAGGGAAGGGAGGGAGGTGGTAGCTTTTATATATCTACTCGGAATTCGCCGGACATGCAAGGGCAAGCAGAACAGTGCAGGGAAAAGCAGCCAACAGCAGTGGGATTCTAGGCAGACGCCTCTGCATGCTGAGCACTGGCAAACAACAACAACTGGCAGTGAGCCGAGATGAGTAGACCGGATGTTTGCTTGAAATCGTGTATATTGATATCATAACCTAGCAGAAACCAGTAATCCACATATTCTTTTCTTAATAACCCAACGACCTTGGTTGAACTCTGCATCCATCTATCCAGGCGTGGCCAACCATGATTCACTCGACCGTAAAGACATGACCCGACGAGGTCGGAATTTGTTTGTTATGCGTCATCGATGGAGCAAAAGGCTCAACCCACTCCTTCAGGACAGCCGTGAAAGTGTCGCAGACAGCAGACACTGCCTCGTCACGCGAAGCGCAGCAACTCTCAATGTACACTTGCAAGGGTTGTTAGCAGCCAGGTACTATGCAGGTCATGCCGGGAGGTAAACTTACGCTTGACTTTTGGCTCTGTCCCCGACGCTCTGAAGGTGAACCGTACTTCACGATCCAACCATAAAGTTAGCATTTGACTGCTTTTGTCGATCGGTAGCGAAGGGGTGTTGTCTGCTGTTCCAGAATCATAGCCTTCAGTCATGTCCCGCCATCTCAAGATCCTAAACGCCCCCAGGGATCCCTTCGTTCTAAAACATCCGCTTCTGATCTTCTGGAACAAGGACGTCGATGTCTGTGGATTCGGGGACCGAAAGTAACTGTTCAGGGTTTCATAATGTCCAAAATCCCTGAACAGCTGCTGAAGCTTCCCGTAAGGAGTGAGGCCCTTGTCCCTCCACTTTGCTTCGGCCGCCAGGAAGACCATGGCTGCTGAGATGCCATCCTTATCGTAACAAACAGACGGGAACATGTATCCGAGGGCCTCTTCAAATGCGAAGGGAACAGTGAACCCTGCATTTTCCAGTTCCTGTGCAGTATTTGCCATCCACTTAAAGCCAGTCAGAGTTTCCCGGAAATGGAACCCCTTGGATAAAGCCATCTTTTCGAGCATTCCGGTAGACACCGTTGAGCTCAGAACGGCAATAGGCGAGTTGCTCCCTTGAACCTCAAGTGAATCAAAGAGATGAGAGGCGATAAGGATACCAATATGATTCCCAGTTAGCGTGAACCATGAGCCACTAGAGTCGTTGTCAGCAGTTGGTGTAAAGCATACACGAATAGACAACATACTCCACTTTCTCAGCGACAGCGAAGCGGTCCGCATCGGGGTCGTTGGCAATGATCAAACTCTTTCCTTCCTTGTCAGCCGTCCGCATCGCGAGATCTAAAGCTCCAGTCTCTTCTGGATTGGGGAATGACACCGTGGGGAAATCAGGATTCGGCTCTGCTTGTTCGGGTACAGATGTGAACTCTTCTATCCCCGCGGACCGGCATACGGACGGAAAGACAAGACCCCCGACTCCGTGCAAGGGGGTATATATGAATGGCTTTGGTGGTTTCCAGTTTGGCACAGTGGATTTCTTCGACAGAAGCGTTAGCGATGATGAATGATAGGGGGGCATATTTCTTACAGCAAACCGTGTAACTGAGTCCATATACTGGGGCAAGATCTTCTGATACACATCTACATGCAAATACTCGCCGGGTTCAGGCTCGTTCCATGCGCCGGGCCAAGGCACCAAGTTCTCTTCAATCGATTGAGCAATCTCCATGTCCATGGGCGTGTTGATCTGGGCGCCATTTTTGAAGTAGCTAGGAAGTGTCAGTATGAGGCAACTAGCATTTGGGAGGAAGATCGAACACTTTGTAGCCTGGATTCTGGTCAGCACAGCATACAATGCTGGGGAATAGAGATTCTTACCATTGTCTTGAGCTGGGTTCTAACCTCAAAGGTCAGCCAGAAAGAAACAAGACCCGGAGCACAGCGAACATACATGACTTGCAGTAACCATCACGCCTGCAGCGGCGTGTAAATGTGACACACCAAATGGAACCGATGGAGTGACGCAGGAGTCTGCATAAAGCCACACGGGGATTCTCTCAGCAATGAAAGCACTGGCTGCAAGGGCAGCGAACTTGGCAGAATTATGGCGTGCATCGTGTCCGATGACTACTCCATCCGGCGCAATCTGGGGATGTCTATTGCGGATGTACTTCGCCAGTCCCTGAGAGGCTTGGATGACAGTCAATGAGTTCATGCAAGAGAACCCAGCTGCCATCCGGCCACGAAGGCCAGCTGTCCCGAATTGAATGCCTAGCGATGCCAAACTTAGGCGTTGGACGTAAATGCGACATGGGGGCACCTCCACGTACGATTTCGAAGACGTTTCTCCAGCTCGTCCACTGCGCCAGCATCCCGAAGCTGCTCTATTTCATGACGCGTATTCGGATCCTGGCTTTTATGTTATTATGTCATTATCAAACAGTTCATGGGGACCTGCACGATGTGCGTACCTGGTCCCAGTCCAGCCATTGCTGGATCAGCGGAGAAAGCGAATCCTGCAGCGAAGAATCAGCTCAAGCTGAAGAAGACGAGCGCCATCGAAAGCATACGCCAACCGACATGACTGCAGGCTTGATCAGTGTCGATGTCTGCAAGGGAAAGTTGCTGCCTGCATCGACGTCGGCAGGAGCGGGAAACGATCATCCGAGTTTCACGTTGTCTGCGTCCTTTTCTCCGCGCTCCCTCTGTCAACGTTGACCACGACATATTCATTATTTATGCCCTTCTTCCCCAACTCGATCGAGGTCTTTTGAGCCTACATGACACCCTGAATCAGCAGCTCCCCATTCCTGACCATAGACGATCGTTCCTCCACTTCCATCATGACTGACATCAAAACTCCCCTCACCGCCAGCCGGAAGGACAAACTCCTGTCACGACGGTATGTCGAGGGATTGATCGCTGATGGCAGCTGGGTCATCATCTTCGAGGGTAGAGCCCTCAAGGTAAATGCCTGGACGCCGTTCCACCCCGGAGGTGACAAGTCTATGCAGCATATGGTCGGCAAGGATGCCACAGATGAGATCAACGCGTACGTGCTTCTGTTCTGCCAGATGCGTTTACCAACGCCATGTCTTCTGACATTGACCTACATAGACTGCATTCGAAAGAGACTCGCCAGAAAATGCTTTCTTTCCAGATCGGACGCGTCGAAGAACCGTGGACAAATTTCCTCCCCCCCATTCAAGGCGGAAAGTTTCGCCCCTACCCAGACGAGGATAATGATACGACGGACGAGGACAACTCCAGCCAGGAAAGGTCCAACCCCCCTTCTCCCATCTTTGACCCAGTGGATGCGCAGCCTGGTGCTCGCCGGAGAAGGTCTGTTTCGTCTCTGGATACCACTGTCTCAACCCCAGCTGATCACGGATCCGAGCCAAAACCATCCTTCCTCGACGCTCGTACACGAGAGGAGATCAGCTCAATTGCTGCAAAGTATCCATCTCTCGATATAGAGACTCAGGAATTTATTCGAAAGAGGTATCGCGAGCTGGATCAACGTATTGCGGCGGAGGGCCTCTACGAATGCCGCTACTTCTCGTACTTGATCGAATGCTGCCGGTATACACTCTTCGCGAGTTTATTTTATATATTCCTTCGATGGGGCTGGTATGGGACTTCGGCATTTTTCCTCGGCTGTTTCTGGCATCAGCTCGTGTTTACTGCCCACGATGCGGGTCATATAGCCATCACTCACAACTACCAGGTCGATAGTGTGATTGGGATTATCATTGCGGACTATCTGGGAGGCCTCAGCTTGGGCTGGTGGAAACGAAACCACAACGTTCATCACATCGTCACCAATGCCCCTGAGCACGACCCGGACATTGAGCACATGCCCTTCTTTGCCATTTCCCATCGCTTTCTTACCAACTTGCGAAGTACCTACTATGAACGCATCATGACCTTCGATGCGGCAGCCCAGGTATTGCTGAAGTATCAGGACTATCTGTATTATATAATCCTGCTTTTCGGCCGATTCAATCTCTACCGCTTGAGCTGGCAGTACTTACTGTGCGGCCAGGCCCCGAAGAAGGGCCCTGCTGGCTGGCACCGCTGGCTCGAACTGTTTGGACAGGTCTTCTTCTGGTACTGGTTTGGTTACAGAGTACTATACTGCTCCGTCCCCGATTGGCCAAATCGCATACTCTTCATCCTGATATCGCACTGGGTCACCTCGCCGCTACATGTGCAGATCACTCTCTCGCACTTTGCCATGTCGACCGCTGATCTAGGTGTCCACGAATCCTTCCCGCAGATGACGCTCCGCACAACCATGGATGTTGACTGTCCGACCTGGTTGGACTTCTTTCACGGCGGTCTCCAGTTCCAGGCCATCCACCATCTCTTCCCGCGTATACCACGCCACAATCTGCGTCGCACCCAGAGGCTCGTTTTAGAGTTCTCCCGTGATACAGGTATTCCGTACATGCTCTTTACGTTTATCGATGGCAACAAAGAAGTCATTAGTAGACTGGGAGATGTCGCGAAACAGGTTCGTATCCTGGAGGAATGCAGAAAATTCTGCGCGCAGAAGGGGGTCGGCTCTCATTAAGAGTGGTGGGATTCGATGGTGCTTCTGCAGTTAAAGGACTCGTATTCTGCATTGGAAGTGTCTCATCCATCGTAAAGGGAGCCCATAATGCTCTTTATCTTTGACGTATATGCACGCACGATGATAACGCCTGTTAAGTATTTCTTCTAGACCAAGATAATGTTTGGCAGGATATGTAGCTGTTGTACTTGTGCATAGTTTTATGCATTTGATGAGAACTGGAGACGATTCCTAAATATCAAGAAAACCGGAGGAACTCCAGAAACATATCCAACTTGACGTACCTTTTTGCAACAAATCAATATAGCGAAGATGGTCTACTGCGTTTCTGCCCTGGGAATTTAAATCGGCTTGGCTTGTGTTACTATATATACTACGAGCCGTCAATCTCCGGACACATAGCCCCTTCCATTGCACTGCATTTGAAGTGGTTATGTTATATAATTCGAATATAAATCAACCCGAGTCCTGGACTGTAATGCAATACATTCTAAAGAGGTGAAGGGGAAATAAAGAAAAAGCTAGCCGAAATTAGAGAAATGCTACATGTGATTGCGCCAGCGTAGCTAGATTATAGCCAAGAAATACATGTCGGGGAAGGACTAAGGGTACAGGCATGAAGCTAAACGCCCTAGAAGTGGATGGCCTTCGAGTAGGTGGCCATGGCGGCCTCCTTGAAGGCTTCAGAGAGAGTTGGGTGAGCATGGCATGTACGAGCCACGTCCTCGCTGGAAGCGCCGTACTCAACGGCCAGGGTGGCCTCAGCAATCATCTCACCGGCATTGGGGCCGATGATGTGTACACCGAGGATGCGATCGGTCTCTGCATCGGAGATGAACTTGACGAAACCATCAGTGTCGAGGTTCGTCTTGGCACGAGAGTTAGCGGTGAAGGGGAAGGTGCCGACGCGGTACTTGACACCCGAAGCCTTGATTTCGGCCTCGTTCTGGCCAACCCAGGCAACCTCAGGGTGGGTGTACATGACGCTGGGGATGACAGCGTAGTTGACGTGGCCGTGTCCCTTCTTGATGTATTCAACGGCTGCAACGGCTTCCTCCTCGGCCTTGTGTGCCAGCATGGGACCGAAGGTGACATCTCCAACGACGCGGATATGAGGGAGCTTAGTGCGATACTCCTGGTCGATTATTAGGCGGCCCTTCTCATCCTTCTCAATACCAACATTCTCCAAGCCAAGTCCCTCAGTGTAGGGTCGGCGGCCAATGGCGACCAGAACCACGTCGGCATCGAGGGTCTCCTCTTTACCACCCTTCGCGGCCTCAACACTGAGAGCAACTGTGGCACCGCTGTCATCACCCTTGGTAACCTTGGTTCCAGTCTTAAACTTGATACCCTGCTTCTGCAAGAGCTTTTGAATCGCCTTGGAAACCTCCGCATCCATACCCGGACCACCAATCTGGTTGAGGAATTCGATAACGGTGACCTCAGCTCCCAGGCGAGACCATACGGAAGCCTTAAAAAAGGAAGTCAGAAATAAATCTAAGAGCAGGAATATCCGTGTCTTCTTCAAAAAAGGGAACTGACCATCTCCAAACCGATGATACCTCCACCGATGACAGCCATCTTCTTGGGAACCTCCTGCAAAGAAAGGGCGCCAGTGCTGGTGATGATTCTCTTCTCATCAATGGTTAGGCCAGGGAAAGGAGTGCTTTCGCTTCCAGTCGCAATGAGGATGTTCTTGCCGCGGAGGACCTGCTCACCGCCATCGAGCAGGTTCACCTTGACGGTGTTGGCATCGACGAAGGAACCGGTACCCTTGACATAGTCGACACCGTTCTTCTTGAGCAGGAATTCGATACCTTTTGTGAGACCGTCGACGGAGGTATCCTTGGCCTTCATCATCTGCGCAAGGTTGAGCTTGACATCGCCAACCTCAATGCCACGTTTTTGCGTGTCATGGAGGATCTGGTGGTAAATGTGGGAGTTGTTCAGAAGGGATTTGGACGGAATGCAGCCGACATTGAGACATGTGCCTCCAAGTTTACCACGCTTCTCGATACATGCGGTCTACACGCCGGGAATCGGAGAAGACATTAGCGAAGCCAATTCCAGCGAGTTTGTAACCGGCGGATATGGAACTTTCGGATATATTCCAATGGCGCACCTTCAGACCCTCCTGTCCAGCCTTGATGGCAGCAACATACCCAGCGACACCACCACCAATGATAACAAGATCGTGTTCTAACCGTAGAATTTCAACCGGCCCGGTCAGCAACTTCCTTCCCCCCGGGAAGCGCGGAAATCCTTCCTACAGCGCAACAAGGAGAAACCAGAGTATACACACCTGCTTCAGAGGCAAAGCCACGTTTTGACTGTCCAAAGACAGCCAGAGAGGGACGAGCAATGTAAGTTGAAGGACCAGCCTGAGGGCGGAAAACGGCGCGCGGTGCGGCCCGGGGCATCATACTCCGAAGCATGGTGGCGGAAATGTGTGAGGGGAGAAAGAAAAAAGAAGAGTCCTATTGCAAGGGGAGGAAGAGAGGAGGGGAGAAGAAGACGGAGAAGGGAAAAAAAAGGAAGGCGAAGAGAGCTGGGAGGGGGCAGCGGAAGAGAGATGAAGCTTCACGTCGAGCTGGTCTTCGTTGGGGGAAACGGGAAGCTGGTAATTTTGGTACTGCCGGTAATAGGTAATGGTAACCTTGGAGCCCATGACGGTATTTAAAGCTTATGTCAGCTCCTCGGGTTAATGCGGCTTCCGGTTTCCCGGAAGGGAAGGCGGCAGTTGCTGCTCCTCTTGGCCGACGCATTCTTCTCCCTGACTTCTAGTTACAGTGCACGTTATTATTATTAACTTCCACGTTCCCACCCGCGAAAATAATAGCAATGACCGTGTCTGGATTATGGCCCAAGCCCACTGTGACATCATCCCCTGTCTAACTGGCCAGTGCAAGTCGTTGCTCCCGCTCGAGGTCCACGTCCATCTTCATTCTAGCCTTGACACGGACACACGCGGTATCCATCTCCATTGAATCTCCTCGGTTATACGGCTTGGGCGTGGGGAATGGGTGGATTGAATGAATTTGCAAGAAGATTGCCTCTCTCAATGCTATCGAGAAAGCTCAATTCGTGCGACTCTATTATACGTCAAATACCAAAAATTGACACGGAGAATCTCGCGCGTGTCATACACAATAATAAAAACCACACCCAAGAGCAGACTGCTTGGGCGTGAAACAGTTCGAATATCATCCACATGAAACCCATGAGACCCAACGCCATATGCTTGCCCACCCCATCTAAACCGTCCATCCATTAAGACCAAAACAAAGCAACACACACTAGGCGGAAGCCAAAAAAAAAAAAAACCGCAAAAGGCCAAACGGGGATCGCAGCCAGAGAGGTCTATATGAAACATGATTATAGAGTAAACGAAGCAGTTGGGGTCTGTTTAGTTCACACTGTCCCATTCCGGCCAGTGCAAAACAACATCACAGACCGCGAGTAGTAGCTGCTGTTCGTTCGTTGTCATAAATAGGATAAGGTATGCCCGCAAGGCATCGCATGACTCGTATCAGCGTCGCTGGCAGTCGAAGGTGGGTGCTCTCCTAGCACGCGACCCATCATCAACAGCGTAGCAGAAAGACAAAAGTCCCCCCAAACAGAAGGCGCGATAATATAAATAAGAGGTAGGGCAATTAATAATAAAAGGAACTGAAAAAGAGACGACGGACAAGACGTGCGAAAAAGGAGAAAGCCAAATAGTTATGAAACCAAAGGAAGCAGGTAGTGCAGACAAGACCACGTGGAGGAAAGCATCCAGAACAGAAAACAGAAACCGACACAGGCGGAGTAAATAAATAGATAGTATAATTAAAATGGAAAGGCAAATGTGAAAAAAAAGAGAAAATTGTAGCGCACAGTGCAACTTTGTTTTCTGTCTGTCCGGAATTTAGTCCTTTCTGTTGTCATTGAGATAAGAGTGGACAACTAAATGGCCCTCTTGGACACACAGTTCTTAGACACCCGGCCCCGCTTAGGTAGAGGGACATGGTGGCACGAGCGCAGGTGCTCATTCAAGTGATCCTGTCGAGGAAAGCCGTTGCTACCTTTGCGCGAACAGTTTTCGATGGGGCAGTCACGGTAGGTAGGGTAGTGTACGCTGGTATAATGGCGCTTCAAGTCGGCAGAGCGCGTGAACGTGTTTCCGCATGAGGGACATGCGTTTGGCTTGTCTGGTCTTTGCGCGCTTGAGACATGGTCAGTACTGCTCATCTGTTATCCAAGACTGAGACAAGAGATGCCCTACCTTTGCGGGGCCGGAGGAGGATCTGGGACTGCTGCCACAGGAGACAAGACTGGTTCCGGAGGATACGCAGGGACGAAAGGTAGCCTGCAGTTGAGATTCATTGGAGTCTTCACATCAAAGAGCGGATCCCAGTGCTCCTCCAGTAGTGACGGGGTCGGGACTTGAGGGTTAGGCACAAAACCGAGACGATCGTCATACAACAACTGGTCCGGGAGAGACTGGGTGTAGGGGCTGAGAGTCATGGTTTCGAAGTATGAGTCGAAGGCAGGCTGGGTACGTGGAATGTCCAAGGGGCCAGTCGGCATGGGGTACGAGTCAACGTAGCTGAACGCAGACTGCATCGACCCTTGGCTGCTGGTCGAGTATGATGGCTCCATTGGTGGGCAGAAGATGGACATGGTGGGCTCCTGTACAGGAAAAAAAAAAAAAAAAAAAGATAAATCAGCTTACGGTGGCAAGATAACAGTAGATTGGCTTAGTATCTCCTACCGTCTGAAGATGCTGGGACATTTCACTCCCTTCTTCCCCTGCGTCCTCTTGTCTTCTTGCCAGTAGTAGTATCTGCTGTTTCCTCTCGTCGGCAGGCTTTTGGATGATGCATAGGACAGGTTGACTTGCAAATAACCACGATGACAGGAAAGGGGGGGATTCGCACTTTATGAATGAATGAAAATACCAGGCTAGAGAACGGGAAACTAATAGAACCCCTTGTCATCTGCACGAGCAGTCAGCTCCCGAGTCCGAACATGATTTGGCGACGCCCGCTTCAACGCCATAGCCACGTCGAGTGTAGATATTGGCCCTTGCCGATCAACCCTGTACGGCGGTGGGCTACTACTCCAAAAACGAGATGGCGTCTGCGATGGAATGTTCGCTGTAGTTTTCTAGAAATTCTAGCGTCGAGTATATTCAGCCACCAGCGACGATCTGACCGGAATGGTCTCATTGCTGCAGCGACGAAACGGCGAAACGATGAGACCCCTCCCCCTTTCAGCCGGACAACTGTTTCCCGCCCAGTTTGGGACAATAGAGGGATACTCTGGTCGCTGCTTCCCCCAGAGCGCCAGAATTCGTCTGTCTTGGACCTTCGTATCCGCGATTCGCTTGGCCTATCATGTAGGCTGGATTCATCTCTGCCTGTTCGGAAGCTCGTGCCGGCGCCCTTAGCGATCAAGCTAGCCGCTCAGTCGAGCATTCTTACGCTGGGGGAACCAAGTGATCGCAGAAAAGTCTCAGAATTGGCGGCATCGACATCATTCAGACCTTACACTGTAGAATTCGTCTGTGGCATGGGGCAGGGGATCGGCCCGTGTCTATTCTCGACAGCGTAGGGTCGGTGGACGGCCAGATTGCCCTGGCGTTCGAACAGATTAATTACGAACGCAGATTGTCATCATGCATGGCCGGCTGGGACGATCATCCCCCCTTTTCCCCTTCTTCACTTGGCGTCTTCTCGTTGCGGTTAGCGGAGGATGCCTCGCTAATCAACAGCCGGTCGCTCAGCCCCCCAAGGCCGCCAGACAATACCGCTCTGCACACAGTTCCTGCATGTTGCAAAAAACCCCTCACGTATTAACATCACCAAACAAGTGAGGCGTGTTATTTCATCGGGCCGAGGAATTGGAATCAGAATTCTACCTGCCAAAGTATGGTGATGTTTGCGAGTTGGAATCCTCTTCGCCTGTTGCAGCCCAGGAGCGCGTTCCCTGCGGCGTTATCTCCCGAAAAATCTCTGATTAATTTATTTTTAATTTCAACATGCCGCGAATCGTACCGGATGTAATCCAATCTGCGCGCTCAGACTTCGTCCCAGTAGGGTGATGACCGGTGTATCAGTATCTGCAAGTGCATCAACGTCTGCAGGGGACCGGTGTGTTGGTATAATCCTCCGGCCGCAAAATCGGTTGGGAAACAGCTATTTTTTCTTCATTACTATTATTATTCCTCAGCAACAGCTCAAACGGTGGCTTGAGTCTGATACGAAATCTCACCTCCTTTGAGAATTTTCCCCCGGCGCACGTCGCGGTCGCAGTCGCAGTATTCCATCACAATAGAACAGAACATGCCCGGCATTAGCGTTACCTAGCGGCCGACTTCCGGCAGTTTCACACTTGATTGATTGATTGTTGTTAGCAAGTTTCTGCTTCGCCCCAGTCGGGCAGGGCAATGATGGCATACAGTAGGCAAAATCCCACCTGATCAATAATAATGCCGCAGGGAACTCTTTTTCAACCTTCACTTCTCCACCGTATCTTCCAATACCTGCGCCCATTGCCCAACCTTGTTCTGGAATTGCGGAAAGGACCTCCCGACGGATCAACTGCTGAAAGTGCCGCTATCATCATCCCCCGGAGACGCACCTCCACCCCCGGACTGATTGTTTTCCAATAAGAACGCGGTTCCATATGCCAAGATTCACAGCCATGCGTTTCTGCCATGGTTCCATGACGTCTTTACTTGACATACACCGTATAGATGAGCGGTAACCAGGCTGGCAGAGATGGGTCAAGAAACACAGTCAGGACCGCGGACGGAGTACACCGTACTTTTCTGCACGTAACGGCAATGCAGTGCCTCCCTTCGCCTCACCATTCCTTTCTATGTTCCCCGTACATGGGATTTTGCATCGGGCAATCGGGGATTCGACGTCGTAACTACGCGGTTGCCTGTCAAGGACTTCGTCTGTTAGCTGCTTAACTTCCCTTAGAATGGGTCTGCTGACCTGACCATCTCGCTTTTTCTTCCCATTAAACCAGTACAGCATGCATGCGGAGGCGCGTAGGTTATCGTATTGGCTTGTTGATTTGACATGGTCGGAATAGCAGGTCGAGCTTCATGTCTTCGCGTTACTGCATTCATAGATGGTGGTCATGATGATGAGACAAATTCGTCTAAAATTAGCCGGTAATAATATTGTTCCGGATAATATGATATCGACTCATCGATGAAGAAGTAATGAGCAGGGCGAGGGTGGGTTGCAAGTTGTCTGGGGAGACAGCCGAGTTCTGCCGCCAGCACTGTGACTGCCCACCTTCGTTGTTCCTACGTTCAACTTGCTACATGGACTGTCTGTCAAGGGCAGTGAAACTGAGCCATAGACATTTCTCTCATTTGCACGTAGCTCTCAATGGCTTGGATTACGCCAATACACATACAGAGAGAGGATAAACGATGGCAGGACAGCAAATCGGTTCTATCACCCAGCATGCAACCCTGAAGGATACGAAAGACAACAGTGCAGAACTCCCATAAGCCCTGCGGGGATTCCATTCATTCACCCGCTCCCGAAAACGAAGAAGAGAAAGACCCATTGCCGAGGTAACAATAGAGGTCGCGAAATAGACAGTCCCAAACTCAAACAAAATCCGACTCACGTAACGAGAAAACGATGACGCTAGCCACCGATGAAAGACGCCCTTCCTTTTATCCCGGGAACCCTAATCACAGCGCAGCCTGAAAATTAATCTGAGACGTTCGCCACCCCTTTTGGCTACTAATCTGATAACCGCCCAGAGCAAAGAAGGAAAACGATCCCGATGAGGAAGAAGCAATGGAGGTATTCAATTACAGTTCGTCCTCCAGGTACTTGTAGATGAACTTGAAGTCCGCCTTGCGTCGGTTCATCCTGCAGGAGAGAAGAATTAGCCAATCGCTGGAATACAGTGACTACATATAGAAGGCTGAGCAGTAGTGTGCCACAGGTAGTCCACTCACCATGTACTCTCATAGTCAAAGAATCGGTAAGTACCCTGTTCGAATTCTTCGGTGATCGTTTTGGGCTCCTCATGCCGCTGGAACCATGTTTGGTATTGTTTGTGAAACCGCCAGCTCTGATTCTTAAGGGCCTTGGCAGCCAGATATTGCTGGTAAGTTCCCTGGCGGTAGTAGAATAAATAGAATAGTGTATCTGTATCGATCCTTCCCGTATCGTATAGCCGGGCATCATCAAATATTGGGAGCGGCTCTTGAGGGTAGTAAATAGGTGTGTTGTATGGGTTTTGTGGTTTGTAGTGCCGGGGCTTCTCTGCATCAAGAGGCTCTGGACAAGTGGTGAGCGATGCGGTAATCAGTCGTTGAACCGATGGGGAGGGGTGCGTCGATGCTCTGTTCTTGGTGGCCTCGAATGAGTGTATCAAGTCCTGGAGCCCTGGTGGTAGGTGGTATATCGATTCCTCTGTATCGCCTTCTGCTTTTGCTACGTCGCCATTTGCCTTCGGCTGTCCCTTGGCCTCAGTGGTCTCCGACTTTGCAGCTGCAGGTGTAGGCGGCACCGCACTTGCCGCAGTCGCTGAGGGGAGATTGGGAGTCTGAGCCGGCGCTGGCGTCCCTGTTCGTGCTCCATGACCGCCAGACTCTCCTGTAGCCGCCGTTTGTGAATGGATTGGTCTGGCTACCGGCTGTGCTGTTGTGACGCTGGGCGAGGCAATTGACGGGGTCTTGGATGGGATTGCAACTGAGATGGCAGGGCTAGCGCCCGGAGGTGGTGGAAGAGGTGCAATTCCAACGCCATTTTTGTCGCTTGCAGCAGCAGCCGCCGCAGCGGATGCATACTTCAGTGTTTCTCCCGGGAGACGGGCCGGCGGTGGTGCAGGCTTCATGCTCGTAGTGGAAGACGAAGACCCAGCGAGATGTAGAGTTGCGAGTACCGGAAGAGGAGATTTCATCTGCGTTGAGGGTCGCCGATGCCCTGGAGTATCTGTCTTGGATTTTGCTCTCGGTTCGGATTCTTCCTCCTGGAGAGATTGTGTATCTTGAGAGGAGACACGGTCGTTGTCCAAACCAATTCCAAACTGGGTCTCGGCGTCACCACCAAGATTCAGGTCATCATATAGCGTCTCATCTTCACCAGAGTAGTCTATGTTATGACCGTCTTCCACGTAGTATTTGATGCTATCCTTGACCGGTAGGACATCGCTGACATCGACGTTGCCATTTTCCACTGACCGTAATAGCAATTCAAGCTTGTTGAGGTGCCATCTATGACGCTCCAATAGATGCTCGACATCGGAAAGGCGATTTGTCTTGGTGACGTCCTTTTTGCTCTTTTTCAGCTGGATATGGAGCGTCTCCTCTTCGGCCTCAAATGCCTCGATCTTCCGTTGGATCTCTTCCACGCAGTTAGATAGAAAGTCGCACATCTCCACCTTCTGCTTTTCCTTCGGATCAAGTCTGCCACCAGCTGAGAGACCTTCTTTTGAATATGCCTTTGTCTTCATCTCCTTTTCCACGGCTTTGAACTGCTCCATACACTATTCGTCGGTTAGCTCTGACTAGTCCGATTGACCAAGGTCCAGGGTCCATGGATTGTCCCACAGTTTCGATTGCTTTCCGCTGCTCGAGCAGCGGGGTTTTGTCTTTAACTTCATTTCCTGCAGCCCACGATTTGATCTGATCTCGGAATCGTTGGAGCTTCTTGATCTCCCTCTTGAGGTTCTCCTCGAGCTTGTCGCGCTGGGTGGGGTTCGTGGCTGATCGGATCTTCTCGTATATGCCTTCGAATGCTTGAATGCCTTCAGCGACCTTTTTGAAGGTCTTATCGATCTCTTGCTGTGTTTTTCGAGACGTCATGGCCGCTGCACACGGGAGGCTTTCGGAGCCGTTCGACACACAGAAACCGCAGGAGGCTGTCGCGTGGCTTCGAGAAGGATGAAGATAATGGAAGCACGTAGGGAAAAGGAAGAGTAAATCCGGAGCCGTCCAGAACTGTCTTCCAGACGTATCAAACTGGCTTCAGCGTTGATGCTTCCAAGAGAGTGTCTTGAAGATTGACATGCGGAGCGCGATCGCAGTTTGAGGTGTCGAGCTGGAGATGCCAAGACCTTTCCCCGAGCGCTAAAGTTACAGTATTAACATTCACATTAACCAGATCGAGGGCTTTCTGTTTGCCAGCCAGATCTGTCATCCAGCAGCTGCAATTCACCCTGTCTTCCCAGTCTGTTAATTTCTTGTGCAGCTGGCCTTGTTTTGTAATGACTGTTACTGTGCCAGTGAATTGACTGCTATTTGGCTGAGGTATACTACAGTTGTCCACCACTCATACATTTCCTTCCTCTCACTTTCTAATCACCCTACTCTTTACTGATCAATGTTGCTGACTGTTTCTACGAAAGTAACTAGATCTCGATCCTCAAGATGAAAGGTGCGCAGCGTCGCGATACGGTCATAGCGCGCGCCATGACTAAGTCCCCAGTCAGCGGTTATCCAGAGAGTCAAGTCGGCATCCGTCACGGTGGACCAGCAACTGATCTCATCAATCGGTCGAGGGCTTCTCGTTCTCGCTGCGGTGGGTAAGGGTGACACCGAAAAGGAAGCGGACTCGCTCGTTGCAAAGATCCTGAAGGCGCGATTCTGGGAGGACGATACCGGTGCAGCGGTTTGTCTCTTGTGTGCCCCGAAAGTCTATCCGACCATTTCTTAACGCCTGGAGGTTCATAAAGTGGAAGAAGAATGTCCAGGATATACAAGGGGAAGTGCTCTGCGGTATGTGAATCTCGATCCATCAGAAACTCCGGAGGCTACTTTCTCACAGTCAAATCCAGTCTCACAGTTCACCCTATATGGTAACCTGAAGAAAGGTAATAAACCCGATTTCCACGATGCAGCGGACGTCGAAACAGCACGCAGGCTCTACGACTACTTCTACAACCGCATGCGAGACTCGTACAGACCCGAATCGGTCAAGAATGGTGTCTTCCAAGCGATGATGGAAGTAGAATTGAAGAACAACGGTCCGGTGCGTGTTTTTGATCCATTGTCGATGAACGATCATCATCTTCCTAACCACGGAGAGCGTGTAGGTTACTATTGAACTGGACACAAACGCGCCCAAGAAAGAGCCGAAGAAAGAAGACGGCCGGGGTAAGGCGCAGGAGAAGAAGTAGCAGCTCCAGGTTTGGGGTGTAGCAGCTGCAAACGGCTAGGAAGAAGCGATAGATCCATATAGACAAGACTCCGTAAGAATATATAGACAGTATCAGCATGCCCTGTAAGTAGACGTGTCGTGGCAGCGCAGCGTGAAAGAAATGACTGCGGAAACGGGAATCGGGGAATGGAAGCTTCCTGAAGCACCCCAGTCACAACAGTGAATCCCACAAACTTCTCTCTTCCTCTTTCTCCTTTCCCTGGCCATTCCTGGCTTCCTTCGTTACTCCGCGTATTCTTTCTCTCCAACTGCTGTATTATCTCCCTCTTTAACAGCATTCGCATACTGTTCAGCCATCATGGCAGTGTCAAACCGTGAGTCCCTCACTGCGCGGGGTTGAGGTCAATCTTGTAGGTCCAGGATATTGACTGTCGTTACTCCTGCAACAGGCCGCCCTCGTGTCTACTTCGATATCCAGATCGGCAAGCAGAAAGCTGGTCGGATTATCTTTGAGTTGGTGAGTCTCCTGTCCGCGGAATGGCTTGTCGCGGTTGGTTGCTAACTTTGGATTCTCTCCAGTACAATGACGGTACGAAGCCTTCCACTTTGAGCTACGCATGCACATACTGACTATGACTCAGTCGTCCCCAAGACCGCTGAGAATTTCCGGGCCCTCTGTACTGGAGAAAAGGGAACTGGCGAGCAGGGAAAGCCCTTGCATTACAAAGGCACGTTGGACACTTTTCATTCCTTTCATTTCATACCACGGGGGAGGGGCCAACTGACAACCGGATGTAGGCTCGATTTTCCACCGTGTGATCAAGCAATTCATGATTCAGGGAGGTGACTTCACAGCTTTCAATGGAACTGGCGGAGAGTCCATCTACGGCGAAAAGTTCCCGGACGAGAATTTCGAGCTTAAGCACGACCGACCTTTCCTTCTGTCCATGGCCAATTCGGGTCCTGGCACCAACGGGAGCCAGTTCTTCGTCACCACAGTCCCTACCCCACACCTTGACGGCAAGCATGTTGTTTTTGGAGAGGTTATCAATGGCAAGAGCGTCGTTCGCAAGATTGAGAACCAGCCTACGCAGGGAGACAAGCCAGTGGTTGATGTGACCATTGTCGAGTCCGGGGAGTTTACCGGCAAGGACTACGAGGATGCGGATAAGCATGCCGCTGATGCCACTGGTGACACATACGAGGATTACCCTGATGACTTCAAGTCTGAGGAGTTGACTGCCCCCCTCTGCTTCAAGATCGCCTCGGAGGTGAAGAACTTTGGTAATACTGCGTTCAAGAGCGGCCAACTTAGTCTGGCCCTTGATAAGTACCAGAAGGGATTGCGTTATCTGAACGAGTTCCCAGAGCCTGATGAGAAGGATCCCAAGGAGCTGGATGGGCAGATGAAAGCCCTCCGCTTCACACTTCACTCCAACTCGTCTCTGCTTGCCAACAAGCTCGAGCAATACAAGAACGGCAAGACCTGGGCCACATATGCACTGGAGGTTTCTGCTGCGGCAAATGCTAAGGATGCGGACAAGGCCAAGGCCTACTACAGACGTGCTGTTGCATCTGAGGGGCTAAAGGAAGAAGACGAGGCACTGGCGGATCTCGAAGAAGCATCTAAGCTGGCACCTAGCGACGCTGCCATCGTCAATGAAATCGCCAAGGTCAAGAGATCGATCAAGGCCGCCGAGGCTAAGGAACGTGCTGCTGCCAAAAAGTTCTTCTCATGATCCTGACCTATCTTATTGGTGTTTTCCATTGCACACATGTATTGCATCCTCTGAGCGAGATGTTTGGGAGAATACCCGAGATACTAAGCCTGTGTTTACTCTAGCAGTCCATAGTTGATTGCAGATGGTCAAAAGGAAATTTTCGAAGAAACAGAAAGAGAGAAAAAAAAAAAAACTTTCATACTAGACAGTTCCCTTTATCCCTCATTTGAATTTGTGTTTCTTACAAGGTACACAGTACTTGAGCAATCAGACATTGAGGACAGGAAATAAATGGGTTTTATGTCTGTCAACATTCTTTGGACTCACTTTAGGTATATACCAGACGTTGCATAGGCTGACCCGTAGCCTTTATCCTCCATCCTGCCTTGAAGCACCAGGCCGAAGGCCATACTGGGGATAGAATATGCCGAGCTGTTAATCTAATGAGTTTGCAAAGAACCATGTGAATGCGAAGAACGATGGGGATGCCTTTTCTTCCCTTCATTCGACTTCACCCTGCTGAGCTCTCTCCTTGCAGGCTCTCTAATGGGGACCTCGTTTCCGAAATTTGCTCCATGCCTAAGTGCTTGTTCCGCTGGCTTTGGATGAGGATCGTTCTCGTTCTTCTCCTTTCTGGACTTGTGCTGTAGGACTGTAATTGTCGTGTCATGCACACGCTCTAGGCTCTTGATGAGTTCACCACAGCTAACTATTCCAGCTCGCAGGTTTTGCACCTTCTCCCTTGGCATTCCTGGCTGTTTGCGTTGGAAGCTGTCTATGTTTATTGACTGTTCGGGCTCGAGTCTGCTCCATCGACTGATTGATTTGCGGGAGCGAGGAAATATTTTTTTGAATGCAGGTTCCTGCGTGAGATGTAGATGGTAGCTGATGCTCAGCCAGGTTCAAGTCGTATGCAGTTGAAGACTCTTATACAAAGGTGTAGAAAGGATAGTATGAGGAAGGTCACAGCCATTCGCCGTCTATTCAACAGTCACGTCCAATTTTGGACGCTAGAGATCATGTTGGAATCTATTACATATCTATACTTTCAAACAACACAAAAGCTTTGTGTTTTTGCTCCAACCCTCTCTATGATCGATATCACCAATGCCATCCATTCAGTGCAGGAAACCCATCTCCTTCCAGGCCTGTATATATTTACGCACCACCTCTGCACTGACTGGGCCCACGTCAGCCAGAGTTGGCGAGTGTTCCCTGCTCTTGGTGGTATCCAGCAGCAGCCCACCGCAGGACATACGCAAGAAGTTATCATCCAAGAAATCGATCAACTTCGCCGCGGGATTATCCAGTTCAACCGATCCTGGGAACCGGCGTACTCGTTGCACCCATTCAGGGAAAGGGATCACGTTTCCCTTGGGGATATCGAGCCCGTCGGCGAGGATAGGGATCATTTCCCGCCATGGCTGCCGCACGGGGTTGTCGATGTGGTAGATTGGATACGGGGTGTTGTCCGCGAGGAGAAGGTCTGCGAGCGTGCCAGCGACATCGTTGACCGGGGTCCAGGATAGCTCGCCTTCAAAGTCAGGGAGTGCTTTAAGAGTCTGGGACGATTTCACCAGGAACGAGAGATGTTCCATGGGGTTCCAGTATCCGCTTGTCTTGGAGCCGGCGACTTGTCCCAGACGTACAGCCATGGGAGAAAATCGGTCAGGATACTGATGGAGCGTCTCATCAAGCATCAGCTCACAGACGTACTTGGCATCACTGTACCCGTTCGGTAGGAGGTCTTCGATGCATACACGCTCCTCAGGGACGTGCCGGTTGCCGGTTCGCAGAGGGTAGTAGCCAACCACGGAGATGGAGGAGATGAGCTGGAATCGGACTTTAAAATCGGGGCCGCGACGGCAGGAGATATCCCAGGCCAAGGTGATAAGGTTCTTCATGACTTGGAATTGGAGTTCGAAACCCTTGACTGGGCGTTTGCCGCTCATAGGCCAGGCATTGTGCAGAACGTGTGTCACGTTGTTGACGAGATGCCGATACTGCTCCGCTGGTAGACCGAGCATGGGCTTGGATGTGTCCGTCTCGAGGATGATGAGTTTGGACAGCGCGGTATGACTGAGAGAGATCCCCTTGGACTCCATGGATTGCTGCTGACGGCGCGTCGGATCCTCCCGACTGACCCTGTTGATGCAGACGACAGAGGTAACGTCGTTCAGTTGAGCAAAATGGGAAACCAGGTGAGAGCCGAGACTGCCAGTGGCCCCGGTAACCAGAACGCATTTTCCGGGAGGAGAGGGCTCGGGCTGGGAGGTTGAGGAGGTGGTTGGAGCGACGAAGCCTTGGGTGCTGTTCCGGACGTACTTAAGAACGGCCGCTTGACGAGCCGCGAAGTCAGTCAAAGGGGCCTTCGCAGCAGACGATGGGGTTACTGGTTGACGCTCATACCTCTGGCCGGATGCCAGCGCAAGGAAAATGCGCTGGATGTTCACTTCTGAGCGATGCCCATCGGTCCAGTCGACATGGCCAAAGCCGGCGGTGTTCAGGTCGCGTTCCCACCGGGACTGATGGGAGATGGCATGGCGTCGACCGTCATCGAAGAGCCACCAGCCTTCCAGCAGGCCGAAGATGATATCGATCCAGTAGACCGTCTCCGTCATCTCGAGCATCATGAGGAATCCATCCTGACGCAGGGCCTTGTGGATGTGGCTGGTGGACACCGTCAAGCTGTGGGTAGCATGAACCGCATTACTGGCGAGGATGATATGCTGGGTGCCGACGAGATCATCCGCGGGCGCCTTCTCAATGTCATGGACGCGGAATTTCATGAAGGGGTACTGCTTGAACTTCTTGCGCGCTGCCGCCACGAATGAGGGTGCCAGGTCGGTGAAAGTATACTCAATCGGCACGTTCAGGCTGGCCAACATGGGCACAATCCACTTCGTTGTCCCTCCCGTGCCAGCACCCATCTCGAGGATCTTTAGTGGACCTTCGTGCATGGGGAGCTTGGAGATTAGGCGCTTGAGAAAGTCCTCCATCTGTTTGTATGCGAGCTTGTTGAGCAGGGAGTCTCCGTAGAGGCCTGAGACCAGCGTTCGACCTTCCTCCGATCCGAAGATCAGTTTGATGCCGTCCAGCTTGCCAGTCAGAACGTCTGCCAGTCGAGTACCGCAGAACTGGGTTAACTGGTTGGCGAAGTTGTGGCCTGGGTAGTCGCGCATGAGCTCCTGGCAGATCTCTGAGCTCGATTTGGAGGGCACAGTAACAGCAGTCCGGGTGATGCGGTCATCGTCCATATCAACCAAGCGGGCTCCTTTCTCCAGCATCATGTAGAGATACTCTACTAATCGTTCATGCTGGGGGAGGTACTTGATACGCTCCAAGGTCTGCCCGGACTTCGCGTTGCGCAGCGAACAGCCCAATTGCTCAAAGGCTTCGATGACGAGAGCCACACACAACTGGTCCTGCTTTGGCAAGATGGTGTCCATGTAGTTGGCACAGTGATAATCAGAGATGAACTGGTCTGTGAGGGCTTTTGTCTCCCCAAATGCCTCCAAGACCGTGGAGACAGGAAGACTCAATTCGCCGTTCGAAGAGGTATGCAGAGTGCTGTTGACGGTAGGATGGGAAGCATTCACCTTGACTGATCCCTCTATTATCTTTGCAGGCATGGTAGAGGCAGCTGAAGACCTGGGAGTTCCCTCCGATTTCCCGTTAACTTTGACATCGAATTCCCCAACGCTCAATTCCTCGAGGACAACTTCTTCGTCGATGTGGACGTCGAACTTGGAGGCGATTTCCGACCTCAGCTCAGTCGACAGCAAAGAATCAACCCCAAGATCACGGAGGAGAGTCGCTGGGGCGATATCACTTTCCTCAATTCCAAGAAACTCAGCCAGGAACTCGGCGACATCCGCTTTGGCGGAGGAGACACTGGTTGCAGCGTCAGAGGGAGTGAAAACACTCGGATTCTCCGACGACTCTCCATCCTCGCCTTCCTCGTTATCTGTCTCTTCTTCTACTCCTTCGCTGGGCCCCAGAGCCTCCTGAATACAGCGCAGGAGACCCTGGAAGTTAGTCACTTCGACCAATTCGTCCGTAGGCAGCGAGCACTTGAATATACCCTCGATTTCCCGCGCCAGCTCCATGCCCATGAGCGAGTCAATGCCGATATTAGCTAGTTCCGTATCGTCTTTGATCTCCTCAGGTTCGAGACCGGCAAGCTCTGCCAGCATTGCACGCACTTTGCCACTGATATCGGGCGCAGAAAACTGCTTTTTCTTAGGCTTGGAGGCCTTCTTAACCTTAACAGCCGAAACGGGACCCGGAACAGCAGCAGGCGCTGCCAGTTTAGCTGGGGCAGAGACCGGGGCAGCATGATGAGATTGCCTGGCTCCATCTGCGGTCAGCCGGGAGAGCAGCTTGCTCATGGACATTTTGGGCACCTTGGCGTAATTGATGCCCAGAATGACTTCGGTCAAGAGGCCATTAGTGGAGTCGAAAATGAAGATATCGGTGAGATATGCCTTGTCCGAGGACCGATGATGGTATGCATATACGTCCCAGATCTCCGGCCGTTCATAGTCACAGCTGATTTTAGGTGAACGCAGCCACTGCTCGAATCCATTGGCGATATACATGTCGGTTGGAGCGCGGTCTGTCATACAGTTGACCCAGATCCCACCTACCTGGCTGAAGCAGTCTGACAAGTGAGTGTCCAGCCAAGTTTCCCCAGAATACTTCTTGACGATCCGCCCAGCTGACTCGTTCCCTTGTCCGACGAGTTTCTGCAAACCACGATACATCTCCCCGTAGTCTACGATCTCAGCGAAGGTTTTGTAGATGTTTCGGCCTTGGATAATATCGTCCGCATCCAGACAGTTCAGAATGCCCAAGCAGCGTTGATAGCCCACCAGACGCTCGTACCGGGCGAAGTCGAGCTGGAACTGCAAATCGTCGACTGACCGGAAGAAAACTTTGCCTGTAACATGCAGGGTAGTTGCCGACGCTTTTTGTGATCCGGTACTTTCGATCTTCCAATTCCAGGAATGACGCTCTGCGTCGAACGCTTCCAACTGCAGCCAGACCATCCGCTCGGGGTTGACGCATATCGGTGCCTGGTTATCGACGTGATGAATCTGCGGTTGGAGAGTCGACTTCACCAGATCCGGACGCAGACTATACAGGGCCTCAATGGCCAGATCAACCTCCAGCGTCGCAGGGCAGATCGGTGCCGTCTGGGCGATGAGGTGGCCTGAGACGAGTTCTTCGTATTTGGGAACCATGGTGTTGATCCGGAACCGTGCAGTTCGCTGGTCTTTATCCTGGTAACCGACAAAGGTCAAGAGGCCCTTTGGAAGCTCCTCAACCGGCGAGGCCGGCTGTGTCACAGGCTCCGCAGTCAACTTTGGTGGTGGCTTGAGCTCAACCCAGTGTCTTGCCTTTTCAAATTGATATGGCGGCAGGAGAAGATTGGCGTATTCATAGGTCTGTGAGGAGTGATGAGGCCAGAAGGACACATTGAGACCGGCTCTCCATAGACTGACAGTTGTATCAGACAGAGAATCCAGGCCATGATCACTGGAGAGATTGACGGGCTGGAAGTGATGGTCAGCAGAGGCTCCAAGCGCCCTGCCGAGCATGTTGATAATGGTGGAGTTGCACCCGGCTTCAAGCCAGATGCAGGATGGGTGTTGTTTTGCCAGTCTTTGCACGGCGTGATTGAAATAGACAGGATCGCGCATATGGCTAGCTACATATTTTGGCGTTAATTTCTCGTCAGAATGGCTCTCTGTGGCCCTCTCCAGATGGATAATGGACTCTCCAAATTTCAAACCGGTAGCTGTCCTCTCTAAGTCGACAACCAAGGGCTCAACCAGAGTGGAATGGAAGGCGTTGGTAACGTTCAGCTTCTTAGTGCGCACTGAGGAGAATGAGGAATTGCCAGACACTGTCTGCAGCACAGCATCAATCGCGAGACTGGAGCCGGCCAGCGTGAAGCTACGAGGTCCATTGAAGCAGGCAATTGTCGCGGGCTTGTCGTCCTTGCACAGCTTCTCGGATTCACCCAGTAACTTTTCAACGACAGGAAGATCCGCCTCAACAGCCATCATGGATCCCTTTTCAGCACCCCAAGAATCCCGTATAAGACTAGCTCGACCGATGATCATCTTCAGGGCATCTTCAAGGCCGAGGATTCCAGAGATGCAGACGGCTGTGAGCTCACCAAAGCTGTGGCCGACGAGCGCTACAGGCTGTACACCACAGTCAATCCAGCTCTTGGCACAGGAGTACTGAATGGCAAACAAGGAAGTCTGAAGCTTCACAGGGTCGGAGATTGGGTTACGTTCGAATATAGCTGGGTAGATGCTGCCGGCTTTGAGGGCACGGCAGACTGCATCACATCGATCCAAATAGCTGCGAAGAATGACAACGTTGTCATAGAGCTGTCGATCCAAGCCTACAAATGTGGAGATCTGACCACCGAAGCACAGCACAACTGGTCGAGTAGCCGGACGCACGGTGGGAGCCACACTGGAGTTTCCATTTCCCAGCGCCGTCAACTTCTGTTCCAGCTCGCCCATGGACGCGCAGTTAAAGATTGCGGCACGGCCGAACGTGCGATTTGACTGCCGAGAGAGATTGAATGCCAAATTCCGCGGGGAAAAGTTCTTCGCCGAGACTGTCTTGGACTGGATGAAGCGTAGGAACCGGGACGCATAGGAGCGAAGACTGCGGTCATCCGGCCCAGGAAACCAGAATGGATATCTGGCGCCTTCTAGAACCTGGATAGTGGCCGGATCCCTCGCGCTGGGAGCCTGGGTGACTATGAGGGAGGCGTTGGAACCGGAGGCGCCATAATTATTGATGAGGGCCGCGCGGAAGTCCTCGTTCCAGGGCGTCAGCTTGGTGGCAATCTTCATGTTATGTTCTGGCAAGGCTTTTATGGATGGATTCATGGTGGTAAAGCTTGCCTGGGGTGGGATGTAACCTTCATTAATCATGAGGAGCACCTTGATGAGGGAAATGACCCCTGACGTACACTCGGTATGTCCGATGAGGCCCTTGACAGAGCCAAAGTGCAGTGGTGTTGAGCGATTGGGGCCCCCAAGTACTCTCAGGATACTCTCATATTCTGCTGGGTCTCCCACAGGAGTGCCAGTGCCGTGAGCTTCAACGACAGTAATCTGTTTAGGCACCAGATGGGCCTCCCTGGTAACGTCCTTGAAGAGCTCTGAAAGGGAGGGCGAGTTTGGCACGAAGATTGGGGTGCAGTTCTGGTTTTGATAGACAGCGGTGCTCGCAATGGTCCCCAGGATCTGGTCGCCGTCCTCAATTGCAGTGCTGAGCTTCTTCAAGAAGACAGCAGCAATGCCTTCACCGCGACAATAGCCATCTGCATGAGCGTCGAATGGCTTGCATTGGCCCGTTGGACTCAGGAAGGACGCCCCTGCCAAGTTCTGGAACCAGAGAGGATTCGTCATTACATTCGTACCACCGGCCAGGGCAGCGGTACACTCGCCGCTGAGGATAGCTTTGCAGGCCTGATGAACTGCTACAGCGGACGAGGAGCATGCAGTGTCGATGGTCAGGCCAGGACCGGTCCAGCCGAAGTAGTGGCTGATCTTTCCTGCAATGAAGCTCTTCAGGTTGCCAGTGGCCGAGAAGGCATTCGGAGCATGGCAGGCAATGTTGTTCTCATAGTCCGCAGCGCAAACGCCAATATAGCACCCAATCTGCTTGTCAACGCTGGGGTTGCAGAAATATCCCGACTGTTCGACAGCCTGATAGGCGATTTGCAGCATGTGGCGCTGCTGAGGATCCGTCGAGGCAATCTCTCGCGGGCTCTTCTTGAAGAACTTGTGATCAAAGGCATCGTGGTCTCGGATAAAGTTTCCAAACCACTTCCGTTTCGTATCGAGCTCGCGGAATATTGTGTCGAAGGTAAAGCGTTCCTTGGGTACTTCCTGGTGCTGTGACTCCCCCCTGCAGAGCAAGTCCCAGAACCCTTCGAGGTCATCTGCACCGGCCACCTTACACGACATGCCAATGACGGCGATGTCGTTTTCGTCGACCGCATGGGCGTATTTCAAAGCAGATGTAGCTCCGGGGACACGCATGTTGCGTACCGCGAGGTCCGCCATATTGACAACCTGTGCGCTGAGTCCTCGCAGAAGTGAAGGAGGGATACACCTCTCTGGGCCGAAAGAGACCAGCACAGAATCCTTGTGCTGCAATCTTGCAGCATGCATAGTTGAAAATGTCTGGTACCACTGTGATCGCTCCAACAGGATCAGACGCAGGGCGTGCTGATGCAAGTTGCCCTTGGTGATTAAATCGCCTCCAGCGTTTGATCGCGTCTGCAGCACCAGTTCTGAGGCGTCCGGGAACTGGAAGGCTGGATGCGAGTCGCAGAAGTCTATCATAGAATCGATGTCATTGCCGTAGCAGTCACAGTGGAAGCGGCCCCTGAGCCCAACCTCCGTAGCGATGATGCCAGCTGAACGGAGTTTCTGCTGCAATGCAGGGACAGTCTTCGCAGCGGTCGTTACTGTGGCACGGTTTGCATCGTACCACACGGACACATATGCCTATTAGCAGCGGTTAGATCTAACAAGGCCGGTTCTTGATTTGATCTATGGGTTGAGTGTCCGGGAGAACTCACCTCTGGAAAGTCCTGTAGGACCCGGCTGAGCTCCGCTCCAGCCTCCGGGGCGTTCCACGCAATTGCCATTGATTTCGATGCTCCATAATCGCTCAATGCATCTTCTGCGTCGGCGGCTGCTCCAACGAGCATTGCCAGACGGATGGCTACCGCACCGTACTCCTGAAACTGTCGTCTGTTTGTGCTGCAGGCCACTGCGACAGCACTGAGAAGGCCGGTACAGAACCCTAGGGCCTCTATATTATCGTTCTGGATGGCATGAGCATCGGATTGGTCATCCGCCTGCGAGAGTTCGAGATATTGGCAGTACTGTGCCAACTGTGTGATGACGACAAGGGGGCTGAGGAGGATGTTGGGAAGATGAAAATCGGCCTCATTGACCTGGCCAGTCGTGAACCAGTCCTTCAAGTTCTCAAGGAGCTGTTCACCGAGGATGGACTGCAGCTTCGGGATCCTCTCTGCCAGCGCTTTCCAGTGTTCGGGAAGACCAGCAACGGCATCAACAATCCAGCTGAAGCCCTGGGTCTCCAAGACGGTGGTGCGAATTTGGTCGAAGTCCTCTTTGGTAAACGAAAGCGCCTGCGGCCCAAAGAGGAGGACGGTGCTCCCGGTGACGGGGCGCAATATCCGACTGACCATCTCGACTTGGATGTGTGTCTCTCCGTGTCGGTCTACAGCAAGCGATGCGAAGTCGTCACAAGATTAGGGAGCTCGGAGTGGGAGTGGTATTGCCAGACGTCCTGTTGAGAAGCCGACAGCATTGGCTCCAAGCAATCTAACACGCCAGATGGCGATGGGGGTTGAATGAGTTATGAGAATGATGTTGAAGAATTATCGTGTCTGGAAGACAGACATATAAGGAATATCCCGGATTTAAAAGAACTAATGAAGGCAGAGCCAGGATGACAGACACCTGCTCTCGTCCAGAGTGCTATCAGGACTTTAGGGCACAGTTTCTACTCCGCTGCAGGAGATACATGAAAGACCGCGCATGCCTTTCCGGTCAATAAACTCCAGTTGTCCGAGGATCTAGCATGGAACAGCTCGGTAGAAGCCATCTCGACTCATATCCAACAGATGTTTCCACCGAAGGGCCACCTACATGCATCCTAGCGCTTCGTGGGACCGCCAAAGCTGACCACTGCTCCCATCGGCTCCCATCGGCTCCCATCGATGCGCCAGACTCGGGCTATGTTCCTGCTATGATCTCTGCCACATCCAGCTGGAGTAGATATTGCTTACTGAACCAAGTCCGACAATACCAGATCGATTTAAGCTTAAATGGGAACTTCACACCCGGAGTTTCCTGGCGGAGTTTTCCATCGGGGTTTTGCCTACAGCGCATGCTTAACCTCTCAGTTTACTGTGTTGGACGAGACTCGCTTACCTGTCAATCTGATCAACAGCATACCGAGAGGCTAACAGCCTGCTCTCGTGTTCGCATATTGTGGAAGGGAAAGCGAGAGAGATACATCATCTTCGCTATCGGCCGACCTCTACCAAGATGTCTACAAGTCGTAGCAAAGGTCCGAGATACTTAAGCTCTGGATATAGGAGACCTGGCCCATGCAAGCTTTGGTCGCTGACTCTAGTAACGGAGTTAACTCGGATGAACTGCACGCTTAAGCATGAATCACTTCGCATGGACGGCATGGCCTCTACAACCGAATGATCCTAGGTAACTGGCTCAGTACACTTCATATGCCATACGCGGGTTCGGCGATGACCCTGTCTGCTTCGATATGCCTTGGCTGGCATCTCTCTGTGGAAATGTTGCTCCTTGCCTGCGGCTCAAGGCAGTCGCAAGGTATTGCTGCATTGAGAAACGCAGATAGATCTGCTCCAAACCGGCTCAGCCGGGTGATCTAATACATTTCCGAGCTGACTGTATCCATTCAATCATATGTTGACCCTAGCCTGCACATGAAATAGCTTCGGCCAAGGAAAAGAAAGCTAAAGAGTGTCTAAAGGCAAAGGCACGTCAGAGGAGCTGAAACAAACTGCAGTAATCAGGCAGCCACGGAACTCTCTATCCTCCCTTGACTGCATCTGCATAATCCTTTGCGGTCTTCCCACTCGATTGCCAATTCCCTCATTCCCTGAAGTCGTCCAACCAATGCCTATTCAGCGAGAACTCCGAGGACCATGCTTTTGAGTCGTCCCGTCCCGTCCGGATACGAGCATCATAATAATAAACTCCCGGGAGACGGCGCTAGCAAATGCCAATTTGTACTTTTGCTGGGATACCGAGACGCAGATGAACGAGACGCGGCTGTCGTTCCGTCTGCTAATAGTGGCTTAGGGCCTGGAACGGACGCTAATGCACAACGTCCGCATCGCCTACACGTATAGAGCACATAATCCCTTCTCGTCCGCTCCTTGGCTTATCAAAGTTTCGTCAGCCGTGACATTGCTTATTCGGAGCATGCCGGATCTGACATTTGCCTGCGTGAAGCCATGAAGAAAAACCACTGGGCCCAAAACAGAGTGATAAGCTGAGTAAGACATCTGCACGCTCGAGGATCCTTCATCCGTCTTGGAATATCACAGGACGCTATTAATATTCCAGGTTATGCGAGATGGTCCATACCTTGAGGAATTGATTGGCAGGACAGGGATCTCTGGACATGCAGTTGTTCGTGTAGAGTTCGGGAGGAGAACGACAGTCACAAGAAGAGACCCCCTCATTCATGTATGGCTAATGTACAGTGATAGCATGCTGAGAAGGCAGAATTGCCTCTTCCGCGGGTCTGAGTAATTATACTCCACACAGGTGGCTGCTGCCTCTGCCTGGAGGGGACAATGCAGGTCTCATCGCGCAGAACTTCTCCCAAGAGCAGACCCGATTATTCTATACCCGGGGATTTAACTGTCCTATATCTGGGCTCACTAGGAATAGCTCTATAGAGGGGACAGCGCGAGTGGTATTTGCCATAATGTTCACATCGTCCAGCCCTGAACAGAGAAAACCACGACAGTCAAGGCAGCTTCCGGGGGCTGCGTGCGAGGAATGCCGCCGGAAGAAGCTGCGATGTGACCGCCAGCAGCCTCAGTGCGGCGGGTGTAGGGATTCAGGCATTGTGTGCAGAGTCACCACTGAACATCCCCCCCGAGGCCCAAAGAGTGGACATCTCAAAGCACTGCAGACCAGGATCGGTAACGAGGACCCCTCTGCTACTCCTGCGTGGCATGTTGCTAACGAGTCCCATATTTTTAGCAAGCTTGGAGCGCCGGTTGGAGCAGCAGATGCAGACGGCCCTGCTCCCAGGGGATGACATTCTGAATATGCTGGACGAGCCGGCCTTCACCGTATTCCCTAGCAGCGAGGACCAACTCGGGTTGCCGGCCTTCAATATCACTAACTCGACCCGCGGCGAACAGTGCCAGGATGAGCAATTCCTGGACCATTTTGCTGATATGAAAGGCTCGGAATTCACAGGAACCCTAACGACGACCTCGATACCCGAACTGATGCGGGCAGACCTGTAGGTCCCTACAATCCTGCCTTCTGGACAGAACGCTTAGGGCTGACTACCGACGTGGCAATGGCAGAGATCAGCTTTATTTCGACCGAGTCCATATCTTCACTCCCATCATCCACCAACGTCGCTACTTATCCTGGTCTAAAGATGCCCACAAGAACGAGGCCCGTGTCTGTCTGCAGTATGCCATGTGGGCGCTGGCTGCATCCTTCTCAGCGCCCTTCCAACACCTCCGGGACGCCCTCTACCGTGACGCACGACGGATGCTGGATCTGCTGGAGCTAAGTGACGGTGCCATGGCTACCCACCACCTGGAACAGGCACAGGCGTGGATTCTGGTGGCTATATACGAGTTCATGCGTATGAACTACCAGGTCGGCTGGATGAGTGCTGGACGCTCATTCCGGCTTGTCCAGCTGATGAGACTGTATGGGATTGACGGAGCAAACAGCCCGACACAGGAGCTCCCGCAAACCTCTTCCATGGAGTGGATTGAAACGGAGGAGAAGCGACGGACGTTCTGGATGGCGTATAGCCTAGATCGCTTTATTAGCATGCGCGATGGTTGGCCGTTGACATTGAACGAACAGGTGGTAGGAACTCCCGGAAGCAAATGGCGTTTGAAATCATGCACTCCATCTAATTGATCGAATACCCTAGGTCACGACCTGTCTGCCTGCCCCCGAAGCAGCTTTCCAGAGTGGCAAGCCGGCCTCAGGAGGCTTCCTATCAGAAACCATCACGCAGGAGGATACCGGTGCACTGTTCTCCTTCACCGAGTGTATCATCATCGCCACAGTCTGCGGACGTAGCCTCTCACACGGCCAGAAGCTGGAGGTCGAACGTGTATACGGCGATGTATCTCCTGACTTCTGGCAACGGCATCAATGGCTGGATGCAATCGTGAAAAAGCGGATCGAGATCCTGTCTCTCCGCTGTGCTTCAGCCACCGAGGTAGTAGACCCGCTGCTTCTTTTCACGTACATGATGGCGCAGACCACGGTGCTGTATCTATGTAAGCTGGTCAAGTCCGTGACATGGGAGACGGATAAATCAAATCCCATCGTCCAGGAGTATGAGCAGCGGTCTTTAGCTGCAGCACAGGAGATTGTCAATCTGACACATACTTTAAAGCAGTTCAATTTTCTCAAGGTAGGTAGCCTATCTTTTCTTTCTTCTATTTTATTGTTCAAGCAAGCAAGTCTGATATATCCAGGTCCATCCATTCATGCCGTTACCTCTGTACCTGTGCGCAGAATTCTTGTCCATGTACCGCAGCTTGGATGCATCATTTGACGCCCAACTCCAGGAGGTCCAGAATGCCCTCCGAAATCTTCAGGCAGTCAACAACTTGGCCCGGACGTATCTGAACCTGCTGCAGGTGAAAGAACGCGAAGGGTCCCTGCGTTCGTCTAGCGAAGAGATTGACCTATGACGGGATATTAAAGTCATAAAAGGCAGTTATATTCTACTTATCTTGACCAGGATAGGTAGAAGCTAACAGGATGTCCACATCCAGCAACACCTCGAGGCCCTGGCTATGTACTTTTAACACATCCTGCCAAAGATTATGAGTGTGCGTTGACCTAGTAGATAAATTTCACTTTCAACTTGTCTCCTTGAACGATTTCGTCTTTCATAGCTATAAGCTCGGGCATGTCCCAAGTGACATTGATATATCGTCCTCCAAGCCAGTCCCGTTTCTCGGAGGTGAGATAGACAATGGTATCTGCGCTGATTTCGGGTGTTTCGACAAAGACTGGGGAGTGTCAGCTTGGTTTTATCAGGAAGAGAAAAAAAAAAAAAAAAAAAACATAGTATAGAGGCGAATTGTCCGTACTGAGTTTCTCATGCTCACTTAAACCATCAGGGCCTCCCATGATGTCCGTAGGGCAATTCCCCGGATGAACAGCAAAAGTAACAAGCCCCTTCGAACCAAATTCCGCGTGTACCAGCTGGCTGAATTTCAGCAAAGCCATCTTCGAAGTCTGATAAGCGCTGAGAGTCGGGTTGAGAAGATGCGCCGCGACGCTGGTGACATGTACCAAGGCCTTGAGTTCACTTTCCAGCAGAAGGGGCAGAAAGGCCCGCGAGACAAGGTACGGTCCACGAAGATTGACCCCAAGAACCTGCCACCATTCCTGGGGATCGGTTTGAAGAATGCCCCCGAATCTCCCGAGGACCCCGGCGTTGTTCACCACGACGTCACAGCGGCCAAACTCGCTTTTGACGGCGACCGCGGCATTTTCCACGCTTTGCGGGTCTGTTACGTCCAGCTGGATGGGCAGGAATTTGGGTGGGCTGCGTTTTGCAGTCGCTGCAGCTGCCGCTACGTCCTTTGCTAGCTCTGTCATGTCGGATCGGGCACCGGCTGCGATGTACGATGCCCCGGCTTTGGCAAAAGACAGCACCATGGCACGTCCTAAGCCCTTGGATCCTCCGGTGATGAAGACTGCTTTCCCAGAGAGATCGGCCTTGAGAGGATCGATTGCTGGGTAGGTGTCGTTGTGGATTGTGGATGTCACATCATAGTCACCTAGATTGATTGTAAGCTCATAGTCCAGTTTCTATCTCCTGTCCATGGCACATTGGCTTACCAGGCCCCTCGAGAATATTGGGAGTACCCCTAGGAGGAGGCATTTCGGCGAGAATGTGTCGAAGACAGGAACGGACTGGATGAAGGGGGAAGAGAGTTAGGGTTGGCTGGAATAGCTACGGGTAAACCACCGTGGCTCTTTTTCTGGATCCTGCAACTCCCTTATACTCTAGGAAGCATGCGAGTCTACAGATCATAGTAAACACTCCGGGGCGGGGTTTACTCGTCCTGTCTTCCACAGCCGTTGAGATATTGCATAGGCAACAACCTAGTCTGCTGCTCGTCGGAAGCATCACCGTTGTCCAAAGCAGGGCTGTTCCGGACGAATTCCTTTTTTCCGGAACTTTACCTGCGTATGCATGGTTTCCCATTGCAGTTTTTCGCAGCTTGCGTCCGGCCAAGTCTCTGGGTCTCCATGCAGTGTTCCTAACCTCAGGCTCCGGCGGAGTTTCTTCCACGGAGTTTGGAGGAAGCACGATGACTGTCCAAAAATAACGCACAGTCAAGGCAAGAGATCTTGCAAGTATCTATTTAGATTCACAGCAAGGACAGGCAAACATCAACTGCCATGCCCCGGATCAGATCATTCTCGGATGATCCGCATCCTTCAGATACCACCGGCTTTCACTGCAGACAGACGCACGCAGCAATCATGGAGGATCCTGCTCGGACGCAAGACATCCTTGGACAGCTGCCAATCCTCAAGGCATACAACCATATTCTCCTGGGGTTTGCATTGTCCGAGGATATCTCCCGGGAATCCGTCGTCCAAGCGCTCAACGCAGCAGCCCTGCAGCTAGCAACGTCCGTCCCATGGATCGGAGGCAAGGTCGTGAACGTGGGAAGCGGACCCGGCAACACTGGGCTATTCAGGAGCGTGCCATGCGAGCTGTTCGCGCCTCCGAATTCGATCCTTCGAGTCAAGGATGTGACGGCGGACTATCCCTCTTACGAGGAGATCGTGAGCGCCAAAGGCCCCATCTCGATGCTGGACGGCAGCATCATTGCACCCAAGCCTGCATTTCCTGTGAGCTATGTAGACTGTGAATCCGATCCAGCCCCGGCCCTCCTCATCCAGGCCACTTTCCTCAAGGGTGGTGTGCTGTTGGACTTCGCCGCGCAGCACAATCTGTCCGACGGCGGCGGCGTCATCCAGATGATAAACCTGGTCGCTACCACCCTGCGCGGCGAGAAGATCCCCGAAAAGGCCATAGTACAGGCCAATCGAGACCGCAGAGATGTCATCCGGCTTCTGGATCCCGCAGAACCCATGCTGGACCACAGCCATCTCGTCCGTCCGCCGCCGTCCGCGATCCCCGCCAACCCCGTCGTCTCGCCCGATAACTTCATCTGGCAGTATTTTCGCTTTTCCGCGTCGACGCTGGGTGCGTTGAAGAACATCGCTTCGAATCCGGCCGACTTCGACCCGTCTGTCAAGTTTATCTCGACGGATGACGCCCTGTGCGCGTTCTTATGGCAGCGCATCGCGACCGTCCGTCTACGCCGCCGCCAGACGCCGGATGACCTGTGCAAGATGACACGGGCCGTCGACATCCGCCGTACTCTCCAGGTGCCATCGGAGTACATGGGCGTGATGGTATACAATGTGAGCGGTCGACTGCCTCTCGGCCAACTGGCGACGGCTTCGCTGGCCCGCGCGGCGTCCGAGTTGCGCAAAGCCCTAAACAGCATCGACGAGTATGCAGTGCGCAGCTTCGCCACATTTGTAGCGCGCCAGCCGGATAAGTCCACCCTGGCGTACGCGGGGAAGTTCAATCCTGATGTTGACATGGGGGTATCCTCTATGGCGTCGGTGCCGCTGTATCGCGCCGATTTTGGCCCACTGGGCGCTCCGGGCCTCGTGCGACGGCCCAATTTTGCACCGGTCCTGAGCACCATCTATGTGATGCCGCAGACTGTGGAAGGGGACGTTGATGTCTTGATCTGTCTGACGAGGGAGGATATTGGGGCCTTGCGGGCGGACCCCGAATGGACTGCGTATGCGGAGTATATAGGGTGATTTACACCATCGAAGAGAGGCAGATAAAGATTAATCTTCTGGTCAATGCGAATGTGTCTTTCTCTAATGAAACTGGATTCCGTACGGTTCCTTCTGGACTACGAGAGAAGTACAGTGCAACGTGCAACAACCCGAACCCTAGTGATAGTAAGGCCCCACGACTGCTTTCACCTTTGCATAACCCTCATCCAGCACCTGGACCACTTCCTCCGGCAAAGGCGGCTCTTCCAGGGCCAGCAGATCCTCCTCTAGCTGCGCCGGATCACTGCCACAGACCAAGATGGCATCTCCACACTCCGGCCGGAGCAGGCTATGGTGACTTAACCACCGCAAGGCACACTGCACTTCGGTCAGGTTATACTTCCGACCAGTCTCCCGAATCGTATCCAGCACGTCGAAGTAGGCATCGTTCCAGTAGCGGTGCCGGTGATGTCTCCCATGGAAAGTCTGGGGATCAAACCGCGAGCCGGGCTTGTGTTCTGACTCGGGCATATCACGACGGTATCTCGAGGTCAAGAATCCACCGCACAGAGGCTGGCCAACGTGCAGGGGCAGGTTATACGCACGCAGACAGGGGACCAGCTCTGGCTCAATGGCACGATGCAGGACGTTGTACAGGCTCTGGTAGAGAGACGGCTTGACCCAGGCGTTCTTCTCACACAGCTCCATGATCTGCACCACCTCCCACGCCATGTAGTTGCTGATGCCCAGCCGTGAAAACAGCCCTTCCTCGTACAGCTTGTTCACCTCGCGCAGTGTCTCCTCCACCGGGACCTGTCTATCAGGCGCGTAGAGGATGAACAGATCGAGTTTCGGCGTGTTCAACGCTTTCAGGCAGTCGAGGAGCCCTCTGCGCACATCGGCCGGCTCCAGGGTATAGGCTGTTCCCAGATGCGCCATCGGCCTTCTTTTGGTTGGATACAGCTTGTCCCGGACGACCAGTCCTCGTCCCTTCCAGTCTGCCGCGGCGAGAAGTGTCTCTGCGGAGCCGGAGCCGTAGATGCGAGCCACGTCGACGTCGGTGTGGCCGTGTGCCTGGAAGGTGTCCAGGAGGGCCTCGACATCCTTCACCGTGGTTACCGTTGCTCCTTCGAATAGCCCGGGGCTGCCGATCAACCCGGCCCCAAGGACGATGGGGAAGCGGGTTTTGGGCGAAATGCTTCCCATTCTGCGCGTATGTACCTGGTGTACTTGCTGAGAGGTTGCGCCAACACGTCTTCCCGGCGACGTATACCAGCTCCGCAATGGATATCTCTCTGCCTTATTCTATAAATCCTAGATGTGCTTTGACCGGGTGTCTATTATGCGCGCCAGCGCTCTTATACGGAGTTTCCATCGGACTTTCTTTGGTCGGAGTTATCGTCGCGTTGCAGGATACAGAGCCCTGTCCTTTCTCGCACCCTATAGCCTTCGTGCCAGGGGTAATTGGCAATTGCCCTGGAACAGGGCCGGAAGGGTTTCCTACGGGATTGCAACGTCTGGGCTGCAGCTGAACGATTTGACCGCGGCAAGGCCAGCAGCGAGGCCGGCAGCAAGCCCTAACAAGGCTCCGGATGGCATGACGTTTGAAGAACGGCTATAAGTACATCGTACATGTGCAGTCATTCTCACAGCCCAGTTTCCCCTGCTCCAAGAACATCATGATGCTTCTCACGCTTCTCATCCTGTCCTCCGTTGGACTCGCGGCCGCGGCGGACCCATCTCTATTCAGCGAGAATGACTACTCCCCGGACAACATCGTCAACCGCGATGTCCTTATCGTTGGCGGCGGTGCGGCGGGCACGCACGCTGCCGTCCGGTTGAAAGACCTGGGCAAGAGCTTCACTCTGGTCGAGAAATCCTCCGTCCTGGGCGGCCACACGCATACCTACATCGATCCCACGACGGGCACCCCCGTTGAATTCGGCGTGCACTCCTTCGGCAACACCTCGGACACCAGGGACTTCTTTGCGCGCTTCGAGATTCCCCTCGTCGACTTTGTGCCTGCCCGGTTTCCCGTGCATTATATTGACTTCAACACGGGAGATGCTGTCGCCGTAGCCCTGGACACCAACGTCACCGGGTATCTGGACCAGGTCGAGAAGTATCCCAGCCTGGCCTACGGGTGGTTAACTTCGTTTCCGGTGCCGTCGGATCTGCTCCTGTCCTTTGGCGACTTTGTGAACAAATACAGCCTCCAGAAGATCGTCTACACGATCTACTATCTCGGCGTGGGCATCGGCAACATTCTCCAGCAACTGACCATTACGGTGATGAACAGCGTTGGAGTGGGCATCCTCAGCGGTCTTCAGGGCGTGCCGGGGGGCGCCGTGGTTCCAGCGGCAGGAAACAACCATGCGATCTTCGACAAGGCCCTGGCCGAGCTGCGCGCAGACATACTGCTAAACTCGCACGTCGTGGCCGCCAGTCGCCCGGCGAACAACTCCGGTGTCAAGGTCGTCGTCCAGACACCGAACAGCCGCAAACTCGTCCTCGCCAAGCGGATCATCGTCGCCGTCCTCACCCAGCCGGAGAACATGAACGTTTTCTCGCCCGACGAACGCGAGGCGCGGCTCTTCTCACAGCTGAAGGGCCAGGCGTTCTACGTCGGCCTCGTCACGAACACCGGTCTGCCCGTGAACCAGTCGTACTACAACGCGGCCAGCAGCGAGCCGGACAACGTCCCCCTTCTGCCCAAGACCTACAATATCCAGTCGACCGTCCTCCCCGGTGTCTTCTGGTGGCTGTACGGGAGCGAGACTGCGTTGACCGAGGCTGCAGTCAAGACAGCCGTCACGTCTCAGATCGCAACGGTGCGCAGGGCGTTGAATGTCCCGGCGCCCGCGGGCAGTCCGCAGTTCCTGGCTTTCGGCAACCATACTCCGACTCATGTTACGGTTCCGGCGGAGGCGATTGCCAGTGGGTTCTATCGGGATCTGTACGGGCTTCAGGGTTACCGGAATACGTGGTACACCGGTGCTCAGTTCATCGACAGTGCCAGCGGTATATGGAACTTGACTAACGCTGTTGTGTTGCCGGGGCTGTTGACGGGTCTTTAACCTGGACATGGGAAAAGGACTGCTGTGTACATAGATCTGCCAGAAATACTAGACAAGCCCTAGAAACTCCGATGAAAAACTCCGGATGCACTTGACAGCTGCGCCTGCACGGCCACCGGGTAAGAATCCCGTCTTACGCGGCGATTCTGATATCCAGGCTGGAAGGAGAAGCACGTCCAGCCCAGCCATGTAGTGATTCTGCGGTCCTATTTCTTCCTGTCGTTGCTCCACGAGAGAGAGCAAGCCGCTGCCTCACTCTCGCCAGCACCGCACCATCGGCACAGTCCTCCCTACCATGCCAGCCAACCGCTCCAGCGACGACAGCACGCTCCATCTCCCCCGGATCCTCTGCCTCCACGGCGGCGGGACAAACGCCCGCATCTTCCGCGCCCAATGCCGCATCCTCACGCGGTACTTGTCCACGGCCTTCCGCCTCTGCTTCGCCGAAGCCCCCTTCCTCTCGCAGCCGGGTCCGGATGTGACCTCGGTCTACAAGGAGTTCGGGCCATTCAAGCGCTGGCTGCGCTCATCGGCCAGGGACCATCCCGAGATCGATCCAGCCCTCGCGACGGAGGCAATCGATGCGAGTCTGCGAGATGCCATGGACGAAGACGACCGGAGGGGCGCAACGGGTGAATGGGCGGGACTACTTGGGTTCAGCCAGGGGGCGAAGATGTGTGCTAGCCTGCTGCTCAGGCAGCAGGTTCGGGACGCGACTCGGACGAGTCCGAGTGCGAGGGACGGCCCGAACTGGCGCTTTGCCGTATTGCTGGCCGGCCGAGGACCATTGGTTTCCCTGGATCCGGCATGTCTCACGTCTCCTGCGGTCGTGGATGCGGGTGGGATCGCCATGACGGCGTTCCCGGATGAGAGGCTACTCGCTGCCGGTACCGCGCATGTGCTGCGTCTGCCTACGGTGCATGTGCATGGGATGCTCGATCCCGGGCTGGAGGAGCATCGGAAACTGCTGGCGCAGTACTGCGAAGAAGGGACTGCGCGGGTTATGGAGTGGGAGGGCAACCATCGGGTGCCGATCAAGACGAAGGATGTTGTGGCGCTTGTCGGGCATGTTTTGGAGGTGGCTACTGAGACCGGCGTGCTCCAGAGACGGATTTGATGTGTATAGAGTAGATTTCTGCAGTGGATTTAGATACAGGAACAAGGCAATGCAGGATATCACGTATTACGCCATTCAAAAAACATGCAGCATCCAGCCCTACAGCGAGACAACGATCTTCTTCGCAGACACCCCCTGCTTCTGCTGTTCAAAAGCCGTCTGGATGCTCTCCAATCCCTTGCCCGCCACCTGGGCGTCCGGAGCAGGGACGAACTCGCCGGCACGGAGGGCGTCGGGCAGGAAATCGACGAAGAGGGCCTTCCCGATGCCGTTGTGATTGACCGACGTCGCGAAGATGAAATTCGACTTGATCCCCTTCAGCAGGCCCTTGAACTTGAACGAGATGATCCACGAGACGAAGAAGATGATGGTCCGCAGCATGACCAGACGCTTCGGCTCCTCCTGCGGAACGGGATACGAGGCCAGCGCGATAAACTTGCGGCCCTGGACGTGGTCGAGGACCTCCATGCAGGCCTCCGCGCCTCCCTGGCCGATGGCCAGCGCACCGGCAGACGTGCGCCCCTTGAAGGCGCGGATGATGTCCTGCGTCACCGAGCCGCTCCGGTAGTCGAAGACCTTGGCGGCGCCGAGCTTGGCCGCGTACTCGAAGTTCTTGCGCGAGGCGGTCGTGAAGACCTCGTAGCCAGCCGCGACGGCCAGCTGGATGGCATTGCTGCCGACGCTGGTCGAGCCCCCCCAGATCAGCACCGTCTGGCCGGTCGGCGGTCTCGCCGGCGACGTCGGGAGCTGCAGACCGAGTTGGTCCTGCTGGAAGAGGCCGGCCCCGGCCGTCGCCAGGCCGAGAGGAATCACCGCGGCGCTCTCGAAGGACAGGCTGCTGGGGATGTGCGCCGTCAGGTCGGGCACCAGCACCGTGTACTCCTGGAAGGCCCCCTCGGACGAGTCGTTGACCTTCTCATCGGTCCCGCGCGCGAAGCCCAGCACCCGGTCGCCGACCTGGAAGCGAGTGACGTTCTTGCCGACCTCGACGACCTCGCCGGCGACGTCCGAGCCCAGCACGAACGGGTATTTGAGCCAGGTGAACATGATGTCGCCTTTGGACTGGATCAGCCAGTCGATGGGGTTGACGGCCACGGCGCCGTTCTTGACGACGATCCGGTTGGCCTTGGGAGGGGGATACGGCGCTGCTTTGACCTCGAGCAACGGCGCCTTCTTGGCCGGTTGCCATGCGGCTCGGTTGGTGGGCATGATGGAGGGACGCGGTGGCAGTCGAAGGGGCATATGGGCATACGAGCAGGAGGTGGCAGAGGAAAACCGGGCGCCGCTGTCAAAGAAATAGAGAATGGACAGCATTGGCCTGCTCGCCGCCGCCGTGCGCATCATGGATGGACACGAATCCCCCCGGACGGCGCACGGTTTAGGGCTGGCTGCAACGGAGCAATGCAGCCACGGCGCGAATCGGGCGGATTGATCGCCCGATTCGCACCGGACATCCGCCTTAAATCCGCGGTGGCTTGCCTATTTAACCGTGCTTCGCTCGTGCTGGCGCGGAGGGTCGGAGATGGATGTCTGCATCCTCGCAGTCCTCCTCGAGATCGTACGGCCATGGCTGACAACAGCAATAGCAGCCCCCCGGCCAGTCGCCGCCGCGAAAAGCCCCAGCTGTCGTGCACGCTGTGCCGCAGACGGAAGTACCGCACCCTGTCCCATGCTCGAATGCGCGGATGCCCCGTCTCACTGACCTGCCAGGCTCCGATGTGACCGCCGCCAGCCGTGCGAAACGTGTGTGCGCCGCGGCCTCTCGCTGTCCTGCACGTACGTCCGTCCTCCCGGTGCGGCGCCCGAGCGCATCGACCGCGCTCAGGGCCGTCCGGCGGGCGTTGAGAACCTGCCCGAGCGCATCGGCCAGCTGGAGCGGCTGATCACCACGCTGATGGACACGGTGCAAGCGGGCAAAACGCCATCGGCCAGAGAGCCCATGCCGGCCGACTCGACGGCAGCTGGCTTTGAGCGAGCTGCTGCTGCTGCTGCTGCCGCTGCCGCGGCCGCTGCCGCGCCTGGCGAGGCCGTCGATGCGGCCGACTCGGCGGCTAAGGAGGAGGAGGAGGAGGCGGCGCCGCAGCTGTCGGACCGCTTCGGTCGCATCAAGATCGAGAAGATGGAGACTGCCTACGTCGAGAGCACGCACTGGACCGCCATCTTGGACGGGGTAACGTGGCCGCTCCCCCCCGGCTGGATCCCTGGCTGACCAGCACGCCGTCGCAGATTGCAGAGCTCCGGGACCACTTCCGTGACGAGCAGAATGCGGTCGGCAGCGCGCCCTTCCCAGGGCCAGGCGCTGCCGCAGAGCCCGCAGAGCCTGACGAGCCCGATATCCTGTTCGGGAACTACCGTTGTGTGAGCAAGGACGAGATCCTGTCGGCGATGCTCCCGCGACCGCTGGTCGACCGACTGGTGACCGAGTACTTCATCAACAAAGATATCGCCCCTGGTGAGGCAGTTTCCGTGGCCGTGGCAGCCGTGATCCCCCGCCGGCTGACTTGACTTGCGCGCAGTGATCGTGCACAGCGTGACCTTCCTCCGCGAGGTGAGTGTGGACAGCGGCACTGAGGACACGGCGCTGACTCGCCGCAGTATGAGCGCTTCTGGGAACATCCTCGCGAGACGCCCATCATGTGGATTGGCCTGCTCTTCGGCGTGATGTGCCTGGGCGCTGCCTTTCAGCGCCAGCGGTCGTCGCAGATGCCCGACCCGCAGCAGCTGGTCCGTCTGTACCGGGAGAAGATCATCCAGTGCCTGGTCGTGGGGAAGTACGCCAAATGCGCGCCGTACACGCTCGAGACGCTGCTGCTCTACCTGAACATCGAGTACCTGCAGAGCGAGGACACCCGCGTCGAGACCTGGATCCTGCTGGGCGTCATCGTGCGCCTGGCCCTGCGCATGGGCTACCACCGCGATGCCAGCCACTTCCCGCACATCTCTCCCTTCGCGGCCGAGATGCGCCGGCGTGTCTGGGCTCTCATCGTCCAGTTCGACTGTCTGACGTCCGCCCAGGTCGGGCTACCGCGCATGATCCGCGACTCGCAGTCGGACACGGCGGAGCCGCGCAACCTGCTCGACGAAGACTTCGACGAGAACAGCACCGCGCTGCCGCTGCCGCAGCCCAGCACCGTCCAGACGCCGGTGCAGTATATCGTGGCGAAGAACCGCATTGTCGCGGTCTTCGGCCGGATCTGTGACCTGATCACATCCAGCAACGCGCCCTCCTACCCCGAAGTGATGCAGCTGGACGAAACCCTCCATGACACCTACCGCTCCGTGCCGGGGGGCCTGCAGATGCGGCCGATGACCAGATCGCTCACGGACGGGGCGACGGTCATCCTGCGCCGCATGTACATCGTCCTGCTCTACCACAAGGCTGTCTGCATGCTGCACCATCGCTACATGATTCCGGCCCGGACGGACGGGCGTTATGCCTACTCCCGCTCCACCTGTGTTGCGGCCGCCCTGCAGATCCTCTCGCATCAGTGGACGCTGCATAATGAAACCCAGCCGGGAGGCCGTCTGTACGAGGAGCGCTGGAAGGTCTCCTCGCTCGTCAAGAGCACCTTCTTCCTGGGCACTACGATCCTGTGCGCAGAGCTCGACTGCTCCCTCCACAAGGAACCCGCCGACGCCGAGCAGTCACCGGCCGAGACAGGCCTGCGGCAGCAGGTCATCCAGGCTCTGCATAATTCGTACACGGTCTGGTTGCAGGCGAGTGACTCCTCGCGCGAGGCGAGGCTGGCGGCGGATGTCTCCGGTCTGCTTCTCACCCGGGCACAGAGGAAATGGAGGCCAGCGGAGATGCGGCAAGTCGGAAACATGGGTGTGTACTCTCTCCCTCTCTCTCTCTCTCTTGCGCCTCGACTGAGATACTGTTCGTATAGCAATGTCGTCGGAATCCCCCTTCATGGGCGTGTCAATCCCGCCGCAGAGCGCTACAATGGCTTCTGCCGCCCCCGTTGAACAGCCGCTGAGCATGCCGCAGCTGCTGCAGTTCAATACCGCGGCGCACATAGACTATAGCGATCTCGGTGCGGAGCCGTTGGGTCTTGTAAGCGCACCTCTGAGCTACGACTGAATGCGTGTGGTCCATTAACGGTGTATGCAGAGCCAGGGCGTGGATGACATGCTCGCCATGTCGATGACTTTTCCGCGGATGTTCAATGTGCCGGTTTGATCGCTTGGGCTCTCTGGATATACTGGATAGCTGGTTCTACGAGTGCATGGAATGAATGAATCAAATTGTAGACGTGCGCTGTGCTGGGTGTAGTACACGAAGTCAATCCCTGTTGTAGTATAATCAACACATCGGCGATGACTCTGCCAATGCCACGGCAGTGACCGTTTCCCCCGAATGCGTAATGCTAGCCTGGATGTTCCTTATTCCCTTCGCAAGTGCCACCTCCTTCGCACGGCCGTGGAGCTGCACAAACCACACGGGTGTCAGTAAACGGACGTCCAAGAGAGAAAAAGAAGGCAGACCAACCTGCACTTTAGGCACCCCCCCGTCACTGACTATTTCAATCTCTGCCATCGCCGCTCCGGCACCGACCGAGGGAGTTTGCAGACTTTTGAAGACCGCCTCCTTGGCGCTCCATCGCCCGGCAAAGGATGCCTGGGGCGTTGGCGAGGAAAAGCAGTGATCTCGCTCACTCCGAGTAAAGTTCCGCTCCAGAAAGACGGCGTTCCCCATGGGGATGCTGGAGATAGCTTCGACGTCGACGCCGATGCTGGTTGACGTCGGCCGGGTTGTGGATTGAGAGGCCAGTAAGGCCTGGATGCTCGCGGTGAGCGATGTGCTTTGCTGGCCCTCGGGAGATGCTTCTGTCTCTGGCTTCTGCGAGGGAAGCAATAAGCGCGTGAGTCTCTCGATGCTGGTGTTTCTCTTGCTGCTGCTGTTGTTGTTGTTGTTGTTGTTGTTGTTCTCCGGATGGCCTCCCACTCGCGCCTTTGGATCCAGGAGCATACGACTCATGCTTGCGTCCGATTTGCCCCAGACGGAGACCTCTTTGGCTTTGAACAGTGACTTGGACATGATCCCGGAAACATAGGCACTGTCAGCCTCGCGTTGGCGCTTTGCGACTCGACGACGGTACGCCTCCAGCTCATCCTCAGCCATCGCAGAGAAGAGATGGCGCGCAGCAACAACGACAGCAATGCCCCCTTTCTGCCCAAAGCCGAACGAGGTGAGCATGGCCGCCTTCAACTGCGGCATCGGCATGGACTCCATCGGATACACGATGTGCCGGTGCTGGCGGAGCTTGCTGTCGATGTTATCTGCGTTCCGGTTCCCAGGCACGATGCCCGTCTGCAACATCTGCATGCAGCCGTGGAGCTGCCAGGCGCCTGCTGCGCCCTTCGGATGGCCGGTCAGCGCCTTCTGGCACACGGCCAGCAGGGGATTGCCCGGCCGACGCCCGAGATGGTCCATCTGCTGGCTGATCACGTCGGCTTCGTTCGTGTCGTTGGCTTTCGTCGATGTCCCGTGCATCGAGACCACCTGGACGTCGTCGATGGTCAAGCCCCAGGTTGCCAGGGAAGCTTTGAGAGGTGAAATGGAAGGATCCTGACACCGGATGTCATTCCCCCACGCGTGCTGCGCGTGCTTGATCTTGCGCAAGGCTGTCGCCTCGATCTCGTCAATCGCCCTGTCGGGCCAGCCCGCCGGACCTCGAGTTGCGGCCAGCTGCTGCGTCACCCACTGGTGAACGGCGTCCACCTCGTCCGTGAGCCGTTTCCGGCGGTGCGCCAGATCGAGCAGGGCTGAATCATGGCCTGCGGATGTCTCCCGGGCAGCAGTCAAGATGCCCTGTCCCGGCGCCGGGATGGATCGCCCGATCTTGTCGCCGGCCATCTGCGTGTACGCGATGATCGCATGGATTGGAAGCCCCATCTCGATGGCCAGCTCGGCATTCATGATGAGCTGGACGCCGCATCCAGCGGACTCGACAAAGCCGCCACGGGTCGTCGTGCTGGGCCGGGACATTTCCCTGGGCAGCCGGCCCTGGGCCAGCTCGCCGACGCTGCTTGCCGTGGCGTTCATCATGGCAAACTCGTACGACGCTTCTTCCCGGAAATCATCGTAGCCCCCGACCAGGGCTACCTGGGACCGGCCGGAGCGAATTGCATCGCAGCCGATATCCAGGGATTCGATTGCCGTCGCACAGGCGCCGACGGGGGTCTTGATGGGTCCCGTGGACGAGAACACCAGCATGTTCACCCAAGCCGCTGTGGTGTTCAGGAAGGACTCGGACAGGATGTCACTCTGCACCGCGTGGTCGAGATATCGCTTCTTGTAGAGACGCTGCGCAGCGGATTGAGCACCGGCTCCCGTACCGAGACAGTTGGCCAGCTCCGAGACGTGAATGTACCGGTACAGTTCGTAGGGATCCCGGATCCCCGCGGACAGCAAGGCCTCAGAAACACAGCAGAGGGCGTAGAGAGTCACCGGGTCGACCTGCTGCACGATATCCTCGGGGATCCCGTAGCGCAGGGGATCCCATCCGGCGGGCAGCAGGCCAGCAACGCCGCGGTTAAAGGGAACAGCCTTGGGCACGAAGAAATGCGCGCCTCTCTTGACCTGCACGAGGTATTCATCCGACTCGGGCATGCGACGGACGGCCACCTTGTCGCCGAGCCGCAGCCGGAAGGCGTCTGCGTTGGCCTTGGAGGTCGAGAAGGACGGCAGCGCTTCCTCGACCACGATCTCCTGCAGGAATTCTTTCTTGGACGGGTCGTAGCCGCCGAGCAAGTCCGGTTCGACAAAGCGCAGCCCGGCATGGGCGAGAATGTGAGCCTGATACTTCTCCTTGAACTCGGCATCCGCTACGGGCTGTTTGGTCTGCGCATCTACCCAGCCGACGAACGGCTTCCCGTCGAGATGGCCTTGGAAGTGCTCGACCAGGCCCATTATCCAGGCCATCTCGATATAGCCCTCCGGCGTGAGGTCCGTCAAATGCTCCATCTGCCAGCGCGTGCGGGCGTTGCCCCATGGACCCAGTTCCGAGAATCCCACGACCACGACGGTGCGAGACAGGTCGACCATGCCCTGCAAGTCTACAAGATGGGCCTTGAGGTCGCTCTTGCTGGGAACCTCGGGGAACTCGAGGGACAGACGAGCCCGTTTGGTGCTGAGACGGGGACGGGGCGAGGACGTGTCGTTCCGGGGAGACTCAGAGCCATACAACACTCTCTGTTCGTAGGCTCTCTCGGCCAAGAGAGCCTTTTGAATGCTGCTTTCCTTCAAGAACTTCGCCCGTGCCGCTGCCATCACGTCCTTGATATTGGCGATCGCCTTCGCTCCCCCGGTGAGATCCGCGTACACGGGACCCTCCTCGCACGTCTCCGCGATGGAGGGCGTCATCAAGGCGAGAATATTGAAGGCCATCTCCTCTTGCGAGAAAGTAATAACATCCAGGCCATTGGCATGCTCGATGGCCTCGCCGAGCAGCCGGATGGACTGTGAAAGCGTCGTCCCCCGGACCCAGCCGATGGCCGCGCCGCAGATGCTGAGATAGTCAGACCAGTTCCCAGAGAAGTACCGGTTGAACAGCGCCTCCAATCCGATCTTGGACTCAGGATAGAGGCCGTCACCACCGAATCCTCCCAGGTTGAAAGACAGCGGAACAATGACGGTGGTCGGTCTCGTGCGTAATCCACGCTGTTCCTTCTCCTTGTACACCAGGCCCAGGATGCGCAGGATATTGACCAGCATGGCTCGATGCGCCAGCTCAGACGCGCCATCGAGCTTGCTGAGCTCGACCTTCTCGGGGATCGCTCCAAACGGCACGAGGTAGTCGAGGTCACCGTCCACGGGCGAATGTGCGCCGTAGATATACTCCACCAGCGATTCGCAGTCTCTCTTGCTGGCTTGGTTGAAGGGTACCACGGCCATCGTGGCCCCCCGGGCAGCGCATTCCCGGTACATTCGCTGGAAGAACGAAGCGGCGCTGGAAACGCTGCGGCTGGTGGTGACGATGACCTTCGCACCGCCGTTCAGCAGACCCCGAACTACTGCTGCGCCGATGGAGTTCGGTCCGGCGCCTGTGACCAGCACTGTCTTGCCGGAAAAGGTGAGTCCTGCACCGGAGCCGGTGCCGAGAGCCTCTAGAAGGATCTCAGTTGACTGTGCATCGTACCGCCAGGCTTGATCAGGGGCCTTCTTCTTGAGATGCACATAGGGTACTCTCTCGCCCGAGGCAGCCACGAGCCCTTGTTTCAGCAGAGCGATGTATGAACTGTTCTCACGGGGAACCTCGGAGTACTCAACGCATCCCGTGGCTGAAATGACGGTTCGAGGCTTCATCGACGGCGTGGTGAATCGGTAGACAGGGCTCTTCTTCAGCGCGTCTGATCCAAGTCGCAGGATCTCTGCAGCCGTGGCAAGAAAGGGCTCCTTGCATTCGCCCGTGTCAAGGAAGTTCTGGACAATCTCTGCACAGCTAGGCTCCCACCTGCGCAGCAGCTGTGCCACCAGACCCTGCTCCTGCAGGTGCTGCAGGGGCAGTTGTCCGGGCCTCATCCGGCTGAGCAAACGCATCGTGTCTTCGCGGGCCCAGTTCCACCACGAGTCATACTGACGAACTTTACGGGCGTCGAATATCGCCTCGATCCCGCTGAAGAACTTGTCGTCGAACTCGGAGGCCCAGCGGTCAAGTTTCTCCTCCAAGCTCTTCTGGGACGCACGCAGCTCGTTCAGCACGGCGTCATCGGCCGCCGTATCCAGCTGTAGATGCTTGGATAGCAACTCAAGCTCCTTGATTTGGTAGTCCCTCTGCTCCCTTTTGATGCCATTCAACACGCTTTCATCGACCATAACGGCAGACGAATGATCAGCCGAAACGTTGCCCTTGCCCCGTGGCGTCATGGTAATACCCGCATACGACGCATATCGAGAAACCAGACCGTCCAGGAACTCCCTGGCACTGTCCGCGCTCTCCAGACGAGACTCGGGCTCGACCGTGATAGCAAGGCAAATGACAACCTGACCATGGGCCTTGCTGAACCCCCATTCTCTTTCCAGGTGGTTCTGCATAGCGGCCTGGTTGAATCCGCCCGGCATCTTGCGGGAAATCAACTTTGTAATCAAGGACGACATCTGCTTCCCTGGCTTTCCTGGGAAGTTCCCCTGCAGTGCATCGCCCAGTGCGTCTAGCGGGATGTATTCGCCGCCGTCGGGGAGTTGGCCAAATTCCACCGCCAGGTCTCCCATTATCTCGTTCTGGAGAGTTGATTTGCCTAGAAGCCGAGTTAGCTCGTTGGAATTGCGAGTCCGTAGGTAACATACATACCGCCAGAAAGCTCCTGGACGGTTTTCTGCGTCGGGATATTGTCGAATGCACGTCTGAATTTCTGTGCGATCATAGCTAGAACGACATGCTTCGCAGAGAGAGGAATATCGGGAGTCGTGCTGCCGCCAGCAGGAGTCCCCTGACTGGGAGTCGATGCCGCTGGAGGAGCCGTTTCTGGAGAACTTGACGACGGCGTCGTCACCGTTGCCTTTGCGGTGGTAGCGGTCCTGGAAGAGCCACTGACTGCAAGAGCCGGAGCTGCAGCATCAGACTTAGATCCCTCCTCTTCCACCGGAGCGCCACTCTCCTGCGGATACTCATAGTAAATCTCGGCCGTATTGTCACTCGTGCATAGGAATTTCAGCGTAGAAAGCTTGGATGCAGACACGATCTGCGACGATGCACGGCGAGCAGCCGTCTTCTTCGCCATGGTGACCAGCGTTGTCCTCGGCCCGACCTCGACATATCTCTGGATGGTCTCTGGCCATTGTAGGAGCTCGTTTTGTGTTTCGATCCTGTGACGTTAATGCATGATACTTGATGGAGCCGTCGTTCAATGCAATCCAATCCACTCACCATCGGACCGGTAGTGCGAGCTGGTACCTGTAATAGAACATCCTCTCGGTTATGATCCAGCAGATAGGATAGATACACGACGAGGCACTCACGAAAGTAGTTCAATCAGGAGCTTGTGCGCCAGTGATCTCTTGTGGTCCACGGAGGTAGAGGCAGGGGCATCGTCCACCACTGGTGCTGTTTCGGGGACCAACTTGCGAACCGCCATGGTTAATGGGGATAGTGGTGTATTCAGGTCCAGTTGAGTAAAATGTGCAAAACTAACTGAAGGACGGTTTTGTCCTTCGTGCAGAGTAGTAGCAGCAGACGGCAGGGCAGCGTCAGCGTCGGCACAGACACTCCGGATTAGGGCTACGTTGACAATTGCTCGACGCAGTCCGTTAGATGCCAATTCCTGAAAGGCATCGACCAATATTCATGTTAATAGCACATAGTAGTATTGCCCTGGTGCCTATCTGATCAGCTTCTCCATGCGGAATGTCCTTCATCGCTGAAACTCCGGCCAACCGCAGCCTTGAAAACTCCGGCCAGTAACTCCGGTTATGATCAACAAGGATTGTCATTCCCAGGGCTGTTGTAAGTAGATATCGGGTTTATCCTAGAGACATGGTGAAGGCCGTCGCTTCAGTCAGCAGCTGAAGAGGGCTTGGAGCGCCTCTGCTGAAAGCACCTCGATACGATAGACACCGTGCCCTAATTGTCCGATGGGCTGCTCGATTCAACCGTAGCTCGCGTAGAAAGTCGATATCTCCTTCCTCCATCTTGCTACTCGAGAGTAGTGTCCTGCTCAACACTTTCTGTCTTCAAGGGGCACAATGGAGGCATCCGACCAGAGCCAGGCGAAGCTCACTCTATCGTTTGGTGGCATCCAGCACGCCTTCAGCGTACCGATAGAGGACCTGAGTGCTTTGCAGGACCAGAAAGATGCTTTCCTTCGCTCTCGTTCCCAAGCATCACTCTCCGAGACTCGCGAGCCATGCTCTCCCGCCGAGCTGATGCTGGATTATCTCGAGTTCCTCTCATGCCGCAATCTTCCACCACCGTTGACCAAGCCGGTGCTCCTCGCTTTCAGTCGAAACTTCCTCCACAATACCGAAATCCACTCGTTGCTCGCAAAACCCGAGTACACCCCGCAAACCAGACGACGCTTGGTCCGAACGTATTACATGGCTGCCTTGTCTGCCGCCGAATCCCATGTCAAAGAGAGTGCGTTGCTAGACGCAGCCAGACAAGGCAATTTCCAGCTAGCTGCCGTCTTTGGAGGCCAAAGCACAGCGAATCCAGCATGCGTTCGGGAACTGGCGGAGCTTTTTGCGGCATACACGCCTTTTCTCGGGGACCTGATCAGCACCGCAGCTCCAACATTGAGCGCGCTGTGTCGTTTGCCCGAGACAAAGGAGCATTTCTGCGGCCGGCACATTGACATTGAGACCTGGCTGCATGATCCCGCCAGCATTCCAGATGGTGATTTCATTGCAACGGCGCCTGTGAGCTGCCCGGTTGTCGGTCTGTTAAATCTTGCACATTACGCGGTGACCTGCCATGTCCTCGGCAAGACTCCCGGCGAATTGAGGTCCCATTTACAGGGTGTAACGGGCCATTCGCAGGGAATTGTGGCCGCAGTGGCTATATCCCTGTCCGATTCATGGGAGTCCTTTTACGAAGCTGCCAGAATGACCGTCGAGACTCTGTTCTGGATCGGGTTTGAATGCCACCAGAGATCCCCACGGACGTCTGTCTCACTCGACCAAGTGCAGGATAGCCTGCAGAATGGCCATGGTCGACCGTCGTGCATGTTGAGTATCGTGGGCCTGTCCAGAGCGCACATCCAGGACATTCTTCTGAAGCTCAACCGGAGCTTGCCCGAGGACGAACAGGTGTATCTGGCGCTCGATAACGCCAGGGATAGCTTTGTAGTCGCGGGTCCGTCGTGCTCGCTGGTCCATTTGCATACATATCTGCGGAGTTTGAAGGCGGATGCTTCTATCGACCAGACTCGCATACCACATAGTCTTCGCAAACCCACGGTTCAGCATCAGTTCCTCCCGATCAGCGTGCCTTTTCATACCCCGTATCTGCAAGAAGCGGCTCGAGCCATTAAGGAACGTCTATTTCCTTGGAGGGTTGTCTCGGGGAAATTGACAATCCCTGTTTATGACAATCGGACGGGAAATGACCTCCGCAAGTCAGATAATGTCAACTTGATCCATACTATGGTCGATTCAATTTGCTGGGAACCCTGCAGCTGGCCGGCTGCTCTCGGCATCGAGAACATATCACACATTGTAGCATTTGGCAGCGGTGGAGTCGGGGAGCTGGCGATGAGACTCAAAGACGGCCAAGGGGTCCGCGTCATCATTGGAAGCGAGTTTCAGAGCCGAGATGAGGAGATTGGGACCAAGGCTGATCTCTTCTCTCCTACCCTCCTGGCCTCGTCAACAATCGTTGGGAGCTGGGGGGAGCGATTCCGTCCTCGACTGTCAAAGTCCCCTACGGGAGAAGTCAAGATAGAGACCAAGTTGAGCAGGCTGCTCGACACTCCTCCTCTGATGGTAGCTGGTATGACGCCTACAACGGCAGCTTGGGATTTTGTTTCTGCCATTACAAATGCAGGGTACCATGTTGAGCTCGCTGGCGGGGGTTATTACGACATGGATGCTATGGCCGTTGCTGTCAAAAAGCTCGTGGCCAGCATCCCCCCCGGCCGGGGCATTACCTGCAATGTGATCTACGCGAGTCCTCAGACGTTGTCCGGCCAGGTTACTCTGCTGCGGCGTCTTTCTTCTCAAGGACTCCCCATCGACGGGTTGACCATTGGCGCTGGCATCCCGTCCCTGGAGGTAGTTTCAGAATACATCCAAGCCCTAGGTCTCCGCCACATATCCTTGAAACCGGGATCGATCACGGCGATTCGTGAAGTAATCGAGATTGCCAAAGCCCATCCCGATTTCCCCATTATTTTGCAATGGACCGGTGGGAGGGGCGGCGGGCACCATTCCTTCGAAGATTTCCACGCCCCCATCCTCCGTACATATGGCGCTCTCCGCAGATGCTCCAACATCATCCTCGTAGCCGGCAGCGGCTTCGGTGGCAGCGAGGACACATATCCTTACCTGAGCGGGACCTGGTCAGCCCAATATGGGCTACCAGCAATGCCGTTTGATGGCATCCTCCTGGGCAGCCGGATCATGGTTGCGAAAGAGGCACACACATCTCCCGCCGCGAAGCGGCTGATCACAGAGGCTTCCGGGGTATCTGACAGCGACTGGGAGAAGACGTACCAAGAGGCCACCGGCGGCGTCATTACCGTCGTCTCCGAGATGGGACAACCGATCCACAAGATTGCCACGCGAGGAGTGCTCTTCTGGGCCGAAATGGACAAGACGATCTTCAGCCTGCCGCGCACGAAGAGGGTCCCCGAGCTCCTGAAGAGGAGGGACTACATTATCAAGCGACTCAATGCGGACTTTGCGAAGCCCTGGTTTGGGCAGAATTCCAAGGGAGAGCCCGTGGATCTGTCTGAGATGACATACATTGAGGTGTTGCGCCGTCTGGTAGCTCTGATGTACGTCTCGCACCAGAGCCGCTGGATTGACCCGTCTTACATGACATTGCTCATGGATGTGTCGGTTCGCATCTTGGAGAGATTCTCCATTGTAGACGAGCTAGACGACGCCTTGGTGCTGCGCGAACCCCATCGTTTCGTGGAAAACATAGTCCGATTATGCCCTCCAGCCGCCCATGACATTCTGAGCCCGGAGGACGTGGCATGGTTCCTGTTGCGGTGCAAGGCTCGCGGTCAAAAGCCGGTCAATTTTATCCCTGCTCTGGACGACGACTTTGAAACCTTCTTCAAGAAGGACTCCCTGTGGCAGTCCGAGGATGTCGATGCGCTCATTGACCAGGATGCCGGTCGATGCTGCATCCTCCACGGACCCGTGGCGGCTCAATACTCGCAGGATCGCGATGAGCCGGCCAAGGAGATCCTCGACGGGATCACTCAGTCGTGGATAGACATGATCCGACACGACTTTTACCCCGGAGGCGTGACCCCATCCTCGGACAGTGGTAGTCTCTCCTCGGAGTCGTGGTCTGTCCTCACGCCGGATTTAACATCCAGGGATGAGTCTGCGCTGTTAGACATCATCCCGGAGATGCAGGCCTATTGCCCATCAATATCAAGTCTTGGTCGGTCTGGCAGCCCTTGGATCCACGCCCTCCTCTCCGACGAATTCATCCTGCAGGGCCGTGACCGCAGGCCGAATCCGTGCCGACGAGTGTTTCATTTCGGCCCTGGAGGCTCTCTGCAGTTTGACCGAGCAAAGTCGGAGATTACTGTGTCCATGGAAAACCATGCGGGCAACAGGTCCGTGATGAGGATCGTGTGCGAGAACGGTGCTGACATCTCCGTCGATCTCCAGCAACCAAGTGCATACACGGACGAGATGGTCTCTCTTCCTCTGAAATTCCAGTATGATCCCGGAATGGTTCCTGTGGGGATCAGCGAAGTAATGGAGGGACGCAACGAGCGGATAAAGTCGTTTTATAGCAAGGTCTGGTTCGGCGAAGACATCTGCCGCGGCATGAATGCCCGGTCTGTCTTCCACGGCTCGGAAATGGCACTGACAGAGGCCATGCATCGGGACCTGCTGTCGACGGTCAGCCTTGCATATCCTCACAGCGAAACGGCCCTCAGTGGGGTGGACGTATTCCCCATCAGTGTCGGGATGTTTCCAGTCTGGGACGCGATGGCCAGGCCGCTGGTGGTCAACGACATCGACGGTGACTTGCTTCGTCTGGTTCATGAGTCCAACACATTCGAATACTGCGAGGCCTCCACTCCTCTCCGCGTGGGAGACGTGGTTTCTTCAACGGCAGCTGTTCGTGCCGTGTATATCGAGGACGCTGGCAAGCATGTCGTTGTAGAAGCGAGCATTGAGCGTTCAGGCAAGCCGGTCATGAAGGTCGTCTCCACGTTTCTTTTCAAAGGCGTCTTCAATGACTGGAATTCCACCTTTAAGACCAACAAGGAGCCTGAATTGGTCCTCGACGTCCAGTCGGATCTGGATGAACTGGTCCTGCGTGACCGCGAATGGCTCCTCCTTCACGATCCCTCCCAATCCCTTGTTGGATGCAGTCTTCTGTTCCGACTGGAGACGCAGGTGACGTGGAAGAACAGGAACACGTACAGAAGTCTTGATGTGTCCGGTCTCGTGTTTCTTCAACAGGCCAGTGATGATCTGAAGGAGATCGGAGCCGTTGCTTTCCACGCAGGAGAATGCGTCGGCAATCCAGTCTTGAGCTTCCTGCAGCGCAAGGGTAGCCCAGCCACTTCACCAACACCCTTGACAAGCCCAGGCTGGCCAGGAGTCTCTTCGCTCGAAGTGCAGCTCCCGACCAGCAATGAGATGTACACGAGAACCTCCAGGGATTACAACCCGATCCATGTCTCTCCGCTGTTCTCGCAATGGGCCGACCTGCCCGGCACCATCACCCAGGGAATGTACACTTCCGCCATCTCTGCGGCCGTGCTGGAGCACCTGGCATTGAATGGCGACCGCCGGCGGTTCCGTCGCTTTTCTGCTCGGTTTACCGATATGGTCCTGCCGGGTGACAGGTTGTTGGTTAACGTGAAGCATGTTGGCTCCATTCAAGGCCGCATGTTGTTCAATGTCTCGGCGTTCAAGCAGGCCACCAACAACATGGTCCTGGAGGCAGAGGCAGAGCTAGAGCAGCCTCCAACAGCATTTTTCTTCACGGGACAAGGCAGTCAGAAGCCCAATATGGGCATGGATCTCTACAATAGCAGTCCTGTTGCGAAGGCCATCTGGGACGAGGCGGATAAGTACATCTTCGAGACCTATGGTAGAATGCCTATTCTCGTATTAATGAGCCAAGAGAACTGACCGGTTGCAGGATGGTCAATCCTCGACATTGTCAAGAACAACCCGAAAACCCTGACCATTCATTTCCGCGGCAAACACGGCCGCAAGATCAGAGCCAACTACCTGTCCATGGAAAACAAGACCGTCACTCCCGACGGTCAGATTGTGAAGAAGCCCATCCTCCCCGGCCTCACCGATCAGACACAGTCGTATACCTTCACCGAACCCAGCGGCCTCTTGTTCTTTTCCACCTTCGCCCAGCCATCGATCGTCGTGATGGAAAAGGCCACGTTCGAGGACATGCGGAGCAAGGGACTTATCCCCCAGTCGGCAGTGTTCGCTGGCCACTCCCTGGGTGAATATGGGGCGCTCTTGGCTTTCTCGGGGTTCATGTCGGTTCGGAATCTCGTTGACCTTGTTTTCTACCGTGGTCTCTCGATGCAGTTTGCCATGGAGCGTGATGAACGTGGAGAAACGAACTTCGGCATGGTTGCTGCTAGCCCTCAGCGCGTGGGGAAGTGTGAGTATTCGACATTTTCCTGTCTGGTATGGAGACGTGGTATGGAATACTAATAGCCGATGCAGTCTTCACGGAAAGCCACCTGCGGTCCCTGGTCCAAATGATCTCCATAGCAAGCCATGAGTTGCTCGAGATGGTGAACCTCAACATTGAGAATGAGCAATATGTCTGTGCCGGCACAGTGCGTTTCCCTCTCCTCCCCCTTTCTGCTCCGTGCTCCATTCGTCGGGGACACTGACAAGCCTAGCTCCATAATCTCCATGTCCTGGGACAACTGCTAGACCATCTCTCCCAGGATACTGAAACCCAGCTACTGCTCGAGGAAATGTCTACCACCGAGGACCGGACTACCACAAAGCTCTACAAGTTAATCCTCAAATCGATACCGGCAACGAAGAAACTACCCATGCCGATCAGATTGCAGCGTGGGAGGTGCACGATCCCCATTCCGGGCATCGACGTCCCATTCCACTCGAGCTACCTGCGGTCAACGGTGTCCTCGTATCGTAAAATTTTGCAGCAGTACATTTCGGAAGAGGACGTTCATTTGGAGAGACTGGTTGGTCGGTGGATTCCCAATGTCACGGCGAAGCCGTTTATGGCGGATGAGGGATATGTAAGGGAGGTCTTTAACATCACGCAGAGCCCAATATTGAAGGAGATGCTAGAGCTGTAGGCGTATAGTTGTATAGAGCATTGCTAGCTGTGTCGTCTGCATTAAAGAAGGATCTAGTCCTTTGGTCTATCTACAATTTCATACAACCATGTCGGTTTATTTTTCTCTCCAATAAAGACCGCCGGTTGCATACGGGATTTTCTTCCATCATCGTCATCGTCTTTTCCTTTCTATCTTGGTGCTCACCTTAGCTTACTGAGTAGATCTGGGTAGGGTGCGTGCTGGAGTGAGCAGCAGGTAAGATGTAGCCTCAATGAAATGCTCCCAGCTATAGGGTTTTTGACCACGTCCTGTTTCCGTTTCTCTCCCACAAAACAAAGCCTGGCATTTGCCCGTTTTGCCATATGATCAAATGCGTCCAATCCTCTCCATACAGCTCATGAGCAAAACATAATTTGGAAGCTACATATTCAGGGGCTCAGCTTGTAGCTGATGAGCTATGTTGTATGCCAACGCTCCTCTAGATATGGGGAGTAAGGTTCTAGGCTCTCAGGAACAGACTTGCTTCTAGGAATTACCAGGCCTTGATGTCTCCGCAAACAGGCATGCTAAGTTAGCCGCCCGAGGCCGTCGTATACAGACCTGAGGCTCACTAGTCACGTGTATCTAGAATATCTTCCCGCACCTCCGTACGATCCTCAGCGATTAGTTTTCATACAAAGCGATACCTATGTTTCCCCCATCGTCTCTCCTGCGTACGAGCCCGTATCCGGCTATCTTAGCATGCTGTCACACACCGCCGCTTACAGTTCTAATCGCTCTACCCCTCGGTGACGGCCCGCTAAAGAGGCAGAGATGCGGAAGAAGCAACCAGACCGCATCCCCAACCCAGCAACCTACGGACTCAGCTGCGGAGTCTCAATCTCTGGGATTAGGATGCAATAGATGAATTCTATCTCTATCTCCTCGATACAGACATACAGGCAGACAAGCAAAAACAATCAAGCATAGAGAAGGAAAGGAAAAGGGAAGATGGCTACGCTGCCGATGAGAAGGCTTTTATATCTCGCCATGTGTGCCAAACGGAAACACCCGTCAAAGGGAAGGCCAACACAGTAAGTACACTTGGTAGTATCTGTTATTGATTACCTCTTCACGCCATCTCTACCACTACTACCACTTACAGACACATACTGGGAATCACAATACAACTAAGCAGGGGTTCTCTTATTTGCCTATGGCTCAGCTAAATCTCTCATTTCTAAAATTAGATGCTCTCTTTATACCAGGCAATAGTGTGACCTGAGATATGCTGTATTTGATTGGAAACAAATGCAGTACATGTGATACATGTGATACAAGTGGCTTGCATCCTGCTGTGCCCCTCTTTGTCTGCCCCAGTGACATCCATGATATAACACTGAGCTTGCTCGCTCTTTTTTCCTGCTTTCCCCTTCATTTTCCCTCTCACTGTTAGATTTTATTTGTGATATGGTACACGGAATCAGTCAACAGCCCTTTAGCCGCCCAATCACTCTATTTCTGTCTCAAGTGATGGCCAACCGTTACAATGGCTGAGCTCTCAATTGCATCAGGGATTGTGGGATTGCTCTCACTTGGGATTCAGGTCACCCAATCTCTGATCAGTTTTTATTCCGCATACAAGGACCAAGATGGCGACCTGGCAAAAATCACACAAAATTTCGAAGACCTTCAGGGCATCTTTCAGTCCCTGGAAAGTGCAGTCCAAGATCGCCAGTCCCAGGGTGACATGGATGAAGTACTCAAAGAAGTTGACAAGGCGATGCAAGGATGCCACGAAATTATTGAAGAGCTGCAGAAAGAGTGCCAGAAACTCCATACAGACCTAGGCTTAAGCTTGAAAGGCCATATCCAAGTTGCTGGACGTCGCGCAGCCTATCCATTCCGAAAAAGTACTTTGCAAAAGCTTAAAGAAGATGTCAGTGAGATATGTGAGAGCTTGTCACTTGCACTCAATGTTCTGCAGCTCAAAAGCTACAATCAGACCCAATATGAATTATTGGAACTCAAATCACTTCTTGAGCGCATAAATACGAGTCAGTTCTTTTCAATGATTCGTAATTGGCTTATGGCCCCTGATGCTTTTATCGACCATAATGCTATATATGCAAAACGCCATCCCAGTACTGGACTGTGGTTCATCAATAGCCATCATTTTACAGACTGGCTGGTAGAGCACAATTCCTTCCTTTGGATCAATGGCGTTCCAGGATGTGGCAAGTCTTTCTTGTGCTCAACTACAATTGAGCACACATTTCATGAGATAAAGGACAAGCATGAGGTTGGGATTGCATTCTTTTACTTTTCATTCACTGATAAGATGAAGCAAAGTAGCTATGGAATGCTATGTGCATTGCTGTTACAGCTATCAGTGCAGCTTCAAGATGGTGAAAAAGATCTTGAACAGCTACACAGGTTATATAAATTAGGTACCCCTCCAGTGGGTGCATTACTGGACTCTCTTCGAAGTGTCCTTTGCCGATTCCATGAGGCCTTTATTCTGCTTGACGCATTAGATGAAAGCCCTCAAGATTGTGGAAGAGAAGGTGTTTTAGAAGCAATAGAGACAATACGGAAGTGGGACTTACCTGGTCTCCATCTTTTGGTGACCAGTCGCGATCTTCTTGATATTTCTCAGTCTCTTAATCCTTCCCATGGCCAGGCAATATCAATGAAGAATCCAGGGGTTAACAGAGACATTGCTATTTTTGTGTCTGATCAACTTAAGGAAGATCAACAACTTCAGAGGTGGAAAGCTCGTCACAGTGATATTCAAGAACAATTAACACAGCATGCACAGGGAGTGTAAGTCTTCCATAACTAAGAAGGGTTTCTAGCTTTCTGACTAAAATTATCCACAGATTCAGATATGCTAACTGTCAGCTCAAAGAACTTAGACGGCACGGAACCAGAACCAGCTTGACCTTTTTCTACACTCTCTGCCTAAGGATCTTGATGAAACATATGAGCGAATTCTATGCAGCATTGACGAAAACTATGTTGATGATGTTTGCCGAATTTTGACGCTGCTTTGCTTCTCCGCCCGGCCACTCACTATTAATGAGCTGATTGATGCTCATGCAGTTGACCTTAGCGCATCACCCCACCTTGATCGTGAAGGGAGATCATATGAGCAAAATGACCTTATTGACATATGTCTTGGGCTCATAGAGATATCTAAGACAGAGGACAGTGGACAACAACTTTTGATTGCTCGCATTGCACATTTCTCTGTCCAAGAATATCTTCAATCAGAACGTATCCAACAACAAAAAGCAAATAGATTTGCTATTCAAAGTGGGCCAGCAAACACAGAAATAACCCAGATATGTCTTGTCTATCTCCTGGAGCCAATGCTATCCAGTGGAGTATTAGATACAATAAAGATAAAGGAGTTTCCATTAGCTCACTTTGCAGCTGAATACTGGTATCATCATTATGTGAATTCTCGAGAAGGCAGGTTGAAAGTTGAAGAACTATTGCAAAGATTATTCCAGTATGACACCAATTGCTTTGTGACCTGGATCAGGATATATGGCCTGGATCGTCAAGGCACATTGCGGCCAAATTCAGACTATCAGCGTCCTATTGATGACATTGGATCCCCTTTCTACTACGCGAGCTTGTTGGGATTGGAATCCACCTTGAGTAATATGATAGCAGCGGGCGCTAGAGATGCAAGTTTCTTGGAAATGGTAAATGCCCAAAGTGGAGAGTATGGCAATGCCCTGCAGGCTGCCTCATCCGGAGGCCATTGGAAGGTGGTGCAGATGCTGCTGGATCAAGGTGCTGATGTTAACGCTCAAAGTGGACGTTATGGAAATGCCCTCCACGCTGCATCTTCCAGAGGCCATAAGAAGGTGGTACAGATGCTACTGGATCATGGTGCCAATGTTAGCACCCAAGGTAGAGAACTCACCTTGTGGTAGATGTGACGACCCGTCCCAGTGGCTGCCAGGTCCGATTCCGGTTTAGCTCTATCACGTGCTGTACACGTGATCGCCTGTTTACATACGTCTACGCGACCTTCAGTTATTCTTCTGTCCTCCTTTCTCTTCTCGTGTCTGGTATTCGTTGAAAATAGTACTGAATAGCGCGTGTTGCTTCTTCATCTATTCGTAGTACTAGTCATCACGCTAGATTATCACGTGGCCATGTGGTTCCTAATTGGGGTTGGTGTGCAACAGAACTAGAAGTATGCTGACCAGCTTCGTATATCTCTTCCTATTTTTCTCTCTCCTCATGCTTGAGGTTCTCGTTAAATGGCTGCCTAGATAGCCGAATCACATCATCTATTTCTTCTAGACTGAGCTCTGTGACAGTAGCTAAGGAGGCCCGAGTCGAGCAAACTACCCGTACCAAGAGCACCTACACGTCGGGTGGCATGATTGGTAACATAAGATGTACTACAGGTGGCCATGGCCTTCTGAAGAAGTCCGGTTGTTGTAAATGGAGTGGCGAAGCTAGATCTTGCAAATTGAAAATGAATGGTTTGGATTACTGCATTCCTAATATCTTAATCAGACTCAGTATCAGCATATGTAGATGCATAATGTTTCACTCAGTTCTCCATCAAAGAGGCCAGTAAGCCAGATGTTCACTCATCGATCCTGCAAATGGATAGCAGATCAAAGACCCTTGAGCTTTGGTTCTGCAGAATCCACAGGATAGGTGAGAGAAAAGGGTATTCATTTGCACAATCTTCAAAGACCATGTGCCCTGTAAGGCCAACAGACCTTACAGCATGCTAAGTTAGCCTGAGGCCGGCGTACGCAGACCTCAGGCACACTAGCCACGTGTATGTAGAATATCTTCCCGAGGGTCGCCCACCTCCGTACGATCCTCAGCGATTAGTTCTCCTATAGAGATAGAAATAATCTATTGAATCCTATTCCCACAGGTTGAGACCTCACAGTAAGGAGGCCGTTTTCCAGTTTTCAGCTCAATAGCATGATCAGCGCTGCATGAGGGGGATGTACCCCAGCTTCTTTCTCACCAAATATATCTTGGGATTCATCAAGTAGTGCCTATAGGGGGTTGGCGTCCTCGCCACCGGCGACCGCTGGTTTAGCGGACCCTGGTAAGATAGCACCCTCAAAGCCATTGTCAGCATCATCCACCTTGCGCGGGATCATCAAATATACGACGCGATGCTTGGTGCTAAGTTCGTGTTCCATCTGCTTTGCGGGGAGGATTTCCACTATAGTGGCTTCGCAGTATGCCGCCTAGCTAGTTACCAATGCATTCCTCCATTATAAACACACTTGGAACATGAACAGAACCTACTGACATGGATATATAAGGACAGTCATTGCCATCATGTATCGAGTTACCGTACTCTTCCTCTTCTCGCGTTTAATATGACCAAGCTACTGAAATATTAACTTGGTCATCTGTGTTTGTCAGTACTTCTCCAATCCAGGTTCACGTACCAAGGGAGCCTTGCTCCTTTCTACCTCTAAGTTCCTTCAATGACAGCTACTGTGACCTGAGGCCTATACAATACCACAGCGTTGTTGCTGGTTCCGAATAGACCAGACAGACCAGGTAAGTCGCGCCAACGGAAACCCAAGCTAACGATACAGAGGTACAAAGGATCCCAGGGTGCAACATATAACTATACAATTGCCCAGTTAGGCCGTCCTTACTGTCTCAATCACAAGATCTATTCAGCAGAGTAGTTGCCATCTAGGACTGCGAAATGTCACCGGCTGACCTGTGCTAATTCGCCATCTAGGTTGCCTATTTACACGAAGAATTTGATGGAAAGTAAGACAACAGGAAAGGGGAAGACCGTCTCTTGAGAAATACTTTTGGAACGAGCGTGAAGTCCAAAGGATCGCACAAAAATAGGCCGGACGGGAAAGGAGAAGGTAAGGTTCCTCTTGGAATGATTCCTATCCCTTCTTTCAGCTGCTTCAACGCCTGTAGATATTCATCATCATATCACAGCTAGCATATACACCTGGTGATAGTATTTACCTTTTCTTGCTCATGGCTACCTGGATACGACGCAGCTGTCTAGGAGTATTGTGTCACCCTTACCTGCTGAAAGCCCAGAGGTTGTACTAAATGAGAGGATCATGAAGCAGCAACAGCAGCAGCAGCAGTAGTAGTAGCGCATCCGAAATCGAAATTATGCTCACTGAGCGCTCTTAAAGCAAGGGCATTCAGGGAAAGTCAATGTGGTTCTAGAATTTCCATTATATATGGGAACATACATCCTACCCCATCCAACTATTGTATACCAACCGGATCTAGTTCCACGCTCAATTCCTTCTCCAGCACCCTCTTAATATGCAGGAGAATCTTCTTCGCTACGTCCCCATCATAATATGCCTCATTGAAGTTCAGCGACAACGTCAATTGCCCCCGGAACGTCCATGCATACAGCATAGTCTGCCTCGTCATCATCGTAACGCCAAAATGGAACCGCTCCACCTTCAAGCCATTCTCATAGTCACTCCGAAAGTACTTCTCAATGACCCCCAGGCTGTTCAAAGTCACGCCAGACGGTGGGTTAGGCGGAGGAGCGCGTTGCGCGAAGAGAGCGTCAGCGTGGTACTTGAAGATGGGCCGTAATGCTTTTATCAGTTTTCCGTCATACCACCCCTGATAGCTCTCCATCAAGGAAGCAGTCCGTTCCAGGAAATTCTTGCTGCGGAGCACCTGGGGCGTAATGCTCCCGACGTAGGTCTGGCATGCATGGTCGCGGCTGTTATAGGGTGGCTGCAGGTACGGACGCAGATTAACGGCCATGACTGTCGTAAAATCCGCTGCTTGGCTCTCCGACATGCCCAAGACAAATACCGTCTCTGCCAGTGCTGCATGGATCGCGGCAGTGACGCTGATCCGACGATCCTTGCAAGCAGCCAGCAAGGATTTTGTGCTCGACGGACTGAACATCACTGCCTCTTGGGCCGGATTGGATGGGAGGGTATTCGGTCCACCTTTAAAGGGAAACCCGCTCGTCTGCACTGCTTTCTTATGGAAGTTGGCAATATACTCCCCTGCGAACTTCTCCATCTCCTCTGTCGATGTCCGCGGCGATCCAGCCGCGTCTTCAAGGCTGGGCGAAATTTTCCCCCGTTCATCTGGTGCCGGTGTCGCTTCGACCAGCGACGGCTGCTCAAGGATGGAGAAGAAGCGGTCAAGAAGCATACAGGTACCCAGGGCATCGATCCGCCAGTGTGAGCTCAGAAAGACGACGGAAGACGACGCGGGGAGATAGTAGAGGCTGGGCAGGTCTCTGGGTTTAGCGCTGGCAATAACTTCCTCTGGTGTCTTCTCCGCGTCGACGAAGAATGTCTGCCCGGCCCATTCCTCCACTGACTGTGCATCGGACACTTTGTACAGTTTCGCAACGTTGATGGGGACGAGGCTTAGGCCTGGGAAGGTGATTCTTAGGGCCTTCCAGGCGCTGCGCAATATAGCGACGCGATCGGTGTTGAGGGACGGGCCGAAGTTGACGGTGCAGATGGCGTAGATGCCCCAGTGCTCGCGGTTGAGCGGTTTGAAGGATGTGAAGATCTTGTAGTAGACCTTCTCTGCTCCGTCAAAGTCCTTGACGAAGATGCCTGGTTCAGTCTGTCTCCAGGTCATCTTGGAAATAGGGATGCCGGACAAATAGTAGACGGTTTTTCATTGAAGGGAGATCGGTAATTGTAGCCCACGTTGAAGCAGGCCCTTAAAACATCAAGTATATCAAGACATACCCCACCATTCTCACTGCAACTACGGACCCGCTCTCCAGATATTGCATGAATATATTGCACTATAGTGGACATGTTCTGCTGGCCGTGGCCAGGTATGCCTGCTAACAGACAGTGTTTAACCGAAGACCTAGTCCGTTCAAAACCGCCCCTGCGCTTGTCGTCAGTGAGCGGATTTACCAGAACATAAACTCCAATCTCCGTAGCACTGTATGCATCCACCAAATGGCATCTTCGAGTGCAAAGCGTTTGTGAGGATCTGTGAGTTGGGACTGGAATAGGAAGCACTCGGAGTTTTACCTCGGAGTTTCTATGTCGGTGAATCGGGCTTTGTCGATGCTGGTCATGGTTGCATGCGGTTGAATGGACAAAGAATAGTATTATGCTGCTGCAATCAGCTCAAAGAAAGGATGCTGCTGCGCCTCCTGTTCTACAGGAATAAAAGCAAGACACGCAGTTGTCGTGCTCGCTCTAGGGCACTGTCTATCACGTGATCCCATATACTGTCTGAAGCGAAGCGAAATAACCTCTCCGCAAAAGAAGCGTACAAAGGAGAATAGATTCTGTTCCTAATAGATATCATTTACTCTATCTAGTGGTTCCTAATTTTGATTAGCCAGAGGCATCTGCCTATTCCAGTCTACGTCTATAGTCTTCAGCCGTCCGACGCAACATGTCATCCACATCATAGTCCCAGATCTGGTGAGAACGCCAATAGACTTCAGCACCGCATTTGGCAGCATCACGACCAGTAGGCTCATACTGCCACTCGTAGAGCTCACCCAGAATCCGACTGCTCTGGACAACCCATTGACTGCGCTCGAGACGGATAGCATCGTACGTCGCCAACGCGGCACGTAGGGCTTCGGCCTTGGTCTTCGCCAAGCTGGACGCCGTCTCTGATGCAGCAGCCAATACAGCTGCCAGGACAGCTGCATCTTCAATCCCAGTGCCCGCGCCGGCGCCATGGTGCGGTGATGATGCGTGGGCAGCGTCACCGGCGATACACATGCGGCCCCGCACATATGTGGATGCTGGGTGGTCGTATGTGTCGAAAACAGCCCATCTGTCCAGTGTATCTGGGAGCAGGTCCATGACTGCGCGTACGACGTGTCCGAATCCAGAGAAGGCTTGCACGGCCTCTTCTTTGCTGGCAGGAGCGGACAGCTTCTCCTCATGTGGCCATTCTCCCGGGTCGGTGACAAACGCAACAACGTTTAGAAGCTTGCCCATGGCCACGGGGAAGGTTAGAACGTGGGCATCCTGGCCAAGATGCATATGGCGCGTGAGTGCTTTCTCTCTCCCCATTGCATCGACTGCCCGGTCCATTGGAACAAGGCCTCGAAAGGCACTCTTATGGCTGTACCGTGGGTAGGATGCTGGGTTGTCCTCGCCTAGGATGAGCTGGCGTACGCGCGAGCGGATTCCATCACACCCGATGACTGCATAGAAGCCAATGTCGTTAGCGGTTGATCACTAGTTTCGATGCAGTGGAAGACTTGCCGGCATCAGCCTCTGCGGTAGATCCGTCTTCGAACTCCAGCAGCAACTTCTCCCCATCTACTTTCTCAGTAACCCGCCGCAAAGTCTTTCCCAAGCGGACGTTCTTCTCCGGAATAAGCTTGACGAGCTCATCCAGAAACTGAGCCCGATGGCACCCCTCGAAACCCCGCTTACCCAGATCCGTCTCGAAGAGCAGTTCCTCGTATCTCTCGTCACTGTAGTGTGTGTACCCGTCAACCCAACGGAAGAGGTCCGTCTCGTTGGGCGTTGCTACGTTTTTGAACGCGGCATGAACGCGAGGATCCAGCGCTATCATGGAGCGCTCTGCGTTGGGCGTGAATCCAATTCCGGCTCCGATTTCGCGAAACTGACGCGCGCGCTCGTAGATCGTAACGTGGATGTTCCTGCTCAGGAGGCCAGCTGCTAGGGATAAACCGGTGATCCCACCGCCGATGATGGCTAGGTCGAGCTGTGGCTCTTCTTTCGTGACTCCGGGCATTCTCGCTGGTTAGGTGGTGCTTATGGATCCTCTGTTGGTCTATATGATAGGAACGTTAGGGCTGCCGTTGTCAAATAGCGGGCTATCACCAGCCTGGAGATCCTACGCTTATATTACATAGTCCTCTCCATCTCAGGCTGATATTCCGGGAAGACCGATCCTCCCAGCTGTATCTCCCGGTCTATTTGTCCGAGACTCTCTTACCTAGCCGGGTTGCTTCACAAGCATACTCCAGTATTATTCGTCTAGACCAATTGGTTGGTATTTGCGGACAGACGCTGCTCCAGCTGCCACCAGAGACTCAAAAGGCTTCATAGAATCGGAGCACAGAGTTGTGTATGCCAGAACCTGCCAGTCAGTCGGTGTGCTACACATTCGATGGTCATAAGTCTACCTCATCGCTACAGATTTGAGGCTACACTCGCTACATGAGACTCACCAAGCGCAGGTAAGAGCAGTTGGGAAGTCCCGGACTTTCCTACAGCCTCGGAGTTTCTCTGTGACAGGTAATCCTAACGATGAGATGCGTTCAATCAAGAACCGGGAGAAGGTATCTGACTATTAGTTAAAACCGTTTCGAAAATAAACCTATCTGCGCCGCTGAATCCGTTCTAAGCCTCGGGCCTTGAACCCCCGGCATGGCAAATCGGCAAACTAGATAGGCTAGATGGCGTAGGAACACTACTACCTGTTCTAAGCCTGTATCCTGTCGTACATGAAATTGGAATTGGCAATTTCACACCAGCGTGCTGTGGAAGAATTGCACAAATAATATCTTGAAGAATGTCGTGTCTGGACCCTACACGGGGAGACTGGCATCTGATGGGACACCGTAGGTGTGTTCACATTCTGCGGGCAAGTCAGACAGTTAGAAGAAAGCCTCATGCTGGTTGAAGGATGTGTTTATACGTTTTTCTTCATGAATTACCATTATTGCAGAAAGAATCTATATGGCCCTGTCATCTCTGATCCCCAACTCAGTGAGCAGAACGTTCTTCAAAGTGTCCAACAACACGGTGGCAGTGGTTAAATTATAATAGGCCTCATTGTACACAAGATTAAATCCTAGTTGTCCACGGAATGTCCATACGAAGCAGTAGAGCTGGCGAGTCAGCGTCTCAACGCCAATGCTCACGTCGAGGATCTCAACGTCGCCCGACTTGCCGTGGTAGACCGGACGCACCAGGAGCTCCGCGTCATCGATGCTGGATATATCCACCTCGCTTGGTGGAGGGCCGTCCATGGCGATGTTTTTCTTCAATAGCTCCTGTACGTTGAGCGCATATTCCCTTCGCGCGCGGAGGAAGCCCTTGCTCAAGCCGCGTCGGTACGCTGAGTTATACTCTCGCACGTTCTCTGTCCATGAGTGTGTTGCGGGTACCTGGACCATATAGCCGCCCGTGTACAAGGCGGATGCATACGCTGGACTGCTGTATGGCTCCGGTACGTATGGTCTGAGGTTGAACCGCATCGTGCTCGTGTACGGCTTGCTCTTGGCCTCGGAGGAAGCCCCAGCGTATGTGGTGGCTGCTACGCTGGCATGGACGGCCGATAGCAGGCTAATCCCACGCGTACAACATGCCTCCTCGATGGCTTTCGTTTCCGACTGGGACAAACGCCCTTGGACGCTGTGAGTCCCCGCTGGCAAGGTTGTCAGATCGCCTTGGTAGGATACTCCCACTGCACCGCGGGTAAGGGCCAGCGTAGCCATGCACTCAGCCGTGGCAGCCTTGATCTCCGGCGTAGCCTCTTCAGGTAAATCCAACACCTCTTCGATGCTGGGAACCAGCCGTGCAACCTCCTGGCCCCAGGGCAGGTCGATGGGATCACGGTCGTCGAGTCCCGCGAAGGCCTCGAAGAAGGCATTCACAAGCTGCATTGCACCGAACCCATCCGTCCGCCAATGCGCGGTATGGAGGATTAGTTCACTCGTCCGCACCAAATAGTGCGCCGTGAGGTAGGGAGATGGCTGTAAACTGGCAATGTACTGCTGGCTGCTCGTGTCCTCCTCCACGACGAAGAAGGTCTGTTGCATCCAGTCCTCCAGGCCATCGGGGCTAGGGACGTAATAGTCGAGCGTTTCTGCGTTCGCGATGGATGCGATGCTGGGATGTGCAAAGCGCATCGTCTTCCAGGCTTTGTGCAGCTCCGGCACCCGTTCCTGTCCCCCTTGGAGGGCATCGCTTGTCTTGAATCTGGCCTGGGCAGTGACAGACCAGTGTTCTCGTCCAAGTGGATGAGCACGATCTCCAATACTTTTGATGAATTTCTCATTTGCGCCGAGTGGACGCTGGAAATGGCCTGGGGACACTTCAGACCACGGCATTTTGGGAACTGGTCTTGTCAAGGGAAAGCGAGGTGTTGAGGATGAGAATCACGATATGCACAACGGGAGGTGACTATGGCTATCCTACGGCCTAGGAATAAGTATTCCCTTATTCATGGAGAGTCCGTCGGAGTTTCATCCTCTAACCGGAGTTATTATTCCTGGAGCATCGATCCGTGGCCCTTTTGAGCCATGCATGCTCTGTCAGGATTATATAGTTTGTCTACTATAGTACAGGTCTACACAGCTCGTCTCTTGTCTTTGAGGACAAGGTCGGGGCACACAGTACTCGAAGTGATCTTCTGTAATTGATTATGGCTATTTTCTGCGATCTTGAGAGAACATTGATGTCTGGCATACCCTACTCAGCAGTGAACAACGCTCATTCCCATGTGACTATATCACTCTTTTTCTCCGCCTCTTCATACTTCCCTTTTTTCAGTAATGCAACTAGCTATCCACGGTCCTTCTCCCAGTCTTCTCGGAGTTGTTGTCAAGACTCATTGATCAGGGTGCTGGTGGCGCGATTCAGGGCCTGGAGAGATCGATGACACCTCTCTTGATCCAAAACCTGTTAGTCATATGGGAATAGCTGACAGTCGAATTTGTCCAGCTTCCATACCAGGTCTCTGGTCCGCTGCAGGAGAATTGACCCTTGCTGATTGGTAATGCGTCCTGGTCCTCATTGTCGCTCATTAGCTCCATCAACTGGGGCATCTTTTGCTTTCCTGCCTGCGCAGGATTCTCTTGGTTCCCAACCACATCACTATCGAGGATGGGGATCTGTGACTGCCATATCAATGGCTCAGTTGAGTCCCCCACCGGAGCATAAGCGCAGGAGACCAAGAAACGAGAGAGGGGGGCTCACTTACTGTTGTTTTGGGCGTATTTATGTTGGTGCCAGTTAATGGTCTCTTTGATGGACAGTCCGCACTCTAGTCCAGATTTGGCTGCCTTCCATTGTCCAGGTGGCATGTGTGTGAGGGTGAGGGTTTGAATATAAAATTCATTTTCGTACTAGATACACGAAGGATTCATTGGGAGGAAGAGGAAGAGGAAGAAGAAGAAGAAGAAGAAGAAGAAGAGAGACAGCGGCGTTGTGTCCAAGAAAGGAAGTAAGCGATCTAGAAGCAACAAACAGAACAAATGAAGCAAAAGAGACATACAGAACAAATGAAACAAATAGGGCAAGATATTTGATATGACTCCAGCTGACCATAATCAATCTAGCAAGAGAATGGAGGTCAAGATGGAAGGGGACAAGGATAACTGCAGAAGGCAGATGCAAGATCTTGGTATTCGTGTTGTAAAGGGGGGCGTACGTGCGTTGTTCCCTGCGAAAGAAACCGAGTCGTGGTCAAGAGATCTTGGGAATGAATACACCGAGATGATGCCGCAGCACAAGTTGCAGAGGCTGCATCAAACACGGTCCTGTATGTGTGACCACCGGCGATCCTGGATGTCTAGAAGTGTCCTGCTGAACCGGCACGGAGGAAGAAGGCAGGAAGAACGGGACTAACCGGAATCTATTCTTACAATTGCCAACGGATGTGATCGTATATAGGAGCTAATTTGTAGGCATTATCTATACCTTTTCGTCTCCAGATGGCTGCGGCGGCTCATTGCCTCGAATATCCTTCCAGCCCATGCCGCAGGAGAAGACAAAGGTAGCCACTGCAGCGCCCACAGCCAGATAAAACACGTAGTCCACACTCTTGCTATACGCCTTCAACACGCCAGGGAGCTGATCAGCGGGAACAGCCTTGCGGAAAGCCGTGGCCCCCGCCACGATGATCGACTCTGGCGGGACCTCGGGCGCATACTCCTTGAGCTTGTTCCTGAGGCTGTTGGTGAAGATGACGTCGGCGTAACTGAGGAAAGTCGAGCCAAAGAAGGATTGGCAGAACATAATCAGGGCCATGGCCACGGGGATCAGGGGTGGCGGGAGATTGTTCTGCGCGGCGATGATGGGCTGCGTCCACATTACTTTTAGCCATTGGCCATTGGCATCAGGAATTGGGAAGAAAGACGATGTACCATTTGTAGCCCGGCACCACGGCCTGCGCCTAGCAGGATCTGATATCCGATCCACTTGCCCACCGACGTCGACGGGGTGAAGGTCGTCAGGAGGCCATTGCCAACGGAGCTGACGATGCCGCCGGCCAGACTCCAGGGCAGGTAGTAACCAAATCGACCCACTTGCACGAACGGTCAGTAGATGGCATATGATCAGAATCATTGGAAGCAGGAGGTTCCTTACCGAGAGCGCCGGAAATGATGGCCAGAGCTGACTGACTGAGGATGCTGGGCAGAATGTAGACTCCACTCAGCATCGCATTGACGCCCTTAATCGCCTGGAAGTAGATGGGGAGATAGTAAGATGCCACCAACAGCGTGGCCATCAGGAAACCATAGACCACGCAGCTGGTCCAGACAGTTTGCCTGCAGATCATGGAATAGGGGATCATGGCATCGTCCCCCTTGTACCATTCCCAGAGGATGAAACAGACAAAGGTGGCACCAGCACCACAGAAGAGCCCGATGACAACAGAACTATTCCAGGCGTACTTGTTGCCCCCGTATTGCAAGGCCAACAGGAACTGAACAGCTGCCGGGGCGAAAAGTACGAAGCCGACGAGGTCCAGTTTGCGCAGGATGATATGGACCACTGAAATGCCTTTGGGCTTTGGCAGCTGCTCCGGAATATGGACGAAGAACAAGAGCAGACCTACCACGGCGCCGATGGGGAGGTTTATGTAGAAGCCTGATCAAACCATTGACCATCAGACGAGGTGATTCCGCAGTGACAGGGAGGACGTCTCGACTTACACCAACGCCAGGTCGTGTATTGCGTGAATGCACCGCCGATCAAGGGCCCTATGACAATGCCTAGCTGCGCAACTATATGTACATCCTGGCGGTTAGGCTGGCTTTATCTGTTCCTGAGTCCGAAGACAACTTACACCCCATGAGAAGCCCGGTTAACGCTGTGGTGAGGCCGATAGAGTATTAGCATCGTTTCTTCTGCGTCGTGGATGAAGATGTAGATGCACTCAGGGTGCCATAGATGTACCTGGTCGCCGCTGCATTGGCACGCATCCTGCAATGATGGTGAATGCCCCATTCTGAATGCCTGAACCACCCATGCCTGCCACAGCTCGTCCCACGATCAACATCTTCGAGGAGGTGGCGACTCCACAGAGAAGGGACCCCAGCTCGAACACCGCAAAGAAGGACACGAACGACCACTAATTCCGGATCAGCTTGTCGACTATCCCTCACCTTCGCCGGTGGCGGAAGACACACCTTGGTGTTGAAGTTTTGATAGATCTTTCCCGTCAGTGGCACGAGAGAAGCGCTGTACGATGTCCGTCAATGCAGCCCCGGCCATGCTCCACCAAACACAAGCACATACCTGGCCAGTAGATAGGCGCTTCCATACCATCCAACGTCGGGCAGCGAGTGAAACTGACTCGTGATCCGCGGAGTGGCCTAAACACGGTGCATAGTTAGGGTTAGCCACAGCCGAGACCTCGATCGTCGAGAAGGGGATTCTTGGCCTACCGTCGATATAATAGAGGTATCGAGCAACATGAGGAAGCATACCAGGGTTATGCCGCTCATGATCATGACCAGCTTGATGCCCGTCACCCACGGAGTGCCATCTGTTGGTCCTGTAGGAGCTGCTTGTTCGACGCCGTCGCTGTCTCCTTTCTCCGTGGCCACGTCGCCCTCATGGCTCACGTCTGGCGGCGTCTGCTCGGGATGCGCCTTCTTGATCATACCTGCATCTATCACCCTGTCCGTGTTGGAAGTCGATGCCATGCTGAAGTACAAGACCCAAGATGCTGGCCTGGTCAAGGGGAAAGAAGATACAACATACGCTACAGGGAAATCGAAGAGCCCAGCGAACTTTCTCAGCACAAGCTCGGACTTCTTTGCCGAGTGTTTGTCCTTTTGTGCGCTGTTGTTTCTATGTTCTCTATGGAAAGCCCTGATTACATGCCTGCATAGTTGCCCCGGCTCGGAGTATTCGTCCGGTGCCTTTCCGTGCTCATTACGTGCTCACTAATGCCGGTAGATCTTCTCTTCTCCATCATCTCCTGATATCTGTTGTCTAGGCCCTACATATCCTGGTGGTGATCCGCTGTCGGCCATACCATCGAGCGCTGGCGGAAACCAGCGATACGAGCCGTTCCTGGACCTCCAGGCCCCAGAGCATGGCAGGACAGTTCCAGGCGGAGTAAATATCACTCCGTGCCCTGTCAGGATCTTCCTGTGGTACTTTAGTAACCCCGGCCAGTGGAGAAGAAAGTTCACATCCGAACGGACGTCCGCGCGGACATCCGCCAGCACTCCGCTGGCGGCCCCGGGGACTTAAAACCCGTTGAATTTGTCGGCCTTGATGCCTGTAGACTTGAAGCAAATGGGCAGCTAGTTCTCACAAGTGTGCGGGAACTTGTGTCTGTTACAGAGGCTTCAAGACATGCACCTACTTCAAGCACCTTCAACATCAAGAACCCCCAACCCTAATAAACTGCAAGTCTAGACGAGCCTCTGGTTTTGAGTGATACTGCCAGTAGTGACTATCTCATCATGAATGGTATTCCGTGGCGGGTTTACAGGTCAAAATCAAGCATTCTGTCCCTCGCCGCGTCGGCCGCTCTTCCTGCGAAGTTAACCGGTTGCTATCAGGCAAAAAATGCTGGATCGCGTTCCGATGAATATGGAATACGTGATAAGATATTGAGCGTTTGATATTATCCCAATCATTCTAATAATAATCGTACAACCCCTCCCTTCATCCGTGGATAGCCATGATAAGCGCTCCCCGCGGTTGCGTCTCCCGGACAGCCCTTCTGTCCTTCCACCCAGCAAGGAACACTGTTCACAGACCATCCACACCACCATGGGCGTCAAGGAAATCCGTACCGCGATCCAAGTCGACCTGGACAAGCCTGCCTGGGAGCAGCCGGGTTTGCATGTACGTCCATCCCACTGTCGTACAGGAACAAATGCGCTGATGTTATTGCCTTTCCCCCCAGAATCGGTGGCATCCAGACAGTAGGTGCCTCTGAATTGGCGCGGTTACCATGGAAATATGCCTAGACTAATGCGACGGTCTCCCTAGTCCCTGCCTGCGGCACGATCGCAAACAACGAAGTCGTCAAGATCGAATGTCTCGATTGGACCGGTGGTCAAATCAAGAACAACGATTCCGCAGACGACATCAAGAATGTCGACCTCACCCGGATCCATTACCTTTCGGGACCGTTTGAGATCGAGTCCGCCGAGCCGGGCGATGTGCTCGTCGTAGAGATTCAGGATGTTCAGCCGTTCCAGCACCAGCCCTGGGGGTTTACCGGCATCTTCCACCGGCAGAATGGGGGTGGATTCCTGGATGAACTGTATCCGGAAGCGTATGTCTCCGTTCCAGGTTGTCGTGGTAATCGTGGCAATCGTCACGGCTATTAACGCCTCTCCAGGGCCAAGGCCATATGGGACTTTGAGGGCATCTTCTGCTCGTCCCGCCATATCCCCCACGTACGCTTCCCGGGCCTCATCCACCCTGGTATCATGGGCTGTGCGCCCTCGGCAGCGATTCTCGCCGAATGGAACCGGCGAGAAGGCGAGCTGATTGCCGCCAATGCGTCGGCCGACCGCGATGTCGCCAAACCGCCCGAGCCAAAGAACACCCATGCCGGAAGTGCGAGCGAGGATGTCAAGGCCAGGGTGGAAAAAGAGGGAGCCAGGACCATCCCGGTACGTCCCAACGGACCAGAACCGCAACCCGGCCCAGTCTGCTGATATTCTCCAATGCCAGGGTCGCCCCGAGAATGGCGGAAACTGCGACATCAAAAATCTCTCGCGCGGCAGCAAGGTCTACCTCCCCGTCCACGTCCCCGGCGCCAAGTTCTCCGTGGGAGACCTACACTTTTCCCAGGGCGACGGCGAGATCTCGTTCTGCGGCGCTATCGAAATGGCCGGCGTCATCACCCTGAAATTCACCGTTCTGAAATCCGGCATGGCGAAGCTGAACATGAAGTCCCCCGTGTTCCACCCGGGCCCTGTCGAGCCCACCTTCGGGCCCGGCCGCTACCTCACCTTCGAAGGCTTCTCGGTCGATGAGAGCGGAAAGCAGCATTACCTCGACGCCACCGTTGCCTACCGACAGACCTGTCTGCGGGTCATCGAGTATCTGCGTCGGTACGGATACAGCGACTACCAGATCTACTTACTGCTCAGCAGTGCGCCGGTGCAGGGGCATTTGGCGGGGATAGTGGATATTCCCAATGCGTGCACGACGATCGGCGTGCCCATGGATATTTTCGATTTTGATATCCGGCCGGAGGCCGAGGCCGTCAGGAAGGACATGGGGAGCTGCGCATTTGCCAGCAGCTGAGCCGGAGTAGATTGTCGAGCGTTCCGAGCGAGAGAATCCTAACTCATGTAACGCCTTACGGCGGAATGAGATAGCCGAGATTAGATACAGAAGAAGGGAAGGTCCATGCGGAAAGCTAATTAATATTAAGCATTTCGTGCGCGTAGATAGCCTTCGTTGTTCTCCTTATTTCCAGTATATAACCCCGGACTTTGATGTCCTCCGGAGTCTCAACCGGTTGTCCTCGAGACAAGAAAGAGAAAGATCAAAAGCCAACATGGCCTCGGAACTAAGCACTTCATCCTCCATCCTCATCGTCGGAGCCGGCACATGGGGCTGCTCCACGGCCCTCCATCTCGCCCGTCGAGGATACAAGCATGTCACCGTCCTGGACCCTTACCCGGTGCCTTCGCCCATCGCGGCGGGCAACGATGTCAATAAGATCATGGAGCATAAGGAAGTAGCAGGCATGTGCATGTGCTTCCAGGCTGGCAAACATCCACGGCTAACCCGATCCCACAGACACTGCCGACGCCCGAAGCATCGCCTTCGCAACATGCACCAGAGCCGCGCTGAAAGGCTGGCAAACAGACCCGGTCTTCAAACCCTATTTCCATGAAACCGGATTCATCCAGGCAGGCCACACCCCTGCTCTGATCGAACATATCCGTCAGAACGACCTGTACCCGTCCGAATCCGACTTCGTCAAGCTGGAGACGGCCGAGGATTTCCGTAAAACCATGCCCCCCGGCGTCCTGACCGGTGACTTCCCGGGATGGAAGGGCTGGCTAATGAAGAAAAACGCGGGCTGGATCCACGCGCGCAAGGCGATGTTTTCGGCTTTCCACGAGGCGAAGCGTCTGGGTGTTACGTTCATCACCGGATCGCCGCAGGGGAAGGTCGTGTCTCTCGTCTACGGCCAGGACGACGTGACCGGTGCCAGGACAGAAGATGGCAAGGTCCACTCTGCGGATAGGGTCATTGTCTCTGCCGGAGCAGGTACGGATCGTATTCTTGACATGGAGAATCAGCTCCGTCCGACGGCGTGGACACTGTGCCATATCAAGATGACGGAGGAGGAGATCAAATCGCAACGATACCGGAATCTGCCTGTGCTCTTCAACATCGCCAAGGGCTTCTTCATGGAACCGGATGAGGATAAAGGTGAACTGAAAATGTGCGATGAACACCCCGGCTACGTCAACTGGGTGTCCGACCCAAACCGACCGGGAGAAAAGAGATCCATCCCCTTCGCCAAGGAACAGATCCCCCGCGAAGCTGAGAGACGAGCGAGGGAATTCCTGAAAGATACCATGCCGCACCTCGCGGATCGGCCGCTCGTCTTCGCCCGCATCTGCTGGGACGCTGATACTCCCGACCGGTTCTTCTTGATCGATTACCACCCCCGGTATCCGTCGTTGTTGCTTGCGTGCGGTGGATCCGGGAACGGTGCCATGCAGATGCCTTCCATTGGAGGATTCATCGCCGATGCACTCGAGGGGAGGCTGCAGGAGGAACTGAAGGACGTTTGTCGTTGGAGGCCGGAGACGGCCGTTGGTCGGGACTGGAAGTCTACTCAGGGTCGGTTTGGAGGGCCGGATAAGGTGATGGATTTTCAGGAGGTTGGGGAGAATGAGTGGACGAGGGTTGGGAAGGAGAGTTTGCTCTAGGTCTATTGATAATGATTTAGATTGTCTCAATATCCATAACGAAGATCATGCATGGTGGATGTCTCAGTCATCATCGGTATATAAAATCAATATATTATCCACGGCTAACGTCCGCATAGCCTTGGGCTATGTCGGCTATATAAACAACCATATTCACAATCGTCTCCATAGTCAACTCTCCGCTGACCCGTTCGCACAGCTAGATGAGATTAGGTGAACCTCCTCCCCGAGAACCCCGTTGAAATCCCCGTCTCTTTCGTCTCCTCATCGTTCTTGTTGTTGGCAACATTAAGCTTATCAATATTATCCAGAGACAGATGCAGGAACTCGTGCTTGTTTTTCCACGTAACCTGTGTCTCCGGGAACCCTTCACTCTCGGCCGGTGGTGGAGGGGGGTCGGTGATCTTCGTGATGAGATATGCCGTTGCAGCTTCGGAGACGCCGTATAGGAGCTGCCCTAAGAACGGGGTCTTGAGAATCATGGTCCAACCGAATGCGAAACCGAAGAGAACGCCTTCACGGTCCGAGAACCATTTACGCTTCTGTTGTGGGGTGTATTGGATACGTCGGAAATAAGGTTCCAGCTGTATCGGTATTTATTGTCAGTACATGTCTCTCGGTCACAGCTTTCGTTAGTAACTTACGAGGTCACGCATCAAGCTCCGCGAAGCAAAGTATGTATGTAGGAATGTGATAAGGAATCTTCTAGGGAGAAGGAGACCAACACCGAAAATTGCCGCGGCAGGATTCGTTCCAACGGTTTTGCGGAACGTGTAGAAACTGACTGCTGGTGCTACGAACCGACCCACCACGGGAAGCAGGGATGCCAGATAGATTCCCAATAGCGTAGCCATCTTCCGGGCGTATCTGCGGCCGAATGCCCGCATGGCTTCAGGTAATGGCTTGGACGGTTCTGTTTTGACCTTGACTCGCTTTCGAGAAGTAGAGTACAGGGCCATGTTGGGGTAGTACATAGCCCGCAGAGACTTGGGGTCGTCCGACTTGTGTTTTTGGACATAGGTTGTGTCGACCCATTTCAGCGACTCCATAAAACTACTCAGCTCAGCATTGGCATTTCAAAGAGGAAGAGTCGAGAGACATACATCTCATCCAAAGTAGGTGTGATGTATCCCATCAAGGTCATAAACAGGAAAGGAACTTGGAGGACGGATTTGGAAACAAAATCGAGGCGGCTATGCACCTTTGCATCCCACACAGCACCATCGGCACCAGACGCTGACGACACGGCCCAGACAATGAGTCTGATTCCAGAGATCTTAAAAGGTCAGTCCACTGGATTCTGACACCGGAGAAGGTGAGAACATACTGGAATTTGAACAACGACCTGAGTCGCAACTCCGACGCCGACGGCGACGGCCGCCTGCTGAAAGTGACGGTACTTGAATAGTTCGGGATTCCGGAGAGCCCGGACAGCTATTCACCAGCATCAGCCAAATGATCAGAGATGGTGATTGAAAGCGATAATATCAGGAAGGCCGAAACGGAGGACTATGCTTCTCCTAGATCTGGATGGACGACGGACTTGGCATTGTTCGTAATTGTGGACAGGGCTCTCATTGATTCAGCCTATGGCGTTGAACATGGCCATTTCTGTCCACATCTCTGAAAATAACACGAAGATAGTCGTCTATCGAATCCATTGCATAATCCACCAGCTTCCTGAATATGGAAAGAATGCACGCGAGGAGACGGACTTGCAACAATCACCAGCTGAAAGCCGCGGAGGACCGAATTGGGCTCGAAACTGGACATGGTCAATGCCCTCTCGAAAGAACGATGGAACGGTGTTTACAGATGACAACCAAAGCGACGGAATGTCGACACATCGAAGAGGTCTTCTGTACGCGTGGCTGTCTGCACGCAGCGAACATGTCTCAGCTCACCGTCTGCATAGCCGCGCGGCAGACAATGCTTGCCGCGGTAGGCGCATTGCTGCCTCAGGCGATGATCAGGCGTTCCCCGTGATCCCCGCCGGCTTCAAGAAATCGTTCGGAAGTTCCCCTTCCCTTTGTCTTCTCTGCGTCTTTCACTCCTTTGTGCATCGTGTATATATACACTCTATATTCCCTTCTTCTTTCACGTTATTCTTGTCTTGTATTCATCTTTATAATATTATTCATTCCCTTCGTTTCCCCATGAACAATGCCCACTGCTTCCAATCAGCTGCCTAACCAGATACGCTCCCTCCGTCGGTCCGCAACTCTCCCTCCTACGCTAGACCCTCTCAGACAACGCAACCATGACTCTCTAGGTTCCTCAGACGACATCTTGTTTTACCATCCATCCGCGAAAATAGTGCATTTCTCCCCCAGGGCCGTCGTGCCGATTCCTTCGAGCTCTGCCCCGACTGACTTCGACTATCCCGTTGATACCATTGAGACGCTTCCGTGGAGGTCTGCCACCGAACGAACCGTGGCCCTTGCACCGCTCAGACTCGAAAGAGGATTGACCGTGTTCCTCAAGTGCGGAAGTGTCGTCCAGGCCATCCTGAAGAACTCCCAGTGTTGGTGTGTTGATGGCGAGTCGACATTTGTCCTGCGTATTGGGCCCCTTAAATACTACCGCATTGAGCTTCCGCTCCGAACAGAAGAGGATAGACATTATGTTGACCGGTTGAAGAGTGCGCTGCCGGGCGTACTTCGTTATGAAGTTACCCCTTGTCCCTTCAAGCGAGGATTTACGGTCGAGTTGCCTCAGGAAGCTGTAGTCCCGAAGAAGAAGAGGGCATGGCGTCCGAGGGAACGCAGAGAAAGCGCTCCAGTCTATCCAACTTTCGCACCGGAATTGAAACATGACAGAAATGAATATGCCAAGAATCGGCCGAGCACTGCGGGTGGTACAAGAAAGGGTTCTGCGGATATTGGCTCGTTCTCGGCCGGCAGACCAATCCTAGAGACCATTCCAGATGATATTGAATCATCAGCGCCTTTGGGCGATGTTCCCAAGGACGCTGTGGTTTTTCTACAGCCACAAACTGCTCCACAGGAAGACTTCAATACTTTGCGGGCGAAGTTTGAAGCCGACAAGCAGCCTGGAGTCAATCGTGATCTATCACTGTCGTCGAGTAGCGACTCTTTTCAATCGATACAACACCCTTCATCTCCCCCTGCATTGAGTCCATACTCTACATCTGAAGATTCGGACTCATCCGAGGATGCCGAGCGGATAACAAAGGCACCTCACTGCAATAGTGAAAACCCAGTGGAGCCGACTCCTTCCCCAGGGCCAATTCTGTTGGCTAAAGAGGAGCCTATGGAATATGCTGAGCATGACGGCGAGCCGGCTATATGCCAAGATTCCTTAGAACATACTACTGCTGAGCAGAATTCTAGATCATCCCTTTCACTCGGTTGTATTGATGAGTCGCCGGAGTTCCAGCGTCCCCCGAGTGAGGATCCGCCGGAAATAACGGTTTTTCAAGACAATTCCCCATTGGCACGCCCAGAAAACCAGAGTGTTCGCTCCGAACAGGATCACCCGGAAACCTGTGAAGACGTGCATCGGAGTCTTCCAACTTCTGCTGCCGCGGAGCAAGAGCCGGTGCTACTCACGGTTTCCGACACACAGGTATCCCGCTTTCCGCGGAGATTCTCTGCAGCACTTTCATCTTCCGATATGAATGACATGACTGCTAGCATTCGGTATCGTGCTAAGGAATCTAGGATGCGAGAGATGTCTCCTATGCCTCCGCCTTCCACTTTGCATCAACCCCGTCCACACTGGTCAGCCAAGCGGGCGACCGCATCTTTCTTCCACAAGACTTGTACACTAGTTCTGGTTCCCCCGGTTCAGCTTCTCCTGGTTCTCATCCATGTTGCAGCCCAAATCGTAATAAAGCCGGGTCAGAACTCCAATGATCTAGAAAATGAGGATGACTACGGCGTGCCTATTACCCCTGGACGGGCAGCCTCCGATAAGGCCAAGCGACATGCGGACTAACTTTTACTGGAGACCTGGCACAAGTCACACGTGCAGTCATTGAACTGACCATCTTTTTTCCTCGGCCAATTCTATCCGCGTACGATCTCTTTTTCGGGCTCTGTTATTACCTCGATCTCCCTCCTTTCTCTCATTTCGTCGATTCCCCCCTCATGGACTGTCTTTCATTATTTATAATTTCTTATTTGGCTGGACATTCTTCGTTTCTCGAGGATATTTCACTTTACACAAGGACATCTTGGCGTCTCGTCTATGATTCTTGAATTCCCACCTCGACGGACTTGTAATATGATTTTATTTGGATGGACATATATACGGTATACATTGCATAGGTTTTCTCTGTACTTAGCGATCTGGAGAAATTTAATATGACGAGCTTTGAATCAATTACCGTGAGAATATGTAGTAGGAGCATGCACCCAAACGCCAAATAATGCGAATATGCGAGTCAGGACTCTGTCTCACCAGATGGCCCGACCCGGATATCTTTTAGGAATTACCGTTGAAAATGGCCTCCGCAATCCTCCCTTCGCAGCAGGGAAAGACGAGACGGCTCGAAAAAAAGCAAAAACATTCAAGACTTGGTAACCTTCCCAGCCCCACCCTTGGCCTTGCTCCTCTTCTTCCGCTGCTTCTTCTTCAACCCCGACATGCCAGCTTTACATATCTCCGCGTACCGCGTATAAAAGGCCTCCAGCTCCTCCAGAGCGACGACGGTGGAGATTTTCACCTTGGGCGTCCTGGTCTTTTGCGATGCGCTCTTCGATTGCGATTTATCGGTATTTGTTTTCGTCGTTGGGCTTGGGGCGCTGGTCTTCCCGTCTGTTGCGCGGATGAGCATGGAGGGTAGTGAGATCGAGGAGCCGTCTTGGTCTTGTGTGGGTGGAAGAAGAGGTTTCTGCGTGAGGTAGACGGAGCCGTGGGATTTCTGGGATGTTTTGGAGAGGAGGTCTGTTAGGGAGGTGAAGAACTGTTTTGATTCCGGTTTATTAGTGAACGTTTGAATGAAGGATAGGGTGTTGATGAAATACTACCTCTTCGTGGCTTAGGTGGGAGGCCATTTTGGTCGTTGCCATTGGATTGGGGATTTGTTGGAAATCTCAGACTATGGCTCTCTGTCGCAATTCAGACGGAGTACTCTGTAATATCTAATAGACAAACAGCAAGTTCACTGTTAAATGCAGAAATGAAGCGCGCGGGGAGGAACTCCCTCTGCTTGCTGAGTCATCGACACCTAGTTAGTTAACTATCGTTCCTCTGTCAACTGCCAATATCACCGGAACTCAATCCCTACGTCCCTCAAGCCTCTGACATCATGGCTGAACATCCTTCTTTCACCCTTGCTGCTCTTTGTGAGTCCTCTGCCTGACAGGTAGAGTGAGTGTAGTGAGACGCTAACATTCATAACCAAATATAGTGCCTGCAGGGGGAATTGTTGGATATCTGCGGACGCGCTCAACACCCTCCTTGATCGCAGGCGTTGGGCTCGGAATCTCCTATGCGTACTCTGGTATGTGCAGTGCAGCCAGCAAATACACCATTAAAAAGGCGGCGCTGAGCTGACGAATTCAGGCTACCTGATCAAAGAAAACAAGGACTACGGCACCGAACTTGCCTTGGGAAATAGCGTGCTCCTGCTGGGCTCGGCAGTGCCTAGGATCATCAAAACACGAGCCAGGGCCCCTGTTCCTTTGGGTCTCGGAGCGGCCGGCTTATTGGCGACGTTTTACTACCAGAAGAAGGTCAGGGAGTTTCGATTCGGGGTCTAGATCCTACAGAAGTGACTACCTTGTGCATATGTTTTGGGCGTGGGTTCTTATTGTTTCTAGCAGAACAGCTCCGGTTGGGCTTGCGGTGAGGTCGAGGTCATGTAGACGCTGGACCAAGGCTGCTGGAATCATCACAGTGCCTGAAACTGGATTATTGCTAGAATATCGGAATTGGCGTACCTACTCACTCCTCGGCAGTGCAGCCATAAGCTGAAGTTTTTGAGCCATCTGAACGATAATACATGACGATGGAATTAGTAATCGGCTGTCGAAGCTACAGGCATATACAGAGTACAGATATAAATATATCTGGAACGAAGGATGCGTTCATAAAATTATATACGGGTCTGGTGTTGATCAGTGTCACACCATAACCATTCAAGATAGTATCGACGCATCGACAGGAGACAAAGATGGAATGCCGGAAGATCTCTGACATTTCCTATCCGCGGCTGACGTACATGGCTTCTTGAACCTGCATGAAAGGACCTGACTGATTGCATTTTCACCCGCGCATCCTGCCTCGAGCCGTTCAAATCTCGAATTTGGGGAATTTCCGTCAGATCTGCGGATTGAAATCTGGTCCGGTCTGTTTCGTTTTGTTCCTGGACTCCTGTCTACGGGCCCTTGCGCATCTCTCTCTCTGTGTATATGTACCTGGGTGCTCCTACAAGGCTCTCTCCTTTCTAAACCTCTACACTCTTCACCTACTCTTGTCCTCCGCTAACCCAACCGGCCAATCAATCATTACCAAATATGCGTTTCTCCTTGGCTATCCTTGCCTACCTCGTTGGCGTCTCCCTGGCCGCACCCGCGACTGAAATCCTATGCAACGCGGTATGTGCGTTTGAGGGCTAGAAAGGGATCGAGGAGATCGCGAACTGGTTTCCACTGACTGAACGATGAATAGGGCGGAGATCCCTGTGGTAATTCAACGGGTCTCATATGCTGCACGCCCCTTGTTTGCGGTTCGGATTCAGTATGTCCTTCGCTTTTTTGTTTCCCGTCACCATGCAGGGGATGAGCTAACCAATCCATGTAGACTTGCCAAGAGCCTTGGGTTAGCGGATGCATCTGATATTGCGCTTTGACAGTATGCTGTATGGATGCTGACAGACGATATTATTATCATAGAAAGTGAGGAGGCATCTGCGACCGAACTATCACTGAAGAAATGGTCGATTCTCGCCAGTCCCGTCGACTCGACTTTCCGCTTCGCAGGGGGATGTACAGGTTATCTTGGATGTGAAGATGGACAGATCAACGTTCCCGCTGAATGGTTTTCACGAGCCATTCATCCCTGGGGATGCTGGTAGATGGTTGATGTTGGTTTCTATTCTTCAAATGTCATTACTATGGAGTGTATTCATAATTAAGGCCATGCTCTGAGGAGCTTTATCCGTCCTAACCCTAAGCAATCCCACGAACCCTAATCCTGACGACGTGAGCAGTGAGCAGTAATTCAGACCTTAATGATGAATCTATGTACTCCATCTGCTGTATATTACGTTGCAGTCACCTTTTATTAGGCAGTAGGCACTCTGACATACGATGCGGAAAAGGCCTGACATGCCCCTGAAGGAGCAACATCGGGAAATTCAGGGCCTCAATCAAGATGTATGTTTCTGTTCTTTCCTGTCACTCTGATCCAATTGCCCCGTCTCTACGTACCTACGCTGTATTTTATGGTTTAGCATATCTCAACAAGTCTTGAAGAGCTTAATAGTCACAATCGAGGTCCAAAATGTCCCAGAGGTGTCACAGCACCAAGTCTTATGGGAAACTCCCTCAGACTAACACAGGCCTCGCTACAAGTCCAACGTTGAACTAGCCTGCACGCCTGCCGGTCTCACAATATAGCCGGCAGAGATCCCTGGCTAGTCAAGAAGATGTGGCGTTGAGTTCCACATAGACAGGCCGCTTGATGGAGACAAGGATCTGTCTATATGGACATGCTGCGGTTCGAAGCGGCCCGTACCCCAGTCCAAAATGCGGGGAATGAGTCCATAAGGCCAAGGCTTGGTTTCTACGGACACATGCGATTCAATTGACCGGCGCAATTTGGGCTCCCTCCAGACCTTCTCTATTAGAAATCACATTCAGAGAACCCTTCCAGATGCACCAAGTCGTCTCTGGCCGGAAGGACGAAATTTGGATGATTTCTGCATTGCCGGTAGATGGTAGTGACCGTCGCATTTTCGGCGTCACCAGGATGCCAATGAGATCCTTCTGGTGAATAGCTTTCTGGGGATAGAATTGGCTATAAATTGAGCACTCTCCCCCATCCACAAAGCAGATCTCTGTGGTCACCCAGCCCTTCTATGTCTTCCCCATTGCAAGATGAAATTTGCTGCGCTTCTGTCCATTCTTTCAGCTTCGATTGTCCTGGCCTCAGTAGCCGACGATACTGCAGCTGTATGTGCCTATCTGCACTCAAACTTTCCTGACCGTACGGCCTGGGATCCTCTTAACCCACACGCCATTGAGAGTATCTTCAATGCCGCAGCATATGCCAACACCATAACGCACTACTGGAATGGTGCCAATGGCCTGAATCGACCTCTCTGTATCTTCTTCCCGTCCAGCGCCGAGGAGGTTTCGGCTGGTGTCAAACAGCTGAACAAATATCCCAACGTCCAGTTTGCGCTGAAGTCAGGTGGTCATAACTTCAATAAGGGGATCTCCAGCACCAACGGTGGCATTCTGTTCTCTTTCAACGAGAATCTCTCTTCTGTGTCTCGTTCTGAGGATGGCAACAGCTTCCTCGTCGGTCCTAGTGCACGATGGGGAGATATTTATAACGTATCGACCAAGGCTAACCAAATTGTGGTCGGAGGGCGACTGGCCAACATCGGCGTTGCCGGCCTCGTCCTGGGAGGTGGCTTGTCATACTACTCTGCCCAATACGTAAGTGAAAAACTTCAATAAAAGTTGGTATCAACATGGACACCAGTGTGCTGACTGTTCCTCGGGGACTCGCATGCGACAATGTGATCAATTTTGAGGTAGTCCTTCCAAACGGGACTATTGCCAATGCCAACAAAACGTCCAACCCGGACCTTTGGTGGGCATTGAAGGGCGGCGGCAACCGTTTCGGCATCGTCACCAAGCTCACTCTCCAAGCGCATCCTGCCGGAGTGAATGGGCAGGTATGGGGCGGCATACGCCTCTATTCGGCAGATGACAGGCAGGAGATCTTCAGGGCGATATCGAACTTCATTCGTGAATACCCCGATCCCAAAGCAGCTGTGATCCCCACGTTTGATTTTGGTCTTCCCAATGCAGCTATTTCTTCTCCAGCGCTGTTTTTCTTTTACGATGGGCCGAGCCCTCCCGCGAACGCATTTGCCGGCATAGAAAATATCAAAGCATTAACCGACACGACTGGAACCACGACGTACAACCAGCTAACTTCTGAAGCTGGCGGTGGGAAGATTTACGGTATCAATGCTGCAGCTCGTGTGAACACATTTCCCAATATGTCGCCCGACCGGACGAGCCAGTTATTCGAAGACCACTGGGATCTGTACAAAGCCTATACAAAAAATGATTCAAGCAAGAACATTGACATCCAGATCAGCACGTTTACAACCCAACCGCTGTCGGTCCGGATTGCCCGTGCCTCTGCTCAGCAGGGAGGAAACGCGCTGGGTCTGGATCCTGCGAGTGGTGATCGCATCTGGGTTGAGAATGATCTGATTTGGCTCAATCCGACTTGCGATGATACCTGTCCAGGGTATCTGCGAGAGATGACGGACGATGTCAACACGGCATTTTACAGCCGCTTCAAGGGGGAGAAACCTACCAATTATGAGTCTGGTGACGTTGGGTTCATCTCGTAGGTTCTTGATACTCACCCAAAAAGCTATTCTGTCCAGGCTGACCAACTTCAAATAGGGCCAATCCTCTCTTTATGAACGATGCTGCCGATTACCAAGACGTGTATGCGAGTTACGGAGCGACAAACCACGCAAGACTTCAGCAGATCGCCAAGGAGTATGATCCGACTGGCTTCATGAACAGGCAAGGCGGCTGGCCACTGGGTTGATTGTGTCAAGGGTCTTTTAATGTTTAAATACTTAAATAGGATCGTGGATAATTATGCAGTCAAGAGAAATAAGGTTAATGAATGTGAATGTACATTGTAGGCGGTAAAGTGTCTTCCGCCTCCGCTCCACGTGTTCTGCCGGAATTATTATTCAAAGCAAAAAAAGTCGAATTAATAATTATTTTAGCGACACAATTCTTGCGACATTCCTATCATTAGCCACAATGAGGCGCCCCAAGCACAATACCACATCTCTGCCTCGGGAACTGCGTGAGGAGCTGGGTTTGAGAGATTCCTACGGGGACAAGAAGCGGAAACGAAGCGGACCAGTGTCACGCAGAGATCGACGCCAAACCGAGACAGCAAACAAGAGACAACGAGGACCCGTTTCGAAGAAACGAAGTATTCCAGCGTTCAACAATGATGGCGACGAGGACGAGGGCGATGGCGCTTCTGGGTTTGGCTCTGAGTTTGATGTATCTGATGATGAAGGGGAAATGGGTGCGCCTCGAAAGTCCAGTACGAAGCAGACGGAGCGGAAACCTAAATCGATTCTAAAGAAGTCCAAGCCGTCGATATCTGAGGATTCAGATTCGGATTCGGACTTGGAACAAGATCACGATGATGATGACGATGCGGATGACACTGATAAAGAGCAACCTGCTCCGCGAAAAATCTCAGAGACCGTCAAGGCCCGTTTGGCGGAGGATGATGCGGAAATTGCTGCATTGGAAAAGAAGCTAGGTCTTAAAAAGGGGAAGAAACTTCCGAAATCTTTCATGGAAGATGGACTGGGCGAATTGCTGGGCGACTTGGACGGTGGCTCAGATTCCGAGCGGCGGAAGCGCAAACTCGAGGCGGATGAGTGGCTACGAAATAAGAGACGAAAGGCCCAGGGTTTACCGACCGAGGAAAAGAGCGATTCTGAGAGCGATGAAGATGGTATGGGCGATCTACTTGATAGTGAGGAGGAAGAGGATGATGGCCTAGGAAGTGAAGATGATGAAGAATTCGGGGACGAAGACGACGGTTTCGAGGGATTCGACGATAAAAAGAGCCCTCGTCCAAAGAAGAGAGAAAACCCTTACGTTGCGCCTGTTGCGAAACCAGACAACGAACGATCCAACAAATACATTCCCCCATCACTCCGCGCCCTCTCCAATTCTGAGACCGAATCACTTACCCGACTACGACGGCAAGCGCAAGGACATCTCAATAAACTTTCCGAATCGAATCTCGTCTCTATCCTTGCGGAGATCGAGAAATTGTACCGCGACTATCCTCGACAAAATGTCACGTCGACCTTGATCTCCTTGTTACTGGGCCTTATCTGTGAGCGGTCGGCTCACCAGGATACCTTTATCATTCTGCATGCAGGGTTCATCGCTGCAATCTACAAGGTCATAGGCATGGACTTTGGCGCGGAGCTCGTGCAGAAAATGGTTGAAAGGTTCGACGCGGCTGGTAATGATAGGAGCAATTTTGAAGGAAAGGAGTCTGTCAACTTAATATCTCTCCTTTCGCAATTATACAATTTCCACGTCGTCGGGAGTACTTTGGTGTTTGACTACATTCGGATCTTTCTGCAAGACATCACAGAAGCAAACACCGAGCTGCTTCTAAAGATCATCAGAAGTAGGTTTCCTTTCCCAAGAAATCTTGTCGAGTCCAGCTAACAACCGTCGCAGACTCCGGCCCACAGCTTCGACAAGATGACCCTTCCGCATTAAAAGACATCGTCCTTCTCATCCAACCTGCTGTTTCTAAAGTCGGCGAGGCATCTCTTTCAGTTCGTACAAAATTCATGATCGACACCATTACCGACCTGAAGAATAACCGGGTCAAAGCCGCCGGCGTCGGCTCCAGCATTGCTTCCGAACACATTACCAAGATGCGCAAGATTCTAGGAGCCCTAAACAACCATCGCGTCATTCGTGCCTCGGAGCCCATTCGTGTTTCACGGACAGACATTCTCAACTCGACAGAGAAGGGGAAATGGTGGCTTGTGGGCGCCAGCTGGAAAGAAGACCCTCTCGAATCTGCACGACAGGAGCTTTCCGCGCTTCCCTCTTCCTTGAATGATTCCAACGCATACACGTCCAAAGAAGTCAATGATGATGAAGACAAGGAACCCGATCTGCTAAGCATCGCCAAAGCCCAACGTATGAATACCGACGTCCGCAGATCTATCTTTGTGGCCATAATGTCCGCAACAGACTACCAAGACGCACATGTTCGCCTTCATAAGCTCCGCCTTAAACGGGCCCAGGATTTCGAAATCCCTCGCGTCCTCATCCATTGTTGCATGGAAGAGGAATCCTATAACCCGTACTACACCCTGATATCCCGCCGGGTTTGCGGTGAGATGGGCCGCCGCATCAAAGTCTCTTTCATGTACACCTTGTGGAATGTATTCAAGAAAATGGGAGAACGAGGGGACCTGGACAACGAGGACGACGATGACGGTTTCGGCGCCGACGATAACGATGACGAACAGGTCACCATGAAAGCAATCGTCAATCTAGCGAAGATGTACGGCTCCCTCATAGCTGACGGGACACTGACGCTTAGTATTTTGAAGAATCTCAACTTTGCGTACCTCCAACCCAAAACTAAGGCCTTTGTTGAATTACTCATTATCACCGTACTCCAACAGTCTCAGAAGAAACAGAAGAAGAAACCGGGAAAGAAGAGCAACTCTGAGCCGGAGGGAGACTCGGATGAGAAAGATACTAAAGCACTCACGGACATCTTCTTCCGGACGCGGGACACGCCGCAAATCGTCAAGGGGCTGATCTTCTTCGTTCGCAAGGTGGTCTCTAAAACTGATATTGTTTCTGGGAAGGAGCTTAAGTTGGTCCGGTGGGGGTGCAAAGTTGCTCTAGATGCGTTGGGGGTCGTTTCGAGCCAGGAAGATGGTCTGGCTTGAGTTTATTCCTTGGGATGCTCTGTTTTGTATATATACCGGTTAAGATTCCCTGCTATTTATTATTTACGACTGGAAAAGAGACTATTTTATGGCTCGTATGCATTGCCCCTTGTGGATTTCTATCATTGGGAACGTCAAACAAATTTGTAAAAACAAGAACACGGGATGATCCTTGTTTCATAAAAGTCATTAATCATTGCCTGGCTTCATAACATATCCCATTCCATGCCAACAAGCCACTTTTCCGCGGGCGCCACGGAGATTCTATCTTCTCGTACATCCTTTTCAGGTTCCACATACTCAGTAATAGTGGTGCTGTCGTTCAATTTCACCTCCCAGACAAAATTTCGACGGACACCAACCACGCTTTTCGGTCCTACTATGGAAGTCTGGCCTGATGAACGTTCATCTGCCCGTTTAGAGGAAGGCGGCCCAAGAAGGACTATATTCCTCGAAAAATGCCCAGATTGCGCATCATCAAATTCAGTCCCCATGTTTATGGGAATTTGACGACCCTTGATGAACGTCACCGGGCCAGAGTTGCTTAGGGCGCCTTGGCGAGCGTCCTCGACTTTAACAGCCATTAGGTAGTTGCCGTTGTCTGGAGATCTGCTTTCAGCAGCAGAACGAGAACCCGTCCAGCTACCGTTTAACTGATCCTGCTTTGTTGCTACTTCTAGGATCCAGCTGCGCACTTCTGCTGCCATTCCGCCTGGGAGATAACTCGGGGCAACGGCACGCGGCCTGCCATGACGATGCAGTCTCCGCGACGAAGGTGAAAACGGAGTAAGCAGGGATGGAGAGCTTTCTTGTTCCCTGGATACGGAAGGTGAGGGTGGAAGGATGAAAGCTGGCTTCTGTTTCCGTGGGGGAGACGCGGGTGCTGGGGTATGAGGGCTCACATGGCTAGCCGGTTGTTGCTGTGTCGCTGAAAGCATGAACCGATGACGGCCGCCGATTGGGGTTCTCATGTTTCCGGGAGTTGACGATTCGGGCGTTTCTGCCGGTGCAGCCACCTGCCTTCGGCGCGGAATGGCCTGTGACCAGCCAGGAGAGGAGGGGTGGTTAGCATAGGGCGATGGGGGCTCCGGGGAAGAAATCAAGATTGGATCAGCCTTTAGCCTCCCAGTTTTAGTAGAAGAAGTAATAGATGACGAATGGTTCGGGGAAAGCCGCCGTCTCTTTGTGCGCTCTGTGTCAGGTCCGAATAACATCTCATAATCATCATCTAACGCCTCCGCAGGCAGCACTGGCGGACTACTATCAATAGGCTCATTGGGGACTGTTTCTGCAGGTAGGTGACATCGTTCCAAGCGTGGCGGAGGTTCATCTTCCTCCGAGTCTTCGATCACCTCTTTCTGTCGAGATGCCGATCCCGTCAACTTCGGTCTCTGCGGAGCTCTTTTGACCACGACCGGGGACGAGTACGGCAAATCGTCTGCATCGAAAATGTCTATGTCTTCGCTATCATTCACGTTTTGGCTTGATAAATTCTGGGACAGCAGGAAGCGGGGAGTGGACGCGAATTGAGGGCCTCTATTGCTGTTCCTTGGACGCGTGCTGGGAAGCCGGAAATGTGACGGGGTCTGCGAACAGGTTAGCTGGTTTGAACTGAAGGATACCAGAAAGTCAGCATATTCCTACTGGTGGCATTTAGAGTGATACCAGTACTCAAACCTGAGGTGTCACATAGTGATGGTATTGAATATTCCGAGGAAGAAGTTGATGCTGTAGGCGACGGCGATTGCCAAACTGGTGACGTCACGTGAATTGACACAAAGAACAGAATGAGGAAGAAGTGTCTCTAATGAATCTCATTGTCACTTTGTTCATGAGAGCAAAAAGGATTACGACAGTAGCGGAGCAAAGGCTTGGTCTCGGAGTTTGGCACCTCACCATTGAGTAATGCTCTCGTCGACCAACAGATAGTTTTTGGTTGTTCAGCTAGTACGGATTACGCATTAATGTACAGGACTTCGTAAGCGTGGTATGTAGTACAGAGCATTGTGAAACAAGGAGAATGACTAGTAGTCTCCAAATCCGAAGCTGGTCGTGGATACCCTGCTTCAGATACAGTTCTACTCAATAGTCCCAAACTTGTATGTCGCCCAATTGATGGCCGGACCGTCCTCCGGCGAGTAGACTTGTTGCGGTAATTGGCCCCATTGTGGGTTGTTGATGCCGTCAATCCAGCCTTCTGTTTCGACCACAACGCAGCCGTACTGGTTGAGATAGTTGGTGCCGCCATGGCCATCGGCCTCATTACGCTTCACCTGAGACGGTTTAATCGGGATAGTACCATTTTGCGAGTCACATGTGAAGATCTGAAGTGCAGCCTGGTTGGTGGACACTTCTAGGCTGATGCCTGTGGTGCTGGAATTCATCCGAAGAACGGGGACCAGTGTGTTTGGCGTCGCTGGGTACCACGGGGGCCGGTCGACGAGGAAACAAGTATCGTAACCAGTGCAGTCGTCACCACATAGCCCGTAGGTATCTTCGATATGCTCTCCCACTAACTTCCCAGCCGTAAAGTCTACGCTGCCACCATAGGAATCGGCAGCCTCCAAGATCGTCCCGTTTGGAATCAGGATGCTATCGCCGGCAATAAGGCGATGAGATAGTGGGAGCTGCAAGAACGTGTCGTTGAGAACCGTAGATTCCTTGTATGCGTTTAGGTTCCAATAGATGTGATTGGCAAGCATAATAGGGGTTTTCTCCGTCAGGGCAAGAGAGACCAACTTGGAGGTCAATTGTGGAAAACCTCGGGGGTTCTCTGAAGTGACTTTGGTATCGACAGTGTAAGTAGCATGGGTGATCACGTCTCCCGGAAAACTTTCAAATCCCTTGTCAAGAAGAGTGAAGGTAACCGACGATGTGGTGTGTGCGGTGACGGTCCAATTACGCTGATCGTAGCCAACAAAGCCCCCATGGAGGGTGTCAATCCCGCCATTTTCATTTTCAGGAACATGGTATTCGACTCCGTCGATTGTGAAGGTCCCATTCTTGATGCGGTTGGCGTAGCGGCCCACAACGGCACCAAAGTAGGTGTGACTGGTCTCTGTATCGATCAGGTACTGCTTGGGGTCATCGTAGCCCATGACCACATCCTGCACATTGCCCGACCGATCAGGCACGAGCACCGATGTTAAGCGGGCCCCATATGGTATGAACTTGGCGGTGATATTTTCCGCGCTGATGGTATAGACCTCAAAGGGGTCATCAGTTGTGCTCTCCGTGTTGCCGGCCAAGGATCCTTGTGCCAAAGTCGGCAACGCGTAAATGGCGGCCGAAAGGTAGTTCCTGACATGCATCTCGATCCCCAGGAACACCGTTACTGCAAGGAATATCAAGCAGCACGCAGTAAGCAGGAAACGAACTTTAAGGCGAGAAGGGAAGTGCAAAGACCGGGGGCCACAGAAAACCCCGGGGGTCGATTGGTTAAATATGGCAGAATTCATAACGCCCGTCCAGCGGGCGGGGACGGTGTGGCCCGCAATGATGATTGATGGATTGAATTATTCCAGAGTACTGCTCATCGAGCCACTCGAAGGAGTCCAAGCAAACAAAGACGATGCTCAACGTGCAGATTTAGACGGTAGAATCCTCCGTGCGGGCAGTCAGCCCACGCAGCTTAGCTGCATTCGAAGACAGGGATAAGCAGGGATAAGACACGCCATTGGGTTAGACAGCAGGAGCGAGCATACCAAGCAACTAGGAGGAGATGGATTAGTGCCACAAGTCTCTTGCTAATGCACTCTGATCCCACGGATCGACTGATCTCATTTCCAGCTCCCGCGACGTTGCAAGTTTGCGGGGAAGTCTGCTGACTTTTCTCCGGAACTGCGGGGAGGCAGCAAGGTCGTATTTGGTGGTTCAGGGTAGCATCGAGGGGCGGTCGTGCACCTGCAGCAGACGAAACATGGAAAGTCTGGACAAATTCGGAAGATGTGAGGTAGGGAAGCCAGCAGGATTGTCCCAAAACGGAATTGCCGAGGCTGTGGAACCGCGTGCTGCCGCATAAATATTCCTCCGGTACTTATCTAATAACCACGTGCACAGCCTTCCCGATCGGGAAAGCGTGTTTATCGCCTCGTCGACCCGATCGGGGGGTGACTTGCCTGTTATCCACGCGTCGCGAATCCAAAGCATCTCTGTTGTCGACCTGTTGTTTGAATTTGCGCCGATGTGGATGTCTTCTGGTGAATAGAATATATGCGATTGCGCTGTCTTGGTATAACCTGGAATATTACCGAGTGCTTCTGATGTGTCGCTACTTCCTCGCCGATACGCCATGTCATCCCGCAGTGCCAGTTCGTCTCCCGACATTCTAGGTCCTCCAGGAGACGCAGACTTTTTAATATCGTCGCCCACCAAACCGTTTGCCGGTCGCCAGAGCTGGATGTCGCCAGCGAATTTCTCCCTTCTCCAAACGCCAGCGAAAGGAAAGCGCGTTAGCCTGAGTCCCGCGAAGAGCGCACATTCCATCCGCTTCGATGACATTTTACTTCCGGCTTCGCCCACAATGAAATTAAATGGCCGGAAAGTGCAAACTTCATCTCCTTCGAGGACTCAATTAGATGGGAATTCAAGTCCGTGGAGGATTCGCGTGACACTCGAGGCCACACAAGACGACGAGAACAGCCGCACGAGTCCTTCTCGCAAGCGACCCAGACCCGACACTACAGTTACCAAGGTACCTTTGAAGGGTGGTGAAGGGTTATGGGAGCAGACCCCAAAGAGGCGCAGAGGACGCCCGCGCAAGTCGGACAGCAATGCGACACCAATCAAGGGCAGTCCTGGCAGTACACCAGGCCCGAAACCGAAGCGGGGGCGACCAAGGAAAATGATTCAGGAGTTACCTTCTGACGAGAACTTCGAGGAGACACATGAGATACCATTAGCGGAGCCTGAACAGAGATACAGTCCTGTGAATCTTGCTGTTGAAGGGGAGTCTGATGATGAGTTTCCGGATGCATTGTCGGCTGCTGATCTATCTGCCCAACGAGAGGATGCAACACAATATGACGCCGTTGACAGCTCACCTCCCCCATCATACATCGAACCAGAAGGTGAGACTCTCCATCAGAATTCCACGACGCAGACGCAACCTAGAAATTACGACAATTATGACAACACGAATATCCACTCTCCTCCAACGAGAATATCTTCGCCCATCGACAGAAACACCGATTTCGTTAAGGAGAATACGATACACGCAGGACATACCCCACCACCACGACGACGAACTTACCCTACTCCCACCTCTTCATCACTGATGGAGGAAGAACACCCAGGGCAAGGAAAACCTAGGAACGGGTTTCCCGAGACCTTTCGGCCCAGCATTGGTCGCAATACCAATGACCCAACAGATGAGCATCGTGAGTTCGATTCAATCATGGAAAGCGAAGGTTTCAGTATGGTTTCCTTGGATACATTGCCATCAGCCAAGCAGCATGCACTTGCTTCCGACAGGAAACTGGCAAAGCCGATACGGAAACAGTCTACAAATGGCCAGGGGTCTGGTATTTTGGGAAGGGCGAGAACTTCTGCATCTACCATCCACAACGAGGATATTCCAATTACTCGGGTTCCCCAACCGAATCCAGCCTCATTAGTAAACAATCCTGCGCTAAGATCATCGTCGAATTCCCCGGAGCAGTCACCAGACCGTCGTCAAAATTCGGGAGCAATACAGACAGCCCCTGAAAATCGTCTTTCTTCCTCCTTTCTACCTCCCGCGCAGGCGCGGTCACCAGTGCTTCCCCCCGCGCCTAAGAAGTATGTTCCTAATTTAGCTAGGATTATTCGCGTGGGAATGGCCCTTGCTGGCGCCTTTAGACGTGAAGGCCACCGGCCGCAAGGACTAAATTCATTATCAAGCTTACAGAGACCTGACGCGGCTGATGAGGATTTCGAGAATCCAAGGAGACGGTTGGAGGTCATTTTCAGCGACTTGGGATCAGAGATGAAGCGAGAGTTGCATGCAGCCATGGGGTTTGGTGAGGCTCTCGCAAAAAGGAAGCGAGAAGTCGAGCAGGAACGTGAAAGAGAAGAACAAAGTCAGCAGGCCGCTGCTGCAGAAGTTGGTGGAAACACACAATCCCCGGCCGAAGAGTTTCGACGGTCGCAGATGGAGTCTATGACACCGCAACAAATGCGACTAGATACAACAGATAGTCAGCTGCTTGATTCGGTGATGGGACGACGGGAGGCAGAGTGGCAGCGAGAGAGAGAGGCTGTTAGTCGGGAAATCCAGATGGCAAACTCGAGTAAAGTTATTGTCATTGATAGCGATGCGTTGACTGCTGAAGGCAGCCAAGATCATTCCGAGGACAAATACAAGCAGGGTCTAGAAGCGGAACCAGAGCCAGAGATGGAATCTCCAGTGAAATCGGGACGACATTTTGAGTCAGAGAATGGGGCCGTGCCGGGGGCGGAGTCAGGAGAAGACCAGGTGCAAGAGTCTTCCGATGGGGAAGGGTATGAAGACATCTGGCAACAGGAGGCTAACGATATGCATTCGAGCGATTTTACGCCCCGAGTTGCCCTTAGGCATGTCTCTCATCGGCGGAGGAAACCGCCCTCCACCATTCCCAGTGATGAAGTAGGGACCATGTCTCCAGCTTATTGGGTCAATGAAAACTACGACGTACCCTTCCTGGGTAAGTCAGAAGTGAGGCGGCTTCGAGAGCAGGAAGTCGATCTATCAGTTTTGTTAGGCGCACGCGACACTCCAAATCGGACCAGGTACTATCATGGAAATTCCACGCCGCAGAGCATTATCAGCGGCAGGCATTCTCCAGTGCGGGGACCGACCGCTAAATCTTTCCGAGGCCATGGCGATGGAAGCCCGCGCGTTGAAGACCGTCCAGCCCTGAGTCCTATCAGTGAGGACGTACCGCGACATGATGCTGTGGACCTTGAGGAAAATAATCTATCGGATCCTGACAGAGATGATAACGCGAGTGTCTCTAATACTCGTGAAGGGTCGCACTACAATTCCCCACCTACTCCAGAGCCCGAGAAAGTTGGAGGTCCTGACACACAGACATCCTCATGGTTTAAACGCATCACTAGCCTTACCCCGGCTTGGCTTAAGGCGCCAAAAGATGAGCTCCATGGGCAATGGCCTGGAGAGGAAAATATTGAGGCCGATCACCCCAATTTTGAATCCATTGGGGATTTGCGTCGCGATATTGATGACAACATAGAGCATCCGGACGCCCAATCAACGAAGGATACGTATATAGAGATCGGTTATGAGGATTCAGGGTCTATAGGAGAGCGGACGCCCCCACGACATGTACAACGGAAACGTCCCCATGACAATGACCACTATGAGGCCACAGTCCGCTACCCGAGTCTAGAACGGGAGATAGAAGAGAAGCCCACGGAGTCCCGACGACACCTCGCACTTTCGGGGTACTTTAGTGATAACCACTACGCCACTCTCCGCCGTCTGTATGTCTTGGCAAAACATCGTCCGGAGCTATTTCCTTATCATCCGGCCCCTGGGCGTGCGGATATCATTGGTGACTGGATTTGGACTTCAGATGGCAGACACGGTGCCCCTGTTACCGAACTACAGTTCGCGATCGTGGACCGGTTCGTGCAGCAGTTGGCCCTAGCAGACCTGCAGGCTGGTGGAGCTGGTAGAATTGGGTGGACTGACGCTGATCTGCACAAGAGACTGATCAGCATCATCATTGGGGAGCAAATTCGGGCAGAGCGAAAGGCAAGAGAGGGTGATGGGGGTGAATTGTGAGTTTTTTTTTTTGGATGAAGCCGCAGGCGTGCTATCTCTACCCAATGCTGTTCGGGAGCATGGCATTTTGTCCTATGATTGGTTTATTATTTCTTTTTTCTTCTTCTGCTTTTGTCGTTTTGGCGATCGCAATTCTGGAGCATAGCATAGCATCTTGGCTGAAGTATCTGTACTTGGTAATTTGATGTCATATTGGAGAAGCCCAACAGCCACCGTTGCCGATCCATCCACAACGCATGTAAGAGCGCCAATGGCACCTTGGCGTCGGTTATCTCTTCATTGATAATTGGAAACAGTCAACGAGGCCTTGATAAGCTTGTGGAAACTGCGGCATTTCTCATTGGGGCTTTGCGTATCTGCAATTTATTCGCAACCGAGATATGCCCAGGAAATCCAGGGCGCACCGGTCTTGCATGAGATCTGCCCATTGGGTTCTCTATCGCGCATTCCCCAGACTGCAAGGCCAGGGTCATATATCGACAGGCCCGCAACGAGGTCCCTTGCCTGTCGAGACGATGTCTATTGAACCTTGCCGGTATGGAACCAGCGGTTGGTGTCCTGGCTATCTACGGTATACATGGGATGGCATGACCGTCGGAGCAGCGTGATTGGCAGTTCAGATAAACTGCCCGCGCTGATGTCTCTATGATATGCCGATGTTACTTTGTTTTATTATTATTAGTACTGATGCTTAGCGTTGATTTATCTATCATGATGAGGCAGTTCATATGGGCAGTTAATATATCTCGGTCTTGCCATTCCACGTTCCTTCTATTCCTCTTTCGCCAGTCAGGCCCACCTCTTATGATTTGAAGTTTGCGGAGAACCATTTTCACAGCATGCAGCTGTAGGAATCGACCATGTCGATGTCCGATCAATACACTTCTCTCTGGTGGCCGGAAGACCGGATCGATGCTACGGTTACCACTGAATATGTCCTCTCTCACCTGCATGGCCCCGATAGCCACGCTCGCCTCTATACCCTTCCAAAGTGGGGAGAGGACTTGACCAGCGAGACGTATCTGGATCGGATCCTCAGCAAAGGCAAGCGGCTGTTCCTGATTCTCAACGACATTGGAATCCCTGATCGCATTTTCGCACTGGTCGACCAGTCGTATGACGATAGCGATTTGCCCATTGCGGCATCAGATGTGGCTTTGCTACAGCTCGCTCCGGACGAAAGTGGGCATAATGATCCCGATGTGGACGATCAGTTCTTCCATGCACAATGGCGGTTTCTGGTACGCGGGATCGCTGCTGGGGAGCACGTCGTGTTTGACTCCCAGAATGAAGGTGTCCCGGTCGAGGTACACCGGAGTGGGATGGCATTGGGGGCAAACCGGGATGATGAGGTTGAGAAGGTAATACTGGCCGGCGCTATGTGTAGGGCATACATCCGGACAAAAGTCCAGGTGGGCGAGCCACCGCATTTCTTCGAGGCGGACGAGGTGTTGGATGAGGTGCGGTCGTTGCGCAGACTTGCCCATGAACATGTATTCTCCGTGCACGCTTCATATTTTGTCGATAACAGCATCTACATCCTATTCGCTCATCCGCATGAACGTCATTTAATGTCCTTCCTCACGGACGTACCGCAGCAGTTCAAGAAGCTTCCCAAACCACGCCGCCGCCAGATCCTGGTCAACTGGCCGCATTGCTTAGCGAACGGACTCGCCTGGCTTCATGCGCATGGCCAAGGGCACGGCGCAATCCGGCCATCCAACGTGCTGATTGACTCGGAGTTTCGCATCTTCCTGGGTCAGTTCGAGGCCCTGGATACCCTCCTCCCTCCCCCCAAGGTCAATGACATAGAAGCATACCAGTACGGCGCTCCGGAACGTTGGGTCCTCTCCACCACGGTGCAGGAAACAGGGTCATCGCGTACCGTGTTACCATCCGGAGGACGGACGATGCGAAGAGACAAACCAGCCAGCCATCCCACTCCACTGAAACTCAACACCCTCGCCAGCGCCTTCATCCGGCCCGGCAATAATAAACACAATAACGATAGCTTTGAAACGGACAACCACAACCCTGACATCCGAGAGTCCATGCTCGTCTCCAGCCCGACCTCCCGACCGGGGTCCCCAGCATCCCAGACCACCGCGATCCGGGTTGGATTTTCCGACTCGGCATCACGGGCATCCTTCGCCCTCTCCTCCTCCTCCTCATCTTCTGGTGGTTCTAACCCTGGCCGAAAAGGCAAACTACACGGACTCCTATCCCCGATCACGCCCAGACCAGCCCTCTACGCCCCCTCTGTCGTCTCCTCAAATTCATCTAACTCCTCTAACTCATCATATAACCCTCCTTCATCAACTCTCACATCTGCCAGATCCCAAGCGCTCGTCCGCACATGGCAATCCCACGAAACCAACGCGCACACAGCAGACATCTTCTCATTGGCAGCCGTCATCCTGGACATCCTCACGCATCTCTGTAAACGGAAGATCTCAGCCTTCGTGCACCACCGCGGCTGCAAGAACCGTAAAGCCGGTCGTGGCGGCGGCGTCGCCGATGCCTCGTTCCATCTGGATCGCAACGCGGGCCAGGTCACATCGTGGATCACCTTGCTCGATGCGGATGCGAGGAAACGCAAGGATCCCGTGTTCCAGGCCGTGGGGATGATGCTTGTCGTTGTTCGGGGGATGCTGGAACGCGAGCCCGAGCGGAGACTGACGGCCATGGAGGTCGAGAAGAGGTTTGCTGAGGCGGTTAGGTCTATTCCGGTGCAGGAAGTGGAATCAGGATCGGGATCGGGGTCGGAAGGGTTGCATTGTGTCTTGGCCGTACCGGAACGGGGACTGCATACGCATGGTCGGCGGAAGGAAAAGGACGAGGAGAAAGATAATGGTGCCGGTATTGGTACAGCGAAATCTGAACCAGGGCGTGCACGTCACCATGAACGATCGGATATTATAACCCCTACAACTGTTCTGACACCACCACCAGGAGAGAAAGAGAACGAGAAGGAGAAGAAGTACCCGAACAACGACACCGAACCAGAACTGGAAACTCCTCAAACCCAATTCATCTCCGACTCGGAAAGCGAATATGAAGGCGAAGGCTCCCTCCCGCAACAGTCCTACCACGACACCTACAACCACCAATACCAACACCCCTTAACGCCTACAACAGCCTCCTTCGACTTCAACTTTAATTTCATACACTCCAAAGATGACACCTACTCCGACACAGATAACAGCACAAACGACGACCTCGTCGACTGGGACGAGCTGGAGGGTCTAGACGTCGACGATAACATCGATCGCGAAATTAGCATAAACAACGACCTCCATAAAAAGGTCGGAACCGGAACGCCTACTCCGGCTCCGGAGTTGAATTGGAGAGACCCCGATTTGATCACTGGGAAGGAAATTGGGATAGAGGTTGCGAGGTCGGATTCTAAATCTAGGTCTGGCCATGGTCATAATCATGGACATCGGAATCGGACCGGATATGGATCTTTCAAGGATCCCATGATGCAGTATGGGATTGCTGTTGGAGAGAAATAATTGTATCATTTTGATCATTTTCATCATTTTCATCATGTATTATTTGATTGGGATTTTAGACTTGCTCTGCGGGTAGCTCTGGCGCTTGTGGGTGATACGAAGTTTGATGTCTGTAATATACTGTGTACATGTGCTGTGTCATGTATACCTGGTGGATATCTGTGTCTTATGGACCCGTCTTGTATGTCAGACTAAGGTCAAGGTTTGCGCATTGTTTTATCCTGTCTATAACATTATACACTGGGCATTGAAAGCATAAACTCATACAACATAACTCATAACGATTCGTATAATCGACCATGTACAGCAGCGTACATAGGTATCTCCGGTACTTACAGCCACCAGGCCACAACTCCAACCAGGCCGCATAGCAGCATCCATGCGTGCATCCATCCATCCGAGCCAGCACCGGTATTGCCAAGACCCATCGCGCCGCTGTGCTTAGCACTGGATGTTGCACTGGCTAGACCCTGTGAAGAGGCAGTGGCGGAAGCTACAATTAGCACGGAAGAGCGTGATCTGGTATAGTTGTGATCTCGCGGCCCATAAATCAAGATAGGAAGCGGCGCACTTGGGTCCACAGCCCAACCGCCCGCAGTGGAAGACGGGCATTCAGGGAGTGTGATGGCCGAGGTTGACTCGGCGTACACTGACAAGGCCACTCCGGTAGGGGACAATGTAGCCCATTGCGACTTGAGGTTAGAGAAGTCGGGGCTGACGGGGGTTGGAGTTCCCTTTCGAGTGAAGCCGTCATCCACCAGGGTGTTTGTGGCGGCGGCGGCACCACCGGGGGCTGGGGGACCGTAGCTAATTAAGCCATAATCGTTGGTTTCCTGGATCCATTCGTAGACCATGGACCCGGACCAGGTGCCGGACATCTCATCACCAAAGATAGCGCCCTGGTCTTCAAAGGTACGCGGACGGGCAACGTTGCAGCCGGTCTCCGAGAAGAAAATGGGGATGGGATAACCCGAGGCGTTCTTCTGGAGATTGACGTAGCCGGAGAAGGTGTAGGACGACTGGCCACACCATTCGTACGCGTTGAGGGCGAAAAAATCGAGACGACTATCCGGATTGGGAGAACAGGCCATGTAGTTCTGAAGCATAGGACGCAGCTCGGCGATGTCCGCGGCGGAGTAACCGACGGGGATCTTCCTGTAGCCTTTCCGGTCGCGATAGAGTTTAATATCGTGCGCAGCGGCCAGAACGTAGGGTGCAGCAGCAGCACCGTCCTTGGTGGTGAGCACCTCATTCCCGACGAAGACGCCGGCAGTGTTGTCGTACTTTTGAAATTCATCCAGCACGGCCTGGAAGGCGGCAAACTGGGTTGCATTCCAATGGGGGCTTTGCTGGACAGACAGGCCATGTTAACGCGCCGTCTTTCTCCGGTGAGGAGACGGGGCTTACCTGTTCGATCTGGGTATGAAAGGTATCGAGATCCACGAACAGATAGATGCCAGCGTCCGCGAAGGCCTTCATACAACCGCTGTGGTCGGCCAGGGGATCAACATGGTAGACGCGAATGGCATTAGCGCCCAGCTCGGACATGCGCACGATGTCCCTCTTGCACTGTTCCGTGTCTATGAGGGGATCATCGGGGACGAGCTGGTAGGCGATGCCTGCAGCGAGTGAGTAGGGGACAGAACATGGAGTGGCCAGGTGGGATGAGTCGCACCCTTGATGAAGAATTGAGTGCCATTCTCGTAGAAGAACTTGGCGCCCACCGTGGAGATCTTGGGGGCCGCGAGGACGAGGTCAGTCTGCAGAGAGAGGAGCAACGAAGCCGCGAGAAGGGATGGAGATGAGAGCCGCATGGTGACGGCTGGGTATGAGCAGTCAGCGATGGAAGGATACAGGATACAACTGCAGCAGTGAGATGGATTGAAATTGGTTGAATAGATTGAATGGATGTGGAGAGAGAGAGAGAGTGAGAGAGGATGTAGAGACGGTGTAGAGAGTCATGGCGGAAGGTGTGTTGACTTCCCAAACGGGAAGGCGTGAAGCCGCACAAAAGGAGTGTCTCATATTATCGTCGCCGCTTCCATGGCAGAGGGCAAGTTGCGGCTTGTCTCATGTCCATGTCTCACATCCATATCCTGCTAGGCAAATGCTTAAAGGGGATGCCTCCATTAATATTACTTTTTATATCGGCTTGACGCGTCCTCATCTCCCGATCGCCCACATTTTTGCAGCGCTCGCCCAATCATCCCGGTGCGGCTGCACCTCATCTGCTTGGCGCTGTTCAGGGTTGCAGCAGTTGGGCATTAAAAGGACGGCCGTCCCCAAGCTGTTCTGTCCTATCTACTGCTATTCTTGCCATCTACTATAGTACTGCTACTACTCCTCCTATGACGTGGATGTCGCCCCTTGTGGCCGCTGCTTGTCTGCCTCGTATTCCGCTGATTCCAGGGATGCAGCTGCTGTGACACCCTATTCCCCAATCACTTGGCGTCCGTATTCCTTTTATTGTCGTTGCTATTCTTATCATTATTACCATAACTATATTATTATCCCTTGGATGGTCACCCGATCATCCCTCCTCGATGGAACTCGCTGTGCATGAGCTGCATCAACAGTACCGGTACATCTAGATACTTCGCCATGGCTGCGAGTGCCTCTCCATTTCGCATCTCCCCGCAGGATGAGGCCGCCCTGAAGCGCAATGATGCGTTTCGCGCGGTGCGGGAGCATTTACGACGGCGGGAATTGGGAACGACCGCTCCGAGGTATGTCTTTCTCCTTCCGACATAGCCAGAGCCAGAGACTAATTTATCCAGTTTCTGTCTTGTCCATCGCCATACTTATTCCCACGACGAGCAGACGACGTTCCGGCTGCATCGTGACATCATCCACACCCTCCTCCTCCCCCTGTTCCTCCTCCACCGACAGGCTTCGCAGGTTGCGTCCAGCGTGCTGCCCTGCCGCCCCGGGCGGCGCGTCGAGAGTGAGCGGGTATTCCGGGGCGACGCACGCAGCGCCTTTGCCTGGCTACATAGCATCCTGAGCGAGGAGCGCGATTGGTATGTGACGGAGCAGTGCGCCGCATGCATCGTGCTACACGTGTTACATTCCGAGCCGACCATCCGATTGATGGCCGTGGCGTGTCTGCTGGCAGGTGCGCTGGACGAATCTGCATCTCCCTGCCGACTGGCGGGTTTTGACTTCTGGCTCGAGGCTGTCGAGACGGCCGTCCGGGAGGATCCGTTCTGGGGCGATGAATTCTGGCCGGACATCGAGTACCGGGCGCGGGGGCTGGTGGACGGGGTTAAGCAGCTGGTGCTGCAGTGTGTGCAACTACGAACGACAGCAGATGGGAAGGCATTGCCGTCGCGGTGCTCCACGCCGCACTGCACGGTGACTCCGCCGGCAAGCAGCTACACGCGGAGGAAGCATGTACGGCGGATGGAGCGGTGACGGAGGAGAGTTCCGCACATACTCATTCATATACATAGTACATAGGTAGGCTATGCACAAGTACATAGAGGTACCGGTTGCCAGAATGTAATGTATAGTAATCATATTACGCACCATTGTAATGCAAAAATCAGAAACAAGGCTGCGTTGGCCTGGCCGGGCCCGGCTGGTCCAGACCCTCGGCGGTATTACCGTCCACGACGGCCTGGAGACCGGGCGCCCACGGTTCCCCAGGACACACAGGCGTAAATTACAGTATGGCTGTGTATCTGACACGAACTGTACCATACCAGCACCCCCAAGTGACCCACTTCTCAGGGTCTAGACCGCGCTAGCCCGAAACAGCAGCCTCCTGTAGCCTTTTCACTCTTCCTGCTCTTCCTCAACTCATCTTCACTTCTCTCTCTTCTCTCTCTTCTTCCCTTCTTCCTTCCTCTTCACTTTTACCTGCATTCACTCACCTTCACACCGGTCCTCCTCCTTTTCCTCTATCCAGATGCTGGCTTGATCATGCATCCTGCCTTCGCCCCCCCTTCCCTCCGCAGAGGTGTCTCTCCATCCGCATCTCGTCTGCACCTGCTCTTGCCTCCCACCCCTCCGGATGACGACTCGCACTTTGTCTGGAATCCCTCGAATCAAGCTCTTCTCTGCCAGAAAAGAATGAACTCCTGTGCTTCCGACCGCTCCTCCACCGGCACCTCCTCCGTCAGCGGAAGTCCTGTTGGTCCGGCGGACAACCGCTGGAGTGTCCGTCCTCCTGTCGAGCCATGGCTGGAGAAGTGTATTGAGGCCGCCGGTGAGTTCCACTGCTGCCTTCTTTTGTGGTATATCTCTCTGACCCGCCCTAGTTTCGTCGCTTCCCACGGCTCCGGCTCGTCTCGACGCCGTCAAGATGGTCACTCAGATGCTCCCGTATCCCCGGGATTCTGATTCAACCACCAAGCTGCCCTTTGGGAACAGCATTTTCTGTCTGCTAGTCCAGGCCATGCAGGATCATACGGTCGGAAAGCTGTCCTATATCAACATCACGCACGCCGTGCCTGACCACTTTACCCTTTCCAATCTCCCGGCCTCGCCATCAAACAGCCCACGACCCCAACTCGCCGGCGGTGATGGCTATTTCGCCTCTCCTCAGGTCTTCTCCAATGCGGCCGTCGTCTCCTCCTACCACGATTTCCGTGGTCCCATCAGCAATGCTCGTACCCCGCACGCCCCATCGCCCATCGTCCCGCCTCAGAGTGTCCAGACAGCCGTCTTGGAGCGCTACATCCCTCCCTCATCCCTCGATGAACATCGCGACTTTTTCACTGCCGGCCGTCCCTCGCACCTGATCGACCGCCTGTTCGAGCTGTCCCCCGATGGCGGCTCTCTGCTCCTGGTCTACCCGACTAGAAATGGTGTCAGCACCTTCCAGGATCAGTACTTAGCCCCCGTCATCGATCCCCTGATCCGCCAGCTCGTCGTTGTCAACGGTATGTCTGCTGATCTCGGCCAGCTGCTGGGTAGCTACTCCTTTGCCATGGGCATGGACGATATGTATGGTTTGCAGGTCAACCTACAGGAGTTGTGCCACGCCCTGAGCACCCCGGAGTCGCGGTTCACTCTCGCCGCTGCCGAGTCGGGCAACATTTCCCTCGACCGCAACCTGTGGGGTGAATGGTACATTCACCAGGAGAAGAAGCGCTTCAAGGACGTGCTCAGCCTCAATCCCAATGACGGTCGACGCTCCCCGGCTGGCAACACCCGTCGTATGTTCGGCACGGAGCCAGGCATGACTTCGTCCATGATCCTGACCTCGATCCTCGAGGGTCTGCGGAAGCGGCCTTATTCGACCAACTACCGCCCTCCAGGCCCGATCGAAGTGGGTGTCTTCGTGATCCGGCGTTCGAAATAATATGCACAAATGCAACTTGCATAGTCCCATAGTCGCATCACATTTGACATGAGCATCGGGATGGCAACCATCGAGTTGCTTGGCATATTCCTCAAACCTATCCTTCTCCCTCTGTTATTATTTCTTTTGTTTTTGTCTTGTTTTGTTTTCTTTTTTGTGATAAACCTCTGTTTCTGGGTCTCTCGGGACAAAAACTCATATCGGAAATGAACGGAAAATCGGCGGTCCGGGGGGGCGGGCGTCGATGGCGTTGGCCTTGCGGTTCTCTTGTTTCGCTTTAGCAGGCGTTTTGGCAGGTTGATTCGGCACTCTCGGGGGTATACTTGGTTTTTGCTTGTTTGGATAGGGATACCCTGGATATCCTCTGTAGTGTAATATTTTTATGGTGAATGATGGTCATGTCTCCATAGTGTACGAAAACAATCAAATATGGCTCTGGAAGCGATTGATACTCGGACAATGATATTCAGCTGTAGAAGCATTGCAACGGAAGATAATAGGAGCTTCCTCACCTTCCATTCTCCACGGTAAATTCGCAGATTTCCGTAGGATAGGATCAAGGTCGGCGAAAATCCCGGCCGGCGCTAGTCCCGATTGGGCAGCCGGATGTTCTCTCAATTCTCTCTCTTGTGTTCGCTCTTCTCTTGTCCCTCTCCCTGTCTCTCCCATCTTGGTCTTTTCCTTTCGGCTCTCTCGTCTCTCGTTAAACCGGTATTTCTATCGATTCATTTCATCTGAGCGCAACGGGCAACAGAGTCGGACGGGCGCCTGGTCCTTCTCCGCCAGCCGCACAATGGCTTTCTCCCCAGCACCAACGTCGCCGACCATGGGCAGCGCAGGATACCCGGCTGCGAACAGCTCATTCTCTCGCGGTCGTTCAATCAGCCCTCCTTTTCATAATCCTGGGGGCCATCTCCCTCTGTCCAAACGAGACAAGCGACGCTCCGCACTGCAGGAGCGCCTGCACGACCTTACGGCCTCCTTCGGCCAGAACAGGGACGCTCTGTTCCGTCAGCAGCTGCATATCTTGCAATGTGACATGACTCTGATTAACAATGCTGACCCCTACTCCCCCGGTCCGCTTCCCGATTCACCGGACGATATCGCCAGGCTGATCGAAGAGACTGTCGGCGGTGGCGGAAAGTTCGCTAAGGATATGGCTAGTCTTGCTGGGAGCTGGTATGCGAAATATGTCCAGGAGATTAATCGGATCAAGGAAGATCGAGATGCGGAGTTGGCGTTGCTAATGGTTGGTTGTCCCCTGTTCTTTCTCTCCGCTTGTCAATGGCTCAACAGGTCTTCTACTAGCATCGCCATAATAACAACCTCGAACGATTCGAGCGCGATAAAGCTTTCCGGGTCCATTTCGCCGGCGAAGAGTACAAGCAGCTTTCCGCGACCCTACGAGAACGATTGGTACAGAGCATTTCCGGTAAGAAAACGCGCCTGATGCGGGAGAAGGAGCAGTTGGACATTGCCGACACCAACGCTCTTCTCCTGCACCCTAATCAATTCAGCATCACCAACCCTGCCAGCCCCGGTGGCATCCATGGAAACCGCAAAACAAGGCACACGCGGCACCATGTCGATCTGGATGAGCTGGGGAATGGGATCCTGTCAGAGATCCACAGGCGAAAGAGGAAGGCGGCGGATGACGATGTGGGATCTCCCGTGCGTGATGCTGGCCACTTGTCACCAGCTGCGCGTACAAAGGCTTACTTGTCACAGCAGCAACATGCGCCGACCTATTCCATCCATTCCCTGTTTACCGAGAAGGAGCTTACCGCCCACGCCAACCAGGCCCACGTTGCCACGGTGCATTTCTTCGCAGCCTCCCGACGTGAGAACAAGCAACAGCAACAACAACATCACCACCACCACCACCACCACAACCATCACAGTGGTGCAGGTACAAATGGCAACAACACCGATGCCGACGATGCGTCCGGTGTCGGCGATGGTACAGGACAAGAGGACAATGGCACTCCGGCAACCGACATGGTTCGAACCGCCAGCCAGAACTTCCACGCTACTCGATCCACTCGCACGCATGGCAATGGAAGCTCTCTTAACCCGCTGGCGGAACTGTCCGACAAACCCGCGACTCGTCCGAACCTGCCGTACCACATCCTTTCCAACTACCACGCGAGACCCAACAGCAGTGCACCGCCGCTCCCCGCGCTCATGAATGAAGAGATTGACGACGACTGTGCGCGCATGGACCGACTACAATCCCGGCCGGCGGGCTGGGTGGATCGAAACCTGGTCGAGCTCCTGGTGGAACCGTTCGTCAACGAGGTCGACGGCATCCCACAGAACCCCGACCGGTTCAACATGTTCCACCCCGACTTTCCGATTTCCAGTGGGATGCACCTATATCCACTGCGGGGCGGGAAGGAGGGTGATGAGATGTTTGGGCCCGCACATGATCGGAAGCGGCAAAGGAGGTAGACTATTATATCTACGGTCTTGTCAATTTGCATAGGACGAGCGAGGCGTTCTGTCGGTTTACTTCTACAAGTACCCATGGGGTTTGCTGCGTCTGGAGTATGTGTAAGGAATCTGCTAGCATAGGTAGGATTATTCTGCAAGTGTACAGTCGGATGGCGTGCTCAATGATGTCATGCATCTTCACTCTGGTTTTGTGTGAATTTCTTGGGATTGCGCTGCGATTGCGCTGATGTGCAGTGAGAAATGCATTCGAGACAGGCTGGGAGCTGTAAATGGCATCGGAAGGCGTAGGAGACCTACCTCCCATGGACATTCTCTGTGTTGTCATCAGCAGCACTGCGCATTTGTCAGATGTTGTTGCAGGATGGCATCTCCTCCATTCAGCGCCTTTCTGATGACAAATTCATGCGGTCTCCTCTCGAGTATATATACAGACACAGTAGACAGTTGCAATAAGCACCATAGCCACAGCCTGCTGAGCAACATGGCGGACTCCATCCCCCGTGGCCCTGTCGCCGTCAACCTCACCTTCTACCAGCCACCCCCAGACAACTCCCTCCCCTTCAACTACGTCCACGAACCACCCACAGGCCAACCACGGCGCAACTATGGCGAAGCCATACACGCAGTCCAGCTGACAGACATTCGGTCCCACGAGGAAGAATATACCCTGGACAAAGACGCCTTCGCGGCGCTGCAGAGCGTCCCCTCTGAAACGACGTACGCCACCTTCGACTCGGACGCCGCAGTCCGCGACATCTACTACCCGGAAGTTGAGAAATTACTCCTCGACCACCTTCCCGGAGCACATAAGATAGTCATCTTCGACCACACGATCCGTCGCGAGAGCCCCAACGCGGACCGCCAGCCCGTGAACAGGGCGCATGTCGATCAAACCGCCAGAGCAGCCGCTGATCGGGTGCGGCTACACGTCCCCGATGCAGAGGAAGCCGAACGGCTTCTCCAAGGCAGATATCGCATAGTCAACGTCTGGAGGCCCATCAACGGGGCGGTCGTGTCGTCTCCGCTGGCCTTCGCCTCGGCCCAGTCGGTGCATCAGGATGACCTGGTACCGGTTGAACATCGGTACCCCGATCGGACCGGGGAGACGATGGGGGTGAAATTCAATGCTGGACAGAAGTGGCTGTACTGGTCTGGCATGGATGATGGGGAGCGGTTGTTGTTGAAGTGTTCTGACACGGAGAGGAGGCCGGGGATCGGGCTGAGGGTGCCGCATTCAGCGTTTTTGGATCCAAGGACGCCGCAGGGTGCCAAGGGGAGGGAGAGTATTGAAGTGAGGGCGTTGGTGTTTGGATGATGTCAACCTCCATGTACATGGACAAGAGTTGGGATCTCCGTGTCGTCATTTGCCTCAACTACGGACATCTATTCCCCTTTTGCCGTTTGCCTCATGATGTCAATCCGCCATGTCCACGTCCATGTCATGTCTATCCATTCGAGAAATACAGAAAGTTACAACTACCACCCACTACAGTAAAGCCACACTACACAGCAGCTCTCGAGCGAGGAAGAAGAAAAGAAAAGAAAAGAAAAAGAAGGAAAAGATGGCAACAGCCGACCAAACCCTCTACAACAGCCGCGGCTTCCAACCCAATTTCATCCGCGGCATCGTCCGCAACCCCATGCGCGCTGTGAACAACACCTCGGCCACGCCGCACTTCAAGACGATCCAGGAAGCCATCGAGCACGACCACCACGTCATCAAGGCGCACTACCAGGCCATCGCGACCAGCAAGGACCACGACGAGCAGACGCGGTACCAGAACCAGCTGACGTGGGAGATGGCGCGGCATGTCGTGGGCGAGGAGCTGGTGCTTTTCCCTGCGTTTGAGAAGTATCTGAAGGATGGGGGGGAGTCTTCGGTGAAGAATCGGCAGCAGCATGATACTGTATTCCCCCCTCCCCCTCTCTTCGTGTGTCAGGGCTCTGTGTTAATGGCGGGGAGTAGATAAAAGCACAGCTAAAACACTTCCAAAACCTCAACGCTGCCACAGATGAAACCTTCCAGTCAACGCTCAACTCGCTCATGGACGACTTCACGCGACACACGGACGAAGTTGAGACCAACGAGCTGCCCAAGCTGAACGCCGTTGTGTCCCGGGAAGAAAACGCAATGCTGTCGGTGCAGTTCGACCGGACCAAGATGTTTGGGCCGTCGCGCGCGCATCCGGGGGCGCCTTCGAAACCACCGTTTGAGAATGTGTCTGCGCTTCTGACGGCGCCGGTGGACCGGCTGGTGGATTTGTTTAGGAAGTGGCCTGAGGATACGGATGTCGGGGGGAAGGTTTATGTTCCCCCGAAGTAGCTTTACTTTTTTCCATAGTATATAGAGTGCATAGAATCATTTCGTGTGTTGCCATGCTCTACATACATTCCCGGTGGATAGAATGGTCCGGATACCCCATAGCCCTAACGACCAACTGCGCACTCTCCAGCACGCGCTTCTTGCTATTGCCCCGTGTATCTCTGCCCCAGAAGGCGCCGTGCGTGTCTGCAAAGTCCAGATCGGCAACGGCCTTCCAGATATGATGAACCTCATCCGGAGGTAGAGGGATCTGCGCCAGCCCGTCAGTCGACGCCTCGCACGAGGAACGCCCTGGGGAGAGAACCCACCATGTTCGGATACGACCACATGAACGCAAAACTAACCGTGTTCGCCGGCCTATCGACGTGATAAACACCACTAGGAACGGCCGTGATCGAGTCCGCAATGAACAACTTCCTCTCGCGTGGCCAAAACAACACCGAACTGCCCGGGAAATGCCCGCCGACTTTCACGGCCACGAACTCCCCGTCAAGCAGCTCCATCCGCTTCTCGCTCCAGAACGCCATCGCCCCGCCCTTGCGCATCACCCACTCCTCGTCCTCGGCGGAGATGTACACCTTGCACCCCAAGGCCTCGGCCCAGTGCAGCGAGGTGGAATAGTAGTGCGGGTGGGAGATGACGATGGCCTGCACGCCGCCCAGTTCCGCGATGCGGGCGATGGTCTCGTCGTCGATGTACGTGACGCAGTCCCAGAGGATGTTTCCCTTGGGACTGCAGAGGAGGAACGCGCGTTGCCCGATTGCGACCTGGGGCTGGGTGAAGATGGAGATGACGCCGGAATGGAATGCGTCTTTGCGGAAGACATTGCTGTATTTCCTGCTCCGCTGGAGGTCGCGGAGGGTGGTCCAGGTTTGTCTTGGAGGAGGCCCGGCGTTAGATATTGTTCAATTGGGGATGGGGCACGTATCTGGATGCTCTACCCACCCCTCTGGAGGCACATATTGGCGTGGATCATCGCAGACGGCACACGACACCATGCAACGCGTGTCGTACTGGACGCCGCACATGCCACAGATCATCAGGTCCATTTTGTCATTTGGCGGTTGTGTTCTGTTCCGTGGCGTGCTTGGAGTCGTTATAAAGACGCCGCGAGGCCAGCGACATGCTTATCATCATGCATCTCCCAAGAGTGGGTGAGATGGCCACTTGGATGGACGGAGGACGTGAATCCCTGGATAGTGAACGATCCCCGCACGGAGATAGCCATTATTAATCCGGACGGAGTGAATACGCGTTGCATTCTTCTCAGCACGCAGCATCCCTGGAATCCGAAGTAAGCAGAAACACTCCGACATGCCACAAGAAGACGCCCTCGCCAAGCGCGCACGACTGGAAACCTCCATCAACCGCAACCCCCACCCGGACTTCCAAGGCGTGGAAGCCTCCCGGCCGGCATGGCAATCTGAGCGCTCGGGATGGACCTACACCAAGATCGTCAATCCGGACTGGAAGTTCGGCGATGGGGGCAACGACGGCGGTGCCAGTCTTGAGAAGGAGCATGTTGAGATTAACCCGTATGCAGAGGGGAGGCCGGCAACGTTCAACTACAAGTTGTTGATTTCTGCCATTGTGCCAAGGCCGATTGGGTTTTTGAGTACCGTGGGCCAGGATGGTATGTGCCTGTGTTGGCTCGTTTTCCCTCTTCGCGTCGCTGACAGAGACAGGGACGTCCAATCTCGCCCCATTCAGCTTCATGAATATGATCAATTACGATCCCCCGCTGTTCACGGTTGGCTTCACCGGCTGCGGCATCGACGATGCCAAGGACACGCTGAAGAACCTGATCGACACAGGTGAATGTATGGACACCACATGCCATTCTGCTGCCCGGGATGGGGGTCGCTCGCTGACGGAACAGGCGTCCTCAACGTCATCTCGGAACACTTCATTGAAGCGGCCAACTCAACCTCCATCAACGCCCCCTACGGCGTCAGTGAGTGGGAAATCAGCGGCCTGCACCCGGCCCCATCGCGCCTCGTCAGACCACCCCGCGTGAAAGAGTCCGTCTTCGCGACCGAATGCCATCTGCAGGAGGTCAAGGAGTTTGAGAGTCGCAACCCCGCCACGCCTGGGAAGAAGACGGGGGTTCTGGCGATTCTGGAAGGCGTGAATTTTTGGGCGCGCGAGGATGCGGTCAACGAGGAGAGGAATCTCATGGATCCGGCGGTAGGCCAAGGTCTCTATGCCCCTCGACCATACACAGCTGACTGGAAGGACAGGTTCTGCGCCCGGTGGGCCGGCTGGGAGGCATCACGTACGGGAGAAATGCCGTTGGGTTTGAGGCGTTGAGACCGGGGTATGAGAGCTGGTTGCAGCGAGACAATGGGGAGCATTGGTGATAACCCATTGGTTTATGGGCCAGGCGAGAGAGAATAGGAGGATCCGCATTCGATCCAGTCATCTCATCTCGAAACCCGGACAGACATCCTCCAGGGTCTAGCGGACAGGTCATGGCGGAGTCGTTCCAACCTGGCCTAGCACGGGAGCATGCATATGTGTATGTACTTTCAGAGATATAAAACACCACTAGGACAGTGCAAGCACGATTCCGTGTGCCTGCCGGTGCCTCCCGTCCACATCCCGGCGGCTAGGTGCTGGCATCAGCGCGTACGCTGCTTAAATTAGAAGACAGCTGCAGGAGCTGCAGGAGCTGCAGTCCGGTCACATTGGCCTGCCTCCCCATCTTGCTCTGTGCCTGATGTTATATACGACATGCATGTGGGTGGGCATGCAGCAACGGCCTCGCAAACGTACGCCATCAGCACCGCTTCACTGTGTCCAGCAAAGGGACAATGGCAGACCCAGACATTTCACAAGGCTCTGAGGGCCCTCTCCCTCCCCACGCGGCTGTATTTCTTCGTGTGAATCGCCCCGAGAGCACTCCGCCCATGCCCAGGTATGGGCGGATGGAGAACGACGACGACCATCCGCTTACAGGCAAGTCCCTTTCGAAGCAAAAGAACGCATCCAGGTGGTCTGGTATTCATGAGCTTACGCGACCAAAATCCATTCTGCAACGCCTGGCATCGCCGGACTTGCGCGCCAGCTTGGGCTTCTCCCCACGAACCACAGGCCAGCGCTCAGCCCTTCACAACTTCCGCGACAGCGAGATCATAGTCGGCGTGGATCTTTCTTCCTTCGAAGGGCCGGCTACCGCGAAACTCTTCACGTCCCAGGCGTCGAAGAGGGTCGTCAGCGCCCAAGTACGGCTCGGTCCAACAGCCGACGCGCTCTCGCCCAGGCCCAACGTCAACCTGGAGCTGTCTCGCGACAACCGGGTCTCGAGGTCGGATACCATCCGTCGGTATGGGCAGCAGCTGGCCACAGAGACCAACATGATCGTATCCGTGCAGGAGATCCCGCCGGTGGTGGACCTGAGCTCCCTCGAGGGCCCGAAGAACGATGTCCAGCATGCAGGGTTACGGAAGCAGGAGATGCTATCATGGACGACACGGAGCCCTTCTTCCTCTTCCAGCTACTTCTATCCTGCGGACCCGGAACAGCCGAACTGGAAGCCCTTCTCCATGAGACCATTCTACATCCTGATGCTGTTCATGCTGTCGCTGGCCTTGGCGGCCGTGCAGGAGTTCCTGTGCCAGCGCTCGCAGCATCTCAAGAAGCAGGGCCGGGGCTTGATCCAGTATAACATCGTGTCGGACGTGTCGACCAGCGCGTTCTTCTGCTGGAAATACCTCCCGACCATCGTCATGGTCAGCTACGGCGTCCTCTGGCAGGTCACCGACTACGAAGTCAAGCGGCTGGAGCCGTATTACCAGCTCGCGCAACCGACCGGCAACGTCGCAGCCAAGAGCTTGAACCTCGACTATGTCACGCTGTGGTCGTACTTTGTGCCGGTTAAAGCCGCGAGGTTGCGACACTGGGCCGTTTTCGTCTCGTCCCTGGGCACCATCCTGGCGACGACCGCCGCGCCGTCCTTGCTGAACCCTAGCATCGCGTCCGTGAGGAATCCCAAGTGCAGCGATGTCAAAAGGGACTGCGCCGAGTTCAAGTACTTTGTGCGCATCCACCCCGTCTGGTCCCGTCTGGTGACGGCGTGTCTGGTTATCGTCGCCATCCTCGCCGCCGTGCTGTCCATCCAGCTCCGTCGCAGGTCAGGGCTGCTCGGCGACCCGCGAGGCATTGCTGGCGTTGCGGCCATGGCGACCAAATCGCACATCCTCACGGACTTCCAGGGCATGGACGAGGCGCTCCACGACGAGATCCACAAGAGACTGCGGCACCGTCGGTACATTCTGTATAAGTCCACCATCTGGCAGGGCGAGTACGTGAGAGCGTCATCAGACGACGACGACGACGACCTCAGCAGCAGGCGACGAGCCACAAATCCACACCCGATCATCCTGCATCCGCGCATCCTCGTCGTCTTTCTTGCCTTCCTCTGCATCTGCCTGCCTCTAATCCCCATCGTTACCTATACGCGCGTCAACATCGTCGCCGTCCACCTCCCCTGGCTCCTCACCCTCATCGCAACCCTGATAAAACAGCTCTGGACCACGCTCGAATTCGCCGTGAAGATGATCGAACCCTTCTACACCCTCTCAAAGGGCAACGCCCTTCCCTCCCTAACCCTCACCCTCGACTACCAGGGGACCCCCTACGGCCTCCTCCCCTTCCAAGCCCTCCTTCACGGCCACTACCTAGTCGCCCTGGTCGGCCTCGGCTCCATCCTAGGCGACATACTCACGGTCGTAGCCTCCTCGTTGTCCCTGAGCGCCGAAAGAGAGACGCAGCAATCCTTCACCGTCTCCTCCACACTAGCCATCGCAATAACCATCTTCCTCATCCTGACCGGAACACTAGTCTTCGTCCGTCGCAGAAGGCCGTTCATGCCACGCCAGCCGTCCACGATCGCGTCCATCCTCGCATTCATCTACCAGAGTCGTATGCTGGAGGACTTTGAGGGCACGGAACGCTTCACCAATGCGCAGATGGAGGCTATGCTCGTCGCGAAGAATAAACGGTATGGGCTTGGTTGGGTCAAGGGACTGGATCAGAGGCCGCATTGTGCGGTTGATGAGGAGCCTATGTTGAGCCGGTATGTGCATGGTGTTAGTTATATTAAGGCTAGGGCGCCGTGGGAGGATGTTTAGCTGTCTGGATACTGTATTTGCCCATCAATCCTGTGCTCGGTACAGCACGGTTTACAACAAGGCTTCTTCCTCATAAAAATAATTAATAGATTGCATTTTGTTGGCTTTCCTATCTTCGATATAATGCTCCCAAGTGGCCCAAAGGCCCATTGTAAATAAATCTACTAATACAAAGGCAAACATCTGTACCTAACGACTGACTGACGACGACCTTCTTGCCCAGCCCTGCTGGAAGGTGATTATTCGAGATTCTTAGCGTCTCGAGTACCAGCAGAACTCATATACCGCAGAATGGCAAAGTCATTTGCAGTAATGTCACAGTTATAGACAGACAAAGAAATAACAGAAAACTACTACAACATAGAATCCAAAGACACTATAGAAACAAAGCAGAAAAAGAAAGCAATGTCGTTTACTAGTTGAAAAGAGTCAGAAGAGCTATAAGGACACCAGTCCAAATGACCCCGGATGAGATATAGGCGCCTCGAGGAGCAAGTCCTGAAAAGAGAGGAGTTGATGGAGTAGGGCTTGGAGAAGGCGTTGTTGACCCCGGAATATGCAAGCTTGACCCGACAGTCACCAAAGTGCTAGGAATGCTTGGAGTTGTGGTCGTGTCTGGTAAGAGTGGCGATCCAGGAGTGATGCTCAACGTTATTGTTTCTTTGGCTGAATAACTTCCAATGATAATTGTGGGACTGGCCTGCGAAGTGGGAATGGCCGAGGTCATAAATTCGCTGGATGTAAGGGTGACCGTGGATGTCGTAGTTAGCATGATCGTAGAGACCGTACTTGATATTGATGTGATTGTGGATCCACTATCAGTGACGATAGACGTTACCGGGTAGGTAGTAGCGGTCTGGTATGTCACTACCGTTGCAGTTGAAGCTGCAGAGGGGATAGGAACTTCCTCGGTAGATATGCTGTAAGGACTGGCTGTTGTAACAGGTGACATCCCGGCGGAAGTTGATTCCTGGTCAGGTGAAATAGAAGTAATAGGGGCAGTTGAAATGAGTGTCGCTGTGGAAAGAACAGTGTGGGTCGATACGATTGCAGAACTGCCAGAAGAGATAATGGAGGTCACTTCTGTCACAGTTGAGCCTGGAAGGGGAGGAACTCCAGGTGAACTGGTGGTAATGGGCCATGGCCCTGCCGGGATCGTTGTCTGACCCGGTAAGACTGAAGTTGCACTGGCCTCACAAGCAGTGCAGACGGTCGAAGTTGATGTGAGAGTCACCGTAGAAACAGTGTTATAGGTCGATATGAATGTACTGGAGCCTGAGGACATTGTAGTTGTTACCGGACAGGTAGTAAAGGTATGGTAGGTTACCACCGTTGTGACAGAGGGCCCGGGCCCTGGAGTTGAAGAGGACGCAGGAGCCACAGATGGCAGAGGGAAGGTCTCACTCGGCACCGTAACTGTTGAAGTAGCCTCGCCAGGAGTAATCGAGGTAGACGACACACCCCACGGCACTGGAAGAGTCTCGGTGGGTGTGGCGATGGTTGAAGTAGTCTCACCGGGAGAGGTCGACGTAGGCGAGAGCTTAGATGAACTGCTTCCGGAGAGTGTCTCTGGCGGAAGGGTTACAGTATGCGAATCATATGTCGATGTTGTCTCGACTGAAGTGACAAAAGAAGTCTGCCCAGTTTGAGTGGTCAAAGTGACGGTGGGTGCAGTTGACGAGCCAGGCTGGGAGGGACCTCGGGGAATACTCTCCGTAGGCGTAGTCAAATACATAGTTGTCGATGAAGTCACGGATGAAGACACACCAATTGTTATAGTTCCAGCAGGTTGAGTCTCAGAAGTATGAGTCACCGGAAGAGACACTGATGTTGAAGTCTCAACTGGCGGGGGAACGCTAAGAGGGATCTCAGTAGATGCAGTCTGTGTGGGCGTGTTCCCAGATGGGGAGGACTCCGTCACGGGAGAAACTCCAGATGGAGTCGTGGCAGGGAAAGGCGTTGTCTCGGTCTCAGTAACAGGACAGATAGTGGTTGATACTGCAATTGTCGAGGTTACAACAGAAATAGAACTGGCTGGGCAGCTCGTCACAGTAGGTTCGCAATTAGTGATTGTAATCTCCTGGGTGGCCCATATGGTAGATGTGGTAAAGCTAGTGATGGCTGATCTGGATATTGGAATTATGCTGGATGAGGCGAGAGCAGTAGTAGTCAAGGTTGGACTAGACTCAGACACTGCAGATGTGTCGGATGAAGTGGCAGTTCTCAACGTCGAACGTGATTGGGAGACTGGAGAAATGGCTGGTGGGATAGTAGTATGAGAAGATGTTGATGACTGAACTGAGGCCGTCTCAGAGGTTGGAGATGTACCAGGCAAGACAGAAGTAGACGATGACAATATCGAGTTTGAAGGAGACCCAGGAGAAACATTAGAGATGGTTAAAGATATTGTCAACAGAGTCGAGGTGGGTGAGACGGCAGTGGAAGTCAACAACGTCGAACTTGGCTGTAGTACTGGAGAGGTGCCAGGTATGACAGAAGTAGACGTCAGTAATATCGAGCTTGACTGAGGCCCAGGAGAAACGGCAGAGGCAATCGAAGATAGTGTCAACAGAGTCGAACTAGACTGGAGTACTGGAGACACACCAGGCGAGATAGTAGTAACAGAAGACGTAGTTGCTGTTTCTGTTGCCGTCACCGGACATACTGTGGTGGAAATTGCAATAGTGGAAGTCAGAACAGTAGTAGAATCGGCTGGGCAACTTGGCACAGTAGGGGCACAGCTGGTGATGGTGACCTCACTGGTGGTATATACAGTCGACGTGGTAAACCTCGCTGTGGTAGTGGTTGTTGCGCTTAGGGCTGGAGTACTAGTTGGCGATTGCATTACGGTGGTACTCTCCGTAGGTGTGATTCCCGATGAGACTGAAGTCGATTGAGATACGGGGGCCACACCAGAGGAGATTGTGCCACTAGCAGTGAGGGTGGTAGTGAGTCGAACCGACGTATCGGCATGGGCTGGAGTGGTTGTCGATTGGATTGCAGAAGTAGGTGAAATGAGCGTTGTAGACAAAACTGAAGTTGATTGTCCTGGGATCACACCAGATGTCTTGGACACCGATGACGGCACTTCCGTCTCAGTGACCGGACAGATAGTGGTGGAAACTGCAATTATAGAAGTTATGACAGTGGTAGAGTCTGCAGGACAGCTTGTAACTGTCGGTGCGCAGCTAGTTATGGTGATTTCAGTGGTGCTGTAGACTGTGGATGTGGTCTGTCTGACGGTAGTGAACTGTGCAGGCGGCACACTAGAAATGGTGGTGAGCCCAGCGGAAGTAGTTTGGGATACTGGGGCTACTCCAGAGGGCGTAGACGTGGATGCTGTCTGGGTCTCAGTAACCGGACAAATGGTAGTGGATATAGGGATAGTTGATGTCACTACAGTCGTTGAATCTGCCGGGCAATCTGTGAAACTTGGCGCGCAGCTGGTGATTGTAACTACAGTGGAGGTGTAGATAGTCGAAGTGGTGAGTCTGACTGTAGTGCTGGGGGGTGTCGCGGTTGACTGGACAGTGGCCGATGGTGACACAGGAGGTACTCCGGGGGACGATGAAGATGGTATCCCTGATCCAGCTGGGGTTGATTGAGACGTCAGAATGACTCCAGAAGAAGACGAATATGGTATCCCTGCCGGAACTGGTGTCAGACGAGACACTGGAACTGTAGATGATGAAGAAGGAACCCCTGTTTGAATTGAGCTTGACTGTGATGGTGGGACTGCACCGGAGGAGGAGGATGATGGTACTCCGGTTGACATTGAAGTCGACCCAACCACTGGAGATACTCCAGAAAGTGATGAAGTCGGCATTCCAGTTGCCGATGTTGTCTGAGACACCGTAGCCACCCCGGAGGACGATGACGACGGTATCCCGGTTTCAGTGGCCGGGCACACCGTAGTTGAGACCGCAACAGTAGAGGTCACGACAATGGTAGATTCGGCGGGACAGTCAGTCACAGTGGGTGCACAGCGCGTAATTGTCTGCTCTTTGGTTGTGTAGATAGTGGAAGTAGTCCATCGAGGTGCAGTAGAAGCGAGTGTAGTGATTAAAGCCGAGGACGGCGTAACCGGTGAAGAGCCGGCTGGAATGGGTAAACTAGAAGTACTTGTCGAGCCAAATGCCTCAGACAAGGATGACGATGCGGGAGTCGTGGAACTTGCCGGGATAGACGATGTAACTGGCAGAGGAGACACCGCAGGCGACTCAGAACTCGCAGAACTAGTAATAGTAAGGACAGGCACGCTCGACAGAGGGCTCGAAGAGATGGATGGAGCAGCCACGACGGACGATGAGTCTGTAATTGGCAAAGAACTAGCAATGGTAGACGAGCTTGATATAGGCACGTCAGAAGGTGTAGCGATGAGCGAAGACGATGGTTCAGGAACTGGCAAAGAAGTTTCTGTAGCAGACACACGCGATGTATGCACAGGAACAGGAGGCGTGACAATCACTATAGACGGCAGAGTCTCCGGGGTAGACGTAGTGGCTATCGGAGCAGTCGAGAGACTGGTTGAGGTCAGCGACTCCGTAGTAGCCAGTTTAGGATCAGCCAACGAAGTGAAACCACCAAAGGGATCAATTCCATAGTCAGTGGTTGTCTGGGTATTTGCATCCTGCTCAAGGTCCAGAGGGGATCTCTTCGCCAACAGGTTACCTGTCTTGTCAGGACTAGCAGCTGAAGCCTAACAAAACAGTCAGCATTTATTCCCTTCATCCTGATCCAGCCAGAGTAGAGGCAGAGGGAGAGGCAGAGGCAGACAACATACACCACCAGTGGGCCGGGAAACAGCATTAACGGAGAGGAACAGCAGCGCAACAGAAGCTGCAAGCCTCATGACGCCAGAATCTCAAAAGTAGTTAACGAGAGACGATACCGACGAAGAAACTGTCAGGAACAAGTATGGTCTCCAAAGCCGGTTAGAAATAGAGAACGACTTGTCCCTTTCCTCCCCCTAGCGAAAATCAAAGGAGGATATTACTATATCAATAGGCTGGCTGGCTCGCAGACACAGCACTATATAGAGGAACCCGATTGAGAAAGAAACAAAGAAGGTCAAGGCTCTGGAGCTCAGACTGCGCCGCAACAAAGCCTAGAATAAAGAGCGAACACCAGCAGAGGGAGGGAGAGAAAACTGTCGGCGCAGACAAAGGGAAAGTGAGGGAATCGATTCCCTTTTCTTTGCATGGACAAGGGGACGGTGGGCTCTTAAGCTCTTTGAGGGCGACTTGCGACTAGTCATCTTGGCCTTGCCATTGTCAGTAAAAGTGCATAATACGAGGCACATAAGACGCTCTCAAGGATGCTGAAACTCACGGATTACCCTGGTGATCCATTGGGGAGAGATCCCACGCAGGGCGTTGGCTGCTGCAAGCGCGGACAATGAGCCAATCTGTTTTGTCGCCTAGACCTATGCAAGCCGTCATGCACGGATGGAGCAGTTCGTCCACGAGGAGCATATAGCATGTCTGCGCAGGATCCATCTTGTGGGCACATCTGAAGAGGAATTGGATCAAGGAGCGCGACGTGGAAGGCCAGAAATAGAAGTGCAGAGATACGTGAAGAATAGCGGTTGGCAGTTAAGCGCCCTGCTGCGTCGACTGCAACTCTGGAGTGCAGCGGATCTGAGATCAGGGCCAGGCACGAACTTGATGATCCAGCGCGATTCGGCACGGCCGCTTCGTTTGGCGCCAAGGAGGGTCTATGGATATCGTTTTGCTGAGAATGCTGGGTGTTGTAGCCGCTGGCATGGACCTTGTAGCGCCAGCTTCCGGCGGAGACCTACTGAGACACCAAAAAGACATACAAACTACCAATGTAATAATAATATTCATCATGATCCAGCTGCAAGACAAGAAAACACCCCCCAAATGAACATGAAATCCAGAGGTATCCTTTTTGTTCCAAAATAAATTGACAGAATTGGCCACCAGTAACATCGACACCAAGCTGCGAGAAACCAAAGCAGAAAAGAAAAGGAACTGAACAAATGGACAAATAACAGCAGAAACACTGTGAACTGGAAACCATGCTAACCTCATAAACTTTTTTGGAAAACTGTCCAGCTCGCACTGCTCTAAGTAGTCATCTAGTTCAGATCATCACTCAAATGTATCATAAGTACCGCTCAGACGCCAGACACCCCCTCTCAACTCCACATCTACATAGAACATTCAACATAGAATTGAGATGAATGGTACTTTGTCATAGGAATAAGAAAGCCGTTCATTATGGCCATAAAGAGCACACAAACGGCAAGAGTGCCAGGCAAAAAAAAAAAAAAAGAAACATGGCCTGGTCCACTTATGTCGCACTTCAAATCCCGCAAAGAAATAAGCAGAGATAGGAAAAATAGGGGCTAGTAAAAAGACTCAGTTACATCTAACAGAGCCGGTGTGGTTGAGGAGTATCCATCAGCTTTCGCCGAATGGCTTCGCCGCCAGCGTAGCCGCCATGCCTGCGTTTCCGGATAGGAGTACGGGGATCTGCATGTCTGGCATGTCTAAACACGCTCGCTGGTCGGGAGGGAGAATTCGCCGGCATGAATTCGCGGTGATGAGGAAGACGGAGTAAGGCCTGGTATCTGTTGTGATTGCGGCGGAAGGCCGTCACGATACCACGGTCGAGATGATTCAAGAAACGCTCTGCACTGCTGGCCTGGTGCAAGTCGGCATTGCGAGTTGGTGTAGGAGTACCGGCGCCCGCACCCTGTGCAGATGATGTAACCATGGGAGAAGCGAGCACGTCGTCCATCTCCTCATCCGACGAACCATCTCCAAAGTCGATGAAATCTTCTACGTTCAACGAGGCCTCTGGATCATCGTCATCGTCCTCATCAAAGGAGCTATCAAAAGTCAAGTCACGAGACGGGTAGAAAGCCTCCGGGGGGCCCATGACCTGACCGCCTGGGGCCGTATCGTTCCCAAGGGCGGCCATCATCAGGTTGGCACCAGAGCTCAGCATGGGGCTCAACTCAGTTTGGGTTGGTGTTGCAAGAGCATCAGTATCGCTCTCATCCATGAGAGGCATGGTGGGGGCACGAGGACTATTACTAGCGGTGCCGCAAACGCTGTTCGTGGCCGATTCAAGCCAGTCATGGCGGGAAGATGCAAATGCCGGGATAATCACCAAGTGTTTACCACTGCTATCCACCAGAGCAACGGGCTTATTCGGATCAGCGATGAATGTGCCCATGATCGGACCCCGCCGACGAAGAGGCGGCCGCTTGTCTTCGTCGTCCGCCGGAGCAAGTGACGCACTCGAGTCACGACGAAGGATCGACCGTGGGTGAGTGATAGTGGCTGGAGGAGGAAGGTCTTCATCTGTAGTTTCGCCATCATCGGCTTCATGGGGGTCAGCACAAAACAAGGAGAACAAAGGTACCGGCACGTTTGCATACTCTCGTAGCCGCTGGACCCGTACGAATCAGCGTCGGACTCGGCATGGTAAATGTTGGCGTGCCCATAGTCAGACTCGCCGAAGACATCGTCAGAACGCCGACTGTGGCGGGTCTGGTTTTCATTGTCACTTTCGATCATTCGACGCAGCTGCGGGTCAAGGCTGTCCTGCTGTAAAAAGTCGCCCGGGATTTCATCGTCTGTGAGCGAGTCACTGTCGGAAGAGGAGGAATCCGACTCTTGGAAATGGACGCGACGTGGCACGGGCGTCTCGACAGCAGCGTCACTGGTTGCGTCCGATTCACCGAATGTTTCCATGGCAGCATAGAGTTGCTCTTCATCGAAAAAGTTCGCATTAGGTATCAGCAAGTCATTGTCAAACAGGCCTGGCCCAGCCAAGTCACCAGAGCCCGTGATGCTAGGAGTGTTGAGGACGCTGCCAAGATGGTCATCTTCAGACTCCAGGATCAGCAGCTCCTCCAGTTTTTCCACATTCTGATCTTCATCATCTCCATCGGTGATATCATCCACTGCAGCGTAGGCATCATCCGAGTCACTATCGTAATGGTCGAAGTCCGCATCGTCCGCCATCTGCCTTGAGTATCTGATCCCTTTCTTCTGGCTTTTACTGCGACGACGGCCATGGGACGGAACAGGCACAACCTGCTGGTCTTCTTCATCGTCGGCGTCATCATCCGAGTCATCGACGAGATCGCTCAATTCACCGACGTCCGAGATCGAGGACACGCTAGAGACGGAATAAGTTGAGGTTCTCCGGGGCTTATTGGCATGTGTCGTTTTGTTAGACCTTCTGGGAGACCAATTGCTGGTCTTGGCGGAGTTTGGGCGGGAATGCCGCATGGTGCCGGTATTTCTGGACGACTGATTCGATGAATGTGAGTAGAGTTGTATCTTGGGCAACGGTAGATAGATTACGTCGCGGGAGTAACGGTGGAACAAGAATTTAGCTTATTGAAGCCGATTAAAGTTTCCAGATAACAGCCCGCGGGAATGGGTCGATTGCGTAAGATATTCGTAGAACGCAAGATTCCTTGCCGTTCAGATACCAATGACGGTTGAGGAGTGACAATATGAATGGTCAATATGAGAGAGATTCCCGAGTTTTGGGTAAGAAGAGAGGGGGGCAAGGATAACGGGATAAGGGGGAGGGGTGGGGAGGGAGGTAAGTGAATGCGAAAGACTTTTCTCTCTTTCCGAAACAAAAGCACCTCCAGCCGTCAATGGGCGTCGAAGTGCTTCGTCCTGTGGCAGTACTAGGGGGCAATTCCGACGCTTGCTCACTGGCGTCGAAAGAGGAATAGATGATCGTCAAGTCAAAACTGAGGGTACTCGAGGAGCTGCTGGACTGGGGAGCGCAGGACAGCCCGGCTCCCCAGTGAGAAGTTTACAGCCCAACGACAGCCATCCTGGCAGGCAATCCTTGACGATATCTGGTACGTGACAGTGGAAGAATGGGTGGTGATGGTGGAGGAAGACAGATGGAGGGCGACGTGGAAGATGAAGAAGCGGCCGTTGGGAGAAGAGGGAGAGAAGGAGAAGAAGAAAAAGCCGGACGGGGCTGAGAAGAAAGCTTCAAGGTTGGGCGATGGGCTGGTATCGTACGGTATGGTATAGGGTGGTACGGTACGGTACTCCGAGGTATGGCCCGAGCGGGTCGTTCATTTCAGCCAAGTGGGACTTTTCTCCAGTACGCTGTGCGATTGGTGGAAACTGTCTGTGCTCACCGCCGTTTCGTCAGTGGCTCTGATCTTGATACGATCGATACAGACACAGCATCCTCCTGCTCCCTACTAGGTACTCCCTACCTAGGACCTATCCCAGGAACACGCGAGCGTGCAGTAAACTAGGTATCATCTCAGTATCACATGCTGAAATGACAGCATATCTGGGTGCCATACTTCTAGGTTACGTAGGATGATGTCCGCTACAAGTAAAATTAGCTACTCCGTGGTGTGACGTCGAGGGATGAAGCGCCAGAATTAGCGCATACTTTATCGGGAAATACATGACTAACCCATAGTGGGTTAGCCGGCCAGCTGGTACATGTGATGCCTCTGCTGCCTGCTGTCAACGCAGCAAACATTCTATCTAGTATCTACAGCGTTGTACTCTGCAGTCGCCCATATGGAGACATCATCTAAGAATAACGATAAGGACGGGGATGAGGACACGGCGCTTGCAGATAGACACGCTACAGCGGCTCCTGCAGCGTGCATATGCAGCGTCCAAGGCGTTACGGAACGTCTCTTTCATTTAATCTATCCCAGACAATTGGCCACGAATGCTAGTAGTAATAGCAAATACCGCCCTAGGATGATATCTGCCTGAGGGACACTATAGTCACGTAAGCCGTGCCACCTGGATAATGCTCTCTGGTGGAGTTGGTCGGATCCGTTGGACTGGATCAAGGTTTGCTGGAGTCGATCGAGGCGTCAACGACTTTGTTGTCCTCCGGGGTAGATACCTAGGAAGGAGGTGTAGTGTAGTGTACTGGCCTGGAATCGAGATGGCCAAGCGTCCAATTGACAGTTGATTGCTTACTCGAGATATGCAGGAGCAGGGATCTATCAACCATCTTAACCCCTTTGTTCCAAGGCACTTTCTTTCATTATCAGGAAACAAAGGATGATAACTTAGTAAAGGTGCTTGAATTGCTATTTTGTTACGTATTGCCAGTTACCATACCAACGGTACCATCTGTAATTACAGCGTAGATCCCGGACTAATTCCGATGCTTCTTATTGGCCAATGTGTTTTGCATCTGTGGGTCAATCTGGATTAGGAAATGGCCCCTTCGGCAGGTTCGAACCTTCTTGGATCTTTGGGCTTCACCGTCAACAGGCAGTGCAGCCACAGCGCATCTCGAATTGGCATTCACCTGCATCAGCTTCGTCATCTTGCTCCTTCGATATCGACATCCTGATCATCATTATCCGTAATCATCGTACTTTATAACCAGACGTGACCAAAAACATGCGGCTTAGGTCGTCGTCGTCGCCACCACTAGTGAGTGCTCCGCAACCCTTCCAATCCACCAGATCAGGCGATTTCTTTCCCTTTACAAATCAGTGGCAACGGCTACGTTCCTGGATACGGCTCGATCTTCACCGTCGACGGCTTCCGCGTCGTCCTGGACCATCGAGCGAGTCGTGACCTCATCCGCTGCGGCACCGGCACTGCAGCATGGATATTATCGGTCGTCTTGTTCAGACCATTGTCTGATTGATCTGTTCCTTTCATCGTGGCCAGCGTTGATGCCAATGGCTGTACTTCATCCGTTTCTGTCTCCGTTTCGGGCTGTGGGCGGATTTGATCACCACCACTTTCTTCCCGAGGTGGTTCATTTGTCGCCCTGCTCTCTTCCTGCGGTACCAGCCGGTTGGTCTCTGTCTGAAGGCGCTCCTCGCGGCCCCGTTTATAGCAATACCACAGGACGAATAGAAGAGCTGTTTATGCAGAGAGAAGATCGTCAGCGAATAAGCGAGTAGAAGAATGAGAAACATTTCACGTACTGAACAATGCCAATGACCAAAGCACATTCATCCCCATAGCGGCTGGGAACCGAGCTTTCAGAAATGCCTTGATCGACCGTAGCATTGCCGTGATGGCCGCCGGCTTTTCAACAAGTTCCCGCAAGCTGGGTAGCTTCAACTTCGTGCCTTGAGCGGTTGCTGTGGCTTGGTCATTGCCACTGCTGCTTCCAGCTAATTCGCTGGCAGCCGCTACGGCTTCAGGCGCCAGTCCCTGCATCCATTTCTCGGGAAGCTTCTCAATCAGTTTTCTCAGGAATCCGGGCAGTTTCGAGTACGTCTGCTGTAGTTGCTTGTCGCTGTTACGGAGAAGGATCTCCAGGTCCTTGTAGGCGGTCGGAACGCCATTAACAAGGTCCTTCAAGACGAGTTTGAACTTCCACAGGAGTTCCTGCGTCTCGTTGCTGATGGAAAAGGCGCGGTTATTCACCGCTGCTAGGTTCAGTCGATCAAGGACTTCCGTCATGTCCTCATCGCGGCCATTCGTGGAGCTCTTGCCGGGGGGTGTGACATCCTGCAGACGGATTTAGTTATAGGACTCTCTAGAGTAGACGTGCCGGCATACTTTCTTCCTGTAGATACTCCTCGTCCGCACCCAAGTCCACGTCCTCACTAATCCCGAGATACTCGGCCTTCGCGTCTCGTTCAAAGCCGCAGCTGGGGCTTTCTGTTCCGCCTCAGCTTCTCCTCTTCTCTTGTTCAGTTCTTCGCCCAATTCCATCTCCGCAGCACCCGCCTGTCCATTGCCACTGGAAGATTCCGCGGCAAGTTTCTGTAAAAAGGCTTCATCGTCCGACGACAAAACCGGCTCTGGAGGATGAAGAGTCATGGAGAGGCGTCTCATGCCTTTTATATGATCTATATACCCCATGATGATGATTATGATGATGATGCCAGCATCGGAGTGGATGACGGCGCGGATACGAAAACGTACGAAGGTACCAGAAGAGGAACCCGAAGGGGGGAAACACAACGCAAAAGTCGAAAGAATTAAAGAAAAAAAAAGGAACACCTGCAGAACAAGCAGGCTATATAACCAAAAGATAAAGAAAAGGCTAGTGTCAATATCGATATCCAGTTGCGAACCCGTCTGGATTCATTGGAGTCGAGCTGCCCCCAGCCCGCTTGGATCGGCGCTTCGATGGATAGTGATTTGGTCAGTGTTTCGTGTCTGAATGGCTGGATGCATTGTTCAGACACGAGCGCATTAGGCTGAAAGTACATGCAGGTGCCGTGTTTTATTTAAGGATCTGTGTCCGCGATCCCGGTTGATGGACTACTGCTTTGTTTGCCGTCTGGTGCATGGATGGATGATAAAATAAGACATCATGGATATCATATGATCAGCCAATGGATGCGCACTGACTGCCACTGACAGCTCTATAGATGTCTACTTCACATAGATCGTTTCAGAAATTGACACTGTCTGAAGGGGGGTTGAAGCTGATTAGGACTACTGGAGACTGGTTTGTGCTCTCTAACCACAGCACGTGTTTCTATGGGACTAAACGTACAGTCTAGGACAACACCCTCTTACTTCGAGCTCCAGAAGCGCACAGAATGACTCTACAACCGGCTAGAGATGCTGGAATGATGGGGACTTGCTCCTCCAGTATACCACCAGGCTAGAAGGGAATGTTCTCATGGCACCGGAGCAACCCCCTTTGTCCCCTGGCATCTGCCTTGTTACTGCGGCGATGGGCAAAATGGAGACATCCTCCCTTCATAGAGAGGACATAGACCAATATACCCCTCTGGAGTCTGCCGTCTGTGGAGCTATGTGCACTCAGCGCTGACTACGCCTGGAAGACTCATAGATGGATATCAACAAATCTTCACTGGGATCTCCCGTGTCTTCATTCACTATAAACAATCCTGTGACTCCCCTTTTATGCTCCCTCTCCTCTCTGTATTCTCTCTCCTTCTTTATTCTTCCTCCCTTTCTTCCTCCTCCTCTTCCTGTCCAGTCACGTGGGTTCTCTTCCCTCTTCCTTGCAAGCAGCTCTTCTGCAGACAAAGCAAGATGGACAGAAGACACACTGCAAACCCTTACACCTCTGTCCAGCAGGACACCCGGTCTGAAGATCCCTTTGTGGCTCCAGACCCCTTCATGGCTGCTTTCCAGAACATAGTTCTCGGAAACTCTCACAGGACCGCTCAGCAGAATGCGCTATCTGTGAACCCTTTCATTGCTGCTCAGCAGGCCACAGTGACCAGCAACGTCAACCCTAGCCAGTCTTATGGTTATGGCAGTCTCTCTTGCTATCCATACGTTTCCCTGTACCCTGATCAGACTCAAATCGGTCAAAATGCAGCTCTATTGTCGAGTACGTCTGCTCCTGTTTATCCCTGAATGCAAGTCCGCGGACATGACTGACTCGAAGAGATAGCTTCCGGGCTCCCTGCGTACCCTTGTGATGTCGAATCTGTCTTCATGCCGCCCGCTGCAAACCAGAATCTCGATCGACCTTCGGAACAGAGTAATCACCAGTCGGCTAGTTATGCTGTAAGATACCCCTGGACCAGCCGAAGTCTTCACGAACTAAACCAACTCCTTCAGCTTCCCACCACTACCAATCTGGCCGCGACCACTTCGGGTGTTGCAAGCCCATACTCGTCTCCGGAAAAGCCTGCAGGGGCCGGCCCTGGCAGCAGCATAACTACCTCTCCCTCCAATCACAAAAAGAAGGGGGGCGGTTGCTCGCCTCGTAAGAGGTTCAAGGAGCTGACCCCGGAGGAGCAGTTGATGTGGAACATGAGGCGGGCCAAATGGACCCTCGAAGAGATACAGTCAGCTCTTGCGCAGAGGAACCGACACTTTGACATAAAAAGGATTTCTGCCGAGATTGAGCTAATAAAGAAGAGCCAGAAGCGCCTTTTTCTCAACCAGCTAAGGTCGGGAGAGGATGATTGGCATGATGGCGATGTAAGCACTGAATTCCAGGCCCTTGTGGAATAAGCTCGAATGGACTGACGGTTTTCAAATGAAGGACCTTGTCCTTCTTGATGCTATTAAGAAAGTGAACACCAGTGGCGCCAAAATCAATTGGATCAACGTTTCACAACATGTCAAGGAGATGAAGCCGGTGACGAACTATTCCAACCATGCGTGCCGCGACCGGTTCGAGGCTCTCATGAGAGGCAACGCCAGCATGCCTCTGGAGCTCCGTCCTAATCTATCGGAGAAGGAGCGGGCAGCTATTGCAAGACGTCGTGCTGAGGAAGCGACCATCCGCAGGTTCGAGGCTGCACGCAACAAGCTTCACACTGAGCCACTTGTCTCACCGTTCTGGGATGAATTTTTCTCTTGTTAACCCGTATATTGCCCGTTGTGAACAGTTTCTGAGCTTGGTGTTGACAGGCATGGTCGGTTCTGGATTGATGGTGACGGCGAACGGACATCGATGGATGCTGAAATAGGTTTTCTGGCTTTTGATGCAACATGTACTTAACGGACATCCCCTCTCTAATAGTAATGTGTGGTTGCTGCCTACAGCCTGCTAACCAGTCATGTCATCGTAGATTATGCAGCATCACCCGCAGCCTGCCGTTTTCCCCTCCGGACGGGAGTCTCTCTTCTTTCTTTTCCCTTCCTTGCGCCCCAGAGTCGACCGATTCCAGCTACGTGGATTTCCCAGAAGATCCGCGTATCTAAGCCTTGTTTCACTTTTGTCCTGGACGTGGTTCTTCTCTGTTTGAAGTCTTCTCTGTCATCAGAAAGACAGACGGTAAGGAGAAGAGATCCAGGAAGCAAGAGAGATAAGGCTTCCAAGACTCTCCATACATGCCAGACTTCCGCGCATGGCTGAACAGCGTCAACTTTTTCCGAATTCAAACCCGTACGCTCCTTTTGACTATACTAGGGGTTTTCAGTCCTTCTTTTGCGTTGAACCCGGCGTTAATAACTCGCGGCTCTTCAGCCATGTTCATGCGCTCTTTTACTGCCAGGAGCCGGGTGGAGAAAGCTGCCAGGGCCCCCAAGAGGGCGCATAAGCGTGCGAAGGCGAGGATGCAGGAGGAACTGGACACTTCGTGAGTGTTTCTGGCTGTGGAACGTCTAATTAGTCGTCAAGAGGGCCACAAACTGATGATATCGATAGTCCTCCTCCAACTCCAGCCCGTCCCATCGTCACTATGGTTGTGGGCTGGGAGAAGCGTTATTTCGCCGCCCACGAGGATGTTCTGTCCCAGTCACCTTGGTTTCATGCTGCGTTGCAGGAAGATTTCCTGCTAGATAGTAGAAATGCAAAGCAACTGTATCTGCCTGATGAGTCAGTTCTTCCTAGACAACTCACTCACTCACTCCGTTCTTTTCTTAATGCACGATGGATTCGCTAACTAATCCCCCAGAGAACCTGAGATTCTGTCCTGCGTCCTCGAGTTCCTTTATACTGGAGATTACTACCCACGTCTGCTCCGCGGCAGGCGTAAGTACTCCTGGAAACTCGAGAATGCCCAGGACCTCCGCGGTACCGGTGGCCGTGGGTCGAGCGAGCCAACCATTTTCCACTCCGGCGTGGGTGCAGAGGTCCTCCGGGACACAGTCGTGTACTGTGCCGCGGAGAAGTACGGGCTGGAGGGACTCAAGAGTCTCTCGCTCCGCAAACAGGGCCTGCAGAGCGGCATCGCTATCGATGTCATTCTGAGGTCTGCCCGGTACGCGTACGACCACACGCCGGACACGGAATATCGACTCCGCTCTCATTACCTGGAAATGATTATCAAGACCCGGCAGTTGTTCGTGCGGAGTGGAACCATGCAGATGGAGATGGAGGCTGGGGGCGCGCTGTTTTTCGATCTGTTCGTTTCCATGTGCAATTATATGGATGACCTTGTGGAGCTTAGGTGAGTTTTGACGCTCCTCTACACTGCTCTCCTGTTCCAATTTCTTACTTTGGTTCTCGTTCAGCAATGGCCGAACTCCCAGGTATGCCGTATAGCGCTACAACAGACCGGATTGAATCCCAGGGACCATTACCAGAATGACACGGTGAACAATCGAAATGCCAAGTTTGGACTTTTCCCGTACACTTTTAATGTCTAATACCGACCGGGTTGATATAACCCTGGCGCACGACATGCCTGCCTCGCCTACTTCGCTCCTTTTGTTGAAGGTGGCCCAGACATTGGACAACCCAAGCCTGCTGGTTTATGATTCTCGAGATGAACACAGACTGCTTTGCCCCTTCCGGGTGGTCTTAGTACTACAAATTGTGTAACTAATTCCAGTTCCGTACTGATGACTTTGCACGGAATGAGAGATTGAGCCATGTCCATATTTTTCTCATGTGTAATTGCATGGCTACTAGTAGTACAACCAGCCCCTTTGTTTGGTATGCAGTGAAAAGGGATTTGCCCTGTCCTTGCTCGAGCCCCTAAATCCCAACAATGATAAATTAATGATCCGGATTCAATTCAAGCTCTAAAAGATCTAGGTATGCTAGTTATACGCGACCAGGACAAAAGTCCTTCTTGTCCACTCATAGCTCTGAATTGTTATATGCCGTACGGAGGAATGGCTTAGCTAGTACTTCGAAATACAGCTGATCCATTCTGTGCGAGTGTGGAATATACAAGGGATATGCTTGGATCTGAGGCTGGAAGTTGTGGAAGCACATGTATGCTTGCAGCCTGCTTAAACATCGTTCGGGATTCTGAACACACTTGCCAGCAGGTATGATAATAATACAGTGATCTATTTGGAAGAAACTGGCATCTGGAGACCTTGACGATAGTCAAGACTCTTGTTTGTTAAACTCCCCTGCTAAGGGGTTGACTCATCCTCGGTTTTTCTCTTCGCAGTAGGCTCCTCCGAGTCTGCTTTCTCACTCACGTTTCTTTATCCTCCTCGGAGCAGTTTCTTCAGCGTCTGCCCTCTTGCGGCCACCCCTCTTTGCCCTCTTCGGAGCAGCTTCTTCGGTGTCTTCTTTTTCTGCCTTCTTACGACCACGTTTCTTGGGCTGGGGCTTCTCTTCCTCCTCGTCCTCCTCCTGGGGAATGGGTTAGTGATATCGAGCTATCTAGCTAACTAGCGATCATTCGGGAAAGCTCACCTCCGCTCCAGCATTCTTCTTCTTGGGCGTACGAGTGCGGAAACCGGTCTTACCGGGTCGATTCATCTCGATATCCTTCAGTGATGTCAGGAGTCAACAGATCATAGAAGATCACATCAGGAAATTGGAAATACAACTTACACCTTTCCAATCGGAATCATCAACATGACCTTGTTCCAGCGCTTGACGAACCTTCTCCTGATTCTCGGCAGAGAGCTCGTCATAACCGTCCAAAACGGTGTAATCCTTATCCTCTTCGCTTCCACTGCTTTCTTCAATAGTCTCATTGAGGCTGGCAATTATCTTAGGAGTGACGCATCCCCTATAGATTAAATTAGTTAATTGTTTTTTCTTTTTTTTTTTTTTTTTTTTTTTTTTGCTTTTCCCTTTCACCCCCTTTCGGATTTATGAAAACAGATAGGGCTATTACCAATGTCTCCAGAAGAAACTCTGGAAACGTTCTGTATCAACCCAGGACCCAAGACGAAGCTCTCCCTTCAAGATTTTGATTTTCTGGTCTTTGCATTCCTTGTTTTGGCAGCCAGCACGGCCTGTAGAGGCCTCCTCTGTGATACGTCAGTTTGGCAGTCAAAACACATGCATGTATGACGCGATATGCGTGGCTTTTCAGATAGTTCCCAGCATCATTTGGACAAAGATGGCAAGTAGAAAATACGATAAAAATCGATTTGAATAGAGACCTCGTACTTACCCAAGCGATACTTGGCCATCTCGGTTCCTTGGTTTGAAGGACCTCCGCGTCTCAATGTAAGAGAAGATGTCGCTGGCTTCTCCGCTCTTAGTATTGGGATTTAGAACATAATAAGCGTAACTGGAAGGAATCTCAAAGAGATGATGTTTGAGAATAGAACTTACAAGCAGTGATGGGAAAGAAAGGGAAGAAGAGGCGTGTGAAGAATACGCACCTGAAAGTGAAAGGTCGGAGAACGGAATGCCTTCAAAAACGGAATGCTTCAAAGACCAGTGCCGCAGTGCTAATCTTGCCTGTTTGCATGCTGGGAACAGCAGCAACAGCAGATGGCAATATGTTAAATGCCCTTTGGCAGATCCTTGCTTTGTATTTCCATCAATTAAACAAGAAAGATGGGTGAAAGAAGCCGCCTTGCTGTGGGTTTAAGCCTCGATTGACAGCAGCGGCTCCTCTCCTTACCTACAAGTACGGAGGTAGATATGGCCAAAGAACACCCAAAAGCTTCTTTCCGACGGTACTAGCTATTTCGCTACCCAGTGTACGCATAATTGTAGTCCTGTTGGCCTTGTCTGTCTTCTCGACTGCTACCAGATAACAATAAAATTGCAAAGGGGAACCAATATATAATCATGCCATCACGAGAATTTCCGTATGGCTGCAGCCTCGATTTTCTCGAGAGCCGCTATGTGCTTCCGAAGCATAATAACAGCCCCAAGACTGAGACGATTTACAAATGGTGACGCCGCATTCTTCTCTATTGTCTCTGCGCTGCTACTGGAGGTGGCATTGTGGTGTTCGATCATGGCTTTGGCCTCTGAAATTGCCTTCCGCAGTAGCCGAGGACGCTCCAATTCTGCTGTATTGTCATTCTCATCATTCCTCACCGGACCTGGAAGATAGTGCCAGATCAAGACATCCTCGAACCCGGCAACAGGTCGCTGAAGGGCAATATCGATGAAGTGCCGAGTCAAGACGAATGCTTTCTCGGTATATTGGATAGATTCAACTCGTCCATCGCCCTCGGACGCAAATATTTCAAACCCCGCTTCATCTGTGTCCGTGTTAACTAGTGAGACATTACAGGCAAGGCAGGTATGGGGAACGGAACATATGCATACTGTAAAACGGAGTCTTCACCAACACTAGCCCCATAATAGAAACCAGAATTTGCAAGACCGTGGACTTCGCAGGTGACCAGATCTCATCCGGGTTTTGAGAAGGCCACGTTCCTAGAATGCTAAGACATATCTTGCCATCCTCGTATAAGTTTGGGTTGATTCTCCCCATGCCATTAGTCCAGGAATGAAAAAAAGAATCTGGAGGCGTGTTTGGAAAGTTATGACCGAAATGAATGTCAATAACATGTGGCGCATACTCGTATGGGGTCCCTTGAGGCCCGATAATGAGAACGCGCAGTAGGTCAAGTCTAGATTCCCATGTTCGCACAATAATCCCCGGGGGGAGCGAAGACTCTAGAATCTGATACTCTTTCCGAATGCGTTTTATCTGTGTTACAGGTACGTCTGTCGCAGGCCGGGAGAGGAAAGCATGATCAGGAGGAGGAGAGCCGTCTAGCACCGCGAAGCTGGGGGGTCGGCTCACTGGCAGCTGCATGGTGAGGATTGCTAGTTCACCGTCTTCACATATGCCCGTAGATGTTTCATCCGATATCTTCGTCTCGTCCGTCGTTGGATCAAGCCGTAGTTCAGAGATAACAATATTATTGTTATTATCGTGATCATCATTATCTTCCTCGTCATTGCCTTCGTTACTGTCTTCATAGTCATCATCATCATCAGTCGTCCACATATCGTCTCCGCTGTCATCATCCAGTCGTTCGCCACCCTCATATTCAACGGTCGTCGTAATCGGTAAGTCATCAGGGTCATTGATATCAAAACCAACGTTGAAGCTAGTAATGGCTGGTTCCTCAGGCGTGCCATCATCATCGATCACCATGAGAATCTTCTCCAAGGGAACATAAATGTCATGACAGTTGTCTGCGGTTGCAAGACGCACTGTAATCGTGCCATCCATGTCGATCGCAATTATTCGCCCGACATAGTCGACAGGAGCCTTGACGCTATACTCGTCCCGGTGGACGTCATGTCTGAAAGGCAGAGGAGCTGAATCGACTTGAACAGTATCTCTGAACCAATCTGCATGCACCAGCACCATTTTTAGATATTCCAGGTAGACAGACACCTGGAAAAATGAGATGGGGAAAAGGTAACTCAATGTACATGGACCAGCGGCAGTAGATGATGGATTGCTAGACCCCTCAGATAATATTGATTTGTGAACTTTCTCTGGAGCAATAAGCACCAAATCACCCCTTGCTTTGCTCAGTCCGGGATGTGTCGAGAGTTCATACAACGAGACATCAGTGGTCATATCGCCCAGCTCACCTAGCTTTGACGACGGTCGTAATATATTCCCATTATGAAGCAATTGAACTTTGGGGTTCTTATACCAACGAACTGTTGCTATCCGTTCTGCACTGTTCACCTTCTGCACCACGCCCACTTTCTTAGGCACAAGAATATTGTCATCCTGAAACCCCTGGAAATGTGCAGCAAGGGGCTCAGGCCGGTCACGACCAGGATTTGGGACACTCTTCGCCCCTTCTCGCAATGTAACAAGATCTCCAGGCCAGACTTCATCTTCGGAGCTCGTAAAAGTACGCAGCGATGTCGCTTCCTCTGTGGTAATGCTGAGGTCTTGCCATTGGACCCTAACTTCGGTCTTAGAAGACACTATCCTGAAGACATTCAGATCAAAACCACAGCAGTCTTGAGCCGGGATAGACTGAAACCCGGGATACTTTGCTGCTGCATCAGTCGGGTCACGGAAGCGGGCCCTGTCGCCAATCCCGAGCCATGAATCTGACCTGATTCCCTGTCCATTGAGACCGTCGCGAGGCAATGCTCCAAAATCGCACTTCGCGGCCTTCCCAAATAGTGTAGACGCCCTGACAGTCTCCCTGCCTTCACTGACATACGGCATACCCACGGCAAAAACATTAGGGCAAAGCCAATCGACAGTAACGTCCATGGGTTTTGCGGCAATAACGTATCCTTCCGGAGGTACCGAATCCGAATAAGAGCCGTAAATCCAATCCCCCATTCTCACGCTCCTGTCATCCGAAAGGACGAATTGGCCTGGATAAAGAGTATCTGCTTCTTGCGACCATACAACTTCTTCCTGATTCAATGGATATGGCTTCGGAACCTCTGGGTCTCCAGGAAAAGATAGAATCGGCCTGGAGCCAACTGAAACGGACATGTCAAATTCGTTAGCCTCAGGAGCCACGACAGTGTAATTCCCAAGAACTAGAACAATCTCCCGGGTGATTTGACGGATGATTCCCAGTTTCTGTCGATAGACGATGAAGTCCCCTTCAGAGAACTCCTCATGGTGCTTGATGTCCGTTACCGGAACATCGTGAACCAATAGAGATGGTATGTCTTCAGCAGGGTCAATAGGCCGTTTCGCCCGTTTTTCGGTAAAATGAACAGGGCCGTAGTCTCCCGTTGAGGGATCGATCGTCCGAAAGGCGATGGGTTCAAGAGTGCACCTTGTGGATGAGCTGATGACCGTGCCACTGAGCGTATCTTTTGGATGACGCTTCACAACCTGACCGATTGGTAATGTCCGATCGATCAGTTCAAGATCGTCTTCGTGGATAAGTGAGCTCCCCTGTGACGGCTCGCAGAAAGTGACTAGGACGTACCCCTTGGGAGGCTAGATGAAAGTATCAGCTAGCAATCTTCTGGAACAATGTCCATATTTAGAAAACCGACATACCTTGCCGGTAGACAGGAAGTCCATCAGCATCGCTTCCGGTACGGGAGCATACAATATAATAAACTCATCGGTCAGGGGGCCATGGGTTTCGATCTCCAATGGAGGTCAACTCTCTGCAGCAATTCGCAACTAAGATACATAGGTATGGAGTACATACATCGTGGAATGTTCGCTATAGGACAACAACCGTCATTAATTGAGCTTCTTCGTCCAATGGATTCAAGCAGGCTACTCACGCTCACATGGCCCACGAGGGAGGGATCAGATTTCAAACGGCACGCATCCTCGAGCTCAAGCTAAAGTGATTTCTCGATGAGGCCCTGGATTCAACATGACGGAGTACGATGCGGCAGCGCTAACCTTGCCAAAGTCCAAGTCCCGAGCTTGGATGCTCCCGGCCGTCGTCGCATCCATGGCGGGGGAGGGGAACAGGAAGACCGGAGAGGAGCAGTGGAAGGCAGGAGCACGACCCGGAGTTCGATAGTCAGGAAGAAATCATGAGATTCAAAACTGGATCAAGGCACATTCTAGGAGAAAAGTGGTAATGATGATCTGGGTAAACCGTAGTGAGTAGTCCTTTTGGAGATGACGCTCACAGGGGAAGAGGGGAAGGAGACACAGCACGGAGCCAGAAGAGTCTCAAACGGCTTCGTCCAACGGCCAGGTCGCAAATTTAACTGCGCAAAGCCAGAAGCTTTTACCGTGGTTCAGAGCTTAGGGAAAAACAGGAAAACTATCCGAGACGAAGGTAATAACTTGTCATCGCCAACGCCGTTGAGACACGCGACTCCGTACTTCCGTCTGCGTCTGCGTCTGCGTCCTGAGTCTACCTAGGTACTTCTAGATCCAGTCCGTCTACACTACCAGCACAACTCTCTCGATCAGCTCTCTGGGCTGATCGCAATCCATCCGACAACGTCCGGGAGAAGGTAGAACCAAGACGTCATCCACACGGAGCTAGTATTCGCGGACACCTACAAAAAAAAGAAAACGTCAGACCCATCGCATTGCAATCTGGAGCTGAAAATCACATTCCATTCCTATCAGCTATCGCAACTACACCAGACAAATAAACACAGACAGGGGGAAAAAAAAGATTTTCTAATCCTCAGCTCTCCAAAAATGTCCGAACCAGGCCCCGAATCCATCCCTACCAGCGCAGATCCACGAAGCAAACGCGCCACCAAACGCAGAGCAGTCACTCCGCACGCTGAACAAGCATCCCAGATCCAATCCCTATTCCGCGACCCCTCGAAAGAAGTTAAGCTTCCAGAGCCATCGAAGAAGCGCTCAAGTGCCTCCCTTCCTCCTCCGCCAGATATTGTTGCGAATGTACAGGGTTCCTCGGCCGGTGCGGGTTCCGGTGAATTTCACGTCTACAAGGCTAGTCGCAGGCGGGAGTATGAGCGTTTACGATTGATGCAGAGTGAGGTAGATCGGGAGAAGGCAGATCAGGAGTGGGAGTCTAAGAGGGAGGAGGCGAAGCGCAAGGACGAGGAGAAGACACAGAAGAATAGGAAGAGGAGGGAGAAGAGGAAAGCTGCTAAGGAGAAGAATCATCGCAATGGAGTTACGGATATGGAGATGGATGGAGCGGGTCAGAAGAGGGGGCCGGATTCAGTTAATGAGGATACAGGTCCAGGGAAGGATCAGGAACAAGGGACCACTGCAGACGGGGAACCTCATGGAGAGGAAGCTCCTGGTGTAATCATTCATGAGGATTGAATAATCAATCGAACATTGCTGTTGGGACTTGGAAGGGTAGAACAGAAGCATACGATAAAACGATACCCATGTAACTTTTAATCTAGGATACTCATACAAATTTAGGAAGACTCATGCAACATTATGTATCCCTTCTTTATTACCCTTTTTTCTCTATTACTCTACGCCAGCAGCAGCATTTCCGCCCACCGCTTGTGCGGATTTGGCACTGCAAATATCATCAACACGAAGGAGGAGACATGCGGACTAAGGGTGGAATGTCAGTGAATGAACCATTTTGTTTGTTTGGGGTAGAAGAGCTTACCTCGATCGCTGTCTTAATGCTCTGGAGCTTAATCGCTTCAGGCTCCCAGACTCCGTACTCCTTCATGTCAACTATGGATCCAGTGTCACCATCCAAGCCCCAAGTGCTATCACCTTCAACATGCTTAGCCCTCAAGCGAGTAAGAACACGGATAGGGCTGGCTCCAGCGTTCTGCGCCAACGTCCGTGGGATAACTTCCATGGCATCCGCAACAGCCTTGTACGGCCACTGTTGAACTCCCTCGACAGACCTGGCCAGTTGGCCCAGCTTGACGGAAACTGCCATTTCTGTAGCACCACCTCCAGGAGATAGTCGAGGATGGAAGATCACATTTCGGGCAACCGCCATGGCATCCTGCAGGTTTCGTTCAATCTCGTTGATGATATCCTTTGATGGTCCTCGAAGGACAATGGTGCAGGCCTTCGGGTTCTGGCATTTCCGAATGAATGTGAAGTATTCATCGCCAATCTTTTCGATTTCAAAAAGCCCACAGCGAGTTCCGACATCTGACTCTTGGAGGTCATCAACGCGGTTTACAATGGTCGCGCCAGTGGCCCTAGCAATACGGTTGTTGTCTGTTTTCCTCACTCGACGGATAGCCGTGACGTTGGCCTTCATCAAGAAGTGCTGCGCAAGATCTAATAGAAGTTAGTTTGAACTGCAGGTCCGGTATTTTAAATTCAAAAATACGACAGAAAAAAAAGCTTCCCTACCCGATACACCCTTTTCTGTAATGACAACGTCGGGCTTCAAAGCCAAGATAGCATCGCACATATGCTTGACTTGCTCCTCCTCGATTTGCAGGATCCGGTTCCAGTCCTCTTCCTTGCTAATCTCAATGGCTGTCTGGGACTCTCCCTTCTTGTACTCCAACGGGCAGTCGAGCAAGATAATCCGAGGGTTCTCGATTCTCCTCCGCATCTTGGGGTGTGTGATATCCTTGTTGATCATCACACCATCTATGACCTCACTGTCCTCGATCTGTCCACCGGGGATCTTCTCAATCCTGGCATAGCGTTTAATGTCGACCTCCTTCTTGCCACCAGAATCGTACGAGACTGTCCGCACCGCCTTCAACGCCAAACTGCACATGAGCTCGGACCATCTTGAGACAAACTTGGTGCCAATGGAGGACTGGATAAGGGTATACATGGCCTTGTCATCATCAACGTCAATCGGTATGGAGACTTCTTCCACAATGGCGAGCGCGTCGGCGAGAGCGCGCTTGAAGGCGGAAATGATAACGACAGGGTGAATGTTACGTTCGAGTTGGGGAAGAGCCTGGGCGAGTATTTCGCCAGCTGAACGAGTCAGAACAAGTCAAGATGCTGCCCAGAATTCGCAAGATTGTAAGCATACCTAAAATGATGACAGTAGTGGTTCCGTCTCCCACTTCCTCATCTTGAGTGCGACTAAGCTCGATCATACTCTTCGCAGCGGGATGCGACACCTCGATTTCTCGCAAAATAGCATGTCCATCATTCGTCAGAACAATACCACCCATCGGATCCAGCAGCATCTTCAACATGGCCTTGGGGCCGAGACATGATCGGATGATATCCGCAACACTATTTTTCTGCGTTAGAATAGCGGGGAAAGGGGTTGTTGAAGACGGGGGAGTGGCTCAACGCACGTTTTAGCAGCTGAAATATTCGACAGCTGTGCTCTCCGACCGACCTGTCTTTCGCCAGCGTTGGTGTCTGAGAATCATGGGTTAGTAAGTCTGATTTCAGTCTCGGGGAGCTCGTAGCGGAAGCTCTTCTTACTCATTACCACCACTGGGGCCTGCATCTTGGCGGTGGTGTGGTACACAAAGAGGTGATAAAAATGACTGGTAAGCGGACACAGAGAGAACCCCTAGACAAGAGAACTGCTCCGTTTTTTCCTTCTGTGAACCGAAAAGTGAAGGAGGACAAGCGTCCAGGCAAAAGTGTCTCTTCTCCCGCAGTGGACTGGTCAGGTGATTTGGAGGGGCCTGAAATGGTTTAGTCCAGGGAGTCATCGCACGTGATGCCCAAGCTGTCATCTTCATTATTTCCTTTTCAAGACAAACCTCGATAAGCTTCCATGCATGGAAAGCTCTGTGCTGCAGGATCTCAATATAATATCGCTATGTTACACCTCCAAACTCTATGGTGTGGTATTCAAGGTGCATGCCGTTACAAGGGTTTTTTTGACCTACCTTGCACCGTGGTCTGGTCACACTCGTTAAAGATATTCCGTGCAAGTTACGGGTTAACAGGCAGGGTCTATGGGAGTATTCCGTGCACTACGGATACATTATATCAGAGATGAGACTATTAATTTGCTTCTATACATATGGACATGTATCCTGTACCACCTGCTCCGAATCCTGGATGGCGAGGCTGCTCTTTTTGAGTTCAATCCAGCTTGAACTCACGGCTCTCGCCAATATCGCATACATCAAATACTCCAGTCTCTGGAATTCCATTCACCTTCAGTGCATCCTTGAGCTTCTTCGGGGGTTCCAGGACATCTTCCTCTGTTAGAACCCAGGTGCCCCAATGTATACCCAGGGCCTGCTTGCACTTGGTGTCCATGAAGATATTCACGGAATCTCGAGGATTGGCATGCATAGGACTCATGATCCACCGTGGATCATATGCTCCGATAGGAATTAACCCCAGATCGAAGGGTCCCCGGAATTCGCCAACCTGCTTGAAGGCAGGACAGATGGGCAGTTTATGTTCGGGCGCATAATCATCTACGTCGTCTGGGAATTCTGGGACTGCCCGGTACCCTGTGTCTCTATTGAAGGTGGCAATTAGCGCGGCGTTCTCAGACAAAAATCTTCAGGCACATACCCTGCAAAGTACACCTTGCGACCTCCGGATTCGATATACCAAGACGACCAAAGGGTCTTTGATTTGTCAAATGGACCTCTTGCGCTTGTATGCTGACATGGCAGACAGCCTATCCGCGCTTTGATGTCCGCGGCCTTTACGCTGGCCTCGCCCGGAGCCTCGACCTCGGTTGTAGACTGTTGGGACGGAGAGAGGATGATGTCGCGCTCATCCCACCAGTCCAATTCCGTCACACTGTGTATTCCGGACTCGGTAAACCACCGTTTATTGCCGAGCGGAGCGAAGAAATGGCAATTCGGATGCAATTTGGCGATTTCTTTCACCGTCGGATATGACAAGTGATCATAGTGATTATGCGAGATGAAAACGGCGTCGATCACAGGAATATCCTCAACTTTACAGGGCATCTTGGTATAGCGCTTCGGTCCTGCGAAGGAGAATGGCGAGCAACGGTCCTCGAAGACGGGGTCAAACAGAACGCGTAAGCCGCTAGGAAATTCAACGTAGTAGCATGCATGCCCGAGCCATGTCGCTCGCAAATTCGGTGTCTCTCGACTGGGGAGAAACTCCGGTTTTCGAACCGGAACCGTTGGAGGGGTGGTGTCCGGGGTATTTGCCTTTCCCGATAGTCGTCGACTAGCAGGGTCAGCCCGGCTTCGCTTGAGGAGAAACAATTAATCAAAACGACAAGGACTATTTAAACGCACGCTATCAACGCTTTAATGACTTGCGGACCGGAAAACTCCCTCCACGAACTGAATGCACAAGTACCAGGGTCAGCAAGCCACGCTCGGGAGAGCAAGTTTGTCCACACTTACTCCCATGGATTCGTGAATCCAACTTTGAGATGATGACTCTTCTTCGAGACATCGTCAGGGCCTGGGGAGGCCGGTGACGTAGTGATGGTAATAGCGTAAAGAACAGCGGTGGTGGAGGAGCTCATGCTGAAGTCTGACGGTCGACGAGAGGCAGGCCGGCCAGGAGATGCATTTCTGGCCTCAGGGCGAAGGCCAAAGACACGCCGGAGAAAGGAGCGCAGGTTAGGTGCTGGCATTTATATAATACTGCAACGCGAGAGACGGGGAAGCTGACCAGTGCCATGGCTGTCTTTTTAGAAGCGCTGGCTGGTCGTGGAGGAAAAGATCCTGCTGCGTCCGTTAAGTCCGAGACGAAAAAGTACAAGGTGCTATTAATTGTCCCGTCTCCGGATTCGTTTCGAGGCCATGGTTCGTCCGAAGGCAGATTCTCGGCCCTGGGCAGCACGCTGCATACAAAGTGTCTAATCTTGCTAATCTCTACAGTAAATGCAATTCCTCCTTCAACATCTCCAAGGACCCATCAGGCACCGGAGCAGCTGCAAAAGTCATCCGGAACTGAAGCTCCCATTTGGTCTCTTGCTGCAAGAGAACAAGGGCCCCTCGAAGCAGCATTCCAGCTGATCCTCTCAGCAAGCTCGATGAGTACACGGACCAGATGACAGTTGTCGTCCGACAGAGACAGGGAGGTAGCAAATGGTTCATTGTTTCCACGCATTGCTCGACGAGAGGTCCGGCCAGCGCTAGGTTAACCCCCTTTGCCAGCCAAATAGTGGCCATATCCGTCAGTGCTTTCAGAGGGGACATGCTCGAAGGCGCCGGGGGGTATCTGCGCCCTGCTATTAGATCACCGCCATTCGCTGGACACAGTGTAGTGTGGGAGTCAACATCGGAGGTATGATTCGCATGGGGTTTGACTGAGGTCTTCAGGGGGAGGGAGGACGTTCAGCTCTGTGGTATTTGATGGAGAGACAGGCTGCAAATGAGAAGTAGACGCAGTAATTAAACAATTGAAAAGGAGAAAGATAGACCATGCAAAGAAGCGGCAGACCGACTGTTGGCGAAGATGATGATGCTGCTATATCCCGATCGACATGCTTTCTTTCCTGCAGATTGCCGGGCTCACCACAATTAGATCCATTAATTAACCGGGGGCTTTCTCTCCGTCCATCTGGCATCCCCGTGTCAGAATCCTCGGATTGCAGGCAAAAATCCATGGATCCAAGCATTGGGCCATGGATGACGCGCACCGAAAGGCGCTGAGTCTGTCCGAAGTTCAAACTCCGCTGGAATTGCAACCATCTCAAAAACACCTCTTCTGTCCAGCGGCCATGGAGCCAACTGGTCCACCAAACACCCAGGGGATTTCCTCGCCGGGTAATCTGATCGCAAAGCAGAAGCAAGATGCTCTACAAGCAGCGGCCCAGTCCAGTGGAGATGGTGGCGTTTGGTCGCAGCTGTCCGGAAATCCTTTCTTCACCGCGGTAGGTCGCGCGCTCGTTCATCAGACGCTCGTCCTTCCCCATTCCACAGTCATTACTATGGACGGCACGTACTGATTCAGTTGATTTGCCCTCCTTAGGGATTTGGCCTCGCAGGTCTGGGGGCTGGTTTGAGTCTCGCCCAGAAAGGTCTCCGACATGGCGCCGCCCTTCTTCGCCGACGGATGCTGGTGGACGTCGAAATCAGCATCAAGGACGATTCGTATGCCTGGTTCCTACACTGGATGACGCTGTACCAACAGTCGCAGCTCAACGCTGCGCGGTCGACGGCAACGGGTGGATCGGGTTTCATGGAGAGGATGCTGCAGAAATTGACACCGGGTATGCGTCACCTTTCCATCCAGACACAGAAGGTGGAACATTCGAACGGAGCCATCCACACACAGTTCACTCTGATTCCTGGTCCCGGGAAACATGTGCTACGTTACAAAAATGCGTTTATCATGGTCAATCGCATGCGCGAGTCCAAGTCGAGAGATCTCCAGACCGGTCGCCCATGGGAGACCATCACCCTGACCACACTCTACTCCCATCGCCATATCTTCGAGGATTTGTTTCAGGAGGCTCATGCGTATGCATCCAAATCGTATGAAGGGAAGACCTCTATCTACAATAGCTGGGGTCCTGAGTGGCGACTCTTTGGCCATCCGCGACGGAAACGTCCACTGGAGTCGGTGGTGCTCGATAAAGGCGTCAAGGAGCGGATTGTCCAAGATGTGAAAGATTTTCTGTCCAGCGCTCACTGGTACCATGATCGTGGCATCCCGTACCGGAGGGGCTACCTGCTCTACGGACCACCGGGGACTGGTAAAAGCTCGTTCATCCAGGCACTGGCCGGTGAGCTGAACTACGATATCGCTATTCTGAACCTCAGCGAACGCGGATTGACCGACGACCGACTGAATCACTTGCTCACCATCGTTCCGAACCGGACATTGGTGCTACTGGAGGATGTCGACGCAGCCTTCTCTAACCGCAGAATGCAGACCGACTCGGACGGCTACCGAGGCGCCAACGTCACCTTTTCGGGGCTTTTGAACGCGCTGGACGGGGTGGCTAGTGCGGAGGAACGCATTCTCTTCCTGACCACGAACCACGTCGAGCGGCTCGACGAGGCCCTCGTCCGGCCGGGTCGTGTGGATATGACGGTTCGACTGGGTGAAGTTACGCGCTACCAGGTCGCTTGTCTCTGGGACCGCTTCTATGGCGAACTCGATCCCACTGGTTCTCGCCGACAGCGATTCCTGGAACGGCTCCAGGAGCTGGGGCTGATCGAGGACGAAAACGGTGAGAAAGCGGACAAGCCCAGAAGTACCAGTGCCGCTGCCCTGCAGGGCTTATTTTTGTACAATAAGGATAACATGGACGGGGCGATTGCCATGGCCCACGCTCTGACGCAGACTGTGTATGACGAAGCGGCTGTGGCAGCATCTGATTAGGCCACATGTGTTATTATACCAATTATGTCCCGTATATAGACATTGTTTTCTCTGCATGAATGTACGAATACCCTTGGTGGAGGTTTCTGCACCGTCTGAAATCGTGATGGGCGCCAAACACGGGGCGAGTAACGGTGATCAGCCCATCGCTGCGTGTCTTCAACTGCAAGGTCCCTCCCGAAGCGCCGTTTGATTCCTCTGCAGCCAGTCGATGCTACTCTTCATTAACCGCCGAGCTTTCGCAGCTACGAATTAAACGGACTGTCACACCATGCGTTCGTTTGGTGCCAAAGGACGGCCGAGAGCAGTGCATGTTCATTCCCGTTGAGTTGTCCTGTTGATCTTAATATCTAAGAGAATGTGCTTTTTTCTACTTCTTCTTTTTCTTCTTCTTCTATCGGTCATGTCCATTTTTCAGTGCATCATACGTCTCGTTTAATTAGCACCTGACAAAAAAAGGTGCATATGTTGTTCTGTATTTCCAAAACACTACCACAATGGACCAATTCCAGTTCTTCCCATCTTCTCCAGGATTCATGGCCATCAAGCACGACCACGGTTCTTTTCACAAGGAAACAATATCACGGTCAGAATCAGATGCTAACAGAAGCATAAAGCCTTCTCAGACGTGGACTTTTTTCATCCCTGAGAATGACGGGCATATCCCTCCATGGAAGCAGGCAGGCTCCCAGTCTGCACCAACTGAGGACAAGGATGATGTACTTCTCAAAAGCATCCCGGAGACAAACCGGATTCAGCCTGTTCCTGAGTACAGCACCAAAGCCTATGCCAGTTCCAACGGTACGACACCCAAAAAGGGTCCCGTTGACAGGAATCACCACAACGTGGCGTCTGAATCGAGGCAACCCTCGCACCGCACTGGTCGAGAGAAAACACAGTGGACATCGCAATCCAGCGCGTCTACCCTCGTTGACAAAAGCAATAACAATAGCAATCACAGTGGCAGCAGCGAGATCCCGGTCCCGTCCGTTTCCATTCCAGCCTCCAGGGCTGAGTCTCGGCGGGAATATCAATCTCACATATATGCGCCTACATCTGTATCAGCGTCTGTATATTCAACGACGCGTTCGCCTTCGCCTGTTTCCATTACGGAGTACAGCGATGATGATTGCTTCCCGGGGCAGCGGTATGATCTGGACGATAGGATTGTATCCGGTCATATGGATGGCTTGCACACCATCATGACGCCAGCGACTATTGACAAGGAGCCGGAGGAGCTGGGCCTCGGGTCCGAGACTAAGTCTCTTGATGTGGGCATGGATGAATGCTCTTCTCCGGCGGAATTGCAGATGCTGTGGGAGGCTGCTAATGGGCAGCTAATCGAGCATTTACCGGGGACTTTAAAATTGTGTATGGCGAGGTGAGCAGCGTTGCCTCTGGGTCTTTGGAATTCTAATGCTGAAGAATCTATTCAACCAGGACCAATTTAGGAACATTCACATTTGGCAACACTCGCCGTCAACCCCCATTGCCATTCTACACGATGCACCGGCATCCTATGAACGAAATAACCATCACAAGAACCAATCCCTCCAATCCACACAATATCTTCCCCGTCATAACCCTAGACATCGAACCTCCCACCAGCACGACAGCGGGTGGTCACCACAATTCCTTCAGCAACGACCTCGTAACACTCATAATTCCCCAGCTAGCCTCCATGCTGGCCATGGAGCAAGCAGATGAACGAAGCAGAAGCAGAAGCAGAAACATAAGACGCTATCTATCTCCCTCCACGATGGTCCCAACGGGGGGTCTCCACGAACGACAACAAAACGCCCCGAATGGAGCCCCTTTCCAGGAAGCCTGCCTCCTAACCCGGAACAGAGTGCAAGGGGTCTATGAGCTGCAGAATAATCCGCAGCGTCGCCCTGCCTTGGTCGCGGCTGATGGGATCGGAATTGCTCTTTCACCTGTTCAGTCTAGACGGCCTCGTCCGTTGAATATCATTGTCTCGTCGACGGCTAGTGGCGATCGGTATCGGTATCACCATAATTACCATTCGCGATATGGCCATCCTCCGCCGACAATCATAGTCACGGCGAGTCCGGGATCTATTGTGAATTGCCCTTCTGTGCAGGGCGCAAATGGTAGTAGTACTACTCTCTCGACTATCCCCCTACCCACCGATATAGACGAGAGCACCACGGCATTGGCCTCCCTGGATCTGGGAAGTAGGACACTTTCCCTCTCTCCTGCCGTTATTGCAGCGGCGTTTCCCTCGCCGTATGCGATTGATTCCCTTATCGCCGCTATCCTAGCCGTGGCTGTTTCCGATGATGCTACCCTCCCTTTCCTGGAGGATATGCAGCTCCAGCTCTCCCGCCCTCAGGGCCCGATAATGAGCCCAAGCTCAAGCCCGAGTCTGATACCAAGCCCGAGCTTAAGTCTTAGCCTAAGCTTGAATTCACTCCGAGAGAACTTATCGCAATATCCCCGTCCAACAACACTTATAACAGGGAACCTGATAACGAGTCTAGCGGATCACGAAGAAGACAAGCAGGCCACCGAGATGATCGCCAGGGTGAAGACCATGAATAACAACAATAATAGTACGCAAGGAGATAATAGAGGGATGAGAAGTCGAAGTTTGGGATTTCTGTCCAAATTCACTCGATCTAAGAAGACGAAGACGAAGACAAAGAACGAGGGAAGAAAGGTCGCTGCGGCGCTCGAAGATTTGGATCTGGAAAAGTACGCTCGATACGGCCCTGGTTCCTCGAGGGAAGGGGAGGAGTTGCCCGTCGTTACGCGGGGATTGTTGGCCTTTCTATTCTGGGGGTTTGAGATGACTGTTCATGGGTTGGCGATGATGGCGAGGGCGTTGGCTTGGGTATTGGTTAGCGTGACTCGGTTTGTGACGTGTTGGAAGGTTTGAATCTGGGGAGTATTTCTATTTCAAACGGGGCTTATGGCATGCTTGTTTACGAATGTTATGAGATATGTGCAGGTTAGATATACCGATGCAGGTCATCTCTTCATGCTAGATAGATGCTTCTCCACGGATTGTTCCCCCTAATAGAGGATCGGTGAACCATGTTGTAACTTTGGTAGACGACGTGGGTATAGACCAGATAGATGTTTTCAAAAAATGCATGTATCTATGAAGTCGACGGCCAAATCCATCAGAGAACTAGGACTATGTACATCAGGTATTCGTCGCAGCATTGCCCAAGACCCTATGCAAGATCCCTTCAAGACGAGGGATGAACACGCCAAACCAAAAAGAATAGAATAATAATGAGTCGCTTAAGGAGGGTAGTCGAAAGTAATCGTAAGAAATTTCATTAAGAATGACCGAATTGACGTATCGGGTATTGATAAAAAGGGAAATAAAAATAAAGAATAACCAAAGGAACCTGCAAGTCTATACAAGTCGGAACACAGCAGAGTACTGTAGTACTTGTAATTTCTGCTGTTCCGTATGGACTGGATATTCTATTCATCCAAAAGCATGGTTTTTCATGTGTCGCAAACCTGCAATGCCGCGATCGAGCCCGTGGATCGGAGTCCTCGTTCTTGTCGGCCGTTCATTAATCGCTTCCTGAAGGGGGCCCCTGTTCCCGGTTAGCGAAAGCCGTGATTTTTCTTCCCTCACGGCAGCTCGTCGTGAAACTCGCAGATCTTCAACCCGGCTCTGCCCAACGCGAAGTTTACGTGCGAAGCATTCTTCCATCAGTGCATTAGCATCAAGCAACTTCTTTGGCGCTGTCTGAATCACTTGGAAAACTTCCATGGGATCGGAAACAGCGAGGATATCCTTCTCGCACGCCTTGAAAATTGCCAGGGCTACGCGGAAGAACGTCTTAGATCCTTCGTAGAAGAGAACATCCCATACGCGCAATGTCGTTTCTAAAGGCAAGCTGCCAATGAAAAGCGACATCAGCCAGTTCGTCAGCCCCAGAGTTACGTCGGGCAATCGTGAGCCGACAGTTAGGGCTGCTGGCTTGCCCCTAACGGGTCTCGATGCTGAACTCGAAATCTTCGCGTAGATGTGGGGGAGGCTCTCCCTCAACAGTACCATAAGGATCCACAGGTCAACATTAGCTCCTTCGAGGCTAATTTCATGAGTGCCGGGAAGATACTCTGATGTGACAATGTGGAGCATCCAGAAAGCATTCGCCTCGGGAAGAAAGAGGAGAAGTAGACCCGCAATAAAATTGAGTGACTGTGTGTAGCCGACCTTGGGATTATGAAGTGCAAATGCATATAAAACTCGGCGGAGAGACTGAATCATTTGAGTCTCTACGACTGTCTGTCCCCCTCCCAAATTGGCGTTGCCAGAGCCAGAAGGCCCGCCCTCAGGCTTGAAGTGAAGATTGTCTGGGAAAGTCCGATGAAGATCCCGTTCAATGTGTTCTTTATCATCATCGCTCGGCGACTCCATGGCAGTCCGAACCAGTTTCTCAAAGTGACCAGGGTTCTGTTTCATAAGATCATACCCTCCGGCGTAGTAAAACCATGCCGCCCCGCGGTATTCGGGTGGAATTCCTTTACGCACGAACCGTTTCACTCTTGAAGACTTCGGAGGGAACATGGCCGGGTTGACTGTTGGCAGTCCATTTTCTTGAAGGATTTCAACCCACTTCGCTTTTCGGTGGGCCATAGTGTGACAATAACCGCGATCCCATGCTTCGTACTGTTCAAGAGTGACGTAGTGCGTTGCTTTTCGAAATCCGTAGCGATCTCGGGGGCCAGTTCCTCGAAGAAATGGAGGTGGTACAACACCCGGAAGAATAACTCGAGACGCCGGCTGGTCAGCTCGTGGAGGTTCAACCGACGGCTTGACATCCGCTAAGGGAGGTGAAGACAGGCTATCGTCCAATGATCCTAACGATACTGGCGGATTGGATGGACCGGATGGGTCTGACGGCTTTAGATGCGGGGAATGTTCCTCCGAAGTGTGGCCATCCTCATACATGTGCTCCTCCTCCTCGTCCTCCTCTTCTTCTTCGTCGTCGTCCGTTGGCGGTTCCTGGTGTCTTTGAGAGTCAGGGGGTTCGGCCTTACTGTCCTCAAAGATATCCGGTGTACGTGGTTCCTCAGGAACGTCGCTGAAGCCGTCCATGTACATAGCAATGGCATCTTCAACGCTCATTCCTTCATCATTGTCGTCTATATCATCGTAGAGACCGCCAGGGGTATCCGGGGAGAGATCCGTAAAAGAACTGGCCTTTGTCAGAACGCTGCTACGTTCCGTCCCACTTGCCTGCTCTGTGCTTGATCGAGAAGTCATGATCGAATTGATACTAGAACGGAGAGGATTGGCAGTATAATGATCCGAATGTCCACCAGACGGGACGCGCGGCAAGCCCAGGCCATGAGAGGGAACTTCATTATATCGGTTATCCTGGTAATAGTGGTGGTTCGGCCGTCTGGTGTTCAATCTAGACATGGACTTGGAGATCCGCAAGTTGGGAACGCGAGGCGGAATCCTTCGATGAGCTTGCTGGTCATGCTCGCCATCTCTCGAGCGTCCTGGGATATTCGGGTCCGGGAACGTGGGAGATGGTAAGGGGGGTCTGCTGTAAGACCCGGCAACCGGGACATGTTCACGAGGGCGAGTATGCGGAAAGAACAGATCCTGGGGCGAATGAATCGGGTGTAGTTGAGCAGTACGTGGAGGGAATCGAGCGGAATTCGGTGGATACGCAGAAGGCGAGTGAGGTCGCGAGGCCGGCGGAGAACCCACCATGAGAGTTAGTGGCAACGGGCGACCAGCTTTACGGCGGCTGGCAAGGCCGGTGCCATTGTTGCCTGGAGAAGGAAGACAACGAACGTCTCCATTTTCTGTGACCATGGTCACTCAGTCTATGCTAGTTCTTGATGGACATTTGCTTCCAGGCAGAGATGTTTCGTCGTAAGAGCAAGTCCGCTTCCCTAGGAGCCACAACGGACATAGCAACGATGGTAGGAATAAGATGAAAAATAAAGAAGGACGGTAGCAATAGCAATAATAATAATAATAGCCAGAGAGGTATTGATAGGTCTAACTGCTTGTTTGGAAAAAGAGAAAAGAAAAAACCCTGGGCAGGGGGCACGCGCGAGCGAACGAGAAGTGGCTCGATGGGGAAATTAAACCGTTCCAAGATCGTGGCGTTCAAGAAGAAACGAAGGACAGAAGCACAGCTCGAGTAAAGACCAAGGCAGGTGGCAAGGTAATCCTGGGGAGATGACAGAGGAGACAGCAACAAAGCGAGCGACGGGGCAGCAGACAGATAAGAGAGAGACGTTAGACAGAAAAGCGCCTTGAAGCTGCACAAGGAGGGACTGCCGCTTCGGGCTTAGCGCCCCCGAAGCGCGGTCCCGTACCGTACCGTACCATACAACACGGACCGAACATTTTCCCTTACGCTGTATTGATACTTTTCCTGTTCGCTGCTGTTCCTGCGGTTCTTCCGTCTCCATTCCCACGGTTATTCCCATGCTTATTCTCAGGATGATCCCCCTTCTTCAGGGATTGGGTCAATCCTTCTCGCTGTGGAAGAAAAGGGGCAGGTCGCCTGATGCAAGCTGCAAACTCAATGTCGAATCCGTTCGAGGGATCCCCATCTGCATCTCCATCTGTGGGGAGGTTTTCCGTCCGTGAGGTCGAACCACGGTTTGGACGGGTCTTCGCGCGGTGTGATCCATCATATCAATCCTTTGCATGCAAACATCTACCATCCATGTCAGACGGCGTGCAGCTTCCGGGATGCTTGATTCTATATTGGTGGGTTTGAGTTAGGCCCGGTGTCAGAAACCTGTATGGTGGTTAAAAATAAATAGGATAACTGCCAAGTTATGCCGGATCAGCATGGACTGCTCTTCGGCCAGGAACACATATCAGCCCACGCAGGAGCAGAGGAACTGACGCCACAGTGTCGGACAGGATATGATATACAATGGCATAATCATACTAATATGCTCCGATCTGCATTGTAGGCGCCGCACAGTATTACACTGCATGTACAGTTTGGAAGTTGACTCCTCGGTTCGTATTCTTGATCGCAATCCTGCAGATCCAAATGCAGGGGGATGGGGATTGGTAGAATAGAGCGTACGCAGTCAGACCCGAAACCAGTCGACATAACCGAAATGCGTATTAAATGATGGATAAAGGTGTTTTTTTTTTAAAAAAAAAAAAAAAAAAAAAAAAAGAAAGAAAGAAAAAAAGAAAAAAGAAAAAAGAAACCCTCCAAACCCCGATGATCTAGGTAGCCCATGCCATGCAATGTTGGTTTGTAGTCAATCAAGATAAGATACGCATTCAAACGCCCAGCTAGTAGAAGAGATATGTTCCGAGCTATGACCCGTGCCCGACGCTCATGCTTTGGCATATTTCCTCGTCCAATCTCGCGCGATCTCTTCGTACCGTTTTCGATCATTGTTGTACTGCTCAGCGATCCGCGCCTCTACTGCATCATCCGGCATGGGTTCTTCGAGTAGCTGTCGTGCAAACTGGAGCACTGCAGATAGCCTCGAGCTAGGCTTCCACTCGTCCGACTTGAGCATCCCCAAGCACATACTACCCTTGTCGTCGTTGGTAACATTGGGATGGTAGATTCTCGTCGCGAAGGAAACCACGGGCGGTTTAAACGGGTATTCAATGGGGAGGTGCAGCTTGACAAGGAATGTGCCTTTCTGTAGGTAGTGCAATGCATGTGAGCTCAGCTGCGTCCCCCTGAACGCCTGTTCAAAAGAAAATGGAAGAGAAGCGACGTACGTAGAACGGTGACCCCTCTGGCCCTTCCATATAAACGTTCCAATCGTAAAGATTCGATTCATCTGCCAACTCCACTCGAATACCCGCCGGAGGGGACTCGACGAGCTCAGCCAGCTCCTACAAGCAGTATAGGTGTTAGTCAAATGCCCAGATCGATATTCCACCAGCATCACTGTAGCGCTGCAAGCTCAGTACCTTTGCTATTCTCTTCTGGCTTCCCATTCTGGTCGGTATCTGGGTTTAACCGCGTAGTTGAACCTTGCGTAGTTGATATCGAGAGAAGTGCGGGGCTGAGCGGCTCGGCTTGACGATAGTCTGAGGGTTAGTGGGAGGAGAATGACACAAGATGAGGAAAATTTTCAGAGGGTTTCCCAAGGATTTCTTGAATATTCACGATAATTAAAATCAAATGAGGCTAAAGAAAGGGCATTAGGCAAACATGGCCGAAGGTGCAGGAAGAGCTGATCGGCGGGGCAATTTTGATTTCTGATCCATTAATCAGACGCAGCCACTGCCACAGCGATGGCAACGGCAAAGACAGCGCAAGACAACAGTATTCTCCGAGAACCTTGCAAAAGTCACTTGCCTTGCTACTCATGGTCCCAAGATCTATATACCCTGCAGGGAATCGCTTTGTCGCAGACCCGCGTAACGAGAAACAGGCCAGAATCAACTGCAAGGCATATTTTTTTAACTCCAACCCAGCTGGAACCAGCCAGCAATGCGCTCTGAAACACAGAAAACGAGCTGCGACAATAGCCCTATCACTCTACACTGTTACCTGCATTTATTCCCTCTGTAGTATCACCATCAACCCCATGATCCCCAGTAGAACGGTCTTCAACCAAGGGTGCTCGCTGAGCATGATTGTCACATATCCCACCATCGGTATATACCCTCTTACGCTGCCAACAATATCTTCTTGACGGTTAAGGTAGTCTTGGTCCCTTGCGTACAACTCAGTATCATCCGCGATGTTATTGTCACCCTTGGTTAAGAGCATTTGAGACGGTGCAGACGACGAAGACCTAAAGACGGCCCTCGTCAGTTGACAGATTCCCAGAAAAAGAATAAAAGTACCCCGAAAAAAAAATCAATAGACATACTCAGAAGCCCCCCGGACTTTCTTTGTCTTCGGGTCAATCTCTGGAAATGTTCGCACAACCCGGTGCACAATCGGGATATCCTTCCCCCGGACATTGTATACGACAATCTCTCCAATCTCTGCCCTTGGACTCCGATTCCATAGGAATAAGAGATCGCCTCTCTGAAAAGCAGGTTCCATGGACCCAGACAGCACAACCACGATGGGCGATGAGGATGCGGTGAAAACGGACAATCCTTTCCAAAGCATAAACGCTGTAGACAGAACAAGTGCAAAGTTCAGCACCTGGGCAAGCGACTGCCGGGGATTGGACAAGCTGGATGAGAGGGACGATAACATGGCAGGCGACTGAGCTCGACGAAGGAGCTGGAGAATTCCAAAGAGACTGGGCAGGCAGTTGGCGCGCTCGTTACGTCTCTCGTTCAGGCTCGAGTACGGGAACCCCTCTTTCGAGTTTGTGGATAGGTCTAAGGAGGGCTCCCTGACGGTGGACTGTTCAATTGTGGTACAGCGTGGAATGGTCGATTCTCATGCTCTGCTGGATACAATTACGGAGACGTGTTGCTTACAGCCTCATTCCACGCCAAGCCCAAACGGGAATGGCGTCCGATCGGGATCTGATCGATCTATTTTTGCAGCATCTCAAATAGACACAGCTAGTTCATGTTCATTCCATCCAGGCCTACTCAATCAACCATTTTGGGGAAATCTAACATTTGCATTTGGGTCTTAGAAAAAGAAATATTCAATCGGCAAAATGAAGATAATTCTAGAGCAGTCTCATTCTGCGTCAGTGGCATATCCACTCGTCTTGAAACCCAAGGACCCAAGGACACACAGACAGACTGCTATGGTGTCGGTTAGACTGCTAGCTGAGGATGCAATTGCATCCATGATCTCAACAAATAGCGACGGTAGAAGGCATGTATGTCCATGAGACGAGTACAGCACTGTACAAGGCACAAGGTGCATCACGTGCTTCTCATGACCAGCGGCTGCCCGGGCAACTGCCAATTTGCCGAATTGGGAAAGACAAACACCCTCGCAACCCCCGCGAACTTGCAACTTTGCGCTATCAAACGGCCTTCCTACCTGTGTCTCGTCAATAGGTCATCCCTTTGCATTATCTCATGCAGAGGATCTGCAGCTATGGCTTCTTCGTCGAAATCGTCCCAGACCTCTCTCTTTGAAGTTTACCTCCGTCTCCGTCCGCCTATGTCGCAGCAGGATGCCGTACGGGGAGAGCGCTTCTTGACCGTGGAGCCTCCAGAATGTCAAGAGAATGCCGGAGATAATGACGCAAATTTCCATGTTCCTGTTCCAACTCACATTACCCTACATCCCCCTAATGACAACAAGAAACGTGCCGTGGAGAAATTCGCCTTCACCAAGGTCTTTGAGGAAACATCTTCCCAGATGGACATATTCCAGGATACGGGGATGGGCTCGTTGATAAAAGGTGTACTGCTTGAAGGCAGGGACGGATTGGTTGCCACTCTAGGCGTCACAGGCAGTGGAAAGGTTCAAGCTCACTGAACAGGAATGAAGGCAAGGATAATGCTAACCAAACCTTGGCTAGAGCCATACAATACTCGGATCAAAATCACAACGTGGGATAATACAAATGGGCCTTGATGTTATTTTTCATTCCCTGGCTTCAACAGTCAAGCCGTCAGATGTGGCAGAGCAGTCAACTCTTGCTTCCATAGCCGCGACGGATCCCTCTGAGTCCCAGATTTTCTCTGCACAGACATTCATCGAGGCAGTTTATGGGGAACCGAATGGGCGTAATTCCAGAGCCCAGACCCCGTCATCTAGATCACAAACACCTTTGATGGTAAGGATTCCCCGTTCCCAGAATACACCCAAGAAGCCCCTCACTATAAACCCATCCCATGTCAGGATATGCCTGCAAAGAAGCTTTGGAACCCCTTCAAAAGCACACATCAAACCCATTGGAACCCCTCCTCAATGCAATCACCTTCGTTCAACCCTTATCTTGAATAAGGGACTAGGGGAAATAACCCCTGATTCCCATTCTTCCCCTTCAACTTCATATTTCTACACCAGTATTATGCGGTCGACCTTGACTAAACTGAGAATTAAAATCATAAAGGAACCGATGCCAGCGTTGATCTTTCCCCGCCGTCATGCGCTGCACCCTCCCAACTTGCTACCCCGATTGCCCGACGTTGGTCATCTAGCCGTGGAACTCAACAAGGATGCCGAATATGCCGTTTTGCTGTCAATGTACGAAGTATACAATGACCGCATTTTTGATCTCCTGTCACCCGCCATAGTACCTGGTCAAGGAAGCACAGTGTCCCGACAAACACCGAACAGTCAGAAAGATCGGCGAAGGCCATTGCTATTCAAGCCTACAGAAGGTTCCCCGGACAGAAAGGTTGTTGCAGGACTGCGCAAAGTTGTTTGCGGTACCTACGAAGAAGCTCTCGCAGTTCTTGAAGCCGGACTTACTGAGCGCAAAGTGACCGGGACTGGAGCCAATAGCGTCAGTTCTCGCAGTCACGGATTCTTTTGTATTGAGGTTAAGAGAAAGGTGAGAGGCAGACGACATGGAGATGACGCATGGGTAGGAAATACCTTAACAGTCGTCGATCTCGCCGGTAAGCCCCCAATTATATTTATTTGAAGACATGGAGGCAGAGTGTTGATTAAGCGCAATTGAATTAAAGGTTCGGAACGAGCCCGGACGGCAAAGACGGCCGGTGCCACCCTGGCTGAGGCTGGTAAAATCAATGAAAGCTTGATGTACTTGGGACAGTGTCTACAAATGCAAAGCGACCTTCAAGATGGAAATAAGGTACCTAAGGCCCAAGCTATCCTTTAGTATCATGGGGTGTGCTTACGATGAATCAGACCTCTCTCGTTCCATTCCGACAATGTAAACTCACTGAACTGCTGTTTTCTAACTCTTTTCCGTCGCCAAACCAAACTACGTCTTCAAGTCGCCGCCCACAGAGGGGAGTTATGATTGTCGCTGCTGATCCCTTGGGAGACTTTAATGCCACTTCTCAAATACTGCGCTATTCGGCACTAGCGAAGGAAGTTACAGTTCCTCGGGTTCCTTCTGTTAATGAGACAATCCAGTCCAGCACTTTGAATTCCAGAAAGCGTCCGTCCGGAGGAAGCGGCCGGTATTCACCTGCCGGAGTCTCGGCAGAAGAACTAGAGCGTGCCACTGATCAAATCGCCCGTATCACAGCAGAATGTGAAACTCTGGCAGTAAGACTCGCGGAGGAAGAAATTTCCCGAGCAGAGCTCGAATTAAGGTTAAGGGCAACCGAAGGAAAGTGCCTAATAATAGAACAAGAAGCTCGAGAGGAAGCCTGGGCTGAGATGGAAGAACGTTTAGAAGAAGAAAGAAGGAGGTGGCAGCGTGCTTGGGCTGAACAGGTCAGTGAAACCTACTATCTATGCTTCGATAATAGCTAACCAAACCCAGGCCGATCGCAACGACGAGCACCTAGACAAGAAAATTGAGCTTCTCTCGAAGGGATTCCAAAGTAAGTCGATCAAGCTATACTAACAGTTTTTCCGGTCAGCCTAACGATCTTTTCTATTTAGTTTATGAAGACCCAGAGCCTTCGGCGGATGAGCGAGTCGTGGAACTTGAGCAAGAAAATGCCCAACTCCGCAGTAAAATCGCAGCCTTGGAACGTGAACTAATGGGCCGCTCTCCAACCAAGAAGTCGAAGATTAGAAATAAGTCATCCGAAGCGCTTTGTCGCGAAAGTGACATTGAAAATGCACTACGCCGGATGGATCAATTGAAACTCACCGACAATACCGTCTTCTCACCTGCTCCAACGGGGAACTCCCCTGTGAAGCGGAAACAGAGAAAGATGGCAACAAGACGATGGGACTTGGGCCCTGAAGAAGAGATCTAGCCCTTGGCGTCATTGGGGGTGTTTGTTCTGTTTATGCCACGGTTATATCTGTACAGGATTCTCCCTTGGAGTTCCCATGAGGGACTGTCCGTGGGATGAATTGGAATCGGACGGGAGTTTTTGGTAGAGGGATGCTTTGGTTGATACCTGGGATATTGTTTATTGCACTGCACCAATTACTGCTAATGTATGAGTATGTTCGCTTTAAACCTGATACCCTTAACGCCTTTCCGTCTGGTCACCTTATGATAAATAGATACGCTTCTTCTTTGTTGTCTCATCACCCATCATTCCTGACAATGGCCATATATAAAGAAATTCCCCGCATTCTCCGTAGAAAAATAACCATTTCAAGACTATGCTGGCGAAGTGTCCATTGGCTCTGGCTCTGGCTCACCAGCAGGCGTACTGGAGACTTCAGCTTGCGCAGGCTGTCTTTCATCGATAGCCCCAGCCTCGGTTTCCTTCCTGTCTTCGATCTCCCTGTCCGCTTCTGTCTGCTCCTCTGCATTCCCCTCTTTCCCTTCCTCTTCCTCTTCGTTATCTGCTCCCTCGCCTTTTGTCCCTTCGCCTTCATCACCCTCCTCCTCGTCATCTTCTTGGTCTTCATCACCCTCGGCCTCAACCTCCGTTTCTTCGCCGTCGCGTTCCTCTGTCACGGCCTCCGTATCATCGCCTTGGCCGAGATTACCGTCCACTCCATCATCACCATCTCCTTCCCCTTCTTCTTCTCCAAACCCATGGGCCTCGACCTCCTCAGCATCTTCCTCTTCAACACTGGCTGGAGCAGAAAATTCTGAGCCATGGTCTGGGGATGTCCTGTCTGTCAAGTTGGGGAACGATAGTGCTTTTCGCTCCAGCTTAGAGAGCCCTTCATCATCAATCTCACTCAGCTCACTTTCGTCATCGGCACTGTCATGTATACTATTCTGGGTACTGCCTTGCTGTCCAGAGCCTGATTCGTCCATCTCTCGAGGGCTGTCCTTGGCAGGTTGTTCTTCTGTGGATGGAGCGGCGGCCGGAATGCTGGGACGAGGAACTTCAATCTCTACTGTCACTGATGTCTTGACAGACGACGTGGCACGTGGTGTGAGTTTGTTGTTCATGATCGCTTCCGCCCGTTTCTGGATATCCCTTCGTGCTATGCCCTTTGTGCGCCCGCGGGGCTGTGGAGGTAGAAGGGATTCCGCAGGAGGAGCCGGCGCAAGAGAAGTGGGCGGCGTGTCAGCAGCACCGTCTTGACCTGTGAGGATAATATGGTCGACTTTCATCTTTTCCTTGTTCTCCTCGTTGGCCTGTTCCAAGATCCGCGGTGCATGGATCTCATATAGTCGAGCGTAGAGATCAGCAATCAAGTCTTCGAACATGGTGACCCTCATAAGGTGATTATTCAGTTTTTTCATCTCAATAACATCGCGCATTAGCTCTAGAAGGAATGTGCTTTCTGGAACCATTTCTGGTAAGTTTTCGAGACGGGCAGTGTTCTGAACGAAATCGTCCCAGCCCATTGGTTTGAAAATTCCTTCTTCGTATCCCTCTTTGACATTGGCGATTCTTCGGGCGACCTTTTAAATTTCCGTCAGTTATGGTACTGTCTCTCTTCGGTACAATGTGGTTTCCATTTCCTTACCTTGAAGTATGTGAGGCAAATATCCTCCCAGAGTTTGGTGTGATTTATGAAATCACCTTGCCTCTTCCTCACCCGGCGTAACAGCTGATCGAGGCTCGCACGATCATCCAGTTGATCCAGCAGGTTTACAAAGAAGTAAACGTAACGTGTTGTATAAACGAAATGTCGGCCAGGGCGTTCGAATTCGGGTTTCCACACTTGAATGGTCATGGTCTTGGTGAATATTTGTTGAGTAAGTTCTTGCTTAGCGGCTGCTGCGGCCGTGGCATCCTTATTGTTATCATAAATGACATGGGCAGCCTGTGGAAGGTGAGCTGACTGAAAACTGTTGTTGTTATAGAAGGCAAGGAAAGATGGCTTACCCTGACAGGTATACGATGATGCCAATTGGACTTGTCTGCGCTCTTTAACCTCTTGAGTACTTCCAAAATATAAGGACCCCACGATTCCGAGTCTTGAGGAGGTTGAACTTTTCGAGCCCAAGGTGTCGCCTGGAGAGTTTCACTCCCTTCGGTTGGCTAAAAAGGATGTCAGTCTGTGAAAAAGCAACAAAGGAGAGTGAGAAGATACCGATAAGATGCCCCTTTGGACTAGTTTGTGGACAATGGACACAAGCTTGAAGTGGGGTTCGAAAATAGGATCTGAGCGTGTATCCTTACGTTGCGGGAGACTGTAGATGGCATCGAGGAGAGTGTCGAGCAAATTGTCAAGCTCAACGCGCTTAGAGCTTCCTCTGACAGATTCGTCACAGCTGAACATTTTCCAAAGGCACTTGCCCAGCATGTAGTAGTTCCTTGCAGCAACACCGTTAGCATGAGAAGAATATCCAATATTTCTAGCGAGATACTAACATCCAGCGCTTTGGTTGATCAACAATTGCCCTCTTGAGAAGATAACTGCTGAAGTTCCATACTGAGTACGATTTCATTTCCTCAAAAGGTGGTCCCTTGTACATTTCCTGGTTCTCCTCTTTGCTGAAGTGGCGGACATAGTCTGAGAGGCTGAAAACAGCCATGGAGAGAGGTTCCCGAGAAGACGCGTACATGCGGATCGCAAAATCAGTGTAAAGATCAGAGAGAAGCACTCTGTTTTCTGGCGTGGGCTCCATAGTTCTGATTGCCGTTGCAACTGCCATCGCATAACAACGGATTGCACAACGTTGCCAGCCTACCAGATCTGACTTATTGTTGTTAATTTTCTCTGCAGACCAAGTAAGATCTTCTTCCAATTTCGAATCATATGTCTGTGCTAATCGATACCACGACTCCCACCTTCCTGTGCCATGCTCCAGGTCTTGCCGAAAGTAGCTTACAGCATCGTCAAGGTCTGTTGTTGGAACAGGACTGAGTCGCTTTTGTGAACGAAATTTGGTCAGGGCAGCGCAACCAAGGAGGAAATACCATCCTGTATTGGCAATTTTTGCGTTTTCGGGAGGTATAGTAATCATTGAGAGATCCCCAATTCCTTGAAGTGCACGGAAAAGATGTGTAGGGTCAATTGGCAATTTCAAATAGGAAGTTAAGACACGGCGGTTGAAAGATAATGAAGATGATGCCTTCGACATCCCAATCACCTGCTGCATCTTGTCAATTGTGTTCTTCAGCTCCGACTTGGGCAGGTCCTTCATGCTCAGTCGCCTCGCCTGCCTCATAACGAAGTCGATCATCATAACAGCTGTTGCGCGATCTAGTTTTTCGGCCGCACAGCCATGGTCAGTTACTCCGTCAAATGAAGAAAACTTCACCCCATACAGATCGAAGAGCACTTGGCAGGTTTCAGACTCGTATTCATTCACAGCCCCTAATGCAAAAAGCTCTGATTTCATGAGCTTGAGGAAACGCTTATTCGAACACTTGCACATAGAGCGAATTCCAAAGGCATTATGAACAAGGCACAAATATTGAATACAATCTTCTGAAGGGGTATCAAAAAGCTCCGTGTTCTGGGATATCGCTTCCTTCACGAAGGTGTACTGCAAGATCCAGCAGTTGACTTGCATCTCGCGTAATCTTTCTCGAAAGGCTTCCAGGGATTTCGTCAACGAGACTCGAAGTTCAGAAGCTGGGGTTTGGCCAACGCGTACAGAATCTTCGTATAGGGTGAAGCTATGAAGGAGCCTCAATAGTCGAGCCACGGTGGACATAGATGACTTTAGGTGATCGCTATCGATACATTCATACGCCTTCTCGGGATCTTGGAAAACAAGAGTGATAGTCTTTTTTAGGAAGGCGTCCAGTGATTTCAGCCACTTGAGAAGTACCATTTGGCGTTCATCAACGGATTCTTCTCCGGTATATGAGGGACTCCAAAGCTGCTTCACTATCGTCTCGATACTCCTTAGGCAACAGGAAACAACTTTGGGAGGATAGTCAATAACTTGGTATGCATCCTGCAGCTTCCGCCATAGGAATAGTCGTAAGGTGGCATCTCCACGGTCCAGAAAAGCGCGCATTTCCTGCAGTTCCGGAAAGCTCTGGCGGCCTTCCTCCATAAGCTGCCCCTCAGCGTATTCAATAGACGAAGGCTCAAGAATAGGCTCTATGTTTTCGATAATATCGACAGGATCTTTCGAGGCGGGATCAAATACTCTCAGAAAGAAATCCATAGATTTCAATTTTGAAGCCTCCTTGTCAATAGCACTCACCGAAACCTCCGGCATTACTGAGCTATTCGGAAGGTGTATCACCGGACTCCCAGTGGATTGCAGAACAAATTTCAGATCCTGAAGGCAAAGCAATACGTGTTCTCGCGGCGCATTCGCAGTGATATTTGTGTGGAAAGTTGATGCCCACAGGTGGCGGAGAGCAATGTAATTTCGGCGTTTTCCTGCCGGTCCATGGTCCAAAAAGTAGACCAGAGACGTACGCGCTAACATAGACCATCTTTCCAGGCTATTACGCTGAAGAACGCGAGTGCTTTGATCTACCTCGCTATTTGGGCTGTCAATTTGCGCATAGAGATCAAGATGCAGTTCGAAAATACTTTGAATCATTTCCAGTTCCGAAAGATGCCTCAAGTCATATTTAAATGGCGGTCCAGAGGCATGGTTGAGAATTTGATGTCCAAGATCTGTAACAAGCCCCTCAATTCTCTTGTAAATGTATTCGCCTTCTTGAGATAAGATCTTGAGAATAACCTCCTTCAGCGCATCCGGCCATAGAGATGCTATGTAAGTAGACTCGACTGAGGCGTTTTCAGGTTCTACTGAGTCTCGTGTGGAAACTTCCCCGAAGCCTGGCAATAAAAGACCTTGGAGCCACCTGAAGGCAAGTTCATGGATGTTGATCCACTCACTGCTGACAGTTGATAAGAACATGCGAAGTCCTTCGTCTCCAGAAAGCAACTTATCCACGCCGACTCTTCGGGTCAATTTCTTGGAATGCTCCAGAAAAGCAGTCAAACCGAATTTGTTCATGCCTTGAAGATCCTCTACTGCTGAGAGAGGGTCTCCTTCTCGGGCTAATTGTGAGCTTCTTTCATTCCAATTGCTGACGATACTGCAAAGATCGCTACACAACAAAGGCTCCATTGCCGCGGGCTGTAGTCGAGCCGTCGTGGTTAGGGCATTTCCATCCTGGAACTCGGATATTTGTCTTCTCAGCTGACCGATCGTTCCCAGTTCTTCGACTCCCACCCTAGAAAGTAAAGAGCTCACAAGCCCGAACATCATATCATCTGCCTCAAAGAAGGTTTGCAGACGGTCTTCGTAATATTTTGTTTGATCAAATGGTAAGTCCTCGTTTGGAAGAGTTTCCGTGTTTGACTCCCGGGCGCGAGTTCGTCGACTTTTCATTCTTCCTCCTTCCGCATGATCTTCATTTGCGATTGACGTGGATGACCGTTTCCGACCAGTGCCTAACTGTTGTTTGGTCTCCGGCTCATCCACTTTTGCGTTCTCCTGTTGGTTGGTCATATCCGGCGACGGATCTGCTAGGCTCTCCAGAGAATCTACCAGCTGCTTCTCGGCCCCTAGGTCCAAAAATGCATGGTCTTCTGGAGATTTTAGAGTCACCTCGGTTTTTTGAACGTGGGATAAGGAAGGCGATTCAACTTCTGTGTTTTGGTTACCATCTTCCATAGTGGCAGCACCAAGCTGTCTCTGGGGCTGATTCTGGCAATCAGTATCCTCGCAGTCTTCATGAGGATGAGTTGGTTCCTCAACGGTTGGCGATATAGGCTCTATGCTACTGTCGGGAAGAAAAATATCGATTGCAGTGCTAGAGCCAAGGTTACTAGCACCGGTGCCTTCATTGACGATCGTCTGAAGAATTTCCTCACCAACCGAAAGCCAAGTTGATGCATTGGGCCGGATAGTATGGCGAGTGGGGCGTATGGCCGCTAGGCTTTTGGACGAATCCGAGCTTAGTTGGTCGGCTGAAAGGCGAGGAAGGTAAGGATAAGGGTCAATTTGACGTCTCAAAAACTTGAGAAGCGCCTTCCTTGGCTTCTTCAATGGGACTTGGGAAGCCCATAACCTATCATCGACAGACAGAAGGGTTTCCCGAAGGCACTCCTCCGCGCAGGTCTCATCTAAACCTAGCTGCTCTGTTCGCATTTCTAAGCGATTCTCGTCATCAGCCAGAACGCTTTCCAAGCAGTACCTAGTCAATCGGTAGCTTTGAAGGGCGTTGCTGAGTCTTGCACTCTTTCTCCAGATGTCCAGGTCGGTATCATCGCGCTCCAGAGCGTTCGCAAAGGATGATAAGGCTGAAATAGATCGCTTAGATACTTTTTCAGAAAATTCCTTGTTAATGTGCGTAGCTTGAGGCGTCTCCTTCAAAAGATCCTGCAAAGCGTCCAGGAGATACTGTCCATAATTCTTATATGACAGATGAATGGTCTGGAACAAAGTGCTAGAGGTTGAGTCATTGATATCTATATCCGAAAGTGTCTCTTCGGCTGCATGATCAGCAAAGCCAGTGGACTGTGTCTCCGTATCTTGCAGCGCATTCCTTGCGTAGTCGGCAAATGGCTCTGGAGATTTAAAGATGTCTGATTTGAGAAGAGCATCATATGCCCCGGCTGCTTCGGCATAAAACTGTGGACCCTGAGAATGAAGCTTCAGGGCACTTTGATAGAGTTTCAAGGCTTCCTCGACTTGGATTTCTTTCGTATTGTCGACTTCTTCCTCAACGGTTTCGTCAGGCTCGACGTTGAGCGCGACCCAACTTGACATGTTGGCGAATTATCGGCCAGTGTGGAGCACGTCGAACGGCATATACGAAAACCATCTGTGCAAAAAATATGAATTCCACAAAAGGTACGAAAGGTCAACCAACCTCCTGGGAGATGGGATGCAAAGGATATAAGACGAATTGCAAGAATTGTCGGATGAAATGGGAGCATAGAGCACGTGCCGCGACGCGTTCCCCTATCGGGAATATGATTAGTCATTCAACGGGTGCCCTGTAAGCTCCTGAAATCTGAGGCAGAAATTCCCCGGATACGTGAAACGGCCAAGTACGCCGTATCTTCTCTTCTCCTTTTATCAGGCTGTCCTTCGCTTGATTGTCTTCTCTTGTTGCAATAGACATTGTGGAAATTATTCTCGTCTAGATATTAGGCTCTTTGGTTGTTTTCAACCTTTGAGCCCGCACGCGCCATGGTCGCACCAGCTGTTCCCGAGTATGTATTCTTTCGTTGCTAGATTGCTCCTGAGCACCACTTCGTCAGGGCATCGGCACCCCCAGCATGGGTGACGCTTCATTTGTCTACATTCGCTCCAGGTTTACAGGTTTATTCTAACTACTATCCCATCCTCTAGGTTGTACGAAGAGGAAGATATCTATGCCGCCATCGACGCGCGTACCGAGTCCTTACAGAACTTGCGGGAGTTGGGACCCCCAGATTTGGCGTACTTAGTGAAGCAGCACAAGACTCATCCAGATCGTCAGGTACGCTTAGGAATCGTCATCTTTTTGCTTTCCTTGCCTTTCAAGGCGAATTGAAGAGGTGGTGCTAGTTATACTGATCAACTTCATGTCCTAGACCGGCGTTTACCACCATGTCACCGGAATCGACGCCTCCTCTTCTGCCAGTTTGGCTGCTTATGTGAATACCCTTACGTACTCTCCTCTGGACAAAACACATAAAGTGGTTTCTGGGATTTACTGGTTAGATCATCCGCAAAGGTTATATATGCGTTTTGAGTTAATTGCTGACCAATGGTTCAGTTGCTACAATGCCTTTTCCCACCTCGATATGCGCGTTGAAGTCAAGATTCCCGGTAGTTTAGAGAGCTACTGCATTGATGAGCGTGGGGATAAGCGCGTTGCTACTGATGCGCTGTGGCTGGAGACATTCCTATGTGCGATTTTGAGAGCCTACTGGTATGCGGATGATGGGAGTGGTGATGCCATCAGGAAGATCGTTGGGGTCCGTCGATTCAATCCCATCACGAATACGGAGATGGAACACAAATTCCTGGATGCAGCTGAAAGGCTTTTCTTTATGGGTACGGTTTTCTTAGTCCAAGCTCCGATGGTCCCTGTGTTGCTGACGAGGTTACAGGCAGGCAGCTCAGTTCCGATCCAGTCACGCAAGTTCCCAACACCGTCAACAACCATCTAACGTCGGGTTTGTTGAAGTATATCCACACTACCGGTCGGTACACGTCGGGAATCAATCTTTTCGAAAAGCTCCGTACACGAGATGTCGAGGTTTCGTCGCTACTGGCTAGGGTGCTGATAATGGCGGATGAGGAAGTACAGGCCGTTCGATTGATGTTTGATGCCCTGCAAGATGTGCCTATGGATTATGCTTTACTCGATTGCCAAGCGGCTTTCTGCCAAAGCAAGGGAGAAGGGCAGCTGGCTTTAGAGTGTGCCCAGCGGGCCGTCACAGCTGCTCCCAGCGAATTCAGCACCTGGGCCCGACTAGCTGAGGTTTACGTTGATCTTGAACAGTGGGATCTGGCGCTTCTAACCCTTAACTCTTGCCCTATGTTTACATATCAAGATAAGGACACCCCCCGCCTGCCACAACCGTCACGCATCATGCTACCTATCCTTGCCGAGAGCGTTCTCGAAGAGATTGACGAAGGTCAGCCAAAGCAGGGAGAGCCCCATGATGTGGTTCATCCATCACTTCGTAAGCTACATGCTGCTAGCTACCAGGGTACATTTTTGAAGGCATACAACCTCCTGACCAAGATTGCCGCCTCCATCGGCTGGGACCAACTTCTGAAGGCGCGCAGCGAGGTTTTTGTAATGGAAGAAGAGTACCGCGTTGAACGTCAACATGCGCCTAAGCCTGGGCGATCAAGCGCCAATGCAAGTACAGTGGCTCTGAACCAGGTCCCAGCTGCGGGCGCAGAGACGAACGGAAACGGACTAGAAAATGGCAATGGACATCGAACCGACGATGAAAAACCCGAAGAAGCCTCCGAGACAGTTACTAATGGTGGGAGTACAGCTGGGGATGATCATGGGAAGGGTCCTATTGAGAAGCCCGAACAAACTAGGGCATCTGAGGGTGAAAAGTCTCAAAATGACACAGTGAGTAGTATCGCGCGACCCTCCCTGGAACTTGAACTGACTTGGCTTCGTGCAGCCCGACCCAACACATGCATCATATACACAATTTAAGAACAAGCGCCTTTGTGAGAGATGGCTGGACAATCTTTTCATGGTCCTCTATGAAGACCTTCGCATCTACACAATCTGGCGAACGGAAATGGCTCAGTTCCGTCAGCAGGCGATCGAATACAAAAAGTCTGCGACCGAATGGGAGATTCTCGGCGAGCTAGCGGAGCGCCTCCACCATTTCGATGAGGCAATTGAAGCTTATCAGCATTGCTTGTCGATCCGATTTTCACCCAAAGCTATGAGGGGCATCCTCAAACTCTATGAGAAGCGGAATGATACTAGAGGGATGTTGGGAGCATTAATCCGACTTATAACCTGGCAGTATCGGTGGTACTCTGAGGTCAGCTCTGCCCTTTTTTTTTGCTTGCATACGCTACAAACTTGTTCTATGTGGGCATCACTCTAACTTAGAAGGCAGTTCTCTCCCGAGCTTCTATACACGATCCGCAAACTTATTGAGGAGGAAGGGGCTGTCAAGGTCCGCAGCATTGTCCAGGCAACGAACCTCCCACAGCAGGTCCTCGATCTAACACACCACTATTGTCAAATATGTGCGACCTTTCGAAGCAGTGGCAGTGATGGCTGATCACGATCCATACCATGTGAATTGCAATGGTTGTACCTATTAGCTATTCTTCCTACGTCTATCTAAGGCGGATGTTATCCGATACCCTCTTATTTCATTATGTCGGTTAGGGAAGGCGAGAAACATGGCAGACAACAACGGGAATGAGAAGTATCTTCGGGGGAGGCCCTTTTCTTTTCTGCTTTATAGTTGGCTTCTTGCGTTGCACTTCTCTTTTTCCTTTTTTTCTTTTCCTTTTTCATTTATCCCCATTAACTGTTTTATTTATTTTGATATACCTTCACCATGCACATTTCAATATCCTCGAAGCTCTTTTGTTATTCTTTTCCTCTATTTCTATTCCGATTCCCTGCATCAACATTATGCCACTCTTCAACTCCCTAGTACCATTAAGTGGAGAACTGTGGACAGCTGGTTCCACGGCGTCTTGTCGCAGTCCAGGTACGGATTGATGTTTCCGATACCATAAGGATACCTGTGTGCCTATACATGAACCACCCTCCATCGGATAACGGGAAATGAGAGGCATCACCATTGTATTGAAATCAAAAGAACTGCTGAGCGTTCAATGCTGCGCCTCTCAAAGGCAGGAGGGTATGCACCAGCATAAGCCCAGTCAATCAACCATACCTGTCCATGCCGATCCAGAATCAAATTCCGGGATGTTATATCCTGATGGGTAAGGACAAAAGTGGTAAAGCGAAAGTCCCGGGTATCTTGTGAAGCCTTATTGTAATGTTTATATATATCCAGCTTATGATTGAACTGGTTTTCTATTTCAGAATCAGTTTTGAAAGGATCAGCACTAACCTGTGAAAAACTGACCCCTACATAGTCCGCCGCCAAAGGGACCAGACTTTGGGAGCACAGTAGATTACATTTCCTTTATCATCTGGAAGACTTGCGTAGGAATGTCATTTTAGCGCTCATGGGGACGGCCATTCCAACAACCATCGAGGGGTTGACCATCATCAAAATCAATCACGATATACCCCTTTTCCCCAAAGCACTGCGTTTCGTCATCGAATTGAAATGAGCTACAGACCTATTGAGCTCGAATGTTGGGATTAAACGCGACAAGCTAAGTGCTTCCGTCTCGGGAAGCAGCATGCCACCAGCTTTCATCACTAAAGATTTCAAGAGTCGCACAACTGTTGTGCCACCAAGCTTATGGAGGATCAGCGCAGAGTCAAGCAACGTGGCTAGAGTTTCATTCCTGACAGACTCGAGGTCAATTCCATCCAACGGGGAGTTTCCATCAGCGTCTCGGCTTCGGGTGTCAGCATGGGCAACTGGAGACTTTGGGGGAAACACGTATATCAACAATGGGAGCATCAATGGTTCCATTTCAGCAGAGGTATGAAGACAAAGTGCAGGTTTCTTTTACTTACCCCCTCTTGCTATACTCCAGCTTGTATCAGTTGCAATCTAATGCGAGGCGAAGAATCATGTGGACACGCATGTGTGATGATGTTCTTTGAGAACAAAGTGAAGCGATCTCTGATACCATCACGGACAAAATGCTAGAGCCAGATACTTTGACAGCGATTGGCAAATTTGTCTTGAAACACCGAAGTAGCATCTCTCTGGAGTTCGGGCATCCTAGAGCAAGGATGTTCAACGCGTTGTTCCGCATGACATATAGCGATGACGGTTCTGCAATCATACGGTTTCCCAAGCCAGGCACGACTATGTTCCCCGAAGAGAAAGTTCGAAATGAGGCTGCAGTAGAGTTCTCCTTTTTCAACGCCTTTCTGCCTTCTTCTGGAGCTGTCAGGAGTATGGCCAGACGGGATTGAGGCCTGGACAGTGGAGTATGAGAAACGTCTCCAGACATTTCTGAGGATGTCTGCTGATTGCGAAGATTCAGCTATTGGAACAGGACGGCTGGGGGGAGATCAATGGCTCTCTGGCCATATAAGACAAAGCTGGGGAAGTGGGCATTTCTAGGTTAAATATACAGCAAGGAAGAAATTCGCTTATGATGCTGCGTTCTGGAAGTACCTCGCTCACCAGTTCTTTGCGCCAAACCCGGAAGACGGAGGATAGTCGGTACAAATACCAGGTATATCTGCTTGATGAGAGCGAGAAGGCTGACATAGGAAGTTTGTAAGGCGCAAGCTTTAAGGGACGAAGGACAGAACCCTGTCCTGAGAGCTGGATGAGATAGCTGCATTTTGAAGTAGCGTTTGCATATTGTTATTTACCTAGGAGATGCAGAGGTCAGTTAACCCATTTCACACGCTTTGTTTCTATCAATTCATGGTCATATTGTGTATAAACGGTTCAAGCTTGCTACGTTTCTTCCGGCATCACAATTGACACTCGCACATATTCTTTTAATCCACTCTAAAGGAATTACAATCCACAACCCGAGGGAACCGCATCAAATCAAGCAATAACATCTAAAATCTTAGACGAGACGATTGACTTCATTCCTCTTCAGCCTCCGTAACATCAGGTTCCTTGGGAACGACTTTGCCCTTATTCTTAGCCGCAGCCGCAGCAGGTCCGCTGGTCTTTGCAGTCTTCTCGCCTCCCTTTCCATTCACTTCTTTCTCCCCCTCTGATTCATTTTCTCCTGCCTCTTCATCTTCGGAGCCGGTACCTTCTTCTTCTTCCTTTTCGGCAGGCGCGGGAGCCGTCTTCCGTTTCTTGGTGGCGGGGGGAGCTGGAACGGGAACAAGGATCAGCTATCTATTCGATGGCAGATAGATAGTGACGTTTGGGGAAGGAAGGGGGAAAAAAGTACACTTACATTGTTCTTTGCCAGCTTCTGATCCCGATTCATCGTCTTCTTCTCCGACTTCTTCCTCCTCGGACTCGTCCTCTTCGCCTTCTTGGCTCTCACTCAATTCGGTGTCTTGGTATCTGTGCGCGTTATTGCGTCAGTATCAGTATCTCCCATCTTTGATCGATAGTGCCTGATAAGAATCAAGGTTTCCACTGGGAATATATGATGGAATTGCGCCTTTCCTTTGGGTTTCTGAGACGGCGCATTGCTAGCAAACAATTGCGCGACACGGGAGAAAGCAACAGGAAAAGGGGGGGAAATTACTCTGATTCCTCCTCGCTGAGATCGCTGGGAAGCGATTGAAGTTCCTCCTCTTCATCAGGGTCATGTCGTCTCTTCCGTGGGCCCACCATGGTAATAGGTTGATTCCAGAAGAGCACTTCCTTCTAATTAGGGCTATTTCCGTCCCTGATGTGAGAAGAGTCAATGAACGCGGGAAATCTGAATAGAAGAGCCGGTTAAGGAGCTATAGGGGCGCGAGGGGACTGTGATAAAAGATGGAACCAGCTGAGGAGTTAAAGGAAAATTGAGGGAACCAGCTGAGGGATTGGGAGGTAGGAGGGATGGGGAGAAGCTTATAAAGCGGGAGGCGGGGAGACCCTGGTCCTCTCTCGTTTGCGATAAATAACTAATATTAGGAGAGATAGGTCTGGTCTGGAATGCGGTGTATTATTGTTGCTTGGGCGAGGGAATTACTTCAGCGACAGGGGAAGAGAGGGCTGGAAGCTTTCAGCGCTACGCCATGATTCCCCGGTTTGGGAGGTGCGCTGGGACGTCGTCAATGTGAGCAGCATGCGTGGTAGTATGGTGGTAATTACGTGCATGTAGTGGTAATACTGCTGAATATACCCTACGTGTGGGTATAAGACTTGCTAATGTGCGTGGTATTACCTGTGGTGACCGAGGTCAACAGCGGTTACAATCCAATACGCAACCTGAGGCTGGTGTTGCAGCACATGGACAGCCATCCGCGTAATTTATGACTTTCGATGTAACACCGCGGTCACATATTACGTCACATGACATTGTCGACTTTGGCTTCTCACAACTGAGATACAGTCGTTTCCTTTTACATCAAACTATAGGAACTAGTGATTAGAAGGAGGAGCACAGATAAGTGCCTATACGGAAGGGATAAGCCTATACTGTTAGTGACGATAGTCAAGTCAGCATTGTCAGTACAGTGAGCGTACACACACACACACACACACACACACACACACACACACACACACACACACACATATATATATATATATATATACGTGGACATTATCACAGAGCATACTACAAATGCCAAAGAACCACCCCATAGAGTCACGAGTCGACCAAACCAAAAAGTGTCACAAATCTACTCACGTCAAGCCACTATAACAGCACTCAACAATGTTTGCCCAGCACATTCTCCCAAGCAGTTGCGTATGATCCGGCTTTTTGAGCAATCGATTTCATTAGGATGATGTGCAGGCTCATCTAGCCCACTAATACCAGCGGCATACGACAGTAAAGCATTAAATGAGTTACTATGCGTGGAGGAATGGACCGCAGATGTATGGATTTTAAGGACCCGTTGTGCCATAGAAAAGACCTCGCGGTGACAGCCAGAGATGAGCAACCTTCTGTCGATGGACCTCATAAAATTTAGGCCTGCATCTTGAATCAAAAGTGCGAAGCTGCCAAACAAGAACTAGCCGGGCTAGCTCAATCGGTAGAGCGTGAGACTCTTAATCTCAAGGTTGCGGGTTCGACCCCCGCGTTCGGCTTTCCTTTTTTGCAGATTATTTTTTTCTCCCGTGCATCTGAAAAATTTAGTGCTACCATTCTTTCCAACCATTTTCACATTGAAAGAGCCTTTCCTAGTGCTCCTTGGCCACCACATACCTCCAACTATTTCCAACTACCCTTAACCTCTCTAATGCATCGGAATCTTTCTAGGTAGGTCGATGCAGTGCCATGTCCGCAGATTGAAGAGGCGGTAGGAAGAGGCAGAATAAATCCTATCAATGCGATAAGCACTGGAACGCGAATCTCAACACGTCCCGGCGTTTAGATTGGCGACAAAATGGATAATAACACATGTGCAAATCCTCTACTCCTGGAGTGGATAAAGGAGTGGCTGGACCAAGCTCGGGAGCGGAATAGCAAAGGTGTCACAGTGTTTGTAGTCCCCGTTCCAATTCTTCAATCCTGTTCGACAAGCGTTAATTACTTCCCCCCCAGGTACAAAAAGGCCTATGAGTCTATGAAGGCATGCCCATTGACTTTCCAGCATCCATCCGAAGCACAGCAACTAAATGGACTTGGCCCTAAGCTTTGTGACCGGCTGACAGAGAAACTAAAAGCTTACTGTGAGGAGAATGGGCTTCCAATGCCGGAGCCGCCACGCCCGGCCCAAGGTGAGTAGCAGTGCTCACTTATTCTCCTACTCTCCACTCTACCGGGGACTGAGACCAAAAGTAGCAGAAAACAAGAGATCGTGCGATGATGGTACACTCGGAAACGAACCTTCAAAGAAGCCCCGGAAGGCAAAACCATATGTGCCAGCGTTGAGGTCCGGGCCTTACGCGTTACTTCTAGGTCTCGCGACGTTGGATGAAAACTTATCCTCGAGTATGACCAAAGCGCAACTGATCGAAGTGGCCCAACCCTATTGCGATACATCGTTCACTGCTCCCAGCGACCCTACTAAGGCATATACCGCGTGGAATTCAATGAAAACCCTTATCCAGAAAGATCTAGTTTACGAGCGTGGCAGACCAGTGCGGAAATACGCTCTCACCGAAGAGGGCTGGGAGGTTGCCAAAAGAATAAAGAAAACTTTACCGGGTACATCCCAAACAGTCTTGTCTTTTGGTAATCCATCGGTATGTATCGCAAGAACTGTTGGTGGATCCGATTCTGATAGAAGTAGTCGAAGACGTCCACAGAGCACAGGAGTAATTCTGTGGGTATCACCGGTGGCGATTGCGCAAATTATTCTCTTCCACATCGATTTGGAGACATGCAAGGCAGGGGCGGATCTCCAGCTATCATCGCCGGTTTTCAGGGGCAAGAGAACTCCCGCGGTGATTCTTCTGCGGATGAAACAGTAGACCCCATCATCCTTCCACCAAACACCTTCACGGTCCAGCTGGTTCTGGATACTCGTGAAGTCCGTACCCCGAAAGACAGAGACTACATCGCGAACGAGTTAGTAAAAAAGGGCATTACACCTCATGTCCGCGCTCTTGAACTTGGTGATGCCATGTGGGTCGCCAAATTCCATGATCCGACCTTCCTCTCGCGCTACGGCGAGGAGGGTGATGAGGTGATGCTGGATTGGATCGTTGAACGGAAACGACTCGATGACCTTGTTGGCTCCATCAAAGACGGCCGGTTCCACGAACAGAAGTTCCGCCTTCGTCGCTCAGGCATAAAGAACATTGTCTACCTGATCGAGGAATTCAACATCACTCACGATTCTCACAGTGCCAATGCACTGAAATACCAAGAGATGGTCGCGTCGGCCATCGCTTCGACGCAGGTCGTCAATGGATATTTCGTGAAGAAGACGCTCAATCTCGACGACAGCATTCGGTATCTTGCGAGGATGACGCTTCTTCTACGAGAAAAGTATGAATCGCCCACCACTCAACCGGCCAACCGTTTGGCTCTCATACGGAGTTACCAACTGTCATCAACACAATCTTATCTCGCTACTCTCGAGCGTCTACGTGCTCAGGACTCTTCGACAGTCCATGCAGTCACTTTCCCCACCTTCTCAGCCCTGACCTCCAAGTCCGACACGTTGACTTTGCGGGATGTGTTTCTGAAGATGCTCATGTGTACTCGCGGCGTGACGGGAGAAAAGGCCCTTGAGATCCAACGACGATGGCAAACCCCACGGCAACTGGTTGAAGCTTTCGAAGCTCTAGAAAGGAGCGACTCAAAGCTTAAGGAAACCATGCTCTCTGACCAGATGAAGACTCTGGTGGGAAGGAAGAAGATCGCCAAAGTGCTAAGTAAAAAGGTCTCGGAGATTTGGGGCGAGACAGGTGCATAGACCAGGTGAGGCCAGGTCTTCACTTTGTTGCGGGAATAACGATACGGAACAGCGCTCATGAGACGTTATACAGAAGGGGTTCATTTACATATTCCACGTGAAGCTCCCAGGATCTACATACGGTGAAGAGTTGATATTAGGCACAGAATTACTGTCGAGCGTGGTACACAGCCCCGGATTCTAACTGGCGATAATGGTCGACGATCTCGATCACTTAAACTGGGGAGAGAACTGTTAGGTTGTATCCTAGTCCAGCAAATACTAATCGAGCACAGCGACTGAATCTCGAAAATAACCATTCACTGCCGCCTCTACTTTATCCAAATCAAAGGTTGAAGGAGACTGTATAATTTCAAAACCTCCGAATAGCTCCAAACCGAGTCCAGAAAACAACCATGAATTCCTGGTCAACACTAAGACCCGTAGCAATGTGGAAGTCAACAGGACGCATGATGTGCTCTTTCTCGAGTAGAGTGTCAATTAAGTCTCCAGCAAGAAGTTTCCGAGCCAGACCATCGTATTCATGCGGAGCATCTTCAGTGTCTCACTCCCCTTGCCGTTTAGTTCGTCTGTACAGGCGGAGGCAAGACCAGCGTACGGCCCTTCACAATCTCGGTTTCCAAGCTCTGCAAGGAACTCCTAGCTAGCCCGACTGTTCAGGATAGCGTTCGCAGTACCAGCCTGTCCATGGCCGACCAGGATGATTATGATACGGTCTCCCACCTTCGCACGGGAGTCTAGACGCATTGCGAATCCAATTAACGGCTCTTTCAGGCCTTCTGGTCCAACGAGGTTACAGAATGGATTTCTCGCTTCATTCTCATTGTGAACATCGGTCCTCCACGCAGACCCTTGCTCATAGTTGTGAATATGTCCGTGCCTGACAAGCATGTGCATCAACCAGAGTTCAGGGCTTAGGGCTTGACTGCGCCAAGTTTACGGGCCATCATCGATAGGAAGCTGGATCGTTGACGGACATTGAAGTTCTGCGGTAAACCGAAACACCATGAGATGGACAAAACCGCAAAGGCATTCAAGCTAGGACCACCTGCGCAAGATAAAAGGAGGAATGGGCGACATCTTCCCACTCCTAGCCTCCGCAAAGTTGGGTTTCTTGGTATGACCAGTATTTCGCCTCAGCCGAAATTGAGAACGGCGTCATAGCGTGCTCTATATTTAGCAGACACGAGTGGGACAAATATGGCATGTAATATGTACTATGGCCTCCGTACTCCATATGGATCCCATTTGACGAGTGCCTTCGCCGGGAAGACAAGGACTTCATCGACGACGAGGAGTTAGGAACTTCTCCCGTCCCAAGGATTGATTCTTGTGCCTGGTTCTGTTCTTTTGTTCCAAAATTAAGCGACAGATCGACTCGTTGCCGTTGCAGATCAATCCCATATCCGTGCTCCAGAAGTCGGGTGCTTGGAGACGCGTACAGCATACTCCACAGTCATGCGCCGTCCAGCGTGCCCCATTGCTATTTGAATACATGAGAATCAATTTGGGCCGGCAGTACGGGCCAAAAAGAGCCAAAGGCCTCAGTTGGCTTCTGACAGTTCGCAAGGCCCCTGGACCAGCTCAACCGGGATTGCGGAGGCCTCTGATCAGTTCCACGCTGTTTCCGATGAGGGATCAACTGATATGCAGCGTTGTATGCCTTGTCGAGTCCCTTCGAGGCGTTAATATGATCTGTAAACCTGACGATCCTGTGGGGACAGAACCGGGCCTCCCACCGAATGCAATTGCTCGGGGACGAATTCAATTCAATTCCAGCCTTCACGACTCACGGCCGAGATTCCCGGAATAGAAGCAGTCGTTTTCGACAATATCGAACCGTCGACGATCAAACCACAATCCGGGGTATACGACGCTGTGCTCTGTTGCCGGGTTTCGGACATCCAGCATGCAGATCCAGCAGGTCATTACCATCATGAGAGGGACTATTGAACACACAACGCGTAATTCATCCACGGCATGGTGGACCATCCAATTGCCCCTGAAAGCGGAATAGTACTATGCGCTGCGCATCGATCCAGCCCTCATTTATGAGAGTCCAGACGAGGATATAAGTATCCCGACGTGGTGTCCTCCAGGTGCATTTCCAGAACCCGGAATAGCACCTGAAGAACAGAATACTACCACCACCCGTCCGTCCGTCTGTATAATCACACCTCTGCAACAATGAGATTCACCTTCATCGCTGCTCTCGCCCTCATCGGCACCGCTCTGGCCAACCCGGTGGCCCAGGACAGCGGCAAGAAGGTAGGGATTCCTCACGGACAATGATTCTTCTGCGCTTCTTCTGCGCTTCCTGTGACGATTCTGACGGTTTTACCTGCTTTAGATCCCCATCGGCCAGCCTTGCAAGAAAGACGGCAGCATGGGCATCTGTGAAGGAGGCTTCTGCTTGGTACGTGACTCGCACAACCTCTCCTCCCAAGGAGACGCCGCCAGAATAAATGCCTAATCGGAATTTCGATATTTAGCAAGCAGAGAACCAGCCCCAGGGCACCTGCCAGCAGCAGTAGACTGCCGTGGATTGATGGATAGATGGGATGTCGTGTTGACAAAGGAGGCCGAATGCACGTCGAAAGGCTTGCTTCCCTGTTGGTCCGGGGCTACGATATACCCCTGCCTATAGTATTAGTTTCAATTAATCACTTTTGAAGGCGAATCTGTGCTGGTACTGTAGGTGTGACTGGACGGAGAGGGCTGTAGCTCCGCATGCCGTTGTCTGTGGCTGGACTGTATTCCCGTCGAAATCGCAACTTCGGTAGGACAGCATACCTGCCATACGGGCCACAGACTGTAGAAACCGACCACATCCCCGGCGGAAAGATAGAAAGAATCAGCCGGGAGAACTGTTGAACGAGTATTTGCCATACCAAGCCTGATAACGATGGAGTAGTTCTCTATGGGCAGAGAATGGCGCAAGGATGGCGCAAAATGACCCCAGAACGTCCTGAGATCAGCCCATTGGCACTGGCTGGCTGCAGAACTGCCCGACAGGCTTGTTAGTTAGAAGCTAGTGGTTACTGACGTGATCGCATGGGTTGTTGAGAACACAGCTCAGTCTGGACAGAATAATGTTAAATAGCTGGTGTTTCGTAGAAGAGACCCTTTCCTCCAGCTGCATCCGCCCCTCGCAGCCCTAATTCAAAATGAAGGACACAGGAGACACGATAGTCACCACGACGCAGCGCGTCGATGCGGAAAACGAAAATACACCAGACGACTCCCGAGGAAACGTTGTCGTACAGCCCGTCAAGACATGGAAGGGCTATCTGTGGGATACATGGGAGCTCCCCCCCGACCAGCGCTGGCTCCTCTTCAAACTCGACGCCTTCGTCCTCACGTTTGCCTCGATCGGGTACTTCCTGAAGAACATCGACCAGTCGAATGTCAATAATGCTTTTCTCAGCGGCATGAAGGAAGACCTGGGGATGTATGGGAATCAGCTTGTAACAAGTATGCAGTTGATTCAAGACACTCTTTCAGCGTTCACTAACCCTAGGCTCTTTTACCAGGTACGTCCATCTGGACCGTCGGCTATGTCATCGGGCAGATCCCTTCCAATATACTGCTCACCAGAGTCTCGCCGCGATGGGTGATCCCCTCGCTGGAGGTAGGATGGGGCATTGCGACCGTCTGTACATCGGTCGTGAAATCATACCGGAGTCTCTATGCCCTGCGCTTCCTGGTGGGGTTATTCGAGTATGCAGCAGCACCAAGTCTTCTCCCCGGGTTTTGTCCTCCTCAGTCCCATGCTCACTTCTGCAGATCAGGCTTCTACCCGGGAATCCATTATCTACTCGGGTCGTGGTACACGCCACGGGAAATCGGCAAGCGGGCTATGGTCTTCTGGCTGGCTGGCTCGATTGGTACTCTATTCAGCGGTTTCCTCCAGGCCGCTGCATATACGAATCTAGACGGGACAAATGGGATTTCAGGCTGTAGGTCATGCCGTTTCTTCAACTCCCATGCGGATTGCTCCAATGGCTGACGATGACAGGGCGCTGGCTCTTCATCATCGACGGTATCATCACCCTGCCACTCGCACTGGCCGGCTATATTTTCTTCCCCAACATGCCCCAGGCGGGCAAGAAAACGTGGTGGACGAGCCATGAAGAGCATCTGCTCTCCGTGGAAAGGATGCAGAGTATCGGTCGTGCTGGCAAGCAGCCTTGGACCAGGGAGAAAGTACAACGGATCTTGCTGAGTTGGCACACGTATCTTCTTCGTAGGTTCCCGAGTTGCCCTACATTCCCGGGCTTCACCTGACAGCAGGCACAGCGTTGCTATATATCGTCTGGAACAATGGGTTTCCCCAGGCCGCTATGGGATATTGGTTGAAAAGCTTCAATTCGAACCCTCCCCCGGTTCCAGGGAAGGCGTATTCCGTCGCGCAGATCAATAATTGTGAGTGTCTCCCCCGTCGTTGCGGGGAGCAACATAGCTAATAACATCAAGTACCCCTTCCGACGACTGCCATTTTCATCGTCATGGCCCTGATCTGGGGCTGGCTATCCGATGGACCCTGTCGAGGCGCTCGCTGGCCATTCATCTATGCCGGTGCTGTCATCACGGTAAGCCGAGACGAGCCTGTTTGTTTTCTGCTCAAGTTTGATGGATGCAGTTTCTGACCATACTTTCCCGGTGTAGCTTATCTTTTGCATTCTCCTGCTCAAGGTCCCCTTGTACTCGAATATCAACGGCCGCATGGTCATCTACTGGCTTAGCAACATTGGCGTAGGTTATACCACCCACAGCAAGAGTTTGATCATACGTTCTCACAAGGACCGGATTCCTAGAACGGCGCAGGTCCCCTAATTCTGAGCTGGATCAACGAGATCTGCTCCGACGATACGGAAAAGCGGGCCCTGCTCGTTGCCATGGCTAATGACCTTGCGTATGTCGTTCAGGCCGTTGTGAGTTTCCTTTCCCTCACTTTTAAAGACCCAGGACCTAACGAGCTGGAATCCAAGGCCCCCAATTTCGTATGGAAGACATCAGCTTTTCCTCGAGCGGCCAAGGGGTATAGCTGGTCCATTGGACTGCAAGCGTTGCTCAGTAAGTCTTTGTGAAGAGCTTGATCCTTCCATGGAGACGGAGCAGGCCCTAGTGAACCCGAGACACCCGGTATACTGATTTGTTTCTAGTTGTCGTTACCGCTACCATCCAGGTGCTATTGGCGCTGGACAGAAAGAAGGCAGCCAGGAAAGATGCAGAGACCGCGGCCGTACAGCCCATTAATAGATCATCTCTTGAGGCGGAGGGCGGTGCTAAGCTGGTTAGGGTTTCCGAGGTCAAATATATTGGCCCGGAGCAGGTTTCAGAATGAGTCTTCACGTCAATAGAGAGTAAATAGGGTTGCTACCAATCTCTAGAGCATTTAGCTTTCTAGCAGGCCTGGGCTGGCTGTGCCGGATTTCCATACGGGAAACGTGCTATATCTGACGGGCACATGCAGGTCTTAATAGGACGTGACGCGGCGGATGTTTTACCTCGCTCTAAGCTCGCCGTAAAGACTTCCATCAGTGCTGCCCGGCTCGTTCTCAGAGCGTCGTCTTTCTGTGAGATTCACGGGGAACGGTCCCCGTATAACCCTCTAGTCCAGTACGCGCCGGGAGAGCAGAAGCCCAAGATACAAGCCCAAGGACATGTTCAATGCAGACCACTAAACCGCTCGGATTGGGGGTAGAAATTACCAGGAGACGGCTGGAAGAGTTTCTGTCTTGGATTCCTAATAACGAAGTGACAGAATGGTACATGTGCGCTGGGCCTGGGCTGAGGGTCAGGGTAGAAAAGTCATACATGTTCCCCCTTGAGCTCATATACAGAGATAGCTAATATACAATATAGGACCTGATTATACCCATGGCCAACTATACCCATGGCCATACATCCCGCTTAATCAAAACAAGTTCATCACCCGCCCCAGCGCCATCACCGCGGACAAACGTCCACTGCAGCATATTCGGACTGATGACGGCAATCTTACTGAATCCGTAATGGTTCATATCAAGCACGGCCGTAATGTCCGTGATGCCCTGACCCTTGCCGAAGGTGCTGTGGCTTTCAATGTTGCCGGCCATTCCGTTGACGATGTGGGTGATGGATTTACCGGGGTTCGTGTAGTAGATGTTGTTGTTGAGCACGGAGTCATGGTCGATGGTACCGTTCGTTCCGAGGGGGTAGAGACGTTCGTACCAGTGGATATGACTGACAGACATACAGTAAGAAGGGGAACAGAAAAAGGTGCCCGGGGGGGGTTACCCTGAGAGATAAACATCAACCCCATGTTCAAGCAGGAGCTCCTCAAAAGCATTGCGAATATTCTTCTGATATGAAGAATAGGCCGAGCTGTACATTGGCCGGTGGCCCATGACGATAACCCAGGGTGTCTTGGTGCGGTCGACGCTGGCCAGGTCCTGCGCCAGCCACTTGTACTGGGCGTAGGACTTGGTGTCGTAGATGCTGCCGTCGATAGTGCCAAATGGACCGCTATCTGTCACGAAGGTTTCCGAGGGCGTGGGATGCCTGTCCTTGCCCTTGACGTCCTCCTTGAAGTTCCACTCGGGGCTATAGGCGAAGTCGGTCTCCGTGTCGATTGAGACGAAGTGCGCCAGACCGTAGTCGAAGGAGTACCAGAAGTTGCCGACACCTCCTGTTTCATCGCCGGGCATGTAGAAGCGGTTCTGGTAGGCTGTGAAGTTTCTGTGGCATGTTAGCGGGAATTGGAGGAAGACAGAACTAGGGCAAAAAAAAAAAAAACCTACCGCTGGGACGGCGGGCAGCTGTAGTAGGTAAGGTTAGCCTTCGCAGCGGTTCCATTGCTCACATCGTCGTTCAGATAGGCAGTCAAGACGTTGCCGGGCCCGTCAAATTCAGCGCAGGCCGGTTCGTGGTTGCCGGGGAGGACCATGTATGGCACCTTGGTAGTAACGTCGTTGATCCACTGCTGCCAGAGATCCCAATTGGATTCGTACAGGGTGCTCATGTCCCCTCCGTGAGGACCACCCTGGCTCGGGATCTCCCCCGCGGGGACAGGCGTGTTGTACGACTCCGGATAGTCGCCGGGAGGGAGTTCGCTGCTGGTGCCGTTGTAGCAGACCGGCCAGTCGTCCGCACATGGAAGGATCCCCGAGTACCAGTCGTCGGCATAGCTGAGGTCTCCGCCGTGCCATGCGAAGGCGGCTCCCTCCTCGACGGCCTGGACTAGATGAGAGAAGGTCCCCGCGGCGTTGGTGTAGCCCATATCGTTGAGCACGGCTGCCGTGAACGGTGTGGGATCCCCGGCGGCCCGGGCCGTGGTGAACTTCAACACGGGGGACTCGGTCGTACCGTTTGCGGCAGGGATCCGGTAGAAGTAGGTTGTGGCCGGCGTCAGGTTGTCGAGCGAGACCTCGTGGAAGAACTGACTACATTGTGTCACGGCGGCCGCGGAGCAAGGCGGCGTACGGTCGTAACTGCGAAACCATCAGCCTCATTCAATTCGGTCGATTCTGGTCGGAAGACGTACGTGTGCGTAAAACCCGTGGCCACCTTGTCAAGCGAATAGGGATTGGATCCCCATTTGACCGAGGGCGCAACACCCAAGCCAAAGGGAGTCTGGTAGTGGATATGGATGCCATTTGGGAGGTAGGACAGTGAAATGACATTGACATTGTTCGTGGGATTCTCCGATGCAGGCTTGACGGCGGGCGCTTCAACGAGACGGGGGTAACCCTTGCCATTTCCCTTGACCGTCGGATCGACCCAATCGCCCACCGGCACCGTAGGACCAGTGTATGGATACGATTCATCGACCACCGGCCGCGCGTGCGCAGCAGCCGCCAGGAGGGCAACAGCCGCGGCAGTGGTCCTGGCCTTCATTCTGCAAACGGACGGGCAAGATGATAAGCAATAGAACCGGGGAAGAACAGAATGGAAGGACTGCAAGCTTATATAGCCTGCAATGGCCGGGCATGCATTTTAATTAATATTTGTTATCTATCAGGTCCGCGATGTAACCTAACCGGCTCACACCGCGAGGCCGACGGTTAAGGCCGACGGTTAAGGGTTAACGTGTCTGGCGATTGATTGATTATTGGCTGCGAGGAAACAGCATCGAATTGTCCATCAACGGGTTGCAGGAGGAATATGCCACGGTCTGGATTGATTGGAGAGGAGTGCCTGGCACTGATGCCGGGAGCTGCGGTCTACTGCTAACTACGCAGGCCCGAAAGGCTTGACTTCGGTTCTCGATGCATCACTCCATTCTCCGGTTCATCACACCCCGGACAAAAATCCAACTAACCGTTATTCTTCCCATAGAACCCCTAGTTGGCTGTCTCCAAGCTCTATGGTCCGGGTGCGATGCGTGAATGGATACCGCGGGATTCTCTGCGATGTTGGCTAGAAGGAGAACATCGGTTGTCAGCCGATCTTAAGGTTGAGACCGGATCCATCGACGCCTTTCATACTTGATATTCAAAGCTAATGAATACAAGATGGATCTTCTCCGAGATATCGGGCCGTTCCCGCCCGAGCAGATATCTATTATAAGTCATTCGCTGCGCGGCGATTTCACTTCTGCCTTCATTTTGCAGCCATCTGTTCCCCCATCCCAGCCCGATCTTTACAACATGACCCGAATTGTCGGCCTAATCGGCGGAATGCCCTGGCAAACCACAGCAGTCTACTGTCAGGGCCCTTGCCATGTAGACCAGGACGAGCACGTGAGTTTCCTTATTTGGATTAGCGTGGCGCGTGGATAGGAATACGCCGTCCAGCTTCACGTAGATCTCTTCCCTTTTCCTCCTCTCCATGCTTGAAGTTCTCGTCGATAGCTGCCTAGATAGCTGAATAGCATCATATTCATCGTCTAGTTGAGTTCCGTGACATCTACTACGAAGCCATAAACAACCACGTTATCAAGGTACGGGCTCACAGGTGGTCAGAAACAGATAGATTAGTAGTTGATACTCAGGCTAGCTACAGGATCTCTATCTATCAGCTCCAGGTTGCAAGCAGGCTGGTACAGGTGGGCTCGACAGGCAGGACGTAGCTCAAAGAGCTACAACAGGATCCAGGCAAGGAGTCAGAGATAACTTCGTTGTGGGTCACGTGGTCTGTCAGTACAGGCATAACAGGCTCTAGCCGCAACTCCGTCATACCTCGGTATGGCGGTGTGGCCCTACGCCAGCGGTTCTAGCTGCTATCCGCAGCAGCGCCGTGACACGTCCGCTCCAGACTCGGCGGCATCCACTCCGCCAATCTCCTCATCCGATCCGTAGACTACGCCGACATTGTGACGATCAGCTATAATAGGATGAGAAGAGGAAAGCAACTCGTCATTTGGCCGTACTGTCGAGGAATATCGTACACGAGGAGAAGAAGGAAAGGGAAAAAGGTGAAAGACATGGTGGGGAGGAAATAGGAGGCGAGGGCAGCTGCCTGCCTTCAGCCCTAGCCCTGTGCCCTACTTGCTCAATCTGCTGGCACCTTCCAAGACGTGCCAGGGTCACATGCTGACGGTCATACCTCAGGGTCGTCACACCATGTGCCCTAGAACCCAAAGTAAAGTTTGCAAATGCCAACAAGCATATGCCTTCCCAGTGACGCCAATATGTAAAGGGGGTGTACATGCGTTGTTCCCTGCGACAGGAACCAGGTTATGATTGAGGCATCTTGGGGGTGGATATACCAAGACGATGCCACCTATACCATATGGCACCAAACATCTAGCAAGAAAACAATATAATGACAAAAGGAAACACAATGATGAAGGAGCTTCACTTTGTTCTATACAATGATGATGATACTAGTGAAGCAACCTAGAAACCAAAAGAATGCTCAATTTCTTGTAATCATCTGGGAGGAAACCCTCCTTAAGTACTCTCCGGCAGCGGGCTCCACCATACATCGGTATGTTGGAGTCCGCGGTTGTACGGCGTTCCAAGATAGGAAATACGAGAGATCCGGGGTTCCGTAGTGCCCCCGACACACTTCCAGGACTCCACCATACCTGAGTATGGCGGAGTCTGACCGTCCAACTCGGTAGGCAGTATATTAAGACAAGAAACAGGAGAAAGAAGGGTCCTATCTATGGATCTAGTGCCCCCGGTGTGAGGTCCCAATCTGTGGGAATAGGATGCAATAAATGAATTCTACGTCTATCTCCTAGATACAGGCAGACAAGCCAAAGCAATCAAGCATGGGAGGGAAAGGAAAAGGGAAGATGGCTACACTGCCGACGAGAAGGCTTTTATATCTCGCCATCTGTGCCAAACGGAAACACCCGTCAAAGGGAAGAAGGCAAACATGCATTTCCATGTGAGCCTTCACACTGGCACACCATCTGAATATATGCATAATTTTGTAGTACAGCCACAGTTGTCGTTTACCCTTGACCATAAAAATGTATCTCTTCCTCCTATTTGTGCATGTACCAGTCAGCAGATAATTCAGATTCATTGTGACGACTGGACCAGGAGACTGAACAGCCAGCAGGAGGGGATTTAGGAGTTTTCGACCATGCATGGACATGCAACAAGGACATGGGAGGATTCTACAGTTGGAGTCGAAAACAGTTTCCCCTAGACACACTCATGGATTGTTTCCTGAACCCTATCTTGAAACATCCTAGTCTAAATTTGGTAACTCCCAACAACCCTGTATTGGTGCATTGTAGTATAAAACGAGTCATCGTAAAATACCGTAACCATAATAGACAACAGCCTCAACAGTGAACAAGCTGGGCAATCTGGCAAGTTTACTCTTAACACAATCCCAGACATTTTTTCCATCAAGTTCTAGCTTACCAAGATTGGTTATCTGTGAGCTTACTGAGTTTTCTATTAATTCTATGTCTAAATGAGTCCTCCAATTCTATTAACGTTGATGCTCAATGTTTATAATTGTTGTGGAATATGCATGTAACTCAGGGAAGAAGGGCAGAATGAAGCTGTATCAACTACACGTACGTAGCCTACTAAGGAACGGATGCCATTCACTACTTGTCTCTCTCTCTGCATACAATCAGGGGCCCGGATTCTCAGGGGTTAGAGAGGGAGCCAATGTTGGATCACGTGGGATTCTGCCGCATAGGTCCGCCCTCGCTGACCCTTTTCACCACGTAGACCTCAAAACCCAAAAAAAAAAAAAATCTGTCCTCCCCTTTTCATTTGTTATATCTCCATCCCCCCCACCCCCACGCAGAATATGTGTCGCCGCTCTGGCCCAGGAATCCTAGGCAAACTCCGCGGGAGTTTTTGCCAGCATGTATGATAGAATTAGCTTAGCTACCAGATAGGCAGTTTCCGCTCTGCCCGTCGTATATTCCGTTCCGGGATCCCTGCGGGCACGTGATTAGCGCGTGTCCCACACCGACGTTAAATAGCACTACTACTACTACTACTACAAAAGGGGTTTAAAGCTGCAGGAATAATCGGTAAATGTTGCTTTGCTACAAGTTGGTTGTATTGACTGCCCAACATAACCTAAAAGACACTCAACAGTTCGATGTGCACTACTACAAGGTGAGATCTCCACCTTGGTTATTGACACTGGAATCTCAATCTACTCACATCTTTTTATAGCCCTTTCAAAATGCAGCAGAAGGTTATTGCCATAATATCCCCCTTGGGTATTCACATCAGCACCATTGTGTCGGGGGCACTGCGAAACCCCGGATCTCACATATTTCCTATCTTGGAACACCGTAGAACCGCGGACTCCGACATACTAATGTATGGTGGAGCCCGCGGCCGGAGTACTTAATGGAGGGTTCCCTCCCAGATAGTTACGAGAAATTGAGCATTCTTTTGGTTTCTAGGTTGCTTCACTAGTATCGTTATCGTCGTATAGAGCGGAGCGAGGCTCCTTCGTCGTTGTGTTTCCTTTTATCGTTATATCGTTTTCTTGCTAAGATCGTTCGGTGCCGTGTGGTATAGCGGCATCGCCTTGGTATATCCATTCCTGAGATCCCTCGATCACAACCCTGTTCCTGTCGCAGGGAACAACGCACGTATGCCCCCCTTTACACCATGATCTAGTAGCATTTGCACCACCTTCTCATGGCCCCTAGAAGATGCAGCCTGCAGGGCATTGCCATACCGTCCCCCTTGGGAATTAATATCAGCACCATGATCTAGTAGCATCTGCACCACCTTCTCATGGCCACTAGAAGATGCAGTGTACAGGGCACTGCCATAATATCCCCCTTGGGCATTGACATCAGCACCATGATCTAGTAGCATCTGCACCACCTTCTCATGGCCACTAGAAGATGCAGCGTGCAGGGCACTGCCAAACCGTCCCCCTTGGGCATTGACATCAGCACCATGATCTAGTAGCATTTGCACCACCTTGTCAAAGCCTTTGAAAGATGCAGCCTGCAGGGCACTGCCATAATATTCCCCTTGGGCATTGACATCAGCACCATGATCTAATAGCATCTGCACCACCTTGTCAAAGCCTTTGAAAGATGCAGCGTGCAGGGCATTGCCATAATATCCCCCTTGGTTGTTCACTATTTCCAGTAAATGGCCATATTCAGCATCTGCTGCAATCATGCTGCTCAAGGTAGACTCTAATCCCAACAAGCTTATGTAATATAGAGGTGATCCATATGAGTTCTTTTTCATGATCTTTGGACCATCCATATCATATAACCTGATCCAGGTGTTGAAGTAGTTTGTGTCATGCAGAAATAACCTTTGCAATAGCTCTTCAATCTTTGACTTGCCTTCTTGAGAATTTATGTAATGGTGATACCAGTATTGAGCAGCAAAGTGAGCCAAGGGAAATTCCTTCATCTTCCTTGCATCAAATATCCCATTGGACAGTATTGGCTCCAGGAGATAGACAAGACATATCTGGGCTATTTCTGTGTTTGCTGGCCCACTTTGAATGGCAAATATCTTCACTTTTGTTTGTAGGATGCGTTCTGACTGGAGGTATTCCTGGACAGAGAAATGCGCGATGCGAGCAGTCAAAATACTTTGGCCACTCTTAGGTGGCACACTTTCATCTGTTCTAGAAATTTCAATGAGCCCAAGACATATGTCGATAAGATCATTTTGTTCATAACCTCGGCCTTCACGATCAAGGTGTGGTGGCACATTAAGGTCAACTGCATGAGCCTCAATCAGCTCATTAACAGTGAGTGGTCGGGTGGAGAAGCAAAGTAGAGTTAGAACCCGACGCACATCATCAATGTAGGTTTTGTCAATGCTGCTTAAGATTTGCTCATATGTTTTATCAAGATCCTGAGGCAGAGTGCGTAGAGAAATATCAAGCTGGTTCTGGTTTCTAGCCTTTCTGAGCTCCTTGAGCTGACATTCAACATATCTAAATCTGTGGATAATTTCAGCCAAAAGAAATTTTTTTTTTTTTTTTTACTTATGGAACTTACACTCCTTGTGCATTCTTTGTCAATTGTTCTTGAATCCTAATGTGTCGAGTTTTCCACCTCTGAAGCTTTGTGTCATATTTGAGTTGATCAGAGACAAAATTAGCTATGTCTCTGTCAATCTCTGGATTCTTCATTGATAGGACCTGGCCATGGGAAGGATCAAGAGACTGATGGATATCAAAGTGGTTGCGACTGGTCACCAAAAGATGAAGACCAGGTAAGTTCCACTTCCGTATTGCCCCTATTATTCTCAAAACATCTTCTCTTTCACAATCTCGGGGGCTTTCATCTAATGCATCAAGCAGAATAAAGGCCTCATGGAATTGGCAAAGGACACTTCGAAGAGAGTCCAGTAATGCATCCACTGGAGGGGTACCGAATTTATGTGACTTGTATAGCTGTTCCAGGTCTTTTTCACCATTTTGAAGCTGCACTGATAGCTGTAATAGCAATGCACACAACATTCCATGACTGTTTTGCTTTGCCTCATCATTGAAGGAAAAGTAAAAGAATGCAATACCAATCCCATGCTTATCCTTCATCTCATGGAATGTGTGCTGGATGGCAGTTGAGCACAAAACAGACTTGCCACATCCTGCAAAGCCATTGATCCAGAGGAAGGAATTGTGCCCCACCAGCCAATTTCTAAATTGATCGCTATTAATGAACCATAGTCCAGTACTTGAATGCCGTTTTGCACATGCAGTATTGTGGTCAATGGAGACATCAGGGGCCATGAGCCAATTATGAATTGTTGAAGATAGCTGACTCTTATTTATTCGTTCAAGGAGTGATTTGACTTCAGACAGATCATATTGAGTTTGACTGTGGCTTTTGAGCTGCAGGACATCAAGTGCAAGTGACAAGTTTTCTCTTATTGCACTGATATCTTCTGCAAGCTTCAGTAGGGTACTTTTTCGGAATGGATAGGCAGCATGACGTCCGGCAACTCGGATGCGACCTGTTAAATTGGCAACTGGGCCTATAGAGAATTTCTGGCGCTCTTGCTGCAGCTCTTTGATAATTTCCTGGCATCCTTGTATAGCCTTGTTGACTACTTTGAGTAACTCTGCATTATCCTGGGACTGGCGATCCTGGACTGCAGTTTCCAGGGATTCAAAGATATTCTGAAGGTCTTCAAGGTTTCGTGCAATTTTTGCCAGATCATTATCTTGGTCCTTATATGTGGAGTAAAAACTGATCAAAGACTGGGTGACTTTAATACCAAGTGAGAGTAATCCTGCAATCCCTGATGTGATCGAGAGCGGATCAGCCATTGTAGTAGTCAGCGGCCACTTGAGATCAAAAAATTTAGCATTCAAGAGGTCGAGCACGGCATATGTCATGGACTATCAATGATGAATACTAGCTTTGAGAGGACGAGCTTAGTCCCTGTGGATATCACTTGGGAGAAAATCCAAAATGTGCAGTGCCTGTGGTTGAGACTGACAATGAGGGGTACAGGACGCAAGGCTACCCGATCTACCTGTGTCCATCAAATACAGCCTTTCTGGTCACCCTGTCGTCCGGTAATTAAATCATATCTAATTTTAGAAAGGGATCTCTTTAGCTGAGCCAAAGAGAGCTCTAGGATAGAGTTCTGGAATTATGCTACTCTATATGTATGGTTGTTTTCTGAGCAACTCCTGCCTAGTTGTATTGTATCGAATTTAAGATACTGTAAAGCCCTAGATGGAACCTTGTAGAATTCTCACAAACAGCCTGGCCATCTGGCAAGATCTGCACCCAGGTACCCTCTTCCTCTGCCGCCTTCTTCCATTCCACCCCTTACATCCATGGATGATAGAGGTGTCACGGGCTACGTCCAGACATGTTGAATTCTCGGGCGGAGCGCCTCGGTGTCATGGTAGAACAGGGCCTCTGACCGACAAGGCCACCATACCTAGGTATGGTGGCCCGGCACGTGAATGGCTTGAATGGCCATCAAGGATTAACAACCTATATCTGCCTTTGGTTCGCAAAGTTGTATGCTTTTCAAAGAGCTCCTGAAGCCATTCATAACCAAGCTCATTTGTTGTCCACCCATTCTCACTTAGACTGATCCGGTGGTCTTGTGGAATTGAGGAATACCATTGAGATTGATGTTTTTTTTTTCTAGCTAAATAATCTGTGGAGGTAAAGCCTATTTAGGCTCCTTATTCAATGATAGGTAAAAATACCACAAACAACTGGAAAATATTGCCCAATACGCCTTCTCCATGGATATAGTCGATGAATTTCTGGGTGTATGTGTCCAAACCAGATTATACCCCTACTAGTGGAGATACTTGTGACGACCGTACCTGAGGGCACAGGGCTAGGGCTGAGGGCAGGCAGCTGCCCTCGCCTCCTATTTCCTCCCCACCATGTCTTTCACCTTTTTCCCTTTCCTTCTTCTTCTCGTGTACGATATTCCTCGACAGTACGGCCAAATAACGAGTTGCTTTCCTCTTCTCATCCTATTATAGCTGATCGTCACAAGTTCCTTGACTGATACTCCTTATATGTGTCAGGTTTTTGATGGTCCAAGGCCTGACTGCGTTGTGCCGGGGGCACTACGAAACCCCGGATCTCTCATATTTCCTATCCTGGAACGCCGTACAACCGCGGACTCCGCCATACTTAGTATGGCGGAGCCCGTGGCCGGAGAGTACTTAAGGTGGGTTTCCTCCCAGATAGTTACGAGAAATTGAGTATACCTTTGGTTTCTAGTTTGCTTGACTAGTATCGTTTTCATCGTCGTCGTATAGGAGCGAGGCTCCATCGTCGTTGTGTTTTTTTTCTTTTATTACATCGTTTCATTACAAGATCGTTCAGTGTGTCCATCCTTGAGATCCCTCCGCCCGAAGAGGGCTCCTGGGTCGGTTGGGCGCGAAGAAGGCTGAAGTAGGGCTGAGCGGACGGGAAGCCCTGTTTTCCACACCCTATTATTACACCCTATGGCCGCATGCACTACACATCTTAAGAAAAGGGATTATATACAAGATGATATATCGATATAACCCTAATTACAACTTGGACTTCACACTTGCTTGAACAACCAATAATCCCCCCAGTGAACCCTCATCCCGCCATTTCTGCAGGTAGTCGAGATACGACCGCGTCCCCTCAGACCATGCACTGGCCTTGGCCCGCTTCCGTTTTTCCTCCGGATCAGAGATGTCCCCGCTTCGTTATACGAATTGAAGTATCCCGGCGTACAGCCCGCCAGTGTCGAGTAAAACGGGGCACGTTTCAAGATCTGCGCCGTGTGCGCTTCCTCGGCATCGGGCGTTACCTCGATGATAGCCCGTTGACCGGGACCGACGCGACGCTCAGCCTGGGCAATTATGTACGTGATGTGCGTCGCGATGATACCCAGCATCATGATATTGTTTCCTGTCTGCGTGGCCTGGTTGGCGCTCGAGAAGAAGAGGTTGGGGAAGCCGTTCGTCGCGTAGCCATGCAGTGTCGCGGCCCCCTTCGTCTGCCACTTCTTGTCCAGAGACTGTCCGTTGCGGCCAATGATCTCCACGCCCGTTCGCACGGCGGGACTTCCAATGCCATAACCGGGTGCCCGGTAGCCTGTTGCGAAGATAATGATGTCGAGCGGGTATTCGTTGTCACCGACCACGAGGCCGCATTCTGTCGCCCTGGACACACCTTTACCGTCCGTGTCAAGTAGGTGGACGTAGGGCCAGTTGAAAGTCTGCAGATACGTGTCGCTGAATGTTGGCCGCTTGCACCATGACGGATACCACGGCTTCAGCCGAGCTGCTGTGTCTGGGTCCTTGACGAGCTGGCCAACTCTGGCGCGAACCGTCTCCATGTGCGACAAATCCAGAATGTGGAATCTGGTGGCCTGTTCTGCCAGATTTTCAGGCGAGGGATCAACGATCCCATGGCTGGGCGATCCCAGGATAGCCGAGTATGCTGGCATATCTTTCCAGCCATCGTTGACTAGGTTCTCCTCGCCCGGTTTGGCCGAATTGGTCAGGAACGTGTTGAAGTTCAACTGCCGCTCAAACTGCCATCCTTTGTTCCGGGCAACTCTGCTTCGAAACTCGTCCGGGTCGGTCGGATGCTGTTTGCGTTGTTTGACATATGCCGGCGTACGCTGGACGACATACAGCTCTCCCGCGAACTTCGCAACCTCTGGGATGACTCCGATGGCCGTCGCCGCGGTCCCCACGACGGCAACCCTTGCCCCTCAGTCCCGAAAGGGTCTGGTCCGTAGGCGAACCGCCGGAGATGGCGTAGTTCCAGCGTGATGTGTAGAACAGTGAGCCGGAGAAGGACAGGATGCCAGGGATTCTGGGAATCTGCGGTCGAGTGAGAACGCCCGCGGCGAGGTAGACGTACTCAGCTCGAAACTGTAGGGGGATTGGAGCAGCAGAAGGTCCACATCCTTGTACAAGCTTGACAGTCCAAAGCTGCGTCTTCTCGTCCCATTCGACACTCTTCACGTCGGACCGGAAGAGTGTCTTGTCTACCAGATCCCATTGCGCTGCAATGCGTTCCGCGTGCAATCGGATCTCTTCACCTGGAGAATAGTTGTTCTCGGGTACATAGCCCGTCTCCTCCAGAAGCGGCAGATAGATGTAGCTCTCAAGATCGCAGTGAAGGCCAGGAAATCTATTCCAGTACCACGTACCCCCAAACCCTCCCCCCGGCGTCAGCAAGACGAATGTCGCTGGCGGATGCGACGCCTTCCTCGATCAGACGCACAGCATACTGAAGAGCCCCAAAGCCCGCGCCCACGACGAAGAACCGGTACACTTCTCCGTTCTTGATGGGTGAGTTCTGCGCGTTCAAGGCGTCGTGGTCCACCCACGGGTCTTCAACAAGGGCGTGCAGCCGCTTCTCGTCCGTCTCTGTCAGCTGGAGAAACTGCTCCAGGCCTTCGGGTCTGATACGTTTGGCTGCTTCTTCGGCGTAGCGTTTGCGAACGGCTTCCAGCTTCTCACGGTCCACTTGGGCTTGCTGATTCACGGCCATCTTAATTTTCAGTTGAGTGCTTACTATAAAGAAGACCTATTTAGGATGCAAGTAGAGCAAAGGGAATTATGGTGAGGGGCTTTTCATTTCTCTCGAATGCAGTTTTATATAGATAAGCGGGCCTGCGATGACACCAGATGCTGGACGAAAGACGCAACAACAAGCGAAACTGAATGAGCCGAGTAGCCGAAGGATTCATCATTAATAGAAGAACACCTGAATTCTATCGGATTTAAGAGTAATGAGGATGCTCATTTCTTTCTTGGGTTAGGAATAGTCGTCCGCGGGAGCCTGTCTTCTATTGCCGGACTATACTGCAGATATCTATAGCATCCGTACAAAGCCCAGGCATTGCTGCAAGCTGACTATCACCACGAGGAACTGTTGATCATCCTATCCTCGAGAACATCTACATCTTCTTCTCCCGTACAGGCTTGACCCTTCTTGTGCGCCTTAAGCGTGGCACGCCGCATCTGGACTCCGAGAACCAGCAGTCAGGTTTCTGTCTTCCCCCGTTCGCCGGCTGAGGTAGTCCTAACAGCTCAACTTCGGGATAGGGTTACCTCCTGAGCCCCTTTTAAGTTATCCTGTGTGGAATGACACTTCAACGGACAGGAATACATTATCTTCCGTCGTCTAAAGTTTCACATGGCAGTGTATGGAAGATTCCAACATCTGGGCTTCGGATTAGGGCCATGATTCCGAACCCTACCTCATTTTCGGAGATGAGACAACCACTTCCAAAACACTGATTTTGTAAAAGAAGAAGATATACCGGTACCCCCGAATCGCCATCCCAACCCGCAAGGGATGCGATATCAAAGCTGATAGATTGTGGCTTTCGTATATCGGCTACTCTACGGCTTAGGTGGGACTGCTAACCTGGAGCTTCCAGTTGCAGAATGCGAGGAGTAAAGTGGAATATCACGCTTGATATTGGGACTGCTATTGCAAGCTTTGGGCTTCAGGTTCTTATTACTATTCTCATTTCTTTTGCGGTAGATTTGCATAAAGATTTGCCTAGGCGTTGGTGTTTTGTGGGTTTCTGGAGGGGTGTGTATGGTTTTGTAAGTTTCTTTCTTTCTTTCTAGTTGCTTTGATTGACTGGATTACTGGCTGTGATTAGACTAGATCTTTCTATTTCCCCAAAATGTCCTCTGAATTGGGCTTGGGGATGTCCGCTAGCATTTTCGTTGCTATTGTTGGAGGTGCGGCTATGATTCCTACTATTTTCGTTCAGATTGCGGCGACCAGAAGACCTTGATGCAAATAATATGACCCGAGCACAGGCAGATAGATCAATAAAGAGTAGAATTACTAGGAGTACTATGCAAGCAAGATATCCGGTAGAGGATACGAGAGCTTGTGGTAGGAGATGTTACGTGCTGCCGAGGGTAGCTCATCCATTTCCGATATTGGTCTTACCATTTATTTATTTTTTAAACAAAGGGTAGTGACTCTGAGCATCCTTTACATTGTAGGCCATAGCACTAGATGGCATGTTATCTAGAACCCGTATGCAGCTTACACACGCCCATAGATTGAGCTCGGTTCACACAACCATTCAGCACGGCCGATCTACCTATACCTTGGTGTACCGCAAGTATGGCTTCAGCTCTCTGACCTCTCCAAACTTCTTCTTTGCATCCTCAGTCGACACGGACGGCGGCACAATCACATCGTCACCAACCTCCCAGTTGATAGGAGTCACGACACCCTTCTTGTCGCCGGTCTGCAGCGAATCAATGACCCGCAGGACCTCCGCGGTGTTCCTACCAGTCGAGGCAGGGTACAGCATGATCAGACGGATCTTCTTGGCAGGGTCGATGATGAAAACGGATCGGATGGTGAAGGCAATGCCCTTCTTGGGTAGGTCTTCCAGATCCTGTTGACTGATCATATCATACAGGAATGCCACCTTGCGGTCAGCATCCGCGATAATGGGGAATTGAACGTTGGTGGATGCGACCTCGTTGATATCTTCTACCCATTTCCCATGGGAGCTGAGGTCGTTGGCACTCTGGGTGAAACGCGGTTAGCTAAAATGAGCCAAAAAAGAGAAAAACGCCCAACCTACCAAGCCAATCATCTTGACGCCGCGCTTTTCGAATTCATCCTTCAGTTTGGCGAATGCACCGATCTCTGTGGTGCATACGGGGGTGAAGTCGGCTGGGTGGGAGAAGAGGATTGCCCAGCTGTCGCCGATGAACTCGTGGAAATCGATCTCACCATGGGTAGTCTGGGCCTTGAAGTTGGGTGCTACACAGAAACCATGAGCAATGGACTCGGAAATTATAGCTGCTACTGGTCAATCAACTTACCAGTCGACCCAAGGCGCAACCGCGGCTGTTCCTGGGGGGTCGTGGCGAGGAACCGGCGAACGAGAGGCTGCGCGAGAGGCTGCGGGCGAACGAGTTTGGGGGCTAAGGATGCCCTGGACAACGGGGTCATCCTGGAGACAGAGCTCAAGGCCCGGAAGCTCATACGCGGAAGAATCGATGCCATGATTGAGACCGATGGTTTCCTCTGCGGTTACCGTCCAATTCGACGAGGTTGAAAGTTGGAAGTCGAAAGTTGAAGAGAAGCTCCAAAACACGTGACCAATGCGGGCACGATGGCGTCATCGCGAACCGTTCCGACGCTAACCCTGTCTGGGAATAGCGCATTACTTGCCGCCTGAGGCAGTCATTGGGTACAGCCCTAACAATGATAACTAGTTATTCTGTCTGCGAGGCAGGATGTTGATGGGGGATTGAACTCGCCGAGTTGGTTGATGTAGCTAGGGAGGTCCGGTTCAAACGGAACTATCTATGCTATGCTACCTAGGAAGGAGCTGACATAGGAGAACTGCCAACGGATATCTCCGGCTTCTGTCTTGACCCTGTTGTAGCTCTTTGAGCCACGCCTTCCTGTGCTTCGATTAAGCGATGCACTGCTTTTCAATGGACCAGACCTCGCAGAAATAGATGTTAATAAGGCTGCTGGTTTCTAGAAACTTACGATGGTCAGGGGTATACGTATAGCACAGTCCTGAATATCCCAAAATATCCCAACTGTAGATATAATATACATGGAAATGATAGAACAAGCCGTCGTAACTCCATATCCTCCTTTTCTTTTTATAACGCTACCATGATGTCCGTTCACGCGGCGTCTCATGCCTTGTCTCATTTGTAGACCGCAACTCGTATTGCACCGTGACATTGTCCGTCCGACGAATACCCCCCAACAGGTCATTGTCACTGCGCAGGTCCCCATGGTCCCGGAGGATACTCTCCTGACTCTCGATATCGGTGATGATGATGCCGGGTTTGCGCGTTGACTTGCTCTGCTTCGACTTGTTGAATGTCGTCGAGTCATATGCGCGGCCGCTGCTGTCCTTGTAGCGATTGCGGCTGTTACCGTAAGAACTCGCGGTGCGTCTTCCGAGGAGCAAATCGAGGACTGGCTGGAGGGTTGGGATGCTCGACGCGATAATGACGACGTTGGATTCAACGCTGGATGGGTGGTTGGATTGATATATGGGTTGCACGTCGGGTTGGGTCTTACTTTGTCCAGATGTTGAGATCGGCCGTTGCATCTGGGTTACGTTTGTCAGCTGAGGTCCAATGGGGATTGAATTGAATACGTAGAAGATCCTTACATGTATAATCCGTCTGGTCCTTGAGCGTGTGCAGCTGCAAACACTTGACGATTGCCATTGCAGAAGCACTGGGGATAGTCAGTTAGATATTATATTGTCTCCGCTGCAGGGAATGGACCACACACATAGAACCAAGGCCCAATGCCGCACAGAGGGCCAGTCGTTTGCGCAAGGACATGTGCAGTTTCATCAGCACCGTCGATGGATAGAGGGCCAGATACATGTCAACAAAGGCTGACAGTGCTACGCGCCGAGTCAGCATAGTCTCGGAATGAATAGAGCAGACCCGAGAAACCAACCGCCGGTAAAGACTGCATAATCGATCAGAATCCAGACGTTCTTGCATTTCGCCTGGCCCTCCAGCACGAGATGCGTCTGCCACAGCGCCTCCGGCGGATCGCACATGGTAAACAGCATAATAATGCATATGCAGCACACGACGAATGCGAAACCCGTTATAAACCATATCCATATGCGGTGCGCGAGACCGGGATTCAGGACGCGATTCAGCAGTGAAGCCACTGCCAGCTTGGGGATCGCGAAGGATAGGATGCCGAATAGGAAGCTCAGCGAGTTCAGAAGCATTGCTCGTTCCACGTCGTCTTCTTCGAGGACGTACGCATGCTTGCCGTAGCCGGTATGCACGTTTGCTGTGGTGATGCCGCAGTATACTAGGCCGAGAATCTGGCTGATATCAGTTTCACGCACGCCCGAATAAGCAACAAAAGACAACAAGGACATGGCCGGTCCGGCTCAGTGCTCACCAACGAGAGAACAACCAAGTAGTCGTCAATTCCTACTTTCCGTAGCAAGGCACATCGAATGTAGATTCGCGTAGCCACAACCACAGTCGTAAACCCCGTCAAGGCCCACAGAATGGAGAGAATCCTCGGCCCCTTGTCGTCGCTGGGACGCCCAGGAGTAGCAGACATAGTCAATCAGGGAACAATGCAACCAAGGCTCTAGACTGAAGCCAGAAAGGAACTCCCGGGATAGAGCGAAACAGCCAGCGATAAGTGGAGTATAAGAACACCGAAGGATTTTATTCTCCCACTGCCGTCTGGCCCCTGGCAGTTCCGTGTCCGAGCTAACCTGCAAAAGATTTGCTAAATATGCCACTGCAGGTGCCAATCCCATGCAGCTAGGCCTCGACGCACTGCATACTTGCGTCTGCAGATCGGCATTCGCCTGGCGAAAGAAGCTAATTTCGCCTCTCCTCGAGTTTTCGGCAGGAAGGAGTCCGAAAGCAAAGGGATGCCGTGCAATGACTGTTACTAATGTTAGTTCTAGCACGGCCGCTGTCAATGGATCATATTAATCATATTAATTTGCCTCTCCACCGGCCGTAGACCAGAGATGGCGATCGTCGTCTGGGAAAAGAAGCCGGCTGGCTAAATTGTCTGTCATGACAAGCGGATTGTGGAGCCGGCGGCTACGGTGCGAAAGCGAAAGCATCGTCAGTTACTAACAGGGACTATTAAAGAGGCCTGTAAATATCCCTCGGTGGAAACTATGGAATATCACTCGGTGAGAACTATGGAGTAGATGGGTCTGTTATTCTTCCGCCGTCTTCCCACTGTGCGAAAAGGGATAATGCTCTTTGCCGAGTATATGATTCTGTTTCCTTCGCCTCTCGACTCTTCTCAGTGCCGGATCTCTCGTATATCTATCCCGGAAGAATGCTCAATGCTGATTTCTCCCGGCTGACGGTTGCCAATGCCATTGACGTCGACGGAGGACGGCGTGTCGTCCAGAGTAACGCTCTTGATCCATCATACGATATTAATCATAGCCGTGCGATTTAGCTTTTCATGATCTTCGCCCGGTACCCACACGGTTCGGCCGTCGTGGGACTTGTTTGGTGAACTGGATGACACCCAAAACGGGCTGAGCGCCACTGACACCCGGTAGCAATTCTGAAACGGGCCATCAGACCTTCTTCTACCCTTTTCTCCAGCTGTATCCAGCCAGTGATCATCCCTGTTAACCGCTGTGGGCTTGACAGGTGGCTTGACGATGACGGCCCAGCGGGAAGGGCCAGAAGTGACGGTGGGCCGTTATGGCGCTTTTCTTTCGCTGGAGGAGCTTATAACATGTGGTCTTTCCCCGTGGCTTCTGCAGAGTGATGTCTGTAGCTCTGTGGTTCTTCTGTGCCGTCCAGAAACCAGAAATCTTGTTTCATAATGACTCACGCCAACGGTGAACGCAACGGTGCGGCTAACGGCCCTTCCAAGACGGCTTTTGCCGACGAAGATGTTGCCATCAGGGCCAATGCCCCCCAGGAAGTTCCGGCTCTCCTGAAGAAGATCGCTGCTAGTGGCGAGGGGTTCATTGCTGGCCAGGATGAGGAAGTACGCGCCGGCTTGCTCGACACGGCCCGGTCACTGGTGTATGCGCTGGAGACTCCTCGCGAGGCGATGATCAGGCTTTGCTGGGCGCAGGTAACCATGTCGTCCATTTCTAAGCTCAATCGTGCTTGAGGAACCAACAAGCTTACACATTGTACCATGTAAGAGTAGTGTCTATGCTGCAATCGAGACCGGTGTCGACTTGGGGCTTTTCACCGTCTTGTCCTGCGATGATACCCCGAAGAATGCGACATACCTCGCAGAGGCAACAGGCGCTGACCCGGCGATGCTGTGTAAGGCTGATTCAACTGTGTATTTATATTGCCGTCGAGCTAATCGAATTGCAGCCCGCATTCTCAAGCACCTAGCGGCCATGGGCGTCATCACCGAAACAGGCCCAGACGTATACCGTCGTACCGGCTTCTCAACCTCCTTAATCTCACAACGATACAGCGATGGATACCCATGCATGTAAGCTGAATCAAGCATCTCTCCCCCCTCAAAAATAATATGAACGCATCTAAGAAGATCAGGACTGGTTGTATCACGGCCGGTGTCGAAGCCCTTCCCGCGTACCTCAAGAAGACAAACTACCGCAACCCCAGTGACGGCAGCAATACAGCCTTCCAGCTCGGATTCCGAACAAACTTACACTTCTTCGACTACCTCAAGGAGAACCCCGTGTATGCCTCGCAGTTTAATAATCACATGTCTGCGTACCACCAGGGACGGCCGAGCTGGATGGATGTCGGCTTCTACCCTGTCCCGACACTCATTGAAGGAGCAGACCATGGTGAGGACGACGTGCTCCTCGTCGACGTAGGAGGGAGCGTAGGACATGACTTGTCTGAATTCCGACGCAAATGGCCCGATGCCCCTGGCAAATTGGTGCTGCAGGATCTTCCTGCTGTGATTGAGCAGGCGAAGACGACAGACCTCCATCCATCCATAGTGCCTATGGCGCATGACTTTTTCCAAGAGCAGCCGATCAAGGGTGAGTCTTCTCGTTTCTTTTCATCCATCTCGTAATTTACTCAGGTCCATGGCTATTTAGGTGCTCGCGCCTATTACATGCACTCCGTCCTCCATGACTGGACCGACGATAAAGGCCGGGAGATCCTTTCGAACATCACCGCCGCCATGAAACCCGGGTACAGCAAGCTTCTCATCAACGAGAACGTGATTCCCAGCACGAACGCGTACTGGGAGACCACGGCGTTGGATGTCATTATGATGGCGGACTTCGCCTCGACTGAACGCACGGAAAAACACTGGCACGCGCTGCTGGAGTCTGCTGGGTTGAGGATCGTCAAGATCTGGACCGTGCGGAGGGGAGTGGAGAGTTTGATCGAGTGTGAGCTGTCTTGATGGTGGAATTACATTGTACATAGTGGGTTTATTGTTTATAATTGCTGGACTGTGATTAATAGACCAAGCTAATAGATGGTCACTATGATATTTCAGCGAGTACTATTCTGCTACTATCGTAGTCAGGGCTATCCACGTGACCCTGTAAGACCTAGACAAGCTATCAGGACTGTGCCATTCCTTGCTCTTTTATAAAGCCTCCACTCGCACAGACAATAGTTCATCATTATTATGAGTAGACTTTGCTGTTTTTGTTAGTGCTAGCGGTTCTATTTGTTTCTTGGCTGGATGTTATGGTACTGAATGTTGCTGTTGTCTAGTTTCCATGATAATGACGAACACAAGACCAGTGGATCAATCTTAATAGAGGGTTACTAGATATTTCCGTATGTGACACGAGACAGAAATATCAAGGACAAGTTAGGCTGTTAATCCTGCATACATCTTGTAAAACAGAACATGGAAGATATAAGAAAATACCCACTACAGCCCCAACACAATCTTCCCAACACCTCTTGAAACGCAGCTGAGCATCGCACAGTCCTTGTCCGAGTCAAGCAGTCCACTACCTTTATGATCAACTTTGCCCTCGATTACATCAACACGACAAGTGCCACAGTTTCCCACCTCGCACGAGGAGGGCACATCAATGCCCGCTTCTCTCAATACCTCCAAAAGAGACTTTGACGAGGGCACTTCGAGCGTTTCCTTGCTCACGGCCAATTCTGCGGTGAAGGGATCCCCGGTAGTGGCGCTGAATGTTTTGAAATGGACCTGGCTTTTGGGCACGCCGCACTCGTCTGCTGTTTTGGATACGGCATCCATAAGACGGGACGGCCCACAGCAGTAGATATGGGTGCCGGTATTCATTTTCGAGATGATCTGTTTTATATCCAGTCGCTGGCCTTTGGATTTGTCGTAAATAATGACTCTGTTGGGGCTGAGTCTTTGCAGTATGTTTTTAAACGGCACGTTATTTCTTGACGAAGTTGCAATATATAGTTCAAATTTCTGGTCGGACTGTTGCAGCTGCTCCGCCGCAGCTAGAAAGGCAGTGATGCCTATTCCCCCTGCGACCATGATATGCTCATCTGCATCCGGTACGAGAGGGAAACTGTTGTCAATCCGGCTCATCGGTATGACTTGGCCGACTTGGATTGTTTCGTGAAGATAGCGCGATCCACCGCGAGAGTTTGGCTGCAAGGCCACGCCGAGCTGGAAGCGACTTTTCGTGCCACTGACAATAGAATACGAACGTACCAATTGGCCTAGTTGCAGCCGCACATGAGAGCCAGGAGCAACAGCATACTCCGGGTTGGAGGGCTCTAATGCCTCAAAGAACAAGGACGTAATCAGGGGAGTTTCAGCGCGCTTCTCGACGAGACGGAAATTCGACCATACATCGCTGCTCATAGAGACAGACTCGTCACCAACAAGACGGTCGTCGGGGTTTTCGAACTTCCTTTGTAACCGGTTTTGGAAAATAGTACGGGCCTCTTCGCCCAGTTCTGGTAGTTTGACGAGTTCTCTCATTGCCGGGAAATTCTTCATATCCCGATGCAGATATTTCTGGACTTCATAAATCGACCATTTGGGATTCGGACGCCCCACGAGAGCCATTTCATCTCCAGCGCGGATATATCCCTCCTTCAGAACGCGATAGTACCACCCCGTACGGCTATGGGTCTGCGAGCGAAGTGCCATATCCTTAACTTGGAAACGGTGATTGAGCTTAAAACACGGCTGCCTGGGCAGGCTAACCTGGACCAGGACGTCATTGCCAATGCTGATTATGTCCCCGATACAAACATTACGCTCGTTAGCGACGGTGGCCACAAGATTCTCTCCGAAGCCACCAATCTCAAACCGAGAAGCACTTCCGGGACATTCAGTTTTCCACCTGTCGTAGTGCTGCGAACAGTACTGCAGCAGCGCCTTGTCGGGGCCACCGTGGAATTCATAGGCCTGCTCGTCACCTTCGCAGCCCCGCTTGGTTATCTTCACCGGGTGATTCTGCACGGTCTTGTAGATGGCTGATGTCACTGGGAGACTGTAAAGGGGCTTAATCTTTCCTGTCCGCAGCTGGAGAAGCGGCTCCCTTTCGAAGGGAGTTGAGAGTCTTTGGATGTATTCGACATCTTCTCCTGCTGGTTTCATATCAGCCACAGGAAGTACAGATGGAGACATTACTTACAGCGCAGGTCCCAGCATATATCAGCAATGTTGCCGGTGGAGAAATATCACCTATTCTAAGCAATAGACTTAATGGAATAGGAAGAGTTTTAAGAGAGTCGATTAAATAGACTACATCAGTCCTAACTTGTTTTGGATAATATATCCGAGGGCACTCAGTGTATACAGCAGCACAACATTGCACAATTCAGATACCCCAGATATCCCAGTAAAGCAGATGGAGATAACTAATAAACCCCGGGATACTGTCTCGCGCACGAGTAGTCTCCTAGTATGACGATCCTGTTCTCGACATCCTCATATCGACGCATCTTGTCTTCGGCTTATTAGCGAGGCTACTTCGGCAATAGCGACAGATAAGCCCTAACTCGGATGATAGAGTGATGTCAACAGGCATTCTTCCATCAAAACCTGCTATGGTGTATACTCTCTTATAACGGCAAATCCTTGACCATTTCCAATCTTGACGGCCATATTCCTTATCAATCTGATATCCTGTGGATACGGCTTATCTTGTCAACAATCAAACATCGATAGATTATCAAGATCAAGACCGATAAGATACGGATTGGATGGAATCAATCTATAGATTTCATTTTCAACGACATGCGAAGAATATGGGACAGAATCAAGATAAGTTCTGCGTAGACAAACAAGGGAGATTGAGGAACCGGATTATGCATGTGGGCCTGACTTACTGTTACTATCCCGGGAATCGAGAATGCGATATAAATCGCTTATACTACCTGGTATGGAGCTTCTCAAAATCCGTGTTTTAATCCTATTTCATTCACGATATCCAGTATAGCCAAAATGGGCCCATCGCTCAAGCTATTTGCTGGTGTGTTTCTGTTCTAAATCCCCTCAATTCGTTATAGCTCACATACAATAGGCAGTGGCCACGCGGAACTAGCTACTTTGATATCAAAGAGGCAAGACTGAATAGACTTATTTATTAACTGCACCGTCGGAAATGAGAATCCATTCTGATGACTTGACTTTCCAAGACTCGGATACCCCGTAAACAGCCTAGAAGCAAAACGCTTCTCCAACGGCGAAACATCCATCACAATCCAAGAATCTGTCCGCGGCGAAGACGTCTTCATCATACAAAGCGCCTCCAACCCAGTCAACGACCTGTTGATGGAATTGCTGATTGCCATAAACGCCTGTAAGATTGCGTCTGCGCGCCGGATAACTGCTGTCTTGCCCTGTTTCCCGTATGCGAGGCAGGACAAGAAGGATCGCAGTAGGGCACCCATAACGGCGAAGCTGGTTGCGAATATGCTTGAGAGCGCTGGGTGTCATTATGTTATTGTATTTCTTCATATTCCTCGTCTTTCTTTTAAGAGAACTGGCTGATAATTAGACTAGACGATGGATCTTCATGCGTCGCAAATACAGGGCTTTTTTAATATCCCCGTTGATAAGTGCGCACCTCATTCTCATTAAAGAGAGTGAAGCTAACACCAGGCCAGTGTAAGGGAAGTCTCACCCAAGAAAGCAGACAGACACTGATATCAATCAGCTATACGCCGAAGCAACAATGATGGAATACATCAAACGCGAACACGAACTTTCCAACGTGGTCATCGTATCCCCCGACGCAGGAGGTGCGAAGAGGTAAAACACCCCTACCCACGCTCTCCTTTTTGAAACATCCATCTTAATACTAATATAAATCCTAGAGCAGCTGCAATAGCAGATAGACTAAAAGTCGACCTCGCCTTGATTCACAAAGAGCGCAAGGTAGCCAACCACGTCAGCAGGATGATCCTCGTCGGCAACGTAACAGGGAAAGTTGCCATCCTCGTCGACGACATAGCGGATACCTGCAGGACGCTCGCGACGGCTGCGCAGGTTCTCGTTGGCGCGGGCGCAGTGCAGTGTCTGTCTATTATCACTCATGGGTTCCTGAGTGGCGAGGCTGTTAAACAGATCGAGGAGAGCTGTTTGAGTAGTCTTGTTGTTGCTAATACGTTGCCCCTGCCGGAGAATGCCCGGGGGTGTGCGAAGATTCGGACGATGGATGTTTCTTATACGCTTAGCGAGGCTATTAGGAGGACGCATAATGGGGAGTCGTAAGTATATGCATAACATTTATGATGATTATTGCTTGTTGATTAACGGTGGCTTTTAGGATTTCGCAATTGTTTCTATAGCATTTCGTTTCAAGACAGCATAATTGTTGTTTCTCAAGCAAGTCAAAGTTGATGCACTATTGAAATTCGAGAAAAACAGACCACTTCCATGGAATAAGCAACGACAAAAAGTTGATAAAAATAAACAAAACACCATCAGTTACGACGTAGATACCCAATTCGTCCACTGGCATTTACATCCTCCAGTACCACCATCAACGCCGCCCCAGAACGTATCCGCCGTTGCCGTCGTGGAAAGATTGAAAATTCCCGGCGCCTGGTTAATTAGATATCCACCAAAACCACGGTTTTCGATCTGTATCTTCTTTTCCGTTGAGTTTATGTGCTGATCTGAATCCACGCCGTAGCAGTAAACTAGTTTCTTTTTGGCCATGCCTCCATGCCGGTCCAGTGTTATGGTTACAGGGTAAGGAAAGGATCCAGGACGGGTGAAGTTGTTGGCTGATGAGGATCTAGCAGTACTAGTTGCCGTAGAGGTAGCAACTGCCTTAGTCGCTGTTGGGCTGCTGTTGTTGCTGCCACTCATGAGAGCCATCCCGGAGCGTCCTGGCTGGGTCCACATTTGAACCAAAAAGCGGGTCTGAGCCCATGTGCATCGTACTCGGGCATCTTCAATACTTGATCCGCCGTTTCTATCGTCCTCGAGGTTATCCGTATTGCTGTTGTTGATAGGAGAAGAAGACTCGAGGAATATAGAGCGATCAAAGTAGGTGTAGAATCCGTAGTGTTCGTTAGGTTGCCCGCGGTTATACAGTCGCACAGGCTGTGATACCGAAAGTGGGTAGAGGTTTGCTGGTGCTGCAGTACCATCAGGATTAACATCTGGAGAAGGGATCAGAGCTGTGAGATTAGGGAACCCCCCCGTGTCGGACCGTCGAACGAGTCGTTGTGGAGTCGACGAAGTTTGAACTGTCGATAAGATCGTAATATAAAATGGCGTCTCCTCACCAGCATATGGTTCAGAATTGCCATCCGTCGTGTTGCCTATGAATTCCTGATCCTGCAGGCTTGGTGGTGAAGGCGAAGGATTGAACAGGTCGCTCGTATCTCTGGCCTTTCTCTGCACCATTGAAGACCTGGGCGATGCCAGTTGCGTGCTGTAGTTAAATGTGCCATTTTGGAACCGAATCTCCACCCTCAAATTGGGCTGGTCCGCAGCATATGGCTCATTGGCAGCCTGCTGTTCCTTTGGCAGAGAGCAGCTCCACAAACTCGAAGGACTGATGCATCCGGAGTTTTCCACCTGGGGCTCGGCCCCCGCGATAGTCGTAATCCCTATAGGCATTGGCGGGTAGCCGGTTAGATTAAGCCATTGTGATTTTACAGGAGTCTGGTCGCCTTTCCTGGTTAAAGTGATAGCGAGAATTATCGCCAGCGCGATGACCAGGAGAAAAAATAATGCAATGACAAAATACCATCTCCGTCTTATTCGACCTTCTCGACCTGGCCTTCCGAAGCACCCTTTACTGCTGAAGGGGCCCAAACCACGCCACAAGCCACCAATCTTCTTGCCAACAGCGTCTTCTCTTTCAAGCCTCCGCCGGCGCTTTTCTAATTTTTTCGCCTTCGAAGTTGGAGGTGATATATCGGATACTGTCACCGGAACGGGAGCGAGGCGAGGTGGTACATTGGCAAGGCTCCTGTCCCTTTGCATCGGTGCTGCCGGAGGTGGGTATGATATGTCTCCCACTGCCATTGGAACAGGGGCAGGCCATGGCGGTGGTGTGTTAACAAAACACTTATCATTAGCTATGACTGCTTTTGTTTGTGAAGGTGGTCGTTCTGGTGCTGGGGCTGGCCCCATATCCAGTGCTTTTGATGAGGAAGACCGCATATCGGACAGTGGAATCGAGCCTGTCTTTTCCGTAGCTTCTTGTAAGCCAGGAGACGTTGGATTGGGAGGTTGCCATTGTGGCTGCAATGGAGGAATAAAGATGACTGGAGGCATTGGATCCTGCATCCGTGCAGCTGTATACTGGGGCAAGCTCTCAGCAGACAGATGCTGGGGGTTGTAATTAGATATTGGAGCTGGCATGGCAGTGCCTGAAGGCCGTTCAGGAAGGGGATTGTACGCCTTTTCCTCTGGCGGATTGATAGGAGTAGAATCTAATGGTTCGGAGACAGCTCTTGTTCCTGTCGTAGCACCTATATCAGCACCTGATGCAAGAAGGCTATTTTTTCGCGGAGGAGAACCGATTATCGGGTCCCCCTTGACAGAAGAGGTGAGAGCTTCATCATAGCTACTGTTAGCGATTGATGTAATTCCAGGTCTGCAAGAAGCGCACAGCGGGAGTGCCTTGTCTTCGAAGGGATTTTGTGGACCTTGATCCGCTGAGCGAGGTGTATCGACCTTGTCAGCTTCAGCTAGCCCTCTTTCCTCACTACATTCAACAAGAACATCAGACTCAGCAATAGGTAGTTTGCTGATAGGCGTTATGGAGCAAACATGGTTAATACATTCAAAGTAAGGAGTTCCGCTGAATAACTCATGAGCACATGCCTGGTAATATTCGGCAGCTTCTCCCTGTATTTCCTGTCCAGGAGATGCAAATGGCATCATGGTAAATTCTGGTTGGGGTTGCTTTTCATTGAATATATCCTCATTCTCGCTATCCACCAATCTCTCTGCATCGAGAAAAGGGTTGTTTCCTCTCTTTTCTGCTTGGAAACGGGGTATCCCACTTATGCTTGTTGCTGCGGTTTCGGCTTCTGAAGGATTCGGAGCGAAAGTGAAGGTTTCTTGGTCCCACCAGCACTTACTCGATTTCTCAGAACTCGCAGTCAATGGGGCATGTATCGGGGATGACTTTTGGCTAGGGGTCTTGTTTGAATTGCCGAGTAATGGAGAAAGAAGATACGTCCACCATCCTTGTGATTGATGCCTATTCAAGTCTGTATTGACGGTTAGATTGCGAGGATTCTTCTCAGCCTTCGAGTCTATCGGGGGGTAATCTTCCTCGAATAAAGTAACACCAGAAAACGCGCGCTGTTTTCTTTCCATTGCTGTTGACACGGATAGTATGTCATAGCTTCCCGAGTCCTGTGTGTTTTCATCTCTGCTGCCAAAAAAAAAATCTGGAACAGAAGGTACAGGAGGGATATCGGACTTAGAATCATGCCTCTCTAAACGTGGAGTGGGTTGGGAGTAAACGCTGGACGCTGCTCGTGGGAGCGGGAGAGAGTCGACCGAATGTAATTCGGACCAAGGGGCCTCCTTTGCCGGAGTAATGGTAATGGACGGTGTTGCCGGGGTCTGCATGATAGCATTCCCTGTATCTGCAACCCCAGGTTCTCTTGATCCGTCTTCTCTTTCGTGTCCTAACGACTTGCCCGTGGACAAAGCCATTCCAATAATGATGGGTCTGTCGGAAGGGCTGAGGGCTTCAATTTCAGACAAGACACCTTCCTTTTCGAGACCAGGCCGGGGTGGAAGAGATTCTGTTTTGATTGGCTCTGGGGACTCTGGCAGTTTATGAAACCCCTGTCTTGTTCTCTTCCTGAATATCTCCTTGACCTTCTGCACAGATCGTTCCCTCTCTCGTTCTTTGGACAGAAGCTTCAAGTCGTTTAGGTCCACGAAGGGGGCGGCGGTGACGCCGACCCGCTTTGAGGGAGCTGAAGGAGAGAAGTTCGTGACCAGATTGAGTCCGATCGGCGGTTCAGTGTATTGCCTCGTTATCTTGTTCAGGTCTAAATTTGGTTTGCTGAAAGGGGGTTTCTCTGGTTGCTGCCGGCGGGAGGAACCTAAATCTGTCATCGTTGTCATTGCCTTCCTGAGGCCTAGCACATTCGGACCAGCCGTGTCATCAGCCCTACTTTTGGCTTTCCCTGATCCTTTTCGTAATATGTTGCGATTAGTCGCCCGTGACAGAAACTCAAAAGGCCTGTTCCTCTCCAGGTTCCTTTCACTTTCATCGTCGGAGGCTGAGCTCAACGGACTGGTAATCTCCTCGGAGATTGGAGAGGACAAGGGGAAATGAGTGGCGGAGGTCGTCAGTTCAGGTTGCTGTTTCTGGCCTATGCTTGCCATTCTTCGTATGCTTTCCTGTGTATCTGAGGGATATCGAAAAAAGGCACTGATCTGGAAGAGAATGTGCGTTAGCTTCTGCAAAGCATCTCCACGCAAGGCAGACGTACCTTATGACAGAATCTTGAGTGATCAAAGAAAGAAGCTTTTCGACTGCTGAAAGAAAAAGATTCGACACTGAGGCTGGAGAATAACAAAGGCAAAGAGAGTGAGACAGACGAGTGAATGTCTTTCTATGCCGCAGACAAGATATTGATTGAATGAAGTGAATTGAACAAAACAATAGCAACGAAACAATGAAAAAAAAGATAAAATAAAATCGATTCCTTTTCTTCCTTGTTTGTATTCTATCCCCAACAAGGAGAGAGGGAGAGAAGGGAAGTAAAAAACGCGAAGAGCACAACACCCTGCTGAAGAAATCAGCCACCAGCCAAATTCCAGATGGGCCCAGCGGGACCTTGCATCAGCTATTTGAATCCATAGCCCCGTCCATGCAGAAAAAAAGAGCTAGGTGTAGTTTATCCAGATGACATGATTGGAGACGAAAGCCTCACAGCGACAGCTAGCTGCGCCAGGGGAGGTATGCCAAAGTTCCGGAGAAGGATCCATTGGAAAAGGAGCGAGTTTGCAAAACACTGTCAAATAGCACCGGTGTAAGACAAATTATAGAAGGCCTGGTAGAATCCCTTTTAAGCGCTGGGGAGGATGAGAAGGCGCTTGATGAGACGGCCGTTGGACAGACTCGCAGCTTAAGCGCCCATGGTGGTTCTCTAAACTGGCTAGTCTAGTGGAAGGATGCTGTTGTTCAATTGGGCAGAGCTTTAATCGTCTCCACACCTATACTCCTAGGGCAGAAACTAAGTGTTTTATAGAGCATTGCCTTTTCCTTCCATCTTACCGTTGCTGCAGTGTAGCATCAAGCAGGATTTTAAACACAGAAAACACAGTGGAATTAGCAAGCATTTGCCACGTATCTGAATACAGCATGTCGTCACAACACGAATCTACAAAAACACAGCAATTCCAGACAAGGTCCACACGAAAGCAGCGCAGTGACTACCTGCAGGCGCGTTGACCACTGAACCACAGGTAGCGCTACTGCTAGAGCTGGGCGATGACTACTGTTAGTGCCAGAGAAGGTCGCATTACCAGTTCCCTCCGCTATCTCAAATACCCCATTCCATAGCTCGCAGTCCGAAAAGTCGATAGTCCCAGGCACTGTTTTGTCGGGGATGGGTAAACCCCTACCCGAAGAATTGCGCATTGCACTGTATGCGGACCGCTGCAGTATTGCTGTTGACGGATCTGCGTTCTCAACCATGGCTGTCCGTCCACGAGTCCATCAACTGTTTGCTGAGGCTGTATCCGCAGCCGCTGAATTGCAGTACCGTTGGACCAAGGCAGATTAGCCAAGTTGCCAAAGACAAACGGGATGTCCGCCGGGTGTGTTCCGTTGAACAGGGAAACGACTTGCTGCGGTATAACAGACATCCAGGCGCAAGACGGGCCATGCTGGACGTCCAAAATCCACGCAGGAATCTTGTTCTATGATGCGCGTATTAGGTTCCCCTGCAACCCGGCACTGCGCAACGCGAAGAGCCCCAACGAACCACGTCTGTAGTTGATCGACACCAGCACCGCGCCATTACGTGCAACGGTGCAGCCATTATAGGCCGGATTTGAGATGCTGCCGTAGATCCAGACTTTGACGGGGTGGTTTGAATCTTTGGTTGCGTTGGCTGGGGTCCAGACGTCGAGGTATAGACTATTCAACAATTGTAAATTAACAATATATGTATATATATAAACAACAGGCAATTCAACCTAACCTATTTTCAGATTGCAGTCCAGTCTCCTCAGAGACAGGCCCGAACTGGATGCAAGCAGGAGATGGGGTGGTGGCTTGGAGAATGCCGTTGAGAGAGGATTGATTGTACTATCGTGGAGGCGCAAATAGGAGGCTTCCAACGGGCAGTGCTGCGTATGGAATTGATAGGTAGTAATAGGCTCTTTTTTTTTTTTTTTTTTCCTTCGCATTGTCCACCTTTCTGCCTTGCCGGCGTCGATGGTAACTGTTAGCTATGATGATGATGATGCCGTGGCTGCTGCTAGAGCAGTCAAAAGAAGTGCAGGGATAATCCTTGTTTGATATTTGAGCGTCGTTAATGCGGGGAACTCTCTATATATGAGGCGTTCAACTCCCTGCAGCCTGATTCCACATGCTGACAGAGAGGCAATGTCTTAATCTATTAAGCCGAGACAACTGCTTTTACCTAAATAGAGCAAGCTATGTCATCTGCTCTGTTTTGTATCTTGATAAACTCATAAGCCGAAACAGAACGAACACCAATACATCTGTTTCTGCTAGGGGGGAGAGAGATTGCTAGGCATATACACCCCGCGGTCCACTAGTAACCTCATCTTACCACACTTATGCAGGGAAGAGAACGAACGTACCTTCGTAGTTGTCATACACTTGGGGTATGTCGTGGGTTTTTGGCACAGTATACGGCCTTCTGTTTGTTGCGTGCTGCTGCAGCCTGGATGATCACCTCGGGGCGCGTCTTGGCCAGTTTAATCAACGCGCTTGGTCTGGGAGAAAGTTGAACAAGAAAGGTCAGTTATAATAGTTATATGACTCACGCATTCTTAGCCACACCAAGAATACCGAATTTCAAGACGTTGGGCACCTTGGGAAGCTCAGAAGGAGAGGAAACCTGCCAACTGCGGGCGTTGAAGGCATTTAAATACAGAAGCCATCCTGAACTCGGCCTCCGTCCTTACCCATTTCTATAATAACAAAGAGCACACCGGGAACAGTGCACGGCTTCTTTTGTAGAAGAAGAATCGATCGAGATATGGCTGAAAGTTTTGCCTTTTACGACCTAGCTCAAAGCATGGTCGCAGGGGATCGTCGATATGCCACAGTATTTGAAGAATGCTGCATCTGCGCATATAGAGACAGAGTTTACGGCCTTGACTGCGTAGGCGCCGGTAAGCAATTTCTTCGTGTAGACCTGGCATCCTGCCATAGTAGGGCTCCGTAAGGATAATGATATCGACTTTACTAAATACCCTACAAGCCATTAAATCACATCATCGGGGCATGGTTAGTATTCATCAGTAGGCGCTTCGTGCCGCTTGGAAAGCAGCAGATTGATGCCGCAAAGAGGCGAGGGCAAGGATTGTAAACAGGGACACTAGGTGAAAAGCATCGTTCTCGCTCATCCTCTCCGTTGCTCTTAGGGGTGTTTCAAAGCATTGTCAAACCGGTGGAATATGGGTGTTGCCGAAGGAAATTTCAAGACAAGATAGATGAGAAGGGATGAAAAGCTGAAGAGAAAGAACCGTTGCATGACTTTTAGGAGTCACTGTCTTATCCTCCTCAACAATAGAACAGAATCGAAATGTTACTAGTCTTCCTAGGGCTTATATAGGGTAGGCGTTCCTGCGCCCTGATTCCACTTCCTGTTAGGTTCAGCTTGGCTTCATTTTCGTGTGTTCATGTAAGCATCTGGAGACTGCTGACCGCATATGAAGCGTGCATTTTCGTTATATCTACAGGGATAGGGAAATGAGAAAGTACAGTGGACTTGAGAGAAAATGAATTCTTACCAAGTAAGAAAACTATATCAATAAACGCTCCCAGAGACGTTCTCTTCTCATGCCACCTCACTGCTCTGCTATGAATCAAGACATCATCACTCTTAACCCCATATCCAAGTATCCAAGGTGGAAATAAATCAAGAAGAAAAAGGAAATGACGAAGAGAAGAAAAAAGATCCACACCGAAGACTTTTCTTTACATGCAAATAAAAGCCGTTAACCAAATCGGGAATCAATTAACCCAAGTCTCGTAGCCTCGACAATGTCCGCTCAAAATATGGTGACAGCGTATAGTAGCAGAATCGAATCAACTTCCAACAACATGACAGCCCGCGCCACGGTCCATTTTCCAATGCAAATGACGCAAAGAGACGTAAAAATGGCTTGAATAGATCAACATCTAACGGTGTCCAGTGGCAATGTTTTGCCAAAAAATAAACATAAAGATAAAAATAAACTGACAGGAAATTAGAAAGAAAAGACATTATCCAAGCGCATGACAGAGTCACGGTCAAACTTGGTGAAATAGTCCGAAATTTAGTCGTGAAGCCGTGCCCAGGTCAAGTCCACGCTGCTTGGACGGTCCTCCGGCTCGATAGTTGAATGGTCATAGAGAAAGATAAAATAAAATAAGACGCGGCCACGCAACCCTGTCTATCGTCTGTCTTCGGTGTACTGCACACCTTGCATCGGAGCCACTGATCCATTCACTAGAGGTGGTAGAGTACGAGGTTGATCTGTAAGCATGCCGGTCCCCGAAGCAGCATAGTTGGAGAACGCAGGACCCTGCGGCTGTCCGTTTGTCTGCGATGCGAAGATCGACGGCTGTCGCGACTGGCTATGAGCTTGCTGTTGGCTAAGCTGCGCCCGCAACTCCTCGACCTCGGTTTTCAGGACCGAATTCTCCCGGCGGACCTGGCCCAGTGACTTCTCCAGGTGTCCTATGTATTCAATGGCTAAAATCCGGTTAGTCGATTTACTGTTGCATCGGGAGAAGAAGGGGGGGGAAAAATACCTCTCGTCAACGTCTCCCATTTACTCGACTTGTTCGACTGGCTTTGGGGAAGGCGAAGGCGCAGGGCCTCGAAGCAGTCTTTCATCTCGCTACGCCGCTTCCTCTCGGCGAGCTTGTGGGTAACCCTGAGTTCTGGGGTTCTGCTGTACGGGGTACTACTGCTATGGAGTTCGGGATCTCCAATGAGATTCCTAACCTGTTTGTGTTGCAGAGAGTGGTGATGAACATCCCGAGGAAGTTCTACCGGCAGTCAGCAACCATACCAGAGAAGTCTGGTGTGTGTATGAGTAAAGAAAAAAGAAATACCTTGTTGTCCTCGAGGTAAACGCGATTCCAGGGAGTAGGCACTGCTAGTAAGAGACTCAGCAGCACTCCCCTTGCGCGAAAATCGCGAAGAATGGTCTGTCGTGGACGAGCCTGAATTGGACCTAGCAACATCGGGATCTGGAAAGGCGTACGCAAGACCCGCAGTGGGTGCCTCTGCATTATATATCTCGGAGCGCGGATTCGACGAGATGGCTGGCGCAGTGCGGCTAGGGGCGGTTGAACGGTGTTCACCAGCCCGTGGGCCTAGGGGGGAGAGAGGCTGGCTTCCCGAGTAGAGGGCACCTCGGTAGGAATTAGGCATGTCATTGGAAATGCCACGCTCCCGCTGGAGACCAGAGACGATGGACGACTGTGAAGCGTTCGTGCTGTGGTAGGGGGATGGGGGATTGATCGCCAAAGAGCCGATACCCTGGTTCACCCGACTATCGATACTGCTGCGCCGTGACTCGACGGGAGGGTCTATGATACTGCTCCGTTGCGATCGCGTATCAAAGTTCTGGTTAATCGATGGGAGCGCGGAATTGAGCTGGGACGAGGCCATATGAGGTTGCGCCCCGGCGGGAGAAGGAGTGGTGGATTGTTCGTTCGGGTACGGAGACCGGTCGGATACGTAGGAGAGGCGACTGGGGGAGGGTTGGGAGGACCGGAGGAAGGGGTGCGAGGGATAATTGCCGGTTCCGTTGGTCATGGTCGAATAGGTGGATGATCCTGCGGAGTCAGTTCATGGCTCATGGGTAGAGAGGAAGAAGCGACATACTGGTGCTCTGAGGCATGGACCAATTGCCCGAATCCCGCTCCATTGTGTTCAGCGAGGAATTACCCGGCGACTTCTCCGAAGGCTGTGGCATTGGGGAATTCATGCTCGCGGTGAGCGTCGATATGGAGGGGAGAGTTTGCGATGAGGAAGCCGGGGGCGGCTGCGTCTCCATGCCGGGGGTATCCCATGGCCGACGAGCCAGAGCGGTCTCCATGGCAAACGACAGACAGTTAATAGAATATGACTAACGGAGGCTGGGGGAATCGGCAGTCGACGCAGTGGGGAGCTCTTTCGTGATCGCCAAATCTCATGGTCGAGTCGCAAGGGAGGAGACGGAGACACACGACCGTTCCGCGGGAGGGGGAACAGCGACGGCTCCGAGGGCAAACAATGGCAAGGGAGTGACAATCGAGCCTCCGGGGACGAAAGGAAGTGATCGATGGCAGAAGATCAGAAAGGCACTCGTGAACTTCCACGGGAGTCGAGCAGGAAGTAGGGGTGTCGTCGGACTCGACAGGACCAAGACCGGAGACGTCGAGAGCGCTGACGAGCAGTGGATTCGCAGCAAACCGTATCCGATCGACTGTACCCGTCTGGACGCAGAGAGAGGCGCACAGCCAAGTCGACTGCGCACAGAGACAGGGGAGATGACAGACAGTGACAGTAGCGTGGCGATCGGGTTGCACGTGGTGGACGACGCGGGAAGAGTGGGAAGAACCGCAGAAATGCTGGACGAGGCCTTGGCGAGACGGGGTAATCAGCCGTGGATCGGGGCGGCGATTCGTTCCAGTCTGTAAGGTAAGTTACTTGCTGCGTTAATATTTATTAATCTCAGCGGAGCTTACCTGGCTGGAGCTGAGCAATCCTTCGGAGGGTATTTAGGCCGTAGTACTACTATGTATTTGAGAATGTGTTCGAGAATGGGCAGAACAGACAGAACAGACAGAACAGAAAAGGAGCGAGTGGAGGCCAGAGTCCAGGGTTCAGGAGGGGGGCTTGAGCGGATCGCCAGCTCTGGGATCTGCGGGCAGTTCAGCTGGCGATGGATTCCATCTCCGACTGTGCCATTGGGAGGATTCTTGGACGCTGTAGGAGGCACAGCAGCAGAGTTGTACGACAGGGGAAGGAAAGCGTTGGGGAGATGTCTACCGTGTACGGCGTCCAAGGCAGCTGTTAATAGTTATAACCTGTAACATCTCCTGCTTTGGGGTGGCAGGATTAAGCTTGAACCGTCTAAGAATAAACAAGAATAACAGCGACGGTCGCATTATTATTGTCCTATTAGTATTAATATGCGTCTTGGTATCCGCCTGATTAGTCATGAGATAGTTAGCTAGTTAACTATTAGTTAGTTAACTAGTTAGTTAGTTAGTTATGATCCGGATGTTTACGTAAGCAGACGCAGCGCGGCGGATGGAGCTCCGCTGGCCATCCTGGTTGGCTGAGCTGCCGCTACCGCATACAACATGATTGGCTTCCTGTGTACCCCAGGCTGAGATCCATCCACGGTTCAAGATCCAGCCCCCTCCATATACACGGTCTGATTGGCGGATACCTGGCGCATGGAGCGTTTGACTTATGAAACACTGTGCACTAGTGTCACTTTCAATACAGTACGCTAGCTGTACAGTATTACAGAACGCAGGAGATAACTAATACCTCCTACCTAGGCGCCTAGGGAGACAGTCTGCCAGTAGAGCTGGGCGAGATCATCGTCTCATCCCTCTCGCTCCCCGACATCGCCTCCCTTCGACTGACCTGTCGCTCCATCCAGATCAAGGCTTCCCAGGCGTCTTTCACTGCTTTCTCCAGACACAAGAACGTCAATCTGACGACCAAGTTGCTGCATGAACTGGCCTGGATGACAGGTCACAGCCATCTGCCATGTCGTCTGCAACATTGCAGCATCACCGGTGTCGTGCGAGACATCAAGAGACCCCCAGATGATGACACAGAGCACACGCGTCTTCTGGCAGAGGCCTCCGGAACCTGAAGCGGCGTGGCACCTGGTCGCTGTGTCTTGGTGTTGACGCCCGCACCGGGGCGCAGATGGTGAGCTCGGGGAGCCCCCAGGTCTTTTACTCCTGGGAAGTCGTCTGGGATGCAGCGCTGCGGGCCTTCAATGTCGCCATGGAAGCGTCGAGGAAGTCGCAGCTACCCGTCCACGACCATCTGGGTGTTTTCGGCAATGCCAGAGGCTGTAGTCTGGTCTGCGATGTCTTTCTTCGCATTTCTCCAGGATTTTACCACGAAACCTGTCTTCGGATCCCCGAAGAAATTAACACTGAGCTCGTTGCAGCCAACAGGGGGCTGAGACGAGGCGTGGTTCTGAATCTGAGACGCGGGTCACCGAAGCAGCTAATCTAGACAAAAGCAGACATTTTGGATCCCGTTATCTAAAGCATCATACGGCAGTCACGTATCATGAGTCTCAAAAAAAAAGCACTTTCCGCGGGGTTTGTATGGCTGAAAGCGATATACTCGAGTTCCTCAAGATGACGCGCGTCCGGCAACATTAAACCCGACAGTACCGGGGACGTACGCTTCTATCTTCAAATACCCAACAAGTCCCGATTGTCCGATTTTCCAGTTGCATCCGTCTTGTCATCTAGATGATATCTTTGGGACTGGTGATATGGTGCACTTCAAGGTGCGCGGGAAACCCAAGTTTCCATTCTCTCGTGGCCTCCGCAACCGCAACTTGGGACCCAGTACACTTACACGAGAAGCAGATCATGCGAAGAAAGCGATTCGCTATTGCATTACATGTGGAAGGGCTCTTGGCTCACCACAAGCAATGCACTGGAGGTGGAATAAGGTTTGGGAGTGTGGTCCTTATAGACCGAGCTGGATTTGCCGGAATTTGATGAAGCATTCGGTTTTTTTTTTTTTATTTTTAATACAGAATAGCAGTAGGAGCTAAAGTTGCTGAGGCCATAATTCATTAGGTACTCTACTCCTTACCAATCTCCCGGCAATAAAAATATCACCTCACAATCACATCTAGTACAGCAGATATCCTCTCCTCGACCACAACGCGTATCGCCTCACGCAAGGCTCCCTCTAAATCACCCACCTTGGCAACCTTTCTCGTCCAGAGATATCCATTCGCCGCCGCCTTAGCCACCTCTCCGTAATCCGGACCTTCCTCCTCCAGGGAGATGCCCAGATCGGCATTCGACAGCTTCGTTGCCACACCCCGCGGATGCACATCCGCCAGACAGGTCCGCGTCGCCTTCCAACCACCATTGTTTAGAATCACGGTCAAGAAGGGACAGCCGTGTCGATGGCTGGCCCAGTAGACTGCCGTCGGGACAGAGAAGATGAAGCTTCCGTCTCCGGTTATGCTGCAGACGAATGGGTCACCTTCCTTCTCATGTTCATCTGGGAGCCTTCGTCGGAGGTGAGGCCGGTCTGAGATGTCGTATAGGGCCGTTGCAAGTTTGACTCCAATGGCGGCGCCTCCGGCCCAGCCGAGTCCGCTTCCCCCCTTTGTGAGGTGGGAGCCTGGACGGGAGAGTTGGAGCTGCTCTGTCATGGGGACTTGGTTAGTGACCGAGTCCGTCACGAAGATAGTGTTGGCCGGCACCAGGTGTCGTATTTTATTGCAGAGATAGTCAACGCTACAGGGCACGTCAGGCGTGTCGTTGATCCTCGCCGCGCGGGCATCGATGGCCCTTTTACCTTCTGCATGGGACTTCTTCAGCGCCTCCCACCGTTCTTCCCGAATGGCTTCCTTCACCGCGAGGAGCTCATGGGAACTAGAGATATAATCGTAGATCTGGCGCAAGGCGGCACCACTGTCCGCATGGAAGGTAGCCGTGGAACCGATATCGAACAGATTCATCATCTCCTTCCTGGGATCCAGGTCGATGTGAAAGATGCGTGCTGTAGCGGACGGCCTGACTCTGGTGGGTATCCAGGGGACATCGGCGTCGACTACTAGAATCACATCGGCCGTCTGCACGGCTTTGGCTGCGCCGGTTCCCCTGCTCACCCATGCGGGATGGTCAGCCGGGAAGCAACACTCTCGAAGCTCCGAGTCGAAGACTTGGATTCCTTTCAGCAGGTCAGCCAGTGAGACCAGCGTCTTCACGGCTTGGTGATTCCGTCCCAGGTAGCCGGTGATGACCAAGGGAGCAGTCGCCTCGAGCAAAGACCGTCCGATGAGCTGGACCGCGTCCGCAGACAAGGCTCCTAATCTGCACGAAGGGACCGGCGTAGGGCGTGGCGCCAGGCTGTCAATCGGAGTCGCCAGGATCTCTCTCGTGGCAGTTAAATAAACGGGACCCGGTGAGCCCGTGGTCGCCATCAGCACCGCGCGATGCACCACCGTCTGGACATTCCAGGCGCACTTGATCTCGGCCGTATACCGACTATACGGCGCCAGAAGGGCTGCCTGGTTCGGCACATCCTGGTACCACTGGACATGTTCCGAGCGGGATCCGGGGGCTTCACCGAGAAACGTTGAAGGCGCAACCCCTGCAAAGACGACGACGGGGGAACGACCGCTGGAGGCGTTGTGCAATCCTTGCCCCAGCGCTGCGGTGCCGACGTCGACGTGAGCGATGACACATGCGGGCTTATGAGTGATTCTGGCGTAGCCATCGGCAGCCGACATGGCGGCAAACTTGATGAGAAACTCAGCGCAAGGCATTTCTCCCACTGTTGTTTCAAGGGACTCACCTCGTGCTGGAAGAGCAGCATCTGGGGAAATTGCTTGCGAGGCTCATGCTTCTGTCGTCGAACGTACGCTTCGATGATGCTTGGATGGTCTGATCCGAGAACGGTGAAGAGGTAATCGACGCCAGCCTGGGGTCAGGGGTCAGGGGTCAGTTGAAGGGCATGAGCTCCCTCACTTCTTGGACATTGAAAGGGTTGAGGATCGGGTACCTCTGCTAATGCCTCCAGGAAGGCATCTGCGACGATATACCGGTCGGGAGGTGCATCCTGGGCCGACATACTAGACGGTGGGTGAATTAGGACAATAATAAGTCTATCTATCACTGACTAAATCGTCTTTCCGTCGTTTATACCGTGTACAGTGCTGTACCAAGGTCGAACTAAGCCTTAGCCAAGGGCGTCGTCGTTATTATCATCGTTATTATTGACTATTATCCGGAAGCTGGATGGCCGTGCCCTAACCTTCATATTTATTAACTAAATAACACTAAATAACACTAAGTAACAACGCCCATAACTCCACTTGGTTATCTCCGTAGGTCTTCCGGGAAACAAGGCCTGGACAGACGAGCTGATCGGCAAATTGGACGACTCCTGCATGTGGCCTACTCCGAACCGGCTAATGCATCAATGAAACGTACTGTCTTCTGGTGGTGTGAATAAGACTCTGCACCGTGTGGGCTCTGCACCGTTGTTACATCGTCTCCCTGCGCATATAGTGCACAGTCTGCTCGATTAATTTATGGTGCTTCAAGATAGTAAAGGGGACAATCCATTACTATTTGCTATTGCCTGGAGTCACAAGGGGGTCCTCCACATCCCGCGTGGACTAGATGCAAGGCCTTTCTTCTGCATTGTTATAGTCCACCAATGTTTTCTTTTTCTGTTCCTTCTTCCCTTTCGTCTTCTCGCATATTCCTCCATGCGGATTAACGATTGCTCTTCCATCCAGCCGAAGCAATCATGGAAAAGTCCTCCATCGAACCGCTCACGATCGAGTCCGCAAGTTCACGCGTCGACGCTCCGGAACGCGCCTCCCATGTGGACAGGACGCTGGAAAAGAAGCTTCTCTGGAAGCTAGACTTCAGGATCATCCCGGCCCTCTGGTTTCTCTTCCTCGTATCCTTTTTTGACCGGTCGAACATCGGGTACGTTAGATCTGACCCTGTGCGATGTCTCCGCGAGGCCGGACCCTTCTCATACAAAACGAACCACCAGGAATGCAAAGATCGCGGGAATGCCAAAGTCCCTCCACATGAAGGGGAACGATTACAATGTCGCCGTCACCGTCTTCACCGTGTCCTATATCGTGTTTGGGGTGCCGGCCAATTTGGTCGTCAAGAAGCTGGGTCCTAAGATGTTGGCCGTGTACATGTTCGCTTGGGGTAGGCTAGTCGATCTGTATTATGACGCGTGCTGGTTGCTGACGCCTCTGTTCAAGGTCTTTGTACCCTGGGACAGGGCCTTACGCGGACCACTTCCGGCCTGATTGCCTGTCGTTTTCTCATGGGTGTCTTCGAGGCTGGGTTTGTCCCTGGTATGTCCTGTCAATCGGCTTCCTATGCCTTCCACCTTCTAACATCACAGGATGCGCGTACTTGATCGGGAGTTACTACAAGAGAAACGAATTCCTTCGACGATACGCCATTTTCTTCAGTGCTAATATGGCTGCGGGTGCATTTAATGGCGTACGTCAGGATTACCGGGGCTTTGGTCATACTGTCATTGCTAATGCCTTCGCAGCTGTTTTCCAGCGTGGTGACCAAGATACACGGTGTTGGAGGCTATGAAGGCTGGCGCTGGTGAGAGTTCCCCGAATATCCCTGTTCAGCTTCGGCCTCTCACATGTTTCTGGCCAGGCTCTTCATCATCGAGTCGTTGATCACCATCGTCGTCAGCTCCGTGTGCTACTGGATCATCGTCCCCTTCCCGGAGAAGGCCCAGTTCCTCACTCCGGATGAGAAGACGTTGCTCTTGGCTCGTCTGGAACAGGACGGAGGCAATGTGCGCCATGACAGGATCTCCTGGCGGCGTGTCTTGGGCATGGCAGCCGACTGGAAGATTTGGATCTGGTAAGACGGCCTCCCACCACCATCACTGGTTGCAGCGTGAACTGATGAAACCGGGACAGCGTCCTGGTGTATATGAGTGCAGAGGAAACCGCCAGCTCCGTCGTGGCCTTCCAACCGTCCATCCTAAAGGATCTCGGCTGGACAAGCAGATCAGCCCAGGTGCACACGATCCCAATCTACGCAACGGCGTTCGTGCTGACGCTGAGCTGTGCCTGGCTAAGTGATCGCCTCCGGCAGCGTTACATCTTCACCTTGTTCGGCTCGATGCTGATCATTATCGGCTGGAGCGTGGAATTAGCCTACGTCCCTGCAGCCGGAGTCCGGTACATGGGCATGTTCTTCGTGACCGCCGGGGCATTCATCATCATGTCTACGACCGTGGTCTGGTTGTGTGTCAATGTCGGCAAGGGGGTTAAACGGAGTGTCGCCATGGGCTTGCTGACCGGCTTCGGCAACTGCGGTGCGCTTGTTTCGAGCAATGTGTTCATCTCCAACCAAGCCCCGCGGTATCCCGTGGGCTTCGGCGTGGGACTGGCCTTTGGGGTTCTTTCGGGATTCGCAGCCACAGCGTACTATCTCTACGTGCGTGTGGAGAACCGTCGACGCGATCGTATGCAAAGCGTCGCTGCTGGAAGCTATACCCGGGAGGAAATGGAGCGTCTCCAGGATCTGGGAGAGACACATCCGAATTTCCGCTTCCAGCTGTAATAGTGCGGTAGTAGTTCTCGGGAAGTTAGTTCCGTTGCATTAATATAATATGGGTCTTTTCGAGAACGCCAGGATCAGCTGGAAATACCCGCAGTCTAGCAAGGCTTAACCGGACAAGTCGATGGCTGCTTCTTGGCGGTTTAGACTTCAGCCAGCCGCATATAGGTTTACTATTTGGAACGATTCTAACGACGGATTGCAACCTGGCTATGCAACCTGGCTATGCAGCTCGCAGATCTCTGTCCTGACTGAAACGGAATGTCTCTGATCTGTTCATCGTTGCTTCGGAGAGCCGACGGGGCTTGAGACAGCCCATCTGACGGCTTACGATCTATATGATGGCGGCTATGCAGCTCGCAGATCTCTGTTAAAGTATTTTTCCCCTTCTGTAGCTGTCAGGTTATTCGTATCCATCCGTTTTGACGTCTGCTGGGGGCATCAACAGCCATGACAGTGTCGCCTCATGCCGTGCCCAACAGAGGGCCAACGTTCGTGGCCGTCACGGCGGTTATAACGTCCATCGACTTCGTCCTGGTGGTCTTCCGGTTGGTGTGGAGGAGTATGGTCCAAGGTGCCGTTGGTATGGATGATATATTCGTTGGTCTTGCCATGGTTAGTTCTTCAGTCCCTCTGCATCATTGTCTTGTCCTGACAAAGTGTGCTGTGTAGGCCGTACAAATCCTAATCACCGTCTTGGGTGACATGGGTGTGTCAATGTAGCTATACCTACCTTTGAGTATACCAGGGCTGACCGTCAATAGCTTGCCACTACTCCTTCGGCCGGCATTTGAAGGACGTTGGCAGGACCGGGGGGAATCCAGTCCTCGGGTTAAAGGTTTGTCTGTTCTCTTTGTGTTAGGGTTTTCGGGTTGACCACCAAGCAGACGATGAGATACTAACATCCATCTCACAGTATTTCTGGCTCTTCCAGATCTTCTACAAAATCACCATCTGCCTCAACAAACTGTCCTTCATCTCCCTCTACCTCCGACTCTTCCCCTCCAAGAAATTCCGCACACTCTGCCACATAACCATCGCCGTCGTCGTCGGCGGAACCTTCAGCTTCGTCATCGCCACCATCTTCCAATGCACCCCCGTCCGAGCAAGCTGGCACAAACACATCCCCAAGAAATGCGTCGAGAATACGCCCTTTCGCTGGTCCTGGGCCGCCTACAACACCGCCAGCGACATCTGGATCTACCTGATGCCCATGCCGCTACTGGCACGACTGCACCTCGACCGCGCGCGGAAGATCGGCCTCATGTTCATCTTCAGCCTGGGTCTCTTCGTCTGCGTTACCAGTATCGTCCGAATGGTCTATATCGCCGTCAGCACGAAAACGCATGATCCCACCTGGGGTTCGTGGCATGCGCTGCTCTGGAGTGCGATTGAGCCTGGCACGGGCATTATCTGCTCCTGTTTGCCGTTCTTGAAGCATCCCATTCAGCGTGCGTTTCCTGGTTTCTTTTCTTCTACGATCGGTGGCTCGGCTTCTGCTTCGGGCAAGACGAGGTCCAGACCTACGTACGGTGCTCCGTCTGGGAATGGTGGTGGTCGTTCCAAGCCGCAGATGCCTTATGATGGCGGGAATCATTGGGGTCGGATCGGGAGTGCTTGTAGGAATAGTACGGAGAGTCGGGAGCCTATTGCGGATGATCAGATTCTGATGAAGATGGACTTTGAGATGCAGAGTCAATTTGTGAGGACGTAGCTTAGGGTTTTTGATTGAATCGGCTTTATTTCTAATACAAGAAACTTTTCCGGGGCGAGAAGCATAATATCTCACCTCTTTTATACACGTCTGGTTCTACGGTTTGAGATGGACCCAAACTGCAAAGTAGAAGATAGAATGGAGATTGATTTAACTAGACGTACACACATCTAAAATCAAACCGACAGTACTTTTCAGCGCAAGTAAACCTGAAAATGTCAAAGTTCACTCCTCATCATCCTCTTCATCGGTATCGTCAAAGTCCATGTCTTCAAAATCCACTCCAATGTCCCCTGTGACATCCCATCGATCGCCAGGTGCCGCAGCACTCACATACTTGACGAACTTGAGAGTGCCCCTATCGCGGAGGACAATGCTCATCCGGTTCCAGCCAGCAGCTGTGGTGAATAGAATGCCATCATCTTCATCATCTCCGGCGGCTCGATATATGGCCGGGTCCACTTTAGGTTTCTTGGCCTTATTCCCATTCTCACCAACAGCATCGTCTGCATCGGCGTCCTCGTCGTCATCGCCTGCCATGTAGATCTCATAGCCACCGATTGAGGAGTCCTCGCCGGGTGCCCCATTGCTTTGATCATAGACGTCGGTCATGTCCTTATCCTGCGACTCTCCATTCTCACCATCACCGTTCCGCCGGTCCTCTTCTTCTGCTTCTTCTTCGTCAACGTCTCCATCTTTGCCCCAGCCCGGAGTCGGAGTTAAGCAGAGTGTGAATTCTAACCGGGGCTCTTCTCCGTCGTAGCCGCTCGCCAGCGTATAGTCTTCCCCACGACGGAACCGGCGTGCTAGGAGATTATGGCTGACGAGGTGGTCCAGGCCAGTAGCGGTGGACAGCCATTTCCGGAATGGCTGTGACGGAAAAAGATCATTCAGCAGTTCTTGGATTGGCGTCTTTTTGTCCGCCTCCACTTGAGACGGATGCTGGAAGAGGTACCGTTGCTTGTGTGGCGGACGGGCGACCCGCCAGTTGGTCTTCGATTCGATGTCGTTTGAGGCTTTAGGGAACTCTTGTCTTTCCTGCTCTTCAATATATGCGCGAACACGAGAGGCAAATTTATCGGTCAAAAACTGTTCTAGATTGAGGGATGACTCGTTCGAGAATGTCTCCGACAGCTGCTCGACAATGTCAGGCGTCAAGTAAGAGGGGGAGATATACTGGACGAGGAAATTGAGATCGGACTCGGTGAACGGAGCGTCCTCCGGCTGCTCCGCCTGTTTTCCTTTGCCCTTATCCTCATCCTGCTCATGTTCATCTTCATACTGGACGGGTTGCGGTTGGGGTCGGTCGAACGCGTCGCGCGCTTGAAGTTGGGTCAGACTGCTTCGCTCAGCAAGCTTCTCCTCAAAGCCTTCCTCGTACCCATCCTCGCCCTCCTGTGGGATGTGGAACCAGCCACTTATTGCCATGCGCACTCGTTTTTGCGACTTATCTTCTCCATCCTTGGCGTGGTAGACTTCCTCCACGTCATGAAAGCTCTCTCCGGGCTGAACGGTGAAGAAACTGAGCTGGTTGAATTGGGGGGGAATTGACAGACTGAAATCCGGGCTGGGTATTTTCACCTCCTCACCATTCTCATCTTTCTCCGTAGTGGTAGGGAACAGACGTAAAGCGCCTCCCCATCCCGGCTGCCACGGAGTGTCAGGGTCGGTCAGGTACAAGATATAACTAATCCTTCTGCTGCCGATCACATCATCGTGGCACAAAAGGTGGCAGCCCTCCGTGTAGACATTGATCGCCATGTCGGTCTTGCGGCCGCTCAACTTCCCGGATCCCGTCACGGACGAAAGGTATTCGCGGAACCGAGCGGAGTATAAAGCGTCGCGCAATTTCAGCAACGACGGCAATTTCGACAAGGAGGCATCGTCTAAACCATCAAGGTTTGCCAAATCTCCTGATTGGTGAATTTTATAGATATCTGTCTCCTTCTCCGTGAAAGAGAGATGCTCTTGGATCTCGTTCCGGACGGCGCGCAGAAGAGAGGATTCGATCAGAGGGCGGATGACACCATGCTTGTATCTGATGATCACGTAGGGTTAGTAATTGTGATACCTCCCTTATGCGCAGACCAAACCATGAAAAGAGACGGAAGACATACGGCGCTGACTGAGCATATTGCTTGGTGTACTTCTGCAGCTCCGCGGGCTCGAACAAGCCTTCGCGGAAGCGCGCCGCAGCCTCTTCGCTCGACAAGGCGCGTTTTTTGGACTCAGGTTGGCCATTGGCCACGCGCGACTCTTCGCCGTCTGTCTTCCGCTTCATTTTGACCGGGACAGGGAGATGAAAGGGAGGGTTGGCCGGAAATGAGGGTGCACGCGAAATGCCTCTTTATGACTTTTTTTTCCGGCTGAAGGCGGTGAGGCATTCTGCCTGTCGTATGATCGGGGACCGGAGAAACACGTGACTTCAATTTCCACATTTGGATTCAGAACAGGCTATCCCTGCTGGAAAACAGCGCTGGACAGACAGATATTGGATGACATTGGATGCTGGGGACAGTAGAGGTGCATGATGTTGAATCCCAGTGTGCGACCGGTGGATCACTTCCCAATATGTTCACCTGTCTCTGCATCTAGCCGTCACACCAGAATATGGTAGCTATCAGCTATGCGAGAGCTATTTTCAGACCACACTGTAAAGGAAGGGGGATAAAAGGCATAGACATCTATGGTTCCAGTATATTCCATGCCTCAAGAGCAATGTCCTGCATAAATTGCAAATCACTGAGTGTTGCAGCCGCAGTTGCTGTTGCATACAGCGTACATTGTAGGTTGGACCTGAAGTAGTAAAGGGAGATCACGTTGGCCAGTGCGCCCGTGTTGCCTCCTCTGCATCCTGCCGCTTCTTGATATCAGGGAAAGCATGCCTTGCCTTTAATACCAACATCCACAATGCAGACGTCGGAAGCTATGAACCAGGACCACCCTCAAAAGGATGACAATAACAATAACAGTGAAGCCCGACCAGGCACCCCGCCTTGTCCGCCTTACTCTCCCGTCACTCCAGTGCTCTCCCAGCTAGCCCCAGTGCCAGGCTTGACCCCCATTGTTCCTCCTCCTCCTCCTGGTCCAACTCCGGATGCAGACACGAATTTGGATTCATATACATCTCCTTCGCCCACTTCTCAATATTACCCTCCTCACTCTCAGCCATCATCTACTATCTTCATGCCGCAGCCAGCTCCAGTTCCGATCTCGGAGAGCGAGAATCCAGATGCGATCGCGTTGAGATCTACTCTCTCCATTCTCCAGTTGCAGAAGCAGCAGAGTATTCGGGATATTCAGAAGCTAGACAGGATGAAGGAGGCCGCTGCTGCGGATCCGGAGGGGTTTGCCAAGGAACTTGCGGCGGGAAATCTGACTGCAAAGGAGAAGGGCGGCTTTATTGAGTTTTCAGATGAAGGGGATGATAGTGTCGAAGACAAGGCGTCGGGAGAGAGTGAGAGACAATCGCGATTTGGCAAGATACCGAACCCCCAGAACGTGGTGCGGATGCCACCAGTCAACTGGGCCAAGTATCAGATTGTGGGTGAATCTTTGGACAAGATACACGATGAGCAGTTGCGTCGTCCTGCTCTTGGGGAGCCTAGGCACGAAGGACCCTCTCAGAGAGCACCGGAACATCTGCTGGCTTCTCCCTATCGACCGCTGGTGGACAAGCTGGTGACTCCCGTCAAAGGCAAGAGCACTAACAAAGGCAGGAAGGCATGAATACGCTGCTTCAGACGATGTTTACAAGTTTCCTTCTAAGATTAAAGCGCGCAGAAAATTCATTCCTTGTACTCGGTCTAGGAACACAGCAGAAGACACGAAGATATCTTGCAGCCTTTGCGCTTCGATAAGGATTATGAGAGCCAGTTCCCCAAATCTGAAGTCAACAGCGGCCATCAGAGCACCATACTGTGCAGTTTATATGAAGCCACCTTCACCCGTTCTTCGATAATTTCCTTGGATTCCCCTGATGGGTCTTCATTGCTGAGAGTGTTTATCGCTTTTATCCTGGCCCTTATATTATGGGCGGCATTCTTCCCCCCAAGCATTCTTTCCCTTGCCTTCTTGCTAATCTCATGGGCCATTATCCAAGCTTGTGCCTTGACACAATCCGGTTTCGTCTGCTGGAGGAAGTTGGAGATGGTATCTCCTGGGAGAGGCGGTGCTCTGACTTGCCTGAGAGGACGGCCTGGCCGTTTAAAGGGGCCCTGGATATTGCGTGCTTGAGGATCTAATCGCGAGCTCGTTTTTTTCGAGGGTCTTCATTTACCTTTTTCTGATCCAACAGCTTTCGTCGTTGCTTAGTAAGTTCCCTCTTGTCCGTTGCTTGAAGTTTCTCCATGTCACGACTTTCCTTTAACGCGCGTCCACCTTCATTGATGGTATAGCTTCTGCGCTTGGGGAGGTGTGTAGGTTGTCCTGACTGGGCGACTCGAGCATCTTCTCTGGCCTCTTCCACGTCATTTGTAGTGCATTTTATTCTGGCACCCCATGGCTGTCTTTGAGGCTGACAAGTATCGGTTATCACTGCCCAGATGAAAGCTTAATTGGTTTGGATGATGAGAGATCCTCAATGAAGGCATACGTACTGATGCGTCTGATATATCCGGTGTTTTCTGAGGGAGGGTGCAAGTTAGGTTTCTCTTGGGGATCGAGATCTGGTCAGTGAGAGACTGCTTTGGTAGCCTGCCTGGAACTGAAGTGGGATTCTGACAGAGTGTAGGTGAAGCATGAACATTGTGGGTACCCTTCTAGAGGGGAGGATCCAGTCGCGCGTAGTTTGTTATTTGACTCTCTCGAGGAATGAAATTCACTCCTTCCAATTCCCAAAATTAAAGACAATAGTGAGTGGCTGACCCCTGGTTCATGGAATAGCCAGTGAAGGCCAATCCCAGCGAAGTACCTCGGACTGCAGGTAGGCAGTCCCACAGACTGGTATCTGTACCATTAAAATGTGATAGTGGGGGACTTGGAGTCCCTTCCAGGTAAATCTCGCCTTTAGCATCTTACAATTTCGCCTTCTGCTTCTTTTCCCACTCCTCAACAGCCTTCCTTGAAATCTCACTCTCCCTTTCCTTCTTCTCCTCTACCTGCTCTCTCCACTGCAGACTGGCTTCAGTATCGTCCAGTGTTCGAAGAGTCGCCCAGTACATCTCCTCTTTTATCGTCCCATAGATCCCCGTTGCTGCTTTCCCCTGTAGTTTCCTTTCCCGAATGAAAGCTAGAGTCTCGTCCAGTCCACCCAAGGCATCGGCGATCCCAGCCTTCAACGACTCCTGTCCCGAAAAGCGCTTGGCCTCGAGGATGACATCACGGAAAGTTGCGCGAGGGAGCTTCTCGCGGAAGATGCTCATCATGGGAGTTTGCAAGGGGACACCGAATTCGAGTTCATTGACGCAGAAGAAGCCCTTTGACGGGTTCTGGATGCGGTAGTCGTGGTACATGGCTAGCATGAAGCCTCCAGCGAAGGCATGACCATTTACCAGGGCGACAGTGGGCATGGGGTATCTGTAATGAATCAGTTTACGCAATTTACCAGTGGAAACCAAGCCGATAATTCTTCATCACTTATTAATACGAATGAAACACATACGTAATGAACCTCCTATACAGCCTCCATAACCACTTGTCGAGAAATCCGTCTGTAGACAACGCAAGCTCCAAGTCGAGACCGTTACTGTAGAACTTGGCGATGCCGCTGGTTGTCACGACGACGCCCTTCGGGTAGCGATGCTCGATGATATCCAATGCCAGCAGCAGAGCATCGATGAAGGTCGGGGTCAATCTGTTATCCTTGGGCGAGGTGAAGGTTAAAATGTATATAGTCTTGTCTTCGTCGTTATCTGTGGGATTGGAGCAGGTCACCGAGCCATTTGTCGAGGGGATTGGAATGGTGAATAGGTAAGAAGGGGGCATGGTGTGTAATTATCTATATCGGGCTTGGATAGATTGTATGCAGAGGAATAGTATGCATTTCTGGAGAGCTATGGATGGTGATTGTTATTATATGGTCTTGGTGGTTTTACACTGTAGAAAATGAAATCCGAGGCAGAAGCAAAGCATGTGATTTGATTGTAGCTCTGATATTCTCATCTTCAACATGCCGAGGACAAGCACAGGAAGTTATTACAGAGCCGCGTCTGCTCCATACACTTGGCTGTGCGCCATCGGCAAGCTTCTAATGTTGGAAGGATACAACTGCTAAACAATAATAACTAATTAATAGTACTCTTTCGGAGTGGCAGTCTACTATTATCATTACAGAGAGCATCAATCAACACTAGTCTAAATTGGGAAATAAGAACCTCAATCACATGACCAAACAACCCCCCGAGCCCTAATATACATCGCGTGCATCTATAATGACTTCACCGTCAACCTTCCTCCAAGATGATCAAAAGGATGCATAGACTTAACACATACAGCTCAGTCAGTGAAATTTAATGATCTTAACGGCTCATAACTCCATCTCTAGCCCTTTTGCGCCCGCAGAACTCACGGTTCCACCGGCTGGACTTGACACAGATCCTCCTAAACAGGGCTGAAAGCGCTCACACTTTCTGGTCATCTGGAAGCACCCGCCATGTTCGATACGTGGGAAGCACTACTCTCCAGACAAAGTCAGCCATCTGCCAGGCCTTGGCGATGGTTGAGGGGTCTGGGAAATTGTGCTGAATAACCTTTCGCACAGCAGCAAACTAGTGGCGGAAATAAGACTGCGAGTCAATTCGAACATCCACGCATGCGCTGGGGCTATAAGAACGACCTGGCAACTATCTCTGTAAGGGACGGAGATTTGAAGAGTTGTCAGGTTGAAGAAATACCCTTTTGACGAGTTATGTGGTGCTTTTACATATGATCACATGCAGACAGCGCATCTGTGTGTACATAAACATCAAGAATTACAGTATGCTTAGGCTTTGCTACAGTAATCAGGTATGTCATGCATAACACTCCTTGCTGCATAGGATAGACCTCCATGGAACTCTGATCTTAGGGGTGGGAGAAGCATGACGTCAACTGGTGGACAACTTCATATATATATAGCAGTAAAGTTCTGTAGCAACCTTCATAAAAACGAATGGTTATCCTCCTCATTCTCACACGTTCCACTAGAGATTTACAAAGGACCCAAGACTCATAAAATTCCATCGGAATCTCGCTTAATTGTACTCAGTCCACCTGCAGTGATGCAACCCAGCTACTCTCCATCCGACAAAGGAACAGAATCGATCCCCGAATCAAGAAATGCCGTCGAATCCCCGCCTGCAGAAGGCGACGTGGCAGCCGCCGTCCGGAGGAAAGGGGACGATCGAGTCCGTGCCCAAGCAGGTGCGCATGCGGGTCCCGTTGGAAGTGCTCGGGGGCCAGGGGATCCGGGGTTCGGCGAGGAGAAGGATCTAGTGGCTGAGATGTCCAGGAAGGAGAGGGAGCATCAGGAGGTCCTTGAGCAGAGGGAGAGTGCATCACGATCACAATTCTCTGGTGGCATTTATGGGAGGGAAGGGGAAGAACAGGCCGTTGAGAGGGAGAGGGTGAGAGAGCAGAAGATGAGGAGAGATCGAGAAATCGATGTCGCTGGGGCTGTGAAGAAAGGAACGGGAAATGTGGTTTCTGGGGATTGAAAGCAGCCCAGTTGGATCATTATCCTTAGCATACCGAGATGTTACCTGTATACTGCAGAAAAATAGGCGAAAGCAGAAGATGTACTCTGCATGTGCCCACGATTATGAATATCTGTCGCCAATCTGCCTTCATTTTATTGACAATAATCGCCTGGGATTTCAGATACGGAGTCGACTTGCTGGCCATCATAGTAACATTTGTTGTTCAACTGATATCGTCACCTTGTCCTACAGAGACCTTCTTTAGAGCCAACTCTTTCTTCAGACGCTGAATGTCACTGCCCAGCTTATTCTTCAAAATCGCATTCTGCAACCCCTCCCACTTGGCAGTCTTGCTCCGGATTAACGCCTCTAATTCGGCAATCTCCTCGCGTTGCTGCTGTAGTTGCTGCTGCTGTTCTAGTTGCTCGTCGTCAAGTTCTTCCTCGGGCACATCGTCCTCCGATTCTTCGCTCTCGTCTCCCGATGTCTCTCCCGCCGGGGTTGATGGTTTGGTTGCCATTGGGGTGCCCGCATGATACAAATGGGGCACGTTTGGCCCGGCCTGTGATGAAGTGGCCCAATCTTCAGCTTCAGCAGCAAGTGCCGCCTCCATTTCGGCAGCAAGGGCATCCTCAGCGTCATCGAACCCGCCATCCCCGGGAATCCCCTCTTCCGCCTCACCCTCAGCATCTTGTTCGTCATCGTATATCTCCTCGTAATCACCGCTCTGAACAAGCCCCTCTGCTCGTGCGAACTTCGTACTATCCACCAGTTCATATTTAGGAGGTCCGATGGCAGCTTCGTCCTGAGCAATCAGATCCTCCACGGCCTTTTCAACTTGTTCAATCGTTCGTGTACTGATACGGTCACGAAATCGTCGTCTTCGTACCCACCTCAGTGGAGGCGTCAGACCATGCGGGTACTGTAAGGTCCTGTCGTCCGGGGCCTCGACCTCTGAAGGCAGCGGATACCCAATGGCTTCTGCCTCGCTGGCAACGGGTCCCAGTACCAGAAGCATCTGACATATATCCGCAGATTTGTACCAACCACGTCTGTCCCAACTCTTCATCCCCTCAACAATGCACGGCAGGTCGACCAGCGCCGCCGCGTATTGCTTATCGCGGATCTTAAGGACAGCCCGTCGTCCCTCGCGAGTAAGCGGTTTGAACGCAAATTCTCCCCGATCAAAACGTCGCTCGTTGATTGCCTGCCGTAGGTATTCGCAGTCTTCGCCGGGAATCATACGTAGGATAAACTGTTCTTCGATAGATGGATCGATTTCCGCATCCGATGCCTCGGAATCGTAGCCGACTCCAGTGGGCCGATTGGGGACCAGCCCCTTGTTCTTAATTCGTATGGATTGCAAACCGGGTTTCTTTGATGGGTTCAGCTTTAAGCGCTTCGGGCCGGTAGGTTGCTGCTCGGCTGCAGCGACGGGTGCCGCATCTTTTCCATCTGGCGGGTGCGACTCAGCAGAGCGTTTCTTGGATGATTTCTTCTTGACTGGTTTATCTCCATCTTCATCTGTCGTGCGCTTCTGCGGGATCTTGAGAGTGATCCTTGGCTGAGGCGTCCCTGACGGAGGAGGCTGAACGGGTTCTTGAGGCGGCTGCGTGGCCTTGTTCTTTATCGTGAGTTTAAGGGTCGGTCTGGGTGGCGCAGACATGGCGATAGTCAAGGAAGCATACAGAGGGTCTGAATTTGCGAAGAAATATGATGGAAAGAAAAGGAAAGGAGTCTTGTGCCTAGGAAGCTGAAGGAGTTGGTCAAGGTTGAGTTTGTCGCTGCAGTGAAGGTTGAGCGATCTCCGAGCTTGGCTGCGGAAGAAAACAGCCTTCATTCATTGTCTTCATTCAATTCACCAGCTGTGTTTTTTTTGCTCCCCCCCATCCAACATACCATGTCTTGCTACAGCGCGCATCCTTAAAAATAATACCAGCAGTTAGGCATTTCATCCAGCCCACGACACTGTCCGCATCTGCTTTTTGTTTTCCACGTCCGTCATGCCTGCTCCCAACCTCCATAACGCCCTCCTACGTCCCCCTCTCATCCAGATCCTACGTGCAGCGGGCTTCCACGCGACCTGTCCTTCGGTCCTTGACACAGTAACCGACCTCGCAGCACGGTATTTGTTACTTCTCGCTTCCTCCACCGCTGCCCATGCAGCGAACGCACATCCCGACGACCCAGTTCCGGTGCTAGAAGACTTCTATCAGGCATTGCAAGACGCAGGCGCCTTGCGTCCTCAGTTAAGGGGCTGGGAGGAGGATTGGGCTGGCGAAGAGGATCTACGGGGATTAGACGGCTTTCTCAGCTGGTTCACTGGCCCCGCGCATCGGGAGATTCGCCGTATTGCCGGATTCATACCTAGCGAAGGCGACATGATGGACCCAGACGCACTCGAGAAGGAAGACTACCTGACATCATTGAAGAAGAAGCATAGCAAGACGGGCGAGGAGTCGCGATACGCTGGTACTGTTCTTGGGAAGAGTGCGGATGAGCATCCTATCGTCATCGAGGGTGGAGCGCCTAGTATCCAGGAATGGGGGATGCAGACACGATCTCGAGGAGCATATTCGCCTACGAGTGATTCGTCGGCTGTTAGTAGCGCGCCTAGCAACTTATCCGATCCCGAAGCGATGGAGGTATGAGAACCAGCGGCTTCTCTACCAAAAATATGCATGTCACGTCGGCGCAGCAGCTGAGGAAGCTACAGGACGGAAATCGAGAAAGAGGCTCAGGATTCATAGACAAACTGTCAGAAACACAATAGGCAGAACTTTTCCACGGCTCATTCTCTGCCACGCTTCGGGCACTCGAGGGACGGCAGCTGGAGCCACCCCTGCCGGTTCTCGAAAACCTTTGACGATGCCAACGCAAATAGAATCCCTTAGACATCAGGAGCTATCGTTGGCTATCAACATTATGAGATCAGGCAAACCATGGCAATGAAGAATGAAGCATCCAAGGAGCTATCACAGACCGTGGAAGTCTATGTCAACGTGCTCATGAGGCCAAAATCACTCCTTTGAGATGCATGGAGTGGGCGCACCAATGTACATAGAGCGGGTGGTATTATTCAAGGCATATATGCCACTATACAGACTTTTTATTCTCACATAGAATTTCGTTTTGCCATTCCGCTGCCGTTTTTGGTCACATATGACGCCAAAAACAATGGCTTTTCGCCCTCGCACCACCAACACAATCCTCAGGCAGCACTGTGGCTTTTGTCGTCTGCAACACCATTTGTTTCCTGTCATGAGCTACGCCCAGGCATATTGCGAACCCAGAGCCAACGCCTGAGCTATCTGCCCTATTTGTTCCATTTGTTCTGTTTGTTGCCGGCTCTCCTATTTCCTTCCTTGTACACAAAGCCGCTGCCTGTCGAAAAGACCTCCTGTTCTCTTCTTTCTCTCGAGGAATTCTTCATGTATCTAGCACAAATGGATTTTATATTCAAACCTTTACACTTCCTATCAAGTTTCACAATGGTTAAAAGCCCAGTCACTCCCAACGCCTCACTCAACCTTTGTTTCCACCCGGTTGACACTCAAGTCATCAAGATCAGCTTTTCCTTCGTTCTTCACCGCTCTTTTCTATTTTGTCAGAATCTATCACTACCTCAGACCCCTCAACAGCTTTGCCCTATGGTTGGCATAAGTCTTCAGCCACACCTTGTCAAAGACAGATCAATATGAACCCCCCCCCTCTTCCAGTGAAACCACCAGTGTATCTACTGCTTTCAGAGCCAAGCTGCAATGGCTGACTACTTGTCTGTTGACCAGTTTTGAGAGGGGAAGATCAAGTTCCAAGCACTGTATCTGGCAAGACCGAGAATGAAAACCAAATTGTAAGAATGGTAATAGTATGTTTTAGACCAGACAACTGTTTGGGATTACACTTGCGTGACCAGGTTGATGTATTGTCTACTTGGTCATGTAACCCAGTACTGGTCAAATTGCGCAGTTAACTGGGGTGGAGAATCAGTCTTAGAAGTGGCACCCCATAATTTGAACGCCCGCAAGAAACATAGGTGTAGAAATCAGTTAAACAGAAAAACACCTCGGAAAAAGCAGGCAGGTTATTTATTGTTCCCTCCTTTACCCTGGTCATCATGTATTTTACTCAGGTCACCAAAATACATGATGGCTTGTTTAAAAACATCAATAAAAAAGCTTACTGTAAAAAAACAAGCCCAATACTGTATGTAACTGTCCATGTCATATCTAAAGTCGTCAATCTCGGGTAATTTACAGTCACCACATGGAAGCACCAGTGCCTACCTATCCAGCAACTGGTTCTTTGCATACTATTTTTTGGAAAAGAGTGAAAGAAATACTCCATGACATTTTCACATTTGCACAACTTAAAACCCTCTCCGAGTATTCCCACTCACTCCTCGGGAACTCTGTCCCAGGATTCCCGACTCCGGGCCTCCCTAGCTAGGACAGCCAACTTAGCGAGTTCGACCCCCATCGACATAGATTGTAATGGAGGCATATATTGGTTGGTAACTAGCTAGGTAGGCCGACGTGGTGGCAAAGGGCAGCGAGGGCGGACCTAGGCGGCAGAATAACACGTGATCTAACAGTACCTCCTGCTTTTGGAGGAATACTTCTTACAACAGCGGCGCTCACCTCACTCCCTCCAGCTTTATAACGAAATTCAAGAGGAGGATCAGCTACTCTCAAAAATTGAAAAGGATGAAAAAGACCATTTTCAGAACAAGGATCTCAGAAACACGATAGCTAAGAAGCTGACGCTCATGTCCGAATGGAAAACACAGTATACCGTCAACAATCCACCGAGACTTCGGGAAGATATGTTTGTCGCTTCTCCCAAACTATGGAAATGGATTCAACAATTTACGCAGGACTGGGAAGACGGAACTTAATGTGTCTACCCCGAAATCAAGATCTCAAGCGATTGTGCTCAAGTGGGACGTCCCACAGGTCATAGGGGTCATCATCCCGCACCTTCTCGAATTCAGAAAACCAATAGACCATTGTTGAAGGGGAAATACCGTTTACAATATGATGCTCGATGCACTTGAATCAATTGTGCCTTCGCGCCGTTCAGTTTCTGTGGTAACTTAGATGATGCCTCAGTTAAACGAAAGATATCAATGTGACCCTACTGCCCTCGCGACAGTATGAGACTTCGTCTCCTGCGACGTATTATGGCTTCTTTGATGCGCCAGCTGGTGGGGTTGGAAGATCCGGTGGTTGGTGAGCAGCAAGATGGAAAGGGAAAACCTTCAACCTGCGTAGAATAAAAAGTAAATATATAGGTGGAAGATATCTCCAATGTTCTTCGCCCTGCCGGATAGACGGGAGTATACCAGCAATAGGGGAATAATTTTATATAAATGCTTCTCGTGTGTTCAATTGAGGCAGTAGCTAAACGCATTCTTGGCTGTTTGCGGGTTGACGGTGACATCAGTCGCTCCGGACTTCCATCTTCAATCCTCATTATTAGCGTCGACAGTAATACAGAATGGTCTACGCCTTCGCTCTCCCAACAACCTCCCATCTCTCCTTCCAGACCTTCCTCACCTCGAGCACCCATCCTTCTCTTCCCCAGTCTGCCTCTACAGCGCGCCATGCCCTCCGTCTTGCCCTCAAAGCGCACAAACGCCTACCCCGCGGGCCGCAGCAGGACACTCACCTCCCCGCGATTCTCGCCGCACTGAACGATTACCTCCCTTATCTATTTGCAATATCACACGGTCTGAGTGGGAAACCTACAGAGCATGCAGGCGAAGAGATCGAAATCACCCTCCACGCCGAAGTCGAGGCTGAATGGCGCGCTACGCTGACCTCTTCCACTTCACTATCATCGCTGAAGGGCATCGCAGGAGCGGCATCAACACAACTTAAGAACGGCCGGATTCGTGGACGTGGAATCGATTTTGAAATTGCCTTTACTCTTACGACACTGGGGTATGTGTTGAGCGGGTTGGCACGATCCGGTCTTCTGTCGACATTTTACGCCATCAGGACTCCCACGGCTGAGCAGCGCACTACCGCCGTTCAAACAGCTACAAGATACATGCTGCAAGCGAGTGCGGTGCATTCTCGTCTGGCATCTTCTCCATCGTTTGCTGGCGTTGCAGTTGCTTCTTCTGGACGGACTAATGTTGCCATTCCGGACCTGGATCCGGCAACGCAGTCAGCTCTCTCATCTCTCGCCTTAGCGGAAGCTACGCTTTTGGCCGTGTTGAAGGATGATGTCTATCTAGCCACTTGTATCCAGGCGCGTAATCCCCATGACAAGGATTGGATGGTTGGTACGTCGGATGTGCCCAAGGTGCGGGCGTTGTTGTTCGCGCGACTGTGCGTCAGGGCGGCGGAGTATGCAGAACAGGCTGCTGCTGGACTAGGCTCTGTGGGCGCGGAAGGGAGGAATGGCTCTGTCGACGATGATCTCGTGAAATATGCCGGGGTTCTTGGTCGCGTTTCGCGGGCAAAAGCTTGTCGTTTTTTCGGGATAGATTCGGAACTCGCAGACAAGATTGGAGATGGAATCGCATGGCTCAGAGCTGCTAAGGGGGTGCTGGCATTACGGAGTTCTACGTTAGGAGAGGAAGGGGAGGCGTATGCGACCAAGAACAAGGGACTGGGTGGGTTTTCGAGATGGAAGAAGGAGTGGACGGAACGACGGGAGGAGAGAAAGATGGAGAAAGATGCCGGTGGGAAAGGTGACACGTACAAAGGTGAGCTTGATCCGGGAGATAATGCTGGACGAGAGGAGGAGGGGCGAGTCATCGAGATGTTGGAGACGAAATGGGTGAAGATGAACGATACGGTGAGTTTCTTTGATTCTGTCACATTTACTCAAACTATCCTATACGAATTTCTTGGACTTCACCGGTGCTAATGACGCTCATACACAGATAAATACTCAACGAATTCCCCAGTCTACAAATCTTCTCTCAAGTCTTCCGTCGGGCCGAGATATCCACACCCCTCCTGCCCCATACAAGCCCCCATCCCTGGATGAGGAACAGCTTATTCACATGCGTGCTCCTCCGGAAGATGACGAGCCTTTGCCGGGCAGCGATGGGGAGGATAGTGATGAGGAGAGAACCAGGGTTGGGAGTTATGGGGGGACGTTCGCTGGAGAGGGCAGCGGCAGCGCTTATTACTGATTGACCAAGACATTTCATAGCAGTTGCGATCAGATACCCACGTATGTTTGGCCTATAAGCAACTTTTGGCTTTAGGGTTTGCGTTAGAGTGGCATTCTTATTTGACGTTTCCAGGCTTGATCCAACATATCTAATTTTCATGTCAGATCTAACGGAGTAGTTAATGTATCGAGACTATTCAAAGGGTATTCAAGGGGAATGGCTGCGACAAAACATATCGCAGCTGGTGCACTTATAATCCCGTTGCAGAAGACGAGCTCCATATAAAACGAAGAAAAGTATGCGTATTATGTACAATCCAGCCTAGTCGGAACAAGCCGACATCAGCTTCCTTCAACTTTCTAACCTTTTGTCTTCTTCATTTCTCCCTCGTCCCTTTCCAGCTTCTCCTGTTTGAATCTGTACTCAATTACTCCGCCACATATGTAACTTAGATTGAACAGCAGGAGTGATAGTCCGCCTCACTGTCATTAATGAGACAAGGCACATAAAAGGAGAGAGGAAGTCTGCTAGCCTCCGCTCTTCTCACTGACAGACCCGGAAAACGATCTAGACGAAATAGAGCTCGACTTCCCATGAACAGTCAAATATCCGAACAAACCGGTAAATCAACCCAAGCATGGAACAGGACCAACAGAAACATGAGGAATTCACGCAGACTTGGACTTGCTGGCCTCTGCATCTTTGAAAGGATAATTCTTCTCTTCGAAGAGGTAACCCTTAACCTTGCGTTCGTTGAGGAGTTCAAAGTACTTGTCTTCACAGGAAAGTTAGCTTTACCCATTAAATAAACTTACTTCTTCCCATTGCCAATTCAAGAGACCTGTATATGGAAATAAAGTGACAATACAGAATAATATGATAGAAAGAAAAGACAAGACCTACCTCTCAACACACCACACTTCTCTAAATGATTCACTCCCTCCCGACGATAACACTTGCCCAATTCCTCCCCAACAAGACGGGACATCATACTGCGAACCCATTGCTCGCGGATGATGGCATCCCGAGCATTGTGGAGAGCGACGTTATCATCGTAGTCAACACCTTCGTATGTCGGAGGAACGGTGGGTTTCTTTGCCAGGAACGCGGCGGACTCGGGAGTAGGCATTGTGAATTTTTCGAGTTTTCGTTTGGTTATCGATGATAATGGTGGGAGGGATTGGTTTCTCCGAAATCAAAGCTCGAATCGGGTCAAGGAGGGATTGCGGGTTGTTCGATTGACAGGACAGGATGGGATCTGGGTTCGGAGTTCAAGGTTGGCGACGATGAGTGTGCAATTGCGGCATTGGGATTGGCTGATGCTTAGGCGGTGAGATGGACTACGGGAGGCTGAGAGCGAAAGTGCGCAGTTGCCGAAAAGGGAAACACATTGGAATAAGGATTGTCCAGATTGCCTAGTAGACTAAATGACGTACAAAGATCAAGAGCTATTCCTAGTTCCAGCAGCATCCACAGAAAGTCATCACATAGCTTTGTTCTTGGATATGAACATTGCTTTCTACTGTACAGGTTTGTGCGCATGCTCCTTATACAGGACATGGGTTGATTTGGCAGAGGACACCTGATGTTCCCTCGTACCTATTAATCAAATGCTTCCTATATTGTAGCTATGTCCACAGACACAGATGATATGCAAGCATGAATGCTAGGGATGCTGGAGTGAACCCAAAGACCAATGTCCCAATTGGGCAATTTCGGCTTTCGTAGTGAAGGCGGACCTGATTTGGCTTGGCACCATAAGGACTGCATTCTCTCTGAGCGTATGCGTTCATCACAGTTGTGCTTTCCCAAATGCTGGGCACTTTGGTTTCATTTGAAACATGGTCTTCATGGGTAACCATGTTATGGGAGATATCTTCCAGAAAAGCGAATATGTCCCAACTTGCAAAATACAAAATGTATTGAGAGGGAAACGTTCATTCTGGACAGGACAGACCATCCATTATATCATCCGTTTCACCGACTTTCCTCTGTTTCCATCGCCTCTTCACGCTGCATGGCCAGCTTCACCAAGAGATCCCTTGAGGCAACTTGAGACCTGTGTGCTTCCTGCATTTTGACATTTCCCTGCGGGCCTTCTGACATGTTTTGCGAATTTTCATTTGCAGATGCGACCTGTATGGAGACCTTTTCTATTTGAGATAAGGGCAAAGATTCTCGCTCAATATTGCTCGTGGGCGGAGTCGCCGAGTTCCGTTCTGACGCATTATTCCCGCCTATTTCCGCCTGTGAACTGGGCATCGAACGTGATGGGGCCCTGGATCGGCTGCGCAGATTCCTGGGGTGGGAATTGGGTGCGCGATGGCTGTTCGGCCTTGCAAGTTCACTGGGGCTCGGGTTCACCATTGCATCACCCTTCTGGCTACCGATGCTGGTGTTGCCATTTTGCTCGCCTCTCGGCGATGGCTTTGGCGTATGAAAGGTATCCGGTTTCGGAACTCGGCTTATCGATTTCCTCGGCCGCCCTGGCCTTCTTTTCTCTGGAATCTTATCACTAGCTGCGATATCGACCGGCTGGGAGAGACGTGGGCGTTTGGAAACAACTTGGTGTGGGCTCGAATGCTGAGTGTCTGTTGCGCTATTAGAGTGGGGGTGAAGTTTTGACTGGGTATTATTCTGAGGTCTTGGAAACTCCAACTGTGATTGAACATCCGCTGCTTCATCTGTTACAGGAGTTATCAGGCCTGGGTCCTTCAAAGGAATCTTCATTGGCAGAAAGCGTGCATCTGTCAGGAGACCATCATCTGAGAGACTGTCATCTTCGCCATCATCGAATGAGTCTGCAATCGGTTGTGTACGGCCAGATGGAGATGAGTCCGGCCAAGGGCGTTTTCGGCTACTCTGTAGCAAGAGGCCATGACTTCCTATTTCGGGAAGTGCTCCGTCGGTAACTATGGAAGATGAAGATTGCCTTAGAGCTTGTTCCTCCATGTATCTGTTTTTAAACTTCAATGCCTCGATTTCCAACTTCAGCTTTTCAATCTCCTCGGACTTGCATCTGAGCTCCTTTAATACTGTAGAAACCATTTCGAAGTTGCTGTGTCCACCGTCCAGGCCGGAGCCATTCAATTCGATACGAAGCGCTGTAAAGGCGGATTTTAGCTCGGCCATGGAATCCTGCAGGCCACAGACGGAGCTCGAGATCTGATCGATACTCGTAGCCTGGTGTTGAATCTGCTGCACGGACTGGCCAGATCCACCATCTTCCAGAGAACTTGTCCGAACCAAAGTCTCTTGTCCAGATATCCTGTTCCCACCCAACCCGGAATTAGCCTCATCCTTCGATGGCAGCTGAAGAAGCCATTCGACTATTCCTTCCTTCAATACTGGTTCCACGGTCCTCATAGTCACAATCTCTCTAAACGACACCTTGGACATTTTCCAGAATATATTCGGGCTGAATCTATTAGTAACCGGCTATAAGGAATAGACCAAGACCGTTCTGCCAAGTACGCACCCATTATCTAGCGCACATAGCACCCCAACTTTCAGCTGGCACAGCTTGCAACCAATCTCTTGTAGAATGCGCCCCCGCAAGAGGCTCAACTCAGATGTCTGGGGTATCTGCTTTCGTTCTGAGGAGATCAAGATCCGGTTTAGGTTGACGCTAAGCCATCCTGCGACGACTGAATACGAGTTTGACAACTTGGCCCACTCGTTCTCCAGGACGGCAAGCGAGCTCGAGCAACGTGAGCATTGGCATAGCACGGCGGGCCGAGTAAGACTAGAGAGATCCATGGTTGATGGAGATCTCGCGTGAGGTGCGAGGCAGAAGACATCGTTAGGAGGTTGGGAAGAATGTCTTGCGGGTTTGGGGGGTTTTGGCGGATGGAATTCTGGACTGCTGACTAAGAAGGCCGGTGGAGGAGCGTTGCGTGATCCTTGCCGTGTTAGGTTAGCGCATAATAACGGACTCCGCATTCCCGCGAGCACAGACGCCGGTTAACAGGCCCATCCTCGGTTGTCCCTCTCGACATCAACACCCGTCTTTACTCATGAAACGTCATGCCTTCTCCCTCCTTCGCGGCTCCTGGTCGACACCAACCGCTAGGATTTATGGAAGGATCACCACAGCAAGTATATCGTCTGCCTCGAATATAACCAAAGGAAGGCCTAATGCCTGGAATGGCGCCGGTGCGGCCGAGTTCGACATGCGCAGTAAGCCTTTCTCTTTCTGCTCTTTTTCAAAGCCATTGGAGTGACTCAATATATGCTGATAGTATGGTAACTCAGGCGATACTATGACAAAGCCCACCATATCCATGCTGGAGGCTATCAGCCAGACTAGCTTGCTTGATGATGTCTTCAGCGAGGATCCCATTACAAATGAACTGCAGTCCTATGTGGCGGACCGCACTGGCCATGAGAGTGCGTTATTGGTAATGTCTGGGACTATGGGGAACCAGGTCGCCATCCGGACACATCTTGCACAACCACCTTATTCGGTTCTGTGCGACCACCGATCTCATATCATCCACTACGAAGCGGGAGGAGTCAGTGCGTGGACCGGTGCTATGGTCTCCCCCGTAATTCCCAAGAATGGCATCTATATGACACTGGAAGATCTTCAGAAGCATGCCGTGTTGATTGATGATGTCCACTACTGCCCCACTAGGCTGATCAGCTTGGAGAACACTTTAGACGGGCTGGTTATGCCGCTTAGCGAGGCTCGTCGCATTACGGAATGGGCTCATGCGAATGGTATCAAGGTGCATTTGGATGGTGCACGGCTCTGGGAAGCAGCAGCATCCGGTTCTGGAAGCTTAGTTGATTACGCCAGTCTTTTCGACAGTGTCAGCTTATGTTTCTCGAAGGGACTGGGAGCACCCATTGGTAGTATCATTGTTGGCTCTAAGGACTTCATCGACAAAGCTCGATGGTTTCGAAAGGCCTTTGGGGGAGGTGTCCGCCAGGCTGGAGTAATCGCTGCTGCTGCTCGAGTGGCGGTTGAGGACACGTTCGGGCCAGAGCCCAACGGCCAAGCGGGTAAACTCCCAGAGGCTCATGTCAGGGCTAGGAAGGTAGCCAACATGTGGACTAGCCGGGGAGGAAAGTTATCATGCCCAGTACATACCAACATGATATGGCTGGACTTGGAATCGTCGGGACTTGGACCCAACGACCTTGCGGAAATCGGAGAAACAAAGGGGCTGAAGCTGTCAGGATCTCGTATTGTCGTGCATTATCGTAAGTATCCAGGCATTATGCATACACTGGCAATCTTGGCTGACTAGTCACAGAGGTATCGGACGAGGCCCTTTCGCGACTGGAGCAAGTCTTTGATGTGGCAATGAGCGGGAAGTTTCAGCGATCTAGCAACCAGAGTAGACCATATGGCTCAAAGTAAAACGGAATGTCAGCCCAGTCATTACAGAACATATCGCATGATCCATGGATCCCTTGTATTTGGTGGAGTAGAAGCTGTTTCCTGCCCGGGGTTCATCGATGCAGTGGTGCCTGAGGCACGCATAATATTTCCATCAACCTAGCCGTAATTAAATCAATCGAGCCTCATGCTTTATCTTGTTTCTCCGACGACGAGACAGCGCAACTGCCTCCGCCCTGTTGCTGCATCACTCCGTCAGCAGAGACAACCAAAGCGACTGTAGATTTCCGTCGGGCGTGGACGTCTGATTGGGGAGTTCCGCTATTTGTGTGGGTTGCGCTTCTGTTTCTTTGTACCGGTACATGTCTTTGAATTTCCCTACTAACAGCTTCATGTTGTCACAGAAACAGGCATTCCTATCCCCAGAACTCTCCCTTTCGATCCTTGCATTGCTTATCATCGTGGTGTTCAGTTATTTTGCTGAATGGCTGTCATCTCTAGTTGCATTTCACTCTTTTGACGAGTCACTTGGACGTCTCATTACGCCTCAAAAGACGGCACCCGCGCGATCTCTCCTCGACTCTATCCTTCACAACATCCTTCCTTTGTTGATTAGACTTCTGGACAATCTCCTTGACTGGATCGGCACTGGATATCTTGGTTTTCCCGCATTCTAGAGCACCCATCAAAGACTTGAGGACAGCATACATATGATTTAATGGGACGGACGTTTGGGGAATAGCCGATTTTTTGGATTTTCCTTCTGTCGCTGGGCCCCTCTATTTGAGGACATAGAGAAACCTGGCCATTCTTTTCTGTCCGTCTTCCCCTTGCATCTTGGCTTTCTCTGGCCCATCTTCTACAAGGTAAGATAGAAGCAAGCCTCCGTATGCAAAAGGTCTCTTTGATGACAGTAGCTACCTAACGAGCGGGCGCGTTCTAGATTCAAATGATACGACTTGATTAACGGCCGACTATCCTCTAGGGGCCCTTCTCTATGCACCGACTTGTTTGGTAGTTTCTGATCCATTTTATCTTAGGAAACAAGTTCATCTTAGCCTGCCACATGGAGGCAACCCAAGAATCCACCCAGCCATATTCGGACCCACGCCGCATCGGCTTAAGCAACTCTGGACTCCATGACCAGGATCTGGCTGATATAATCTGCATCCTACACCCGAATTCTCATGCTGCTCATGATGCTGTTGCAGCTACCGCATCCAAGTCTCATCAGCACATACTACAACGAGACGAGCTCGCACATGGGGACTCCGGTACCAGTGTGCTAGATATTGCTCTTAGACTGTCATCGGAAGTTTGTGATCCTAGTGGCGGATTCTATTTTGGTCGCAATCCGCAGAGATCCGATATCCTCCTCTCCACTGATGATAGCGCCAAGCGTATATCGAATACACATTTCCGTATTTATCTGACCAGTGACGGGATCCTCATGCTTCAGGATACTTCCACAAATGGCACAATTGTAGATGACTGTCGCCTGCGGAAAGGGTCAAATAGCAGTCGGATGCTCACCAACGGTTCTGTCATTCAGGTGGTCTGCGGAGGGAAGGCAGTGGAAGAGGTAAGGTTCATAGTTCGAATACCTACACGGGAAGGGTTCGCCCGGGAATACACGCAGAACTTGATCCGTTACTTTGAACGAATCCAAAAATATGTGGCCGAAAATCAGCGGTTCAAGAAGCCTCCAGTACCCCAACAATCCGCTCTACAGTGGACGGTGGGGAATGCTTATGGAATGCATTGGACGGGAGGTGCCATGTACAATGTGACTGGGCAAATTGGGAAGGGTGCTTTTGCGACTGTATATAAACTGGCTACCAAGCAGCATGGGGTCGTCTATGCAGCCAAGGAACTCGACAAACGACGGTTCATGAAGAATGGGGTCTTGGACCAGAAAGTCGATAATGAAATGAAAATCATGAAAGATCTCAAACATGTGGGTAAATCGTGCTGCTGATCTTACACTTTGCTGACGTCTATGCCTGTCTAGCCCAATATCGTTCAGTACATCGACCACCACGAGCACGAACGCTGGATTTATATCATCATGGAATATGTTCCTGGTGGTGAACTATCAACGTACCTACAGTCGCATGGCAAAATTCCCGAGGATATGGTTAAAACCATGACTCGCCAGCTCCTGCACGCGTTGCAGTATCTCCACAGACGCAGGATAACACATCGTGATATCAAGCCAGATAATATCTTAATTGCATCTCTAGACCCGCTCAAGGTGAAACTTTCTGACTTCGGATTATCGAAAGTTGTCCAGGAAGAAACGTTTCTGAAAACTTTCTGTGGCACTCTCCTGTATTGCGCCCCAGAGGTGTATCCAGAATATCAAAACTACCGAGGCGGGGAATTGAAGAAGAGGCGCCGATTGGGCGACCCGTGAGTCTATTACCCTTGTCCTTCTTTTTCTCTGGAGCCTGCTGACCATCAGACCTCCTAAAACTTCCCCATACGGCCAATCCGTTGACATGTGGTCGCTGGGCGCGGTCTTATTCCATATTTTATGTGGCGAACCTCCATATATGGGACGCGGCGATGACAAGGGCTCGCAGATGCTGCGAAATATCATGACAACGGATCCTGATTTCGGCCTCCTCCGTAAAGCGGGTGTGTCTGAAGAAGGTATTGATTTTGTAGGCCGCCTTCTTAACCGGAACCCCTCTTCTCGCCCGGATGAACAGGCGTGTTTTACCCATGAATGGATAGCCAATGTGGCGGATGTTGACGAATATGAACGTGATGACCATTTCCTATTCCCAATTGGTGAGACTGGCCTATCAGATATCGGCGAGGATTTGGAGGATGAGTTGGATGCGTCACAGTTGTCACTCTATGACAAAGATGGTCAAGGACTGGGACAAGTGAATGAGCCGGAAGATGACGCGCAAGTTAAAAGACGCCGGTTTGATTATCCCCCCTTGATTCCGTACCCATCTCTCCCAAATCTGGAAAGCTTCAACCCGGTCGAATCCATCCCTGAGTCAAGTCGAGGACGTCTTTTTGGAGAGATCACAGCTTCTGTACGACGCAGCTCTAAAGTCTTTCAAGCCAGTCTCGGCGAATTCGGAGAAGACGGCTTCAGCGTGCATGACTTCGTTTCGTCCTCCGGTGAGTCGATAAACGATAGAAACAGCGTGTATTCTGTTGTCTCCCTTCCGCAAATACCGTTTGGCGGTTCCGCACCAAGTTTGATGGGGGCTGAGAATCTCGTTGGGCAGCTGAACATGAATTCGTCCCCGAAAATGGACGACCCAGTCCTCGAAGGACCAATACGACTACTCAGCTCGGAACACATGAAAGGGATCGGAACTAGCGACGATTCTGACGATGATCGTCTGCGAGTGAGCATTAACGAAGACACCCCTAAGCCAGACCGTTTCCACCGTCGAACTTCGTTGACTGTTCCCGAGACGGCTAGCGAGTGTTCTAGCGATGATAACTTTGGCATCGAGGCCCCCGAATTGTCAGACAATGAATTAGCTGTCACCATTGATGCTGTAACCAGAAGGGAAATTACTGGAGCGCCTGAGACAGAAACTGGTGAGAAGGATTACAACGGCAATGACAATGGTTATAACATCTCTGCAGACAATTTACCAAGTTCCCTTGCTGCACAGATACCACCTACCCCTGAGTCAGTCACCGGTACGCCATTCAACAAAGCTCGACCATTGCTCGGCAAACTGACGACTATTCCGGGATCGATTTTCGACTTGACTCTCGAGTTGGAAAACCGAATGACGTCGTGGGGTCGTGGGCCGCAGGCATCGATCTGCTACCCTGACCGCATGGATACCAGGATTCCCGCGTATGCACTGGAAGTGACTTTCTGGGCGCCAGCTATCGAGGCACGAATTGCTGCTGGAGAAGACTGGAAAACGGTGCCAGACGTAATGACGATTCTGTCCACGAAAGCCAGACGATGCATATGGGTCAATGGTGTCGAACTCCACCGGGGCCCTCAGGATGGTCAAGGAAAGCTGGGATTTCAATATGGTAAACTGTACACGAACGATATCATTACAGTGTACGAACACAAGGACAAGTTCTTGAAGTTTCAGTGCGAGTTCTACCATGGCGACAGCGCACGTACACGTCCCGAGAACGAAAGGGGGTTCATCGTGCGGAAAGTCCTGATGTCCAAGGAAGACGTGAACGCCAAGCGGTTGCCTATCCAAAGAGGCAGCTTTGAGAGTCATAAATGAGATGAGCCTTGCTTGCTTGCAGTGAGGGTGGATGGCGAATGCGTTTTTTGTTCTATCATTGTTCATATTGCATACTATTATCCTTTTGTTGGTTGGATACATTTTTCTTGTGGTGGATTGTGATTATTCTTTCTAGAAGCAGATGCCTGATCTGTGATATAGGGTTCATTGGAAATATCAAGGTACCATGATCTAGCTAATTTGACAGAAGCACACCAATTCCTGATGCTTCGTCAGCATGAGAATTTGTTGTATTGAACAGTGGAAGTATCAATGCTAGGAAAAGTCCCTGGTTATATGCCCCAGACATGAATTGATATTTATAGTCACGTGATTGGAGCCTAATTAGGTATAGCGGAGATACTGTATTCTTTGCGCATTTCATCTATGCACAATGCACCATTTCTAGCCCTGTTTCCCATCTGCCGGTGTGGTCAATTGGGGGATAACCTGCATGTCCTTACAAATGCAGCGGCAATGGAAATCAAGTTATCCGAGATCTCCTTCATCGAACAGTTGAAAGAGTCAGAGTCGTCCTGTGTATTTCGCGTGCACTGGCATGACAAAGACTGTGTAATGAAAGTGGTATGCCATTGCATCCCAGAAGCTCTCTTAAACCTCTTCTTGATTGTTTCTCATGGCCTATTTTCAGTATCATGCTTGGGATCCATCTCCCGCTGACCCATCTTTCCGCGAACTCGATCCGTTCAAATGCGAAAGCCACGCGTATCATCGATTGAAGAGTGCAGGTCTATGTGATCGGGGATATGTCCCGAAATTCTACGGCTTCATTGAGGACATAGACCCAGGAGAGTGGGAGCCGCACCTGGAGAGTTTTCGGGGGGATAATCTGCGTCCCAATGCTGTCTTGATGGAATACGTACCTGATATGCGTACCATAGATCTGTCGAACTTTTCACATGAAAGGATTCACCAATTGAGACGAGTTCTTGCTGAAATGCATGCCGCTGGTGTTTATCATGCTGATGCGTATCCGCAGAATATGAAGGTTCAGGAGAATTCGGGGAGAGTCCTTTGGATCGGGTTTGATCATGCCCAGACGTTCTCTACAGAGTCAATTACGGCGCTTCAACAGAAGTGGTTGGACGAGGAGATGGAGTTGATGGATTATTTTGTGGGCGCTTTGGTAAGGCCTCTAGATAACTATTCATTGGTTTAGCACGATGCTCATTCCGTATTTCCAGACGGCCGACTTCAGGGACGGCGAGATCAATAGGACGTGGATGTATTACAATGGGAGTGTATAATGCTATCATTTGTTGCTCCCCACGACTCCGAGGGCTCCACTGGCTCTGTTCGCCTTTTTTATGCAATTCGCCTGGATATTCCATCGAAGGGAAGCTAAGGTAGCTATATATCGGCTACATTCACAGACTATCAACTCTTTCTTCTCTATTGCCAAGTCTGTTCGTCTTCTCTGTTGCAATAAGTCCCTCCCTAGCGTGCCAGCTGGCGAAAACACAGTTGTTTGACTCTTGCCAAGCACCGACGCAACAGGCTTTTAGGTTCAGGGGCGTTGTTTTAGAATATACTATATTAGCGATAGCGATAGGCGAAACAGTCCATCCTCCTTATCATAATTTGAGTTAAATTATTTAATTCTATTGCGCGGGAGCTCGAGGAGAAGAATTCCCTCCGCGGGTTTTTTTCTTGTTTGCCTTTCCGTCGTCCCACTCTCTCTTCACTTCTTGTTTACCTCCGTCGCTGCCGGCTCTCATTCACCTACCTGCTACCAACATCGCGATCAACCAATGTCCTACGATCGATCATCCCCTCCTCTCGCGGGGGGAGGATGGTCCCGCTCGAGTCCCGGTCTGACGTCTCCCGGCAGCGGCACTTCTACGCCTCACAGCGGAATCTTCTCTCCACCCCCTCTGGGTCCCAGTGGTATCTCCTGGGCTACGGCAAAGGCAAAGAGCGACGAAGTCAGAGGCTATCCGTCGTTTTCCACGAGAAATAACGGGTTCTTCTCTCGCCAGAAACGCAAGATCTCGGCCCGTATTCCGCGCTTTCGGACCAACTCTTCCTATGCAGAGTATAATGGCGATAAGGATGTTTATGGGTTAGGGGTTGATACATGGTCTAGCGGATGGTATGGACGCTCGCGGCATGCGTCGCCATTATTTTGCAGGTCGGTGTTTCGTCGGAAGAGATTTCGGGTTCTTTTGGGCATGGTACTTGGGTGGATTTCATATTTTCTGTTCTGGACTGGTGAGTTGGATTGTGTGGTTTTGCTCTGCTATATTCGCTGGAAAAGGCTGACTTACCGGTCTTGGTCTTCTGCAGCTATCGTTGAATCCTACCGACGATCTTCGTGGGGTGGAGGGCGCAAGTTCGTGGTGATATTGGCATCCAACGTGGAGGGAGGTGTTATGGAATGGAAAGGAGCCCGCGAGTGGGCAATCGAGCGCAACAGTGTCTGGAATAAGCAAGAATACACAAAACGCTGGGGTTACGAACTTGAAGTCGTCAACATGTTGGCCAAGAAGCGCTATTCGTATGAGTGGCGCGAGAGCTGGGAGAAGGTAGATGTCATCCGGGAAACCATGCTCAAGTATCCTGACGCAGAATGGTGGGTTTCTTTCAAAAAGAGATCTCCGATGCTCTTATCCGCTGACTTGTACAGGTTCTGGTGGCTTGATCTAAATACATGGATCATGGAGCACTCGTATTCCCTGCAGGACCACATCTTCGACCATCTTAGTTCTGTTACCTACCGCGATATTAATGTCTACAACCCATTGAATATTACACACCCCTTTTCCGACACTTATCTCGACGAACTCGACCGCTCACCAACCGGAGACCAAGATCCCTCGTCAATTCAAATTGTCCTATCACAGGACTGTGCAGGCTTCAATTTGGGATCCTTCTTCATTCGGAGGTCCATTTGGTCGGACCGCTTACTGGACGCCTTATGGGATCCAGTCCTGTACGAGCAGAAACATATGAACTGGGAACACAAAGAGCAGGATGCTCTGGAACATCTCTACGCTACCCAGCCATGGGTTCGCAGCGGTGTCGCTTTCCTTCCCCAACGTCACATCAATTCTTTCCCTCCTGGTGCCTGTGGGGATGAAATCGATAAGGACATACATTATTCAGAGCGTGATCGGGACTTCGTCGTTAATATGGCCGGATGCCAGTTCGGACGCGATTGCTGGGGTGAGATGAACACGTATCGAGAACGCAGCAACTGGCTGAACCGGACCCGGTGGCAGCGATTCAAAGATGGACTCGGCGCGTTATTTGGCAGGTCTTCGGAGAAGAGCAAAGAGCAGCAAGCCGAAGAGCACCGGTAGTAGCGAAAATCCAACTGCAAAGACAATGATGCATGCGATGCTACATGGAGATATAGGCTGTGTTCCAATAATTCGACGGAGGCAGCTCTTCTCTGACACGATTTTATGAGCCAGTGATCGATTCGACTTTTTTTTTTCTTCGACATTTTTGGCTGGCCTTGTATTATTTATTCCCTTTTATTCTCATCCCTTTTTCCTTTCCCATTGACCTTCATATTCGTATTCGCTTGCCTTCTGTCTTGTTTCCCTTATCTTTCTTCTTTTTACTCTTTTTGTCTTGCAGACAGCGTCTAGCAAGTGCATTGTATTTCTTTCAGACACAGGGATATCCGTTTTAGACTTACTTTCTTGATAACTCTATTCATGTATATAATTGTTTTTTTATATTACTTTTCTTCTTCGGCCTTTCTCCTCAGTTTCGATTATCCAAGACGGTTTGAGCGTTCTTGTACTATTCATGTACCATTAATAGGAAATAAATAGCACGCATGCGTGCATTCAGAGCCAGCTTTCACTGTGTCCTATAATCTACGAGCCTAACTGGTTTTCTCGATGCGTCCGAGGCCTTCCCTTTCCATTTTGGTACTCACCCCTCGCCGCCTTTTGCTCCCTGAGTAGACCTGAGCATAGGGTGGGCAGCACGGTGAGTGGCAAGGTAGATGGAGCCTCAATAAATGCACCAGCTCTAGGAAGTTCCGACCACCTCCCTCAGCGAAGACAAGTTGGGCGTCACTTCTTATCTTCACCGTGCGATTCCCCAAACCTTTTTACCCGAATCCTCTCGACTAAGATGGTTGCAGGATCCCCTATGTGCCCTATGCCCTAGTCCCGAGCCCTAAGTCCGACTAGGAGCCGATCCGTCACAAATCCTAAGCTCTGGTCCAGCATGAAGGCATTGTTCTCTAAGAGATGTATGCACTGTCTCTAGGTTGAGTGGCCATATTCGTTGATCTATGAAGCTGAATTTGATTGTACGGTGCTTTAATGTGCACAATTGAATCTCAGTTGATAAAGGAATTCCTGCTGTCAACTGTAAGAGGTGGATGGTAGTGACGGCGTAAAGAGGCAATCAATATATAGATGGTCACTTAGTACGATGCTAAGTACACCTGATCTTGTCTGATGGCTGGTTCGTAGCCCGATCCTTTAGGCTGCGATATTTGCGGCCTTACACTCATCCACTATTATATGTCCAGTTCTACTGTCTAGATAGCTATTTAACAAGAATTTCAACAATGGGGAGAGAGGAAAAGAAGAAGAGATCTACGAAGCCGGTCGGCATACTTCTAGTTGTGACATGCACTATTCCCAATTAGGAAATATATATGATCACGTGATATTCCAGTACGTAGTCTGGCCGACAGGGCCACCGTACCTAGGTATGGTGGTCCAGCACCGTGATAATTTCGGTACTAGATACACGAAGAATTCCTCGAGGTAAGGAATAGGAGACAACGGCATTGTGCACAAGGAAGGAAATAGGCACGCTAGCAACAAACAGAACAAATGCAGCAAAAGGGACAGACAGAACAAATGGAACAAATAGGGCAAGCAGAGTACTCAGGCATTGGCCCTGAGTTGCCATATGTCTGGGCGTGGCCTATGACACCAGCTCCTACTCCAGCACCAACACTTCCAGTTGAATCCCTAGAGGAAGATAGGAATGATAACTGATACTAGATCTCCCAACAGCTCACGGAGAGCATGAATCTTTCAGAAGAATGGCCCAATTATCAATTGAGACCCATCCTGAACCCTTACCAGCTCCACGTCAGTGAGAGGATCCTGCAATAACGTCTTTAAGTCAGGATCTGGTGGCAGTATCAATAGAAAAATACATGCAAAGGCAAACGGATTTGGAAGCCTTCAGCATGAGCCCAAGCTCACCTTACTATGCTGAACCAACCAGCTAACCAACTTGATAGCATACAAGCCGGATTCTCAGCAGCATCCATCTCAACCATTAGGCAGGTTGAAGCTGACAAATACTACTACACCTCAGGTATGCTAGAGAGATTAGCCAATTGGATCCACCGTGACCAGCTACCACCAGCTCCAAAGAACTGGCGAGATCTTCAACATCACCCATTAAAGTCTGAATTTATCAAAGCTGCAAAGGCCGAGTGGTCTGCAATCACTAAACAAGGAACCTATAAAGTGGTAGAACAACCTAAGAACAAAAGCAGCCATCCCATTATGCTGGGTCTTCACATACAAATTTGATGATGACAGCTGGGGATAGATAGTGTCACGGAACTCAACTAGACGATGAATAGGATGCTATTCGACTATCTAGGCAGCTATCGACGAGAACTTCAAGCATGAAGAGGAAGGAAAAAGGAAGAGGTCTACGTGAAGCTGGACGACGTACTCCTATCCACGCGCCACGCTAATCCAAGTAAGGAAGCTCACGTGCTCGTCCTGGTCTACATGGCAAGGGCCCTGACAGATAGCAAGGTTTATATACTGGAAATTCTCTCCTATGCTATCCATTTCTCAGCCTTCTTCAAAGTGCTAATATATGCTTGAATTACTGGTGTAACATCGGTAGTTAGAAAATAAACATGAGTCCTGTGACGATCAGCTGTAATAGGATGAGAAGAGGAAAGCAACTCGCTATTTGGCCGTACTGTCTAGGAATATCGTACATGAGGAGAAGAAGAAGAAAAGGAAAAAAGGTGAAAGACGTGGTGGGGAGGAAATAGGAGGCGAGGGCAGCTGCCTGCCCTCAGCCCTAGCCCTGTGCCCTACTTGTTTGATCTGCTGGCACCTTCTAAGACATGCCAGTGCCAGGGTCACATGCTGACGGTCATACATCAGGTATGGTCGTCACAAGTCCGAGCAACCTCTGTCTTATACGCCTTAGAGTTCCTTGATTTCAGATTTATTTGTACACTGTCCCAGCTAATTATATCCATGGCTACACAGGAACTGCTCCGCCACTTGGTAACTGTTCCCCTTCAGCCAACTCTCCTCATTCCTCCTTTCCCACTAGTGACCTTTGTCTCAAGGCTTGGTCATAACAACCGCAAAGCGCACGCGGCCTCCTATTGACCCCGACGGACAAATTGCCTAGGTTGAGATCTTACGGCACTGGCATTGATTATTCCCAATCGACCACTAGCTGCATAGTGGTGGACAGGCTCTTCTTGCCACTTCAGGTGCAGAGCCTGGAAATCGATATCATCCATTATGCCGATGACCTTGTCATGTTCAGGGTTACAGTATACCGGTGCAATCCTAGATGGACATCAGATTCTCTTTCTAAGTCTGGGATGAATTGGGTAAGATCTGATTATGATGTCCAGTATGTCTCTGGACATGCTTCTTCGGCCTTTGGTCGTGGGATACAAGATGAAGGAAATCAACGGTACGCCAGACCATTCTATTTCTAAGCATCAATTACCCCAAAGAACCGTAGTAATTGCCCCAATTCCCCGAAGCAGAGAGTCCGAAGTGGGATATTACTTATCGTAGCGAATAATTGGTTTCAATATCGTCCAAGGGCCATTCATCCTTGGTCTCCATTTCCGCTGCAATTTGCTCAAGCGACTTGTTCTTTCCTTGTGAGTCCCTCGTTTCTGGAATCCACAAAGTAGCAATAAGGCCCATCAACATAAAGAACGACAGGCTACCACTTGTTAGTGCCATCGTTGACGAGATTTCATCCACACCATCAGGGATAGTGAGCCTACCAGAGCAGAGCGTATCCTAGCCAATCCGGTACATTTCTCCAGTTGGCACCATTTCCAAAATTCACATATCCCAAAAAGCACTGCGCGACGATGGAGCCTAGTTTGCCGGAGGCAGCAGAGATGCCGTGACAAGTGCAGCGGAATCGAGTTGGAAACAGCTCTGCAGGGGCCTAGATACGGTCAGCTTTGGTTCAATGTCTCCGTGAGAAACCGGGTAGAAAACAAAACGGAAGGGAGATTTCACGCAAACCTACAATATAAGTTGTAGTATTGGGTCCTAGGACGGATCATATTAGCGATAAACTTCCCCCGAGAATAGAATCACCAAACACTTACCAAAGTTGAAGAATATTTGCGTCAAAACATAAAGCACCACTAAAGCAGACGAATTACCGTGAGTGCTCAAGTAGCGAAACGCGGCACCGATAATCACGTTGAGGATGAACAGGCAGCAGAACCCCAATAGCTGCAAATTTCTCCGGCCGAACCGGTCGATCGTCATCACCGCTATCACGCTACCGATGATCGCACCGCAGGAGACAACCACGATGCTCTGGTACGAGGACCGGAGAAGATACTGATACATGCCTGCACCGTGAACATTGTCCCCGAACCAAATCGTGTTGATGATGTCCGCATTCATCAGGCCTAGGCCGTAGAAGGGTAAGTCAAGGCAAAACCAACACAGAGAAGTGGCCATCAGAGTGCGGAGGTTGTGCTTCTGTTTCAGGAAAGATCTGAAGTCTCTCCAAAAGCTGGTGGCAGGCCTGGGCATGCTTCCCATGACTACCGAGCCCGATCGTCGAGAGAGAACCGGCGAAGCAGGCCGGTCGTCATGCGTGTGCAAAGGGGAGAGAGATAGGCCGTCTTCTTCGACTCCGCGGACCGACTCGGGACCCAGATCAGACAGTGATGTCTCCGGAATCTCGACTGACTGGTAGAATTGGGCAACATCGGCAGCAGCCTGCAAGCTGTTGTGCATGACATCAGCGGTGTACCGGGGTGATTCGATGATCGTCAATCGAAACCAGATTGCGACGAAAGCCGGTACGGCACCCATGCCCACGATGAGCCTCCATATCCTATCGACATCATGAATACAGGAGCCGATGCACTTGAGACTATCGGGATCATCCGGCAGGCTGTGCCGGAAGCCAACCACAGCGATGAGGGCGACGACAGCTGCCGCTACCTGCCCGAGGGGCTGGCAGAGGAAGACGACCGCCATATTGCGACCCCGGATATGAGTGGGGGTAAGCCTGGCGCCAACGGGTCAGGACTGTCATGAGTGCGAGGGGCGGGATGTAATACTCTGAACAGATCACTGCAGATAGAGGGTAGTCGGCCCCCACGCCCACGCCCATAAAGAGCCGCCAGAAGAGAAGCACGCCCAACATGGACATGGAGTCATCCTTCCCGGAGGCCCCATTAAGAGGGGGAGTACCGCAAGATGTTGGAAATTTTCATAGTTCTCCCATGGATTCAGGAACAGCTTGACCCGGGGAAGGAGACCCATATCGATCGGTGAGGCGCTTGGGTCATCAGGGACAAAGGAAACCCACTACCGACTAGACTGATCGGGGCCAGGAGCCGTGGTGCGCGAAGCTGCATGCGAGACGCGGACATATATATGTATATATATGTATATATATGCGTATATATGTATATATATGCGTATATATGCGTATATATGCGTATATATGCGTCAACCGCGAGCGCTGAACCGTGAACCGGGCAAAGAACAAGGGAAAGACACAGGCACCAACGAGAATAACGATATCACGACAGACCAGTGGAAATATATCCAGTCCATGATTGCAAAGCCACGAGGCTGAACGGCGAGGCAGTGTCCCTCTATTTTTGGAATTCAGATCGCTCCATCTTGCGTCGGTCCTTCGCTCGCGGTGAAGACGCCTCTCCAGACACGTCCGCAACCAGCAGAAGGGCGTTTGTCGCCTCGTATACGGACGAAACCGACCTCGTATAAACCGCCCGACGGCAAATAGCCCCTTTGCCTGTCGCTGCATGTCACGTTCAATTAGGGTGTCTCATCGCGGCACGTTCTTGACGCTATCTCCGCCATTGGCCTCTTAACCGCAGTGCTAAACGGCCTGGCACCCGCGGACAGCCACCACGATTGCCCGGAGGAATGCACGATCAATCGCCATTGTTCTCCAGACCCTTCCCGTGGACTAGGGTGATGTGATGAGAAAATAATGGACTCGCTGTCAGCTGTCCAGGCTGCAAGGTTCGTCCTTGCTTCTGAGCCAGCAGGGCCGCGTCGAGAGTTGCTAGTGCGGCTCAACCAAATCGCAGACGGAGACTTTTATCTGCCATCAAGCAGCAAGCGGACCGTTGTCGTCTCGTGCACTCAGCATCCTGGCTCAGCCTCATTGCAGGGAAGCCAGAAGTCCCTGTGATCCTTTAGCCCGCCGAGAGGCTGTGATGTTCCCTGTGCCCATCGATCTCGCTGTTGTCGTCGTTCCAACTTGTTCTTTTCGCTCCGCTGGCTGCGATCTACAGCAGCGTACATCCAGAGGATCTTCAACAATAACGCACTGAACCCGCAAGTGATTGGGCGGTATGAGCTTCCCCCAGATCGGCGTCAGCGATATCATCACTACCGTCAACGTTGTCTGGACCGTCTATGAGAGCGTCAGGGACGGACCTCGAAGTGCCAGATGGGATTTTCACTCTTTTCGCCAAGAATTCCATGCCATCAAAACGTTATTGGAAAGGATCCAGAAGGTGAAAGGGTCCGCGGCAAAGGACATCCGCGGGTTGGGGTCGCTTTACGCCGAAACCATCCAGGAATGTGCCCAGTTCGTCAACAAGCATAAACAGCTTGCGCAAGCTAGGACTCCGACCCTCAACGGCCGCAGTGATCGTTTTGGGAACAAGGTATCCCTTTTATTTGAGAAATTCACGTGGCCGTTAGAGCGCAGCGAGGCCGAACGACTCCGCCGCAAGCTGGAGCGCTGCTTGGAGATTGCCACCTTGAAGTCCACCGAAGAAACACGAGATGCGGCTTTGGACTTCATGCGAATAGCAGAACATAACCAGCTCGAGAATATCGAAATGCTCAAGTCCATCAAGTAAGGCCGCCTCCTGCAGCCTCCAGGCACCTGCTCAAAGCTGATAGCTTCCAGGACCATGACTGCACAGATCTCGCTGCTCCTCCGGCAATGTATGCTCGAAGGCCCCAACGACACCGATCCCCATGACATGCACCACCCGAGCCAGCGTGGGAACCGACTGCGGCCGGTGTTTCTAGAGCCCGAATGTGCCCTGAGTGCAATCCCTGAAAACGATGAGGTGACCCCGGTGGGCAGCCAGCGGTACCAGAAGGCGTTGGATCGCATCCACGAGATCTCGGAGCGACTCAGCAATCTCACGCGAAGGCTTGAGACACCCGAAACTCCTGGCCGGGCTTCGCCGCTGGCTCACTCCACTAGTCACACATACATGCGAGGTGTTGATGGTGTCAGCAGTGAAACGCCGACCACTGCCACTGTGTTTCGCTTTCTTCATCAAGTCAGCGACGATGTGCGTGATGCTCTGGACATGGTCGGGTATGGACATGAATTCGTCCCCAATCGTGACCCTCCGCAGAGAGACCATGCCAGGGTGGAGCCTGTTCAGTCGATCAACGAAACGGCCGAAGGATGGAAGCAGTTTCGCGAATGGCTCGACTTCCAGCTTGTGCATGCCTTCAGCACAAATTCCATTGATCCACAGCCAGCCCATTCGCCCCAGTCCTCGCACCATTTGCTGCTGGATGGAATCTCTCCACCGCCAGCGATCCCAATCATACGTACACACTCTAGAGAGTCCGATCATAGTATAATAAGCTCCCCCCAATCTACTGTCTCCATGCCGATCCCGGATAGAAAGGTTCCGCTTACAGCACACCCAGTGAAGGTGTACGAACATATTTTGCTCCGTTGGGCCTTCAAGACTGCGCACTGTGCTGACCATCTCGCCTCTGTTTAGGGAGTTCCCCGACCCGAATGTCGCTGGCCGTTTTCTTTTTCGCCCTCTCGTATGTACTGTCATGGCTTGCTTCAATACCCAAACGCATGAACCGGAGGCGATTGAAGCCATCGATGTTCACGGAGTAGTTAAAGTGACCCAAGCCGCCGTTCGCGGGTCGCGTACAGTCCAAAGCTCGATGCTTCCGTACGTGCCAAGCAGTCGGGTTTCCGCGCCTTATACGGGCTCCTTGGGGTTATGGTTCCAGGGCTCACATAAAACGAAGATCGAGGAGGACCGACTACCTGTCACGAGATACGCCATCTCGCCAGTTTATACATGTAAAGATCGCAGTGGTACATCCCGCCTGGTCAAAATACCCGACTGAACAAGAACTAATGAACCACTGCGAGCAGATTTCGATTATTTCCAACAGGTCCTTCTTCGGAGAAAAGTGATCTCATATGTGGACGTTCGGAAGATCTCCGTCAATACAGCAGACTGTCACTGCAACTCTGCAGAGGTGATACGTATCCTCGAAGACCCAATTACAAAGGCACTCTCGCTGTTGTACTTTGCTTCATTTCCAGGAACTTCTCGGCGAGCAAGGTTTGTCGACATGCCAGGTGAGTCTGCAATCCCCCCTTCCCTGCTTGTAGAGCGATACTCACGCCCCATCAGTGCGAGACCTGGGCGCGGCCAATCGAAAATCAAAGCTCGTCAAGCTACCGTTCCAGGGAGCTTCGCGGCGCAGTTCGGTGGAGAGTGCCACAAGTGCCCTTTCACAGGAATCGCGACTCTCTGCTTTGACGTCATTCGGGTCGAGTCAGCGAAGAAAACACTTGGAGCTGGAGTTTTACGAGGAAAAGGGTACGTCGATCTCGATTACCAAGCCGTCAATGGACTGCCTCCAAACTAATGGTCGTGTAGATTGTGCAGCGTTTCTTCGAGCACTCAAACATGGAGAAGGAGGTTGACTAGAGGGTATGCATGAAATGCCAGTTGGCATGAATGGACGGTGGTGGCTGTTCACAGGTCCCCCGGAGAGCTGGTGCTACCGCGGAGGCCAGTCCATGATGGCCCTATGAAGAGACTGCGCAGCGGCAGGGTTCACAGGTGGTGTTCCTGCCTTGCCATTAGTTTATTTGGGGTTCAAGACCCCCATGGTCTGTTGTTTCACTCTCTTTCCCCCTCATTCTGTTCTCTGCTGGGCTCCCTTTCCGACATCAGTCTACAATCTCTCCTCTCCCCCCAGCCACTTGGGAAAAGACGAACTGCAAATAACGAAAGAGGGAGAGACAGAGAGACAGAGAAATACCCAAGCGAAAGAGAACCCCCCCCGTCCCCCAACGCCGGCCGTCTACCATGCACCCTATTGGGTCCTGAAGAATTTGTCATTTGAGATAAATTGCTGATGAATTCAGGAAAATACATAGAAACACACATCCGATGAAGCATCCTGTTTTGCTCACGTGTTTGAAGCATAGATACCATTATAAATAATACAGGGGCAGAAGAAAAGAGACCCTCTATGCAAAAAAAAAAAAATAGATGTGGTTGGCAGGAATAGACAAGGCAATGATGGAAGCCTATTCCCCGGCTATGAACAGCTCATTCATCTCACAATATCTCCCGGCTAGGCTAGCAAGCTGATCAAGATCAGTATCCAGGGCTACTTTGCTTTCATGATTTCACTTGCTGGCCTCTTGATGGTCATCTGGCTGGTTTATACTTCCCATTTTTGCCACATATGCAATTCATGAACTGAAGCCAGGATATCAAACGCCCTTCCCGACAGGTGAAAAGTTGCGGAACTGCACGTGATACAGGGCCTCAGTGGAAAACAACCTTGTCTGGCCTATGTTTCTTCCAGAACAAGCTTAATCAGGTTCACTTAGGGGGACTGGCTCCCTGGTAACTTGGAATATGATTGTATTAGCAACAAGAATGGAACTGCTGAAGGGAGAATAATAAAAGTTAGCCAACCTTAGTTCTGTGATGAGCCACGGTTCAAGACCATGCAGAGACAGAAACGGAGTGAGGTCTCCTATCTGTTTCTTTTTCTTCTCAAGGAAACATGATCATATCTGCTGCTGCCATTCCCCGTGTAGGACGCTTCCGTTTAGTGAGAGAATCTTTGCTTGGGACTTTTGTAGCTTGATCTGACAAAGGCTGTCTTTTGAATGAGAGGACGATCCGTAATGATGATATATTCCCCAAAGGCCCGTAAGTAGGTTAGAAACACCCTCTCGCGGACATCGACAAAGAAGGTGGGTGGATAGGGTATGACATTCACTATTTACCTGGGTTTCTTGCCCTTGCTCTTGGGCGCTGATGGGCGCTGATGGCATCATGAATTATCGAATGAGACACGTATCAAGGTTTTATTATTATACAAGCACATAGGGAAATGATCATATGAAACGGGTGCGATCGCTACTAAATGGGACCATTCTATCCATCTCAGTATCCCCATCGACCTCACCCCTAGGAACCTTCTTATACTGTCTTAAATGACGAACACCGATCACCCGCTTAATAAACAGCACACAAGCAGCGACGAGACCAGCAAAGAAAATCACAACCGTCAGGCTGCCGACGAGCGCCAGGACACGCAGCGACCAGTCAGGCGAGTACCACTCCTTGGTAAAGGCGTAGGTGATGGTACGGTTTCTGTGAGTGTCCGCGGTTTCATCATGGACGTGCACGGGGTCATCAGGCGTGAGTTGCGCAGCCTTGAAGCCCGTTGCAAGCCATTGCTCCGGTAGAACACTGCGCTCCACACCGGTTTTACCGAGGATATTACCCTGTACATCTAGAGCCTCCGCGGAGACCCAGTCCATGTATCCCTCTGCGACGAACACGGTTTCAAATCCGGTCTTCTTCACGGTGCCGATCGAGACGGATGCTCTTGTTTCGTCGCTTTTCGCGAAGAACCGGTACGCGGCCACCTCTGTTGCTCCGTTCCAGCTGATGTAGATGATCGTGTTCGTGTTATCGATGTCTGTGCCGTAGACGAACGATTTGAGATCTGGTGGTGTGGGGGGCCTGCCAACGAAGGGGTACTTGTATGAACGGTAACTTGAGAAGCGATCCGAGACAAATCGCGCTTCCATTGTGAGAGTGCCATTGGGCGTGAATTCGCTGTGATAGCCCTGCTGGCTCCAGCCAACGAAGATATTCCCGTCAGGTAGGGTCTGGACATTGCCGCGGAGCCGCGTGAGGGAGTTGTCGGGACGGTAATACCGTGCGATCAGGGTTGCAGTCATCGGACGCGCAATCCTGTCCAGAAGGACGTACATTGCAGACGACACGTCCTCCTGCTGCTCGTCTTCGTCGGATGCATTGTTGAGGAAGGATATGACCGTGTGCGTGTCATTGTGCGAGATGAACCGCGCATCATGTTGGCGGAAGAAGGAGAAATCCTGGACAAAATCCGAACGCTGTCCCAGTGTCCAGATGATATCGCCATTCTGGCCCGAGACGAGGTAGATGGAGTCTGTGAATCGTGCGGAAACAAGGTAGTCGCCGTCCGAGTTCTTGTCGACCGAGTTGAGATGGCTGGTATTTTCATCAGCTGACCCTGTCACCAGCTGCCCAGAAGTATCAAGGCGCTTACATATAATCCCATCCAAGCGGTCCCCCCGGCGGCCCAGCCGGGATGCCCTTGGTGTTATGCGACAACGGTACATGGTCAATGCCGCGCCATTCGTGGAGGATCTCGCCCGTGGCAACGTTCATCTCCTGAATGCCTCCCGTTAGAATAACGCCTTCTTGCCCGGGCATTCCGATCTGCGAAAGTTCCAGCACTTCGCTGCGGTATGCGCAGGCGAGCGCCGATCCTCCGCCGGGGAGGACGTTGTATTCGTGAATATTGAATTCCCACAGATCGTTAATGACCGGGGTAAGGTTCTGTTGTTGGTAGTGCTGGTCCAGCACGATTCCATGTCCCTTGATCCCGGTATCCTCGAAGTCGTGCTGTACGAGGAATGTGAGATGAGGGTCCGCATCGATATGGTACACGGCTTTAAAGTCGAAGACATTGCGATTATCCCATAGACATGCGCCGGACCAGATCAATGACTATAAAGCCCGTCAGTCTTGTTTTCTAGCGCACAAGGCCATTTCCACATACCCCATCAGCATCATAGATATGAGGTCCAACCTGACATGGCGACCATTTCTTCTCGCGCGGCTCCGGCGCCATGACTGGATACGGCGCAACGAACCAGTATCCAGGACTGATGAGATCGCTGTTATGCTTGACCACTTCGAATTTCGGGGCCCTGATATCGGGCCGCTGGCAGGTGTTAGATCTTTTCGAAGAAATACCATATTGCATCATATTATGACCCACCGAAACAAAGGACATCAAGTCCTCACTGGGACCAGTGGCCGCATTGCTGAGGACTGGTAGTAGGGCAAGAGAGCCAAAGAACGACAAGGCCATAGGTAAAAACAGGACTATATACTAGTAGATGCTATGCGAATAGTAGAGGCATTGCAACATTCCAGAGCGGGATCTCGCAATAATAATAATAACAGCAAATAATATGCGGGAGGCAGGACTATATACCGCGACAAGACAAAGCCCTACTGAGATCTGCATGGTTCAATTCTCCTCCGACTTGTCTCATCTTGCCTGGATTGCTGCTGCGTAAGTGCTCTGCTACCGTCGTCGCCCCTGAGAGGAGTGGCTTGGCGTTGCTTGGCGATCCACGCTGACGTCCCAGGTTGCGTGGACTGGGATATTTCTTATGGAGGGGCTGAAGTCTTCAATTGGAATACATACTTTAAGGAAATATATTCATTAGTGTTTTATTTGATGCTAAACAGCAGTGAAATCTGTGCGCAAGAAATGAAGCAATTCTCAACTGATCGTAATCACTATTCCTCCACCAATTATGCCACCGGCGCAGCAGTCTTGTTGACCGAGTATGCTTTGAGGAAATCAGGATCGTTGTTGATCTCTTCCTTGACCTGTTGAGATTAAGACTGTTAGATCATAGAACTATCACCGAACAAGAAGAAAGGAGGAACATCACTTACAATGTCCAACCCCCCGACCAATTCTCCATCCACCCACAGTTGGGGATAAGTTGGCCAGTCTGCAAACTCCTTCAAGCCCTGCCTAATATCCTCATCTGCCAGGATGTTGAAGAAACCGTACTTGACACTCCTCTCGCGCAGGATCCCAACTAGCTGCCGACTAAAACCGCACTGGGGACTGCTAGGCGTACCCTTCATGAACAGCATGACCGGCGCAGCTTTGACGAGCTCCGCGAGCCGTGCAAAAAGCGCCTCCTTCGACTTCTCGGGTGTCTGTGCCGGAGCTGAAGACGACACTGTGCTAGCTGCAGCCGCAGGTGATTCGGTGGCGGTCTTGGGAGTGTCTTCTCTGGGAACCGCGCTCAACGGTGGAGGGATAGTCGCCTTATTCGTTCCATTCGCTCCGGCTACAGTGCCAGCGTGACTTCCACGACCCGCATGCCGCTCCACGACATCCAGAACCTTGGCCGCGTCGCTCCCGCTCACGGATTCCAGGACCTTACCATCGCGCACGAGGACTATGAAGGGAACGGCCGTCACATCGTATTCCTCCGAGATATCCGGGAGTTCTTCTGCATCAACACTGACAAAGGAGATAGTCGGGGGGTTAGCGACGGGGTACTGGGATGCGAGAGTGGAGATGACAGTGCGCATGTGGGCGCAGGGTGCAGCCCATGGAGTGTGAAAGTAGATAACAGCCAGCGAAGAGGAGGGCAGGGAGGCGATATGCGAGTTGAAGTCAGCCTCAGATTTGATTTCGGTTAGGGTCGACATGGTGAGCACGTCAATTGACAAGTCGATTGTGATGGAGATGGTGTGAGGGGTTCAGAATCGAGTCGTAGGAGGGGTAGATCTGCGCTACTGACCGGTTATGGGAGGGAAATTTCGGCAAAGAAACGGAAAAAGGAGAAAGCAGGGATGTGCGAGGATAACAGAAATAAATGTGCAGAAGACCTCCCGTCTGCGATGCTCAAGAATGATGTCGAATAGTGAGACGAAGGTGAGTTCGGACGGAGCAAAAAGCAGAGTCTTATCAGATCGACCAAAGACGGTATTGTTACGCCACCGCGGGGCCGCCGTAATTACTTTACGAAGCGCCGCCGATGCCGGCCGGATTTATGTTTATGCGCTCCTGACGCCATCCCGTACGCGTATTACCCCATCGGTACCTGTACGGTATTTCTACAGATAACCTATCGCCACGTGACCATAAAAGTTCAAGGCCCTTTCAGCTGCTTTCAGCCTCCCCTATGTAACGCACCAGCAACCTACATAATCACAGACATGACAGGAACCAGCAGCAAACGCAAGTTCGCAGACTCATGGTATTCAGACGGCGAGGAGCCAGTCCGGAAATCTTCAGCGGCGAGCAATGGATTCGGAGTAGCGCAAACGCTGTCCCTTCTTCAGAATGACAACGCCTCTACTGCAGATACGACCAGCGAGGACGTGCGCAAGGCCCAGGAGTCGACAATAACGGGACATGTTTCCAAGAAGAAACGCGTGGATGGGGAAAAGGTCAAATATCCCACGCTCACTTACGTCGAACGCAAACTGCAGTCATCCATACGAATCGCCGATTTGCAAGGCTTACTGCTATACTGTTTCGCGGATGGGATTGCGCCGCAGTGGATTTCTGTCAAGCACTCCGGTCATGTCAGGAAGGTGGTCGTGTTAATGGTCCCGGGATTGGAGTTGGGCATGTTTGATGGAACCATTCCGTTGGATGACCAGCAAGAACAGAGGGAAAAGGGTTCCAAAATGGATGACCCAGAGGATCCTGCAGAGTCACACTGCAAGAAGGGAGAAGAGGGCGATGGGAAGTCGGACTTTCATCGATGGAAACAAGGTCTGCCGCTGGAGGATAAATCTCATCGTTTCAATCCCCGGCCTTTGGCGCGGGACAACCTCCCGGGGCCATTGCAGCCGTTGGCGGATATGTTCCCCCATGTCTGGCCGGTGAAGGCGCCCGGAGACAGTAAGTATAACAAGGTACACTCCCCTCTGCAGGCTATTTTACTCTCTTCCCTGCCCAAATCTAAGGAAATAAATGGCCATGCAAAAGGACCTCGAGCACCCAGAGACAAAAATTTCGTCCCGAAGCGGACGCCTATTACAACCTTTATCAGCTCGTTAGAGGACCTCTGTGAGAATGAATACGTCTTGCATCCAGCCTTTTTTCAGACAGAAGCGGCAAAGTCAGCTGCAATGGAAGCCCGTAAACATGCCGGTCAAGCTGCCGAGGATGGCTGGGTAGACACCAATGTCCCGAGCCTGGAAGCTGGGGACGTACCAGAGGAAGAAATCCAACAAGGAAGCATGACCGCAGGCCGTGATGTGCTGGCCATAGACTGCGAGATGTGTCTGACGGAAGGTGGAAACTCAGAGCTCACACGTATCAGCCTGGTTCGCTGGGACGGGGAGGTGGTGCTCGATGAACTGGTGAAGCCACAACGGCCGATTATTGACTATCTCACCCGATTTTCGGGCATTACTAAGGAGAAGCTGGATCCCGTCACCACAACACTGGATGACATCCAGCAAAAACTCCTCTCAATTCTCACGCCAAGCACGGTACTCGTGGGCCACTCTCTCAACTCCGACCTCAATGCATTGAAACTAACGCATCCTTTCATCGTGGACACCTCCATTATCTACCCGCACCCGCGTGGACCTCCGCTCAAATGCAGCCTTAGATGGCTAACGCAGAAGTACCTGGGCAAGGAGATCCAAAAGGGGCAAACGGGCCACGATTCCATCGAAGATGCACAAGCCGTTCTCGAGCTCGTGAAGCAGAAATGCGAAAAGGGCGAAATGTGGGGTACTAGCGAAGCATCGAACGAGAGTATCTTCCGCCGTCTCGCCCGATCTTCCAGACCAGTCAAATCAACCACTGCCGCCGAAGGGCGGACAGGCGCTGTCGTGGATTGGGGCAGCCCTGAACGAGGTTTTGGATCGCAGGCAACCGTCGCAATCGGGTGCATTGACGATGAATCCGTCGTCAAGGGCGTCGCTTCCGCCGTGAACGGTGACGAGGCTCATCCTTCCATCCCCGGCGGCGGAGTAGACTTCACCTGGGCCCGACTGCGCGAACTCGAAATTATCCGAGGCTGGTGTAATCGCATCCCAGACCCAAACTTCGCCAATGCATCGACTGCGTTGATTCCACCGGAAGAAAGAACCCCCTGCCCTGGTCCGGCAGTAGCCACTGTTTCTGATCCTACCACAACCCCGATGCAACAAAAGTCTTCTACTATCTCGACGCTAGCCAGTACCGTCTCCCGTACTGTTTCCAACATCGCGAGGATCTACGACTCCCTACCCCCCTGCACTCTCTTCATGGTCTACTCGGGCACTGGTGATCCACGCGAGGTTTCCCGGTTACAGGCCATGCACAAGCAATACCGGGAGGAATTCCATTCTCGGAAGCCCTGGGATGAACTAACCGTGAAATGGACGGATACGGAGGAGCAAGCCCTGAAGAAAGCCTGTGAGAGGGCTAGGGAAGGATGTGGGTTTATGTGCGTGAAATGAATATGGATAGAATATGGATAGAATATGTATGGATTTTGGCGTCGATACTGAGCGGTTAATATATATATTCCAGCTACTTACTGTTTTGTCCAGCTAGACCAGACTTCGGCCACGAAGACTTGTGGATGTTGGGCCTTCCGATCCCTGGGGAGTATCATGCGTTTAACAAGGGGAAGAGCGGTTCGCGGGGGGCGCTAACGTAGGATTCCTAGGCGAAATCCGTTCCGTAAATGCCGTCGAGGGTGGCATATACTGTAGCATATCAATTGGACCGGGACAGGGTCATTCTATTGAGTCCTGCGGGGAATGACGAGTGGAGCGCGTCCGTCGGTGGCCTGAGGCGCGCAGAATGATGTGGAAGTGGATTCCACCGGTCACCACAGGATCACTTAAGTCAAATGCTGTCGGCAGGATCAGTAGGATCAGTCGTAGTACGTGCCCGATCACAAAGGGGGCCTGCACCAATTGTCTGTACCATGGCAAGACAATGACTTGTGAAATGCGTAAGTGAATCCCATTCCCCAGTTACTATCGAGTGATGCCAACTGAATGATAAGTCCCTTGCTCAGAATTAGCTGGACGGAAGAATGCCCAACAGATCCACGACGCTGAAGTCACCAAATTCGGATTAACCGGCAGAAGGCCTGTATCTGTGATGTACGTCAATCCCAATACCAAAGCGACCGGGACTCTATATCCAAAGGAGATCATTTGGGCTGCGGGTACCCTGAACAGCCCCAAGGGACGTTACTCAATCCAAGCCTTGTGCCCGTGGACAAGAGGCTTTGGTCTAATATTTATCGTTTCAGCTCCTGATGCTCTCTGGGGTTGGCCCAGAAGCGCACCTGAAGTCCTTGAGGACCCCTGTGGTGGCCGATATCCCTCAGATCGGTCAGAACCTGTGAGCGAGCCTATATCGAACCATTTGACTCTTCATCAGGCGCTAACCAAGGAATAGGCAGGATCACCACTTCGCGTTCATGCCCTTTGAGGTGAACCCCAATCATGCTGCCCAGTTGATTAACGAACAGGGCACGTTCCAATTCTCATGATGTATTTGGATGTAGATAATAGGCAACAGGCAAATCCCCTGGCCTTGGATTAAACTAGCATAGAATCCTAGCTTCAATGAATACGACGTTGATGAGGACGAGACCGGCACCGCGTCGGGTGTCGGTGCCTTGGTTGTCTGAAGGGCGTCAGTTGTGGTTAATTTTTTATGGAGACTGTGCTTAAGCTCCAAGCGATGATGTTAGGGATAGAGGAGGAAATGCCAGCAGAGGCAAGGAAGACGGCAAAATAGCGGGCTCCGATGAATCTGACGGTAGCTAGGACGATGTAGCCAATGCCACCAGTGAGGTTGCAATAAGCATCAGGCCATGCCGCTGGGTTCCATCGGCAACGTATGTAGTGATCAGAGCGAAGAGGAAGGCGATGAAATAGGAGGGTGCACTGAGACCCTGTGCGTTGATACTGCGGTATCCCATGGCCTTTAGGATAGTCGGCAAGTAGACAGGCAAGCTAGCATACCCAACGTTGGCACCGAAGTACATTACCGTTTCACGGGTTAACAGTTAGAATTTCAAATTCAAGAGGGAAACGTACTGCAATGAACCACGCCTTGTAGTCGAGCAAGGTCAAAATAAATTCTTTGGGATTTAAAGCACCAAATCAAACACTAGGCTCGGTGCCAACCTGGCGCATGGAACGAGCTTTGACGATCTCCTTCTCTTCGGTACCAAGAGACCGCGCCTTATCAGGAGACAGGGATGAAGAAATAGGCAAATGGTGTGTCATCGTGACAGTGGCTAGGCCCACCACCAGGAACAGTAAACGCCAGTTCGCCAAATGCGAGCGTCCTTTTGTGATGCCGTATGCAGGGGCAGCGTGGCTAGGAGGCCCCTAGAGCTTTATCAGACAATTTTCGGATGAACATGTTGCGCGAGGAAGATGTGCGGTGATTATGGTAGTGGGTACGCACTAGCCACTGCTGGTCCGGGATACAATGACAGAGGGAAATTTTAGTTGTATGTGAGATGGACAGGATGGTCAGCATCATATTATATATCCCTGCTGGGGGTTGACCACGGCTGTCAGACTCGTTGCTGTCGGCATGTTGATTCATCTCTGCGTTCAATGCTCAGGCCGGCCAGAGAACAAACGATCGCCATATGCAGAATGAACAGGCCATTATAATTTGCAGAATTTAGGTTCAGAGACAGGTTGGTTATATTAATAGTTATAATCCCTGCCGACTAGAATATTCACGCCTGACCAAGAAAGAATCCAAGTCGACCTTGTAGAAGTCGATGGGAAGTATATCCAATGCACTAGTCTGTATCCGGTTAGCCATCGTACCCCGTGATGCCTGCAATATATACCTGAATACTCAGGCATATGTACGCATTTAGTTACCGTACCAATACACAGCGTACCACGAGAATAAATACATGCAAACAGGTACAACAACGTCACCGCAGCCACAGCTGGTTTTCAGCTTCAATTCCTTGCTCGCCATGGAATAAATAGCCCCAACTCCTCCACATATAAATCTCCCCTCTACTTTGTATTCTATCTATTTCTTCTTGCTTTCTTTCTTTCTGGTTTTTACTCTTGGATTCTTCCCAGCTCCATCCACTTTCCATCCACTTCATCTTCTGCCCGGAGATACTTCTCCGCACTCCGATATTTAAATAAAAACTCGCCGCGGGCTTACATGTATGTCGGCCGGGGGGGAACATTTGAAGGATGAGGTGTGTTTACTATTTTACTTTAATTATTTCTATTACCATTACCACTATATTCAGGACTAATTGAATAACCAGGGCTCCAAACGACAAACAGTCCTGGCGGGTGGCATTGCGGGCCTGGTGTCCCGGTAAGCAACAGACAATACAAGCAACTTCTAACAAGAAATCTCACTAACAATGGAATAAACAGCTTCTGCATAGCCCCCCTGGACGTTGTCAAAATCCGCCTCCAACTCCAAATCCACTCCCTCTCCGACCCTTCCTCCCTCGCCGCCGACCGCAAGGGTCCCGGCCCAACATACAAGGGCACCTTCTCTACCATGCGCACCATCATCAAAGAAGAGGGCTTCACCGGCCTCTGGAAGGGGAATGTCCCCGCTGAACTCCTCTACGTCATCTACGGTGCCGTCCAGTTCGCTACCTACAGAAGCACCACCCAGGCGCTGGCGTCTTTGGGTTCCCACACCACTCACGGCCGGAGGCTGCCTGCGTCCGTGGAGTCGTTTATCGCCGGTGCCGTGTCTGGTGGTGCTGCCACTACCGTTACCTACCCGCTGGATTTGCTCCGGACGAGGTTCGCGGCCCAGGGGGTTGAGCCGGTTTATTCGTCGCTTGGGTCCGGGGTGTTGGATATTGTGAGGAGCGAAGGGCCTCTGGGCTTGTTTAGGGGCTGTTCAGCTGCTGTGGGACAGATCGTGCCGTACATGGGGTTGTTTTTTTCCTCGTATGAGATGATGAGGACTCTTTTGGCTGTTGATGGTTTGCCGTTTGGCTCTGGGGATGCCGTTGCGGGCGTTTTGGCCAGTGTCACTGCCAAGACTGGGGTCTTCCCCTTGGATCTGGCCAGGAAGCGTTTGCAGGTGCAGGGGCCAACTAGAACTCGTTACGTCCATCACAATATCCCTGAGTATCGCGGTGTTTTCGATGTTATCACTTCAATTCTGCGCACCCAGGGCGTTCGGGGGTTGTATCGTGGTCTAGCTGTCAGTTTATTCAAGGCTGCCCCGGCCGGAGCCATCACCATGTGGACCTACGAAAATTCCTTAAGAGTCCTCAGAGAGATGGACGTGCCTTTGGTTTCTGCGGATGCGAAATGACGGTTTCGGATACATTTGTTTGTCTTTTTCCTTTTTTGCCTGGCGTTTCGGACTCATGTAAAATACCTCGGCGGCACACAGACTGTACTCTACTGGGCTTTACATCATATTCCTGTAACACATGGGAATGTCTAATAGATTTTGTATTCCTTTGCTGCTCTGTCCAGGTGCGCTCGTGGAACACCAGCGCCTCAAGGGCGCAGCACAAACAAAATGGGGGTGTCGTAAAATCGAAAGACGGATAAATTATTCAGACTAACAAAGGAGAGACGGCAAGACACACCAACAACAAAAGGTAGAAGACAACCGCCAAGTTCGCAGTGAGACTGCCAGTTCAATTAATATTCACCCTCCTCCTCGACGTCGTTGCTGTCATTGGCGACTTCTTCGTAGTCTTTCTCGAGAGCGGCCAAATCCTCGCGAGCCTCAGAGAACTCACCCTCCTCCATACCTTCACCGACGTACCAGTGCACGAAAGCGCGCTTGGAGTACATAAGGTCGAACTTATGGTCAAGACGAGCCCACGCTTCGGCAATTGCCGTGGTGTTGGACAGCATGCTGACGGACCGGTCAACGGGCGCCAGCTCGCTACCAGGAACACGCACTGGTTTCTCGTAGTTGATGCCGAGCTTGAAGCCAGTGGGGCACCACTCCACCAGATTGAAGGACGCCTTGGCCTTGAGGGCCGCGACGGCAGCAGTGCAGTCGAGGGGCACAACGTCGCCACGGTACAAGAGGGCCACAGCCATGTACTTGCCATTGCGGGGATCGCAAACGACCATCTGGTTATTAGGCTCGAAGCCTGCAGGAATAGTCAGAACCATTTACAAAGAGAAAGAGAAACATTGGCAACACGTACACTGGAAAGTAAGGTCCTGCACTCTGAAGCTCTCGTGGGAGCTACGGGTGCTGGAAACGACGGGAGCATAGGAGATAAGAGGGTAGTGAATACGGGGGAACGGCACGAGGTTAGTCTGGAACTCGGCCAGGTCGACGTTGAGGGCACCGTCAAAGCGGAGACTGGATGTGATAGAGCTGACAACCTGGGCAATTAGACGGTTCAGGTGGTCGAAGCTTGGACGGGGAATGTCCAGCTGACGGTGGCAGATATCGTAGACGGCCTCATTGTCAACCAGGAACGTACAATCCGAGTTCTCAATGGTGCTGTGGGTCGACAGAACGGCGTTGTATGGCTCGACAACTGCAGTTGACACGCGAGGGGAAGGGTAGATGGCGAATTCCAGCTTCGACTTCTTGCCGTACTCGGTTGCCAAACGCTCCAGCAGCAGGGCACCGAATCCAGAGCCAGTGCCACCGCCAAAGGAGTGAAAGATCAAGAACCCCTGAAGAGAGGAGCAGTTGTCTGTCGATTGGTGAGTGACCAAAGCGCATCATCTCCAGGCGCGAGACCCGTCGAGAAGTACGTACCAGCAACGCGACGAATGCGATCAACGACCTCGTCGGCCATTTCCTTTCCGATAGTGTAGTGACCACGGGCATCTGCAGTGCATCAGTCCAATGTTCGTACTCCTTCGCCAGGCTGGTGGAACGTACAATTGTTGGCAGCGTCCTCCTTTCCACTGATCAACAGTTCGGGATGGAAGAGCTGGCGGAAGGCCCCGGTGCGGATCTCATCAATGGGCTGGTAAACGTTAGCCTGCAGTCCTCTTTCTCGTTCCTTTAGATTTTCCCGCCTGTTGCACGCACCGAAGGGTCGAGATCGACGAAGATGGAGCGAGGAACGTACTTCCCGCTGCTGGTCTCGGTGAAGAACGTTTCGAAGGAACCACCCTCACCGATGTCACCAGCATCGGGATTGTGACGACCGTCAGCCTTGAGGCCGTGCTCCAACAGGTACCTATATCATTGTTGAAACGTGGGTTGAGTAAACGCGTCATGACGGCTAGGATAGGCATAAGAAGCGGTGAGGACATACAGCTCCCAAGCGCTGTTACCCAGCTGGGTACCAGCTTGGCCGATGTGAAGATGGCAGACCTAGACAAGCAGACAGTGTCAGTTGAATTGCAGATGATCAACGTAATGCTGGATATAGATAGCAGTTGATTCAAAAAAAATAAAAACGTGGATGGCGCTTTGAGAGTCCAGTGTCCGCTTCCCCGTGTTGAGGGGGTCATGTGCGGGGAGAAGCGCTGAAACAGGGGGAGAGAAGCCATCAACGTACCTCGCCTCTCATGATGGAAACAAAATTCTAGACTCGGGTGAGGAGGAAGAATTACAAGCCAGCAGGCTGGAGAACAAGTGTAGATGGAGAGACGAGATGTGGAAGAGGGAGAAGATTGGGGTTTGGGGGGGAGTCGAGTCGACAGACAAGAAGTAGAACAAGAGCAAGGGGAAGCGGCTTCCGGGCCCAACTCTAAATAAACATGCGCGCCCCCTGACTGCTGCCTGAGGTGTCCACATTTCTACATTCTACTTTCAACACAGCACACCGATGCTTCGTGTTTCTACTCAGAGTTACTAAGCACTAGTTAGCTATGCGAACCGGGCTCTTAAGTAAGAAACTATGTCTAATTTTGGAGGGTCACGGCAATCTAGATCTCTGACGGCACCAGAAAGAAACATAGAAGAAAAAAAGAAACAGAAGCTAAAGGGACTTCAATCCCAGCTACGTACATTGCCTTTGGCCTGCAAATAGATAAAAAGGTAGAAAGAAAGAGAAGCGAAGGACTTTTGCGGCCAGTCAATCGTGATACCGTAAGTGGAGGATGCAGAAAAAAAAAAAAAAAAAAAAAGGGTTGAAGGAAAAGTACAAGAGTCCAGTCGACAAGAGGAATGGTATAAAATGACAATCCGCAAAAGCCAGCAGTAATAACCTAAGCCGAAGTGGAATCAAACCCCTCAACACCCGCTTAGAATAGCAAGAACAAAGGAAAATGAAAAAGAGAGGAAGAGAAAAAAGAAAAAAAAGAAAAAAAAAAAAAAACGAGAGCCTGAGGCATGGTAATACTAGAAATCCGAAAGGGGAAAAAAACAAAAAAAGGAAAAGACATTTTCAGAATACATGCAAATGCGAATCCGGAGAGGGAAGCAAATAGAAGACAAATGCTCCGTGCAAGAAAAATAAAATAAGAGCAGTGATCAACTGTAAACATGCAGGTCAGGTAAATTGTACCTCATTTCAGGTACGGCTAGGATGTCGAGGGGTCCTCTCCGAACCTATACTTAAAGAGGTGGGGGGCTAGGTAAAGCCCGAGGCGTCACGTTGGAGTCCGCAGCATCAGCTCCAAATGTCGAATCCACCGGTGAACTCAGAGACATTGTTATGGCTGGCATAGCTAGACTGGCAGACGTCAAGTCCGAGCTGGTGCCCCGAGAAAACAGAACTGGGGGTGTGATCTGGCCCTTCTTCGATGAATTCGACCCTGAATCACCGGTAGGAGAGCGAGATGCAGATTCAGACACATCTTGCTGATCATCTCGCGAAACGGGCTTCTGAGAAGAATCCGTTATAGATCTTGACTGTGATACACTCGATAAGATAGGCTGTGGTGTTGTTTCACCCTCTGTGGGTGCGACAGCTTCTTCAGGGATGTGAAGCTCTTGGAACCTCTCTTCCAAACCTGTTCTGCCACTTGGAGACTTCGACAATTCGCTCTCGTGGTGACTGTCCCCGGAACTTGTATTTGCATTTTCTACCAGCTCGTCTATTTCCGGACTGATCAAATCTTCACACACAACGCTGCCACGACTATTGGTCCTCATCATCTCAACACCCAGTTTGGAGCCTGGCCGCTGTCCTCTCGGGCGTGGACTGCGAGCTCGCACCTGAACGTCCCCAAGCTCCTCATCCTCATCGTCGCCCGACTCGGCACATTCATAGCGTTTCTTCTCCCGTGACTCTCGTTTTGCACGCACAGCCTCACTTGACCGTTGCTTCCGAAGAGAAAGAAGACTAGAAGTGCCCAAAGACGATGGAGCGGAGGAAGATGCATCAAGCAGCGGGGGAAAGGGTACAATATTGGAATCTTGTTTGGACTCTGAGGCTTCCCGAGCTGCAGGTACGTCTTCCGATAAGCCCAACCCGGTGTGGCTATGGGGCCAGTCGTCAGTTGGATTACTGATGACTACAGGTGCATCCTCGGCTTTAATTGAATCTGCGTCGCCAAAGGAGCCGCTGCCAATCGAATCCTCACGACTAGACCCCGGGTACAAGCTGGGAGGGAGGTGCGTGAAGCCAGACGACGAGGCCGAAACCGGACTGTCATCTGCGCGTGGAACGGGATAACGAAGCGCGGAGGTGCCTGGCACGGGCGGTGGTTGCGGAGAATCGTTGTCCTTGGGTGGAGGCTTCCACTGACAGAATTTGCACAGTGCTTCCGTCAGCTTCGACAACGTTGGTGGTTTCTCGATAAGCGCATCAAAGTGATGCGTTTCTGGTAGATCTTTGAGATAACCAGTCACTGCTATAATGGGAGTATGTCTGTTGACACTGCGTGTTTCTCGCACCATTCGTGCAAAATCGGCTCCATTTACCTGAGGAATCTTGACCTCGGTCATGATGATATCGAATTGCACTTCACTCAGTGCATATCGCATGGCCTCCGCACCGTTTACAGCAGTAATCGTTCGGCACCGAAGCTTCTCAAACAGACGCTCCATCACAATTCGGGAAACTGGATGATCTTCACAGATAAGCACATCCAATGGCCGAAAGAAAGGCCCTTCAGGAAGGTTGATCTGAGATAGTCGCCTTGAACTTTGTCGTCGACGTTGTACCTTCAAGAGGGCCTTTGTACGTGGGTCTTCGTTGTCCGACGAGGAGGGAGAGATGTCAACTAGTTGACTTCGACGTTTATAATGGCCTGGTACAAATGAGTCCTTGGGGAGGGAGGATGAGAATTCTCCATCTTGCGATCCGATTGTTTGTGACCTTGCCCGAGTGGGAAGAGCACCCCCTTGCGGTCCTTTGCCTGAAGGTGTTTTATCAGGCGAGTTCGGTGCAGCCCGGCCCGTTCTGACAGGAGATGGAGCAGTTGAACCAAGTCTAATATTAGACACGCGGCTCTGGTCCCCATTCGCAGGCTGTGTGGATCCGCTCGACTGGAGTGAATTGGCAGCTGAGGAAGAACCAGATGTCTTACGACGCTCATGGTTCTGGCCAGTACTGAATTGAACGAGAAGCGGAGAGGAGGGCTGAGAAGGGCGACTTGGCGATGAGTTTGCTTGGCTAAGGCCTGACGGAGACGAGGGCCGATTATTACCCTTGTTCTGTGACACGGTCCGGTGTAAGGATCCAGGCAATGGACTGCCTTCAAGGGACGGCCCACTCGAGACGGGAGGTGCAGGAGGTGCAGATGACGACTGCCGCTGCTGTGCCTGCAGGGCTTCCTGGCGAAGCTTTTGAATCACATCCTTGTTCGCCTTCTCGAGAATTGGAAGGTTTTTGAAAGTGAAGTTGCCAAAGTCATCTGCTATGACTGGTTCGCTTAATCGCCTACTACGGGAATCACGGACGTGCGGTGGGATATGCAAAGGCATCAAAGGTCGTTTGATTGCGTTGACTTGGGAGCGGACTTTAAATAAGGCGTCATGCGGACGATCTGGATATGATCCCGTAGTCGCTGGGTGGGGCGGAGTGGACTGCTGGTCCTCGATCTCTTCAGTAAATGCTTGGAGAGTCGCACCACGCCCATCGAAGTAATCGGTATCTTCAGGGTTCTCCGGATTGGGAACAAACTGGGCCTTGTCTTCCAGCAGTGTGTCGAAATTAATATCAGCAAACCAAGGATGACTGCGAATCTCAGCGCCTCCATTCGGGAACTTCTCGTCAACATTAGCTCCAAGTCGCTCCTGGGGATTAATGGTCATGAGCTTATTCATCAAATCTATGGCTTCGAGAGACACAATCTCTTCCGGGCTATCAGGCCAGTTAATTCTTCTATGAAGGATATTGTCGAACACTTCGTCAGGTGTTGCGGCATTGAATGGCGGATAACCGAAAAGAAATTCAAACATGATGCAACCTAGAGACCACCAATCGCTCATCTCGTCCTGGCCCACTCCATTTATGGTCTCTGGAGCAAGGTAATCTGGCGTACCCACGAAGCGTCTGCTATGATCTTCGGGGTCGAAGAGGGCCATCAGCGGTGGTATCATTGGCTGTTGCTGCTGCTGTTGCGGAGGTGGCACAGATGCGGATTGATTGCTAAATGTACGCTGTAAGGGATACAAATGCGGTGATTCCCCGGCTTCACTTTGCCCTTCCTCTTCAGCTGCACTATTCGATAATAAAAGAGGTAAAGGAGCAGGGGTCTCGCTGCCTTCATTGAGAGAGAAAGTTCGGTACGGCCCGTTGAAGCTATCACTCGCTCCACTTTCACTTCGGTAATCCGACGCTCGTCGAGAATTCTGCCTACTGAGACCACTATAATTGAGATTGAAATACGTGGGTTGATTGTAGCTGCCGGCTATCTCCGGCGCTATAAGCGGAGTCGACCCCGGAGAGCCCTGGTAGTCAAACGATGCAGAACGGGACGAAGAAATGGAGGTGGCTCGAGGAAAAGGTCCCTGTTTGAGAAGGTCAGGAGCCGGCTCATTATTGTGGCTCTTCAGCATGCGTTTCTGGCGTCCAACAAGACCCATGCGGGACAACCCGAAATCCGTCAGCTTCAAGTGGCCCTTTTGGTCGATAAGGAGATTGTCGGGTTTGAGGTCACGATGAACTATCCCCCGGTTATGGAGGTGCTCAACTCCCAACACCACTTCAGCAATGTAGCTTTTGGCCCAGTCCTCGGGAAGCTCGCCTAGAACCTTCACCAGGGACGCACAGTCCCCCCCATTGAGATACTCCATGACCAGGTAGAGGTAATCCTTGCTAGAAAATGTCCAGTATAGCTTCGCAACAAAATCGCTTTCCCCTTGCCACATCATGATTGCACGCTCGGCCTTGACGTTGGTAACCTGATTCTTAGCAATCATGTCTGCTTTCTTGAGCACTTTGATTGCAAAATATTCACCTGTCGTCTTCTTCTTAGACAAGTAGACACTACCAAATGCACCTTTACTGATTGGTTTGATGATTTCAAAATCCTTGATGGATGGGGGTGCTGGCCGAGGCTGAGGCTGGCTGACCGAGGACAAGCGGGGTGAAGGAGGCGGCCTAGCGGCATCTGACGACGCAGTCGAAGACTGCCGGCGATGATGGATGTGGTAATGGTGTGGTATTTCATTGGTGCTTGCAGACGGCGATGGCACGGGAGAAGGGAGGCTCTCAGCACCGATGGAAAGACGGGGCTTGGGTATGCGTAACGGCGAGTGTGGAACGGAGGCACGCGCAGGGGACAACTGCCGCCGGGGTGAACTTGACAAGCCGGTGAGGACCAAACTTCTGCGTTTTCTTTCCAGGCTCCTTTCGGATGATGGAGATTCCGTACGTAATGCGCCGGGAATGATGGACGAAGGGATACTGCTGTCACTAGTTTCTCCCGCATCGCTCTCTGAAAGCAGGTTACGCCTGGATGATTGTGAAGTACCCAATATGACGGCAACACTCCGGTGAGACCGGGGAGTAGGACACTCCATTGGGCTGTTCGACGCTGTGGACACGGCTTGTGACGACCACCTACTGTCCGACTGAGCCTGACCAAAACGATTCTGCGAGTTGCGTATGGACATTGTCAATGCAGACGCCGAAGGCAATGCCTGTTCCTGACTTGTGCTATGCGCAAGGTTCGCAACTTCGCCGGTGGTCTCGACCTCCTCGTCCGAGGAGCACGACGACGAGTCGGTTAGTTGGCCGGCCGCAATGCGTTCTGCCTTGCTAAGGGCAGCTGTAATACATTCATCGACTAATACCATGTATTCGATCCGTATTCGCTCTGCGTACTCAACGATTTTGCGATGGCGGATGACCGCATCAACCTTGGCCTTGGCGGCTAGCTCCGTATCTGCAGCCAGTGCCGCCAGTCCTTGTTCCTGATCCAAGGTGTTTGAACTAGGGGACTGCCATTGGAGAACCTGGGAGATCCGAGACTCGGACTGGGGTGATAGAGTGCGAAAGTCATCATTATCAGTTCGGGTTTCCTTGATGGTCGGGGTGCTGATCTCCAACGCAGTGTCACACAGATCGAGTATCAGCTCCACGATGCGAGCCAAGGGCCGACGAACCGCAAAGGTTGATCGCCCCCTACCATGTCCGACACTCGAAAGCGAATGCTCTCTCGATCGAGGCGGAGTGCCAGCAACGGAACTGGCGCTGGACACGTTTCCCGATGAGGGCCCAGAGGAGCCTGGTGACGGCCCAATCGGCAAGCCCTTGTACTCCGGCTGAGGACCCGGGATGGGACTGCCACTGTCTCCCATAGAATGTCTGTTTTGCCGAGCCTCCAGGGCATCTAACACCTTAACAATTGCATGGCGGTGTTCGTTGAGATTCTCCTGTGCGATTTGAACGTCCATCTCGGCTCGGTGTTCTTGGAGGCAGAGCTCTGAGTGCTTCTCGAACCACCAAGGGGTGATCTGACGCTCGCAGATGCGACATAATACTGGGTTTGGGGTAGGATGCTTGGAGTGATCGGGTTCGTTTGCAGCGGCCTCAGCCAGTGAGGTCAGGTAATTCGCCAACACCTCTGCTCCAACGCCCAGGGACTCCACCAACAGCGGAGGAAGATCAATTGTGACTTCCCGGGGCTCGTTAAATGGCCGCAGCATCCACATGGTCTGGAATTCATTTGATTTGGATCGGTTAGTCCAACAAATTGGGTCAAGAAGTGTCACATAAGGAAGCACGTACATGGCCCTTTCCATCGGCGGAACGATTAAATACCATAATCCCTTGCGCCTCCATATTGAGTATGTCATAATCGCGATCTTCGTCTGCTGTCGACTGTATTTCCGCCTTGTCCACATGCTTCTCTCCTTGACTTGTTTCGGTCTCCGCACCTTCCACTGGTCGCTTCTCTGGGGAATGTCTCAAGACAGACTCCGGACCCAGACGTACCGCAAAGCGAATGAAACGACTACGTGAATCATCCTCCTTCATCGACTCGATCGCATTGTGGAACACGTCCTTGTGAGTGACCAGTAGGTCCGAGATCAACCGGCCCTCGACCGACTCGGGGGGAGTGCCCACGACCTGTCGCCATGACGGACTGACCCATTTGACACGACTATCAAGATCAATGTCGGCGATGACGTTCAACGTCTGCTCCGCAGCTTCTTTCAAATCTTCTCGTTCTTCCCGCATATCGTCCGTAAGGGAACGGATCATGGGGGAAGCCTTGTGGTCGGCATTGTGGGCCACCTGCTGTTTGATGGCAGTGACAGCCGGAGGCGCAAGCATTTGTACATCTGGCGAGCCATTACCCGCCATGGTGACAGGGGGATTGGACCGGTGCAAAAAAGGCCGCGGGGAGCGAGCAGCAAGACACAAAAAACGAAGAGCAGAATAAAGCCCCTTCCCCCCTCAAAGGGAAAAGGAAGAGAGAAGGACGAAACAAGGAAATCAGCGTCAGGATTCAGAATAAGCAGTAATCGGAGCGAAATAGGACCGTCTGCCGAGCAGAGCGGGTGCTCTTGGTGAGCCTAAGGATGCATCCGGTGGACACATCAACGGGCCATCGCGAGATCCCAACAGAGGAAAAAAGAGCCTAGGTGTCGGATGGCGCTGGATCCTCCTCCACGGACTAGGACGACGGATATACGGGCCTACCAAGTAGAATGCCGCGTGGGAGCAGACCAACGGAGGGAAAAAGGCAGACGTTGGCCGACGGAACGATAATGGACGCGGTTGTCGATGCGGGGAATTGGCGCGACGTTGAAGGCGTTGGACGCCAAGACAGAGTGATCGACCAAGTCAACCCCGAGAGAGGTCGACTGAGTGAGGTACACGGCAATGCTGGGCGGAGGGGGAAAGAATGGCGCGAGAGACGGTAGGGAAGGACAGTAGTGAGAGCGAAGGATGAAGGGTAGAGAGGGAAGAAGAGATAGAGAGGAGAGACGGCGTCGGTGAAGTTGAGGCGGGCAGCACGAGATGGGCCGTGGCAGCAGCGCCAGGGTGAGTGTGCACAGCAGACATGACCGCTGATATCCGACTCTCTACGAGGTTATATGCACGAAGAGTTCAAAATAGAAACACCGGCATATCATGACTCTACTCGGGATTTATTTCTCTCCTCTGTCCTTGAGCTCTCTCCATTATGCTGATAGTACAGAGTAATATCATCGGGGTAATGCACATCCATCCTTATCAACCAAGCCAGTCATCTCGGACTCGAGACACATCCCTGCTCATCCAAACCCAAATCGACCCTGAGGGATTCGGGCTGTTTCTTTACCCATATCTCCCAGAGCGTGTCCATAACAACTTGACGACAGCGATAGCAGCACTGCTGCAGCATCGTATCCATTGAGGCGCCGTTCCTAAACGCCACAGGCCATCCTGGACCTGCACGATGCCAAGTCCGGGCTGTTTCGTTTTCAATTAACTTTCCATTCTTCCTATGCCTCCTGGGTATTTATTTTACACTGTATTCATTCATTTATTTATATACTCTGTATGCTTTGTGTATATCTATATTTGTGAATACGAAGGGAATGCCATCGTACCAAGCATGCCCAGGATAGCTGCTTTCTCGGCGCTGTAGGCATCTGCTGTTCCCACTGTTCCCAGCCAGAAGAATCACGGAACCCCAGCATCATGCTGATCCAGGCCTCCGTCCTTTTCATCCATGCTTAGGTATTGCATATTATCTCTCGTACGTCACACTTTTGCCGTCGTTCCATGGTTTCGGATCCGGGTGATTGGCCAGTCTGCTTGCTGCGGTGTACCTCGTGCGTTGTTTTGATGTATCCTGGAAAGGATGAGAATAAGGGGATTGAAGAGAGACGGGGGAGATGGTTTATATTAATTGCATTTTGTCGGGTCCGACGGTTTCAGGAATGCGTATACCGGCTCAAGTAGTAATATGCCATGTTGCCGTACGAGTATAGAGTACTACTACGTACCTCGAGAAAGATACAGTACATGCACGTCCTACCAACTTTATTCTCCCCCCTTCCCTCGTTCCTTCAGGAGAATACCCAGTCTGCCGTGAAGATGTTGATAGTGCTCCGTGCATCGAGCACCCTGATCTTCTGGTTCTCTGCGGGGTAAGATGTGGGGCCGCTCTACGCTACTTTTCAGTGAAGCTCACTTCCCACGAAATATACAAACAAAATGATAAAACTGCATCCTCCATGCAAATGTCTTATATATGCGCTGTAAACCACCGTGGTCGAAGCAGAGGACTGCCCGTCCGCACAATCCATACAATATCCGGTGGAGAGTGAGGAGTGAGATGCCTGATGATCATACGCAATAGAGAACAACAAGTACAGCGCAGCGTGTACCCAAACAAAGTTCGATCGGCAGCAGAATGAACCTTCGACGGGGCGACCGAACAAACTAAGACTCGAGGATCTTCGCTACAATCTTCTCCGCCAGCATGTCTATACTCTGTTAGTCAACTCCTCCCTCAGTAGTCAACCAAACGAACAACGGCATAGTCTTACAAACTGTGGATTGCGGATGTCCCGGGGGCAGAATGGGGAATGCACTGGCATCCACCACTCGAAGTCCATGGACGCCAAACACCCTGGCTTCGCTATCAACGACCGCCATGGCGTCCCCGCGTGTGCCCATCTTGCACGTACAGGCGGCGTGGTAGATAGTCATGACGCTGTTCTTGATCACTTCGAGAATCTGTTCATCCGTACTGTACTCGCTTCCAGGGTAGTACTCATCTCCAATAATCACGGGTGCCATTGCGGGACTGTGAAAGGCCTCGCGCATACGTTTATAGCTTGCAACCGCTACTTCTTGGTCCGTCTCGGTATGCAGCCAGTTCGGATTGATGACCGGGGGATCTGCCGTGTCGTTGGACATGATAGTTACATTCCCGCGGGATGTTGGAGCAACTAGCGAAGTGAGGATCGTGCCATACTCGTATCCGTCCTTGGGTTGTGACTCGAGGAGGCCTGAATTGTTTCCAACGTATCCTGATCCAGAAATATACTGTTCCAACGTTACTGTTAGTCAAACATGCTGAATAAAACGAACCTAGTCACGGTGCATTCATAACTTACTTCAAGCTCAGGCCAGTCGTTTGGAAACCTGGCCAAGTCCGCCTTGGTCTGAGAAGAGAACCCGGCTCGCAGATGCCGTGGAACTTTCTCCCAGGCAAGAAAGTCGCTAACAGGGTTCGTCAATGGGCCCCTCCGGTACCTATGGTATTCCGCAACTTGCGAAAGGAGGTAGGTCATATTCGTCATCACCCTGGTAAACGTCAGGACGTTTACGCGGAATGTCGGCCCAAAATAGACGTGATCCCACATATTCTGGCCGACACCAGGGAGATCGGTGACGATATCAATACCGAATTCTGCGAGTGTCTCTGCAGGTCCAATGCCAGAGACCATCAGGAGTTGAGGGGACTGAATTGCCCCCGCGGACACAATAACCTCTTTCCTTGCGAAAATGGAATATGAGCTCTCACCAGTTTGGACTACGACCCCTCTTGCGCTGTTCAGGGAATCGAAGATGATCTTTTTCGCCATAGTGTACGGGTAAACCACCAAACGCGGATATTGCGCTGGTCCGTCAAAGAATGCGGAATGCGAGCTACTCCTCGTCTGGTCCGACGCCCGAATCGTGGAAGCACAATACTGGGAGCCCATTAATGTGCCACTGTTGAAATCTGCTGTTTCCTTGATTCCAATCGCTTCCATCCCCAGCTTTACCCAGGAGGAGAACGGCATAGCGTAGTTGGCATATGATACTTCGAGCGGGCCACCGTCTGCATCGAATGCACTCTCGTTATACAGCGCGGTGGCATTAGGTTCACGGTAAGCAAGGTTCGGAGGAGTAAAATGCACCGTCTTCTGGTAAAACGGAAGTACATTATCATAGAGATAGCTTGAATCATTAACGAACTGTGCCCAGATCTGCATCGACTTCCTCGTGGGTCTACGGCACTTGGTTCACGGTTAAAAACCCTGCATTTTGCTTCACGGAACCCAACCATCACTGACCGTTGGTAAATCATGTAGTTTGTTGCTGACCTGGATGTCAAGAAGGTTGTGAGTATAAAAAATAACAATCCTCAATATAATGTATTGCAGGTATGTGCATACGATCCTCCCAGACACTTCCCCCTTGGATAATGAATATCTCGATAGTTAGCACCCGGGACGCCTTTCGCTACAAACCCCCAATCAATCGGAGACTTGGATCGATTGACATCAGCACCGGCTCCTATATTGTCGCTGGCAGGGATCGTCGCCGGCGGGAACTCGATTTCGTATAGTCCTCCAGCCTCGACCAAAGCCATCGACAGGCCTGCTTCCCCCAGACGCGCTGCCACGGTAATGCCTGCAGTACCACCACCCACGACGATATAGTCATACATTGCAGGAATGGCCGCGGTTCCGTTTAATCTTACCCATGGCAAATCACTGGGAAATCCCGGCCGACTGGACGAGTCTGGGCCTGGGATATGAATGTAGGACCCCACAGTAGACAACGCCAAGGAAATCAGCAAAGAGAGCAGAAGTACCATGATCTGTAGAAATGAAGGACTGACTGAAAAAGGAATGTGGAGATGCAAGAGTTATGGCGGTAGCCGGTGGTTGTTTTCAATGACATTTAACCGCAACGACACGGTCTTCCCATGGAACAGCGGCATCTTTTCGTGAAATGAGAAGAGAAAGAGGAATGCCTTTTCAGACAGAAACTCGCCGGAAAATACCCGACAAGTCATTCTGGCCGAGAAGAACGTATGAAGGGAGAAAGTTGAGACGTCTTCAAGTATACCTACCAATCAACCCAATATTAAAGCCGGCTGAAGAGCTTTGATCACAAAACCATCTTCCATAATTAATCAGAAGTGATCTCACCGATCAGGAATATTTTTTATCAAGAATAACCAGACAAATATTCAGCAGAAATAAAGAAAAGTATCGATAAGGAATTATTAGTTAGTAGGGCAGTCATACATAATACACGTACACACCGTGTATAACGACACAGCAGGCATGCGAGACTGTGTCATGCCATCCATCCAATCCTCCCAGTCTACAACGCCTTCTTCTCCCCAACCGACTGTTCGCTTGCCAAAACATATCCCACCGCTCTCGCAACACCCTCGTCCACCGCCACGAGGGGCATATATCCTAGCCGTGTCTTGGCTTTGTTGGGAGAATAATACCGCGTCATGCACGAGTATCGTACGGCACGCCTAGTCAACCGTGGTGTCTTCCCGAAGATGCCTAGAATAGTCTCCGCAAGGAAACCGATCGGGCCAAGGAGCGACTCCGGAAGCACTATCACTTGATCCGGTTCGACGATCTTGCCGGTGAGGGCACAGATGGCGCGCGTCATGTCCCAGAAATAGATGGGGGAGTCGTTTGTGATGTTGAACGCCTCCCCATCTACTCGTTCGTGGTCCAGTGGTGCACCCAGTCCCTTCTCCTGGCGGGCATAGGTAGCCAATAAATGTTGTGCAGCCAGGGTGTGGCCGTATGCGATATTTCCAACATATGTGAAGTCGAAGAGGTTCTCATTGTCGCCGAGCTGCATGCGGAGGACAAAAGGAGAGGCCGTGGCCGCGTGTTCAAGCATTTTTTGCGTAATAGTGGTATCCTTTTCACCGTAAATACCCGCTGGGCGAATGGCGCATGTCAACATTGAGGAAGGAGAGGCACGGTTGTACTTCAGGACGAGCTCCTCTGCGTCGGCCTAATGAATCGTTTTTCAGCATATTGCGTTCCCTTGGTCACGGTTTGAACCGAAAGAGGGGAAAAAAAAGAAGTACCTTGGTCTCCGAGTAGTATTCCTTCTGCAGCTTTCCTCTGATGTAAGGCCATTCCTCGTTGACATTGATCAGGTCACTCTGCGTATCGTGAACTACGGAGCTCGAGCTGGTGTACACAAACGCCTTGCACTTCCCACCCCAGTCACTGTGGGCACCACCTGCCACCTCAAGCAGCGTCCGGGTACCATCGACATTGACCTTGTGTAACAGCGCCTTATTTCCATCCAGCATGGACGGCGAGGCAGTATGGATGACCACGTCCGGCTTGACGGCGCGGAAGACACTCAGCATCGATTCCACGGAGGTAATGTCGCCATCATAATAGTCCGCACCTGGCAACCGATTCGTAGTCGTCCGCAGGTCCACCACCGCAACCTTGGCCTTATAGTTCGGATACCGACCGCTCAGCAGGGGGTAATCAAATCGGGAATCTCCTCGTAGTTTGGGGATTGCTGCGCTGGGGTCGTTTTCAGAAGGGAAGTTGAGCAACTGGTCGACAATATGCCATCCTAGAAAACCGCAGCCACCGACCACCAGGACAGTGCCGAGATCAATTGTAGATTTTCCCGATGCCATCTCAATGCTTGTGGGGAACAAAAAAGTCGCAGTTTAGTCCTGGTAAGTGAAGAGGGGGAAATAAGATCCTAAAGGGCATCACCGCTACGTGCCCGTTATTATTGTCCTGGGGAATTTAAAGGAGCTCGGGCCCACCCCATCCAAGAGAATAAATAATGCTTCGGGCTCAGCCCCCGTCTAAACTTTCCACTCATCGTACATTTGCATATCACTGCAATACAACGTTGTCATTCTGGAAGGGTCTGTTTAATATTCACCAGGAATCAATTTGTGTTGGCTTTCTCAGACTGCATACGGCCCAATATTGCGAACAGAGGACATTTTCCAACTTGTTCACCACCTCGTGATTACCATTAATTATTTCTTGATTCTCTAGCCATGATACCCATTTCCTAAGTCTTCAACTGAAGCTTTGCCCTGCATGATTGGGCAAGGAAGAAAGAAAACATAAAAATGAAAAAAAAAAAGAACAAAACACGCAAATGACAAGGCACCTATATTGTCCTGAACACCTCGCCAGTCTAAATCCCACATCTAGCAAATATGTAGCACGTCTGATAGAAAGGGAAAAACATAAAATCAATAATCACAGGAATCAGCTGCGATATTCCTAAAACCTGGTTGAATTTAATGGATGTGACAGACAAAACTGTTTGAGCATATGGGTGGTTGTGAAGCCTGTCTAGATGGATTGGCAGATATTTTACACATATGCCTCTCTATATCAAGCGCGAAACGTTCATTAGCATTGGCAGAGTAGAATCTGTGTCAAAAAAGAACTTACTCAGCACTTCTCTCAACTGATTTCCGCAGCTCGCGGTTGTACTTCTTTCGGCTTTCTGGGTTAGACCAAAAGAGCTTGGACGCCTCTGGGTTTACGGTTGTGCGAGGATCATATGGTGGAGTCTCTTCCTCCAAAGCCGACACGATTGCATCGATATGGAACCTCATCTCTTCCATTCGTTCTGGAAAATAGCAGAGTACTCCCTCCCTCGATACACGGTGATGGAAGAGAGGAGTCTGGAGGAAAACGCGAGGCTGCTCATCAGGGAAACGCGGACTCAGCCAGATCTTGATCTTGAAGATACCGCCATCCAGCTGCGTCATGGGTCGGCCAAAGTATGTGAGGCTCCATACGAAGCTGTTACCATCCACCAGGGATAGATTAATCGTGAAGTTCTTCTTGTTCTTGAGGTCCTCAACGATCTGCTCGTACTGGCGCTGTAGGTTCATCGCAATCAATTTCTCGTGTTGCTGGGCATCGCGTCCCTCCATCGCCCAGTTCCAAGTCTCATTAATGATCGCATTCTTCACGGAAATCAATCGTCGTCTCAACTCCGGGTAGTTGAAATGCCCGTCCATTATGTTCCCAGGACTCTCAAAGGGCATTTTCTCGAACTTGGCGTTCTTTGACACGTTCGGTTCATCCGCGTTGATGGCATTCATGTAGGATTCAAAATACCAGAGGAAACGCCTCTTGCGGAGATCCACAAAGGGCTGGAATTGTAGTTCATCTTCAAGCAGTAGCGGGTCTTCATCGGCGTCAGATCCGTTCCCGACCTGCGGTGCAAGAATCGAGCCATCCGGCTGAATGCCCAGCGACGCTTCGAGAGGCTGGATAACGGCTATTCGCAGAGTTTCGTGTCGAATCTGGGCAGATAATTGTCAGTGCGTGAACGACTGCCTATTAAGTCGTCAGCTCTCACCTTAGCGACATAGGTTTTCATGTTCTTCTTATCGCTGCCAGACTTTGCATTCTCATAGCCCGGCTCGTTTTCATACGGGTTTGACGACATCAAGCTCTGAATGGAGATGAGAATGGATTCCAAACCTTGCGCAGACGACCACTGCTCGCCGCGCTCTCCCCGCCATGTTCTGGATGAACTGTCAGCTATATTTTGTAGGGGAAGACAGAACATGATTACCCAAGAATAGACCTGAAAATCAGGGTTTGTCAGTTTCAGAAGGCTGTCAGTCGATGGATTGCAGCACCTACAAGCAAACTTTCCCAGAAGAATAGATGTTAGGGTTGAAACGGCAGCGCCCATGATTCGTAGTGAGAGCGCGGACAGCAGGAGGCTTTGCTGGGTAGTCTGTATTCCACAAATGGTCAGCAAATATAGAGACAAGGATCCCACAAGGATTTGTGTGTCTAGATACCTTTGCCAAATTTGACGTTGAACTAAAGCAGGGGACGCGATGGCTGACAGTCAGCGTGTTGGTTCTAACGGGAACCCCAAGGAGGCCCACCTCAAAAAAGCCAAATTCATAGGGAGTTTCTGGCGGTCCAACAATGAGAGCATTGATGTTTCTGATATCAGCTTCCTGACAGGCCACGGCGAGTGCTGCTTGCAGAAGACATGATGAGCATAATTTCCGACAGAGGAAAGCAAGAATCTTGGATATATTTCTTTGGATAATTTTCCTTTGCTCATCGTCTATAAGCTTATTTCATGAAGGGGCTACCTACACAGGTCTGCAGTGCCTTGCTGTAGCTGTTTGATTTCCTAGAGTGTGGCAGATTGCCCTTTGTTAGCAAATCTCTGCAGAAGATAAACCAAATATGGCAGAATAGAAGCCAGGAGATGGATACAGAAGTATGACAAGGGTAGATGGAGCTTACTCGTGTAATGCGTAGAATGGCCTGGTCAGACATGTTGAGGCTGTGGGGGTAAAGAAAAACCGGGTTTGATGACGTTGTAGAGTTCAAACAGAAACAGAAGTGCTCACGGGGTGGACCGATGTGGGCAGTTAAGAACTAGGCATAAGAGAAACAAGCAATGCGAGAGACCAGGGAGGACAGCCCATGGAGTATGGTGATGGGATGCTGATTGTAGAAGTAGTAGTAGTAGTAGTAGTATTAGTATTAGTGTGGGTTGGAGATGGCAGCAATCTCCGCATACAAACGCGACAAAGAGCGGTTGTGGGAGCAGGACAGATCGATGCCTAGAGACGGCTCTTCACTTCATGACAGCAACCTTACCAGGCTCTTGCTTGTCGAGGAACCACAGCTGGTGTATTTATTTGTCCATCGACCAAGTGCGAAGCATTCTTCAGAAGAATAATCCAGTCTCCAGAACCAGACGGGCTCCACTGGCGCGACATGTTTAACTCAATTTCTGTAAGAGAACGCCACTTTATTTTGTTTCGACCCCTGCGGGTAATTGAAACCGCAAATATCACTACAAAAATAGAGGCAAAAGGGAAATTAAAATGATCCCGAGGTAACCAGTAGACAGGTCAGAATACAAATACACTCCTGTCTCAAACGCCAGGCCGCAAAAACAGGAAAACCGCTGCGGTGTTGGGCGTTGCTAAGAATAACCGCGATTATTGGTTATCGGGCGCTAATTAGACTCCTTCTGCCGCCAGAAAACTGCTGGCCTTGTCCCAACGCCGAATGTGGTGCTTCCATTCCATCCAATACCTCTTAGGGATGCATGTCTGGGACTTGAATTGTTGCAATAGCCTTTAACTCCTGCTTTTACCATGCAATGCTTCATAGCTCCCAGAAGCAGCAGCAGAGAGTGCTGGACTGCACCTGCACCAGACACTCATGCAAGTGGTGCAAGCGGTGGCCTGGGCGGTGACTACTTTCCCACGTGACCGTTCCTGGAAGTGCATTCTTCTTCTTTCGTGACGATCTGACAGCGGCTGAAAGGGGGGCAGAAGACAGGAACATCTTCACCTGTACCAGCCTGTCTCTCTCCGTCTTACTCACTATCTTTGTCCATCTCCTGTCTCCACAAGGCTGCCTCTGTGACCATCCTGCGTCCTGCAAACTCGGTTGCGGTATATGGAGTACATGGCCCAGTGAGAATCCTGACCGTTGGAAGGAATCGGGCATGTCTTGCTTGCTCCGCCGCCTGTTGATTCTCTAGGTTCAAACTACGCCCCCTGCGTACTTACAGACCTACATACAAACAGCAGCCCCTTCGATCCATCTGCGTTCCCTCTGCACGTCCTGCGACGCTCAAGACCGACAAGCTTCGATTCGGCTACCCTTTCGACCTTTTTTCTTCCTTTCCTTCCTGCCTCTCCGGAGTACTCCTCGTACCTTTCTTTCCCACTCTCTCTATCTCTCTTTCTCTCAACCCCCCACCCTACGCCTTTTCGCGCCTCTGTACAGCGTCATTCCGAAAAGCCACGGTCCCGGAACCGTCCTGTCGCTTCAATTCGTTTCAGTGCCTCGCCTACATGGCGTGAAGGAACCCGTGACTCGCTACTGGATACTTAAGAGGACTTGCTAAGGCGACTGGTGCGGAGGGCTTTGGGTTGGCAATTTCTGGCTCCCAGGCGCGATATTTCCAACAAACATCTTCCCTTTTGTTCCCTCGAGGAGCATCGACTGCTAATTCTTGTTCTCATTCCCGAGAAGCTTTTTTATTTTTTATTTATTTTTTATTTTTTTTTTACTTTTCCCTTTGCCCTTTGGCTAGTCGCATCTGCCGGGAGGCGCAGCACAACGGCGACCCGTGACACGCCTCCCTGTTGGTTCTCGACGGTCGCACCCCGTTGATTGAGGACGCTAGACCAGCAAGGGTTATTCCACCGCCATGGCTCCTGGAGATCGTAGTCTGCCAGATAGCCTCATTCCGGGCCATGGTGTCCCTCGCCCCAAGTTGGATACGTCTGGCTACGCTAGCAGTTTCCACTCGCAATCCCCAACATCGCCTCGAGATGGCAGCGTGACATATGACTCTCCACAATCGAGAACAGGCGGCTGGAATGCTTCGTCGCCTCTGGGCAATGGCGCCGATGGAGCGCGAGACTCCGAAGACCGCGCTGCTAGGAGGCAGGATTCCAGTCCTCGGGATCTATCTGCCCCGCATGATCGCGCTGGCTTTCAAGATAGATCTACTCCCCGCAATCGATCGCGTCCGAATCAGCGCTCTCACACAAAGTCTCCCGGGAGCTCGACACGCATCTGCAGAAAGTGCGGTGAGGTTCTGACCGGCCAGTTTGTCCGAGCCCTGGGTGCGACGTTTCACCTGGAGTGTTTCAAATGCGAGGTGAGTGCTTGCGCAAGGTCATGACTGGTCACTCTACTGGTTGCTGACAATTGCATTGTAGGATTGTGGTCAGATTGTTGCGTCCAAGTTCTTCCCCATGGATGCGGAGGACGGAAGTGGACAGTACCCGCTGTGCGAAACTGACTACTTCAGGCGCCTAAATCTTCTGTGCCATGCGTGCGGTGGTGCTCTGCGTGGTTCATACATCACTGCGTTGGATCGTAAATATCACATCGAACACTTCACATGTTCTGTATGCCCGACGGTGTTTGGTGCTCAGGACTCGTACTACGAACACGAAGGCAAAGTGTACTGCCACTTCCACTATTCCACCCAGTTTGCACAACGTTGCCATGGTTGCCACACGGCAATCTTAAAGCAATTCGTCGAAATATTCCGCAACGGACAGGATCAGCACTGGCATCCGGAGTGTTACATGATCCACAAATTTTGGAATGTGCGCCTGGCACCCACGGATGAGCCACTCCAACCTCCCCCAATGGATCTTAATGCCACCGACGAAGAAAGAGAACGTGTCCGCGAACAAGAAGATGCTATGGAGGAGAAGGTCTATCGAATCTGGAGCACCCTTTCCGGCTTCGAGGAATCATCCGCTGGCTGCATCTCAGATATGCTCTTGCACGTTAGCAATGGCGCTTATATTGATGGAGTCCTCGTTGCAAAGCGTTTCATCCGCCACGTTGACGTTCTGTTCGCGGCCATTGATCGGTTAGCAAAAACCATCAAGGCCCAGGGCATGAAGGGTAAGCTTTGTCTTTTCTGTTTCATCCCCACATCTTTGTTATCGAGGCTCCGTCACTAAGCTCTGGTGCAGGTCTTTCGTATGGACGTGAGGCAAAGCTTCTATGCAAGAAGATTGTCGCCTTTTTCGCCTTACTGTCAAAAACCCAGGAAACAGGGGTTCGAAAGCTGGGTGTCACACAAGAGCTGCTGTCTCTGGTGACAGGTCTCGCTCACTATTTAAAGCTTCTTATCCGTATCGGCTTACAGGGTTCTTTGAAGCTTGAAAGAGAGAAGGATGTATCGGAAGGATTGCATTATTTCTTGTCCAATCTAGGAGATCTGTCGACCCTCAGCCAGCCCGAAACGCCTGCCAATTTGATGATCGGCGTGGAGGGACTCCACGACCCCCTTTCTGACTGCTGCACGTTTTGCAAGGAGCCCATTGATGATGAGTGTGCAACTCTGAAAGGACTACGGTGGCACCTTAAGCCTTCGCATGTTGCTTGTGCAGCATGCCAAAAAGATTTGGCTCCCGATCTAAAGGAAGCGTTGTGGAGTGAGAAAGAGAAACGGCCATTCTGTAGCGAATGTGCGCTTCAGCGGAATCTCGCTCCGGACGCCCAAGAAAGGTTTATCCATGTCACGAAGCTCCAGCAGTATGTTTTCTTACTGCGGGTTGCTCTGGCCAGACTTCTCGCGGTTTTGCGTGCTGGAGGAACGTTGCCTCACACATCAGGTATGCTATCTATGATCCCTACCCTTTCACCGTAGCCCACACTAAGTTTTCTTTTTCTCTTCTTTTTCCCTTTACTTCTCCTAGACGATCCTAATCTCAAAGCGTATGAGGCCAATGAAGGTCACCGACTTTCCACCGACGGCGATCCTCGCAAGTCGACCACGCGGTCCAAGTCATACAACGACGCAACTGGAGAGGCGCAACAAGAGTCGTCTCTCGAGCAAACAGTAGGGGAAATGCGACGACTACGCTCGATTCGAAATGAGCATACCCTGTCCACGACATACAAAAAAGCGCGGGCCTCTCGTATCATCGATGGACCCCAGGGACGGAGCGTACGTCCCGGCTCGTCTGGCGGTGATGGCACGGACACTCGAAACCAGGGCTTCCAGATCGTTGAGGAAAGGGATGCCAATGGTGAAACAGTTAACGAACTCACCTTCGGAAACCAGGATGCTCTGACCCTGGATGATATCCCTAGAATTGTCGCGGCAGAACAAGCTAAGGAGCAGCGTCCTAATGCCTACCGACATGCCGGTCCTAAACTGATTGGAGCCGGGGAGCCCCTCGCTCGATATGGTCAGGGCCACCAGCGCGCTGTTTCAGGCGGCAACCTGGACATTGGTGGAGTTGACCAAACTGGACGGACCAAGAAATACTTTTCAGAACTCACTGCGCTGGAGTATTTTATTGTTCGCCATGTTGCCGTATTATCTATGGAGCCGCTGCTCGAAGGCCATTTTAACCTAGAAGAATTGCTCTCCTTGATCGAATCCCGCAAACCTACCATCTGGAATATATTTGGGCGCGCGTTCAACAAGGAGACAAAGCGGCCTGGGAAGAAGAAGGGCATCTTTGGGGTCAGCCTTGAATACCTGGTAGAGAAAGAGGGTGCGGACTCAACTCACGGAGTCGGACCCGGCGCGCTTCGCATTCCTGCGCTGGTAGACGATGCAATATCTGCAATGCGACAAATGGATATGTCTGTTGAATTTGTCTTCCGGAAAAATGGCAACATTCGACGTCTTAAGGATCTGTCTGATATGATTGATACCAAGTACGACCAGGTTGATTTGACCAAAGAGAGCCCGGTTCAAATTGCTGCTCTCCTGAAGAAATTCCTCCGAGAAATGCCCGATTCCCTTCTCACCTTCAAGCTTCATCGTCTCTTTGTGGCCTCGCAAAGTAAGTGGGACGCTGGAATTGTCTTCTCTCTCCTTTTGTTGCGTCAACGCACTGATTATTGCTTCTTAGAAATTCCGGACCCGGAGAAGCAGAAGCGTATTTTGCATCTCGCATGTTGCCTCCTTCCGAAAGCTCATCGTGATACTATGGAAGTTCTCTTTGCCTTTCTCAACTGGGCATCTTCGTTTTCCCATGTAGACGAAGAGTCTGGAAGTAAAATGGATATCCACAATCTTGCTACCGTGATGACACCAAATATCCTTTACCCGAATGCGAAGAATGACTCTGTCGATGATAGTTTCCTGGCCATTGAAGCTGTTAACATGCTCATTATGTACAATGACACCATGTGTGAGGTAAGTTTCTTGTCCTACAATGCTTCTTTGACCGACCTTAGTATTCACGCATTGTAGATACCGGAGGACCTGCAATCAATTATCAACGACACCGGTTTCTTCAAAGAGAATGCAGAAATTACGACAAAGGAAATTCTAAAGCGATATGGTGATATCGGTCGGGGGGTTGGCCCACAGAAGCTGGACAATGGCAACGAGCCTGTCATGGTTACAGCTAATAGCAGAGCTAACACTAGTCCTGCTACGGCCGCACGCATTGAAGCAGATCCATCGCAGGATACAGCATGGCAGATGCAGAGCTCAGTCCGCCACGTTCCGAATAGTGATGGACATGGTCCTCAAGTCGGCACCTCTCCTTCGACGGGAGATCTCACAGCTGGGCATCGTGAAGGTAATACCGGAAACAGTCGCGGACCCACTGTAACTGAGACCGAGGGATCATCTCAGCCTATGCCTTACAGGCCACGTCCCAATGCAGGGCCCATGGGCGTTACAAGCTGACCGTTGTCCCCCACCTCTTTTTTAACAAGATTCGCCTGGCTTCACTGCGCAATGGCTATTTGAATTATTCATATTCTTTTCAAGTTTCGACTGGGTGTTAAGAGGCAAGTACTCGGGCTGCCCAGGCTCACCTTCTTTTCTCCATTTTCGACTTGCGGGACTGGTTTTTGCGGAGTTGATTCTTTTTTTTCCCCCTTTTTCCGCTCCTGGTTGGATGACTTTGAAGCTTTACTCGAATTATCGGCTGGTTTGGTGCCGTGTATGGATGATACCTATTTACCATTTTACTTTTTGCTCCGTTTTGTGTTTATTTTTCTCGTCCATTTTGCTACCCTTTGAGTTTTGCGGAAATCAAGATAAACGCAGGAGGTAACAGTGCAGAATATAACACTGCGTCTTGAGGGATATTCGGCGATTGTCCGAAGTGTTTTTTTTTTTCCTACATTTCTTTGTCTCTTTATCCATAATCCGAATCCGAATCCGAATTACAACAGGAGTTGTTGACTAGGCAGGGAGGAGTCTACACCTGTAAATGACGGCCTGAGTCCGTGGTGTTCATAACCTGGAGATTTTCGGTTTTTTTTTTCGTTTTTCATTTCTTTTTCTGGTATTGTGTCTTTTTCCAACTTTCCCCTTTACCAGCATCATCCCTGCAGGTGCAATTGCAATGATACCTAAGTGTTGTCCATTTCTAAAGTCAATTGAATCGTTCTATTGATTATTAATTTTTTCTATCGTGTTTTGTCTAATTACTGGTTTCCGTCATTGTTGCTTGGTATCGGTAGGATGGATGGATACATTGCATTAATCGTCCCCGTTGGGTTTGCCTATTTCCAGTTGATTATTTGTTTTCAGCTTAACTGAGATTCTCTCAGTGAAATATGGTATTCCCATACGTTTATTTTATTTCATCTCCTGTTCACAGGTCCTGTAAACTCCGGAATCGCCTCCTGAGAAGACTAGAGAGATATCCATCAGTGATGGCGTATGAAAACCAACACTTTTTATTCAAATTGGGTTCTTGACGATGGTGTTATATCATAAGACCCTATTCCAACTGTAGTAGTCTGATCATCTGCATTGGCTGCCTTGGTCAGTCCGTCCGTCTGCAACCATTCCAGAAGTAGGGACGTAGAATGCCCTGATGTCTCCATGCTCAATGAAGCCTTGAATGGCATGATATCGTATGTGAATATGCTTGCTGCGTAGTGGTCGACGGCTTGGACGGCTAGTGCTAAAGCACCTTTGGTTATCAATTCCCAACTAAGTTGGTTCAAGCGCCAATTTAGTTAGTCTTTTGGGGTGTTTTCGGATAGCTACTAGAAAGTGTCCAGTCCAGATAGCCTGTTTTGCTGCCTCAGTGGTAGATATAGCAGTGATGGGTTGCTTTCTGCTACACCAACTGGCTGGTCCACCTGCCATCATAAAGAAATGCGCTAGTCGATCGGTATTTGGTGGCGTTCGCGTGTAGTAAATCCGAGTAGTCAACTAGGCTCTCTTCACTCTCCTTTGCTCCATACGTGTATATGATACCATAGATGAGCTTTCAGGTTGTAAGCTGTTGCTAGTGCAAATAGGATTCGGAAGCTCTCCAACCGAATAACTGGGGCAGATGTGTTTTCATGGTCTAATCCGTCACGTTGGGAGAAGCCTCATGCAACTAGTCGAGCTCTGAGTCTATCGATTCGTCCGTCAGCAGTATGTTTGACATCAAAGACATTAGGTCTTCTGACATATCTCCAGGGTCCAAATCGAATTAGGTTGTCCAGCTCAAGCTTTATTGCTTCTCTCCATTTGGCTCCATGGTCAGGATCATTGACTGCCTCCTTGTAGGTCTTTGGAATGGGAATGGTGCCATTAAATTCCTCCTCTGCGTCAGCCTTGAAAGCATCATGATCACCAAGATAGTGTTCTGGTGCTACAGCTAGGTTAGCCATATCACTAATTTGCTGCTTTTCTGCAGCTTGGGGGCGCAGGGAAGGACCCCCAGCTGCTTCGCTCTTTTCTCTGCGTCTCTGGGCTCGTAGCTTTCGCCCATAAATGGCCTCTGTCGGCCTTCATTGTGATATGAAAATATGAGACGACGTGACCCTTAGCGGCCCGGTCGCATACTAGTTCCAACCCCTGAAGAATTGCCCACTTAATGTGAGTATATGGAATCGTGACAACAGAGAATACAGTCGGCATATTCATTGCAGGGAGCAGCTTAGGCCACCCAGGGTATGCTCAGGGCATGCTCAGATCCACTTAGTGAGAAGAAGGTGCCAAGAACTGAGCACGAGAACGGAAAGGGAAGGCCTTCAACATTGATAGAATAAACAGCCTATATGTATTAGCGTGGGTATTGGGACTGGGGAATGTTGCTACCCAGAGAACAAATGTGGAGACATTGAGTTGTAATGTGTCTCAGCCATTCATCATTGATTGATGGGACATCAAAGAAATTAAAGACTATGGATGGCAGTTGTGGTTCGTTTGTGTGAAGAAGATACTTGGGCCATGTTTCAAGAAAGTCACATAGTACATACATACTCGAGGTGTGTTGATTTCCGTTGCCAAATGAGTTCAATCGTTTAATAGACCATATTTCATGAGCATCCTCCAAGTCCCAATGACATATATCCATGGCCCAAGGGTTGGCTGCATCATGCATGTAGAAATGAAAGTCCTTAGTCATTGAACCGAGCACCAAAACCACTGAGAACCGTCAGCAAGAGTGGTGGTACTACTGAATGGAACACGCTCAATTCAAATATACAGAATCGGCAACTGAAAGACAAAACTCCAAACAGGACTCCCTTTGAGCTACCAGATAGTTGAACGTCAAAAAACAAGATACCGCACTGATCTCCGTTCCAAAACCCAATACCAACCCCCGAACTCCCAGATACATGCTAAGCTCTATACCCTTCTGCGCAGTGTCCTCCGTCCAGCCGAGGGGTTTTCGGCTGCTACAGGTGTTGCAGGCTTTCTTGCTGCAGCCGCAGTAGTCCGCTTGGCGGCTACAGACGACGCTTGATTCCGGGAAGTGGTCGTTTTCTTGGCTGCCATAGCTGCTGCTGAGGACGAGGCGGGTGTACCTTTTCTCGTACTAGTAGCCGCCCGCATCGGCCTAACAACGGCGGTTCCGGAGGACGTAGTGGATGAAACGGTGCCCGTACTGCCTCTCCGTTCAAGCTGACGGGTAGGAGGCCGGGACAAAGGAGACCTGATTGCCCTCGAAGGTGCAGCAGTCCTACTGGCAGTCCTGCTGGTTGTTCTCTTTGCTTGCGAAGGAGCTCTGTTGCTGGCAGATCTGCCGGTTTTGGTGGCTTGAGAACGGACGTTATCTCCAGTTACAGATCCGGTGGCTGCTTTGAGTGGGCTGGAGGGCTTCAAAGGTGATAGAGGGTGGGAGAGATACGAAGGATTGCGAGACTTCTCTGGAGAGGCACGGAATGGTGAATGCGGATACGTCCTAGAATTCGAGGACTTGGGAGAGAGAATTTTGTAGTCTGCCCCTTTTTCCTCTGAGACCACACGCGAAGGACCAGCAGCAGCACCTGGTTTAGCACGTCTCTTGGGATTATTAAGAACTTCACCAGGTCTGCGCGCAGTGGGGACATTCTCTTTATCAGAGTATAAACCTTCGCGGCTATAAAAGCGTCAGCAAGCGCTGGACAGGAGAGAAAATCCCTCCTTACCTTAGTTTCCTAGTGCGACGGGCCGGAGAGCGGTTTGTCGCGTAATCAATAGATACCATGGTTATGTTCCTTGATTTGGATGGGGATATTGGCTTCTTGGACGCGGCCGTTGTCTGTTGCTGGGCGCGAAGGGCAGCAGCGGCATGTTTCTCCAACAAATCGCCCATTCTGGCCTTTCGAAGACCGACAGGGACTCGATTAATACGCCGTTCGATGCGCGCTTTAAGGTCACTAGCCTGGAGCGCGTACTGTGCGCGCAGTCTGCGTGCTCTCTCCGTTACTGCGAGAGACGATCAGCCGCGTTGCGCATTGAAGACGCGAGCAGAGGGTAAAAGGAATAATTCACATACTCTCTAACTGCAGATTGTCAATGAGTGCTTGTTTCTGATTCCGTGTAATCCGTAGTCTCTTCCTTGCAGGACTGCCGGTGGGAGTTCGGACGTTCTCGTTGTGAGGTGCGTCGACGTCAGTATCTGACGACTTGCGCTTGGTCGCAGCCATGATGGAACAGGTGAGCGATTCAGAAGTATAGTTCCAGCAAACTGTATACTATAAAATATTGAGATCGATTGAGAACAATTGAGGAATGAATTTTCGCGCGGTGGGAGGGCAGAGGGAAGAGAAGGAAGACGTGTTTGGGGAGGAAGAGGTAAACAAGCGCTGACTTAATTCAGGCTAGTCCCGTGGCAGCTCCAGAACGGCAGCACCAAGAATCCTTCCATCGCCATCACCTCCTCTCTCCTCACACCTGAACCCGATCCAGCTCTCGTGGACACTGTCGAGAGCTCATTTGACATCTTCTCTCTCTTTTGATCTTTGCCATTCTCTCAGTTCGTCTTCGTGGACTACCGCCAAGATGACGCTCGAAGCTACCATGATCATGTTCGTCATCGATGCATCCCCATCAACATAGACCGTACCGCTGACATCCACTACAGTGTCGACAATAGTGAAAGCAGTCGGAATGGAGACTATACGTGAGTTGCCACCACACGGTGTACTGTGAATCTCCCCTCCACCCCCTACTGACACATCCTAGCTCGACACGATGGCAAGCACAGGTCGACGCAGTCAGCATCATCCACAACAGCAAGATGCGCGCAAATCCCCAATCCGCCGTTGGCCTCATGAGCATGGGTGGTAAAGGCCCTGAAGTCCTTGCGACATTCACATCCGACTTTGGCAGTCTGCTGTCTGGCCTTCACCGGACAAAGATCCATGGTACTTCGCATCTGAGCTCTACCATCCAAGTTGCTGGGGTATGTAGCTACGTTGTTTCTCTCTATGTACCCTCAAGATAACTAATATGTCTATCTCTGTGTTTTCACAGCTTGCGCTGAAACACCGCCCCGAACGGTCCCAGCATCAACGGATCATCGTGTTCTCATGCTCGCCGATCGAAGAAGACGAAAAGTCGCTCGTGAAATTGGCAAAGAAAATGAAGAAGAATAACGTTTCGATCGACGTCGTTGCATTCGGTGACCTCGAGTCCGATCAGACTAAGAAACTCGAGGCCTTCGTCGAGAACGTCAAGGGTGGAGCCGGCTCCCACCTGGCCATCATCCCGCCTGGTCCCAATCTCTTGAGTGAGGAGCTCCAGATGACTCCGATCCTCGGGGGCGAAGGTGTTCCTCCTGGTGCTACGGGAGGTGAAGGGGACGCCGGCGCATTTGGATTCGAAGATGCTGCCGAGAACGACCCCGAATTGGCGTTTGCCCTACGGTTATCTCTTGAGGAGGAGAAGAATCGACAGGAGCGTGAGAGACGAGAGCAGGAGGAGAAGGCGACTAAGGCGTCGTTGGAAGGCATCTCCGAGGAGGGACAGCATAACGGGGCATCCAGCGGGGACAAGGATAAGAAGGAGGACGGAGACAAGATGGATACCGCGTAAATGGAAGGCGGATGATGTGATTGATGCATACCCGGCGTTTTCATTTGTCATCTTTTTCTTTTCTTTTATTTATTTTCTTTTTCTCTATGTTTGTAGTTCTGGAAGCCCTTGGGCAACGGTTGCCATAGAATTCAACTGAATTCAAACCACGCTCATGTCATTTCAGATATCGTGGATGGCTCATAAAGTATGTACAAATGAAAAAGTAATGGTGTAGCGCCAGAAAGAAAGAGACCGATTAATTTAATTAGTATCAACACGTATGCGGACAGAGGAGCTCTAGTTCTACGCCCGCCCCCTCAACCAACCAACCAAATGCCTATCAAAAGCCTCACATCGCACGGGCATCTCCAGCTGATAGAACGGATTCTTCAAGACATAATCGGCGAACAGCTCGTAGATCTTCTTTATCACCGCATCGACATTTGTCATAAGCGGATCCGTGAACAGGAGGAACTTTGTCCCCGTCAGAGTCTGAAAACACGTCAGACGGAATTTGTCCGTTTCGAGGACCTCAAGACCCGAGGGTGGCAGTCCCAGATTTGGATATGAGTAGGCAGCTGGCCCGGCGGGCGTGGGAGTCGATGTTCCGGATGTTGCTGAGGCTGTTGTTGGCGCGGAGGGGAGTTTGGGTGTTAGGGAACGGGTAATGGCGTGGACACTAGGATGATTCAAGTACATGTCAGCTTTTTTTATTTCTCTTCCTTAGAGAGGTCTGGAATACCCGTGAAATGTCCCCGCGAGAACGAGGTAATCGTTCGTGGAGAGTTTGTTTAACCCGGGCTGGAATTCGCGCTGGTAGATCAATCCGCCGGCTTTGTTGATGATAATGAGGGAGAAGACGGCCCTGTGCGGTATCACGGTGAGTGAGTCGACTGCCTGGGTATGGGGAGGATGAGCTCCATGATAGCTGTCAAACGTACATGATGGCTGACTTTGTTGGGATCGGATTGCCCCTATCGGCCACGGATGGGGAGGGAGAAAAATGACAATGTTATCATTCGCAAGACATCACTTCTTTTGCCAAAGAGAATCCCCATCAAGGGGGTATGCAGCTGGCGTTGGGGAGGCGCAGGAGTCGAGGATGCGCTCCAAGGTGGAGGAAGCATGGCGGAAGACAAAGCTGTCACTGCGGCAGATGGTCTGGGGTGTATATTCTGCACTTATGTATATGGACTAGCTTCAGTATAAGTGGGTCTAATATTGCAATATAGCCAATGCTGTAACAATGTGGTTGAGCTAGCTACACTGTTTATTCGGCATTACTTAGTCTTCTGGGGCAAGATACAGTGCCATATTATAATCCTACATACAGCATTCCATTCCATTCTGACATGGCAGAAATAGACAATACCAAAGACTCATTTATTTCCTCGCTGTTCCAATGCGCTCTGGATCTCAGTTTGCGGGGTCGTGAAAAGGGGCAATTCTAGGTACGTATTTTCACCTTCTCTCGATGAGAAACATTTCTTTCTGTTGCAGCCAGCGCAGTCGGATGCCCCAAAACGAATCGGATCGTAGCCGACAGAAAGGCATAAATAATGATGGAACAGTGCCTCAAGGTTGCAACCGCGATTCCCATCTAGGACCCCGACTGAACGAGCTTCATTCTATTGGCCCGCGTCTGAGATCTATTGCAATCCTCTCCACCATCAAAATCAATATAACACCAGCCTCCAGAGATATGACTCAATTCGCGGACGGCAAGGCTCAAATGCGAATGCGTCGGACTTTATTTACCCTCCTCTGAAGGCTCCTGCGCGTTGTGTTCTTCTGTCTTCCGTGTCCTATAAGCACGAACACGACTTTCGTTTCCCAGGAGCCAAACCTGCAAGATGGGCGATTTGCCTGTCGAGATCCGATACGCAACCGAGCACGACGCTTATGTCTTGGGCGAAATTAACATCGCCGCCTTTACGGATTCTCTGTTTATCCCCAACGTCTTCCCAGAAGCCGATACCTCCTCACTCGCCGCTTTCAAGCGGCTCAATGCCCTCCAGAAACTCACAGACCCCAAGGTTCACGTCCTAGCGGCTGTAGAACCCACAACGGGCGCAATTGTCGCTTACTCGCGGTGGGAAATCCCCGTACGATGGCCATTTGAGCGGCCGGCAGTCGAGCTCAGTCCGGAGGCAAAGAAAGCGGCGGCGGAGATGATGGAGCGGGCGCCGCAGCCGATGAATAAAGATATTTTCGAGGCTTTCAAGGCGCTCTTGAAAAGCAAGAGGGAGAAACATCTTCGGGAGGGTGACATTAGTACGTATTGCTCCTCGACATCATAACTGCTGGTTTCACCGGAATGGTTGGTTAACGTCGTTCCATCAGCATTGGATATGCTAGCCGTCTCGCCCGGACACCAAGGCAAGGGAATTGGCTCCAGGATATTGAAATGGGGGATCGAGAAAGCGGATTCTGTTCAGACCCGAATTTACCTTGAGGCCACGCCTGAGGGTTATCCGTTGTATTGCAGGCGGGGGTTCAAAGTGATTGAAGAAATCAGCATAGATTACGCTTATTGGGGGGGAACAGGAAAGCAGAGCTTCAATTTGATGATCAGAGAGCCACAGGGAGGTAAGCCTTAGTCGCAGAATTCTGTTGACTGTCGAAATGATGTTGCGGTAATGTAGAAGCCCTAGCCATGAATACATCTGGGCCACCTACTGCCTGATTATCTCCGTAGCAGCAATGGAGTACAGAAACATAATCTCGTAAAGGCTTATCTGCAGCGTCCACGCCACGACTCATATTGTGGTAGTTACCCGCATGGTACAGGCGCAGTGTCTATCAGACTCTCACCGGTTATCCCAGCGTCAGCATTGACACACTGGGCATCAACAGATCTCCGCGGTTGTAAATCATTTCATGTATTGATAGACCATTAAATCAGGAGCAGCCAACCCTCAGCTCACCCAAATATTGAGCGATATTATCTCCATAACCCCAGACGCTGCATCCCGCCGACAGCGGAAATGGCTGGCCGAGTTCATCTTCGAGTATTTACCCTCCTTTTCCCAAACCTCCGCCGTGCCGATGATGACGAATTCGGTAGACTGGTTTCCGAAGGGGAACATCTTGGTGGGTCTATGAAGGCGTCGTGAGAGGGAGGCCCACGACTTCTGATGTAAGGATCGTACAGCTAGGATAGAACGGGAATCGCAGTTAGCTGACACGAGTCCTTGGGGATTATAGAATTAGTCTGCTTACCCTCTCGCCCATGAATCTGGACGCCATTGGGGGCCGTTATAACCGCGTCTTCGGCGAAACACTGGGCACATTCATCCTGGCCTCCGCACGTGTCGAACGCGGCGTAATATCGACCGATGAGGCCTTTGATGTCTTCATGAATCTGGACATTGTCCGGGTATTGGAGGGAATGCTCGTCTTCTGCCAGCATCGTGGTTATTGTTGGATGGAGATGAGAACACGGTGAACGCGGGGAGGAAGAGGATGAGATGCTTGCTGCAGGTTGTAAGCAGATATCCCTGCATGGAGTATTGGATTGGCTGAGATCTATCTCTCAGCTGCCAGACCTAGCGGGCTGTACCATCTAAATATTGACTATCACACCGTATCAACAAGTGTTTTGTCCTGTTGCTCTTTTCTCTTTCATATTGCTCTCACCGGCCCCGATTGCTGCGCTGAGCAAGAAGAGCCCAAACGGGGAGGCTGTCTTGCTTGACATCTGCAATCCTCTGCATGCCCTGAATCACACCATTCAATCTCCATCTGCAACCCGATATGCCATGAATCAGCGTCAACCTGATTAGAAGCACCATGACCGCCATGATCTGGTTGGCAAGACTCACCATCCAGGGTCACCACATGGCGCACTGGTAAAGTCACCGGTGGGGAGGACATGGATCTATCAGACATGGATCTGTCAGGAGCACATTAGCGATGATACTGTGCGGCGTGTGGATTGTAACAGCAGCGCCAGAGGGGGTTAGAACCAGTGCTTTGCACGATTTTCTGCAGCAGTCTTTCCCTGGAGGCCTTAGGTCAGTCAATCCATACCGGCCTGGGCTTTACGTGTTGTAATCTGGCATGTGGAGGCTGAGATCAACATGGAAATAGCATTTGTGAAGGCCCATAGTACCAATACAAGGCCTGTAGAGTCTACTCTACCTGGTAATATGGGTCTGTCGGAGAAACTAGACAGTCAGACGAGGCACGCAATGCGGCGTTCGGCCTAGAACCCATCAACTCAATGACAAAAGACCCTGCACTCTGGATACAAGGCTGAGGATATCCTGGGGACGTCTTGATATACGAGCAGGAGAGGTGGTCATGATCTGTACACCAACCACCGTCGTACAGGGCTACGGCATGACGGAACTTACAAGTGCTATTATCCACGTCCCTGGTGGTCGTCACGATGAGTCCGGCAGCGTTGGTCTGCTCAACCCCAACTGCGACTGTCGGATTCTGGACGAGGACGGGAATCCGGTATCACCGGGTCCGCCGGGTGAACTGTATGTTCGAGGACCGAATATCTGTCCGGGCTACTGGAAGAATGAGCAGGCCACGAAAGAGATGCTGGACCAGGAGGACTGGCTGAAGACGGGCGATGTTGTCGTTCTCAGGGACGATCTGTTCTGGGTCGTCGACCGCAAGAAGGAACCGGGCAAGGTTAATTCTCCACAGGTCTCTCCGGCTGAACTGGAGGCTGTGCTGCTGGAGCATGATGGTATTGCTGATGCCGGGGTGGTTGGGATTACCATCCAGGGCCAGGAGTGGCCACGGGCATACGTACGGCCCACGGAGGACAAGGTCGGCGCGTTGTCTGAGGTCCAGGCCCAGGAATATGTGAAGAGAAACGTTGCGAAACATAAGCAGTTAGTTGGGGGTGTCAAGTTCGTCAACGATGTGCCTCGACTGGCGAGTGGGAAGATCCAGCGCTCAAAGTCCTCAGGGAATGGGCTAAGCAGGATGCACTCGGGACGCATGCAAAGCTCTAGATTGCTTCCTTTGCTCAGTTGATAGCAGCAATTGATTAGACGCATTCCTTCTAGCCATGGTGTCTATTGGATCAAACAACGGCGAACTCATTCAAAAGTCTAGCTTTTGGAAAGCCCTCTCCATGTATGTCCAAGTACTATCTTCCTGCTGAATATATACACCATTCTCACCCCAGGAAGTAGACCAGTGCGATGCAGATGTCCATTCCGCGCATTGGCCTGTTCGTCCAACTGTCCGACCCCCAGTTTCTCACCAGGTTAAAGTGTGATATACCTCCTGCGCTAGAAGTCGTAGAGATCCGACTCTTCATTCGGGCTGGGTTTCGTCGGACCATGTATGTTCGACAGATCGTGCCGGCTGTATCCAGGATGAACCCCATGATGAAGAGGGTTCTGCCATCGTCTGAGAATCGCAGGCTGTTCAAAGTCGAACCGCACGCGTTAAAGGCAGGTCTGATCCGGAAATTGGGACTCTGCACGTCAGTGCTTCGCATTACTTGAGAAAAAAGCCTTGGTCAAGACCCGCGCTGGCCAGAAGAGAAACGATTCCGTGTAGCAGGTATAGAAGGCGTCAAGGAAGGTCGTTGCTGCATGTCTGCACGTCCGCGAGAAGGAAAGATGGCTCCCTGCAGCGCTATTTTATGGCTTATGGCTTCTTTAATATCTGACAGGGCTTAGACCTGCAGGGCGTCGGATCATACTGTGTCTGTAGATGCACAGATGCAAACACTGCCCTCGCGATTCCGCCGTCTGCAAGCCGCTGGTTTCGGTTCGGCACGACGACAATACATCCAGTGCGTTTGCAACTGCTCTTCTTTTCCTGTTTATGCGCTCTCCATATTGGACGATATTCCCCGCGCTGCCTTTCTGATGGCATCACCACCGGCGCTTCTATATGAGTGTCGGGCGCTTGCGGGCTTCCGATCATTCGTTCTTCAGCTTCCACCGGCAGCGGTTAGGTGCATATACTGTATTTTCTTTCTTTGTCGAGATTGGGCACAGACGTGCTTCTCCGTATCACAAACGCTGGGCGTCACTTTGATATATGCAAAAGCTCCCATCGAGGCGCCGTGAAGCGACACTTCACGGAATCCAGCCCAATGATGCTGCACTTTGCCCAACCTCTGCAGAAAATAGGATCATATCTCTGCACTTTCCCACCGGATTCTTTATGGGATTCCCCCGCGGTCGTTGCTTGGCCATGTGTGACGTGCCTGCTGGTGTCTTTTTACCAGGTGTTGTCGGCTCATATATTAATCATCGCGAGGCGCCAACTGTTCTCTAGCAATCGTATTCTCTGCCATCATTTCAATTCTTTGTTTCCGCCTCTGGTAGGCGAGTTTGGTTTGGAGCTTTGATGTCATACTTCCTCACCTGGCGTGGGACATGCATGTCGTTCATTTGAACTTGGTTATTACCTATTCATTTCGTGCATAGTGCGGGACACATTGGCAGACAACTTTTCTATTAATCATTTAACCATCAAAAGCAAAGAACAGCCAGCTGGGCTGGGGTTCATAATGGCCAACTCTTCCCGGTCTAGACTGGCACGTCGGGCTTCCCTCATGCGGCCCCGAAGGACAGCCCTGAGTACTATAATGGAGGACGCATGGGAGATGCAGCATTCAGGGCTGGATGGAGACGGAGCCTACGGTCTTCCTCTACCTTCGAATACCTCACTCAGTCGCTTGGCTCCTTCGCTATCACAATGCCCGCCGGACGGGTTTGCCGAGCTATATGATGCGACGGAGAGTGAGGGAGAGAGTGACGATGACATATCCAGTCCTCGTACTCGATCGACGAGTCTAACTGCATCGATCACACAGTCTTCCGTGAGCTCAGTGGGCAGTCGAAGGCATTATCCGAGTCTCCAGATACCTACTACTGCGCCGCAACACGCAAGCGTCTCAAAGACCTCGCCTCTCCCGCCGAGTCCTCCACCGAAGATACCTATATCTCCGGCAGCTCTCTCGATTCTTGGGTCTTCGGTACCAGCTTTGAATGCTCCTCCTTCCTTGGATGGTAGTATGTCTTCGGATCAGATGTCCAATCTCACGGCACCTTCAACTCCGGATATGCATGCGGCTCCCGAAATCAGTCTTCCTCCGCTGGACGAGAATGTCGATGGAGACAATGCCAATCCCCGGGGAGACTGGCGAGCGTTGCTCGAAAGTTTCCCTCCAGTCCCTTCTTCAGATGACTCTCAACCTACCATTCCCTCTTCCGAACGTGTAGAGCCGCTGCAGGATCTGACGCCATCCGAGAGACCATTATTATATCTTCCCAAGAATGCTCTGGAAATGCTAAACCGCATTCGCCCCGATATCACACCGGACCCTTTGACAGGAACGTCCGAGAAGCATGTCGAAATGTGGCAGATTGAGTGTCCTCCTGGGCATCCGGGAACAGCTGATATTGATTCTCCTCTCTCAGAGTATTCTGCTCCAAGCCTTACCAATTTGAGTATTCCATCACCAGGTGGATTCTTTGCCTCTCTCGAACCCAGAGCTCGTCGCGCGTGGTCCTTTCCCACCAAGAAAGATCACCCATCGACCGCTGACGCTGAGAGGTTTTACGACTTACCATGGGACAGAAGCAACGGCGACATCGTAGAGCAGGTTATCGACTGCCCTGAGCGGTCAAATACAGGCCAGCAGTTGACAGCAATCTATCGCCCAGATGAGCCTCAAACTGCGTTCAGGATGCCCCCTATGTTCGATCCCCAACCCGCTGGAGTTGTAAAAGGTGCACAAGCCGCCACTGCCGACAATGCCGTCGTGGATTCCGTGGAATGGGATGCCATGTCGTGCGAATATGATGAGAACTACGAGTCACGACTAAGGTATCGTGCACTGGCTACCCTTGACTTGACAAGGCAGTGGCTTGCACAGCAGGTACTCCATTGTGCCAGCCCAGGTGAAGCCGACCCGCAGGCTGAGAATGAAGAGGAGGATGCTAAGGCCGACTTATTGGCAGGAGGGTCCTCACAAGGGTTTCCGGAGTCGGCCTCAAAACAGTCGATTCACGCTGGCAATACTCTTGAGACACTACCAGGTCCGCCATCATCACTCCCCGATATAAAGCACAGGAACTCGATATATTTGCGAGGTCTTCGATTTCTTTGCGATCATTCTAGCAACCTGGACCCTTTCCTGCACCGTGGCACTCGTTACGACGCTATCCAATCCGCCCGATCTGCTCTAGTTGATACGCATATCAACAGCTTGCTGGGAAGATATGTGCTAATCCAGCATGAGCGTCCACCCTATAGGGGTCCTTTCTCGAAGTCTCCACGTCAAAATACCGGTGAGTCGGTCGTCGCGGACAGAGCCCAGTTTTCCAACCTGTCCAAGGAGCAGTTCGTGCTTGCACAACTCCAAGAAGCAGTGTGGGCAGTTGACGCGCTCAAGTACCTGCAGCGAGGTAGCTTGATTACGAGTCCAGTGTCTCTACTTCTTAAAAGAGCAGTCGTCCCGGGAAAGGCCAGTGAACGACCGCAAAGGCCAATACGTGTGCTCGACCTGTGCGGACATGGATCTTGTGAATGGGGATGGCGACTGGCTCTTGAGTATCCGAATATTGACGTCTACACCGTCTCCACCAAGCCTCAAGCGGCCAACAATGCGATCAGAGGGCCACCTAATCACCGACATATTTGCATCTTGCATCCATGGAAGCTACCGTTTGGCGATAACAAATTCGACCTAATATCAACGCGCTCACTCCACTCCGCACTAAAGACCACCCATCCTGCCGGCGAGGTTGCAGACGAATACGACTTGTGTCTCAGAGAGTGTCGTCGCTGTCTGAAACGGGGGGGATATCTCGAATTCCTCATCATGGACGCTAGAATTTGCCGTTCTGGATCCTCGGCATCAGCTGTGTCGATCAAGTTCGCATCGGAACTAGAGAAATGCGGCTACGATGCAGCGCCGACGAGGAACTTTCTCTTTCGCTTGTACAAGGCACGCTTCATCGGGATTAAGCGTGCCTGGATATTTCTCCCTATGGGGACAGAGCGTTCTGCACCCGAACCTTGCAGAGATGGCCCACTGCACGTCTCTTCCGGCGATATGAGCCAGTCCGAAACAGTTCAGCCCCCAGTTGGAAGCACGGCCGACGTCGCAAGTGTGACAGGTCTCCTAGGAGGATGGATGTGGGAACAGTGGCTTTTGAAGCTGCAAATGGAGATGGGCCGGGAGCGCGCGAAGTTGCTCGAGGGCATGGGAAGTTTCTTTTATGAGGGCCGTAGAAACGGCGCTGGATGGACCTGTTTGAGTGGATGGGCGATGAAGCCTCAACGAAAGAGACGATGATTGTATACGGACACATGAAGCATGGGTTACGGTGTAAATGGTTGATGAAATCCATCTTGATGAAGGCATGCATGGAATAATTAGTACTACTCTTTGGAATGCATGCATTGATATATTAGGGAAATTCATACCACACGATTTCTTTCGCGTGCCTTTACATGGAATATAATTTGCTCATGTTGATAGGGAACTCTTCAATTAAAATAGTAAGAATCGATTTGACGAATAATCAATACAGAGTGACATGGGAAACATGGTATCTAGCGTTTGCAAATGCCGGTGAACAGAAGCAGTTTTCAAGTCCATTCTCATAGAAAATCATTATTGTAAAAGAGAATGGGGAATGTCCAAGAAAAAGGAAATATAGCGAAGAATAATCAATTTCAAATTCATATTCGATCAATCCTCCATAGTAGTACTCGCTTTGCCATTATCCTTTGGATCCTGCTTCTGGGAAACTGCTTCGGAAGACGATTCTGCTTGTTTACTATCGGCCGGCTCAGTTGTGGATTTTAGTTCTTTTTTGGCTTCGCACTGCATCTTCTTTATCCCATGTTCCGCTTTCATCGACTCGACCGTAGCCGAGGGATCCTCGGAGATCGATTTCCTGATATCACTAGCAACCTTGGCTTGTTCATCAGCGGACGTCGCTGACACAATCGACCCACGGTGATGTCCCACAAGACCCAAAGTCTCTGCATTCTCCGCACGGAAATTCGCAGACGATTGAGCTGCGGCCTCAGACGCGAGGGATGGTCGCTCGAGTTCAGGAGCCGGATTGACGGATCCCCGTCGTTTGGTACTTGATCCACCGCTCTGGTCCTCTTTCTTTTCGCTGTCCGCAGAAGGTTGTACCGTAGTAGACTGGCTCTGGCTTTCCGTGTCCTTTTTAGTAACTGCAGTTGAACCCAAACCCGCCTTCGCGCGTGTACTCTCCTTGGCTTTGGATGCAGCATCTGCTCCAGCTTGACGTAATGCCAGAGATATCTGGTCATCCTTCCTTTCGGACTTTGGCGGTGGAGACTGGATTTTGATCGTGCTTGGTTTAGGAGGGGCGTTTTCCGCAGCTATAGCGGTGGCAGTTGATGTCACATTGCTAGGAGTGGAGGTAGAAGGAGTGGAGGTGGAGGTATTAGAGATGAATCCCTCAAAATCCTGGATACTATCAATTTGCATTCTGAGTTCACCATATTCGTTCCATTCTTCGATCTGGTCTAGATCCTATTATTGAAGTTGGGTCAGCTGTGGTCCAGGGATTCGAACAAAAAAGGCAGGTAACGAATAATATATATGTACCCCAACGATAGCCCCAAACTTCACCAGACCCGGCAACTTCCTGCCCTTTGATCGTCGTCCCCAAAGCTGTCTCGCCTTGTCATCGGTTGCAACATCGATTGCACGGAAAGGGATTCTATTGCCCTTGAGGATGCTCTCTAGACGAGCCGTGGCGGTGAAGATATGGGACGACCCCGCGGTCAGGGAGGTGTAAAGATAAAGGGTTGGATCGGACATTTTGTTGGTCGGCTCAACCAGGAGCCCCGATAGATCTGATGAATCGAAAGAATGGCAGATTGTCTTGGGGAAATGAGGAATAAGAAGAAGAACAAACACAAGCACAAGAACAACTGCAGAAACGGCGTTGCAGAATGACGTGGCAGGCGTTGCGATCACGTGGGTCTGTCCTCGCAACTTTGAAACATCGGGTAGATCCAACCGCAATTCGACCATGTACGATGATTCCCTGCTGCAAAGGCGAAACTCACGCACCCAAACCGGTCGTCCATGATATCTCTGGCCCTCCAAGCCAATGTATAATGGTAACGGATCCGGAGATCGCAACTAACGTCAGAATGCGCATTGACGCCCAGTTTCCTCCACTGGTATCGCTGTGGACAATGCTTTTCCACTCCTGGGGTATGAGGTTAGGTTCAACTTTGAACAGGGGAGAGACATAATGGCTCTCTTCATCTGGTGGAATGCAGCATTTTGTGGCCACTCATAGGGCGGATAGAAACTCAACTGAAATAATTGCATCTTCTGTGTGAACACAGAAACTTTGGAAGACTTGCTGGGCTTTGTTGTCATCATAAAAATATCAGGAGCAGCCCATTCTGGGGGTCTGTCATTTGTATGCATGAAATCTTTGATAGTTTCAATATCCATTGCATTTTGTCGCCATAACAACCACATAATCGTATCCCTCCGCAGCTATCCAACAAAAGTCCCAACTGGTGAAGTCAATCCATTAACTTAAGACCAGATGATGTCTTCAGTCAAGTAGTGAGTAGCGCGCTGCTGGAGAGCTTTCTGCGCTGCATCATCAGAAGAAGGATGATAGTGAAAGCTCATCATTCAGTAAATGGCGGAAGTACCTGATATATTATGACAGCTGATCAGGTGCCTACCTGTAGGTACTTAGGTAGTATTTAGTAGTATTATACATGCTGTTACATTGCAGACAGACAATACTTATACAGATGCTGTCTATTTGTTTTCTGGTTTGTGCATAATTATGATACTCCAGGAGTACCGGTAGTTATTTGTAATGCATTGTTAACATTGCTGTCAGGTGCAAATTACGAGCCATTTCTGTTTGACATGTTTGGTCATGCTCTTGGTGGAAAGACGACGGTTGGTGGCTATTTGTGACTAGTGGGCCCAGAGTGGAGCCTGTGGTGGATCTCTGGTAGGGCTGGCGGCCGATAGTCTCCTCCGGACTGGTCTCCACCCCCATCCCTGTGGCCCGTCGGCTTACCCCTTCTGGTAAAATCACGCACCGCCGCTGTGGCGTGGCCATGTATGATTGGTTATTAAGCGCTCATCGATATTAGAGATATTACACTTACCCTATCCGGGAGGTTGGTAGTACCTGGCCTCTCCCTATCCGTACCTAGCGGTAATTATGGTACGGTACGGTCACGTCCGTGGAAGGGCTGACCTCCTGGCTTGGCGCTTCTCTCCGTCCTTTCCATCCTCCGTTTGGAGTCTCTCCCTCTCCCTCTCCGGTGTCCTTTCTCGCTCCGTTCCATCTGCCTCTTCCTTACGCATTGCATTGAAGATTGATACATTCTGTCTCTGGTATGTCTTTCCTATGCTCCCCGTGATGGCTCAATGAACCCATCGTCTTGTCCACGCTTTACGCGCCATCATTATTCTAACCTCCGCGGTCGCCTACAGAATCCAATCTTCTACCATCGCCATGTCTTACCAGCAGCCATACCCTCCTCAGCCTGCGTAAGTGCTCGACTGCTGCCCGCTGAATTCGATAATCTGGTGTCTGACCTTCCGCGCATTATACAGTTATGGAGGAGCTCCTCCGCCACCACCTCAGGATTACTATCCTCCTCCTCAGGGTTACGCACCCCCGGTACGCATCAGATTCTAATGCCATGCGCGCATCTACAGTCCCCGCACTTTTGCAGTCAGCTAATCTCTTTTCTTCGATGTATCTAGCCCATGGCCTACCAGCAACCTCAGCAACCACCGCCGCAATCCAACGATAGAGGGTGCTTGGAAACTTGGTATGCGACACATTATTGCCTTCTTTTTGTTAATTATGCATACACTAACTCCGTTCCTATTCTAGCCTTGCCACAATGTGCTGTCTCTGCTTGTGCGAGGCATGCTGTGATCTACTCTGATGTAACACCGCTAATCAGCAACAATGAATCTCCGATGGTACACACTAATTTCGGCTTGTTGGGTTAATTGTCCTGGATCTAAGAAGCGCTGGAAACTTCGCTTCTCATTTTATCTCGTATAATTGGCAGCCGGCCCTACATGACCGACTGCCTTATCTGTGATTTCTTTCCCCAGAATGCATGCAGCCGCGGCGGCTATTGTATTTTATGGTACTCTAGACATTATCCTATTATATTGTTTTGGTAATTTGTGAATTACTTACGCACTGCTCTCCCGTTCTCCTTGTACTGTACTCCGTCTTTCGACCACATCTTGCATAATGGAGCTTTATATATGTGAGGGACGCCTTCAGGAACCAGACGGCAATAGCCAGTAGAGGAGACTGGGCCTGTTGAAAAGTAGAGCAGAGAACAAAGAGTTCTTGTATATCACGTGTAAGCGTGGGAAGATACCCAGACCGCGACAACATAGAGAGAACAATGTCTACGCTGCAACATTCCCCTGAATTCAATTGCACACCGGTTACCAGAAGATCTGCTTACATTTAGATAAATTCAAATCAGCACTTAGCAGCTAACGATGACAGCAACGACAACAACACCGCTGCCTTCGAAAGCAGCAAATCCCACTGGCCCTTGTCCAGCGGTGCGCAGCTACCTTTTGCCATTAATGGTGGACATCATTCAGTTTTAGTCAGTTATCCCTTCCGTCATCGACTTTTGATGGAGGTTAAAATAACCAAAAAATCCAGAAATAAGTTTATACACAGGTCTTGTGCACACCGAACTTTACTCGCGGAAGGACTCTGCATCGCACTTCAATCCTTCGGTGAAAAGATGGGCAGCGGGCATGCCCAGAGATACGAACCGCCGCCAATCACCGGTCCAGCCTGTCAATCCTTCCACAGGATACTCCGTCTATGCCCGACGGGCGTTTTGGGCTTCGTGCTGAGGCTTGGCTGCTCGGGCCTATGACATGGACGCACGGAACTGCAACATGCCGGATTCGATGGAACTGCAGGGATCCTGCGGATTGCACCGGTACGCATTCTGCTGACAACAGCGCCATACGCCCTTGTCCGGGGCCCTGGCTTCGCAAGCCAGGGTGAAAACTGCAGGGCGCTGGGCGAAAAGAGGCTGTGACTGTCACTAGTTGACTTTCTCGCTGACATGGCACTAGAGGCGTCCATCGTTTCTGTCAAGGATCTCCCTGTCCGACAACGTTCGACAGATATTGGATCCTGCCATTTTTTATCAGCCGCAGGCTAATTTAGTTGACCTTCTACCTGGTGTTCGGTTGTATCCATTCGGTCCTATAGATCTCTGCACTCCAATGAACATATTTGTAAGTCGGTGCGTTGCATGCGACACTGATTCCAACTCTGCCTCTTGACTGCCTTCGCCTCAGCCAGGCAAACTAAATGTGGCGGCCATGACAAATTTGGGACACCAGTGGTGCTTGGGATAATGGGGTACCCTTCACCCGTTTCTTACACCCTCCCGATGCATGCAAGGGGGTGTCCACCTGGTTGGTTAGACCCTGGTCGGCACGCTGCTGATCTTTCGCATTATCGTGGGCATTGCGGCTCAAGATCGTATCCTTCTCTGACCCTCTCCCCAGGAAATTATCAACTGGGAATTGGATCCGCGTATATAATGTCAATGGTCAGGCCGATAATTCTCCTACGCCTGCTGGGAAATAAACCACGCCATGCTGGCTACTTTTTTCCTTCCTCTTTCTCGTTACTGCCATTGACTAGAAAGCTGGACTGGAAGCTTTGCCACCCGGACTATTCTATTACGACATCATCTAATATACATTTATTTTCCTTTTTAAACGTACGTTTGACTTTACGTCCCAATGGATCACTTTCAGCATTCAACGTTCTTGGAATTTCCATATACCCATGTCCATCCTTTTTCGGGGAGTTACCTGGACTCGGATGCCACTCAGACCATGGACACGAACCAGACGGAGAAGGCGGTTGGGCATTCGCATCATTGTACACTGGATTCTGTTGGCAACGGCGGCTACATATTTTCCGACGCATCCAACTCTCTCCATATGGCTGGGAAAAGCACAACGCATGACCAGGTTCTTTTGCAGCGGATCAAGCACTCCCCAAATGGGATTGACTTACACTATGCCTTGAATTCAGACGACTTCATGCCGGCGTATCGTATTGGAGGATTCCCAGGCGGAGATATGCGCGAGCTTGCTCATGGCCTGCCGTTCCTGGACGGATACTCTATGTCAAGTGGAGGCTGGAACCGTGCCTCAATATTACCATCATCTCCTCCGTATTCAGAAAGCGATGCATCGCTTAGTCCACGGAGCAGCTATCTGGACAGTGCCACATGCTACCCCCCGTTAGATGGGAGATACTACGACGAACCTGATCAGATGTACCAAACACCTGACTATTCGGTGGCTCTGTGTCAAGTCCAGAGTCATCCTGACATGGCGTCTGATATCAGTACAGTCGGCGAATGCAATAATACCGGTGAAACAGAGAGCAGTAAGGTGTCTGCCATATCAAACACACAAACCCCTCCTGAATCTCTCGTCAAGCATGGACGGATGTCTCGTCGAAGCAAATCTGGGCGACCATCGCCCAACCGCGTCGTCAAGAAACGCCAGTCTTCATCTCCAAAAATCGCCACAAATAGCAATAACCAGTCTCCCACACGAGTTTTCACTTGCAGTTTCTCCCATTACGGGTGTCCCAGTGTCTTCGTCTCGAAGAACGAGTGGAAGCGCCACGTCACATCCCAGCACCTCCAACTAGGATTCTACCGATGCGATGTGGGCGCGTGCAACGTCCGCAACCAAAGACCCCCAAGTCCGACATCCACAACTTCTAACAAGGGGAGCCCCAAAGCTAGACATACCAACGACTTCAACCGCAAGGACCTCTTCACACAACACCAGCGCCGCATGCACGCCCCATGGTTGGGCAGCAGCACGCGCCAACCAGCATCGCAAAAGGAGCGCAATGATTTCGAGCGAAGCCTGGAACAGGTGCGGCGACGATGCTGGCACGAGCAGCGTCGACCACCAGCACAGAGTCAGTGCGGGTTCTGCGCCATGTTCTTCTCGGGCCCACGCAGCTGGGACGAGCGTATGGAGCATGTCGGACGGCATTTCGAGCGGGACAAAGCAGGCGCTGTGGAGAAGGAGGACGTTCTCCTCCGCGAGTGGGCGATTCATGAGGGGGTCATTCGCCTGGGAGAGGATGGGGAGTTGAAATTGACCTATCTTCTTGAGAGTTAGTCTTGCTTCCACTCTTCTTTTATTTCTTATCATATTTCTTGTTCCTGCTATATACAAGCGATGATACCAGGTTTCTTTCCAGTTAGATGATTGTTAAATATGCGTGATATCCTATCCCCTGCCTTGATCTATGATTTGTGCAGTGTTTTGGTGTAAAATTCCGGGTCTCGATCTATACATGTACATACAGTATATATAAGAAAGTAGAAATGACATGAAACAGTATCGAACATTTAGAGTCGAGGTGAAGAAGAAACATTCCATGTAGCAAGAAAGAGGTCTAATTTGGCGGTGGGAAGATCGCTGTCTTCATGCGATTCTCGCTATAAAGTTATGGATGGCGATATCAGTCCTATTGCTTGCATCTCTGCCGATCTGGCTGCAGATGGCCTTACTGAGCCGCTTCGCTTCGATCATTAACCTGGATAAATCTCATCAACATAATGAGATTAATTATCAGAACGTTACATTATTTACCTTTGCAGAGTTTCATGTATGACAGTTTTGGGCTTCCAATGCTCGGGTGAGAGGTATACTTCTGTGAAAGACGGGGTTTCAAGTTTCCAGATCGGGACAAGCGCCGGATTGTGATTACATAACATGTATGACACGTGCACTAGCCAGCCCGCGATCTAGCCCTTATCGCCTATTCGGGATTTCCTATTCGGATTCTCTTCTGACGTAGCCAGATCTATCCGCCCGCGATATCAACAAAGCCCCTCGGTGTGCAGTTTTCTCTCCCCCCTCCCGGTTGTTCTCGCAGAAAGGAAAGTCGTCACCTATAACCCACCGTGTCTTCAATACTACCCGTATCTTTTTAGATCTATCATAATGGGCCCTCCCGCTATCATTGCTCCCTCCATCTTGAGCGCGGATTTCGCGACTCTCGGGGCCGAATGCTCAGCGAAGATGCACGAAGGGGCAGACTGGTTGCATGTCGACATCATGGACGGCCACTTCGTTCCAAATATGACATTTGGAGCCCCAGTTGTGACTAAGATTCGATCGCACGTTGCACGGCCGTCACAGCCTCTTGGAACGGGAACGTTTGATTGCCATTTGATGATTATGGAGGTGGGTGCTGGAGTCTTCTGTCCCATTAATATTTCGCTAAATATGCTGCAAATATAGCCACACCGATGGGTCAAAGACTTTAAGAAAGCAGGCTGCGACCTTTACTGTTTCCACTACGAGGCTGCGGTTTCCTCCGTTGCTGCCACGGAACCTGCGGACAAGACGACAACGCGACGGACAAGTCCCAAGGAATTGATTCGGTATATCCACGAAGAAGGGATGCAGGCTGGTATCGCTATTAAACCTGACACGCCAGTGGATGTTCTGTGGGACATCTTGGGGAACAAGGAGGAGATTGAGAGACCTGATGTGAGTGCATGGCCATTTTCCGCTGGTCGATGGCTACCTTACCGACAACCATTCGTGGCTAATTTGTGCAGATGGTCCTTGTGATGACCGTCTATCCTGGTTTCGGAGGACAGAAATTTATGGCATCGGAATTGCCCAAGGTCAAAGCCCTACGTGAGCGATACCCGAACCTCAACATTGAGGTAGACGGTGGCCTCGGCCTGGGAACAATCGACCAGGCAGCCGACGCTGGTGCGAACGTGATTGTGGCCGGTTCAGCGGTGTTTGGTGCCCAGGATCCTAAGGATGTGATCGCAAAGTTGCGTGAGGCGGTAGAGAAAAGAAGGGGCTAACGGCGGCCAGATATTTTTTGCAGAGGGGACACTAGCATAGTACTTTATGGGCTTTACGGGGGATCTGTGGCAACCACCGATTTGATCGTGGCGATGCCAGGACATTTAATGTCCACGGCTGGCACTCCGTGGTGTTGTAGCACTTGGTAGAGGCCTCACTGGGACACCCTAAGAGTAGTGCTTTAAGATGCCCGGTGTCTTTGGGATATCTCAGCATGAGCATCGAAACGTAGATACCGAATAAATCTGGCATGTTTAATTCTCTTTCCAGTACAAGAGCCAAATGCAACAGCATATCCTGTGGATGTGTCAAAAAGAAGGCAACTTGATAACTAAGCAGACCGTACCCTTTCCACCATGTAGGCCTCCATTAGTTAGTTAACCTCATCACGTGATAATTCAACGTCCCGCCGAGGAAGCGCCTTGGACTGTGAGCAAAGAAAGCGGAAGCTCAATTCCTCCAGCGTACTACCCGGCCCTTCATCGATTCTCTCATTGCCTTTATCGAAGGGTGTCTGTATTGTTTGGTCTGTTACGAAGATACCAAAGGCGATGCAAATTTCCTAGATAACACATACTTTGCCCCTCGTTCTACACCGAGACCATGCTCTTCTTCAGGTATTGTGATGCGATGTGCCTGTTTGATCCTTAAGAAGCTGCTCGAGCCTGGTGATCTAATCTGAATATTTTTACCGCGCAGTTTCTTCAAGACCCTCACCAATCAGACCGTGACTGTCGAGCTCAAAAATGACATTCGTATTCGAGGCACTCTGAAATCGGTCGACCAGTACCTGAATATCAAACTCGACGATGTCGATGTTCTTGATCTAGACAAATATCCTCATCTTTCTTCTGTGAAGAATATGTTTATCCGTGGTAGCGTTGTGCGTTATGTTGTGCTGCCGAGGTCAGAGGTCGATGTTGGACTACTAGAGGATGCGACAAGGAGAGGTACGTGGTGCTTTCGTTTGGGGCTTCTCGGTTTCCTCATATCTTTTTGCTCCTTTCCCTATTTCCTCCCCTTTGATGATTACCAGGGTCGTTATGGGATGCTTATGCATGGATGCAGAAGCCGCCAATCAAGCCGGGAAAGCTCGATAGTCCATTCAATGTGCGATGTCTGAACCTACGCCAATTACTCCCTTCTTGTTCCTTCGCGCGATATGGATGTTACTGTTGGCCTAGACGCAGAATACATACGGGCCTTTTCTACGGGTCAATTACACGGATGAGAACAATAATGGGAATCAAACTGGCCATGATGGAGGGAACAGGGATACGTCCGTATCGGATGATCACCTACTGATGGGAAAAGGCATGCAATGGGATGGGATTGAAGGTGTGGACTGTACTCCCATGTAGGGAGAACTATACGTGTGCCATGCAGCTACTCCAGCTCGAGTCATATATTTTGCTTGACCGGTCGGCCCGGGGATTGCACTGCGAGGTGTCGTGAACACCGTGTTGGATGGATATTCTTCGCTATGGAAAACAGATAGCTAGTTGTCGGGTCGAGCGTGGACCCGATGGTCGTAAAATCTTTTGAATTTCACGTTCAAATGACCCTCAAATCCCACCCGAGTAGACAGCACTCTTAGCAGTTGGAGATGCCTTCCTTGTAGGCTTTTCTCTGGTGCCTTTTGCTGAACCGGATGGTTGATTCTGCACGGAGCCAAGCTGACTGGCTCGGGAATACCAACGGTTCCACCGATGCTTCTTCTGAGGTTTTCCAGCATCATCTTATCTTCCTTTCTCTACATGCACAGACTACCAGAATCTACGACAGCAGAGCAGCGATGTCTATAAGGAGATCTCCGGATATTACTCCTTTATCATATTGATTATGTTTATTACACTCCAAACAGCCGCCATCGCATTACGGTAGCCCTCCCGGACACGTCCCTCGCGTCTAGTACGCGTACCTCCGCGCTCATCGCCCTCGGAGTAATCGAACAAGCCGTGAGAAAAAAAAAAAAAAATGGTCGGCACATATCCCAGAAAAGGCTTCACTCCATCCAGGAATGCGAGATCTGTGCCCGTCAAACGCAACACAAGTATCTTGAACTTCTTCCAGAAGACAGACGGCCCTCCCGCACCGACCTCTCGTCAGCCGCGTATTACTCAGTTCACTACCAAGATTGAGCGATCGACTACCGTCAGTTTCGGGAAGACAGTTACTGGTGCTAATGAGACTCTGTTCCTGGAAGACGTAAGAAGTGACCCAAAACCGGGCGGAGAGAATACGACGGCCGAAGAACCTGAGAGAGCAAGGTCACGGACACCGGATTATTTTTGGGGAAATGGGGATAGTGACTCGTTATTTGAAACAGAAGAGAAAAGGTTCAATGAGAGCGATTCTGCGGTTAAGAGACGCAAAGTGGATGTGGAGGTTACAGGGGAGAACAGAAATGGATCCGATCTCAACTCCCCGAAGCCGCCAAAGCGTCAAAGGAGTGGCCCATTTATCGATGAGTCCGACAGTGAAGATGATTTTGGTGTGCTTAATGACATCGAGGAGCCATCCTTATCTATAACAAAGGAACAAGAACAGACTAGTGGAAGAGATCCCCCCGACAACAATAACCTGGAGACCAATGGACGAGGTACTGGACTCGACCCACCTTCGCTGGTAAGAGAAGCCACGAGCAATGTCGAAGATGACCAGTTTGCGAATTTTGACGATATAGAAGACGATGCATTCCAAGGAGACGAGTTTATAGAACAGCCATTGGAAAAAAACCAGATCGATAATACATATGACTCGGTGAACAATTCCCCTGCACTAAGTGAATGCGAAAAGGACCTTGGTGGTGGAGTGCCAGTTTGTCCTATATGCCAGACAATCCTGGTTGGGCTTGCAGAAGTGGTAAGCATGTTTCTCTTGACCTATTGACCATATCAGTTAAAGTATTGACTTCTCTCAGGATATTTCGGTACACGTCAATAAGTGTCTAGATGGAAAGCCTGACGCTTTTCCATCTAAGAAGAAACCCGTGACTTCAGCCAGTGCGCTAAGCGGTGCTGAACTAGCTGCTATTGCGAGACCACCACAGCGAGATCCGTATACTACAAAAGCAAGTGGGACAACTTCCGCCTTTTCAAAACTCATGGCAGCTAATGCGGAAGATACCGCCTGGGCGACTGCAGCGGCGCGTGAGGGAAGCTGTCGTGGCAAGCAGGCCCACCGGCGAACTTGTCCATTCTACAAGATAATTCCTGGATTTTCAATCAGCGTGGATGCGTTTCGTTACGGTGCCGTGGAAGGATGCAGTGCTTACTTCCTCAGCCATTATCACAGTGATCACTACGTGGGGCTCACATCGTCCTGGCGTCATGGTCCGATCTACTGCAGTAAAGTGACGGGGAACCTGGTTCGCCAGCAACTTAGAGTCGATCCCAAATGGGTTGTGGACATCGAGTTTGAGAAGAAAATAGAAGTTCCCGGAACTGGTGGTGTTCAAGTCACCATGATTCCTGCCAACCATTGTCCGGGAAGCTCGCTGTTTCTGTTTGAGAAGCCATTAGGCGATGGCCCATCTGCCCGAATTCAACGAGTACTTCACTGTGGGGATTTTCGAGCTTCCCCTCGTCACTTACAGCATCCACTTCTCTGTCCCGAAGTTCCCGATCCCGCGACAGGCAAAACCCGACAGCAGAAGATTGATGTTTGCTACCTCGACACTACATATCTCAGCCCGAAGTATGCGTTCCCTAGCCAGGAGGATGTGGTCGGCGCATGTGCGGACATGTGCGTACGCCTTAACCAGGATGACAATGACAGCCCTGCGCCATGGGAGGCGGGGAAGGCTGGTGGTACTAGCAAAGTTATGAGCAAGTTCTTCTCCGCGATGGCCGGTTCTGCGGAGTTCAAGAATAGACTACCTGGCTCTCGTGGTCGACTACTCGTGGTTATCGGGACATACAGCATTGGGAAAGAGAGAATATGCCTTGGCATCGCGCGGGCGCTGAACTGCAAGATCTATACCACTCCTCAAAAGAAACAAGTGTGCGCATCTCTGGAGGATGAGGAACTTCTCTCTCGTCTCACCGATGATCCTCTAGAGGCGCAGGTCCACATGCAGACAATGTTTGAAATCCGTGCGGATACGTTGAAGGACTACCTTGACTCGATGAGGCCGCATTTCTCGCGGGTGGTGGGCATGCGTCCTACGGGCTGGAACTACCGGCCCCCTGCAGGGAGGACTTTGGATAATCCTTCTGTATCAATGGTTCTCCACTCTGATAACTGGAAGACGCCTTTCTCGGTGCGTGATATGGTACCTCATCGTGGCAGCACGAAGGAGAGTTCGTGTTTCGGAGTGCCATACAGCGAGCACAGCTCATTCCGGGAACTGACCATGTTCTGCTGTGGGTTGCACATCGGACGGGTGATCCCCACGGTCAATGTAGGTAGCAGGAAGAGCAGAGAGCAGATGAAGACATGGTTCGAGCGATGGGAGGCAGAGAAGAGGAAGAGCGGGCTCTTTCGCGTGGAGGGGGATCGATGGTAGAAGCTGTTTTGGATAAACTGCTTAGCTGTACATTCAATAGATCTATGCGAATAGAATAATCACTGTTGTAATCCCCCGACAAGCAACTGCCGTAAGATCAATAGCCCCGGCAAAGCCTCTTCTCGGGTCCATCGTTCGGCAGTGCGACATCCAGTCATTGTCGTTGCCGTCCACTCTCTGCAGCAAATCCCCGCATGGCGAACCTTCTGCAAGCGGGGAATAACCTTAATTTCATGCATAGACAAGGTTTTTGGGTTCTATGCTAGGCTTTGCTAGACTGCCGGTACCTGTGCGAAATCCCGAATTCGACATCCGCGGCGCCGGCTCACCTCGGGCTCCCCGTTCTACTCGATGAAGAATCTGACGCCGTTGGCGATGAGGATAAATACAGCCGCAGCACTGTCTATCTGCACCGAATCACTCAGAGATCAAGGCCTATTTGTCTCTTGTTTAGTGTATTCTGCAATTGAGTTCCGACAAAACGCGTTTGGTTCATCATGATTCTCTCAGTGCTTCTCTCGCCGTATGCCCTCGTCGCTGCCATTATCCTATATTACCTCGTTCCTTACCTGCAGAGATGGAGACTACGGGATATACCTTCCGCTGGAGGGGGTTTGGCAGCGTTCACTAATCTGTGGTTGTTGTACCAGGCGCGTAAAGGTCGACGGTACCTGGCCGTCGACGAGGCGCATAAGAAGTATGGAAAAATGGTCCGGATCCAACCAAACCACGTCTCTGTAGCAGACGATGCTGCCATCAATGCCATCTACGGGCATGGGAATGGGTTTCTGAAGACGTAGCTCCCCCCCTTCTTTTCATCCTTCCCAAAGATACGGTATGCTGACGGTTGCTTCAGCGAGTTCTACGACGCCTTCGTCTCCATCCGGCGCGGGCTGTTCAACACCAGAGACAGAGCAGAACATACCCGCAAGCGGAAGATCGTATCGCACACCTTCAGCGCAAAGTCCGTCGGCCAGTTCGAGGAGTACATCCATGCTAACATTGAGCTGTTCGTGAAGCAGTGGACGCGACTGTCCGATGGCGCAAAGGCCACCAACGGCTACGCGTCCATCGATGCCCTCAACTGGTTCAATTATCTTGCCTTCGATGTCATCGGGGATCTTGCCTTCGGCGCCCCTTTCGGCATGCTCGCGTCTGGCAGGGACATGGCGGAAATCCGGATGTCAGGAGACTCGAAATCCCCACCGTCGTATGTACAGGCCGTCGAGGTGCTGAATCGCCGTGGCGAGGTATCTGCTGCGCTGGGATGCTTACCGGTTCTGAAGCCATTCGCTAAGTATCTCCCCGACCGATTCTTCCGCGACGGGATCCAAGCTGTCGAGCACTTGGCTGGGATTGCCATCGCACGAGTCAGCGAGCGAGTGAAGCCCGAAGTCATGGAGAAGAACACGCGCGTCGACCTCCTGGCTAGGTTGATGGAAGGGAAAGATGCCAACGGTAATAAAATGGGCCGCGAAGAACTTACTGCTGAGGCTTTGACGCAACTGATCGCCGGATCGGACACAACGTCCAACACGGCCTGCGCTGCCTTGTACTGGGTATTGAAAACGCCTGGTGTCCTCCAGAAACTACGAATGGTCCTGGATGAAAGCATCCCTGCCGATGTCGAAGTCCCCAGTTTTGCTATGGTGAAAGATATTCCTTAGTATGTTTCGTTCCTTATGACTATAGTGAACTCCCGACTACCAAGACTAACCTTACAACAGTGTGCAATGGACCCTCTACGAGGTAATGCGTATGCATAACACCTCATCTCTCGGACTCCCTCGCCAGATCCCACCCGGCAAGCCCCCGGTTTCCATCTGCGGCCACACATTTTACCCCGGTGACATCCTGTCCGTACCAACATACACCATCCACCGCTCGCGCGAGATCTGGGGCCCCGATGCAGAATCCTTTGTTCCAGAACGCTGGGCTCCAGAACGACTGACAAGTCGTCAGAAGGCGGCTTTCATCCCGTTCAGCACGGGGCCGAGGTCCTGCGTCGGTCGAAACGTGGCTGAGATGGAACTTACTGTGGTCTTTGGAACGGTCTTCCGGTTGTTTGAATTTGCATCTCCCGTTGCCCTGAAGATGGATACGAGAGAGGGGTTCCTGAGGAAGCCTCTGGGGTTGGAAGTGGGTATGAAGAGGAGAGAGAAGTATCGCCGGTAGAGTGAGCATGTTTTGCTTCGTGGCATAACATGCAATTTGGAACAATAAAATGCCCTTCTCCCCTTTGCTGGTTCGTCTGCCAGGGTATGCATCTACTACACTTCCTCAACGCTCACTGGGCTGTCTCGTTTGGTTCTGGACTCGTCGCTAACGGATAAAAGTGCAGTCGTCTTGCTAGCTTTCTCTGTCTATAGCCTCTTTGCTGGGTTACGCGTCATATGCAAGGATTCCGACATCAATTGTTGAGTTTATGTATGGCATAGTGTGTAAGTTCGGCATGTAGCAGATCGTGCAGAGACCACAGAAACTATTTATTTAAATGCCCGAGGCACTGTGAGGGAAGCTTTCTGGCTTGTAGTAAGACCGAGATGAAAATAGTTAGCTCAATTATCTACGGTAGATATAGTTATGAACTATTAAACAAGGAACCAATTTTCAATTTCTACATCCACTACACGAAATGCTTACACTGGTCTAACCATAAGCTTGCTGGGGAGACAGGACGAGTTTAACCATCTAGTCAGCATCCGTTGACTCCAAGACTCCTTGTTTGCTTGGGAGTAACTTTCTCACTCACTGTCCTGAGAGCCTCCATCTGGCCAGAGCTTGTTGGCTCAGACAGATGTTCGGTTTCAAGTGCACGATTGGGATGTCCTTCAGAGAAAATAAGCCTTTTCCTATGCAATACCACTGATCTGCAGGATTAAGAACAAGTACCAAGACTAGAAATGAAAGTTCCGAGATGAATATACGGAGAAAGTGGATTGATTATATATATTCATTTTGACTAGAGTCATTACGTTACATTGTAACGGAAAAGGGAATCCAACAATGCGAAGAAATTGTGAAGCAAGGGAGGAGATCAACAGTGTCTCATAAACGTGTCCTGAAAGACGAGCATATCACTTGATCAAAACAACGCTAGATCATTATGAAGTAAGGTAGCTGCAACTGTACCGTCGTCTTTCAAATAAAAAAATAAAAAAAGGGTGGTCTGACGAGGGATGATAACACATCTACGACCAGGACTTTGGACCAAACTGTTCCCCAGGGGGCAGGGTGACCCGAATTGCAGTTCCGGATGCATCCATTGTGTTTTCAGCAATAGACGTACCCCACCAGGACGGGAAGGAAGTGTTGGTCATGAAGAGCGCCAAGAAGATGAGAATGGTTGACAGCATGAGACCGACATCCAGAGCAGCAGAAGTGATGAAGTTGTAGTAGGACCACCAACCGCGGTAGCGATCGCGGATCAGCTTGTTAAATATGAAACCGACAATACCCCAGGAAAGATAGTTCAGCGGCGTTGCGGGTGGAATCAAACCGGTACCACCGAAGATAATGGGAGCATTGATGTAACGGGCGGGGCTGCGTGGCCACTTGCGGGCGACTAGATAAACAGCGATGGGCAAAAGGAAGCCAGCAAGGAAGAAGTACATGAGCGGATTGTAGATCTGGCCACCCGAGAAGATGCGCTTGGGACCGATGACACCCCAGATAATGGAGGCGTTGAAGAAGACACGACCGTTGGGACATGTGTATCTATTCTTTTGCTGAGGCTGGCATATATCGGAGATGGCACCGAGAGCCCAATTCATGACGCAAATCTGAACGATCGAGCTCCAGAGGCAGGAAATCATTTGAGCCATGAAGGTGACACGAGGGGGGATCTTCATGTAGTGACCTGGTTTTCATTAGCAAGTTAGACGTCGATTGAAAGGCAGTATGAGGGGAAACAAACCCAGTTTCATATCCTGAAGGAAGAAAAGGCCTTGGTACATGCTAATGTAGCCATATGTCTTGAACAGCATCATGGCCATGGGCTTTCCTGGTTGCATGTAGCCGACGATGAATTCGGTAATGACATTCAACCCGATCTGGATGTTGGTCATCGCCTGGACAATGCCACAAGGGACAAACCAGACAACCGCGATGATAAGGGAAATGAAAAACGCCCACCAACTGAGATGGGTGTCGTAGCCTTGGGTGACACCGAGAGCTATTCCAATCATGACGAGAGACACCGCACCGTACCACCACCAAGGAACAGGCTTGAAGCGGGACATTAGGCGCTGGTGGATATCCTCCTCTTCCATACCCAAGTTCTTGATCCGCTGGATGAGGTCCTTGCCATGGAAGAGGGCGGTATGCACAAGGAGGGCAATCATCGAAGCAAACGACAAACCATAGCTGAGGGCGAAGGTGGTGGACAGGAAAAGAGGCGAGTACCTCTTGTACTCTTCGTAGTCAAAAGTGAACTGGGGAGTGATAATGCGAGAGACATTGTAGCGTTGGGCCGTGTTATCATAGCTGTTTGAGTCGCTGATCGGCAGATACTTGGCATAGAAGAGGCCGCTATAGTGAAGAGCCGGGGTGATAATCCAGTACCACAAAACGCAGGCGATCAGGGTGTTGGCGATACCGTGCCACGGGGCGATGAGAGGGCTGAAGTTGAAGCCGGAAATCTGAGTCCAGTCGAAGGTGATGGGGATCAGCGATAGCCCGGTCCAACCACCAAAGATCTGGTTGATGATAGCGTTATTGGGGCGAATCCAGGTGACCCAGGCAAAGACGCTGAGGAAAGGCGCGATGTATCCGGGAAACCAATACCAGAAAAACGAAACAACCATGACTATCATAAAAAAGCGGTACTTGCCCATGGTCCAGCCAGACGTCTTGGCGGGGTCGGGCTTGCTTTTGTCGTGCAAGGCTGTGAATAGTGACGTGCTGATGAGATTCGTAGGCCAGATCATGGAGGCAGGGGTGACGAGGAAGCGGGTGAAGAAGCCGGCCATGCCAAAACCCAGCATCTGGGTGGAAATGCACATGAGCAGCTCAAACCCCCAACCGAATGACTGTTTGTAGAATGCGCGCTGGGCTAACAGGACGTCGGTCGCGTAGGCAGCACCACCACCAAAAGTGGCGTTCGCCATGATGACTATGAGGGCATGCTCCTTCTTGCTGAAAGGGCCAGGGTTCAGATTGAACCGAAGACCAAGGACGTTAAACTCGCGGTTGGGCAAGAATCTTGCCCAGAAGACACCGATGGGGTATGCGATAACGTTGGCGACGTACGACGGGATGGTGATATAGGGTTGGCGCATGGAGAACAACATGTTCAGCGCGGAGCCGATGGTCGAGAGAACCAATCCAATGGTCCAGGCGCGGATGGTGTTGCTATGACCACCCTCATCATAGTTGGCGACGGCGGCGCGCACCTCGGGATAAGGCGAATCGTCCAGCAGCTCCTGGGCGACTCCAATGCCAGCACCCTTGTCGACGGCCTCATCAATCTCCTCAGCGACTTCATCAGGCAGGTTCGGGTCCCATTGATGCTGCCGCCGCATGTTTTTGAGGTGGCTCACGACCTCTATGGGGGAGTCAAGGGCGTCTGCGGGCGCCACTCCAGTGGAGACAGCGGCATCAGTCTTGCCTGACTTCTCCATGGCGCAGTGGATGTTCGAAAGGACGGATGTGATGGCAGGATGGGGGAGGATGATAGGAAGGGAGGAAGATGTCCACTGGCGCAATAAATATATATGCACACATCGTCAATAGACATATACCGATAGACAGGGCCAAACCCCCGCCGGTGGCCCGATAGGGGGAGTCTTCTGCGAGGTAGCCATCTCCGCCAATATACTGGACAGAGGTCATTCGTTGCCAATGGGTAGCTTGATGCTACCTCCGATAAAGGGGTCATGAAAGCCAAGCATCGATAAGGCAAGTGCATAGGAGCCCATAAGGTTACATCCCCGGTGGAAGCAATGGCCAAGGAAGGCTTGGCTAACGAATGATGTCGGGCGGATAAGAAGGGCTTCTGGAATCGTTCGAAAAGCACTGTAACCTCGGGTGGAGAAAGCCATTCCAATCACCAAGAGGAAGTAGGACATCGCCAATGATAGTCGGCTATCGTAGGATTTGCTCTGTACGGAAAGCTTCCGTTTCGACTTGGGTCACATCTTGCATCCTGGAAGTAGATTGCCGCGCTAGATAACCACGGCAAGTGTTGAGTCGCCCGTCATCCTCGCCAGGCGTAATGGGCAGGGGGCGGAGTTGATTACTCCCCTAGGCATCCAGTCATCGACACAATGGACGAGATCTGCAGGCTGGACAGTTGCAGTTCAAGAGATCAGACGTTGAAATGCGCATTGCTCGAGGGCTTTGTCTATTCCCATCTTGCACATCTCCCGTAGTTCACCTGTCAGTTGACTTCGAGAAAGATCTATATCACATTTCGCTGTTGTATTCGCTGTCCGTGCGGCACAGGATGATACCACACGGTGGAGATGCAGCAGGGCGTGCATATTGGCGTCGCAATAGCGACACCAAATTGAGTAATATCCACTGGTAATAATTCACATTATCTCTTCCAGCCTGCCATCTAGAGACAAACCTGCATCCATGGCTGGATGGCATACAGGGGAATACACGGCTATCCGCGCAGCACCATGTGCAGTATCTCCCAATATTTGCATGTGAAAGCTGCAATTATGAAGTCCCCAGTGCCCATCCATGTACAGCGTGGACTATGCGAGGTTACCTTCCCAAGACGACATGTAAACGGAATATGCTGTTATTTCCGAGGGGTCAGCGCTCATCTGTCGACAATTGCTGTTCCGCTGAACATGCTGGTACGTCCAGCCTTTGAGACTATTCCTGACTGCTATTGAGTGAATCCACTACTGATTGGGTTCCAGTGAACCCAGAGGCTAGCATAGCTGTACAGTTGCCACCGCCATTCCGCATACCGGTCGAGGTGCAAAAGTGTCTGTATTCTGTACTATGCCCCAACTCCAAGGGCAGGGAAGGAAGACAAAACTGGCACGCGGCATAAGGTGTACTGACTTCGTTGCATCGGAGCATTAGCCACTGAGGACAAGATATGCTGTTAACTTGGTCTGATATAACTCCATTATTAGGGGGTTGAGGGAATCAAGGCAAACCTGAATATTTACCTGCATGGCATACAGGCTGTTTGTGCTTCCTTTGATCCACGGATCCTGCTGGATCATCAAGACAGCAACATCCTTCCCTCCGGTGTCCCCTCGGATCCCTTTGTATTTCTTTTAGTTTTGGGGCGCTGAATAATTTGCTTTATTTAAGCATCCTCTCCCTCGTCTCATGGTAACGCCACCAAGCAGAACCGTAGTTGGTAGAAACAGCAACACCGCAGGAGGCTATAACTCAGGAGATGAATAGTTGTTTGATGATGACAGAAGCTAGTGGGAGAAGAGAACTTGAAGCAGTAGGTTACGCTTGGCCGCCTTAGGAATCACGGGACTGACGGACGTTCAGATGTGGAATAAATGCCTCAAGTCAACGTCAAGTACCTCAGATACTTCTGATTCCCCGTTCTAGGGACGAATTATTTCCATTTGTTACTGACATCTTTTCCATCTTCCAATGCCACTTCTAGAATGCTGTCTGTGGGTATTTTTAGGGTTGATATCGAAACCATGTCCAGCCCTGCAGCTGACTGTCCCGTTTGCTTCTCTAGCCTTCCTCCATAGATCTGTCAATTGGCCATGTTAAAGCCATTACACTGGGACATGCGGGATTTAAAGCACTGTTTTTCATAGCGGGAGACCCAGGGCTTCTCTTGCTTTGTCCTGGATCCTTCGGATACTTCTTTGTTATCGGACTATGAACCTCCAGAGTTCACGGAAGAGGTTGAAGTCTTCAATCAAGTCGAAGTCAAGAAGGCAGGAAAGGAACCACATTGGACGATTATCTTGTAGGATCTGGCAGATACGCTGATACCCTCAGCGATCTTTATCCTGAAACGTGTCAATACAGTGACTTTTGAGTCCTTCGTTGAATGCATGTTTATACTGTGAGTTCAGAAAAGTGAAGACAAAACAAACAGGAATCTTTCGTACCTACAAGTTCCACGTGATCTAACGGCAGGGAGAAGCCGGAACCGGCACAGCCTTGTGTTTACCGATCGGTGTTGTTACCGTTGCCGGCCCGGGACGTCTTGCCTGTACGGTATATATCGATGTCGATGTCGATTGAGCTGGCAGTTTCTTTCTTTTATCTTCTGGTTTTTAGCTGACGATGCTGGTCAGGCTGATCGACATTCAATCCTTATTGAGGCAGATAACTGATGTCATGAGTCTCTGGATCGTGGGCAGCTAATTGACTGCTCATATAAATTCTGTGAAGGACAACCAGCTCCCCCATGGCGACGACATCCATGTGTTTATCAGCCATCAGCCCATGTCTCGCATTGAGTCAATTGACCCTTTTGATCTTCTGATGCGTCTTGACTTGGGAAAATCCAGCGCGATGGGCATGGATTCGTGGTTTAACGGCATCCACATTACCGGCCGTTTAGTCAACAGCTAATGGGGAGAACAATACCAGGGACTGGCCATGCGGGAAGATTAAAGTTACCTCTTCTCCCAGACACCATTTTTGTGTCGTCGTCCTTCTGTATTTGCAGTTTGCAGTCTGGCATGACCCCAGTCTCTACTGGTGTCTTGGACTATCACATGTGTCTATCGCACCCAGTGTCACGTCAATTTGTTTGTCTCTCATCACCGTCTTTGCTTGCCTTGTCTTATCCTAAATTGATGTAATCTCGATTGATCAACGATGACTGGTTCTGTGCGTCCTTCATCGAGGACGCTGGCACTTTGGACATTGTCATGAGCTGCGTCTAGCTGCAGATTTCCGGTTTTGACCTACGCCGGCTCCAGCGACAGTGTAACAGGTACACGCCTTTGAAGTATGAGTGACTCGGTCGGGTGGCCTTCTTTTCGACATCTACACAGAGACCCTTGCGATAGAAACTTGGCAATTCGCATGATATCATGCATTTTGCATTCCCGTTCTCGAGCCCGTCAGCTGGTGAAACTAGCATTGTCTCACTTGACGGGTGCGAGGGCAATGCATCTCTCCCTTGGTCCAAGCAAAGGAATATCAAGATAACTCTTGGGGGGAGAGATGTAAGCTCCAGACGTTCTCTAAGTCGCCTGTTGCATATGAGATATGAACGGTCCGGGATGACAGCATTTATCTATGAATACAGCACCGACAGTGCCCTATCAGATATCATATTGTGAAATTCACGGTATACGGTGTTGACAACATTTATTTTATCAGGTTAATGCCATCTCAGGCGCCACTTTGAAATGTGAGGCGAATACATTCATGGTGACATCACCCTCGCCAGGAGCAACAACCAAGTATATATCTAGAACATGGATGCGCAGCATGTACATACACAGCTATTCTAATGCCTACGAAGAAAAGCAGATTATAGCCTTGGACATCCAGCATCATGAGTTTCGACATACCCAGCATAGATGAACTAAAACGGGCGGCCGAGTGTGGCCAGCGCATCACATCTGACGATGTCTCAGTGATCTCGCAGGCAGAGAGTGAACTGACAGGTTCAGGACCCATAGCTGGTGGACCAGCAGGTCGGTCTTTTACCCTGTATTGTGCGGATTGTACCCGCTGATGGATCCCAGCGACGGCCCAGAGTCTCGCTATGAAACAGATGAATTTCGATACCAAAGTGGACGAAATCTCGCGAAAGCCGCAGAGTCATATTACGCAGGAGGATGCGCGGCAGATCCAGGCGACAGAGGTAAGTGTTTTATCCACAGACGCTTCTCATGTTGATCGGCGTTGATACAAGTGTTGCCTCTAGGGCCGCGCGTTTAACAAGCCACCGGGTCCTGGATCCATTGCCGCACAAGTCCGCTCGATCGCTAACCGCAACGAGGCGCTGGGACTGCCGCCAGTGGAGACCAATGCTCCGACCTTCGTGACAAAGGATGATGCGCGGGAGGCGCAACGGGCTGAAGCCGAGGTGTACGGAGGCCAGAATCCTCGCGGTGGAATGGCAGCGCAGATGCAAGTGAGTCATAGCGATTCTTCTTCTGTGCATTCGGTGTAGAATAATTGTGATAAGCAACTGAGGCTGACGGTGACTGAACTTGGTCCATGCAGAGCGTTGCCGCCAAAGCGGAAAATGCACGACGGTCTTTCGGCTGGTAATAGGCGATGATAATAATGCTCTGGAGCATACTGTAAATAAATATCTCAATAGATGTTTTAGAACAGGAATCAAATATCAAATTCCCTTGTCCACTCACAATGGCGATCATCCGCAGAGAATCCACACAGGCAGCGCTGGACCCGTCACATTTCGATGTACACGAGCCCCTCATCAGCACTAGACTGGGTCAATAAAGCAAGAATGACAAATACTGTCAACCGGTTCCATCGTCGTGATAGCCAGGATGGTGGACGCTGGTGATATCATCCGGCTGTCATCGAGGTTACTTATACTGCTTCCTCCGCTCTACAAAGGTCCTCGACTGCGAGAACCTTGAGAGTTGCCAACCCTTCCTCGATCGCTTCTAGAAACCCATCAAGATGCCTGTCACTGGTCACTGTCTCTGCAAGGCCGTTACTTACTCCATCGACGTCGACAAGCTCGGCCTCGTGGCGTACGATCACTGCGATGATTGCCAGCGCCAGAGCGGCTCCACCTATTGTATGATTGACTCCCTCCCTGCCTCGTGGTTGGTGATAGCTAACTAATTGCTCTTTCCGGCAGCTCTCGTTACCGTCGTCCCAAAGGAGAAGCTCACCATCAAAGGCCCGATCAAAAGCTGGGCCGGAAAGGGCTCCTCGGGCAAGCCCGTCCACCGTGTATTCTGCTCCGAATGCGGGTCGCCCATTGCCCATGATCCTGAGGCAGCTCCGGAAATAATTGCTATCAAGGCCGGGACGTTGGATACAGAGATCAAGAAGACATTGAAGCCGGTAAGCACGGTGTTGATCTGTGATCTATGAAGTACTTGGTTAACCTCTGTGTTTCAGGACACCGAAATCTGGACCGTCAGCAAGCTTCCCTTCTGCCAGGAGCATCTGGCTCATCCATTTGAGCATATGCCTCAGTAATCAATTGGTTCATGGATTGGGAGGATTGAAAGGCCGTCGATTCATGGGGACAAAACAACACTGGAAACGAAATATGACAGGACTTTGCGGAGCAAACATCTTATACCAATATGAAATGTCTCGCTCTTCTTAGAACAAATGAAACAATGCCTCCATTGGCACTCCTAGGTTACATGTTGGCGACAGATTGAGGAATTGGTCTTCCAATGAATAGATTTGAGTCCGAAGGTTCAGTCCAAATGCTGACCTGTACGGCCAATTTCTCTTCATGGCGATGCAAGTTCCGGGTTATTTCCCTGCTATTCTTGGTTAATCAAACTCTGTGCGCTGTGATACAAGGCTTGCAACTTACTTATTAGGATTATAGCCGCCAGAGCGCACTGGCGGAATTCATGCGTGAATCCACTCGTTCTATGCATAAATGCCCGTGTTTCGGTCATTTCTGGCTCTGGTTTTATCTGATTTCCTCGTATCTACAGGGGCTAGAGGGGCATATGAGTGCAAAGAGTGTGTAGGGATAATAGGGCTGGATGTCCTGCGCTGTTCGGGAGAAGCGCATATATGTATGATCTTTATAGTATTTCCAAACAGACGAAGTCAGCCATCTGGGATATTCTTGATAGATATTCTCCAGAGTAACTTAACCTCTTGCTCAGCATGAATCGTCTAGAGGAAGCACATCTCCAGAATGAATCCATCCGCAATGGACAAGGCCAACCTACCGAGACAACTCCTCTTCTCCCAGGAGAACGAGAACAGGAACAACCGGGAAAATATTCGGTCTTCACGAATTCCCAGAAGCACTGGATAATTCTTACAGCCGCGTTGGCATCGAGCTTTTCTCCGTTCTCGGCCAATATCTATTATCCCGCCTTGAACTCGATTGCGGAAGATCTGGGAGTGAGCAAAGCACAGATTAACCTGACGATTACAACATATATGGTAGGCTCTTCCTTCTGATCTCCCTTCATCGGATAGAATGCATGATAGTGAAAGCTAGCTGACTGTAAAAGATCTGCCAAGGATTAGCCCCTACCTTTATGGGCTCTCTCGCCGACCAGGCCGGACGACGCCCTGCGTACATCCTCTGCTTCATCATCTACATCTCGGGGAATATAGCCCTTGCTCTTCAGCATAGCTATCCGGCCCTGTTGGTTCTCCGAGCGGTCCAGAGCTGCGGGAGCAGTGGAACTGTGGCTCTTGCTTCTGCCGTCGCAGCCGATATCATTACCTCTGCGGAACGGGGGATGTATATGGGCATTGCATCGTTGGGAAATATACTCGCACCATCAATCGGGCCCATCTTGGGCGGCCTGCTCAGTCAGTATCTAGGGTGGCAGGCTGTGTTCTGGTTTCTCTGCATCATGGCCGCCGTGTTCTTCGTGCCCTTTTTGACTCTTTTCCCGGAGACTTGTAGGGAGATCGTAGGAGATGGGTCGCTTGAAGCATCGCGATGGTGGAACATGTCCATTCTTCAGTGCTTTGGGAGGATGCTGAGACAGAAACAGAGAGAAGAAGAGGTTGTCGTCGACGGTGTCCGCAGTGATGCTCCTGGAACGAAGATCAGTTTTCCCAATCCCCTTTCCACGCTGCGTCTTCTTTTGCATCTCCCAACAGGGCCATTGCTGCTCGCCAACGGAATCGTCTTCGCCAGTTATTACGCAGTCACGTCGGGCATGCCGGCGCAGTTCAAAGAGATATACCGCCTCGAAGACCTGGGAATTGGACTCAGCTTCATTCCCGCCGGGTTAGGCAGTCTTTGCAGTGCCATATGCAACGGCACATTGGTGGATTGGAACTACCGACGCATGAAAGCAGCGTCTGGACAGGTTGTCCCCAAGGACGCTCGGAGACAGGATCATGAGGACTTCCCCATTGAAAGAGCAAGACTGCAGATTGGGCTTCCCATGACGCTGGCAGCATCTATGTCTGTTGCAACATACGGCTTCCTGATTGAGATGGGACCGCCTCTTCCTGTTGCTTTGCTGATGGTGTTTGTGATATCCTTCTGCATCACGGCGGCGTATAATGTGATGAACATCTTGATCGTGGATCTCCATTATTCCACCCCGGCTACTGCAATGGCCGCTAATAACCTCATGAGATGCTTTTTGGGAGCAGGAGCCGCGGCTATGGTGAATCCGATGATTCAACGCTGGGGATGCTGGTGGACGTACTTTGTGGTCGCTACTTGCATGGTCGGCGTGAGCCCGTTGCTGATCAGTGTTTATGAACGAGGCCCGGCATGGAGGACACGCAGAGGATCGTGAATGTCCCTTTCTTGAATGGCATTTGAGTCTGTCTGTTTCACCACGTGGGATTGTTCGAGGATCACCCCTGTGCTGTCGGCGCGTTCGCGTTACATAGGCCGCAGAGATTCTCCTCCGGTAGAAATATATTAACCTGACGGTAAGACCCTCGTGTGAGAAAAGCACAAGTTGTAGCAGCTGAGAATCATGACTCTGCTTATTATTTATACCAGTATTGCCCTCACTCTGGCCAGGATAGCATCGGCATGGCCATCCCTCCCACTACAGGAGAAGGTCCTGCACGTCAAATACCCGGGACGACCATGGATGACTCCTGGAGGGAATATAACAAGAGCAGGTCAGGTCAGGCGTCATTTATCTTCTCATCTCCCCCTCTAACAACACATGCAGAAGCAAAGGAAGTCCCTAGCATAAGTGCCCATGGACTTCTCTGCTCGAAACCGTACCTGATGCTTTTCATCGACCTAGATGTCGTCCTGGAACAGACCACTGCAACTGTAATCCTTCACTGGTACCAGCCAGATCTCGAGGCTGAATGCGCCAATTCCACACCCAGCATCGAGGGTGAACATGAAGGTAATAATATGCTGCAGCCGAACAGAACCCTCCCTCGGAAACCAGCGTCCTATATCGGTCCTCGAGCTCCCACGGGTCAAAGACATCGCTACGTCTTCCTCCTCTTCGAGCAGCCCCCGGAGTATAAATTTCCAGACTGTTTCCGGCACATATTCCCCGAAACGGTCGAAGCGAGGGCCGGGTTCGACATTGTGCAGTTTACAAGAGTTGCCAGGCTGGGTGTTCCTGTGGCCGTTAACTGGTTCTGGGGAGGAGATGACGGCGAGGAGGGAGTCAATTCGACATTGACTGCCACCTCAGCGACGCCGACGAGGTCAGCTACAAAGAAGCCGGGGGAAATTACGACTTCGATGAGGATTGCGCCGTGCAAGATTACCGGATACATGTATGGGCATGGGCATGGGCAGGAACTCCTTCAACTGGTTTTATGAAGAAAAGCCCTGGCAAACCTCCAATATTCCAGGCCATCGGTGAATTCTCATGTTCCACAGCCTGAAAAAGCCGGTGAATTTTGCAGCAATATAGAATAAATACAAGAATAGCCTGCAGACTCGAGTTGACCGGCCTAAACCATCCTATGTGAATTGAACTGTTCTGCTTCCGATCACCATTGCTTGTCATCCAATATGCACGTCTCGACTCTTCTGAAGGTCTTCCTACTCTTCCCTAGTATTTGCTTATCGTTCTCATTGCCCTCCCTCCAGCTTCAGAGCCAGAGTCCCCTCGAAGCACCCGGCTGTGATGGCTCCGGTATCGTGGATCCTTCAGGCCGCTGCAATGGCGACGGCATCGTCCACAATCCGCCACCCTCGAAGGATCGTGAGGGCTTTGTATTCGAAAACCCGTCCACAAACTGCAAATACGTGTCTCAGCCATACATCTGGGATTCGTTCAAGGTGCTGGAAAAGGACATGTCACGCCTCTTCACCCTTATCCACAAGAACGTTTCGTTTACCGTCGTCGGACACCATCCCGTGGCCGGACATTATCGCGACCTGATGCATTTCTATGTGAACGCTCTGCGAAGAGTGAGTATGTGTTTCTCGGATCATCCTGAGAAGTTTGAGATCCACCCTCGGGGTATCCATGGCGGCTGTGACTTCGAGTGGTCTGTTCAGGAGATGCAGTTCAAGGGGTTGATGAATTCGGGTGAGTCCCAGCCCTTAGCATGTTTCCGCCATAAGACTTCAGGTGTGATAATACCAACACTTCACGGCATCTTATAGGAGACCAATTTGATGTCGTCAATATCTGGGTTACCCGCTGGCATGAGGGACAGATGGTCGAAGTCCGAACCTATATCGATTCCGCTCGGATCATCGAGGCTCTGCACAAGAACGAATTCTGGTGGAATGGCACAACCTACCGGGACAATCTACAGTATATGCCTGGTCCTGGAGGAATGCCAGATCTGGAGGAACTCGAAGCGTTGATGGGGTATCCCGATGGGAGGAAGTACGAGGATTAGTTGCAGCCTGTGCATGTCCCTGGGGTTGCTAAGGAACAACGGCGGCAGTGACCAGCTATCCATGGAATAGGAGGGTTGCTTTCATCAAGTTCTAGGCAAACTGAATGGCGGATATGGATATGGGTATGTGTCTGTTACGCTGTCTGTTTTGCGTGACAGAATCCTCGGATCAGGAGCATGATTTTGCTAGTAGGACTGTCATAATCATTAAATTATGACAATATACTCCCAAATCAATGTACTTCAGTTTCTCGAGATGCATAGGCCAATGTCTAGAGCATCCCTTTTGATCCCATAATGCCAGCAGACCGAGATGCCAACGGCCGACCCTACAGCCTCAACAAACAAACTGTGACTATATCACATGTACAATTCGTTAATTCGCTGTTCCTGACTGTAGTAGTCAAAATCGTGTAACTATTATGGCAAACCGATGCCCTTCCGTAAGGGTGAATGGACTGAACGCCCAGCCGCCTCCGTTTCATGGCCGCCTCGGAGACCAGCAATGGCCAACGAACAAATACGCTGGCAACGCACTGGTGACCCATATTATTAGAAATCTGCTAAGATCTTCTCACACGCAGGTCCAGGCTAGTTCATTACAGCGGCAACGTGAGACAAGAAAGAGACCAATATGTAACGAGACGGGGTCAGAAGGGCAGTACATACGGAGCATGTAGACATATGTACACAACACGGCATGAGATAAACCAAGACTCGGTGCCATGTGCCATGTACAATGTCCTAGTTGTAGCCTTGGTAAGTATGACAGGGATGGTAGGGGCGAGTGGGATGGGAGTAGCTGGACCAGAGGATAAAAGATTACGAAGGCTCGTTGGGGATTCCCACTCAAGCCCTATCTCTCCAGCATTTTTTGAATTCTAGAACTCGCACCGAGCATCCCATTATGAGTCGTTTCGATGACCAGTCTCTGTCTCTGCAGCCGCTGCCCAAGAGCGTCAAGGTCCGCTCAACTTGCAACGCCTGCCAACAGGCTAAGATCCGCTGCGGCCATGAAAAGCCCTCCTGCCGCCGGTGCCAGAAACAGAATATCGAATGCATCTACAGCATGTCACGACGGCTAGGAAGACCGGCGAAGAAGCGGGATCTGGATGACGACAGCAGCCGTAGAGCGTGCCCTGGGCGTCGGAACGAGAAGAAACCCCGCGGTCCAAAGAAGAGGGCCCGAGATAATGAAAATGAGTCAAACCACGACCAGGCTGCAGAGAAGCATGTGGATGAGGCCGCTGAGGATGGTGATAGCACCTCTATTGAGGAGAGCCTGCAACCGCCAATTATTCCAGAGTCAATAGATCCTAACCCAGGGCCAATTTCTGGTAAGTCCCGGTACGCCATCCCAGAAGACTGGCAAGCAGTCATTAACTGTACGGGTTGTTCATGCAGTTGCAGAAAACTTGGATTTCTCACCGGACAGTTGGTTGCAGGACCTGGTCTTGACGCAGATGCCAGAAGACAGCACTCCTTTCGATGCGTTTGATGGAGGCTTTTCCAAGGACCCAACAAGTTCGCTGCTGCCAGAAGCAGGAACAGTCCCTGATGGCTACGAGAATACACCATCCTCGTATTTCGCCTTGGATAATGGCTTCAGATCACATCAGGCATTGGCCATGGGCTATAACCACAACAGCACCAACCATCGAAGCAGCACCGTGAACACGCCAAATCTAGTCCCCGAATACCGGGACTGGAAGGATAGTCGCTTTCTTCCAAAGTCAGAACCCGTCGTTGACGGTCTCTGTCAATCTTTGTCCTCGTCGATCGACAAGGCACATTGCGACTATGACGATGACTATAGCCTGCTGCCTTTCGAGAGTATGCCATTGGAACGCACTCCTCCATTGGCTCCTCCTCCGCAGTTGGACGTTCCCAGTGTTTTCAATTGCCAGTGCTATGGACTTGCCAGCCGGGAGCTACTGCAGATTCAACTGTGCGCATCCTCATGTAACGGATGCTGTTCGATCGACACAATCCTGACCTGTCAAAGGGGCCTACAACATCTCGCAGATACTGTCCTTCAATGTGGAATCTGCTCCAAAACACAGGCAAATCTGCTGATGATTATTGTTGTTTGTGTTGACAGCTTGATCGCAATGCTGGAGACGACGGTATTCACCAGAAGCAGCCGAAGTCTAGGATTGGGTCTACTGGGCGTTGACCTGGAGAATCACACTGACGATGGTTTTGCAAATGCTGCTATCGGCAGAGAAGGCTGTAGCAATGGCAGCAGCCATACTGGCCCATTCAAATCTCAGATAAACACGTGCCCTTTGCTGGTCGGTAACTTCCGGGTTCCTCTCGATGAGAAGAACAGTTTTATTAGGCAGGTCCTGCATGCACGGCTATCTATACTTCTTGCTACAGTCCGCAAAATCCGCCAGTGCATGCAGCAAATGCTCGCAGCGTCTTCAAGCAGGGGGAGGCTGATCATGATTATGGAAACGGATCGACGAGTCCAGCTGGTGATGATGAAGATCAAGATGTTGGGTTAGCGTGGGATTTTGGAACTGTGCTTTGCATTTTGGCTTCTTACTCGACTTACTATACCCGCTAATTAGTTACTGTATTCGAGAGTTTCTCTTTTGCCCCAAGTCATCGTTATTTTTGGTGATGTTGGTGATGTTAGCACATGGACTCTTAGGCATGCAAACCCTGTCCTGGAGTTTCTGTTGGTTAGTTATTCATTTTAAAACCCAATATTGACAGAATCAGGGATATGATCCTTCTGAAGAAAAGAATGATGTTCTCCAAGCTATGATTCCTGTTATGCATCATTAACTATCAAATGTTTCAACATGCATGTTGAGTGGAAACAAGCTGTCATTGTTTTATAGAATGGTTAGAGACTGCAAATTAAGAACATCGATCACGGATCTGCTCATGGCAGAATGTCTTAGCAACCGTAGGAAAAGGATAGCCCTCTCGCGCACCAGCTTGCCAGTCATTGAGGCCATGGTCTCTCAAAGACCCCAACCCACTGTCCCCATCCGATTACCTTGCCAACCATTGCGTCCTTCAGCTTCTGCTTATTGACTCTCTCACCGTCCAAAGCTAGCTTTTCGTTGAGCGCAATGACTGTAAACACGTAACGGTGTGGGCCATGTCCCAAAGGTGCGCCAGGTGGGATCCAAGATGTGCCACGGAGTGTAGGAATGTACTTCCATCCTGCTCCAGTAACGTATCCATTGACATTGGAGATATCACCGTGTTCTGCCTTCCTCACATCAGGCGGGATGCCGTAGTAAATTCCATGATCGATCATCATTCCCGGAATAGGTGGATCGGGGTCCTCGCAGAGCAGCACCTGTTCCTTAATCTCCTCTCCTTTCCCAGACGACGGAGACGTCCAACACAACGACGGCATGGTGCCTTGGCCGTGTTCCGCCATGCAGGTGTGTTGGCTCAGCAATGGAGATCCGGAGATACCATACTCTGGAGCTTCCAGCGTCATGTTCGGTTCGGGGACGTCCTTGAAAGCGGCGCTGTTGGCGATGTGTTTCGCGTCGTGGCCGCGGACTGAGTACAGGAGCCAGCCCAGGCTGTACTGGACGTAGTCGAGGATTCCTGGCATCTTGTTTGGATAGAATGACGACGAATATGGCTGAAGATAACAAGAGCGAAGATGAGCAGAGACGAAGAGAAAGGAAGAGAGGAGGGGAGAGCGAAGGCTGGACCGGGCCGGTCACGGCATGAATGCTTCGAGTGATTTCAGGATGATCCCTGTACTTCGACAGAGACGCCGTGGTTGCGGCTGCATCCTTCCAGGGTCCGCAAGAGATGATTATACAGGCATGATCTCCGCATGTCGACGTCCTTATGAACCAGAGTCAGACTTGTGATCAAGCTGATTCCATTGACAGCATCCCTGCCATGGCGGATCACGAACACAGACATATCACCAAGACGAGGCATACAGCAGCATCAAGGCCAACGTGAGTCCAACAGCCCCAGATCGCCCATTTAGCCCATCTTGCCACGCTGCATCGCACTGGAGCTCCTGCAGTTGTTCGATTTCTGTTTCGGGAAGGATTTGGATCTGCGCCGCGTTGCATTCCGCGGACTTCCGTCGCGATGAATAAGACTCCTCTCTCAAGTGTCCACTGCTTCCTTCTTCCTGTTGCTCTCGCCGCCGAGAGCTCTAATCAATTTCCCTCATGACGGTCTCTACTGTGAAGGACGTCTGACTCCGGAGTATTCACCCTTTCTCTCCGTTAAATGTTCTCCTTCGCGTCTGTCCCGTTCTCCCCGCCCGAGGACGAGGAGGTCCAACAGCGAAAACCACGGTATCCGGGCGAAGACACGACCCCTACCCGGAGAAAAGAGATACTGGGATGGTATATCTACGGCGTTGCGGCCGAAGTATTCGCCGTGTCCGGTGTGGGTAAGTCGCCCCTTACTGGTTGTCCATGGTCGACGGTCATACCACGCAGATGGACTGACTTCTATTGAAATGGATGCCAGGTTCGTTTCTTCCCCTCACCCTTGAGCAGCTCGCACGCGAACGCGGAATTTTACAACTTAGCCATTTACCGTGTGTTGGATCACCGTCATCTGCCGGAAATGGAACTGAATCTGCCATGGTGCAACGCAATGGAACCGAGACCGCGGACGAGCAGTGCGTGGTCCCTGTGTTCGGGCTACAAATCAGCACGGCCAGTTTTGCTATGTATACATTCTCACTGGCCGTGCTCGTTCAGGCTCTGACGCTGATATCGTTCAGCGCCCTGGCCGACTATGGTGTGTGCTGAACTTTCGATGCTTTATTTTTGATGTTGTCTACATGGTCGGAGTCAGTTCAGTCAATTGACGTTCCCACAGGAAATAATCGCAAGGCGTTGCTGATCTCATTTGGAATCATCGGGTCCATTACGAGTATGCTCTTCATCTTTGTCCCGCCATCATTGTTCGTGGTCGGGTCGATTTTGGTGGTCATTGGTATCACCTGTCTCGGATCGTCTTTCGTCTTCCTCAATTCGTTTCTACCAGTCCTCGTTGCAAACGATACTTCCATTCAAAGTAGCAAAGATGAGCAGTCGCATGAGCTTCCCGAATTGAACACCGATAGTGAATCGACGGACTTCCGCAGTTCCGACGTGGATGGTATTGAAGGTGATTACGGTTACGCCCGGCATGCCTCTGCGTCCGTCGAGCCTGGTCCTACAGCAAAACCGCCGACGTCGTCGCCGTCCCCGGAGCTTCAGTTGTCTACTCAAATTTCGTCGAAGGGAGTCGGTTTCGGATACTGCGCGGCAATCTTCGTGCAGATCTTGAGTATTTGTCTACTTCTAATCCTCTCAAAGACATCCTTGCCCAAAAAGTCAGCCTCGATTCCCCTCCGATGCGTGCTACTCCTTGTTGGGATATGGTGGTTTTCGTTCACAATGCTAGCTCGACGGTGGCTGCGCAACCGGCCTGGACCTCCATTGGAGTCGTCGACTCCAGGACACAAGAGTCGGTGGAAAATCTGGCTCAGCCTAGTGGCGTTTGCGTGGAAGTCATTGTGGAAGACGGTCAAGGTGGCGGTTCGGCTACGAGAAGTGATTATTTTCCTCGTTGCATGGTTCCTCATATCAGACGCCATGGCCACGGTCTCCAGTACTGCCATCCTCTTCGCGCGGACGGAATTACATCTGAGTACGACAATGGTGGGATTGCTGTCGATTACGGCCATCTCGTCTGGCATGCTAGGTGCGTTTCTGTGGCCAGTTGTGTCGAGGCGGTTCAGGCTCAAGTCGACCCATACGATCATCCTCTGTGTAGTGCTGTTCGAGCTCATCCCGCTGTACGGCATGCTGGCATATATCCCACTATTTAAGAAATGGGGAGTGATCGGCCTGCAACAGCCGTGGGAGATATACCCTCTTGCGATTGTACACGGAGCGGTGTCAGGCGGACTGGCATCATACTGCCGGTCCTGTTTCGGGTTGCTGATTCCTCCAGGAAGCGAAGCAGCATTCTACGCGTTGTACGCGGCGACGGACAAAGGGAGTTCTTTTATCGGACCAGCCCTGGTGGGTATGCTTGTTGATGCGACCGGGCAAGTGCGATCTGGATTTTTCGTGGTCGCGGTCCTTATTGCGCTACCGATCCCGCTGGTCTGGATGGTGAATGTAGAGAAAGGACGAGTGGATGGTGTGGCCATGGCGGAGGCGATTGAGACGTCCAAACTGAGCGGAGCGACGCCAGATTTGAGTGCAGACGACACGGAGGAAGCCGAGCGGTTGCTTGCACGAGAATAACGGTTTATATGGCTACAAGAAACTACATGAACTACGGGAATGAACATGACGATACGGGTAGATAGAATATATTACACAGAGATTGTGGATCGCTCCACCGAATTCCCCATGCTTATACGGCCTACCGTCCCGAAACCGTGTTGATCGACAGGTCAGACTGCAGACAGATCAGGAACAGCAGGCATTTTCAGAGGGCCTAAGGGAGCCAAGCAATACGAGCAGAGACGTCGACCACAGCCTTGCCGAGGTATGAACGATACAAACGCCTCCACAGCGAACAGACCCTGCTGGAGAAGACCCTGCAGCTCCAGCTCTTGGCCATTCCCGAGAAAAGTAATGATCTGGCAGGGAATGCACCGTGCGAGTGGTTCGATCGTACTAATTTGTTAGTACAGAATAGTCGCGGGATTTTCTCTTGCTATTGAACCTTGCACATGGCAATTTGGGACATGCAAATACTTTTGTCAGCCCACAGTATTTCTAGGTCCTTTCGCTATTCGTAATTCATGCCGCTGACTGCTCAAATGCGCCTAATAAAACATGGTCATACCTCGTAGAAAAATAGAATAAAACAGAAAAACTATGCACGGGAAACAGAAATTTGAAACGACCGCTCCACTTTCAGCCCACTCGTTATGTTCTCGCCACTACTGCTCTGCCCTTCGTCGCTGTATCGTCCGACAACCGTAGTGGTGAGGTGGTAATCGTCGTCACGACTGCTCCCCCACAGCTCGTCCCCTGTCCACTGGCGACTGGGCTTGCCTGACCTAGACAGGGGGAAGGACGCTGTTCGGATTCGGCTGCGTGCGGATACAGATCCATCGCGGAGGATGCGGAAGAGAGGCCGGAGTGTTGTCAGGCTGCCTGCGGTGATTCCCAGGCCGGCTTCGATGTTAGACCAGATGGACATTTGGGTGCAGACGACTGCGATTGACGTTAGTGTCTTGACGTATACAGTGCTTGTAGCGGCTGTCTTACATATGAAGTTGGGTTTTTTGAACTTGTAGAGGAAGGGAATCCGGATGATCACCGCAGAGGACGCGCTGAAGGGACCAATGTTAGTTAATTGGTACGAGATGGTAATCGTAGAAATACTTACATGCAGCCAATGCCCAAAATGCCAGCCAGGGCGATCTTTGACGGCCGCGGCATGTGCAGCTTCCAGACGATGAAAATGGGCAACAGGCCAATCGTGAAGTCAGTCAACGCGGCAATGGCGCTGTACAAGTACACGATTCCCAGGAGCAGATTCGGGTCGAGACACTTTCCGTCCACCGTATGCCTGTCCCAGAAGTAGTTGACTGGGGAACATTCGAAGATGGTGAAGAAGAAGAAGATCACGCCCCCGACCACGCTCATCGTCATCACGGAGTAGAGAATCCACGAATGCACCTTAGACACAGTGATGCGCAGCAAGGAGATAGTAATAGACAGTTTCGCAACGACGCACGTCACCACGTAGAACATCTGGCCAACCCACCAGCACTGCATGTCGCCGTCGAGTCAGTCCAGCTCTCCGGTCTCGGGCAAGTCTCGTCACCACATACCAGCAATGCTTTTTTAACATGGCCAGGCTGATGCAAGACAATATCTGGATCCCCTCCCATTCCATATGACGCTCCGATGAAGCCACAGATTGCGAATGCGACATTCAGGGTCTGCAGGGAGGCGGTCAGAAACATTAGCTATTACACCGGCCATCCGCGGGGTCTTTGAAGATACTAAGCACATACCATGGCCACGACCATGAAGCCATCGTCCCAACCAAATGCGCGCACGGCGCGTAGACGAACGTAGCATCGAAGAGAGACGGTGAGCAGCGAAATGGCCAGAAAGACCGCGGTCACGGCGACGATGGCTTCACTCCCACTGCCCTGCTTCATAGTGATGAGATGCTATGCTGCAGCTGGAGATGAGAGCACTGAAGGAGACGGAAGACATGCTTTCAGACCTCTTAGAGAAAAGCCAGAGGGCAGTCAGCCAACGTGGGAGGGGACCAGTGAATAATAGAGTGGAGATGGCCTCTCCTAACAGGGGTTTTGGCCGGATGCGGTTAACAATGCATTCATCAAGTTTAATCCGTCCAGTCTAGCCTTCATGAGGCGCCGACGGTGCTACTCCGTTCCCCTGAACACATGAGGGGGTGGAATACTGGCTGTCTGCATTCATTCCCTGCGCAACGACCTGCAATTTGTAATGGATAGGCGCATGTATGGTCATATTACTAGGTAGGCCTGCCTGTGCCGTGAGATAGGTAGCGAGGGCGGTCTAGGACGGCAGAACCTCACGTGTACTAACACCCCCCCACGCACGAGCAGCCTACAAACTATGGAATCAATCTAAATACAGAAATCGGCCTCTATTCGGGCCTTCAAATGAGTGAATATATGCAAAAATAAACAGAGGAATGAAGGTTCTGCTTTAGCCAATCGAATGCCGTATATCAAAATAGAAAATATATCCAAAATGGGGGAGATATACGCGGCTTAGCTTATGCCAGTGAGTTGTAGGAAATGGTCAAATTGTTCAGTTCGGAGAGGTTTGGTCAGGCCGTCTGCTGCTTGTTCTTTGGTAGGGCAGGCCTGGAGTTTAACAATACCGTCTTGGATCTTCTCCCGAACGTAATGGTAACGTATATCGATGTGTTTGGATCTCTTGGTGGTGAGCTCAGCTTCAGCCATGGCGTGTGCACCTTGATTATCGATATGGAGAGTAATTGGTGGGCATTCAGTAGGGAGTACGTTGAGCTCGTTGATGAGGTTCCGGAGCCAAAGGGCATCTCGGCTGGCTTCACTTAGAGCCATATACTCAGCTTCGTTGGAGCTAAGTGCAACGGACGTTTGCTTGCGGCTTTTCCAGGCAATTGGGGCCCCGGCAAGCAGAAATATATATCCAGATACTGACCGGCGATTGCCTGTCAGTTGACCACCCCAATCAGAATCAGTATAACATCTGGGCATGAGGAGGTCAGATGTAATGGGTTCCGTGGCCTTATGGTAGGTAATTTGTCGGTTAATGGAGCCTTTAAGGTAGCGTATAGCGTGTATAAGGGCACGCCATGCCTTTTGGGTAGGTTTGGCGTGATATTGGGATAGTACGCCAACTGTCCGGCTAAGATCAGGTCGGGTTTTGGTGGCTAGCCAAGTAAGGCAGCCTACACCACGTTGATATTCTTTGATGTTCACTGTAGGGTCTGGGTCATCATCAATTATTAAACTAGGATCCATGGGGATCCCAACAGGGTGTGCTTGTGCTTGGCCAAAAGAGGCAACAACGTCTTCAGCATAATTGGCCTGGGAGAGAGTATATGTGGTCTTGGATTGAGAGGTGGCCATGCCAAGGTATTTGGTAGAGTTTCCAACTTCTTTTATGTCAAATTTAGCAGAAAGAGACTCCATAAACCAAGTGGCATCATTCTCATGCTTAGCATAGACTTTGAAGTCATCCACATGGGTAGTCACATAGAGTTGGGTCCGGGTGGTATGGATCCAGAGACCAGAGTCGTATTCGGAGCTTTTGAAGCCGATTTGTCGTAAGAAAGCATTTAGTGTATCATACCAGATACGGGCAGATGGGATCAGTCCATAGAGGGACTGGCGGAGTTCACAAACCAGGTCTCCAGAGCCTTCTTTGAATCCCTGAACTTGGGTCATAAAGACACGTTTATCTGTGGGCATTTTTCCATTTAGGAAAGCAAGGATGGCATCTGCCTTTCGAGTATGCCAGCCAAGTAGAGTGGCCAGTGCCGTAAGGGTTCTAGTGGTATTTTCATCTACCACTGGGGCGTATGGTTCCATGAAGTCCTTGTCAAGTAGATTTCCACGGATCACCCAGCGAGCTTTAACTTGGTAGTCCCTTGTAATAGGGGTACCAGGGATTTCTTTCTTTTTGTATACCCACCGGCCAGGGATGACCTTGGTCCCTGGTGGTAGGTCAGAGCGGCGGATAAGTTGCCAGCAGCCTTTTTCTTTGAGTTGGTTGACTTCTTTTTGCATGGCTGCTTGCCACTTGGTGGCATCAGGATGAGATATAGCCTGCTTATAGGAAGTAGGCGTGTCATCTTCAGACAAAGGAGTAGTTGAAGTGGTGAGATAGGCTAGGGACATGCCTTTGGCGGGTCGAAGCCATATTTCCTGGTCTTCATCTTCAACAGGTTGGTTTGTATCTTCTTTATTAGGAGTACTTGGATCTTCAGGAACAGTAGCTTGTGGAGGTGTAGTTGTGGGATCCTCATATTCTTCATCAAATATAGTGTCATTGGTTGAAAAAATGGCGTCTGTTTTAGGGTCCCACACTCTATATTGTTGGCTACTGATTTGGCCGATCATGAAGCAGCATTTAGAATGGGAATCGAACTTGTTTATAGGCTTATCTGAGCCATGTCGATGAACCCAGACAGGGCAGCCCCAACGTCGGTATTTGTTGATACTAGTTGGTGAGTTGGTCCAGGCAGCCAGAGGCGATTTATATGGGCTTGGGCTGATTTTGGTGTTGGTATTGACCCCCCCAGGGATAGGTGAATTGAATAGGACTGTGGATGTTGGGAGGCGGTTTGTTATATCTGATGCATATTTTAAAGCATCAACCCAAAATCGCTGTGGTATATGGGGAGCGTCAAGCATTAATGTCTGGGCACGGTCAAAGAGTATGCGTATGCTGCGCTCACTGACACCGTTTTGCCAAGGGGAATATGGAGAACTTGGTTGCCATTCAATGCCTTCCTGACGGTAGGTTTTCTGCCATTCAGCTGAACAGAATTCATTGTCAGAGACAATATAGGCTGGGGCAGGGAAATGGTGATTCTTCATTTGTTGTAGCCAACCCCGAAATGCATCAATTGCAGCAGATCTTTCAGTTAGGTAGTGGATCCAACGGTAACGTGTAGCGTCATCAGTAATAAGCATCACATATTTGGCTCCTGTACGTGAAGGTAGAGGCGTATCTAGCTTCTCTATATCTAGTGTTCGGCCGCCACCAGCAAGGTCTATGTGGACTCGGGCTAGTGGTGCAGTCATACGGGATCTTGGTGTTTTGCTGTATTGGCGAGTTTGCTTGCCCTGGATGCAGGCTTCACAAAGTGGTAGTTCTTTGGAACCTTTGATTTCAATGTCTGATGTAGGATCTGCGGCAAGGCGTAAAAGATCCTGCTGGTTTAAATGGCATAGACGGCGATGCCATGTCATAATTGGTAGAGCTGTTTTGGAGCTCTTAGTCTTTGGGGATGTTGTAGGTTTCTTTCTGGGAGGGTCCCCTGGTCGGTTGGCCTCTTTGCCAGACCGGGTGGTGACAAAGGCATAGGAGCTCTCGTCGGGAGAAATGCAATCTGATAGGATGAATACATTGTTGGTATTCAAAATGGCTTCAAATTCTGCACCAGAAGAGGTTGTGATTTGTGCTACTTGAGAGCTGGAAGGGAATTCGATACGAAAACCTTGTTTGAGAAGCATTCCCATGGAGATTAAGTTGGAATTGAAGGATGGAACATGTCGTACATCCCTAAGGATCAAGGATCCGGTTCCAATATCAATGACGACGGTGCCAATACCATGAGGTTTGGAAATCTTCCCTTGAGCATCTTCAATATAATCCGCTGGAGTAAGGTCCTCCTTTCTCAATGTTTTATAGGACGTGAAGAAAGCTTGATGGGGTGTAACATGGAATGAAGCACAGCTATCAAGATACCATGAAGCTTGGAGAGATTGGGCTGATTTAGCAATGGCTGTTTTTGCAGCTGAAGAAGTCCATGGTACCAGTTCATTGGTTTCTGCTTCAGAGAATGAAGCAGTGGAAGATTCTTTAGCAGTGTGTAAAGCACGAATAGCTTCAATAGTATTTTTATTGGCTCGGTGCCAATGCTCAGAGGCTTTCTCAGGGTTCTTGTAGAGGCAAGGCATTGGGTGGAAATGACCACACCAATCACAACGGGTCTTTGGTTTGCGTGAGTCCTGGTCCTGAGGTTTATATTTAGTGTTGGAACTTGAGGCGGAAGAGCTAGCAATGGGGTTAGATGCTTGTTTGGAATAGCTTCGTCCGGATAGATTCTCTCGTCGTCCTCCGTGTTGGGAGCGGGATTCACGGGCTTGGGTGCCCATACGGATAGAGAGTTGAGCTTGAATGGTAGGTAGGTCCAGATTGATGACAGGGCCTTGTCCAGTTGAGTATACTTCATCAAGTTTACTCTTAATGAATGCTTTGTTCCATTCGCGGAGGCCTATAAAAAATAGGTCGTGAATAAGGTTGTCAAATGATGCTTCTTTTATAGCATGAAGGCGGTCTACTATCCTAGTAAACGCAGATTGGTAGGATAGGTAGTCATTGTCTTTTATATAGAGCTCCTTGAGCTCTTTTATGAGAAGCATTCGTTCTTCACCAGTAGAACGTCCGAAAAAGGTAGCAGTTCGGTCCCATAAACCATGGGCTGATAGGTCATATGTGTTGCCCAATTTGTCAATGGCTTGGGCAGTCATAGCATGAAGCATTCGGGCTCTCATGACAGTGGCTTTGCAATGCCATACTTCAGCATCATAAGCTGAGTATCCTACTGGAGGTATATCCTGATGCAAGACTGTACTAGCGTTCAGGACATTGGCTTCTCTTTGAATGGCTGAACTCCAGAGGTCGTAATTATCATGAGACAGTGTGATTCGGCATCGGTCTGGTAGGAGCGCTTTAACTTGAGCTTGTACATGATCAAAAGGATCTTTTTGTACTGGATTTGAGGCTGGAATAGCCGTATTATTTTGAATATGATTGTAGGGAGTAGCGTTATGCCGGACTGTAGGAGTGGAGGATTGGGATTGATGGTGTTCAAGGGCATTAAAACGAGTCATGAACTGGTCCATCTGCTTCTGCATTTGTTCCTGCATTTGTTCCTGCATCTGCTGGAACAGAGCTGTGATGTCTGGTGTGGATGCCATGGTGTTGGCTGTAGTAGAGCTTTGAGCTCTAGGGGCAGTTGGGGTGTCCATTTCTTCAGAGATTACTGAGGAGGCGGAGGAGCCTATATCTGATGAAGGATCTGTGGATTCTGGCTGACGACGGTGACGTCTAGCGGTGGTAGGGGGCGTTCGAGGCACCACCATTTTGGATGGGATCGATCGAAGGATCCTGGGGTTCAGGGGCCGATTGTTGGCGGTCCTGGTGTTCAGAGTCGCTTAGAAGCGCTCGATTTCTGGTTTGACCAATGAGAGGTCACAATTTAGCCTATCTGAAAGGCTTTTTTAAGCTCAATATCGTAGAGCTAAAACGGGCTCATAACCTAATGGATAGGCGCATGTATGGTCATATTACTAGGTAGGCCTGCCTGTGCCGTGAGATAGGTAGCGAGGGCGGTCTAGGACGGCAGAACCTCACGTGTACTAACAATTTGCGCTGGAGACCCTCTCGGCTGTTTCACATGGAGACTCCTTGTTGGCTCTCAGCCTGCATGTGGGTAAAGGCTTACTAATCAATATAACCGTCGCAAGCGAAAGGAGGCTAAATTGTGGGTGAATGACGGTAGGGTATAATATTAGCATAGCCATCCACGCTCTGCATCGCTTGAAGCCCTACTGGATTACCCAATGCGGAAAAGTTAAGGGCCCTCTTCACGCCAGATCGGCACCCCAGCGAGGATCTGCAGACCGCGAGGCTCGTATGCTGAGGCAGTGGACTTTGGATCGGCTTGTAATAATAACTATATGGATGTAGATTAATTATTAATCTACGGAGTACGGTGAGCTCCGTTGCTAGCATTGCGTGTGGCCTGAGGCTGAAGCTGCCTGAAAGACCCGAAGAGAAAGAGCTTGATCTTCTGAAGACCAGAAAGGCAGCTAGTCGCTGGAGAGATAAGCCTAGAGGACTGATCCCTCTGGCATTCTTGATTCGTTTGAACTGTCCAGGAATGTGGCAGAGTTCAGACCTGGATATGCGGGCTTCAGGGGTAGATAAGGGAGCAAGCTGAGCGCATCGTAATGTCGGAAAAGGAAAAAGCGCCGACACACGGAGGAGCAGATAGCAATGGCGAAATAATCGACAGAGTCCGTGTTGTCTTTGCAGCTGCACAGCGCAGGATCGCAGCTAAATATGCACAATGTCACGATGTCGCCACGTTTCAGCACGGACTGCACCTGCATGCAGCAGCGCGACTCAGCTGTCTTGGAATATCAGGCATGTTAAATATAATCTGGAGTATATCACAGATCATACCTCGACGACCATCTTTCTATGGTCTACCGGTGTGACAAAGGTTGAATTGAATAATGCTTGATAACACGGCTGGACCGCAGAAGCCCACCCACGGCTCGTGTCAAGAGGTTTGCCTCCCCCTCGCTGCAGAAGCCAGTATGAGCTCGGGCATCTTATCTGCCCGTCACTTGACCGGACGGAGGGCCTTGAGATGGCAGCCGACTTCACTCCTTGGTCGCGCTGAGCCGGTTTTGCCGTGCAGAAAGCTGGGCGGCTGGCCAGTCTATGACATCAGGCGCGATGGGCGTCAAAGCGCGGTGGAGCGCTCGATCGGTGCGATTGGAATTCGTCGATGGTTGATACTATTCTTGCTAAGGTCTTATTCATCTGCCTGACATCAATCCCAGGCATCCAGAGCCCCGATCGGGATGGCCGTGGCCTGTATAACATCATTTCCCGGCTTCTGAGCGAGCATCCCCCATGCCGCCCCGGCCGTGATTGGTGTTGTTCTGTTTCTCCAGATACGACTCCACGGGGATGCGCCCAAGCCTACTCAGAAAAACTGCGTCATAAAGTTATTTCTGTGAGCCTCGATGCTACGATGCCGTGGCAAGCTGGCACGGTTCTCGGGTATAAAAGGCTCTGTGGGATACAGCAGTGAGCCGTGGAACACTCGAACACTCCATCCGTGAACCTACAACTCCTATCTCCCTTTGTCTCCAAACAACAACCCTTTTCTGTCGACACCAATCGTTTTTACCAACCTCTACTCTGTCACCATGCCTATTCCCGTCCCAAAGGCCGATAGCCTCCATGACCTCTTCAGCCTCAAGGGCAAGGTCGTCGTTGTGACTGGCGCTTCCGGTCCCCGAGGCATGGGTATCGAAGCTGCTCGCGGCTGTGCCGAGATGGGCGCTGATCTCGCCATCACCTATTCCTCCCGAAAGGAAGGCGGCGAGAAGAACGCAAAGGAGCTCCACGAGAAATACGGTGTCAAAGTAAAGGCCTACAAGTGCAACGTTGCGGACTGGGAGGAGGTGTCCGCATTCGTGAAGCAGGTTATCACCGACTTTGGCAAGATTGACGCCTTTATCGCTAACGCGGGCCGCACCGCAGACGGAGGGGTGCTGGAGAGCTCTGTGGAAGACTGGAACAAGGTCGTGTTGACCGACCTTAACGGCACTTTCCACTGCGCCAAGGCCGTCGGGCAACACTTCAAGGAACGCGGCACCGGCAGCTTCGTCATCACCGCCAGCATGTCGGGTCATATTGCAAACTTCCCGCAAGAGCAGACGTCGTACAACGTCGCCAAGTCGGCAACCATCCACATGGCCCGCTCACTCGCCAACGAATGGAGAGATTTCGCCCGTGTCAACAGCATCTCTCCCGGTTACATTGACACGGGCCTTTCGGACTTTGTGCCCCAGGATACTCAGAATCTATGGCTGTCCATGATTCCCATGGGCCGCAACGGCCAGGCGAAGGAGTTGAAGGCGGCCTACGTCTACCTTTGCAGCGATGCCAGCTCGTACATGACTGGTAATGACCTATTGATCGATGGAGGATATTGTGTGCGGTAGAATGGCATTCGAGGGCGATGATGTAAATAGCAAGGCGTTAAGGCGGAAACCATCTATCCAGTAACCCGTTCATAATGAATATTCATCCATATAACATTATTCAATGGTAATTGCATCTGTGCGTGACCAGGAGGATACGAATCAAGTCAATCCAAAAGGTATATATATATGTACAGCCAAAGATGAATGGCAACCTGTTCCTTGCCCGGTAGCTTCTAGACCCAGTCCAGTTCAATCCAATCCATCCGAGCAGCACCTATCTCGCCGCATCCCGCACGCGATGCTATCCACGCTTCATTCAGGGCTCTTCAACCTCAGCAGGCTCGGCTGGGTCCTGGTCGGGAGCCACCCTCTCCGGATTTTCTGGAACAATCACCTCCTGATCCGGTTTCACGCAGGCCGGTATCACGAATCGATCGGTATTCGGTACGCATTGATCGTAGCAGTCGTCCACGACGACGTGAGGGTTGGTTTGTCCGTCCTCGCACCAGTAGATATTATGATATTTGAGTCGCAGGTCTCTGCCGCAAAAGTAACCGGAGCCAAGGCAGTTGGTCTGGGCAGCAACCAGGCCAAGCCCAGTGAGGAGGTAGAGGAGAACGGCGGCTTTCATGGGGGATGGTAAACAAAACGTGGGGATGCCGTATGATGTATTCTATGGGTACAAGTGGAGATGTCAGCCGGTGCGAAAGAGCACTAGCTGCAATAAGAGCCATACCTTTATCCGAACCAGCCAGACTGTGGAAGAACACAATCGAGTGACGCAGAGAAAAAAAGTTCAGGACGTAACTGTAAGCTGTACGGGGGAGATTACCCTCTGCTCCTGAGGACAACTGCGCCTCTGCTTCCAACGACAGGGCCACTCACGTGCCATCGCCCGTGTTTCAGCTGCTCCGGGGTATCCTCGTCATTATTGGCCCGGAGACATCTTGGCGCCAATATCTTACGCACACCCGCATTAACCGTATTTGGCTAGTCCCCCATGGTTTACTCTTTCCTAGATGGGATTAGCGCTGCTTAGTTAGCAAACAGGCCTGCCTGGTTAGCTGGTGTTACAGGTCAGGTGAATTCTGCCATAGTAGACCGCCCTCGCTTGGCCTGATACACTAAATAGCTAGACCAACCTAGATAGATACAATACAAGCAAGTTGATCCAACAGCTAGAACCCAACTGAGCTAGTTCGACCCCCATGACCCCGCACACGTGACACTCCTCCATCGAAGACCAAGACAACCTCCCACAGAGGCAAGGCATTCAAGGACATCCACCTCATCTGCATGACTATCATTCCGCTCTTGGTTATATGAGAATTGAGCGTTTATCTGCCTGAAACGGCTGAAAGAATGTCGAAGAGAACCTCAATTCATCTCCTGAAGAATGACTATGAGTGGCTATGAGCACATCGTGACTTGGGTAGCTACATGCCTCCGCATTCCAGCATGCGGATGAAAAATCATTGTGCTGGCAGATTGTCTAGTCTGGACTCAACGTCTGCGGCCAAACAACTGCCAGAACTTTTGGGGTCCTGTTAGGTAGGCTTATCCCCTCAGTTACATTCGGATATCATCCGCAGAATCGGCAGCTGCGCCATTCCATTGTGTCCGACTATGTGTGCTTCATTTGTTTCCGCATCGCGTTCATTATTGATGCAGTCAACAGGGTTACTGCGGGGAAATCTAACATTTGGACGTTGGGGTCAAGTTTCAACGAGACAAACTCTCGAATATACCCGGGGATGGCCCACGGGGACTGAGAATAGCAGAAGCTTGCACCATATTTCTCCAATCTTATTCCATCTGGATCCATAAATAGCCGTGTCCGAGTATCGTGCATTATCCGGGGAAGGTACTAGAAGATCCGGGGTATCGCCGGGGATTCTCCTTGCAGGAATGCGGCTCCGCTTCGGGTAGGAAACTTGAAAGTTATCCCGCCTATCAAATATCAACTCCGTCCAAGCTGTGAACAATGAGCTATACGGAAGCTCTCGACAATGAGGGGTATCCTATGGTGGTTACGATCATGATTCCATTGGTCAAGCCGGCGACCGTATAGAACACATCACACGACTGTTACAACTGTTCTGGTTGGAGAAGAAATTAACTCATCATGTTCAGTCGAATCTCTCCATCCCGGGATTCTTGAGAATAAATACTCGGACTCTATGACCTGCTTATCAACTGAATATCTTCGTCTTCGAACAACTCGCAATTCTCGAGATCTTACCGGAATGTCTACCATCAGTCTTCCCCAACAACAACGGGCCGTCGTCCGCGAAGGCTCAGGCGATACCGCACGAGCAGTTATTAAACAAGTCAAGGTCTCGGAGCCAGGGCCGGGTCAGATATTAGTCAAGATCAACTGGACTGGACTCTGCGGATCCGATAAAGCCCTTCTGTATGATGAATGGACAGACTTCGGCTTCAGTATGCTGCCAGCCACACACGGCATTGCTGGCCACGAGGGAGTCGGCGTCGTTGTAGCTGTTGGTTCCGGGATGGAGCGGCGGTGGAAAATCGGAGACCGTGCAGGCATTAAGTGGATTGCCTCTGTATGCGGAGAATGCGAGTTCTGTCTGAGTGGAACGGATGAAGTCCACTGTATCAAGCAGTTGAACAGTGGGTTTTCTGCACCAGGAAGCTTCCAAGAGTACTGTCTTGTAGATGGAAGATATACTTCAAAGATCCCTGACGGGGTGACGGATGAAGAGGCGGCCCCTATTCTCTGTGGTGGAGTCACTGCGTATTCCGCATGTAAGAGGTAGGCTATTGGGCCCTTTGCTTTTGCCTTAATGACTCAGTTATCCATGTGGCTAGTCCTGGCTGACAACTGAATAGGTCTGGCGTTAAAACTGGTCAGTGGATCGCTCTCATTGGCGCTGGAGGTGGCTTGGGCCATTTGGCTATTCAGTATGCACGAGCTATGGGAATGCGAGTCATCGCAATCGATGGTGGGGACGAAAAACAGGAACTTTGCACCAAACTGGGTGCAGAAGCCTTCATCGATTTCCAGAAGACCAAGGATATCACAGCTGAAGTTATGAAGATCACCACTTATGGCGTACACGGCGTGATTGTCACAGCAGCATCGAAACCTGCATACGATCAAGCAGTAGCATTGCTCCGCCCGAAGGGGACTGTGGTGGTTGTGGGCCTGCCTAAAGATGCTACAATCATAGCAGGTGCTGTGCCAATGGTGATGGCTATGAAGCAGTTGAAAGTTGTGGGCAGCGTTGTTGGAAGTTTGAATGATGTCAAGGAGGCTTTGGACTTGACGGCACGAGACCTAGTTCATGTGAGTTCTTTTCCCATTCTGCTTGCTGGTTCTCAGACTGATACTCTTCTAGCCAATCCTGACCAAGGGCAGATTGGAGGAAGTGGACGATTACGTCAAGAAAATGGCTGCCGGTCAACTTGCTGGTCGTGTCGTTTTGAAGGTTGCCGAATAAACCAAGGGTTATCGGGCCATCCGGTTATCATTTACTACTGTTCATAGATGTGAGGAGCGTTGCCAGGAACGTTGTCTTGATTTCAACACGAAAGCATATAACTGGTGTCGAAGATTGACTACGAATGATACTTGCATTATATATGCCGATCCTTGCTAAGTAACATCTTCGTACAGTCGAAGCCAGTGAGATTGGTACATGAATACTATGTGCGAATGCCTTCATTGATTCAATTTTCGACTATCTGGAACTTGACACCGGATTCCATATCCATGGAATGAAGAAGAATACGATGACTCATGCAACCTCAATGACGTACGGATTTCGTAGCAACACCATCTCTCGGACCGAGGAAGTAGCGAAATCATATTCAGGCCAGAGACATGTTCCAGTGCTCTGTTCCTGAAGAACGAGAAGATGTCGCCGCTCAAAGTCATCGTTATCGGCGGAGGTTTCGCCGGCATGGTCTGCGCCCGAGTCCTGCGAGAACATCATGATGTGACGATTCTTGAACGGGTCCCTCACCCCCATATGCATGGCAGTGGGGTCAACCTTGGCCCTACTGCCATCAGGATCCTCACTTCGCTAGGCTTTTCCCGGGAGCGAGCCAAGTCGACAGTTATCGAGAGGTTTAGGCGATTTGACCGACTTGGCGGTGTATTCCAGGACGACGATATGCATCCGATTGCAGAGAAGGTTGGGGCGCCTTGGTACACGCAACTGTGGGTTGACGGGTGGAATGAATTGATGCGACTTGCAACAGCGCCATCCGATGAACTGGGAATCTCGGGGAAGCAACCGACATTTATCTGGGGGGCTAAGGTAGTGGACGCTGACATCGAGAAGGGAGAGGTGCTAGTGGCAGACGGGAGGAAATTCCAAGGAGATCTCATAATTGGTAAGAGGGAGCGCACTTATTCAGCCCTGGTTTATACGATCTTCTGACTGTCTTATCCCTAGGTGCCGATGGAGTTAACTCCGCGATTCGGAGGTTGGTCGTCGACCAGGAGCATCTTGCTAGGGCTTGGCCTACAGGGACTTCCGCATTCCGGCTCACTATCATGGCGAGTGAAGTGAACGCTGCTATAGGAAAGACGCGTATCATGGATCCGGACCGGCCCCCGTCTGTCGACCTTTATCTGGCCGGTGATGGCAGTCGAAGGGGCATCATCATGTATCCATGTCGCCAATATGAAGTATTGAATATCAACTGCATTGCCCCCGACAGTATGGTCCGCTGGCCAGCAGAAGCTTCCCCAAATATGCCGGCCGATTTGAAAAATCTCACTGAAATCTTTTCCGACTTTGGATTCACCTGCAAATCTTTATTAGGGTACGAATGAATATATCAATGAACTGGGCGGAAACAGGATAGATCTAATTGATAGGCGAGACAGGGCGGCAAAAAGTGCCAGACTTTACCAACTAAGAGACGAAGACCCTTTACCCACTTACACCAGGGGCTGTGCCCTGCTCGTGGGAGATGCGGCACACGCAATGACACCGCACCAGGGCCAAGCAAGCAGCCAGTCTATTGAGGATGCGGAGGCCCTCAGACTCTTCTGTAAGGACGACATGGACGTATCGTCGATCCAAGATATCCTGAGGACCATCGACAGTGTGCGTCGGCCACGGGCTTCACATATTCAAAGACATTCGCGGGCTGGGATACGCTCTTCGGAGCACATGGGACTCCTCAGGCATATGCTGTATAACTGGCAGTACCCCGGGATCGAAGAGTGCGTGAGGAGGATGAAGGAGGGGGAGGACATGTTTGAAATAACCAACCCCTTCCAGCTGCATTGGATTACACCGTCATGAGTCGATATGTCAGCCATGAGACATCGGGGTCTGGAAAAGCTGGCCGATGACCCATGCGGGCGATGCATCGTTAGAATAGATATATCTGATGTGATAATGAGCAAGAGTGGCATTACATTACGATACTCTCCTATTACTGACTCTGCCAGGGTTGCCTATGCATCTTCCTTTCAGCGTGTACTGACTTGACCTGCTGTCTATAATCGTGTAAATGGCCTTGTACAGACAGGTTAACCGGGCATTCCTGCAGAGACAGGAATATCCTATTTCAGTCACCTCATTCACGGCGTTATTTGGTAAGGCAGCCAGACCAGTTCATAATACATCAGCGGTAGTCCCTGACAATGGTGCTCGGAAATATATGACCGTATAGTTTCCACAGGCAATACTCCGTATACGTGTCATGAAAAATATATACATACTGGACCAGGAAGTATCGAATTAAAACCATTGTCTATTTAAGAGTCCGAAATTCTATCTTACATGGAGAGGAAGGAAAGTAACCACCTTGATCAGTGGGGAGTTTGGCATCTACACTATCTACGTAGAAAAGACCTCCAGCCAAACATTAAGATAACCTGATGGTATAAAGGGTGAATAATCTCAAGAAAAGAGACGGAAACCGGGACGAGGCAGTTTGGACTCGGCGACGGCGGGCTGCAGCGGATACTTCCGGTACATAACGTCCGATCTTAAAGTATACTTGACTCCACGGAATACGGGATCGCCTGAATGGCAGAGATCAAACTGTTGGAACACCAGAACAGAGCCCATCTTGGGAAAAATGCGGACGGCTGGCCCGTTTTCGTCGAAAGGTGGAGTGAAAGATGTTGCTCCTCCGAGAAGTTTGTCCTGGGCGTCCTGATTGACAGCACTGGTTATACCCTCTTGTGCCATTTTGATTTTCTCTCGGTTCAGCTCGTCAAGATCTTGCTCCCCCTCGCCGTTAAGGTATATATGAACTGTTAAAAAAGAGATCTCCTCTTTGTCCGGGGTTTCGTAAAAGCCATCGCAATGGCAACGGAAGAATTCGCCCCCTTCGTACTTGAGGAAGCGTAGCCGTTCATTGAGCCGCGAAAGGCGATAGCCAAACCGGCGTTTTGCGAGTCCCGTTAGCCTTGTTCGATTCTCGATGGTCTCGATATCATTGTCTCGCAGGAAAGGTGTCAGACGGTCCAATATTCTTTGAGCAATGACAGGCGTATCGAAGATGATCCTTCCACAGTTTCGGGTGTCTATTGAGAGGGCCTGCATTCCGCCCCCGATATTGATCATGGCCCGTTCCCAAGTCGGCGTCGAGTCCCCCGAGAGAGTGCTAGCCTCTGCAAGACGGATCAACTCGTTGCATTCCGACTCGGTGAGGAAATTGTCAATCACAGCCGCAAAGAGGCCCTTGTACTGGGGTAGCGGGGTCGTAGCGAAGTCGATTATTCGAGAACAAGCGTTTTCCGGCATGTCAGGAGGCAGGAAGCCGTCGGGAATCGCTATGGAGGCCATGGTTATGTCGAACCGATGGTTTCCTCACGAATGATGGATATCCTGGCAACATAGTTGACCAGGACACCTAGTCAGTATATAAACGACATGATTCACGGAACTCTGGAGGCTGAAAGAGCCTTGGTAACGTGTTACGCGTTCGAGTGCAGCCTAGAGACCCAGCCTGTTTGCACTTTGTTAAGAAGGTTGCTGTCGCCTGGCACGTGTCAGGGCATGCCAATTGTGGTTAGCGCAGATATGCGCTGACTCATCCAGCCACAGGCTTCTGTTGGAGGTCACCTGTGTACATAGCTCGCGTGAGCTGATGGACAGTCGCGCGAGCTAATGGATAGGCGCATGTGTGGTCATATTACTAGGTAGGCCTGCCTGTGCCGTGAGATAGGTAGCGAGGGCGGTCTAGGACGGCAGAACCTCACGTGTACTAACACGAGCTATACCCAAACATGTGACTGCCAAGACCATTAGTAATCCACAACCGCTCGCGCGACCTCTTCAAATACTATACACTGATACCTGAAATTTGTTTTCCCTTACCTTCCCTACTCCTTGTCTACAATTTATATCAAGTACTTAGGAATCCAGTTATTATACCTCTTCCAGAATGGACCCCAGTCGGCCCCTTATCTCCCCGAATGATGATTTTCCTGAAATGAGTGATATTGACCCAGATCTTGAGGTATGTAGAAAGTGGTAATGATGGTGAAAGAAGTGGTGCGAGTTGAAAGTAATTTTAGGGGTGGTAAAGTGAGGTGTACACAGGTCACGCGAGCTTTCCCGAAAGGTCAAGTGAGCTATCTCCACCCTCACGTGCTGCCAAGACTATTATTAATCAATTTCAGCTCGCACGAGCTCTATAAATTCTTTACAATACTAATTGAATAAAGTGAGGTCGCCTGGGTTCTGCCCAGTTAGACCGCCTGGCCTAGCACCTGCAGGAAGTGCGCACCTAGATAGGAATACAACAATAGCTTCACTGTGCGCTCAATCCAGTCGCCATACTCACGCCAACATGGCCTACCATGGGACGGGGATGTATTAAACTGCCAGCACCTTAGGGAGAATTGAAGGATGGCATCGTGGTAGGAGTTGTCAACGGTCCACTGCCGAACAGGTCCCCGACCAGATCCCCAGGAATCTGTTCGACAGCGAATTTGGATACGCCTTGTTCGCACGTGAAGCAATTGACTTGAGCCTCGAACTTCTGGTGCATTTCGAAAAGGAACCGGACGTGGAGTATATCCCTCAAGGGATTCCGATCAGATTTGCGAGGATTTGTTCCTGGTAGTCTTCATGACACTGTTGATTAGACTGCAATCAATACTTGAACTTGCGGCCATAAAACTCTGAATCGCTGAATGCATGCAAGGACTGAGTAATACGAGGCATGACCCGTGTTAGACGCTCTGCATGGGGATATACCTGATCGGTGCCTCTCTGGCTGCTATCCTGCCTCTGATATGATACACTTTGCTCGACTTCTATGTCAGGGTTACAACCAGGTGCAGCATGGCATCCTATCAGAAGTCCACTTACCCATATGTGTCGGATAATCGGGCGAAGTGGAGATTCAAATGCCTATCCCACCGGCAATTGAGAAAACACGGCTGGCGGCTTAACGTGCTTGGTTGACGTGGTTCTGGAGCAGCATAAGCATTCCTCTCGCCAGTCATGCTCCCTGATTCAATGCGGAAGAGTATCTGATCTCAAATGTTACTGCTATCATTGCTGGATCTGAACCTGATAGCAGTGTGGTGACAGACGACAGGAGCTATTGGGTGTCCCGACTGGTTGTTAGAAATTGTCAATCGAGGCGAAGTCTTTGCCTGTTTGCCCAGTTCAGCACTCGTATTGCATCATGAGCGATGTCTAGTGTTCGATACTCGTCTCAAGTTGAACGAGGTATGTATGTATCAATCTGCCAATGGGTTGCTAGAGCCCCGCTTGAACCTCGACCTTGGAAATGGCGGACACCTTTCGTGCTGAGGATAGATGCAATAGAACTTGTCAGGGCTATTATTGATATGGTCCTCCGTGCTCCAGCAATCTATAGGGAAGTAAGGAAATACTGTGTAGAGTCAATTAGAGGACTTTTATGACGCAACGACCCATCTGCGAGAGCCTTCCTCTTGAAGAGAACATTCTATCTGTATTTCTCTTTCATTCCTTCAGCCATCTCCAGCCCTTGAGTCCTACAAATAACAACCCGTCGGCCACTGGCACTATGCACAAACCACTGTGAAAGTAGAGCTTGTCATTACGGAAGCATCGCTGCCTGGGCTGGTGATATTGGCAGTGACCGATCGGTCTCCGTTCGGCGGTCCACAACAGCCGCAATAGCCACTCTTGCAGGAAGAGGAAGCAGAAGAAAAGAACGTTCCGGCTACGGCGTCAGCCAATCCAGGCACCGGTATACGTATCACGCCGTGTATCTGTTCAGCGCGGTTCAGGTTCAGCGATCCGACTGGTAAACAATCCCAACGTGTGGGTTGATTTTTCAGCATGTTGGGCGGGTTCCCGATAGGAGGAGGTTCGCATCCACGGCACGTTCGGGATGGTGCCGAGAGCAGTCGATGGGGTGGTCCATTGCATGACCGCTGTGATTCCTCGAAAAGTGAGTCAGTCTCCGGTCATCACCAGAGGATTCCACCACACAAGATCTGACACAGCCGTGCGGAAGACACGCCGTGGCGTAGCGTTTGAAACCGAGCCCGCAATGCGGATAACTGTTGAGCGGGGGTTTGATCCTTCGATTTCTGCGATAATCCGGGCCACAGCCATAAAATCAGATCGAATCCCCAAGTAGACGCTGTCCGGTCTGTTTCCCACCCGAGTCTGTTCAAGCACCGTGCTATAGAACCGAGCCAGGATTAGCCATGGCTGTACGAGCGCCTCGCCTTGTCCGCAACCCGTCCCGCATCCTCTTCCGTACTCATTTGGTCCCACGGGCTTCTCCCTTGAAACCATGGGCCGTCCAAGCAAGCCCCTTCAGTAGTGGCACTCTTCGTATGCAGGTAAGATTGGGTGACAAACCGGGGGTCAACGGTCCCAGTCTGTTGTAGCTCGTCGCTGATGCATCGTGCAACGACCAGAACATGAAAGCACTGGTGTACACTGGGCCTGGAAAACTGGAATTTCAAGAGCGCGCCATCCCTACCATCCAGTCTCCCACCGATGCAATTGTCAAGATGCGCCACACCACTATCTGCGGAACGGATCTGCACATCCTGAAGGGGGATGTTCCGTCGATAGAATACGGTCGAGTGTTAGGACACGAGGGCGTTGGATCGATCGTTTCTGTGGGATCTGCAGTGAGCGACTTCAAGGCCGATGATACCGTTCTTATTTCCGCCATCACAGGATGCGGTGTCTGCCCTTCTTGTCGCAGGGGGATGAGCTCCCACTGTTCCAGTGGCGGGTGGCTCCTGGGCAATTCCCAGGATGGCACGCAAGCCGAATACGTGAGGATTCCTCACGCAACATCTTCCCTGTACAAGATCCCAGCCTCTATTGATCCCAGGGCCGCCGTGACCCTGTCCGACGCGTTTCCTACTGGGATGGAGTCCGGAGCCATGAATGCCTGCGTTCAACCGGGGAGCACCGTGGCCGTCATCGGCGCAGGTCCGGTTGGCCTGGCAGCGATGCTGACAGCAAAACTATACTCACCTTCGTACCTGGTAGCCATCGATCTGGATGAGACCCGACTGGGCCATGCAAAGAGACTGGGAGCCGATGAGACTGTGAATCCAAGCTCCCCGGGCGCCATGGAGGCCTTGGAGAAGGCGACTGACGGTGTGGGATTTGACGCTGTTATTGAAGCAGTGGGCGTACCGAAGACGTTTGAGCTCAGCCAGAAACTGGTTGCTCCTGGAGGTTCCCTTGCCAATGTCGGAGTTCATGGCCAGAAAGTTGATCTGTATCTCGACAAGCTTTGGGACCGCAACATCGGTGAGTTGGCCGAAGAAACTTACGATTCAAGGTCGCTGACAGCTATATCAAAGCCATACGGACCAAGTTGCTGGATGCGTACACAATCCCGACGCTTATTCGGCTCTCTAGCAGGGGAATAATTGATCCAGCTACCTTGCTCACGCATCGTACGTGTGCCTACACCATTATTCAATGCGCGGGATAGCTAACACCACACGCAGATTTCCCATTCTCTCAAAGTCTCGAGGCCTATGAAGCTTTCAAGGCAGCGTCCGTACAAGGAACGCTCAAGGTTGCAATTGATTTCTAATCTTCTGATATTCGGATGTTCATACTCGATGAAAACGGACTATTCTATCACAGTCAATAGTAATGGGAGCGGAATAATTTGCATTGCATTCAGATTCTGGCATCAAGACATTCGCTACTCCAATGGATAGAGCCCCAATGCACTTCGACAGCGTACGGTAGAGAACCTCGCGTATTCCGGTGCTGTTTGTCCCAGAAAAGTAAACAGGTGCGATGCTATTTATAGAGAGCATTTCCGGGGACTCGAAGATCATCTTCATTTAATTTAATCAACGCAGCGTGGATGGCCAGGTTTTGGAAATGATCTTCCAGACAATCTCTTGACAAGGCTTGCTTAAGATGACAATTCATTGAACGCGTAAATCATCGAACTTCGGAAGGATGGAATCCTCCAGCTCGGGTCAAACAACCACTGAAAGCGAAGGCTGACTTGCTGGCCATGGCCTATTCTCGACTACAAGTTGCTGGGCAGTGCCACGACTGAGCTAGAAAAAGCATGTTTCTTTCACGCTTGCTGTGTTCGATCGCTTGGGAGATTTGGTCACTCGTTTTGATAGACACCAGGGAAACATGTGGTTGAAGCATGTTATGGGGGCGTTCCTCGCAGCGATGGCACTGGCGTCTCCAACACTTGTTCTGCATGAAAAGAGAGACTCCTCTCCCAGTGAATGGGTTCGTAAATCGGCGGCGCATTCAGATGCGATTATCCTATTGCGCATCGCACTTGGCTCTCGCAATGAAGAAGCGGCTCATGACAGGTTGATGGACATCTCCGATCCCTCATCGCCCAATTTCGGAAAACATTGGACAGCCCAACAGGTATCCGAATTCTTTGCTCCTAGCACAGAGACACTCCATGCTGTGCAGAGCTGGCTGTCTTCGTCGGGAATCCCACCCTCTCGCCAGAACGTCAGCCCCAGCGGTGCTTCCATCAAAGTCAGCGCGACGGTCAACGAGGCGGAATCTCTCCTGGGGACCAAGTACTATGTCTGGGAGAATACCAGAAGCAATGCTATCAGCATCTCCTGCGATGGATACTACATTCCGCAGCACCTGCAGCCATACATCGCCTTCATCAGCCCGACTGTTAATCTCCATCCGTCATATCCCTCTTCCGGTCGTTCTCGGCAACATAAGCGCACCATGCCATTGAGATCATCAAGGCCCATTTCCCATCCTCCGATCACGTATAGAGTCGCGGATGCTGCGAATCTCACCGAGTGCTGGTCGTCGGTAACCCCTGGATGCATCCGAGCCCTCTATGGTGTGCCAGCTTCCAGCACAGCTACCCAAGGGAACGAATTGGGCATCTTCGAGTCCGGCGACGTCTACGACCAAGAAGACCTCGATTCGTTCTTCACGCAATTTGCAAGTAACATCCCAAATGGGACTCACCCCATCCTCCAAAGTGTCGATGGAGGAAGTGCCCCTGTGTCGACAGAAGATGGTGGTGGCGAGAGCACTCTTGACTTCGATCTTTCTTTCCCCTTGGTCTATCCACAGCAGATCAAACTGTTCCAGACCTTCAATGGACGTACCGCGTATTCCGGCTCCAGCTTTTTTGACTCGTTCCTCGACGCCCTGGACGGTAGTTACTGCGCGTATGGCGGCGGCGATGACCCCAAATACGATCCTCATTTCCCCAATGCCACTCTCTGGAACGGGACTCGACAGTGTGGTGTCTATGAGCCGACAAACGTCATCTCATTGTCGTATGAGCTGGCTGAAGCAGCCTATTCGCCGGCGTATGAAAAGCGTATCTGCCAGGAGTACTTGAAGCTCGCCCTGATGGGAACATCTATCATCTATTCCTCCGGAGATAATGGCACCCTGTCTCGAGCGGGTGTCTGGGGCTGTTTGGCTGATGGCGCACAGAATCCAAGCTTTCCGTCGTCATGCCCATATGGTAGGTAATTTGTTATTATTGTCGCTGCTGTGTTCATCCAATCCAGTAGTTAATCGTACGCAGTGACTTCTGTTGGGGCAACCCAAATCGCGCCAGGCGCCCCGGTCACTGCTCCTGAAGTCGCAGTTAACCCTACCAACAATCCAGACGGGTTTCTCTTTAATCTCCAATTCTCCAGTGGAGGAGGATTTTCCAACGTCTTCACCCAACCGTCGTACCAGAAAGCCGCCGTAAATGCCTTCCTCAGCAATTCTACGGGGCTCCCACCTGCTCATACATTCAACCGCACGGGACGAGGATTCCCAGACGTATCTGCAAATGGCTACAACATCGCAGTCTACACGAATGGCTACTACGGCTTGTCCTTGGGCACGTCAGCCTCGGCACCAATCTTTGCATCCCTCATCACTCGGTTGAACGAGGAGAGAATCCTGGCGGGCAAAAAAGCCGTAGGATTCTTGAATAACATTCTCTACCAGCACCCGGAGATGTTCAATGACATCACGGAAGGATACAATCTAGGATGCAATGCACACGCTGCTTTCTACGCCTCGAAGGGCTGGGACCCGGTAACAGGGCTAGGCACGCCGAATTACCCCAAGATGCGTGACGTATTCCTGAGTCTTCCATAGGGAGAACTGTTTACATCTAGTGTAAGAAGGCACTTGGTTTTCTTTATGAATTAGATAGGCATGCAACTGGACCTGGAGATCAATTATTCGGCATGCGGTGGATGGCGATGTAGCATCCATGGAGGACAGTTTCTGTGCCGACAGGAATGGTGGACTGATACAATGCTAACAAAGGAGCAATAAATTTCAACTCTATGCTGATTCCTGCATGTTCAAGTGAACCCCGCCATGAAAAGGGCCCGTAGGAACAGAAAAGTCATCCCAAGCTGCGACTTCTATTGCTCGCGAAAGGTTCGATGCAACGGACAAAAGCCAAGCTGTAAAACTGCAGCGATCATCAGCGAGAATGTGTTTATCAGCTACCCCTGCCTAAACAAAGGTTCGTTGATGTCGACTTCTTTGGTATCACCGGGAGCATATGCTGGAGGGACTATTTAACTGTTTAGGACAGCCCAAGCCGTCGTCTATGCCCTTCAAGCCAAGAAAAAACAGCTCCTGGCTGTCATCGAGCGCTTACAAGACGCGTCGTGTCCGGAAGGACGCCTGCCGGGTCTGCAGTTGATGGGAGGAGTCCAGCAACGCCGGCCAAAAAAGGACAATTGAGCAAATGTATAAGAGTTCGTCCAAGTATTCTCGGAACACTAGATCCTGGACACTTCTACCTATCTTTCTGTGGACAAATCCAGAAATTTCAACAGCCTTGGTCCTTCATCTGCGTGGCAGAAGGGAGTCGACGGTACCAGATGCGTCGAAACAACGAGCAAATACAAATTCAAAGACAGTTCTGGTGGCCAATTTCCCTGACAAGTCAATTGGAATATCAAGTAGCCAGTCTTGAGGAGGTTCACAGTATGCTGGTTGAGCTGGCAAACCGATAAAACAAGATCTTCTCCTTCAACAAAGCCTGCCAAGAACCGTTGGCCTGTTACTTCTGGGATCAACTTATGTGGTGATGGGTGTGACAACAAAGGCTGGCTGCTCACAGGATACACTCTACGCATGGTCTGTGATCTTGGTCTTCATACTGAGTGAAACATCCCTGGCGAGGCTGCAATTGAAGAAGAGATCCAGAAGAGGATTTTTTGGGGTGCGTTTGTCTGTTGACAAGCTTCAGAGCTTGTATTAGGGAGGTCATTTGCTATCAAGCTTCCATCCTTGACAGCAGGATTCTAAGTGAAACCGGGATTTTTCCTGCGGTGCTGCTCCACGGCCTTGCTGTATCACTGGATAGTATCCAAGAGCTTGGTCCTGTCTGCAAGGCCACATTTGGTACACCTGTCCGCCAGTTCGTCAAGGGTCGAAGCGGTGATCTTCTCCACAATACAATCTTGGTATTCTTATGAGCGTAGCCAAGGAACTGTCTGAGAAACCCAGATCTGGAAGCTGGTCGGTCCACCATTCGGCTAAGAGGTATGTTGGCATGGAATTGTACATGTTCCTGGCCGTTCACATGATGTTATTCGTCAGATAGGACAGTAGAATGTCAAATGATACTTTGCTGGCACATTGCGGTACTAGAATCTTTCGCTGTGACATGCATCCAGTGGCTGAGTAAATTCTGGCGGAAACCCGGCGCGGATGCTACCATCAGCCAGGCAATTGCGACTTCATCAACCTCGGTTTAGAGCTTTGGTGAAACATCGGTGGACAACAGCGTTAGCCCGACCAAAAAGAGCATTCTAGTAACCAATTTTGTTGTCAGGGGCAGGCTGTATGGTTGCTACATACTTTATGTCACCTTCAGCAGAGAAATACATGTTTACTGCGCCGATCCACCAACCTGTACAAGCCATTCGAACTATTCCACCTTACTGCTTCTACACCGAGGCAAGAGATAGGAGAATCATACCATACGATATGATGTCAATGCGGCAGATATGCTGTCAAGGACTGGTATGTACTGTCCCGGCCTTGGCAGATCAAGTTTTAATACAAGAGCCATCCCATGCTGCGCCAGCGGACAACGACCTTAAAGGAGTACCCAGTTCCGATGGACGGGACGGCAATTGACGATACGGCGTACGGTCTTACTATTCTTGGACCAGGAGGGAGCAACCCATCCACTAAGCCACATTATTTTAATTACTGCCACCGGCAATCGATCAGTGTCAACTTTAGTGGCCAAGTTAATTCCGCGTTGTTCCATCCAAGAGGAGTGGGGGATCTGAAAAAGACGTCACTGGAACATTCTACCTAGGAAATATCATGACGCAATGTTGCATGACCTGTCATACCGCCTGCTCTCCTCGCGCTGTTGAGTCTCTGGGCTTGGCAGGTCAAGTGACTTCCACTGTGTCTCCTAGCAAGTAGAAATGTCCGAGCAGTAATGCGTAGTAGGAGAGTAGATAGTGGTTTTGTAGCGACTACTAAGTTGTTGGACTCAACTGATGGTATAAATATGCGTGAGCACATTGCGGCGATCCGAGGCATTTCGGTTCTCCGCAGTGGTAAGATCTACAGCTCCACCCCCGGATTGCGGGGCACAGTTTAGCGCGGCCGCAATCCGGGGGAGCACGTGAACCGGAGCCCGCCAATGGCCTCATCGCCGTACGTTCTTGTCGAAGGTTTATACCATATTGGATGCTTTCCATGAGCTAACACTGTTACACCCTAGCAAACATAGGCCGAGCTATCCCACCTCCTGTCCATCCATTGAGAGCTTCCCGCCAACCCTCAGTAGATGTAGTACCCCCGCGTAAGATGTGGGGGGAGAGCCATCCTCAGGCTTGAATGGCATTAGAAGCCATTGTAGACTGTTGCTTGTTGAAACACACGGATATCTAGAATAACAAAAGCCGATCCACTTTGGATCCACGGGATGTATCTACCCTCAAAGCCCTGCCGTTCTTCTCCCGGAATCAGTCAGCGGCGGACAAGTCATATAAAGCTCTGGCCCTCCGCCCGACTTCCATGGTAGACTTATAATATCACATGGACTCAATTGTCTTATTCTTTGCTTCATTGCCTGCAGATGTATCGCACAGAGATGTTGAAAAAAGACGTCCTTGAGGACGAGCACCCCAAGGTGCAGCTCTCTCATCACGAAGATATCGATAGCGAGGCACCACTGGCTATCGCAGATCATATCTCGTACGGACCAACTGGAATCAAGGGCCTTCTGCAGTCGCCCTACGTTTTCGGTGCTGCACTTCTTGCGTCCCTGGGCGGTTTCTCCTTTGGATATGATCAAGGCGTGATTTCGGTCATCAATGTTATGTCGCAGTTCCATACCCGTTACCCAAACACGGATCCCAACCATAAGGCTAGTGGGTTTTACACAGGCTTCATGACCGCAATGATGGAACTTGGCGCATTTCTCGGCTGCTTCTTCATGCCAAAATTGGCGGACACAATCTCCAGGAAATGGGCCCTGACGTTTGTTGTGGTTATCTTCGACATCGGGGCAATTATCCAGACAGCCGCCACCAATTATGGCATGCTTGTTGCTGGGAGGTTTATTGGTGGGATAGGCGTCGGAACGTTAGCAATGGTAGGTCTACAGCAGTCGAAAAGAAGCATGATCATCTCTTGTCTCACAGGATATTTCACTGCACAGGGTGCGCCCTTGTACATTTCCGAAATTGCACCACCCAACTTGCGAGGATCGCTACTCGTTCTCGAAGCAATGTCCGTGGTGGTCGGTGTTGTTATATCCTACTGGATCACCTTTGGCACGCGATATCTGGACGGCGAGGTTAGCTTCCGGCTTCCTTTTGGTCTTCAAATGGTTTGCTCCACACTGCTTGGTGTAGCAATCCATATCTTCCCATATTCCCCGCGCTGGTTATGCCTCGTAGGACGGAAACAAGACGCCTTGAGGAGCCTTGCCAAACTCCGCCGTTTACCAGAATCGGACAATCGCATTCAAACGGAGTGGCGCGGAATTATGACGGAAGTGGAGTACCAAAAGATCCTATTGGAAAAACACTATCCGGGAAAACGAGGACTCACGCTAGAACTTCTCACCTGGCTAGATTTGTTCAAGAAAAAGACCTGGAGGAGAACGGTAGTTGGCTGCGGAGTCGGCTTCTTCCAGCAGGCAAGCCCTTACCCTCTGATCTATCCAGATACTATGGTCGACCACTGACACTGCGGCTCTAGTTCTCTGGTATCAATGCCTTTATATATTACGCCCCGATATTGTTCACTTCGATGGGTCTGTCGGATGACTTGTCAAAGATCGTATCTGGTGCGCTCAACGTTGGTCAGCTAGTTGCTACGGCTTCTTGTTTCTTTATCATCGACCATGTAGGCAGACGTCCCTTGGCGATTCTGGGCGGAATTGGCTCCATGGTTCCTTATATTATCATGGCTGTTCTATTTGGAATGTATTCAGACGACTGGCCGGCCCATAGAGCTGCGGGTTGGGGTTGCGTTGCAATGGCGTGTAAGTCTGGAACCATTCCTCATCTCGCGATTCAAAATCACTGATTGTCCAAACCCTGAGAGCATAGTTGTTTACATTTTCGCCTACGGGTCAACGTACGCGCCTCTTGGATGGACCCTGCCGGCGGAGATATTCACCAACGCAACACGCTCGAAGGGCGTGGCTCTATCCACAGCTACAATCTGGCTCTGTAATTTTATCATTGGCGTGGCGACACCACCGATGATCGATTCAGCAGGATTTGGCACGTTTGTCTTCTTCGCCTGCTTCTGTGGGTTGGCCGCAATATGGGCATATTTCTTGGTACCGGAGACAAAGGGCCGCTCCCTGGAGGAGTTGGTGAAGATATTCGATGACGATACCGGGCCTGAAGATGCAGAAATAATCGGGCAAGCTGTTGCCAAAGTGAATTGGGATACCCATGACATGCAAAGCGTGTGATGGAACATGAGTGGATGATGTTCACAGAAAGGAGAGCAATCTCGGAATCGCAGGACAGGTATTCTGCATTGGATTGTTTTCTTCAGGCGATATATTCATTATTTATACCAGCAACACAGTCTTTGCCTCTATTATTTATTTATTGTACATAGAGCAATGGATTCTGGGGCGAGATACACCAACAGTTGAAGTTGACGGGTTGGACGTGGTTGTATTCACAAGGGGGTCGGCGGAGTCGGTCCCTATCTAGCTAATGGAGATCACGTGACTAATCAACAGAAGTGTAAGCCGGGAGCAATACTCATTAGCAGGCAGAATCTGGCCGCTCTGGGTTGCCGTACTCCCTTCGCGGACCAAGGCTATGAGACGAGAAGGGTATCGGCTAGTAATTACGGAGCCCGTGATAGGTGGGGAAGAGAAATAATTGATTGATATCTAGACCTGATCTCTCCTAAGAAAAAAATAATTGAGGTTCTAGCATATATCTCTTGATCGCGCACCTCCATACGGCCTTTCAGGGGTGAGGTATTTCCATCGTGAACAACTAGTAATCCGGAATATTGTTCTTCCACATCACGTGACTGAATGCTGTTGGTTATACGGCTCTACTAGTTAACTAGTTATACGATGCCGTTTGACAAAGGCCTATTTTCTCCACACCACTTCGGGGTTGACCATGGTGGGCAATACCCAATTCCGAGACGCAGACCCAGATGAGACTATGCGTCTGGCTGTGGAACGCTTTCGCACCAAAATGGAGTCCTCCAATCGATGAGATTGAAGCCATGGGCCTCTCTACTGAAGAAAATTTGGACAAGATATGCTTGTACTGGCCTGATTTAGGTGTCAAAGGTGAGGACCAGTGGAATGATGCGGCCCCTCCAGGTCCTGTTCGACAATCCCGCGAAACGAGAAACGCTACACGGCTGGCAGATGTCAAATCAATATTCCATCAGTATATGGATGGAATCATTCCACCAACCTTGGTAACGGATGAATAGCGCCAGACGTTTCTGGAATTTGTGGAAAGTGTATACAACGAAGCAGTGGCGCAGGATAAAGAGGATGAGGATTTCCACAGTCCAATGTGCCATGAACTAGGCTACTTCGCCAAATATGCCGGTGTCCAAGATCTAGATTTTTGCCACTCCATTATCTGCCCATTTGAGCCAGTCTCTCTACGCCCCCCTTTACATTGGTTTTGAGGGGTTTGAACCCCTCAATGTAGGGGTCCGTTTGGTCAGAAAGATATGGTCTTTTACTGAATTATCGTTGTCCTTTGGCTTGGAATTCATATCTCCAGGAACATTTAACAGTAGTTTCAATGCTGGAACTCACGTCAATCACACACATCGACCCCTGCCAGTCCCAGTCCCAGTCGCATGCCTCCCTTGTCATCAGCATGGAACATCTACAGTCTACTGCGATGAAGAGAGTCTGTATCATTGCACTTCTGGACGATGGCTTTGGAATGAGAAGGAACAGCTCTCTTGCCGCTATGTCGGGTTCAATCTGGCTGAACTCGTCCGCATCGCTATACATGTAACAGGGTCTAAGTCCTGCATCCAAGTGCAGAAGCTTCCAGAAGGAAACCCCAACAAGGTCATTCTCGTCGCGATGGACGATGGCAAAGATACCATGAAAACTTCCCGACCCAAATTCTGGGCACCAACACTTTACCACGGCCAGTGAGGGTGGCGACGATGAACTATGTGAAGATTTTTTTTGCGTTATGAGGGTCTTCCCCTGCACCAGCAGATTCTATGGACTTAAAAGAAGTGTCTACTTCAAGGAACTGCAACACCGCAGGATTAGGGACCTGGGACATGGTTTACCGCTTGGGGAGAATTCCAGTAAGGGCTTCCTAGTGAGAACGATCCTAGGGGATCATGAGCTCGCTGCTGAGCGGTTCAAAAATAATGGGCATTCACTCAGGGCGATCCCTCTGCATGTTGAAGCCTACCTGGAGCACTGTACCAGGGGCACTGAGAGTCCATCGATAGGACCTCTCTCTCCCTGTTTTCGTCTTGTAAAACCCTAAGCCTATCGTGATGGACGGTTAGGCTCCGCCATACTCGAGTATGGTGGAGTCCATAACAGAAGGATACTTGAGACATGTCTTTTATTAGGTAGTCTTGATGAATCAAGCCTATTTTTCATTTTTCAAGTTTGCTTCACTAGTCTTGTCGCTGTCGCACTGTACAGAGCTCAGCTACATTCACTGTCTTCTTCCTTTTGTCATTTGGTTTTCTTACTAAGTTGCTTCACGCCGCTACATCACCTCATCACCTTCATACCTAAATCCCCTGACCACGACCCGGTTCCTTTCACAGGGTATGCCGCACGTACGCCCTTTTACATTAGTGGAGTTGAAGATCGAGGACGGCACACCCTATAGTATAGGCCATCACACACTGACCCCAGTGTCACATTTCACCCATTGATTGTCCAGCCAAATCTATATTAACTCGGGCTCCTAAATTATATATAACTAGCACACTATCAAACCTTTCTCAGTGGTTTGTCTACGGTATTCTCGTATTCCATCTAAGCGCCGAAAGCCACAGCAGGAGCACAGCAAAGTTGAGCACGCAATCATCCGCATGCTGATGCTTCAAGTAACGTTAACCATTTCTGAGCCAGGTTACTCTCGCCACACTGCGCATCTATTAACTTGTCTTAGGTGTTGTCTCCCTAGAAAGTGCTCAACAATAGCTGTCTGCACACTGGCCTTCCCATATTTCAGGGGAATGACTGGATCGCCGCTTATCAAAACTGTCGCCATCATCGGCGCTGGCGCTGCAGGTAAGCTCGGTATCTGAATGCAAGCGGTAATTCCGAGCGACAGGCGGATTGCTAAAGGCACGGTGTATTGTACAAGGTGCTGCTGCGGCCGCAGCATTCGATGCAGAAGAATACTTTGAAATAATCCGCGTGTTTGAGCGCAGAGAAATCGCCGGTGGGACATGGTCTGTTCATCCACCGTTCCATATCATCTAGCGCTTCAGTGAGGAGAGCAGGAGCCGCAGTCAACATGTGGTGCCTGAAATAGTATACCGAGAGGATAAGAAATAAATATCAAGCCAACACTAATGATAAGTTGCTGAATCTGAATCTCTCGACCAGGATCTACGACCCTGACCCCAGCCCCATGATCACGCCTTGTCCGGGCAAGCTTCCACCAGACATTGACCCCCGCTGAAGATTCCCGGAAACTTGCCCGCTATCACTAAACCATCAACCCAAGAGCGATACGAGAAGACACCTATCCATGAGAAACTTACGTAAGTGTTTGCTGTCCCAGAGGGCAATATGGCAGAAGGATAGCGATAGATATCTAACATGAGGTGTAGAACAAATGTTCCGGCCATAGCAATGGCACTGGCCGGTATCCCATTTCCATACGGTCCATTTGTGCCGCATCACGTCCCAAAGCGGTACATCGAGAACTATTTTTCCGTGCATCGGACGGATCGCTACCTCGTTCTGGGCACGACGGTGGAAGATGTCTCCCCAGTGACAGGCAGCGGGGATAAATGGGTGTTGACGTTGCGGCAGCACGATCCGGTCGACCATGTGGATTGTTGGTGGACTGAGGAATTCGACGCGGTCGTGTTTGCCAATGGCCACTATAGCGTCCCCTATGTAGGTAGCGAACGAATCTGAGACCCTGACATAATAATATATGGTGTATTGACGGGTGTAGTCGGTCTGACACAATTGCAGGTACCGCCGGTCAAGGGTCTGGATGAATACATCAAAACATATCCTGGACGCATCATTCACTCCAAGTCATACCGTTCTGGCGAGCAGTTCCGGGATAAGAGAGTCCTCGTGATTGGCAATTCGACATCAGGGCACGATGTAACAGTTGGCGTTGTTGAAACGGCACGTCCCCCAGTCTATCAGTCGCGGCGCTCGCCCTCGCGCTGGGATGGAGACGAACCTCCGCCAGGAATTGAATGGAAGCCTATAGTAAAAGAGTACCTGCCGACCACCGGCGAGATTATCTTCGATGACGGCTCCGTGCTTCGCGATATTGATATCGTGGTCTACTGCACCGGATACAAGACGTCGTTTCCATTCTGCAATACCAAGGCAAACGGCGCTCCAATCTTCGACTATGCTCAGGACCGTCTGGTGGGAGACTATCTTCATGTTTTCCTGACGTACTTCCCCACTGTCGGCATCGTCGGCATCCCTCGACCTTGACATTTCGTAGCTTCGACTACCAGGCCATCGCCCTCGCCCGTGTCTTTGCCGGACGGAATGCACGGCCGCTGCCGTCTCGTGAAGTACAGAAACGATGGGAAGCAGCACGCTGGGAACTTGTCAGCAGTCAGCACCGTAAGTTTCACGACATTCAGTGGGATAACGGCGAGACGCTCGACTACTTCAGAGAGCTCTATGACCTTGCTGGGCTGCCTCGCATCGAAGGACAGGGCCGTGTCCCCCCAGTGCTTGATAAGGAGACTCGATGGGCGATTGAACATGTCCGGAAATACGCAGATCCAGAACATGCGGCAGATCATGATCAGTGTAGTTGCGAGATTGTTGAGAGAGGATATTGTCGAGACAGTCTACATTTTATATAGAGTAGGGCCATGGATCATTTTTAAATATACATATATATGAATGCTGTGTCTATGTTTAACGTATTCAAGCTATGGGAATCTCGTTAGGGTTATCGCGGATTGGCCCTCGCAAGCTGCCATGTGAGGTTTGGAAACTAAGTACAGGCGTAGTTATTTACCAGAGTAGTGCAGAGTAGTGCAGAGTATTCCTGGAGACATTACACTTTGTTGCCTTCTTGCAGCGCTTCGAGACCCAATGCAGTTACATTTGCAGAGCATGACCAAGATACTTGCTTGGCCTATCCTCGACTGATGTAGTCTCCATGCTCGTTCTCTTAGGGAAACCGTCAAGGGACTTCGCATACGTGGCGACGGAGTGAGCAATAAGCTATAGCCCGAGGGTTGGAGTTAGCCACTGTATAAGCAGAACGAGAATAGAGAAACTTATACCTTCGTGCTGACTTCCCAGGCAGTCACATTCAAGTTATCCACCCCATCACACAATTGATGATAGCACGGATCAAAAGGGATACCTGCTTTTCCGCCAAACAACGCCTCCTCTTCCGGCGTTTTAATGACCTCAGCGCCGGTCGCAATACCACCACCCGGAATGCCATTCTTGATGAATGCATCATAATCGCTTCGTCCATCAAAAGGAATAAATGTATATCCCAGCCCATGTGACTCATAGAAATCAACGTAGAGGTCCCGTAGTTCCTCTGAGCCGACGGGATTCGCGGCATTCGTTGCGTTGTAGATCTGATAGGCAAAGTTCGGTCCCGCCATCATGTCATAATCCATAAACATTCGAATTTTTAGGTTCTCTTCCGCGGGCAGCGTCTCGACATAATAGTTTGAGCCAAGTAACCCTTCTTCTTCTCCGCCCCACCATGCAAAGCGCACGCAATTGTTGACGCGGAAATTGGCAAGGTGGGTTGCGACTTCGAGGAGGGAGAGCGTGCCGGACCCGTCATCATTTATTCCCGGTCCTGCCTCGACGCTGTCACTGTGAGCACCGAGCATGACACAGTTATCTGGGTCACCGTCAACGGTTTGCGCGATTACATTGGTAGTGGTGATGGTCCGGACGGTGGAGTCTATAAAAGCAATCGCATCGAGGTCGGATCCGTTTTTGAGTTTCTCCAGATACGGAGCGGCATCGCGACTGGATATACCGAATGTTGCGACATGGTATGGAGAAGGTTCGCCTAGAGTTCCACCAAAGGGACCTTTCTCATTGTTATAGACCACAGCGGCCACAGCCCCAGCCTGTCCAGCCAGCTCGGACTTGGTACCAAAGGGACAGACACCACGGCTGATAAAAGCAATAGCACCCGTGACGTTGGATGGAAAATCTCCTCGGTCGCATCCAAAGTTATTGACAAGCACAACCTGTCCATAGACAGGCTCGCGGGATCGCGTCGGAGGCGTAAGTTGCATTGGCTCGGCCGACTTTGGCACGTCGCTACCAAGGACCAGGCGGGACTGGTAAACTTTGCCCGTGACTGCAGGGAAATCTTGCGTGTATACATTGTAGTAGTCGCCTAGGCTAGTGATTGTATCATAGATATAGTCGATCGTCCCCAGATGCCCTAGTAATTACAAGGTGCGGTGGTCAGCTTGACTCTTATCAGCGCAGCGAACCAGGAAATGAATGACGGTACCCTTGCTCCCAATGACTCTCGTGGGATGACCATACTCATCAATAGCTCGCTCGGCAATCCCGTAAAGCTCCTTGGCTCTCCGGACGAGATTCTGAGGATCAACCAAAGCTTGCAGCTCTGCGGAACTAACCCAGCCTCGCCCAGCTTCCGTTATCGGGGTCTGAGATATCGAGGATCCAGGAACTGAAAGAGGGGACGAGGAAGCCCCCCCAAGAAGGGCAATAGCAGCAACAAGATAGACAGCCATATTAGACAACTGGCCGACAAGGACAATGACTGTCTATGGTCTTGGTTGTCGAGAAATGCGGCCAGGAGTGCTGGATATCGCGTCAACCAGCCGGGATTGGGGAATCATTTATCCGAAAGATAACGATATTGATTACTAATAAGTTTGTTGACTGCTCTAAGGAATTCCTTGATTTCGATCACTTGTGCAGAGAACTCATCACCATCCGTACAACACCCTAGCCAGGATACTACACAGGTTCTGATTAGGGTCGTTGAATGATTTACAAATAGTATCTACGTTGAATCCATCTCAATCAATGCGTAGACCGGCCTCTTTCAGCAGCGGTAGAATCTTCTGCCCAAAGTGCTCCAGATCAACGCGGAAGTCGTAGAAGTTGATCTGAATCCCGTCAATGCCAATGCGGTGCAGAGCAGTTATCTGGTCCACGATCTGTGCTGGGGTGCCGATGATCTCAATATTACCACCGAGGTTATAGCCCTGCTTGTGCCGGGGATCACTTCGTCCGCGCCAGGCATGAGCGTCACTGTCATACGCTCTCCCGGCGAACACCTTCTGTGGTGGCAACGTCTCTTTGCTGTTCACAATGTTCCGGACGTAGTCGTCAGTTTCCTCGGGCGTGTCACGCGAGACAATGACGGGATTGATCAGGGTCTTGATCTTGCGACCCGCGGCCTGGGCGGCGTTCTTGATCGTCGCAATACGATCCGGAAGCGTCTCCAGTGCGCTTTCGATGTGCGCCCCACCGGGAGAAGTGATAAAGATCAAGTCAGAATAGTGCACGGCGAAGCTGATGCCGGCCGGGGAGCCCGTCGCATTGACAAGTACCGGACGACCATACAGTGGCTTCGGTGTGATCCACGCATTGGATAGCTTCCATGGTGACACTTTGCCCTCGTAGGATATGTTCTCCGTTTCTCCCCAGAGGCTGTTGACCACATCAAACAGCTCTCCCGCCATCTCGTACCGTTTGTCGTGTTCGATACGCTGCCAGCCGAACATTTCATGCTCCACTGCACGATGACCAGTGACGATATTGATTCCCCAGCGGCCCTTGGCAATGTGGTCCAGAGTGGCACCGTATTTGGCAATATGCAACGGATGGAGTGGCCCATAGAGCACATGCATGGTCGAAACCAGGAGGATCTTTTTCGTCACGGCAGCCATGGCGCCAAGGGCAATGAAGGCGTCCAGCGAGGCCTCGCCATCGTAGCCGCCCTTCGGCAACCACTGAGTGCGGCTAAAGGCAAGATCAAACCCCAATTCTTCAGCCCTGCGGACGATATCGACGTTGTAGTCGAACGTCCAACTATTGCTAGTGGGGTAGTTGGAGACCGTGATGTCTTGCAGGTTGAGGAACAATCCCAGGAGCAGCGGCTGGCGCCCTGCTTGGCTCAGAGGGCTCTCTTCAAAATCCCACGGACCCTTGAGGGCCGGGCCGCCCTCTCGTACGGAGACAGCAGTCGTCGTCATGATGTTGCAGACAGCGCTGGAGAAAGATCAAGTCTTTGGAGTGATGTACCGGTGCCGGGGTCTTTTGCTTTCTTTTAAATCATCCATGTCGTCGCACGTCCGGGGTGGGCTTGAGGGACGCGATTGGGTGTGGTACGGATTGCGTGCCAGAGAGGCTTGATGTCAGAAGTGCAGTCAGCGGCGATAATCGGGATGGTTTTGGCGCCGGGAAAGCTATGTGGCCGCGGTTGCAGGTTATTGATCTAACTGAATATTAGCAGACATCAATTGATATGTACAAGGTACTCGAAAACAGAGCTCGCTGAGGGATAACCTGGTATGGGATTTATGGATTGTTAGTCCACAGCTGTTATTTGGCTGAACTGTTCTTGTATGCAGAGGCAGAAGAAGCCTGTCAGAGTGTGATTACATATGTATACATATATGCCCTAGTGGTCACAGGCAAATCGTTCCAGCGCAAAGAAAGGCCCAATGCTACGAGGAACTATATGGTTACTGTACATTCACGGAAAGATGAAATGCTAGACCCGCGCTCCCACTCAGATATATTCCCACACGTCGGGCGATGAGGTGACCTTGCCTCCTTGAATACCAAAGGGCAGGCACTCCGATGAGAAGCTCTTGGAGGGAACAGCCGCGAAGATTTGCCATGGGTAATCTCCACTGGCAGGACACGCAGTAAAGCCAGTACTGCCGTTGCCATTGTAGTTGACTAGGGAAACGCCGTCTTGGTGTTGGGCAGGCTGTGATGGTTAGTAGGGAGACCTCTCACAGTCAATAGCAGCCTCGGAGAAGGAGAATACATACAGTGAAGGAGAACCCGTCCAGTATCGAGCCTGGGGGGAACACGCCCTCCTGGTGTGGCTCTGTGAACGAGAGCGAGGCATCCGGAGCGACATATATGTTCTGTCCGCCGGGGACAAGAGTGTACTACATCAGATCTACGTTAGCATGCTTCAAGCCCATTGGGATGGAGTAAGAAGGTCGAGAGCGGCATACCAGGGAGGCTCTTCCAGTGTCGTTGGACAGCGAGATCACCGTGTCATTTCCCGTGGGACAGTTCCCGGCCTGTGGTGGGCAGTAGGTTTTGGGGCCGGGTCCCCAGATCCAGAACTTGCCGTTTGCAGCATTGACCTGGCCAAAGTGAATGGGCGAGAGGGAACGCAGCGACATGAGACCTCCGAGGACGATGGAGTCGGATTGCGCCTGCACAGAGGCACCGAGCAGGGCGGCCGCGGCGGCCAGTGACGAGATGAGCTGCATTTTGAATGTCGTGTTGTTTGTTGTCGCTGTTTTGAAAATGTAAAGCATGGAGGAAGTGATGAGAACTGGACATCCTTTTATACGGATAGCTCTTCCGTGAACTGCAAGTCTGATCAGAGGGAGAAAAGAAACAAATGGTTACCATCTCTTCCCTCTCGCACCTGTATTCCGACTCCGGCATGTCCCATGAATGGGATTGTTGATCAATCTGCTGATGAAGAGTGATCATTGCCCTTTTTAGAATATTCCGACACATTTTTGCTCGCAGGCCATAACCCGAGTCTAGCGATGATGCGCATGTCTTACTTTAGCTCCATGATGTGCTGCTCTGGGGACTCCATCGACATCAACAAGCGAACATCATCGGTCCATATCCGCAGGAACACTGCTATTCTTAGTGCCACATACCTTAAGTGTTTAATAAAAAAGAATATACTCCGTATACTAGCTCTAGCGGCTCGTCTACATAAGCAACGGTAGGTTTTATGAATTGACTGTGTCGTAGCTGATCTTTACCTATCTGCACGTCCATACATTCGCCATGGATAGAGTATCCGTCGGTGCTGCATGCTAATGACAGGAAGAACCAGATAACTGTCATTTGTATAGCTACCGTCGTATCCCAACAAGGTGAGGCATACAGGTGTAGTTTCTGTTTCCCATCCACCCGGGATGCCCTTTGCGTAAAGGTCGCGGGAACGCTATAGATCGTCAATGGTCCCGGGGCGAACAAATCGTGTCATTCCTGGGAAGCGTGAATCCTCAGCCATTTCCGAGAGGTGGAGGCAGCTTCGAATGCGTGGAAAGAGTCTTCGCGATGGAACTTCCGACAACGTTATGACCCGGCTGTTATATGTGCATGTTCAGTCCCAGTTCTTGTAACCTTTGCCTTCATCTGCTTTTCAGTACCCCAGCGGATATGACCTCCAATATAGAGAACAGTACCGCTCTGAACGACGTACAGTGCGACAAGTTGCAGTACGGATTTGGTGCTGTCGGAAGCCAAGCGAACGGGGTGACCGCAAAGGCTGTGGCTCAATATGTCGCATCAGATGCTCCCATCGCCTTTGTTGCAGCTCAAAATGATACGCGATTTATTATGCCACTGACGACCACCGACAGGAGCGTAACCATTAATCCCTGTGGTGCCGCTCATCCTGTGATGATTCCTGCGAGATTGGACAGCTATAGAAGATCCCGTTCAAAGTTTTAACTTGCGTACATATACTGGCCATGGTGGTTCGGGATGACCTCTCAGTTATTGCCAATTGTTTCCCCACTCTCGAATTAGCTCCTCAGGAGGCAGTGTTGTTGCACTCCACAATTCATGGATCTATCCCATAAATGGCGGTGCACTGGCATACCGGCCGTTGATCCAAAATAATTCGATTAACTCAGATCAAATCATTAACGCATAGGCCAACATCTATCAGAGCCGCATTGCATCAACAATTTCATAGATCGCTCTGACATAAGCTTCGGTATTCTCATTAACCAGCGGCCCAGTTCCCATCTTGTTCATGACATAGCCAATAGTCATCCGCCGATCCCGATCCATAATAAGGATTGATCCACCCCAGCCAAACCAGAAGCCAATACGGCCTTGGGGAATCCAAGGTAAGGTTGAAGGTACAGGCAGTCCCACTCCAAGACCAAACCGGAAGTGTGAGAGTAGCACGAGATCCTTGCCGCTGATCTTCTCTTGGAGTATCTGGTCAACAGCTTCGGGGGAAAGGTACCGCTTCCCATCAACCGAGCCGCCCTGGGAGACCATCGATCCAATACGAGCCAGCGCGCGAGCGTTGCTGAATCCATTGATGGCACCAATGGAGGCTTTCCTGAAGCCGGTGCTCATGGATCTCTCCGCGGGAACGAGCCCACCAGCAAAGGTCTTGCCTTCCACACTCTGCGGGTCAAGACCGTCCAATGTAACAGGGGGCGGAGGGATGATATCGGCGGCGCGCGGCCAGTCCACCTCTGGCACTCCTAGTCGGAAGTCCGCACCTAGAGGACGGGCGATCTCTTCTGCAATAAACTGTGCCAGTGACTTTCCGCTTGTCCGCTGCACCAGTTCGCCGATCAAATGGCCATAGTTCACCATATGGTATCCGGAAACTTCGCCCGGTTTCCACCAAGGGGCTTGCTGCGCCAGAGCATCAGTTGACTTCTTCAGGTTGTAAATGTCCTCCACAGCGATTGGCGGGTCCCACGAAGCGACGCCGGAGGAATGGGTGAGAATGTGGGCTACCAGGACACCGTCCTTGCCGTTGGCAGCGAACTCGGGCCAATATTTGGATACCTTTTCGTTCGGGTCGAGCAAGCCACGATCGATGAGAATGTTTGCGGCAAGACTGCTGACCACCTTAGTGACCGACCAGACGACGGTGATAGTATCTTCATTCCATGGCTTGGTATGTGCCGCATCTGCGTAGCCGCCCCAGAGGTCGACGACATTCTTCCCGTCGATGTTCACACAGAGGGAGGCACACAGTTCATGGCCTTGACTCAACCGTTGTTGGAAGAGCTCACGCAGCTGGCTGAAGGCGGGGTCACAGTGCCCATGCGTCGTGGCCATGGCAGGAAATCGGCAAAAACGAGTAGCTTGCAGTGCGGATATTTTCTCGACCTAGAGAAGGGATGAACAGCGCAATTATTATTTATGAACACAAAACAGACAGCAGCGAAGCACTTGGCTGTAAGATGTTCGTGATACCTGCTGGCGGAGAGATCTCCTGCTGACAGAGAATCGGGGCTTCCATTGCCGCGACGGGCCTTGGTCCGTACATAAGACTCAGAGAACGGTCAAACCATGATGCGGCCCTTAGTCCTGGGGGATCATTGGAATGCCGCAGTAATCACAGAGTGAGTACAGAGTAACACTGTCAAGCATTGAGAATAATATGCTCTCCGGTTGAGAGGGGAGCGATAGTTCGTTAGTTACATCGCTGTGGCTTATGTAATCACACCGGGTGCGATGCCACGGTTCAATCCCTCCCAAGTTCCAACTGTGGATTCGACAATTTCAGCTTTCCACAGTTCAGCTCTACAGGATCGATCCATCGCCAAGGATTCCCCGGATCGATCGGTGCGGTGGTTCGTGAGAACAAACTCAATCGTATCTAACAAGTCCAGCCAGCTAATTCCCGCGGTAGCAGGATTACTCAATAAATCCCAACGAAAAACGTGAATATTTATTGTCCTTTTCGAAGAGAAAAACAGCAGTATTGTCAATACAAACCGACTGAAATACCTTCGCGAGGACACGGTGGACTGGCGCAGGTATTCTGGAGCAAGTGAGGCCCTACGCCCGAGATACATCGATCATCCCACTGACAGCGGTTTCTAGAAGTGTCATAAACACCTCGCCCATTACGCACGTGGGCACAAGAGGCACGGTGAAAGGCCTTGTGGACCGTCTGCTGCTGCAAGGGGCCGTCGAAGGATGAACCTCCGGAGATGAGCTGGTGGCTTCTCGTCCGGATCGCGTCGGCTTTGCCGTGCAAAGCTTGTTCCGTGGGGCTGTTATCAATCAATCGAGTCCCGTCTGACCAGCGCCCTATTCATCTACGAATAATGGTCTGATCCATGTCTAGCATCGGACAACAACGCGAGCAATGCGACGTTCCATCGCCGACTTGAACGTGTCCTGCACGTGGGTGCCTGCAGTTGCTCCCATTCCTCCTCCGGCGAATTCTCCTCAGTCATCATGATCGGCACACTACTATCCTGGTATACAGCTGCTGCTATGCAAGATTGCTACCCCGAACCACTATAAGAACCTGCTACGCCCGGTGTGAATGATGTGAAAAACAGCAGAGCGGCCTTCATCTCTATATGCCTCTCTTCTCTTTTCTCTCCGCGACACCAACAGTCATGCAGCTTATCTTCACGGTTGCAGCCATCGCGAGTGTGGCAGCCGGGTTTCAGTCGGTGATTAGCGAAAAGCAATTTTCTCAGGAATTTCTCGACAACTACAGCATCCTGAAGCACTATGGCGGTAATGGCCCTTACTCCAGCCGCCGGTCCTACGGGATCTCGCGCGAACCTCCCGACTCGTGCTCCGTCGACCAGGTCATCATGATCATGCGTCATGGCGAGCGATATCCGTCTCCAGACCTCGGAGCGAGCATCGAAGCAGCTCTCGCCAAGATCAAGTCCTCGAACGTATCCACATACCAGGGCGACCTGGATTTCCTAAATTCCTGGACCTACTATGTCCCCAATCACTGTGCCTACAATGCCGAGACCTCCACCGGACCGTATGCTGGTCTCCTCGAGGGATTCAAGCGAGGTAGCGACTACCGCGCTCGTTACGGTCATTTGTGGGACGGGGAGTCGATTGTCCCAATCTTCGCTGCTGGTTACCAGCGTATCATTGCTACTTCTCGAAAATTCGGCGAGGGTTTCTTCGGCGCCAACTACTCCACCAATGCGGCCATCAATATTATCTCAGAGGCAAAGGAGATGGGTGCAAATAGCCTCACACCCACTTGCGACCACGACAATGACACCAGCACTTGCAACTCCCTGACAACGGTGTGGCCACAGTTCAAAGTCGCTGCAGCCCGTTTGAATTCTCAGAACCCCGGTTTGGATCTGAATGCCACTGACATCTACTATCTGATGTGTATGTATAGTCTTTCCCATCCTGCCCCTATTGCCGTATGGACGACTTACTGGTTGCAGCCATGGCTTCCTTTGAATTGAACGCTCGGCCGTACTCCGACTGGATCAATGTTTTTACCCTTGATGAGTGGGTGACGTTTGGTTACGTTCAGGACCTGAATTATTATTACTGCGCCGGGTATGGGTCTCTGGTTGTCCCAGGTCTGGGTCACAGTCGCTGATCTTTCACGCAGCCCAGGAGACAAGAACATGGCCGCTGTGGGGGCCGTATATGTAAATGCATCTCTGACTCTCCTCAACCAAGGCCCGTCAGCTGGCACATTATGGTTTAACTTGTTAGTACCCTCTTCCCAGCAATGGAGCCCCTATTCCCGGCTGACCCATGTTGCAGTGCCCATGATACAAACATCACCCCCATTCTTGCGGCCCTCGGCGTCCTCACCCCGGAGCGTGATCTTCCCACCGACCGTGTTGTCTTCGATAGCAAGTGGTCCTCCGGGGACATCGTCCCCCAGGCCGGCCACCTGACAATCGAGCGACTGAACTGCACGAGCACTGCCGCATCACCTGCCGGCGTCTATGTCCGCTTGGTCCAAAATGAGGCCGTCATCCCGGTTGAAGCGTGCCAATCAGGTCCTGGGTACTCTTGCTCCCTGGCCGACTTCACCGAAATTATGTCCAAGCAGCTTCCCGATTTCGTGTCGACTTGCAGTATTCGCTCGTCGTACCCTCAGTACCTAGACTTCTGGTGGAACTACAATACGACCACCGATCTGAACTATCCGAAGGGCCCGGTTCCCTGTGCCGAGGGAGTGGCGACAAGCTAGTAGGCTCTATGCTGTCCTCACGGACATGTATTCCACACCACTCCTCCCATCACAACCAGGACGATGCTTACTGAACAGTCCGTTTCATCATATGGGGGTGTCTCTGTAGTATATAATATGTCAGTCTTTTCCGCAATCTTAGGAATAGAAGGAATTCACCGTCCTGGTCCACAGTCCTCTAGTGGGCAGGAAAAATGGCAATGCTGACGTGTGTGGAAAAATAATATCCAGCGGCGAGCGGCCGCTGGGCCGCCCAGCACCTGTGTAGCATCGCTATTCTGCACCTGCCAAGAACTTTTTAGTCACACGTAGCTTGATCTACTATATGAAGTGGAGAACAAGGCTACTTTCCCTGGGTTGATTGGAAATGTTGAGATAGTCACGAGCTGCTATGAATGTTTTGTTTTGACTACATTAAAGTACATAGGTGTACATGGCTGACTGCTTGCTGCTCCTGGGCAGGATCTTACTGAAGTAGGTAAGGAAGAGCAACATGAGGCCGTATGGGCAGATAACCTGAACGTGTGCTACGTGAGCCCCGACGGGATTATCTTTGATGATGCATGAGTCTTGCCAGGGAATACAACATCATAATACCCAGCTCCAGACTTGAAATCCAGTGTTGAACTCATTATGCAGGAGTTTTGACATTGTAGTTGGCCATGCAATCTGTGTCAGCTACCCTGGCAATGCAACCTCTGAGGTCAATTCCTATGCCACCAGTGCAATGGGGGCGACGGCTACCTCTGCTGCCCCAATACCAAGCAATGTAATTGCCTGGGACCAACGTGTACTGCGGGAGATATTATTCAACCCAAGGTAATCCAAGGCTTTCTCTGTGGGTTTGGGACCTCACCGCTGACTGAACCAAGAAAATGATTACTGCCAGGCCATCGCAATGAAGGAGGGAATCAGCCTTGACGCAGCAACTTGTACTTGAATTATAGCTATTGTACTGGCCCGTCATTCCAGATTATAGACGTTCCGGGGCTAATTCAAGTCAATCTCTGGGTGTGCAGCCGGTTGGAAACATTGAGATGTATCCTGGCTCGCGCCTGGCAGGCGATGCTCCAGTATCGGCTTGTGCGGACCCACTGGGTGTTACCGTATCCAAACGACTGACGCTTCTGGAGTCATGGCACGGCACTCCATGGACTAGGGTGGAGACGGCTACTCACTTGGGTCAGGGATCCATCGCGGGAGCGGACCGTTCCATTAGCGGCGATCAACCCAATCCGTGGCTGGAAACGCGGCCCTAAACCTATGGACCAGATGACACTCCATGTCAAGACTGCTGAACGCTCCGACTGATGCAATTGCGTGACACTGCGGATAAGGCCCTTTCGGCTTGTTGGTCACAGAGATGGATTGACCATGGTCAATGTCCTGTGCTGCCATGTCGCGAAGTGCGGTTACAGGCTTGCGGGTGGGGAGCGTACGCATGGAAGTACATTGAAATGGAAAGTTTTGGGGGCAACGGGTGATTGATACGGGTCGACAGACATGGGTCTGGGACATTGCAGGGCAGAGAGTAAGAAAAAAGGGCCATTGTAAGAAACCTGGTGATCCATTCTGAAAAAAAAAAAAAAAAAAAAAGAGCACAGTAGGAAGTAATGTGTATGTTGAGAAAATCAGCCATGCCATCTGCACGCTTGTTTAACTGGTATATAACCCGCAAATCAGGCAATGAGGTTTCAGCAAAGAGAAGTACCATACCCCCAGAAAGCAAATCAACGCGGAGTAGCCCGATCCTACGCCCATTTACATGCCCCTTGGATCCAAAATGGTATGTATGATCTCATCCCGCCAATGCAACTAGTAATTCCAAGAAACCCACTGGGGCACTGTCTGTCGAGTAAGTTCTGGATGCAGATGCCTCAATAAATGAATGCTCTCGCGAGAGCGGCTCAAAGAAACAAAAATATGGATCATCATGGTCGATGGTTGCAGAGAATGGAGTTTTGCATTAGTCGACCAAGTGGTAGCAGGTTCAACGCCCTGGTCAGCCGGTATATAGCCTTCTCTTTGAGATGGAGTACTGCTGATTCTCATTGTGACTTTCAGAACTGTCTCGAAAGGTAACTGGAACAAAACCAGCTGGATGTTGTCTTGAAGAGCTTTATTAACGAACAAAGGTTTGATGCCGAGGCTGGAGAGAACGATGCCAAACTCATTGCATTCCCTGAGCTATGGATTCCCGGGTACCCAAACTATATCCATGCGCATGCAGAGAAGGCATGCACGGAATACAACCTCAAGTACTACCGAAATGCCATCAATCTCGACTCCGAGCACATGGAGCGAATTCGCTTAGGTGCCAGGGCAGCAAAGATTATGGTGGTTCTCGGATTCGCAGAGAGAGATCGAGGCAGCTTGTACATGTCACAGACTTTCATCGGTCCGGACGGTGATGTCCTGCTGCACAGAAGAAAGTTCAAGCCCACCGCCCAGGAAAGAATAATCTTTGGTGATGCCGTGCGTAAACATCCATATCTTTACCATTAACACTAGTGTTGACATTCGGGATTTATTAGTCTGGCGACTGCGCCAAAAACGTCGTGGCCACACCGATCGGGCGCGTTGGAGGCCTACAATGCTTCGAGCACTTTCAACCCTTGCTCAAATACAACACTTACTGCCAAGGGGAGCAGATTCACGTTGCATCGTGGCCCAATCTATTCGACCCAGTGGGAAAAATGCCACTCTTCAACTCCAGAGAGCCTTGTACTTGGGCCAGTCATACCCTTGCTGTTGAGGGGGGCACATTTGTCCTTTTGGCTTCGTCGATTCAGACAGAAAAGGGTCTCGTGGCACATGGACTCGCTGCAGACAGCGACACAGAAGAAAAACCTCACACGGCCATCATTGGGGGCGGATTCTCAGAGATCATTGCGCCAGACGGACGCACCCTTGTCAAAAGCTCAAGCTCGACCTTCGATGGGATCATATATGGCGAATTAGACTTCAACGAAATTTACATAGCTAAGAGCTCTGTGGATCCTGTTGGACATTATTCCCGTCCAGATATCTTCACATTGCATGTGAACGACACTATCAACAGTCATACTATCATTGCGGAACAGAAAAATAGCTTCGATAACTTGTCCAAGTTTCCAGCCCTGCCGGTTGAGAAAAGCCAGCGCGCGAGCGATCCGCAAAATATATAATCACAGGATTTCTTGGCAAAGACAGATGAATGTTCCTCATGATTTGTTGGATAACTTTAGCAGTCTACAGTAAATGATAGAGGACATTCTATTACCAGCCTAGGGTGCATTGCATAAAACTGCGCATTGTCAATTTCTGCTATGGAGTTACGCTGGTTTCCTGCGCTGATACTAGTAGGGCAAACCTAACATAACCCAACAATACCACTGTAGCAGTTGTCATTGAATTATCTGATTAGCCAGTCGATATTGACTCAACAGCCAAGCCCCTACGGCCCTCCGGGGTATAAAGTTCCAGAGAGTAGATGAGTGTAGATTGGGCGTCTGTCCAGCTTAAGATATAACTAGTCCGGTGGGGATAGATACCCCCCGGCGTCAAGTTTAGATTCAATATAAATGATGATCTATAGCGATTCTTCTTTCTCGCCGTCATTGCTCCGTTCTGCATTGCGCAGCAATGAAACATATGGTGTTGTCAGGTGGACTGAACCATCATAAGCTACAAAGTGAAATTTTTCAATGATTAAGGTACCAGCTATCGCTGAACAGGAAATTAGGTTGGTAATCTGAAAGTATTATTCGTGCAATGTTGCTCAGAAGCTTACGGATCAGTTTCCAAATGGTCTTAAATACTTGTCAGCTTATATGTCATCAATAAGTGATGTGACTCACCCCAATCTATTCTTACGCGTTTTCTGTCAGCGCAAAATATTATGATAAGCACACGGCATTCTTAGGCAATTTCTACAAGTCTGTCCCTAAATCTTTTACCCAGACACATTCTCAAAAATTTTTGGTGGACATATACCTCACTCGCACCACCCTCTACACCCGATAACAATTGCAGACATTATAATTAGGCACTAGCTTGGACAATAAGCTACACAATGGGAATCTTTCACTACTCCATCTTTTGCAACAAGAACTCGCGGAATACTCTTCCGACGCCGTCTGAAATTAGAGCAATAGCAAGAAGTCTGGCAAACATCACATAAGTTTCAATCACCCATTACCTGTCACGATTCCATCGTTAGGCCTTCCTGTCAAGTACGGAGCCGATATAACCGTCGTTGAGGCTCAGACTCAAATGATGTTGCATGAGCAACTGAAGGATCAAGTTCCTATCCCTAGGGTTTTTGCCCGGGCTAAGGATGGGGGGCAGGTGTTTATATATATGTCGTTGATTGAGGGTGCAACCCTGCAGGAGAGATGGAGTGACATAAATGAAGATGAGAGACAGTCTGTCTGTGAGGAACTTAAACACATGGTAAAGGTTTGGAGAGCTTTGGAGCAAGACAGTCATGGCCATTATATTGGTGAGATCTTTTAATCACGTTAACTAAACAGACGTAACTAAGAGTTTATAGGGAGTCTGGGTACACTACCATTGAACGTGATCTTTCTTTCAAGCCATCCAGAACTCACTGGGCCATTCCAAGGCGCAAACGCTGTCCAGCAGTTTCAAGACGTGTGTGGAACCAAAATCTTCCCTTCAAGACTTCCTTGTTGGGCAGGAAAGTCGCGCTCTTTGCAGAACACTCAAGTGCTTAGGGATAAACTTTTGTGATTGTCTTTACAGGGGTACGAGTAATTCCTATTCACCCTCATCCACCTCATCCGCCTCCGTCTCTGTCACTATGGGTTGAGGAAGAGGTGGAGTAGAGTCATCTGCGTTACTCTGCCAAATTATGCACTAAGGAAGGATAAGTTCCGTCCTCAGCATCAAAGATTCATTCTGGGCCGTCCTGTCAGCCTGCAGATGTGCGTCATGTTGGATTCAGGCACCAACATGAAATTCCAGGCCATCCCGCCTATAGACACATTGACTGACATTGGTATGTGATGCAAAGAATGTGCCACTGATCGATTTCCGTATGAGATCCGCAGGATGACGGAACTGAATCCAAGGTGGGATGAGCAGCGTAGAATACCATACAAAACGCGGTTGCTTTTCCTAGAACTAGGCTGACCACTAACAATTACCACTGATAAGGGTATGAATCTCATCAAAGAAGCTCACTGGACTACGTCAGACTCCAGGGGAAACTTTCAAGGGCTATTTTACTCAGTTTACACAGAAAGTTGAGACTCTCAGTGGTCAACAGTAACACTACAGTCTTCCTGACCATGTTGACTTATCATTTGTCTGGTCTGAGTTCCCTTTTCGTAAAGGTGGTGGACCAGTGTATATAACCGTCGGGCACAAAAAGGCGAGGAATTGAAAAATGAAGTTGGCTGGGAAGTTTATCATGTGCCAAGGCATCTGGGCACGTGTATGCACTACCAAACCCAACTCAACCCAGAAAGAAAGTCTAACTTTAAGAAGATACACAAATAGCCCATTCACCCAGTCTCTTCTTGATCCACAAATGGTAGGGCTTTGAGCCACGCCTTGCGTTCCTCCTCATTCCTAGCCTCACGGCCCAAGAATCGTTGTATCCCCTCCGCTAGCTGCCTCTTTGATGATTCATAATCCGCATTGCTGACCTTGCCATCCCAGTGTTTGAAACATCCTGTGTCACTAATAAAGTCGTTCATGAGCCCCACGCCCTGGGCCCACAGCTCTTCGTCGCGTTCCTGTTTCTGAATCTCAGCGGCCGAGAACTGCAAGGGGCATGGAACCAATGGCAAGCCATCTGTCCCGACGCCAACAATCTCTGGCCATCCTTTTTCCACATCTCTCAGCAAGCTATTAAGGCATGGTTCGTAGTCCATTAGCGTCAAACCCGGAATAACACTAACTTGGTGACGGAGCGTGTCTTGGCCCTGCATGGCCTGGAAGGCTTCTATATTGACTTGACGGGATCTAGCCAAGTAAAGATTGTGTAGTGTCTGTGCTTGATGCAATGCTTTTGCTTTCTGTTGTTCATCTGGGGTCATGGAGTCAAAGTTCCCAGGGAGATGGATTTGCTGAAGTCCTTCAGGAGCCGGGCCATTGTAATCCAGGAAACCAGGGCGTGTGACTTGCATGAAAAGTGGACAAATGCTGACACATTGCCAGTCGACTATGCCCAGTATACGGGTTGGCTCTCCAGGATCGACAAAAATATTTTGCAAGTGCAAATCACCGTGCCACAAAACTGATGTTAGGGTTGCTCTGTTATCGGGCAGAACATAGGGCGCCACTTTGAGATAGTTGTGCAATGCGGACAGTTTCTTCGAAGAGCTGGGCTGGTATTGTCTGGGTCCATAGAAAAGGCCTTCCGGCATCAATGGGTATCTGAATCGCGCCTGTGCGCAGAGAATTTCTCGATTCGCAATGGCAATCATGAACTCTGCAGGTGTAGACCCTGAGAAGTGCTCCACACTATTCAGCATACGAAAAATTTGCTAAAAGGGTTAAGGGGACTCTTACATGGTCCATGATCGATGTCCAGTTCCCCCCTCCCAAAATCGAAAAATGAACGATGGTTGGTGGGTCCAATGCCAAACTTCGCACTGTGTACCTCCTTCCCATCCCTGTTGACATATAACGGTGACGAGGTATCTAGCATAGCAGGGAGGTCATCCTTGTAGTACAAAGCTCCAAGCTTTGTGAATTTTGTTGAAGCAAGGGTTTTCTCAAAATCAACAACTTGTAGCACAATATGGGCTTTCTGCTTTCCTTTCATGCTTTCCCATACATCGCTCAGCATCACACCAGCTTGTTTTTCCATGATGATATATTCTGCTCCAACAGGGTTCTCTGACGCTTTAGAGCTCCATGCGTAGACCTTCGGAACTGGAAGATGAAGGATGTTTCTCAACTAGTAAAGTTAGTCAATATTATCGGTTGAGGAAAGAAGTTAAAGGAGAAGAAAAGGGAGCTTGTACAAAGTCCATGGTCGCAACCTCACTGGCCGTAGTGAAGCATGGTCTGCCCGCATTGGGATTCGGCAGTTTGGCAATCACCTCACGTCCATCGTTCATGGTAAGCAGGAACACTTTGTTATACTGACCCTCTGAAACCTTAACAGCTTCAACACAGTATTTCGATCCGATGAGAGAAGCAGCAAGTTCCAAAAGCCTTGACATATCAAACTTCACATAGCGGCATGCAAGTTGCTGGTGCTCATTCCAGAGCCATCGACCTGAGGTGTATCGATGGAGAGCCTCCAGATCATGCTTCGAGTCTGTAGAATAAAAACACTAGTTAAATGCTTCTAGGTGATATTATGGAATATGTTTCTTTTTCATACCTTGGAGGTCTCGCCGCGTTTGATGCATCCTGCGACCATCGGAGCTGAAGTATTCCCCCATGGGTCTTGCACAGAAACAATGAGAAAGGAGTGACGTGCTGAATAGATTTCTCAGCACAAATCTGTGAATGGCCCTCATATCGCATAACCAAGCGATCTTGTAGGGTATCATGGGCATTCCTCCCAATGGGTGGTCTCTGGATCAGGTGGAAAGACAGGGCTTGGTGCGACTTGCAGCGTTTGGCTCAGCGCCATATAAAACTAACTAAGCTAGATTAAGCTAGCCTACCCAACCTGGAACCTTATTTGTGGTCTCAGAACCGCCCACTGCATAACTCCGCCTTCGCAAAGACAACTCAATGAGGGAGGGTAGTATCGACACATTATTACAGCTGCTGTGCCGCTTTCTCGTTTCTCTCTGCATGGAGGATGGCCGCCATAACCAATCTCGATGATATCCCCATGAGAGGAGGTCCCAGCGTCAGGGTTAAGATTCCCAATAGCCAATAATTCTGAAGCCGGGTTGCGCCATGGCGGTAAGGACAACAAAGACGCGTCCGGCTCGTTGGAGATGGTGGCTCAATCTTTTCATCTCAAGATAAAAGGAAGCATTTCCCGGGTGATGGATTTGAATGCCCATTGGCATTAAGTTATTTGGCCACAGCTCCTCCCCTCTCGACAATATTCCAAACCGTGGGAAAGACATTCGCGCGTCTAAGAAGAACAAGAAGCCTTGACAGATAACACACTCCCTTACTATACAGTTTTGTGCTTCTCTAATTCCTGACCCTGCGAAGAATAATTTACGGCAATGAACGCCCTCAAAGACAAGCTTCAAGCAATGGTGAATTCTGCTATGGCCACCAATTCTGGACCAAAACGCCTCCTCAACCCCAGTAGCCCAGGCCGTCGTTTGTGGCCTTCCGACACGCCAAAGAACAACGCAGAGTGGGAAATCCGGCTTGATGCTGGAGAAGCCAGGAAAGACAATTCTGATGTGGTCGCTGTAAAATTGCAGATTAACAGGGAAGCCAAAACCAAGGGTCTCAAGGACCTGGTCAAGGCGAATGGGACCCATTACACGTATGCAACGGCGTGGGTTAATGTCAAAGAACCCCCGACGAAGGAGGCGGCGGATAAGCTTGTCGATGATCTGATCAAAGACCTGGGGGATGACTGAGCTTGTTTGACCTTTCTCATATATGTAATTCCCTTATTGACGAAGAAGAAGTGCCAGGTGATCTGGCCTTGAATACACGAATCTGGGGGTAGTGTGGAATTCAAACATAAGGATTTCTAACATGCATGTGTCACACTCCTTTTGCCTCGAAGGGCTGGCAAGTGGGCAAGGAAGAGACAGAAACTTGCTAGTTTGCTCTGTATGCAAGAATAACATTCACATTGTTATACTACTAACAACTACCACTGATAAGGGTATGAATCTCATGAAAGAAGCTCAGTAGGCTGAAGTATCCTGAATATAGCAGTACAACATCGTCTAACGAAATGTTACAACTAGAATATAGGGACCTGTGAAAACGACGCCGAAAATGACAGCCTCTGGCGCCAGAAACGGCCGCCTTTCCACCCGTAACTTTGCACAGCGAACCGCCGCTTGACGGCCCGCTGCCTGGTACGGCCCCCTATTCTGCACCCAACCAGGACTGTTAGTCATCCACCTCTATTCTGCTGTTGACGCTTGACTTCAACGATTGTTCCCCCCGTTTCCACTGGCGACCAAAATGACGCCGAAAATGGCTCCCTTCTGCATCCCAACCCAGGGCCCCCTCCTTCTCGCCCAGCCTGGTCGAGCGGCTATAAGATGCTTCGTCTGCCCTCTCGCTCGGGGGTTTTTCAACAACCTCATCCCACCTCCGGTGCCTCAATTGACCTCGACACACTTGACTCCCAAGTCTCCTATCACAGAATCTAAACCTTGGCCTTTGTCTCTGAATTCTCCTCATGGCGCCTGTGTTCGTACCTCTAGCTCAAGTTGATGAGCACCAGTTCTGGACCGATCCCATCCTTTGCGAGGAAACTTGAACCAGACTGAATCATTTCCGCAGTCTTGGATGGCGCCCTCCAAACTTCAAGCCCAGAACACTGATAGGAATTGCCATGGTTGAACGGTACTGGCGGAAGTGGGTTTACCCTTGACGAAATGAAAACCTTGTGGTTGGGCACTAACACAGAAATAGATATTGCATTCAATCAAACCAGGACTACATGGACTATCTTCTACTGGAAGATCAAGCAATTTACATGAACTTTTTTGACTGGATGTTTAAGACGTCACGAAAGAAAGCACTTCAATTGTATAATGAATACTGGCACTGCCTTTGTCAATACTTTGAACTATTTGCCCGTCACAGTGTTAATGATGATATTCATAAGCAGATGTGACGCGTATGGTTGCTTCCTCTGTTTTGAAGGGAATTTGGCTAACTGGAGCATAGTTTCTTAATGGTGTTTTTCCAGCTGAGTGCAAAATTTCCAGACGAATGAAGGACAAGAATACTCTAGATGTGGGTGTCTTTTGTGTGATCTATTGGCATCACTGGGTTCATTCGCGGTTTTTTCATCATGGGAGTATGATCATCCAATTTGCTACTATCCAAGTCTGGTCTGCTATTACTGGGACCCGACCTGGCGTCTTGCTTCCACAGAACACCTCTCTACCTGACAACTCTTCTCTAAGCAAGCATAGACAAAATCCCACTTTTCAGAGTGATCTTCCGAAGCACCTCCCTGTAACAGACCTTCTGGACTCAGTCTGCTATCGCAATATTGAGCTCTTCTACCTACGCGACCCTCAGAGAAACGTGACGTTCTCTGTGTGGTCATAGAGTTTCATAACCTAAAAGGTCGTCCGGAAGGTGCTGATGGGTAAGCGTGGCTATGGTCTCAAATGCTGAAGCACCGGATTCACTACTGACAGTCACTGGCAGAACTAAATTTTTCATGCACGGCAATTATCAACTGGCATATTGTCTGATCACTCAAATCATTTCTTTTGCTTTTTGAGATGGAGCATTTGTTAATACCGACCTCACACCAGAGCTTCTTTGGCAGCTCTGAGTTCCAAAACACAGTTCCTCCCTCCTGCTCTGCTGGAAGACTGAGGTTCTTAACACCCCCCTCCTTTAGCATTTTGATTGCATGATGTGTGGCTATGAGCTTCATCCATCATTGCTGATGACTTATGAGTCAAGTCAATGTTCACTTAAAGAGTTAGGTTGAGATGCTCGATTCCAAGACAATATTGGGCATTATAACTTTCGCTGTTGGGCCGCAAATGAAGTCAATCGTGAGTCACTCCAGTGCCAAATCTCCAGAAAATTTACCGCCCTTCTACGGAGTTCTTGTCAATTTAGGTCTGACTAGGAGTGGACAGTAATGGAAGTGTATTGTTGGTTGGTCACTAGCTAGATAGGCCTACGTGGTGAAAAGGGTCAGCGAGGGCGGACCTATGCGGCAGAATCCCACGTGATCCAACACCCCCCCACGCACGAGCTGGCCTAAGACTAATCTAAAGAATTTAAATACAAAAATCGGCCTCTATTCAGGCCTTCATATGAGAGAATAAAAGCAAAATTAAGCAGAGAAATGAGAGGTTCCGCTTTGGCCAATCAGAAGCCGTAAATCAGAATAGAAAGTATAACCAAAATGGGGGAACAAGCGCCGCTTAATGTATGCCGGTGAGTTCCAGGAAATGATTGAATCGTTCAGTTTGGAGAGGTTTTGTCAGGCCATCTGCTGCCTGTTCTTTGGTAGGGCAGGTCTGAAGTTTGACAATGCCGTCTTGGACCTTCTCCCGAACGTAATGGTAACGTATGTCAATGTGTTTGGATCTCTTGGTGGTGAGCTCGGCTTCAGCCATGGCGTGAGCGCCTTGATTATCGATATGAAGAGATATTGGTGGGCATTCAGTTGGGAGCACATTAAGCTCGTTGATGAGATTCCGGAGCCAGAGGGCATCACGGCTGGCTTCGCTTAGAGCCATATACTCAGCTTCGTTGGAGCTAAGGGCAACGGATGTTTGCGTGCGGCTTTTCCAGGCAATTGGGGCTCCGGCAAGCAGAAAGATGTATCCAGAGACTGACCGGCGGTTGCCTGTCAGTTGACCACCCCAATCAGAGTCGGTATAACATTTTGGCATGAGGAGGTCAGATGTAATGGACTCCGTGGGTTTATGATAGGTAATTTGCCGATTGATGGAGCCTTTAAGATAGCGTATGGCGTGTATAAGGGCACGCCATGCTTTTTGGGTGGGTTTGGCGTTATATTGGGATAGTATGCCAACCGTCTGGCTAAGATCTGGCCGGGTTTTGGTGGCTAGCCAGGTAAGGCAGCCTACACCACGTTGATATTCTTTGGTGTTGACTGTAGGGTCTGGTTCATCATCAATTATTAGGCTAGGATCCATTGGAATCCTAACAGGATGTGCTTGGGCTTGACCAAAAGAGGCAACAACATCTTCAGTGTAGTCGGCTTGAGATAAAGAAGATGAAGTCTCAGACTGGGAGATGGTCATGCCAAGGTATTTGGTAGAGTTTCCAACTTCTTTTATGTCAAATTTGGCGGAGAGAGTCTCCATAAACCAGATGGCATCATTTTCATGTTTAGCATAGACTTTGAAGTCATCCACATGGGTGGTCACATAGAGTTGGGTCCGGGTAGTGTGGATCCATAGACCAGAGTCATATTCAGAGCATTTGAAGCTGATTTGGCGTAGAAAAGCACCCAGAGTATCATACCAGATGCGGGCAGATGGGACCAATCCATAGAGGGATTGAAGGAGTTCACAGACAAGATCTCCAGAACCTTCTTTGAATCCCTGAACTTGGGTCATAAAGACACGTTTGTCCGTGGGCATTTTCCCATTTAGGAAAGCAAGGGTGGCATCAGCTTTTCGGGTATGCCAGCCAAGCAGGGTGGCCAGTGCCGTGAGGGTTCTGGTAGTATTTTCATTTACCACTGGTGCGTAGGATTCCATGAAGTCTTTATCAAGTAGATTGCCACGAATGACCCAGCGGGCTTTAGCCTGATAATCCTCTGAGATAGGTATGCCGGGGATTTCTTTCTTTTTGTATACCCACCGGCCAGGGATGACTTTGGCCCCTGGTGGTAGGTCAGAACGGCGAATGAGTTGCCAGCAGCCTTTCTCTTTGAGTTGGTTGACTTCCTTTTGCATGGCAGCTTGCCATTTAGCAGCATCAGGATGGGATATGGCCTGCTTATAAGAAGTAGGCGTGTTGTCTTCTGATGAAGGAATGGTTGAAGTGGCAAAGTAAGCTAGGGACATGCCTTTGGCAGGTCGGAGCCATATATCTTGGTCATTGAGAGGTTCATCTTCAACTAATTGAGTTGGGTTTTCTTCGGTAGGGGTGCTGGGACCTTTGGGAGTGGTAGTTGTAGGATCTTTGTAATCCTCATCAAATATAACATCATTGGTGACAAAGACGGTGTCAGTTTTAGGGTCCCAAACACGATATTGATGGCTACTAATTTGGCCAATGAGGAAACAGCAGTGAGAACGTGAATCAAGCTTATTTCCAGGTTTATCTGGTCCATGCCGATGGACCCAGGCTGGACACCCCCAACGGCGATATCCGGGGAGTGAAGAAATGGATGAATTAGTCCACGCTGCCAACGGAGCGCGATAAGGGCTGGGGTGTATGTCCTTGTTGATATTCACCCCCCCAGGAATTTGGGAATTGTATAAGATGGTAGATGTAGGGAGCCGATTTGTAAGATCTGTGGCATATTGGAGAGCATCTACCCAAAAGCGTTCTGGTATATATGGGGCATCAAGCATCATAGCTCGGGCCCGTTCAAAAGGATCCGGATGCCACGTTCACTAACGGCATTTTGCCATGGTGAATATGGCGAGCTTAGTTGCCATTCTATGCCTTCCTGACGGTAGGTTTCCATCCATTCAGTGGAGCGGAATTCATTATCAGAGACTAGGTAGGCAGGAGCAGTGAAGCCATGGTTCTTCATATTTTGAAGCCAGTTCTTGAAGGCGGTAATGGCTGCACTTTTTGTCTCAAGGAAGAGGATCCATCGATAATGTGTGGCATCGTCGGTAATAAGTAAGACATATTTTGCCCCAATTCGGCCAGTGACAACATCATTAGGGTTGTCAAAATCAAGAGTTTGTCCACCGCCGGCGATATCTAGATGGACTCGGGCAAGGGGTTTGGTAACTCTGGACCTAGGGACCTTGCTATAATAGCGTGTCTGTCTAGCCTGTATACAGACTTCACAAAATGGGAGTTCTTTAGAGCCTTTGATTTCGATGCAAGACTCAGGATCTCGGGCGAGGCGGAGGAGATCGGCTTGATTGAGATGGCATAGGCGTCGGTGCCAGGCCATGATAGGTAGGGATATCTTAGTAGTTCGCGGCTTCCCTAGAACCGGGGTCTCTTTTGGAGTAGGAGCCTCAGCTGGTGTCTTAATTGTGGGAGCCTTTGCAGGTGGCTCTTCTGGGCGGTTAACTTCTTTGCCAGACCGGGTGGTGACAAAGGCATAGGAATTTTCTTCTTCTCCAGGAGATAGACAGTCTTCAAGGAGGTAAACATTGTTTTTGAACAATCGGGCTTGGAATTCAGCTCCAGATGGTGTGGTAATCAGCTTGACTTCACAATCTAGTGTATATTGAAGCCTAAAGCCTTGTCGTACAAGCATGCCTTCTGAAATGAGGTTGGAAGTAAAGGAAGGAACATGGCGGACATCTCTTAGGATCAGAGATCCGTAACCAATATCTATAATCACGGTGCCAATGCCTTGAGGCATAGAGATATGGCCTTGAGCACCTTCCATATAATCTGTCTCCACCAGATCATGCTTCTGCAAGGCCTTATAGGTTGCAAAAGTGAACGGTCAGGTGTAGAATGGAAAGAGGCACAGCTGTCAACAAACCATTGATTGGAAAATGAGAGAGTCTTTGCAGACTTCACAATGGCAGATTTGGCATTGGAGAGTTTCTTATGCAAGACAAGTTCCTGTGAAGCAGGGTGATCCTGGTTTGATTGTGGGTTTGCTTCAGATTGTTGCTGAACACGGAGAGCATTAGCCATAGTAGTATAGAACTTGCGTCTATACTCTGGTGCTTTCTCAGGATGTTTAAAATAGCATATAAGTCCATGGCGATTTCCGCAGTGATCACAGTCTATAAGTGTATGACGAGATCTATCTTGGTTATTGGAACGTTGAGGAATTGTGTATTTGGTTCCAGATGCTTGTTTTGAATAACTGCGGTTCTGGGAGTTCTCTTTCTGTTGGTTTGACCGGTCTTGAGAATGAGTATCACGGAATTTAGTGCCGGTTCGAGTAGATAATTGGGTCTGGATAACCTTAAGATCCAGGTTGGTAACCGGAGCACGGCCAGTAGAGTAGACATCATCTAGTTTACTCTTGATAAAGGCGCGGTTCCAGTCCCGGAGACCTATAAAGAAGAGGTCATGTTTGAGATTTTCAAGAGATTCTTCTCCAATAGCGTGTAGGCGGTCAAAGATTCGATTAAAGGATGACTGGTAGGTGAGATAATCGTTATCCTTTATATAGAGCTCTTTGAGCTCCATGGTAAGGGCCATTCGCTCTTCACCGGTGGATTTGCCAAAAAGTGTGGCAGCTCGGTCCCAAAGACCATGGGCAGAGAGGTCATATACGGTGCCTAGTTTATCGGAAGCAGGGGTTGTCATGGCATTGAGCATACGGGCTCTCATGACAATGGCTTTTCTGTGCCAAACTGCAGCATCAAGTGGAGATGATCCAGCAGGAGGAGAGTCCTGGTGAAGAGTTGTAATAGCATTGAGAATACCAGCTTCTTTTTGTATGGCAGAGCTCCATGCATCGTAATTATCCAGTGTCAAGATGACACGGCATCGGTCAGGCAGTAGCGTATCGACATCGGCTTGGACAAGGGCAATAGCATTGCTGATATTTGTGTCTGAGGCATCACGCAGAGGCGGTTGGATATCCATTGGTGTAGTATCTTGGGTTGTATTTGAAGGCAAGGAAGCTTGTGGAGTATTAGACTGGATGATAGATGCCAGTTTTAGCTCCATTCTAGCTTCACGGTCTCGCATATCTTGTTCCATCTGATTCTGGCGAGCAAGCATTTGTCGCATCATATCAGCAAGATCAGGGGTAAGTTCGTTTGTGGAAGCCATGTTGGCGGTATTGGTAGAGCTCAGATTGGCTCCGGAAGGCGTTGGGGTCTCTATCTCTTCAGAGACAACTGATGAGGAGGTCTCGTCTATATTCGAGGACCTGTTTTGGAGATTTCGGCGACGTGATCGTCGTATAGCAGTAGCGGGAGGCGTAGTAGGTTCTCCTGACATGCTCAGGTTCGGACCGTATCTGGGATCCTGGAATTTTTGGAATCTGGGGTATGGAATTTTGGTTCAGCCAATCAGAGGGCTTAAATTGACCACTTATACGGGCCTAAAATAGCTCATATTTCCGAGCAAGAAACGGGCTCATAACCTAATGGAGGTGTATTGTTGGTTGGTTACTAGCTAGATAGGCCTACGTGGTGAAAAGGGTCAGCGAGGGCGGACCTATGCGGCAGAATCCCACGTGATCCAACACCTTGCCATGTAGACCAGGACGAGCACGTGAGTTTCCTTATTTGGATTAGCATGGTGCGTGGATAGGAATACGGCGTCCAGCTTCACGTAGATCTCTTCCTTTTTCCCTCCTCTCCATGCTTGAAGTTCTCGTCGATAGCTGCCTAGATAGTCGAATAGCATCCTATTCATCGTCTAGTTGAGTTCCGTGACACACTCCAGGCAATGCCTTCCTCCGCATAACCTGTACCGGTAAGAGCTCCATATGGAATATCGCCAGATGTTACTGACTGTGGTTTATCTCATCAGATACAAGCGCACCTTATGAACAACTGCCGAAGACTGATATTAGCATGGACTTTGTGGATCAAACAATAAGACCCACTGGCTCTGAGCAAATGCATAGCCCTTCTAGTTCTGAAGCTCAGTTGGCAGGTACTCCAATGCCAGATTTATCCAATAGCATACATGTAGCAGACGAGGGTATCTGTACCATGGTAACACAAAATGGTGAACAAGGTAACCAGCTACGCACGTTGCTTTTTGGCAGCCCTATTACTGATAATCAAACTGAGCAATCACGAGCGAATTGTTATGGGTATGGTGATTCCTCCTGGAACCGAAGTGCTCACTCGGATGGTATGCCTGAAGATTTGCAGTTGTGGATCCGCAGTCCTTCAAGCCTAGTTGATTACCTTTATCCTGCAGAACTAGTTGACTCAGTGAACAACCTGATCCATCCCGCAAATTTCGTCGACTTCATGGACACGTCAATACATCCCGGAGACCTGGCTGATGTAATTGATTTTTTATTTCACCTGGCCAAGCAAGATGATCTTGCTCAGTCCGCTGAGCAGTCAGTACAACCCAATAATTACCTCACGACTGTACTTACATCAGGCGGGCTCATTGATCGTGAAGCTTCTGACTTTGAAAGATTGATGGCAACACAAGCACCTTTACCTACAGAACTACCTTATACCCCATGGATAACCACACCAAACATGCAACTTACAGAAGAACCCATCAACTCTACATCAAACAGTGTGCCGGGGGCACTGCGAAACCCCGGATCTCCCATATTTCCTATCTTAGAACACCGTAGACCCACGGTCTCCGACATACTAATGTATGGTGGAGCCCGCGGCCGGCGAGTATTTAATGGAGGGTTCCCTCCCAGATAGTTACGAGAAACAGAGCATTCTTTTGGTTTCTAGGTTGCTTCACTAGTATCGTTATCGTCGTATAGAACAGAGTGAGGCTCCTTCGTCGTTGTGTTTCCTTTTATCGTTATATCGTTTTCTTGCTAAGATCGTTCGGTGCCGCGTGGTATAGCGGCATCGTTCCTGAGATCCCCTGATCACAACCCGGTTCCTGTCGCAGGGAACAACGCACGTACGCCCCCCTTTACAGCGCCCACGCGTGGTTCAACAGCCAGCCTCTTGTGTCGATGTTTTACCTGTTTTGGCCTAGGTAACCAACCACACCTGCTAGGATTCTCCGTCTCCCCTTTCGCGTTTAGCGCCTCGACACCAAGGGGAAATTAGTCATCGCAACTCACCTCTTCCACCCCAACCACCAAGCACCCTTCCGACGTCGTTTCATTTTCTCTATTCATCGTTCGTGCCCGCTCAAATTATCAAGGTGTCCCGGCATGCCATCGACACTATTCCTTGGTCAAACTTTGAAAGGCCGGACGGGGCTTTACACCATCCGAAAACAACTTCAGGACTGTGTCTGGCTTGCGACGTAAGCAGTCCCTGCCTCTATGGTTTCGGTGTGAGTTCATATTCTAACATCAATAATCACAGGAATGAGTCTGCGCAGAAAGTCATCGCAAAGAGTGTCCGGCACTTTCGATTACAGAATGAGCGAGATATCCTACTTCGTTTTCAACGCCGTACTTCTGCTATCCGCCCACTCATTGAGGAGCTCAAAGATACTAATTCCCCTCCGACACTCATTCTAAAATACCTCGATGACGATGTTCTTAATGCATCGAACAAACAACGGCTTACTCATTCCGAGGTGGTGTTTGTCGCAAGAAAGATGCTCGAAGCACTTGCCGTCTTGCATGATGAGGGATTTGTACACACTGGTGTGATTAGTCGATCTTTGCATCTCTGCTGCTAACCCTGCTAATACAGACTGGTTATAGATATCAAACCAAGCAACGTATTAGTGAATTACGGTCAACTTGATCTTCGTTTTCAAGATGTTCAGCTGGCAGATTTTGGAAGCACCGTTCACGTGGACTCCGTTCATGCGCAACGTGGCGACCCTATCGGCACTCCTATTTTCAGAAGCCCTGAGGCTCACCTTGAAATGAAATGGGGTACTGCAACAGATATTTGGTCATTTGGTGCAACGGCAAGTTTCAACATCGCGGCAGGAGACCTTGGAGCGAATATTAACGTTTATGTAAGCAAACAGCTTATCAGCCTCCTCTACGGGTCTGGATTTCATATTTTCAAGCCGGATGTTCCTCCAGATCATGACGAGTACGATGTCAAAATTCTTCTGAAGCATCATAGATGCTTCGGCCCATTTCCAGAGTCGTATGAACAGATCGCGGACCAACAACGGTTAGCAGTTCTTACTTGGGTCATGCAGAACAGTCCACCGGAGACTCTACAGCCATTTCATCTTACCACTACTGAGGAAATCTGTCAAGATGATAAGAAAGTTGTGCTAAGGATAATGAGGCTAGACCCTCGAGATAGGCCATCTGCACGACAACTATTAGAAGACCAGTGGTTTAATCAGTCTTGAATCTGACTGTTTTGATTATCTCAATCTCGTATTTTAATCTGGAATGTGCCCATTTCATGCAAAGTCTGAGAGACACCCCTTCCACGCATAGAGTATCGTCGGCATAGGCTACCTTTCTTCCCCACCCCAACCCCAATATCCGCTCGCCAGGCTTCAATATTCCGTCCCCAAATATTTCATCGTTCTCGCCACTCTGGGTACCTGCGATACACCACCGGAGAAACCCTCTTGTAACCCTAATGATTGGTGGGGAAATGCACGCTCTTTCCATCGCCATTTTCATCAAAACAAACTCCAGTATAGTGGTCTCGCGGATCACTGTCGCTCGTATGCTGAGTTTCTCTGCTCATCTTTTAGCTTATAACTGGATGCTTAGGCTGAGGCTCTGCTTGGACCTTTGACAAACATCCTTTGTTCCTGACGGCACCAGATGTTTAGAGGCCTCGACGGCTTTCTTGAAGTCTGGGCCTTGCTGGATCGCGATGGACTCAGGCCTGAGCCAATCGGAAGTTTGAGTGGCCACGGAGAGTGTTATCTCTTGTCCGTTTTTGGCGATGCTTCCAATGGGAATTTTCTTGAGAATTCGGTTGAAAGACATGCTGAATATACAAGTTGTGTGTGAGTATGTGACTGTGTGATAGGTGAAAAAAAAAGGTAGTTCGATAGATGTACTGACGCTTTCAGATGGTGAGTTCTTCATTAATATTTATCTATACATCTTTCTCCCAGCTCACGGGGAGCATTGAGCCATGACTTTAGGCGCCCAGGTTCCTGGAACAGGAGCCCGAGCACGTTTCAAAAAAGAACAGTGTGAAAGTAGTTGGTTGTAGGTGCTCAAACTTAGATGCTGAGTTGATTCTGAACGACGAAACAGCGTCTTCGTCAATATGCTTCCTGTTGGATGGATGGTCTGTGCGCTATGCGGGCTGAGATGGACTGACAACCCGTCCGGCCCATCTTTGGAATTAGTATCGACATCCAGCCGTGTAGACTTTGCTGGAGGGACCTATCAGCACTTGAATAACTGAGAGGGACGATTCCTTCAGGCACGGCTTTTAGGACGAGCATCTCGTTCTGAGCGTCCTGCTTTGTCAGGGCCCTTGCCATGTAGACCAGGACGAGCACGTGAGTTTCCTTATTTGGATTAGCGTGGCGCGTGGATAGGAGTACGTCGTCCAGCTTCACGTAGATCTCTTCCCTTTTCCCTCCTCTCCATGCTTGAAGTTCTCGTCGATAGCTGCCTAGATAGCTGAATAACATCCTATTCATCGTCTAGTTGAGTTCCGTGACATGCTTCAGCGAAAGCGCTTGACGAGCCATAGGGGTCAAGTGGTCAGGATGCTAGTGAGTCTTGGCAGCCAATAGGTGAGCCAGAACAGCTTTCCATTGGAGTTTGGCAGATACGCAAGCGTGATGCATCATGCATGTGTTGGCGCTGGCGAAAGTGATCCGGATTATTACCTCATTTGACTACATCACACCCTTTCTGTAGTGTACACTAAATACTTGGTCTCTAGTTCTTCTTCCACCCCCTCTTTCACTCCATTTTCCTGATCTACAGGATGAGCCTGATATATGTCACGACCCAACTCCTAGGGTGCATTCTAGGAGCTAAACCGCTGCACTACCAGCAAAAGACCAGAATATCAGGTCGTAAGACCTGATACTGCACTCACTTATATAGTACTTGTTGCCACGCCGTCACATTACCCCCGCCTCACCCAGGTGCTGATCCCCTCAACACCTTGTCTACGGGCCGCTGCCAGGGTCCATAGTCCATAAGCGCCTCGGCAAGTATTATATAAGCTAGCCCCCAGGGATCACAAAGGCACCCTGTTAGCCAGGGTCTCCTCAGGTAGCTGGCACTATTAGAAAATGCACTTACACTGTAAAGGGGGGCGTACGTGCGTTGTTCCCTGCGACAGGAACCGGGTTGTGATCGAGGGATCTCAGGAATGGATATACCAAGGCAATGCCGCTATACCACACGGCACCGAATGATCTTAGCAAGAAAACGATATAATGATAAAAGGAAACACAATGACAAAGGAGCCTCGCTCCACTCTGTACAATGACAACGATACTAGTGAAGCAACCTAGAAACGAAAAGAATGCTCAATTTCTCGTAACTATCTGGGAGGGAACCCTCCATTAAGTACTCCGGCCGCGGGCTCCACCATACATTAGTATGTCGGAGTCGGCGGTTCTACGGTGTTCCGAGATAGGAAATATGGGAGATCCGGGGTTTCGCAGTGCCCCCGGCACATCATTTTCTTGCTAAGATCGTTCGGTGCCGTGTGGTATAGCGGCATTGCCTTGGTATATCCATTCCTGAGATCCCTCGATCACAACCCGGTTCCTGTCGCAGGGAACAACGCACGTACGCCCCCCTTTACAGTGGTGGTGGTGATGGTGGTCGAATCTGGGATGGTCCTGAGGTGGCTGAAAACCCTCCTGATAGATGTGATGTGGGAGTCAGCCCTGTTGTGGTCCTGGCTCCACCCAGCGGGAGCTTGAGCTGCCGTGCCCAACCTCTGCTGGGTCCTGTGGGGCTGTGGCCTCCGGGCCGAGCCGCTGACAGTGGAGCGGCGGCCGCTTTCACTGGGGATGGCGCTTGCCACATGTGGTGATGCTGAGTTGGGTTGATGGTCACTCCTTCTTGTGCTCTGGGCGGGGCATGAAGTGAGCTGATGCTGGTCAGGTGTCGGATTCCGGGGATACTGAGATTGTGAGGACCCCAGTCGAGCATGCTTCGATGGTGGATATTCCTGGTGCTCATGGGCATCCAGCTTTGTACTCACCGTTGATTGCCGCCGCTTACGAGCTGGGGAGTTCCCAAGCGTACCGGAGTATTCGTCGCCCCTATCCTGATCGTCATCTCCAGTCAAGTCAATCACTGGAGGAGAGTTCGCTCGGCGCCATGCTGAGCGTTGTATGAGTTGTACTGGAGGGAGTGGGATCTCTTCAGTGCTGCTGGACCGGGGGTGACTGGTGGTGCAGGCTTGCAGGGTTTGTTGATGGCGCGGTTCCCAGGAAGGAGTCGATGAAAGCTGCCGCTGTGATGATGGTTTCGGCTCCTGCGCCATGCTGACATCAGTTGCTGTCCGCCCAGCATGACTCCATGCTACCGCAGAACCTTGGTGGTGAGGTACCCTATGAGTACTGGATTTTTGAATGGCCTGTGCTGTATCATCCTCATCATCTGAGTCAGGGATCTCCTGCAGTGGATTCGCGTGATCTGCTGGCTGGCTAGACTGTTGGCCTTGTAGGAGAAAGATTGGTAATGGGGATATGGTGTGTTCTGAAGATCGCATTGTGTGTTTTGTGTGACCATTCAAGTGCAAAGGGAAGAGCTTTTTCTCTTTCTCGTGACAGGAAAATCTAGTCTGGTTGCTGATGGGAGAGAGGACAAGTAAAGGGGCTTTAGAGTTATGGGACATGGGACGTACGGGGGTTCCCGTCTGATGCGTTATCATCCCATAAGTTATCGTCCCACGAGTTATCGTCCCACGAGTTATCGTCCCACGAGTTATCGTCCCACGAGTTATCGTCCCACGAGTTATCGTCCCACGAGTTATCGTCCCATGAGTTATCGTCCCATGAGTTATCGTCCTAGTAGAGTATTGAGTTATCGTCCCAGTAGAGTATTGACCAATCCCTGAATTTGCCTTGGATGGGAGGTTGGTGATGCAAAAGCCCCAAAAACAAAGTTGAAGAAGGATGATGATTCTTTCCAAAACCTCACCTGGGAAGCTACATTTTGCTTCGAATGCTGAAAATATAATTCTTTTTGTTTGGAACTAATGGTACGGTGCATGTTGATCATTGAAGGTTCGGGAAGCCACACAGAGACCTGGCCTCGATATATCACCGCACACGATGCCAGGAGGTAGGCCCCGAATCTACAAAACTGAGGAGGATAGGATCAGAGCACGTAATGAACGTCGGCGTAATCGCCGTCAGGGACATCCTTCTGCTTCCAGTGCAGAAGCTCCATTTCACAATATATTTGTCACCCATGAGAACGTGGGCGGTAGTCAGGCTCCAGACAGCAATGCTGATATCTTCACTGATCTCGCCAACACTCTGAACAATCTTTCTGTGGAGGAGCATCCTTCTGAAGAAGAGGCACCACAGCTTAGTACACTGGATTTTGTTGCCGTGGATGAAGATGAGGAGGAAAATGAAATCAACGGGCGCAGGTCTTCGGTGGACAGCGATGGGGAAGGTACTAAACCTGAGACCACATACATAGTCCAGGGTGCACAGGACGCTAACTTACCATGGAGACACAGACCTTGCCATGGGGGATGACTCTCCACCCCCTTCAGGGTTGCCATCCCCACAACCAATGGACCTAGTCATTGATGATGCCACCCAACTGCTGGCGGAACGCCTTGCAGAGCAACTCCTTGGACACCACGGCTGTCTGGAGCATGTCACACATCCTCCATCCAATGCCAACACCACTTCTCTCTCCGAGCTGATCGGCACGGATCTCCCAGATGTTCTGTCCCACCCCAAGATTCGACCGCATCCAGCCGACTGGGAGAACCGTCTCCCGGTAGTGGCACGACGCCAGCTCTTTACCGGCATCCGCCAACGGCGCGCTGGAAGCCCCCCTCCGTTGACAACCTCTGACGGCTCCTCTCCCATGGAGAGTCCTCCACCCGCGATGGAGGATCTGCCTCCACCCCGGATTGATCTTGAATCTGATACGGTCCCAGCCCGGCAATTGCCTCTCGCCATCACCTTTGATGTTGACAGTGCCGGTGGCTTTGCCACGAGTCTGAGCGTGGCCCGACAAGGGCTGGACTGGCTTGTTATCCGACCGCCTGTCAGCAACCTGGCCAGCTCGCTGCATCTCCCACCTGTTCCGGTTGGGTTCTACGACCCCAATGGGGAACGATGGCGATCCGCTCGAGCTCCGATTCATCACGTCCCTCATCTCCCCTTGGGGCGGCTCCATGGCTTTGAGGCTGTTGAGGTGTATCTTCTGTTCCCCGGTTGTTCCATCCGTCCCTGCAGCACTGGGTCATCACAGATGAGCAGTGGACCACATGGACAGATGAAGTGGTCATGCCCGCGATCTATGACACTCTCCCATCGGAGCTGATCCAACACTTCACCGCGGGTGCGCGGGACGCGCAGACCCGGGCCACGGCCGCCTCGGTGGAGCTCACCACGCAGGGGGAGGGACGGGCCCCGGATGCAACTGCTGCATCACTTCATCCAGCCGCAGTACTTGGCCCAGCTTTGGGACCGGATTGGCTTTTATATCAAGCAGCGTGGCCATACTGAATTTGAGGGGTGCCGCATCTTCATCACTGCCAAGAACCTGAAGACCAAGTCTCAGGACCCTGACTGGCAACAGGCACAGGAGAAGTTCTTCTCCACCTGGGATCAGGTGGTCAATCGGTCCTTCCTAGTCGAGGACTTCTACGATGTGGGCAAAGAGGTCACCCCTCCTGATCGTAGCTTTTCCTTCCGGCAGGCGTCTGAGGTGGCGCGGCAGCCCCTGACGCTGACCTGGCGTCGATGCTGCTTGGAGAGCTTCCGTTGCTGGCTACATGATGTGGCCCGCGAGCTGGGAGAGGGGCATGAGACCGCATCTGCTACGGAGGAAGATGGACCAGGCAATCCCACTCCAACCACCCGACAACTGCGACCACGACGCCAGCCGCCACCAACTGTCCTGGTAGAGATTCCGGCCCAGCCTGACGTGGAGATGGAGGTGGATGACCATGGCTCGGATCCCAGTGTGGCTTCACCACACTCCTCCTCCTCTTCTTCGTCTTCTTCGTCTTCCCCCACGGTTGCGGCGCCACCTTGTTGGTGGGAGGAATACTACCCGCTGTCCCTCACCCAGGACCTGGGTAGTCTCACGATTCAACCACACCTGGGCCGACGTTCCGCCCTTCGCCGGCATGGCTTGCTCTATATCCAGCTTTATAACACGTCCAAGGGGATCTTTGCTGCTGGCAATACCTACCCCTTTGCCAACCATGCCCTGGACACACTGGCGCTGGATCCGGGCCTGGTTCGAGCATGGCAGCACATCGGGCAGGCTCTGAGTCACTCACCACAGGCGATCCTCCGCGCATACCTTCATGCCAAGGTCCGGTGTCATACGGCACTGACGTCGTGCCGCAACCATTCCTATGGGACGCGTGAGGAATATCGTGTCAGTGGTCCTCTGCTGCATTCCATCCACCAGGTGATGAGCCGGCGAGCCCATCCGCGGGCCATCATGCCTCAGCACGCCACCGTCCCCTTTTTCATTCATCCCACGGCCCTCTTTCTGGACTGGATCCGGTGGAATATGAACCGGCTCTGTCTGGGGTTTGAGCTCGTGTACACGCTGCAGTCTCACACGGTGGTGCACTGGGAGCATACTCGGGTGATGATGATGTTTCTCCGTGCATTGACGTACACCTATGGGGGGCCAGGGCCATCATCTCCGACACAGCAATGGTCTGTGGCTGGACTGCCGGGTTGACCCTGGCGCGGGTAATGGCGAGCGGGTGGTGGAGGGCATGGGTGTGGGGAGACGTTGGACCGGTATGGGTATGGATGGTTCCTGGACAAGGTGGACTGGGCCAGCATGGTCTTCCGGGTGGCACACCGGAGCCACATGGCATTCAACACGCCGACGCTGCTGTCCGCCTACTCCCGACGGTATCAGCCCCTTGTGCGGGCGCAGCGCGACTACATCTTCGTGCACGACATCTTTTCGCAGATGCAGGCGTGGCGGGATGGGCCTCCCGCCCGGACGGCGGTGTTGTTGGATCTGCTGGTGGATGTCTGTCTCCGGGCCTTCTGGAAAGATGTGTTTCGTGCGCTGCAGGCCTCCAAGCCCCAGCAGCCCATCAAGAAGCAAGCCCTGGCAGACGCCCTGGCAGGTGCGGTGCCACTGACCATTGTGGGTTTCCGGCGAGTTTTCCAGCGCGCCCCAGTGGAAACCGAGTTCCAGTACGTGCGCGGATCGAATGCCAAGGTGGGCCATGTGCAGGTGCTCTTCAGTTGGCTCTGGGGCTGGGCTGGGGATGGCAACCACGGGGGGGATTGGCGGCGGAAGGGCTGGGAGCAGAAGCTGTACCGACTCCTCTTCCGGCAGTGTTTTGAAGTGATCACGCAGGTCTTTGGGCTGGGGCAGGCTCGGGCGTGGCGGGCGACGCTCCAGTATCGGTTTGTGCGGACGCACTGGGTGTTACCGTATCCAAACAACCAACGCTTCTGGAGTCGTGGCACCGGACTCCATGGAACTGGGCGGCGACGGCTGCTCACTTGGGTCAGTGTCCATCCGGACGTGGAACGGTATCACCGGGAGGACCCATTGCGGGAGCGGACCGTCCCATTAGCGGCAATCAACCAGTTGCCCATCCGCGGGTGGCAACGTGGTGCTCAACCGATGGACCTCAGCGTCGAGCTTCCCACGATTCCCAGTGACCTTGAAGTGCTGGTGGCCGCTGTCACTCGTCCCAGTCCGTCCACGCGTGCCGCTGGGTCGTCCCCACCGCCCCCCTCCGCTCAGGGCTTGCCTCTGCCTGTGATCCGGGTTACGGCGGGACCGATGCAGCAGCATCTGCTTTCGTATCACCAGGATGAGTCCCGAGTGACGCGACTGGGCCAGCAGCAGGCGCAGCAGGAGCAGTTGGCCACGGAGCAGCTGTTGGAGCAGCTGCCTCGTGTCAGTGAGGCCTTCTGGAAGCGGGTGCAGGAAGAATACCAGTCCATTGCGCTCTATCGGCGTCCTCACGTGGAACCAGCACGACCTGCGGCCACCCCTTTGTCAGATGATGGGGGGTCGGCGGCAGCGGATGTGGAAGAAGACTCAGACCCTGATAATCTTTCCAGCCGGCAGCGGACAGTGAACCGGGGCCGTCAATGGCTGTATGACATTGACCAGTGGACCAAGAAGCATGTGCAGAAGTACCATCAGTATGCGCGGGCGCTCCAGGAAGCGGAGCAGCGGACGTATGAGATTGGACCAGGGATGACTGCGGGAGAGTTTGAGCGGCAGCGGCAGGCGGATGTCAGGAAAGCTCGCACTCGGCAGCGAGATATCCTCCGGGCGATGGGGGAGGTTGCCAAGTGTATTGGAACAATATATAGCGACGTGGAAGAAACGGCGGCCGATGCTGGGGCATCTGTTGGAGGATGCACCACATAGCTTTCATGAGCATTCTGACCCTGCCTCTTTCTCTCACTGGCGTCATATCAGCTCCAGTCACATGTATATATATATTGAACAGGGGGAAGAACTCCAGCCTGGTCCGTACCGGCGGGTCGATATAGGTGGGAGGACAGAAAGAACGGAAAATGCAAGGCTAGCAAAGAAGAGGAAGAAGACAACAACAACAACAACAACAACAACAACAACAACAACAACAACATATAGGGCCTTGTGCCCCACACAGAACTCTCTCATAGAGCTCTGCTGGTGGTAACTTAATTCACATACCCAGCTGTGCGCCTCCCAAGTATGTATGAAGCTAAGTTGGCTGTGAGCTACTCTCAGCATGAAGAATCTCAATACAGATAATCATCGTATGATATCTGTGGGTCCCCTGCTACAATATACCTTCTCGTATATTGTTGGTATACATTAGAAACAATACAGCTACTGACTGTATATCAAGAGTATATTGTTTTATGCCACATGATCCCCTAGTGTGGTTTCTTGTCATGGCCTATATAACCCAATGCTTCACATTAGCGTGTGTCGCACACCAACATTAAATAGCACTACTACTACTACTGTAAAGGGGGGCGTACGCGTGTTGTTCCCTGCGACAGGAACCAGGTTGTGATTGAGGGATCTCAGGAATGGATATACCAAGGTGATGCCGCTATACCACGCGGCACCAAAAGATGTTAGCAAGAAAACGATATAATGATAAAAGGAAACACAATGACAAAGGAGCCTCGCTCCACTCTGTACAATGACAACGATACTAGTGAAGCAACCTAAAAACCAAAAGAATGCTCTATTTCTCGTAACTATCTGGGAGGGAACCCTCCATTAAGTACTCCGGCCGCGGGCTCCACCATACATTAGTATGTTGGAGTCAGCGGTTCTACGGTGTTCCAAGATAGGAAATATGGGAGATCCAGGGTTTCGCAGTGCCCCCGGCACAATGCTCTGAGCGGTCGCTATCTGACGACATCGTACCAAAGTAGGCAATACTGAAGGAACACCGTGACAGAACCGTGGAACTGCTAACTTAGCTGAATTCCGAGTTTTCACTACTCCCGTACTCTCCCGTGTCCCAATGTCTTCGGAACAAGCCTCTCAGTTGATTATTTTTCCCAAGAATCCCTAGCCAGGGTGCTTCCCACGCGCCCTAGAACCCAATGCGAAGTTCGCAGCAAGAAAATGATATAATGATAAAAGGAAGCACAATGATGAAAGAGCCTCGCTCCACTCTGTACAATGACAACGATACTAGTGAAGCAACCTAGAAACCAAAAGAATGCTCTTCCCATTGGCAATTACCCTTACCACCTCTCCGGCTCCTCCAATCGGTCCATAACGGACTTTGGCATCTTCAGCAATATGGCATAGACCCTGGGCAGCTAATGCTTGGTACCGTGGACATGTCCCCCATATGTTGGTGTGACCCGTTTCCAGACAGAACCGGCATTGGTCACCCGCGATTGGCACATAGCCCCGTCGGTTGGGTATGTCATTTAGCCCATGTCTTCGGAAGTCGTTCTGTCTCACCTCCATGAGGCTGATTTCCATTTTCCTCATCCGTTCAGCCAGGTCATCTAGCGTTTCCTGGTGTCTCGTTCCCGGGGCTGTTCTTGGCACCTGCCGCTTCCCTGTAGACACTGGTTCTCTGTCCTCTGGCTGTCGTTGTTCATCTGGGACTCGCCCATCTGGCTGCACAACTACTAAGCTATGCGCAGCTGACACTTCCTCTGCGAAGTTCGCAAGCTTCCCTTCATGACCCTGCCGAATTAAATTTAATCCAGCCACTTCCTCCAGATATTCTTCAACTGCCTCCCGGGCCCTTGCGAACTTCATAGTCTCGAACTTCTGAGGGCTAATCTTCGCCCTCCTTACCACTTCAACCTGCACCTCCTCCGGCAGACCCTGCAGGAACATCTCTGTTCTCAAGAATTCCACCAGCTGGCCTCAGCGCATCAGTTCACCAGAGACGTTGCTAAATTCGCGAACATACTTGGTCAAGTTGTCATCTGTTGACCGTTTCTGAGCAACAAACCTGCCAAGCCAGCCTATGTTGAGCTTGGCCTGTGCTGAATCCTGGTCCTGATACTCCTCTAGGAGCCGCTTCTCCAATCCTTCATAGTCCTTCCTCTCATATTCAGGGAGGCTCTCTACCCATTCACACACACTTACTGATACATAATCACACAGGGCACCTATCTTGTCCTCCTCTCGCGTGATTCCATGGTTCCTAAACAACGAATGTAAGGTCCTCAAGAATTCACTGACCTCCTTACCATTGAATGTTGGGGCTCCAGAAGTTCCTCGCAACGGCAGACCTCTGGGTGTCCCCAACAGTTTCTCCAACATCTGCATCATCAACATCGGCATGCCTTCCGGCTGCCACATTCCAGACAAGCTCGGAGTAGTGGGCATTGCGGCCGGCGCCGGTATTCCCTTTGCATCTCCCGGTGTAAGAAGTGGACTCCCTTGTTCCACATGCACCGGGAGAGGCCGATGCTCCGAGCGGTCGCTCTCTGACGACATCTCCTTACCAAAGTAGGCAATACCGACGGAACGCCATGACAGAACTGTGGAACTGCTAACTTAGCTGAATTCAGAGTTTTTACTACTCCCGTACTCTCCCATATCCCAATCTCTTCGGAACAAGCCTCTAGGCTGGATATTTTCCCAAGACTCCCTAGCCAGGGTGCTTCCCACGCGCCCTAGAACCCAAAGCGAAGTTCGCAGCAAGAAAATGATATAACGATAAAAGGAAACACAATGATGAAGGAGCCTCGCTCCACTCTGTACAATGATAAGGATACTAGTGAAGCAACCTAGAAAACAAAAGAATGCTCTATTTCCCGTAACTATCTGGGAGGGAACCCTCCATTAAGTACTCCGGCCGCGGGCTCCACCATACATTAGTATGTCGGAGACCGCGGCTCTACAGTGTCCTAAGATAGGAAATATGGGAGATCCAGGGTTTCGCAGTGCCCCCAGCACAACATAGGCTGAAAGTCTCATATAGTCTGCATAATAAGATATTGAAGTTTGAAGATAGGACATCTATAGTAATGAAGTAGCAAGGGTCATCCACTAGCACTATATTAATATATCTTAGATACTTTACCTAAGTCATATTCTGTACAATGACCCAACTTGGGTCTGGTGGGAAATTAGAATGGGTAGTGACCCTAAAAAGATGGGTCAGAAATTATTTTGACCCATCTTTATCTCAAGAACTAGGCCATATTAGGAAGTCAGACTAGTATCATAGTGATCCTAATCAGGTCTAGTTTCTGCTAGTATAGTTCGATTGATGACATAAGCAGGTTTAAATTAACCCTAAGCCAGATAGGGTAATATGTAGATAGCACTGCTATAGGCTATCTAGTAGGCCAATTGAACTCAGAATTGAATATGCTGATGTCATTGGGGTCTAGAGGGGTCAGGGGACTTTTATTTCCCAATTAGGAAGGTGTATATTCTGACTTGTACTATTCATCAAACGAATCAGGAGCCAAAAAGTCACGTGACCTAAACTGCCTAATTAGGAAGGTGGTTGATCTATAGCTCATTCTCAGGCATTTTATGACAGGATTACAATGAACATAGTCGCACTCCCTGAAGTGGTCTATATAAGGAGATATCACAGTTTGAATATAGGACTTCTATCATAGCAAGATAGAAAATGACTATACTACTATTCTTATACTCTTACTCTAAATTTGTCAGGATGTTAGGCCTATTTTAGTAGTGATACAATAGAATCCTAATCTATAAGGTATAATTACTGCGTATATATTGATATTGCATATATATACATATATTATATGGTAAAAGGGATAACAAATGATTAGTAGATATATTTTCTAGCCTAATATGTAGCCACTACAGGCTATATAGAAATATTCTCTAGGGGTCTGTAGCCCATTCAATGCTCACAGAGGGGTTTGTCAGGGCCCTTGCCATGTAGACCAGGATGAGAACGTGAGTTTCCTTATTTGGATTAGCGTGGCGCGTGGATAGGAATACGTCGTCCAGCTTCACGTAGATCTCTTCCCTTTTCCCTCCTCTCCATGCTTGAAGTTCTTGTCAATAACTGCCTAGATAGTTGAATAGCATCCTATTTATTGTCTAGTTGAGTTCTGTGACAGGGTTATGTGACCTTGAGTTCCCAATTAGGAAGGTAGTCATTTAATAATATAGTAGCTAAGACAATAGCAACTAATAAGAGTATTATAATAAATAAGGTCTTGCATTCTAAGGTGATTTAGAGAAGGATATATAGAGGTTTAGAGTTAGAAATTCTATTGCAGTGAAGTAGAAAAGGTCTCTTATTAATACACTAATAATATTACTATAGTTTAGACATGGTGGTAGAGGTATTATATACATGAGATAACATATATATATATATCGATATATTAGAAAGAAACCTAAACAACTAGGCAGGGGCATCAGCCTAGAATAAGATGATTTGAAATCAATAAATGGCAGGATTAATAAGATGAGGGATTTTTCAAGATCTGCAATTGCTATGGTGGCGCAGCTAGATAGGGGACACGGCATAGAGTGGGGGGGACAGCACAGAGTGGGGGATCGCTCAGCTGGACTTCAGGAATACCACCTCCCAGAGGATCCTGAGGATCCCAAAATGACACCACCACAAGTATGATATCATCTTTTGAAACTGAAAGAAATTAAATTTACAACATGGAATGTCTCAAGCTCTTCATATTATAATATAAATAGGTGGTTGACATCCCTTGAGGTTGGTCCTCTAGCTAAGTAATATTGGCAATATTTCTTTTCATATTACCTATATCTCCATTGCTATACTGTCTTCAACTTTCTAAACCCTCTACTTATTTTCCTTTTTGATTTACTATTCACTATGGCCACTGAGCTTCCTGATTTTTTTATTTACTACCCTACCTTCCATATCCTTATTTGTAAGGAATGCCATACTGCTCTTCCTAAGAATAAGGCTGTGGAACACCTTAGGAAAGACCATTTGATGACTCAACATCAAGTTATTAACCTTGGCTATCAGGCTATCATTGAGAGGCTTGATATCTTCCCTCTTACTAGGTCTCTTCACCAAATTCAGAATGACCAGCCAATTGCTCCCATTAAGGGATTGAGCTCTTTTCAAGCTAGGGAATGTAGTGCTTGTGGTGAGCTCTTTCAATCCATGGACAAAGCTAATCGCCATATTACCAAGGCCCATCAGCACCAGAGAGGTCATGCTCAGTATCCTACCATTATAGATACTCTGGCCCAGGCATTGCAGCCAAATCGTTACTTTTTCAAAGTGCGGCTTCCATCTCACCCTCTAGGGGACCATGCTCCTACTAGGGCAGGCACCTCTAGTCCTTCACCAACCCCTGGCCCATCTCAGCCACACTATGCCCACCACGCTAGGTAAGAAAATATGTATCAGGTGCAATATGCACTCACTAACTATTTCCTAGGGTGGTTGAGTCTAGTGACTCTGACATTGAGATGGTCTCTGCCAGGTAAGCATTCCCACTGCTCATTTTGAATATATATCTTGCTGATTCTCACTGTATAGGGATGTCAATACCTCTCTGAGAGCCCCTTCTGCCTTTGGACCCTCTGCCAGTCTTCCTACCAGGTGTGGTCTATATATTTATGTAGATATGTATCCTCTACGCCTTCACTAATATGTATTTCTAGGCCTGGTTCTTCGTCGCAGCCTGACTCTGGCATCACCCCAGATCTGGTGGATTCCCTGCTCCGTCAGTACCAGGAAATCCAGAAGCCCCAGCCAGAGCAAGCCAAGATCTATCTCTCTGGGTCTAGGGATGAGCTCAATGGATTTCAGCTCCACACCAGGTATCCAGAGTTCCTGCAGCAACGCTCCCTCCCAAAGCTAAGAAATCTCTTCTCTCTATCCCTAGAGCATTCTGGTGAGTTTAATTTCTTTTCTCTGAGGGATACCTCTACCACTCTAACCCATGTTTCTTTTGCCATATATTTTGTATGGGGAAATGAACAACCCTAACAATGCATGTATCCTTGTGTTTGATGTTCAAGAGTATTTAGAGCTTATATCTATATCTATCTATTGATATATATATATATATATATGGCATGCACTAATTTTTTTCATATTTTTCTAGATCGAATCCATGATTTCCTGACTGCCTGCACCACCTATATATTCGCCAAAGGCCAGAAGATCATCCCTCTCCTTTCTCGCCATGTTCGATGCCTTCTCAATAGTTTTGACATTGAGCATGTGACTCTGCGCCCTTTCAAACCCCTCCAGGAGGCAGCCAGTGCCCAGAAATATGCCCGCGTGCTTCACAGCTTTCTCGTTTTTCTGTTGGAGAGCTATCCCTACCAGGTCACTAGGGGGCCTAGGGATAGGGACCTGAATCGACTCTATGCTATAGATCACATGGTCAAGGCGGGGGATTCAGGAGCTCAAGGACCTGCTACTATCCCCCACCCTAGCGGAAGAGGATGAGGAGGCACCAAAGGCCTCAGGCCCCTTGCAGGCAGGCAGTGCCCGTGCCTATATTGGTGATGACCTTGATGGTGAGAATGATGAAGAGGATGAGATCGATCTGGCCCTGGACCTAGGGGGGGATGATGGTGAGGAAGATCTTGAGGACTCTGGTGTTCTCGAGAAGCTCGAGCGGCAGGCCTGGCAGGCCACCAGTGGTTTTCAATTCACTCAGGCGGCAGTGCACGAAGGGGTGGCTCTCATTGAAAAGCTCCTCATTGACCTGGTCACCAGGCATGAGTCATATGACATGAAGGGCCCTATCTACGCGTTCCTGGCCTGTTTCAGTATTCACTACCAGGAGGTGACCTTCAAGCGAATTGACCGCATCAGCCAGTCCTACTCTGCCGTTATCTACGCCATGCAGCTGGTCGCCATCAACCACCATTGGACCCCATGGATCCGGAGGATCCTTGAAGCGAAAGAGGATGGGCAGGACCAAGCGCTGGCTAATGCGGCCCCATTTCATGCTGTCTTCGGCCCCTGGCTGCAGACCTACTTCAAGCACCAGTCTTTGACTTCAGCCAGCGGTGGCATTCCTATATCGGCATGGGGCCTGATTTTGACTTTTTGAGCTTTCTCTATCAAGGCAGACCGCTGCCTCAGGCTCCCCAGGCCACAGCCAAGACCCCCCAAGGCCTATCTACCAGCTCCTTTCCTCTCAACCAGCCCTGCCTGCGCTTCTGGTGGCAGAGATCTGCCTCTTCACCATCCCCTAAGATCCCTATTGGTCAGTTCAATGCATTCATGGGCTCCACAACCCCCACATTCACTCCAATCGACCCCAATGTCACTGAAGGCATTCCCGATGGTGACCCGCGCCTGGCCGAGCTGGAACCAGGCCAGCGACTGCGACTGCTTGCACACCAGCCATTCCCTCAAACCCCTAGGGGCCTTCAAGCACCAGACCTCCTGCTTGGGCTCTTTCAAGAATTCATGGGAACGCCTCAGGCTGAATTTCGAAGCGCAGAACAGCGTGAGTGCCTCTACCATCTGCTGAAGCCAACCCCATTCCTTCTCATGGCATTACCAACTGCTGGAGGCAAGACCACCCTGTTTCTGCTTGCTGCAAGCCTTGCCTGGGCGCATACTACTGTCCTGGTGGTTCCCCTTGTTTCATTGAAGCTGAACCTGCAATCTAAGCTTCAAAACCTAGGTCTGCCATGGGTGAATTGGGAGGATCAGTAAGTACTATCTATCTATCTATCTATCTTTATATATTTACTAATGCTCTATATAGGCATGAGGAGACCCCTCCTACCCGGCTAGTGCTAGTATCCATTGAGTCTGCTGTCAGCCAGGTCTTCATTAACTGGGCCATGCAGCTCTACCACCAAAACGCCCTGGACCGCATTATTTTTGATGAGGCCCATCTCATCCCCCTGGCCCGCAGCTATCGGGGGGTGATGAATGATGTAAACCGCCTGAGCCAGATCCCAGTCCCCAAAGTCTTTGCCTCGGCCACCATGACCCAGCCTGCCCTGGACCAGCTCCGCCACCAATTCCTCCTGCCAGCCCACCTTCCCCTGGTGGTCCGTGGTGATATCAACCGCCCTGACATTCACTATCTGGTCCAAGCACACCCCCCTAGGCTCTCTGGCGCCCGCCGCTTCCAATATCTTTTGAACCTGATCCGTGATGCACGCCAGGCCGGGCAGATCCCCCCTAGGGGTCAGGTGATCATCTACCTTCCCTATAAGGGCATGGTGGAGGAGTTCCATCAGGCCTATCCCCAGGAGACAGCCTATTTCCATGCCAGCATGCCAGAGGAAGACAAGACAAGGCAGGTGGAGAGCTTTGACCAAGGGCAGAAGCTCGTGCTCCTTGGGACAGCTGCCATCGGGGAAGGATATGACTTTGCTCATACTGCCATGGTCATTCACTGGGGGACCAGGTGGGGCATCAGCCAGTTCCTTCAAGCTACAGGGCGTGCGGCGCGGGGTGCTGGGGAGATTGGCTGGTCATATGCCATCATCCCCCCCCTCTCTCAGCCATTCCCAGCGCCGGCGGATCTGGAGGAACAGTTTTTCCATGAGTATCTGCAGGCACAGGTCTGCCGGCGGTCCCTAATCAATAGGGAATTCAATGGTCGGGCTACCCAGGGGTGTTTGGCGCATGAGAAGGCATGTGACCTGTGCCAGGCCCGGCAGGGAGAGCTCCAGGCAGTTGCTACCCAGGCTAGGGCAGTCCTCAGGGAGGGTGACGGCCTTAGGCGAAAGCTGACTGCCTATGTGGAATTTTTCCTCAAAGGAAATATCTGCCTTGGGTGTGAGCTTGATTCATGCTGTGAGTATCTATCTACTATCTTTCTATCTATCTACTATCTATCTACTAACTGATTTGACTATGCAGATGATAAATCTGCCTATGCCCAGGAGATTGATTCCCACCATTCCTACCTTCAATGCCCAAGAGCCCAGCATCTGATCATTGCATTCAACCAGCTTCGGGATCAGCTTCAATTGGAAACCCATGGTGGCTGTTTTCATTGCCTTCTTCCCACCAGGATCTGTCCAAACCGATCTGGAAATAGGGAGGAATGCCTGTTTCCGCCAGGGCTTCTTCTTATTTGGTTTGGCCATCATATTACTACTGATATGGGTAAGATTCTGTGCTCTCTCATGAACATAGGCACCTCTCAATCATCATCATTAGAGCTTGGGAATCAGCTTCTCAAAGCTGAAAGGGACACATTTGGGACTGAGGTATTTAAGGGGGTGGTCTTATTTTATAAATGGTGTCATAGGATGATTAATTTGCCTTAAGTAAATTCTGTATTTAATTTGAATTTTCTTTTTTAGTTTTTATTTTTCTATCTTAGATACTCTGCTCTATCACTCTATCTGATTAAATTTCTTCCCTTTTTTAAGTCATATTTACTGGGCTATATCTATAGTATCTAGTAATATATAAACATATTAGGTAACATTATTATATATCCAGTTGATGAAGGCATATATATGTAAGATGGTGGATATATATTACAGAGATAGCTAATATATCGGTGAGATAGATATATATATATATGGCTAAACAAAGCTATATTTCCTTCTGACAAAGCCCATAATCAAGTACAAAACTTCTAAGGCTAGAGGTTAGATAGGGGTCTGCAGCCCTGCATATATCATCAAGCAGTCAGATAGAGATCTATGGCCAGGCAGAAGGTGTCAGTGGTTGTAGGCATGCTATCAGGAAGGTGCTGAGGGATAAGTGATGCCATTCAGCTATCCAGTAGAGATCTGCAGTCCTTATCATGGCATTTCAGAAGGTATGGAGAAGTCTAAGGTTTGGTATTATTGTAACATATAGTCTATAAAGGCATATATTTATAATATGGTATATATATATTAGTAAGATGGCTAGTATAGATCAGTGAGATTAATAGAGTATGTATATATAACAGTAAAATAGTAGGATACGCTAGAACAGCTAAGAGAGAATAAGGTAAAAAGCATATATATATAAAGAAGAAGTATGTAGAAATATAAATATAAAGATAGTGGATATATAGTATATAGATATAGATAGCTAATAGAAAAGAGATAGGCTAGCATAGCTAAAGGGAAATAAGATGAGAAGTATATATAGGTAAGATAGATCAGCTAAAACAGCTAAGGGGAAATAAGATGAAGAGTATATAGAGAAGATAATAGATATATAGTGTTTAGAGAGAATAGAAAGTAAGCTTAAATAGAAAGATAGTAAAAGAGAAATTTAAATAAAAATAATAAAAATAAAAAGGCTAAAATAAAATAGTAATATATATATATATATAAAGAAATTAAATATAATAAAAAAAAGAAAATTAGGAAAGATTAGGAAAGATTAAGAAATAATATAAGAGAGAGATAAAGTGGTTAGGGTTAAGAATAATAGAGATATAAATAGAAATCAAAAAATAAAAATAAAAATTAAATTAAAAGTAAATAGTGGGATATATATAGCGAAATAAATTATAAAAAGAGAGTGGTTAGGGATAAGAATAATAAAAAAGATTAAAATAAAGGAAATTATTATATGGTAAGAGAGAGAGATATATATATAGAAATAAGAGAATAAAAGAGATATAGGATAGAGAAGTAGTATAATAAGAAAATAGAAATCAAAATATAAAAAATAGTAAGAGATAAATAATAAAAAAAGTGGTTAGGGCTAAAATAATTAATGAATAAAAAATAAATTAAAGATAAGAAATAGAAAAAAAAAAGAGGTAAAGTTGGAAGTAGAAAATAGAGGAAAGAGTAAGAAAAATAAAATAAAAAAGAATAAAAAGGGAGGAATTAAAATAAGAAATAAAAAGAGGAAGAATTTTAGAAAAAAAAAAAGAGAATAATAGAATGGAAAAAGAAAGTGATTAAAATAAGTAAGAATAAAGAAAATAAGAGATAATATTAAGAATTTAAAAAATAAATTTTAAAGTAAGATTAGAAAAAAAGAAGTAAAAATAGTTAAAAAAGGAAAAAGTAAGAAAAAGTGGTTAGGGAGGAGGAGTAGAAAAAAGAAAAAGTAGAGTGATTAAAGAGAAGATAAAAAAAAAAGAAAAAAGAGAGTAATTAAAGAAGAGAATAAATAAAAAAAAATAATTAAAATAAATATAAAATAATAAAAGAGAGCGAGCAATAAGAATAAATTTAATAAAAAAAGTTAATTTTGGTTAAAAAGAATTGAGTATAATTAAAGTTAAGATGATTAGTATATATAGTGGGATATATATATATATGTGTGTGTATATAGAAGTGAGTATAAGAGTATAATATAAGAGTGGATAAATAGAAGATGAAAGATGAAAAAGAAATTAAAGAATAAAGGGATTAGTAGTAAAATAAGGAAGAAAAGAATGAATAAAAGAAAAAGGGAGATGAAAAAGAAGTAGAAGAAATAGAAAAAAAGAAAAGAAATAGGTAGAAGGAAGAGAAGTGGAAGAAAGATTGAGTAGATAGGGATATAAAATAGAAATGAGAAATAGAAAGAAGAGAGAGAGAAAGAGGAATTAAAAAAGAAAGAGTGGTTAGAGATGAGAAGTAGTAGAAGAGGGAAAAGTGAATAAAAAGGAGAAGAAGTAAAAAAGGATTAAGTGGTTAGGAAGGAGAAGCAGTAAGAAAAAAAAAGATTAAAAAAAGAGAAGAAGAAATAGATAAAAAGAGATAGAATAGTTAAAGGGAAAGAGAAGTGGAAAAAAGAGAGAGTGGTTAGGGAGGAAGAGAAATGAAAAAAGAGAAAAATAAAGAATAAATAGAGAGAAAGAGTGGTTAAAGAGAAAAAGAAAAGAAAAATAGAAGAGAGAGAGAGAGAAAAAAAGAGAAAGAGAAATAGATAAAAAAAAAGAAAAAAGAAGAATAGAGAGTGGATAGAGATAAGGAGAAGTGGAAGAAGGATTAAGTGGATAAGAAATAGAAAAAAGAGAGAAAGGGAAGTAGAAGAAAGATTGAGTGGATAGAGATATAAAAAAGAAGAAAAAAAAAATAGAAAAAGAGAAAGAGTAAGTAGGAAAGAGGAGAAGTAAGAAAAAAAAAAGGAAATAAGAGAAATAAAAGGATAAATAAAAAAAGAAAGAAAAGAGAATAAGAAGTAAGGAAAATAAAAAAGAAGAAAAGAATATATGGAAAAAAAGAAGAAGAAGTAGAAAAAAGAGAATAAGTGGATGATAAGAAGGAAAAGAAGAAAAGAAGAGAAAGAGATATAAAAAAGAAATAAAAATAAAAAAAAGAGAGAAAGAATAAAGGAAAAAGAGAGAGTAATTAAAGAGAAGAAGAGTGGATAAGGATAAGAAGAGAGAGAGTATAAGGTTTTAAGGTTTTATTTTGTATTTTATTTTTTATTTTTATTTTAAAGAGAAGAAGAGAAGTAGAGGGAGAAGAGTGGTTAGAGAGGAGAAGTAGAAGGAGAAGTAAAAGAAAGAAAAAGTAGAGTGGTTAAGGAGGAGAAGTAGAAGAGTGGTTAGGGATAAGAAGGGAAAAAGAAGAAGAAAAAGAGAGAAATAAGAAAAAAAGAATTAAAAAGAAGGAAGAGGTGATAAGAAGATATTAAAAAGAAGAAATAAGAAAGGAGAGAGTATAGAAGTGAGTATAAGAGTAGATGAATAGAAGAGAGATATAAGATATATAAAAGAGAAGAAAGAGTAATTAGAAAGGAGTATAATAAAGAAAAAGAAGATAAAAGTTGGGATAGTTAATATAGTATGATATATATATAGAGATATATATTTAAGAGGGTATATAAATGAATAGATAATAAAGTAGATAAAAGAAAGAAATAAAAGAGATATATTTAAGAGGAAAGTAAGAATAATAAAAAAAAGAAGAATGGATAAAGAGAAAGAGAAAGAGAAGTGGAAAAAAAAGAGAGAGTGGTTAGGGATAAGAAGAAGTGGAAGAAAGGGATTGAGTGGTTAGGGAGGAGGAGAAGTAAAAAAGGAAAGAGTGATTAGAGAGAAGAAGTGGAAGAGAGAAGGAAGAAAAAAAAGAGAAATAAGAAAGAGGAATTAAAAGAATTAAGGAAGTAAGAGGTGGTAAGAAGTGATTAAAAAAGAATAAGTAGAGAGGAGAAAAAGAAAAAGAAAAATAAAAAAGGATTAAAAAAAAAAGAAATAGGAGAAGAAATAAAAGAAAAAAAAATTAAAGAGAAGAAATAGAGGTAAAAGTAAAAAAGGAATTAAAAAAAAGAAAAAAAAAAAGAAATAAGAGAAGGAATAAAAGAAAAAAAAAAGAATTAAAAAAAAGGAATAGAAGAAAGAGTAAAGGAATAATTAAAAAGTAGAAATAAAAGAGTGGTTAAAAGAAGAAGTAAAAGTAAAAGTAGAAGAAGAAAAGTAGTTGGAGAGAAGAAATAGAAGAATAATTAGAGAGGAAGAGTGGAAGAAAGAAGTAAGAAAAAAAGAGAGAAATAAGAAAAAGGAATTGAAAGAATTAAGAGGTGATAAGAAGGGATTAAAAAGAAGAAATAAGAAAGAATAAGTAGAGAGGAGAAGAAGAAGAAGAGTGGAAGCAGAAGAGTGGTTAGGGAGGAGGAGGAGAAGGAGAAGTAAAAGAAGAAAGAGGAGAGTGGTTAAGGAGGAGAAGTAGAAGCAAGAGAAGGAGAAGCAAGAGAAGGAGGAGAAGTAGAAGGAGGAGAAGTAGAAGGAGGAGGGTGATATTAAAGGTATTTAAAAAAAATAGAGCAAGATGAAAGTTGGGATAGTTAAAATAATGTGTATATATATATATATATATTGGGGAGTGTATATAAGTGAGTAGATAAATAATAGATAAATAAAAGATATATATTTAAGAGCAAGCTAAGAATAATAAAAAGAAGAAAGATAAAATAAAAGAAAAATTGAATAATAAAAAAGAAGGTAATG